GTATATAGAGCATATGCGTGAAGTTGGGTGTCTTCTGTGTATCACAAGAGAAACGCAAGTGCTACGACATACCCGTCTCGTCTTGCACGCCGAGCACCCGTTCCGGGACCGAGTCTTCGGCGCATTCGCACGCCGCCGCGAAGGCCGGCCCGTGCTGCTGGTGCTGTGCTGTGCTGAGCCTGCCGGCCGTGGCATGTCCTCTGGAACGTTGCCAATGACGAACCCCTGCACAGGCCGGTGCTCTATGGCAGCTGCCGAGGAGGCGTGCCCCTGTCAAGTGTCGCTTATGTCGCACCCCGATTGGCGCAGCAGCCACAGTCGGGCATGGTACAAGCCGGGAAGTGCAAGAAGAGCCCCTGGGGAGATGGTGCCAAGGGTGTTCTGTGTGTCCACGAGGAGGGTTGGCAGCACAGCAGCACTTGGGCAAGAAGAAGATGGGGAGACGAGAAGCTGGGGAGAGCAGTAGCCACGAGTCAAGGTTCACGATAAGAGATCACGTCCACGACCGCTATCCAACTACCCAAGTTACCCCTCAGCTGTGTGTGTGCGTTCGGCAGCAGCGCAGACGAGCTGGTCGACCTGCTCCAACGCTGATAAGACCAGCGGCAGGCCAATCGTGATAGTCCAATGGTTATCACGGCACCGTCGCTTCTTCCCCGCCCTTGAGCCGCGCCAGCGAATCATTGGAGCCGCCGGTGGCAATCCCCGGCTCAGCGCGGAGACAAGGTTTCGCGGTGCTCCGCTCAAGGTCAAGGCGCTCCAGCGCGGCAAATCGTGCCCTCTTTCGTGTGTCACATTGCGGCTGTTGAGCAAAGCCCCTGACATCCGAGGCCCCTGCGGCGGCCATGATCGAATACGGCAAGCGACCAACTACCCAATGCGAGACAGCCGAAACAGGGTTTCGCAGTTTGCTTGGTCATCATGCAGGCGCCCCCAGCCCGGCATGTCAAGATGCAGTGCATTCCATACACCTTGTCAGGGTTGTGGCTCCAAATACGTGTATGGTCGCTCAGGCTCGGTTTTGCGTGTCAAGAACGATATTGGGTCTCTCCATTATCATACAGTCCAGAGTAAGTGTGCGAATCCCGTGTCACCCCCAACGGTGACAGTCGTCAACTCATGTCTGGACAAGTTGTAGAAATCGACCGTGACCTCGGTGTGCGTGTCATTCCAGTCCACCCGTGTCCATCGCAACCGAGCTTCCTTGGGAATGATCCCGTCCTCATTCCTGCAGGCCTCCTCGAGCTTGATCCACTCGGTGCCCGCCATCAGCATTGCCTTCTCGTCCCAGGTCGAGTCGACGGTGATGTATGTCCTACACAGGGCAGCCGCGCGCATGCGTATCTCGATATCTCGGCTGCAGATCATGATGAACAGCAGGACCTGGATCTCTCTCCGATTCCACACTGTGACTTGGGGAAGTCCCAGATGTGACTTGCCCTCTGCAATCGCAGCTTGCCGCTCGAACACGTCGAGGGCCTCGCGGAAGTACTCCGTGTACAGGTCGTACATCATCTCCTCCCTGTCGAACAGGCATGCGAACAGCGGCTGCGAGCCCAGGCTCGAGAATAACACCATGGTCCACTTCCAGAGCTCATCTTCCGTGGTGGCACCGTCGACTCGTGTTCGTATCATTTGCAGCCAGGTTGAGTAGTGGGCGAGAATACCTTCTTGTTGTGACCGCATGTTCTCGGTGGCTGTGCCATAGAGCCCTACTGCCGTGCACGTCTGAAACGCCCAGACGGCCGTTCGGTGGAAGTAGAGACGGTAGGCCTCGTACCAGCCAGATATCGCCATCGTAGGGTCGGGCGGTCGGATCGAGGTGGTGCCGTCACCGATTTTTGACATGGCCTCTCTTTGATTTGGGTAGCTCGGCAGAGCCCAGCTGTTCATACAGGCCATTGTGAAGAGAAGAACGTTCATCTCGTTGACCCCCTCGTCGCCATTATCGCATGTCTTGCTTGTGCTAGGCCCGAGCCGACCCATGCTGCAGAGTTCATCCTGCAACATGTGGACCGTGATCGCCATCAGGCGGTCCACGGACTTTGTGTCTCCCAAGATGTTCTCGAAGATGACAAAGAGGACAGACATGACGAGAATGAGACGTCGAGTAAGGGTGGGATCCTTGGCAGCAACTCTTTCTCGGAACTTGGACAGTGCTTTGACGTGGAACTGCACGGCCATCTCGTACGTCTGCTCGTCCCACGACCCCGTGTTGGAGACATGGTGTTCGCCGCTCGCATGGATCTTGTGCTTCCGAGACTCGTTGGCGTGGAGTAATGCCCCGATGCTAAGTGCAGATGCTCTGATGTCCTCGTCAATGACGACCTGTTGCATCAGCGTCCGTGCGATCGAGGCTTTGTTGATGGCCAGAAGGCCTAGACTATCAATGACCCGGGTGCGAAAATTGTCGAGAAAGGCACTCTGTCGTTGCGTCAGGTCCAGCAGTGAGGGCTGTTGTGGGAGAATAACGTCTGGCTTGTAGCTGACAGGCTGGACACTCAAGTCCTCGAGGCACTTGCCAGAGTCAGCACGTGGCCGGGACTCGGGCGGACTCAACTCCGATGCTTGTGGTGAGGCTGTCCGTGACGACGAGGCTGGCGTGGCCTGTGCCGCCGCCGGTGGTGCAGAGCCATAGTCACAATCGACCTTGGACCGTTGGCATCTGAGGCACTTGGGTCGAGTCTCGTCGCATCGGATTCGGCGCCGTTTGCAGGTCTTGCAGCCTGGAATGTGTATGCATCTGTGGTCAGCATCCAGGTGTCTCGCTCGTCATGCTCTACACACAACCTCGTATGGAGAGGGGCTGACGGCTGACTAAACATACCGGACGTTACTTTTTTGTGCGCACAACGCACACGAGGGAACTGTGCCTGGGTCATACTGTGGTCCTTTTGTGGTCTGCAGTAGGTTGGCGTCTCGTTTGAGTTCGGAGTGCTGCTAACACAGCGGCTGCTTGTTTTGTTGTACAGTTTTGTGCTTCAAGTTCGGACTTCTTGGCTGTCGACGGGCTCGAGATGCTGCTACAGGCTTGATATAAAGCCGGGCGAGAAGGATTACTAAAAAGGCGCGGCTAGATGCTGGGATCTGTGAGCAGCAGGCATGAATCGATGAGCTCTGCCGGCATAGCACCACACTGAGCCACGCGCCAGGCACCACGCTCCAGCCTGAGCGTATACTTTACTAACCACACTTGAGGCTGTGGGGGGCCCAGGTCCCCTGCACCGGCCTGGATCATGCTTGATGGCGTCTAGAAGACACCCGCGCAATAATTGACAAGCGTACGCAAGCCCGAAGCCAAGAGGGACCCCCTGAGGGCCGGATATACTCACAAAGGCGGCTTGTGTGTGGAGGGTGTGGTGATACGGAGTACTGGCGGGTGCCACTATCCCGTGCCGGTTAGCTGTCGTAGGGCCCCCAACTGGGATGCCCGAGGCGGACTATGCCCTTCTGAGCAAAGGATCTGGTCGTAGGCGGGTCTGTTGGGCGCCGCCTGGTCCGTGCCAGAAGCCCCGTCCTGGACGTGGGACTAAAGCGAGAATCAAATCCGCGCATCCAAAGGTTGCCCTATGAGGGTCCACTGGTCGGCCGACCCCGTACGTTGCAGTCGTAGGTGCCACTGAGACAAATCAGATCCTAGCAGGACGCTTGTTAAACGAGGAGGAGCACGCACACACGCCCACACAATGCACGTGGGCATGACGGTCAGGGGCGCCTGTCGTGAAAAGGCGGAGATTAAAGGCGGAGTTTAGCCTTGCCATGATGTGGCCTTGGCTCCATGTCTTTCAGGCCACCGGCTCGCAGTATCTCCACTGGAGGGCTGTCCTGCAGCCACGATCGAGGGTCAACGTTCGAGGGCGGGCTTCAGGATGTGCCTGCCGGCGGGGCCGGGACAGTAGGGAACAAAGCCGCCGTCACCCATCCAGGACCATCATCTACCGGTACACAATTCCACCTTTCGGAGCCACGTCCGGCGGCCTAAGCAGCCTCCACCTGGGGGATACCCATGGATTGCTTGGCGCTCACCTTGGCTGTTATGTCATCCGTGCCATGGCCGCCAGTCGCACTCACATCTTGACTCGGGCCTAGGTGATCGACCACCGAAGGATTCAGTGCTGGGTCACAGCCGCAGGCATGCCCTCGCCCTTCCGTAGCCATGTGTGACACCCACCGTACGACTGCTGCCTGGCTCGCCTGGCTAGCGAGTGGCCGCAGTCTGGACCAGATTGGGACAGCAGCCGGCGCCAAGGCATGATATCGGCTGTGGCCAGCCGATGCTGGAGCATCTGGGCCGGTCACTGCCCCCACGGGACTGTTCACTGATGCATGTAACCACGATAGGTTGACAATCTCGATGGCGTAGTATCGCCATCAACTCATGAACGTAACGCGGCCGCCAGATCATAGTCAGTGAGCATAGAGAAAGCGGTTCTGGTTAGTGATGCGAGTACTGCAGCGTAGCATGGAGCCGCGGTTCTGCTGCCAAGCATTGATATGTCTACTTTGGGCCGTGGCTCGGCTGTTTTGTCCCCTGCGGTCTTAGCCTAAGAAGTTGATCCGTCGGCTCCGACATCTAGCAAATGAGTCATCTGAGGTCCGGACTACAGCAAACATCTGATGAGCGATGTGACGTAGCAGACCATGCATTAGTCCAGCTTGGTTCGTCAGCCTTCGTCCGTTAAGTAACAGACATATGCTGCAAGGGAGGCCAAGCTGCAGACCTGGGGGCCGTCATTCATGCCACTTAGCTAACACCAGGTGTTGTCTAAGCAAACTTGACAGCCTCGAGCTTGAGTCTCAGAGACACCTTGTGGGCAGGTAAGTTGCTGCACATCTCAAATTGTGGTGATTACATGTTCCGTTGTGATCTTTGGGCACGGAATGGTTGAGTTCAATGCAGGTTGATTCGGCTGTACCTTGACCAGTGAGCTTTTATGCTAGCTGTAATAGACCACGGCCATGGTGCACAAAACAGACGTGGCATTTTCAAACAAATTATGGGATTCGCCACAATGTCGAACCAACAACTTGGCCTTTTCAACGAACTCACCATTGTCCACCGCGCATACGGCACCCGCGGGACGGTGAGTCTTAGCCCAGCAGTAGTGGCTAAGGCTCTAAGCGCAGCCCCCGGCTCCCGGCTCGCCAGCACGCCAGATCCTGCTTTCAACGTAGAGGGACCACTACCAGTACTTGGTTGAATGCCACGCCCAGATGAAGAACCACTCCTCGTACTCGCTTGCCAGCAGGTTCATATTCTCAACCACCAGGGAACTCCCCCTGGGCCAACATCAACGGATCGTGCTCAATTACTCTGCGGGACACTAGCAGGCAACAGTGCTTGGTACCACCCCCCAGAAACGAATGCAAGTACACATTTCGATGCGACTCGGACAGCCTCGAAGCATAAACAGGTAGGCACTCCGACATGCTCCACCGCCAAGCTTCCTCAGCCCTACCGAGTTCATCCAACTCAGCATGGTACCAGCTACGACCCCCTTGCTCTTGCGCCCAGAGCGTTGGCGAATACTCCAGACTCCCCACCAGCCCCTGCGCGCATTAATGACCCTTGTTGCATCAAGCATGCCCTATTAGGAACTCTCTAGTACCAGGTATTCCCGCAGACTGCCACGGGCAGTGCTGGCTTGGAGTGCATGGCGAGACCCAGGAGTAGCGGAGGCGTTATGAGCTCAGCCTCCACACTGGATCTCACATGCTACAGACGAGTCAGGCACCGTGTGGCTCCAGCAGGATGAAGTGTGGCCGATCCGAGTCCGTAGGCTTATAGAACTGGACATTGCGGGACTTCGTGCGGGCAGCTTTTCTTTCTCTGCCCGGCGCCACCAGCGGGCCTCCCCAGCTCGTCAGCCAGCAGCACCAACGTGTGGCGGGCTTCGGTACCGGGCTCCGACCTGCAGCGGATGTATCGTGTGCGGAATTGTCACTGATTGCCCGTCTTTGGCTGATCCGGACGCGTCGCAACGCCCCTGCCCTGCATGCCTGTCGTGAATCGTCCTCGGTCCCGGTAGTTCTGTCTCGTGCTCCCACAACGGTCATGCGCAGCCCCTGCCTGTCGCGCTGCACGACCGGAGCTGAGTGGGGCGGCAGGCACCACGTCGTCGAATCGCCTTGCAGAATGTACGACGTGGTGGGACCTCGCTGTGGCTGACTACGCAAGCTTCTCGAAATTCGCAGTCCGCGGCGACGAGGGAAGCTGGGCATGCCCAGGCCAGGACAGGCCACACTGCACGTCCCTTGTCTGCCAGAGTCTCGGCCATTGGCCCATTAGCCGTACCCAGCACATAATCGTTGGAGATGCCACGACTGTGGCGCGCTTGTGGTATCAGTATTCCTCGGATTCCGCAATCAGGACTAGGAAGGGCCCGACAGCGAGGTACGCAGCCAAAAGGGTCCATGCGCGGGCCCGACACGCGACAAGATGCTCAATGGGCATGGGTCACAGAGTTACATAATCCCCTGGGGCCATGTGCTGTCACACCCAGTCGAGTTCGTCGGGGAGGACGCCTATGGCCCTACGAGCCACTACGCATTTGCTGAGTACGTCAACACCGATGACAAACCAGATCAGGCCATCAGACCCGTTTCAAGAAGCTACATGAAACAATCCTTCGTCCGAGTCGTTCAGCTTGACTATTTGCCCACTAACCTTGGTAAATTACGTAGCCTACGAGGGCGTCCTTCGACCGTGCCGCTGGGTCGTGCTGGCTTCTCATGGCGGCGACTGGAAGACCAAGTTGTGTTGGCGCGCTCGGATAGCCCCCGAGGCGGGGAATCAAGTGACGGCCTGCCAGTCCGTAGGTGGGTGAGAGCCCCGCGGGCTTCTGGACTGGGTCGCTTGGCGGTGGGGAGGGGCTTTGACAGGGCGGTCATGCTAAGGGTCTCACTACATGATTTAGCAGAGTCGCTGCCTCGAGTGCTGGCTGAGCTATCTCGCCTGGCTTGCCTTCTTCCAGTGCGCGCGTCCACGACATTGCGGCCCCCAGACACACAGCCCCCTCCCCTTGGGACCGGCATAGTAGCAACATATCGGACACGAAGCCTGCAAGGAGCCCCAGGCAGCAACAACCCAATTTGTCCTCAGGCCAAGAACTCTCCGATCCACCAGCACAATGGGCATTAGTGAGAGCGACCGCGTGTTTCTTCGGCAGTGTGTCGCCCTTGCCCGTGAGGCTCTCGAGGCCGGAGATGACGCCTTCGGCTCGGTGCTCGTCGACGGCGCCGGCAAGGTGCGCTACACGGATCGCAACCGGACCCGCACCAAGCAGGACGTGACCTGGCACCCCGAGTTCACCATTGTCGTGTCGGCGCAGACGCACATGACGCCCGAGGAGCGCGCCGCCGCGACCGTCTACACGTCGGGCGAGCACTGCCAGATGTGCTCGACGGCCCACGGCTACGCGGGGCTAGGCCGGATCGTCTTTGCGTCGTCGTCGGGCCAGTTTGCGCAGTGGCTCGCCGAGCTGGGAGTCGTCGAGCGCAGGGTCCGCAGCATCCCCATCAGGGATGTCGTGCCCGGCTTGACGGTCGACGGGCCCGACGACGAGACGGCGGCTGAGGTCTACAAGCTTCACCAGGCCCGGTACGGCAAGCTCAAGGGTAATTAGCTCAACGGCGGTGGGGTGTCCTGCCCGGCGTGTTCCTGGCAGGGCTCAGGGCCAGGGCAGCCCCCTGAAACATAGCGGCACGCTGGAGTATAGCCGGATGCAAAAAGCCAAATACACGAGGCAAGGCAGGGCAGGGCAGGGCAGGGCTGCATGGGGGCGCCTCCCCCAGTGATTCGATTCGTCCGGACAAGCTCGCACGAGGTCGGGGCAGTATGCTATGGAGGGACCGCGGAATGTGGGATACGAACCACGACTGACTAGTGCCATGTCGGAGGGCCGCACCGCACATCTCTGACTTCGCCCAACTATGTAACATCGCTTCGTCAGCAATCTACGTACCGGTATAGAAACATCGAACGACTCTCCAGCGGCAGGACATGGGAAGCCCCTGTCGAATCCACACTCGTGCCATCGTCGGGCCCCGGGCGGGCCCGGAGCCAGAACATGTAAGCATCTCGGCCGGCAGTGATCGTCAAAGCCGTGGTGCATCAAGTGACTGGCTACTGGTGCGCCATCCGGACCCGGGTCGAAACGGGCAACGTCGCGACATGTCACCACCTTCGCGCCTGGCGGACTTTCCGCCAGAGGGGCGTATCCTGGTCGGCACATCGCGATAGGATTGCACGCGCAGCACCGCTGGGTGCATCGGGAGCTGCTGCCGCCGTACGAGGGCCTGGTTCAGTGACAGCCGCGAAGTGGCATGCCTGGTGACAATTGACCAGGCTGGTCGCTCTCACTGTGCAAAGCAGGGAGTTCACCCCTTGTTGTGCTTCACCAGGTCCGGGCAATGCTGTGGCTGTCGTGCTGGATGCATCTACAGGCCGTCCTCGTCCCGTCTCTGATCTGTCCGAAGGCATCGTTCTGCGCCCAGAGACGCAGCAGCACCAGCCCAGGCTTGCGAGGCCGAGACCAGGCCACCAGAACTCTCTCTGCCGCCGTGCGTCTGACTACCAAGTAAGCTCACAGAGCCGTTGAGGCGCTGCAGCCGCTGACATGCTCAAGTGAGGAGCAGCACCACGGCATTCCCCGGGACTCCCCGCGCCCACTCCATCTGGGCCGTCGTCTGCTCCGTCGCGATGGCGATCCAACCACAGGCCTGGCCTAAACCCGGAGCTTCCGATCTAAAATCTGAGCTCAGAGGCGCAAGCCGCAGCGGCATTGCACGTTTTGCGACTACACACGGTATTGCCATGGCTCGCGCGGGTGCCGCAGTGCCGGCAGTGGCTCGGTGGCACGCCGCGGCGGCTTAAGGTTCGGGCCGGAGGCAATGGTCTCGTCTGTTTGGCGCCCGACGCGCGTAGAACAGGGCGCGATATGCGGGACAAACTTCGTCGTCAGTGCCCTTTGGGCCTAGCTACGGTGAGACTGCGCCCGCGATCGATCTACGGAAAAGACGCCGCGATGCGCTGGAGCACGGGCGCTGGTATATCTGCGACGCGCGGCGGCCGTTGCTGGCGCGACTTCTCGTCTTGCTGTTGCTGCTTGAGATCTGCTCGGCATCCAGCACTGGCCTCGTCGTCGTCACTATCGTCACTGTCATCGTGGTGTACAGGTCGCACTCGCCGATATCCAGCATCATGGTAGTCGCAAAGCCCATCCTAGGAGCCGTCGCCGCCGCAGGCTTGCTTTCGGGCATCTCGAGCAGCACGGTAGCAGCAGCAGAAGTCGCCCGCGGTGTCGGCGCTGCGGAGGTGCGCAGAGCCCTCCCAGACAATCCCAGTGGTGGCTACGCGCCTGCCATCGTGGACTGCCCGTCGTCGCGTCCCGCCATCCGCAATGCTACGTAGCTCTCGCCTAACGAGACCGAGTGGCTGAGGACGCGGCGGAATAATACTATCGAGCCGATGACGGCGTTCCTTAAGCGTGTTAACATCTCGGGCTTCGACGTCGATAGCTTTATAAGGAGCGCGAGTAACGACGCCTCCGTGCTGCCTAACATTGCTATCGCGGCCTCGGGCGGCGGCTACCGCGCCCTGATGAACGGTGCCGGCTTCATCGCGGCCGCTGACAGCCGCGTGGCTGGCGCTAATAGTACGGGCGGTATCGGGGGCCTCCTGCAGTCGGCGACGTACCTTGCGGGCCGGTCTGGTGGCGGCTGGCTCGTGGGCTCTATCTACGCCAACAACTTCTCGACCGTGCCGCAGCTGCAGGCCGGCAGCTCGAACACAGGGCTGTGGCTTTCGACCGCAGTATCCTGGTCGGCCCGAGTGCGGGCGCGCTCTCCGAGGTCGAGTACTGGAAGGGTATCTACGACAGCGTCGAGGCCAAGGAGGCCGCGGGCTTTAACACGTCCATTACCGACTACTGGGGCCGCACGCTCTCGTTCCAGCTCGTCAACGATACTAGCGGCGGTGCTGCCTATACCTTCTCCTCCATTAGCCGCACGCCGGGCTTTAACGACGCTAAGTAGCCGCTGCCCATCCTCGTAGCCGACGAGCGTAGCCCGGGCACCACGGCCGTCTCGAGCAACTCGACCGTCTTCGAGTTTAACCCCTGGGAGCTAGGCTCGTGGGACCCCACCGTGTACGGCTTCACGCCGCTCGAGTACCTCGGGTCCAACTTCACTAATAGCACCGTGTCCAACGCCACTAGCCAGCAGTGCGTCAGGGGCTTCGACCAGTACGGCTTTGTTATGGGCACGAGCAGCAGCTTGTTTAACGAGCTGCTGCTTCAGAACCTCTCGTCGGTCGGCATCCCCTCGGCTCTACAGGGGGTCCTAACGACGCTGGCCACCGAGCTGAGCTACGGCGATAACGACATTGCCCTCTACTCGCCCAACCCCTTTTTTCACTATAACAACTAGACGAACCCGAGCGCGTTCCAGGAGGGGCTCAGCTCGTCGACGGCGGCGAGGACCTGCAGAACATCCCCCTCGACCCGCTGATCCAGCCCGCCCGTGCCGTCGACGTTATCTTTGCTACCGACTCGTCTGCCGATATTAACAACTGGCCTAACGCCACGGCCCTGCGCGCCACCTACGTACGCAGCCTCACCTCCATCGCCAACGGCACTCAATTCCCCAGGATCCCCTCCGCCGAGACCTTCATTAACCTCGGTCTTAACCGCCGCCCGACCGCCTTCGGCTATAACGCCGGTATCGTTACCTCGAACGGCACAACCAACAGTGGCTCGAGCACCGTTACCGGCCCCGTCCGCTATCCGCTTATCGTCTACGTCCCTAATACGCCGTACACGGCCCTCAGCAACGTCTTAACGTTCCAAATGTCCTACGACGCCGCCACGCGCAACGACATCATCCAGAACGGCTACAACGTCGCGACCATAGGCAACGGCACCATCGACAGCTCCTGGCCGACCTGCGTCGGCTGCTTCGTGCTGCAGCGCAGCCTCGTGCGCTCCGGCGCCGCCATCCCCACCGCCTGCCAGGCTTGCTACCGCCGCTTCTGCTACAACGGCACCGTCGACGACACGCCCGTCACGGCGTACAACCCGATCCCGTTCCTGCAGCTCACGGGCAGCTCGACCACGGGGAGCTCCCCCAGCTCGGCGGGCACGGGCCCCGGCGCCAGTCACACGAACGGGGCTGTCCGGGCTACGGGCACCTACAGTGGCGCGGCTGCTGCGTTTCTCCTGAGTGTGAGTGCGCTTGTGGCTTTGATGTAAGGGGTGTTCCATAGTGGTGCTATATGGCGGTTTTGACTGAGTTCGAGCTGGAGGGAGCAAGACGTCTCCTTCTCAACTATTGATCACACTGTAACTTTGACAGAATAGTGCATACAAATAATACCATAATGACATACTGTGATATTTTATCATGTCTGCCCGTACCCTCTGTCGCCTATGCCGTCCAAGCACGCTCTATCCAATTGCAAAGTGGCACAATCGTCAGAAAATGAGTTTTGTGGAACCAGAATCATGGACCATGAATTTGGGCACGGGTGTGTACAGTTCGTTTCCTCTGCTATTTACCCCTCGCGCATTCATTAAATGGAAAGATCTAGTCAAATGAATCTGACATACAGAAGGCGGAAAAAAGAGAGGGGAAAAAAACGAAAGAAAAGAAAGAAAGGGTAGCGGAAAATGTGAAAGGGAGCAGACAAAGACGAAGTAAACAGATTTGAAAAATTCAGAATCACTATATAAAAGTCTGGTGTAGTCATCTCTTATCTAGAATGCTTCAAGCTATGTTATGTGTTCATATCTTCCTTACCATTCTTTCTGATCATGCCGCGTTACACGTGCTTATCGACGATGGCCCCTTTGGCATTCAGATCCATTTGCCCGCGCGAGATACAAGTTCATTTAAACCTCCCTAACAACCAATCAATCTTTGTAGCCAGCATCGAGACCGCTGGTCTTCGTACTGGACCATTACGCTACACGCACATATGTCTTTGTAAGTGCTGATTACAATGCTGACTACTCATCCGCCCTGATTGGGCGGAGGTACCGTTGCATCAGACGAAATTATCTCATCATTCCATGCAACGTGGCGACTGCAGGTACCCGGCCTCGGGGCCTTCGTATTTGGCAACGACACGTTTCATCCCTCGGAGATAGGAAAGAGCGTGTGGTTGATTTTTCAGCGGGTGCAGGGCACGATACGGTATATTCCTAGGTAATCTGATGTCGTGATTCGTTCGTCCAGGTGATCCATCTGCGAAGTGCGAGCTGCAGCGGGCAGTCAATGCAGCACTATTTCCGGTTTCAGTGGAGATGGTGGTCAGACAGATGCCTTGGCCGCAGCAGCTGACCGGGTGCTGTACCCTTCTTTGTGTCAAGCCCAACCACGCCTCCATGACCCGTTATCTGACCCGTGAGCGGCAGGTCAAACGTAGCTTGTGTCAACTGCACGCACGACCTGTGGCTTGATTGTACAGTCGTTATTTTTTCTCCTCCTCGACAATGCTGTGGCCGCTGCTTTGGTCGCTGCTCGTCCACTGCCACTCCTCGTGCAGCCGTATGCGCCCGTCCTCAAGCACCTCTGGGGTGCTCCTGCACCGCCCCGTCATGAGCTCGCCCGCGACATTGACATGCTGGTAGCGCGCATCCAGGGTGTGCTTGCCGCTGTGGGTGTCGACGCCCCCTTGCACGGTGGCGATAAGGAAGCCCCTGGCGATGCTGCCGCCGCTGTACTCAGCCCAGACAATGTTGCCGTCCTGGTGGTAGTGGAAGACGGTCGCGGAGGAGACCTCGCCGTTGTCTGTGTTGGAGGCCGAGCGGAATGTCTTGCCGTTGTAGGAGAGCTGGGGAGCAGCCATTGTTGGACCCGCGGATGCTGAGATGAAATGTTGTGTTTGTCCTTGCGGCGGCTTTCGAGAATGGGGTGATGCTATTGCTTCAATACACTTCCCTACTTGGACACACACAGTTGTGTCATGATATTAATTGTCCCCTCCAGCTCCCTTCGCTGGGCTCGGCCGCCGATGCCGGAGCGCTGTGATGCAGTATTAGAGCCGCAAAGTCACCATCAGCTCGGCAACATGCGGAAAGGCGCGGCAGCCGGCTGAAGTTGTGGGGTGTGCGGGACGGCTCGTCCTGTTCAGCCACGCTACCAGGTACCCTAGTTAGACTGAGCCTCTCACGTCACGAGGTAACAGAAAGGGCATGCACAGTGCGGCACTCATCGGACGCCAGAGCCGGCCGGGGCAGGGCTCGCTGCGTGAGGCTGACGTGCAGTCTCTTAATGATCAGGCCACGGCCCACGGAACCGGGGCCCGTCATTGCTGAGGGCCATCCCGCGCAGCCGACATGTTCGACAGTATTGGGGCTTGAGCATGGCCAAAAGAGGAAGACAATTAAATTCCGAATGTCGACAGGCCAACATGGAAGTCATCGCCAGGGCTTGCTCCGCCGCACGTGTCAGCACTTAATACCGTAATGATCCTTGCCGCCCGGCCGCCCCTGGAGCCCCGAGAAGGGCTCCCCATCTTTCGTGCCTCGACAGCCGTTGTGATTGCTCGAGCCGCCGTGGCAACTGCTGACCAACTCACCCCTGTCGACCTCGCTCCACGGTCGAAGGAGAACACACCCTGCAAGTCCACCACTGGAACCCAGGAGCTATCCTTCTGATAGCGCAGTGCTTGGGCGTGCAACGCAGACAGCCATGTCTTCACGTCATCGCCCGACCCAGGACCCCCACAAGCGCATGCACGCAATACTATTCATAGCCTTGCCGCCGGCGCTAGCACTGACGCTTCGGCTCGCTTGCCGTTCCGCGTAGCAATACTAATATCCATAGGGCTGCCGTCCCTCCTGATCGTTGGGCTTGAGGCTCGTTCCACTACTCTTGCTCTTTGGCAACCCCCCATCATCTAAGGCTTCGCGGCACAAGAGAGCCCCGAGGAGCACTGATCAGATATGGCGTTCACGCAGACGTGCCTTGCACTCCTGGTGCTGGTTATCGGCGTGGCTCAAGCAACACCAACCACCAACTTTGACAAGTTTTTCCCATTCTGGGACCCGTGAGTGCAAGCTGGCGTCTCGCCACAGACACGCGCCATCGTCCAGGCTGGGCTCGACTGACAAACATGCCAGAATGCTCCAAGAGATACTCCGGGAGAACTGCTCATCCGAGTACGCCACTTACAAGACAGGCGAGCGGGAGCCCGGGTCTCCGCTGTCCGGTCTCATCACGCCCGTCATCAACTGCATCCTCGAAACGCTGCCCGAGTTCAAAAGGCCGAACTCGGCGCCAGCGCCGTCATCCTTGGTCTGCTCCCGACTATCCTCCAGACTTTGGGCAGCACACCGGCCGAGACAGCCCTGCTCGGCCTGCGGCGCCCCATTCTCGCCACCCTCCTCGCCCTGGGGAGCCCGTCCGTGGCGATAATGCGGACGAGCGACTTCATGACGACCATTAGCGAGCTCGTGGAGAAGGGCGACACGCGGCCGACAACGATCCGGGCGTCGCGGTGGCGCTACGTCACGAGCAGGTGGCGCATGGCCATGAGCGTGGCCGAGTACCTCGTCACCATGTTGGCCGTGGCCACCGTCGTCTACCTCGCGTACCAGCTCGGCTTCAACGCGGTCGTCATGCTCGCCCCCGGGACCATCTTCCTGCTGCCCCTGTGGACGTTCATCTGCATTATCATCCACCTCGGCGGCGTGCTCATCTTGTACCTCAAGCTGCACATCGACCACAAGACACCGTGCGCTCAGCAGCAGAAGCACGACTTCCGACCAGCACACCCGCTGCGCAACCACGACTCCTCCAGGAGCGACGACAGCTTACAGCAGCAGGTCCAGCAACAACAGCACTACTCGACGGCAGCCTCGGAGCCCTCCAAGGTCGGCATCCTGCGCAGGCGTACGACAACCCTGAGCCAGGAGTTCACGCCCGCGGCCTTCCAGGAGCCCACGCGGCTGCGGTGGCGCCGGGAGACCATCCTCGTCAACTTCCTCATCTGGCTCCTGTCCATCGGCACGCTGGTGAACCTGGTGCTGGGCAGCATGATCTTCTCGTCGCTGCTCTTCTTCAGCGTCAGGGATGTGCTGCTGATTGTCGGGCGGTACTTTGTCAGCACACTGATCTGCAGGGCAATCGTGCGGATCGAGCTGTCGGGGATGAAGGAGTGTACGTACTACGAGCCGATGGACGATGAGGACGACGACGACGACGAGCACCGGGTGATGAGGAACAGCGGTGCTGCGTTTGAGACGATCCCGCTGAAGAATGTGCAGCACCCATATGGGCGCGAGGTCAGTGGTTGAGTACCTTGGTGCGATGGCGTCGGCTAGAGAGCACTGGGTGACGTATCAGCTCTATCGTAGTGACGAGGCAGCCACTATAGATGCTTTCGCGCTCGAATCTCCCTTCCCAACATCTCAGAGATGATTGATCTTAATAAAGTAATGCGAATGTACAAGAGGACGGCATAACGTAATCCACAAGTGAGCGGGCCACACAAGTGAGCGGGCCACATTCCTACTATATTCGTGCAGGCTATCTTCTTTCCCCCTTTTCTCCACTAATAATTATGGTACGACCATCAATTGAAGGCGATTTGATTCTAGCGCTTCAGGCGCTCCAGTCTGACCCAGAATTAACTGTACGAAAGGCTGCACAGCTGTACAATGTACCTCGTACGACCCTCTAACGAAGACGAGCCGGCCGACCTGCGAAACGCGATATACGACCACCCTGCCAGAATTTAACCTCGTACGAAGAGGATAGCATCGTACGATATTGTCCAGGGGGCGGATGAGGGTTCTCCTGATCGGGGACAAAACAACCACCACGACCGAAGGGAGTTCACCGCTTGCCAGTTTCGGCGGTGTTTCCGGCGAGGTTCACTCTGGCCCTGGGCCAGAGTGAGGGCATTCCCAGATAAGGGGCCAAAGCAGATTTTCGACGGGGGAGCCAGCCACATCAACAACGCCCTGTTGATGCGACACTTGTGAGGGAATCTCTGATCATGGCATTGTCAGTCAATTGCGTACAAGAACGGGTGCAGAAGCGTAGGAATTCAATGGGGTGGAAAAAATCAAGTCGGATTGTGAAGCTGAGTGATGAAAAAAAATGTCTGGCTCCATACTATGAAAAACGTCACGGTGGCTTCAAGCCTTAAGTAGTACTGTACAAATATGCCCCTGATCAGTCTATCCCGCACTGCCCTGACACAATATATAATCGACCTAGATTCGCGATCGTTTCCACCGCGGTTAGGTGGTGTTCGAGAAATAGCGGATCGACTCCTCCGCGTACGCGACGCGCTACGCGTCGGAACGAACTAGGCCTTAAACTTCGTACGACGACAACCTGAGCTCCGTACGCGTTTTAATCGAAGAATCGACTACTAGAGGGTCCTCTACGAGGATCCGGACGCGTATCGCGTGTGGTTTAAGCTCGTACGAAATATAATCGCGAAATACGGGATCCATAATAACGATATCTACAACTTTAACGAAACGGGCTTCGCGATAGGTAAGATCTCCGCCGAAACTATCGTTATAACCTCCGATCGACGCGGGAGGCTAAGAGCCGTAAAACAAGGCAATTAGGAATGGGTTATAGTAATCTAGGGTATCGTATCGTATAGCTATTCCATCCTACTATATATTATCTTCGTAGGGAAGGTCCACCTCGACTCCTAGACCGCGAATAGCCCTCTACCGGCCAACTAGGTAATCGCGCTTTCAGACAATGGCTAGATAACGAACGAGAGAGGTCTAGAATAGGTAAAACACTTCGATTTCCATACGAAGAGTCGTACGAAGGGTACCCACCGCCTCCTTATCCTCGATAGCTATGAGAGCCACCATTCTATCGATTCCGAGCTCTACTATAAGGAACAGAACATTGTAACGCTCTATATGCCTGCTCATTCGTCATATAAGCTCCAGCCTCTTAACGTTAGGTGCTTTGGACCTCTAAAACGGGCGTACGGTAAAGAAATCGAGGGTCCTATATAGGCGTACGTAACCTACGTTTTAAAGGAGGACTTCCTCCCAGCCTTTTATAAGGCGTACGACGCTGTAATGATAAAATCAAACATCTAGGCAGGCTTTAGAGCGATAGGCCTAGTACCGTACGACGAGAATTATGTGATTTCGCAGCTAGATATGAAGTTTCATACGCCGACACCGCTAGGTTCCTCTACTGGACTACTACCCCTATAGGTTTCAAAGACGCTGAACAACCTAATTGAAACCGAATCGTAGACGAAGTATATTGAAAATCGCATCGTACGACACTAGAATAGCTCTCCGTCGTCCATTGTTGAGAGCCTACAGCAGCTAAGAAAAGGAGTTACAATAATGGTGCACAAGTAGACCCTTATGCGCTAAGACCTCGCCGAACTTCGAGATGCAAACGACCGCCTTAGCCGCCGTTGTCGTACGAAAAGAAAGCAGCTACAGAAAGGAGGGTCCCTTACGATTAATCAGGTAAAGGATTTGAAGGCTCAAATCGATGCGACGTAGTAGTTAATGGCGGAAACGAGTCAGAATAGTGGTCGTACGAGGAGGCCCGAAACGCGCGCGCGACGATGTGGCGTCTGCGGCGAGCCCGGGCATAATGCTCGTACGTGTTAGAAAGTTGTATCTGCCTCTGAAGAAGAGGATTCTGAATAGTTTCAATTAATTTAAGGCGTTATGGTTGAATTGTCTTATACATTATCGTACGAGTACCTGGAGGGTGGCCCGCTTACTTGTGTGGCCCGCTTGCTTATGGATTACGTTATAAAACCTCTGTTTTGAATTATAATACTCCTTGTATAGGTCTCCGAAGTTTCTTAAATGTTAGTATAGAGCGCTCGATTCTCACTAAGTCCCACGCCTGTTTCAATATGTTAAGGGCAAAGGTTAGAAAGATTAGTAACAAACAAACCCCTTAGTTCTCACTACGTTCAAACACGGGGTATACGCCAACGTGTTGCTTAGTATAATAAAGACGTCCTCGGTTGCTCCTGATAGTTGGCTAGCTGCCTACTACTATCTCATTTTCGAACTCTATAGTCTCAATCTCCACCAAGCAACGATTCCTCCCTAAATAATGCTCATAACCGCACGGGATGAAAAGTCGCTTTTGCCCTTGCTGTACTTAGGTACCGGCACCGTGGACGCAGTGCTGCGATCCGTGGACTTGAAGGAAACTGCAAAGACCTCTCAGTATAAAACATACAACGCGGAAAGGGAAAGGGATCTTCTGCGCGCCCCCTGAGCAGATGCTGCATGCTGCGGCAGAATCAAGGTCACCGGATATGGAGAAAGTCGCATTTGGACGACAGGGCCTGGCTTTGGCTTATTCTCGGATAATTTGCAACTGAACATAGCGGGGTTGCCACCAATCTGCGCTAACAAGTCATCTTACGGGGAAATACGACCTACTGTCTTGGGTACATTTGTATGCATCACAGCGGGATGGTCTAGGTCAGGGTAATTCAAATTCATTTATATGATATTTACCATGTCAACTACCCATGATTATGCATATACGAGTTCTAGCCTGGCCGAACCTCAATCCTCTACCCACCCCTACACTAGTCTCCTACATGGTCCAATTAATGTTTATCATGTCTACCATGATGATGCCGAGCGTGGTGCGCAAGATGCTGGCGATGATGAGCACCAGCATGGGAAGCACCTAGATCAAGCCTCGCGCTCCCGACAGGCTGCCTCTCGCTTGACCCCTGAGCATGTAGCTGTTGCTCCTGCACCTGCTCGGCGGTCAGTTTCGGAGGCCGGTCGATTGCGACAGTGTCGTTGAACGTACACATGCTGCAAAAGTCTGGAGGTCGCTGGTCCAGGACGGTACCATTGGCAAAGATGACGCCCGTGAAGACGCTTTGGACACCGCTTCCCGTTGCCACGACGGGGACTCCTGCCGAAGCTGGGCTGTTGCCGTCATCGTCAAATGAAGAGATGCTTGATGTAGTGGAGTCGCCAACAAGAGGGTTGCGCTTCTTGCTGAGGGCGCAGTTCTCGCTCACCATGTACAAGTTCAGACCGATGCACAGTGTCTGGAGCATGGGGTTATAGCCCCCTTCACTGAGGTCGGACGTGTGGAAAAGGCCCAGGGCGTCGACCTGAATGACCGTGGGGAAGTGCTGAGGGGTGATGCCGCTCATGCCCACGTGGTACAGGGACGGGTTGGTCTCCTGGTTGGCGAAACCCTGTATGCTCCTCGCCAACGACAGCTCGGTAGGGAACTTGGTCGTGTGCCACTGCAGAATGAAGTAGTCATCCTTGATGGTACCGTCGGCGGCCGTCCAGTCGGAGCCGTTGCGCGGCTTATTCTGGAGCGCGCTGAGCTGGAAGGCCGCGATCGCCTCCGTAGTCGGCTTGTTGGGCCACGTGTCGTCCCGGCGGAAGTTCTCGGACGAGTAGATACCCGACGACGGGCGCTTCTTTTCCAGTCCACTGCCGACAGCCCCGGCGTCGAGGACGAGCAGGACGCAGCCCCGGCCGCTGTTGCTGGTCATGTAGCTGCCCATGGTGATGGTGTCAATCCAGACGCCGCCCGTCGCGAGATCCTTCAGGGGCAGGTCTGGACACCGGTTATTGATGCCCTCGAGCTTCGTGAGGAAGCGCCGCTGCGTGTCGGCGCTCCAGCCAAAGTTGTAGTTTGCTATCTGCAGATTCCTCATGCCCTTGATGAACCACACGATGACCTCGCCCGGGAAGTCGGTCGTGAAGCGGTTCACGCCCGCAATGAGGTCGTCCAGGCTAGCTCCCGTGGCTCCCACGGGCGATTTCTCCTTGTCGTCATTGATGTGGGCGGACCAGAAGCCATCGCCATTGATCGAGTAGATGCGCATATCAAAGTAGCGGGCACCGACACGCAGCTGGTTGTACAGGTCAAGACTCTGGGTCTCGGTATTAAAGTTAACACCGCCCCCGGTCCAGCCCGAGGCGCTCGTCGAGATGGTGTTCATGCCGGCATCGTGCGAGCCAGGTACCACAACATGGCGCAACTGGCGGTTCTGTATGACACTCTTGATCCTCTGCTGCCATCCGGCGCCATTGAGCTGCAGTGAGTTGTAATAGCCGTACTGCTCGCTGCCCGTGATAACGAGCGCAACGCCCAGACCATTCCCGGGGAAGCCAAGCTCGCGCCAGCCCATGCCCATCTCGCCCAGGTCGAAGATGACCCGGCGCTCGTACTTGTCATCCATATGTGTTGCAATGTGGACGTGGAAGCGCTTGTTGGTGCCTTCGAGACTGTAGTAGTAGTACCCGTTAGTTGTGGTGAAGTCGATACCGGCAAACCACGCGTACGTGACCCTGAACTGCCGGGCTCGGCCAGGGGGAACGTCGGCAAAGTCAGCCTCGACCTGGTAAGGGGTAGGTCCGCCCTGCTTCACCAGTCGGTGCGGAGTCAGATTGACGATTGTGACGAAGTTGTAGACGTCCTCGCCCTCCTTGTTCTTAAGGGTGGAGCCGTCGTTAGAGAAGGAAGCAATGGTGCCCACAGGCACGTTCTCAGTACTGTAGGAGTTGTCGGACAAGCGGCAGTCGTTCTTCTCGGCGAAGCGCTCCGGTTCTAGGTGACCGAAGGATGGCGCCTGGAAAAGGGAGATATGGGACCACTTAGGATGCTTCGAGACAGCAAAGTTGTCCGAGGCGAGTACAATAGGGCCATTGTCACGGGTGGCAAACATATGCTTGGCCCCGATGGTGATGAGCTGCTCGATGCGGACGTTGTCGCCGTTGTTGGCCCCGATGAGCCATAGGTTCTTCTGGCAGGTCTGCGACGAGATGCAGTCTTGCGTATACGTGCTGAACCATGAATACGTACCCGCTGTGCTAATGTGAATGCTCTGTGATCGTCGCATCACCACTGCGTAGGAAGCGTCACATCCGTCCGCCGGGCCGCCCTGGCAGTCGTAGAACGGATCACTCTTGGAGGCGATGCCCACCGTGGCGGCGAAGGGCGCCGGCGGCTTAGGAGTCGGCTGGTAGTAGGGCGTCTCGGTCTGCAGCATTGTGCTGAAGACGTTCATGGCTCCTTCGAAATTGTACTGATACATGACGCTATGCTCTGAAGCTGTACCGTACAGCCAAGTTGCCTTCTGACTCTCGATAAGCATACCACGCGCGCAGTAGACGGTGATCTGGTCCATATTGTTGAGAGGGTCATCGAGCTTGGGATCGTCAATCTGGTGGTCTCCCACCCATAGCCACACGTTGTCGAAATAGCCCGAGGCACGGCGGGTGACGTGCAACATCATGCTGGCGACCTGGCAAGATGCTGGGTTAAGCCCAGAGCGGATCGGTGGGCACTCCGCCGGCGTCAGCTGCGTCCCGACGGCACCCCCGAGCCGGACATGGACGTCCCAGAGCCCGGCCGACCCAGGGAAGTCGGCTGCAATGTTCCACTCCATCACCACCAGCCCCGGCGTCGGGCCTCGACTCGTCAGGATCAGGTCCTGCAGCTCCACGCTCCCCACGTCGCCCTCGGAGCCTACTTTGAGCATAGGTACCGGCTTCATCGCGTCCCCAAATTTGGCTCCAGTAGCTACAAGCTGCGACCAAGTCTCGCCGACGACTTTAGCACCGGGCGGAATAAGGACCGTATCCTTGATGATGTAGCTTCCGGCATCTACGTAGATGACCTTGCTGCCATCGCCATAGCGGGAGAAGGCAGCCTGTATCGCCGCCGTGTCGTCGGTACTGCCGTCACCACGGGCGCCGAGGTCCTTGAGGTGTACAAAATCACCTGGTGCTCTATCTTGGTACTGTGGTCTTGCCCGCTCTAGATACGGTGCGACTGCCAAGCCTGATCGCGCAGGACCTAACAGTGAGGGTTCGCGGGTGTAATACTGCGCTCGTCGGGACCACGTGCGCACGCCCTTGAAGTAGGTGGATCCAATGACATACTGGACCAAAAATGGGGAACGTAAGCTTGCCGTAAAGCTGTTGATGAGAGAAACGAGAAAATGACAGGAGGGAGGCCTTGCTTACCGTGTGGTAGTATCCGGGTGCCAGGATGATATACCCGGTGCCACGCTCTTTGATACCCCCGTCGAGTTGGACATTATCAAGCGTAAGCCCGTATATCCTTTATCCATACTATCCGAAGGCATAACCATTTCTATCCCAGCCTTGCTAATACCCGTGAGGATCGAGTCGATAATACTGACAGAACCAGGGAGGGAAGCATCGCCGTCATTGTACAGCCTGAAGCCCGTTCCGACATTATTCATAGAGACGCTCTTCCAGGACCAGCCCCAGTCCCAAATAAGCTGTACGCCGGTACTGCAGCCGTTGAAGGTCATTCGAGAGGCACTGAATTGTTGCGCACCACCGTCTGTGTGAAAACAGACTCATTAGCTGTTGCCGTGTACTTCACTGCGTGCTGGGATGCGTTTGCATGATAGAGGTGGACGGTGCAGACTTACAAATGCCAAAGTTGCCACCTATGAACGTCATGTCCGACATAACACCGCCGCTGCCATTTTCTGCGTAGATACCTTGATGGGTCTGGTCGAGTCCAATTGCGCATGCATTAGAACACCTAGGCACGGACCGGACCGGAGTGAGAGGAAATGAAATTACGTACGGTCCCAGGCTTCATGACAATAGTGACCTGCGAGATATCAGTAGCCTGTGCCATCTGATAATGCAGAGCTGCAACATATGCGGTCGGATCGGTCGCCGTGATGTCGATCTTGATGTTGCGGATCTGACCATAGAACCTGGCGGTGTTGATATACCACTCGAGGGCATTGCCATCGGGACCGACACCACCGTTCTCGACGTACACATCGGTAGACAACACTCCCAAACCGATGTAGCTAGCCGAAGCGACGATTGTGGGCGGGTCGTTGGCGTCACCAATGATCTGCGTGCCGAAGAGGACACTGATGGATTTGGAGACCAGGTACCGACCAGGGGGAAAGTACACGATAGCGTTCTTGACGGTCGAGCCGTTGCAATTTGCTCCACATCGCTTGCCATCGTCTATGGCTTTTTGGATGGCGGCTGTTGAGTCCTGGGAAGGGAGTTGCGGGTTAGCAGAATGTTGATGAGTGGAAAATGGCGAAGGACGAATGTGCTCAGATTGTTCGGACTCACCTTGCTACCTGTCGGGTCCGCACCATAGTCAATCACATTGCGGTAAGTCTACAATGGAAATCTTTGTCAGCAAGCTGCATATTACCTCCAAAAAGGAAAGAGACGGTAGAACAAGAGATTGGAACGAACCTTGTATGAAGCATCCGGTCCCCACGGGACGCTACCGAGGTGTTTGAGGCCCTGCATCCACCAAGTCGTAGCCCTCTTCTGGAGCGTGACAGGTTCGGCCTCGAGCTCGGCCAAGAGTGCCGCAGCTCGAGACATCTCGTCGGTGGGGACGAGAACGGGAAAACCCTCGGTAGCGGACTCAGCTGCTTGTCTTTTGCGGGACTCAGCGTCCTGCGAGTACCGGCCTCGGTTGCGAGCCGGATTCTCGAAGCGGGCCTTGTTCAGCACCCTCATCTTGGCGATGGCATCCTGAACGATCTTGCGCGCTGCGTCAACCTCGCTGCTGGTTGTGTTGCCGGCGGCAGTCAAAGTTCCAAGAGCGGATGTCTCATTTTGGCTGCCCGTACTGCTAGTGCTCTTGCTACCGCCTAGAAGCAACGGGGGTGCTGAGATAGCATCATGAGGAGACGGTGATGCAAGGCCCGATCCGGCAAGGCCCAGCATGGACCATACCACGAAAGGGGAGGTCCGCATGGATGCGGTGTTCTTTCACTCCGAAATAATAAATTGGGGTGATGTCTCTTCCCTGGCGTGCCTAAAGGAGTGGAAGACTCAGAACGAGTTTCAGAGAGGGTAAGGGGAGTGATTGAGAGAGCCGAACCTGAGGGATGAACATTCTCAAAAGTCAAAGGTGGCTTTTTTATACATGTACTGATTACCATTACCATCTTTATCCGACAATGGCCGAACGTGCAGAAAAGCCATCGAACACATTGGGCATGTCGTGTAGCCAGCAACGCAAGGTGCCAAGGACCAACAGCTCTATTCGGTTCTATGGAGACAAGGTAAAGCCGGTTGTCCAAGGACCCTGATGGGTGTGGATCCCGTCTTTCTCCAGTCTGACTGAGTTTCTATTTTTCACATGTTGACATATTGTTGGTTCTGGGACCTGCATACATTAATGGAGCTGTAAGATTCCGACAACACAAGGAGCCCCGGGATGATTTGAATGCGAGAAGGGACTCATGTGGCAACTCAAGCCTTTTTCGACGATGCGCACGGCATGTGCCATCTGCGGCAGAACCCTGCGTGCGTGCCCTGCTGTCCCAGACTTGGGGTGTGCCCTACGTCTGCGGGGGTTCCAACATTTGCCATATGCTTTGCTGATCAAGTCACATCACCAAGATATGCAGGGCAGGCGGTTGTTGGGTAGCCGCCTCTGCCTGGGGGTTGAATATCCTTGCAACCATGATCCGGCCAGGCGCGGATTGGTGCCGGGAAAGGTGCCGGGGCTTTCCTCAACGGCCGAGCGGTCCGCGGCCCAGACCTTTAATAAGTGGGAACCTGCATTGAACATGCTGATCAATGAGCTGGCAAGTTCGCCTCCACATTCGATGGGGATAGCAGTGGGCTAAGCACTGTTGCTAAGCTCCCTGGTCTGGGCGGTCGAGACCCGAGAGAGCGACAAGGATCTGAACCAACAGCCAGCCGGGGTTGGCTCGGATATTCGATTTTCTAGGGGTAGGCAAGCAGAACCCCATTTACTCCGCTTTTATCAAGGTCAGGTGTAAAGCAGGGGACAAACCAACACCTCTGGGAGGGAGGGAGACCAGGGGCTATCCTGTGGCTCTTCCCGGACTCAATGGCAGAGCACAAGGCTGCAACGCTGAGCGCGCAAAAACGCTAGCCAACATAATTCCCAATGTCACACTTTTCGCCATTGCCCATGCCCCTTCCCCTGATTATCGCCCCCCGTCCCCCAAACCAGGGCAAATTGGCCCAAAAACTAGCAGGAGCACGTGGTCAGGTGCTGCCGGCAAAGCGACACTCTATACTTCCAACATGGCGGACCTGCTGGCATATGTCTGCGCATTTACAGCTTCGCTTGGTCGGTCAGACAGTCTTGTGACACCATCCCATTGCCAGAATGCATCCGTACAAGCACGCGCAGCGATCCGGCAGCATGGCAGCCATCGGCTCTAGCTCGAGCCCAGACGCCGCCATCTCTTCGTTGGGTTCCCTCGCAGCGTCGCCGGCGTCCTCCCCAATAGAGTTTCCGACAACTTCTACCACAACTGCCCCGACGGGCAGCCATTCGTCTTCCATGATGGTACGCGCGATGACGACGCCCTACGTCAAGCCTTCTGCGTGTGCCAGTCGTTTCATCACCACCAGCTTCATGCACACCCTGTCCGAGGGCAATAATGCCTGGGCAAGCACGCAGGTGACACTTTACCTGTCTGATTCTAGCGGGATATGCCAGGGCGATGGTGAAGTCTACAGTCCCGCTGTGTGTCCCAGCGGTTGGACGGCGTGGTGGTTGGGCCCGCGGATAGCGATCAGCAGCAGCGCTCCCGGAAATTCTTTTGGGGGCTTTTGCTGCGCAGGGTAAGTTTATATATACGTGTTTATGAATCGTGTGGGACGGCGTTGAAAGCTCACCACAAGCTCACTCATATTGTCATATGCTAATGTTTCCACGCGGGCCGTCCCTCGCACTGCCTTGCGGATACAGAGGGTTCGCACCAGACTACACCCATTCATATCACACCGACGACAGTGTCTTCAACGCTTTCGCCTGCGCGTCAGGCGGCCAGGGCACGGCGCGAGTAACCGCCACTAGGCCCGAGGCGAACGAGACGACTCTCGCTACCTACACCTTCACCGGCTTCGACCAGGTTTACATCCACCAGGCATGGGATATCCGCTGGCAAGAGTCGGACATTTCCATGCTCACTCCACCCCCTCCCCCACTGGGTCTCTGCACCACCACAGCCTTGAGGAGCTGGGCCCCGGGTCTCCCCACAGACGCCGCACTCGCTGCCATGGGCATCTGCGAGCAGCCGACTGATAGCTGGGGCGGCGGTTCGGCTGGAGTTTCGAGCTTTTTATACTTCGTTATCATCTTCCCAATCTGCATGTTCTTATTGGTCGCCGGGTGCTGCACATGGGGCTTGTTTCGGTATTCGAGGAGGAAGAGAGCAAGGGCAGAAGCCCGAATCATGGCGGAACAGAATGTTTCATTACCGCATGACGCGCAGCAACACAATGATACAATGGAACTGATGCAAAAGTCGAGCAAACAATAGGAGGCGAAGATGGCTCTGGGCTGGATAACAGACAGAGGAGGTTTCCCGACAGGGCGAAGGAGTGGCATTGGATACCCACAGGACAAAAGAGATGGAACGCACTCACATTAGCGCGATTATACAGAATGCACTGCTCTGAATGCTGGGGGCTTCACGACTCTCCCCTGCGTGTTTGTGACATGTTTTTGATTAATCATGTGAGTACCACAGACTCAAGGGTTGAAATGCTTCACAACTACAAACTCCGGATCTGCCCACAGCTCTCCGACCTGAACGCTGCCCCTACTAAACATCACTGACCGAGTCCCTTGATGTAGAGCGCGACTGAACTAGCCTGATTCGCGAGCAGTACGCTAGACAAGCATCGGTGTGTTTCCCAGTCATAAGTGATTGGCGATCTTGCCTGGTTGGGAAAGACCTGTTGGCAATCACGACCATCTTGGCATTGCATTGTCTTCAGCTTGGATCCGCGCGTGCTTTGGCATTACTTGAACCGCTATGTACTATATAAGTCTTCAGGCTCCAGCTGCCCCATTACATACCTAGACAGACATGATGGTGGTCATTCGCAGTCTGATCGTTCACCGGGCGCAGACTCGGGCCTGACGGCTCTGGGGAAGAGAGATAGCAGCGGGAAAGTTCGAAGATCATCACGGCATAGCTTCCATCCATGCTCCAAGGCGGCTTGAGACACATGATACCTTTTGCCTAAACGACGGATGTACTTATTTGAGCATAAGCTCTCTGCGACTGATGTACAGCTTCACAGGACTCGCACAAGCATGCGAGAGCTCGCACGACGAAAACAAGGAAATAGACGACGAATGGGTTGAGATCCTCTCTATAATATTGCAAAAGTCCTGGCAACGCCAACTCGAAATCTCATGAGGAACATGTCAAGGATAAAGTGGGTGGTATAGGCAGCCCAACTCCCAAGAAAGCACACATAGACTTTCTTTCTCAATTTGATAGATAACAAGAATTTGTTAGTGCTAGAATTACTCATTAACGGACCGCGGCCATCTACAGCCCTGTCTCTTATCATTCAACCGCATCTGAGGACACTAAAAGAAGATGGCGAGTGAGAGACCAAGGCAGCTGCACAAAATTGCGCTGGTGCCAGCGACGGAAGCGCAGAGGAGGACCAGGGATCCGCCGGGGGTTGCGCCTCCCACAGCACCAGGAAGGGCATACAAAGGGGGCCCATGGCGGGAAATGATTGAACCTGGGATGGGCAATGCCCTAATCTAACCATCGGATGAGGGTAAGTAGATCAGATCAAGCCTACGCAAGCCCAGGTGTTCGCCCACATGCCTGTACAGCCCGACCCGACAGCGGGGTTCCACTTGACGAAGTTGGCGACCGTGATGCCCTTGCTCGCGGCAATGGTCGCGCACGTGTCGCCCGAGCGCACCTGATAGAACAACTTGCAGTTGGTCACCATGCCGGTCTGGATAGGGGTCGGCGTCGCGACGCCGTTGCCCGCGGGCCTGGTCGTGGTCGGCTGGGGAGGGTTGATGGTGATGGAGGGGCCAACAGTGTTGCCAATGCAAACATAGTAGCTCGACCAAAGGTTTGTGCAGGCCGAACCAATAGCCGGGTTCCAGATATAAAAGTTAGGACCATAGATCCCAGCAGCGGCAATGATAGCATTACAGGTATCGCCATTCCGGACGAGATAGAAGCGGCGGCAGTTAGTCGTCATACCTGACTGTACCGGCTGAGGTGTAGCCACACCGTTGCCAGCTGAAGTCGTGGTTGTGGCCGCTGGGGGGTTGATGGTGATTGATGGGCCAATCGTGTTACCAATACAGACATAATACTTGGACCAGAGGCCCGAGCAGTTCTCTTGGACAGCAGGGTTCCATATGTGGAATTTTGGCCCGTAGATCCCAGCAGCTTTAATAATGGCGTCGCAGGTGTCGCCGCTCTGGACAAAGTAGAAGCGGCGGCAGTTGCTCGTGATGCCGGACTGGACCGGCTGGGGGGTGACGACTCCATTACCAGCAGACGTTGTCGTTGTGGAAGCCGGGGGCTGGAGCGTGATGGACGGGCCAACAGTGTCCCCGATACAGACCCAGGTATCACTCCAAAGTCCAGTGCAGTCACTGTTGACGGCAGGGTTCCAGGCGTAGAAGATTGGCCCGTTGATTCCCGCAGCAGCAACGATTGCGGCACAAGTATCGCCCTTCTGGGTCAAGTAAAAGCGTCGGCAGTTGTTCGTCATGCCTGGCATGGTGGGAAGTGGCGTTGCAACCCCATTGCCAGTTGTTGTTGGGGCCGGCGGCTGCGTCGTGGTCGAAGGTGGTGTGGTGACTGTGGCTCCAGGAGGCTTGGAAGGCGTCGGAGGGGCAGGCTCGTCGGCAGCTATAGTGCTGCTGTCAGTGGTGATGTCTCGTGCGCGCAGGACTTGGAATCAAGACTCACCCTCGACACAGTACGAGTGCTGCTGGAGCAGATTGGTGCAGCCGGCATTAACGGATGGGTTCTAAAACTCCCGTTTAGCAATCATGATCATTACTGCGTACTGATTATGTTCGCATACCCAGCGGAGGAAAGCCTCGAGAGAGATGGCGAAAGAAGTCAGGATGAAGTCGCAGGTTTCACCTGTGGACATGTCGTGGTACCAGGAGCAGTACTTGCTTGTGTTGGGGTCAACTTCGTAAGCCTGCCGCGATGCCACCAGGCCGGCCTGGCTGACTGGCAAGGCAGCCGCCGCAAGGTATAGTAAGGAGTGACGCATTGTAGATGCTAGATGGGCAAAAGAGTGTGTGTGAGTAAACGAGTGGCAGATGCAGCAACGACGACAGCACAAGACAATGGTGACTTGGCTCCTTCGGAGAGTGTGCTGTAGCAGTCAAGTAGTCTTTCCAGGCGGAGATGCTTCGAGCTTTAGTCTTACATATATTTATGTAATGCTGTTGGAGTTGCACTCGAAGACATGGGCTGGGCCCCTCTCAGTGGTCCTGTAGCTATCGGCGTGTTGCCGCATACACAACTTCCAACAAAGAACCCCGCCGTTTCCTTCATGCCTAAGTGCCCCACCGAACCAATTTCGCGTCGGCTCCAGTGTGGAATGTCATTTCTCGTTCACAGATCATGCTGTGCACTGCCTGCAAGGGATTTTGGAAATGCATCTTTTCAGCTGCGGACTTTGTCCGAGGCACATGTGATCTCGTTCGGGAACCGTCAGGCGGAAGCGAAAGAGGAGCGGGGCCTCTCAGGTCAAGCCGGACGAGCGGCAGTTGTTTCCGCGCGCTCCTCATGACTGTGGGCGCCACCTGTCTTCAGAACCACTGCCACCAACCTTTTTCATCGTTGAGATCAGTGGCTGCAGACATAGTGCGGGTCTATGTTTGTGTCCCGCCTTTACCGCGGACGAGCATGGGCATGACATGCAACGTTCTGGCCACTATACCCATGACACGTACAGGTACTTCACAGGGATCTGTGCTGAAAGGTCAGTCTAGATGCGGTCAGCATCGGGTATAGGATCGCGAGTGTAGCAAGGGGTCTCAGGCTAGTCTACTTTGTACCTGCATAATACCCTGCAGGCGGGCTGTTCGAGCGAGCTACGGTCGCCAGATGTAGAAAGTTCCGGAGTCGCCTTGGTGCGGTCAAAATTGGGGGCGATGTGCCAGAATCGTGATATGGGTCGCCGCCTGGGGAAGCCCAGGCCAGGGTTACGTGTTCCACCTAATGCCGAGACAGCTGAAAAAGCAAAAATGCACAATTGACAGTTTCCCGGTCGAGGTTCTGAGACAGCAGGGATCGCCTATCTGCCCCATGCTATACAGTTCAGAGGATTTCCCTTGCGGGCAATGCGCTTGCCAGCGCTGTAAGTGTCTCGCTACGAGGTGTGTCTGGTCACTAGGTGGATCACGTTATCGCAAACACCAACATTGCGACCAGGTCAGGCTCATGACTGTCGGCTGCGGTGACCTGCTTGCATGAATGCACCCATCCTTCACGATGTCTGCTGGTTGGCGCACAATCGTCTGCGAAAAGTGGGCATGAGAACAAAGTCAACAAATTAATGAAGTGCACGCAATAGTTGTCGTCCTTGGATGACATGTTGAGCTTCATAGACCGAATCACACGGCGAAGATTATGACCCGCTGCCCTCGTGCAATGTGGACGGCACAATCCACGCTACCTAGTTTGCAACGAATGTCCTCTAGATATTTTCAGCCTGTCACATCCTGCATCGAGCTACATGACTTGACGCAATACCATCTTGAGCGTTGTCAAAAGCCGTACTTCAAGATAAGATTGGAGCCTTGACCTTTTGACGCAGGAGAATGCCAAGTTTCCCTGGGGTCCAGGGTCCTGTGTCTAGACTCCAGTACCCTGGCTGTTAATCTCTTCAAGGCAACACAACCCGCGGACCGTTGCAGCGCGTGCGGAATCCAACGGCCTGCTTCCTCGTGTTATCATGCTTGTTTATGGTGGGAGGCAGCCCCGGTAGGCCTTAGCAGGCCCGGCCCCCAAACACATGGGGTTGGTCCTTGACGCGACTCTATTGTCGTGTGGAAACCCTTGCATCCGTCAATGAAGCGCCCGCCTGCTGGAGCCAACAACTTCTCAGTGGATCACACCAGTGCATAGACCCTGGACTCTGGCTGTTGCAGCAATCTGACGAGTACCGCCAAGCCTCTAGACAAGGATGTCTTGTATAGCAATTTGCAACTGCATGTGGTATGTTGGTTGACATGGTCGCATGATCTGACACTGCAGGCGAGTCGGCCATGATGCAGGCTGCAACATGATGGTTTCCACTTCCACAGATCCCCAGTCTTGTTGGTTCTTGTTGGTTCCTGCATTGAGGGTGTCCATTCCGTGTTTTGTAAAATCGGAGGAACCCACCCGCGCAAAATCAACGTGGCGGGAGCCAATTCCTCAGGAACTTCGCGGTCTGCAGATTCTGGGCGGTCTGGCTGATAGACGAGATTGTTTGTCGGAACGCGAGGGCAGAAAGTCACCACCTAACTCGCACCAAAATAGCATTGAATGTGCCAGTGTGTTGGTTGGCGGATGCACGGGGCACGGTCTGTCCTCCCGCTGCAGCGGGAAGCGGAGTCTCAAAATTCTCGAGCGTGTGTGGTCGCCATGGAAAACTCCGACTATGACTGTAGCAATGACGGTATGACTGGGTATTCAGATGGTTTTGGAGACATGACTGAGATTGGCTGCAAATCTCACACCGTCGATCTATTGGTCCTTTTCAGAATTTCCGATACCTTCAGCCAACGTTCCTGGACAAGTGGCTCCTGCCTCATAACCTCGGCTACCAGTTCTGTCCGCGTCCATGAAGTGTGGGTTTCTGGGCAGTCAAGGCCCGCAAGCCACTTGATGACCACGAAGAAATCGTCATCCTTCAGCTTTCGCGCGCCCCATCTGTGCACGAGAAAGGAGATGATTGGCAGCACCGTGATACCACGAACCCGAAGAGTGGGCGGCATTAAGAAATCGTGGACGGGTATGCCATCACGGCCCAAGACTACGCCTCGCTCGAGCCAGAACTTGATTCCGTCAACAGGGCCGATCTTCGGTGCAGGGGGGTGCGGATTCCAGTCCTTCACGTACTCGAGGTATACATAGATGGGCATGGGCATAAAGGCCTTATTCTGGCTACCTCCGGACGCAAAGATCATGCCGCGCGCGTTGACAGAGGCACCGCGCTTGAGACACTCGACGACCGCCGTGGGACCGTGCTCCGCCATTCTGGCGGCGGCTGTGAAGATTGGAAAATGTAGGATGCGGTCGCATCTGCGCCAGAAGCGCCTGCCGTGAATACTTGCACCCCGCGCGAGCAGTAGATCCATGGTTTCTATCTTGGTGTTCTTTACAGCAAGCGCAACAGGGCAGGGTTCAAGTCCACCCGTGGCTTGCACGCGTGCCGGATCTGCGCCTCGGGAGAGGAGTGTTTGGACCGTACCGATCGAGGTGTCAGATCGCCTGAGAACTTCACGGAGAAGGATGTCCACGATTGCCTCCCCCATGCAGTGCTGGGTACGAAGTGGGTGCTCAATCATGTGATGAAGGAATCGGAGCCGAGATGGTACGGCCGCTGGTTGAAGCAGACCTCTCGGCACCGACCATCTCCTGTTTCCGTACTTCGACTTGCTCCCGTTGTGTTTCTCGATTTCGTCCGCTGGCGACCAGAATCCCAAGTTCCAGAGCAGCTCGAAGGCTGCGAATCGATCTTCTCGAACTAGGTGACTCAGGTCGATCGCAGGGTTCTGCCATTTGCGCACCACGCCATAGTGCGCGGCCTTGAAAATGACGCTGTCGTGGTTGTGCAACACCGCCCATGTGATTGCACGCCAACTGTGCCAATGAGCGCTAGGCTCAACGATGCGATGATACAACGAAGGCTCGATGCGGTGCTGAAGACGTCTTGAGCAGATGGACAGATTGACAAGGTCGCTCGAGCTCAAAGGCGCCAGGATGGATAGGAGAATCTCCTCCGGTAGTAGGGCAAGTCTTGACTCGGCCATGTTACAAGTCGGGGATGAATCGCGCGTGAGACAGAGAAGTAGCTTTGCATCCTACATGGAGTCATGGACGGGTGGGAGTCATATGCTCCAGCAGCCGCATTGGCGAAGCTGGTCTGTGCACAAAACAATGGACAAGGGCAGGGGACCCTTGATTATTAGTTGGGAGCCATATGATGGTGCAGATCGCTTAGGATAATCATGTGTAAGCAGCATGGGGAGACTTCAAGCCTCAGACAACCGTTGACCTTGCCTCACAGTATTTTCATGGTGGTTGATCGGAGTACACTATCTCAGCTGGGCTATGTGCCGAAACATAAATTGTACCTCGTTGAAAGTTGATGACCCTTCGAGTGTCTATCTTATTTAGTCGTCGAACTTGCAGCCCAACTGTGCGCCACCGTTCTTCCATCGTATAACAACCGCTTCATGTCCCAAGACTGGATGAGTGATTTTGTCTGGCTTGTTTTTGCTTGTAATGACGAACTCCTGCGCATTGTACTTCGTGATAGCTGCTTCGAGTGCCTTGATTGCGTCCTCCTGGTTCTCGTACTTGCCCGACTTGACCGCGGCCTCAATGGTATCCGGGTAATTGAGCACGTTGACTTCGTACACGCCACTGCCATATGGATAAGGCTTCTTAACTTTGATGATTTCCCCATCAAAGAAGTCTTTGAACTCTTGGAGTGGCTTTGACCCGGGGCATGGTTCAACCCGGCATCTGTCTAAGTCGGCTTGCCGAATCTGAACAATCGCGTGCATCGCTGCTGATGCTGTCTCCTTCCATGAGATCAGGAGCTTCTTTTGAGCCTCCTCAGCGGCGGTTTTCGGGACAAAATTGTCAATCCTCTGGTTCAGTTTCGCCTGGATGGCAGGCATACGGTCGATCAGCTGTTCATAACTATGATTGTTGTCCCATGCCACACCGCCCGGCAATGCTCCCGCCAGGGCCTGGGGCTTGACGGTTTTTGTAAGCAGATCCGCCGGACTCTTGGTCTGGATCTTTATCAGCTTTCCATGCGGATTTAACTCAGGAATGGGGTAGATGGGCTGCTGGCCGGGGGGGTTTCGCGCAAGCCAGCGCGCTTTGTCAGCATCCCCTTCAGGTTCCGTGTGGAAGACCTTGATTGCCCTTATAAGTGCATCTTTAATTGAGTCCACCAGCCACTTGATCCGATCACCGACCGGTTTGTCGTCAAGTTCGTTGAGTGCGCCCCAGTCAGGCTTCCGTAGTTGATCGTTGAAAACCACCGCGTGAGCCCAGTTGCGACTGCGGTCTGCGATGGTCACGTCGCCTAGAAGTTCCGGTTTGACAGAAGGTTGGTCCTTGATATGAAGAAGGAATTCGAGGATGTTGCACTTAGCATATCAACTCGCGTCAGTCTTGTTGCCGGTGCTTTCGACACTAACTCAGCAGCGACTTACTCGGTTCTGCTGGCCACGGACACCCGTACGAGAGCCCTGACATCCAGAAGCAACGGTGTATCCATCAGAATCATCAAGTATCTCCTCGGACATGTACACAGACCAGTACAGAGCTCTTTTCCCAAGCTCCATCGTTAGTGTTGTCCTCGAGCTTCGTGGTTGGGATGAACATACCGTTCTGCAGCTCCACGAATTCCGAAACCGGAGGCGAGCTGCACGGATGCGAACAACACGAAAGCGCCAACATAGGAATGCATTCTGCCTTCTTGGGACGTCTTGGACTAGGTCGATATAGAGAAAAGAAGTCAAAGTCCGTGGAGAAGGCATCAACACATTCACTCTTTTATCTGGTCTGGGGGCAGTACTACGCAAACGATGCTTCGGGAAACCCCAACTAACTCTGCCCCTGATCCATGTGCAACAATTGATCTGTTCCGGCAACGATACAGTGAATTTCCGAGAGGGCTGTCTGACCCAGGACTCCGCCGCCGGGCCCACCACAATAAGCGGATTGTGCAGTGTGTAGAGGGTCTGCTTCCAAATTAGCAAAGCAAGGATCAGATGCTCTGGGCTGAGCGCGAAGGAAGTCACTGTACATGAGCCTTGTTGCATCCTATGCTGCCTAATGCTTGCAACCAACAACCATCCTTGTCCAAACTCGAGCAAGGATCACAGTCAGGGTAAATTAGCCCCTGTCGTCCAATGGATCCCCGGTTTTCACGATCCTTGTCGCAACGCGTGCATGCATGTTGCTACAGCTGCCAACATTGTCGAAAGACGAAAGCCGAAGACGATTCCGGTCGGACATGAGCAGACGAACTGGGCCTTTTCTTTTTTGCGCGTGCCCAAGACGACCGCATGTCTGTTAGGCGAGCAGGCATCAGCAACGAAATGGAGCTGGAGTCGGAAATTACTGTGAAAGACGGGTGGGCTTGCGGAAGCCGGGTAGGAGGATTCTTTACCGGTTCGCGAGGAAGATGCGTTACCTGCGGCAAAAATTGTCTCCAAAGTATCAGAACACTGCTTGAAGAGCTGCGTGTGCCAATCCCCGTAGTCTTGCCTGGTGGACAATAAAGCACGTGTGAGCCACAGGTTTCTAGGTACAGAACTCCCTCGCAGCATGCATCCCCTTCTCCATCCGCCCAGCTCTACTGTTCATCTCGATTTCTTCTTTCCTTGTAGAAGCTATGTCACGTCGACGTTTATTAACGGCCTTGCTGTCTTTGAATGCAGTCAGCCCAGCCTTGACGGAGAGTCTGGAGCTCCTGAGCGCAGCGACGGACGACTCTAGCACATTTTATTCTGATCTTCATCCGTGCCCCCGAAGCTGCCAAGGCACAGCCCCGGGGGATTGGGACGTCTTCCCCTCCTTTGGACGACTCAAGCTTTGTCCCGAACCACAATTGTTCGACTTTAACATCCATAGCGACCTGGACAACCCTGATCCCGAGGCTCTCTTCAGATTCCGTGCTTGCACGAGTGGCGATGCAGAGACCGAGGAAAACGCGCTTTTCGAAGCTGTTTGGGATCCGACTGTATCATCAACAGCGGTCAGTCCAGAGGCAAGCAGCCTGCAGCGCCGTCAGACATCGGAGAATGCCGAAAGCCAATGTGTCATTGGCCAGCCTGCTCAGGCACAAGTATCGATCACCACAGAGCATCAAGGGCTTGGGTCCACCAATCCAGTTGCCGATGTCATCTTTGAAAAGCTCAAAAGCTATTTCGAGGATAGCCTTCACTGTCGGCAAACAGTCACATTCGCATATCTGAACGGTACGGTGGTTGGTCTATACACGGGTGCTGAGATTGGCAAACCGTCCTCGATCTCGGCTGTGCTCGATGAGATTGCCCAGCACCCAGCCCTCAATGACGGAGTCACAACCCGAATCACTGCCGAGATTTGCGAAGAGGACAGAAACTCACACCATGTCTTGGGTGTCTTCATTGACACGACTGGGGATGTGCTTGCTGCTCAAAAGGCTCTGCAGCGCTGGGACGACCGAGATTGTCAGTCGCGTCATGGTGGTTCAGTCCCATGGAAATCACCCATCACAATCTTCGAAACACCCTTGGATGCAGTGCTTAGCGAACCAGCACTTGCCAATGGTACGTCATCCGGGCCTGGCAACTCAACTGTGCTCCTGAGCCGCCACAAATTGAGTCCTCGGGCGACATGCAGCACGACCTCCGCGGTCAGCGGGGATCAGTGTAAGCACTTGGCCGCAAGGTGTGGCATCACCATCGCACAATTAGAGTCATTCAATCCCTTCACCGACTTTTGCACGACGCTCAAGGCCGGGCAGCCTGTATGCTGCACTGCTGGTGACCTGCCCGACTTCAAGCGCAAGGCAGACTCTGATGGGTAAATCGTCCCTCCGCCGATGGACAAGCACAAGAACAGGCTAACAAGCATGGGCTCATTCTACAGTACCTGTGCAACGCACCTGGTCCAACAAGGAGACTTTTGCGTCAAGATTGCCCTTGCGAATGGAATCACGCAAACACAGCTGGAGTCCTACAATAAAGGCTCGGATAAGACCTGGGGCTGGACATCGTGCGAGAATCTCCCTGTTGGAATCAACATTGTAAGTAACTTGTCGCACACGAGATGGATCACGGCTCCACATCAAAATCTCTTGATCATGCGCTCCAAGGAGGCCCAAATGTATACATTGCTATGTCTGACCTTGATCTAGTGTGTCTCTGAGGGCAAACCACCTCTCCCAGCACCTGTGTCTAATGCAGTGTGCGGGCCGACCAAGCCTGGGGTTTCGCAACCGCTCGCAGGTCAATCGCTTGCAGACCTGGCTCCATGCCCACTCAACATCTGCTGCAACGTGTGGGGGCAGTGTGGCATGACGCCCGATTTCTGCAAGTTCACAGACTCCAAAATTCCGGCAAATCCTGGTACATCTCCGGGAGGCAACAGCCCGTAAGTTATGGAAACCTCATCCCAAATGGGCCGCCGCTCACTCCCTCACGAAGAAAAAAAATGAAATGACTGACAAATCCACTTCAATGAAACAACACAGGTGCATTTCGAATTGTGGTACCGATATTGTGACGGATGGCTCCGCCCCAGCAGCGTTCGGCAGAGTCGGGTACTACGAGAGCTGGAATTTCGGGCGTTCTTGTCTTCATCTGCGCGCTTCCAATGCCAACGTGGGCGAGAAGTATACTATCATTCACTGGGCTTTCCTGGAGCTCAACAGTGACTACACTGTCAAAATTGCGGATGAGTATGGCCAGTGGGACGAGTTCGTGGCATTGACAAGCGCCAAACGCGTCGTCTCGTTTGGCGGTTGGGCTTTCTCCAACGATCCTCCAACCTACGATGTGCTTCGGCAGGCCATGAGTCCCGCGAACAGGGACACGTTTGCCAACAGCATTGTTCAGTTCCTGGACAAATACAAGCTTGACGGGGTCGACTTCGACTGGGAGTATCCAGGTGTAAGTTTATCATGCCGCCCGGGCTCCTCCATTTCAACGACAGAAACACTCATCAACATCAGATTTCCATAAAAGGAACCAAGACACGTGCTAACTACTCCGCTGCACCGCATTGATAGGCTACTGATATTCCTGGCACGCCCCCAGGCTTAGCCACCGATGGTGCCACCTATCTCCGGTTCCTCCAGCTGATGCGACAGAAGTTACCCCGGACCACCGGCAAAACTCTGTCCATCGCGGCTCCAGCCTCGTACTGGTATCTCAAGCAATTCCCTATCAAGCTCATGGCAGCGTCTCTCGACTACGTCGTGTACATGACATACGATCTACATGGTCAGGTTTTTCCCCGATTCGTGGAGACCCCACAAGTTGAAACTTGCCATTCAAGTAGAGGTTCATGCCGCTTGCGATGACCAAACGCTGACACTTTCCTGTACAGGCCAGTGGGATGCCGGTAACCAGTGGTCAGCAGAAGGCTGTCCTGCTGGAAACTGCTTGCGGAGCCATGTCAACATCACAGAAACTTATCTCGCACTGTCGATGAGTAAGCTAAGTCTTCCGCACAAGATAAAGTCATCTGCTTGAATGCTTACTTGCCTTCTTGAAGTTACCAAGGCCGGAGTCTCGCCGTCCAAGATTTTTGTTGGCGAGTCAAGTTACGGGCGATCTTTCCGTATGGCAACCATGGGCTGCACGGGACCCATGTGTACCTTCACGGGAGATAGGATGGACTCGCAAGCCGCTCCAGGCATGTGCACCGACACCGCAGGCTACATATCTAATGCGGAGATCGAGCATATCCAGAAAACATACTCAAAGGTCCAATCATTCCACGACTCGCCTTCCAATACTGATATCCTTGTCTACGACGGTAAGCTTTGCACAAGTGCAGTTCTTGTATACACCACCTAAAGTTTCTTGGTAGCAAACTTGCTTCTAACATCTATAAACACCTAGACCTGGAATGGGTAGCGTATATGACAGAGACCACAAAGTCGACTCGCAGGAATTTCTGGAAAGGCTTTGGCTTTGCAGGCACGATAGACTGGGCCGTCGACTTGCAGCACTTCAATGGTGATAGTTTGGACGACAGCATCAACGAGTGGGAACTGGACGTCGGAATGCCAGCCAAGTGCGGTGGCTTTTACACGAAACTTGAGGACATTGAGCACAATCTGGGCAACATCCCGATTCATTGTCGCTCGCAGCACATCTTGACGGCCATGCACAGTCTGCTGGAGAACACCGTGTCCGAGTTTGACGAACTTCTGCGCAATGGATACGAGGACAGCTTCAACACGTATGCCGATGTCGTTGTCGAGGGAAGTCGTGGCGCGGTCCAGGACTTCATGTACAAGAACGGCAACAGGTACTTCACATGCCTCATGACCGAGACCGTTGACGACTGTTACCACTGCCACTGGAGGACGGGCGCGGGCACACCCGGCTGCAGATACTGCCAGGACTACGACTGCGGCTGGAGTCTGCTCTGTAACCAGCCCGATGTCCAGTGTTCTGGTCACAAGTGGCGCTTCGTCGACATGAGCCAGCCCTGCCCTCCAGACTACTCGCAGCGCGGATCCGAGGCCCCTAACGGCGGTGAGCACTGGCCGCAGGCGGTGCGCTGGACGCTCCGGGCCTCGCAGAGTAAAGCTTTTTGGAAGGACCTGTACGACGAGGTCGGCGTCGACCAGAAGAACATCAAGTGGGAGACTATCCAGCACTACGGCTGCGCCCCGACAGACGAGGACTGCGGCAAGCGCTACCACGATTACAACTTTCCGGTGCCGGACGGCTTCACGCGCGACGAGGTGCTCGATCCCAAGGACCTGGTATATGAGGCCCGCGGGAAGCTCAACTATCTTGGGCCAGCTCTGTCCAAGGTCTTGCAGACGATCAGTGATGGGCGCTGGGCCGGCGATCTCGACGACCTGGTTGACGCCTTGGTTATTCCCGTGGCCATGATCGAGGACGCGATCAACAATATGAAGCAGATCAAGAAGTTTGCCGAAGACCTGAACGCCCAGAAGCGCAAGATGATCATTTTGGCATTCATTAGTGCCTTGCTTTTCTTCCTGCCCGTCGTCGGCGAGGTCATCGCGACTGTTGGAGCGCTCGCTAACGTCGGCCGGATTCTGTCACTGATAGGTGCCCTGGGCAGTATCGGCAACGACATCTACAGTCTCGTGGATGAGGGTCACCCAGACTTCTTCACTATCTTCGGTCTCGTGCTAGCCCCGCTCGACATTATCGATCTCGTTCGCATGTCGAAAGCTGCTCAGATCCGGCGGGGTATGGATCCCGAGGACATCAAGAAGCTCGGTCCCGGCCCTAAGGCCCGGATCGACCAGATTGACAACATCCGTTACGGCTCATGTCCGATGCCTGGAAAGTCCAGCAAGGTGTTCCCCGTGGGGGGCATGCACGTTAGCGACTTGACTGGGAGAGATCTTGCCATGCCTATTGGGATCGGCTATTGAAGAAGTGTACCCACTTCTGCTCATGGTAGTGTAACAATAGGTTGTAGCAAATGCGCAACGACTTAGCTCCGGATGGAAAAGAGAACACTACGGGCTTAGGGAAGGCACTTTGGTCGATGGGAACAAGTTGATAGTAATTAGCGTTTATTGGCTAATAATAGCGAATCACGAGCGATGATAATTTCAAGTCTCACATCTGTTATTGCCTACTACTAGAAAACTTGGTACTATACTGGCTGTGCACTGCCCTCAGCGTTATCAGGTAAGCTGTCAAGCCCCTGTCGCTTCGTCCGAACTACGCTGACACGCCATTTATCTATTTACTGTCTTGGCATTCGGTCCAGGCCAGGCCAGTCCCACTTACCGTGTGGCCCAAGTTCGCTGTCCCAAGGAGGTGGAACAGCCTGCGGGTGGTCGCCACAGAAGATCGCCGCGCCGCAGCCCCATGCCGCATTCCTCTTTGTCTTCTCTGTTGTCTCACTCGCCTCCTTGGCAGGGTCAGGCACATGGACTTGCACGTTGCTGGCCCAGACGCCACGAAGAGGTCAATGGTCACCAGGAGCTTTTGCGTGACTCGTCATTGCCAACTTGGGGTCTTACTGAATATACCAAAGAACCATAACGTATGATGCTCCGGCAACTGGTCCATCATCCGATGCTTGCTGACATATGTACAAGAGACGACCAGGGTTTCTCTTAAAAAGAAATCAAGTGCTCTCTATGAATCATTTCATCACCTTATGTGGGTATTATCCATGCTAATTCTTATACTTGACTTTGACACTCGTCGTGACCGTTATGGCCTTCGAGTCCTCCTCGTGAAATTGCTCCGGGTCGAGCTCCGAGGCCGACGACGCGCCCGCAACATGTACGGGCACGTTGGCCGGGTTCGCCATCGGCCTTAGCTGCAGCGTGTCGGACTCGTCCGAGTCTACCCGGCCCAGCCGGCCCGGGTACGCGTACACGTTGTCCTGGGCACCACCACTGCCGCGGCCGCGGCCGCGACCACTGAAGAAGGACCCCCGTCCTGAGTCTACGCCGGTGCGGCTCGACCCTTGGCTCTTCTGCGAGCTCGGGTCGGAGAACTTGCCGTAGCCGCTGCGTCGGTTGTTTTGCGGCGTTCCCGCGCTGTTCTGCGCCGTCGTCCCGAAGATATTGGGGAAGAAGTGGATGAGGATGAGGCGCACTGAATGGTAACAAAGCGAGGTCAGAAGAACGGTTGCGGACGTTCTGTGTGAGTGGAGGCAAGCGTGAAACAAAAGAATAGATACGAATTGGCGGAGCAGGGAAACGAGGAGACGAATACACATACTCGACGGCATGCATGCACAGATCACGCCTGTGCTAATCTCGACGGTCGACCAGAGCGAGACACCAGTGTAATCGTAGGTCACATTGTCGCTACTGCGGAATTGGAGCAGCGAAGCCAGTCTAACAATGGACACGACCGTGACAAAGGTGCCGACGACAAACACTAGCAATCGGGAATGTCAGTCAGTCAGCCAGTACACATTTGCTACAGGACTACTACTATCTGGTGGACGAGCTGTGTTGGAGGGGACTTACTGGCACCAATGGCGATCTTCTTCTTCAGACTGGCATTGAGCGACGAGATCTGCGACATGGGCAGATAGAGCATCCAAATGTCCAGGGCGATTCCGACGGCTGCGTTTGCCCACGCAATCGCTGCGTTGTTGACACAGTGCCCTTGGTTGGCTGTGTCGTTCCACCGCGTCCAGTTATAACTGATGGGCCAGCACTGAAATAGCGCTGTGAGGACAAAAGCGACACCATACAGTATAACGACGACAATTGTGACCCACATTTTCCGCCTAAATTGTAACTCTGGAAAGATGCGGAGGAAGAAGAACAGAATCGACAGCTTTAAGAGCGCCATGTCGGCGAAGTAGAGTAACGTTATAATCCAAAAGTGCAGACCGAACTGCGTTATATCGTTCGGCGTTAGAGTCCAGATATCTCTACCAATACCGAATATGGCGAGCCTGGAGTTTATAACCGTACACGGTATACAGCTTGCCGCGACGGCAATAATTGTCCAGTCATCAGGACCGAGGCCCAGTCGGATGACCCATTGTCTATAACTGATACGGACGAGGACCAAGAATATGGCGATGGACGTCATGATCGTGGATATTTCGGTGTACATAGCCCCGGAATCGTGAGGCTCGATTCCACAGCGGGCCTTGGAAGCGTTCTTGACGACTATGGGGGTTATGCATGTTAGAGATACCAGACATGCATGGAAACAGCAGATTTCTTGAAGGAGGGGGGGGAGGTTGGCAGCAGACTTACGAAGGGCATCTTCGATAATGCAGCTCGACCGTACGCAGGGTTCCATGGACGCAAAGAAGATCGGATCTGTACAAAGACAGGTGGCGTTGGTGAGGCATGGCGAGGCTGCGGCGCCCTTGACGAAGCAAGCGATCTGGAACCAGTCAATCGTGTGCGTTGATCCGGACACTGCGGGGGTGCCCTGGAACGAAGACGCAAGGGTGAGGCATCCTTACTGCACATTTGGGTAATCCCGGGGGTAGCTGGGCCACCGCGAGGCCCAAGAGCAAACATATGCCGAGGGTGAAGGTTGCGGCTCGCATGCTGACCGAGTGTTCGCGAGTCTGTTGAGGTGCTGGGCAAAAAGGATGCTGGTTGAGGAGGAACCAAGCGCTTCCACGTAGACAGCACTCTTCTAAAGCCGGGAAGCGAGCCCCGTGGCGACCCAATTCAAGCTCAACAACAAGACGTATTTAAGTCTCAATTCAGCAACCGGAGTTCACTTGCCGCCTGCACCACGTTGTCCAAGGCACATGAAGCGGTCCTGAAGCGGCTGATGAACCTTATGGGAGGTGGCGTCTAGCTCAGTAACAAATCTACGGCGGAACAATACCAGTAATCCGTGGTGGCTGCAGCTTAGTGTCTTGGGATTAGCGAACCAGCGGGGCCCAGCCAATGACCCAAGATGCCCAGCCCTAAATGGCGTCCCTGGAGATAGAGACTAGGGACACTGGAGGCTAGGTAGGCACTAGCCGTGTCATGAGCTACGGAATTCGCTCTGCGCCTGGCAGGAAAGGGGTCAACTCGCACCGCTATGACCGCCGTCGCCTGCATTGGCGCAAGGTCAGTCAGTGCAGCCATAACCCCTGCAGCGGTCTTGTGTGTCGTCATGGCTTGAGCGATCATGGAGGAAGACGAGTCATGCTTGGGCGCGGGCCGGTTTCGGTAATCTCTTGCGACACGCAAGCCGATGACCTTGACTTTGTATGAAGATTGACAATGGCACAGGATGCCAGCGTAAGCCAGGCGGGTGGACAGCAGCGGGTTCAGCGTGTACACCATACCATTGTTACTGGCGATCTTGGGTGTCGTTAGGGACTCCGCACAATGGGCAATCCGTACCTGCGTTCAAGATCGTCCCGTGGCAAGGAAGCCTTGTAGCCCCGATTCTGCGTCAAGGGGTTCCGAGAATTCTCGCTTTGGCTAGCCTAGTGCCGCGTGTTTAAACGTAGTGAAAACTAAGGGGTTTGTTTCCCCTCACCCGCCGACGTGGTAGCGTCGCCAGGATAGGCAAGCAAAGTAAAATGTAACGACCCAACCAATAGGTCGCAAGATCGGGCTAGGGATAAGGGCAGGTCATACACGTGGGACGGGCACCCCGGACAATCCATCATTCCGGCGCAGTTTGACCGTCTCTGCGCGGGGGCGGGGGGGTGGACGCTTGGGCTACTGCACTTATTCTGAACCCCAACTCTTACAGTGGGCAGGGAAACTAACCCCAGGGAGGCCCCCCCCCCCCCCCCCCCCCGCCTGGTGCGTTATACGTGGCCCTATCATATGTCTGGGGATCTGCTGCAAAGCAGAATCTCACCCACAGCCGTACTCCATACCCTGGCCACCAGCAAACGACGACGGACATCTTCGTCGGAGCTTCGGCGGTCATACTGGATGCTGTCCAAGTTACGACAGCACTGGGCTACCGCTATCTGTGGGTAGATCGCTATTGCATCGACCAGTCCAACGCGGAAGACAAGCTCGGTCAAATCAACCAGATGGATCTGATTTACAGCAGGAGTGAAGTAACAATAGTTGCAGCAGCCGGTGTCGATGAGCACACCGGGCTCCCAGGTGTAGGCGCTCCACGGCAGTACCGACAGCTGGCCCTCTCTATCGGACATATCACCATCCTTTCCACCCCTCCTCATCCCCATCAGGCCATAAAAGGTTCGAAATGGGCAGAAAGTGACCAGGGTACTGTCTGCCGAAGTCAAACTGGACAATCTGCTGGCTGATAACCACATCGCCGAGGAGAATCGCAGAGTCCTTACTTGCGCCCGGAACCCCGCCGCAGACCCCTACTAGGATGACGAGCTTGAGTTTGGCGTAGCTGTAGCCCAGGCTGACTGCAGTGCTGGCACCGCTGACCTTGCCCATGCCGGGCATCAGGACGAGGACAACATTGTGCCTGCCAATACGGCCGGTCGTGTAAAGGTTCTTGTCGCCAGGAGCTCGGCCGTAGGTATCGCCGTCTGTGTCCCAAAACTCGTCCACGAGAAGGCAGACCGCATCGAACTCGACGGGCAGGGCGCAGACAATGGCAATATCGAAGTCGTCGCGGGAGGCGGGGAGCGCAGGGTAAATCGTAGGAAGCGTGGTGGGAGCAGTCATGGTAGCTACCAAGATATGGCGTCCAAGTCAAGCAGTCTCGCGCGTGCCTCAAGTAGGAAGAGCTCAGGCGACGATGTTGGCTGATTGAATATGATAGAAGCAGTGAGGCACACGCGAACAGTCGGTTTAGCAGGGTAGAGCGTCTTCCGCAAGGCTGCGCGTGGCAAAACATGGGACGGCAGGAGCTAAATAGCTGCGCTGACTAAAGGACGGCTGAGGGAGTACCATACCGTGACGACCCAACCAACAGGGGAACTGGTTGAGGCTGAGGTAACAGATAGGCCCAGAACAAATAAGGCCGCAGGATTAGGCCAGGGATAAGGATAGACCATACGAAGGCTGAAGGGAGGTATATTAGGTAATTACCCTATCTTACGTTAGGAACCGACAATAGGTAGTTTAGAATCCTTATAGCAAAAGGGAGAGGAACAGGAAGATGTAAATGGTACGTATTAAGTCAGGCATGTAATGCTTCTAATATACGTGAGCGACTAGACCCCTGTCCTAGTAGACGCAAACTATAACCTTTAGCTAGTCCCCCTCCCGCTCTGCTATTATAAAATAACCTATTATCAGTATTGCGGCTCGGAGAGGCTTATAAAATGCGTATTATTCTAGACGGTATCGAAGCGGAAACTCCCGGTTGGAATATTGTAAACGGCGGGCCCAGGGGACTCCTATTATTCCGGAACGTACAGAGGACAGCAGTTTCGATCCTATCTGACCCCAACCAAGGCGTGGAATAGTGTCACTGACTTGTATTCTGAGGTTTCTATCATTATTCGCCTTTACTCGATTCCTCCTGGCATGAAAAAGATACAGTACTCTATATTAAGCGGAACTCCGTCTTAGGAAAATCGAACTTTACATGGTCTGCGAATCTCATATCAACTATCTCAGATACCGTCTGGTATCGATTCCACTGCGCCTCTGCCGTGCCTATGCGCTGCGCTGACTGCCCCTGCATTTCGACTACTAGGAAGTAAGAGTTGTAGAGCCCTTTGCCGACAAAAGTGCACTGAACACTGCCTGCTTTCACAGCTTCGAGACATTCTTGCGGGCTTCCTCTAAACAGCGACAGGTGCAGCTGCAATTCATAGCCTGCGATGCCCCAGAGCGGCCCCGTCGCCGTCTGGACTAGGGTGAACATCTCTGGAGGGCACAGCCAGGCTGAGAGCCGTAACGCGATAACGTTGGGCGTTTCGCCGTCGCGGATAGTGCGCAGGCCAATGTACCTAGCGAGAGAGAGAACAGTGCCGTCATTGAGCTCACAGCTGAAGCCGTGTACAAGAGACTCGATATCCATCTTACCGGAGGTAAAGAGGTCGGTCCAACTGATACTGCCGGCCCACCCGGCCCAGCTCCACGAAGGAAATGCATGTCTCCTTCTTGGCTGTACCCTAGTCGTATCCCAGCAGCTAGCTAAATGCCTCCAGCAGAGACCTGCGATCATAGAGTTTACGGACTCGCTCTGTAAGAGGGACGTTGACGATATATATGGAATCCCTAGCAAGTGACCAATGCAGCTCATGTTGGACTCCATGTGCCTCAGGATGCCAGTGAAAGCGCGGATCGAGTCTGAATCGAAGGTGAGATCGCGTGACGTGTAATTTGTAACGAAAACAAGAAATTTCCTGAAGTGGTAGTGCCAGTCCTTGTTAGCCTCGTCCCATGGCCCAAATGGCGAGCCAAAGATGGCGTCAGTGATTCCCTCGTCTCGACCTGCAAAGAGACCGGCGCGTGCATAAGCTCGGAAGCGCGGCTTTTGAAGTGTGTGTAGGGTGTCCAATGGAGCGTCAAGGCTCTCGAAGCAGTTCATAGACTTGCATTCGAAATAGATCTGGTCTGGAGTGAAGACCAAGACGCGTCGGGATAGCACGGACTCTTGGAGTGTCCAAGCCCGCGTGATCCAAGACTGGCCTCCAGGATGCCTCAAGGCGACCAGAACGCGTGGTTCGTACGTTGATCGCCACCATGCAGACCGAGCACGGCCTGGAACGCCTAGAACACGGGGCTAGGCAGTACCTCCCAGAGCTTCAGCTGAATGCAGAGCTCAAAGGACGCAAAGCTACTTACCTCTATCCTGGCGTCGAGGAAGACATTCTCTTACCCAGTGAATACACGCATAAACACCAGGAGGCGTCTGACTGTGAATGCGCTGACGCTGTGTTCCCATGCGCTCAAGCATTACAGTCTTCTTGTCAGGAGTTGGGCTGTGACTTCTCGATGTCAATAACGCGCCCGCGCCTCGCTAACAGAGACAACCTGAGGGTATTCGTAGGAAACGTGGGCTCGGGCGATACAGTCATGAAGTCAGGCAAGGATCGAGATAAAGTCGCGACCTCCCACAATCTGATCGCTTTCGAAATGGAAGGTGCAGGGATTTGGGACGAAATGCCTTGCATCATCATCAAAGGCGTGTGCGACTATGCTGATAGCCACAAGCATAAGACATGGCAGCCGTTCGCGCTGCTGCCGCAGTCACCAAAGCATTGTTGATTCACTTTGTGCAATTGCAGAAGGATTATGCTGCTCCAACACAACAAGGCACGTGTCTACACTCTCACTTTGATTACTTCGTGAGGCTAATGTATACTACGTCTTGAAGCAGCAAATGATGGAGCACACACTGCGCCGAGGCCGATTTTAACGCCGAGCATGGCCTACACCAAGCACAGCCAACCGCAGCAAACATACCAGCTTCGCAATCTGCCCGCTGACGTTGACAGATTTGCAGCAGCTCGTCTTCTTGTCGCAGCGGTGTCAGATCCACGACTTACATCAGACGACATCGATATCCACTCTTTGGCCAATACTGTCGACTGGGACCAGAAATCGCAGAATAAAGTAGCGACACTATCATTCAAAGTAATCCCGGAAATGTGCCGCTCGTCGACAGTGGACAGCTATCTGCAGCCTCAGAGTCGCGAGTGGAAACTGACGGTTCCCCTACTTTCTGAACCTCTGATTCTTGACACGCACTTCGAAGGTTTCACTGTGCTCAATGCGATACAAGAATCGAGACACCGCTTCGACTGCATTGCGCTTCCCGGCCTTGTTGGTCACCCTTTCGGTTGTTGGCAGCCTTCGGAAGACGAACCATCATTCATGTGGATCCGTGACGCACTTCCTTTGCTGATGCCACGGACAAGGTTCTTACTGTATGGCTACGGCGCTGCCGTCTTGCCCCAAAAGCCTGTAGGAGATATCTTTGACCTAGCGAGGACACTCATGTTGGACCTGCAGACCGGCGGTTGGTCTGCACCGACCTCAAAACCACTCTTGTTCTTAGCCCACAGCTTGGGTGGTGTTATTCTCAAGCAGATGTCCGTCCTCCTGGCTGATGGCAATGAGCGTGCGAAGTTCATTCTCTCGAACATCAAGGGTGTGGTCTTCTTTGGCACTCCCAGTAGAGGCATGCCAGTATCGCATCTACTAGCTGTGCTCGGGAGCCAACCGAATCGAGACATGATTGAAAACTTGACGAACCAGTCACAAGTATTATTCGACCTAGAGGCCCAGTTCTCTGGCGTGTCTTGCCATGCGGGTATACAGAGCGTCTGGGCCTACGAGACACAGCCGTCTATGGTTACAGCGGTTAGTTTGCTATTTATAGAAGAAAGGCTTATGGCTTGGTCACTTCTAACAGTTTACAGAACGCCATAGGGGGAACAATGTCGAGAGCGCAGTCATTTGGCATCATCGTGGACAGTGATTCCGCAACAAGTGGTCGATCTGAAATTGACACAAAGGCTATGGTTCAAATCGATAAGAGCCACTGGGACATGATTAAGTTGGGCCGGGGTGATGACCAGATTCGCGTCTGGGCTGGCAGGATTAGTGATCTGTGTCGCAATCGAGACGAGTGTGCTGCTACTGCCGCGCAGTTAGACAGCTCAGATGATGACGACGCTCGCAGTGACGAAACTGAACTGGAGGACGATTCTTTCACATGTCCGACCGAGCTTGACCAAACAGCATTCGGCACGAAATCGATGCTATGGCAGTATGATCGTACGTCCTCCATTATTCTTTTTTATCGCCGCTGACAGAAGGCTGACATGATTGCGGTAGTCTTTGTCCATTCCACAAGCACCGAGACAAATCAAAGATTTTCACAAATCGAAGAAAGCTTTGAACAAACATTCCACTGGGCCTTCGATGATACGTCGATAGGTCTGACCAAATGGCTACGCAGTGGAACGGGGATCTTCTGGATCAGCGGCAAACCGGGCTCCGGCAAGTCGACTTTCATGAAGTTTCTGCTGCAAGATCCACGCACCATGGAACTGATGCACAGCTGGCGCTCAAAGCATCATCAGATCATCGCCAGCTTCTTCTTCCACCATCGAGGGACTCACCTACAGAAGTCGTTTGAAGGCTTGCTTCAAGCCCTTTTGGGCCAAATACTTGCAGAAGAACGGGGCTTGTTTCCAATCATCAGCTCCCTACTAGACACTAAATTGCAGGCGATTTTGGACTCCAAACGCTTAGGTTCTCTCGCATATGACGCTCGAAAACTTCTTGAGTCAATTGCAGGACCAGCTTACGATCAGACCTTGAGCAAACGACTGGAGGATCTCCTTTCGATCGATCCTGCCGCAGAACTGGATGCTGTGCTCGCAGATAAGTGCCCCAACTTGGAACAAGATCGCCAGTTGGCTATCAAGCGCGTATTGCTGTTGGCGTTCCAAAATCTATCGAACAGCGATGAACCGAGTAGCATCTCGATGAGTGATGTTATCTCATTGAGTAACCAAGCCGATAGAGTCAACATCGATTGTCTAGACGATGCGATAGCAACCTGGCGTTACAAGATCGACTACAAACGCATTGTCACGGAGTTCCTGCAGAAACATAAGCTTCTCGCGGTACCTACGACGGGCGACACCACTTCGGTTCCCTTCGCGGAATTGGAAGCTGGTGTCATGGGAGCAAATAGCCTTCGACACAGAAAGCTTATCAAGAAGGCTGTGGATCGCCAGATAGCGCGTCAACAGCTCCGCTTCAGTATTCAACTCTCGGCTTGGAGTAGGGCAGAGTTGGAGGAAGCCGTGCGGCAGATCTTCGATCAGAGTCTCCTGGATCTCCAGATCTGCTTATACTTCGATGCTCTGGATGAGTATGATGGCCGTCCGGAGACCATTGCAGACTTCTTGAAAGATCTCATCACGACTCGAAAGTCCTCCAGAACACAAGCAAGAGTATTGTTCTCTAGTCGCCCCTGACCTGTGTTTCAGGATGTGTTTGGCGACAGCCCCGGGCTTCGCATACACGAACACACGCGAGAGGACATCCGGGAGTATTGTGCTGGGATCCTCCAAAAGAATCATACTAACCGCGCAACTTTACTCCCTTTGGCCGACGAGATAACAGAGCGCGCACATGGGGTATTCCTCTGGGTGAGATTGCTCTTGCACGACCTGAGCTCGGCTTCTGACCTGGATGGCATCAACAAAGTCCAAACGGAAAAACTTCTCAGGCGACATTTCGCGATAGCACCGGATGAATTGCACGAGTACTACACAACCATTATTCAACGCCTGCCATACTCATCCAAACGAGAAGCATATGTACTCCTGGAGTGTTTGTCTAAATCCACCACGGAGTTGACCATCGAACAAATTCCCATGCTCTTGTCCAGCGGCATGCACCGAAATCCCCTGCCCCTCCTTGCAGACTCACTACCGGCATCTGCACGTCGTAAAAAGCTCGAAGCGTACTTGAACACGGTGACTGGCGGGCTTGTCAACCTCGTGTCGAAAGACCAGACCATCAATCGAACTTTGCAGCGCCTATTCCCTACAGCCGACAACCTAAAGAGCATGATGACGGTTCAACTTATGCATCAAACATGCAAAGAATGGGTGGAGGCCGCTACGTTCAAACATGTCGTACTTGGGAGTCGGGCTGGTTCAACGCCTGAGAATGGTCATTCTTTTTTAACCAGATTCTGGGCATATCAACTCGCCATGTTCGGTGAGCCTGATGAACTCGCTGCACATGTAAAACGGTTTGCCTTCCACGCGGTTGAAGCTGAGCGAACAACTGGTATCAGCCAATACGACTTTCTCAGATCGTTATCGGGCAGCTTCTACGAACAGCTTGGCCTGTATCGTGTTGGTTCTGCGGCGAGCTTTGCAGTCCATCAAGGACTATGGCTGTATCTGGAGGACGCTTTCCACAATGCAGATACGAGCATTGCAGAGTCAGAAGAATGGCTGTTCTCGATTCTCTGGAGAAGTGAGAATGGGAACCATGTTGTCCCCGACGCTAGAGCGGTTGAGACCAGCAAGTTGCTGCTCCGGCTCGGCTTCCAAGCTTCCCTCGACCCCATCGGTGTTTCCAGGTTGGCCAGCCGAATGGTGCGATGTCAGGCACGACGCCAGGACACGATGTCGTTTGAGGAGTTATTCCAAGCTGCGATATCAACAACGTTGGCTGCCCATACTGCATTCCCAGGCTTTCAAAGAGAGGCACCATTCGACTTTCTGAACACTTTAAACCGCTTCAGCCTCATAACTCTTGGCCCACCACGGCTGGTGGAATGGATTCTCGAGCGCCACCCAGATTATGCCAACTACGACACGCAATTGGGGACACCATTGGATCACCTAGTGGGTCTATTCGACAACTCGCCCTCCGCTACAGTTGAGTTCCTTGGTATGGACTGGCTTTTTGAGCATCTGAGCATTCTTGTACGCCATGGTGGCTGCTTCAAAATAGCTTCCGAGACCATGATTCGGAATTTCTTCCGATATCTATCACAAAATCGCTATGAGGTCGCGCCTCTTATGCGAGATGTAGCTCCTGGGCTATGTTTGACTGGAGAACCGACGACAGAGCAGTACTGCTGGTTAAAACTCCGCATTAGACGACTTGACCTTCCCGAGGAAACAATTACGCACTGGCATCAACGGCTACTTCGCGTTGCCCGGACGTCCTTGCAAGACGATGAGCTTTCCGATGTAGATATTGGGCAGCAAACCCGGATCCTGACTTCTTCAGACGAACCGGGCCTCGAACCTCTTGAGCTCGAAGGTTGGGCTATACAACCTGAAGAAGAGCCCTCACACCAGGGACAGCAAGTAGTTGCTGGGGAACAACAGCTGCGGCCCGAACTGCGGCCAGGTAATCCCATCGGGTCACAATTACGCCCTAGCGTGCAGAGAGATGCTCCTCGAAGTACGTCATTCACTGACCAACAGCAAGAGTCGTCCCGAGGTCGCAATGGTACCAATGCGCCACCTAGTTCGAAGTCTCGACTCCGTACACGTGCCAAGCTGCTGGGCATCTTCGGTGGAAAGGATCCTGCCTGATTGCCCAGTCATTTCTTGGGCACAAGGCTCAGCGGATAGATAGCAAGCGACATGCAGTGTTGGTGTCACCAAGCGATCCAATACTATCATGTTGACGATGGTGGCAAACTCTCGATATGCTCGTCACAACACCGGCTAATCTCCCTAGCGTGTCCCTTGGCTGGATCTCAAGGTTTCTGTGTCAACGCTCTGTCACTTCTAGAACTTCACAGGCTCTCTTGAACCGAAATCAGATGTAGCACACGTGATGACGTTGTGAAGAACGCAGCCTCGTAGCAGACTAACCACGCTTATTATTATACTGCTCTCCCTCGTCCTGAAACACTTCTCTATGATCATGCTCGTACTACTACCAGTGCAAATCTTTATCCTACTTGAACTAGTTACTTAATTGCAGAGACTGGTATCTCTTCCTAGAGATACGATAACCCTAAAGAGAGAACGAGAGTAAAATGGAAGTGTTATTGCATAGGCGTTACCTCTCTTGCAGAACAGCAACCCCCAGCGCCCTGCCAGACAGCTGACCCCGGAGGCAGGATCTTGACAGAACGGCTGTTGATAATAATCTAACGGCTCTACATCACATCACCCAATCCTCGCTCTACCTCACCACCCATCGACGCGCTTCGCATAGCAAGTCATACCGCCGCCCACCGGCCCAGCAACGACGGCGTGCGCCACCTGCATGGGCTTGTCCCCAGCTCGGCCGATGCCCTTGAACTTCCACTCGAACCGGCCCACCAACTGCGCCACGAGCGACAACAACTCCCCACGGGCAAACCTTTCGCCGATGCACGCGCGGGGACCGTACGTGAAGGGCATGACGGCGTATACGTCGTTGGTACCCCCCAGGGGATCGACCCGGGTCTCGCCGTTGCTGTCCTGGGTCAACCACCGCTCAGGGACGAACTCGCTGGCGCGGGGACCCCAGACGTGTTTGGACTCATGGATCAGCCCTGGCGCGACCACGATGACCGTGTCCATGGGGATGGGCGTGCCCAGCACCGTTGCCGAGTGCGTGATGGTCTGGCGATGACAGTAGACCACGGGCGAGTACAGTCGGAGCACCTCGTTGCACACAGCCACGAGGTATGGCAGACTCTCCAGCTGGGTGGCGTCGACGGGCGTGTTGGAGGATGGCGATGGAAGGTTGGCGCGGATCTCGTCGCGCAGCTTCGTCTGCCACTCGGGTGAGTGCTCCGAGAGCGAGTAAAGCGTGAAAGCCGTGGCGGTCGCCGTCGTCTCTTGACCAGCCAGCATGAAGTGGATGGACTGGTCAATCAGGTATTCGTCGCTGAAGTCTGCCCCGGACTGCAAGAGGGTGGCGATGACGTCGCCCTGGCCATACTTGACGGCCTCGGGCCCGTCTTTATTCCTGCGCCGCTCTTGGACCAGCGGCCTGACGAACTCGGAGATGGTCTTTCGTGCGTCCATGATCTCGTTCCGCGCCTTGACTGGCAGCCGTCTATACAGCCAAAGTGGCAGAATGAACGCGGTGAACCGGTACATCAGATGGCTGGTCTTGGTTGCGAAGAGGTTGCGGAACTTTTTGACCTGGGCTGACTGGGGATTCTCGACGGCGTGTATCGAAGCCCCAAATGCCGTCAAGCAGATGACGTCCAGTGTGACGTGGTGCAGCCTGGATCCAATGTCTACAATGCTCTCCTTGGTTTCGTCGAGCTGCTTCTCGATTGCCGTCAGGAACTTGGCACCCTCAGCCCAAAAGATGGGTGACAGATCCTTGACGTATTTGAATTTGAAGGCGGGCTGCATGATCTTCTTGTCCATCCTGTGCTTCTTGGGCGGCGATACGAGGATGCCCTGCGGCGCAATCTGGCCCATGACCTCCAGTGCCCACGGCAGCTTGATGTAGTTGTATGCTTGCGTCTGCAGCACATCTTTGCATCCCTGAGGGTTCGTCACGAGCACTCTCTCCGCATTCAGGAGGCCGTAGTAGCGAATCAGGCCGTCATTGGGCACGTCATTGGTCCAACTAACGAGTCTGCGGTACCCAGGTTCTGATAGGAATCGTTGATGAAGGGGCCTTTGCTTCGGGTGAGGCAGGTGGCGCAACGGACTGAGATAAAACGGATACAGAATGATGTGGTAGAACGCCAGGCACAGGCAGTGGACCGTCGCGATTGCGATTGCGGGCAGGACGTAACAAGATAGGAAGCTGCTACATTTCTCTGATCCCCGTATTTGCGTCACCAGTATGGCTCCCAAGATGGAGCTTCCTAGTACTTGTAGCAGCATCGTGATTGTTGAACTTGGGCGGGATGCGGGTGCTGATGGAAAGGAAGAAAGTGGGTGGGTGGTCAGAAATTGGGCGGTGAGTGGATCCAAATTTGCCCTGTTGTCAGGCTTATCAGGAGTGGCGCGCTTGGCGCCTGCTTGTCCTGCACGACTGCCGCAAATTCCGATCCATTCCGGGCATTTGTAGATACCAAATTTGCATCTTGCTATGCCCACGCACCCGCTTGAGTGGCTTTATCGTCTTCGAATTCGTTGAATCCTCCGTCACGCCAGTTGGGGAAGATTTCGGGATCCGCGAATCACAACGCGAGCAGCAGAAAGGGGCTCCACCTTAGTCATTAAGCTCAGTAGCATTCGTGTGAATGTCTTGTCATTCCCTGCAATGAGCTTGGGGGTTAATACCAACATCCGAAATCGCCCTGATTCTCCGCTCTATTTTCGTGCTTACCAGCGACACATGGTAAGCAGGCGCGATGGTGGTTGGTGGACCAGATCCCTGTTCCTGTACCATGCATGTCAACGTAGGGCGTGGTCGCCGGTCCTCCAGACAGGTCTTGTAGGAAAGGCGACTCAAGTTATTTTAGCCAAAAACGATCTAGATAAGCCGACTGCTCTAACACCACAAGTCTTTGATAGGCCTGGCTCAACTCTCGTCGTGACAAACGACGCACAAAGCAGACTCCATCGTCTTTGCGGGTCTCTCCAGTTCAGGAGTCTGCAAAGTCGTTCCGCAAAGCTCCAGGATGGCCTCCTCGCCCCCATCTCCAAAGCTGCAAGCCACCTCCACCCCAGGCACTGCCGTGAAGTACGTTACTGACAGCTCCAACCTCAGCGACGCGATAGCGACTCGCCGAGGCCGAGGGCTGGTATCCAGCCATACTTGACGGCCTCAGCCCCGTAGCAAACGCCTTAGTTTTCACTACGTTCAAACACGGGGTATACGTATGGCGCCTGTGACGCGTGGTTATTTCGCCGTGCTTGACGTCAAGCGGTGAACTCCCTTTAGTCGTGCATCTCCCGTCGCCACGATTTGTCGAAGCCTCGGTCACCCCCGCTAAGTTCGCGTCTTATCTTCCCAGCTGCGACGGTTCGTCAGTTATAGATATCAGTGTGGGTTATTTCAAACTTACATATCGAGGAAAAGCCTCCATAAGATCGAGAACAGTAGGCCTTGGAGGCCATTGCAGAGTATTCGTGTCTTCAGCCCTCGGTTTAGAAGTCCGACAATACCCTGCTCAGCCACGACCGATCGCGCCGCACTAGCTGAACTGAAGTTAGCACTGTTAACCAAGTACATGAAAATAGAGTGCGCTTACAGTAGCTAATCTTAGTTTCGTTGACTTGGCGATATGTTTTAACAACTCGGAGGGAGTTGGATAAGGAGTCGGCTATAAGTGAGGCGACGAAGCCGATAAAGGCTAGACGAGCCAAGAACAGAACAATGGCTGACTTTGGCGGCTCCTCTATAGCTTCGCTCAAGTAATTGTACTGCCTTGATGTTAGGGTAGAAACAGCCTCGAACTCGAGAGGGAAGACTGACCGTAGCAAACCATGGATAGTGGCCGACAAATGTTGCTGCTGCTGTGGCAAAGGCTCCCCACCATAAGCTGCCCAGGCCGTGCTGCCTGATACGCTGCCGGAGCAAGGCAGTACCCTTACCGCCCTGGGCTTGTAAAGTGGTTTTGAGGGTATCGACCGGCGTAAGAATCATGCGGAAAGCCGCAGCACTGAATGCGCAAACGTCAGCATTAGAAGACGCCTGATGCAAGTTAAGGAACCAACCAAAGGGATGCAAATACGGTCTTTGCTAAAGACGGAAGATGCTTTAGATACCGATTGGACTGAAATAGGGCGATGATGCCAGCATTGGCGGCAGTGTCCCCGAACCTGGCGATTGGACCTTTGTCATGCTAAATCAACAACGTAGAACAATATTACTGTGATCACAGGGATGCCATACCTTGTACCAAGGCCGGAGCAATTCCTTGGTAGTACCGCCGAACTCCCCCATCCTGATAAAGTGTTCGACTGGCCTCCGCGAACGAAGAGCCGAAGCGATACTGATAGTTCATAATAGTACGGAGTGGCTTTTACACGTGTCAGTGCCCTGTAAGCTGAGGTTGCACATATCGGGGGATCTCACCATCAGAAGCAGTACCTGCAGAACCATGGCGGCCGCGCCGCTCAAGCCTCCCCCAAGAGCTCTCTTCAGGGCCGGCCCAAGGTCGAACTAAACAGCCACGAGTCAGTTATCCTGGTCATAACCAAGATACGAGCATGCACATGCCTCGACATCTCCGCCGACCTCAAACCAGGCGCTGACGAAGAGAGCCAGAACGAGACCGGCCGCAATTGTCCAGAGGATCCGCCAGATGTACCAGCTGGGTGTCCGCTTTGGAGACTCATGGGCATTAGCATCGGTGGCATCTTCCGCACAAGACTCTTCAATGAGAGGAGTCTGCTCGTTGATCGTGATCCCGTTCTCGATATCGCGTTGCTGAGCCATGGCGGTGTCGGGTTTCTGGATTGGTCATGTCGTGAGGAGACCCGGCCCCTCTCCAAAATAAATGAGCGCCGTCATCTTATCAATTCGATTCCCAATCTCACTAGCGGAATCCATGGTGCAGTATCCGAGTGGGGGGATGAGTCAGCTCGCCTTTTGGAGGCAATCTGTTTTGCTCAGACACCGTGCAACCATTATATGACGGCTTATGGTGCAATATGTGTGCAATATGGCGCGTCGCAACTCCGGTGTGGTCCAGGTCATTTCAAGAGAAGAAGTCCCCATGTGGATTCACGAGTAGGCGAGCATCTTCTCACTCCTGCCCTTGGGTCTGAATGATTTTAAGGTGATTGATTTTGTCTGTTACAGTCAAAAAGGCCAGGTTCCAGTCTCTGAGACCTAACAACTTGAACATGGACGTGAAGTCGGTTGCCGTGATTGGCGCAGGCGCAGCTGGTATACTGTCCCATTTTCAGTCTTCTACCATGTGCACTACATAATAATCATTTCTTCAGGGGCCATCACGGCTGCGGCGCTGAAGGCCGAATCTTATTTCGAGCGTATCAAGGTGTTTGAACGGCGAGAAGCTGCGGGTGGTACATGGTATGCCACCACTAGGAGAAGACTACGAGATTGCTTTTGTTAATCAAAGTGCCACAGGATCTATGATGCTGACCCAGGGGCCAAGCACCCTATCTTCCCTGGAAAACTGCCTGTCGATGTCGACAGGCCTCTTGAAATACCCCCGGAATTGCCAACAATCACCCAGCCTTCCAAGCGGGAGCGCTGGACTACTACCCCCATTTATAGTACATTGACGTAAGCCTATGAAGCCGGTGGCGACTAAACCCATATTGACTCGAAGCTAAATTCTATGCTAGAACCAATGTCCCGGACATAGCAATGTGCTTCTCAGACAAGCGATTCGCGTATGGGCCATTCGTGCCCCACTACATAGCTCGGCAGTACGTGGAAAGCTACTTCGCTGCTCACCACACCGATGACTTTCTTGAGCTCAATACGACCGTGGAAGACCTCTCCATGGTGCTCGACTCCGAGAACAAGAAAAAACAAGATTGGAACCTGACTCTACGAAAGTACGACCCTGTTCGCCGCGTCGACATCTGGTGGGAGGAGAGATTCGATGCTGTAGTGCTGGCCAATGGTCACTACGCGGTGCCCTACGTATGTATGCTCCTCCGAATCTCTTTCTCGGTTTTTGAGACTGACCAAACTGCATAGGTCCCGCAGGTTCAAGGTCTTGAAAATTACCTCCTTAAGTACCCTGGGCGAGTGCTACATTCCAAGTTCTATCGCTCTCCAGACCTTTTTGCAGGCAAGCGTATCGTCGTAGTAGGTAACTCTGCCTCAGGTCGCGATGTGAGCTTAGACGTCCTCAAGACAGCAAGGCTGCCCGTGGTCATATCCCAACGCTCGAAGTCGAGGTGGGATGGCGACCAACCACCAGAAGGGATCGAGTGGAAGCCAATCATCAAGGAGTTTGGTACTGATGGCAGGATCACGTTTAATGATGAGAGCTATCTTGACGACGTCGACATCGTCGTATATTGTACCGGGTACAAGACCTCGTTCCCTTTCTGGAACGAAAAGGCGAATGGACGAGCTCTATGGGATTACGCGGAAAACAGGCTACGAGGTTGTTATTGGCACACTTTTCTCCGAGACTTTCCCACAATCGCTCTCGTTGGCGTACCCCGAACATTGACCTTCCGGAGCTTCGAGTACCAAGCCATCGCGATCGCACGAATATGGTCGAACAGAAACTCTACAGCACTGCCATCGCTTCGAGATCAAGAAGAGTGGGAAAAAGCACGGGCGAAGCGAACTAGATCTGAGGGAAAGAAGTTCCATGACATTCCATGGGATAATGGGGAGACAACGGAGTATTTCGACTTTCTGTTCAAGATCGCAGGACTCGGGACAATCCATGGCGCGGGCAGGGTCCCCCCCGTACTAGGCAAGGACATGGTATGGGCTATTGAGCATCTTCGCAAGTACCCTGATCCTCCTCAAAGAGACAACCAATGCATAGAAGCCGAAGGAGAATGGGTTGTCGTGAAAAGTTCGCGCCAAGATAGCCTAGCTTTTCTATAATGGCGCGTCGCAGGCCGCACGAACGCACATATATGCCTACAAATGAACGTGCTTTGAGGTGCGAGAGGAGCCCCCACGGCTACATCCTGGGTGTCCTATGTACACCTCTTCACGCTTGCCTTCCTGCGATGCGGTCTGATCTGTGACCATGGAATCTTATCTAGTGTTCTTTGTCTCAGCTGACCCTGCTGCGCTACGCCGGGCAGGCATACCCATGCATGGCTTTTGGAGACCAACAGTAACAAATGTGTCACTGGGCTTTGCCGTCCCGCCCTCGTGGCGCAGGGCAACGCCGTGGAATGTCCAACAGAGCCTTCTTACCGTCAACGGACTCACTTCTGTGGATGATACGGCCCATAACTTCATCGTCTGGTTTCAAGAGCAAGTGTCAGGCGCTTTTCTCTGTCGTAGGGCCGTGCAGGAAACAAGTAGGGGATATCGCACCAAGTTACCACGCAGTGCCGACCTCACGGTTTTGAGATCAGCGCCAAGGCAGACAACGACCAGAGATGCCGTGAGACCTTCGAAATAGTCAGGGGCAGGAAGGACTTACTGCACAGATTCCCAGATGAGACAAAGGTTGTGCAAGGTACCAACGACGGATTCGCGCTCCGCCGGGGACAATTGCTGGTCAATAGACTGTGAGGATGTGCGGCTCAACGACCCCGGGGAAGGGATTGCTGGTGATTGAGTAGTCGGAGCTGAGGAGCATGACCCTCTCAGATTTTCTGGGCATGTAGCATCTCTATCAGTACCGCAACCGTCCCGGCGCTGCTTATGTCCGCCAGAAACAGCATCAGCCCGGTTTCGCGGTGGATACGGGCCCAGACGCGGATCACAGCGATACTGTCCGCAAACGCCTGGAGGAGTGTCGTCATAGGCAAAATCTCTAGGTGCATACCGGCTGTTTATGCCCAAATCTTCTTGACCCGATCGTCCTGGCTTTGCGAAGGCATGTGGCCGTCCTCGGAGCTGGACTGCTGCTGCCAGGCATCGATGCCTTTCTTCAGTCCCGTAGCTACCTTCCCACGTTTCAACTCCCCAATGATGGTTTTGAGCCAGTCTTGTAGACCCAGGTCGTCGAGTGTTAGTAGCTACCCGGGCACGTAAATAAGGCCCATGAGCTCGCATACCGTATGTTGGACAGAGTACAGCGTGTCGGTCCCGGGCGATCCTTTCACGACGATGATTGGAATCTGGCTAGCAATGGCATCAGGTGCGCCCACAACGAGGAACTCTAGCGCAGCCAAGCTGGGCTTCCGAGCGATGGCTTTCTCAATGCCGATAGGCGATATGCTCTCTCCCTCACGAATGATGGTCTCCTTATGTCGACTCACAATGAACAGACCTTCTTCCTCCCGTATCAAAGCCCGATCGCCCGTGATGAACCACCGAGTCCCCTCTTCATCATGGTGAATTCATCATCATTGGCGCCCTTAGTACCGTAGTATCTCTGGATGGTTGTTCTGGAGCTGATATGGAACTTACCGGCGACACTGACCGGCAAGGGTTCTCCTGCTCTCGGCTCACAAATTGTGATATTCATTCCCATCTCCGCCCTGCCAACCGAAAATCGCGCTCAGCCGACATCTTGTGCATCTCATCGGCAACAAGGGCTCCAGTCTTGAACTGTATGCCCTTGCTCATCTCCTACTTGTTCTCGACGCTCTTCGCACCCAGCCCCTTGAAGCAGTCATTGAGGTGCACCGTGGTACACGGCGACCAAGTCAGATTGACAGTCCAATCTAAATTGAATGCAAATGTTCGGCGCATCCTTCGCCATAAACAGGTCGTGGGTCGTGGCTGCATCGCCCACGACCACTATTGGTCGAGCATCACTGCCACAGCAGCCCAGGATGGTCTCAACCATATGGCTAGCGTCTGTCCGATTCGCAGACTGTTCGGGTGCAGAGGCGCGTAGACTTAGCTCTCGGCATGCGCTGTCCACTGACATAGGGGTGCCTTGATGCCATTCCACAAGAAGGTGATCAACGGCGCACCCTTTGAGCACCCCGTTCTTTCAGACCCCGGGAAAGCCGCTCGATGGCCTCGAACAATTTTCCATAGTTCCAGCGCAGTGTGGCCTCGGGATCACAATCGGAGTCAAAGGGGTTGGTTGTCGAGCAATTGGGGTTATGCATCTGGCAGAGGCTGGCTGGCGGTTATGTGCTGCTGACGGCGATGTGGTTCCGCGCTCACGAACATTTGCAAGGAAGTAGTCCCAGTTAGAGCGAACGACATCGGGCTCGGGGGCTCCCTCGAGCTGACTCTTTTATATCATTGCGGGCACAGGTGTGTGCGGGTCACAACACAATGAAGCTGAAGGGGCCAGGCATCAATGTCGTCCGAGCTCACGCGCGATAAGGACGCTCCTGAGTTATATGGCATTCGGTGGCCGGCAAACGTCATTTGGTGCTACAACCGAGTGACAATGTCTCAGCAAGTGCGGACTACCTTTTACTAGCGCTCCCGGGAGACCTCCCGAGCGGCTGCTGCCGACGCCACGCCGATACGACTCCTGTAAACCCTCCCTGGTGCGTTGTCCGTCTCGACTGGCGGCTGTAGTACATCGGGGCTCACGTGCGACAGTCGTATCACCCACACCCGTGCAACGACGTAATGTGACACCTGTATGAGAAGTTGCATGCCATGTCGGCATTTCTCACCGTGCAACACTGGTCCCAATCAAGGCGTTCCGCTGACATTTTTAGTGTCACTTTGCCTTGGCGAAGATTGACCTAGGTGGCTCGTGCAGCGGTTACCGAGCGACACCAAGTCCGGCAAGCCACAAAGTGAAAATTTGGGCGTCGCGGTGGTTGATGACTGTTGACTTTCGCACTCGTTGGTGTTTCGTTGGTCTATGTCTACTTTTAAAGTCATTATTAGGTCTCGACTCTCAAGCTTGGGTACATGGTCCATCATCGCGTTGCCTGACACGGCAAATGGATTGGCACGCTTCAGGATAAGGTCAAGCCCCAATAAAGGCACATCAGGTCATATTTGATTCGTCTCTTACTCGCTGCTTCGATAAACGTCGTTGTCTGCCAGTGTATAGAGTACCAATGTGCTCCACATTAAATTGTCCACTTCATCTACACTGGTCATCCCCATCGAAGATTACAAAGTTAGAGTTATACTGCAGGTGGAAGTACAAGATGGCTCAGGGCAGGCTCATGAAGACCTTCAGCAGCTGGTCGTACTTGGGGCTGCCCAAACCCGTGACAGGGTCCCAGCCCTTGGCAGCCGGGAATCCGCCAGACTTGCATCCGGGGTTGGAGCCCTCGGTGATGTCGGTGAAGACCTCCGGGTGAGCGTAGATCGTTGGGTGGACAAAGCCGACGGTGCTCTTGCCCTTGGCGAGACGTTCCTCGTTGATGCGGGTGATGATGCCAGCCCAGATGGGGGCACTGAGCGACGTGCCACCGATGGTGTTCCACGTGCTGTTGGAGCGGACGACGAAGCGATCGCCAACGCTGGCAACGTCGGGATAGCCCCTTCCGCCGATCTTGAAGACACCCGGCGCGACGTCGGTGAAGTTCTTGGCCGGGTCGCGGGTGGTGTAGCCGACAAAGGGAAGGGGGGTCGTGTCAAAGTAGGTCTGCACTGCGTCCTTTTGGTAGTCGGGCACGTCGAAGTAGTCTGAGAAGCCGCCGCCTGAGGGGAAACGGGTCACGGCACGCTCGTATAGCTTGCAGCCCGGCTTGTTGGTGGTGCTGTTGCTTCGGCTGTCCAGTTGGGTGCCGCCAACACTCAAAACGTAAGGGCACATGTAGGCTGGGTAGAATACGGTGCCAGCAGGTCCGGTGCATCCCGTTGGCAAGCCGAAGTCGCCAGGGTAGCTGGCTACGCCTGAATCGCCGGATGACTGCACGACGGTGACACCCTGCAGCGAAAGCTTCATGATCTCGCTGCACTGGCGTTTCCAGTACGAGGCAGGCACGTCAGCCTCGCCGCCGCCGTAGCTGATGCTGATGACGTTGGTTGGCTTGTAGACGCCGCACATCAGCTCGCCCTTGTACCCGCCCTCGGCCGGGTTGGGGTAGCTGGGGTCTAGACACTCCGGGCGCACGCAGTTGCCCGTTTCGCCAAAGGCCGCGTAGCTGCAGTACGACCCATCAAGAGCATCGTAAAAGGTGTTGTAGAAGCCCAGGTACGGCAGGGGGTTGGCTTCCGCAATCTCCACCGGCTGGTCATCCACCTGGAAGAGAACCGTCTTCTGTGGCCAGATGATGGGCCACGCCGACTGGAAGTCGAGGTTCGACTCTAAGCCCACCTCGAGAGTCGGGTCGCCGGGCGTCTCGACCGCTCCGAGGGCCCCGTCCACGAGGCGCTCTTCGGGGTACGTGCCTTGCGGGACCCTAGGGTACAGGGCCGCGAAGAATTCATCCAGATCCTTCTTGGAGTAGTGATCATTGAGTGTCTCAAAGATGCCAAGCTCGTTTCCAGGGCTCGCTTTGTTGCCGGGGGGAATGTGGTACTGGGCTGGTTGATTGACAATTAGCGGCGGTGATCCACGTGCCAAGCGAAAGCTGTGGGTAACTTACTTGAGAGACAATCGTTGGTGATGTAGGTCGCACACGTCGAAGCATTCAATTGCGGCAGGGCGGGAAGCAGCTTCTCCGCCTTGTGCATGGCAATCGTCCGCTTGTGCAAGTTGGACCTGCGCTTGGCCAGCTCCGTCTTCTTGGGATCGGCGCGGAGACGCACACCGGGCGTGATGTAGTCGATGTGCTGCGCAATGTGGCGCGGTACGTGGTAGTCCCTGGTGGCGATGTCATGGGCACCCGAGGCAGAGTGCTCGTAGAGGTGGTACTCGGTGAGCAAGAGGCTCTCCGCCTCGTCGGCACTCAGGTCGACCTGGATCCACTGCTTGTTGTACGACTGCGAGATGCGATCAATATGGATGCCCGAGTCGGTGAGCCACTCGACCACCGTCTCCACCGTCTCTCGCGCCGGCGCAAACAGCTGTCGGACCTCCTCGGCTGTCATGTGCTTGCCATAGTTAGGCGACTTGGGGTTGGAGCTTTGCCGCTTCACGTCAGTCATTTGCTGTGGATCAAAATCATGCGCACAAGACACCTACATGTCTTCAAGTCTGTCTCTGCCAACAGCCTCGTTCGACTGTTGCAGACCAATGCGCATCGGCAGCTTGGCATTGCGCGGCAGTCTTTGCTTGACCCTCCAGTCACGACCCCAATGTTGGCCCGCACGCTCATGCAGCGTGTGCGTTGTGGGCACGACAGGCTTGGCAGCCGCCTCGAGGGCAATGCCGCCGAGAAGGGCGAGTTGGATGACGTGGAACCTCATTTTGTGCGCTTAGTTCTCACGAAGAGAACGAGAGACACTGAAGGAAGGTGGGTGGTAAGGGGGGAAAGAAGAGAAAAGTCCCGGTGACGGCGATCATCGTTGCTTTTGAAGTAGCTTCCGTGCCCGCACCTCCAGCTCAACCCCTGCCGACTCCCGAGTGGCAGCTGTTATCCGAGTTCTCATGGGCTCATTATGCTGTGCTACTCTCGCCCTCCTGCATGGACATGGTCCCGGGAAATTGCAATCGCCAAGATTGCCCAGACCTGGAGAATGCTTAAACCTGCTTGGCTTGCGGCTGCTGCCACTCCACAACCCCGGAAGAGGCAGCCGATCATGATAGTCCGTGCATTTGGAGCTCGTATGGGGCCAACGGCCTCTTGAGCTGCCCTTTTGGGAAAGGGCTAATGCACGAGCCCAGTGGGTGGCCTGCCCGTTGGCTGATCCATTCGTCCCCTTGACCCGGGCCCCTGGCCGTTGGGTGATAAAGGTCATAAGCTGCGGCACGGGAGCATCATCGACTTACGAGAAGCGCGTTTCTCCTTCCCTACTTGCGATGGTGTGGTTCTGCATCGCCACATCGCACCGTTTCAAGGCATTGATGAACCTATCTGCAGCTCTACGTCAAGTGTAACATGCTATCTCTAGCGCCGCGAAGAGAATCTGGCAGCTCCAAGACTCTTGAGAGTCCAGATGTTTGTGATGCCCAGGACCTGACCGGGCATAGGATACGTTCTTTGCACGGCTTGTGGCTGATTGCCACAAATGAGTTATACTTCGACAGCATGCTGCTTCCTTTGAGCCTTAAGAAAGACCGGGCAGAAATGCAGCCAGCACCAATCAGCCATAAATGCCATGTTGACATCGCACCAGATCGAGCGGTTGTCAGCACTGGCACGAGTGTTGGACGTTGTACGACAAGCCCTCCAAGCTGCAGATGCCAACGGGTTCTGCTTTCTGCCTCTTCATTCACGGCGAGATTGCACACTGTTGCTGGGCCAAACTCTCCAACAGATGTTCGAGAAGAGGCTAACCACCGAGTGTGTAGGATAATCCCCGGGTCTGCCCACGAAACTTGTATATAGTATCGTGATCACACACCTTGATAGATCCCAAGGACTCAATCCAGATCTAGGCGAGCTCAGCAAGTTATACATATTCGTTTACGATGTCTGTCTGCAGTGAATATCGGTTCTGCTATTTTTTTGCTGAATCTGCGGTCTTCTGGCCGCAGGGGCCTGCGAAAGCCCCGGCAACCTGATTAGGCAACCGCCTTCAGGTCGTCTGCCATGGCTATCTTTGACATGTCCTTGGTTGAATGGCCTAGCGTGGTCCCGAAAGCGCACAGCCCGGGGGATGTCAGCACCGCGATGATTCGGCCGGAGAATGATGCAAAAAGGACTAATGGAGCAAAACTAGGCTCTGTTGAGAGTCTGCCAATGAAGTCGGGGTATTGATGGTGATTGAGTCCGGGCTCTCTATGAGGGGCGCACTGACTGTCGTCGTAAATATGGATGAGAGGTCTAGTAAATTGTGCAGGGTAGTAGTAGTCGTAGTCGTATTTGTCTTGATGGTAGTGGTAACTAGCGTAAGGAGCCATTAATTTGTATTACATCGCATGCCTGGCTACGTGGAAACTAGACTACATGCTTGCTGACCCCGTCAGCCAAGCCACCCTTGGTCCCTGCCTCGCTCGCAGCCAAGTATGGCTCGTTCACGTTGCTCGAGCTGGCCTGGATAACATTAGACACAGCTCTCCCCAGGATACCGTCGAAGTCTGGTCCCGTAAAAGAGCTACCCTTGAAAACCCAATAAATCGACACGTAGATGAGGAAAATGCCAATGACGACAATGACGTAGTCTAGATCTTGTCAGTTCGAGGGATCCAGGGCTCCGGCGATGCAATGACAGGAAGAATAGGCAGGGGACTTACTCATATTGGCACCCGATACCGGCAGGCTCGTGGGCATCATGAAGAGCTGAAGATTAACGGTTAGATTTACCGGCTGACCAAACCAACATCAGAACCAACGAGCAACCTACAACAGACGTAACGACGACGTATAAAGACGCGACAAGGTTGACCGCCAGTCCCCACCTGCCCAGCTGATGGGGCGTGCCGGGATACCGGTGGGCAGCAAGCACGGCTCGGCCCCGAGCGAGGAGGGCAATGACGGGCACGCCGTACGAGACGTTGAGGAAGATGGTGCAGGACGACATGTACGCGCTGAAGGCGACGGGGGGCCCGAGGTAGAGGAGGCCGAAGAGCAGGTTGAAGACGGTGCAGGCCAAGATGGTGCGCACTGGCACGTTTAGCGTCGGGCTGAGGGCGGTGAAGAACTCGCTGAAGAAGGTGCCTCTGTCGCGGGCCATGCACCAGACAAGCCGGCTCGCGCTGGTGATGCTGGCGGTGGTGCCGTTGATAAAGCACACGGCCATCATCAGGTTCAGGATGGTCGCGGCTGCGCGGCTCTTGGTGGCCTGCAGGATCAGCTCGACAATGGGGATGCCGGTCGTGGACGCCAAGATTGTGGCTGGGTCTGTGAGACCGAACAGGGTGACCAGGATGAATGCGAAGCCACTGCAGATGATGCCTGTTGTCAGCTTCTATCAATCAAGGATTATGTCATTGCACGTACGTGACTCCCCCGACGGCGACGGCGTACAGCATCGCTCTTGGGATATCCCTTGCAGGCTGCGGCATCTCCTCGGCCATATGCATAACGACGTCATATCAGATGAGCGACAGGGCTGGCTGGAGCAAGCCGAGGAGCCACGCCATGCCGTCCGGCCAGCCAGTGGAGTTGTCAAACTCGGTAAAGACGAAGCTGGCCACTGTCTTGTCCGACATTGCGAGCACAATGACGCTGATGATGGACACAGCGGCGATCGACCAGTAAACTACGTCCTGTATCAGCAACTGACCATGAAATGATTTTCTTCTTCTTCTCCTTTTTCTCTTCTCAACTTACGTGCTCCGTCGTTCCAGAATCCCAGAATCTTGTTACCCCAAATGTTGATGGAGGTGCCGAACAGGACCAGAGCTGCGAATATGCCGTAGGTCTTAGCGGCGGTGATTTCGTACTGCTCGTAAGATGCAACGATGGCAGCCGCGGAGATGAACTGGGCTGTTGGTGTTCATTTTGGAAGAGTCAGTTTCTATAGGATTTAGGACACATCGCGGATTCTGTCATCATATATGTGTGCTTTACTTACCACCGAAGAAGGCCTGGACCGTGACGACACTTAGCCAACCGAAGATGTTGGCCCATGCTGTGAAGAAGCTCTACCAGAGTCACGTCAGTGTCGACGGTACGTATACATGTATGAATAAAGGCATGTGCGTATGATTATCAAATATCCCTGTAGTAGTTGTCTGCACATGTACGTACCAAGAGGGGTGCCCACTTCTCAGAGCAGAGTGCATAAACAAAGTGGTACTGGCCGCCCGCTGTGGGCCAGATAGCCGCGAGCTCGCCGAGGCTGGCTGCCAGGGCAAAGTTGCACATCACGCAGATGATGAAGCCGTACAGAAGGGCGGTCGGACCGCCAGAGGGCAAGACGAGGCCTAGGGACCCAGCGAGGGCGATCCATGTACTGTGATGAACAGTCAGTAAAGTAAAGGGGCTGGAAGCTTCATCTGGCCACCGCGGGGTAGAACGCAACTGGGCGCCTGGGGACCGACTTAAGAATGGCGAAGGCCATGGCCATGGTGCTCAGCACTGACAGCCTCTGCTGCAGGTGCCCGTGGGCAGAACCCGTGGGAGCTGCTTGCCCGCGCTTCATGTTGGTGGGTATGATATAATTGCTATAAAAAGTGACAGGGCAGAGGGATGGTGATGTTGACAACAATGGTGTTCCACGATAGGCAGGCGATGAGCCCTCATATACATGCGTTGGGAAGCATCAACACGGGTGCATACTGCGCATGTCATCTTATCATCAACTCTTATTAGGGCTCCAAAACCGACCAATATCCATAATACTTAAGTGTACCTTCAGTGCTCTCAGATACGACAGATTCACAAGTGGGACACGTAACGCGGGTCGAGGCCACCCGACTCAAGCAACGGTCTTATCATTAGCACCAACCTAAATTATATGGGGTACGATCAGCCCTTTCCCGAAACCGGCTATTTTCGGAGAAAAGGTCTAAGCGTCGAGCTGGGTTTTGCGGGATGAATGGTCACTACCGACTAGCCGGCATTACTGGATGCAAGTTTGCTCCGTACCTGTACACGCTGACAATTACGGCTGCTGGTTGGGTGGATTAGACCACCTTCTCCACCACCAGGTTGACTGGTGCATGCTGCCAGGGCAGGGGCCGAGGCTGGGGCTGGGGAGCGTCCTTATCAGACTGATAGGGCAATCTATTACCATGCGCACGGTAGTCAACTGGCACCTGGTTTATTAGTCCCGTTGTGCTTTGTGCCCGTTAATATCACATTGGTCAACAGGTGTATCATCCAGCAATTTTGAGCCGAACTCCGAGTCTATCTCGGGCGGCAGGGGCAGATGCGCCATGGACATACCCAAGGAGACATTCGCCACGGCCGACATGTCGGCAGTAGTGATAGGTCTTTCAGTCTCGGCAATCGGAAGGACCAAGTCGAGGTCCCACAGTGAGGGAGACGGCAGGATGCTAGCAGTTAGGAAGGCGCCAGTCTTGGGGAGCTCCTCGGAGTAAAACACAAAGGCTAAGGAATCACTGAGCAGAGGCAGCAGTTGTTCGTGATGTTACAAAAGAGAAAGTGTTGAAGCACCGCCTGCTACAGAATTACTGGCAAGGCCATCCAGAACAGGTCGGGATGCATGGTCCGCATCGGTCCGCGATGGTATAGACGCATACCGGCAGTCAAGTGGGCCATCTAAGTCAGCTGCCGTGGGAGAAGTCAGTCTCCATTCATCGACCGTGCTCTCGGGAAGTGTGATGATTTCGACGTGAGAGCCATTGGATCCTGGCGAGCTGTGCGTGTGGGGAACCGACGACCCTGTTCATGGGGGAAGCCTGCCGAGCTGGAAGCACTGAGTCTAGCGCACATAAAGATAAGTCGGTGGACTTGGCAGGCCGGCACCACATTTAAACTTTCTCAAGAAATTGCCCCATTCGGGTTGGCGCTGAAACACATGGGTCCCATCTTGATGATAGCAAGCCCACGACTCGAAGTCTGTAGGATGGATCCCCGGCTGTCCCTTCTGCTTCACCGCGATTCTGTTCTGTTGCCCGGATTGATCCTCGCAGGCTCGAATCGAAGCCCTGATTGTGCATGTCTTTGCTTGCACTTGCACTGGATGACTGGTGTTCTGATCAGCACTAGCAGCTTGGGTCAGCTGCCAGCATGTCTCTGGCGCGCCGCGACCACGGTGGGTTTACACTCTCTATTCGGAGTGCAGCATGTCTCTAATTCGCCTTTCTGTTGAAAAGGCTGTCCGCAATGTCGCCGCCGGCGCGTGCGCTGCGATATGGCGGTGCCCGAGTGCCAAAAGTGCATCAAGAAGGGACTCCACTGCAGCGGCCTTGGCTTCGAATGCCGCTTCAGTGCGCACATGAACAGCTCGGCAGAAGACAGCAGTCCCCGCCGCTCAGCGTCCACTACGTCCTCATCGCCAGGAACCGTCGAGACCGCTCAGACACGGCCAGGATCTGCGGGTGTGTCGCCATCCCCAACTAAACGACACCGCCGTCATCGCCATCAATCAAGTATGAACCTTGAAGACCAAGAACGGAGACCTCCATGTCTAGTTGACAAACCAAGCAATCCCCAGGCGGACTATTTGTTACTTGCGCCTGATGTCCCGGACCACTGCCCTTCAGTCAAAGACACAGGCCTCGACATTCTTGTCCAACCACGAACGCCCCAGGCCATGATGCTCTTCTCACACTGTAAGCCACTGTATTACCTTGCTTGTTGATATGCGCCGGCTGACGAGCGGGCGGTTTGCCCATCCTATGATGGCAGTCTCAGAATTCATCGCATCGAAGATGGTAGTGTTTGACTCGAGCGACAATGGGTACCGGCGCATCATCATGCCCATGGCGTGCCAAAGCGACGTGGTAATGAGAGCCCTGTCGGTCGTGGCAGCCTTTCATCTGGCTGGGATGGGCATAACGACCTCGACCGCGAGCAGCCTCCGCGCAGCCGCCGAAGCTGGGCAGCAGGCTATCCTGTCCAAGCTAGTGCAGGACTCGAGGCAGCTAAACCCGGACCGTGTATTCAGCATGTCAACTTGGGCGGCTGTGCTGATACTACTGGTCGGCGACACCATCACTGGCTCAGACAACTACCCGCGGCTGCTCGAGATGCTGCGCCACGTATCGAGCGTCGTGATGGGCTCGGGCTCGAGCTCACCCACCTCAACACGTACAACAAGGGAAGAGACTCGAGATTTTCTCATGCAACAGACGCGAATGTTTGAGCTCCTTGGGTCCGCGCTGACCCAGCACGAGGATAGAGCCCACGACATTCTCTCGGGGCCAGTCGAGCCTTACCTGGCCTTTGCGTCTCCCGACCATGTCAAGGCCCTCTCGGCCAACAACGACTCAGCTCAGCAGGTGGCGACCGTGAAACGCATCCGCTCGGCCATCCAAGCCGCATGTGAGCTCTGCCGCGACCGTCTGCAGCGCAGCGTATGCTTTGAGTGCCCGGCTGCTCGGCTGGACGCACTGCAGCAGTTGGTGGACGAGGTGGCCCTGCCCGGTGTCGACGGCGCCCATGCGCTTGTGTGGCCGTGTTTCGTGGCGGCCGCCGAGGCCGTGTTACCTCGTCACCGCGACTTTTTCTCAAGTCGCCTGCGGGCTCTCTTCGCCTGCACGCATTTCCACACGATTCCACTGGCTCTCGACACGCTCACGCTGATCTGGGAACACCAGGGAAGGCGCAAATGGACACAGATCATCATATCTATGCGGCCGATACTGATAATGTAAAGGAGCTACCTATCTGAACAATATAGAACTGTCCCAAGTGTAGTATTTGCTGCTTGTATCAACCACCACCACTACCACCACCACGGTGCTTGGTTACGAAAAACCCCAACAAGAGCTTACTAGAGTGATGGAGTGCCGGCCAGGGACCCAGTGACAGCCACGACAGCCCGGGCACCCTCCTGTATGGCGCCGTCGATGAAGCTACGCCAGCCTAGAGCCCAATCGGAGCAAGCAAAGAAGACGTGGCCGTGTGGCGCCCGCATGTCGGCCAGGTGGTCTGCCAGCAGGCCGGGCGGCGGGAAGAACCAGGCGCCTTTGGCGTACTCGTCCTTGGACCAGTTGTGGAACACCAACCGCCGCACGCACATGTCCGTCTCGGCCGGCGCCAGGCCGCGGAACGCGTCAACGGCGCGCGCGACGTCCTCGTCGGGCTCAAAGTGGTTGTGCTGCGCGCCAAAGGCCACAATGTGCGCGTTGCCCGCGGGTGTGGTGCCGTCGCCCAGGCTGTAGATGAGGGCGTGGTGCGGGTAGCTGATGGCAGTGACGCTGCGCAGGTGCGTGCCCGACACCTCGGCGTGTACCTTGACGCACTGGTTGACGTGGCCCCGCGAAGCTGCCGCCCGCTTGCCTGGTGATAACGGCGGCGAGAAGGCCACGTTGTCGAGCACGTTGAGCGGCACCGCGCAGATGGCCCGCCGGCCCCTGAACGACCGCCCAGCTCGCGTCTGCACCTCGACGGCCCCTCCCCTGACGCCTTCGAGCTGCTTAATCGCGGCTACTGGCTGCTCGAATGCGTACCGCAGGTTGCCCGTCGCCAGGGCCTCGCGGAAGAAGCGAATGGCAAACGACGACTGGCCACCGTGGAACTTGTACCGCACCAGGTAGTTGATCAAGCCGTCGTACGTGTAGTCGCACAGCGCCCACCAGTGCAAGAACTCGTACAAACTCGCCGTCTCCAGCGTCGCACCGCTGCACAGGAGCACAAACGCTTCCACACACAGCCGCTCGTTGGGCGTCAGCTCGTCGCGAAGCTCATTGATGCGGTCGGCCAGTGTCATGCGGTCATATCGGAGCTCCGCGGCACTCATCTTGGCGCTGTGTGGGAACGGCACTGCCGTCTTACCCAGGTTGCCGTCAACATTGACCAATTTCTCCAGGGCCGTCTTCATCAACGCATCCTAGACGAGCCAAAAGCGCCCTTAGTCAGCCTGTGACCTGCCTGTAACATCCACCACGCCCATGGGACATTCTCGTACCTCGTCAGCATGACTAAAACTCTGTGTTCGCTGGGCGTTGGACAGCAGAAACTGGTCGATGCCCTTGGAGAAGTCGTACGACTCCTCAAGCTCATCCTGCATGCCGTACCGCGCAATTTCGCGCCACACGTTGGTCTGGTTCCAGTATACCCAGGTTCCTCCCATCTCATACGGGTAGCCCTCGATGTTGGAGGACCACGAACGCCCGCCGATGCGGTCACGGGCTTCGAGAAGGAGCACTTTGAGACCTACACACAGGCGCACGCAGCCGTGGACAGCGTCAGCAATCTTGCACGATTGACCCGTGGGAACGGAATATGATGAATCCTGCAGTTCGGGCTTCAATGCACATACCTGCAATACTGGCATCTCGGACCGCCGTAAGGCCGGCATATCCGGCACCAACTACGATGACGTCGAAGTCACCATGCTGGCTGTCATCGTTGAGGTTTGTCGGCGGCTGGATTGCTCCAATACATGGCACACCGGCCTTGAGCCCTTGCGACTCTGTCCACGAGAAACCGTCCTTGGAAGCCATGGCTTTCCAGGTTTTCAGACATACGAATTGAGGAGGCGATGGAAGTGAAGGCCTCAGGAGAGAAGCTACAGTTAACTCTGCAATTTATTGATGCGCGCTTAACGTTGCTGGCTCCGTTTTTCTACGTGCGCTGCTCCGTTCGAATGATTACCACAAATGCCTAGAAATCGCCCTTTCGTGACACGCATCCCGGGCACCGCTGTCCATCCTTGATCACCGACGCTGTTCTCAGGAAATTTCCTGATGGGGCAAAGTGCCTCCCTGCACTGCCGCACGAGTCAGTTGTGGGGACAGGCGAGGAGGTCAAGTATCTGTACTTGTAAGCCTATCGCTATCGGAACAGATTTGGCCTTGAACTTGCGTGATCTTTCATTGGACGTACGGCCCAATCACTTGTTGATAAGGCATGATTATGTTGAAGACGCGGCATTTGAGAGAACAAGGCAATATTACTGGGCGACCTTTCTTATCCTGCACTAATGATCGATTGCTCTAACCAAGCACCTAGTGTTGCCTGTGTCAATGACATTTCTTTTCACAAGAGTCTGCCTTTCGGCATAATTACATGACGTAATAGGGTCCAACCTAAATTGTGGAAAGGTGCAGGCTGGATGCGCGGAAAAGAATGGGACACTTTGAGTGCCCTCAGCGAGTCGTGGCCGAGTATTGATCCCACTGGGACGTTCTACTTAGATCATCGTCGGAGTCTCGCTAGGGCAGACCTCAACCGTCAGCAGCCAATCTTAGCCTTGGCTTTCACCTTCCAGGCCGAATGAACGACGATCTTCGAGAAAGTCGGTGTCGCAACCCTGTGCCTCTGATCGCAGCATCTTCTATAAGACCTTCGCCAATTCAGTGTGCGGTGTAGATTTGCCATGACCTTCGGATCCGGCCGTCGGGTAAATCGCCACAAGCAACCCGTGGCCCGCTTCGCACAAAAGGCTCCTGTTCACCGTGGCTGCGGGAATGATCTCTGGCGAGGCCATCGGGGCCGTCATCAATGCCATTCTCAACCTCGCCAAAGTTGCTGGGCCGAACTACTATGGAACCCAGATCGGCTGCCCGGCCTGTTCCTGCTAGGTTATGAAGAAGGGTTATTGAGCCGGGTTCAATGCGCTCGATGGTTATGTATTTTTGTGTTGACTACTTGAATTGCACGCGTTCACCTAGTGATGGAATACTTGCTATGTCAAATTTTACCTATTTAATCAACTATGCAGCTGCTCCAGTATGAATCCATCATCACCCAGGATGTCTTCCTCTTCGCTGATGAAGGTGTGATATCCAGTGTAGAAAGCAAAGCCCTCGATCTTTACAATTACTCCACCCGCGGTCTCTTCTAATACTCTAGCCTTGAACGACCCCTTCCCGCCTTTGCTATTTGAAAGCAGGGAGTGGTATGTGCGGCCTTCATTTAAATGGATGGCCCCTTGTGCATAGGCAAGCGCCATACGAGCACCAGCAGCACCTGCTTACCATATTAGTGGTCTAATGTGAAATCCTGGATGTATAACCTCGCTTGACGAGAGTATCGAAACTTACTTCCAGTAGGGGACCGGTCGATTTGGTGATCGTCAAAGTAGCATATGCCCGTTTCTGCACTTGTCGTTCCACTACCAATCACTCCTAGCCCAGGTAGAGAAACGACGAGGGCGCGCAGAAGCCCAAGCTCGGCTCCACTGGGATTCGTGTTTGGAGGTGTTACATATTTGCGTAGGCTTGGGTTCTCGTTCACCAAGTCCTTCAGCGTGCTCGTGGCCTCATCCAGGTCCTTCAAGTCACCGCCGCTTAGGTCCGATTTCCCTGCGTCATAGAGTTCGTCGGCACGGACGATGGCAAAGTAGCCACCGCCACAAGCAAAGTCCACGGTCACGGTCCGGACCGACTGGCCGACCCTCCATCTCCTGTCGGCTGGGATGGCGATCTGAACACCAATGCCGGTGGCAAAACATGGGACCGACGTGAAAGACACGGGCGCAGACGCATCTGCGCGATGGTCCGGGCGAGTCTTGACGGCAACGACCACGATCCCGCTCGGGACGTGCAGCTTGATAACCGTGCTGCCGTCATCGGACCTCAGCCGCCACCGGTTGGGGAAGATGCTCGTGTCGTGGGTGTCGATGAGGAAGCGGCCGAGAGCAATGGTGGCGTGGCCGCACATGTTGGAGTAGCCCACGTTGGTCATGAACAGCACCCCAATGTCGGCCTCGCCGCTGTCTACGAGCTCTGTTGCGGGCCTGAGGACCGCGCCGTACATGTCCCGGTGGCCTCGCGGCTCCAGGAGCAGCTTGCGCCTGACATGATCGTACTTGCTGCGGGCCAGCGCGCGCTGCTCCAGCAGAGTACCACTCAGTGGAGGATAGCCGGCGTAGACGATCCGAGTGGGCTCGCCCGTGGTGTGCATGTCGACGGTGCGGATGATGCCGGGCGGCGCATCCCGAGGGGCGCCGATGGCCACTGCTTTGTCCATGGGGGCGACGCCATGCATAGTGAGTGACTGACGGTTAGGCGGGTCTGGGTTGAATCACATCTCTTGGCTGGCCTGTTGGGAAGGTGAGCCAAATTGAGGTTATCAGCACTGCTGAGGCTTGGCCCACCGTGCACGCACGCAGTTTGCGCGGGCGGTGAGAAGAGGCCCTCACTAGACTCGTCGGCTTGCGGCGCAGAGGGCGCAAATTTCCTAATCAGGTGTGTAGACGCGCAGCTCCTGGGCTAAGCTCCCCGCAGAGCCGAGACCGAGGTCCACTTTCGTCCGGTATGCAACCACCGTGCTACAGGTACTCTGAGAACTCATGATAAAGGCTGCGGTTGCTACTGTGACGTGAATCCGACGAGGTAGACGAGACGAGACACCTCAGGGACTCCGGGTCGCCACAGAGAGAGAATCAACATGGCCTGGTGGCGATACCTGGCGAGCTACATGCTATTTGCTTCTTAGGTCCGCAGCGAATATCAAACAATAAAATCCCTAATCAGCGGGAGTCACAGCATCAGAGTCAAGACCTTCACCGGCAACGAGGCTGATCTTTGCAATGCTGGCGGGACACCTCACCACGCCGGCTGGGCAGACTTGGGGCCCCATCATCTCTTTTACTGTAGGCAGAACCGCGTCCCAATCCAAACGGCGTCGAACGTGGCAATGAAGACTGACAAGTGGTTCATAGGGCTCCATGAGGCCCGTCGTGGCCGAGACACTGCCCCTCTACTCCTATGGATGCAAGGCGGCCCAGGGACATCGTCTTTGTTGAGTTCACTCCTTGAGACTGGACCTTGCCTCATCACAGAGGCAAATACCACCGCCTGCAATCCTGAATCATGGGCGGAGAGTTTCAATATGCTCTACGTGGACCAGCCCGCTGGCGTCAGTCTCTCCTACGTTCATGAGCCTAGCGCATATCCCAACCGCACTGGAGATGCGGTGCGCGATGTGGTGTCTCTGATCGAGCTTGTTTATGAAGTCTTTCCTCATATTTCCAAGACCAGCTTGTACATAGCCGGTGAAAGCTTTGGAGGGGAGGTATGGCCCGGCTCTTGCGTCGCTGATCCTTGAGCACAACGCCCGGGAGCAGGCGGACCGTCGGATCCCCCTGCGATCGCTAGCTGTTGTCAACGGATGGATGGACCCCATCATACAGGTTCCTTCCCTATACGACTCATCTTGTCATCCACCACCAGGCTATGGCCCATTCCTGGATGTGAGGAATGCGTCAAAATTGAGTCTTTTCTAGCACCTTGCGCCGCAGACATGGAAGTCTGCAACTCTACGCTCACGGCCGACGACTGGCTCGCAACCTATCCTACTTGTAAGGACGGAATTATTGACATCATTTTGGGCAAGACGGACAAGTCTGCCTACGACCGCAGAAAAGTTGACTGCGTGGGCGACTGTTGGCCCGAATGACAGCTGATATTCTCGACCACCATTTCGAAGTCAAGGCCGCAACGCAGAGCAAGAGACTGAAGTGGGATTTATCAAGCGACGTGATCAGCGAGAACTTTGACACCAGCGGCGACTTCGTTACACTGACCAACCGAGAGCTGAAGCGGGTGCTGGACTTTCCGGAGGTTGGCGCGCTTTTTTTGTCTGGCGCTGCTGATGTATCGTGCAACTCCCGTGGTATGCTTGACGTCTTCAAGCAAACTCAGTGGTCTGGGAGGGAGGATATACTTCGCGCAAGGGGGGCCGATCTGCCGTCGAAGACACGCACGGGGCCACCCGTGGGTCGACTCAAAGGAATCAGTGGGTTTTGGATAGCGGGAATATATGACGCCGGGCATTTGGTGAGCCGCCACCTCCTCATGGTCTTCTCTGCCAAACTGCTGATTGTACTGACGTTTAAAACTAGGCACCTCTTGATCAACCCGGTGTCACTAGACGGCTCTTGCAGTCCTGGCTCGCAAGCGGGGGGATGCGGTCATCTGCAGTAATCGGCGCTGTCGAAGGGGAGGACGGACAGAAGCAAATTAGTGAGCTGTACTTTGTGCGCAATGACTTGATTAGTTTATTTTCTCCAGAACCCAATCCACAGCAGGGCCCTTCCAATGCTTTGTGAATAGCCCGTGCAAGCCGTACTCGGATCCCTGCCCTGCGTTTATTGACGACATGCTTAACTTCTCCTGGTGACAAGCAGCAGCACCTGGAAGACCTGCTACAAGTTTTCAGGGTCTTCGAGGATGAGGGTTTCTCTGTCCCTAAAAAACGCCCTTCTGGGGCTACCCGTCCCTGGGCTTCCTGGGCTTTAATATCCGCGCCTTTCGTACGAGTATCACTGGGGGACCCCTCGCTGCCTTCTGCGACCTCGCCCAATACCCTCGTGTCTGCGGAGTTCTGGAGTCTGTTAACCTACTACGCCCAGTCGGTCGAGCCTTTGCAGAAACAATGAACCGTGCAACTCGCAGGGGGTCGAAAGTCCGGGCATTTTGACGCCGGTCCCAGATGCGTCAGGCGTACTGTAGGCTGACCAACATAAGCCGAGAAACAGAGCTTCGCAGCTGTTGAGCCAGCTTGCAACCATTCTAAGGACTTTGACTGGATGGTTAAATCCGGGATATATGATGGGCGTGGAAGCGCCTTCGTGACGATACAGTCCAACACAAATTGGACCTTTAATACCCTGTAATGTGCCAAAGGACAGATCCTGATGTGGAGCCATCTATATGATAGCGATTCTCTCAAAGCTGAGGGCTTCCCCAAGCTCTCCTTCTTCCACGGGTTCGAGGTATGCATCTCCTACCAAGATCCAGCACGGCGTCTCTCGCGCTCTAGCTTCGCTTAGGCGACGCTCTGTGCCCCTCAATTCTTCCTCCAAGAACGACAGCAACTTGATATAATCACGACGGCTGACCTGTTCGCCTTTTCCGCGGTCTTTCAGCTGCTTCAGCATTCCCTGTAGCGTATGAGAACGTCGTGCCAAGTCTACTTCCTCTCTGCGGAATACGAACGGAACTACGCAGCCCGGTATAAGCATGACTTGGTCACCTACTTCGGCCAGTATAGCGGCCAGTCCCACAGACCCGCTCGCCGTGGGACAAAGCTGACGGCGCAGCATTGTCGTTTCACGCATCGATTCCCACGCCCTGCACGCATCGCTTACGGGCGGCGTTTCAGCACTGGGCGGGCCGTGAGGTGGTGAGCCTTGTGAACCCCCTTCTTGTGCGCCTGCGGACGCGCCGGCATCCCCTCGCATCGGCAAAAGTGATTCCTCGCCGGGCAGTGGAGTAGCTACAGGCTCGCCAGACCAGGGCAGCTGCGTATACTTGTCCCTGAGGGCACTAAAGATGTACACGACTTTTGAGAGTTGCTCCTGAGCAATGTCCAGTTGCTGGCGAGCTGCGCGAAAGGCCAGGGCGTCCTTTGCCTTGGACGTTTCGAGGTCGTTACCGTGCTGGCTGCCGAACCTTTTCCGTGCCGCGACCTTGTGTTTGTCCATGGCCTCGCGCTGCATGGCGATCTCCGCTTGCAGTTTGGTGATTTCATCACGGACTTGGGACTCCATCGCCTCGCACATCCAGCCTGCCGCTTCGCCGTGCGTGATCCTCCTGTCGCCAACATGACCGCCCACCATGACGTGGGCTAGCACTTCAAACAATGTGAGTTGCTCTGTGGAGACATCCGCGTTGGGATCTGGCCGGCTGCCAATGGCTCTTGGATCGTACAGTGTTGGGTTTTGCACGAGGTAATACATCAATCTCAATAGCGCATCAGAGATTCCTTGGAGAAACGGAGCTTTGACAATGTCGTCTGTGGGCCCGATGCTGTCGAGTACTACAACACTGATTGTGAGGGTCCGGGCATCCGCAGATATGACCGGCTTGCGTCTCTGGTGTCTAGCTTCTCCAGCCTCAGCGAGATGGGAGAGACGCGACGGCCACACCCTTGGTCCCTGAGAGACTTCAAAAGGAATCGCGTCTGTGGACTGTGGTAGCATCTTGTGTCAGTTGCACCGAGGAGACAATCAGGTAAGCCAGTCACGGCTATTCATCTGGCAAACTGACCTTCCACAACCATGGCGCCGGAACCCAGGACGGGACGGGATGCAGAGGCTTTTCATCCGGCAGGAAGGCGTTCTTGAGTCTACCGAAGCCGTCGGCGTTGTCATGCTGCCGCAGTGCCAGGCTCAACACATCGCCGACAGAGTCGTGAGTGAGCAAGCAGGCCGTGGCATTGAGAAGCACTTCTCTGTCCGAGACGGAGTAGTCGGGTGCTAACTCTGACCAAAGGCGGATTGGTAAGTGGCTTTGACCTGCACGAGAGCTGGAGGGTTGCCGAAGTTCTGTTTCCTGGGTACTTTCAGGGAGGGGGCCAGGCCATGTCCGAGGCATGCTGGACACGGGCTGTAGGCCTTGGTCGATGGTGAGGCACTCCGGCCTTACAAGTGCCAATCCCGCAAATACATAGTCTTTCACCACCGAGGCTTGCCTGCCCTTGCAGACGCGGAACCATTCTAGCAGAGACCACTTGTTGCCTTGGATGAAGTCGCGTCGGGCGTCCGCCGTCAGGGGAAGGAGCTCCAACCGGGAGGTGGCATGCGGCCACATTCGCGAGAAGACCATCGCTCGCAAATAGCCTTCGGCTGTAAGCTGTGCCCGTCTGGCATTCAGCAACCTGCCAGAGAACCAGGAGCGCGCGAAAGATAGTGCCTCGGAGCTAATCTCGTGCTCTCCGTGGATGTAGATCGCGTCCCTGGCTAGGCAGAGTTCTTGTACCACCCATACGCGGCGACACCACGCTGCCGACTCCATGTGTAAGAAAGCGCATGGTACACGGGGTTGTCCTCGAGCGAAACCGTCTTCATGACCAAGCGGACATGGTTGTCGTCTTCGTCTTTTGCAGGTTCGAGGCGGAGGACTCGGATAGATGTTGATGTCGGTAGTGTGTCGTACGGAAATGCTTTATCTCCAACCAGTTTCTAGGTTGACAGAATATAAGCCTCAACTTTGCAAGTATCAAATCAACTCGGCGTTGTTGTGTTCAGACCAACCTGTAATACTGCCTTTGAATGCCGCAGAGAAGGCGAATTATGAGATTTTTCCTGAAGTGTTGCAAACGCGACGAATGCCTTGATGATCGTGTCGTTGGAAAGGATGGCCATTATGGACCAGTGAACCTATTTGTCGATATGCACAATGTATAACGAGACACGTATCGCAGAGAGAAGTTTGCTACCTCTCGCCACGTTTGAGGGGTCGGTGTAAGACCAAGTTAGAGAAATATGGTTTATCAAGCTGTCTATGGCTACTGACGTCATTGCAGTCATCTCTGATAAGGAGGGGCAGTAAGCAGGGGTTCGGGAACTATGCAGCGAGTGTCTGGTTATGACGCGGTTCTTGAAATGGAGCCGTATGATTGGCAGGTGCAAGACGGTGCACAACAACGTGTGGAGAAGTTTCCAGCCCTGGGCATGCTTGACTGCAGAAGCATATTTCCAAAGCCGGAGTGCCAAATGAGCTGCTTAACTTGGCATTATGGAAGTAGGAAAGGTTGCTCCTTTGTCGCCCAATCTTGGGTTCACAAGGTCGCCGGCTGCTGTCCAAATCCACCAGCATTATCGACTAAGTCGCTCAGCTGCTTGAGCCTGAGATCAAACGAGATTTCCTGCATCGCTACGGTGATATATTGACCTCCAAGCCCAATGACGGATTTTGGTAGTGCGGTGAAGTTAACGTCAGTCATGAGAGCCACCTGCTGACATACGCTGGACTCAATATCAACGTTGAGTACAGACTCGGGTTCACACGATTGTCAATAAATTGAGCTTCTCGCTCGACCTTAGTTAAAGTGACTCCACGTTCTACCATACAGGTGAACTCGCGGGCGATATTACGCTCGAAGCTATTGCAAAGGTCCTCTTTCATAAGAGCCTCATAATTAGTCTTCCTCTTGCCCGCGTATCCTGCAAAATCGCCGGCGAAGCCATAATCGGGCCCGACACTACCTAAAATATTGATAAACCGGTGCTGCTCTCTTCCAAGACACAGTGCAGTGAGCCTCACGTTAAGAAAGGTTAGATTCACCAAAAGCGAAGCGATTCAAGCACGTGTTGTCTCGGAAGATGATCCTATGCCTCCATCTCCGGCTCTGCAGTAGTTCTCCTGCAATTTCTGCGTCTGATAGCTCTAATTGCGTCTCTGTCTTAAGGGCCCGTAATACGTAGGACCGGACCAAGCCAACTTGTCCAGTCTTTCGGATTGTCATAATCCCGACTAACAGGTAGGAGGCGCAGAAGTAAGCGGAAGTCGCCGGGTGGTACGAGATAATCGTTATTATCCGAATCAACCAAGCCGCCCCACCAGGAGAGAATATGGAAGGTTGGGTCCATATAGTAGCTACCAAAGAGCAGCCCAAAGGATTCAACGCCGCCAAACGTATTATCGATAGGTAAGATCGGTGTAGTAGTCTCGAAATCATGGGATGCGTTGAAGCCGTAGTATGTAGGCTCAAATGTAATGTTCGCTGCCACGAGGTCGACGCGGTAGACGTAGGTCGGCTGGCGGGCGAAGTAGGTCATAGTTACGTACTCGCCAGCCGTCGTATTATAAGTAACCACGTCCTCGGTGTTGTACTCTATCGCGCCTCCTCCACTTGACAAGTGGCCCATAGCTGGCAATTGTGGGTTGTCGTCGATAAGGGCGCGCTCCAGCACGGGAACCTCGTTGACGACATAGGTCAGGCCTTGGTAGGGCAGTGTATACACGTCGCCTCCACCTCCAGAGACAACCAGGCGGATATAGCCAGAGTATATGGGTACCGTATCGGGATCGAGCCCCGATGGCGGCGTCACGACAAAGGAGACGGTGGCGGACTCTCCGGGCGCCAAGACGATCTGGGTTGGGGTCTCAAAGTCGACGGTGGCGTATATGGGCTTCGATGGGAACCCGTACACCATGTTCCCCACCACGTTGAGGTCTGCATACGGCGTTCGCTGCATCAGTCCGGCCGGTACATGGCTGATCTCAAATGTCTTGCTGTTTCCCTCAAGGTCCGTGTTGGTGAAGGTGATGTTCTTAGTGACTGGCTGCGCGCCCTGTCCGACCAGCACGACGCTCTGGTCAAACTTGGTCCCTCTGCTGTTGTACGCGTTCCAGACGTTGATAGAGCCCGCGCCCTGGTGGGCAACGCTGTGCGTGATCCTGTCGTCGCCCCACCACTTTGACGGCTGCGCCGTTGTGGTGAACAGGTTGGTCATCTCATCGACGCTGAGATTGGGGTATGCCGACTTCAGGAGGGCGTAACATCCGGACACGAATGGGGTGGCTGTTGATACAAACTCGGTCAGTATGAATGTCATCCGAAACCAATTGCGTTTCACTCACCCATTGATGTGCCGGAGATGATGGCGTACCCACCAACCGACAAGGGCCAAGCACTGAGGATGAGGTGGCCGGGTGCGGAGATGGTAGGCTTGAACACGCTGAACTCCCAGGTGTTCCCCATAGTCGAGTAGTTACTGGTGAAGCCGGCACTTGGATTATCGACAGACAGGAAGCGGCGGTCCGAGAACTGGGCGCTGTAGAAAATTGGGCCAGCTGCAGTGACTGCGGCATACAGCTTGGGCCCATCTACGTGGTCCATGGAAAGTATGATGAAATCACCCGGCCCGGAGCTCTGGTAGTCGTTGTCGGCAGGATTGCGCAGCTCCTGGTCCCTCCAGACCACGACTCCTTTGAAACCCAGGGAGCGTGCGTTGGTAAGAGGCAAGCTCAGATCGCAGAGGTACGTCTTTCGAACCATGTACAAGGTGGAGGACACGTTCACCCCGACGGCCTGGGCCGCCTTCTGGATGGAAGCGTATTCGCAGCCCGTGCTCTCGTCGTAGTCGGCTGATGCGTACACGGGGAACTCGCCATCGAGCGGCCATAGGCTACCATACCGCCACTCGCTGCTGCCATTGCCAGTGCTGCTCGTCCCCTGCATCTTGTACGTAGTAGGATACTTGGCCCCGTCAAGCGACGCGACGGCCACCGCATCCGGCGCAATGGCTGGTGAGCTGGTGAGCATCGGGCCCAGATTACCCCTGTTGCCCGCGGCGATGATGGTGGCGATGCCTCTACTCTTGGCGTTGGTGATGATCTGGCCGAAGGGATCGGCGTCCTCGAAACCACTGTCCGAGCCCAAGGACATGGACACGATATCGACACCGTCGTTGTAGGCGTCCATCATGGCCTGCATCACGACATCACTGGAGGCGACGCCGTTGCAGGCAAAGATGCGGTACATGCCGAGTGTTGCTTCCGGGGCGACGCCGAGCATGCCAAAGCCAAAGTCGTCCGGGTCTTCGCCTGCAATTATACCCGCGACGTGCGATCCGTGTCCGCCTGATGAGCATGTGGCGATTGGATCGTCAAGTCCGCCCTGTCCGTCGTCGAGGACGTAGTTGCGCCCGAAGGCAACCTTTTTGCCGGGGCCGAAGCCGCCGCCCAGGCCTGGATGGTTGTAGTCGACACCGCTGTCAATGATGGCAATCTTGACACCCTTGCCCTTGACCCCAAGCGCGTGAAGGCGATCGACACCGGCCATCTTGAGGTTGTCGTCAATCTTGTAATCCTTATCCCGGACGATGTCTGTCGAGTACCCTTCACCAGGGCTGCCGACGCTACCGTCGAACTCGGTAAGATCGACCAGGCTAACAGGACTAGGCCGCGAGATGGTCACAACGGGCCAAACCCTGCTGACTTCTGGCAGGCGCATGAGCACATCCTTGTCATCCTCCTTGGCCAGCTCAAGGGAAAGTCCGCGAAAGAGGGAGGCGTCTGTGAACTCGTGGCGAATCTGGTAATCGACATTCTCTGCCTCGGCCCGCTTATAGAAGCGTGCGTGTATGCCGCTCGACGAGTCGGAGTAGGAGTCGGAACGGCCGTTGAGGGAGGCTGCGTCCGGCTTGAGCTCGACAATGTAGGCCTTGGGGACAGTCTGCGGCACTGACACGCCCGATTGTACGGCCGGGTGGGACGGACTTCCGGCCGTGGCTGTGCTCCTCAGCACACCGGGGCCGTCGACGTCAATCGTGGCTGCATGTGCGCCTGGCGTAGTCACAAGAGCGGCTGCGCCGATGAGCACAGGCAACAAGCGACTTGCGACCATGGCGACCGTCTGCCTAGGAAACAGTCACGATATGATGAAAGATGGACTCCCCGAGGTGTAAGCCGCAGATGGGTGGTGTCTTGCTCCAACTTACTCTGTGGCTCACGAGACGAGCGTGACTGCCGGGTTATCTATACTTCTATCACGCGCGGAGCACATCTTATCAGCTTACAAACAACGCAATAACTGCCATGCATGGATTGCATTTGGATCTGCAGTCTTGGCATTCTAGAAAGGAGTATAGAGCAGCGCGCCAAACAAGGGTCAGAGGATTGCCGACATCCCCGACGCCATGATAGTCGCATTTTTGGGGAAGAAAAGCTCGATTCAGAAGGAAGTATAAGCCTTCTTGCATTCACCAAAGTTCCACTATGAGAAAACGTGACCCCCGAATACGAATAACTGCTACGTACTGTATTCTTGACAAACCACAGAGGTCCGATCAGGAAGGTGCAGTACGCGCCATGCCGTGCATACCCGGTTGCGAGCAAGGGGCTTCTTCCCTCATAGATAAGCTCCATGTGCGGAGGATTCTGAACACGAAGTGAACTACTATGTCTTACATCACGCGATTCAGCCATCAGGGGTCCTGAAAGGATAAGACACCATCTTACCCCGCATGAGCCCATGTTACGTCGCAGGGGTTCTGCAAGGATTACACAGTCTTCTTCCGTGCATAATTAACCATTTACGACATCTTTTTCAACCTCTACGCTCGTTAAGAAACGCTTCAACGAACACTGACGTGCTGGACAGGTTAGTCAAATCAGGGTAGTTAGGGTCAGATTGTAGTTAGAGATTGTGTGGCCTAAGGGCTCGGGGGAAATTTTCTGTGTTTTTGGATGGGGTGTTTAATCCTTGCAATTATCCCTACTGGTTGATACGGCTTGACAACCACCACCGATAACGTGAACATGGGTGCTGCAGAAGCGGAGACTGCCACATGCACAACAAAAGGGGCAGCCCGCGGAAGCCCAGCAACGACAGGGTTCATGATCGTTCACCCATTTGGCGGGGATTCTGCATGACAAAATCACCTCTGACAGCTCGTTCCATCGGCGTGCAGCGCACAACCCGCGGTAGGTGTTATTGTAACTCAATCCGGAGCCTTGCGTACTGTGCACGCTGGGAGCGGCTACCGGAGTAGCTTCTTCTCTGCTTCATCGTACCAATATCCCGGTACCAAGAGATGTGAGCTCAGCTTTGCGAGTGAAGCGCTGTCCCGGCAGCGATTGTGAAAGAGGGCTTTTAACGTCTTGACCTATCGCTGCGCCTCAATGGTATAGTCGTGGAGAATGATGTGGTAAAATTGCAAAATTAACGTCGGTAGTGGTGGTCGGAGAGTGTTGTGAATTTTCTCGATTTGTCTACGCAATCGGCGCAATTTGTGAAGCGTGGCAAAGTGCATCTGGGTGCTCGGTCTTTCTCCCCCGCTCCTCTGGACAACGCTCTGATCAATGGACAATAAGTATTAGCATTTCTAATACCAGCTTGCGTGCGTCCCATAGTTGGGCACGATTGACGCCTTCCGCATTCATCACCCCTACCGTACTGAAGATGTGCACAGCTGTATGGGATAAAGTTATATCCACGTCGACTTCCACTTTCACCAATTCTGGACTCTTATATACGCCCCCGGCACACCCACCTGGTCGCAATGGCTGAAATACTGCAGGAAAAGGCACAGAAAGCACTGCCACGGAACCCAGGTCGGCGCCAACAAGGCTGAGCATGTCTTTAACACGCTTTTCCAGGTTTCCTTCATATCTCAGTACTAATATATCGAGTTCGCAGAGCCGCTATCGAGGAGGTTTCATCTTCCAGACCCACTCGTCCTGTAAGTAGTCATTCAAGTGCTAGGAAGTATGTCCGTGGGGTATTAATGATTAACACATCTTGGTTTATGGCAGGGCCAAAATAAGGAATCCGAGATCAAGCGCCAAGGCTATAAGATGCCCATGCTTGTGAGCGGCGGGCCCTGATTAGCTTCCGGCTCGTTAGGAAGCGGCAGCCCGAGCAGCTCGGGCCGTCGGGGGCCGGCAGCTGCTCCATATGTAGTGATTCTTCGGCTGGCACTGATACGGTATGTGAGTTAGCGATCGGGGCGCGGCGGCGTAGATATAGTCGGCGATGTGGCGTATTGTCTCGTCCTTGAGACGGTACGGTCCGCTAGAGTTGTAGCCTTATACCGTCCGGCCGGCTCCAGCGTACGGCTCTCAGGTAAAGCCCCACGTGTAATTTCGAGCCTCGATACCTCGATGAATAAGCGGCAGGCCGTCGGTCTGGCTTAGGCCTTATTATAGCCCGTGCCCCTACGAGCAACCTGACTGCGTTAGGTCTGTTTCAGCAGGAATTATAGCTAAATCTTAAGCTAGGAGAGTGGATTTGCGGGGACTTGGATTTCGCAGACTAGTGTTTTTTTTTTCCGTCCCCACTCTGGATTAGCTCGTTATCCTGGCCTCGTGTCTGTGCGGGTAATAGTTGCGCCGCACTTTCGTGGTCGTCCCCTGGTTGCAAGTGTTGAAATTGGTCAGCGCTTCCACACGCCTGCTGATAAAGACGGCAAGGGTAATCCGGCTTTGACAAATACTTGTAGGATACCTGTAGATGCGCAAGGAGTCGTGCGACGACAGCTGTATATATAAGGTGAATAGTGGCGAACGTATAGCAAGTATTCTGCAGCTCGACTAGACTGGACAAGAACGAGCAAATAGAGGAGCTGGTTGAAACAACGTCTCATTCACCTTGCATTCCATCATTCATAACATCGGCGCTCCTGTTCCGATAATTCACTTTGCTTTAGCAGCTACCGACAATGAGTCCTTCCACGTTGCCCGTCCCTCAACGTATTTTGTCGCAGAACATCCTGCCGGTCCCGGCTCACCATAATGAACCCGTTGTGGAGACTACGGTCCAAGAGATAGATGTGGCAGACGTGGCGGGGTTTGGTGGCATGCTGAGGAGAGGCGCCGTGGCCAACAGCGTGTTTCCAGCTGAAAATGACGGCTTGTAAGTCAATTCTCGTCATGCTTCCAAAATCGTCCCGAGGACGCATATATAGATACATGCTTACCTCCGAACTGACTCGATGATGGCGCCAAACCTGGCTCCGGCATTGTATATCCGGGCGGAACGACTGTGTACTATCTCGACCTGGCTCCTGGCAGCAAGACACCCATGGTAACGTCCCGACCATCCCCATGGGCCGTCCCTGCTTTCCGCATCTCGGGTTACATTGTTGTATAGAAGCGTGCTAACTTCTTCCCAACAAACGATCAACAGCACCGGACAGTCTCTGCCGACTACATGATTGTGCTCGCGGGAAGCCCAACCTTGGTCGCACCCAAGGGCGCGTTCAGTGTTATCGGTGGCAAGGCGACTTATACCGAAACTGTTGACACCGTCGTCCCGCAGGGGTCGACTGTGGTTCAGAGAGGACAGTTCCATGCGTGAGTCCCCGCATGAGCAAATATCTTGGCAAGAACAGCGTGCAGATTCACAATGCTCTACAAGAACAGCTTGTGTGCACATGCTAACTGCGTATTGTGTATAGCTGGGAGAATCGCACCGAAGACTGGGTGCGCTTTGTCGCCGTCGTGGTCGATGCGCAGCCACAGGTCGTGGTCACAGAGTCCGGCAAGGCAACCCTGGGAGAAGCCTGGCTGTAACTTAGCATATCTGTGATGACATTTGACTGGATCGATTTAGTCTATGCACGAGTCCTCTTGCGCCCGCGCGACCATCACTACGCCCGACTCGGGAGAATGCATCAACACTTCATCTGCTATTTCTTGACCGTATGAGGCAGCTCCTTCCCATCGCCTTCCAATTCCTTTTCCCAAAATTATTGCTAGTTAGAGACATGTATGTTATCGCCAGACAATAAACTCCACTCCCTAAAACCTTCAATGTCGAGAATGTCGTCAGAACCCTCAGCCTTGCCCTTGCCAAACTTTGTGAAATCCCACTTCTCGACCCCATCGACGCCGCGCATGCTGTCAGAGAACTCGCGGAATACATCGGCATTGAGCCGCTCATATTCCTTATAATCCTTCGGCCAGGCGCCTAACCTCTGCACAGCGAGCTTCAGTAGACGGAAATGCAGCCTTACCCTGTCACCAGTGGGCATAAAGTGCTGGTCGATATCGTCCGCGGCAGCGGTGCTAGTGACAGGGCTGCGTGGCTGAACACCGCCGCAGGTCCCGTCGACATTGGATGAGAATATGAAGGGTTCCTCAGCAGCAGCGATCTGGATGCCAGCGACACCACTGGCGCTGGACCTCGAATCAGCGTTGGAGTGGTCCCATGACATCGCGGGTCCCTCCATGTCGACGAAGCCAACCTCACTGAAGCTCCGCAAGACCCCTTCGTGCACTGCGGCCGCCTTCTTGAGGTAGCGCGCTGGCATGCCCGCGATCTTGCCGTCTTTGCTCTGCTGCAGGTACCGCAGGGCCACAGTCGTGTACATGCTCGCCAGGAAGCGGCCCATGTCGAGCGTCCTGCCGTGCTGCGAGCCGTGCACGCGGCGCGAGTTGTAGACGACATCCTCGGCCAGCCTCACGGCGCCAGGCGTGTCGCCAACCAGATAGCGCGAGAGGATGACCCGTTGCGACAGCGCACTGGTGATATGCCGCGGCCATGCGCTGGCGCGCTTCTGGTCCCCGGCCACCGCTGCGGCGCAGTTGTCACGCGAGGACGTCCACAGGGACGTCAGCAGGTCGGAAAGGGTGGTGTAGTCCCGTTGGGAGCCGATGATGGAGATCAGACGGTCCAGCTGGGGCAGCGGGATCAGAGACATGTTTGTCTTCTTGAGCAGGATGCGTAGGGAGAATCGGGTGATGGGCGTGGAGGCGCTGAGCAGCTGAGCCATGGTCGCAGCGTTCGCCTTGACGGGCAAGTACTTGGTCACCAAAATGGCAGACGCGCCCGGGGGGAGGGCGTTGGTAAGGCGGGGTTTAGGAGAGGGAGAGTGCTCCTTGTCCGCGTGACTGTGGTGATGGTGATGGTGGTGGTCGCCATGGCTGGCACCTGTCCCTTCAGCAAGTGTCAAGCCCATAATGAGGACCGTCCTGGCTACATCTCGTTCCTGGCAATCGGGCTGTTGTGTGGATACGTACGTGAAGACGGCGGTCGCCAGGTCGATTGCACCTTCGTACTTGCCTTCTTGAAGCAAGTGCTGCACATCACGGACGGCACCGATACACACAGACCTGAGGAAATTGCTGGAGCGGTGCTTGCTGAAGTATTGCAGTACGCTCTGCAGGAAGATTGTGCTGTGTGAACCCTTGGCAAACTTGACTGTCTTCGCCGCGTGGCTGGTGAAGCACTTGGCGAAATCGGCAAATACTTCGTCCGCAGCGTCAAATCGTTCGCAGCTCTGCAAGTGGCCATAGAGGCGGGACGTGGCGGCTACGAGAGAGCAGAAATCATACGTCTTTGCTGAGATCAGAGCTCGGAACTCGGTAAAGTAGAGGTACTGCGTTGTGAGCTGCGCCAGGATATCCGTCACAGTGATGGTTTTGCTGTGCCGGCAAAGGGTGTACTCGAACTCGGCCAGAAAGACGAGGACCTCGCGATTCCTGTGCGTCAAGTTGAATCCACAAGACGCGACCTGCTTCGCGTTCTTCATAATGATTTGGCGGTAAAGCTCATGCTTGATCTCGATGGCTTTGTGAACTAACTCCGAGGACACATAACTTGATGCGATTGTTGAAGCGGCGGCAATAAGACGGACCGACGATGTCTCCTCGGACAAGATATGAACAGTCGCCTCTCTCAGCTCAGTAAGGATCGTCTCGATTCGGATTGTCGACTCCTCCTTAGTGGTTGTCGTAGAGGTGCTATAGAATTTGATAAGCTCGCTCAATTTGCAAAGCGATTCTTCATGCGCCCAGCCATGGGTTTCGCGGATCGTCGTCACACGCTTTCTCAGTGTCTTGATCGCCCTCTGTACCTGCTCGGATGAAAGAGTGACTGTTGTGGTGGTGGAAGTGGTCGTCGAGGTAAGCACGTCCGTCTGCGACTCATAGATGGACTCGAGATAACCACAAATCTCCTCGTGGTCAATCTCGGCGCACTCGATGTGCAGCAGCGCTTCAAACAGCTCGATCGCGAGAACCTCGTAGCGCTTTGACTCCATACATAGCCTAGCCAGATGTAATGTAGCATGGACCGTGATTGACGCTGACATGCCAAAGATTGCCTTACATTGCGCTTGGTATTCGACGCAGACGCTATGCACCAAGCTGAAATCTGCCCGTACGGTACGCAAGCAGTACGTGTACTTGTCAAAGACACTTCTCGCAAAGACGGAATCCGAGAACTTGCTGTAGCACTTGAAGTCGTGTAGAAAAGTCGAGAAGATGACCTTGAAGTACGACAAAGCCTCCGTAAACTGACCCTTGCTGTACAGCTCCGTAGCCACGATGATGAAAGGCTCAAAGGCGTCATGGCAGACAATAATGCCCTTGTCGTTGTCTTTGTGGAGCGCCCGGATGATCTTCTGGTAGTACTCAATGTAAATGGGCCTGGGACGGGTGAGCTCGGCTAATATCCACAGTTGTTTGACGACAAGTGCATGGCCACTGCCGTAGTGGCAGGTGTAGTCATCGAGAATCTCCTGATGGGTAACGATAAGCTGTTCGGTCTGTTCAGCGCACTTGAGGAAGTGTACCAGTGCGTGCGTGGCCTGCCCGCGGAGCTTGCTGTCGACCTTGCGGCAAGACCGCATGGCTCTGTACACGCGCACCCTGATATCTCCCTCCTTGGCTTTGCGACGACGATGCCGATAGCACTCGGCGAGACGGGTGGCCATGTCGACGCAGTGCTCAACGTGCTTGGCAGGAGCGATGACGTCCTGGATGTTTGCCGCAAATAAGGACGGCCAGATCCCGCGCAGAATCTGTTTCAAGAGACGAGAGCTGTCGTGCCACCGGTGTTCGGCTATGTAGATGCGAACGAGACTGAATGTTGCAGTAAAGGTTGTCTGCTCGATGGTTGTGATGGACTTGCTCTGCTCCAGAACCATCTCTTCAATCATCTCCTCAGAGATAGTGGTGGTAGTGCTGGAAGTACTGCTGATTGACTTGAAGATCTCCTCCGAGGTGGATTCGATGGTGATCTGAAGCTCCTTGTATACAGAGGTCTCGGTCTTTCTTGTGCTCTGGAAAAAGCTTGAGACACGCTTCATGATTGTGAGCGACTCGGAGACGAGTCCCATAGTCTTCATCATAGCCGAGATCTCAAGATACCACGAGCTCGTCTCTTCCGTGATAACCACTGTTGTGGACTTGAACTCCGCGTACGCAATGGACAGGATACTCCTGGCATACTCGACACGGGTCTCTTGCGTCATGAGGAATCGCGCATAGCACACAACAGTGCGTAACTTGCGCTCCTCCCAGATCGACGAATGCGAGATGCGGAATTCTCGGTTGACATGCTCCCAGATCTCGACATAGGTGTGTTCGGCGAGTTCAATCCGCCCTTGCTCCAGATACTCTTGCGCCCTCAGCAGGAGCACCTCAAATTCCCAGTGCACGCCTCCATGAAAGTCGAGAGACTCATCGCAGTCCTCTTCATCGAGACTCAGGATGATGCCGACGTCAGACCCATGTGGGTGGCCCTTGCGGCCGCGTAGATGAACTTCCAGACTCCCGTCCATGTGCTTGTCATCCGCTGTGGGGATATCACTTTTGCCCGTGATAATCCGGATTTTGACAAGAATGGCTTCGGCTTTCTTCTCATCCTTGAGCAGCCGATAATGGTCGATGAGCATTTGGTAGGTGCTGACGACGTACTCAGAACTCTCGCCGTACTGGACAGTATAGCATTCAACCAGAATTCGCAAGACCTGCTCTCGGTGGAGCATGACGTCCGTCCTGGCACTGGTCAGGAGTGCGCTCGTAAGCTCGAGGAAGACCTTGGAGAGATGTACGGTAATAGCGGAATTGGTAGTCAGAAGCGCATGGGAGATTGTTGCCGCCTCGTGGAAGCATGTAATTGCGTCGGGGGTGAAGTCTACCTGCCGGTACACGTTGCCCAAGAAGATAAGCACCTGGAGTGTTACAACACTCTTTGTGGTGAATAACTCTCGGCAAATAGTTGACAGCATGCTGTAAAGCGTCAGCAGGACTGGGGTTGGCCGGTGCTCCCATAGCGCCGCTTGCAGCAGCCACACTGTCATATTCTGGGGCAAGAACTTGGCGACAAGCCTGGCAGCATTGCTGTCGCCGTTCTCTGTGGCTTGATGGTATGCCAGGCTTTTGCGCAAATGCGTGGGCCAGTAGCAGACAGCAAAGTCTAGTAGGTGGCTCCTAGTCGTAAGCTGGTGAACTGTCTGGCTGCCCAGGATCGTGAGAGAACACTTGTGTTCTTCCGTGACGGTAGAGCTGATGTATACCAGCAGTCTTACTGCAAAGTCACCATGGCGGTCCTTAATCGCTCCCTTGGCAGTAGCCAGGTACTCGATGGTTGCTTGGCGGAAGGTTGCATGGCGGAAGTGTACAAGCCCGTCCTGCTGATGCAACAGAGACCAAGCAGGGTTGAGGATGCCGTTAACGTTGATCTTGACTCCGGAATCCAAGGTCTTTTTCTCGACGTTAACAGTTGCGAGTATCGCCAGCTCACCGACGCTGAGAGGGCGCTCAGAAGTAACCATCCAGGTCAACAACATGCGAGCCTGCTCCGTAACCTCGGGCGCCGACAATGTGTTGCGGACAAAGTCGAATACTGTAGACTTCTCGATCTTGTCCAGCGCAGCCGACACGGCTTCGGCTGACTCTTCACGACGAAGTAGTCGACTGGCCTGCTTGGCCCAAACGAAACTACCCTTGGACGCAGTAACGATACGATCAACGAGAGCGTCTCGGTCGGCTTCGCTCATCGACACGTATAGCTTCCAGCCGCCAAAGTAGTCGTCAATGACCTTCATAATGTCATCGAAAATGAGGTCCTCGTCCAGATGGACGGCGTGCGTGTCCTGATGGGCCTGCGCGCCCGTGACGATCAACTTGATTGGACTGACGCCTTTGGTCGTGCAGATTGAGCGTAAACGCTGGTAAAGGGCACCCTCGCCACCTTTGCACTCGTCCAGCCCGTCCACAACAAGAACGAGCTGCGGGAGGCTACTAGTGGCAATGGACACGGCCCGCGCAAGTGCCTTCCAGAGAATGTCGTTGTAAGCCTCGTCAGTGGTAGACTTGAGGGACCGTTCGTGCGCGTCCGCGAGGACTTTAAGAAGGTTCACATCTCCAATGCATCGCTGGAATAGCTGGTTGAGGAGACACCGAGCGATTCCTCGCTGCATAGCCTCAACTGGAATTCTCGAGTCTGCACGGGACATTAGACGCCATTGCCTGGGAACAGCTAGAGTTGGTCTAGGAACCTACCGATGGCCACGAAGAGCGTGTTATACTTGATGCCAGCAATGGGCCGCTGCAGATAGTCAACGATGACAGAAGCCAATACGGATTTTCCCGAGCCAGGTGCACCATGCAGGGACATGATCTTCTGCGGTCCTCTCAGAAATCGCGTAAGATGAGTGCCGATGTACAGGCACGTCAGCTCCTCCCTCTCATGGGCCAGGTGGGAGGCTGAGTCGGCGAGATGCTCGAGGACATGGTCCTCAGGCGCCAGCCACCTTCGCACATGCTTAATGCTTGCGACTGCGGGGGAATAATGTGAGTAAGCTATGTCCATGTGCGACGCACTAGATTTACTCGGGGCTTACATTTGCTACCATCTATTCTTTCTTTCTGCAGTTGATGCGTCCACATGAGCTCAGAGGTCATTTCGCACCGGCCGAGGAATGCCTTGATCTGGCCGGCAAACGTTGAATAGACATTGACAGAAACCGAAGTTTTCGTCAAGTTGTTGATCAGCCCGTGGAAGTGCGTTGCAACGCTGGCGACCAGGGTGACCAGATCGGAAAGCGCCATGATGACATGGTCGCGGATCTCGCGCGAGGCGCCAAACAGCTCGGTACGCTGGAGGAGATCGACCAGCGGGATCGACATGTTGTAGAAGAATCCAAACGAGACCATCAAGGCTCGCGCGTTCTGCTGGCCAAGCTGTTGATAGGAGGAGAGGCGTCAGCAGAAGAAGATCAAGCTCGTACGGACAACACTTTCAAGGCCCGAGAACTTACATCCAGTAGTAATGAACAGTAACCATAGCTAAGCTGTGCGGCGAGGTAGCTGTCGCCAGCAATCTCTTGGACGGCGTACTCGAAAGAGTGCAGCCGGTCAGCAAAGAGTTGGGCCCACGCGAGTACCTTGTCGTAACTGCTTCCTTCCGGGGGCAGTTCACTCATGCGCTGTTCGCTGATCCACTCACGCAGTGAATCATATGTGGAACTGAGGATGGCGCGGCCAAGCTCGTCATAGCTACGTTGTCTAATGGAGTGAACAAGATGAGAAAGGTTGGACACGCTGGCCGTGGACACCTTCCTTGTTGTGGACGGAGGGCCAAAAGACAGCTGGCGACTCCCGATCACACTGCCGGAGAACTCTTCCTCATGGTGGTTTGAGTATGAAGCACTGACGCTGCGACTGAAATAACTTGAGGAAGGGTCATCGGGCATGGTGAGGGCAGCCGCAGCCGGGAGGTGGGGAGACAGCATGCTGGGTGCCATTTTGGCTGCTGATGATGACGGGGCAAGGCTTGGTCTTTTGTTGGAATACTCGACAGGAGGGGAAGCTGATGTCGATGTGCGTCCTAAAGACTTCTTCTGCTTTCTGGTGACGGTGAAGATTTGAGTTTCAGTGCTTGATAACCAACACGAGGATGAATTTGGGGATGGCGATCTCACCTTCCACGCCAGCTCCCCAAGAGAACAAATGGACAGCAGCAGGATATGAGATCACAGAGTCGAGCCAGGGCGCTGGGTCAAAATCTTGGCTTGCCGATGATCAGCGTACAAGATGGTCTGCGATAGGAAAGATTCGTCAAGGGTAATATGAGCAACGTCGCCAAACAATTCTTGCATCTGGCCCGGTTTGATCTCAGTCTTTATATGAATCCGTGAAGCGCTCTCTTGACTCTGGCTTGTCTTCAGCAGCTTCGGGAGCATGCCCATATCCGAATGTGAGCCTCGGATACCCCACCGAAATGAGACACAGCATCCCACACCAGAGTCTGCGTCTCGCCATCACTAATGCATTGTACGGCCTTGAGCCAGACTAGTGTGATGCATGCCCGAAGCAAAACCATTCCGCTTCTGCATACATGGGGTACTTACACCCAGCTGTGGTACACGAAGTAGCTCACGGCCAAGAATGCTGTCCGGAACTGGAGGGTGCTCCGACCCACGAGACCAGAAGCCACCCGGGCATGCATTGCATGCTCAGCCCCCCCGGATCTGATGGCCAAGTCCGGCAAGATTGGTTGTGGAGCCCGCCTTGGTATTCTCAGGGCGTCGCCGAAGCTGATCGAGAGCAGACATGGAATTCCTAGATGGGCAATTGGACCTGATTTTAGCCCCACTTTGAGACCAGCTGAATGTGATGGGCATCCCGGGTTTGTTTGTGGCTTGCGGAGCGGCACGAGGGCGGGACGACCCTCCGTGCTAGCCAAATCTAATCCGAACCCTGCATGTCCCTCTAAATCTGGGGTCTCAGCTGTGGTCTACCCCTAGCCCTGGAGAAACTCGACGCGAGTACAACGCTGTTCTCTCAGCTCATACACCATCCCGGATTCTTCTTGAGTATGTCGACATCGCGACCTGCATGGAAGAATGCTCAACTGCATCGACCATGGTACAAGTTCTCATTGACCAGTCCTATGCGGACGCCGTTCCTTCAATTAACTCGATGGAGAGTATTTGAGCGAAGGAATGCAGTCGACAGCTGAGACAACGTAGGGTCGCCGGGCCTAGCCTTCGAGCTGAGCCCAACCAGCCAGCCACAAACCACGTGGACGCCGACAAGGGGAAATTGGGACTAGCTTGATCGGTCCATGGTCATTGACTATTAGAAATCGGCACTGGCGACAAATGCGGCCTGGTCCATTCTGTCTCGCAGCCTAAGCATTCCCCTCCTAGTTTAATCGCTCCACCTGGTCCTCTTGGTCGAACGGAAGATAGAGTAGGCAGATATTGTCCTGTTGGTAACTTGGCGGAGCGGCAAGGCTGACATGATATCTTCTGGAGTAGCTTTCCTAGATATTGCAAATATCAGGTCCGGAGGACATGGTTCGTCCAGAGTAGTAGTTAAGACCCTAAGACGGCTACTGTCGTCTTCCAACGTATTCTGGATGCAGCTGATGCTCTCCATCAACTATGGCTTCCTGGCTGGATTAGGTAGGCTTAGGCTTCACCAGAATGGCTGAGAAGACCTTGAAGCACATAAAGCTCGATTCCAATTCGATTCTTATTAGCGCCAATGGAAGAGGAGGCGAGCTGCTGCTTTAGAGCAGGCTCGAAGCTTCACAAGTCCTCACTCGTCAGTTGATGTGTTTCTTGTGCGGAGGGTATCCACTGTGCCGCTCATGTATGTCGTGACTGCGAGGAGGACATGCGGCCCGTCCACAATCCGACCCCGCTGCTGATCAGACCCCGCAACTGTAGAATTTGTACGGACAAACCCACCATATGGAACGCAACGCCTTGTCTCGCAATTTTTGACCATACGCAATATAGCTTCCCCTCGGCGGCCATTCTCCATCATCGCCATCCTCCTGCCCTTGTCCTTACGCAACATCTCGGAGAGATATCAAGTCCGAAGGATAACCATGTCGGCCCCACTGACTGTCGGTGTCATCGGTCCAGCCGGCTTCACGGGATCTCATGTATGTGTCGAGTTGTTGGGGCGAGGACACACCGTCGTGGGCATATCCCGCCACCCCGAGAAGTTCGGCACGCATCCCAGATATGTCGCCAAGTCTGTCGACGTCGGGCAGCTGAGTATAGCCGCGCTTGCAGAGGCATTCAGTGGCCTCGATGTGCTCATCTGCTGCTATGGGCCTCAACCAGGAGGTCCAGGATCCTCGCTATACAGTGAGTAGACCACCAATACGGCGAGTCCCTTCACAAGAACCGCAGCATCGTGGCACAGTATGCAAGACGCACTAGATCTGATACAACCTCACACGCAGGGTCATTTATTGAGGTCGTTCGCCGCATCGTCCTTGCGGTGCGACAGGTCGAAAACTTGTATTTCATGTTCATTGGCGGCGCCGGCAGCTTGCATGTCCCTGGAACGACAGGCATCTGCACGGCAGACGACCCCGATTTCTTGGTGGCTTATCGCAGGGCCATCGCCGACAGCGAAGCCCACACGTCTTATCTGGTGGAAAGACTAGGCCCCATGGGTTCCGCGCTGCGCGAGTTTCGCACCGCACGCGTGGCCGAGCGTCAAGGCCAGGCGACGGAGGAGACGCGCGCATTCATCGATGACTACGAGGAGAAGGCCAGATCGCAGGATTTTGCTCTGGAGTTCATCCAGGCAGTGAGGACCACGTTCATGTTCTTCGACGGCAACACCTCGTTCTCCTGGACCTTTGTGTCGCCGCCTCCGCTGTACCGGCCTGGGACACGCACTGGCAGCTACGAGGTGGCTGTGGATGACGTGCCACTCACTGGCCAAAAGGTCTCTGACAACATGTTTGAGGGGCGGTTGACCGGCATAACGGCAGCCGATCTAGCGATTGCGGTGGCAGACGAGTCAGAGCGCAAGGCCCACAAACACCAGCACTGGACGGCGTCGGGCGACCTTTCAGACGACAAACCGACGTCCATCTTCAAGACTCTTGACTAGAGGAGATGAAATAGGGCGCACCGCTGCTTCTCTCCCTGGGGACGATTTCAACCTGCTTACTCTGAGATTATCATAGCCAACATTCAAATGGAATGTCTTCTCCTTCCTTGCTTAAAATGAAGCTGCGGTGTGGCGCTTGTGTTAGGGTGACCTGTGGGACGGCCACGTGTTTGTTGATGTCAAGACTGGCCGGCCTACTATTTTTGACTCTATCTCCCTTCATGTACACAAAGAATGCAAGTGATGTCAGACAGCTGTGCTTCTCCAGGTTTATCGAAGCTAACAAGAACGGGTAACGTAATCCACAAGCGAGCCACACAAGCAAGTGAGCCACTTTCCGTCATTTCCGTAGAGGCTACCTTCTTTCCCCTTTTTCTCCACCAACAATTATGGGACGGCAATCAATTGAAAGCGACATTATTCTAGCGCTTCAGGCGCTCCAATCAGACCTAGAATTAAGTGTACGACAAGCTGCATTATTGTATAATGTATCCCGTGCAACCCTCCAGCGACGACGAGCCGGCCGACCTGCAAAACGCGATCTCCGACCACATAACCAGAATTTGACCTCGTACGAAGAGGATAGCGTCGTACGATATATAATCGACCTAGATTCGCGATCGTTTCCACCGCGGTTAGGTAGTGTTCGAGAAATGGCGGATCGACTCCTCCGCGAACGCGACGCGCCATACGTCGGAACGAACTGGGCCTTAAACTTCGTACAACGCCGACCTGAGCTCCGTACGCGTTTTAATCGAAGAATCGACTACTAGAGAGTCCTCTACGAGGATCCGGACGTGTATCGCGCGTAGTTTTCGCTCGTACGAAACATAATCGCGAAACACGGGATCTACGATAACGATATCTACAACTTTAACGAAACGGGCTTCGCGATAGGTAAAATCTCCGCCGAAACTATCGTTACAACCTCCGATTAACGCGGGAAGCTAAGTGTCACGATCCTGCCTCCGGGGTCAACCGTCTGGCAGGGCGCTGGGGTTGCTGTTCTGCAAGATAGGTAAAGCCTGTACAATAACAACTAACACTCTGCTGTCGTTCTCTCTCTGGGTTGTCGTTCGTGTCTCTTGGAAGAGATACCAGTCTCGGCAATTGAGTGACTAGTTCAAGTGTGGGCGAAACTGATACTTAGATTGATCGCTGAAGTACAAAGGTAATGACTGTCTATCTAGGAGATCCTCCGCATTATATCCTTTGTCCTTCATCGTGGTCATGACATGTCTGGCTGACGGTCATGGTGGTTTGGTCATGACCGTCAGTCTTGGCGCTCATGACGGTCATGCATGAGATGCATGACCGGTGGTACCGTACCCGCGCTTCTTATCCTTATCGTGCCCCTGGCCCGTGATTACGTAAGAAACCTGTGACGGCACTGCCACATGATCCGCCCTTGTCCTTGGCCTGATCCTGCGGCCTGGTTTGTTTGTGCTCTTCTTGCCCAGACAGTCGTCCCCTGTGTGACAACCCGACCAACAGGTCGCAAGATCGGGCCAGGGACAAGGGCAGGTCATGCACGCGGGACGGCACACCCCAGGTTACGTAAGCATTTCATTATGTCAGCAGGATATGTGGATCGGAACATATCCAGCGATCCAGGATATGTGGATCGGAACATATCCAGCGATCCAGGATATGTGGATCGGAACATATCCAGCGATCCAAGGGCACACCTCCTTGGAACCACGATGAAGGACAAAGGATATAATGCGAAGGATTTCCTAGATAGACAGTCATTACCTTTGTACTTCAGCGATCAATCTAAGTATCACTCTCACCCTTCACTTGGCCTAGTCACTCAATTGATCCGAGTGTGATATCTCGCAAGAGACACGAACGACAACCCCCGAGACACGACAAGCACGGAGTCAGTATTGCATGAGGTTGCTACCTACCTTATCCAGGACATAAACCCCACAGCGCCGATCAGACGGTTGACCCCGGAGATCGGATCGTGACACCCTGTTGGTCGGGTCGTCACACTAAGAGCTATATAACAAGGGAATCAGGAATGGGTTACAGTAATCCAGGGTATCGCGTCGTATAGCTATTCAATCCCGCTATATATTATCTTCGCCGGGAAGGTCCACCTTAACTCCTGGACCGCGAATAGCCCCCTACCGCCCGACTAGGTAATCGCGCTTTTAGAAAACGGTTGGACGACGAATGAGAGAGGCCTAGAATGGGTAAAACACTTCGATTTCCATATAAAGAGTCGTACGAAGGGCGCCTACCGCCTCCTTATCCTCGACGGCTACGAAAGCTACCATTCTGTCGATTTCGAGCTCTACTGTAAGGAGCAGAACATTGTAACGCTCTATATACCTGCTTACTCGTCGTATAAGCTCCAGCCTTTCGATGTTGGGTGCTTTGGACTTCTGAAACGGGCGTACGGTAAAGAAATCGAAGGTCTAATACGGGCGTACGTAACCTACGTTTCGAAGGAGGACTTCCTCCCAGCCTTTTATAAGGCGTACGACGCTGTAATGACCAAATCAAACATCTAGGCAGGCTTTAGAGCGATAGGCCTAGTACCGTACGACCCGAATTATGTAATTTCATAGCTAGATGTGAAGTTTCATACGCCGACACCGCTAGGTTCCTCTGCTGGACTACCACCCCCCTAGGTCTTAAAGACGCCGAATAACCCAATTGAGGCCGAATCGCAGACGGAGTATATTAGAAATCGCATCGTACGACACTAGAATAGTGTGACGACCCGACCAACAGGGGACGGTTGTTTGGGCAAAGAAGAGCACAAACAACTAGGCCACAGGATCAGGCCAAGGACAAGGGCGGATCAGGTGGCAGTGCCGTCACAGGTCTCTTATGTAAGCATGTGCAAGGATCACGATAAGGATAAGGCACGGAGGATACCGGTCATGCATCACCTGCATGACCGTCACGAATGCCAAGACTGATGGTCACGAACAAACCACCATGACCGTCAGACGAGCACGGCATGACCACGATGAAGGACAAAGGATATATAGATGCGGAGGATCTCCTAGATACACAGTCACTACCTTTGTACTTCAGCGATCAATCTAAGTATCAGTTTCACCCACACTTGAACTAGTCACTCAATTGCCGAGACTGGTATCTCTTCCAAGAGACACGAACGACAACCCAGAGAGAGAACGACAGCAGAGTGTTAGTTGATCTTGCGCAGGCTTTACCTATCTGCAGAACAGCAACCCCAGCGCCCTGCCAGACGGTTGACCCCGGAGGCAGGATCGTGACAAATAGCTCTCCGTCATCTATTATTGAGAGCCTTCGGCAGCTAAATAAAGGAATTATAATAATGGTGTACGAGTAGACCCTTATGCGCTATAACCTCGCTAAACTTCGAGATGCAAATGACCGCCTTAGCCGCCGTCGTCGTACGAAAAGAAAACAGCTATAGAAAGGAGGGTCCCTTACGATTAATTAGGCAAAGGATTTGAAGGCTCAAATCGACGCGACGGAGCAGTTGAGGGCGGAAACGAGTTAGAATAGTGGTCGTACGAGGAGGCCCGAAACGCGTGCGCGACGATGTGGCGTCTGCGGCGAGCCCGGCCATAATGCTCGTACGTGTTAGAAAGTTGTATCTGCCTCTGAAGAAGAGGATTCTGAATAGTTTCAATTGATTTCAGGCGTTATGGTTGAATTCTCTTATACATTATAGTACGGGTACCTGGTGGGTGGCTCACTTGCTTGTGTGGCTCACTTGCTTGTGGATTACGTTACGCCAAGTACTTTTTCAAGACGCGGCCGTCTTGCCCCGCCCCAGCCCCACCAACTTTCTTTAGTCAGTCGTCCACCTCCGCGCTCGGCTTGTTTCCGCCTCCCCAGGATGTGTGTGTCTGCCGAGAACTTGCCGAGAGCCTCCAGTTTGATGCACGACGGATGGCCCCTCACCACCCCAATCAGCATCGAAACGGCAGCCTACCTTGTCGCTAGATCTTGGTACCGAGCCCTGGTGCCAATCCCGGCTCGTGAGGCAAAGCATGGCGTCCCACGCTTTGACTGGACCCGCGCAGTCACCGCCATCGGCTTTGTCGCCCTCACAACTGCCTCGATTCGCTCGCCTCCCTCGCCTCCCCGCGTGCCATACTTGCTCGCAGAAGAAGATCAAGGTATGGTCTTGCTTATCCAGAGAGAAAAGTGTCAAGAACGGACCATGCTGACAGAAGCCAACGAGTCATTCAGTGCGACAACCAGCGCCCGTCATGTGCCAATTGCAGTCGTGCAAAGGAGCAGTGCTTCGTCTACAACTCCGTGACGAAGCGGATGGTGTCACGATCGTGAGAAACCCCAAATCTCCTGCTGCTGCAGGCTCAAAATGTGTTGACTTCCAGTCCTAGCTACATCCAACGCCTTGAACAAAAGCAAGGGCTTTCGCCACCCTCCGAGCATGCCTCTATCAGAACCCCTAGCTCTGCTCAGGGACTACCTCAAGATGCACCGTCCGTCCCGTCGATGAGCAGCTCGTCTACGGTGATGAACCGCGGTGGACTCAGGTAAGACCGACTCTGGATTTTGGCTATTCATAGCATGGACAGCATGAGCACTTAGCTAAGCGAGCGTCCAGTTTCTTGTCTTTGCTTTTCTCCGATGGTCGCTGGAGGAAGTCGAACGCGGGCCTGCTCCGGGAATTAACGAAAGCATCTGGCGAGCCTGAAGCGACTCACAAGCCTTGCTCTTTACCGTCGGCAACAGAGGGAAGCTCTCTTGTCGAGCGATAGTCAGTCAAAGCACTCAAGCGCCCTCGCGATCGCAAGACTAACAACGTGAGCAGTCTCAGCTGGGCACATGTAATGGGGCCGTTCCTTCTTCGGCGAGAGGTGTGGGATCTTCACTCCCGCGTCTACGTAGATCAGAGCAACGGCAAAGCACCCGACACAGGAGACTTGTTCCGGATCTTCATGATCTATGCATTGGCCTCCATTATCCCATACCGTAAAGGCCTACACCACCAGCATCCGGAGGGCTACTACATGGCAGCTCTTCAGTATCTAGACTCGAGCTTCCTCGCATGGGGCATGCGGTCGCTCGAGAATCTGCTGCTCATATGCCGCTACGGAATCTACGAAAATATTGGTAAGGACACCCATTCACCTTTCGTCCACGCCACGTCATCTTTCAGATCTTGACATTATCCAGGGACGTCCATATGGGACATCGTGCGATTAGGTGGCCGCCTCTGCATCGAGCTCGAGCTCCACGCTCATGACGGACCGGCAAACTTGCCACTGATAGAAAAGCAGCGACGGCGCCGCGTATTTTGGAAGTTCTATCTCCTCGACAGATACTGTTCCTCGACCTTGGATCGGCCATTCGCCATAGACGACCGTGATATTCGTATCGGTCTCCCTGCCGACATTGACGATCATCACCTCGAAACATGGAACGGGCCTTTCCAGTCCCTTGATTCCGTGGCAATCCCTCAAGACCCATCTGTGGCCACCGAGACCACAGTCCTTCTCAGAAACGTCACCCTTCGGCGGGTTTCGTCCCGTATACACACTGAATTTTCCCATCTCCGAGAGGAGTGCACCTCGGCATCTCTGCAGCCTCATCTCACTATTGGTCGCATCTATATGGTCCTCAACCAGCTGCTCGAGGATCTTGAAGTCTGGCGCGCAGCGGCGCCGGTCATTGCGAACCCAGCCTGCGTATACCACTTGCCGGACTGGAACAATTTCTTGTATGCGCGAGAAAAGCTATATCTTGTGCGGAGGGCTGTCGATCTCGTGCCCCGCAGGGACGGTGTTCTCCCCAAGCAATTCTCTGCCCACCTCCTGCACGCCGCCCTGCAGGTGATTGAGCGGTATTCGACCCTTTGCCAGTCCTCGCTGGTAACACACACGCGAAACTATTTCCACATGATGTTCACGGCTGGCTTGTCTGTCATCTATTGCATTTCATCCAAGGCTACACTGTCGTACAAAGATCTGTCAGCCTCCGCCCAGGGCCTTCGCGCCTGCGAGGCCACCCTCACAGACATGGCTGCCAAATTGGTTCACTCCAATCCGTACGTGACCGTATACGCGGCACTGCATCGCGACGTGTCCCACAAGATCCAGCAAGCTCTGGTGGAAAGCATGGGATCGTCGAGGCCGGGCAGCGCCCCTTCCTCGCCGAATGGCTACAACGCGGATCGCCACGAAGATACAACACCGGCTCAGAGAGTCTTGGACGACACGATGGGAGCCCCTGTCAGCATGCTGTTGGCAGAGGATGTCCCGCTGCATAGCGCTCAGCAACATGTGCCATCTACCGAACCTTTCGACGGCGTTCATTCCACAGGAGCATTCGCCATGACCGGTCCGCTGCAGGTAAACTTCAGCCTGCCCGCTGGAGACGTTGGCGAAACAATGTTTACTGTAGGCTCAAACGAGCTGAACACGCTCAGCGACGATCTGTTGCACTGGACACGCACGGACGATTCGACGCTGTGGAACATGGACAACACCCTGTTGGACTACATCTACGGAGATCCAGACTCATTTGGGCAAATCCCAAACACGTTCTCGGGCGGGTTCTGAGACTGTCCCACGGGGCCTCATGGAGCAAGTTGAACTATATATAATTAATCCTGTTGAATTCTGTGATTGCCTTTTCCCCTTCTCTATACTGTAGTGTCCTTCTGGATAAATTGAAGGAGGTTCTCGGCAGCCTTCAGGCCTGCAGCTCTTTGAGAGTCTGCGGTTGTGCCACCAAGATGAGGGGTGCTCATGACGCCCAAGTCCCACATTGCGCCGTACTTGTCCTTGCTCGGAGGCTCCTCCTCGTGACAGTCAAGCCCAGCTCCTAGGATTAGCTTCTCGGAGAGAGCCCGCTCAAGGTCGTGTTCGTTTATGATGCCGCCGCGGGCGGCGTTGATGAGAATAGTGGATGGCTTCATGGCCTTCATCTGGTCGTAGGAGATCATGTCCCTCGTCTCTGGCGTGAGGGGCATATGGACAGTGATGATGTCGGCCTTGGCCCAAACTTCATCGAGAGTGGAGGCACGCTCGTGGGGAATGTTCGGCCATGCACCAGCGGGAACAAAAGGGTCATAGGCGATGACCGGGCAGTCGAACCCGGCCCCAAAGATCTTGGAGACGGCAGAGCCGATATTGCCCATGCCGATGATGCCGATCGTCCTGCCTCGTAGCTCAAAGCCGATGCACTGCTCCTTGGGGACAAGGATGCCGTGGGCCTGCTTGGCGAGGACGGGACCCAGTTGCCGTGCAACACCCAGGGCCAAGGCGAGGACGAGCTCGGCAACAGCCTGGGCGTTGATGCCAGGCGTGTTCAAGATCTGGATGTTGCGCGCCTTGCAGGCGGCGGCGTCGATCTTGTCAATGCCGACTCCCTGTTTCCCGATAGCTTTGAGGTGCGGCGCGGCTGCTATATCCTCTGCGGTGACCCGGGAACCACGAACGAGGATGTACTGCGCGTTCTCGCGCCACTTGGCAAGCTCCTCTGGGTTGTTTTTCTGGGTGATGGGGTTGAAGTTGGCTTCGCAGAAGGCTATAACGTCCGGATGGAAGTTGTCGAGGAGGTAGACCGTCGGCTTAGACCGCGATGCGATTGCCTGGTCATGATCAGACGAAACGGGCAGGGCCATTGTGCAAGAGATGCGTCGCGTGGATGTCCAGAGGAGGCAATTGACCGGATGGATGTCAGTAATGAGGACGGGACGGAATCAGGAAACGAGAAGGGGCCAGGATATAATGTATAAGAAGCCAAACTTCAAGGATACCCGTTCGAGACCAGAGTGATCCACCTGCCGGCAACGTTTGAGGCACTTGCAACAAGGCAAGACGCTAAGGGCAGCGAGTTGGCGGCCTGATCCGCTTTAGCAGCGTACCCTTCGGATCGGCATCTCAGGCAACTCATGACGAGGACATCTCAATCACAGAAGGGGAAGGACGGCGGACCGGAGCCCGTTTCCGAGCAGGGGCTCAGCGATAGACTGACCGGACACCAGCCCCTGCACCAACCCCAGGAGAATCAAGGAGCAATCACACCCATGTGTATCTATTCATATCCTACCACTCATGCCTTTTCCTTTCCCTTGCCCAAATGCTGGATTGGGCAGGCACTTTGGCCAAGACTTAAGATATGACGTCTATGCAGATGCGACGAGCTGGACACAACCAAGGTAACGAGAAGTGAGAGGCTCGAGCCGTGATGACTCCACCTGTCGGGAGGAGGCCGAGCGAATGACACTGGCAGCATGACAGGAGGTCAAGGCAGTCGGGTGTGGGGTCATTTGCGGGTGGTCTCTAGCCGAAAGGATCCATGCCTATGCTTCAGGTAAAGTTTTCCGATGATTGAAAACGTACAATTGAGTAACTCACGATTGGTAATATGCTGCCCTTGTCTTGTCATCACCCCATTCAAAATGTGAGGTTCAGGCAGGACATGGGCCGATTGTCGGACGCGGGGCCGAAGGGCTTGGAGCTTCGGCCGCGAATCCACCAATCTCGGGAGAGTTCGGTGGCCCCCCACCATTTCACCCCTTACCCGGAAACGGTGGTACCAAATCTGGGGTGAGGGGTTTCTTCCTGGGTGATCTCTGGGCCTACCGACTGCTGCTTCTCACAAGCCTTCGGCTGCTGGCAAAGGACATATATCGATACTGTGCTTGCGCCTGGTGGCTCCGCTTGTCCCATGACTGACAGGAGTATCTCAACGGAGCGTTTTCCGACCCAATGACCTCCCGGCCCCCTTCCGAGGTTTCCGGGCTTGGTCCGCCCACACGCGAAGGTCACCGCCAACGAACATCATCCCCGCCAAGCAAGCGGACACGGGCCTGCGAACGATGCTGGAGACGAAAGCAGAGAGTAAGTGAACCATCTTGAGCACGTGCCGAGGTGCTGCGAGCGACGGTGGGCAACGGTGGGGGGGTCGCTTCACATCTCCAAAACTCTTGGCCAGTCACTCGCCCAGCCCTGACATTGAGCATATGGCTTCAGATTCCTCCAGATGCCCTTGTCTTTGAAAGAACCTCGAGCAGAAGGTCAACATACTGATTCTTGCTCTGCCTCCTCGTGCATAGTGCGATCGGAAACTCCCAGTCTGCACAAATTGCCAGAGAAGTGGGTTCGAATGCCTTGCTCGGGCAGCACCCCCAAAGGACTCTTTCGAAGATGTTACCCTTACGCATGCAACTCTCGAGAGGTAAGTCTCGCCCGCGCTCCCCCGTCTTCCCGCTAACGAGCGCCGCACCGCTAATGTTGGTCCAATGCAGCTACCTGGAATCCCTCGAACGGAACGACAGCCACCATGATTTCCAGGTCTCCAACCCAGCAGGCCAAGCCTTTTCGGCTGCGGGGCCGAGGTGTGTCAACGGCCTCTCCGGACGGCCCGCCGGGTTCAGACCCCAAGGGGCCGCCTGCCGCCGGCGAGACATCCCCTGTGCCACTGCCAGCCGGCGATCCCCATCAGCCTGGGCGTCCAGCTGACGACGAGGACCCTTCCGTGGGTGACACGATGGGGGCCATTGGCCAACTGACCAACCGCGCCATGGCCGAGTCCCGGGCAGAGCCAGACCAGTCCGTTGACAAGCTAAACTTGTTGCACATGGTCCAGGCTGCCCTCGCCATTGATGGCCACGACCCATCAGCCTCCACGTCGAGCAGATTGGGTCAGGGCGACCTGGATAGGGTGACTCCGTGCGCTCTTCCCCCGCGTCAAGAGGCCGTGAAATACATACGTGGTTACCTTGACGCTCTGTATCATATCCCCTGCCTCGTGAGACCGGACGAAACCACCTTGGTGTCCCACCTGGACAATGTTCTTGCTGCCGTGGCGCCTGAGCAGCAATATGGCCAGCCTGACATCAACACTCATGCCAAGGCCAACACCAGTGCGATTGAGCTATTTGAGATCCACCTTCAGATCGCCATTGGCATCATGGTGTCCCAGGACGCTGTCCGCCTAGCAAACTATGCCCATTCGTTACATGCGGCTGCGACCAGGTTGCTCCCTGCTGTGTTCAGATCAAGACATTATGCGGACTCGCTCCGCAGCCTGCTACTCCTCATCGCATTCTCGCTAGTGCATCCTGGGGGCGGGTCAACATGGCATCTTCTCGGATGGGCTATACGCGTATGCATCACTGCCGGGTTCCACAAGGAACCCACGAGCCAGACCGGCCTGCCACTCGAGGAGATTGAGGAAGCGAGATGGTTGTTCTGGAGCGTATATGTCCTGGACCGGTGCGTGAACAGTCTCTTCTCAACCTTCCCAATAGCGTCAATCTCGTTGCCTCATCCCGAGAAAGGACCGCATCTCGATCTAACATTTTCCGCTGTAGCTGGGTTTCTATTGCCATGGATAGACCATTTGGAATGCGGGATGTCGACATAAGCATTCAGGTAAGTCTTCTCCAAGACGACCCTGTTCTCTCCTAGTAGCATCCACTCCTTGCCTTGACTGACTCTGGCTCGCTAGCCCCCCAATGAGAAGTCGGAAAGCTCCCCGTCAAGGACGCCCTTACATGGACTGTCCAAGTTCAGAGAGGCCCTGGGCCTTCATTTCATCCGCCACGCGCACATTACCTCTAACATTCGAACCGACTCCCGAGCTAACCCCTTGTCCCACTATGGCAACCTCACAAACTGGAGAGATTTCGACCCTCCGCTTAGTTCATCCTCAGATATGGTCCGCTTATGGGAAGATAGCGTGGATCAGCTTATGTGCCGCGGCTTGCTTCAGATAGTAGCGCTCTTGGAAGACGGGGGACGAGGTGATCAAGAAAAGCGCCACACTGAAGCCGGCATCGTCCCCGCAAGAATGATAGCCGAGATCCAGAAGGACGCCAGAGCTTCATGTCGTCGATTCGTCATGACATCCTACGACCGTGCAGGACAGTGGCCAATAACACGATCCTTCTTGGACTCCTACGACCTGGTGGCCGCCACAGTAGGCTACATATGCCTAGAAGCAAGACAGGGGCAACATTCACAAGTTGGGTCCAGGAGTCCCAACAAGGCCGAGCTGATGGAAGTAGTTCACAAATCGTCCGTCCTGGTGACGCAGATAGCGTCGCGGTTTCCAGGACTCGATGGATTCCATAGGCTTTTTCTCTCCTTATCTAGCAAGGCAGTAGGCGAGGTAAGTTGTGGGGTGCGCCGAGAACCCTTCTCCTGTTTTAGGAGTTCACGATTTCATCGCAAGTTACTAATTCTATGATCTCTAGTCTACGGGGCAGATCCTGGAGTATCCTCGGAACTTACCGTCATCACTCCGCCGGCTCATAGACATGAGCTTTTCTACGAGTCCCAATTACTAGGAAAGAGGATGTACTTCAAATGCAAGGAGAACAGGCGGCTTGTAATAAATACTAGTCTAGTAATCTCGGAGAGGGGTGGAAACTCACCCATGAATGACCCTGAACGCCCAACAGAAATCCACTTGGGCGGCTTCCGACAATCCTAATGAAATTAGGCTTTGGTCTGGGAATTCTTTTCTTCCCCGACCACCGCGGTGAGAACGGGGAATCATCTGCCTGTGGAAATCAGGAACTAGCCGTATCTCAATCTCAAATGGGCTCTTTGGGCTAGATATGGGCACAATGTTCATGCCGGCCGCCCTGTTACCTCTTGATCCGGAACGCCTTCTCTGTTTTCTTCTTTGTACATGTAAGATATCGGACTGGAGTCTACGGTAGTCCTGATCACCAACTTACAGGTCATCACGCCTTATGTATAAGACTTGCAAGGAGGCCGGAAACTAACATGAGCGATTTAGGTGATCTAGATAGGAAGTTGCTTTTGTACATCTAGTTAATGCCACTTGAGAAATTCGCTACACTACGAGCCCTCGTCCCTTCAAGCGCACTCACTGAATATACACTTTCCACGGAGTGTACCATTACAGAGCATTGTAATAGGCGGTAAGGAAATCTATCTTCACCTCATTATCGTAGCCGGACGAGAGAGAAGAGGGGGGCAAGCCTGATCAGCCTTCCTATGTTTATGGAATCGCCCTCGTTTTGCTTCTCAGCTACGTTCATGTATGAGGCGTTGTCGTCCACCTCTCTGGCTCTTGACACGAAAACTCCACCACTCTTAAGATGTGCATTCAAGACTTCCGGTGCATGACTGTGGCAGCTCCCTGTTATGACGTCATTAGTATATTGAAGTCAAAGAAACCTCTCGAGGAAGACTTGCCTGATGGCTTGGGAAGATCAGTGTATCTGCAATCACAACATTTTGCCTGCGAGTGGCAGCAAAAACGATGACCTCGGCAATGTCGTCAGGAGTCAGAGGCTCGCAACCACTAGAGTTTCTCGGATTAGCTTTAGAAGTAGACGAATAGGACCAAAGAAAGATCGCAAGAGCTTACGAATAAACGGCATCCGCTTTCGACTTGTCGCCGTAGAATCGCACGACGGAGAACTCCTAGACTACTGGTTAGCCAGGCTCGCTCTGATGGAGTGGAGGTTCTAGAGACCAGAGGGCCATACCGTCTCTACTTGACCGGGGTCAACACCAATCACGCGGATGCGCGTTGCTATGAGCTCCTTGCGCAGGCTGTCCGTAAAGGTGCGGACGGCGGCCTTGGTAGCACAGTAAATGGAACCGCCGACGTACGGCTCACGGCCTGCATTCAGTTCAGTCTCTTGGGACTTGCGGGAGGCAATATATCAGCGGACGTGGCACTCACCTGCGATGGAGCCGATGTTGATGATATCACCCTCGCCGCCCTCGGAGCCTCTCGCCAGGAAGATGGGCAAGATCGCCTGGGTCATGTTAATCAGGCCGGTGACGTTGGTTTGGAACATGATGTTCATATCCTCCTCGACAATCTCAGGAGCCTTGGCCACGCCTCTGACGAGGCCGGCGTTGTTGACAAGAATGTGGATATCACGGAATTCGGCAGGCAGGTCGCCGACAAAACTCCGGATGGCGGCAGGGTCGCTGACATCAAGTTGAACGGTGTGAACCTTGACGTTGTCATTGGTCTCCTTGGAAATGTCCGCTGCGATCTGCCGGAGCGCGTCGATGCGGCGAGCAGTAAGGATGAGCTTGAGGCCGGAATTGGGGGCAGTACGAGCAAACTCAAAGGCCGTGCTCCGGCCAATGCCGCTGGAGGCACCGGTGATCAGCACCGTCTTGCCCTCGAGACGCTGCGCTGCTATTGAGGCCATGGTTGATGATGATCAAGGTGACGATAGAGAGAGAGAGAGGAACTCAAGCAAAGCTGGAGACGTGATGACAAGTAGAGAGGATCTATGAAGTAGGCCGAACAATAGGCTTGACAGTTTTGGTCACAAGCGGCGGGACTTTACTCGCGACGAGACGTGGGGAAAGGCCTGAGGGATATAGAAAAAAAGAGGGAAGGAGTATGAAGCTGCTCTTTATGAGAAGCTCATCTGGGAGGCTGAAGGGAGCACGATCAAACGGACACGGCAGTCTTAATAAGCAAAGACTTGAAGAATGGCGCGTGTGCACGAGAGACGATAAATTCACAACGCAATGCACAATTGTAATAATGCTGGCGGTCTGCTCTGCCAACCCCGCGCCTCTTGCAATCGCAAATAGTGGAAGCCACGCAAGGGGAGTGAATTTAGACGTCATACAACAAGGGACTCCCCTGCCTGAGTCACGTTCGAGGCGATGCTCGGGGCAAGTAGTGGTCGTTCGATAAAGCAATAGGAGTTGCGATGTCACAGACGCCGCCTCGTTGGCTGGTGGGAGTGGAGCGGCCGCAGACAAAATGGCTCCATGCTGTCGGACTTGACCCGTGGATCCACACGGAACATTGTCCGAAGACTAGCGATCGGAGGAGACTTATCCACACCGACCCCAGAAGTTCGTGCGGAGCGACGCCGCCCTTTATCCCTTAGCTTTGGAGCTTTGGGATGGACTGAGCCGCATTTTTCGCCTCGGGGGCGTCAAGCATACAGTGTTTCAATAGCTTCTCATACTAAGATAGACATTGAGGCCCAGGCTTGAAGCTGAGAAGGCTCCAGTACTTCGCAGTCCCATGCCACCCGGGCGCTCCTCGGAGTACCTGAGCACACAGTATCGCTCCCCGGCACTGCAGCCTCTGCGTCCCAATACCACTAACCAGGCCTCGCCTCGGGTAGATCGATCTGAGTCACGTCCGATGTAGGACCGCGTTCTCTCTGCCCCGCCATTGCAACAGTTTTTTTCAATCTTTGTTCGAGTCATCTGGAAGCATGAGGGCTGAAAAAATTGGTCCAATTGACCTTTTGCCATGCATATATGGGATCTTGTTCATCGACGCAATTGAAGTCTTTGCTCTACACCTCTGATCTCTACATCTCTTCTCGAGTACTGGGTCTTCATTGCTCAAAAACGGCCTCCATACACACCTTCTCCTTCTCCCTGCCCTCGCCGCAGACAGTCCCCTGACCCTCCCAGAAGCGCAAGACCGCCAAAAAAGCAGCACATTCACAACATGCCTGCAACCACCACCGCGCCTGAAGGCACGCCCGCCCCCCACACGCCCAGGCCATTCCAGATGAGCCAGAACTTGTTGTCCAATGTCGGCAACTTCAAGTTCATTGAAAGCACCCTGCGGGAGGGCGAGCAATTCTCAAATGCCTTCTTCGACACAGGTAAATCCCACGATACAGCCCACCATCAGAATCATTGCCGAGATAATCTAACGTGTGATTGGACTCGCATAGAAACCAAAATCAAGATGTACGGCCTCCTTTCGCATGGCCCCTTCGTTGGTGGCGCTAGCATTGCATACCGTGTACTCATTCGCAATTGATATAGTGCAACAGCGTTGTCCGAGTTCGGCGTGGAATACCTAGAGCTCACGTCACCTGTGGCCTCTCCACAGTCTCGAGATGATTGCGCCGCGATCTGCAAGCTTGGTTTGAAGTCCAAGATTCTTACCCGTTCGTATTCCTCGCTTCCCTTGGTCGCCCAAACCCGCTCCGCAGATTCACCTGACAAAGATCGCCCATTCCTAAGATGTGCGCTGCAACATGGACGACGCTCGAGCTGCTGTCGCAACTGGTGTCGACGGCCTCGACATTGTTATCGGCACCTCCTCGTACCTCCAGAAGTATTCACATGGCAAGAGTATCGCAATGATCAAGGAAATGGCACTCGAGGTGATCGAATACGTCAAGAGGTGAGACACACTGCTGCTACCCCCTGACCATATAGACCGTAGTAGCGCAGTACGCCTTGATGTTAACGCAAGATTCTGTGAACCAGCGAGGGGCGCGAAGTCCGCTTCTCTTCCGAGGACTCGTTCAGGTCTGACTTCGACGACATCATGACTCTCTACAAGGCCGCTGATGCTGCGGGTGTCGACCGCGTTGGTGTTGCCGATACCGTTGGTTGTGCCACGCCCCGGCAGGTCTACGAGTTGGTCAGCACGCTTCGTGGTGCGGTGTCGTGCGATATTGAGGTCCATTTCGTCAGTGCCCTCCTATCTTGGACTGAAATGTCTTAACCCATCACGGCGGTAACTAACTTCATGCAAGCACGACGATACTGGGTGTGCCATTGCAAATGCCCTTGCGGCGTTGGAGGCTGGTGCAACACGTAAGGAGGCTCCCTTGGACTTTTCCATCCTTGTGATCGATCTGCTAACTCATATTACTAGACATTGATGTGTCTGTCTTGGGTAAGCAAATAGTTCCATATGAGACACGATGTAGAAGGACGTCGGCTTAACACAGGATAGGCATTGGCGAGCGGAACGGCATAACCCCTCTTGGAGGATTTCTCGCCCGGATGATCACCCTTGATCGGGAGTATGTGACTTCGCGTTACAAGCTACAGAAGCTCAAGGAGATCGAGGATTTGGTAGCCGATGGTAAGCACCTTGATCAGCCCTGCTTTCTGCCTTTCTGGCCCTTTTCTCTGTCTCCGCCCCTGCTGGACAGGGAGCCTCCTGTCAACGTATACTAACTTGCAAATGAACGATAGCTGTCGAGGTCAATGTTCCTTTCAACAATTACATTACTGGCTACTCGGCCTTCCATCACAAGGCCGGCATCCACGCCAAGGCCATTCTCAATGCCCCGAGCACTTACGAAATTATCAACCCCGAGGATTTCGGCATGACCCGCTTCGTGCACATCGGATCACGCTTGACAGGTTGGAATGCTGTTCGCAGCCGCGTAGACCAACTCGGGCTTCCCATGACCGATGTTCAGGTCAAGGAGGTGTACGTTCTCCTAGTCCCTCCGTCGGTATTCAGCTGTTGCTAACAACCGATATAGTACTCAGAAGATCAAGGCCATGGCCGATGTGCGCCCGCTAGGAATCGATGATACTGACTCTATCATTCGATCGTATTACAGAGAACTACAAACGTAATGCTGCAGTCAAGACGCGGATTGTAGTCCTCACCAGCAATTGTCTCACGTAATGTTTAGGAAGGTTCGGCGAAATCAAAAATTGGTGATTGGGATTAGAATAACCAGTCGTATAGACGACCTGAGCTGCATCTAAAAGTCTGATCCAATAAACAAATGCATTCCTACCCAGATAATGGCTAAGCAAAGCTCGCCTGCTATCCCCAGCATTGAGCCAAGGGCAGTAGAGCGTGCTTAGTAAGAATCGTTCGCGCGAGGGCTTGTGGACTTGTATTATGCGCCACGAGTTAGCAGTGATGTCCCTTCCGTCGTGTGTGGGTGCTTCCTTGCGATCAGAAGAACCCTCCGCCCTCGGATATCAGGTTGAGTGGAGAAACATGACTCGCCACGCTGCGGGCGCGGATTTTAGACCGAGCTTGTCGGACTCTCCCCGACCGGACCATGCTCGCGCTAACGCGCACCCACCCATTTCCTACTGCTTTGCCCCACGGGGAAAAGGGAAAAGCTGTCCGAGAATAAACCAACGACGAACCCAATTTGATATACAAAACCCTGCCGCATCTCTGAACTCGTCGTCATTTGTCGTTCCATTAACAGCACTATAGCCCAGAACACCCTCTCACGTTCATCTTCACACAATGGCCATCTACCACATCGGTTCGTCACGTCCCGCCCAGACCCCACGTGGCGCCAATTAACCTTGAGGGTCCCCCACCGTAGTTCTTTTCAAGTTGAAGCCCGGCACCCCGGCCGAGGTCATCGAGAAAATGCGCGCTGCGGGCAATGCCATGTTGGGCGTTGTCCCTGGTCTGAGGTCCTTCCACCTTGGCCCTCCTCTTGCCAGCACCGCCCACCGCGCGCAGGGCTACGACATGGGTCTGGTCACCGTTCTAGATACCGAGGAGCAGGTGTTAGGCTACGCGACGCATCCTGCACATCTCGTGTAAGTACTGAATTATCCATGGTACAGATTAAAGGAAGGAGGATGCGCGTCGAGGCACAAGGGATTTTAAGACGCTGACATCTGCCTTGAAATAGTCTCCATAATATTCGCATTGGCGTTTGCACGGAAACTCTGGCATACGATCTGGAGGTACCTGAGCTGCCCTAGATATGAAGTTACTGGATCAGCTGTATAGTAGAATCTCAATGCAATATGAATTCTGCTTTGTTGTATCTCCAGTGGTTGAGGACTACCTCGAGACTGCATCAGCCGGCTCTTTGGTGTATTCAGGCACTTGAGACGGCCCGTGACGAACCAATCTATCCAGTAACCCGACGTCGATGCAAGATGCTATATCTATTAAATTCATATCGCCGGCCTTCGCGTGGAACACGCTCGAGTAAGGAGAACCTCGTTTGACCGGAACAATACTAGCTCAACGACCAGAGGGTGTGCAGGCGGATCCCCCAGTCCTCGGTGGATACGGCGTGTATAGGAAGGGCGGCATGGCTGGAGCCGTTGGTGGTAGGCACGCGAGAATCTGGCGCTTGCTTTTCTCCTCGGAGTCAGTCTCTCAGCACGGTTCGCGTTCGTGCAACCCCCATTCTCGGCGTGCAGAAGTGCCCTGGTGCTTGCCTGGGGAATGGACGACGATTCTTGACGGCAGGCAAAATGTCGAATTGTTGAAGTGGGGCTCGCCGGTGCCCGTAGAACGGAAGGGCAGTATTCTACGTTCAGTCGCATGCTTCCGAAAACAATAAGCAACAACTGGTACCGACGGGGCATACTCATCCTTGCTACCAGTTACGGGAACTTACAGACAAGAGCCTCTTCTCTCCAGAAAGCCTGCCAGACGCGGTCGCATGTTCTGTGTGCCAATTTGGTAGTGTTCAATCAAGTGTGCGTGCTTATCCACGGTGGCTGCTCCTGCGCACGCTTACACGCTCGTGCCTGTCGAGTTGAAGTCAATCATAGATGGAAGTTTGCGCCCCAAGGCCGGGTCGAAGAATCTGTTGATGTCAGATTTGCCGTTGTCCATCCCAAGTGTGCAACGTTGGATTCACACCTGCCCAGCGCGGATGCCGGTTGTGCGAACTTGCGTGCTCTTGCAATAAACTAATCTTCAAATCAGATGCAAGGATAGCTTCGCTGTCGTTTCGACGCTGGTCCACCTTCTGTGTGCATTCTCCATATCCGTGGGTTGAGCCTGCCTGGATACTACGTTATCTTGAGCCTGCTGTGGGTAGCCGTGCGTGTACATACTGCCTTCAGCCCGATTTTGCGGCCTGCTGGTCGGGTCGCCTTGCGTGTTATACTCGCTGTCTTGTTCGCATCGATTCGAGTAAGCCTTCCTCTTTAGATCACGGCGGGGAGCATATGTAAATAGCCTTTTAAACTTTTACGGCTGGTCTGACAGGGGTCAGCTGCACCTTAGTTGCGCGATGAGGTCGCCGGTAGTTATACCCCTGCTCGGCATGGATCACAGTGATATCCTGGTCCAACTTAGTCGCTACGTGGTTACTGGCACCCCTATGTAACGTGCCAGCTATGCACCTAGTATTCTGCGCCTAATCTCCAGCTCGAAATGCTGGACATGCGGAAAGGAACACCTGAGCTATGTCAGGGCGCCGCTCACTGACATCCATGCTGGTTGGAGAAGCGCACTGACTTAAGCAGCGTGCCACAAGCTTCAATATGCGAGCGAGCACCCCTGCCACTTGGGTGGGAGCACATGAGTGAAGATGGTCAGAATCTAATACGTTGTGCTAGCGAACCACAACCTGGCAATGAACCATCTGTGTGGCTGAACATTCCATCAATGTGATGGACCGAAAATAGAAGTTCTGCGAGAGTCCGATTGAGTTATTCTTAGCATCTCTCGGGGATTGGGAACAACATGAAGATACTTGCAACGCATTTCACGATCTCAGCACCTAGGGAGGTGTTCAGGTATATAAGCAACCATCACTGCATGCTCCTTGGCCTTCTTCTGTTCTATTATCATCAGCCCATTCAACAGCCTCATCTGGACATTCGATCTTTTCAGCTTTTAACACAATCCAAGGTTCATCTCCTCGACTTCCCTCAAGATGATCAGCACCAAGTCCCTTCTGGCCCTCGTGCCCTTCGTTGCTGGCGCGTTTGCGCAGTCCAAGCAAGTCATTAGCCCCGAGCTTCGTCGCGATCAGATCTACAACCCGATCATGAACTACATGCCTCCGACCCAATCTCACTGGGACCAGTGGGGAGCTGGCTGGACGCTGGAGGACTGCTACAACTTTGCCCGCGAGCGTGGCCAGAACCCGGCCGATTATGAGGTCTTCAACGTCCACTACACTGACTGCTCCGAGCCTTGGATCATGTGCCGCCACCGATCGGCGAAGGTTGACCAGATCCGCATGATTGACGTGAGTATCAGGCTTCCTGACGATGTCAAAGCGTGTGCTGACTCTAGGCCATGTAGATGATTGGCCGCCTGCCTGTTCGTGTCCGCCAGCACATCAAGCACTTCATCGTGTCCTACGACATTGGCCCGTACGCCGGTCTCTACTGGGGCGGCAACATTGCAATCGATGACGAGTCTCGTAGGTGTTCCTGCCAACCTCGGCTTCTTTACTCAGTCGTGTGCTGCTGCTTACTGACGGGTGAATCACAGTCGACATGTACGTGCTCATGCACGAGGCCTCGCACGCTCTCGACTTCTCAGCCCTCCGCCAGTACGGCTCACCCTTCAGCGAGACCGCGATCTGGAAGGACAACTGGGCGCAGGACTCGCGCATCCCGACTGGATATGCCGCTGGCAACTGGGTTGAGAACTTTGCCGAGTCGGGCCCTATTGGCCTCTACGACCGCTACGTGCCTGGTGGCATTGGCAACATTCAGCCCAACTGGAGCCAGATCTTCCACCAGTATGCAACTGTAAGTCAACGGCCAAGCGCTCCCTGGCAGTGAGGAAGGAGGATCAGACGGGATGGCTATTAATGTTTTCTCTCCACTGCAGTACCAGGGCTACCTCGGCGACACCATCCAGTACGGCGGCACATGCCCAAGCCGTATCCCCAACAGCAAGGTCGTCTCGATGTATGGCCGGAGCGCAAAGGTCAGCACGGCCGCCATGGGCGAGATGCCCGATGTGAGCTTCAAGAGCGCCAACGTTACCGTCCTCGAGGAGGTTGTCGGCAGCGTTTCCTGCGATAAGTCTCACTTCCACTGAGTTTGACACATGGATCTGGACATGAGTGCCTCCGACACCAGCCATCATTGGGCGCACCTACAAGTTCACCTTTTATATCTTCTTCTCCTTCGTTTTCGATAGAATTTGCTGGCGGCTTGGGGTGCGGTGCAAAGTTTTGGTTCTTTCTTATTCTCTCAAGTTTCCATGAATATATTTTCCCGACATACAACGTTTCAAAGGATGGAGCAGTCACTGCATATAGTCAAAATTTTGTGCAGAATAAAATTTCAATTTCTCTTGCTCGTATGTAATCATTCATCATACCCGGCAAAGCCCTCTGCGCAGATGTGCGCGCCTCAAGACTTGCAAATGCATCCCAGTCCATGTCCTTTGCGCCGAAAGTCGCCAGATCGCCAGAGATTTGGAGATTTGCCCATTTTGGTGAGTCTCTGTGCTTTACTTAAGAAACATATCTCCAGCCACGCTCGTTGCCGCTGGTAGGCGACCAGCCCTCCTGCTCGTCGAGTTTCTTGTTGAGAACCGTGGCTCTCCACTTTGTGAGAACAGCCGAGACCACGACGAGGACCACTCCGACGAGGATGATGGATCCACCAAGGCGGTAGTAAGGAACCTGGGAGCGGGGGAAGAAGTAAGGTGTGAACCAGTGGCTGGTCTGACTGATGCAGTTGGCAATGGCGACGAGCGCGGCCTTCTTGGAGCGGGGGGCAGGGACGACAGTCGTCTCCCACGACAGCTGCAAGTTGAGACCGTTGTAGGTGCCGGCGACGAGCAGGCACAGGCCAAAGTAGCGCGCCCCAACATTGAGAGTGCCGATGAGGATACCGCAGCCAGCACCGCCGAGGATGATGGGGATGACCACGTGCCAGAACGATTCCTGGAACCGACCCGAAGACCAGGCGAGGGCACAGGCTGCAGCGTAGGCAATGGCGTACGGAGGAGCCTGGACAAGGTAGGTGGTGAGCTTGTTGAAGTGGAAGGTCTCCATGATCGAGGGCATGAAGTCCTTGAAGCTCTGGGCGGTGATGAGGGCAAAGTGCATGAGGCAGAAGATCCAGGTGAAGGGGTCCTTGGCAGCCATCTTGAGACCAGCCCAGGCGCCGACCTGGGTCTCGTCAATGCCACCGTTCGAGACGAGCATTCTGTACTTGGCCATGTCGCGCTCCTGGTCGTCGAGAAAGCCGGAATCCTCAGGCCAGCCGGGAAGGATGAAGTAGGCGACAATAGCAACGATGACGGAGACCGCACCCTCAATCAGGAAGAACCACTGCCACGCCTTGAGACCAACACTGTTTTTCGATAGTCAGTAAATTGCGCCTTTTGTGATTGCATACGGGGTTGGTTGCTGCTTACACTCCCTGCATGTTTTCGAGGATGCCAGCGGCCAGGAATCCAGACAAAATGTTGGAGGCGGTGTTGCCGGCGTGCCAGATGGCCATGCGCAGAGGACTCTCCTCCTTTGTGTACCAGGACGAGGTCATCAAGGTGATACCGGGAAAGAACGGCGCCTCGGTAAAGCCGATGAAGAAGCGGCAGACAGCGAAGCCGGCACCGCTGGTGAGCGCTGCCATGCATAGGGTGCCGGCAGACCAAAGCAGCATGATGAGGGACAGAAACCAGTTGGGCTTGGTCTTCGCGAGGATCATATTTCCGGGCAGCTGGCCAACGAGATAACCGACGTAGAAGGTTGAGATACCAGCGCTCCAGACGGTGTCGCTCATGCCCAGATCGGTCTGGAATCCGGCGAGGCGGGCGTTGGAGACATTGACCCGATCCAGGTAGCTGAAGAGCGCTGAATGTCAGTAAAGCTGCCCTCGGGCTGGAAATCGGGCGCTGCGCAAATGGTCGATCACTCACTTGAGAAGGAACATGAGGGTGATCATGGGCATGAGTCTCCAGTCGACCTTCTTGACGACTCTTTTGTTGAGAGCGTCCATCTGCTCAGGGGTGAGGTCGCGCAGGCTGTCAAAGCGCCCCTGGATCTCCAGGGCTGTCGCGAGGCCGGGCTGGCCAATCTGCTCGCCCTTGAGCTCCGCCTCCTCGACCCGGGCAAGGTCATCGGAGGAGCGGCCCTTTGCGTCGACGGTGTTGTGGGCAGTCATGTTGATGTTTCAATTTTCGCCAGCTGTCGGGTCGAGCTCAGAAGTTTGGTCGTCGCAAGTGCTCAGGCTGCTGCTGCGTCGGCTGATGCTTCTGCTGCTGCTGATGAGATGCCTCGATACCCCAGACTCCAGATCCTGCATCGGGAGGCCATCTTTATAGATGAAAAACTCTGTGGGCGACCCTTGAGATGCCCCGTGCCGGTCGAGGGCTGCCAAGGCACTCCGTCTGGGGCCCCAGATGCATCTAGGTCAAGCTGGCGAGCCCATGGCCGTGGAGGGTTGCGGGGTCAAGGCGAGTTGCCAAGGCGCATGGGCCGGGACTGGTGTGGCCTTGGGAGAGCTCTGACTGCGCTCATGAATCAGCCGCACGCGTGAGCCAAGAAACGTGGATGAAGGCCAAGAAAGCTCGCAAAGAGCTAAAAGTCTTGGGAGCTCCCCCGACTTACATATGGACCGTTGCAGCCCCCCGGTGTGGCCGCTGCCGCAGCTTGCCGCGGGATCTGCCTATTGTCTTGTCCACCGCCGCTCCCAGGGTCCCGTCCCGCAAGACCGAGAAGGCAATGGAGACCGCGTGAAGTCATCACCATCACCGACAAGCGAGCCCCTAGGACATCCGGAGGTCTTAGCCAGCCCGCCCACAGACTTTGCGGGGAAGTTGACTATTCATGGCAAAATGCTCGGAAACCCCATCTCAACATGGGCCCACCTCCGCATTTGTGGGGGAAGATCGCCCTGACGGCTTCTTTCAATTTCAATCGAGCCGTTGCCCATCCTGGTGGCATGCGCACGTGTGCCGATGGCAACGTCGTGGGGCCGCTCCACGAAGCAGCCGTGTCATGATGGGCGTTTGCTACTACTTGAGAATCCACAGTCTCTGGGCCACCGATTATATCTGGTAAATACCCCGGGTAGGACGGCTTGGGTCGTTGCACGTCCTCACACGAAAACTTGCGCGAAGCAAAGATATGATAGCCCTCTATCAAAGTCTTGACAGGCCTCGGGGGAAGCTGAGTCGGTTTGCAACCACAACATCTCCAATCCCGAATCGTGCAGACGGGCGAAAACGAATTGCCAGATCGTTCCTGTGGTCGCCCTCAATGGAAATAAGAGCCGACGGAAAAAGCTGGGCCTGGAACCCGCGGGATCTTCACTGTGGAGCCACTGCCACCTGGATGGATGTCTCCGCGGGATCGGCATCCCCGCGCTCTTGGCGCTGTGGGAATCTCCAGTTCGCATGCCGCTGACCAGCACTTCCCGCGGCTTCTACAGCTCAGTCGCATCACCTGACCATCAGAGATATCTCTGAGTGTGAACGAAACAATGAGATGACCATGTGACAACCTCAATCCTCATATATATAGCGGGGCCTCGTGATGAAGTCGTCACTGGGAAAACGCAGACGTGCACTTCGAGCAAAGCGGAAATGATACGAGAAGCCTACGAGTTCTCACACGCGATGGACTGGTTTGTTGGTAGTCCCTGTGGCAGCCGTAGCTCTACAATCACACGGTGGGGGCTTAATGGAGTACTCGCTCGCACACTTTGGGTCTCAGGATCTGATGGCTTTTCTGTCTGTGTGCGGAGAGAAATCGAAAAAGTCACCAGCCTGAGCGGTAGCATTCCTCTGGTTACCAACTCTATCCCAGAGACACATTGCCGAACCTCGTCTCGACGGCCTATGACCTTCCGTCCTAACCGATGGTGATGAAGTACACCCGTTCGTCCGCGCGGGCGTCCAACTGCAGGACGACAATGGTTAGTGCAAGCACACTAAATGGTGGCTTTCTGTTGCTCCTTGAAATCATCGATCCTTTATGCCAATGCGTTCCCGCGGATAATCGTGCATGGTATCATCCGCGCTGTACGATACTTGAGCCCCTTAAGAACAACAGTATCAACTGCGTCGGCAAAAGCGGCCTCGCTGTCCACAACACTAAAGATACCTTTGGGCGTACCCAAGGTGGGTGTGCCAGCGAGAACAATCGAATGATCCGTCGACACTGTGCGATGCTGTTGGCTGGGGGTGGAGACAATCTCAGCAAGGGGTTCAGGGTTCGGACGGTCAACGGGGTGTTCTAGACCTTCCCACTGGTGTTGCACGTCCCAGGTGCAAGTCAAGGTCGTGGAGAGCGGGTGCACGGGCGGTTGATGCCGGAGCTGGGATTAGCACGGTCATTGAGTCTGCTCCAGCATTCAATAAGCGCCTCCTCTACTGCACGGAAAAATCCCCTAAGCCAAGTGGTCGAAACATAGCAAGTCAAAAAGTGGACAGACACCTACGATGTGTAGTTTGTGAGCTTTACTTGCCCAGAGGGTCGCTTGCTGTGCATGCTCGTGCGCGTGCTGAGCCACTTGGCAGCTCATGATTTATATCCACAACGACGACTCCCAACACGCGTGCTTCTGTCAGCCTCCTGCGAGCTTCAACGTTGCATCCTGGTGTTTGTCATCGACATGTGCCTGTTCGCACCCTTACCAAATGAGGCTCCGAAGTCCACTCGCAGTGGTTTCCCGGGTTCTGCAGCAACTGACATTTTCCCCGCCCCAAATTGATGCTCACGGTTGCGCTGATCCCGCGGGTCCAAAATTGCATATTATGGCTTTGTTTCCCAATCTGCCTTGCTGCTTTCTCGACCCGAGGCAGAAGAACTTGAAACCTTGTAGACCGGCCACTCCCGTCCTGGCAATTACTCATTCGATCCTCACAATCATGTTCGGTCTAAGAACGTTGGTTTTGTGGCATTCTTCGCCACTTTGTTCATTCAGGTACTCATAGAGAAATGGTTGACGGCTTGCAGTTCTAAACTCATTATATCAGAACGCACAGAAGCTATGCAGAATGGCCGGATGTCAGTCTCCGGGTCTGCTGCTAGAGAGTCGTTTCGTGAAGTGTTGCGATTGCTACAGCAATCACCGACACAGCGTCAAAAATTTGCAATGTGTTGGCCATGCGCGCATCCCTGGCGCTGGAAGTGATGATGATCACTTTCGAGTTATGCTTCAAATCCATGTCTATTTTCCATTATACTGAAGCGCGACCCTACATTGGGGTTGCCACCGAGACATGATCCGGCACGCTCCTTTATTCCAGAGTGAATCGCGTGCTCTTTCTCTTTCTGCGGTAACGCCCGTACCGGATATTCTGAGGGCCGGCTTGACAGTGACCTTTTGCGCACTACACGGTGCAGTGGACATCTGCAATGCTCTGCGGTGGCGAGACCTCGGCACTCTGCAATGGATTCCGGGATCGTCAATAGTCGCTTCACACCATATGAACGGGAGGTACCACTCACGCCGCTGCCAAAGATCTGGAAGGACCCGCCCTCGGAGCCTCTGTACGTACATTGCGCAGGGATACCATGCTGCTTGATGCGGTGAATGGGCCAAGGGGCAACTGCTCCGGCGACATTGCACTGGTCAGTATCCATCAGACTGGTTGCTGCGGAGAAAGCAGAGGAGGGGGGTATTGGATTTGCCGCACATCCGTCAAACTCCCATTTGCCAGGTGTAAAGTCGGCACGACTGTCGCGATTGTTGCCATCGGTAAAAAGAGCCGTGATGATACTGGGAGCTTCCTCGACTGGCACATCATGAGACTCCTTTGCGAAGACGGCACCGGCGGCACAGAGCGCAGTGATCACGTATCTAAAAGAGAACATGGCGATGGTAGCTGAGATCGACAGCAGGGCAGCTGGCGTTGTCAGGCAGATGGCGAGAGGAGCACTGTGAACGAGACGAGAGGTGCTGCACGGGAGGGCTAGGACGGGAACACTTGCGCACAAGAACGGCGCACAGTCATACAATACTTAAATAGCAGAATCCATGCATGCCATGCCAAAGTCCACACTTGCACATTAAGCTCGCATCGTGACATGTTTGACACAAAGACTGCCCCACCATCCAAGGCCCAGAGGTGGAATTCGGCCAGCTCGATGCCGCATTCAAAATGTCTCAAGGTTGCCACTTGTCGAATGCGGACAAGCCACGGCGGGCATGTCTCAGATGTCCTGCCGAATTGGCCGTCCACGTTCCCAAGCCTGCTTTTCTGATGCCCATGTCGGTAGTTGCAAGTACCTAGTGCGGCACTCAGGCTGCTGCACCCAGTTGCAGTTGTGCGCGATGACGTGGTGGACGAGTTCGGGCCTGGACTGTGCGCTTTATTTCCACTTCAGAGCTAGGACGTGCGAGCAAATGGGGGCCATATCCATCCTAGACCGGTCAAGACTTATCTTATTCAGGAAGAAACTCGAGACATGAAGCAGCAGTAAACAATCCAGAGGTGCCTGACACAGCGGACGACCCAGATCGGGTCCCTCTTGTTCCCACTCCAAGGCTGCAAACACAATTCCATTGTTGATCATGTAACCGCAAATCGCCATGAAGAACAGACCATCTTGATAAAGGGCTCGATGCCACGAAAGCGCCTATAGAATCATTGGCATCTGTAGCACCATCATTTATACATGGTTGCTCCCCTGGCCGCACTCTCTCCAGAATGGCTACTTGCCTGCAAAAGCTCGACACATAGTTTCATCACTCGCCAGATTTAATCGTGCACGCAATTACAGCCATACAAGAGAAACTGCTGTTGGCGACGCCAAACTCGGTTGGTGCATCCGCCAACTTTCGCAACGCAAACAGGCCGGGTCGTACCTAATCCATTGTACAAGGAACTTATTTGAACGCCAAACCCCGGGCGCTCACGTTTGAACACGAATGCGGGTGTATGGGCTTAGGTTGCTGCCAGCCGGCGCAATTGCTCTGATGCCGACCGCCATAAACCCCAAGAGATAAACCAAGAGTTATAATATTACTTAAGCTCTGACCTATCCCTCAGCCCGCTTATCTAAACAGCTCAGACTACATATTGACATCTTAGTACTCTGTTTACAAGAAAGAGAACAGCAAAAAGGCAGCTGACGTGCTGGCGGCCACAACAAGGGATCCGGCCATCGCCTTTGACGCGCCTGCCGTGACTACGGATGGGTAAGCGTACCCAGAGGTGATGGCGCTGCTGGCGCCCACAGTGGCAGCTGTCGCCGCAGGGCTACTGCCGCCACTCGACCCGCCGCCTATAGGCCCTCCTCCCGTGGCCGGCACGACTGGGATGGGGATCGTCCGCGTCTCGACCCTGCCGTAGTCGGCACACTTGGTGCCGCCCTCGTTGGGGCAGGCAGTCACCGTGTGCAGCTTGGTCGTGTAGGCCACCACAGATGCAGGCGGCGCAGCGCCGGCGGCGCACGTGGTCACGCTCACGGGGACCACCTCGGTCGCGACGGTCCCGGGGCAGTGGGGAACCCCGGGAGAGCAGGACGTCACCGCGTAGACCTTTGTCGAGTAGACGGTGCTGGTCGTGTACACCGGAGACGTCGCGCTGGCGCTCGAGTTTGACCAGGGACCCGTCGAAGATGTTGCGATCGTGCTCGAGTTCGACCAGTGGCTCGTCGACACAGTGGGTGTGGCTGACGAGCTGGACGATGTGCTGTTATTGACGGGGAAGGTCTGGTTGCCGGCGAGCGGGAACGTGACGTTTGAGAAAATGGGGACTGTGATGGTGTCGACCACGCGCTGGTAGGCTAGGCCCTTGTCGTCTGTTCCGGAGACGTAGACAAAGAAGGACTGCTCAGGGACCTGCAGGATGTTGAAGAACGAGTTGCGCGGCGGGAAGCCCTTCTCGCCTGAGCCCGCGGTCATGGCGGCTTCTCCGATGGGCGCAAAGGACGGCTGCCGGAAGCTGAACGTTGCTGTCGAGAAGGGGCCGGCCATGTCGGCTATGGCGCCGATCCTTTGGTTGTACGGCGGCGGGCCGCTGATGGGATACCACCCTGTGTGGCCGGGCCGACCACGCACGCTGGCGAAGTTGAATCGCGAGAGGCGGAGCGTCGACACGCCCTGACTGATAAGAGAGAAACTGCCAGTCCCAGAGACCGTAACTGTGTAGCTGCCCATCATTGGCGACTTGATGGAGATGAACTCGCTGTCACTGAGTACCGTCCTCGTCACGCCGTCGGTCCCCAGGGCCGAGCCGTCGGGTTGTGCCACCATGATGGCGATGCCGACACCTTGCAGCGAGAAGGTCACCTTGGTCATGTACGAGTCAACAGGAATCGTATATGTCTTGGTGTCCCCTACCACGCTGTCCTGGATGCGAAGTATGGTGCTGATATCGCCTGTGATGAGCGTGTCCAAGATATCGGTAATGTTTCTGACATCCGAGACTGGGCCGCTAAAGTACTGTCCGCCGGTGGCGGCGCAGATCTCGCTGTATACCAGATCGGAGAGAGAATCCTTGCGGGTCTTGAGCTTCGTACCACTTCCTGCTCCACCATCGTCACAGTCCGAGTCAAACTTGAGGATGTAAATGTTGAGGTTCTTCTCAACAGCAGTGGAAAGCAGCTGCGACTCGTACGCGATGTCTTTGGGCGCAGCATCGGTAAAGGCGAACAGAGTCGCTCCCTTTTCCATGGCATTCACGGCATCCAGCATGCCGGTAATTATCAGCTCTGGGCAGTCGCCGCCGCCCGACGCGAAGAGACCGTTGACGGTAGATTTGAAAGTATCGAGGCTCGAGGTCACAGTCAAGGGGCCTGTGCCGGGATCGTTGAAGGGCGAGACGACATAGGAACTGGGCTCGTCCAGCGTGCCAACACGAGATTCCGCGATGGAGATGGCGATTGAGCGGGCAGTGGAGATGACAGCAGACATACTGCCAGTCGTATCGATCGCAAAGGCGAGAGTGGGACCGACTCCGAAGAGCAGGCGGAGCGCATGCTCGTCAATCTCGGCCTTGATGTCGTCGAAAAACTGCTTGGTCGCCTCCTTTGCGCCGGCGACGGCTCTCGCGTGCCACTTCCAGTGCGGCGACCAGTCGCAGTTCAGGCTGTCTTTGTTGATGCCCGGGTTGGGAGGCCCGAAGAGGAAGCCGATGGTGCTGCCGAGAGGAGTGTCCGTGTAGCCCCCTGCCACCATGGCATGTCAGCCAAAAATCTTCAAGGGTCATGTCCTCACCAGAGGCGAAGCTGATGCCAAAGTCGGAGGAAAGCTCACCGTGATGACACTTGTGCGAAGGAATGTCGACACCGGCAGGCGGCGTGTCTTCTCCATGATAGTAACCACTTGTCAGCTTGGTGAAGCCGTTGAGTGTCGCGTCGCAGTTGAACAGTTGGCAGAAAGGATCCAGCAGAGTGAAAGAGCAACCGCTGCATGTGGTCTCTTCAAATGTTGCCGTGTACGAGGACATATCGCCATCACGGATGAGATCCAAGTTGGCACCGGTATTTCCCAATTCGACCCAGTTACTGTGTGAATAGAAGTCCTGGATGGTGTGCAGTGCTTCTCCGACCTTATGGCGGCTTAGAGAAGCATTCTCTGCCTGGAGCGCTGCAATGGCCTCCTGCTTCAAAGTTGCAATTCGCGTCTTCGCTTCGGGGAAGCTCTCGCCGTCGCAGTGCCAGCTGGCCGCAGTCTGGTTGTCGTCGACATCGGCGTTGGCATCGGCGATCTCGTCTCTGGCTTTGGACATCTTGGAGGTGAGCGTTTTGACGAGCGGGAAGTAAGCCTTGGCGCGCTCCTCGAAGACATCCTCAGTCATTTCGACATGCGAAGTGCCGCCGAAACCGAAGACGACTTCTTTCCATTTGGTCGGGAAGAAGCCAAGGACAGGCTGGAGCGCCAGTAGTGAAAGGAGGATGACAGGCAGTGACAGCATTGTCTAGCAAAAGGGTTGACGGAGGTAAAGACTGGAGAAGTTGGAATGTCAAATACGCCCTGCTGAAGGGAAGATGTCGTATCACAAGCAGGTCTGCTGTCGCTGTAGCATTCTTGCCCATGTCGACGATGCGGGTCAGGGTTGATTTTATATTCCGTAACCATGCAGGCAACCAGTATTACATTTGAGCGCATCCAGGACATCTCTACACAAACAAGCATCGTAGGACTTGCGGATTGACTTCCAATTGGCTGTTGCAAGAGGACGCGGTTCAGCTGGAGGAAAAGAAAATGCAGTGGCTGCGTGCGCGGCTAGTGTCTCGCGATGCTGATTCAAGCCGCCGTGTCAGGCTGAGACTACAATTTCGCGCCACGCGCGCGCATAGCCTCGTCCAACCACGAGCAGCGCTGTCTGCCTGTGGAAGCTTATGTTGTTGCTGGGGTCCAGGTTCCACCAGGACGCCCCCGCAGCCACTATCAGCTCAGCTTTGCGCCATGAAAGGCAAGAGCGAATACTGATCCACATGAGAGGGCCACGTCTTTTGGCAAAACCGTAGTGATGTGTATGTTTGGTGCTCGATGTGGGAGCCTGGCCATCTTATGCCGTCTCACGACGCAATATACCGCGTCCAGGATGCCGACTTGCTTATTCTGGATGTCAGCATCGAGGCACACTGCCCAGGCTGGGGCGCATACATTGGGAACATGGCCAGAGTCAGGTTTTAGACCTGGAAAAGACAAGACATCGAATCGGAAGCCTGGCGCCATGCGTGAAGTGCTATGATACGACCAAAAAGTCGCTGTGGGCGGCAAACGCCGAGATTACGACCGCGTGAGCGACAGCGCCTCAAAGCAGCACTAGGGTGCTAAACGCCGTGATCTCTGTCCGCCAGAAATCATCCAAAAATTGTTCGTAGGTTGGATTTTTCCACTGCGTGCACACGTCAGCAACCACACATCGAAACGGGCCAGATCCAGAATGTGCGACTTACTGATATCTATCCAATGAGTGTATTTTCCCGGATCCAAGTCCGCGTCATATGCGGCCCATATGGCTTTGACCAGATCCTGTGCCACCCGGATCGGAGCAGGAGGCAGGCTATGCTCGAGCATGCCTAGGCGGCCGAGAACAAACTGTCGCGCGTGCGTGACCTCCAGGGACAATGCAGTGACGCCTGTACTGGCGGCGAAGGGCATAGTACTGTCGATCCCAAAGAGCGATTGCATGGCCTCGAGGCCTGCTGATTCGTTGGCGAGTGGAAACATGTCGGCCACAGGGGTGTTTTGAGCCGGCGCCCGAGACTGGGCAAGGACAGCCTGGTCGAAGCGCAGGCCGGTGCTGGCTGTGATGTACAGAAGCGGCTGGATACAGCGCGTGCCTGAGCTCACGGGTATCTGGCGCAAGACCTCGACAAGACGAAGGCAGAGCGGCACTATCCACTTATCCCAAGGCACACAGCCCGACGAGTCGGTGGCCTGCTCGGGTAGGCGTCTCGTGACGAGGTCCGGAAAGGTCTGGTAGAGCTGTAGCAGCGAAGCCAGCCTGTAGGCCTCGGCTACGTAGTAGAAGTGAGACCGCGGGGAAAGCTTGTCGCCCGTCTCGACAATCTTGTCGATGCTTGGGTGCTCGAGGGCGAGCAGCTCCTCTTCAATCTGCTGAGCCTGTCGTATCTCGCCGAGCGCAGCCTCGAGATTGAGCGCCGTCATTTTCATGTTGCGCTTGAAGCGGAGGCGGAAGAGCCGGCAGAGTCGGATGGCACGGCCTAGCAATGCCTGGGCAGCAGCCGATGTCCCCGTCCACGGGTGAGGGATGATGCGAGCCTGCTCGCGGTCTTGCGTGGACAAGAGCACTCTCGCGGTGGCAGCGTCTGGCTCGCCGTCCTCCGAGTCCTCCGACACGACCGACACGAGCATGTTCCAGTAGACTAGGCTGTCGCTGAAAAACTGCAGGCGCTGGGCCTCGGCAGGCGAGCGGTCTTCTGAACCCCTGAGAGCCCGGCGGAAAAGCGTCTGGGCCTCCTTGAGATAGTGGGTGACGGTATCGCTCGTGTTGACCCAGCATGCGGTAGTGCCGACACAGCAGAGAGCCAGCAGCAAGTCCGTGTGCAGCTGGGGCGTCTCCGTGTTGCGGACCAGCTGCAGGTCCGTCTCGATGGCGCAGATGGCGTTGTTGAGGTGCGAGGCGGCGACCCGGCGCATGAAGGGCATCTGCGGGGCGAGGCAGATGGCGGCCATGCTCTGTAGCGAGCTGTTGATGGCCACGGACCTGGTCCAGGACTCCTGTGCAAACTTGCGCATGAGGTTGACGTCCGAGTCGAAGCTCGAGAACATGGGACAGACGTGCTTGAACCACTCTCCTACCAGTAGGGACGAATAGTCATGCAGTCCGCGAGGCACTGTCGTCGACATCTGGATGCGGTCGCCGCCAGTCAAGAGGGCGACGTCGCTGAAGGGCACAACCATCATGTCTGCCGCAGAGGAGACAGTCTCGCTGCCAGCCGGCTGCAGCAAGGGCATGCCGACATCATCCTGCATGTCCCACACTTGCTCCGCTGCTGCTTCCAGTGCTTGTTCTTCCAGTGCCTGTTCGAGCTCATCGATCACGAAGTCGTCAAAGTTGGGCGTGCTCTCGTCAATGTCGCCAGTCGACGTGCGCCGTGAGGCTCTGGTGTCTGATTCATGTTCGGTCAGACCTCCTGAAGGCGTCGAGAAGGTAATGATGTCGTGGGCGGCGTCCGAGGTCTTGCGGCGCGGCGCGCTCTGCCTACTGGGGCTCGAGAGGACATTGAGCGCAGTGCTGACCTCGGCGTATGGCAGCTCCAACGCGCTGTCGTCTGGATCGCCGAGGGACGCTTCGTGCTTTGTTGACCAGCGGAAGGCCTTGCGGTATCCTGGACATGGGCGGTTGCTTTTGACACAGGCAAGGCACGCAGGCTTCGTCTCGTCACATTTCAGCTAGGAGAGGGATGGTTGCGGGTCAGCAGTGGGAAAACATGCGATGATCGTGCCACGCGAAAGAAAGCCCCAGGAGGAGAAGGGACATACCCGCCTCGCCTTGCATGTGGAGCAGCCATTCCGGGACCGGGTCTTCGGGGCATTCGCTCGCCGCCGCGAAGGCCGGGCTGTGGCGCTGCTGCTTTGCTGTCCTTGGCCTGCCGGCCGTGGCATGCCTCCGCTCCGGGACGCTGCTGGTGGTCCCTGGGTTGAATAGATCCCCTATTGCTCCGGCGGCCGATGCAGAAGGGGCCGCCCCTGTCAGAGTTCGCCTGCCTATGTCGCGCTACGCTTGACGTAGCCGCCGCAGCCGGGCATGATACAGGGCAGGGGGGTGCAATGCGGGTGAGTGCGCGACAAGGAGTGAGCGGTTCCCACGGGGGAGTTTGATGGGATGAGACGAGCAACGGAACATTGGAAAATTGAGGAGAGGTGAGGAGGAGCCCTTACGGGCCAGAGAACAGAGTTCGCGAGAAGAGAGGACCGTGACCGTGACCATCTACCCCTCAACGGCATGCATCTATCTCTCCCCGGCGCGGAGACGAGCTCCCCCAACTCTGATAAGGACCAACGGGAAGCGTCAACCAATCGTGCCGACGGGTAGATATCAGAACACCCTTGTCGCCCCCCCCCCCCACGGGCCAACGAATCAGATCAGCAGAGTTCCGTCCCCCCTGATGCTGGCTGCCTGCACTGCGTGCTGCGTAGAAGCCTGGTTCGAGCTTCTCCCGCTTGGCCGAAGGAGATTTAGGTGATTTGGGTGCTCCAGGGTTGCACTGCGGCTGAGCTGGTGCCTAGACTCGGCCCCTGCGACAACGGCCCCCAAACACAGGACAGGGCTCCATCGACAGTTCTCTGAAAGCCACCACTCCCTCGAAGCGGGTTTCACTAGTGCCAAAAGCACCAGAGACGTTAACAAGGTCATACTGCATATTATCAACTCTTTCATTCAGGCAGAACTGTACTACTACAGGCTATGGTATCATTGGAAATACAAAAAGTGCTCGAGCAACTACCCGATATAGAACAAGTCCGCAAACTCGCTATGCCGTCCCACGTGGACTGTCACGAGCTCATGGCTCGTTAGGTTGAAGAGATCCGTAAAGAGTTCTGTGTGATCGTCATTCCACTCGACCCGGGTCCATCGCAGGCGGGCTTCCCTGGGGATCATGCCAACTTCGTTCCTGTGCGCCTCCTCAAGCTTGATCCACTCTGTTCCTGCTATGAACATTGCCTTCTCGTCCCAACTCGAGTTGATAGTGATGTGGGCTCTGCACAGCGCTGAGGCACGAGTGCGGATCTCGAGGTCTCTACTGCTTATCATGATGAACAGCAGCACCTGGATCTCCCTCTGATTCCAGACCGTGACCTTGGGCAAGCCCAGATGCGACTTGCCCTCAGCAATGGCCACTTGCCTGTCGAAAACGTCGAGTGCCTCTCTGAAGTACTCTGTGTAAAGATCGTACATCATCTCTTCCCTGTCGAACAAGCAGGCGTACAGCGGGTGAGAGCCTAGGCTCGAGAACAGTGTCATGGTCCACTTCCACAGCTCGTCAGCCGTGGCTGCCTCGTCGACCCGGGTCCGGATCATCTGGAGCCACGTTGCGTAGTGCGACAGGATGGCGTTTTGCTGGGAACGCATGTCCTCCGTAGCAGTTCCGTAGAACCCGATCGTCTGGCACGCTTGATATGCCCATATCGCTGTCCTGTAGAGATAAATTCGGTAGGCTTCGTACCACCCAGATGCTGGCATTGTCGAGTCAGGTGGTCGTATGGACGTGGTACCATCGCCTACTTGTGACATGGCGGCCCTCTGGTTCGGATAGCTCGGCAAGGCCCAGCTGTTCATGCAGGCCATAGTGAAGAAGAGAAAGTGCATCTGGTTGACGCTCTCATCCTTCTCCGTGTCGTTCGTCTTGCCCGTCCTTGGTCCTGGCCGTCCTAAGCCGCAGAGGTCGCTCTGCAGCATCTGGACCGTGATCGCCATGAGGCGGTCGACAGACTTGCAATCCCCCAGGATGTTCTCGAATATGACGAAAAGGACGGACATGACGAGGATGAGGCGCCGCGTCAATGTTGGGTCTTTCGCAGTGACCCTTTCGCGGAACTTTGACAGGGCTTTGACGTGGAAACGGACCGCCATGGCGTACGTGTCGCACGACTCACCGCCGAGTCCATGGTCCTCTCGAGTGGCACGCAGGCTGTGCTTTCGGGATTCGTGCACGTAGAGCAACGCCCCTATGCTCAGTGCTGATGCTCTGATGTCTTCGTCACTCACGACTTGTTGCATGAGGGTGCGGGCGATCGAGGATTTATCAATAGCCAGAAGACCGAGGCTGTCAAGAACACGGTTCTGAAAGTGGTCAAGAAAAGCGCCCTGCTTGGGTGTCAGGTCGAGCAGGGACGGCTGTTGTGTCAGTACCAAGTCTTGCCCGCCCTTGATGGGTTGGACGCTCAAGTCATCGACGAATTTGCCCGAATCTGCTCGTGCCCTTGAAAGGACTGGGCTTGAGTCCTCTGCTCGGGGTGTGGTTGCCCGCGACGGAGCAGCAGACGTCCCCTGTGACACCGGGGGTGGCGGCACGGAGCCATAGTCACAGTCGACCTTGGAACGTTGGCATCGCAGACACTTTGGTCGAGTCTCGTCGCATCTGATCCGCCGTCGTTTGCAAGTCTTGCAGCCTGTCGAGTGTGCACAGCGGCTGTCAGCATCTACTGCCAAAGCAGGCCAAAGATTCCAAATCACCTCGTAAGGGCGCAAGTATGTGCCGCTGACGCTGACTAACATACCAGAGGTTACTTTCTTGTGTGCACAACGCACACGCGGGAACTGCGCCTGCGTCATTTCGACTGGCCGTAGGTCAGGGACTTGTTTGCTTCGCTGATTCGAACAGAGGACAATGTTGATAAGGATGCCCCTTCTTTCTCCTGGGATCTGAGCTGGGCTCAAAGTGAACCTTATCGGTAGTCGAATGGCCAAAATGCTGCCGCTGGCTTCATATAAGTCTCGGTGACAAAGCAGGACGTACCAGGAGGATCACGATTACTAAAAGAACGAGCCACGACCCCAGAGTGCGTGAACAGGGAGAAGCCCGGGTCAAGCACTACCGGCATGCCACCAACCTGAGGCTTGTGCCAGGCACACCCTGTGAGCATTGAGCGACGGTATACTTTACTAACCATGGCCATGGTCTAAGCTGTGGGGTCACGCCTCCGCAACACCGGCTTTGGGCCATGGTTAATAGCGTCTAGAACACACCCGCGCAATAATTGACGGGTGTATCCAACCCTGGGGCCCAAGTCAGACCCCTGAGGGCCGGGTATACTTTGTGTAGGGCACAGCGAGGGGGTGGTGTTATTGTGTGATCCTGCCAGACATGTTGGTGTGGGTGAGTGTATGCGTGTGTGTGTGTGTGTGTGTGTGTGCCGGATCGCTGCCACAGAGCCCCAACTCGCCGCCGCCCCAGCATGCTATGCCGTTCTGAGCAAAGGATCTGGTCGCGCGGGTCCTGGTGGGCTTCTGGGTCCGTGCCCACCTACTGTCGCCGCTGCAACTCGGACCAGTGTGGTCACTGTAGCCCTATGAGGCTCCCTGGCTCGGCCAATTCCTTTCTTGTATTGCAAGCATAACAACTTCCTCAAATAGCTTGGCCATGACCCGCCACACGTGGCAGCATGGCTGAAAAAGTGGTAGGCGAAAAGGCGGAGATTAAAGGCGAAGGGCACCATTGCATGACACAGCTCGACGTTGCAGTTGAGCACAATGTGCCAGGTTCCCTGCCTGCCTACTGTTGGGTGTTAATACCTCCCCTCCCCAGCCCCTGGGCACTCGTCAACTCATGGTCCAGGCCAGGATCAGGGGTACCATCAATCCGAAATGTGTTGGTGGTCGGACAGGCATGTTCAGGGGTCAAAGAAGAGACAGACAGACAGGCAGACAGGCGCCGCAATCCACCCATCCGCAGCCGACGGAGCCACGTCCGTCCCCTTGTCCCGCTTGTCGTCCGTGGGCCGCCGGCCGCATTGCGGTTATGTCATCCAGAGCCTCCACACGGCTTGATGATCGTCTCTAGAAGGATCCAATGCGGGCCCATGGCCGTAGCGGAGTTTCCGCTCTGTTGTGAACCTGCGTGACAACACCACCACAAGAATTGTAACCACTGCAACACCGCCTCGCCCGGGATCGGGACCGGTTGTAGCAACACCAAGACCACAAGGACATCATGGGACATGAAAGTGTTTGGGTATATCAGCACAATTAATTTCCACCACATTCATCTGTGGCGCAGTCTCGTTAATAGCTCTAGCGGGAAGTGTCATGCCTTCCAACTTCGCAGTCATCGCCGTCCCCATGCCCTGGAGCGATGCCAAGCCAAAGGGAAAACGACAGCACGCTAGTCGGCTAGTGGGGCCAAAAAGGCATGGGAGTTTTTGACAAGAGCTTACGTAGTCAGGCAGGGCGCGCTTGTGACCCAAGATGCATCGTTGCCAAGTAATGATGATTGTCTGCTTGGGGCAATAGTAGTACACGCAACGGCGCCTGTGGCCGGTCGCAAACCGCGCTTCAAAACGTGATTGGGCCTGCATCATGTCCATGGCCTGATCTGTGTCGAGATGGCGAAGCACAGCCGCTGGCGTCTCCACTCGACCCCTGAGTCGTGCCCCGTCGTCGTCGTGTAAATGGCAGAACGGAGGGTAGCGCCAAAGGCTATGTGACGTAACAGCCCGAGGAGCACCCCAGTGTCACTCACTCACTACTGCTGCCTGCGGCTTGAGATGCTTCCACGAAAGGGGGCCGAGGTGCAAGCGACACACTCCAGGGTCAGTCTCTCTCTATAGGCATACCCCTGTGGCGTCACCCTGCCATGTGCCCGGATTTCACGACCTCTTCGTCTCACGGCGTTGATGAGTTCACGCAAGCCCAAGGCCTCAAACCACTTAGTCAGTCCAGTCTGATTTGCAAACACTAAACGGGAGAAGTTCTTTCCTCTATTTGTCAATAGTGAAGAGGTCGTAGTTACAAGCCTTGAGATGACCTCTTTGGGACAAAAACGATGCCGGACAAATTGAAAGGTTGACGGCAGCCGCATGCCTGTGATGCAGTCTGAAAGATCGCCAAGCGCGGGATTCACGGCTTTGCTATGTCATCCTTCTCCCGTGCCGCCGTGTATAAGCCCCGATAGGGTTACCCCAAGCGAGCCTTGAAGCGTTTCAACACAAGACCATCAATATATTCCTGCGCCAAGGCCAGGCCATCCCTTCTTCAGCCCTATTGTAGCCCCCGGGTCGCTCTGGCACGGACTGTTCCTGGGCCTGCCACGATATTGCTCCAAGGAATCCCTGGATACTCCAGACCCCAGCTTCACCCCTGTATGCGCGCATTTAATGGCCCATGCGGCAGGCAGGCAGCCATGCCTGAATAGGCAACCTCGAGATCTAATCCCGCGAGATATCGACCTAGCCCTCCCAGCTCGGCCTGTCGGGCTGGGTTGCAGTGGTGCGTACTCGGCGGTCATCCCGCAGCTGTCAGTTGCCACATGGCACCTCGCCAAAGCAAACACACTGCAGCTGTACCAGTATCGCCCCGCCTCTGCGCTGGGACACACTCTGATCAGCCATCTGCAAGTGAACACTGTCTGCCCGAGCCAGAAATAGAGTGGCACGAGCAGACGCATGAAAAGGCACTAATTATGGATGGAGAGGATGTACATTGACGTTGCCACCAAACGCAACCCACGCACTGATTGGTTGGCATCTTCCGATCCCGAAATGGCAATCCGCGCCGCGGCCTGTATGCCTGTCGTCGTGGAATCGTCTCGGTAGTCTATCCCGTTGACCGTGGCCCCCGTCATGGCTCACCCCGGGCCCTGGAGCTGCACGACCAGGTGCCAACAGGGGCCCCCAGCTTAGGCATTGTCGTCGAATAATGTTGGAGAGTGTACGACGAGTGGGCCCGCACGAGGGCGGACTACCGTACCATGGTAGCACATCTGCATGTGGTATATGCAACAGGCCAAGAACGCTCATTACGCCGGAGACCAAGCCGTTTCCGTGCTCGCAAACCCCAGCCATTGGCTCGAAGCCGGGCTTTCCACGAATCCTCCAGACGCGGCCCACGGGGTGGCGTAGCCTTGGTGTTCCTCCGATCGCCGAGCATGCCGGAACTGGTTGCGGAACAACCAGGGTCTCGCTACCATGGTAGGGGCGGAGTTCGTGCCCCAAGGACATGGTTGTGGGTTACATAATCTGCCAACGGGCATGGTCAGTTTGGCCGTTGCCGACGGCCCACGACAAGCGGGTTAGGCCGTCCGTCGAGGCAAGCTGGCAGGCAGTGCAACAAGGCCTGGTCCACGGGCCGGTGGCCCACCGGGCTTAACCCATCGGCGATGACTTAGCATGCATATCTTGTCTCCAAGGGCGAGGACGAGGCGTACCGTACTGGTCGGACCCCGCGGCCACCGCCCCGTAGTGAGCAGTCTGCAGAAGGGCCCCCAGTACCAGGGACTCGGCATGGAACCCTGATTACCACTTGATGCACTGCCTACCTTGACCTGCCTCGCCCATGTTGACCCTGCTGGATCTGGCTGACTAACAACAAGCGCGGGATGCATTACGGGTACGGCCCAAGGTCTCCCCCGAAGCGGGGAAGCGTACTGTAGATGGCCTCTCGCCCCATAGATAGCGAACGCCCTGCCGGAAGAAGGAGGGGGACGGCACCGAGTGCCTACCTGCCACACGCTAAAGTTCTCACCACAGGCACCACCTGCAGTCGATTCCTGGCAGTTCTGGCGTGTGTCTCGAGGCTGATACCCCGTCACTGGAGATTGCCGCGCGGAATCCAAAACACTACACACTCTGACCACACCCCCCCTTGGAGTTGGGTCGGTCCCGAAGAGCACTATTACACACAATACCAACGACCACACGAGGTAACTCTAGGCACCTGCCAAGGAACGGGTGAACAGGTCGTCCCTCGAACATGGGTATCAGCGATCACGACCGCGGCTTCCTCCGCCAGTGCGTCGACCTCGCCCGCCAGGCCCTCGCGGCCGGCGACGACCCCTTTGGCTCCGTGCTTGTGGACGGCACTGGCCAGGTCCGCTACACGGACCGCAACAGGACCCGCACGAAGCAGGACGTGACCTGGCACCCCGAGTTCACGATTGTCCTGTGGGCGCAGACGCATATGTCGGCAGCAGAGCGCGCCGCGTCGACTGTCTACACGTCGGGCGAGCACTGCCAGATGTGCTCGACGGCTCACGGCTACGCGGGGCTTGGCCGCATCGTCTTTGCCTCGTCGTCGACCCAGTTCGTCCAGTGGCTAAGCGAGCTCGGCATCACCAATCGTCCCGTCCGCAGCATCCCCATCAAGGATGTCGTGCCCGGCTTGACGGTCGACGGACCCGACGACGAGACATCGGCCGAGGTCCACAAGCTCGTCCAGGCCTGGCGTGGCAAGCCGTAGCGAGACCGCCCAGCCGCCCTTAGCTCCACGGCATACACACACGCGTCCGTGCCCGGTAGCTAGGGTAAGCGAGTTCGGAGGAGGATGCGTCAATCAAGAATCATCTTAAACGACGATGACTCGGGCCAAGGAGGACGACGAGGACGACAAGGGGTGGCCGCATGCATTTCCTTGCCTGTCTTTGCAATGCGGGTCGGAGGGATTCGCACGAGCCCGAAGGTTGTGGGGAGGGAGATGATGGCACGACGGGAGTAAACCCACACAGCTAAGGCCAACGCCGGGGGGGTTAGGCCCGCGCAGCTCACAATCCCTCGCTTTGGCCTCAACTTGCTTCTTCAGCGTTCGATTATATAACATGTCGAACCACTATCCCAGCGGCCCAAGCATGGGAAGGCCCTGTCATGTCCACTCTTGTGCCAACGCCAAGCCCTGTGCGGCAGGCGGCCCCAGTAGCTACATCACGTAACCATGTCAGGTCAGCTGCGTTCACAAACACCAGCAGTGACCTAGTGACTGGGCTCGACAGTTGATTGATTGCTGCGTCATCCGGGCATGTTGAAACACCTGTGCCAGAAACAAGACCGCAGATCGATCAGTACATGCATACCTGATGTCTCCAAGAAGCACTCACCCTGCCGCGCCACCCTTGCCGGGTCATGTTGCAGTGGCAGTCGAGGCAGACCTCGGAACCTGCCTGGTAACGGTCCCGGTGGTGTGCCCGGCCCTGCTCAGAGCACAAAGCACAAACTCGCTCACTACTATTCGTCCCTCTCGATCCAAGCGGTGGAGCGACACTGCAAAGTACTTGTTACCATGTTGGAGCAGCTGCTATCTGTGTCCTCCAATTAAATCTTGGACAAACATGGTCGCCTGCAGAGCACTTGTTACCATGTTTGAGCAACTGAGCTATTTGTGTCCTCCAGTCAGATCTTGGGTCGAACATGGCTGCCGGCAGAGATCATCTCTTGACGAGGCGAGATGGTCTGTCTCCAACTAGACCTTGATGCTGCTGGCATCAGCACTAGCCTGACAAGACTTCCGCTACGGCTTCTTCAGGCCGAATCTGCGGTAGCTGAGGGCCAGATCTCGGGTCAGATCTTGTTCAAACATGGCCCCGCTACAGAAATCAGATCTCTGTCTTCAACCAGGTATAGGTGTTGCTGAGCACAGCACTAGTCTAAAGAGACTTCCGCCACGGACCGCTTCTCCTGCGCGCATCTACGGTAGCTGGAGCCCGAGATCTCGGGCCTGAATCAAACTCTGAGCAACGCGCTAATGCGTGGCTCCAATAGGCGCCCGGAGGCGGTAGGCGCCGGCCACGAAGAGCGTTGCGCGGCTTCCAGTCATCTGGCTGGGGGAGCCTTTTCGCGGAAGTGGCATTGGTGGCTTGCGCCTCCGATCGAGAGGGGCAGCTGTTGCAGCTTTTTAGAGTTTGGGGCGAGGTAATGGCTTGGAGGTCGTCGCGCCTGTTTCGCGGCGCGACATGCAGAATAAACTTCATCTTTCGTGCTACTCTGGGCTAGCTACGGTGAGGGAGCGACCGCGCGTCGCCCCCCCAAGGGACCCGAGGGCCGGCAATGGTATAACTGCGATGCACGAGGGCTGTTCCTCCGCGCTCTCCTCAATTATGACGAGTCCTGCCATCGGTGATCCTTGCTCTTGCTCGTGTCCCGTTCCACAGGCACTACTCGCTGCTGCTGATCATCAACATGGGTATTGTGAGGCCCATTCTCGGAGCGCTGGCTACGGCCGTCTTGCTGGCTGATGTGGCGGCCAGCACACAAGGCGTTGACATCGCACGCGCCTTCCGAGCCACAGAGATGCGCAGGGCCCTGCCAGACAACCCGAGCGGCGGCTACGCGCCGGCCATTGTCGACTGCCCGTCATCGCGGCCGGCTGTCCGGAATGCGACGCGGCTCTCGCCCAACGAGACGGAGTGGCTATCGACGCGGCGGAACAACACCATGGAGCCCATAACGGCCCTGCTCAAGCGCATCAACATCACTGGCTTCGACGTCGATGAGTTCATGTCGAGCGCGGGCAATGACGCCACGGTCCTCCCCAACATTGCCATTGCGGCCTCGGGCGGTGGCTACCGGGCGCTGATGAATGGCGCGGGCTTCATCGCCGCAGCAGACAGCCGTGTGGCCGGCTCCAACGAAACAGGAGGCATCAGTGGCCTGCTGCAGTCGGCGACATACCTCGCGGGCCTGTCTGGCGGCGGCTGGCTGGTGGGCTCCATCTATGCCAACAACTTTTCGACAGTGCCTGCGCTGCAAGCAGGAAACCCGGACACGGGCCTGTGGGCGTTCGACAGCAACATCCTTGAGGGACCGTCCACATCAGGCGCAGGCCTGCTGTCGACAGCCGAGTACTGGGCAACCATATACGGCGAAGTGCAGAGCAAGGACAAGGCCGGCTTCAACACGTCCCTCACCGACTACTGGGGCCGCGCGCTCTCGTTCCAGCTCATCAACGACGCGTCCGGCGGGCCGGCCTACACCTTCTCGTCCATCAGCCGCACGCCTGGTTTCAACGACGCCGAGCAGCCGCTGCCGATCCTGGTCGCCGACGAGCGCAGTCCTGGTACGCTGCTGATCTCGCTCAACTCGACCGTGTTCGAGTTCAACCCGTGGGAGATGGGCTCCTGGGACCCGACCGTGTACGGTTTCGCGCCGCTCGAGTACATTGGCTCCAACTTCACCAACGGCACCGTCTCGAATGCCACGGGCCAGCAGTGCGTCAGGGGGTTCGACCAATATGGTTTCCTCATGGGCACCAGCAGCAGCCTGTTCAACCAGCTATTGCTCCTGAACATCTCGTCACTCAACGTCCCTGGGTTTGTGCAAGACGCCCTGACAAGCTTGGCCAGCGAGCTGGGAGAGGACGACGACGATATTGCCCAGTACGCCCCTAATCCGTTCTTCCACTACAACGACCAGACCAATCCCAACGCTTTTGACGACCAGCTGAGCCTCGTCGACGGCGGCTCAGACCTGCAAAATATCCCCCTGCACCCTCTAATCCAGCCTGAGCGTGCTGTCGACGTCATCTTTGCCATTGACTCCTCGGCCGACGTCAACAACTGGCCCAATGCCACTGCTCTCCGCGCGACTTACCAGCGCAGCCTCGAGCCCATCGGCAACGGCACAAAGTTCCCCGCGATTCCTTCAGCCGAGACCTTCATCAACCTCGGACTCAACCGCCGCCCGACAGCATTCGGCTGCAACGCCGGCGTCGCCAGCTCAAACAGCACGTCCAACAGCAGCACCAGCGCCGTCAGCGGTAATGTCGACTATCCGCTCGTCGTCTACATCCCCAACACGCCATACACGGCGCTGAGCAACGTATCGACGTTCCAGATGAGCTACGACGACGCCACGCGCAATGACATCATCCAGAACGGGTACAACGTCGCAACCATGGGCAATGGCACGCTTGACGCCTCTTGGCCGAAGTGCGTGGGCTGCTTCATCCTAGAGCGCAGCCTGGTCCGCACGGGGAGGGCCATCCCCACCGAGTGCCAGGCGTGCTTCCGTCGCTTCTGCTACAATGGCACCGTCGACAACACCCCCGTTCCGTCGTTCGAGCCGATCCCGTTCCTCCAGCTCACGAACGCCAGCTCGACTGGCGGTGCGCCCACCGCCACAGCTGGCTCGGCGAACCCGAGCCACACCAATGCCGCTGCTCGGGTCGTCGGCGGCCTCGGGTACGATGGAGCCGTTACTGCGTTTCTTGTTGCCCTGGGAGCGCTGGCGGCTTTGTTGTAGACTGATGGACAGTGCTTGCATATTAACGAGCATCGAGGGGGAAAGCATGCTTTCTTCGAGCTTGACCTGGTGACAGGTTTCCATGTCTGCAGAATCGCGCCCTGTCATAATTGAGAGAGGACCAGGATATATCCCAGCCATAAGATGCTCCTCATCTTCACTATCACCAGAGTCCATGGTGGAGTTGGTACGGCGTAAACGAAATTGTCCACTAAATCGCAACTCCATTATGTGAAAGGAGCCTTGCTGCTACCTAGTGCAATTGACATATTATTTGATATTTGACCTCTGAGAATTGTCGATCGTCCGATTACAACGCATTGCGGTCAGTTAAACCAATTGGTGGTGTAGATTGGCTCTGAATCTCGGTTGCAAAATGTTCTGCAAGCCCATTAAACATGCACACCCTTCCAAATTTTCAACAGAACCGGTGAATAGCCTCAACGCGCTTCAGTAGTGATGCATCACTTCTTGAGCTCTACCTCATCATCTTTCCACCACTTTGTAAAAATTGTTGCGATGCAGCGTAGCACAAGCGGTCTTGAGGATATTTATGCTAGGTTCCGAGATTATGATCGAGAAAGAAAAAAAAAAGACTTCGATGCCGCCAACGGACACGCTCCTAATGCATGGTCACGGTCAATATTTCGTTGACTGAAGTACGTCCTAAGCTCCGACCACCGACCAGTTGCTCACTTAGCGCCGCAGCAATGGACTTCGGTGTCAGCCCCAATCATGACGCTGCGTAACCGCTGCAGGTCACGGGCCGTCCCGTGCACACCCACCACACGCAACAAGACACTCCGTGGTTGCAAGCTGGATTTTCCACATGTGGTGCTATTATGTTCAGAATCATGGACATTCAAACAGCAAAACAAAAGGTTTAGCAAATTCAAACAGCAAGTTCTGGGAGAGAGTGATTGACTGGGGGATGCTACACTGATACGTGATAAGAATACAGGCTCGTGATGACAAATTCGGCCGCGGGTAGCTCGGCACGCCTGGCGGACGTGGCGGACGTGGCGGGTGCCCAAGGAAAACAATGCGCCGCCTCGTTGGGAGAGGTCAAGTGGGTTGGTTGAACAGGGGCACCTCTTTTTGGCGGCGGCCTTGGCTGGCAAGTGGTAGCGATGGTGGTCAGACGAGATGCTCTGCATCAGGACATAGTGCGTACAGCGGGTGGTGTACCCTCCCTTGTCGGCTTGAGCCCAGCCCATTGTCCTGCATCTACCCCCTTGGCGGCAGCGTCAGATAGTAACGTAGTGTCTCCCTGGGAGCCCCAAGCCAGGGCTGTTGTTGCTGTTGGGGTGATGTGACTGCTCATGCGGTGACACGGGGTTGGCCACAGGCTGCATGTGAACCTGTCCTTGTCAATCACTTCTTCTCCTCCTCAACAATGCTCTGCCCGCTGCTGCCGTCGCCGCTCGTCCACTGCCAGTCCTCGTGTAATCGGATCCGGCCATCCTCCAAGATCTCCGGAGTGCTCCTGCAGCGGCCCGTCATGAGCTCACCGGCAACATTGACGTGCTCGTAGCGTGCGTCAAGGGTGTGCTTGTTATCCTTGTCGGTCTGGACGGTGGCAATGAGGAAACCCCTGGCGATGCTGCCACCGCCGTACTCTGCCCAGACGATCTTGCCGTCCTGGTGGTAGTGGAAGACGGTCGCTGATGAGACTTCGCCGTTTTCCGTATTTGAGGCTGAGCGGAATGTCCTGCCGTCGTAGGAGACCTGTTGTGACCCCATTGTTTTCGCTGGGTCGGGATCTAGCCCTGCTATTTCGCGCCTCCCTTTCTTTTAGAGTCGTGGCAATGAAAACAACAGGCGCCCATGACAGCGCATGGTCGAGTGGTGAGGACCATTATCAACGCCTCGCCCGTCGGTCACAGTATGGTTACTTGGCTGCCGATGACCGGAGCGATGTGGGCGTCGTGACGGCTTGGCACCGGCCACAAGCGGCCAGGCTCGGCGACAAGTGGACGTGACTGTGGACGGCCCACGGCCTCGACTCCTACGCCACCTGCCACCGGGGCCCGACGGGCGGCTTCTAGATCACGCGCCCCTGTCGTGGCAGTGGGGATGATGCGATTCCTGGCTTGGCTTGTCTGGCCGAGCAGCCTCACGCATCGTGGATGGATCAAGGCAGGAGACTGCGGCGGGCCCACTAGAAGCCCTCCTCGACTCGCACCATAGTTCAGAGGCAGTCGGACTCGTCCAGAAGCAGTCGTGGGTGCGCGACGCTCGGCTGACCGTGCCGCAAGCATTGCGAGCCTGTTCGAGCTTGCTCAGGGTCGCTGGGGCACGTCAGCCTGCATTTCTGGGGGGCCTCGGCCGCGCTCGCTACGGCCGGCACGGCGCAACACAGCACACGTGGACGGCGTCCTGGTTACTCCATCAGTCAAGTCGTGTGCCACTCCGCCTCCGGTCCTGATTCATTCGTCAGGACTGAATGGATGGACAATTGATGACCCGGAATTGTTTTGCCCGAGTCTTTCTCCCTTCGCCTCACCAACGAGGACTCGTCAGCCGATCCAATTTTCCCTCAGCAGAGGCCGATATTGTTGTGCCCGGCAGCACCCCCACCACAGCTTCGTGCCTCCTTTTCGTCGGCCAGTCCCAGTCCCAATCCACCCACCCGGTCGTCGCCTACGCGGCACGCCTGCGCGCCACGATGGCCACCGGCAAGATGCGCATGAGCAACCTCGACCTGATGAGGGCGGCTGACGCGTGAGCCTTTTCCTGTTCCTTCTTCTTTTGTCTCTGCATACTCGAAGCACAGAGCCCTTAGAGCAAGATGAAAGAGCAATACGAAAAAGAAGAGAAAGAATGAAGCCGTCAGTTATCTCAGACCTCACGAAAATCACAATGACGTCTCGCTGCAGTGGTTCACATGGATAGTTTCTTTTTGGCCCCGTTACACACAGCTCTTTGTGACTAAAACAAGCAATCAACGCCCATTTGTAGGTTCCCTTACCCAGATAAGCCAACCGAGGCAGCCGACCATGCGGCGCTCATGGCGACGCTGTACACGCTGCTCTGGCAAGACGGACACACAGTGCTGGGCTACCTGCGCGAACACGTCGTTGACGCTCTGCTCGCGGTGCCCGAGCCTATTCGTGGTCCCGTAACAGTGGACAGAGCCGCGCGGACCATTCACGCCTTTGAGAACGAAGCAGGGGAACTCGCCCGCACGGCGACGGTAGGCAGGGTCATGGCGTACTGGCGTGAGCAGGGCACATTCGAGGTGCTCCGGGGCTGGCGGGACGAGCTGTGGCCCGTATACAGGTCCGTCGACGAGGTGCTGTACAGCGTCGAGCGCAGCGGCGCCGGGCTACTCGGCGTGCTGCGGCATGGCGTGGATATGATGGGCTATGTCCTCGAAGATGTTGACAAGAACACCATCTCCAGCAGCAAAGAAATTCAGGGAGAGAAAGCAGACGACCTGAGGCGGAGGATGAAGATCTGGATCCCCCGCCGCTCCTCGACAAAGCAGACCCACCCGGGCATGCTGGACAGTACCGTCGCCGGTGGGCTCATGACGGGCGAGGTTCCCTTTGAGTGCATGCTGCGTGAGGCTGACGAGGAGGCGTCCCTGCCTGAAGATCTTATGCGCCAGAGGTGCAAACACACCGGCATCGTCACGTACATGCATATCACTGACACCCGGGCTGGCGGCGAGGCTGGGCATATATGCCCAGAGATGCAATGGGTTTACGATATTGAGCTGCCCGCGGATGTGTTGCCAAAGCCAAAGGACGGCGAGGTCGCCGGGTTCGAGCTCATGAGCGTGGAGAAGGTGCAGGATGAGCTGGCAAAGGGCAGCTTCGAGCCTGCCTGTGCGCTCGTGCTGCTCGACTTTTTTGTCCGGCATGGAATCCTCACAAGGGGAAACGAGCCCGACCATGATGAGATTGTGGCGAGGATGCATAGGAAGCTGCCACTGCCAGGGCCGCATTTGGCTTATGCTTTCTAAGTCACGAGTTGCGAATCTGCGCATAATGCCCAGCTAGTATCACTCGGTTTGGGTGACTTGGGACTAGGGTAGGGTGTGGCCTACACGGACACCGATTTTGAATCTGACTGTACCACGAGACGGCCCACGGCCTCGACTCCTACGCCACCTGCCACCGTGGCCCGATGGGCGGCTTCTAGATCACGCCCCTGTCGCGGCAGTGGGGATGATGTGATTCCTGGCTTGTCTGGCCGAGCAGCCTTACGCATTGTGCACTGTGGTTGAATCAAGGCAGGAGACCGCAGCGGGCCCACCAGAAGCCCTCCTCGCACCACAATTAATAAGAGGCAGTCGGACTCGTCCAAAAGCAGATCGTGGGTGCGGAACGCTTGGCTGACACAGGGCTGACAGCGGGTGCGATGCCCCATACAAAGCACGGCATCTTCCGACGATCCTGGGCAAGATGAACCCGCCGGTGGGATCTCTCGCCTGATAGTGTCAGCACAGCCGCTGTCATCCTGGTCGCGCCGGGCCGTGGGGCGTTGCGGATGGTCAACCCAACCGGAAATATGCCCGCCTTGGGAACCTCGACGAGGCTGCAGCTCGCACTGAGACCCAATCATGAGCCTGGCATGCAGGCAGCTTTTCCATATCCAGAGCCGGCCATACCTCAGTGGAGCGACTGGCGGCTAAGCTGGTTATTCATAGCCTTTTGGGGGCCGTGCTTGTGCATACAGCTCAGCTCATCCCAATACACTGACTGGGGTGCTTGGCAATATTTAATATGCACAGGGCTACTCCCCCAACCACGCATGGCAGGCTCCGATCCACTGGCCCATTATCGCATCACACTGGTATAAACTGCGAGGACCCTGAAGCTCGTCGCTGGGCGGATCAAGACATCATACAAGCAAAGTTCCTGGACATGACGTTTGGGAAGCCATGGCTCGCCGTGGTGGTGCTGGCCGTGGGCGTGGCTCAGGCAACACCAACCACCAACTTTGATCAGTTCTTTCCCGACTGGAACGAGTAAGTTGGGATCTTCCAGGGCGGCGTTCAAGAACCGCCCGAGTCTGCTCTTGGCTAACAGAGCGAATCAGAATGCTCCAGGGGATCCTCCGAGACAACTGCTCGGCCGAGTACGCCGTGTACAAGACTGGCGAGCGGGAGCCCGGCGCGCCGCTGTCCTCGCTCATCACCCCCGTCATCAACTGCATCCTCGAGACAATGCCCGAGTTCAGGAAGGCTGAGCTGAGCGCCAGCGCCGTCATCCTCGGCCTGCTACCGACCATGCTTCAGACCCTCGGGAGCACGCCTGCCGAGACCGCCCTGCTCTCGCTCCGGCGGCCCGTCCTCGCCTTCCTTCTCGCCCTGGGCAGCCCTTCCGTGGCCACGATGAAGACCAGCGAGTTCATGACTACAATCCAGGACCTCGTCGAGAAGGGGGACACGCGGCCGACAACCATTTCCACATTCCGATGGCGCTATGTGACGAGCAAGTGGCGCGTGGCCATGAGCGTGGCCGAGTATCTGGTCACCATGGTCGCCGTCGCAAACGTCGTCTACCTCGCCTACCAGCTAGGGTTCCACGCGATTGTCATGTTTGCTCCCGAGACCATCTTCATGCTCCCGCTATGGACGTTCATATGCGTCGTCATACATATGGGAGGCGTCCTTATCTTGTACCTCAAGCTGCGCATCGACCGCAAAGCGCCTAAGCACGATGATCAACCCCGACAACGCGGGCACGAAATGTACAATCCAGAGCCTTACCGGGGCATTGGCGAGCAGCAGCAGCAGCAGCAGCAGTCCCACTCGACGGCCTCTGAGCCTTTGGTACTCGGCATACTGCGCCGACGTACCACGGGTCTAAGCCAAGAGGTCACGCCCGCGGCGTTCCAAGAACCCAAGCGGCTGAGGTGGCGAAAGCAGACACTCTTTGCCAACTTCCTGATCTGGCTTTTATCCTTCGGCACCCTGGTGAACCTGGTGTTCGGAAGCATGATCTTCTCGTCTCTGCTCTTTTTCAGCGTCCGGGAAGTGCTGCTGATAGTCACACGCTACGTGGCCAGCACGCTGATATGCAGGGCGATTGTGCGGTTAGAGCTGTCCGGGATGAAGCAGAGTACTTACTACGACCCAACCGAAGAGGACGAGGGCGAGCAGCATATGCTGGGAGGCGGGACTGTATCCGAGATGATTCCTTTGAAGAATTCGCAGCATCACCACGTCGGAGAGACGAGCGGTTCATCCTTAGGGGTTATGCAATGAGATTGTCTGGTTAGCTTTCCAACCTTGTCAGTGCAGTATGCCCGGGTTTATCTAGCAGAGTATAATCAGCTTTAGAGCCTAGAGCTTAATGTGCTGATTTGACGCCTTGATCAATCGTGAATTCCCCTTGTGCCTCCATACCTCTACTGCTACTTGGGAACAGAGATGGCCAAGGTGGAAGCTTGACCATATACTTGTTACCGCGTTCTCCCAGACCATGGTTACCATACTTGTTAAAAACGGTGCGAAGAAGCATCCGCGGCCCTGCATCTACTCAAGCAGCTCAGTGCTTCTCTAGTGCTGCGAGATCCGTGCTGCGATGGTTGTCCGCTAAGCACCCAGATCAGCTCAATCTGTCCCTTTGACTCGCCCGTGCCGGCGACAGCGGCCTCAAAACCACGTCATCCGGCTCAGTGGATCAGCTAGCACGCGTTGTGGGAAGGCGCTCTCAGGTCATGCTACCAATCGACACCGACGCTCAGGCCGCTTGTGCGCCTGGCGTGAGTTATGCACCCCAAGTGGACAGTATGCTGCTACTGGTCTTGGTCCACGAGCCGATGCTTGATCAATCTGAGCTTATCTATCCCCTATCGGTTGTGATGAAGCTGGTCCTGGTGACGAAGCGACGGTCCGAGGCAGATGTTGAGGTGGGAGACTCGTGATATGTGCGCCCATTTGCTTGCGACCTGCCCACGCGTCGACGCAGGCGACCTTGAATCCCGGATCTTGTCCTAATCACGCCACTCGAGATCGTGCACGATGTATTTGTGCCCTGAGCTGCTTCCCCTGGATGAGATGGCCCTTCGCCGTATTCCGCGAGATCGAACCACAATCATCTAACTGGATGCGTGGTTGGCACTATCAGTTGTGCTGGCTAGTGCGTCCGAGTCCGCCTGTCAGATGTCATGGTTTGTCTTCAACAACGAAGTGACGAGGACGAAGATGTCGACCTACGATGGGCAGCGTACGCCGAAATCGAGAGGAGACGCGCTTTGTGATTTGTGCGCATGCCCGGCAATCGTGATGGTCCTGGATGCAACCCAAGCCTGTTCCTGACATTCCTGATTGGGACGCTGCTCGGCAATTCAGATGTCAGCCATGATGCACCCAAGTTTGTGCGGGGAAGACCACACACGACTACTTTATGCATGGGCAACTGCTGATTTGGGCTTGCCCGGGGATACTTGCAGTGCCTGGCACTTCCCGCTCCCTTTCGTTATGCGGAACGAGCCTCTCCGTCGCGGTGTGGGTGCGGAGCACGGCGCCCACCCACGTGCGCCGCTGTGGCCCTTGCCCTTGCAGCCGCTGGAGCATTGTCCACGGTCTTGATAAGGGCGAGTTGCGGTGCTGCTTGGTGGGAAATTACCAGGGGGTGGGGACCTGGGTTAGTACCAGGTCCGGTCCAGTGTTTCCTTTTGATTCGGCACGTCCATAAGCATCCGCCCGGGATTATCACCATATCCTTGGGTTACTGAGCCTACAGAGTTGTCCGGCGCCAAGTTGCAGCAAAGCTTGTCTCAATGACCGCTCTGGATGGCTCAGCAACGCTATTCTGAGGGCCATATGGGGACAAGACGCCACCTGCAACGTCGTTCCAGTGCCGCTGTACCCCTCAAGGCCGTGCCGCTTTCTAGAGATGAAAGCAGGGTTGCGAGTGGGGTTGCATAACGAAAAGCTTCCCTGTCGAGGAAGGCCAGGGAGCCATAGACTTGGCAGCACGAGGCAGGAATCGTCCCGAGCCGATGTCACGGCCGGAAAAAAACAAGATCCGATGGCCCATGATCGACACTCGCCTAGCAGGGGTGCTTGTCAGGTACTGATATAACATTGCCTACTCCCATCTCGCCTTGAATCTTGCCTTCCCCCATTGCGGGCAGACTTGTCGAACGACGACGTCTAACCATAAGCTCTGTCATCGGAGGACACCGCCGCGATGCTGCTCCAAGTGCTGCTGACAACCCTCCTCGCCTGCGTGGCGCAGGTCTGGGCCATCACCGTGTCGACCACTTCGGCCTCGTATGTGATCGACGCCCAGAGCGAGAACGCCTTTGTCGTTACCATCAGCCGCAGCACGTGCGACATCACCTCGCTGCGGTACCGTGGCATCGAGTATCAGTACTCTGGCCAGTTCAGCCACATTGGCTCGGGCCTCGGCAGTGGAACCGCAGTTTCCTACTCAACGAGCCCTTCTGGCAACACCGTCATCGTCCGCTGCGGCCAGACGGGTAATGGCTTCAACCTGGCGCACTACATGGTCCTGCGCCACGCGGAGCCTACCATATACATGGGCACGCAGACCAACGCGGAGCCCAGCATCGGCGAGCTGCGCTACATCTTCCGCCTGACCGGCCTCTTCAGCTCGTACCCGTTCGGTGACGCCTCCAACACCGTCGGCAGCACATCTGCCGTCGAGGGTAGCGATGTCTACATCGTCAATGGCCAGACGCGCTCCAAGTTCTACTCGTCCGAGCGCTTCATCGACGACCGCGTCTACTGCTCGACCGACAGCGGCGCCACCGTCCATGCCTGCTTTGTCCGCCCCAACCACCAGGCCACAGAGAAGAGTTCTGGCGGCCCCTTCTTCCGCGACATCAACACCAACCCGAACGGTGCCTACACCTCTCTCACCTACTACATGAACTCGGGCCACGTCCAGACCGAGGCCTTCCGCCAGGGCTTCCACGGCCCGTATGTCTTCACCATGACTCGCAGCGGCATCCCCAGTGCTGGATCATTCGACCTCTCCTGGTTCGACAGCCTAGGCCTCCAGGGCTATGTCCCGATCAGCGGCAACCGCGGCTACGTGTCCGGCACTGCCTCTGGCGTCTCGACGGCATTCCCCATTGTCGTGCACTGGTTCAATAGCGGCTTTCAGTTCTGGACCTACGCGAGCTCCAACGGCGCCTTTGGGTCCCCTCCCATGCCTGCAGGCACCTACACCATGAACCTGTACCAGGACGAGCTGCTTGCCGCTACAGCCAGCGTCTCTGTCACTGCTGGGAGGACCACGAGCCAGAACATCGCCGCCACCAATCCAATCATCACCCAGACACGCACAAAGATCTTCCAGCTGGGCGACTACGATGGCCAGCCCACAGGCTTCCGCAACGCCGCCAACCAGCTCCGCATGCACCCATCAGACACCCGGTTCGTTTTCCGGCCCAGTTAAAGTGCCCCATGACTGTATCGACTGACCCGATCATTTTACTCCGTTTAGCATGGCGAGCTGGACGCCCGGCACTGTCCCGTCCAACCAGCCCGGCACCTGGCCAATGGCAATTTTCAAGAACGTCAACAACGGGCAGAAGATCTCCTTCTCGCTTTCCAGCGCCCTAGCCCGGGCGACCACGCTCCGCATCGCCACAACGCTCTCCTTTGCGGGCGGCAGACCCCAGGCCTCCGTCAATGGCTTCACCTGCCCTGCGCCGAGCGCGCCGCCCAAGATCGACAGCCGGGGCGTCACACGCGTCGCGTACCGCGGCAACGGCGAGGTGTATACCTGCACCGTCCCCGCGGGTACACTTGTCGCCGGTGCCAACACGGTGACAATCAACGTCATCTCCGGCAGCGACGGGGCTACCTTTCTGAGTCCCAATGTGGTGAGTTTTTGTCTTGGCCCTCAGCATATGTCGAGATGGCCGTGGATGGGTCGTGAAGTGGGGCTAACAGAGATTCGACTCCAGGTCTTTGATGCTATTGAGCTCTTCTACTGAGGCAGGGTCGAGATTGCCAAACTTTGCTCGATTCCCGGGTTGATTTCGCGCGCTCCGTGTTATTCTTCCGTAGCGTCGTATACATATTCGCAGACACAAATGTTCTCTCCATTCGTTGTACATAAGTTCAAGCCACGCAATGCGTACAAATCAACCACACAATCATGTTCTTCGACCCTGCCTATACTTGTTACAGAACTTGGCAACGCTTTCATAGACATGAGGGCAGATTTAATAGCGTGGAACTGGCGGCTGTTGATGCTCGTGACTACAAAGCACTGCCGGGGAATAACCATACAGAGTTCGTGAAGCGACGTCATCTGATCGAGCTCCGCATTTGGGAATGCTCTCGGGCTAGACCTTCCTTCAGGCTCTGTCTGTATCATGATCCAAAAACTAGCTGTAACCTTGCTCGCGGGGCCGGCAGGGACAGCCGGCGCCACAAATTCTGACACAAGTCAGTGCCATGTGGGCGTGTGCGGGTGTGCGGATCAGAAGGCGGGACACGTGCTGGCGGCCAGGGGAGGGGGGAGGGGGGGACTTACAGAACTCTGTGCATTTCCGGAGAGCACATCTCTTAGCTGAAGACCAGGCTCGCCGTTTTGTGATCAGCCGTCGGCTCTTCGAAGTCGTTGTCGACTTGGCGCTTGGCTTGCAGGCACAGTTTGGTTTTATTGAGCGAGGAGCGTGCCTGTCTAAAAGTCTTGCCTCCGACATGCCCTGTTGATCATTGAGCGGCGGCCAACACCTGGACTGCCCTTGGCCTTGGAGATGGGGCAGCTGCCAAAGAAGATTTGGATCGTCAGTGCCAAAATAGCGACGGCCTGGGATCAAGCTTGCACCGAGTCGAAAGTCTGGATGCTGGCAACAGGCTTGGCTGTCTTGGCCAAGGTCTTGGCAAATCTTCGCAGGGCGATCAATTCCATTAGTTGAGTGCTTCGCACCGAGGTTGTTTCTCCTGTCTGTCATGAAAGCAACCTGAGATTGGACACCTTTCGGCTGATGCGAACAGGGCGCAGCTAGACGGTTTGGCTCACCTGTTGCCATGTTACAATCGAGATGAGCGCAACCTTTATGCTCACGACACGCTCTTCTGCTCACAGTAGCATCTTTACTGATGTGCTGCAGCGTGCACGCCGGACGAGGCGTCCCGTGCTTTGAGACATCATGGTTCGCCTTTCTTGCGCGCCATGTCTCAGAAGGTCTATTCTCCTGGCATAAAGCCAGTTGGTTAAGCAAGCTTCTTGCCGATTGCGGGTCTTGGCAGCCATCATCATTCTCCCGAGTCCCGCAGGTGACGGCATAGCTTATTGTTATAATCCTGGTGATCGCCTCATGCACATTGCTGCCATGCACGACTCGAGCCCCCTCAAGGGCTCACATTTGAGCGCCCATGGCAATTTAGGGCGGCCTTTGAGGATGCCCAGTGTCAGTTATAAGCTTTGGGCGGTCTGTGCTGCATGCCTTTATGAGCGCAGCTTGGCCCTCCTTGGCCGAGAAAGGGCAGTCCACCATGTCGTCACTGACACTAACGACGAAGGGGCATTCAGCTTTTACCACGGCTGCCATGGACATGGACGGAAAGGGAATGATTGCCGATTCGTCATGACGCACAAGAATAGTCTCCAATACCTTAATGCATGGGCGACGAGAAGGAGCAGGCCACGAGTAAGCATGCCGGCACATGCGCTGCCATCAAAAACCCTGAGCTGCGTCGGTGCCTGCTGATCTCGTGGGATCCTCTCTATTTCCTCCCATCTTGCTGGTGTTCTGCTTAGCGGTGGTATTGAACCTCTACTCTCGACCTTGTTCACCGTCGTCAGGTCGCCCTCCTGCCAACATTTCTTTACTTTAACTCTACAGACGTTCCAGGGGACTCCCTCAGACATCATCATGAAGCTTCTCTATGCTGTCGGTTTGATTGGTTTGGCCCAGGCCATACCTGGCGGGACACCGCCGCCTCCGCCACGAGCTCTGCACAAGGTGTACGATCTGCACCCACGGGAGCACATGGTGGCAGAGTCGGACATCGAACGTCGCGCCGAGCCCAACGACGCGGGCGCAGCAGGTATACTCGAGACGATGGAGATGACCATCGGCCTCATGGGGACCTCGATCCGCGCCAATGCGGCCTTGATCAGTCAGTATTTCCAGCCTCCCACCGCCGAAGCTCCATGCCGGAGTCTACGACGGGCGCGTGCCGAGGAACAGCGACTGACACTTTACCAACAGGGCAGACAGCCAGTACTATCACCAACACCACCGCAGGCCCAGGCACAAACCAGCTGCTGCTTACCGGCGAACACCTGATGGAGTCTGGCGTGCACGGCATGACAACGTCGATCCAGCACGCCATCGCACATATAGGGGTGACCACGGGTGCAACCGACTCGGGACTGCTTGGAGCCACGCGGGGTCTGAATCAGCGAGACATCAACGCGCTGGCCACGAGCCTCCAGGAGCTGACCAGCCTGCTCGGCCTGATCCGCGACACCATCACCATCACGATCGCCGGGCTCGCGCCGCCAGTCCGGCAGGTCCTGCGCCCGGACGTCAACTCGCTCGAGGCCAGCCTGGGCCCGCTGCTGCAGCCGATCCGTGTGCTCATCGTCTCCATCATCAACCTCAACAAGAACAACCCGGACATCAACACCACTCTGCTCAACGGCGTGCCCGAGAGTCTCGAGTCGATCCTGGATGCCATGGTGAACAACATCCCTTGAAAGCGCATGAAGGACAGGCACGCCCTATTCGCCGCGTAAATCTGAAGGGGAGAGACACATGGGGGGAGGACTTAATTTTTCACAGACTGTGTAATCCATGGCGGCATAGGGATGAAGTATGGTGGCGTATAGGCTGGCTGGCATCTGAGCACAGGATGGATGGCCAGATAGTGCGGTCCGTCTGCGCATGTTTATACACGCATTCTGATATAGTATTAGTGAGGCTAATAACAAGCTGGCGAATAACCCGTCTGAGAGAATTAAATGCTCTTGCGTGGTGCGGCTAGAGCAAGAGTCTGAGTGCGACAACATGGGCGTGCGTGATGGGCTCCGGACACAGGTGGGGGACAAAAAAAAGAAACAAGCTCGAGGCACGTGTGGCGGAGTGGCTTGCAGACTGTTGCGTTTATCTGCACGTCCTGCCGATCAGCCATGCCCTGGATAAAAGAGTTGCTAGACAGCTCCCAGTGCCTGGCGATGCAGTATGGATGCACCAAGAGCTCATGCCTCCGCGATATCGTAGCAAAGATCATAGCAGCGCTACTGAGCTTGGGGGTTGAGACCTCGTGGGCGGCTCTGCAGGCAGGCGGTATGAGCCGGCACTGGCTGAGCGGCCGCACGTTGGGTAACTTTATCGCGCACGCTAACTATGTCGACGTCCGGTTCAAGGGGCTCTTGGCCCGTCTGTCCTTCCACCGCCTGTTCCGGAGCATCCGGACTTGCTGCGTGCTGGTGTCCTGCGACAAGTGGCACACATCAACCACGTCGCTCGAAGAGTGTCGCAGAGAGCGATGGGAAGCGAGCAAGTCCAGACAGATCAAGGAAAGTGACAAGCTCTCTCAAAAGAAGCTTGGCTTGGCCAGCAGCCCGACTACCTGGCGCTTGGAGGCCCATATTAATGCACGAGTGCGAGCGAATCTCGGGACCTTGCCGGGGTGCAAGCACCCTGAACAAAAAGGGGGCCGCTAATAGTTATGGGCGAGACCCTGTGACAGTACAGGGCATATTTTACACCACCTCCCTATAAACTGACCAAGGATGCATCCTGGAATTCCCACGAGCTGCCATGGCGTGGAATTACATGCAGAAACCAGATGACAGCTGCATGCTCTCGTAGCCCTTGGCATTGCATTGCACAGTGCACCTCGGCTGACTTTAACTCGCGGAGCGCAGCTTACTGCATTGCGTGCTGGCTGGAGCCTGGGCCGTGCCAATTGAGCCCCTGACGCACCCACATGTGTGCACCAGCCGAACCCCTTTCTGGCACATGAGCAGGCAGCCTAATCATCCGGACCGATCCACTCTGGGGACATCGGTGAGGCTAGCCGCGTGTGTTGCTAAGGTTTTCTTCGCCTGACCTGGTCACAGCTCTGGTTGTGCCGATTCCAGCGGCGGGACCTACCTTGCCCTGGCTGGACTGGCACTACTACGAAGCTTTGTGCCTGCTCACTCCACCCCGCGGCAGCACCTTCACTCACTCGTCCTATCCCGGAGTAGGTCAGTAAAACACAAGAGCGTGGAACCAACAGCACTGCTCGCCATGGACAAGGAGATCTTCTTCGATCCCAAGCTCACCCGGGACGACCGGCTCGTCCTCGAGAGCCTGGCCCAGGACATCCGGGTTCAGGAGAGCCGCCGCAACACCAAGAGCTCAGCGGCAACATCAAAGGCGGCCAAGCCCACAGGCAGCGATGAAGAGGCCCTGGTGGCCCTCATGGAGAGCACCAACACCCCTGGGACCGCCGACTTTGAGCCCACCGTCTTCACGAGCTGGGACTATGCCGACATTGACTGGAAGAAGCCCTTCAACGCCTGGGTGCTCGCCCCCTATGTCCGCGTCGCGCGCGGCATCGTCCGCAAGGAGACGGACGTGGTCATGCTCACGCACATTCTGCTCTACTTCACGACATCGGTGCCCAGCGCGCTAGCCCTCTTCTTCTGGCACTTCAGCTGGCTGCACGGCATTGCCCACTTTGTCATGCAGGCAACCTTTGTCGGCACGTACACGCTCATGATGCACCAGCACATTCACATGCGCGGCGTGCTGGCCAAGCGGTGGGCCCTGTTCGACGGCCTGTTTCCGTACATTACGGATCCGCTGATGGGCCACACCTGGAACACGTACTACTATCACCACGTGAAGCATCACCACATTGAGGGCAACGGGCCCAACGACCTCTCGTCAACCCTCCGCTTCCAGCGCGACAGCCTCCCGCACTTCCTCATGTACCTGGGCCGGTTCTACTTCTTCATCTGGTTCGATCTGCCCTTGTACTTTATGCGCACACGCAAGTATGTTCTTGCGGGCAAGGCGTTCTTCTGGGAGATGGCCAACTACTCCTTCTTTGTGACGCTGTTCCGCATCAACCCCAGGGCGACCTTTTGCGTGTTCCTCATGCCGTTCTTCCTGATGCGGCTGGGTCTGATGGTGGGCAACTGGGCGCAGCACGCTTTTGTCGACCACGATGAGCCGGACTCGGATTATCGCTCGAGCATCACCCTGGTTGATGTCCAGGTAGGTCGCCGTGTTTACCTAGCCACGTCCTGTGGACGACCCGAAAATGAGACCTGATGACTGACCACCTCGGACAGAGCAACCGCCACTCTTACAACGACGGTTACCACACCTCGCACCACCTCAACCCGCTGCGGCACTGGCGCGACCACCCCAAGTCCTTCCTCAAGGGCAAGGAGCAGTACGCCACACAGGGTGCCCTGGTAAGTTGTTTTTTCCGCTCAGTAGTCTCCCCTCCATATGCTAACAACGCGAAATGGCAAAGGTCTTCCACAACATCGACTACATGGTCCTCACGGTCCGCCTGCTCATGAAGGACTACAAGACGCTCGCGAAGTGTCTGGTGCCCATCGGAGCCGAGCAGATTGCCATGACCATGGACGAGCGTGCGGCGTTTCTGAAAGATCACACGCGGCAGTTCACCGAGGAGGAGATTGCCCGCAAGTTCAACGTCAAGGGCGGCGCTTCCGCAACAACGATGGCGAAATGATCTAGCGAAAGGACGGCGGGAAAGTGGCAACTAATGTGTATCATACACGTCGCATTGTGGGGTAATCAAGCGTGGGTTGGTCTTGCATAGCTGGAATAGACTGGCGTTTTTATCGTTCTCGAGGGAAAATGGGGCTTTGTAGATGGAGTGTGCGAGTACTGCTACGTGATGCTCGAGATTTTACGTATCGCACGCTGACTTCATCTAATCAAGCTGACAGTGGCAAAGTGAGCTGCCGTAAATTTATCTCTAACGGGACATGCTTGGAAGTGCTGGGGACACCACAGTAACCAAAATCAATGATTGAGCCCCGAAAGTTGCCGCTTTTGAATGCAACGTCGCTTCGAAGGTCTTCCATATGAGTTCAAGCTACCGGAGATCTGATCTGTCCTCTATCCTTCTCTTTAGCAAGAGAGACCCTGACAGACCGGCACGTTTGACTCGTGGCGCGGCAGCCACCAAACTCATGCTCGTCGTGGTACCAATCATCTGCCCCTGAAAGGGATATCACGCGGCGGAGAAGTGCTCCAGCGGGAAGATCCCGTCTCAGCAGCCCACCCAGACTGCCGCCCCTCATCCGTCTGCAGACGCAACCCGAGCTCGGCAGCTGCAGCATCGAGAGCAGCAACTTCGATTTCCTATACATATATATCGGTCAGGCCACGAGCTTGGTTTGCATCAACGAGGAGCTAGAGAAGGTCTTTCTAAGGATTACTCACGTCCAGGTGCAGGTCGTACACGGTATTTCCCAGGAATGTCACGGGCTCTATCCCAGCGATCAACTCGCTGTGCGCGCCCACGCTCGCGACAGACGATGTCTCCGCGTCATGGCAGAGCCGCTGCATGCCCCGGAGGAGACTGCCCATCTGGCGACGTTGCCTCTGCTGGGACTGGCTCGAAACGGGGGACGACGTGTCGTCGCTCACCGTGGAAAACCGGGACTCGTGCCAGAGTACATGGTTTGGGGCAAAAGGTAGTGCCTGCAGTTCCTGGACGATATTGAAAGGAAGCCTTGCGCCGTTACTGCTCGTGCCAGAAGCACTCGGGACCGATGGGGTGGGGGCGTAAACAATCTCGCTGTCCACTTGGTTCTGCAGCTCCGGGGGCCTCAGTATCTTACACCACGGGGTGCCACTATGTTTGCCATGATGCTCGGCAGAGGCGGAGCCAGGAGCAGTTGCTTTGTATCTTCGGCCCCAGACAAGAATGTAGTATGGGCCGTCAACACCGCCAGTTCGAGCACGAGCCGCCTCGTTGATGGTAAGGAGCATGACACCCAGCCATTCTGACTTGTTGTGGTCGTCGAACAGGTATCGGGAGTCCCGTTCATGGACCGAGCTGTTTGAAGAGATAAGGAAATCCCCGTCGGCTTTTGGGGCTGTCGAGACGACGGTATATCGCCTCTGCACGTGATCGCTGGGCCTGAAGCGGACGACCATGCTGCCCATGGATGAGTGGTCAGGTAAAGGATGATCATCCGGCATTTCGATGACTATGCGGGTGCTGATGGCGTGGGTCAAGTCCCAGTTGTCGACTGCCGGATGGAGCATTTGTCAGCGAAGCGAACGTCCGAAGGACGTGCGTTATTGCACTTACTGGAGTTCTGATTATCTATCGTCCTCGAGCTGTACGAGATAAGTGTGCCGTTCCGTCGAACGACGAGGAGGCGCTTCCCGTCCGCATATTCAACCACCTTGAAGCGCTCAGACTGCTTGTCGATACGCTGAACAACGAGGGCTGGCCGACCAAGGTGGTCATCCTCGTCCAACGAGCAGTTGAGAATGGCCAGAAAGTTGGCCGCCTGGCCAGCAACCCTGCCTGCCGAGGTACACGTGCAGAGGAGGACATCGAGTGCGAGATCGCCGTCGGAGAAGCTGATGGCAGACTTTCGGTACTGGTGCGAGATTGACACATCGCCTTTGAAGTGTCTTGGGCCTGGAGACAGCAGGGACGGCCACGTGTGCACCAGGATCGACTGGTCCCCCGAACGCCGCATGATTTCCTCCTGCAGTCGCATGAATGCTCGCTGCCCTCCTTCCCCGTAAAGCAGGGGCATGTTGACGCCGAAGATGCCCATGAGACAGTAGGCGAGGTCTTCTTCGCGAGTCGTCTCGCGAGACTTAGCCCAGGACATGCGCTTGGCGATGCTGGTCGTGTGCAGTATGTGTAGTGCAGCCATCTCCTCCATGTGTCGATATCGATCCGTCAGCAGAGTCCCAGGGATCTGGGTGATCTTGCTGATCCTGGCTGCAAGAAAGCCTCTCGTTCCCAGAAAGTTCCACGTCTTGCCATAAAACTTGACCGTCTTAGGGGCGATTAGCTCCTGAAGCGTCCATCCCCTCTCGAACCACTTGGACTTGCTCAGTCCTAGCTCTGTGAGGACGCCAAAGAGATAGGCATAACAGACATCGGCCAAACTGTACCAGCTGTACATGGAGTTGATGGCCTCCGACAACTCAGCGCTGCTCGACTTGTCAATACCTGCCATATCGTTAGCTGGATACTCGGATGGTCCTGCGGGCTTTCTCACAGCAGTTGTCTATCCATATGTACTCGTAGCCATCGGCCCGCGCGAGGGCACAGGCCTGTAGGACCTTGGAGGCGTGCTTCTTGGTCTTCCAAGATTCTTTCTTGTCCGGGTTGACGAGGTCGCTGTAGAGCAGCTCCCGCTTATCCCAAACGTGTGACAGGATGGCATATTTGGTAGAGCCAGGGGCCTTGTCCTCGAGGCGGTGTCTTGAGGTGTGAAGCAGGCGCATGGGAGTTGGCTTTGCGGTTGTCGCAAGTCGTGAGGGGTTTGAGGGCGGCTGGGTCGTGGTGAGCGGAACATTGAGACCCGAGCCTGGCTTATGCGGATGCTGAGGGGGGCCGGGTAGGGAACCCGCCTCATCCTCACTGAATCCCCCGCTGTGACAGGGATTCCAAAGGGCGATGTTTCTAGTGGGGTGAAATGCACTCTAATACCATTTTTCTGAAAGACCCGAAGTGCAGACTCGCCGAACGAGGTAGTGGCTGTCTTCTTTTGTCTTCAGGTGTCGCACAGACTTACAATACCGTGCAGCGAGAAGCATGTTCGCTCTCTTCACCTGCGTTGCGCAGCATGTCAAGTGCAATTGAGCCCAGACACTCCGCACAGCACTGCAAAGTTGGTTGGATCTGTGCCGTGCCACTCCGGAAGTCGACGCTGCCAAAGTCTTTCTGGGCGACAAGGACGACCGTGCCAGTGGCATATCTGATTACGCGGCAGTGGGAAGACGGGCTTTGCTACAAAACAGCATCCCTGGAGATGGGTGTCTCGGTCATGTGGACGTTGGTTCTTCAGGCTGGATCACGGCCCAGAGATCCCTCATGCCAGCATTCTTGGTTGCTACAACCGAGCGCAACATAATTGAATTTAGAATGGGTGCACGCTGAGGCTCTTTTTGGGCTGTCGTGCTTATCTTTATGGAATATTCCCTCACTGCATTATATTCGTTTGCTACTCTCTTTATGGTACACCTGTTTGCTACTCTGGATCGTCCCATAATGAGGGCGCTAGCTGATAGTCAATGTGATTCATGTCGTATAGCACAAATCATGAACATGCTTGTAAATGCTTGCTATGTATGAAGAGACGAAGTATATGAATTCTGCCATGGTATAATTGCTTATTTCCATCTCAAATCGTCTGTTCGCGATTTCCAAAAAGATGACAAGTAGTTCCTGTTCCACCATATCAATGCTTTTTGCACGCCACGGCCTACACCGAGCGGTGTGCAGCATACCTGGTAACGCCGAACAGGTTAAAGGTTGGAAGCGCTTACGAGAGAGCACATGCAAGGGCAGAGGAGAAACAGCTGACGGCGACATCGACAGCACCTCCAATGACGCCTTGAAGTCCTTCCTCAAGAGCACTACCAACGACGTCCTGTGCGGTCTCTGAGTTGACACATGAACCACATGCGTCCGCCGGGCAGGTGATAGTATACTCGAGCATTCCCTGCATATTGTCGTTCGCGTAGTAGACCATCTTGACATGAGCAGGGAGGAAGGTGGTGATCTCTCTGTGCGGTTGCCACACCTGGTGACATGGGCGCCCCATGTTCTCCACTGGACAGGGAGACCATTGGCCGTCGTCTTTCTCCTCCACATAAACAAACTTTTTGTTTTGGCTTATAACCTTGAGAGATTTACGCAGACCGTCCATCTGAAGCCGTGACGCAGCGTTGCATTCGAATTGGATTTTGCAATCGCTATTAGGGATATCGTACTCGATCTCTTTGCAGTTGCCGCCGCCTCTCGGGTTCTCGTCGAGGGATTTCGTGAGCAGTCCGTAGATCTTGTCGTTGACATCAACGTTGTGGCGAAGCCTAGTCTGGTCGTTGCTAATGCTCACGTCGAGCACCGGCGAAAAGAGCTCGTGCGCATTCCTGTTGCACACGAATGCCGAGTCGCAAACAGGGCCGTTCCAAACCTGTGCCGCGCCCTTGCGCTTGTAAGGCCAGCAATAGAAATGCAATGGGTCTCCGTTCGAGTCCTTGCCATTGGAGCTCCGAAGTGTACCTGCCGGCTGTCCAGGAACGGCGCCTTTCCCATCGAGATCGATCCTCCAGACGAAATTGTCTCCAAGATCGATCTCATCGATGATGTCCTCTGATTTCCACCCAATATAGTCGTTGAAGTTTTGAATTCCAGGCAGGGTGTTTCTGTACCTTCCTCAGCATGGTCTGAGTATAAGGACAGCATACCATGGGGTAAGTCAGGTAGCAGTCGAATGTCTAGTAGGGGCCCGTATTATTGCAAACCTAATTCTTGAGGAGTTAAGTTCCTCCTCGTTCGCGACACGCAATCGGATCAAGAGCCGCGATTAGCCAACGGCAAGGTCAAAATCGGATTGTCAATAGTGAAATTCGGGGACATGGAGGCAAAGATGGAGGAAGTAGAGTGAGAAAGTGGGGAAGCATAGGAAGAAACTTCACGGGATCGAGTCTGCAATGGATGCATTTCGCAGCAGTCAGAGCGATATTCAGTGATAGGAGGTCTGGTACGGAAGGTTGGGAAGCTAAGTCTATCAATCCCCAGGATAAGACAGGCAGGCGGAAGGGGAAAAGCGGGAACGGTGGCTGGCGCCGAGTTTGTGGAGGCCATGTAGGATCTATTCCAATGAACGCAGGCTCTGTCGCTGCACTGCCGTGCCAATCGCTTAGTTCTTGACTTTCCCAATGCCTGCCTCCAGGAATATGGATCTGCTTCTAAGTTCCAGCCAGGTGGTACGGGCACCATGCTATAGTACTGATACTTGCTGTGAGAAGGTGAACGCTACTTCCCTGGTGATGTTGCCGGTGTCATTATAGTGGGTTGAAGTTAAAGGGCTATAGCTGCGCCGTTGAAGTTGAATTCCGAGAAAAGGTGTGCCGTCACCAGTGAGCCGAGAAGTTGGGTTGTCGAACTATGAGCTTATCCCGCGAAGCTCAAGTATGTAATAGGTAACGCGAACCTTGCGGCGTGCGGCGTCGTGGCGGTGCATGTAGTTGTTGAGGGTCAGGGGGGCTTGCAAACCGTCATAGCCCTGAGCGTACTGAAATGTCCGCATGGTGTTGAGGCTGGCGCAGCGCTGCGTAGCTCGGTCGTTATCGCAGGGTCCTGGCTGTCCTTATATTGGAGTCGGCCATTTGTAGCAACCTTCCCAGATGGAGAGTATGCGGGTCTGGAGTTGTGGACGCAAGGATGCCAGCCAAGATTTCTAGATTCGGGAACGACGAGCGGGCAATGAGTCACTTCGCCAGGCACGACAGTGTGATGGCCTTGCCTAAGCTGCAACAAAAGGCCGTTGGAAGCTCGTGACTGCTCCCTCCGCTGTTATGCAGCTCACCATTGTCTGGCATGTCAGTTTTTCCACCATCCTCCGCAACCATGTATCCACCGTGTGATCATGACGACCGGGCCTCCGTGGCGAGTAGTGACGGCCATGGTCTCTCCTTCTTAGACCTCCCAGGGGAGATTCGGAACCAGATCTACACCATACTCCTCTGGCGCAGAGACGACATGGAGAGACGTATCGTCCCCGTGCTCAAGCCGCCCAAAAAGTACACGCCAGTGGCCAGACAGCTGCAAGCACGCGAGGAGAAGCAAGGCGCGCGGCTGCGCCCGCGATGGGGTCACACGATCCTGACCACTCCTCCAGGCCGCTTCGCGAGGACGTGCAGGCAGGTCTACCGCGAGTTCGCGCCCATGCTGTACTCGTCGCACACGATCGTCCTGCACGCCGGGCGTGGCGGGCTGGGCGGCGTACAGCCGCGGTGCTGGACGTACTCGCCCTCAGAGAGCCATGACCGTGACTCGCCCCTGGAATACCTGAGGCGCGCGGTCCGGAACAACACGCCGGCAGATCTGCCGCGCCCGCTGCAGCACTGCGCCTCGCTGAGCATCACGGTCGTCACGCCCGTCAATGCGGCGGTGCACAGGGCGTGGCTCGACGCGTTCGACTTCCTCGCGGGCGACGCGAAGAGGCTGAGACACCTCCGCGTCACCTTTGCGCACGACAAGGACCGTGAGCAGTGCCGCTTCCGCCGGACGAATAGCAGGTCGACTCATGACGTTGACGTGTCGGGCGGCTGCTGCATCGAGCTCGCGAAAGACGTGGCGCTGGCACAGAGGCTCGGCAGGCTTCGCAGGCTCGAGAGGCTCGAGATACGGGGGGTGTACGAGGATGTATGGCCAGCTGTACTGGATAAACATATTGTTCATTATGGCAATGGGGGTGGGCGTAATAGTGATAGTCATGACGATGATGGCGACATTGGCGATGTACCAAGACTGGCAGTGCACCTTGTCGGGTTTCTATGCACGCTATGGGACGCCGACCATGGCGGCACGGACGGCGGGTCTCGCGAAACCAAGCTCATACGTGTGGACTATCGTAGGGAGCGCAGGCATCAAGCAGCGTGCAAGTTGTCACGAGATCAAACACGAACTTTGTAGAGTCTTGGGCTGTATTCTGCTATGAGGCCGCACGACATCGCCAAGAACGGTGCCACCAGATGAGCTTACAAAGGCTACGTAGGGTTTGTCGTAATAAACGCAGGTTCTCGGGCCCGACTACCGTGGCCTTCGCCAAATCTTACACGTCCCCGGCACGATCCTCGGGGGATATGGCTCAACCGGTAACCTCCAGCCAGGCGGCACAGGCACCATGCCATGATACTGGTCCTTGAGACTTTCATAGGCATCGCTCATCTCCGGACGCACTCGTATTTTCTTACAAGGCAAAAGGCATCGCCCAGCTTCACTCGTGCGGTGTTTCCGGATGTACAACGTGTGCTTTGGCCCCAGAACCAACTTGAAAAAGTCTTCCGAACTGGCTTGGATTTCGTACTTGTACGGCGTCCGGACCAGGAGCCATTCAAGCGCGGGCAGTTGCTGTTCCGCAGTATTCAGCAGTCGCTCGATTGCTTTGTCATGGGGACGTCTATCCCTCCCGATAGCCATCGACGTCCAGAACCATCGCAGGCTAGGGGGCAGAAGTCGCGTGACGTCCGGCGCTGTCTTCCAATCACCGGAAGCGTCTAGGCTGCCCGAACCGTGAGCGTCTGGAGCAGGACCGGCGTCGATCCTGCCAATAAGCCGGTGAAGTGGCAGGCGAAGCTGGACCAGATCCTCCATTGATCCTCGGAGGGATCCCAGAGTGCCAAAGTCCTCCTCTTCCAACCGCCGGTCTCTGTCGTAGCTCTGCTCAAGCTCGAGACGACTGAGATGACGGCCGAACTGGCGTAGTATTGGTCCGTACGGGTTGAAATTATGGCGACAACGTCGCTCGTCATCTAGAAAGTGGATAGCCAAGGTCTCGAGACTGTCAAACGTGCGCAGAATGTCAACAAGCCCACGCGAGGGATGTATATCTGTGCTTCGAAGCTCAAGATGTTTCATGCGTGGTCGTGATCCGTATGGAGGAAACGGTAGTCTGTTATTCTCGGCTCGGTCGTAGTGATGGTGCTCGCCGGAACCATCGTCATGAGCGTCTGGCAGCAACGCATCCCTAGGCTTTCCGAGGGAGGCATATTCCGCCTTCGTACCCCAGAAAAGTCCTCTTGTCGAGAATCTCTCCAGATCGGGAAAGAAAAGCATGGAAGGGATGCTGCTATCGTCGAGGAACATGAGATATTGGAAACGCACCTCATCCCAGGTGCCGATATTGAGCTTGATGGCACGGAGTGTGGACAGAGGGACGAGATCTGTGCAAACGCCCTCATCATCGGCCAGAAATGGCGGCTGATCAGCTGCGTCCATCAACGGTGCGCCTCCATGACGCGCCTCGGGCTGGAGACCCTTGTGAACCCATATTTTTCCCTCCTTTGACGCCATGATTGCTTTCGCGCACGCCGTGAAGATTAGTGGCAGCACAGTCCGTGTTTCCCGAGAGGGAAGTACAAAGTCCAATGTCTCGACGTCACGTGCGACGAGGATGATGAAAGCCAGCACTAGCCCATCCAGATGGCTCTGTAGGTACTGCTTGTCCATCATCAGCTCCTCGATGAACCTGAAGAACTCTGGCGAGTACCACTCGTGCGTGAAACATTGCCTGTAGTAAGCTTTGCGGACATCTCGAACTGACTGCACACACGACCAGTATTGGACGTCTCGGATTATAGTACAAAGCTCTGGGCGCCGGCGTAGCGTGTGAATGATGCAGTTGACGCCGTCGGCTTTGAATGCATCGGCGTACAAGCCGCGGTACATCAGAGGCAAGGCAATACGGCGGAAAGCTTGTGAGACTTTGCACAGCTGTTTGAGCTCCAGGTATTGGGAGATGTCTTCATCATATTCCACTTGGCTGCCATACCAGTCATGTCTGCCGGGCAGTGGTCTGAAGTAGAGGAAGATCTGAAGCAGCAACTCGTCTGGGAGCTTAGTTATCGTAGCCATGATGTGGGCGAACGTGTATGAAAGTTGAGCCACCAGACGAAAAATCCTATTCTACGTACGAGGGACCTAGGCGGGTAATATGCAAAAGGACGGAGCTAGGTTAGGCAACAGCCCGTTGGGGTTTGGTCCAATCACCGCCGGCAGCGATAGGGGCTTTGCTCTCGGCGGAGGGAGTGCGGAGAGAGGGGACAGCCAGGAGCAAGGTCAGGGGTAAGGATGGCATGCATCCCTGTCGCACTGGCGCTTGTGTTCCCCGCCCATCCTCACGTCTCTGACTACATCGCCAACTTCGTGTTTAAGTTAGCCTTGTTGCAACTCCCGTCTCCCGTGCCGGGATATGATCCATCTTCGACGCGACATTGCTGCTCTTGCTACGCATGAGCTCTCATTGGCCAGGACGAAGACCTGCATCAGTGCCGGCTCTTGTCGGCAGCCTACTCATTAGAGCTCAGCAGGAATTTCCCTTCTCCATGGATGAGTGTACCTACTTAGGGACAACCATCGTAACTGGGCTCACCCGTAGGCGCTATGCGAGGAATCAGCACGGGGGAGAAAATTCGAAAGCCTGGAGTGAAGAAGAACACCAAAAGGAACTACTACGCTTGCTGGATATCTGATCTATATGCGCCTCCCAATCCTGTCCGCAGCTCCCAAGTCTCGCCGCGGAAAGAAGTCTGCTCACTGACTGCCACCAAAAAGTCCTACCTCTCTACCGACCTGCGTCTTTGTCCCCTCCCCGCCCCCTCCGCGTCTCGAACGACATCCATCAACCGCGCCGCTCCCTCAGGCCACATCCTCGACCCGTCCTCCGCCAACGTGCCGTACGGCCGCGCCACAACATCGCCACGCAGAATCTTCTCGGGCCGGATCTTCTTCTCGCCGTAGAACATGCCGTTAGCATCGGGCCTCTCAATGATGATTGTCCCGTCCACGCTCGCGCCGGCATAGAAGCCGCGGGACTTGACGTAGCACCACACGGGCTGACTCGTGGCCGCGCCGCCCTTGAAGTTGACATCGGCGTCCAGCTGCGCCCCGACGCCCACGGGACCCGCGACCATTGCGATATCCCCGCCCAGCGAGAACCGGGCCCTCTTCGTGAACGCGTCGACGGCCTGCGTCGTGTTGAGAACGCACACGCAGTCGTACACGTCGAACCCCAGCATGAAACCCACGGAGAGGTTGTTGGGCAGGATGCCCGAGGGCGGCGACCAGGATCCGTCGGGGAGGCGGACCATGACGATGCCGGACCCGCCGGCGCCGCCGATCTGGGGACCTCCGGTGCGGAAGGACGTGAATATGGCGATGCCCTTGGCTTGGGCGAGCACCGACTGTGGGATCTTGACGAGGGACTTGTTGGTTATCGGTCTGTTGGTTGTCTTGTCGATGCGGGGTTTCGGCCCGGGATAGTGTAGTGAATCGGGCGATGGGATAGGATAGTGTCTGGTCTGTTGTTCTGGAAGCATTGATGACGAGGTTGATAAAGGTGGTGACGACAAGGACGAGGCTGGTGCGTCTTCGACGTAAACTCCGTCTTCTGTGTCGGTAGGCACGTGCGGATCAGCCAAAGTGTACGCAGACAGGGGGGTTCCCACGACGAACTCGCAATCAAGAATGCAAACACTTACGGACGAAGCTCTTGAGGATTCTCGCGCACTTGTCGCACTCCTTGTCCAGGCTTGTCGGCCACCACGCCTCGCAGCCGAGCTTGTTGGTCACGCGGTTCACGTGCGCGCCGGCCCTGTTGCTCCACCGGTACATGCGCTCCTGGAACGTCGGTTTTGGGGACGCAAGCGGGCCGGGACTCGGGGTGCCACTGGTGCTGGATATGAACTTGTCGTCGCTCTTGGTGTGTGCTCTTCCGCGGTCTTCAACTAGAGTGGAGTTGCTGTTGTTGTTGCTGCTGCTGCTGCTGCTGCTGTGGCTGCCAAATGCGTCCGCATCTCGGACCTCTGATTGCAATGCCAATACTGAGTGTCCATCTTGGCGACTCGCTGCCACCTGTCGAGGTGGTCTTGGTGGTAGTGGTGGTGACCAAGCGCGGTCAGCCGCGTCGTTGTTCAGCTGGTCGCTGGAATGGCTATATGGTGGTGGACTGGGCGAGTGCCGGTCTGCTGGGTACGGTGACTGGAGGATCTGCCTGTCACGGAGCTCGTTGTTGTGGATGCTTGGGCTGACGTGGGAAGTGCCTATCGCCGGTGGAGGCGCCGCGAATGTGACGACCTTGGCCATCCTAGGTGTCGTTGGAGCAGTTGTCGCCTGGTCACAGAACGTTTCTTCAACAATGAATGGGCAGCAGCTCGTGCTGTTGCCAACTGTGGAGAGTCTGGTTGGTGTCTAATCCATGTAGTAGCCAACGCGCTTGCTAGAAGAAATGATTGAAGAACTAAAGAGACAACCCAGCCTTCCTCCTATGCCTGAAATACTGAAAACTGTCGGGTCCCGAGAAGACCGCCCGGTGCCATGATGCCCGCAGAGTAATACTCCGCCACATTTGCCCTGTGGCCGCAATGCCAAGGGATCGGCCAGATGGTTGACTGAACCCTGGCCAGTGCGTACGCCCAGGCGGGGCGACGTCATACAGCGCCAGCCCGCCCGCGGAGTCCGCCTCCGGGGCTGTCAGGGTCCTCGGACGCCGTGCACTTGGCCGCGCTCGATACGCCTTGCAATGGAGAAAAAAAAAGCTTACTTCCACCGATATACTTCCCACGGCCAGATATAGGTGCTCTTTGATTTTCTTTTCATCCTGGGGGGTTTTTATTGGGTCCTGCTGCTTTATCCTTGTGTGGTTTCGTGGCGGCCAGATGCTGCTGTGTCCCTGCCTGTCTTGAATTCAAGACCAGGCAGGACTGTGAGGCGGTGCATATCCCTGGTTGGTTTCCAACATGCGTGTATCTCCATGGGTTCGGAGCTGGTGATATAAATTGTTGCAATATCATTCAGATCGTTTAGAGCTCATCTCAACCCAGTGCAGCGCCAAGCTTCGCGCCTGGCTTGCTCAGACCAGCAGCTCTTCCCAACAAACACAATGCATTACGATGTCAACTGCGTCCACGTCAGTCTCCTTTCCATGAAGAGGCTTCTATACTCTTTGTGAGTAGTAGAACATTCAATTTGACATCTTTGGTGGCATGGTGCTGCTGTAGTAAGCGCAGCGGCGGAGGCGGAGAAATGGTTGTGCTGTGTGTGTCGCGGATGATTGATCCTCAACTACCGATGGGCGGGATCGGCACAGCTCGATAGCTACCGCCTCGGCAAGACATATTCAGAAGCGCATCCAGATGATCACTTCTAATTCCACTAGGATCCGGTGAGGGCCGGCTCGAGCCAACAAGTCACCCGGCCGTTGCTAGTTGGCAACAGCGGTACGAAAGCTTGCAGCCCAGACGATTGCCCGGTCTTCGTTGAAAGGCATCAAACGGTGCCATGCGCCGCTAGCTCGATGCCATATCGCATACGCCAGCCCAGTGACTTCTCGGGATGTGCCGGAACCGTGTCGTGAGAAGAATAGCTCTGAAACCCGGGGGACACAGACTCTCACCAACAGGTATGGACATCGGCTGATGGCACGTCTTGTTCCGGGTTGCGATATCTCTGCCAGGACTGAGATCTGCTTGTGTGTTGTCCGACGCATTTGACGGATGCTGTTGCATGCCTACCCTTTTCGGGGGCGGGTACCCATGCATGGTCCGCGGTTACAGAAGACAGTAAACATGCACAATGCTGAAATCCTGACCCAGAAGGCCGTCTCCATGATTCATACCAGGCAGATACCACCGAACTATGCAGTACATGCCGTCGGTTGTACCGCAAAAGAGGCAGGAACTGAGGTTGTGGTCACATGCTTGTGATGCGTGTATAAGCGGGATGCCTAGTTGGTGCTTCAACTCTTCTGACTACTGCCAAAGAAAGTCGGCTCTCTTCCTTTCCGATATCACAGCCAAAAGAAAAGGGGGCAAACTTCGACCTGGCGGCACAAACGCGGTAACCGGAAATGATGAACACCCAGTGTCGGCGGCAGACGTTGACAATCGGGAGACGTCTCGGGGTAAGTTCTCCAACCGCTTTGATGCGGCACCAAAAGGCTCGTGACACTTACCTTCGCTGCAGTCTCGTGACGCCATCTCAAGAACCTAGTGGAACAGCACAAAGAATTTGTTGGAATAGGAGGAGTCCAGGGTGGCAGCACGATGATTTTTTCAATACTCCACACTTTCGAGCAGATGGAGTTGCAGAAGTCAAGGCCGCGCGTTTTGCAGGAACTTGATAAGAAGCATGACCTTGCTGTCGTGAGTCAGCTGCAAGCCCCGGCGGAATGCCAAGAGAGTGCGCTCAAACCCCGCTGTCTTTGAACTCAGGTTCTCAACGGAGAGCCATAATAATTATGCTACATTACGGGTCGAGACGATGCGGAACTCAGGGTTTGTCGGAGGTACGTACTCAGGGAACCCCCAGTGCAACACATGTCTGCTCTATTATTGCTTAACTAAGCGGAGGCTTACTCGGTGCCGATGCGGGCAGGTGGAGGTCATACAAGGGATCCCCCTGGCAGCGCGGCTTTCTCAGCCAACAAAAACGACGCTCGATGGCGGCAGTTCATTTCGGGTGCCCGCAACAGGCACAGCCGACCCGCTCATGCTGTCAAGAAGATGACAACGTAAGCTGACGGTGTTCTTGGCCTTTTTATGATTTGGGGTATTGTAATACTCGCGATTGCCTGCAGAGGAAGTTGGATCCTGGCTCTCTATCCCCCAATCATGGCCCATCCACCACTATTCCGAGTGTGCCAAGTTGCAGAAGGAGTTTGGCGCCTTTCCGGTTGCACAGGCGGGGCCTTTTAACTGTGCCTAGTGCGGAGGTTTTCTTGATGACTGAGCCCACGCTCCTCTTGGTCGGACCAACGGTATTCCAACCTGTGCGTGCCTTGAACCAAGATCACGGCCGAGGATGCAGGAAACCGCCTCGTTCCGTTAGTAGGCAGCAACTAACAGAGACGATGCGGTATCCTTGGGGGCCAAGAATTCTCAACCCCTGGAGCATTACCCCAACCTGGACTCACAGCCCCCAATGGGCCAGGGCAGCGGTCCCCTGTGCGCCGCCTGAACGTGGCCACTGATGGCCTGATTGCCAGCTGAGTCAGGTACCACATGTTGCGCAGCAAGATAGCGGCACAACGGCACAGGGAACGGCTGCCACAGCACTGCCATTTTGGTATGTTGGTTGCGACATTGCAGCACATGCGTCATTCCTTTTCTCTTTTTTACTCTCTGTTCTCCTCTTGTAGTCGGTTTTTGCCGATCTGTTTTTCTTCCACAGCTTGAAGAGTGTGAAGCACACGTCACTGCGTTCACCGGGCACTTTCTCCTGACGACGGGTCTCGTCGAATCACAAACATCCAGTCACTGGCCTGGCGCGACTTGACTCCCGCACCGCAATCCCTTTTGCTTGGGCCTCGTTGTATTCGAGTATCCATTCACCCCCCAAGCTCCAAAGGCACCATGGAGGCCCTCAGCCAAGATCCCGGCATCGAGGTGGCCAGGCAATCAGTGCGGTCATCGTACCCGGAACGAACCACAAGCCCCGCATCAAGCCCCTACTCGTCGGCATACTACAACGACTACCACAAATACGACCAGGAGAGCAGGAGCGACAAACAACAACAGCCACCATCATCCGCCACGTATTTTGGCTCATCCCCACAGGCGCCGCCCCATTCGCCGAGCGGCCTCGAGCCCCGCGCGCTGTACGAGAAGCACCAGGGCCACGAAAATCGAGGACGAGGACGACAACGACGCTCGCCGTGGCTCCTGCCGGCCGCGATAGCCGCGGGGCTGGCGGCGCTGGTAGTTGGCGCTGCGGTGGGAGGCGGCCTGGGGGCGACGCTGCAGACCTGCAGGAGTGATCTAAGGTGTGTTTTTCTCTTCTCTCTGCTCGTCTTTGAGCCCCTGATATGGTTTCCCGAGTGGTGTGTGAGAACAAGACGCACACACGCAAGGAAGAGAGCACGGGACTGACGAGCACGACCGAGATATTAACGTGGATATGCAAACAGAGCGACGAGCACAGAACTCAACGCCCTGCAGGCGTACGGCTGCACGAAGCCAGACAACGCGGTGGCCACGAGTGGGAATCCGGCATCACCACCGACGCCCACGACGAGCAGCAGCGAGGCATCTGTTGGCACGTTCCAGACGACGGCCGACGGGCTGATGGTCAACTACGTGCCGCCGGGCCCGTCGACGATAGACAGCCTGTCGGTGGACTGCCTGGCGCTGGGGCGGCAGGAGCAGAGCAGCAGCGCCAACGAGAAGTTCAAGGTGCACTGCGGGGTGGACCTGGGCTGGGGCAGCCGGACCGCCGAGTCGGGGACGGGGACGGTGGTGGTGGCGGACATGGTGGCGGTGATGGCATACGACCTGGCGACGTGCGTCGACGCGTGCTCGAGCTACAACACGTTTGCGGCGCGGTTTAAGACGGGAGACGAGTGCAAGGCCGTGTCGTTCCGGTGGGACATGGCCGAGGCGTATGCGCGCAACGGGGTCAACTGCTGGCTCAAGAATGCGACGGCGAGCATCGAGAAAGCCCGGCCGTGCGGGAGCAGGTGCCTGACTGCAGTGCGGGTGTTTTGATGATTGTCTTTGGCGGGGAATGGCTGTAGCGATGAGGACGAGTGGTGATGAAATGTCCAGACTGACTAATTAATGAATTGCAGGCGGACGTGCTGACCGGGGCTCCGTCCCGACCGACTGCCTGGACTGCCCCGTGTGGCTGCAAACGCGGCCGCTGCCTGCCGGGCCTCTGGGCTTCGGCGCCGGCCCGACACACACACACACCACACAAACACCACCAGCGCCGTCTTTCGTGCTTTGTCATCGTGGCCCGGCTCCCGACCTGATTCTTGCTTCTTTCTTTGCATTGCTCACCCACGCTGTATTAACTCGCAGCCCAATACCCACAATCACATTTCATTCACAGCCCGAGTCCACGAAAACAGCCATGCCGCTCATCGACGCCGCCGCCCCGCCCGCGCTGGACGAGCAGGGTGCCCAGTACGTCGTCTTCTTCGCTTCGGGCCAGCCCTCGTGGTGCCCGGACTGCCGCGACGCCCTGCCCGCCCTGCAGGCCGTGTTTGGCGGCCAGGACGCCCCAACCGCCCACCTCGTCCGCGCCGGCGAGCGCCCGGAGTGGCGGGACCCGAAAAACAAGTACCGCACACAGCCCTGGGGCATCACCTGCCTGCCCACCGTCGTGCGGTACGAGAGTGTGAGTCCCTCCCTCCCTGTCTCTCCTGCCTTTTGGGCGACACTGGATGGACAGTGTTGCTCATATCGACCGAGTTGCTGATCGGGAACACTGGGTAGGGCAAGGAGGTGGCTCGGCTGGGCGATGTCGAGAGCCAGCAGGAGTCGGCGCTGAGGAAGCTCATCAAGTAGATAGACTCACAGAGGACATCAAAATAGACACAGAGAGGCGATGAGCCTCTGCAACAGAACTACTTGGTACATAGTCGATGGATGTATGGCACGTAGCAAAGTATATGGACTCTTGAGGTCGTGCTGGAGTCCAAGTCACAGCGGGCTGGTACAGTGCTCAGTACCGTACGAGATGCAGTGCAAGGGAACTGCGACTAAGACGTGACCACCATTTGTAGTCGTTGAGAGCCGTGCTTGGGGCATCTCATGGACGCCAGTATCAGGACGCATCTGCCGCTTGGATTCTCAACCGGCATCCCAGGTTCACCCCAGAGGGTGTCATCCCATCTGTCCAGAATGAAACATCTTTTGAAAGCCGATGGCGGGACTGGCTACCCGGCAGGGCGTGAGTGCCCGCGAGCCTGACCATCGCTGGGCGTGCGATTGGCGGCTGCGGCAGGCGGGAGTGGGGCGCCACCTGCTCGCAGCTCAGCAAGCTCGCCCAGCCAATGGCGGCCCTGGAGATTTCAATGAGGTCAATTTGACACCAACTGGAGCTTTTGCGACTGGCAACGGCAGCGGCACCACCACCACCACCACCACGGGCCATTCTCTCCTTGACGACGTCAATCACACCACCCCAGCCGAGTCTGCGCCAGTGGCAACGGCCAGGCCGCCTTCTCCAGACTTCTCCGGCACGCGCGCGCGACACACAGGCACAATCCCCCCGAGCGTCCGCCCGAAGCCAGCGACGACCTACAGACCGGCACCAATCGACCTCGAGGTCAACTAAACAACTCTCTCCCTCTCCGCTCCACACGCATACATACACATACACATCCGCCGCCATGCAGAGCCTCACGGCATCCTCGGCCGTCATGGCCCGCCAGCTCGTCCGCCGGCCGCAGGCCGTGACCCCCACCACCATGGCCCGCCTCTTCGCCCTCCAGCAGCAGCAGCAGCAGCGCGGCTATGCGACGCCCATGGGCCCCCCGCCCAAGGGCTTCCGCCTCGAAAAGACAAAGACGTGGGAGGACGACCCGGAGTCAACCCTCGACAAGGCCGGCCGCTACTTCCTCCTCAGCGAGATGTTCCGCGGCATGTACGTCGCGCTCGAGCAGTACTTTAGACCACCGTATGTGTGTCCCTGGAGAGTCTGGGATTGATGGTCCGAAGAGGCCGAGACGAAGGAAGGAAGCTGACTGGAATCATACAGATACACCATCTTCTACCCATTTGAGAAGGTTCGTAAATCATACTGGCAGCCTGCCAACCAAACCGACATCTTGACTCCGAGCCATGCTGATCAGACTACAGGGCCCCATCTCCCCCCGGTTCCGTGGCGAGCACGCCCTGCGGCGATACCCCTCTGGCGAGGAGCGCTGCATTGCCTGCAAGCTGTGCGAGGCTGTACGTTCTTTTCACCCTTCTCTTTCGATCATCTTTCGTCTCCTGCTTGTCCACACACGAAGAAACATGCTGACAGTCTTTCCCTTCCCTCCAGATCTGCCCCGCCCAGGCCATCACGATCGAGGCCGAGGAGCGCGCCGACGGCTCGCGGCGGACGACGCGCTACGACATTGACATGACCAAGTGCATCTACTGCGGCTTCTGCCAGGAGTCGTGCCCCGTCGACGCCATTGTCGAGTCACCCAACGCCGAGTACGCCACCGAGACGCGCGAGGAGCTGCTCTACAACAAGGAGAAGCTGCTCGCCAACGGCGACAAGTGGGAGCCCGAGTTGGCCGCCGTCATCCGCGCCGACTCGCCCTACAGATAGAAGACAAGTAAAGCAGGGATAGACTCGGGAGGCCTTGGGGATTTGTTAATGTTGATATCGCCACATGTACATACACGGGGTGAGGCGGTCGAGACAGGAGAGGTGGTTCAGCAAACAAGCATTTTTTTCGTTTGTACGAGACGAGGAAAACGGACATGTCCTGCAATTGTCATTTCTGGCGCGCTACTCGTGTTTGTTGACAAGACACGGAGGGCTCGCTCTTGTGTCCAGTGTGCATGGACGTTCATGGCCTTTGCAAGTGATTTGCATAGACAGATGACTGATTGCACAGATGGCATGTGTCTACTTGTCAATGTTACTCTTGATATGCGCCTGAGCTGCAGTACATGCCACCGACCATCTCGAGGTATCATCGATGATGCGGCTTGGTGATGGTTCACACTGGCAGGTGGTGGGACGGGAGAAGCACACGCTGCGGGCACCTGGCGCCGGCTGTGCTATGTGGCCCAGTCTGCCGGGTGGGCGGTTCATCACGTGGCTGAAAGGTAGCCGATACTTGCTGCTGCACACAATTACTGCCCAAACTCAAGTCCCGCTACCTATGTCAAGCTCCCCCCACGCCCGGCCAGCACCTTGCTCTGAGCTTTGGTGAGCCGGGCACCCGCAGAGTGAACCACCAGCCAATCACCGGTGCGAGAAATTTATCACGGCCGGCACCCGCACCTCCGCCGCAGAGAGAGCTCCCCGACCACACGGCAGCAGCAGCATCATCACCACCCTCCACCTCCACCACCTCCCTCTCCATCCCAACTGCCTCGCACCCGCCCGCCCGCCGCAGTCCCCCCCTCGCCTCGACGACACCAACAGCCTCTGTGCTCTCTCGAAGTTCGACGACACCTCGCGTCTCTTCGTCCTTGTGCTCGTCCACGACGTCAATTGCCGCACCGCCCAGTACCACCACCGTCCCCCGCGACAAAGAGAAAAAAAAAACGTCACCATGTTCCGCACCGCCATCATCCGCTCTGCCGCCATGGCCTCGCGCGCCGTCGCCCGCCCGGCCGTCGTCTCCCGCCTCAGCGCTGCTCCCTTCGCCAGGGCTGCCGCTCCCGCCGTCCCCAAGTGGGCTGCTCTCCAGTCGGTGCGCATGTACTCGGCCGCCTCGGGGCTCAACAAGGACGAGGTCGAGGGCCGCATCATTGGCATCCTCAACGGCTTTGACAAGGTCAGTCCTTTCGTGCGTGTGTTTGTGTGTGTGTGCGTCTGTGTGTGTGGACGCGGGCTGGCTGGGATTCTGGGAGCCGTGGCTTGTGTGCTGCCGGATGTCGGGGAAACAACCGAGCCTTGCTCGAGGTGAACATGCCTCGAGTCGAGCAATTTTGAGCGTGGTCGGAGCATGATATCGCGACAGCAGCTGTCGACAGCCAGCACTGGAACAAGCAGAGCACCCATGGCCTCTTCGAGCAAGTCTTTTAGTCCTGCTCGAGTGTGCGGTGACGCTGCTCGTCCGCGCTGGTGGTCATATCTACTGCTTGTCCTGGATCACCAGGCGCGCCACTCATCATGCTCCCTCCCTGGCCACCGCAAGCCCCCCGCCGCAGCTCCAGAGCCCACGCAGACACTACGATACAGTTCCAAGTCTCTCAATGTTCCCCATGCTAACATGCTTCTCTTTCACATTCATCCAGGTCACCGACACTAGCAAGGTCGGCCCCACCGCCCACTTCTCCAACGACCTCGGCCTCGACAGCCTCGACACCGTCGAGGTCGTCATGGCGATAGAAGAGGAGTTCAGCATCGAGATCCCCGACAAGGACGCCGACGCCATCCACAGCGGTAAGCCCTGACCCTGACCCTCTCTGACTACATCCTGGCTTCTTGCCAATGGCAAAATGAAATCATCACCCACTGACATGACCTTTCTTGCCCCGAAATACAGTCGACCAGGCCGTCACCTACATCCTCAGCCAGCCCGATGCCAACTAAAAGCCTGTCAATTTACCCCCAAACCTGACAGCATATTTGTACAATAACAACAACGACGTGAACAACCGCACCGCTCTCCCTTCTCCCTCTGCTCGGACTCGGCATGTCGCGGAGCTCTGGGTCACGACTTTCCAAGACATTGACGAAATGAAAAGACAAAAAACCAAGGATCATGTACAAATCGGACAAGACGGGTAGTGCGATGGAGATCACGATCCGAGAACAATGGCCCCGAAGTGCCCGGGCATTGAGCAGCGGGGAAGGACACATCTAGACTTTTTCCGGAGTTGGACTGAGGAGTAGTAGCGGTGTATGTGTGTAGCCCTGTAGACCTGCGAGCAGTAATCTGAGCCCACGGAGAAGAAGTCGTCTTGTGTGTACATGGATTCGTGCCGAGTGGGGTGTTCTCGTCGTCTTTGAGATCCGGTGATGTGCTCAAGCTGATTTTCGTTTTACTGCAGGGGTGTGCCCGAGCTTGGAAGTTCATCCTGTGAAACAGCTCTGTGTCGACCGCTGACGAGTGACGAGATCTGTGCAAGAGACCCTGGCATGTCAACCTGAGCAAATTCCCAGCGGAGTCTCATGATGAGGAAAGGCGCAGCAGCAGCATCATGTTTCCCAGGGGGGTGCCATACCAGCACAGCTGTCTGTCTTGCCTACTAGCTGCGGCTTGATCTGGCCCAGATCTTGCATCCAACTTCATGGCAGGTGCCACGTTTCTGTATCACGCCCGTCTTATGAGAGGCTTGTTATGTAGAGTACAGGATGATATTGTCAAGAGCCTCGCCGAGAGACCGATGGGGTGTGTTGATGTTTCCTTTTGCTCCTTCTTCTGTGGTGGCATGGTATCACCCACCCCCCTATTCCGTCTTGCGTCCCAGAAATCGGCCGAAATCCTCAAGGAGGTTCGGACTGTGTCAGTTCTCGCCTGCCCGGCCTGTCTGCTGCCTCAGGGTCGTTGCGTTCTACACTGCCGTTGCCGTCGGCACTAAAGACAAGGCTGGCATGACTGGATTGAGAAAGTCGTCATCCCTGACACTCCCGTGCAAAGCGGGCTGAAGGTGGCTTCGACATCAGCAGGGGTTCGAATTACCGCTCAGAGATCTGGTTGGCTTGATAAGTGGGTTCCTGCAACAAGCACTTACCGCTCAGAGCTATCATTGGCCGGGACGAAGAAGGTGCATGCAGCAGTGTGCCGGCGGTGTTGGCTGCACACCGAGACCGCGATCACTGCTGTGCTTGCCAGTTTTCATGGCATTCAAAGAATGGATGAATGCCAGGTATAAAGATCAGGCTTCGATTCCTGTCAGACCTGTTCCTTTCCACTCTTCAGCTTCACCAGCTTTGCTTTCGTCACCATCTACACCAACACTTCATATCCAATATCTCCAACAACCTTCCCATCTCCCTCAGTCTCACCATGGACTCCACTGCCAATGGCAACCCTTGCTTTCCCTTGTTCGAAGAGGCCGTCTTTGTGGACCATGATTGCTTCCAGGACCTCGAAGATCTGCCTGATGGTGCCCAAGTGCCCCCTCACGAAAGTGGCGCTGGAGGCAATCATCCAACCCAATTACCCGCAGATGCCCTCGGCAGCGATCCGACTTTCCCAGTGGCACAAGGAATCTTTGGTCCTGCTCTTCCAACCACGCTCAACCCGCCGGCCTTCGGAAGTTACGGTGCCCAGGCCAATTCAGGTAAGACTCTGTATCCACTAAATACTATAGTCTCGCCCGACCACACGAGATTCCAGTTTACAAGTCGATACTGACCATTGCCGTGTTCAACCAGAAGTTGCGTGGGCATACACTACGGGGTTTCCAGGACCTTCCGGGGCCGACCAAGCCTTCTACAATGTACCGAGCTTCGCACAGCAGCATCACATATCCGACAATGGCCCTACTGAGGACTTCTCTTTCCATCCTGATCTCAGTTGTACTACTCATGCGGTGAACCATAATCCAGTCGACTGTTCTTGGGCTTTCGACTTCGAACATCCTAATTTCATGGCGCCGGCTCCTTCGACGAGACTTCCTCAAGGTCGGCCAGCACCTAGCATCTACTTGTCCAAAGACATCCGCTAAGCATAATGCAGCCAGTACAAGCTTCGAGCACTCATTTGCACCCGTGGATTGGGCTCCGCCATATACATCGAACCCCCTCCTGTCGAACACCATGAGCGACATCACTTCTCAGCAACAGCGCAGCGAGGGAATCACTCTCTTCATGCAGCCACCAGACACTCTGGCATGTCCCCATGCACTCAAAAAGCCCCTGTCACAAGAGGAAGTCCGTACTCTAATATAGGACACAGACCATGCCGCCAATCACCCCAGAGATCCCCGAGTCCTTGAACCGAGACCTCAACAACTGGAAATTCATGCCAGGAGATAGTATGCCCCACCAAGTCCAGCAGCGTCCCGAGCCGTCACATGTTCAGTCCGCCACAACAACACCAGGCTCCGCCGCTTCCACCCGGGGCCCCATACAGAGCGAGATACCCTTACCTCCGAAGAAGAAGGGTGGCAGGAGGGGCAAACTCAGCTCGACGCAAGCGAGAAACGCAAGAACCATCCGGCAGTCTGGGGGCGCTTGCATCCGTTGCAGGCTGGACCGCAAGCCAGTAGGTTGCTGGTGAAATTCCGTTGGGGCATGATGCTGATTAACTTTCTAGTGTAGCGGCGGAATTCCCTGTAAATCCTGTTTGAACATCGCCAACAAGCCCCGATTCTGGATTACCCCATGTACGAAAGCACAATTCATGGCCATCGTGGAAGCGGGAACAATCTTCCTACGTAAGAACAAGGTTCCCTGTACAACTCGCGCTTACTGACGATTTACGGGCAGACCTGGCCAATGAGGAGATTTCTCTGGTTAAATATGGAGATCCCCAGTCGCTTTTCCTGCAAGTCCATTCCCACAAGGCGAAATTGGTGGGCGATCCAGGGCATGGCCCTGCCTTTGGCAAGGATTACTTCTCGCATTCTCATTGTCCTTTTCAGTGGTCTGTAGACTGTTGGACCAGAGCCTTCTATACGTTTCTAGTACGAGACGTGGATCGACAACGCCGTATTCCGAAAAGTTCACCACTCTCGAGCTCTAACATGGGCTCATATAAAGTTTTGCAGGACCACAGACAGGTGACCTTGGGTTCAGGGACATCCCGATCAGAATGGATAGTAAGTCTCTCAAAACACTAAAGTCCAGATCAATCACTAAGGGAGCATAACACCTTGAGACTCTGTTATTCTTCGTATGATGGCGCAAGTGCCGTTCAAGACGGATGGAGATGCCAAAGCTGCAAGGAACACCCCGACCTCATGGTGTATCTTGCCAAATCGGTATCCTGGGCTGTCTCGCGCTGGACCGAGACTAGTCTTTTTAAATATCTGCAGGGGATGTCCAATAACATTCACAAACGCTCTATCGATGAACAGACAGAATACATCTTCTCTATCCTCATGGTTCTTTATACGCTGCGGAAGCGCTCTGAGCAATTGATTTCAGTGAGCCACCCGAAAGGCCATCATCTGGGATAGCGCGAAGTGATGCTAATATGCCATGAGCAGGATCACTCAACTGAAACAGATGAGGCATTGGTCGCGGGTCTGCTTGATCGCCAGCACCGTCTCCAAACCGCACTCTGGGTGTATTGTTCGATCACAATTCGCAAAATGCCCAAATGGTCAAACATCTGGGACAAAATCCAGCGCCGTTTGCCGTTTGTCTTTGGCAGAGAGACAGCCAGAATGCTTGACGAGAATTTCGAATGTGGCGTCGCCTGCTTTCGTCCCAGGGCTGCTTGGATTTCCAAATCCGCACAACGCTACATTGAGATATCCAAGCTTGCGGGAATGGCTAATAATGACGTCCACGAAGACACACAGTCCATCGCGATGGAAGATTTCCTGGAATTTATTGACTTATCACCCAGGTCCCAGCTCGACGTTATTTGCCGTTCCCGGGACCGATATGCTTCAGGGGGCTCACTGACGGCGACATCGTCTGACGAAGGACGGGCTGCAGCGACAAGCGCCTTCTTGACACTAGCACGTCTCAATTTGGTGTGGAGCGAAGACTGTCACCCACGTTTCCGTACAATGTATCTCGAGAACCTCAATATGTCCCTGGTCGTGCGTAAGTCACAGATTCTCGCCTATCGCCTCCACCAGGCAATGGCAGTCCATTCCTCCCCCGAAGATGCCCTGCTTGAGATCTATCGCCTCGTTTGGGACGCGAATCCAAGTGGTCCTATCGGTGAAAGCTATCTCGCTCAGTTCCGTTGGAACACTCGTTCCGGTCAAAGATGGACTGAGTTGGAAGACCTAGTTGGTCCTGAGGTGATTCTGCTGGGGAATCCTGTTCAGCCTTTTTTGCACGGCCATCGCTCCGTCACTCTGAGCATTTCTCAAATAGTCGAGTTCGCGAGCGATACAGAGTTCTCGCAATTCAAGGCCGCCATATCGTGTCACCTTGGCTGGCTCCCAGACGCCTGTACCAGACTTCGTGGTGTTGGACAAAAGATCATGGACTACCTTTGGGTTGATGATACTGAAAGCCAAGAGCGTCTTGGACTCCAGATCAAGAATGCATTGACAGAGGTTTTCGGCACAACGGCGATGGTCAAGGAAATCTCTGATTCCGATGAAAGGGTGTTGAAGGAAGCCCTAGTTGCGCGAGGACGACGTCACGATACAGACATTTTTCCAGCTAAGGTTCGGACGGACATCTGGTCATACATTGTTCTTAGTGTACCAGGTGTCGGGGTTCAGCTCTTGGACGATGACGGAAAGAAATCGCCTTTTGACATGGGAGAGGCGAAATGCCGGGTAGACTCATTCGTGCGTGATGAATATGCGGATTGGCCTAGGCATGAACTAGAGAGGTTGAGGGAGTGGACAAGGGGGGCAGTGGAAATCCTCTATTCGGTCGAATAGATCTTTTGTAGGGTACAACGTTTCTGACTAAACGATCGGATTGCAACCGTGGGCGCTGAATGGGTTCGCTATTCGTGCGCTTCGTACCTGTCTCCTAGGGGCATCTACTACAGTCTCGACGTTCTCAAACACCAGCTAGTAGTTCAGGCTCATTCATCACTGCCACTTCATTTTTCCTCAGGAGCAACCTATGCCACGTCATTTTCTCCGTCGTGCTCTCCAACAGTACCATTGCTTCCTTCGGTGGCGAAAAAGTCGGAAAGTCCAGTGTTGCTTGACTGTATGCCGTTTGGTCGAGGAGAACTACTCTTGCACAAGGATGATTGGGAGCACGGACCACAGTATGTCAAGACGAGGACGCCAAGTGCACAATCTGAAACGGCTAGTACCCAGGTGGTTGCAGTCAACGACTGCCATGTGAATTTGAATCGGTCTGGGTGACTGCGATCTTCGTTGGGCGCGATTTCGCACTCTGTCCTCCCAGGTTTACATGATTAGGCATCCAGCTGGGAGTCAAACGTCCCAATTGCGGCCACCACAGCATCGGGGTCCTCGAACACCATCCAGTAACCGAGTCCCTTTACGACTTCAAGCCTACTCTTACTCAGAAGCTCCTGATAACGCATCGCGCTCTCAACCGTGCTCTCTGCATCTTCACTCCCCACGAGAATGTGCACCGGGCACCGCACCCGCGAGCTTTCGTCCAGCTTGACCACATCATAAGCGTCCTCGGCACCAACTGCATCACCGCCAATATTGCAGCGAGCCAGCGCCTCAACACCCTTCGCATACCCCTCCGGGTCTTGACTGAGCAGGGAAAGCCGCACTGCCGTCTCAACCAGCGGCTTGGTCTTTCCATTCGGAGCCTGCCCTGCCAGTGTCTCTTGCAGCACGGCGTCCACGACAGCAGGAATCCCCTTCTCGCGCACCAGGGCGGCTCGGTCGAGTAACTTCCTCTTGGCGCTTTTCGTGGCTGGTAAAGCTGGCGGGCTTACCAGAATCAGACTTTTGACCAAGGCCTGGTTCTGTGCGGCAAACTTCAGCGCGATAAGACAACCCAGCCCATGCGCGATGATTGTTACAGGTGCTTCCGGGGTAGCTCCAGCGACAGACTGGGCTAGAACCTCCAGGTCGTCTGCCAGGGAGGAGATTGTAATTTTGCTGAGCGGGTGTGTGGGCGTCAGGCCGTGGCCTTCAATGTCGTAGGTGTGCAGGGTTGTCTCAGTGGGCCAGGACATGGAGGAGATGAGGGGCGTCCAAGACTCTTTTGTCGCGCCGAGGCCGTGGACGAAGATGGTGTTGTTGCTGGCCTGGGTGGTAGTGGCACTATTAGGACGGCTCTGTAGATATGACACGGGCTTGCGGTTGATCGTGGTCAGGCAGCCCTCCTTGCCATGCGTGCGGGCGCCGTTGGTCGCGGTGAAGGCCGTCTGCTCATTCACACGTGCGCCCGTGGCATTAATCGCGCCTCTCTGCGCGACCTTGTTCGTCAAGGTGCCTAGTCCCGTCACGGAGATGGAAATCTCATCTCCCGGCTGCAGAAAGATTGGAGGAGTCTTGCCAATGCCCACACCAGCCGGGGTTCCTGTGGCCAGGACATCACCGGGCTGCAGGGTCTGTCCAGCGGACAAGGTGGCGATGAGCTCTGGGATGGAGAAGATGAGGTCTGCCGTGGAAGACTGCTGGCGCAGTTCGCCATTCACATGTGTCTCGATATGCAGTACCGCGGGGAGGTCTTCTTTAGGCACAGCCACGGGGCCCTACACATCATAATGCGAAGTCAGTCGACAGGAAAAAGAAACAGCGTGGAAGGATAGTAGAAGCCCACCATCGGACAAAACGTGTCGGCCGACTTGCCAATGTAAAACTGCTTGTGGCCGCGCTGCCTCTCGCGGGCCGTGATGTCGTTGATGATGGTGTAACCCCAGACATGCTCCCAGGCATCCTCCTGGGCGATGGGGAACCCAGGCTTGCCGATGATGACGCCGATCTCGCCCTCGTAGTCGGCCGTGGTGGTGAAGCTGTCGTCGTGGCAGTGGATGGGCTCACCGTGGGCGATGATGGAGGTGGCCCGCTTGGTGAAGATGACGGGGTGGCTGGGGCGGTCGACCTTGTCAGAGCTGTCGTAGCCAGAGCTGTTGAACTCCTTGGCATGCTCCATGTAGTTCTTGCCCACTGCCAGCACATCGCGGCCCGTGAGCGGCGGCCGGATGGTCACGGCGGAGAGGGGGAGAGGTTGGCACGCATGGCTGGGGATGACCTGGGCTGCATGGACAGAGCCGGCCTCGATGAGCTGGTAGAGGTTCTCGACGGGGTGGCCGGATGCGAAGCTCAGGGGCTGGACCGTCTGCAACTCCTGGTCGAGGTGGCCGATTTGGTCAACGCCTGTGTCTGGCCACGTAAAGGCAACATATTGCCGCCCTTGTGCCATATCTGCGACGACCTCCGCGCGGTATACGTCTCTATGTGACCTGTCCTACCCGACTACAGAGTTCGTTGCAAGCAAGGTGAGCATCGGGCACGTGAGGATTGGACAGGCGGACAAGCGCCCGGCGATAAGCCAGTACAGAGGTGGAGCGGCACGGGGGGCCCGTGCACGCCGCCCGTCGCCGGGATCGGAGCCGATGGCCGATTCGCGCTCCGGCGCAGTCCGGTGTATGTCCATGGAAGAGGACAGCAGCCCCTGTTACTGTACTGGCCCTTGCTACAGAGCGACAGCAGGATTTCCACGTCGAGTAGTACGATCCTCACCGAACTGTCCGTTTTGTACAGAGGATCGTGGTTTGGCGTGCAAGATGAGAGAACTAACTAGAACAAAGTGGTCATGCGTCTTCGTCGAAATCATCCATGTTCTTGCCCTATGAGGAAAGTACGCACTACCAGCTAGGCTACTGGTGGTGTACATTCATGCTCCCTAGTTACTTAGAAAGCATCTCCCGCAGTACCTCACAGATGGCAGCGCCAACCTCGACCGTCTTTGCACTCCCGCCCATGTCGCCCGTCCGGATCTCCAGCCCGCCCGCACTCTTCGCGTCGAGCACTTTTGTGACTGCCGCCTCGACCGCCGCCGCCTCCTCCGTCAGCAGGAACGAGTACCGCAGCATCATGGCCAGACTCAAGATCTGGCCCACAGGATTCGCGATACCCTTGCCCGAGATATCCGGCGCGCTGCCGTGCACGGGCTCGTAGATGCCGTTACACCGGCCCTCGCCAGGGACCCCCGAGATGCTCGCGCTCGGCAGGATGCCCAGAGTGCCCGTGAGCCCTCCCGAGATATCCGAGATGATGTCGCCAAACGTGTTGTCCGTGTGGATCACGCCGTTGAACTGGCGCGGGTTCTTGACCATCAACATGGCCAGGCTGTCCGCCAGCTGGTCCCTCAGCTCAATGTCCGGGAACTCTTTCTCGAACACGGCGTGCGTAACGCGCCGCCACAGCCGCCCGCTGGCGAGCACGTTCATCTTGTCGGCGCTCCAGACCACCGCGGGGCCGCCGCCGCCCTTGCCGTCCCCGTCGCGGCCCATAATCCGCGCGATCGCCGCGCTGACCCGGGCCAGCCGCTCGACTTCCGAGGCCTTGTACACCCACAGGTCGGACGCGAGGTCCTCCGTCTCGACCTTCTCCCCAAAGTACGCGCCGCCGCAGTTCTCCCGCACCACGACGAACTTGGTGCCCAGCACGAGCTCGGGCCGGATGGGGCTCGCATCGACGAGGGACGGGACAAACACCTCGCAGGGCCGCAGGTTGGCAAAGGCGTCGAGCTTGGCGCGCAGGCGCAGCAGCCCGGATTCTGGGTTTGGATGGGCTTTAGCCCACTCGGGTCCGCCAACGGAGCCGAAGAGCACGGCGTCGGCGGACGCGGCCTTGTCGAGCACGGCCTCGGTGATTGGGGTGCCGTGGGTGTCGATCGAGCAGCCGCCTGCGAGGTCGATGTCGCGGTGGAACTTGAGCCCCGGGCGGCACGACTCGATCACGTCGAGCACCTTGAGGGCCTCGGTCACGATCTCTGGGCCGACGTGGTCGCCCGGGAGGACGAGGATGTTGTACTCGCGGTACTTTGTGTCTGCTGCCATGGCTGCTTTGTGGCGACGGCCTATTTGGGTGCGAATCCCTTGTTGAGACCGAACTGATCTGGACAAATGTGATTGTTAATAGTCTGCAGCAATTTCGATGTTCACACGAGCATGTCGGGGAGTTGATCAGTGCTGTGGCTCCAGGCCGAAGTCGGGGCGGACCCGAGTCGGACACCTAGTGAGTGCGGGGAATGGGACGATGGTAGCCGGAGCCAGCCCCGACCAGAATGCTCAGTAATGGGTCAACTTTGGGACGGCATTGTCACAGGAAAATTTGCACGAGCCCAAGCAAAGAAAGCAGAAGGCTTCGTTCAAGAAGTGAAAATCATGTTTCGCTGTCAAGACCAAGGGCTCCAGTAGGAATAGAATACCCTCGTGTCATCTAAGACAGGTCCTGGCCCAACACCTGGAAGCCGAGGATCACCTCCTCTTCGCCACTGCCTCTTCCCCGCACCTGGCCGAAGACAGCCGCTCCCTCACCTTGGCGCTTCCGCATAACCCCACAGAAACTTCCGGTCTGGCCTCCTCGTACTTGAGCGGCTGGAGGGATACTTTTGGCGAAAGTCACATATCTCACATTACATTTTCTTACCATTGGTTCAGCCACTGGAGCTCATCACCAAGTTTCGTCCAGACCACAGACATCCACACCACTTCAATCATGGGCAGACTCGACGGCAAGGTCGCCATCGTCACCGGCGGCGCCTCCGGCTTCGGCAAGGGCATTGTGGCCAAGTTCATCGCCGAGGGCGCCAAGGTGCTCATCGCAGACCTGGCCGAGGACGCCGGCAAGGCCGTGGCCAGCGAGCTCGGCGGCAGCGCGGGCGCAGCAGCCTTCGCCCGGGGCAACGTGACGAGCCGCGAAGACTGGGCGAACCTGCTGCGCGTCAGCATCGACACGTTCGGCGGGCTCGACATTGTGGTCAACAACGCCGGCGCGTCGTACACCAACAAGGCCACCGAAGACGTCACGGACAAGGAGTTTGACCTCGTCTTCGACGTCAATGTCAAGTCCATCTACCTGTCGGCGAGCGTGCTGCTGCCGTATTTCCTGGACAGTGGGCGGCCCGGGTGCTTCATCCAGGTTGCCTCGACGGCTGGGGTCAGGCCCAGGCCGAGATTGACGTGGTACAATGCGTCCAAGGCGGCGGCTATCAATGCTACCAAGGTCAGTCAGTCACTTTATTGCGTGCTTGAACTGGGACGAGTATTATGGAGACGATCCACTGGCGGCGACGTGATACGCTCGGACGATGACGATTCCAAGGACCATCAGCTGACAAGCCAATGCTTATCAACGTGCAGACCATGGCCGTGGAGTACGGGCCCAAGCAGATCCGTTTCAACGCCGTGTCGCCTGTCATTGGCAGCACGGGCATGTAAGTAATATATCTCCCTTCACCCTCTTCTGCCGGCCGTTCTTCAGCGTCGCATTTCGCCGACGCGTCACATCGGGAACTTGACAGATCCGGAGAATGGGACACAAGAGCAAGCCACTGACATAGGTACGCGATGCCTACAGGACGCATCTCTTCATCGGCAAGGAGAACACGGAGGAGAACCGCAAGGCTTTCGAGTCGGTCATCCCGCTGGGCAGGGGTTCCACGCCGCAGGATGTCGCCAATGCTGTGACATACCTGGCGAGCGAAGAGGCCGGTTTCATCACGGGCGTCAACATCGAGGTGGACGGTGGGCGCTGTGTCTAGAAGATGAGACATTGTAGCAGATCCAGAGTGAATCAATGGATAGCGATTCTTGCTGCAGAGTGTAACTCTCGTGGCGTCCTCGCAGCCCAAACATGGAGGACATTTCCAGATGCGTGTCACGACATCGACTTCAAGACAGCGCTGTGTGTTATTAAGGCCCAATGAGTGCTGCTCACCACATTTTCCTAACCCATGCCCTCGGATAAGCGAGGGCAGCCACGTAGACGTCGGCTGCAACTCCCGCACGCACATGCCCTTGCGATCCAAACTGCTGCCGGATGTCTCACGGCCTAGATGCAACATCATCTACTCACATCAGAGAAAACCCGCACCAGAAACAAACCAGCTAAACATAGCCTCATGACCAGACGCCAATCAGAGCCCCAGAACCCCTGGCTTGGCGGTCCATCCCAGCGCAGACTCCCCACGCACCCCAATCTGGAGCCGTGCCTCCGCGATTGCCTATTCGGGCTTCTGTCTCGACGTGCCGGAGGCGACTCAACTGCTCGCCTTCACCTTACGACAGCGGGTCTGCATGGGAACAACGGCCCGGGGAGGTTTCTGCTTGGCCTTGTGCCCGCAGCTCGAGGCTTTGTTTCCCCATCCGCCGGTTCTGGCAGTCCGCCACTAGCTGCATCCCTTGTGCAGCCGTGTCTAAGTGGTTCTTCGGTAGCCGCATCGATCGTCCTCCGCGATAGTGCGGCCTGCACGTGCGGCGATGCTGAGCCGCTGCTCCGGTCGCTGCAACCTGCCGACTCATCGCAGGAGTCATATATAAGTTGGGAGCACTTTCGCGACTCTTTCTCGAAACTCGCTTCTCGATTCCAGGTCATCCGCAGCACGACGAGCAGCATCAACAGTCTTCGACCAAGCAGTCACCCACTACAGATCTACACGGACAAGATCAACATGAAGGTCGCCGGAATCCTCGCCGTCGCCGCTGTGGCGCTCGAGGGCGTCTCAGCCCACTACATCTTCCAGCAGCTCAAGGTCGCCAACACCCAGTTCAGCCTGTGGCAGAACAGTGCGTATTCCCTCTGTCTTGCTAGGAAAGATTCTTTGGAGCACATGGATGACCATGCTGACTATATGCTTGACAGTCCGCCAACACACCAACGGCAACTCGCCCGTCACCGACCTCGCGTCCAACGACCTCCGCTGCAACGTTGGCGCCAAGGCCGGCACCACCGCCTCGGTCAAGGCCGGTGACAGCTTCACCTTCACCCTGGACACTGTGTGTACAACCTTTCATCAACGACAGCCCAGCTCCTCGCATGCCTCTTGCACTTTTGCTAACCCTCTTGTCTGTCTAGGCTGTCTACCACCAGGGCCCCATCTCGGTGTAAGTATTGACTGAGATGACTGGACATGCACAGGTGCAAGCATATCGCATCAGCACACTGACTTTTTTGGGAATCCAGCTACATGTCCAAGGCCCCCGGCTCTGTCTCTTCCTACGACGGCAGCGGCGGCTGGTTCAAGATCAAGGATTTTGGTCCTACCTTCAGCGGCGGCTCCTCCTCGTGGCCCCTGTACCGTAAGTTGTCTCCTCCTTCCTGTCGTTATTCTACATCACCACACACACAGCCAAACTGACTGACGCGGCGCCCCCCTTCGCAACAAAAAACAGAGCAATACACCGCCACGATCCCCACCTGCATCGCCAACGGCGAGTACCTGCTGCGCATCCAGTCGCTCGCCATCCACAACCCGTGGCCCGCGGGCATCCCCCAGTTCTACATCTCGTGCGCCCAGATCAGCGTCACCGGCGGCTCCGGCGCCCGCACCCCGGCCACCGTGTCGATCCCCGGCGCCTTCAAGAGCACCGACCCGGGATACACTGCCAACGTGAGTTTCCTTTGTCCCCTCCGTCTTTTTGTTGACTTTTTGCGCTGTCTCGCAGCAGCTTTGAAAGCTCGCAGCCCAGCCCTTGAACGTGCATGCATGTATGCTGACGTGCCTTGGGGTTGGGGAAATACAGATCTACAGCAACTTCAACAGCTACACTGTTCCCGGCCCGACTGTCGTAAGTCCTTCTCTCTCTTGCTGCTCCTCAGGGACTGGTGATATCCCTCTTGGCGGGCAATGACGAGACTGACATGCATTCCAGTTCACCTGCTAAATGCATCGCACGCCACGAGGGGAGCACACACGCTGTCGTGACCTTTCCAATGTCGTCCAATTCGGGGGCACAATTGCTCACGAACAGGTAAAACACAATGGGGCGAGCGGGGAAAGGGGGGCAGAGCGAAGTGGACGTGTCTCCCCACGTCCTGGTGGCAATCAGCAGCAAGCAGCGTCTTTTCCTGCAGCGAGAAGGCCTCGTGCGTGCTGTTTGAGTCAAGCTTCAAGCCTCGAGGTGGAAACCTCTGACAGATTGTAGCCAGAAATTGAAAGCTCGAGCGTCGAACGAAAGTCCTCAATCCGCCTATGGGGGTTTTGTTGACGTCACCCTTCTCTATTCATGATTGATCAATGAGTCTGATGCCTAAGATGGATACTTGGCAGAGCGGTAGTCCTCCACCAGAATGGGCTGCCAGGGCTAGCCTGAGTGATTTATCACGCCGTGGCTCCTCGCCAACGGATAAGATGAAGTCAATCAGCTGGCTGTTGGAACGACGAGTGCGGCCTCCTCGAATGAATGCCCCTGCCTGCATTTCCAACACCAGGGACGAGTCGCAGCCTGCGATCAGAACATTACTATGTAGTCACTAGTTGTTATGCTGGCCGGGGCCCTACGTTGCCAGGGAGGCTAGCCGCTGCACCGTTGTGCCAGAGGAACAGGGAAGGTAAGAGCTCACAGCACGGCAGCCATCAGCGTGATGAGCATCCAGAGATGCCCATGTCCAAGAAGAGTGACAGGCATGCAAACAATCATCCTCGCGAGGGGGCTTAGATTGCCACATGGCTGGGGCGCGCCAATGCCCTAGGTGTAGGTGGGTGTGCTCGGCCCGCCGCTAGATGCATGACTACTGCACGTCAACCGGAGAGTACGTCTCAAGCTGACGCCTTTGCGATGCTTCACCCTCGGAGCAAAGCGAGGTCAGGAGCTGGCCTGCTCTGCATTAGGCAGTGTGGCGAAGGCTCTGTGATGCACCCCAATTACTTTTTCTAGCACATGGAGGCTGGAAATGGAGGTCGTAAGCTTTGCCTGTTCTAGCCTGTGCGGAAGCCAGTAGGATGAATGGCGGCGGCCTGTCCAAAGAAAAGAACAAAGAACAAACGAGTCCATGCAGCTCACGGTCAGTATCAGCTCGCTTCCTCCTCCACCTCCCCACAGGCCGAGGCAAATATGCAAGTATGTGTGATACACATTGACCTGCTCAGACACGGCCGCATCTGACAGGGGCCAGACATCACGCATTGGCGGTTCAGATTGCGGTGCTTGACCAACCAAGGCGCCACAAGCAGGAGCACAGGCCTTTACAGGATCAATAATTACGAATCTCCAACCAACCACTTTTCAGTGCCACCTTCTGTTCTTGCTTTTTATTGTTCAATAAACAATGCCGTGTGGCAAACTCCAGGGGCTCCACGCGGCTCGTCGTCAACACATGCGCCGTCGGCAGTTGCCGTGGGATCATTAACCCTCGGGCCCTGGGATGAGACGTGCGCGGGTCAGTCAGTCAAGCTGACACCTGCCTGACAAGGGGACAAGGATGCACCCCCATCACAGCAGCAAGGGGCCCCCCGAGAGATGTGAAGGGCCAAGGCCAATGCATCGTCCTGCATCGAAACAGGACCAGGGGGAGGGTGCTGAAGATGCACAAATCCCCGCATTGTCGAATAGCCTACTGTACTGTACCTACATCGTGGACCCAGGGCTGCCGCACCGCATCAAATTGGTGACTACCTAACCTTGGGGTAGGGAGGGCCCTTGCTGGTCTGGGGAAACCTCGGTGCAGCTCCTGGCCAGGGCTGAAGGGCAGCGAGGGCCAGGTCCCTGTCCGCGAATCTTAAAGGCAACGGTAAGGCTCTGTCAGCACGTAGTAACAGTGTTTGTGGTGATCGCAATCTCGACATTGACATGTGCGTGCGTGTCCGCGTGCACAGAGATCTGGATAATTAGTATGTACGCTTGGGCTCAATCGTCGCACTCCTGCTTTGGCAGTGGAGCCATGAGCACAATTTCTGGCCGCTTATGCGCTCTGCCTGCTCCAATGCGGGTTTGGGGGTCATTTGTGCATATGCCGCGACGGACGGAGCGCCGAGAGGTTGAAAGCCTAAGTGGCCGGGATGGGCTGAGAAAGGGCATCAGAGTTCAGGCCAGACCCGTAGAGGGCAGGGGAACATACAACCCACACGCCGGGGCCGTTCGAAAATGGTCGAGGTCTGGCCTCGACAGGCTGCTCTAGCGGCGCCAGAGAGCACTCATGGACGTTGAGCTAACACGCTGTCGGCGCGGCGAGGCGTCGTTTGGGGTCCGTAATGCCACCGACCCGAGGCACACAGACATAACAAGACCGGAGCATTTGCGCGCGGCCCGCGGCAGAAGCGTTCAGAGAGGGTGGGAAGGACGACCTGCACGAGCTTGCCGTCCAAGGAGTGAAGAGGCAGTCACTCACGGCTCCAGCCGGTAGGCCGAGCCGATGAAACATGACAACTACCAACATGTGGTATTATTACGCGGCAGCCAAAAGCATGCTCGATGCTCCAGGGCCGGTGTGACCTCACCAGGGATTGCCCCTGGCGGCACCACTGCATTGGGCCATCACGCCCCCCCGATGGTGGATGGTGGGGAGGACTCTTCAGCAGAAGGCCAGCAATGGTCAGCAGGACCCCTGGCTCCCCCTAGGGCAGCGTCAGTCATCAGCTCGGCTACCACCTCCGGGCCATCGGCAGCCCCTCCTTCTGGCACAAGCACAGACACACGCTACTGATCGTCAGCATCGAGCATGTGGCACCTCCCCCAAGATATCTGTCAGATTCACTTGGGCGGAGACCGTCCCCGAGCTCTCCAGGCGCAATTGCTGATGGGCCTTGAGTCCACCTGGGCGAGCTTCTTCTCCACCAGCACCTTTGCCGTGTGACTATGGCGCCACTATCCTGGCCGGGTGCTCTGATCTATCTGTGATTGCGGACCCGCACCCCTGAGAACCCAGCGTGCCTCGCGTGCCGCGGCACCGCTCCGGTAGACATCCCTGCTCGCCCTGCAACCTGGACGAGAGCTTGGTGAAATCCAGTGGGGCCTTTGTTTGGGATATCAGCGCAAGTTTCGCACTTTCCCTTTCCTTGGTAGATTCCCCGATGGGTAACGACCCACGATGGTCAGCTTGGTTATCGACTTCGGCTCTTCGCGCCCTTTGTGAGCATCTCTCATGTTCGCAGAAGCAGAGACAATGACTTCATGAGACCAGCTGGCCGCCTGATCGACCAAGGCGACTTCAGCAATCAAATCTACCACCTCGAAAATCAAGCAAACGCCAAGCGGGGGCGCCCGGCAGAGGGGTTGCCGCCGTTCGCACAACAACAAGGAGTAATCTCGGTGGCACCAGGACGACTTCAACATGGAGAACCGCGGACCGACACTGCTGATCCTGAACGCCGTGTTCATGGGCCTCATGCTCCTGACCATGATCCTGCGCATGTGGGTGCGGCTGGGAATCGTCAAGTCGTGGGGTTGGGACGACTCGCTCATGGCGGCTGCGGTGGTGCGCACACTCTTTCCTGGGGACGTACAAGCCGGGGATTGGTACTGACGACGGCACAGCTCTTCTACGGGATTTATCTATCCTTCTCCATACATGGAGTCATGTACGGCACAGGGCGGCACTTCAAAGACGTCCCGCTTGAGGACTACGAAATCGCCATGAAGGTCAGTACCGGGCACATCACGGTTCACGCTCGCCATTGCCACCCATCCCTTGCTCTAGGGATTCGGGCGCCGCGCTTCATGCATGGATAGACACTGACATCATACACGAAAAAAAAGTCCTGGTGGATCTGCTATCCTTTCTACAGCTCCGTCATGATCGCCTCGAAGCTCTCGATCGGGTACTTTCTGCTGCGCGTCACGGTGCGCCGGCTGCACCTCTGGCTCTTGTACATCACAATGGCCGTTACGCTCTGCGCCGGGCTTGCCTTCTTCGTCGGCAGCTTCCTGCAGTGCCGGCCCATCTCGTACTGGTGGACACGATACGGCGACCCGGCCGGCGGCTTCTGCATCGACCCGACCATCATCATTGTCCTGGCATACATGTACAGCGTGTTCGCCATCACGTCGGACCTCATGATGGCGCTGTTCCCAGCGCTGCTCATCTCGGCGCTAAATATGAACCGGCAGCTCAAGATCTTGCTAATCCCGCTCATGGCGATGGGAACCATGTACGTGGCTTGTGTCCTGGCGATTCCCCTCCCGTTTCGTTTCAAAGAGCGTTTTCCAGACTGACAATGTAACTAGTGCAAGCCTGGGTCTAGTCGTCAGGCTTCCCTGGCTACTCAAGCTCCGGGACACCGAGGATTTCCTATGTAGGTCGTCCATATCGTTATTGTTCCGGTACCGTCACTGACTCTTAACAGGGTCCACCATCGACATCGCGATATGGTCAACGGTGGAGGGCGGCCTGGCCATCGTCGCCGGCAACCTCGCCACCCTACGCCCATTGTACCGCTACCTCATGCAGGAGTTCGGCTTCACTCGGGGCTCGGCCCAGTCTGGCCCTCTCGACGGTTCGGGCGGATCCGCGGGCCAAGCGGCGTACAAGGCCCGGTCCACAACCGACAGCAAGAAGTCGCGCAGCAATCATCGTCGCGGCGGCGGTACGCATGGCAGCAACGGCAGCTTCAGCCTCGGCATTGCGACCGTGTTTGGCGGCACGGCAGGCGTGTACCCGCTGTCTGATATCGATGACGGGGAGTACGGCGGCACTGGCCGGGGAAGCGACGACGATCAGAAGAACAACAACAAGAATAACGAGGACGGCAGAAGGAGCAAAGGTACCAACCAAGGCAAGGGGTTCCCGAATAATAGCGGCCATGTCGGCGCGCAGTACGAGCGGAGCGACAGCTTCAGCAGGGCCAACAATAACAACCATAACACCACGATGGCAAAGGAAGGCATCACGGCGAGAACCTCGATCTTCACGACGTCATCTCCGGCAAACGCACCCCTCTCCGGCGGAGGCGTCTACGGCCAAGACGACCATGATGGTATCTACCACGACGGCGGCAGACCGTACGGACTGCGCACGCAAATCGTTGCAGAGAACAGCGCCAGCGGCCGGGGGAAGACCCGGACGTCGTCTTCCGATGATGATCCGAACGCCCGCAGTAACAAAACCACACACCACCACCACAGGCTGCCGTCGAGTGACAGCCAGGAGGCGCTGTACCCACATACTTTGACGACGAGGCAACAAGGTAGTGGTGCTGATGGGGTGCAAACAGCACGCGGCACGCGGAATACCGCTGGGGATCGAAGATATTAGTTTGATATGGGTCACGGAATTGTGTTTGTCCTGCTAGCATTTTGAGCGTGTTTCTGTTTCTTGAATGGTCAAATTCACAGCCAATATGCATTTTCTTGACATGCTTCAGGAGCAATACAAGTGCATGACGTGCTGACATGCCGTCCGCTGCGAAACCTGTGAGATATGTCCTAATCATAGCGGCCTTGAATTGCATCGAGAGAGCTTAGATTGGCCCCATGCTGCCAAATTGAGAGGTCCTCGACAAACAGTTATGGGCAGGAATCGAGCTTGCAACTGCTTCTGGAGCCAACCTTTGGTAGGATGATTCTCCTGCATGGAGACCTAAGTGCCTCTTCTCGATCCCAAGCGAGAAACCAATGTGCCATGTCCAAACTCAAGAGAGGTGGCCCGCCTTTCGTCTAAATTCTCGACTCAAGTAGCACCTCGAGGGACAAGATGGCAGGGACGAGGCGTGCCATAGTTCTACTGTGAATAGCCTCTGCTATACAGAGAAAGCCGGCCGGAAATGAGACAGAGATGAAAAGTTGGAGTCAATTCATCCAGCGCAATCTGGGACACATCATTGGTATTGCGTTTTGGGCATTGGGAGTTTTCTATTGTTGTACATCTGGTAATACACTGTCCCTGGGACAAACGCCTAACGCATCATGGACCTCAGTCCGGGAACCCCGGTTGTAGATGCTGCACTCACTCCGACGGGGCAGCACTAGACGCCGTACTTGAACTCGCGGAACTTCTTCTGGTAGTAGAAGGTCGCGAGACTGCCCGTGGCGAGCAGGCCCAGCGGCACGGGGGCCCGGGCGCCCGTCTTGATGACGCGCGGGATGGCAGAGCCGGTGAGGAGCACGCTGCTGCCGAGGGCGAGCTCGGCGCCGTTGTCCTTGTTGTTCTTGAGGAGGTAGCCTGGGCAGGGTGCGCGGGATTGTTCAGTCGAGAGGATTCTGGGGGTGAGAAGGGGCTGGGACATTACCTGCATAGCCGAAGCAGGCACCCAGGCCGACGCCAGCAATGAGAGACGGCAGCGAGCGCGTCCGGACGTAGCCGGCGGTGCCGCCGACGGCGACTGTTCGAGGAGAATCCGTCAGCAACGAGCACAAAGACCCACTGGATCAGGTGCGTGAGAAAGGGGACTTACGTAGACCAGCGAGGGTGAAGGAAGGGTGCTCGGCCATTATTGAAGGAGATGGAGCTGACTTGGGCGTCTAGAAGTAGATGGAAGGCGTGCCGGTTGTGTAAGTCAGTTGTCGGATACTATCCCGGTGTGGGAGAAGGGCGGTCGGCAGATCCGGCGGGACACGTGCGTGAAAAGCGCGCGTGTGCGGAACCACACTGCTTCCGTTGGGCCGCGGAGCGGATGACTAAGCACATCTACAGGCTCTGGTGGCTGTCTCTCTGGAGGCATCGATCACGATTCAAATACGGCCATTGCCTCCAGTCCACTCTGATCTATCATCATTGCCTGATCTCTTTGCGGTGAGCACGGCAAGTTCTGCCGTTTGACTACGGACGGGCCAAGAGACAGGAAAGACTCCGCTACCAGGCGGTCTCCGATAGTCATCAATGCGGCACAGCCGATGGAATTTGTGCAACACGACATTGCGGTGTTGTACGCACTATTGTCACTCATTCGAGAGATACTGGTGAAACATGAGATGAGTCCTGAAAAGCCCAATGCCCAAGAGCCTTCAACCCCGTGGGTCATGTGGTCTTTAGTTCTCTTCTTTGCAGGCCCAGCCACAGTCGTTCAAGCTAAACACTCAGTGGCAGGCATTCTGTTGCACAAACATCAGCCACGTTAATCAAAGTCTGCTAGTAAAGAAGGCGTTTTCGGACCAATGGGACTAGATTGACTACATGGACTTGTGGCCGGTCTTTATGTCGCTAAGAACTTCAATCTGGATTTGTATTGCTAGATCATCAAGAATGGCCCTCAATGCTTGCAAAAAGGCGTTTAGCAACCTAGCGTTTTCAATACAGGCGTAGCGGCAAGGAGAAGCTCGAGCGTAATACGATTACCTTTATCATCCGAGATTGCATCATAGAGGTTGCTGCGCGAAATTATTAACTGATTTTGACGGTTTGTGGTCTGGAAATAGGAGCGTTGTGGCCTTACGACAATCCGAGTCTTGTAGTGCTAGGACGTGTCTGTGATAATGAAAGCTACCAGACTGTATCAATGTTACCACGGAACACAATATGCCACATGTGAGATCGATGCAGCTGTGAGGTATCAGTCTTGCGCTTCTGGTATATTCACGAACTTTGTCAGGAACTGTAAGCTTGGACGCTCGTCCACAGATAACACGGCGAGGCAAGGAAGACCGGAGGACGAGAGGTGTTGTCACAGAACAGGTTGCCTGATCCAAAATATCTGGGACCTGTTAACTAAAGTTAAGACAGAGCCTCCCTAACCCGCAACTCGATCATGCCCCATGCCTTCACGAAGAGCACCCGTGACCTGGATAATATGACGCTTTCGCTCGTTCATTGGCAAGTTCTGGCTCTGTATCGAACACTGACAACGGAACTCGTCTCATTGGTTGTCACAGGTTGGGTTCTACAAGTGTAGCATCAATGCAGCAACGACTTGGATATTCCCGTCCGTCCCATCCATGAACGCTTCGAGCAGCGGATAAATGAGACAGCATCATATGAACTAGCGTCTCTCAGCTCGTTCACGCGTGAGTGCCAACAACTGTTGCTCAAAGGACGAGCTTTCTTGTTGTTATTCTTCCACTCAGAATCAGGACCAGCCACGCACCAACGACCCCTCGAACGACAGATCCAAACTGAGCAGTATACCCCCGCGGAAGCCTGATGTAATGATTCCTCTCTGAACCCGAGACAACCCAGAAAGATACCAGGTGAGTCAAGCAACAAATAAACCATGGCACAATGCTCACTTTCCCTTGGCAGCTTCCCTTTGCCGGGTCGCCTCCTAACAAAGAAAACAAGTCACTCACGTGAACATGCCACTCAAACCCAGCAGAACGCTTACCTAAGTTGTTACCTTCCACTAAGAACATTAGGGAAGAACAAAGAAGCCCTGTGGACAAGGGCCGGCCTAGCCTTTGCGGCATACTCCTCTACAATGGAACTAGCCAGCCCAAGCTCAGCCGTTGGTTCCGGCGCATCCGATCGATCGCCGCTCGCCTTGGCTCTTCACCGGCCCCGCCTTGGCGCATGAAAACTCTCACACTGTTCGACTCCACAGCGCTGTGCAACCGGCCTGATGGGCTGGCCCCAGGTACAGAAACGGAGAACGTGGACGTGGGAATGACACGAAGCACACGCGTAGTCATGCAGTGACTTGTGCCTGGCAGAGGACAGTGTGGGCGAGTTCAGCCGAGAGCAAGGTGTGGCAGGGTTTTCGTGCACGATGACCTGCATCCTCGACTGCAAGATAGAGGCAGCAGTGCCCCTGGAGCTAGCACGGCGCCAGGCGCAAGTCTACTGCAAGGCCAAAGCATGCAAAGGCGTCAGTCATTCGACTGTTGATTCTGCGCGCCCCAAGAAACGCGGCTCGTCGGGTCTTGGAAAACCAGGGCATGCAAGGCACTCGCCATTTCTCCAACGGGCTTGCAACGTCACCATCTCTGCCCGCCGCCAGCCAAGATTTCTGGTCCCACGGCGGCAGAGCCGCACCGAGCACCCCTGTCTCAGTGTCGCTTGAACCCTGTCCTCTGCTGGAGGGAACCCTCCGTGAGCAGGGATTTCCTTGGCTGGGTCCGATGGCAAGGAAAACGTCCAACGTCATCCGATGCTAATTGTCCAAGATTCCAAACAGGTCATGATCATTCACACGTCAAATCCATGGCAAAGGGTAGCAGCCGACATGGTCCCATAACACCCAGAACGAACATCACCACGAGACAGACTTTTCTGCTGTTCGACAAAGAACCGGCCATGCCAATTGAGGAGTTCGACGCCTGCCCACACCACCAACTCGGCGTAGGCAACCAATTGCTGGTCACCCATCTAGACGACAAGCGCACGACGGCTTGCAGTAGCCCGGCACCGCCCTGGAAGAACCTTTTAGTTTCGGGCAATGCAGGAACAAACTATTCTTGTCCGACTTCCAATGCCATCACCTCCACGTAACCGCTCTCCAAAAGGCTGGGCCATTGTTCTTTCGTGTGCGCGCGCATGTATCGATTGCCCAATGCTGCTTCACTGCCCTCCCCTCCTTTCAGCCTCGGCACCGCCCCCATCTTGGCTGGCTTGTCCGACACACCAATGCAGTACAACTAAAGGATGCACATCAGATAGACGTACATGCATGTGCGGAGAGAAGCGTGCATATTCCCAAGCGTGTTCAGTAGCAGCTGGCTGGCCCTGCGTCGTCCGAGTCATGCTGCGTGTTGCCTTGCGCGCCTTTTGTCCGTTTCCCGATGATGACCCCCATCATCATCCGCCTCACCCGACTTGTCCTAGTCCGGCTGGCTGCACAGGCACCCGTCCAGAGAAAGGCCGTTATCCCCAAGACAGTCTAGCGCCAGGAACGAGGCGTGTTTCACAAAAGGCCCGGCGCGGGGGGGGGGGGGGGGCAGTGGAATGGATCGAGCGAAGAAAAAGCGATGAGGGAAGTTTTGAATTTTTCGAGCCGGCAGAGTAATAATGGGAATGCAGGTACCCAGCGAGTATTTTCGCCACTGGCGTTATTAGGAACCCTCCTTTTCCTTGTTCGGGGGCCTTGATGAGTCGTACGGTACATATGGGACAGCCCTAATTATTGCGCGAAGAGACGAAAAGACTGGGGACTACGCCGGACAGATCCTGCCCGGTGCGGACAGGATGCGCGAGCCAGGCGACCAGCAGAGAAAATAGAGGGACAGGAACAGTGTGTTGTTGCTGAGATCTCGCACGGGCGGGTGGAGAACCGCGTACCGGTAGACGCGGCCTTCTTCGCTGGATCCGAGAGGGTAACCCCACATGAGCTGACGCACTCCATGTCTCTTTGGGGCCGGTTTTCTAGGCCGGAAGGCACTGCCGTGTGGGTGGCTTGCCAGTCTTCGCTTCACTCACAAACAAGATTTCAGGGAAGAGTGTTGAGGCAGTGAAGCATAATACACAGAGTCACATCACGCAGCGGAGCCATGTAAGAGTATATGAAGAAAGAGGCAATTATCATTAAATCCCATCCCCCAACAACCATCGTCCTGATCAAAGCTCCACCATCTTGCCTCTGCAATATAAAAAAGAAGAATAAAGTCTAGATACATCCCATCTGAAAAGGTCATGTGCGTGTGCAAAATGTCGTGAGGGTTGTACAAAAAAGTCAAAATATAAAAGCAGGACATGCCGCAACCCGAGGAAAAGGGATCAACTCAACCTTTTCCCCCAAACATGGGTGGCGTCGCTGCTATACCTCCTCAACTCCTTTTTGTCTTCCGGAAAAAGATTAATGGCAAAGATTGATCAGGGGAGTGCTCGCGTTTCAACAATACAGTGACTGTTGCTGCTGCTTCTGTAGTTGGCAGGATATAATGAGTGAATCGAAACGAAGAAGTGTTTTTCTTTTGGTGTAGACCGACTAGTCAGTCACTGAAAGCCACACGCGTTGTTCTTACAAGAACAGGACAGCGACGGCACCGAGGACGGCGGCGAAGCTGACGGTGTTCAGGGCAGCACCGGCCGTGGGGATGACGGGAGTAGTGGTGCCGGCCGGGGGAGCCGGGACCGTGGTCGAGGCCGGAGGGTGAACAGGGTAGGTGGTCTCAGCGGGAGGCTGGACGGGATAAGTGGTCTCAGCGGGAGGCTGGACAGGGTAGGTAGTCTCAGCGGGAGGCTGGACGGGGTAGGTGGTCTCAACGGGAGGAGGCTGAACTGGGTAGGTGGTAGGAACAGTAGGGTGAGTGTAGGTGGTGAAGGTGGTGGGCGGGCACGAGGTCGACTCCTCGGGGGCGCTGGTCGGGTAGGTAGTCGGGTACTCAGTGGTAGGGTACTCGGTGGTCGGGTACTCAGTGGTAGGGTACTCGGTGGTCGGGTACTCAGTGGTCTCAGTGACTGGGTAGGTCGCGCTGGTGGTGATCACTGGGTACGAGGTAACCGGGTAGGTGACCGGGTAGGAGGTCACGGTGTAGATGGTGCTGGTGATCTCCTCCGAGCAGGTCGTCGAGGACTCAGTCACAGTGGTGTAGTAGGTCGAGTACTCGGTGGTCGTCGAGTAGGTAGTCTCTTCCGTGCAGGTGGTTGACTCAGTGACGGGGTAGGTCGACTCAGTGGTGACCGGGTAGGTAGTGGTTGGGTACACGGGGTAGCTAGTAGTCGGGTACACGGGGTAGCTCGACGACGTGCTCACTTCGTAGGAGGAGGTGCTCTCCTCGCAAGAGGTCGAAGACTCCGAGCTGACCGGGTAGGTGGTAGTTGGGTACACCGGGTAGCTGGTAGTCGGGTAGCTGGTAGTCGGGTAGACGGGGTAGCTCGACGACGTGCTGACTTCGTAAGTCGAGGAGGTGCTCTCCTCGCACGAGGTGGAAGACTCGGAGCTGACCGGGTACGTGGTAGTCGGGTACACGGGGTAGCTGGACTCAGTGGTAACTGGGTAGGTGGTGGTCGGGTACACGGGGTAGCTGGACTCGGTGGTGGTCGGGTACACAGGGTAGGTCGACGAGGTGCTGACTTCGTACGTGGAGGAAGTGGTCTCCTCGCACGAGGTCGAAGACTCCGAGCTGACAGGATAGGTCGAGGAGATGGTGGTCACGGGGTAGCTGGACTCAGTGGTGACCGGGTAGGTGGTCGTGGGGTACACGGGCGAGCTCGACGACGTGGTGACCTCGTAGGCCGAAGAAGTGGTCTCCTCCTCGCACGAGGTGGAACTGCTGACCTCGTAAGTCGAACTGGTAGTGACCGGGTACTCGTCGGTGCACGAGGTGGTGGTCGGCGGCTGGGCGTGGTAGTTGCCGGGCATGGCCGCGGCGGCCGAGGCCATGAGAACAACGGTGGCAGACTTCATGGTGAATTAAGATTAGGTTCGTTTTTTGTTGTCGAAGGTTGTTCCAAGCGAAGGTTGCCAAGAGATATTGGCGTGAAGCGAGAGTGGTCCAAAGAAGACGAGCGAGAGTCGTTGGAGTCGAGCGTTGGATGGGGAGCAGACCAGAAAACAGTAGAGGACGGGGAACTGCCGGGCGACTCTTATACATGCAAGTGCTCGCGGAGAACGAGGAGGGCAGATGTCATCAGGGAGGCGTGTGGAGGCCCGCGGGCCGGCGTGATGGAGGCATCACCTCGCATACGGCGAAAGCGCACCGCATCTCATCTCATCTCACCGAGCCTTGACTTTAGTGGGAAGTGTGGACTGTGAATCGATAGACAGCCAGGCGTGGCCCACCCAGGCTTGCCTCCCAGGGCACGTCAGTCGTTGAGAGTGCCCTGCCCTGGCAGCTGTCGGACCTGCCTCGAGAAGCACGTTGACGTTGCTGGGCAGTGCGGCTCACTAGCGCAGGAAGCAACTCTCCTCCCCCCTGCCAGGTTTGTCCTGTCCTGGCACCACAGCAGGCCACGACGGGTGTGGTGGAGTCTGGCTGTGCTGGCCAGTCGCCGCCGTGTCCTGGCCGGCCTTACTGATGTCGTGGCCGTGGCCGAGCCGGCGCAGGCACGCCGCCGACAGCTTGCAGGGCGGGCGGCGGAACAGCAGGAGCACGCGAGAAGCCCAATTCCAGTGCTGTCCTGCAGTGGGAGCCCAGCAGCATGCCCACTCGTGTCCACGAATAGCCGCCAGGGGTCATTTGCACCGGCGCTGTGCCGGCCGCGGCGGGTCCTCTTTGCCGTCTGCTCCGTGCAGAACAAGGACGTGCCGTTGCCCAAGGTCCACCAGACGGCCTGGCAGTCAGTGCCTGGCCTGGCCTGCCTGGCCTCGTGTTGTTTTTTGCCTGTTGCCGGTTTCCTTCGACGTTCCTCGCGGCCAGCCCCTGTGCTGTCCTCAAGGACATGTCGTCTCCATGCTGTCATGTTCTGCCGTCACCGTAGTACAATGCCGGCCAGAGGGGTCCTCGTCAGCTCTGTCGACGGATGGGATGGACCCCTCTCTCCCCTCCACGTCTTCGCTGCTGGCTGCCTGCTTGAGGCTTTGAGCGGAAAACAGGGGTCTGCCCTCTCGGTTGGCTGCTCGAGTGCAGATCAGCGACTGGGGCGTGCATAATACGAGGCCCCCCTTTGGCCGCGTCGTCCTATGGGAGCCCGTGCATCAGCCGTCGGGGCCTCGCGACAAAGAACTCAATGCTGCCAGCAAACAAGATCAACGGCCGCTAGCTCGCTGGCCGTCCCAAAGTCAAAACCAGCAGGTGATACGTCATGCACCATTCATAATGTGGACCACAGCGCGCACAACACAATGCCAAAAGTCCAACGGCCGGCGGCGCCGTCTGCCCATGCCCATTGTTAGCAAAGCTACCAAGTGGACGGGGACGGCTAGCTTTGCACACCGTGCCCCGTCAGACACGAGCCGCAGGCGCACGGCCGACCTCCATCCACATCTCGATCAGGGCTGACTGACCACAGACGCCGCTCATCTGCGCACTCCCCATCGGATGAGCAGCGTATCGAGAGCATCAGACTAATCTGGAAAATCGTTTTTTCCCAGCAGAGCAGAGGAGGGCCTGCATTTGGACACAATGACTCGATGCGCAGGGCGCTAGCAACTCAACACAGAAAAGGTCAGCCACGCCAGAGCCGACGGCTTGCAGCTCTCGAAAGGGGGACATGGCTGAGTGGTCCAAAGTGAAAATGCAATTGCAGAGGCGTACACCACGTTCCGTGGCTGACCATGGCTCTCTGCCAATTCCAGGGTGGTCTGGCGGCATGCGCATGAGCTGCATCTCGAAGCAGCTTAGCCTCGAATTGTTGCTCAGTTCTGCCCACGCGATACGAACTTTCGAGAATTCGGCCACCTTCAAACGAGAGCCTGCCATGTGTACGTATGCAGGTCTGAACTCTGGGCCGGCAAACCACATTCAGAGACTCGATTTCGAACTACGTTAGCTCCAGCCTAGGGGAGGGGCCATTAACGCAGAAGCTCGTGTGCCTGCTCGGCTCCAGTTTATACTCTGGAATGGCAAGGCGCCGGTAGAACTCCAATTTTTCTCATTTTCGGTTCTTGGGATCCCGCGGCAACAGACTTTGGCTAGCATGGCAGTCGTTTGACCAAACAATGACATTCTTCTGCCTCCATCAGTGCTAAAAGACGATAGCCTATCCGTCAGCTCTGTAACGTTTCCTTGATGTTCTACCGGTCGTTTGCACGCTAAGAAGCACGCGTCGGCTGCTTCTTCGCCGCCCACGCAGCTTGGCTCAAAGCCATTATACTAAGCCAGACGCCTCTATTTTCCAAGAGTCTAGCACGCAACAGAGCAAATACCACCATCAGAAACCAAATCCCCCTCAATGCCGGCTTTTGGGCATCCATTGCCCAAAAAGGGTTGGGCTTCAAGCTCATGTTGATTCCGCCACTCCAGCAATCATACTAACGGCGCGCAAGATCGAATCCCGCCCTTTCGATGTGATTCGGCCGCCCCGACCAGACCACACCCTCGTATTTTGCCGTTCCTGCCGGCCTTCTTAACTAAGTGGGCTTTTGATCTTTCCCCACAAATAGCCAGTTCCCGGAAATGCACCTTTGAGCCCATCTCACCATCTCGTTCGCTCAGCAACGATGCTTGATGGTTGCGATTCAAGAATGGAGCCGTGACTGAGCTAGGCTCGGAAGCTGACATCATCGTAGTCCACTCGCGATTTCCACGATGAGATGCAACCGCGCTTCCGGCCGCTCTGAGGTCAAGAGTGTTCAAAGTGGGGATGATGATACTTCGAGTAAGTAACAGCGGACAGCTTCCACGATCCACCACAACAGGAAGACTAGTTTGATGCCCTGCCTTCGTCGCTGGCTGGGAAGATCTGGTTACGAGTTGAGTCTTGCTCGCCGCCCGCCATCCTGTGTCTTGGCCGATTCTGCTCCGGAAAAGAGGGGAAGGATAAGCCCGGCGCCGGCGTCTTACTGCGAGGCATCGATCGATGCGTGGCAAGTCGCTAGTCGAGAGACGACCACCGGGCTTCCTTTGCAGCAAGGCAGGCATCGTCTGGCAACTCGTCCGCCGGACTCAGCTGCTCGGTCCTGCCCCTGCACATTTCGGTTATTACTTCCCAAAGGTTTGTCATCTAGTGCATACACGGTCCGCGGGACCTTTGGAGTCATCTCTTGTTACTGTTCTCGTCCAGAACAAATACGATCGGCAAGAGAACGCACGATGGTCTGACTGCGTCTCCCTTTGTCCCAAATGTGCAATTAAACGTGCGATATGCGGTCCGTGTCCTATCATAGCAGTGGTTGTGTCTGATCTCAGCTCACTCTGCGCATGATCTATGCGCCGCCCCTCGCATTGCATAGGGCGAGACATTTCCCCTCTATTTTTTGTGCTCCCCACCCCGTCATGTGGCCCACCCTGGTTCGGCCAAGCAATGGAAAGACCGCGGAACATTTCCTCAAAAAAATCCAGAGCCTCACCTCACTGGGAACGGGCGGCCGCCAAGCGAGCATGGTCCGGCTCCCCGATCGCGTTGCCCCAACTGGGCCGCCAGCAGGGATATAACCCTGCTCCGAGAGGTCCGCCAGCGGAGCCACAGGCGGGGCGTGCGGCTCGGTGGACCCCTTTTGCTTTTCCCGGCTTGAGAAAAGGCGGAAACGGGTCTTTTGTCGTTCCTCGTGTCTTGGCTCCTGGGATTTCTTTGTGGTGCCTACACTACTGTAGGCACAGGACAGTATCTTTGATCTGCTCCACTTTGGCACATTCACACCCCGTATGCAGGCTGCTTGCGCCACTGCTGTCATCGTCCTTTTCGAAGATCCGTGTGGCCGGTTGTGAAGAGGTAGGTGTGTAGATGTGTGTGTCAGCCGGTAAGCCACTGTGGGGAGGGCGCCACTTCGTATCGTGCTTGCCTGACCTGACTGATCCTCCGCCCTGTTCTCTCGGTTGTTCAGCCGTTGCCGACGGCGAGGAATGACAGTGGGGATGATGACCAGGCCATATCATGCTACTTGCGCGCCCGCCCTGGCGCCTGCTCTGCGGGTGGCTGGCAAAGCTGGCATGGCATGGCGGGGAGGATGATGCAATGACAGCGCAGTAAGGTCGTATCGGGGAGTGTGGATGATGCGGATGATGCTTGGACGCTTCTGGATGGCTCTGCAGGGCTCCAGACCGATCGTGTCCGGGCCTCCGGGGTCATTTTTCTGTCCTCGTGTTGCAGTGGTGGTGTGCGTGCTGCAGGGTTTTACTTTTCTTTTCCCGGGGTCTTTTCTTGTGCAGCGCGCTTTGCGATGCCCGTATGGTTCCACGGTCGTGGCTGAGGCCGACGCATCTTTCTGCAGGTGGCTGCAGCAAAGTCCTTTGCGTTCGTGCAGATGGATGCATGCCGCTCGATGGCACGTACGTCAAGAGGCGCATCTGCCTTGGCAACGTGTATGGCTGCGGATCCCTGGATATAGCTGCAGGGTTATATATAGACATAGACACATACGAAGTCGTCAGTCAGGTCACACGTTAGGCTCGTCCGATCATGTCTGTGCGTGTTGGTGGCGTGGTCTCTGACCCAGCCATACGATGCCCTGCTTTGCGTTACAGGCGACATGTGGGCGTGGCAAGGTTGAGATCTCATAGTTGCACAGTCCTACACTGCGCCCGGAGATTTTCCTCCTTCAAAGCTTGAAGCTAAGCATGAATTCTCTGTAGTCGCAATAAACCACTTTTGACCAGCCAGGGTTTAATCGTAAGGCATACAATCTCAAATCACTGTTTAACCTTACATGCCGAAGGTTGTGATCAACAAGATCAATCTATTCGCAGAGACATGTCAAGCAAATCATATGGCTTTCCTCGAGCATAAGCACTGTTGGATCGATTGCACATCGAGGGCTCAGGGAAGAACTGATCTCTAGATTGACCTTTCTAAAAATAGTTGAATTATTCCGCGTCCATTTCGAGATGACTTCCTCAAAGTTCTCTAGGGATTGAATTAGCGCAAGGAGAAACCATACATACTTCGGAAAAAAGAGAGCTCCGATGAATTGCATCTCATAGAGGGAGACTCATCTTCTGTGGTAGAGAAACTATGCTAGAATTGACCAGGGCTTGTGAAGTCAGTATCACAAGTGCGGGCTGCATTAGCATGAACCTTTATACCAATTGTCCATACTGATGCACTTGAGCAAGTTCAGACTATGCGGGGGTATTTAATGTACTCTTGGCCAGCCTTTGCCATTACATAGTATTCTGTGTGGACGAGACTGAATCGCTTCCTTGCAACTCCCGGGACTGGAGGCTGGAACGCCCACGCAAGCATAAATCTGGGGCCGCCAATGACGAGTCGCAGCACCCTGGTCGCGTCTCAGTTGTCGTGCCGCCGCTGTCTCCACATCCCGCTTTTGGGGCGGGATAGGCAGAGGTGCGACGACCAGGGGTCTCCTCAGACAGCGCGTTCGTCTGATTCCGTGTTTCATCCCGTTTTGCCTGGGGCATCTTGCGACATCAGCCAGGGACATCAACTCATGTTCGACAACTTCAGATCTCTACATAAGGTCGCGATGAGCCGCCTTCTAAGGGCAGGCTTCTCTGGTCTCTATCCTCATCCTCGTCTTCAAACGGTCCTACCTCACCCATCGCATCTTCGTTCTCATCGACCTGGTGTCGCATTTCGCTTCTTTCTTCTCGACCTGGTGTCTGATTATTACTCTTGTACAAAAGTTCTACTTGCATCTCGCATTTTCCGCATTTATTCATCGCACGATACCCGTCAAGTTCGACACATAAATCAGTCAAAATGGTCAAGATCAGCATCATCTCCGCCCTCTTCTGTAAGCACCAAACAGGCCCATTTTCCAGCTCCAGACGAGAATCTGTCAAAAGTCTCAGACGGGCCTTTTTGAAGCTAACATTTTTCCCTTTCCCCCCTTCACAGTCGCTCTCTCCGTTACGGCGCTCACCCCCAACAACGCCGGCGCCAGCGCGGTCGGCAATGGCCAAGGCAAGCAGTTCACGACGGGCGGCTGCGTGAGCGACGCCGACTGCCAGCAGGGCTGCTGCGCGGGCGGCGCCACGTCCATCACCGGCCGCGCCGCGGGCATCTGCTCGGGCATCGGCGCCGAGTTCCAGAACGGCAAGACGGGCTGCGGCTTCCAGGACCCCAACGCCCAGCAGAACATTGCCGACGCCAAAGCCCAGGCCAAGAAGCAGGGCTTCAAGCGGGTGGTTCGCGAGGAATAGGTTGTTGTTGCGCTCAGTTTCGCCTAGAGAGAGGGTGGCTGGGTTGTTTGGTAGCCGCGACCTGCAACTCGCCTCGGGACTGTGGCGAGGGGAGTGACTTTGGGAAACAAGACACGGCGCAGGCCTGCGGGAAGGATTTCGGCATACGAGAGAGAGCATTGTGTAGTTGCATGCTCTTTAGAGCGAGCGACCTCTGACTCTTTGATCCTACCACTACCACCTATCACCTAAACACAATAAACTCGAGAGCTCTACGCATCGCTTGACACATGCTTGTCGAGGACCCTGATATTGTTGGAAACAATGCGTGAATCGGACATCGTGTTCGCTGACATTGGACATCATGACGCGATACACGGCGAGATATCTCGACTGGCCCGTGGGATTGCTTTCACAAGTCCTACGGTCTGGTAAGTCAGAAAGCCGTGCTAGCACAGTTACGCATGATCAGCGCCCAAGCGCATATGACTCTGTCTATCCACACGACTATGGCAAGCTCCACAATATGAAGTAAGTCTCTTGGAATTGTGGCGGTACCCCCCATGAAGTTCCTGGGAAGCGCATTGAGACAATAGAACAGCCTTCCTTGAAGCGTGCCTGGCCGTTGAGCCCTAGGTCTTGCTCCAAAGATGATCTTCTGTTCTACTACAATAGTGTCAAATATTTGTCTGGCTGCCCATTTGTCTCCTTGGACGATATCGAGTAGTGGAATATTGTGGACGCTCGTCTGCAGATGGTTGATGAGGTTCAATTGAGAAAGCGCGGCTGTAACCCCTAGCTGGCAAACTCGTACCTAGAAAGCACTGTGAGCATGATCGACTGCACTTTGAGCGGACGATGGCAATGAGCACGCGAAAGAGGGGCGCGGCCAGAGTTCTGCTGCTGAAGGAGGGAATAATTGAGCCGGACTGCGCATTATGTGAGAGTCTTGCTCAGAAGACGGCTGATCGCATTGCATGATAAAGATTGTGATCCCGCAGAACTGTCCAAACGCGGTCCAGACTAATGGGGCAACATTTGATTCGGCTTTACAGATTGGTCGCACTTTCACAGAGTGGCCAGCCACAATGCTGATGGTCAATTTGACGCTCTCGCACCTTAGCGTGACCGAGCGAATGTGAGGTGCTCTCCAGCCATCATTGTCTCATCCCATGTCGAGCATCACGATGCACTTCTCGGTGTGTTGGCTGCAAGAGGTGACGCTGTTATCTGTGTCTGGCTGCTGTTGCACAGGGTTGGTGAGATCGAGGGTCACACCGCAGGGGGCTAAAAATAGCTTAGATGAATCCTAGGCCCATCTCTTAGCGCTGGCCCCTAGCTTGATCGACCCTGATTTCGGTCTCGACCGCCGTCTTGGTGATGCCCATCCCAGGTGGGCAAGAGAAACGGACTCGAATGACTGGAAGATTCTTGGCTGGCAGACAGGGCTGTCGCTCAATGCTGCGACATGCGAGGCAGTCTTACGATCCTTACGAAGCCTCGCTCTCTTTCCACAAGCAGCCCTGTTGGATAAGGCTACATGGTCCCACTGGGGGCCGGGATGTGTGCTGACAGGTGGACCAAGATGCACCACAGAGGCGCTCATCAATTCGCCATGCACGGCTGCTGACTGGACCGTGACACGACAAGCCTCGTTGCCGAAACACAGCCCTGCCGTGCCAAGCCCGCCACTCCACGATCCCACTGCAGGCTGGCAATCTTTAGGGTGGTTCAAGGCCGGTACATCAAGTTCCGCCATGCCTGCCTCGCGGCGGTGCTCTCTTCATTCATCCTCTCTCTTCCCCAGTTCTAACAGCCGCTGAGCGTGCTGGACCCCGAGTACACCAACACCTCGCCAGCCATGGCGGGCGGCTTCTCGTATGTCTCGCTATCGCCACGCGGGAGCCAGCACCACCAGCACCACCAGCGTGCTGGATCGGCCGACCACGACCGCCGGCAGCCGTCGCCCGTGTCCCAGCACCACGCAGTTTCGCCCGGCGCACCGCCGACCCGCCCCGTCTCGCCGCTCGAGTCCGAGTCCGACACCGCCTCTGCGTATCTGGGCCGCTCTGTGAGCGTGGTCACGGCTAAGAGTGCGCGTATCCCGGTCGTCGAGGTCCACCCGGTGATTGCAGAGGAGCAGGCGTACCAGCAGTACCAGCATCAGTACCACAATCAGCAGCACCAGCCAGGCCCGTACGATGGCAACTTCCAGGACAGCACGGCTGGACCGTACGACGGCACGCAGTACCTTGGCTACGATCAACAGCCCCTGGACGCGGATCATCAGCAGCACCACGAGCAACAGCAATACTACCCTCCGCATCCCGCCAGGTACAATCAATATCCCCAAGAACAAGGACCCGGCCAAGCAACACAGTCCAGGAAGCACAACGACGACACGAAGAGGGAAGGTGTCCCCTCGTACCGGATATGGTCCGAGTGGATGTGGGAGATCATCACACTAGTCCTCATGTTCCTGCTGCTCTGGGCGGTCGCGATCCTGCTGACCATGTATAACGGCAAGCCGGTGCCCGACTGGGGCCGCTACATCAACCTCAACACCGTCCTCGCGCTCCTGTCGACCGTCTTCCGCGCGGGCCTGGTCGTCGTCATCACGCAGGTCATCTCGCAGCGGAAATGGAGCTGGTTCGCGGCCACCGACGACCACCACCACCCAAGCACGAGCAATCGCAGCAAGCCCCGGTCCCTGGGCCAGCTCCAGAAGTTCGACGACGGGTCGCGCAACTCGTTCAAGGCGGTCTGGCTATTTGGTGGCGTTCTCAAGGGCCGCGAGCTGGTCGCGCTCCTGGCGGCGCTCGTGTTCCTGCTGTCCTTCCTCGTGGGCCCCTTTGTCCAGCAGGCCAGCCAGACGATGAGCTGCTCCATGGTGACGTTCTCGAAGGACCAGGCGTCCGTGCCGATTGCAAAGTTTGTGCCACGGACGTCGGGATACAAGAGGGGTTATCCGGGCTCGATCGGGGTGCCGACGAGCGACACCATCGTGGCGCTGCTGTCCAGCGCAACGGTGCCAAAGGGGGTCGAGAACCGAGTCGGGTTTACCTGTAGCACGGGCAACTGCACATTCGTCAATGGCGATCCTGTTCTAGCAGATACTGGCCCGTCAGCAGAGAGTAATAACGTCGACAAGAACAGCAGGAAGAACAGCCGCCGGGACACGGCCCAGCCAGCAGCAGCAGCGTCAGACACCTCTGCCGACTCGACCCTCCCCTTCCTCGGCCACACTGTCGACGCGCCGCCCGGGACCACCGCATACAGCACCAGCTTCCTCTCGACGACGCACTCGACTGTCGGCCTGTGCCGGCTGTGCAGCAACATCACGTCGGCCGTGCAGACGCGCCGCCCAGTCCCGGGCCAGGGCCAGGGCGCCGGCTCCGGCGTGCTGCTCAACATGACGGTCAGCACCAACGCCTTTGCGCCCATCATCAACATGACGTCGAGCTGGGTGAGCCCAACTTCGGGCCGGTTCGACAGCATGGACTGGCTCGAGCCGGCGTACTACGCGCCCGCGACCGCCGCCGGCCGCGCGGCGCGGTACGCCCTGCACAACACGACGCTGCTCATGATCACGGACCCCTCGGGCAAGGGTGACCCGGCGATTCCCACGAGCATCCACCCGACCGACTACTTTGCCGCGGCGTGCCACCTGTACCCGTGCCTGCGAACGTTCTCGGCCGCCGTGGAAGGGGGCAAGCTCAGAGAGGTCGAGACCCCGGACAGCGTCAACGCCGCGGGCGACGAACTGCTGCGCGCGGAGCGGCAGATGTGGCCGGGCGTGATGGGCAACCTGTCGGGCCCGGCCATCGAGGGCTTGAGCATGTCGAGCATGAACTCGATGTGGCTTCCCCGGGGCGTCTTCTACGCGGCCGTCAAGTCGCCCTGCCGCGTGACGCTGCCGCCCGCTTCGCCGTCCGAGGGCCCCATCACGGCCGTGTACACGCGGCAGAACATGTCGACGGCCCCGAACGCGGTCGACATGGTGCTCTACCAGCCACGCATCCTCGACGAGCGGTTGCAACCGGTCGCCGTCGCCAGTGACAACAACAACAACAACGACGACGACAACGCCACCCCCTCGGAGCCAGACTACCACTGGGCCCAGTACCGCGTGCCCGAGGAGTGCATCTACCGGCACGACGTGCAGTTTCACATGGCCATCGGCAAGGTGATCCAGGACAGCATCCTCAAGGGGTCTTGCAAGAACGACCCGCGCACGGGGCCCGCGTGCTCGGCGCCCATCAACGTCATCGAGAGCGCCCTCGAGGCCCTCTACAACAGCGGCATGGCCAGCATGCGCACCGTCGACGGCTGGTTCGCCGACTTTGCCGACGCCCTGACCGCCCGGTACCGCTTCCAGTTCGGTGCCGGGGCATACAACGCCACCACCGACAACGCCGTCATGCCCATCGGCGAGCTCACCGGCGAGGTGTGGCTCACGGGCGTGTGCATCGCCGCCGAGCTCAAGTGGCTCGCGTTCCCGGCGGCGCTGTTTGTCGTCACGGCCGGGTTGCTGGCCTGGACGGTGCTCGGGACGTGGAGGCAGCGGCATCACCGCCCCGTGTGGAAGGACAGCGTGCTGCCGATGCTGTTCTACAATGCCAAATTTAGGGTGCAAGATGGCAGCGGGGAGCCGTATGGGCTGGTCAAGGGAGGACGGGCTGGAGGAGGAGGCGGAGAAGAAGAAGAAGACAAAAGTCCTGTAGCAGGGGTCGATGACTATCATCGGGCAGCAACCGAGATGCAGAACAGCTTGCTCGAGGCCAAGGAGATGCAGCGCATCGCGGACCAGACCATGGTGACGTTTGACTGGCCTGGCAGCTCGAACCGGAATGGAATCGAGGGCGGTGGGTTGAGCACAAGCACGGGCACGCACTATGATCCGCATAGCTATGGTTCTGTCGCAAACAACAATGGGCAGCAGGACGGCAAGGATGTTCCACGGCCTCGAAGGCCGTTCTTTAGGATGCCTTGGCAGCAGCGGCTGAGTGCCGACTCGCTGCTGGATCAGCATGGCCATCGGTAGCATCTGTAGTCAGGCTCAATTGAAAGAAAATGAAACATTGTCCACGAACAAATGTTGCTCCAAGCTCCATGGTTGATGCTTCGCCGGATGAGTTGATGGACTTTGGAAAGCAAACTTGCCATGGGTCAAAGACACCTGTGTCATGGCCAATGGAAAACGAAAGCGACGGAGATTTGCTTGCCCTGGCCCAGCAGGTGAAAAAAACAATGCATAACAACGCTTTGCTTTCGTTGTTCCACACTCGCCCAGGTAGCAACAATGGCCAGCCACGTCCAAGACGATCTACACAAGCCTGAGCTCAGAGTTGCAGCCAGGCATCCCTATATCTAGCTGCCGTGGACCATGAGCGTCCTGCAGGGCGCAGTCTCTGAGAGGTCAAGAACACTAACTGCCTCGCTGGATTTTGTCAATGGGACGCACAGCGAGAGACAGGAATGATGCCTCGATCACTGCGAAGCACGTCTGGTAGGCATCCATTGCCATCCGATGATGATGTATATCTTGCAACTTCAACAGGTGGCGCAGGGACGACTCGACGTCCAAGTCGCTGTAACACAGCACCATCACGACTTGAGAACAGCCGCCAGTGTCCAGACAATCACCACCAACAAATCAGATCGAGAACACAGAGTCTCGCGAGGTATCCTCGCGGCCGTCTGTCTTCACCACGTATTGGTCTTGCCTTTGAGAGCCCGACCCAGCCACAGCTTCAAACTCCTGCCACCTCGTCCACCATGCCACGCCAGCCTAGACGAGAAGGGGACCATTTCCCGAACCTCTCCATCACATTTGTAGAGCTGCCCTACGACGAGGTCCAGCAGGATCAATCCTTCAACGTCATTGTCGACACCACGAAGATAGTGAGCAAGTTCATCACCATCCAGTTCCTGCTGGAGGGCAACCAAGTCCTCTTGCTTGACCGCCCACGCGTCGACGACACCCTCGTCAATTTCGAGAACATCAGTTTCTCCACGACGGGCGAATACACCATGAAGGTGTTTGTCAGCAGAATCAAGAGCGCCTGGGAGACGGGCGGGACTTGTGAGATGGAGAAGGCGTTTACTGTTGTTGACAAGCGTGAGAGCTAGATCGCTGTGGGAGCAGCGGCACCTCCGAGTTGGGGCGGGGATAAGCGCAGATGCGCCTGGTTTTGATCTTGAAGGAAATGGCCGCAAGGGCACACGTTTATATTGGCGGATGACATGCTGATGCAACAACTCCAACGTCTGGGGGACTTTGAGAGTAGCAGCCAAATCAGCCTCTGTGGACGACTGACAGAAGGGCTTGGGTCTGTCACCTGGATGATTGTCAATGGCACAACCGAATCATTGTAGCGTTTGATTTATGAATACGACAGTGGTTTGTGTGTGGATCTTTTCTGTAGGGCCACTAAGTCCTTGCTTTGTTGTGCTACGTGACAAATGGAACGATAACGTGTTTTCTGTGCGTTCGCGCCTAATTTGAAGAGCCTGCAAAAATCAAGGTTTTCGCTGGCAAGGCTTCGAGGCGGGCAGCAGCTCAGCAATGTGAGCTTACCCGACATCGAACAACTTGTACTCGGAGGGCGGTTCATTGTTCTCTCCAGGATCAAATTGAGCCAACTGGCCATCTTCGATAGCTTTCTTGCGTCTCGCAGCTTGACAATAAATGCAAGTGGATCATCCGGGCCCATTATCTCACCCAGATCTTTCTTGGGACCGAGACCTTCCTCATGAATAGAGGTTCTGAATGCTAGAAATTACACCCTTGAACATACCCAATCTCGATCATCCCAAAGCAGCCTGCCGGCCGTCAACGTGGCGCAGGCGCGATAGCCTAATCTCCCCTCAATGCTGACAAAAGTTTCGACGGATGCGTTGCTCCGGAACCCCAAAGGGGCATCTACCGTGCGCAATTGTCCGAAATTGACAGGTCAGCTGTAGCACGGCCGGGGGTTCAATGGCTTAGAGGCCTCATCGACAACGACAAGCCTTCGAGATTGGTTCTACACACCACGCCTGCAGCCACATCATTTGCGCCAAGCACCCAGGCTTCTACTATTGCCTGCCTCTCAGGCATGCCGAAATGGGCTCGAACGAGACGAACCCCGCAAACACTCGGGAGAAATGCGCGCCAACGGCACGGTGGCTGATTCGCATATTCACGAATGGGATGAGCGCGAAGTACACCATAAAGCTCATCACTGGTCACGCAGATACCAGAATTGGACATGTTGCCAAATCAGGATTGCGCCAGGACACGCCGCGAGGCACACATCAATGAGGCTGGGGCTCGGGGACGAAGGAATGAGGATGGGGTAGATCCTCTGCGGGTATTAGGTTGCCGGGAACCCTGCAAGACATCTCCGCGTGGTACCGTATACCACTTTCGAATTGATCATTAAATATAAATACTGCAAAAAGTCTACAAGGGTAAGCCTACAGGGAGAAACGATCTGCACACCGTCGCAAACCCTCTAGTGCTCCAAAAGATCAGGAGCTTGGTTGTTATTGCTGGAACAAAGAAGAGACATCATGGTCCGCCAACTTGCCGTGATCGCCGCCTTGGCCACCGTTGCAGCGGCTGGAATCCTCAGCGACTGCACCAATATTGACTTCCGCGAGAAATGGCTGGTGGCCGACTGCCTCACGGGCAAGGATGCCTCGACACGCATAAACAGCGCCGTGTTCATTGGAAACAAGCTGACCAACAATGACGGCAATCTACAGGTATTCGATTTCCTTCGGCAGCTTGGCGCTGTTGATACATGCTGACCACAGCTTGCTCATGCAGTGGCAAGCGAAGTATGTCTCGTCACAGCACGCCCACATGGCCGGAAGGACAAACACGACGGAATCTCTGAGGTCATGAATCCTGCTGACGAACAGCTTATAGTGGCGGCTATGCCACCTACTGCCGCGATTGCACGTTTGCCGGCACCACATACACCTGCAGCTGCCGTCCCAACTTTGGCCAGTACAAGTGGACAAGTATCAATCTCGGTAGGCACCGTATCTCGCTCTGGCCCCACTGCACGGCATGCAGCAGCAGCAGCTACCTCCACTGACACTTATACCTCGATCATCAACAAGAGGAACACATCGCCAACTACAACGGCTTCCTCCTCTCCAACCTCACCGGCCCCGCCCGCACCCCCTCTCGTGCCAGCACAGTCCCCGTCCCGGCCTCCTTCTCCTACGATCTGCGTTACGCCGCGACAAACTGCACCTCCCCCGAGGACTACTACGAATGCAACGACGACCTCCCCCTCGCTCAGCCGGGGGACTGCGCCAACGGCGGCGGCCTCTCGCTCAACTACGCCGTCGACTGCTTCAAGAACCGCTGGTACTTCCCCTGGGAGGTGTACACGACGTTCCAGAGCCTGCAGCCGGGCGCCGCGGTGAGCGGCGCGTGGGAGTTCACCGTGTTCGGGGACCTGGAGTGCAGTGGTGCGCCGCTGGGCAAGGCGCCAGAGGGGGCGTGCAGCAAGTTTGCCGAGTTTGGCGTCGGCGTCAGGGTCGAGCCGCTGTTCAACGGGGACTGGCGTGTCTAGGTGTGGCGGCACTTGGCGTTGCAGCGCTGTTGCGGAGGGATTGTCGTGTCGTTGAAGAAGAGGTTGGGTTTGGGTCCTGGTGCTATCTTGATGGTGGACTGCCGCGGAAGGTTTGGGACCGAGAGACACCGGTGTTTGACCGTTACTCCATGCCGAAGTCGAGCTTGGCTCGGGCCATTATCCACGCCTTGAAGAAATGTTGTGTCCAAATGAATTTGTGATGTGTTACATGATGCTTCACATGCCACTTGAGGCAAAGTGAATGTGTTCGGATGGTGTTGCCGCGCCCGCGAACATTAAGCATGGTGTACCTCCTGCACGAGCATCGAGAGACATGAGTTTCCAGCTGAGCGTCCAGCGTCTCCGCCTACTGACTCGCCCGTATCGAGCTTTATCTATCCACAAAGGCTGAAGGCCTCGGATCCGGGTACCCCTGCCAGGTGCGAGGTATCCGAGGCAAGAGCCTCCCGGCTCCGATCAGGTGACATTCTCCGGTAGATCGTGGTGAGCGGACGGCCTTGCCCAGGTCGTGCGGTGTGAACGCCGGCCCGCTAATACACCGTAGCGAGCAACCCGGAAGCCCGGCCCAGCCTCACTTGGACAAAATCAGACGGCAGCATGACCGTGGTCTAGTAGATGCCTGTCCTTCACTGGGCAAGCGGAGCCGGTGCTCGAGGGGTATACAAGCTAACAGGGAGGCACAGCAGGGCGGACAAGCGCAGGGCAGAGGAAGAACGGTGTGGCAGCAGATCAGCAGCAAGGACATGGATTGTTTCCCGCGCGCGGCAGGAAGGGGGCAAAAGTCGACAGACAAACCCATAACAAGTCTGTGCACGCGGCGTTCTTGTGGTGGTTTTTTTTTTTCCTTCGTCCGAACCATGGTTTCAGGTTTGCCGAGTGCCACAAGAAGCGAAAAAGCCCGCCTTAGCTTGAGGGACCCTTGAGCGAGGCGGACCTCACGTATACAGAGGCGGAAGGCGCTCGTCTTGCTTTGTCATCGAGCCGGCTGGTAGTAAGAGCACCGTCCTTCGAGCCGGTGATTACTCGACTCGAGTAATTGAACAGCGAGGAGGAACGTGTTAGTTGCTGCTAAATATGGCCGCATCCCGCCCCCGCCATGCGGGCACATCACTGCGGCAAACGCCGTGTGGAAATGACATCTCCACGAGTCCAGCAGAGCCATCACGACCTGGCCCATCGAGTCATAAGCTGGGGGCGGCTGGTCTATTTCCAAGTCTCTCAGTGCTACCTTGGCCAACTGACCGACTCCCGGCCGGCCCCCAAAGAGTCAAATAGTCAGCTGCAGGCACGCGGCTGCCATCCTCAATCGGGCATTGGCGCGCAAGCTACCGGATATTACCTCGATGAACCACAGCTGAAGGTGGCTTGCTGGATCGGACCCTAGGCTAGGGGTGCCCGCACGCCACGAAGTGCGGGGTGGAGAAGCACGGGAGATCAGCTGCTGCACAACTGGGAGATGCTCAGAGGTGCTGCGAGGACGTGCAGGGTTGGCCCCTGGTTGTGAGCTGATCAGGCGAAGGTGGGAGGGGTCAGGTCAGGTATAACGATTTATTTATTTTCCGATGGCATGAGGAGGGGTTAAGTGTGCGAGATGTGGTCTACTAGCAAGACCGTCCTCATATCTACGAGTTGGTGCGAGAATCTTGCAAGAGAGACAGAGGCTTCAATATGTGCAATCTGCTATTTCGCTCGGCCAAGTCCGCCACGGGAGATCAACGTCGCTTAAGCTTTGTGCTTGCGTCTGCCAGCTACAACAACAATCTTACGGTGCCAGACAGACCTGCAGCTGCTGTCCCGGAGGGCATGCTGTCAGTCCAGGCACGGCCCCTTGCGGGTGGGCCATGTCAACAACGCTAGCTCAGCACCAGCTCGGCCGCCCTGCAATTTGCCCTAGCGCGGCTGCTCGGCCCCAAGCTCCCCTTTTGCTGTCATAATGGTTCGAGTGCTGCACCGCTAGCCAATTCCAGCATCACGAGGTGACTAGCCAGGAACACACACCTGATCTTTCTGGACCGACGCGGGCCGGAAGACAGCCTGGCGGCCTGTGGATTGCACCGCTCGTTTCAAGAAGGCGAGAGCCGTCTGTGAGCTCTCTATGTTTCAGCTCGCCACCCACCTGCGGGCAGCTCGACAGACGCGTGGGTTGCCATTTTGCCAAGCATCAGGTCGGCAATTCATGCCCTTTGTCAAGGAGAAATTGTGCAAGTCGTTGTGCGTGAGATCGTCGAGACGGGATGGCTACCCGGCTGGAGGCAGGCAGGGCCTCGGCACGACCATGACTGATGCTTGGCCCTGCTCAGCGGCGACCTCCCGCATGTTCCGACGCGGCCCAACTTCCGAGCCAATGATCACGAGCAAGGACTGCATCAAGCATACTAGACGATAGACGTGCATAGGGCGATTGCCGCGATGAGGCCCAGGGTCTCGTGGCACCTAGACCAAGCCCAAATGGCACTTCACGTCTCGGCCGGGCCTTGTTGAATCGAGACCATCCACAGTCCGCAGATCCCCCAAAGGTGTCAGATCTTCTTTGACGACGCTGGCGTGATCGTCGCTCAGCATCGGCATCCAGACGCGTCCAAAGCCGTGCCGCAGAGACTGCGCGGGTGTCGTGAATGCTCGGACGGTACTCCACCAGCGATCAATTTCCACGACGGGGACGCCACAATGGACTAGCGGTGCCCCTGGACCTCTACTAGCAGGCATGGCCGCGGCTTGCCGTCATCCACCCTCAAGCTGCCGCTCGCATGCAACGACTTCATCATTCAGCAGCCAGATTACTACAGCGCCTTTGCGTGCCCCCAGGACACTCGACTTGTCTCCCTCGCGCCACCCCAGTCCGGGCGTCACGCTACCTGGCGACGCCTAGATCTTAGCGCTCAGGTGGAAGAACGCCGACGATGCTCGGGCGATTTGGCCCGATACCCGCCGCCACCGGCCAAGAGGTTCTCGACTGACACACGTCAGGTGGTGTAGTCCAGCTAGCACGCGGGCGGAGCAGGCGAGTATCTCAAGTAGCCGCAAGAGATGATATCCACACATACACACGGACAGGCTCGGCCGGGTGTGTCCAGAATCACGAGTCTGGGCCGTCTACTCCCTCTTCCAGCATATAAGTCCACGACCGCCGATCCCTCGGATGCTTCTACTTCCCTCTCTTGTCCAGATCACTCCGTCCTGTTTTCACAGTTTCCCTCATTAGTCTCTCAAGACACTCTTTCCTACCTAATAGAGCAGTGCTCACTCACACTCACTCGTTGACTTACACCGACGAGAAGAACCAAGCCATAGCTGGCCTAGACTCGACCTTCTCGCACATCACACTCACTCAACCACAACCTCACACACAACATCACAATGAGACTCCTCACATCAGTGACGGCACTCGCCGCCGTGGCCTCGGCCATCGCGGTCCCCACTACCGACATGGAGAAGAACAAGGCCGCCAAGTACGACGTCATGAGAATCGCGGCTCGCACCTTCTGGCCCGGCTCCTACGCGACCAGCGGCGGCTACCCTTCTACCGGCGGCTCTTCCTCCGGCGGCAGCGGCAATGGCGGATATCCTAGCAACGGCGGATACCCCAGCAATGGCGGCAACCAGGGAGGCAACGGTGGCCACCAGGGCGGCAACCAAGGCGGATACCCTTCCCAAGGTGGCGGTAACGGCGGCCACCAGGGAGGCAACCCGCCCAAGGGAAACCCTCCTTCCGGCAACCACGGTGGTTACCCCTCGAACGGTGGAAACGTCTCTCCCCCCAAGACCAACCCTCCCAAGACCAACCCTCCATCCGGTGGCAATGGCGGATATCCCACAAACGGTGGTGGCAACTCGCCGGTTCCTGGCCCGCCTAAGACCAACCCTCCTGCTACCAACCCCCCATCTGGTGGCAATGGTGGTTATCCTTCAAACGGTGGTGGCAACTCGCCAGTCCCTGGTCCGCCTAAGACCAACCCTCCTCCTGCTACCAACCCTCCTTCCGGTGGTAACGGCGGATACCCGACTACGCCAACCACTGGCGGCAAGGACTCGCCTGTCCTTGGCGGCAACGGTGGCAGCTACCCCCAGGGTTCTTGCCGCAAGTGCTCGGCCTCCAACCCCATTGGCGGCATTGTCGACCAGCTCTACGCCGGTGTCAACATCGATCTTGCTCTGACTGCGCTCCTCGGCAACAAGGATCTCGCCAAGTGGATCCTCGAGGCCTCTGTCGATGTCGACTTCCTCCTCAAGGTCGACTCCCTCTGCGGCAAGGCCGACTTCCTCGCCAAGCTCGACCTGCTCCTCTCTTCTGATGCCTTCCTGAACACCTGTGCCGGTGCTGCTGTTAATGCCAACATCAACGCCCAGATCGGTATCCTCCTCGCCAATGCCAAGTTCATGAAGCAGCTCACCGCCTACCTCTCCAGCGGTAGCTTCCTCACGCGCTTCACTGCTCAGTTCTCTGCCAACTTTGACTTTGGCGTCAAGTTCTCTGCCTGGCTCGGCAACAAGAACTTCATCAAGCTGCTCGTCGCCGTCTTCGGCCAGGGCTCTGTCGGTGTCAACTTGGGTCTCCTGCTCAACGACGCCACCATCATCGCTAAGCTGCGCGCTCTCCTCGTCCTCAAGGCCGGTTTCGGTGCCAACCTCGGCGCTCTGCTCGCTGACGGCAACTTTGTCGGCCACGTCTGCGGCGTCCTTGGCCTCTCTGTCGATCTCTCTGCCAAGATTAAGGCGCTCTTCGACCTCAAGGTTGGCTTCGCTGCCCAGCTTGAGGCCATCCTGGGCGTTGCCTTCAAGGGCAAGTTCTCTGCCTTCCTCGGCTCCGGCAGCTGCGCGTCCATCCTCGTCAACTTCTTCGGCGCCGGCTCCTTCCACTCTGCCTGCTCCGGCTACTTTGGCGGCGGTGCCTTCATCAAGACCTGCGCCGGCCTCTTCCTCGACGCCCAGTTCGCCGCCAAGTTCACCGGCTTCATCCAGGCCTGGTTCTCCGCCAAGGTTGACGTCTACACCCTGTGCGGCAACATCTTTGCCGACCTGGGCTTCACAACCAAGGCTCTGGGCCTGCTCAAGATCTCGGCCGGCGTCTCCGTCAAGATCTCTGGTCTCCTCGGCGGCGGCGGCTTCCTCAAGGTCTGCAATGGCTTCTCCGCCGGCAAGCTTTCCGGCGGCGGTTTCCTCGGCGGCCTCCTCGGCACCGTTTCCGGTGTCGTCAAGGGCCTCTTTGGTGGCCGTCTCGTCTAAGCTAGACGTGCCAAAAGCAAACTCCCTCGTCGGGCGACAATAATGAGATTTCAGGGTGCCCGTGTAATCAGGGAATGGAAACGAGGGCGAGCATCATGACGACGAACACAGCAGCGTCTGCATTTTTTCATGTGGTGCCGGACCAGGTAAAATGGATAAAAAGGTCTGACACTTGGCAGAGTACGGAGGGGCAATATCTCCTCTCGAGCCGTTAATTCTATAATTCTTAATATATATTTATGTTGATCCTGAACAAACTCACTTGAGCCAATGTGAATATTTGATGTGCAGTTGCCCATGCGTGGAACTTGTTGGACCTTGCATTGTGGTGGGAATGCCGCATTGTGACCACTGAAGCTTGAGCCCGGCGCGTCTCTTGAGACGACTCGTATCCAGAGTCAAGAGACATTTCAATGCCCATCGCATCAATCTCGGAGCACAAGAAACATGGCCGAATGGAGCTGCCGATTCCCTAGCCTATCGTATCAGGTCATTTCCGATGCAGTGGTCCATTTGCCTGACGTTGACCAGTTCGTGGGCCTGGAAGACGAGCAAGTCATGCTCGTGTCATGCACTACCTGATAGCGGTAGGCTGGGCCATCTCTCTTGCCTATTCGGTCCAGCCCAGGCGGGGAACCCTGGCTCTTGGCGACGCATAGCATGTCCACAGGGTCCTTTGTGCTGACGGGCGCGGTGAAGAAAGCGTATGAGCGATAAGCATCGACAAGGGCCCTGGCGATGTCAGCAACTTGTGCAAGAATTCTTCTGTAGGGGGCGCTGGTAACATTCGAGCAGGCTTGCTACCTTTTCCTTTCTTCTTCCTCCTCCCGCTGTTCTTCACCTAATTCGCCGCGATCCATTCCGGTCACCGCTCTGCTTCTGCGCCGTCACCATGCGCACATCCTCACTGCTCGCTCGTGCGGCGGCAGGCTGCCTTGCAACAGTCATGTTGCTACAGACAGTCCGAGCCGCGGCAACACCGCTCTACAAGCGCTACGTGACCGAGAGGGACCAGGTGACATATCATGTCGTCGAGAACGAGGCGCGAGGGGCGAAGCTCGAGTTCGTGCACAACTCGGGCATATGCGAGACGACGCCTGGAGTAAATTCGTACTCTGGGTATTTGTCTGTGGGGGAGAATATGAACATGTTCTTCTGGTGCGTACTCAAGGGACTTTATATCCTCAATCCCGGTGTTACGGCGTGGTGACATACAGAGCCAAATCGAGGGGCGTCGTCAAGCAAGCCAAGGTCATCGACATGAATCTGCCTCGCTGACGTTCCAGGATAGGTTCTTCGAAGCCCGCCACAACGCCGACCAAGCGCCCCTCGTGGCGTGGTTCAACGGCGGCCCGGGCGCCTCGTCGATGCAGGGGCTGTTCAAGAGCCACGGGCCGTGCCAATTCTACAACGGCGATCAAGAGCCCTCGCTCAACCCGCACAGCTACAACGAGTTCGCCAACATAATCTACATTGACCAGCCCATCGGCACGGGTTTCTCTTATGGCTCAGGGTGCTGCAACTCGACCGAGACCGCAGCCGTCTATGTGTGGGAGTTTTTACAGGTGTTTTATGCCACCTTTTCCGAGTTCACGGGGCGGGAATTTGGAATATTTGCCCAGGTCAGTCAATCCCCGAGTCAAAGGCCGCGACAACGACAGAAATCACGCTGACATTAAAGATCAAAGTCCTATGGTGGCCGCTATGCCCCAGTGTTCGCCGACTACATCCTCACCCAGAACGCCGCCATCACTCAAGGCGCCCTCTCGACCGCCGCCGCAACGCCAATCAACTTAGTAGCCCTCGGGCTCAACGACGGCATCTTCGACCCAGCAATCTGGTACCGCTCCTGGATCGACTACAGCGCCGTCAACCGCTACCGGCCGCTCGCCAACGCCTCCCTCGTCTCCGAGCTGACCGCCTACTACGACACGGAGTGCAAGCCGCGGCTCGACGCGTGCTACGCCACCGGCTTCGTAGCCGACTGCGCCGGCGCAATGAACCCGTGCCAGGCCATCAGCACCAAAGTCACCACGGCCAACGCGGTGGAGCCGTTCAGCAGGAACGACATCCGGCAGGCCGTAGACGGCATCTTCCCGCCCGAGACGTACGCCGCGTACCTGTACCGCGAGGACGTGCAGCGCGCGATCGGCGCGCGCAAGAACTACACGCTTAGGGCGATTGATGTGCTTCTCAACGTCACGGGGTCGGGAGACTGTACGCTCTCCTCGTTTTCATTGCTCCCCCGGCGTCCCTCCTTCGGCTATGCTTCGAGACTATGAAAAAGGAAAGGTGGGAATCACATGCTAACCATGGGGTACAATAGTTTCGCGTCGGTCTTCGACGTACATCCCGGGCCTGCTTGACGCCGGTGTCAAGGTCATCATCTACACGGGCGACGCAGACTGGACCTGCAACTGGATCTCCAACAAGCGCGAGGCCGAGTCGATCGTGTGGCCTGGGCAGGCAGAGTTCACGGCGAAAGAGCTTGCTCCATACACTGTAGATGGCGTGGAGAAGGGTCTCATCAAGACTGTCGAGAATCTGTCGTATATGAAGGTATACGAGTCTGGGCATGACTTGGCATATTTCCGTAAGTACATCTCCACTGCTGTCGATGCTTTGAAAATGGAGCAAGTATGCCGATTGTGAGAGATGAGGAGCTGGGCTGACAGTAGCGCCGCTGAATAATAGAGCCGGAACTTGCCCTGCAAGTGATGAGGCAGCTTTTTGGTGGCAGCTTCGTCTCGACATAAGTCATAGGATGGACTGAGAGGGTACATACCGCCCACGGGCTAGTTGCTCGTTGCAACGTAGAGCATACCATGGTGAAAAGAACAGCAGCAACAGCGGTGATTAAGGAAAGTCCACATTACTTCTAAAAGCCCTGAGAAATACATCATCTATAGCCGCCCATCATTAGTGCAACAATTTAAGAAAGCATAAAAGCTCTAATCGTTACCCCAGTTCCCCGCCCGCTCACTAGTTAGTCCCGCTCCACCAAACTCCGTATCCCAAGGATGTATCCGAGAACCTAGCCGACATGACTGCCTGCCTGCAAACCCCAGCGGTAGAGAAGTCTTACTCCCTCCAAGCACCGCCTCGGATGAGGTCCCTCGCCTGGTTCCTGCAAACCGGCTGCCGGTTGGGGTTCGCGTAAAAGTAGCTGTACGAGAACGTGAACCTGTTGCCGTTGGGGTCCTTGCGGCCCACGTTGAGCGCATACTTGGCCTCCCACTTTTGCGTGTAGAAGGCGCAGATCTGGCCCATGCTGTTGCCGACGCCCGTGGGGGTCTTCTTGGTGACCAGGTACGTGCCGAAGGCGCCGCACTGAGGGGTCGTGCCCTTGCGGGGCGGGTGGGCGAGGTTGTACTTGGTGATGGCGTCGCAGGCGGTCGCGCACAGGCGCGGGTCGAATGGCTGGTTCTGGTAGAACTTGTAGCCCAGGTACGACCAAGTGCCGGCGCAGTCGCGAAGGGGAGCGTTGAGCGCAGCGCCACCAAGGCTGAGGGGGGGCAGGTAGCCGTCGACAGGACCGCCGGTGAGGTAGGTAGTGTAGGCGTTGGAGCCGGCAATGGCGACGTGGAACTTGGAGCGCCACTGGCCAGTGTTGGTGGCGGTGCTGTTGTCCAGAGGAACACCCCAGAGCGAGCACTTGATGTTGGCAAAGGCAGTTGGATTCTCGCAACCCTTCCCTGGGGAGATGACCGGATCACGCTCGAAGAAGACGTTGAAGGCCAGGCAGCCAGCCTTCTCGTTGCACTTGGCCGCGCAGGCTTCAACGTCGTAACCAGTCTCGAGAACGCTGTAGCCCAGGTAAGCGCTGGCGCTGTTGGCTCCAGGGGCGTTCTTGAAGTTGGCAAAGTAGCCGGCCGGGGCTTTTGCAGCATTGGCAATTGCGGCGATCTTGGGATCGGCCAGGAACTTGCTGTAGGTGGACACATTGATGCCGTAGACATTGCTGATGGTGGGCTCGGCGGCACAGGCCACCGGGTTGGCTCGCCGGAGCGGGCTGTCTGTAGCCTCGGCCGGGGACTCCGTAGACTCCGTGGATGTCGATGGGGAGTCGGTGGGCACGGACTGGGAGTCGGTGGGCGTGGCGGTCTCGGCCTCCGTCTCCTCATCCTCGTGGATGGAGAATGGGTGCGCGAAGATGTCGTCACTCACGGACGAAAGTCGCGTCTCGATGGGGATGATAGGCACGACCTGCTCAGTCTGACCAGGCGTAATGGAAGCGGGAGTGGCCTCGGGGAAGTTCTCGAACGCAATGTCATCAGGTGCCGGCGAGCTGGTCGGGTCCTGGGCTCTGGCGGCAGCCACGAGCGCCGATATGAAGAGGTAAGATCTCATGGTGGCGCGGCAGGAATTGCTCTATGAGGGTTGCTGAAGTCTCGCACAAGGTGGGATGGTTCTGAGTGGAGTAACGATTTTCAGATCTGGTCTTGTCGCGGAGGGGAGTTGGGCCTTAAGTATTGGTCGCGCAACCGCTTCACCACCAGTGGTTGTTGTGGTTGAGTCTCAGGAATCACGATCTGGACACCGATTTTGCAGAGAGTGGGAACCACCAACCACTGAGAGGGATGTCAACACGGCCATGCAGGGCGTCGGTACAGTCTTGGCTTGGGAAGAGATGTACCTTGCAACAGATAGGTCTAGCCCTAGACACAAATCCCCGATGGGCGAACCGAGCGCTGGCAGTGTCGCAGGCGAGCTCAGAAGCCCGTGCTGTGTGCCGAGTCCTCCACGATCATCCGAGAACCGCGAAACGGAGGCCTTGTCGTCTTTGGTCATTGTTCCGAGAGGGCTGAACTGGTCCCAGCGCGCAAGATGCCAGACACCACAAGTGTCTCGTCTCAGAGCCTCTCGCTAGAGAGCTTGCTGTCAGGGAGGCTTCTTGTCTCTGATAAGCGGGCGTAGGACCTCTGCGTCCCGTGCCCGCAGTCTGTCTATTGGTTCACTTGCTTTTTCCACGGCACAAAGCCCTGCACCAACACGGCTTCCGTGGAGATGGGCCAAAGCTGCAAGATGGTGCTGGAGATGTTGGCTCCCAACATGAGCTCAGCTGAGTGTCTTCCATCTTTCTCAGTACTTGTGGCTTGACAAGGTGCTGCGAGTCTTGAATCCAATATTGGTGAACACTCACAAAGGCTGAGTGGGAGTGAGCCAGCCAGCCAGGATGGCGCCAAGGTCCAGACCAAGCTGAGCCAATGGGAGCATGCATGTCTCCCAGCCCCCCAGCCACCAGCCAGGCACGCTCCTCTGCATGACAAGCTGTGGTGAGGTTAGAGGCCTGGTTCCCAGGGATACTTCAGTACCCCGTTGAGCCGCATCGGCTCAAGGACACACACACACAACCACCTCTGTGAATGGTGGCTTGAGGCACTGTCTCTCCCGCCCTGCTGATTCCATCATAGCCACGTAGAGGCCACCAAGTCTCGGGCATGCGGCACCCACCAAACAAGCTCATCGGAAGTCAGGAAGCGGCTCAGGGGGCAAGGGCTGAGTTTAAAGCTATTGTTTAAATTCCACACGACCTTGGGGGCCATGCCGGCCTGGTCAAGCACCGGCATAAATTAGCGGTGTGGAATTAAAGCGAGCTGCCGAGACCCTCTCACCCTTTGTAGGGGCAGATATCAGCGGAGGAAAGTTGTAAAGACAATACACACTCACAGCCCAGACTGGGCGGAAATATCCCATGCTGGACAACCAAACTCGTGGCCAATACTCCTGGACGGCCTATGCTCCGCAGAAGCAACCAAGTTCGCGGATCAGCGCAATAGTCGATTGCCAAGCCGGCAGCAAGGCGACGAAGACATCCCAATCAGGAGGCGCGATGGCCAAAACTGGACACAGCATCCGAGTTGCTCTTCTCAAGGGTTTCTTTTTGCTTTCGAGAAGAACAATGCTCGGCTCCGAGAAGGAAAGGCTTTGGGGGCCCGTCCTCCATGAGACTGAACACGGTGTTGTGAGCCCGATAGCGCGGCTCGCATGAACCACCATAGCCTGTCCGATAAGCTGTCCAGACTGGAATGAGGAAAAAGCAAAGCGCAGGCCTGGACCCATAGTGACAGGATCGTTTGTAATGAGCACCACGTGTAATTGAGATAAAATAGCAAGTTCTCCAGCTGCAGCGATTGCACGACTGGCATCGATCAACGGCAGCACACGCCTAGAACCATGATTCAGGGGTCATGGCTAGCATGAACCACATGCAAGTCTGCAACCAAACGATATCACTAGCTGAAGAGCAGTGTCTGGCGAGGCCGTTCTCCAGTCAGCCTTGTGCTATAGAAGAATGTGACATCTACCTAATGCTACCCGACTCATATAACGATCGTCGTAGACCGTAAGCTGTATGAGGCCTAGGCTCAGCCTCATTCGGTTGCCAGGCCCGGATCTCAGGTCGGACTCAGCCCTTTGCCGTCACCTTCCGATTGCCGCAAGCCACGTGCAGATGCTGCACGGGCCTTCATCACAAAAGACTCATGGGCTTAACCCTCTTGGGAATGTCTCTCAGGCTTCTGACTCCTGTCTGTTGCCTGCCGTGGGAAGCGCGATCCCTGATCACCCTGCATGAAGGAAGGGACGATGGCAGTGCAGAAGTGTCGCTCTTGAATCAAGGGCCAGATCAATCTGCGGGAACCTGCGCAGGCTCAGCTGTCAAGGTGATTCCAGGCCGAGACTCCGGCGAACCCCGTACAAGCGCGCTGAAGTTGGGCAGTGCAGTCACATGACATCTTTAGTCCTGAGGCTGTGGTGTTCTGTCAACAGACATGCATGCTGTTCCTCCTGGATCAAGCTGAATGTACCTACTTGGCCAGCCCATGTCTCTGTGGTTCTCTTGATGCGGACATCACCCGCCAGAGGCACGTGGCAAGTTCTCCCTCAGCTGGACCTTGTCTTGTCATCTTTCTCAAATTCCATTGCCATCCTATGCCACCCAGCCTCAAAGAACAGCTGCCCGCCACGCCAAAAGACAAATGGAACAATGCCACTCATTCGAGACTCCCATCTCAACCGATTTCTCGGGACAAGCCACCACATGGAGGCCGTCGTACCTGCGCTGAAGCCTGTGTCAGGCTCGGGTGCGACACGGAAATGAGCCAAGGGAGACGAGACAACATCATCCCAGGTCCAAGGGGACACGAGACATTTCTTGGTTTACATCACGTGGCCGGGAGGAGGCCGTATGTGCTCTCAGCTTCACGAAAGGCCAGAGACACGTGATCTTCTGGCATACTCAGTGATCGTAGATGCATCTTCGCTGGGGCGCGGGCAACAAATCGGAAATCGGAGAATTGGTGTTACAACTCTTTGAGCTCATCTACGCTGTAGGGCGGACAATAACCCTCAGGGATTGAATCTGCTTAGGCTCGGGATTCGTGTCCACTCGGACGAGGACACACGAAAATACAGCCCTGTTTGGACTCACCAACTGGAAAATGCTTGAAGCATCAGACTCGACCTGGATACAGAAAGTATAGTTGTCCTTCGCGACCGCGCTCGAGGTGACTTTGTCAGCGTCCAGGTGCTCGTCGTTGATGTTGGTGGTGGCACGGACTCGACCACGCTTTTGGTAGGCACATATGGGAGCTGAGTTATGGCACACACTGGAGTGACGGCTCGCAGCCGAAGAGAAGAGTGCCATCATGTAGACCTTACACCGCGGAGTTGTACCACACACCTTCACTCGTGTTCCTCTGCCTGCTCGTCGTGGCGTTTCGTGCTGGAGTTACATCATGCGCTGGAAAAACGCATTTCGAGATGGTTTTGATGTTTCAGGTCTGTGAAGACTTTTCTTTCAAGCCTCTGCCTCAGCATGCACAGTTGGTCCCGTGCATTAGCAGGGACGGGGACAGAAGAGTTTACGGCAGGCCTCCACAGTTTGAACAAACCTGCTGTCCGTGGCGAGAATATCAATGGCCACTGATGGGAGACGAAAATAACCAAGAGCGTTGTGGATCACTAAGACACTCGATCAGAAATGATCGCAACGAGCTGGACCCTATGCGAAACGAGCCTAAAGCACGCTTCGGAATGACCACTGGAGCCCCGTGGCTCACGCCCTGCCTGCTCCGTCCATCCGTTAACCAGACTTTTGGGTGGTGGTAGTATTCAGGACCAGTCATATTTACTGTAAGGTGCTGAGTCCATCAGCGACGGCGGTATCATCTGGGCATGGTAGAACTCGGTATTGGGCAATGTTTAAAGCTAGGGACGTCTCGTCACAGCGCTGAGCGTCCTGGATACGCATCTTCGTGCTCCTGTGGTGCTTGACTCGCCGCTCCGTTCCTAGTTGCAGAGCTTGCTCTTCGGTACCTTCCTTTTCTTCCAGTCTTCCAAGATGCGGGATCTAAACGTCATTATTGCCATGGAAGGAGGTGAATAAAGTAGACCTGATACGTTCGGCGAACTAGCTTCTTGTCTGGGAGATGCTGTTCCCGAATAGAACACGGAAGAGCAAGTCTGCGCATATATTTCACCATACCCTTGCTACAAGCACGCGACAACCCTCCGTGTTCGGCAAGCCGGCGTCCGATTTGGCTGTCGAGAGCAACTAACTCAAAGGCAAAGCTTTTGCACGAGTCGGATGTCAGTGCCGCGGGGACCAGACTTGTCAACGGCAGTAAGGAGCAAAATCAACCGATCGCTGCCCAGTCATATGCTGTAGGGGAATCGAGGGTTCACATGAAACGTGTCAACTGAACGCAAAGTTGTCGTGTTAATTGACGAGGTTGCAGAGTCTTGGATATACGAAGTTTCGGCATGATGAAGTGGTCGGTTACGGGATAATTAGCGATATATTTGGAGCTAGAGCTCGAGTGCCCTATATATGCATTTCCATTCCTACCTAGAGCTCAATTTGCTGCCGCTTTGAGCTGAGCAAGGGACTGAGCGAGGTCGAGCACCCATTACAGATTACGTGTTCTGGTGTTGGCCAGGCCTGGGCTTAGCTGCAGACCCTGCAATCGAATTAAGCACGAGATCGGTCTCGGGCTCCACTGTGATGCACATACGGCCGCTAAAACTAAGGGACGGGCAAGGAAGGAGCTGAACCGCCAGCAGGCAGCGCCGGCGATGGTGCCTCGAGACAGGGGGTCCACCCGAGCCCCGAGATTGCCAGCGCTCCTGGGCCCTGGTGACTTGTCCTCAACTGCCCAAAAAACAGTAACTACTTGAAGCTAGCCACCAGTCGCCTGCGGTCGGGGCGTCCGCAGACTGGGGGTCCACCCCACTTTCAGCAAAGACTATTTACAATCGGAGTTGTCACCGCCTCTAGACCGTAATGCCTGCTGTACGGCTGCTAAGAGAGGGCCGTGACGGGCTTACGAAGGTTTGTTAGGTCCCTCTTAGTGCCGGAACAAGCCGCCCTGTTCAGGTTGTTCCCCACGATCGGGAGAAAAAGGTCCTGATGCGGGCGGAACAGGGTAGGTAGGCAGTGGTGCGCAGGAGTAAATAATAAAAACAAGCGCGACATCTCCCGAGAACTGTCCGCCGTCTCACAGCAGTTGTCTTTATTGTACGGTTGATACATTCGTTAGCCAAGATGAAGTTCGGAACCATTCTCGTCTTATTCACCGCTGCTGTCTCGGCCACAGCGCCACCGACATGCAAGGGTCCTGCTGTTTCCTGCTGCAAGGGCACTTCAAACCGCGCTGCGAGCGAATGTCAGCGGCTATTTGGTGAGGCTCAGTCGATCAAGCGTGTTCTACTGTCCTTACTGATTTTGCTCGTCGTCAGCCGAGAACAACATTGAAGTCGCGACATGCCAGCTTCCCACCAAGACCGTTACCTCGACTCAGACCAATTGCGTTGGGAGCACGACCACCAAGACTCTGGCGCCGCCACCAACAACTACCAAGGTTTCCATGACTATCACCGCGACTGGAACCCCGTATGTCCCTCTTACTCGCCCCATACGATCCAAAGACAAAGTCAAAAGATAGCGATTATCCGAATTGTGCCGGGCTAATTGATGAGTAGAACCACCGCGCCGACTATAACGGTTACTGCGACATCAACAAAAGTCGACACAACCATTTTGACTGGTGGTACCACAGCCACTGAATTACACACCATCACCCTCATTGAAATCAACTGCATCACCAACACTGAAAGCGCCACTACGTAGGTTCGTGCAAGTTAATTCTCTGTTCAGATCTAACATCATCACAGAACCGTAACCGCCACTGCCACCCTCCCCTTTACTGATCCACAAACCTGCCGGAAAAAGAGAGCACCTGCTTATAAAGTGCCATCCTCGTGCTGTAAGTCAATGCCAGACCTTCCACGGTGATTGACCTGTACTGAAGATTGTCATAGCTTGCTACCTTACCACCTCCAAGCCTGCAGCCACCAAAACTGTCACCGTCACCAAGAATCTGCCCGCTGTCACCCACACGGTGTTCAAAACAGCCGGGACCGCAAATACCATCACTCAGACTGTCACATTTACCCGCTATATTGACGGACCAATCCTATCCGCCCCGGAGACCACCAAGACCGCCACTACTACCATCACCCAAACCGAACATACCCTCACCACCGTCACAGAGTCTCAGACAACAACTGCTACACAGACGGACGACGTCATCGATACTGTGACTCAAACAAAGACTGAGACTGCCACTGCTACGGCCACCGCAGACCCCTGCGACGGCGATCTTGATAATCCAATCCAGCAACAAATCTCCGGCTCTAGCATCCAGATCACCTCCAGCCAAGACGCGACGGGACCTGATGCTGTAAGGAGCTGCTGCCTGGCTTGTTTTGCAAACCTCAACTGCGTGCAATTCAGAATTGGCGACGGTGTTTGCGATATCTTCAGCACCGTGCCTAACTTCAGAAGTGCCTGCACCTCGGGCTTGTGCCCACGAGGCTTCCCCGATCTTGACCTCGGGGATTCGGATGGGAAGGACTACTACTTGGGGCCTTGTTTCGGAACCGCTGTGGCGTGATTCACATCAATAACTCTCGCCTGTCAGGGAATAGGCTCCTATGGACCGGGCCGCGGTAGATTTGCATTCTGTGCCCGCAAAGTGTCCACTGCATCTCCCTGAACATTCTAAGTTGTGTTTCATAGCTTGCTCATTATTTTGTGAAGGGCATACATGGTTTCGTTGTGTATGTGTAGTATAATGGCCACAGCTGAGTGCGACCGAAGAACCGGCTTGCCCTCTCTCTTGTCTGTCCGCATTTCTAGCGACGCGAGTAAAAGAGCCATGTCTGGGCATAGCAGAGTAACAAAACATATAAAGGCTTCCATTAGAGTCAAATGAAGTGCTACGACTGTCATAATTGTTTTTCAGGCGCCATGCTAGATAAACCGAGTGGCCCCCAACAGGCAGCGCACGGTGGTGTCCAGTCTCGGCATTTTGCCTATGTCGACTTCCTTCAAGACTAGGCTAGTCAGTCCTGTCAGATCTCCGACGCGATAGCCGCTGACCATAAGCCATAATCAAAGCCAACCATTCCCAATACCTCCTCCCACCGTTGCTGCACGACTTCCGACGCTTGCAGATACTCCTCGTGAGACTCACGCAGCATGTCCAGAACGTGGTTGCTGTCCACGCCGAAACCTGCCAGATACTTGATGACCGCGAAGAAGTCATCATCGGCAAGCTTACCGATACCAAATTTGTCAATCAGGAAGCACGCCAGCGGTCTTAGCATGATCCCTCGATATATTGGCCGCGCCGTGCCGCCAGAGTCGGGTATCCCGTCTGCACCGATCACAACCCCCCTGTCCAGCCAGAATTTGATGCCGTCAATGGGTCCGATCTTCGGGGAAGGGGGTTGCAATGTCCACTTGCTGTATGAGTCGAGGAATGCGTAGATCGGGAAGGCGATGTAGTGCTTTTGGGCCGTTTTGTCTGTGCCACGCCCGCGACGATGCTGGTGCAGTATGCAGGCTGTGTGGTTGATCATGGCGCCGTGCTTGAGACACTTGAGCATCCAGGATCGTTCAAGGCCAAGATCGGCCATGAGATGGGCGGCCATGAAGATCGGGATGTGCGACGGCCTGTCCGGTCCAGGATGGAAGCGCCGGCCGTGGATGCTGGCGCCGCGGGCGAGCAGGAGGTCGAAGATCTCCGGCTCGGCCCTGTTCAACATGGCCATGACCAGGGGGCAGCTGCTGGCGTGGTGGGTGCCTTGCATGCGGTAGGGATTCGCGCCGTGGTCGAGCACGTAGTGCACCAGGTCGAACGTGGCGTCTGGCCTTTGCAGAATGTTTGCGAGGAAGAGGTCTGCGATCGCGACGCCGCCACAGTGCATTGACGTAGACGGGTATTCGAGCATGGTCCTCATAAACGGCCGGCATGCAGGCGTGGAGGCCAACGAGATCATCTCCATACCAGCACCCTCCAAGCAACCGTAATCGCAGTACAGGCGCCAATGATTGTCGGTCTTAACCCGAGGGCTGAAGAAGACGGTGCCGCCCCGCCAGCTGCCGTAGTGCCACGTTGGGGTCTTGGGCGACCAGCAGCCCTTTTTCCAAAGCATCCTGAAGACACGCAAGAGCCGCTTTTTGAGGAGCTCCAGGAAGACGTAGCAGCAACGGCGCGGAATTGCCCCTCCGTAAGTAATGGCTTTCATGACCACGGTCTGATACCCGCGTGCAAGGCCCCAAGAAATCGCTCGCGACTCTCTCCATGAGCCAAGACCTCTGTACAGAGTTGGCTCGACACGCCGTCGCAGCGTCTTGCTGCAGGCTGACAAATGAGCGAGGCCGCGGCGGGTGAGGTGCTCAAGAATCGCGTCGAGCAGTTCGGTGGGGAGTCTTTCGAGTTGAGAGGTCGCCATCGCGAACGTCAAGTGCCTTTACTGAGCGTATGTGGGACGGACCATAGGGTTGGAAAGGAGTTGATTGCCTTGGCGCCAAGGTCTTCAGAGCCTCATCTCTAGCTCCAGCCATGGCCACGATGGGCCGGACAAGGTGCGGACAGGTAAGAGTCATCAATCCTGGCTGACACGGCTGACCACCCCCTGGTCTTACCCCTGCTCGTACGACGTTCCACAACGGGGCCCTCTCCGACGACTGACTCAATTAGCCACTGCGGGATGGACCCTCCAGAAATAGTGCGCACTAGCAACAGTTCCCCAGCCAGGCCCAGATAAACACCAAACAATCAAGCTGATTCAAGGCTGTTGGCCATGCTTTTGCCATGGCTCTCTTGTAATGGGGTGCTCAGAAATCCCACGTTTGAAACTATCACCATGATTAGCCCAAAGTCAATGGCTGTATTATTCTATAAGTAACAATGGCCCCAGAGACCCAGGGAACAACCCCTACAGGCATGACCTGCACGAAATCAGGTCATCACGTCCTCTTATCCCGCCCCATGTCCCGTTCAGCTGGCAAGCTTAGCTCTATCCGGATAACTTTGTGGAGAAAGGCCTGCACCATCGGTGAGGACTATTGGTCTGTAGAGAGGTAATTCCTTCATTGATTAACTAGCTATTCTATTTCATAAACTAAGGGAATCCGGGTGCTTGAAGCATTTAAGAGGGCTATAAATCGACTATACCTTGTCCCACGAAAATCCACGCGGCCCATATGTGGACTTTGACAGCCCGCTGGACGACACCAGCTCGCCTCGGATAATAGGAGTTCCAGAAAAGGGATTCGCTGCCACGGTACTCGACGAGGATGACACCGAAGATGTACCTGAGGATGAAATCGATGGGGTCGTTGCCGTTTCTTTATGGAACAATGGCAGCGACACCTGGATTTTGTGGCTCGCCTTAGCATTATCGTCGTCCTTCGGCTTTTCATGATTCTTGAGCCCCACCGGTGATGGCGACTGTAGCAAGGGCTTTTGGCCTAGGGAAACGCTTTCATGGGATGTCTGGGTGTCCGTTGTCGGGTTGACGTGGGAGCCCTGTGGCAGAATTGGCGTTTGGGCCTTGTTCGTAGGATCCTTCTTCGAACCGGACAGACCAAAGGTGGAAGAAATATATGAGTCTGTCTTTGTGCCCCCTTTCTTGTCTGGCGAAGGAAGTTCACTGACAGCATCATTTACAAACATCGGAAGGGCCGCTGCAGTGTCATACAAGAGTTAGTCGCGCGTTTGCCCGCATGATTCATGGGAATATCGTCCTAAAGGCTTGATCAGGCGGCGTGCAGATGACTTACGATGGGCTCCGCGCGTGCGGTATGGCCTTAGTGCTTTGGCTGCCTTCTTCAGCGCCTCGTTGTTTCGCTGCAGCTCGGCGCGGTCGAGCTGGGTAGTTGCTGACTCAGCCGCGAGCAGCCGGAGCTCCTCGTCTTCCATTCTGCTGACCATCTCGGTCGTGATGATTGAAGGCAACTTCCTGATCAGACAATTTTCGAGGGCGAGCACGATGACGTTATTTATGAAGGAGTAGATGGAGATCTAGCCAAGGCATCAGTCAGTCTACTGGCCAGAGTTCTGGGGTTTGGCACACAGAGTCGCAGTGATGTTCACTTACCTGGTAATAGGTCTGGCACTTGGCGATGATATCCAGTGCCGCGGGTGCAGGCTGGACCTTGTCCTGCGCCTGGCGAAGGCGGTCAGCCAGAAGCGCCCGACCTTCTTCCGACAAGAGCCATGGCTTCTCCTTGAGCATGTCTACTGCCGCATCAACGGTGGAGCGACGCCTGGCATCTATATACAGCGCCTCAAACTCGGGGTCAAACGGCTGTGGGTGGCCCTCCTGGTAATGGAAGAGCAACTCCGCAACTTTGTCGTGCAGATTCGCGGCGGTGGTCTCGAAGAACGGGTCCACCAGGTGCTGTGCGATGGCGAGGTACGGCGCACCATCCTGCTCGTCAATGATATGCGTCAACAGCTTCTCCACAAAGGCCCTGGCGAACGAGGTGACATGTCTGACGTGGAAGCTGGCAATCTCATTCCAGGGCGTGATCTGGTCCCGGAACAGATTGAGCGCGAGGCTGTCGTTGGAAGACCCAGGTAGCTCTGTGCCCTGATTCCTCGACGCGAGCAGCTCCAGCTCTCGAGCCATCTTGGCCACGGGTACCTTTTCTGGCTCGTCGAACTTGTAAGCTTGGGTAAGGCGCAATATCTCACCCGAGGCGTGGACACTCCAGCCTCCAATGAAGGCTTGAGCCTCCTCGGCCGCATCGGTATCACCATCGCCGCTGGACCTGTCAGAGTCAGAGTCAGAGTCATTCGTGCCCCCATCGCCATCTGATTCGGCATCACCGCCCAGCTTCCCATGGTCGTCGGGAAACACTACCCGACGCCGCGAGCCCCTGCTGGCGAGTATGTATGTGTAGGCGCGGTTGAGGTCGCGCACGAGGGCCCTGATCTTGCGGATACGCCCATCCTCTTCGTCATCAGGGTACAGACCACCAAAGAACTCGTGACTGTAGTTGCCGCTCAAGGCGCGGCTACAGATGTTTTGGTACTGCGAGGCGACTCTGTCCAGGAAAGCGCGCATCTCGGTGGGTTTGTCGCGCGGAGGGCCCAGCTGGCGGATCCGCACGTCGTACTCGCTGATCTTGCGCTGGATGTTGTCGTCGAGATCTGGCAGGCTCTTCTGGATATGGCGGAGCAGGATGTTGCTGAGCTTCGTCCGCAGCCGGGCGACCCCACGGTCTGCACTCCTCAGCGAGTTCCAGGGCGCCTTGTCGCACAGCTCTTGTTCTTTGGCGTCTCTGATGTCGTCCGAGTCGTCCTTCTCGTCCTCGTCGCGGTTGCGGAGCACGTGCCAGCCGAGCTCGAGTGCGTGGGACGGGTGTGTGTTGCGGGCCAGCCGCACAATCAGCTCACCACGACTGCCGGGCAGAAGCAGGTCCGGCTTGGTGATGATGCCGAGTGTGCGACGGCCGCCCTTGTCGTGCCGGCGCACCTTGGAGAGGACGGACTGGAGGATCATGTCGTTGCTGGCCGCCACAATGGCGAGGATGATGCTCGTATCCCTCGCCATGTACTTGTCCGCCAGCCGCTCGACCAGCTCCCGGCCCTCGGCCGACTGTTCCTCGTTCTCCGAGTGGTAGAAGCCAGGGAGGTCGATCAGTGTCAGATGCGGCACGTCCGGCCGGCAGATCTCGACTCTGAGCACGTCTTCGGAGAAGCCGGTAGGTGCCCGCATTCTCTGCCCGGCGTCCCCAATAATCTGGGCGAGCAGGCCATTGTCGAAATTGGTGTCGGCTACTGCGCGGAGCTCCACGGCCGAGCCATCTGTGCGGTGAATGTGTGCACCGAGGGTGGACCGGGAGCTTGTCCGCAGCACAAGCTCGATGGCGAACCTGGTGCAGACGGTACCCTTGGCTGGGAATGGGATTCTGGAGATAGCAGCAAGCACTGAGCTCTTGCCCGACGATTGATCCCCGATGACTATGATCTGCGGCAGGTCGATGATTCTGTCTATCTGATATCTCCGCAGCTCATCAATCGTGTCCATCAGAGGCTTCTGCTCCGAGGCGAGCTGGCTCAGGGCGCCCAGACTGGGAAAAGACTTGTCCATGTTGGCGGGTGTGAGTTGAGAACGGCATAAAGAACGGATTCGGTCGTTGATTGAGCTGAACACGAGGATCCCTTCGACCGCAACCAGGCCGTCTTTCGATTCTTATACAGCCAAAGCAGCCCAGCAAGTATGCTGATCGATACCAAGACAGGCCCCGCATGTATCAGCCCGTGGGTGCAGAACTGCAGGTGATGAGGGTGAGCTGAAGCCCCTTGACACCGCGTTACCGCGTTTCGAATTGGAAAGGGGGGCAAGTGCCTGGTTCGGGGCTTCGCTGCAGGCCAACAAGGAGCAACCAACATCACCAGGGCGCCTAGGCAGGGGCTGCCTCCTGGAGCTCCTGGAGACTCAATGAGGCAGAAGGATTCACACGCACAGCCAGTGTAACGCTACGGGCTACCCGACGTCGACTGAGTTTAGAAATGAGACGCAAGGACGGCTTCTTTGAACTCATATGAGCCAAACGCAACTCTCCACTCCACGCAGCGTACAGCAGAGACAACGGGGATGCAACGATAACCTTGTGGGTGCTGCCCTGACATTTAGGCGCCGAGGCGTTCCTTTTTGCATCTCCACACGACATGCGTACACCCCTGCAGTTGTTGGTTCTACGCGAAAGATAGCCCACCCAGCTGAACCTGCGCGCGGCATCACACCACCACTTGGGCTGCGCGCGTCTGGGCCGCCCAAGGCTCGGCCGTTTCAGGGACTCTGGGGTGTTTGCCTTGGCCCCAACGCTGTTTGGAGGCGGATGAGCCCGGCGTGTCCGGGAGAGCGCCATGCTTCTCTTGGGTCCTTCGCCCTTCACGACTTGGTGGACCTCCAGATAGATCAATATCTGCGCGACAATGATGCTTCCTTTGAAATAGCGCTCGATTCTGCCAAGCCCAGAAAAGGGCAGGACCGCGGACTGCTTGCTTTATTTCTCCGTGGCCCAGGGTGATGCGACTACCGTGGTGCTGACTGGCCGGGCGCCAGAGGTCACCAGTCTGCTGCGAGTGGCGCTTCTAGTACAGCGGCGCGTCGCGAACTCCACGACATGCCCGTAGCACGAGTCAACACTACAATTGCCATGGCGATAACAACAAGCCAGTATGTCATCAGCACAATGATCTTGCCAGCTCGAGACGGCCGCACCTCTAGGTCAAAGTCACCAAACCGAGTGCGTTGCTAGTTCCTCCACAGCTGCGACTCCTTGTGCAGCAACCCCATCGACCAGCGTATGTGCAGATCCACCAGCCCGAGGAACGCGATGGTAAGCACAGTCATGACCGCAAAGTCGGCCAGCGTCGCCGTGATCCGCCACAGCGCCTCGTATGTGACGATGTACACCGCCCACGACATTGGCCGGCTCAGCACCAGCGTCCACACCAGTCCGCGGAAGCACCGTGTCATCCTGAGCGGCGGACGCGTCCACGGCCCCAGACGCTCCATGATAAGCATGGCCAGCTGCACGGCGCTGCTGAGCCCGAGGCTGAAGAAGCTGCATGCCGCCACGTTGCGGATCATCAGCGTGGCGATGGCCGGATCCGTACTCATGGCAGACCAGTACAGAGAGAAGGTGAGGCCCATCCAGCCGACGTGGTAAACCACGTCTTGCGGTCGTGGCGGGAAGGTCCTCGCCAGTTCGTATGTGTACATGGCCGCTGCGAGGAGCCTTTCGGGCCTGGCCGTTAGCTTCTGTGTTGGAGACCTGCTCGTTGCGTGTTGCTGCGGCATACGAACCATGTGGATCTAGCTAAGGACTGGACGCCATCCTGATCTACTACGATGGCAGCGTCGGAATATGACAAGACTTTTAGGGATGCCCACAGGTAATACACACTGGCTGGCGATGTGGCTAGGCGAAGGACGATGAGCAGTTTCGTTGGAGCGGGAAGTGCGAGCCATTGCTGTCGGAAAAGCTTGGGGAACAATCTCCACGCAGTGAGGTCGGCTGCCGAGGCGACTGTAACAAAGCAGGCACAGAGTTGCATTTCCCACGTCTCGACTTGCGGCATCGTCTGGCGCTTTCCAATAGAACTTCGGGTTTGAACATTTGGGAGCTGGTGCTTTGAAGCCTACAGTAAGCCTTCAGGCGTTGATGGGCCTCGGCTGGCTGGTTGTTCGCAAGATGAGCCAACAGGGCCCATCTCGGTCGATTGCTGACATGCATGATCAATATATCGGCTGCGGGGTTGTTCGGTTCCATGGCCGGACCCTTGGCAGGATGCTTGCTCGTGTTGATAAGCAAGATGGTGCAGACAGAATCTGTCGACCCTGAACATAGTATTTGCATAGCCGAACCACAATTTATCATCCGCCTAGATGCCTCGTTGAACACACCCGAGAGGGCCTCAAACCAGGATTGATTGACACCAAGATGGTGTTGGCGAACTGCAGTATGTTTATGGTCTTAGCCCTACAACTTCCATTGTTCGAGATTTCAGCTGATCCGCTGATGGGTGAGCGGGCCGTCTCGCAACCCTCACGAATGCAGTCTGTTTAGGTGCATGCGTCATCGTCGAGTGTGTGGCGAGACCTGCATAATCGCAAACAGGAGCACAGGATGCTGAGAGTGAACTGGCAGCTTGCAACGCGCAATCGGCTGATTGCATGGCCGGCGTCAACAAAGATGAGAGCAAAAATGCGCAGCTTTGGCGACCAGGCTGCCACTGGCTCTACTCGTGCTTCCACGATTCGAGCTTTACTTTACCCCGGTTTCCCACTACCGGCCCCTGGTTTTGCCCGAGAAGGTTGTAGCTGGCGGCTGCGCCAGCTCCAATTCTGGCTTAGCTTGACCCGGGCATTGCTATTGCCCGCAAGATCTTACTTGCATCGGAGTAGAAGCCCCGCCAATCTCGTTGGCGCTGAGCATATACGCAGGGCGGGTGCTAGACTCTGCCGATCTGACAGCTCCGCGAAAGCTTGTCCTGGGCCGAGTGGTGCTCAAAGGGTCGAGTATAAATAGAGCCCCCTTGGTCTTGGATCCGCACCAAGAGATATAGATGATAGCTCCACGGATCTTCAACACTTTGGTTCACCACACATCCTAAAAGCGTGTTACATAGCGCCGCCACAACCATGACGATACAAGAAGCAACGGCCGAGATCGCCATCATAGGCGCTGGCCCTTGCGGCCTCACCTTTGCCCGCCTTCTCGAGCAGCATGGCATGACCGACTACGCCGTCTACGAGCGCGATGCGGGCCGCACCGCCAACAGGGCTGGTGGCAGCCTCGACCTGCGCCCAGGCTCAGGCCAGCGAGCACTCGAAGAGGCTGGCCTTATCGACGAGTTTAAGCGCCTGGCCCGCTACGAGGACACAGTTTTCACCATCTACGACACCAAGGGCAAGGAGCATCTGCGCCTCGGCGAAGGTCGAGACGCGCCCGAGATTGACCGCCTGCAGCTGCAGGAGATCTTGCTCGATTCGGTGCCAGAGGACAAGGTCCGCTGGGGCCACGCGCTGGTAGATGCGCAGCTGGGTAGCGATGGCCGGCCAGTGCTCACTTTTGGCAATGGCGTCAAGGTCTCTGGGTTCAAGCTGGTCGTTGGCACGGACGGGGCGTGGAGCAAAGTTCGACCGCTGGTGAATCTGCATTTCAAGTGGCCCCCCTCGCCGGTCATGCGCTGCGTACCTGCTAACGTTCCATCTAGATCACCCCTTCAAAACCAGTATACACGGGCAGAACTTATTTCGAGACCCGGATCCAGCCCACTAATCCCCTGTACGAGTCTGCCATATCCCTGCTGGGACGCGGATCCACAAGCGCCGTCGGCGACAACCATATCCTGCTCTCGCAGAAACAAGGGGATGCGTCGTACAGGTTATATCTCGGCTTCCAGATGCCCGAGCACATTCTCCGGCAAGGTGGACAATACGACCTGTCTGACGCCGACAAAGTTGAGGCTGCGCGAAGCATGCTCCTCGACGACAAGCACTACGGCACCTGGGCGGAGAGCTACAAGCAGCTGATCCGCCACGCCACGGATTTCCGCGGGTGGTCGCTGTACTCGCTGCCCGCGGCCGGGCTGTCTGAGGGCGGAGAGCAGGGGTGGAAGGCGGTTTCTGGTGTCACGCTTGCGGGTGACGCCGCGCACCTGACGCCGCCGAATGGCGAAGGCGTGAATCTGGCCATGACGGATGCGCTGGATCTGGCGGGCCGGATCAGTCGCTGGACAGGACTGAGCGAGGGGGAGAGGACGCAGGACGCTCTCGATGCTGTGGTGCGCGAGTATGAGGCAATCATGCTGCCGCGCGGGTTGAAGTCGATAAGCAAGGGACACATGATGACGGACATCATGTTTGCAGAGAGTCACGAGCCGTTTGTTAAGCTGCTCAAGTCCTTCATCCAGATGGAGGGGAAGAAGGAGACTGATGGTGGTAGTTAGAGAAGTGCGACGACGAGCAAGTTATTTTTCTTTTATTTGGCCAGCGACAGGACACTCTTCATTCCTCACAAGACTAAGGAGATGCAAGTTATCATAGCTTGTTAATCTTTATCAACTCCAATCAATCAAGTAAGCTGCTGTAGGGTTGATACCAATGCAGCGGCCACAATGATCATCACTAGTACCCCTGAAAACCACACGGCAAGGTAGATCGCCTCTACCGGTCGGTACAGCGGAGATCGTGGCAGCCTAGACCGGCCGTTGACTTCTTTCGCGGTCATTTGGTCTGCCCGCGGCACATACTTGAAGTCCATCTTCGAGCCTCCAGCAAGGCCAGCATGACTTTGAATCACTGCGCCGTGCAGAGTGTTCCTCCACCACCGCAGGATGATTTCGTCCACACCACTAGGCATACTCTGTTGCAAAGCAGCGAGTGCTCTCACCAGCCAGCAATGACCCCTCCAGGAGGCATAGTGATACCAACTCGGCTCGAAGTCAAAGCCAAGAGCATCACACACCTCATCGCCATTCATCATCCGGCTCCCAGCCTCAATGAACTGGGCCGAGACATTAAACGGCGGCAAGTCCCGGAGACACTCGACGAAGTTATGCCCAAGGACGACTGCAGTCTGCGTGATCTGGTGCTCATGCATGAGCATGCTCTCCATCGTCGCCTTTGCCCGCTCCACCGTAGAGAAGTACTCGTCCGTCGGGGTGGCCAGGAGGTACCCCACGTATCGCCACAGCGCAATGTAATCCGCCATTTCCTGAGGGCTAGGATGCACACCCTGCTGTGGAAGCTGGAGCCACATGTGGTTGCAGCAGAACGTAGAGATCGAGTGGATTGAGTCGAGAGTATTGACCGGCACGCCATACTTGGCCGTGTCAAAATATCCGTCCTTTGTGCTGGCGAGCTTTAGGATCCTGTTCCGCACTGATGCATGGAGCAAGCGGACTCGGATGGCTGTTTCCCAAGCAGCACCGCCTGGGCCGACATGAGAATCCACTAGCGAGGAGAAGTCGGTTACTTGGAGAACGAGCTGGAATGTCTCGAGGAGCCGGCGGAAGAGCACCCGTGTAGAGAACCCTCCTGTCCTGGTAAGGACCTCGACGACGCCCGCGGCGGCAGAGTTCTCCCCGACAAAGCCCTGCAAGGCGAAACCCATCAAGTTGGCGGGTGCATAGCGGTAGAAGAAGCGCTGGCCTCGAGCAAGTTGTGCCCAATCTACCCATTCTGGCACGGTGTTGAGTTCGTGCCATAATGCGGAGAGTGTGTGGTCGGAAGGATGATGTTGCTTGAGCAGGGCGAGAAGGTCGGTCTGTTCAGGTGGGGAGGTGGAGGATGTTTGTGTGCGAGATAGCTCTTGAAGTTTGCTAAGCGCAGCCGATCCCAACTCATCATACTCTTGGCGGAGGGGCTCAAGGTGACTCTTAGGCCAGTGCAGCTTTGACCAGGTGTAGTGGTAGGGCCCGTGGGTATGGCACTGGCCAAGGCGCTCAGGTTCGGGATTCGTCTGTTTCTCCATCTTTTTGTTGCAAAGTAGAAAGAATAAGGATGCGAAGGAGGGGAATCATACCGGTGTAGCATCTCGAGGATATCCGCTGGTCCTTTCGGCTACTCGTCGGCACTCGATTGAAACCTCGCCATCCGATTAGTCAGCGCACGGTCGCACGATGAGACGCTATAGGACTCTGCATGGAAACTATGTCAGTTGGTCAGCAGCCCCAACGAATGAAGAACGAGTTTGCGTATGGTATAGACAGCTATTGGCTAAGTGTGGTCGATCGCTCTGGAAATGATACCGGATTGGGCATCACTGGCGCGGTTGGCCCCATGTATACTGCTGCATGATTGCGGAGCCGTTGACGCATGTGAGCCTCGCGGTACAGCTTGGCGAACACCGGCGGGCCAGCACCAGACTTTTATCAGCACACTTATATAGATCCGGACCTCTGTTAAACATTCATTGGCACACGGCAGCGTCGAGCGCGCCTGACGACAATAGTAAGCGCGACAATGGATGCTCCTCTTCCATGCTCCGAATACACACGAGTGCGACTTCCGGACCTTTTCCGGTCTTTCCTGAAGGACCAGCCTAGAATCAACAAGCACTATGAAGAGGTCAGACATGAGTCGGAAGAGTGGCTGAACAGGTATGGTCTAGGTCAGCCCCGAGATGTCTCTTCTGACCACCACCACTATTTGTGCGCCTAGCCTCGGCTCTTTCTCGCCAAAAATGCGAGCCCGTATCAGTCGCTGCGATTTCTCGTACTTTTGCGCCATTGCAGCGCCAACCGCGCCGAGAGACCGATTCCGGACGCTATGTGACTGGGGCAACTGGGTGAGTTTGGTGGAAACATGCTTGGAATACACAGGCTGATGACATGTATTGATCATTAGGTGTTCCCCTTCGACGACAGTCAGTCACTCCAACAAGAATATGCTCTCCTCCAACCATGGCGAGGACCCCACGTTTCGACTCCTGCACGTCGCAAGGAACACTGACCCCGGATTGATCGACTTGCAGTCTTCGACAATGGCGAACTCAGAGACCAGCCGAAGCAGGCAGCACTTGTTTTGGACAGTCTGATGGCTCTCATGCTTGGCCACGTTGACGACAATGCGGAGCCCACTGGGCTGCGCGCGATGCCTATCATCATGGCCCACGACAGCGTCTTCCGGCGGATGGCGGTGGTAAGTCATACTTTCTGATGGTGAGCTATGCAGGCTTCCGACTAACACTTAATCTGCACAGTCTGGCGAGGGTAGGCTACGCAGTCACTGTGCACACAATACGCAGAAACGTATCTAATTGATTCCTCAGGAGTCCGCACTCGCTTCGCACGCGCGATGCAGAAGTACTCGACAGGCGTCCTTGTCCAAGTATCTGACCAGTTCAGCCACTACACACCAGACTTGGCAGAGATTGTCCTCACTCGGCGTGAATCAGCGGGTGTGTCGCCGCTGTACCACCTCGTTGAGTATGCTCATGGCTTGAGCGTGCCCGGGGAAGTGTTCGCGTCACCCATAATCAAGGAAATGGAGGTCTTGGGGATGGACATGGTCTCGATGTGTGTAGTGTCTTACTGCTCAAAATTGTGATCGGTCAACGATTAACAGCTTTTTGCGTATAGCTCGAACGACATGCTCAGCTACCTCAAGGAAGAGGTAAGTTTCCGACATCCTGACCCCAAATACCCCTAGTCCTTCACGCCGAAACTCAAACTGTCCAATCTAACATGTTCTCCTCGTTGTCTTCAACAGCGTGAACAGGTTCCCCACAACATGGTGGCGGTCTGCCGTATGCGCGGTCTTTCTGCTCAACAGTCCTTTGACACTGTCAGCGAGCTGCTCGTCGCGTGCTATACGCGTTGGGACGAACTAGAGTCATTGTTGAACCAAGACTCTTCGCGAGAACCGCCATCAGAGTCAGTTACAGCATATCTATGCCTGGCCGATTCCGCTACGAGGCAACAGGCCTTGCAATACGTGGAAGGAATAAAAAACGTCGTTAAAGCAAACATGTACTGGAGGTTTGTGCCCCCCCCCCCCCCCTTTCCACTTTCCTTTTTGTTTCTCCTTTCCGCGCGCGTGGCGATTGAACGCGTGAATGGCGGCGAGGCTTATTCACTCGTCTACACAGCTTCAAATCCCAGCGATACTTCGGCCAAAATGGAGAGTCCGTGCGGTTGAGTAGAGGGATTGACGTACTAGTGCATCCGGCCTATCTTGACAAAAACACCATGTCGAACGACCGATGTGTTCAAGGTATGCAGAGAATGGCCTCTAAGCCATGGAAGAAGATCCCAAAACAATGATCGCGGGGGCAGAAACCATATCTGAGATTAGAAAGCATTGCAAAAACATATATAAGCTTCGGCTGTCTGGATAGACTGATTACGTTGAATGAACTCATGTTTCCGCAAGCTTCACGGATCGAGCAGTAGAATTCCGCGGCTGGCGTTCAAATATCCGCGCTGGGCTGCCGTAATGAGTGCCAAGTTTGGAGTATGGTCAGTATTTGTTGTAAAGCTGGTGTGCTGAGTGGAGGCATTCAAAAGGCACCGTGTTCGCCCGAATGAGGGACTTTGCGCAATGGCAAGTTTTATCTCTTGTGCCCACATTACCTTAAGAAGGGGCAACGTCATTGGTAAGGCCGTGAAGGTTGTCTGAGGTGGCAAACTCCAAGATTAGCAGATGAATCACGGAAGTGGACGACCGCCATTCTTCTGATTGTATGATCGGGTTGTCAAACAATGGTACGTACATCTGCCCATGGTTCTACCAGAAGAAGCAATCTCCTATGCATTATGACGTGGCCAGGTACTTTTTCAAAGCGATGTTGGGATCTGCACCAGGGCACGGCCCGACCCGGTCATGATTGCATTAGCGCTCAGCTTGCCCTAACGTGGCGCACCCGCATGGATCAAGTAGCGCTTAAGATTGGCTCTTATTGTGAGACAATCGACGTGTAGAAGAATGCCACGCGGGTATGGATCAGATGGTTTGCCTGGGGGTGCCAGATGTGACAGGCACGGCGGCAGCCAATATTTTACCCTCCGGTCGCCGCTTCGTCTGCTCCCTTTTCAATCCTTACAAGGAGAAAGAATCATCAGTAATGTCGTTGGGAAACATGAAAGCAGCCTCATCACCAGCCTCGGGTTACACGCGAGTGTAACTCCCAGATGTCTTTCAATCGTTTCTCGGGACACCACCGAGAATCAACCAGCACTATGAGAGTGTCAAACCAGAAGCAGAAGAATGGCTCAACAGGTCAGAGTCTCTTCCAACGTCTTGCCGGCTTTCTTGGCTGACGCCTATGGCTCACCGGCACAGTCTTTGCTCGCTCTCGCCACAGATGAGTGCTCGCATCACCCGCTGCGACTTTGCATATTTCTTCTCCATCGTAGCCCCTGATGTGCCGAGGGAAAGACTTCGAACATTATTTGATTGGGGCAGCTGGGTGAGAAGAGCCAGATAAGCCGTGACCATTTTGTAACGGTAGGATTCACTAACATCATTCTGTACCAGGTCTTTCCATTCGACGACGGTAAACACATTCGAGAGCGGCAGCAGCCGCGCCTAACACATGGTCTTGAGTCGTCGCTTGCATTGTACCTAACCACAAGCTGACCTTTCTATATTGAACTAGTGTTCGACAATGGACCGCCCAAGGACCAGCCATGGCAGGCGGCTCTTATCATAGAGAGTCTGATGGACTTGATGCTGGGCCATGTTGACGATGACGCAGAGCCCGAGGGTCTGCGCCAAATACCGCTTATAATTGCCCACGATAGCATCTTCCGGCGCATCGCAACTGTTAGTAGCATAGTTCCTTTCCTTAAGTGGATCAGAACCTGTGGCTAACACCACGACCGATGAAAGTCTGCTAAAGGTGAGAGATGTTTAATGACCACGATCAACAAACGGCCAGGAAGGCAACATCGGCTGATATCTGAGCAGGAGTGCGGTCTCGGTACGTGAGGGCAATGCAAAAGTGCGGCTCAAGGATCCTCCAGCAAGTGCGCAACAAGTCCAAGCGGTATGTGCCCGGCCTGGCCGAGATTCTTCTCACCCGGCGCGACTCGGCCGGAGTGCTGCCGATTTACCGGCTGGTAGAGTACGCCCGCAGCCTGCGGTTGCCTGATGAGATCTTCGAATTGCCGTTGATCCAAGAGATGGAGATACTGGGCATGGACATGATAGCCATGTAAATTGTTCTCCAACCCCCTGCGTAAAGCAGTCGCATAGACTAAACTGCTGACTGCTTTCACGATTTGTAGCTCAAACGATATGCTTAGTTATCTCAAGGAAGAAGTAGGTGATCGTAATGGTTGGTCCGATAGCACTTACTCTGGCATCGACTCCATGCGCCCGGAAAGCTCTGAGCTGACACAACCTCTTCGTTTCTGAGAACAGCGTGAGGATGTACCTCACAACATGGTAGCGGTGTGTCGTATGCGCGGACAGTCGGCGCAAGAAGCATTCGATACGGTAAATGAGCTGCTCTCTGCGTGTTTTGCGCGATGGGATGAGCTAGAGTCCCTCTTACTTCAGCATTCTACTGCGGAAGCCCCAAATACAGACGCTGCAGAGGAGTCGTCCGCGGATTTAGCCACTCGAGAACATATACTGCAGTATGTGGAAGTGATCAAAAATGTCGTTCGGGCGAACATGTACTGGAGGTTAGTCACGCGTGATTGATGTAGTCACATCTTCAAGTGCTGGTGTGTAGGGGCCCTGTTATGAAGTCAAGCCTAACTGATTTCTCTTGCAGTTTCAAAGGCCAGCGGTACTTCGGCCGACACGGTGAGGCAGTGCGCCTGAGTCGCCACATCGACGTCTTGATCCATCCGGGGTATTTCATCAGCATGGGAATTGGACAAGGACTACATCTGGACTCTCACAATGAGCAGAATACTCGGCTACCAGAGACAATGTTGCAGCAATGATAAGTTCAGCCACGACGGAACGAGAGGTGTTCTAGTCTGAATATATCCAATGTGTCAGATGATGTGATAGACATCTTCATGTTTCAATAGCCGGTACAGTCTTGGTAAACTGGTGCGTCGTTATGATTACTGCGTCGCATGTGTGTTTAAACTTTTGTCTCGAGTGCCGCACTTCATTGATTTGTGGCTTATGACTCGAAAAGGACGCGGCGGAATCAGCTGGTCTCATACAGTCACGCGTTCTTATGTATCTTGAAGGCATACCAATAATGAATGAGGAGCGGCGTCGCCACATTGCTTCTATGGGCTGACGGCTATGGCCTTCATAGGGTCCAGATCGCCTCTTATGTGGTCAAGTTCACCATGAACGACATACCCTTCCCGTCCACCAGGAAGCGCCTGTCCAAAGCCTCAAGAGACTCTCAGCATCAACACTTCAGAATGGGTGTCTTCTCCTGCCCTGATCAGGCCAACTTTATGTGGCAGACCGGCGACCGGAGCCGCGCCTTCACGGCCAAGACCCTAGGCTTCGCCTATCTGGAGGATTTGCATGCTGTCCCCAACGTCCTCGACCAAAAGACATATGCTTGAATTTCACGAATTAGCAGGATCTCGTCGTCAAGGTCACGCAAGGTGCAGCTAGTGCAATCATTTCTGGGCACGAGATCTTGTGGAGCACGGCGGCTGGTATGGTCAAATCAGTCGGCGGTGCCGCTTTCGGAGTCGTCGCTTTCCGGGCAGGCCAAGTACCGGTAGACAGCATCTAGCACCCCTGCATCCAAGCAAGGATCGTGGCCTTGGCGCAAAAATCAAGCTTTTCACCCCCCTTGCCCGGTCCACCCGCGTTGCACGTCAAGCGCTGCATCCCTGAACGTTCAGGCGTGCTATTCTGCCGTTGCGATGCTTCAATCGAAGCCCAAATGCTTTCCCGTGGTTCACTCGATAATTCTGATGCATCACATCGTGCTCACTATCAAGGTATCCATGTGGGAATAGACGTAATGGCCAAACGAGTGAGTATTCATCTAAAATAAGAGCAGTATTGCTAAATGAGTGTGATCGTCCAGAGGTACCTGCTTGTATCCAACAATTGTCCGTTTTATGGTCGCGTGCTCAACATAACTTCGAAAATGGGGTTCCAGAAGGGAGCACCATATTCCTTGTCGCACTCCATTATCAAAGCCGCCACACATATAGGTCCAAACCACCCAGCTTCTATACTTGGGCAGCATTTCAGGGCAGATGCGCTCTTGTATGGTTAGTCAGTTTCCTCCTTGCGCCCTGGTCATATCGTTGGTCGGAGCTCACCTTGATGGACAGTAATTGTAGCTTCGCAAAACATCCCCATGGTCTCAGCAGGCGACATTTTCGCCACAGCCGCACGAGTCGCCGCACGCCAGGAAACAGAAAGACTCTCCAATAGGGTTGAGTGCAAAGCCGTTCTTGCAATTGTCGTTGCATTCTATTTCGCACGCGCAGTCGCAGCTACGAGGCACGAGCGCGTTGTCGCTACTGCCGCGAGGAAGAGCGCTGGAGATGCTGGCAAGAGCCAACATGACGCCAGTGATGGAGCAGAGGCTAAGCTTCATTATGATGGATGACAAGTAAGGACTTTAGGGTTGTGTATGGGATGTATTTTTGTCGCTGCGATGTGCCTGTGGTGTTCTTTGTGGCTGGAGAACGGGTTGAAGCTGTCTGACTTTCGGCCAAGAAGAAGGCAGCGTCCAATTTACTTATACTTCTATTTCTTGAACGTTGTGTCCGACAAGAGATAAAGAGACCCGTTCGATGATTTTGCAAACTGGTGCCCAATCCTCGGTGACCATTTCGAGGAGTGGGACTTTTGCCAAGATGACGTTCCTCAAGCGAAGTCATTAGGCTGATGACGACGACTTTGCAGCCATAGGAAACAACCTCGGGAGGTCCCGTGTATGCTAGGAACAGATGCAGTTGGGGATCGTCCCATCCATTGGTTTGCGAGCGAGTATTTGCAAGGATCAGGATCCTCCGCCTAGCCACTCGGCAGACGGGGACGCAATTCACGGCGAGTTCCGAATCCGTATGTCAGTGAAAACAGCATGGTTTGTAGCTTATAGCAGAATGATTGATGTGTATCCGCCAGCCAGAGCTCGTTGATGTTGTCTTCCCGGTAGGTTAGCACAACACCAAATTGACTCGGCAGTATGCATTGCTCTTTGTTCCTGCCCACGAGTCTCCTCGCCATCCAGCCGGACCCATCGTTGCTCAGCTGATGGCCATCACCGAGACAATAAGTCTGCAAGATGCACCTGGTGTTCCATGACGCGTCATCATCGGGCGAGACTACACTCACGCACAGTCCTGATCCATCTAGTCTCGCCAGACTTCTGCATCTTGTGGCAAGGATCATTTACCCCTGGGCGATTCTTTTAGACCCAGAAGATCTATTGCTTGCGTCGTATGGCATTGGATATCTCGGGTGACGTATACAGCGAAGGCGGCAGACCGCTGTGCTGAGTGGGTTGGACCCCCCGCACTACGCAAGGACGGGGATTGCAATCCCACGACCCATCTACGGCGCGGCTAAGCCATTCTGGATCTTTTACTCGAAACGCGTACACCCCTCCGAAATTTGTCCATATCTCGTTCAGTTCCATTGGCCTTGGATGTGGGCAGTTTTGGTTGGTGCGATCATTCCACAGATATACACAGTCGGATAGCCCAACCAGCGAACCGGTGCCAGCGCCTTCCTCTGTCTCCACGAGCGCTTCTTCGTCCTCCCAGAGATTGCTAGCGCTCACGCCCTTGCTTCACAACAGGGGGGGGGGGAGACATATGTTTTATACCTGTAGCTTCCCTTCTAATGGACGTCTAGTACCTCTAATATCTCTGGTTCGAACAATAATATATACCCTATGAAATGGGTACAGCTGGCCTCGGGGATTAGTTATAACAGCTGTTAATGTATTACAGGTATAGAGGTACAGAGGTACAAAGGTGTAGAGGTATAGAGGTATAGAGTGTCAGAGGTCCAGAGGCCCAGAGGTTTAGAGGTCCAGAGGTGCATATCTATGAAAAATGCAGATGTCGTGCCTGGCAAACCAGCGTCATAAGCAGACTAACTAGATGATGACTGTAAGACTTTCCCTCGTGCATAGCTCTTGAGGCAAGTCGCTATTGTGCAGCCTCGCGAATACATACTGCACCCCAATATCTCCGTTGGCCCTGAGTACATGATTGGCGGCGATATTACGCCAAGAGCGGTGCAGAGGTGCAGAGGTGCAGAGGTGCAAAGGTCCAGAGGTCTAGTCGGCCGCCAAATAAGTGTTTTCGTACAAGAATTACGCTTGCCGACAAGGCTGTATCAGGAGGCCCCTCCTGTAACGACCCTGGGGCCTCAAGTACTGTGAGGGTGGAGATGGCTCGAGGGTTTGTCACGTTCGTTGTTTACCTTCGTTTCGGCACGAAGTCGTTTTCATGTGTCATCTGTCACGTTTAGAAGGGCGGGATGTGTAAGCGTCCGTAGGCCTACGTAGTGGCTTTGAATGTGCTTCCTGAAGGACTTTCGTCGATCGGTCCGCACCTGGCGGAGCCTCGTCCTGGCACTCGATTGTGCGCCAGGCGTACCGTGACGCCGTGCTGAGGTCGCTCCAGTCCGATCTTTTTATCATCTTGTCCTATAAAGATTGATCGTGCTCGAGGATTTGACGGCTGTACACCTTCTTCAGTGTTGCCTTGTTTGCCTCAATGACCTTGTCGACAGTCGATACAGCGACGATGAGTCAGCCAGTTTGTCATAAATAGGCTTAGCAATATTTTGCACGAGCAAGGAGTCATACCAGCCACGGACGCGGTCCAGGGCTCTGGAACCACTTCAACCTGGGAAGGCGATGGGCTTCGGCCAAGCTGCAAGTGGCCAGGGCTGCAGCAGAGGCGCGTTACCCGAGGCGGCCAGTCGAGCTGTCCCAGACCCCCAGACGGAATCCAGGCTTTTCATGGGTTTGCTCAACGTTGGAAAGTCGGCTGTGCTGTCCCATTGTTGGGGTCGTTGCTGCGGGCACTGAATGGTGGCCGATGCGAAACGGGTCGCGACGCGCAGGCCACTTCGCCACAGCCGACCACCCGCGCGTGGACGTCAAACTTCGGGTACCAACGTCTGGGTGTCCACGCCTGCTCGTGGGCAGCTTCGACCAACTTCAGCTGTGTACCCAGCCTGACGTACGGCCGATTCTGCAATCAGACATACAGCACCACCGCCATGGCAGACATCCTTGGTAACAAAAAGCGCACCCGACGCGTTTGCAGTCTTGATCAGGTGCGGATACGGCCTGCGCTACGATGCCCTTCCTCCCAGCTACAGTCTCTCGTCGATCAAGACTGAGCGGCCGATGAACACGGCGTGATTTGCGTTGTGAAAGGCGAGCCTACTTGGCTCGTAGCTACAAGCGTGCATGGCGGATGGCGGATGGGCCCAATGCCGTCTTGTCCTGAAGCGCTGTGCTGCCGACAGTAAGTTGCACCGATGATAGGACTCTTGCCAAGCCTATCGACCTCGTAGGCAACCAAGGTTCTGGCCGGAGCCGTCTCAGCGTTGGGCTCGAACCAACTGGGCCAACTGCTATCGGTAGAGGCGTGGAGCATTGACAGCGTGATGTGTCGCACTTGTGTGCGATGAGGGTCTCTGATCTGCTCATTTGAGAGGGTTGGCTTCCTTTTGGGACCGGTAGGACAATCAAAAGGCCAGTACCAGGTCGCTCCTCTGTCAGGACAACAGCCATTGGGCCTACGGCGAGGAGCCAGAGCTGACCTTCCTCAGGAAGTTTGCTTATGACATCGGAGTTGATCTGGCCGAGGTTGGCGGCCCAATGTAGCACGAGCTGATATAGAGTAGGGGTGCCCGAGCCAGTGCGAATCTCGTCATATACCTGGCGATACTGCCGTGTGCTGCTTGCTGGCTGGATGGGGTCGTGATGTTGGACTTGCCTCAGTAGCCAATCTTTGGTGGAGTTGGGCCATCGCAAAAGCTCACAAAGAGCGTCAATCAAATCCCGCTGAATCTCCCAATGCTGCTTCACAGTTCGAGGCTGCATTGAGCTTCGAAAGCGGTCGTTAGGGCCCACCAGGGAATCGATGACTGTGATGACCTTAGTGCCGATACGAAAGGCAGTAGTGCAACTGCCCTTCATCCATCTCTAGGACAGGCAATGATGGACCAGACATAGTATAGTAGATAAAGGTCTCGGTGAAGATGATATTGCGGTGTAATGTTCGCTCGGCAAACGCAACGAGCATGGCTGCAGTAACAATATATGGTGCCTGGTACATGGTCTTGTCCATAGCCGCCAATGTTTGCGCGCCGAACTTGGGGGTAGGGATCGGCATGTCGGAGGTTTCTAGGATCATCTCGCACGCCGAGTCGCGAGTTGCTTGAGGGATCCAATTCTGCGCCTGGATAATCTTGCATCCTTGGCGGCCGATCTCCGAAAGACCGTCCTGGTCGATGTTGAAGTTAGATGGCATGGTATATGATGCTGATATGACTCGCAGTCAGTGAGCGGGTACGGAAATGTGGATTGCGCTGGTAAAGACGAATGGGTGCTGCAGGTTCCTCCTAGGCTTGTGCGCCGTGTCGTTGTTATTCGTTAGGTCGGCGTCGTCACAAAAGTCACGCATAGTCCGGTCGGTGGCGATAGGAAGCGTAGTGGCACGATCCAAGCTCCACCATAGCTTACAATAGTCAGCTGTTCTTGAACATCGACTGGCATATTATCTTCCAATCGATCCCCCAGCGCATATGGATAACCTGCACCGTCAGCTTGTGACCATGGTGAACATCAGGTGCTCCTAGTCGCCTTTCGTTCTTCTCAGGAGGGGTAATGTTGCAACTCATGCGACGACCTGCGTGTAGAAGACGCCATCCCGTAGCCCCGCCCTGGCAGTGGCGACGTGTATGGGCATGCACGCGAGGATGGTCTCCCTGCGGGTGATGAAGATTACGACTTGGAAGGGCCCGTGATGCGAGGACGGGGTGGTCCGCGGCTGGTGTTGGTGGTGGATCGGCTCTGGTGGCGACGGCCGTGTCTCTTGCTTCTGGCTGCTCTGTTTCTGTAGCCCCGGGGATGTTGGCGACGAGGAGATAGGCCATGAGCGTGGGCCCCTTTCGGCTGCCGCGAACAGTGGTGGCACAACACCATCACCACAATCTTCACTTCTGCTGGTGCTGCTGGTGCTGTCTTCATGCTTCTCTTCCCGTGGAGGCACATTACTGTTCCTGTCTGGTGCTGGCCGCCATCGTGATGCATCTGGGGTCCCGGACGAGGAAGAGGACGAGGCAGCCACGCATCCCGCTTCTGCGTCTCTCCTGGCCGCAGTCGTCCAGGCCGGGTGCTGCTGTCCCGCGTACGCTTTTGCGACCTGCTCCGCTTGCTCGTCAATTGCCCTCTTCACGACCTGGGTCTGCAAGTCGAGCAGCGCGAGCTGCCGCTCAGCGAGAAGCCTCTGGCGCTCCTCAGTCGTCGTCGTCGCCGTCGCCGTCGCCGTCGCGGTGAAAGAGGCAGTGCCGTCCATGTTGCCAGCTGATGCTGTCGCTGCCCGGCCCCAGACCTTGCGCGTCGCCTGCCTCGCGATGAGGGGAAGGATCGCGCAGTCGAGAAACAGGTCGCCGCAGCAGTTGGCGCCAAAGCCGTCCACGGTCCTCGTCTCCAGACGAGTTAGGTCCGCCAGGCTCGCGGCGTCGACGTCCACGGGGACCTCCCCGGCCGACTCTGGCCGCCCCGGGCCTGCTGCTGCTCCTGATGATGCCGCGCTGGCCCCGGGGCCGTCCCAGACGGTGGCGGCCATGGCGATCTGGTAGCAGTGCAGGTACGCGCTCAGCATCCTCATAGTTGCCAGATTAGTCTCGCATGTTTTTCGTTGTCCCTTGCCCTCCTCCTTCTGGATAGCCCGTATGATATGCCGAAGCCTGCGCTGCCAAACACCCATGTGCTTCCACAGCCGGGCCTCATCGGCGAGGTGCTGCCTGGCGTCGAGGGTCTGGCCGGCGGCGATGGCCCAGTACCGGCTGAGCAGCCACGACTCGAACGTGCCGTGGAAGGCGTTCCACCGGCAGCGCAGCGCCTCGAGGTCGAGCGGACCCGTAAAGCCGCCGCCGCGCAGCTCAGGGGGCGCCGGGAGCGTGCCGGGCAGGTGGAACGTCGGCAGCAAGGATTTCTTCTTCCCGCCGTTGCTGCTGCTGGCGGCCACGACCGGCACCGTGTGACCTGCCAGTACTCCAGCCGAGGCGAAGCGCACTATGAGGGCCTCGGCGTCGCAGAGACAGCGCCAGTCGGCGTACCGCGGGTGCACGCCGTAACGGAGCGCGCCATCAGAGCGTACCTCCCGAGGGGCCACGACGTGCGCGCGGAGCATGGCAGCGCCCGCGACCAGGATGACGTTGCGCGACGCGATGTTGCCCTGCAGGAGCTCGAGCCCGCCGAAGCAGACGGTAGCATAGGCAATGTCGGGCGGCGACATACTGGGCAGGGCGTCGCGGAAGGTCGCGAGGGCGTGCGCGTAGTTCCGCACAGCCGAGACGAGATGGCGGTCATTCTCCTTGGTGCCTCTCCCCGAATTTGCGCTGCCGAGGTGCTCGGACTGGCACATGGTGCGGAGGCCCTTGGCCCGCAGCTCCTTGTTGGGCGACATGCTCAGGTCCCGGATCGCGAGGCATACGTAACGGTAGTATTCCTTGTGCAGGCTCTCGCGCGGCAGCATGAGGGCGAGCATGTCGCCACGGGTGAGGCGGGCCGGGTCAAAGTTCTGGAATGCGGCATGCACAATCGCCCGTGCCGTGTCCTCCACCGTCCAGAGGTGCCTGGTCATCCGGGCTTGGCTCCGTGCCGTGGTTCGGAAGGCTGCCGGTGGCTGCTTTGCGCGGAGCGGCTCGTGGCACGGGGGGGTCGTCTCTTCCTTGCCGTGCTTGGCCAGTCGAAGGACGCCCTGCATTGCCTGCTGTTTGACTGGGGCGGCCTTCCTGGCCGGGCGCGGTGTGGGATACTCGCATTGTAGCAGAAGTCGTCGGCACGAGGAGCACGCGGGTTTGGCCTCGTCGCAGCGAACGTGGCGCTTCTTGCAGGGGAAACAGCCAGCGCGGGACTTCGAGTGATATGCTCGGCCGCTCAGGCCTGCTGCTGGTGGCGGCTGGCCCTGGTCCACCCGGAACTGGATCACGGTTGGGCTGGCCATAGTTCGAGGTTGGCCTAGCGCTTGGCCTGGGCAGCAACGGAGGCTTTTGGGCTTTCGGTTGTGCTTCTATCAGTCAGGGCCGCGGCATTTTGTGAAAGGGGAGAGACTGTCGACAACGCCGCAGCGTACCTGGTCTCGGTTTTCATGCGAGAAGGGGCTTTGCGTGTCAGCAGCGGATAAGAATAGTGGCGAATGATCGCACGACAACCCCAGCAACGCGAATCCCTGCCAAATCCCTTTAGGGACGTCTGACGATATCCCAGCTTGGACTAGCGGCGGGACAGGAAACCCCGTCTACGGGTATCAAGTAGGCTATCGGCTCTTGGCACGATCGTCCCCGGAAAGATCTAAACATGACTGGCTAAGATGGCATATTAGTTTGGCGGCTCACGCGTGTACGAGCTGGGTACTGGTCTTTGAATATGGTCTGGGGTGGTTGAGATGTATTCACTGCCCCCCCCCCCCCGGACTACTTACTTCACTTCCAAATTTGCAACAAGGTCAGTCCATACAGTCCTCGACATTGGAATTTTCCTGCGTAATGGCTTAGCTGCGCGTTTCGCATCGGGATCGAATTTCAAAGCGTTCATAAAGAATCACTGGTGGTATTCGTACGAGGCTGGAACAGCTCTATTCCTTGCCCTTGCCTGTCCCGCAAAGTAAATGCTCTGCACGTATATACACTTGGGGACCTTCTAAATCTATTGCTTTCGAGTGAACCCTCAGGCCTGTACATTGTTTTTATTTTGATTGCTTTCTTCTTTATTTACTCCCGTGGCCGTCTATTTCTTGTAAGGGGTGAAAGGCAAGATGACCGAGCTGGGGTACTCTCCGCCAAAGTGCACCTTGTGGGTGCCGCGGTTGAGCTCGTGCTCCGGGCGCGGCGCGGAGAAAGTCTTGTACTCCATGATGCTAGGGTACTGACCGCCGACCTGTTTGGATGAGAAAAACTTGATGTTAGTCACAGTACGATGTACGAGATGGATGCACTTGGGGTGCAGAACAGGAAAATGTGGACTCACTCTAATGCTGACACTCTCGCCAGCCTCGAAATCAGTGCCCATGGCCCAGATACCAATCTCGAGCCGGACGACAGTGCCCGGCTGGATCTTCTCCTGCTTCTCGTGCGGGTGGAAGGGGAACTGGGGGTGGATGCTCTTGGAGGAGTCAATGGCGCGTTGCGAGGCGCGCAGGATACCCATGGGGCCCAGGTGTAGGTTGAGGGTGGCCTGCTCCTTCTCGGGGATCTCGCTGATGCTGTTGACGGGGGTCGCCTTGAACGGCATGTTGAGGTGCATCAGGGGCTTGCCATCCTTGTCGTGCTTGCGGATGATTGTGAAGATGGTGAAGTCGTCACGGGCATCGCACGAGACGTACACGATGGCCTTGGGCAGGCCGATCAGCCGCGAGTCCTCCTCAAAGGTGTACTTGAACTCGGCAAAGTCCTTGTGGTTCTCCGAGTCGTAGGTGACTTTTGAGGCCTCGGCCGGCTTGGTGCCGGCGAGCTGGCCACCGGGCTGGAAGAAGAGCTCGCGGTAGTCAGTGTTGGGGAGAGGGAAGTCCTCAATGACGATGTCATCGATGGCTTCCCGGTCGCCAAATTGCAGCGCGGACCACCGGACCTTTGGTGTGTTCTTCTCCCAGCCATTGTCTTGCTCTCGAAGGAAGCGGTCGAAGAAGACGGCGAGCTCCTCCTGGGCGTGCGGCTCCTGGTACAGCTCGAACCACTCCTGCTTGCTGCTCCAGTGGATCCACTTGTTGTCGTGGGGGATCTCGAGCCAACCGCGGATACAGCCCATAGTATGGATGCCCGAAACGTCGGAGCCGCGGATGTAGGTAGCGCACTTGATCTTGGTCATGTCGACGCGCTTGGCCTTCCAGTAGTCATTCTGTGTCGGGGACCGGCGGTACATCTCGGCCCAGTCCTCCACACCAGAATTCTCCTGCCCACGGATGATCTCACTCGTGATGAGGTCGAAGTTGCTCATGGAGAACCAGCCACCACGGCAAAATTGCTCACGATACATGTCACCCATCCCTTCCCAGGGGGCGATGGCCTTGAGCGAGGGTGGGGCCTGCGCGGCTGTGAACCATTGCGAAATGGCAAGGGCCGAGTTGCCGGCCATGCCGACGTTGCCATTGCACCAGTCCATCTTGGCGACGGCCTCGACAACGTCGTGGCCATCTTCGGCGTCTTGGGGGCCCATGATGGGGATCTGGCCGTCGCTGTGGCCAGTGCCGCGCGTGTCGACACTGATGATGGCGTAGCCCTTGGGGCACCAGAGAGCAGGATCGAGACCCTCGAACTTCTCCAGGCCACTCAACGAGTCGCGGTCGACACAGCAGTGCCAGACGCACATGGGCAGCATGTCGAGGGCGCTGTACTTCTTGCCGTACGGCGACCAGCTGAGGATCGCAGGGACCTTTTCTATCGAGTTGGCAGGACGATAGACGTCCATGTAGAGGCGGCAGCCGTCACGGACGACGACCTCGACATCGTGGTCGATTTGAATGTCGCTGGTCAGAGCCTTGTGGCCGAAAGGCTTGGTGCCGGCCTTGAGGACCTCGCTCTTGCCGGGCTGGAAACCGACTGTTCAAGGGAGTAAAATGAGGAGTTAGCGCGTGTGGTCGATCAGATAGCGACCAGATGTCAACAGGAACAGGAACGGGGCATACCATAGCCGTTCTCGCCGACCTTGGGCAGCTTGAGGCGCTTGTACGCGACCTGGACGGGCTCAGGCATATCTTTTGTACTTGGTTGGTCTAGAATGGAAGATGGTGTGAGAAAAGCCAGATGGTGCTACTGATAGATGCAGCTGGGGGTATAGGCACGCAGAGAAGAGTGCAGCCAGCAGCAAGGGGATTGAACAAGATAATGCAGGACGGGATCAACAGAGAAAGGATGGTGCAAAAAAAGAGGATGAGTCTCCAAATGGTCAGGATTATAAGGACCCGAACGGTAGAGGGCTCAGTGCTCGGCCGAGGGGTCAAGGAGTTGCCAGGAGAGGAGCTTGGGAGCCGAAGCGAAGCGAAAATGGAGCCAGACTGTGACGGAGAGGGGTTTTCTGCCCCATCTAACCCCTCTCCCTGGACAAGCAGGACAGCTCTCGCGAGGAGTTGGAGGAGACCAGGCAGGCGGGCAGCGTGGGGACGGCGGGAGGTTGTGGGGGAGGGGAAGGGGAGACGTGGACCGCAGTGACATTGGGGAAGGCGCGCCAGGAACACGGTGCGGAGAAGCGGGGCCGAGCAGTGCAGAGCAGGGACTGGACCTCAGCCAGTCAGCATGTCGCATTTGTCACACGGGGTCCTCAGTGGACCCTCCGACCCGAATGCCCGGCCGCCCCACTCGGTTCCCCGTGGGGGAGCCTGCTGGGCCCCACTTGCCAACCGACCCGAGCCGATCCAACGTGAGGGCACCTCTTTCTCCGCACGACGAAACCGATCTTGCCGTTTTGAAACGCGGTCCTGCAGCCTAAACTTGGCTGCGCTCACGCTAAGTCTCGCAGATTCCGAGCCGGGCCGGCTGCTCAGTGCGCCCAATATGCTGCACACACCAGATAGTCTGGGGCCTCGACCCCTTCCAACGCGGGGTCCCCGTGGATGCCGCTCCGGATTTCGCCCCATCAAGACCAGCCGGAGCGACATATCTGCACTGGGCGCATGTATCTCCCGACTTTCTATATCACGGCGTGTCTCTCCCCCTCACCTTGGCCTTTGTTCAATCTCAATCCTCATCCTCAGATCTTCTTACTGTCTACTCTTCCCCTTCGTCAGAGTACACATCAGCACTTTTCATACTTTCGCACACCCCCAGACGTCACAATGGTTGCCAAGCACGACGACTCGTTCAACAACAAGTCCCACGGTGCTCAGTTCGAGGGCAAGGATCTCATCACTTTCGATGAGAATGCCGTCTACGGCGACTGGCGCGATGAGTTCCACAAGCAGGGCTGCGTCGTCATCAAGAACGTCATCACCAAGGAGCGCGCCGAGTACTACGCCCAGAAGCAGATGGAGTGGCTCAAGAGCTTCGACCTCGGCTTCGACGAGAACGACCCGTCCACCTACACCGCCGAGCACCTGCCCGTCAGCTTCAAGGGCGGCATGTACATGGCCTACGCCTCGTCCCACGAGAAGATGGCATGGGAGGCCCGCATGGAGCCCAAGATTGTCGAGATCTTTGAGACGCTCTGGGGCACCAAGGAGCTCCTCTGCTCCTTCGACGGCATGAACATCTCTCTCCCCAACCGCACCGACATCAAGTGGTCCCCCTGGCCTCACTGCGACCAGAACCCCCGCCGCAAGGGCATGCAGGCCGTCCAGGGCCTCCTCAACTACGCCCCCTGCGGCGACAAGGACGGCGGCCTCGTCCTCATGAAGGGCTCCGCCAAGCTCTTCAACGAGTTCTTCGCCGAGAAGCGCGAGTCCTTTGACCACGAGGACGCCCCGCCCCCGGAGCTCGAGTACATGGACCTCTTCCTCTTCAGCCAGAAGGACGTCAAGTGGTTCGAGGACCGCGGCTGCGAGCTCGTCAAGATCAACATGGAGCCCGGCGACTTTGTCCTCTGGGACTCGCGCACCATGCACTACGCCAAGTTCCCCGAGGGCAACCAGATCCGCCACGTCCAGTACATCTGCATGACCCCCGTCCAGTTCGCCAACGAGGAGGCTCTCGCCGCCAAGAAGGAGTGCTTCGAGAAGTGGCAGGGCACCACCCACTGGCCTCACTGCAACATCCGCCCCACGGATGACGCCCCCATGCGCGACGGCAAGCCCTGCCCCAAGAACAGGACCGAGCCCCGCGAGAAGCCGGTCATCACCGACCAGCTCCTCAGACTCGCCGGTGTCAAGTCTTACTAGGTTGATTCGGTATGCTCTATGTGATGAGAGCACAAGGGAAAAATTGTGTTGCTTGGTAGCTTCCTGTCTGTTTTATTATACGTGATCCTATTAGCGAGGTTTGCATTTACAAGGCTCAACAACACATGATGGAGACACGAGAATAAAAATTTGTTCAAATAACTTCTTAAATTCTCTGCCTCATAGTGCGTGACAGTGAAAATCAAGATAAGAATGCTGGCGACACGTCGCATCAAACTCTCGTAGCTTGATACTCCTGGTTGTATCGACAAACAACAATAGGCAACGGAGCAACGGCCGACAGCAATGTTGATCATGAGTCGTTTTTCTGCTCATTTTTGGCACTCGTTTCGCCAGTCAGCGGAAGATGCGACAGGATTTGGAGGCTTCCAAGAAGAGGAGCGGGAATTCTGCCATATGGCCAGTACCAGTATATCCCATATCGTCATGAAAATTGCAATACTGCCGAGTCCCGCTCGCGATTGAGCAGTATCATCGTGATCGACTTGCTTCAGTGGCTGATACCTGGCCGTAGCAGGCCATCTCGCACCTTGAAAAGGGCATTGGTCAGTTCCCGCTCAGTAGTCCAGTCCTGGAATACAGTCCCGGGCTTGCATTGAGCTTCTAGAGCGATCATTAGGGCTGGCCAGGGCGTTGAGGATGTCACAAATGATCCAGAGCAGGGAAACAACATCTGACACGGCGACTGTCCATACTTGTCACTTGACCAGGTGGGATACTTCGAACGGTCCACAAGGAAAAGGCCAAGAATCTGGCGCCGAGATTTCCAATTTTTAAAGCGATCCAATTTCAACATCTCGGGTTGTATCCTGGGACTGAATACTTGGACTTGTTTCCACGGCCGAACGACTAGATAGCTCTGAAGTACCAAAGTTATTGCTACTTTGACCGAACAACCATAGATGTCAGTTCTGTCACAGCCAGTAGGCTGTGAGCTTGCCCAACGAAGACGGCACGGCATTTGAAGCCGTGACAATATTCGACCTTTCTGGTCTCAGCTCCCCCACAACAGAACACACCGCGGCAAAGCAAGACGGCAGACAGCCAACTGCTGCTATGCCTCAAGTTGCGGGGCGCAAGTGACCGCAGGAACCCCAGATCGCTCGGCACGCCACTTGGAAGCCAGCCGGTAGTCGGGCTTACCGTGGTCTGGACCTCGTAACATGACCTCAAGCAGGCGGAACTGGTGCGGTGGGGATGAAGTAGCTCGGCCCATGGGCTGAGGAATAGCCTGTGCGTCTGCCCTCAAGAGTGAGGTACGCACGCGTTCTGCTCCAGTGTGTTCGGTCTCGGGCCCACATCAAGGCACATTGCACTCAGTTGCTCTTCACCTCGGTCCTCTGTAAAAACCACGCAGGTGATGTGACGCCTCTTTTCACAAGTCTTGTCCAGTAGAGTAGGGTCTATATTCCAGCTGATTTTGATCACTAGCTGGGCCAGAATGTAGCCATGAGCAAGGCATCAGTCACGATCGATCTAGAACCAGATCGCCGGATGACACTACCTCATCATGCAGCCGCCACAGTCGCATCGAGGCAAAGACATGAATCCAAGGATCTGGGCCAAGTGCCGTATAGCCAGGCCGGCATGAGCTATAGCGTCATGCATTGAGTAGACTCACGTGCTCCAGACTGCCTCGAATCAAAAGCCCACAAACTAGAACCCATGGATAGTGTGATTTCAACCCCTGCTATGGCCACCAGAGATTGCAACGGAAATTGAGAAAACCTTGCACACAGGGCGTGACTAGGGCCGGCGCTGGGAAACTAGGAACCCCAAGCGTAATTCGCAAGCAGTCACGATCTTTGCCGTTTATGAGTGCCGAACACTCTCCCCTCAACACGGCAAGTCGTCAAGGTGCTGCCCAGCCGGAACGTGGCGAATTGCAATTGATACTGGAGGGGCAGTCGACATTTCTCTCGTTGAAACAGAGGAAACTCACGCGGGACACGACGCCACAGGAATGTGGAGGAGGCGAGGTGGACAAGACCGCACTCGTGGTGCTGTGGAGGAAACGTGGAGTGCGATCCAGATGACCTACCGCCCGGACCTATCAGAAGGGCGTGAATTCAATGCTTTGCTGGAACCAAGTTGGAGAATGGGGGTCTGGCCGCGGCTGATCCGACACCTTGCCCTGGTCGTCAAGTGTCGTCGTCCTCAAAACTTGCTCCTCCACATGAGTTTCCCGAGAGTGGCCTGCCCCAACAACACCAACCACATCTCTTGCGTTACGGCTCCACGTCCTCGGGCCCTTCAGCCTCCTGTTGCGGCCAAACCATGGATGCGGTCTCGGCACGCGCTAGTCTCTCGCGCCCAGCACGAATCATCACAACCTCCAAGATGCTGGGCTCTCTTGGTCCTGTCTTGCTCAATTGCCCCACGGTGGGGGTTATGGCACAATCTCCATCTGTTCTTGATGTTTTCATGGCGACAGCGCTGCGCAATGTCGCATACGGCCCTGACGTGGCATCTCCTGGTGGGCTTATCAGGACTAAGAACACGGCTTGCGACTTCGAAATTGCGACGCATTAATGTTGCAACGGTGCGCATGAGCGCACCCTACTTCTATGCCACCTAAGGTACGCTCTGTTTCGCGTGAGAAAAAGCCAACCCTGGATTCCTGGTGGCCCGACTGCGCCGAAACAGGTGTGGCACTCGACTAGAGTTCAGCCGAGGGGTGGATCTACTTGCTAGACGAGTCTGTGATGCTTGAGGGAGGGCGTGGCGGCCATGCACCAGCCAAGCTAGCGCCAGGCCTGGCCACGCAGGCTAATGAGCGTCGCCAAGTTGCCTGCTGACCAAGGGGGGGTCCTCCCCCACACACCATTTCCCGGCCCTGGCGCCCCCGGATCCACGTCCCACGATGGGGGAGGAGCTGGGGAAGGGGAGAAGAGGGGGGCGTCTTGGAGGTGGAGCGCATGGAGAACCTGGGGAAAGACATCGCTCGCATGCTCGCACCTCCTCCACTCCCCAAACCCATCGTCCCGAAAAAGGTCATAAGCACTGGCACCGCCGGCCCCTCGTGGCATTAGAAATCCAGAGCTCATCTCACACACAGCATCTCTGACACATTCGAGAGAACACCCAGCCAGTCTTACAGCTGCCCGGCAGTCTTTTCCCCAAGACCACCTTGTCCAGCTCTCCTGAGCCCTTTTATTCCTCCTTAGTGTGTGCAACAAAGGATCCGTGTCGGCAACCATGGGTGACATCAAGTCTACCGTCTCCGACCACGTCGAGGACAGCGCTCTCGACTATGAGTCGCAAAAGATCGGCGGTGCGCCTCTGGCCACCACGGTCACTGGTACCGTCCGACTCACCGAGGGCACCATTGTCTACGTTCCGGCGGCCACAGCCGATCCTCAGGGTATGTGCTTTAAGGACCACCCGCCGCTAAGATGTAAGATGGGCCTGTTTGCTGACAAAAGTCTTGGCGGTTGATAGACCCTCTGAACATGAGCAAGATCCAGAAGATGGGCATTATTGTCATGATCTCCATCTTCTCGACCCTTGGTCTGTCCCTTGTCTCCGGATTCGGTGGCCTCTTGGGCTTTTACATCCCCCAGTATGCCGCGGCCGGCAAGACCTACGCCGACATCTCCGCCCTCATGACCTATCCTACGCTCTTTATGGGTATCGGTAACCTCATTGGCATGCCCATTGCCTACGCTGTTGGCCGCCGCATCGTCCTCCTCGGATCGACCCTCGTCATGATCGCCGGTGCCGTCATGTGCGCCAAGGCCGACAACTACGACTTCCACCTGTGGTCCCGCTGCATCATCGGTCTCGCCGCCGGCCAATCCGAGGCACTCGTGCCCATGATCACCCAGGAGATCTTCTTCCTCCACGAGCGTTCCCAGGGTCTCATGGTCCAGCAGACTGTCCAGGTGATCCTGACTGCTGTCTGGGTTCTCTTTGCCTCCCCCATCGCCGAGGCCATCACCCCCCAGTGGTGGTACGGACTTGGTGCATGCCTTGCTGGCGCCCAATTCATCGGCACCGTATTCTGGGTCCCCGAGACCAAGTACAAGCGCTCCATGGCTGCGTACCAGGAGGGCAGCGACAGCGAGGGCGCCTCCGAGCTCTGCACCGTCCGCCCTGCGCTCGACTTTGTCAACTTTGCTCCCCGGACTCTCGGCTCCGACATGCGCCTGTGGGTTGACACCCCCGAGTGGTCGACTGCGTGGACTGCTCTTCGCCAGACCTTTGAGCTGCTCGTCCACCCTCAGGTCTTCTGGGCTCTCTGCCTCAACGGCCTTACCCTCGGCACCAACATCGCGATTGGCATCACCTATGGCAACATCCTCCACGCCCCTCCCTACAACTGGGCCCAGTCCTCCGTCAGCTATGCCAACTGCGGCCAGATCGTTACCGCCCTTATCGCACTCCCTGTCTTTGGATGGGGCTCCGACAAGCTCATCCGCGCCTTTGCCAACCGCCGGAACGGTGTCCACGAGCCCGAGGTCCGCCTCATCCCGCTCGCCTTCCCCACCGTTGTTGGTGTCATCACCGCGATCCTCTACGGCCAGGGCGCAACTCATCCGGAGAGCTATCATTGGTTCAATTATGTATGGGCTCTTGCGGCGTACTACTTCTGCTTCGTCGGCGCCAACATTGTTGCCATCACCTACCTTCTCGACAGCTACCCTGCCCGCGCCGGCCCGCTGCTCATCATCATCTGCGCCTTCCGCGGCATCATCTCATTCGGCGTCAGCTTCGGCATCACTCCCTTTATCGAGAACAACGGCTACGACGGTGCCTTCAACACCTTTGGCGGCCTCACCGCCGCGCTGGGCCTCATGGCCATCCCAATGTACATCTGGGGCAAGAAGATCCGCGCGCGTTTCGGCAAGTACGCATCCTAAGCAAAGGAGCTGCTGCTGCTGCCGGAACAGCGAAGGCCGGGAAAGGTGCACAGCAGGATTCTGTCCACTTTTTCTACGGCGCAACATTTTTCACACTATCTGTACAAATCAAATTCACGACCGCGGGTTCAGGCATTCCTCTGCTAGAAGTCCTGAAAGCGATAACCTTTTATGATAATAATGACGGCGGATCACACACACATATATACCCTTTTCCAGGCATTCCTGCGCGCGAAGTACTGGAGCAAAACACATCTTTCTGATTTTTGATACCATGTCTTATGCCAAAGACAAACCTCATTTTGAGAGCCGGGCATTCCTGCGCTAGAAGTCCCGGACAGTAAGAGACAAAGGGTGGGCGGTAGAGTGTAGAATGCGCAGGGTGGTATTTCGAAGTTCCCTGAGGAACGGCATGGGATTCGATATTGGGACCAGAATTAGCACTGAATGAAACGGGAACTACTTCTTGACCTTTTTGTGCAGCGACCATGCTGTTGTGCCTTGTGACGTGATGGTATGACTTGTTCCTCTTGCTCCTCTTGCTCTCGTGAGTTACCCTTCCCTGTTATTCTAGTATTATGAACGGCGCCTCGCACAAGAAGCCCCGTCTAGCATTCTTGCAGGGCACCTTGCCACACTCCCATCCAGGCACGCTGACGACACTCAATGCGCCAGTGCGGCTCTCTCCCTCACGACCCTGGTCGTGGATCAGCCTCGTGGTGGCCTCTCCTTATCGCAACGCAACAGAGAACACCTGCGATTACCAGCCGCGATGCTCCGTCTCATCACGCGTCAAACCCTACCCAATGTTGAAAAGTGTTGTGATCTAAAGTTCAGGTTGATGCGGACGCACAGACAACGCATACGTGCCGCTCGCGCCCTGGTTCCAGGGTCTTCATAAGTCAAGTACGCACGCATCCTGGCATAGCCATATTGCTGCACCACACCGCACCGGATGTGGACGAACCCGCGGCGGTCCAGGGCCAGCTCCCAAGCCCAGTCACTTCCGCCCCTGCTTGCTGGCTTTGCCTGGGCAGGGCTCCGTGGAATTCTACGCTGTCTGCTGAACAGCAAGGGCTCCCACTCAAGAGAGACTGCCCGCTTTCTTTCCTTCTTTCTTCCTCACTGCCACTCACCTTCCAGCACACGACGTTGGTCAGTGAACTCCCTCCCTAGACACGAACCAACAAGCCCCCCCTGGTCGACGCCGCGCCATCTTCCGCGTGTGTGCGCAGACCGGACACTCCTGACCGGTCGAGGCGAGCTAGCTGCAGCACTGTCATTGCGTGGCAGCGCGGGACGGTCTCTATTCCAAGATAAGACAAGGGGCAAATGCATGAGTGAGGAGGCAAACACAGTAGTGGTACGGGCCCCGCAGCTGGATCTGGCAAGGGGGCCATGCATGCATGTAGAGCGGAGGCGCAGGGATCCGGCTCCGAGCCCGGCGATTTGGCCGGTCGCGTCTCTCCGCTGTGTACGCCGGGGTACCAACAACCCCTGCTACTCCATGTGCTACTGCTGCTGCTGTTGTTTGCTGATGCTTGCCGAGGGGGAATTTGGGGCGGGGGGGCGTCCTCTTGAATCAGGCCGGCTGCTCTCTGGGGCAGGAATTGACTCGTCATGAAGACTCCGCATCTGGCTGCAGCCAAGAAACGGGGGTAAGCAGAATGTTGGTCGGCCGTCGTGCTGTCGTGGCATACTCAATCTGAGGGGGGACTGGAACAGGGCCTTGGGGAAGAGAGAGTTTAGACAGACGTTTGGAATATGCGCGCCATCTGGCGAAGGGAGGACCGTTGCATCGAGTTCCAGCCAGAGTTCAGCGCATGGACACACACACAGACTCTGGCCTCCCCATTCCCCCCGTGGCTTTCCGCTCGAGCCTGGACATGATCCATGCTTTGCCGTGTGCAGTGGAATGCCGGGGAGGCGGGGGAAGGGAGGGATCAGGGTTCCACGGGATGTGGAGGAGAGATCAGGTGGGGAATGCCGTATTGTTGTTGGTTCTGTGGAGACCCCAGCTCTGGATGAATGCTCGGGAGGATGTGGAGGATGTGGAGGAAATGGAGCCTCTCCTGCAAAAGGGAGAAGGGGAGGCGGCAAGGGTTAGGGCCGGAGAGGTGAGTCGCTGTTGCCCGTGGGTCGCCAATTTGCAGGTGGTCGTATGGCCTGGCCTGGCCTGGCCCAGTTGTTCAGAATGAGAGCTCAGTCAATGGCTAAATGAGTCCAAAGGAGTCCAGCCCACTGTGAGTCGCTTCCGTGTCTGCCTCCCTCCAGTGCACGGGTTTGTGCTAGTCCATGTCGAGGGGCATTGCTTAAGTCGAATGAGGGGGGCCTGGTGTGCTCGGGACCGCCGCCACGTGAGGAGCTGTGGCGTGCATTGTGGTGGCAGCAAGAAGCTTGGTTTGTTGGCGTGCTTGGATGATGGACGACGGACGGCACCTGTCAGCCATGACAAGATTATGGTGTGCAGGAACACTTGGCCAGGTTTTTCTTGGACCGCGCTAGAGGGCGGCGGCCACGAAGATATGTGTGCGCTCGCCGGCCCGTCACCTTGCGTGCCTGGCACGAGAATCTGACCATTCTGGTGATCTCCAGCATCCTCGGTTGGGACCACCCTAACAACGGTCCGGGCTCGGTTCGGATGCAGTCGGCCTAGCCCGCGGCGGACCCTGCGTACTTCCAAGGATATGCTTATTGTGTGGTGCGCGCCAACCGCTAAATGGTGGACCCCGGCTCGGTTCGCAAGGCCGTGCCCGTCACAACCTGGTATGCCATGCTGCCGCTGTTGCGTTTCCGCGAGCTCTGGCCAAGACGCGATAGGTGCCCGCAGGGCTGAGATAATGCCTGGAGCTGTTGCCCCGGGGTAAGAAATTGCAAAAACACATCTTGGTAGACCAGGATTGACTTGTGGCCGTCTTTGAGCCGCAATCCTCATCAAACGACGTGCAAACTCCGCTCCTGACCTCGCCCACACACCAATCTGCTCCTCTCCGCCGACAGTGCAGCCTGTACAGTTGAGAACCGGCATCACCAGAACCTCCTTTCCTTTCCCGACTGCTTCAGCCGTCCGCCATCGCTCACAATGGCCGCTCTCACGCGGACCACCACGACCGAGTCTGCCATGTACCCAGGTAGCCGGATGGGCGCCTGGCGCCGGCGCGGCATCATGCTGTCGCTGTGCCTGACCCTCTTCCTCGCCGCTCTCGACGTGACCATTGTGGCCACTGCACTGCCGACCATCTCGACCGCCCTCAATGCCACGGCCGCCGAGTACGCGTGGGTCGGCAGCAGCTACACGCTCGCCTCGACCTCGATGGCGCCCATCTGGGCCAAGATGTCCGACATCACGGGCCGCAAGTCGGCCCTCATCGGCGCCAACGTGTGCTTCATGGCCGGCAGCACCGTCGCGGCACTTGCCAACACGGCGTCCGTGCTTGTCGGTGGGCGTGTGCTCCAGGGTCTGGGCAGCGGCGGCATGTTCATCATTGTCACAATTGTCATCGGCGACCTGTTTGAGCTAAAGGACCGCGCAAAATACTACGGCCTGACTGCGCTGGTGTGGGCCGTTGCTGGTGCAGTTGGGCCGGTCATGGGCGGTGCCTTTACTCAGACCATAGGTTGGCGGTGGTGTTGTAAGTTCCAACTGCTCTCACCTCGCTTTCTTGAGAACCAATTCTAATTTGCGACGCCATTCACAGTCTGGATCAACCTCCCGTTTGACGCTCTTTCTCTGGCCATGCTGTCTTTCGTCCTGAAGCTTGACACACGGAAAATTGCCGTCCTCGAGGCCCTCAAGGCGCTCGACTGGGTGGGCTCTTTCATCATCGTCGGCGGCACCATCTGCTTCCTGTACGGCCTCGAGACGGGCGCGAGCGGACAGCACCAGGCGGACGGGAGCGGCGGCGGCTGGTCCTCGCCGACCGTCATCTCTCTGATGGTGGTGGGCATCGCGCTCCTGTGCTTCTTCTGCTTCTACGAGGCCCGCGTCGCCAAGAACCCGCTCATGCCGCCCGCCATCTTCGCGTCCTTCACCAACGTGGCCATGTACGTCATGCTGTGCGCGCACTCGTTCGTCATCATCGCGTACAGCTACTTCCTGCCGCTGTACTTCCAGACCGTGCTCAAGTTCAGCCCCCTGATCTCGGGCATATCCATCTTCCCCATGATCTTCCCCATGACGGCCATGACGTACCTGTCGGGCCAGTTCGTCAACCGCACGGGCAACTACCAGATCCCGATCTGGTTCGCGGTGCTCATGATGACCCTGGGCAGCGGCCTGCTCATCAACCTGGGCACCGAGGTCAGCTGGGCCAAGATTGTGTGCTTCCAGATCATCCTGGGCCTCGGCACGGGCCCGCTCTTCCAGGTGCCCATGATTGCCCTGCAGAGCCAGCTCCAGCCAAAGCTCATCCCACCCGCCATGTCGGCGTTGGGCTTCCTCAAGAACCTCGGCACCTCGTGCTCCATCATCGTCGGCACCGTCTTGATCCAGAGCAGGCTCGGCGTCAGCGGAGGGCTGACGCAGGGGCAGCACGATGGAGGCGGCGCGGCTGGTGGTGGTGCTGGTGGTAGTGCTGGGGGCGAAGGCGGCGGCAGCAGCGGCGGCGGCGACGGCAACTTCGAGCGGGCGTATGTGGGCGCGCTGCAGATCATGTGGGTATTTTACACGTGCATCTGTGTGCTCACGGTGCTGTCGGCGTTCTTCCTCAAGAGGGAGAACATCAAGAACAAGCGGGACGCTCGGCAGCAGCCCGCGTCGCAGGACGAGTCCCAGCAGCAGCAGCAGCCGCAGTCGGAGTTGCAATCGCAATCACAGGATGAGGAGACCGGCACGCAGACTGATGCCGATGATCTGCGGACCAAGACGTCGGCGAGCGAAGACGAGAAGAAGCCTGTGGAGGAGGAATCCATTGCCGTGGAGGACCTGGGCCAAGCCATGGCGGTCATGGATGCGGACAGAAAGAAGGAGGGCTTGTAAAGTACTGTGTTATATCATAGATGGTTTTGTCGAACAGTGTGAAAAATTGAAAATTCGTTGTCTTATGCCAATATGCGCACAAAAGACTGGTCATGATTTTGTCCTCGTGGTGTGATGTACGGTGCACTCGAGTTGCATGTGGGAGACAAGCGCAGCATTTTAGATGGCCATCAGGATTGATTGTGACACATCATTAATCGCTAGAGGCATTGATCAAGGTCGATAATTAGGTAACAGTGATTTTTTTGCGTGTCAAAATGCAAAATTTGTGTCTAGTGTTCCATTTACCTCGACCTGCCATGCGTACTCCGTTGATCAATGAGGTGAATTATTTCTCGTTTGTGAGCTTACCAGCCGTCAGAAGCACTCTGCTGGTATGACTTTCAAGCTTTGTTTTTTGTATGTTGCTTCTGTTCTATTCCATACGTTCTCTCACTGCCATCAAAATAATATCATTTCTCTATGTTAAAAGAAAAGCGAGGGGGAAATGCAAGAACTTGGCCTAACTTGAACAAAATAATTTAATGGGCTATATTCCATCATACAACGGGCAATCTGACCCCCAGAAGGCTTCTGCTTGACCGAGCAAGGAAACGTAAGGAATTGACAAAGAGCACCGAAATTGAGGCCACAACCACACGAACCAAGCACAAGGTGCGAATTAAGACGTATCAAAATGTACCGAGCGGTGCAAATCCATTCAACGCTTGCTAAGATACCGACCAAAAGTAAATGCGCCTCACATGTTAACTATGCTCCGTCTCACTGCACTTCGCCCTCCTTCCTGACCTGCATAAACTACCCCCGCCATCCATGAAGTGTAAGGCCCGCCAAGCTTCGAGAACACCCAAACCCCTGAAAACCCACAAATGACTCGTGTACAAACGAAACCCTGCGCCCAGTAAAAGTAATGTCTCCTTCCTGTCCAGCACGACGACTACGACCACCGCCGAGCGCTCAGTGCGGCCAGACCCGGTATCCTCCTCGCCCCTCCGGCCCCGCCATGAAGTCTTGCATCGACTGAGCTGTCGTCATGGCCGGGATGATGAAACGGGCCGTCCGAGAAAGACGAATTCCTCGAGCGCATTCCTGACAGGGACTGTGGTGAGAACGAGGAGACGACGGTGGTGCTGTGGTGGTGTAGTAGTGCGCTCTGCTCGCTAGGTGTGGCGGATGGGCAGAAGAGGGAGCGGTAGAGCTCCTTGCCGAGATGTGCGGAGATGGTGTGTGTAGGGGCCATTGCGGGGGCGTTTCTTTGGTCTTGCCCGTCCGAGAAGTGTAGTACGTGATTACTTATTTCGTGTGGTTGACCCTAGAGTTGGCAGAGATTTTAATGGATGTTCCGGGACCGCTCTGTCTCTGGGGTGATTAAGATGAGGTGATATCAGATAAGCCTCTGAAGCAGGTATTTGCAGTAGTTGATCGAGCGGCGATACTAAACATGTGCTTTTGTATGGTTAGGAGCAGCAGGAAAGATTCATCTGCCAGACTGGAACGATATATCTACACGACAAGTACGCTTGGGAGCGCCATCTGACGTAACAAAACAACGGCCAGCCCGGGAAGGCCTGCTCACGGCAACTCAGCCGAGCCTACCCGTACAAAGCGCAGCGCAGTGTATTCCAGCCAGCCAGCCAGCCGTAAGCCTGCCATCCGGATGTCTTTGGCTTTGGCCCACGCCCAGACTTTTCTTGCAAGTCTTTGTGCTTGTGGTGTGGGTGGAACCCGCCTTGTCCCGGACCACACCCACCCAGCGACTCGTTAGCGCGTGGGGTCCGGGGGTAAGCGAGCCGAAGCAGCACAGGCTCGGTTCGGCTGAGCTGTTTAGCAGGTACCGGGCCTGCCTAAGATGAATCGTGACTAAGCTGACTGGTGTACCAGTGTCCATGTATTCCAATCAGCCAGCAGGCGTGCGCGGTCTATTGTATATCGATCAACAACCAAGCTCAAGTGGTTCCCTATCCCCTGTGAAGCATCGAAAGACAAGGACAAGACGGTCGATCGGTGCTCGAGCCGTGGGCCTGTCTGTTGCCTAAAAGAGCATGCACACGGACAAAGGGAATCCCAAGTCATCGATCACAGGAATGACGCTGTCCATTAGTCTAGTCAATAATTAAACAACAACCCGCAGAAAACCTCTCAGGCCTGCCCGCTCTCCGCCTTCTGCCTCTCCACCCAGTCCTTGGCCCCGGCGTACCGGCAGTTGTACTGCAAGAACTGGCCCGGGTTCAGGTTGACGGCGCCGCTCTTGGCGTCCGCGCCCGGCCGCGCCTGCTGCCGGCTGTAGCTCTGGATCAGGCTCGCGCGATCGTACCGCGCCGTGAACACCCGGCCCAGCGCCCCGGCGACCTGCTCCCGGCTCGGCTCCGCGGGCAGGTCGGCAATGTAGGCCTGCAGCGCCTCGGCGTCCTCGATGGCCTGCGACGCGCCCTGGCCCTGGGTCGGGAGCATCGCGTGCGCGGCGTCGCCGATCAGGATCGTCCGCCCTTTTGTCCAGGTGGGTAGGGGGTCGATGTCGCGCAGCTGCCACAGCGAGACGTCGTCGGCGCGCTTGAAGATGTCGGCCGCCCAGCTGGGGAAGTCGGCGTACGAGGTCAGCAGCGCGTCGAGCGAGGCCTCGGCGACCCACGAGTCCGACGCCGAGACCTCGTTGAGCGAGGTGTCGGGAACCAGGGCGACGACGCCGAAGAGCGTGCCATCCCGCCCCGGGCCCATGATGATGCGCTTGTCCGGCCCCACGATCATGGTCGTCACGGGGTCCTTGAAGTCGATCAGGTCCGCGGGGGTGTCGAGCCCCTGCAGATCCGCGGTCTTGAGGAGCAGGCGGTATGCGGACAGCCCCGTGGGGATCGAGTCGCGCTGTTCCCCGATGACGTGGGCGCGGATGGCGGAGCGGATGCCGTCGGCGCCAATGACAATGTCGGCGGTGATGGTCTCGCCTGTGGTCGTGGTGACGCTGCCGGCCTCCGGGTCGCACGAGGCGGCTCCGCAGCCGGTGCGGACGACGACGGGTGGGCCGGGGCGGTCGGGGCTCGTCGCAGCCTTGAGCAGCGCCGTGTGTAGGTCCTGGCGGTGGTAGAGGACGCGGTCGGCGCCGAACGCAGCCTTGTCGAGCTTGACCTCGTTGACGAGCTTGCCGCCCGTGTTGAAGATGCGGAAGGCCTTGTCGGACATGGGCTTGCACTCGGCGAGGAACGACTCGATGCCCCAGCTGTCGACAATCTTGCTGGCGTTGGGCTGAAGCGAGATGAGGGCGCCCGTCTCACGCAGCATGCGTGACTTTTCGAGGACGGTGACTTGTCGGCCGGGGCTGCGCAGGGCTATGGCCTGGAGAAGTCTGGGTTAGAAAAAGGTCTTGCTTGCAGCGAGTGTCTTTGCGAATATACTTACAGTTGACAGGCCCCCAATGCCGCCTCCGACAACGAGGATCTGGGTGTCGCGGGGCGTGCTGCTGCCCATGATGGCTGTGTGTGCTCCTGTACTGTGGTGTTGTGCTGTTGGAGATGCTCGAGTCTGCAGGGGACAGACAGAATCTGGACAGTGGATGCTACAGACTAGGAAAACACGCGATACTGAAGATGACTCGACACCCGAGAGCAGCTTGGATGACTGAACTTGCTGGCACTTTTGTTGTTTGGGGTCTTGGGAGGGGCTGTAGCTGCGGAGGTTTTGGGGCTGTAGTATTCAGTCTTGGGCCGACCCGAGGTGGGGGGACTGCGGGGGAAGGGACTTGCTCGGCCGGGCACTTGGGGAATCCCCGGCCGTGGACTGCGGGAGTGCTGTCCTGAGCCCCGTCTGTGGCCTTTCGATATTGACAGTGCCCGGCCTAAATAGATGTGGGTGTGGTCGAGCCATGTTGAGCTCGGGGCCACCATATGCAAAGCACGTCTATGAGCTTCAGTTTTGACCACAGTCCGTCGCCGAGTCTTTGCCTGGCCAAGGCCAGAGTATTTGCCAGATCGAATATTCTCCGTCAGGTAGGTCCCCCGTGTGGATGTGGGGTCGGCCATGATCGGTCATGGGGCTAACGACACACAGGCCGGCGAGTGATTTCCAAGACGCCATGTCAGCGGTCGAAGGACGGAGCATCGGAGAGGCTGCAAAAGGGAGGGTCTGATTACGAACCATGGCACAGAACCACGTGGTCATTTGGCTTGGGCCACCGTGATTGTGCTGTGCATGCTGTCACAGATCTTGTCTTGTCATGCTCATTGCCGTCGTCCTCAGCCGTGGTCTGCGTAAAACGTGCCCTTCCCCGCCCTGGCACAGGCACTGACTCCCCTCTGTGCCCCTCTGCGGCTCTAGACCAGGCCGAGATCTCACGCGTCTCCGCTCTTCCCCACCAACCCCGGAGGAAACCCCGGATTTGGCGAGGCAGGCTTACCAAGGCTGGGCCAGCCATTGGCTGCCCCGTCCCGGGGTGGGCATCGGGAATGTGGAGGAGGCACTGCGTGGCCGGCCTCGCCCGGCTAGCGTCCGACGGCTGGGCACCCCCTAGGCAGGACTGGCCCCGTTTTCCGCACGATCTGGGGTTTTACCGGGTGCAGGCGTGCGACCGGAGGGCGCCGGGTCAGGCCCAGTAATCATGGAGGATGGGAATCTGGGAGAGACTAGCAAGACTTGCGGGTGAGGGGATCAGATTCCCCCGATGCTCTGTCCCCCCCTTTCCCTTCCAGCACCGACAGGTTGGTCCCCTCGATCAACCTTTATTACCCCGTCTCTTCCCCGCACCCGTCTCAACCGAGCCGAGTCGGCTCGCTCTTCTGCCATTACCACTCTGCCCATCCCTCCTCGTAGGCATTGACGTTGACTGGCAGCACTGAACAGCAGCACACGAGGCCCGCCTGCTCTCTCGGCCCATAATCGCCTGATCCAGGGCCCAAGCAGCTGTCTGACTCAACACACCCTGCCCTGGACAAGACCCTGTGGTGATCACCAGCCATGGCTGTGGACAGCACCGCCACAGCATGCCTCAACGCCAATAGCAAGCGCACCTCGCTCTCGCCGTCGCCGCCCGCAGCCGCACACGCAGGCACAGACCCGGCTTTGACCTCGACAGCTGCAGGTGGTGACCGGCCCTACCAGAAACGGATCCGCCTGTCACTGGCCTGTAATCAGGTATGTTCCCAAGGCACATTCTATCAACCAAGCTCCCCTCCCTGACTGACAGTTGCAAAGTGCCGCAAGCGCAAGGTCCGGTGTGACACGACGCTGCCCAAGTGCCGCAACTGCGTCCAGCGCAACGAGCACTGTGAGACGTCGGACCTCCGCCGCCCAGACCACGGGCCGGGGGTGCGGGCCCTCGCCATCAAGGACGGCAACCAGCAGGCCCGCCAACAGGCACCGCCACAACAGGGCCAACCGCGCAGCTGGGACGACGATGGCCGTGATGGATCCATTGCAGACGCTCGAGATGATGACGGCGGCTTGACAGAAAACGACGCGGACAAGCAGCACCAGCGCCCTGCACCTCCCCGCCGGACCCAGTCACAGTCTTCTCATCATTCTAAGTCGTCACGCCCACCAGCAGGCACTACCACGAGTCCATCCCCCCGATCCCAGCGCGAGCCAAGCCACGCTGCCACCTCGACCCCAGACTCGCGGTCCCATCGCCATGCCTCCGAGTCCGCCACCTCGGCCAACGGCAGCACGAGCGAGGCACCAAATCTCTCCTGGGTGCAGCGGGCGTACCGGGTCGCCGCGTCCGGCACCCACGGCCCGGATGGCAGCGGGCCTAACGGCAGCAGCAACAGCAATGCCGGCGGCGGAGGCGTGGGCGGTGTCGAGGGTGGCCCCGAGAACCTCAACGGGTCGACGCCCGACGTTGTCGTCAACACGGATGACACGGCGTACCGGGTCAAGTTTGTCGGCGGCAGCAGCCTGCAGTGCCTCTGCACGTTTGTGGACCTGCACCTCGTGAGCAAAGGCCTGCGGCCCGTCAGCCCGGGCTTCAAGCAGGGCATGCAGTACAGCGAGGAGTTTGAGCTGCCCCTGACGCCACACCTGCCTCCGTTGCCCGTGCGGCCCGAGACGGACGGGTACGTGGCGGCGTTTATGCGCCGCGTGTGGCCCCTGTACCCGGTCGTCGACGAGACCACCGTCGCCGCCGACATTGACTACATCATGCAGGTCCAGGCGCTGCACGGGGAACGCTTCGCGCGGCACCTGCCGCAGCTGACGCTGCCCACGCTGGCCGTGACGTACGCGGTCCTCGCGCTCGGCTCGGCCGAGCTGGCAGGCCAGGCGACGCCGCTGTCGACGTCGTACCTGACGGCGGCGTACAGCCTGTACGGCCACCTGATCGCGCTGCCGTACACGGTGAGCGTGCAGGCGCTGTTCCTCATGGCGCTGGCGCTGCGGGCGCAGATGCGTGACGGGCAGGCGTGGCAGGTTCTCGGGCAGGCTCTGCGGATCGCGTACTCGATCGGCCTGCATCGTACCTCTCCGTCCGCGCTGGCATCTTCGTCTCAGACCAACCAAAAGATGAATGGAGCAAAGGGGAGGGGACAACCCCAACAGCAACCACAGACACCACGCCGCCCCCCGCCCGGGTGCTCGCCATCTTACACGAGCGACGCAGGGCTGCACAGCCGGCTGTGGTGGTCGTGCTACGCGCTGGAGCGGCTGGTGCAGCTCGAGTCTGGGCGGCCGGCGGTGGTGCACGACCGCGTGGGCGACGGCATCAGCAACATTGACAGCGACACGTACAACAACAACAACAACGAGCACGCGCCGCCGCCGCGCCTGCCGCAGATGCTCGACCCGGCGACGCACGGGTCCGAGTACTTTGTGGCGTGGGTGTCGCTGGCGCACATCATGGGCAAGATCTCGGACCAGTTCTACGGGCAGAAGCCCCGGGACTCGGTCGAGCTGTTCACACGGGTGTACCGGCTGGACCAGATGCTGACCGAGTGGAAGGACACGCTGCCGGACAGCGTGAGGCTGAGGAAGGACGCCGTCGCGCGGGCATCGAGACACGCTGCTGCGGCCAGACAGGCCCGGCACGACAGGCACGCCACCACCAGCAGTAGAAGCAGCAATAACAACAACAACAACAACAACAACAACAACAAGAGTAGCAGCGGCGGCGAGGACAGCGGCGACGAGGAGGAAGACGACGACGACTACCCGCCTCTGCCGGGCACACATCCGCACGACGCCTCTTCATCCAAGTTCGAGTACCAGCACCACCTGGCCAGCTTCCTCAGCCTGCAGCACTACCAGGCGCACATCACGCTGCTGCGCATCGCCCTCATCTTCCCGCACGCCGACTTCCTCGCTGAGATTGCCAAGCAGCGCGAGCACCTGCCCCGGAGCTACCACTATGGTGGCAACAAGCACAGCGGGCTCAGCGCGCACTCGCGCCTCGTCAACGGCGCCGACATCTGCCTCGGCGCGGCCCGCTCCGTCATCACCGAGGCCACCACCCTCGCCGACGACGCCGAGCGGTCCGTCCTGCTCGGCGCGAACCCAATGTTTGTCAGCGCCATGGTCCTCGCGCTGGGGATCCTGCGGCAGCCGACGCGGCGCCTGGCTAGGGCCGACTTGCAGCTCTTCCATCTCGCGCTGGAGCTCGTCGAGGAGTATCTGTCGCGGTGGGTCGTGATGGGGGGGCCGTCGGGGTCGAATGATGGTGGTACTGGTGCTGGACAAGAGGATGGGGACGAAGAAGGAGTGGTCACGTCAGGGGGTGGCGGTGACGGCGGAGACATGATGGGTCTCGTGGCGCTGCTGAGGGACCAGATTGATGCGTATCACACACACTTCCGCACTCGGGGCGCCGCGGCCGCGACGATGGCGTCAATGAGCGGTGCTGGCGGCGGCGGGGGCAAGGCGTCTCCCTATCTACATCAGCAGCAGCAGCAGCAGCAGAAGTCGGCCTCCGCCCATACCACCGGCAGCATCAACTACAACAGCAACAACAGTGGCGACAGCACGTCACACCAGCACCATTCAGGCCAATCCCCTTACCAGGACCAGAGGCGCAGCTCCCAGACCGGTCACGGCCAGGCCCAGTACCAGCACCCGCTCCACCAGCTGCAGCAGTACGAGCAGTCCCAGGCACAGCACCAGCAGCAGCACCTCATGGGCCCGCAGGGCTTCTCGGCGTCGCACTTCACGTCATCCTCGTCCGCAACCCCGGATTCCAACACATCCACAACAAGAAATGGGAGTGTTGGCGGTAGCAGCAGCAGCAACACAAACAACAACAACAACAATGACATGCCGCCTCCTCCGCTGCCAGGGGCGGAAGGCTTCAGCAACGGCGCGGAAGGAGTAGGAGTAGGAGCAGGACAAGGCGCAGGAGGTGGGCCGGGGACACCAAGCCAGGTATTTTCGCCCAGTGGACTTGGTAGTGCTGGTGGTGGTGGTGGTGGCGGCGGGACGAGCAGTCTGTCCGCGCTGCTCACGGACGGCGGCACCACGGTCTATGATCACAACAGCCACAGTATGGCACCGTTCATGGACGGCAGCATGGGATATATGAATGGTAGTGCTGGTAGTGGCATGGGTGGGGCTGGTAGTACTCTCGGTGGGTTTATGCCCGGGAGCACCCCAAGCTCGATGATGATGATGGATGTGGATTCGTTCGAGGGCCTCGCGTTTGACGAGCTCTGGAATATGATTGGGACTACGGACGGGAGGGGCGAATATGCGTTCTAGCTTCATGGTCCTGGTTCGGGGCACAAAATGAAGAGCGGGCTAGGAACAGGTTTGATACCCATCTGTGTGAATGAAGGCGTTGACAATAGTATCAGGCACATGAAGTGTAACGACCAACAAAGGAAACAATGGAAATTGTTGATCATAATCAATACACCAATAAACCGGGGAAGCGTGACTAAACTGGGTTCTCTCCCTATTACTTTGCCACCAGCAGATGATGGTCTTCGCGGCGCTGACCTGACTGCACTCTCGTTCTCTGTCCCATTGTCCTGCTGCTCAAAAGTGTCCGCATCTGGAACTGCTGGTGTGAAAAATCTGTACCATTACGTGATGGCTGGATTCCGGGAATGTTCCGGGTCCTGCAAACTTCGAGTGCGCGCGAGTCCAAAATGTCCCAGCCGAGAGGAACGCCACGCATGACCCTCTCGGGTGTCGCATGATGTGGGGAAGCAGCATCAGGCACGGAATCACGGGGAGCAGGACAATTCAATTCCTGCTAATTGGCCCGCCCAGGAAGATGGAATTTTGTCCATGTGGCTCAATGATTCGTCCCGCTGCCGAACCTGAACCCCGATTCAGAAAACCTGGGGTCTGTGGGCCCCTCTCGGCTGGGGACAGGCCGGCCTAGCAGGGTTCGTCATCGGACTGGCCGGTCGGTGGCTTCGGTTCGGTTCCCCAGACTCCACTCCACCTCCCTCCTCTTTCGCCTCTGTCCCAGGCTACTACAGCATCCGCAGCAAGCAGTCGTGGGGCGTGGCCCCCTCCACCGGGCCCTACACTCGTGCTGGTCCAGATTCTCTGTTGCAGTCTTGAGCTGTGCTGTCGCTGCTGGAGGTATATCTACCCCGGATTGCCCGATCCATCCACTGACTTGGTTGGCAGCATCTCATCACAACCACCACCACATCGAATATCTCTTTTCCATTGCTACGAATCTAGCATCTATATACCCCATCTTACTTGATTCCAGTTTCTAGTCCTTACCAAGCCACACGCACAACCATACACAATGGCCAGTGTCTCTACTGCCCTGCAGTCCGTCTCCGAGGGCCGCCTCAAGGTCGACGGCACCGACCCCATCTACAACGACTGGCGCGATGACCTGGTCCGCGATGGCTTCGCTGTGATCAAGGGCGCCATTCCCGAGGACCGGGCCCTCGGCTACGCCGACAAGATGCTGGCTCTTGCCGAGTCCTTGTAAGTCTGGTCCCACGAGCTGCCACGCTGGTGCTCACTACACTATCTATCAGTGTGACTCTAAGAATCTTTCACAGCGGCCTGGGCTACAAGCGTGACGACCCCTCGACTGTCCACCCCGACAAGCTGCCCGTCATCAATGAGAAGGGCATGCTGCTCAACTACGGCGCCCCTCACGAGGACTTTGTGTGGGATGTGCGGTCCGAGGACGGCGTGGTCAAGGCCTTTGAGAAGGTCTACAACACCGAGGACCTGATTGTCTCTTTCGACGCCATCAACTACGGCTTCTCGAACCGGACATGCATGCCCGCCAACAAGCCCTGGCCCCACCAGGACCAGGACCCGGCCAAGCCGGGCTTCCGCTGCCTCCAGGGCCTCGTCAACCTGCTCCCCAACGGCCCCAACGACGGCGGCCTCATCGTCTGCAAGGGCGGCCACCTGCTGTCCGAGCAGTTCCACAAGGACATGATCAACGAGGAGCGCATCCCCGCCTGGACGCCCGAGTGGTACGGCTACACCGAGGCCGGCATGAAGTGGCTCGAGAAGGCCGGCCTCGAGTGGGTAAAGGTCGAGGCCGCGCCCGGCGACCTCATTGTCTGGGACTCGCGCACGCCGCACTACAACGTCCCCGCCAGCGAGAAGCAGGACCGTCTCGCCATCTACACGTGCTTCATGCCCGTCGCCGATGCCACCCAAGAGGACCTCATCCGCAAGAAGGATGCTTTCGAGAGTGAGTAGACACCTTGGCCCCTGCATTTACATACCTCGCCGCTCGAGAATCTGCGTGCTGACATGTTGGTCCTTCTTCCACTTCACAGAGCGCCTCGGCACCACACACTGGCCCAACGCCCGCCACGTCGGCTCCAACGTCGCCAAGCGCAACGGCAGCGAGGATCTCGTGTCGCGCGATCGCCCGCTCAACGAGCCCAAGCTCAGCGAGCGCGCCTTCAAGCTGACCGGTATCCCCTACATCAAGGCCAACTAGGCAGGAACACGGGTGAGAAGGGGGGGGGGGGGGGGGGGGGGGACAGCGAACAGTGTTGATTAGCATAATGTGTACATGACGAGTCTTGCTTTGGCATTCTGCTTCCGCTTGCATTTCTTTTTTTCTATCTATATAGCATGTATTGGTTACCAGCTGGTAGTCAGACGGAAAGCAGGAATCCCCGGTCTCGCCGGCGGAAAGACGAGCCAGTAGAGGAACAAAACAAACAAAGTAAAATTGATCAAACCAAGTAACGTCCTGTCTGTCTCGACACTTGCGTGCGCTTGAAGGTTGCTAGATTTACATGGCCTGAAAAGGCCACTTCTGCTCGCTTGTGCAGGATGGCAGCTGAAACCACGACCTTGTCTAGTAGGGTGAAGGAAACACGACACGTTCTGCTCGGCATAAAAGCACACATGGTTTGATAGTGCAATAATGATACTCCGTGGTAACGATTAGATCTATTCACCGGACAGCCAAGTGCTACTCATTGATATCCTTCTTACGGAAGGCTGCGAGGGTGTGCATATCACATTCTTCAATATTTGTCTCCAGCCCCTCCGATCATTCTCGTTCGAAGTCTCGTTCGGCTCTTGCGCATAATTCCTCTGCATCATTCCTCTAAGGCATCTTGAACCCGACATCCTCGGTCCTCCTCTCATGCCTCCTCTGGTCCGAGCTGACCCAGTAGACCCCCTTGCGCGCACTGATCAGCGGGTCCCCAGACGACTCGATGCCCGACACGCCGCCCTTCTCCGGGACTGGGCTGAACGCGATCTGCTGCTGCGTGGCAGCATTGTCGGACAGGACCTTGTCCAGCACGATCTTGCCCACGGGGATGAACGTCTGGCTCGCGTACGGCTGCGTCGCGTCCTCGAGCTTGCCCGCGTCCTCGGGCCCGGGGATGTGCGCCTGGAGCTCCAGCACGAGGGGCTTGGCGGGGAAGCGCGTGAGCAGGTCCTCGTGCAGGTACGCCGGGGCGAGTCCGGGGAGCTCGTCCTTGGTGTACAGGTGCTCGCCATCCTGCGGAACGAGGCGGTAGCGCAGGTTGGTCTTCTTGCCCTGCGCGTTGGTCAGGACGTGCGTGTTGGGCTGGTAGTACACGATGGTGCCGTAGTTGTGCGGGTTGGGCTTGTCCGCGGTGAAGAAGGTCTGCGCCTCCGGGTGCGACTTGAGGAACGCGCCCATGTTCTGCTGCGCGTCGGGCTTGCCCTGCCGCAGCGCGAGGATCAGCCCCAGGAACGTCAGGAAGTCCTCGCCCGTGCGGGTGGCGAACCCGTTGAACGAGTGCGCAATCAGGTCCGTGTACGTGTCCCCGCCGAGCTGGAAGCGGATCGCGACGCCCTTGGGGGTCGCCGTGTCCGAGGCATCGGGGATATTGGGGATGCCACCGCCCACGCTGAAGCGTGCGGTGATTGGGGTGGATGGCTTGTTGAAGTGTGCTGCGGTGGTAAGGTTCTTGGCCTCGGGGGTAGGGGTGAAGGTTCCTTGGACGAGGAGGCCCTTGGCGTGAGCTGTGAGCTGGTTGTTAGTGACACGCTCTGCATGAAGATATGGGCGCAGGGGAACATACTTGTGCGGTAGCCCTGGTGCTTGCCAAAGATAGCCTGCATGGCATCGACAAGCTCTTGGGAGAGGTTGTCGTTCGAGTCAGTCGTGACAGACTCGACGTGAGCAGTAGCGCCCGCCTTAGAAAAGGCAGGCTGTTTGGGGAATGTTGTAGTCATTGTTACGGCTTAGCGGTCGAGGACAGGAATAGAGGGGATGAAGTTGTGGGTGAACTTTTCAAGGTTGGTCCTGCTTCGAATCCTGAAATCCAACGTGTGCGACTCGGCACTTCTATATTACGGCGTCAAGCAAAACAAAACCGCATGCGGATTATGCTCGGGACTTCTGATTGTGCTTGCGATCAATAGCAGCTGCACATAGTTCGGCGAGTAGAACAAGACAGTTATGGTTTCCTGTGCTAGGCGACCGTCTCGCCAACTCATGCCAATCACGTCGGCCCACTTGTTCCAGACGTCGTCAACCAAGACATGAGCTGAGGTGTGTTTCAGTACCGCGAAGCAAGCCGCCTCCACCTAGGAATGCTGGAATGAGGGGTAAAACTTTCTCGAAGCAGCTCTGAACACTCTGAAGAAATTCCAACGAGTCCTCACTCGCACAAGTCTAGCTTGTCTTCCTGCATTCTACCTTCAGACATGTGCCGGCCTTGGACCAACCCGAGGACAAGATGCAGTGACTTACAGGCGGTGCCGTGTTCAGGCCCAGAAGGGAGGTCTTCGGACTTCTAATGAGCCCGAATCGTTTTCAGTCTTTCTTCAGACCTTGCAAGTTCTGCATCCGGTCAGCGCTGACTACTTCCTGCTTTATGGCGGATCGTGAAACTGCGTGTCCTACAGTTACACGTCGCATCACCAAGGTAGACTCGCTGTATGCAGAATAACAGCGCATCACTCTCAGCTGAGCTTGCATCGTCATCATCCTCAGTCCTTGGCTGCGTCCAGGCTTAACAACGGTATCTGGCTAGCCACGGTATTCTTCATGTCCCTCGCTAAGGAACCTGGCACCACCAGATTTGCACGAGCGCTTGGAGCTGAAGGGCAAAGCCTGAATCAGGTGGCATATTCTCAATGCAGCTGGCTCATTCGACTAGTCCTAGACATGATCTAAATCCTATGCGAAAAAAACTCTCATAACGTGTCTCCCCACGGGCAAAGTTGCGGTCGTCCAATGGGCACCGACCTGATAATTGTGTGTAAGGTAGCGTAAGCTAAGACACCACGCAATACCCCGAGTCTTACTCGTGCCCGGCGCAGTCGCAAACGGGACGTGCCGCAACCTTAACTCAGCCTGTCGGCGCTCACTCCGGCGAACCACTCACAGGGTTCACACATTTTACCCTAATGCGGACACGAAACATGCCATCCGTGCCCAATTGTCTTCAAGACATGCGAACTGGGTTTTCCAGTTCAGGGTCCAGGCTTAGCCTACAGGTCTCTTGTAGCCAGTCTTGAGACACCATCCCCTCTGCTTGAGCCTTCAGGATAGTACCTGCATTGAGTTTGGTGAACACACTATGCTGGGCTCTGTCCGAATTTGGCGATCGACCTATCACGAGAATAGGAGGGGAAGGCAGAATGCTGATTCCTATAAAGCGACCAGACGTGGCAGCAATCTGTAGCGAGGAAAAAGACTCATAAACAGCGACCAGTAGATTGTCATTCATCCAAAACACTTACGACATTACCAAGCACATTCGCCATGGGGACAGCCATCCAAGCCAAACTCGATGCTATCCTTCGGGATAGCAATGACAGCAGAGTCCTCCAGGACGATCTCAATGTCTTCGACAAGGGCTTGTTCCTGGCTGAGCTCAAGAGACAAGGCGTGGCCTTCAGCACTGACAATAATGGCAACGTCGACGGATCTCTTGTTGCCAACCGCGGTCTTCGCACTGGCACCTACAAGGGAACCAAGCTGGCGGCCCTAGAGCTGTACAAGCTCTATGATGACGCGTTCGTCTCCTCCACTCACAAGCACTATTCCAGCTTCGTGACTAACCAAGTCTACGAGCAGCATGGGTTCGTCTTACAACTCCCAAGGTTACGAGACCATCTTCCCCACGGAGAGGTCACTTCAGCAGAAGCGTGATCTGTACCAGTGGAGCAACCCGGCCACTGACCATTACCCGCCCCATCTGCTCACTCTGCCGGCTGGCCAGCCAAGCCCGCTTGAAATCTTCAATGTGAAGGAGTTGTTGTTCGTGCAGAGCATCGCCAAGGCGATGTCGTACATCATTCCTGATGACATTGCTCACGAAGGAACCCCCTACATTGGGCCTTCCCTCGCCGATACCGAGGCCTACAATAGGGACCCAACCAACAGATCCCCAGCCACGGATATCATGAACGGCCACAACATTGGCGAGCTGGCAGACTGGTACTCGGACCGGCGCTTCGCGCAGCAGCAACTGAGCGGTGTCAACCCATGCACCATCGAGTTGGCCCCCAGGGACACAATCACCAAGTTCGCTGCTGAGGCGGGCAAGCAGGGTCTCACGGAGATGCAAGGACGTCTTGCTCAGGGCAAAGACATCTACATGCAGGACTACTCGTTCTTCCGTGAGGCCACAGGATATACCAACGGTGAAGAATTTGTCAACCACGTCCCCAACTTTGACCCACGGTACCCCGATGCCAAGGTGTATCGCTATGCCTCGGCTCCTATCGGCCTGTTCCAGCTGCACGATGACGGTCGCCTGCACCCCCTTGCCATCACCATTGACTACAAGGGTTCGCTTGACAAGTCTGTCACGATCTTCAACAAGCGCCTGGACCCAGACTCCAAGGCCGCCGTCCCGGAGAAGGACGACTGGCCGTGGCGGTACGCCAAGACGGTTCTCCAGGCCGCCGACTGGGCGCGCCATGAGATTGCCGTGCACCTCGTCGACACCCACATGATCGAGGAGGCCGTCATTGTCGCCACCAACAGAACCGTGCCGGACGACCATCTCCTGTACGAGCTCTTGTCTCCACACTGGTTCCGCACCCTCAGCCTCAACCAGAGCGCGCGGTCAGTGCTCGTCCCTGCCGTCATCAACCGCATCGGCGGCTTCGGGCCGCAGTGGCAGCCCCCCGTCGAGGGCGTGCCGCTCGCCGACAGCAACGCGTACAAGCTGATCCGCTACGCGTATGACCACTTTGACTTCCAGGGCAAGTACGTGCCCAACGATCTCAAGAAGCGCGGCTTTGATGTCGAGGCCGAGCAGCACACAGACAAGCTCCGCAACTACCCCTATGCCGCAAACATGTTTGTCCTGTGGGGTGTCTTGAGGGACTTTGTCAAGACGGTGCTGAGCATCAAGTACACCTCGGACCACCATGTCCAGCAGGACCCCGTCATCGCCAACTGGGCCAAGGAGATCCAGGTCGGGGGCCAGGTCAAGACGTTCCCGACCATCACGACGCTCGACCAGCTCATCGACGCGTGCACCATGTGCATCCACATCGCCTCGCCGCAGCACACGGCCATCAACTACCTGCAGAACTACTACTACAACTACGTCCCCTCGAAGCCTCCCGCGCTCTGCACTCCGCTGCCCAAGGACCTCCGGACCCTGCAGGCCCTGACGGAGAAGGACCTCACCACGGCGTTGCCCATCGGCTCCACCGACGCCAAGTGGAAGGACTGGCTGCTCGCCGCCCAGCTGCCCGAGCTCCTGAGCTTCCGCGTCGAGGACCAGTACAATCTGCTCACCTACGCCAAGACGCTGCACGACATCAACGTCAAGCGCTCTCCCGGCGAGGCCAAGAAGTTTGGCAGCGACGTGCTCGCCCAGGCCGGCGCGCAGCTGTACGGCCGGCTCATCTCGCTCAAGGCGCTGTTCGAGGCCAACTCGGCGTTCCAGACGCCCGGCACTGTCGAGTACAAGGTCATGAACCCCGACACCACGGCTGTGTCTATTCTGCTGTAGGGTGTTTTCTTCTGGGGTGAAGAAGCGGGCCGGGTGGTTGCGCAGAAGCTGGGTGACGGAGGACTTTGACACAAAACTGCCCTTCCCACGCTTGGCTCCAGCCTAGGAGGACGACGGAGTGGAGAAGCGGCCGCAGAACGAGAAGTAAAAGTAGTCTATTCAGTCTTGCAGTCTCAACTATCTGGGAAGCCACTGGAATCGGCCGCGTTATGCCTTAGTGACAAAGTCCTGGAACACTCCATCCCTGAGGATTGCGTGGCCTAGGAGATTGCTCCAAGTCAGTATATTTCTCAGGCCTACGGATTTTCTTTGTCGTAGCACTGTACCCTTCAAAAATGACTATCAGATGCCACCATCTACAGAAGCCACCCTGATTATCATTCGCAGGGCGTGTTGAACTTTAGTGAGGGGATTTCTCACACCCGCAGTTTCTCAAGTGTAAACCTTACACCCGAGGTAGAATCACAACGTCTGAGTCTAAAGCACCTCGTGGTCGGGAAAACCCGTTTACATAGTGTCTAGACAAAGCGAGCTGATAATGTAATGAGATGATGCACATGATTGTGCGTGCGCAGTGGAAGCTCAAACGAGCGTGCCACTACTTTCAAAGAACGTAAATACTCCCCAGCTGCCAGTACCATCTGTTTCCCCCCAGATTCGCAAATGTGATAACATGGAATATCTCGCAGCTCCCAAAAGTGCTTCTCAACGCCTCAGAACTTCCCACATCACACGGCCCTTTCACCCTGAACGCGTCCGAGAGAAGCCTCAGGCATCAACCGGAGGCACCGGCACCAGCTCCTCCTCGAGCTCGGGCTCGCTTTCGACGCCGCGCTTGCAAACGACCCTCCCCTCCAAGCTACGCTTGCACCCTGGCGTGATGTAGCAGCGGCAGGCGTACTCGGAACGGTTTGTGCCGCCACAGATGTCTTTCATCTGGCCCGCCGAGGCCTGGCCGTAAGAGAGGCAACTGAACCCGCCGCTGGGGCATCCGCAGTTTGACTGACAAACAGACTTGTTGATCTCGGTATTGCCAATCTTCCAGCTGCCAGTCTCTTTGCCAGAGCACTTCATATAGTAGCCATACGCCTGCCGTGTGAGTAAGGAATGAGGGTTGGCGGATGCGTCGCCAGTGTCGGGGGTTGGGTCGCCAGCCGCGCGAACTGCGAGCAGTCCCGAAGCGAGGAGCCAGAAGTTTGAAGGCTGCATGTTAGGCGTTTGAGTTGGCAGATTGTGGGTGTAGGATCGTGAGAATATGGTCGCGAATGAGGTTAATATAGGACAAGATGGACGTTTAAGGCCGGACATCAGATGCCCTTTTATGATCGTCCACACGTCCTTAGGTACTTTCCGTATCCCATGGGCTTCAGCCTATCTCAATGTTCGCACAACAACAGTCTTACTGATAAGTCTTGTGCAAGCTTCGAATGGTTGGCGGCTTACCGCGTCGTCCCGCAACGAAGCCCCTCCAGCATAGCTTCTCCCATCAGTCAATTCTCCGGCCCGCCGTGATTGGCTAGGATAGAGGTACTCGCAATGGGGTATATTGTGACTAGCAATAACTACCATGGTTCTAGGATGCTCCTTCGTGTCCGGCCTCGTTGAATGCAAAAATGCGGGGCTACAGATGCCACGATGGCGCTATCATGGTAGTGAGAGTGGGCGCATTCTCCCAACGGCAAATCTAGATGTAAGGTCAAGGGTATGATAACCAGCCCCCTAGTGACTCAAGGCGGAACCTGGAAGAGGAAGGAGCGATTATAGCCCGATCAAGCCTGATCCTGTGACCTATCAATCGTGTCTTCATATAAAGATCCTCTTGACAGTAGCTTGGAGATAGTTTGTCTTTGTGGTAGTATGGCTGAGGATATAGGAGTGCTATAGAAGAGGCTCGGGTAATTTACTTCGAGGCATAAATACCTAGTTGGTTTTGAGATGATACGATTGGAACCTTGCATCTGAAGGACAGCCTGCTGTTTCATTTTTCGCCTCTTTTATGGATATTTGCCCGCCATGCTTTTTAACATGCAGGTTTTGGGTACCGGCGCCGATGGGTAGCCCGATACGAGGTCTTTCCTGGACCCGATCCTGCTTGAAGACGTTAGTATACGACTGATCGGCTACGGATAAATCTTTCCGCAGGCCATGTTATTATGAGAGGTAACGTGCATAGGCAACCTGTCGGATAGGGACCGATTCTGGGACTCAGGGGCCACGGTCATCACCCCCGTTGTCCAGCAAATCTCTCCCCTGAATACCACGTCATGACGATCGCGAGATAAGAACAAACGCCAGTAGTGGAGCCACAATGTGCTAATGGTCGTATCGAAGGGTGATCTTCTCGTGACATAAGCACCGTATACCAATCCCTGCTGAACGAGATCAGCAATACGAGTGTTCATTATAGGCGATGTGCAATCTAAGTAACGAGCCTATAGTGAGCTGAGCAGGACATGTAGCTCATCATAGGCATATCGTGAAAGACCTTGTTCTAGACGTGATGCCAGACAGGGGTTTGCTGCGCGTATGGGGACAGGCTCCACTCAGTGCGTACCTGGTCCGGTCCTGTATCTAAAGTAAGACTCCACATTATTCGCGGATTCGCCTTGGGTTCAAATGCACTTACTGAGGCGAGCCACATTGTTTTCCCAAATGGTAAGCAACATGCGCTGGGTGTATTCGACTAGAGATTCTTAATTCCTAAGGCAAACATCGATGATGGATCGACGACGTCACTAAGATATTGCCACTGTGTATCAGGTGGGAGCCCAGGAGCGGACGAGCTTTGAGAATAAATCGATTGTGACGAGCCGCTCTTCAGCTTTGAATTATACCTTCACCAGAAAAGAATAGACGAGCGAGCATACGAATAACACAAGCACACAAACCCATAGCTGTCGAACAAGCTCAATCTGTCACGTATCTTTACTCAATCTCATTCGCAAAACAAGACTTCCACCATGCTCTTCAGCACTTCTCTCGCAACCTTGGGCGTCCTCGCGGTAGCCAGCAGCGCGTCCCCCCTCAATGCCCGCGACGACACTTGCACCTTCAAGGTCAATTGCGCCCACTCTTACGGCGGAGGCGGTGTGGGCATGCCGCCTTTGGATCAGATCATGTGCCTCACAGCGGTAACCAGCTCGAATGGCGACGTGGTTTACTCGGACCGCAACAGCTACAACCCCAGCGCCACAAACACTGTCACAGCGGCTGACTGGCATGGTAGCGCCGATGTGGTTATCGAAGCGGGCTTCTCGGGCGGAGACAACCAGTTGCGTGGTACGTGGGCTTTCAACGGCCAGACCAATTCCTTCGAGGGCCACAACTCGATCGACTCTGGCACCGTTACTGTCTCTCAGTCCGAGTATACGTGGGATCTGCCATGCACTCCCTAAGGGTTGGTCGTGGCGTTGCTCAACGTTGATCATAAACTACTACACACCGTCGTTCGTACAAAAGCGTGATAAAGCATGGAGACACACTCATTCAACCCCGTCGCTCGTTTAAAGGCCTGATTAAGCATCTAGACACACTCATTCAACACCATCAATATATAAAAAACTCGTTATGTTGCGAGAATCAACGAAGTTCAAGGTGAAGCGTGAAATTCAAGTAAAATTGCTTAGGTGACAGGAGATGCGCAACTATCGCGACATGGTGAAACGGTATAACGTAGACTACCTTGTGTTCATGCTTGGATTCGACGACCTGCTGCATGGGGCGCAGAAGGCACGAGCGTGACAAGCAATGCAGATCTAACAAGTCGCCAAGAATACGCCATGGAGGGCTGGATGTCCAGCGCTGTCCTTCCTATCAACTAGTTCCCGCAGAGAGAGAACTCACCGTCTTCTGAAGTCTTTTCCCAGTTTGAGTGGACAGAAGATAAGATCAGGCCCAAATCGTCGTTGGAGCGAGCATGTGGTTTATTACTGCTAGAACATGCTGGATCTCCATTTACCAGCTGTACAGCACCCGGAACGCCTGCGTCACGGCGTGTGAGCTGGGCATCCATCTACATGGTCAGTCTAGCATGGTTTCTTTAGCTGGAAGGCATACGCTATGGATGTGGGAAGCGACACAGTTGATCTTTCAATGTTGTTCGTCCATGCATTCAGGCGACAAGCTTGGAAAGAGGTGGCGTCGATGAGATCATACCCAACTACACAGAGGCCAACGCGGATGTTCATACATTGAAATCCTTGCTTAAAATTCCCTGATCACCTATCGGCTAATGGGCTACGGGAGAGAAGCCTTGCCGCCTGGTGCGTCCTGACTTTAGCCCAAAGGCCGCCCCTATTAGTTCAAGTTGACATGCAATGGTTGTGCTCCGGACTATAACGAGCCTCTGGACAAAGGTACTGAACTATAGAGGCTATACTTGAACTGCCTGTAAACCCTCACACCTTCCTCCTCTCCACCAGGTCGGAGGCTTTTAGCATTGGAGGCACAAGATTGGAGTCCAATCTGGATCGCAAGCCGTCGGGTTGCGAGTCGTCTTGGTACAGCCGCAGGCCCGAGCGTCTGATTCCACAGCGAAACACCGGGCTAGCGGGTTACTAGTTTGGCAGCTAACACAACCATCAGTCAGTCCGGAAGCTTCAGATTGCCTTCTTTACTGAAAATGGAGCAGGACGAAGGGACTTACAAAGAACAGTCCAACGCCTGGGTCAATGTGGCGACGGCAATACCGAAAGCCAGAACTGACACACGCATGTTGTATTTAATGTTTGACGAGGCGACAGATCTTAGTGTGGTCAGAGAACGATGTGCAGAGCGGCGCTGGATTGATGTTAGATGTGGGATGCGGCGAAGAGATCGCAGGAAGAATGGGAATGAATTAATTTGTAGTGGCTGTAGAGAAGATTTCGCAGAGTCGAGTCGCTTGCCATCACCTAACGTTTGGCATCTCGGCAATACTGTCTTGCCCAAGGCAGTCCTCGGCCATAGGACTAACCTAGGACTTTTCTTGGATCCAAGCTGCGCACAAGACTTGCCATCTCGGAAATTTTACGGTTCAATATCGGAAGGATGCCCCACTGCCATAATTGCGTCTAAACCCTAGCCACTTTGCTGTCTGATCCTTGAAGTATTATGATGCAGGGGTCTGCCTGGAAGACACGAGACAAGGCTATAGCATCCCGTTCCTCACGATAATTCCCGAGCCGAGAGTGGCCCTTTAAACGATGCGGGCCTCTTTGCGGATACCCCAAAGATCGCATCACCGAAATTGTCCGAAGTCTTGGCGACCTCTACCACACCTCGGCCGTCTTTGCCTTTGCTGGGCGGTCCTCCACGCAGCGCAGCATCGACATGGTTGGAGTTCTTCGTTCGCAGCGCTGTACATTCTGTCGGCTAAGGAAGAAAAAGGCAGGAGTGTTGTTATGTACCTGAGGTAACTTTGTCTTGTGGATAGTTGGGCTAACACGATTTTGTCTTAGTGCGACGAGGCGTGGCCGACTTGCTCAGCATGTGCACACGCACGCCGAACCTGTTCCGGGCCACCGGAGAACGGGGTGAAATTCGTGGTCAGCTGGGTGTCAAGTCTCATACCAGAAGGAGACCTAGCCGATCCACCAGATGCGCAAAATGCTACCAATAAGGGTCAGGGTGAGAAGTCATATACTGAGACCATGAACTGAATGACGCAACCTGCGTAGCTCACAAGGACATAGATGCCGGGTCGGCAGAGACGAGCGCGGCATTTGACCATGACTCGCAATGCGTTGTTCCCGTCCGGGCTACTCGACATACGACAGCGACGCGGCGGTTTTCAACCAAGTTTCGAGCAAAACGAACAACGAATAAGCTGTCGCAGCGGCACGACCAACCCGACAAGGCCATCATGATATCGCGACAACTGCAAAGCGGAGCGACATTTCGCCTTCTATCGAGATACATCTCGTTTTCACAAGTCATCTCTCAAGGCTTTGACTTCCGCTTCATGCTAGCGGGCTGGCAACAGTTCATCGCGGCGAGGATCGGACAGAGTGCCCTGTTGGACCAAGCTACCGCGTGCATTGTTGACGCCGCCACTGCTTGGATCAACCGGACGCCGACAAACCTGGCAGTGGCGCACGACTCTATTGCACGAACAGTCCGAGTCCTGAGGCGCGCTTTGCCTCAGTATAGCCCAAGGGACCATGCGGAGTATACGTTGCTGTCCATCGCGCTGATCCAGTTATCAGATGTAAGGAATCAACTGTGCTCCTGATCCAGCCCCCTACTCGGTGTAATAAATGAAGAATCACGGACTTTAACCGCCTCACTGTGCCTCAGGTTCTGGCAAGTGGCTCATCAGGAGCGCACGCGATTCACGCGGATGGCCTCGCTCATCTGACGCTCCGCCTTGGGGAAATAGGCTTCGCGCACCATCCAGTGGTCAGAGTCATGTTCTACAACACAGTCTGCCGAGAGGTAAGTACGCCGTCGTCTGAATCGCTCGCGGCTTATTGGTTTCGTCCGATTCCTGACGGAATCGCAGATGTTCATAGCCATAGACAAGGGCGCGCACTCCGCCTACAGCTCGGCAACGTGGCGCTTCGTGGACGCCACCGGCGTCACCCCGCCGATCCCGGGCGACGAGCCTTTCCAGACCGCCGTACTGAGCTGTTTTCGCAATCTGACGATCAATCTGGCCACCCTCGTCTGCCTCGTGAGGGAGGCTCGTCAATTGCCCGAGGACTTGGGGGCTGGGAACAGGGCAGCTGCGCTGGGCCAGTACCTTTGGTACATAAGCAGCCTCGACCACTGGTTCGACTCACGGGTGACAATGGGTGACATGCGACTTGTTCCGGCCTCGGGCAGGTCTTGGTCGGTCCCAGACCTCGAGCACTGCTTGACATTCCGGCACGTGACGACTTACTTGATGGGCGCGTGCTACTGGCCGTTGCGCTGTATGCTCTGCGGTCTTCTACTCACGCTCAAGGAAATATTGCCCGCCCGGCTGCGCAAGGTCATCGCGGATGCTGATGTCTCCTACGCAAGGCATCTGGCCATGTCGGTCTCGTACGCCGCCGAAGCTAGGTCCGTGCTTCCGCTATACTCGGAGCTCATCCTCGCGCCATTGCAGTTCGCGTTTGCCGCCTGGTACCGACTGGAGCAGCGGTCCATCACTACATCGTCGGACACGGAGGTGGAGACAGCACGTGTCATGATGGACTGGACGGTGCAGGCGGCGCAGGCGCTGGGGCTGAGATGGGGTTTCGGACAAGCGGATAAGGAATCGCTGAAGAGAAGGCATGATGCCTTGATGGGTGGACCTTTACCAAGTCCGTCGTGAAACAAGACGAGGGTGATGGATAGCTTTTACTTGATGATTTCTGTTATCACTGGCGCCTTTGGATGGTGCCACGCGGACTGTAGGCGAATGTTTGGTCTCAGTGAAGGGCTCGTGGAGCATCAGACATGCATAAGTCCAATCGCATTCACATATCCATGCTTCTCGTCCAATCCGTCTATTGGACACGATGTGAGATATTCTTATTACCGTCACTGCGACAGCCTTAGAGCTGCAACCGGCGACAGCGATGAAAGCGGTCACTCTACAATTACGTCACGAATTGCCCAAGGGTGGCTTTGAACTGGACTCTATTTTGAATAAGTCGAGTATCCCACAAGAGCAGCCGAACCCTGTTGGGCAATATCTCTGCAACGAATTCATCCCCGATACGTGCATAGCGCCATGTGCATAGCCCTCCCATCGACAAGGTTGGGCGTAAGACGTAGTGGGGCAAATTTCGTGATCGGAGCGTGCATCTCATCCTATCATTCATCATGGAAACAGAAACTCGCACCCTGGTATCCCTGATGCAGACTATACAGGATGATCGCTCGTATTGCTGACCGACGATGAAGGGGTAACACAGTGGTGGAGGGCATTGACACCCTTAGCCAGGGCTACCCTAAGGTCACAGCGGAGTCCTGCTTCGGCGAGGTTACAGGGTGAGTTATGGCTCAGCCACAGAGAGCCTCACGCAACCTTCATGACGTAGATAAATTTGGAAGCGATCTGCAAAGTACGTCAAACACCAAAGTCTTTGGCAGCCGAGATTGCCCGAGTCCGTATGCTGGCTCTCTTTAGGCTCTGCTCCTCGATCACTGGATGGTGCAAGTCCTGAAGAACCCTGGCCCAACAGTCGACAGTGACGTCTATACAGGGGATTCATCACAGGTAAATCTCGTGTTGGACTTCACATTGGCGTCATCGACTCAAAAAGTCCTTCATCATCGGCGAGCATAGTGAAGACCAGCAGCGAGGAGGTGCGATATAAAATGAGCCAGCTGCCGCACGATGCAGAGCCTTTCTACCAGACTACCACAGACTACCACAGAAACAAACAACATAGCCAAACGCGCCACTTTTGCCTTGATCCCAATCACTCCACCCTCTCATACAACACTTGCATCTTAGATTCTCCACCAACGCCATCATGAAGACCTCGTTCGCCCTTGCTTCTTTGCTTTCCGTCGTTGTTGCTCGTCCAGCAACTCTCGCTAGAGATGCAGCCGTCCCTGCAGACGGAAGCCTGCCTGCCGGCTGGAATTTTATGAACTACAGGGCTGAATGCATCCCTCGCTCGACTTGTTCGTACGTCTGACCCCAATTGAGAAAATACAATGCTTATCCTGCATCCCCGATACCTGCTCGCTGACACTCATCTCACGCCTGAAGCTACTCAATCGACGTGGTGCCAGCCAAGTCTACGGCCCCGATCGCTCACTGCAGCGCTTCTGGCCTGGCTCCTCTGGGGACCAACGGCCTGCCTACTGTGGCATCACGCACGTGCGATGACAACTCTTTCTTCGCCTGGGCTGTCTATTCCCGCCCTGGTGACGGTCAGGCCGTTCAAGTCATCGAGCGCCTCAATGCTACCACCTCGATTGTGGGAACCCATCAGATCTCTCAGGAGGAGCTTCAGCTCGTGATGAACGGCGCTGCTGGACGCCAGAAGTACATTGGCCCAGAGACCGTCACGGTCCCCACCGTCTGGGGTCAGTAGAAGCGCATCAACCGTCCGACGGACATGACAACGAAAGACTCTCAGAGAGATCGCCATCATAGACCATAAGTTGAGAGTTGGGAGAGGGGGGCGTTGGACAGGTTGCACCTTGGTTTTGGTTCGGGCATCGTTTGATTGCATGTCGTTTTTCAAATGCATGTACTTGATTCGGAAGGCCTATGCACTCCTTTACACATAATATACTATATGAGCGCCTCAAGACGATCGACAGTAGAGTGACACAAATAAGAAGGATCCTTTCTTGCGTGTTACTGGTCAAAAATCTCCATCGAGTACCATCTGGAGACTCGTCCTGCGTGTGGGATGAGGCCATGGGCTTGCATGGCACAAAACACGCTAGTCCACAGGGCTGGTCCACAAGAGGAGCTGCACAGCCTGGCCAATCATTTCCCGCTACATCTGTTGACGTACAGAAGCCTTGCCGGAGCCGCCCTCGTAGGGGCCGGCGATTCCAGGTACAAACGGTGTTACGGGCGATTTAGGTGACCGGCCAGTCAGCTATGGCGGGAACGAGGTGGTGTGGCACTTGCCGCCCAGTCCATCTTGCACCAAATACCATTTGGAGGTGGCGACGATCCCATGAGCCCTCGAGCACTGCAATGGAGACTGAGTGGTGGGGGATGCTGTCATGATCTATCGTGAAAGTGGAAGCATCAACACCAATAAGCCCAGCTCGGTGGCTTCGATGGGACGGAGCCCGGGGAGGCGGCCATGACGATGCGCATACTGTTGCCGCATCGGGACATCTTGTGTTGGCAGTGTACCCTTGCCCACCGATAACTGAATATACCACCCCTGCCCCCTGCTGGCGCGAAACAGGCCGTCAACCCTGCCCCGGAACCCTGCGAGCCTGCGCCTCCCAGCCCTACAGTATCGACGACGAGTCCTCGAGCGGCAACCCCGACCTCTACCTGAGCTAGGTGGCCCGGTTGCCCATGTAGAACGCCACCAACGAACAGCGGGAGGCCCATTATTTCGACCTCACCGACAAGGCCCTCGAGGCCACGCAGCGCCTGCCGATCGTGCATGGTCGCCTTGGCCGCAATGCCTCGCGGCCGGTCCCCACTGGAACCATGCACGACGAAAATACGATATCGCACATACAAGATCGAGCCCAAAAGGCACACCGGCGGTGGCCAACCACGAGGTGGGCCCGCCGCTGGTTGCGTGACTTTGCTCTTTCATTCCAACGGATTCCTGTCCGTGTGCCTGACAACAGGGAACCATGTAGATACCAGCCACGCAGGTCGAATATCCCAAAGCCTGCTAGAACGCCGGATATCGCTGAAACGGTGCGCGCGTATCGCTATTCTCGAATGGCTCCATGGCGCGTGAGCATTTTCCATCGAACAGGCCACCGCAGTGTACGTTTGATTGGTGCATATAATTTTATTCCACCTTCCTACTAGGGAGCAGGATTCCATGGTTCCCGAGACCCTGGTACTCCGCAACTACGTCTTGTTTTTTTTGCGGCAGCATGGCAGCGTAAGTTTCGGCGACGAGACACATTTTGCCCGTCGATACTAGTTTAGGGCGCTGTATATAAGCGACATGTCCCTCACGGGGTCCTACCAGAAAATTCATCACCATCACAGTCCTCCAGCGAAACCAGATCTTGTGCCCATCCTTTGACCAGACGACCAAAATTTCACGAACGATGCATTTCATATCAGCTTCTGCCGCGCCCATTCTGGCCTCTGTGGCATTTCTTGTAGGGAGTGCCCAGGCAGTTTGCGCGAGCGGGGAAGTTGGCATCAGCCGCGTGCAAGTCTACAACTACAATGGTGCAAACAACGTGCTCGAGTCCGACAGCTGGGATATCGTGGCCAACAATTGCAACACCATCGCAACAGGAAAGTCGCCATTCAAGGGGAATCCCTGCTCGGCCTCGCCTTATCCCAACGGATATGGTGTGTCGGGATGTGATTCTTCGGGCAAGCCTGGCTCGGTCAAGACGACCGGAGGCAACTTCGGCAACTGCTATAGTCACGGTGCACGTTGCGCCAACGGTCCATACTTCTACTCGGGCGTCTTCTGGTGCTGCAAGAGAGTCTGAACTTAAGAGAGCTTCAGACTAATCCCTTGGCGCGAGTACTTTTCAAATCAGCAAGCGACGAGCGGAACGACATCAACAGAGAAGAGAAAGTTGCGGCAAAGTCGGCATTGGAGGAGAAACAGCAGAACACGCGTTTTCGAAAAGCTTGGCATGACGGCCCGAAGAACAAGGCACAACGCGGGTCAGCCAGGACAATTACCTAAGGGTGACAACCCAAACCAACAGGGGTATGTTTGTGGCCAAAGGACAGCACAAAACAAGGCCGCTTGACCAGGCCAGGGACAAGGGCGGGTCGGCGAAGGTTGGCAGAAGGTACAATAAGCAATGACCCCCACCTCGGTCAGACTAGAGTTCTGCGCGGTAGGGTTCTATTTCATAAATCAATTTCATAGCGATGTTCTGATATAGTACATAGTTAGATGGGTAGCTACCAATCGAAGCATTTTTCGCTGCGTCTTGAAGTACACGCTTTCATATGAAAGAGTAGTTCATCTGGTCTGGAATGCGTTGCTTAGACGTCCCCTTCCAGTTGCTGTCGGTAGATGCAGTAGTGCCTATCCTTCAGGACGTCCTCGTCGCTAGTTATGCGGGCGATCGTACCGAGAAGCTGGCAGAGCTGGCAGCGCGTCGAGCTGCGCTCGGCTTTTTTGAGGGAGAAGTTGTTGATATACACGGATCGCTCCGCCTCGAAGTCTGTGGCAGGGGTTCTCACTTGCCATCCATCGTGTGGTAAAAAGATTCAAGGTCAAGCACTGCATATGAGCCGCAGAGGTGGTCCAGAGGAGGCTTAGGCAGCCTGGGCATGACTTCCTTTGGTGCATGTGTCACGCTGCTGTAGTCGTGTGTTTGCATGCCAAGGAAGGTTGCGCGAGAGTGCCTTGAGCCCGAAGTGGCTGTGGTGAGGGTGGCAGAAACATGGTACACTTGAACACCGCTTCTACAAAAAGGTGGCCGGTTGCAACTCACCACGGCCGCAAGTTCATGACGCTTATCGTCTGGATGCGCGGGATGAGTCTAAGCAGGATTTTCCGGCATCCGCCAGTACAACAAAGGACAAGCTTCTTTGGGCGGCGGATGAGCTACTCCCAAGATGAGCTAGAGACCTCAGCTAAAAGTTGACCCCTACATTCAAGCTTCGGAGCTTAAGAGAGACGGCGCCCAATCATGGGCAGCCGCTCGTGTAAGGCTGTTTGATCTGGATCTCACCCGCGTCAGATGTGGCGGGAAGCTCGTCGACTAATGCACGATCGGTCGCGATAAGCCACAAGCTATTGCCAGCCACCACCTGGCCAGATCAGCTGAATCGCCAGGGAGCTGTTCCATGTTATCGTCACTTGCAATGTTCGAGTGTCGGGGAGGCCACGCATGCTGGCGTCGCGGCTGCTGGGCAAAGGGTCTTGCTTGCACTTCTCAGCGAGTCTGGCAGCCTCCGTCTTTTCTCGGCGTTTGCGGATCAGTTGCTGCGAGCGTATTATCAGAGACATTGCACCGACATAAGACTCGTGCATCTGATGCGAGTCCAGTGGAGGGACATAGCCACTAGGGCCTCAATCTTCCCATGCAAGTCCTCCCAAGGCCAGCCTATGCAGCCCAGCCTTGAAGGTCGAAGGGCGCTAGTGCGCTTTTGCTCACAGCTGGCCACTCGAGGCAATCTAGGCAGGCCTGGCCCGTGACCGAACCAGTGGGGAGATGCAGCCGGGTTGATCTCCTAAAACGCTGACCAACTAGTGCCGCTTGAATCGAGGGTGCTACCGCCAGCAGCAACCGCTCTGACCGGGGACCTGCTCCGTACTAAACGCATGGTCTTGCCGCGGCGCAGGAGGGCCATCCCAGAGTTGTCTAAACCCAATCTTCGAGTATAAAGGGGAGCGGCATGGAGGCTTGATCGACAAGTGAAGCAGCGCACCAAATCCTGAGCACCCTCCACGTCGACGCAATGCTGTTCCATCCTAATCCGCTCGTCCTGGCTGCCACGTTCTTGGGCCTGGTGAGCGCCTCGCCGCTCGATGCCCGAGCTGCTGACCCTTTGTGCGTTGTGGTCACCAAAGCAGTCAGCCTCCTCAAGCAACAAGCAGCGGCGACACAGTACTGCGCCTCGTACCTGTCGATCACCACTCCACCGGCCGTGGTGCAGACGGTCTATGTCGCCAGCCCAACCACCGTCACGTAAGGACTGCGGACCGTTGCCAATGACAGAGTCGATGCTGACAGTAAGCCAGAGTGTCGTACCTGCTGAATTGCGAGACTACCCCAGCTCCTGCCAAGAGGCATGATCCCGCCGGATCGGAACCAAAGCACGCGCGGGAGGCGCCGGACGGTGCTCCACGCGCCGCACCACATCTCGGACAGCACCATGACGAGCGCGCAGTCGCCAAGCCTGCCTGCCTCTCTGCATTCAATGTTGCGTCTGCCATCTCGTCGGCCTGCAATTGCTTAGCTATCACCACCCCTACAGCCTCGACTAGCATCGTAGGAACCCGCTCCCATCCCCCAGAATCCATGCCTAATCCTACAGCAGAAACTGACAGCAGGCGAGCCTTCTGGCGCACCAGGTCACGAGCACCACAACAACGACTGTGCTGGAGACATCGTACACATTCAAAGTCTACGACGAGAATAATCGTTTCGCCAAATTCGTTGGTGGCGACGCCACGGCCCCCGAACCCTTTGCCTTTGTCGGCACCAGCGATACTGCGACAAAGTTCAATTTCTTCTTCAGCCTCGGGACAGGGTGTATCATGTCGACCAGCAGCTTTACCCTTATCGTGCCTGGCTTTACTGCCAATGACGGAGGCGGTCTGGCTTTCGCCCCGCGGGGTACCACGAGCAACCAGCAGACTGGCGAGACGGTGCTGGGAAAGGTCGAGCGCGCCACGGGCAAGTTGACCCTGTATACATCTACTTCGCCCGTCTTCTCATCAGAGTCGGCCGACTCCAACAATTTCTGGAATGTCTGGAGAACCGCGGCGAAGAGCAGCCAGAGTGGTCAGGTGTCGAGTAATCTCCGCGTGGTGGTCATATAACTGGACAAGCTCTTGAGATGCTGGTAGTCTTGTGAAGGCTGCGTCGTTTGTTTCAACGTCCAAGGCTACCCTGCCAGTCGGTGGTAACGCAGGTTGTGATGATGGTGGACTGCCCTCGGTACGGTCTGCATCTGTGACAGGCTGGACGTGGTTGGTCAACACCATCAACTGTACGGGATATCGATGCTAATGATGACGGCGAGGGAGGTTGTTACTTGGTTGTGATGTGACAATTGAAATATGAATCAACCCTTTTGGGAACCACAACAGTGTCAGAAGAGTGATGCTTGGACCTTGAGCCATTATGGGCTGACCGCGCATATTGAATGAGATGCCTTGTCTTCACAACTGCCAGGCCAAGCTGAAATGTCCTGAACTAGTTTCCCTCAGCTGCCTGTGTCGTGGAGTTTTCAATAGGACGAGGGGTTGCTGGGGACATACACATGCATCAATGAAGTCTGACACGCTGCCAATCCTGTGGATTGAGTGGCTCACAACAGCATCCTAAATTGCTATAATTTTCAAGTCGATCGAGTGACTATGCCGTAGAATCATGCGTTGAAAGTGACACATCAAATGCCGTCGAACTAATCAAGCCCCCTGGCAGAGGAGCAGCTGCATTATGTTTCGGACTGGCTCGAATATCGCCTAAGAGGCAGATCAACATTGTCTCCGCTGAATAATCGAATCGTGTTCTTTTCTAGACAATGCAAATACGTTGCCACTTGGCGCCGCCCTCGGACATGATGTCCACGAGGGCAGCTTGGTCGGCCACCTGAGATACTCTACACAAGCCCAATCTTGCCATGACGGGGATGGTGGGTGAAGACGACGGCAGTGCCCAATCCGTCTCTGCCAGAGCCATGATGTAGATATGGCCCAGCCCAGCTATGACGCAGAATTTGCCAAGTCCGCTGGATTCGTCGTAGCCGACGGGGATGGACTTGCATCTGCCAGGGCTGGCTCCCCTGCTGTGCTTTCCGTTCAACCTGATAACCTCTTTCCAAAAGGACCGCCGCCTGGCTGCGCTGTCCTTACCGGCCGGCGGGATAGACCAGTTTTCGATGATCGAGGACGCAAATGCACCAGTCGCCCGCTGCTGCAGGATGAGCCGCTTGGAGCCAGACTCGGCGAAGTACAAATAGGCAGAAAATGTGACAGTCACTAGGTGCAGCTGTGGTAATTTTGACGTTGCTTGCCCACGCAAGGATGGGTCGAGCTGCGGTGGCATTGCGTTGGCCTCGACGCGGTATGCCGGAGGACCATCCAGTTCCATGTAGGTTGGTGGATACGTGCTCGTGGGTTCAGACATTCGCTCCAACCTTGCCAGTGCCATGATGGAATCTGGGCTGCTTACACCGAAGCGGCGCGACAAATCGCGGACCATGGCTTCCGTAGGCAATCCGAGGACATGTATATCTCCCAGGGGGGCAAACTCGAACCAGGCTGCTGACGGACGCCCACTGCCCCTGTCGAGGAACTGGACTTTCATGCCGGCAGCAGCCCAGCTCCACGATGGAACAAAAGGCTCACCAAACATTGGGCGGCGCACCATTTGATGATTTCTTGGACCATGACTGTCGTATTGAAGCACGTGTTGCCATGTCAGCAAGGTTTCAAAGTACGGCAGGGGATGGCCATGCTTGAGGAGAGCCTGCTCGGATTGCTCGTGTGCTCTCGAGGCCGCGGTGGCTGTGACGAGCCCGGCAAACGCCGCCACGCGGTCCTCCTCTACACTGAGCTCCCGGGCAGTGTATTCCTCAACTGAGCGGACAAAGTCTGGTAGGGTGACTACGGTTTCGCGGCCGTCTCCTCCGCCGTTGAACTGCGCCTGGAGACGAGCAGCCATGAGTGGCGGCTCGGTTCCAGTGTCGCCCCATGTCGAGCCGGCTGGTTCTGGCACATACTGTTGCCCGGTGGATTCTCTGAACGTGCCGCTGCTGCAGCTAAAGATGATCTCGGATGGAAAGACGTAGAGGAGGCGGCGTGAGAATACGTATTCTTCAAAAGTCCAGCCGCGCGTGTGCCAAACGGATGCTTTGTCCAGAGTGTTGAAGCTGTGCCTCGCCGGGGCAAGACTTGCGGTTTGTTCTTCACCGTGGCCGAGTTTGAGCTCATAAGATGTCTCTGAGGGCCGAGGCGTTCCGGGAGCTCCAGAGAGTCCTGTGTGCGCACCATCACCACAGGCCGCAACGATGGTGATTTGAGCACCAGCGAAGATATCTTTGATGTAAGGAATCAGGGCCGCTTTCTCCCCGTCGTTCTTCTGGTCGATACAGATGCGATCTACCCAGAGCCACTCTATACCCAATGCCTTGGCCAGCTGTGCAGCATCTCGTAAAGTGGGAGCATAGCTTTCTAGACCCTGCTTTGCTGGGCTGCGGCGGCGCGAGCGTTCAGGGACCGTCCCCCAGACATATGAGAGGGCAGCAAATTCTCTCCGGTCGCTCAGTGCTTCGAGTCTGCCGGTGGAGGTGTTGATTACCCTGAATAGGCTCTTGTTGCGGATACTAGCAAGACGTGCAGATACGTCTTCCAACTCCTGGCGGTGCTGGTGAGTGCGGGTACAGCAATTGAACCATGACTGCAGCATGTCGAGGTCGGCATGAGGCTGGATCAGCAGGCGAAAGCTGTCAAATGCCTTGCCTAGTATATCAATCTTCCATGACCCCACAGCTGACTCGATGATGGCGTCTGCTGCTTTGTTCTCTGCTGCCCTGTTCTTCGCTGTTTCGTCCGCTTCTTTCTTCGCTGCTCCGTTCTCTGCTGTTTTGTTCTCTGCTGCTCCAGGGCCTGTTCCTGGGGTATCGCGAAGTTCTCTTCCGCTTGATAGTGCTACGTCGCCATCTCGGACCACATCAGGGAACTTGTCTCGCACACTCTTGCTTATCAGGCGATCGGAAAGCCCGCTGCGCTTCCTTTCCCGGGCTTCCGATTTCTTAGCTGCACGGCTTGCTGGCGAAGCAATCTTCTGGTTCCTCTTGAGCTCATGGAACCAGACATAGAGCTGCCCGCTGTGCACGAGCCTGGGCGCATCAGCCTGCCGAGCCGGGCTCGCCCACACGAGCTTTGGGCGGATGCAGCAGTGCTTGTCCTCCAGGTCATCCTCGTCGCCAGTCATGCGGGCGCACGCGGCGACAAGCTGGCAGAGCTGGCAGCGCGTCGAGCTGCGCTTGGCAGTCCTGAGAGAAAAGTCGTCGATGTAGACGGATCGCTCTACCTCGAAGTCTGTGGCAGGGCGCGAGGCGTGAGCGTGGCGGGCGTCTTCGCTTGTCAGCCATGGCGCCGTTATCAGAGACTCGAGGTCAAGCGCTGCGCATGAGTCGCAAAGGTGGTCTGGAGGAGGCATGGGGAGCTGGAGCCGGGAAATGGCTTCCTTTTGCCGCATGTGCCGCGCTGCTGTAGTCGTATCTTCGCACGCTAAAGCAGGTCGCGCGAGAATACCGTGAAGCCGAAGTGGCTGCCGTGAGGGTGGCTAGTCTAGATCCGCTGTATGCAGCATGTTTCCCCTCTTTTCCGGGTACTTCTCCCGTCCAGCGGCATCGACGGGATGATCTCAAGACTGTACAGACGGTATGCCAGTAAGGCAGTCAGCGACATTGTCAAAATCTTGATCGGTTATTCACGGTCTGATGACATCGATACTGGCTCACTGATGGCCGCATAAATTGGACATTCTTGCCGGACTTGCCGCGACAGACAGACCAGAGCAATTAATCGCACATCGTGCACGGATTGCGTGACCGTATTCTACCGGACAATGTTCGGGTGCACTCTAGTCATTATGAAGTGGTAGCATTGTTGAGGCCATAGCCATTCAGCAGGGGTAGGATAGCCAGTCTCACTAAAAATGCCATCATTTGAAACTGCCAACTCCTAAACATGGTCGAGTCCAGCTTCCAAGCAGTTCTTGGGGAATTGCTTGGAAGCCCACGGGTAAATGTCGTTGTTCCGTAGAGCAGCCAGTTGCTATTCCAATCAAGCTCAAGTGACCCGGGCAACCACGTGGCTGTCCTTGTACCCGCGACCTTTGTTGTGTAGTCATCTAAGCAACCATCCGAAACTTTAGCTTGTTCCCATTGACAATCTCGTCCTTCTTCGACTCGAGCTCCTTGACGTCCCAATTGACCGCCACGAAGCGCGCCTGGAGCCACTCTCGTCGCTCCCTTGCAAACCACGTCATCCAGTGGGCCGGCAACTCGACCTCGTCCACGAGCCACTCGTGCATCGGCTTGGGCATCCGGGTGCCCAGCTCGGTCTTGATACCGCCAGGATGTATCGCGACGCAGACGAGACCCTGGTCGGCATAATCGGCGGCAACATGCTCGGTCAAGCGGCACACGGCGAACTTTGTCGTCTGGTAGCCGCTGGCGCCCTCGCTGATGACCACGGCTCCGAAGCTCGTCACATTGAGAATTGTCTTGAGCGAGGCAGACTTGAGGACGAGAGGCAGGAAGGCGCGCGTGAAAAGATATATGCCGCGGACGTTGACCTCGAAGTTCATCCACCAGTCCGTCGGGTCCGTGTCAATAAGGGGCGTCCATTCGGACAGGTAGCCGGCGTTGTTAATGAGGAGATCTACGGCGCCGAATGCCTCGCCGACCTTCTTGGCGAAGCGCGACACGTCCTGTTCGGAAGTCGCGTCGGCGGTGGCGCTAAGAATGACGGGATCTTTGGGCCGGCCAGCATCACGAGCGGCCTTCAGCATGGCAGAGACCACGTCGTCGAGATTGGAGCGCGCGGTGATGGCAATGTTGGACGCGCCGGCCTGCGCAAAGGCAATGGCGGCAGCGCGGCCGATACCTTTCGAGGCACCCGAGATGACGATGGTCTTGCCTGAGAGGTCGGCCTTGAGCGGGTCGATATCTGCGTAGGTGTCGTTGTGCATCTTGCCGATAAAGCGGACGGCGGCTTCTGCGCCGGTGTCGCGAACGGCTGCCGACATGATGATTGTGTAGGGATTTCCGTTAATGAGTTGTTTCGTCTTGGGTGTCAGTGGCCAAATGTCTGACTTTGGGAGATCGTCTCTGCCGAGGTATATATATGGGGAAGCTCGTCAGGGCAACGGCTGTGCGGACACAATGACGCCGATATGTCCGTACCCACTATCACCGCCATAGATCGACATCTAGCTAACCCCGATGTGGATGGAAGGAACTCGTCGCCCTCTTCGCGTAACAATAGTCACTGTTCAATAAGGGTAATACCGATATATCCGTTTCCGCTAACGCCGCATAGTTCGTCATAAATCTAGGTCGTGCAGACGGACGGTCCTAGCCTCTTGGCGGCAGGTACCCAGCGGTCAAAAGAGAGAGGACTCAGGGAGGCACCCAAATGCCAAGACCCTAATCATCTGCTGCCCTATCATATATTCACAATAACTCCATCAGGCAGTCGAGCCGGTGTATCAGTAATTGATTGGGTAAGGTTTAGTCAGCGGGCTTAACCTTATATCGACGAAACTAAGTTAGTTATTCTGAGTGTTTGCTCAGAGCCACGCGGCCCCAGTGCAATTATTATGGAGAATTCTCAGGGATCAGAACCAATAACATCAGCCCCAATCGGAAGTACGCTTGAAACCCGCCACAAGCTCACTGGTGATGTGATGTGCTGAGGCAAAGTAAGGTTCCTTCTGATCAAGAGAAGAACAATCACCGAAGGGGAGCTCATCGCCTGCCAGAGTCTGCGGTAGTGCCTCAGTCTATTCCCAGACTTTTCGGGGCCGGGCACTTTTGTAGCATTAAAGTAGTATCGCTACAAACATGAGGGAATGTCTAATCAACGCAATCCCAGTTGCATACACTGCTTAAGATTGAAAAAAATGGAGTTCAATTATGACCAAGACTGCTTGGATATATACCTGTGTTTCTGTTAGTCCGCTCTGGACGAACAACATGATGCGATCAATTCATGGAATAGTGCTTCGTTTAGTACTTTTTTTGCGTGATCTACCCCACCCCAGCACGGTACCTAGCCGGAGCGAACGATCCTAGTGGTACCTACGCTACGTAGTAGAGTGAGTTATGCCAGAGGATGCGGGGAAGGCCTGATCGGCTATTGCAGCGGCTGTTTACGTGCTCCTATCCTATTCACATTCTGCATAATCCCTTAGTCTATTAATATGCCATCTTCCTTTCAAGCACGGAGCTTTCCAGCCCTCGTCGGACCATGGCGGGGGTCCCTAGTGGTGCAATCCTGCAGGAATGCCGCGAGGATTACGTGTCTGTGGAGGGTCTCCAGGTTTAACAAAAAAAAGCGCGGTACTTCCCGCCTGTCCGAGAGTGAGTGGATCAACCGTACCGGCGATTTCCTAGGACTTGCGACTCTACGTGGAGGGAGGGAGGCAGAGGAAAGCACCTGGACCTATCGTTCAATATTGATTTTGCTTCCACTACAATCAAGTATCATTCATGTAGTGCAGGATTTCGCCAATCCTTGCAACCATGTATATCAGGCCAATGAGGCAATTGATCACCGAGCTGACGAGCGGATCGCGGGCTGCTCAGCAGCACTGGAGGGGTTCACGGGCTAGCTAGGGACGCCCTGCCAGACACTAACTGCAATTTCGGCACTGCATGCGAAGTAGCCTATCTGCGGTCAGCACAGGGGTCCAATTAATCGGTCAAACCAGCAGGTTGGGAGCCCGAGAGAGACAAAGATACATGAAGAAGGAAGTCATGACGTATTCCCAAGCTGAAGCTTAATCTTGTTTCTAGAAGGCAGCGAGCGCCTAGAAGGCAAACTGCAGATTAATCAGCCGTGGGCCCTGACGTGCGCGCAGCTGTGATTGGCCATCGGACACCGACGATTGGAAATCCACATCAGTCAGCACGGCAATTCCCGGACAGACCAGGTCTTGCAAATGGGGTCGGGCAGCGGGTTGCTCCTCGCTCGGGGCGGGCCGATGGGGTTTGTCCGGGCCTCAAAGTTCGGTGGGAGCTGCATTGTAAGCGATGAAACATGCAAGACGACCGTCCTTTGAATAGATGCTCCGCGTCCATGCTTTCAGGGGTCACGTTCCTTGTCAGCACATGTCCTCGGCCCAGTGGAACAATTCGTATATAATTTCGGGGTTTGCACAACCTGCAATCTCTGATTCTTGGTCCACGTTCAACTCAATCCTACGCCAGGCATTCTTTTGCTGTCACTCCACCCAAGAACATACACCATGTCCCCTATAGACTCCCCCGTCGTCCCCAAGGGCTCCCTTGTGGTAGTCACTGGCGCCACTGGCCTCATTGGCTCGCACATTGCCGACCAGTTTCTGCAGCGCGGCTACAAGGTCCGAGCGACGACTCGCGATGTGAGCAAAAACGCCTGGCTCTCCAACCTCTTTGCGGAGAAATACGGCGCCGCCAACTTCTCGCTCGTTGCAGTTCCCGACATGACGGCTCCCAACGCCTTCGATGCCATCGTAAAGGGGGCAGCAGTGGTCGTACACACCGCGACCGACACAACCCTCAGCCCGGACCCGACTATCGTCATTCCCGGGGCCGTCGGGATGGTGCTAGGCGCGATGCGCTCCGCGGCCAAAGAGCCCTCGGTGAAGCGCTTTGTGCTCACCTCGTCCTCTTCCGCGGCGCTCGTGCCCAAGCCAGACACGCCGGGCACGGTGACCGTGGACACCTGGAACGACGAGTGGGTCGAGCTCGCGAACCGGCCGCCGCCGTACGAGCCTGAGCGCGCCTATGCCGTGTACGCCGCGTCCAAGACGGTAGCAGAGAAGGAGGCGTGGAGGTTCATGCAGGAGGACAAGCCGACGTTTAAGTTCAATGCTGTGCTGCCCAACATGAACCTTGGCAAGAGCCTTGATGTTGTCAACCAGGGCCATCCTACGACTGCGGGATTGCTGGCTGCGTTGTTCCAGGGGGACTCGAAGCCTTTACTGCTTGTTCCACCTCGTGAGTCCAAATTTTCGCTGTTATTGCCGCGACGCGACCATAGTGCCGCCCAATAACCAACCTCATATTCAGGACTAACGTATTGCTGCGCCTTTAGAGTACTTTGTTGATGTGCAGGACACCGCTCGCCTGCACGTGGCCGCAGCCATACATCCAGAAGTCGTGTCGGAACGGATCTTTGCGTTTGCAGAGCCCGTAAGCGGAGATGCGCTGCTGGATATACTACGCAAAATGTATCCACACAAGACGTTCCCAGAGAACTTTCAGCCGGGACGAGACCTGAATGAGATTGTGCCCCGTGCGAGGGCGGAGAAACTGCTCCGCGACATGGGCCAGGACGGTTGGACTAGCTTGGAGCAGAGTGTGAGGTGGAATACGGAGGATTTGGAGTAGATCACTTCAGTCAATTATATATCGGTGCAAGCTGGATGGTAAAAAAGCAAGTCTAGGCATCATAAATCAAATATCTATGTCGCACTTCCCGCGCTTCCCGAAAGAAACGTGACCTCGTCCAGGAAAGGTCTCATATTCCTGCCGCAAGCAGATCACAGCCGATACTGCAGGTCGATTCCAGCCAGTGGCGTCATGGAGTTGTTCGCCTGGCTGATTGACTACAAGTCGTGTCTGGCGTTCTTGCTCTTGTGACGGATCTTCTCGCCGTACCTATACAGGATGAAAGGAATCGGGATGAACGCGACCGAGATGAAGGCCAAGGTGGAGCTCGCCCATGCGACACCAAGCCTCTCGTACATGGCCCTGGCAAATAGTGGCTGAAGAGACAATGTCAACAACCTGCGCTAAACAAATAGCTCCTTGGATGACTTACAAATCCTGCACCAAGTGCGCTTCTCAGGAAGTCATTGCCTGCCAGGATGCTCGCCACAGACTCGGGATAAGCATCGCTGAGGTAATTCATGACCGAGTTGAAAAGTAAGAAAGCGCCGATGCTGAACCACGCGGTGCCAATGATGGGCATGATCCAGTGGATGTCGGGCCGGCTGCTCCAGCCGAACCAGAACAAGCAGATCGGGATGGCGAAAGCCCCGACAAAGGACGGCGGGAGACGAAGCTCGGGCTTCAACTCCCCATTCTCGTTGAAGTTTGGCTCCGTATAGGCTTTATTGTACCACCAGAAGAAAGGAAATACGACGAGCACACCAACGAGGATGCCGAGAAAAGCGACCCCTTCCAGACCGAGGCTGAAGCCATAAATGCCCGTAAACACGATGGGAAAGGACTCAAACCAGATGTATAGCAGGCCGTAGATGAGTGCAATGTACAAGTCCAGCGCAAACACGATGGGCTCGGTGAAAAGAAGGGTAAAGGGCTTGACGAGAGTCATCTTTGCAATGTCACCCGTAGTCATGTCCTTACCCTGGAACTCGGGCTCGCATATAAGCTTGTCGTTCCCCGTGAGCTTGCGCAAACGGCGCGAGCGGCGGTACAGGATGTTTGCGGACGAAGTCTCGGGGAGGAAGAAGATGAGAACCAGCAGCGTGCCGCCGGACAGCCACATGAGCTCCCAGATGGGCCATCGCCAGCCATTGGCCTCGGCTGCGAAGCCGCCAATTAGGGGGCCCAAGGTCGGACCAGAGACAGCGCCAATGCCCCAGATGCCGAGGCCATAAGTACGCTTCTTTGGCTCATAGAGGTCGCCGATGCTGGCGCCGCCGGTGGCGAGTGCGGGCGAGCCGAAGAAACCAGTCAGAAAGCGGAATGCGAGGAGCATGCCGAAGTTATGAGCGAGGGCTGTAGGGACCTGGAAGGCCACAAAGATGATGAGGGTGATGATGTACACCGGGTTGCGGCCAATTTGGGGAATCTCAGACAAGGGAGCCCAGATCATCGGTCCCAGGCCATAACCGGCGACGAAGAGGGTCAGGCCCAAAGTGGCCGCCACGGTCGAGACGTTGAAGGACGCTACCACGTCCAGGAGACCGGCAGTGTAGATAGCACTGCCTATGTATACGGCGAACGTGAGGAACGTGATTTCAAAGGTCACAAAGACCTTCTTCAAGCGGCCCCAGTTCTGGGGGTTCTGCAGTGCTCACGATTAGCGGAGTGGAGTACACGATTCGTGCTGGTCGTTACATACCTCAGGGTCGTCAGGCCCGTACCAGTCCACAATGAAGTAGTCCTTGCCCTTTTCAGGATCCACAGGCAGCTTCCTCGTGCCATGAACGACATTGTGGTGCTCGATGGCTGTTGCCGAGGATCTTCGTGGGCCGTCGCCGCTGGAGGGCGAGTCGCTGCTGGTCTCGCTGTTGCCATTGTCATCCTGTGGCCCATCAACATGGCCATGTCGAGCGATATTGTGCGACTTTTCAGGGTGCACATAGCGCTTCCACAGCGACGAGTCTTCTTCTTCAGGATACTTGAAGACGCGGCCTCCAGTGAGAACACGCAGAGTGTGCGAAAAGACCGTGTCCCGCACGAGATCGTACATGCTGGGCTAACTTGTGGTGTCAAAATGGCGAAGACTCGTCGTCTGGCTTGCAATTCTGATCCTGCAGAGACATCAGGCTTATATTGGATTGTCACTTTTATCTCATCATGTAGGCCTGTCATTACTTCCGCGTCATAGATCAATGGGGCCTTTTTAGATCGTCTGGCACTTCTCTGAGCACACAACGTGATCCGATTTGGTATGTATTTTTACGATTCCAGAGGATTCCAGAGTGCGGAACGCCGCACACACCTAGGACCTGCCGATCTGCCCTGCACGGATTGCTGGGCCGAGACACACCGATTCGATGATGAAACGTGCGGGTTAGTGGTCGCCTAGCTAGAGTGGTGACGGCATGCCTGCTCGGTAGCGCACCGCTCCGGACCTTCGGAGGATGGACCCTGACTCTGTCACAACGCACGGCGGGCGCTAGCGCACCTCCAGGCTAAATTCTATGACGCCACGGTTTGGACCATTGTGCTTCTTTGCTGTGCTTGTCATTACTAAGCTTTGCTCAAATGCGCGCTTGAGCACAACTAGTGCATTTTAGGCCGCGTGAAATGCCCTAAAATAAGCAGCGTGACTCTTTGTAGATTTGCAAGTATCCGTCACGGGCACCTGGTGTGGTAGAGACAATTGTGCGGGATGGAAAACCAGCTCAAATATGGGGTTTGCAACGCTGCGGCTTGCTTGTCTCTTGCACAGCAAGGACGCTTCGGGCGCATTGGCTGCTCTGAACATTTTGAACCGTGTTTGGTACCCGAGGTCGATGCCTGTTCGAGCCTTTCAACCATCCCTCAGAACCGCCCCAGCAACTTTAGAACTCTGACAGCAAGTTCCCTCTCTCCAGAAAACTAGAGCCTGGAAGACTCAATAGGGCTCACCAACAACGTCTGTGTACCCGAAGCACTGCAGCTTGCCATCGACATTACCAACAACACCATCTACGCAAAATAACGTGGTCAGCAATCATGCTATCTCCAGCCTCATGTGCGGGAGGACGCTTACTCAAATCAATACAATTGAGGCTGTTGGTCGTGCCGTCGGCCCGGTAGCAGGCCACGCAGTAGTTCTGGTTCTTGCCGCCGAGCGCGCCGTTGGTGAGATATGCGGTAAACGTGTTGCAGGAGTCGGCAAAGTTGCCACTATTGTTAACACTCTGGTCAGTACTTGAAATCAGCGGTAGTCTGCCCTAGAGAATAGAACTCACTCCTCGACATATTGAAAGTTACCCTGCACATTGCCGAGGCAGTGGTTCAGGTTGAGCTTCGTGTCGCGCTTCTGACCCGTCGCAGTGTAGCAAGTGCCGGCAATGACGGAGTTGCGGCTGCCTGGGTAGAACTGGTCGATCTTGACCGAGTTGATGTCGCACGAGCTGACGTAGCCGAATTCCCGCTTGCTCAACATTGCGAGGTCGGCAATGGGTGTGGCCGCGCCGAAAAGCGCGCCGAGCTCGGCCGCGATGGCAAGGACAGAAGCAGCACGGATAAACATTATCAAGGATGAAGTCGAGATCTCGGTGAGCGTTCGAGGCTTTAAAGAACAAGATGTGCCGTAGGACTGTGGGTGAAAGTGGAAGTAGTCGTGCTCAACATATGTGGAGGGCAGGCTGGGCCATGAAGTACCTCAGGCTGCGTCAGCACAATACCACATGGCAAATGTCAATATGCACCCTCCAACGTACATGCACATGTGCAGTTGTGGAATAGGTAATATCCCCTACTTCGGCCACGATGGTTATATTGTCTGACGATGTTGACAGGACAGAAGACGCCTCTTGCACGGACCAAGGATCATATGTAGGCATTGGCGAATGAAGACCGGCGAAAGCGAACACGGGCTTAAGGCTCGTTCAGGATGGTCGCTCTGATCGTAAGCCTTACGTCGTATGCATAAGCATTTGCGGGATCGCCCGTTCCCACATGGGGGCCAAAGAATGGATGCCTGCTTCTTCCGCGGCAGTTTACGCCCCACGAAAGCAGCCGTGCTCTCGGACTCCGTGTATGGACGTGCAGTGCAGACCTTGTAATTCTTACCTCGAAGGATTTGCCGACCACATGCACTGCAACGCACTGGATCCGGTCCTGGATTGCGCGCGCAAATACTTCCACAAAAAGAAGTATTTCCTCTTTCGATTGAACAACGTGGTCTGACCGCAATCCTGGTAGGTGAACAGAGAGAAAGTAATAGTATGAGCATAAATGAGCGGTGTTTGCACTTTCAATCCACCTCCTTCAATGTACTATCTTGATCTGTGAAGTATCATGGAATGGATCGTGTACCGTGCCCTCGTATTCTTGGGACACATATCTTCGTGACTTGGCAGTTTATCTGCAAATGAGCATCCAGGGTAATCTAGCTCAAATTATCTCATAAATGGCTACTTGCCTCGACACGCATAACTCGCTACAGACCCATGATCTCTATCGAAGCACGAATGTACAGTCGATAGTACCTTGTGCAGGTCGGTACATTCCCCGAGAGACAACGGCGAGACTCGTCACGATGTTGATGCTGAAAACTTATTGATCCAAAGGTACCATTCTTTGAATTATGCTGAACGTCTAGATGTACAACACCTCCGAGGTAAGGTGTTATAGCTATCACTAATAGCCAAGAATGGTATAATGGGATACCGTGAGAGCATTCATCCCGCCTTCGCCTCGGAAGTGTAGGTACTACATGAAACTTCCCGTGGCTCGGGCCATGAGGGGTGAATGTTGTCGTCGAAATAAATGTCCTGTTTTTCTTTGCTAAAGATCTACAGCTTATCAGCCGGTAAAAAGTAGGAGGGCTCTTTCGTTCCGTCGGCAATTTTGTATCATCATGTTCGTCCTTTGTGCCTGCTCGCCATACATGATGTTATTCGAATTGACAGGCTTGATTGGTCTTAATAGCAAAACTTCTGGTGATATATTGGAGCTCTAACCTGACGGGCCGAAACAGTTTTGACTCAGATTGCTGGACATTCTTAAGAGTCTCGACCCGTTCGCCCGTGGCCAAAACCCTCCCCTCCCGGAGTGAAATAACCCACAGTTTGCCATCTTGCGAAAAGTCTAATGATAGGTCAAGGCGCGTTGTCCTTTCCACTTGCGAATTCGACCTCGCGCGAGCGGCGAGTCTTGAATTGCTTTACTAATCGTGTTTTGTTGGCACCGAGGCTGTCGGAGCCACTCCGAAAGAAAATGACATCCGCAGCGCACGGCCGACACGAGCAATATCTCTCCCCTTCTGGTCTAGGCAGACGAGCCGCGGAAGCAATCCCAACCCACATACGGACACTGCCAAGTCTGTTGGTGGTTTCTCTAAGCATTAACCTCCTCCGCCCGACCTGGAACAGCTTGCCGGGTGATCATGTATCTCCACCTAGGCTGGCCAGCTTCTGTAGATCGACGAGAGGGGCACAGGAACTTATTTGGCCAGCGGGCCAAGGAGTTCCTCGGGGATCATACTAGGATTTATGACTAAACTATGTCTTCCCACAGCCCGCCCTAGCGCCAGGGCGAAGACTCCGACACATAAGTTGACGCACCATGTGGACACTAACTACAGTAGCTCATCGGCGCAGCAGTCTCCACGGGAGGTTCTGGTTTCGTAAACGACTTCCCAGGGCTAGCCTCCCGATTGGTTGGGCTAAATCCAGTTTCCGTGCCGTCTCTTCTCAGTACGCCTGAGGCCCTGCCGAGCCCTTGACCCTGCTAGCTCTGCCTTCAGCCCCCGTCCGTCTAGCTTGAAAGAGGCAGTCGATTGCGCACGGGGCGGTCACAAATCAGAGGCGCCGCATCCGCCGTCGTAGCGCGGTGCCCGCTGGGGCCGAAAAGCCGGGCCTAGGAGCGGTGCTTGACAATCGAGGCACTGCACGATAGAATGTTTCGACCAAGCCGCATACCCAGCATGGCCAACTTATTTGCGGCGAACCATTGGTAGAACAGCTTATGGAGCCCTCTGTCTATTGCTATTAATCTATAAAGTAATTCTTCTCCATTGATCTCCTCTAGGACATATTTCTCGCCTGGCGGCTGTCCCCCCTTACGCGTACTTGTAGCAAAGGGGACCAGTGAGCGGGTTGAGCAGGTCACGAACCTTCTTCGATCCGGACAGACCACCGAAGCCAACGTCAAAGTCGGCTGTGATGTTCGAGTAGGGGATGTCACCGAAGAAGTTGAAAGGGTAGGCCCACTCCTTGTCGGGTCCGAAGAAGTCTGTGCGGCGGCCAGGGGCTGGAGCGAAGGGGAGAGCCAGTTAGCCACAAGACAACAAGACTTGGAGGAGAAGGTCTTGGGGGGAGGGGGGGGGTGGTTGGAGATCACATACCGCTTGCCTGCCACTGCTCCCAGATGCGGTCCAGGTTGGCGTGATGGAGGAAGAAGAGGGGGCTGATTTGTGTTGTTAGCAACCGTTGAGTATATCGTGGTCCAGGGAGGTGAGCACAGGGGTTTAAGACTCACTCTCCGGGGGACGAGTTGACATTAGCAATGTCACCACTGTTGCCGCCGATGCCGATGTGGACACTGGCGTGGAGGGTCATCTGGTCGGGCTGCAGGCCACCCTGAAGACGGATGTTGAACTCGTAGAAATTCGGGGCGGCAAGAGCCCAGTTGACGACAGAGGCATTGCCAGCCTGGGTGACGATGTATGGGCTGATGTCACGGCGCAGGCAGTGGGGGTCGTACCCCAGAGTATCGCCAAGCGCCAGGGAGACGTTGCGCTTCGCAAAGGGGCCGTTGGGGACACAACCACCACCGCTGCGGCCAGGGACAACGAACGGCAAGTTGGGAAAGGCAGCTGCCTCGGCATCGGGGATATATGGGCCATTGCCACCGAAGCCGGTGACCGGGTCCAGCACAGGAGACTTGAGAATGGCGGCTTCGCTGCCCGCGTCAAGGGCCAGTTTCCAGTAAGGCTGGGCACCAGTGTAGCCGCATGTCGTGCGGAGCTCCTGCTCGTAAAGAGAAATAAAATAACGGTGCCATCTGTAGTTGATCAGTCAGTCAGGGCATTCGAGTCAGCATGCCAGGTTACCATCGGATCTTACGGGAGGAACGGTGCCTGAGAAGTATATATGTGTTAGTTATCCAGTTTGAGGCGAATGAGTGGTTTCACGGCAGGTGGGGTGGGCATCACGTACATTCCAGTGGATGTTGGGGGTCAGATCCACGTGGGAAGCCTGGAAGTCATCGAAGCGAGACTTGGAAGCCGAGTAGAGGTTGGACAGCTTAGCTGGCTTGCTTTGCAGGCACTTGACAGCCGAGATGTAACTCTGCTTCTGCTGGGTGGTCAGGGTCCGCCTGAATCGCGCGATCAGTAAAACCCTATCTGAATAGATCATCCCGTTGTGGCTGGTCAGCAGCGACTTACCACTCCTTACGGATCAGCGGGTTCGAGCAGCAGGCCGGCGAACTGGGTTTGCAGCCACCAGGAGCAGCACCATAGGGAACGGCGACGGCCAGGCTGAGTGGCAGCGCCAACGACAAGAGCTGAAGGAAGTGCATCTTGACAGGACGGACTGGAGACAGGTGGTGGACGAAGATGCGGAACGGACGGGGAAGCACGGGCCGTAATGAAAGGACAACGCCTTGCAGGATGTGGATTGGCTGTCTGCTACTGCGCTGAAGAGACCAAACCTTCCGTGCTACCTCATGCACGGCGATCCTACGGTTTTTATCTGCAAGGCCCGCTTGGCGTTGGCAGCGCGGCTCCGGGGCTCTGTCCGGGGACTACATGCATCTGCGAGGCCATGCTTGGAGGCCAATTTGCCAAAAACAAAGCGTCCAGGCCGCGCGTGATCCACATTTGCCAAAGACTCCATCGGGGCCCTGCTTGCTGCGCCGCTGCCAGTACACAGTGGCAAGTTTCTGGCTTGGAGCATAGGCGTCCGGGAAGCATGACTTTGTTCAAACTGGAGACGCGAACTGCGTACTCGTATGAACCGAGACACCAAGCTGCTGAGCCCAGCCCTGCTACTCTGCTCGGATGGGATACTAATAGTGTGTAGGAGGTGCGCGGCAGTCAGTTGATAAGAGGCGTACGCCGCACTTTGCCTTTACGCCTGCCTTCGCAAAGGTCATGTTGAGTGGAAGCTGTGCTGTCGGTCCATTTGCCTGTTTGAGTTGTGCCTCCCTAGGGCGTGGATGCTGATGACTAGCCCATGTCGCCATTAAATAGTGTCGTCCGAGTGCGGGTTGGCAACGGTGATGCTACCCCACACATGGGACGCGGAAAAGGGGGCGCCACTGGCGGACTTCCGGGGCAGGATCGGATGCTCGTATGGAGAGAATGGAGTAGACAGATACAGACCCTTCCAAGTTCTGCCCTAGGTGTGGGTTCTCACAGCGGAGTATCCGTCCTCGCCGCATTTCGCCTCGTCTGTCAGACCCTAGCGCCCGGGGTTTCCAGGGACCGCAACTGTAGGTTTCTTGCCTTGCTGGGCCATGTTGGCTGGCGCCACAGCCCACAGCCGTCCACATTGAGTCAGTTGCGAATCGCCCGCCCCTGCTTGTTTTTGTGAACCTCTGACACATAGCAACTCCACATGGCATCCACCCGGGTGCCTCCTGCAACCAGCAGCCGGAAGTCTGGGTGGGATCTTGGCCCTGGCCATCGCTGTCATCCACGATGGATGTCATGCAGCTATAAAGCACGAATGCATTCATGATCGCTCTGGTCAGGGTCTTCTTGGTAGACATCTTAAACTGGTCGAGTGTCTTTGACTACGATGAGGTCCGGGTTTCTAGAAGAGAAGTGGCGCGCGGGGGCCAGGCCGCTCACTTCCGTCGGCTTCCGGGACGACAAGGGTGTCAGCAATATTGGCTGCGGCCTGCAGTTTCCGACCCTTTGTGCCAAGGTGCCTTTGGTCCCAGCCGATTTCTGCGAACACCCAGCCGTGCGCAGCCCGGCCGTGGCAATGGTACTTCACCTCAGCCGGCGAAGATCGGCCCTCTAGTATACTGGACGAAAGGCCGATAGGGCTCAGTCATGGCATGCAGCATTCCTGGCCACGCCGGGCCGACCACTTCATGCACGAAGATACACAGCTAGTCGAGGCTAGTCAAGACACTCTGCCGGTGCATTGGGATTTTTCAAGTAACCCTGCCACTTTGGAGATGCACACACGGAGGCCACCCCGGTTGCAATCCTGGCCGTGCAGACATGCAAGGCCCGAAGGTCCCTAGGGAGACCAAGGTTCCGGCCACGGCAAGACATGCACACGTGGCTGCAGAATTTGCCAGCGCCACGCATTACCTTCCAGAAAGGATCCGAATCCCTTCCCTTGCCTGACGACATGCTACAAGTCGCCAATCGGCAAAACCACATGGCACCGCTCGGTCCCCCCTCTGCAGCCGCATCGCAGCCAAATTGTGGTTCACAACCGCCAGCCAGACGAAATATTCCCCGCGAGCCATCTTGGGATCCATCTCGCCCAAAGCAGGTTCAAAGGTACCATAAAGAAACCCACCATGGGTCCCACCGTACAATCGCAACCCTCCAGCCAACAAGACTCCGCCGTGGTGGGCAACATTCGCGGACAAATACACGAGACGCACGGGTAATTCCGTGGCTAATCGTGGCATATGGGCGCGCTCGTTTGGGCCGGGGTGGAGAGGGGAGGACTGGATGTCCTGCGCTAGAGCAGCCACGATATGTAATGCGAGACTGCGGCTCGCTCGCCCAAGTCGTCCCGGCCCATGTAGTTCTCACATGGCGTCAACTAGATTGCGCTAGGGGCCGGGGAAGTTGGTCGAGCTGAGCAAGGCACAGGCAGGTACCCTGGCTAGCACGGGACCAGTGGAACTTCTGCCAAAGACTACTGGTATGTTGCAGGCAGTGCCATGTTGGGCTGAAGAATATGCAGCTCGATTTGAGCCCTGGTTTCTTCCGCGTCTCACCTGTGAGGGCAACATTCTAGGCCCGAGACTCTTTAATCTCTCGGGACCACTCTCCACAGCCCCGGTTCGCATCACTTTGAAGTGTCCGCCATGGGTTCCTGGGTCGAGCGGATTCAAATACATGCAGGCGGCGCTCGTGCTCTCCCCGTCGCGGAGAAAACCTTACTGCACATCACTTCAGCAAAGCAACCGGGACTCTGCCCGCGTTCTGAGCGATCCCTTCCCTCTCGGACCAGGCGAAGCTTTTGCTTGGCCGCCCCGCCAAAAAAAACCAAAAAACCAAACACGATGTCGGACCAACCACCCCCGATGGCATCGGACGATGTCGTCCTGCGTGACACTCCCGGCTACCGTGGCGACACGCAACTCTATCTCAACTCGTTCCTCATCGCCTTTTCGGCCCTCTTTGTCGGTCTCCGGCTATACGCACGATGCTTCATGGTGAAGCGGCCGGGCATCGACGACATAATTGCCGTGCTATGTCTCGGCTGCCTGGTCGCCCTGTCAGTTATGGAAATCCGCCTGGTGCAGGTTGGCAGCGGTACCCACATCCGCTTTGTGTCGGAGAACAGGCTCTTTGCCTTTTTTGACGCTTTGACAACCCAGAGTCTTCTGTACTTCTGGTGTGTGTGCCTGATGCGCCTCCACATTGCCGCATTCCTGCCGAATCTCCACAATGACAGTAAGTTGGGAACCCTGTGACAGAACGAGAAGCGGTAAGCGAGACTTAACATGTGAAACTAGAACGATACGTGAGGCTCGTCTGGGGTGTTGGCGGCATCACGCTGGTGTCGACCATCATCTTCTTCATCGTCAAGATGACGAGCTGCAAGCCCGTCAGCGCAATGTGGCTGCCGCCTTTCATCGCCGCTGACATGTGCATGTCTGGGAATGCGCTCGACCAGATGATGACAGTCCACGCAGCGCTCGGTATCGCGATCGACATCAGCCTCGTGGCGCTGCCCGTCTGGGTGATCTACACCAAGATGATATTCTCGAAGCGCAAGTTCCGCGTCATCCTCATCTTCGCCGTCGGCATCTTCGTCATCATCACTGGCCTGGTGCGGTTCATCCTGATTCGGACGACCCCTTTCAATGAAGACGCGTAAGTCGAACCGCCTTGCAACAATCTCAATCCTCTTTCAGCCATGCCTGCTTCACCTCTCACTGACTCACACTTTCTCCCACCAAACAGTACCTACTCAATGAGCACCATCGGCCAATGGACCGATCTGGAGGGCCACGTGGGCCTCTGGTGCGGCTGCTTCCCGGCCCTGCAGCCCATTCTCCGAAGCTTCCTGACCAGCATCGGCGCAAGCCGCCTCCTCTCGAGCTCCAAGCGCAGCCGCACCGGCGGCGAGGCCTACGGCTACGGGCCCGGAAAGGCCGGCCCCAACGGGTCCAGGGGCTGGAACCGATCCAACGCCATCCCGCTCTCCTCGGGGCCTAAAGGTGGCACGAACCATGACGACAATGACAACAATAGCCAGAAGGGCATCATCCAGGACGACTTTGAGCTGGTGGAGGTGGGGCGTGGGAAGAACAGGTCTCGCGACATTGTCAAGAATACACGCGTGCAGATTACATATCAGGAAGGTGGCTCGTCGAGCGAGGAAGTGTCCAAAAGCGAGGTGTGGACTGGCGGCCGGGCTGCATGAGAGGATCAGCCGGTTCGGAAGACGAGTACTTTGTTTCATTCATGATACCTGTTGTAGTGTTTGCAAGAAGCCCATACATTTGTATGACCCCAATCCAGCTCTCGCTCATCTGCAAATCAGACAGCCATTCTGTTGGAACCAAGTGACATGACGGGAATCGAGCAGACTGAGCTACGAGTCGATCGCGGGATGAACTACCACGGAGCCTCACCTCCTCTTTGTGAATCGAGACACTCCAGACACACGACGGGTCTCGCCAGGCCCGCAACCGGCCGGCTTGGCGGATGATCCGGCTCGCAAAGCCCGGCCAACCCCCTGGGGACAATCTCGGTTTCGCTGGAGCCGACAGAAGACCTAGCCTAGCCAGGATATTGCCTGCTTCGAGACCCAGTGGCGATCACAACCCCATCGCAAGCGCAGACTGTGCCGCAATCCTCCACCAGGATGCTCTCCAATCGCATTGCAACCCTGCCGGACATTGAGCTCCCCGGACATGATAACACGTGATGCTATTGCACAGGGCGCGCGCGGCGCGGAGGTGGCGGAGCGGGGAGGGGGGTTTCCTTCTAGGCCTTCGCCGCTGCTGCTACTGCTGCGGCCTCGGCAGCCTCGCGCTTCAGAAACGTTTGAAAGATGTGCTCCCAGTCTGCCATGACGTCCTTCTCGGGCTTCCAGTCCAGCAACTTGGCCGCCCGCGACGGCCGCACCCGCATGTTGATTGCGTACATGATGGCAATGTGCATGGCCCACGAGTCCTCGGGTGGAGGCGGCGCGTTCTCGTCGTACTCTTGGCTCGTGCCCCCATACAGAGCCTTGCGCGCGGCCTCGTGGACATTGACAGACTTGATATCCGAGGTCTTTATCAGCTGGGTCATTTGCAGGGCCGGGACGATCCCCTGCATCCACTCGTGGAAGATATAGTTCTTGGCCGAGCCAAAGTAGTATGCGTCTGGGCCCCATAAGGTAGCATCGGCACTAGTAACATCACTCGGGTCCCCGGCTGCGGCGGCGGCCAAGGAGCCCAGGGCGTCGGCGACCAGGCCTTCGTATATGCGCGCGAGGTCGTCCACATGCACCCAGCCAAACTGGTTCTTCCCCTCGGCGATCTAGAACCCCGTCCCGAAGCCCCGGGCGGTGGTCACGATAGCGCCAGTGCTGATCGGCACCGGGTGCTCCGACGAGAAGGGGCTCATCCCGCCGACCATGACGGGGCTGACAATGGCGACGTGCAGCTTGCCCGGCGCGTGGGCGGCACGGACCTGCCGGTCGGTCTGGCTGTGCGTGTGCGCCACGTCGAGCTTCTTGATGTCCTCGAGGTCGGCAATGTCGTCCCACTCCCGGGCCTCTGGGTTGCCCGTCGGCTCGTCCCAGATCAGAGACGCACCGGCGGTGTGGATGTAGTAAGCCTTGGAAGGCCCCGCCGAGAGGCCGTCCAGGACTTGACGATGTGACGTTAGCGGTCGAGTCTCGTCATGCTAATTACTTCATTCACACGCCGCACACGTGATTCTGAAGAGAGTCATCAGGACTTCAGGGGTCGTCGACCTGTACTGCGCCACATACCAGCGTTGATGCCATCGTCGTGGGTGATGTCAGGAGCCGTGTTGATTACAATGTCTGCCGCCTCAGCTTCGCGCTCAAGGACGTCGAGCGTCTTCAGGTCGCCGACCACGCATTCGAGGTTCTTCACTTTGGGAAACTTGTCCTGGAGGCGGGTAGCCTTGTCCGAGTCCCGGACTAGAGCTCGGATTTGCAGATCCTTTGTGAACTTGTCTTTGCTGGTTAACAGGTGCAAGATCGCACCACCGATGTGGCCGGTCGCCCCGATGCTTTCCCAGTGCGCGTGTGGAAGTCAGTCGAGACGGTCCCTCTCCACGATGAAACCCCACGTGTATAGACAGAAGATAGCTTACAAGAATACTGTTGGCATGTTGCGATGTTATGGTCGTGCTTTAGGGATGTCGACGCGGGGGTGCTAGCACTAAAGAGAGCAGCAGTCTCGTATCACAGCTTGGATGTGGCCAGAAGCAAAAGCTCGTGGAGGGGAAGTTCGCTCACGAGCGGCACACGGATGAGGGGCAGACGAACTCCGGAAACAATGCTCTACCTCATTCCCACCTGCATGTGCCTGTACCGTTACGGGTAATGCGGCTGATCGAAGACTGCGTGCCGAGTGATTCGTCATTTTTCCTGCACGACACAAGTCAACCCTGTCCAGCCTGTCCGAGTCTGATAAAACTCGGCAGTGACGAGCCAGGCCGTGGAGTCGAAGCAAATAGTAGAAAGCTTTAGGATTCTCTGATCAAGATCTAGGATTTCCTAATCAAAACGTTCGATCATATTGTAGATCTACATGTCGCAAACTTCGAGTCCAAGCCTGGACGAAGTTGATCACGTCGAGATTCGGTCGAAAGAGGTCAGTGGAGGGGCAACGTGCAGATGGGCGCTCAGTCAGCCATGCCGATACAATCTATTCATGGTGCATTCATGATTGTGACCCCTTGGAATTGCGTCTCCGATTTGATGCAGCTAGTGGGCAACAAATGCGTGAGAAAGAGTCATTGCCGTTTCCCTCACTAAATCAGATCCTTACACCTTTCATAACTCTCAACGCACTAGACCATCCACAAAATAATTTCCCACGAGTTGGTTGCATGCCACACCCCGATTGGGCCGAAGGACAACTGAACTCATACCCAGTCATAGTTCAGCTCTGCCAGGCCCAATACCTACCTCATTTTGGAACATTGAAGTCAATACCGCAATCCCTCACGGGTGCCTCTCGTATTCGGCTCGTATTGCATGAGAAGCTGATATCTCGGACCAGAGAAATGACCTGATCTCGGCACACGGACCTGGCCGTACAGATCCCCCGGCCCATACCACTTATGGTAATTCTGCCTTGGCAGAATTCTAGGAGGCCAGACCTGGGGCAAGACCTGGCTCCTGCTCCCCCTGCACAACCCGTCGTTGCCAGGGTCCCATCACGGCTGAGGACCACAGGTCCCTGTATCCTTGCAACGGTGGAAGGATTCGATCACCCCTCATTTTCAGGGACCGGAACCTGATGGTCGGGTCTGTTGGGGGGGGGGGGCTATCTGGCAGCGTGCGTTATATTAGTCAGGAGGTGCCAACTAATAGTGGTTGCCTTCTGGGTTTGTCATCCGCCTGGCGAGAGAGTCGCCCCTAATTTCTTTCCTACGGTAGCCAAATTGCAAAAGGGAATCGCCAGTAGATTATGGCGCTTGACAAGCATAATGTCGGATTGCATGATCACAAGCATGGGCAGGCAAAGCGAGGAAAATAATTCATTGCTACGTAAAGTGTCAATCTTGTTTTTCCCTCTACTCAGCCCGTTACAGTCCGTGATGCCTAATCTACCGTTTTCGTACACCACAACCCGTTGGCAACCAACGATATACATCAAAAGTTGCATCTAACCATTTGATTTACTCCTACAGCTCAATTGGAATCTGACCTTCCGCTCCAAAGTTGTTGCCTGCAATAAAAGACCCGCCCCCTGAACCAGCGATCGCGCCGGCAACGCCGGTCCAAAACTCGCAAGTGCCCTTGGCGTTCTGGCGGTCCTCGACGTCCGTGACGAACGCGCTCTCCTCCCAGTTCGCCATGCGGACCGTCATCACATCCTTCATGAAATCGCCGTCGCTGCCGTCCGCGAGGGGCCAGGTGGGCGCCTTGCCCTGCTGCTGGAGGACGTTGGGGTCGCCGCCGGACGCGGCGAAGCTGGCAAAGTAGACCTTGTACGCGAGGGGGATCCTGTTGAAGTACAGGAAGGCCGAGTACAGGGTCGCATCGGTCTCGTTCATGCCGTTCTTGGTGAGCATGTGGTACGCCTCGGTGGCGTTGTTGGTGAACAGGGGCGCCATGTCGGAGCCGTGGTGGGCGAGGTCCTTTGTGGGGAACGCGTAGCGCATCATGTACGTCTTGTCCGGGTACGCCGAGAAGAGGTCGCGCGTGTTGCAGGTGAAGGAGGCGTCGCGGATGACGGTTGTGATGCACTTGTTCCAGTCGCCGAGGAAGTTGATCCGGCAGGCGTAGCGCTTCTTGATGGCCGCCCGCTGGTCCGCGGCGCCGCTGCCGGGCAGGAAGGACTCGAGGAACTGGTCAAACGTCTCCTCCGAGGTCACGTACTTCGGCCTGAATATGGCGGCCTCGTTGGTGCAGTGCGAGACAATGGTGGACTCGATGCTGGACTTCCAGTATTTGTCTAAAGCGCTTTGAGTTAGTTCTATTACTTCGTGCGGAGCTGCTTGTTGTGACAACATTCAGGAATAACTCACCATTCGCAAAGGCCAGGGGCGACAGCGTGGTAATCCACTTGCCATCCACGGACGGGCCCAGGAGGAACAAGCCGCTTGTGGCGACCGTCTTGTACAGCTCCTGATTTGCCTCGCTCATGTTCTTGGACTCGCGCAGGCAGTCAATGTCAAACTCCTCGCCGCAGCCAGCCAGAGCCGAGAAGCTCTTGTAGATCTGGTCCAGTCCGCCATTGGGCTTGTTGTCCCAAGCCCACTGGTAGGCAGGGCTCTGCACCACAAAGGTCTTGAAGGTCGGGTCGACCTTGCCGTCCTCGCGGATAAGGTGGTGCAGGACCGAGCTCGCACCCGCGGACTCGCCCCAGGCGCTGACCTGTTCCTTGTCGCCCTTGACCTTGCTGATGTGGTTCTGCACCCACTCGAACACGAGCGCCTGGTCATATAGGCCAGCGTTTGGCTGCGCCACGCCTTGCATGTAGTCGCCCGCGAGCCATCCATACGCTCCCATGCGGTAGTTGCCCGTCACGAAGATGGTCTGGTATTCGCTTGCCGAGATGATGCCGCGGCCGTTGTACAGCACCGACCCGCCGTGGTTCTTGGCGCCAAAGGCAAAAGCACCGCCGTAGATCCAGACAACGACGGGCAGCCCCCCGTCGAAATCTTCATCAAATACCCACTTGGGCACGTAGATGTCCAGGAACAGGCAGTCTTCCGACTCGGGCACGTGGGGCTCCTTAGGGTCCTCGGGGGCGTCGATGGGGTTCTCGCCTCCTGGGGGGTTCTTGAGCACCGAAGGGTCAATTTGGATGCAGTTTCGACCGTCACTGACGGGCTGCACGGACGAGTTGGTCCACGAGGGGAACTGCGGAGCACCAAAGCGCTCGGGAATCTCGCCGAATCGGACGTTTTCAAAAATGTAGATCTGGAAGGCACATTGTTAGCTGTGAAGGGAGCAGATGTGGCGAGCTCGTTGGACCGTCTTACCTCTGGATCTTCCGCGAGCTCCCTGGCCTCATAGATGCCCCATGGCAGCTCAATGCTCGGTGCCGCCTTGCGAGCGAAAGCACTGTCGAGGCACGAAACCCCTAGCAGGCCAATAATTAATGATGACTTCACCATGGTCAACAGCGTTCTGCTTTGATCTTCTGCTCTTGACTTCCGCGACAGAGTAAAATGTTAAGGCCACATGCGTAGAGGAGTACAAGGCCGACCTTTATACTCTAATAATGGAGCATGTATAATTCCTTTGCCAAACTGTCGCAGTTGCTGACACCCGGACATGACGATACTTTAGCCATGGTGTCTTAGACAGTGGGATCCCTGTGCAGATCATGGACGTCGTCGGTGGCAGGCCCGCACATCCCTTGCTTGCTGCTGAGTCGCAAGACACACGGGACGGGACGGGACGGGGTGGAACGCAAAAGGGCTAAACGTAGTACCGCGCATTCGAAGCAACTAAGAAGGCCTAAGCACAGTAATCAAAAGTAATTGGCGGTTCGCCCATGCTCTTGATTACCTGAAGTTGGAAGAGAAACATTATAGCTTGCACCCGCGACACTTCTCCATCCATGTAAGGTGACAACTCGCCCTCCGCTCTCAGAGAGCCTTCTGGCCACCATATCTGCGTGATGACCTCGTCGAGATCCATTACAAATCCCTCGCTATCTTGAACCTTGTCCAGAAGTAGCGGTACACATGAGACCCTATTCCACAATCGTGCCGCAGACGACCGTTCAATCAAGTCAACACGGCGATCCGTGCACCCCGGCCGACCTCCCTTCACTCCCATTCCAACATCGTCTTTCCCAACCACATTCTCCACCCCGGTGAGGTAGGGGCGACTCCCCAGTCTGCCGGAGACATACGGGAGATCCCGCTCCTGCAGGCCCAGGCAGAGAACTAATCCGATCCTCCGCATCGAACGCGCCACAGTCCACTGCAAGTGCCAATCAGTCAATGATCCGCGCAAGGCTGAGACGGGCCGTTCCGCACGCCAGCCACCCCTGCCCCGGACTGGCAGAAGTTGGGATTTGCTCTGGGCCCTTTCTTCCAACTGCCGGCCTGTAAAAAACACAAGCCGCGCGTGTAAATACATATTAGATTCGGGCTTCGAATCTCCCTGGCCTGTATACATATCTAAAGGTCCAAAAGCTTGGAGATCCCGACAATTGGCTCTCGCAGGGTCAAGTCAAGTTCACGCGTTGTGCCCAATGATGGTAATGATCAACCTTGGACGCAAAGACTTGTGTGCATCAATCTCCCCAGCCCGCACGCCTTTCCCTAGAAACCAGCCACAGCCAAACGCCAACTTGAACTTCGATGTGAATTCATGCCGTGTCTGACATCGTCTCCGACCCTCCTCCCCGCATTACGCGGCTGCGTCGACCAGAGCGGTTTCACCCAGATTTTGACTCTCTCCAGTGAGACAAGCCCGGGCTGTTTCACCGCACTAGAGCACCAAGCTCATTGATCAGTGACGACCACAAGCTCTTACTCTCGCCTTTTTTCTTGCTCAAGGCGGAGGAGAGAGAGGGAGACGCGGGGTGTGGAGTACCCTTGCCAAGGGGACTTTTGCGCCGGCACGACCAAAAACGGATAATGCATCTGCCGGAGTCTGGCCCGGCCCGCTGGACCACCCAGCTTGGAGTTACCTTTTTTCGGATCAGACGTCTTCTCAGCCTGGGACACGAAGCGGCCAGTCGTGCTGATCAGACTACGCAGGCCTACTTTCGATGCGCGCATTCAGACATGGGCATCGCATCGATCGAACCATGGCCAAAGAATGGGAGAGGCATGGATCGCTCCGATGCGGTCGGCCGGTGAGCTTCGACCGAGCCGGTGTCCCCTGGTCGGGTTGTGCGCCCGGGGCCGTCGCTGGTAAGTCTGCACGGCCCAAGCAGATTTCTTACATTTGAGCTTGGTCGAGTTCGGAAATGGCTCACACTCACACTGTACAGTCGGTCCAGGCGAGTACGGCGCTGCTGGGACGTTGCCTAGCCAGGATACAGGCAACCTTGACAACGGAGTCAGCGTCATTCAGAGGCCGCGTGTGCTCTAACTTGCTGTGGAGATTGCGGAGGCTGCTGGGCATAAACATGGACGGACGACTGGAGCAGAGCGCAGGATTGCACAAAATGGAGTCAGACAGTAGCTGAGTGTGTCAAGTCGTCTAAGCGGGGCTCGATTGGGAGTCTGCGAGTTCTGATCCTGGATATGCTATCAATGTGCTCCTGCCAGGATCTATTGCCAATTCCCGCGTCGCGAACTGTCATCTCTACCTGACCATACGTTTTTGACGACCGCCCAAGCAATAGCCGCACATCACGTGACCCAATCATCTTCGACAGCCAGCATGGAAATCCTAGTCATCCCAGGTGATGAGATCCTCCGAAGAAGATCCAGCGGGCTCGACGCCTGAGCATTCCTTGAGGCTACGACCCCTGATACTAAGGTCCTTGACGTCAGGGTGAGTTTTGGCATTGTGGCAGGTCTCGGCACGAGGGCATCCCCCAATCTTCTTGTCCGGCCCCAGCAAGCTCAGGTCGCGATCAACCTGCGATGGCACAAGCGTACCTTCAGGCAGGAGCAAACCGGCTGGAAGCATGGTGCCGCGCGGGAGCGACGTACCTGCGGGAATAAGCGTGCCCGTGGGTAGGGTGATGCCGCCCGGGATGTGCAAGCCTTGTTTGAGCACCGTACCAGCCGGGAGGCGTGTCGCCCACGGCAGCACGGTGCCGTTGCGCAGTTGAGTTCCTGGGACGTAGGTCTCCCGAAAGAGGCCGTCAATGACGACTTCAAGGACGTACTGCTCATCAAGCTCCGGCGGCTCTGGTAGGATGATGGAACCGGAGGATACCGCCATGTTGCCCGTCAGGATGACAGACTGCGGTAGTGCCATGTCGCCCTGAAGCGTGAACCCGCCTGGCCCCAACGTCATGGGCTGGGGCAAGGCCACGGAAGACGCATCGGACAGGGTCAGGACATCGCGCAACATCCGCCGAGAGCAGAGAGAGCCGCCCCCAAATGGCACGACCCGATGGGGTGTGCTCGGCGTGCCGAACTGCAGGAGGGTGCCGGGTGGGAGGCGTAGTTTGTTGCTCTGCTTTCCTAGGAGTTCGATGGGCTTTCCTGGGAGGGTCTTGAGAACCGCGTCTCCAAGCAGGATGACCTTGCTGCCGGGGGTTGCGCTTTCGATGGCATGTGTCTGAAAGATGAGATCGGCGGGGTTGTCGTCAGCAGCGGCAATCATTGCGCCGTTGGCGAGCTGGATGGTCGACTGGATCGGGACGCTCGCGTTACCTCCGCGTGGGAGCCAGATCTTGCCGCCATGGTGGTGTATGTGGATCACCATGTCCTGGATTGCGTGAGCACATTAGTCGCTGGGCCTCCTGGAGAACGACGTGTTTGGACGTACTGTAGTGGTGCACTGAGCTTCAGGGGCGCCGGGACTCCTGAGTCTGATGCGTCGCTGCCCTGCTTTGGTAGCCACCATTGCGGCCTTGTCTCGTCGCCGGCGACTCAGAGCTCTCGTGAGCGTGAGTGCGTGGTGAGGATATGGTGGAGAGACAAGACGCAGGAACCGTGTCTGGATGAAGGACCGTGGTCAGATCGCTGTCGCCGGCTCGCGCTGTGTCCTGAGAGTGTCGAAATCGTGTCTAGAGGCTCGATCCAGCTGGCGGCGCCTCAAGATGACGCGGCGCGCTGTCACTGCTAGAGGTGTTGGTGTAGAGGTGTTGTTGGGACGGTTTGTTCCAGGGCAAGCGCAAAGGCCTGCCTCAGGCAACACCGTGCCTCGACAAACGGGCCCCAATCTGCCGCACGATCTGAACTCCCGCCTTCATGTCGTCCACAAACAAACAATAACCAGGCACGCTCCCTCACAACTCAATCACTAGCGGCTCCTCACCCCTCGACGCCCGCCAGCGGTTCGTGCTCGCCAGCAGCTCGTCACAGCCCTCGACCAGGAACGACCACTTGCGCGCAAACCCCTCGGTCAGCTCCCACCCCCACGGCGACCACGGGTCCTGCCACACTATCAACCCGCACCCTTCCTCGCCCCCGGGGCCCGAGTCGCACACGCTGCCCAGAATGTCCCGCAGCAGCTGCTCGTGGTCGAACGCCTGCTCGTGCCGCACCAGGTTGTCCCGCATCGTCCCCGACGGGCAGTAGTCGATCCACTCGCCGTGCAGTGTGCTGCGCTGCAGGGGCGTCGGCAGGAGCTCGGCTGGGACTGCCGACAGGTGGCAATCCCTATCGTCTGCTGATGGCGGCGATAACGACGACGACGACGACGAGGAATAGTCTGGCGACGACAACGGCGAGCACGATGGCCCTGGGAATAGCGGAGGTGCCTTCTCCGGATACCGGGCCCGAAGCTCCTCCATCCGGCGGAGGGCGGCCATGTTGGACAGCAGCCCGCGCAGCACGTTGAACTGGACCACGATGATTAGGTGGTCGCTGCTCAGCGGGAGCTTGAACACAAACTCCCGGACGGGCCGTGGCCTGTCGGGCATCTGCGAGAGGTCGAGAAGCGCCTGCGCCGCCAGCGTGAGCTTGCACGGCTCCATGTCGGGGAACACGCGCTTGGATGCATCGTCGCTGTTGCTGGTGCGTGCAACAGAGACAAGCGCCGATGACGATGACGATGATCCCCATGTTCCAGGCCTCGTCTGGATGTATGTCTGGTGTCGTGATGCTGTCGTAGCCAGCGGAGCCGATGCCGGCGCCGCAAAGCTTAATGCATCATGATTGCTAATGGCGTCGCTAGCACCACCAGCACTACCACCCGTCTTACGGGCTTTCTCGGCCAGAAGCTTCCGCTTGCCTGGATGTTGAGGTCAGCTCTTCAGTTTCCGCCGTCGCGAAAAGCAAAGAATAAGAAATAATCACTCACGATGAGCCCTCACGTTGAGCCGGTTCTGCAGCTTGCGCCGCAGCTTGGCGTCCCCGAGCCCCGTCCAGTCGTCCTCGGCTCCACGTATCTGGCAAGAAAGAAGCGGCCTGTCAGCAACTCGGCTGCGTCTTTTTGCGTCTCGTCACATGTCAAGCCGAGTAATCGTCATGGAATCCAAAAATACCTCGACCAGGCTGTGCATTTTGCCCTCGCTAGTCCAGCTTGTTTCCGGCAATCCGGGGGTGTTATTTTTCCGCTCTCAGTAGAATGCCGCTTCGCGACCCGATGGGACAGGAGGAAGTGGGAGAGGAACGACGAGAACCGGACGATAAGAAGGTTGATGTCGCACGAGCTGTAAGCAGGCTGCAGGCATCCATCGATGATCCAGGGTGAGACAAGGCCACCATTGCATGAAAGGGGTGGCCTCCGATGATCGGGATGCGTTAGGCCGAGGGAAGCAGGCCGTGCTTGGCTGGCTGGCCCCTGCCAACCTTGTCTCTGCTGCTGACCGCCGCCGGGCCGGGCCTAGGGAGGCGGACTGTGCTAGTCTCGCCATGGAAGGACAAAGCCACCTTAGCCAGGCCGGTTTCTGTGGGTTGCTTACACGGCCAATCATGTCGCGAGCTTCAAACCCAGCCCGGCTCCTTCTGATCAGGCCACAACCTGCGTGCGGCTGTATCAGCTGGCATTGGAGTGTGTGCTCCGTATCTCCTCGTCTCCCTGTCTCCACCCCCGGTCCCCGGAGAGATAAGTACCCCCTAGCTCCAGCCCCCAAATGCTTACACGGCCAATCATCGTGCCGCAACCTCGCTCAGCTGCTTACCTGACCAATCAGAGAGTGCCAGCTGCTTACATGGCCAATCACAGTGCCGCTTGGCCGGAATCTCGATCGCGCTAATGGCTGGGACCGCGCTATTGGGTGCTGGGCTTTGTATGCTTTTGGCGTAGTGCGCCGTTGGCTAATGCAGACTGCTTACACGGGCTGTCTCAGCATGCCTGGAAGGCGTAGGCCATGTGAGTATATTCGCCGAAGCCTCACTGAGAATTGGTAGATGAATAATATCCGGCGTGGAGACGCGTCGGAAGTTGGATTACAAATGAATCATGGCATGAAGACAAAGCCCGCGACATATATATAGATTCGGACGAGCCGGCTTCACGATGCCAGGTCACGAAATCCCCTGGTCACAAGTGATATATACTACAGACCGAAACCCTTCGCCTCCGACGTGACGACGCCTCAACACCTTATTCTCTGAATCCAACCAACATATCTACACACAGCAACCTCCGGGCAGCGCCCTACATCTCCAAAAATGGCTGGAGTCTGGCTTTCCTACATGAAGTCCCAACTCTGCTTCACCCCTCCGTACCCGACGCAATCCTTCACGGGCCAGACCATCATCGTGACCGGCTCCAACACGGGCATGGGCCTCGAGGCCGCGCGCCACTTTGCCCGGCTCGGCGCGGCCCGCCTGATCCTCGCGGTGCGGTCCCAGGCCAAGGGCGACGCCGCGAAGAAGTCCATCGAGGAGACCACTTCCTGCGGCCCGGGTGTCGTGCAGGTCTGGCTGGTCGACCAGGCGAGCTATGCCTCGGTCGCGGCGTTTGGCGAACGCGTGAACAAAGAGCTGGACCGGCTGGACGTGGTCGTGGGCAACGCGGGCATCTTGCCGTACGACACCTCGAGGGCCGAGGAGGACGAGGCTACCATCACGGTCAACGTGGTGAACAGTCTGCACCACGGGATCCTGATGCTGCCGAAGCTCCGAGAGACGGCGGTCAGGCTGGGGAAGCCCGGTGTGCTGACGTTCACGGGAAGCTGGATGCATGGACTAGTTAGTGTCGATGATGTGCTGAAGATGCCGGAGGGCAAGGTGATTGAGGGGCTGAGCAAGAGGGCCGAGAAAGTTGGCAATCTGGAGAGGTAGGTTCTTTCTGTCCTTTTTCTCCCCTCTCGTCCATTTGCTTCCTCCTCTCCTCTTCTCACTCGTTCCTTGTGTCTCTCTCCTTAATCTCCTGCTGTATACCCAGTGCCATGCTAACCCCCATTTGGCGGCGCCATTTTTCCATATACACAGATACCCACTCTCCAAAGTCGTCCAGATGCTCGCGATCCGCGCCCTCGCCGAGGCCGTCACCGCATCCAAGAAGCCCGGCGAGGTCACCGTCTCTGTGCTCAACCCGGGCGGCGTCCGGACCGACATCACGCGCGACGCGACCGGGTTTGACCGCTTCGTGGTCGTGTCCTCGTGGTATATGCTGTGGACGGCCGAGGTGGGCGGGCGCACGCTGGTGCATGCTGCCGCGTCGAGCGGCAAGGAGGCACACGGGCAGTATCTGAGCAACTGTGCTGTCGCTGCGTGAGTCATGACCTTTCTTTCTCGCATTCACTTGCTTCGAAGGGGAAGCTGTGTGCAATGAGTTTGCTAACCAGTGGGCTTTTTGTGTGATACAGCCCAAATAAGTACGTCACGTCTACGAACGGGATTGCCGCGCAGAGGCGCATCTGGAAGGACCTGGTGGCGAAGCTGGAGAGGCTTAATCCGGCCGTCGCGAATGCTATCTGAGAGATTGCTTGCAGGATTTTGGTACACATGTTATATCCTCTGTTCACTTCTTGCATAATAGTCTCGTGTATTCTTAGATACATGCTTCGGTACCTGATCTGGTTCATGGGAATTCGACGTTCTTGACATCTTACCTCACTTCAGCTTTTCCAATTAGAGCAGGGGTGCAAGCCGGAGGACAAAGGACGGCAAAAGAAAGATCTCGTCTGATTAATGCTTCTACTGGAGAACCACAAGAATGCGTGCAACGTACATCCCCTTCGGCACTATCTAGTACCTAGTCCTGCCAGGTTAAGCTACCCCACACTCTTACCCCAGACCGAAGCCGGAGCTCGAGGGAAGGCTCTCGGTGGCAATCCAACCGAGCTCCAACAGCCATCTCCACTTTGCCAGGTCTATGACCCCGACCACCATTTGGAATCTGAAGGTGGCACGACCCCCCCTGCAAATTGGGGTTTCTACTAACAATTGATTCTGCAGTTAAATAAACCACATAACGTAATCCACGGGTAAGCGGGTCACACGGGTGAACGGGTCACCTTCCAGTAACTCGTACGACAATATATAAGACAATTTAACCACAACGCCTTAAATCAATTCAAACTATTCAGAATCCTCTTCTTCAGAGGCAGATACAACTTTCTGACACGTACGAGCATTATGACCGGGCTCGCCGCAGACGCCACATCGTCGCGCGCGCGTTTCGGGCCTCCTCGTACGACCACTATTCTGACTCGTTTCCGCTATTAACTGCTGCGTCGCATCGATTTGAGCCTTCAAATCCTTTACCTGATCAATCGTGAGGGACCCTCCTTTCTATAGCTGCTTTCTTTTCGTACGACGACGGCGGCTGAGGCGGTCATTTGCATCTCGAAGTTCGGCGAGCTCTTGGCGCATAAGGTCATGCTCGTGTACCATCATTATAACTCCTTTTCTCAGCTGCCGTAGGCTCTCAACAATGGACGACGGTGAGCTATTCTGGTGTCGTACGATGCGATTTTCAATATACTTCGTCTGCGATTCGGTCTCAATTAGGTTGTTCGGCGTCTTTGAAACCCATGGGGGTGGTAGTCCAGCAGAGGAACCTGGTGGTGTCGGCGTATGAAACTTCATATCTAGCTGCGAAATCACATAATTCGGGTCGTACGGTACTAGGCCTGTCGCTCTGAAGCCTGCCTGGATGTTTGATTTGGTCATTGCAGCGTCGTACGCCTTATAAAAGGCTGGGAGGAAGTCCTCCTTTGAAACGTGGGTTACGTGCGCCCGCATTAGACCTTCGATTTCTTTACCGTACGCCCGTTTCAGAGGTCCAAAACACCCAACATCGAGAGGCTGGAGCTTATGCGACGAATGAGCAGGCATACAGAGCGTGACAATATTCTGTTCCTTGCAGTAGAGCTCGAAATCGACGGAATGGTAGCTCTCGTAGCCGTCGAGGATGAGGAGGCGGTAAGTGCCCTTCGTACGACTCTTTATATAGAAATCGAAGTGTTTTACCCACTCTAGGCCTCTCTCGTTCATCGTCCAACCGTTCTCTAAAAGCGCGATTACCCAGTTAGCCGGTAGAGGGCTATTCGCGGTCCAGGAGTCGAGGTGGACCTTCCCTACGAAGATGATATACGGCGGGATCGAATAGCCGTACGACGCAATGCCCTGGATTACTGTAACCCATTCCTAATTCCCTTGTTGTACGGCTCTTGGCCTCCCGCGTCGATCGGAGGTCGTAACGATAGTTTCGGCGGAGATTTTACCCATCGCGAAGCCCGTTTCGTCGAAGTTGTAGATATCGTCATTGTGGATCCCGTATTTCGCGATTATGTTTCGTACGAGCTCAAACCACGCGCGATACGCGTCCGGATCCTCGCAAAGGACCCTCTGGTAATCGATTCTTCGATTACAACGCGTACGGAGCTCAGGTCGTCGTCGTACGAAGGTTGAGGCCCAGTTCGTTCCAACGCGTGGCGCGTCGCGTACGCGGAGGAGTCGATCCGCCATTTCTCGAACACCACTTAACCGCGGTGGAAACGAACGCGAATCTAGGTCGAGTACGTATCGTACGATACTCTCCTCTTCGTATGAGGTTAATTTCTGGCAGGGTGGTCGGGTGTCGTGTTTCGCAGCTCGGCCGTGGTATCGTTGCTGGAGTGTCGTACGAGATACATTATAGATCTGCGCAGCCTTTCGTACGCTTAATTTTGGGTCGGATTGGAGCGCATTTAACGCTAGAACCAAATCACTTTCAATTGATTGTCGTCCCATGATTGGAGGTGGAGAAAAAGGAGAAGGAAGTGAACCTCAATTAAATTGCAGTAAAGTGACCCGTTCACCCGTGTGACCCGCTCACCCGTGGATTACGTTATATAAGTGGGATTATTTAGCTTTCTGTCCAATCCTACTCTCCAGAACATTATCAATTATCAGATACATCCAATGAGCTGTGGACTCCATAAATCAAGAGATTAGCGGCTTGGCAGACCCCGTGCCATCTTCAGATTCCATATGGTGCCCGACTCATCGCAACGACAATCACCAACAAGATCCACCAAGGCAACACGGATTGCCGCTGTCCCCTCGTTCTCGAAAGCAGACTCAAAAACAACACGAACAAAAGTTCACAGAACGTACACCGCATCAAAATGGCGAGCACGACTACTGCCAGCACCACCTCGGGAGACTACCTCGCCCAGCCCAGCGGGCCATGCTGCCTCAAGGGCACTCTCCACGAGGGCACCCCGCGCGGGCGCTACGAGACCCTCGCCGGCTTGCAGACCTACATCACCGAGCCTACCGGCGACGGCGTCAAGCCCAACGGCAACGTAATCCTATACTTCCCTGACGTTTGGGGGTTCTTCAACAACGGCCTGCTCGTCATGGACGCTTTCGCGGATGCGGGATACCTGGTCCTCGGGGTTGATTATTTCCGCGGGGTGGGCTTTTCCCTCTTGATTCCCTGAGCTTCAATCTCCATCTTCTCATGGGCCTGAAAAGGAAAAGTAGCGATCGTGGAGAAGAAGCCTGTACAACTGACGAGACCACATGTCTAGGACCCCGTGACAAAGTACCGCAAAGACCGGCACGACACGACCACATCCCCGGGCTTCGACTTTGATGCCTGGAAGGACAAGCACGCCGCCTTTGCTGTGGACGCCGTGCCGCGCTGGGTCGATGCCGTCGTGGAAAAGTACGGTGGTGGCAGCGGTAGCGACAACAACAACAGCACCACCAATACTGCCACTTTGGCTGGAGTGACGCACACGGGCCTCAAGCCCAAGTTTGCCTGTACGGGGTACTGCTTCGGTGCGCCGTACGTGTGCGACGAGCTCGCGCGGGGGATATGCAGCGTGGGGGCGTTTGGGCATCCAGCGTTCTTGAAGGAGGAGCATTTCCGCAAGATCACGAGTAAGTCTTTTGACCTGTTTGAGACTGCGTTCTCTCTCTCTCTGTGTATGTTCTCTTTGCGAGGGCGTGCTCTCTCCGCGGATGACTGACTGACAAACGAGGGCGGGTTTAGAGCCGCTCTTCTTGTCCTGCGCCGAGATCGACCACACTTTCAGCGCCGAGGCGCGCAGGCGCGCGATAGATATCCTGCAGGAGGAGAAGAAGGTGTATCACCACCAGCTCTTCTCGGGCGTGGAGCATGGTTTTGCGCTCAGGGGCGACCCGAAGGATCCTTATCAACGTGAGTTTCCCGCTGGTAACTTGATCGTAGAATGCCCGTCCAAGGTTCCGGCTTTATTCTTCGCTGAGAGGCACTTCACTAACGATGTTGAGGGCTTGGCAGGCTGGGTCAAAGAGCAGAGCCTCTCGGCGATTGTGCAATGGTTCGACTTTTGGCTTGCTCAAAAGTGAAGGATACGCTTGGCCACTGGTGACTGACTGGCTTTGGGCCATGTCATGTCGGGTATGGAATTTGATTTATCACGATCTTACGTCAAGCCTGAGTATTGTGGCAGGAAACAATGCAGCCAATGTTTACTCACAGACTCGGATTGAAAATTTTCGGGCGAGTGAAGAATCCGCGAGGAGTTCAGGGCCCGGCCTCTGTAGCAAGAAACCTGGGTGCTACTCAACTCTTTAAATCATTATGATATGAGGGACGATATGAGACAACACCGTCAACCAATCACATCACAAATCCGAATTGGTGTAGTGGCTAACATTTGACGCTCTCATCATTTCCTCTTCTGAGGATTTGACCCGTCAAGCCCGGGGTTCGATTCCCCGATTCGGAGTTACCTTTTGCCCTTTTTTATCTTGTTTTTGAGGTTGCTTCGGCTGCTGAGGCAGGCGACTTTGCTTCCGAGGTGGCCATTTTGGTCTGCATTCGCATCAGCAACAATTTTTTTGATTTTTTAATTCCTTGCCTGGAGTGCTGGGCCAAGGCTCTCAGGCTGCATCATCTTGAGTGGTGGGCTGCACGTTCCCAAAGGATGGGTGGGGAGTGCTGCCGTGCACCTCCTCTGTGCCAGCTCCAACGCATTGGTGATGGGCACACCTCCACCAACAGATGCCTTATCCTGACAACCTCTGCCACCGCTCTCCCTTAGCCTATTATCTTCTGGCTTCCATCCCAGGCTGCAGTGCTCCGCCACCCTTTGCAAGGCTGTGCCAGTGACCAGATAAATGTTTTGGCGACATCCAGAGCTTTGCCAGAGCTGGTCAGCCACTTTGGCTCCCATCCACGACTGGAGATCTGTGCAAGTGAGCATGATATCCAGCAGTATGTCAATCAGAACATGAACGGTCTACCCAAATCGGTGCGAGAGGACAAAAATTACCGCCAAAATGTATCTTCGAGACTGGCGCGCGTGGCGGGTGGCATGTGAGTGTGATACTGAAGCAGTTTTCGAAGACTTCGGCTGATATAGCTACCAGGTTTCTGCTTGCGCAACTCCATCTTCAAGCACTGGAGAGCAAAAGATCTCTCAGGTCCTTTGAGAATGCTTTAAACAGCCTCGAGAACGGTGGGGGGTCATATGAAGCAGCTTATACAAATACCATGGAGCGCATAAAGTGTCAGATGCCCGATCAAAGGGAGACCGCCCTCAAGGCTCTGATGTGGACCGCATTCTGTAGGCGACCCTTGAAAGCACTGGAGTTGCAACACGCTCTTGCAACGGAGCCGGACGCCACAGAATTCGACAGTGGGAACATCACGCCAATTGATGATATAGTATCGGCTTGCGCCGGTCTTCTGACAGTCAGCCAGGGCACATCAGTCGTTACACTTGTCCACTATACGACTCAGGAATTCTTAGAACGGGCGGCTACTAGATGGTTCTCGGATGCTCATGCGGATATTCTCAGAACCTGCATTACATACATGTCCTACCCCACCTCGATTATTACCCCAACCATCTGGACAAGCGAAAATTGCAGACGACGTATATTGGGGACGCCCAATGGCCCACTCATGGAACAGCGCCCGTTCTACGCATATGCAGCCATGCACTGGCACTACCATGTTCGTCGGTGCACTATCGCGGATGAGGATGGTCAAGTTGTGATAGGATTTCTGCGCCTCAAGCAGCAAGTCAAGCTCATGATGTGGTTCTCAGCACATCGACTATCACCCAGGTTTCTGCATATGCACTACAATGGTACCGGTGACCTGCACCCTTTACACGTGGCCGTACGTTTTGGTCTGCATGGAGTCCTAAAATGTCCAGGCATTCCGGAATTCGCGGATGTGAACCTGCTGTGCAGCCATGGCCGATCAGCCTTGCACTACGCGATCGGCTCTGGCACATCACTGGACGAGCAAGAACGTTTGAAGGTGGTCACCTGGCTGCTGGATCATGGCGCTGATATTCATGCGACATGGCGCACATGGTCTACACTCTCGTTGGCTGCTGCGTGCCGCTCGGACGGCTCTGAGATTGTTTCTCTGCTCCTCTCTCGAGGCGCTTTAGTGAACGACGCCACGGCTCGACCTTATCACTTGCCTACCCCCGATGATGATAAAGAAAGAGACAACCAATCTCCGGGAAGCCGGACATACGGAAAATTACCCAGTGCTTTGCACAACGCTATAGAGAGTGGCAACAGAGGAGTCGTCCAGCTCCTGCTGGACTACGGCGCCGACGTTGACGAAAAGTTTCCAATGAATCTCTCCAACGGACTGGAACTAATTGTTCCGCTAGCGCGTGCTGCATGGAGGCGTCGTGCTGACATAGTACGACTTCTTCTGGAGTACAACGCGACATCGACACCAGGGGATACATGCCCGCCTCTATCCCTATGTAGTAGTATGATCATCGCCAAAATACTCCTCGAGGCTGGGGCAGACCCAAATGTTCCATATACTATGCGCTTTGAAAAGCCTCGTTTTATACACCACGCCTTTCATGAACAGCCATCCCTGCTGCCACTGATTGCGCAAAATCTCAAAACTGGTAATTCAAGGGATAAACACGGGTGGACGGCACTTGGGTACGCCGCACAGGCCGGGCAAGGTCAAGTTCTCGAAGCTCTAATTGCCCACGGAGCGGGATCCGTCAATGAGCGAGGCGACTCGAGATTATCGCTTTTGTCCATCGCTATACTGTACGAGCACTTCGACGTCGCAGCCATGCTCCTCAAACGGGGCGCTGATCCTCGAGCGGCCTCGCGTGAATGTGCAGATATTCAGCTTGGAGAACTGTGCCACTACCGGCATCAGGGATTACCACTCCATGAGGATAACGCGATCGTAAAGGAGCGGGATATAAACAGCCGCCACTCTGACGACTTCCAAGAGTCAGACCAATACCTGGTGCGCACCTACTTTCTGCACGCAAAGGAGGGCAATTGCGAGAACTATCCTTGCCGTAAACGGCGTTGGTCGGACGATAATCCAAGACGAATCGCGTTCTTACGACAGGAGAGATCTCAGAGGGCTAGAGAGGAGAGATCTCACAGGGCTAGAGAGGAGAAACAGACTATAACTAGGAGATGGTTGAGCGAAGTGAAGTTGAGACTGGGTTTTCAAGAACGGCCCCAAAAGCAAGTTAAAAAAGGGACAGCCCTGGTTGGTAAGTAAATACGATTCAAATTCCGGGGCAATTTCCGTCGCATACAAATCTATTTTCGTGGGCTTCCCTGAGCGATGAGCAAACATATACCCTCAAAATGTGGCGGGATCCCCCCCCCCCTTCCGGGCAAGAGTCAGCCTATGGAATATCTTTAGTGAAACATTGTTCATCAATTTAGAGTTCGGCCTGTTTTGCCAACACTGCTACGGTATTATAGATATGTGAACTCGAGCACTGACTTGTACCTGTTGTCTATGACGTGCGGAATTTCTGGAAGACTGAATAATTGGCTTCACATCCTGATAATCATGAAGCCCTGACTATCTTTCCTTTTATGGCTCAGGGCTTTCACGCAGAAACGCTACTCATCTCCCTATTTCTCCCTATTTAGTAAAATCATATTGCAACCCATTAATCTATATCAGATCGGCCTTCGTACGGCCCGCGAGCTCAGATTTGGCAGGTCGCACTTCATGCCCTTGCTATTTAGTACCTATTCGTGCACGGGAACTAAGAGATTGATCGTCCGTTGACCTCATGCTCGCCAAGACCAGCTGCATTTCTTTGCTCATCGAAAGACCAATGCATGGCCAGCGGATTTACAACATCAATCGAGTAACGAGCACCTTGCGCCCTGCCCGTTTTCATTCTTTTTCGGACAAGTCCAAGCCAATACGGGCGAGCGACCGAGCAAAATCGTTGGACTAGAAAAACCCGACAAGGTGCGACACCTTCTGCCGCCTGCCAAGAGGCCTGACAGGGAAGGTGGCAGCGATGCATCCTTGTCGGATGTAATGTTGGCGCCGGTCTTGTTGGTTGGTGCCAGTCTTGATGGTCGGAGCGCCGCGGAGCGCCATCCGCCCACCCAATGGCCAACACATGCATGCTGCCACTCACCATGTGAGAGTAAGGAGCACGGATGCCTTTCCTTTAATCCGAGCGTGCCTCACTTGGCCAGGACTAGGTTTGTCTGAGCCGTCTGGGCCAATTTGCCAGATGCAAATGGCATTGTTCCCCGCAATCAACGAGTCAGATTAGCTGACAAGCAATCGGGCCAACGCCCATAACAAAAGTTCGAGGGGTCCATGTGCCCCTTTGGTCGGAGCTGCCTCCCTGGCCTGGCCGCATTAGATCTGACCTTTCCTCATCAAGCGACTTCAGCTGCTCTCCTGTCTTCCACAACCACATCGGCGAACAAATTGACCACCAAGATGACCAGACCCATCGATAGTCTTCGTAGCGAGGACGCTTCGGAGGCGACGCCTCTCCTTGACCGGACTACCCCTACCAAAGACCCCTCGCCCGCGACAACTCGCCGGGTCGTCATTCTCAGCTGCCTCTACATCTTCCTGCTGGAGTTCCAGGCCGGGCTGCAAATCCCAAGCGCGCTCGCCCTCCTCGAGCAGCGACTATGTTATGATGTCCAGCCTGGCTTGCCCTGGCCACCAGCATCTGACGACCCTGCGTGCAAGACGACCCAGGTTCAAGGCCGCCTCGCTTCGTTCCGGGGCCTTCAGTCCTCGCTTGACGTCATCCCGGGACTTCTGACGACTATCCCTTACGGCATGCTCTCGGATACCTGGGGTAGGCGGCCGATCCTGATTCTCGCGACAGTCGGCTACACTCTTAGCGTGGCGTTCCAAATCTTCGTCTGTAAGTTCTCAGCCAGCATCTTTTTCGGCGTCTTTCGCGACATGAAAAGTTGACGGCTCGTGCTCAAGTCTCGTTTGGTCCGGTTTTCCCAGCGCCAATGCTGTTCTGTTCGACAATCTTCATGTTCATCGGCGGCTCGCCGTCCACAATGTCCGCGATGATCTTTACATCTATCGCTGATGTCACTGCAGTCTCGAGCAGGTAAGTGGGGCCAGGGGTTCCTGATCTTGAAAGACTCATTTCGATGTCTGACTGGCTGGCTGACTGACATGTGTGGGGTTTAGGGCGGACGTCTTCTTCGCTGTGTCTGCCACATACATCGCCTCGGAGGTTTTGTCGAGCCCGCTCGCCGGGCTCATCTTACTGCATTCGGCATGGGGACTCCTCATCACCTCATTTGGAATACTCCTTGCGACCTTTGTCATCACTATGCTCTTTCCCGAGACCGGGACTATGCTCGGAGCCAAGTCCAGGACACAGACGATGGCCGCGTCGTCAGATGCAGAGGGCTCAGTTCCGGAACCCGCGCAGGCAGGACGATGCCAAAGCACTGTTGAGAAAATATCTCGTATCTGGAGATACGTCTCCACGAACAAGCGTCTAGTGGCGCTCACCATCTCCCTTGTATTCGTTGTCCTTGGGCGTTTTGTCCAAGAAATGCTGCTACAATACACAACCAAGCGGTACAACTGGACCTGGAGCCAGGTAAGCAAAACTGCCCAGAAAACATCCGCTGCCTTGAGAAACCAGCCCGGACTGACGCGAGTATCTCCGCCTAGGCCTCATTCGTACTCACGATCCGAAGCATCAGCAACTTCATCGTGTTGACAGTCGTCATGCCACTTGCGAGCCGCCTCCTGTTGATGCACAGGAGGGGGAGGAACAGCAGCAGCAACAGCGCCTCCGCCACGAGCAAGGACGTCTGGATCGCTCGGGTGTCTGGCGTTCTCGGGATCATCGGCTTCTCGCTCATTGGATTTGCGTACACGCCTGTGATTCTCTGTACTGGTAAGTAGACGACCATTCACTTCCCCAAATTGATCGAACAGAAAAGATTCGTGCAGATGCTAAGACGAGCCTCCAGGTCTAGTCGTCGTGTCCCTCAGCGGGGGAATGTCCTCGGTACTCCGCAGCCTCCTGAACAGCCTCGTCGAGCCCCGCCACCTGGGCAGGCTGAACGCCGTGCTGGGCATCATGGAGCTAGCGAGCCTCCTGGTCGCTGCTCCCGCGCTGTCGCAGAGCCTACGGGCTGGTCTGAGGCTGGGAGGGATGTGGATCGGTCTCCCCTTCATGTGCGCGGCCGCGATCATGACGGTTTCCACGGGGGTTGTGTGGCTGGTCTCGATCTGATTGACTTTCGTGATTTGAACACTAAATTGAGCTTATGGATGAGCGCCGAACAGAATCCAGTGTTGTTTGCTTCGAGCAAGTGTTTGGGTTCGTGCTTTGTGTTCCGCCCTGGAAAACCCCGGTATTGGGAAAGCCAATCCAACGTTCGAACAACTTTCAGTGCACCATTTGCTGCTGTCTCTCCGAACATCTTTTCAGACTTTACTGGGTGTGGCATCGCGTATTTGCTTGACAGGAACTTGCGCAGAGGTAAAACGAACAAATTCCGTAGCTATATACGAGATACATATCCTCCATTTGACGTTTTTGAAACTTGAAACTTGTTCTTCCCACGCTCTACCGGATGATAATGTCACGCTCTTCTTCTTCATCGAGCCATGGTTTCCAGCCATTGGAATGTCGAAAGGTGAATAGGCCGATTCCGACGCGCTGGTACTGCTCACAAGAAGTATCGAGTTGAGACAATCCTGGAGAGTCCGGCGAAGGATCATGGGGACTATTGTGGTCCGAGACGCTCGGTTGAGGGCGTTGGTGTCGTATAAGGTCTTGTGGTGCAAGTATGAGGCACACTCCGTGCATTCTTGTGTTCTCCAGATCGGAGGGGCCATGAGTTCTGTAGCGACCATAGAAGTGGTCGTAATAGCCGAGGGCTAAACAGAATAGTGGAAGACAAGTCAACGACCTCGCGAATCGTTCGTCGTCCAAGGAGCTGTTCTGCTCAACGCAAAAACCCAGGGGAGTGCTGTCTCTTTGGCAAATCTTGACTGCAACTCCGCCCACCAATGTGATCTTGATAGGCTTCACAGTGGCACGAAGCGAAAGCCAACCATCTTGTATAGCTCCAAAAGGGTCATGCCCTGCTTGCTTGATATGCACAGAATTGATCCGAGCAAGCGGCTGAAGGTAAGAATCACGAGGCCCGCGCCACCGGAATTCGGCGGTAACGCTCGCCCATGACCACGAAGGGGCGACGTATTCCGGCAGCAGTATGGGCGTAGTGGTGGCGTACCAACAGAGATCGTCGAGGAATGTCTGCTCCCACAGCCCAGCATAGTATCGTTCGGGCTTCCCCTTTCCACTTTGTATGCGGCGATAACCTCGTTGGGTATCGAAATACTCCTTCGCAAGACCTGACAAAGCAGTAAGTCGGTCCTGTGGGAACGTCAGTTCAAGTCTACCATAATGTTGCACGCATCTGTGCCACCTTGCCTTCTCGTCGCCCTGAAGCTGAAGCTGCCGGTCGTGGCCCACGCTCACCAAGTCCCAGGGGCGACTTCTACCCAAATGATGACGGTAGTGAGAAGACAAACACGCTATCTCGTTAATTTCACTCTCGCGGCATTCCCAATAGACCTGCTCTTCACTAAAATACACGATCCGGGGGGAAAGCAGGCGTTCTTGGTAGACCCAACCGCGATCTCCGAGATAACCCAGCTTGCCGCGGTACCTGTCATTCTGATGGGGCAAGTCGCTATAGACATAGTAGCTTCCAGGCGAAGAAGAACTTCCAGGCGAAAGAGAACCAGGTCGACTGCGGCGGAACTTTGCGTATGTAGCAATTAATGAATCAGGAGGTGCCCCCGATGAGAGTGCATGCAAACGAAGTGGTTGCAGTCTATCTGCGCGGCGGTTTCGGAAGATTCCATGATCCTCGTTTGAAGCGCAACTCGCTGCTAGGGTTACGGTAGCGCTCTTGTAGACAGTCGCCATATGCCCAGCCTCTCGTTGCCAATCCTCGCGAGAATCTTGAATAATACACATTCTGTCTACCCAAAGGTAATGTATATTCAGCTCGGAGGCGACAGTGCAGGCGTCTCTTATAGTGCGCCTGAGTGAGGAGACGGGTATGCCAGCACGAAGCGTAGCTTCCGTCTGGGCGTTGAGCATAGTTACGTCCAGATTCTTCGTGGGCGATATGTTGCCTGCTGATCCAGTAGCTCCCCACCGATAACTGAGAGCCATGTATTTCGGTGATGGCGGCGAATTCACTAGACGAACGACGGGAGAGACCACGTCTGTTCGATCTATGAGGATTAAGCGAGTAGGTCGGCCCGAGTTTGTTGATCTATGTTTCTGGCAATGCCCATGACACTCATCGCACAAGGCTATCCAGCTCCTGATTTGTGAGAACGCTTCGGGCGAAGCTGTGCTCTTCGTGAGTAATGTATCTCGCCTCCGGTTAGAGTCTGCCAATGATTAGTTTGAGAAAGATCCAAAGAGCCAGGACACATACTGGGCTGCAGGTGTAGTGTGAACCATCGAAATTGCAACATTAAGGAGTCGGCATCGAGTTGTTTAGCGAATGGCAGATTAGTTAACAAGCCGCTAGATCCAACGAACATGATTCTCACTACGCCGTCATTTCGCAGACATAAAGCAGACCCAGCCAAGTCTTCTTTTTGCTTGTCAATCATACGTATAAGCGAGCGCTGGCGTGACAACTGCCGCCGAAGACCTTGCCAAAGGACTTCACACAAGCAGCAAGTCTGGCGATGACCATAGCAGCAATCCAGTAGCGCAAACAGTGTACGGTGGTGTGTATGCCAGGCGTCGATGGGTATGTCTCTCTCCTTTCTGATTTCACGATACTGATGGGATTGCAATGGAGCTAAGGGCGAAGTCTGCAGGAGGGATTTGCATGGTGCGCAGACCATGATCGTTTCCGCCAGACCTACGTCGGCGCCGACAAGAGAGTACCCATCCTTGTACGAAATCTTCGACAGGGCTTCTGTGACAGTCGGCCACGATCGAGCGTCGTCAGCAAGAAGATGCTCTATAGCGTGGACTCGCCTCCGAATCGGGGTTCGCACGGTATTCGAAGCGGATAACGATCGCGGACGGGTCATGATGTCGGGCCTCTGTGTTGAGTCTTGTTGACTCTTGAGTAAGACACCATCTGAATCTCTGGGCCGTGGTCAAATCGTGGACGGCTGGAAATGTGCCCCTCTCCTTGCTTACGTGACCAAAGGAGATGACGTGGCAACGGGCACACTTCCCGAGTCAATCATTCGAGTAGTACAGGCAAACCCCGTTTATGCGGATTATCTTCGCAATACCCATAAGGCTCCGAATACAAAGGCGTTCCGCGTTACCCTGGCGCTTATCGTCATACCTAGATAATCCCTGTTCAGGCGGAAGTGGCAAGTAACTGTGACGATCGCAAGTACTTCGAAAACACAGCCATGTCGCGCGACGAACAAAGTATCCCCTTACGCAATAGACGAACGCGAGGGATTAGGGGAGTCGCGTGTGTTTTGAAAGAAGACAACCACTTGATCCGCAGAAGCGAGGGAAATCCGCTCATGTGAGGCCCGTATAAACGGGGTTCACCTGTAGTGCATCTTAAAGTTGAGGATCAGCGACAGCTGACTCAGCAAGGCCACAATATATTCAGATCTAAGATCTGGACAAGTGCCGTCCTTCCTAAAGTATATAATTCATGTTTACTTATTACACTAGTATACAGATTTTCCCAAGTAGACGAAAGACTCGCTTCCTAGAGTTGAGAATCATTACAAAGTTATCTAATCCTACTTAGGTAATCATAACCAGCTAGTTTGACTCATGGTTTTGTTCTTGCTGCTGATAACAACGGGAGACCCTTGGTGCCCGGCTGTCTTTTGCCCACTACTCTTACGATAGCCGTATCATTGCTTTATAACAAATGCTCCCCATTTTACATGTAGTTTCCGTACTGCATATCAGGCGGATCTTCCCAGTAACAGCGTTTTCCGGCTCACTCGAGTTCTCAAATGTGTACTTTGCGCTCGCTTCTGGGATCAGCTTCTTGGGGATCCCATTGACGGCGGCGGAGGCCTCTGCCAGAAGCTGGAGCTTGCACGCTCGCTCCATCAGGGCAGAAGTTATTGATTAGCCAGAGGCAGTTGTGTTATAGTGATGGTTGTCGGCTTAAAAATAGGTTGGTAACTAGGTGTCACTTGCCGAGAGCTTCGCCAACACGATCACCTTCCTCCTGGGTACGTAAGCATAGTTCCCCCAAGGTCCTGTTGACGGTTTTAGGGTCAGTGTTTGTTGGAAACTGCTTGACATATATCCAGTAAAGCAAACATTCGTTGATTTGGGAGTTCGTCTTTATGCGACCATGCGCCGCGCCACTGGCAGTCGAGAGGCATCAGCTCTTGCATTGAGCTAAACTGGCGTCGGTCATCCCACCAAAGTCTTTCAGAAACCAACTACTTTGAGTACACATCAGGATGACAATCGGGAGGTCTATTCATTCAATTCTACGACTACAGCACTGACACAGAGTTTCGCTCGACCTGCCAATCTGACAGTATCACATTCGCAACCCACTTTCCATCTACTTCAGGTCCGCCTTCGTCACCTTCCTTCCCTGGCCACTCGGGATCGAAGGCGGCAGCCGGCCCGCACAGACAAAGCACAGCGGGTCCCGACACTCGATTGACCGGACTAGCACCTTCGTCTTAGAGAGCAGCAGCGGGTCGATGAATGTCAGGCCGTTGTTGCCGTGGGTCTGGAGGCGCTTGTCCCACATCCTGATGGCCTGCAGCGGGTCCGTGTAGTCGTAAGGGATGTTCTCGCTGTTGGGCTTGATGTTGGGCGTGCTGGTCTTGGTGGTTGGGTCGACGGTGTTGGGGACGGTCATTGTGGGTTTGGTGGTGGTCGTTGCGGTGTTGGTGGTTGGCTTCTTCTCGGATGCCTGGGCTGTTGCCGCCGAGGCTTTCTTGGCCGTTGTCGTTGCGGACTTGGTGGACGAAGCTGGAGCCGTGGGTTGGGGAGGCGGAAGCTCGGGTGGCTCGAGCAACCAGATGTTGCGCAGATGCCACACGTCTTCGGGGCACTGCGTGACGTAGACCCGTCCGGCCTTGCCATCTTCAATACGCTCACTATCGAGGTCAAGCTTGTTGACATCAAGGGCACCGGCCTTGTCAGTGAGGTCGCCGCCGTGACCCAAGTGCAGCTTCCAGTCGGCGAGCAGCGATTCGCCCTTGCCTGTGATGAAGCCCTTCAGGTAGGCGCGCATGGACATGAGGAACTCATCCATGCACCGCGTGTACTTTGTGCGGTTGCGGAAGGTGAGGAACTTCCACGAGTTGCCCGGCAAGATGTGATCGGTGGTGTTGGTTGCTGGAGCCACAGGCACGACGACTTTGGCGCACTCTCCCAGGAGCATGTGCAGCAGGTAGCAGTGAGCGCGCCACTTTGCAAAAAACGGGTCGTTGACTCGACCACCGTCAAATCGAGGTGGGTTCAGAAGGTGGGTGAATGCCGCCTCGGCAGCCATTGGAGTGTTGGGCGGAGAAGGATCAGGACCAGCAGGAGAATCAGCACGGGGCGTGACGCTGGGGGCACGGGCAGAGGTTCCGATCGTGCTCGGCTGGTCGTTGATGATTGTGTCTGCTTCAAACACTTGCGAGGCGGCTGCCGCCTGTGCTGCCTTGCCTGCCTGTGCTGTCTCGGCTTGTGCTGCCCTGGCCTTTGCGGTCTTGCTCGTCACAGTCAAGTTCTTATGCAGGTACTCTGGTTGATCGCCGCTCGCAGCCTGGTACATCAATAGTGGCAACCCAGGCGACTGCTAGACGCGCTGGGAGACAAAGTGGCTCCAGCGCGAGATCGTCTCCCTCCAGCCGAACCGGGGCGCACAGTAGTCGATGGCAAAGTCCTCGCCGTTGCGGAAGACAATGCGGTGGACGGTGTGCACGGCCAAAGCCGTGGCAATGCTGGAGACGCGTGACTGGACGGTGCGGCCGTGCGACAGCGGCGTGGTGATGTACTGGTCCGAATCGATAATGAAGGACAAGGGGACGTTCTTGACTTGCAGCCGATATTCTTCGATGCGGTAAAAGATGTCGAGCTTGGCTGTGTGCGTGCGTGGTCTTAGCGGCCATCCAAGAAACATGACAGAAGACAGGGAGAGACAACTTACTGGCCAGCATCCACTTGACAAGGTACGTCTGAATCATGGGCATGGACTCCCCAACGCCATGCCAGAGCACCTGCTCCGCGCACAGATCCGAGGGGAAGTCCCGCCATGGGAAAGGCCTCAGCAGTGGCCCGCCACACAGGACCTCGTCCGGATTAAAGCGCAGTTCTGCCACAGGCAAGGCGTCTCTGCCGACGCGCGTCGCTCGCAAGGTGATGCCACAGGCGTCCGACTCCATGGTGTAAAGGGTCTTGGTAATCACCTCGACCACGGTCTTGAGCTTGCGCTGGGCGAAGCAGTGTTCTCTGTGCTGGCCCCAGTGTTGTGCCTGACAATCTGCGTTGCAGTAGCCCGTGCCGACGGCAACAACGTCGTTGTTCTTGACGGCACAGTCACCGCAGACGAGGGACGGGTCCGCCATCCCGCAGTGAGCGCACTTTTTGGGGCAGGTGAGATCGCATGGCAGATGGTGAAGGCGCTTTGCCATGGCTTCGGGGGGTCTCCCGTCCAGGCCGTCTTCTGCCGGCAAGCTAGCGCACGTGCAACACTCGTCGCTGTGCTCCTCGTCATCGTCGTCGTTCTCTTCATCGCTCGAGTCCCGATCGATTTGGGAGCCGATGCAACCTTTTGCCAAAGATGTCGTCTCTTTTGTGCCAGGCGGGACCTGGCGGCCGAGACAGGACCAGTGGCAGTGGGTAAGGTAGTCCGCCATGTTTGTGGAGAACTTGTCCTTGATGAGGAAGAGCGGCTGGAGGCCCATGATGAAGGCCGGGCGTACTTTGTCGACACCGATGTTGTCGTCGATGGCGTCGAGGGCTGTGAGGGCTTTTGAGGCGAGGAAGTTTTGAGTAGTGAGGTGCTTGTCAGTGGCGGTGGCCTGGACAACCTCGGGGGAGGGGAGGGGCCCTCCCTTGAGGTAGTCGGGCAGACCCCTAAGGAAGGCCACGAGGGCGTCACGGTAGGCGGCTGAGACCTGGGTGGAAGACATGCCGATGTTGAGCTCGGCCCTGAGGAGGTCGGAGAAGAGCTTCTCGATGCGCACGCGCGTCTCGTCGGCCTTGCCAATGTCGTTGATGGCGGTCTTGAGGGCGTCAAAGCCCGTGTCGCGCGGTGTGGCCATTGTCGTGGCGGTAGAAGGGCGATTGTGGCTGTGGTGAAATGATGGTGAGATCTGGGTGAAAAAGACAAGGCAGGACAGCAACTGCCATAGTACTCAGAAAATCCTTGCCCCCCAGCAGATCATGGCTGACGACGAGAGCTCCAAATGAAATCTCGTCCCGGCTGGTGTGTAGCGCACCAGGTGGCAGAGATTCTTGAGTGTTGCAAAATGGTGGCAATGGCACAAGAAGGCAAGGAAGTGTGGACAGGGCAGGGCAGCCACCCCTGGGCACACCTGGGCAGTTTCCAAGGCACCAAGGCACCAACCATAGACAAACACCACGAGACAGCCATACCAAGCCAGGCCCCCGTCCCTTTCGTACTCAGAAACACAACAATCCTCCAGACCCCGAATTTTGCCACCTCAGGACTGCTTCCCCCCGGAACCCATCATGACCAGCGTGTTCGACACGCCGTTCTTCAGCCGGTCCTCGGCCCGGCGGTACACCCACGCCAGGTCCTTGTCATGCTGGTCCGCCGGCAGGTACCGCCACCCGTTGTACTCCTTGATCCAGCTGCGGTTCGGCACGTACGCCTCGAGCATGTAATAGTTGTCCCGGTGGAACGGCAGCTCGAAGCTCGGGGGCCCACTCCTCTCGAGGAACGCGTCGCAGCCAGACCTCGCGTCCTCCTCAGTCATCCGGAACCGCCGCCGCTGGTTGCCTTTATTGGCCGCGTGCCTCGCCACCGCCCGCACCGTCGAGTCCAGATGCGCCTCGAGGATCCGCGCGTGCCACAGCGGGCTGCGCAGCGCCTTGCCGACCACGTACGCGTGCTTCGCCAGCAGCTCCTTGTTCCACGCGGGCATGTCGGCCCCTCGCTTGATCATGGGCAGCGGGGTGCCCTGGTCGAGGTGGTCCTGCCAGTGGGCAAAGTCGACGGCGATGCAGAGCACGTTCCACCGCAGCATGCAGGCCAGGCAGGTGCAGATGCCGGCCGGGTCGGGCGGCGGGATGTGCTGGTAGTACGGCTTGCGGTGGATGCCCAGCAGCTCGCGGCGCTCGACGCTCGTCAGCTCGTCGTGCAGGAAGGGGTCGACGTCCTCGAGCAGCACGGGCAGGCGGTAGCTCTGGAGGAGGCAGGCGTAGCGCCAGCTGGCGATGGCGGAGGTGATGCGCTGGCAGTTGTGGGGGTCGGTGATGAAGGCGTGCAAGGTCTTGTCGACGCGGAGGAGGCGGAAGACGTCGCTGGGGCAGAGGAGGCTGAAGATGTCGAGGACGAGCTCGTAGGGGAGGTCGAGCAGCTTGAAGGCTTGGCGCTTGGCGCGGGCGGCGCGGCGGTCCTGCTTGCGCCGATCGCGGGCGGTGCGCTTGGACTTGAGGGTGAGGGCCTCGGTGGTGTCGACAAGCTCGCCCAGATCAGACTCGTCCGAGTAGTCGGGCCGCCGCATCATGAGTGGTGAGGCGGGGGGAGGTTGGGGCTACAGCGTGGTGCTTGTCCTATGTGTGTGTGTGTGTGTGTGCCTGGTGCTGCCTGCCTGCCCGCCTGTGCCACCAAGACAACAAACCAAAAAAAAGAGGCATTGATGTCATCGGCTTATGTCAGCATGCGGAGACAATCCCCACAGGCAAAAGTGGTTATAACTCATCCATCATCCCCCACGCATGGCACAACATGTGACGGGCTCGGCACGGCCTCGGATGGCCAAGATGTCTCTGGGGCCTGTGTTGGCGGGATTTTCCCAGTTTGTCAACCGGAGAAGAACGGCCTGGCATTACGACTCAGCGTAGTGGTCACCAGCTTGCGCGATGGAGTGCACGGGCGCCCCCCGGACTGGAGAAGGGCCGACTCGAGACCCGGAGGCATGGGCCGTTCCCCGCATCTTCTCCACAAACGCCTTGTTTTGCTGCTGCGTTAGCCCCAGATCCCCAGCGCCACAAGACCCGGCACCAGCACCGGCTCCAGCAAGATCATGATCAGCACGCCTCCAACCTGCTCTAATATGCAGTCCGTCACTGCCCTCTCTCTGCAGCCGCCTGTCCCGACTTTCTTCCGCTTGGGCCCGACCGACTCCATCTCATCCCCGGCATGAACCTTGCCGTTCCTCCACACGCGCGGGGCCCCGATCCCACGGGCGTAAAAGAATTCCCGGCCAACTACCGCCTGGCCTGTCATGGGACTATGCAGGGCCCATCGTCATTGGGCAGTGCTGCCCTTTTGGCTCTTTTTTTTTTTGTTTGGCCCTGCCAAGAACGGCCTATAAAACTCCGATCAGCGCTCCTCCCGCCGTGTCAAGAATGTTCCGCGTCCATCGTCACCCTTCACGCTACCATCACAGGGACAAGACTACTCCACGATGAAGCTGTCCGTCGCTACCGCCCTCGCCATCTGCGAAACAGTCGCAGCCGTCAAGCCGGTCGTCCATCTCGGCTACAGCAGCTTCCAGGGCACGCCCCTGGACAACGGCATCACTCAATGGCTGGGCATGCCCTTTGCCGCGCCCCCAGTGGGTGACCTGCGCTGGCGGGCGCCCCGAGACCCGGCCAAGACGGAGGGCATCCAGCTTGCGAACAAGGTGAGTTCTTCACACACACAGACACAATTCTCTTCTTCCTTAAATCAGCGTCACTCAAACCACCGCAAATCATAATGGAATATACACAGCAAGCTAACACACAACGCTTTACTACCACCAGCACTCGCCCTCCTGCATCGGCACCGGCGAGTCCCCCAGCGCCACCAAGTCCGAGGACTGCCTGTACGCGGCCGTCTACGCGCCCACCGCGGCGACCCGGTGCAAGCCCCTGCCGGTGTACGTGTGGATCATGGGCGGCGGGTTCAACTCCAACGCGGGGCCCAACTCGAACGGCACGGGGCTCATCCGGGCGGCCGACATGGACCTCGTGGTGGTGACGTTCAACTACCGCGTGGGCACGTACGGGTTCATGACCAACGGCGACGCCTCGGACACGACCCTCATCGACACCAACATGGGCCTGCTCGACCAGCGCAAGCTGCTGCGCTGGGTGCAGAGCCACATCTCCAAGTTTGGCGGCGACCCGCGGCACGTCGTCATCGGCGGGGCGTCGGCCGGCGCGGCCAGCGTGACGTACCACCTGACGGCGTACGACGGGGCCGACGAGGGCTTGTTTGTCGGCGCGGCCGCCGAGTCCCAGTCCTTCGGCCCCGTGCGGACGGCCGAGAAGTCGCGCTACCAGTTTGTCAACCTGGCCAAGAGGCTCGGGTGCTGGGACGAGTCCGCCGTGTCTAATAATGACGAGGACAAATCCAACGACGCGGCCGTTCTCGCGTGCATGCGCTCCGCACCCGTCGAGACAGTCCAACAAGCCGCCAGCACCAACATCCCATACCCGGAGCTCACCAGTGCCAACTCCTCCTTCAGCCAGGCCCCATTGTACATGTTCTCCCCCCTGATCGACGGCAAGATCATCCAGGACCTGACGTACAACCGCTTCGCCGAGGGGAAATACATCCACGTCCCGAGCATCTTTGGCGACGACACCAACGAGGGGACCACGTTCGCGCCCAAGACGGCGGCCACGAGGCAGGACAGCCACGACTTCTACCGGGCCAACTTCCCCGCCGCCACGGCCGCGCAGCTGAGCGTGCTGGACGGGCTGTACCCGAACCACAACGAGAGCACGTGCCCCAACAAGGGCTGCTGGTGGAGGCAGGCGTCCGACGTGTACGGTGACACGCGGTATACCTGTCCGGGACTGTTCCTGGCCGAGACGCTCACGGATCCCGCCACGCCGGCTGGTCCCGGGGAGAAGCAGCCGGGTAAGGAAAAGCCGCCCGTGTTCTTGTACCGCTACAATGCGCTCGACCCCGCCCAGGAGGCCAGCGGCCTGGGCGTCCCGCACACCGTCGAGACCAACGCCGTCTGGGGGCCCGAGAACCTCCAGAGCGCCGCGCCAAAGAGCTACCTGCCCGGCGGGGTGAACGCGGGTGTCGTCCCCGTCGTGCAGGGGTACTGGACGAGCTTCATCCGCACGCTGGATCCCAACTCGCACCGCGTGCCCGGCAGCGCCGAGTGGGAGAACTGGGAGGGCAAGATGGATGGTCCCGCGGCGGGCAAGAGGTTGTTGTTCAGCACGGGTGGGGGCACGACCATGGAGGGCGTGGATGATGGGGTCGAGAACCAGACCGCCAAGTGTCGGTACTTGGAGACCATCGCTCTGGATCTGCAGCAGTGAGGAATGGGGCGCGGAGAGGTCTCCTCGTGGTCGGCTTGTGTGTGGCCGTGAAGCAGTCTTAGATGGTTGAGTGCTCTCCAGGAGTGGTTGAGACGAACATGTTAGAGATATACGCATGTTTTTATTCGCGCTTGTACGGCTCTTCCTCTCTCGGATCAGAGCCCCACCGTCAATCCGCCACCTACTGTCTAGTTCTAGTGTACAATTACAAAAAGCCTAATATTCCATCATGCCAAAGACAGAGCCATTGAAAAGTCCCATTGCAGCCTCTGTCGTGTTACCTCGCCGGGTCAATTAAGTGGCCCACGAGTCTGCTCTTGCTCACGAAACACTGCAGCCTGCTCATCTCGTTCGAGAGACCTGAGAGCCGCAGGTCAAGCCGATGGCGCGACATCAACCGCGGCTGCCGCGGTTGTCGTGGTCGGCCCTACTGCAAGCCTGCTCCACGGGCTCAGCGCCCTCCGAGCCCCAAAGGGATCATATTTCGTCGCCTGTGCCTCCACGACCCGCCGCGCACTCTCCTCCCGGACTTTCTGATGCCACGGCGACGTAGGAGGGAGGCGTGAATTGAACTCGGCGTGCAGAGCCGGCAGGTGGACCACATCGTTGGCGCAGTAGGCGATGGTCTCAAGGGACAAGGGCCGAGTGCGGAAGACGCTCTGTGACAAGTCGAGGTCTCCGGGAGGTGGGGAAGTCTGGTGCCGCGGTGTCCGTGTTACCTTTCGCGGATATGATGCCGTCCCTCCACTTTCAAGGGCTGGAGTTCCACGGTCAAGGCCATTTTCTGAATTGCCGTCCAATGAGTGACTGCGCTTCCCGGCCCGTACCGCATTGAGTAGCACCTTTGGAATCACCCCGGAGATGACGTTTCCTGCAAGTTCTACAATCTGCCGCGGCCCTTTGGCTGCATGCTCGTCGTCTCGGCCGGGCTGCGGCTCCATCAGCGCGCGCACGCGGTCCTTCGTCCCTGCCCACAGTGCGAGCTCGGCCGGGGTCAGTGCCAGGTCTGTCTCGATGCTCCGCGCCAGACCACGAAGATAGCGCCTCCGGTGGCCATGAACGGGGTGGGCCCGCCGCGCGACATTCTCGAGAAGCTGCAGGTCGGTGACACCTGCGAGCGCGATGCCGTAGTGCGCAAACAGGGCGTCGGCGTCGTTGCGGACGTCCCAGAGATACTTTGGCACGGCGGGGTCTTCGAGGATAGACTTGAGGGTGGTCCTGGGTCTGCCCCGGCTCTTGGTGGTCGTGGTGGCGGCCTGAGTGGAAAAAGCTGCGTGCTGGAGAGTGCAGACATCAATGAGCCGGACCTGGCCGTCTGGGAGGGAGAGCAAGGTAATGATGTCGAGAGATCCAGCCCGGGACAGCCAGTGGCCTTCGAGATCGACATATAGAGAGGTGGTTTCCGGCAGCTGTGCGAGGAAAGTAGCCAGCTCGGCTGGGGTGGAGATGAGCTTGGCCGTGGCGGCAGCTGACAAGGGAGAGAAGGCAGACGTCAAGACACGGGCGTTGGGCTTCTGTTGTGGTGGTGAAGTTTGCCGTCGTGGCCGTGTGGGTTTTGAGACTGGGCCATTATTTGCAGCCGAGTGAAGGGTCCTGAGCAGGATGGTGGGCAGTGGACATGTTGCCGGCTGGAGTAGCCTGGCTGGCCGTAGTGAAGCTCTACATGAGCGACGGAGACATGCCTTGGGAGCAGTCATGAAGCTCGGGGGTAGGAACGGGCCAGACAGCCAGAGGGACGGTGGTGTTGGAAATGGGAACAGAGAGTGGTAGCATCATCGAAGCGACGACGTTGATGTTGTGCGGACGTGGGTGGGTACGTGTGGAAGGTGCGTTCTGGGCCCCCCACAGACGGAAGGCGGTGGGGGTATTCTGCCGCATGCCATTTTGGAGAGTGTGGATCGCCTCGTGGTCTACTAATTAATTATTATTCCGTACGTACGCTTACTTATCTTTCCGTGATCGTCCAGGGTCCTCCCCGTTTGGAGCCGATGCAACACTGTCGGCGACCTACGCTGCCTGCCTTATCGCGGGTCGCCGCTGTCGGAGCCGGCCCGACGTCGAGATAGCCACACCCGGCATGCGACCACATTTTTGCTGATAATAATCTCCCCGGCCGGCGATCAAGAGGAAGGAATGTCTTCTCCCTTCTCGTCCCACGTCCAGCAGCAGCGCCGCCCACGACGGGGCTCGTCCTCTTCGACTCACAGCCAGTCGCCTCTCATCATGGCCGTCGCCCAGTCCTACAGCGGCAACGAAGCCACCACGATGCCTGCAAAGGACATGGCAGCATCTCCAGGCGCTCCGCACGATGGGGATGAGGCCGCTCCTGCTGCCCCCAGCGGTCACTCGCACGAGCACCTCGTGGACCTCGACCAGTTCCCGGGCCTCGTCAAGGCCATTGACTGGCACATCATGCCCCTGCTCTTTGTCACGTACCTCTTCAACTTCATGGACAAGACCATCCTCTCGAGCGCCGCCGTCTTTGGCCTGCGCGAGGACAACAGCCTCGTCGGCGACAACTACTCGTGGGTCTCGAGCGTCTTCTACTTTGGCTACTTCTTCTGGGCCTACCCGACCACCCTCCTCGTCGCCCGCCTCCCCGTCGGCAAGTACATGGCCGTCAATACCCTCTTCTGGGGCCTCGTCGTCGCTCTCACTGCCGCCTGCCACAACTATGCCGGCCTGCTCACCGTCCGCTTCTTCCTCGGCGTCGCAGAGGCCACCATCTCCCCGGCTCTCATGTTCATCACCTCGACCTGGTACACCCGTGACGAGGTCCCCTCCCGCACCGGCATCTGGTTTGCCGGCAACTCGGTCGGCGGCCTCGTCTCGTCCCTCCTCGCCTACGGCATCGGCCACATCACCGACCGGGTCGGGCCCTGGCGGTGGATGTTCATCATCCTCGGCGTCTGCACGTTTGTCTGGGGCTTTGTGCTCTACTTCTTCCTGCCCGACTCCATCTCCACCGCCAAGTTCCTCTCCCCGGAGCAGCGCCAGCACGCCGCAGACCGCGTCGTCATCTCGGGCACGGGCAGCACCGACAAGACCACCTGGCAGTGGGCCCAGATGCTCGAGTGCCTGCGCGACCCCAAGACCTGGCTCATCTGGAGCATCTCGCTGCTCTGCCAGATCCCCAACGGCGGCACCCAGACCTTTGCCAACCTCGTCATCAAGTCCTTCGGCTTCACCTCGCTGCAGTCCACCCTCATCAACATCCCTTACTCGCTCATCTCGGCCGGCTGCATCGCGGGCACCGGCTACATTGCCGGCCGCTTCCGCTCCATGAACTGCATCCTCGTCGCCCTCATCGTGCTCCCCCCCGTCATCGGCTGCGCCCTCATCGGCTCCCGCGGTAAGATCCCGCACGGTGTCTCGCTGTTCGGCTACTTCCTGCTCTCCACGGGGCCCTCCGCGCTGCCCCTGCTGCTCTCCCTCGTCCAGGCCAACTACCGCGGCGTCACCAAGAAGATGACCATGACGGCCATGCTCTTCATCGCGTACTGCGCCGGCAACATCGCGGGGCCCCAGCTGTTCAAGGCGTCCGAGGAGCCCACGTACGACACGGCCTTCCGGGCCATCATGGTGTGCTACGCGCTCGTGGTGCTGCTCGCGGCCGTGCTGAGGGTGTATCTCCAGGCCGTCAACAAGAGGCGCCAGCGCGAGGAGGGAATCGAGGGCAGCTCTGGTGCCGCGGGGGCTGTGGGCGGGGGCAAGGTCGTTGACGACGGGAACGTGGTTGCTTCTGTTGGTGGCGACGTGAATGGGCAACAGCAGGGAGGTCGGGAGGTGCAGCTGAGGCCGGAGGACTACGAGGATGTCACGGACTGGAACACTTTTGGGTTCCGGTACCGGCTGTGAGTGTGTTGTTATTTGGGCAACTTTGTCGCTTATTTAGCATAAATGCTCACCGAGATATTATTGTAATCGAGAACGTGCCGTCGTCCCCGGTATAGGGTGGCGGGTTTTTGAAACGGCCTTGGCGCAGTTGGCCGCTTGACGACCTGTGCCTAGATCAGTCCTACTCAATATATATAAACTATATTCCCATCTACGGTAGCTTCTCATACCTTCGACTTCGTCTACCCCTCCCTTCACTATGAGGACTGGGTGTCGCCACGGCGTTCGATGACAAGAGCGACCCTAACAGGTATGTGCGAGGGACAGTGCCATATCTAGAGATTTTGCCAAGATACACTACACTGCCCGGGTCCAGAGGTAGGGTGGTGTATGACGCCCAATACCGCCGCAGCTGATGGTTGTTGCTAAGCCACAAATGGCTGGATTTCAGCCAAATACCCAGAGTGCAGGAATATTGGAGGGTATAAAACACATCATTTCCGGAAACTACCTAGCTGGAGGAGAATCCTTTTATCCCTCCTACTGTGAACTGTGTTGGAGTGTGTGGAGAGCTCACGTCAAGATTGCTCCAGGGATGGGTGAACCACAGGCGCACGTGCCTGGCGGCCTGATTGTTGACCCGAGTGTATGGGCACAGGGTTGATGTTTGGCTGAGTTAACTGGTGATAAACTTCAAGTGAGCGTCAGCCAGTTCTCTGATTCGCTTGCGCAGTCAGACACTTGCTTCAGCTTGCTAGGATGTCCAGCAAGAGGGACAGGGGTCTTGCAGCAGGATGGATATCGAGGCTTTCCCTGGCATACCCATATATTTGGGTTCCCTGTCTAGGAAAACAACAAGCTTTCCTTGCCAAGCATGCCCATCTGATCCTCAACTTTAGCTGACCAATATGAAGCCGCGGCCCCCACCTGAGTCTCCAGAGACCAAATACTTCAGCGACGTCCTTCTTACTTTGAGCAAGAGTGCATACCAAGCCGAGCAAAGTGCCCGGTGGTCAGAAGCCTATGACCTCCACAAGAAAGCCACAGAAGACTACGCAGCATTTCTCAAGAAACCGGTGAAGCAAGTGCCATGGCAGTATGGCAAATCCTACCTGCAATACTCCCAGTATCGCAAGCGGCTCCATCTTGAACGCATGGCGTATATTCAGCCATGGGCCAAGGGAGGTCATCCTGTGCCAGAGAGGGTGATTATGCATCCCTCGAACACTCTCACCGTGCGCGGGTTTTCTGAATCTGGGGATATGGTAGAACTTCTTCGTAGTGTGACCAAGAACGAGGCACTTGTGCTGACTCATGTAAGTTGCATTTGACATTTTATCACAAACTTCATTCCGATGTCCCATATCATTAGCACCTGTCATGTCTTTTCTCCCGGTTCTAAAAGCCGCTTAGCAACAAGTTACCGACCCCAATGCGACTGGCCTGTCCAATTACTCTGACACTCTGCCTCGTAATCTGCCTCCGAATCAATACGAGATCGACTACCACACGGAGCACAGGGCATACTTGGAGATGGAGCTCTGCGTAGCCACCGTCACCGACAAGGAGACCTCGCAGACGCTGCTCATCCTGGAGACCTGGGTTGCCCCACGCGGCAGTCGACCTCAGGTGCGCGAGGCCTTTGTCTACCGAGCGGCCGACTACCCGATCCCGGTGTTCCATCACGTCTACAACCATGACCACTGCACGAGGAGCGTCTCGAGCGGGCCGTGGTTGTGGATGAGCTCGGTCTTCCCCACCTTGATATACGGCCTGCCTGAGCCGGACTGGAGGCCCGAGGCGGACAGCGACACCATTGCGGCCTTCCGCCGCGCGAGCTCGATCATCACAGAAGTTCCCGACCGGGAGGGCTATCCGGGCCCTGTGCGCTTCAGCTTTGGCGGCCGGCAGTTCGTGAGGAAGCCGCCGGCCGGCGACGAGAAGTACGCCAGCTCGTGGTCCGACCAAGTCCTGCGCGAGTTCACCACCACGGAGCCAGTCGCCGGCAGCAAAACAGGCAAGAGGAAGGACGACGCGAGTGACGTCAAGCTCGCCTGGCTGGAGAGCAGAGGAAAATGGGCTGCCGCGCGGGGCAGGTTCACGGTGAAGGTCGCTGCCGGGATCGATCCGCTTTTCAAAGAGTACGTCTTGGCGGCGACGCTGATGAAGCTGGTTTCGACGGCCAGGGGTACGGAAGTAGGAGGCTCGAGGCTGGAAGGGGATCCGAAAATCATGCAGGAGATTCTGGCGAAGGGTGGTGCGAGTCTTGCAATTTCCATGGTTTTGGGTATTCTCTTTGCCAGCTGAATGTATCTCAAAGAAGAAAATGCGGTTCTCCAACCGATTTTGCTATCATATACCCAACACTAGTCGGGCGCTTATATTATCTAGGTATCCCTGACTAGAAAAAGCCGAAGAGGATAATAAGGACGAGTAATTTGCGGTACAAGGCTTAGACAAGTCAGTAGCCCTTGATAGGGTCAGAGAAGGCTACCGTGACATCAAAAAATCGCTAGACCACCCTGTGTTTGATACTAAGCTATTGTCTGTGCTAGACTAGGCTGCTACAGGGAATTCCTTTTGGAGTCTCTTCGTCCGGTTCGGTCTCTCTCAACGCCTTCATTTACGGCGGCTCCATTCCTAGCTACCGAGCTGGGGCGAATGGGAGATGGCCCGGTTTTGCATTGCTTGATCCATTGTATGATTTGCTCCCAGTCGCATGCAGTGGTTGGGCCTTTCCAGGCAAGAGATGTAGGAAAGGCAAAAATAGTCCAGCGAGAGTAGCGTTGCAAACTAACGCAAGGCCCGCATGCCCTCGTAGTAGTGGATGCCCATGCCGGCATAGCCTGAGAACTTGCCTGCCCTGCCCTCGACGATGCTCAGGTCGCTGAGGAAGTGCTGGAGCGTGGAGCCGTAGTAGCTCTGGATGTTATCGCCGGTATTGACCGTCTCGATGGACAGCCACACGGGCTTGCCCTCTCCCGAGCCCCTGACGAGGGCCCTGTTGGCGATATCCATAAAGGCGTCGGGCGTGTTGCGGTAGGTCATGAAGTGGGTGGCCGCGATGCGGCGGAACATCCACACGTCCAGGGTGACGTCGTAGCCCGGGCAGTCGATCTCGTTGGCCCAGAAGGGGACGTCGGCCTCCACGGGCAGGTTCCCGAGGTCTTCAGCGGCGACCTTGATGATCGCCTCGGCGACGCGGAGGAGGCCGGTTGTGAGGCCGGCGCGGTTGTTCTCCCAGTCAGGGTGGATTGTCCACGGCTGTAATAGGTACAAAGGGGGTCAATTTGAATTGGAGTCGCGGCATAGAAGAGCGGGAAAAGACAACGTACTTCGACGTCAAAGTGGACAGCGCTAAAGCGCGACGCCGCCGGGGCGCTCGCCTGGTACTGCTTGAGCCAGTCGAGTTTCGGCTTGAGGTTTGGGAAGCCCTCGGCTGTGGCCCAGCTGGAGTCTCCTATGAGAGCCTGCACGCGGATGCCGTTGCCTGCGCACTTCGCTACGAAGCTCTGGTAGGCAGCGTTACCCAGGTCCGTGTTCATCTCTGTGTAGAGCGTGCCGATCTTGTACTTTAGTGCAAAGTTGATGAGCTGCGTCACCTCGGTCTGGCTCTGGATCTTTTGGGCGTTCCAGAACCACATGCCCCGGCTGCCGGCCCACGCGGGCGTTGCGAGCAGCAGCAGCAGCAGCGACGAGAAGAGGTTTGCCCAGTGCATCTTGACGTATGTTCGAAGCGATGTTGTGAAGATGGAAGAAGAGGGAGAAGCAGCATTCTCGAGCGTACTCCAACTCCTTGAAATAGCCCAAACTCGACCACTGCAAGGCCAAACTTTTCACACTGCATGCAACGTTAGGGCAGTGGCGCTACAGTGAGATGGGATCGAGAACCTTGCTTTTCCCACAGTAACCTAAAGCATGCATCGCGGCGAGCTAAGGGCGGCCAGATCCGCGACGGCGCCATGGCGATCCGCCCATTGTGGGTTGTCAGCCCAAAAGCCCTGTCAGTTTGATGCGGTCAGCGTAACCGAGCCAGATCAGATCAGAGGAATGCATCCCCTGCGGAGAGCGGATACGAGAATGCAACACCCCACTCTGGTCGAGACCGAAGATGCGCGCACCACCGTGAGAGTCTTGGGAGCAACTCGCCCTAACTCGACTGAGACACAGTAACATCGGTCAGCCCTTAAAGCTCCCGCACCAAAAGAGTGAAGAAAATCCGAGGATCTGAGTCAATACGGTCGGCTATGTTTGGACATACTCTTTGTTCATAGGCCAAATAACAGCCCTTTTGAGGTCCCTACGATCTTCAAAGGTACTTGCCACCTTCGCTAAGATAAGAATCATAGAGATGCTTCGATTAACGCCGGGATATCGTAGGACACATTTATATCGGAGCCTCATGGATTCCACGAGGATGCTAGATACCTTCTGTGCACTCTCCTCATTATTCGAGTGAGAGCCGGTGTATATGTCTGATTTGTGGGAGTGGACAATAGAATGGTAGGCCAGTGCGGCTAGCTCACCCCGGCAACACGAACGATGCTAGGTCTGCACTGCTTGGATATTAATTTGGTAATTTATTCTGTCGGCTCAGTATCTTCATCCGACCATGGTAATCATGGTGCTGCGGCGGCCGAAAGCGTGGGTCAGGAATCCCTTAGGTTAACCATTTGTATCAAAGACATAAATTAACTAACTCTACCGAATGAAGCAAAAAAACCATCATCGCGAAATTACCTTCCTCAGCGCCCAACCGCACACCTCCGCGAACCGCTCCTCGTCAACTCGCACGGCATAGCTCGGCCGCTGCAGCTGGAGCTGGGCCGACTGAGCGTGATCCCCGTTCCTCCCAGTACCGCCGCCGCCGCCGACACTGCTACCGCTGAAGGCGCGCCTGTGGTTGTCTCCCGGCCTCGCGGCACCGAATCTCTCCTGTTGAGACTGCGAGCGGGCGTGATGGTAATGATGCGAGTACTGCGAGGGTGATGCCGTGGTGCCGCGCTCCCCGCCGTCGGTATATGCCTGGCCGTCCTCCTGATAGTAAGCAGCGCCACCACCACCACCGGGTTGTCTTGACGACGGATCCATGACCTTGGACCACGGGGTCACGGGTGGGCGTATGCCTCCTGCGCCTCCACCAGCAGCCCCGACGGCGCCTACTGCCGCGGCTGGTGCTCCTCCCGCCGCTACTCCCGGGGCCAAAAACGTGTCCTCCTCGTGCGTGCCGTCCGCGCCCACGGAGATGTACAGCGCCGGCCAGCTCGAGTGGATGCGCGGCAGGAGGTGCTGGATCTGGTGGACGAGCCGGGTGCTGCGCGACGCGGGATGGTCCTGGCTGGCGATCCCGGGGCGTGTTCCTGTCGGCGGTGGTGGTGTTGATGACGACGATGATTGCGATTGTGGTGGTGTCAGGCGTGACCACATTGCCTGGTCCGGACTACGAGTCGTCAGCGGGGACAACGCCGACGGGCAGGAAGACGCGCGTCGGGCAGCGTCGTCTGATGCCTTGGGAGGGAACTATATTGTCGTAGGAGTTAGTACCAACATGGGATGGGTCTTCTTGAATGGAAGCAAGAGCACAAAAGAGACAGGGCTTTCTTACCTGCACAACGCACAGTATCCGCCTCCTCATGTCCTCATAGTCTGTGAGGAAGAACATGCAGCTGCCCAGTCCTCCCTGACTCCCTCTACCACTACTACTACTACTACCACCAGCACTGCCATCACGAGGCTCAGTATTACCACCATCTACATCCGGCACGAAGAAGAAGTTGGGCAGGCTCTGGTAGAAGCTGTTGTCGCTCGTCGAGCTCGTCGTGTAGTGCGCCATGAGCCACTCCTCGGCCGTCCAGCGCCGGCCACCGCCTTCGCCGCGGTCCAGGTCCAGCCCGGAGTCATACAGATGATACCGCCCCAGCGTGCCGGTGAGCAGACTGGACAGAGTCTTGTCGATGTTGCCGTTCACGGGAGGTTTGCTTCTCTGATGGCCATGAGTGGCTGGGTCGTGGTGCGCGGAGGCGGCGGCCTGGCTAATGCGTTCTGCGGACTGGGCGATGGACATGAACGCCGCTCTCCTGTGCAAGGCGATTTCGTCAAAGGGGAAGTGGAGGAGCATTTTCATGGCCTGGGTTGAAAGTCAGTCACTTGCCCATGCCAGTCAGTAGTAGAGGCCGCAGGGGCGGGTCAGGACTCACAGATGTGATCGCGTTCTCGACAATGTTCCTCCCAGTCCACTCACTCACGCTGTTCACGCTTAACGCTCCGGCAATCATCCGACGACAAGCCACATCCAGATACCCATCCTGCGCCGCCGCCGACGACGACAACAACAACGATGACGAGGGAACTGGCGCCGCCGACTCGCGGACATACTCCATCGCGGCCTCCAGCACCAGCGGCTCCCCCAGCCGCGCCCGCATGTACCTGGGATTCAGGGGGTCTGCGGCGGCCGCCGATACGCTCTCGAGCTCCGGCGGTATCACCGACACGACGGACCCGGACTCGCTCTCGTACACGAGCGCCAGGCCCGCAGCGACGAGCTTAGACGCGCTCTCGCCCACAAAGTCGCGCGACACGCCGCACGTGTCCACCTCGACCGCCGTGGCCAGGAACTCGTGCAGGCTCGCCGTGTCGCGGATCTTGTGGATCTGCAGCTTCAGCGCCGTTTTGATCCGCTCGGCTGCGCGGGCGCTCGCGGTGCGGATGTCCTCGGCGGACAGTCTGCCTTTGTACTGGTTCTGGTGCTGCTGCGGTTGACGCTGGCGGTCTGTGGCGATGGCGGTCGAAGATGATGATGATGATGATGATGATGAGATGCGCAGGAGCTCCTCGGTGAAAGTGGCTGTCCACCGCACACGGCCAAAGAAACGTGAACACTCCTTCTGTATCGCCTCGTGCCGGACGTCCGCGGAGAACACGGTCCAGTTGGCCAAGAGCTCCTGCTCCACAGCAGCCCATCTGTCGCTGTAGGACAGTCGTCTTGAGTTGGGGGATGAGGAATCTGGCGGCAGAAGGGACAGCAGGTCGATGGAGAAGCCTAGGGGCTGGCCGTCTCGCGTGAGAAGTGGATAGTGGTGGTCACCATCTCGCCCGTCTGCTGCTGGGGGAAGCCTGGTGTTGTTCTCTGAGTTGCCAAACGTGCCGGCCTGCCGTTGGCTCTGCAGCTCAAACATCTCGCTGGCCACACTCCAGGCGTGGTGTGAGAGCACACTCCAGAAGGTTTCTGCGTTGCTCACGTTTGTGCGCGAGCTCGAGATGCGGTTGATCGACGTGACAGCTCTTTCGTTGAGGAGTTGCTGCTGGTTTGAGGTAAACTTGCCTTGCACTGGCCCGTTCTGATAGTCACGCCCGCGGACGTCTTGCGCCAGCTGCCTCTCAGTGTTGTTGATTTTGCCCGGCCCCTTTGAGGGTAGAGTGTTGATCGAAGTAGTCGCGATGTACGCATGTCCCTCATGGTAATCCACCATCCCTTGCAGGATACGCTCTGCCAGATGATCGCCTATGATCTCCTGAGCCTCATCAATACAGATTGGCACCGCAGACGAGATGTCCGATAACTGGTCGTTCCTGTCCTCTGAAGCATAAGCGTTCCACGTGGGACTCAGCCGGAACAGCCGGTACGCAACGTCAAACACATCTGTCATCCCATCCATACCACCACTCTCAGCTGCCGAGGCCGCGACAATCTGTAGCTGGAGCCACCGGATCGGGCTCTTGTATCCGGGCATATGGTCCAAGAGATGCCTCCTCGCGCGCAGGAGCGGCTCAACGCAAAGTTCGGTGTCGAGCAGCCTTTCATGGGGACGCCGATGCGTGCCCAGGACGGGCCGGCCGGCAGGTACAATGCCGGAACCCTCGAGGAACGACAGGTCCTGGTACAGCGTGTGCGTGTCGCGCGACGCAAAGCTCCTGCAGGCGCCGAGCAACAAGTGATCAAGCTCCGGCTGCTGTCGGGTCGCGTTGGCCAACACCACGCCGTGCGCGATCCTCGGCGAGCTGGTATTGCTGTTGCTGCCGCTGCCGCTGATGGGCTTGTCCTTTGGCGGCACGGGCGGGCGCATCGACGGCAGGTTCGGTGCCATGAAGTAGTACCCGCCCGTCTCGAGCACCTTGTCGCGCAGGAACCGCGTCTTCCCGGAGCCGGGCGCGTCGAACACGACCGTCACGTCTGTCGGCGGCGCCGGGTCCTCGCGTGCGGGGAACGGGCGATCCGTGGCTCCAAGGAGGGCGGTCATGTCTGGGAGGTTGTCGTTCGCGTCGGCGAGGATGCGCTGGAGGATGTCCCGGCGGGAGATGAGGTACTGCTGCAGGCCGTGGTACAGTGGCGAGGCTTCGCTGGTGGTGGTTCCCCTGGATGCCCAGCGTTTGACTGTGCGGCTCTTGGTCAGCATCATCATGTTCAACTGGCAACCGAAAATTGGGTCTTGAAACTCACAAAGTCTAGGGTGCGACTTGAGATCTTTCTGTAGTCGTTTCAACTGAGCCTTGATCTGCCGCAGGACCATCTCGTGCGGACAGATACCAGGCCCGTCGAGCCTACGGGTGATAGTATTCATCATCGTGTCGAAGCTGGCATGCGTCTCATGGGGCCCGTCCTCGATGGAGGAGCTGCTGCTGCTGGCTGATTCTGGCTTCTTCATGTTGGTCCCGATTGCGTAAGCCAAGTATTGTTCAAGGTCGAGCGAGCCAGATCCCTGAGGACGATTCGCTGACGAGAGCGAGGCATATATGGACAGAAGGTGGCCTGGATGTGTGCCAAATATCTCCCACAGCTGGGTTGCGTGCGGTCCCTTCAGTGATGCGCTGAGGACGAGAGCGACGTAGAACAATCGGTCGCCAAGAAGATAAGGCAGGATGTCGTCCTCCGCTCCGCCGTTACTCGGGCGGAGAATGTGGTCTGGCAGGGCGTGTTTCGAGTCTTGTGGGTTGGGGCTGATACCCATGCTCTCGCGGTACGGCTCTGTCCCATCATTTGGTCAGTTAGAAACGAAGATCGCGTGCCGTCACAGCGCTGTCGCTGAACGACCTTTTCATCCTTGAAGAGTGAGTCGAAGCCTTACCATTTCTCCAATTCTCGGCTCGCAGCCGCTCCCGGTACTTGGCCACAAAGTAGGCTTTGCAGCTGGCGTCCCAGCTCGCCTGAGCGTCTGTCTCGTGCCTAGCTGTCGTCCTCCCGGCGACGTCGGGTGTCGTCGGCCATGGCTTCCTGGTGTGGGATTCCCAGTATAGCTGGATGATGTCGTCCTCGATCGGTGGCGTATCTATCCGGGCCGGCATTTCGCGCTCCAGTTCCTCCTCGCTGCTTCGTGATCTCAAGATAGGCTTTCTGTCCTTATATAACTGACTCGTCGGCTTGGTGCTGAAGAGGTCAGACAAAGTCCCGGCTCGTGTTTCTTGCTTGGTCGTTCGAGAGGTCGTTCGTGCTGTCCTATCGTAGTTGTTGCTGTCTTTGCGACCGCCAGAGTAACCAGATGGCTGCCAGCCGAATGTGCCCGTGGAGAGGGACAAGGTGGGAATGCGAGGGGCCTTGTCCTCGGGCCACCGACCCTGCTGCTGCTGGACCGCGGCATCCTGCCTACTCTGCCGGCTTCCGTCTTCGTCTCGAGCATGCTGGGCATCTCGCTGGCGGTGCTGCGGAGGAATGCCGTGAGTGAGCATCCCAGCCCTGTCCGGCGCCGCCTCCGGCCGCCGTGGTGTGGCAGGTTCCGCTGTCTCTGCGCCCCCCCAGTCCGCATACGGACTCATGGGCGAGTATTCGTGGTGTAGCGGCCTAGTGTCGTTGCTGCATTCCAGCGACCCGGCCCGGCTCTCCTCCTGCTCCTGCTGCAGAGGCTGAGGCTTCTGGAATGCAGGCGGCAGCCCCTGCCGCCTGTGCTCGCGGTCAGACAACTGCCGGTAGTGAGACACCGGCGTCGCAGATACCAGGACCGGGGACTCATCGGGCGAGCGAGGCATCTGGGCCGTAGCGAAAGACTCGAGGTCGACCGGTGATTTCTCCCGGCTCTTCATCTGCGCTGCCCTGATGGCAGACGCGGAGGACGCAGACGTCGTTGCGTGCCTTGTCAGTTTCAGGCTGTCGTCCTCGCTGGACGGCGGCGACACGTTCATCGGCGGCGGCGCGGCGCTGCGCATCGGGACAGACGCTGTCCTCGTGAGCTTGACGGGCACCGCCGTGCGGGCAGTCTCGATCGGCGGCGTCACGGGAGACTCGGAAGTCTCCCTGCTGCTGTTGTTCCCCTGGCCGAAGTACAACTGCCTGAGCAGTCGGTGCTGCTGCGACCCTGGTGATTCTGTCGGGTCGATGGCCGGGACCGTCGTGGAGGAGCCGGACACGTCCAGCGCGGGGAGCTGGAGGTCGCCGGTGAACGCCCGCCTCTTGCGTAGCCTGTTCACCCCGGTCTTGAGGGCTATGTGAGGCAGGCTGTTGGACGGCTTGTGGCCCTTGCCGCCGCCGCCGCGCGCTCTCTTATACTGCTCCTGCTCGCGGCGGAACTCGGTGGCAGACTGGGCCCTCATGAACGGCGGCGCGCCGGCCTGGGCGTCCCTGTAGGGGATGCCCACGGGCTCCTTGTCTGCCACATCCTGGATGCGGATAGCAGCAGTGTCGGCGTTGGTCTGTTCGTACGGAATGCCGTAGGGCTCTGGTTTGTCAAAGGTCTCGCTCTCGGTGACTATCGAGTTCGTGGGCCCTGCCATCGTGGGTTCGTACACATAGTATTGCTCCGGCCAGTCATCGTTATTGTTACCCTCGTCGCTGATTGCGGTACCGGGCGGATACCGCGAGACTGGCGAAGCCTCGCCAGCATAGTCCGAGGCCTGTCCAGAAGCGACGGCCTTTCCAGAGGGTTTGTGGAGTCGGTGGTCGCCGCCGTTGCGATCTTTGCTTGTCCAGGGGAAGCCCCTGGGCTGTGCTTGCATCGTCTCCTGCGTGGGAGAGCCGTAGTCTATAACCTGCTGATATGGTGACATGTAGCTGTCCTCCCTGCCGTAAAAGTGGTAGCCTGGGGTTGACGGAGCCGAGGATGTCACTGGTGATGACTCTCCCAAGCTGCTGTTCGTCTTCAACGACACTGGCGATCTTTGTGGAGAGGTCCCCTCCGCAGCATGTTGCCGGTGCCGGTTCTTGACGTACTTGTTCCACATGATGTCGCCGTTATTGATCTAGGTCAGGAATGAAGATTGGCAACACGATGGACGATGATGCCTTGCAATTGGCTTCACCTGCTGCAAAATGCATGAATGGGGATAACTTCACAAGATAATTGATGAAGCCGTGTCCATCGTCGAAAAGGAAAACATCATTTTGTCTCACCCTGCTGCAGCTCAGGGCAATCGAGCTACCCGCCTTCCCAGCCAGCCCCTCGACCCCCGAGGAAACCCTAAATTCGATCTAGGCTGGCCGCGGCCGTGTGAGGCGATTGCGGTGGGCGCCGTCGACCTGCATCAGCCCAGCACTAAGGTGCACCGAGGCCGGCTAGCCTGCAGTTTAATTCCGCTGCGGCTTTGCTTGCTCTGGGAGGGACGCCTGCGCGTCTTAGGCGGGGAGGTTTGGGGTAGTGGCCTGATGGTCGAGACTTACTTCAGGATCGAGCTGAGGTGGTTGTCCGGTAGACCTGGGGCGAGTCAGAATAGCTCGTTACGGTGTAGCGCAGGTTGACCTGGAGTGTTTAACCCGTCTCGGTCGCATATTCAGCTTCTCGGTCGGAATCCAGTTCCGCCACGAACGCCTCCAAGCCGAGATGGGTCCCGAATTAGGGTTCCACACTTATCGGCCAGTGTGGACTAGAATGGTGAGGCATGTTTGCTGGCTGACATGATACGCATAATCTCCGAGGACGATTGTCTTGATAGCAACCCTCGTAGAAGATGACCAGGCGGGCAAAAGTTCAACATGGTTCATCTATGAGCGAGTGAGGCTACAGCCGTTAGAGCTGGAGTAGGTGGGGCACCTGGCCCAAAGACGCTATGGTGCATTGTATATTGGACGCATATAATATTATTCTGCTCCACGACTAGACTGAAAAGGAATCCTTTGAAGGGGTCGTACACGTCCACTGTACGAGGGTGGCTGCCAATCCGTCCCTTCTGCCTCAGCCAGCAGACTCTCCCTACTTTCAGTCGACAGCTCAGCCAGTCCCAGCCCGTGAAATAAAGGTCGGCTCTTCATCTCCCAAGGTATAGGAGATAGCAGTGTAGTGTGGTGCAGATTGCCGGTCCCATTCGACGACTTCAAATTCAAGACGGTCTGTCGTGATCGAGGTGGGTTTTAGAAGTCTCAGGGAGTCGCCAGGGAGGCGTGAAGCATATTTGAACGAATCGCTAGCACTTGCCATCGTGTTATTGTGGGCTCTTTGGAAAAAAAGGCTGTATGAGAATAACTTGATACTTCTACTCATAGCGGTTTGTATAAAACGTGGTGGCACTACACATCATTATAACTCTATCATCCTTGCCAGTTCAGAACGGTTGGACGATCTGCTGCCTAATCGGCTTGCGGGGTTGCCTTGCGGGTTGGGTTGACTTGCTTCCAGCAAGTTGCACTGCATGCTTCGCGAACCAAGACCGACAGACACAGAGGGCGTTTACAACGCGGGCCTCTTATCATTCCGTGTCCACAGGATCCTGGTGCGCCTCCACTCAGAACGATGCTTAGCAGCTGCGACGTACCACAAGGTACGCGTGTCGATGGCCTCGCCCAATCTTGGCGCCACAATCACATGAAATATCATCGCCCCGACAAGTTTTTCGCGATCAGCAGTCAAAGTTCTTCAATTTATGATTTAATTGTCTGGGCAGCGCTTCTCCGTGCCAATAACGATCAACGTCAGACTCGAATGGTGCTATCAACCCGAGCTAGGTCACGCGAACCTCGGGAGCCAATATTGAGCCAATATTGTCCCCACAGCAGTTCCCAGAGACAGTAACCCGGACAGGCCTGGCAAGCCCGCTCTATCAATCCAGCTTCACATTCAAGTTTCCTAGCATGCTCTTGCGAGCGACCTCGCCCAGCAAAAGTCAACCGCCGCTCTGCAGGGTGAGTCGAACCATGCCTAGAACAGTATCTTAGAGCACCCGACACTATGCCGCCCGTAAGATTCAGCACACTCAACACAATTGCAACTCGTTCATTCGCTTAGAAGGCAATCATATACTAAATATACTCCAATAATATACACCTCGCCGTGGCCCATCATATCGCCCCCGTCTCCGCCGCAACCGCGAGCATCGCGTCCACGACGAGCTGCACATCTCCCGCCTTGAGCGGCATCCGGTGCGCGCCGTCCCACTCCACCAGCACCGCGCTGCCGGGCGTGCAGTACGTGTCGAGCAAGTCCCGGTGCAGGTGGATGCCGACGTCCTGCAAGCCGTGGACGTGCACGGTCGGCAGGTCCAGCATGTGCTTCCCCGAGGCGACGTCCATGATGTCGTGGGGGACGTGGTGGCCCGAGTCGTCAGGCTTGTCGGCCAGGCCGATCTGCGAGGGCCGCGAGAGCAGCGAGGAGGAAAACGTGGCCTCGCCGAGCAGGTTGACGAGCGGGGCGCGGCCGGCGTGGAGGATGGCGAATTTCCACTCGACCGGTGACAGTAGTGGTCGTATTGATGTCCCTGTGCTGTTTTTATTGTTGTCTCGTCCCTGTGCAAGCCCCCCAGGAGAAGCGAGCAGCACCTGCTGCCGAAACATCAAGCTTGCGGCGAGCTTCGCGCCCTGGCTGAACCCCAGCAAGCCCACCCACTCGCCCGTCGCGCCGGCGTCGTCGTCCTCGCTCATGGCCTCGGCCAGCGCCTCGTCGATCGCCGCGACTACATCCTCGTCCGTGATGGCCGCGTGCTCGGGCTTCCACCGCAGCCAGCGCTTGAACGGCCCGCAGTCGGCGTAGACGGACAGCACGTCCGGCCCTGGTTGCGACTCGAAGGGGGCTTCGGCGTAGACGAGGCGGAACCAGGGGTCCAGCACGCGCGAGAGGACCCGGCACTGCGCCTTGAAGATGCGCGCGTTGGTGCCGCCCCCGTGAAGGCACAGGATGCGTGGCTTGCTGAGGGGGTTTGTGGAGGTTGGCCGAGGAGGCTGCTGGGCGGGAGCGTGGGTGGTGGTGGTGGTGGTGGCTCGTGGCAGAGCTGCAGGGTTGGTTGTGTCTCGCGTCATGTTGACGGTCTTCTTTTATTCCTTGTTGTCCAATATAGGGTCTACCAGGTTTGGGGATTTCTGCTGCGGCGAGTCTGCGTTCTTAAGAAGTTGACGATGTTGGAGCTTAGAAACACGCTCGAGAGAAGACCCAGGACTTCGGGCCCAAGGAAAGATCATAATGTTAGCATCAGCACAATACAAAGAGGGGCAGGAACGCAAAAGATGAGGCGAGCTACGGCATGGACAAAGAGACCGTAGCGTGGGTCTCTGTGTCTTACTCACACCTTGTTCGACAGAGGCCACCACCACGATATCCGGACTTCGCCATCGGGCAGGCGGGCGTTGTCGTCAGGCCCCCACGCCCCGTAGCTGGCTGGCCTGTGAGAGATCCCCGCTCCCCTCCCATTGTCGTCCCATCCCACTTCGACCCCTGCCAATCCTGTGCCCTTGCATTCTGTTGTGTTGCACTTCGTGGAGTCATTCACGTGCAAATGCATGATAAAGTTCCAGGCGTCCAGTACAGCTAGATGTCGGTTCTTCCAGCAAGCATTTGCTTGCCTTCTCTGCGGGTTCTGATCTAATCGCTGCGTTCCCAAGCCACCGGCGGCCACAGGCGTTCGGCCCGGCGGCGCTGTGCCTAGCCCAGGACTCGGGCGGGAACACCCACAAATCCCAGCCTCCACCCACTGAGACCCCTTCACACCAACGCTCGGCCCGCCGTCCGCCGCCCGCTGCCTGGGCATTCGGTCGCCGATCGTTTCGGGCAACACTCTCTCTGGCAGCGGGAGTACAATTACTCCATTCCCTAAGACGGACAGACAGACAGTGGCTCCAGACACGAGACGTCATAGTCGCATGCAGTAGTTGCGTGTCGCACAGAGACAGCTCTGCTCGGTCGTAGAGTTGTTTGGCCCTTCGCTGGTTCCCGTCCGACGAATGAGGGTTGATCACGATGGGGCGTTACGGAATCGGAAGAATCGAGTGATTACAATTATGCCATGATGCTCACGACAAACAGGATGTAAGAAATATATACAAATGAATTGCCAAGAGCCTTCTTTGAGTCGCTAGGCATTTGATACCGCAATGAAGAAGAGGGGGAGTCGTGATTGTCGCCCAGGAAATGCGCATGCTTGTGTTTCTGCCCGGAAGTTTGTACCGAGCCGAGTTGACCTGATTCTCACTAGCTAGCCTGACTGACTCGCCATTTAGAACGCAGGACGCGAGACGCGCCTGACGACTTCTCAGCGGGCGACATCAGCTCCGCTCCTAGTCCAGCCACCGCCAGCGAGGGCAATGGCGTAGGGCTTGGGGGCTGAGTGGCGTGGCGCCGGCGTGCCGGGCCAAGCGTGCGTGGCTTGGGAGCCGCCAGAAGAGTCGCAACCAGACCAGGTCCTGTATCTTGACCTTTTCGCCAGCACAGAACCCTCTGAGGGGGGCTGCTTGTCGCCGTGTGCTTGTTGCTACCCTCGCTCCTTCATCTTCGCCGAGCCTTGATCTTCCAACGTTTGGCATCTACCTTTTCTTCCACCCCAGCGGCCATCCCATGTGGCTGGTTCTGCCTTGGCCGGTTCAACGCTCCTGGCCGAATGCCACGATGTCTAGCAGCACGCGGCCAGTGACTTTGTCATCGCTCGACATGCGCGCTTGCGCGACGGGACCCGCTCCCCGAGCCGCTCAGCTCGATAGGAAACCCCCCTCAACGCAGGTCGTGAGATCGCACGATCCTAATACCCAACATGTACCGCCGCACGAGATACGCCAAAGGATGTGAGAAAAACATCGCTAAATCAGCCAAAAGAAGAACAAAACAAGAGACCGCAAGGGTCAGAGGAGCGAGCACCACACGTGCGAAAGACCCCGCCCCCTCTTCCCTAGGTCACGTCTAGCACTTGACCCCCGTCGCGGCAATCTCTGCCGCGTCCGCCGCCTCCTTGAGCGTGGCGATGGGGTCGACAAACTCGATAATCTTCTCGATCCGGGTGCCCGTCTGGTCAAAGTACCACGTCCACTCGAACTCGAGGAGGTACTCGCTCGTGCCGCACAGCCTGACGCGGTACTCGGTCAGCGCGGCCGCCGTGCGCTGCTCCGTGTCGATGGACAGGTTGATGACGGTCCAGTTGGCCGACTGTGTGACTGCGAGCTCTGGCGCCACGCTCGTCTCGTAGGCCGTGTTGTTGAAGTAGAAGCCCGGGGGGAAGCCGGCGGCGTCGAGGAAGGACTGGGGCCGGAAGTAGCGCCTGCAGTCCGGGGCGAGAGTCCGCGAGATGATTTTCGGCTGGGTACCGGCGGCGGCGAGCTCGTAGTCGGTAAAGAAGGACATGACCGTGTAGCTGATGGCCGAGTAGAGACACGAAGGGGCGACCATGGTGGGCAGCGTGGTTTCGCGCTGTTTTTTGGTTTGTTTTCGCGTGGGAGACGTCGAGGCGTGAAGGTCTGAGGATCGGCAGAGGAAGATCGAGCTGTCGCGCTGGCGCAAGTTGTCGCAAGTTGTCGCAAGGTGTCGACGATTGGTGAGTGAAGTGTAGCGAGAGTGAACGCAGAGAGGCGTGGTAGAGCGAATGGACGCAGGAGAACGGACTCCTGCTGATCGGCCTGGCGGGGAGCTAACTGCCAACGACACCGGTAGTAGGAGAAGAATGAATGACGGCGGTAGGGTTGGCGATTTGCGAGAGCGAGCGGCAGGCAGGCGGGGACGGGGACCACCCGAGCCCCAAATAGCAACTAGAAAAGGACGAGGCCCCTGCGTACCCGGCTCGTTATCCGGCGAGCTGGGCCGTTGCTCGCCTGCACGCAATCTCCGGGGCCTGCTTGGCGCACTTGCCGTCGCTTCCACCTGCTCCCAGCTTGTCAATGTTTGGGCCAGCGACTGGCATGTGTCGTCGTGGGCGACGTGCCGCTGTCATGCCATCCTCAGAGCGACCTGACACAATGCAGATCCCCGGTGCATGGCAGCCGCTCTTTCTCTTCTTCCTTTTTGTCTTCTCCCCTTCATCAACACAAGCCCATGCACATGCATTCCATTAGTGATCGGACGATCTACCGCCTGCAGCCACCCTCCACGATAGGAAGAGGGTCGGCTAGCTGCATGCCACAACAAAGAGCGCACCAACCAGCCCAGGCGCGCCCCTTAGCATTGTTGAAGAAAGCGGGCCCTTGCATTGTCTTTGTCCCCTGCGGCTCCCAAGCGTCGTGGGTGGCGCTGCGCCTCCTGCAGAGGCTTATCGGACGATGCCGAAGCATAGTCACACACACACACACACACAGTTTCGAGAAAAAAAAAAAAGTGCCCATTCACCCGTGTCGTTGCGTCGTGACAAGCCCGTCGTCACTTCCGTCTGCCCGCCGGCGCTGCTGTTCAACCCAGTCCTCCAACCCATAATCTTGGAAGCCACATGTTGAACCCCCCCTCTCTGTGCTGTCTGATCGGCACCAGCCTGATCCGCACCTGACCCATTTCGGCCGGGGTCCGTCGAGCGGGACCTCCACCCCGTGAACACGCCGCCGGGGAACGTCCAGCGGCGTCTCGCCCTTGTTGTTTCTGATGTCAACCGCCGCGCCGTGTTTGACGAGCAGCTCGACCACAGGCATCCAGGTCCACGCGATAGCCAAGTGCAACGGCGTGTCGCCGTGTCGGGTTTGAATCTTGGGATCGGCGCCGGCCCGCTCGAGCAGCAAGCCCGCGATCTCGTCGTGTCCCTCGATCGCGGCTATGTGTAGTGGCGTGCTGCCGTCTCGATTTGGAAGGTTGGCATCGACGTCAGCCCGCTCGAGCAGCAGGCGCGTGATCTCATCGTGCCCCTCCATCGTAGCTATGTGTAGCGCCGTGTTACCCTGTCGATTTTGAATGTCGGCGTTGGTGTTGATGTCGGCTCGCTCGAGCAGTAGGGCCGCGATCTTTTCGTGTCCCTCCATCGCCGCTCTGTGGAGCAGCGTGTTGCCCTCACCGTCGACAGCGCTGGCCGGCTTGCCACGACGGAGGAGGATAGACAGTTCGCTTGGGTCGTTCTTCTTGATGGCCACGAACGCGAGGTCGATGATGGTGGTATAATCCAAATCGTCGAGGAAGTATTCCATCATTTCCGCGCTCGTGGCCCCCCTGCTGGCGAGGCCCTTGCGTTCGGCGAAGAATTCGGGGTTGTACCAATTCTCCCAAGGACAGCGCGGGAAAAAAATACGATCTCGGTACCAACCCGCTGGGTCGACTTCAGCCCCCTTGGCCCGGAGATATTGTATTGTTTCTAGTTGTCGACCCTCCACCGCATGAGTGATTAGCTTGCAGCGGCAGAGGAGCTTCTCGTCCACAGACATCTTGGTATACGTGAGAAGGTGCTCCAGAATATCCCGGTGGTCGTCTTCAGCCGCAAGAGCAAGGGGTTCCAATAGTGGGCCTACAAATTTCGCTTTTGCCCGTGGAGGCACGCCGTGGGACAGGAGCAGCTTGATCATCTCCAGATTTCCGCTCATGGTCGCAAAGAGCACCGGCGTGCCAAATGTGAGATGCTCAACTTCGAGCCTGACGCCCTTGTCGAGCAGAGCGCTCGTGAAGCCCACGCTCTTTCGGCTGATCGCCCACCACAAAGCTGGCTGCCCATTATCAAATGTAACTGGCCGAGGGGTCGCCACTTCTTTTCGCACCTTATGGCGCAGAAACCCCCAAAGGGCCTCGTCGCTGCTGCCATGGATCGTTGCAGCCATCACTTCAGCGCTATAGAACTGCTCAAAGGTACTGAGATACTCGGCCGCCCACGTCGGATGGCTCATTGAGGCTGCGAGGGCCTGCTCAGGGCACCGAGTCCCAATTTGAGCTGTGTCGCGGAGAATGGCCGCCATTGCGCGTCTTGCGTCCGCCGAGGATCGGATCAAGGCGACCAAGAGTGGCTCGGCTATAACGTGCCAATCTCTAGTTTGGAGGAAGGACTGGTGGGCCTTCCGCCCAGCGCTGGAGCTTCTCAGTTCTGCGGACAGAACTTGTTCAGATAGTTGCAGTCGTGCTCCTGCCTCGCGAAAATAGCCGTACATTTTTGTCCAAGCACTTCCTTCTTCCCAAAATTCCGTGAGCATTTTTCCGTGAGAAGCAGCGAGACTCGTATGCTCTTCGAGAAAGATCTGCGCAATCTCACGTCCGTCAGACTCGTTTGAAACGATGGCTGTGACAAGTTCCTCTGTCAAGTCAATATCATCGCCTCGCATAGTGAGAACCAGCCGTGTCAGAGCTTTCCCTTGGCTCCGATTTCGCACAGCACTCTCAAGAATGTCCGCATCGATGCGAATATCAGGCACATGCTCGAGGAGCAGTCTGAACATGGCTTCGCCGTGGACAGGCACATGCTCGAGGAGCAGTCTGAACATGGCTTCGCCGTGGACCTTATTCTTGACAGCGTCTTGAAGTATTGTGGTTGTGACCTCGAACTTCCGAGGCACAGCGCGAAGCATGCTGGCCATGTCTTGGGGTGCGCGCTCTGCCTGGGACTGCACGAGCTGGCTAAAGGCTCTTTGATGCAAGGTCGCGAGATTGTCCAGGAACGACAAAATGGTAGGCGAAAGCGTTGCTGGCAGGCAGTCAACACTGCAGCTGCAGATGTACGCGGCTGCATGCCGCACAACGTCCACATCGGACAGCGTGTAGTCGACTAGAAGCGTTCGATCCCCCTCCCGCTCGCAGAGGCCAAGGAGAGCGTAAATCCTGTCGCGTTGAAGAGTTGCCTGGGAGCCACGGAATTTCGAAAGAAGATGGAATAGGCTCATGTCTTGTCCTGCGCTCAGCCATGACGATTCGTGCCGCTGAATGGTCGGCATCGCTTCCAGAATGTGGAGGCAGTGCTGTTTGACCTGGACGTCCAGAAGACTTGGAGCCAAGGTGAACGCACTGCACGACACGGCATAGTCGCCGCAATGGACAAGGCCAGCCCTTGCATTGCTTACTTCCTGAATGATCCAGATCCTCTCAAAGTATGATCGGTCGAGAAGCTCGCAAAGGGCAGCACGCTGCCGCTGCCTGGCGTTGAGATAGTTCTGGCGAAAGACTCTCTGGACCTGCCACCACATCTCTATCGTTGATCGCTCTGCCCTTCGAGACATGGGGTTTTGGGTCTCTGCTCCGCTCATCTCTACTCCGGCCCGCAGCCCTTTCATGAGCAGGTCGATATTCGCGTTGGAGTGGCCAAGGTAGATGATTACCCTGGTGGCCGAAGCATAGACGCGTCTCATCTGTTGCACCTGGTGGCCGCGCTCGGCGTCGTCGGCCTGGTTAATGCAGATGGCATCTATCCACAGATGGCCGTGGTTGGCCCTGCAGAGCCTGTCGAGCATCACGTGGGCGCTCCTGGTGATCGGGAGCTTGTTGCCGTCCACGGTGATTGTCTCGCACATGTCCGACTCGCCCCAGACGTAGGACACAGCTTCATAAGGGACGAAGCTGTGGTGGTCCAGGCTCTGGACAATCATGTCGCCATGAATGGGTCCCGTAGTGGCTGGCTTGAGTCTGATCAGCCGGATCTCGTGTCGAGTAGGATCGAGTTTCGTGTATTCAAAGGGCAACTGCCCTTGAGGCACTGGCTCGAGACCCGGCATGCTGGTTGGGGCTGCACCCGGCGGAGTGCAAGTTATGATTCCATGGTCCGATGGGTCGACGTGAGCAGCGCCGATAACGTGCGTCGTGGGAGCTCAGTGAAAAGTAGGCTGGCCTTGGTGAATGGCTGTTGCAATGATAACGGACTGGAGGTACCTGCTGCCTGCAGGACTCTTCTTTCAGCTTTATGCAGGGGCAGGGAAGGCATATTGCGAGGCACAGTCGATATGCGTGCCCCGCCACTCTTCTGACGCCCACCCTGGCACCTCACAAGAACGACACAAGTGTAGCCAGTAGGCAACCACAACCTCTGTCAGGGCATTGTCCGAGTTGAAGAACTTGGCCCCTGATTTCTCCTTCTCCTGACTGTGCTCCTCCTTCGTTGCTGAACTACCGTTGCGCCTACGACATCGCTCCTTAAAGGGGCCAGACGAGCGTTACATACGAGATCGTTGAACGTTACACGAGGCATCTTGAAGGTGGCGTTGGGATAAGCAAGGCAGATCAGCCTGTTTACCCCGCACCTCCATGCATCCTCTCCTCTGACTACTACAAGAGTTTAAGAGTCTAACAGCCTACGGGGATACCATCAGGCCCCGAAACCAACGTCGAACGCCATGTCTGGCCTGGAGCCGCTCGCTGCTTTGGGACTCGCCTGCAACATTCTACAGATCATCGGCACTGGATGAGAGGCTATACGGCTCGCACGCCAGGTATACCAGGATGGAGCCTTAGATCCTGCGTTAGTCGATGCTGCTGTCGAGCTTGAGACCATTGCTAGCCACATACGGGACATTACGACACCCGCGCCAGGTGCGAAACTCAAAGCCTCCGACAAGCAGCTTCTCAGCCTGGTCGAAAGATGTCAGAATGCAGCCCGTGATCTCCAAGAGGAGGTCAACTTTCTAAACGGCGCATCGCAGACCGCAAGATTGAGTGCAACGCTGAAGATCGCCGCGAAGACTATTTGGCGGAAGAGGCGCCTAGAGAAGCTCGATCAGAGATTGGCCGAAGCACAAAATACCTTGCAAACTGGATTGCTGACGAATATACTGCAAGTCCTCTTCTCCTTCTATTTTCCGTGACTTGACACTTCCTTGAAGCAATCAGTGGGTGTCGCTGAGCATAGTTCGTGAGCTAACCGTCTTTTTTCTTTTCAGGGATAGCTCTGCTCAGACCGAAATGGATTTGTCCTCTCTGTCTACCGACGTTCGAACAGTTCTCGAGGAATATCGCGATGGGCGAAAACACGATCTCGAAGCCACCCGAAAAGTTATCTCAGACGCATCCAAGAAGAATGAAAAGAACTTGGCACGCCACATTGACATGGTCACCAAACAACTCAGTGTTTCTTTTACCGATCATATCAACGGAGCGTTCGCGAATGCTGCGAAGCAGGACGCTGCAGCTCAACTTACAGCTACCGAGGAGCATCTGCTCCGGAGTCTCAAGTTTGACCGGATGAATGAACGTCGGAATCAAATCTCGCCTTCTTGTCCAGATACTTTTACGTGGATGTTACGCGACGGTAGCGAAGCTGATCCTGTAAGTTCAGACAACCGAAATTGGGACAGCTTTTCGGATTGGCTTAGGTCGACGGAAACAGTGTACTGGATTAGTGGCAATCCAGGAACAGGGAAATCGACCCTTGTGAAATTTCTACTCGGGCAATCAGCAACGCAACAATCTTTACAGGAGTGGAGCCCGGGCACTATCTGTGCATCTCACTTCTTTTGGCGTCCTGGCACGGTAATGCAACAGAGCATCAAGGGTTTATTATGCTCGCTGCTACACCAACTACTCAGTAAGAGCCGCGCTGCCCTGCAACGGGTGCTTTCCAGTGACAAAGACATGTCCAACAAGGATACAGAAACCGACTGGTCAGAGTCAGAGCTACAGGCACAACTACTGGCCGTTATACAACACTACAACCGCCCTTTGGCTTTTTTCCTTGACGGACTGGACGAGGTATATCCACAGGACGGAGTCCTCCGACTTTGCGGTCTGCTCGACACAATAAAGCAGCTGGCAGGAGCATCAGTTCAAGTCAAAATCTGCCTGGCTTCTCGCCCAGAGACACTCATTTCTACATTGCTAGGGCGCTTCCCAAAACTGCGCCTCGAGAATCTGAATCACGCCGACCTCCAGCGGTATGCCACGGCCCACATTACCATTCCTCCGGACTACAACATCAACGCATCATCCTCTCTGACGATCCCTCGCGGCGAAGCACTCTCTCATCGGAGGACGCTGCACAGCCATGACGAACTTGCAGAGTGGCTGGTGAACACTCTCGTGGGTGGTGCCAATGGCATCTTCCTCTGGTTGTGCCTGACCGTCTCGACTGTGTGCCAGGCATTGCGAGAAGGGGAGACGATTGAGGACCTGGAGAGCCGTATCAACACTCTACCGACCCAATTGGCGGATCTATTCGCGGACATGTGGACAAGAGCGAATGGCAACACTAGGCAGATCAGAAAACGCGCTGCGTCATACTTGCAGCTGGCCTTGTACAAGTCTCGTCAAGTCCCCAAGCAGTCGTTTGACTGCATGACAATGGCCTTGGCAATGAACCAGAACTTGATGCGCCAGGTACTGGATGCTGCATCACCAGACCCCACGATGATTGAGAAACTGACTGAGGCATGCGAGTGGTCGCAGCAAGACACATTGGCACGCTGTGCGGGCTTACTTCGTTGCACAAGGCCGAGAGAGGTCCCGGAATCTGAAGAATATGCCTTCCCATGGTATGGTGGAGTTTACGGAAAGCTCCAACAGTTGAGCAGAACTGATTATAGGTGCATTCATCGTACCGCCTTTGACTTTTTTGACACGACTGGGGTAGGGCAGGCTATTTTGGCGGATGGCGAGTTCCCTGGCAGCGTCGCCCTACACCGGTCTTTCGAAGCCGATCTGGCGTACAGCCGCCTCTTCAGGCATGCCACGTTCATCTGTGATGACCGCGGCGGTGCAATCATGCAGAAATGTGTTACAAGCTATCTCTATTTGGTTTTGAGCGACTTGTGGCCGACCGGCAGCAGGGTCCTTGATGCCGATGTTGCGGAAACACTGCGGCTGCTTCGGCAGTGTGAGCGGCTTTTCCGACTGGGCGTACTGTCCTTGTCGACCGTCACCCCGCCTCGGAGTATGCGGTACATCCAAGGGCCATTCACACCAGGCATGCGCACGTCTTACGGGACTTCTTCTGTTCAACGCGAGCATGAGTTTCTCCTCGAGCTCGCCCACAGCAAACTCAAACACGAAGCTTTCAGATTTATTCTACTTCTGATGAAAGACCGCAGGCGTGATGCGTATACCCTGTCTCGTCTTCTCCATCATGCTTGCTCTCTCGAGAAGCACTTCGACGACGCGCCTGGCATGATTTCGAAGCGCCGGAAATCAATAGAAACCCTTCTTCAGTGGGGTGCGGATACGTACACAGCGATTATATACCCACAGAATGTCACGCAATGGGGCGACGCACCGGCCATCGAAGTCGAGGGCACGCCCTTGCGGGCATTAATCACGTCTCTGTGGTATGATGCAACACAAAGGGCGTTGCAAGAGGGGTATTTCCGCAAGCTCTGTGATCTTGCATCATTGCTCGTCGCTCACGGAGCGAACCTGCATGAGGAGCTCCATGTTGTTCTTGAGATCAAGCGGGACTTCATTGCGTTCAGAGAACTATGGCGTTTCGATCTACGCGAGCGCCGTCCTGCCTGTTCGACTGACGATATCGGCCATCTGGTTGTCATTGTGGCCTATTCGTTTCCGTCCATACTAAGCTTGATCCGCCATATTTGTTTCAGAGACGTCGTGTTCAGTGCCGATGGCGCGCTCTGCGATTTTCAGTGGGACTGGCAGAGTCAGGGACGGGTCCTTGCTGTGGTTGACTTAAACTCGGGCCGACCTCGAGAAAGCCGTTTCTTGACACCACCGATATTTTGTTCGGAAGACATCTTCCCTGAGAGCTTGCTACGGGGTTCCTTCGAGGAGCTCACCCACCTTGTCAAGTTCGCCACGGACTGCTTGAAAGAGCCTCGCGTCGTTTATAACCACGCAAACATTTTTTATGGGTACATGCACTGCAAGACACAAATTCCTCCGGATATTCAATCAGGGACTTTTCATGCTCTCGAGCGGATAAGGGCTCTGGCAGTCCCAGTGGAAGCCAGACGTCGTGAACTCAGAGCTTCGTTGGGTGTGCAGACACCTCTGGAGGATTTCGAATGGCAAAACAACAATGAGGCGGGGCCGCCGTTCACAGATTCAGACTTCATTCAGCGTGTTCAAGATTAGGCCTGCTTTTACTTTCGGGCACTACAGAGTACCCGAAGCTGTTTCACAAGTCGGTTTATTTCGGTTCTCGCTATTTGACATGGAATCACTTGTATTCGAGGCTGATAACTGATACATTGCAACAATCTAGTGAGCGAGCCCTTCACGCATGGCCGTTTACCAAGATAGCAAACTGCCGAGGCATGAATGCGGATCGACTTCATTCGCTAGAAATTTGCGCACTTGTGCGCTGCTACTGATCGCCTTTCATCAAATCGCGCTTCGACAGTCTTGCAAGGTTCAGACCTCCAACGGCTGAATGTGAGAGGCGTGCCACCAGAGTCTATATGAACTGTCCATAAATGACGCACCAGCTGAGAACACCAAACTCTAATGGTCCCTTGGATTCCTGCTCTACATACAAGAATTCGCCCTTTATATCGGCACGAATGCTTGGTGATGTTGCACCCCTGCCTGGTCTGAGCAACACCGGTACTACATGTCTTATTGACTCTCAGGTTGCCCCCCATGAGCGTCCTAGACGAGCAATATGGCCGCGCCACTTGCGTGGCTTATTCGCCTGTGGTCCCCTGGGCAGAGCTGTACTCGCTACTGCGGCCAGCCAGCGTCTACCTGCAGACCTGTTTTGCCGGCACTGGTCCCCGGACCGATCTGTTGAATACCCTGGGCACAATTCACCAACATGCCGCACGAAAAGAAAATGCTCGCCAAGATTCAGCGGCCCTGGAGCCATTTGTGGCACTTCTCCTCAAGTATCTCACTGTCCACGAGGCAGTGGATATTCTTCGCGTATTTCGGTATGGCTCGCGCTGGCGAAGGGATGGGCAGGTGTTGTGGAGCGGCATGAACCAGGAGGTCGTGCAGAAGTGGGCCGACAAGCATGACCTTGCTACGCTGTCGACAGCATTGGGCGCCCTCAAGACTACCGCTCACGAGACATGCAGGACTCGCTGTGACCTGAGCGACAGAAGAACGATGAAAGCCTGGAGCCTCTACATGAAGGGCGCGTCCGCTCTATTCTCGTGGTGTATAGCGCAGAATCGTGGCAGCGTCCTGCTGGTCACTCCGCCGCCTGGAGAGCGTTTTCATCCTTCGGGACTGACAAACCTGCAGCTCATCGAAGGTCCGATCATTGCTGGGTTGTATGGTCCGTCGTGGCTGCATAGTATCGATATTGTTCATCCACAGATCCCTGCTGCTGCTGATGTCAGGTATCAGCTGTGGCCTAGGGATGAAGCGGGTGGGTGGGAGTCAAGGTTCTGCAAATGCTCTTACAAAAGGATGGAGTGGCGCCAGGTGAAGGGATGGTCTTTGGGCGTGAGCAGCAGCAGCAGCCAGCCAAATTCCTTGGAAGTCAAGCCATCTGCTCCTGAGGGACGCTCGGCACCAGACCCGACATCGCAGACGTGCGTATCCTCGCCCACGGTGTTACTGTCTCCGCACAAAAACAAGATCATCATTAGCGTGCACGCATCCAACCCTCCCAAGAAGAAAATCTCAACCCAACCGAACACAATGGGGTATCCGCCTCCACCAGGGCCGAAGACTCAAGTCGGAGTGTCACAGTCAGTGTCTGCCCCAGCGGCTTCAACAAGCAGGCCTTCGGCTGAAAGCGCATGTTCACCTCTTATTCAGATGGTGAGCAAGACAAGCAAAGCTGGCAAGAAGGCTGCAAGATTAGAGAAGGAGCGCAAGGCGGCAGAGCGGCAAGAGAAGGAGAGGAAAGAGAAGGAGAGGAAAGAGAAGGAGAGGAAAGAGAAGGAGAGGAAAGAGAAGGAGAGGAAAGAGCGTGGAAAACAGCAAAGAAAGGCAAGAAAGAAGCGAAGGAGTGCGGCATGCAAGCTGGAATCTGTGCCTATTTTGGAAGGATCAATGAAAGTGACGGATACTCAAAAAGTTGCATCTTTGAGGGCACGAGCACCCGAGCCTCGAGCGCCTCAAAAGGAAGTACCAGCTTCGCAACCGCTCGCGAAGAAAAAGTTGTCCGCCGGCATCAAGATTAAGGAGAAGCCATCGTCATCAGCTCAACGCCAGCCGCTGTCTGAGAAGCGGCAATGATCGCCAGGCAACTCGCACCGCGAGTGATTCTGGCAAGCTGGCTCCAGAAACACATGTCTTGTGTTTATTCCGCTCGCCGATGCGAAATGCGGTTGGCCGCTAATCAGGCCGGAAGGGGAAGTGACGCTCGTTTGGCCGGACGAGGGATCGGCAGGCTGGACAGTCAACTACGAGAACCAAATCTTTTTGCGACCCTCGTGATCAGCCGCGAGGCACAGCCCAGGTCGCCTCCGATCCGAATTCTGGCGATGAGCGAAAGCAGCACCAGCATGCTCCGGGTGAAAATAAGCCCTGGTGATCCCGAAGGAGTCGTCCCGGCCCAATCCGGCCGGGTCTCCTGACAGGCGGCGCAGGGCTGAGGCTCAAGTGGTGCCACAACGGGCCCGCCCACCCGGCGCAGACCGCCGGCGCACGAACGTGGCTGTCCTGGGTGGGCTCCACCCAGGATTTTGACAGGTGATGCCATCTCATGTGCAGCGAGGGCCACGTTACGAGTTTGTGCTTGAGATGGCCAGACACTGAGAGTCTGGCCATGAGCTCAGACTGAGGAAAGATCGCGAATTAGAAATTAGGGGAACCGCTGTGAGTCGACGTGGTGGAATGTGCTCACTGTTTCCGCCAGGGCCAGTCAGTTCTGAGCGGTCGAGCCCGCTGAAGTTCTTGATTGATTTGCATCGTCAACCTGATCATTGGTCGGCTATCCTGAAGGATGCCATAAGGCTTACCAGAGAGTACAGCCTTCCAGGTGCAACTAGATTGGTTGATGGCAACCAGACATGGGACGGCGACCCAACTGACCAGACAGGCTGGTGGGACCCCGGTCCGGGGTTGGTTGGCGGGCGCCGATGAGCCGGTCGTCAGCCCACGTTGCGGTCACACCCGGGCTCGGATCACACCACGGTTGTGCGCAGGATCAGGCCAATGAACCTGCGCCTCGATCGAGATCGAGCAGGCAGGAATTAACTGGAAGCGTCATTTCTGGAAAGATTTATATCGGATCGTGCCTGGGCGAGGTCCGGTCTGTATTTGGTCGTCATCACCAACATCAAAGCAACCATCGACTACAACACCACAAGCATCTACTCGCCGCTTGGACAACTGCAAGTACACGAGCAACCACTAGCATCAAAAAAAAGGGACACCTGCAGATCGACAACAATCTGAACAGCTGCAGACCATAACTCTAAGCAATCGCTTCAAGATCAACAAATCATTTGTCTTCGAAACACTCCACTCTCTTCCAAAACCATCATAATGCGGCCAACAACAATGCTGCGAGCTCAGGTCTCGCACCCATACCCGGTGCCAGCTATGGCCGCCGCAATCCCAAAATCCGCCCCTCCACCGCGACTCGTCCCCGCCCTCGTCTTCGGCGCAGCTGGTACGTTCCTTTCTATGCCCTCGCCCTTCGGACGTCTATGCTCCAAGCCGTCCTTCAGCCCCCCTCTGTCGCAGTCTGTGTCATGCGTATATATATACCGAATGAGAAACCCGGACCAACAACTGACTTTTGGAACAACAGGCTCGTTAGTAGTCTACTACGTCCAGCGCCAGCTGCGCCGCACATCCGGAGACTTTGACCGCGCCTTTGCACAGTACAACACGCCCGAGAGCGAAGCGTCACGGGCGCGGGCATTTGCTGGCGCCGTCGAGGATCCTCGGACGAGTTTCTTCAATGCGCTCGGATGGCGGCGCTGAAGTCTGTCAACCACCTGCTCCCTAGCCGGTGGCTTTTTGTATGACATTTAAAGATCATGCGAGGGCGCTGGCTTCACGTTGAGAGGGGTGGAGCTGTAGTGATGAAGTGTACGCGTATATACGTGGCACTGTGTCGTCGCAGTGCGCAAGACATCGTTACACGCCGAGATGGAGAAAGCACACCACACCCTGGGGACCAGGCGGTTTCACAATGGTCTGCTGTTGTTAGTGTATATAGTTTCTTCGTATTTATTCTGCAATCAAGGACGCGTTATTATGGACACTAGATTTGGAAGTATAAAAATGATCATTTCCGTGGTTATTTCCAAGTTGGCTCTGCCGGAGACGCGGATGAATATTGCTCCCTCCTCAGGTCAAGTCCACGGGATATTTTACCTCTTTCGTGGTGGAACGTCAGGAGCTCAGTACAATTCTAACCCGGCCCTTCTTCCCGACTCTGACCCCCCTGCCTCTCCCGTCATTGAACTCCGCGACGCAAGCCAGTCGAGCATGGACAGCATTAGCATCCCCGAAGACATGCCATGTGAACCCTACAAGGCCTTAAGGCAGATGCCACCTAAATAACAATCTCTTCCCGAGATAAAAGCTCGATAGGCCTGCCGCCGACAACCCGCTCAGAGGAATCACTGTCCTTCGAAAGCACCTCGGCAGACAACCTGGCAGCCTTGCCTCCCCTTGCGAGCATTTCGCGCTGGTACGAGTCCATGGTGGACTTGATGGAGCCAATGTCGTTCTTGTCCATTTTCTCAACGGCCCGCGCAAGCTTCAGGGCATCTTCAATGGCCTGGCAGCCTCCTTCGCCACGGAAAGGCGGCATGGCATCTAGACGTATTTCACACAGTGTCAGCTCTGAAGAGTGATAGCGGGGAGAACAACTTCACAACACCCAAGGTACTTACGCGCCGCATCGCCAAGCAAGGTCACCCGCCCCACGGGCAACTCATCAATCAGGAGCACGTGGAAGTGCAAGCCGGGCACCAGCAGCTTATGCTCGGGCGTCATCTCCACGACCTTGCGGAACTCGGGCTTCAGGCCCCTGATGACCTCGTTGGTGTGCGCTAGCAGCTCCTTTTGGCTGCTGTTGAAAGCCCAGTGGTCGTCCCGGTCGCCGTTCTCGCACGGCCAGATGAGGTCCCAGTAGTAGCTGCCCGTCTTGCCGTCGTCAGAGACGCTGTCCAGCCCGATGAACAGCATATACTGCTGCTGGCCCCTGCGGAAGAAAACAATGTACGACGAGTGGCCGAGAGAGAGCTGCTCGGCAAAGTCCGCGCCGGAGAGCTTGGTCACGCCGCTGATGGTGGCCGACTTGTGCACGCGCATCGGGTCGTTTTGCTTGCCGCCAAAGATGTGGCGCCGTGCTGTCATGAAAGCCACACGTTAGCACTGTTGCGAATCCAGGCAGAAGTGATGCCAAAGGGACCCGAGAGAGGGAGAGAACTCATACTTATACTGTGCACGCCATCGGCCCCGACGACGACATCACCGGCAGCGGACGTCCCGTCCTCAAAGTGCACCGTCACGCCGTCGTCCCCCTCCTCGATCCGCGCGGCCTTCTTGCCGTACTGCACGTCAATGTGGCTGCTCAGCCAGTCGCGCAGGATGTCGCGCTTGGCGCGGACGAATATGCCCGTGCCGTCGTCGCGGCCACCCCACTTGCGGTCGTCGCCCTCCCGGTGCATGGCGATCTCGGCGGGCAGGGTGAGCGGGTGGAGGTGGTTGACTTTCTCGAAGCCCGTCATGTCGTCGGGCATGGAGGCGTGGAAGTCGTCCAACATGCTGTGTTTGGTCTCCCGCGGTCAGATGGCTATAATGTTTCGGGTGATGAAGAAGCCTGCTAGCACCGGGCTTACGTGTGGAGGGCAATGGCCCAGCCCTGGGGGCGGACATGGGGATCGCTGTCTCGCTCAAAGACTTGATAGGAGAGGCCTTTCTTGCGTAGGGACTGGGCGAATGTCAGGCCTCCCAAGCCTGCGCCCAGAATGAGGACGTGAGGTGTCTTAGCCGTGCTGTGCATTGTGAAGAAGATGGTTTATCGTTCAGGTTTGACTCTGCTGCTGCGAGTAGTTGTAAAATGATGGCTGTTGACACTCGTAGCCTCAGTATTTTACAAACAAAGTCCATAACAAGGCAGACGTACAATTATATATATCTCTGCATCGCTCAAGTGTTCTAATGTCTCGACTCTCATGTCTTGACGTCATGACAGAATGGTCCCCCGAGAGAAGTCTGTGTAGGTCGTCCCAAGCATAAAGGGTTCAGCCTTGATTGGCGTTCTGTGGCGTAGATTTGGCTTTGTCTACGCAGGAACAGTCCATCTGTCCATCTCCCGCCACCGAGCCTTGGGAGGGTTGACTCGCCGGGCCTTGGCGAGCTCGTTTTCGGCCGTTGGGAATGTCCTTCTCGGCCGCTGCTAATTCCCTAAGGCGACCGGGATAAAAGTGGGCTGGACCGTGTCGTGTATTTGTCTGGCACATCTTGCACTAAACCAAGCCTAATCAAGTAAGCTTTGGGCAGCGATCGTCGCGACTGGGTAATATTCCCGGAGATAGCCACTATAACACATCGCAGATAAGCACCAGGCTCGTCGCTGATCTCGTCGGAGCCGCAGCTCGCGCATCAGCGAGCTCCCCCCCACCATCGGTGAGCCAAGCTCCGATATACCGACACGTCCTCCACGAAGGGTCCATGTCATCATCGCCATCATCATCCCCAATCCCCCATCTAGGGACGTGCTCCAGCGGGACGGGCCTCCCATGGCCTAGTGTCTATTGCTACCCAGTCGCGAGGTCCTGAGCACGGGGAGGGACCCTTTGTGGAGCCCTGACTTCCGTTGACTCGTGGCGTCTTTGACGGGCGGCATGTGTAACTCGAAGCACATCCTTCGATGTGTCATCACGGTCTATAAACCCAACTAAGTCCGCTGGCTAGACATGCAGCCACTTCTTGTAGATTATATTATCCAGCAGGCCTTACATGTCACTTACAAAACCACCGCAAGATCCCACAGACGTCAAGTACGATCGCAGCCCAAGCCCGTGCCCTTCTACAATCACATGCCCACGAATGGACCTGGAGGGAGGCAGCCGTAGCCACCACCAGTTAGCAAAGCCTGGTCAGTGCCTCGCGAGCCTTAAATCAAGACATACATGCCAATCAATCTGCTGTCAGCAACCGCGGGCTGGCGGGGCATGTAAGCCGATGATGTTCCCAGCGCAGGGAGCAGGGTGATCGGCCCAACCAGCGCTTCATCGCGAGCAAGTGCATCCTCAGGGCACCCCAAGGGTATCAACAGATCCCGGCCGTTCGGCAATCTGGGAGCGAGAACTGCCAGAATCGCAGCCTGGTGAACGTGCATCATTATTCACATCGCACACATCCCATTGAGCTAAAGGGCGTGTGACATATCCTCTCAGAACTCCTCCTCGTCCCGCCTCAAAAGGGCGTGGCGACAAAAGTAAGTCTCTCCGCAGTCTCCCGGTCATCCTAGACAGGACGAGGCCTAACTTTTATCTTTACGATCCTGCCCTGGCGTCTCATGTTCGGTAGCTCTTCTAGCAGAGCGCGGCATTCGGCACTTACCTCCTCGGTGACATCCCTCCAATCTGTCCCTTCTTCAATGTGCTCTGATGATGCCTCTGCTCCTACGATACAAGGGGATGATGCCTCTGCTCCTACGATACAAGGGGCTTGACTTGGGCGGCCACCGCCCAGGAAAACTTCTTCTCGCACATGAGCGAAGCATTCCCTTGGCACTACGTCGAGGCGGTGCCCTGCCCAGATGCCAGTCGTCAGAGTCGTCAGCTGCTGCGCACCCGGAGTCCCCAATGTACGAGAAGCGGGCTGTGGCCCCGACCGCGTTATCCCACCGCCCCAGCATATCTGGGACAACACGATGAAGTCTAACGTCAGCTGAGAATGGTTCTCCATGGCCAGGATTGTGGAATGCGCTTGGCGGGTCACGTGTTCGTCTGTCGCTCTCATAGAGGCTGGATCCGCGTGGGCAGTTGGCCCATCCTCTGACTGAGTGAGGGTGCCAGTCGGCTTTTGTCGTTTGGAAGACCGCGAGTTTTGTGCTTTGGGCAACCTTCGCTTGTTCCCTCGTGTCTGCGGTAGACTTGCCGTCGCCGCGGTATCGTCCTCAGGATGAGAACCCTGATCCGCAGGGGTGGTGATCGTGGGGGCTGGCTGATTTTGCACCTGGAGGCTCACGTACTCTTTCGTGTCCAGGTTCCTCAACACCCACTCGTCCCCAACAGCCCCCATCATGAACGCGTCATCATCCGCGTGTTCGTCCTCTTCTCGGCCGTCTCCACCACGAAGAAGCATGTTCAGCCAGCTCCTGAGACGTGCCTCCCACCGGCTTTCCACCTCGCTCTGTTCAAACGCATTCCCTTTGCCATCAAATGCCGCCAGATAGGCCTCGACATCCTTCTCGCACAGGCCGTCCGCGTCTCTTGGGTGCCGGTATGTCAGTACGGCGTTCCAATTCCACATCCGAGCGAGACACATTCCGGCTTCACCACGGCCACTGGCGCCTACACCGCCCAGGGCACGTCGAGCACCTCCAACCTCATCCGAATGGTGTGACACTGGTGCTGATGGTAGCGGTGGCGCGAGATCCGGGTCTGGTATGCGATGCACGTAGTCTGGCTCCCAGTATCCGTGCCGCCGCCACCCGTTCGTCCCCGTCCATGGAGACTCCAGTTGGCGGGCCCAGCACCTGTGGGGAATGTCTTTCCACCCGTCGCGGTACCACAGCCGCGGCTCGACGGCAAGCATGCTCTGCGGGAGGTCGACCAGCCATGTCGACGTGCAGATTAGTGGTGTGCCTGCCCACTGCCCGCTTTGCATCATATGGCCATAAGCCGTGTCTTGCCTGTCCACGATAGTAGGATCTGGTGCGCTATATTGCCGACTGTGGACATTGCGAAGGATATACTCGCTCAGCACGCGACACCACAGTCTCCGAGAAGCCAATGCGAGCCCGATGGTGGCTGGTTTGTCGTTGGTGAGATAGCCAAGCACGATGGCCAGGAGCTCGGGCGGAAGGATCTCGATGGGAGACTGCCCCACGCTTGTTCCCAACGGCGCGCCCGTCGACGTCTTCCCCTGAGCGATGGCTCTCCCAGCACTTCTTAGCTCAGTCGGGGGTAGGTAGCGCACGGCTCTCCGTAGAAGGCCTCTGTCACGAGGGGCGTAATGGAGGAGGCGGAACGCTTTCCAATGTGGTCTAATCCTCAAGACGGTTACCGGATCTAGGCTGTCGTCCTGCTCGTTGGCTACCTCATTTTCCTCTTCTATAGCACAGCCGACATGGGGTGAGGGGTTCGCCAGTGCCCCTGCAGTGACCGAGCCATGGCTACCTCGGCGGCTGTCCTCATTCATCTCAGCCCGTGACAGCTTGAGAACCTGATGAAGGGCTGGCGCGAGCAGGTTCCACTGCGGGACCTCAGTCCCCGTAGCATCCTCGAGCAGGACCTTATGCGGTGATTTGCGCATCCGGAATGTGCGCGGCGCCAGGAGCCGTGCCGATTGTGCGTGCGAGTACAATTGCGATATTGGGTATGTGGAAACTCGATGGATTAAAAGGGAGGTCGTGTTGTGACCGAAGAAGCTCTTATAAGACCAGGCAGCAGCCCAGGCCCTTCCGAAGATTGCGGGTGTGGCGATCTCGTATGGGCCCCACATTTGGCGATCAGGATCACAACCCTGGCCAGAATGATACAGCCTCGACAGCCACGATGAGCCGGCGCCATGTGGTCAACAAGGACAGGACAGGGGTTCGCGCTTGGATTCGCTCTTTGATTCGCTCTTGGTTGACATCTATCCAAAAGCGCTGAATCCAGTCTGCTTCCCGCGGGCGTTGGCGCAGTATTTCAGCTCTTCCAACATCGCATACGCAGGATCCCTCATACCAGTCAGATCACGGAGAATGCAGGATGCACCATAGAGCAATTGACGATAACAATTCAGATTTCGATCCGAGCCGGGAGTATAAAGTGCAGTCTGCGAATTGTGAGGTGTGCATTCGCCGGGACATGGGTTGTTTGTTTCCGTCCTGTCCAGGCATCTTCCAGTATTCAAAGGAAGACACACCCTTCGATCTCGAACTTGAAGCTCCCGTCTGGTGTCCAGTAGAAGCGCTGAAGCTCCTTGCTGTACTCGTCCGTCCTGCGGATCCGGTTGCCAATGCTGCTCTTGACGAGCTCGATAAAGGCACGTCCCGTTTCCCCACCTCGAGCCCAGTTTCTTCCGACGAGCGTGGACGGAGGGCGTCGCGGATCGTCCTTGACTCGAAGCTCCTCCAGCTCTTCAGCCGTGAGTGTTCTGAGGCTCAGGCGCTGCGTGGGCGTCGGACTCGGCAATGTGATCGACGACCAGAGCATGACTTCACGGCGTTGCAGCTCTTGTGACGGCGCCCGTGGATTGTGGGCTGAGTGGATGTTTAATGGAAAGACGAGAGAGATCGTCTCCAGGCTGGTCAGGTGTCTCAGTAGTGCTGGCTGCCAGGCGATGTCAAGCGCCAAAGAGAAGGGAAGTGCAATGTGCCGGACATGCCGTACCCATTGGGTGCGGTCGCCGAGGTAGAACACTATGGTCGAGCCGTCGCCGTGGCGCTTCTGGCGGTCGATGTACAGTATGTCCTTCGCTGTATCGAATACTCGAGACGGAAGGCGCAAGGGGGGCAAGATTCCGACTTCAGAGCCTGCTGCGGACTCTGCCTTGCCATGAGAGGCCGGTGCCAGTTCGGCTTGGTTCGGAGCGTTTCTGATGCCACGCTGAGCAATGCATGTCAAGCGTGCCTCGCGGCACACCGTCTCGAGGAGCGCAGATTCTGGGTGCACTCTCGGGGGCGCGTGGTTGTACCGAACGCCACGCGACGCCATGCCAGCTCCGGCCATCTTGCTGGTGTCATCTTCGTCCCCTATGGGAATGGTGCCGCCCTGATAGATGCATACGCACGGCTGCGAAGCGAGATGTTCCAGATATGCCTCGCGCCAGACAAGGAAGCGAATCTCGGACGGGAGTCTCGTGAAATAAGCGAAACTTGGCGACACCAGAGGTGGCTCGTATGGTGTGTCTGCATATGGTGGCGCGACTTTGGAGGTATCATCCTGCTCCGGATCTTGCGCGGTGGCGCCGGTGAACCGCGTGCCACTTGGCTGTGTCGTCTTGGCGGTCGCCGTCGATTTGCTGGTAAGAGTCGCCGCATGCTTGTGAGGCCCCGTTGAAACCCGCGTGGGCACGGTATTCTGCAGGCTGTCACCAGGCCCGCATTGCCTGGCCGCCGTCATGACGTCCCTGGACGAAGCTGATCATGCTGAGACGGGGCGGTTGCGGAAATGACGCCTGCAGATACTGCCCTGCCAAAAGCTTTTCCTCGTCGTGGTCACACGGAGAGCCTAACAGTCTGTGTGACCGAAGGCCGATGTCTGGATAGACCGGGCTTGAAAGAACCGTGGAAGCTTGAAATGGTCTGCTCACTGTGAGACCAGCGAACGAAGGTGTTCAGTCCAGAGATGCTCCAGGGAGCCGGCCCCGGTTGGTGCATGGACTGAATCTCGAAAGCTTACGTAAGCCTGAGAAACGCGGTTGCGTGTCTGGCGCAGGCTGTCGGAGTGGTATCGTGCCGAGCGTTTGAAGCAGGTTCACGAATAGGCTGCCCTTTTTCCAGATATCAAAAAACGCAATGCTGGCCATGAGTCCCTTGGAGATTGTGACCGAAGTGTGTCTGCGAGTCCCGCTGCTGTTTCCAAGGTTGGCAGCTCAGCTGTGGCTGCTCAGCAGGCCTGTGTAGTGCCATATCGGCCGTGTCTCTTGCCAGCGTCGTAGGAAGATGGAAGCCCAGCATGTGTCTAGTTCACCTTGAGGCTGTCTGCCTTGAACAGTCTGGTGCTCTGGTTTGTCTGGCAACTCCTGCACATGGGGGGAATAGTGAGCGCCCCACGTGGCGGGGAGCTCATGGCTGGTGCCTGTTGAGCTGCTGGAGCTCGAGGATCAGCACGCCCGACCACATCTCTCTAGGCTGAGAAGCATACCTTGGACTTTGTGGACAAGTTACAGCCTCCAACACACTGCTGGCCAGGATTGGATGCATTGGAGATGGCATGGATGGCTCTGCTCTGGTCAGGCAGTGGCAGGCTGCCGTCTCATCCCATCTCGGACACCTCAGGCAGGCAAGACACACGAGCGCCCACCTGGGCTGACCCCACCTTCCGACTGGCCAATTGCTGAGCTCCCGCCGCCCCTCGCTTCAAGTGCCCCTAACCGTCCACCTGCCCGACCTGTCCCTATCGTCATCGCTGCTGCTGGCCTCATTGCCCCTGCCTACACTACCACCCACCACTACCACCTCGTCCTCCACGTCCTCGACGATCTTCTCATCACGACTCCCGCCCTCCAGAGGCACTCCACGCAGCCTGCCCCATTCCTCCAAGCCCCTCTCAAGCGACTGCTGCAGCCGCCGCCGTAGCCAGCCATGGAGGCCGCCTCGGCCAGAGCGGCCGCGCGCGACCGCTGGAACGAGCTGGGCCTGCCCCGACCCTCCCAGCTCCAGCGCTTCATCTCGAGCGCCTGCAGTCCAGAGAACTACGAGCCAAACCTCGCCCTCAACCTCGAGATATGCGACCTCATCAACTCCAAAAAGGGCTCCTCCCCGCGCGAGGCCGCCGTCGCCATCGTCAACTACATCAACCACCGCAACCAGAATGTCGCCCTCCTCGCCCTGAACCTCCTCGACAACTGCGTCAAGAACTGCGGCTACCCCTTCCACCTCCAGATCAGCACAAAGGAGTTCCTTAATGAGCTCGTCCGCCGCTTCCCCGAGCGGCCCCCCATCCGCTGCACCCGCGTCCAAAACAAGATCCTCGAGGCCATCGAGGAGTGGCGCAGCACAATCTGCGAGACGAGTCGCTACAAGGAGGACCTCGGCTTCATTCGCGACATGCATCGCCTGCTCAGCTACAAAGGCTACATGTTCCCAGAGGTCCGGCGCGACGACGCTGCCGTCCTCAATCCTAGTGATGTACGTGTCTTATCCCCGCGCCTCCCAATCGTGGACGCTCTCCAGCTTTGCGCCGTGTGACAACTGACACGTTTTCTCAATGACAGAACCTCAAATCGGCCGAGGAGATGGAAGAGGAGGAACGAGAACACCAGTCTGCAAAGCTCCAAGAGCTCATCCGCCGCGGCACACCCGAAGACCTGCAGGAAGCCAACCGCCTCATGAAGATCATGGCCGGCTACGACACGCGAAGCAAGACCGACTACCGCGCCAAGGCCGCCGAGGATGTCGCCAAGATCCAGGCCAAAGCCAGGCTCCTCGAGGAGCGGCTGGAGGCTTTCAAGCCTGGCGACACGATGAAGGACGGAGACGTGTTTTCCGAGCTTGCGTCAGCCCTGCAGAGCGCCCAGCCTAAGATCCAGAAGATGTGCGAAGAGGAGTCGGAGGACCACGAGGCGGTCGCCAGGCTCTTTGAGATCAACGACAGCATACATCGGACAGTGGAGAGGTGGAAGCTGCTCAAGAAGGGCGACGTCGAGGGTGCGGCCAAGATCGCCGCTGGAGCTCCGATACAACCTTCGAAATCGGCCGGTAAGGCGCCTTCTGCCGCCAACGAGCTGTCCTTGATCGATCTCGATGGCGAGCCGGAGAATGCCAATGGCGCGGCATCAGGTGCGCAGGGGTCTGCAGGCATCGAAAACGACCTCCTCGGATTGTCCATGGACGAAGGGAGCACTTTTGGCCAAGGCGGCGGCATCTCGCTGGGCTTCGGGTCAAATCAAAGTGAGTCGCTGGGATGCAGACCACCCCTCTTCTCAGTCACTAACTCTGTGCAGATATTCCGGGGCCATCACTCCTGTCCTCGTTATCGCAGAATAGCACGGCTGGCGGACAGCCGTCCACTGCCACTCCACCTCCAGCATCCTCTCCTTTCGCCGCCTTCACCTCGCCAGCCAGCACGTCCAAAGCACCGACACCCCAGCCATCCGCTTTTGGCTCTGCATTCGCACAGCCACCGCCACAGAAATCGCCGACACCTGCCAACGACGTCTTCGCCGCCCTATCTGCCGCACAATTCTCCGCATCCAAACCCTCTACGCCCAAGCCCCCGGCTCCCATGCCTGCAGCTAACGACGACGACGAATGGTCATTCTCGTCCGCCCTCCCCCCGGAGCCATCCCCGCCTGCGGAACTGTCTGTCGTTGTGCAAGAAGGACCGGTCAAGATCGAGATGAAGGCCAAGAGGCCAGAGTCGCAGCCGCATAGCATTGTCCTGGCCTTTGCGTTTTCCAACAGCACTAGCCTGAGCGTGGGCGACATCCACTTCCAGCTCGCCGTCACAAAGGTACATACAGGCTCTCCCTCCTTCCCTCTGTTGTCCCGTGAAACAGCGATGGACGCTAACCAAAATCTATAATACAGGGCTATCGTCTCTCCCCATTTCCTCAGTCCGGGCGGTCTTTGGCGCCGAGCGAGGTGCGAGGCGTGCAACAGAACATGGTTGTGTCTCATGCGGCCAACGCGACGCAAAAGGTCGAGGGCCTGAAGCTGAGGTGGCGGATGACGTACACTCTGGGAGGCGAGGCCAAGGCGGAGACGGGAGACATTGCCGAGTTCTTCCTTGCGTGAGTGAATTGCCCGGCATCCATGTCGTCGTCGTGGTTCGATGGCCGTCGTGTTGGTCGTGCCGAGCAGGTTGTCGATTCATTTTTGTGGAGCCGTGTGTATGTGGAGCTGCAACCAGTGGATGTGCAAGGAGTTAGTTGTTGGGGGATCAGGGAGGTTGGAGGGGGTGAAAATAGACGAGCCGGAAATACTTAGATGGGGACGACGATGCCGGAAAAGAAAGAGTTGTTTTGATGTGAGATCTGGTTAGTAGCCTTCACGCGGGTTTTAAATACATACGCCCTAGCAAGTGTGCAGGCTTTAATTAGGCTCGACCTGTCAAGACTGACGGGGAAAAGCCATGCCACAGGCCGGAGGTGGTCTAAGAATGCAGTGCAGGCGGCCGGTCTGCTTTTTTGGGAACTTGGAGCCAGTAAGATTTGGCTTGTTCTCTCTGACGTGGGTGGGGGCGGCGGGGCCCTGGAAAGGTGTCGCCCGGAGACTGGACATGTGTGTGGACGAGTGTATCTGGTTATATCAGTACGCTGTTGGGGAGGTGGCTACTTCAATCGGCTGAGAGGAGGGCCTTGTGTGTCAGTGTGTGTGTATGTGTGTTTGTGTGTTTGTGTATTAGCAGTTGGATCGTGGAGACGAGCATAACAAATCACACACCTAGCTCTAGGCAAGCCGAAAGGTGAGAGAAAGAGGAGGCAACCAAGGCATCTGATCTCGGCGGAAAGTCCCAGAGGGGGGAAGTGGGGGGCTGAGCCTTTGCAGCAGCAGCAGCAGCAGCACAAGGATTGAGGTTGTTCCTGTCGGAGAGAGATGAAAAAGCAGTGCAACTAATCAAGTCCTAGCCCCACTTAAAACCAAGATGAAGCACTGTTTTCCAAGCTGATCCAACGGCAAGAGCGGTCCTTTCGAGCAGGGGGCTCCTGCCTCCTCTGCGTGGGCTAAAAAAGCAGTGCATGTACTCGCCGGATCATCTGAATCGCACGTAAACCGCTCCTCAGTCTCGTTGCTCCGTTCCACCCGCGGACTCTGTCCTCTCTTGCTAAGCCTATCTCTACGTGATTCGATGAGTTTCGCCACACAATTTACGGTTCACCCACTGCGTCGAAACCCTGCCGTTGTAAATTATCGACACGATTTGGGCCTTTGGTAGATGACTTTAACCACGGTGATTGACTACCAAAGAATATGCACCGCTTAAGATGCAGTTGGACACGAAGCACTCTTTCTTGCCGTGAATGTTTCGCCATCTCTAGGCAACTGGAATACATCAAATGAGGGAGGCCATGGGTTGGGACGGCAAGCTTGTTGTGTACCAGGTCTGTTCTGGAGAAAAGGTAGATCATCTCCGACAGGGAGTGAAGCCCCCAGCCCCCCAGCTCAGAGAGCTGTGTGGATCACAGGCACTGTTGAAGTTCCTGCAGCACGATCCGAACCGACGCAAGGTACCACCTCAGAGGCCGAAGTCGTTATCGAATACTTCGAGACTCTTCAGAGCACTAAAGCGCGCCCCCCTCATCAGTCCTTCAACACTAACCCGATCACTACGCTATCGTGGCAGATCGCTTACACAAACAGAGCCCCAACCTTAGTAGAATCATTGTATTGCATGTGAGGAAATGTGTGCATGCAATACTCACTAGGCACGGACTGCAAGATCTCATGTCCTACCCGTACAATTCCCAGGGTGAAAATGGGAATGTGACACTTCGCGTTCGAGCTGCCAAAGAGTAGCAATTACGCGCTCATGCGTGCTCTGCGCTACTATTGTGGGCACTAACCACATCCTGTTTGGTGCATTCATTGCTCCGGGTCATCATTTTGTATCAGCGATCCAATTATCGTTCATTGACCGAAGCCCCTGGCAACTCTATTTTCAGCAAGTCCGGCCATGCCGTAGTGGGAGCCTAACACTTGGAAGAGTGCTCACGTCTTTCTGAAAATACACCAAGCCCCCAGTCGCCAGCCACGAAGGTACTCGAGTTAGCCTCGTGTTGTTCACATTTGCAGCCTCGGAGTAAATTTCGGAATGCTGGCTTAACGCTTGCAGCCTGTGGGCATGTTGCGTTGGCTTGGGCTCAGGCTCAAGCAAGACTCCTGGGGCCGAGGACCAGGGGTGAGCATTCGGCGTGTAACCAGTGAGCTAGATAGATATTTGGAATATGAACTCTAAATTTGGGTGCGGGCCAGGACTCAGGGTTTGTGTGAAGCGTGAGGAACACTTTCAAGATACTTGAATCGCTGCTGGGGATGTCGGACTGGGCTAGTGACCATCATGTCACCATGTGCTTTAATAGGCCGTCTCAAAGAAACAGCAGCGGTCAGTTCTCATGCATACCTATTAGCCAAGTCTCCACGCTTAATTTCCACATAATGGTTGACCCCAGGCTTTGCCTGATACATGTCGAACCTTCACCCCCAGAAAACACTGAACCCTCAGGGGCATCCCCTGTATGGCGGACCGCTGGCGCCAACTTTATAAGTCGTGCAGAGATCTACTCCGCTCTAGAGGCCTGTCATACGAGCTTCTAGCCTTTCCTCTCGATCTCTCTTGGAGACGTTAACATCGGACGATCTCAATCGTCAAAATTAACCTTTCGCGGCTGGCAGATACAACCAGGGATCTGACTCAGATCTCATGCCGCGGAAACCGCCACGTACAGCTGGTTATACTTTCGATGCACAAGCCTGCATCCCGCCTCTCCGGGGCGCGCGGATAGAGTTCACGTCGTGACTCGGCTATACAGTCAGGGTGTCGAAGCCACCAACAGTACTTGATTCCAGTTGCCTTCAAGTGATATTGTTTGCTGCAAGAGTATATAAAGCTTGCAGCTCCTCCGACTTTGAACACTCCATTCGACAACTACAACACTGCACCTCAGCATCCTCATACCACATCACATCGCCCTGCCTCACAAGTTGCCACGTTATCACTACTATCACCATGAAGGCCGTACTTGTCTTGTCCGCCCTTGTCGGCGCCGTCTCCGCCAACACCCTGCCAAGCTGTGCCGTATGTTTCCCCTCGATCATATCCTTCCCGTGCCGTGACTGTCCTGCATCACTCTTCGGACCTTTCTACTTTGACGACAAGCAATGAACTGAAACCGAGCTACACTTCCTAGCAATCTTGCGTCACCAAATTCACGAGCGGTAGCAACATTGGCAGCTGCCCGTCGTCCAACGCCGCCTGCATCTGCAAGAACACTGCCCTCCTTGGGGATTTCGCCTGCTGTCTTTCCAGCGGCTGCAGCAAGGGCGACCAGACCTCGGCCGTCAGCTACGCCCACAGCATCTGCAGCGCCCAGGGTGTCACCGTCCCCACGGCTGTTGTCTGCTCGTCCTAGATGGCTGGACACATAGCGCTATTCGCACAGCTCATCGGCGTAGTCGACCTGATGGGTGGCGAATATGCATCAGGCAGGTGTATCATGATAGCATCACTAGTCAGCAAGCAGAGACCTATGTATCCAAGAGCGTCAGATCAAGCAAAGACGTAACACTCGATAAAGTCAATAACATCAATCTACTGCGAAACAACGGGACGTCTGTCAAGCATTTGTGCATAAATAATGGAGACATCACTAGCACTGCTATCGCCCCCTGTCCTCGGCGTCGCAGTGGGTAATGGTGTTGTCACTGGGTTCACAGTTCATCATCCTTGTCATTGAAAGCGTGGTCGAGACCATGGCACAACGTCTTCAGCAAGTCTCATGTTCCCCTGCTTAGCTTTGCTCATCGAGCGGAACTTCATTTGGTGGAGGTATAGTCAGTTCTGCAGCATGCATTTCCATTTTCCCTTTGGCAATTACTACACGGGCATGAAGAATTGCTACCCGGGCATGACTCTTACACGGGCATGACCTTTTGCAGCCTCTGATTGGTCCATCCCTTTTTGTTAGTGCATCTAGATTCTGCCAACGCTTCCCTTGTACCTCGGGATTAGCTCTCCACCACGACGATCGACGAGACATATGGAAGCTATTCACTAGCTAGCTACTACACCAATTACCTCTTGTCGCATGTCAAGCCTACTGATAATGATTGTTCGTGAAAGATACCATATTTGTCAAGGTCCCAGGGCTCCAGGCGTGGTGTGTTAGGCCCCCTGCTGAGACCAACACTCAAACACACGCTGTATCAGGAATATCCAATAGCCTCATCTTCCAAGGCATCTGCATCACAAAGCAGGTCATTCCTTTGTGCTGAAATTGGTCCCCTCTTTCCTTCTTTCATAGTCAAATCAACTGCCCCTTTAACCATGCGCTCATCCGTGCGTGCGACACTCTTCCTGTCGCGATCAAGGCCGTCATTATGTCCCAGCCCGGCTCTCGATCTAGCTCAGCAAGCAACCAACGACTTCGAAGCTATCAATTACGTCCTCGAAAACGACAGCGGCAGAACCAATCTGAGAGTTCAAGACCACCTTCGTCTAATAGCACAGGGACGAGCATTGGCCCACACTATGGCGTGGGAGACGACGAGGCACTCTGTAATGCTTTCGCCTCGTACCCAGAGACCTTCACGACCGCTCCACGCCCCCATGGATCGCGTGGGCTGAACGAGCCACCATGGGAGCTGCGATTCGATCATGAGATTCACCTATCGAATGATTTCCCAACCCGAGGAAGACGGTCGCAACGAGTAAGAATGCCTATACCAGGCCCGGAAATCGACCAGCCACCTGCCTGCTCTCCACAACAATCAGCACAAGAACAATTCTCTCCAACAAGACCCCAGTTTCAGTCCGCCCTTAGGCTAGTGCGCGAGGTGATTGGGACAGATCGAAGACTTACCATCGAGCTCGTCCGGTCATACGAACGAGTCCGCCAATGGCGCGAGATATGGGGCTACTCGCCGCTCAGTTCAACTCCATTCGAATCATCTCCGCCATACTCGCCTCCCCGAGAAAGGCACTCTCCGCCTATCGCCTCGCCGCCCTCGCCCGACCACCCCTTGTCGCCTGTCCCTGACCCGATCCCGAACCCACCTATCCCAGACGACCCAGCGCCGTCAGCCGAAGTCCTGTTCGAGTGGGTGAATACTTTCGCGAAGGCTAATGGCTTCGGTATTGTTCGACGAAATGCCTACTCATATAAGGGTCGGAAGATCCGGTACTCTTTCCAATGCGATCGATTCGGAGAACCACGCCCCTCAGAGAGTACCGGTATTCGGCAACGGAAGTCTCGAAAGTGTGGTTGTAAATGGATGGTCATTGCCGAAGCACTGGAGGAGGGTAGATGGCTTCTACGACACCACGATAATTCCGAGCATAGCCAGCATAACCACCGGGCCAGTATCAAACCATCCGCCCATCCCTCCCACAGACGACTCACTACACCTATCAGGGCAACAGTCGAATCGACAAGCCGTCGGGTCGGAATTCGGGCCCGTGACGTACGCGCGATCGTCCTGGAGCAGCATCCCGAGTCATCTTTTACACGAAAGGATATCTATAACGCCAGGTCTCGTATCAGTCGAGACAAGTTGAGCGGCCACACTCCTACTGCAGCACTGATCAAGCTGTTCGACGAGATGGAGATTCCCTATCTTGTTAAGTGGGCGGATGATGAGCCAAACCGCCTCGTCGGTCTTGTCTGGACCTTTCCGTACTGCCTCCAGATGTGGAAGCGGTTTCCTGAGGTCATCAGCTTCGACAACACATACAACACCAACCGCTTCAAGCTTCCATTATTCCAAGCAACAGGACAGACCTGCCTTGGTTCTGTCTACAATGCGGCGTTCGGTCTGATCGACAACGAGAGACGGGAGGGGTTCCAGTTCCTCTCTGAGAGCATTCGACAGATCTCAGAGCAGCACTCTATTCGCCAACCGGACGTTATCATTACTGACTTCGACGGTCAGATGAAGGCCGCCCTGAATGATCAGTTCCCTGATGCACAGCAGCAGCTGTGCATCCACCACATCAATTCTAACGTCTTGCTCAAGTCAAAGCAGAAGTGGGTCAAGGGCCAATGTAGCAGTAGTAGTCCCGACAGCAGCAACGGGGAGGACTACGCTCCACAGGCACAGGCTGAGCTCGGCCCGAAAGACGGACAGTTGGTCAACGCGCAGACAGCTGAAGTCGTCCCTCATAGCCATCGAGGGGTTCTCATGATGTGGAAGGTCGTCTTGTTTGCGGAGACAGAGGAGGCTCACGAGAAGGCGTGGGGAAGCCTCTGTAGGGAATTTGACGATCAGCGGGCCATCCTGCGGTATCTCCATGGAACCTACATGCCTGTCAGGGCGCAGTGGGCACGATGTTTCATTCGCAACTATCGCAACTTCGGCATACGCGTCACATCTGGGACAGAAGCAAGCAACAACAACATCAAGAGCTATCTCCTGAATGGTATGAGCAATCTCTATCGGCTTATCGAGGCTATGCAGGACATGATGAAGGACCAGGAGCGAGATTTCAACGACGCCTGCGCAGCGGACGAGGTACTTACCGCGCGAGAGTACATAGGGTCCAGCTCGGAGTATCTAGGCGAACCCCGGACAGCACTCTCTTCGAAGGGTCTCGGGCTTATCAACAAACAATATCGGCTAGCAAGGAAAGCAATGCCGACGGGGAAGAATCTGTTCCCTGACCCCATTGGCGATTGCAGTGAGGACTGCTCGGTTTCGACCGAGCTTGGAATCCCCTGCTGCCACACAATCTACTCAAAGCTGGTGAGTGGCACGCCTCTCACCAAATGGGAGGTCCATCCTCGGTGGCGCCTACGAGAGCCATCCTCTCGAGATCCATACCGACGAATCCTCGACCCTAAGATCGCCACTGCTCTCCGTGGCAGACCTAAGAACACCACACAGGCTGTTCCAGCGCGGCTAGCCATTGAGGCAAGCAGCCAGCCGAGTGGCCAACGAGCCAGCAATCCAACAAGCCAAGCGACAGGGCGCAGACGAGGTCGACCACCAGGAAGTCACAACAAGTCAACGCTAGCTAGGCTTGCTCTGGAAGCGAGCCAACAGGCCAGCAGCCAGGCTAGTAGCCAGGCCAGTGCCTCATCCCAGCGCCAGACGCGCAGCCGGTCAGCTGTTCTTGGAGCTGGAAGAACTACAGGAGTACGTGCCAACGGACGGAAGACGCAATCTAGCATTCGCAGGCGAAGGAGTCAGTGGGAGCTGCTTTACAGCGACGAGGAGGTTCTTCCATCTATAGTAGTTAGAGGATAGAGATATAGATAGCTGCCCTCTAGGGCGTGCTGGAATTGGCCGTGTTCTGTATTGAAAACCAGACCTTGTTTTGATATACGCCTAAGACCTGTTCTAGAGGCCTGGTTGACCTGGTTGGTTCTGACTATACCGAAAGCACGGCCTTGTTAAGAGAGCTTGCTTCACCGCCTTTGCACTGATGTACCTGTGGGTCGAAGGAAAAAAATGAGCGAATCAGAGGCGATAGAAGTCATGCCCGTGTAAGAGTCATGCCCGGGTAGCAATTCTTCATGCCCGTGTAGTAATTGCCTTCCCTTTTTGCTGCTGGTGTCCAAAAGTCACGGCGGTCATTTGTCTTAGACATTCGCCCATGTTTCTATCTCTTACAACGGAGCACAGGAGGCTTGGCATGGAGTTCGATCTAGGTATTGGATTCATTCCAGGCTTGCGCAATGATGGCGTCTGCGTCCCAGGTGTGCAAAGACTTCTTGGCTGATCTGTTCAGCGAGGAATTGAGCTCGTTGACTTCAAATTGGCAAAAGAGAGGCCCGGGGGCAGACCCCGATCCCGAACTACAGAGCAATGAAAAGCACAAGCTCAGTTGCGTCCATCCTCTTCGAAGGTCTGGAGGAAGTGCTGATCGATGTGCAGCATCTCAAGTGTACGAGTCCGTAGAATGCTCGAAAGCTGCCGCACACTCGAACGTGGAATGCAAGCATGAGGCGCTTGGCAAGCGTGCGCTTCTGGCATTCACAGGGAATATGACGCTGACGACTCGTGGCGTCAGGATGAATGCGCCAAAACCTGGTATTGTAACGCTGCATAGCGGCGGTTTCGTGTCCCCGGAGGCTTTTCCGGGCCTAGACCGCGGAAGGATTCGAGACGTACAAACATGAAAAGCTCCGGCCCGAGGGAAAGCGAAAAATAAGGGAGCCAATCGTGTCATCCCTCGATCGGTGTTCAACCCAATCACAGCGCGTGTGAGCTGCCACAAGCGCCACTGAATTGCCTTCAACCCCCTGCTGAAACCTGTTTCAATAAGCTATTGTCTATTTCCCCGGAAGATCCCGAAACCACACCATGGGATCACAAGGCTGCCCTTATGGCAAGTGTCTAAGTGATGGTCTCAAATGACCACCACTGACAGTGCTGTATCTCCCTTGGAGCGGACAGCAGGCATAGGTGCATTTCATCAGCATCGGCCTCAAAATTGAAAATGAGATCGAGCTTTATCATAAGCCTCATCGTAGGAAGCGTCGCTGGTGAGGATGTTTCCTAACTTGTCATGGGCTGGCTCGCCTCAGAAACTCGGTTTGTATCCGGCTTGCCACAATTGGAGTTGTGGTTATCGCACCGTTATTTGCTACAGCTCTAATGCCAAAGACTGTGAAAGGGGCTCACTTGACTGTGGACATGTTTCCCTTGCTGAATTATTGACATCGCATAGCGGTCCCGACGAGAGCCTTGCCTTTCTAGATGGGAAAGACGGTAGACAGCCATCCGGGATGCTGTCACGCATGCCCACGGGTGTTTCCGAGGTCGAGCTCCGAAACCTCCATACCGATTTTTAACGCCACATTCCCTTTAAGCCTTTGCTTCCCTGGACAGTGATCTCGAACAGGATATGCCACGTAGCGATAGATGTGTCATCGGGCAAGCGCATGAGCGCAGGCATTGATGTCTGTCGCTTCATGACCACGAGACCTGTGAAATATATTGGCTGTGGCTTCTGCGACCAGGGATATCTGTGTTGAACACATATGATACTAATGAGGACGCCTTGCATGTGGCCTCCAGCTTCTCTTTGCATTGATTGCTTCCTGAGTCTGGTCAGCGCTGAGGATCAGACACCGCAGCTCTCCTAGATGCAACATGCAGGTTAAAGAAATCACTCTCTTCCTTGTTTTGGGGTTGATCGGACGTGCTACTGGTCAGACTCGAGTCCGATTCATCCTTCGCGCCCAAGTCCCTGGCAGTCCGCCGATTTTCGTCGGTGTTCCAACCCCAACGACCCTGACCACCGGCTCCACGACGACTCCGGCAGCGATCTCACAAACAGACTCACGAACAAGCTCACAAACAAGCTCACAGACAAGCGCAGAGACAAGCTCACAGACAAGCCCACATACAAGCTCACAAACAAGTTCGCTGAGATATCCGGAATCTTCTTCATCACCAATACCTTGGCCCTCCGCTTCATCTAGGGATACGTTGCCGACATCAGCGTCCATCCCGTCCCAAAGCTCATCGACAGCGTTTTGCAGCGGAGTAGCCTTAGCCCTGGCTTCGGGGAATGAGGAAGCTCAAGCCACGTCATTTTGTTCTTCCTATTTGGGCATACCGGGGGCGGAAACAGGCACAGCACTGTCCACTGTGACCTCCTACACGCAGTCAGTCGTTTCCAAACCCTCGATTACGGTACTGGGCACTAAACTTGAGTAGGACTTTCACGCAGACGAACTATATCTCGTCGAGCTTCACAGAAAGTTCATTGGCGACCTCGACAGTAACGATAGCCACGGAAACCGCTACCATTTCCAGCATTAGCACTACAACTTTGACCCGAACCGCGACTACAAGTGCCATATATACACATGCTGCTCTTTGTTCTACTCCGTCTCCCGCCCTCATCCCAAGGAGGGCTGTGGAATCCGCCGATGTATTGGTGTACCCCAAACCCACAGCCTTGGGCAATTATTCCGAGGGTGAAGCTCTCTCATCAGCGTGCAGCTGTATCGGAGAGCCCTTGGGTTCCACGGTGACTAGCATATACACCCTCAGGATTCCGACGACCACAACCCTGTCCATTACTGTAAGCAAGACAGCTCTGTATTCCTCGCCGACCTATCGAGAACAGCGAAGTGGTGTTGTAGCATGGCTGACATGCTCTGAATGGCTAGTCGACTGCGGTGGAGACGACCTCTGGGACTGTGACAGAGTACATTACCGCACAGATCTCGACGCAAGAGACGACCATCACGACCATTACGACTACGGTGACAGAGACCACTTATACCGCGTCAGCCGCCCCAAGCATTTCTACGTACAGCAACTTCAACATCGTGGGCTACAAGAACCAAGACCTGAACACATTCGAGCAGGCGGATGCCGTCCAAGGTTTCGTTCTCCTCGCTCAGGCAGACCCGTCCTCGGCCCTGAGATTCACGCTCGAGAGCAATGGCTATTTACGAGCTGACAATGGGCCCCAGGCTGGCTCACTCGGATACTCAGATCCGACATTGGAGGGCTACATGGCAAATGTACAGTTCCTACCCAGCGGCGAGGGCCTTGTCCACCTGGTGTGCGAGATCACGCATAATCCAGATGGGACATGCCCAATATCTTGCACCGGTGCTCGGGGCAGCACCAGTTTCCACTGCGGGGCATTTTGGCGGCTTGGGACATTGGCGGACATCCAGAGCCATCCCAGTTGTGCCCAGTTTGACACGTACGTCGTCAACAACTCCTAGCGTTGTCAGCCCGTTGGCCGCTGTTGCAACATGGGAGAACGATCTTCAAAAGTTTTAGTCACCCTATTCAAGCATTCAAATATATTGACTTCTATTCTACTTGCTTGCATTCATCTGTTCATGCCCTCAAAAGTGCTCTCTCGGCTGGCACAACTCTCGTCCGGATAGTGATATTGCTTCTGCGTGAAAAGCTCGCCATGGAAACAATCAAACTCAAGACACTCGTGTTCCACGACAATCCCACGAAGACCGTACATTCTGGCAAAGCCTACGAAACGACGAGGTCAATAAGGCTCGGGATGTCAACAGGGTTTCGGGCATTTCGACTAGCGTTAAACACGAGCTCATTCCCCGTCCTGAAGAGCCGTATCATTCCGAGAGAAGAAAATCAGTGGAGTGTTGGTTGTGTTACCTCAGTATGGCGGAAATAAAAGCAGGCTCGCAGACCTCTACATGCACCTGTTATTGGACTTACTGAGCCATGTTGTCAGGAGCCGAATGAGGTGTGGTGATGAGCTTGCTGGCTAGTGACACAATGATTGCATATGCTTCAAGAGCGTGTCCTTGTCCGCAGCGGTTGGCTGCCACCGTAATGCACAAGGCTCCGCTTTTTAACAATCATTGGAGCACAACATGCGGCTTTAATCTTCAACTTGTAGGAGCGATATGGTGAACCATCGGAGAATGGACATGCTGCTGCTCAAAATGTATACTATTGAGGTAAATGCGGATGTGTGGCGGGTTCGGGTCCGGACGATGAAGCGGACCGACGAGGGGACCACAGGCTACGGACTTGAGGATCGGTGAAATGCAGAGGGTCTAGAGCTCGCGATAGCTCTTGCACTAGAGAGCAACACTTCCAGACGCGGTCTTCACTTACCCCTACCTAGCATTCTCGTGATTTTGCCATGTCAGGTGGAATCAGGATTATATCAGGAACTAGCTTTGGTCCGAATGACTATTCCTTTACCACGTCATTTAATTGAAAAATACTCTGAAAAGAACACCACAGAGCTATCCAGACTCACCCTATCACGTGCATTAAACCTTAACAGAAGCACCCCACTTATTGCGCAGTTGACGAGAAGCAGCTGTCATCACTTTGCCTTTCTGCGCCACATGAACTCAATGATCATGAGATTGAACGCAGGCAAAAACCACAATCGATCATGGCCACCACGAAAACACCATATCATTACTTTCAATCTCAGATTGGTAGCCCGTTATTCCGCCTGCCTCCAGAGCTCCGCATCAAGATCTACAGAGATGTTTTACTCAAGCATGAGAGCACTGTCGATCCATGGCCGATCTTCATCACGCAAGACCACAGAAACAACCACTCTACGATTCTCAGACACACTGAACTACTGCAGAGCTGCAAGAAAGTCCATGCGGAGGCAGGGCCAGATGCCTATCGCCACATCTGCCTTAAGCTGACAGATGCATGGAAGTCCCGCTTGCGCCTGGAACAGCTCGCATACGGCAGCAACATTCTGGCCAATATCCAGACTGTAGCCATGGAGCCAGGGTTCGTGACGGACCTGGAGAAAGAGGACTGGATGGCGGTGATCGCCATCTTGACCAAGAAAGCTACCAGTCTGAGGTCTCTGACGATCACCTTCACTGACGCCGTCGGGCATCGAGAATGCGACCTGGATAGGTCTCCCGAGCTGCTCCAAAGACTTTGCCTACTGGCTGCGGTGGAAGCCCACATGAACAATGGCAACTCTTGTCCTGAGCCGAGCAAGTCTGAGCTGGCATCGATGATCCCTGTCAGCCCCTTGGGCGCGGACTTGGCATTTGTTTGGGCCTTATCACGCATGACTCAGCTATCAAAAGTGGACTTGCGAGGTTTCTGCGGCATCAAGTGGTACAGCTTTCTTTCAAGCGAGATGGGCCCAGCCACTGAAGTCATTGGCCATGGGGCGATGGTTTATCGCGCTCTCAAAGCGCAAGGTGGTCCTAATATGGAGGACCGGGCCTCTAGACACTTGTACAGATTTTGGGCAAAAACGAAAGACTTGGATCCCTCAGTGGTCGGTCTGACAGACAGAGACACTGAAGAGATAGACGTGCATAAATAGAAATCCCCGTTAGAGGATGTTGTAATGGCTTCTTGCACTCAGGAGCTGTGAAGGGTTGCTGGACCGCTTTTATTCTTTATTTTTAGACAAGCCAGAAATGGTTGTCCCCAACTCACTTAGAGCCACTGGATGCCATCAACAAAGTTAAACGCGACAACTATCCGTGGCGAAAACTGCTCTGGTCCAATGTCCCCCGTATCTGTCATAGCTTGGCCTTCAACATTTGCCGTGAATTGCGCTGGGCAGGATCTCTGCAGGATCATTTCATGACCGCTGAAGCCTGCCGCCACTCTCGTCTGTGGCGCCACTATCGGCTCTGAGCGAAGGCTGCATGATTGCAAAGTCGTGCACGTGCGTGCCTTGGTCGCTCGCTCATGCCGAGCTGCTCCATCTTGATCGTGCCCACGAGCGGGGACCCTAGGAGGTAGTTGTATGGCCAGCTCTCGCAGCGCTGAATGTGGCCCGTTGTAATACCTTCATCGTGGTCTGCCGTGTTATTGCTGGAGAAGGTCCAGGATCGCTGACACGCAGCCAGGCGTGCCAAACATGATAGCATTGATGCAGACGAATTGGCCGCGCCGTGATTTGCCGCAGCCGGCGATCTGCGGCAGGCGCCCCAGCGTCGCGCGAGTCAGCCGCTATGCCGTTTCTGCCGTGCCGTCGCGGGAGATCCACCGGGGGCCCGGAGTTGTGGAACTGGCCCATAGCGTGCCTATACTCGACGTTGTATACTTACGTGATATTGTACCTTATAGCATGGCGTGATTGTGTTATCGACCGGGATTCCACAACATCAGCCACCATACACACGCGGCCGTGCCCAGGGTTTGGCTTGGCAGCGGTGCCGCCGTCATTGGCCCTGAGCTCGCGGGGTTGAACGCCCTTGGTGTTACGTACACATGCGCTTGCCCGGCTCATGGATCGTGTTCCTTGCCCTTGCATGTAATTACTGCCAGGCACCGCATTGGTGCGCTTGGTCCAGTCCCTGTCCCCCGGACAAGTCTCCCGGGAGTTCAAGTCCGCGCCTCCAATCCCGGCACTCCTGATACTAAGCAACAACTCATTCCGCACTGCGCCTTGGCCAGCGGTCCACTTCCGCCTGTCTGTGGAGTGTTCGGGGACTTTCCCAGCGGGGCCCCGGCACCCCTGTGCAGGACCAAGGCCCCATCCAGTCTAGCATTGTTCGGCCGAGATACCTTGCAGAAAATAGACGGCTAGCAAGATTGTTCATGGCTCTACCCACCCAGCATCCACTGGAAAGGATGCTCACCGGCTAGCCGCTGCGGAGCAAATTGTGTCTCCTCTTTATTTCGACACACGTGCGGGTCCGAGTCTACCCGATCGAGGTTTGTAAACGACATAGCATGCCGTGTGAAGTGTGTTGGTACTTTTGTAGTGAGGACGTGGTGTGGTTCGGTACCCTAGGGTCCTTTGCTCCCCGGCTACTCAGGTCCATCTCTACCGTGCGTAGTGACGCCTCGTCGCCGATCTATAACCCTCTAGCCGTTTTTTCTTGCGATTTACCAGTCCAGTCCGTCCGCCGCCCCAATCATACGCAGTTCTGATTTGCTACAACAGAATGCCGTTTTTCGTATGTCTTCAGTTTAGACGCTGTTGAGACATCAAGCAGGCTCACGTGGAAGGCGAACATTGTTATATGCGATCAATAATTCCAGTAATCATTCAAGCTATAGACAAGGCGAGGAGACAAGGGTTTTCAGTCTTGGACGCCCCCGAACGAACAGAGTACGTAGGGATTGATCAATGGCGCAGGAGAATCACATGCGCAAACACGGGGGCAGACGGCTGCTACTCGGCTAGCTCGCCGTCTGGTCCCGTGGTCCGGATGGCGACAGGAAAGACGCCATCCCCTGCGGCCTCGATCTCACTGACGTTCCACTTGATGTTCCAAAGCTGGCCATCTCCCGCCGTATCAGCGGCAACGGCGTACCACTGGGTTTCCATCCCTCCTTCCTGGGCGCGGAGGTAGAGCATTCCTCCGTAAAGGCCGAACGCATCGGTCCCTGCGGAGCTGTTGCCAGCCGCGGTTGTGAAACCGACGTTGCCTGAAGTAGAGGGCACGTGGAGGAACGTCGTTCCGTTCGTGGCAGTGGAGTTGCCGCCAATTGTGGCAACGAGTGATCCGGAGGTTTCGAGGGTGACTAAATTGGTTGATGTTAGCAAAAGACAAAAGAGAATGAAGAGGCTTAGTCACTTGAGGCCGCAACTAGATTGCCTCGTGCTTCAGGGAGATGTTGCAAGGGTTGGAAGGCAACTTACAGGAAACCTCTTCAGCCGAAGAACTGGTTGAGTCAGAACTATTGAGGGCGGTGTAGGCCAAGCCTTGATTGCAGTCAGCTTGGAGCAAAAGAGATACAGGATCGATGTCCGGCCGTACCCTCCATGTGGAAAACAGGAAACCCGCCAATGCCAGACTCTTTGGGCCCGTAAGCGAACAGGCGAAAGTCGGATGGGGTATTGGCGCGCCGCACGTCAAGAGGTTGGCCGACCACTCCTGCAATCAGAGCAGATGCGGCAGTAGACCAAAGTGCAAAGAACTTGAGAGGCATCGTTGGAAATGGGGAGTAAAGAAGGTGATGATGACGGATCTCTGTGGAACAGGACGACAAGTTGGCTTGCTGAAGGGAGAGAAGGATGCCGACGTGAAGGACCAGAACACAGGAGCGAGCGGGAGAGAGCTTCACATAAGAATGCCTTGGACATTGCCTGTGCTCAACACCTCACCCCATCTCTGAGGCTGGCGTTCACGAGCCATGACTTCAGGTGTGAGCACACGGCATGCAGTGCAGCGCCGTGTGGCAGGCTCGCCGTCAGGCCCTTGTAGATGCGGGACCCACGGGGTCATTTCGGTCAATCAGCGCGTGGCTAATCCGGGTACAGCATGTCAAATAAGGATCTAGCATGTCACATAAGCCTTCCTCTGCAGGGGTCACGCGTCCTCCGAGGTGCTTATTCTCACGACAGGGACCAGATCCAAACCCGATCAGATGTTCGATAAGCATAAACCCTTCACCCCTGCCCGGAGGTATACGTCACGGCAGATTCCCAATGGCTAGTCATGTCCGTCATGCCCTTGCGTTTCAGGTCACATGCACAAGTGCTAATGTAAAGCGGCACTGAGCGGCAGCCCGGAATAGGCGACAAGGTAGTATACAGGCGTTGCTTCTTCGACATTGGTGGAGCTCCAGGATACACATCTGCATCCGTCTGTCGGTAGCCTGGCCCCTCAGCACCGCCTGGCTTTGTCCATGTTGCGACTGAAATGAGACGAGAGAGTGCTGCATGGAGACGCCCCACGACATGCTCCTGTCGGCAACGGTGAGCCTGATCCAGTAGGCAGTGCAGCGCCGTGTCACCGTCAATGCATGTGATGCTTCAGTTCTGGCTCGTGACTCGTCCCAGGACTTGGAAGCATGCCTCCTATTACGGCGGAAGCGTAGACCGTGTGTATATCAGCTCAGATGTGCGCCCACTGGTTCCCATGGTTTGTCCTCATCAGCATCGTCGCCACACTCTCGTTGTCTACTCTTCAGCGGCCTCGTCTGTCCTTTCTCTGGTCATCAATATGTTGAGCCATCATTACACTCGTTTTCTGGCTGGTGCCGCGGCTCTGCTACTCGGTTCTGCGAGCGCGGCACCTCATGCCCAGCCCTTTACCTCGTTTCTCACTCCGCGCGCTGCATGCGATGGCAACACTGCTAGTTCCCGATCGGAGTGGTGCGACCTTTCCATCGACACGGACTACACCAAAACCGTGCCGGATACCGGCGTGACGCGCACCTACTACTTTGACTTGGCAGAAGTCACTGTCGCCCCTGATGGAGTTGAGCGCTTCGCAATGGCTATCAATGGTAGCATTCCTGGCCCAGCCATTGTCGCCGACTGGGGTTAGTATACTGCAACAATGTTTCTATATCTGTCGACTCTCAGACTGACAAGCTTCCCCCCTTCAGGTGACACGGTAGTGGTCCACCTGACAAACTCGCTCTCGACATCGACGAACGGCACATCGCTCCACTTCCATGGCATCTGGCAGCGTAACACCAACCAGAACGACGGTGTTGCCTCCATCACGCAGTGCCCTACCCCTCCCGGGTCTTCCATAACGTATACATGGCGTGCTCTCCAGTATGGCTCAACCTGGTATCACTCTCACTTCGCGCTTCAGGCGTGGCAGGGTGTCTTTGGCCCCATTGTCATCAACGGGCCGGCAACGGCAAACTACGACGAGGACCTGGGTCACGTATTCTTGAACGACTGGGACCACTCCACCGTAGACGAGCTGTACCATCAGGCGGAAAGCCAAGGCCCACCAGTCCTCGACAATGGGCTGATCAATGGCATGAACGTCTTCGGCGAGGATGGCGATGAATCCCAGACCGGACAACGCTTCAGCGTATCTGTTGCCGAGGGATCTTCGTATCGGCTGAGACTCGTCAACGGCGCAGTCGATACGCACTTCCGATTCTCCATCGACAACCACACCATGCAGGTCATCGCTATGGATCTCGTGCCAATTGTTCCCTATGTCACTGATGGTATTAGTATCGGAATGGGTAAGTTGCTTTACGCCGCGCCTATCTCGCGTGTCCAGACTTCAGTGACGCGTTGCTGACCAAGTTTTGCTATCGGACAGGCCAACGCTATGACATTATTATCACCGCGAATCAGTCTTCTGTGGCTTCGGACTTCTGGATCCGCGCGATTCCACAGTCTGCTTGCTCAGAAAACGCTGCCGAGGACAACATTCGGGGAATCCTGCACTACGGCGATTCCACTGGCACTCCCACAACCACGGGATTCGCCTATGTCGATGCATGCGCCGATGAGGACACTACTGACCTGGTTCCTTACTTGCCCGCAACTGTGGGCGACGACGCAACCTGGAACCTCGGCGAGGGTGTCTCTGTCGGCTTGAACGCGGAAAACCTGTTCCGGTGGTACCTGAACAGCACCACCATGTTGGTCAGCTGGGACAACCCGACGCTGGAACGTATCGCGATCGATGGAGAGGCTGCCTCTGATTTCGCGGCCGACGACGCGCACAGCGAGGGCGACGGCGTCATCATGCTCGACGACGCCGACGCCTGGATCTACCTCGTCATCAGCACCACCATGTCTGTGCCGCATCCTATCCACCTGCACGGCCATGACTTCTTCATCCTCGCCCAGGGGTCCGGCACATACAGCTCCAGCACCGTCGCGCTCAACATGGCCAACCCCCCGCGCAGAGACACCGCGATGCTCCCTGCCAGCGGTCACCTCGTGCTCGCCTTCCAGACCGACAACCCGGGCGCGTGGCTCATGCACTGCCACATCGGGTGGCACACCAGCGAGGGGTTCGCGCTGCAGTTCATTGAGCGGTACAGCGAAATTAGCGCTCTCCTCGACAAAGACTCCCTGCAAGGCAACTGTGATGCATGGGGCAACCACGCTGCGACATCGCGCGTTGTGCAGGATGACTCTGGCGTCTAGACCTCGTGTCCTCCACCACAGCACGGTATCCCTCCGCTCCCTGATTTTAATCGCGAAACTATTTGGCCTAAGGAGTCGGACTTTCCCGCATTGTTGTTTTGTTTACGAGGCCGCCGACCAAAGTACGCATGCATCAGGAAAATCTTCGATGGCTATTTGGACAGCCATTATGAAGCGGCTTTTTGGAGTTAGTGGAAATGCTTTAGAGCAGAGTGTTTCGAGAACCAAGCCAACAGTTCGCTGCGTAGCCTTTGCGTAGATAATTGACAGACCGATTTCCTTGATTGCTTTTGGTACTATCATATATTTATCAAAAAGATCTGGTAATGGGTGCCAAAATGATTGATGAAGCAACTCAGGGAGATGTCCCTTATTGGGAAAGTGCTACTCTGTATTTGCTTTAGGTTGCTGTACACTTGGCCGGCAGTGTGGCTCTGGACGACAAATATCATAACGCGAGCTGGCCTGTCAATCACTATCCTATATAAAACTCAAACGTGTGAATGGCAAAAGACCTTCGAAGCGCGCTTACACACCGTTATCTGTGCGCAGTTAGCCGGGACATTTGAGTATTGCATTCTGTGCCCACACACGCCCAGTGCAGACCTGGCCTGGTCCATGTACATCAAGAGTGAACTTCATTTATATCATCTTTCCACTATGTCATCACCCTCCATGATGTAATTCTCTCAATAATCAATGTGTTAGCATTGATGACATCTCCGAGTCAGCCACCTGTTGGACCTCCTCAATGTTTTTGGGGTACATGGCCAGATCGTCCCCCTTCATTGTTGGACGCGTCACTTTGCACTCCTGATCCCGACCATCTCCAGACGTGGCGAGTACAGGAATCCCCGTGACTCTGGAGAGCTTCCAGTGCTTTGGATTCTCGGAGCTGCTGTCCACTGCGAAGCGCAGGAGCTGCAGCTTCTCGTCGGCCTGCCTGGCGATCTTGGTGCGCGAGCTCTCCCCCAGTCCTCGGCGGCGCAGATCACTCACCCAGTCGAGGATCTCGACGAAGCAAAAACTGACGAGGACAAGGACGGAAGAAAAGGCGATGATAATGACGACACCGACCATGCTGAAGTTTTGGATGTGCACTGCATCGTCGATAAGCTGGTTGTCGCACTGAGATTGTAGCGTGGCCACCATGTCGTGGGTAAAGTTGTAGCGGGTGATCATCTCGTTGACGTCGTCGAATGGAGAAAGAACTTTGAAGGCGTCCAGGTTGCTGCTCTTTCTCACGTACTCGTCGGTGGTAGCCTGGTAATCCGCCAACATGGTTTCGAACCAACCGGCAATCTCCTGGTGCCATTGATTCTCTGCAAGTCCTGAGGACTCTCGGTTGAAGCGAACCTTGGTATTTGCGAATAGAGCTGCAGTAGAGGAACAGGATCAGCGGTTGCTGCATTGTAAAAAGTTAAAAGCGCGAGGCAGAACGTAAGCTTGGATTCTTACCTGCAGTGTTCAAGCTCACTGGGCTGTCGATGATACGGACCGCATTGGGGGTAAAAGAAATTCGGGCGGCAGTTGCTCTCTGGGCAGTGTTGAAGCCCAAGATGCCATCTAGGCTGATGGCGTCCTTCCACAAGTCCTCCATGCTGCCCCATTCCGTGCACGTCTCGACGGCGGTCGACGGGCTGCACCAGCGGCGCTGTTCCGCACACACCATGGTGCTGACGAAAGAATTGCGCTTGTAAGAGTCTGTGCTCCTTTCATATCGTTCGGCAATGAAGAAGAGGTCTTTGACAGGTTGAGTGTACCTAACGCCGTTTTGGCTCAGGAAAATGACGCCCTGGTCCGCATCTGTTCTTGCTATGCCTTTCCTTGGGTGCCACATTATGGAGGCATTGGAATTGGCCCGGGCGTAACTTGCTCTATCGGAAATTCCCTGTGTCAGTAATGACGGTACCTAGACATTGATATGAAGGGCCGCAGCTCGCTTGGACTCACTTCATCTGATACCCTACGCTTGAGTTCCAATGTCCCAGAGGATATCTGAAGGTCGGTCCCTTGCTACTGAAATTGCCGACAGGCCCCAGATAATAATGGATGTATCCGGACTTGTTAGTCTGAAAATAGCCATCGTCGATGACGGAGCAAACCGCCTTATGTTGGAACGAAACACGGTCAGACGGCGGCGCATTGATGCCGAGGTCCGCATGGGAGTTGATCTTGGCAGAAGTGAGGCTGATTGTAGCATTAACGGTGTTGAGGCAGTATGTGGCGTTGGGCAGTCCGCATGGAACCTCTGTTTCAAACGTGTAGTCGAGCTTCGGGTTCATGAAGATCGATCGCTGCGGCCCATTGCGGGCAGAGTTCGTCCGCACCGAGAGGGCATAGGCCCGCGCATTAATTGTGTCGTTGGACCATTTGTCTGTAATGAGGTCGGTAAAGGTGATCCTGTCGACTCTCTCCCCGTCGCCCGAATCCGAATCGTCTCTTCTGGCAACCAGAAAGCCACAACGGCTGGGTTTGGCTCGCACAATGGCCCTATCAGTCGCCTGATTGGCAACTAGCGACGTCAGTAGAGAGGCAGCAAAGAAGCTTCCCCATACAAGCACCGCGGGGGCTGCAATAAGGGCTGTTCGCCGGATCCGTTTCCATCCCGGGGTGTGTCGCCAGGATGCCAGCAATGACAGGGCATCTACAGCGGCACGTATGCCACTAGGGGAATTGCGCAGTGAGACCTGCTGCTGCAGACCAAAGACGTCGGTGGCCGGTCCATCTCGGGCCAGATGCGCATGTAGTAGTAGCGAAACGATGTTCCAAGCAGATGCGCCTGCTATCGTGACTATTGTCGACAGGAAGGACGTAATGTAAAACCCGTGTTCGTTGGGTACAGTAATGACCCAACCCCCGCCACCTACTGATGAATGATCGTACCATAAAGTCCATCTTGAAGCGTCCGCCATTCTGGTGAGGTTGCGAACCAGCGCATATCAGTCGCGCAGCGTGGGACAGTTGAGGAAGCACAACTTGCGTTGATTTAGACCCGCTAGACGGTCCTCGGATTTTGTCTGCCCTCAGCTCAGGGTACGAGGTGGGAGGCCCTGCCAATTTCTTTGCCGCACCCGCGTCGCAGTGGCGGTGCCCCTGCAGAATCTAGGGGCACCAGACCCTCGTTCTACCATATATAACAGGAAAGTGTTTCGGTCCCGCTCAGAGACCATGGCAAACAGAGGCTCAGCCCGTGATGCGGGGGGTTGTAGACGGCCTGCAGCACCATTATTCACCCCCGGTCCCAGGAACTAGTGTGGCAGGTGGCCCCGTACAAGTCCAACTAGTGCCCTTTGTTTGCGAGCTGTCGTTAATCTCATCAAGTTCCTTCAGGGGCACCCCCTGCACTGCCAAGGTTGTTATGGCTGGCTTATCGGGCCCGAGGGGAAGAACCCAGCTTCGTCGAACGGAACGATCCCTCCGTTTCTTGCCGAGGCATTTCCAGAACGTTTGCCTCTAATGCCTTGATTGATGCATCACATGCTTATGGTCTACAATAATTATAGTCTATCGGTGACGCTATTATACTGAGCTCAACAGGCAACAGACACTCTCTCGCATTGCTTGGTGGGGGTGAATAACTGATCGGCCCCCACCGCATCGGTTGTTTCAAAACAAGGATCGTGCTGACTGCAGATGCACGTCAGCTTTGCAAGATAGTCTGTTCCCACCACAATTTCTCGGATTTATCTGCGTGCAGATGAGTGACTGGATCGGCTGCCTTGCAGCATAACACTTTGTGTGAACATGGCGCCGACATGTCTCCTAACGGGCTACAGTACCCATCCTAGGCACCATGTCGCAGGGGAACGTTCATTGCCCGCACATTTACTTCTTCGAGACGCATTCTCCAACCTATTCGCCCAAAAAACAGCTGAATTCTAGAGCCTTAGACGATGCGGTGGGCTCTCCTACTGCGGATGTCTCCCTCATCAACCTCGAGGGTGGTGCTAATTGCTCCCTGGCGACTACCCCAGCGTGGCAAGGACTAGATGTGGACGCAGAGTTTCGATCGTGACCGATCACACATAGAGTATACTACCAAACCTCTGAACATTTAGTCCGTAATACAAATCAAGATCGCATCCCGGGTCAATGTTTTCAATCAATCAATTGCCTTAGATTGCCCAAGAGAACCGAGAAACTAAGCATTAGAATTCGTCATCTCGTCAGTCATGATACAGCATTGTTCTTCCGTCCCAAACCTGCCCATCAGCGCTCTCCTAGCCATCCTAGTCTTTCCCGCCGCAACCAACAGTCACATTTCCCCACTCGGTCACAATCAACGAGATGGGCTTAGCTCCCTCTAACGCCTTCTTGCCCACAGCGACCGCAAACTTGTTCTTCAACCCCGGGATCTCGACCTGTGAAAAGACAGCCGTCTCGCCGCTCTTGAGCTTGCAGAAAATCGGCCCTGCCGCGGGCGAGACGCAGCTGTTGAATTCCGCGCCGCCGCGATCAGACCCGGTCTTACCGTCAGGCAGCTGGCCCACGACCGTGATCCCGCCCTCGAGCGTGACGAACGAGAGCTGGCCGTACGGCTTGAGGTTATTCCTCCCCTGCGTGACGACGTACATTTTTTGGTCTAGACCGACGTGCATGCCCACGTTGCCCTTGGACGGGTCGTTGGGCTTGCCGAACATGACAATGCGGCGGTCTTGGTTGCTCGAGTCCTTGACCACGCGGGTGATGAGGTTGAACTGGCCGCCCTGCTTGCCGGGCACGCTGACTTTGGGCTGAAACGTCGGAATGGTCGACTTCTGCACGCGCGTGGTCACAGTCTTGGTGACGGTCTTGGTTGTCGGCGCCGCGGTGAAGACATCCCTCTTGGTCAGCGCCCTGATGGTGTTCAGGCAGCTGCAGGCTGACTGGACGTTCCAGGATGGATATGCAGCAGCGTCGAGACAAGCTGGGGCAGGAGCAGGATTGGCGCGTGGCTCATTCAACATCTGATCCAGGCGAGGAGCGAGAGTCGGCGCCGGGAGTTGTGGCGGGTTGGTAGGAGCCACAGCCTCTGGGGTCTGCTCGGCTGGGAGATCGTCTTCGCCAACGATCTGACGGCCGCCACCGCCAACAAAGCAGACGCCCTTGGTGGCATACGCGGTAACAGTCGTTGTGATCACGGGGGTCGTGGTTGTCGTGTAGTCATAGGTGGCCGCCAGATCTCGCCGGCCTAGGAGACGGCTGCAGAAGCTAAGGGCGTTGGTAACAGACTTGGAGAAGCAGCTGTTGACGTCGTCACGGTACTTGGCCAGCACTGACGCTGGAGCCTCGTTGTTGTGGCACGGTGTCGGGGCTGGTGCCTGCGTTGTAAGCAGGAAGCACTTGACGTCGAAAGCAGATATCCCTGGGTTGTAGCTCTCTGTGGCCACGTAGGCCTTGCAAGCCGTGCTATAAGAATTGCAGGGGCCGTCACAGAGGGTTTGAATGTCGGTGTACGATTGCGAGGGATATGTCACGGTCGTGTAGTATGACGCCGGTGGGCAAATGGGAGATGCCCCAACGGTCGAAGTCCAGACGGGGTTGTTGTAGTAGGTAGTTGCTGGCGTGGCACAGATGTTGGTGGTGATGAGGTTCGGCATAGTGACCGGGCGATTGAAGCTGGTAATCGATTTTGAGGAAATGCAAACCAGTACTGGAGAAAGGCACGAAAGATATTGGCTCGGATGTTTTGGCCTGGCCATCATAGCCCAGTCGAGGTTGACAGACCAGGGCCTCTATATATCTCTCACGTGGCGAGTAACATACCGTTTCGCAGCATGGTTAAGAGCATCGAAACTCAATTTTGAAGTGAGAACGAGCACTTCGCCACGTGCGTAGCCACGCTGAAGATTTCTACCGGGGACTTTGCCAACGCCCGAGGCGATAGCTGAACGAGCGACCACGTTCCGAGAAAGCTTGATGCACCTGCCAAGCAGATCTGGATTGCCATCGGCTAGACAATATCAGCGAAACCGCATGGTAGACTCCGCTGTCCAGGTCCAGCTGCTATCCCCCCTTCGGGTTGTTCGCGTGGGTTTGTCCCCGCAGTGTCTCACCGTCTCGGGCTCGGCCCATCTGGCCGTCCTTTCCGCTCCACTCGAAAAGCATGCTGCATCCGACGATTAAGGTTGTGTCAAATTCAAGGTTGGCATGCCAATATGGTTAGGCGGGCAAGCATGCACTAAAGTTGCCGCGGCCCGCGTGCGCACATGGAAATGGAGATTCTGGCCGAGTCTATTCTTCTCATTTGAGTGTGGGTTTAGCCCGCCGAACCATGATACTCCAAGCCTCCGGAAAGTCCTTCCCGATGAAACCAAGCCCGTAATACTCGTTCCATTGACCTTGGGCTATCCGCTTGTGTGGCTGAGGGTGCCAAAAGCTGACAGCTCAGTTGCCCATTCCGCTAGAACTCACCGTATGGTTCCTACAAGCGCCTGGCTCTAAGCGGCGAATCTCATTCACATGAAGGCTAAAGGAGGTGGCGATTTATGGTGAAAGGCGTGCTTCTAACGTTCTGTGTAGACCGCGACTGACGACAGTGAAGTATGCGCTGGCGCCAAAGGACCATTTCACGCCGCCGAGCTAGTGAACGCCCTCAAAACATCACACCATTGGTGCTTTGCGTGGGCGACTCTTGCGTCTGGGTGATCTCGCTCACTGACACACGTGCTTCCTAACCGGCCGGGTATCATTGTTGGCGTGGCGTCCACCGCAGTCGCACATCGCGGGGCTTATTCATGGCTAGTGTGAATAATATCCCGCTATCCTGCGCCACATCCAGGAGTCTCTGCCTTGCGGCACAGAGGCTCTCTTCTCTGGTCTTCTCGTCTGAGCCCGCCGGATCGGAACCGATGTCGGGTTCGACACGGCATCTGCCGAACAAAGTTGCGATTACGGCGACGAACTCCACTTGCGACATCTTCTGCCCCGGGCACTTTCTCGGGCCCGAAGACCAGCCCAAGAAGCTCCCTGGAGTGACTCCACCCGCTCCGGACGAGCTTATGAGGGTCTCTGGAGCTGCATCTTCTGCTTCTACCGTTTCGGCACTCTCCCTTGTGCCAGTGGCTGGCTTGACCCACCGCGCCGGGTTGAAGTCCATCGCATCCTCCTCACCCCATGTAGCGCGCGAGGTGTGGAGCGCCACGGTATTGACATAGACTGCGCAAGGAGCCGGGATTGACAGTGTCGGCAGCTTCGTGCTCTCCGTTGCTGATGTCGGCGAGCAAGGTATCGTCTGCGGCACCGTAGTCGAGCGCATGAGCATTGTGACGACAGGGAAGATGCGAAGGGTCTCGAGCTAACCAGAAAAGAAATATCAACGTTAGGGGTAACCCGCGAGAGAACTGAATTTATGTGCTTGGACTTACCATGATGGCCTGGCACCGAACCAGGCGCGGGAAAGCCCCCGCATAATCTGGGCGACTGCCACTGCTACCCTTCTCGCTACGCCTCCCGTTGTACAGGACGGAGTCGATTTCTGCTTGGATCCACGTCTGCCACTGGGGGTACGCGGCAAGCAAGGTCACAGCATAGCCCAGTGTATTTGAGGTGGTGTCGAAACCAGCCGCCGTGAAGATGAACAGGTTGCCGGCGATTTCGTCCTCGGTCAGATACTGCGATCTGTCTCCGACCTTGTTGTTGATCGTGGTCGCTGATTCACCATCGTCTTGTTCTTTGGCCTCGTCAGACAGTCGAAGTAGTGTCCTCATAATTGTGTGTGGCCCTGAGGTCGATTCCGTGCTCGCATTATCGCTCCGCAACTTCGTGGACTTGCTGGACAGCCGCTCTTGCTCCAGCATGTCATTCGTCAGTTTCGGCAGGCGGGCCAGGGCAACACCCAGCCTCCTGACGTATCGTGGCATAATCGGCAGCCGCAAAATGGCAGCCGGCACGAACGCGGCAACGAGGAGCATCTCACTGGACAAAGCAATGGCCTCGACATATGACATGTCTGCATATGGTGCTGGCGTGGATTCGGACTCGCGTGGCAGCACGTAGGGCGCGGGCCTTCCGTACCCGACACGCTTGAGGACGTTAATGGCGATTTCTCGAAGTCCTGGCACCGTATCGGTCGATGCGGCTGATCCGCCAGGGGAAGAATATGAGGTTGTAGGGGCGAGGAGGGAGTCGACTAGCCCCTCGGCCTGCTCCATGCTCTCCGCCCAAACGCCGGCGCTGATTCGCTCATTCAGTGCCGGCGCGATAATTCGGCGCTGCCGGGACCAATCCTCGTCTGCGGCCTGAGCCAAGATATGGCGTTAACGCTGGACCACTCGTGCAAGAGTCAAGACTCACTCACAGTGATGAGGTTATGGCCGAGCAGTCCCATGACCTGGGTCGTCACTTTCGGGTGGACAAAGTCGCGTCGGCGTTGCATAATGGCGGTCGCCATTACCGGATCCGCCGTCACGAGTCGGTTAAGAGCCGTTGTGACGATGACGAAAGCGGGCCCGAGGCGCTCGTGGGCTGCCCCCTTATCGTGCCACTCCCAGCCCCATAGTGTCAAGTCAAACGCCTGACGGGCGCGAGGGGGGAGCAGCCTACGGAGGAGAGGCTTCAGAGGCTCTGAAAGTACCCCAAAGAGAAACTAGGAGTGCAGCATTTTATGATCAGTCTTCAAGCGCATCTCGACACTGCAGAGACCGGAACTCCAACTTACACCGTCGGGATCATATGGGACGACAACCATGGGAAGGCCCATCAGTCGCGCGGCCTGGTAGTTGCGATGAAGAGCCCGCAGCTCTACGACTGCCCAAAGCAGCGAAAGCCCGCCGAAAACGGCAAGTAAGAGCCCCATTGTCCCTAGTCCCTTTATTCTCGATGCTGAGAAGAGGGGAATGAGACATTTCTATGTATCGGGGAGGTCTTCTGATATATACTGGCGAGATGCGGGAGAAAGCGTCCTGCATACTTTCTATAGCACTCGCACTGGACCATACATTCGGAGAGGCACACCGGATGTTAGCCTGAGCAATCAATCGTACCAGCCGGAAGCCAAAACTGCCGTCTCCACCCATGGACATGGAGAAAAGTCGAGTGTGGGTACTCGGAACCCGACAGCTCCGGGTCGCCGAAAGCGTCAAGAGATGAATGCTACGCCGTTGCGCTCTGTTTGTGCTTGACCAGAATACAGACCTACATGCTGTATCAGACGCCCGGCGTCTGTTATTCCATGGCAATGATTCGATCTGCTGGTAATGTAGCTCTTGCTGCATGCAATATTGGACCCGATGCGCCTGTGGATTTAGCTTGTGAGACCCCCGTTGTGAGATGTTCGTTATATTTTTGGGTCAACGACCCTCCTAGGACGTTCGGCTTCAGACAACGGATACGTACTTTTCCAGGACGTGGTACTGCTCTGCAGATCCACATTGGGGCATCGAAGGCATACTTCTACCCATGTTGGTCGAAAGGATCCCAGACCACTGTCCTGCAATTGCACGCTCATATAGAGTGACAATGACGTTTTCACAGCCAGAAGAAACCATTACGACGTGAAACGCAGAGGTTCCTATTCATCAATATTGGGTTGCGGTAGTCCACTCTGGACGGAATCAGTCATGTGGGCAGAACGAATTGCCCTGCAATCAGTGGGTCCTGGCGCCACGTGGTTGTCCGTTCAAACCAGCGACCAACATGTGTCCAGTGGTTCGGCCCGTGAAAGAGAACAATCCTATTTGCTTGAAGTGGCTTATTCCATCCGATGAGTGGATATTCCTTTGGGGCTCAGGAAAACATTCGGACCAAGCACAAACTGATGGATTTTATACAGAAGAGGAAGACAAGGAAGCCTCAATTGCCGAAAATTTCGAATTGATTGAGACTTGCACATCCACTGCATTTAGCTATTATGCCAAATTAAGATGAAGGGCGATATGACGCCTTCGCCGATATGGTGGCGTATGTGGACGAGAGCAAGGCTTGTACACAAGCGATGTTGTTGCGCACTAGATGGGGTACTATTGCAGACTACAGCTACGGAAGCCACAGCAGGCCATTTCGGCGATGAGTCACAGAGGAACAGGGACCCCTGGAACGCCACCGGCGGCGATTCTATTGCACACGGGTGACCCTCGTTCGCGGACTGGCTACTGAGATGATTTCGAGTCAGTGCGTTGCGGGTATTGGCCCCGCCTAGAGCCAACAATGTTCAGAGTCCTCGGACCCCTATCTGGAATTGCAAAATTCCTTAGTACGATCCTCATTCTCAAATTCGGGGCGCAATGAGAACGATTAAGAGCACACCATTAACCTGTTGAGGCAGAAACTGGACCAGCCCTTTCCTACGCTTCCCATCAGCACCAGTCCGCTTTCCTCGCTGGTTACTGGCGTTTTTCCCTCTTCGCACCATAGTCTGCTCACAAGTCCGATTCGCCAGCGCCTCGTGTCAATATCCGAACAGTGAGCGTCAAGACGGGGTCGTCCAAATCATCTCACAACATGGAAGACATTGTCAAGGTAACAAGACGAGCCTGCCACCTGATAGGCGCACACGATAGGGAAGAATGCTGCCCATGGAGCATCGAGTCATGTCGGAAAGCCATGCGCGGCGAAGCCGTCCCCCAGGAGCTCGAATGCGACGTCACTCGTCTCTGTATCATCAGTGGCATCAGGCATCATCGCAACTATGCGCACGAGCTCCGAGCAACTGGAGACGCTCTGTTCGCCCGAGCCCTAAATGCTCGCCAAATCATGAGCGGCATTACTCCAGTAGACATGTCCGATCCGGACCATCTCCCATACTGCATCTGGTACCCCGAAGTGGCCTCCGAATCTGCCTGTCGCGAGCTTGCTCAAGCCTTTCCGCAACTCAAGTATAACATTGGTCGGGCTTGCGCGGTGGCTGGCTACCACCAGCTTTTAGCGGAGCTGGATCTCTTACCTGATATCTCCATTGCCGAGGAGGCCAGAGACAACATCACTCGCAACCCAGGTTGCAAGCACATCTTCGACCACATCATTAATCAGCGCCGGCGGTGGCTTGTTATGGACGACTATACGAGGACAGTGAGGAAAGTCCCTCTGCTAGCAGCATACGGCCTGAATGGCGACACAGCTGTCAGATCGTCGCTCGAGCGGCGCCGCGGACTCACAGACCCTTCTGATCTCGATGCGGGAACCTACAACGAGTTGGACGACGATTTGTTTGCAATCTACTTCAATTTAACCGAAGACTTTGGCATTGGCGAAAGAAGCTCCGACGAATACGATACCTATGCACAAAACAGAGACATGAACGAGTTGCTCTGGATGCCTCTGCCGGAAGATCTGCCTCCGGGGAACAAGGATGTCTTGACATTGATGGCAGCATGGTACGGTGATGTGGATCGCTACGCTCGCTTGCGCCGGCCGCACAACTTTCGCCTGGACCGAGAGGACAGTATGATTGTTCGTGGAATCCATCACAACATCATGTTTGCGAAATGGTGGACCACGAGACCAGCTTCTGAACGCCTCAACTTCGAGAAATCTATCACCGCGCGATACATCATGAGCGACGACTTGTCTCGAGTGCCCCTCATGCCACATGACGGTCCCGAAGATGTTTTCCCCAAGGATTTGCCATACAACATCTGGTTCCCACAACAAGCAATGATGTCGACATATCAGGAGCTTCTGCGACGACAGCCTGGCATGAAACCAGCTGTCGCCAGGGCGTTCATTGTCATGAATAGACAAGATCAGTTGATCGAACTTGATTACCAGCCCGACGCGGGCCTCCTAGAAGAAGGGAGGAATTCCCCGAATCCCTTCTACGTCTTGCATTTACTGGAGAAGAGCAGGCTGCTCGGGCTTCATCCGTACGACCTCCCTCACCCAATAGGAATCGATAGTTTCGCTCGCAACCTCTACGGTTTGCTGCATCCGAAAAGCTTCGCAAGAAACCAACTTGTTCCATTCCCAAGAGTTGACCATCTCGATTGGCTCGAACAGCCCATCACAGGACGTTACAACGGCTATGAAGCAGACGCGTCACGAGTTGAGCTGTTCGCTTGTGCACCTGAAGCACTGCGCCCACCGCCTTGCGTTGAGTGCCTGGACATGTTCCGGCTCTATGATACGGCGAGCAAGGCTAAGGAACCAGGGAAGCCGCTGGCAAGTTATTTGAGTGGTAATATGTACCAACTCCATCAATTACCCAGACAGAAGCCGGATTGGGATGAAAGCTTCGGCCGCCTTGTAGAGCTTCCGCCTGGCGTCAGGAAGCAATCCTGAAAGTCCACAGTGGCCGTACCTCGCGGCTCTGCGACTCTTGTTTTGGGTATGTGTGTTTCCTGCAGGGGGTTGACACGCTGCTTGCGAGTTGCCCTATCCACAACACTGGGTTGAAGATGACAGATGTTGCGCCTGGTCTTGCCGGAGGGACTATATGTAAGCAGAGCATCTATTTGTGCCAAGCGCCTCTTGAGACGGATTCGCTGAGCTAGGTCAGCTATGCCGGTTACCTGGGCAGCTTTGGAAGAGCTCGTCCTTTCTTGATAGGGAGTGCTGAACACAGCCACATTGCAAACCCTCTCAATCACACAAGCACGCAGTCGACTCGTGGTCCGTTGGGAGGTTTGGGGCTTATTGTGAAGCTAGAATTCCGGTTGCGTTCTCACACAGAAGACTACGAGACGGCTTTCCGCGTCGGGGTCATGGCATTTGCCCATGTTCTGTTACACGTGGCTATCATACCTTTATAAATAGTTCACCTGGATCTATGTCCACGCCATCAGTATCTTGTAAAACGCAAGTTTGCGCATTGTCCCAGAATTCATCATCATCGTAGTTTTGGATGAAGAATTCCAGTGAAGGTGCCTGTTTCCAAGGCGTCACGCGCCATGTCCATCGCCAGCCTTCCATATACGAATGGGCTCCCTCTAAGCGGGCAAGAACATGTTCTCCAGCTATGGTCTCATCCTGTAGCCAGATTCAGATCTGTTGATCGCCTTTGAAAGAACTCATGATAGAAGCACTATCCGCATTGCGGGTAGACCAATAGCCTTGATGGCCGAGCTCACATGGCGGGTAGGCCAAGAAACGAGTATAGCGCAACCTGAGTCGAGGATTCGGCGCAAGGTCAAGCTCCCGTCGTTGATCAGATGTGATGTAATCCGCTGGTCGAAGGCATATCGTCTCCATCTCTGGCTCGAGGTCCCGAGGAACTTCGCTGACGGGGACCGAACCGCCAAACAAGGAGACTCCCTCCCGGATTCCGAAGGTATTAACCGGCTTCCGATTTGCGACAGTCTTTCCCATAAGAATCGGGAAGGCAAGTGGAAACCGACCCTGGCCGACGATACCACAGTTGAGCACGCCGTACGCTAAATTCTGAAAATTGGGGTCCTTTGCAACGTCGAGCGAGATTTGCAAGCCTCGTTGAGTCATGAAGAAGCGGTTGAACCTATACTCTTCATCATTTGTGTCAAGTGGGCACAGGAGGTCACCACCCAAAAAGTCCCGCGGCTGCTCTGCGAACAGGGGCGAATCAATGCATTGACCCCAGAGCTTTCCCCGGCCCAATGCGTAGTTCGTGGCGCCCCAGGCAAGGATCGTCGCATCGTCGTTGACCTTGATGATTTCTTCCTGTAGTCTCCGAAAGGCACCGCGTCCCTCTCCGTAGAGCATCGGCATATGGATGCCAAAAATGCCCAGCATACAGTAGGCCATGTCTTCTTCTCGGGTGGTCTGTCGATTTGCCGCCCATGACATTCTCTCTGCAACACTCGCCCACGATGGCGGGAACAGGTGGCAGAGGAATTCTGTCCTGACGCCTGTGAGATGAAATATCTCACGTAGGAGTCCATGTTTCCAACCAATGCGCTTCCAATCCTTGTCGAAGAAAAGGACTTTGCGTGGTGCAATCAACTCCTGCAGCGTCCAACCCCGGGAGAACCAGCGCAGGTTCTTCGTAAGCACGGCAGATCCTCGTGTCTCATCAAAAGTGCAATCGGCCAGGTAGACGTAGCAGACCTCCGAGGCTTCATACCACCGAAACATTGAGTTGATAGCTTCTTGGAGCTCTGCACTGCTCTTCTTGTCTATGCAACAAGTGTCGACCCAGATGTGGCTGTAGCCATCACTATCTGCCTGTCGAGCACAAGCCTTGATCTTCGACCAGCCTGCTTTTGACTGCCAAGACTTGTCGACCCCGGTGAGCTCCTGGAAATTGACTTCATCCGCCTCCCAGGTGTGTGAGAGAATTGCATATGGAGGGATCTCACTCGGGACGAACTCGACGGGCTCGAGTGTCTTAACTTCGAGCAGGCGCATAATGTTGCGAGGGTATGGACCGGACTATTCTGTGACGAGCGTGCTGTTCCTAGATTTGTAAGAGTAGGAGAAAGGGAAATAGAGCGCATGGTACCAACAGGAAGCTCTCTCTATCTATAGGCAGGGTGTGGCGTGCCAAGAATCAGCTTCACAAGAGGGGTCGGGCCGCATATGCAGGAGCAGGGGGGTTGTTGGTTGAAGCGCGCGCGGAAATACGTGCCCTGGGCTAATGTCAGCCCCGGCCTTTCGGCCTGCGCCATCGCTGGTGAGCCTCAAAAAGCCCCGGCTCTGGAACTTTAACAATGTCAAGAAAGCCGTGCGCGACTTCCAGTCGGAACCTGGAAGCGATTCCTACTTGAACCTATATAATCATTCCTCTTCAACATCAACAGACCTCGATCTGTATTAGCTTGCCCAACCGCTCGCCTCATCCACTGCAGAGCTCGAGCTCGGCGAACCGCCTTCGCAGCCTCAAAAGTTCTAGCTTGACCACCATCCCCTCGAGATCATCGACCAGACCAGAAGCGCCAACATGTACGAGGTCTCCCAAGTGCTCACGCTCGCTGCGTACCCGGGTCCAGGACCATCAAGAAGCTCGCAAGCCTCTCGTCTCCAGGTTCAAGTGCGGCGTCTCCAACAGCCTTGCACAATGTCCTGCGGCCTGGTGGTTGACATCCCCAGGACCACAACGGATGGTCTGCCACAACGTACGCCATCATTGCCTTCCACTGCATTCCTCAAGCTCTTTGACCGTCGGCACGCCCCACGGTTCCGCGACGACTTCTGCGTGCAACCCTACGCACAAGGCATGGAGGAGGCTTGTGTCAAATTCGTTCAATCAGGCGAAGCCGACAGATTCTTGTCACGGCTCAAGACCGACTCGGACCTGGCTGAGAAGGAAGGAGGAGACTGGGACGATGCAGAATGCGAAGCGTACCTGGCCAGCGAGGCCATGCAGCTGCGCAACACCGAGATGGCCATCTATGACGTTCTGAAGCCACTCCAAGGAAAACAGATCCCGCGTGTCTTGTCTGGGGTCACACTGGACATTGATCCGAGATCGCACGCAAACGTCACCGCCTCGAATGGTGCAGGGGCTGTGGCGGTTGCAGCATCCCATCCTACGCCGAGCTCTGCGGAACCAAACTACGTGTTCCACGTCCACGGCTTGCTCCTAGAATACCTCGAAGGCTTCACCATGGCTGAATTGGTTAAACACGCCCCACAATCTGCGTGGCAGAACGTTGTGGATCAGGCCGTCGAGATCGTGAGAAAACTCGATGAATATAACATTCTCAACGAAGATGTACGGCCGGAAAACTTCATGGTGGTCAAAACCAGCCAGGAACAAGGTGGCACCAAGCACCACGATTGCACATCCTGCGCCGCATCGGGCTATCATGTCTACATGATTGATCTGGCCATGTGTCGGAAGCGTGGAGAGGATGAGTCCGACTCCGAGTGGGGAAGGGACAAGTGCGACCAAGACGAGGAGGGAGCGGTTGGATATGTCATGAGGACCATATTGGCCAGAGAGAAATTCATGTTGGACTTCGTAAATTCTAGGCAGTACAGGGGGTTCGCCAAATACGAAACATAGGTTCTTGGAGGGCTTATACCTTCCATTTTCAATATTTCTCTTGGGTTTTCTTTTTTTTCTTTTTCTTTTTTCTTTTTTTTTTTTGGATTTGAGATATCCGCGTACTTTGGTTTAAGGAAGCGAATTCTAGTAAGCTTATACTAAAGCCATAGCAGCGTGAGACTTGCCACACGGAGAGGTGATTTTCTCTGCCGGCGTCAGAGCTCGGCCAGGTTGATGATATGCTAAGCTTGAGGCTCTTCGAACATGCATTCTTTAGGTAGATCGAAGCGGCAGCGACAGCCGAGGTATTAGCCCTCAGTAGCCGGGACTATACTGAACCCTCGAATTACAGACAATGCACCTGATAAACACCAGTTTATCGGGCTACAAGCGGCGGCCAGCTCGGGCTTCAGTCTAGCTTATTCTGCTAACAAGGAAGGCCAGGCGGACAAGGCGGGGGCATGCACCTCGTATACGGGAAACAGCTTTAATGGTGTCAAGTAGATTGATCGACCAGTATATGAATTCGATACTTGTTCACTTGTATTGGATAAGAGACTCGGCTGTTCGAATAATAGCTAGGTTATGGGGGGGAAAGGCCTGTTGCGACCTCACATATGCTTATTGCATTGATACCATCATGGTCTCTTGGCAGTCCCTTTGAAATGGAAGTCGCAAGCTAATCTGCATTGCACGTAAACCCTAATGCAGTTAGCGGCTTCTACGGCCCTGCTTAGCCCTGCTTAGCCCCTGCTTAGTAACTATGCTGAAATGCCGATATCGTAACACCATCGAACCTGGTAGGCCGTGAAGTCCCTTCGGTCGTTGGGCGGTTGTTCTTCTCATGATCAGAAGTAACCTCACTTTGCCCCAGCATACCACCTGTAGGCTGGCACGGGCTTCCCTTCGGCGGGCCAGAGCCCGAGGCCATAACAGTACGAGGAGAGTAGAAACGCGCGCGCGACGCTGTGGCGTCTGCGGTGAGACCGGCTCTAATACTCGTACGTGTTAGAAAGTTGAGTCTGCCTCTTCTAAAGAGAATTCTGAATAGTTTTAATTGATTTGAGGCGTTGTGATTGAATTGACTTGTACGTTGTCGTATGAGTGCCTCGAAAGTGGACGGGTCACTTGTGGATTACGTTATATATATGACTCCTAGTACGGTACTCCGATCCTTACCGGTTATCGTAATTATATAAGGAGACCTAGGGGTATGTGCCCCCGCGTGCATGACCTGCCCGAGGCTTGGCGTGATACTGCGACCTGTTAGCTGGGTCCTTACAGGTGGTCATCACGTTGTCACCCGTCCGCATTTTTGATGGGGGAACGAGGGCTTCTCGAAGTTGGACTTCGCAAAGCAGAGGGACTTATCTGTAGCTCATATGGTGCTTGAACCTCACACGCATAGTCACTTAGGTCGATGATGCTAGTTTGCGAGGATAGCTCCGACGACCGGACGCGGGTCGGCGAGCAGATCCATTGAGCATGTGTGGTGCCCGCTGCATATGCGCACCCTTGACCTTGTGCGCGCTCGCAGGTAGCTGTCCACGGCAGGCATGTTCAGCCTCTTCACAATCCTTATGTATGGCCCCACCTGCGAGTATCCCGTTCCTAACCAGCTGCGCACTGTACCATAGTAGATCCTAGCTCCGTCCGTGCTAACGTGATACGAGGCTATCCCTGAACTCAGCTGTACTGCCCCTGGCGCACTGCAGAGCGTTGCTGATGCGCTGCTGACTCCCTGGTCCCTGCTCCCTGGTCCCTGCTCCCTGGCTCCCTTCTGCTTGGGTATATGGGCAGTGCTGAGGTGGGGTGGCTCAGTAGCTCAGCCTTAACTAGGGCTCTGCCCCAAACACCGTTGTGGCCCGCACTACCAAACGCCCGACAGTATCTTATCTCTAGGCCGATCTAGGATCATTAGCCCTGCCTTCAGTCTTTGGATCGTTCATATCTTTGCGTGACATGATCCGACGCTGGTGCCCACCCCAGTCCGTTACCCAGCCATGCAGCCCTGTCTTGCGGCCCTGTCATCCGGTCGTGGCGGTTTTTTCCTGGTTCTCAAACAGCGTGCTGCTAGCTTGTTGTCCCACCTTGTGTTGGGCCTCGGTAACATCGCTTGCCCTTCGTCAGAACACATCTCGCTCACCCCGCTGTTCGCAATCGCGATGCGGGCGAACGAACAGACTAAATTGCGAAGGCAGAAGTGCTTGAAGGCCAGAACCAGGCGGCTTGAAGGTCGTACATGAGGTCCCGTATGAGAGATGGCCAGAAAGCATCAAAGAAAGTCAACACAGACCGATGCACTGAGGCGGCATGAAGGAACTGGTCAGCGCCAAGGAGCGAGCCTTTTAGCCGAAGGCAAGGGTGTTATGGAATGTGCTGGCGTAATTTCCCGCAAGTCTGCCCTATGGCTGCGCCGTTGACAATCCCTGCAAGCATCCTGTCGTTGTAATGTGCCATGTGGATAAGTCTGTTGCACCTTCCCTTCATACTAACAACCGCCCCAGAAGCTAATAGAAGACGACTCGGGCGCGTGTCCATGAACCGCAGCTTTCTAGTTTCTCTTATTACTTCGCTCACCTTCTACCTCCGCTCAGCTTGCTTTCTTCCAACTTACATTGGCATCTGTCTTACTGCTACCGGGCTGGGTAGAGCACTCTTTATTCTTTCTCTCTCTCTCTGTTGCCCTGAAGCTTTCGTTGCTTCCTCCTCCGCTCCTTTTTGCAGCTGTACAGAAATCCATCATTTGAATCCGTCTCTACGATACCGTTGATTTCGCGGCCCCGAACCAGGTCCACACACACCAAACTCGGCGCACACAATTCCATTCCAGGCCCCCAAAATCATGGTTGTCTCAAAGCACTCCGCAGAGCGAGAGGCTGGGAGAGAGCACATTCCTCAGTATCCCAAGGGTTTTGTCGCCTTGCGCATCATCCAGCTGATATTCAGCCTCATCTGTATGAGCCTGTCGGCTTTCGCCCTGTCCCTGGCGACCAGTTCAACCCCTATGATCATGATCTTTGTCGTACGTGCCGACCTGAGCCCTCTTCACTAGACGCATACTGATCTCTAGTTACACGAATAGAGCATTTTTACGCTGATTACAACCACTTACAACATCGTCGCTTGTAATATACACCCGAAGCTTTACAATTACTGGGCTGTCCTAACCTTTGAGATCTTTCTCTTCCTCGCCTGGCTCGTTGCCTTTGCCTTGATGGGCAGCTCCGGTGCGGTCCTCATCGCCAGTTGGCAGGCGTACGGAAATAGCTTGACTTCGGAGTCCGCCGATCTCATCGCTGTCCTAGGCTCCGTCATGGCCGCTGCCGGCGCTATTGGCGCCATGAACTGGATCTTATTTTTCGTCAGTCTAGTCATGAACTCGGTCCTCATCAGCCGCCACCGCTCTGCCGGTCTTCACAGCAAGCGCGTCGCCGCGGGCGGCCAACGTGATGGAGGGAAGGTCCTCATGCAGTCTGAGCAGTCTTATCAAATGTATCCTCAGCCCTCGGGCTACTCAAAGGTCGAACCCGAGCACAACGCCGGCCCCGAGCAAGATGTTTACTCCCCACATATCATGTCACCCCATCAGCGACAGCAAACTTACTACTCAGTCTCCTCGGTGGACAATATGAACCGACAAGGATTCCCAGCCTTGGTGCACGCACAGAGCACGGGTGGCTCGTACCAGAGCAGCGTGCACGCACAGAGCACCGGTGACTCGTACCCGAGCAGCGCGTGGGTCCAGTCGACACCCGTTCCAATCTATGAGGCGGACAGTCAGTCGTGTAAGCCGGCGGCGCCAATGGAACTAGCATAGATGCGGTTCCGAATGTACGGCAATGCTCGAAGGGCCCCTTGGCTAGTTCTTTAGCAGTCTGAAAGAACCACAAACAAAATGACTGCCACAATTGAGATGGCTATAAACCAGGGTCAAAAGCGCCAGAGTGGTTATGCATAATTGTTCAGACTGTAGTGCACGACTCTTAATGGGACCTCTCTAAACCATCGAGGACGGCAAGACAACAATTCCAGCGTTCCACGAGCCCTGCATCGCAGGCTCTCGACGTGGAAGGCTTAGCAGAGGAAGGAGCGGACTCTCTTTCCCGTTCATATCGTCCAGAGCCATTCCACTAACTACCCACCTGTCTCCTACCTCTGCTCCTCGCCCAGGATGATTGAAAACCGACCTTGCATCAGCACATCATCGAAACTGCAGCATCACAGGGCACAAGAGACATACCATTTTTGGGGACGAAAATGACGATGGCCGTCATGGGAGGTGTGGCTCTGCCGATTCCAGCTCCACGCGAGTGTGAGTGGGGCTAATGTTCCGTGTGCACCGCTGTCCAAGTCCGAGGGAGCTCAGCCCTACGGGAGGGCATCATCGATATCGGTCTAGCCCAATCGGGGGTCATCCTGTACTCCCTGCTAAGCATTTGAGACTCGGCCGCAGCATGTGGACAGACTTGACCCCGATCGGCATGGAGCGCAGGCTGCCGCAAGATGGCCTGTAGGACTGTGTGACTTGAGAACGAATTATGGTCCACCAATGGTCATGCAATACTGAAGGGCATCTTCGATCATAGCTGGAGAGCAAATTCATCGCCATGGTCCCATGCCTGACGTGAGTAGGAACAAGCTGGATATAAAGGTCACTTCCTGTGGTTTTACGTGTTTGGCAGTCTATTGAGTCGAGAAATCGGAAGAGATTCCAGGGAACCAACAAAGGAGAGAGACATATCGGACGGCCGCTTCCCCAGCCACCATACGGTTATGACCCAAGCATGTAATGTAGTCTAGAGCGGGTCAGCAGTATGCAACGATCTGCACACACGCCTGCCAGCCGTCCTTCAGCCACTCGAACCAAGTGGGGTATGTCTGTTTTCGGCCCCTCAATTGAGGAGGCAGTCAAGCAGATGCAGTGGCCCATGACCAGTCTTCTAAGCCACACCATCCGTGCCACAACCGAGACAGAGGATACCGTCAAGATCTTGAGCAATGGACAATATCTAAGCCGTAGTGTAAAGAAGTCGCGTCGAGCACAATCAGGGTCTTACCGCGGTAGATTAAACGGGTGGCTATGGTGGACAGTGCCTGACATCGCAGGAGGAGGGTGAAGCATAGAAGTGTCGGACACGGTCACAGTACCGCAGCGCCAATTACATAAACCTACCGAATATCGGGCTCAGCACAAACGGAATACCCCTCACGCACTAATCTCGTCATACAATTCCTTATAATAAGACGCTAGGGCTAACCATAAGGCTCAAGGGCGGAAACTACAAGGAACCCTCACCAGATGTCAAGACGTGTTCACCAGGCTATAACACATCCGAAGTATCGCTACCAGTTCTACTTGACATTATCGCGGTATAATAGCCGGACCTTTATCCTCCGTACTAGGCCCTACAGCCGTCAAGTATAGCCTGGAAGACGCCCTTACCGGGTTTCAGGCTACACTGAGCGAAGCCCGACGCCAAGAGCTCCACGAACTATACTTGTCGACGCTGGTGCCTCGACCTCTGTTTACGAGGAAGACGGATAGACTTCGTTTCACATGGTCTCACAAACGGCCATGTTGACGCGATTCGAGTACTCATCGACGATGCCGATACTGCAATCGACTCTGTCCAGCATCAGCGCGGAGCTCGTGGCTAGCCTGGAAGGCCAAGTTCATAGCTTTAGACAGTGGCATTATGTATCAAGCCTCTGGTGATGCTTGCGATTCACGTTACGATTTCTCTAGGTAGCAATTTATGCACGAATTCATGTCGAGCATATATATATATATATTTAATACATAAGTTGTAGCATCTTCATTTCAGCAGCATGATTTTAGCACAAGCATGGATGCGTGCGACCAGCTCCGTGATCGGTCGCTTAATCAGCAATACCCGGGTCAGTGCGAGGCAGTTCAGGCGGGCTCAGTCAGGCTCAGTCGGGATGTGGGGATAGCTCAAGTGGTACTCAGGCTCGTGGGCGAGAGAAGCATTTAGCGCGATTGAGATTAGCTTGCGATTATCGTGGAATTTCCAAATCTCAACTTGACCGAGCCAGGAGGAGCAGCGTCGAAGGCACTGAGCAAACTCCATCGGACCAGCCAAGGGCGGAGTATTCCCTCTTTTGCGCGCCACACCAGTCGCGTGTTAGACTCCTCTGGAATCTGGCCCCCGAAACACGCCAGTTCACCGGCTCAGATACCTTTATTGTCACGACATTTTCGCGTCACCCCAGTTGGACACAATTCGTGATTGAAACTTCTACATCAGGATGCAAAAGAACAGGAGTCCAATACATGCTGAACGGCAAGTAAACTCTATACCCCAATGCGCCAGTCTAAATGCAGTAACAAACCAGGAGTTCCAGGGCGTCACGTAACCCACCTCGCGGTTTCCGTGACTTATCACTGCACAACCCGCCGGATGTCAACCAGCATGTCCCCATTACCCCACGCCTCGTTCTGGCCGCGCACCGTCCCGTCGCCGCGCGAGCATCGGTCCATGACCTGGCCCAGCCCTTGCGCAACTTCCTGGCTATTTGAAAGAACACAGCTGCGTTAGCGCTATGAACAGAATTATATTATCATAATGATGGTATCTTCAAGGGAAGAACTAACCAGGTTGAAGTAGTCGTGACGTGGCCCGTCTTGGCCAGCCCCGTAATCTGGGTGTTGCCACGCCGGCAGAACGAAGTACCGCCCACGTACGCCTCGCACGCCTGGCCGCCCAGGCTTGCCAGGTAGTTGATGCACTCGACGGCCTCGTTGATCTGTGTTTTGATGGTTGTTTAGCATTTGAGAAGAGAACGAGAAAAAAATAAAGAGGCGAAGAACAGTGTATGCAGGGACTGCAAACTGTGGGTACGGGAGAAGCAAGACGTACGTTAGCAAGAGTGTCGCCCGGCAGGTTGTCCATGCAGCTCACGTCTCGCGCCTCGAGCTTGTAGGGCGCCGCGCTGGTCGTGGCGGCGAGGCCGAGGACGATGGTGGAGAGGATGGCGGCGTAGTTGACCATTTTGGTGATGGTAGTGGGTTGTTGGGGTTGCGGAAGGGGTTCTGATTATTGCGCAAGGCGATTGTCGCGACTTTATTGATTAGGGAATATCGTTGCTAGTGATGCTCGTGAGAATGGTGATGGTGATGATGCTTCAGATTCAACAGGACAGCAGAGGACGAGAGCTTCGTCTTATAGCCGGCAGCTCTGAGACCAAGAGCACTGTCCAACACACAATCACTCACGAAGTTCTTTCGTTTCACAGCGTCTAAGACTAGGCAGGCGGTGCAGTACGACTCTATTTGCGCACACATCTCACAGCCTCCACAATGGACATGAGGCTACACAGCCTTCTCACACCCGGTCAGGAGAACAAAGAGGGTACATCCTCGTCGTGTCAGTGGCGCATGCTCTGGTCCCACATAGCGAGCCAAATCTGACTGCGAGAGTCGGCCTGGCTGTGGGTCCCCGTCAGGCATTTCGAGGCTGGTCGCGATGTACGGGTCAGGGGGTCCCCTGACTGTTTCTGTCTATAGGGCTGCGCGATGAAGCGACTCTAGGGGCAAGTCGGTCCGGGTTGCATCCCCTGCGGGACACAGATGAGATGAGATGGGCGGGAGGGTGTCGCGGCCCATCGGTTTCTGTCCTATTTTAGGGTCGGCCTGCGGTGTAGCGATTTTGGTATGCCCGGCCACAGATCTCGCTGAAGGACCCTCTGAAGATGTTGCTAGTCGCGAAGGCATCCGAGGTGAAACCGCTGGAGGATGACTGTTCCGCACATGTCCTGTGCTGGCTAGTATCTATAATTAGCCCCGACTCGGTGCAGATATCCATCCAGGCTTGTGCTGGGCGACCGTGCTACCCGAAATGGCGAGATGTCGGAGGCGGTGACAGACGGAACTAGCCGACTGACGTGGCTCGCGACTTGTGACAGCACGAGGGCCGACAGCTACCGCCGTTGGCCCGGCCATTTTCTTACGAGAGCTGCCCCGAATGGGCCTCGTTACCCTCCCGGGCCGCGGGTATGGAGTCTATGACGGTGCTCGTGCGAACCTTTGCGCTTGGGCATACACAGCCCAGACGTGGGGCTCTCGAATAGGCGAATGCCTCTCGCCCCGGACAATCTTGAGATCCTTGCAGCAGCCTGTCAGCACGGCTATCCGCTTGGCAGGGCCAGGTGCATTGGCCATCCCCGCTCCCTCGGAAATCATTGGCCCTGCTGGAACGGCACCCACGGTGGTACGGGTAATGTGTGAAAAGTAGGCTATCTGCTAGGCAGGACAGTGTTGATCGTCGGGAGGGTCCAAGCTCGTGTTAGACACGCGACGTACCCATACTGTGAGTCTTGCGAGTTGACCCCAGTCTCCAAGATTGTGCACATCCTGCTATGACTCCTGGACGCAGAGGTTGGTTGTTGATTGATTAGAGTATTTCGCAGAAATTTGCAACTATGAGGCTTTGGGCTAGATCAATGCTTTGGTCACTAATATCGAAGAGTGCTTCTATGACGGCCCTAGTCTATCTCTAGTGGGTAGGTGTACCGACCAGAAGCTCCTCGGGAATGGGGCTGTTGACTCCTTGTTCGTCGCGAAGGGGTTTTCTTGACGCACTTCCATGGCTTGAGTTCAGCGCGGGATCCTGAAATGTTGTTTGCGTGGCCTTGAGAGGCCGACGTCTGACTCTGACCTCCCAAAGCATCGATCGGACGCGTGTGACAGTAGCTACCGTGATAGATTCAAACGAACTCAATTTTATCTGGTTTCAGTTTAACCAGGTTCCTCCCTTTAGTCCTCCTGGTCCATGCGAAACTCATGGCGTGGCGGGCATCGTGCCTAGTAATCAGAATTTTTTATTCTCCCAGAGGTGAATCCTCAAGCCCACGCCATGTCAAACCGCCAGATCTGCGCCACGAGAGACTATACTTGGGAGGACAAGGCTTCGAGCTACGATAGCACGCGTGAGTGCACTTTTTGACAGGTTCACTTTTCAGCAATCACAGAATCAGAACTCGCTTCAGTAGCTAAAGCATGCATTCTTATTCCCGGTCAACTGATTAAAGCAGCAGGCTTGAACTCCTGCCGGGTTTCGGTCTTTCAATCCAAGACCTTTGGCTATCATACCGGTTCTATTTCTGCTCAGCAGAGCCCTACGCATGTCATCAAACATTAGCAGCCCTCCCAAATCAAACGCCCTATCGCCTCGACGTTGTAGAGCGTGCGCCTTACCTGCTGCGCCCCAGCACCGGCTGAACCCGCACCGCCCGCCGCCTGCTGGCCTGCTGCTGCTGTTCCTGACGAGCTGGAGGACTTTGCGGCGCTTGCCGCCTTGGCTTTCTCGAGTCTGTGCACCACCGCGCGCCAGTCACCATCAGTATTGGGATCGACGTTTGTATCAAGAGACCCCTTGGGGGGAGGGTCGGAAACAGCCACGTGGGGAAAAAGGCTGCTACTCACTCCTTCTTGCGGATGTAGTCGTTCTCGAGAGCCTGCTCTCTGTTGGCGATGGATGGGATGTTCATGGTGACGGTGTTTTGTCTTGGTGTTATAAGCTGGCGGGGGTTTCAATTTGTAGGAATGCTGCGATGAGTTCTGGGGTTTGATGTTGCTGGTGTGAACGATGGATTGTCAAGTGGACGGACGGGCTCTCGTGATCGGTGGCAGAAAGGCAAGTGGGGGTGACGTCATCGGCTGCCTCTGGTTTAAAGAGTGGGGCAGCACACTATATCCAAGTAGAACGCAGTCTTGGAAATGCAGCCGGTTTATTCTTGCGAAATGAACGGGTCAATAGTGTTCGGATTTGGAATTAATCACAACATTGGAGCCGTGCATCTCGTGCTCAGATCCAAGTGTCACAACCCACAGACGAACGGACGGTACAAATCAACTCGCTAGTGCTTAAGAGATGGGGAGAATGTATTGACAGCGTGAGTAGGTTTAACTAGATACAAGAATTGTTTTATCCTTCCTTCCAGATATTTCCAGCACTCGCCAACGGCGCGAGACGCTTAGCAGCCAGCAGCGATGCTCTGGGCGAACAGGGTGTAGGTGTCGGCGTGGTTGAGGTTCTGGCTGGCGCTGAGGCTGCGGACAAAGTTGTACCCGTAGCCGCCGTAGTCAGAGGTGCCCTTGATCTGGGTGAGGTGGGTGGCCTCGTGCACAATGGTGTTGCCCTGGGCCTGGGTGTAGCAGCCCGTGCCGCGCAGGGGCATCGAGTTGAAGAAGTACGGGCAGTACGCCATGTAGCTGGAGCTCGGCAGCGTGTAGGCAATGACGCCGTTGGAGCAGGCTCCGTAGACGTCGGAGCAGTACAGGCGCTGGCCCGAAGAGGAGCCGCAGGCGCTGGCGATGCGCGAGAAGACGGTGGCGACGGTGCTCTTGGTCGACGACGACGACGACTTGAAGAACTCGGTCATGCGCGCATTGTCCGAGTTGGCCGCAGACTGGGCTGCCGTGGCCAGGGTGCGGCACACGGACTGCGCGTTCTGCACCGTGGTCAGGCGCGTGCCGGTGCAGTCAGACTGCACGGCGAAGCGCTTGTCCACAAGTGCGCGGCGGACAGCAGCGGCCTCGGCACCATTGACGGAGGCGACGGTAGGGTTCGAGGCAAAGGTCACGACACCAGAGATGGTGGTCGAGTCAGCCTCGGCGATCGGGAGGGCGCCAGCAGAGACGAGGTCAAAGCTGCCACCGGCCGCGAGGTCGTGGAGCTCGGCAATGTCAAACGTCACCTCGATCGAGGTGCCGGCGGCGATGGTGCGGAAGGCATCCTCGTCAAGGCTCTCGGTCGAGACGAGAAGACGAAGACCATCAAAGGGGACCTCCTCGTCTAGTTTTAGATGTTAGCACCTGAGAGCCCAGGTATAGCGTCATCAACACGTACTGTTCTGGAAGACCTGGACCTTCTCGACAGGGTTGCTGTCAAGAATGGTACCAGTCTTGAGGACCTTGAGGTTGTTCACACCGTTGTTGCTGATGACGGCGCGGACCTCGGTGTTGCCGATCTGCTCGAGCTGCACGTCAAGAGCGTCGGCCCGCTTCTTGTTGGCAGGAGCGGCCATGGCCATGGAGGCGAGGGCGACAAAGGACAGGAACTTCATGTTTCCAATGTTTCGAGGTCGGGACTAATGAGAGTGAGGTGCTTCGATGGTCGTGGTCACTGCTGGAGCGAGAGCAAGCGTGGTGAGGGAGACTTCTCTTCATCCAAGGGGACAGCGAAACCTCCAGATTTATATATCCTGACATTGGGTATATCAAGAGATGCTTTAGCAGCAAGTCGGCCACCGCCGTTGCCCGGCACGGGGTTGTGGGGTGAATGTCTACCTGCCCGATTCAGTGGTTAGTTCCTAGCAAAGGGCGCGCCTTGAATGGGAGAAGGCCGACAGCCGCCAGAATGTCCGCGCCCGGCTCACTTCGTGCTACCGGAGACCACAAGCTGTCACGCTGCGGGAGGTTGCAGCGACACAGCTGCCCAATTCGTTGCCATGACCCGAGAAGAAAGCTGGGGCAGGTCACATTCTTGGCGGTGAGATAGGGCCTCACAGCTGCCAAGCACGGAGGCAGTATTGTTATCGGAATGCTTGGCCCTCAACAAATTCCGAGTCGAGCATGGGGAGAGATGTTTCGCCTTGATGGCCTACTATTCTCCTGATGTCTAGGCGTGCCACAACAATACCCCAGTCTTCCACGACCGGCATCGGCGACCTCGAATGCACGTCAAGCGGCGCGGCCGTCTCAATACAGCAGGTGCACAACGTCTCCTATAGACAGGCTTGGCCGACCTTGGGGGCAATTGCCGCTGACCCCTGCGCCTTGGCGCTTAAAATGGCTTTGCCGGTTCAGGGAGCTCATGTGGGAGTTGTCCAGGAACCCGTGGGCCCAGCACGCTTGGCAAACATGGGGTACCCCTTGCTCGGGCGGACTTAACGGCGGCAGTTCATGCCTGGTTGCCGTATTGTTGTTTTGGCGTGCCGGCTCTAAGCTTTGTGCTGGTGTCCAAGGACTTCACCCAGACTCGTGATTGTGTGGAGCACGTGCTCCCAAGAGCTCCAGCAATCAATAGTGCGGACGTCACACGTAACGTCAGTCCTCCGTTTGTTTATTTTTTACACCTCTAGAGACTATCAAAATCGCGACGACGATTCATCTTCGTTATTGTTTCAGTCTCGGCGTTATGCGTATGGAGTCCTGCTTTCCAGTTTGGGGTTTTGATTGGATTTTGGGAGCCCCCCCCCCCCCGGTTCAATGCGGCTTTTGCCGTTGGTCACGGTAGGGATCTTCATGCGCCAAGAGCCTCCCTCGACGATGAGGAAGGAGCTCTCACTCCGGGGTGGTCATGAAATCGCACTAATCCAGACCTACATAGGGAATTCAATTGTCCCTCGATTTTGCAGCCCGCGATCATGATCGACAGTTCCGGATAGTGTTTTTCTGGGAATTCGAAGGATCTGAAACACGCGAGGTCGGCGTACTTCTCCCTCGATTCACCCGTGCCAGCCGCCAGATATTGTTTTGTCGGCATTTGCAAGAGAGTGGTTATCTTTCTCATGATCTTCCTGTCCAACCCTGACGCCCACATCCTTTCTCGTGCCGTCCTGGCGCGGATGACAAGAGTCATTAGCCATACGTCCGTGAATTAGACCTCAGACCGATGCAAGGGGTTTGTGATCGGTCGCTGCCCCACGCAAGGTTTGAAAGGCTTGAGGCAAAATGACTTGCATATAAGTGACAAAAGATCAGTGCAAATCTGCGGGCGCTGGCGAGCAGTCAAAGGTGCACGATGAAGCCACGTCCCACGATGCATAATGTCTGCAAGACCCAGGGTGAATATGTTTTGCGGATGAGTTGGAATGTCATGCTCGACCGCGAGGGAGTATCCTTTTCAGCTGAATTCGTGTGTAGGAATTTGCATCTGAGGTGTTCTTCAAAAACATGACTCTGTGAGACATAGAGGTATGAGCCACTGAGGAAGTGGTGATTTGATCCATGCTGTCCGGCAATACAAAGACTGAGTAGACATATGGCTGGCATAGGCCTAGTACCCATGCACTGCGGCTTTACACGGATCTGAGATCGCAGGAACGGCGACCATTGGTTGCCTGGCCGAAGTAGGCTTCCGTCGATTAGTGACGAGAATTGTGAATTGCCTGCTCGTAGGACAGCCTGTCAGAATACTTGGCATATTGTCTGGAAGCCCAGTCATTTCTTGCTACTAGCCTATGTTCCCGAGCTTTCTTCCTCCAATCATTTCTGATCAATTCCTCCTAACTAAGGAGAAGAGCCTGGAGTCTGGTTCAATGCTTACATAAGTATTTGGTCACCAGACGATGACCACAAGAACACCTGACGCATTTAGGACAGACATTCCAGGATCCAGCTCAGATGCAATCGCCGTCTTCCTGATATGTCAAGGCAGGTGCATCCCCACGGCTAGGTCTGAAGATCCTGCCGGCTAGGTCGGCATGCATGCTCCCCTCGCGGCCTCCTTCAGAGAGTTCAGGGGCTTCAAGACTAGCTCAACACCATGACAACTGCAAGCACTCGCCCAATCAATTGAAAGTCGCTGTCAACTCAAATCCGGCAATACCAGCGAAGCATGGAAATAATCATTCTGCTGTGACGCGATCGGATAGTGTCGGAGGATAGAGTCGGATAGAGTCGGATAGGGGTCCAAAGGAGGAAAAGGGTCTTCTCCAAAACCCAGTATGCGGGTTCGCAGCTTGGTCTGTGTCAGCTGTACGCAATTGTGACGGAGGATACCGGGCAATAGCAAATGACAGGTGTGAAATGAGCGGTGGACTACGGAGTCAATTCCTAGCGTGACACGCCTCGGTCGTGCGGAACTCGAGACCCTGACCTGAGTCATCCGTGGCTTGCTGCTGGAACCAATGGTGGAGCAGTCGAGGGTCAGCTGGCCGTCGAAAGTCGCTCAGGGCACATGCTTTTTTGTGACATAGGTACTTAAGTAACTACCCATTTATTTATATGCTATAAATACCACATCAAGTATCAATCACAACAACATCAAATGTGCTGTCTCCACAACAAACAGCCATTGCGCATTCATCGCCAGCATCATCCCCATGTTGCCATCACTAGCTGACGTTCAGGCGCTCCTTGCCGATATTCTCAGCCAGCTCGGCCATGTCGATCCAAGCTCCGTGAGCATTCCGGCCCTCGGTGCCGGGGCCGTGGCCCTCTACTACACCGTGTCCTCGCTCTGGTCGTGGTTCCGCCTCCGCCATGTTCCGGGCCCGTTCCTCGCGTCCTTTTCGTACCTGTGGCTCATGCGCACGAACGCGCTGGGCATCTCGAGCACGCAGCTCAATCGCATCCGGAAGCAGTATGGCTCCGTCGTGCGCATCGCGCCCAACTACGTCCTGACCACCGACACCCACGCGCTGCGCCGCATCTCGGCGCCGCGCAGCAGCTACGTCCGCGACTCGTGGTGGGAGGGTGTCCGGATCGACGTCGAGACGGACAACATGCTCACCACCATGGACAACACCGCACACGACGTCCTCAAGGCCAAGACGACAAACGGCTACAACGGGCGCGACAATGTCGATGTCGAGGCGGGAATCGGCACGCAGGTCGACAAGCTCAAGGACCTCATCCGGCGCAACTACCTCGCTTCATCGGATCCGTCGAAACCGCCGGCCAAAGCAGATCTGGTCTGGCTCATCCGCTATTTCACTCTGGATAGTGTCACAGCTTTGGCTTACGGCGAGCCTCTTGGTTATCTTGACGCCGACGACGACCTATATGGATTCAACAAGCAGGTGGGCGACATGACCGTGCAGGTTGCCGTCATGCTCAACACCCCCGTCCTGCGCACCATTATCAACTCACCCCTGGGCCCTTCCTTGATGCCTAAGGCCACCGACAAGGACGGCATGGGCAAACTCATCGGCATCGGCCAGGGGCTGGTAGCGAAGCACTTTAAGGAGGACAAAGACGGAAGCAGTACCGACATGGTTGTATGTTACGAAATCCCCGAGCAGGACCCCTTTAAGTGATTCGTGACTATGGTAATAACATTGCAATTACGCAGAGTTCCTTCAGACGCCACGGCTTGTCTCAGAAGCAGTGCGAGGCGGAATGCCAGGTCCAGATTATCGCGGGATCCGATGTGAGTATTTCGATTTTGCCAATGCCAGGAACTTCCCATCATTATCATTGTACGCAGCACTGACTCTTACGACGCGCTCTTCAGACAACCGGCACGACGATTCGCACAGCTCTCTTTTTCACGCTATCCACCCCACGCATCCACGCCAAGCTCCTGGACGAGATCAACAAGGCAGTGGATGAGGGCCTCGTCGAAGAGGGTGAGACCATCACGTACAAGCAAGCCAAGAAGCTGCCATATCTGCAGGTACGTCCCAAAGCAGAATGCATAAACATCTCAACCCCCTACTACACATACGACTGGCGTAGATCTAACGAACCTGTTACACCCTGGGCAGGCTGTCATTTACGAAGCCATCCGCATGCGTCCACCGGCCTTGTACGGCCACTTCAAGGTCGTGCCGCCCGAGGGCGACACCATCGACGGCGTCTTCCTACCCGGCGGGACAGCCGTCAGCCATAACATATTCGGCATCATGATGTCGGAGGACATATTCGGGGCCGATGCCGAAATCTTCCGACCCGAGCGGCTGCTCGAGTGTCCTGCCGAGCACAAGGCCGAGATGGAGCGTGTCATTGAGCTGGCCTTTGGCAGTGGGCGGTGGCTGTGCGCAGGAAAGCTGGTCGCGTTCACCCAGCTGAGCAAGGTCATCTTTGAGCTGCTGAGGGAATTCGACATGCAGCTCGTCAACCCGTTGAAACCGCTGGAGGAAGACTCGGCGGTGTTCTGGAGGCAAAAGAATCTACTTGTCCAGATAAGAGAGAGGGAGTCGTTGTAAGATGGGATGTTGTCGTCGGAATACCCCCTTGTATCATAGTGTACTATCTCCCTTCTCGACTGCTTCGGAACGCGGGCGCTAGTGTCGGAGCAAATGTTAACACTCGATCCTGGCCAGTGGCTTGGCGCTTCCAACGGCCAGGATGAATCCGTCCACACAAGCACAGCGCTGTGCTTTCTTTCCCAAACTTTACCATGATTGACACAGGCAAGCACCGGGCGAAGGGATGTTTTAATATGAGATGGGTTGAGCCTCGCTGCCCCGACTTCCGTGATGGATGGGGCTTCTCCACCAATCGGAGCATTTCGAAGCACTGCAACCATGTAACTTGCCCAACTGGGAAGCTTCGGACTGTGGCAGCCCGCCGTGGTTCATTTGCACGCCATCTTTGTAAAAGCAGGCCTTGGTCCTTATAACAACAGCCTCGTCCGACACGGTGGTTCCTTCAGTTTGCCAGGTGATTCTCACATAGTTGTGTTGCATCTCGTTACGACATCTGCAGCCATGAAGTTGTCAATCGCCACCGTCACCGCTGCCCCTCGCGGCCAGTGTTGCCTCCCAGAAGGTCAAAGTCAGTAAGTAAACAATCGCGCTCCGTGTGTATGGGTGTGTGTGTTCTGGGCCTCAAGCTCACCATGGAAACCAGTGCTCCTGGGCGACTCCATCACGGAGATCACCTGCTGGCGCCCCATGGTCTGGAACCAGCTGACCTCGGCTGGGCTGGCCAACAATGTGGACTTTGTCGGCTCCATGAGCAATCTCCAGTCCAAGTGCTCCCGTCCTTCGGGCTTTGATGTCAACCACGAGGGCCATTCCGGGTGGCAGGCATATGACATTGCCAGGAACAACATTGCGGGCTGGGTGCAGAGCACAAAGCCCGACATTGTGCAGTTCATGCTCGGCACCAACGACGTCAACATTGGCAAGAGGGACGTCAACACCATCTTGGCCTCATACACGACCATTCTGAATGCCATTCGCAACGCCAACCCCAAGGCTAAGGTCATTGTGAGTACTACCTTCTCGTCCAAGAACAAGCCACGAGCCTACCCAGTGAGAATGATGGAAAAAGCTCACGCTACCTCTGCCCTAGATCGACAAACTCATCCCGACAAGCTGGTCCGACGCCACCATCGAGGCCGTCAACAGGGCCATACCGGGCTGGGTCCAGCAGTACTCTACTTCGCAGTCCCCAATCACCATCGCCGACTGCTCCCGGGCCAACGGCTTCACCAACGCGATGCTCGAGGCCAGCGACGGCGTCCACCCCAACGCCCAGGGCGACCAGTTCATCGCGCAGCAGGTCGGCCCCAAGCTCATCCAGTTCGTCAGGGACGTCCAGAGCGGCGGCACCGGGACCAACCCGACCACCACCACCACCACCGCACCGCCGACCTCGACGACCAAGCCGCCGACGGGCAGCTGCGCCAGCTTGTATGGCCAGTGCGGAGGGAATGGCTGGAACGGTCCCACCTGCTGCTCGCAGGGGACTTGCAAGGCGGCGAATGAGTGGTACTCTCAGTGCACATGAAGCAGATATGCCCATCGCGGAGCTTGGTGGAAAAAGAATCATGGCGCAGTAGTCGATACGAGAATGAACCGACCTTCTTTACAATTGTACATCCTCGGTCTGATGCTGAAATGCCCTTTGTGCTGCTCAATGGCCAGTCTTTCCCTTGCCAGTAGATGTCTCAGACTTGTTCGTGCTTCAACGAGAAGCTAATTTCATGTGCCACCGAGGAACCGATTCCGGTCTTGCTGATGCCATGCCTCGGGCCCTTATCCGAGTATTGTGGCGCGCGACCTATGCCGATGGTCGGCTGGCGTGGGGTTGCTTCGAAACATCTTTTTTTTTTTTTTTTGCAGCTTTCCTACACACGCCTGACGAGACGGTCGTATTGGTTGTGGATGACACGATTCCTTGACGATCTCCCCAGTCCGACAATTGGCCATTTAGTAAATCGAGGTTTAATCTACAGCTCGTAGCCCCTGGTACTTGCGACAAACAGACCTCCTTTCCCTTGTCATTCAAGGTTTCTTACTTGTGAAAAAGGATCAACCCTTGTATTTCTTATCCAATTTCGTGAATTTTATGTGAAGAAGGGCATGGTGCTTTTGACAGTCTCTTTGTGCATGATTTCACAAAGAGACCTGGTTGAGATTCCTTCACTGGCAAATCACGTGAAACAATACTCCTCCTACAGTATGGCATGCTTTAAGCATGGGAATCGTCTACTGCCACACAGTATTTCCTTTGAGGAAGTACAATGAGGACAAGGCTGCTGACGCGAGAATCACAGAGGTGTCGGCCTGGGATTGCGCGCTAAGCTTATTTTGGCAGTCAGACCGAGGCGGCCCCCACTCCAAAGCCGCGGTTTTCCAAGCCGGTCGCATCCAAGCCGATGTCCAAGCCGCGCCTTCCTCGATTCCTCGATCCTCGACACGGCATGCCGCCCAGCTCATGCCTCGTTTGTTTAAACCTTGTCGTCCTCATAATAACATGATCGCTTCTCCTGCGAGCAGAGCAGAGCACGAACCCACGAGCCATGTCTAGCGCAAACTCATCGAGATTACGGCGGCTGAACGGCCGGCTCCAGGCTTGCGACCCGTGCCGCAGGAGGAAAGTGGCCTGCGACCACGGCCAGCCCGTCTGCCAGCGGTGCAAGCGCAAGCAGTGGGATGCCCGCTGCACCTACACCATCTCCCAGCGCTCAGCCGTCCCATTCAACCGGCACGCATCTCAAGGGGCCGTGTCACAACCTCCCGCCCAGACTAGCGCTCAATCGCCGCCGCCAAGTGAAGGTCAGCCCAGGCCGAGCGGCGTCGTCGTCGAGGGCGAGGGCGACCACACAATCGAAGCACAGACCCCGGCCAGCACCCCAGGTACAAGCACTCTCACGCCCAACTGGAAAGCTCCAGGGTACCTGGGCTATGCAAGCTACACAACCGTCCTCGACGAGGCCCGCGAGAGCCTGCCGACGGCCAGCGCCGACCCGGCAACCAGGGACGGAGTCGAGCCGGAACAAGCCAAGCCCGGGCCCAGAATAACGGAACCCGTGATGAGCGCGTGCATTGCGGTCCTCCGACGGATTCCCCTTGCCGAGGACAGCACAATCTTGGACAAGGACTACTTGGTCCTGTTCCAGTGGGTCCACCGTATAGCGCAGAGCATCCTCGAAGCGCTGTATGACCCAAAGGCGTTCGGCATGTATGTGGGGAAGCGCCGCGACGACGATGGTCTCAGGAAGATGGCTCAAGTGATTTGCGCCAACACTGTCAAGCCTGTGGATGACAGCCTCGAAGCCAAGGAGTGGGTGGCCCAGTTCACTGGCAACAACATCCGCTGGGAATCGATTGGTATGCACGGCAACGCTGGGTAGATGCCAACCCTGTAGAACTCTCTTTGACTGACTTGATGGATGGCTTCTCAGGTCTTTTATTCACGTTCTGGGACACAGCGCGCCGGCAGCTGCCACTACAATTTCACACGCCCTCTGACGAAGACGAAAATTGGTCTCGAACGCGGGACGGGCTCAACAGGTGCCTTGCTTTGAGCAACGAGTTCTCCCGTGGCAACTTGTTGGTGTTGCTCATGTTTCATCGCCGCTCAAGGATGGAAAGCATGGTGTCGGGAGATGCCAGTAAGTCAGGCACGCGTCACACCGCTTGTGCAGATCCACACATGGCGCACGATGTATAACTTTTCATGCTTGCACAGGTCTCAGATCTTGGAAATACCACGCGCAGACAGTCGCGTGTCTCACATTCCTGGGGTATCATGCCGAGCACAACAGGGAGCCATATGTCCCCACATTTACGTCTGAGCTGAAGAGGATCCTCTGTGCCTCCATCTATGGCGGCGACAAGACGTGAGTAGGATGATGCTTGGTATATGAGAAGTCGAAGTGGTGTCACCTGCGTTGACAACTAACATTACGCTCTCACGGTTGGACACTTTAGCTTTGCCTCATTCGCTGGTCGACCGCCTTTATTGTCAAAGACTTTCATGACGACACCCTTGCCCCTGGACCTGCGCGAGGACTATCTCTTTTCGAACCATAGCGTGCTGAGGGAGAAGGCAGCAACAACACTAGACGAGCGCGGGTGGAGCACCGAGGGGCACTTCACCGCAGCCACAGCATATCGGGCCCGAGGCATGCTCAAAACCATCCGGGAAGACATTCTGACCATCGCACTAGGAGTTGAGCAAAATGCGTCCGTGGACGCGCTCCTGTGAGTTGGCACTCCCCCTTGCCTGCCTCTGCACAACAGCAGTACAGATGAATGGTCTGGCTGATCCATGGAAATTGCTAGCAACCTCGGAAAAAGACAAGCTACCATCATGGCAGAGCTGCCGAGATCCGCCCAGCACCGCCCCGAAGACGTGACCAGCTCCGGGACACTCAGCGAGGTTGTCTTTGCGCGGTTGCTCATCAAAATGGACGCGCTTCAGAGCGGGTTCTTCCTTGACCGCCTGCTGCTGAAGAGGGGCTACGACTCGAGCGCCCACCTCTTGGTAACGAGTTTCCAGCTTGTGAGCGACACGCTCATCGTCTGGACGAACTTTGAGCGATTTGTCTCCATGAAGAGAGACTTTGAATGGATCGTATGTCATGCTACCCCACAAGTCTTACACTGCCCTGCTAGTGTGTTCGTCCATGCTCGCATGGCGAGACCCCAGCTGACATGTCTCGGACAGCTCATGACTTATGGCGCCCCAGCTGGCGGCATACTGTGCAAAGAACTGCAGAAACCATCATTTGCGGGGCGACATCCCCAGGATCGGCGCATCACCCGCTCATCCATCATCCAGAAGCTGTCCCTGCTCGTCGGATTCCTTGAGTGGGTCGACCCCTTGGCACCGAACGCGGAGCTCTGCAACGACTGCAAGTCAGTCATCCAGCTCGTTCTGGACCAAGCATTGAACGGCGTGGGCGGTCCCGCAGGCCCACCTGTCCCGTTGTCCTCGGCCATGACTACAGAGAGCGACCCGATGGGCCTCGAATTCCTTGGCAAAGGACTCGACTTCAATTTTGACCTAATGGATTCTTTCGACTGGCTCACCGCCGAGCTTTGAGGCGTTGGTGAAGTGGGCTGAAGAGGCGTGTGGCAGTTGGGCAACTGGCAGAGTCCTGCGAGCTGCAGACACGTGAGGGTCAGTGTCGGGCAGAAGCACACCCAACGCCTCGCCGCTCCCGATCACGCAGCCTGGACAGGCAAAGCACATTCAGCTACACTCCGAGGTCTCAGTCAGTCTTCGCTGCTCGTGGCGAGTGAGTGATTTGTCGCTTGATGTTGCCTATTTGTTCCTCGCCTAATTCTTGGGATGGTGCGGCCAATGTATTTTTGTTTTTCCCCGCCCAAAGTCCGAAAGAGAGGGACCCAGGCAAGCGGGTTCTTCGGCCTGCAAAGCGCCACCATCGAATGACTGGTCCCGTCACCCGCCCGTGGCACCGTGGCCAGCGAGGCACGCCAGCAGCTCCCCTGATGTGCGGCAGGCGCTCGAGGCTGGCTGTGCCGGGATGGCCAGGTCGGCATAGCGCAGGTCAATTCGGTTGGGTACCGCCTTCAGGCCTGACAACTCACAGAACCACCGAAACGAGCGTCTGGGCGGCAGCATGACTAGACGATTTGGGATACCTGCAGATCCGTGAAATGCTTATTGGATACGAGCCTGCTCCACACCACTTTCATACACGGGAGGACAGGCAAATGGCCTGTTCGGGCTGAATGCTCCTTGGCCGCATCCAGTCCAGCTGGGCCTCGCTTACCTCGATCTAGACCAGGCAGGGACAATAGAAACGCGGAAACTATCGATACCCGCGTCGATCAACCAGGGTAGAGGCCAGGGTTCCATGGGTCCAGGCACCGACGTGCACGGATGTAGCCGGCGCTTTCAGCCAGGTTGGTCGGAGTAGGGCTTCAGGGCTTCCAACAATGCATTCACTCGACCTTGTCAGCACTACCGAAAAAGCAGATGTGCCAGGTAATGGGGAGCCGGCCGATTCTCCATTTGCCTCTTCAGCCCTTCCCCAAATCGCATTCTGATGGATCTTGGCAAAATGATATTCTTGGCTCGTGCTTGGGGATAAGGAAAAAGAACTTTGCTTTTTCTTCCGCACCAAGGCCACCCATGTGAGACAGGCGTATTCGACCACGAGCTGAGCACCGCGCCACGATATGCAAGGGCAGCACGGAAAATACATGCTGCAGGTCCATGGCCAACCGCACATGTGGCCACCCGTCTAGTGAAAAGCTGAAGCCAAGGCATCATGCAGCTGAGCCGCTGGCTCGGCTACGTGGTCGACAAACAAACCCCAGAGCGGCTTACCCCGGTGGGCCGGCCCTGGGAATGCACGTGTCTTTGACTCTCCACGGCTGGTCATCCAACTTCAGCTGTCCCTTCAACGCCACAAAGGTCCAACTCCCAGATCAGAACCCTCGACCGATCAATCGATACCCTGGAGAATCCGGTGTGGGGCAGCGTCTATGCGAGACAGCACGACCAGCTCCGAGATGGTCTCGGCCGGCCCAGATTGGGGCTGTTGCTCCGTGCGTAGAAGCCAAGCTACTCGCCATGCTCACGAAATATCCAGTTTGTGGCTGGATGAGCCCATCGTCAGTCGGAGCTGAGCGATGCATGGCAGGCGCCTCAATTTCCACAGCCGCGTGACATGGACTCGACTGGCAAGAGGAACGACCATGCCCTTGTGGTGGTGAGGATGGATAGTTTCTCTTCTCGGACGACGCATATATATAGCCGTCCGGCTGCCGGTTTTGACAGTTTGGAAAGGGACACAAGATCATCACCGACCGGCCAACTCTATCTGCCTCCAGCCGCCTCTGCTTTTTCTTTCCCCTCAAGCACTAGCGATGCGGTCTTACTTCTTGATCGCTGCTCTTGCAGCGGTGGCATCTGCACAGGATGACATCAACGAAGTCCCTGACGCCTTGGACACCGAATACCTCAAGAGCTTGCCCAATCCTCAGGTCGATATTGTGCCTGGTCTTCTTGAACAGACAGTCCCTTATGACGCCGATGCCGCAGTCGCCACAGCTTCTGCCGATGTCGAGGAGTCGCCCCTGAGCGTCTTCCCTGCTGCCACCGGCGACCCTATCAACGCTGCTGGTGAAGATGCGGCCGTCGAGACTGCTGCCGCTAGTCCCGCTCGCCGACACCACGCCCACGAGCAGCAGCTTGCGGCGCGCGCGGCATGCGCGCCAGAGCCGACCATTTCGAACTTCTACAACGTTGATGTCTCGAGCTACGCGGCGTTCAAGGCTGATGCCAAAATCGCCAACGTTGCCAACAGCGCTGCTGTGCCTGCTGGCTACTTCCAGAACTTCAAGAACCTGGCTGGCGCCAACAGCGCCAGTGCTTACCTCGGATATTCGGTTCTTACTACTGGCTATGATGTCGAGGCTTGTGCGAGGAAGTGTGACGCCAAGAATGGTTGCTTGGCCTTCAACATCTTCTTTGAGCGCGACCCCGTCGTTTCGCCCGGCACCGGATGTGACAACCCTGCTGCGTTTGCCAACATCAAGTGCAGTTTCTGGGGTGTGCCTCTCGATGCAACGACGGCGACGAACAAGGGCCAGTGGAGAGCCAAGTTCCAGGTCGGGATTGCCGGCTCGACTGCGTACACCTCCTACTCCGTCGGCGGCCCAGTCGATGGCTACGATGCGCCACTAAACCTCAACAATGCTGCCATGAACGCACCTCTCAGGGACTGCGCCGGTACTTGGACCTATATGGGCTACAAGATCTACAGCAACCAGCCCTTCGATCCCCGCCTATGCTCCGCCGCCTGCGACGCGCAGACAGCTTACAATATTGCCCACCCTCCTTCGTCTGGCAAGCCCTCCCTGTGTGGAGCATTCGGCACCTACCTCGTCCACAAGACGACTTCAGCAGGGACCTGGATCACTGGCCAGATGTGCACCATGTATACCTCGGCCTGGGACACAAAGTACGCCAAGAACACTGGCAGTACTGACCCCGATGGCACCAAGTGGACATTCACAAACAGCTTCTTCTACTCCAAGCCGGACCGCCAGCCCATCTGCAAATCCTCGATCGACTACCTCAAGGCTGAGGGCCAGGAGTTCTGCTCCTCCTTCCTCGCGTACACGCCTTCGTCGACTACGACCTACACCACTGCCACTCCTGCGGACAAGATTGTCGTGACCACCACCTCTGTCACGACTGTCGCCAATGGCTTTTCCGCAACCGTCACCGGAGACTCTCACTGGAAGCGACGCGGCCGCTTTGCCCGCCAGGACACCGCCACTGAAGACGCGTCCGAGCCTACCGCCACACTCGGGCCCATTGACGCCACCATTGAGACGATTGACAACCTCGGGCCGAGCACCATTGCCGTGTTGACCCAGACCGCCGAGGACGCGAGGCCCACGAACGGCACGGCAGCTCTCGACCGCCGTGCTGTCGCCACCCCCGCCTCGATTGCCAACTGGCCAGCATCCAGAATCTCAGAGGCCTGCTCCGACGTCGCGACTGGTGTCGTCACTGTCGTCAGCACATCCGTCGTACCGTCTCAGACCACCACTACTACCGTCACGGCAACTACTACTGGCCTTGTGGCCTGCGTCGTGCCTTCGCAGGTGGCCGAGTACAAGAGCCTCATGCCCGTCTGGGGTGTGTGGGATGCAGAGCTTGCGAGCCCCGGTCCCAACCCGTACGGTGTGTACTATGGGACGGCCGTCGTGCAGCTGCCATTCCCCTACTGTGCCTATGGCGTGTGCACCAGCGTCATCCAGGTCTCCTCGGACGGCGCGTTCTACTTCACCAACCCCGACAACCTCGGCGAGCAGATCACCATGAATGTCTACCAGGGTACCGGGCAGTACCTCTACCCCGGATGGCCTGTCGGTGTGTACACCCGCGTGACGGGTGCCGAGGGTAGCAGGCAGTTCACGCTTAGCTGGTACGCGGCGACCTACCAATGGGGCCACGCCGGCATGCACGTCAGCGCGACGTGGTATGAAAACGCGCCCAATGTCGTGTACTACAAGTACTACGACGCGGTCCAGGTTTACCAGAACCACCACAGCATCTCGAAGGGTAAGTCTGATCTCTTGCAACCCCGCCGCTCTCGTGGGAGGCGGGCATATCACGATTTTCGAAACGACAGTCTCTTGCTAACCATATTTTTTTTTCCACCCCGTCACAGGCGGCGCGGACACTGTCGTCTGGCCGTCCAGCGACTTCATGCAGGTGGGCACGCAGATCAAGATTACCTCCGCTCCCGACGGCACGGCCGCGTTCACGACGAGCCAGCGCAACCGGGTCGAGTGCTGCACCAACGGACCCTGGCACAGCTGCACCGAGTGGCAGCCCCAGGTCCTCTAAGGTCAAGACGGGCGACGCAGTTCTTTTGGCTTGGTTGGGGAAGGGATTTGCCAAGTTGAAGAGTGCTTGAGGAGGTTATGCCGGCAAGGATTGTTGTGGGTCATGTCGATGAGACTTTTTGGGGTCGCCTTTTGTTCCTTTAATTCTTAATAGACCGTGTCTTGTTTGTATGAGCCAGCAGTCTGTGTGTGAACCGTACGCCTTGCACGATCCTAGGTGCATGTCGGCCAACCAAGAGACTGCAGCATCCCACTTACCAGGCGAATAGGGCGAAAGCTCGTGAGGGGCCCTATTCATTGCTTCCACCCTTGTGCCTTTAGACCCATGTGTAGATTGCTAAATGCTTGCTCTGGCAGCAACATCTAGATCTGCTGACGCCACAATTGAAGCCGGCAAGCCTAGCCGCCAAGGCGTCAATTGCGGCCCGGTGCGGCCAGCGGGGTCGGTGGGGCTCACGGGTGGGGCACTCGCAAGCCGGGTGGGGCAGGCGGCGCGCCTTCCCTAGCTTGACCGCTGAACACTCAAACACTCGAACTACACGAGGCACTCAGACCTGGTGTGACTCTCGACACACAACCTTGATGCCTCACCGGCAATGTGCAACAATCTCGCCCTGCCTTCTGGCCAGAGCGGGCCAGAGCAGAGCCGCAACAACAGCTCACCGCCCATGCGCGACCCAATCAGACCGCCTGCCGGTGACGATGCTTGGAGGATCCACCTGCAGACACGTTGACGCACAGCGAGCACAGCCTCCCTCGAGGCCGTGAGGATTGGCTGGTAGTGGTGGTGCGTGGGAATCGACCTTGGAACGAATGCCCTCCATGCGGCACCAACATTGACGGTGAACAGCACCTGGTTTCATCTCCTGCCAGCCGCCAGCCGCCTCGCCAGCAGCAACGCTACTCTACGGTGAGGCGATCGTGGCTGTGTCTGGCTGCCTGGTCTCGTTGCTCCTCCTCCCATCACGAATTCTGCAGCATCCAGCCTGACGCCTCGACAGGCCAGGCGACGTCCGCGAACCACTCATGGCCTGCAGCAGCCCAATCCCACAGCAGCACGGCGACTCGGTTCAGCACATCTGGGACGATCATGGCCAAGATCCCATTCGCCGTCGCCATCTTCCACCCCCGGCTAGTTCCTGCACGACAGCACCAGGTGGCAGTGCTGCTGGTTTGGTTTTGCGGCATGTCGTGACGACCTCGACAAGCTCAAAAGCTCCATAAGATGGACTGGCCCGCCCCTCTCAATGTCGGTGGCACGTCAGCCCTACACGCACACAGCCTGTGTGGCAATGGGCCTGGGTTTTTAGACTTTACCACCAGCCAGGTTGCACACCACCGCCAAAGAACAGTCTCGCCTTCCCATGTGACGATGGGACATGCTCGCCACTCAACTCCACAGACCCAGCCCTTGATCACCAGCTATGCCTTTGTTCCCCGCCATGAGCCGCCAACGTCTCCCGCCCCAGGTGGCGACCTCAGCCCGTCGGCTCAATTGAACACCAGCAACAGCGCGCAGCTTTCTCCGACCGAAGAGCAACTTGTGGCCGCCGTCCAGACTCGCGACTTGCATGCGGCACGAGAGATCTTGCGCCCGGGCGTCGATGCCGACTTCCTGTGCAACGGCGTCCCTCCACTGGCCATGGCCGCACGCAACAAGGACAAGCAGATGATGCGCCTGCTTCTTGATAGCGGCGCGGACGAGCAGTACGCACTCATCGCGCTATGTGGCGGTGAAATGCCCGCCGATGATGTCCTGCCAGCCTTCCAGCAGTGCATCGACCATTTCCGTCGCCGCGCAAGACGGTCCAAGAGGGCCCATATCCGCGCATGCCTGCGAACATGCAAGCTAATGTTCTTTGGCGAGCACAAGCGCATGCACGGCCTCGTCACGGCCAGCCGCCACGCCGCGATCCCGAGCATCCTGCGCAGAGTGGCAGCCCGCAGCCGAGGCCCGATCGGGCAGATCAGCAGGCTGTGGGAGTGCATCCCCGGCTCGGCCGAATCCAGGCACGCGTGGAGCGCAAACTTCATCCGCGACCAGCAGGCTGCATGGGAGAAATGCGTCGGGGTGTTTGACGATCTCATGAAGGGCCACCTGCCTCGGGCTCTCGATGCCGTCCTGCTCTTCCTGGTCTTTGTGTGGTCCATGTCCGCCCAGGTCGGGGGGAGGGATGCGGAACAGTTCCGGCACGAGTTCGCCCAGGACCTTTCTCGCTGGCGCGCTCTCTTCTACCATGACCCGAAGCAGCTCCGTTCGTTCGAACAAGCCACGAGGGAGCTGTTCAGGATCGACGTCGCATCCATGCCCGCGACTCCCACCGACGAGCTCGCTCGTGCCCTGGCCACTTTCCGAGCCCAGGCGCACCAACTGCTCCGCATCGCGAGAGAGGATCTAGGTGGTCAACTCCCACGCGATGATGTGGCAGTTTTCACTGCACACGCGAATTGCACCGTCAAGGAGGAGTCCAGTCCGGATAACAGTGGGAGCGGGGATGCGTTGGGTCCGGACGTTGTCATGAGTGGGATGGAAGAGAGCCCAACTCATGACACCTGCATTGGGCCAGGGGCAGAGCATGATCCGGGACCAGCTCTGTTGGGAACCGACCCTCTCGATAACACCTTGGTGTTGATACTGGCCGGAGTGGCCTTTGCTGCCATTCTCGGCTTCCTGCTTGGTACGTCGAGCCACACTACTTTTAAGCTTACCGGACGGGTTGAGGTACTGATCTTGGCATTCGCAGGAATCCGTGGGCTTTTACACGGGTCTCTCAAACCGCTTGGAGGCCCGCTGGCCTCTACGCTCCTTATCTGGCACGTCAATGCTGATCCGCAGAGTGCTCGGTCGAAATGGCTTTACGAAGTCGTCACGAGAACCACCGAGCTGTTGAGACAGTACCTGCAGCCCCCGGATCCGCAATGCCAGTGCCGGGAGGGCACGCAAGTCGATGACGGCCAACGGGAGCTTTCGCCTGCCCGTATGCCAATGGCGTATCCGTCTCCTCTGATGGACAACCACAACATGACACCGTCGCCTGGCGATGACGAGCTTTCTGAGGTGCCTGAGGCCATGACATGGTCGGGAGGCAGTCTCGGGCATCATCATCATCAAAGCCGAGTCCTGCCAGACACGCCTGGAGTCTCGGCCATGGCAACAACCTCCACTGCGAGCACTGCAAGCTCGGGCAGCAGTCCCCCTGGTCAGCCGCCCCACCTCGTGCAGTGGTCCCCTGCCGTGCACCACCACCGTACGAGCGGGCCACCACGCCGCGGGAGGCAGCAGCAGCGAACGAACCTGAAGTGCGAGACCTGCGGCAAGTGGTACTCGACGACGTCGAACCTGGGCAAGCACGTGCGGGAGGTCCACGCGCGCGTCCGGTACACCTGCTCGCGGCAGGGCTGTAGGAGGAGCTATGCTCGGAATGACACGCTCACACGCCATTTGCAGCGGCATCATGGTGGAGGTCGGCTGGAGTAGGAGTTTCAGTGGGCCACGGTACCATCATTCTGGAATTCGAAGAAGGTTTGGGGAGACGAACGACAGCGTTGCGCCAAGAACGGTCGGGCCCATGTCGTGCATGGCTTGGCGGGCTTGACTCTCGGTTGGATCCGAGCGAGGTAGTGGTGAGAGGAGGAGGAGACAGGCAGAATGAGGTGTATCTGAGCTTGATTTCCAAGAATTTGCTCTTGCATGGTTTTCTGACATTGTCGGGTGTCTTGACCCCCCTGTGTGCCTGTCTCTGCTGCTGCATGTGTGAGACTGTAATGATATGAAGTGTTGGTCCTGAAGAGGCATTGTTTGTGTGGGCCGCGCAGTATTGTTATCAAGCCCCACGACGCCCACGGCCAGGGCCGAGGCTCAAAGAGGCAGCCCTGGAAGGGCCTGACGATGTGGCTTGGGGGACGGGGACGCACTGATTGGCTGCCCCCTGGCGGATAAGGATAGGGCCCCTGCTAGGCTGTTCAGCTGGGGGCGGTGGCGCCGCCTGCCAGCGCCCAACGCGGCCTAGGGCCATCGTGCACGTTTAGCCGCCTGGGGAAGGCGCAATCTCCACTGCCCAGCGCCGTGTCCTGCGCACTCGCAGGCCCGGCCCCGATCGCCAAAACCACCACCCCAGAGAAGTTAAGTACCAGAGCGTGGCCGGCCGACGCGCTAGCTCTAGCCTCTCGGTCTGCCCTCCACCCTTCTCGTCCTCCTCGTCGCTCCCTTGGCCTCTTTTCCCCTCGCCCTGTTCGTCTCGCCTGGCTCACTCGTTTGCCAGAGACAACACCACTCTCGCTAGCCACAGGGACCACGAGGCTGCCTGCCTGCCACCATGGGCCTCACCAGCTACCGCCTGGCCTCGGCTGCCCTCGCCGCCCTCGCCGGGTCTGCCGTCGCCGAGCTCAGCGTCACCATTGGCTCGTCCAACAATGTCCTGACCGGCCCTGTCGATGGCCGCGTCGTCCTCATCTTTGCGCCCAAGGACACGGACCCTCTCGACGACATTGACGTCACCTCGTCCCCAAACAAAATGTACGGCAAGAACGTCGCCGCCTTTGGCCCCTCCGACACCGTCACCCTCGCAGGCGGCGACGTCAACGGCACCGCCACGGGCGTCTACGGCTGGCCTCTGGTCTCCTTGGACGAGGTCGAGCCCGGCACCTACAACGTCCAGGCCTTCCTCAGCCCCTACGACACCGCCACCCGCGCCGACGGCTCCCAGGTCCGCCTCAAGTTCCCCTGCGGCGACGGCGCTCCCAACGTCAACGGAGTCGGCTCTCTCAAGACCACCACTGTCGAGGTCGACGTCACCGGCAGCGACCAGACCATCACCCTCGCCTTTGACGACATTGAGCCTCCCTCAACCTCTTCCGGCTCCGAGATTGGCAGCTGCTACCAGGGCAACTACGAGGACACGGAGCTGCTCAAGTTCGTCAAGATCCGCAGCGAGAAGCTCAGCGCCTTCTGGGGCCGCGACATGTACGTCGGCGCTAACGTGCTCCTCCCCAAGGGCTACGATGCCGACGACAAGTCTGTCCGCTATCCCGTCATCTACGCCCAGGACCACTGGGATGCCGACAGCGGCGCCTTTGGGTATCCGAACTCGGCAGCCTTCACCAGCGCCTGGGACAACGGCATCATCCCCGGTACCAATGGCAACCCGGACCGCCCGACGCCCAAGCTCATCATGATCAAGTTCCGCCACGAGAGCCCCTTTTACGACGACTCGTACGCCGTCAACACGGCCAATATTGGGCCCTACGGCGACGCCATCAACGAGGAGCTGATCCCCCACCTCGACTCGCTCTTCAACACCATTGCCGAGCCCTACGCGCGTATCCAGGAGGGCGGCTCCACGGGCGGCTGGGTGTCGGCGGCCAGCCTCATCTTCCGCCCGGATCTGTTTGGCGCCTGCTTCTCGTACTACCCGGACTCGCTCGACTTCCACCGCCACCAGGACATCCAGCTCTACACCAACGCCAACGCCTATGTCAACGCCGACGGCTCCGCGATCCCCTCGATCCAGACCCACGACTCGGCGGGCAACCAGCAGATTCTGGCCACCGTCGCGCAGGAGAACCACTGGGAGCTCGTGTTCGGCACGGCCTCGCGCTCCTTCCTGCAGTGGGACGTGTGGAACTCGGTCTTTGGCGTCCAGGGCCTCAACGGGTACCCGCTCGAGCCCTGGGACAAGGTCACGGGCGAGATCTACCCGGAGTCGGTTGAGTACTGGAAGTCGTTTGACCTGGCCAACTACATCACGACCAACTGGGCCGGCGCCAAGAACCTCGGCGAGGCCCTCAAGGACCGCATCCACATCTCGGTCGGCACCTGGGACAACTACTTCCTCAACGAGGGCGTCGTCGAGTTCCAGTCGCGCGTCGACGCCCTCGGCGGCGAAGGGTGGGCCAACGTCACGATCCTGGCCAACCGCACGCACGGCGGGCTCTACGAGCGCCGCGAGACCTGGAACTACATTGAGCTGCTGGACAAGTGGATCTCGGACCACGCCCCCGACGGGCCGACCCCGCTGGCGCCTGCGGCCACGAGCCCCTCGACCCGCGGCAACGTCTTTGCCGACGTCATTGCCAACGGCGGCCGCGGCGCCGCGCTCGCCAGGCAGGCCGACCCGGTCGTCACCGTCAAGCAAGCCAAGGTCAAGTGCGGCGCCTCCGTCTCGGGCACCTTGGGCCGCTGGGACCCGGGCGTCAAGCTGACCGCGCAGTGGCTGGTCGACGGGGAGCCCAGCGGCGCCGCGTTTGCCGTCGCGCAGGGCCAGACGGTGCGGTTCGCCCCGACGACGGCGCCGACGTCCGACTTTGAGGTGCAGCTCGCCGTCACGGGCGTCAAGCGCAACTACGTGGACGAGACGCGGGTCAGCGAGGCTGCGGTCGTCCAGGCGGCGCGGAGGCGGTAGAGCGCATGCGATTTCTGATGATCTGAAATGCCATGGCGGACATGGCTGACATGGCTTTGCAAGGGTGGTCATGTCGTTGGAGGGCACCCGCCTGGAAAGAAGACAAACACACGCCTGTGAAGCGAAGAAAGTATCTATGCATGATAGCATGTATTTATCTTAATGTGTATTGGTATTTTAATATCAACCAAAACGTATATCTTCGCGGTACCTGATATCCCATCAGATCTGAAACATATCCTCGTGCTCACGTATCCAAATGTTGATGTCGGACTGCATGCTGTACCTCGTTCATGAACAGACTGGGGCTTTGTGTTGCTCCATTGAGTCTGTGTTCTCCAGGGGTTCTGTCTTCTGTGTACGTCAAATGACATTTCCTCATCTTGTGTCTCGCTAATACTGCTGAATGGTTGCTGCCGTTCCAGTGGCTGGTGTCCAGGGTGGGTGGTGGCTGTGCGGGTGGGCGCCTGCCAGTGGTGGTGATGATTGGTGGTTGCGGTGGTTTGACGAGGCGGGCAGGCGGGTTATTAGCGGGTTGGGTATGACAGGGAGGCAGGGGAGACAGCGAGGCAGTGCTGAATTGTCTAACCCCCCATTTCGACCTTTCGGGAGACCAACACCGGGAAGCCTTGCCCGTACACTGAAGTACGTACTTTTAATGGACTTTGGAGCGTACTATGCGGCCTTTTCAACCTTGAGACGGGACAGCAGGGCGGAAGACCAGCTGACGCAAAAGCGCACGCACACACACACACGTGGCCGCGCGGGTCTCTTCGGCTTAAAACAGCTCATAATGACCATGCGACACGACACTTTGCCTTGGCTGCCCTTTCTTTACTTGCAGCTGAAATGAGAGCGAGGGACCTGGACTGTGACTAGGCTGGCCCTTGAACGTTTCGTCCACATCCCGACCTCGTCCCTGACCCTTTTTCCTCGTTTCCTCGTCTCCTCGCGATCCTGTCGTGCGGGTTCTTCCGTGCGAATTTAGCATCCCCGTGCGTACTCTCTACACGTTTCCAGTCCCCGCGGTTTTCAAATCTGAGCGACATGACCGACGACCGCCGCGATTGAACTGAGGCGAACGAGCTTGGGTTCACTTTTCAACCAAAAGACCAGAGCCCGGTTACGCTTCACCAGCTGGCACCGCGCCCGCCCAGGGATCTGGTCTTGTCCTTCGTTGGAGTCTCCTGTCTGCCTTACCTTGCCTTGCCTTGCCTTAGCTTGCCTTTGTCTGCCTGCTGTCTGCCTTCCCGCCCGTGCGTCAGCCAGCGGGGGCTTTTCTATTAATCTTTCCAGCTTCTTCCTTTTTTCTTTTTTGGGGGGACCGGGCTTAGATCGATTTAATTGATTTGAACGGCTGTGCAGCATTCCCCCTAGGTTTTCGTGCTCTTTCTTTTCCGCCCTCCACTCCACATTTGGTCCCAACGAAAGGAAAGAAAGAAAAAAAGAAAAAGAAGAGTACTACAAAGCACCAAGAACTCAGGCGTCGTCATGAGCAGCGCCCCGATGTCAACACAAGCACTCTCCGAGGGGGCGGCGGCGGAGGGGACTTGCCAGTGGATTCTCGACGACGAGGTCCCGGAGTTGAAGGCCTGGGCGGCGTCCGGTGCATCATTGTCATCATCACCGTCGTCGTCGTCGCCAGCGTCAACGCCAACGTCACCGGTATTGTGGCTCTCCGCCCCGGCGGGCTGGGGCAAGTCTGTGCTTGCTTCTTTTCTCGTGCAGCATTACTCGGCCGCCGCGTTGGATATAGGTCGGCGGCGAGAGGCCGGCCGAGTTGGGGCTGATGGCGATGAGCACCAGCAGCACCAGCACGACCAGCAACAACAGCCTGGCCGAGAAATCGCAGGGCCGCGTGAGGAGACGGGAGACCAGGAGCAGGAGGAGGGGAGCGGAAAGTGGCACTGCTGCTATTTCTTCCTCGGGGGCAAGGATGCCTCCACGGGCACGTTTGCCGGAGGACGGCATGGCACTAGCACCGCCGAGGAGGCGGTCAGGACGTTTTGCAGGCAGCTGATCGCCGCTCAGCCCGAGCTGCTATCCGCGGTGGCAGAGCAGGAGGATGAGACGCTGCTACAGCTCCTCCTCGACGACGAAGACAATGGGGAAAGACAGCCTAGCAGCGCATACACCAGCGGAGGAGGCGGAACATCCACCGCGAATTATGAGACGAGCAGCCGCCTCCACGCACTATGGCAGTGCTTCCTCGGCTTGCTCCAGCACCCCATCGCGCGCTCACGACCGACCGTGTGCATCATCGACGCCTTTGACGAGTGCGAGGACGTGTCCCGCGAGGAGCTGCTGGACCTGATCATTGCGTTCCTGGCGGCGTCGCAGCAGCCTGGCGGGGCGGCGTTCGGGGGTCGTCTGAAGATCTTTGTGACGAGCAGGCCCGATCACGGGGTCAAGAGTGTCTTCCTCGCTCGCGGGGCCACGCAATCGGCAGAAGGTGTGGCAGGCCCGTCACCTGGGAAAGGCTCATCAGCAGCCGATGCAGCACGTGTGCGTATTGTGCATCTGCGGGCACAGAGTCTTAGTGCTTTCCAACGGCGGGATATTGCGTTGGTAGTTGAGCGGGAGATCGTGGGTATGGAGAAGCAAGGAGTTCAGCCACAAACTCTCGACACGATCCGCCAACAACTCTTACCTGGTAAAGACGGCACTGGCCACGAAGACGACCGTTCGTTCCTGGAAGTCACGCTCTTGCTCACCGCTATCAAGCGGCGACTCGCCGCCACCACCGCCGCCGCACAGCGAGGAGAACCACAGATCGAACCGATCCTGGAATGTCAAACGCTCCCGGACATCTATGAAGCTTTGAACAGCTCAATCCCCAACAGCGATTACCACAAGGTGAGGAAGATCCTAGCGGTTGTGCTTGCAGCACAGGAACCTCTCACGGTAGAGCAGTTGCGGATTGCGTGCGCTATAGAGCCAGACTATGACACTTTTGACCTTTCGCGGTCCCCACGGCGGCCGAAGGGGCGCGAGTTTGCCGATGTAGTCGACCGACTTGACGATGTGCCGGACTCGGCGAGCGACCTCGAGGGCCTATGCGGCAACCTGGTGCGTGTTGTGGAAGGCAGAGTCTACCTGGTGCATGGGACTGCCCGGGAGTTTCTGCTGGGCAAGAAGAGCACCAACGAGAAGGAACGAGAGGAGCTGGTAACTCAACGACTGAATGAGGACCAAAGCGTCGTGTCTGACGACCAGGGACCTACAAAGCGGCCGGCCAGCAGCTACCGGTCAGGGTCAAGCCATGCGGACCGGCTGCAGCACAGCTTCTCCTTGATCGACTGCCAGTGCCAACTATTGGAGATCTGTGTCACCTACCTATACATGCTCGCTGCCTACCGTCTCCAGAAGCGTAGCCTTCTCCGCAGCCACGACAAGCACAGCCAGCGCCTGCACAGGCACTGCTACAAGCAGATGAGGCCGTTCCTCGCCTACGTCAGCAGAGGATGGCCGCGGCACCTCCGCGTTATCCTTAACTATACCCGTCGCCAAAAGACCTCCCAGAGCCCCCGGATAGCAGGCAGGCACATGAGCTACTATCACGGCCTATGCCATCCCCAGTTCCCAGCATTCACAGACTGGGTGGCGTTCCACCCACGCGAGCTGCTGGAGTTCAGGGATGGGGAGCTCGGCCTCTACACGGCCGGGGAAGTGCCGGATGAGGTCAAGCAAGACCGGATCATTCGGTGGTTCGGTCTGTGGCCGGCGGAGGACGACGGTGGTGACGACGATGGCAGGGATATATTCACGACGGGACTTCCTCGAGAGTCGGACCGGGATGGTGGCAGGATGGAAGATCTGAGCATTGTGGGCGGACATGACGATGACGAGGGCATAGACGACGACTGGCTCGAGAGTGAAGAGGTGCATGAGAGGAAGGCACACGTGGCCAGACGGACAAAGCGCGAGGCGGGCCTGCAGATGAGCTTCGTGGAGGGCATGCTGTCGACTCGCGTCGAGCCGTTCGGGAGGTCGTACTTATCCGCGACCCTGGACGCGAGGACTGGGTTTGTGGGCTACCATGTGGCGCGGTGATTGACTTTTGTTCCAGCTATTTTGGTTATAGCTCTTCAGCCAACAGATCATGACCAGACTAGTACGGTAATATGCTGTGTCGTCCTGATGGGCTTGGCTTCGCGGCGTAGCAGGTTATTCTGGGTGAAATGTTACTATTGTTCGACCACTTGCCGGGAACGAGCCGCAGAATCGTTGTTGAGCCCGCGATGCATTTCACGTTGGCCCCGGGCAGTCTCCCTCATTTGCATGCGACTCAGATGCCTGTGAGAAGTTCAAACTCTACGAGAAGAGCTATGCCGCATCATGAATTAGACTACGTTCAACAAAATGTGAGACATCGGGGCCCAATTGTTTCGCATCAATACGATCTAATCCGACAAGGCGCCACAACCTCAGAGCCGTCTGGTACTGCTCACTTTCCGCCAAGTACTCGATTTACGGCGTAGTGCGCCTGAGCTGAACCAGCCACCATCCACCATTGCACACACAAGCTTTCTCCCGTCCGTGCGGCTGAAAAGGCTAGTCTCCTATCGCCGACTATGCTTGATGCCGATTGGATGTCCGGCATTCAAATGTCAGGGATGGTGCTCCCGAGGGCCAGATTGCGCGGCAGAAACGCCAGGGCGTTGCGCTAAATCAAAGTCATCGGTCGTTGACAGGGCTGAGTATGCCTGGCGGTTTTGAGGGGTTGGACAAAAGTGGCAGTTATATACAGGGCACTTCCACCGCCACTTGTTCCCCGGTTGATCGTGGTTCCAAGCAATTCTGTGCGTCGACGGCCGCGTGATCGGATCTGGCTCCACCACCAAAGAGCGCCGCCAACCAGGATCACAAGACTTACAACCACACGCGGAGTCAGAATGGATTATAAAAGACGGAATGCAGTGGAGGGAGCTGCCCTGATCGGAGTTTTATGCATTCCCTCGCTCGTCATGGGCTTTATGAGCTGTGGGGCTGTCCGCTATCGCAAAGACCCAGCACGCAGGGGATTCAGATGGGTCGGGAATGCCTTTCTTTGTATGGCCATGTAAGCTCTCGCCACACACCTGGGACATCAGTGGCAGGATATCGCATTCCATGCTGACATTTCTTTTCACAGCGCCACAGGCTGCAGAGCAGTGTCATACGGCCTGAACTTCTACGAACTTTCTCTCTCGGGTGTGATCCCAGGAGGCTACCACAACACGGCATTGTATATAAGCAGCTTGTTTGCGCGACTAACGTGTGCCATTATTCTATTCATCCTCGTCGAAGCGAGTCTCATGTGCCGACGCGCCGCCCGAAGGGTCAAATGGCACTACTGCAATCTTGCAGCCAGCATCATCCTGATGTGTGGTTCTGCAGCGGTGTTCGGCGGCAACATGGCGTTGTGGTCCTCCGACCTATCTTTCCGGTATCTTGGGCTCGTCATCAACATCCTGTACTTCGTAGGTGGCACGGCAGCGCTGGTTCTGAGCTCTCGTGCGTGTTCTTCGGTACGGAAAATGCCGCCTTCAGCCACAAATGTTGTGAGTCTTCTCACAATCGAACGGGCGGTCAAAGGCCAGATGGGGAGTCTGATCCACTGACTAGCGAACTTTTTCGACTGTTTAGAAAACCCAGACACGACTACAAACCCTTGTCCTCATCGGCGCGGTCCTATTCTGGCTCCAGACGATGTGGACCTTAGCCCTGAACATTGTCGCCTTCCTGCCAGTCCAGATCCAATATGGTATCAACAGCCTCAATGAGCAAAACCTCGCGCAAAGTATCGGTTTCTACTACCTCAACTTCGTCGCGCTCGTGCTTCTCTATGCCGCAGCGGTCAAGAGTGCCATCGGACTCTGGACAGCTGCCGGAACGGTGCCAAGCACGATATCTCCGTCTCCTGCCATAGCTACGGGCTTCACGCGGCAGCCCTTCGACGAACTGGATGGAAATCCTCGATTCCAGCAGCAGCACAAGGCGGAGCTGGCCGCCAAGTCCGAGCCAGTTGCGCCCGCGGAGATGCAGCAGCAGTGGCAGCAGCAGTACTACCAACCTTCTGGCCACGCGGCCCAGGGCCCAATGATGGCACAGGCGCCGAGCAACGGCCAATGGGCGGTCCACGAAGCGCCAACGTACTACTACCAGCCGTCGCAGGCTGTCGAGATCGGAGCTCCGGTCTGGTCAGTGACGGGGACCGAGCTGGCTGGCTCTCAGGTTGACAGGCGTTGGGAACTGCCGTCGCCGCCGCTGCATGCTGTGGCCAGGTGACATAGCCGGGGCGCCAAAGAGTGCCGTTGTGTGATGGAAGATAATCGATGGAGAAACACAACTGCGATATCGAGATTATGGTATTAATGTTGGGCTGTAAACTCATCATTACGTGGAGGTGTGTCACTAAAAGGGATAAAATGCCGTTCTTCAACGTGGGCGGTGAGCCGTCCCTAAAGGCCTAGCCATTGTCGAGTCGTGCTGCGCTCGAGGCGTGTCAGGGGAGCTATTCCTGCATGAAGCCACATCAGGCTCCTAAAAGGGGGTACAGGTGCGTAGCCTCGAGCTGTGTTCGGCAATGTGACTCTATTGTGCATCAGCATGCAGCCTTGTCTGTCCTCTTGCAGCGGAGAATCACGTCAGCTGGCTAACATACGAGCAGGCGAGTTTAGCTAAGCAGCATCCCTGTCCAGGCGGCGGCAATCTGGCTCGGACCCGGACGAGAAGCCGCGGCCAAGACTCTAAGTAATCAAACCCCAGTCCAATCCTCGTCGTCTCCAACCAACCACGAGCACCCTGTGGGCGCATCATTCAGGCACCGGGTCGAGGTTGTGTGGGGTTATGTCAGCCTTACCCCTGGCCCAAGCTGCGCCGGGAAGGTAGTTGGAGCGGCAAAGTCGACGATGTGAGCACCAGAACCCTGCTCGCCGTCCGATTTCAGGCGTGGCTCATCTCAATGAGCCAGCAATCCCAGTCAGTCCATGCCTTCCTTAAAGAGCGGGCCACGCGCCATATTCCTGGTCTTTTTCGACCCCCAGATACCACGCGTGTTGTCGACTTGGGACAACTTCGTCGTGGACCCAACATCGACCAGCACCACCGAGACGAATGCGGTGAACGACTCTTGTTCTGCGACCACGATATTCGCGCTCGTCACTATCTGCGGCCAATGAGGATACCCCGGCAAGCGACGCAAAACAAGTCTACCATCGGCCCGTGATGGTGTCGTCCACGCGAAACAAGTCCCTGCTGGGGCTTGTTGGAATCTTGGGGCTGCTCGGCGCTGTGGAAGCAGACAACAAGGTCCTGTATCCTGCTGCGGAGGGAATGACATTCTACCAGGGCGATTCCGTCGCTGTCAGATATGTCACGGATTACGCCGACCCCAAGTTGAACATCTTCTGTTATGATGATGTGGCGGGCAGCGGGGTGATCAGTACGTTGTCAATGCTCCAGAGACGCCTCGTCGATAGGCCGGAATGCTGGCGACGGTTTGGGCGCACCGCTAACCAACGTCTTGAATCACAGACAAGCTTGAAACAGCCATCACTGTGGGCACAGGCACAAAGACCGTCGTCCTCAACATGGACGGCGTGAGCGGGTGCTGGTTCAATCTGCAGAACGCCAACAACATATGGGGTGTCAACAGCCCGATATGGACGTTTAAGCAAAGCCGTCCCGTCCAGACGACTACACAGCCGCCAGCAGCACCACCACCAGCGGCAGCCACGACGACGAAAGGCACTACTACTGTGGTCCCGCCAGCACAAACAACCTCACCAGGTATGGCATCTCCCTGACCTCCCCCACGTGAATGTGTCCTCGACGAAAAGCGACCCTGACCATGGTCTCAGCGGACGAAGCCTCGCCACCACCGGCTCAAGCACAAGCAGAGACATCACCAGCCACGACTGCCGACTCCTCACCCACAACGACTCCAATCGCAGAGACGTCAGACGTGGACTCGTTAGCCGTGAACTCCTCGTCAACAACTGCTGACCCAGCAACCAAAACAGCAGTCACATCCACAAGCACAGGTCACCTGTCGAACCCAACAGATCCAGCGGCCATCCCAGGCTCCAGCGGCAGCAATAACAATAATAACAACAACAACAGCAGCAGTGGCAGCAGCAGTGGCAGCACCGGTGCTTCCAACGGCGGCGGTTCCAGCGGTGGTAACGGGAGTGGTGGCGGCGACACGAGGGACGGTGGTCTCTCGGACGGCGCGAAGGCCGGGATCGGGGCTGGCGTGGGCGTGAGCGCGGCTCTCGCCATCGCGGGCCTCGTCTTCTTCCTCATGGCCCGCCGCAGGCAGCGCCCTTCGTACGGCGCCAACGAGCTCCCGGCCGAGGACTACCCCACGAGCACCTTCATCTCACAACAGGGGCAGCAGTTGCAGCAGCAAAACTACCAGAACGACCTAGCCAAGCGTCAGAGCAGGGGAGGTAGTAGCGGGTGGACCGCACCGTCGCCACAGGAGTTCTACGCGAAACCAGAACAGTACGGCGGCGGGCCTTATGAGATGCACACGGGTGTACAGCCGCCTGAGCTGCCCACGCTCGAGCGGCCCCAGGAGGTATTATCGCCAGGCATGTTTCCGTATAACCAGCCGCCGGAGGCGGTACCGTCGTCAACCGTGTTGTCGTATAATCAGCATCCAGATGTGGCGCCGACGGCAACGATGTTCCCGTCGAATCATCAGGGGTCCAAGTGGTAACGAGATCGTGGCAATGCGTCGGCAGTGCCCATTATGCTCGAAGCACAGGTGCAGCTCGTAAAATGTGGAAAAGCGCACAGTGTTTTGGCTTCGTAGGGAGAAGCAGCAGCAACAACCCCGGTCGCTGCCAAGCGGCCCTGACCACTTGTCTCGTTGATCCCCTTTGTAGTCAGACTTTAGAATATATATCTTGGTAATTTCAGGCACCAGATGGGGCAGAGCCACACAGGCGACTATCATTTTCAGCCTTTTCACATCTTCTCGCGGATGCTAGTCATGAAACATCTCCGGCGAATTTATTACGTTGTTAAATGCTCCGGTCTCGTGATCGTCCCATTGGACGCATACTTCGAGAATGCTCTCGAATGGCGGTCGATTCCAACTTTCATTTCCAGCAGATATTTGGCCGCTGGGAACAGCTACTATTTAACACCATAACTTTTCGTGGTAAATCTATTGATGAGAGGGATCCGCATCACACAATGTGGCTGGCTCACTATGGCCAACTACCGTCGTGTGTTGGCCCCCAAGGACCCGAGACAGCTCAGACCAGCACAAACTCGCTGTCGCGTTTCCCCGCATGATCCCCAAAGGACAGCATCCGCGTCAGCCCTTCTACAAAAACCGAGCTGGACGACCTTCGAGCCGGTATACCAGGCCGCCGGGCCGCCGCTTCTGCTTGCTCGCGGCCCACCTCCGCGGCGGCTCGTGTCGTCACGGCCATCCCCAGCCGCTTGAATATTTTCAGTGACGAGGCAGTAACCCGAGGGGACGCCTCGGCGGCAGGCGCTGGGACCAGGATGAGATATGCTGCAATATGGTCTTTCTTCTCGTCCAGGCTCGAGTCGGCTTCGAGGACCTTGAACAGGAAGACCCTTTGGCTGAAGTTGGAAGACTGTTCGTCGTCTGAAGAGACGTCAGATTCTGAGCTGCTGGAGCTGGTATCCACAGCTTGTTCGGCCGCGCGGGGGCTGATCTCATGCGAGTCCAAGGCAAGAGGACGATCGAGGCGCACGTCCTGGATGGCCTGGCCTTCGATGGTCACCAAATTCAGTTTGAGTGGTGGTGGTGCCTGCCGAGAATCTCGACTAGCGCTATTGCTGTTGCTAACAAAGTTGCAAGACAGCCTCGCCTCAGTCAGGCGACCCTTGAGCTGGAGCCAACCCTGGACCGCGGCCCCGAATGGATTGCCGTCGGCAGAGCGACAGGACGACTGTCTGATCACAAATGGCGTCCGGACTGCCGCATACCCTCGCTGCCATGGGAAAGTGACCGGCCGCCCGACCGAGCCCCAGGACCACGACGGTGCAGCGCAGCTCGATTCACCTGGGGCCCCTCGTGGTTCCATCGTCGTCGTCGTCGTCGTCGCCGCCGCTGCTGTCGACCGCGTAGTCCAAAGTAATTGCTGAGAGAGCGCTCCCGACCACAACCCTGCCAGATACTGCTGACCGGGGCGCGCCTGCGCATATTGCTGCGCGTATCCCCCCAAGGCCAGCAGCCGGTCCTTCTCAAAGGTCAGCTCCAGGCGAGAGTAGTGCTCCACAAAGTCTCTCCAGTCGTCTCTGTTCGTGGTCTTGCCGAACCACCTCGAAGCCAGCGAGGTGTTCTGGCTGGACCTCGCGAGCGCGTGCCGGGCGCCGCTCGTGTCGCTGAAACGGTGGAGTCCGCACTCACAGGTGATGCCTGCGCGGCACTCGAAGGTGATCTCCTGGGCGCCTATATAGGCTATCCTCGACGAGACCAGGCAGTCCTGGAAAGCCCATGCGCGTGACAGCAGCGGTGCTCCAGTATGGGGTTCTGTGCCAGTATTCGTGGCCGGTGCGTGATAGATGACGCCAGGTGGGTTGGAGACAATCTCCCGGACGTACAACTGGTACTCTGCCGAGCCTTGCCGGACAGTGAGAAGCTCGCGCTGAAGGTCTGCTGGGCTGGGGAACATGGTCGTTGCAGGGCTGTCTGAGTACAGGGCCGCGATGGTGAGGAGGGCGTTATTAAAGATGCGCGTCATGCTCGCGGCCTCCCTCTCCCAATCGTCGACGTCGTCCTGCACGATGCAGAGGCTGTCTATCCATATATAGGAGACGCCGAGGCCCAGGGTGAGGCTGACAGCATCGTGGAACAGGTCTGGTAGTGCCTCCCATGCGATGTCGTTCTTGCGCTCCTCAATGTTGCCCCGTGTAGTCGGGCCGGCCTTGTCCGAGCCTTGGCCCCATCTATGACTGAGGGCGGTATACTTGGCCCCCTTGGGGATGTCTGTGTGGAATCGGAGCTGCATCTTGCCATCCTTTGAGATGTAGAGAAGCCGTGTGGGCGTGTAGTCTGAGCCCCGGACGTGGCAGCTAGGGTGCGACTTCAGACACTTTTTGATCTCCGACTTGAGAAACTTGAGCGCCTCCGGAGATGATGATCCATGGAGCAGGCTGAACCTGGGTATGTCGGAAAGGCCGGCGGGCGCGGAGTCTGGAAGGAACACCTGCCATGCTCTGGGCCTCGTACATGTCTCATGACACCTGAAGACCAGTGAGCCTGCTGCTGCTGACAGACTGGTCGCTGGGCCATCGTTGCGGCAATGACTGCCATGTTCCAGGTCCAACTCTTTGTCCTCCAGCAGGCTCAGCAACGCACAGATGGTGGAACATAAGAAGCAGCCATTCTTGGCTCCCTTCTCGTGTCGTCGCTGACAGGTGGATCTGGTCGAGCACAGCACCTCGACGGGATAGGCAAAGATCTTGGCGAGACCGTTCGGGTAGCTGCAAGCAGGACATGTACGATCAGTGGAAGGACTGATGATCCTCATCAGGGATGACTTGTCCCATGATTCCGGGGCGTCAAACAACTCGGGGCCATGACGCTCGCTGCTGGGGTTGATTGGTGGGAGGGGCGCCTCTGGCGGCATAACGAGGACGAGGTTGACCTGATGCTGATGGCCGGTCTCTCAATGCTCGTACTCGGGGCCACATGTGACTCAGCCACGGTCAAGCCATGGGTGTTATTGCTGGACAAGGAACCGTTTGAGAATACTCCGTAGACTTTGCACTCGGAAGGCCACCAAGGATTGAAGAAGCGGCTCTCATGTGTTTTGGCACACAAGTGGGATGCAGGGCGCGGGTTGGCTGGGCCACGCGGGAATTTGCCCGGCCTGATCGACCGCGCTGGCTTGGCCAGCTGTCAGGTGAGCTGCAGGAGGGATAGGCGAAAGACTGGAGAGTGTGGTTGCACAAGAACGCATGCCAACGTCTTTGGTGCGCCCGACAGGGAAAAGCACACACAACCTGACTCACCTCGGCTGTGTGCCCACCGGGGACAAGCAGAACACATATTTTGACAGGACTTGTGCGCACGTGGTAGGCCTCCCAACGTTGAATTAGAGCACGGCGGGCGTCGCAAAATGCCTCACGCCGTCAGGGCTCTCTCAAGGGCATTTGCCACTGCGTCCAAGTCCAGGCCTTTGGGATCCGGGCTGGGACGTCCAGGGTCCTTGGGCCCAAACCTAGACGCCAATAAGCTCGCCAAGCTTTGTGCTCCGCCGCCCGGATCGGTACGGGGCGCCACCATCGGCCTTCTCGCGGCCCCATCGTCGATGGCTCGCAGGGCCTCATCAGTCAACCCTTGGGGTCCACACGCCGAGTCGGCCCATCGTGGCGTCTTTCTGTCCCGTAACAAACCAGTCTAAGGGCTCTCTCATTGGCTCGGATGTCTATTCCGTTGTCCTCTACTCTAAGTGGCTGTCAACCGCCTTCACAACCCCCCCTCTTTCTTCGTATTCTCTGTGCGCCATTTTTCTCCATTGACAGTCAGGAGAAACACGAGACCGGCGCTGAAGACTATAAACAATCCAGAAATAGTGCTGAACCAGCCCACACCAATAAGGTTGATCGCAGGCAGGCACGCCGCCGTGCCCGCGGCCGCAAACATGAAGCGTGATAGGTAGTTGCCCGCCACTGCCACGGAGCTCATCCCGCGGTCCTGCACTGCCTCGACGACGTAGGTATTCAGTCCAGGAAGACACAGCATCTGGGTGAACCCCTGCAGGAACAGCGCGACGACGACGAGCGGGATCCCGCCGACCTCGTGCCGGACCGACCAGCCGTACAGCATCGTGAAGCCCGGCAGCGGGACGGCCATGAGCCATACCGAGCTCTTGAGCCGGTGCTCGGGCACCCGGCGCCCGTGCTTCCGCTCCTGTCCCGACGCCACATAGTCGGACCACCACCCTCCAAAGAAGGCCCCGCAGATGCACCCGCTCGCGGGCGGGAGGAAGAAGAGCGACGCCTGCAGCGGCTCGGTCAGGGAGAAGCGAGGGTTGATGACGTAGCGGATCGGGGCGAGCATCGAGTATTGGTTCCAGATGATGGCGGACACGGCGATGGCCGCTATGCAGAGACCCGGCTCGCGGACCAGCGACACCAGTACGAGCCCCGGGTTGAACGCCTTTCGGATGCTCTGGCGCGGCGACGAAGAGCTTGTTGCCTTGTCCTTGTTCTTGTCATAGTTGATGGGCAGCGCGCCTTCTGGTGCAGTCTCTTCTACCACCACGACCACCAGCACGGTGCAGATGGCCGTCAGGATCGTGATGACCCAGAATATCGCTCGCCACGTCGAGAACGTGACGGCAAGACCACCAAGAATCGGCGCCACCGCGGGAGCGATGAACGCCCCTGCCAGAAATGCACTTATCGCGCGGCCTCGGTTCGAAGGCGCGTACAGGTCCCCAATGACGACTGAGCCGACCACCAAGATCGCCGTGGCCTGGAAGGCACTCAGCATGCGGAAAATGAAGTAGGCCACGAGGTTCGGCGCGGCGGCGGTGCCCGCGCTGAAGGCCGTCATGAGCACGCTCGAGGCGACGAGCACGGGCCGGCGGCCGACGACCTGCGCGAGCGGGCCCCAGAGCAGCGGGCCCAGGGCCATGAAGACAAAGAAGAGGGCGTTGGACATGTTGACGACGGTTGGCGTGCTGCCGAGCTCTGCGACGACCTCGGGGATGGCCACGAAGACCGCCGTTGAGCTGATGGGCGTCAGGAAGGTGTAGTAGCACAGCACGGCCACCATGCGGATGCGCTTCCAGCGCCCGAACCGCGTGTACTTGTCGTCGACGTTCCCATCGCCCGGGCCAGGTCCGACTGCAGTGGCGGCCTCCAGGTCAGACAGCATGCCGCCGCTGGTCTCCTCCGTAGGGATGCCATTGCGAGCATCGTCGTGCACGGCAGTCATGGCGGAGGTGAGTAGACTGCGTACGCGTAGTTGCCAAGACGTGACATTGCCGTAGGTAGCGTTGTCGACCGTCGCAGTGCTTGGCCTGGGGAAAAGCCGGATCGGAAGAAATGGCGAACAAGTTCGGGAGAATGCCGACCGTTGCTTTGCCGGGCCCGCCCGCGCCGTTTCTGACCGAAGTCGGAGGACAAAAAATAAAACCGGGACTTTTCGTGGACCTCCAACATTTATTCCCGAGCCTGTTCCCCGTGTCGGACCCACATTCTGTAGATGGCCAACAGAAAAGTTATAGAGAAGTCCTCTTTGATCCTGACAATGGCCTATAACATTCGCAATCTCTTGACAACCAGATATCAATCTCCCGCATACAGGGTTAGAAACCTGGTGTGTTTTGACAAGTTGATCACTTCAACGAGATTAAACACTGCAAACTGCGTTGGTGCAAGAAGGTTGAATACTCAGACTCAGGTTTTGAGACAAAGCAGTATTGCAATTCAACAGATGCTATGCTTGAATCGATATTTATTCTTGGGGTTTTAGTTGCTAATAACCAATGCAGCATTTTTGGCAGGTCTTGCGACCACTGAGACTCCCTTTTTTATACAATAGCCATCGCGTTGGGCGGCGACGCAATACCGCTCACAACATTGAGGTTTTGGATGGTAACGAAGAAGGTCGACCGTTTCAGCTGGTGTAGCAGCGGCGCCAGCTTTTCTAGGTCGAGGAACTCGACTATACTCTGACCCCAGCCACCGATGAAAACCTGGTGGAGAGACCTGGCCTCGCCATCGATGGTCATGTTGAACGGCGTCTGTCCTCACGGAATAGCAGTAGTCAGCGAATTTGCACACCCATGGGGGCTGCACAGAAGCTCACAGAGCAGGAAGACACTTACACTTTCAAACGCCGGGTTGTCGGCGCCGACCAGGCTGAGCTTCTTGTCCCAGAGCCACCGCAGCGAGTCCTCGCTGGACTCCATTCCCACCGAAAATCCGTCACCGATCGGAAGGAGAGCCCGGCCCGTCTGGTTCAGCGTCTGGTACTGCCTGACCCAGCCCGTGCGGATGACGAGAAAGTCCCCAGGCCTGGACCAGTTCCCGCACAGGCCTTGCCAGGCCGCCACGGCATCCAGCTCGCGCACGGTAATGGACCGCGCGCTGAAGGCGTCAAACGGCGCGTCCTGAGAGTCCATCCATCTAGCCCAGTCCAAAAGAATCCCTCGCAACGCAATGCCCTTCTCGGCCGCGACCTGGATCCCGAGTACCTCTGACGGGGCCGGGCCAATCACGTCATTGTAGTCGGCGATGAGGTTGTTGTACCACTGGTACGTGTCGATGCTATTGTTGGTGGAGTAAGGAAAGTGCCGGAGGCCGTCGTACTGAGTCGAAATTTGCGTGTTGAGGGTGATGACATCATCTGAATATCCCGGCCCAGGCTGGAAAAGGTGCAGGAGAGGCTTCCTGCTGGGGTTCGCTGGAGGGTCGGGGAGGCCCAGGCGTAGATTGAGCGGTATCGCCTGGCCCAGCTTGACCTCGGCGGCTGCCGCCAGGATGGTCTCGTTGGTGATGTGATTCAGGGCCCCGAGCTCGTCGTCGGCTCCCCAGACGCCCCAGGCAGCCTTGCTGGGATAGGACTTGTCCAGGGGCAGCTCGTCGTAGCTGGGCCAGTTCGCGTACAGGGCATTGCTGCGGTCAAAGGCCCGCGCAACGGGGACCTTGTTGATGGGGACCACCGCGGCGAGGACCGTGCCACTAATGGCTAAAATGAGCCCGTTGACGATCATTAGGAGTGAAAGCCTCGCTTCGGAAGGACTTTACAGCAAGAGCATTAATTCAAGCACTTGGCCACCCTCCCGCGGCCTTCTGGCACTGTTTATATAATCGCCAGCCACTACTAGATCAGCCGAGCACGTCATCAGGTCTGAAGCCAAGCCCGAGTCCGCACCACAAGCTTGCCCAGCCATTCCAAGATTTTGACAAGCTCTGGCTGTTCATTTAACCTGGCCGTACGGTTGGGACGGACTGTGCCGCACCTAGTGCGGAGGCAGGTAGGGATCCAGGATGAACCGAGCTGCGGGGAAGCGGGGAAATCATGGACACCAGCCTCCGAGACAAGGCGCTACCCCATGGGCTTCCCAGCCACAATCATCATATCCCGACGGGATGGTTAAATCTTGACCCGGAAGCGAGGGGGCTCTTAGAGATCCTTTGTTTGTAGAGGACTTGCGAGTATAGTCATTGGCTGGGTGCGTAGCTCAGGTCCTTCATTCCATAGGATTCTCCAGGCAATCATGTCCAGAACAGAGACCTTCTTGAGAATATCAATTTATGAAACATGAGTGCTATATGATAAAAGTCACGACCAACATCGTGCGAGATCTCCATATAATATCGTGCGAGATCTCCGTATAAGCAACGGCTGAGTACAATCACAAGCCTTCATTGTGATTGAGAGACAAGGAGTCGGACCTTTGAGCTTGTGTGTGGCCACTCCACCTGCGCCGTGGTATGTTGGTGATTTTATTTGAGACACGACTATACCTGATCCACACCCGGATGCAGCGTCTCCTTTTCATTATGAATGACAAAACATCCTACCTTGGCCATCCTGCGTGTTCGAATATTTGTGCGACGAGGTCAAAGGCGAAGGGTTGTAACAAGTCATGGTCAACACACAATATGTCTGATTTTCTTGCTTGGCGTCCCTGATTGGCCATACCGTCCCGCGTTTTGGCACGAAGAGATCGAGTGAACACAAAGAGGCCAAGCCAACGTACTTACGTAGCTGGCGGTGATTGGCTGCTCAACACACGAGCCAGAGTATACAAAGATAACGCAAGCCGAAGCTGCAATACAAACACGGCAGCGTCTTGTCCTGGATGCCGGTGTCTAGCCCGAGCATGCGGCCCAACTGGGTGCCTCGCCGAGCTTTATACAGCCCGCATCGATGGAGAGAATAACAGAGTTCGATGACTGAGAGCCGCCGCTCTGCTGCAGTGCTCAGTATCCAATCCAGGCCCATAAAACGAGGAGCATCCGGGGTAAACACGCAAACACGAGTCCGTTCTTGGTGGCGTATTTGCACAAGCCCGGCCGCCAACCTAAGCCAACATCACGTACTGGCAATATGTTGAGCAGGTTCTTAAGAAGCATCGTCAATTGTACTAATTGGGTTCATCGGGCGTCCCGTACTTAAACCGTGGAGACGACCAACTTTGCAACCTCGTCCGGCCGACTCAGCATTGGGCTGTGCGAAGCATCGATCCTCTCCACCTTAGCTCCCGGGATAGACCCGGCCATGACCTCTTGCAGGCCCGGCGCAATGGTCTTGTCGCTGGTGCACAAGACATACAGGCAGTCGATCTTGCCCTCGCCCAGCACGTCACCCGCGGAGACGGGGATCGTCGTCTCCACCGTGGCCTGCGAATTCGGCAGCAGCGCCGCGACCCAGTCCGCGGCCTCCTGCTCTGGCAGGTCGCTGTAGAGCGTCTGCGCTGCCATATCGAGGTTCACGCGCATCGTGCCGCCCGTGTACTTCTCGTCGGGAATCGACCAGGGCGGCCACACGCCCCCGAAGAGGGTGATGACGTCCACGCCGGCCTGCGGAGCGACAAAGGCGCACAGGAAGACGGCGGCGTGGAATCCTCCCTTGAGCCCGGCGGCGGCGCGCGCGGAGGTGGTCTGGTTCTGGACGGCAATGGTTGCGGTCACTCCGGAGAGGGAGTGCGCAACGAGAATCACCTTCTTTCCGGCCTCGAAGAGCGGAATCGCCCAGCTGGTGAAGAAGAACGACGTACGTCATCGTCAGCAGGCCATCACGCGAGTCATTTGTGTGTTGGGTTAATTGTGCCGCGCCCACATGAGAGCAGAGAGGCACGGCCCAACCGTCGTTCGAGGCACATACTCGTGAATGGCAGCGACGTCGACGCGCCAGCTCAACTTGGGCTGGTCCCCCAGACTTGGCAGCCGCGGCGCATGGCTCTCGTACCCGAGCTCAGTGAGCTTGGCCCTCACTTTGTCATATACCTTTGGAGAGTGCCATGAGCCGTGGACGAGGAGAATGACGGGCTTGTCGTCGCCCTGGTCCTGCTTGATCTCGGGTGCTGCATTCTCGCTCGCCATGTCTGTCTGTGGTTTACGATGGGGGCCAAGCGAGGGCTGGAATCTTCTCGTCGAAAGGCGGTGTGCACGCGGGATATGCGTGCGTGTCTATGTATGTATGTATGTCTGATGTATGTGCGTGTGAGGGAACTGTATCTGCGAGCGACCTGTTGCTCTACTCCGCCCGACCTGTCAGATATTGTGCAACGGGGTGGGAACGAGCAACGGCTGGATCCACACTGGAAGACACGAGAGGGGAAGGAGCCAGAAAGGAAATAAAAAGATGGGCCGTGTGTTCCGATTATTCAGGGGAGCCGGGGTCAACATTGCCGCAGAAGCAATTCGGCAGCCCATATCATGCTGGATCAGCGTGGCACCCCTGGCGATAACAATACGGCCTTGGGGCAGCTGAACTTGTGCTTCGCTGCTGACCAACCAGCGGATGCGGGACAAAACCCGGCGATAGGTCGCTGACACGGTACGCTTTCCAGGATCAAGGGACCCTGTATTCGTGAATGCCCCGACGAGGGAGGTTGCGAAAAAGGTCTGCTCAACAATGCTGGACAGGAGCGGGCTTTTCTTCTGCAAGTGAGCGAGCTTTTCTTGCATCCCGTCTCGCCTGACATGTGCCACACGGGTCGGGTCCAAATGAGGTGGGCCGCAGCCAGGGACATTGCTTTTGAAGAGGGACATCCTTGGCTGGTTTAATAGCCGGTTCCAACGATCATCCTTTTAGAGCTATCACATCCAAGCTTCAATGGGTGGTGTCCGTGGAAAATTTTCGATCATGTCGTCCCCGTGAAAGACGTTCAACTTCCGTTGCGCTCGACCACGACCGCTACTTGGGCGGCAGTGGCATCTGAGACAGCGTATGGGTCATGGCGGACCAGGACGTTTCGAGGTCCGAGTACGATGCAAGCCCTCTGCTCATCAAGGTGTCAGTGGTGATGCCCATCCTGTCCGTGTTGGTTGTAGGCTTGCGAGTGTGGTCACGCAGGATCGGTCGCACCCAGCTCGGCATGGATGACTGGCTCATCATCATGGCTCAGGTCAGCAAGGATGGACGTGAAGGGCATTTGAGGTTCACTGTTGACAATCTCGGGCACACAGGCATTCTCTTTTGGAATCCCAATCGCGGCTGTTCTTAGTAAGTTCCGACATGGTCCCATCTGAAAGAGGGTCGAGCTCACACGTAGGCATCGTGTGTGCTAGGTGCTCTCCATGGAGTCGGGAAACACATCGAAGTTGTCGAAGCAGAAGACCCCAACAACATGCAATGGGTGATGGGCGTAAGATCGATCTCTTCCCAACGGCCACTCAGAGGCGGCACACCCTGACTTGCTCGAATCCGTTACAGATCCTCTTCGTCGGAGAACTCGCATACATCTCCCTGATCGGACTTATCAAAGTCTCGATCCTCCAGCTCTACCTACATGTATTCCCGACGCCGTACATGAACAAAGGCGTCAAGGGGATATACGTACTGCTGGCGCTGTGGACGGTTGGCTGCATGATCCTGACGATATTCCAATGCACGCCGATCAACGCGGCCTGGGACAAGTCGTTGGTCAGATCTGGGGCGGCGCACTGCGTTGATCAGGGCGCGTACTTCATTGGCGTTGCTGGTGAGTTTCTCCCATGAAGCCGTCATCTGGCGTGGCCGATTGCTAACGACGGACCGCTCTGCCCAGTACCACATGTGAGCCGGCCATTCACCCTCCGAGCCGGGTCTCACCATGACAACTAATTCTTGGAATAGACCGCAACAGACGTACTGATACTCACCCTCCCGCTGTTCGAGCTGCGGAAGCTGCAGATGCCGAATTGGAAGAAATGGGCGATTAGCGGGATATTCCTGCTGGGTGGCTTGTACGTCAAGCGGACATATTTTCAGATCACCCCCCGCCCGAGTACGACTGACTGCTGACCAAACCGCCATCACAGTATCGTCGTCGTCTCCATAGTGCGACTCACGACGCTTATCGCAATGTACAACGCAGGCGACGAGGCAGACACAACAGGTGCGTCTTTTCCCCCGCCGTCTTCCATGGGGCAATGTCACCCTGCCTACACGCCGTCACAAAAAGCCCGATACTCACGAGCAAAGAGCGCGCGCTAACCCACTCCCCCCTCGACGTTTTCACGCATCTAGTCCTGCTCATGCCAGTCGAGCTCTGGACGGTAACCGAGGTATCAGTCGCAATCATCTGCGCGTGCCTCCCTACATTGGGACCGCTGGTTGCGCGCTTTGGCCCGGCCACGCTGCGGCTGCTCAGCACGGGGCGCAGGGGCGCGAGCAACACGGCCGGCAGCGCGACGCTGACGCCATCCTCCGGGGCGCTGGACAACTCGAACAGCAGCAGCAACCACGCCCGGCAGCGGAAGCAGCATCAGCATCAGCACCGCCATTTCTCCCCGTCGCGCAGCAACCGCAAGTTCCAGAGGCTCGACGGGGACTCTTCCGTGGACATTGACGGGGACGGGGATGGCGGACCTGGGGCTGGGGTCGGTGCGGACGATGACGGGTTCTACCCGAAGGTGACGCCGAAGGGGTACGCGGTGGAGCATGGCGTGGAGATCTCGGCGGCGGCGGCGGCTGGTGGTGGTGGTTGCAGGAGGATGGGATCACCAACAGCTCCTGCTGCTGCCGCCGTGGTTGCCATGGGTGCTCCCGGGGCGGCCAACGGGCACGCCGACTTGGAGGCGGATGAGATCCCGCTCCAGGGGATCCATGTCAAGCAGGACATGACCTGGACGGTGGTGGAGGACTCCAGCAGGCCATAAGTCGGGCATCCAAGCATTAAAGAAAATGGCCCTCGGGAGTTTCGTTGAAAAATGATAAGATTCGACCTGGATACCCTCGTGCGAGCCCTCCGCTTCCCGCTGACATCTGCTTGCTTGGTGCCTTTGTGGCCAAGGTCAATGTGATAATTGTCATCACGGGGAGCGAAGCGGAATAACTTAAGTTGCGGAAGGCCCCCCCGGATCTAGCTCGCACAAAACCCCGGCTCATTTACTGACGACGTTCCCGGGGGTGGTCCGCAGAAAACCCTGGCCTTGCCTGGGTACTCCATAATTACGACGCAGTTTTATTATTCGAATTCACCCTGCCGGGCGAGCCTGGGGTGCACTAGCCCTGGGCCTTCGGAAGCGTCTCCGTCGGAAGACGCCGAGTCAGAATCCCTCCCATGCTGCCTGCGCCTGGGAGAGAAGGCGCCAGACTCGAACTGGATAACAGAGTGATTATGTGATTATTACATACTGCAGCGCTCACGCTGATCCGCGCGCACACGGGCGGCATGCTCCCCCTTGTATTTTTTATGCACTTTAGCCGACTGTCTCGGCCGACTTCCTTTCCTTGCACGGGGCCCGTATGGTTCGGATCCTCCTGAGACAACAAGGGTTGTCCGAAACGTCATTGTCTTGTTGAGATTGTGCAGGCCTTTGAAGTTCCCCCGACAGTCAGTGGGTGTTGCTTTCTCCCGGACGTACACCGAGGCTCACAACAAACACGCCGTAGCTGAAATACCAGTGAGTGATCTTCAAGGTGCCAGCAGTCTGTATCTCGAAAAGGGTATTGCCGCGTCTATACTCCAGCACCGCGATGATCGCTGGGTAAACGTAAGACTGTTGAGTTCGGGAGCCTTGATGGCTGTGAGAAAATACGTTGGGCACGATGCGTGCTTCACTTGGGATTGTCCGCCATAGAGTCCAGGGCAAAGCTCTTGGCCCAGCCGTGTCGGCAGTGCACATGAGGACCCGCAGGACTGTTGTAGGGAGCTTCAGTAGAGGCTGGGCAGCGAATAATAACGACACATTCGTCAACAATCAAAGATTCAAAAAGGTCAGGCTTTCCACGTGGCAGTTGAGGTAGTAGTGATAACTGCGACACTGTTTCGAGAGCCGGTGCAAGACCCTGCAGAAGTAACGGTGGTGTGTGTGGACCGGTTGCCCCCGCAGAAGGACGTGCTGTCTGTGCGGGCGGTGCCTAGTATGGAGCTGCCATTTTTTTTTCTGGCAGCCATGACATAACGATTGCTTGCCCCACCATCCTTCAACCCTCAACCCTCAATCCTCAAGTTTCGACCTCGACCTCCCCCTCACGACAACCCCTTCTGGCCCCGCAAAGAGCCCATCGACGTCGCGACATCCGCTCACAGCATGGTACGGCACAAGAAGGACTTCCGCGGCGGCCGCGGCGGCGGGCGAGGCAGAGGTGGCGGCAGAGGCGGCGGCGGCCCTCGCCAGGCGCGACCACTTCGTAACGATGGCGACAACAACAGCGACAGCGACAACAGCGGCGGCGACTACGACGGCCCAGCGTTCAAGGCGGCCTGCTGGGACCTGAACCACTGCGACCCGAAGCGCTGCTCGGGCAAGAAGCTAATCCGTCTCGGCATGATGCGCGACCTGCACGTCGGCCAGCGGCACAACGGCGTCATCATCACCCCCAACGGCAAGCACACCATCTCGCCCGCCGACCGCGAGCTCATGGAGCAATACGGCGCCGCCGTCGTCGAGTGCTCGTGGGCGCGCACAAAGGAGATCCAGTGGAGCAAGGTCGGCGGCAAGTGCGAGCGCCTCCTACCCTACCTGGTCGCTGCCAACACCGTCAACTATGGCAAGCCGTATCGCCTCAACTGCGTCGAGGCGCTCGCAGCATCTTTCTACATCTGCGGGCACCCAGAGTGGGCAGAGGAAGTTCTTGCGCCGTTCAACTATGGCGAGTCGTTCCTGGCTATCAATTCCAAGGTGCTCAAGAAATATGCAGCCTGCGCAGACGAGGAGGCTGTGAAGAAGACGGAAGCCGAATGGATGGAGAGGTTGGAGCGGGAACACGCGCAGAGCCGGGAGAATGAAGACGAGGACGACCTATGGAAAGGTGGCAACAGGAATCGCATGACCTTTGAGGCCAGCAGCGACTCGGAAGAAGAAGAAGAGGATGACGACGAGGGCGGCACAAAGCAGAAAAAGAAGGACGACGACGACGATGAGAGCGTGGACGGTATTTACCTAGGCAAGAAACCAGAGTTGTGGCCAAAGCCTGGGGATGCGACGAGCGACCCAACAGGCGCCCATAAAAAGTCGAAAAAGGATCAGTTCGACATCTCAGAAGACGAAGACGACGAGGACGCCGAGATGGAGGAGATCAGGCGTAAGGTGCTGGCGTCGAAACCGTTCTCCAACATGGACGACGACCGCAAGGCCAAGCCTACAGTCGTGCCGCCGCCGCAGCCGCAGCGGTACCGCATCGACTCGGATGCGGAGCCTGACTCAGACAACGGCGGCTCGGATGAAGACGAGGATGACGCGTTTGACAGCGTGATTGACGCGGTGCCGGTGACGGACAAAGTCGGGCTGGCCAAGCTGGAGAAGGAGCGGTCGCGGGCACACATAACGAGCAGAACATTTACCTCTGGCGGGGCGTCAGCGCCCTCGAGGTGGTGATGGGCGGACGGTCGTAATGGAGAAGAGCTTCTGCGTCCGCGATGAGATCAAGTGACATTTGACCGTACTTACAGAGTGGTTGAGTCCAGTGCTGACCTCGGGAGCCTGGAGGATGTGCTTGGAAGGTTACCTTGTGGTCACAAACAACAGGCTTGGAGCGGAGCAGGAAGTTTCGACCCCTGCAAGGTACCAGAGTGGAGCCACCCGCGACATCTGGTGCGTGTTTGCTGCTGCCCCCACCCACGCGACTTGAGCACCTGCACTTTCTTTCCCAGCGCTTGCATGCCCGCCCTCATTCGCAAACCGCACCTGTCGAGCCGGGCACAAGTCCAGCGATACAGCCAGTGAGCTGCCAGTGTCGGCCCTCTAATCCATTCTGGAGATTCGGAGTCCAATTCTGCTCAAGTTTTGGGCGACAGTCGTATCCGCTGACCGGCATCTACTGCTGAGAGTCATGTCGACGCTGTCGCGTCCTGGCTCTGACATACCATAACGCGCCGGCGATCTCGTCATCATCCGTGGCTATGGACGTGGCAGCCTCGTCGGGATGGCCTCAGCCACGCAGCTTCGAAGACTCGGATGTTCTCCTACTCCAGCAAGAACAGAATCTGCAGCAGCAGCTTGAACAGCAGACGAATCTTGGGTCACCCGGCCCCCAAGGCCCCCCTTCTACACTCACGGCCCAAGACACACAACAGGGCACTCCAGGTGACCCTCCGCCGGCCAAAGTACGCCGGAACGGCACAGCACACCTCAGTGCCATCGAGCGGCTGCGCGCCCGCACCCTCTACTTCGATGGTCGCCGCACCAAGCGGGAGATTGTCAGCCTCACAGGCTACTCCCTCTCGCAGGTCCGGACAGCCATAAAGCAGCCCGTCCCTAAGAAGCGACCGGGTCGGCCCCGCAAGGACGGTACCAACGTACTAAATACCTCTACCACGGCTACAGCCGCCCCGGCTCTCACCAGCGGGCCCGCTCGCCGTCGTGGCCCAGTCGCTCCGTGGGAGGCTGTGCAGACAATGACGACGCCAATGGCCATGGCACAGCAGGCTCTGAGCCACGGGGCAAGCCATGTTTCAGCAACAAACAAAGATGAAGAGAGCAGTGATGACCTAGAGTCGGACAATGACGACGACTTGGATGTAGACTTGGACGGTCAGAGTGCCCTAGATGAGACGGCGCCGAACAACGAGCACAGTAGCGCAAGGCCTCTAGAGTATCTGACCAAGACTCAACCGCTCGAGCAAGATCCTCTGTTGAGGATCCACGCCAGCGACCCTACCAAGACGATTGTGCTGGTCACCAGTAAGGATCCGCCCTTTGAATATCATCGACCCCTTTCACTCGCTAACAAAATTGTCCGACAGACGCCAGTACTGGCATTGGCCATGCCATTGCGTCCGCTCTTTGCCTAGCATATTGCCCATCGGTCACAGCTCGCCCCCCCAGCGGCGGGCCGTACCATGTCCTCTTGGCGGACCGTGACTTTGTCCAAGCAAGCGACGCAGCCAGGACCCTGACATGTCATCATAGTAACACTGTCAGTCCGCTGCAGTTGGATACGCGCGACCCGCAATCCGTGATCAGTGCGGCACGGTTCATCCACGAAGCGGTAGGACGTATCGACGTGCTCGTACTCAACAACAGCGACCATGGCCAGAACGAGCATAGAAGTCAAGCACAACCGAATGACCTCGTATCCATACTGCGGGACATGCTAGAGACAAACCTGGTGTCCTCGTACGCGGTGAGCGAAGGGTTGAAGTGGCTGCTCATGGCGCAGCCTGCCCTCCGCACGACTGCCACATCCACGACGCCAAGCGCTGCCACTGCTGCGGTGCTGGCTCCGGCACAGCTTCACAAAGTGAAGAGGTTGATACACGTGACATCCCCACTGTCGTCAATTGCTGTGCAGCAGAGCCAGACTCGTTTCGCGCTCCATCATCATTCTCATATGACGAATGAGAATGGATCTAGCGGGATCACTAACTATTCAGCTCCTATGGCTGGCGGAAACCACACCGACGCACCGCCGCCCACCCCCGCCATGGCAGAGTACCGCATGTCACTAGCCGCTCTGAACATGCTAGCAGCGTGCCAAGCATCTGCGGCTCAGGCCGCCGGCGTCCGCGTAGGCGTATGGAACAGCGGCCTCCTCCCACCGCCACCAATGCCGGCAGAGTTTGCCCGGGCCGATCCCCGGCAAAGCATAGGCGACATGGTCCCCGCCGCGACTGAAGCCTCGGGTGCGGCCAACCGCACGGAGAGGTCGCAAAAGCGCCGGAGGTGGCGCAGGCAGAATGCCGGTGGGCCTGGGATTGATCAGGAGCAGGTCCTTGCTGCGGGGAGGGCGTTTGTGAGGGTCGTCAATGGAGAGCGGGATGCAGAGTTTGGCGGGTTCATGGACACGTACGAAGGGTTTTTGCCGTGGTGATAATGACACTGAATGGTGGAGAGCTTTATGATGGGAGAGGCGAGGTAGAACCCTGAAAGGAGTTTCCGGGTCGGGACGATGTCATTTTCAAGGAGTCTGGGAGTTGAACGCACCGACTGGTAATGGCAGAATTCTTCTTTTACGAGCCGCCTACATAGACACACATTGCACAGATGCTACCTACTGCTAACTTTTTCGGGGAATCCAATGACTGACAAACTAGACTCTGAGCTCTCAACAGACGAGAATAAGACTCTATATGCTATTTGTCATGCTCGCAATGTTTATATGCCACACTCCAAGACCATTACAGGGCTCCTGATAAGGGTCATCTCCCACCCACCCAACCGAAGCCCTCCCTCCCCTCCCTCGAAAATGGCGAAAACGCACCGACGGGCCTCTCTCCATCCAACTCCTTCGTCAGCGCAGCACGCCACCACAGTTCGATTCACAGCGTCCGCCCCCGAGCCAGCCCGTCCGCGCCGACGGCCATCCCCCTCGGCACGTCGGGCGGGCTGCGCCCGTTGCGGTACAGCCATAACCTGCTCAGATCCTTGACGCGGACTGGGCCCTTGTGACTGGGTGCCGGCCCGAAAGTCCCGCTGCCGCCGTGGAACTGGACCTCGGTGTCGGCGGCGGTGGGCAGGACCGCGGCCCGGTCGGGCAAGGGCAGCAGCATGGCCAGGGAGGTGGCGAGGTCTTCGCGCAGGTCCCATGGTTCCCCTTGTTCCTTGCTGGCAGTGTTAGTGGCGGCGGCGGCGGTGTGATTGGGCCGGGCATCGGCGGTCGAGACGACAGGTCTGCTCGGCTGCTGCCCGTCGCCGCCAGGTCCAGCCGTCATCGTCGTCGCCGCCGTTGTCGTGGGAAGCCCTGTCCCGAAAGCGTCGCTGCCCGCTGCCGCGTCCTCGACGATGCTCTCCATGAACTCGTTTGTCTCTGCGCAGCCCAGGAAATCGTTCTTGCCGTCCCCATGTGGGTCCAACTCCAGCGGGAACATGCCGTCCAGGTAATGCTGGCAGAACTGGTGGCCGCCACGGGGGCTCGTGCGGGCAAAGACGCGCCCGATGAAACGGGGTAGCTGCTTGTTGGCCATCTGCGCGGTGGCGAAGTGCAGGACGCCCCAGAGCGCGACAAAGTCGGTCGTGTGCGCGTAGTGCTCGACATGGGCTATGACGCGGTCCGAGGTGGCTGGGATGACGTGGGCTGCTGCCGAGTTTGTTGTGGTGGTTGTGGTCCCGCGGTTTTGAATCTTGGCGTTGCTGTTGCTGTCGCCGTTAGTCGTGCTCGACGAGGTCATTGCCAGGTCAGCAAGTTTGGATGACCGAGTGTTGGTGGGGGATGCTGATGACTTGTACTCGACCGGCGAGTCGGTCACGGGGATCGCCTCGCCATCACAGTGATGGCGCAGTGCTGCTGCGGAGTGCTGCTCCTGCATTTCCTGGGCCTTGACGTGCAGGTGTGGGTTGTTGAAGTGGTTCGCGGCGTTGCCAAAAGTGTACACCTCGAGCTTGGCCAGCAAGTCCTGGGGCATCTCCTGAAGGAGCCAATCGAGCACAAGCCCACCCTCAATGCCGCCCTGGGAGTGCAGGATGAAGACGACCTTTGAGTACTGCGGGTTGTACAGCTTGTCCTTGACAACCTTGTACGCCTCACGCACGTCGCCGGTGGCGTAGCCAAAGTTGCGCTGAATCAGGCACTCGACGACGTCGAACAGGATGCCGCTCGTGCGGTTGTGGATGCCGATGACGGGACGCCGGAACGTCAGCGCCAGGCGATTGATGTTGCTGACCAGCCAGGCTTCTCTGTGGCGGTGTGAGCGCAAATTGTCATCTTTCAAGGGTTGGGAATCACGATACTTACCCTGCAGCCACGCCGTTGAGAAAGATCCACTGCTCGTGTGGATGGTCCTCCTCGACCGCATACTTAGGGTCTGAGACCATGGTCTTGGTCCTGCCATTGAGGAGAAGGCAGATTGCCCAGTTGAGCGTAAAGAAGAGCGCTATGGCCAGGGCGTCGATCCACAATGGGAACAGGAGCGAGAAGGGCAGGGCGACGATGAAGCCGAGCTGGAGGGCGATGAGGATGAGGTGGACAAAGATGCACCAGGCATTTGAGCGGTTGAAGGCGAGCTCGTCAAAGTCGCCGCTGTTGGCCGGGTTGAGGGGCCAGACGATCCAGGGGAGGAACCAGATGTAGACAAAGAAGTTGCGCATGTCCCACATGAGCAGCTTCATGGGCATGTCAGTGTAGCCGTAGTTGACGACGGACTCGCCGCCGACCTGGGAGCCGAAAAAGCGGATCTTGCCTGGCGTGGCGTCGGGCGTGGCGGCGGGCGGGCGTTGGTGGTGAGCCGGCGCCGAGCCCGGGCCCGGGACGGCGGAGGGCGGCGGAGGGTGAGACATGACGATGAGCTGCGGAAGGGTGGTGGCAATTGGGTCGTAGTCAAGGCAGAGAGATCATGCCGGCATGAAGAGACTCTAAAGTCAGAGGCGCCCGTGGGGAAGTGAAAGAGGCGGTCAGCGAACAGGGCCTGGTCTGGCACCGAGGACAGAGATATAGCAAGGCCTGAGCCTGGGGAAATGCACGTGGGACGCAGCCTGCCTGCCTGACTGCCTGATGCCGTCCTTGCCAGAAGAAAAGCGGCACGCGACACGGGCATACACGAGAGAGGGTGGCTGCTCACTGGGCCTGGTGACCAGCGCGCCAATGACGACGCCTGCGACGGGGCTGCACCACGGTTGGCGATGCCGGCTTGGCACGGCGGGCGGCGTGTGCCATGATTAGTAGCGTAGCGTAGCTCTTGCTGGCTGCTGTTGTCGTGGTAAACAAAAAGTCGATGCTCATGGCTGTCTTGCAGAGTGCGATGCGATGCCGCGATGAGTGATGAGCCAGAAAGGGAGAAGCAATTGCTAAAGCTCATCAGCCACTGGAGCTGCAACTGCTGGCGGAGGAGCGAGTGCGAGTGTGCTGATGTGGAAAGGGAGCGAGTGCGGATGCGGCGCAAGGGACAGACAGTACCCCCCCCCCCCACCAGAGAGCTCTACGTAGAGCCTCCACTGACATCACAACTGCCAGCTGCCTTCCTTCTCCACTGCACCCACAAGGCTGAGCAGCAAACACCTCCCAGAGCAAGTCCATCATCGCGATACTTTTGTATAAAGACCACCCAGCAACCACCAGTTCCCGACCCCGACGACGAGGCCCCAGAAGCACAGCAGCAACACACTCCCTCCTTCTCACAACCCCCGCCACAATGGACAATATCCCCGACACCCCCATCTCGACCGCAGAGACGAGCATCGCCTCCGGCATTAAGACCGTCTTCGTCATGGCCGACTACGGTCACGACCCCACAGAGACCGCCGTCCCCTACACTGCCTTCAAGACCGCCGGCTACGACATCTCCTTTGTCACAGAATCCGGCAAGGCCCCCGAGTGCGACAAGAAGATGCTCTCCGGCGTCACCCAGAAGCTCCTCGTGCGTGTATCCCTGCCTCCATCCCTTCATCCCCCCTCCCCCCCGGTCTGTCGCATTATCCTCACGACAGCTGCTAATCATTGCGTCGCGAGCCATAAAAAAAAAAAACAGGGCGCAAAGAAAGAAGTAGTCTCCCAATACAAAACAATGTCCCTCTCCCCCGAGTTCCAGCACCCGAAATCCTGGTCCGACCCGTCCTTCTCCCTCGAGCCCTACGATATCGTCATCTTCCCCGGCGGCCACGACAAGGCCGTCCGACAGGTCATCGATTCGCCCCGGGTGCAGCAGCTCGTGGCTGAGCACTTCCCGCGCACGCAGAAGCCCAGCAAGAAGATTGTCGGCGCCGTCTGCCACGGCGTCATGGTGCTCTCGAGCTCCAGGGACCCGGCAACTGGCCACAGCGTCATCAGGAGCTGCGACACCACGGCACTGCCTTCAGGGTTTGAGCAGAGCGCGTACTGGGGCACGAGGGTGTTCTTGGGCGACTATTACAAGACATACGGGGCGGGGAGCGAGGACGTGCAGACATCAGTGAGTCTTTTCTACAGTGATTGGAACGAGGAGCTAGAACCTGGCCGGTTTTTTTGGTTCTTTCTCCTCCGCTACGAAGACGCATACGAGATGCGGGCGAGATCGCCTCTTAGCGGCCTGCACAATGCTGACGTTTTTTGTAATGCAGGTCACCAAGGTCCTCGCAAGTCCCTCCCAGTTCAAATCGACGCTCAACCCCGGGCCGTAAGTAATCCGACTCACCCGTTACCACACACACACACACACACATGACGATGCTTCAGCCTGCCCCCATGCATTACACGAGAGCGAGCGCGAGCTCGACGCTCAATGCTTCCCGAAAACTGGCCCATCGCTAACCAGACTTGCGCACGTCTCAACAGCTTCATCGTCGAGGACGAGCACTACAACTACATCTCGGCGCGGTATCCCGGCGACGCACAGCTCTTCTCCGAAGAAATCATCAAGCTCGTCGAGAGTTTCAACAAGATTGTCTGAGGGACACAGCTCGTTTACGTCCTTGTGCCTATTCCTCAAAAAGACCGGCTTCTATGTCCTCGCGCAACAATGGCGCCATTTCTTTTTTACTTGGTGAACTCTCCAGCACAGCGTATCGAGGGGTCGTTAATCAATTGGGGTGTCATTTTAGAGGCTGATACCATGCTTTTATGCCTTTTCCTTTGCGAATTAATATTACAGAGCTTGTCGCTTCCAAACCAAAGAGCCTCCTGTTTTGTGTTCCCGTATCCTGTTTGTGTCCTGTCCATTCCCAAAGTGGTATCTCGAGAGGCGCGAGACTGCGCCACGAATATCGACCTTCTGCAACTTATGAAAGTGCTTCTTCTCCTGGTTCTAGAATCACCAAACCTCTAACCCCCCATCAATGCTTCTCCCGCTGCTACTCGAAGAAACTCAATTCCATGATAAGATTGCCTTGATAGCCTCATCCACCCCCGTTGCCGTGACTGAAGGGACCCTCATCTCGTCGAGACGATCAACCCAGCCTTTCCCGGCACGGTCGATCCAGGCCGCCCGAAGCCCCGCCGCCTTGGCACCAACCACGTCGAACGGGTTCGCGCTGATGACCCAGACATTGCGTTTGTCCTGCTCTGTGCGCACGCCGGCGACATCCAAAAGGTGCTGGTACACCCGCGGATCTGGCTTGTAGCATTGAACCGAGTCGGCAGACACGATACTGCCCGGATCACTAAACAGACCGCGCTCGGACGCCTTGGTGTGGTGCGACAGCTCGGGGGAGGTGACCATGGACCGCATCGCCATCTCGGGCGTGCCGTTTGTGAAGATGTATGCGTCCATCTCCGGTAGTGATGACGAAGAGGATGACGAGGCTGATGATCTCGATGAGCTGCGGCCTGTGCTGTCTCTTACGTCCAACGACTGCGGGGATGGAACTTCTTTCCTGGTGGTGTATTCGCCCTCGCCCTCGCCCTCTTCTGTGACTTCCTCCAGTGTCTTGCCCTCCTTGGCGTCCTTGAGCAATTTCAAGCCGGCCTCGACATCCGGGTACACGTGTAGCGAGTCGTAGGCACGCATCAATTCGGAGGCAGCTTTGGCCGTCAGCTTGATGCCGCTGTGCTCCATGAGAGCGTGGCCGAGGGCGCTGCGGGTGATCTCTTGGAAGTTTTTGAACTCGCCCATGCTGGTGATGCGCCAGGTGTACTCGAGCTGGAACCGGCGCCACAGTGTTGCAATGCCGGGGGCGGCCTCCTCGCCATAGTGCTTGGCGAGCTCGTGTGCGATGGAGTCGGTAGAGAGGAGGGTGCCGTAGAGATCGAAGGCGATGACCTTGCGGCGGCGGGTGCTCTGCGGGACCGCGAGGCTGCTGTGTCGGCTGTGGCGGTAATAGCCAGGCCCGGTCGGGATGCCGGTGGGGGAGGTCGGATCAGAGGCGATGGCGCTGGTCGATGATGAGGAGAGGGCGAGGGTCTGTTGTTGGAATTGCTCGATGGCGATGCGCAAGGCGGACTGCACGGCCTCGGGGTTATACGCCGTGCCTGGGGAAGAGTTGATCATGATGGCGGTGGTGAGGGAAAGCTGACACGGCTGACTGAGTGATGTTGTGTGATGTGCGAGGATGGGATGGGCGAGTATAAGTGCTTGTGCCTGATGATCGACGTGGGCAGATCGTCAGATCAGCAGCACATGGCTCGGAGGTAGGGGACAGTGGGCCGTGGCTTGAGCATCCAGCAAGGGGGTAGGGATGGGAAAGGAGGATGAAGGTGGCCAGGACAAAGCAAGAATAGGATTAGGCGGGAGAGCAGCTGACTTAACAGACCATGCGGGAGATGCGAGAAGGGTCTGTGAGGGTTGCCAGGAGCTCGAGGAGCCGAGAGCAGCAGATGTGCACGGCGACGTCATCATCAGGCAGTTGTGCCTGCAAGGCAGCGGAGACGGCCCCGCCGGCGGCTGGTCTGTGGTTGGCCCGCCGTGGGGGGGCTCGGGGGTTCATATCATGCCCCTGTGCAATGGAAGGAACAGCCTGTGCAGATCGTCGGGTGGTAGGCTTGCGGGGTCGTGCCTGTCTGTGCCCTGTTTTCCCAGGGTGCGCTTTCCGGGGACCAGTCCACGCATTCCAAGCATTCCAAGGCTGACGTTGCAACGGCGCCGGTTTAGGCTCTGTTCATGACTCTGTTTGCGCGAGGACCCTGGAATTTGTGTCTCAGGGGCACGAACGACATGGCTTGTAGTGTGGGCGCTAGTGAGTCCAACGGGCGGGTGGCTTGATTGTTGGTGCATTGTCTCTGCTAGGTATCATGCCCAGGATGGCACATGCCCGCTGCATCACCGGCCCTTCCATCTCAGTCTGCCCACCCAGTCTGCCCACTTGACAATGCTCTCCTCCTCCATCAGGAGCTCGACCGTGTAGTAGTGCCGCGCCAGCTCCTCGTGGCCGGCAAAGCGGTGCACGAACCGGTGGCAGGCGCCGCACAGCCACGCCACGTTCTGGAGGTCCTCCTCGCGGTGCCACCCGCGCTTCACCACCTTGTCGTGCACGAATCGTGGGATCAGGTGATGGTACGTCAGGTTCACCCAGTTCCTCCCGCAGATCTCACAGCCGGCCTCCTGCGCGGCCTGCTTGGTCGATATCGGCGGCGGAGGCGGCGTTGATACCGTGGTAATGAATGCTGACAGGACAGGGGCGAGCACCTGCACGAGGCCCTGGGGGTTGCGCCGGTTGCTTATCCTGTTGCTGCTGGCACTGGCACTGGTACTGGTGCCATCTACGATGCCATATGCGGCGAGGGACTCCTCAATGGCCGGGTCCAGGGACGGCATGAGCTCAGCAATGTCTGCGCTGGTCAGGGGCGGCTGGTACCGGGCCTGCATCTCTGCGTCCTTGGCCCACTCGTAGTGCTGCACTGTCTTGAGCTCCTCGGGCAGGTACTCGAATGTCTGCTCGGCCGTGAAGTCGACAAAGTCTGCCAATTCCTCGGGCGAGCCCAGGTTCTCCGTTGGGGTCTCCCCATGACCTCTAGCTGGCGTGTCCTCAGGCCCGGGCTTGGCTGCCCTGCGGTCCCTCTTCCTCTTGCTCTTGCCGTGAGCCTCGTGCCTGGTGATTCTCTCAATGAGCACCGTCGAGAAGCACTCGCGGAAGATGTCGTAGTTGTGCTGCTGGTCCTCGCGGATCATTCCGCCGGCTTGGTCCCGTGCATTAATTAACTGCCTGCTCCAGGTTAATGATTTCCTCACCAGCCGGGGGTCGGTCGCCCACGAGGTCTACTGATGCTGGGTCTTTCTCGTATAAAAGACACGCGACGATGCTGAGGACCCGCCATTGACGATGGGGGCCTCAGGCGGTGACGTCGCCCACGCTCCACTTTCTCGGCCGGCGTGAGTCCTTGGCCGCTGCGTGCCCCACTTCAGGGTCCAGGCCGGATGAGGCTAGGTAGGCCTGCTGGAATCCTCTGGAAGAGGCAACAAAACATGACCCTGGTAGGTTGACCGTCAGGACCACGTGTCTCACAGTCATCAAGTCAATCAGACGATCCAGGTATGAAGAGATACAGTTCTGAGGAACTTTGTCCTTCTGAGCAAATCTGCTGGCGGACGTGATCATTACTGTGAGCTGCTGATTTGCACCAAGTTTTTGTGGCACCTAAATTTGGACCAGGCTGCTTGGAAAAGTTCCCTGGACCCTGAAGAAATATTAGCTTGGCTGCAACTCAGGGATGCTATGGCAGCCGGGGAAAAATTGGAACTTTACACCTGTGGGGTTCTTGCATTGACCCCAAGAATCATGGCCGCGAGTCCGCCAGACCCACGATGCCTCCAGGGCACATCGCGGAGAAAACTTGGTTCAGACATGTAACCCAGTACAAGTACACCGTATCCGAGCGAGGAACTTAAGAGCACTGGTTGCATTTCGTGCTCGGACATGAAGATTACCGAGACAAACTGGGGCCCTTGGGCAGTGTCTAGGCAAGGGTTCGGGGGCCAAGATCGTGTCACCGCGTTTTCAAGTCTTTGCACCACGGTGGGGAAACATGGTAACAGAAACAGGCCGAAGTCACGCTTTTTCCTGCCGCGTGTCCATTCGCATGGCTCATATCGACCGGGCTTACAACCGCACGCGCGTCTGTATCTAGAGCACTGAGACATTACTCCAAGACATGTGGATATCTCTGTGACACTGGGTGACGAGGCATGTTCAACACGATGTCTACTCTCGGCGCCTTTGTCCACAAACAGAAGTCCCCCAAGCAAGGCATCTACCCGCAAGGCGAATCACCCCTCGGGAGAGTCATCACGGAACGGTACATCGGCACGTAGGCACTGCGACTTTTCTGCGAGTATGATTACACTGGCGCCACGAAACCATACACGGACGTCCCTGTTGGCTGCATGCTCTGCTTGGAACAAGACGTAGTAACACTACGAGATGTGCCTTGGATAGACTCTCTGCCGATCTTGTTCCGGCACGTGAGGGCATAGTTCATGCCACCTGGTCGGAGATTCTTTCGAAGTAGTCTTCAACGAGCTGCTCCTCTTATGATGTCCCCGATCATCGCAGTGTAGACACCGTCCTCCGCCCCCCGCAGCTCATACCTCGTGCCATTTTCCAACACCAGCACGTCAGCACGCTGACAACGATCCGTTTTTCCGGCCTTGGCATCCCTCCCCAAACTCTGTCCGTCGCCGTCCATCGTGGAGAATAGGGTATAACTTATTCCGGTATACCCGCCTTTCCCCTCGCACATCCGCGTCTGCGTGTCCGACACCGGAGAGTCGAGCCACTCGGAGTAGTTGCCGCTGGTATAGGAGTTCAAGAGCAGCAGCCACTCGGACGGGATGTATTCCCACGACACGGACCGTATGGTCATGCTGCTGGGCCGGGTGCCGCAGCAGTCCTGCGGGTTGCGGTTCTCGCAGGATACATATGGACCCGTGCAGTTGTCGGAGGATAGGTACAGGCGCAAGTTGATTGCTCTGATGACGGGTGCCGCGGCGATTGCGAGTAAAACGGGGGTTATGTACATTGCTGACGGGTGAGGGAAGACTGTGACGAGATGTGACTGTGACTAGTTGTGATATGTACACAGCCGCACGTTGAGGTGTTCTGTCAAGCTTGAGGACTTCTGAGAGCTGTGCCTCAGATACTACACCCACGATGCTGGAGGATATTCGGCTCCGATGAAGAGAGAATGGAGACGGGCTCAGAATGAGGTACATGGAGCAAGATTGACCGCTCGCTACCCCTTTATGTGTTTAGCAAAACGGTTGCTGTGTGACATTCTAACGGCTACCCCCAATTGAATGAATCCGTTATGGTCGTACAGCCGCTACTGCTCTTCTATGGAATTCTGATTTATCATATCGTACTACGGGTCTTACCACTGGCAGCCAGGCTACATACCCTACATTGACGACGAAATTGTAGATCAGGGGCGGGCGCCAACGCTCCGAAGCACGCGTGACTGAAAGTGATCCGTGGATCACGATGCAAATACCAGGACTCAGGTCAGCCTTTGGACAGGACAAGGAGTGACCTTTGGACATCGCGCCTGCCGTGTCTTTTCTCTTATGAAATCAAGGAATTAGTGCACATGTGGAAGCCACAATCAATTGTGAAAACTGACTATGACGCTGGAAAGGCCTCAGCATCAATTCAACGACAGCTGCCCATCATGCAGGTTGAAATCGCGGTCGAGCGTGAGAAGGTCCGTGAGGTAATAGACAAAGTCGTAGCGTGTCCCGCACGGAAAGATCCGATGATTGCTCCCATCGCTATGCTTCATCTCTTTCTCTCGAACAGAGCGCTGCCAAACTCGCTCTCCAATTCAGGGGCGGTGACATTATTGGTTCCAACCACCTCAATACTATAGGAAAGACACAGGTTGGTCAGCATTTGGTTTCCATGGGTATCAGTAGAATTAGAGGAATTTGTGGCAGATGGGCTCCAAATTGCAGAGGATGAGCAGCGCTCTTGGGTGATCTTCACGAAAAGGCGGCTAAGCACTGACTACGGAACGAGACGTATTAGCTTTCTGCCCCTCATAGCTTCAAAGGGTCGTCGACGTGCACTCACCATCTCGGCATAGACTGTGTCCTCAACACCGTCCAGATCGTACACCGCGCCGTCCGCGAGGACCAAGTTATTGGCTCGCACACAATCCTCGTCTCCAACATCCCGCAGGGCCGCGGCTACCCGGCGTTTCCTGTTGACAAAGTCGTAGCTAAGGCCCGTGAAACGGCCTCCGCCATGGCAGACGGCGGTGTTGTGGTTGGACTGGACCCTGGCGAGGCGTCGCCCACAGCCGCCACCATCGAAGGAATGCGTCCAGATGTTCCAGTTCGAGGGGATCGGCTCGAAGGACACGGAGCCATAGGTCACGGCCCCGGTCGTGCAGCATATTCCCGGGTTGATGTCTGGACAGGAGGCAAAAGCGCCAATGCAATCGTTGCTGTTGAGGAAGAAGCGGTTGTCGATGGCCGCGGCCAAGGGGAGCAGGGTGAGGGCGAGGGCAGCGAAGTGCATCTTTGAGGATTGCGGATAGGCCTTTGTGCTAATTTGTGAGATGTGAACCAACGGAATTGACGGTCATGATGACTGAGAGAAGTGCTATTAGTGAGAAGGAAGATGTCCTGCTTAAATACTCACGCCGCCACAGAGAAATCGTCGTGAAGGACAGGGGAATCCCCCAGTGCGGAAACATAAATCATCACGTGAGCCACTGCCTTGCCGATTGCTTGTTCTGCTCTGGACAGCAGCCACCATAGCAGTAAGGGAGCCCCTTGCGCTTCAGCAAACACAACAGAGTTGATATGCTGATTCATCCGATGAACCCTGTTAGACGAACTGTGGAGGACATGGTTTCTACCTCGATCTCATTGGCTCATTCCCATAGAAGAAAACTTGTGTACGTTTCCGACTGGCTTTCAATTGGTCAATCGTGGACTTTGTCTTTCGGCCGCATGGGCCGCGAGAACTTTTTGGGCTCGTCAGATCCTCGCCATAGGGTAGAGACGTCGAGACAGACCATTTGTGGCTCGACTAGCGAAACAGAGAGTGTGGTTCAACTAGGATTACGCGCAAGGGATGGAATATTACAGCGCCGCCAAGCCCTGATGGTGACTCTTTTCAGCTTTTCATGAAGTGATTCGTGATGCCGAGCCAGCTGCTTACCACAACCATCACCGGCAAGTAGTTTGACTGACCCTGTTTGTGGTGCACATTCATGTCAACGGGAGCGCCAGCGAAGCCTCGAACTTGATCGAGTCGGTGGAGATTGTGCCTCGGCATCGCAAAGCAAAGTTGCGGATGTCTATGGGTTGAGCTGTGTTCCCTCCACGCGACTTGAGAATGCAATAGTTGAGGGCATCTGGGGGAATCGTGCCTCCTCCGCAAGTCTGCCAAGCCCACATTGATTCCATTATAGTCATATATCATCGCAGAGTATCTCATAGGCCTGATGCAGGACACACTTGCGACATACCACAAAACCCAACAGCAACAGCCTCCTCGAAACCCCCGGTCCCTTTCTCTGAGCCACCGTGGCTCATGGGCATGCTATCACCGTACTATAACGACTCTTACAAGAAATGGCAGCGCACGTGCCGCATGCACTGGGGCGGGAGCCCAGCGGCAAAGTCCCTGCGCACATCTTCCAGACCTCCTCGAAGCACAACATGCTACCAGCTCGGGTACCAAATGAAAAGTAAGGACGCGCATAAGGATCTGGGTGGTTCGATGGCGCTGCTCAAAGCAAAAGCGGACATAGTGCTGGACGAGTGCGCCAGATGCGCGGTGCTGCTGTTCGGTGGCAACGGGTGCACCCGCCCGGGGCAGGGGGAGCTTGTCGAGAAGATCTACCACGAGGTCCCTTGTGCACGCATCCCTGACGGCAGTGAGCATGTCACGCTGGACTTGGCGGTTCGGCAGAAGCCATGAGCAGGTCCTGTTGCTACACGTGCTCAGGATGGAGTTATGTTGCCGTTGTTCGAGATGCGACCCATGTCAGGCATGGGTGCGTTAGTGACAGAGGAACGAGGACATGCGTTCTGCTACGAATCAGTGTTTCGCCAAGCACATTGTGCTCCAATTCTGGCTTATCACTTGCCCATCAAGGCGCCAGGGGTTGCCAAATGCCAATAGCGAGCTAATGGGCGCCATTCAAGCTGACCTGCCTAAACAGTCAGGTCCCCGCCCAGAGTTGCAGCTGACTAGATCCTAGCACTCTATTCTAGTTCTCCATAGTATCTTAGTGTCTGGGCTTTGACTGCCGACGTCGGGGCCAAGGCCACCTGCCAGTCCGAGCCCTTCGGTAGTGAGCGACTAATAGGGCATTTGGCCTCTGGGTCTGCCGGCTTGAGCCGTGGGATGCTATCAGATTAGACTTACCGATATTCCTGGGCATGGGGGCCTGCATGTCGATCTCCGCGATTTCTCGTCTACCCCACGGGAGCTGTCACCCTATCATGCACACCATCTCAAGCACATGACTGAGCATGTCTCTCTTGCTCCGCAGGTTTACTTCGGAAGTTGTAGATCAACGTGAAACAGCCCCGTCTTCGCGGAGAAATACCTAGATTCTATTATAAGCTTAGTCCTAGCGTACGCCAGCAAGACAGACAAGGCATCCGACTATATGAGAAGCCGCTGGTCGCCACACTCAGCCAGAGGCAAGTCGAGACAGGACACAGCGCACTTGGCAGACTCCCCGTTCCTTCCTTCAGAAACAGACCGCCAAAATGCAGCTCACCAGTATCTTCACCGCGCTCGTCCTCGGCGCCACCGCTGTTGCGGCCGCTGCCGTGCCCCAGCTCGAGCCCCGTGCAGCTGCGACCTGTGGTTCCGTCTTTTACTCTGCCACTGCCGTTAACGCCGCCTCGCAGCGTGCTTGCACCAACTACAAGAACGGCAACGCCCCTGGCGGCTATCCTCACACCTTTAACAACCGCGAAGGCTTCTCATTCGCCGTGGCCGGACCATACCTCGAGTTCCCTATCATGAGCAGCGGTGCTCTGTACACTGGTGGTATGTGGCTTTTTGTCTCCCTGCCTTGATGTCCCTTTGATATAGGCTGGCCCGGGAAATGAGTGCTGACATGCTGTTGTGATGAAAAGGCTCGCCCGGCCCCGACCGTGTTGTGATCAACACCAACTCGTGCCAGCAAGCCGGCGCCATCACCCACACCGGTGCCAGCGGCAACAACTTTGTCAAGTGCAAGTAAGAAACAATTGTCCATCACAGCGGGGCGCGGATGATTGCATCGGCTGCGCACTTGAAGGGGCTTTGTTCGTTTGTGTGGTACCTGGCCATCCTTTTCTCAAGATATATACTTAGCAAATGTACATATTTCACGATTTGAACGATCCAACCGAGTCGAGCGACATAGTCGGGTTGTGTGTCAGTCGAGCTGGAGCTCTGTTGGCAGTACTGGCTGCGCTTTGAATCAGTCATGCTTCACTTTGAAATGAAATCAATCATGATGATGCAATTCCGCAATGACGCTAGAGATCTTCTCTTTGAACAGAATTGCGTCCCACGCTTTGCAAGATACAGGTTTGCAATCTGGTATCCTCAAAACTGTGTCTCAGCCCAATCCAGAAGTCCAGCTCCAGTGAGAGGAAGCATCAAGACCAGGCCAGCCCATCTCGGTTTCCCCATTCTAGGAGCCGAAGTGTATGGGCAATCAGTCGACTGTTAACGGCTATGTGCGCTGTGCTTCCACGAAAAAGTCCACGTCTGGAGCACAATGATCGTCGAGACGCAAGTATAAAGACCCGTCGGATGTGGTCTCGTGGATGGTGTACAGGCTGCGGGCTCTGCCAAGTAGATGATGCTGCTGTTGAAGGGAGTGAAGCTGTCAATACCCCTGAACATTCTGTATTCACGCGAGGTAAAGGTGCACGCTGCCCAGCATACCTCGTCTTGAATGTGTAGGACAATTGGTTTGCTGTCCAGCAGCAGAGCGACAGGCGCAGCGGGTTTCCTCGTCGGAAACGTGTGAAAAGTGCTGCTGTATTTGGGACTAGGCAGCATAGCGTTCACGTTGAGGCCGGAAAGGAGGTCGGCAAGTCTGAGCGCTGCGTAAGGTGACATGGTGTGAGCAGAAATCAGGAAGCAAGGCGCTGCGCGTGTGGTCGAAAATAGCATGCGTATCCTCGGTTGAAGGTGCGTGTAATGCCTAAATCCAAGACGAGACCGATAGAAATAGCATGATATGTACGCCAGGTTTAAAAAAGAATTGACCGACATCTGCACCAGTGGGGTGTCTGAAGTTGCAGACTCTTCTGGTCTCCAGAGCCGCAAATACGATTTAGACATGACTCTCTGAACGAGATGCTGGACATCTGAAGGCGAGCAACACAGGGGCGTCTTAGCATCCTGTAATTCCGGAAAGCTTAAGTTCGCCCTGCTAGGGCAAGCGCTGGCAGAGATCAAATTAGGTCGACTCAACCCACCAGCAAATCGGGACGTGGGATGTGAGCCATGGCGTTGAGTAGCTTCCCGAGGAAGCTTAAGAAGAAAGTTTCACTTCGGACAGCACGTTTGAGATTAGACCTAGCGGTAAAAGTGTGAACTCAAACAGACAGAATTGGCCAGGCTGCCTACTGTGTCTCAAATCCTCTATCGCGAGTGGCTGCCGTGGCCACTTCATGAAGTATTCGACGACTAGACGCAGTCAACTAAGAAAGGAATGTGTTAGGCCGCCCCAGAATCGTATAGCATCTAACTAATATGGAGGAGGGTAAGCAGGGCTAGAATCTCTGACATATTGACAGCCCTAACAAAACGCTGTATGGTCAGCGCGGCACAGCTCCCTGTATTTATTGCTTGAGGCGGGATATCGTAAGCTTCTTTTATCCCGGACATCTTCGAGACTACATCTTAGCATTAGAAGATCTCGTTCAGAAGATAAACTTACACGGACTTCATGTTTAACCCTGATTCTTATGCTATAGATAAGAAATAATGACCACTAAGTGCCATGGTTGAGTATGTTCACCAGCGCCTCCACAATCACCGCCTTCAGGGCTGTCAAACGTTAGAATTATATACTGTGCTCCCACGAAGAGCACAATGTTTCTTATTTACGCATATATCACCAAAGTCGCTAGCACGTGGAAATAAAACAATGGGACTCTGTTCTAATCTACGAGACGTGGAGCAGCGCAATATCACCCGTTGATAATGAGGCGGCAACGAAGGGGAGTATCTGCCCCCATCATTGCTAGTACAAGACAACCCATGACTCAATGGTAGAATCTAGTTGAACAGCACCTGCAGCCTCACTCCGGGCCGGGAAGTGACTCCAGCAGCTCGATGACCTCGTGATCCACAATAGCCGCGCAGTATCTCGCGCTCATGGCCACCACCCTCTCCTTGCGTTGCATGTTGTAAGGAGTAAGCATCCACCCGATGCCTGACATGCACGACTTGCGATACTCTATCATGACCTCTGGATCATCGACCGTCATCTTTGGCACGCCGAACCGGTGAAGAGTATCGAGGTAGTGCGTCACGATCTCAACCTCGTGCTGTCTCCGATCTTCTACGGAGAGTGCCCCAACAACAAAGTACGCGAAGTCGTGGAACACGGAGCCAATGTGCAGGAGCTGCCAGTCGAGGAAGCGCGGGTTGCCGGCCTTGTCAAAGAATGTGTTGGCCGTATGCGGGTCGCCATGCAGCAGCGCCTGGAAGCGAGGATTTCTGATGGCGAAGTGCTTGGTCAAAGCCGCAACAACGCGTGATCGCGAGCCCTTGATGATGCTGGGGAATTCGGGCCGGCCTTCGCCGTTGATCATGTTGTCCCAATTCATCGTCAGACCCAAAAAGACCTGGTCGTATCCACGAGTAATCCACGCGTTCTCATCTGTCGCGGTCATGCCCCAGGTCGAGCTGTGCAGGGCCGCCAGCTGCTCGATGCCGATCTTGACACTGTCGACGGACCAGTCATCAAGTGGGTTCCCGAAGGTGGCGCCGACGTGGTTGAGGTCTTCCATGACGTTGATGCCCTGCCCCATCTCCATGTCTGCTCCCGCCCACCAAATCTTGGGGAGAATCAGCTCAGGGCGCAACTTTGGCGCGATGCGAGAGAAGAAGAGGGCTTCGCGGGTGTAAATGAGCTTCAGGATCTCGTGATAGCCTTCGAGGTTGAACATGTCTGGATTGAGCCCGCCTTTCACGCACAGGTAGCGTGGCCGAGACTCCTGCGAACTCTCATCCTGATAATGACAGGTGATGAAGAGCTTGGATGCAGTCTCGTCGAGGACAGTCCTGGTGACTTCAGCAGCTTTGACCTTGTAGCCTAGGACATTGCTGAGCCATTCAGCAGTTACCTGCTCGGCCGTGCGGGGGAGAGGAAGGTTGGTCAATGAGCCCATTGTGTACCGTCGAGCATGAAATGTAGAGTGGAGGACTGTATGTGCGAGTGTGAGCCTTAGTGTTCGAGGCTGAAGGGGCCTAAGAAGATGTGCTTTAAATATACGAGGTGATAGCCGAAGAGTCCAGGGGTGAGTTAGAGGTATACGTGTTGATCGTTACTCGGATCGTTATGACCCCTCTCGAGACGCCGAGGCCAAGCCTGATCAATTGATGCAAGCTGAACCTGTTATCTAGAGACCCTGTCCTGTCTGCTGACCCAGACTTTTGTCACAACATGGGGCTCTGCTCGTGACATGCTTCCTATCTCGGCCGCACAACAGTACTATGTTGTGCGCCCAGAACAAGGTTCGTGGCTGCTGACAACTGCCGAGCCCGCAAGCACTATCGCTGTTCTCAAAGGCGAGGCTGCTGTCAGCTATATATAGACTTTTTCCTGGCCTGCAGGTTCCACAATCGGTTGTATAGTGTAGTGGTTAGCACGCAGGATTTTGACGCACCTTGCCTCTTTCTTCCTGAGACCCCGGTTCGAGCCCGGGTACGACCTTTTTGCCATCCTCGAAAGAGACGAACGACACCTTCATCTCATCGCCAGAAGAGACCTTCCCCAATGACTTCACTTTTGGAATGAAGTCGTTGTGGCTATGTCCAGTGCCTACCGTGGCCTGTTGAAGTTTGGTTTTGAATGCCTCATATCTGTGGGGTGAGTTGACCACGGCGCTAGTGTCGCCGCGTGAGTAAGCCACCTCACCAGGCGGGGACGCCCGAGTCAACGCGTACGTTCGCGTATTTACTCCAATTGGTAGTTGACAATGACTGCCCGAACAGGTAAATGAAGGGACGCTGAAATGCCCAACGGAAAACGTGGTTGAACCGCCGGATCATGCACAAGAGCTGGTGGGCAAACTACATCAGTCTTCGTATACATCTATTCTTCTGTACATGTCACATGTCACACGTCACATGGATACTCCATTGGGTATTAGTGATCTAGCATGGTAGTGGTGGTCAGTGACAAGAGGTGAGAGTGGATATCCGAACGCTGTATTCGTACATCACCTACGTAAACCCTTTGCCAGGCTTACACGAGCACGTCCCTATGCGCATCAAGGATCTCATCTCAGCTGCCGTTCCTTCCCTTGGTGTTGCGCTCAATCAGGTCCGCCACGCGCTTATCTTCCTCTTGCAGTGCGTCGCGTGCCCTGTTTCCCATTTTCTTACCTTCTTTCTTCCACTTCTGTAATTTCACCAAAAATTCCGTGATGACTCCATAGTTGCCACCATGCTCTTGAGGATTCTGTAGCCCCACCAAGGTAGTGACATAGTCCTTACACAGAGCCTTGCTGCCCCCTTCCGGCTCCACTTTGCTTGCCTTCGTGAAGAGCTCTTGACCGACAGCGTGAACTTGCTTGTGGAACTTGTCCTCTATCTCCACCAAAGTTCGTATGTGTTTGCTGATTTTGTCATGCCATTGATTCTGTGATCGTACTGCAAGTTCCCCAAGGTTTCCCATCATCATTTCTATGATTCGATCGATCTTCTTGCGCAAATCAGCGCTTGCTTGTGCGAATTGAGCCTGCCGGGTTGTATCAAGCATTCCGTGGTTTGTCGATACCTTGCGCATCCATTCGAAGAACATTTTCCATTTATCAAATCGAGATTTGATGGCGGGCCTGCGCGCCAAAACGAGACAGGGCTCCTGCGGGAGCGTGGCTAATAAACTTTCTCGATCACGGCCTGGTTTGTAGAACCACCCAGGAACAGCTGGGCTAAAAGGATTTCCTGCCTGGATTCGATGAAAAGAACCCCGACTATGGGTACAAGTATTTTCTGATTCGTATGACATGGCGAGAGCTTGGATGAGGGTTGGTTCGCACGGTCGTGGGGGGTAGATTGGCTTGCAGAAGGTCTCTTTCGTAACTCGGAAACAGAGTTTTCCGGTGGCGCCTTTCACCGGGCTCGCGTGTCTCGGGTGCAGTCTTGTAGGATCGAGACATTTCTATGAAATTTGGTGGCGGCGACTCGTATTTGTACCGAAAACGTCCATGCCTTGTCGTATGCGTTCAGCATCGGTGGACGGGGCAGCCGTCATGGCGACCCATGTCCTTTGCCCCCCGGAACAAAGACAGCAAACTTTGTCTTGATTGGTGGTGATTTCAGCACATTGGGAGTCTCAATGGGAAAGCATGTCATATACGCTGGGCCAATGGTCCGCGAGTCTTTTGAGCAAGGCTTGCTCACCACACGACCATATCGGAGAAACAAAGAGTGGCGAAATGGGACTAAAAAAGCCGCATTCCTTAGGTCTTCGCGTTTTCTTTGTACGTTTGCTTTGAAGTTTAATGGCGGATCTAGTGCCCCTAGCCCACTACGAAGTAGATTACCTCTGGAATGTCAGCGGATGCCTGGGCGGATGAACGGATCAGGTTACCGGTTTGCTTCACCCGAGCAAACGTGTCGAGTTTTCTGAACAGCTGACATAAAGTCATCGGTATGTCGATTAGCAAGCGCATGCCTCATGGGCTTGCGCCGATCGTCCCATACCGGCGGCGCGCGCTGCACAAAGGGTTTCGTAGCTACATGGCCGAATTGGGTTGGTCAAAGAGAATGGCCACTTGCCTCGGACATGCGGCCTCGTATTCACCCTGAAGTAGGCAGTATCTCGCCCGGTTCTTATTTGCTTTGTACAAAGCTAATGTCCAGTCAGCTAAGATGGTCTGCCTGATCAAGGACTCTCTCTTCAGCGTGGCCTCGACGGACACACTCAGTGCAGCGGGCTTGGCGTTCGTCAACGCCGGACACACGATGGCAGTTACTCACACTTCAACGTGTCGACACCATGACAATTGCACCATTAGAAGTACAAACCGTTCTAAATACCTGACCGGCTTCGCCTGATAATCATACGACATCGCTACAGTGGGCTACAGGAGGCATACACACGAGGTGCTCTCTCATTCCGAAATTCACTGCTGGTCGGGAACAGTTTAATTCGTTTGTGAAGACCATTTGCATAGGTAGATGCATGTTTGAGACGGGTATGCGATACATATCTCCCGTTGCGGCGTGTGGTATCATTGTTGATCACTTGCGCGAAGTTCGAGGCTTACTAGCGACTGTCGACGAGAGATCCAAAGCTGATCAGGTGTAAGAGTGCTATGGAAAGCCATCAAAATCTGGGTCTAAGTTTCTAGTATTAAGGATGATGTTGGAGTGGAAGAGGTGATTCTATGGTAAAGCCACCTCGTTCATAAATGAATGTGAACCGGCTTTGATCTCCTGGCGCTAGCTGAATACGAGATTCAGTCTTCGAAGCCGGTCTCTGAGGTCGTCTCCGGATATGCGATCGTTCTGCATGCTGGTGCTCACGACATTCTTCTGTGCGCCTGGTAGTCCTCTCCTCCTCTTTGAGGTTCTCCCCCTGATGATCATCTTAATAGGTAGAAGGCTTATAGTAATATTAGTCTAGGGAACTTTATTTCCTATAAAAGTCTAGTTATTACTTACCTCTATAGGGGTTTCTTATAACTATACTTACTATAGTCTAGTTACTCAAGTGGTTCAAGACGTACTGGAGGTGGCGTCATGGCTCGAGGGAAACCGGGCAGTGGCCCGGATCCACCCACGAAAATCTCTGTGCCGCTGTCTGGGCTCAATGGACGATCGTATCTCTTGTACTTTCCGGTATTCCTTTTGCTCTGATCATAATGGAGGGGTTCATCGTATCGGTCGTGCATGGAGTTGGACCGTTCACCGTGGTGGTCATTGCGGTCTAATTTGTCATGCTGACCACGGTGCTCGCCAGAATTGTGCTGGCGGTGGTATTGCCGATGAGAAATCTCAGAATGCTCATTACGCAAACTCTTGTCTCGTCTCGTCGACTGCCGGTCAGCGTTGCGGGGGCTGGCGAAATCCCTGTTCCTGCCTTGGGTCTGCGCGCCGATCCGACGAGCTATTTCGCGGTTTGGCGGATTCTTTTCGGAATTCATGGCGTGTCTCCGGCATAGTTATTGTCTCTCAGGTTGCGATGAAGCTTGTTCGAAAAGTAGTTCACGCCGCAAAAAAGCGCGGCCGATCATCTGCTGGCAGGGTATGGTACTGGAATTGACGCCCTGTTGTATTGGCTCGTGATCGCCTTGAGAGTGCCTCGCGTAGATGAGGTCTCCCGTTTTAGGGTGAAGACACAAGACCTTTTATAGACGATGCATGTCTGTGCATTTTCGGTATTGACAAATGCCAGACGTCCACATACTGGTAGCTGGCCAAGGTGACTGCAGAGCAGCTTATCCCATCACCAACCACATGATTCTGGTCAATGACAATGAAATGTAACGAGTTCTTGTGAATGAACAACAAAGGCACACTTGAGGTGCCGTTCAGGGCCCTCAAAACCTCAAAGCTTGTCCTTTAATAACTTCTCCTGGGCGGGCGTCTTTGTGGCTGTCACCCTCAAATGCCAGTCGCCTTCAGCACAAGGCACAAAGCACAAAGACAGCCCTGGCTGTGCACACCAACGGCGTAGTCCATACCATGAAAAATTGTTTGCCTCGATTAATGATATTGTGTAGCCCGGCTGGGACTGCCCTTTGTTGGATGCTGGAGTGCCAACACCCCCCCGATCAAACCCCCTTTATGCTCGTGTGAGCACGACCAACCAAGTCCTGCTCCCAGATCGTGACTCGGCACTGTCCAGGTTTATGCCTCAGCCAGACCGGCTCATCTCCTCGGTCAGAATTCTGTCCGACGTCTTCAGCACCGACTGCCACTCCCACATCCTCTGCACCGTATCCCACAGCACCTCCCCCGGCCGGTCTGGATACCTCCTGAACAGCATCTCTGACCTCCTCAGCGTCCCTTGTTTCCACCACTCCGGCGCCCAGAGCACGACGTCCCCAAAGAACTCCTCTACCCAGGCCCGATTCCACACCCAGGGCACCGGCAGCCTCTCCTGGTCCGGCCAGTCCGCGTCCAGCCCTACGCTCTCAAACGTCCGCTCCAGCACGCCCTTGCACACCACCTGCGTCCACTGCCCGAGCACGTCGTCCGCCAGCGCCGCGAGGCTCCGCTCCACCCTCAGCGCGCTCCCGTCCTCGAACCGCCTCGTGAACGCGACGACCCGGTCCCGCCACGCCCTGTCCCTGCGGAAGGCGTTCATGATGGCGATCGTCCCGTCGACAATGTCCAGCAGGCGCTGGCACTTGTACTGCTGCCCGTGGGAGACGTAGGCCTCGACGCCCTCGCGCAGGTCTTCGATGAGGAGGGGGTGGCGGTAGGGGATGTCCGGCCGGGAGCGGAAGCGGCTGTTGTGGTTCCGGTAAGTCCAGTCGTGTCGGTCCTCGTGCTCGGCGGGGAGACCGGTCTGGTAGGCGCTCGGGCCGTAGAGCCAGCCGTTGTGGAGGTAGTCCCAGAAGAGCCATTGGCTGATCTGGTGGTCGACTGAAGTAGAGGAGCTCTGGAACGACAGCGGCTGTGATGCCATGTTCACGTTGAAGAGTATGCTGGGGACAGTCTGTGCCGGATTGGACTCTCAGTAGAACCCGAAGGAGTGTTTTCTTCTGACTTTTGCGATTTTATGTCGTCAAATGAGTAGGTCGCGGTGGAGGAGTTATGCTGTTGTGTCGCAGCACTACGTGTTTGAGTTCTGTGATGAGATGCCGCGGTTGGAATGTATTCCTCGAAGTGATATCCCACAAACTGTCTCGTTATTAGGAGCAGTAGTGCTTTTATCCTTCACCTCATGAACTTGAAACTCAACACCTGCTGGTGACGTCTCAGTCTGAATAAGGGGACCCCTCAGAAGGCCACTACTCATATCCTTGGCGTCAATAGCGAATTGCCCTCGCTCGACGGGAGACCGACTCAGGCATGCTCATCTACACGACCCTCCCAGAAAGTAGCCTTCTTTGAGCAGAAAAGCCAGCTTCAATGCTGCACGACAGGCCTTGGTTCATACGTGCCTCGTAAGTCACATAAGTGTGACCTTTGTCCGCCTCTGTATGATGATTCACGCTTGAGCGTTCATGGCCACTGACAGCCATTGCGGCTCGCTTATGCTTGAACGAGGTTGATTTGTATTTGAGCATTCCCTCGACAGGCGTTTGAGACAGTTGGACACCGTGGAGAGAGGAAGCCAATGCCTTGCTCTTGTCTTTAGATCTATCGGTACATATCTAATCGTGCTTCGTGCTCTTGTCCGCCATCTTCCCATTGTAGATTGTACATCTAGTCCTAGGTCGTACACTAATCTTGATCCTCAACCCATCCGAGTATTATACAATCCTATGTTGTACATCTCCGTAATCTTACAATACTAACGAGATCGGGCTTCTCCCTCATGCTTTCAATGCCCTTGGACTACAATACAACTGGGTTCGAATCGTGCTGACATAAGTCGAGAAAGCCTGCATCACCACGATGACGGATGGCAGTGCTCTGTGCTTCCAATGAGAAGCTGTTGCGCGCGGGAAGACCTCAGAGCTTCCTTGCCGTCTTGATTTCCTCGTAGGCTTGAATCTGATCGCCCTCCCGGATATCTTGGAAGTCTTCAAAGCCCATACCGCACTCGGTACCCTTGCGCATCTCGGTGACGTCCTTTTTGTGGTGCTTGAGAGTTTCAAGTTTACCTGTACATCACGCACGGGTCAGTAAATCTGTATGAGGGAAAAGAGGTCCACGTCATAGCTGAGCTCACCATCAAAGATTTTCTCGCCACCACGGAAGATGCGATACATGCTGCCCGCAGTGACGACGCCGTTGCGCACCCTACAACCGGCGATATTCTTGAATGCGCGGCCCTTGGTATTGTATTGGAATACTTGCTGGACTTCGGCTTCACCGAGAACCTTGGAGGAAACATCCGGCGCAAGGTAACTGCTCAGAGTGGCCTTGACGTCGTCGATCAAGTGGTAGATAATCGTGTGATCAATGATCTTAACACCCTGCTCGTCGGCGAGGCGCTTGACGTTGGAAGGCGTGGTGGTGGCGAAGTTGATGATCACTGAGCCCGACATGGCCGCGTGCTCGACGTCGAACTCCGTGATGGGGCCGGCGGCGGAGCGCAAGATGCGCGGGGTGACCTCGTTATTGCCAATCTCCTGGATCGACGCACAAACAGCCTCCACGGAGCCGTGAACATCGGCCTTGACGGCAAAATTGACGATGCGGGGGCCATCGCTGGCGTCACCATCGACCTGCATAGCTTCTTCAGCCGCGGCTTTGGCCTCGCGCAGGAACGCTGCTTTTCGGGCATTCCACTTCCCGCGGGTGATATCCCTGACTTCGTTGCGGGCTGTTTGCATCGCGCGCCGTCGTTGCTCATCTTGCACGTTGCGGACTTCGGATATGGCTGCATGGTCAGTGGCCGCTTGTTCCTGCTCGCGTAAGCCCTCGCGGTACTCGATTGCAGTGCGTGCACGACCCTCATCGGATGCCTGAATGACCTCATCGCCGGCTGCGGGTAATTCCCTCCAGCCATAGATCTCGATGGCGGTGCCTGGACCTGCCTTTTTCACATTGACTCCAGCTTCGTTACGCAGGTGTCGAATCTTGGCGAAGGTGGTGCCGGCCGTAATGATATCCCCAGGTCGCATTGTGCCACGGCGCACCAAAACAGTAGCGACCTTGCCGCTGGCCTTGAGACTGCTCTCAAGAATCCAGCCTTCAGCTGGCCCATCGTCCTCGGCACGCATGTCCAGGATCTCAGCTAGCGTCACAATGTTCTCTTCAAGCTCGTCCATTCCTTGGCCCGTCTTGCCGCTGACACAGACAACTTGGACGTCGCCGCCAAAGTCTTCGAGTTCGACGCCATTACGAGCGAGGTCATTCTTGACCTGCTCGACACGGGCGGTGTCCTTGTCCACTTTGTTGATAGCGACGATGATCGGAACTTTGGCTCCGCGAGCATGCTTGAGGGCTTCGAGGGTCTGAGGCTTGACGCTGTCATCCGCAGCGACCACAAGCACAACGATATCAGTAACGTTCGCACCACGCTGTCTCATCGTCAAGAAGGCGGCGTGACCAGGCGTGTCGAGGAAGGTGATTTGTTTGCCAGTAGACATCTTGACCGAGAAGGCACCGATATGCTGCGTGATGCCTCCATGCTCCTGTGCCGCGACAGAAGATTTCCGCAGGTAGTCAAGCAGGGTCGTCTTTCCATGATCAACGTGTCCCATGATTGTGACAACAGGCGGGCGTTGCGGTAGGATTGACGGATCTGCCGCTGGAGGTCGGCGCTTGAGATCTCTTTCGACGCCAACATCGACTGTGGGCTCGTATCCATACTCCTGCGCAACAAGAGCGGCAGTCTCTCCCGCCATAATGCTGTCCTGAGTGATGTTTTCGAACCCGAGCTCCGCAAGCTGTTCCAGGAATAGTGGAACCTCTATCTTGAGAGCACTAGCCAGCGCCGAGATGGTGATGAGCTCCGGCAGCTTGATAGGGATGGGTCCCGTACGCTCTGCCTCCTTCGCAGCTTTCCGCTCCGCCTTCAACCGCTGCTTCTCTAGGTATGCCTCGTATGCACTAGCCTCGTCCTCGTCCATCTCCTCTTCCTCTTCAAAGCGGGAACTGGAGCCACGGCCGGATTTGCCACCCTTTTTCTGGTTATGCTTGCCGCCCTTGCGGTTCGTTGTATCATAACTGCTTTCGTCAAAATCGTACTCTAGCCGGCGGCCTCGCCCCCCATTGGACCTTGTGGGATATGTCGTTGACTGGGAGACATCTGGCGCTACACTTTCTTTGGGCTCGTCTACGGCATAGGGGTCTTGCTTCTTTTTCTGTCTCGGTTGTTCATCCAGAGCGCGACCCCAGTCTTGCGTGGTGTTGCTTGATGCCTTCTTCTGCTCTTTCTTGAGCAGGTTGTTGAAAAACTCCGCACTATTGTCTTTCTTCGGCGCAGCCGCCTTCCTGGTAAGCTGACTCCAAGACGCAGAATCGGATGTCGGCGTCGCCTCGCTTGTTAAAGCATGGGTCTGGGTGGTTCGGGAATCTGGAGCAGACTGCTTTGTGGCCAGAGCGCCCCACTCCTTTGGCTTGGGTGGTGCAAGCAAGTCGGACTGTGGTGCAGTTGCAGCTACAGCGCTTGTATTGTTGGTCGCTGGTGTTGAAGGTTTGATATCTGGTGCAGCGACTGCGGGCGGGCTGGCTGGAATCGGTGCTGCGGTAAACTTAGGCCCAGCGGACGGGCTCGTAGGGGCGAGGGGAGGAGCAGCGGCTGTTCTTCGACCTTTAGACATGTCCCACTGTGGTGATGCGGTGCTGGGCGCCCTCGCGATGCTTGACGGGCGTGGAGGTCGTCGATGCCTTTCTGCCACCTTCGCCTTTGGTGGTGCTGGCGGGTCCAGGGTTCGGCCTGCCAGACTGCCAATCCCTATATTACTGCTGATGCCCTTCTTCTTGTCCTCCGCCTCCTTCTTCCAGTTCTCGTACATGGCATTTTGGCGCTCGGCGTTGAAAACATGTTTGAAAGGCGGCAGTGGGCGCTGCGTCTGTGTAGGCTTCTCGGCTGCTTCGCGTTGCGCAATGAGTCGCTTGCGTTGTTCAAGCTCGTGAGGGCTGAGTAGGCTCTCGCTTGGGGCTTTCGCTGCACCGCCTGATGGCTTGATCAGAGACGACGCTCCCCAGCCAAAACCGCCTCGAGGTGCAGCACCCGCAGGCGCGCCCCAGCCAACAGTTCCCGGAGGTCGAGATGAGGGCGAAGTTGCTGGCGAACTCGGATTCGGAGATTCCTCCTGTCGCAAAGGGGCAGTCGCGGATATGGATCTATGATGTGGCTTGAGACTGCGCTGGGAAAGTAGGCGATGTTGGCAAAAGGCACAGACGCCGGCGTCGCGCCGCATCTAAAATTTGAACACTCCGGGTGAGTTGGTGAATGGCGCAAACTGGTTGGGCGATCTAGGATGGCTTACCTGCGCGATCCTGCCTCTGATCATGGTGCCGGTTGGCAAGTGAGCAGTATCACCTGGGCATGGGGAAATTCTCAAAGGTGCAGATGGGCGACAGTAGGAGACTGGCGGGGGTTGAGTTGGTGGTCGACGCTGCGACAGCAAGCTGTCGTGAAGCCGTGAAAATAATCTGGAGCCGCCCTAAATCTGCGACAGCTCAATGGCGGGCGCTGGCCGGCCCCATCAGGCTTGTTGCCTCAGTGGGTCTTGCAAGGGCCAGGGTTGGGACGAAAACGGCAGTACTAGAACCGTTTCTCGCCGTTTGGCAAAACGGTGGGCCAGGTCCTCCCCTATCGCGTGCACACACAATTACAGTGGCCAGGGTCAACCGTTCTCCACTACAGACAACGCAGATCTGGCTCCAACACGCTGACTTGACTGCATGTCCCTTCCGTCACTCCCGCGATATCAGACATATTCACAGCCAGTTCTCTCGGCAACACATCCACCATGGCGCGGCAAAGGAAAAAGGACCCTCTCGCAGCCAAGTTGCGCAAGCCAAAAGAGATCAATGGAATCCCGGAGGGCTTCCAGGCACCTCCCGCGGATCTCAAGCCGTTTCTCGAGACGCTCAGCGAGAAGCACGTCTATATCGCCCATATCGACAACCACCCGGCCTCGTTCAAGCGCAACATCTTCGCGGTTCCAGTGCTTATGAACCTGGCCGTGTGTGTTCTGTTCTTCCTACGGCTCTGGTACATTGGGGAATGGTACCTCAAGCTCCTGGTGTCCGTCCTTGGCTACCCCAACGAGCTCACCCTCAACGTCTACGAGATGGAGTGGGAGGACATCTTCATGGAGATCGGCCGCAGGACATTCACCCTCGCCCTCGACTTCGTGCTCACAATGTTCCTTTGGCCGTGGCCGATCGAGTTTGCCCTCAAGATTGCCGGCGGCAACCCCGTCATGTGGCGCTACAACGTGGGCTTCCGGGACCGCGAGATCATTGTCCGCCGCAGCCGCCACTGGGACCGTGCGCTCGGCGACGTTGTCAACGACCTCAACAGTCGCGGTCTGCTCATGATGAACATCGGCGTGGCCACGGCACCGCTCCTGATCAACGAGAAGACGGGCTACCTGCTCATCAACGCCGAGTGGGACCTCGACTGGAACGCCATGTGCGACGCCACCAGCTTGCTCGACCAGAAGATGGTCAAGTTTCTGTCGTTTGACACAATCGTGCTAGTCTTCCACGACGAGTACGGCTGGCTCTCGGTCGAGGTTGACAAGTCGGAAACGGTCAATGCGGATGAGCGGCTCAAGCAGAAGAACATCTTTGCATTCCGGGAGGCCCTGCGGGGGCTCGACAAAGAGCACCTGTTCTACCGGTGGATTGAGCTTGTGCAGTACGAGTCGTCGCGGCCTGGCGGGTTCACCGAGGAGCGACAGGTCGAGGCTGCCAAGCAGATCCGGGAGTTGTTCCAGAAGGACAATATCGACTTTGACCAGCTGTGGCTGGAAGCTGTTGGTACGGATGCGTCTGAGGGGCTGTAGGCCAACACCGAGGCGTTCTTCAATCAGATCTAGGCACTGGGGAGGTGCTTCCTACCTTAACCTGATGTTATCCATGTTCGCGGCTGGCCGATTTGAAGTCTTCGCGGTGACTAGGACGGTGCTGGCAATTTCGCAACAGGAAACTAGCCGAATCCTGTCTGATACTCTCAGGCCGGCTGCCACCTCGTCTGCACGATGCACGGCATTACACGGGACTGATGCACATCTCAGCCCCATACATATTGTGCCCTTCGACCACCCAGCTGATGTTCGTCGCGGTCGAAAGGTTGCAGGCATAACCTGGCCAATATTGATCATCACGATTCAAACGGGCAAGTGTTTCAGAAACCCGATACAAAAGACACAGCGAAATCGTATTCAGGGTGGGATAGAAAGTTCAGGCACGAAACAGATACCACCATTCCAAAACTTGATAGACAAAGAGACCACTGCTGGAACCGTCCCTTATTTCGCCTTTTGAGTGCCCACTCCTTTGGGATTTCTTTCGTGCATCTTTGGCCTCTATCAAGTCTCTACCCTTCGGCCGATTCTGTCCAACTGATGGTGGTGGCATGGACTGAATACGGTGCTTCATGCTGCTGAAATACAAGTGGTCGCAAGGCTCATGAAGCTTTAGCACTTGATTTGTCGGTACCCTCAAGGTTCCGTCCCAGAAGCCCTCCCCGATGCTCTTCCCACGCAGACTGTCTTGCTCGGGATCACTTTGTCCGCCTTCCCCATCGTTCCGGCTGCCGGAGTCTTGCTGAAGCAGCTATGTTCGGTGTTGACGACGTTCTTGAGACTTCTGAGGTATCCTGTGCCCATGTCGATGAGAGAGGCTGCTCATTCTTGTTGTCATGGGCAGATGAGGTCCATCCTGCCTGACAACGACCAGAAAATATCATCTTCTGATTCCCTCATCATGACTCACGGGCTCATCCCCCAATGAATACAGCACCACCACTCTCCGCCTTGTCCGCCACGCCGGCCCAAATATCCGATCGTCTGATCTCACTCACTCCGCCACCAGCTCCAGTCTGTCTCTCTTTCCCTCTTCAGCTCGTCAAGTCGGGGAGCCGCCGCCAACTGCCGCCGTCTCTCCCCCCTCCTCAAGCCGTTCAATCAGCCGCCGCTGCACCTCGCGCGCTTCAATCCGGGCCAACAAAAGCTGCTGCTGCTGCCTCCTCGACTCTTCACGCCGGGCGGCCAGGTGCTGGCGCCTCTCCACCTCTTCGAGCTGGGCCACCGCCAACTGCCGATGCACCTCCCACTCGAGCATCATCAGCGCGCCCTCGAGCATCTTGACCACCACCGGCTGGATCACCAGCACGATCAGTACCACCAGCAGACACCGGACTTGCTCCTCCAGCAGCAGCAGCAACACCATCACGGGCGGGAACACCGCGCGCAAGAGCAAGCCTGCCGCCAGCGCCGCCACCATAAACAGCAGCCCTCTCGTTGCCAGCGCTCCCATTGTTGTCGGCAGCCAGAGCATTGACACCACCAGCTCCAGCACCAGCGCGGTAGATTGTCCGGCCACCAGAACTGTCCAGCTGCTCCCGCTCGTGCACTCTATCACCACCACCGCCGTCGATGATGTCCTCCGGGTCTTGTTCTTCCACTAGCTGTTGTTGCCGTCGTCGTCGTTGTTGTTGGTTTCGGGACCCCCAGCCGAACCGGAACCGGGACAGAAGCCGTCCCTGGTACCGCACAGCGCAGTAGAACGTGATCAGGAACGCTAGGAAGCCGAATATGCAACCCGTGATGACGCCCGCGATGGCCTGGGCAGTGTAACTCTGCGCGTTTCGAGAATCGATTGAGGATTGGTGGTGGTTGGTGAATTGTAGGGCTCGTACTGGTGGTGGTCGCGGTGGTGGTGGTAGTATTCCCGAGCTTGTGGTCCTGCTTGTTCGTCCTCGTCGTCGTTGGGACGGCGGCAGTGGCCGGGCTGCTGTTCTTCTACGTGGTATTGGAGGGTAGCAGGGTCGGCGTTGTGGATCGAGATGGAGATGGGTGTCATTGTTGAGTTCTGCTGATCGGGGCTTCCTTTATGTGCGTGGGATGTCGTGTCGCCGAGGTTACTGTGTGTAGTGGTGGGATGCTTGGATGGTGAGTTGGCCGTGAAAAGGTGACAAAGACCAGCGTTGTAGGTACTGATCAGTCTCGGCGAGATGTGTGTATGTGTCGCCCACTAATTGTCGACTTGGTCTGGTGAACTCGAGTCACTTGAAGGGATCGAGAACAACCCAAAACCTCAACAGGGGATGAGAAAACTGCCTGGCCTTCGTATCTAGAAGGGGGGACAAAACTGCATGTGCGGAATAAAGATACACCATTTGCAGGGGAAGTCAGCCAAGCAGTAAACAAAGTCATAAGTCGTTCATTCATTTCTGCAGAAAGTACGAATGGCAGGCAAGCCCAGTGTGTGTCCAACTCCTCAGCCACACCAACCCACAACTTCACGACCTCCCTACATTGTAGCACCAGCAGGCTGCCCTTCGACAGTCAACGCGGTGGCCTCGGTGACCGTCTCGGCCTGGATCAGCTTGACGCTGACCTGTGCGTCGCGCGCATACACTCGCAGACCCATCACTACCACGGCATTCCACGGCGCCGCCGGCGTGTCCTCGTCGTCTGCCGCGTCGGGAGTCTCGTCGTCATCGTCACTTTCTTCCTCTTCGGACTCTTCCACTGGAGGAGCATCCTCTACTGCCGGTGGCACAGGGTCTTCTGTGGTGGGGGCGGCGGTTCCTTCAGCTGCGTCGCCGTCCGCTGCAACGTCGCTCTTAGCCTCAGTCTCTGTGGTGGGCGTGTCAGTCGTAGTGGCCTCGGACGAAGAGGATGATTCTGCAGCCTTGCTCTCCTCGGCTGCTTTATCAGCAGGCGGTGGCGCATCCTTGGGGGGTGCACCGGAAGTACTGGCGGCCACATCACCCTTCGCGGCCTCCACGGGCGTCTGCGAAGGAGGAGCCGAGCCTGGAGCAGCCCCTGGCGCTGTGGCTGGTGCCGCAGCCGACGATGCAGAGGTAGCAGTAGCAGTGGCGTCGCCACTCTTCTTATCGCTGCTCTCCTTCTCGTCTTTGCTCGTAGCACCATCGTCTTTCTTGGCCTTGGCGCCATCCTCCTCCTTGGTGGCCTCCTGAATAGCCACGGCAACCTTCTCCATCGCCTTGGCCGCCTGTCTCAGCACCTTGCGGTTCTTCTCCTTGAGCTTCTTCTTCTTGGCGTCCTTCTTCTTCTTCGCCAGCTCCTTCTTCGAGACGAGCAGCTCGTCCTCATCGGGCACGCCACCACGGGCGTGCGCGAGGTCATACTGCATCCCGATCTGCCGCAGCTTCTGTGGGTTGCGGTCGGCGTACTCCTTGACGACCTGCTCCACAGGCTTTGAGCCCTCCTTGCGCTTGGCCGTGACTTTGGGCAGGACGTAGTACTTGCCCGCGTCGAGCTCGACCTCGCACGAGACGCTGCGGTTCTCCCAGTCGTGGATGGGCCGCACACGGCAGATGTGTTCCTGGGGCGAGCTGTCGCTGCTGTCGCCCGTTGGCGCAGCTTGGAGGATGAAGTGCAGGCTGTATGTGTACTCGCCCTCTAGACCAGTAAAGTATCGCTCATCGAGCTGGGTGAGAACAATGACGACGAGGCCAGACTTGATGACCTCGATCTCGAACTTGGACTGCAGGTAGCCCGTGATCCACGATACGTTAGCACTGGTCCACTGCTGCACGACTGTCCACCGGTCGTCGAATAGACGGGTGCGGTGCAGGAACATGAACGTGTCGAGCATGTCCTTGTACGACATCCAGAAGACTCCATCGTCGCCGAACTTGTGGTCCATCTTCTTGAGCCAGTACGGTGTCCACTCGCGCGAGCCATCTGACCAAGGGCCGTTCCATTCTCCGAGCCCAGACCATGAGCGCTCGCCCCAGGGGTTTCTGTGGTCATGTCAGTGTTTTTGCTGCATATCTAGGAGAGCGGGAGGATCATGCTTGGCAGAACACAAAGCGGTCACAAACTCACCTGATCTGCACAAGCCGGACCTTATTTCCATCCTCGTCAACCTCTTCTCTCGCCTGCAGGATCGAGTAGGCGTGACCCAGGGCAAGGCCGCTCTTCTGGCGATCCCACCCAGTGCCCATGGCCGCCAGCGCAAAGACAAAGTCGCCATCGCCACTGCTCTGCAGCTCCTTCCAGAGTCTATCCTTGAGCAGCACGCGGTTCGACGCCAATGTCGTGGTGACGCCGCCCGTCATGTCTTCGACCGCCTCGCCAGGCCAGCCACCAGAGATGGACTCGTAGTCGCCGTGCACTTTGGCATATGCCTTCTCCAGCAGTGGGAGCCAGGTCTCGTTCTGGTCGTCACAGCGGGCAAAATAGAGCGCCTCGGATCCCGTCTGCTTCTCCTTGCGGTGGCGACGGGAGCGCTTGCCTGTGCTGTCGTACACATCGCCGTAGTAGTCAAAATCCTCCTCCGTGAGATACAAGTTGTCGTCGATGACGGTCGACACCCACTCGCCGTCGCGCTGGAACACGAAGCCATAGACACCGCACTCCTCGTCCCGCGCCACACACACCTTCTCCATGAGGTCTTTGCGGTGTGCGATTGTAGCCACCGCCGCGAGCCACCAGCAGTCCCCGTTGGCACCCTGCTTGATATCCGAACTCGAGTACCCGCCAACGGTGAACCGCGGCGACTCAAAGATCCAGTCGACCCGGTGCACGGAGCCCGGGTTGTACATCTCGCCGCTCGACACCCCGCCACTGCCGAACGCGAAGCCGTCGTCCGCACCGACGAAGCGGCTCAGTGCATTGGCATCGGCCGTCAGCGTGCCGTTTGCGCCGAGCATCTGGCTCTGTGCGAGGGTCTGCAGGCTGTTCTTGACCTCCCAGGCATTGACTGGCGGAGCCGCGGCACCAGCGTCCCCAGCATCAGCGGCTCCATAATCGCGGACGAGCCCATTTAGGCAGTTGCTGAACTGGTCGCGCTCAATGTCAAAGTCTGGGTCGGTGAACTTTGCGTTGGTGCGGTGGCACTCGCGGACGATGCGCTTGACGCGGTCGCGGCACTCCTTGGCCGCGGCCTCGTAGCTCTCGGCGGCATTGCGGGCGGACCGGGCACCGCGCGGGTGTAACGGAGGGAGGATGTCCTTGTAGAGGCTGCGGGGGAAGATGGAGGTGACCTTGCCGGGCTTCTTTGTGTGGAACTTGTCCCAGAAGTCGGAGAGGACCTCCTGGGGCGCCTTCTTGTTGCGGCTCTTGTTGGAGCCGCCCAGCGCAGCCAATGCAGGGGCGTCGCCGTAGGTTGCCATGCTGGATGTTTTCTTGTATTCACGTTGTGGTCAAAGGGATAACGAGCACAACGCCTTTGAGGTTGTTTTGGAGGGGCGAGTGGAAGGAGCAATTGCCCGACACGATGTGATCTCCTCCTGGGGGCACATCACGAATCTCGACGGCGGGACCTAACGCCCTTTTTGTACTCACTATGCTCTCCGTCTCCTCGCTCTCTGTCGTCCTCCAGCCTGTACTGCTCCCTCTGGTGGCCGTGTACGGGGACCAATGCCAAGCGGCATCCTTGCGTGGATAGCTCGGGGCCTGCAGCACGAAATGCTGACGGCAGGCCAGCCCTGCCGGCCGTGAGCCTATCACGGGAACACTGTGCCGGTTAGCAGCCGGGTTCGTGCATTGATTTCAGCTCTAGCCGCGTCTGCTGGGGCAACGTGGCTGGCCATCGATCAGGCGGTTGCTCGCGTATGGGGAATCGGCCCCCAAATCGCCTAGGCTGGGCCGGTTTGAGAACAACGGGGTGGCCGGGGTGGGTGAGCACGATCGTACGTTTTGGCCAATCACTGCCGCAGTGGTTGCGCGGCGTCGCGGGAGCTGGATATAACATTGGAGGAGGGTACGCTACCCGCCGGTTTTGTGGGAGGTTGGCTTACATGGAGGGTGCAGGTCAGCCAGGCGGGAAGTGGGAGTCGGGTTGCCGTCCTTCCTCGCTCTTGACGTGATCGCGCCAGCAGAGGGAGCCCTGCTGCGGCACGCGTGCATCGACATCCCGGGGTCGCACCTGCCAGTGGGGAAAGCCGCTGCAGGTTTCTATTTTGGGCGGCTGGTGTGCGCCACAGCATGCAGAGCACCGAGCATAAACTGCCAGCACCAAAGGGCACTCACCACGACGCAGCTCTAGGACAATCCATAGGGCTTGATCATGAGACTAGAAAGAGTAAGAGCAAGAGAAAGAGCAAGAGCAATGGGGAATTCTCTATGATCTCTGCTGCCCGTCAACGAGGAGGTTCAAGCAACCAAGCGACGGAGCCCGTGGTCTCAAGCATCCAGCATCGTCGAGGGCTGCTAGACTGTGGGCGGAAGGCCCGCCTTTCAGCCCTATAGGGGTGGCCTCTTTGCTCCCCCAGCATCCTTTCAACTCGGTCGTGCAGTTTGGTAGTTGCATCACTTTGCCAAAACTCACAGCAGACGCTGCTCTCGCTTACCACTCCTCTCACGAGTCCCTGTCATTGACAAGCTGGGGTAAAGTGTACCGCGAGGCAATCGAGGCACTGCCCCGCAGAGGAACTCCAGGTCAGGTCAGGTCAGGTCAGAGAGGTCCCCGCACAGGCAACAGCAGGCACCTCGGTTGCCTTCCAAGGCTGCCAGGCTGCAACCATCATGACCCAACCACACGCGCAGCTTTTGGTAGTGCCAGGATGCCTGGTGGCGAGGATGGCTCCGGGTACGAAATTTCACGCGTCCACTACCAACTAGGCACCTGAGATTCGAGACAGCAACATACAGTACTTCTCAGGCCCCTCGAGACCATCAAGGCTGTTCGCCCACTTGAGTCTGCCTACTCTGGATATCAACGTTGGGCTCGGTCGCACGCCGCTGCTACAAGAAGAAAAGAAATCAAAATCCCAATGTCCACAAGCATCCACCACACCTCAATCAACCAGGTCCCCTACGAAGCCAAGCCGGTGACGCTTTACATCCACCACTCTCGCCCACTCCAGCAGCACGCGCCACGTGTATAGCAGCATGTCCTCCCTCCGCAGCACCTGGGCCGCCCACGCAGCTCCCTGCTCGGCGATCATCTGTGCAGCTTTGTCGCCCTTGGCATCACGCGTCAAGTAGTCGAGAATGCCGTACAGGTCCTGCTGCGTGTTGTCCATCGGCACAAAGTGCAGCCACGGGGTCAAGCGGTCATCGTGCCACTCGGCATATATAGTGGCTTTGACCGGCAGCGACGTCGACTGTAGGAAGCTCCGGAACCGGCCGCTGAAGCTGTTCCCATCAATGTCGGGCAGGAACTTGTAGTCAAAGTACTTGTGGAACGACAACTTCTTGGCCTTTGGAAAGGTCTCCTGCATATACCCGCACTGGTCATCTGTGCCATCAACACACGTCAGCTGCGTGAATCCGACATCGCCAACGGACTCGATCCAGCTGCCAATTCCTGTGTTGTGCGACCTCATCACGTGCGGGTACCGCTCCGCCGAGGGCAGTTCAAACGTCTGAGCCGGGATGCCATCTCGTGCCTCCATGGCAGCCACTTTGCGTCCATCAAGCATCTCGACTACACGCATGCGCTGGGAGTGCGTCCAGTTCTCCTCGGTGGCGTTGCCGCCGGATGAGATGCCTCTCCACACCGCCCGCGCTTGCTTGCCGCTCCATGGGGTGCTCCAGGAGTTCGCAACACTGTATCTGGGTGTCCCCGTCACGCGGAAGTGCGCAGACTCGGCCAGATACATGGCTCCAGGGATCAGAATCTCATTGTTCGACTGCAGTTTGCAGCCTCCGAAGAGGGGGATCATCTCCTGCGAAGTCAGCATCGCCTGGGGCTCAATCAAGGTAGCGTGGAGTCCTCGGAGGTGTGGCTGGGTGCAGATGTCCATCGCGGCGGTGAAGTTGCGGACGTAACCCTTGTGGTGAAAGTGTTGATCTCTATCGGGGAATATGGGACGCTCCCACATGGCATCGTATTGTTTGACATGACGCGATGGCGACTCCGGTGGGCACGTTGCCCTGACGGCGTCCCAAATATTCCGCGTGAGCCACTTGGGCTCATACATGTCGGTCTGATCCCGTACGCGGTCCACTGCCTTGAGCCCCGAGAACTCCGAGGAGACTTGTTCGACTGGAGGCATAACCTTGCCGTCGTTTCCAAGCTTGATCAGGCCATCCATGGTCTCCCATGGCACGAGAAGTCTCGACTCGTCGTAATAGTTGAATGGCATGTCGACATCCGGCAGGTGTGGCGCAGCCTCGTTTATGAGGTCCGTCCAGAGCTGAAGCCATGGCGGAGCCCATTTCTTGATGGGACCGGTGCCCGCGGCAACACCATTGCGAACCCGGACAGTGTTGAGCCAAGTGGAAGCTCTTAATGCAGTCTGCTCTGGATCGAGAGCCCAGTATGGCGCGATGTCCTTGTCGATCCTATCAAAGAAGGACTCGACAACCATGGCGCTGTGGTTCTGTGCATACTCGAACCACAGATCGAAGCCTGGTGGCGGATGGCGACCACGTCGTTCTCGGTAGCGGGCAGCTGCCGTGCCCAGATCATGGCTGGCGCTCTGGAGAGTGTGCTCGTGCCGCTTGTAGGCGTCACGGATGAGCTCGTCGATAGGATGCTCGCTGTCGACATGTTGCAGATACTCTGCAAAGGTTGTTGGGTTATTGAAAGGGGTGTTGTCAGGTGCTGCAAAGAGCCAATATCCATACAAAAGGATGGAGATGAGGGAGATGGCCATCATATGATACAGCCTGGACCGACCACCAACCCTCGCCCAGCGACTCCTGAGGGGTGATCGGTCTCGCAGCCATGACAGCTTCATGGTAAACACCGGCAGACTGGGCAGAGGAAAGCGATGGTCGTGTGTGTCGATCAACGCTCCCGCCAAAACTTTTGTGGTTGTCGTTGTCGATTCTGCCGTTGCTGGTGCTGCTTTGTTGAGCAGCAGCGGCTTTGCGAAGGAAACAAGGATACCGAGACGAAGCGAAAGGACATTGCCAACGGCGAATATCAGCCTCACCAAGGAAAACGGGCCTGGGCCACGAACACAGAGGCACTTTCTCTGCCACCAGGGTCATTCAACAGGCAGCATCAAAACAGATAACTCGAGGCACGACTAGGACGTCCTCCTCCTTGCACACAGACTTGTTGGGGCTGCCGCCGTACCCATGTGGCCCATCTGTATGCACAGAAATTGCCACAAAGAGCAAATGTGCCCAGCCGGGACGTTGAAACCTCGTGGTCTTGTGCTCACCCATCCTAGTTGCTTGGCACTGACAGCAATGCCTGCCCGGGTAACATGTCATGTCCAGACACGGATGATTGAAGATGGGGCAAGCAATACCCGGCTTTCTAAGATGTGTGGACCGGAGACTGGAAGTGGTCCCCGAACGATGGCCCATGTACCCGTCTCCCGAGAGAGAACTTACTTGCTGGCAATCTGAATACAGAGTGTATGCGAGATGCGGGAAGTTTGGAAAGAGTGTATTCTGCCATCTGTAAGACCACGCAGCGGCTCATGACTGCAACTCACGGCACTTTACTGCATTCGAACCTTTGCTGTTCGCTGGTGATGCTGCCAACATCAAACAAGATACACTAGTGAGATGATGTGTCCGGGCACAAGGTAGTGGAGTCCAAGTCTAGCATTGTCAATCGCGTGTCCACTCATCCCGTTTACCTAAATCCCAATCTTAGGAGCTCGTTCAAAGGTAGGACGCAAATCTTTATAAATCGGTCAACCGCTTCGGAGACAGCTGGTCAACCAGTAAACGACTCAAGGTTTGCTCCTTCGTCCGAGCATGGTCCAGCTCTTCCTCACTTACACCTTGGTGGACTTGCTGAAGCAGGAATCTCAAGCCGTATCTAAACAAAGCACTGGGCTTGTTTCGGACCCCAATCACCTGCTCACATCTATGGCCGCTGGTGACCTGGATCTGGCGAACAGCAAACAAGAGAATGAGGCTGCCTGGACATGTGGGGACCCCCCACACTGATCATGTCCCCAAATATGCGAACCCACGCTGGGCCGCCCGGGTATCTCTCAGGGCTTTCTTAATCCACCCTGGGCCGCCCGGGTATCTCTCAGGGCTTTCTTAACCCACCCCAGTATTTGAGACTAGCTGGCAGGCACGGACGGTTATTATTTTTAAACACATCTGTAGAAGAGCCTCACGCTCTGTAGTCAAGATTGGGTTCTCCGATGTGTAAGGAGGGCGTTATTCCGGAAGAGGGCTTAGCGCTTGTGACAGGGGGGCCGCGGTCAGAACTCATCAAGCATATATCCCTCCGACCCTCTGGGCCCAAGCACAAGGGTCTGGCAACAAGATGTGTTCCATGCAGGGACGGCCGCTTCATGTGCCTGAACTAGGCATGATTACTAGTTTCGGGGATGTTATTTTGATATGGCGGATCTTTGTGGGGTGCACTTCTCTTACGAACTCCTGAGGTGCTTGTCCCCGGCTCATGGTCGGGTGGGATTGGACGTCGTTTGTACTTGGTGTGTGCCCCAGGGACCGGTTAAAACGGCTGCCTGAAAAGCGAAGCCCGGCCAGGCAGCAACTTAGGAGAACTAATCTTCGGTCCGATCCAATCCAGCACGGCTTCCGAGAAGATTGGCAAGGGGACACATTGTTCGCGTGACATGCCCGTTGCTGGGCTGGCGCGCACGCATCCAGCCGTATCTATCGCGGCACGAGACAATCAGGAGAGAGCTCATTCCGGGGGCCAGGATGTTTTTCTCGCGCGGAGTCTCTTGCGCCAAGCAGGTTTCGACGACCTGGGTTGGATCTCAAAAATTCGGCAGTTCAGAGACTGTGCAATGGGACGGCTGCCTAAAAGGTCGAGACCGTTCAAGAGGATTCGGGAGAGAAGCGCACGATGAGCCCGTTCTGGAAAAAAACACGCGGATTTCCGCAACAAGACAAGTGACATTTACACCTGAACATGCAGTTCGACAGCGCACGACTCGCGTTTCTTAAGGTTGCATCAAGCTTTCAAGTTCGTTCGTCCAGATGAAGACATCTGTGGTTCCTTCCCGCGAGGCTGAAGCTCCCGAAGCACCTGCAGATACTTGCTTACCTTGCGGTCACCCATTGTTGAAATCCTAGGCTTCTAACTGGGCAATATGACGAGCGCGACCAAAGTATCAACTCTTGTCTGGACGGTAAGTCACCTCGTTTCAAGAGAGCTCATGCCACTCTTTTTGGACGTCGACCATGGTAAGGGGGACTCGCTCCACAAAGATGACCTTACATCGCAACTTCGTCACCACGGGGGAACACTTTGTTGTTGCCGGTCATTTTGTGCCAAATCGTATTTTATGTATCGCGGCTTTATATCGACAAAACAGATAGGCGACTCCTGCGCCGCCATATCCCCCATGTACGGGCGCTTCCGACAGACCGTCCTAGCGAAGAATATCCCACCGACGACTGCCGCCCAGAGAACTTGGCGAATGCCATGCTGAAGCGAGGACGCAATGGCATCAGCTTCACTTCTTGCCCTTCTTGGCAGGCTTGCCGAGCGCCGCCTCGCGCTTCTTGGCCTCCCTGAGCTCGATCTCGGACCGCTTCTCCTTGGCGAGGGCCTCGGCCTCTTCTCGCTCAGCCTGTGATGTTGGGGGAGACAATGTCAGCACGCATCTAGAAGTAATCGTGTCCCAGCTATTGCAAAGAGCCCTCGCGTCTGCAGAGCCGGAGGGGTGTGTGCGTGTGTGTGTGTGTGTGTGTGTGTGTTTGTATGCATGCACAGAGTAACCTACCTGTCTGCGCGCAGCCTCGGCCTCACGCCGCTCCCGGATCTCCTTGAGGCGGGCGAGATCGGCCTTGGCCTCGTCCGTCTTGCCGGCCTCGTGGAGCTTGCGATACCGCTCCTTGGCCTGCTGCGCCTCGTACGCCTCCTTCTCCTTGCGGTTCATTCCGCCGACGGCCATCTTCTTGACACCCGCGGTGGCCTTCTTGACGCCGGCGTCATCGTCGCTGTCGTCTTCGTCTTCGTCCGAGGCGGCCTTGGGAGGCGCGCGGGTCTGCTTGCGCGCGGCCTTGCTGTGGTTGGGGTTGGCGGGCATGTCTTTGTCGTCGTCAGAGTCCGAGTCGCTGTCCTCATCCGAGTCGCTGGGCATGTCTCCGACCTGCACGGCGGCCTTCTTCTTCCTGGCTATCGCGGCGTCCTTCTGGGCCTTCTTGGCAGCCCTGCGCTCCTCTCTGCTCGCAGGCGTGGCAGCAGCAGCAGCCGTCTTGGTGGAAGGGCCGGCGTCGTCGTCGTCAGAGTCCTCATCGGAGTCCTCCTCGTCAGAGTCTTCCTCGGAGTCGTCGTCAGAGTCGCCGCCGGCGCCACGGCGGTTCTTCTTCTGGGCGTCGACGCTCCACATGCTGATTTCGTTTCCATCGGCGTCGAGGGGTCGCAGGTCGCGAGAGAAGTGGTGACCACCTGTTCCAAAGGCACGGGTGCAAGTCAGTGATGGGGCTCTTCTCCCAGATGCCATTTGCCTTTCCACCACTTGGTCGTTGACCGTGCGTTTTGGTCGGGTTGAAAAGTCAGGGCGAGTACTCACCTCCTCTTGTGTACTTCTTGAACTTGCCCCCGCGGCCGCGGGCGGTAGCTGCTCCTCGTCCAGACATGGTGGTTGTGGATGTGTGGTTTTGGTGAAGAGGAGATTTAGGTATGGCGCAAAATGGAAGCCGGAACAACAAGCAACTGCAAGCTTGCACAAAGAAAGTGGAGGGGCACAGACGTCAGGCTGTACAGCCAAGTTTATGGTCAGAGAAGCATATGGGAGGAAAGTCTAAGTACGGACGACACAAGCAAGAGGGCGAGCGTGTGAACTAAAATAACCCTAGAGCGCAGGTTCAACGTCAAGCTGTCAGAGTCATCTAATTCACATCATTTCTTGGGTTATCCCCAATCCAGCGGCTGCAAACGGGCGGACTGATCACGGCGGCGCCTGTGAATCATTCACCATCATCTCCCACGCAGTGGCGGGGTAGGCAATGCCCTGTGCACGATTGGGTGCTGTGCAGGCAGTGCCCCGCGTCAAGAAAAGCCCCTGCCGTCAAACATGGGACAGGACAGTCAGGCCCAAAGTGCGCGCGAATGGAATGACGCGGATTGTCATGTCCCAGGGATGGTGGGGGCACTGCAAGTCCAGTGGCTTTCAGGGACTTCCAATGTTGAAGTGCCGACTCCCTCGCGCATGTCAGGAACACCACCAGCCACAGCCAAGTTGTGGCTTGAAAGCAATTTGGCGTGGGTGGGTCCCCTGCTCCCAGCCACGCTTCCGGCGCCCTTAAATTTGTCACGCAGGCGCAGAGACTTTGCCTGCTTTCCTCCTTCTCTCCATAAACTGAAACAAACCTTCATATTCACTCTGGCTTTCGTCAATATCAATGGCAGGTCTTGGAGGGGAAATTGGAGGAGAGAGGAATCCCCAGGAGGGCTCACAAGGCTTCTCCTTCGACCACTTACCCTCCGGCCTGTTTCTTCCATGTGTTGGGTCCCGGAGAAATTTTTCGGTCGAGACATCTCGACGTGCACACTACACGTGATGGTAGCTTCTGACATGCTCGTGACTGTCGCCTGTGAGAAGGGGGGGGCGCTATCGTACATGCCTCGCAATTTGGTTCCAGATCACCACGAGGCGCAGTCGTCCACAATTGCCACAATGCTCGACCGTCTCGTCTCGTTCGCACCGCGACATCCTCCCAGCGCCTCTGCCTGGATAAACCGTCCAGCTGCGACGGTGACCTTTGTCTCGAACCCATCCCGCGGAGCCTCTACGACGGCGAGTTCAAGGTCGCCACCTGGCCCGCCTCCATATAAGTTCCAGCTGTGCATCTCCGTCGCACCATTCCAGCTCATCCACACATCAGCGGTCCCATCGTTGCGTAGGCAGCCTGTGACCTTGGGCCGTGTCGCTGGATATCCTTTCCACTCGTGCTTTCTCGCACGGTACGCTCCAGCTCCAGGGAACACGTGCGAGCCTCGTGGTCCAAAACGAAACGTCTGAGCCACCGTGCCATCCTCGTAATACTCTTTGATCACCGGTTGCGTGCCGTATGCGACAAAGACATTGCCGTTATCGAGCACCTGCATGCTTCCGCCAGCCACAGAACTAATGGCCTCGTTGACGTCCCTGTATATGCGCGTACTTGCAACAGCGTGACCATCAGCCTCGCCATCCGTCAGCTCCAAGAGCATGCCATAGGTCTCGTTCAGCGGCAAAGTCCCATTGTTGCGGTTGTTGAACATGCTCAGCAACATCTGCCCCTCTGCTGATCTGTGGATGTGTACATCATGCTGCCACTGGAACGCTGCTGCTGGGGTCATGGCAAAATCACCACCATCGTCACCCTGGCAGAGCTGTCAGTAGGGCAGTCTGCATATGCAGAATGAGGCAGGACACTGCTTGCTCACCTGTAGCGTCCACCTGACGTCGCCAGTGCTTCGGTCAATATAGATCGCGTCGAAAGTGTGGCGCCACGACACCACGATGCCATCCTCAAAGACGGTAGCACTGTTCAGGTGTAAGTAGTCCCATGGCGGCGAAGACAACCCGCCAACTTCATCGCGGGCAAGAGGTAACGGTGCATGCGAGTTCGTAATTGGGATGTAGTCTGAGGCACGCCAGCGAAAGAGGATGTCGTTGGTGGCAATGTCGATTTCGTACACTACACCATCATGGATCCATCCATTGCGCGGACCACCAACCGCACTCAGGTCCCATGGCTGCACGTCGTAGGCGAGCACTAGCAATGTGCCAGATGGTGTCACGAACGCCTCATGCGGGTCGATGAGAGAGTCAAACTGACCATTTGTTGACAAAGTTGGATCGGCAAGGGTCACATTGTAGATGGACTGGTAGGAATCATCCAGGATGCGGATGCAGCCGTGAGAACTGACGGGCAGGTTGGTTGCTACTGCGCTGCTGGCCTCCCAGTAGACGAGAACATCCTTGCCAAAGAGCCTGGCGGGTGTAAGATTCGACACGAGCTGTGTCGCTGCTGGGTCCGACTGCCAAAGAAGCTTACCAGACTGCGTCATGATCATGACAGCGTTCTGTGTGGCTTCAGACCCAAACTGGGCAAACAGGATGTGGCCAGGTGCCGGCTCTTGAGGCATATCGAGTTCGATGACTGGCGGAGCAAAGGACGGCTCGGTCCTGAAGCTGAGATGGCTCCATGGCGCACCATTCAGGGGCAGATCCGGATGAAGTAGTGCTTTCACGGAGTGGACGGTCCAAGCAAAGCACACTCCGAGGCCGTGAAGAAACATGCTCGTGATGCGTACAAAGATCGTGATGGCTGCTGAAATCAAATCTTAACGTACTCAAAGTCGGCTGGGGACATCTGGACAAACCAGAAAGGCGAATTTGAAGCGGCCACCCCAAACCTCAGGAAGCACTTGCGTGTGCGACAGGACATTGGCATAGGGTAGTTGCGATGGGCCCAGCGAAGGCATGTGCGATTCTGCTAGCACCAACATTCAAGTTAGATGCTTCCCATCGAGGAGCGCGCCTTCCACTCATCATCAACACTTGGGCTTGTGTTGGACGTTTTTCGCAATATTGAATTAATCCAAGTACGCTAGGCTGTGCACAGGCGCACTCGCTGGCCACGCCAGCTTGCGGGTACATCTAGGAGGTCACAACCTGATAAGCACCAGTGTTTCTTGAACACAGCCATGAAGAGACAGACCCCCAATGAATTCCTAACAAAGGCACAACTTCTAAGCTTTTGAAGACCATACAGCTGCGCCCAAGCGAAAGAGTCTCTCAGTATGCTTTCCAGGAGAATCAGTCCACTAAGACTCTCAAGCCTGAGCTCGCAGACCCCATCGTGTCTAACTAGGCAAGTAGCTCTCATCCGCGCTTTGCTCGACGCGCTTCGACGGCAAGTAACTCTCATCTGCGTTTTGCTGAGCCCTCTTGGAGGGGAGATAACTCTCATCGGCGCTCTGCTCTACCCGCTTCGAGGGCAGGTAGCTTTCATCGGCGCTCTGCTCCGCACGCCTCGATGGCAGATAGCTCTCATCAGCGCTTTGTTCGACACGCTTCGAAGGCAGGTAGCTCTCATCAGCGCTCTGCTCGCCTGTGACATTATCAGAATTCTTGGACTTATTGATGTCTTTGATGCGTAAGGTCGATGAAGCCTACCTCTCGGGAGCATCGGAAGGGCAATAGCTCCCATAGCGAGCAACGCAACAATGGTAAAGGCCTTCATCTTCGGGTGGTTTGACGACAATTGCGTGCCGGTTTCTTGAATGATGGAAAGAATTTGGGATAGGATGTCCAGGTAAGAAAGTGGAAAAGGTATCTGAAATGAAGGATGGAATTCCACGAGAAAAAGTCCACGGCTGCCATCTCCGTCGGCCCTGAGAGCTTACAGAGCGGCAACATCCGATGCCTGAGCATCGCTGCCCCGCCCAAAGTCCAGGATGCCCGTATCGTCTCCAGTCCAGAGGACGAGAACCTGGAAACATTGACAAATCTTCCAGCCAATAACTCGGCTGACTGCTCGACCTAGCGTCCACACAGGGGCGCCTACCCTGGGCCACACCTCTATCGACTCTCCCCCTCGACACTATAACGGACAAATCGCCGCCCTAACTGGCTTCAGACCTTCCTCATGGGCATTGGTGTCTTCTGCGCCGATCCCAGCCATCATGGAAAGTATATGGAGGCTTGTCACGTATTGGCTTTCGTGGAGGCTTGGCGCTGCGTGCATTCCAGTAAACCGGCTTGCTCGGGGACAATCCGAGGAGGCAACTATCCCGAAAGAGAAAGAAGGACCTTGCCGCAAAGAATCACCTAGTTGCTCTATCATTCGCTTGTTCGGAACAGTTCATCCCGCCTCGGACTCGAAACTGCGCTGTTGTAGTAGGATAATTGATAAACGACGTGAAGCAGCAATTGCCGGACATCATCACGACGACGAAAATGGCAAGACTGCCCAGATGAGTTCGCGGACCTATACTACCCTCCAATGTTCGATAAGAAGATTTTGTAGTACCCCTCTTTCGGTTCCTCTGATACTGTCAAGTTGTATCTGACCAACGTCTGTGCATTGAGCAACTCTGAAGGTGACTTGTGTGTTTTGCACCTATTAGTACGAGGCTGGCTCAAGCCATGTGGTCCGTCGCGATTCAATCACAAGACCGACTTCTCGTCCTGCTAGCCACGTGCTTACTACAAGTCCAGGTGTTAAGCTTGACAGCTAGCGAAGTCGTGTGACAGTGCCGGCAACGTGATATTGGCCGAGTTCTAGACATGCCAAGACCTTGTCCTCCTTCCTAATTCGGAAAGAATGAGGTAAGGCAAGGCTCTTGCAGAATCCCGAACTCATGGGTCTCGACTCCTGTCTTACTGCCGGCAGGGGTCTCTCCATGGGGCAAGATACGATGGTCCCGAGTCGAACGAGTGTATCGCTCTCTAATCAGCGCCAGGTCGCCGGCGCGCCATCTACCTTATTTGTCAACCTGCAGGTGGGGGGGCTTCGGGTCCGAAGACATTTGCAGGGGTTTCGCAGGGTGACTTGCTTATGGTAACAAGCATTGTTGGCAAGGCTTGGGTCGTCTTGGGCCGATAAGCGGTGCCATGCTCGGGCTCGCTAAAGCTGGCGTTGTGGTTTGAGAGCACTCTCCGAGTCTTTGCTTCCCGGCTTGAACTTGGCAGGCTGCGTTGTGCTGTTCTGTTGATTCTCCGCTCCTCTAGGCTTTTTGTCTTCTTACAGCACTCCAGAGTCTTGCACATATCGCCCAACATGGCAGAAAAGTCTGAAGAATACGCGCCTTTATACGATCCTCGTTCGTCAGGCGAGAAGTCAGAATCAGACTACGACGATGTCGAGATGAAAGCCCTGGGCCAGCGTGGTCGCCGCCACTCTCGCTGGCGGCGGGCCCGCCCCTGGGCTCTGCACCTGGGCCTACCGATGCTCTACACTGGCATCTTCCTCGGCTCGATGTACGCCAGGCCGCTGACGGGAACATTTAGCATGGTAGACTGTAAGTCCTTTTGGTGGGCAGAGAGTACTGGAGGTGGCAGGTTGTCAGTGCGAACAGACTTGGCTGAGTATTTGGCATGAAACAGCACCGGCAAAGTACATTGGCGAAAATACACATCTCGAGGTCTTCCCACTCGCCGGCCCACCAAAGGGCATCTACACGGGCGAGCCGCGAGAGGAGCTTGACGAGGCGTGGCGGACGCTGCTACAGTGTAAGTCTGCCTGACTTTCAGATTTCTGTCCATCATCACCACCATCCTTGCCCCCCAAGCCCTAGAGGTCCAGGCTGACGTGCCCTTTGTGTGTCTTTGAACAGATAACAACATCCGCATCTCGGATGAATGGATCCACAAGTACGGTCGCGAGGACACTGCTGTGAAGCTGCCCGATGGGGGATATCTGGGCATGCTGAGCGCTTTCCACGAGGTGCACTGCGTGGTAAGTGACTGGCGGATTCGATGCCCGCATCTGCTTGATGCGGCACTTGTGTGAGCTCATGGCAGGAGAAACCTTACTGACTTGACGGACAACAGAAACGCTTGTACCAGACACTTCATCGCGACCATTACTTTCCCAATGCGACCGCAGAAGAGCTCGATGTCAACCTCGAGCATGATAGTAAGTTTTTGCCCGTCCATATTCTCCCCTTTCGAAGCCTCTCACGTGTACTTGCTGCCGACCGACTTTCACCTCCACACCACGTGCTATCAAGTGCATTCTCAAGGAATGCCGGCAGAGAAATTCTTTTATGTCTGACACAAAATGCTCACTTCCGCCCCCCATGAAACAGTGCATTGCCTCGAAGTCCTGCGCATGAGCGCAATGTGCCGCGGCGACGTCTCCCTCATCAACCACCGCTGGAAGGAGGACAGCCCGTACCCCAACGTCGACCAGCGCGCGCCGCACCAGTGCGTCGACTGGGACGCCGTCATGGACTACTCTGCGTCCATGGCCGTGGACGTGTACCAGGAGCATTACATTGTGAACCCAAAGACTGGTGAGTTTCTTTTTTTTTTTCTTCTTGCCCTTTCTTCCCGATACTACGTCGTTGTCTGTTGTTGTTATTATCATTCCTGAGTTCTTGGATTGCTGATGTGTCCCCCGCGCTTTGAATAGGTGTTGAGCCCTTTCCGCATGGAAAGAGCATCAAGCCGTTCAAGGAGCAGGATCCGGATAACCACAACCACCATGAGGGCGGTAGTGGTATGGAGGAGGAGAACATGGGAGCGAGTACTTCACATATGGACCATGAACACATGCACGAGGGATCCATGTAGACAGACAAACAAACAAAAGAACAAAGCGTGTCTGGGCACGTAAGATCATGGGCATCGTATCAATCTCTGCCATCGGCGGGGCCTTATGGAACCTGAAATCGAGCGAGATGCCTTAAACTTCAAGCTCTGAGGCATCACTCGGGTCTCAACACCGCAAAATGCTTCGACACAAACAACGGCGCGGAAAACCCCCTTCCCTTGGCTTGGACAGCCAACAAATGTCACCCGTGCTCATTTTTCCGCCTTTCAGATCTCACACCACGGCTTCGGCGCGTCCGTGAGCGGGACATACCTCACACCATAGAGCTTCTTCTTCGTGATCTTTCCGTTCTCATCCTTGTCCACGGTCCAGATGTACTGGTCCCCCGACCCGTCTTCGTCCTCGACGGGGATGAACAGCCTTCCCGGGCTGCGCAGCTGCCGCAGCAGGTCGTCGTGAAGGGTGACTGCCGCAGCGCCGACGTGGATCGCATCCCAGCCGCCTTCGTCATTACCCTTTGGTCCATTCTGTCCTTCGGTTTGTGTTGTTTTTGATGTCGTTGTTGTATTTGTTGAAGAAGAAGAAGAAGTGGAAGAACCACCACCGCCACCAGCAGGAGCAGCTGGTGGTGGCGGAGGAGCCGAGCCGCCAACGCCAGGAATCACGCCTCCCCCATGCCCTCCCACGGCGGCCGCGCCCAGTAAGGACGCCGAATCCAAGGGCGAGGAAGACAACGAGGCAGGCTCCGTCCAGCCTTTCCGCCCATCGCCCATGCGGAACCTGACTTTGCCCGAGTCCAGCAGCGCCCGGCCCTCGGCCGACTTGCGCATGTTGCCCTCCCCGAGCTGCTGCAGCTCGCGGATGTGCTCGAGCCCGACGACCACGCCGTCCGGCCCGGCGAGCTCGGCCAGGACGTGCGTCAGGTATCCGCTGCCCGAGCCAATGTCGAGGACTCGCCGGGGCCGGTTGGGCACACCTCTGAGCGGCGGCGACAGCGCTGCCCCTTGTTGCTCATGGCCGCCACCGGTGCTGCTGCTGCTATTGCCCCCACCACCACCATCAAGAGGCAGGATGTAAGGCAGCAGGCTCTCCACCGCGTTGGCGTGCATGTGCGGCGCACTGATGGTGGCCCCGTGCCCGATCCCCTGCGGCCGGTCCTGGTACGCGGTCGCCGCCGAGGGGCAGTACTGCGCCCTGTCCACTCTGAGAAAGGCTGCCTTGGCGACGGGGGACTTGAGCATCCCGTTGCGCCACAGGTTCTCGATCAGGTCCGTGTTTGTGGCGCCAGAGGAGCGCCACGCCATCTTGTTGTTGTTGTTACTGTTCCTGTTGCTGTTGCTGTGGCTCCTGGGAGAAGAAGAAGAAGCGGTGGTGTAGGTGTGCTGCTGCTGTTGCTGAAGCTGACGTTGGATATAGATCTGGAGCTGTAAACGGGCGGAAGAGTAATGGAAGGCTGCTGCTGCCCGCGAGCAGAATGTGAAAGATGTCACGATCCTCCTGCCCTCAAGCCTGGCTGTGCTGCTGCTGCTGCTGCTGCAAGGTTTCCACCCCGTAGCAATATTTGGATACGAGGCCCTGGCTTCTTGCGTTCCGGCGGCCAAGTTGCTGCTGCTACTACTACTTCCGCCTCTGAGGCTGCCAGCACGGAGGATATTCAGAGCCGTTATGCGACGTGCTTGTTGTTGTCCTGCCCTTTTGCCTTCATCAACAGCTCGACAAACTCGATGGCTGCAGCCAGCAACTAACCGTGGTGATCTCGGGAAATACACACTGGGCCAATATTCCTTTGCCGTGGATGCGCTCTGGTGCCTTGTTTTGGTTTGGGACGTTCCCACGGTGATCCTGAGATGCAGCCGGATCCCCGGCTTGTGGCACAGGAATAGAGCTGACTTGCGAAGCTCGTGGTGTCCTGCAATACGTTGATGATTCAGTGCGCGGGCGCCAGTCTGATAGTTGGTTTCGACCGAGGATCTTTTCCCCACGAATGAATGCTGCGGCGTGAGAGTCCGACAAACTTGGTTTCGCTGTAGACAGGTCAGTGTGAAATACGTCAACCAGGTGGCGGGCATCATCCTGAAGTCACAGAGGTTCCATCACAAGCCAGGCCAGCAGATCAGCACTACCCCACACGGACGATCCCCCGCTAGCGCCCACTAAGAAACGCCTACCTAGCACGCCCGGGCACTACGGCGGGGCTCTACCTGTAGACACAGTAGGACGGCGCCTCAGTGGGTTTCGCTTCCGACGAAAAGACGCTATGCTACTTGAGCAAGTCATCACGCTCTACACCTGTGGACACCTTCTTCGAGGCAGTCATTGTTGAAAGGGTATCTCTCCTATCCTAGAACTAACATCCTTTGAGGGACAAATACCACGAGTCAATGGATTGTATGGTTGGATCCTTGTATTTCAAGCTCATATATTTTGGTCGCTCACGTGGAGCTCTCCGCTCTCAAGGAAAATGCTGGTGCCGCTGATGGTGTGCACGTGGGTGGCTATATACGCCGCAACCATGAGATAAAAAAAGAAAACGTCCATCAGTGGTGGTGTAATGGTAAACAATAAACAGCCCGACGCCATGCTATAAGGCCCAAAGTATATGCGGCCGATAAAAAAAAACGGATGCTCAACTGAGCTTCGGCCCAGAATGCAGAGGCTAATGTTCGCTCAGACAACCCGGTCCGGACTCTCGCCTTCAGCAATGATGGGAACGCCAAGACCCCTGTCAGGACTCTGCAGGACCAGCTGCTCATGCCGACGGGCTCTGATGTAGTCGCTAACTGCTCGGATGAGGATGAACCAGCCGACAATCATCAGGACGTACGCTATCCAGTCACTGCTGCTGAGCTTGTCCACCAGAGAGGTGCCTTCGCCGCTGACAGTGTTGGGGTCAAAGTCGTGGCTGTTGGGGTCTGGTGGTTGGGCATAGCCGTCCGAGGGCGAGCCCTCCATGCTGCCGCCGTCGCTGTTGGCGCTCTTCATGTAAAAGCCGTACTGAATCAGAGTGACACCAAGGCCGGCACGAGACCCGTTCTTGGCAGCATGGGACGAGTGGAGGAGGTATGTGAGGAGGAAACCGACGAGCTGGAAAGACATGCTGATCATGCCGTTCCAGATGAAGCTGAAGACTGAGCCAACTGGCATGCCGTCTATGTAGACTTCGTCGGGACCACCAAGGCCAGGAGCCAGAATGGTTGTCTCCCAGTAAGGTGGCGCCGAGTCGGCGGCTGCCTGCTCGTAGGTCTGAACAACATTCAACGTTAGCATGGACGACATCCTTAAGATACACCGAATGCACGTACCGGCGGTTGCTCCTCTACAATCTTCTCGCCTCCCCTCTCCGGTCTAGCGGTCATATTCGAGAACACTCCATCTGATTGAATGCCACCACCGTAGACCCTCGAGCCGTTGGCGGCGCTCGCGGCAGTTGGCTGCGAAGGGCGCGCAGTCGGCTGTGGTGCCGCGCCAGTCGAGACAGCACTATAGCCATTCGCTGAGGGCGCGGGGACTTCGAACGTGGATGATCGCGAGACGGGGCCAGAGTTGCCGCCGCGAACTAGGCGCTGCCTGTCATCAGGCTCGTCGTCGCTGTCGTCGCCGTCGGCATCGAAAGCGTCGGCAAGAGTTGAGTCGACGGGGTTGTGGCGGCGCTCGTTTGAGGAGCTGCGGGAATGAAACGATGGCGGAGGCGAGTTTGGGGTGCGCTGGACGGGGCTGTCGACGTCGTCGTCCTGAGTGTTGACCCGCTCGTACCGAGCCATGGTGGGTGGGTGGGTGATGCCGCGCGCACGAGTCGGTGGCTGAAAGGAGTGACGGTTGGGACTGATGGACTGGTGATGATGGTGATGGATGGTGAAAGGAGAGGCCAGGTGAGAGTTGGCGGCGGGTGGCGACACGGAGGAGTCAGGGGACCTGGCGGGAGAGTGTTGCGCCGATGCTGCAGGTGCCGGGGGTGGGTGGGCACGTAACCGCAACCGCCACAGGCGACTCGTGACACTGCAACCGGAGATAAGGCGTGCACAGCAGGGCGCAAGCAATGGGTGGGCAGGAGAAAGCAGGTTGCGCTGAAGCAATGTCAACAGTGCTTGTGTCTCAAGGCAAGTGAGCTCAGACTGAGGATGACGAGGCTTCAACAAAGAGAGGTCCGGGCAGCACCGAAGGCAAAGGAACCCGACCGCGGACAGACGATGAATTGACTGACGAACGACGTGATTGACAGCCTGAACCCGCAGTGGTGGCGCCTGGAAGGCCTCCGACGGTTGGGGATGGAATGGCGTGGATCCGCCGCAGCCAGCCGGAGCCAGTGCCAGGCAGCCAGATGAGGTAAGCAGCAGCCTGAAGCCTGAGGTGTTCAGCAAAGGTGCCGGGTAGGTCGTGCTCAGACAGCAGCTCGGCTTCCAAAGTTGGCACTACCGTTTCAGGGTGCATCACCAGCTGCCTCAGCTTTGCCCTCTCTGATTGGCCATGGCGGATATTGCGGCTCGCGGCTCCTCGCAGGACACGAAGCTGCAATTTCCGCGTCGAGGGGCACTGCAGAAGCAAATTGGTCGATTGCGCAGCTTGGCTGAGCACACATGCCAGACCTCCAGACTTGCTTGGGTGGGATCGGCCGGGGCTTACTACGGTGGTCTCGACCATCACCATTGTGCATTAGTGTTGCTGCTTCAGTTGCTGTGCGCACCGGAGTTCAGCAGGACATCTGCCCACACAAGTCAGTTCACAGAGCCGCCCATGAACACAGGCATTACCCGCCAGAACAGACCAGCCATTGGGTAGCCCCGTCCCGTCTCTTCATGACACCGTAACGTTGATGCAGGTGGACAACTTAAGATGAGCATGGCTCTCGAAGCATTCCCCGTTTAGGAAATCCGGGTGAAGCCTGCCACGAGCTGACTGGCCCGCCTCTTTGCTCCATCCCAGAGTGGAGCCCGCCTCTGACAGCCACCTTGGAGATTCTGTAGGTCCACCACGTGGCAGCAAAGTTCAGAGTCAGATGCCACTACAGTCTTGGTTGAAGTAAACCTCATCCTGGGCAGATCTCTGCCGGTCTCTGCTTTGTTGCTCGAGATTGGTGCCACTGGCCTCGAAACACGAACTTGGCAGACGGGTGGCAACAGCCTCCCGCTCCTGGACGCCTCACCATCTTTGTGTGACAAGGTACCTCGAATTTGGGATGTGTCAGAGCTACGCCGGCATCCTGGAAATCTTCTAGCACGTGCGTGTTCACCAATGGTAAGACAAACCAAAGTTGCCCGTGAGGCACTATTTTCACGATGCACGAAGCGTAAACAATGGCACGTAGTACAGAACACCAAACAAGTCACTTTCGCCGTATAAGCCGCGCCCACGCCTCTGATGCCCCATGGTCTCAGGACCAAATCAGCTGGTCCTCGGGCTGGGTTTCCACCTAGAAATTTGATTGTTCAGAAGAAACCATACTGCGTAACATGGTAACATTCCAACGTGGTGAACCCAAAAACCAAGACGCAGTGGAAAGCTTCAAAGTGAGATGAATTCGACATGGTGCTCGAACACTGCATATTTAAAGGCTGCTTGGACGCTGCATATTTCAACGTGTCTCTCACCTGCACCCACAAGCTCTTCGGATTTCTGCGTCTGTCCACAGTCAATCATCTGTGCTAGTCCACTTGCTACGCAACCACGATATGGCCTCATCGGATCTCTCTGGTCAAGCACAGCATTCGGCTGCTGCCACCAGGTCTCTAACCGCAGCGGGCCAAAACACCGCCACCAAACAAGAGCAACCCGCCCCCGACTTGATGGTCTACTTCCCACGCAAAGGCTGGATTGAAACAGTCGACTTCCTCTTCATGGTGTTCTGGCGGACCGACAAGACAAACAAGCCCTGCACGCTCCACGCTCCCTAAACAAGGACCCTGAGGAGGAGGGCTCGCAGCATGAGCCACCCACAGATCCGCGAGAGGTCTCCAGAAGTTGGAAGGCAACGGGGAAGCCGTGTACCGAAGAGCTCCGCAGAGCCACACGTAGGGACCCTCCCCCTGCAGGGAAGGAGGATCTCTTCTTTGTTTTCCGAGGCGCGGTCAATAAGGGGACGTGGAGATTCCAACTTGGCGAAGGACATGGCAAGATTGAACAAGGGGGCCGACTACTCCAGGTCTTCCCTCGAGAAAAGGTGTCGAAAGAGTTTCCAGATGACGAGTACAATGGTAAGTAGCCCGCCTCTACGAACTCATGTCTGGCAAGAAATGTCGGACTCGGCCAGTCAATTAACTGCAGATACAGATAGCGCTTACTTCAAGCTGAGGGCGATCCTGCTGGACCTGAAGAACCCGGAGAGCAAGACGTGGGAGGAGGAGTTGCGTGATGTCGCGGTCCCTGGTAGCCGGACAAGACTACTCCCGGGTGACCCGTCGCGAGAAATCCAGATCGGGTTCAAACCAGCACACCAGGGTCCGATGTAAACGTGGCCTCTGTCCGATTCTATATGCTCGTTGGCTTTTGGGCTTCAATTGTGGACGTCGAAGGGATTGTCGAGGCGTGGGATCTTCCGAGTATGTCGGTGTGCGGTAGGGTTTTCATTTTGACTTGATCAAGCACCTTTTGAGAGTTAGCAGGAACGAAAACGAATCATAGTATTTGATTTAATTGAAGGCTGAGTAGCACCATTGTAGGCAATGATTCTCAGCCTAAGTGAACGGCCGAGCTAGGGGATGCTGAAAGCCTTCGAAAGCCAACTCAAAATGTCTGTAATGCTCCCACGCTTTTCCCGAGGAGGGTCATCGGCCTTCTCCGGCCATCACAAAGTTCGTTTATTAGATGATCGCTTCAGGTAAGGCTTCTCAAAATATCTCTGACGCACGGTGGTGCAGAACGGATCAAAGCACTGAGTTTCCCATGCCAGATTGGCATTTCAGCCGCTAGTTGGCGTTCTAGTATCGCGCGAGTCTCATGTTGGCGTGATAGCTCATGCAAATCAGGCTCACAGAGGTGAACGTCAGTACGAATCGACGACAATCAGGATATGGCTTGGCACCCAGCGAATGACGTGTAGAAGCCCAGGTCGCATGCCTTCAAATCGTGCGAGGATTAGATTCGAGTTGCAACCGGTACACGGGGTTAACAAATACATGCCAGGTCTCGAGGAGGACAAGTTACACGACTTGCCTTTGTGGTCGTGAGGATGATCAGAGAGACTGGTCCTCGCGACTCGGACTGCATTCTCACCGGAGGTTTGCCTACTCATGTCAACGAGATTGTACGAGCCAGAACTTGTGACCGTGTGGCCGCGTTGTGACATGGTGCCACCAGCATTCTTTGACGGCTCTACGTGATTTCAGCACAAAGCCTAGACAAGAAGCTCATCAACCCGTCTCCCAGTACTCTAACGCACATAAAAGTCGTACGTACGCCCGGATATGAGGACGACATGAGTAGTATGAAGCGCACCACTCTTACCCAGTTAAACGACACTCTTCCACTTTTCCACGGTTCTCCTGCCACCACCATGACTGACCAGGCCATCGACGTCTTCCGCCCCAACGAAAAAGAGACCCATATCTACGGCCCAACGGAAGGCTGGGCTGCTTGCCATGCCTTCCTCATCATTGTCACCACCTGGGTCGATAAAAAATGGGTTAAAGCCTCGGTGAAGGCGACGCTGGAATACGTCAAGCCATTGGAAGAGCCTGCAGCTGTCCCAGCCCAGCCATTAGCTGTCCCAGACAAGCCATTATCTGTGGACGAGCGAATGCGGATGGCTTTTAACCCAGCCACTGGGGCCCAGTCATTGAAGCCGCCGAGAATTCGCATATGGAAGGATTGTAAAGCAAAGGAAGCAATCGATACAAGAAGCGACAAGTCGGATGGCCAACTTCCAGTTGTCTTTGTTTTTAGAGCTGCAGTTCCAGAAGGCATGTGAAGGTTCACCTTCGGGAACTGGAAGGAAACGCCGACGTTCCCAATTCGGGCCGACTTGAAGGACGACGAGAGGTCCCGCAAGCAATACTTGGACGGTGAGAGAAAACCTCGCACTGGCTTCATAATGTGAGAAACACATTGTATTTGTGCTAACTGAACAATCTGTGCTAGAGAAAGGTGGTCTTGGGCGCTACCTAGTGATGGAAGAATCTATTTGGCGCAACAAGGATACCTTTTTGTTGGAGCTCAACCACTTTGGCGATGGATCCAAAGTTACCGCGACAGACCCCGGGAGACACGTCGTGATAGGATTCCCTTTGCACCGGTAGAGCTTCGCAATTTTTCCTTCACTGGACGGTCGGAGCCTTCCATCGGCCTAGCTAGAGTACGGTCTTCCTAAACTGTAGCTTATGATGCTGCTGGGTCGCAGGCTTCAAGTGCTCCGTAAGAACTCAACAATCTCCCTTTCTTTATCGTTATTAGTTCTTATGATGAGATTCCACAGTTTTAATTGTTTTGTCGCAAGAGATGCCACACGTGGCGCTTTGCTCCTTGCTCCTTGCTCTCTTGCTTTGGCTTTCCTTTTTCTTGTTACAGTCATTCCCTACAGTCAGTTTAGTAAATTCGAAAGTGCCAGCAAAACTGTTAAGCCGATTTATGGTCACAATTAAACCGGGTCGACTCAGAGTGTGATTCTGTGCCAAACAGTGCCAGTCCAGTCACATACCTAGTTCGCCCTTCGAAACTGATTCCTATTCTCGCCACTAGCATCACCGTCGCACAAGGTGTCCCGGATGCAGATCTTGACTCCGGAGCCGTACAAAGTCGTCAGCAATGGCTCAATAACTTGTTTCAGGTTGCGCTCTGTGTTGTTCCGCTCTGAAATGGATCGAGAAAAGTCTGGCCGTGAAGGCCACTCCAACAAGAACCTGCCAGACCTTGTCTGTGGCCATAGACTGTAGATGGATGCCCATCATCGAAGTTGAGAACTGCCTGGCTTTTCATCATGATACGCGTACAGGGCGTGACGTGAAAACATGGCCGTGTAACAACACACAAGTCCCACGGTCTATCAGTCGTCGAGAGCGACCTGCCTTTGTTCCTTAGTGTGACTTTGCAGTCTTCCAAAATGAGATTCCGCATTTCAGGAGGTTAGCACGCGGCTTCTTGACAAAGCTGACAGTGTCGGACAAGACGGCAGACTGTTTTGCTCGTTGCGTCGTCCCGAGGCGATGACAACCTCGTCCGTGGCACAGGACTAATGTCGTGCAGTGCTGCCAATACCGTACCAGAACGGGAGTAGTCTTTTTGAGCTGTAGAAACCATTCCTGGGTTCTTTTCAATGGATACCGAAGTTGTACCAAGAGCTTGCGCGTCCATCACAGCACAAAGCCGTGTAAATGTGATGGACACGAGCCTACCTCCAACGACCACTATGTAATGCTGTAGTATTTCAGAAAGACGTATTGGTGCGTGTACAGAATAGCGTCTGGATAAGGAGTAGGCAAGATAAAAAGGCATAAGAACCCAGTGTACATGGCCAAAGTCGACGCGCGAACTTCGGAAGTGTCTACATTCATGCATCGCCCCCCCTCACGATCTCCGGAACACGATAATTTCCACAGAACCCTCAAGCAAAGCCCAAACATGGCTGAGGTCCGTCCAGGTTCATCTAGCTCCAGCTCGATCCCAGCTACGGATCCCGGATGGATATCTGAGAGTGGTCGCCGGCGAGCCGTGCAACTGGATCCCATAGTCGAAGCGGGCACCATGGACGCCGTCTTCACCGTCCACCCGGACGGTTGGAGGCAAAGCCAGGACGAGTTCAAATTCACGGCGATTTTGACGAAATTGCCTGACTCAGACGTCAAGCAGAAGAAGTCCAAAAAGCCCAGGATGGTCGAGAGGCAGAGCACAGCCGTGGCGAAATGTCTCGAGGCCAATCGGATCGACGCCACGAATATCTTCATATACTATCGCTTCCGCGTCGACGCCGGGCTCTGGAAGTTGAGAATCCCCAACACGGACATCACAGCCACGATCAAGGTGGTCCCGACAGGGCACAATATACCCAGTAGGTTTCACTTTCGCGTGCTCTTCCCAGAACTTGGCTTGACTTCAACTTCTGTTTTCTTGGGTTGAGCTTTCGCTAACAGAGAACTGAATAGTCTCCTCGAGTGGCTCGAGGGCGCTTTATAATAAGGTTCTCACCAGCCCTATCTTTAATGAGGACCGTGAGAGAAAGGATACTCCTGCAGCTCGTACTAAGTTAGACGGGATTAAAGAAGAAGATGTTGAGGATTAGGAGAGTGACTACTACGGACTCACTCGGAAGCGAATAAATAGATAGAACTGGCCTTCAATGAAAACCTAATGTTCGAATGCCAATGTGCAACAAATATCCTCGGAGGGATGCTGGTCCTGAGACTCCTGGCCCCAGTTTTTCTTTTAGAAAATTGAGAAGGATTATGTTCAATCAAGTTGATGATGGGCGTGAGAACTGTGTCCGAGTCAAAGAACGTCTTGAAAGCCTCATGGGCAAGCAATGGATGACCTTCCTCCCAGATCGGAATGTCAATTGCCGTCGTGGAGTCAAGGCCGAGAATGTCATGGAATCTATCCTCCGCCGGTTGCTCAGGCCCATCGCCTGACTGCCAACATGCGCCGTACACTCGAGGTCCAAAGCTGTCTCGTGCTACATCCATGAAGGACATGCCCTTAGGCAATGGATACCCAAGATGTGTCTTTGAGGTCAAAAGCCCTTAGCGGCTCTTCTTGTCAAACGTCAACATTCCAAAGGCTTGTGTAACGCAGTTCATGCACACGTATCCAGCTCATTACAAAGCCATGTCACATGAACAGACGTAGGCTGTGTAACAGTTTCCCTGAGAAATTCAATTGTTGCCACTTTGCATTCTTTTACCACATGGTGTTGGGATCACTTGTGGTTGGCGAGACAGCCACTACTCTTTTTCATTCTGAACAGTCTTGACGAGTAGTACTTGTATCATTAGGCCAAACAGGTGCCTTGTTGAAGTGTTTTCTTGAAAGCCCCGTTTGCCCGGTGTTTCGTGCAACGGCAGGATCCTGGTTACATGGCACAGGTCAATGGGTGCCAACAGCGATTACGAGCTTGAATCTCTCTGGTTGTGTGGATAAATATCAAACGCAAGCTGCACATGCTTTTGACCAAAGACTCATATTACATGAGAATCAAATCTCACAGCACCTCCTAGCATCGCTCTTTCAACCCAGCAGTCTCTTCTACACATTGCAATCATGCCAGAATCCTCCAAAGGGACCGGATCGTCCCGGTCATCCAAAGTCGCCCAGAAGCCTGGATATGCCCAGCAAGGCCATTCCCTCCAGCAAGAGCTGGTGGTCACGGATCCTCAGAGGCCCGACGGGATCGACGAGGAGTTCTGGCGCTCCATGGTCAACTTCAACTCGGATATTGAAGAAGGTCCCTACGAGATCATCATCAGCTGCGACGTCGGGATGGACTGGCCGGGCCACTACCAGATAGTCTGCGAGGCGCTCATCACGAGGCTCGACATGGACCCCAAGACTGGCGTGCCCGTGCCGAATCCCCGGCAGCTGTCCAAGAGGCTGACAGGTATCGCGAAGAAGCCCCGGTCACAGCTGGATGAGGAGTACCAGGGTTTGGTGTTCATCGTCTTCCGGTTCCACTTTGAGAGCGGTGTTTACCAGTTCGACGTGCCTAGCTTCCAAAAGCAGGCCAGGATCAAGGTGCATAGGAAGGGCAGACTGCCCAAGCCGAGTAAGTGGGCTATGCCTCCTCTGGATATCTAGAGCGACAAGAGCTACGGCTTGCCCCCCAATGTTCCGTGTCTGCAGGCAGCTGATACAATGTCTTAGTGGTGCGCCGTTATGGGGGTCTGTATTACTTGCTCAAGCATGATCCGAATTTTTACGCCGAGTTCACTCAGGTGGATGTGGCTGAAACATATCGGCCGAGGCTTGAGGACTTGGCGGAGATGCCAAAGGAGAGCTCGAGCAGCAGCTCCGGGAGCGACTCTGGACGTCAGGCCCAGGGTCAGGGCAAGGGCAAGGGCGCAGTTGGTGGGGGAAGGGGTCAGAAGCCTGCCGCCAAGCTGACGGGCACTGGGCAGGTCAAGGCTGTGGACAAGGGCAAGGGAAAGGGCAAGGAGCAGGCCAAGCGTCAGTGAAGGACGGCTCATATGTTGAGGTGGAACGAGAAGGGCGGCGGTTTTCTCTGGAACTAATGGAAGTAATTGAACTAATCGGCAGTGGGCCTTGAGGTTTGGTGATTGCTGAGGGTCTATCCCCCAGTGTTAGTGTCCCTTCCTCCGTCGCCGTTGCGTGAATGTGCCCGCGGGGGCCGGCCCCACTGCCGGCCGCCAGCTCCGCGCCAGCTCCGCTCCGCTCCAGCGTTCCGCCCCCAAACTTCGACTGCATCATTCACTTTTTCAGTGGGTCCCCAGCTTTGGTTGCAACTGCGCGAGACCCTTCGTTTGCAATCATCACCACCTTGGCCAATGCAGCCACGCAACAGCAACCACTCCTTTCTCTGCAGAATCCTCAGATACGATTGACGGCAGCTCCACGGCCCAGCCCTCCCCCTCTTTGAATCACCTACCAACAGCACCACCTTGCCCCAGCGCCCAATCTCGCAAAAGCACAGCTCCCCTCCACAGCGCAACACGAGCCGGAACAGCCGTAGCCCTCTACGAAGCAATATCCTCCCCTCGCGCAGACTCCCAAGACAGCAGCAATGTCTCGCCAGGCCATTGTACGTCCCCTGCGCCCTTGTCACCCCTCGTTCACCACCTCGTGATCCCCGTCCGCTCGAGAAGCAATCACTAATCTCCCGTCATGCCAACTCCAGAGCGGCCAGCGCCACATCCTCCGCGCCCTCGCGCAATGGCCCAAAGACACAGTCCGACCACAGATCCAGTTCCAAGACATCCTGACGAAGCGGTTCGAAAATAACTCCCCTTCATCAACGCCATCATCATCATCACCATCATCACCATCAGCAACGTCCTCGTCCTCGTCATCAAAGGGCTCGACATCCTTCAACGCCGCCGCCGCGGGGACACCAACGACACCGACACCAGGCACCACGACGGCGGCGCCGAGGCAGCTCTCGGAAAAGGAGCTCCTGGCGCAGGCCAACGCGCTGTACTCGCTGCTCAACGATCGGTATAAGCGCAAGGTACGTTCCTCAGCTCTACCTCACAAGCGAGACGAACACATACACAAGCAGACACGGCAGGGCGGCACAGGCGGCCCCTCTCCCTCTCCCAACCTTTTCCCCCCTCCTACTCTCCCATCCCACGCCGTACCACTCCACAAGCTGCCTTTTTTGGATCAAACTAACAGGAACAATTTGGGGGCGCAACCAGTACCCCATCCAGCACGGCCTCCTCCAGCCCCGCAGCAAGCCGACGCACTTCACCGACCTGGTCCGCGAGCTCGAGGAAGGCCCCAAGCGGTCCTTTGTCGAGCGGTTCCTGGTCCGGATGAAGGGCCTCGTGCGGTATCAGTGAAAGTTCATATACGTCTTGTTGCGCCACTACCCGCGATGTTTCGTTCCTTCTCTTTGGCACTCCTCTTTGGGCTCTGGTGTCCCGCCCGTGTTCACGCAATTCTGGTGTTAGGACAGTCTCAGCCGTGTTCCGACTTAGCTATGCTTACGGAAGCGGATTTGATGAGCTTTGGAGAATAGCGGGGGAGAGAGATATGGTTGTAGAGGAACTGTTGATGGGACTGTGCGGAATGTGTCTTTGTACGATTTGTTGTACGATTGAAATATAATGACAGGTTATGAATAATCTAGCGAGACCTGTATTATGAAGCTATCAAATTCCCTTCCTTCTGTAAACTCTTGGCTGGCTACGTCGCCTCACCATTCGTACAAAGGTGCTGCGAGGGCTAGCCATGGCTTGCCACATCATCTCGTCGTATAACAACATACATGCCCCAAGTTTCCTGAAAAATGCCATTCGCAAGCGTCTCTGCATGTGCTGCTACATTTTCGGGGTATTCTATTTCTACAGCTCAGACCTTGCCTGCACACCAAGCCACCCTTGCCTATATGTACCGACCCTCCGGGTCCAGCTTGTTAAACAGCTCTATGCTCTTCTCGTACATTGTAAAGATGATGCCACCGCTCATGACCAATCGGGCCAGCCGGGGCATCGCACCGCTCCAGAATGTGAGAACACCTTCCTGCTTGAGGATCATGGCCGCACACCGCAGACTGCTGCCGCCATATATCTCCTTGGCCGTGGGTGTCTGCATACGCGTCTTGATTGTGTCGAGGGGCTGCGTAGTATACACGGTGATGGCGCCGGCCACACTGCCAATGCCAAACGTAGCCACGGTGCCGAGCTTCTCCCCTGGCGCCGTGTAGCTCTCAGCTAGTTGCTTCAGACTCGTGTAGCTGCCAAAGCGGACCGCACTGTTGGCGCTCTGCCGCGCCGCAGTGGGCACGAGACCCTGGAAAAAGCCGCGGATGCCGCGCTCGCGGGCGATGACCGGCACTGCGTGGAGGAAGCCCCGCAGCCGCGGCTTTGCCGACTTGCGGTCGTCGACGAGAGTGGTCTTGATCGATTCTGACGGGGTGACGGCAAAGAGGGATTCCGTGACACCAGCACCGAAGCCTGCCAGGACGTTCTTGGGCCCGCTGATCTTGCCGTCGGCGTCGGAGAGGAGGCGCTTGTACTGCTCAAAGGAAAGGAAGCGGATGGCGGCCTTGGCCGAGTTGCCAACGATGGCGGTCGTGCAGCCGGCGTACCACTGGGGACCAAACGGTGGCCAGGGGAGCTTCTTGCCGTCGGCGAGGTTGCGGTTTAATTGTGTCCGGGTCTTGGCGACTAAGTATTGCGGCAGTGGTCAGTCACGTTTCCTTGGCCATTGAGTTTGTGCCAACAAGCAGGCGCGCAAAATCAGTGTGGCAATCAAGACTCACAGTCGGCAGGGTATGTGATGGCAATCTCGACACCGCCCGCCAAGGCGCCGGCGAGGATGGACCGCATGGCGCTGGGCTTCTTGTTTGCCTGCGGGAAGGCATCTTGTCTGGGTGTCGCCGCAGTCGCAAGCGACGCAGCCGAGGTTGCCGAGGGGCTGGCGGACGACATGGCCTTGGGCGGACCAGGGACGACTGGCAATTGAAGTCGGGCGCAGGTGGCCGTGCGGAGACCTGGGGGCTTGTCGAGGGGAGTCGTGGTATGCAGCACGTGCAGACAGGATCGAAAAATGAGGCCGGCAGTCGGCACTAGAATCGATGGAGCATTGCATCACCAGCAGGAGCGATGGTCGGAGGCTGAGACCACAGAGAAGGTGCTGCAGGTGTCCGATGGCGGGGCGTTTCGTCCGGGACCAGGACAGGGCTCCCCTCCTGGTTGTCCACTACTGATCAGGTCCAAATTAATCCGGCCCAAGCCCCCCCACCAAAATTGGCTGCACAGTACTTGCACACGACAAAAGGCCACAGAACCGTCAAACGAGGTCAGAATCGAGTAGTAATTATTGCATTTTGAAGCTGGCGATGGCGGCTTCAATATTTGGTGTATCCTCCGCGCGCACGGGCCACTGCGCGAAGGCGACGGTCCATTGTAGTGAGGACCTTTGTGATCAGCCGTTCCGGCACTGCTGCCCACGCCGACTTCAAACACTCCTCAAATTGGGAGGTATCACCGTCGTTTCTTTTGAGGGCCATAATGTTTGGAAACAGTTTTACTAGCTGGCGCTTCATTGAGGCCCAAATGTGCTCAATTGGGTTGAGATCTGGCGAGTGTGCTGGCCAGTCTGGTAGTACCGCAATGCCCCTGACGGCGAGCCAATCCATAGTACTCTCTGCGCAATGAATTGCTGCATTATCCTGCTGAAATACCTGCCAATCGTCGTATATTGGGATGAAGCCATCGCGTAATGCCTTCTGATATCTCCAGGCCGTATAGCCCTTCTTTCGCTTGTTAGGATCTGGCTGCGGTTCGCGCTGCATTATCACCAACTCTGACCGGCACCCCACGCCGTTCTTCAGGTATATGGCACCCCAAACCATAATGGATAGGTTCGCCTTAACGTGCGATTTAAGGTTAACGAACTGGTCGTCCCATTTCTCGCTTGGGAAGCGGAATACCCATTGCGCGGGTGCGTTCGTGGAGTTCTGGCAGGACGACTCATCCGTGAAAATCACCTAGATCAAGTCAGGATAATCCCACCAACTTCACTTACACGTACCTCCTGCAATTCGTCGACTTTTGGTAGCCACTCTCTTGCAAATGCAAGCCTAGCTCTTCGTGCTTCTTTAGATAGCGGAATCCTCTTCTGAGCTTTCCACTTACGTAGCTTAGCTTCGTGAATGATGCGCTTTATAGATGTCTTGGAGATCTGGAAGGGCATGGCTTGTATGATCTCTGGCCACGTCGCTTTTCGCTTGCGTTTGACGATAGTTAGTACGCGCCTTCTCTGGGCATTTGTGAATCCATTGCGACCATTCCGAGGCGATTTGGCTAGGTTGCCGTTGTTTTTCCAGTCCGAGATAATGCGGGTGATTGTTGACTTGGAGGCCCGCGTAAGCTCGGCAATGCGGCGGTGCGTTACACCTGCGAAATGGGCGGCGCAGATAGCTGCTTTCTTCTTAGGAGTGAAATCCTGCTTCGGCAGCCTATCGGCGCACACTCCAGCAACAAAATCATCCATGATAACCTCAAAATGCGCTCGAAATGGTGGTTTTGAAGAAGGGAGGGTTTGCAGGTGGCGCGACGCGTTCGCGTCGGTGGGGTGGTTGGGCCGGATTATTCTGGGCCCCAACTGGTATCCATCACAGACTTGCATGCAGCATGCCACTGGCAACGGAGAAACACCCATGAGCGTATCGACAAGAGACATGGCTGCCAATGTACCCATTATGCGATGCCTCTTGACACACAAGGAACACGACATTGTCGTGATCATCGATCACGAGCAGCCTGGCGCCAAGCCGGGCAGGCGAAGATGGGGACGCCCAGATTTGATGGGAAAACACACAACGCAGCGACAGTCCCTCATGCTCTGGCAGCGCCCAACACGAGCCACGATGACAATTGACCTGCAAGCCATGGACGTCGAGGTATCCAGACCAAGGCACACATTTGGACCATCTTGTATTATGTGTCACGCTTGGCCATCCCGTCTTTTGGATGAAGTCATGCAATGTGGCTCGACCACCGACGCGCGGGCGCTTGGGAAGTGACAAATAGGGCCGGGATGATGCTGGTCGCGCAAGCCGCCAAACCTCTTGGATGACAGCACAGACGCATTGCCGGCAGAGACACGGGACAAACGCTTGCAACTGGCTGCCTGTCGCCGCTATTGCCGGCACCGCCCCAGAGCTGACGTAAGGTGGCCAGCGGGTACCACAGCAGGTCGGGCATGTGAGGTCCAGGCGGCTGCACTAAGGGCAGCTAAGACACCTGTAAGAGAGCTGCCTGCAGGGTCCAGCGCTCTGGAGGGTGTAGGAGGCCCGGCAGTCAGAGACTCTAAACCTGCAAGGTTTGGAGCTCGTGGGCCACACAGCCGTGACGGTGATCGCTAACGCAGCGGCTCCCGCCTGCTTGGCAGGGCCCGCCGCGCGTGACGTGTCCAGGCCGTCGTGATTGTCTTGTTATGCTTCGTCTTGGCAGCGGCTACTGCGCTCCTCCAGCACGTCTCTGTCAGCCTGTCCTACATACGATCCTGCCCTCGAGCCTCCTGTGCCACGGCACCTCAATCTCCCAGTCTCCATCACCGCCTCCTTGGGCTCCGGACCCTCGGGCGCCGCCTGACGTCGCGTGCGCCGCCCCCAAAGCAAGCCCAGCGGCGGAGCACCCGGCCGCCGGACGGGAATAGCAACAGCAGCCACTGAAGCATTAAGAACCGGGCCAAGTCCCCTGCATCCCATCCCGCCTCTTCCTGCGCTGTCGCCGCCTTTGTCTACAGTATTGCGTCTCGCTCCCATCTTTCCAGGCGCGACATCAGACGGCAACAATATCGCGTTGCACGTCACACAAGAGTGTCATCTCGTTTCTGTTGCTGCCGTCGATCAAGGTGGTTACAACCCCCACAGCCAGTTGGAGTCCTCACCGGGGGCAACGGCCTACGGCAACCACCACCACCCCACACACGCCCCTCTTCCTGCTTCTGTCTGGCTGCCGCCGCATCTCCAACATTGTCTTGTGAAAGCAACTTCAACACCAGTCCGGCGCTCACATTCGCCCGCGCCAGGACATGGCAGAGCACGTCGAGGCTCGCTCCCTCGCCTCGCTCAATCTCCTCGCTGCCAACCCCCCGCAGTATCCTTCTGCCCCTGTCAGCCAGCGGCAGGACCCCGTGGTCCTCTACATCTCCCGGGTCCCCGGTTCTCGAGGTCAGTCAACCAGCCTCCATTCACCCAGGCGCCTTTCTTCGTATTCGAGACTAACAATTCATCCAGACATCATACTCTCCACACAAAAGCCACAGCTCAAAAATGTCACTGCAGAGGACGTGGCACGCTCATTGTACTATGTGCATCTCAATACCCCCGAGGACGACCTGCTCATTCCAATCGAGCACAAGAGCGGCTCTCAGTCGCCCAGGTCAAGCTCAGAGAGCCAACCCATAAAGCGGAAACCACTGCCTGCTCAAGGACCTAGCCACTTGGGCACGGAGGTCGACCAGCTTCAACCTCAACCGCCCGTTCAGCAGCCACCTGAAGCCGGCCCTGCCAAGGTGTATGAAGCCTTTAACCCTAATGATGACACGTCTCAGTCGATGCCACCGCCGCCTCCTCCACATCTAGACCATTCGCACATATCCAGTGGTGGTCAACAAGCCCTTGTTCCGTTTGCACCAGTCTCAAGGAAGCCGGTCCCGTCGACCGCATCTACTCACCAAGCAGCGCGGACATTGCAGCCACAAGCTGCTGAAGAACCTAACCCGCCTCTGCCACCAAGGACCTATCTCACTTCCAGGTCGCCAAGTCCAGACTCGAGACTGGCGCCACCACCATTCAGCAGCCGGCCTGCATCGCCATCGAAAAGAAGAAAAAGAAGCCGTTTGCGCCTTTCTCGCTAACTCTGATCCGGCGCGACCCGACTCAGGGCCAGCAGTGGAACGTCGGGCAGGTGGCATCGTATCAGCTGGACGATCTAGAAAATCTCGACCAGGAAAACCCCGCTGCACAGTCATCACCCTCAATCAGCATCCACCTCGAGACATCAGGCTATGCCAAATTCCGGGGTATGCCTACTCGCCCAAGCATGAGTAGCGCAGACGTGCGCAGGAGCTTCGACGGCCGGCCAGGAAGTTCAGGTGGGGTCTTTCTCAATGCTCCGGGGCACAATCCGCCAGTCCCATCGCTTCAAGGGGGTTTCGACCGTGAAGTCATGATGTCCTACACCCCATCGTTCACGTCGAATATCCGGAATCTTTTCGGCCGTGAGCGTAAGAGCTCCAAAGGTGCCGATGACGCGCCCTCCACGATGCCTCAGCAGGTAGTGCGGCCTACGCATAGCAGAGAAGCCAGCACTGGTTCTGTGACGTCGTTTTTCGGCGACTTTGATGGCGCCAAGCCGGTCATTACCAAGCCAGGGCCTGGTCTGCGGCCGCGCGGTTATGTTTTCATAAGTCCGTGGGACGGTCGGTGCGAGTTCGTCACGGGCAATGCCGGGCGCACCCTCCGTTGCAACCACATTCTCCCACAAATGGGTGGAGGCGCTTACAACCCGCTCGTGGACGGCGACGATAGCGAATCTGGGAACGGCTGGCCCGTCAGCGGGTTCGGCGGCGGCCCAAACAATGCCAACAGCAGGAAGAATCGCAACATCCGCGCCGTCAGCGAGCTGCGCTTCAACCTGCCTAGCAGCGAGCTTTTGAACAGCAGGGAGAAGCGCGATCGGGCGCGGAGTCTCGAGGGCGGTGCGGCGCGGGCCAGGGACCAGCTGCAGAGCCAGTTCAGCAAGGTCGTCCAGAGCATCGAGAGTCACACGAACGGGCAAGGCGGTGGCGCCAATGGCCCGTTTGGCAGGAGCGACTCTGACGAGGATTTCTACGATGAAGATGGACGCCTGAACATGAGCTTGGGTCAGGAGAAAGCTGGCGGCGGCAACCGCGGGAAGAGAGCCAAGATGGGCAAGCTCATCATTGCCGAGGACGGGCTGAAGATGCTGGATCTCGTCGTGGCTGCCAACGTCGGCATATGGTGGGCCGCCTGGGAGAAGACGTCGTGAAGGAAGAAATATCGGATGAGGAACGAGAGATGAGAGAATAGCCGGTGGTAAGCCGAGAAGGATATCATGGTAGGGATACGGCATAGCTCATGATGATTTATTTGGCATGCGGAGCACGGATTGGATCATGATTCCTAGGTTCGTTTGGACTTGCCATATGACGGGGCATAATGCTTTGAGGAAATCGGCAAGAAGAAGCGACAAAGGCCTAAGCAAGACTTAGCAGTCAAAGTGTCATAGCGGAATACCATAACCCAATGCAAAGTCTGGGGGAAATCCCGCGGTCGGTCGCACATATTCCACTGGTGTAACTAGTTTAAGCAGCACAGCATTTCTGCACTGTCTGCGTCTCCCTCTAAGCGAGTTCTCGGTATCTGCGTGATAAAGATTCGAAGCCGTTTGAGGTTCAGGTCACAAGGCATAGCGTCCCAAGGTTCGTTGCAAAAGCAACCTACATCACTCACACACACACACACACACACACACACACACGACACGACCAGGTAACCAGTGCGGAACATATGTACATTGACATTCAATCCCCGTTCTCGGTGTTCTGTCCTAGCTACAACCCAGAGCTTGCGTACTCTCTCGCTGCCCCAGGGACAAGAAGGAAAATGAGGAATCCCAGCCTGCCACACAAGGAAACCCTCTGACGCTCTTGGCCATTTTACTTGGTCTGGTTAGCGGGCGTGACGGCATATGTTGGCCGCACGTATCTACGGCAGTTGCAAGTAGCAGGTTAGTACATCTGTTGAACAGAAGAGAGCATCACGGACCGAAGTTCTGGGCTTGGTGGTCGTGGAAGTCACGGGTAACCCAGGCTTCGATCAAGTGTGTGTGTGTGTGTGCGTGCTGTACAAGGGAAGGGAACAGAAACATACCTGTCAGAGTTGTACACGCGCATGTTCTCGCCGAGCAGTTCCTTCTCGCGGGCCTGGTCGGCCAAGTGTTTCCGCACGAGGTCGCGGTCCTCCTCGGCCTGCAGCATGGGGATCAAGTGGATGCGGGACCACATCTTCTCGCGGGCGAGCTCACTATCGCGCAGGAAGCGAGGCTGGTGTCAGCTAAACAAAAACCAAACAAAAAATCCCTGGCCAGAAACCCTTTTTTGCGCTGCGCCGGGCATTTTGAGGAAGGGGAAAAGGGCAACGTACTTCTGCTCGCTGATGCCCTGGCCGAGCTTGTAGAATCCGTAGATGCACACCGCGCCCATGCCGAGAAGCCAGGTGCCGGGCCGCAGTCCGGGGGCGGGCAGGTTGCGCTGTAGGAAGAATCGATGTTAGCACCATATGCGCACGGCTGCCTCAAAAGTTTCCCATCGCGACATGGTCTGCCTGTCCGTCCGCTGCTCCTCCGAACATCCCTCGATTCCAAACACATCTGATCGTGCGGTCTGGCATTGCCGTTGCCTAGGGCTGACGAAGGCATTGCTCTCAGACGTGGCGGCGTTTGTGCATGCAGTCCCGAGTCCGCCAGATGGTACTCCTCTTCGCACTCTGCATACAGCCACACTACTCGGACTGCCGTTCCACAAGGCACCTTATGCCAACGCGGTCTGAAACCCGTGCCGCCCGCCGGGGTTTCGAAATGCTCTGTTCATCCTCGTCCTCGTCCAAGATGTGCTGATAGCAGTAATTCCGCTCATGGTCCTCTCGTGTCCTGCGCGAAAGTGATGGCAGGTCGCAGAGCAAGCCTGCCCTCCTTTTTGCCCATCATCCATCGTAGTGATTCGCTAAGCCACATGCGCTCCTCGGTCGAGCGCTTTGTATCCTTTGCAGCTTGGCGCAGTCGTCGCATCGAGTCGTCGAAGTCGTCCAAAATCGTGTTCATACCTCCCCCAGTCTTGGTCGTCCTCGCCTGCGGTCCTACTTTCTGTTTGCATGATTTCGTCGGATTCCGCTGCCCATCCGCGGTGCTCGTCAAGACCTTCCGCAAGCATCTCCCCCCCTCCCCCTCCCCCTCCCAAAGCAGCCAGACCCCGACTCCCAATCCCGTCTTCGAACAGACCAGACCAGACCAGACCATCGCTCCCACCATCCAATGTCCCCCTCCTCAACGCCAAAGAATCAAGGAGACCACCAAAAACTAACCTTGTACTGCACGGGGCCGTAGCCCCCGATGGGGGGCATATCCTGAGGCATCTTGTCGATTTTTCTTCCTCGTCTCTTTGGGCGGGACTACTCGTGCTATCGAATCGCCGCGGGGGGAGTCCGGCCGCTCGGCTTGTCGTCAGGACTATTTGACCTGTTCATTCATTCATCAGCGAATTGTTCTGCATCCGCATTGCATTCCCAACCAAGGGCATACCGACGACACCGGGGGAGGAAAGAATGGGCAAGCTCAGCGCTCGCAAGACTGTAGGCTGGACGGTGCGGGATAGAGCCTGCAGCGAGCGCAACCAGGGAGGCTGCGACATGAAGGAAATGAGGGAGGGGCGAGAGGCCTGGACTTACCCGACTTCTTGTCTCGTCCGGTCACACGGGGGGTAACTCGGTTGTCGTTGTTGTTGTCGTCGTTGATGCTCCGTCGAGTTGCGCTTTCAATTGACGTCGCCGCGATTGGACGTTCAATTGGAGGACCCGACTGCACTGGAGGAGCTCTGCCAGTGGCTGCAAGGGTGTGATAAAGTGGGGGGCACCCGCCTTCATGTGGATCGGGGCGGAAAGAAATGCATTATGTCAGCACTCACAAGTCACGTGCGATCAAGAGCCTCACACGGCATACATGGTGTATGACGCCTACAAGGTACCCTGTCCGGGCAGCATTACTACGAGGAACGTGCCTGTTCTGAGTCGCTGGGGGACGAAGAAACTACATATCAAATGTGCCGACGGAGAATGAATTTCGCTATACGATGCCGCAACGCTCCTGTTGTAAATACAATAAACTGATATCTCAGCGCCGTAGATCCCACCTTAAACCCCCCAAAAACTCCTCAAAAGCCCTGATGCTACAGCAAGCCTTAATTGCAAACATGACTGCTTTTGGCCAATGACAAAGGGTATCATGCCCGACATTGTACATGCAGGTAGTCCTCCTGTATTCTTGAAGACCGGTCAGCGTAACTTGCTGTACGCAGTAAAGACCCCAGTGGGTTTCAGTCGTCCTCGTCCATCGCGGCCGCAAGCTCGGCTTCGAGCTCGGCTTCCAGGCCGTCAATGTCGTCGTCGTCGTCATCCTCCTCTGGCTGCCCTGCGGCTCCTGTAGGCTCTTTGCTCGAAGATTCTGCTTCGCCTGATGCCCCAGCAAGATCCGCCTCGTCGTCATCTCCGGTACCCACTGGAGTAGGCAGACTGTTGCTTTCAGCGTCGTCCTCGCCAGCATTGTGCACGTTGCGTAGACCAGTCGTCCTAGTCTTGGCGATACGCTGCTTCTTTGCTAGCAGGCTCTCCTCGTCGCCTTCGTCGCCGTCGTATTTACGTTTCTTGTTGGAATCATCATCGGTGTCAAACCCACGATCGATACTCTCAAGGTCGGAGTCGTCCATATCTGAGCCAAGCTCGTCCTCGAGCTCTTTGGTGATGTCGTCCCAGGTGCTCCGTTTAAGCGCACCGGGGCTTTTCTCTCCGTCCTCCAGTTCCGCCGGCATGACGTCGGACAGATCCTGGTCATCTGCTCGGTCTTCCTCGTCAAAGTCCGCGTCTCCATCGTCGTCATCGTCGTCATCCTCGTCAGCATCTTCCCCCTGCTCGTCTTCAAATAGGTGCTGACCAGATTGGACGACTGTGATTCGTGGTTGAATGGGCGTCGGGACAGTGCCATTGGCATCATCCACGGAGGCACGAGCTGCGACCACACGATCTGATGGATGTACGTCAATCATGTACGGCGTCTCGTCTAGCTTTTCCCACTGCGCTATCGAGTCAGCCAGCCAATTCTGGTTGACAATCTTGATAGACGGTATCCGAGCAGCCTGTTGCACTTTCTGCGTTCGTGGACGTGAGCTGCTGATGACAAGATGTGTAACGTCGCTGGTGATGCGCGTCCTGATCTCAGTTCCGAAGCTTTCTGCTTGCATCCCAATTTCTGTTCTCCGAACATCTGCGCCGAGGGGCACAAGTCCAGAGAGGACAATTTTAGTGCCTCTGAGGACGCGGGACTTGAGGAAAGTAAGAATCTTGCCCGCATCGGGGATCAGGTCAGGGGCAATGTCGTCGACCCGGTGGTTCGTAGCGCGTGCGTCGAGTTGCTCAAAGAAGGAATGGTGCAAGCTGGCCAAATGCTTCTCCAGGTGTATCAACTCTTGGTCGTCATCTCGTAGAAGGTTGTGTCGATGGTGCTCTGCCTCGCCATTCGATGACGGTTGGGTGTCGTCCTTGTGTTCTGATGCCTCCTTCTCCGCTTCTTCGTCCTCCTTGTCCAGTTGCTTCTGCAGGTGTAACAGGGGTCTATCGGTGAGCTGCTTCTCCAAGCTGCGTTCTTGCTCCTCAGCTTGTAGTTGCAGAATCAGGGTTTCGTCGCTGCTTGCCGCCATCACCTTTTCGTGCTCCGCAATCTTGGACTTGGTGCTCTCTGTGCTTTCTGTGGACTCAAGCGTTGGGGGCACCTTGGGGGTGAGCTCTGGCAAGGGCGAGGGCGCGATAATGTCTTCCCGCTTTGGCAAGAAGCTGGAGTTGATGTCACCTATGCCCTTGAAGAAGTCGTACGGCGTAACCTTGATGAGATTTGAGCGATTCTGGGGCCAGACGTCCGCTCGGTCGTCGATCACAACCACCATGTTTGTGCTGACGGGAAACAGCCGCTGTAGGCTCTTGGCAGTCATGCTACCATTTTCGTCTCTGCTAATAACCCGGTTGCCGAACAATTTCTGTGTCGGGTCTACAATTTTGGCAATATTGAGGGCGTACGCACGCGTGCCCATCGTATACACGTGGAGCTCAAATAGTTCTGCGACGCGCTCAAGAAACTCCGCCAGTCCTGGTCGCATCTTAATGTAGTACCAACAACCACTGGCAAGTCCTCGGGGACCGTCATCGAGCTGGAAACTCCTGACCTCTTTGACGGCTTCGTAATTGGGGTTTGAGGGGTCGCGTTGCCATTCGCCGACTGTAGGCTCGATACAGGCATGAATGATGGTCTGGTCGAGATCCACTACCAGGCTCAGTTTGCGGTCTTTGAGCAGGCGCTTCTGCAATGCCATTTCGGCTCTGATGGCCTGGTCGGAGCTGACCGTGAGGGAAACGTTGTCGTGGACCATGGCGACTGTGGCGCGAGATGTGTCGAGCTGCTCGGACGCATAGTTGGCCTCCTTCATATCCTTGCCGCAAATGGCGCACAAGCCGGCATACTGGACTTCGTGGCTGCACGCCTCTTCTATGGTGACCAGCTGTTGGTCGTTTTCGATGACCTCACCGTTCTTGACTCGCCACTTCAGGATGCGTCCTTCGGCAGGGCTGTCCCACTCGGCGTAGCCCGTCTCAATGTCGACGCGGTCTTGGTCGTATTCCTGATGGATGACTCTCTTAAACTTGTAGCTGTACTGGAGCAGGGGCTCTTTCTTCGAGATGTCGTCTCCGACATTTTTTAAGATCTTGGTGATGGTGATCGGGTAGGAGAGCGCAGCTCCAAGCTTGAGTGTTTTTCCCATCCTAGACCTCGACTCGGTCACGCTAAGGGTGACATGCGTGAGAGGTTTGTTATCTGGCAGAGACAAGGGAGTCCGAGATTAGCATATGTGCGCTAGGTACTATTCTGGATTGTGTTTGAAGTGGTTCGTGACAGCGGGAATGGTGCTTGTCATGATACGCTCGTGAAGGGAGCCAAAGCAATCATCCAACCGTGTTGGAGGGTCACATTCTGGGATCCTTGTTTGCCCAAACTCACCTGTGCGATTTCTATATTGAGGTCGGGAGTTGGGTGGTCGCAATGGAAGACTGTGTACAAGCGAGCGACGGAAGCTGTCGCATGGCCACGCCAAGCAAGCGCGCTCTGTCAAACACTCTGGCTGAGCTGGAGGTCCGACACGGTACAGAGAGAATCGAGGGTTGGTAGTCCCTTGTCGGAGGCACTACAATTGTTGCTGGCGCGCGAGCGAGCCGGGAAGGAAGTCGTGCCGATAATTATCGTTTGACGCGAGGCGATTGGGGGTGACTGCGGCTGGAGGGGAGAGCTTTGGCTGGACCAGGGGCGCGGCGCAAGCACAAAGAGCTTGGGGAGCTGTCGATTTTAAAGAGGGATTGAGCCAATCAGGCCATGCGGCGACGGAGGCTAGCTACACGGGGCCGACGTAATCGACCGCCAGCTTGGAGCTTCGCTGGAGTGCACGCGGGTCGGTTAGCGCAGCCCATGGCATGGCACAAGAGGTGTTTGGGTACTGTAGGTCCGGCTGCTGGCAAGTATCGTGTCGCACATTGCAAGCACAAAGATACCTCCAGCAAAGGGGGCACAAAGTCCTCATCCCCACTTCTTCATCCCAGGAGCAGGGGTGGAGAGCAACCTGGCCTGGCAAGTTCCTGAGTCGGGATTTTGAGGTGGGACCTGGCTGGCACGGGGCGAATAACGCATTGGGGTTGTTTGTTGTACTAGAGATAGAAAAGCACAAAGGGGAGAGTGTGATGCTAGCGATGCTTACATGTTTCTTCGTGAAGCTTGTGCTTGGAGGCTTTTCTCTCAGCTGAGCGGTGCGATGCGATCTGGTTTCTTGCCGGATCAAGGTCACCTGGAGCGCGATCCAGCTGCAGGCGGAGATGGCGACGACGGGAGGTGATAGTTGTTGGAACCGTTCCGCGGAAGGAGGCGGGCAGTGCTGCGGCTGGACAGGCCAAAGTCTCGGAGGTCCTGAGTCGTGTGTCTTTTACTTAGCGGATGTAAGGTATTGATGGCGGCTCATCGACGTTGAGCGTGTTTGCGTGAGTGGGAGGCGTCTCGTCATTGCTGGCCGCTCAAAGTGGGGCTCCGTGCTGCGGCGGCAGTTGAGGCACCCACGAAAAGCGCGGGGAATTCCAAGGCCTTTTGTACCTCGTGCTGCAGGGGCGACCCCGTTTCTCCAACTGGCCACCGTCTCACCATCCGTTGTAAGGTGCGCATGCATCAGCGTACTTGCAGTACACTAACGTACTTAAAGTAGACATGGCGGGGCACAGAGCCATGCTTCTTCGACTTCGACGAACACTCAAGTACATTCAAGGCGCAAATTGCGATGAAACTCGGGTGTTTACATGTTGCAATACTTTCGGGGTTTGCTGTGATACTAACAGTTTCCAGGCGGGGAGGCAACAGTGAAAGACCATCTGGCAGACTGGCACGTCCCACCAGACCTCTCCGGCCCCTTCAGAGTTCTCCCATCTCTTCATCATCAAAGTCATCCACGACATAGTAGTTCTCGATAGTCGCCTCGCCACGCAGCACCTTGGTCCAGATGTCAGGGTTGCACGACTCTGGCTTGAGCACATAGCACCTCTGCTTCGGCCACGGCGGCGGCAGGTTCACCACGTCCCACGTGTCCTTAGGCCCCTCCGTCTTGTACTCGTCCGTCGTCTTGCTCTGCCCCGAGGCAATGTCAAGCCCAAAGATGGCCCGCCGAAAGATCTCGTGCGCCGCCGCCGGCTGATAGCTCGGCACCTCGTGGCCGGCCTGGAAGACCCGCGTGAAGCTGAAGTTGCCCACCTGCCGCGTCATCCCCGCCCACCCGTGGCCCGGCTCGTCAAGCACGTCGTCGACATAGAACCTTGTGTATCCCGCCTCGACAAAGTCCTTTTGCCGCGTGTACGGCACGGCCAGGGAGGCCATCTCTCCGCCGACCCAATTGCACGCGTAGTCGCGATCGCCGTACATCATGTGGACCTTTACACCGGAGTCGAGCAGGTATGCGATACCTTCCAGGAAGCCGCCGTGAATAAGATCACTTGTGCTTTCAAAATCGTGCGCCACGGTAGCAGACCCCGAGGTGAAGTTGACAGGCACGCCCAGTGCTCGCAGCACCGATTCCTCCTTCAGATACCCTTGCATGGTGGGAGCTGGGAACGGGTCGAAATGGGGATGCGCAATATCATACCAGCCTCGAGACTGGTCCGCGGGCAGACCGGCCTTGTATGTCATCCAGGGCTTGATCGCGCACAGCATGGCCTCGGCGTCGCAAATCTCGCTGATGTTCTTCTTGGCAGCCACGCTGGCAGCAGCCTCCGTCACGATCCCCAGAGACGCCATGATTGGGTCGCTATCCCGCAGGGCGTCAGAGCACGCCGCAACCTTCTCCTTGCACCCGCCTGGCGCGACCCAGTCTGCCATCAGTGCCTCGTAGAGGGTCTCATTGAAGAGCTGGATGCCGTAAGTGTTTCTGTGCGGGAAGCTGATGTAGCTCTCGACCTGGCGCACCGTGTCGATCGCTCCGTTCACTATGCCCAGTGTGTCGAGGCGCAGGTAGTGCGCGTCCTTTTCGGTGCCCTTGCCGCTCTTGATCTTGTCGTTCTGCTTCTGGAAGAAGCTCATGAACCCGGGACCATAGTGGCCGCCGTAACTCTCAGCCCACAAGCTGATCCCGTTGTCTGTCGGCTTGTAATGCGGGAACTCGAAGAACCACGTCTGCACAAAGTGCCACAGCGCGTGGGCAGCATGCGTCGTCGAATTGGCCGTGTGCGCCGCGTTCTGGCTGCTGAACGTCCCCAGTCCCTTCGCACGGTTCAGATCATGCTCAGGCAGCTCCGAGTCGGGCAAGTCCTTGGGAAGCTCCGTGTAGATTGGGGCCGCATCGTCCCAGCTCTCGTCCTCGTCGGCAGTCGGGTAACGGAACGAGAAGTTGGTCGGCACATCGTACGAGAAGCCAACCTGCACGGGCTGGTCCAGGAACAGCATGTTGACCTCGTTGTTCCACGCCCACGGGTTGTGCACGGTGGTCTTGGAGTCTGGGCCAACGAAGCATGGGCCCAGCTCCTCAAGGAGGCCCATCATGGACGACCCGCCGGGGCCGCCGTTGAGCCATATCGAGAGTGGCGCGTTGGAAGGGTCCTTGCGAGCCTCGAAGAACCAGAAGAAGCTGTGCAATATGGTCAGTAGCGGTGATCAATGGCACTCCGCATGCTGCAATGCTGTGATATCAGTGGACATACGTGTTGATGGGATAGTCCTGCGTCTCGCCGCCCGCGCCGTCATCGAGCGTTCTTGGCGGGAGATGGACGTAGCCTGAGTACGACTTGACGCCAGGCGTTGTCTCGCAGATTTGCGGCTGTATGTTGAGTACCCAGTTAGCATCGGCCAATAGACCTTGCAAAGTTGAATTCGGACAACCGCGCCCAGGGACATGCCTCTTTGAACGAGATGGTCACATTCTCGTGGAATTTGGATCTGAGTAGGGTAATCCCCTCGCGCGGCGGCGGGAACTGCGCGGTTGCAAATGGGGACAACAATGGCAGCAGCAGCGGCAGCAGAGCGACCCTGCTGCGATTCCACAATGGTGATGAGCTGGCCATTGTGGAGGCTGAGTTGGCGGTTCCTCGGCCTGCGGATATGATTCGTTGTCTACCAGCCAGCTGGAGCAAAGCCGGGACGCGAGGAAGCACTCTATACTGGTGGTCTCGATCTCCAATCGTGACGGCGAAGAAGCGGGAAAAGGTCTGCGAAAGAGTCACCGTGGGAAGTCTTGCCCATTATAACGAATCCCGCCGAAGTCACGCAATAGGCAACAGTGCCCCGAATCACAGACGCCATCGCGCAGGCGATAATGGAGCCCGGTGCAGTGGGATGCCCTTGCTGCCGGCCACCGGCACCCAGCGCTGTAGAGAGCTGTTCAACGCCGACCTTCCTCTTCTGAACTCCGATGCTCACGGTGTGGGGGCTGAAAGCTTGACCTATCGGTGGGCGGCATGGGGCTCCACAGAGTGCCACGGCTGGCGTGCGTTGTCGACTACATGAACAGGTGTGTACGCGCGTAAGCTTCCGGTGGCGTGTACGGTCCTGTTGGAGAACAAGTAGATCTTGAGACTGTTGGAATTTCCAGGTCCAACTGCACCTGTGACCAAGAAGCCCGACACCCAGGCTGATTCAATGATCCGTTGTGGCTTTGCACCGTGTGATGTCGAGTCGGGCAGGTTACCCTGCACCGTGGAGGGTGGCCCCTGGAACTCGCAGGACAGCGCCCGTTTCGGGTGCAATGATATCGGATGCAAAGCATTATGATTCCTGGGACATGCTGAGAATTTTCTGAAATTTTTGGATTTCATCTTTTGAGATACGATCACGGAGCAAGCACGTCATCTGGGTTGTATTGGAAGGGGCATGAATGTTGGTGATTTGGTGAATAATTAAATGCTGCATTTTTAATCATCATTTTTTCAATCCCACTAGTCAGAACAACCTAGAACGCACATAAACGACAAACTCCATTCATCATTCCAAGTCAGCTGCATACTTTTATACATTATAGAGTCAGTCACAAGTCAGTTGGCCTTTGAATACTTGAATGACCGGGACCCAGGATAGAGAAGAGCAAGTGGTCGGGAGCAAGCACCATACCCAGTTGCAAGTCTTACAATAACATAGGTCACGGCTCAATAGTGTATTCACGCGAGAAGACAAAGCACTCAAGAAAATGATTCGGCCTCGAGACAATCAGTGGGGCCATTGCTATGCTTCATGGCCTACGCCGAAATCATTAAGCTGACTACGCGACTTTTTGGATACACCGGAATAAGCTCGAATCTTGACAGAAGAGAACGGTCTCTCTTACGTCTTCTTCCCTCTAAAGAACCCACTCAACTTGCCCATCATCTGCCCAAGGCCACCCCTCTCACTTCCCTCGACCAGCCCTCCCTGGATCCAGCCGGGAAGCTTCCCTCGTATCCTAGGCGTGCCATATCTTCGATCCACGAGCACAATCGAGGCGTAGTCGTCCTTGTGCCTGATGGCGCGGCCGATGCTCTGGTTGACCGCCCGCATACACGCGTTCTCGTAAAAGTCCCTCGACGCCTGCTTTGCCACGGCCAGAGCCTCGTTCCGGGGCATCGCTGGCTGCCGTCCTGCACCGAGATCACCGCCTTCTGTTTCCGCTGCGGGAGTCGTGAGCCGCTTCAGAGTCGTCGACTCGATGTACTCGATGCGTGCTTTCCAGTCGGGCGAATTGATGTTCGGATATGGCAGGCCAACAATGACGACACACCGGCCCAGGCGATCGGAGAAGTTGATGCCTTCGCTCATCTTGCCGCCCACCACACTGAGCAGGAGCGCACCGTTGGTGGTCTTTGGCTGCTGTGGGCGGGTGGAACTGCCGCTACCCAGGCTCGACAATGACTTCGAAGGCGGTTTTGTCTCGTCGCCTTCGCCGAGAATGGCTTTCGTATACTTATCCAGAACCTCGTCAATAGACCCTCCCTTGGGCTCGCTGAAGACCTCCTTTTTCGCCTGCAGGCGCTCCCAGATCGACTTTGGCTCCCCAGGTCCGCGGTTGGACCACGCAGCCACAACCTCATCCAAGTAGCCATAACTAGGGAAGAAAACAACGACGCCATCTGGTACGATGGTACAGATGTTGAGGATCGCCAGGCCAAGCTCTCTGACCATGGCCTTGTCGCCCCTTCGCTGGAAGCTGAACTCGAAAGGCACCCCACTGCTGTCTGACGCCGGCTTCGTCGATGCGAGGGTCCACACACACAAGTTAGATGACGGGATGACATGGCCGCAGCTAAGCGTGGTGACTTTGGTCTTGGGCAGCTCCGGGAACAAATGTGCCGTGTAGTCATCAAAGGGTGACATGGTGCCGCCGGCCAGGATCACAGCTCTCGCACTGTTCGCTATGGACGAGAATGCGTGCGTTGGGGAGAGCAGTAGATACGAGAGCTTGATGTCGCGTATGTCTTTGTGGTAGAAGATCCGGCCCTCCGAGCTGGGATTGTTGAGGGATATCAGGAACGACACCAGTGTGTGCAGGACTGGCGTCGAGCTTGACTTGATCGGTACTCCTTCTCCAGACTCTGCCTGAGCTACGTAGCCTTCGACCTTGTACGCGAGCTTCGAGGTCTGCACGTATTGTATGAGCTGATATAAGTTGATCTGATCGGCTCCTTTAGTTTTCAAGAGGGCATTGGGGTCGACGATGCCTTGGTCGGTCTGTGAATGTGAGTACCGTGTCCACATCCATGTTTCAAAGGTTGGGGAAGCGTCGGCAGCGTACCTTGAGTTGAATGGCATCATCAAGCCACGCACTAAGACCGTCAACGACCCTCGCGAGCTGTGCAACCATGACACGATTCTCGCCTTTGAGCTTCTTGCCGAACTTCTTCACGTACACTCCAAGCATTTGCCTCGCCCGTTTGAGGTCGCTCAGACTAATCTCTGCTGCGTAGACATTCGACACGGCGTCCATGATGTTATGGGCCTCATCGATGATGACTACGTTGCCCTCGAGCTTTATCCCAAGCGCCTCTCTCGCCGTCTGCTGAAGCAGCAGTGGATAAGGCAGCGTGACAATCTCTGCACTGGGAATGGCCGTTCGAGAGGCGTAATACGGACATACTTGGAACTTCTTGCCAAGGGCGAAGAGATCTTCAATATCGGGCAGTGTGGCCAAAACGTTGTCACGAAACTGATGAGTGTTTTTAAGGTTGTCGGCACCAGGAACAAACGAACATTTCGTGGTGGACTTTGACTGCTGTAGCTCGGAGCAGCGATCGTTTATGGCTGCAAGGGAACCCAGGCGCGAGACAGACGGGTTGATGCAAAGACGTTGCCTGGATGATAATGGCAGATGCTTGACACCTTCGGCATCGCCTTCTGTCTTTTGTTCACGAATTGAGTCTGGCAGAGATGACGGAAAGTTTGGCCGTCGCAATTCGCCGACAAACTGTGTGAGTTGTGAATGTGTTCTGGACGTGTAATAAATCTGCCGTTTCTCGGTGAGCCATTTGTGCACACGGTTGCGGAAAATTGAGGGCCTACTTTGATCTCATTTGTATCCGCCGCCTCCTCATCATTTTGGCTCTTGAGTGGTCCCATACCAAGCTTGGCCATCAATGCCTGGGTCTCTTTACTGAACCCTGGACCGCCTGCATCTTCTTGCGAGTCCGCCGTATTGTCGGCGAGGAGCCACTCGTCGTCTTCTGTCGGCTCATGGTGACCGCCAGCGCTGTCCTCTTGCATCTTCCTGCGTTTCGCTCCGCGAGCTTCGAATGCCTTCTCCCTTGCCCGGATACTCTCGAGTCGGGCCTCTCGCTCGGTCCATGCCGAAGTGAGCTCGTCCCGTTTCCTCTTGAGCATCTGCTGAACGATCCAGTCCGGCTCGTCAGTGAAACCATTCACGGCATCTTCGATTGAGACATCAAAGGTTTCTCGTTTGTGATTTCGCAGCCATGTCAAGGCTGCACATATGAGTGACAGCGACTTTCCCTAGTTTTGGCATCAGCAAGGCGACTAACCAAATTCCGCAGTCTTTTGCATTTACCGTCCCTGTCGGACTTTCCAGGATGCCGACTTGGCCATTGCCTTGCTTGAGAACATGATATGCCGTCGACATGAATTCTTTCTGGACGTCGTATGGCATGTAAGGATGGTGAAAATCAATCTTCTCCATTTTGTCCGTCAAGGTGTCCATGGTGAACGCGATTTCAAGCTGGGCATGGCCAATTGTCGTGACCATTCATGGCGTTGATACTTGAACGAATTACGGGGTTATTCTCATTGGCTGCAGTACTGAGCGGCATGCAAGAACATGCACATCCGTCAGCTTCCCATGCTTAACTTAGAGGAGGAGACTGTTGTGTGTGGGTCACGCATGGTCCCTTGAGTCCTCCACAGGCGCCTAGATTCGTTGACAGCCTGGAACCATGAACTGAGCCCAACCTTGGAAGAGTCAGCGGCACTTGAGCAAGAGGTATCGCTTACGTAAGCCAGATGAGCGTGACTGGAACTGTTTCGTAACAGGACTCTCCAGAGGGACAGACGGGTTCTTGAGAGCTTCACAAACCAATTCAAGAGTATTACTCTTTCGGGAGGCAGATGTATGAGGGTTGCTGAAAGCTGTGTCCTGGCGCACACTGTCCATTGCCGCAACTGCCAACTGAGGAGAGGAAGAGGACTTCCAGGACGTGGCTGACCCACATGCATCGTCGCTATGAGCGAGATGGTGGAGCCGCGTTCCAGCCACACTTGAGCCCAGCGCGCTGGGGGCAGAAGTGCGGCTGTGCAGATCGGCGCTCGGACCAACACCTTCCACAGGGCTGTCCACACCACACAAAAAATTGATTTAGCGAAAACCGGTGCGGCTGCGTCTGGGCCTGCCATTGAACTTTTCCCACCCGGATCTTGGTCCTCACGACAGGAGTAGCCATACTACCACAACAACCCAGCTACTCAACTAACCGCCACCATGCCTACCAGGTTCTCCAAGACGAGAAAGCAGTATGTCTTCACCGATGCGCCCTCCAGCATGCTGTCGCACCGTCTTTGTTGAACCCGCCCGCCGTCTGTTGCGTCTGTCCGCCGCCGAAATATTGTACTGCGATGCCCGACCCCAATCAAAAATGCGTCGACCATGAATCGAAGAACAGAAAGGGAATGGAGGACGACCCAACGCTCCTTGTCGAGCGCGACTGTTTCCGCATCACTCAAGCGCACACGACCGCATTGTTTCACTTGATCGACAACGCAGACTGCAACGCAACAGACGCGGGGGGGAGCTCACGGACAACGCACAAAATGCCCGAATTTGTGATCGCGACGAGTATCGCACGGTTGAGCAGACAGGCTGACATTGTTCCTCTTTAGCCGTGGCCACGTCTCGGCCGGTCACGGTCGTGTCGGTAAGCACCGCAAGCATCCCGGTGGTCGTGGTATGGCCGGTGGTCAGCACCACCACCGCACCAACTTGGACAAGTACCACCCTGGTTACTTCGGTAAGGTTGGTATGCGGTACTTCCACAAGCAGCAAGCCCACTTCTGGAAGCCCGTCCTCAACCTCGACAAGGTACGAATACTTTTCCCCACGCCGGACACGCGAGCCGTCGGTCCAGCACCACTGTGTTTAGTCCAGATTAGCCAGTCCTCGACCGAGAAGATTCAAGCGAAGAGCACCTCTAGCGATTTTACTCGGTCGAGCTGGACTATGGCCGTGGCACAGCCTCTAGCTCGAAGCACTTGATGCTAACATGTCCTTCAGCTCTGGTCTCTCGTTCCCGCCGAGACCCGTGAGGCCCACCTCAACGGCTCCAAGTCCGACACCGTCCCCGTCATCGACCTCCTCCCCCTCGGCTACTCCAAGCTGCTCGGCAAGGGCAAGCTCCCCGAGGTCCCCATTGTCGTCAAGGCGAGATGGGTCAGCAAGCTGGCTGAGAAGAAGATCACCGAGGCTGGCGGCGTCATCCAGTTGGTTGCGTAAATGTTGAAAAAAGGAAATCACGGTTGGAATTTTCATCACACTTGGGGCTTTATGGGAACGGAAATACCTGACGAGACCGGAGGGCCGGCTCTCGTCACAAAGCATCGACCCCCCACTACACGCGGAGTTACAATGAAGGAAAACCCGCAGGGTCGGCTCCGGCCTCTTGAGCATCGCATGGCATGATCGGCTTTACGAAATGGGAGTTCTGCTGAATACAAAAAAATCATTTGAACAAAGCCAAATCATGAGATGTCTCTTGACTTGTGACTGTGAAATGTGATACCCCGTTGATTCACAGTCTACCCGAAATACTCTCGGTGTAGAGGACTACACTGCGCCTCTCCCAAGATGGAGTTGGCGGTGGCGGAGTTCAACATTGCTACACGACGGGTACTGGCCCCTATCCAGGTGGAACAACGCCCAACCACTCTATTCAACAGCTGGACATCGCATAGTAAATGCTAGACCATGTCGTCAAGACTACCGGGCAGTTCTGCCATGGTGAGGAAGAGGCCGGGTATTGGACAGCCAGGATGCGTGCTGCATTGATGCACTGCCTCAAAGAGACAGACTTGAGTCGTTCCTTACAAGAACTCTGCAGAGCCTGATGAACATACTGGTGCTCTGCGCTCGGATCTATGTCCATCTGAGGTACAAACCCAAGTTAGAGAGGAAACACATCGCAACGTTCAAACCAACAATATGCCTGGGCGTCCGAATCGCTGGAACAGAGGAAGAGTACCGCGCTATGTCGTGACATTTGTGGCATGTACCGCTAGTGGACTCCAGGCATAACATGAAGGGCTAGGAGTCAAGCACGTGAAATGGCGCATGGCGGATTGGAGAAGAGTTTGTAACCAGGAACGCTGCACACCAGACACGCACCAACCTGGTCATCTGGTGTGCAGCTGACTCAACCGGTCGATATGGCGTATTTGAGTCGAGCTCCTCAAGACTGCAGTCCATGCTATCTATGCCTCAGAGCCGGTGAGTGGTGAGGATTCATTATTCACGGGGGGGTCACAGTCAGGTGATGTGACTGTGTTGGTGTCAGCAGATGTGCGGCGAGATAAGCGCTGGCCCAGTGCAAATGGGATGCTTGCCCCTGGCATGGTCATCCGGGCCCGTGCAGAAGGGTGCCCGTGTGTCTTGGTCTAGCGATGAACTACCGGTAGGCTCCCCCGTCGAACGTCATTTGCAGCTGGCATGACGGATGCTTGCCTCACGATATCGATAAAGCACTGATGCGGAAAGGCTCTGACGCAGAATGGTACACTATGGAGAAGGTGTGGCATGCGGAGAAAGGTGCTGCAGCTCCAGCAGTAACGGAGAAGCCCCAGGACAATAGTTTTCAGGATTCAGTCATTACGAGCGAGCCTTCCGGACGTGGCTGCGTGGGTGACACAACTGGAAACACAGTGACGGGACGCCATGCGCGGGAACTGACGGAGGCGCATTGTGAACGCACATGCACGCGGAAGGAAGACGTGAGCCAATCGACGACCCCACTCCTCCATCCCGGCGCCCCCAAACAAGGCCTATCCACGGCCAGGATAAGGCAATCAGTCCGCCTAGCACGCTTAGCTTCTGCACAAGTCGCGCGCCGCGGGTCACCCTCCCAGGCATCCCGACCAGCTACGGATCCGTCTCGTTCTCAGTCTCATTGTCGATAGTCAACCATCGTCTTCGTGCCAAACTCTCTCCTCGCCAGACAGCTGCTGCATTCCACTCAGCTGCTGCAGTCGCTCATTGATACCGATTCCCTCCAAGAGAACAGACAGTCCAGCCTCTGCGCCCAGTGGCACAGAGACCCTTGTTTTCTATTCTTGTCGATACCTCGAACCCCTGTCGCCCAGATCGTACCCGTCCATCGTCTCCAGAGGTCCACCACGGACCTTGTTGGCCTCAGACAACCATAGTCCCGCCTGTCAGATACGCCCAGACTCGACATATTGCTGCCTTTACCTCGAAGGTGAACTACTTGTGACGACCACCCGACCACGGTCATAGCTCAGGTGCTGCCTGGGTCAGCGCAGGCATCGGCCCCGCAACAAAAGCTCGGCACATGAGCTGCTGCCACTGCCTGCAGAGCGGTCACATTACGCCTTGCGAACCCGGAAGGGCCGAGCCACGCCGCCCGCGAGAACGAGCCTCGTCCATATCCCTACCATGGCACCTCCCGCCCCAGACGAGGGGAGCACGACTAGGAGGCGGGTGAGCAAGAAGCTGCGCAAAACCCACAGAGAAGGCCACCAGCCCACGATGGAGCTCCCCGAACGATTTCGAGACGATGGCGACGACGCCGAGGAAGACGTGCGGCCTTCAAACCAGGGTGCCCAGGTCTTTATGAACATGAATCAGTCAATATTTGGTCTTATCGCAGCGGCTGGATCGACTGTTGACTTCAGCGACCGCTTCGACGGACAGTCTAGCGACGAGGACGATAGTGGCGTCGGCACTGACGGTCCGCCAGGCACCAAGAAGCACCGTCTGCCCGGCACATTTTCCGGTGCCCAAACGATAGTGCTACCAAAGCGGGCTGACAGCAAGGACAAGGGCAATGACAAGGAGGGCAAGCATCATAGGAGAAGCCTGTCCGGCAAGCTGCTGCGCTCTTTGCCTCAGCTACCCAAGCTCACAAGTCGCTCCTTGCGCAAGTCCTCAAAGCTGCGCAGCTCACAACTTTCCTCGGATGGGGGAGACGAGTCGAGCTCGTCAAGTCCCCAGGACCCAGAGGCTGACTCTCCGATAGTAGCATCACCTACGGAGCAGAAGGTCGGTGGACGACTGGCACCTGTCATGAGTAGAATGCTAGAAGCCCGTGCCGAGATGTCATCACGACCAAGCTTCGACCTGGAAAGACTGTCTGGAGACTTCCGGCGGGGTGATGACGGGCCGAGCGCGCTGGCCCGCAAACTCAAGGAAATTTTCGAGTTTGAGCATGCTGAGGAGGTGATTCAAGGTCAGTCCTCAGCTTACATTGTTCGTGAAAGTTTGATGCTGATGCACACGTGCACAGAATATCCATGCTGGCTTCTACAGAGCGTACTGCTACAGGGTTACATGTACATCACTGACAAGCACATCTGCTTTTACGCATACTTGCCTAAAAAAGCTGTGAGTCTGGAGCTGACTGACCAGTCATGAGAAGAGAGACAGCTTACTGACAGCTGAGTATAGCATGAGGTCGCAAAGTCTGGTTATCTCTCGAAGAGCGGCAAGCGGAATCCCAAGTTCAATCGCCACTGGTTCCGACTGAAGGGCGATGTCCTGGCATATTACCGCAACGCATCCAATCTGTACTTCCCGGATGGTCAGATTGACCTTCGCTACGCCATTTCTGCAAATATTACAGACAAGGACAAGGAGTCCATCCACTTCTCAGTCGTCACTCACCAGCGCACATACAACTTCAAGGCCGACAGTTCGCCAAGCGCGAAGGAATGGGTGAAGAGTCTCCAGAGGGTCATCTTCAGGTCGCACAACGATGGCGACAGTGTCAAAATCTCCCTTCCACTCGAGAATGTGCTGGATATTGAGGACAGCCAGATGGTGGAGTTTGCAGACACCTGCAAGATCCGAGTCATCGATAACGATGAGACGTATGCGATAGATGAGGTAAGTGGTCACTTTCAATTACTCGATCACTAGATCCTGTAGAAATTGTGCTAACACGACAGCAGTATTTCTTCTCATTCTTCAGCTTTGGCAAAGAGGCCATCAATGCCCTGAAGGCGACGATTGAAAGACCAGTGCCCGGCGCGAAGACGAACAAGTTGAAGCTCAACATCAACACTGGTTCACCAAGCTCCCCACTCGCAACATCCGGCTCTGTCACACGCTCGCACAGCCCTGCGCCAGGGGCCGAGCTGAAATCTCCGAAACTTCGTGATCATGTCAAGGCTACACTATCGCCTATTGGTCATCCCGAAGCCTCGAGTCCTCGGGCTAGTGGCGACTTCTCACGCGCCAGCTTTGACGCCTTTCGGCAGATTGGCAGGAGGAGTATGGACCTGGACTCAGCTGCTCGCGAGCAGGCCAGATCATCGCCGATGCGCCGTAGCTTCAGTGCCTCGAGGTCTTTGAGCCAAAGCCGACACGTCGACCAGTCCGCTCACACGGACAAGCTGGCCTCCTCCGAGTCCTATGTTCAATCCCTCGAAGACCCAAGTGGTGCCTCGGGAATGATCGAATCATCCAATGAATCACCTTCTGGCAGCCAAATACTTCGAGGCAGTGAGGTATTTCATAGTCCGACATTGCCTCGCCGATCTACGTCCGGCTCGCCCGCCCCGGGACAATCGAAACCCGCTCACAAACCTTCGTTCAAGCACAAGCCGGACTCACCTCGCGTACAGCCTAAATCCATGCCTGCCGGGGTTCCGACCGCTGATAGCAAGACTGGCGGTTCCACCGATGACGGTGAACCTCAGTCGTTGCAAAATTTGGTCAAGATGGGAGCATATCCATTACAGAGAGCTGGCTTGTTCGCCAACTACCTAAACCAGACCAGCCGTCGGATGAGCAATCTCCTCGCCACGGAGTCGATGGGATACGTGGAGAAGGTCTCTGGCATGTGGAAGGGTGGACGCAAGCACTACACTGAGCAGCCGGGGCTCAAAATCGAGAATGAAAGTGACGACGAGGACAACGAAAGCCAAGTCGCCGGCGCCACAGAACGTTTCCAGCAGCACTTTGCACTGCCTCCTACCGAGAAGCTCCAGGCTACCTACTTTGGATTCATCATTCGCGTGCTGCCGCTCTACGGCAAGATCTACATTAGCGAACGAAACTTCTGCTTCCGAAGCCTGCTGCCGGGGACCAGAACAAAGCTCATCCTGCCACTCAAGGACATTGAGACGGTGGACAAGGAAAAGGGGTTTCGGTTTGGATATTCTGGCTTGGTGGTTGTTATCCGTGGTCATGAGGAGCTTTTCTTCGAATTCAACCAGGCAGAAGCCCGAGACGACTGTGCGGTAACCTTGCATCACAGCTTGGAGGCCGCCCGTTACATGCGTGACTCCGAGACCCTCAATAGGGAGGAGAAGGTGCAGGCAGAAGAAGCGATTGCAGAGCGCGATGCGCTGAACGAGGCTCGCCTCCAGCAGAACCCCGAGCACGAGCTCAAGATGCCCCAAGGCGTTGAGCTTGGCGACTCAGCTCCGACCATTCTCTTCGACGACCCCAAGGCGTCATTCCTCAACTTCAAGCCAGCCGAGCCGATGAAGATCACTTGCCTCACAATCGGCTCGAGGGGTGATGTGCAGCCGTACATCGCACTCTGCAAGGGCCTTCTCGCAGAGGGCCACAAGCCGCGGATTGCGACGCATGCCGAGTTCAAGGACTGGGTGGAGGGACATGGCATTGAGTTCGCGCCCATCGGTGGTGATCCTAGCGAGCTCATGCGCCTTTGCATCCAGAACGGGACCTTTACATGGGCGTTTATGCGCGAGGCAAGCTCCAAATTTCGTGGGTGGCTTGATGAGCTGCTCGCATCGGCTTGGGAGGCTTGCCAGGGCTCTGATCTGCTCATCGAGAGCCCCAGCGCCATGGCAGGCATTCACATTGCCGAAGCTCTCGGGATTCCATACTTCCGAGCTTTCACCATGCCGTGGACGCGTACTCGTGCATACCCGCACGCCTTTGTGATGCCGGAGCACAAGATGGGTGGTGCCTACAATTACGTCACCTATGTCATGTTCGATAATGTGTTCTGGAAAGCGACGGCATCACAGGTCAATCGCTGGCGTAGGAACCTTCTCGGCTTGCCAAGCACCAACCTGGAGAAGATGCAACCCAACAAAGTGCCCTTCCTGTACAACTTCTCGCCCTCTGTTGTGGCGCCTCCACTCGACTACAGCGACTGGATTCGAGTGACAGGATATTGGTTCTTGGATGAAGGCAGCGACTGGACGCCCCCAGATGACCTTCGCGAGTTCATTGAGCAAGCACGCAAGGACGGCAAGAAACTGGTTTACGTCGGTTTCGGTTCCATCATTGTTCCTGATCCGGCCAAGATGACACAAGAGGTGATTGATGCCGTCCTCAAGGCCGACGTGCGGTGCGTATTGTCCAAAGGGTGGTCAGATCGCATTGGAGGCACCAAGGAGAATCCAGCCCCCGAAGTGCCCCTGCCACCGGAGATCTTCCAGATCAAAAGCGCGCCCCATGACTGGCTGTTTGCGCAGATGGACGCCGCCGCCCACCATGGAGGTTCAGGCACCACTGGCGCTAGTTTGCGCGCAGGCATCCCCACCATCATCAGACCTTTCTTTGGCGACCAGTTCTTCTTTGGCGACCGTCTGGAAGACCTTGGTGTCGGCATCTGTCTCAAGAAGTGGGGCGCCAATTCATTCGCCAGGGCCCTGTGGGAGGCGACTCACAGTGACCGGATGATTGTAAAGGCCAGGGTCCTCGGCGAGTCTATCCGCAAGGTATGATATCCATCAATGTAACCTTCGTGACCATGTTCATCAAGCTCATACATCTTCACAGGAAACCGGCGTTGAGACGGCCATCCAATCCCTCTACCGCGACTTGGAGTACTCCACGAGCCTAATCAAAGCCAAGACGGGCAAGAACGCGGCTGCCAGTGCCGGCGGCGCGGGCGGCAGTCGTATGAGTGTCGATGGCAACTCTGGCGGCGACGAGGATGATGAGGAGAGCTGGACGTTTGTGGGTACGGGCGACGATGCTGACCATGAGTTTGCCCTTAAGAGGACGTCTCTGCGCGGCTCACCCGAGCGCACGTTCCACGGACTAATGGAGTCCAGCCAGAGCAGCGTGGGCAGCCGGGCCTTGGGCTCAAAGGTCCTTGGCGGCAATACCGGTGCGAGCGCTTTCAGGTCAGCAGGGCGAGGTGGCAGCCCTGTTGCCACTATGGCGCATACGAAGAGCACCGGTACTTCGAGGCTGGTGTCTTAGGATGATTCAAGCACTTGTTGTGGCTTTGTGATTATGAGCGTCTGCCGGGCACTGGGCACACATGCGGCCCCGGCCAGTGCCGAGCAGATGCCATGGAGCAGAGAGGGGGAGGACCTAGCCAGCACGCATGGTCTTAGGTCAGAAGAGGAAGCGGCATGACAGCATTAGACGAGACGACGAGCGAGTATTTCGATTACTTTCCTGCGACGACATATGCTGGGTCAAGGCGTTACATTGGAGAGCGACATGAAGACTTTATGACAGATGCACGGTTTTCATAGACATGGTTTGGATAAGACAAGGCATGGCTAGTGCGAACATAATTGGAGACACAATTTTCCCTTCTGCTTCCCATGCGTATTACTGATATTTGTGCCTGGGACTCATTGGCATGGGCTTACCAGGATTGCAATGGCTCCTGGAATGATCCGCGGCTCGGATGATGACGCCAGATTCAATGACCAGTGCCGTGATCCTTGGAGGGACATGGACGACGGAGCACGTAAGCGGCATCAACACCACTGCCCCGACACACTTGCCAAGCCCCTAGAAGCTGACGTTGAGAGTTTGGCGGGGGACGAGATGGAGCCAAGCTCGGACCCCCAGCAGATTGGTATGCTGGGCTTACTGTTGAGGCAGACGGACATGCGTGGCGTGACATGGCATGGCACTCCAGCGGCACAAAGTTGGTCTCCAACAACAAGGTGAGACTGTCTATTCCTGTCTTGAACAGCCAAAAAAATATTTTTCTTTCTTGTTCAGAGTTGCCACTGTGGAAGCACCATTCTGTGTTCGCATTCTTTCCTGTCAGTGCTACGCGAGGGATTGCATCACTCAGCAATTGCTGCTAGCTAGCCTGTGGAGAGATATTTGCTTGGTAGTTTTGCGCCTTTTGGGGAAACTCCTGAGTGCGCCAGGAGACCACGCTGATCCAAAAGGACTCACAACACAATCGCCGCTGGTCTCTATTCTTCCAACGGACACAGTAGCGGTGAGCAGTTTGCGTTGTCAAAGAGGTGAGACAGACTCGATTCTTTTTTTCTTATTCTCAAGAACTTGCAGCAAACTAGTCAGACACATGCAAATGGAGGTTTGACCATGCCAACAATGGACCCCGCTGACTTGAGCCGTGGAAGTTTGACTATCAGCTGAGACGGAATCTTCTAAGCGCCTTCCGGGACGTCCGGCCTTCATCTACCCAGACGCGCGCTCCTTCTCCGACTTCCAAATTGAATTTGAGCAAGGGCTTACCTGCAGCGAGTCGCGGGCGAGAGAAGGCGAAAATATTCTGGGAAAGTCATTATCACTCCAGGTCTGAAGTTATTTTGGGAAATCTCGGAATACCCGACAACGGTCAGGCACAATGAGTCTCGTCAACACCCGCACTCTACTCGTACGTCAAGCCTTGGCCTGGAAAACCCCCGCAAGCAACGTCCTTCAGACGCTTCCTTTGTGTGTTCCGCTCTACCTGAAAACATGAAATGAAAATCAACCGTACTTATATGTTTGTACGCACCAAAAGGGGGATCATAAGCTAACAGACAGCCTGCGGCGGCTGCTTCACACAACAGCTCCCGTTCCTGGTGCTGCTCGCGCCGTGGTTCTGGGGCCGACTACAGGTCATCCCGCTCTTCTGGCGGAACGCGCCCGACGTGCTCCCTCGGCACAACGTGCTCGGCGCCGGCACGGGCAAGTACGAAATCAAGTTTGGCGACCGGGTGCGCTCGTGCGAGGATGTCATCCTGCTCGAGGAGCAAGGGTTGGCAGTGATGGGGTGCGATCCGGGGAGGGAACGGTACAATACTGTCATGGTGAGTTTTTTTTTGCTTGCCTTTGTTTTCACTTACTTGGACTTCACATTCTGGGTGTATCCCTCGCGAGGGAGACCAACTTTGCTTGCTGACCAGGAGACACCAGGGCATCTTCATCCCGGGCCCCGTGACGTCCGCAGACCTCTACCTGTACGACTACAAGACGGCGTCGACGCCAGACTCGCAAGCCCTGAGGCGGATCGAGCTGGTGGGCTTCGACGAGGGCCGGCTCGACTTCCACACGCTGGGCATGGGCCTGGACGAGCAGACGGGCACGCTCTTTGTCGCGAACCACCGCCGCGAGGCCGCCGCCGGCGCGTCCATCGAGGTGTTCAGGCTGGATGTTTCCTCCCCCGAGGCTCCCACGGCCACGCACCTCCGGACCATCGAGCACCCGCTGATCCACGGGCCCAACTCGCTCGCCGTGGTGAGCGGCACCGAATTCTTTGTGACCAACGACCACTATTTCCTCGTCAAGCACCACCGCGTGCTCGCGATGCTCGAGACGTACCTGGCCCCTCCATTCGGGACGGTCGTGCATGTGAGACTGGACAACAACAAATACGATGACGGCAGCAGCAGCAGCAAAGGAGTCCAGGCCAGCGTGGTTGCGAGACTGCCCTACGCCAACGGCATCGAGTTCCTCAACGCGACCACCCTCGCCGTGGCCAGCACCAGTGACGCAGCCGTGTACCTGTACACCGTCACTCCCAACGAAGAAGAAGAAGGAGCCGCCCATGATGCTGCTCCTCCCCGGCTCGCCTACACGGGCACCAAGATCCCTGTGCCTTTCCTGCCGGACAACCTCTCCGTCACGTCTTCCTTGTCCCCCTCATCCTCATCATCCAAGAAGCTCCTCATCGCGGGCCACCCGCACGTCCTCTCGACCGTCAAGTACGCCAAGACGCGGTACATCTGCAACGACCCGGCCGAGCTGGCCAGCGCGGCGACCTCGGCGGAGCAGCAGCAGTACTGCGCGGACGTGGAGGGTCAGAACCGGGCGACGTCGTGGGTGAGCGAGTGGGACCCGGCGACGGGCCAGCTGAGGCACCTGTACTCGGGCACGGGGTACCCGTCGAGCGCGACGGCCGTGCTAGACCCCGCGAGGGGTGTGGGGATCATGGCGGGCTTGTACGCTAAGGGGATCATGGTGTGGAGGGATTAAGGGGAAAAAAGTGGTGGCGGCGAGTAGGGCAATTTTCTACATGGCAAGCTTTTTTGGGGTTTCGTATCTCACGCAGATGCTGGGAGAGGACCGAGCGCTGCCCTGGAAAATGGGAGATGAAGGAAAAGTACGGGAGAGAGGAATGATTGTAATGTCACGGGGTAGGGGGTGGTGGTGGCGCACGAAATCCTGGGGTCTGTGATCAGTCGGGGTCTTGTGGGGCACAGAATATGATATGAGAGAGTGCTGTTTGGCAACTAGAAAATGGATTTCTTTTTCTTTGGTACTCTATATCAAACCAGACAGTTCCGTGGCTGCTACTGGAACTACGGAATCACCAAAAGGGGCAGTTCCACATCTGTGTGCGAATCTGCGAAACGTCAAGTGACTGACACGATGGGGCAGGCATTTCCCTTTGTCCAATTGGTGTGTTGCAAATCACCAAGTTGCCAAGTATGTAGTGAACCTTGATATTTTAGTGCAAATAGGCCCTGCCAACAAAGATTGCGGGGGAAAAGAAGGAGACGTGGGGCTTGGCGGGCGTGGGAGGAGAGGGCCATCCATTGCACGGACGCACACAATGTCGCACCATCGCAGCTTCCCTCCTCCATTGCCCTGCTGTGGCTTTTAAGTTTGTGCCCTCTCGAGCTTAGTCTGGGGTAAACAAAGATGCGGAAGACAATGACCAATGCCCATGGGATGCAAGGCCCGCGCGGATCGTACGCGGATCGTACGACTGACTACCTATACATAGCTGATCGTCACGCCTATCTGGGCTGGCTGGGTAACGTAAATGTCCGGATGGCGGAGGTGGTGCAGGGTGTGTGAGGTCATGCGGTGGTCGGGGGTGCCCGTCCAGTCCACGTGCGGCGGGCTTGTCACGGCTTACGGCGGCCGAGAGAGCCACGGATCCGGCGGTGCGGTGCGGTGCATCCAACTCCAGTAACCACGCCTCCGACCTCGGAAGCGGGGGCACGGAAGCTCGGAAGTTCTTTGGTGTCCTGTTTTATCGGGGGCTGCCGTTCACGAAGGGGGATCAAGGGACATCAACGGGCACACAGATCACACTAGACTCCCAGCAGACAACGAAAGCAATGGAATTCTTTGACTGCACACTGGCGGTGCATCACTTGCTCGCCCCGTTGTCGAGGGGTGGTGCTGGCCTGTGCCTGTGCCTGTGGTAGCCGTGGCGGGCAGGCAGGCAGCTGATAAGGAGGAATAGCTCCAAGGAAAGTACACAGAAGGCGGGCAATAGTGCCACCGGGGCCAAGGCGCAGAGGCGGCCAAGTCCCGGCCCGCGCACCACGCCCATTGGCTGTTAGTGGGAGCGGCCGTTGTAGCAGCCTGCCGGCATCCGCACTCCCCACAGCACGGGGACCTGGCCTATCACACGTGGGCGTGGCCTTCTTTGAGGCTGGAGTGGGCTCCGGGGAAACCTGCCCCATGCGGAGGCGCGGATATGGACTCTTCCACCGCCCGGATCGTGGCTGCGTATAAGTGCGCCCCCGTGCGTGCTCGCTCCGGCACCGCACCGCCCCCGTCGCACCGCGACGACCTTTCTAAACCTCGACTTCCTCTGGTACTACTTGGCCGGCTGCCTTGTTGTATATACTCCTGATTGAAAAGACCATCCATCGCCTGTTGTGCTTGTCAACTCCAACCCCAAGCCAACAACCACACAAGCCACCTAACCCCCAGCTGGCCTGACAAGTCCAGCAACCACCACCACAACCACCTCAACCTCGACGAGACCAACATCATCACGACCGTATTGGTGCCAGCCACAAACACAACCTCTGTCACACCGAGTGGTGCTTTTCCCTCACACACATCCAGACATATAAACATATATATATATATACCCGCCATGTCTTCTTCCGCCAACACCACATCATCGTCGGCCGCGACGCAGGTCGTCGACTCGTCAAAACCGGCCGCCGGCAGCATGGCGCAGTACGTGGACGCGGACGACCTGCGGACCATGTTCTCGCAGGCCATGTCTGCCATGTACCGGGCCGAGGTGCCGCTGTACGGGGACCTGATCCGCATCGTCAACGAGACCAACACGGCCGTGCTGGCGACGTCGGCCGACGCAAAGATCGAGGCCCTGCGCCGCCACGGCAACGTCGCCGCCGAGCGCCTCGACCTCGAGCGCCACGGCGCCATCCGCCTCGGCAAGCCCGACGAGCTGCACACCGTCCGCCGCCTCTTCCGCATCATCGGCCTCGACCCCGTCGGCTACTACGACCTCTCCGTCGCCGGCCTCCCCATGCACGCCACCGCCTTCCGCCCGACCGACCCGGCCGCCCTCAAGAAGAACCCCTTCCGCGTCTTCACCACCCTCCTCCGCCCGGAGCTCCTCGTCGACGCTGACGCCCGCGACCTCGCCCTCTCCCTCCTCGCCCGCCGCAACATCTTCACTCGCCAGCTCATGCAACTTATCGCTGCCGCAGAGTCCCCCGCCCAGGGCGGCCGCCTCACCACCGAGCAGGCGCCCCTCTTCATCGCCGAGGCCATGAAGACCTTTTCCTGGCGCGCCGCCGCCGTCGCCACCGAGGCGGAGTACCTCCAGCTGAAAGCAGAGCACCCCATCCTCGCAGACATTGCCTGCTTCCAGAGCTCCCACATCAACCACCTCACCCCGCGCACCCTCGACATCGAGGTCGCCCAGGACCGCATGCTCGACGACGGGCTCGCCATCAAGGACCGCATCGAGGGCCCGCCCCGACGCAACTGCCCCATCCTGCTCCGCCAGACCAGCTTCCTCGCCCTCGAGGAGAAGATCAAGTTCCCCCAGTCCCTCGGCGGTAGCAGCGTCCCCGCCGCCGTAGACGAGGAGACCCTCCTCGACGACAGCCAGCACCCCGAAGACGACGACGCGGCAGACCCGGCATCCTACAAGATCGGCACCCACAAGGCCCGCTTCGGCGAGATCGAGGAGCGCGGCGCCGCCGTGACACCCCTGGGCAGGAAACTCTACGACCGCCTCCTCCACGAGAGCTCCCTCGCCGCCGCCTCGGCGGGCCACCCGGCCAGCAGCCAGCGCCAGCACAACCGGCGCATGGACGAGGCGTCCGAGCGCATCTTTGGCGCGTCGTACCCGGACTCGTGGGACGCCCTGCGGAAACAGGGGCTCGTGTACTTTACTTATACCCCGACCACCACCACTACTACTACTCCCGCCGTTCAGGCGACAGGGACGCCCAGTGGCGGCGAAACCGTGACAATCGAGTCCCTCCTAACACAGGGCCTCATCGAGGCCACCCCGCTCACATACGAGGACTTCCTGCCCTTCTCCGCCGCGGGCATCTTCCAGTCCAACCTCGCCACCGGCACAGAGCACCAGCACTCCCCTCCCGCCGCGACGTCCCCGTCAAAACAGCCGGGGCAGGTAAAACTGTCCATCTCCGACGTAAAGGCCCTGGAGCGCGCCATGGGGTGCAAGGTGCTCGACGCGGACAAGCTCTATGCCGCCGCCCAGGCCGAGAGCTTGAGGAAATGCGAGGTCGCGTTGGGTTTGCCCGAGGGGTCGCTGTGAAAAAAGGTTTAGGGTTCGGAAAGAAGGGGGGGGGGACATTGCGACGAGAAAAGAAGCAGAAGAAGAAGGGAACTTAGGACTTGCGAGTATGAGCCCATGGCATCTATTGCTGGCTCGTCCACTGTGAATAAAGAAATGAAATAGCCCGCGCATAGTTTATGAAATCTTGTCGACAAGTACATGTCGTCGTCTCGCTTTTGCCGCATTGTCTGTGCATTACCCAGGAAATTCGGAAGTCCGCTGGCAAAGAGTAATATTATGTCAATACCACGGCGGGCCGGAGCACAACATTCGTGAATTATGATAGCATCATGCCGGTCTACCAGCTCATAACCAGCTGTCACGTACAGGGTATATATACTGCAGATTCCATCGTAACACAGACAGACCGGACGCCACAACTCCGCATCGTACAACCGCTATGTACACGCCGCTGCAGTCTCGTAAAATCATGCCTCGTCATTCTCTCGACGCTCACGCTGGCGCCTGCACAACCTTGAAACCCTCGCCCAGCACCTTGGCAATCTCCTCGTTCTTGTGCTGCAGCTGCCCCAGAGCAAAAGCAACATCGTTCCACTGCCGCTCCGTGTCGCAGCGCTGCAGGCGAGCCGCCAGCTTGTCGGCCAGCTGCCGGGCGTGCTTGTCCTAGAAGTGAGAACCCTGTTAGCTTCCGCGCGTCTCCAGGCTGGGTCATTGCAACTTACCTTCTCCACAAAGCCAAGCAGGAACTTGATAATGCGCTTGAACGGCTCCTCTTCCATCTCGCCTGCAGAGAGCAGACTGAACATGTCGACAAAGTGGTTGTACACTGCATTGTCCTTGGTGCTGAGCTCGCTGAAGAACATGCGTGCCAGGTCCGCGATGCGCTTGTCCTCGTCCTCGAGGCACTTGGCCATCTCTCCAAGCTGGCCCTTGACCTTGACCTGTCCAGCCAAAATGAGGAACGTCAGCGTCATCAGGCATGTCCGCTTCACGGAGAGATCCGTATCTGCCAGGCGGCGATACAAGAAGTCGGTATTCTCATCAATCAAGTGGTTGAAGCAGACAGCCATGTCGCCGAGGGCAATGACGACGTTAGACCGCACAGTCGGGTCGGGTGATCTCTCCATGATTGTGATCAGGAGCGGTAGGTGAGCCTCACAGTACTCACTGCTCACGCACATGAGCTTGGCGAGGGCCAGAGTGGCAGCTGCCTGCAGGCCTTTGTCCTTGTAGATGTCACTCCGAGAGCAGACTTCGGCAACCAGAGGCCCAAAGTTCGACAGCAGCGACTGTGGACCGAACAGCAGTTCCCGCTCCCGAATGTGCGCCATGGCCTCGGTGAAGTCGTCCTCAGTCGTGCCGCCAATGAGGTCGAGCTCATCGCCCTCCTCCTCAGCCGCCGGAGCCGGTGTCTTGCTCTTGCGCGTGCCAGTGGAGGCTCTGCTCTCGTCGGCCTTGGATGCTGCCGCCTCCTTCTCCTTCTCTTGTTTCCTGCGCTTGAAGTCAAGCTCGCACAGTTCCAGATGGACAATCTGTTTGATAGCGACGTGGCCAACAATGAAGAGGAGCTGCGACAACGCGATCGCCGGCTTTTGTTTCGGCTTCACCGGCGTTTCTTCCAGACCCTGAATCGTCTGGGTAGGATTATCCAAGGCCATCGTTTGCGTCATGCCTTGCGTCATGTTTGTAGACGTCGTGATGTCGGTGTCTCGGGACATCGGCCTGGAGAGCGGCTTCTGGCTGGCAAAGACAGTCTTAGTCCTCCTCCGGATGATCTCTGAGCACAGAGTATCAGGATGCTTGGCCAGCGCATATATCGCATTGATGGCCTGCTCTGCGACACCGAACCATTCTTTGCTGTCGCTCTCGACTTCGGTGATTGCAGCAAGCTTGCGAAGAACCGCGTGGTCACTCGGCAGGCGGCTAAACTTGACGTTCGACTCCTTGGCCTGCCTGCCCGTGGGGTTGAGACGGCGCAAAGCTATGCAAGTGTACTTTGAAAGCTGCAGGTCAGATCTGCCCAGTGCGCCCAGTCCAATCTTCAGCATGGTCTCCATCTCGTCCACGACAATCTCGGGCGAAGCTGTCGCAAGCATGCCGAGCACAATGATGGCGCCTCTCCTTTGGGTGCGAGAAATATCGCGTTTCTGGTAGCCGTATACCTCCCAGAGCTTGCTGACGACGCGGTCTGAGATCATGCCACCCTTCATCATCGTCGCTAGCAGCTGCTCAAGACTGGTCAACTCGGCAGGTGTCGTGCCGGATGTCAGACTGATCATGTTGCGAGCAATGTAACTGGCCGCATCGCTGGGGCTGAACAGGTCTGGAGCCTCAAAGAACAAGCGCTTGTAGCAGTCAATCAGATGCGACTGCACGCCCTTGCCCTCGTCGCTGTTGCCCTTGGTCCAGATGAGGCGCAACATGCGGCGAATGCCAACCATGTTGTCCTCCAGGTTGTAGGCATTGGCAATCTCAAGATAATCCATGGCCTCGATCACCTCGGACTTGTTCTTCGCACCGAGTAGCTGGCACACGGTCGCATTCGAGTCATGCAGCACTTGGATGAACTTTAGCGCATCCGTGTAGTAGCGCTTCGTCAGGGTCAGCTTCTCAATCGCCTCCGAGGTGGCGGCATCCTCTTGCGCTTTGCGGACGATCGCTGCCTTTTCCTCTTCCGACATGTCTTGCGGCTTCTGTGGCGATTCGATCTGTGTGGGCTCGTCTATCAGGTTCGCAGTCTCATTGGGGTCCTTCTCGGCCAGTCCAGCTTCGCCGGCAGGCGGCTGCAGGGCATTGAGCTCTGTGTCCACCTTGTCCAACCTCTCCTGCCAGTCCTTGCGGGAGAGCTGAGCGCCGTGCAATACAGTGAAGGGGTGCGTCTTCACCAAGGCACCGAGAAGCTTGACAGCGTTTCTTCTCACGTAGCTGCTCTTGTCCTCAAGACTCCGTGAAGCCAACTCAGCGGCCTTTTGGCGTCGCTTGGGGAACTTCTGCTCCAGGTCGCACAGCTTGACAAAAACCTGGATCGTACGACTTCTGCAGTACGGGTTGATATCGAGGAAGCGCTCCTCAAGCACATCAAAGAACGCGTTGAGCTGGGATTTGTGGTTCTCGCTTCGTTCTTCCTGGTTGCTCAAATGCGCAAGCATGTTGCCACAGACTTCGATGAGCGCGCACCGCAGCGTGTAAGACTGTGATAATTGTCAGTGGATAGGCATTGTCAAGCGGTGGGGAAGGTGCATACCTCGCTATCGAGCTGCTTCGCAAGCATGGTCATCTGCTTGATGACAACTCTTGGCGCGAGCTCCGACAGCTTGACAATGAAGGACGAGACCGACTTGGGGCCTTTCGTGTCGTTGGTGTTGAATTCCTTATTGCTCAACTCACGCAGAATTTCGTCTGCCAGCTGTGGGTAGTCGTACTGTTCGGCGAGGATATGCAGAAACTCAGCCATGGGCTCTGAGAGATGTTCGAAGTAGGTAAGGTTCTGCACAATATTGATTTGTGCAGCTAATCGTGGTGTCAGTACCCTGCTTCTCCGCGAGGTCATGGGAAGTGCACGTACCATAACCATGGCCGTGGTGCTTGACCGCAATGCACAGCAACTTAAACGCATGCATTCTGATCGAGGTCGTCTTGACCCTCTGCTCGCTCTCCAGAACCATATATACTGGCCTTGTCAGGAGGCCGATGAATGTGTCGCGCTCACTCGTTGTGACAAAAATCTTGGAAAGCTTGAGCTTAAGAACTTTGGCCATGACATCCAGAGCGGCCTGCAGTTGCGCTGCGCTGTCCCAGTTGGCGTCCTTGCCCGCAGCCTTTGACTTCGCGCCCTTGCCCCTGGCTCGTGAGACAGGTGCGGCAGTCGTTTTTTCTGCCGCCTTGGCTTCGACACAGGCTATCGTCCATTGTAATAAATAGCCGTAGATTTCGAGGAGGGTCTTGTGGTGTGCGATGATGTCTTGCTCATCGGGGCTTTCGAGGTCGTTATTTATAGCATCGGCCTCAGCGGCAAGACCACTCATGACAAGGTCGAAGATCTTGCTCACAGCGTGAACAGGCAGGAACGCTGAGTACCTGGAAAGGACCTGTTAGCAAAGCTCAAGGCCATCTTGAAAACACCCAAACCAGAGTTCCCGGACGTCGCATACTTGAGAAGAAACTGCAGAGAGTCGAAATATGAGCTGCGCATGATCGCGTCTGGGCTCTCCGCAAGTGCGTCAACCAGAGGGTTGAGCACTGGATTTATGAGAGCGATGTTGCTCAGTGCATCTGGATCGGACTCGCAGTCTACCAGCGCGGCATCTGCCTCTGGAGTAGCTATGGCAGCCGGATCGCTCATGTAGTGCTTGAGCGCATCGTTGATGTCGAAGTTGATGGACTCCATGGTGGCGGTCGCAGGCTCTGTGCCTGGCAGGATGCTGTCGGATCAAGCGACAATGTGTCGGTGTGCCTCTGTTTGTAGCCTATCCGCTACCTGCACTGAATCTTGAGATGGTCGCCGGTAGAATCCGAGCTGCTTGGCCGTGCGTGTGTGTGTGTGTGTCGCGCCCGCCGTCGTGGCAGCAGTGGTGGTTTTCGTCGACGTCGACCGCCGCTGTTGACAAGATCGGCCTGCCGAGTGGTGGTGTTGTTGTGTTGATGCTTGCTCGGGCATGGGGGGAAAGAGGGGCGCCTGCCGTCACAAACAAGGGGACCAGGGCCCTCCCCTTGGCAACCACTTGTTTTTGTTTGCATTGGCGCTGCGCAAATCAGACGCGCATGGGCTTATCACCCCACCACGCACCCGATAAGACGCGTCTGGAAGCGTGCATCACAGCAGCCCTAGCGGCTCAAGTGTAATGACGGGACGCACCGAGGAACAATACCGACATCTGACAGGCCAGCCCCGGCCTTTCAATAGCTGCATGCATACTGCAGCCAGTACGCAGCCCTGGACTCCTCGCCCTCGAGTTGCTACCAAACTCGTCTCGGTCTCTGGATCAGCCGCTCCCCCGGGCACCTCTGGCCAGGACTATCCACGAATTACCTACCAGGCCTGACTTGCGCTCGACTTCTTGAAACCAGCTCTGGTCACGCCAGCGCGGTTCTTATGCGAAGACTCAGCTAGAAGGGCATGCGACCAGGGTATCGACGCGAACCTCAGATTTTGCCATAATTGCAAATACCCGACCTCAACTACCAGGTGACGCACCAAAATGACGACAAACATAGACGGCAGGCCAATGGCCAAGGAATCTTTCCAGATTCACGAAGACGCGGAGACCTCCGAGATAGACGAGAGCACACAAGCTCGCCCAGTCCAACGTCCCCAAGCTGACTACGGCGACGCACAAGAGGAGGAGATGGACGAGGTAGCAGGGGATGACAATGAGGAAGACGGCGATGTGGAGTCGTCAGACGACAACGAACCTGTCGATAACATGGTTCAGCATGACATGGAGAAGCTTCAAGAGACCTTCCCAAGTTTCAAGAGCCACTACCGTCTCATCAAACGTATAGGCGAGGGTGAGTAAACAGGTTCCGGTACCAGTATTGCTCTGCAATTGGGAAAGGCGAAGCTAACAGCCTCGACTTGTGTAGGCACTTTCTCGACGGTCTACAAGGCTGAGGATCTCCGCTATAACTACTACAATAACAAATGGGACCTTGATGCGCGAGAGAACCGGTGGACGCCACCGCCGAGGACCTCATCACAGTCACAAAGCAACGCACCACCGCAAGACCGCAGGAAACCCAAATTCGTCGCCGTCAAGAAGATCTATGTCACATCCTCACCGAGTCGCATCTTCAACGAGCTCGAGCTCTTACACGACCTGCGCGACTCGCCGGCTGTCTGTCCTCTCATTACTGCCATGCGCGAGGGGGACCAGGTGCTTGCGGTGCTACCGTACTTTCGACACCAAGATTTCCGCAAATACTACCCGAACATGACGGTCTTCGACATGAGACTGTACTTTCGGTCACTATTCACGGCCCTGGCTGCTGTGCATAAGCAAGCCATCATACATCGAGATATTAAGCCGACGAACTTCCTGTACGACCCAGACAAGCGCCGCGGCGTCCTCGTCGACTTTGGTCTTGCCGAGCGCGAAGGCGTCGACTCGAAACCTTGCTTGTGCCACGAGGACTCTGCGGTCCGCAAGCAGCGTGTCCGCAATTCAACATCAGCACAAGTCGGCCCTCAACCTGGGTATCCCAAGAACGATACCCGTCCATCTCGGCGTGCTAACCGCGCCGGCACGCGTGGGTTCCGTGCGCCAGAGGTTCTCTTCAAATGCACAGAACAGACAACCAAGATCGACATTTGGTCCGCCGGCGTCATCCTGCTGACCATTCTATGCCGGCGTTTCCCCTTTTTCAACAGCGCCGACGACGTCGAGGCCATGATTGAGATAGCAACGATTTTTGGCACGAAGCGGATGAAGCAGTCGGGGGCACTGCACGGCTGTGTGTTTGATACCAATATTCCCAGCATTGGTGCCCAGGGATTCTCCTTTGAAAAGATCATGCTCTGGAGCACGTGCCGTAGTGACGGCAAAGCGCAAAAGGGAGATGCACTGTCCGAGGAGGAGAAGGAGGCGCTGGAATTCCTATCGCGCTGCATGGACCTGGACCCGAACAAGCGCATCAGCGCCGACGAGGCCCTTGAGCATCCTTTCCTCAAAATTGACGACGAGGACACCGAGGGTCAGGGCCCAGGCGAGATGGAGGAGGAGGACGTCATGTTAGTTTGAGCGTTGCTTTTATGCGCTGCGGTTCCTGCATAGCACTGGCGATGATGATGATGCAGTTGTTTGCTAGCATGGCACGATAGATACACCCATGATGATTTTAGGCTACCATCCTAATCTAATGAATGCAGAAGCATGTTTCGATATGAGTTGACGGGCTGTAATGAGGTGGTGTCATCGTCGTCGTGTCGTTGTCCGTTTCCAGGGCTGACCAAGCACGCAAATCGCTGGACCTCGGCACTGAGAAACACGGCCCCACCTGACCAGGCCCGGGGCTTCCGTTCTGGGGACTAACACCTAGACGACCAGGGGTGGGGATCTCGCCTGTGAGCCAAACTCGATATCACTCAGGATTGTTGATCCTCTTGACAATTGCACTCTGAATTGTCCGGCCATAAGCAAATCTTTTTTTTCTTTCTCTTCCTTTACCAACTCACCACCCTCAGGCACAAGCATACGTCAACGACACACAGCACACATAGCAAACACCATGGCGCGCATCCCGTATCCCCCGCTGCCCCCGGCCCCGAAGAAGGACGGGACCACGACGACGCCGCGGCCGCCACCGCCCAACGTGTCGCGCGTGCTGGCGCACAGCACGGGGACCGCGACCCACTGGGGCGCCGTGGCCAACGCGCACTTCACGGCGCTGCAGCTGGACGCCAAGCTGCGCGAACTCGCGATCCTGCTGACGACGGCGAAGCTGGGGTCCACGTACGAGCACACGCACCACTCGCTGATCTCGGCGAAATTTGGGGTCAGCGACGCGCAGCGGGCGTGGATCGGGGACAAGGCCAGGCTGGCGGAGGGAGGGGTGCTCAATTCCGTGCAGCAAGGAGGAAAGGAGCAAGAGGGCTTGTTCACGGACAAGGAGAAGGTGCTGCTGGTGCTGGTTGAGAATGTGGTGGAGAGGAAGGATGTCGGGGAGGAGCTGTGGAAGTCGGCGAGCGGGTTCTTTGGCGAGAGGGAGCTGGTGGAGATTGTGTCGCTTGTGGTAAGTCGTCTCTTTGTCAAATCTCACTGCGTGGGGTGGTGGTGGTATCTTTGGCTGACGTTGTGTGATGGGGGTGCAGGGCTTTTACTTTACATTCTCGAGGATCACGACGGTGTTTGAGGTTGAGCTTGAAGGATCGAGCGGCTCGAAACTCTAATGGCGCAGCTTGCATGAGCGGGCCGGTCCAAGATCAACTTTGGGCTGCTGCATTTCGACAAATGAAGACTCTGGTTGTCCAAGTTAGGTAGATTGCTGTTCCGAAATTTGGATATCACTCTCGTGGCTGGCCCCTGCTTTATTCCCTCGCGCCCAGACAAATGAATTTCAGAGGGTGGTACCTATAGCCTCCGTCATTGGCATGCTTAGTTGGTTGCTTTAATGCCAAGTCATGTTCCATTCCATGCTAAGTCAGCGGAGAGGAACAAGTCAGACGGGCAGGACTGACGATTAATAATATGCTGCCTCGGCTGGCGTTGTGGCGGAAGCGTTCCGTCGCTGACAGCCCCATTGTTTCCCCAGAGTGGGCGAGTGGTCAATGGGGATCGCCCTCCCCAGTTGGGGAATCCGTCGCTGTTGGCGCTTGACCGTGTCCAGCCAGGGTCACAACTCAAATGCTGCCTCGGCATGCCGTCTGGGCGTAGCACCACCGCAATCCAGTCTGCTAGGTGTGTTGTCGACCAACAGCGATTGCAGGTTACCGGCGCCATGGCCCGAGTGGGATGCGGCCTCTTTCCGCGCTACGCTGGAGACTTGCAGTACCTAGTAGAGTCCCAAAGACCCCGAAATGGGCGACGAGGCCACAGCCCTCGATCGAGCAACCACCCTGAGCAAGGTGCTTGCTTTTTACGTCCTGATTCTCGACTTGACCTGACACCCGCGTTCATCTCAGCAGCTGCTGGATCTGCCTTTCCTCATACCTTCCAGTATTCAATCAAACTGTGCAACAACCCCAGGCCACACCACGGACCGTACCAGTCATTGCCATCATGGTGAACCAGAACCCCGCCCAGTCCATCATCGAGCAGAACGCCGTCGAGGAGATCGCCCCCGGCCATTTCCAGACCAGATGGCTGCCGGGACACATGGGCAACGCCTCCCTCATCGCCTACGGCGGCTGCGCGCTGGGCGCCGGCACCCGCGCCGCCTACGAGACCGTGCCAGACACCCACTTCATCTACTCTCTCGTGGGCCACTACCACGGCCCGGCCTCCATCTCGCAGCCCCTCGAGATGTTCGTCACGCGCACGCGCGACACCAAGACCTTCGCCACCCGGCGCGTCGAGCTCAGGCAGCTCCAGGCCGACGGCAAGACGAAGCGCACCGTCATGGAGATGCTCGTCGACTTCCACATTGACGAGCCCGCCGCGCTCGAGTTCTCGGCGCAGCCCACGAGGAGCTACGCGCGGTGGGACGCCGTGCCCAAGGACATCAATGCCTACGGGGACGACAAGAGCGCGGCGGCTGCGAACAAGATGTTTGGCCTGAACAAGCGCTACTTCGAGACCCGGCACTGTCCCGAGGGCGTCGCGGGCCAGAACCTGCACGGCATGCTCAAGCACCGCAGTCACAACCAGGACCACCTGCCCCTGGGCCAGCGGAGCTCGGCGGAGTGGTCAAAGGCCAAGCACGACCTGTCCGACAGCAAAGACACTAATGGCAATCGGATCTCACGCAGAGGAGACAGGGCGGCTGCCGTGTCGTTCCTGATGGACGGCGGCTTGTCGTTCCTGCCGCTCACCCATAACCATATGTGGATGGAGGACACCGGGGCCTGCTCGTCGCTGGATTTTGCGCTGCGGTTCATGGTGCCCGACATTGATCTGGGCAAGGAGTGGCATCTGCGGGAGCGAACGACCATCTCGGGTGCCAAGGGCCGGACTTATTCGGAGGCGAGGCTGTGGGACGAGAAGGGGGAGCTGGTCGCTTCAATGACGCAGTCGTCTATCTTGCGGCCACCAAAGCCAGCGCCAAAGGACAAGAAGGGATCCATGTTGTGATGGGTGGGACAAACAAGGGAGGCGATGCACATATCTTACCAAGAACCTGGGGAATATAACAAGCTCAAGAGTACAACAGTGTCATTCCGAGGACCGTGAAACCGCGCCTTCGTTGCCGTTCAGACATTTTCACCAGGCGACTACATTCTGTGACTGTTCTCGTCAACTCAAGGTGGCCTGAATTTGAGTCCCTCTTTTGTACCTTATCCCAGTATTTGCCAGTCTGGCTGTGGCATGACAAAACTCCCCAGCCAATTTTGTGCAACTGCATACTGTGATTGCTTGCGGCCTACCTAGTGTCGGCAAGCTGTACGCCCAACCCTACAATTCTTAGAAAGCCAAGCAAATCTACACAAGCAGCACTTGGATTATCCGAACTGACTCGAGACGGTTCAAGACTTGATCCCCACCCGGGCCAGGGATGTCAAGTGTTGGGCGGTGGTAGGTAACGATCGGTTGGCATCCGGGCAAGGTATGAGGCTGTTTGCTGGGCGAATGCCTACGTTTGATTGCTGTGAGCATTTCCTTAATTGGTGGCAGCTGTGGCAGGGGACGGACCACGCAAAAGCCTTGCCACACAGAAGTCTTAGTTCGGTGTGGACAAGTTCATTTCTCGACACTGGCCGGTCTCGTGTCGCCGTTATTGTTGGTCCGCTGAACTATGAAATGGTGAGAGTCAGCATCAAATTGTCGTTAGTGCGCTTCACGGAATGTCATGACCCGGTCACACTGGTGCTGGCATGTGGGCTGACTTCTCATTCTCGAGTTTGTTTGTCCGGGAAGCGCAATGTAGCCGAGCTGATTGTGCGGCGCTGTCAGAATGAAGCATTCCTTGCCTCTCACACCTGGTCCTTCGCGATGAGTCCTTCTGTGCTTGAGTAGTACGGACTTGACGAGACAGATGCAGAAAGAAGCAGGCATAAAAGAGGACTATGCCTCATGGCTCTTTTCCCCTTCTTTTGTTCAATAACCTCACTTGAGCATACGAAGCAGATCGTGGTCCTCTGCCAGTAGCAGCCGCTCTTTGCGCAAAGTTCATTCGCATGCCAAAGACCGAAACTCGGCCAGCATGGATCACAAAAGTACAATTATTCATTTCCTTGCCGTGCGTGGAACGGATCGGCGGGGAAAGGTGTTTCGTTTCGAGATATCTGCCGACGAAATGGGGCGAGTTGCGCAGGCTCGCATAACCGAGGATGCGCGGAAAGCCCGGGTTCTGGATGGCAAGCATCATGATCAGAAGGCTTCCAAGCTTGGTGGTTTAGCGAAGGGCGAGGTATGTCTAATCGAAGGAAAACCCCGGCAGGTAAACCGCCGATTTGCCGCCCCCTCCATCAACATCAGACTTGGCGATCATCAGACTGACCACTCTTTATGACTGCTCCGCAAATAGAAGAGGCGCATTACTATCCAGGATCGCATCAAGATCGATCTTCACGAGTGGCTGCTCCAGGAATGGCGCTGTGAGCCCAACAACAAGGGCAACCCAAAGAGTGGACCAATTTCGGCTCATGTTGAATGGCACGCGAAGGGTTGCAAGAGTCGGAACATCTTCACCATGAGTGAACACGAATTTCTGGAGCAGCTTCTGGCAATCGGCAGGTCGTCGGAACACTTGCTCGTCGTTAATTCCGATATAACTGATTAAGTTCGCTCTCGCCGTCTTGAGAGAATGTACTCGACCACCAATCGAGGATAGAGGAGAGAAAAGTGACGGAAGCATTGTGCACAATGGTGTTGAGTCCTTGTCTGGGTGCCCTCTTCAGTCTTATTCCTGGAACACGTTGCGGGAGTGTTGGATTATGATTTTGTTTCGGATCAGAACATTCATTGTTGGCAAAGGCGAATCACGCGGCAACGCGACCGTCAGTCCGCACCACGGAAAATGCTGCTCCATAAGCTCTTGTTGCCGTTGGGCTACACCTTTGTGTGCTCGGCGTTTATGATCGGTTTGACACCCATGCAACGTCCATTTCTGCTCGCGTTCGTTGCACGGTCACTTTCGTCTGCTGTTGCGGCTTGGTATTCTGTAATGGCAAACCCTAAGAACGGCGGAATCGCAATGATGAGGAGGACCGATGTGTATTTGAGCTCAGCGAGCGCTGTACGGGAATGTAACGATTCATCGAGAACAGTCAGCAGCAATCCTACGTTCAAGGGGAAGACCATTTCAACCACAAATCCACGAAGACATGTGCATGATGATGAGACCATCTCGGTCCCAGTCTCGAGACCATTCCTACTCCCGGCGCCGCTCGAAGTCGCGATGTCGTTCCATCTCTCGCCAGCATCTCGGGTCCAGGGGCAGGTCCCAGTCTCAATACTCCTACGATTCTGAGCATGAGTATGAGCATGAGCAGCACAACCATCACGGATATGGATCCCAGCCTGCGTATCATTCACCGCTGATGTACTACTCCTGCCCTGAGTACTATCCCCAGCCTACATACTACTCATCGCTTGGACACTATCAGCGCCCCGAGTATTACACACCATCGGGATACTATTATTCACAGCCTCGTCATTCCCAATCTCGACGATCCTCTGAGTCAGAATATGAATATAACTACCGCTACAACTACCGGTCTAGCCAAATCTCTGGGCCTCAAGATCGAAACGTCTCAGAGCTGGGCCGCAGACAAACGCCGGGGCCCGAAGACCGGCATACCCCCGGACGCAATCGCATAACCGTGGACGTGACATTCACAAACCTCAGCGACCACAGCTCATCGCGAGAGGTTGAAGCAGGACTGAAAATCAGATGCGACAAAGATGTAAGCGCTACCCTGTCATGCTACCCCTTGAAGCTTTTGCAAGCTCCCAAGTCAAACACTGACAACGCCACAAGCGACACGACCACTTCATGTACAACTTGAAGTCCCAGCTCGAGGCTGCGGCTTGCAAGATCTGGTGGGGAACGAGCAAACGCGTGCGCATCAGTGGCGCCGGCAATGTTCACTCGATCTACATGAAGCGCCGCCGCGGCCGGGATGATGAGGAACTCGTTGCGCTTGGCAATGACACGGCCATGGAACACTTGATCAAGGCCCATCGGGATGGCTCACTGAAGGGGATCGAGGTGCTTTTCACGGGTGGAAGGAGTACGCGTACTAGGCACTGACACTGATCTGGTCGTAGCTGCTCGCAAATCATCATGGAGGCTGGGTAGTGTTAGTGCAAGTATGGCCCAGAGATCGTGCAAGTTACGGGCCAGTTGCAGAACAGCATGAATTGGTTTTGCCGTTTCCATTACCTCAGAAGCTCTCAAGACTGCTTTGCGTCCACACTGAATCATCGTTTACAACGGCAGGCAGCGTCTTGAACAAACGCATGAAGTTCTAAATCATTCCCATCTGGCCTTAGCGGCCAGGTCTCGGAAGCTCACATATGAGTACTCTGGGACGGACGATCGCACTACCCGGATACCAAATTGCTGATGCCTGCCCAGGAGGAACTTTAGAGCACCAAGCTCAATCTGATCTACAGCGATCCTTCTCTGGGCAACCCTTTCTGTCTCTGCCACTTCTTCACAGTTTGACCTTCCAAGCCAACCGACACCCACCACCCCATTCACTGATTCTGGAAGGCTCTCTTGCAAAAAATCAATTGCATCTCGCGCACACACACGCGCAACACCCGCAACCACCAGCCAACATGCCTCAATCTCACATCTACGTCATGGTGTTGTTCAAAAATCAGAAGATCGAAACTCGGCAGAAGATGATCAAGATCGATTGCTCAACAGACGTGGGTAGCTCAATCAATCCATCGCACAGTAGACAGCACTAGCTAACGCAAAAGAGAACACAGCGCGACGGACAATTCCTCAAACCACTCCGACCGCAGCTATCCCAAGCCGCTCTCGAGGACTACAACTTCTCCGGTCACAGTCCTGAGCCTGCTCACAGGGCATCCGTCTTCTCCATCGCCATCCTCTGGGACATCCGCTGGCCGACAGATCTGGACAGGGTCAGCTTGAACACACTGCCCGACGAGCAGTGCATGGATCAAATCGTTGGCGGTGCGTCTCGAGGCGCCATGGACGTGCTTGAGGTCAAGTACACCATCACGGGTTGAAACGTTTTTGACGGTTCGCCCAGTCTCAATCGGACATTGGCAGAGTCCAGGGTCGGCGAGCACCTCGCCTCATGTCACGTACTCAAAGGACGATTTCCACATCCAATAAGATTTTGGAATCAGTTCTTTCTTGGTGTAGGACTAGGTGTGCTGGTTTCGCAGATAGAGGGTGTCGTAGACGCTCGCAGGTACTCGCAGTGTCAAACTTTTAGCATTCCCTTGCCGTGCCATTGTCGTCTCGGTGAAGCACTAGCTCATGGTATCTCGGGCTTGTTATGAAGCTCTGTCCAGCAAAGCGCACTTGTCTCTCCATGCGAGATCGGCATCGGTCTCGCCCGGATCTTTTGACCCAACTACCAGCGACATGTGTTCTTGATAGCTGATCACTGTCGCACGTTGAGTCTATGGCCCACTCCATTTCCGTGTAGTGGACCTATGTGACTCTGCCTTGGTCTCATAACTACGAACAACGAGTAATCAACCGGATTTAGTGGTGTTGAGTGCTACGAGAAGAGCGCCAGGGCCGGAAGGGGTGTGCGTTTGTAGCAATCACTGAGACTGCGGGTCTTCAGGCCTCCCGTTCGTTATCGCCAACAGGTTGGCAGTCTTGACAAGTCAATGAAGGCGAAACTCACCTAAGCGATTCGCATGCCCATACAGCTTAGGAAATCGTGCTGCTGAAGCGTTTCTAGATGCTATGCGTCCGGCTCCGCAGGTGCCTGCTCAAACGGGCTGCAATCGTGACACAATGCACAAACACCAGTAAACATCGGCTCACAAGCAATCGGTGTTAAGACAATCCTTGCCTCATCCTCCACACCTTTTTCGATTCAACTACGAATTTCAATCATAAATCAACGCTTCGCTCTAGATGTGTCCTTCCAGAATCTGGACATCGTAAGTTTCGCACGAAGCCAAGATCACACGATTTGTCACCATGGCTGCTTGCGTCCTCGTCAGATTTGCGCTCGAAAACGCTTGGTGGAGCAAGACTCAGATGGTCATGCTCGAGTCACACCCATCAGTGAGCAGCACGGATTCCCGAGGTTCACTTCCAGATATAATTCGTGGAAAGCCGCGAAAACTGACTACTCCTTCCAAATTGGACAGTGTTCACGAACCATTCGATTCCAGATAGAGGACCACGCCGATGCAGCCTACGATGGCACGAAGCGTGTCGCAGTCCAGTCTGCCAATGTTTGGAATCAGCAGAAGAACGGCATGCACCATCCTCTCGAACTTCTGGATCTCGGAGACAGCCAAGCTTGGCAGCAAATATGTGGCGTTGCGAAGCGCGGATCCGCGGATTGCGGGACAGATATGTAGACATAATTCCAGGGTTCAGACATTGTCCAATATGATACTTTAGATATAAAAAAAAGGCCTGTCTCTGCTGCCGACACGCCAGTCATGCAAGCTTTAGAACCCTTTCGATCAGACTCCTAACCTGTCCAATTGGGCACTCTTCAGTCACATTCACTTCAACCAATACAAACAACAATAACGCGACAGTAGCACCAGCTTGCTCAATTATCAACGACCAAAATGGCGCCAACCTACGCTTACATCCTGGCGACGATAGTCCTTAGCGGTGTCGACGACAACAATCACAATACGAAGATGTTGAGATTCGACTTGTCCACAGAAGTAAGCTCGGCTCCCCCGTTTTCACAATTTCATGCCCAGGAGGTGACCCTTACACAAACGCTCTCTTCTGAAAGGAGAACGGCACCTTCATCGCGGATTTCGAGGAAGTACTGCAACTGGCTTGTATGGAAGACGCCAAAGAAAGAGGCGAACATGTCCAATTCAAGCATGATGTTGACATTCATTCAATCATCATCCGCTGGGACACGGCCTGGGATACTCTCGCCGCTCGCACCATCATTCAACCCGGTAACTTTGACATCGAGATTGCGATGCGGCAAATTGCGGGCAGCGCGCATAAGGGCACGCGGGATGTACTCGATATAGAGTATTGCCTCTGTTAGATCTAGCTGGCAGAAGTCTACGGCGATCATGCCGAAAGACAGCTGAAGTACATGGCCTCGGAGCTTTCGCCATCTAGGATTCATGGAATGTTCAGCTGCTTCTCAGGTGTTGATCACTGGGTTCTCACGAGGTGGTGTGAAAGGAAAGAATAGACTTTTTCGTAGTTGAGGACACGATTAACAGTAAGCCAGCCTCGCAAGGCACAGGCCGTTGAGGCACAATATCCGACAGCTGCATCAACTTCAACATACACTGCACCCTTTTTTTGTGTTATGATTGTGGCGTGCGCGTGACGGGCTGAAGAAATTTGTCGCAGCACCTCAAGAAACCGTGCCCATCCACTTCATGAGATAGACTCTTATCATGGGTACTGGTTCTTTAGGTGGGCTGGAGTCCTGAAGTTGAGCACTCCACGCGTGGACTGTAACCCCGGCCATAGACACCGCACCTTTTCAACACACCCAAAACAACTGAAATACGACAAGCTCTTAGATCAACCCTAGTTCTCTTGCCAGTCCATAACTGCGACCTCCTCCCTCGGCAGACCAGCGACCTTCGAGCCCTGTCACCATTGGCATCATGTCGCAGGCGTCCAAGCACAGCAGCCCGCCCGCAATGGAAGCAGAGGACATCTACATCCTGGCATCCTTTCACATGGCAAAGTCCCCCAAAGCACGGGCCAAAATCCTCAAAATCCGCCACGAACCCGATGTAAGCACATTCATCTCGAGGAGTTTCTGATCGTCCAAGCTCGTCTCCAGCACAGCCATGATCCAACATACTGACGCGGGAATTGCGCGCAGGCCGATGCATTAGCCAATATGTCCCGCCTCCGCTACGTCCTTACCCACGCCGCCGGCCAGCTGTTTCCCAACGTCGCACACCCGACGCAGATCACATCCGTCGGTATTCTCTGGCAGGGCATCCCGCCTCTCATAATCGACATGCCGCCGCCCGGTACGGCTTCCGTCGCTCCCGCCGTCGCCGGGGCGAGTGTCAACTCGCAAGTCGAGGTTGAGCCGCTGGAGATGTTGCAGCTCTCGGACTCGGACGCGTGGACGCAGGTTGTGGGGATCGCGAAGAGGGGAAGCCGCGATGTTTTGGAGGTTGCCATTTCAGAGCTTCGACCGTGAGTGAGGGGGAGCATATCCAGGTCCTGGGCAGGGGGATCACAGATTTCCGGTGGCTTGACTCAGCGGGCTTGCACAAGAGAGGAGGTCATGTGGACAAGGAACGTCGGACGGCTGGGCAACATGTCCCTGGTCAACAAAGGTCCCATCCACGAAAGCACGATATGCAGGAAGAAGTTAACTCTGTTTCGGCCACTCTTCAATAGCGGGATGTATTCTTTCGTCGTATGGATCTCTCACCTTCAATTGCGTAGACGGCCCTCCGTGAACAGGTTTGCTTTGCTGTCATGTCACCCATGTCTTTGCCATGTCTTGGCTGGAGCTTGCCCAGTTTGGTAGAGCACAAGAGCAGTGTTGGCGGTGTGCTCAGACGACAGGCACCGACATTCATGTTGAAAAGTTGCTCCAGAAACACCCACTCCCGCAAGAAACGTGAAAGGTGAGGTGCCATCTGAGCCACAGAGCGCAGCTGGCTTGCATTTTGACAAGGGTCGCAGAAACTGGCAAAATCTTAACTGAGGCTCAGGGTGGCAGTTGTCAAGGCGAGCTACGCTCAGGCCTGCTGAAATGACGTCAGGTCAGCCTTATTGCGTTGACCACGAAGATCCATCGATCGACGCTGGCTGTTGCTGTGGAAGGCATCATGAAAACATGCGATGCGAGAACGGCCACAGCGGGGAAGGTCGCTAAGTGTCCACGCGGCGTGGCTGGACTGAAGCTAACTCGACTAGCTACCGATTGGTGCCGGTCACCATATGCGACTGTGGAACTGAAGCCCCAAGTTTAGAGGTGGTACTTGGTCGCGAGCTCAAACACCAAGCCGGAAGCGATGATGGTGCCCCCTCTCCATGTCTCGTCCCTTATCCTAATGCACGCGTCAAAGGCAAAGTCGGACGTTCTGCCGCACTGATATGCAGGCGACATGTCGTATTGGCCAGGGCTGCGCGAATTGACTCGGGCCGGCATTTTCATCCTGATGGTTGATGGTCGAAGATTTCCGGCACATCACCCGGGCAGGCTCTCCAGGCTCGATGCACGATACACTTGAAGAAGTGGAAATATGTATGAATAAATGTAGCAGAACTCCCCTTGCAGTTGCTCTTGTACTTGGGGATTCACGATCAAGGATGCAATATCTGAGCTTGGTACCGTATTGTACAGAGTCGATATCTTGGCGGGGTCTGTAGGGCTGAAAGACTCTAAAAATAGCGTACCCAGGCAGGAGCGAACGACTTGCAATGCCCGGGCGCCTGTCCGCGAGCCATCATTGGCCGGGCCTGACCAGACATGCTGACATGGATACCTCAAGGGGTGACTTTTTGAGGGGCCACCTCCAGCTTCCCCGCCAAGTTCGCACGTCTCTCGCGACTCATTCTCGTGCCCGAACGAACCCTGGGCAGGCTCACCCGGAATCAGCCATGGAGCACTTCCTGAGGGCGGCAAATGCCGCCCAGGGCGCGGCGGACGCTGCCACAAAATTGTTCAATGAGCTACAAGTGGTGCAGAAGTCGAAAGGCGCTTACCATGTGAGTGCCCTAGGGTAGCTTCCGGACACCGTCGTCAGAGTCTCCGAGACTCTAGTCTGTGTAGCAGATGCCTAAACGAAGTGTCTTCTGCGAGACACACCTGGCTGACCCTCGCTGTCGCTCAGGAATGGAAAACGGACGAGCCTTTCCCGTACGAGGCTCTGCCTACGCCGACAAGCATCCGCCTGCTCAAGCTGGAGCCCTCCAAGGCAATGCAAAAGGCCGCAAAAACTGGCAAAGTCCTCAGCGGCGACGCTCACAATGACGACGATGATGTCCGCTTCATCATGCGCACAGTGGAGCTGGACCGCAATCCTCGATTCACTGCCCTGTCATATACATGGCGCAGACAGCGCTCGCAAGTCACTGCTTGGCGGAGATGGGCCTACCATTTCTTCATGGAACTCGTTCAGGATAGGCCAGCCGATTACTCCCTGCCCGACCCTGATGATGAGCTTCGAGCTACTCGCAAGGTGACGTGCAACGGCTACGAGATGATGGTATTCGAGAACCTGTTCGAGGCGCTCAAACAGCTACGCAGGGGCCGACCTGGCGAGTGGCTTTGGATCGATGCAGTGTGTATGAACCAGAGGTCAGTCTTGACGAACGTGTCCTGCCCGCTGCAGCGCTGCTGACACTAAGACAGTGATTCGACCGAGCTCACTGCTCAGATCCAGATCATGGGCCGCATCTACCAATCTGCGCAACTAGTTGTTGTCTGGCTGGGGCCTTTTCCCGCAATCGCCGAGGAGGGCCTGAAGACACTCGAGGGAATTGTTCAATCCGGTGAGCCTCTAGTCGCCAATCCAATATTTGCCACGAGAGTGGGCAATGGTGCGGCCGAGGACTGGCGGATAGAGTCTGCTGCCCTAACGGCATTCCACCTAGCCTTTCGGTCGTACTTCAAGCGCGTCTGGGTCGTCCAGGAACTTTGCCTCGCTAGGGAGGTCATATATCTGCACGGCAAGCATGAGATAAGCTTCGCAACACTACTGACTTCATGTAAGTGGTGTGTCGACAAGGGCTCAGGCCGTGACATGGTGGACCTTAAAACCATGGAGTCCCTCTTGCCCCCTCACTTTACCACGCACATGCGATTCCTCCCAACTACCCTTGATGCCCGCAAAGAGTTCGCCAAGGGCAACAAGTGGACTCTCATACAGTGGTTCCATGCCTGCAATGGGCGTCTAGCATCTGTCGGCAAGGACTACGTCTTCGCAGGGCTGTCTCTGGTTAGGCAGAGCTGCCTGGACATTGACCAGCATCTGCAAGCGACTGAGTCTGGCCCGCCGCCACTACCACGTCGGCCAGTTGGCGGCCAGGAGTCGGGCGAGACGAACGCGGCCGCTGGTCTCTCCAGCAGGTTCTCAGCCCCAGCACCGGCTGCGAACCAAAGTCTGACGCCTAGGGGTTTATGGCCGAAGTTGGCCCCCGACTATTCAGCCTCAGACGCGGAAGTTTTTGTCAATGCGGCTGCATGTCTCCTATCTCATGCCTCCTTGGAGGATTTTCTTAGGCTGGCTGCGCGCCTCCGAGACCAGCATCAATTTAGGGCCGTTGATTCCCTGCGTCCTCGTGATCTGGAGGCGTTCTCGGGATTGCCAAGCTGGACTCCAGCGATTGGATCATGGATGGTAAGCAAGGCAGTGCTTTTCCTTGATGTGTTGGCAGTTGGCACTGGGCCGTGGTAGCCGGTCCGCTCAAGCCAAGGCTTCGGCGTGCTCGCCAGGTGGCACTGGATTGACCTATCCGATTTACCTAGTCATGTCTTACGATGGATTTGGTACCGCCTGACGCCCAGAGCCCTTTCAAGGTTTCTATGGTGCCCCATGAGACCGATGCACACACAGCCGATGTATCGCCCTCCACCAGCGTCTCGATCTCAGCAGATGGCAGGACGCTGTCTCTCACCGCTGCAGTCTTCGAGCGCGTGTCTGCTTACGTATACGAAAAGGATCCTCCGCAGGGTTTCGCGGAGCTGCGCAAATTGCTACGGTTTCTGGACCAGCCGTCAGACCTGTACGCCACGAATCAGGACTCTAGCCTCCAGCAGGTACTTGCCCAGCGGCAAGGAGAGAATGCCGCCAAGTCGCAGGCCACCCCATGCCTTTTGGAGGCGGTCGCATGCGCCATGGTAGCGGGCCACGTTCACGGGCAGAAGGTCACGCCGTCCCAGGCTGGGACTTGGCTGTGCGAAAATATCGAATCCAAAGTGCAGCAGGTAGTTGCCGAGACGCAGCGAAGTGTTTCAGATAATCAACAAATCAAGCAGACACTGGAAGCAAAGGCTCAGAAACGAGGCCAGAGCATCGAATACTTGAAGACTGCAGAGGACGACGAGAACGCCAAGAAGTGGCGAATCTGCGATGAGGCTAACAAGCAGGGTCTCGAAGTGGTGACCGAAGTCACAGCCGAGCTTGAAGCGTTGAAGATCCGTTACTCGCACCTGCAATGGCTACCCGCCGGCACTATTGCCGTCGTGCCACGGGAAGAGGACGTGGAGCGCGCCAAGCTAGAGAGAAGGAATGCCAAGGAGAAACAGCTTGGGGAACTCCTGGAGAAGAGATCCATCGATACCAAGTCGAGCAGCAGCATTCGCGACGCCTTGGACCGCGGACGGGCGAAGGCGGTCGAGATCACGGACGACCTATACGACCGCCTAAACACGTGGGCACTGAGTGTAGGAGGAAAGTTCCGTCGAGTAATGTCGGACGAGTGCCGCGCCTTCGAAGACGCGTTTATCGAGACACTCACGTGGCGCCGGTTATGTTTGACGGCTAAAGGGCACGTCTTGCTGGGACCCCTCTGGCTCGAAGAGGGAGATGCCGTCATGCTGCTGCCGGGTGTCTCAGTGCCTTTCATATTCGCCCTAGAGAAGGAGGATTTGAAGAGAGAGAAGGCGAGGATTGAAGAGAGACTGAGCCATGTGGATTCGGGCGACGATGAGGAGGTCATGTGGACGGCGGTCAAAGTCCCACAGGAGGCTAGGCTGGCCGAGATTGAGCATCGCCTCCAAACGATTGCAGAACGACCGGGGGATCGCTGGGTGCTGATCGGGGAAGCTTATGTCGAAGGCATCATGCAGGGTGAAGCAGCTGCGGGGTTAGAGTACGGAAGCATCGATGTTGTCTAAGAGGTGAGGCAGTGTAGGAACGATACCGTTGTTGCAAAATCCAGCAACAACACCTCGCAAAGGTGAATTACTGTCGTCACAGAAAACATTTGTCTTTGCTGTAGCACAATGACGCCAAGCTGGCGTACAAAGCGTAAGAGAGGATAGTCATTCAGTTCTGAGTGTAGGAAGCTAGCCTCCAATTGAACGCTGTCTGGCGTCCTCCTTACGACTGTAATGATATTGACGTGGTATTTTGGAGGGATCGACGTGTGTGTGTGTGTGTGTGTGTGTGTGTGTGTGTGTCGCGGTGAGTGTATCCAGTGGTCTATATCAAAAGACTCGTCGCGGCAGAAATACGATGCTATAAAGAACAGAGAAGTGCGAGTTCAACCTGAGAAAGCTGGACAGGACACTCAAGATGTTACCCTCTATACGCCATTCTCCTATCATAGTCACAATGCATGGCAAATTCAACGGCGAGTGATCTGTACCATTCATGTATACAGTAGCAGTCGGCGTGAAGCCACCACACAAGCGCCTCGAGCCCGGCGAATTTTGGCAATCTCACATTGATAACACCTAGCATTTACGCTGTTGATAAGCCGAATCATGGCGTGGCAGTAAAGCGAGACACAGTACGGAGTCGTTTGTTTCTCAGCTGGTTGCGCCGCGGACTGTGTAGTCGCAGACGACGCACTGTGCAGACCAACTTGGGGTTGCCTGCTCAGGCCATCTCCAACAAACACGGGGGCACTGCCCTGGAACTGCCCACTTGCCAGCCATCGCATGCCGGCATGGTCTGCGTCGCTGGAGATTCTCAACCATCCAGAATCTTCCGATTGTCCCCATCGTCGAGTTTCGCTCGTGTAGCCGACACGTGATGTAACGGTGCTTGCCAGGAGCCCTGGTCACGCCCGGTCTAGCCTTTGAGATCGTCCCTGCAGCGCATGGCAGGCATCGGCACACGCGCCAAGCACACGCTATGGGTGGGGATGCAGGACGGCTCTGCCCGATGAGCACCGACAGCCATGATCGACAATCCCTGCGGCCCTTTTGACATCGGCAGCAGCCGTGGACGATCGGCAGGGCGCTGAAGTTTAGGTTTCGCGGCGAGGGGTGGGGACCCAAGCCCTCGCCAACCCTGGCCGTCGCCAGCCCTGGTCCTGGCCCTGGGCGCCCGTCGTCCTGGAGCAGCGCTGCTCCACCACTCTATCTCGCCAGACCCTGCCGGTGGACTACACCCACAAAGTCTAGGCCCGCCGGTGGACCATTTCCTCCGTGGCACGCTCGATAGGCTGCCTCTGCGATGCTCTTGCCACGGACAGCTTCGTGCTACAGTTGCCCCAAGTCAGCAGGGTGTCGAAGATGCGCAGACAACTCCGCTTCCCCTCCCCCTGTGTCATAATGTCCCAATTCGCCATGATTGCCCGCGCTGACAGGGACCAGGGCCCACGGCGCATCACTTCAGTCTGATGGGCGCGTTGTGCACGATCGATCACGGCGGCCACCGGAGGCGAGAAGGAATTCGGGGTCCCTGTGATGGTCTGCCCACTTACGAGACAACCAAGCGAGACACGGAGCCCAGCAACGTGGCACGTCTTTAGGCGCCACCCAGCCAGCCGAGACAAACCGGTCCGTACGACTCCAATATCGACACTCGCGGCCTCAGCACTTCAGTTGCTGACGGCCGTGTTGCTGGATATGATCTATGATGCAGGATGCCGCTCGTCACCGGAGTCAGGGTGCAGCACCTACGAGTCACAAATGGGAATCAAATCATCTTGTGAAAGGCTTGATGAATGTGGTCGAATTTGCCCGGCAGGGTTCTGCTTCCCCTACTGCTTCGGCTCCAAGAACGAGACTTAATGTCCGAGATTGCGGCCCTGACCTTGCCTGGACCATATCAGGACCAGGGTGAGCACAACTCCCAACAGTGTGGGCGGAAGACCATTGATCCATCCGGCCCGGCCCTCTGGTATTCTGCGAACCAGTAGATGTGCTGCTGCTCTGCGGGCCCATTCGCAAAAGCGAGGTCAAACCCCTCTCACCGAATCCCCACCATCCCCAAGCAGCGATCCTCGCACAGCGCCATGCCCAGCTAGCAGTGTATCCGCCACGCGGCTCCCGTCTTAGCCTCGCCCGCGTGGATCTCCGCCCTCGGCCGTGACATCCGCTTCTAGCACTTCCAACGCTTCTGCCCCCTTCCACTTAGCTCCAGGTGTCTATCACCGAGGGGACATATTTTTTTCTTCTCCTTCCCCTCACCCCTCACGGCTGCATTAAACTCGGCTCCGGGCACCATATCCGACGGTACCTCCTCCAGTCTCGCGACCTAATCAATGCTTCAGTCCATCCTGAGCACTGCCCAAGCTCTGCTGGCACACTCGGGCTAGCCGTTGGGCCGTCCACAGCCTTGGCCTCGACGACAATGATCACCACTCGTGAGGCTGTGAGGGAGCGCGAGGTTCTCAAGTAGGTCCGCCCTTGCACCTTTGGCGCTCTGCAAGTCTTTGTCATCGACAGGAACGAGCGCATCGGAAGGCCCTTGAATCGATCTTGCAAGAAGGCTCTCTGGCGGTTTGCAAGAGCACTATCCCTGTCGTGTACTGACGATTTCGTGTGACTTTCGACAGGTACGATGGCGACTATGTCTCGAGGTCCATTATAAACGTCCGAGGTGCCGAGCACACAACTCCCGCGATCGAGGCCCGGTTGAAGGAGTCGTCGCCCCTGCCACCAGTGCTGTCGGCCGCCTCAGACAGCGGCCTCACGTCCCTTGCACAATTGGCGGCTTTCCGCCTTGATTGCAGGCGCGCCCTGATCTCCTTGTACGACCGGAACTTCCAGTACATTGTGGCCGAGGCGACTCAATCACTCCCTTTAGAGCCTGGCATCCTCCATCCGGATCTGTGGCTTTGTGGCACAGGGATCCCTCGGTCGCATGGCATCTGTGAACATGTGCTCATCGCACCGCAGGGCGAGACTTTGCCCGTTTCTGTCGTGCCAGATCTTGCCGAAGACAACCGTTTCTGTCAGCGCTCTTACATCCATAATGCGCCATTCAACCGTTTCTATGCTGGAGTCCCCATCCGCTCGTACAAAGGCATCAACATTGGTGTGCTCTGTGTTTTCGACGACAAACCCCACAGCGGACTGGACGACGTTTCCAAGCAATATTTGCGAGACCTCTCTGGAAACATCATGTCCTATCTCGAAGCTAGGCGCGTCCGCGACGCCGCCTCCCGCCACGAGAAGATGGTGCGGGGCCTCGGCAGTTTCGTGGAAGGTGACGCCCAAATATCTGGCCTGGACCGCAGGCAGCTTCGACGACCGTCCATTCAGATCATTCCAGATATCTCAGACTCAGAAGAATATGGTGCACTTTACGTGCGGAAGGACGAACTCAAGCGCCAGCTGCAAGAGCATGAGGCAGACCAGCTTGTCCAGCCTTTCCAGACCGAAGATGCTCGGGCGACCACCGAGTGCTTGCTAGAAGTACCTGAAAAGCCCGTACGGCCCGTCGACCCTGCTTCCGTCCGTAGCATCTCTGATTCCCAACTACACCAAAATCCGGCCACGGTGGCACCAACGCCAAATATGACCGATGCCCAAGGTCCGTCGCACTTCTCCGAGGTGAAGCAGGTCTTTGCCAAGGCTGCCAACATCATACGTGAATCCATCGACGTTGACGGTGTTGTTTTCCTTGACGCGAGCATCCGGTCATTTGGTGGTCTGGTTGACTTCAATGGTATCGCTGCCGAGGGTCCTCTTGATTCCCTGTCGTCTGCATCGAGCGGCGATGAAGCCATGGCCAACACAGGCATATCCGGCGAGCGTTTGTACGGAAGTCCGTTCTGCAGTGTCCTGGGCTTCTCGACCAACAACTCCTCGAGTCTGAACCACGACAGCCCTGATCCCGGCTACGCATTTGTGAAGGAGAAGTTCCTCCGTGCCCTACTTCGCCGTTTTCCGAAAGGCCACATCATGAACTTCGACTCTGATGGCCTTGTGCTCCCAGGCGATAGCTCATCGTCAGAAGATGACACAGCACCGGCCGCGGCTTCAAATGTGAAGACGGTCTCAGAATCGTCGGGACATAGCACCAGAAGTCGAGGGCGGACCCACCAAAACTGGGCTGCGCAGGCGAGTTTGCTGTTGAAGATTTTCCCCGGCATTCGCAGTCTGGCAGTCCTGCCCGTGTGGGACGCTTCGCGAGAGCGCTGGTACGCAGGCGGTTTTGTCTACACCACTTCCTCGTCGCGGATTTTCACCTCAGAGGTTGAGCTGGGCTTTTTGAGGACGTTTGGAAAGGCCATCCAAACCGAGCTTATCCAGGTCGAGACAACATTCAGCGAGAAAGCTAAGTCGGATGCCCTTGGTAGCCTGAGTCACGAACTGCGCAGCCCTCTGCATGGTAAGCTGGACTCGGATGACTAGACACGGGAAAGCATAGACTGACAAGTTTCCAGGCTTGTTGGGGGCCTGCGAGCTGTTACATGATACGCGCATGTCAGCCTTCCAAAGGGACATGGTCCGCATGGCGGAGACTAGTGGACGAACGCTGCTGGATGTGATTGATCATGTAAGCTTCGTGACTGCTGTATGACGATACTCTATTCTGACATCTTCCCCAGCTACTGGACTACAGCAAGATGTCCTCCATTCGCGGAATCTCTGACCAGTCCCCATCGTCTTCGAGAAAATCTGCGAGCCTCGGGGGTTTTGACGCGAAGAGCCAGCATCTCACTCCAATTGACGTGGATCTCATTGTCGAAGAGGTAGTTGATAGTGTTTACACTGGACACAACTTCCAGAAAGTTGTGACCGCGGACATCTCGAAGCAGCAATCACAGACCTCGTTAAGCTCTGCAACACAGAGTCCACATTCTGCAGAATACTCGGCACATCTGCGGGCAGCAGGCAGCTCCATTGAGAATGGACAGGTCTCCGTGTACCTGGATATCGACCATGGTCACTCGTGGCAGATGTCTGCTTATCCCGGAGCAATCCGGCGCATCGTCATGAACTTACTTGGCAACTCTCTCAAATTCACAGCGGACGGATTCATCTTTGTAAGCCTCAAACAGGAAGCACCCACGAAATCGAAGCGCGGGGCGGATGTTGTGATCACCATTATCGATTCCGGCCGTGGTATCTCTGAAGACTTTTTGCAGCACCAGCTCTTCAAGCCATTCTCTCAGGAAGACAAACTCTCTCCGGGTACCGGCCTTGGGCTGAACGTAGTCAAACAGATCGTCAACATGCTACAAGGCCACATCACGGTAGTCAGTCAGCCCGGACTCGGGACGAAAACTGTGGTTACCATCCCCTTGGCATATACGACCGAGCCAACGCCGTCCGCTAGTCTATTCTCGTCTAAAGTGGAAGTGCTCAAGAACCAGAGCGTCCATTTGATGGGATTTGAGAACGTATTGCACACACACTTTCTTTCCTCGAGGCGGATGGACGAACGCACTTTGTTGGCCCGCTTGTGCCGAGACTGGTTCGGCATGACTCTGACCAAAGGCCCAAGCTGGGAGGCAGGGTCGACCCTTGGCATTCTTATCGCTGACGAATCCTGCCTGGAGGAGATTGAGCTCCTACAGTCGCGGGGCCAGGCAGTATGTCCAGTGGTTGTAGTATGCCACAGCTCGGTCACGGCGCATGATCTATCTACCAATGCGAAGAGACTATCACAAGGATCCAGCCTCCACTTCATCACACAACCGTAAGAACCATCGGCCCTTCTGTCACGTGTGTGGAACATTGAGCTAATCTGCCACAGAATTGGCCCAAGAAAACTTGCGGAGGCAATGATATTTAGCATTGAGCAGTACAAGCAGAACGCTCAAGCCCTCGAAGCTGTGGCACAACAAGATGTATTGACGGCGGACTCCGTCTGTGAGGCTGCCAGCTCGGTGTTGCCAGATGTCTCCACCAGTTCGGACATTGTGCGCGACGCGGAGAGTGCTACACAAGGTCCATCGCCACCAACAGATGTTTCTGCGTCGCCATCAGGGTTCTCCGACCAGGCAACACCGGTTTCTATGCCCTCCCTGGCACTCGCATCATCAGAAAAGTTGGTCAGTGAGGCCACTCTCGCCTTGGCCACCAAAGACCTAGTCACCAAGCTTCAGAAAGTGGAGGTGTTCCCAGCAGAATCAGTATCGCCGACAACGGAAGCCCTGCGCGCAGAGATGAGGTTTCTTGTGGTTGACGACAACAAGATCAATGTGCAGGCAAGTGTTGATGAAGCTCAGTCGCACCGGGAGCTGTTGCTGACCTTGCAAACCAGATCCTGAGCAGCTTCTTGAAGAAGCTCAAGAAGGTGCACAGCACTGCCATGGATGGTCTTGAGGCGCTCGAAGCATACAAGACGTCCCCGGGCCACTTTGATTATGTTTTTATGGGTACGAATGCCGCTCCTTCAAGACGAATCCATACACCGACGCTCTTACTGATCGCTTTCTGGCGCAGATATCTCCATGCCACGCATGGACGGGCTCGAAGCCACGCGGCGGATACGCATGTTCGAGCGCGAGCAAAAGTTTCCACGACCGGCGAAGATCATTGCCCTGACAGGGCTTGTCTCCGAAGACATGCAGAAGGAGGCATTCGCAAGTGGCATCGACTTGTTCCTGACCAAGCCAGTCAAACTTCAGCAGCTGAAAGACCTCATCGCTCAAGATGGGCGGAATGGAGGAAATTGAGAGAAACCCGACTGGATCGCCACGGATTGGCAGCATTTTAACATCGCATACATGTCGTGGGAGATGACATGATGAACCACGACTTGGTCTTTTTATTTATTTCTCTCTCATACCCACGCACTCAGGGTGTTCTCAAGTGTTTCAGCGAGGCGTTTTTGGAGTTCGGTATGAAAGGGAAAGCAAGAGTGTGTAACATTGGAGCATGGCAGTACATCATATCATACCATCTGGGAGGAGGGCGCATTGCAATATCGTGTAAAAACAACTTTCCCAAGGGGGTTAGCAGGGACAAATCGTGGAGCGGCAGCGAACACATGTTATGCCGCGCAGATGAGCAAATCGCCTTCAACTAGGAGCAGAAAGGAGAACACGCAGGTCATCACAAGACTTCTGAGAAATATTCTTCACAGACGGACAGCCGGGGACACCCTGCGTGATGACACCAGCTTCGACTTGGCATGACGTTGCATTGCATTTCGTATTATGTACAGTGTTCCGGGGAATATCTATGGACACGCGGAATTGTTCCGCTGGTAGAGTACATTTGCGTGACATGGTGTTGGTATAATCGACCTTTCTTACAGTGGCTTGCTAAGGCCTCTTTGCGTCCCCCATCTTTTTGATGGCTCTTCCGTGATATGCTTCAATTCCCCAGGACGTGCTCACTGGTGTGATATTTACCACTCTTTCCAGTTTTGAAATTGTCGCACAGCGTATGCCTGTGTTTGGCCTCCCTCGCTGCGTCTAAATGCGCCCGTCGAGGTCTGCACAGCCACGGACGCACAAATCGATGATTGGTGGTATTTCAAAACTCTCGCCTGGCTCTCTACGACACAGGCGCGTTGCTAAAGTCTCCTCTCCGCTCGGCAATCGAAATGTCTACGGCGCGCTGCCAGTGCCGTATGCGCTCGCGCACCGAGTGCTCGTACTCGGGCATGTGCATGACGGCGGCGGCGAACCCGCCCTTTGCCCAGTCGCTCTTCCTGGCGCCGCCGCCCAGCAGGCGGGCCGTGCTGAGCTCGTGCGCCTCATGCCGGACGCTGGACAGGACGCTCGAGGTCTGCTCGTCAAAGTACAGGCCGCAGTGGCGCATCTCCTCGAGCAGGCCGAGCATGCCCTGGAGGTCGCCGCGGCGGCGCCAGTAGATGTCGAGCAGCTCGTTGTAAAAGGGCGTCGAGATGCCGAGGACGTAGGACTCGAGGCCGAGCTCCTTGATGCGCGGGAGGAGGTTGAAGACCAGGGGCGAGGGGAGGTGGAAGGCCGAGTCGAGGCGGCGCAGAGCGAGGAGGAGGTATGCAGGGTACAGGGGCCCGTAGATGTAGAGGGACATGCGCTCGGCTGGGATGGAGGGGTCCGCAGTGCTGGTGGGAGTCGCACTGTCGGTGTCGAGGTTGACGTCGTCGATCAGGATCCTGTCTTCATATGGCTGTGCATTCTGCTCGGTCGTCTGGGATGTCACCTTTTGCTCTTGCTCGGCATGCGGTTCCCCGGCGGCAACGGTGGCAGCCTCTTCTCTCTCCTCTGCCTCTCTTTGTTTCTTTGTCTTGCGGCCCCTGGTCGGCGCGGGAGAAGGCGCGGGAGAAGGCGTCAGCTCTGGGGTCGAAGCGAGACCGAATCTAGCCGGAAATGTGAATACTTCCTTCTCCAAGACATCCCAGAGCTCTTGATCAGACTTTGCTTCGGTAATGGCGCGTTCGACCCGACGACGCTCGGGTAGCCGCTTCGCCTCGACCTCGACGGTCCGCATAAAAGATGCCGCTGGGGTCTTCCACCCTTCTTCTTCCTCCGCATCGCCAGAGACAGCGGCTTCCCCAGACCTAGGACTGCCCTTGCCCACGGGCTCGTACGGGTCGAAAGCGTTTAGCGCTCTGCTGGCCGCAGCCCGCAGCTCAGGAGGGAACCTAAGCAGCGCCTTGCTCCGGTCCCTGGCCGCACCGGCAAGCATTGCAGGAGCCGCGAGGGTGGAAGATCGCGACTGGCCGACATCGTAGGCGGCCTGCTGCATGATGAGCATGGCGGAGCGCCCCGCCGTCGCTGGTGGCTGCTTGGCATCGGCATCGTCCTTGATGCTGGGCTGCAGGCCGCGCGCGCGGATGTCGGCAAAGATGCGCTCGAAGATCTGGCGCTCGCTTGGGGTGATGGTGCCTCGAGGGGCGGTCGGTTGCTCCTCGTGGGGGATGTCTTGGTCGGCGAGCTCGTGCTCGAAGGGGATCTCGCTGCTGGCCTTCAGGCGGCAGGGTGTGGTGCTCAGTGTACGGAGGGCGGTGGCTCGACGAACAGGCGGGGCGCGAAGGATGGTCCTCGTCATATAGAGGAAGGACATTCCGGAGGACGACATCGCGGCAGAAGCCCCGATGCGAAATTGAACCAGAGAGTTGCACAAGGTACGTTTATCTTTCGACAGCTCTAGGAATGGACATGGAGGAACCAGGCCATAACTTTTGCATCCAGATCGCTGCTGTCGCTGCTTATCGATAGCGCCAGGAACGCCGTTGCGGGGGCCTGCAGGGGTCCTGCTGCCCGCCAGCCGAAAAGCACTTTAGCCCCCCCCTGGAGCACTTTAGCAGGCTGCAGTGGCCGCCTGATTTCGCGACGCGTAGCACTGCTAGCCGGCTGGCCCAGACGCCCTTTTTCGTCGCACCCGGACGCGTCGTGCCAGCATCAGTGACATCAGCATCCTCACTGTCTTGCCTCCCTCACGAGACCAATTTTTGGAGTAATTGGCACAACTTTGCACGTACTTCACTCATACTTGGGTTTTGGTCCTTCCGGTCTCATCACAGCACCACAGCAATTTCAGCTCCTTTTTCCCCGACTACAATCACATTGATCGCAACCATGGCGCCTGCGCTCAGCGCCTTCGAGGCCCGGCGGCAGGCCAATGTCGCCAACAACACCAAGCTGCTCAAGGAGACGGCAGAGATTGGTGCCAAGATGAAGAGAGCTGCCGCCCCGCCGCCAAGAGTCTCCGCGCCCAAGAGGCGCAAAGTCGCTGCGGAACCGACACCCAAGACTCGCGTGATGCCAACTCGACAGAGCCGGCGGCTGGCTGGCGGGGACGCCAGTGAGGGCATCAAGGTGGAAGACATTCCCCTAGAGATCAAGGACCGCGAGCCGAAGCGCACCCGCATTGGCGGCGACATGAACCTGGCGTCTCTCCAGGTCGACGGCAACAGGTGGTCTGACAGCGATGCACTCGCGAGCTTCAGGCAGGGCGCGCAGCCGGGTGTACGGACGTTCAACAATGATGACATCAAGGAGGAGGACTCCGATGAGAAACTCGCCAGCTTGAGAAAAGACATGAGCGAGCTCAACATCTATGAAGGCTGGTTGCCAAATGGTTAGTGCTGTGCCGAAAGCTTCGTGGAATCAATAGCAGCAACTAACTGGCAAGCAGACATCAAAATCACACCGGAGCGCGTGTATGCTTTGACGTTCCATCCCATACAAGAGAAGCCACTCGTGCTTGCAGGAGACAAAAAGGGCACCCTGGGAATTTTTGATGCTTCACAACCACCACCAGAGTACGACGAGGATGACGAGGACGCCAAGATTCCACTTCCAAAGGTGGCCGCGTTTGAGCTGCATACGAGAACAATCTCATCCATCAAGGCTCCCATGTTTGATCAGAACTCCGTTTTCACCAGCTCATACGACTCATCGATCCGATGTCTCGACCTGCCGACACAAGTCAGCAGTCAGCTGTGGCAGCCCGACGATGATGGCACAGACCTAGGCATAAGCTGTATTGACGTCTCAGCGGAGGCTAAGGATCTAATACTCTTCTCGACACTAGATGGGTCTGTCGGAAGAATAGATCGAAGAGCCAAGGGGACGACGGACATTTGGGGATTGACGGACAACAAGATTGGCGGGTTCTCCATGCACCCACTGGAGCCGCACCTGCTTGCCACAGCTTCACTTGACCGCACATTGAAAATTTGGGATCTCCGTAAGCATTTAGCGTCCCGTGTTTCAGTCAAATATCCACCGCTAACTCCACAATACAGGTATGATCAAGGGCAAGGGCGAGAATGCCCACCCAACTCTTCTCGGCGAGCACACTTCCAGATTATCCGTGTCGCACGCGTCGTGGAGCCGAGGCGGCAAGCTTGCCACCTCGTCATACGACGACACAGTAAAGATCTATGACCTGAGCGAATCGTCAAAGTGGAAAGCCGGCCACCAGATTTCCGAGAGCGCCATGACGCCAGAACACTCCATCCGCCACAATAACCAGACGGGTCGCTGGGTCACGATATTGAAGCCGCAGTGGCAGATCAACCCGGCCGACGGCGTCGAGAAGTTTGCGATTGCCAACATGAACCGCTTTGTGGACATTTTCGACAGCAACGGGAAGCAGCTCGCGCAGCTGGAGGGAGAAGGTATCACGGCCGTCCCGGCCGTGGCCGAGTTCCACCCACGGCATAACTGGGTCGCTGGCGGCACGGGAAGTGGCAAGCTGTGTCTTTGGATGTAGATTGATTTGAGGATCTTGGCTCACTTCAGCGTTGGAGTTCTGGTATAGATGTTTTGATGACAAAACGCACACTTGAGTACTTAGAAAGAACCATTGTTCCTAAGGTTAGATGATGAAAAACTCCGATGTCCACGACCTTACTCGACCTGGTGACCAAATCGCGGCGGCAGAAGCCGTTGCAGGGCATGCAGACTCGTTGCATGCTGGTGGTGGTGGTTATGTTAGGCATGGCCAATCACGGGTACGCAGCTGGGATCCCACTTTCCTGTTCTGGCCTTCCAAGGTTCTTCTCGAAGCGACCTGCAGCTGTTTGCTGGACGCCGTGCTGCTTTGCATGGATACCTTTGAATTTGAGCGTGTGACGGACGTTCGAAGATTTGCGGGAATGTCGAAGGCTTTCACTAGAAAACCAGGTGCTCGACTCGTCTCCGTTGTCAGCCTTTTGCTCTGGCGGCGCCTTTGAACCTCCCAGACAAGTAGCACGCACTGGCTGAAATCAGATTTGGCCATGGTAGCTTGCACAGTTTATGTGTTTTGCTCGCAAAACAGGCATTCGGCGCGCCGTTCAGGCACCATCTCGTACGTAGTGCTGAAAAGTCGTGTTGACGTACTGATTTGACACTGAGCGCCCACAAGGTGCGTGCTTCACAATCATCTACGGAACAATTTGCCCTAGAGCCGGCATGAATGAACGCCTACTTTTTACCATTGATTTATTCATATTGCTTCAACCAGTTTTTTTCTTTTTCTTTTTAATTTGACAGCTCGTTCAGCCAGGGTATCGACTCCTGCGCGCCTCGCCTCTGCACCGTGATGGCCGCCGCGCTGTTGGCCACCTTGACGGCCTTCTCAATGTCAAAGTCGCCGCCCACCACGGCCAGCGAGTACGCGCCGACAAAGGTGTCTCCAGCGGCAGTCGTGTCGACCACCTTGACCTTCTGCGCCGGCACCAGGCCCGACTTGTTGCCGCTGCTGCTGTAGTACACGCCCCTGCCGCCCAGGGTGACGAGGACGTTCCTGGTGCCGTAGCCGTGGAAGATGCCGGCGACCCGCGCGAGGCCCTCGGGGGTGTCGAGCTCGGACTCGGCGCAGCCGGTGAGGAGGGCGGCCTCGGTCTCGTTGACGACGAGGTGCGTGATGCCCGGGTAGTACTCTGCGGGGATCTTGACGGCGGGCGCCGGGTTCAGGAGCACCTGGACGCCCTGGCGCCTGGCCGTGTCGAGGATCTGCAGGACCGTCGGGAGCGGGATCTCGAGCTGCATGACGACGAGGTCCGGGGTCGGCTCGGGCAGCGCCGTGGCGAAGTGCTCCGGCAGCACAGTGTGGTTGGCCTCGGGGGAGAGCAGGATCCGGTTCTGGCCAGAGGTCTCCTCGACAATGATGGTCGCGACGCCCGTCTTGGCGCCCTCGCGGACGGCCACGCCCGACGTGTCGACCCCGACGTCCCGCAGCCCGCTCAGCATCGAGGTGCCGTACACGTCGCTGCCCACCGCGCCGACCATGCGCACGTCCGCGGTGCCGTCGGCCAGCGAGTCCCGCGACCGCGACAGCTTGGCGCACGCGACCGCCTGGTTTGCGCCTTTTCCCCCCAGCCCCGTGTGGAACGAGCTCGCCGTCAGCGTCTCGCCGCCCTCGGGCACCCGGGGCGTGTAGACGACCACGTCGACGTTGAGGGAGCCGATGGTCGTGATGATGGGTTTGCGGGTCGCCATTGTGTTTTTGTTCTTGTTTGCTGCTGTTGAGGGAGGGTCAATGTCGTCGTGCCTGTCCGCTCAGGGGAGACGTGGCTTTGTTCCCTTTGGTGGGTGTCTTCTACTTTTCTTTTTGTGTTCTTGTGCCTGATCCCCTCCACCACTTGGTCCTTTTGACGTATGATCGCGGGGTTCCCCGGTGGGTTTTTGTTACTGGGAGACCAGCAGGCCAATCGGCAGAGCGTTAGTGGGTTCCAAGGTTGCTTTGGGGCACTGTTTGTGCCCCGCCCCGTCGGATTCCGGGGTCCAGTTGGTCTTCCCCACCTTGAGGCACTCACCCACCACGACTTGTTCGCTCCAGTTTTTCCCCAATTGCTCCAAAGTTGGGGAAGCCCGTCGAATGCTCTCGACCTGTACGCATCCGTACATTGCAGCATGCATGTTGCGAACTAGTTGGGTCAAGTCCCCTGTTAATGCGGAAACAGAAACAGTTTCCCACTTCATCGACTGCCTACGACATTCGCTTCTCGGTGGGCAGAAATTGTTGCATGCCAAGCATCCGGCCGCAGACTCAGTCGCAGTTCGTTTCAGCATGATTGATTTCAGTTAGACAAGACTGTTCGTCCATCGCTGTTTCACCACTTGGCACAGAGAAGCCTAGAGACGAGAAGCCCTTGACCTCAAGGTCCATTACGTCTTGGGAGAAATCGTGCCGAGGTCACCGTTTGCATGAAGCGATCGTCGGTGCGTGCGTTGTATTCCAAACGCTTCTAAAGTTCCATTTCTATCTGTCTGCGCAGTGTTGAAATCTGCTGCCGCTTCTCTAATTCCGAATGTCTTTGTATATACACACAAAGCTCTTCTACTTTGCACCGGGACAAGCCCATCAGGTGTTGCCACCGTCTCTCTCTCACCGACCGCACAGCTTCTTCTCCAGGGCGCGCATGGGCAGGTACAGCAGCCCAGTCACCACCAGGGCAAACTCGAACCCGAGATCGCCCGTGACCTCTGCGATCGGGCCGACGTACCAGTTCTGCGACATGCTGGGCACCACGAGGGCGAAGCTCAGCACGCCCGAGGCGAGCGCGGCGACACCCCAGGGCAGCCGCTTGGCGTCGTTCCACGCGTCGTGGTCGTAGCTGGCGTAGTCGCCCCTGCGGAAGACGACGTGCTCGAGGATGACGACGGCGACGAACGAGGCGGACCAGTACGCGATCAGGGCGATGAAGTTCTCGAGGCTGAGGAAGAAGTCGTCGGCGGCCTTGATGGCGATCGGGATCACGATGGCCGTGATGATGATCGAGTAGATGTACCGCGGCACCAGAACGAGCTGGGGGACAAAGATCTGGAAGTTGAGCGTGACGGCGTACATGGTGGCCGAGACGTTGCCCAGCAGCGTGAGGGCGAGGATGACGAGGACAAAGACCCCGAACCCTCCAGACGGGGCGAGCATCGCGGCCAGGATGCCGCCCACGCCGGCCGTGTCGTAACCGTCCTGCCATGCGGGGATGTTGGACTTTGCGTTGCCGATCGCGGCGCCCAGCGTCATGAGAGGGATCGCGGGGAAGAGCAGGCCGAGGTAACCGTAGGTGAAGAGGCGCCAACTATTCAAAGGCGTGTTAGTCAGTCACTTGAGAGAACAGCGGGATAAGTTATTCGATTCGGTGTGCACGTACATTGGAAAGTCTGGGCTTAGATAGGTAGTAAAGTCGGACGCAATAGCCGCGTACGGGATCATGTACGACGCAACAATCATACCAAACGACAAGATGGCAGATGCGGTCGCAGGCTCGGGAGGAGCCTGCAGGTACAGCTGCGAACCACCGCAGCCCGTGGTGATGACAATCGCAATCAGGGCCGGGATCCAGGCGTAGCGCTCGTACTGGTGGACCACGCGGTAGCCGCAGAAGGAGATGAACATGGCCAGGATGCCAATGATGACGATGCCCACGGTCGAGGACAGGTTGCCGCCCGTCGTGGCGGACAGGCACTGGCCGCCAATGACAGCCGTGATGATGATGAAGCCAACGAGGGTCGCGAGATTGAGGAGAACAGGGACAGAGACAAGGTAGCGGCCGTAGCTGAAGCGGGCCTGGATCATCTGACGAAGACCAGTCTTGGGGCCGAGGGTTCCAAGATAGGCGGGCAGGGCGGCCGTCAGGAGACAGAAGAAGACAATGACGAGGACCGAGTCGCGGAGGCCGAGCCCAAAGGCTGGGCCGAGCATGCCAAAGGTGATGGGAAGTAGGTTGATGTTGAGGGTTGTCCAAAGCGTGAAGAAGCTCGAGTAGCGGCGCGAGGTGCGCTCGTGGAGAGGCACAGGCAGCACGCCGCGGATCTCGACGGAGCTGACCTTGAGCACCTTGTCAAGGGTGCGCGTGAAGGGGGAGCCGGAGACAGAGCCGTCATCGCTGGCGTCGGTCGTGGTGTTGTTGTTGTTCTTGGTCGTCTTGCTTGTAGCCTCCAGACCCTTCTCAGGGTCGGCTGCTTGGCTGGGGGAGCCCGTGCCCACGGCGGGCTGATCAAAGAGAGCCATGTTTGTAGGGGACCAATGGCAGTATTGGAACAGCCAACAGGAAAGGTGCGCACAGCAGAGAGGGAAACCGAATGACGCAGGACACCAGCGTAGAGGGAATAAATATGAAGCTCTCCAGGCGCACGTGGGAAAAAAAAAAGATGGGCAGCTGGTGGCTAGCGCAGGCCGATACAGGCAGGACCCTTGCCGCGGAGGGAGCAGCCCGGCCACGCGGGTGTTGGTGGGGGTCCAAGTGCGGCCCCAGAGGGTGCAGCAGCGAGCACCCGCTGGGCCACAGCAACCCGCCACTGGCCACGCAGAGTTTGCCGCGGGCCTGCGAACGCGGAGGGGCCGGTGGGGCCAGTGGGGCCCGGCAATCGCAGTCATCAGTCACAACGTCACGGCTTGCGTAGTCACCCGGCTGCGGACACAGACAGACAATGACCGGACGGGACTCGCTTGCACGCAACTGCGAGTGAGGACAGGGGATGAGCCCGTGCAACATACCATCCGAGGTCCAGTTCCTGATGCGGTCTCGGTCATTAAAGTCTGTCACGCCGGTGCGGCGCTCAGTCGCAATGGCAACGGGCTGATGGTTGTGCTTTTATCCACCAAACGACCCCCCATTTAGACCCATATTACACTGGAATCGATCCGGCTGGCTGTCACCGCTTCCTGGTGGGCCAATGTGGGTGGTCACATATCGAGCACTTGATAGTGAAGGCAAAATCACCCGGAAAAATGGCAACGTCTTCACGTGGAATGAATGGAGGTGTTCCATGCGGATCATACTTGCTGCCTCTCAAGAAGGCTGCGGTTCTGTTGTACCACCACCCAGCTTACCAGCTGAGTACACGCCTTAGCTCCCAAAGGACAATGACAAATAGGCATGTGATGACATGTGCAAAAAGTTCCATCTTCCATCTGACTACCTACGTCGGTACGTAATTATCAACCTTCAGAAAAATGCAATAGTCCTAATCTCCACGCTCTCCCTCGTCTTGGCATCCGCTGGCGAGTTCGGGTCCTCAAACGCCGTGTGTCCCACAAACCTCGCGCGACCGTCCGTCTCGCTATCGTACGTCTTGAGCAAGATGGCCTGCCCAGGCGTCATCCCAGGGAAGTACCACCACTTGTGCTGCTCGCTATGCCGCATGACGTAGTTCTCCCCGTCGCGGTCCGCATAGCGCAGGTGCAGCTTGAAGAAGTCGGCGGCCGGCGACGAGGTCACGTCGCACATGGCCAGGGGACGCTCCTCGACGCGGTTGCGGACCGGCTTCCACACGTTGAAGAAGGCCACCCTGCGGCCGCGGTGCTGCTGTGCGTCTGCGGCGTCGGGAAGCAGCTGTCGCAGGCGCAGAGGCGCCGACTCGGCCGTGTAGTCGCAGTGCACGAGCATCACGGGGGCGCGCTGGCTCGTGTTGGCCGTGTCGGTCAGCGGCTTGGCCTGGTTCGCCTTTGTGCGGATGGTGTGGTCGAACACGACGACCTCGGACGCCCCGACAGCCTTGCGCAGGAACGAGACGACCTCTGGGTAGAAGTGCCTGCGCACCGCGTCGTTGTCGTCCCACGCGTCAAAGTCGGTGTGGAAGTCGCGGAGCGCGAACCCTTCCCTGTCGACGGAGAAGGTCTCGGCATCACGCTGCCAGCCGTCGTGAAAGGTCATCTCGTGGGGGTCATCGCCGGGCTCGTGGATTTGAGATGCAGCGGGGGATTCGTAAAAGTAGATTTCTGTGAGTTGGGGGCTGACGTCTTTCGTGTAGTTGATGGATGCCCGGACATTATTTGTTGCTGTAGGGGAGTGCCCGGCGGCTCCATTTGCACTGGTCGTGGCTCTAGGACGACCTGTTACACTTCCAGCATCCATAACAGAGATGCAGAAATGTCTACTCGAGTAAGGAGTGCTTACGAGTCAGGACACAGGGCGTCCGTGACGGCCTTTTGTGTCTTCTTCCACGACGGCAGAGCCTCGACTTCCTTGATCCAGCGAAGAATGTTTGGGTACTTGTCCAGTTCGAGCTTCGACTCCCTCCAGAGGTGCATTGGCGCGGCAACCGATATGTCCGCAATGGACAGCTCCTCGCCGGCCACGAACCTGTGTCTTGACAAGGCGGCATCTAGTACGCCGCACAGGTTGTGGAACCTCTCATTTTCATTGTCCAGCGCCGCCTGGTCCGGGTCGGTCTTGAGGATGTTGGGCTTGACGACGTTCTCGACGAGGTAGACGTAGCAGCTCGCGAACCACTGCGAAGCCTCCCACAGCAGCCAGCAGTTGATCCTGCCACGCTTCTTCGGATCCTTGGGATAGTATGTGTCCGATTTGGAGAGGTCAGCCGCGTATTGCAAGATGGCGTTGGATTCAGTCAGGAGGAGGTCCCCGTCAACGGCTGCAGGAATCGTGGCCATGGGGTTGATCTTTTTGTAGGCATCGCTCCTTTGTTCGTTTTTGAAGAAATTGACAAACTTGTCCTCGTGCTCGACACCGAGCAGGTCCAGGCCGGCGATGACCTTGCGACAGTTGATCGTGCAGGGGTCTGCGTGTACGACTAACACCATTGTGCCTGTGGTATGAAGAGCTCCAAGAATGTTTTAAACGCTTCAACAAGTATTCTTCCGGAGTACTGCAATGATGGCTGGGTCAAGCACAGAGGTACGAAGCTCCACGACGGGGGAATCTTCAGATTTCCCTCAAATTTATAGAAACATGAGCCCTCCGCACGCTATCCCATCACCGCGTCTTGAGGGCTATTCCGCGAACCAAACCCCAACAGCCAGACCATTTATGACGTCTGCGTTCTTTAGCAACGGAGAATTGAGTCAACATTTCATTGGGCAATGCAAGACAACACTCCACTCTTTAAGCGTTCCGCACGCTCTAGATCGAGTCCAAGAATGCGGGGAAGGTCGATGGCCCGGACCACCGGGACTGGGGTCGTGGCCTTCGCTCCTGGCATGATGTGCATGGTTTGCCAGACTGGACTGGGCACTTTTGCATGGAAAATGCCATACGCCCGTACTGCTAGGTGTTTTTGGACCGTTGGATATTGTAGTCGTGTTTTGTCCTCCTTGGGTGCTGAATTCCCAGCCTAGAACACTGTTTGGAGACTGAGAAAATAGGAATGATCCTTGATGGCATTACAGAAAATCGAGTCGAGGACTATGACAAATACCCTGCTCGATGCTTGTTGACTGATGCTGTTGACTGATGCTTGTGGACGGTACTTGTTGACTGACGTTCGTTGACTGATGCTAGTTGTCCACGTCCAGCACCCTAGACCATGTGCACTTGCCGAGGTACGATCGCGGTCCGGACCAAGGGCGAGACCGCCCGAGGCTTGAAAGTGGTAACAGTGCGTCCCCCACAAGTCACATTGGCTGTTCTGCTGACATTCGGTGCGGCGCTCTGTCCGGTCTGAGCCGGGCCGGGGAATGTTCGGAAGGGCTATCAAGCCCACGTCGTCCAAAGTCCGGAATCGCCCTGCCGCTTAGAAACAACTGGAGTTTCGAGCTGCCCTTCGACAACTCTGTGGTGTATCATGAAAATTACACACTCGCACAGGGAGTGTACAGGAGTTCAAGCCAGGACTAAGGCCACGCCACACGGACTAGGAAGACAGGCATCGGGCCAGACAGCTCGGCTCCCAGCTTAAGGCCTATGAGCGATCTTTTCTCCAGGATAAGTTTCCTGCGGGTTTTGCTGCCCGAATATATATATATGTCCTGAAGCGAGATAGGCGCTACTCAATCGTAAATCACGCCCTGCACCGGCCCCTTTAAGAGGCCTATTCTCAACGGTGCCATTTGTCACGGAGGAGTACGATGCAAATTGCCCAGATGCAAAGCATCATGCCCCGGAAGCCGTTGTGCTTCCTGGGGCTGCCATTCAGCACAGAAAATATCATAGTGACGGCCTTAGCTGTTCAAGCCAAGCCCATAGCGGGCTCGGAAGAGTCCAGTTCGTGCTGGCGATCTGAACACGCAGAACCTCGCTATCACATACCGCAAGGGATCACGTCTTTTACTCATGAGAGTCGCACGAGCACCTCTGACAAAAAGAAGAATTCAACGGCTTGTGTACCTGGACAAGAGGGCACCCTGTCCACGAGAAAGATGTGCCACGGCAAATCTTTCAGGGGTAACAACAGTCGCGCGGATTCCAGCCCATGATGTCCAGAACGGTCGGCGGATGTTGCAAACTATAAGCAGCGACGGATAATCTTGCAGACCGACTGCTGCAGACCATCGTGGCTCACGGGAGCTGATAAAGACGGCGCGGGGCTTTGTGATCTAGATGCCTCTGAAATGGTCCCGGGAGGACTTCGGCAACTTACGTGCCTGAGCATGAGCATAGTACGACTGGACGATCCATTTTGGCGCGGCGGCGAGAGTCTGGACTGGTCGATGATGCCGGCTATTCCTCTTGCCCCTTGGTGATGTGTCTATGTGAGCAGCCCTGATGTATCTAATTTACTCCGTGTGCAAGAAAGAGGAGCGCAGAGAGGGGGACATGATCAAGTTTGCGATAGTGAAAGAACGACAATGCAGGGAAAGGGCGTGGGGGTTCCACTGGGTCATCCTACTCGAACTCTCCGAGGTCTCCTAGTGCTCATCGCAGTAAGTGTTCCTTAGGCAAGGTTGTAGAAGCCAATGAAGACCAAGAACTATGGACGGACAGTTTTGCTGGATGTTTTGGTTTCAAAAACGAGAAACCCAATTGCAAAGTCAGCGACACGTCGAGCGAATACCGCCTCTTGGTCGGCCTGGAAGTTCAACACGTATGCGGGAGAGTCTAGATTGGACGTGCCAACGCCACCTTGTACCAGGGTCCAGATTCACCAGGAAGCCGTGGCGCTCACCAGTGGTGAGTAGACCGGCCTAGGATCAAGGACTGGGGCAGGCACAAGGGCAGGGATGAAATATCCATATGCCTGTGCTTCAGCTGAGCTGGATCCATTCTATGACATAAGCCAGCATGAAGCCATGTACCTTCTGTGTGTCTGGAGAAACACAGGACCGTCATCCCTCACAGGGGGGAAGTCACGTCTTGTAGGGTTTTCAAGATCATCAACTTGGCGCGTTTGGCAGGGCTGTACTAAAGCTGGAGGCGTGCGCCAGTAGCGGAAAATTCTTGCCTAGATCTAGGGTGCTGCAAACAGACAGAAGGGGTCATGGACTACACATCAGTGCTCTCCGGCCTATACCAAGGGTGACGAGAGTCCGGAGCTGACACACCGGAATGAAAGTGCATTGATACGCGGGGGTGAGCTCCGCCACGGTAACTTCCGTATGCTCCAAAGTCTAAAGGTCAGGGAGTGACGAGCTTACGCAAGGTTCCCGAGGCCAAAATGATACACATCGGCCCGCCCTGGGGAAGCCAGGAGGCGGGGCCAGGGTGCAGTCATCATGGCAGACGCGCCCGCCACCCTTTCTCTGCTTCGTCATCCCTCCCCGAATCTCCTTGGGAACAGATCTGAACCAGCTCGATGTGGGCGTAGCGGCCGAAAAAGTTCCCAGCTCGGCGGATTTGATGTATTGCGGCTCATGTCACTATCGTCTGCAGCTAGCCAGCTCGCAGGTTGTTGTTGAGGTCGCCTTCTCTTAGCGCAGAAACATGGTCGCATTGTGCTCTATGACTCTATAGAACCGATCTCCGGGTCGAATCACCCCGCCTCTGCGCCAGGACGAGCAGGTGCTTGTCAGTCAGGTGGCTGGCTGGATGACGAAGGCCCTGGCCAGCAAGCATGAAGTGACTATGAATTCAGATCGTGCGTCCAACTGAGAGCATCCTGCGCCAGCTCGTCTGGCCCCACCGAACTGGCCGGAAACTGCTAAGCGACTGTGACGGCGAGCTTGCAAGCTTGCAGTGGCGACGCGCAGGATGCTGTGGGGGTGTCCCAAGGAGGCTCTGGCGATGACGCCTCGGATGCTTTTGGTCGGCAAGCTCCGAATTAGCCTGGAATATAGGGTTCTGCGCTATCACGGGGAAGCTTGTCAAGCGGGCTTGACAGCAACCCTTGAAAGGTTAAACGAGGTGGCGTGGGTGCCACTGCTTTGTCGCACTCGCCTCGTCGTGATTGAGACAAGCCTCCTACCCAGCCGCCTCTCCCTTGACAGCAAGCACCCCAGTCCAAACGCCATACAACTGCGGCATGACACGATGGGACAACGGCCAGTTGTTGCAGCCCCATGGTGCTCCATCCTGAGGTTACAGTAAGTCTCGAGAGGATTTCTGAGAGTAGTCCGGTCACAGTCCCTCAATGAGTATACTCCCACACCACGACATAGCCCAGGGGAGCTCGGCCCGAGACTGACAATGCGCCCACGACCCGATGCGATTCGAGACGGGCCAAGCTGATTACGCACAGCAGCGCAGTGCCAAGGCAGGCGGGCTCTTCCTGGACAATAGGGCCGCGTTCTGGCATTTCCGCGAGCCCGGAGCAGAGGCGCTGGCGCTGGCCGGATTTGGACACATGCTTTGGCTCGGAACTTTCTTGCACGGCGCCAAAACTCTCCGAGATCCGCTACGTCGCCATGTTAGCCTTTCCATTGTCCGCCACACGATCTTTGATCGAGACCTTTGAGCGTATGCCATGGGCGCTGGTCCTTGCTGGCCTGGCATGTCCAGTCCGGGACGGCCACCTCATATAGCCTAGAAACGACCCGGTGTCGCAGGATGCCGCAGTTTCGCCTGCGTGTCTTGCGTTCCCTCTGCCTTCTTGCATCGACCAGCCCGCCCGGAGCCTTTGTTCTGGTACCACCGCCAAGATGAAACTCGACATCCTGAAGTTCCTGGCCTTGTGCCTGGCCACCACCGCCTCAGCTGATGCTATCGAGGAGAGACAGTTGAATCTACCCCTTACCTCAGCCCTCAACCCAGTGACCTCACTCGTCGGATCAATCCTCAGCCCAGTAGTTTCCTCGAGCTCGATCAGACTATCGTCGTCCTCCATCAGAGTCTCGGCCAGCGTCTCGGCGGGTGTCTCTGCAAGCGTACCGACCATATCGGCGAGCGTCTCGGTAGGCGTCTCTGCCAGCGTCTCCGCCAGCATACCGACCATAACGCCCAGCGTCTCGGCGGGTGTGTCGGTGAGCGTGTCCGTCAGTGTTCCCACGAACATCGTGAGCGGGACCATTGGCTTGTCGGCAAACCCCCTCTTCTCCAGCCAGGTCGGCGCATCTGCCACGATAGCCCTCTGCGTGCCTGCTGCCAGCCCTCTCCTCAATGTGCCCGCGCTGTCGACAGGGCTGGGCTCCGTCACAACAGCCATCAACAAGGCCGCGAACCCAGTCGTGGCCTCAAATCCACTGTTGGGCCCACTCAGCCCGTTGGTATCGACGACACTGACATCCACGGTAAGTCCCTCAAGCAAGCAATGCCCTCCATCACGTTCCGTCAGGGAAAGAATCTGACCGGCCGCCGGTGTCCGCAACAGCAACTTCTCGCCGACTTGGGCTCCATAAACACCCTTCTCAACGTCAACGTCCTCGGAATATTGGCTGCTGTCAGTGCCGGGGGTGGTTGCCTTTCGGTCGGCGTCCAGCTCGACATCTGTCAACTGGTTTTCCAGGTAAGTACCTTGGGCCCTGATGCGTGACCAAGCGCATTTCCTCCTCCAGCACATCATCCTCGGCCTATTTTATCCTCACTCAAGTCTACATCTTTATTTAAAGAATAATGCTAACATCTACCGCCGTTTACGTGAAGCTGATTGATGCTGAGGAGAGGCTGCTCACCACTGTACAAAACGCATGCATCAACCGAATCGGCGTGCTCTGCAGCCCCCTCAGTCTCGATGTCAACCTGGTACTGCAGCAGCTAGTCGCGGTGCAGATCACGATTGACCAGGTGATACAGACCCTAATCAGCCTGGACGTCTTGCCCGAGTGCCGTCAGAAGATGCTCGACCGCCAGAGCGACCTTAAGGGCACCATAGCTGGTACCGTCTACACCCTGGCCAACCTGCCCAATGTCGTTACCACGAACGTAGGCAATCAAGTTGTCCAGGCGCTTGGCATCACGGGCGGGTTCAATGGACCTGTCTTCCAGAGTCTTGCGGGATATCCGAACAGGAAGCGGGGTATTATCCTAATGAGGAGGGTTAATCGATTACCGGCGGATGAGGAGGATGGTGACGATGATTGGGATGATGATACTGAGGATGATGATGGTGATGAGGATGAGATCTAGGGACGCGTGGATTGGACATAATTTTGAGTTGGTAGTTCTCTGGGTGATGACTTGATGATGTCTTTGTTGTTGATGATTAACGTAATCCACGGGTGAGCGGGTCACACGGGTGAACGGGTCACCTTCCAGTGACTCGTACAACAATATGTAAGACAATTCAACCACAACGCCTGAAATCAATTAAAACTATTCGGAATCCTCTTCTTCAGAGGTAGATACAACTTTCTGATACGTACGAGTATTATAACCGGGCTCGCCGTAGACGCCATATCGCCGCGTGCGCGTTTCGGGCCTCCTCGTACGCCCACTATTCTAACTCGTTTCCGCTACTAACTGCTACGTCGTATCGATTTAAGCCTTCAAATCCTTTGCTTGATCAATAGTAAGGGACCCTCCTTTCTATAGCTGCTTTCTTTTCGTACGACGACGGCGGCTAAGGCGGTCGTTCACATCTCGAAGTTCGGCGAGGTCGTAGCGTATAAGGGTCTGCTCATATACTATTATCGCGATCCCTTTATTAAGCTGCTTAAGGCTTGCGATTATGGATAACGGTGAGCTATTCTAGTGTTATACGATGCGATTTTTAATATACTCCGTCTGCGATTCGGCCTTAATCGGGTTATTCGGCGTCTTTGAGACCCAGGGGGGTGGTAGTCCGGCAGAACCTAGTAGTGTTGGCGTACGAAGCTTTATATCTAGCTGCGAAATTACATAGTCCGGGTCGTACGGTACTAGGCCTGTCGCTCTAAAGCCTGCCTGGATGTTTGATTTGGTTATTGCAGCGTTGTACGCCTTATAAAAGGCTGGGAGGAAGTCCTCCTTTGAAACGTGGGTTACGTACGCCCGCATTAGACCTTCGATTTCTTTACCGTACGCCCGTTTTAGAGGTCCAAAACACCTAACATCGAGAGGCTGGAACTTATGCGACGAATAAGCAGGTATATAGAGGGTAACGATATTCTATTCCTTGCAGTAGAGCTCGAAATCGACGGAATGGTGGCTCTCGTAGCCGTCGAGGATAAGGAGGCGGTAGGTACCCTTCGTACGACTCTTTATATGGAAATCGAAGTGTTTTACCTATTCTAGGCCTCTCTCGTTCGTCGTCTAACCGTTTTCTAAAAGCGCGATTACCTAGTTAGCCGGTAGAGGGCTATTCGCGGTCTAGGAGTTAAGGTGGACCTTCCCGGCGAAGATAATGTACGGCGGGATTAAATATGTCACGATCCGATCTCCGGGGTCAACCGTCTGATCGGCGCGGTGGGGTTTATGTTCTGAATAAGGCAGGTAGCGACCTCATGCAATACTGACTCCGTGCTTCTCGTGTTCTCGAGGGGGTTGTCGTTCGTGTCTCTTGCGAGATATCACACTCGGATCAATTGAGTGACTAGGTCAAGTGAAGGGTGAGGGTGATACTTAGATTGATCGCTGAAGTACAAAGGTAATGACTGTCTACAAGGAGATCCTCCTGGTGCTATATATCCTTTGTCCTTCATCGTGGTTCCCTGGATCACTTGGTTTCCTCGTGATCCTGGATCGTCTTGGATCCTTGGTGATCCTCGGTGATCCTGGATCGTCTTGGATCTGTGGTGATCCCAGCGATCCACTTCCGTCTGGCTGACATAATGGGATGCTTATGTAACCAGGGGTGTGCTGCCCCGCGTGCATGACCTGCCCTTGTCCCTGGCCCGATCTTGCGACCTGTTGGTCGGGTGTGACGACCCGACCAACAGGGGAACTGCTTGGGGCTGAGGTAACAAACAAGCCCAGCACAAACAAGGCCGCAGGATCAGGCTAGGGACAAGGGCGGACCAGCGAAGGCTGGCGGGGAACACATTATGTAAGCACCCACCTTATGTCAGCAGCCGACGATGAACGGTCGCACGGCGACCATCATCCGTCGGTCTTGCGACAACAAACTGTCGGCATGCGACCCAACGGTGTCGCAGGACGACGGGCACGATGAAGGACAAAGGGATATATAGAGCCAGAAGGATCTTCTAGATAGACAGTCATTACCTTTGTACTTCAGCGATCAATCTAAGTATCAGTTTCACCCACACTTGAACTAGTCACTCAATTGCCGAGACTGGTATCTCTTCCAAGAGACACGAACGACAACCCAGAGAGAGAACGACAGCAGAGTGTTAGTTGTTATTGCACAGGCTTTACCTATCTTGCGGAACAGCAACCCCAGCGCCCTGCCAGACGGTTGACCCCGGAGGCAGGATCGTGACATCGGGTCGTCACAAAATAGCCGTACGACACGATACCTTAGATTACTGTAACCCATTCCTGATTACCTTGTTATACGGCTCTTAGCCTCCCGCGTTGATCGGAGGTCGTAACAACAGTTTCAGCGGAGATTTTACCTATCGCGAAGCCCGTTTCGTCGAAGTTGTAGATGTTGTTATCGTGGATCCCGTATTTCGCGATTATATTTCGTACGAGCTTAAACTACGTACGATACGCGTCCGGATCCTCGTAAAGGACCCTCTAATAATCGATTCTTCGATTAAAATACGTACGGAGCTTAGGTCGTCGTCGTACGAAGGTTGAGGCCCAGTTCGTTCTAACGCGTAGCGCGTCGCGTATACGGAGGAGTCGATCCGCCATTTCTCAAATACCACTTAACCGCGGTGGAAACGAACGCGAATCTAGGTCGAGTACGTATCGTACGATACTCTCCTCTTCGTATAAGGTTAATTTCTAGCAGGGTAGTCGGGTGTCGTGTTTCGCAGCTCGGCCGTGGTATCGTTACTGGAGTGTCGTACGAGATACATTATAGATCTGCGCAGCCTTTCGTACGCTTAATTTTGGGTCGGATTGGAGCGCATTTAACGCTAGAACCAAATCACTTTCAATTGATTGTCGTCCCATAATTAGAGGTGGAGAAAAAGGAGAAGGAAGTGAACCTCAATTAAATTGCAGTAAAGTGACCCGTTCACCCGTGTGACCCGCTCACCCGTGGATTACGTTATTTGGAGCGTTCTTTGCGCGTTGGCCTTGGCCTCCTGCACACGACCTTGTTCTGTACATCTGCAAAAGTACATATGGATACGGCATCCCCATAATCATGAATCAAGGTTCGCATTGTCGCACACAATTATTTCTAATTTTAACCAGATGCCAGAATGATCATATGTTTGTTTGTGCCTAGTCATCTTAACAGTGATGCAGAGATTGGAGGCATTTGGTTTCAGCCGAACGGAGCTTGGGTTTATAGCCTTTCTTCAGGCATGTGAGTGAAAATATAAATTGCGCGATTCCTTTAAGTCCATCAAAGCGTGCATAATAATCATTGGTAAGTAGAAGCAGGCCTAAAATCCGTTGTTGCTCTGCCAAAGTGAAAAAGTGACATTATGCATCACAAAAGCGTGCTAGAGCTAGATTGTGCACATCGGAAAGAATAGTCCGCCGGGGCCCATACGTCACGGCTCATCGCGTCCGTCGGCCCCAGTCTTTTCCTCGCTCCTCTATCAGCGGGATCAGGCATAGCGCCCGCTTTTACCGGGGTCCAACGGCGCCGATTACGGGACCAGGGGGAGACTGCGCTCGCAGGATTTGTGGTGTCCATCTCATTGAGATCTTTTCATAATCAATGGGCATAGATTGGGCCGAATGCGAGGGTCACGGGAAGACAACACAAGGCGCGTGCACGACAAGCAGAGATTATAACTATTTATCAACACGGGCAAGAGCTGACTACGACGGCCACGGACGACAGCACAGATGTTGGGTGCCGGCAGCCGAGACCGGCCCGCTCCCGATCAGCAGGAGCCCGGTGCTCAGAAACAGGTTGTCGACGACGCTACGGAGGACGAGAGCCAGGGACAGGCCACGGCTACACCACTCACGGGCGGGATCAAGCATGGCGAAGGGGACAGTATGGCTGATATGACCGCGGACAGGTCTGAGCCATATGAAGATAGCGCTGACGTCAGTGCTTCAACCTTCACAACTGATCGCGCCGTGGTTGCTGCTCCATTGCAGCGGACGCAACAACGGCAAGATGGATCTCTTAGTGAAGAAAGAGGCGGAGTTCTCGACGCCGAGAAAGCTACAGACAAGAACGCGGCGCAGCCCCGGGACGAAGACAAGGAACCGTACAGCATCTACACGCGCCGCGAGCGGTGGTGCATCGTGCTCACCGTGGCGTTTGCTGGGGTCTACAGGTATTGCCACGCTCAGCGTCTACAGATACGCTTTCCATAGTCACTAACATTGCTCCTCATGAGCTAGCACGCTCCCAGCGACGATCTACTTCCCTGCGGTACCTCTGATAGGTGTCTCGTTCGGCGTGTCGCAGGAGGCGATCAATCAGACTGTGACTGGTATGTTGCACCGCCACTATTCAATCCTTCCCCAGACAACTATTGCAGCCATAGACGCAATACTCATCTGCATTTCACATTTTGTATAGCCTATCTCGTCATGCAAGGCATTTGTAAGTCTTTACCTCCTCCTTCCCAGCCGGAAGTTGTCATTTCTGGGATGAACAGACGAAACTCTCGTAAAATGCTGACAAGGACGGTAAACAGCTCCCATGCTCTGGGGACCCCTCTCAGACCGCTATGGCCGACGACCCGTATACCTCGCCTGCCTGACCGTCCTGCTGGGCTCCTGCGTCGGCCTCGCCCTGTGTCCCGAGAATGCATTCTGGCTGCTGGTAGGTGCTCCTTTGTGTCCGTCCCCGAACCACTATTACTGACTGGAACTCAAAACCGCCAGATTTTCCTCCGCCTCTTCCAAGCTGGTGGGTGCGCTAGCATGATCGCCCTTGGCGCAGGCGTGACTGGTGACATTGCAACACCGGAGGAGAGGTAAGTTGGCTTGCAGACGTGTCATACACCATCTTGATATTCGCTGATACGTACTCACCAGGGGCGGTTACTTCGGCTTCTTTAACCTTGGACCCATGGTACGTCCATCAGCAACACGGTTGAGCGCGAAATGAGCCGCCTGGGACTCTTTTTTTCTCTTGCGGTTCACTAACATGCACAGCTTGCCACATGCGTCGGTCCAGCGATTGGCGGTGCTTTAGCTGACGGACTGGGGTGGAGGTGAGTGCCTGTCATCCAATCTTCGCAACGCTCAATCTCATTGACGTCTCACAGGGCCATTTTCTGGGCTCTCGTCATCATGGCCGCCATTTGTATGGTGCTCATCTCCCTGTAAGTCAGATAGTCAGCCCCGCTGGATCTCTTGATGTCCTGTAAGAAAATGATATCGAGGACAGCCTGACCAAGGTTTCCACAGTTTCCTCCCCGAAACCCTCCGCAGCCTCGTCGGCAACGGATCCATCCGACCTCCAAATCCTGTCCTCAATCAGCCGGTCATCAAGGTGTTCGGCCGCGGCGTGCGGACCCATCCAGCCCCAAAACGAGACCCGTCCGCCAAGAAACCCTCCATCAACCCTTTCATCCTCTTCACATACCCTGATGTCGCCCTGACCTTGAGCTTCAACGCGGTGACGTACTCGGTATACTACTCCATCATGGCGACCACCTCTTCCGCGCTGGAACACGCGTATCCGTGGCTCTCGACCACGTTGCTCGGGATCGGATACCTACCAACAGGCCTGGGCATGATTTTGGGAGCGACATTGACGGGGAAGTTGCTCGACCGGGAGTATGCAAGGGCAAAAAGCCGGCATGCAGCCGTGGTAGCTGAAGCAGAAACTGCTGCTGCTGCTGTGGCGGGGGGGAGCAGCGCCGTGGAGGTCCCAAGGTTTCCAAAGGAGCACGCGCGGCTGAGGACGATGCCGGCCCATGTTGTGCTGATGGCGGCTGCGGTCGTGGGCTGGGGCGCGTGTATCGGGCATTCTGTGCCCATCGCGGCGCCCCTAGTACTGCAGGCTATCCGTAAGATGAATCACCGAAGCCTTGCGGTGGCGATTGTGAATACTGACTCTGATATCTGCGCTAGTTGGGTATACGGGCATGGCTGTTCTCAACTCGACAACGACGCTGATGATCGACATCTTGCAGTCCCGAAGTTCCTCGGCAACTGCATGCGTAAGTGTTCAACCCTCATTAACGTGGACCACTTCATGCTTTCTCGTCCCCTTTTCACACTCATCCATTCGTGGTTCGAAGTTGGCTTCAATCCGCAATGCCTCGAGCTGACAGGGAGAAACAGATAAACTGCACCCGCTGTTTATTGGGCGCCATGATGGTGGGAGTGACGGAGCGCATGGTGTCTTCGGTACTGGGGTATACCTGGGCATATCTTCTCCTCGCGGGCATCTGTCTGCTCTGCATACCATTGATGTATCTTGAGATGAAGATTGGGCCCAGGTTCCGAATCCCACGGGACAAGGCCGCCGAGGAAGATAGCAAGAAGGCTGGGACTGGCGTATAGGAAGCGGCGTATTACCCACATGCCGTGCCTGTAGCACCGACAGAGCAATTGAACAATACTCCCTTGATCTTACCTTCTTTGGCTCATTATCATACCGGCCCTCACAAGCTCATATTGATCCCGATCGCTCGACAAGCGTGGAAGGCTAGGCAACTTAGAGGCGATATCTGAATACCTCAGATGTTAGCATGTGGTCAAAGTCTTCCCGATGTCTTCTAGTGCAAATCCATTGAGGCGGCCGGTGCAGTATACCCAGCAGGAATGTCGGGTCGTGACGCAGCCGAGGGCAGACCTAGAATGTACAACATCTGGACCACACCAACTCTAGACCTCTGAGCGGCAAACGAGTTTCTATAGCCTGTGAACCGCTAGGTTTTCGTAACTTTCAAGCCACAGGGCCGCCTCTCCTACCACAATTTTCGTGCCGTTATGCCCTTCCTATCGCAGACGGATCGACCCGGTCGCAACCCCTGTCGCGCCAGAGGGGAAACAAACCCCCAACTTTTCACCATGTTCAAACAGGCGCACTACCCCGTGAATTTGCCTTGTCTAAACTCTACCACGTGCGTTGCAATCTCCCGCGCAATATCAACCACATCACACGAGCACTGCAGTATTTGATTCTCCTGTATCCCCTGATGGCACTTATATGTTTATCCTGTCATGATGTCGGGCACAGGGTTGCAGCTTGCCCCGCACCTTGGCAGCCGCAGCCGCATGCAAATGGGCGAGTCTCTTCCAGACCGGAGACGCCACTTCGCAATGGCGTCTTGTGCCAGCGATGCAGAGACTACAACCCAGTGCAAGTACTGGAGGCTGGCGATATCAGGGAAGAACTGACAAGAACAGAAGGCGCCTTTCTCGAGAACGAAAGGAGGCGTCTTCAGCTGGGCAAGCTCCGCGACATTGACCTCTTCGACAGCTGCCCGTTCTGCAGACTGATCTATCAAGTCTTCCCGGGGCCCCTGACGAATGCAGACCTCGATACGGAGTACTACGTCCGGCCGGTGCTGTCCTACGAGCGGTTGGGTGTGGCTCTTGAGCCGAGCTGCGACGATGCAACCAAGCGGCAGATGGCCGTCTACTTCAACGTCGAGGACCAAGACAATGCCATCTCTCTCCACACGAAACACCTGGGCATGCCGTCTACGTCCCAGCTGTTCCGAACCCAGAGGTTCATCGGCCTGTCCAACACCAACCCCAATCGGAGCAGACCGGCTCTGCCTGGCAGGAAGAGAGGAGCCAGGGTTGATCCTGCGCTGATCCTGCAATGGCTTCGAATCTGCGAGACGGAGCACACGGTCCAGTGCACTAGGATGTGGTCCGATCGGCTGCTCTCGAGTCGCATGATTGACGTCAAGGCACGCAAGATCGTCACCTGCCCCTCTCAATGCCGATACGTCGCGCTGAGCTACATGTGGGGAGGCGTCAGTCCGCAGCCAGGCGCCCTGGAGGCGGGAACGCTTCCGAGAACTATCGAAGATGCGATAACGGTGACCAAAGCTATTGGCGTCGACTATCTGTGGGTGTGTCGCCAGTTTCCCTCATCAAAATATGTGGCGATCCTGATCTGGCTGCTAACTGTATATCTGGTGGGTAGGTTGACGCCCTCTGCATCGACCAGTTTGCAAGCGACCAGCAGAGGCAGCAGCTCGCCATGATGGACCTCCTGTACAGCTGCGCTTACATCACCATTGTCGCACTGCACGGGGACAATGCGGATTCGGGGCTCTGCGGCGTGCGAGATGACGAGTCCCCACGTCCCAGCCAGGCCTGTGAAGTCATCGACGGCACCGAGCTGGTCTCCATCTTCGCCCTGGCAGAGCTCGAGTTGATGACTTCTCAATACAACACACGGGCGTGGACACTGCAAGAGTTCCTCCTCAGCCCGCGCAGGCTGGTCTTTGGCAAGAACCAGGCTCACCTGTTATGCAACACGGCCCAGTACACGGAGACTATAGACGAGACAGTCGATCCGGCCAAGGTGCTAGCGCCGCCAGAAGGGACGCAAACTGGGTTTTACTTTCCTGTGAGTTGAAATCCATTATATAACCCAGCCAGTGACTGTGACCTTGTCATGGTCGGCAGGTATTCGCCCTGCATAGTATCTTGACTGCTCGGATCCCTGACGGGTACGTGCCCTACGTAGTCCTCCCACGCCGATGCCGCCCCAGCAAGCCGCCTGGCGGTCGCAGACTTCCACTACCGCCAGCTCGTCGACGCCTACACCAACCGCAAGATGACCAACAGCTCGGACTCGCTCAACGCCGTCCTCGGCGCGCTCGAGTACCTCCGCAAGGCCGTCCTGCCGGGCGGCTTCGTGTTCGGCCTGCCGCTCGCGGAGCTGCCGCAGTCCCTGCGCTGGATCCACCACCGCAGCGTCCAAGCTCGCCGGCGCCTGGCGTTCCCGTCCTGGAGCTTCGTCGGATGGGAGGGCCCCGCGCTGTACAATGAGACGCTGGACCTCGTCCACGGCGAGGGCGAGGTCAGGAGGTACGACGCCAAGACGGACCTGGTGGTCGAGTATCTTGGCGTTGCTGATGGCGGCCACCACCACACTCTGCGTCTGCGTGGGAACACCCTGCGGCTCGAGATACGCAACCAGCCGTTCAACGATGGGTACGTGGTTGGCAGTGACGGCGGGATTCTGGTCGGTATGCTGCACGAGGGCAACGCCCTGCACAAGAACACGTTGCCGGAGGGAGTGTTTGATTTCCTCGTTGTGGAGAGGCTGACGTACAGAGCTGCACCGGAGGGTCGAGTCCGGCATGCGTTGTATCTTCTTATGCTAGATCCAGGTCATGAGAAAGGGGTGTGGGAAAGGCGGTCGATGGTGCGTCTGTTTGTCGAGCCGGGGTTTGAGACGAGTCCCGAGTACGGAAGTCTACTGGGCCAGCGGATAGATGTCAAGTTGGAGTAGGCATGCCATCTCGTCTCTAATGAAGCAGGTCATAGTCAAGAGTTCAACGGGCAGAACGTCGAAGGTCTGCCGTAACAAGTTTTCGAAGAAGAAGCAGACGCTATACTGTGCAAGGCCGTAAGGGAGTTGATTACCAGTTTTGGCCGAGGATTATCCGCGAATGAGCAGGAGGCGCAATGAAAGCGTTGGTCAGTAGATCTAGGCCAGTGCGGGAATACACATCTTGTCATGGATCAGAAAACGTTTGGTGTGAATAGTGGCCAGTGCTATGCCGATGATTCACGGTAATGTCACTTGCAACCCCCAAAGCTTACCTTCCTAGAATATCTTCTACATTTTGAGTTTTCGGATCCGTCGTCGGCCCCATCACTATTGTGATTGCTTCTTTCTGCTGCTACACCCGAGAATCTACGAAGCGGTATCTCGCTGTACGCCCAGGATCGCACTCCTGCGCTGTCAGCAGGGCCTGGTCGAAGCGCACCTGGTTTGCACTTGATCAGATGAACAAAACAACCATAACCACATCACGTCACAGCGGAAAAGAGCACTTGAGTATTTGATCATTGTATCATGGTTCGCATCTATCCAGCTACGTTCTCTGTAAGACATGCTTTCTCCACGTTGCAAACATCATGCCTTAGGCCACCCTGCCTTGAGATGCTCTACCGCCTCGGCCTCGGTCACCACGTCGGCATACTTGGCATTCAGGTCGAACAGGTTGGCATTCTGAATCTCGTCTGTTTTTGTAATTCATGAATCAGCAAAAATGGACTTCCTCTTCTGTCTGCTCCTGGGTCATTAGAGGGCACTTACCACTGCGATCACCACACGCCGCAGCGACAACCTGGACGTCACGAAAGCACCTATTAGCACAATCCCACCACACCGGCCACTACCCCTCCGCGTAGAGTGCGCGCGCGCGCGAGAGAGGGAGAGGGAGAAGGAAAGAAAAAGGGGCAGCTCACCATAGGCCGATACCCAGACTGCATCGCATCCAGCGTGCTCGCCCGCACGCACCCGCTCGTGCTGACGCCACACAGCACGACCGTGTCGGCGCCCAGCACGGCCAGGTCCGTCGCCAGGTTGGTCCCAAAGAAGGCGCTGGCATACTTCTTCTTGACCACAAGCTCCCCCTCCACGGGCTCCAGGCCCTCAAGCCACCCGCCCAGCCCCCTATCATCCGCGACGTTGAACGCCGCCAGGCTCTTGCTCTTGAGCCAGAAGAGCCCCGCGTCCTTCATCTCCGGGTGCGTGTACTCGACCGCGGTCCAGACGACCGGCGTGCCCGAGGCCCGCGCCGCGGCCACGAGCTTGCGCATGACGTCGGGCGCCGCGGCGGAGGGGGCGTGGGAGAGCGTGGACAAGGGGGATCCTTCGGTCCAGTAGGCCTTGCACACGTCGATCATGAGCAGGACGGGCTTGGCGCCCCAGCCCATCACGTTGCCGAACCCGGAGGCCTTGTACTCTGCGATCATGGCGTCGGCCATTTTTTTTCGTCTTTTTCTTCTTTGTTCGGTCCTTTTTTTTTTATTCCCCTCGGGCGTCTGGGTGGGTTATTGTGTTTTTTCTTCTGGCACTATTGCCCCGGCCGGGTGCGCGTGGGTCAAATATGTGATTCCTCTGAGCTCGAGCAGGCTTTGCTTCTGTCGAAGAGTCAAGGGATAGATACCAGCTGTTCTGCTGCTGCTGCTGCTGCTGCTGCTGCTGCTGCTGCTGCTGCTGCTGCTGCTGCTGCTTGCTGCCCAGTCCAGACCACTAATAGTCGATGTCCTAGATGCGATAAGGACTGTCCTTCTTTTTCCTTGTAGGGGATGGTTGACTGCTGTTCGCCTGAGAAAATCCTCGGCGTCAAGGAGGTTTGAGGCTGGGCGCGGTGCCAAGACGCGGTGATCGTATCCTGTTCGCGGGAGGGGTCATACAAAGTCACGGTGGTTGTCGTCGGCGGCAGCGCAGAAGGGGGTCCTTGATATAGACTCGGACTGGTCCGATGACCCCACTTTCACACTCTCGATAAACCACCCACATTGGACAATGGTCGGCACTCGTGGTCCCGGCGCCCGGGATGCCGACGGCTGGGGGGGTCCGACCTCGCGGGTGGGGCGCCGGGTCGGGAAGATGGCCGAGCACCCACCATCGCTGGCGGTTCACATGGCAGATATGAGATACACTCTCCCTCGCTCACCACCAAGCCACCGATCTTCGATAAAAAGAGCTCTCTCGCAGTTCAATGTAGGTATTATTCATTTGCTTTTGTATGTAATTCACCCATAGCTCGTGTACCCCAGCTACAGTCTTCTTACTGCCGCACAATCTGCACCTCGGCTTGCTGCCCGTCATAAAACCAAAACGCCTTACCACGCCTCCCACTTCTGCCCGCCCATGGCAATCAGCCGGTTGAAAAGTTCATCGCGCAGCGGAATGGCCGTGATACGCCACACATTTCCCAGGCGGTCCTCAATCTCCAGACCATCATTAACCTCTCTGCCCAGCGACCAGCCCACCACCAGCTTCGCCTTCCAGCCATAACCACCCAGCTTCTTCAGCCCCGCAATGTCGCCAATCGGTATACTCCAGAGCGGGTGAAGGTCCTCGCGATCGACAGACCCAATCTTCTCAATGGTCACATCGGTGCTGAACGCCACGCACGGGATCGTCGCCTTGCTCGAAATGTACACATGGCCCTTTTGCCCCTTGTAGCGAGCCTTGAAGTCCACTGGACCCGACGTGAAAACCTTATGAGGCGAGGGCACGACGCCCAGGCGGTCCTTGGCGTGGTGCGAGCCCGTCTTGGCGCGCACGTGGTCCGCGCCAATAACCGCCTTGACAGCGCCCTTGGTCGAGCTCTTGAAGAAGTTGACAAGCTTGGCGCCCTTCTTGCCGTGTTTCTTGTCCTTGGCTGCGTCTATGTCGTCGCCGCCCGTCTCATAGGCAACAGTCGGGTCGTGTGCCATGGCCTCTTCGATTTCGGCGTCCGTGGCATTCAAGGGAGGCTCCGCGCCGGTGGCTCTGAGCTCATCATTTGTGATCTCGGCGGGACGATCAGGAGGACCTTCGGTGACGCGCGGAGGTGGCGGGAGAGGGGCCTTGTTGGCCTCGCCGATGCGATGGAGCGTAAGGGTGAGCTGAGCATTGGTCGGGATGCCCTTGAGTACTGTATTGCGGAGCTCAAGGAGCTTCTGCCAGTGTGGGAACTTCCTGTTGAGCAGTGCGAGACCCCGTTGGATAATTGGGTCGCCAAAGAAACCGAAGCCGACGCCAAAGGTCATGCCCTTGGTGAACAGGTATGATGTGGTGAAGAGGGAGACCAGAAGAAGGGGAGCCAGAATGCCGGCAAGTCTAACGCGGCCGACATGCTTGGGGAACGGCGGCGTTGGAGACAAGGCGTTGCCAAATCGCTCCCACGTGTCCGCAATGTCGGCCAGGGCGCGCATTGCAGGTCGCATCTTGGTCCAGACGGCAGCCTCCATGGGCACCTTGGTCTTGTCCTTGGCCGGATGTGTCTGGCCTCCCGCGGCGACTTCTTTGGCCTCGGCGGCGCCCGAAGCAATCGAGGTCGGGTCAGGCACATTGTTACCAGGAGGAGAATCGTCATCACCATCCGGATCCGCCTGCGGGTGCTTGCCGGTGGCGCTGGTAATGGCGACACTGGCAAACGTGTTGAAAAAGTTGGAAGCCTCCTTCTCAACGGCCTCGCCCTTATGGTTCTCTGGAGCACCGGTGGCGCTATCATGGCTCGCCAGGACGCCCGACTTGGGCTTCTGCACGCCGCCAGTCTTGGAGTCTACCAGTGCCAAAGGTGCGGGAGGGAAGAGTGTCTCTCTCGCAGGCGGGTAGACGATCAGAGTGATTGTCGTCGTCAACAACAGGGGAGTAATCAGGTCAAAGATCCAAGCGACAAAGTAGGTAGCACAAAAGGCCGCGGTACGTCGCGACTCACGCCACGACCGAAGACGGACAATGTGCTTGACCGCGCCAAGGACACCAATGATGACGGTCATGTAGAGACGCTCGACATTGGCTCTAAGCTTGTCTGGGCTGAACTCCTCTTCATCGGCGATGTTGAGATCGAGGTTGCCTGGGACGGAGGCGGGAGTCTCTTTGACGTGGTATATTTGCTTGTTGAAGCGACGGGTGAGCATCCAGAGCTCCTCATTGTCGATGCCGCCCACGAGGGGCTGCGGGATCTCCTCTTTCGGCTCGTTCCAGCCGAGGTTGGCGACCTCGTCGTCGTGAGGGACCTGGGCATGGCCCACTTCCTCGTGGTCGTCCATGACGAGGGCGTGCGAGAGCGTGGGCTTCTCGGCGAGGTGGGTGGCCTTTTCGTGTTTCAAGGGGTCTGTGACGGGCTGGGTTGTGCTGGGGAGAGGCAGGGCTTCGGTGATGGTGTCGACAAGGGATGAGACGGTGTTTGTGTTTTCCGTCTGTGCTGCGCCCGATGGTGGACCTGTAGGGTCGCTGTCTGGATGCGAGGAGGACATGTTGAAGAAGAGGCTGTGCGTTCGATATCGACGCACGAGGCTCTGATATAGGTCGAGGTCGGCAGGGAAGCAGTGGATGAGATCTGGATCTGGATCTGCAAGCTTGATGAGGAGACTGCAGGGTTTATGGCTCCACGATGACCAGGGAGCAGAAGGGACGGGGAAGAAACTTGGCAGAGCCGACAGAGCGGGACAGATCAACACGGACGATGCAAGTGAGGCATTGGGCGTACTGAAAGCGAGCAAGACCTTGCTTTTGCACCACTGCGCCGGAGGCCATGCTGGGCAGGTGTTGAGACAGATGACGTAGGGTGTGTTTGCGTTTGCGGAGCAGGCTCCCCGCGGGGCTTTGGGCTAGGCAGTTGGTGGTTTAGCCTGGCCGCGGGAGGCATGCGAGGCAGCTGTCACTGTGCGTGCGGCTGAAGAAGACGTCCCAGAGACAGGATGCCAATTGGGACAGCCATTTGCAGATCTGGACAACCCAGACATGCCAGCCCGTGCCAGATCACGACATCGACGCCCCCAGCAGGCAGGACACGATCGATCGGCCGCGGCAAACGCCCAGACGTTGTCTTGACGGCACCACGACAGGGGGCCTGGCCGGGCTGTTCCCCACTGGCCATGCGATGATGATGCAACGCTGCTTCCCATGCTGCTCGCTCGCCGCTGGGCGGCACACGACCTGCCACCTCGAGTCGCGACAACATGCCCATTAGTTCTTCCAACTGGGCAAACCTGCCACTTGCCTCTTTATTTCTACCTCGTGGCCATCTTGCCATCGTCGCAGCTGTGCCCTTGGCTGTGTTGAATCTGCACAGGGTTGAACTTGAACTTGCCATGCGTAGATGTCTGCAAGAGCTCTGCAACAAGGGCACCCCCCACCACCACCGCAACACCCACAACCGCCGGAGCACTACTCCTCTATGACGCCATGTCCACATCACGGCAGCTTCCACCCAACCGCCGAGCCCTCCGGCCAAGCACAACCACGTCCCATCACACAAAGCCGCCTCTCCAGAGCCGGGGAGCTCGGTGCAATGATTAAAACGGCCAACGGCCGGCACCTGGACGTGGCTGCCGCTGTCCTGTGGCCCGCCCTTGACGAACTTGAAGACAATAGACAACTTACAGACTCCCCATCCTCGACAGCAGCAAGAACAAACAAAACTGCACCAGGGGAGATCACCACCATCACCACCGCAACCATGTCAGAACGCGTCTTCCAGCTCGCAGGCACCTGCAACAACTACCCCTGGGGCAAAAAGGGCCGCCAGTCCCTCGCCGCCCAGCTCTGTGCCAAGACGCCCGGCACCGACTTCTCCATCAAGGACGACGAGTACTACTCGGAGATGTGGTTCGGCGACTACCCCGACTTCCCAGCCCGGAAGCTGTCCACGGGCGAGTTGCTCAAGGACGTCCTGCAGGCCAACAAGGAAAAGCTCCTCGGCAGCAAGGTCAACAAGCACATGGGTGGCCAACTGCCCTTCCTCCCCAAGATCCTGTCTATTGCCAAAGCCCTGCCACTCCAGATCCATCCCAACAGGGACCTCGCCAGCAAGCTCCACGAAAAGGACCCCGAGAAGTTCACCGACGACAACCACAAGCCCGAGATTGCCGTCGCGCTGTCCAAGTTCGAGCTGTTTGCCGGGTGGAAGCCGCTCGGCGAGATCGCGCCCGTCTTCGCCGCGGTCCCGGAGCTCCACCAGTTCCTCCCCTCCGGCACCTCCCCAGACAGCAAGTGGACGGACAAGACCCTGCGCGAAGTAACGCGGAACCTCCTCAAAGCGTCCCCGGAGACGACAAAGTCGGTCCAGTCCGTCTTATCCACCTCCTCCACCGCCAAGAACATCCCGGACTACATGCCGTCCCTCCTCCAGCGCCTGCAGTCCCAGTACGGCCCGGACGACGCGGGGAGCCTGGTCGCCCTGCTGTGCATGAACTTCTTCACCTTTGCGGCGGGGGACGCCGTGTACATCCCCGCCGACGGCATCCACGCGTACCTCGCGGGCGACATTGTCGAGTGCATGGCCCGCAGCAACAACGTGCTCAACAGCGGCTTCTGCCCCCGCGCCGACCGCGACAACGTCGACCTCTTCACCGACACCCTCACTTTCAGCCAGGCCCACTCGCGCGACGACATGTACCTGCCCAGTAAGCCGCTCGGCAAGGGTAGCCACCAGAGCCGGAACGGCAGGACGGTCGTCTACGCGCCCCCCATGAGCGAGTTTGACATGTTCAAGACGGACCTGCAGGGCCCCGGGGACGAGGACGTGCTGGGAGCGCATGAGGGCCCTGCCGTCGCCATCGTCACAAAGGGCGGCGGCCTGCTCGAGGCGGACGGGCAGCAGTTTGATGTCAAGGAGGGCTACATCTTCTTCGTGGCGCCGGGCGTCGAGGTCACATGGAAGGCCGGGGATGGCAAGGACGGGCTGCAGGTCCATACCGCCGCCGTGTAAAGTCTGCAGTCACCAATCTGACAGGCAACAGTAATAATGGCTGGTGGATTGTAACATGTGGAGAGTGAAGAACCACCAAGCGTGTGACGAAATGCATTCGAGAAATTGCAACCCGACGCCTTTGTGATTGAACCGTGCTATCTTCCTTCTGTGCTACTTATGTACAGTTAAGTTCCCCCCGCCCCCTGGTTGTATTTATTTCGAGAAATTAGATCCAAGCACAGATGCCAACCTTCCCTCCCTCGTGCGTCAAATTTCAAAATATCCAAACCAAGCTTTTCCATGCCCCCCGAGAAATGTTTTTGCGTCAAAAGATCACATGTCTTTTTTGTGTATGCCGAGAAGAGACTGCAAGCGCTTTTTGGTTGTTCATGTTTAACCGGACAGAGTGCCATTTTCTCATTTGGCAGTCCTTGATGAACTGGTGGTATTGTCGTCCTTCTTGCTCGCGCCACCACCAACCACACCGGCATAGCTAGTGCCCCAGATGTTGGCTACTGTGCCCACGCCCGATTGCCGCTTGCGAGCCCGGATCGTGCTGTCCCGGTCGCCATCCTCGTCCATGGCAAAGACAAACTCGCCGTCTTCCTCGCCGATCGGGGTCGTGTAGCGAGCACTCGAGCTTATCGACGAGCTGCTCACGTGCCTCTCGCCGGAGCGGCCATTCGCGGGCCGCGCCAGGTGCGAGTGTGGGTGTAGCCTGGGCGACTCTCCACCAGCGCCGTCGATCCGGGTCCGTTGCAGTTGTTGAGATAACGCGCCCACGCCACCCTCTATGCCTCCCGCTTTGGCGTTGTGTAAGTGCGACATGGACGAGCTGAGACTTGAATTGCGGAGTGGGCTACCGACATGCCCAAAGGCGCCGGCACTGGCTGCCGCAGCCTGCCGTCGTGATTCGGCATCCTCGATCGGGCGGTGGAAAGATGACGGACCCCATCTACCAGGGCTCGAGGCCAGCGGACTTCCGAACTTCAGTGCAGAGATATCTCCGCTCGGCGTGTTCAGGCCAGTGAGAGCAGGTGAGGCGCCGGGGCGGTTCATGGCTTCGTCTTCGGCGGCTCTTGATCCTCGGCGGGCCTTCTCGGCGGGTGTGAGCAGATCCCTTAGGTTGTCCGGCACGTAGTCTTCCTCCAGAAACGAGAAGTCGGACTCCCAATCCCTGTCGATGTTGGAACGAGGGGCGCTGCTACTAAGCATTTTGGGCTTGGCGAAACGGCTGGAGTGCATGGGCCTCTTCCCAAAGTATTCGTCCGGCGTGTGGCTAGGCGGCGATGACGGGGTGACGGTGGCAGAGAGGCGATCACTGCCGCCAAATGCTGAGTGGTGCAAAAGCTTCAATGCTTCCGAGGTGCGGCCATCTCTCTGTGCTGTGAGGGAAGGTGAGGGGGAATCGATGCCAAATTGCGAGGGTACGGAGGACGGGAACGGGCCGGCAGGGTGGCGAGCGGCATGGGAGACTCCATTGGAATCAAAGGATGCAGGCAGCGGAGCATCTAGCACCGACAGGCCCTTCGCAGCCAGTGGCGACAGTCCCAATCCGAACCTGGAAGCATCTTCGTCCCTTGGCGATCCATACTGCGAGCTTATCTGCGCAAAGGGCCCGTCAATGGTGGGGATGCCGTTCTCAATGCCCGAACGACCCTCGAGGTCCTGGTAACCATCTGTGGGCCCAGCTGGATAGCCATAGATGTCGGCATAACTTGGGGCAGCATCGGCACGGAGGAACGAGTGTGTCAGGGCACTCTGATTCGAAGAGTTGTACGCGGCGGGATTCACTCGGTTGCCGAGGTGAAGCGCGGGAGCAATCGAGATGCCATTCTTGCCGTAGTTGATGCGTCGTCCGTCGGCGAGGATGTGGACGTTGGCGCATTTGGGACCGAACTTGCAATTGCCCTGTCATACGTTGCACAAAGTTTTAGTTTCAATTGATCATTGGTGGCTTGTCATGAGGTTTTGTGACACGTCCTCAGCTCGGCCCTAGGATGTCGCACGGGCGCCACATGGGGAAGTTTGTGGGGGTGCAGAGATGGGCGAGCAATTCCTCGGCGGGCAGTGCACTGGTACATCCTGTCAAGTCGAGCGGGAAACGGGGCTTTGCTCACCTTAGCAAAGTATTTGCAGACGGTTTCGGCGGCGTTGCCCAGGTCGTGACTGAAGGGACAGGCAGAGCCTGCCTGGCAGGCGCCCTGGCGGAAGAACTTGCATGGAACATGAGATGTGTCTGGAATTGCAGCGAGGCGCGGTTAGCAAAGATGTTTGTAAGGAGCAGGATAGGCCCATCCCCGGCCCAGAGGGGCGGAACAGACGGCCTCGGGTGAGACTGACTTGGGGGGCTGCGCGGGCCTTCAAAGCGGCCGCCCTGCTGGGAGGTGGTGGCTGCGGGGTTGGCGGCATCGCCAGCAGCGGCAGCGTTGATCTTGACGCTGCCGGAGCGGCCATGCCTGTACTCGGCCATGGTGGATCGTGGAAGCGGCGTCAGACCGTGGCTGCTGCTCAGGAGGAAGGCAGCAGCGCGGTCGGGATGGCGGCGTGGGTTCTGGGAGAGGAGGGAGGAAGTAGAGGGAGGGGCGACTCCGGCCCGCGATGTCAGTAGGGCAGGCATGGCATCAGACCAGGGCGGGCGGGCTGCTTGCTGATTGCTTATCGTGGGTGCTCGATAAGCCGCGACGGGGTCGACGGGGTCGCGGTGGCCAGTGACAGGGCCTGCTCGGGTGGGCGGCGCCAGGCCTGTCCTGCCGACTGTCGTTTCCGGTCGTTGTTTGCGGGGTGGGCTCCCAATCAGCAACACCCGATTTGAGGCTGCAGCAGTCGGTAATAGCGGCTGAGGATCTGGTTAAGAGTGAAGCAGGTGCCGCGTGGCCGGATGATATGCTGGTGCTGATTATTGGGCGGCTAAGACAAAGCTGGAGGTTCTGCAGCGGGACGGGACGTGCGACGATGCGGTGACGAATAACTCCCAAGAAGGGAAGGGAAGGGAAGGGGCATGCCCTATTCTTATCCCCTGGAACCAGGACGGTCGTAGCTGGTGAAGCAGAAGGGAAATGCCAGAAGTGGACGGATGTCAGGTGTGTGGCTTGTTGTGGTCATGGAAGGCGCTGCATCCATTGTCCGCCCCAGACTCGCTTGTTGGTTGCCAGGGGCGGGCTGGGACGTGATGGCAGGTGAGCGGCGGATGGTGGGGGTCGCGCGGAGCCTCCATTCTTGTCCGTGTCGCGCATCCGTCATTGATCCTACATGGTATATGATGGATGATACCTGAACAGGCACCCGGCCGGGTCTAGATGACCACCCTGACGCTTCGTGCTGCTGGGTGGCGCAGCAGGCTGCAGCACGCGCATGCCATGGCAGACGCCAAGTCATGGCAGACGCCAAGTCTGTTGCTTGTCATCCATGATTGAATGATAGCTCCCAGCACCTGCCCACAGCCATCTCCGCAGCATCCGCATCCCTCGCTCCCTGTGGCTGGGAGCCTCCTCCTGGATGGGCATCCACGAGCGCGCGTACGTACGCTTACTTACGCTTACCTACTTCAAGTAACTAGCAGCCGCCGCTCAACGTTGGTGAGGGTGGTCCCAGCAATATCTGGTCATGCGCTTACTCGCAGCTCCGCACCGCGCTACCCTCTATCATCTTGGAACCCGCTCTCCGGCAGGCGACGCTAGCAGCTACTCCTTCCGCGTGCCAGCCTCGCAGAGGTGTGGAGACATCAAGTGACCACTTCCGCCCGTGAGCACGGCAAAGCATGGTACATAGAGGCACTGCAGTGCACCACCTGACCCTCGATAGCAAAGATACTGCTTCTACAGCAACAATCACCCAAATCCCAGCCGTCAAATTCAGCCTCAGCAACCCCCTCTGGCGGAGGCTTGTTTCCGGCCGAGTGCACTCACCTCGACAAATTTAATGATTGCCCGTGGTCTGGGATCCTGGCCCTGGAAGGAAGGCCATCTCCTGCTCACAACAACATCATCTTCGTTTCTGCTGAGTGAACTGCTGTCCCGAACACGATATACAAGTCTTCAGTCTCGGGGGGTGTATGCTATGCTGGTCCACTTCCATGCTTGATCTTGAGACAAGAGGCCGCCCGGCAGATACGAGTGCGTGAGTGCGGAGTCGCACACCATCCCGGCGCTCACGCTGGTCGCATAGTGGCGAATTTCCAATGCTTCAGGCTCAAAAAGATGATCATTTTGCTTCAATTTCATGTCTCACCCGGCACTTACAGGACATGGAAATTTCGTGTCTGCCCAACACTCGCAAGCGCACTAAACGTGTACATGGGTTCAAGTTTTTTTCCGGAAAGATCTCCGCCATCATGTTGCATTCCGGCTGCCCGCTCGCTGTGGTAGCGATGCACGTGGGGGACAGTCCATAGGCATAGGCAGAGGAGCTAACAACCCCCCCAGCGCTGCTGCCAAAAGTTCCATGGTTGCAAACAGCTGTGGGAGGGGATAGGCGCTAGCATTCGAGGTGTCGGCTGGTCGACATTACCGCCCTGCCCGACAGTGTTATTGGTGGGGACCAGAGACTGCGTGGACGGACCTCGGGCAAGCTATATACTGTGCAGCCATCGTGCAAGATCTGCAAGCAGATGGTCGTTTGTTCACAGCCAGCTGACAGTAGTGCGTGTCATGAGGCTCCAGATCTTTCGAGCCATGCAGGTTGATGGCTCGATTGTGTCCACCTCTCCGCAACAAAAGCTCGAGGAATCTTCACACGCCGGGCGGATACAGAATTGTGTACAACGAGGAGTGTGATTGTGTGGGCTTGACACAACCGCTATGACCCCTCTACACAGTGTATAAACAGGGCCTAGGTTCTCAACAGTACTCTAGTGCTGGCTCATAAACGGGGAGCCAGCCCTCAGATGATAAATGCCCCCAACGCTGGCTTTTGGAGGGCCCCGCGCTCAATACTATTCACCACTTTCCATCGTTATCAGTGAGAAGTTAGAGGTATTAGGAGAGGTCAGAATTGACGAGATACGCCAGATGACACGAACGTCTTTATAATTATAGCTCGACAGATGCGATATACTCTCGCAACCTTGTGCACGTCTCCAGGATCTGATCCGTCACGTCCGCCCACTCGCTCTTGCCGCCATCCTGCTTTCCAGCTCCGGTCGCGGGAAGATGCAGTTCAGTGTCACGGCCAGCCTCGACAATATCAAACCGGTGGCCAGCCCATGCTCCTTGCCACAGTTTACGCAGGAGAGGGTGGTGCTGCAGAACGTGATAATCACACCAATAAATCTGGGATAAAATCACATAGTCTGGTGTGAGCCACGAGGAGCCGGGGACGGCGAGGAACTTTGCCTTGTCCTCTGCTGCCGCCGGGGTCGAGGAGTTCGTCTGCTTCCGCTTCTTCAATGGTGGGCCTTGGTTGGCTTCAGAATCGTCGTTGTCGTCGTCGTTGTGGGCACCATCATCGCCTGCAATATCACTACTGTCCGGCGTGAGAGGCAGCTTCGCCTTCTCGGCATCTTTGTGTGTACCAGTATCGTCGGACCCGGAAACAACGAAGCGGACATACTCCCGGGTGTCCAGGTTCCTCAGGATCCAAGACTCGGCGGAACTCATCTCGAGCGGGTCCAGCGCCCGCGCCAGAGCGCCCCTCAACGAACAGGCGAGCCTCCGCCCTATCCTACCATCGGACAGCTCAGACCGAATGTGCTTTTCATAGGCCTCAACAAATATACGCTGCGGGTTGTTGCACTCGCCAACATCTTTCCACTGACCGTAGGCGTTCCAGTTCCACCTCCGGACGGGGTTCATGCCACGGATGAGCCCGAGGGCTCTGTATCTGCCGCGCCCGTTCCGGATACCGACGAGGACCTGCCCCTGCGGGTCGGATCGGGCGTTCCACTCCTCCATGTCGGCGACGAGTTGGGGGCAGTGTGCAAGAACAGAATCGGGAAGACCCGTCAGCCATGTGCTCGTGCAGATCAGAGGCTGGCCTGCCCAGATCCCTGCTCTACTGCTGCCCCCCAGACGGAAGAGGTCGCCGGCAACGACGTGGTGCCATAGCCGCCGGGAGCAGAGGGCCAGCGCGATCAGGGACTCCGGCTCGGTGGACAGGAAGGCTGTAATGAGTGACAGGATCTCCGGTGGGCAAGTATCGAAATGGCATTGTGTTTCTGCCAGGGGCTGGATCACCGAGGAGGAGGTCGTTACACTACTAGGTACATTGGCCACTTTTCCTGCTGGCGTGCTCGTATTGGGGGTTGATGGCCTGTGCAGGGGACTATTGTGGTGGAAAAGCGGGGTGGAAAGACGATATAGTCTCTGCCATGCGTTCAGTGATGTGCCGGAGGCAAGAAGCTTTTGAGGGTCTTGATGTTCGGGGAGTTTCTGAATTTGCTCGACATCAAGTGCGAGGATGTTCCAGCGGGGACTGGTGCGGGTAGTCTGGTCAGTGCCTGGGGGACACATGATGAGCTGGTATCATGTGAAGTGATATCGCGTTGATGGGCTGAGATGTGGAGGAAAGGACGGAAGAAGGAAGACGAGGGGTAAGAGGAGAGCAGCAAAGTCATATACATGGCCAGGCAGAAGGGCAGAACAACCTTGCGTGTAAGTGGGCACGGACCACCATAAGCAGGGGAATATGAGGCGCTGATTGGCTCAACGGAGGAGGCCCAGGAACCATGACTCTACAGCACACCTCCTCCCACAGTCTGATGCGCGGACTGCTATTGGTGCAGGGGGTGAGCTCATGCAACTCTTGTCCGGTTGTAAGAGGTCATCCTGACATACAAAGTGAGACAAATTCAGATCTTCCATGATTGAAAGTATAGCGGGGAAAACAAAACCGCCCACTTGGGGAGTTGCCTTTTGTCGAATAGCCTAGCAGAAACCACATTGTTCATAATAGGAGCTGCCAGTCCTCTGGCCAGTTAGCTCCATGGCTGATTCAAGCACTTTTCCAAGGCCTTGGATCGATGGGACGGGATTCAGCTTCAGCTCTGGGAAGATATCTAGTAGAGATCACAGTACGATCTCTAATCCAAATGTGATGTTGTTAGACATGGACGGCTAGTGCAAACACACAACCGTCGGATACTACTGTCGCTTCCAGACCCTCTCTGGGCCAGAATGCGACAGCTTGCTACGTGGTTGGTACTGCTTAATCTTGGAAAGGACGCAGGTGGTCTATCTAGCTGTCGAGTCAATAAATCGCAAATAGATCCGCATCACACATAAGCTCACATGCGGTAAGTGGATGAGTGAACTGGAGCCTATCAGTGCCTGCTCGGTTCTGCTTTCGCTCTCCCAAGTCCTGCTCAGGCTCTGTTCAAGGTCAAACCTTCAACACAAGCCAGAGGTCCAACATCGCACGGAGTTGAGGCGAATGGCATAGTTCGCCAAACGAAACGAGTGTGCACTGCACTCCCACATAAGTATTGTCAACGGTCGAATCATCCGGGCCTTGCTCTAAAAGTATAGTTGGTCCCTTGAAGCATGGATCTTCTCACGAAGCAATCTCACAGCCATTTCCAACATAGGCACGGCACAAGTCAATGTCGTGCTGCCAAGCTCAAGCTAGAGTGCTTAAGCTTATGTGCCGGCCTCGGCCTACCACTCTCTGGTTCTAGACCATTGATGCCTGTGGAGAAGATTTTTTGGGGCTCTTGCTTGTAATGGTTGACGAGCCATGACTGGTGTCAAACATTGAAGACATAGGACTCCACGTGAGTGATGGTACGGCCCCTGTGCGTTTTTACAGTGTCGTATCAGCCTCAGCAGGGGAAGTGTCCGCCCACCAATGAAACGCAGTGACGAGGGTGCTGGACCAGAGCCCCGGGGCATCCGGGCGATAAGGCCTGGGTCTGGGCGTCATTGTACTTATCGGCAGGCCCCGCCGAGCACGGGCCGGTGTTGAGTGGGCCTCTCCGGGCGTGGAGATTTGGAAAAGAAGGGGAAAACTCCGCATCACGCGGTGCGGAACCGTCGCCGTGCCAGGCTCAGGGGGGCTTAGCCTTGGGGCCTTGGGGCCTTGGCGGCCCTGGTGGAGGACAGGAGCGCTCCACCGGCTGTCCGCTCGACCTCGGCACATGTGCTGCATCGTCTTGTGCGCGCCTGCGCTGTGCCGTGCGCTTTGCCGGCCCGAGCCCATTACTTCATGACGTGCCCTCGCGCCTGCCTCTTCCACCACTCTTCCCTCCCTCCCACTGACCGACCTCATCAACACAAACCACCATCACCACCACACAAGGGCAGCATCACCAGTCAATACCCTTCGCATCCAAAGCAGCTCAGCACTGCCCGCACAGCACCAGCACTGCAACCACACCGCCGCCATGCCGCGCCCCAATCCAGACTGGGTCCAGGCCCTGACGCCCTCGGGGCCCCAGGGCTCAGAGCTGCTGGCCCAGGAGCGCGCAAAGTCGTCCCTCAACATCGACCAGCTCGCCAGCTTCATGTTCACCGACGAGGTCCTCGAGCGCAAGGCAAAGATCCTCGCCATCCTCCAGGCCCACCCGACCTTTGACAAGTCCCAAAACTACTTCCGCGGCCGCACCGAGCGCTTCGAGGCCGCACTCGCCCGCGCAAAGGCTCTCCGCCAGCTCAGCGAGAAGCACAACTGGTCCGACGATGATTACGTAATGGCCAACGACCTCATCAGCGAGCCCACCCCTTATGGCCTCCACGCGACCATGTTCCTCAAGACCCTCGAGGAGCAGTCCACCCCTGAGCAGAAGAAGCGCTTCCTCGAGCCCGCCAAGCGCTACGAGATCATCGGCTGCTATGCCCAGACAGAGCTCGGTCACGGCTCCAACGTCCGCGGTCTCGAGACCACAGCCACCTGGAACCCCGAGGACAAGACCTTCACCCTCCACTCGCCCCACCTCACTGCCTCCAAGTGGTGGATTGGCTCCCTCGGCAAGGCAGCCAACCACGCCGTCGTTGTCGCTCAGCTCATCATCAGCGGCAAGGTTTACGGCCCCCACCCCTTTGTTGTCCAGATCCGGGACCTTAAGACCCATGAGCCCCTAGAGAATGTCCACGTTGGCGACATTGGCCCCAAGTTTGGCTACAACACCATGGACAATGGATTCCTCCTCTTCAACCACTACAAGATTCCTCACATCAGCCTGCTGGGCCGCTTCTCAAGCGTCGACCCCAACACGAGCAAGTACATTCGCCCGTCCAACCCTGCGCTCGTCTACGGCACCATGACATACATTCGGTCCGGCATCGTCTTCCAGTCGGGCTCGACACTCGCCCGTGGTGTTACCATCGCGACTCGCTACTGCGCTGTCCGCAGACAGTTCCAGGATCGCGACACTCCCAAGGGTGCCCCTGCCGGCGAGAACCAAGTCATTGACTACACCATGGTGCAGTTCCGCATCCTGCCTCTGCTCGCGGCCTCTTATGCCCTGCACTTTACTGGCCGGAGCATGCTGAATCTTTACAATGCCAACCAGAAGCGCATGGCCCAGTTTGGCAAGGCCGGCAAGAACGACTCCCGCCGGTCCCCTGGACCTGAGGAGATCAATGCCGGCAGCGATCTCCTCGCAGATCTTCACGCCGTCTCCTGCGCGCTCAAATCCTTCTCCTCGACCACTGCTGCTGAAGGTCTCGAGGTCTGCCGCCGCGCATGCGGTGGTCACGGCTACTCTGCCTTCTCTGGTATCGGCTCCTGGTACGCCGACTACCTGCCAACTGTCACCTGGGAAGGTGACAACTACATGCTCACGCAGCAGGTTGCCCGGTACCTGCTGAAGTCTGCCCGCCTTGTCCTGGCTGGCAAGGCGCCTGACAATGATGGCATCGCCAAGACGTTCAAGAACTTTGTCCGCCGGCAGGACTTTGGTGCTGCCTTTGATGTTCTCGACAGCGACCAGGACCTCGTCGATGCTTTTGGCTGGCGTGTCGCCTTCCTCTCCTTCGAGGCCCTCAGGCACCGCGACGAGGACAAGCAGTCTTGGAACTCGTTGCTCATCGACTTCTGGCGCCTCTCGACCGCGTACGCGCAGTACATGGTGGTCAAGAACTTCTACGAGGCGCTGCAGTCCACCGAGACCACATCCCAGCTCGACCCAGAGACGGTTGCCCTGCTGCACAAGCTGTTCCAGCTCTTTGCGCTGACGCACCTCTCCTCGCACGCCTCCGAGTTCTTCACCTCTGGTGCCACCACGGTGCGCCAGATCCAGCTCGCCCGGACGAAGCGCACCCTGGCCCTGCTCAATGACATTCGTCCCCACGCCGTCCGGCTGGTTGACGCCTGGAAGTTCCCAGACTGGCAGCTCGACTCGGCCCTGGGTCGCGAGGATGGCAAGGTGTACGAGGACTTGTTCCACCGTGCGTCGCAGGTCAACCCTCTCAATGACATTACCATTGATCCGTATCCCAACTCGGGCGTGCTGTTCAAGAGCCGTGGCGAGAAGGCCAAGCTGTAAGGATTCTTGACGAAATGTAACACCGCGCATACCTTATAGCATTATTCTCTTTGGATGAAATAGGCGCAACGACATCTGCTTGACCATGTTGTATTTTTTGGGGGTAGGCTTATCGGAGCTTTGCATATCATGGTTCTCGCCCACGGACGGTTTTATTAGAAGTCACCTTCGTTGGTAGCATACATAGAGCATCATAGAAGGGTCGTATTTCATGTCCAATATTGCAAAGATGCCCCACGGCAGCGACTAGAAGTCGAGTCCAAAAAACAACAGCAACGTGAAGAATACATGAAGGCAGTCACGCCTTGAATTTGCGAATAGAACTCCCGCTATATGGAAAATCAAATCACCATATCTTCCCAGGTTTATTACCGAGCCATCATCACCTTGGGGAGTCCGGCTTGCCACCAGGGCGATCACCTCCTTGACTGGAAACTAGAGCGCGCCAGGAGTCAGTCAGTCAGCTAAAGAATCATCACAAAGCCAGCCGGCACACCAATGCTTCCACCTACTTCTCAAAGTAAAATTGCCCGAGCTTGTCCTCGGCGCCCCGTGGCGGATTCCCCAGGGCGTGAGCGCCAACCTCGCTCTCCCCGTTGTCCAGGCGCTCGCGGATGAGCCGCTCGGCGGCGCTCTCGCGGCTCGCGGGACCACCGACGCCTTCGCGCAGCGCGCTAGTCTGCGGCTGGCCGGGGAGCACAGGAATCTGATTTTGTGACGTGGCGTCGTCGTTGGTGGCGGAGCTGTGAGGATGGGAATCCCGAAAGTCGCTTGCCCGGCTGTTGCGCAGGACCGCGGCATCAGACAGCCCAGAGCTGCTCCGTTCCAGCCCCCATGCAGTAGCGCTGGCGGACGACTGCTGCTGCTGCTGTAGACCCCCGGGTAACGGACGGCGCTGATATATCGGCCCACTGACTGTGCTGTTTGCGCCTTCGCCGAAACCAACCAGGCTAGCAGTGCCGTCGTCGCTCATGTGGTCGTGGTCCTCGAAACCCCCGACCGAGTGGTTGGTCATATCCTCGTCCTGATCGATGGCGCCAGCGACCGAGTCAATGTCCATGTTGCCGCGGTAATTGGACGGGTTGCTCATGAAGTCGTCGTCGACCTCGGTATTGGTACCGCCCATCTCGGAGTGGTTGTCGCCGCCCTCGGTGGTTGTGCGGCCGCCCACGCTGCCCGTGGCCGATGCCGAGCCGACAGTGCTCATCTTATTGGCAGCAGTCGGCTGGCCATTGGAGTCAAAATACGCGGGCGCGCCGCCAGGGTATGCGGGGAAGCCGGTCGAGGTTGGGGTTGTCTGCTGATTGCCACCGGCGGCATGATGACCGCCAGGTCGGAGGGTTGAGACGCGCTCGAGGCCGGCGAGACGGCTGATGCGGTCCGCGCGCTCGGCCTCGAGGCTGTTGGTCGAGGGATTGTGCTGGTGGCCGCGGCCCCCAAAGTGCTGGAGAGGGTGGGCATGGCCGCGGTGGCCATCTTTGATGGCCGTTGTGGAGATTGCGGAGAGCGAGGTGGTGGTGCTGGTGGGGGTGCCACTGGATCAAGCGCGCAGGGCATGGTCAGCGACGGTCATTGAGGGGGAGCGCCCGGCAGCGCGTGTACTCACGGCATGTCACTGGGCGTGTCTGGATTTGACCCCGGCGGCGGGATGTTGATGAGCATGGGGCCTGTCTGTGATTGCGACATGGCGAACGAGGAGGGCGTCGTGGGCGGAATTGCCGATGACGTGATGACGGTGCCGAGAGAAGGCGGACGGCGCGATGATGGCCGAGGAGGATGTCGGGGACGGCGGGAAGCTGCGCAGGCGAGGCGCAGGGGAAAGGATGGCGAGCTTCAAGTCGAGGATGGAGGATGGAGGATGCGGCGGGAAGTGAAGCTGAACCTTGAATGGGGAGAGCAGGACAGGGCAGGGCAGGGCAGGGCACATGGTTGGCGGGGTTGGGCGCTGAGTTTCTGGAAGCCCCAGGCAGACGCGCAGGCAGGAAGGCAGGAAGGCGCCGCCCTGCATACAGCCAAGCATCACATGTGGGGGGCAGGCCTCCCGGCCTGCGTCAAGTCTCTGTCTTGCTTGCTTCCCAATGTCCACGAGTTCATTCAACGACATGCTTTTGACATGCATATCAAGAATTGGACGAGGCGGCTTCAAGCCTGGCATAGGCATTCAGTTCTTGATTGAGCGATGGGCTTCTTTTGAGCAGCTTGCATCCAGCAGGGCGGATATCCATTGTTCGCTTCCTCGTCAACGCTAACCGAGAACGGTCATCTCACGGCCACGCTTTGACGGATTGCTCTACGATGCGCACGGCTGCGCCATGGGACCTGCATGATGCAGATTGCTTGAGGCACAGTCTGGACCATTCTGTGTATCTCGCATGCCCGTCTCGGGCTCCAGACCACTCCGTTTCAGGCCTGACAACATGCGAAAGGCACCTGCAGAGGCAAATGACGTAGCCGTGGCTGTCATGCATGGCTGCCAACGTGGCTGTGGGGCCGGCCCACGACCGGATCCCCGATCAAGAGCAGAGGCTTAGTCAGCATCTCGTCTCTCCCGCGCGAGCACCAGAAGATCACGGATACATTGGTCTGCATTTTCCTGGCCTGGTCTCGCGGAAGAAGTTGGTGGCATTGACTTATTGGGAAGCGAGAGCTCCAAGCTATTATTTTATTGCTGCACACTAGTGCTTAAGAGAAACCCTGCGATACTTTCGATGTCTGCAACATTGCGGAAAGTTTGTGATTGTACTGCTCCTTTCTCGTTGCTTTCCCCCTTCCGAGCCCTAGAGTCAATGCAGAAAGACACCCTCAGAACTTGCCAGGCGAGAAATCATGCACATGGACCTTATCCACGACATCTGTCAGGCTATCCTTGAACTTGATGTGTGCCGGGTCGTCGTCAACATAGTAGTCCCTGTCCTCCTCGTTCTCAAACTCAAATATGAACGGGTGTGTCATGCCTTGCTGTTTTCGTTCATCGAGTCGCAAAATTTCAGTATTATAATCTCTCCATGGCACAGGTGCTGCCCCAAGTCTGGATGGGCGGCTGGGCTTTGCTCACCTGCAACCCCTCCTTGCTGTTGTCACGCCCTCCGCCGTGGACTTTGACGTATGGCTTGCCGCTTTTGGGGTGCACGCATTGTGTCCCCAGGGCTAGCATGCGGTCACAGGCCTGTTTGGCTCGATTAGTATTGCTGTCTTTCGGCATCTCCAAGACTGATCAAGGCGGGATGGGGAATCGCATACAGCTTGCACCTCATCTTCGGGGACGAGGGTCTTGAACTTGAAGATGACAACATGGTAGACGGTCATGGCTGCAGGTTGCTCTTCCGTGCTGTCGTCTAGGTCAAGCTTGATGACAAGACAAGTGAGGTTTGTATCGTGTTCAGCCGGAGGAACAGGAATTGCCCATGAAAAAAGGTCGGCAATGGCCATAATTTGGGGTTACCCCTCACCTCCTCTGATGACTAATGTGCGTCACTATGATCGCTGTCAATCTCCAACTCAGTCCCAATCGTCGTCAAGTATGCCCTGGAGTAGAGTGAACTAGAAACAACGATGTGCAGGCAGTGGCGTGACAACAACGTTTCTGTGTTGTGGTGTCAGGAGATTGCGCTTGAGCTCTCCAAATCTATTGGGGCTTTTCGGGAGCTTCGCCAGACTACAGGAGCCGGACAAGTTCTGCAGGCACTCGGACGTCTTAGCAATCAGATAGCAGATGCCCTTGGCTGGGCTCCTCTATGAACCTGAATACTATAGTTCTCTTGGTAAACTACTCACTTCAGAAGATGCAGTTTGTATTCGGCTTCCTTCTGCGTTGCGGACACAACCCGCTTCCCCCGCCCTGGCCCCACACGTCTAGGACCCTGATCTTCGTACTTCGCTAAGCCAGCACCCTTTTCTACTGCCAAAGTTAAAGCTGCATGAGAGCCGTATGGCAGGCTGTCGTTCGGCAGAGCGAAAGCGCTTATTCTAGCAACACATTGAGAGCGCCGAGTCACTGTTCACCCAGACCGGATTGCAGACGATCAATGCAAGCACACCGGACTTTGGCCAACCATGCCCCCCTCTGAGTCAAGTAGGGGTGCTTATCCGATCTCGGATCTCTTTCTGGCCCCGAAGCGCCAGGCCACTTCCGATCCGCAATCTCCCCGTCAAGGACTTATTTCTCCAGCACCCTCGCACACGTTTTTTGAGGCACCAGGGCAGCTTCATCAGATACCTACCAACAATGACAACCCTCTTTCCGACCACCCCGCTCGGCCCAGCCGTGGCCGACCTGTCCCCAGCACTTGCCCCCTCTAAGCAAACCCGCCTCCAGGGAAAATACGTGGCGCTCGAGCCCTTGGACACGGAAAAGCACGCCGCAAGCCTTTACCGTGCGCTATGTGAGGTCCCGGCCCAAGTTTCGCCCTCTCGCGGCGGAGCGGGAGGAGCAGAAGAAGAAGCCAGTGCGTGGCCCGGGTGGGCGTATCTCGCCGCGGGACCGTTTGCCAGCGAGGCAGAGTTCACGCAGCAGATCCGGGCGTACAGCGAGGGCAGCGGGGACCCGTTCTTCTACGCCGTCGTCGCGCAGCGGGACATCGCAACTCCCAACCCCACTACCACCACTGCGGATAAGATCACGACGCCAGCTGGCTCCGCGGTGGGCTGGATATCCCTGCTCAACGTCGAGACGGCGCACAAGAGCGTCGAGGTCGGCCACGTGGCCTTCTCGCCGGTCCTGCAGCGCACGGTCGAGTCCACAGAGGCGTTCTTCCTGCTCATCCGGCACGCCTTTGAGGCCCTGGGGAACCGCCGCGTGGAGTGGAAGTGCGACACGCTCAACGCGCCGAGCCGCCGGGCCGCGGAGCGGCTGGGCATGAAGCCCGAGGGCGTGTTCAGGAAACACCGTATCCTGAGGGGGCGGAGCCGCGATACGGCGTGGTTCTCGATTGTGGACGACGAGTGGTCTGGTGAAGCGGAGGATGGGAAGCGACAGGGGCTGAAGGCCAGTTTTGAGGAATGGTTGCGGGACGACAATTTTGATGAGAATGGGAGGCAGAAGAGAAGTCTGGAGCAAGTACGGGCTGATATTTAGTAGACATGTGGTGACTTGCATATAGAGTAAGGACAGATAGACGTTAGGGCGTGCCTAGACAGATAGAAAGACTAAACACTCGAGCTAAGCCAAGAAAAGCTCCCTCCTCCGGGCTACTCCATGTCCCGCCGTTATCAGACGTGCCCCCCAGCTCACTCTTCCTTGGTTTCGAGGAACTTGAAGTGCTTGAACGCCTCGGGGAGAGTCGCACCCTCCAGCGCATTGGTCTTCAGAAACTCGTCTATGTCGCGCAACTCCTCCTCACTCAACTCAACGTCAACGGCAGCCCAGTTCTCCTCGAGATACTGCATCCTTTTGGTGCCGGGGATCGGGAAGATATCCAGACCGCGACTCAGCAGCCATGCAAGACTCAACTGTGCGACAGTGCACCCCTTTCTATCAGCAAACTCCTCGAAGAGCTTGACGACCTTGGCGTTATGCGCCATGTTGTCCGGCTGGAAGCGCGGCATGCTCTGGCCGCGGTGGTCGTTGCTTCCCAGAGCGCCGCTCGACGACGCCCCGATCGAGTCCACCGCCGCACCAGCAGTGGCAGCGGCAGCGGTGGAGGAAGAAGGGGCAGCTTGATGGTAGTCGGCCGTGATGACGCCGCGGCTCAGGGGGGTCGCTACGACCAGGGCGACGCCGAGCTCGCGGCACGTTGCGAGCAGGTTGTCGCCCGAGGCGTTCTCAATCTCCCGCGAGAAGGGCGAGTACTCGAACTGCACGGCGGCGACGGGCGCGATCTTGACCGCGCGCCGGAGCGTAGCAGAGGAGACGAGAGAAAGGCCGATGTGCTTGATTTTGCCGGCACTATATTGATCAACAATGTTCTTGATCAGCGTAATCCAGTCGTGTTCCTGCAGGACAGGGGCACATCAAGACGCACTCTTGGAGTTCTTTGAGAGCCCTCATGGTCTCCTCGATGGGTGTGTCGTAGTTCAAGCTGTGCGCATAGTCTAAGACATCATCAGCCATGATTCAAGAAGGGGATCATACTTCATGAATGGTCGTGTTGACTGAGAAGACGCTTATCCGAATTCAGCAGCATCACTTACATAGGTCGATATAGTCGACGCCAAGCTTTGCCAGGCTGTCCTCGCAGCACGACTTGCAGTATTCAGCACTGCTGTCCACGGAATAGTCTCTAGCATGATGTCCCTTCAACCATCCGAACTTTGTGGCCAGGAAGACCTCGTTTCGCTTCCCAGTGCGCTTGAACCATTTCCCAACGAGGCTCTCGCCATCTCCGTACATACTGCGTGGTTTTGTCCATGTTAGAGAGCATATCTGGCGGTTTGATCTAAGAGCAATGGCTTGTAAATGGAGCATACTCCGCAGTGTCCCAAAATGTCTGGCCTAGTTCGAGTGCGCGATCGAGCAGGGCGAATCGATCCTCGTCGGATGGTGTACTGCCGTATACGGGAAGCGACATTCCCATTAGACCAAGGCCGATGCGGGAGACAAGAGGGCCATTCTTGCCCAGCGGTGCAGTATAGGACTTGGTCATGGTGATTATAGGTTTTGGTTGGAAGGGGGACTAATGATGCTTGCTGGACGTAATGTTTTTGGTGTGTGTGTTTGATTCCTAACTGGCGAGGAGGGCTAGTGAGGTTATATATATACCAAGCGCGACCTTTGATCGTCCAAACCCCCAGCGCCATGATGACTTGGTAACGCTGTTGAGTACATGCCCAAGCTGGCCCCCCAGTGAGCGGACATAAGACTCGGCTTGCGATTTGGAATTCTTTACCCCAAAGACCTGACCTTGTACTACTGAAACATGACTTTGCCATCGCTGACGGTGTAGCACGTATTGTAATGCACACAGGACAGGGTAGTTCCACAAATCACGGCCCACTATATGTCGGCTGCTGATTGGTGAGAAGGCGGGGATGACACAGGGACAGCAACTTGGAGCTGGGCAAGTCTCCACCGTTGTCAGCCAGTCAGATCTCGTCGTTGGCGAGCTGGGTGCACCTTCCTCCGGGATTAACGGCCCAGGTCCACGTCCTCTATGGCCTTGCCCACGATCCTGCTCGCGTTCATGTCTTTTCTCTCGGCTATCACCACTTGCGATTGGTACCATGCCCACGAGCTCACTTAATAGAAAAGCTGGAGCTCCGTCCCGTCGCAGGGTCAAGTCGGGGTGCCAGACATGCAGGTAAGTACACGCGAATGGCCTAGCAGACGCTCCACTCGCAGTTGCTGACACCTTGATGGCCAGAGCTCGCAAGGTGAAATGTGACGAGGCATTCCCCCAATGCCGCCGTTGCCAGGCGGGTGGATTTGACTGCGCGGGCTATGGCATCTGGGGCGGCGGCGGCAGCAGCAGGAGGATTAAGGAGGATGCTGTCGACATCTCAGACACGCTGCAGCGGGCACCAAGACGAGTCGCAGAAGAGAAAAACAGGGGTCTTCCGTTGCTGATGCCTTCTTGGGTCCCGGGCCTGTCCAGTATCGACGAGAGCGATCGGCCTCTGTACACATGGTTCCGGGAACGGGCGACCCTCAAGCTCCTGCACTCGACCGGCCACGACTTCTGGGCGCATATTGTTCTCCCTGCCGCCCACAGCGAGCCTCTGCTGCTACATGCATGCCTCGCCCTGAGCTCTGCACACAAGAGAGGCCTGCTCAGCTTTCCAGGGACAACTTTTGCGACCACAGACACGCCTGCCCACCTCCATACACAGACACTCCAGCACTACGTCAAGGCAGTCAAGCATCTACGACGAGAAGCCAATCCGGCCAGCCACGACCCCAATAATGGATCGGAATCACTGCAACTCACCCTCATCGTGTGCATCGTGTTTGTCACCATCGACCTCTTCCGAGGCCACTTCCAATCTGCGCGCATCCACATGCAGAACGGCATCAGGCTGCTCCTTCTATATCAGAACCTTGACTACACCACGACAGAGGTCACCACTCTCAAGCCATGCCGCAGGCAGGCCGATTTCTGGATCGTCCAGACATATCTGAGCGCGCAGACACAGCTGGGGCTGTTGTCCCTGCCAGAGTGCTGGCCCTTGGTTGTCCCTTCAGAGACCGTCGTCCTGCCACAAGCGTTCAAGACCCCATTGGAGTCATGGTGCTGCCTACAGGCAATATTTGCCCACATCTTTCAATTCCAGCGGGCCTCACGAGCTGCGGCCAGAGTCGAACCCGGCTTGGAAGGTGGTGCTCTAGCCACTGGTCAAGCGGTGCAGCCGGACAGACTCGCGGTAATGGCACTACTGCAAGAACAAAAACGAGCAATCCAGACGCAGCTAGACGCCTGGCTGGCCACCGTGCAAGCGTCAGACCGCGTCTTGGGGCGTGCGTGTGAGACTTCTATAGAGTCGGCCAAGTATTACTCCATCACTCGCGCATACCACATCCAGGCATGCATCATGCTGGCACGGGCTGCTGACAATGGGAGCGAAGCGGATGATGAGATGGCTTACGATTTGCAACACACCAATCAGCTCAGAACCATTCTGGAGCATATGGTAGGGCTCTCTAGGATGAGCCGAGAGGCGATGCAACGGCGGCGGCAGCAGCAGCAACCGCAGCAGCGACAAGAACAAAACCACAGCAGCAACGGTGCCACAGAGAGTTCTTCATCTCCCTCCGGGAGCTCGGCCTCCTTCTCCTCCGTTTCCACGCCATCGACAACAGCACCGGCAAGCCCAATATCGCTTCTGTACGACCACGACAAAGTGCAAGGTCTAGCCTCAGCACCCGGGGTGTTCACGGCAGACATCTTGCACTCCTTCATCGACTGCGGCTGGATTCCCGCGCTCTTCTTCCTCGCCACCAAGTGTCGCGTGCACCGTATCCGGCACCAGGCCGCCCGCCTCCTGGGGGCATCGCACCACCGCGAGGGGCTTTGGGACTCACGCATCACGGCCCTGGCTGCGCGAAAGGTGATTGATCTCGAGGAGCGCGGGTTCTACGAGAAGATTGGGTATGACCCGGATAAAGTAGCGTACGAGTTGTATGAACTGCCAACGCGGTATGATTTGACGCTGCCGAGGATCCCAGCGGAGAGGAGGTTCAGAGATGCCAGACTGGTCACGGCCGGGGAGCCGGTTGAGGCAGTTATGCTCATGGGTAGAGGCGGGCTGAGGAGCGACAAGCGGACAGCGGAGAAGTGGGATGCTGAGCGATGTATTGCTGTCTATGATGTCGCATCGCAGAGATGGCAGGACAACTAGCAAGCTCGTCACCACGAAAAGAATCGTGTATCGGTTCCTCAAAGGTGAATTGGTGGCTAGCCCATATGCAACCACCGTCTCATTCCACTCCACGCACAAAACCCCATAGAACTCCAAAGCCGTGATGGGCAGCACAAACAAGCGTTCACATTTGACCTCAGATCGGACCGGGGTCTTGCTAGAGATTCTTGGTATACAGAGTGCGATCGATGACTTCAATCCTGTCCCGCGCTTCACACACAGGTCTCGGTTTTAAGAACAATATGACGCTTGCGTTGATTCTGCTGAGGAAACATACAAACGCGTCAGGACGGCGAGTTTCCGTCTGGATAGAACAGGGCCTCGATACCTTCCCGTCGACCTGGCGGAACCGAGTTAGTGTATACCATTCCAAGCATGAGACTTGTCGTTGATTAGCCGTAGCCGAATGTTCTAGGACTAACCTCCCGTCCGCGGATCTCTCCGCTCATAAAAGCTGCCGATGCGCAGGACCTCCCTCAGCAGCTGGGTGTTCTTGGCGAACACGGCCCCGACAGCCGCAGGAGTGGACGAGGAGCATAACTGGCAGAAAACATCGAACTGCTGTAGCTGTGACATGGGAGAGCTGGGTTAGCGGGAGGACTAGCATTTCTTTTTTTTTTTCTTTTTTGAGTGGGCGTCATCGAGCTTTGACAAAAGGGTGTGGTTGGTTATGAAGAAGTGTAGCGGGGAAGGGGGGAAAAGAAGGCGTGGGCACCAGACGTACTACCCAGTCATACATCCTCGTATGACGCCGGCTGCGGACAATACATTCGCGTATCGCGCGGATCTGCGGGCTCGATTCAATCTTCGCTGCCATTAATACATTATCGAGCGCAGCGGCAGGAGGAGGATCCGAGGTTCCCAACATCCTCAGTGTTGTTATCGTTGTCGTCGTTGTTGCCAGCGGGGACGGGGAGAACTCGTTGTTCGCAAGACGGGTCAGGATCTCATGCGTGAGCACCACCGTGGCGGCAACGAGGATCTGGCCGACCTGGAAGTTATGAAGGTCAATGTCCGCGGCAAGCGCGTACTCGACGATGTGCATCACGGCGTGCGCGTGCTTGTGACACTCCGACTGCCAATCCGCAGCCTGTGCCGCCGCGGAGAACGAGAAGCTAGGCGGCGAGGTAGTTGCGGTGGTGGTGGTGGTGTGAGACGGCGAGTGGTGGAACCACGAAAAGGGATCCAGGAGGGAGCAGAAATGGATGACCTGGCCCACATGGTTGTCGAGCAGGTGCATAAAGAGAAATATCCGGATTGACTCTTTCGCGCGGTGTCTGGCGAGGTTCTCCTCCGTGCAGAGGAGTGACGCGTCCCAGCTTTCCCTGAGGAGGCGGTGTTCTTCGCTCAGCGAGGTCAGGGTCTCTGATATATCACGACTTCCGGCAGTCCAGTACGCCGTGCAGGCTGCGTGTAGAAGCCTCGACAGCCTCAGTATGTGGTCTGGTATTGCCATGCTGGCGGGGTTCATTGCGCTGCTGTTGACCACGCTCGTTGTGCGCCGCTTCAAGGCCCAGAACTCGTCCTCGTTCATGACTGTGGGAGTCGCGTATTGCGAGCTGATAAGGAGTGGTAGCCGCAGCGAGCCGGAGACGAGGTGGTCCATAATCATCATCGTGGCGACGAGGCGGCGATCAAGCTCGATCCGGATTGGGTCGATCTCTGAGTCGAACTCCATGATTCGCAGTAGCTGGATCATGTTGGCTGCGATGCCTGCCGTGGTCCAAAATCCAGTCAGCATAAGCTGTCAGTAAGAAATCGGCGTTCCTTCTGTTGCCGATAAGTCACGGTGCGACTCGAGCACATACTGAGGAATGTGTGAGCCTGGGCAGGGCCGCCGTATGCTAGCTTGTACGTGCTGAGCAGTATGTATACCTGGATGTTGGTGATGCTCAGGCGGTCAAAGTCCTGCTGGAGCAGACGCCGGGCGTGGTCGAACATGAGTTCTCCTCGGTTGGCAGTGGAGCCGTCGTCGTCAAACGGTGCATGAGAGAATCTGCAACCAATGGGTTAGCATCATCTCGAGAATCCCGATTTCAGTGTGGGCCGGGAATGCCACAATTACCGGATAGCGAGAGCCATGATTGAGTAGAGCAAGATCTTGGGAACCTCGCCAAGGGCCAGTTGTCGAAGCATCGTTTCCTCGTCCAGCATGAAGTGAATATCGCTGTAATGGATAAAGTACAGCTGCACCAGCGACTGCGCCAGCTGGCCCTCCCGCAGGACGTCCTGGGGCCGGCCACGGCTGATGTCCAAGCCCACATAGCCACCTCGGAGGCGGTACACCGGAGAAGAATCCGCCGCGGCGGGTGGGTAGGCTCCAGCGGTGGGCAAGTCGGGGATTATGCCAGGCACTGCGCCGCTTGGCCGTGAATCGTCATGTATTGCCGGCTCATATGAGCACGGCAGGTCGCGGGTGGAGCAGCGCACACATGCTCGCTGACCAGCCTGGGCTACGCATTTCAGCTTCTTGGACCTGGGCAGAGGAGGAGAGTGAGTCAACAGGCCTCGGCTCGGTGGGGTCCATGTGCAACAATTTACCTGCAAGCGCTACACGCATTTGGTGCCATCTGGTAGTTGCTCCACGGAGCTCGAGCATGTCGAGCGCGTCTGCAAGCAAAGTAGCGTTGTCGGAGACCTGGCGCTCAATTGGAGAGTTAGGTTAGTCTGCAGCCATCCAGCTGGCGGTCAGCTGCCCTGCTATTTGGTATGCGATGCTTGCACGGTGCAAGGTGCCGCAACCCCAGTTGCAACTATCCCTTTATCAACATGATGATACCTTACAATCATAGTGAAGCACCTACCCAAGGATGACAAGGATTTTAGTCATTGGAGCACCTCGGCCGATCCCCTTTTCCTCCGCGCATCGCGCCGGTATCACAGAAAGATGCATAATCGGCAGGATGACCGGAGCTGCTTGAAAGGGGATATCAAAGAATTAAGTTTGTTGACAGCGAGCACAGCAATAGAGGAATCGTGGCATAAGCTTTAGTTGCTGGCAAGCATTTTGATGCGACAGCAGTCATGTAGCTGTCCATATCAAATTTGATTCTCTCCGGTGAAGAAATACAAAGAAGGTGCATGTTTGCCCAGACGTCCAAGAAGAGAAACGGTGTGAGACTAGTTGTGAGAATCCCGGATGATCATGGCGGCCGCGCGCTCAGCGATGCCATAGACTGCCGTCTGAATATGTGCCGACAGAAGCACGGGCATGATGCTAGCGTCGACCACACGCAGGTTGGTGGTGCCGTACACCTTGAGCTCTGGACTGACAACTCCTCCATCCTTTCGGGGCAGCATGGCGCAAGTTCCTACAGGGTGGTAGATTGACAGGGTTGTGTTGAGGACATATTGTTCCCACTCGTCATCTGTCTTCACGGCCCCCATACTGGGCTCGTACTCGCTGTCCCAGGACGACGAGAGAGGCGCGGCCGTAGCGACTTTGCGACAGTATTTCGCAATGTTGACGGCTGCCCTCAGGTCGTAGGCCGAAGAAAGGTAGTTCGGGTCGATGCTCGGCGCTTTGGTGATGTCGTTTGACGTAACATGGACTGATCCGCGGCTAAGAGGATGCATGATGACTCCGATGAGTGTGAAATAATTCTGCCCAAAGGATGGACTTCCTCTGGCTGGGTAGCCCTTGAAGCCTGTGTATCCATCAGAGAAGATGACCTCGACCTGAGGGGTACTTGGATTGGCGAGATACTCGAGCTTCTTCTTGTCGACGACCGAAGGTGATTCGGCAACGCTGGCCATGGCGAGGTTCCACAAGGCCGAAGACTCTGTGTGGTCCACAACTTGGTCCCAGTTGAGAAACGCGTAACCACTGCCCGTGTAGTCGTACAGGGAAACTTTGTTCTGTCGCCAAAGTGCGAGCTGCTCCGCGGCATAGGTGGTGTTGTACCTGAGGATGTCGAACGACGAGAAACCCTCCTTGAGCTGGTACGATGTCTGATAGCGAACATGATCCTGGAGGTTCTCGCCCACACCCTCGAGATCAATGGTCTGGTTGATCCCCGCGGCAGTGAGGACCTTTTTGCTTCCAATGCCGGACAACTCCAGTAGCCCTGGGCTTTGAAAAGAGCCAGCTGACAGGATGACCTCTTTCCGAGCAATGATGACGGTTCCGTCAGCCATGGTCACGCCCGTTGCGGTCTGCAAGGATCCGTGCTGTTTCAGGTTGACCTTGGATACTCTACCATCGAGCATAATATCAAGGTTCTCACCGCCTAGGGGAATGTAGGCGTTGGCAGCATAAGACCGCGTCCAGTTGTGGGAGTTGATGTTGCTTGGTTGGTTCATGTAGCCAATAGGATTACCGCCTAGAGAGTTGCGATTGTTGGGGATCCCGAGACCAGCCATTGCTTTCAACCAAAGCTGTTGCTGCTGCGGTATGATCCTATTGATGACTGTATGAATTGGGCCAGTGGTGCCGACGCCTTGATCACCATAGTCAGGAGTGTTGATGCTCGCGAAGGTCTCGACCCTCTCCATGGCATCAATCATGTTATCCCAGTTCCATCCGGGATTGCCCAGCTGCTCCCAGCCATCGTACTCAGCAGCCGCAGAGCGGTCCCATGTCATGAGGTTCAGAGCCGAGCTACCACCAAGGACCTTGCCGCGACTAGCTGGCAGTGAACGCCCTTTGAGGTTTGATGGCGCGACGGTCGTAAAGTTCCAGTCGTAAATGGTGCCCAAGGTCGAGCCCTTCATACCTGGGATGTTGATTCGGTCCTCCTGCAGCGCTGAGGGACCGGCTTCGATGAGCAGTATCCGCGCGCGAGGAAGACCTCGGCTGAGTCGCGTCGCGAGGGCGGAACCCGCGGTGCCTCCCCCCACGATGATCTGTAAATACGCGTCAGCTGGTGATATGGATGTGGTTTGACAAGAAAGCTATGGCTCCGAATGAAACAAATGCTTCGCTCACGTAGTCATAGGTTTTCGCGCTCGCCGCCGTGTCTTGAATCACACCGCTGTTTCCGGGAGCAGCGCAGGCTATAACAGCCAGTAAGACTGTAGACACCGCCGAGAACTGCATGGTCGCGCCCTCAAAAGCACTTGTGGTGGTGTGTCTGCTCAAAGTGCGCAAGAGGTGTACGAGGCTCTTTCAAAAGCTTGGAAGTGAAAATTCGACAAAGAGCGGAGAGGAATGATTAAACGGGAAGTTGGGTGCGACGAAGGAGAGAAAAGCGCAAGTTGATTGGTCGATTTTGGAGGAACTTTAATGCTCCCAGACAGGGATTTCTCCCAATTTAATCCTGGCCTCCTGCAGGGTCAATGGTTAAATCATATCGGTCAGTCGATGCCAGGGGTCACCACGAGGCGCGGTGTTGGGGTACATCATGCGCAACCTACCCACCCCGTACATCTGAAGAATTTCTCGACCTTCAGTCGATCCTCCGCACAGGGCTGACTAGGGAAGTTGACCCCTCCGCCAGGGGTAAGCGTCAGCAGGCACATGCACGTGCCGGGGTCTTGTTTGAATATCTCTGTTTAGTCACTGCTTATAGAAACTCCAAACTTGGGCGCAGAACCACCTCCGCTCGACGAAGAGAAGCCACCCCGAACCGAGCTTCATCTTTGGTACAAGATCAATCACGTCAATGCTATAGCGCCAGCTGCTGGCAGTGCAAAGGACGCGAGGAGCATCATGTTGATGTTCTTTGTTTGGTGGCCGGATGATGGCTTTTCTTGTTGGACACTGAAGGAGTTCGATTAAATCAGCCACAACCACATCATCGCTCTATTCTTGACTTTGTTTCACTTCACTTACTTGCACGTGACAAAGGCATTGCCTTGAGCACCAGTGTGGGTGATTAGGCCGGCCTCTTTACAGCCGGACTTGGTGATGATGACGCGGTCAGGACCAGGAGAACCTGTTACCACAACGCGATTAGCACCTTGCCTTGCCTTCCACACCCAGACGCAGCCTCTCAGGATCTCTGTCGGCTTACCACCAGTGTAAATAGAACCGCTCTTCATGATCGGGAACTCCAGGTACGGTCCGCTCGTGGCGAAGACGAAGCCCTCGCGGTTATTGAACTGATGAGGATAACCACCGGGAGTGTTCCCGCTGGCTGCATTGCTGCAGGCGCGCTGGGAGGCAGCGGTGACGGCGGAAGCTGAATACGAGACAGTGCCGCAGGTCGCGGCGGCGCGGCGCTCAAGGTGCGCTTCCTCGTCGCTGGCGAGGACCGCGGAGGCGAAGAGCGCGGTCACGATGGCTGACAGCCGCATCGTGCTGGTGATTGATGGTGTGCTGTATTGTTTGGGTTGACTTCCAGGCCGTCAGCCACCACGTGCGGACTCAGGGGTTTAAGGGCATGTATCGTGTCGCGTCGTCCTTTTCTTTTTTTGCGGGGCTTCCCTAAGCGGGGATAGCTTGGCATCGAGGCCTCCGCCATAAGTGATGTGTTGTTAGCTCTTGGCGCTGGATAATCGGCAATCGACTGAGGCGCCAAGATTGTGGGGTTTCAGAGTCCTTTGATGCACAGACTGGACGAGTCAAAACGCTGCGCTCTTTGCATAAAAATGCTTCGTGATGCTTGTTTCTCTGTATCATTGCACTTCTCTGCTGCTGTTCTAATCAAGGTCGCACCTCAGTCCTCGGCAGTTGTGTCTCCACAAACTTGATGGACCATACAAGGGCGACCCCAGAACTGAGATGCTGATGTTTCCTTATCTGATCATGAGAGGAAGATGTATATGTGAATTGAATCAAATATACCTGAGTTACTTAGGTGGCGTGCTTTGGCAACACGAGACCATAATTATGTAGCGACGCATATGCATCGCCCCTCAGCAATAGCAGCCTCCCTCCGCACCCTAGTCTCCGCAACCATTGTCTCAGTACTGAGGAGGCTGGGCACCTTTCTACGTCTACGAGCAACTGCCATGTCTGGCCAGGGATAGTCACTGAGGGATCATGAATCTTGGGGAAGGGGTTCCAGAGTTGGGTATGTGTGGTTGGGTTGGGCGGTGGTCAAGTGAGGACGTGGTCTTAGGCCTCTGGCTAACCCCACTATCAAAGCCGCAAGGAACGGTGGGACACACCAACCGAAATTGGCGGCATCAACAGCACATTCTCTCATTTATCTGTATTTTGGTTTCCCCTGTGACCTACTCTATTCCCTTGGATACTTCATCTCAAAGTCGAACGCCAGGATTCTAGGCACCAACCTGGAAACAAAGCCTCGAGTCCCATGATTGGCTGCCAAGTGGCAGAGAAGTGCTTTATACCAGTATCAGTATCTCCTCTCGATCACAGACTATGTCCCTCCATCATCACGAAGCACCGACTCCCTTCCGTTCGCCACGAACCCCGACAGTTCAGTCCCGTGAGTCCTCCTTCTTCGCAAGCCTGTCCGTATCGACGGCAACCTTGTCGCCATCGAAGCGGGCCGCAATAGCCTCAAGACTAGGACCCTTGGTCTCAACAAAGAACTTCCACACGCAAAAGGTCTCTACACCCAGCCACGCCACATACACAGCATAGTACTTCCACCCGAGCCCCTGAAGACCGATGGGGTTGACAAACGCATTGACAAAAGAGAAACCCTTGCCGAAGAACATGAGCACGGAGAAGCCCTTGGCGCGGATCGAGTAGGGCAGGATCTCAACTGGGTACGAGTACAGCAGGGCGTTGAACGCAAAGTTGAAGAAGACGTAGAACAGGAAGAGCATGCCAATGACGGCGAGGCCCGCGGCGCGGTTCCCTTGCTCGTTGAACAAGCCCGCGCACAGTGTCTGGAAGGTGAAGACGGCCCACATGCCGACCACGGAGATGAGGAACTGCGTGCGGCGCTTGAAGCGGGTCGTGGCGAACGCGGACCCCACGGAGCACACCCAGTTGAAGATCATGAGGCACCCATTGATGATGTTCTGCGTCTGCGGGTCCGTGATGCCCACGGTGGCGAGCACGCGCACAAGGTAGTACGAGACGAGCCCGTTGCCCGACAGCTGCGAAAAGGCGCCCAGCATCATTATGATGAGCATCCGACGCCGGTTGCCGGGCGTCTTGAGCAGCGACATCCAGCCAATCTCGTTGGCCATCTCGGCCTCGATGACCGCGCGGATCTCCTTGTACTCGAGATTGGCGAGCTGGGATTGCGAGTCGCCTTCGGCGTGATACTTGATGAGGAACGCCTTGGCTTCTTCCGGTCGGCCGTTGGCAATGAGCCATCTCGGAGACTCGGGTAGGAAGAAGATGAAAATGATCTGGATCAGCGCGGGTGCGGCCTGCATGTAAGAGGGGATGCGCCAGGCCCAGTCCGTGGGGATGCGGAATGTGCCGAATGTTGTCCACGCAGCGAGGGCGGCGCCAATGTACCATGAAGTCTGGTAGAGAGATGTTGCGACGGTGCGGTCTTTGGGATGTGCGAGCTCGCCGATAATCATAGGAGCATAAGTGTTGGAGAAGACGAGGCCGAAACCGAGAATGAATCGAGAGGCGAGGAACATGCCGACTGGATACGAAGCCAATGGTAATAATCAGCAGTTGCTCTTGTAGCACCTCGGCTTGCGAGGCAAACATTGCAGGCGTCACGTCATGCACTCACTGTTCACAGAGGCGCCTTGAATGATGCCTCCTACCAGCATGATGGCTGCTCCTGTGCAAATGCCCACTCTTCGTCCGAAGCGGTCGCCGACGATGCTGATGAATGGGGTGGCAACGATGCAGCCTAAAGGCAGGATGGCAGTCAACAGTCCGAGGAGGACACCGCGAGGCTTGTTGAAGTCTTGCAGAGGGAGTTTGGATGTCAGCCAGCAAGCTCGTGCCATAACGTGGGACAAATAGTCGAGATGGGGGGCTCATGATTTAACTTACAGTTATCCCATGCTGGCACGGCCTGCAAGCCGTTCATCATGGCGCCATCAAAGCCCAGGGTTACGGCAGGCATGAGGCCGCCCGGGATGAGGAGCAGATATAGCATCAAAAGGTTGCGAGACTTGTAAAAAGGAGGAGCCTCGTTGGCCAGCCGTTGCAGAATGCCGTCCGTGTCCTCGAGCGCCGCTCCGCCACCGTTGCGGGCGTCCTCGACTGGCGTGGCCCAGGCCTCCGCCTCCTTGGTGGAAGAGGATGATTTGGAAGCCATGATGTGATGTGATGAGAAACGAAGGCGACGATTAGATCCCGGTACTCTACAAGAGACCCGTGCAAGGATTGCAAGGGGAGGATGCGCGTATCGTGGTTGTGAAAGAAGCTTCCATGTAGGGGAGGCATATCGGGGGGCTTTATAGAGATGATGTCGATCACCTCATCCAGCGTACAGTATTGCACGATCGCTTGTTGTCCAAGATCCGGGCCCGCAACAACGGAATCTGGGGTAATTTTCATGGGGGCCCCTTCAGTCGGTTTCCCCGCAGAATCGTCAATTGTTTGTGTATGGTCACATTGAATTGGAGAAAGGACGTGGTTGGAGCTAGCCTGAGCCAGCTTCCAGCCACAGCGAGGAAAGTCGAGTCAGGGGGATCGGAGCACAGCCAATGATAAAGCTAGGTGGCCGACGTTATCGGAGGGCTTCGGAGGAAAACCAATGAGAAGGGTCGTTGGCCGGAGGAACTACCGGGAAGCGCAACAGGGGGTTCTCGGAAAGCAGCCGCTTCAGAGGACTATGCAGCCAATCAACTCGCTCAAGCGTCGTGGGCTCAGCCGGCATTGAGCCGAACAACAGCACATTACGCGAGCTGCGCCGCTGAAGGTCAATAACATGCGTCTTGTGTGGGGCTAATTGCGCAAGCCCAAGGTCCCGTCCTCGGAGTCGGACTTGTAATTCAGAGAGAGTGGGTGGTGTGCCTATCGTTGGCCGTGCTCCGCCAGAAGAGCGATCACATCCGGACCCCATATAACACTATGTCGTCCCTTGCCGCGGCCTCTTCTATCTGACCCCATCTGTGTGTTTCTGTAGCAGCCCGGGGGCAAAAGTCATCATGGCCTCCAGCACCATCGACACGGAACACATCCTTTCCCAGCTGACCTTGGAAGAGAAGATCTCGCTGCTCGCGGCTGTGGACTGGTGGAGGACTCCAGTCATCAAGAGAGATGGTCTCTTTGTTCCCCACATCAAGGTATGTGGGCAATTTCCCCTTGACTAGACGTACAGTGGGTTGTACCAATTAACACCACATACCAATTACAGACCACTGATGGGCCCAATGGTGCCCGCGGGGAGAGCTACGTGAGCGGCATCAAGGCCGCTTGCTTTCCCAACGGCCCAAACCTCGGTGCCACATTCGACATCGATCTGGCCCACAGGATCGGTGCTGCGGTGTCCAGGGAAGCAAAGAGCAAGTCGGCTAACGTGCTCCTGGCACCAACGCTCAATGTCATACGGCACCCTCTTGGCGGGCGCAACTACGAGACGTACTCGGAAGATCCTCTGGTCTTGGGGCTCTTGGCGGCCGCATACGTCAACGGGTGCCAGGAGGAAGGCATCGCGGCAACCCCGAAGCACTTTGTGGCCAACGAGGCAGAGAACGAGCGGACGACAACCTCGGTCGAGGTCGACGAGCAGACGCTGCGCGAGATATATCTCAGGCCGTTCCAGCTCGTGATGAAACATTCTGAGCCATGGTGTTTCATGACCAGGTATGCTCGCTATGAACCTATGTTATTGGGGCCCATCCATCGACAAATGATGTGCTCTCAAGCTCACCAATAACGCATCGTAGCTATAACAAAGTCAACCAAGAATACGTCTCTGACTCCAAGAGACTGATTGACGACGTCCTCCGCAAGGAATGGGGCTTCAAAGGCCTCGTCATGTCGGACTGGATGGGCACATACTCTACAGCACTTGGCCTCGAAGCCGGGCAAGACCTCGAGATGCCTGGTCCAACAAAATGGAGAACCGTGCCGGATATCGTCAAGAAGATCGAGCAGGGCACAATATCCGAGGAGACAATCACCACGAGTGCCCGCCGTGTCTTGGAGCTGGCCAAGCGTCTCGGACGCTGGGAGAACCCCGAAGAGCCTCCAGAGCGGTGTGCAGACGATCCCGCCATTAACGCTCTGATCCGTGATGCTGGCGCAGACGGCATCACCTTGCTGAAGAACGAGGACGGAGTCTTGCCCATCCCCAAGACCGCCACCGTGGCCATAATAGGTCAGCATGCTTCGTCGGTTGTACTTGGCGGTGGCGGAAGCGCCAGAGTCGATGCGCCGCATGCCATCACACTGATCGACGGGCTCAACAAGTTGGGCTACAACACAAGAGTAGCTGCGGGAGTCCCAGTGTTTGGAGCAGGTAAGTTTCGCCATACTCTCTCTCTCCCTCTCTCTCTCACGCACGCACACACACACACACACACACACACACACACACACACACACACACACACACACACAAACACCCGGAAAAGACTCAAAACATGCTGACTGGCGAGCAGTACCCCACGCCAATCCTTCCACGGTCTTCGAAGTTGGCAAGACCGAACACTCGCCAGCACCCATAAAGGTGGAATGGTACAACGGCTCTACGATAGGAGAGAACCTCGCGTTCCAGGAGATGCGGCCACAAGCCGAATACATGATCAAGGAGCGCTGGCCAGACCACTTGGACAAAGACTACTGCACGCGCATCACATTCGACCTCGTGGCGCCCTCGTCGGGGGAGCATCTCTTGTCCGCCATCAGCACGGGCAGGGCAGTCGTCTATATTGACGGCGTCCAGGTCTTTGAGCGCCCGCAAGAGACAAAACTGAGGCCCGAGTCGTTCTACTTCTACAAGAAGCATCTCGAGCGCCGTTTCACGCACAGCATGATACAAGGACAGCGCTACTCGATACGCATGGACTCGTGGGCCGCAGACCCGGCCATCCTGAACGCGCCACCCTTGAACGGCAAGATGTTCCAGGGCAGCGCGGTGCGCTTCTACGAGCACATCGACCTCGACGCCCGGCTGCGTGAGGCGTCAGAAGTCGCAAGAGCGTGCGACTACGCCGTCGTGTGCACCGGCACGATCAACGAGATCGAGTCTGAAGGGTTTGACCGGGACTCGATGGACCTGACAGCGGCAGAGTACGACATGATCAGCGCCGTGCTGGCGGCCAACCCGGCCCGGTCCGTCGTGGTCAACTTCTCAGGCGGGCCCGTTGGCATGACGCAGTTCTCGGAAACCGCGCCAGCCATTGTGCAGGCGTGGTTCCCGGGACAGGAGATGGGCGACTCGGTCGCTGCCGTGCTTTCGGGTGACGTCAATCCCGGTGGCCGCCTGCCGCTGTCGTGGCCGAGAAAGGTCGAGGATAACCCGGCATATGGCAACTTTCCCTCGCACAATAACATCCTGCGCTACGAGGAAGGGCTGGACGTCGGCTACCGCTACTACGACCAGGACAAGGCTGCCAAGCCGCTGTACCCCTTTGGTTATGGCCTCTCGTACACGACGTTCGAGGTGCTGGACGCCAAGATCGTGCAGCAGCAGGTCTTATTCGCGGCGACCGACAAGAACATCAACATCACCGTGCAAGCACGGGTGCAGAATGCGGGCGCCCGGGCCGGAAAAGTCGTGGTGCAGTTTTACGTCGCCGACTGCAACGGCGGCAGCGGTCGTGACGGCACGAATAGTCAGGCGCGCCGTGCCAGGCCGCCCAAGGAACTGCGGGCTTTCTCAAAGGTCGCTCTGGAGGCCCGCGAGGCCAAAGACGTCACTGTTACGTTGGACAGGGACTCCGTGAGCTATTACAATGCAGCGCAGATGTGTTGGGAGGCGCGCCCGGGAGCGTTCAAGGTGCTTGTGGGCTTGTCGAGCGTGGATATTACGCATGCCATCGACTTCACTGTAGACAAGGGCTTCACGTGGACCGGTGTGTGATGATGGCGGGCGTTAGTTTCCATTCGGTTCTGAGATCTTCAGAAGAACACTATTTGCCATGTTTCGTACTGCCTCTCTGGTCGCTACGTGTCAGAATTCGCGAATCCCCAAGCAAACGGAAGGCACACTTCACAGCTCCTTGCCCGATATTTTCAATCAAACCGCTATAACACCAAGGATGCCAGATTCCAGGAGCGGCCTAACAGATGAGGTTATGTAGAAACAATTGTACCGCTGCTCACAAACTGCCGAAACACCTCGAGCGCAACTTTCGGTTCTGCCAAATGGGGAAAGTGTTAGCCAAATTGACAGGATTCACTGTTCGTCAAGATCCCAATTCTAGGTCGTGGAAGTTTCACTCACGGCTGTACATCAGATAGTGGCCAGCGTTCCGTACTTGTAGATACGACAAGTTGTCCTGCGTCTTGAAGTCGCCGTATATCTTGTCGGTGACCTTCCAATAAGACAGAAACTTGCTTTTGAACGTGTCTTGGCCTGGAAACTCGACGCTCTCGGCGACGTTGCGGACGCCCATGTAGTTGCAGATGAAGCTGGGCAAAAATGGTGTTAGTACTTAATCGGAGGTCTGGAACCATAGCGTCAGTGTTGTGGACACTCACTCTTTGTCGCCGGCCCAGATCAGAATGGGAAGGCCCGACTTGGCCAGCTCAGAAAGCGCAGGCATCGACGAGCGAGCGGCTATTGGATGGAAATATCAGTACCGAGGACCAAGAAGAACAGACACCAGGCCTTGTACAGTTCAAAGAACTCACTATCACCGGTACTGATGAATCGCCCAAACACATCATCGCTGCCAGCATGGTACACCGTCTGCGCGCCGATGGCCTTGCTCACAGGAACATCCTCCTTGCCGGTGACCTGCACAGTCCCGTTTACCAGCCAGCTCGCGTACGTCTCGGGCGGCGCAAACTCCTCCCGGCCGCGCACGTCATACACATACCCTGCCGCCCTGGCCATGGGTTCCTCCACGGCGACATAGCACGCGTCGTCCGCCGCCGAGCAGTCCTTTTCGGTCTCCGTGGCGCGGCACTGGTTCAGCGCTGGCACGCACTGCGACTCGTACGCCTTGATCGTGTCGCTGTGGATCTTGGGCGTGATGAAGCCCTGGTAGAGCAGGAAGTCGGCCAGGGTGCGCTGCTGGAGGGCGTAGTCGAACAGGCCGTTGTTGATGGCGAGCCCGAGGAGGTTGATCTGCTGCAGGCCCGTCTCGGCAGTCATGGCGTTCTGGTTCTGAATGTAGCGTGCCAGTGCGGGCCCGTAGCGTCCGCCGTATGAGGCAGTGAATATCCCGGTTGGCCTGCCTTGAAACTCTTCGAAGGTGGCGTAGAACTCCTGCAGAAAATCATAAAGATACCGCACGGCGGTGCCGGTCGAATTGACTTGCTCCTCGACGAGGGGGTCGTTGGTGAAGGAAAAGCCCGTGCCGACGGGCTGGTCAATGTAGAGCATGTTGGCTTCCTCGTTGAAGCTGAACTCGTTCAACACGGGCTGGGGGTTGTTGGTATCGGCTGTGTTGCTTGTTCCGGGCACGAAATGGCAAGGGCCGTTCTGCTGGAAGAGACCCATCATGCTGGATGCGCCGGGCCCGCCGTTGAGCCAGATGACGAGTGGTGCGGTGTCGGCATTCTTGCGCGCTCCAAAGAACCTGTGCAACGACTGTCAGGCTACGTAGCTGCGTGGAGCAGTATACCGTGCTACTCACCAGAACCACATGTTCACATCCTCACCGACAGTGAAGTATCCCGAGGTCTGTTTGACTCCCGGCGTGGTTTCGCACAGGCCGCTTTCGACCAACACATGCTCGCTGCTGTTATTGCTGCGCGCAAGTGTCAAGGATGTGGTGCGTTTTTCCTGGAGCGATAGCCGAGGCAGCGCTGCCCATGTGGTAGATGCTAGGAGAAGCAGCGAGGCATATTTTGCCCATGACTTTGTGATGGCGCCCATTGTGCCGGCTTGTTGTGGCCTGCCCAAGATGGTGGTGGCAATGGGGACAAGTTGATGACAACTTTGAAATCCCGAGGCACATCTATCGAATACTTGACAACATCGGCCGTCTTTATGTGACACCAGTGAATGACCAATGTATCCTTTCTGGAACCATTTGGTGGTCCACGTATCGTAATTGGGCCACTTCTTGGTGAGCTGCCAAGACCCTGTCGCTCATCCTTCGACCATCGCGGCTCCACAGGCGGGTTGCAACGGCGAGCGGCACACCCTTGCAACGCCAGTGTACTGCTGACCAATTTCGTTCCTGGATTGATCCACAACACCCTGGGTGTCGGTGAATCGGATCTTCGTCCCGTCTTCTGACTGCGAGACATACTTGGCCAGCCGTACGACGATGTGCGGTGTGCGGTGTGCCTAACAATTATTGAGCCCCCAGGGGACAAGGTTGTCGAAGCTTGTCAAACACCCCTGCTCCGCCTTCTCCAGGCAGGTTCCGTTCGCCGAGCGAGCAGTTGCCTGTCAGCTTGAAGGATCAAACCATGCAATATCCATGGATGGCACGGTCAGCCGCCACGTACCTGCACTGGTCGCGGGATAGCCGCCTAACGGCACCACCCGCGCGAGCTTCGCAATTACAGGCTGACCGTACGAGGCGCGGCGTTTGCCCTCGTTGCTCCGCTTTGGCAGAGTCCCAGTAATTCCACTATCACGCCTACAGAGTTGTGTTGAGACATGGAGCACCGATTCTGACATGCTGTCCATCCCGCTGCAACCCAGGACCGTACTTGTTATGACCAGGGAGGATTCACCCAGAGGATTCACAATTCTGAAATCGTTGATTGACGGGTATTTCAGCATGGGTGCAGTGCGAGCACAATTCTGTAGTGTATTGTGCCTGGCCTGCACTCATTCATGTCAATCAATGTGGGCCGCCGCTGTGAATCCCTGTCCACTCATCCACCACACAACGAGCCCCCTCCTCCCCAGCAATCCTTATCTCCGCACCCTCATCATCTTCCATCGCACACACCCAGCCGCCCACGTCGAGCGCGCCGCTGTCTATGTACCGGCCCGCAAAGAGCTGCATGACATGAGCGGCCGTGGCACCGCCGGCATGCCAGCCGGCGTCTCTGCACTGCCCCCCCAGCGCTCCCGGCCTGCCTCCACATTCGCACTCCTCGCCCTTTTGCTCCTCGTCCAGCTCGCCACGAGCCTCTACCAGCTGCCTCTGGTCCGCCTAGTCGAGCGGCGCCTCTGCCGCGACTTCTATGACGGCTCAAAAGATGCCCACAATGGCGACGATATCGACGAGAGCCTGTGCAAGGTGGACGAGGTCCAGCAGCACCTTGCCTGGATCCTCGGGGCCATGGAGACGGCTTGGATCGTCGGAGGTGAGCATACTCTGATCGCCTCAGGACATGCCTCTCCAAGCTAACAGATGCGACTTGCAAGACTTTGTCATGGCCATACCGCTAGGTTTCGTTGCTGAAAGGTTTGGCCAGAGAGCCGTGTTGTGGCTCACCCTTGTGCCCAGGCTGTTTATGCTGGCCTGGGCCCCCATCGTGGGACTTGAGTTTGGCGAGAGGTTGCCCATAGCGGCGGTCATTGTTGGTCCCTTGCTGTCCTTTCTTGGTGGTGATTGTGTGTTTGGCTCCATCACATACAGCCTTGCCGCCGGATCAACTCATGACTACGTAGCTCGGTAAGTGGCTTTCCGGCATCAAGTGTCACGTCCCTTTGCTGACTCCAAGCCTTCACACAGAGCATCATTATTCGGCTACATGAGCTCAGTGAGCTACATAACGAACTTACTGGGTCCGGGCCTTGCTAGCGCCACAATGGGCACAGCCTTGTGGCTACCCTTTGTCATTGGCATCATTCTCCTGCTGCTCGCTGTTCCAGCTATCAGTCTGTTGCCGGGTGGGGGCTCACAATCTTTGACCGCGGCCAAGCCTAATCATGCTTTCTCCCATACAGAGGAACGCGCAGATGAGCAGCAGCCGTTCCTTCCATCGTCACCGCTCCTCAAAGCCGCTCGCTCTCAAGAAGGTACTGGACCTTCAGCGACATCGACGGTTCGGAGCACATGGGTTCGCACCAAAGCACACATTTACACTCTGCGCGCCACATTCCTCCCAGAGCACTCCCAGCTCGGGAATGGCCAGAACCTGCCGCTCCTAATGGCCAGCTTCTTCCTCACCTCTCTGGCCAGCTCCGACACGAAGCTTCTCCCACAGTACATGTCGAAACGATACGGATGGCGCTTTGTGGACGTTGGGTATCTCTTGTCTTGCAAGGCTGTTGTCAATTTCGTCCTGCTAGTGTTCATTGTCCCTCGGGTGCTCAAGCATAGTCGCCACGAGGACAATGGCCAGGCCGGCTTTGAGAGGGACGAAGATTATCCTCATCTCGTCGATCATGCCCAAGACTCCTCTCGACAACCTGGTTCCGATTTGCAAGCGGAGGCAAACATCAGCAGCAGTAGGAGAGAAACCAAGACGAACGTCTTCCACGCTCGGGTCTGCCTCGCAGTATCCCTCCTCGGCGCGCTACTCATAGCCTCTGCTGGCTCGATTACTGTGCTCTTCCCAGCACTGGGCGTATATGCCTTGGGTTCTGCTCTGCCGGTCTTCACGTTTTCGCTGCTCAAGTCACCGTTCATCGTACCTGCTCCTGGTGTACAAACCTCCACTGATGAGGCGGATACAGCGACCTCCAGCGTGGCTCCCTCGTCCGCCGTGCTTGGTGCAGCCAGCATAACACCCCAGCAGAGAACGGGCGACCTGGATGGGAATGGTGATGCAAGTTCTGACCACCAGGGTTCACACTTCAGTGATGGAAACGCCAACACAAGCAACACTGAGACGCAGCTTTTTGCTGTCGTCATGATGGTCAAGACACTGGGCTCCCTTCTGGGGGCGCCCCTCATGGCCACATTATGGGTGCGGGGCATCTCGATCGGAGGCGGCGCTCTGGGCATTCCATATCTTGTTAGCTCAGCATGTTACGGAGCCGCCATCGGAGTGTTTGCGTTTATCTCGGTTGACGCTAGGTGATGTAGAGACCACTTTACGACTCGAGCAGGTCTTGTCATTCTTTAACGTCCGCTTCGTGGTCCGCTGACCCCTTGATATGGTCAAGCGGCTAGTGTACGATTCGACGGATCTGTACCTCGCCCAGGAATACTCCGGCCTTATTTGGTGCATGGCGCGACCCAATCAAGTAATCTTGCAAGCGAAATCTTTGTTGCGGACCAATATCTCCGAGTACCTGCATGGGCACGCCCTGCGGCTGGCCGGACTCGGGCGCAAGACAAAAGAATTGTTCCCCTCGGAAATGACCTTTTCGGGGTTGGGCCGTCTCAGCCACGCCTCACATTGGACACGTGCAATTTGCGATGCGGCTGATCTCAACGCAATCGAAGTCTTGTTTCCACAACCGTGCTCGGGAATAACCATTCTGGAAGACCCAATCATGCCAAGGCTCAGATATGTGTATGTCGTGGATTGCGATACTATCTCGGCGCATGGCCAGGTTCTACCACAGTTCTTGGCAAGATCCACGACTTGGGAACATACGTGTATATAAGATGCGTCGCACAGCTCGAGGATGCCGGATGGGCTCAACACAACCCGATTGCCACGTGAAGAACACATTGCCGCGACCAGCCGGTAATACTTGAACAAGATGCGATTTTCTTCTGTAGGCAAGACTGTGCTGTTCTGCCTTGGCCTCGGGGTCATCAGCGTCGCAGCTCAGCAACCGCCGAATCGCCAGATAGACCCGACCGTCTTCCCCCAGATCAAGCCTACCGACAAACTGCAGTGGACCGACTGCTACGAAGTGTTCAAATGTGCGCGCCTCTCGGTAAGTGATGTCTCGGTTGGCTCTGTTCGAACACCGTTTGTTATACACCACACTGCAATGCTGACATGGGGACAAGGTACCCGCCAAAGTGGACGGCAAAGGCTGCACCGAACGCGTTGAGATCGCGATCATCAGATTGCCTTACAAGCAGGCCGACCCGAGCATGCCAGCCCAGCAACTTGGCACACTGCATATACAACTTGGTGGCTGGTCTTCATCCAATACCGTATGTTCCTAACCAGCTTCCCCTGTTGTGAAACAACTGACTTGACATCCTCTCACTAACAACTTCTACCTCTGCTATCCAGAACTTCCTCGTCCGTTACGGCGAGTCCTACGCTCCTCTGTTTGCGGGCTACGAGCTTCTGGCTATTGACTACCGCGGCCACGGCTGGTCCACCCCATCCCTGACCTGCTTCCCTGACGAATCCTCGCGACAAGCCTTTGGCCTCTCCGAGCCCGCCCTCCTCGGCACGCCAGACAAGAGAACCACAACGCCACCCTGGGTCGCCCGCGCAAAGACCTTTGCCTCGTCCTGCAAGAAACATGCCGCAAAGGCCGCGCGGTACGGAGGCAGCTACGCAGCCGCCGAGGACCACGTGACGGTCATGAAGGCCATGGGCAACACCAAGCTCAGCTTCTGGGCCATATCCTCGGGCGCCATCGTCGCACAAACCGTCGCGTACAAGTACCCGGCCGTGGTGGACAAGTTCCTGCTCGACGCGCCCGCGGCAGCGGAGCTCGCGTACGGCCGGGACCCGTGGCAGAGCACGATAGCACAGGGATACGTGCTCGAGGACTCGAGCAAGGGGCTCGACGCGTTCCTGTACACTTGCCTGAACGCACGGCCCGAGTCCCCGTGTAGCTTTGCCAACAGCAACACCACGACCCTGGCGCAGATGAAGGCCCGCTTTGACAAGATCGAGGCCGCGCTCAAGACCGCCAGCAGGAACGGCCGGGGCGGCCTCGCGGTGCCCGGCTCGACGGGACCGCGCAAGTTCACCTGGTCCACCTTCAAGTACATCGAGTCCATCGCCCTGCATTCTCCAGGGTTCTTCCCCGTCCTCGGCGGCGTCCTGTCTGAGCTCGAGGCCGGCCAGTTCCCGCCCTCGGGCGGCTGGACGTCGTACGCCATGAGCAACGTCACGTACCAGCCTCCCCAGCCACTGCCGATGCTCACCGAGGACGCGACCTTTGACGGCCTGCTCGCGGGTCTGTGCACTGACGCACAGAGCAGCGGCGGCGGCAGCGCCGGGAGTTTCGATGCGTACTACGACGCCCTCGAGGCCGCTGCGCCGGCGGTAAGTCCCGTCTTCGGCAGCTGGCGCCTCTTCTGCGACGCCTGGTCCATCTCTCCCGTCAACAAATACCGCGGGCCCTTCTCTGCCCCTACACTGAGCGGCGGCGGCAGCGGCAAGGTCGTCATCGTGAACAACGCCGCCGGCGACCCGGCCAGCAGCATCCGCAACGCGGAGCGCATCAAGGCGAGCATCGGCGGCTCGGTGGTCGTGCAGACGCGCGCGGCGGGGCACACGAGCTTTGTCACGGCGAGCGGGTGCTTCTTCAAGGTCGCCAACGAGCTCTTTGTGCAAGGGATCGTGCCTCAGGACGGGCTTGTCTGTGAGGAGGTGTTTGCGCCGCCGTTTGGGGTGCAGATTCCTGCTTCGTTCTAAGAGAATGTGCAGCAAAGAGCTTCTTAAAGAGGTTGCAAGTGTAAGGACTGGTCTTGGAGTTCTATAGCGAGAGGGTTGCGGCGGAAACGTTTGCTGTGTGGATGGTAGTTGGATGGCAAACGCGAGGTGAGTCAACCTTAAGGAAACGGTCGTGTAATGGTTGGCCTTCTCTTCTTCTCTCGGGTCTTCAGGGCATACAGTCGAGGTGGACATAGTGACAGGAGTAGCACATTATGCAATAAGCTGGATCAAGCTGGGAGCTCTTACTAATGGAAAGCCACACTTAATGGAACACACATTGTCATACACAATGTTTCCGTCGCAGGAGTGAGATGTGCAAGTACCGACCAAAGGGCATTCTCATCGCTTGAAGACAGTCAGAGCCGGAAGTCAGTAGCCCCATGACGCAGGTCCAACTCAAGTAGCATGATCACGCCAGAGCAGGACGGTAGCCGCAATGAGTATTCGGCAATAGCCATACATAGGCATGGGGCTGGGATATTGTAATCAGCGATAGACACGTTGATAAGGTGCGTACCGATGCGTGAATGAGCCAATCGGGCACATTTACTTGAGTAAACACGCCCCAGCGGACAGCCACAAACTTGACGCCGCCTTTATCGAATATGAGTCTCTGCGACACAGCTAGCTGGTGGATGACTCCCCCAATCAAACGCCGGACTATTTCGCGGCCGATGACTAGAGGCGACAATGCATGCACCCTGCAGCTTTGCTGCTACAATATCAACGGGTGGCAAAGATGCTGACACGGAGCCGCTCCACGAAGTTTCAAAGAGGATTGCTGACGGGATCAAGATGCCGGCAAATTGTCAGGGATGCACTCTACGAGCTATCCCCATCACGTGGGCTGCGGCCCCGGGAGGCCATGTCACCAATCCACTAGGAAGAGAATAAAGAAGGAAGAAAAGAAAAGAAAACCCCGGACGCTTGATAGAGGATTGGGTCCTGAGAGACCCTACAAAAGACGGTTTTCATGGATGATCGAGGATTCCCGGAAACCTCCAGGTGAATTGTACAACGAGGAGGCAATGGTGAACATTCGTAGATGGCCACCTGGTAGTAGCCTTCCAATTTTGCCATACATTCATACAACAGGCGAATCCATGCTGCTTGTCCCTGCCTGACTTATCCTCTGCTTGGCGGATCTTTCTGACCTCGATCAATCATCCTTCTGAACGGGGGGGGGCCATCCACATCCATTATCACTGGTCTAGACCCTGGTCTTCGCACTGGCTGTCAACCCTATGCAGGAACGTCTCGGCGCCTGGTTCCCCGCAGACTATTCCGGCCAAGCGCCGGCGAGGGGGCGGCATAACCAACGCACATATGCGGGGAAAGGAAAGGAAAGAGGGAAACAGGGGAGAGAAGAGCCGTGGCACGTGCCGGGGAGTTTACTTGCAGTCGCACGGGCACGGCTGCAACGCCACGTTGGAGAAGCAGCTAGGGTGCAAGTCCTGTATGCAAGTAAGTCATTGCGTGCACGCTGCTTTGTTGCTTTTGCGTACCTGTATTCGGGGCCATGTAACAAGCAGCATGATTGGTGGAGTGAGCATGGATACGTGTTTCCGTCCACTGAAAGGAGCGGCAGCGTTGACCCATGGGATGTATAGGGCTCGTTGTTGACAAGGTCCTGGTTCTCCTAGCTGGACGGCATCATGGTCCTGACGGAATGCATTGCATAGGTCTATGTATGCGAGTATCCAGTTTGACATATGAGTCTTCGCACGGGAGCGCGGTAAAAGGAGCTATCAGCCCCTTGTTATCGCTCAAACTGAATTTCATCCAGCGGGCTGCTGGAAGTTTGCTTTTGTCAATATGGATGGGCACCGGTGGAGCCGTCATAGACAGATTGCGGTGCTCCACGAAGCTGGCAGGGATGTTGTGCATGCTTCTCCTCCGCAATCCCCTGGATTGGCCCGCTGTCATCAACGTTACATTGCGTGACAGGTCCGCCACTGCCGGATGCCATGCTTATATTAAGCTTGGCCAGATCATCACTCCCGTCTCTGAAAGAATAGCCCGGGCCGCGGAAATTACTGCCATTCGTGGACAGATATTTTCCCAGGCCTGAGAGTGACGGCATTGGATGATGGCAGAGCATGGGAATGACCAGAATCAGCAACATGAAACACATATCCCTGCTACGGGATCCGATGTGTCCAAGGCTAACACAAAATAGGACTCGAACTGACAGAGTATAAAGATCGTCGTTTCTGGCTGTACTGCTGTCTACCAATTGCCCTCTCTACGCCAGTGCCTCGCCATAGCTTCTTGTTCTTTGTCAAATCCGCTTTCTATTCTCAAGAAAAGCACCCATCAAAATGCACAGCCTCACCCTCATCACGGCTGCGGCCGCCGCGCTGATGCCCTCCGGGGCTTTCGCTGGCCCGGTCGCTCGCGCTGCCGCAAACTGCGCGAGCCCCAACTACAGTGTTGTCGGCTACGGCGCAGGCACTACTGGTGGCGGTAGCGGTAGTGGCACGACTGTCACTTCGTGCTCGGCGCTGACGACTGCTGCCAAGGCGGGCGGTGTCATCAAGGTTTCCGGCATCCTGTCGGGGTGCGGAATTGTCGACCTCAAGAGCAGCACCACAGTCACTGGTGTTGGTGCCAACTCTGGTGAGTTCTGCGTGCTTTCTGCTAAAGTTACTTGGAGGGCTGCCTTTTGCAATTTCTTGCTCGAATCATGCTAATACTGATGTGCGTGGCAAGGTCTGACTGGCGGCGGTTTCCGAGTCAAGGGCGCCAGCAACGTCATCATCCGCAACATGAAGCTCAAGAACTCGCCTGAGGGCAAGGATCTAATTGAGATTCAAAAGTCGACCAAGGTCTGGGTCGACCACATGGATGTGAGTCGAAGCATACGATGCTGCGTTTGCAGAGTCCTTGCCGCATAGGCTTTATTCTGCAACCAGCAGCCTGTCACGAACACGGAAACTGACAGTTGCAACTTGTATAGCTGTCGAACAACGGCATCACTGGTGACAAGGACTACTATGACGGTCTCCTTGACATCACTCACGCTAGTGACTTTATTACTGTGTCCTACACCAAGTTTCACGACCACGTAAGCACTTTTCCCATCACTACTTTCTCCCTCTGAAGGCAGTTCATCTGTGTGGTCACTGACAGCATTTCCTCTTCTCACTTTCACAGTGGAAAGGCTCGCTCCTCGGCCACAGCGACAGCAACGCGTCCGAGGACACGGGCAAGCTGCACGTCACGTACCACCACAACCACTTCTACAACGTCAACTCGCGCCTGCCGTCAGTGCGCTTCGGCACGGTGCACCTGTACTCGTCGTGCTACGAGGGCAACCCGACGTCGGGCATCAACTCGCGCATGGGGGCGCAGGTGCTGGTCGAGCAGAGCTATTTCGCGGACACGAAGCTCGCCATCGTGACGGATCTGGACAGCGACCAGGACGGGTACGCCGTCAGCCGGGACAATGTATTTGCCGGCAGCACTACGACGCGGATCACCAAGACGGGCAGCTTGACCACTGTGCCGTACAGCTACACGTGAGTGGTTTTTGCCCTGTCTATCGCCTATGGATGGGTGTTTCCAAGAGAACAATGTTGGTGGCTAACACGAACTACAGGCTCGACTCTGCGTCTTGCGTCTGCAACATGGTCAAGTCCTACGCTGGCACTGGCATCGTTGCTTGAAGACGGATGAGTGGAGAACGCATTATTGGCTGGCTGTTGGGTGGAAGGTGGTCCTGAAAGGGAGGTGTTCTGAGACAAGAGTTCCACGTGTGCTCTCCAGGCTGCAGATTTTGTCGTTCCATTGGTCTCGAAGGACAGCCAGACACAAAGATGAGGACGGGGGTGCCAAACTTGGCGCATCAGAGAGGACGCCATACTTCTCTCCAGTACATACTTTATTCTTTCTATTTTTCTGTGTATTTATCAATTGGAGACACCTGTTTTCGCCAGAGAGGTCTCGTGCTGTTGCTGTCAGAGACAACAGATCAGCTGGCAGACATCTGGTGCAGTCCTCGACTTGTTTCTCTCGTTCTGGATGAGCATTAATATTAACAGGACAGTACGCTTCTCTATGCCTTACATAAGCGCCACCACCTTGAAGCAGGGGTGTGCGGTGCCGAGTGCCGTTTGTGCGCGAGATTGCCAAGCATTCTCTTGTTCGATGGCGGTGGGGCTGCAATCTTGCCGGCACTGCACTGCCGTTCCTGCGAGCACAGGAGGGCTGTCTGTCGCACACTCACTCTGCAGGTGCCACAGCAGCTTCAGGTCTTTGCCGACTGTGCCGTCACGAGCGTACACGAGCGTGCATTCTTCGACGCGCTTTGTCCTGTAGAAAGCCCCTGAATCCGTTCTCAGACCAGACCAATGTTTTGATGCTGCACAGCAGTCATTTGCATGACTTTGACTTTGTGTGCAGCTGGCCCAAAACAGACGTCTGTCTACAAGGCGACGGCCCCCACCCGCGCTATGCCAGTTTCGAGCCTAGCACGAACGTCACTTTCCCCTATGACGATCTAGATCCCGCACCTCAATCCGCATGGCGTCCAGTCTCTTCGCGCCGGAGCTCCTTCTGTTTTCTCGCGAGTTCCCCTCCTTCCTTTGACCCTCGCTTCAGCTCCTTGGCCACTCGCGCCCACCGCCAGCCACACTTCCAGCTTCCTCTCTGCCTCTCGCTGCCGCCCAATTGCTCCGCACCCGTCCTCGTTACATCGCCTCTGCTGTCCGTCGCACATCGTCATACCTGGGCATCCCATCGCCATGGCAGGTCCCGGGGAGGCCGCCTCGTACCACGGCGGCGCAAACACCGACCGAGGCTACTACAATAACAACAACAATAACAACTACTACCAGCCCCAGCAGAACCAGTATCAACCGCCACCACCACCAAACTATGGCCAGCAGCCCTACCAGAAGCAGGAGCAGTACGCGATGCCCCAATACCAGCAGCCCCAGGGCCCTCCCCCGCCCCAGCAGTCCGCGCCCTACAACAACGGCGGGTACAGCAACGGCGCCGGCTACGGCGAGAAGCCAATGTTCGACCAGGTCTTCAAGATTGAGAAGCCCAAGTGGAACGACCTCTGGGCCGGCATCCTGGTATGTCCGGGTTGCGAGGGGCAGGGTGACTGGAGCAACCAGCGCCTGTGCCAAGACATGGAGACACCACATTTGCGAAGAAATGCTAATGCTCGAGATCGTCTAGTTCCTGCTCTTCGTATCCGGCTTCGTCGTCGTCTCGGCCATCTCCCTCCAGGGATACTGTACGTGCCGTTGCCCAGCAGCCCATCTGCAGCCACGCCTTTGCTAACTTTGAGTAACTACAGCTTCGTCCCGTGGCCTGCAAGGAGGCGGCATCTACGGTGGCAACAACACCGTCGGCCTCAACACCAACACTATCGTCCTCTTGTAAGCCTCATTGCGCCACACATGAATCATCAACTCTGCTGACAAGCTCCCTCAGCATGTTCGTTCTCGTCATCGCAGCAGTTCTTAGCTATCTCTATGTCTGGGTCGCTCGCCTCTTCCCGAAGCAATTCATATGGGTTACTGGTATTCTGAAGTCAGTACAAAGGGTTTCTTGCCTCAGATTGGAATCAAACATCAGCTGACACTTGGCAATAGCATCGTCTTTGGTCTCGTCACCGCGATCTGGATGCTGATCCGCAAGAACTACTCCGGTGGCATCGTGTTCCTCATCTTCGTCGTCTTCCTGGCTTTCTGCTTCTACACATGGATCCCTCGCATCCCATTCAGCGCGCTCATGCTCAAGACTGCCATCGACGTCTCCAAGAACTATGGCCATGTCTACCTCGTCAGCGCACTCGGCGGTCTGGTCGCTGTGGCGCTTGCCGCATGGTATTCGATCACATTCGTATCGATATACACGAAATACCAACCAGGACAACCGGCTTGCAGTGAGGGGGCGGGCGGTTGTTCAAGCGGCAAGGTCATTGGCTTGCTTGTCTTCATCACCTTCACCATGTACTGGATCTCCGAGTGGCTCAAGAACACGATTCACGTCACCATCTCCGGCGTCTACGGGTCCTGGTACTTCCACCCGCAGAACCCGCCCAAGGGTGCCACTCGTGGTGCTCTCAAGAGAGCTCTCACGTATAGCTTCGGCTCTATCAGTCTCGGCTCGCTCCTTGTCGCCATCATCAACTTCCTCCGCCAGCTCTGTTCGATTGCGCAGCGCAACGAGGCCGCCGAGGGCGACATCATCAGTACCATCTTCTTTTGCTGCCTTGGCTGCCTCATTTCGATTCTGCAGTGGGCTGTGGAATTCCTCAATCGCTACGCGTTCTCCTACATTGCTTTGTACGGCAAGTCGTACTTTGCCGCCGCCAAGGACACTTGGACGATGATCAAAGATCGGGGTATCGATGCTCTGGTGAATGAATGCCTCATCGGACCTGTGTAAGTTAGCCCCTGGTTCCTGGGACGATTTCTGGTACTAACCAGGATCCCGATAGTCTCACCTTCGGCGCTACTTTTGTTGCTTATGCGTGCGCTCTGCTCGCTTACCTGTACCTGCTGTTCACGAACCCCGGATACAACGCCAGCGGCGGTTACACTCCTGTCATTGTCGCCTTCGCGTTCCTGTAAGTCCCCTCATCTTGCGCGCTCGCGCTTTCTTTCGACTGGAAGCTGACCGGTTCTTTGCAGCATTGGCCTCCAAATCTGCCACATTTTCACTACTCCGATCAGCTCTGGTATCGACACCATCTTTGTTGCAGCTGCTTGGGACCCCCAGACCTTGATGAACAACCACCCAGAGTTGTACCACGCTATGGTACAGGTTTACCCTCAGGTCCAGCAGGCTATTCACGCCTAATCACCAATGCCAAGTCCCACATTCTTCTGAATCGGGAAAAGCATTGACCTCATAATTGGCGTTTCGGCACCAGTTTGGCTTGTGGAACACAAGATACACGTCATTAATACCCTTTCTCTGTAAAACTCGAAAACGCTTTCCGACCCGCGGCAGCTGCGCTTCTCCAAGGTCGTATCAATAGAAATAATTGAGTAATTACCATTGAGGCTCCAGGGACCATGCCTGGCGCTATAACCTGGCTCTGGACCCTTCAATAAGAATCCCTGAAAGACAATTCACAGCGGACAAATAAGCAAGTGCCTCGCATTCGCGCCGCAGAAGAGGATCCGTCGATCATGATGAGCTTGTCGTGTCTCCGGTGGTGCAGGCGGACTTTGCGGAGAGCACTGCATACCAATTTGGCGTGCCCAGCGCTTTTTCAGCTGCCGTACCTTGTCGAGATCGTGGTACACAGACCTACAGTGCCAATAACTTTAGTGGGGTGCTGGCCGACGATTTTGAGCAGAACATTGCCCGACTTGTGCATAATGACTCGCATTACATTGGTCGCTCTCGTCTGATTCACCGACTGCGATGCTTCTTCTCCTCACGCCTGCGGCTCGTTTTCTCTCCAACTATGGCAACCACTTTGCAGCAGGCCGCAGCGCACCCTCTGCTCCCCGCCAACTTCGCCATGCTGCAGGCCGCGGAGCCTTTGGAGCTCAGAATCGGCCGCCACTGCAAACAGGGGCAGGACATTGGCTTCTGGGCCTGGGGCCTCGTTATCTACCGGTGTGACTACTCTGACGACGACCTGTGGGAGCGTTATCTCGCGAAACTCCTCAGCGACATGGACTTATACTATCGCGAGCACGAATTGTAGAATGCCACGGTAAAGTACTTGACCTGGACTATATTATCGGACCACGACGCACTAGACAGGGCCAGCAAGGAGCTCGTCCACAAACTCTTTATAGAGTGGCGTCACAGCTTCTCCGTTGAGTGCGATGGGCCTACGTGCCGCGCGAGTCTTACCTTCCGACGTACGAACAGATGTCCAACCAGCACTTCTGAGGCACTGATACGATCGACCGCCCAAATTATGGACTAAAGTACCTAGGTAGCTAATGCGGCGTTACGCCCCAACTGCAAGGAAGATCGGAGTGGACGGGGGATCACCCTCGCAACAGGCAACCCCTCCAAGAGGCTCCAGCAAGGAACTTATAGTTGCCGCATGGGCTTATACAGAGGCGCTTGGCTGCTAATCACGTGTTGCAATTGCCTCGTGGCCAATCGTGCTCGTGGGATTTGCATCATTGATCATGGCGCGCCTCTAGCTGAGATGGCCACATTGAACCTTCGAAAATTTTGAGCACGCATCTCTTAATGTGTGGCAAAGAGTCGGGCTTGACAAGGCATTGTAAGGCGCAGCACAATTCAGCCTTACACAATGATTGAGGGAGTGGGGTTCTCGTTGCAACGAATGCCTGGGGCGAAGCAGGAGCCCCGCGCAGTGTCAGCCTACTGCCTCAGACTCGCTCGAAGCCTACAACGACTTTCCTTCACACACTAACCATCTTTTGTTGACATTAGGCGCCATGGCCCGGTTCCGGTATTCCCCTCTGGCTGGGCTTGGTCATCGTCTGCGCCTGGCGACCCTGATGCCGGGACATTTCGACGACGAGGTGAACATCACATTGAAGGAATCCTCACTCTTCCCCCTGGGTCATGAATCGGGAGATGACGAAGATCCGGAAGCAGCAGCCGGGGCCTCGGAATACGCGAATGGTCAATACACAGCACTGTCTTACGTCTGGGGCCCCACAGAAAATCCTGGTCATATTCTGGTCTCGGATGGACACAGCAAAGGTGAACTTTCAATCACGCAAAACTTGGGAGAAGCTCTTAGATACTTGCGATATTCCGAAAAGCCACGGACCTTGTGGGTAGACGCCATCTGCATCAACCAAGGCGATGTTGAAGAAAGGAGCAGCCAGGTCGCTTTCATGGCCCACCTGTACCGACAGGCCCGGGACATTGTGGTCTGGCTGGGCCCGGGAGGACAAGACAACGAGGCGGAATACGGATTAGAATTCCTGAGCACCTGGGGCTTACGAGTCGATGTCGATTGGGACGAGTTCCGGGTGACTGTTCTGCAACATTTCGCCGAGCCACCACGCCGAGAAGAGCTTGGGACAGCAGTCAACGAAGCCCTGCCGGGAGATTCACTCAACCAAAAAGAGTCTCGCGCGGTGTACTATCTCATCAGCCGCGAGTGGTTCAAGAGGTTGTGGACGCGCCAAGAAGTTCTTAACGACAGACCCAAACTCGTGCGCTGCGGCACTATTGAGGTGGATGCGCAGCCATTCCTCCGAGCGATATTCATGATGCACACGAACCAGACCAGCTTCGACTTGCCAGCCGAAGACGCAACGCGCTTTCTCACTCGCCGACAGCTCGTGCATGATCTCTGCGTCGCCTCGCCTGAGACCGAGCCTCTGGAGAGGTTGCGGTTCGGGCTACGCGGCCTCAAGTGCGGTGATCCGGTGGACCACATCTACGCGGCACTGAGTCTGCTGCCTCCTTTTGAGCAGAAGCTCGGCATTGTTCCAGACTACACTTTGTCTCCAGCGGCCGTTTTCCAGGACGTCGCGACCAGGCTCATCACCCGCTCGAAGAACCTGACGCTCCTCAAGACGTGCGAGCTCTCTTCAAAATCGATATCGGAACTACCATCCTGGGTGCCGGACTGGTCCAGCCCGATCCGTGTTACCCCGATCGAAAACCATTGGCATGCCTCAGCATGGATTACAGCCAACTCCCAATTCATCGACGATGAGCATGGTGGTGTTGGGAAGATCTTGAGGGCTGCTTCGATTTGTGGCCCAACGGTGGAAGCGGCACATGAACTAGACATAAATCTCGAGGAGCACAACCTTGTCCAAAGCAACGTCATTGTCCGCATGTGGGAACTTCTCCGACAACACGCCGACCTTTCCCGGCCGTATGTCGGCGGGAATGACCTCTGCGATGCGTTCACAAAGACATTTGCGGCCGAGTTCTTTGAAGACAGATACCTTGCGCGGGTAGGGAGGACGACTTTTGAAGACGCCGAGACGTTTGTGAGGCAGCTCGGCGCCGTCCCGGACAAGGAGGAGCTGCTCGACATCCTGCGCGACTACAGGCCATGGCGGCTTCGGTCTTTTTTCGCCATGGCGGTCAGAATGTTCTTGGGCAGGTGCCTAATCACCACGGCAGAGGGATATATCGGGCTTGCGCCAGAGCACGCCCGGCCTGGGGACGTTGTGTTTGTCATTCTCGGCTGCAGATTACCCATGCTCCTCCGTCCTGGCGCCGGGGAGGTCAAGGACGACGGTGCAGTACCTCTGTCAGCCGCTACCACTTCTACTGCCACACGCCACAAGCGCTGGCAGGTTGTGGGCGGGTGTTACGTCCCGGGGCTGATGAACGGCGAGGCCATCCACGGGCCACTGCCAGAGGGCTTCCAGCCGGTCCAGACTACGACGGGGAGAAACATGCACAGGCTGGTCTTGAGGAACGAGAGGACTGGGGAGGTCAGGATGGACATGGTCCAGCTCTTGATAGACTATGGTTTCGAGATTGCAAAGTTTGTCAAGGAGCCTTGGGAGCTCGAGGTAGGCCTTGAGCAGTTGCAGGCTAGAGGGGTCAGTGTCGAAATGATAGATATCTGCTGAGCTCTCTACACACACACTAGACTATATTTCTGATTGGTAGAGACATCTGATGATATGCAAATAAGCAAGGGCGGGACTCCGTCAAGGGTGCAAGCTACAGCCTTGCCTGCCAGCATGACAAGGTTTCCATCCTCATATTAGCTCCAGCCTGCAGCGGGCAGATGCACGCCTGCATGATGCCTGACCAAGCCAGCTCGGCGGCCTCGCGTCGTACGTGGTAGGCCTGTCCTGGATTAGCAGCTAAGTATATATTTTCCTGTGTTCGAGATTAGCTAAATGTCACGCGTGCCCGCAGACATGCGAGATACGCGCTTAGTGGACATGGGGGGAAGGGAGGGAGGGCGGGGGATGTGTGTGTACAGTCATCAAACTTCGCCCTCTCTAGAACAAATGAGCCCATTTTTTTCCGCCGGTAGCTATCTGCCGAAGGATTTCGAATTTTTGGCGGCTCGGGGCAGGGGGGCTCCTCGGCGTGCGTGCGGCACTTGGGAGCCCTCCCTCGTGGCATCCGGCCCCATGCATTCGATGGACGCACTTTACGACCGGATGGCTGGTCCATGGGGTGGAAGCAAAGGATCGGCCCAACCCTGCAGGGTTGTCCTCTCCCACCCCCCCACACTTGAGGCTACGTTTGATTGTGGTGTGGGCGGCGGCGGCGGCAGAACAGCCCATTCCGCTATATTTGAACAGCCTTGGGCAGGTTTGGAGAACGGCGTTGGTGATTATAGCGTTATCAGCACCGCAACCTTTTTGCCTGTTGGCCGGTGGGGGCAAAGAGAGGAGAGCCCTTGCTGGGCCGTCTGGTTCATTGAGGATGTTTTGCGCGTGTATAGACCAGGGTTTCTAGCGACAAAGAACGGGCATGAGGGCGATCGACGGCATGGGTGTCACCGTGGGGGAAAGGGGAGAGACTACATGCCTAAGGAGGACATCTGAAGCGAGCGGACCATTATGCAGTCTCGGAGGGGCATTTCCGCCTGGAATGTTCCCAGGGCACCAGCATTGTGAGCAGTTGGAGGGCGGGAAAGGGTAAAGATAGGATCCTGAACCATGCCCGGATAGAACTGCCTGGGAAGAGGGGGAGACAGGACCCGCAACGAGGCGAAATCCAATCCATCCCGCCTGCGCCAAGCAACGTAGACATGGGTTGTAGGGCTGACTCCCAGCCTTGCAAGCAAGGGTAAAGAGGAATTCGAGAGCAACGCGGTAAAGCACTCCCTCAACCTCTCAGGGAACGGGAGCCCGCCCGCCGCCCACGGGTGATCCGTGCCCCTAAGCCGCTGCTGACATCCTGAGGCAGCCAGAAGGGGCTTGTCCTTTTGTCTTTTTTCTTGTTGTTCATTTTCCGGACCCCAAATGCCGCAGTTCAGAGCCAGGGAGGGTGGTCGTGCCACCCGCACTTTTTGCGGATTGCGGCTTATCTACCGCGGGAATGGCTGCGGAGTGAGCGCCGGGCGCGCGCGCGGCAGCGGCCTTCGGAGTAAGCGCTAAGCGCGTCGCTTCGACACGCCCGCCGGAGGGGAGGGAAATGCGTGCTTGGTTAATTCCAAAACGCGGCGCGATTTAGCAGGATCGTAATCCTTGGAAAAGAAAAGCCGTGCATGAGACGAGGCCGCTTTCCAATCACGCTTTTTTTGAGACCGAGGCCAATCGCGCTTGAGTCCTGCTGCACAACGTCTTTGGAGATTGCGCACAAGCTTGAGGACCAAAGTGAAAGTCAAATGATGGAGAATTCAAACCAATCATCAGGCGGCACTAATGATTCGCGGAACTGCGCCTTAGTGGCTGGGCATGAGATTTGATCGGAATCACCGATGGATAAGGAATTAGTACGTTCTGAACCGTTGTGCTACAACCGTGGCGGTCTAGTGTTACTCAGGGTAGACCAAGAGCCAAGGCCAGGATCTAAAGAGGGAGCGCCTCCGAGAGCCGCCATCAACTCATAAGTGGACGCTTGGCATCGAGCCGTCATTTACGGCCAGCAGGACGACCAACTTGGCAGTGAGACTTGGGATCGTACCAAAGAACAAACCAGAGAGAGAGAGCTGCGCATCGCAGTAGTCAGTAATTGCGTCACTCCATCGCCCAGCAAACGGCCTGCCGGATTGTGGACCACACAGCTCGGTCTGGTCGTTCTCAGGCGGAGGCCACACAAGGCCGTTGGCATGGCTGTGCGGCTGTAGCGGGGCCAATCTGCTGGCAGGGGGGCCGTTGAGGGCTTGTGGCTGGCCGTCAGCAGGCCATGTCATGGACCTCATAATTTGGGGTCTGAAAATCGGGTACAGCTCCCCAACACCTGGGAAGGCCTGGTGGCCTCCGAGAGAGAGCTCGTGGAAGCTGCTTGAGACGGGCGTCCCTGCATTACTATTTGCTCGAAGGGAATCATCAGATGTCAGGTCTCGCGGGCGATGACTGGATATCTCAGTCTGTTTACCCTGACATGAGAGTGAGCCGGATGAGCCTGGTGGTTCACAAGGGCTTCCATGAGCCATCATCGTTTTGTTTCAGCCTTTTTACATGAGAGCATCTTGAAGCTCATACCCAGAGGCCCGGCTACGCGCCAACCAGAGTGTCGGGACGGCTAGTGTTCGGGGAATGACGAAACTGGAAGAGAAGCCCTGGTCTAGGTTTGGCGTCTCAGCGCTACCCCTGCAAGCCTTGCGCCGGTGTGTTGGACCAAAGAACGAGAAAGCGTCAGCACAGAGGGGCACCCCGGTTTTTGCACGCCTTGTGCGCAGGGGTGCAAAGTGAGGTCACCCTCAGGTATCCGCTGTCACTACCACAGGGCTCATGTTCGTCAAAGTCCCGCCTGGCTGATCAGTGGTTGGGCGGTACTTCCGGGTTCAGCAGCTATGGTACTGAGCGGCGTTGTCCTATTGGCTGGGACTTACGATGGTATAGAGCTCCAATCGGCCACGCTAATTCTGATTGGGCGATCTCATCAGGACCCTTCACGATGGGCGGTCTTCCCCGTCTTCGTCAGGCCGAGCCAAGTGCTCAACGTCACCATCGTCGGCGGCCTTTATCGATTCCTTCTTTTGTCTTGCATACTCGCTGAATGTCAACCGCTTCCGCGCCTGCGCCAAGCTGGTCTTGACGTTCCCTGAAAAGTGGATGTGTCAAGACACTTACTCCGGGACACGCGAACTTGTCCCTCCCTTCTGAAAATATCACGCCCCCCCTCTTCCCCCTGTGTCCCTCATTGTTTTTTACGACGCTACGGGGCCAGAGTTTCGAGTTCCGTACACATCACACTCCGTCATTCCTTACTGATTGTGTGGCTAGTATCCACCCTTGGCCTTTGGGCCTTCTTGCAATCTTCCGTGCCGTGGAGGAATAGCTCGTTGGAGCCCTCAAACCGCTCCCCTCCCTCCAAAGCCTTGCGACGGCCTGCCTCATTCCTCAAGTCCTATATCATCATCTTCACTGCCCTTCACCATGGCTTCCTCTCGGTTTACCAGGCCACAGGGTCATACGATATCCAACACAAGCTCCTCCACGAGGAATACCTCAAGTGACAACGAGGACACCAGCAATATCAAGCAGGAAAGCTCCGACGACGACACAGAACCAAGACCAAGCTCTCAGTCTTGGAACAGCAGCATTCATCCTGTCACAACTGACCATAGACCTCCGACGTCATCGTCACAACCGCCATCACCCAGCACAGACCAGGGGCATCAACACCGCCGTGTAGACAGGACGACTGGCAGGAGCCGAGTGACCATGAGCCAAGGGCCGTGCTCCTTCGCGGATATTGCATATGCCTATCGGCTATACATTCTCGACGACCTGCTCGCCGAGCCCCAGGAGATTGTCCATGACTACATGCGGAACGTCATATACATCAGCCAGCGGTACCGACAGGGCAACTCTGTCGCGCCCATCGAGCTTTCCCACGAGGTCTGGGTCATGGACATCAACACGGCAGAGATCACCTCGACGATCGACACTCTGCCCTACGTGGGCCCGCACTGCCTCGAGCTGCACGACTCGGGCACCTTCATCTATGCAAACGTCGAGCACGGCGGCAGCATCTGCATCGACCCGGACACGGGCATGGTCTACGACGCACAGCTCGCGGGCGGCGGCACGGACGGTGGGGACCAGGCGCACTTCTACTCGTCCCCGGCGTCGTCCACGTCGACACATTCCTATCGAGGGGGCAGCAGTAGTCGTGGCGGCGGGCGCTTGTCGTCCTCCGGGTCGTCCTCAGGCGGCGGTGCGGGCAGAGACGACTTCATCGCAGAGATCGACCTGCGGTCAGGCAAGATGCGCCGCCGGGTCAACGTCCCGCGGAGCGACTCGGCCGCAAACGACGGGAGGCATCTCGCGTTCTCGGCGCCCGCGATTCGCTTCGCCGGGCGCTCGTCCAGCAGCGGGATGCCGGTGGTGCACGTAGAGGGCGACCCGGCGATTGAGGCCATCAAGGCGAGGTTTGGGGCAAAGAGGATCTATGCGACTTCGAGGAATATCATGCTGGTTTGAGGACTGGGTTCCTGCGTGACACTTGTTGGTCTTTAGAGCGCTTGTGATGCGTGGGGAACAGCATGATAACGAGCAAGCTTGGCGGTTGTGTGTCAGAGCAGTCTCTGTGTGCTTCGGTGGTTCTACGTTCCCCGGCTATGGAGCCGATTTTTTGATGACTCGATTGTTGGACATTTTGTGAGCCGTCGTGGCGGAGACGGTTCAAGAATTATTAGAATGAGACTATGAATTAACGCTCTCCTACACCAAAGTATAGCTGAACAGATAGATTCCAAGGTTCAAACCAAGCTAAAGCCCTATGCAGTTGTGGGGCAATGGGTATTGCAGGGGACAAAGAACGATAACATGGTGCCGACTCAACACATATTTTGAGGTTTCGTCCAATGACACTCTTTCAAAACACAGATTTTACCGCTTTTTATACGATGCTCCCTCTCAAGAGTAGCTCTCGTTTCATTCACTTCCGGCCGTAAGCTCTTCCTTAAAGCCTTTAAATGATACGTAACCTTCTATGAGACAGTTTGCGGCGAATCATGTATAGAAATTTTAACTCTGATGTAAACGCAAAAGGCGTGCTGGACATGAACGACAAAGATCGCCACCTTTTCTCTTCCTCGACATGAGTTGTAAAGCTGAACCATGGAATGCTCAGTTATACACTGACAGATTCTTAAAAGACATGGGTGTGCATAGTTGCATTAATAATAGATAAGCTGTATTATCTGAGCTGCACAAGAGTCAACCCCTGGGAACAGACGGGAAAGTGCCGACAGCATCATCTGCCACTTTGATTCCTTCGAGGCTCTACCGTGACGGCACAGCATTGCTTGCTTGCCATATGTGAGCAGAGCGTGCACTGTGCGCCGTGCGCTGCGGGAAGATTGCTCCGCCGACCCTGGGCGGCCGTTTGTTGCGAACCCCGTCTCAGGCTGCGGAACGCCTTGCAGGCAGCCCTGGGCTTCCAACCAACACGTTCATCCACACCCAACCAATCTTCTGCTGGGCATGCCCAATCCTCATCCCGTTCTCGTGGGCTTCATCATTCGAGCATCTCGCACCACAACAGGTGGTGCCTTGGCCATCATCTTCTCGTGATTGCCGTTACCTATTCCGTTTCCCCTTTTTTCACGAGAGCTTCACCACCAACTCACCTCACCGGGACAAACAACAGCCTCAACTCCTTCGTGGCGAGCACGGTCGCGTGCACACTCCCGCAAGGTAGTCGAGGCGCGTAGGTGAACAGCCGTGATGGATCCTCGCTCGCCGCTGCCCCCGTCGGTGCAGGCGAGCGTCTTCCACCATGTGACGCTGCCAGCTCAGTTGCCGCAACGCGCCGACAACAACATCGCAGAGATCGAGACAGCCCTGGTAGACTACCTCTTGCGAGCAGCAAACATCATGAAGTCTGCTGCCCAGGATGGTCCATGGGAATCGATCAGTCGATGCTTGGAGCGTTGCAAAACGATCAACATGGGTGGTCTTGTGGAGCGAACAAGGTTGACGGCCTGCCTGCGGCAGATGGTCGCAGGTGACTTCTTGGTGATCCGAATCGCTGCGCAGAACGCCGCAGTGTTCGTTCGCCTACCTCTTGAGTATGTTTACAAGTTGCCGATCAGCCCTCTGAGCTTCCGAAGCCCTTGTAGCTCTCTGGACCCTTGGACCCCTGCAGCCCGAATAGTGACTAATGCGTAGCAGACAAACTGATGAACAGTTTGCAATCTTCGAGTTCTTCGAGACTTCAGCAAACCGGGAGGATGTGATGCAGTCCCCTACTGGAACTCTGTCTTGGACATTTCCGGGAAGTGCTGTGGCAGTTTCGAAAGCGACTTTTGAAGACGACGAATTCGTGGACACCCTTTCCGGATTTCTGGAACAGGCTTCGATGGAGTCCGCGAAGCACTTCACCCCAGTCGTCACCAAAGCCGGCAGCAGTGTTTTGGAAAGTCGTGACACTGTCGACCCGTCACTCATCACCGCACTTCTTACCGCCACCATCGACGCCAACGGCCAGCGATGCCAAGCCACCCTGCTGCACAAGAAGGTCCGCGACGATGTTTGTTGGAACAATGCTGCACGCCCCTGGAGACGACTCCCATACTGGCTCGTCCAACGGGTCACTATTGCGCGCTACTTGCAAATCATGTTCGAGCGGGAGCCACTGCACGGCCGCCTCCAATACAAGGCATTCCAGTGCGTTTTACACTGCTTGGTCCTGGATGGAACACAGAGCGACGTGAGCCTGGAGGACCAAGCTCACCTCAAGTCAAAAGTCTGCCGGCGCCTTTTCAAGCTCGATCGAGAAAGTGCCAACTGGCCAACGTCCGTCCAATCAGCATACGCTAGCCTAATGTCAAGTCTGCGAGACATTCTGAGCATTCCAATCGACACAGCAGGGCAACGTGCCCTGGACGCTTGGCAGAGAGATATCCCAAGCATGATCAAGACAATTCCGATGCTGCCAAAGAAGGCTGAGGCAGACCATCTCCGTCTTCAGCTAGTGCTGAGCCGCCCCGAGCTCATGGCTGCTCAAGAACGTTTCCGCGCAGCCGATAAGCCATACCGATCACGACAGACCAATGTCCAGTTCTCACCTCGGTCGAGTGGGAGCCAGGTGAGGCAGTTCGCACTGACACACTCTTCCCTCTTCCAGCGAGAAGATGCATTGCGGCAACTGTGCACTTCCTTTGACACTGGAATTGCCCCGACCGATTGCTCCAAGCTTAAGTCAAGCATTCTCGGGTACATCGAAAGTGTTGGTGGCCAGTTCGACAACAACGTCGAGCTCAAGAGCTCTTTTCTCCTGACCGTCTTCGAGGCATGGATGAGTCTCGACAAGATGGTCTGCCAGACCACTCCTCTCCTTAGCGAGTACGACCCAGGCTTCCAAGCCAGTATGCTCGACGTGCTGAACCTCCCGCGTCACTCAGACATGTTGCGAGCCCGCAGGGTCCAAGACTATCTCCAACATCGCAAAGAATCGGCAAGATATTCCCAGACAGTTCTCGACGATCCTCGCAGCGGCTGCTTTGCGGAGAAATACTTCGACACTTGCGATGCAGACGGTGCGCTGGAAAGTCTGCTTCTGGAGATCAGGGCCGACACCGAGGCTGCCAAACAGGCCAAAGAGTCGCAGTGGAGAGAGCTCACGGCACAGTTTGACAGTCTTACAAGGCAGTACGAAGCTGGTACATGCTTGTACGTCGATGACGGTGTCAACGGGCCCAAGCACGAGGCTTGGCAATGCCCTCGCTGCCAAATCAACAAGAGGCGCAACCGGATCGAGATCCGAGCCTTTGAGGATCCTCTTCCCCAGAATGACATGCAGGCCAAAGTCGTGGTGTTCGAGCTCATGCCGCCCGAGAATTTTGTCGCATACCGCGATGCCACCTGGGCCATCTGGTACCGCCTGGGCTTTGAGAAGCAAGAGCCTGGTCAAGGGCCCCGCGTCTGCTTGTGGGAATACTCGGGACTCAGATGCTACATCGACGCGCAGCTTGTCTGTGGCGCCATTACCCTGGCATCAACCACCAAATCTTGTAAGTCGAGGCCTGTTTCTGCGAAGATGCAAGGTAGACTAGCTAACGAGGCTGTCAGTTCTCATGACGCACTACGCTACTGCGACATTCCCAGTCGGGCTGGATCAGGTCATCCGGCCCAATGCGTTGAAGTACGGCTACTACCACGACCAGACAAGAACATGGCCTGGCAGGCTGCATGCGCATCCGAAGCTGCTACACCACTGCAAACTGACCATCCCTCCTTCATCACCGTACGCAACTCTACTGCGCAAGAAGACCTTTGCCCCAGATGGCAATGGCCCATCTTCGTACGAAATCATCGCCAATCACACCAGCTGCCCTCCCAATCTCAACGCTCAGGAGTTCTCTGCTTTTCAGTCCATGCTGAGCGGCAAAGCCATCCGGTGGATCACAATTCTCGTGGAGTTGGCCTCCCCCAATCTCAACATGTCTTCCGCAGATTCCGTTCTCTTGCTCAAGCATCTCTCTGCTCAGCTCGGTCCTGCAGACCCCAACGACTCCGCGGGGGTGACACACTCCGTCTTCCGCGATCCAGTCTTCTGCCAAGCCCTCCTGCGTCAACTCCGCCGAAAGTTAGCGGACATCAAAGACAACTGGCGCGAGATGCACCTGATGGAGGTCATCATCACCCTGAGCCTGCGCATTGCCACGCTTGCAGCACAGCACTCAACTTCTCGGGACTGGGTGCCTCACGCGCTGCAACTCCTCGAGTCCTCTCGCGACATCACGCGGAAGTGGATGCGCGATCTGCGCTCGGCAGGACTCGAGATCGTCGACGTCGGCGCGACAAAGCAGAACCAGTGCTACACGCTGTGGGCGGCAATCCTGTGCAAGCGCACTTTCGCCGCGTTCATCACCGCCATGGGCCCAGACATCGACTCAGAAGACCTTGCGGTGCTGATCGAGTGCTCCGCGACGTCTCATGACGCCACTCCCGAAAAGATTCAAGACCTTCCACTCGTGCTGCAGCAGTCCCTGACCAGCGACCTCAGACTTCAGTATCAACTGAAGCAGCGCGTCGAGCGCGCCTTGGCGCAGTCCGGGGCAGAAAGTCTCCTTGCTGCTCTGAAGCAGCTCTGGATCGGCGCCGACACGCTGAGCGATTTTGAGTTTGAGCAACATGACAAGTGCTGGGTCACCGCATCTATCCATTCCTCCAGCCATCACGTCGCGCAGAGTGTTCAGTACAATTCCCTGTACGGCGTTCTTCTTGTTGATGGGGAGCCCCTGACTGTAAGTGACCAAGCACAGCGTTCCTCGACCAAGCAGTGTGGCATATTTTGCTAATCTACACCGCAGCGTCTCGCACCTGAACCGGAGAACGAGGCTATATTGACGGAATTGTTTGGTGTTCTTAACCTGCGGAAGCGGCCATCGGCTCTCCCTGGTATGACCTATGGTAAGCACACCATTCTCGCTCAATTAGATGATGCCGTGCAAAATCCGAAGATTGGGAGTTGTCTATGAGGTTGCTGAAGACATGAGCCGCCGTACGAGATTCCACCATGTAACGGTATAGAAGATGAGGCACTGAATCTCTCGAGCTCTCATACTTATTTCTGTGATTCGCGTGTCAAGCTGACCAGCTTCTTTTAGAATTGGCGTTCAAGAAGGAAGGTCACAGTATCCATGTTGGTTACGTGAACAGGCGGATGATCATTCGCGCCGTCAAAGGCAGGCAAGTCATGGAGCTGATCAGCCGGAACTTCTTTCATAAAGAAGGGCAATTCGATCTGCCCTCTGAGCTTGTTGACGATTGCTTCCACTGGCTGTGAGTCAAAGTCTATCCTTCGGCGTTGCACACCACTAATACCTGTCTACAGCGATCTGAAAAGGGGTATTTTGGAGATCCGACCCAAATGGTCCATATGGTGGTCGCGCAAAAGCCAGTGGAAACTTGATGTCAGCACATCGGCATGCTACAGAGACAAACAGTACGGCTCGAGAGACTCGTTGGTTGACCCCTACAGTCCACTCTTCGCGCGCGTAGCTCGACTTTTCAACTACTTCGAGTACAAGAGATACCTCACTGTGTTTCAGCCAGCCAGGTTCGCTCTGACGGTTGACATGAAGCGGATGCAGCTTCGCTGGCACGTCAATGACGAGTTTGCACTACAATCTCGACAACTCTCGGTGCAAATCGACTTCAACCAAGATATTGGCACTTGGTATGGATTCCGCAGTGCTCTGGTGTGCAAGAACATCAACAACCCGGATGAGCGTTCAGTGCTTGTTCCGTTGCGCCCTCTTAAGGCGGTACGACACGCTTCCCACGTCTACGTTCACGGTATTGGCACTTCCGATGCCATGGTGCCTTACATTCGGTACACTGTCAACTCCGTGCTCGGTCGTCTCGACTGCGTTGCGGAGCCTGCTCTTGTCTACAAGAAGGCAGAGATCCATGCGCTTACATCGGGCATGTTGGCAGACCCTCTGACGCGACGCACTGGCGCCGAAGAAGCATTGAGTATCTTGTCTTCTGGTCTCGCGCAGCCGTGGACACCGCTTGCGAACATACCCTCAGGGATACTGCACGCCATTGCCAGGATCAGTCCTTTGCGGGAGTGGTACCCAGAGGACAAGCAAGTGATGCAGAGGACATTGTGGAATCCAGACCTCCCGTGTCATGCACAGCGCGAGGAGTATCCGATCCTTGTTCACCGCATTCTGGAGCGATCTGCCCGCCTGAGCACATTCCACTTAGAAAACGGCTTCATCCCTCTCCAGGTCGAGCATGGGAACCAGCAGCTGAGGCTCAGAGCCCTCCGACGGCGAGACAAGCATCGCAGGCCGATCGAGACGGACTTGCGGTGGGAGGACGTCACAGACAGCCCCTACCTTGCTCGTGACCGGCCTCGTAATCACGGCAAGTACGCCCGCGTCTTCGAGATCATTACCCTGCTGCGACAGAGTCCCAGCGAGATGCCAACCTGCACCAACCTGGCCCAGCTTCTCTCCGAGGCGCATTCCATATGTGGGTTTACCACCATCTTTGACAGGCCGACCATCTCGGAAAAGCTCGATGTCAGCATCCGTGGCGAATGGGGCTCTTTGGTCCATGCTGTGCGCAAAATGGAGAAATACCCGCTCATGTTCTTCCTGGGCACCATCGCATATGGCAACAATCACGAGCGAGAGCTACTTCGCACACTTGTCGCACACAGCATTTGGGAGCCCTTGCGAACCGTATCTTTACCATCGGCCCCTACCTTCAACAACTTCCGCCCACACCAAAACCCGCAGCTCGCTGTGCTCACTAAGCTTGTCGAGCAGTTCAAAGTGCCTGCCCCAGCAGTAAGTCTGGCCGCCCAATCCTGCCGTGTCAATGGTGCTAATCGTATCAGGACCCGGAACTGGCAGAGTATGCCACGAACAAGCAGAAGAAGAACCTCAAACAGGCTCGCGAGGCGCATGAGAGGAAAGCCACCGAGGATTGCGAGTTCTTTGTCCGGCACCTCCTCAATCAGTGGCCTTGCGAAATCCCACAGTACGAACTTCCCAGTAGGACGTACCTGCTGGACATCACAGCAGCCTACGCCAGCATCCTTCCTGAGTGGACGCAGCTCTACACGAATCGACAACTCTCTCTTCATCTTGACCTGGTTCAAGGCATTCTCAATGAACACACAGATCCATCTTTTGCGTTCTCACGCCCTGACTTCCACGCCACCAATGCCGAGTTTCCGCGTCCCACGCTCCCAAGAGAACTTCCTACATTGACAGAGGTTCTGACTGCATGCGGTGCTACTTGTCTGAGCCAGACGTCTAGAGGGTCGTCCTTTTCACCCGTGGCGGACTCATACACGTCGAATACAGCCAGGGGATCTACCTCTGAACGCCTGGTGAATTCACAAACGTGCCTCTCGTTGAGTGCGGCCAACTCACGATTCACATCCAAGCGCCCAATCCCGCCCAACGACGCGCGAGCAGTGGGAGAACTCGCACAGATTGTGAAAGACCTGTCTCGTTCAGCATCTCTGGTGCAACAGAGGTACGCCGCCGACCTCGGGCGCAGTCTCGAGGCTTTCGTCGATGGCGGCGCGGAGGAGCTGCCGGTTGGCCAGGAGGTGACGCGGACTCTGAGGTCGTTGAACCTGCGCACCATGCGGCTCCTTGATTCACTCATGTCAGATACAGCAACAGAATCTTACCACTTCTCGCAGGCCCAGATACGTTGGCTGTACGCGGGAAAGCTGTGGCCGGTCACATCACCCATCACGCTCCTCGAGCAGCTCCGCGAATCACGAGAGCCCAGACTTGATGGCTCGGCAAAAGCACAAATCATCGAGTTCGCACTTTCCATAATCGACCTGCAACGGGCTCTGCGTATGGAGAAGCACGAGAAGTCAGGGGAAAAAGTCCGCTGGAGGGAGGAGCAGGCGAATCCTGGACACAGAACATGGAACCCTACAGACTACCCCGACTGGCTCCTGTTAGAGATCGAGTCAGACATCTTGATTCGCGATGGACAGGTCGAGGTTGCTCAGGCCATCATCGCACCACAATCTGGTAAATCCAGCGTCCTCCAGCTCAATATGGGCCAGGGAAAAACCTCATGCATCATCCCCATGGTCGCTACTGTATTGGCCGACGGGGAAAACCTCGTCAGGGTCTGCGTCCCAAAGGCACTACTACAGCAAACTGCCCAACTTTTGCAGACCCGCCTTGGAGGTCTCGTTGGCCGCAGAATTGGTCATGTACCGTTCTCGCGCAAGACGACGACGGACGAGCCCACCATCAAACAGTTCCAGCGACTGCATGTTATGCTACAGAAGGATCGTAAGTCATTTCACAAAAGTCAAAAGCGCTTCAATGCGACAGGTATTCTAACGATCTTATCTCAGGCGGCGTGATGATATGTCTCCCCGAGCACCAGTTGTCCTTCTCACTGTCGACATCTCAACGGGTTTTGGACGACCGTGTACCTGAAGCCAGACTCATGGCACGTTTTCAGAAATGGCTACAGTCACACGCCAGGGATATTCTTGACGAAAGTGACCACACGCTGGCGGTGCGAACACAGCTGATATACCCCTCTGGACCCCAGACAGCCGTGGATGGGCATCCACACCGGTGGCTTGTGGCCGAACAAGTCCTAGCTCTTGTAGAGCTTCAGCTTGATGACCTCCAGAAAACATTCCCTCGCTCAATTGAGGTAGTCAGACGAGAGGCTGGTGGCTTTCCTCACGTGTTCTTCCTGCGTTCTGATGTTGAAGAAGAACTCATTCGAAGACTGACCTGGGACATCTGCCGTGGCCATCGAGGCATTCTGCCCATCGACAGCTTAGATGCAGCCGATCGCTCAGCCATCAAGGAGTTCCTGACCTCATTCAATGTCGAACAGTCAACGTTAGACCGCATCAGTGGCCTCTGTCCTGATCAAGCCCACATTCGCTCCTCGATCATGATTCTCAGAGGTCTCCTGCTTCACCGCATCCTATTGATGACGCTGAAGAAGCGCTATGGTGTGACATATGGGCTTCACGAAACCCGCGATCCTGTTGCCGTTCCTTTCCATGCCAAAGGCGTCCCCAGCGACACCTCGGAATTCGGGCACGTTGATGTCTCAATCTTACTGACCTGTCTGGCGTTCTACCACAAAGGTCTGAACACACATCAGATTCGCGAGGCACTTGGCGCAGTTCTCAAGTCCGACGACCCGGCTGCAGAGTACGATAATTGGTGTGACCACGACGATTTTCCAGACCACCTGAGGAACTGGCATGCCGTCAACGCTGGCGACGAACGACAAATTGCTGACATCCATCAGTTCGTCCAGTTCAAGGTCGTGGTCATCGACTATTATCTGAACAATTTTGTCTTTCCTCGACATGCGAAACAATTCAAGGTCAAGCTGCAATCGAGCGGTTGGGATATCCCCCTCTTTAAGCCAGATTCACAATCCAACAAGGTCGACCAGGGAGCTGTATTCTCAAAGACTGGTCGCCACTTGACCACGGGCTTTTCGGGCACAAACGACATCAAACCACTTTTACCTCTCACAATCAGCCAAGATGACATCCCGTCCCTGCTCAAGACAAATGCGAAGGTGCTGACCTATCTCCTTCAGCCAAGATCGCGCAACTACAGGATCATGAGACTCCCTCTTGGCAAGCGGATGTCAGAAGAGCAGTTCCTTTTCATGCTCAAGAGCCACGGCAAAGATGGCATCCGTATCCTTATCGACTCGGGCGCACAGATTCTTGAAATGACCAACGCTGAGCTTGTCCAGAAATGGCTCAAGATGGACGGCCGTGCCAGTGCGGCGCTCTACTTCAGCAGAGATCGCCCGTACATCATGTCCAAGACTGGTACAACGGTTCCCCTCTCGGCTTCGCCGTATGCCGACAATCTCAAGGAGGTGCTCGTCTACCTTGACGAGGTAAGCTTAATATCTAATTGTTCTTAGCTTGATATGGTCGGTTTTTAACACAGGTGACAGGCACATACGCGCGGCACAGACCTGCGGTTTGACCGTGACGCGCATGCTGCCCTTACACTGGGCTTGGGCCAGACAAAGGATCACACAGTCCAGGCTGCCATGCGACTCCGCCAGCTCGGAACGACACAGTCGGTGACGTTCTTCGCCCCCGTGGAGGTTGATCAAAGTATCCGAGATCTCTGCAAGAAAGAGCTTTTTGCCACCATCGATTCAAGCCATGTCATCAAATGGTTGGTGCACAACACGTGCAGTCTGACCGAGTCACTTCAACCGCTGTACTTCGCCCAAGGCATGGACTTCTGCGCAAGAATGCAAGCTGCAGTCGATCACCCAGACTTCCTCTCAGACGCGGCCGACAGGCGAGAGTACATCCGCACCATCCGCCAGACTGAGCGGCAGACCCTGCAGCAGCTGTACGCGCCACAAACCAAGGCCAAGACAGCCAAGGACAAGCTCCTGCTCACCGGCGTTCTTGGTGACTTCCGGAAGGAGCTCAACCAGCGCCGCAAAAGGTTCCAAGACACGGGCCACGCTGTGCACGCCTCCGCCCTCGAAGAGGTTGAGCAAGAGCGCGAGATCGAACAAGAAGTCGAGGCCGTCCGGCAGGTCAAGAAGCCCCTTCCCTACACTCCGTTCACCTTTCCGGGACTGCACAGGGATGTTGAGAACTTTGCCAGAACTGGCCGTTTTGCCGCTGGGTCCGATGTCTTTGTCTCTGCCCTGACATTCATGGCAAGATCGTCCACGGGACGCAAGTACAAGGTCAACTCAAAGGCTGGGTCCGCCAAGTTATTTGTCACGATGGAGTTCACCAGAACTGTGAGAATCGAGGTCGTCTCTACAAACGACAACTTTATTGTAAGTCATCACTCCACACAATTAAGCGTGCGAACGCGACTTCTAGAGCAGTGTTTCTGAACATGGCTGACACTTCTCAACTCATTTCCAGCGCCCGGTCCAGTGGATATTGTACTCGCCAAAGCCAGAGGCAGCAGTCGTAGTCACCCCAGAGGAAGCAGAGTGCCTGGTTCCAATTTTGCGCCGCCACGGCAAGAAGGATAGCGGGACCGGCGAGCCTGCGACATACCTCATAACATATGCCGGCGCGACGACTCGTCGCATGCGCACGACCGTAGGATCATTCAAATTCTACAGCATACCATCTCTACCCACGAACTGGTCTCCGCCTCCGTGGCTCAAGGTGGAAGTCGGCGTGCTGGCAGGGCGGCTGTACTTTGACTGGGACGAGTACGCCGAGATCTGCAAGCTCTTGGGAATCGCAGACACCACGGGCGCCGCCACAAACATGGAAGACGAATTCACAGAGATCGCACGCATCAGCGAGGTCACAGACACCACGAGCGGCGTCGAAGCAAGCGGGCCAGACGCTACATCTCACTCGTCAGACGACGCCAAGGCGCAGCAGCAGCAGCAGAAGTTTGCTCCCACCCACCACTCCGCAAGCCTCGAAGCGTCTCTGGACGGTGCATTCGATGCCAAGAACGACCAGGCCAACAAGAAAGGAAGCCACGTGCCGCCGCGTGACTCCACACCGGCCGCGGCGGCCGCCTTGAGCACCAAGCCCTTCTCCTTCACGCGGGACTGGCTGTCCGTCCGCCGCCACGGCCAAGAGTTTTCCCACTCGCCCATGGGCTTCTTGTGCCTGCGCAAGCCCCTCCACGCGGACCACGCCTTCTTTGAAAAGACGGACGCCTTTGTGCGCCGCGAGGACCTCAAGCCGGGGAAGCTCGCCACCATGAACCCTACACAACTTGACGGCGCCGGTGGGGACTACTACAACTCCGGTGATGATGATGGTGACGGTAACGGCGGCGACCATGCCGCTGCCGCGCTGGCTGCTGGCATGACGACGAATGGCGGCGCAGAGGGGGAGATGGTCGACTTCGGCGAGCACGACCCCTCCGCTGTCCTGCGCGACGACGACGTCCACGTCAAGATCCGCTATGAAAGCGACGAAGACGGCGAGGACGACGTGGGCGGGACCATGATGGGCGATGTTGGCCAGAATGGCGGCGGCGGCGAAGGGGCGGGAGGTGCGGGCCACTCGGCTTGGGCCAGTGCTCGACGGCTCGATGGAGGAGGAGTCTCCGCGACCGCGGCGCGTGCTGGACGGGGGGGAAGACAAGGTCGAGGCGGCAGAAGCCGTTAATTGTGTGTGAGAGTGTTTTCTTGGGAGAGCTTGATTCTTCTTGGAGGAAGGGGGGCCTTCTGTTTTTTCAGCAGTGTTTGATGGACCACAGACATGAGACTGGATGTGGCGTTCGGATGGAGTCGCGAAGTTTTGTAGGATTACTCAACTCTTGTAGGAATAACATGTTTTGTAGGTTTACCTAACCCGTCCTAACGTGAGATGCTCATCAAACATTTGCCGAGGCATCCGTGCCCGTCGGCAGTCATCACAACTAAAGTTTTGAGGTTGAGACGATCGAAAGAGGTGATTGAATGTTCTGCGTCAAGGTCGCCAGAAGCTCAAAGATCTGGCTGCTCAGAGATTAGAGATGAAAGCGAGAAGAGGTTGGAGGATCATTAAAGAAGAGCCACTTCAAAAAGATGTTTGATAAGAAACCAAAAAACCATCGAACGTCTGGATATCATATTGAGGACCGCATATAATGAACTGCAGACTTTGAATCAATGACCGGGTCGCTTCATAAGCCTCCCCAAATCTTAGCTAACGAACACTTTATCCCGAAACGCCAGCGCAACTCCCGTCCAAAATTCAAACCCCAACGCGAAACTTGGCGACGCGGTGCGCTACGAGAACTTGCTCGTCACGGAGCCCCAGAGAATGTTCCTCTTTTGCTTCTTGAAAAACTTGTTTGCCTCGTCGGCCCAATTCTGGCTGGCGTTCGCCGCACCTTCAACGCTGTCGTTCATCAAGTTGAGCTTTTCTGTGCGCTCATTGAGCTGCCGCGTGAGATACTCGCCCCAGCCCTCTTGGCTCGTGCCCGCCATGGACGAAGAGCCATAGCCTTGGCTTGCAGCCGTGCTGCCACGAGAGCCTTGCTGCATGGCTGTCGCTGCCTCCATCATCCGCTTGCTAGGCGGCCGGTCGGCCCCGCCGATGAGGAGATCCAAGTCCGGTGGCGAGATGTACTGTGTGCCTGATATCCATTGGACGTTTGATATCGTAGGTCGGGGTGGCAAGACCAGCGCCGGGTTAATCAATCTGTCTGCAGTGTTGCCAAGCTGCTTGCCAATACCCCAAACATCGAGAATAGCCAGCTCAGAAGGTCCGGCCCAGACAAAGACATCCCCATCATTGGTGACGATAGCGTCCTCGCCACGGCTGCCGTCCATCATTGGTATTCTGGCGCTGCCAATCTCCTTCAGTCCCGGTAGCGAGAATGCTCGTGTGACCCGGTCACCAAATACACCGACAAGAGCCATTCCGTGGAGTTGAAACTCCGTCACGGATGCCGCGTCGCACAGGTAATCATCGAAGGACTTGCTTGCGCCTTTGGCTGTCGCAGGTTTGAAGATGCGGGCTTCGCTGCGTGTCACTGTCGCCTGAATTAGCAGTGCGACCGGCAGAAGTGCCAATGAGCTTTCCTTAGACTTACCAACAACCAAAAGACCTTCGATGCTCTTGCCCTCTCTGAGACCAGCAACGGCGCTGCCTGTGGCATATGCAGGTTTGCCTGTCGCGGCGACAATCGGGCAAAGAGCCACAACACGATCGTTGAACTGGGTCACCCCCGCAGCTTGCACGCTGTAGCCGTTGCCAGACGGAAGCAGCTTCAGCGTAACTACTTTGCCCTCGGTAGTGCCAACGAAACAACAAATGCTCGAGTAACTGTCGTCCTCGAGAGTCATAACGCCAAACTCAACCTTGACTGGGTAGTCTCTGCCGCTGGCGGTTGGCGTGCTGCCCTTCAAGAACGACGCCCTCTTGTCTTTCTTGATGTAGTCCGCCATCGAGGCCTGGAAGATTACAGCCGGCTGCCTCAGGTCGATGATGGTGATGAAGCCACCCTCAGATCCGATAGCCACAAACCCGATGTCGGAAACCTTGAGAACGCTTATGGGTCCTTGCATCATCTCATACATGACGGCTGGTTGCAGGCCAGTCTTGAGGCTCGGCTCGGCTCTCAAGCTGATGTCGGTCAGCCCGCCAGGATTCGGGTCAAGATGTTGAGATTGGTCCTGCCCGAAGAACTTGTTGCCGCCCCATTTGTAGATGAGGACCTCGCCACCAGTTGTGCCAACTGCCAACTCGCCCGTCTGAGCGCCCATGCTCAAGGCTGTGACTGTGATGTCTTCGTACCGGTTCAGCGACCGGGCAACATCAACCTGGAGTTGTGTCGGGTTCTCAATCTCGTCGCCGTGGCCAACATCCCAGATGCGCACGGTGCTATCAGCATGTGCGACCTGAATAATCGTCCGGCCTTCAAACTTGCGTGAAGGCAACGCTGCTTCTGCGCCACCCTTGAGCAGTGGCTCACCACGATTTCGATTCTCCACCATTCCAAGCCATCTTGGCCGATCGAGGACTGTGACTTCGAATTTTGTGGCAAAGGGATGAACAAACGACAAGGAAGGATGGAGCTGGTTCGTAGGCGAGATCGGGTAACCGCTAGGAAAACTCATGGTCAGAAGCTCACCGGAGGAGAGTAGCGTCAGCACGGCAATAGGGTCACAGGCGTTGGCGAAATGTGGAGATACTCTCGGGGCAAGGAAGAAGTCGGCGACCTCTGCTCCGGGAGGTGTTTCCAGCGTTGACTGCTTCTTCCCTTTGCAGTAGTCAGCCAGAATCTGCCATGACGATGTCGCATACACGGGCGTGACACCCAGCTCGATGAATGTCAGCCCGTTGGCTGGCTCATCCATACTCCGCCCTCCAGCGATCAGTAGCCCACTGTCTTCTGGGTTGGGTTTGCAACACCAAGTAATCCGAATGAAGGGCTGCCGCTGTTTCGGCGTGGGGTGCTTCGGCGAAGGCTGATCAACACCGAAGTCATCTAGGGTTCTTGCCATGACGACACGTCCGTCCTTTGCATCCCAGAAGACCAAGCTTCCATCATTGTGCGCCGTGAGTATGAAAGTCCCTGTCGGATGCCACACCGCCTGCGTGACCCTGGGTTTCCGCAACATGTCGACGCCAATGCCGTTGCCACCGTGTGCACCAGGTGGTACTTGGTACTCCAGAAACATTGTGGGCTGGTTTTGTTTGAACGAGTATATAGCGACACCATGGCTGTACGCGATCATGAGCTTGCCGATGTCTCGAGGGTGTAGCTGCATGGACACCAGAGATATGGCGCGGGCTTTGGGATCTTTCTTGTTCCAAAAGTTGGGTAGCCGGAAGTTCGACATGCGCTCGCGGTCGAGGTCATAGGCGAAAACATCGCCCTGCTGCATGCCAATGAAGCACCAGTCAAGCATTGGATCTGTGAGCATAGAGACGCACACGCCTGGTGCGCGGAAAGAGTTGACTTTCGCTCCCGTATCGAGGTTCCATATTGTCATTTCATGTTTCGAGTCGAGACTGATCAAGCGGTTGGCGCAGAACTGAACATCGACAAAGGAACAGGGCTGGCTGGGCACAAAGAGCTTCTGAACCCGATTCTGTCCGACTGCCGACGAGAGGTCATGGTCAGCTCAATCAAACGATTTGCGATCTTGAAAGACAGAGCCAGAGATTAAGCCGCCAGCACTTACACACATATATCCGACCGCTGCCAAACTTGGATTCATTCGTGCCGACGGCGAGCAGAGATTGGACTGGTTCGTAGCATAAACAACTGTGTTTTCCTCGCCCGTCAGCAAGAAAGAGTCAGGTCCAGATGCCCCCCCAGTTGGTGTCGAACCTGATTTGCGAGTTTATGCCATAGCGCGAGCGATCGTCTGGGGCAAAGAGCTCGGGACGGATGTTGACCGAGAGGTCATTGTGCATGCCCGTCTGCTTGCCGCGGAGGAAGGCGGACATGATGGGCTGGCGTCGCGATCCGGGAGTCGTGCGTGCTGATGTCTGAATGTGAAGGACTGGGGTGTTGTCGACGCCGTGGCTAGCCGTGCTGGAACGCACCAGTGGGAATGCAAGGGAAGCAGTGCGAACGAGGTTTCGCTTGAGGGAGGTGACTTGTCGCCGGAAGACAAGGAGTAGCGGAAGCAAGAACCTGACAGCGAGCCCGCTTGCTGTTCAGAGGTTGCAGGGCCTGGCCGGATCTGACGTGCCGTGCGGCGAAGCAAGCTCGAAGTGGTGCTCTGTCAGTCACGGGCATGGATCCTCCCTTCGCGGGGTGCCCACGGAACACGGCAATGCGCATTGAGCTTGGGGGCAAGTGGGGAGCTCTCTGCCTGCCTGGGGCAGCCACAAGGCAGGCAGGGGTGCAGGACCCTGCCGACGTCATCTCCTCCCAGGTAGGCCAGGTCCGCCTTGGTCCGTCGTGGTGTCGTTGTCCCGCCTTCCGTACACCAGGGCTCGGTACCAGAGTCCACAAACCTCAATCCCAGGTATCCAGGACAACCACCAACCTCGCCATGGAGGAACAAAGCGAGTTGCCGTGGTTTCGGCAGCACGCCGACAGCAACAGCCCGTATTTCAGGATGCCTGGCCTCAGGCCTTCCGGGCCGCCCAGCATGTCATTGACTCACAAGGTGGGCAATGGGGAAAACGACCCAAGAGCTTCTCGTAACCCAAACACCTATTGAAATGTCGAGGCACTCTGCATGTTGAACATTTTGCTCTTGCCGAAACAATATCTACGGACAGTCACGTCATCACGGGCCGACAGCACAACGCGACGACCTTCCAGTCTTTGTCCGCCTCGAGCACTTACATGGTTGTTGCAGTCTCGAAACTCGGCAAAAGAGACAAGTGGTCACTCTGTTCAAGCGATATGGTCCGCGAATTTCGACCCAAAATTACTATCAAGGCAAGCCAGACTAGACTTTGGAACCATTCGAGGCCGTTGCTGACACTCGACGTCAGAAGTCGGGCATCGCCCCAAACGTGCCCCTGCGGAGGTCTTCTCTGCACAAGTCCACCACAGCTTACGACGAGGGCGACGACACCCGTGACGAAGAATGGTCACCAGAGCTTGTCACCGCCCGGCACAAGCGGCAAACCCCTCCATCGCCTATCCTCGGCCACGAGCCACGGCCAGGAAAGCGCCTGGCGTCCGCCGAGAAGCTGCAGGCCACAGTGTCGAGTTCTGACCAGTCACCTGCCGGTGGCCGCCCAACTGCAGGTGAGCGACAGGTCACCAATGTCGCTGGGCAGAAGGATTCACAGGCATTCGCTGCCCATCCGCTACCTAGTCCGGCACAAAGCAGCACACCGGTCGCAGCAGCGACAGCACCAGCACCAGCACCAGCCCCAGCCCCAGCCCCAGAGACATCAAATGTCTTGGCGCTCGAGGCCAAAATCAAAGATCTCGAGCTCAAGCTCTGCAGAGCCAAGGGTATCGACCTCTTCCAAGTGAAGAACAAGCTCGTCTGGACTATGCAAGAGCTCGACAAGGTCAAGGACGCCAACGACAAGCTGCGAGCATCACAGAGGCGAACCGACACGTCGTGGCACATCGTCCAAACCATATTCCCGCAAGTTGGGCTCCTTCTGAGAGCCGACCCAGCCAAAGTGAATGAGCTATATGACCGGTGCAAGGCGCAACAGGCGCAAGTGGCAGCTCCGCGACAGCAGCTTGGTCGTCCCTTACAGGTTGCGGGAGACGCCCCTAAAAATAATAATCCGGTCGGTGCTGCGCAGCCTGAGGCCCAGGCACATGGATCTGCCCAGACACCTCCTGTGAGCAGGCCGGCTGGTTCGCTATTCACTGGGCAGTGGAAGAGCATTGAAACTGCGGCCCTTCCGCAGCACCAATCCGCCAGTCTGGCCACGCCGACAGCTAAGAATGTCGCGAACGACGGCCATGTCGTGAATGCTGGGGAGAACTTGCTCTCCAGAATTCATCAGGTGCTCATCGGGACTCCAGACGGCTCCTCACTGCTTGAGATCGACGGTCGCAAACGTCGTCGTCGTTACGGACGAAAGCAAAGCGACTCCGCGCAGAGCACCCAGCCCGAAACGGACACAGCAGTAGAAACCTCGTCAACTATTCCAGCTCCCGAGAAGCAGCAATCAGGCAAGCCGGGCAGTACATCAGGAGGTCCGTTGGCGCCTCAAGCCTTGGTGCCTCCATCAACTGACGGTCCTGCTCTGCCAGCCAGCGATCCTCCAGCTGGCCCTGCAGACGACTTGTCCGATCTCATCGCACAGCTCAACGCCCAGCCAGACCAGATCATCCAGCCCCTTTCGGCGGACTCTCCCAATGCGCCACCAGAATCAGGCACCAATCAAAGTCACGACGCGGATCCTACAGCGACCCCAAGCTTCGCCGACTCCCTCAGCACCAACGCCCCTGTTCTTCTGCCGCATCACAGCCCGCCCGAGTCGGCCAGTCTCCTCACCTAGAACAAGACCGAGGACGTACAGCCCGCGACCAACAAACCAGCCTCAACGACGGCCGCTACTGTCGTCGTCGAGGCCCTCCGCGCAGAGAACGCCGACTTGCTCGAGCAGAACAAGCAGCTCCAGCGCCGCGTGCGGGTACTCCTGAACCAGCAGACCGGCTGTGGGCTTCCGAGTTGAACAGTTGTCAAGAGTTTCGCATGCTATCTTTCTTTTTGCGGCTGCGCATAATATCTCTGAGGTGTGATTTGTGTTTGACGGTTCTTGACGCCAGGCAGAGGGATATGAATGTAGCGTGTAAGCGCGGCCTGGCTGTCGGAGTCTAGGGGTGGTGTTAATCATGTCTTTTCCCAGTAGGGGTGTTATGGTGACTGTATCGAGTTACAGGCCACCAAAGTGCGGGAGTGTGGATTTTTACGAATGCTGATGACGATCATGATACGCAGGCGGAAAACCCAGATCCTGAGTCGCAAAGCATGGCGCATGGAGTTGCTTAGGGATCAGAAAGCAGGCACCTTCTCGTGTAGACGATATTGAAAGAGCGAAAAGAACTACAGAATCTTGGTGCTTATTTCCACATGCACATGGCTATTGATATCGCATGGTTACTGGGCATCTACATCTATTGCCAAGAAATGAAGTCGCGGACCACCTTGCCAGAAACCTTTAGGGACGAGGGCCATTACACCAGCGGAAACTTAGCTCTATTCATCGTGGAGTAGAGTGCCAGAGCTATTATCCCGAGAATTCTATAGCTCATCTTTGACAGACGCAGACGAGGTCGGCTCTTCTTGCAGAGTGCGGCTCTTGGTGTTCCTCTTGTCATCTCCACGCATGACCTTCTGACTGTTGTCAACATCGCCTGGCTTGATATGAACCGCCCCATCGCCAGCATCGTCCTTTTGAACTACAGGCGATGAATGCGCCACTGGCGGCAAGCCCTTACGCTTGCGATCGACCGCGGCAATCTCGTCATCGTAGACAGTCCACTCAGGAACTTGCCTCCGTGCGCGGTCCAGCTTGGGCTCCTTGGTCTGCGGGTTGTTGCACAGATCAATGGTGCGGGCTTCCTTGAGGCTCTCGTCGCTACACCACGTCTCGCACCAGAGCCACTCCTGCGGCAGGCTGTGAATCGGGATGTTGAACTGCATGTGGTTTGGCAGGTCTTGGTCCAGGTTGGCCAGAGAGTTGGGGTCAGCAGAGAGTGTGTGGTACTGCTGGCGGAGACGATCGCCAGCGGCGAGCTGACGGAAGCGCTTCAAGTCCACGACGTACAGGGCTGAGATGTGGTACGGTAGGCCGCGTAGGTAGTTAGCCCAGTAGCCCTGCTTCCAAAAGCGGAAGCCTTCCATCTCGGTGCGGCTGTCGCACATGGGCGTGAATCCGTACGGTGCGCCCTCGAGGTCGTGATTGACAAGGTCGATCATGTCAGTGCGTACAACCTGATCAGCATCGACGAAGATTACCTTGTCAAGGGAAAGGGGAAAGAGTACGTCGAGAAACAGGATCTTGTAGCCCCATATCTCGCGCTGCTTCTCCTTCTGTTGTCTCAGCCAATGCGGCCACTTGTAGGTGACCATTTCGTATTGGAAGCCATACTCGGCTGCGAGATGTGGGATGAACTCCTTGAAGGAAGGGGACAGGAACTGCTCAATGAACCAAAACTTGACGCTGTGTTTCGTGTTTTTCATGACGGAGACCATCATGATGTTGAGCATTCGCTCATACAAATGACCACTCGCCACAGAAAAGATATTGATCTCGGCGTGTTTGACCTTGTCGACAGCTTTGGACTTGGACTTGGAACTCCCGAGTAGTCCCTCGGCGAACTTAAGGCCGCGAGACAGCAGATCATCTCCGCCAGTAGAGCTGCTCTCTTCGAGCACATCCTCTTCTTCCTTGCCTGGCTTGATCTTCAGGCGAGGGTAGAGAGTCGCGCCTTCGAAGCTCATCAGGGCAACCTCAGTACCCTCGTCACCAGGCACAGCAGCGTGGCCTTGGGTACCAACACTCTCGATCTCAAAGATTTCAGAGCTACGTCCTTCTTTGAGCTCTATGTTGTAGTAGCCTGGATTGGCCTTGAACTGGAAATAGCCAATATTCGCCATGATCAGAGTGTCTGCAGTATGGGGGTTCTGCTTGGTGCCGAGGACAAGCTGAGCACCACGAGGCGGCGACCCATTGTTGTCCCTCGAATGACCTTCAATCAGGATGTGCTCAAGTTCGTAAACGATATCAACATCGCCCTTGATGGATGCGAGCTTGAGGTTATCAGGGTCATGCACAGTCTCCTTGGCAGATACCAGCCAGGCGGGAGGAACATTGGTGCCCAGGTTGAGAAGGGCTTCGGAGGGCACACCAGTGAATCTTGCTACACTTGGAGCGACCTTACCGTGAGCATCGAAGGACGGTGCAGACTCAAATACCTGGCGGTAAAAGCGCTTGATCGGCAGCTCATCAAGTCGGTCGCGGGGATTGAGGAACACGCGCAAGTACACGCCATCGAGCTCGGAGAGGACCTTGAGAATCGACGCCCACTTCTGGCACTGTTCGCTAACAGGGTTGAGGACAGCTGCAAGCTGGATACTTGCCGTTGCCGCGTCACCAACCTCGAACATGGTATGCTCAGACTTGAACTTGTCGTACATGGTGGTTCGAACAGTCGGTGCCGATTCAAATATGCCTTCTGGCACATCAGAGATTGTTGACAGCGCGGTGATGGACGTCAGTTTCGCAGCTGCGATTGGGTCGCAAATCTTGTCAACGAGACCAAGAGCCTCTACAGCGCGGTATACCGGAGAGATGCGAGCTGCCTGCTCGTACTCGAGTAGCTGCTGTAAATCTTCCTCCGTAAACGGTGCGTCTTTGTTGAATGGTCCCACGACGCGGCCATTGAGGAGCACAACTTGTGCGCCAGGGGTAACACCGACTGCCTTCAAGAACGGGGCCAGCTTCTCGTCGAAGCCATTGTATATAGCGGTTATAGGACGGCTCAGAATTGCAGCCAGCTCATCGGATGTCGTCGCTTTGAGGATTTCTTGAGCTTGGCCTTGCAGTGCATGATTGATTGAATCGGCAGCAACCGCATTAGAAGGATTCGGAACAATCTCGAGGCGTACCCCAGGGTTGCTGCGACGGAACGCCGCAGCTGATAATAGTAACTTTTTGCCCTCTTCAGTCTCGAGGTTCGTCAGAACAGTCAAGACTGCTAGTGTAGATTGCGAAGACCCCGCGTCTTCCTCTATCACAGTGAGCCCGTCGAACATGTCCTTGTGCTCAGTGTAGAGCTTGTTGATGTTCATGACCACTAGAGGGTTATCACTGCTGGTCAAGACGTAGGGATTGCGCCGGCTTGCGGCACCCTGGAGGAAGACACCTGGAATCCACATGTCATCATTTATGTTGCCCATGAAAATTCCCTGTTGGACAACCTGCATATCGGCACCGAGTCGCCGACTCATGGTTTGCAGCCAAGCCTGATCTCGTGGGATGGCGAATCCGTTGAAGAATACAGGGGGTGTCTTTGAATCTGCGCCGAGTCTCCGCACCCACCGCTGCGCAAGCTGGATTTGGCTGTTGTAGTTTTCTGAGCCGAGAACCTCCTCCATTGTCAGTGCCTCAGAGTCTTCGTGGAGCTTGCGTCCATCAATTGCTTTGGCGAAGTTGGCAGTCTGCTTCGACCGTGATATTTCGGGTTCTGCAGCAGAATTTTGCAGGTACGCCATAAAAGCAGCCAGCCCATAGTTCTCAAGCAGATAATAAGCAAGCTTGGCCTGGTCCTCGGCATCTTTTGTAGATGTTAGAGGGACGAGGCCAAAGCGAACTGGCAGCGTTCGTTGTATAAAGCTCATGAGCTGCTCTACCACCAATGTCAAGTCATCTGGGTTGCTGAAGTCGACTGGAACCACCAGGTTGAACACATCTTTGCGGATCGGGTTGATTTGCCCACCATAGCTTCGTTGCAAAAGCTGTGAGTCTTTGTTAGCTTGGACCAGACGAGACAGAATGATTATTGGCAGCGATGAGAAACATACAGCCATGATGTTTGAAGGAAACTTGGCATATCGCGAGTCCTTCTCGAGATTGTTGAGCCATATGATGACCCTGCCATCCTCGCTACGATCGGTCCAGTCGAATCTCTCAGACTCCTCTGATCCACTTGCCGCGGATACTTCGTGATGGCCGAGAAGTGCGACTGCTTGCTCACCCGTCAAGCCAATGTCTGTCACTCCTTTGATGAACTTCCGTTCCCGCCTGATATTTTCGATCAATGTGTACGGGTCGATTTGCCTGTCCGTCATCTGAAGTCCATTCATCCAGAGCACGTTCATGCCAGCTGGTACCAGAATGCCCCTGTTGTCTTGGTGCTCGTTGAAGAAATCATCTGATGTGTTGTGCGCCGCGATGGAGGCGGAGAACTTTGGGAAATCCTGGGTCAATTTGACCAGGGTCGTCAAAGGCGCGTCGCTGTTGAGGATGAAGGACGAAGCTTTGTGTCCGAGGAATGCAACTTCTGATGATGACAGAGGCTTGAGGTCTGATACCGCTTCCTCGTCATCAAGCACCACCTGAGCTGTCGATCCTTCTTTCGGCTCAGCCTCCACAGCTGCAGCTTCACGATCGTCGATGACGATGTAATCCGTCCGCTTGAGTTGCAGCTCCACTCCGTATCCGCTCACTGGCAAAGGCTCGGCGAGATCCCTCGATTGTGACTGATATCTCAACCGGTAAGTCAACTCTCCGTTGCGCGCCTTAGCCACGAGCTGCTGATGAAGCGACGAAAAGTCGGCGTGATTAGGATTTGCGTAGAGAACCGCAGCCGGGCCGCTGCCCAGCTCGCGGTCGAATGGCAGGAGGCGTGATTGACTGTCCCTCTGTCAGCGATCTTAGCACGACCACGGTGATTTGTGCAGAACTCACGACTCGTCTTTCACGTTAGCCCCAGCCTGATCAAAGGTTGGTGTGCAGTAGCCGTGGCCGTCAAACAATATCCAGTTCTCACAGCCAAGCTCGAGCTCTGAGACGGAGGGTGCGGCTGCAGTCTCGTAGTACTGATAATGAGCTTCGATCCGCGGAGCGGACGCCCGGAGAGCAAGAGCCAGCTTGAATGTCGAGAGCCCCTCGCGGCCTTGAACTAAGTTCTTGGCCTCAAGCACCTCAACAAACTTCTCATACAGGGCCTGATCAGTTTTGGCGGCTCTGAATGTGCCAGCAGCAATTTCGTCGAGAAGAGGAAAGTACGCATTCGCGTCCTCTCCCGCAGCCGTCTCCCTAAAATTCATCAGTAAAAGGAGATCCATCGTGTTTGGGCCGGTACTCACAGCAGCTCCAACAAGTACGGGGGAGTGGGAAAAGCTGCTTTCATCCCCACGTTGATCGATGAACCCGCTACGAACTCCATCCATGGCGAAGCCAGTGCTGATAGCACCATGGCAGCCAGGCCGCATGGGATTCGTAGTGACCGTGCCATCTTCGCAGCACAATGTCTCGTGACAATCACTTGCTAGAGCATCAACTTGGAAAGAACGCCGGTCCGTCAGAGGAGCGGACTGCTCGTCCACTATCGAAGGCTGAGTTGCAACGACTCGAATATCGAGGCTTCAGTCAGCGCAGACACCGCTCCGTTCAATGCCGCCGGCAAGGGATCGGCCAAGCCTCAAGACGAAGCACCAGGCGGTAGACTCCAAATGCCGACGAATACGAGACGTTTTCCGCTTGGTGGTGATTGCGTTGCCGTCTCAAGCTGAGGTCGACTGCAGCTTCAGGCGAGGGAGGTGGGTGTAAGTGGTGATGGCGGGAGTGAACACATTGACGTTAGCTCCCTGGAGATGCTTCGCGCCAGTGTCCAAAGACCAGCTGGAGAGACTTGTGCCGGAGGTCCTCCAATACGCCCGCCTTGGTGAGTAACGACTTGTGTCAGATGTATCCTGAGCTCCACCCGCCGTGGGCGGGTTTCAGGGGTTCTACTCCTGTCCCTTGCTTAGCTCGATGCTCGTCTGCCCCTCCATCTACAAAGCTGCAGGCTGGACAAGTCGTGAGAATATCTGTGGTGCACCAAGGTCACAGCAGTTTCTGTAGAGCATTTGCGAGATGAAGAATATGGTGTGACCGAGCTGTAGAGAACTTGTCGCACTAGACTTTCTGCAGACGTGCTGCCATTTCTGCGCTGGCTCGCAGGACGAGTCTCGACACCCAAGGGGCCTCCCTCTCCCTCTAGGCCCGCTGCGACTGTGCCATTGTTCTCGCGCCTCAGGACCTCGAGTGGAGGCGGAGTGGCCAGCCTGGCATACTCGACGCAGCCCCACATCTGCCCATCTGCAGCTGCCCCAGCACTGGCGAGACAGGCACCTGCCTCAGCATGGCCAACGACAGCTGCACCTTCCACCGCCGCAATTGACTGACCTGACGGGTGGGCGCACACATTGATGCCATTCCCACCTCCACCACGACAAGCTGTTGCCCTCGAGCACAACAACTAGGAGGCACCACCACCACCACTACGCCTCCGCGAGCTCGCATCAGCTCAATCCTGCTCTTCCCCCGAGGCCCTCTTTCGCGCTGCCGCGCATCACCACCCGACACTCTTCCGCCGCCCTCCCGAAAGCCCGCCCCCACCGAAACCTGAGCTTTGTCCGCCCGCAAGGCCCCTGAGGCGCAACGACCTCGACATGGCGTCCGGCATGCTCACCAAGGTAGGTCCTCGCTGCCTATGCCCTGGAGGGCTGCACCGGATGCTGCTAGGACTTCCAAATTGACCACCTCTTCGATCATAGTTCGAGTCCAAGTCCTCGCGGGCAAAGGGCATTGCCTTCCATCCGAAGAGGCCCTGGATTCTCGTCTCCCTGCACTCGTCAACCATCCAGCTCTGGGACTACCGCATGGGCACCTTGATCGACCGCTTTGAAGAGCACGATGGCCCCGTTCGTGGCGTCGACTTCCACAAGACCCAGCCGCTTTTCGTGTCTGCCGGTGACGATTACAAGATCAAGGTCTGGTCGTACCAGACGAGGAGATGCCTCTTCACTCTCAATGGACATCTCGACTACGTCCGCACCGTCTTCTTCCACCACGAATTGCCTTGGATCATTTCCGCCTCAGATGATCAGACAATCCGGATATGGAACTGGCAGAACCGGTCCCTGAGTGCGTTGCTCTTCCGAACTCGACCCCTTTCCACTGCGACCATCGACTTGTACACTAACATGTTTCGTAGTCTGCACAATGACGGGCCACAACCACTATGTCATGTGCGCGCAGTTTCACCCGAAGGACGACCTCGTCGTGTCCGCCTCCCTCGACCAGTCTGTCCGTGTTTGGGACATTTCGGGCCTCCGCAAGAAGCATTCTGCACCTACATCAATGTCTTTCGAAGACCAAGTCGCCCGATCGAACCAACAGCAGGCCGACATGTTCGGCAATACCGACGCCGTTGTCAAGTTTGTTCTCGAAGGCCACGATCGTGGTGTGAACTGGGTGGCATTCCACCCTACTGCGCCCCACATCGTTTCGGCTGGCGACGACAGACTGATCAAGCTGTGGCGCTTCAGCGAGACCAAGGCATGGGAAGTTGACACATGCCGTGGTCACTTCCAAAATGCATCAGGTTGTCTTTTCCATCCCCACCAGGACCTCATCCTGTCGTGTGGTGAGGATAAGACAATCCGCGTCTGGGACTCGCAGAAGCGCACAGCAGTGCAGTCGTTCAAGAGGGAGAATGACCGGTTTTGGGTTATCGCAGCGCATCCAGAGATCAACTTGTTTGCTGCCGGCCACGACAACGGTGTTATGGTGTTCAAGCTTGAGAGAGAGCGTCCGGCCTCGACCGTCCACCAAAACTCGCTCTTCTTCATTACCAAGGAGAAGCATGTTCGCTCTTTCGATTTCCAAAAGAATACTGAGAGTCCCACGCTTCTGTCCCTCAAGCGACTTGGCAACGCCTGGGTTTCGCCGCGGACACTTTCATATAACCCTGCGGAGCGCTCCGTGCTTGTCACCTCCCCGGCTGAGGGTGGCACATACGAGCTGATTAACCTCCCGCGTGATGGCTCCGGAGCCACTGATGCGACAGACTCAAAGAGGGGACAGGGTAATTCCGCCATTTTCGTGGCGCGCAACCGTTTCGCCGTGCTCAGCACGGCCACACAGACCATTGATATCAAAGATCTGTCAAACAACACGGCGCGTTCATTCAAGCCCCCACACGGCACCACTGACATCTACTTTGGCGGCACGGGCAACTTGCTCATTATCACGCCTACTGCGGTTCACCTGTACGACATCCAGCAAAAGAAGAGCGTCGCGGAGCTCGCTGTCAACGGCGTCAAGTACGTCGTGTGGTCCAATGATGGTCTTCATGCTGCTCTGCTGAGCAAGCACAATGTGACGATAGTGACCAAGTCACTAGAGCAAGTCAGTACGCTGCATGAGACCATCCGGATCAAGAGCGCCACCTGGGACGATGCTGGCGTCCTGCTGTACTCGACTTTGAACCATGTCAAGTACACTCTGATGAACGGCGATAACGGTATCGTGCGGACACTCGACCAGACCGTGTACCTCGTAAGGGTCAAGGGTCGGAACGTGTACTGCCTAGACCGCAGCGCGAAGCCCAAGGTTCTGCACATTGACCCCACTGAATACCGATTCAAGCTCTCGCTCGTGAAGCGCAACTACGAGGAGATGTTGCACATTATCCGCACCTCCAGCTTGGTTGGCCAGTCCATCATCTCCTACTTGCAGAAGAAGGGCTACCCGGAGATTGCGCTGCAGTTCGTCCAAGACCCACAGACTCGCTTCGAGCTTGCCATTGAGTGTGGTAACCTGGACGTCGCCCTCGAGATGGCAAAGGAGCTGGACAGGCCGAAGCTCTGGACCAGACTCGGAGCTGAAGCTCTTGCCCATGGCAACCACCAGATTGTCGAAATGTGCTATCAGAAGCAGAAGCAGTTTGACAAGCTCTCTTTCCTGTATCTCGCAACTGGTGACCACTCCAAGCTCAGCAAAATGGCCAAGATTGCGGAGCACCGCGGCGACTTCCAGGCGAGATTCCAGAATGCCTTGTACCTTGGCGATGTCGAGGACAGAATCCAGATGTTCAAAGAGATTGACCTATGTAAGCCTATATCTGCAGCATGACAAGGACAAATGACTAACGGTATGGATAGATCCTCTGGCCTATTTGACGGCGAAGGCCCACGGCCTGGAGGAGGAGTGCCAGAGTATCCTGGAAGTCACCGGTGTTACGGAAGACCAGCTGTCGCTTCCGACACTCAGCGAACCTTTGACGACTTTGAAGCCGATAGTACCAACATTCAAGGCCAATTGGCCCACCAAGGCAACCTCGCAATCGTTCTTCGAGAAGGCCCTTGCTGGTCAGCTTGAGGGACTTAGCATTGAGGACGAGCCTTCTGCGGCTGCCAATGGATTGGAGGGTGACCTCCTGGGAGATGAGATGCCAGCCAAGAAAGCCGCCGTACTCGAGGACGACGAGGACGATGCTGCCGGATGGGACATGGGTGATGACATCGCCCCGGAAGCCGATAGTGACTTTGTCAATGTCGAGAGCACGGATGCGGCTGGAGCGGGGAGCAGCGAAGCTGACATGTGGGCTCGCAACTCACCCCTGGCTGTCGACCACATCGCGGGAGGATCATTCGAGTCTGCGATGAACCTCCTGAACAGACAAGTCGGTGCCGTCCACTTTGCACCTCTCAAGCCACGATTCTTGGAGGTTTACACGGCCTCGCGGTCTTTCTTGCCTGCTTCTGCGGGGCTTCCTCCCCTCGTCAACTACATTCGACGTACCATTGATGAGACAGATCCTCGCAAGGTCCTGCCCATTGTTCCTCGAGATCTCGAGTACCTGGCTACAAATGACCTCCAGAAAGGTTATGACTCCATGAAGACCAACCAGCTCGAGGACGGTCTTCGCTTGTTCAAGGGTATCCTCCACGCTATTCTTGTCAATGCTGTGTCCAGTGAGAGTGAGGTTGAGGAAGCCAAGAAGCTGGTCGCGTCCGCTAGCGAATACGCCGTGGCCATGTCTGTGGAGCTCGCTCGCCGCAAGCTCGGATCTCCTGACGTTGTCAGTGGCAAGCCAGAGCTCCTGAAGAGGAGTCTGGAGCTGTCTGCCTACTTCACGATTCCCAAGATTGAGGTTCCTCACCGTCAACTAGCACTGCTGAACGCAATGAACCTGGCATCGAGGAGCAAGAACTTCAGCTCGGCATTGAGCTTCGCCAACCGCATCATCGCGAACGGAGGAGCGGCCAGGATTCTCGAAAATGTAAGCCTATCAAATCCAGATCGTGTTAGAAAATTGCGGATGCTGACTACCGTTCTCATAATAGGCCAAGCGAGTGAAGGCTCAGTGCGAGCGCAACCCGCATGACGCTGTTGAGATCGAGTACGACCAGTTTGCGGAGTTTGAGATCTGCGCTGCCAGCCACACTCCCATCTACAGTGGCGATGCCTTTGAGTCGTGCTCTTTTGACGGTTCCAAGTACCACTCCAAGTACAAGGGAACGGTCTGCGCCGTGTGCGAGGTCTGCGAGGTTGGCAAGCACGGCAGTGGGTTGAAGCTATTCGCGTAGGTGCAGCAAGCGTGATAAGACTAGAGCCACTTTGACGAAGCATAATGAAGGCCAATGGTGGGAGATGTTTAGGATTGTCCAGAAGGCGGTAGAAAAGGGCGGTATCTAGATAAAATTATCCATGAAGTTTCCAACCAAAAGACAAGATAATCTGACTACTATACCGGCATAATGACAGCCACCGGTGGTGATGGGGCTGAATGCGCTTGAAATTGAATATGCAGGCGGGCGACGTAGCAATGCACAACTCTGGGGGACAAAGGACAGATAAACGCCGGCTGGCGACAGCAGATTTTCAAGATGCATCAGGTACAAGATGTGCCCATTGCTATGTTCCAAAAAGAGGCGAAGGGCAGACAGTGTGTTGTGCATGGTGCTCTAGTCGTTGCAAGTCTATCTTGTCTCGTCCAGACTGAGTTCCCATGGCTTTTATACATTTTTTCCTGTCGTCCACCACACCCGGCGACTATTCTTGCCTCCACAGACAATGCCATACGCCTTCGCTCTTGTGTCGAAGAGGGCAGCCATCTACACAATGGTCTCGAGCTCCCGAGCGTAGCCTAAGGTGTTCTCGATGACCATCTGGCTGATGTCCTTCTCCTCGCCATCCTCGCCCTCGACAGAGGACGAGGGGAAGTAGATCTGGCCGTCGCGCACGGCCCAGCCTCTTTGCCGCGCGAACTCGACCACTGCACCTTCAGACTCGAGGAACAGCAGGGACTTGGTGCTGCTGAGTGGTAGGGACGGGTATGCGCGCTCGCTACTTGACGCGATCTCGGATCGGATTTGGGATGTGAGAATCTATTTGGGGGAAAGTGAAGTCAGTTTGTGAGTTCGTTCAAGTGGATGCAGCACGGCTCGACAGGCATCGCCTATTCTAGCTGAAGCAAGGGGACTTTTGATCGCAAATTGTGTGGAGAGTCTCACCTCGAAGAAGACACCGTACTCTTCACACGGCACCTCGCGACTCTTCATGGCCTTCCATACCCGGTCGTAGCTGCCCTCCATGAGCCATCGCTCCAGCTTGATCGGGTATCCCAGGAACCGGTCGTTCTCGATCTCGACGCCGGGCTCTCGACAGCTCAAGCTCTCAAGCTCGCTGTGAAACTCACCGTAGCGACCCTGCGTCAGGAGGAGCAAGAGGTAGAGCCCGGTGACCTTGTTGCGCTCGACATCGTTGGGCTTGGCGCCGCTGCTAGGGGGCAGCTCGTAGAAAGGCTGGAGTTGCGAGACATAGCGAGTGAAGGCGTCGGCGTCCTTGGCGCGGATGCTGAAGAGCGCACCGGCCTCGTAGACGTCGCGGGCCGCGGCGAGGAGGTTGCCGGGGGTCTTTGGTGTTGGTGTGAGGGCGTTGAGCTGAAGAAGGGCGATCTTGGCCTTGGAGAGCAGCGACGAGGCTTCGGGGTATGGCAGGTTGGGATTCGATTGCAGCTGCTTGAGCACTGTCTGGAGAGTGCGGTCGGCCATGGTGGCAGGAGGGCGTATTGTCTGTGGTAGTGGGTTGTGTTGTCGGTTGGGAGGAAGGGAATCCGGCGGCGGCGGCGGCGACTGCAGCTGTGACGACAGGTCAATGGCGACGTCCGTCGCTGTGCTACTGGCGGTAGACCCGGTGCGGATTGGGTAGGACGTTGGTACAGGTGTCTCTTCGGGTATCCTGGGAGGTGTATGTACGGGTGTAGCGGTGGTAATGTGCTCGGCTGGCTCGTTGGATATGGTAGTCTGTGCCAATGGTGGTGACGATGGAGAGCGCTGATGGTGATGGTGGTCCTGAAGCGGCGGTGGGGCAGCAGCAGCAGCAGCCAGCAGCCGCGCTGAGCTTGAGCTGGCAAGAGCAGGCACGACGGAGCTGACGTTGAGCGCGGGCTCGGGCAGTGATGCTTTGGCCCTGGGGAGTACGCCCCGCCGCGCCTGGGACCGACGACGCCACAGGTGGCTGGCCCGCAGCCGGCCATCCAGAGTCGTCGTGGCTGGAGCATCCTCTGCAAGTGTGGCGGCGGCCACTTGCACTTCGACCTGCCCGCTGCGTCTCCGCCAGCTTCCCAGCTTGAACGGCATTGTGCAGTCCTGACACCGGTTTGTGACTCTAGCACGAGGAGCCGCCACCGTGACGGCACTGGGTCGTGTCTCTACTTGTATGCGGCCATCAAGTTCGGAGGCAGTGTGCGGAGGGCGCCTCTAGCATAGGGCTGGTTTGTCACCACTAGTCAGCTGCCCTCTTTGTTGATGTGGTCACGAGAGAAACAAGACAACCGCCAGTGCTCATGTGGCCACTCCCCATGCTGGCTGGGCTGGAGATAACAGGCGCGCCTTGAGCAGAGCACAGATTCCTGTCAAGATCCAGGGCAACTATCACAGGCTGGCGATCGGCTTCGTGTGTCAGAGAGTGGCATTTCGGCTCCTAGTTGAAGGAGCGTCGAGACCAACCAAGGACAGCGTAATTAGGCCCAGGCCGTCTTCCATCTCCCGAGATGTCTAGCTCCTTTGGGTCTTGCGGCTGCGGTGCGCCGTCGAGCTGAAGGAGCTGAAGTTCAGCAGCCCCAGCACTCGTGATGCATTGCCCCTGCTGCGGACCGCGACGACACAGATCCGGTGGCTGCTGCAGATCTGAGCAGGCAGCATTCAGAAGAGCGCGCCGAGAATCTGCACAGGCGCCCACAGGGATGGCATGACCACGTCCCTTGTACAGTTTGCCAGTTGCGTCCAGGAGGTAACCCAAACAAATGGCTTTGGCCTGCTGCCTCTGGGAATGCGGCTTCTGAACATTGTTTCCACCCGAGGGTCAAATAGGGACAAACAAAACCTTCTCGCCCCTTTCCTGCCACCATCCACTGTCCGGCTGTCATTTTTCTTTTGCAAACTCCTCGCCGCCTGAGTTCGTACTCGTGCGATCCTCCACACCCGTCAGCAACCTGCTGCACGTCAACACGTTTCCCGTTCTCAGTTAGGCTGGCTGTCAGCCTTTCCGATGTGCCCAGCCCCTGTCCTTGCCAACGCAGCTCGAGACAAGCCACAACAGTCGACGACCACGCTGCGCTCGCAGTCGTCACCACTGTAACGCCCACCAGTATCCTTGCGCTTACCCCACCATCTCGACCCCAAAAGCTTCGCTGGCGCCCAACATGGCCGACGGGCACCACCCTCGAGGTAAGAACAGTATGCTGCTCGTCCACGCCGTCCTCGCTCTGTCATCCTTCAGGACCATCATTGCGCGGGTTTCTCAGGGATGAGATCCTTGCCAAAGTGGCATCCGCAACCCAGCTTTCCAGCTTTCAAGGCGCATTCCCCGCAGTTTTTCTCGACTGGCACATGGCCTCGTCTCCAATTGTCCTCATGTTCGACCTCCTTCATCTGCCCCTGCAAGGCCAGGTCCTGCAGAGTCGGGTATACAGGTGCTCGGATACGCCCGGAGGCATATCATGTCGTCATGTCGTCTTGAACCGCCGCCGTATTGCCCAGGCCACGCGTTGCTTCGCGACCAGCGGGGGATTCGCGTTCCAGCATAAGCCACAGCGCACCAGCACCCACCCTACATCATTCTCTCCTTGACCTCGCAGCAACCACAGCCGCAAACGCTTGCGTTGCTGCCTATTGGCGCTCCGTTTGCGTGGTCCAGATTGAACGATGGCACTCGGGCACAGTAACATGGTCCAAGACCTGGTCCATGCAGGCGATCCTCTCCCGCTTTCGGCGGATCCATGTCACGTCCTTGTGCTGGTCTGTGTTGCCCGAAATAGGGTCACTGCCCCCAAGGCCAGCCTGCAGGAGCACTGCGCTCTTCGCAACACCCCACAGCAGTAGACGACGTCGTCTAAGGAAAACGCCCAGTGCTTTCTTTCAGCCTCTCTGCACGACCGTATCTTGATGAGCCATTAGAAGAAGTACAGTCTATAGGATCGCGAGCTCTGGATTCCAGGCATGGTTTTCCCGCTTTGAAACGCAGACCACCTGAAAAGTTATTACCGATTTCCAACCATGTCGTCGAGCAATCTGTCGGCCTTGCTTCCCCCTTAGGCTCAGAGGGTCGCTCAATTTCCTTGGGTCTGCGCTGCGCCAACCCACATGCATGGGGAAGGTCTGTGGCAGTGCCCTCAGCGCTATTCAAACCCAGACAGGACCCGCCGTTGTCCTTGGCCGTTGTCCCCTGTCACTGCTCCGGCCACTAAACTTGGATGGGGCGGGATGCCATAGCTCATGCAGCGAACATACTTTACCCTGGGCGCCGCCTGCTTCTACCCCGCCGTGTCTGCCCGACCTTGTACTTCAACTGCGTTTGCCGCATTGCGAATCCTTAACAGCCGTGTTTCAGCTTGAGCTCATTCTCGTCTCTGTCAGGACCTTCTTCTCACCAGTCTTTGTTTCCCACAGGATCGCCAGTCCGGCACGACACCACCGACATGCCTCAGTTTGGGGCGACCTTCTACCCCGGAGGTGTGGACGACTACTACATGCCCGAAGTAATCGCTCCTGCGCCTCAGAGGTCCGTTCCATCCAACAGAAATCCGCTGTCTTTCTATAGTCGGAGGATACTGATGACGACAGCAGGATCATGCCAGAAGTCCCCGAGAATATGCAACAGGGGCTGCAACGGATGGAACTCGAAGCGCACTCTGTCGAGCCCAAGAAAACAGCAGGATCGCCCGAACCACAGACCCGTCATGGCCGAGAACCTTCCCTATCTACAGTACTTAACACGAAGGTTGGTGGCTATGGCTCGCAATACAGCCAACAGGCGACCAGATCCAACACCGACTACAGTGTGGCCTCGGCGACCACTTACACCTCGTCAGTGTACAGCGCCCATCCAGAGACCGAAAGTCCGAAGATCGATAGCTCTCGGGATAAGGGCGGCGTTCCGTCCTTCTCGCCCTTTCCTGTTGTGAAAGGAGAACACATTCCCCGAGCGACGAGGAGAAAGAGGCAGTACTTGCCGAAAGTCGCCAGTTTGTACTCCACTCAAACGATCCGAACATGCAGATATGCTGGGCTCGCGACGTCCTCATGTATGTTGAGATTGCTGCCGAGGCGGCCGCACGCGAAGCGGATGCTGTCCGAGCCCCCGGCGATCGTTCCTCCAGCGAAAGACCCGCGACACCCAAGATTGAGCATGAGCTACGAGTAGATGCGATCAATATCGTGTCGTACCTAGCCGACCAAGGACATCCAGAGGCTGTTTTCATTCGCAGCAAATGGTGGGAATTTGGCAAATTCGGGAAGAGACAGGACAAGAAGGAGGCTTACAGTGGCTATGCGATGGCTGCCCAGCAGGGTTGGGGTCGTGCCGACTACCGGATTGGAATGCTGTATGAGAATTCCAACGACGTCGAGAATGCCATGAAGCACTACCGCTTAGGCCAGGCTGCCAACGACTCTGCGGCTTCATATCGCTTGGGAATGGTCAACCTCATGGGACAACGCGGTCAACCGCGAGACCTTGTTCGGGGGCTGGACCTTATCCACACGGCTGCAGATACCGCCGATGAGGATGCTCCCCAAGGCGCTTTCGTGTACGGAATGCTCATAGCACGAGATCTTCCCGATGTCGCCGTGCCAGACGGTGTACTTCCCCTGGATCTTGGGCTTGCGAAGCAATACATCGAGAAGGCCGCCTATCTCGGATTCGCCAAGGCTCAGCTGAAGATGGGCCAGGCTTATGAGCTATGTCAACTTGCTTGCGAATTCAACCCCGCTCTATCGCTGCATTACTACGGGCTGGCGGCCAAGCAAGGACTCCCAGAGGCGTGCTTAGGTGTGAGCCGATGGTTCCTCTTCGGCTACGAAGGCAGCTTTGCCAAGAATGAGCAGCTCGCTTTCAAGTATGCACAGCTTGCCGCCAAGGCGGGCCTGGCGACAGGCGAGTTTGCCATGGGCTACTACTACGAGATCGGCATTTCGGTCGACAAGAACATCACCGAGGCCCGTAAGTGGTACGAATTGGCGGCGGATCATGGCAACAAGGACGCTGTTGGACGACTCGATGGCCTGTCGCAGTCCAAGACGCTCTCTAAGCAAGATCACGAGACGACTGCGCTCGGCAGAATCAAGTCGAAGCACGGTTCCCAGCGAGGGCAACGACCGGAGAGATTCAAGCAAGTCGGGGGCGCAATGCCAACGCTGAGCGAGAGTTCACCGCGAGCCTCGCCCCAGCCTTCGCCACAGGCAAGACCAACTGAGAATCACATGGATTTTCCGGATCCCGCCCGGCACGAAAATCCAAAAGGCCCAGCTTTCGCTCTCAACATCGCCGACCGGCCAGGCTCCGCGGCTCCCTACCCTGAAGACAGGCCTGTTCCTGGTGGCCTGGCGTTGCGGCCCAAGTCAGCGGCGCCGTACCCAGAGGATGACGTGCGGAGACCCGCCTCATATGGCGGCCAGTTGCGTCCACACTTGAACGCAGGCCCGATCGCAGATCGTCCGGGAAGCGCATTTGGTATTCGGACACAATCCCCGGGGCGCGGTGGCCCGCCCATGGGTCCTGGCATGCGCCCTTCACAGTCTGCTGGGCAGCTTCCGCTGCCCTCTGCCGGAGTCGACCCCAACCGTGGCCGACCCGTTTCAGCAGGTTATCCAGCTCAGGGTCCTCCCGGTGGATATGGGCAGCCCGGACCTCGTCCTGCCACAACACAACCACCATCGAGTCAACGGCCTCCACAGCCTGGTTATCCAGGGCCCGGCCCAATGCAGGGCAACCCAGGGCAAGGACGCAAGCCGTTGCCGCCTGGCCAAGGACTTCCTGGGCGAGATGTCGGCCCCGGACCCAGGAACCCCAATTATGGACCCGGCGGTGGTCCTGGCGGTCCTGGCGGTCCTCATGGTCCCGGTCCTCATGGCCCCGGTCGCGCGTCTGCCGGACCTCCTGGACCTGGTCCTCAATCTCCTGCGATGAGTGGCGGTCTGGGCGGACCTCCTGGCCGTCTGCCTGCCGGCCCAGATGGCCGCACTGGTACTCCACAATCTCGACCGCCAATCTCCAGCCCTGCGCCTAGCACAAGCACCCAAGGGTCGACGGCGACCATGCGGCCACCAGCCAGTGGCACCTCTACTCCTGCCAAGCAAGGACCAGCCACGTTTGAAGCCATGGGCATTCCCAAAGCAAAGAAGGAGGACGACTGTGTAAGTTTTCATCTCTGTCTATTGATCACACGCGCAGCGCTGCTAACATGAAGTACAGGTTGTTATGTAAACACCTTGAGAACGAAACAAGGTCTCAAAAGAGCTGCCATTTGGTATGCTCTCGCATTTGTCTGGGTTGCATAGCGAGATTTCCCTCTTATTCATTGCATTGCTAGGTTTGTGTTTAAAACCTTGGCAACCCAAATTGGTGGTGCATTATCGGCGGAGCTTGCTTGACTTTTAATATATTTCTCTGGGGTTGGGCATATTTTGCCAGGTACAGCAGTGGCACAGAGGCAAATTGATATTTTTAGAGTTAAAAAAAGAAATGATACCACTTCTTGGGGGTTTTGTGGCTTGCTGCCTTGGTGGCATTTGTTATTACGCTGGTGCTAAAATGCGGTGATCTCTTTCACTGCTGTTGTCCAACTTTGCTGTTCGCTTAGTTGAGGATCTTCGACGTCATCTTACTGCGGTATTCAAAGTCTACATTCCTCGATTTTCTTTCTTGGCCTAATGAACGCTTCCTATGGTCTGTGCGGCTCTTATCTTCACGCCTACGTCTTGCTCTTGCTCGGATATAATCGTTGAAAATGAAAGAAAAAAAATACTGAAGAGAAGGGTGTTCTTTTGAATAATAAAGAAGAGGCAGGACAGGGGGGGGAAGAGAAAACGGAGAAGATTGTATAGAGAGGTATCCTGGGTCTTTCTGTCCGCCCCCTCGATTTCTATCAATTTCTTTTCCTTAATCCGGGAAGGGCAAGAACCAGAACAAGAGAGAGAGAAGGGGGGGGGGAGAGAGAGAAAAGAGGGAAAAAAAAAGGACAAAAGAAAAGACAAAAAGAAAAGAGCAAGCTAGCCGTCGTATGCCCCATCACAAAGTCAGACCAAGTTTGGAGGACGTTCGTGACCGGGTTAGGGTATCTGGGCTTGACTATCAATCTCTGCAAAAAGAATCCGGCCTTTTCGTGACCATAGAAGGGCGAAAATAGCTTGGTTACCCCGGCGTCTAGTGGTCGTTGTTGTGCTGTCCTTGCTTGGGCGGGGAAGATATTGTTCTTTCGTCGGCGCGCAATCCTCGATCACTTTAGCTAGGCATTTTAAGAAGTGGAAGTGAAGAAAACAAAATATGTGTCCTTTTGAGTAACTCCGTGAAGGGTTGTCATTCCATCAGGATACGACGAGCTGAGCGTCTGCCCTGCCTGATCTTCGCTAGTCAGGATATGCAATCAATCGACGCTGTTTCAACAATGCAAAAAAGCTCCCCCAACACCGGCGTCCCAATCATATCTTCTGCGGCCTGGCTGGTGAACAGCCGGTCTGCCAGACCGCCTCGGTAAATCGAGCTCGCTATGTGAGGCCCCAAATGATCAGATGTCTTGTATCCTGTTGTGCGATGATGTACCGCCGTCTCCCGTGTAGTCCAGAACAATTGGCTTTCCCATAAACAGTCGAACCCGCCCAACTTTGCTTTGCCAGCTCTAGCCGTGCTTCCTCTTCCGTTCCCTCATTCATATTCATCTCGTCTATGGTCGTTCGATAAAGATCATAATCATGATACTAACATAAATCATTGTTCCGGCCAGTGGTGGTCCCATCCCAGTGTGAAATATAACGTTCGAATCCACCAACAAGTTGTGGCGTGGTTTCAAAAACTTGTAAATAGGGACACCGCTTGCCTCCCGTTGGTTTGTATCCGCAAAAAGAGATCACCCCATGACAGCTTTTGGCCACGCGGTGAACATCCAGCTGTCATAACCGTGGCCTTGCAAAAAGTAATCGCTGTGCTGCACATTTCGCCAATGTCGCTGATGCCGATATGAATGCTGAAACGAAGAAATGGTCTCGCCAGCGTCACAGTCTCAAAAGTCCTCCAGTGCCCAAGACGAAAAAGTGCCATCGATGGCGCGGTTGCGATGCTGATATGCCCTGACAATTATTGTATGGTTGTTGAAAAATGCCAGATACTGCAGGCACGTGGTCCTGAAGTATGGCAAAAGTGAGCCAGTGGCCGCGGGGTGAATTTCGTCAACCCCAACTCGCCATGACACTTTTATCGCGACTGGTCATAGCAGAGCTCTTGATAGCGAGCCCATCCAAGAAGTGTAGGCTGGTGCCAACAGAGCTCGCCAAGAAGGCCTAGGCTCACGCAATTTCGGCAACAAGCTCGTCCAGGAAGGGATCGAGGTGGATGATCCGGATTTGGTCACCCCACTCGGCCAGAAACGCGGACTCGCTCCACGCGGACGAGATCGTCTTTCTCCAGGCGCACACCTCAATGTCCCAGCCGAGCTTCATTGCGCGGATCGCATATGATTTGAAGCCCTGCGAGAACTCTGCCTCGGCGCCATCACCTGTGGCCAGGACCATGATGCCGGGTTTGTGGTCGATGACGGTGGTCAGCATTTCTACATGCAGACCCTCATCAACGCCCTGCTCGCCGTTCCTGCTGGAGACATATGATGGCGCGTTGTCTTCGGTTGAGTCGTCGGCACTGGTTGTGGCAAAGTTGTATATTGCGTCGTACATGGACGAGTATCCGCCTGCAGTCTTGGTGTTGAAATGCTTGGGAGGAGATTTCTCCTTCAGCACGCGCTCCATGATCTTCATGGCATAACCCATGCTTGCAGCGTCTTTCATGTGCTTTGGCCAATTGCTTCTTCGTGTTGCTGGAAAAGCGACTGATCCCGCCAGGTGTTTCTCCTTGACGGGTCGGTCGCGGCTCAAGATCCTAGCCAGGTTCTCGAAAGAAAATTTCGGAGCCTTGATGCGCTGGGAGATCGGCACGTTATGTGCGAGCTTCCAAGTATCAATGAATCCAATGTGGATATTGGACATGTCGACGTAAATGTGGACATCTGCATCAGAATGCGTGTCTACCGCAATATGGTGTTTAAGTTTTGCCTCCAAGGATGCCCACTTCTGCTCTCTGCGGGTGAGTAAGGGCTGTGGTTTTGGCTTGCTGGGGGGTGTTGGAAAGAGCCCAATGTTTGGACTACTTGCCAGTAGCCTGGTAAAATCACCGATTGAGGGGCCCGAGGCGACAAGAGAAGCATAGCTCGAAACCCCAGCGATCGAGCCAGGTGTCATGGGAGTAGAATCATCGGAATCTTGTAACAAGATTGTCTTGGATAAGTTCGTGAGGCGTGAATGTGCTGGCGTTGCCAGGGTCGTGGTCACAGACATGTCGTGCTGGATTGCAGTAATTGTTCCGTGAGCTTGGGGTTCGTAGTCGATGACATGGATTGAAGAGGACAATCGAGGTCCAGCCAGATCGCTGGTGGCTCGCGCATGGTCAGGGGTGTGTACCTGACAAGCGGTCTTGTCGCCGGGACTGGGAGTGAATGGCAGGGACGTTTCTGGTGTGGAGGGTTTGGACTCGTCGACAAGGGTGTCGTCCTCGAAGGACTCTACGCTTGAGTCCGAATCTGACTCACGATCCCACAGGACTACATCGCTAGCGGACCGCAGATGGTGATGCGAGTTTGAGACACTGGGTTGGTAAGAGGTGTCTTTGCGCGTGCCTGGAACATGGCGCGCGGCTTTACGCCTGGCCGGCGTATATACAAGGTGATCATTTTCTTCAAAAAATTCCCCAAGGCCGGCGCCAAGCTGAAATGCTACAGGCGATTTGGGTGGCGGGGGGGTAGTCGCGATTTCCTCATCCAAGACAAAGATATCCTGGAGTCCAAATCCTAGTCGTGGTGCTGTTACTTTGTGGGCAGTTGTTGCAGCAAACAGAGATTGCAGGCTTGTTGTCACTGGACGTGCTGTGATTGACGAGCCAGGTTGAATGCTCGAGTAGCCTTGGGCGGCAGTTGGAGCCAAACCACGGCTGTCATGAAGTGGGCCGTCCAGGCCCTCATTGAGCATGGCGAGCACTGGATATCAAGTTCAACTATGCGCTGAGACTGATGGTTGCGGGACTATAGATAATGATGATGCGTGGGATCTGAAATGTCCGTCAGCATGATATCGCCATGGAGCAGATGAGATGAATATGAGGGCGCTGAGGCCGGAAGACACGGATGTGACGCCTGGGCAAAGGCGAACTCTAGTCGAGCCACAGCATGAACAGTCAAGATGAGGGTAAGCCGGCGCGAGCGAGTACCTACAGGTATGTTTAATGGTCAGGAAGAGTCAATGCTGCTGGGGCCTGGTGAATCTCCATATTCAAACGAGAAATGGGGCGGGGCTGGGGTGCGGTTGCCAGGCAAGCAGATGCTCGCAGAGTGCTGCAAGCGGAGGTCCAACGAGTAGCAAACCAGAAGATGAAGCAGGCGCTGGGAACGAGACTTGCTTGCCTTGATGAATGATGATGGATGTTGATGATGATGATGATGATGGGGGAGGATGCAGAAGAGGAGGGTGAGGGAAAGATGAGATGTTGGGCGCGCGGGAGGTTGCATGACGCTGTCATCGGCGTCGGCAGGGAGGCAAAAGGCGGCACTGCAGGCAGGGCTGCCCGCTAGACCACGTTGGCCAGCGGCGTCTGGAGTCACAGCGGGACCGAGGCGAGGACCCTGAAAAGCCCCACCATCACCGTCAAACCACCCCCCGTGGACTCCCCTTGGGAATTCCACACGGGCAGGCAGCACGAGGCTGTTGTTGCCTTGCAGACAGAGACACGGAAGCCGTCCGCCTCTGCTCAGCACGGGTACGGCCTATCTGCCAACATGCCCGGCATCTTCGCATGTAACGTGCGGCGGCGGCGTGGCTCGCCTGCCGGGCCCGCTGTTGGGTTTGGGCAGGCTCTGCAGTGTCGGCCTCAGCCCCCGCGCGTTGACACCCAACCATCCGAGCAACTCCCTCTTGGGCCAAAATCTGTGTGCCTGGCGCTCCTCTCGTCTCCTCCTCCCTGATAACTACCACAAGCAAGGTACTTCCCTAACTGGCATCCGCGTCGTCTTTGGAGCCTATCTTGCTCGGCACGACGCTTCCCTGTGCCCCCTTGTGGAAATCTGGCCCTGGCCCCTGACCGCTTCGAGCTTCGCTGGCATTGCTGCTTGCCTCGACGACGTGGCACCACGAGCGAGCGACGGGCTGGGCCCTGCCTCCTGCACCTGCAGCACCGCGAACCATTCACAGACAACCAGCATGAACCTGGGCCTGCAAGGCAAGCTGCCAACAGGCGGCTGCGAATCTGTGATTATGCCAGGCCGGCCGGCCTCAGCTGTTCCATGCTTGCACGCCCGTCCTCTTGTGAGTAGCAAGGACCTGGCTCATTGTGTACATGTTTTAGCGACACTTTGACCGGTGGCTGCTCAGCACCTGTACCTGGCTAAGGCATGGGCATGTTTTATTATGGCTCCCCGGTGCTCCGTTCAAGATGGCGGACGTTCTTCGTCGAGGAACTGGAGTCATCGCGCAGCCCCACAAATGCGGCGAAGAGGTGATCTCCAACAATCCGACAGCAGCTGCAAGGGTTGTACATGGGGATGGACATGTTGCTCTCAAGCCATGATTTCTGCATCAGGCATGCATGTATGTGTTATGTAGTGAGGGAGCGACCAAGAAACAGATCACCGCTCGGAGACAGACAGACATGCTGCAACTGGAGAGCTCAGTGCTAGCGGTGGATGCATTCCGCTTACGTAATAGGCAGTTCCCCGAGGCTTGGCGCCCAGGCTGGAAACGCTCCGGCTGCAGGTGGGCCGATCGGGCGGGCGTGGTTGGGTCGCGTCGCATTCGACAATTCCAAACCTCGAACTCCATCCGCCGCCTCCATCCAGACCGCGAGCTGCCCTTGGCTTGAACGGCGAATCACCACCACCCCACGCAAGAAGCGCCCGCTCCTGTCTGCCCAATCGCTCCATTGCGTGTTCGACCACCTGCTTGCACCCGCCGCATCGCTCGCCCAGTCGCACGCACCCCATGGCTGACCAGGGCGCAAAGCCCAGCGACGCGCCTGAAGCCGCAGGCGACTCCATCTCGGTACGCGCCGACCCCCCCGCCAAGGACGCTGCGCCGGCCCAAGATGTCGAGATGAAGGACGCCGATGCCGGTTCCGATGCGGACGCGGACGCAGACGCGGACGGCGAAGAGGATGAGAGCGTTGCTGTCGCGACAGGAGCCAGCACACAGACCGGTGCGCGAGACCAAGACGAGGCCAATGCAGATGCCGACGGGGACGAGGACGGCGATGAGGATGCGGAAGGCGAGCCCGAAGACGACGATGACGGTGGATACAACTCGTCCCGGGACATGCTGATGATCATCGAGAACACGGCCAACTACCTGTCCACGTACCGTGAGCCAAAGTGCGTCTCAACCCCCAGCACTGATGAATGCCTGAGAATCTCTGCTAATGCTGGAGTCGCAACAGCGGAGAGCAAATTGCTACAGGATTCCAGCGCATTCCGAATCGACGCCTCATCCCCGACTACTACGATGTCATTCAAGAGCCCATTGCATTCAGCACAATTCGAGTATGTCGCAACGACTTGACACGCGCTTGTTCGTGGTGGACCTGAGTCTGACTGACAGCCTTTGACCGACAGACCAAGAGATCCAAGAAGGAATACACCAAGTTCTCAGAATTCGTCCGAGATGTAGCGCTCATCGCCCACAATGCGCAAGTCTACAACAGGCCGTCATCGTCATTCTTCCAGTACGCAGGACGGCTGCGCGAGGTCTTCAAGGAGGAGCTCAAGAAAATGGTGGATGAGGGGACGATCACAGCTGAAGAGGCTGTCTTGCCGGACTTGGGCGAGATACCCGACACTGAAGATTCGCCACCCCCCGACGACGAGGCCGACGAGGAAGGGGAGGATGCAGAAGAGGAAGATGAGGAAGACGACGATTCCGACAACGATGAGCAACAAGGCCGGACAAGGCGCGACAGCCGTGGGCGCAGGGTCGACGTGAAGGAAGAGGAAGACGCAAAGAAGCGTGCCCGCCCTCCCAAGGTCTTTACGCCTCTCGAGGCCAGGATCCACTCGCTACTCAAAGGCTTAAGGAGATACAAGGACTCGGACGGAGAGTTGCTGATTAACCCCTTCGAAAAGCTGCCGGACAGGACGGCACACCCAGATTACTACACCGTCATCCAGAACCCCATCTCTTTGCACGAGATCAAAAGAAGTCATAAGCGAAAGAAGTACGCGAGCGTTGACGACGCCCTCCGGGATCTTGAGCTCATGTTCGAAAACGCCAAGGAGTACAATGAGGAAGGAAGCGACATCTACGAGGCGGCGGCAGAGCTTCAGCGTCACTCTCGGGAGATTGCCGAGCAAGAAAAGTCCAAGCCGGACAATGCCTTTGCCGACGAAGACGGAAGGCGGCCTGTGTCCGAGATAGCACACAATGGCGACATATGGCGAGTTGGTAAGTCGAGTCTGGAGTTATGGTATGCAAGACTGGGCCTGGGAAATGCTAATGCAGATATACACAGGCGACTGGGTGCACATCACCAACCCTAACGACTTGACCAAACCCATTGTAGCTCAAATCTACCGGACATGGGAGGACAAGGCCGGGCAGAAGTGGGTCAACGCCTGCTGGTACTATAGGCCGGAGCAGACAGTCCACCGCGCCGAGAAGCACTTTTACGAGAGCGAAGTGGTCAAAACGGGCCAGTACCGTGACCACCGTATCCAGGAGGTCATTGATCGCTGCTTTGTCATGTTTGTCACTCGCTTCCCCAAGGGACGACCTCGGGGACTGCCCAAGGACAAGTCAGTCTATGTCTGCGAGGCTCGGTACAACGAGGAGAGGCATCGGTTTGCCAAGATCAAGACTTGGGCAAGCTGCATTCCGGACGAGGTGAGGGAGAAGGACTACCAGATGGACCTCTTTGACCAGCCGCGGCGGCTCAAGAAGCTGCCCAGCCCGATCAAGCATCTCCTGCGGGATGATGCGAAACCCACAGATCCCATGCCCAAGCCAACCTGGGGAGCGGCCAATGCGCCGCCCTTGATTGGAGCCGTGCATTGCCGGGAGCGGGAGTCCAACGTAAGTACAGTCACTGGCCCCCTGCTTGGTGTGTGAGTGTGTGTGTGTGTGCCTGAGTGCCTTGTCTCGCATGTCGAGGGCAGCTTATCGATTGCTGCGTCAACACGGCTCGTTCGATTAGATGCTGGCACCCATCTCTCATCCATCTCCATGCCGTCCACAACCACCTCGCTGACAATCTACAAACAACATGCAGGAGTCACCGCCGCCTGAGCCTACGCCGCCACCGCAGCCGCGGATGGATACCTCGAGACGGCCCAGCGCCATGATGGCGGGTGCCCGACTCGACCACCAAGGCGATGTTGCCATGGGTAATGCCCAGCACTATCAATCACATCTCGGCCATGCCCCGCCGACTCCAACACCAGGCCACATGACCAACTCGTTTGCGCCTCAGTTTGCGCCAGCACGGCCGGCCAACACGCCTGTGCCTGTTTCGCAGTACAACGCCCACCAGAGCCCGGCGATGCACAATGCCCACCCGCACGGCACACCACAGGCACCTCACTTCCAGCCGCACCAGGCGCAGCACTACAATGGATACCAGCAACCACAGCAGTACAGCAACTCGCCAGTGCCCCCACCCCAGATTCCCCAGTACGCGCAGCAGCCGCAGCACTACCCGCCGCAGCAGAACATGGGCACGCCCGTGGGAGGCTACGACACGTCACAGCGCCTCGCGCCATCACCGTCAGCCCGGAGCAGCTCGATGGTCCAGAGCCCAGCCCCCATCATACACCACCAGCAGCCACAGCCGGGATACACCGCGCCCCGGGCCATCGAGGTGTACCACCTCGCGGACGAACACGACGCCCAGATCCCCGAGGCCGTCCGCTCCCAGCTCCAGCGCGACGAGGCCGGCCGCGTCATCTTCTTCACCCAGCCTCCCCTGCTGCGGCCCCACGCGGGGCTCTCGGCCGAGTCGGCCGCCCTGGGCCACAGCGCGCGGTACCTTGCGGACCGGGCGCGCGAGGTCGAGGACCGCCGGGCCAAGCGGAAGGCCCGCGATGAGCTGCGCAGCAAGGGGGAGGACGCCAAGCGCGCCGAGTCGGAGGCCCGCGAGGCCCAGAGGCAGAAGGAGCAGGACCTGATTGACCTGGCGGGGGACATGTTCAAGGGCTGGGTCGACACGATGGACAGGGAGAACGAGGTGCTCAAGCGCGCGTACGAAGGGTGGAGCGTGCGGGACGAGGTCATTAATGGGGTGATCTCTACCCCTGCTGCTGCTACTATTACTGCTACTGCGAAGCGCTGAGTCTCAAATGTGCGGTTGGAAACCAACACAAAGGGTTCTTTCTTCGCCTTTGTGTGCTTAGTATGCTTTTTATGTACCTACTACGTATGGTGGGCTGGGAGAGGGTTGGAAGTTGTCGTCATTCTTGGTCTTTTTTTCCGGGTATGGGGTGGAGTTTGAGGCGTAGAAGAAACATGTGTAAGCGTAGGTATTAATCATTCTCAAATACCTCCCAAAGAATACTGGTCAAATACAGACTCCTGCAGATATGCGTACTTGATCCGAGTACCTCATCAATCACAAGGCAGATAGGTAATCATCATCTAGTCGAGTCGGTATCCAAGACTGTCGCACGAACCACATTTGTGGATACACTGGTTGATACACTGTCTGCGTTTCCTCTGATCTATGATTTTGAACCATTACGTATATACAAAAGGCATGTCCCGTCAAGATGTTTCTACACTTCTACCCCTGATTTCCCCTCCCCAAGAGTCGAGATGATGGTGGTACATCGTAAATGTCGTGGTATTGTTGTTGTTGCTGTTGTTGTTGCTGTTGTTGTACAAGTCAAATGCTGCTATCGTGTTTTTGTCTATCCGTCTATTTGGTGCGCTTGGCCTCGAGCTCCTTCTGGTACTCGGCCACCAGCTCCTTTCTGCAAATGGGGGTCAGTGAAAAACAGGTCAAGACGGTAAGAACAATGAAGGAGGGGACATGAGGGCAAAAACTTACTGCAAGTGAGGCGGCGCCGCGGCGTAGTGGCTGAACTCCATCGAGAACTCTCCCTTGCCCTGAGTGGCGGCTCTCAGATTGGACGAAAAGCCAAACATGGCGTTGAGACTGCAGTCGGCGATGAGGGTAAACTCCTCGGGGCCAATCTCGGTGTCGATGATGGTCGCGTTGCGCTTGCTCATCAGCATGAGCACGTTGCCCTGGTATTCGTTGGGCGCCATTATGGTCGTCTTCATCAGAGGCTCGAGCACTTGACCGCCGGCGTCGGGGAAGGTCTTGCGGAACGCCATCTGCGCCGCCAGGGAGAAGGCGTGGTCGGAAGAATCTGTCACGTGAGTGGCACCATCGGTCAGCGCCATCTTGACACCGATGACCTTGTGACCCAGCAGAGGGCCCTTTTCACAGATCGCCTCGAAACCCTTGCCGACAGCCGAGATGAACTTGTCGGGAATGGCACCACCGACGACCTGGTTGGAGAAGGCGTTCTGCTCGGCGTGCTCAGGGTTAGGCTCGATCCAGCCGATGACCTTGGCGAAATCACCAGGACCACCAGACTGCCTCTTGAACAGGTAGTCAAAGTCGGCACGCTGGCTAATGGTCTCACGGTAGGCGACACGGGGCTTGCCAGTTGTGCACTCGACCTTGTACTCCCGACGAAGACGCTCGACGTAGATCTCCAGGTGCAGTTCACCCATTCCAGAAATGATAGTCTCTTCACTCTCGTCGTCGATGGACAGGCGGAAGGTGGGATCCTCACGCTGGAACCGGTTCATGGCCTTGCTGAAGTTGTCGGCATCAGTTGATTTCTTGGGCTTGATGGACAACGACATGACGGCATCAGGCACGAACATGGACGACATGGTGTACGGCAAGTTGCCGTCGGTGAATGTGTCTCCGGAAGCGCAGTCGACACCAAACACGGCGCAGATCTCTCCGGCACCGACTTCGTCGACATCCTCCATCTCGTTCGAGTGCATGCGCACGATACGCGGGATGCGTACCTTCTTGTCTGTGCGCGAGTTGAAGAGGTATGTGCCGCGACGCAGAGTACCCTGATACACGCGAATGTATGTGAGCTGGCCGTAGTTGTTCTCCTCGAGCTTGAATGCCAGACCGACAAAGGGCAACGAGTTGTATGGAACAAGCTGGGTCTCCTCCTCAGCCTTGGCCTTGTTCAGGGCCAAGTTGGTCACATCACCGGGGTTAGGCAGGTAGTCGCACACGGCATCCAGCATGGGCTGAATCGCCTTGTCAGCCAGAGCGGAGCCCATCATGACTGGGGAGAACTTGAGGGCGATGGTGGCCCTGCGGATGGCGGCCTTGATCTGTTCGGACGTCGGCTCTTGCTCGTCCAAGAAGATCTCGGCCATCTCATCGTCTACGTCAGCAAGCTTCTCGATCAGGATTTGGCGCTTCTCCTCAGCGAGCTCCTTGAGATCGGCGGGAATATCGTTGTCGACACGGATGTTGATGCCGCGAGGACCCTCGTTGTAATAAGCCTTCATCTCCACCAGGTCGACAACACCCTTGAACTGATCCTCGACGCCGATGGGAATCTGAATCGCAGCAGCGGGGATCTTGAGCTTGGTGTTGATCTGCTCGACGGCCTTCCAGGGGTTGGCACCCATTCTGTCCATCTTGTTGACGAAGCTGATGCGAGGGACGTTGTAGCGCTTCATCTGGCGATCAACAGTGATGGTCTGAGACTGCACACCGCTCACGGCGCACAGAATCATGACGGCACCGTCCAGAACCCGGAGAGCGCGCTCGACCTCGATGGTGAAGTCAATATGGCCAGGAGTATCGATAAGATTGATGTGGTATGTCTCATCCTTGTCGTCTTCCTTCTTCTTCCAGTCGGCAAAGGTGGCAGCGGACTGAATGGTGATGCCCTTTTCTCTCTCGAGATCCATAGAGTCCATCTTGGACCCGACACCATCCTTGCCACGAACCTCGTGAATGGCATTGATTCGACCCGTGTAGAAGAGAACTCGTTCCGTCACCGTCGTCTTGCCACTGTCGATGTGGGCCTGCGTGGTCGAGGCAAGTCAGAAAGACCAGTCTTCCTCCATAAGGCGGATCGCCAGGGGCGGGGCACATACAGCAATACCAATGTTGCGGACCCTGGAGAGCCTGTGCTTCTCCTCTGGGCTCATCTTGGCCGCGACCTCCTCGGGCGAGATCGTGGCAGCAGCCTCAACTGCCTTGAAGCTGTAGGACAAAGATATGTTAGCATCGTGGTGGGGGGCACCGCGGGTTGTGGTGTGGTGGTCGAGGCAGGCGTGGGGACGTACGCAGCGGCGGCAGCACCAGCAGCAGCGGCATGCCTGGGCTTCGTGAGACTGAAGTATCGGCGGCCGTTGATCTGAATAGGCGCGGCGATGAGGGGCGCCGGGCGCTGCGAGGGTGTCGGGGCGCGGGCGGCGAAGGAGAGGAAGCGGGCGCTGTGATGCTGGCTGAGGAGCCTGCTGTCACGCAGGACGGTGACAGCCCGTTGTCCACGCATGGCGAGCTGTGTTTGGGACAAGCAAGGAGATGCTGAAACAAGGAACTAGGCAACGGAAGGAGTGCCGCACGCCAACACAAAGCACACTGGAAAAGCAGCCGTCGTCGAAGTCGGCCTTTGTCGTTATCGCGCGAGATGGCCCGATCGATTGCCAACGGCCGCCCGCCCGCCCAGATTTTTTTTCGGGGCCAGGCACAATGCTCCAGTGTTGGGCCATGGAAGGTGCTCTAGCCGTATGCGGCCTAGCTGAATAGGGTACCTGCCAAGCCATATTCTGTGGGGGCGTACGCTTGCCTCGAGACAATGGGAGGCTGCAACTCCAAGCTTCATGTTCTTTGTCAAAGGCTGAGCTTGTGTGAAACACGCAATCCACGCCATACACAGCTCCTGTGGGTATATCCAGGCGCTGGGCCCTGGGCGCTTCACCGTCTCCCGTCTGGAGAAAGCGAGGAAGCAGTCGTCAGCGACCGCCAGCACGAACAAAGATAGAAACGAAAGTGGACACTGCAAGGGTCAGCTCCCGCTCGTCCTAGGCGCCGGCAACCGGCAGCCAATCGACCAGGCCACCTCTAACCCGCCTGCGACGGCAACAAGACCCCTTTGCCCAGTGAGCAGCATCTGCATCTCGACCTCTGGCTCCCGACAGTGTTGCAGTACACGCCGCTCTCTGGTCCTGTCCTGCCCTGTCTTGAGCTGTCCTGTCGTCGCCGGATCGTTGTTGGCGCTTAGCCTCGACGCGCTTCTTTGTTCCTGCGAGGCACCGCAGAGCCAGCAAACAGCTAATTACAAGTATCCGTGGCTGCCCAGCCTCCACGTCGACAGCACTCATTGTTTCCCGTGCTCTCTGCCCAGCTCACTCTGCACCTCTCGTGTTGACGCAAAAGTCGTCCTTTTCCTTGTTCACTTTCCTTCGTCATTGCCAAACACGGCACGTAATCATCATCCGCGCCCTGTCAATCTGCGTTGATCGCTTGACACCTCGGCCAGTCTCACTCATACATACAGGCTTCTTCTTCGTCGACATATACCATTTCCAAGGCAGCCACGACTTATACACGCTTCTGTCTTTCTTTCCAAATCAATCGACCCTCGTCTCACCGCAACCATCGCCACCATGATGCTCAAGTCGGCTGTCAAGACCTTTGGCAAGGGCGCTGCCACCAAGCCCCTGTTCGTGTACGAGACGATGGCCCGCTGGATCGCTCGTGGCATTCAGTTCGTATTTGCCCTCATCGTCTGCGGCCTCTACGGCAGCCGCGTCGCTTCAGACTCGCGCCACGGCCTCGGCCAGGACCCGGCCTGGGTCTTCGCCCTCTTCGTCGCCGGCACGTCCTGCATCACCTGCGTCATCTTCGCCATTCCCCAGCCATTCATCAAGACCCATCGTCTCTTCCCCTGGGATCTCCTGCTCCTGCTGTTTTGGATCATCGTCTTTGGCATCTTCGCCAGCACCTTTCTCACCAAGCCAGACGACCTCAAAGAGTATGAGGGCACCAGCGTCTCGGTCATGAAGGGCGCCGTCTGGGTGGACCTGGTCAACTGCATCTTCTGGGCCATCACCGGCGGCTACGGCTGCTTCCGCTCGTTTGTCGGCGACAAGATCAACAACAAGATCGACCACAAGCTCGATGACCTCGAGGGCGCCATCAGCGACAAGGTTGACGGCTATGTCCCCGGGGGCTTTGCCAAGGCGGAACAGGCTCACGGCAAGTACGGCCATATTGTTCCCAAGGTGCTCCCCAAGATCCTGGACAAGGTTCACCTCAAGCGATGAACCTGCTGGGCTTGCGATACGGGGTTAGTGTTCCATGTCAGCTGTTCGGCGGACGCGTGTCTTCTTTTTCTGTGGTCGCATCGCACTCTTTTCTAGCATTGTTACATGTCCATGGCGATATGCGCCGGATTTTCGTTTACTTGTTTCATCGGGACGGCGTATGGTGTTTCGCTTTACAATATATATAGTTCTCAGGTTGAGAAGCTTCCGAATGGGGCACAAAGACATCGCTTCTGCACAACAGCAAAGCAATCGAACCCAAGTACATCTTAATGCATTTTTACTTCGTTCTTCGGCATTTTCAGACTTCTCATCTTGTCCACCCTTGGCCTCAAAGCTCCGAAACTCTCTGCTACACCACTCCGCATATGACACAGCACCCGGGACCCCCGGGTTTGCTGCTCGCCCTGACTCTTGCGACATACCTAGCCCTGCAAGGCGTTTGCCTTCTCCTCTTGCGACCCCCAAGGTCACCTTGTCGCACGTGAAATTCAAGAGTCCGCCCCATTTCCCCCTCTCGCACTGACGGATAGCCCCCTCGCAGCCTCAATGGTCTGGTTTATGCTCGGAGACGCAAACATGTCAGCACAGGTCGCTGCTGCCGCTTACAGTCTCTTTTCCCAACGAAGCCCGGACCACGAGGATTCGTGGTCTCGGGGCAGCCACTGCTCGATGACTGGGGCAAATGTGAGACGGGGCATGCAATAGGACGGGTCGGCCCATGGCAAACGCTCGCTCAGCCTCGCCTAAAGGTGCGGTGGGTTTTCCAAGCTGACAGCTCCGAAGACGCGCAGGTACCTGGGCGCCCCAACCATATCGGCAGCCATTTCCGCGAAGCATTGTGCGTGGCGTGCAGGCAGGTATTCATTGTGAAGTATAAGCGCAGAAGTGACATTGGGGCTAACTAACATATCTACGGTGTAGACGAATTCGGATAAGAGGAGGAGCATTTCCTTTACATTTTATTTGGGATATCCGAGAGTCGTACAGTTTCCGGGCGACGAAGATTCCGCTACAGGCCCCCATTTGGGAGAACGGCTGAACAGAGCCCATGGCTGGCAGGTTACAGCCGCAGCAAAACACAATATATACTTTGACAATCAATAGACATGGGAAAGAGGAGGACAATTGTGAGACTAAGGCTGAACGGCCTTCCTCCAGAACTGGGGAGGCCGTGGCTACTCGTGTCGCGGCTTCGTCGCAAGCAGATGATGGCCGCGAGACGAGGAGTCTCCCCAAGGTACAGACTACAGTAACGAGCCGCGAGACGAGGTCACCACAGCTCACAGACATGGGAAAAGTGGCGCATGCTAGTAGTATGACATCAACTAGAGTGCGCCATGTAAAGAATTGCGCTCCCCCACACCAGAGTGGCACCCTTCTCCAACTTCCCCACGGGCGGGACGGGAAGTGCACACGGGGGGTCGAGCTTTGGGAACAACGACAGGAGACGTAAAGGTGAGGAAAGAGCATCGGGCCGCCACGGTGACGAGCGAGCACTGCGCACGTCACTGTATCGGCAGGAGGGGCTTTCTCCTTGTCGCTGCCTGCAACCATTTGGATTTTCACAGATTGGGAGCCTGCTACAGTAGCCTCCTTGTAAACATCTCGTCACGGTCATCTTCTTCTATGTCTCTACATCCTAGGGCTTTGTCATGACCCCCCAGACACAGTGTCCATCGTTTCGTTCAGCTCTGGAGCACATCAGCACGATAGACACTCTGGACAATTCCTGATACTGTCCAAGCAACCCCGCCAACATGGAGTGGAAGAAGGACAACAAGACTTTCCAAATCCTCAAGGCAGCCGAGGAAGGCCAGTATGGCGTGGTGGCACCAATTGCGTACGTCTCCCTCATCCCCCAAGACACTACTACATCCATGCGCAACGCAGATCTGACCTCCCCTCGTTCCGTCCATAGCTACAACATCGAGTGCATCCTCGGCTTCATCCGCGCCGCGGAGAAGAAGCGCTCCCCCTTGATCCTGCAGGTCTTTCCCTGGGCCATAACCTTTAGCGGCGGCCTGCTCGTCCACGCAGCCGCCCACGCCGCGCGCAACGCCAGCGTGCCCGTGGCCATCCACCTCGACCACGCGCAGGACGAGGACCTCATCCGGCACGCGGCCGCGGACCTGCCCTTTGACTCCATCATGGTCGACATGTCGCACCACGAGATGGACGAGAACCTGGCCAAGACCAAAGAGCTCGTCGCCTTCTGCAACCAGCACGAGGTCACCACCGAGGCGGAGCCCGGGCGCATCGAGGGCGGCGAGGACGGCATCGCCGACACGGCCGACCTCGAGGGCAAGCTCACCACCCCGGAGCAGGTCGACGACTTTGTCGCCACGGGCATCGACTTCCTCGCCCCCGCGTTCGGCAACGTCCACGGCGAGTACAACCCCGCCCGGGGGGGCCCCGTGCTCGAGTACGACCGGCTCCGGAGCATCCGCGAGCGCCTCAAGAAGGCGGCGGCGGCGAAGGGGCGCGACGTGCGCGTCGTGCTCCACGGCACAAACGGCTTCCCCGAGGACGTCATGAAGAAGTGCATCGCGGGCGGCTGCACAAAGATCAACGTCAACAAGCTCGTCCTCGACGACTACCTCGCCCACATGAGGGCCAATGCCGCCACGCAGTCGCTGACGGCGTACATGGAGCAGGGCGTCGAGGAGATCCAGCGGCTGACGGAGTGGCAGATGGATGTGTGCGGGTCGACGGGGAAGGCGTGAGCGTAGTTCTTTTGGATTTGATTTCAATGTTTCTTTTTGTTTTTTCCTCTAAGCATAGAGACTGGGAACTTGCAACAATAGAGCTGGCTATGAATTTGCTGTTGAGGTACTTGGGAAAGGTGTGTCTTTGCTGTGTTTGGTACATGTCGTATACAAAGAACACCGAGAACACAGAGGGCAAGGATGACGCATCGCTGCTAGAGAATATGCAATTAATACCAAAATGTCACGTCTGTGTCTATTGTCCACTCCATCCACTACGGCCGCTTTACCAAAAAAAAAAAAAAAAAAAAAAAGACAAGACCATCTACTTATGAATGGGCCACCGGCGCAGCACGACATGAATCGTCAGGTACGACACGACCCCCGTGAAGCACAGCCCGCTGATGACTCCGAAGCCCATGAGGTACTTTGGCGCGCCAGAGCTGGGGAACAGGTAGGACCCGTAGATCTGGGCGAGGTTGCCCATGGCGTTGATGAAGGCCAGCGCGATGGCGCGGACCTCGGGCGCCATGTACCCGAAGGTCGAGGAGCCGTACGAGATGGCGAGGCCGTTGGCGGCCCAGAGCGCGCTGGCCATGAGCACGAGCAGGACGTAGCGCGCGGTGAAGTTGTAGACGGCGCAGATGACGACGGAGCACAGCATGGCAAAAGTCAGCCAGCCGCCAAGCACGAGGCCGCGGTTCTGCGGGTAGCGGTCCATCACGACGCCGGTGGCGAGGGTGACGACGAACGCGGCGCCATAGATGGGCACGGTCATGTACTGCGCGATGTGCGCCGTGTAGCCGAGGCCGTTGACGAGGGTCGGGTAGAAGTACGACAGGGTCGAGGAGCCCACGATGGCCATGTATCCGACGACGAAGAGCCATACGCGCCAGTTGAGGAGGGCCATCTTGAGAGCGCCGAGGTGGGTTGGCTTCGGCGCGTCCTCGTCGTTGTCGTTCTGGACATTGTCGGCGAGGAGACGCTGCATTGCAAGCTCGCGCTCGCGAGGGCTGAACTTGGACGTCGTGGCCGGGAAGTCGAGGAGGACAAAGGCGGAGATGACGGAAACACCAGAGGTGGCGACGCCTTCGATGAGGAAGAGCCATCTCCAGCCGGATAAGCCATGGACTCCATCCATTCCGGCTGTAATTGCCCCAGCCAGGAGCCCTCCAAAGGCACCCGACAAGATCGCCGCTGAGATGTAAACCGCAAACCGCTTGCTCTGCTCCGACTTCTTGTACCACGACGAGATGACGAGGATGACGCCTGGTGCAAATCCGGCCTCGAGAATACCGACAACGACACGGAACCCGATGAGGGCCTTGTAGTTGGGCACCCAGGCCATGCCCATCGTGACGAGGCCCCAGATGAACATGATGGTCGGGAGGAATCTGCTCGGCCGTGTCCGGGCCAAAATCATGCTGCGTGGAAGTCCATGTTAGTCACAGGCCACACCACAGAAGCGAGATAATGACTGACTTGCTCGGTATCTCACATAAAACGTAGCCGATGAAAAAAACGACGAGTGCAATCGAGTATCGATCCGAGGTGAGCTCGAGATCCTTCTCCATCCCCGCAATCTTCGCGTTGCCGATCTGTGGGAAAGGGGAAACGAGAGGTCAGCCAAACAGGGTCCACCAACGCTGGCTATCTTCTAGGCTATACATGGCAATTGACTTGCGTTGGTTCGGTCCAGGTAGGACATCAGGTACATGCACCAAATGCAAGGCAGGAGGTAGAGGTCAATCTTGCGGACAAGCCTCTTCTCCTCCTCCGTGTCAGGCACGTAGGCAGCGATAAGGCTCTCCTCGCGATGCTTGACGGACTCGACGTCCATCTCTTCGCGGTGTTCGTGCTCGTACTGGTCTGACTTGGCCATGTTTGTTGGTCGAACCGCCGTGGTCCGCGATGACCAGTGGTGGAACTGCCGATCGAGCAGAACAAGCTTCGTAGATCTGGCGAGACGCTTCTGTGACAGACGGGATCTGCAATGAGAAATTGGGGGCCAGCTTGACGCAAACCAACAAGATGAACTCTAAGGGAGCCGGGTGGTGTTATGTAGGCCTTGTGAGGAGGACGCTGTCGTAGTCCCCGCCCAGGCCTGGGGTCGATTTCGCGGGGAATCCGGGGCAACAGCCAACACAGCTGATGGCACGCACACCGTGGCTGTGGAGAGAGTTGCCTACCCCCATGATGAAGGAGCGGCTTGCTCAGAATGACAAGGCTAGCCCGAGCGATTCATGATGGTGGAGGGCAGAGCTAGCCGTGCTGGAGAAGGTGCGTCTGCCGAAGTTGGTGGGCACGGGCCGACTGGGCTGGCCTGGGCAGGTCAGGGGCGTCTGACGTGCAGCGGCGGGGCCAAAGCAACACACCCTCGAATGTGCCAACGCGATTGCGGGTGATGACGGAAAGCAGAAGTTGTGATAACACACAATGCGTGACTTCGGGGATGGATGTGCAGCCGTGGAACGGTTCTGAGTCGCGGCACAGTGACGAAAGCACAGTGTTGGCGGGGACTTTGCCGGGGTCCCTGGACAACGGCCATGGATTGGGTGCAGTCTCTACTGTATGCAAGCGGCGCGCTTTATTACACCTTCAGCCCAGTGGGTGCGCCACTTCTCAGATTGATGTGCGCACACTCCTCACCTGCGGCTAGAGGGCGAGGGACGGATGAGCGCGTGTCGCGGCCATGCTGGTCTCTAGCAGAACAATAAGTTGCGGCTAGAGAACAACTATGTCGTTGACAACCGCGAAATGACCATGCGATGAGGCCGCAAATCTTGGAAGTGGAAATCCTACAGATTGCTCGGCACACGTAGCTGAGAGGGCCTTGATTCGTGGCTGCTCGATTGCCATGGAACGTGCCACGGCCAACAGTCATTCCGCATTCATCCTTGCCAGCAGCCCGGCCAATTCTGAGCAGGAAGCAAGACTGGCGACAACGATCTGCCGTTGCCCTGTGTCCGCATTGTCCGCGGTGTCCAGGTGAAAGCGACCAAAAATCAGGGATCACTAATTCTGTAAGACAACCAAGATACAGTTTCTGACATCCCGCGTTCGTATTGCAGTGGGGGTATAGTGCTCGGTGGCCGCCCATTGCACGGCACAACGATTTGATGATTCCCCTTCATGTTCAAGCGCAGATCTGGGCAACAGCCATGCTCTATGGCGTGGAACTTGGACCATACTAATAGCGTTTCAACAGCCTACCTCGTGTGAGTATAGTGTACCCAGTCAGGCACGTTTGGATACTCCCAAACGATAAATCTTGAGGGATTTTCTATGACCAAATGACAAAACTGGTCTGCACAATACAAGTGATCGCTAGGAAGATCCCAGTCCGAGTTATTCGCCAACAGGACAGGAAACGATAATTCTCAAGCCATCTCGGAGCCTATCCCGTGTTGCCATGCCGTTTATGGGTCACGGTTGTAGCTGAAGAGATATGGAGGTGCAGCCCAATAATGTAAATGTTTTACAGTGTAAGAGAGGCGTGTGGAGAAATCGTAGCCCCATGTCTTGTATTTTCTCTTACCTTTGTGCTGGTACCGTGCTCAGTGTCAAGTGAGGAGTCGAATACGCGGTATATAATGCGGGTATCGGCTGAAAGGCTTTGTGAACATGCTGAATGAGAACCGCAGAAAGACGGCAAAGCCTTAAATTCCTTTTCCAGCCTCGTATATGGCTGGGTTTCTGACCGAGGCAGAAGACTTCATGAGGTTACCCACGAGTGTGCAGCCGGAAAGTGTATGGCTGGCAGCCCTGGAGTTACATAGAATGAATGTGTACTACGGGCAAACGGAATGGAGGAGACCCGTCTCGCCTACACTCCCTGTACAGAACAAGAAGTCTCTCTCGGTTATATGTATCCATGTTCAACAGAAACCAGGTTATTGAGAAACGGTCGTGCGATATGTGCTGCTAGGGTGGTTGCTCCGTCTGCTTACAACCCGCCGCCCGCGTCTCGGGGACACCAGCAGGACCAGCAAAGAAAGCCAGCCCCTTTGATTGGGTACTAGTCGTGCCTGGCCAACGTATCCGCGCCCCCTGCCAGGTACTCCGCATACTGTATGGAGGCAGGCCCCTGGCCGCCCGTGGGTGTCAAATTGGAGAACACCAAATGCCCCCGCAGCGGTTGGATTTTGAGTTTGTGCTAACCAGGCTCGGTGATTCCGCTCTGCCGTCGTGCAAAACCGGGAGCTATCGATGGGCTGAACGCCTGCAAAGTGACGGCGTAGCGCACTCTCTCCCGTGCGAAATGCACTCTTCCAGACGGACCGCTGTGTGCATGGGGTCCGTTCTCCTGGCTACTCCCGCTGCGTCCTGGCCACAATTCACCATCTTTGCGTCGAGTTTTCTTGCTCCTGGACACTCTCCACCGCGGCTGCTGCACCATCCCAAATCTCGTCTCGCCTTGCTCTGTGGGCCATGCAGCGTCCCGGTGCCCATTCTCCCATCCAAACAGCTCCCCGGCACGCGCTGAGTGCTTGCCGAGCAAACTCTGTTCGTGTTCCCGGCGGCCCGCATGTCCTCGGCCGGGGCGACGCCCTCGCCCGGGGCCGAGCCTCCCAAGAAACGGATCCGCAAGTCCCGGAGTCGGGGGCTGCGGACAAAGACTGGCTGGTGTGTCCACCTACCCATCCCATTACTGATCACACACACTGCCCTCCCTTGCAGGGTGACTGACGCGCGGATCCTGTGCGCAGCTTGACCTGTCGGAAGCGTCACAAGAAGTGTGACGAGAATGGTTCGTGCTCATCCCTCCTGTCTTCCGTCTCTGCTGCCCTGACTTCTGTCACCCTGCGGCAGCACTTTCGGCCAATACAATGCTAACAGTATTGCTCCTATGCAGTGCCGGTCTGTGGCCCTTGCTCCATCTCCAGCCGGGACTGCGTCTACGCGGACGGCGGGCCTCGTCCCTGGCCTCCGCCGGCTCCGTCCCCTTCGGCTCCGGCATTCCGGAGCAGACACCACCCCACGAGTGCCCCGGCCGGAGCAGCCGCGGCAGGTGCCGCGCCGGTCGCCACGCCGGCCCTCTCGCTGCACACACATTCTCCAGACGGCCCGCTCCGGCCTTCACAACGCGGCTCCCCGTCGCTCCACAGCATCAACGTCCCCAGCCCAGATGCCCCCAAGTTCGGATCGCCCCGGGGCCTCCCGTCGGACCCCGGTCAGCTGCGCGGTGCTGACGGCGTCGATGCGCACGCGTCTCCATGGGCTTTCTCACCAGAAACAGTGACTTCAGAACTCCTGACGGCGGATCTCGCGTCCACGCGGTGGCTGGATCTCCTGGCAAAAGATGCCGCACAGGCAGATGGGGCTTTCTCCTTGACCGGGACGCCCGCGCCAGCGCCGTCTCCAGCACCGGAAGGAGACAGCCAGGGCCTCGACGCACTTTCTGATCCGCAGGCGGCAATGTCGAGAGCCGCTGCGGAATCAGAAGCGGTGGCAAGGGAGAAGCACGCCTGGCAGCTGCCCGAAGATTTTGTGCTGAACCACCACGAGACCATTCTCTTCCGGACGTTTGCAGAAAAGGCTGCATTGTGGGTAAGACTCATCTGCCGGATCTGTGTGGCCATGGTATAACAACTAACGCCTCACCCCTCACTCTGCGAAGCTCGATCTCTTCGATCCCTTGAAACATTTCTCGACCTATCTTTCAAGATTAGCCGTAAGCCTATCCTGGTACGGCATGTCCCATGGCCCTACTGACTAACACCACTTCCACCGTTTTCCCATTGTGACAGCTCCGCAACACGGGGATAATGAAGGCCATATTGGCACTCACATCCCGCCACAAAGCTCTCGAGGAAGCCCGGACGGCCCAGGTGAATAACCCGATGCCGCCACCGCCACCACAAGCGCTCCTCCCGTCCATCGAAAACATCAACAACCGCACCAACGACTTGGCATACACCCGCGCCCCCGCATCCGCAGCCGCCGTCGCTGCCCGCGAGGACCCCAACGACGCCGTGCAGTACTATTACGAGACGCTCCACTACATCCAGACGGCGCTCCGTTACAACAGCTACGCGCACTCGGAGGAGCTCCTGGGCACGGCCATTGTCATCTCGACGTACGAGATGCTCGACCAGTCCGACAGCAACTGGCAGCGCCACCTCAAGGGCGTCTTCTGGATCCAGCGCTCGCAGAACTCCAACGGCGGGTGCGGCGGCCTGCGGCAGGCCGTCTGGTGGGCGTGGCTGCGGCAGGACATCTGGGCCGCGTTCCGCGAGGGCAGGCGCTGCCTGTCCTTCTGGCGGCCCGTCAGGGGCCTTCACGAGCTCAGCCAGCACGAGCTCGCCGACCACGTCGTGTACTTGCTCTCCCAGTCGGTCAACTACTGCGCCAAGCCCGACGTGAACTCTACCGACCCGGCCGTGGTCCGCAGGAGGTCGCAGTCTGGCGAGGCGCTGCTGGGCATGCTTGAGACCTGGAAGTCGTTCACGGGGCCAAAGTTCCTCCCCTTGCCTTCGCCCATGTCGCCAGGGCAGGCGAGCATGGCCGCCGTGTTTCGGCCGCTCTGGATGCACCCGCCAGAGTTTGGCGTGGCAATGCAGGCGTACCATTTCGCGCGCATCCTGATCACGCTGCACAGTCCGGCGACCGGCTTTGATGGCTATCTCAGGACTCAGGTGAGAGAGACCCTCTGACCCTCTGGCCCTATGACCGTGGCTTACCTCCGCGTCTGTGTACTTCCTCGAACGTCTTTGCTGACCTTCTTCCTTCATGCAGAAAATATTGGCTGAAGCAGTAGCGACAATCTGCGGCATCGCCATGGAACTGAAAGACCAAGGCTGCCAGATCATGTCCGCGCAGTGTCTTTTTGGAGGCAAGTTGCCCGTTACCCTCCCTCTTCTCTGTCTGCTCGGATCTCTTCAGTACACCACGGCCCCCTGTGCATGACCGCTGACCATGAATTGATGTCTCTGGTACAACAGCCGGCCTCTGCGTGCAAGACGACGTCAAGAGGAATATTGTGCTGTCGCTGATCGATGCCTGCGAGGCGCGGACCGGGTGGTCCATGAATGAGATGAAGAACGACCTGCGGACGGAATGGGCCAAGGTCGCATAATAGTTATCTCGGGAAATGAAGCGATCTCAGTGACGATGCGCAACTGTCTCTACATGTTCTCAGAGAGGGACGTGCTCGATGTTTCGTGGTGAACATGTTGGCTTGTAAACGTGCTACTTTCCTCTGGCTGTTGAATCTCTGAACCCTCTGATTCCTCTGATTCCTCCGATTCCTCAATACACAAGGCACGCTTACGTACGATATGCCACGTTCCACGAAACTAGAAGCACAAATCTTCTCGTGCAGAAGTCCTTAGTGTGGAAGAGCTCCTCTAAAACCCTTTCCCCTTTCAGAGACCAGTCGGCAGGTACGAACGACCAGGCCTTGAAGTGCACTCTCCACAGCCTGTGCAACGCAAAAAGGTTGGTCTGCAGCTCCACACCATAACTACACACGGAAACACCGCCACAACCCCAAAACAGTAGAATCACCATCGTACAAAACATGAAAGAAAAAAAAAAGGTGATCATAGCTTCCAAGGGCAAAAGAACATGCTCAGTATGAGGGTTGAACTCATGACCTTCGCATTACTTTATATGTCGCCAAGGCGAGATATTAGTACGACGCTCTAACCAACTGAGCTAACCGAGCTGTGGATCCAAATGTGGTCATTTGGTCGGATGGTGGTTGTTGGAAGCGGATGGCTTATGTACTGATATATAATCAAAAGCACACCTGCAGATTTCTATCCTTGGATAAAAACCAGCTCTTGAATGCCCGCCTGCGCTATTGCATGATTCTCTCGTTCCGTAGACCTCATCGACTCGCTTTTGGAGCTCAAACTTCTTATCCATGGTCGTTGTTGAGAAACACGAACTGCGGGCTATTGGCCTCGAGCAGACGCTTCAACATGCTGTCCAATATCATCAAGTAGTCTGGCTTCGGGCTTCGGACGTGGGTTCACTGGGCGTGAGGGCACGCTCATGACCCTCAACCCGTCAACAAAAAAAACAAAAAAGGCTAGCATTGATTTGATATCCTCAATATGTCCCTTAGTGTCGCAGACGTGATGTGCAAGGCAACCATGTTCTCATCGTTTTGTTCGGGAGTCAGCACTTGGCCGAGGTCACGCAGGCCAACAGACCTCATGCCCTTGTAAAATGAGTTCATGCACTCACATCTTCCCAGGATCCTATGAGGACACACCAGCTTTGCTTGATCTGCTTTCGCAGTATTTCCCGTTCTCCACAAGCTTCGGGTACATGAACCAGACATACTGATTCCATAAGGCCTTCTCAAAATTGGCCAGGGCGGAGTGGTCAATCCTGGCGCCCAGGTGCTGGTGCTGCTCGTCTTCTCAACCAGGCTGCGCCACTCTGCACAAGCCTGCCTTGCATGATCAGGCTTTCTGCCCAACGTCCCGAACTGCAACCCAACAATCGGAAGAGAAATGGTCTCGTGATCCGTGATACTTGATGTTGTAGCAAGGCCCGGTCCGGCGCAGTGCTTGTATTCCAAGTCAAACACCTAGCTCGGGACAGAAGCATCCCTGTGCTGCAGGTTGGCCTCCGGCTTTCGGTGAGGTCATGCGAGAGTCCCGACTGCATATCCAATATCGTCCAATCATCGCCAAGCATTGGGAACTGCACATGCCTGCAGAGTCATCCATGCTGCAGGACAGAACCACAGCGAACTCGACCACCCCGGTGTCTGGCACTAATTTCAAGCGCTGATGACTTCATCTGGCTGCCAGCCTTGCCGCATGCTGGTAATGAATGAGGGCAGTCGCTGTCGAAGAAAGAAGGTCGCGGAAATTGACAGAATCAACCTCGAGCCTCGAGCCTGAGTCTTGTAGTCCCAAGGATGGAATATATAAAGCAAGAATAAATGGACCATTTGGGTCATCAAATGTCGCAAGCAGAATCATCAACTTTTCGACTCACAGACTACCTACTTTCGCCCTCGCAGAGCACAAGCCAATCCTCTATTCCAAGAATGCCTGTAGGTGACACGGCCCTGTCCCGCACATACCAAGCATGCTGAATATTCTTAGCCACGCCTCCGCCGGGCCAGAGACAACCCTCCAGACGTGGATCCAATGGATCCCGACTCGTTGTACTACGCTGACCCTGGTTCTGATGCCTATGTCGGAGTCCAACCCGATTCCGATGACTTTTGGGGAAGCACCGGAAGTCACTTCACGGAGCACTTCGATCTGAACCTCGAGGACCCAGGCGTCTCATTCTTCGATCCGAATCTCGAGGATCCAGGCTTCTCCTTCTTTGATCCTACCACACAGGATCCGGGATTTCTCATGGATCCGGCTGAGGCTCCCTTGGTGCCTGACCTTGACCAGCTAGCTCTTTAGAGCGACACTGGGCAGGCAGAAGATCAGGGTTTCCCTGATGTGTCGACCTTCCTCGACGACTCCACCACGATGGATGGACCTGACACTTATGGTGAGATACCTGCGGGAGACCAATCTAATCATAGCGAAGAGCTCGATGAGGCCATGGGGCAAACACGGCGCACACCCTTGCGCTTCGAGGAGGAACCCATGCCATCTCTCGAACGCTGGCCCCCGAACGCGCAAGGAAGATTTGAGTGCTGGTTCAAGGACTGCGGTCGTAATTACCCTGGGAGGAGCCATCTAGCGTCAGTCTGATACCACGCAACATTTGAAACAACTCTTTCTAGTGGACAAGCAAGTTCCGAGGAGATTGGTGACAATCGCGCGAATGGCCAACTAACCACACTGCGAAACCAGCAGGAAACATCTCCGCAAGCACTTCAGACCCGTCATTTGTCCCGTATGCCCTCGCCCTATGAGGTCCCCCGGTGGCGAGCTTGCAGCCGACGAGCTCGCAGTCGACCAGCTCTGGCGCTGCGCAGAGCAGCGAGACATGGAGCGCCACGTCTTAGCGCATCATACGCAGTGGGCAGTGAATCACGGCTTCGTCCAGGAGTTGATCCGTTGTCCGACTTGCAACGAAGAGTTCACCCGCGAGGACAACCTTCGGAGGCACGAGAGAAGGGCTCATGGGGGATGACCTACGGAGAGCTGTGTGGGCATAGTAGCGAGTCCCAGGGGGCAATTTCCTCATTACATTTCGTTACAATTGATAGTTTACTGTCTATGATGCGATCTCAATGCATGATCTTTGCTCGAGGCAGCCCTCCCGTGAGCGTCGAAATAAAGGCAAACAGCCAGCATTCTTACCTGGCATGGGGAGAGTCTGGTCGAACATCCTGATAATCTATGGCCAAAAGTAAAAAGGTTTGTCCGTGCCCATGCCCACGCGGATGGCGATCTTGTTCACCAGGCACTCCATAGAGCTCTCAAAGGCGCAATCTCACGGCCCCAAATGGCTCCGCAGGGGATGCGCGAGTTCATCATCACCACACTTGGGAACGGGGACCCAGCGCTCAGAGTCTCCGAAGCGATCAACTGTGAGTCCCGCGCGGCCAGGGTTGCGGAAGCCCGCCTTGCGCTGACGCTCGTACGATATTTGACGGAGGCGCTCATGTTCGGCCGGGGTGAGTTTGATCTGCAAATGTCCGCCCAATGGTCAGTTCTGTAATGCGTTCTTGCGGTCTTGTCCCCGAGTTTCTTTCCCATTTCAGAAGCGGGCATAAAAAGATGGCTTGAGGCATGACCAGCAAACCCGCGCTCCCGGGTTCTACACTTACATAGATCTCCACGCCCAAGATGTGGATGGCGAACGCCACCCACGCAGCCATGCCGAAGCTCACGTTGAATGCCGCGCCGACCTCGGAGGCGTTGGTCGGTGAGGTCAGGCTCGCGCGCACTGTGGCGTGAGCGCTCGGATCCTCGCCGGAGAAATACGGCTGACATGATGGGTACTCCGCTCGGGTCAAGTCCTCGCCTATCGTGAACACGATTTGTGCGCAGGGGATGCTGGAGAAATATGGCCCGCGGCTAGAAATGATGGTGGCGGCGATGATGAAGATTATTCGCAGCGTTATGATGGAGGTTGCCTGGAGGAGAGTGGAGTGACAGGCAGTCAGAAACGGGCGATTCCTGACATCGTGGAAGGAGATAGGACAGCTAAGGGGCAACCCACATAGAACCAGGCACGCAGCATCCACATCCTATGCTGCTCGATCTGCAGCCTCTTTATGTTTATGTACGCCATGACGATTGAGCCGACAAAGATAATGCCCAGGAAGCCGGCAGCCGCTTGTATCTCCAGAGAGCCGCCAAAGGACGCGGGAGCAGTCATGATGGCCCCGGCGACGCCGACAAAAGAGAGAAGAATGGACGCATAACCGCTGATTCGATGCACCATGATGTATTTGTGGCGAATGACTGGCACAAACTGTACGAGGGCGAATATCGAGGCCGAGAAGATGCCGACGAGATGCAAGGTCATGCCGGTACCATAGTAGTCTTGCAAGTAGTAGTAGCATTCCCCCGGCGCTGCTTGGGCACCGCTGGGAGCTTCTGGGTTGCAAAAGACACCCAAGACGTTGACGCTGGGAAACCGTGCGAGGACGAACCCGAACAATGCGCCGCTGAAAATGAACCAGAGAGCCGCATTGTAGCCCTTGGAGAATCCGATGGGATGATAGAGCTTCCGAGCCACCCTGACAAAGGTGTTCCTGGGGGGCTTGTCTGTGAGCGCCATGCTTTCTGACGGGGTAGATATAGAATGGATAGGCGGACTGGATTCTCGCGCTGATCTATGAGCAACGAAAGGCTGGTCGGGGAACTGGGAGGTTGAGGATGGGCAGCAGGTAGCTACTTGTATATTTCCTGCTTCCAGGTGAGAGCTATCAGAGACTGGCTGCAGCAGTGCGAGGTGCCAACTGCGGCACACGCCCAGGATTCCGTGGAACTGCTGGTTGCTGCGATTTGCAGAACGCCTTTCCACAATAAGGGACAATCCACGACGGCCACCCTTAGCCTCCACGAAAGGCGACGATCAGATGCATCACCCTTCTAAAAGGGGTCCGGGACTCAAGCGCCGCCGCAGCTCTGGTCTGACAAGATCTCAAGTTACCTAGCTTAGGAGCAGAGCACCTATGGCATCCACGAGCGTTCGAGCGTGGCGGGCTAAGCGGGGACTATGAGGCTGATGAGGGGCTGTGATTGGCTGAGACAGCGCAATGCTTCCCCTTTGGGAAGGAGCATGTACCTCAGGGCCAGCGAAGGAATAATCTCCAGAATTGTGCACAGCGTCATTTGCCTGCTTCATAAGCATGGCCACGCTCTTGGTGGATGCCTGCTGCTCCACAGTTTGCGAGTCTTGTGTGCCTCTACCAATGTGCTGACAGTTGTTGCCTTGCCAGTCCAGTGAGCTCAGGGGTCAGCCGCTGAGCTACGCCCCTGAGGCTTGGCACGGGCAAGAGCTCCGACACGTCTCAGAGGCCAGTCCAGGTATAAATCCAGGCCAGCCCTGCGGATTGCCTGGTTGAGAGACAATCCGCGCGCGGATACGAGCCAGAGACGGGTGGTTTGGCACAGACAAAATCTGGGTCTGACACCTATTTGGCCCGCCCGGCTCAGCCCGCTCCTCCGCCTCAGCCTTGCACAGCACTGCAAAGCAGCACCGTATCAGTGGCGCAAGGGAGCATGGTTGGCGTGCCAGGAAGGTCCAAGGCCTGCCTCACCTGCAGGCGGCGGAGAAAGGGGGTGAGCATCTCCGTCCAGGACCGCCCTGAAGCACACCCATGGCTTACCATAATGTCCTTGCCCAAATCTAGTGTGATGGCGCGCGGCCAAATTGTTCCCAATGTATCGCTGCCGGCCTCGAGTGCGCCGGCTATGCCCGCCAGACCATCTTTGTCAACTGGACCGAAGGGGACACCCCGGTCGCGTACAGCCGCCGAGACCGCGAAGGCAACACCACTAACGCGCGCCAAACAGCGCGGGACGGTGCAGTTGCGCGGCAGCAGGCCGGTGGCGCAATGAGACCCTTGCTGCATGGCCTCACCCGCACGGCGTACGTCGAGCGGTACAACGGCCTCTTCTGGAGCCAGTTCCTACCCCACGGCAAGAAGGCGTCCGCACGAGCCAATGACCACTGCGGCAGCGAAGGGTTCCTCCTGGTGGCCGAGAGCATGTACACGTCGCAGCCCGCCGTGCAAAGGGTCCTCCTCGCGCTCAGCCTGTCGACCGTCGGCAGGTCCAATCGCGACATGGCGCTTGTCCATGGCGGCGTCCGCGCTTACACCTCCACGGTCCAGAGCTTGGCCAACATGATCGCCTCGGGACTAAGCATGGGCAGTGACGTCGCCCTCATCCTGGTAAAAGGATTAAACACATTCGAGGTACCGAGGCCTGGCCTACTCCAACACCAAACATGGTGTAACCTCCTGTCCCTCTTTGCTGATCTTGGACCAGATTATGTTTGGAGAGGACCATGCAGAAATCGTGGCGCAGTCTCGCAAGCTCATCAGTCACATTGAAGGCGAGATAGCGATGCTCGAGGCCAGGGGTCCTGCATCGTTACAGACAGGAGACGCTCACGAGATGCTCGTTGTAGGCAGGCTCTTTTTGGTGCGTCCATGTTACCCCACCCCCTTCCCCCCAAATAGATAGACCCTGCCATCTGATTATTTTCTGCTTCAACAGCTCGTGTCCAACATTAGGACAAGGAAACGCTCCTTCCTGCACAGCCCAGAATGGATGAGTGTGCCGTGGCTAGTCATACCGAAAAATCCAAGAGACCGATTGGTCGACATCATGTTCGAAGTGGCCGGCCTGCTGGAGGACATCGACTCTCTCCAAGCCGCGGCGAGCAATGGGGACAAAAACTACGAAACACTGCGTCTCGACATTGCCGACGCGTGTTGGCAACTTGACGAGCGCCTGCAGCGCTGGTCTGCGGAAGACGCGCCTGTGGTCAGCTTCTACGATTCAGCCGGCAGCTTCAGGGAAGCCTGGGATCCGGACGATTACGCCCGCGCCGACATGGTCCAGGTGTACTGGTCTGCGTGCCTGCTGCTCTACGAGCTGATGGGCATGGTGGTGGACGATCCGCAGAGCCTCCCTGCGCGGTGCGACCCCTTGGTATACCTGCGAAAGATCGGGGAGACGCTGCCAGTCATCTGGACAGCCGGGGCGGGCATCATAGCCACCGCCCGCGGGACATTTCCCATGGGCGTGGCCCTGTACGTTTTATACAGCCATCCGTACACGGACCCTGAGATTATTGGCATGTTTGCTCGACTTAGGGCGCGGCCGGATGTGCAGGCCACGCTTGGTCCCTTTATGGACTCTCTTGTGGCTGAACTGGTTACTCAAAAGGCCCCTCGTCTCCAACAAGACATGGTGACGCGCACAAGGACCAGTGCCCCAGGCGCCACAGCACAATAAGCTACGCTCGGGTCCTGGGACCTGGGGACCTCTGGACCTCTGGACCTCTGGCCTGTACTCATGAACTGAGGTTGACGCAGCGAAACTGACATTAATGTTGGTATATAAATATGTACATTGGGTATCTCACACACAAGTCTTTGAGTCCTATCAAGCGTCGGCCAATGTGATGTCATCCCGTATCTCTGACCTCTCCAGAAAACACCTCAAAGCTTCCAAACAGCATCGGTCAAACGATTCTTGCATTCGTGTTCCGGCCCTTTTCATTTCCAAAACTATCCATTGCTGACAACACTACGTCCTCGTCTGAACGATCGACTTCTTCACGTGGATGTTCCAAGGGGTATCCGAGTGCTCGGGCGCCTTGCCTCTGGTAGCAAGGTTCGAGTCACTGCTGTTCCAGTCCTCCTCCTGCTGGAACGGGTCGGAAGCCACGGAGCGGGCGTCGTTCTTGTTGCCCTCGAGATCGACCTCGTTGGGGATCCTGCTGTGGTCGATGACGGTGGTGACGCCGAGGCCCTTTTGGCTGCGGTGCTGCAGGTCGAAGCCGGGCTCGTTCTGGTGGGCACTGCCAGTCCTATGCCATTTGCGGGCCGAGTTGCCATAGTCTGGTGCGGACGAGCCACCACCAAAGAATGTGCGGAGGAGTGGGCGGAGGGTGGCAACTCCGGCGGCTGTGATGGCGAGACCGGTCTCGACGGTGGACCAGATGGCGACGTCAGAGGTCGAGTACAGGAAGTCTTCGACATCGGTAAGAGAGTACAGGTACGGGAACCGGACAATCGTGGCACTGGAGGCACTGTTGGTGAGACAGAAATTAGCAATCGCTCTTCCGAGTTTCGAAATAGTCGAACACCACCCAATAGACTTCGACCATCCACCACGGGACTTGTGAATGAATGCTTGACTTACATGACACCGGCAGCCAAGATGAGCACAACGGAAACCTTCATGCGAAAGTTCATCTGGAGATTCCAGACGAGGAAGATGGGCAAGATGCTGAATGTCCAGTCGACGACGCAGCTGATGGCCGAATAACCGTAGAAGGCGGCAGGCACGATACTGGGGTCGAGGCAGCTCCCTGCCGGGGGATCCGGCCCATACCTCAGCCAGAAAAGAGATGTCGGCCGGCACTGGAGGACGAACAAGAGGAAGAAGAAGGTGCTGTAGACCTCCGTGACGACCAAGCAAGTCCAGATGATGATCTTTTGTACCTTGGCAACGCAGATGCGCAGCAGGAATAGGGAAATGCTTGCTTTGATTGCCATGTTGGCCAGTACGTATAGGGGCTCGCAGTTCCACCATGCTGTATCATTGTCAGCTTGCTGTGGTTCGAAAGTGATGCGGTTCGAGTAAGGTAAAACGCTTCACGTACATTCCATGGCCTTGGGAATGGCTTCAGGGGCAATGTTCGCGATGTGCTGACCAGTGCCATAATGAACACCAGTGATCTCGAAAGCACAAAAGACGATGAATAGGATCTGCAACGTGTATTTGATTGTCAGCATCCTGATGTAAGATTTGTTCCATGGGTGAGAAAAGGATTATCCCCAAGCCCCCGTCTTCGCTCCGCCCGAGCAGCACTACAATGCAACAACCACCGACGCAAGAAGTTGCTTACCTGAGCAACAATGGCCAGCCAGTCGTCAAGAGCAAATGCCTTGATGACCCAGCCACGGCAGTAGATGCGCAATGCTGTAGCGATTGTGCTCAACACCAGCATGGCAATGCCATTGCCTTGGACCTCGTTACCACGACCACCAACAGCCATGACGACCTGGATGCAGCTTCTAGTGACCGGGGGTTCAGTGAAGAAGGCGTGTGTGACGGTTGTCGAAGAAGCTCCAGTTGCCAGAGGAGATAAAGGAGTGTCTGGGGACCGCAAGACATTGAGCTGGGGTGATCCGATGTTATACCAACTCAACCGCGCCAGACACCAAGAGCCCCATTCTTGACTCCTCCTACTCCTCTTGCTCCTCCTCCTCCTCCTCCTTTCAAATGCATCAACGGCAATCTGGAGCAGCAGTGGATCTCAAAAAGGGGTCCAAGCTGGACCTCCACACCTATACACATGCCCTCTGTGCGGCTCGTGAGCAGGTAACCATGTCTGGCAGCTTGATGCGAGCACCGCAGCAGCATAGGGATCGCCACCCGAGCGATCGAAGAGCTGGATGGCGGCTCCATCTACAAGACTAGAGACGAGACGTGGCGCCACGGTGAGGAAGTCTGCACGCTATGCTGAAGGCGGTATAGCGACCGGAGGGCTGAAGCAACTTGGCTAGGCTCTGGCAGAGCGCCCCTGGGCTAGTCCTGTGCTAGTGCTGGCGAACTCGTCACTACATTTCGGCACTTGAGGCTAGCTCCCGATTGCCATGTGCGCAGCCGAAGCCATCTTTGCTGTTAGATTCGTAGGTTGGAGGCACAGCAGTTAGTGCCGGTTGACTGTTGCTACAAAGAAAATCCTTGGGCGCGGCACCTGAATGCCTGACGTACACAAACCTCTTGCATGCCATATCTACACTTCTGAGCCAGCCCATCGCAGATCATCGCAGTAGTGGCTCCATAAACCCCATCGCATGGAACATGGGCCTAGCATCCGAGATCGTCAACCCTGCCCATGTGTGACCCGACGGGCCTCGTCTCGGTACCCAGGATAATGCAGGGTGATGTGATCGCCCGTGAAGGCGGCAATCAACTACCGGACTCGGCCAGCTCGCCGTGGTTGCCGCACGGGAGTCCTTGCTCCGTTGCCACGAGCACGGGCGCCACGAGAGCCACACGGCGCCAAGCACGGCTCTCATGCCCGGTCCAGACGTGCTGCGTGCTAAGCTACCGTCCTTTAGAGCGGTGGGGTGCTGGGCCTTTTGGGGGCCGAGCCACGTTCTAAGTGTCCGGCTACAGCGACGAACAGCGGGCTGCGGGCCGAATGCGGCTGAGCTGTGCGGAACCCATCCGCCCCGCCACTACCTATACGTCTCGTGAAGCATGTGAGGCTATATTCCAGGGCAGCGACAGTCTTGCTCAGCATCTGGAACCTGCGAGCTGATCTGCTTTGGAGTCATGGAGAGATCCATAGAAACCCCTGAATGAGTAGCATCTGGGTTCACGCGGCCGGTCCCACTCACGCAGATGCCATCCCGAGCCACTGGGACGCCCTCCCTTGTTAGTGGCACAACCCACAGGCCTGATCTGGATAATTATCAAGGGGCGGCACGGCAGGTCTGGGGTCAGAGCAGGGACAAGGCTTCTGTGTCTGCTTCAGCTTTTGTACTGATGCATTCCACGGGCAAAACAACAGGCGCCTCATGGACAGCAGAGTCCAAGCCGAGGCAGGATTGCTCCTCTTCGTCTGTTGATCTCTAGTGCGGGAGGAGCCCGACCCTAGTCAGCTGGTGTCGCACAAGTAACACTAGCTGCATTCTGGAAGGAGACCGCTGCTTGCTGTTTAGTGCTATCTGCAGACACTTGCAGACACTTGCTCGCAGTAACGAGTTGCCACCTCGCCGATCCTAGTCGCATGACGTACAGACACAGCCTACGGGGCGACGTGTGAGGGGATACCAAAATGGGGGGGACACCATAGCGGTGGGATCAGACCTTTGAGGCGTACAAAGATACTGCGGCTGCAATGATGTATGTACGCGTACTTTACATTTCATTGGCGATTTCAGAATCTCAGAACCCTACAGGGGCAGGGACTTAGCAGGTCAGGGGCTGATGGCATAGCGGGCCTGGATGGTCTACCACCATTTCTTCACAGCGCCTCTTGAAACAGGATTTTTTCGGGACCGCATTCATGTCAAGTGCTGCTGACGGGAAGACACGGGGGCACTTGTGGTTTGGATCCTCTCACCCGACCCGACAATTCTACGACAATAGCTTGTGCACCGTCGAGTCTGGTCCAGAACTTCGATGCAATCTGCCCCTCTCTCAGCCCAGTTGATAGCACAGCTGGTAGCGCACCACGCACTATGTATGCTGGTGCTATGGGGGCCGTCACGCGCCGAGCCCAACGAGGCTGCATAACAAGCAGTTGCAGAATCTGCAGGTCCAGGCACGTGTGGGGAAGTTTGTTCGAGTGGCTTGCTGGAGAAGTTGCCCTCGCGTGAGCAGCCGAGCCAACCCCACCGCTGGTGGCTGACCCTTCGGATCGAAGAAGGCGCCCAGGGTTCGGCAGACAGGCCCGAGCTGAATTGACGGCTTGCTCGTCGTCGCGAACTCCTAGCCCGCTTGGGAAAGCGTCACTCACGAACCAAAGTTGGTACTTGTGGCCGAGATGCGATAGCCCCCAGAGGCATCAGACTTTACCGAACTACGCTAGTCACACTCTAGTGGCTGTTGTCCTCTGGAGAACGTCCGGACAAATCTCCGGTGCATCGGGTGCCTTTTGGGACTTTGGCATCTGAACATGGCCACTCCACTATGTACAAGTGTGGCAGGTGACCACAACCACGATTTTGTCTTTGGCCTCACGAATTCCTGGTCTCTCTGTTCGCCGCCAAACAGCAATTGCGTTGACATGTCAAGGCGGGCCCTCACTCTCCACACGGAGACATGTTACCCGCAGTGAATACTGGGATTGGCTATTTGCATCCCTGCTCATGTCGTGACACGACCAGGGGCTGTTGGAGGAGGCTGTGATAACCGCGCGGGGGCTGAAGAGATTGCCCTGCCAGGCGAGCCTTCCCGAACAAGCAATAATGCTGACAGGCAAGAGAAGAGGGTTCAGGGGCACTGCCAACCTGCGGTAAACAGGTCGTCGTGCCTGGCCAGCTCGCCAGCCGGCCGGTGCCAGCACGCGAAACTCCAACGCACCATCTCGAACGCGAGAGAAACTAGTTCACTTCAGTCTTCGCGTGGCTTTTCGAAGGGCTAGGTAACCTCACTAGCGCGCGTCCATCGCCTCGCCCATCTCCGCCTTCTGGATCAGCCTCGGGGCCACGCCGTCGTCGCCCGGCCGCCCCCGCAAAACCACGGTCCCAAAGGGCTCCGGTCACGATGGCCTCAAGCGGCGACACGGACGCGCAGACGTGGGTGTTCCCGCCGCCGGGCGTCGACGTCCCTCCGATTGCTGCCACGGGCGACTTTGGTCCTGTCCACTATGGCGACTCGATGATTCTCGACTGGGATGCCCCGACCGCGCCTGTCGTGATCTTTAGTTGCTTTTCTCAGCTACAGAGTCAGTAACTGGTCCAACTTAGATAGGTGGAGTGGTCTTGAGTAAATACATTGACACTCGCGTGCTGACAACTTCCATTACCAACCCTGAAAATAGACAACTCAAACTACTATGCGGTCCGGGATAAAAGGCCCCCGATCACATACACCTTTGACCAGACCGCCATCCAGCAGAGCGCCTTCGACCTGACGTTCTGCCACTTCTACTTCAGCCCTTCCAAGCACGGCAACACCATAGTCTTTCAGTACGACAACAAGCCCCTCGCCAAGCCGGTCACCTGGTCCGCCGGCTCGGTCTCCTCTTCCGCCACTTCATCGTCCGGCGTCTCCTCTACCGCGTCGTCTACTGCTTCTTCTTCTTCTTCTGCTGCTGCAACTAGCGCCACGAGCGACCTCCCGGCAATCTCCGCCTCAAACACCCCGCCTGCCAACCCAACCGGCGGAGCTTCCGCCGTGGCCGACAGCGGCAGCACCGGTCTCCCCGCGGGCACCTCCGCAGGCATCGGCGTCGGTGTCGCTCTGGGCGTGCTCCTCGTGGCCGGCGTGGCGGGATTCCTCCTGTGGCGACGGCGGCGGAAGACACAGCGACAGCAGCAGCAGCAGTCGACCGACTCGAACGGGCCCTTCGAGGTGCCCAGCGGCGGCATGCAGCAATACGACGGGACCAGCACCACCACGTACTACTCGCCCGAGCAGCACCACCAACACCATTATGCCGTGGCCAAGTCGCCAGGCGCGTACCAGGACTCGGTGCCGCCGACCGCCGAGCTGCATAGCGGCTACCAGCCCTCGGAGCTGCACAGCGGTCACAGGCCGACCGAGCTGCCGTGATATCTGTGCTTTACTAGCGGCGGGAAGGGGGGGGGGAGCTCTACAGGTCCCGGACACGGGGACTTTTTTGCCTTTTTTTTTTTTTTTTTTTTGGTTGGTTGTTGGTTGGGGTGGACGGTCCATCCTTCGCGCGTTTTTCATGTAGTTTGATTAGCATGTGTCTGGCTTGCTTCCACGTGCGGGTCAGATGCCTTCCTAGCATTGCAAGCGAAGTTTATCTTTTCTTTGTATTGTAAGCATTTATACCGAGGTCAAATATTAGAAAAGCGTGACCGCTCTGAGGTTACACGGATGGAAGTCGTGCTGTGCAAACTGACCTGGCGAGCTGGGCATGGAGATCATTACCTCTCGTCACGAGATTATCGGTGGGCTCGTCCTCTGCTTGACATGAGTGCGTGCCTAACCGCTTTTCTGTTGGGCTAATATTCCGACCGGTCGCGACTCGATCTCAAGTGCAGATGAATCGTGACAAAAAAGAAAAAAAAAAAAGAGAGAAAAAAAAAAAGGCATTGCTCAAACTCGGCGCCCCGCCTGTCCTGATATTTCTGTTTGATAGCCGTGCTCACCGACAAAGTACTTTGATCTATAGAACAGACTGTATGGGTGCGCAATGCTCAGGTGAGAGTGCAAACTCGTGAGGGAGGTCTTGCTCATGGGCACCAATGTCAGGGGATGATCGTGTAGAAATGAAAAATATCCCGGATCCTTTCTCTCTCTCTCTCTCTCTCTTTTTTGTGCTTGGGTATTTATTCACAATTCTTATATTTTGCCAAAATGCCGCTTTTAAGCAAGCGGGCATATGTTTTCCACACGTGGAAAGACTCTCGTCTGCCTCGACAAGATAAAGAGAGAGGGGGGTACAATCTCGTATCAAGGTGTTTCCAGCTTCGAATATCACCACGAGGCTCAGCTGAGGAAACGAGGAGAAAAAAAGAAGAGGAATAGGGGGAAACGGGAAAGACGAGAGAAGGGAGAAAAAGAAAAACTCTCGCTACTATTCTTCACTCGGTCGAATCCACGATATCCCACGATGATCAGACTGTCGCAACCTGTTTCCTCTAAGATTCCGAGACGGCATGGCCGCCGCAATTGAGAGGCACCGTGGCAAGAAGACGAAAGACAAGCGTTCATTACTTACTCAGCAATTGACAATTAGACCACATAAAAAGAGAGAGGCAGATAGACTGCAGGTAGCAAATCCTTGCCGGGGGTATTTCCATTGTTTTTGTTCTCTATTTCAAATCCCTTTAACAAGCATCACTTGGGAAAGCGCGTCCATCAATAAACAAAAGACCCCTGTCAGAGTCCGGTAGTGAATTACACAGAATCGCCGGTGCTGAACCTCCCTCTCTTCAACCAGAAGACAACGCTTGAAAACAACCCAGGCATACATGTGGGTACAAGAAACCCGACTGTCGTGCCTCTCGGGCCAGTGATGTGCGCGCCCACCCCGCTCGACACTCCCCTCTCCCTCTGCGACCTAGACCCCCGAAAACGAAAGAAAAACTTTCACTCCATGGTCATGAAGGTGCCGCCCATGAACAAGACAATGCCGATGCAGAGGATGAGGGTGGTGAGGCCCTCGACGCCGATGCCGGGGGCCGGGAGGATGGTGAACTCTGCGACGATGCCGCGGCTGAGGTTGAAGTCTGCGCCCTGGAAGGCGACGGTGGTGAGGTTTCCGCACTGGGCGTTGAGGGCGACGTTGAACTGGTAGGCGGGCAGCTTAGGCGACTGGGTGTCAAGCAGGGCCGAGGCGGCGTCGGTGCCGTGCGGGGCGGAGCGCAGGAAGGCGCCGCGCAGGGTCGAGTTGAGGCCGATGATGGACATGTTGGCCACGCGCGAGTAATCGGCGCAGGTGACGGCCGTGCCGGCGGTGCCAGCGGGGACGCCCGCGTTGGGGCTCTGCCGCGGGGCGAGGGCAGCGCCGAAGCCGGGCATGGAGAAGGCGAGGGTGCACTGGAGCATGGCGAGGACGCAGAGGGCCACGAGGGCGCGCAGAGACGATGTTGAGGCAGCCATGGCGTGTCTTGGGTTTTGAGCGCTGGAGCGGGAATTACAGCGGGTTGTGATGACGGACCAGTCCGGACGTGAGGATATTAGAAGCAGGGTGGAAAAGAGTCTGCGATGTGGCCGGCACACGAGACTGGGAGAAGAAGCGAAGGAAAGGGACCGCAAGGCGAAGGCGGCTGGATGGTGGTGGTGACGACGACGAAAAAGGCGAAGACGAAAGCAGAAAGGAGGGAAGAGGAAGAGAGAAGTCGGCAGCGGGCAATGGGACGAAGATGGAGAGGCGAGTCGACGATGGGCCCCCTTGGCGATGGGCTGCGGGCCAATGGGACGGTGTTTCAGGGCCGTCTCATGAGGGTGTCGCGGGCAGGCAGAGTCGGGGCTTGCGCTAGGCGTTGGGAAGGCACGGCCAGGGGCCCACCCCGGCGCTTGCAACGCGCAGCGGGCTCCTGAGTGGCCAGCCACAGCGGTGACGGGGCTTCACGCAGCTGCGACTTCCCCCCGATCCAGCCTAGCCCAGGGATGAGGCGCACCCCAGGACAGGGGCAGCCTTCTCTTTTCTCCAGCAGCAGCACATGGCCGCTGGGAACTACAGATCAGACTTGGACAGGACAGGCACAGCCTGCACGCTAGGGTATCTACAGTAGCCTGGTCGTCCGCATCTCGAGACCACAGCTGCTTCACCAGGCGGCAACCCATCCCCTGCCTCCCGGCCAGCAGCACTGCCGCTTCCCCTCTGCAGGGGCACATCTTTCTGTGGCCGTTGCGATCAGCATCTGTGGAGACGGGGTTCCAGCCTGCTGGGTCTGGGGCCTTCTTGGTCCTCTCACATGCTCAGGACTTGTCTGCAGCAGGAAAGGGGGCCCTGACCCGGGGTGCTGGCCAAATTTCCCAGCTGCGCTGTAAATCAGTCGGATGCAACCACACATGCCTCGGATGACGATGCCCAGCACGGCGACCTGCGTCCTCAGGGGAGAAGCCAGTGGCAGTGTCGACAACAGGACGCGTTCTTCTTCACTGGCGCGCCGGAAGCATTTGCTGTGCACGCCCATGCAACTCGTCGTTCGTGCGATATGAAGCCCCGCTTTGATTCACCTGAACCTGCAAGCCGGTTTTGTCCAGGCATGAACACCCTCAGCCACAGATAATATCCCGACAGGCATGATCGAGTAGCACGACCGGCATGATCGGCATATGCTCATGCAACTGCTGCTGCATTGGGCGCGGCCAGCTCACACACAGACCTCGACGCCTTTGGCTTGGCATCTGAAAACCACTTGACAGTGGATGTGCTTGTGGAGTGTTGCTACATCCAAAAGAGGAGAGTCGTTGTCTGAGGGGGAGCTGTCTGACGAAGCAAAAGACATCTGGCGGAGAAAAGTCCTGAAGCCACACATGTCTAGCAACGTCGGGGCAGCCCCGAAATCCATCGGCTTCGGAGACTTTTGCCTTATGTGACGTCGTAATGACTGTTCATTTGTGGAGGCCCAAGGCTGTCAGTAACTCTTGACTGGTGTGGCTACGCTACGCTAGCGTACTTACTCTTTGAGGGTTCTATGAGCTCCACCTACTACAACCAGGACTCATCTAATTATCATCTCGGCCGAGAGACACAGCTCTGGCTTACCGTCTGCCTCTGCGAGACCACCAGTGGCTCCTAGTTTACAGCATTCGTAGTCTCGCGAGACGCATCAACGAACGAGTTACACAAACCGAGATTCTGTGAGTGACATCACCAGAGGTTCTGTGAAGGTTTCAGACACTGGTCAGGACACGCATTCCGAGAGCAATTGAGGATCACCTAGCCAGGTTGACAACTTACTGAATCCGGAGCAGCAATGCAAGGACAGGACGAGCCTGAGTAAACAATCGCCACCGTTCTGGTGAGGGCCGAGGGCTTCCATATATGGACGGCCAATGTTTGGTGGGAGCACCATGTGTGAACAGATATTTGACCGCGATCAAGACCTGGGGCCCGACAAGGACACGGCCAGCTTGCAAGACTCCGCAGATCACCATAATACAAGCGCCGAAGCGGGACGCGAGTGCTGGCCTGCCGTGCTAGGAAGCCATAAACGGCCCCGAGCTCGCGATGATGGACAAGCTCGGACGGCGGGAGGCGATGGCGCCAGCATGGGGATTACGATTCCCAGCTGGACATCGGCCGGTGTGGAGAACCGAACCGAACCACATGCATCTCGGCATGGCCTCGTCTGAACTCGAAGCCGAGCACGCCTTACTCTTGCAGGGTCGAGTTCCGCTAGTTCCGGCAGACTGCGCCACCGCGAGATCCACAAGAGCTGGTCCCGATGCAGGAACTTTTTCAGCTATTAGCTGGGCCGCCAATACTCCAACGGTCCAGACACCGTGGGGGTTTCGAGAAGACGGCTTTGGAAGCCTTTTTGCTTTGAAGACAATGCTGGTGCAATTTCCGAGCCCTGCTTCGGGCACGCCTGTCACACCACTTCATGCTGTGGAGTCGCCTTGCAAGCCGTGGCAGGTGTCAGCTCTCTTAACACTGCTGTGCTATGGGCAGGTTGAGTGGGCCAACCGTCCAAATGTCGCGTTACCTTGGACGGGATCGCCGCCCCCGGCTGTCGGCCAGAAGGCCGTGATCCACGTGCTTCGCTCGGCGCTGAGCTGCCACTCTTCGAGGGCCCTTCTCGAACGGCGTGCCTGACTCAAAGTCGTATCGCTGCTCCAACGCTAAGGGGCACATCCTGGTCCCCTCCCCTACCGTTCCGTTCAGGCGTCCGCTATCTATTGCCTTGGCCAGATCCACCACATCACGACATGCTCGCCAGGGTCCGTTTCTTGCAATTAGACCTCAGCCGCGGTTCTTCATGCACATGACAGTACTTACAAGAGGTAGCACATCCAAAAAAATGGGAGTACTTAAGGATGATGTACGCCCCGTGCCCAAGGCCACCGGCTTGATACCAGGCAGCGACTCACCACCCCACGAGTGAACCGCCTAAAGCCAGACATCCAGAACTCATCATGGTTCTAGCCTTTCGTTTCCGGCCATTTGCGCCATCTTCCACTCTTTTCACCATGCTCATCGCCTCGCTGCTGCTGCTGCTTGCCCAGCAGGGCCAAGCAGTGCCGGTGAGCGGCCCCTCGGCCCGGTCCCTCTTGGGCGGTTTCCTGAACCCCATTCTCGAGGTCCTGCAAAGCGCTCTCAGCGGCGCCGGGCTCACCCAGGCTGCCCTGGGTGCTCTCAACGGCGCCTCCGGCAAGACTGCTACCTACGACTATGTTGTCATCGGCGGTGGCACCGCTGGCAATGCCGTTGCGGTCCGGCTTGCCCAGGCCGGCCACCAGGTTGCCGTCGTCGAGGCCGGCACCTTCTACGAGATTGCGAAGCCTCTCCTGGGAACCACTCCGGCTGGCGACATCATTGGCGTTGGCAGCAGCATGCTGGACTCGAACCCCCTGATCGACTGGGAATTCCAGACCGAGCCCCAGGCCGGCGCCAACAACCGCAAGATGCACTACCTGCGCGGCAAGGCCCTCGGAGGCACGTCGACTGTCAGCTTCATGGTCCACCACCGCGGCACCGTCGGCGCGTACCAGAAGTGGGCGGACGAGGTTGGCGACGATTCTTACACGTGAGTCTGCGCCGCACATTGTGATTTTTGGGCGGCGAGGTGCCCTTTTCTTTTCTTTTTCTGACATGAGATACAGTTTCGACAACCTGGTGCCTCACTTCCAGAAGGCCGTTCACTTCACTCCCCCGGACATGTCGAAGCGCCCGGCCAACACGACGCCCGTGTACGACGCGACCGCCTTCAGCGGCTCCAACGACGGCCCGATCCACGTCAGCTACACCAACTACGTCGCGCCCTTCACGACGTGGTACGCAAAGGCCGCCGAGAAGCTGGGCCTCAAGACGAACCCAGACTTCAGCAGTGGCTCCCTCATGGGCACGCACTACGCGCAGGTCAACATCCGCCCCAGCGACGCCACCCGCAGCAGCTCGGCCTCGTACATCTACGCGGCCAAGGCTGCGGGCCTCGACAACCTCAAGGTCTACACCCAGACCATGGCCCGCAAGATCCTCTTCAACTCTGACCGCCGCGCCACCGGCGTCCAGGTCACATCTCTCGGCGTCACCTACACGCTGAGCGCGACCCGCGAGGTCGTCCTCTCGGCGGGCGCGTTCCAGAGCCCCCAGCTCCTGCAAGTCTCCGGCATCGGCCAGTCGAGCACCCTTTCCAAGTTTGGCATCCCCGTCATCTCGGAGCTCGCCGGCGTGGGCCAGAACATGTGGGACCACGTCTTCTTCGGCCCCTCGTTCGAGATCAAGTTCGACACCCTCGCGGCGACGCTCTACAACCCGCTCAAGCTCCTGTCCGCGCTGTCCCAGTACGCGACCAAGCAGTCGGGCCCGCTGTCGTCCAACGTGTGCGAGTTCATCGGCTGGGAGAAGCTGCCGGCCAAGTACCGGGCCAACTTCTCGGCCGAGACGACCGAGGCCCTCGCGCAGTTCTCCGACGACTGGCCCGAGGTCGAGCACCTGCCCGCGAGCGGCTTCCTGGGCGACTTCACCTTCCCCTTGCTCCAGCAGCCCCTGGACGGCAAGCAGGTGGCCACCGTCCTGGGCGCGCTGGTCAGCCCCGTCTCGCGCGGCAACGTGACGATCCAGTCGGCCTCGACCGACGACCTGCCGCTCATCAACCCCAACTGGCTGACGGCCAAGGCCGACCAGGAGGTCGCGGTGGCTTGGTTCCGCCGCGCGCGCGAGGCGTGGGCGGCGCTCAGCGACATCACCAAGGGCGACGAGTACTGGCCCGGATCGCGGCACCAGACCGACGCCCAGATCCTCGCCGTCATCCAGGACAGCCTGCAGACCGTGTGGCACGCCTCGGGCACGTGCAAGATGGGCAAGGCGTCGGACCCCATGGCCGTCATCGACAGCAGGGCCCGCGTCTACGGCGTCCAGGCCCTCCGCGTCGTCGACGCCAGCAGTTTCCCACTGCTGCCCCCGGGGCACCCGCTCGCCACCATCTATGCGCTGGCCGAGAAGATTGCGGACGACATGATCAACAACTCGTCGGAATGATGAGGTTTTGTCGGGGAGGGTTTTGTATTTTTGATAAATTAATTCACGACGGCGCAACAAAAAATAAAAATGAGAATTTGTCCGGGTATTAGAAGAACTAGAAGAACGGCTCCAATGATGTGACCAAGTCTATGTACCAGAATTGTGACTCGCAAGTTGGACCGCGTGCTATGGCGCTTGCAACAGGCTATTCGCGAATTCCCGGCGGAGGGATTAAATGCGGCGCACTCGTCCAGCAGTCGAGGAGAATGCCAGCTGTGTGTCGCGATGGGCTAACAAGGTGCCGCAAGTGCTTCAGTGACATGCCGGGCAGACAGACACGGCCCCACTCCAGGCCCGGCGCCGGGGGGCCCCCAAAGCCGGCAGGCCGCCACTTCCGTCCACGACGCGCCCAAGACGGCATAATGACGTTGTCACTCGGAAAGCTCCTCGCCCCCGTCATTTCCACGAGGTCCAGCTGCGTGCGCCATCACCTTTCCCTGTAAATCCTGACTGTCAAAACCTCCCACCAGTTGCAGCTCACGATCCCAAACCAATTCTCCCATCCTCAAGGCCCCCATTCCGAGGGAGAGAAGAAAAAATGACTTCCCTCCTCACCCCGCTCACAGAGCTGCGCGTGACAAAGCACCAGATCCCCGCGCACAACCAGATCCCCAACACGAGCATCCAGCACCGCCCGCTCGTGCACTACCACGGCGCCTTCTCCCTCTCCCCATCCTCATCCTCATCCTCCTCCTCGTCCTCCTCATCTCCATCTCCATCCTCCTTCGCCGACGCTGTCGAGTCCCACCTCCGCAGCACCGGCGTCGTGACCCCACAGTGGCGCTACACAATGTATTCGACGACGCACTTCCACTCGACCACGCACGAGGTCCTGGTCATCACCCGCGGCACTGCGAGGCTCCGCTTCGGCGGGGAGGACAACCCCGGGGGACACACGGCCGACGTCGCGACGGGCGATGTCCTCGTCGTCCCCGCGGGCGTCGGGCACCGACTGCTCGAAGACACTTCTTCTTCTTCTTCTTCTTCGCCGTCTTCGTCAACAAAATCATCATTATTACCAGGTCCATTCGAGATGGTGGGCAGCTATCCCCCCGGATGCAGCTGGGACATGTGCTACGGCAACGAAGGGGAGGACGGGGCCAAGCTCGAAAGCAACATCGAGCAGCTGGAGTGGTTCGCCCAGGATCCCATCTACGGCCACCAGGGCCCGGCCATTGATAGTCATTATTAGCACAGAGCGCGCGCCGCGCGTGTTTTTCTAGGGTGCATGCATGTATTCCTCCGTTGTTCCCGAGTTCTCCCATGATGGGAAAAGCTTGTTTCGCAAAGACACGCCCCCCCCCCCCCCCCCCCCTAATTCCCCATTGGGAGCGAGTGGCGAGCCTACCCAAGCCATGACATGACGACGCAGTACAGAAGTCCGAACTGAGTGAAAGCGCTGCCAATACCGTTCATGTAGTTCGCTGTATCTTCTCTTCTCGCGGGTTGTCAAAAACCCCACCTGGACGCACGCCTTTTGATTGAACTCTCGTCTCGAGCAAAGGCAACATAGACTAGCAGCCGCATCTTGACAAATCACCACAGGAGCCAGCGTTGCCCTTATATGGCATTAGACCTCACACTTCAAAGCACGACTGATCAAGATTTACGCCCTGGCATTAGAAATCGCGGTACACTAGATGGTAACTATGAGAGGACGGGATATCGTAACTCCATGGAACTCCCACGGCTCAGGCCGCTGTTCAAATCAAGCTTGTGCAACCTTGCAACCAGGCGCGCACCCAAATGACGAGAATTAGCAAGCATTTGCTGTGGCAGAGAGCCCTCCAGGGGACGCGCAGCTCCTATGCAGGAGAAGCAAAAGTGACAAGGAAATGATAGAGAATGTCGTCGACGTCGTGAGAATCCAGTATTGGATCTGATGAACAATCGGTGCTCGAGTACGGAATTAAGAAAAATCGGCGGAAGGATTGTCATGGTAACGAGAATATCGATGGTGTTGTCAAAAAAGAAAATCTTAAATGATGGAATGTGTATGTTTTAAGCTCACGAACGCACGGTTCCGACGGGCGTTGCTGAGTTTGACGCAGCTCCAGAGGCTGTGCCATACGTGCTAGGGTGGGCATGGAGGCTAGACAGACGCCCACGTCTTGCTGGTGTATGTGACAAGCTGCCCACGTCGTGTTTGCCTAAATAAAGTGTCAGCTGAAATCGGAACCTTATGCACGTCAGTAGCAATGGGCAACATACCGTCACAGCAGGCTCTGACGTTCTCGAGCTTATCAGACTCTCGATCTTGCTGTTCAATGATTTGTCGAAGATCCTCGGCGCTGTCATGGACTTCGCTGGCTTCGTAAATGGCATTATCAGGAATGACATGGCCACGACCCCGCCGGCTGCTAAAGGTGCCAATCGAACCGGTGCTCGACTTCCAGTAACCACTAAGACGGCTCAGTGTGCCGGGTCGCGCAGGTCCGCGTTCGTGTGTCGGTGTCAGCGTCGGAATGGCCATGCTCATCTCCATCTGAGGGGAATCCGTGCCACGCGTAGTGCGGGAATTATAGGACGATAGGGAGGCCGGAGGACGGGGTCGGGTTCCGTTGGCGGGGCGTTTGTTGGCGGATGGGTTGAATTCGTCAATGTCTTCCTGAGTTATCTGACCAGCGATATCTTCAACATCTGCCTGATTCTCGTTTCCTGTGCGCAGGAGAAGGTACGACAAGGCATTGAACCAGGTCTCGTGTCGCTGCCCTGTAGTGCATGTGAACTTCACAGTGCGCCCAGGAGAGATGACAATCAAGCTCTTGCGGTGTAGTCCCGGTGGCATTGGGTTGTCGTCGGTGACGACTCTTACTGCCTCAATCGACACGCTCTTGGCCTTCAGTTCGGAACGGCCCGCAGTAGACGGGTCTCGGTCGCCCCAGTACAGAGTCCTTGTGTAGGGGTGGACCCAGAAGTACCTTCTGTGCCGATTCCCCGACATTTCCCCACGACCAGCCTTCCTCGTGTACTTCCAGAGATACTCGCCGATCATGGTCTGCGTGATTGCTTGAATCATGCGGGGATCGGTGTTCGGTCCGAAGCCGGCGGCGTGCATGCCCATGTCTCCACGGATATTGAATCTCGTGTCAATTTCCGATGCGAAGGATGACACTGAAGACTGGCGGCTACGCGGGGGCAAGCGTTGAGGCGACTGCACGTCAGCCGAGGCTCGTCCTGCACGTAGCATTGTGCTGCTGGTGGACTGAGAAGACATTGGTCGCTGGTTACCAGGGGTACGAGGTCGGGACGACGAGGTAGAGCGATAGGCTGACGCCGGCATGAGTGGCGGGCCCATGGTGCCCTTTCCTCCACTAGAAGACTGAGTCCGAGCAGCCTCAATAACCTCACGGTGGTTGGCTGGCAAGGGGGGAAGGTCTTGGATAGACGCTCGCGCACTCGCCGCGCTACCTGGGCGCCGAGCGACGGTAGCTTCTTGCGGTTGTGTGGTGCTTGGATCGACGATTCTCTGCCATTGAGAAGAGCTCGCGAGACTGTCCTGAGACCTTCTTATACGCACGGTTCCCGTTGAGCCAGCGTCACTAATGATCGACCGTGGTGATGCTGGCATGTCTTGGGAAGATTGTCTTGCGTGTCCATTGGCGACCGACTCCCGCGGAATGATGAAGGCCTCACGCTTCGGGCTCCTAACATCGGCAGGATCTATCGGCTCAGTCTCAATAACACTGAGGCCGGAGAAAGCCAGGGCAGCCGGCTTGATCATGAGTGACTCTCTCAGCGCTGCCAGCTCATTGGCATGTGTCGTGACAAGAGCCTCCAAGTCTGCTGCACTTTGCTGTTTGTGCGAGTCTAAGGCTCGGGTGTGCTCAGCCTTGAGACTTTCAATCTCCTTCGCAAGGGAAAGCTCATGCTGCGCGGCCAATTCCTCAAGACGTTGAGCGTGATCCCTGGTGAGGGCTTCTGTGGCATCCGCAACCTTTGCGTTGTTCTCCTGCCCAACTTGTGCCAGCGCCGTGGCGTGTTCTTGTTTCAGCTTGTCCAATTCGGACGCCAGCAAGGACTGGTGATCAGACTTGAGGGTGGCAAGTGCGGAGTTGTGTCGCTCCTCGACCTCCCGCAGGCTCTGGGTCATCGCCGTTTCGTGCTCGACTCTAAGTGCCTGTAAGGCTTGCGATTGCATCAGATCCAACTGATCCCTCAAAGCTTGCAGCTCGCCCTGGTGAGCTTCCTGCTGCTGCGCAGTGACCGCTGCAACCTCGCTTGTACGGGCACCTTCGTGCTCAGCCTTGGACAGTTCAAGTGCTTGAGCATGTTGTGTCTGAAGCTCGCTCCTCAACGCATCGAGCTTCTGGGCGAGCAAGGTCTCGTGTTCCGTGCGGAGAGCGGACAGCTGCTCGGCGTGTGAGCTTCCATTTTCATTCCTTAGGTCCTCAAGTGCTTTCGCATGTGCCAAAGCCAACGCAGAGAGCTCTGCGGTCTTCGACTCTTCCGCTTCTCTTCGGCTTTGGCCAAGGGCCTGCTCGTGAGCAGTCTTGAGCTCCTCACTCAGCTTCGTCCTCGAGCCTTCGTGCTCAGCCTTGAGCTGCTCCAATAGAAGCGCGTGGGATGCCTTGAGCTCTTCAATCTCCTTGGTCTTTGATTGGTCGGAAGTGTTGCGAAGATCCTCAAGGGCCTGCTTGTGAGAAGCTGCAAGATCCTCCATAGCCTTGCTGCGCAACTGCTCAGCAGCAGCCTGCTGCCCAGCAAGTGCCTGGGCATGCTCGGATGTGAGACGTTCAACCTCTTGCGCGAGGTTGGCGCTGTGCTCGCGTTTCAGGTCATCGGCCACAGCAGCTTTGGCTTGCGTACTCTCACGACTCGCTGCCTGGAGTTCCTGGGCATGTGCAGCTGCCAGCTTCTCCGTTTCCTGTGTCAGTTGGGAGGCGTGTGTCTGTTTCAGCTCTTCAACCAGGCGCTCGTGAGTCGTCCTTAGTTGATCCAAGGCTTGCGCCTGAGCTTGCTCGCTTTCGCGTTTATGCGCCTCGATAATCTGCGTGTTGGCTGCGTTGAGTGCCTCAAGCTGCTCAGAGTGAGCAGCATTGCCCTCTGCTTTTGAAGATTCGACTTGCTTGGCCAAAGCAGACTTGAAGTTCTCCAGCTCTTGGGTTTGCGCAGCAGCGTGCTGTGCCTTGAGGGACTCCACTTCCCGGGCGTGGGTCTCCTTGAGTAGTGCCACCTCCTTGGCAAGAGTTGCCTCGCCCTCTGCCTTGGTGGAGCTCAACTCCTTGACGTGAGCAGCCGTGAGAGCAGCAAGGGCAGCTGTGTGCAACTCTGTCTGCTTCTTGCTGGCTTCCTCGATCTTCTGGCTGTGCACCGCCTCCGCATTCTGAAGCTCATTGCCGTGCGCTGTCTTCAAAGCCTCAGATGCCTGTTCGTGAGCGGCCCGCATAGCCTCAATCTCGCGTGCATGCTCCTTGATCAGGGTCTGGCTTTCCTGAGCATGTAGCGCGGTCAGACTTTGCTTGACTTCCTCCAAGGCTGAAGCATGTGATTCTTGGAGCTCCGCAATCGCGCGAGCGTGGGTGGTATTCAGCGTTGTCTTCAAATCCTCAAGATCGGATGCGTGCGACTGTTTGAGAGCCTCGAGCTGTTGTGAGTGACTCGAGCCTAGCTTCTTCTGCATTTCGTCAATCTCCTGCGCATGAGCCTGCTTGGCACTCTCAATCTGGCTGGCGAGTGCTGCTGCAGATTGGTCGTTGGCGTGCTTCAATTCCAGCTCATGCGAAGCCTTGAGGTTTTCTAGCTCCCTGGCAGCACTCTCCGCGGTCTCACGCTTCGCATCTTCAATTTGCTTGGTGTGAGTTGCGGTAAGTGCTGCAATAGCAGCAAGCTGGGCGGCCTCACTCTCCCTCTTCGCAAAGTTCCTCTCTTCCTCATGCTGGGCCCTTAGCGCGCCAAGAGTCTCATTGAAAGATAGCTGAAGCTCCTTCTCGCGACGCTCTAGCTCTTGGGAATGGGTCGACTTCAGTTCGTCGACATTTTGGGCGTGCTGGCTTTGTCTCTCAGTATCGTTGCGGGCAAGAGTTTCAGCATGCGCTGCAGTCAGCAAGTCTACCGATGTAGCATGAGCAGCCTCACGCTCGGACAGTTTTGAAGCTAGCTCGTCGGCATGTGTAGACTTGACTGCCTCAAGTTCTCTTGCCAAGGTTGCCGCAGCGGCCAAAGCAGCAGCGTCTTTCTCTTTGCTGTGCTCGGCAGCCAATTCCTCCAGCTGCCGCGCATGCTCCTGCCGGATAGTGGCCTCAGTCTGCGCCAGCTGGGCGGCATGGCTGGACTGCAATTCAAGTGCCGCTTGGGCCCGGCTATCTTCATTCCTCTGGGCCAGGGCATCGATTTCCGAAGCATGCTCAGCACGGAGGGCGGCCAGAGCGGAGGCAACAGCTGCAGCGTGCTCCGCCTCCAGAGATTTGACTCGGTCAGCATGTTCGTTCTTGAGAGCAGCCAGTTCCACAGCATGAGTATCTGGCTCAGGTAGCGATTCCACGGAGACGGAATGCACATTGGAGATGCCCAGGCCAGCAGAAGGGGCAGAAGTTGGAGGCGTCGGGAACTTGTCCAGATTGTCATGGAGGTCCTGGGTGCCAGCGTCACTATATGATGCTGTGGACAGGCCGCTCGCAACAGTAGCCATGGAAATGGGTCTTTCGTCCCAGGAGCTGCTCACGAGTGAGTCGGTCATGGTGCCGCTATCTACCATAGGAAGCCTCGGCAGAGGGGGCAATGCAGGCGGGGGAGAAGCAGTCCTTGCACGGAGGGATCTCCTGCTAGGGGTTGCAGAGAGGGTGGACTCATTGTCGCTGCCATCAAAATCGCCCAGCTCAGCAGCCAAACTTTGGATCGGGGTCTGATGAGGCGTCCCTGCAGTGCTACTGGCGACGAGACTGGCGGGGCTGCTTTGCAGGTTGGGCTCTTCGCTGGGGTAACGGGAGCGTCTGTTGGCGCCGCGACTTACTCGCAGAGGAAAGCGAGCTTGCAAGGGCGGGAAAGCGTTCAGACTTCGCGTGTCGCTTTCGAACGGGTACTCATCATCTTCAGTCGAAGCCGAGCTGAGAAGGGAGTCACTACGCGTCAATCCAGAGACCGGCCGCGTCTTTGCCTTAGTGGCCCTCTTCGACGGACTCTCCGTTTCGGTCTGTGCATCGTCGCTAGTAAACTCTTCGGCACCAGTATGGAAGTCTGTATCGGTGCCTCTCTCATTGGCAGTCTCGAACGCAGCATCACTGGCGTCGTTTGCAGTCTCGAACTGGTCACTGTCGTGCTCCATGGGCGGCGGGAGTCTTGGAGTGCGGACCGAGGACATGGACAGCGAAGGGCTGTGGGGCTCTCCGATCTGGTCCTCCCAGTTGGGGTCCTCTCCCGCAAAGATCTCGCTGCGCACGCTACGTACACCTCCCAGCAGCCGTGGTGGCTTCTTAAACTCTCTAGATTCGGTCTTGCGAGCACGCTTTGCCAGGCCCAGAGGTTCCTGGCGTGACTTCTCGAGTTCGTCGCGGGCGTCCTGAAGCATTCGCCTCAGCTCCATTTTCTCCGTCTTCTCGCGATGATAGTTGGTACGCAGACTTTGGATGGTGCGCTGCGCGTGGCCCAAGGACGTCTTGAGGGTTTCCGTCTCGAGCATCGAGTGTCGCGGGGTCGTGCCCTTGACTGGCGAAGCAGGCGGGGAATGCTCGGGAGTGATGTTGTCGTTGGCGGTCTCAAAGTCTTCGTCGCTCATGCCAGGCAACGGCTCACGTTCGATTCCACGTCCTCTTTGGGATGAAAAGGCCTTGGCCAGCTCGGTGTTCTGGCCCGTGAGATCATCGATCTTTTTGCGGAGCGTGGCCTTGTCAGAGTCTGCCATGACCAGGGTACGTTTGGCAGTGCCCAGCTCGATGTCATGCTGCTTCACGGCGGCTGCATGCTCTTCGACGAGCTTGGCATGGTTCAATTTCGTCTCGTCAAGTTCGCGCTGCGCCGCATTCTTCTCTGCCTGCAGTAAGTTGAGATTCTGCAGCAGCTTTTTCTCCTTGTCGGCAGCCTCTCTCTGCGCAGCTGTGAGCTGTTGAATTTGCGTCTCGAGATTCCAGTTTTCATCCTTGTAGCGATGCTCGCTCTCATCGAGCGACTTGACACGTTGCTGGAAACCCTCGGCCTCGTACTCGAGTTTGGACTTCTCGACCTTGACCTCTCGGAGCTCTTCCTCCTTCTCAGCAAGAAGGGCTTGCAGGTTGCGGACTTGTGCAATCAGAGATGTGCTGATTTCGGTCGCGAATTCGATATCGTGGATCCGATTCGCTGGTTGGTTGCGGATTTTTCTGTTGGGCACGCTCAACTTTGTTGGAGAGCCGGTTGCTTGCGCCTCAAATTTGGAAGGGCTGACAGAGCGCTACAGGCAGGTCTTGTTAGAATACTGTATGCATCGATCCCCGGTTCTCAAAGAGCTATGCTTACTCGGCCACTCCTCACTTCAGGCACAAAAGGCGAGCCACCGGCGGCTGCGGCCTCATTTGAAGGGACGCGCTGTTTGGGAAGAAACGCCCGGGCACTCTCGCGAGCGACCTCGTTGTACTCCTTCTCGATCTCTGTGAGCTTCTCGCGTAGGTCCGGGGTGATGTCCTCTTCGGCGGGAATGCTGTCCAGATCTTGGAGCCGCTCCTCGAGTTGCTTGCGCTGCTGCACTAGGGCTGTGCCAAGCTTGCCGGCCTCCTCCATACGGCGATCTGTGTCGGCAAGATGGGCCTGGAGAGCCTTGCGGGCCTGAGCCGGAGAAGCATTAGGGGCGAGAGCGAAGAAGTTTGGATCGAAGCTGGAGAAGCGATGGTTGGCAGCCACCGCAGGCTTGGGGGAGACAAAGGGATCGTATTGTGTCGTGGCAGCCGAGCTCGACGACAGATTATGGCTGCTGCCGTCGGCAGGCTCTGGTGACGCCATGGCGGGCGAAAGGGGCAGCAAAGGCCAGCCGACACTCGACACTCTGCAGTGCGGTGCAGGCGAGCTATTAAAAGAACTGTTTGTGTTGAAAAAGGTAAGGAACGTGAGGCGGCGTGATTATCGCCGCGTGGGCGGGAAGGGTGACATGCAGGAGCTGGTGAGGCTTAGGGGGCCACAGCACGGCTCGGCACGACAGAGGGGAAAGGAACAGAAAGAGCGCCGCGATCGACAGCAACGACGACGACGACAAGGTCGACGATGGCGGATGACGGAAGTAGCGAGAAAGAGAAGCCCGGCCGGTGGGCTGAAGCAGAGAAGCGTGAAAGCTGGACGCGCGACGACTGGGGGCGGCGGAGAGTGGAGCGAGCGTGCGTGCAAGGCGCCTGCTTGGCAGTGGACACGGCAGGGTGAAATTGGGTTCTGGGTGGACGAAACGGCGCCAGCGCAGGCACTGACTGGACAAGGGCCCGGGGCCAGCAACGCTTTGCTCTGGCAAGCACCCCAGGCTGCACAATGCTGTAGCCGAAAGATCTGTCAAGCGCCGTGCTTGATCGCGAACTGCACTGGCTGGAGCAGAGCTCGGGCGCTGGGAAGATCTTGTCGATGGTCGCTTAGGGGTGCACGGGAACTAGCTGATGGCAAGAACAGGAGGGGGCAGAGGTACGACACGGTCAAGTGCCACCAGCCAGGATCACAGATCTGTCAAGACAGGATGACGTGCGGCGATTATGAGTGGTGATCACCGATAACAGCGCAGCGGACGAAGGACTGGCAGGACCGGCTCGGCTCCAGAAACAACCTTGTTTGCTGCCAAGAGCGTGCCTAATGTCCAGACGTTCTTGTTGGCCGGCCTGTTGAGGCGGGCAGTTTCATGCCGGGACGCGTGGGGACGGGATGGTCCAAAGTAAACAAGCGCAAGCGACACCTCGGATCAGTCATGCAACTCAGCACCAGGAACGTACCCGCCCTCAGTCGCACGAACTGGCACGCGCTGTCCACTAGCTAGCCACAAAGCGAGGGCTTGGATTCAATGCTTCTCTGAGTCATCTGATATCTTCTCCGTCGCCTGCAGTATCTCACAAGTGTCATGCTCGCCGTGCGGCCCTGCAGACCCTTGCTGCTTGCCTGGCGCATGAAGTAGTGACGAGGGCTAATTAAACAAAGGGCCAGCAAAGTCGCAGCGCGTAGTGGGGCAGTCGAGGGAGAAGCAATCCGCAGTGTCCACAGGTATCTTGTGCGCCCGCGCGCTGGCTGGCCAGATCCCACAGGCGGGACTGGACTTGACGGGTACCTGGCATGCACGTCTAGCTGGCTCCGCAGTGTGGATCCCAGCATGGGCCCGGCCTCGATAGCTGCATCACCTCGAGGAGGAGGTGAGCCCCCACCCCCGCTGACTCAGCTACGCCACGACTGGAGAGCACCAGCCACGACGAGGGACTGGCTTGACGGTGTGTCTCTATAGGACGATTGTTAAGCACGCCCAAGAACCCCTGCGAATGCTGTGGATCAGTGACGGAGCTGCAACTTTCGAAGTGTGACGGCCGTGATTTACTACTACAGGCACGAGACCTGCGGCTTTCCAGACTCAGAAAATTCCCAACCTTCCGTTGCCTTCCGAGACCTCGAAGCAGTGTATTCTTCACCATGGCCGATACCACCGATCTGCCCGCTGCCCCGGTGGCACTCTTCAAAAAGAGAGGCGCAAAGGCAAAGGCGAACATCAGGAAGCGGCCAGCAACGCCACCTCCAGCCAACAGCGACAGCGACGACGACTACACATCTTCCGAGGACGAAGCCGGCCAACGGGTCAAGCGGCGCAAGAAGACCGCCGCGGTCAATGCCTCGTCGCGGGACAACAAACCTGCGGCCGCCCATTCCTCCGCCACGGTCTTCGAGGCCGATCGCAGCGTGCCGATCACCAGCACCAACGATGCCACCAAGCAGTCCAACTGGTACGACGAGGACGACGCTGCTCTGCTCGGCAAGACGCGGCCACTTCCCGGCAGTTCACAAACGACGAAAGATAGCACCGGACCCCAGGGACCCGACGGTACCTACAAAGGCCTCGCCAACCAGGCCAAATACATCGCCAAGAACCCAGACGCCCCCAACAGGACGGTAGGCCCGATCAAGGCTGCCACCAACATCCGCACCATTACCGTCACCGATTTCGCGCCCGATGTGTGCAAGGACTACAAGCAGACGGGCTTCTGTGGATTCGGCGACAACTGCAAGTTCCTCCACGCTCGAGAGGCCTACCAACAGGGCTGGCAGCTCGACAAGGAGTGGGAAAAGGTCAACAGGGGCAAGAAGAACATTTCGGGCACCGTCATGGCCAGTGCCGATCGCTCTGCCAAAACCGAGGATGATGGCGAGGATGCGGCCGAGGCCGCCCTGCTCGAGAAGATTCCCTTCGCGTGCATCATCTGTAAAGGGCCGTACAAAGAGCCCATTGTCACAAGGTGCGGCCATTATTTCTGCCTGCCATGTGCCTTGCAGCGGTATCGGAAAGACCCAAGCTGTGCAGCCTGCGGGGCGGGCACAAGTGGTGTATTCAACACCGCGAAAACCTTGAACAAGCTCCTCGATAAGAAGCGACAGCGTGAGGAGCGTCTGAAGGCAGAGGCAGATGAAGACGCCCCAGCTTGAGCTGAAAGAGCATCCTCGAATAGCAATCCCATGTGTGTCCCTAGCCGATTGTAAAAGCGAAGGGACCTACACCATTCTTGAGCAGTGCCCAGTCTGCACACCGGCCGCGACGTCTCTCGCTAGAAACGCGAACGGCTGGTGTCCCAGCCTCGGGCCTCTTACGAGCAATGAAGTTCCACGCCACAACTCTACGCCCTTTCACGGTGGGCGCGCATCCTGTGGCCTTAGACTGTGGCTGTTGTCGCGATGGTGGTCTGGGAACGAAGACGCACGCGGCCAGTGCCTCGGAACGCTCTAAGTGGTCTTCATGGTCGGCCGTGGCGAGTCCTGCGATGTTCTGCAAAGACCTGTGTTGCATGGAGGCTACAATATCGCCACTGTGTCAACCAAAGTTATAAGCGTCAAGGTGTTGATGGGACGTTTCGAGACACAGTCTCAGGAGTATGGAGAGAAGCGTGAATCAGATATCATGTAGATATATATGCGCTTATTGCAATTGGACTGCCTCGCATGTCACTGATATGATAATCTTCGCATGAGCTGTGGAGTGTACCATCTTCATATTTGTGGTCTGACCTGGCCCTTTTTTTCCACGAATACTGTTTGTAACAAATCGTGACAGGTTTTACTGTTGGGGGATTTTTGCGACGCCCTCTCAGTGGATTGTCGGGAAATTCATTTTGCTGTAAGCTGGCCATGGTCTCTGGAATTGAAAGAAAACAAACAAGGTTAATTAATAATCTGTCTCGTCATCAATGAAACTACAATACATGTACGGGTTCAAAATGATACAAAAATCTTCAAGTGAGACGGGTGAAAAATGAGAAAGTGAAATTTCCACCAAAACCATCAATTCATGGAATACAAATACCCCAAGGACAAAACTTTTAGAAATGAAAAAAAATGGACAACAGATAGACCGAACTGGCATAAAATCAAAAAGACATACACAAGACACTACATTATTTATTCCTTGGAAGTACGAAGTTGTCAAAACCGATTGTGATATATCCGTATCATCGCCATTTGATTGTGAACGACTAAATCACGGCTTCCATACATTGCCAGTCGCATACTGCGCACTTCCCGGACCCATGTCGACCAGTAACTATGCTCACAACTTCGCCTTTGAGCTTGAGGCCCTGACCACAAGCCCCGCCGTGCCCTTTGCGGCCTGATCGCGCAGCACCCTTCTCAATATCTTGCCGCTGGCGCTCTTGGGAATCTCATCGGTAAACTCGATCTCCTTGAGCCACTTGTGCCGCACCTTGTTGGCACGCACATAATCCAGGATTTCAAGCCCGACCGCCTGCTCCTTCCTGACTCCAGGCTTGAGCACGACGTAGGCCTTGGGCTTCTCGCCGGACCACTCGTCCTTGATGCCCAGCACAGCGCAGTCCTCGATCTTTTCGTGGCCCAGCAGCAGATCCTCGAGCTCGGCAGGCGCTATGCCGATGCCCTTGACCTTGATGAGCTCCTTGATGCGGTCCGTGATGGTGAGGAACCCGTCTTCGCCCATGACGCCTTGGTCCCCCGTGTGCAGGAAGCCATCCGCATCAAACGTCTCGCGCGTGGCCTTCTCGTTGTTCAAGTACCCCATGACCACCTGCGGCCCGCGCGCCAGGATCTCGCCAGGCTCACCGATGCCCGCCTCCGTGCCGTCCTCCTTGATGATCTTGACCTCGGTGCTCGCCACGATAGTGCCGACCTTGTGCGCGTAACGGAAGTCGAGCTTGTCCGGCGGGTGCGCGGTGATGCAGGAGCAGCTCTCGGTCATGCCGTAGCCCTGCTTGAACCCGGTGCCGGGGAACTTCTTCTGCAGGAGCTGCAGGATCTCCTCCGAGGTCGGCGCCGCGCCGCACGAGAAGCGCTTCACGCACCGCAGGTCGTACTTGTCCACGACCGGGTCGCGCACGAGGCGGATCAGGATCGGCGGCACGAGCAGCATCTCGGGCATCTGGTACTTGACGACGGCCTCGAGCATCCCCTCCATCGTGAATGTGGGCAGCATGATGACCTCCGCGTTCTTGGCGACGGGCAGGTTCATGCTGTGCACGATGCCGGTGATGTGGAACAGGGGCAGCACGGCGAGGGCCTTGTTCGTGTCCTCCGGAGTGAGCTGGAGGATCTGCATGGCCTGTGCAATGACGTTCTGGTGGGCGATCATTACCTTGGAAAACAAAAAGTTCAGCTTAAGCTTGGCGATTGAGTATACCAGGACAAGGCACGGTTACTCACGGCTTTCGGCAGTCCTGTGGTGCCAGAGGAGAAGCTCAAGAATGCACAGACGTCCTTGTTCTTCTTGCCAGGAGGTAGCTTGTACTCCGCGACCTGCCCCTCTGGCCCGTAAGACTTGCCAATCTCAACCAGTTCCTGGACCGTCGTGTAGTCCTCATACTTGCCCTCTAGCAAGAACATGTGCTTCTTCGGGATGCCCGCGTTCTTGGCTGCCCTCACTGCAACCTCCATGGATGCAGGGTGAGTTGCGATGAAGCGAGCGCTGGCCGTCTTCAGTGCATATGTCATCTCCTCCACGTTATAAGCTGGAGAGGCACCGGACGCAACGCCGCCTTTGTTCCATAATATTTGTCAGTAAAAAAAAGACATTTCTCAGCCGTGCAACAGAGACAAAAGCATGTCGGTGAAAACATCTTCACAGCTCAAACTTGGACATACCAACTCGGATGGCCGCGAACAAGGTGACAGGATACCACACCGAGTTGCGGCTGAACAGGTTGAGCGTCTCGCCCTCGCGAAAGCCATATTTCTTGGTGAGCGCCGTGGAAATGTAGGTGGCTGCTTCTTTGACTTGTTTCCAAGACAGTCGTTCTCCAGTCGAGGCGTCGAGAAAACCAGCGAGTTTGTCTTCGGGAAACCTGTTGATGGGCGAATAGGGAGAGTCATCGCCATAGAGCCAGTGCCAGATAGTGATGTCGGTTGGCACTTGGCGCGTTTAGTGTCAGTCGAGAACTGTAACGGACTCCGCTCGGGCCATCATGATCAGGAAAAGGGCCATCTCGAGCATGCACACTTACAGTCAATGCTTGGGTGCGTGCTCTTAAAAACGACCATATTGGTGATATCGAGATGTCGAAAAGCCAACGCTTCGCAAAAAGAGGGGAAAGAATCTAGCCTGCTTGCTACAAAGAAGAAAGAAGAAAGAAGAGAGAGGAAGGTGCAGAGCAACTGTGTATAGCCCAGGATGAAAGGGCCTCTCCTCTGTACGAGCCGCGGTTTAGCCCACCTTCCCCCGGGGTATGATGGAGTTGCATGGAGCTTCCCCGCATGACGGCAGACACACCCCTGCATCGGGAGCGCAATCGGACTGTGGAGAAAGTCCCTGCCCGACCAAAAGTGGCTTGCAACTCCCCAGATTTCGAGCCCCCCGTCGAACTCTGAGAAGCGGCCACATTCCGCGCAGGCACTGTCGTGCGCTACTCAACCTCGCGTTCCGCAGAGCGCTATCGGGAATAATCTGTGAGTTCGAACAAGGCATCATGGCAATTCATGTAAATACAACATCTATAAACGAAATGGTCGCAACACAACTCCTGACGCCAACATGAGCCCATGGATATCTCAGGGAGTGCCCCGTCACAAACGCCGCCCGAATGCCTAATTTGCCCTGATCTCCCATACGCCGCCGTTGCTCAACCCCCAGCCTAGGGTAGGCTTCAAGCAGGCACATTCAGCAGCTGGCGCAGTGTGGCATCCGCTGCTCTGTACCATCGTCCTCTCTCCTCCAGGTCGTCCTCCACCCCGCCCAGCGCAGCGTCCTTCCGCCGTTTCGCCTCGCGCGCGGCCGCACTGCTGTTGTTGCGTTTCGTCTCCAGGGGCTGCAGCTCTGCGTGCAGGCGATCCAGCTCCTTCTTCTTGCGTGGCACAAGGGCTTGCAACTGTTCGAGCTGTCGATCAAGCTCAGCCCTCTGCCGTTTCTTGGCTTCCACCAATTCCAAGGTCTTGCTCAGAGGCAGGTTCAGATCTGGGTTCGGATTGCTGGTTGCCGCTTCTTGTGTCTGCCTCAGAGCTGCGACAGACTCCTCAAGCGCTTTGATCCTCTGTGGAAGGCCCGCGAGCCTGGAATTTTCTGCAGATAGGCGCTCATGCTTGGCGCTCAGCTCGAGTGCCCGCGCCTCGAGCCGCGCCACCGTTTCTGTGACGTCTGTCTTGAGGGCCTTGAGCGCAGCTTTCGCCTCGAGGTTCTGCGCTTCCAAGTCGAGATTCTCCTGAGGAGTGACGATCAGAGGCGGGTCGCCAACAATCGCGCGGATAAACTTCTCCTTGGTGACCTGCTCAACATAACTGAAGCGGAGTTTTGCGAAGAGCTCTCGATAGTGCTCGAGATCCCCTTCTAGCGAGGCGGGGGTAGGCGCATCGTCCAGGGATGCATTTGACACGTCAGAAGTCCGTTGGCCTGGGTCTTGCGAGTTTCTGCGTGCAGCTGACGGGCCCTCTGCGGCTGCTATGGGTTCGCTGAGCCGAAGTATGGAGAGCTCATGATCAGCGTGCAGAGCTTCTATGGCGGCCAACACTTCTTGTGGTGTCTTGGGCGGCATGATGTGGTAGCGTCGTGTTAGATTGCAGATTGAGGAAACGAACGCAGAAGAACAGGTGATCTAGCGCAATGTGCCGATACGATTCAAGGGTGCACCAATACCTTGGAGTCCGGATGTTTGTGGGATTGGGCTACTCAATCGCCCATGATCACGCGTAAAGGGCCGATCAGTCTCTATTTACATCGATTCCCTTTTCGGACTAGTGCTATTAGCACTGTAGACCCTACTGTACTCCGACACTTAATTCCAGGCGACGTGTACTGTCAATGCTGCTGTGCTACACACTGTAAATGGGGATGTGGGGTCACACACCACTGTCTCGGCGGCAGGACCCTGACATCAGACCATCCGAAAGCCAATCTAGAGTAGCATTTACGCTCAGCCTGTTCTCGTTTCCGAGTATCTCGAACTCCAAACACAACATTCGCTTACTTGCTTCTCCGTCACGACGAATACAGAGGGATTCTGAGGCTCGTCTTCCAACACATCACCCTCCCCAATACTCGCTGTCCGCTAGCTGCAGCATGGCACCATGCCTGAGAAGGAATATCCTCTCCTGACCGACGACTACGTCGCCGGACTACTCTCGCAAGAGGCCAATGACTGCTCAACCAAGTACTCGGCCCTCGGCCTTGACGCCTACAAATCTTCAAAGTAAGCGCACGAGCGTGCGCCCGCTGCCTTGACCGGGGTCTGCATAATGACAGATGGCTGACTTTCTGCACGGCAGACGACCACAAAACCAGCCGAAACCAAACACCCGATTCCTGAACAACATAATCCGCGACACAAACTCCCACAACCGTGCTCTGCTGGCCAAAGAGAGCGCCGAATCACAGGCTCGCCTGCGCGAGCTCGAACAGGCCGAGCGAGACAAGCAACGCGAGCAGGAGCGGCTGCAGCGCCGAGCACGGCCGGGCCCTGCAGACACGCGCAAGCGCATCCTCGGCGACATCGCCGCCTTCATAAGTCCCGGTGCGGCATCCTCGTCTCGGGCGACGAAACGGAGGCGCGGGGAGGCTGAAGGAGCGGAGACTGCTGAAGACGGCAGACGAGGAACAGATGATAGGGAACGCTCAAGACCACCGAGGCGCTCAAGAGGCGACACAACGTCTGGCCGGCATTCCAGCAGCAGAAGCCAGGATCTATTCAACGAGTCGGGCACGACACGCGAATCTGCAGGAAGATTGAACGCGGACAAGAGCCGGGATGATCACGATCGGAAGTCGAGGCGTCGCGCATACCGAGATCGCAGCGACGACGAGACTAGCCGGAGTCACAAGAAGAGCTCGAGGCGTGACACCAGTCAGGATGATGCAGAGAGGGGTCGACATCACCATAAGAGCTCGAGGCACAAAGGAGAACGTGATCGACACCACAAGATACGGTCCCGCAGCAGGAGCCCGGCAAGACACAAGCGATCAGCACCTTCAAGGTCTTCAAGAACGCGGGACGCTCCTGCAGAGATGGAGTCGGACTCTGATCCACTTGACGACCTAATCGGGCCCACCCTCCCGCCAAAGCAGGATACTGTGCGTGCTCGAGGCCGGGGCGCGCATGCCAGCTCGTCTGGTATTGATGGCCGCTTTGCAGCAGACTACGATCCTACCATGGACGTGGGTCCAGAGCCCGCGTCAGGTTCTGCGGAAGCCGACTGGGAAGGCACAGTAGAGGCATATCGTGACCGACAGAAATGGCGCAAGCAAGGCGCCGAAAGACTGCGAAGCGTAGGGTTCACCGAGGACGAGATCAAGCGATGGGAAACGGGCGACAAGAAGGACGAGACAGACGTGCGGTGGACGAAACAAGGCGCTGTGCGTGAATGGGACAGGGGCAAGGTCGTCGATACCGACGGCGATGTTGCGCTCGAACCGGAATGGGGAAGGCTTAAGGGGACCTAACGGGCACGCCTTGCTCGATCGGGAGGGCAGTTGCCGCGTACTCGTTTCTTGGCGACGAAATCAAGCATGCATAGCGTTTTGGCATTTGCAAGGATGCAGCGGTGGCCAATATGGGCAGCACAGAAAATAGACCAATGCAGTTGTACACTCTACCCTCGGCATGGAGGAGGTATCCAGAACTCGCGGGGGATTTCTGTCAAAGGGCCTGGGCAGGAATGCCACATGACATGGACCTCCTTTTCCAGGTAGATAATCCCGAGGAAGATGCATAAGGCAGATAAAGTGCGCGATCTAGGTTTTACCGTCCATGGGCTGGTGCGGAACACCGAGAGAGGAGTCGACAGCCACAAGCCACAAGTGGGTATCGCAGGAGAAAGTCAAACGGCACAGGAGAAGGCTCAATGCCGTGCCGGAGATCCGCCCAAGAACAAGAAAGCGGCGGATGAAGATCCAAACGGTCGGCCCAACCGGGTGGGCTGGGCTGGTCGGGAGTCTTGTGGCGCGCCTTGGTGGTTCGTCAGTATCGAATGCAAATACTAGAGGAGTCACTGCACTGCGTCAAGTGAGACAATCTGGTGTCCCAGTGGAGCGCATAGTGGGGTTCGGCGCTCGGCCGCAGCATTCGGTCGTGGGCGGTGGTCCCGCGAGGCTGGGAAAGCACAAAGTGCGGGCGATCCGAGGCGTCTGAGTCGTGTCCGCCCCGTTCCGCGCGCCTTACTGATCATGCCCAGCCACTGTGAGTCGCTTGTCTAGAGGGCCGTTATCAGTTGTGACGATGTTATGGGAGCTGCTTCCCCCATGAACAGCTGTAGGACCCTTGGGGGGCTTGAGGTGGATGGGATGGCAGGATGGTGGGACGGGACGGAGCCTGGCGCATGCATGTGATCCCCGCTGGAGCTGGGGTAGGAGGAGACGCAGCGAGCAGGGGGCGCTGGCAGAGAGGAGAGAGAGGGTGCAGCAAGCAGCACAGGCAGGCAGGTGACGGCGTGACGGCCGTGACGGGCGCGAGGGGAGGAGGTCTGGTGATGACGACGGCAATGACACCACCCGCGCCGCGTGTGAGAGTCAAGCCTAGCCCGCCAGCGCAGGACCTCGCCAGACCAGACCAGGCCACATCGGAACCCGGGCGCCTTGGCATCCACCGCTCCAGGCTTCATATGCTCGACGAGCTGCTCGCCTCGTGCTTCTCGTCTCGGGCCCATGGCATCTCTGGAGTGCACTGTTGCAAGGTTGTCTTTTGTTGCTGTCATTGCGCTGTCACTCTGGCGAGGCAGCCTGCAGGGATAGGTACACCAACCCAAGGCACGCTTAGGCGGCACGTTCCACCAACTGCGGCACGCTTCTCCGGCGGCTCGTACTGTACTCGGTGCTCCCCCAAAGGCGCCCGCCCTCCCACTTCAACACCACATCGCACGAGCGCCGTTGTGCGCGCCCAACACCACCTCCGCCAGGCCTCTCACCCACGACAGTAGCCACGCTCTGCACCCTTCAAAACGACGGCTCGAGCGAACACAAAGCCTGGGGCTCATCCTCAGGCTGGCCTGAGACACGGGCAACTCTCGAGTCGGCTGTGACAATCCGACTTACTCGCTCGTGCTTACCTATCTGCATCAACCAATATCCAGCTCGCCCATCATGCGTCCACCGAGGATCGCCATCCTCGCCTTCTTCTTCGGCGCCTGCCTCTTCATCCTTGGCCGTGCCATCACGACGGCCACCACGAGGTCGACCACTCCGCCTCCTCCCGCCATCGACTCGCTGCCCCTTGCCACCACGAAGCGCATAGGCACCTTTTCGTCGCTCTTCTCCTTCTCGGCGCCTTTCATTCTCTTCCCACCCAACGCCGTAATCACCATTGCCGACGACAACACCACATCTTTCGCCGCCAGACCCGCGGCATTTGGTCCTCCTCTGCCCGCGTTCGGTCTCACAGGTCAGCTATGGATTGGCAGTGGGTTCACCGAGGAGTCGCTACTCGACGGCGAAGGCGAGGGTGAGCGAGGCTGTAGTGACGCTCCCAACTGGGACGATGGCACAAATTCAGTGTTCACGCCCTTGAGTGGTAGCCCCAAAGGTAGGCCGTCCTTCGGCGGGCCTGGGGGCAGCCGCCACAGCAGGAACGGCCCAGCAGACGCCCTCAAAGACTCTGTCATAGATCGACTGCCCGCTGTTGGTGTTGCTGCCAAGTCGAAGCCACCTCCGATCCCGCTTGACGATGGTACAGACGACTATCTGCACCAGGGTCTCGGTGGAAAACCTGTCAAGCAGACTCAGAGCGACGCTTTCGGCCTCGACAGCGTCGGACATGCCGACATTCAGTCCATCCAGGAGGGTGCTGAGATTGCTGGCAAGATTGTTCTTCTGAGTCGTGGAGGCTGCGGGTTCCTCGAAAAGGCCAAGTGGGCTCAGCGGCGTGGCGCGGTCGCTCTTATCGTTGGTGACAACCAGCGTGGCGGGCCTCTGATTCAGATGTTCGCCAAGGGCGACACTTCCAACGTCACGATTCCGTCCATCTTTACCTCGCGCACTACTGCGTATCTGCTTTCTCTCATGCTGCAGTCTGGCGCAGGTTTCGAAAATGTCATGGATGAGCATGGGAAGCTGGCTCTCAAGGGACAGCCACTCGACAAGACCACCAAGAACAAGAAGGGGAAGGAGCAGGGCACTCACTCGGCTGCTTCGGTGGCAACTAGTGGTGGGAAGGGCACAAGTGGCAAGTCTGCGGTCACCGCGGACAGCACTGCATCCTCTTCCGGCTGGTTCGCTCGTCTCTTCGGCATCGGAACGACTTCCGGTGCTGGCGATGTCGATAACAGACCGCCGAGAAGCGGACGACTGGAGTGGAAGCAAGTCGAGGATTTTAGCGATGAGATCGATGCTCCGGCTGCAAAAGGCCGCGCGAAAACTGGCACAGCGGTCAAATCGACGTCGGACCAGGTCACGCCTGACGACTTTCAGATCGGAGTGCAAGACTGGCGTGATCCTGATCTGGTGGGATTTGAGGATGGCGCGGACAACGCCGACAGCAGTCTGCCGAAAACGAAGAAGACCCCCGAGTCCGCAGCGAAACGAGCAGCGGAGGAGAAGCCACGACAAGCGAACAGCATCACGCCCAGCAGCGGCGAATACATTGCGAGCAGCTTTCCAGCCAAGGACCGCGACGCTATTGGCAAGGCTAAGGACAAGACGTCACCTACAACCAAGGAGAGCCCTGGTGGGCTAATCTCGAAGCTTTTTGGCAATCACGACGGTGTTGGCAGCCCTCGTGGCGAAGATCAACCGGCGCCAATCACCACAACTCCTGCCAACAGACCGGATCAAGGCAGGGGCATGCCGCCGCCGCATCACGAGGGACTTTGGGTCGTCATTACTCCCTCAAGTGGCGCCAGTCCTTTCTTCGACACTCTGCTTGTTCTTGTGATCAGCCCACTGATCACACTGACCGTCGTATATGCGCTGCTGATTCTCCGCGCCCGCATTCGCAGAAGACGCTGGAGAGCACCTAAGTCTGTCGTGGAGAGGCTTCCCGTGCGAACCTACCAAACAGTGGCAAATTCATCGACCCAAAGCTCTCGTGTACCATCCCCTACAAGTTCGTCGCCGACGACACCGCTTCTTCAAAGCACGGAACTGCCACAGCGACCCCGACCTCGGTCTCGAACCACTACTGGTGTTTTGACGGCCGACGAAGTCATGCAAGCTGAGACGGCTCATGCTGTACCCAGCTCTGCGCGGGCAAGGGGAGGGCAGAAGCCGGAGCACGAGAAGCGTGGTAGTCAGTGGAAGAAATACATGGGACGCCAGGTCGAGTGTGTTGTTTGTCTTGAAGAATATGTCGATGGCGTCAGCCAAGTCATGAGTCTTCCCTGCGGCCACGAGTTTCATGTGGACTGCATGTAAGTTTTTTCCTACCTCTTACTCTTGAGATGCTATTTTTTGCTCAAGCTGACGATTTTAAACAGCACTCCTTGGCTTACGACTCGGCGACGTACATGCCCCATCTGCAAGGGTGATGTGGTGCGGTCACTCGCCCATGGTTCTTCTTCAAGCCCTCGCTACGAACCATATCGCGACGACAGCGAGGACGACGATGTCTCCACGCACAACTCGCTACCTAGCTCTCAAGCTAGTGCAGAAGATCGTGAGGATCCCGACGTTGAGCGCGGAGTCAGTTCCTTGACGAGCAATCGGCAGGAGAACTGGCTGACTATGATCACTGGCATTCTGCGACCCCGTTCGACCCAGCGCAGGGACGATCGTGGCGAACAGGACCGTGATCGGTGATGGCTTGCGCGCGTGCACTGTGGATGGAGACAGCGTTGCTGTGCTTACCTCGACCTTGGTTGGCTGTTTGTTTTGGGATAGGTTCTGCATTTCTTTTAGCACGAGGGTTGGCGTAAGGGTTTATTCATAGCGATCAGGACTCGGTAAATAAGATACACCACACTACTTCAGTATTGATTAGGTCGAATGAGCAGAGCCATGGTTTTCGGACGGATGGCGATGTTAATGGCTCATCATAATTTGTCAATTTCCTGTAGCAAGTGAAGAGCACCACGAACTCTTTGCTCAGAATCTCTTTCTTCGTGTTCTCCATAAGTTCGGGTTTCTGGTGAGCCATTGAAGTCTGCGGAAGTGACAGCCGCAGACTTCTGACGCTTGATTTGGGGCAAACTAGATCCCAGCAAAGCTTTGATTCTGAAACCCCCATTCCATTGCCCCCCCAAAAAGCACCGTTCGGATAGCCGGGGGCTACATCTCCAAGGCTTGCGTGACATGGAAACTGCATGTGAAAACTGTTTGCTTTGCACCTATGGGCAGGCCATCAGGAGGAGTTCAGCCCTGTGAACCGTAGGGCACTAGTCGCACAGCCCCAGCAGATAGCAGGCAAGCCATTTGATCGGCTCTTTTCAGCCTTCACTCAGCCACTCTTTGCCATGTCTTACCGTGCCAGCCCTTCATGACTTGACGACACTTGTCTTCGGGTTTTCAAGCCAGCCATGAGACCATCACTTGTGTCTTCTCGCAAGACAAGAGCTGCTCTGCCTTCCTCCCCTGCTCCTATCAGACACACAAAATTCACACGTGTTCGATCTTGAGACCTGCGGAACAGGCGTGGCAATATCAAGGCTGTGCACACAGAGGCCCTCCCGAAACCGATGCCGTCTGCAACACCACATGTTCTGCTGGACTTGCACGGCATACTCGAGCCACGCCGTCAAGTAGACACCACTACTACCACCAACAACCATAATGGAGGAGATGTAGCCACCCTGGCGAGCAGCGAGGGACCAGCGAGTCACGCTTACTCCGCTGCTGCCGGTAGTGTCGAGGGCTCTCCCCAGAGGCTTGTCCCAGGCCAGCCGATCTCCACGGTCCGGACCCTGAGCATACCAGACCACGACGACGTACTAAAGTCCCATGACTTCTCCTCCCCGGCAGGCCGCACAGCAGCTGAGGCGGGACCTGCAGCAGCAGCAGCAGCAGCAGCAGCAGCGGCGGAGCCAAGAAAGCCAAGGAGTTCCGGAAGGAGCAGCAGGACGCTCGCGCGCGTGCACATTCTGCAGCTCCAGCCCACGGATCGGCCTATCGAGGACAGATTCTCGGTGCGCCTGACGCGCTCGGCAGGGGAGAGATGTAGGCCACCGAGCAGCAGCCTTGATGATGATGATGATGCTGTCGTCGACGACACCACGCCGGCGGCTTCGGATCGGGCGGGGAGCAGGACAGAGACGAGCAGCAGCAGCAGTAGCAGCACCAGGATCCGTCTCCAGCTCGGCGTGTACGATGGCCATCGGGGCCCGTGGGCTGCAGAGTGTGTCGCGGCTTCGTTGTCTGAGAGGCTGGATGGTGTTGATCTCGGGATTGGCGGTTTGACTAGCGGAAAGGCCGATGCTGCCACAGTTGAAAAGAACGTCCAGACAGTTTTTCAGCAACTCGATCAGCATATCTTGGAGGATTTCGAGGGGTGTCATCGTCCGAGGGCACCTGTCTCGCGAGAAGGACGTCAGTATGGTTCCAGGATAGCCAAGTTCTTCAGACTGAGGAGCAAGAGTCAACTCGGGAAAGCGGAGGCAGGAAGGGGTACTTCTGAAGAGGAGGACACAAGACCAAGGAAAACAGACAGCAGCATCGCAGCGCTCCGAGCGGTAAGTGGCTGCACCGCCTCGATGCTGCTGCTCGAATGGTTGCACGAATCCTCGCCGGCCCAGGCAAATCCCCTCGACCACGACTCCGTGGGAAGTAGCAGCAATCGTACCAGAGGCAAGCATGCCAGCTGCCTCGTCAATCTCGGAGACTCGCGGACCGTCGTGGCAAATTTTCGCAGTGATGGGGTCCCCAGCGGCGGCAATGGTTCATCAGGCTTGACCCAGACGAGGGACGTCAATTCTTCCGTGTCGACCGAGCGCGAGTATATCATGGCGCAGCATCCCCTCGACGACCCCAGGGATGTGATTGTTGGCGGCAGGCTCTTTGGCGAGACCCTGTCGACTCGGGCTTTTGGTGATGCCCTGTATAAGCTGCCACTTCGGAGAACGGAAGACGGTGAGACTGTCGATGCGATTCCGCGACGGCAACTATCCGCCCAGGAGAAGGCGCTGCATTGCCACTACGTTCATCAAATGAGCGCGTGCTTGGTCGACGCAGAGGCTTCCAGGTTCTCGTCGTCGATGGACGGACCGGGCGATAAAGTGAAGCGTCGACCCAGGACGATTGCCCTTGGAGAGAGGTATGATGCCATGTTCTCGTCCTATTTGACGCCACCATACGTCTCCCCTCTCCCGGAAGTCCAAGCTTGGCAGGAGGGAGCTGTTGAAAGTTCCGAAGATGCAGTACAACCTGGCGACCAAGATCGTGGGACGGGGGCGAGAGCTGGCCTCTTGACCTCGAATGCTGCCGGGAGCACGGCTGGAAGAATGTTCGCAATTCTGGCTACAGATGGCCTGTGGGATCTCACAAGCTCTGAGAGCGCCATGGAATGTGTGTTGAAGGTTGCTGCGAGTCTTCAATCCTCCGGAGAGGAGCTCAATCTTGCTGAAGCTTTATATCGCTATGTTGTTGAGGATCAAGGCCGACGCGCGGGCGACGATGTCACGATACTCGTAGTCGAATATAATGTGTCTGGCTTCCTTGACCCCTGAATATTAACAATTCCAAAGGTCCCAGGGCGTTTGGTTTCTTCATCGTATGGTTTTCAGCACGAGCCAGAACGGCCATAACATCCTGGAACGTGGTGGAAGCCCACTCTGAGCAGCGCGCTTTGTGGCTCATTGATATTGCTTGGCAGTGCCTTGGGCCTCATTGACGATAGAATTGACATCCCGAATAACGGACCCATTTTCATATTTTCATGATACCCACGCGGTGGGTTCAGAGTCGTGACTGTAACGGAAGTCATCCTCATCGATTAGTCAATCAGGGACGCTCATCTACGCGGATGATATGACCTTTTGACGGTTGCTGCCATTGCTTCGGATACATCCTCCTGGCAGTAATGAGACTCCTGTGGAAGTCTTCAGCGACCTGGGTGCAAACAATGCTTGCGGCACGCGGCCTCATTGAGGGGTCATGATTTTGCGGCGCCCATGCGCACCCGTCATGGACTTGAACATGACACTGTCAAGCGCACCAAGGCTCGCATGTGACGAATCCTCCATTTTTCAAGATTCTGCTACACTTCCTCTACTTTACACTGCTTATGTGTTCACGAAGCTCTCTAACGCCACAACATGCAGCTGGCAACCACCTGGCCCAAGCTTTATGCTCGGGCCATTGAACTCGGCGATTTCAAGGGCGGTACAACAATTTTCAGAGCAAGGCTCAGGTGATTTACATGTCCTTGGGCGACTCGGCAGGATGACTAGATTCAATGCTGCGGGAATTTGAGTGATAACCAGCAGGCTCGCGAATTGACGTTTGCTTGAATGTTTGATATCTGACACGAAATCGTTTACGACTTACACACAAACACCAGAACGTTCATGATTAGAATACGTTGTCTCATTCAGCTTGAACGTACAAAGGCAATCGTCTGTTGTTATCCATTAAATGGTTGTCACAGGCATCAATACCGCTATGTCGACTGTTCTCTGCCACCTCGGGACCGAGTGGCCTTCGAGGCACCCGCGTATTCGCACACCTAGGCCAAGGGCGAGGAGGGGCACAAAGTCGTTTGATATGACTGCTCGGCCTCTTGCAAGGCATTCAGCTCGCCCGGCAGTCGTCCAAGGCTGTTGTACGGTGTGGACAAGGCACTGTGGACCGGACAATGGAGCTTCGGCAGGTATCAACGGGGTGGACGCAGTCATGCCGCGTTGTCCTGGTTTCCTTGGAGACGCCAGCAGAGCTGGCTGCGGACCAGCCCACGGATTAATGTGCTCATCGTCACGTTGATGCCTTGTGCCCCTCTCCTTGTGGACTGAGAGGGCAGTGAAAAGCAGTCTTGGCCACCACCTGGTCCCTGAACACCATCCATCCCACATCCCACCTTCGCAACCACCCATAGTCGACACAAGGAAAGTTTCATTTCTTTCCCACGACAACCAAGCACATCTCGCATCAACAACTTTCCAGAGACTGGATTCACATTGTAAGTATGCTAGAACCATTTCCCTCAGCTCCAAAGGTGCCTGCGGGCCAAAGCTTGGTGCCATGGAGAATTCATATCACAACCTTGTCGAAGATGACAAGGCCATAATGGGCAGAACCCACAGGAGCCATTCCGCCCACGATACTGCGCAGTTTCGATCCTGGTATCTCGGCAAGGCATCATAGCCACTGACTGGGTGTATGATAGGCATCACGGGTTGTACGTATCATATCGCTCCGACTAGCTACAACCGTCACAATGGCAACCTTGGCAGTGGGAATGGCAACCGGCGGAGGACCGTCAGATGCCGGCCGCAAGAAACCGTTCAAGAAGGATCCCGACGACAATTCGTCGCCCGGTCGGAAGTTGAGTACCAAGGCATGTGACAACTGCCGCAAGCGCCGTGTGCGCTGTGATGAGCAGTTGCCCTGCGGACCATGCCAGGAGCGCCGCGAGGATTGCAGCTACGACGACCCGGAGAAGAAACGAGGCCCCAAGGCTGGCTGGACCAATTCTCGCAGTGCAATCCAGACGCTCGCCGACCTCATCCCGGGCCTTGGAGATGCTCTCGTGGCTCTCTTCCACACGATGGAAGTTGACGATACTGGCATGACAATCATGCAGTATGCGAGCAATCTGGAGAACCGCCTGGCGGTTGGCGGTCGGCTCGAGGGAACCCTGTTTGGCATGTTCGGCTACGAAGATTTCGGTTCCGAGTAAGTCTTCATCTTTCTACAATGGCATGGGCAATTTCAGCGGGGACTAAATGAACAAACAGCGAGCCGGGAGTTCTGGCGCGCATCAACGATCCTCGCATCCTTCGTTATCGGGATGCTCTACGCCACTTCCTTGAGATCTTGCGAGCTGACTCGGTTACCGCTGGGAATGCGGGTGCAACTCTTCCGACGCCTCTGACGGTCCGTCCTTTTGCCCTGTCAAGCCATGATCCTGAATCTCGTCAGGGTCCCGAGACGCGCCAGACAACTCGCACCCGCAGAGCCTCTCGAGCTCGACAAGGCACAGATGGCTCAGAAGTCACACCAGCTCGTCCCATTGCCCCAGCTCCGTCGAGCACGCAGGCCCCTGTTGCAATGGAGGCACACTCTGTGGTACAGAACTCGCTCAGTGCGCACGCAACGCAAGGTTTTGGATCCCACGTCAATACTCAGCTCATGCAGACTCCTCAGGGTCATCAAGCTCCTCAGAGTCACCTGGCTCCTCAAGCTCTGCAGACCCCGCAAGCTGCTCACGTCTCCTTTGGCTCTGAGTTCTCTCAAGCTATCCCGGATGCCCAGTTCTTCCAGGCTTCTCAGCTCAACCCTCAGGCTATGGGCTGGAGCCCGACCATGCCAACCCTCGACTTTGGGCACTTTACCGCTGATCCGCGTCTCATGCAGCAGCCGCACGACCTAATGCAGCAGGACTATCCTTACATGCAGAACAACCTCATGTACCAGGGGCTACAGCAGCAGACCATGATACAACAGACAATGAATCTCCAGGACTTCTACCAGCATCACGGACTGCCCGCGATCCCAAGCCGCAGTCAAACTCCCACGGAGATGAGCGCCCCCTCTGAATCTGGATCCGAAGCTGGTCCGGGTCGGTTCGAGATAGACACTACGGGCGTTGACATGACTTACACTCTTAGTGACGAAGTTATCATGGGACAAGACTTTCCCAACCAGTCGCAACAGGGCACCCAGGACGGTCAAGGTTCCCAGTTCTCGCAGGCATACAGAGCATTCCGATGGTGAGTACCACAGCCCAAAAGTCTGCGGTATAGGGACCTGTCAGCACATCATCTTTTGGGCAACGACGGTACCAGTTTGACTACTTGCCTGGTCGCGCCCCGAAGATATCTGGAAACCTCACCTCTACATCAGGAGGGATGGAGATATCCTTGGCTTGCAACTGGCACAAACACCATGAGATTCCTGCGGTTTTCTGTTTTGTTGTTATCTACAAAGCCTCACAAGATGGCTTGCTAACAAGCCCTCACACAAAGCTACGAGTCCACCACCCGACATGTACACGACGGAAGCTTGCGAAGTCATTTCCTGCACGCTAAGTTCTACATATGTCCTTTTGTCTTCTTCTACTTTTATTACATGGCGCTCATTCACGGTGCTTTTCCCTCCTACGGCAATAAACTTCCTTCTATGGGTTTGGCTGACTGAACGGACTAACTTGCTTCGTCGACGACCATTCATGGTATTCCCGGCAAAGTGTAAGCTACATCAGCAGACAAGAACATCCTTTTTGCGAGAAGAATGAAAAGCTGACTTTTGAAGTCCAGGATATCGACGTTCTTGTCCCCCTTCCCCCGGCTCCAAAGGGAAAAGCCGGCCCTCAAGGAACCTCGCCTCGGTACACTTTCCTTCATCGTCTTTCGACCACCTGTTTTTCGGCATCAGGTTTTCACGCACTCGCGACCCAGTTTCAGCTCCGTCTGGACTGCTTTCGCTGGTCTCTGTATCTCTCCTTCTTGGTACACACGCATGTGCCTTCCGGTTACATACCGCCAGGACCGTCGAGCCTGACGGACAGTCGGCCGCGAGTGCCCCCTCATCCTTACTCTGTAGTTCCTAACCATGCACAGACAGGGTACTGAAAAGGGCTGATATGCGTTTTGCTTTTTTCTTTGCCGTTCATGCAAACAAAGCGAGGAGCTTTTGGGCCGGTCTTTTGTGTTCTTTGAGGAGACGAACCCTGGCTGGCAGGCAGCTGTCATTGCCTTCTTTTGTGAAGCGCGGGTACAAAAGGTCATGGGCAAATTTGGTAAACAGGAGTTCCGGATCCAGGTTTACAGCGCTCACGGCGCTCACGGCGCTCACGGGGGCTGGTCTTCTTTCGTCAAGTTGATAGACAGACAGACAGACAGAGAGACAGCAAGACAAAATCATGTTTCACGATAACAGTCGGGTGTTCTATGGGGCCAGACCTTCACGCCGCAAATGTGGCGCACGGGAGATTTGAGTTGCAACAGAACATCCGTGACAGCAAACAAACCATTCACCAAAATCCAGCAAGAAGTGCTTGCTTGGGGGGTAGCCCTCAAAAACTTTTCTTCATTTGTCTGGTTTTTTTTTTTTTTTTTTTCCATGAAATGGTATCAAGTAAAGTCATACACCAGCAGACTTTCCCTGCCGTCTCTGGATTCCTTGAGCACAATGACCATCTCATCGTCAAAGCCCACCCAATTCCTCTTGTCATCCCACTGCTCGTGCCCAGCAGCAGCAGCAGCGGCGGCGGTGGCAACATCACCGCTCTTTTCCAGCTCAGCACCGTCCTCGACAGCCCTTGGTGTCGGCCGCACTGCAATACTGCCATTACTCGCATCCAGGACCCTCCTCTGGGGTCCTGGTGAAGGGACAAAGCCTGCCCCACCACCGACTCCTCCTCCTCCTTCTGCTGCCACTGCTGCTGCTAGTGCTGTGCCGTCGCCTCTCCGCCTGCTGCTGCTGCTGCTGCTGCCGCCGCCGCCACCCTGGTGATTCACGGAAGAATGATTGCCCCTGCCCTCGAGCTCCCACACACGGATCTCGTCCCCGCGATGGCTCACGCTGACCGCCTTGCCGCGTGCCGTAATCTCCGCGTCACTGATGCCTGAGGTGTGGCCCCACAGCCGGATCCCCGGCGAGATCGAGAGTGAGGTCGACGTCGACGTGCACAGGTGCAGGATCAGCGTATTGTCGGGCAGCGTGGCGAGGAGGTACGGGTGGGTGTAGCAGATGCTTGTGGGGCCTTCCTCATCCTCGTCGTCATCACCATCGTCGTTGCTGTTCGTGTTGCTGTTGCTGTTGCTGTTGCTGGCGGGGCCGGGCAGGTCGCCAGCATGATGAGCGGCGGCGGCAGCGAGATCTGACATGGGTCGTCGTCGTCGCCGGGTCATACCCTCGTCGTACTCGTTCATGTCGGCGTCCCGGGCAAATGAAGTTCCAGGCGAGTCACGCGCGGCCCGTCGCGCAGCGAGGCTGGATCCCGCTCTCCTCCGACCCCTTGGGGCCGTCCTGACAGGCAGCGTGTACGCCAAGCGGGTCGTCACCACTTCTGGTGAGGGCCCAGAACCAGCCCGGTTCTCGTTGTTGTTGTTGTTGCTGCTGCTGCTGCTACTACTGCCGCTGATGCTGTAAGCAGGAAGCGGAGGGCGTATGTGCAAGTCCTGGATTCCCAGCGACCAGCCTTGGATCGTGGAGAATGTATATGCGATGGAGGCGACCGTCATCCCTCCTGCACTTTTGCGTATTGATAGCGCCAGCGGGTCTCTTGATGTGTGTGACTTAAGAGAGGTGAGAAGATATGGAGCAGGCAAGGACGCCCCCTCAGCGGCTGCGGGCTTCGTCTTTGGTCGGCCATGTTGGTCGCGGCTGGCGAGGCGCCTGGACCTGGGATCGTGACGCTCAAACTCGTCCTCCGTGTGGCTCTCAACTGCTGATTCCCTCTCCGTCTCGCTATCTGATTCCATGATTCCCTTCCGGCGCGCACTGGAGTGCCCGCCCTTGGACGGCCGGGCTTCTGGGACATTGAAGGTATACAGAGAGACCAGGACGGACTTTGTGGCCGTCAACAGGTACGGGCTCGAATACGCAAGCCCGACCAGCGCCCCATTGCTGGACTTTTCGTGGCGATAGCGACGCTCGATGTCGTGCTGGTCGAGCCCGATCCGCCACACGCCGAAGCTGCCGTCGGTGAACCCGATGGCCACATCGAGGAGCCTGTCGTGCAGCTTTTGGTCGTCGATGGTCATGCAGCTCGGCGCGGCGACCGAGCCGGCATCCAGCAGGCCCGTCTGTGCGACCAGTCTCTTCGTCTTGAGGTCCCACGCCCGCAGGCCTGTCGTGAGATCTGCGGTGACGGCGACGCCCTCGACCACCTTGACCAACGTCTTGCCGTCCTGACGGGCTATCAGATCACCACTCGCACCATCACCACCTTCTATGCCATCGCCACCATCACCACCGCCACCGCCGCCCGCACCGGCGGCACGGACCTCCTGGCGGATATTGAGCTCCTCGACGGCGCACTTGCCGAGGGACCAGTTGTGGCGCAGCTTGTACTGCCTCTTCCAGTCGCCGCGGCTGTCGTCCATGTCGACCCAGCCGCCGCGGCGGCCGTCAGCCCAGACGGTGCGGCGGGAGGCATAGTGCAGCTTGCCCTCGCGGGCGGAGCCGTCGCGGAAGCCAGGGATGCGGAGGGCGCGGGGCAGGACGAAGCGGGCGTAGTAGAGGCGGCGCCAGAGCTGCGAGTCGGCGGCGAGGGCGTGGAAGCGGCGGGAGACGGGCGCGATGCTGAGCAGGTCGGGCAGCGACAGCAGCGACAGGATGCGCACCAGCAGCTCGTCCGAGAGCGGCGATAGCAGGTCGTGCTGCCTCGTGTGCCGTGCCCGCTTGTTGCTGCTCGTCGTCGTCGTTGTCGAGGCCGCGGCTGTCAGTGTGTCGGCGTCGTCGGCAGAGCGCTTGCGCTTCGTGCCTGGTTGAAGGACGCGCGGCATCGTGGTGAGGCGGGTGCAGTCTGTGCCCGCGGATTAGGATTCGCGAAGAAGAAGAAGGAGAAGTGGGAAACGAGAAACGGAAGCCTGCATCGTCGTCCGATTAGAGGCACGCCCCTGCCAGTGCCTTGTTCCGTGCGGCGTGCCACTGGGGGGCGCTTCCCCAGATTTAGGCCCATCTGCCAGCGATGGTGGCGCCGGCGTTAGCGGAGTTACCACATATGGTGGTTGAGCTGTTTCCCGACGGACAAAGAACCCTAATTATCGCCAGCTGCGCCTGTTCTAGAGAGGTGGGTAATTACTGCTTGGTGTCGATTGACTATAGGCTTGCACGGCCATTAAGAAGGAGATATCACGACAGACGACTACTACAAAGAACTGCTAATTCATGAGATGGCCCCCGGTCCATACAACATACAACTACTCAAGGCCTCCTCCACATAGCTCTTTCTTGAGCCTGGGATCTCCCATCACGAATGTTAAGCTACAGGAAGTCTTGACACCGCAAAGAATGGTTCCATCACTACAGACGCTGGGGTTCTGCTTGGTTTGGTCTGCAGCACTACTCCCTCCGGTGAAACTGCAACTGCAGTGGCAGCAGAGTCGTGGTGAAGGTATCCTTGGCCCCGGCCTCAAACTCGACACCGTCTTCACCAGGAGCGAAGCTGACCGTGCACTCCTGCGCCAGCCGAGACAGGGCGATCCGCATGGTCATCATGGCCAGGTTCTTACCGGGGCACGAGTACGATCCTATTCATAGGTTAGCTTCATCCTCCTCGATACCCAGACTTGCCGGACGTGTAACCACTCTCGAAACATCATAGCGAGACAGACTACACCATGTCTCCCAAAAGACAGGAGGCAAACAAAAGACGGGGAGAACACTCACCCATACTGAATGGCATATACGGGGCCGCCTCTGTCCCCATCTCCTCCCACTTCTCGCCCCACCGCTCCGGGCTGAAAGCGCCTGGCTGCTTCCAGTACCGCGCATCGTTCTGAATCTGCCTGATGGGCACAAACACATTCGTCCCGCCGGGGATGAACTGCTCGTCCACCTGCAGGCCCTGTGGCGGGGTCTGTCGATACCCGCCCGTCAGCAAGGCCGGCTTGATCCGCAGCGCCTCGTTGATGATGTCGTCAATGTACGTGATCTGCTTGACCTTTTCGTACGACCAGCCATTCTCACCACTGTCACCGCCGCCGGCGCCGGTGATGGTGGTAGTGGCAGAGGAACGGGGCAGCACGGCATCAACCTTGGCCTGCAACTTGGTCTGGACCTCGGGGTTCAGGCACAGGAAGTACAGGATCCAGGCCAGTGTGGTGGCGGTCGTGTCGCTGCCTGCGATGATGACCGCGCGCGAGTCGTCGTCGAGTGCCGCCTCGGTCGGCGCAGCCGTGATGTCCCTCTCCAGGAAGGCCTTCATCAGCCAGGACACAATGTCCTGCGGGTACTCGTTGATGTCGAGTGTCTTTCAGTAGCGGAAATAATGGTGTTAGCAGGATATTCACGATCCCCCCTTCACCGATATCCTCGTGGTCTCATCACCTGGCGATGCATTGATTTCACCAGACAAAAGAAATACAGAGGTCACATACCTTCTGCTTGGCCCTGACTTCATTCCCGCACCACTCGAAGAACGGCGTGTAGCCAGCACTGGCGCCCGGGATCCTCGGGATGATGTTGAGGAGCCAGGGGATGTGGCTGACCACGCCGAGGACCTCCATGTGATCGTGGATGCACTTGATGGCCGGGTGCTCGACGCCAGTGTCGACGCCGCGGAAGTCCTTGCTGAAGCCGACCATGCCCATGATGTCAAAGGTGAGCAGCATGGTCCACGACGAGGCGTTCACGGTGGTCCCCGGCTGCGAGACCTGTGTGACGAACTTGTCGACCTTCTCGAGGATGCGTGGGATATAGGTATTCAGCGCTGCAAGAGTGAGGCCTAGTCAGTGATTGTACTCCTCTCTCACATCAAAAACAAGGCTGTGTATGGCCAATCATCCTCCTCCTCTTCTCTCAGAAGGCACACGGCGGTCACCGAGAGTCACAGACCTTTGACTGAAAACCCCCGGTCCCAGGCCCTCCGTCTCAGCCGATGGCTCTCATAGTCCCGGGTCATGTGAATAGAGCAGGCCTTGTTGTTGACGTCGACCTGCGAGTACCACGTCGACTTGTGGCAGTCCGACTTTGGGCCGTAAATGAGCGGCACCGCAGAGCTCCGGACAATGCACACCTCACGGGGTCCTGCAAAAAACGGCATCACAGAAATCAGCAAGAGAACAGAGACAAATACACAGGACAGGAGCTCCCAAGGAACGAAAGCCGGCGGACTTACCGGTCCGGATGAAGTCCCCATACTGCTTGTGCAAAGCATCCACCTCCTTGTAATATTGCACACTCTTCGCCGCCGCCCTCACCGACCAGAAGCGGGACAGCTTGGCCCCAAAGGGCCCCGGGAACCGGTGCAGAGGGTGCAGGAACGCGCGGTAGACGAGCATGCTCGAGAACAAGCCCGCAAAGAACGTGCTCGTGATGGTGGCCGTCTCCACGCCGGCGCCGAGCACTGTCCACCCTTGCGAGACGTAGCCGACAAAGATGGCCGCCACGACCGCCACGATGCTGAAGAGCAGCGTGTACATGAACTGCTCGACCTCGTAGCGGCGCAGGAACATGGCGTGGCAGACGATGCCGAGCACCGCGGGCGGGACGAGCGGGTGCACTTTGTCCAGGCTCAGGAGCGCCCCGTTGAGGACGGGAGGGAGGACTGTGTGCTGCGACATGCTGGGCAGGTGCTAGTTGACTCGTGTATATCACTTGTATCGAGGTAATGGGCCGTAAGTCGCTAGTCGCACAGGTCTTCTGTCGATTCAAAGAGGCAGAGAAGATAGCATCCCTTATGTACGCCCCCCGAGAATCAGGCCCTCATTGTTTTCCTCAGAAGCCTTGCCCTCCCCCCCTCCCTCCCGGCCAAGGATAACGACGTTGATGCAGTGTAACCTCGTCTACAGCTTCCAAGACAACAACGAGAGAGCAGATCTTGCCGAAACTGGGCAAGAAGGAGGTTGTTTCACTGGTGCATGAGCGACGCACACACAGCTCTTTGCATGTCTATCACGGATGAGGCCGCGAATCTAGGGTGTCGCTGAGTAATGGATAAGCCTGGCTGGAACCATATATGTCTTTCCTCATGGGGATGCATTCTGCGCGGGGAAAGATAATGCTACGCAACTCTACATGCTGCCAAGAGATTGCATGTACAGTACGGCTGCAACGCTCGCTGGCTGCCTGCAGGTGAGCTGCCAGGGTGAAGCGAGACTTGCAGAAAGGCTGGCAAAACTCGCACGCCTATACTCTCTGAACGACACATAAAGCCTTTGTCGGGAAGGGGACTCGGGCCGACGACACACACGCAGCCTCGTGGTCGATGTTGGAGGCCGGTCTGCCGGGGTCTTGGTTGGTGTCACCAACCCAATACTCAGCCAACTGTACAAGCATCCCTGAACTGTACTGATAGGGACCATTTTGGAAAGTAGAAGATCAATGTCAAGCATGTCAACGATGGAACCGACCAGGATGCACGTAAGCGAAATGTGACAGAGAGAACGAAAACTTGAGCAATTCACATCATCACAAGTGGGCTCACATTTTGCCTTGCAACATCGAGTATCCACCGCCTAGGGTGCCTAAGGTAGTATTGACAGACTTTTCTACAAGTGCCATACTGTTGTCAGGCTCATATGCTTGTACGGCGGCATAGACGCCTGCTAACGAGACGGAAAGCAGACGTAGTCTTTGTCATGCAAGGCATGGGTGTCTGCGGGGACATCTTGATGCACCGTCCCACCAAGCGGGGTATGACACGGCTGCCTGTTCGTTCCAAGGTTTCCTTCAGAAGTCCAGATAAGCCTTCACAATGTAGCCGTCTCAAGAAAAGCAATGATAACCTTGGTTTATCGGATTGTCGCCCATCGACAAGTCCATGCGATGCTCTATGCTATGCAATCTGTAACCAAAACGCCAAGTAGAATGTATGCAGCCAAGACAGGAATATGCAGATCTAGAACTTCTCCATCAAGTTCTTTCTAACCGTCCACATGCGCGCTCGCTTGCCAAAGATATACATGGGAATAGAGAACAGACAGGCAATCAGCTGAATGATGCCGATCCAGATATAGACCGTCTTGGGGCCGTCATGTGTCAGCCACTCCGTGACGAACAGACTGAAGACAAGGCCGTGGAAGACGTTTTTGCTGAAGTTGAGCGTAACAAGCGCCTCGCCGGCGTACTGGCGGTAGCTGTCAACGCAGAATGTGATGGAAGTGGTCGAGCCGAGGGAGCACCCGAACGACACGATACCAAAGAACACAATGGGGATGAACGGGCTTTCCGCAGACGCCGTCCAGCCGAACCCAATCAGACCCATTGTAGTCGTGATGGCGACAGGAATCGCCATGACGAGGCGGAACTCAGGCTCATAGAGGCCGCCATTGCGCCTAGACATGGCCTTGACCACAATGTCACTGACCTTGCCAGCCACGGCAGTGCCCAACACGCCTCCAATGAAGGGGGAGAGATAGACTAGTCCTGTCTGCAACGCATTGAAGTGGTACTTGCCTTCGCGGAACACGACAGCAACCGATTCAGAGATGACAATGAGCCAGCCGACAGAGCAGGAATAGATAACGGCAGACCAAAGGACCGCTGGGTACGAGAACAAGATGAATGGCCGCAGAGCTACCTTCCACCACCGGTCTTGGTTGAGCCGACCGTTGTGAAGACGAAGCTGCTGTGTGAAAGATTTCGGAGGTGCCTGCCGCAAAGTATGTGTATACATCTGCCCACGTGTCGCAGTGGGGAAGTTTGAAAGCGACAGCTTCTCGCTTGCGGTATCGGTACCAGTACCGTGGCCTCTCGACGACGCTGCGTCCATTGTGACAGACTGTGCTTCCAGATCCGGGTGAGGCGAGGCAGGAACTACGCTGTGCTCCGTGTGGGTCCGCGAAACGCGGGGGCGGTCGGGAATGTCGATATTGCCGAACGTGGGCGGCATATTCGAAGCAGCATGGGCATGCTGACCTACGGATGCTTCCGTGGCAGGGTCCTCTGGCTCATTGGCTTCAGGCGCAAAGCCCACGTGGGCTGTCTTGTGCCGGGAAGTTGGGCCCGCAGACGATTCAGCTGTGTGGTGTACCTTCTCATCTGTGACGTCTGGTTCCAAGATGCCGCCACTGCCAGGCGCAGACTCGTCCAAGGTCTTGGGCGGGAGCTGCGGCACATGCTTCGAGGTTGATCGTCTACTAAGGAAACTCGGTCGCTTCAGGTGGTGGTGATTGGTCCGGTTTCGTGGGATCGGCGAGCGGTCCCAGAAGGTCTCTGGCACGAAGAAGAAGAGCAGGGTCCCACAGAAGCCCACAATCATGGCAACAATCCTGTTCCGTCCAGTGCATGTGGTCAGCCATGTCACTATCACAATATGTTCCAACGTCAATGTAGATGGGAGTAAGCATACCAGAACACCCAGCGCCAGTCAAGCGCCTGCATGACGACCGCGCTGACCAGAGGGACCAAGTTCTTGCCGCCCAGGAGGAGCAAAGTATAGATGCCGATACGGTAGGCACGCTCATGCAGAAAGAAGATTTCTGCGATGGTGGCGGACGGCAGGCACTCCACGGGGCTGACAGCGATGCCCTGGCATATCCGGGCGATGAGGAGGGAGATGAAGTTTGGCGACAGAGCACACCAGACGGTAGAGAGAATAAACAGTATGGCGCTGAAGAGGTAGATAGGCCGCTTGCCGTAAAGAATGGCGGTCGGAGAGAAGATTGTGCTACCGATGCCGAGGCCCATCATGTAGAGACCTGTCGTCAAGGCGACCCGCTCAACAGGGACGTCATAGTCTAGACTTGGTTAGCCGCGGTTCACAAGTAACATGATAGGGGAAGCCATACCTTCTGCGACATCGGTGAAGCCGGCGGCGAGGATCGGAGTGATGCCACCGCCAACCATGCAGTAAAGGCCGAGCGAGAGGAGCGCGCAATCTCTGCGCCAGGCGGGCCAGTTGAGCGGGTCATTGTGCGAATCGTCAGGCTGAGGCTCGAGGATGATGTTGCCGTCCTGCGTCTTCTTCTTGTCGTCGACAGGCGGCGGTGTGGGCGGCGGCACATCTGGGGCCCAGCCGGTAGCCACGGAGGAGTGGGAGGTGCGGGCTGGGGCGTTGCGCAGGCCAAGGGGTTCGTTGCGGTCCTTTGCGAGGAGGAGAACCGAGCCCGGAACTTCAATGGTGTCCGGATCGTTAAGCATGCCCATATTCCACGTACGGGGCTTGTCCTCGACGGGGCGCTCGCCGCCATCGCGGCGGCGAGGGAACCAGGAGGCCATGCTGCGCGGCAGGCGGCGGAAGGGCGTAGGTCAAGGCACTGGAGGCCTAGGTTGCCGCCGTGGGCTCGTCAAGCAAGGTGAATGGAGGGGATGGTTGCGAGAGGGATAGAGAGAGGAATGCTGTAGGGACGCGTGGAAGGCAAGGATATATACAACAAAGCAAAGGGCTGGTTCTAGGTCTGGTGGATCGCCCTTGGACAGCATCCACACATGGCGCGATGTTTACTTTGAGGTGTGAGATAAGGAAGCTGCTTTGCAATGCCGGCAGGGTCCCTTGTTGCAGGGGATGGGCAGCTTGGCATATGTCACTGAGAGCACGCTGGATGCAGCGGAACGGGGTCCCCAAGGATTGGCAGGCGCGCGAGTCGTGGGGGAGGAGCGGCCCAACTGCTGTGCTTGGGCATGTGCTGCAACGCCCGCTGCAGCAGCCAACCTTGGGGCGGCATTTGGGTGCAGCAGGTCCCCGCCGCCCGGGTCATGTGGCTGGTCCCAGGCTGATCCCCAGCATCCACTGCCACCCACTGCCACCACTGGCACCCCTCACCGCTGCTGCCTCCGCACTCACGAGACCCGTCGCTCTGTGAGCCTCCACGCGCACGGGACCAGCCCCGCGCCCCTTCATTTGTCTCTTCCAAGCAGGTTGGTCCTGCTCGGCGCACCACAATGACAGCCTGTCAGCCCCTTGGCAGCGCCTCTCGCGGTTGGGTGACGCTCGGCGACCCGGAGATCGGCACCGTCATTAGGCTTGGGATAAAGACGTTGTGGATCAGACGGCTTCGTCGTGCAATGGGTGGCATTTCTCTCGGGTCTGACGAAGTTGTCACGAACTGGCCAGAAAGGGTTGCGAAGGGGGTGCTGGTCTGGTTTATACCTCCCTCCACAGCCCCGTGGTCTGCCAGCGCTCTCAGGACCAGCCAAGGGACGCTTACCTTTGCTCAGAGCCCGGACTACATGCTCCTGCCGATCCACGGGAGGGCCCGCGGGTGCGCCGTTGAGCCTCCTCGATGCCGTCATGACCATTCGCTTTGTGTCCCTCAACCACTGGCATCGTCCACTTATTTGTGCGGATCGCGATGCCGTTGCGTCCCTGCAAACCCTCTGCTCCGATGGCGCAGCGGTGGATGCTGACATGGCAGCGATCGTTGCTCCAAAGTGGCCGTCTATGAAGCTGGCTGTCGCTGGCACAACCACTGTCTCTAAGGTGTCCATGACCTCAGCGTGACTTCATGTTTACCGAACCATTAGCGCTGGAAGCCAGGCACGAGGCTCTCTTTCAGTGCATATCTGATCCGTGCCTCGTCCTGTCCACAGTCCACCCTCCTGCGCACTGCCATAAGCCAGATCCATTGTCGACTGCTTGATCAACTTATACGTCATGATTTACACGTCTGCCCTGTCTCGTCCTGCGGCGGCCGCAGTTCGTGCATCAACTCTGCTCAATAAAGCACCACTGACCGGCATCCCTACTTTGAGAACAATATCTTCCCTCGTCTCTTGTCAATCCCAACCAAAGCTTCATCCTGCCTCTATTACTTCCAGAACGCCGACTTCACTCCCAACTTACAAGAACTACGCGATCTCAAGAGCCATGTCGTCTACTAACGAGAAGAATGCGCCCTTTGTCAGCAGCTCATTGTTCTCTCTGAAGGACAGGACTGCCCTTGTTACTGGTGAGTGCTCCGCACCACGTGCACAAACCCTGATCAGCATCATAGCTCATCAACCTAACCCAATAATAGGCGGTGGAAGCGGAATCGGCTTGATGGCCGTCCAAGCACTCGTTGCCAACGGCGCCAAGGTCTACATCACTGGCCGCACAAAAGAGAAGCTCGATCGGGTCGTCGAGCTCTACTCCCAAGGGAAGGGCTCCATCGTACCCATCGTAGCAGACGTCAGCAAGAAGGACGACATTGCCAAGCTCGTCCAAGAGATCGAATCAAAGGAGCAGTCTCTCGACGTCCTCGTCAACAATGCCGGCATCGCGGGCGCCACGCAGCAGACCGAGTCCGGATCTGCCACGGAGATGAAGAAGAACCTCTTTGACGACGAGTCGGCCACATTTGAGGATTGGACCAACACCTACCGCACCAACGTCCCGCAGATCTACTTCATGACGACCGCATTCCTCCCTCTGCTGCAGAAGTCCTCGGACCGCCACAAGGGCTGGTCCGGCACCGTCATCAACATCAGCTCCATCAGCGGCATGGTCAAGACGGCGCAGCACCACTTCTCGTACAACTCGTCCAAGGCGGCCGTCATCCACCTCAACCGCATGCTCGCCTCCGAGATTGCCGCCAACGAGCTCAAGATCCGAGTCAACTCGATCGCCCCGGGCGTCTTCCCCAGCGAGATGACCGCCGACGACAGCAACGAAGAACAGAAGAGCCACATCCCCAAGGACAAGTACGCCGACAAGGTGCCCGCCGCGCGCCCTGGCAAGGACGAGGACATGGCGCAGGCGGTCTTGTTCTGCGCGACAAACCAGTACCTCAACGGGCAGACTTTTGCTGTTGATGGCGGGTACACTCTTGCAGCGGGGCTGTAAATAGGTCAAATGCTTGAAATAGTTGTATATTAATCTGAAGTCTACAAAACTCATATCGGAGATTGACGAGATACGACGACTTGTTGATACAAGCTGCATATTGTTCTGCTAGAGCACATGTGCTATGATCACCCGAGTCCCAGTTTTCATGACATCATCGAACCTTGACAGACGTTCTAGGTGTCCTTCCGGAGAGGAATACTCTCACATTCCGCACCACGACAAGGTGGAAAAAGTCCAATGAATAAATCCATATTCATAACCAAGTGCCCCTGTTCTCAAAAATAGTCCGAACATCTAGCTTTCATCAATGCAGCCTGTGTCAGTGTCAGTGCAAGCCAAGACCGTGACCAAGCCGCATGTACTTAGTAGCGGACCCACCACCACCTCGAGGAGAGCAGAGAGCCAACTTTCCATGCAAGCTGACTAAAAGGAAACTCAATCTAAGCGTAGCCTCGGCGTGGCGAATCTCTAAAACCCCCATCCCCAGTGCAGTCCTGTCTGAACTGGGGCACTAAACCCCCAGAAATTCCCATGCTGGAATTGTCACAATGCCATCATGCCGGAATTTTAGAGTTGCCGATCTGCAATCCCTGGTTTTTTCCTTGGGCCAAAATCGTCTAGGGCTCTCCGGGCCTTAAAACGCCACACACGCACACACACACACACACACACACACATACTTACCATAGTACACACCGTATGCATGCCCATGCCCGCTGTGGACCGTGGTGGCCCATTTTGCAGCGCTATCCGGCCTGTTGAGGGACGACCTGCGCCCTGGCTTCCTGAGGAGCCTGTTTTCTTGAGAGCCTCTTGGGCCAGCAATTCATCGTGGCCTGACCGTATTGATAACTGGATACTTATGGGAATGGAGAAGCAGGGCAGGTCAACTGCCTGTGTGATAAGAAACCCAGGGACGCATCGCCATCAAAAAGCTGCTGCGGAGCAACCACTGCAAGACAGCAGCACCACGAATGAAGGAGGGAAACTTTTTGCCAGTCGAGTTTGCCAGTCGATTATATGTGCAGAGAGTCGCGTGGAGCTCGACACCGTGGAGCTAAGAAACTTCTGACTCCGGGACGCCTGTCGACGCGATCGACTGTACACGTTGACTGGCCACTGAAGTTGTCACGCCTCCGTAGGACTTCAACCACCCCTTTTCGGTCAGAAGTGCCCGCCGTTCCTTTCATGCGGGTCACAATGCCTGCCTGCCTGCTTGCCTGCCTGCTTGCCTGCCTGCTTGCCTGCCTGCCTGCCTGCCTAGCGGACTTTGTGGCGTTGCTACTGAGCATGGGTATCGGACCTCGTGGGGTCCACAAAGGCATGCCTGTCAAATAGTTGCAATCCTGGACAGCGATCATCTCTTTCGCTCATGTACATGTTTACAATTAGCATGGCAAAATACGTTTGTTTCACGGTCGGGGTTTCACAGCTATCAGTGTTTTAAAAGTGCAACAAAACGCTGCGTTTGATGCTGATTCACAGCTAGTAACATTGAATAGGCGGATAGACGACTGATGATGGTGGCCGAATGTCCGAAGAGGTATCACCCGACCACACTATCAGACTCAATAGTAGTCCGTCATTACATGAGTGTAGAAGAAAACCATGCCCGTGGACAGGTCAAAAACTGAAGCCAGCTTATCAGAAGCAACAAAACAGCCGTGCGATGATATTCCCGAATCCAAAAAGCCCATCGACAAGAATGATTCTCCAGATAATCCCAGTAGACTAGACAAGAAACGCCAATTCCCGGAAAATCCAAATGTAAAGTGCAAGTCGCGGCAGGAGAAGGGATGCAGAAGGGGGATGGTGGAGTGGAGTAATCTGCGAGCATGCACACTCCGGGTATCATTTCAAAGATGTGCCCTAATATGCCGTATTGTGCCGTGATGTCGTGTGGTGCTGTGATAAAAGGTCGCTGCAAGGATGCGTCATGTCGTAGTCGTGATGAAGTTGAAGGTGACAAAATGAATCGGTTGCGGCAAGAAAACGGAATTCGAAAACATGCTGGAATGCGGCGCACCATTTGGGGTGATAGAATCATTGATGAAATTGTGAAGGGTTGTTGCAAGAAGCACGTCATGATGCGCCCGAGCGGACTTGAGCTTAGAGAAAGCGGCTGACCCAGCCCTTCTCCAGCCAGCCAACCTTGTCGAAAGCGGTCCACAGCTTGGACGCCTTATTGACATCTATCTTGCAGGCTTGCTGGGCGTCTGTCTTCCGGAATTCTTTGCCCACCCGCAAACATTCGAGCCTGCGAATGAACATGCGGCGCTTGCTGGTGAGATATGTCGCACAGTCGAGCCGTAGATTGGCCGCTAGCATGACCTCATCAGGATGCAGGAGACCTCGATGCGGGTCAGTGCTGAGGTCGATCGGGGCTCCCTTCCAGTCTACCTTGAGGCTGTTGGCCTTGCTAGGCAGCGAAGAGAGTGGCGGGCAGTAGTCTGGCAGCAGGGCAAACTCCTTATCCTCCCGGTTTGGCGCCACAACCCGGCGTGAGGACGGGTCAGGAGTCGGAGTGGTCTTGCGAACACGAACCGCTGGCTGTCTGGGAGTTGATGCAGGAGGATTGGCCCGGATCGGCCGGGGCGCCGCCACTGTAATTGTTCTGGCGGGCTTTGCAGCAGGCTTGACGACGCGCTGCGCCATCGTCCGAATAGCTTGCGGCTTTGCTGGCAGGATAGGGTGCAATTTAAACTGATTGTGCCGTGCTCCGGCCTTGCGGTCGGCGAGGAGTTGAGCTCGTTCCCGCCGCAGCCAGCCCTTGGGGTTTTCGTTGTACCTCTTCATGACGTGTGACTTGAAGAACAACATCAATTCGTAGTCCTCGCGCTGTGGTGGGGTCGACTGCTGGAAGAGTCTCGAGGGCCGTGCAACAAGGTGGTCGTCAACGATTTTCCTGGTAACAAGTACATCCTCTCGGCTGAAAAGAGGCGGCTGCGGAGGTGATGGGCCACTGCTGGGTGTTGGGTAGAGAATCGGGTCTTTGACGGGTATTGTTGGTGACAATTCACCACTCGATAGTCTATCATCAACTCGGGCGGCGGGTGATATTGGTGGCGAGAGGGGCTGCTTTGGTGCCGAACCCCGGCGAACATCTGCGACCGTGATACTATCCATCGTCTTTACTGATACTGAAGCTGTTCTGTCCGCAAAGGATTCGTATCGAGGAGGCTCCGGTGGCGACATGAGAATGCTCGTATCGAACGGCTTCGTGGGCTCGGCTGTAGTGTGCGCCGTCTCGGGCTTATAAGCCCTGGGGGTGGCGGATGAAGAGGCCATCGGATCGGTTCGGTGTGAGATGGTGCTTGAAGGCCTCAGGCTGTCGAAAAAGCTGAATGGGCGTGGTGCTGATCGTTGGCCCCAATGCTGGTTGGTGGTCATCCTGTGCGCACACGACTTGACTTATAAGTGGTTGGCGGGTCGCGGGCCCGTAATATGTAACGGGATGTGCTGGCTCGAAATATTCGGTGGATATTGCAATGCAATGCAGTGCAAAAATGCGTCAATTGACGATGAGCAATGCGATTGATTGTATGAGGAGAAGAAGAAAGACCAATTGGTAGGAGGAGCAACGAGCGCAAGCCGTTGTAGCTGGATGGTCCAGGCCTAGGCAGCCGAGTATTTGTAAGGGAGCCTTGGGAGGCGAAAGCCTGAGGCGGCGATGACAAAGGCTTTCGGGCGTGTGGGAGGCGTGCGTTGCCAGTGGAAGTCGCCAGAAGCCCACAGAGGGGTTAGTGCCGGAGTTAAGCCCCCGGCGGTTGGTGTCGCCCACTGGAGGCTATGGCTGTGCACCTCCGAGTTGCAAGTGATGATGACAACGACGACGACCTGCTCAAGTGTGATCCTAGCGTGCCTTGCTGTCGCCGCTGGGAGCTGCGCCTGTCGTGAACGGCCGTGCTGGAGCCGTGTCGAGTTGTGCTTGATGGGTATGACTCTGACTGAGCTATGACTCTACGTGCATGCAAGCCTGAGTCGTCGTGTAAGTGAGCCCCGGCGCACCCTGTTCCCAAGGAGACGGGCGTGCAATTGGTTGTTTGTCCAAGTGGCGAATTGATGCTGCTGATTGAGCGTGGTCTGGAGTGTCGTCAATCGCTGTACGAGAAGAGATTTGTCCCAAGAAGAACTGAGGAGAGTGTAGGAGAAAGAGAGGGAAGCAGCCAAACAGCCAGCGTGCGCCTGAGAGCGCTGGGAGGCAGAGTCCTAATAACGAAGGTCAGTGAGACTGGACGGCGGTGGATTGCGCGCGCCCTCCCTCCAACACACACACTCACACGATCACACGCCACGATCCCTCCTCCGCCCACACCCTCTGGCGGTCCTCGCCCATTTCCATCGCTCACAGCAAACAACCAGGCGCAGACCTGCCAAACAATAGGCTGTCGATATCAGCAGAAAAGCCCGCCCATTCGCTCCACACGCCCATGTGGGCAAGAGGCGGCTGCCCCTCCCGTCAGGCTTCAAGAGGACTGTCGACAGCATTGCGGACAACGACGGGCGCGCGCACACGCAGGGGGGCGTGGATACAGCCCTGTTGACTGCCAAACACCCACACGCCCCCTCCTGGATGCGGGGATCCGCATACGCCCGACACTTCCAGGTTGTTGTCGAGCCTGCCAAGTACCCCAAGTACCTCCTCGTGTGGGATACTTATCATGGCCGTGGCCTGGAACAACGTCGGAGCGGGCACCCTGATCCAGCCATGCGACGATGAAGCTGAGGTGAATACCTGGATGTTGAAGTACCTCTTCTTCTGCCATCGATTGCGTTCCCCATTGTGTTCTGCGAACTTGGGAAACAGAATCTTGCAAACGCCATTCTCACACCTCAGACTATGGTCACCGTGTTGCCCGATCTGGCCATTGAACCAATCTGCGCTTGTGCTTATCGCCGTAGTCACGGCGCGAGTTGTCCCGGCCTTGTGATGACGCGCCCACGAACAAAGAATAAGCGATGCTCGGCAGCAGCGGAATTGGCCATACACCCGACACCCACCATGCAGCCTGTGCAGAGGCAAGTCCCAAGGCAGCGGCAGTGATGCGCGGCATCCTGGGATGGCACCGAACTACAATAGACCCTGATCTCAAGGCTCAACGCAGTTGGTTCGACCTGCTGGGGAGTGTTACTTCCATTCTCTATTCTTCCGGCTGTGCCTATTCCATGCATGAGTCGACGCCCAACGAGCATGGCCGCATGCCTTCTTTTGGCTATCACCCTTGCGCAGAGGGCCATGCTTGTACGGACGAACCAACGTGGCATGCCTGTGCTTGCAATGTAGTGGTGTTGGGGGCTGGCTAAAGCCTTGATGAGCTCCTCGTACACGTCCGACACCGTACCAGTTGCAACGGGTGTTCATTACTTCCTCACGTTTTGCTCTCAAGGCTTACCCATACGGCGTGTTGTCCCCTCTTACTAAAACGCCAGAGAGAAAGACGTGTACAGACCAGCCGGAGTGTCAAGCACATGGGCGGCGATTGACCATGTCCTCAACAGACCTTGGTCGGCTGCTAACAAACTCGGCCAGCAGTATCATGGAGAGATTTATTGTCCAACACGCACTGTATGATGCAGCGCACATTGGCCAAGGGGAACGAAGAGCGCACCAACGATTCTGCGAGGTTTCAAGGCAGTGCGTCTAGATGAGACAGCAGGACAGAGTGCAGGAAAGTGAATGACGACTCGATAGGCATGAAGCCGAGTGAATCGAATTGAGTTGGTCGGGGCGCAATGGTTGGTGAAACGGGGCCGGGCATCAATGAATCAATGCCAGCGGGAGATCCGACAAGGCTCGCCCCCGACTCTGCCCCAATGCGTACTTCTGACGAGCTGATTGACCAATCAGGCACGCAGCTGCCGCCGGGGGGTGCGGTGCCATGGAACTCATGGAATCCATGGTGCGCTGGGATGGGGATTTGGTGTGGGCATTCTGCCAGGGAGTGACTCATACTCTGCTGGACTGTCGCGATTGGTAATGGAGCGGCCATTTGTCTCCCCTCCCAAGCACTGTCGACAGAGGCTTTCACGGTTGCCTCACACAGACGGTTCGCTTGAGAATTGCCACGGGCACGGGCACGGAGCAGGCGTTGGCCTCTACGTAGCAGCCTGCTGATACCTCGACTACGACTCAGGCAAAGTACTCGACCTCGACAGGAACTAACCCACCAGCCAGGCAGGCAGTCATGCCAACTTAATCCGAGTTGCACCCTTACATATCGCCGAGCTGCGGATATCGTCGCAGGCGTCAATGGCTTGGCACAGGACTTTGATGGCCTTGGCCGGCAGCAGGTATCTCTGGCTCGGTTCTCGTACCGCTACTTTTGGCTTTCGCGCCCTCACGCACACCCCTATCACGACCACCCCTGCCGTCTTTGTCCACTCAGAGCCCCGACGGGTCAGCTGCCCTGGTCACACGCTGCTCGCCCACGCACACTCCCCGCACCCTCCTGAGCCATCACCCCCAGCTCTCTTCGTCTTGTTGACTGCTCCAGGCGGCGTCCAGTGTGCTGCACGCACCCTGCATTGGCAGATCATGTCACCTGCGGAGAGCATTCCAAATGCTAGCCATTGTTGGTCAATGGCCGGCTAGTGACATGCCAACGCGCCTGTCACAGGTCCTCGATTCTCTCTGTCAGTCGGTAACCCAGATGCTCTTCAAGATCGACCCGAGTTTCTATTAGACTCTGGCGAAACCCGACACGACGAGCGATGTCAAATCACGCGACCACTTCTCAAGAGGTTAGAGGCGTGTCGCCATAATGAGCCAAGTCTAATGCTACTTGATGCTCGACATCGCCGCCACAAACACCAGGGTCGCAGTGCCTTAAGCGCCTGCCTCTGGTGTTTGACACCATAGCGCACGCCGATCTATTTGCGGCGCTCTCAGGCTTTTGTGGGACAAACCCATGGCGCAACTGGACGAATCTATGGTATCAGCCGCTCATTTGCTCCAGAAGTACCAGCGCCACCTACGTGCGCTCGAGCTTCAACGGGACCCTTTTGATATAGACGAGGCCGCGACTAAAAAGTCGCCTACGTACTCGAGGAGTTTCGGGATCTCGATGAAGCAATTCTGAACGACCACCGGCGGCCTACGCAGGGTCGGTCTGCAGCGGACTGCCAAAGGGCTTATCGGCGGATGACTTCGTTTTAGCCTTTGTCAGGTCTCGCAACCCACCTTCAAGTTTAGCGCATGGTGAGACATCGAACAGTTGCAAGACCTGCAACTGTCAATTGCATGGGCCTTCAATGAAACCGCCTCGATCTGAGTACAGATTTTCAAAGAGCTCAATTCTACGGGTTCTCAGAGATAGCAAAGCAGCAGCCGTATGTCTTGCAAGACCTGGACGATATCCACAGCGGTCAACAGCAACCTTTGGGAAGTTGGCGTAGCTTTGTATATTTCAAGATGCTATCCACTCCGGCCAGTGTGTGCCCCCAGCTTGATTGTTTCTATGATTCTAGCTCGCGCGGTCGCCGAATAAACCATTTCGCACCAACACACCGCCTTGCCAGTCTCCTCTTGCGCAATCAGACGCACCGCTCTATGCTGCTCAACGGCGCGTCGCTAGTGCCGACCTACTGCTTCCCGGCGGCATTACAGGCTCATCTGAACGAGAAGGCGGTCTGAGCTGGAGATGAGGCTTGCGGCGCTTCGATCTATAACCTGTCTGCGGGTGTGGGCCTACGCGAGGTCATGATGGGCTCCTCCTTGCTTGTCCCGAGTGTTGTCTACATTACTACAGAGTTGTCCGATCCTCTTGAAGCACGAGCATGAGCACTCACTTGTGGTGACGATTCTCCCCGGGAAATTGTCTATCGAGATCTTGGGCGGCCGTTGGCTTTGATCACGGACGTCTCACTGACAACCTCTACGATACAGCGCTCCATGTCGCAGCGACCACCAAAGAACAGGAGGGGTCGGCGGGTGGCGCCCATCCGAGACATCGTGGTTCGTGACATAGTCAGGCGGCACGCGGGATGGTGGGGGGAGGGGGAAAGCGATGCCACCCATGTGCTCGAGACCGGGAGCACTTTCACATGCTGGGGGCCCTGCAGCGCGTCTGAGGCCAACCCGGGCAGGGGCCCTGGTCAGTGGCCTTATCTGGCAGCCCGTCTCCCACTATCTCTCGCCTGCCCCTCCTCCACGCCTGCCTGCCCGCCTCGCCCTCGCCCGTCCCCTCAGGCTGATTGCTCGTCTTCTCTGTCGCTTGCCAACTCAATTAAGTCTGCTGCGACCATGACGACTGCAGTGACCCAGGGCCACGAGTATGGCATGCCCACGGCAATCAATTGACGCCTGTGAACCACAGTCGCGGCCTCGAGCGATACTCTGCTCAACACAAAGGGACCAACCAACCCCTCCTTGGCCATGTGGTTGACACATCTTATCGATACCCAACCGTTGCATGACGATGCTGGCGCCCGCCTCGGCCCCGCGCTAGGGGTGGTGCTTTTACTATCCCAACCCCTCCTCCCTGGTTCCTGCAGGACGCTTGACGCTGTCTTTTGCTCTTGAGTTCGTCTCTGCGTCCTTCCGACGGGGCGGCAATGGGTAGACCAGAAGAACTCAAATGTTGAGTGCCAGCGACAGGACAGGCAAGAAATAATAGCCTGTCCGTCTATCCAAGTCGGCCAGCGCCATCATGGATTACAATGACCCGGGTTCGGGGTAAAACAAGGACAATGATGCGGCGGCAAAAACATTGGGCCCCCTTCTCTCGCTGCTGCTGCTGCTGCTGCTGTTGCAAGTCATTCTCAGAACTTGCCCCCCTCTTTTCTCCCGGATCAATTTCATCACCACCCTGGTCATTCTTCAAGCTTTCGGTAAGACCAGTGTCACGATCCCAGACTAGAGAGCACGCTTAAGGGAGGGTCCTACGCGCGCCTGCCCCACGACCCTGGGGGTTCTCTGGCTGGCCCGAAGCCAATCCGTAAGTTTTGGACATGATGGGGGGATGCAGGTCCGATTTTCTCTCCAGACCGCCATCAGGACTCCACCACCAAACCTGGCTTGCGTGGAGACTAGTTCCCTGGGTTTTCTTTTCTGGCGCTTCTGCTTTTTGCGGAGAGGGAGGAGGGAGGGAGGTTGTGTTTTTTGACTCATGTTTTTCTTTATTTTAGCAGCCCATCCGAGTGGTGCCTTCTGTGAGGTTACCCCCCCTCCCGGTCCCCCGGGCAGGCCCTGCTTCTGGGGACAGTTCAGTGAAGACGTTCTTTTTTTTTTTCTCTGCCTGGGATGTGGCTCATTTCGAAGTTGTGGTTGGTCAAGCCGACTCTGCCTTGTGACTTCGTGTGCCGCAAAAGCGCGCAACTTCAAGACCTGGTGCGGTCAGCACAGCGGAAGGGCGTTGGAAGAAGTTTCGTGCCGGGGAGAAGTTATCTGCCCCTCGTTGCTTGTAGAAGTGGCACAGCCCGCTGGGAAGCGGCACCAGGCACGGCAGTTGAGTTGCTGAGCGGGGGGCTGGGGCTCTTGACAAGAACAGTATCTGCAGTGTGTGAGTGAGTGAGCACACTTCCCAAGCTTGGGAAGGCGACAGTGGGAATGTCCTACATACTACCTGGCAGGACAAAGGGCGCAACAGTCTTGGAAAACAATAGGTTTGCTGGTCTGCTCTACGACAATAACCAATACACACACTTCCGAAGGAGGCAAGCCAAGATGAGAAGGACTGGAAGTAGTTGTGTAGCCAAGCGAGCTTCTCAGCCTCCACCCTTACGCCAGTCAATGATGAGATGAATGGTTCTGCTATCATGATGGACTTGTTTGTCATTGTCATTCTTTCTCTCCTCGTGGCCATACTTTTCCGGGGAACTGGACACATATGAAACGAGGTGCGGACTGTCATGATCTGGGCATTGCCTTGGAAGGTAACCAAGATTTACATGTTGCAATGCCTTTTCCAGGTCCATGGTTAGCCCGCTGTTGTTCGTGAAGTCACGTGCTGGGATTGTCGACGGTGATATCCTGGCTGACAGCTTGCAGGAAGAACTAGGCCAATCAAGATGGCAAGTTTCATTCAGGAAAAGGCTGTACTCTACTGCACCGTGAAACAAGCACATGTGTAGATATTGAGGTCCACGTAAGCATTCCGGCCAGCGCTGTATCATGCGGTCAAGTCGATGCGATATACAAGAAAGACAAGGTCAAAATTAAAGGACGACGGCTCTCAGGCTCCGACTGGCACGTTGCTAAACATACGGGTAGGCGTAAAAGTCATGTGGACACGAAGGCAAGAAACATCGCACATATATGCCGGTCCAGTAAAGCTTATTGTTCATGCATGACGTGAGCTGTTGTTGCTGCAGAGCCTGGATTTGAGGCTTGTCGTTGGAAGACTTCCCGTAGGCTCACACCCACGCCCCGGTCCCGTAAAGTTGCTGGGTTGCTTGTATAATACTGTATGAACGATGGGGTATTTTCTCAAACATGACGGTGTGTATGTGGAAAGCAATGCTCTTTGTGTTGCATGGCGGATGGGTTGGGATATCCATCCCGCTGAGTAACTCACCAGCCAATGAAACTCCTTGTACCCGTGATACCAAATCAATAAACTCCGAAGTTGTGGACACGTCATAAGAGGTATATTCTATGTGTGCGGTAGATGCTCGAACGATATACCACACTAAGACCTTTTAATAGAGGTTGCCAAATTCAGTCTTTCGACATGATAGCAAGACTGGCCTCGACGGATACCTAGAAATTCCAAGTGAACATCCTTGGGATCAATTGCTCGTGGGTCAGGTTAGCAATCTACTCATTGGTTGTTGAGATATTCTCGGATTTAACTGCCTCCCATATGGAGACTGATGCGAGCGATGGCAGTCCCAGAAATGCCTGGGCTGGCCGCACTTCAATGCTTGCGAATGCACTGACATTAATTCAGCTGTCGATGGAGTCCAACTATGCAGCGCGTATTCCATCTTCAATGCATTCGCGCCCAGAATTTGCAACACAGAAACTAGCCCTGTTACTGCATTATGCTCAACATCAACACACTGTTTTAAGAGGCTGTCTATCGAGACGACTTTTGTTTTTTAATTAGTAGTTCAGAGAAAGCCCAAGAAAATTTCCTCGGGGGACTTAAAAATGGCAAGCCAAACATTTACTGGTTTGTATACTGAGTTTTGTGCTCGATCCAACCCGAAGTGCTCCTTACATTTTCCTCCTAGTTTCTTCCTTTTCCTGTGTGTGCTATCTGGGTCTTTGAGGCTCACCCCAAGACGCAATTGATTCTGGAATTCAATTCTGTAACTAGGAAACAAAAGCCATTCATTATATCAGCGTTGACTGTTACTCCTTCTCACCTTCGGTATTTTATAGAGAACGGGAAATAAAGAATAATGCGTAGCTGTGCCCCTCCTGGCCCGCAGTCCCTGTAGAGAAGGATTTCCCAAAGTTGTCGAAACCCAGGCTTTTAAGAACAACGAGGCCCACAGACATTGTTAGTCGCAGCAGGGTTCAAAAACAAAAGACGTTGTGAAGAGTCCGCTTCCGAGCCCATGCAGAGGCCGGGTTTCCCGAAGAGGAAGGTGTTCGAGGTCAAGTGAGTGCGGAAGGCGAGAGCCGGGGCGCGGTGGGGTCGGGGCCTGCCGTATCCGATCCCCCGGCCACCAACCCGGGCTTTGCGGAATCGGAGCATGTTATCGTGACCAGAGCTCCTCTCCTCTCGACCCGAGCCCGCAGGCGCTTTGTAATTGAATCACGGCCAGTTGACCATCGTCGACCTTGTCGTCTCACCCTCAACGAAGACACGTCACGTTCTTGAGCTGTCCAACCGCATTCGCCAACTGTACAAAGCCACTCGTCCACGTCGTGCCGAGTCCCCAAGGGACAAACACGCGAACATCACATCGCAACGACCTGTACCATGAGGTTCTCACTCGACCTCGCCGCCGTGACGGCCACGGTGCTGCTGGGCTTGACCACCGCCGCCGAAGCTGAAGCCGAAGGGTTCTTAGCCCGAGCCTCCCGCTCGGCGCCGCGCCCGCAGATCCACACGCTGCCGCCGCTCCGCGAGCAGGCTGTGCTAGTCGACGGCTGGACGGCCGAGCGCGCCTCGCGGATCCCCGCCATGCTCGAGCGGCGCGGCATCGATGCTTGGGTGGTATGTTCTGGCCCTTGGACCTCTCGCGCGCAAGTTTGGCCCCCTTTGTTTCATGATGCTTGGTTGCAGTTTTGCTGGCAACCAGTAGCGAACATGAGGTTCATACGTCCACGAATACAAACAAGCTGACTACCAACCCCCCAATATAGCTCAGCCAGCGCGAGTACGCCGAGGAGACCGCCTTTTGGGCCTTGAAGCCCTTTGTCGCCTTTTCCGCGCGCCGGCGGACGACGTATCTGTTCCTGTCCTCCGCTCTGACCAAGAAGAACACCACCACCACCACCGGCAGTTCTTCAGGCGAGGAGGTCCAGCTCGCGTACCGCTGGATCGATAACACGCCCGACCTGTGGCTGCACCTGCGCGAGGTCCTGGACAAGCACGAACCCGCGACACTCGCCGTCAACGCGCACGGCGAGATCTCGTTCGCCTCGGGCATGCACGCGGGCGAGCTCGAGACGCTGAAGCGCGGCCTGGGCGACAAGTGGACTGCCCGTCTCATTCCCGACGAGCCACTGCTCGCGGTCGAGCTCGTGGCGACCATGGTCGAGGACCGCCTGGGCTGGTACAAGAAGATGATGGAGACTGCGTGGGCGATCATCGAGGAGGCGTTCAGCAGCAAGGTTATCGTCCCTGGAGTTACGACGACCGAGGTAAGTCTTTTTGGTGATGGCGTGGATTGGTCTACCGTAGATTAGAGGGGTCTGGGCTCGAGCAGAGCATAGAACAGGACCTTTGGCTGCTTGAGTGTGGCAGCAAGACAGTCGTCTTCTGTTCATCCGGGCTAACGGAATGCAGGACGTCGTGTGGTGGATGCGCGAGAGGATCCAGTCCCTCAACTACACGACCTGGTTCCAACCAGCCGTCAACATTGTGACCCTCTTCGATTTCAACCCGAACGCCACCCACGAGACGGGCTCCGAGCTGTTCCGCAGCACCAGCAGCGACACTGCTGCGACCCAGCGGCCGATTCAGTACGGCGACGTGCTGCACACCGACTTTGGCGTCACCGCCCTGGGCCTCAACACCGACACGCAGCATCTCGCGTACGTGGTGCCTCCGGGGCAGTCAAAGGCCGACTCGGACAAGATCCTCAAGAGCCTCCACGAAGGACTGCACAAGGCCAACAGGATGCAGGACATCACCCGGGCGAACATGAAGATTGGCCTGACGGGCAATGAGATTCTCAAGGCTTCGAGGAAGGAGATGGCTAGCGAGGGCATTGTGGGCAAGATCTACTGTCACCCGACCGGCGAGTTTGGCCATTCTGCGGGTTCGGTCATCGGTGAGTCAAGAATTGTGACCCGGCGCTTCGGGTTGGTTCCGCATATCGCGCAAACGAGTACTGACGATTGCTATCCGACCGCTAGGAATGACGAACCTGCAAGACGGGGTACCGGTCCTGGGCGACCTGCCTCTCCTCAAGGACACCTACTACAGCATCGAGCTCTATGCCGAACATTACGTCCCCGAGCTAGATCAGTCGCTCTATTTCTACCAGGAGGAGGACGTATTCTGGAATGCCACCGGCGAGTCCTGGGACTGGGTCTACGGACGGCAGGACAAGTTCATCTTGATCGAGTACCTTGAGGCGGACTCCCAGATTGGGGAGTTGTAGCGGGCTTCAGAGCATATAACAATGGCTCTGGGAGGTTTCGGTGAGGTAATTGTATGGCTTGTTACAAGCAGGGTATACCCTGTGTGCGCAGCCAAGGTCGCAAAGCCGCAGCTTGTTCTACTTGCACGTAATGCTGAATATCGATAAATGTGCACGGACAAACAAGGCATCGCGGTGCCGGCGATATTCAAATCACCTCACGCTGACAGCCACGAATACCCCCAAGTGTGCTGCCAGTTATAGGTTTGTGCGTTGTTCATGATTGCAAATCGTCGACTCGACGAAGAAATGGCTGGAAAGGAGGTTATTGCAAGCACTGTAGACGAGAAGCTCCCATACGGCATTGGCGGCGTGCATTCACTTCTAGCATAGGACTCCTTTCAGAAGATGGGATGCTGTCCAGCTTGGTGTCAGCATTGTCCAATCTATAACAGCAAAATCGTGACATGTTTAGCACGCAGCCGTCGCATGCAAGACACACGCATGTAGCACAGATGAAGTCATCGCTGAGACCGGGTGTCTAACAACATCTGTAACACGGAGCGGGCCGACTCTAGCCAGGGGGCCCTACCAGGCGTCATTGGTTGTCTTGATGCCCAAGGATCCCAGTCGTGACATCCTCTGCCGTGGCCGCCCTACCGGACAGAAACCTTGTGCTCCTGGTCTGCGGTCCCCACGAAGCGACATTCAGAGGCTCTTGCAGTCCAGGGGAAAACCGTCTTGCACACGGCAGCATGACACCAGTGCTGATCCGTGGATGACGTGCAGCCGTCGACCGTTGCGGGCGGCACGGCGAGTAAGTCACCCAGGGCCTTACCCCGGGGGCCCTGGGGGTTGGAGATGGCCAGGAATTGAGAACGTTGCCTGGCTGTTGCGACGGACCGATATAAACAAGCCTGCGATGGCTGGGGACTCAAGGAGGACGGACGGGGAGCATTGTTGCAGGCAAGGTGGATGGCTTCTTGAGTAGGTGCGGATGGGGAAACCCCCACACCAGAGGGGCCGCCCCTGTTGTGGTCGCGGCTTCCGCAGCCAAGCTCGTGCGTGCGGCCCCCATATGACGTCCTGCGCACAGCCAAGCTCGAGCTCTCGCGTCGATGTGCAGCATCCCAGCCAGCCCGTTGGGCATCTCGTCCCACGCCAGAATCTGGGAATACAAGTCCAGCACTCACTCTCGCTCCCGCAGCGCATCGGTCTCTCGCTTCTCCTCCGATTGGCACTCGCCTGCACAGCATAGCATCACTCCGGCCCCATCGCTCCTCTCGCCCACCGTCGACCATCAACGGCATCATCGCGGCTCAGCCCTGTCGCTTGCGCGCTGTACAGACAGCCCCGCCTCCCGCTCCCGTCCCGCTTCGCTCCAGCCGACTTGGCTGGCTGGTTTGCGCCATCGCCAGCACCAGCACCGGCACTGGCATCATCACGTCCAGCCCGGGCTGAGCAGCTCGAGTCCGCCCATCCAGCGCTGTCACTTGTTGACTGCCCGCGACCGGCCAGCTTCTTCCACTATTGCGCGTTGTCCGTGCCGAGCCACATTACTTAACAACATTCGGCACCTTGCTCATGATCATGAACGGCTCGTCGTCTACTGGCACAGACCACGCCGCAGATTCTGCAGCAACCTCGGGGCCGCCGCTTATGGCTGGTGCGAACGGCAATGGTAACGGCAACAACACGACCACTTCCGCCGCCGCCGCCGCCGCCGTGCTCGCCAACAAGAAACGCAAGACCAAGCCCATCATTACAACCGAGGGTCCCGCACCAGGGTAAGTGCGTCCGCGCGCGAAGCGCAACGGTTCCTTCTCTTGTATTCCTTTTCGCCCGCTTTGGATACCGCCTGTCTGTCTGTCTGTCTATCTGCCTGTCGCAGCCTCGCCATGAGTAATGAATGCGACGATCGAGTCAGAGCAGCTCGACGGCGATACAGTTGCCATTTCGCAAGCGCGAAGATGAGACGGCGACTAGCGACTATGGAGCTGGCTGTCAGCCGCCGTTGCCCTGGCTCTGCACATATCCCTGCTGCCCAATGACATGGGGCTGTCTGGCGCAGTCTGCGCGCCGGTGATGTCAGCAGCGAATTGTGGCGACGATGCTAGGAGACGGCTTGAGCCGTAGCACATCGACTCGTGGAAGTCCAGAATCGTCTGTGTGGAATTCCATGAACTTGTGAAGCAGCTGGATCGTGTCCGTCTCGGTGCAACAGGTTCGGAAGCAGGCTTTCGATATACCTTTTGTGCCGATGGCTGGGGCACCTACGACGAGTTCCTGTGGTCCACCACGGGCGCCACCCTTTCTGCCCCAAGCCTGGAGGTTGGGCACCCCCCCTTCCGCCGAGAGAGCAGAGCAGAGCAGAGCGTCAAAGTTCCTCTCGCTCGAGGAGCTGGAGCAACAATTCACCTTTTGTGCATCTTGTGGGCGTCCCGATTTGCACCTCCTGCGCCTATTACAGGCAGACCGACCTCCAGACAGACTACCTCTCGACACCGTACCTTCAGACGGCGCCGGCTCTATCTGTTTGTCTCCCTCTGCAACCAGCTCGTTCTTCCTGGCTCTCCTTCTCTGCTATCTCGTCCTTGTTGTCCAGTCTTTCTGTTTCCCCGCCAGCCAGCATCACGGAAGACCACTCCTCCCTGCTCGTCGCCTGCTTCACGCCCTCCAAGCCTGTGTCACTTACTGCCGCATCTTCTGTCCCGATCAACGAGCCGCCCATCGCTGTCCTGACCAGCCATGGCCTCCATGAAGAAAAGGTGCCGTTCTTCACTCACACTTGACCCCGCAATCCATCTGTTTCCTTCTGCCCGAGTCGGTGTGAGGCCGTCGTAGTCGTGTGCAAGTGCATTCCGTCTCGTCCTCCATGCGACCTACACCTCTCTTTCCTCTCACACTGGCTTGACTCTGCTCGACCCCACATCCCACTCTTGTGCCCTGCATTGTCAAGTCAAGCTGGTTGCTGTGGCCGCGCTGGCCAGTCCCAAGCCCGCTTCCGGCCACGCTACTCTCCCTGCCCAGTGTCCCAGCACCGAACGGCATCTCAATCCCACCCCGCTTGGGCTGCCACCACGGACGGATACACCAGTCTGGTTCTCGCCCTCAGCTGCGTTACTGCCAGCGTTGGATCTAGAGCCCAGCTCGAGCTGCCGCAGTCCACAGTTGCATTGGTCCTCGCCACCATCACTGCCATTGCTACTGCTTTGGCTACTGGTCTTGCTTTGCAGCAGCCAGAGGCGCGCTCCCAACTCGCTGCTGCCCCTCCCGACCCCCTCATCACATTTGCCCCCACCCGTCTCTTTTGCCTCGCGCGCGCAGCCCCCTCGTCGCCCCTGGTAGCAATCCCCAGTATTCGACACGCCGCCAGACCTGTAGCGTCACCCGCTGCGTTTTGGGTGCCCATCTGCATCTGTCGCGCCTGTTCCTGTTCATTGCTTACTCTTCCCAATCACACGCAGACCACCGCACCTAGCCACAAACATGGGCCAGCACTCACCCACATCGTCATCCGGTCCCGAGGACGCCGCCGAAAACACAGCCGACGAGGAGGACTCTGAAGACTACTGCAAGGGTGGCTACCACCCCGTCCAGATCGGCGAGAAGTTCAAGGATGGCAAATATGTCGTCGTCCGCAAGCTGGGCTGGGGCCATTTCTCCACCGTCTGGCTTTCGCGCGACACCACCAATGGCAAGCATGTTGCCCTCAAAGTCGTCCGGTCCGCGAGCCACTACACCGAGACAGCGATCGACGAGATCAAGCTTCTTCAGAAGATTGTCCAAGCCAATCCGAACCACCCCGGTCGCAAATACGTCGTCAGTCTCCTGGACTCGTTTGAGCACAAAGGACCAAATGGAGTGCACGTCTGCATGGTGTTCGAGGTCCTCGGTGAGAACCTGCTAGGCCTTATCAAGAAATGGCAGCACCGGGGCATTCCTCGAGAGCTCGTTATGCAGATCACGAAGCAGGTCCTCATGGGCCTCGACTACCTCCACCGAGAATGCGGCATTATCCACACCGATCTCAAGCCCGAGAATGTGCTCATCGAGATTGGTGATGTCGAGGAAGTGGTTCAAAAGGTGGTCAAAACCGAGAATGTCGACAAAGAGAACAACCGAAATGGTCGGAGGAGGAGACGGACTTTGATTACCGGCAGTCAGCCACTGCCATCCCCGCTCAACGCAACTTTCAACAGGGACAACCTGTTCGCATCTGCAACCTCTCACAGCAGCTTGAATGCCATGATGAGCGACAGTAAGTCGCAGCGTATGCCGATAAGGCGACCTCCCTTCTTGGAGATCGGAGCTGATTTTATATGGCATAGCAGATTCAGCAGGGCAGACACCAGACGAGGCGCAAGGCCAGAGAGAGAAAACAGCGTACGTTATCAACCCTGCCCAGGATCTTCGTGGACCCTTTTGCTGACTCGAGCAGTGACATCCTCACGAGGGAGGTTTCAGGAATCTCGCTGGACAAGTCTGGGGGCTCCTCAGATGACAAGAAGAAGCGGAAGCGCAGAGGACCCATTATCAACGTCAAGATAGCGGACCTGGGCAATGCCTGCTGGGTGTCGCATCACTTCACCAACGACATTCAGACACGACAGTACAGATCTCCGGAGGTCATTCTTGGCTCGAAATGGGGTGCCAGTACGGATGTGTGGAGTATGGCTGCCATGGTAAGTTTTTCCGAAGTCTTGCTGGGCATGACGAGAATACGCCATGATTAACTTTGTTGCGAATAATAGGTGTTTGAATTGATCACGGGCGATTACCTCTTCGATCCACAATCCGGTACCAAGTACGGAAAGGATGATGACCACATTGCACAGATTATCGAGCTGTTGGGGCCTTTCCCGAAAGAGCTGTGGAAGACTGGTCGGTGGTCGCAGGAGATTTTCAACAAAAGAGGAGAGCTGCGAAACATCCACCGGCTTCGACACTGGCAACTTCCAGATGTGCTTAGGGAAAAGTACCACTTCAAGGACGCCAAGGAGCTCACACCGAAGGAGAAGGAGGAGAAAGAAAAGGCTTCCAGAGAGCGTGCCGAGGCGAAGGCGAAAGCCAAGATGGAGGCAAGAAAGGCCGGCAAGGACGAGGATGAAGTGGAGGAGCGGTTTGCAGAGCCAGAACCGCCCCTGGAATACCGGCCGACCGAAGTCGCGAGCTTCCTGCTCCCCATGCTTGAGCTCATTCCCGAGAAGAGAGCAAACGCAGGCGGCATGGCTAATCACCCCTGGCTTGCAGACACGCCAGGCATGGAAGATGTCAGGCTTCCGGGATTAGTGCACGGCAGTCAGGGCGAGGGCATCGAGGGCTGGGCTACAGAGACTAAGAGACGGTAGACTAGACCACGAACGAGTCTGGCGTTCGGAGCACACACACACATCGTCAAAAACTTGTTTTAAACAGCGAAGCAATTAGACGTCTTTTTCTCCGAAACTGCTCCTCGAGACGCCCCTGGAGTGCGTCAAGCTCATAGTGGGCTGGAATACTGATGTGAAAGTATGTAATCTCATGTAAATGTCACGCGCCGTGAAACAAATGCCCGATGTGGAAGCAACCACGACCCAACGAGCCGCTTGTGGGTACTTTGGTTGTGTGGTGAACATGGCTCGCATCCTCGGCGTTGAAAAGTGCTGCTGTCCTCCAGTCCCCGAGGAGACCACATTTTCACGTCGCAGATGTGCCTGCACAGCCCGTGATCTCACACAGTCACACAAGACAGAGTTCAAGCAAGCGAGACAGGAAAGTATCCGTCAAGAACAGATTTCATTCTCGAGACCGCGCGCGCGCCCGGTATGATCTAAGAGCAAAAGAAAAACGCCGATCCAACGCCAAATGGTTCTGCTGGTTGTGATGTGATCGCGAGAAAACGAAAAATGTTACGCGGTGATGGTGGTGTCACGCACACGTACACGCTTCGTGCAGGAGCGATACCCCCGTTTCCTGCCGGTGTGCTGCAGGGGAGCAGCGAATTTTCCTTGCTCAGGATCAGAAACAAAGCAGAGTTGTTATTAACGACGGGCGATCAGTAACCTCCCGGAAGCTCTGCAGTCGCTCAAAGCGGTCGGACACGTCCATTCTACGCCTTCTTCTTGCGCGAGGTCGTCATCTTCCTAAACGCCTCCATGCCGCTGGCGCCGATGGGTCGGTGATCCGGGCCCCTGCTGGCATCGAACGTGCTGCGAGGAGCGATGGTGTAGGACGAAGGGAGACCGACGACGCGGGCGCGGTTGCTGGTGTTGGTTGGTGCCAGGATGCGCTCGCGCTCCGCGTCACGGGCGTTCTGGGCTGCTGGTCTCTGCGTCAGGGTGAACTGGCTGCTCTGCGTGGCCTGCTTGAGCTTGGCGGCTCTGTGACGTGTGGTTGTGGTTAGCATGTAATGTCTGGGGGAAACTTGAGGACGAGCCTATTCTCAAGGGCGAGGAAGTACATACTGGTAATCGTAATCACGCGACTCGACGTGGCGCTTTCGGTAGTCGTGAGTGCGCTTCAGGATCGGACGGCTCCATTCTCCGATCAGCTTCTCTGCCATGCGCTTGATGCCAAGCTCAGGGCGCTTGCTCTTCGTGTAAAACAGGACCACCTTGCCGATACCGCTCGACAGCAGGCACTCCTTGTCGATGGGGAGGCGCATCAGGGCAGTAAAGATGTCACGCTGGATGTTGTACGCAGGCAGGGAGCCGTCGTTGAGCGGCTCTAAGAAGAACTTGACGTGCTGCAGGAAGTTCGTGTCGGGATCGACAACGGCGGCTTGGTTGTTGTTGCGGTTCAGCAGAGCCATGACTTCGGGGAGAAGCTTCAGCTTGTGAATAGCAGGCTGACCCTCGCCACGGGCAACGTTGTCGGCCTCGCAGGCTCTCTCCATGCGGATCTTGAGCGAAGCGATGATGTCGTCCAGCTCGTCCTCGAGATCTTCCTCGTCCTTGCGCTTCCGCCTTTGCGAGGGCTTCTTGACCTCCTTGCGGGCGGCGCGCTCGATGGCTCGCCTGCGGCGCTCCTCGGGCGTCAGGTCCTCCTCATTCTCCGGCTCGGGTTGCTCTGGCTCCGCGACAGCTGTGGCTTTCCGTACACGCTTGCCACTGTAGAGCTCGGCGTCGCCTGCATCGAGGGCGTCATCTGTGCGATCCCGCCTCTTCTTCTCCCGCTTTCCTTCCTTGGGCTTCTTGGTGGCCGTGCCTTTCCGCTTGGACGCCTTGAGCGTCCGCGCCACATCCTCGTCGATCTCTACCGGGCGCTCATCGATGTTGGCTGCTGAAGCATCGTACTCGTCAAACTGGTCCTCGTCGACCTCGTCGACATCGGAGAGGACATCGGAATCTCTATCTGAGTCACCAGCGCGCGCGGTGTCGTAGTCGCCCAGGTCCTTGGTGCTCTCCTCGGGGACCTCGTCAACCCCGTCGTGAAGGGTCTCGGTCGCCGGCTCGGGCGCAGGTGAGTCTCTGTCCGACATGCTTGGTATGATTGGCGCAACTGAAGTTCGATCGCTGGAAGGGCGACTGCCGTCTCGGTTCGTAGGCGACAACGCCTGGGCAAGGCCTTGGGCTCGACAGACGTATGGTGTTCAAATGGTCGTTGCCACACGAGCAGAAGTTATCCGGATGCGTGAAAGGACGGTGAATGTCGCCGCACGGATAAACTGAGGCAAAGATTGATGTGCACAAGCTGTGTCTTCAGGTCTTGGTGCAAAGTGTAGTCCCTGCCTGTGGTGCGACCAAGAGACGATTGTCAAATGCTGCGTATGAGGAAAGCAGCTTGATGCACTGTACGTGAGAGGCACCGTGCGGGAGGGTGCATAGGTGCAGAGCCCGCACGTGGTACAGGCACTGTCCTGAGTACCTGCGGGTTCCTGTGGCGGACAAGTTGTGGCTTTGCTGTGCTCCCAGCCCAGGCGCAAGCCCGGGCTCAACCGTCCGGGGTGGGGCACCACCACACTAGACTGAGCACTGCACATGCTTGCAGGTCTGCGAGCTCAGCAGCCGGGGCTTTGTTTACTTTGGAGCTTGGGCGGCGAATTTGCAGGGCCCGTTGCCATGTGCGCAAGAGGCCAGCCAGCCAGTCAACGGGGTCGCATCAGTGTGAACGCATACCTACTTCAAGCAACCTCCAAAGTGCCACCCAATCTTGGCCTCGTCACTCTTTGCTACCGTCCTGGTGTATTCTTCTGTGCTTCTCTCAAAATTCCCATCCGTCGCTTTGCTGCATTCTGCGTGCACGCTGCAGTCCGGCTTGTTTGATAAACTCGCCCTTCTCCATCACGACTCGGCTGGCTGACCTCGACGACCCGAGCCTGCAAGACACCATAAACGTCATGGACCACCGCCGCACCTTCGAGTCCCCGATGGACTGGGAGTATCAGGACCAGGGCCCGATGGATCCGTCAAGTCCCTTCGCCCGCTCCGCCAGACAGTCACAGCAGAAGCAGAAGAGTAGGTGTTCATTGCCGGCGTGGCCATGTGCAAGAACAGCGCACCAACTGATATGCTCGCGCGACAGACTCCTTCGCCTCGTCCAACTTCAACACCTTTGGCCACAGGTCGCAGGGCCAGGCACCATCCATCTTTCAGCGCACACAAAGCACACCTTCAAAGCCTCTTCCGCCCACACCAGGGCCACCCGCCGCAACGAACTCGGTTCCATCAATTTTCTCGGCCAGCAGCTTCTCTCGAACAGCGACCGCCCCTCCTTTCCGCAATCCTGCCTTCACCACGCCGCGCAAGGCCTTTGATGCAGATGTATTGTCTGAGGTCTCTGGTGCCGAGGACAGTCCCGCCGCTACTGACGCCTCCGACTTCCCTGAAACCCCCGACCGCGACAACCTCGACGACTTCGGACGCATGACCGTCACGCCTGCTTCCATGGCCCATCACAGATCGCCCTACAAGAAGACCTCTGGCAAAGGCGAGATCGCCCAGACCATATTTGCCTCCAGAGACAAAGTGCGCAAGCGGAGGCGGAACAATGGCGACAAGGACATCAGCGGCTACCGCCTCCCGTACCGGTATGGTGAAGAGTACGAAGGAACCGACTATGATTCTGACGATAGTACGGCACAAGCTGGGCGGCCTTCATCCTCATCATCGGCGGCGGCGAAGCGAGGCAAAGGGTTCTTTGGGCACTTCTTCTCCACCATCCAGAAGCACCCTCATGTGCCCCAGATTCTCGGCTTCTGGCTGACCTTTGTGTTCCACCTTGTCGTCCTGGGCATCACCTTCTCCATCATGTGGATGGTCTGGTCCGGTCTCCGTGAAGACTTCTTTGCCGCACGGAGAGCCGCCCGTGACGCGATTGTGAATGAGATGGACAAGTGCCGGGCAGACTACATGGAGAACAGATGTGCACCGAAAGAGCAACGCCTGCCAGCCATGTACCAGCTCTGCGAGCAGTGGTTTGAATGTTTCAACCAAGATCCTAACAGGATCAAGAACGTGCAGATCGGTGCCAAGGGCATAGTTGAGATCCTCAATGAGATTGTGGAGGCGATGCACTGGAAGACCATGGTAAGTCCCGCAGCTGGCCATGCGTCCGTGAGACACGCGTTAACATTCTTGCTTCCCAGATCGCATTCATTGCCCTTGCAGGCATGTTCTTCTTCAGTGGCAGATCTCTCATCAACAACACCACCGGCTACGCCAACTTTGCCGCCCCTGCACCGCCCCCTCGGCCATTCACATCACATGCCGCTTCTATGGGCCATCCGATGATTATGTCGCCGCAGGGGATTGCTTGGGAGCAGATTCCGCAGACGCCTCGTCATCTGCACTCACGACATCTGCTAAACAATGACGAGACACCGGAAACGGATGCTTCACCGTCACCATACAAGGCCTTGCCGGCACCGCAAACTCCGAGCACCCGGCGCAGCCCAATCAAGGGGGATCGGGCACGAAGCCCGACGAAATCAAGAAGTCCAACTAAGAGGTACCGGGACTGACATGAAGTCGGTCTTGGGCGTCTGTAACATTCATGGTTTATCTTCCCTTTGTCATCTTTTGTTTCTAACGTCCGGTCAATTTTGGCGGCGTTTACGGGTACACCTGTAGTGCACCAAAGGAGTAGCAATCCCAAGGGGTTGAGATAGACGAATGAACGAGCATGCCACCAAACATCATATGGGGCAGGGAGGGCCTGGCTATTTTGTGCATCATGTTGCACCGATCTCTCGTTCGTGAAGTCGACCTTGAGGTGATTGGTGACTGCTGCCAGGCTCCAAGAAAGGCAAACAGCTCCAGAAAGGATGACGCAAGCATCAGTCAGCACGGCTGGCTTGCTTGTGTGCGTGCTGGTGTCTAGGACAAGGTACCGAGGCATAATGAAGCAGTCGGGCAAGGATGCAGGCGCAGGACAGGGCTCGTTTGAAGACTGCGCAATGACGAGTGAAGCTTTGCGATGGAAGCTCGCATCTGGGTGCCGAAGCGAGGCAGCTTGGGGCACCAGCTGGGCGGGTGAGGCACAACGGCCACAGGGGAAAAGGAGGATTAAGGTTAGCGGCTTCCTTGCGAGGAGCGGGTCTGCTGGTTGTGGGCGGCGGGATCGCCGATTCGGGACTTGGACGGCCTCGAGCTCCAGTCTTTTCTTGGTTTTCATGTGGGTGATGTCAAAGGCAGCTTTGCGCTATGGGAGAGACCACAGACTCTCTGCTGCTCTAGTGCGCGATGGTGGGGGCCCTGCGCAGCTTTGCTGCTCCTGAAGGGCGAGGGCGGGCGAATGTTGACGTGAGAATCTCACCGATGGCAGCAGCCGCGCCTGGCGCATGGCGCATAGCGGCCTAGAGATTATAGCAGATATTGCGTCCGGCTTTTTGCCCGCCTTGCTGGGCCAAAGATCAGGGCAGGCCTTGGAGATAGTGTCGCAGCTCCCCCACGGCCCCTGTCCCATCCCCACTTTGCAGAAAAGCACCACTGGAGATCCTCGGAGCCGCTGCCGACAGCCTTCAGCGCCTCTTAGCTCGCTGCTCACGCGTCATAACCCAACGCCCGCCAACCAGCCACGGCCACCACCAACACAACCACATCGTGTTGTCTTCGCTTTTTTTTGGTCCTCTCCCGCGCCTCCGTCCGCACCGACCTCGCTCAGCCCTGCACAGCGCAATTGGCTCAGCTACGTCCCGACTGCATAGAGCAAAGGCGTTGGTCCTGTCCATCCGTGCGCCTCACGAAGCACCCGGCCTCAGAGTCTCTCTTCCCAGTCACTGGACTGCTGGCACCGTCTTGGAGCCGACACATGCTCTCCGACAGACGCGTCAGCGCATAGACGTCCAATAGTCGCGAGAAGGGCCCAGATCCCCCCTCTCGCACCCGCCTGAGAATCGAGCGCCAGGGCCTTTCTGGATGGGGATGCGACTTTCCACACCGACGCCCTCCAGCCCCCCGACAAACTCGGCCGCGTGCTGCGAACCGTTCTCCAAGCACCGCATACCGCCGCCTCGGCCGGAATTAAGTCGCCAGGCTCACTTGAGCTGCTCGAACACCGGCTACAGCCCTTGAGCCAAGTCCACCCGCTCGGGGGACAAGGGGGCCTTCCTTTCGCTGCTTCGTCCCATTATGTCGATCGGCCGCCCGGCAACACGATAATATGGAGGAGGACAACCATGCTGCAAGGTCAGGCAGCGCGCCACGACGCTCCGTTTCCGAAACTCCTGCGGCGGGCAAAAAGCACGAGGCTCCAGAGAGCTCGCCGCCCGATTCGACACACGCGGACGGCGAGTCTGGCAGCGCGGCTGCGAAATCGTCAGCGGCTCATGAGAGCCAGTCTAAGAGGCGGAGAGGCCTGGGTGTCGTGACACCCAATGCGTGCACAGAATGCCGCAAGAAGCGTGCCAAGGTAAGCGTCCTCCGCTGTCCAAGGAAGGAAGAGGGCAGGAGCGCGACTGGAATGTGTTTGCCACAGAGTCTGTTGCTCGGCTTGAGCTTCGAATGCTGTGCGGATGTCCTGGTGCAGGACCATCGAGTGCCGTGGCTCGGCTTTGCCTCGGCTTTGAGGGGCACCCAGCGCAACGCCTGCCCAACAGCATGGTCCTACTTGATGGCTAACCACCTGTTCTGCCCAGTGTGACGGGAACAAACCCTGCGGTCGATGCAAGTCCCAAAAAGATGTAGAGTGTGTCTACGAAGTGCCCGTTCGGCAGTCCAAAGAGAACCTACGCACCGAGATCGATAGCCTGCGGCGAGAGAAGCGCCAAAGCGATAGCATTTTATCGGCCCTCCATCGATCTGACCTTGCTCAAGAAGTGATCCAGAGGCTTCGCACTGGACACAAGGTCGAAGATATCGCGGACTGGCTGAGCGGCTACTCTTCCGCGGAAGTGCCTGGCCCAGTCCCCCCGATCAGCCAGTTGAGCAATTTCGGTCGCACGAACGAGCCAATGACGGGCATAACATTACCTCCTCTGGGAGGCTACCTGGGCATGATATCGAGCCCAAGCAGTTTCGCGGCTCCCATGGCACCTAGTCCTGTTCCGAGTCAACAACACCCCAACCCCTTTCGGAACAGTCAAGACTTCGGTTCGAATAGTCCTTGGGACTTCTCGTCGCATAGTCAGGGTTCAGGGCGTAGCGACTCGTATGCAGAGCACATGCAGTGGTCAGCCGAGCCGAGGATGCCCAGGGTTGGTTCTTGGGTGCAGGCGCAATCGCCGACTGATAATAGCCAGCGGTATCCAGGCGTCGAACAGGTTCTGGCGACACCCGGAGCCCAATACTCGAAAGCGACACCTGTCAGATGGACACTAGTCACTCGCGATGCCGCCCTTGTTCAGCACCTACTTGCGCTGTACTTTTGCTGGGAATACCCGACTTTTGCATCACTCAGCAAGGAGCATTTCCTCACCGATTTCTGGGCCAGCCGACCGCGTTTCTGCTCGCAGATATTAGTGAACGCCCTGCTGGCACTTGGCTGCCGGTTTTCATCGCACCCGCATACTCGAGCCGATCCAAACGACCCTTATACGTCGGGCGACCACTTCTTCAAGGAAGCCCTACGATTGTTCCACCAAGAAAAGAACCACCATAGCCTGACCACAATCCAGGCACTTGGCATCATGTCTATCCGGGAAGCTAGTTGTGGCCGAGACTCCGAGTCGTGGTATTATGCCGGCCAGAGTATGAGATTGGCGTTCGAAATGGGGCTGCACTATGTGGATCAAAATGGGAACGAGGACGAGGTTGCCGTGCAGTCTGCCACATTTTGGGGAGCCTTTGCACTTGACCAGTAAGTTTCGGTCTGTTTGATGCGGCGGAATCCTGATGCACTACCCTGATCTAACATGTCTTCCAGTGCCTGGTCCCTGGCAACAGGCTCGCTCCCGCAGAGCTCGTGTTACCCGCATTTGCCACCAAAACCAGCGATTGTCGATGACGTGGAAGCGTCACAGTGGAAACCCTACACGGATGACGGTAAGTCTTTCATGATCATACTTGACTTCCTGCCATGGGGCTCTCTGCTGACCCTGTGGGCTCTTAGGGTCTGATAATCTTGGCGCGCCACTTCAACGCTCGTGCGAACAGCCATCAAATGTGCGCTCCGTGTATAAGTGCTTCTGTGAGCTGAGCGAGCTTGTACACCAATCGCTCTATGTCCTGCACTCGCCAGGCAAGCCGGTGACGAGTCGGGACCTGCTGAGCATATATACCCAATATTTGAACTGGTATGAGAGCATTCCAGAAGTTCTCAGGTTGGGCCACAATTTCACCCCGGCTGTGCTCTTCGCCCAGTAAGTAGTCCTAGTGGCATGGTGCGGTATCTGATGCATGAGCTAACTTGGGGGTGCACACAGCATGTACTACCACTTTGCGATCCTTTTACTGTTCCGGCCACTGATCAAGCTGCGGATCATTGGCTCGAGCATCCTGCCTCGAGACGTCTGTTCCCAAGCAGCAGACGCCATCCAGGGTCTCCTCCGATCCTACGCGCAGCTGTATACACTGAGACGCACACCGTCGTTTGTGCCGTATTTCTTGCTGACCTCATCGATCATGCACCTTGCCCTCGGCGCAAAGTCACCCGATGAGCAGCAGGACGGCGACGCCTCGGCGTCGCGGACGCCTGGCACGAAGAGCGAGGAGCGGTCGAGTCGTGGGCAGTCTGTCCGGTCCGACTCGGAGACTGACAGGTCTGACGGCAAGCCGATGCGCGGCGGACTCGGCCGGGGAGGCCTGATAGACCGACGGGCTGCGCAGGCGCTAGAGCAGGGAATCTCTGACCTCGAGGAGATGGCCCCGTGCCACCACTTTGCGGAGCAGGCGCTGCATATGCTACGATATCTCGCAAAGAAGTGGAAGGTCGAGATAGACATCCCGGAGAAGCCGGACGCCGCGCCGGGTGCCTCGGACAAGCTGATGCGGCCCAACACGAGCGGGCTCAACTTCTTCTCGCTCAACATGGGCGAGAGCGACTTTGTGTGCGAGTGGCCGGCGGTGCCGGGGGCCGGTGTCATCCCGAGCGTGGAGGCTCAGATGGACGAGCTGCAAAAGTTCAACAAAGGGGGCATGGGCCCGCCGCTGCAGCCCTCGCCGGGCGGAGGAGGTCCCGGGCTACCGTTGAGAGGCGCCTCGTCCGCCGGGCCGATGGCACACACCGCGGCAAGCATAGAGAATCCGCTGTTCTGGCCGTTCCCGATGCAAGGGCGGCCGATGTTGCCAGAGGGCAAGCACCTGGAGGAGGCTGGGTTTGCGCAGTTATAAGGATAGAGGAAGAGTAATACAAGACAAGACGGCCGCCGAGCCGGTTGATGAATAAATGGGACTTAGGGACCACTCCCCCCCCCCCACCCCCCTTTGGGTTCGTGAGACACTTGTAGCTCTGCCTGGAACCATCAGGAAAAGAAGCACTGCAAGTTGACCAATCGGATGTGGTGATGTGACGTGACGTCTTGGCGTGACCGAGCTGGATATGGGTGTGGGCTGTTGCTTCGTAGGGCTGAGTGCGAGTGCCGTAGATCAGGGGGGCCCCATGACGTGTTGATTGTGACCATTGTGACCGGGGCCATTTTTCATCTACATTGGGTCACATGATTGCAGGCAAGAGGAAGTGGAACCCCGATGAAGCAAGTTTTATCCCGACCAGTGAATCTGGGCCGGCCAAGAGCCAAGTGTTTATAAGGGCCTCGTTGTTTCCCGCCTCGGAGTTCGTCTACTAGGCTAGCACCCGCGCAGCGTACTTGTATTAGCAGCAGGTCCGAGATGGAACGGCCATAAATCATACTTATACAACATTTTTGTCTAGTAGATGGGTGATGAGGGCGAGTTTGTTATCATATGATACGTTTGAGCTTGGACAATCAGTGTGTCGTTGCTGGAGTGAGCATTTCTTGTAAGATGTTGTCTGCTTTAGGGGATGTCTTGTTGAGATGTAGAACAGGGTTGGCTTACTATTTTGTCTTTGCAGTAGCTGGGTATTCATTTCCTAAGTTCGGCTGCTACGACTTCCCTAGTCTTGTCCAAAGCCTTCTGCAGCCATGTGTTCAGAATCAAGCCGGCCAAAGGGGCGTGTTGCTCTCAGCAACAAATGCCGTCCACTTTCTTGCCACCCTGTTGGCGTTGCAGTGAACGGCCACATCCCGAGTCGACACAACCGTATAGTCCGGCCCCCTCAAATTGGCGAGCCATCAACGAATGGCCCAGACAAAGTCCTGGGCGGTGCCGTTGCCGCTGATGCAGCGGTGCTTGGTTCTCCGCCGGATGGTGCAATGTTATGAAAACTGGGCTCTAATTTATTACGTGTGTTGTTCTCATCCATGATGAAATAACCAAAGCTCGTGTTGCCGAGTCCATTGCGCGGTCCGGGAGCTGGTGGTAACCCTGCGAGGTTCCTCCATCAAACGAAAGCTCGTGGACAAGGATTGATGAAATTCTGTGTTTCGCAAGGTGCCGACTACTCATCAACAGATACTTCTCCGCCAAGCACGTTTCTCACGACTGCTATCCAAGCAAGGTCGCCGGTGGCATCAAACTTAGCTTTCGTCACAAGCAACAGGGTAATTACAAATACTGTAACCGACGCTCACAGCACAATTCCATACAGTCTATTCATGATGAAGACGAAGCTTCTAACATCCCACTAGCTCAAACTCCCACAAGATCGAACCAGATTGCCCTGTCTCCATCAACTTTGCCTCCGACCCTCTTCCCCGCAAGCTCCGGCTTGTCAGTGTAGAGCGCCACGACGACATCGCCAGCAGCGACTGCTGCTTCATGACCAGCCGCATCGACAAGCTCCAGGACACCATCTCGATGAAAGTGCGTGCCCTCGGGCGCAGAAAGCGCCCACTTGTTGTTGTTGTTCTTCTTCTTCTCCTCCTCCTCAGCGCCATCCTCGCCATCGCCACGGGCAAAGACTTCATCGTACAGCCGGCCCAGATCCCCCGCGGAGACTCCAGGAGCGGGCGTGACCTGCACGCTTGCCACGCCGACGGCTCCCGTGTTGGCATGCTCTGTGCCTGCGTGCGCGTACGGCACCCGCAGCTCCCGCGGGGTCTCGTCGACACACCAGAACGGCGCTTGCCCGGGGTGGACTTGCTCTCCTTCTGCTTCTGCGGCTGCGGCACCACCGCGACGATCAACAGGAGTAGCTTCTTTCTCGGATGGCGATGGCGAAGACGACGACGACGACGACGGGTCGAGCCGAACGGCAGGAACGGTAGCCCACTCGAGCTTGACCCCGTCGGGCCGCGTTCTCCCGCCGGGTATCAAATCACCATAGACCACCACTTGGCCGCCGCCGCCGCCACCACCGCCCGGCTGTTGCCCCTCGTCGTCGGGCTGGTGATGGCGACGGTGTCCGAGCAGCACGCGCTGCGTGATGGGCCTGACCACCTCGTCATAGTCATTCTTTGCCGCTCCCGTCCCGCTTTCTCCTCCTCCTCCTCCGTCGTGGAAAACAGTGACGGCCCAGTCGACGACGCTCCCCTCGGCAAACCCGCCCCATTTGTGCCCCTGCCTTCCCTTCCCCCCACCACCAGCAGCAGCAGTAGCACCGGCCGCCTCGGGCGTGAACGCAATGAACTCGAGATACACCCCGCTCTTGAAGAGCACGAGCACGTTCTCGGTCAGGCCGTCCGCGTGCCGCCCGCCGGGCGAGAAGGTGAATAGCTCCCGGAACCACTCTGGTGCTGCTTCTTGTCCTGCTGCGGCTTGTGCTGCTGTCCCGTCTGCGCCGCCGCCGTTACCGGACGCAGATAAGCCCGGCAGACCGGAGAGGAAGTGGTACGGGACCAGCACGACGATGTGATCTAGCGTCACTCTGCGGCCTTCTCCGCTTCTCCCTCCCTTCTTCTTGCTGCCGCCGCCGCTGCCCGGTTGGAGAGACGAGGACATTGTGTCTCTGGGTTGCGGGTCCTGTGCAGATGGTCCGGAGGTTGTGGTTGACGATATTGCAGAGACGGGCACTGGCACTGACACTGGAGAGGCGTCAGGCCACTCTGGAGTCGTGAAGGACAAATAAGAGGAAGATTGCACCCCAACAGCTCTGCCAGGGGGGGGGGGGCTGCCAGAAAGGAAGACGTTACACGTCAACGTACAAGCCGCACGACTTTGGTCTGTCTCTGCGATACGGGCCAGTAGATAGGCGAGTCGATCAATGCGATTTCGTTTTGGTAGGTGTCTGCAAAATGGTTACGCAAAGTGCCCTGTAATGATAACCCCGAAGTGCGGAGAAGGGGAAGAGGAGATGGCGTGCTCGGAGCAGTGTTTCCCCTCATCGACTCCGCACTTTGCACCCTGCACATCCATCGCAGACCAGCTGCTCCGAGGCACGCACGACATTCGATTTCATGGCATTGCCCAATGAAATGGCCAGGGAGATAAAATTGGCATGGTATTTACAGGATCTGGTCTCACTAAAACACAGCAATCTGATTTGGCACATATGTGTGGAACATCCCCAAATATTTGTATATGTAATCGAGAGCCTATGTAGTGAAATGCAGGAAGAAAACCCTACGTACGTCTATCTTGCACGTGCCAGATTTTGAGTATCATGAGAAACATTGCAAAGTCTTGTTCTCGTCCCCTCCCTTCCTTCTCTCTTCTCGCTTCCTGTGTCCCGTGACACACGCGCGCCACGGGACCACCACCAAACGAGCCGATCGCTTATTTGGGGTTGGCGGCAATGATGTCGACGGTGGCCTTCTCGGCGACCTGCGACAGGGGCAGGGCGATAAAGGCGCCGGGGATCCGGGGGAAGACGGAGGCGTCGACGACGCGCAAGGCCTGAGTGCCGCGCACCTGGAGCTTGCTGTTGAGCACGGCCATGGGGTCGCCATCGGCGCCGATGGGGCACGAGCACGAGGCGTGGTGGCCCCAGGCCTCGTTCCGGAGGAAGTCCTTGATCTCGACGTCGCTGGTGGCGTTCTGGCGGCCGGGCCAGACCTCCTGGAACCCGCCGTCCAGGGGGATCAGCTTCTTGAACATGTCGCGCGCAAAGTCGACGCCCTCGCGCATCGCCTGGAGGTCCTTGTCGGCGCCCTCGGTAAAGTAGTTGAAGTCGATCAGGGGGGTGTCGCGAGGGTCGGCAGACCGGAGTTTGACGGTACCGGCACGGTTGCGAGTGTGGGCCTTGAGGATAATCCAAGCCCAGTGTCGGGAGTCAAGCAGGACCTCGCCAGACCAGCCCGGGAAGTATCCGCGGAAGTTGGCAGGACCGCCGGTAATGACAAGATCAGGGTGGCCACCTTCAGCGACCGAGGACTTCTTGAGGACCGCCAGAGAGAGACCATTCGAGGCATAGACGCCCTTGGCGGTCTGGGTGGCACCATTCCTCCACTTCTTGAGGCATGCGTCGTCGGGGGTGCGGTAGAAGTTGCACTCCTTGATGAGGTTGAAGTCAGAGGTGGTCTGGCCGACGACCGTGTTCTCGTAGCGGTCCTGCAGGTTCGTGCCGACACCAGGCAGGTCGACGAGCACAGGGATGTCGAAAGACTCGAGTTCGTCGCGCGGGCCGATACCGCTCAGCTTGAGGAGCTGGGGCGTGTTGTAAGTGCCGCCAGCAATGATGACTTCACGAGTGGCAGAGACAGTGCCGTATCCGGTCGGGCTGGCGTTGCGGGCGCGAGCGTCGGCGCGGTACAGAGACTTGCCCTCCATGAACTCGATACCGGTGGCCCGAGGGACGGCGCCGCTCTCGTCAAAGATGATCTTGGTAGCCTGTAGGACAAGTCAGAGAAATGTGGTTTGGCAACCTTACGAACCGCAGTCGCTTACCAGAGTTTCGAGCTTAATGTCCAAGTGGTACTTGCGGGAGCCGTCCTTGTTGGTGGCCTTGGCAACCTCGTAGATCCAGTCGAGGACACCACCACGCTTCGAGTCCCTCATGGAAAGGGGGACCTGGTAAACGCCCTCCCGGTCAAGCTGGCCCGGGGCATTGATATCGGTGAGCAGCGTAGAGGCAAGGCCAGTTACCGTGGTCAGCAGTCCGGTGAGCAGACCGCCTTGGCCCATGGCGCTGCAGGCGGCGAGGATGAGCGTCACAACCTTGAGATCGGTGATGGCCGTGAACAGCGAGGTGAGACCAGTGTTCATCCAGCCGTTGAAGCCGTGGCCCACATAGCTGTTGGGGAGGTACTCGCACTTTTCAATCTTCTGGAAGTAGCTGCGCATCTTGTCGGCTTTCCAGCCCTTGTCGCCGGTGAGAGTGGCAATGTCGTTCCAGTCACTGTCAAACGCCTGCATCGTGACCAAAGCATTGTGACGCGTGCAGCCACCAAGGGTACCAGTACGGGGGTACAAGACGCCCAGAGGCGTGGCCCCGGCGGGAGGGTCAAGGCCCATGTAGCGAGAGCCATCGGCGAGCTCGTACACCATCTTGGTGTCCCTGGCCCGCTCCTCCGGGTCGGCAGAGTGGTTGACGAAGAAGTCCCAAGCTATCTCATCGTACTCGGTCGAGGCCAGACTGTAGGCCGGCACTTGGGTCAAGATGTTGTCGGAATAGTCACCGCCGGCATCGATGAGGAGGACCTTGTAACCAGCGTAGGCAAGGTTGGCAGCAGTACCACCACCACCAGGTCCAGAACCAACAACAACAAACTCGTAGTCCTCGAGCGTGTTGTTGCCTGACTGCCTCTTCAGGAAGGGGCTGTGCCTGTGAACAGAGCTATCACAAATAATTAGCGTTTGTACATGTTCTTGGGCTAGACTCGAAGACTTACACAGAGAGAACCTCTTGGGCGAGGAAGGCACCCGCCACGAGAACCTGGGAGGTACGCATATTGGCTTCTCTGTATTATGATTACTTGTGGAAAAGGAGCGACAAAGGGCAGCGAGGACTACTCCCAATACAAGCTTTTGTCGGTAGGAGTAACTGGACAGATCAATGATAGAAATAGTTCTTCTGATGGCTACCGTGACGCCACCACGGGCTGAGCAGACGTTCTCCACCTGAGAAGCCAAGAAGCAGAAAACAATAAAGGAGCGTAAGAGGTAGGATTTACCAAAGTCGATATGCAAAAGAGTGTATGGTTGGCTCCTGGGGAGTGAGAAATCCGCCACCGGAGGTCATCGGGGTCCGGAGGCGAAAGGCATCACCAGGCTGTTATACAGCAAATTCGCAAGCAACGAGGCGTGGCCAGGATAACCGTGCTCCAAGCACATGGCAGCGGCGCGGGCATGTCAAAGGACCCTGGCCGCCTAGGAATTTGCCCGTCACCCCGTCGCGGTGGAGCCAGGCGGTGCTCTCTCGACAACTGCCTTCAGTAGCGAACTGGGCCAGGGGGGTATGCCTGTCGACGAGAACATTTCCCGTTCGGGAGGGTTCGCAGTGGCTTGTTCGAGAGGGACTGCCGACCCCTGCCGCCTGCGCTCCTGTGCATTGGCTCGATTTCGGCTGGATGTTGCAATTGTTGGCTGTACCTGCAGCAAGACCATTCATGTAATCATTTCTGACATTTCTGCACCCAATGCCCATGATAGAGGACTGCAGACTGGCCACAGACTCTGCATGACGACGAGACAAAGCCGACGGAAGCTGGACAATGAGCACGACAGTATTATTATTATGACCTCCGGAGGTAGAAGACCGAGACTGGCAAGGTCCTCCCGGCTGGACCTGGCTGGCCCGTGTCGGCAACCCTGGCCGGCCCAAGACGGCGGACGCGTGCGGGAGGAGCAGATCGGCATGCAAGGTAAAGAGTCAAGACAGGGTGCTCAATCCGCTCCCAAGCCTCTCTCATGGAGAAGGCATGCGGGCGTCAACCTGGCGAAAAAGCTTGACTCCTAGTAGGCAGCGGAGAGAGTCCAAAGGCGCAATCTCGGCGGACCACGTGGGCAAGGTCGAGCAAATGTCGATGAACCCCAGTCAAGGAAGTGTGCCGTTGGCGTGGGCACTGAGCAGCTATCAGCATAGGCTGCCCCTTGAAGTCAAATATGCTGCGTAAGGCCGCCGAATGGGGAGGCAAATCCGCCGACATGGGATGGTGGTAGGGGTGAGTGGCCAGCGGGACGCTGGCAAGAGCAGAGAATTGCATACACGCGAGATTCGAGGCAGCAAGGCGAGCAACTGAGGTTGCCATGCCAGGTCAGGGAATTCCCCCGAGCGCGCCGCAAGCCCTGGTCCTGGAGCTGACGACACGACGGCGAACGACCCATGCCAGGACTAGGAACAAAGCTGGCGATCGGCAGTGGGAAGCGAAGAACGTGGCAGATTGGCAGTGATGCCCCTGTGGGAGGGGAGGGGAGCACACTGACAGGCGGGGGCCCTGCTCAACGGCAGCGGCCTCAGGCCATGCATGCCTCTTTCTCCACTGCATTCCAGTGGAGTAGCGATAGTCAACCCTGCACACACAACCTCGACAACCCTTGATCCTGCCAGACCGGGGCCCATGGCCGGGGTTTAAGGCGCGATCTGACAGCGTGACTGCCGTTCCGGGACGGCGCCGGGGAGCCCCTGCTGCTGCATCTGTCCTCCACTCTCCGGACCTCTCTCCATGAACTGCTTGCCCCCTTTGCAGCTCAACCGGACCCGTTCCGCCCGTGCTCGGCCTGCTCCGTCTCCCCGTCCCGGGCCCTTGCTCGCCGTCCCTGACAGTCGATCGGCCCCCCCCCCCTAACATCTACATAGGAATGAGGATCGGCTGACTCTTGTGATTTGAGAGCAATCAGGAGAACAGGCCATAGTTACAGACGGCCACCCCGATACGAGTCGCCATGGTTGACGGACAGGGCCGTCCCGACACTGTAGTCCAAGCAGAGAGGCAAGCAAAATGTGACCACGCAAGCACCACATGTGAAACAGAGAGTGGTGGTCAGACTGGGCCTGGTCTCGATCGGTGGCTTTGCCACAAAGGTAATGACTGTGTGTCTCTGTGCCTTCCTAACAACCGGAGATGACGCCCAGTGCGCCATCCCTCCATCTACGAAAAATGCCATCAAGGTCTGAAAACAAGAAGTGACTGATTCCAGTTCAGCCTGCAGCGATACGCCTTGCACCGCAAGGCAGCAGAAAGCCAATCCAAGTCTGTAATATAAAATGAAAAACGCCAATAATCCGCCGGCTGGCCACATGCTGCCTTTCCCCGCCAGAAAGTGCAGTCGTTTTGGACACAGCCATCCATAGGTACATGCTATAGACTAGAGAAGAATATGTATATGATGACAGAGAGGCGTGGGCGACCAAATCTCTGTATAACTTTTGCTTGGTAAAACGCGCTGGTGCTGCTTTCAAAGCACGAAGAGCAAACATTCCTCGCCGATGGGCTCCCTCCTCTTTACATGGCCCGGCCGAAATCGCCGTGGGAAGACTTCTCGCCCACCGACCGGGGTGGTGCTCCGGCCGACACCGTCGCGGTCAGGGTGCTCCGCTTGCCGGCGAGTATGTCCCGCGTGTCGTCGTTGTCGTCCGAATCGAACGGCTGGAGCTCGACAAACGTCGACTCGTCGCGCTGCTTGCTGCGCACCATGTACTCGGACTTGACCTTGATGTTGTTGGGGCCGACCTTGTGCGAGAGGCCCGACGAGGAGAGCCCGGCCGAGCTGCTGCTGCCCTTGGCACCGCCGCCGCCGCCATACGACGGCCCGTCGCCGCTGCCGCCGGCGCCCGTGGGCCGCTTGGTGGTGTTGCCAAAGGCCTTGGGCAGGACGAGGCTGAGCAGGGAGCGCATGGCGGGCATGCAGGCGCAGATGAGGCCCACGCTGACCTCGATGGTGGACCAGATGCCAATCTCGACAAAGTCCATGGTGACGTTGCCGCCCTGGCCAAAGTGCAGCAGGTACTGCAGGCGCAGGATCGCGACGAGCGAGACGAAGAAGCCCACGCAGAACATGGAGAGCACCTGGATCTTCTTCTTCCACGACATGCTGAGCTTCCAGAGCTCCGGGAGCGGGAGCACAATCATGGCAATGTCGAGCACCAGGCAGATCGCCGCCGCGATCCACGCCTGCAGGTTCACGTCCCGGCACGTCGCCTCGAACTCGCCGTCCCAGTGCAGCCAGGCGCCCTCGATGGGCCCGCACTGCCAGATGGTCACAGCCTCAAAGGCAATCAGGTACAGCGCGTTGCCCGCGATGAGGACGTACACCCACTTGCGGAACTCCTTGCGCGGGAAGATGCGCAGGTAGAACGCCAGGATGGAGATCTTTGTGAGCGGGATAATGGCCAGGTACAAGATCTCGTCCCAGAAGTAGATCTGCCGCGAATGTGATGTTGTGTTAGCAGGTTGTGGTTTGTCACGAGGTCGAATTTCGTCTTCTTTGTTTTGAGGGGTCCGGTTTCTTACATAGAGAATCTCGCTGATGTAGTCATAGTCATCAAGCATCCAAATGTCCTTGCCGAGTCCATATTTGACGACTACACGTTCGAAACCTTGTCAGCTCTTTGGCTCAGCGTTGTAATGTGACACACTGAGTCGATGAAGCAACCTACGCAACCCAGACAACACAGTCATGGGAATAGACAGAAGCTGTAAACACACAGAAAGACACAAGGTTAGTTCATGCAAAAAACCCCCCTTGGTTGAGATGTGCCACAATCATCCAGACTCACCACGCAGGGGATCATCAGCCAGTCGTCCAGACCCCACGACTGCCACCCCACGACACCGCGAGCGAGCACGCGCAGGCCAAAGATGACGAGCGCGAGCGCGCCAAAGACGGGCGTCACGACGACGACGGGCAGCGACCGGTCATTGACTGGCCGCTTGCAGGAGACGTCGGAGAACTTCTTGGTAGCTGGAGGAGACACCAGTCGCAATTGACGTTAGCACTGCATTGTTCCAGTTATCGCCGGTGTTGGAACGAAAACAGCAATGAACAAGAAAGAGACATACCAAGGGCTTCTCTCTTGGTGCAGGTGGTGGCCACACACGCCGTGAGCTTTGGCGCGAGGGTCTGGTCGGTACAGATGCAGGTCATGTTTGTCAGGCTGCCGCAGATCTGGGGAACGTATTGCATTGTGCATTTGAGCTGCATGTGACGAAGGCATCAGTGTTAGTGACGCTTTCTCAAGAATGTAGTTCTCTGAGGGTTGGTATCCGTAAAACTTACACCGCATGCTGGCGGCAGAGCGACTCCGGCCGGCAGAGCCTGTGCCAGCACGGGAACGGCTTGGAAGGCCAGGGCCGCGGCGATGGTTGCAACGATAATGAACTTCATGGCTGCGAGTTTCGCTCGTGGTTGGTGCAGCGAGTAAGGGAAAAGCAAAGTCTTGTGCCGAGCCAAGAAATGAAAGAGAGTCCCGTTCTAGGGATGAGCTCGTCGCCTGGTCCTGACCAGCGAGTCGAACGTGAGCCTTGGCCGTCTTCGTCTGGCGTGTTCAATCGTTGGGATCCGTTCCTGAGCTCTGAAAAGGGACGTCCACTGTTTAGGAATGAGAACGAATCCAGGCAAGCAACGTGAGACTCCTCGGCGACGAGAGAAGGAGAGTAATGGTGTGACGGGACACGCAACAGAAGCAAAGAGCGATTGCTGATATAAAAATCAGCCACGACTTAGAGGGTGAACGAGAGAGTGATGGGTTCAACACTTCCCTGTCCTCGACAGCCAGCAGGAATAATAATCTGCGAGTTCTATTTCTTTGCAAACCTCTGCAGATGGCTCTCCTTCCTCCCGCTCCCAGGATACGCCGCCGCATCCAGCATGAACCCTGGAAGGTCTCTGTCGAACAAGCAGACCGGCCAACTCCACCCCATCATGACCCAGTATGCCAAGCCCACCGTGTTTGTACGAAGTACTATGTTGGTCAAGTCGACCCCAGGAGCTGCTCGCGCCTCTAGTGGACCTGTCTGGAGAAACGCCACGGGCCTGGCCCTTGTTCTTGCAGGCATACCTGCTGCCGGCCTACCCGCCGGCTCGCCAACTGCCACTCCGAGATGGAGATTGACGAGAGAGGTCCGGACAATGCCTGCGAGAGTGCGACAAGCCAGCAATCTTGCCGCGCCCACTGGTGCTTGACCCGGCGGTGCCCCTGGCTGGTGGATTCTTGGTACACGGCGACTTGGGACAGGGTTCCGGGCGTTCCTCCAAGGCCGGGGTTAAGGCCTGTCAGCTCCACTGGGCTTGATCACAAAAAACAAGAACCAGATACAGACAAGGGAACGATCGGCCTCCCGGCTGCATTGGGCAATAAGAAGCCTAATACTGCTCTAGGCATGGGCCGTGTCAACTCGCCTTGTCCAGGCTACGTCTTCAGCCTGTCGGGCTAGTCAGTTAGAGTTTTGTGCTACACTCTTGTCAGTGACGTTTCGAGAGATGTGGTGATGATCCGCAAGTGTAGTTGGAGTACAGGATGGGCACTTCTCAGTTTGCACCCCGAGGAGACCGTCGGCAAACAATCAATGCTGTCCAAGGCGGCTTCGAATGCCTGCTCCCCGGACCAGGGCCTCGATCCTGGGCAGGCTTCTGTATGCAGTCATGATTTGGCCTTCGAGTGCCTTGCAGGTACGCCTACATAGTACGCCGGGGGAAACGGGTCTTCCACGGTATTCTGCTTGGCCTGGCCAGGATCACGCCGAACAGTTGCGGTTGTTCCGCAGAACCGGTAAAGGGGCTTGCAGGCGCCCGTTGCGTGGGCCCTGGCACACAAAACCATGAGGGCCAGGGGATGTGAGGCACGCCTGCATGGGACAATCACTGACCCGTGGCGTGATTCCCTTGAATGATCGACCGGAAGAAGAGCACACAAGCCAGCACGCGTGATGTCCAGAGGCGAGGGCCATGACGATCATTGAGGGGAATAAGGTTGCCGACGGCTAGGTGCGTGCTGGTCTAAAAACGATGCCCGGTTCTGACGCAACGGCTTGTACGAGCTATGAGATACGAGACGGGTGTGTCAACGGCTGCTTAGCCACGTGCAGTAACGACCAGGACCTGGTCGATAGGACACGGACTAAAGTCTGACAAGCTCGTAGAGTCACATCGGGTCCAACCTCCATTACAACTGACAGCGTCCAATGTCAGCATGGCCCGCTGTCATGTGTCTGACTTGCGTTATCTCGATATGGTCCCGGGCGCAACCCTACCTTAAGGTCAGAGTGATAAAGGCGTCTGGCTATAGGGCAAGGGTTAAAAAGCCCGCGAGCCTCTAACCAGACGAGGGTTGGCAGGTTCCAGCGGGATATGGAGAAGCCAATCTTGCTCTCTTGTTTCACCAACGGCCGTCTTCCCTGGCAGTGGCTTGGGGCGAGCTTGGCCTGCTTATTGCGTCTCCACACGAGCTACCAAGCTCTCGGTCGCGAGGTACCACCCGTCTGGGAGATGGAGTCGCGGGGGCGTGGTCCAAGCCGTCCGCTCAAAGTGCTCCGCTAGCGCAACGGAAAGAATCTCGGCAGAACGGCGCCAAAATCATAGTCCAACCACTTTAGCGTCGAGCTTGTTTGATACTTTCGAAATTGCCATGCCAAATCTTCGATATTCGATGTCTTGGTGGCAGACGCCTGTGCTATCATCAGGGATACCTTGGCCAGACCTGGCCTCCAGGTCGGAAGTGCTGATGAAGTTCGCTAATCATCTCGTCTATGCTTCCTCAGATAAGAACAAGGATTTTGCCTACGATGATGGTCCTGGTGGCATGTGTCAAGATCGTAACGCCATGGTCCGTCACGACCCAAAACAGCATTGCTGTCCGGGTGAAGCTACAACGCCAGTCGTCGGTTTACGCGGCAAGCGGCAGCGGGCGATAAACATGTCTTCGGGAAGAATGAGCCGTGACACACGGAACAGAATGTGCCGTCCAAGCAATGAATTCCAGCACGCCGCCAACAGTAACAGTCCATGACCCTGGCAGTCTCTTCACACGTGCTGTGCCTGCATTTTACACCGCAGATGCCTGTCAGCATGCCGCCATGGCACCCCGAGCCGACGGTCGTGCATGCCAGAGGGAGCTGCCTGCTCGCTAAGCGAAGCGTACTTTTCCCCACGGCATATGCCGGCAGTTGCACCCACCGCAGACTGTAAAGCCTGCAGGCTTCACAATGATGGTGCTTCGCGCCTGTTGTCGACTGATGAATCCTTCTTCACCGAGATTCAACCAGATTGTTCTCGACGAATCCATGTGGTCATAGAAAGATAGCAATTCTCCATATGTTCTCGAAGATTTACACTCATCGGACATCTTCCGCCGGTCCGGGCCCGGAGGATAACTGGACCTTGGGCCATTTGCTGCAGGCTTCTGCAGGGCAGTGGCGCAGGAAGTCCACTGACCCGGGTATCTTGCTCAAGGGTCATTGCCTATCCTGGAGGTTCATACGTCAATGAGTTGCTATGGCCCTGGGAGTGTTCTCTGCAATGTTGCACCGTCGGGACTGCTTCCTCGTACGGAGAGCACGACATGGGATAACCAGGCGCGACCAACAATGGCAGTTCCAGGGGTCCTCCAGACAAACCCCTGTACCTGCATCCTCACTTGTTTGCCAGCACTGATACTGTGCTGCCTTCCTGAGTGCGCCATGATGACTGTCATTACTGTGAGATGTGCTCTGGGGAGGCAGAGGCCAATATCCCACAATTCATGCGTCATAGCAAGGCTGGTGGGGTCTTCGACCAGAGACCCTCTTTCTGTCAAACCAAGAAATTCAAGGAAAAAGCCTTCTTGTCTCGTCGTTGACATGGATACTTAGAAAACAAACAGGGATCACGTGCATGTGTGCTTCTTGAGCAACAATCTCCTGGAAGCTTTACGGAGTACGTCTGTCTCGAGGCAAGGATATATCTTGGAGGCATGTTCCTTGATCACAAGAATTGGGTCGATCGTCACTTGAAAAAAACGGTTCTCCGCTCTGAATGGAGCCACCATCTGGCCCAGTCGCAACGGTGGCCTAAAAAAGGCAACAATCAGCCTTCCCTGAGAAGTCATGTGGAGTCGGCTGCTTGCCCTGTCAATTGCCAAATGGCAAGGTTACATCCCGTGCCGTCATGAGATGAACAATCTCTGGGTAGAGTTTCACTTGCCATCCCGACTGGCTATCTCCGATAATTCTCAGAACCCTGCCAATAGTCCTTGGGCTCAGATGTTTGTCGACCTGGATGACCGACCCGAACCTCTAGATGACAAGATTCAGAGTCTATGCTGTCAAACCTAACAGGCATCAGGATCTATTCGCCAATTGGCGCTCGGGCAAGAATTACGGTCATCGGAGCACTTCATAATACGAACAGAATAGATCTATGGTTCTCCTCCCGTATGGAGCTTTGCAAGGTTTCACAGGACCATGATGTCGTCCCACTGTGTTGAACCCATGCTTCGGTAGTTCCCATAGTCCGGGTCAGCATCCTTAGTGATCTGGTGCTTTGCCCACAACCACACGCCAGACCTGAAGAGATTTTCAAAGTCAATCATCCTGAGAAACAAGCCTTCAAGCAGCAACGGATAGTAGGCCACTCCGGCAGGATCTAGCCAATGAAATGAATCGTCAGAACTTCTGAGACGTACGGCCCGCGGAAACGTGCTTAGAGCTGACTGATGTGCTCTCTTAATGGCTTGTGTCCAAACCTACGCTTCTCTCTGCAATCGTCTGGACCTCTGAACCTCTGAACCTCTGAACCTCTGAACCTCAGAAGATGCGCATTCGTGCCAAAGAACTCCAACCACACGAAAGGTTGCCTCACCAGTGCGCAGTTCCCCTCAACGTATGCGCAGGAACAGGGTGTGTCACGGACCCGTGCAGATCCAGTCGTTCCGCTGGTTCTTTTTCCCGACGTAGCGGACCGTAGTGACGACGATCCATGGGCGGAACTACCGCGGACGTTGGAGTGACCGCCGAAACACTCGTACTATGCAGACGAGTCATCATGGCATGGGTACGATGTGTCGGCTCGTGTTGCCCCTGACATGTGCCGACGGCCAATGATGATCATCACTGAGCATTGCAGGAGTGCAGAAGGGTGGCCAAGAAAGGGGATTCTGATCTCAGGGGCATGGGATCGCCACCTTGTTGGCTGTGCCATCGTGCTCTCCCGTGATGGCTTTATTAGGCCATCTGCTAGCGGTCGGGTACCAGTGCGGCCAAATAATTACCCTTCTCAAGTACGCTTGTCCGCAAATGCTATATTCACATGGGTGCTTCGCGATCATAGGGGGCCAAAGTCAATTACAACATTTCAATGAATGAATGGGTGGCTAGCTTGTCGTGGCTCAGGTGACAACCTGCCAAATGCCGTGTGGTTGGAAAACATCAGAGCTTCCCTCCCTCGGGTTGGACAGCGGCTTGTTGGTCGTCCATATCAGGAAATCAGGCGCCGTGCCGAGTGCATGCGGTTGTAGCCGTTTTGCACGTCTAGCAGCCAGAGTCTGCTTAGTCATGCGAACTCAGCTCCCGGGTGCGTCCTCTCGCTCTTGGGATTGTGAACACGAACTAGGTTGAGCTTGACCTTCAGCTCTAGATCGATTCTATATGAGTTCTAATAAACGCCACCTTTTCAAAAACCAGCCTCTATGGCACAGGGGTAATGCGTAAGTCATCGAAACACCAGTTTCTTTCGAGAACCGTCGACTAACAAGACCAAAGGTCGCACTCGTAATATATAAAAATCTTCTGGTTTATTATACGATGCACATGCGAAGATCCGCGGTTCGATTCCGCGTGGAGGCAATTTTTTGCCATTTTCCTGGACTACGGATGATGTATAAGTAGCCTTGCTCGCCTAGTTTTCTTTTTCTTTATTTTTAAAGTATTTTCCCGTGCCCTCTCTTTCTTCCATCTTCTACTCTATCTTATCATTCATATGTAGATTAGAGTCAAACAAAAGTTTCTTTACTTTTTGAGATGATCCTTATCCGATAGAAAGATGTGGTTGCTTATGAATGTATAATATTCCGATATATTCGTTTCTGGTAAACCGACATTCATGCACACTGAGCACCCCCAGCTTCATTTCGTAGTGGTCAGGTAATTCCAGCTTGTGAATTAGTTGTGACGACCCGACCAACAGGTCGCAAGATCGGGCCAGGGACAAGGGCAGGTCATGCACGCGGGTCCAAGAAACATTACCTAAGCCACCATGATGAGTCATCCAGGACAGGACCACGCCAAGACCATGGAACTGTGCCAAGAACTGTGGGACTGCGCAGTCCCAGTAGGAACTGCGCAGTGCGCCGGTAGAACTGACAGTTCCAAGGCACGGCAACACAGTTCACGATGAAGGACAAAGGATATATAGAGCCAGAAGGATTTCCTTGTAGACAGTCATTACCTTTGTACTTCAGCGATCAATCTAAGTATCACCCTCACCCTTCACTTGACCTAGTCACTCAATTGATCCGAGTGTGATATCTCGCAAGAGACACGAACGACAACCCCCTCGAGAACACGAGAAGCACGGAGTCAGTATTGCATGAGGTCGCTACCTACCTTATCCAGAACATAAACCCCACCGCGCCGATCAGACGGTTGACCCCGGAGATCGGATCGTGACATTAGTGTGCCCAGGCAATAGGACTCCGAAACACGGCCTAGCTGAGCCAATTTTAATCACGGAAGACCTGCAGAACAGGAAAGCATGACAGTCTGTGAGGAACGACATGTATTATAGATGCCAAAGGAGCACTACGATCAGCAGTGATGGCGTGTGCAAAGACCTGCACAGTACAGGTTCCGAGCTTGCTGCTCAAGTTCGGTCGTGGTTCCTTGCACCCGAAGTTAACATCAGATGTTTCTCCATTTTTACCCTGATGGCAATTACAGGATCTTTTTGTTCCTTGGACAAGCAGTGCGAGTTCCGGGGACGCCTGATGCAACCTCTGGCGGTGTTCTCGATCACCTACAACTTCGCTTGAGAGTCCCCCAGTGAGTACGGCACTGTCTGGCCGCCCGCTTACTGCCTCAGGGCAATCCTGCTTAAAAGTGCTGAGCCTCTCTCCTGGAACAGGTATGGCTCATATACAGGTGTTTCACCAGATAGGATGCTCTGGCTGTAGATGAGGAGGGCTACCGGAACATAGCAGTTTCTCTGTTTTGGTGCGAGTTGTGGTCCTCGAACTGCTCCGCTGTCAATTTCAAAGGGAACAGGCTACAGAAACCTGCTGGTCATTCACCCTTCGTTTCAACAATATTAGTGCACCAAATAGGCGAATCGTTCGTGGTTCGTCGCTCGGTGTGACCAGAGAGGCCTACATACGTTGCTGAGTTGCCAGCTGCGAAGGATTGAGATCTTTTGGCGGCAATTGCAGGTTAGTCTAAACTGCTTCCTATCAAGTCAACGGCAACAGAGGTCGACTCGAAGATGGTAAAGCTACACTTTGTCAAAGACCTAAGCTTGAGCTGTTATGTGTTGCGTCTTCCCCGGTCGGCTTAGGGACCTGCCGGGTTTCGATGCTGGTGGCCCGAATCGAGAGAATTCAGCTCTGGGCCGAACGAGAGATCGCCAACCAGCTCGTGAGCCGAGGATTGAACAGCTTCAATTGCTTCAGCATTATCGAAAAGTTTGGGGCGGCATACACGAGAAGAACTGCGTTTCCTCACAGTACCTATATCTGGACGCAAGTCTCCTGCCCAGAGTTTCCACAACTTAGACATGTTGAACATGGATACGTGCAGATAATCCCTTAACCGATTCAGGATTACCTTACATTTCGGGCTGGACACGGCTTCACTGAAGCCCTCATCGCTGGTCTGTCAACAAGGGGGACCAGGTTGAGCAGATCTGCAGACTCAACTCAGGTAGATAGCCCGCGGACTCTCGAGTTCTGAAGTCTTGGTGTATCTCTAATTAATTGGTGTATATCACCCAGTATCAACGTGACGAGTGGCCTCCATCCCTCATTTCGCCGTCTCTGCCAGGGCATTGTTCAGTAATTAGATACTGTCAGTACAGAATCTCTGGCATCGTCATAATTGCTGCACTGCGCAGATGATAAGTGGCAACAAGAAACCCAAGAACGCCGGCTTCGGTATATACAAAGAAAAGCTCTAGGGCTCCCTCTCGTCTAATTCTAGTCGAGTCGGCCGCATTAACATAGCACCGCCCCATTATAGTACACTCGTCTCTCGCCATTTCCAGATCACATGAATAGCCCCCCTCAGCTCGAGCTTGCCGTGCTGAAGTAGTAGTTTTCCCACAAATACTCATAGTCCTCCATGATGGTCCCAATAAAGCTGGGCATGCGTGACCGCACGCCAGTAACGAGACCCTTGGTGACGTTCTGGTAAAAGGCGCCGCGCATGAGCCACCAGGCACTGCCCCATCTCCTCTTGCCCCATTCCTCCTGCTCGAGCGTGGTGGTGCGCAGGCTGCCGTCGCGCAGCTGCCGCGCGGCATACTCGACGGTGAGGCCAATGATCCACGGCGTCCACGACTTCTTGTCTTTGCTCCTTGACAGGGCTATCGCGTAGATGAGAGGGGCGAGGATGTGCAGGCTCTCGGCCGCCTGGCCGGATGCTGATAAGCTGTTCAGGAGCTTGGCGGCAGGCTTGATATCGTCTGCTCGGAGGACCCGGCTCTGCAGATAAGAGCTGATGTCGCTTGGGTTCGGGAGACTGGGCAGCCTGCTCTGTGTGCGCGGCATCTTCCACTCCTTCTCGTGCGCCGGCTTGCTGTGGCCGTTCATGGGCCGCAGCAGCGCGACGTTGTCATCGTCGTCCTCGCCCATGAGCTCGCGCAGAGCCGCGCCGTCATCCTCCTCTTCCTCCTTGCTCGGCACGATCGGCTCGCGCTCAGGCAGTGCCGGGGTCATGATGGGGCGGGAGTGCGTGATGCGCATGAGCAGCAAACGGCAGACAGCCTTGATGACTTCCAGCACAATGACGACGCGCCAACGGATCTTCTGCCCGCGCCGCGCGGCAGCCATTTCCCATAGGAGCTCAGTGTACTGCACAACCTGCAGCAGCAACGCTACTCGTCGGTAGACACCGCTCTTGTTGATCCAGAACTGTGTGTAGCGCGCATGTGGTGTCGGCGCGGGACGATTTGCCGCGCCCGCAGGGTTCTTCGCGGCGGCGCGCCGCAACAGGGCATCGTGATATAGTGTGAGGAGCTGCACGCCCGAGTGAAGGGTTTCCGATGCGATCTCTGCATCGCGGAAGCGGCCCGGAATGACGTAGGTAAGGGACCGCAGCGCGCTCTCAATCTGCGAGACCTGGCCAGAATTCTTGGCAATGAAGTCGCTGTACATGTGCAGGAACCGTGGTGGAAGGGCGAGGACTTTTGTAACGGGATTGCTGCTCTGGTTGGAAGCGTTGGCGGTGGCTGGATTCCGCGAGGGGCGCGCGGGCGCGCTGCGCACGACGTCGGACGACTGAGCCATTGGGACTATGTGCAGGTGTGGCGCAGGGGCATCTCTTGGGCGTGATCAGCAGCAAGTTGTCGACTGCTGCTGTCGCATGTCGGAGGTGGAAGAGCGTGCCGTTGCAGTGTTGGTGATGCGGTGATGTGGCGTGGTTGGAGTAGAGGACGAAAACGACGGACAAGCTGATGACATGGGAGACGTGAAGGGGTGACGGTGCTCGGCCCCGTCAGCTGGAAGAGCTAGCTTGCCTCGGCTCGCTGTGGCTGGCATGGCTTTCCCCAGACACGGCCTGCGGCAACCCCAGTCCCGGGACTCGTGTCGGCTTGCGGAGTGGGGCAGGCAGTGATTTGACTCTGGTGCAGCACAACAACATGGTAATTTTTGGGAGAGTAACGTACGTACCCAAGCATCACGACGGGCAATGTATTAGGGCACATCATAAATCCTGCAGACCCGACATTGTCTCATAATGGCCTCTCCGATTCCCGCCAAGATTACCACAATCCATCCATCTCTGCCATTGCTGCCTCCTCGTCCGCATCAGCCTCTTTCTCCAGACTACTGCTGGCTGGAGAGGTCTTTGCCTGATTCGCAGATGGCGCTGCTCGAGCCTCCGACTCTGCAATCAGCGCATCGAGGTCGTCTTCAGCCTCGTCCACCGACTGCACCTTGTCTCTTGGTGCCTGTCTCACTGGTAACGAAGGGCCGGCTTCGTATTCCGCCATGAGGGCGTCAAGGTCGTCGTCTTCATCTGGCGCCAATTTTTGTGCTGGCCGAGACGAAACATTGCCCCCATTTCCAAATAACGACACAGAACCCGTCCTCTGCGCCTCTTCCTCCGCCATGAGCGCATCCAGATCGTCGTCATCTGGAGCGTCGTCACCACCATTACCAAACAAAGAGTTACCAGTAGGTCGTACTGAGTTGGTTGCCTTGGGTGTTGCCCCATACAGATCGTCCTCGTCGTCGGGCACGTCGGCTGGTGTTGGCGTCTTCGGCCGCCCCGAGGCTTGGTTCTGAAAGATAGGCGCCACTTTCGCCGGAAAGACAGCGGCATCTCTTTGCTCCTCCCCTCCTCCCCCAAATACGTCATCTTCCTCAGGCCGTGATGACTGTGGCTTGCCCTCGTTGATCCACTCCACGCGCTTCATGTGCATGAACTTCTTGTGACCGGCTTTCTCCACCATACCTAGAGCATCGAGAAAACGCGCCTTGGGGAATAAGTCGTCCAACCACAGCTGATAGAAGGATAGTAATCTGGCGGCATCAGAAAACTGCACAGGGTCGTTAGGTCTGGCCAAGTTACACGGTCTTGTGCTGTTGAGATCCTTACCTCATGGCCTTTGCCCTTGAACTTCAATTCACCGGCTTTCCGCCGTAGTCTTGGAATGCCCTTTTCTGAAAGCAACCTGCCCATCTCACGTTAGCCAAATGCTCTGTCGAGGCTGCCACCGAAACCTACATACCTTGTCTCGTCAAGCTTTACGTTAGGTACTCTTGCTTTCTTCGCCACGGCAACCTCTTCGTCGATACCCAGTCCGGTCACATCTTTCCGTTTCTTTGAAGAGGCAGGTTTTTGCTTGTCCTCAGGCTCTGACGCAAAAGGATCATCGTCCACATCGTAGTCGTCTATGTCGAGATTGGCTGTTGGAGGCGACGATTTTCGCCCAGACATGGCTGATGACATTTCTGAAATCTCAGAGCAGTGCTGGCTTTCGGTTATATGTGCAGACCGTCTGATTACGGGGAATGTCCAGATTTACAGATGACCTCGGGAGTGTGCCAAAAGCTCAATCCGACCTCAAAGTCCAGGAGACGCGTCTCACTACCCCTCGACGCGTTTGGGCCATTAAACCCCCAAAAGGGCTAGGCGGCATACCACAGGTGCCAGGTAAGCCGGGAAGGACTTGGGATGACAGTGATCCACAAGTTTTCCCGCACCATCCCCGCTTACCTAATCGCAGCCAATCCCGACTCCGCGATTTCAATCAGGCGAAGTTGACGACCTCACAGCAGAGCAACCTCCGCTGACGCCCAGAAACGACGAGCTGTTGCGCAGCCCAATTGTGTCCGCAACAATGGCCGCCCCCCAGCAGACATACGTGCCGAGCAAGACGCTCCGGACCGAGTATCCCGTGAGTCGCCCCGACTCCAATTGATGGCATGCTCACGCCATTCGTTCCAGCTTCGCACTCCGCTAACGCAAGCTCTTTTCCTCACGATAGCTCATCGACAACGACCCGTATGTACCCTCCCAGCTCGACGGCCGGGCGTCTCCCCGACACGATCCCCTCATTTTCCGACGACAGTCTGACTGACAGCTTTCTGCGGGGTAGCCACTTCAAGAGAGTCATTGCATATGCCAGACCATCCGACTATGTCCACGGCGCGGTAGCTGCCGCGGCTGGGCCCGGAGCCCTGTGGACGATGGAGCGCATCGCGCCGTCACACGTCGGCAAGGGCGGTTTCGCCTCGGCCATGCGCCTGACTGGCGTCATTGGTGCTATCGGCGGTTTCCTCTACTTCTACCAGAGATCTACACGTACGTCATACACGACACATTCCCGAGCTAAGGCACACACCCCAAGGAGCACTTGAGAAACGTTTGGTGTCTTTGTTGATCGTCCTACATTGGACCGCATGAAAAAAACCCGCACCGAGGAGGATATCAGAGGGGGCTGGCTAACACACGTCTCGACACACACCACAGTGCGGTTCTACGGCATGAGCGAGAACGCCCGCGAGATCGACCTGGACATGAAGGAGATGGTGGCCAAGGTCAAGGCGGGCGAGCCGCTGTACGGCGTGAGCCAGCTGAGCCCGCACATGCAGGGCGTGGCGGCGCGGCAGTCGCGGTACTCTGCGCTCTTCACTGCGGTGCTGCCGTGGTTCAACTTTGTCAACCACAACCAGCACGGCGTCGACACGGCCAAGTACTACCGCCAGGCCGAGCGGGAGCTCGAGGCCGAGCGCCTGAGCAACAGCCCCGTGCAGGGTTAAAGGGGATTGCCGGTGGCGGGATCGATGGAAGTGCAGCAGGTGGTGAAGGAGGAGGATGGTGGAGCGAGGTCGCCGGGTGGGTTGTGCAACAACCAACTGGTGCCTCGGATCAGCCTGGTCGAGTTTGTACATAGAGTCGGGTGATCTACAAGAACGGCAAAGCAGAGGTTGAGCCGGAGTTGGGGAGGGACGCGTAGTCCAGAAATGCAAAGCTTGCTGATTTTCCATGTCATATCAGTGCTTTGTTTCTGTAAATCACAGACGACGCTCACACGAACGTTGGTAACGCATCCTAATCTTGGTCACGATTCGTGGCCAGACTGACGACTTGTGCTGTCGGAGTCGAAGCAGCATGTCCCATCATGACACAATCCAATGCGCGCGGCGTTTCTTTTGTTACGCTTACAGTGGAAGACTTTGGGGGGCCGTTGTTTCCTGGATAGTAAATTCACGGAGCCTGAGGAGATGCCGCTCGACAATAAGCACATAACAATACAAACAAGTGAAGGGATGGCAGCAGCATACACCTGCCTTTCGAAATTGCGAGTGAGCGGAGCATAGGTCATGACTTGGAGGTTCAAAGGCCCAGCCGAAGGCTGTTGTCATTACACAACAAGGCCTCCAATCTGATCTCAGGGGATTCTGGTGCGAATCAGCCACCCCTGGCCGCCCTGATCGGCGGAGTTAAGAGACGTTCCGTGGAACCGCTGTTAGTATATGCTTGAGTAGCTGGGTGGTGGAGCTGATTAGATCTGGGGATTGTCTGTGTTGTATTGGGGATTATTTGGGTTGAACGCGTCACGACTTTGTCCAGCATGCTAACTAAAAATAAGCCTGTGAGCCTCCTCCTGAGTTGTTCTTTGCGCACTGCAGGTCCCCATGGCGCGCCGGGGTACGGTGAGTGGTCAGCAATGATGCGCCATGTTAGGTACTTTAAGTAGGCACAGCTTTAAAAGGCCAGTCGGCCACATGTATTGGTCGGACTGCCTGCAGGACGACAAGACTCTTTGTGGCCGCAGATGTCGGCGGATCGGGCCCAACAAGCCCCGGCCTGCACGCAACAATGCAGCCTCTGGATGGGATGAGGCAGTCTTGCCTTTTGGAGTGGCAGTGGCCGCCTGGAGTTTGCAGGGTCGGCCATTGCTGGCCCCGAGCCCCCACCAGCCCTACGGCCCCGAGCATGCTGGACGCAGTGCAACTGACTGGCTCGGGCCCGACCTGCCGTGCCGCCCCGCCGGACCTGGTGCGAGATGAGGCTTGATGCTCAGAGCGGCACGAGAGACCAAGCCCGGACACGGCAAGCCCTTGGCACCGCTCTGCGCATTTAAAGGTCGAGGCAAAGAACGTCGAGAAGGAGGACAATGAATGATCCCCTGGTCACTTTTCTTTCGCACTCGGGAGTCCCTTCACAAAACACAAAGACTTCATCTGCCCACCCTGGTGTTCCACTTACACGCGCTTACCCGCCGCTGCGCAGCTTTGCAACGGTACACCATCGTCTGTCTGATCCCAGGCAAGGATTGTCCCGAACAGGCCGTCTCAATCAAACACCTTGTCCCTCTCGGTCCGTCAGCCAGTCACAAAGCCCTGTAGTGTTGCTCTCGGCCGCCGAGCAGACAACCACATTGGGTGCAGCGCTTGCTCGACCGCCGCTGGTAGCCCGGATTAGAGTTGGGGAAAGTCCGCCGAAACCTTGATACACCCACCACCAGCCCATCACATCTCGCCCAGGCGACGCCAGCAGCGCACCCTCACGGCCCGGGACGGGATCCTCACGCAACGTAATCTCGCATCGGCCAATTACACACAGACAAACAAGCCGAGCAGCCATCCTCGAGATCCAAAAACAGACAAGGAAGTGCACATTCACGGGCGCGCGTTACATATAAGTCGTCCGCCGCACCACCAAGGCAGGCAGGCAAAAATGTCCAAGACTACCGCAACAATCGCAGGAGCGGGACTCGCTGTCGGCGCATACTACGCATTCATGGCCGGATCAACATCATCAACAGGCACGCCCGCCAAGGCGTTTGGCTCGGGCCCCGCCTTCCTCCTCCTCAAGCTCCAGAGCTCAGAGTCTGTCAACCACAACACAAAGAGGCTGCGCTTCGAGCTGCCCTCCTCGGAGACCACCAGCGGCCTTCCCCTGACGTGTAAGTCTTTGTGGCGTTCCTAGTAACTTGGGAGTGGGTTTCCCGTGCTAATTTAGTGGCCGCTCCTTGTGCAGCTGCTCTCCTCACCTTTTCTTGGCCCCAGGGCAACAAGTTGCCAGTGCTAAGACCATATACCCCAATCAGCTCTGCTGGTAAGCTTACCCCCTCTGGAACCTCTCTCCAGTAGTATATCATCCAGTAACCTTACACACACGTGCCCAGATGAACCGGGCGTCCTTGATTTCCTGGTCAAGAAGTATCCCAATGGCAAGCAGAGCACACACCTGCACAACCTGCAGCCCGGCGACAGCCTGCGCTTCGTCGTGCCCATCAGGGGCTACAAGTGGGAGGCCAACAAGCACCCCGAAGTCACCATGATTGCCGGCGGCGCGGGCATCACCCCGATGTACCAGCTCGCGCGGGGCATCCTCGACAACCCGGAGGACAAGACCAAGATCCGCCTTCTGTTTGGCGTCAACTCGGACTCGGACGTGCTGCTCAAGGACGAGTTTGATGCCTGGGAGAAGCGCTACCCTGGCCGGTTCAAGGCCGTGTACACCGTCAGCAACCCCGAGCTGGGCAGTTCTCTGCGCCAGGGCTACGTTGACAAGGCCCTGATTGAGGAGGAGGGGGTCAAGCCTAGTGTCGATGGCGCACAGGTCTTCGTCTGCGGGCCACCGCCAATGGAGGCGGCGCTATGCGGGCGGAAGGGGATCCTTGAGCAGATGGGCTACAAGAAGAGCCAGATCTACAAGTTTTAAGCCAGAGGCGGTTGCCTCATTTGTACCGCGAACACAATATACCACATGATATTTCGAGGACAGGAAGGGGAGCATGAGAGAGAATACTGTAGTCGTCCTTGGTGAGCATCAGTAACAAGGCAAGGGGCCTTCCGTGACGTGGGCTGCAGTGGCGCAGCAGATGGAATGCTCGCGCAGGCACCAAACGGGCTGGGTGTTTCAAGGTGAGAAATAAGCTCTCGCACAGACTGGTGAGGATGCTCGAGGAACGACGTGACCAGGCGGTTCCTGCATGCATGGGGAACAGAAGTCGCTCCAGCCATGGCCTAATCGGGCTGGTCGTGCCTGGCATCCGCGGCCTCCGCCCTCCATGGCCCCGCTTTTCGTGCCTGCCCGCTCCACGCCATCCGACAACGACGCCCAAATTGCAGCGCCGGCCAATGACCTGATGCTCCATCCATGCGCCCAGGACCACGCGATCGACCTCGCTTCCGCCCTGTGACGAAACTCTAGAGGCCACCAGCGCCCTCTGTGTCAAGGGGTTCAAGGCAGCAGCCCTGGTCTCGTGCTTCACACTGGCACATATCCTTGGTCTCTCCTGGTCGCAGCCTCCATTTTCTTGCAGACCCCATTGGCGTCATGTCTTCTTGCCTGAACTACGACAACAACAACCACATTCACTATCCTTGAGAGTGGCAGCGTAGATCTTGACAGCCTCTCAGAGACACGACGCGACATTCAAGGCGGCTTACAGGCCGAATTGGACCTTGGCAACTCGGCGGCCATGGATCCGAATGATCCGTACCATGGAGGGTCTTTGGGCATCGGAGTCCGCAGGGCGGTACGTTTGATATACCCACTAATCTCGGGCTTTCAGTCACGTCGTGCTCAAGCTCCATGCTGTCGAACTTGGACTCTGCCTCCTCGCAATTCGAGATGCACCTGGCCTAAAGTTGGAACAGGGAACGACCTCGTGAAATCCAGAAACTGACCATGTTTCCTACCGAAATATAGTGCGACCAGTGTCGTCTGAGAAAGGTACGTACTTAACATTTTCCTTGACGAACATCTTCAGGATCTTTTTAGTAGATCGGACTCACCTCTTATGCCTTTTGCACGTCTTGTCAAGCAATATTTGAAACTTCTCAATGTTTTCCAATAGCAAGCAGACAGACCACCACTTACACACTCCCACGCCAAACACTTGTGCTAACGCACACTTCGCAGATAAAATGTGACAAAGAATCACCTTGCGCGAACTGCCGCATTGCCAGGCGAATATGCAGCTCTACCGGGCTCGGGCAAAAGCCCAAGGAAGCCCGGCAGCGGGTGCTCATTTCGAGTCAATAGTAAGAAAAGACCCATGGCATTGCGCGCGTTCATTAGAGTGTCCGCAGTCTCGTGAATGGTAGCCCATGCTGACTTGCACCCATTTGCTGCTCACTAGCGAGCGCAAGATCGACATGATTGAGGAACGGCTAGGAGGCATTGAGGAGCTCCTGCAGAACCTAACCAATGCCACGCTGTCGTTAGGAGCCCCGGCATCGCCTCAAGCACCAGGCAAGCAGACATCTTTGTCCAACATATCTTCTCCAGCGTCGCAAAGGCGTCATGGTGGCCAGGCATCATTTGATGCAGGCACTGGCCCGTCATCATCTCACAGCAAGAGCCCAGCAGGGCCGGCCACGACGAATTCCACCGACGAGACCATGAGTACGGTGTTTGACCCGCAGGACGCATCCAACTTTGAAGGTGCCTCGTCGACGGCTGCACATGCTGCTTTCGCGTCCGAGTTCCTCGAGAACGCCGTGCACAAGACGAGCATGCTGCATGATGGCAGTGCCAGCGGAGCGAAGATGGATATCGCCCTTGCGTCATTGCGGCAGATTGTCGGCATGCAGCAGAATCGTCGGGGAGGCCTTTCAGCATCATTTGAGAATTTTGGCGGCGAGAGCGGCAGTGGTTGTGTCAACGACGTTGGCGAGAAGCATCTGCACAAGATGAACCTGCGGGATCTGCAACTACCTCCCATGGCGCTTGTGGTTGAGAAGCTCAAGGAGCTGAAAAGTAAGAAAAAGATTGTGGCGTGATATGGAGAAGCCCTCACATGCTGACAGCCGAATCGTGCAGACACGCCAGCACCTCCAATGCTTACCGTCGTCTCGGCTTTCATCGACGCCGAGACCTTCACAGACCGTTGTCGGCGAGTCTATTTCAGCACTGAAGAACCGACAGAGTCGGCATTCATCGTCGTCAACTCAGGACTCATTACCCTCTTTTTTGAGGCGTCACTAGAGGTTGGAGACTCTGATCCCGTGAAGCGAGCCCAGTATGAAGCTTGCACGGCAATGTGCCAGAACAACCTCGAGGTCGCCCTTGCCCAGATGCCATTGATGATGCCGGCAACTCTCGACAATGTCGAGGCGCTTCTCAACGGTGCCTCTTTCAGCGTTGAAGTCTCACGCCCATCCCTTGCATGGCTCTTGACGAGTCGGGCGGTGCACATGTGCCGGGCGCTGGGTATCCAAGACGTGTCCACAATGACAAACGATCCGCCGGAAGTGGTCGCTCGTAAGACACTACTCTTCTGGAGTGCTTACCTCCTAGATCGAGGCCTGTCGCTCCGGCTCGGCCGAGCGAGTATCTTGCAGGATTACGATATCAATTTCCCCCAGAACCTTGACCATATCGATGGACCTTTTCCGGCGAGAGAAATATTCACCATATGGATCAAGCATGCTTCATGCCAGGGACGTATATATGAGCGACTGTACTCTCCGGGCGCGCTGCGCCAGTCCGAAGCATCCCGAGTTGAGCATGTTCGGGCATTAGCGGCTGAGGAACTTGAGATCCTGGAGCACTCGCAAGCGGTTTCCGCAGAATTGTCGCGGCGACGAGAAGCGGATACAAGTAGTGATCCACAAAGTCGCATTTTTCAGCAGATTCTCCGAAGCGACGAGATTGGCTATCACTCGACTTTGGCGTTGATATATCGTGCCTTGCCTCCGGCGCCGGGTGCACGCAGCAAGACTTTCGCAGACGAGTGCTGCGAAGCGGCGTACTCGGCTATCCGCGTACATCTAGAAGTGGTGGCATTAATGGAGGGACAGAACTCCATGATGATTGCGCATCTGCACTGGTAAGTCACACATGCGATGCTCTGAGCACATCCGTGGGACTTTGATTGTTGATACCGAACAGGACCGTGTTATACGCACCCTTCATACCATTCATTGTCATATTCTGCCTGCTCATTGAGACATGCGCCGATCCGATGGCCTCGTACGACGTTTCTGCAGACCTGCAGCTTATGTCGAACTTTGTCAACTCTCTGGAAGCGGCAATCGATTTCTCTCCCTCCGTCAGCCGCATGCACCGTCTCTGCCAAGTCCTGCACAATGTTGCGTCCCTATATGTCGAAGCCAAGGCGCAGCAACAGTCTATGCTCCTGCAGCAAGGGCAACAACAGCAGAGCAGGCTACACCAGCAGGCACAACGCCAAGACGACGGCGGTTCCTATATGCGCGGCACTGCAGCCGAAGCATCAGCACAGGACCCAACTCAAGCCGGCAGTGGCGGTGTTGGTAATAGCAACAACGGCGAAATGGGCGGCATCCCGCTCGACGTGCGCGAGTTTGACATGTACTTGAGCCAGTTGGGTTTCATGCCAGGGCAGTACCAGCAAGCACAAGCACAAGCACAAGCACAAGCACAAGCCCAGCAAGAGCAAGGCGTCAACGCCGCAAACGCAGACCAGCTCGACGCCACCATGCTCGGCGGTGGCGCGAGCGGATCACATAGTGGGATGGAGGGCATGCTCCCGTCAGCTAGCAGCAATAGCGGTGTTCCTATGCAACAGCAGCAGCAGCAGCAACAACAAGGGTCCGTGTTACAGCAGCCCCTGACGACGAATCAGCTCGGTGACTGGTTCTCGGGTAACAACTACATGCTGGGTTTGCTAGAAGAGGATCTATCGGGGATACACACGTTCAACTGGACGCCGTGAGGAGATCGAAGTAGCTAGCTGCAAGCATTTATCTCTCAATTAAGAGACTTGCGGCATAATCGCACGGATGCGAAACTTTGCCCGGGCTTGAATTCGCTTGAGAAAAACGGCATGGAACAATCCAAGAGAAGCCCGGCTACTGGCCAGATCAGGCAATCACGTTGTGAAACATTGTAGTATAGTGCAGTCTCGGCGGCTGTTGTATTGTGACACATATTTCTCGAATGAATGAGTCTATAACACGATGAGTTGCCGCGCTCGTCATACACACCTTCGTTCATGATACATGTGCTGTCGTTGTTTGTCTGCTCTTATTTAGATACCAACATGCAGCGACACACAGTCCTCAGGACAGGCACGAGAGAACACACGCTCTCCGCGGATCGTACCGAGAAAGTCCTGTGGACAACCATAAGATTGATCAAGACTCTGCATGAACACCATGCTCTCATGCCGTTCTCAGTTCTTCTTCTTCTTCTCCTAGACTACATGTACAGACTCGCCACGGCAGTAATGTCGCGCTTGATCATCTCCTGCGCGGTCTGCATCTTCTGGTACAGCTCCGGGTCGCCAATGATGCGCGCCGCATTCTTGACCTCGCGGCACGTCTCGTCGAGGCGGGTGATTGTGCGCACAATGGTGCCCTCGAGCACGTCGGTCAGGTCGGTGATGTTCTTGAACGACATACCCCGGGCCCACTCGTAGACGACCTCCATGAGCCCGAAGCGCGGGCGCGAGACAAAGTCGTTGCTGTCCTCGGATGACTGGATCACCTGGTGCTCCGTCTGGATCGCGTTGACCTTTTCGCTGATCTCGACGATGGTCTTCATCCCGCGCTCCAGGCTGCCCGTCAGGTTGGGCACCATGTCCGTCTTCTCCTGGAAGACAAAGACGGACAGGAGCGCCGCGATCTCGGCGGGCTCGTAGTCGGCGAGCACGTTGTCGAGGATCAGCTCGGTGAGCACGAGCTCGTCCGCCGAGTGGATCTCGCAGGCCACCTTACCCTTGAGCTGGATCCGGGTGTCCGCGTCGATGAAGGAGAGGTCCTTGAGGACCTGGATGCGCTGCTCATAGTCGGGCAGTAGCTGCAGGTTCTGGTCTGACAGGGCCTGGCGCAGCGAGGAGATGTGCTCCTTGATGAGCCACTGGTCGTGGCACATGGCATACTATGGAACAACGAATGATTAGCAATTCATCCCACCCCCCCAAAAGTCAAGCCGGGATCCGAGAGCATCGGACTTACGTGTTTCAGGAAGTTCGGGCACGGCGTTGTGGCCGTCTCCTGTGTGATTTTGAGCTCCGTGCGGCGCTTCTCCATAATCTCCTGCAAGGGAAGGCTCTTGATCTTGGAGAAGTCCATCTCCTTCCAGATATCTGCCTCCCAGCCAGTCTTGCAGAGCGCCAGCATGCGCTCCTTGGCCTTTTGGTAGTCGTCCCCACCTCGGAAGAAGTCTGGCACGATGCCAGAAGCGATGGTCCCGGTCAGACATTCCACATCACTAAGTGGAACATGTACCGTCTTCCCCATCATTTGCTTCTTGGCCTTGGGCAGAGGTGTAAGCAGGGGCCGGAAGTTGTCGATGAAGGGCAACAGATCAGTAGAGTCTCGGGTCTCGCGCCCACATCTGATCTCAAAGACGTGTACTGTAGGCTGGCCAGCAAGCGTCTTCGTGCTGACGCCTTCTGACAGCAAAAGACCTGGCGTCCGCACGCCGTCCTTGTTCCACACGATCAGCCTCGATTGTGCAAACATCTTCTTGCCAATAGGTATGCTCAGGAGGCCCTGGTACAGCTCCTGCGTCAGCTGCTTGAAGCTCATAGCTGCCTGGTGGCACTGGTCGATAGATGGGTCGCAGATCTCGCATTTCTCACGCTTGATCTTTGCCAGGTCGGCCTCTGAGAGCTTGACTGCCTTTTCGTGTTCGGGCAACAGCTGTTGTGTGGCATGTTCCGAGAAACTACGCTTAATCATCTCCTCAATCTTCAATGCCTCGACTCGCAAGAGGTTGAGAATCATGTTATACGTCAGTCGGAACTGAGACCTTAGCTTGCTAGGAGGGTCCAATATCATCTTTTGCAATTCGATGACTGGCGGTGCTTCGTCCACATTCCCTGGTGGCACAAGAATGACATAGCCGACTGTGTCAAGACCACGACGTCCCGCACGACCAGCCATCTGCGTGTACTCGCCAGGTAGAAGGTTCCGGAAAGAGTGCCCGTCGTGTTTTCTAAAACCAGAGAAGACAACAGTCTTTGTGGGCAAGTTGAGACCCATGGCAAAGGTCTCGGTCGCAAAGAGAACCTTTACCAGCGTCTGCGCGAACAAGATCTCGACGATCTCCTTGACAATGGGCAGAAGACCGCCATGGTGCACCGCTATACCACGTGCAAGAAGCTCCCTCAGACGAATAATCTGTGGCAGGACTCGATCTTCGGGTCGCAGGCGAGCTACCGACTTCTCAATGATCATGTGAATATGGCTCTTCTCTTGAGCTGTCGTGAAGTCCTGGTTGCTGAGAGCGTCGGCATTTTCCTCGCATCTCTTCTTGGAGAAGACGAATATGCAAGCCGGCAGCAAATTGGACTTCTTGAGGAACTGCACCAAGTGCACCCACAAATTCTTGTCCTGTGCGGCGGACGAAAAGCCACCCGCGCGACCACCACGACCCATGTGGCCAGGTGCATGACTGGCTCGTGGAGGACCACCGCCTCTCCCGCGCTGCTGCCCGCCGCCCCTCTGGCCGCCTCTTTGGGGTCCGCCACGCTGAGGCCCGCCTCGTTGGTTCCCTCTCTGGTTGCCGCCTCCACGGCCAGACGCCGCTGCGGCTGTTGGGGGCGGGAGCTGCTTGTCCTTGCCTCGCAATGCTTGATCCGCCTCCTTCCATCCCTTTTCGAGGAACTTCTTGTTATTGTCGACGATCTTGTGGATGTTCTTCCCAGCCCAGAGATAGTGCTCTAGGGGAACCGGCCTCTTCGGCGTCGAGATGACGTAGATGTCCTTTTGCTTCGTCCTGCCAACCCAGGAGGCGAACTCGTGCGTGTTTGGCACAGTCGCGGAAAGGAGAATCAACGACACGTGCTCGGGCAGCATAATGATGACTTCCTCCCATACCACTCCGCGCTCAAAGTCATTAACATAGTGGACCTCATCAAAGATGACAAACTCGACGTCCCGAATCAAGTCTGCGCCGCGATAGAGCATACTCCGTAGAATCTCGGTCGTCATGATCAGACAGCTGGCCTCTGGGTTGATCTGCACATCACCGGTCAAAATGCCCACCTCGTCGAATGTCTGTCTGAAGTCTCGGAACTTCTGGTTGCTTAGAGCCTTGATAGGTGACGTGTAGATGGCTTTGGTCATGTGTCGAGCTGCCAGAGCGATGGCATACTCAGCCACCACGGTCTTGCCGGCAGAGGTGTGAGCTGCAACAAAGACCGAGTCGCCGTTCTCCAAGTGGTAAATAGCCTCCTTCTGGAACGTGTCGAGCTCAAACGGCCACTCCCTAGCCATATCTGGCACGAGTTCCCGGAAGTTCGTAATGTCCTTGTTGATGTCGACCATGTGCGCCCACTCCTTGCCAGCTTTCCTCGCACTGGACGCTGCCAGGTTGCCATGGGGCTCGAGTGCAGGAAACTCGTTTGGTAGAAGGGCATCTATGTCCTCGACATCTTCCTCGTCGGAGCCAGCTTCGTCCTGGCGGTTATCCGTGTGGCCATTGATATCGTCGCTCTGCGGAGCGTCTTCGGGCTCCTGGTCGAGCTCTGCCTCAATGTCCTTGGCTGCCCTTTCGTTGACCTTGGACTTCTTCTTGCTGAAGTCGATGCCTCGCTCCAGTCCAGGAGCCACGGACAGTAGACCTCCTTCGGTGCCGAGCTTAATGACACGCTCAAGCTTGTTGGTCGAGCCTTCACTAGATCCCTGTATCGGGCGCATCATCTGGTCCTCCATGGCGGCGGTGGCCTCGACGCTCTCCAGGCCACCCGGAGCAAACGGGAAGAAGCCTGCCGCGCCGCGGACAAAGTCTGCCCGGCCAGCCGGCTTGCGCAGGAGGGACGTCGAGTTCTTGGCTGTCGCGCTGTTGGCGGGGATCGTGACATTCTTGTAGCCCGTGACCCTGCCCTCGAGCCCTTGTCTCTGAAACCGAGTCACTGTGCGAGACTGCGTCGGCGCAATGCGAAAGAGCTCGGTGAGGTCGGTCGGGCAGTCCCATCGTTGCTGCAGGCGGTTGAGCCACTCGGTCGAGAACTTGTTGGACGGGGTCAGGAAGCGGTTCTCGAGGTCGGCCTTGATCGCGGCGGGGTCCTGCTTGACTTTCTTTCGTGGCTTCTGCTGGAACAGCAGGTTGTCGACCTCGAAGTCTTGTTGCTGCTCCTCGCTCTGCAGGTGAAGCTGCTGCATAGCTTCCGCGAGGTCTGGGGAAGCCATGGTGGGTTGGTGGGGGAGGGTGCAGTAGCTCAGAAACTTGCTTTCATGTCGGACGTAGGATGCTACCAGGGGTGAGAAGCTTTCGGCGGCAGACGACAGGCCGTAACAAGTGTGTGGCCTGCTTGAGAACAGGTGCCAACCTCGTGGGTTCGTGGTGAGGTCGAGCTGTCATTGAGGGCTTCATTCCGCGCTTGTGCAGGTGTCCCGCAGTAGTCTCAGTCCGAACAAGGACCCCACCACAACGTCACCACCACGCTATTCTCAACGAAGCAGCTTCAGAGCTTTCTAGAGTTCCTGAAAACTCACGACAATTCATGACCTCAAATTATGATATAATCCTCATTCGATCGCGATCAGTTTCCTTCTTCAGTTTTCTCCAGGCTACGTGTTGCCCAGATGGGCTTACTCTCGTCTATTTGCTTCAATCCCGCTTAGGAAAATGTGTATAGCCTGCCGATCACTTCGAGGTTATCATGGGATCTTTCAGGGGGAAGTATCCATTCTGCTAGCTCATGTCTGAACATCTTGCACCTGGGTGAATGACTTGATTTCAAAGAACATGCTGAATATTGTGAGGGTTGGATGACAGCGAGACTCGTGCTAGATAAGTATGCATCGCAAAAGGCCCAAAACGCCAGATAATACCCCAATTCTCGAAAACAAACGCTGGCCGAATACCTCCCATCTCGGGCTCTAAGCGAGGGTGGTTCTCCTCTGCCTTCCTTCTGAGGATTTCTAATGCAAAAGTATGGTCGCAAATAAGCATGTGCCAGTTTGGCACTTTAGGCCCTCAACGCACGCAGGCGCTGCTGGAGGGCATCCTCCTCCTCTGCGGTAGGTTCATTTGCCTGGGCAGAAACTGGCTCGGCCGTGCTTGGCTGAGCGGCATTGAGTTCGCGGTTCAGCTCGACACCGGCGTCGTCGGCGAGCTTGCCCAGAAGTTCGTGGACAGCATCTTCGGAGACCTGCTGCGATGTGGTCTGGCTGATGGCGTCCTGGTAGATACCGTTGTTCATGGCGTACTCTTCATTCTGCGTCTTGAATTGCTCGAGCGTAAGCAGTGTCTGTCTCACAGGTTAGCCACGAATCATCACGACGCAACATGTGTGCACGAGCCATCAAGGCCCGAAGTGGGAAACGCACCCTCTCCGGATTCGTGTTGCGCTGCGCGGCGTTCATGACGCGCGAGGACTGGGCCATCATGTGTGTCATGCGGTTCATGGCGTTGTTGGCCTGGATCTGCGAGGCGCTGAGCTCGGCCATGTCGGCCATCTGGTCCATCTGCTGGGCAAGCGCCTGCTTCGAGAGCAGCATCTTGGCCTTCTGGTAGGCCTTTGCCGTCTCGCCCTTCTTCAGCAGGTCCTGGATTTGCTTCTTGAGTAACGGATCTTGCTTCGCAGCCTTCTGCGCCTCACGGCGCGCCTGCTTCGCTTGGAACTATGATCGAGGAGATGGCCAAATTAGCGACTGTTGAAATGGGTGATAGGAGACGCTCGTTGGGACTCGGCCGCCAAGGCTGCGCCGAGCGGGCGGTGGAGATGTGTATGCTAGGCATGACATACGCGAGCTTGGAACTCGACCTGCATATCGCGGGCCTGCTGGCGATTCGACATGTTGGCAGAGATGGGGCGAGGAGTCCGGTGATGACAGTCGTTATCGGGCGATGACGTGCGGGGAAGGTGTCGATCGTCGGATGGGATGGCAGCTGTCTGGAAGATGTCGGTTGGCTCGAGGATCAGTGTCTATGCTGTGCGATGGTGTTTTGTTGCGGAGGACAAGACTGCTGGAAGGGCGTCGGGGTCGATAAGGGACGGCGGCGCATCAAAGAGGTCGCCTGCGCGGGATTGCCGTTGTCGGTCCAGGTCTCGGCCATGCGCAGGCTGGAGTCAGGCGCATCTGGGCTGCCTGGCCTGGCTGGCTGGCTGGCGGGACCGCACACCCTCCTGCGCCCAATGACGCACTTTGGTCGGCGCTCCAGAGTCCAGCCCGGACACCCCGCGTTGGCGCCACAGCTGGCCACCGGTCGCCATGTGGCTGGTGCAGCTGACGGTGGCTGACTGGCGCTCTTGCTTCGTCCTTGGTCCCTGCCAAGCTGCTTCGCTTCTATGACACAAGCACTTTCTGATGGGTGCATCGAAACAGACATTAAGAAGCCTCATAGAAAGAACTCGAGGGAACTCAAAAAACTCTACTTAATCCCTATGGCTTCGGCATCATATTGCACATCATAGCTACCAAAACGAAGATGACGAAACTCAATGTCCAATCTTTTCCTCGGCCGCCACTGCTCGAACGAACCGCTCGCCATCTGCTTGTGAAATGGAAGGGTGAAGTCATTGCTGACACGAAGGAGGCATACTGGGTCCTGGAAACTCACCATCCTCCAAGTACGCCACCTGCATTCCCCGTTCTCGATCTGGGTTCTGTCACTCGATATTTGAGCAGAGAGAGACGATTTATGCTCAATATAATTATATAAGTTAATTTCATTTGTAAGTCTCTTGTGCTAACCACACCTTCGACCAAACCATACAGCGTATTACCTCCCACCAGCCAGCATCAGGGTGCCTCTGGCCCAGACCCCACGCTCGTCATACTGCGAGTGGAAAGGCAGAGCAACGTACTACTCCATCACGCACGGCGGCGAGACGGTGGCCAACCGGATCTGGTCATACAACTCGCCAACGAGCTCCTTCACGCCCATCAAGGGCTACCTGTCGTTTTACGCCGGGCCCTGGGACTGCTACGTGGATGGCGAGAAGGTCGAGCCACAGCCGGGCGACTTCTACGGCGGCTGGGTGACCAGCGACATTGGTGGCATTGTCAAAGGGCGAGATGGGAACTTTGACCCAGTTGTGTAAAAGAAATGTTCGTGAACATCAGGTGTTTCGTCAGATGGCAACAAATTGAATGAGACTGAATATTATAGGAATTCCTGTGATCGATTGGGAATTCCCGATAGGCCTTGGTCGCTGCATTAGGCTCTCTGGTTGATCTAACAAATCTGCTGCCGCCAATGATAGCTCAAATAACAACAGTATCGTTCATCACTCTGAACTTGAACCATGAAAGATTCCAATCTGGGAGCAAACATTTAACAAAAGAAATGATGATAAAAAGGTACCCGAGGTTATTCAAATTTGCAATATAAACTAATCCATCGTCTTGCGTAGTTTCTTGCATGTTGAAAACCATGGACATCTGAGCATGACTTGACAACCACCTCGCCGTTGAATGTCCATGAGCCACGTCCAATACGCTGATATCCGGCTCGGACAGGAAGCCGCCGGAGCAGATCCTTGCCAGACGAACTCCCGCCACCATATCGCCCAGTAGCAGCGGCACATTTCACGACTGTTGCGACAATCCCGATTCCTGATGATTATTATTCCTGCATTGTGCAGCACTCCTTAATCGACACATTCACTCCTCCATTTGTAGCTCCAAGCTGACCTGTATCTTATGTCAGATCCTCCCAATCCCACAAATCCCCAGTCAGCACGTCTTGGCAAAAGGTATCTCCCACCGATCAGCATCAGCAGGGATCCGGCTCCTGGAAGGCTGCTGCTGACATGTCACGATCGTTTGGCGCCATGCCCATGGTAACATGTTACCTAACCATCCTGCGTTAAGCTGCATGCGGGGGCCGACGGCCGATAGGTCTCCAAACGATAGTACAATCGATTCGCGAAGAGAAGGATCGGGAGCCCGTGAGCATGCAAATGGCCCTGTATCGCTTGCTATCCATCTGTCCTGCAGAGGCCAGGGGCTTGTGGCCGTTCTGGGTACAAGGGCTCCTGACGTAAGCAAAGTCCCTTGTGTAATCTGTGTGATAGAGGGACGGATGAAATGTCACGAATATGCACGTCGAGTCGCGCAAATACCAGGCACGCTTCGTAGCCCAGAGGAGGGCCGTATCTCCCTTCTCCAGATCCACGAGAATCACATGTTAGCACCATGTCAAGAGTCGGACATGTGAGCCTGTGGGCTGGCATGATTGCCCCAGATTGGACCAGCCGACGATGAAGACGTAGTGCTGCGGCAGCTGGGCAGTGCAGTGCCGCCGACCTGCTTCACCAAGAAGGTAGACACAATCCGGTGCATGCATGACCTGCAGCTCTCGGAGAGCTGCCCGCCGCTGCAGAATTGTTACACGTCTGGGGGAGAACGGGCAGGTCTCGACCTCCGTTGTGGCGACTGCCTATCTAGGGAGGTCCCCTTGCGCGGAGTTGGAGCAAGGGTTGCGCATTCAGGGGTTCGCTTCCTAGGGCCGATGTTGCGGGGAACGCAGACGATTGATTGCCGGGAGGGGAGGACGTGGCTGGCCAGCCTCGCAAGCCAGCCTGAGAAACAACAAGGGGGACCCCCCCGTCGGAGGAAGGTGAATCGTTACTGTCTTGCCATGCGATGGAACAACAAGAAACCCCTTGGCCTATCTCGGAGGATCGTCCCGTGTCAGGGGTAGCACAAGGTCCCTTCGAGACTAGTTGCCACGCCGCGTCCCTTGCGCCGCCCCGGATTCTAGATGTTGCATTGTGCATTGTATGCAGCTCATGCAGCTCATGCAGCTCATGCAGCTCATGCTATGCTTTGCGGCGATCCTCGATGCTGAACGGCACGGAGGAATAGGATCCGGATCGTCGTCAACGTCCGTCACGCGTCAGCTTCATCCCACCAGTCATCTGAGTCGTGCCTGCTATGCCTGTCAATGTCTCCCTCGGTCCTCCATGCCTACCGGCACTCGGGCACATGCAGGGACATTGATTCAAATGCTTAGAGAATGGACAGTGCTAGGAATCGATCTTCGATCCGCAATCCCGGGTTGACTGGCGAACGACGACTGGTGCGTACAATGTCTCGCAAGCCAAGCCAAGGGACTGAAATGCCCACCCGCTGTGGCCAATCGAGCAAATCTCGAGTCAAGGGGGGGAGGGAAAGCATTCCGGCAAGGGGTAGAGCTCAATTCTCCAATGTCTCAGGCTTGTCGAAACATAAGAGCTGTGGATAAGACTGAAACAATCTCGAAATCGCATCTGTGGGATATCCCAGATTACTCGTATACCTATGAATATCTCGTATTTGTCCCACGGACTTTCTGGGTCCATACTGGCACGACTGGTGCAACGCGCGGCCCTCTTGAGATTGAGTCTCCATGGTCGTGGCAGTCTCTTGCAAACCCCGGTCTCAGTCGTTGTACACAGGCAGGATTGTTTAATGATAGAGGAGTGGTTCCAAAACCGTGGTGGACCTGCTGAATTGCGCTACAAGCCAAGTTTGGAACAGCGTAATAACGATTCATTTGGTGCCTGCCTAGTGGAGCTTCTGGCGACGCCATCGCACTGAGAACTTAGTTGTGTCTTGCCCCTGCATACATATCGTTCGTTCCTACTTCGTTTTGATGCAGGCTCCAACTCTCCGGCGGCCGATCAACAGAGCTGAGCACCGTGCACAAGGTGCTCTTTCTTGACTTCATTCCTACAGCCTTGTGGAGCCAGGATCTAGTTGAGGCCTCTCGAGCCGCAGGCACAAGATGTGTCTCTGATGATCACTGATGAATGGGGCAGGAATCAAAGCGCTTGTGGTGGTTACGAATCGGATCTTGGGAGCAGCATCCGCCATTGAGCCCCACCAAGACGAAGACCCAGTAATTATCGTATCTCCAGCCATCGGTCGAGTCAATCAATGTCCACATTGACCTCCCACCTGAGTGGGTTGTACGAAGACCAGGAGATGCGCCCCACGATTGAGGACCTCCGTCCTCGTTTTAGAGCCGGCTTTGTCCTGCCCGGCTCCTGCCCACGGTCGTGCCCGCCCGACGTACTGCGTGCGTAGTAAGCCAACCTTGGTTGACAACCATCGTCCCTGCTCTGTTACGACTTCCTCGGGGCGTCTCTTTGGGGATTTGCGGGCGTTCAAAGCATGAGCCAGCATATATGTAATGCATCGCAGACTCTTTCAGCTAGGGGTACTTGCACTTTTCCAGATTCTCTGGTCTCGCCTGCCCGAAACCATTGAGCAGAGCGAAGAGCTGACTTATTGTGCATACGATACACTACACTCACTACAGGACCATGTCCCACATCTCCGTTCTTGTTCGGCGCAGTCTGTTTCCCAAAGTCTTTCAGTGATCGGAGCTAGCGTCTACGAGTGTTTATTGCTATCACTTCGCATCTGTCAACTCTGCAACACATTGCTAGTCCATGTTGAATTGAGTAGTCGACCAAAGAGTTCTTCAGCAACAGAAGCAAAGAGAAGGATCGCGCATGCCGGTTGGGCATGGAGACGAGCTGTGATATCTACCTCTGCTCATGCATCATGCCAGCAACAGGGCCAGTGGTGGGAGGGGGAGATCTTGCAACCCCTCCGACAGCCTTGCTTTGTGTGCACCAACAGCCATTGTCAGCCACGTCTCGTAACTTGCAGGAATTCGTGTAACAAAGATGCGTCTCGTCAACACAGCTACCGAGCGGCTCGTTCAGCTCGTGAGCCCTCCAGCACATTATGCGATTCTGTCCCACACCTGGGACGTGGGCGAAGTCTCATTTCAAGACGTCGAGAATGGCTGTGCACCTGAGAGAAGAGGCTACGCCAAGTTCCAGGGAGCAGTTAAGCTCGCCAGGGACCAAGGTTACAAGTACATCTGGATCGACAACTGCTGCATCGACAAGTCGTCCAGCGCTGAGCTCTCCGAGGCTATCAACTCCATGTTCACATGGTATCGCAGGTCAAGCAAGTGCTACGTCTATTTACACGACGTCTCAGCATCTCCTGAGCATTCATCATCGTCGGCCTCTGCGAGCACCGCGGACAATTCGCCTATCCACGACCAACACTTCCGCCAGCAGCTCAATCGCAGCCGATGGTTCCTCAGAAGTTGGACGCTCCAGGAGCTAATCGCCCCGAGCTCCGTGCACTTCTACGATCGCGGATGGACCTGGCTCGGTATCAAGAACGATCCTGCATGGACCGGTGCACTGAACGAGCTGACTGGAATATCGTATGAAGTACTCCAGTACCCCGAGGGCTACAAGAATGCCAGCGTGGCGCAAAGGATGTCATGGGCCGCAAACAGGGAGGCCACGCGCGAAGAGGACATTTCCTACTCCCTCTTTGGCGTCTTTGACATCAACATGGCGCCTCTGTATGGCGAAGGAGGCCCCAGCGCGTTTCGTCGGCTCCAAGAGGAAATCATACGGCGCCATGCGGACGACTCCATCCTGGCATGGAACCCCGCGCCCCACGACGCCAAGTCATGGTCGCAGTCTACCTACGCACTCCATCGTGGGTTGGCGGCACTGGCACACTCGCCCGCCTGCTTCCGCGATGCGCGAGACATTGTGCACTTCCTGTCGCCCTGGGCATTCGAGCTCGAGAACATGGCCATGACGCCTCTAGGCCTGCTGCTCGAGGCGCCCGTCATCCACAAGGTCCACGGCTCGTCCACCGCCACCGCGGTGCTGTCGATTCGCAGGTCGGGCGACTTTCGAGGTCTTCTCGGCATCGGGATGAGGCCAGCTCGGACGCACGACGGCCACTCTATACATGTGCCGCAGTCGTCCCAGGCTCTACCTTTATATCAGCGTACTGGCCTCCGCTACCTTGTCATTGGTCGAGATGTCTCGCCCGAGGCACTGCAAGACCCCCCAAAGGAAAAATTCCGTCTGCTGGAGGATGTTCAATTAGAATCCGGCCAGGGACGCGGCTTCAGCACAATGCAGAAACTGGCACGGATATGGTTACGATCTTACCCACCAGAGTTGCTCATCGCCGGTGCTGACCCGCCGGAGGCATGGAGACCAGAACGGCAAGTCTTTGAGCCCCTGGTCAATGACCGGAGCAAGCGTAAGCGCCGCATATTGCTCTTCGAGGGCGGCAGCCGTGTTGAGCCCGACGCGCCAGAACCTAGTCAAAGACTAGTCGTGGTAGTCCTGCGCCTTCAGTCGCACAGTTCGATCAAGCTCCCAAATTACCATGTCGGCATCGAGGTTTCCTCAGTTGTGGTACCCAAGGGGGGCTCGACGGGCATCCTCGCCACTGAGGCTGCGCGGCGGCTGGGGACCGCGGGGGCCCACCATGCGCAGGGCGTATTGTATCTCGATGGGAACGGCGCGTGGCGGTCGAATGCTGCTAAGGCTGTGCTTCAGCTGGGTTCGTCAAAGGTGAGGTTTACCTTTTGCCCCGAGCAAGTCCTCGGGGAGTGGGTACACGTTCTTGATATCTCATGGGAAGAGGGATAGAATCGTCTACAGTTGATTCTGAACGCTTGAAAAGCGTTGCGTGATCTCCCTTGGAGGTGGTGAACATTTTGCGAGCCCTATTCAGTAGCACGCTCCGAAACCTCAAAGCAACTGGCATAATACCTGCGCTACTGGACGTGCCCAAAAAGGGTTACTTGCACTTCTCTTCGCAAGAGTGTGCTACCTATCGTGGTGACTGTGTAAACCCCACATTTCGTAGTTGTGGAAGGATCCAGAATCTACAAAGCAGCACTACGAAGGAGGGCTCCAGAGTCCCCCCACTCATTCAAGCTACAACATGCCTCCTGTTTGTCCATGTTCATGAAACATTGGGCACGCCACTCACCGAACCTCATAGCGGAGGAACTGGGACGGTGATGTTAATGTTTACGTTCGGATGCGCGACGGTTGAAGTTTCCATGCAGCCCAGAACTCTGCTATGAGACACAGTCGACGGTTCGGGCATAAAGTGACTGTGTGCCCACATCATCTAGGCAGACAATGTGCACGAGACTGACCCCCCAAGAGCCAAAAAAGATTATCGACGGCTCCCTAGTTAAAAATGCCAACTACGGCCAGCACTGCATCCGTATTGGGAAGCGTCCAGTTCGAACCAGCAGGACGGTTTGCGTATCAAGGTTTCGTCTAAGATAGGCCGCGAACTCTTCAGGGGGTGAAACCCGCAGATTGCGCAACCTTCCAATCTGGAACCTGCGACACGTGCCCATGCGTGCCCAGTTCTGACGGGCAGCAATCTGTGGCACAACTCAGCTAATGACCAGCCTCGAGTATACTCTCCTCTGTATGATTACTAGAGAGCGACGATCTAAAGCAGGCCTCTCTGCAACCCGCCGTCGCCAATGTACCCAGGTCTCTGGGCTTACGACATATGTGCAATGGATGGACGACAAGCAGCGAGCATTTCGTCATTAGAGGTGTCTAAGGGCTTCTGGTGGCCGTACTGAACCAACCAGAAGTCCCCGCCGTCGTGTTATTGGCCTAGGTCAAGTCGGGAAAGCTGCTAATTTTGGCGCACTGATAGCCGCACGCACGACGTACTCGAGCCTCCTCGGGAGCCCCTGCTGTTCCGTGTCCGAGAAATGCGCAGCACGCACTGAACCTGCCCCACGGTCTAATCGCACGGTTCGAGCCGCCCGCCTTCCGCAAATAGGCTTCCCGTCAAAGACGTCCATGGGGCATCTTGGCGCTGGATCCTCATTTTTGCCTATTGTGCCTAGGAGGAATGGCTGCGGAGTGGTATCGCTGCATACACAGGATGACTGCCGTGCAGGGGAATCTGGAGGGCTCGGAGGTGAAGGGGCGCTGGCCCCCCTATCTGGAAAGTGGGCGGGAGCATGTCATCCGTGGGGACGGCACTGGCGGGATCTCGTGGGAATCTGAAGGAGGGCCGGGGGGTGAGACTCGAGACCCCTCGACTAACGTTACCTACGACTCCACTGGAAGGCAGTGTAGGACGGTGCTGACGCTGCCGGTACTGTGCAGACGGACCTCCAGGGCTGGTTCAGTGGCTGGGCCAAGCGGGTGCCACGGAGGCACAGAGAAGCTGAGGACATGTCAAGCCACCAATGAGATGCATGCCTTGGCCACACGAGCAGCCGAATGTGCAGTACGGGCCCGCAAATCCGTACAACTGAGGTGGGCAAGAGGGATGGGATGCTCAGTCGATGAGGAAGGCTGAATGATGGTTTCTGCCATAGCATCCCATCACGCCAGCTGTGTTCTAAATTGGGCTGCTCCACCTGCTCTAGAGGCGCTCGTCTCTCTGTTGCAAAGACCGCGAGGAAGCCTGGCCATAACTCAGTCTGGCCTGCAACTTCTGGTACTTTAGATGGGCTATCAGTGGGCTTCGCTGTCGTCAGCGGTGTAAGAATATTGCATGGCCCGGCCTGGATTACTGCAGGTCTGACAATTCGTGCGCTGACCGTCGATGGCGGACGAGCCCCCTGGGCGCCAGTGACTGCAATACAATACGTACTATGTCGCCCCCTGAACAAGCGGGCTGCTGTCGTGGCTCGACACGAGCGTCGAAGAGGTGTGGGTGGGCTCGACGGAGCGAGGGAGCGAGGGAGAGACCCGTGGACGGATTCGAGGAAGGACGGAGGGACGGTGGAGCCCTTGATGTGCGTGGAGGGGCCGGCACGCCATCCCTGCTCCGCCCGCCGCAGGCCCGCGAAGGAACCTTCCTTGGCTGACACACGGCCCAAAAGGGGCTGGTGGCCTGGCATCTCAGGCAGCCCGCCGCTCCCTTGCGAACAACGTGTCCTGAACATAAAGAGAGGCCCTCGCTCCCACCCACCAGGCAGCCCTCGCCCAGACAGACCAGAGCACTCAGCACAGCCCAGCACGACGCAGGCACCAGGCCGTATACATACTCCCCTCCAGCCAGCTCTGGACACTTGGCCTTTGGTCTGAAGCCCATTTCGGTGCCTGCCTGTCAACCCCACCCACCCCAAGCGTTGACTCATGACGGAGGCAGCCATGCCATGGTGATGGTAGCCAGCGCCTGTTATTTGTATTGAGGCTTTGGGACAGCTCCTCTACTGCACGGCATATCCAGACTCACCACACCAACCACATTCACAATGGCCTCTACAGATTCTCAGCAGTCCTCGACGCCACTCGTCAAATTCGAGGCGTCACCTGTCGAGTCCCTCCTCTCAGTCCCCGGCGATATCTACCCTTCGCTGTTTGACAACACCATGGACGATTCAAGTGTCATGGACCCACTGGAGGGTGTTCTCACCCCAGCCTCCACCATGGAGAATGCAGAGGAGACACCCGCGCCCGAGTCGGCCGGCGACAAGAAGCCCGTAAAGAAGCGGAAGTCGTGGGGTCAAGTTCTCCCAGAGCCCAAGACCAATCTGCCCCCCAGGTAAGTCTCTTTAGGTGTTCAGGCTACGCTGAAGTGAATCCAATCAGCACCACTAACACCAGACACAGGAAACGCGCCAAGACGGAAGATGAGAAGGAGCAGCGCCGTGTCGAGCGTGTCCTGCGAAACCGTCGCGCCGCCCAGTCCTCTCGAGAGCGTAAGCGCCAAGAGGTTGAGGCCCTGGAGGAACGGTGCAAGCAACTGGAAGAGGCGCTTCGGGAGCGGAACAACACTGTTGACCTCTTGATGGACGAGATGCAGCGCCTCCGGGGCCAACCCGGTCGGAGCTCCTCTCCTCTCAACGCCTACCACAACCAACCCTCCCCCCTTTCTCTGTCCAAGCCCCTTTTCGGCTCCGATGGATCGGAGCAGATGGATGACTTCATCCTGATGCCCGAAAACAATGGCACTGTCAACCCCGCGTCTCTCTCCCCCGAGATGACACCCGTACCCGATGACATGCCCGAGGTCAACTCGACAGCGGCGACGTCAGCCACTGACGCGGCCGCCACCCCCAAGGTAACCTCCTCCGACGTGACACAACATCCAGCAGCGGTGTTGTGCGACCTGCAGTGTCAGTCGTTGGAGGTTCCTCAGGAGTGGTCGGCATCGCGACAAGTGCTGCCGCCAGCGCTGTCTCTCTTTCTGCAGCTCCAGATGCTGCTGACAGCCTCCTCGGCGATTCTTTCGGCATATCGGCGTCCATTGACCTTGATAGCTGGAGCGCTCAAGAACAATTCAGCCCTTCCAGCGACCCCCTCAATTTTGAGTACAATCATATGGCTGGTGACGCGGCCCCCCAATTCCCCGAATTCGACTTCGAGCAATTCCTCAGCGACGACGTCAGCGGCGCCTCCGGCACTGCCGCAGGAAACGGCTCGATCACCCAAGAGCCCGAATCCACTTTCAGCTTCTTCGACTCTGAGAATCAGATCCCTTCGGAGACTTTTAACCAGCAGCCCCTTCCTGGCGCGTCCTCTCTTGGATGCGACGATGGGGTTATTGCGGTTGGTGTCTGAGGGACGCGATGACCAGATCGAGGAGCTGGCAGATGGATCCCCGGGTATCAAGGGAGATCGTAGCCGTGGCCCGCGTACGTGGCCAGATGGCACCAGCTTACCGTCGCAAGAGCTATTGCTCACTTTGATGTGGGCGATCAAAGTTCAGGAACGACAAACAGCACAGGAGAACTACCACTCCTCGCCCAGTTCCCGATCAGGGTCAAGCGTCTTTCACCATAAACAAACACCAACTGAATACAACAATGTACAAAACATGACATTAAAAAGGAAACGATCAATCAAAGATCAGGGGGCGGTTCAACGGTTGAGGTTTGGGAGTTCCGGGGTACGGCGTTAGCTGCAGTTTATGACGACTGCTATGATGAACAGACAAAAACCTGTTTGAAAATACAATCACGATGACAATATTTTTTCAACTTCCTTGACGCCTTGGTGACTTGTACGTCTCTGATATTCTCTTTCGTTGAGTAAGTGCTATGGGTCGTGCAAATGACACCGCTGAGGAGCAGTGCAAGTGTCGCCTCCCGCCACTAACGATGCGAGCCAATTAAATGCATTTCTCTGGGCAGGCCGACAGCTGGCGGCGGCTGCTGCAGACTTACACGAGAATTGTGGTGCACCTTTGTTCGCCTTTGACATCCACAGCTTCTCCATATCATTCCTTCTGACCACGACGAATTGTTCTTCGCAGTGGCTAGCTTGCCCTGAACAGCTGCGCTTCATATCCTGTGCGCCGATAGGCGCCATGGGATCCCTCGAGACGGGGAACACCAGGGCTAGCAGCGATGCTGTGACTTTAGTCATCACAACTTCACCTACACCAAGTGCGCCGTCCACGGAACTGCTATGCGCCATTCTAGAGTCATTCAGGACACATTGCACCGAACTTCTGACATGTCGGATCATTGTTGTTCTGGATACCTTTGAGCGCATTGGGCTCCAGCCCCGGCTGAAAAAGGGTCAGGTTACCAAGCAAGGCGCAAAGGACGTTGACGACTACAAGACCAACGTCAAGAACCTCATATTGGAGCAATACTGGCCGCACGAGGAGAAACCACAATTGAGCTCGAGCACCCATGAAGCCGAGTTCGGATACGAGGCAAACGAGGCCAACCACATTTCCGTGGTAGCAACGCACACGCCAGACGGGCGCATCACATTCCTCGAGCCGACGAGAAGGCTTGGGTTCGGGCTCGCCGTGCGGTCAGCTCTGCGCCTGACAGAGACCCCGTACGTCTGGATCCAGCAGCATGACTGGTCACTTGTCACGGACGTTCCCCTGGGCGGCATTCTGGATGTCATGAGGCGGCACGAATGTCACGAATCAAGCCCCGTCAAGTATGTTTGCCTGCCGTCCGTGCGGATGCTGGGCTATGCCACGTCTGGCCATGTCACAAATTTTCCTACCCTGAAGAGCCTGACAGCGGAGCTGCGCAAAGAGTTTGCCGTTCCGTCCACGACGGCCGCGGGGAAGACAGAGACAATTCCCTTGACGCCAATGTTCTTTTGGCACGACAAGCCGCACATCGCTTCCACGGAACATTATCTGTCGCGGGTCTTCCCCACGAGGCTGGCGATACCTCGTGGCGCATTCATCGAGGACACGATCGGCCAGCGTGGGCGCAACCAGATGAAGGAGGGTCAGTGGACGCGCTGGGCTTGCTGGCTCTATTATCCGGATGATGGCCAAACTCTATGTTTGCGGCATCTGCAGGGGCGAACGTGGCGAGGCACAGAGGGCGACCTGGAGCATGTCGCCCAGCACCGTGAACGGAACGCGCTAGCCAACGCCCAGGAAGACCAACAGAACGTTGATGAAGGGTGAAGCGGTTGAAGACTGATAGATCTGTCTGGTGGATAAGCGTTGACCTGGCTAAGGACGACTGCACAATGAAGCACTTTGTGCGGGATGTTGGGTGTTCGACTCACAGCACTGCGATCAAGCTTTCGAGGATGCCACTGGAAGACGAATTAACCCTGATCATTGTTTGTTGCGAATCCAGCCTCAAAACATGACAGCAGCCTGGTGGGCGGTGCCTGGCCTATCGATCCTTGCAGCCCCGCCATGTTCTTCACCATTGCAAGCATTCCTTCATTGTGGACAAAGCGTCGATTTTTGAAGAGCCACTGGACTCATGGCAACAATCGAAGCTGGCAGTCCCCCAAGGTCAACACCGCGAGCGATTGGTCGTAATGCGTGGCTGCGAACACGCTTGGAACGCGAATCGCCCGTGGCATTCATGCCAGCTCAATAAGCTCAAAGCGGTGTCTTGTGCAAGGATAGACTGGGAAGGCGACGTGCCGTTTTCACGGGGCTGCTGCATGGCTCCGAGGCCAACACACCGAGTCTGGGCGACCTTTCCGACTCGCTCGCCCGCGCTGGTTACACAGCAGCATCCAAAGAGCAGCACGAAAGCCTCGCCAGCGGATGTGCCGTTCCCTGTCAAGCCCCAGCGCCTGAGGAAGTGTTACCAGTCATGCCAGAACGGCACAATGCCAAAGCAGGATGCTGCCACCCGCCCGTACAACACCAATCACCAATCACTTGTAGAAATGGCACCGTGAATTTCCAAGACACCACTTGGGCGTCCTCACTAGGAAGGCATGACCAGACGCTAGGTTGTTTGCTTCCTCGAGGGATGCACCAACAAATCCAATATGCGCACACGACTTGTCAGGTACCTGCAGTCTCCCGTCCGCGCTGTTAAAACTGCTTGCTTGTTCAGGGCCAACACATCCACCAACAGTCAGGCGCGCTCCTAACAACCCGAGTGGCATGTGTGATTTGAGCTACAGATTGGAGACAGTCCGCCCTGGTCCCATGCCATGACGGAAGTAACAAACCCTGACAAGCTTACGGTCCAAAACATCAAAACAGCAATGCAGAAAAGTACCCGCCAACTCCCAATGCCGTCAGCGAGCCAGCGAGCCTCCGGATATAGTGCGAGATACAGGTGATGTACTGCATGCTCTTGGCATGGGTGCGTCACCCAGGGGGAGGGTGGGAGTAACGTAGGCAGAGGTCCGTAGAGCGCATGCCATCACCTTTGCGTGCGGCCTTGTATCAGAGCATGCTTCGCAGCCTGTGTTGTGGTTTTGGGATATATGGAGTTGAATGTGGCTTTAGCTCAACCTGATCCATTTGGTGTCACCACCACCCATGTGAAAACAGCATCCTTTTCCTTCTTGGACAGTGAATATATCGGCGAGGCAATCCTGTGCTGCCTGTTACGTCGCCTCCTCGAAAAGTCAGAAGGTGGAAAGTTTCAACAAGTTGTCATGGCACAAGCGTTCTACTACGGAAGCTCAAACTTTGACGAGCCGCTCCCGTGGACGAATCGGCGCGATGTGATCTGGGGCATGGTCATCACATTCATGGTATGTCCTGACTGGATTCATGACTGATGATGCCGGATGTGCAAATCCAGCAAATCGATTGACCCCTGGGAGCAGATCATGTCATGGCTTTGTGCTATCTTTCGCTTCTATGTTCGCTTCAAGATTGTCCACAGCCTTGGGTGGGATGATCTCTTCCTCGCCGGCACGGTGGTAAGCTAGTCTCTGATGCGAGCCTGGAAGTATGTTCTTGTTGCTGATCATTCCAACCTGTAGTTAGCCATGACGGCTGGATCAATCTCGACGTGTCTCTGTAAGCCATTATCGCCCGTCTTGTCCACGGCTACACTCGCAGAATGCTGATGGCCAGTAGCTGTACACTACGGGCTTGGGCAGCACTTTCTGCTTCTAGACCCGCAGGATATTCCTTCGTATCTTCTGGTAAGCCAAGCCTGCTTTTATGGGCTACCAGCAGTACTGACAGCCATGGTTACCTTTGATAGACCTTTTACATATCGAATGCTTGCTACAACCTCGCGACATCTTTCATCAAGCTTGCCCTCCTCTTCCAATTCCTGCGCATCTTCGAGCGTGGCACCATCGCGCACCGCGCCGCGCAATGCTTGATTGTCTTTACTGCCCTCTGGTCCGTTGCATACTGCTTTTTGGCCTGGTTTCCCTGCTCCCCCGTTAGGAAGATATGGCTGGGCGACGCGGTGCCGGGACGATGCTACGGCTATGGCGCGCCGGAGCCGGGGCCTTTCGTGGCGACGTACATCAGCCACGGCGCGATCAACGTCGCCCTCGATGTGCTCACGCTGCTCGTGCCCCTGCCTTTACTACGCAAAGCTAGCAGTACACGTGCGGATCGCCTGCGTGTCGCCGGTCTGCTGGCGATGGGTCTAGTGTAAGTTCGTTTACCCCCTTCTTCGCCACGGTAACAAAAGGCTGTTCCGGGGGATCTTTCAAAAAGAACAAAAAAAAAGAAAAACTGATATCAAAAGACCCGACTAACAAACCCTTCCTTTTTTGCGATGACCCCCCACCCGCAGAGTCCTCGCAATCGCAGGCTGGCGCCTCCAGACAATCGTCCATCACCAGGCCGCGACGTACCCGACGCGCGACCCGACGTGGTACGCTCCGGTCACCTTCGTCCTCGCGGCCGTCGAGGTCGACATTGCCGCCATATGCGCGAGCATCCCCATCTTCTGGCCCGTCATCTCGACGCTGCAGTGGGGCAAGATCTTCATCACGCACGAGATCCGCGTCACGCGGGAGGACCGAGTCGCTGTCGCTGGTGGTGGTGGTGGTGCGAGCAGCGGCGGCGGCGGCGGCAGTAGCAACAACAGCCATGGCAGCGCTGGGAAGGGACCAGGAGGAGGAGTCAGACGGGAAAGGGAGGAAGAAGGGGAAGCAGACAGGGCCGCATTTCTCTCCCAGAGCTCTGTCGCCTCCTCCTCATCCCCCATAGGTCGTGCTACGCATAATTACGGTAGCAGCAGGGGCAGCGTGCACCAGCACCAGCAGCATGCTGGAGACGATAGCACGGAACATCTCTTCAGCCGAGTGCTCAACAGCGCCAGTCGCAATGCCAGCGACGTCGAGCTCGGCCATGGGCGCAAGAGCGTGTCTGGCCCCTCGAGGAGGACACATCAACGCCACCACTCCTCCGCGAGATGGAGCCGTAGCTCACGCACAAGATCACTCACTCGCGCGGGTACGACAAAGGGGTTGTCATCGTCGTCATCGTCGTCGTCATCGTAGTCCTCGTCGTAGTTTTCGTCGTAGCCGTCGGTCTATCCAATAGTTGGCAGATCAATCCGTGGCTTATCTCACCCAAGCCGAGCAAGTCCAACCACGACAACAAACAACATCCGCGACAAGGATCACAGCAGGAAGAGGAGCTGGCGGGCCCCCCTCCTGTTGACAGCGGGACTGCAGAAGTTCCCGACCAGTTTCTTGAACATGGGTTGCTGGTTGATTCCCAGTAGCTCTCTCTGCAGCACGTACATTGTGCACAGGCTATTTGGCTAGAGAATGCCTGAGTACTCAGGGGAATTGGGCTCTTGATAATACAGTCAGTTTGCTTTCATTCAACAGGCAGTCCTGTCCGGTTTTCGTAGCAATATCATCTATGATCTAGGTGCACGTTTTCAACAGTCGATGAGATCTCTATGCCGTTGAGCGGCAGTTCCACATGCTCGCGGGCCAGTTCACTACTCCAATCAACCATTTCATGTCATAGTCGAGGTATCAAGTCAAGCGTATATGGAAATTTTATTCAACACAAGAAAATTCCGCCTCTGAAAACAAAACAGGGCGCTATATGGGCGATGCCAAGACAAGCAGGCTATGTCGGGTGTTTAGACAAAAGTGGTAAACTAGCCCCAAGAAACAATAGGAAAGGAAATGAAGAGAAATCGAACGTGTCATGTCGCCGCAGCCTCTCAAAAATGAATGATTATCAACTTGGAATCATGATTCACAATCCAACTTCACCACCCTTTTCAGTCTAGTCGTAATCTCCAAACTCGCCAGCACCGTAAGGGTTCCACTCTTGTCCAGGGTACGATGTGGCGCTCATGACGAGCAGGTCCTCAGAGTTGTCGTTGACAGCGGGTAGCTCGTACGCCTCTTCGACGACCTGCTTCTCCTCAGCGTCACGGTCGTGATCCTGGCTGCCATTGGCGGTCCCATTGGGAGGAAGATCCTCGTCTGAGACAGTCGCGGCTGCGCCAGCGGCGCCCATCACTCCAGCTGCGCCACCGACGGCGACCGCCGCAGCGACATTCTTATGCTTGTGGGCTGGCGGCTCCTGCTGCTGCTGCTGGGCGGCCTGGTTGGCAACGGGAGGCTTACGAGGCGTGGCATCGTAGTAGTCGTCCGAGTGTTGCCTGTGCCCGTTGGCCTGAGCCACATTGATGTTCATGTTGGCGGTGTTGTTCGTTATTTGGTTGGGCTGCTGGCTGTTGACTGGTGTCTGAGGGCCGTTCATGATCGCACCCTGCTGACCAGGACCGGGCTGCTGCTGCTGAGGCGGGCTCATGCTCATGGCGCGGGCAGCGAGCAGGCCTGAGTGGCCATTTTGTTGCTGAGCACGATCAGCGTGGTCCGGGCTGGCGAAGTCGCCACGTGTCTTTTCTGACGCCTCGGCGCTCTTCGAAGACATCAGACGTATGTCACTCAGCCGATGCTGGGGAGGTGGCGTCGGGCGTGAGTGTTCCGCTTCCTCGCCAGACTCGTCTGGAGGCGAGACGGTCGGTGGCGGAGGGTTTGGTAGACGGCTTGCTGCAGGGTTCACAGGTGAGAATGTTGTTGCCGAATCTGGGACAGGGACATTGTGTGGTGTGGAAGCATTTGTCGGAGGAGTGACGGCTCCTTGAACGGTCATGGGTTTCGGCTGACTCCGGCCCTGGTTGCCCTCCTCGGGCACAGGAGGAGACACATTGTAGGACGGATCGACTGGTGGCGAGGTAGGACCCTGTGCCGGAGGTGAGACGGCTCCAGCCACGGGGACAGCCACTTGGGGCGCGATCGTTGGGCTCTCGTCAGATTGACTGGGCTCAGAAGGCAGGGCACCTTGTGGGCGTTGAGCAGCTGTCAGTCCTTGGAACTGAGTGGGTGCCAGAGGTTGAGACGGCTGAGATGGAGGTTGGAATTGCGCATTCTGAGCCGGAGGTGGGCTCTGTTGCGTCTGCGCAGCAGCCGCGTCAGCCCCACGGAAGCCTTGCTCTTGGATGACTGGTCCAGCTTGCTGTGGTCCAGTATTGACAGGACCAGGTGTAGGACCGCTTTGAGGCACTGGAGCGCCTGATGAAGGCGCATTACCTGGGGCAAACTGCTGCGATGGCGGCGGTCCGCTCATAGCACCATAGGGACCTCCCATGGGGGCGGGGCCGGGCATGCCCTGTTGTGGCGGCGGAGGCCCCCATTGCGGATTCCACTGCTGAGGGCCTGGGCCAGTGTACTGTCGACCGAGATTGTACGCACTGGGAGCCATCATGTTTGGTTGGCCATAGCCATGTACGGCCTCGTAGCCTCGTGGGATAGGCACAGGAGCATACTGCTGCTCCCCAGCAAATGAAGGAGCCCGCTGCTGACCAGCTGCCCACTGCTGCGGAGCTGGTTGCGGTGGCTGTCCTCGCCCAAACTGACCTTGAGGGAAACCCTGGGCCCCTGGGGGACCCTGTGGCGGCATCTGTCCCCGACCAGCTTGCATCTGAGGAGGGATCTGCCCACGGCCACCTGACATCGGAGGCGGTCCTTGTAGAGGACCTGGCATGGGTCCTTGCCCTCTACCTCCCTGCATCGGCGGCGGACCTTGACCACGGCCACCTTGCATCTGCATGTGCATCCGTTGTTGCATCTGTGGAGGGAACTGACCACGGCCTTGCCCAGGCTGACCATTAGGGGGCTGCTGTTGCTGCGGTTGTGAAGAGACCGGCTGCTCGACTTGCTTAGACCCACGTCTGAACGCGCCAAGAAGCTTCGAGCTGGTTTTCTCTTTCTTCTCTGTTGGCTGCCCAGGGCCGAAGGACTGCGCAGGTGTCTTCTCTTTCTTACCAAAAAGCTTGGACATGGTACCGGAAGTTTCCTGTTGCGAGGGTGCAGGGCTGCCTGTAGGTCGAGGGGGTTGTCCCATAAATTGTTGCTGAGGATAATTTGGTGTTCTAGGAGGTCCTTCTTGAGATGGCGGGAAGCCTTGAGGCGCGTTCCCAGGCTGCGGGCCAGGTCCTGGCTGGACAGGAGGGATGCCAGGTCGTGTTTCTTGTCGTTCGGTGCCGGAGATCGAGGCGGTCTCAGCCATCGATGGGCGTGGCGACGCTTGACTTGGCGCGTGGCTCGGAGCGCTTGGGGCACTAGGCGATGGCGGGTGTGGAGCAGGAGTCTGCGATGGAGTTGGCAGCGAAGGCTGACGGCCGAGAGCCGTCGCCGCGGGAGCGTTGAATTGTGGCTTCAGTGGTGCGGGTGAACTTGTGCCCTGAGAGGATTGCTCCCTAACACCAGCGTCTGATGATTCGCCGTCGTGGCTCGAGCCATCAGGCCGGGAGATGGCACTGTTAGGCTGAGTCACAGTCGATACAGTATGACCGGAGACCACGGAAGCTCTGTCCGGAGCAGACAGACCGGAGCCAACTGGCTTCCGGACGGGTGTACCAGGCAGACCGACAACACTGAGGCGCTCTCTGGATGGGCGCAAGGAAATCCGGTGAGCAGTATGGATCTGTGCTGTCTCCAGCGGATCCTGGTCGTGATCATTACCGGCCGACGGAGTGACAGGATGGGACCCCAACGGGTTCTGGCGGTTGAATTCGCCACTTGGTCGGAGAGGAATCTGAGAGTTCTGCTGCGATGGCAGCGATAGTCTCGGGTCGAGGTTCTGACCAGGCTGCGGACTCGGTGTGCCGCCTTGGATTGGAAGGCCAATGCTCGATTGAGACGTTTGCCGCATGCCAGGCTGGAGTTGTCCAGGGGCAGGTGACATTTGGCCGCGTCCCATGCCACCCTGTACGTCGGGGCCACCGGCACCGGAATGAGGTCGTGGGTGACCTTGAGCGAATGGCGGCTGCCCGGGTTGACCAGGGAGCTGTTGACCTGGCAGAGGCTTCGCGCTAAGCTGAGATGGAGGTCTTTGTTGGGAAGGAGGCCGTTGCTGTCCCGGAAAGTGTGAAGCATTTTCATCTTGCCGGGCAACTGTTTGAGCCGGCTGTTGCTCGGCATCATTGCCTTTCAGCTTGTTGAGAAGGCCGCCAAATAGGCCACTGGTCTTCCGGCCTTGACCTCCCTGCGGCGCTGCGATCGTTGTTGCAACTCCCCACGGATTCTGAGGTGCTCCAGACCCTCCACTAGCCGGATGGATGGCACCAGGAGGACCGCCAGCTGTGAGCCCTTGTTGGCCGACCTGGCCAATTTGACCTGGAGCAGGAGGTCCTTGAGGACGCCCCTGTCCTTGAAAGTTCGGAGGTGGCTGTTGTCCGGGACGGAATTGTTGTCCCGGTGCATTTGGTTGACCGTATGGGGGCTGCCCAACCTGGCCAGGTCCGCCAGGCCCGCCCTGAGGCCCTCCCTGTTGTGGCTGTTGCAGCTGGCCAGGAGGCTGCGAAATGCGCTGCTGCGCACCAGATCCAGGACCTTGCTGCGCGATTGACGGCGGCCGACCCGTCGTCGAGCCCGTAGTCTGCTGGACCAGAGGACTTTGCGGGCGTCCCTGCTGAGCACCGTAAAATTGACTTAGCTGCGGGCTTCCTGGCTGGGATTGCTGCGGACCTTGCGATGGGGGCCTTTGCTGGAAGCCTTGGGGTGCGATCTGCTGGGTGTTTGGCGTCTGACCAGCTTGCTGTGCTCCAGGCGGCCCTTGAAGCTGGCCTTGTTGGACGGCGGGAAGTCCCCCTTGCTGCGGACCAGTTGGCTGAGGCTGCAGAGGCCCGGGCCCCGAGAATTGTCGTTGCTGCATGGCTTGAGGACCACCTTGCTGTGGACCTGTGGCCTGACCAGGGCCTGAACCAGGCCCCGAGAATTGTCGAAGTTGAGGGTTTTGGCCCTGGCCAGGCTGAAAGCCTTGTGGTGGTCCATTGGGAGTCTGGAAGTTTTGTGGCGGTCCTTGACCAGGTGGGAGCTGCTGGCCAGGCAGCGGTCCTGGAGGCCCCCAAGGACCCTGGCCGGGCATGCCTTGAGCACCTGGCGCCCCAGTCTGCGGTTGAAAGCCACCTGAAGGAAGTCGACCGCCTTGCGGAATTTGACCCGGCTGTTGGAACTGCCCCGATGGTGGAAATTGGCCATTTGGTCCACCCTGAAATCCTGGAGCTTGCTGAGGCCCGGAGCTAGATTGCGGAGGACCAGACTTGTTTGGTTGGTCATTTTCCTTCGCGCTTGACGAGGAGCCTTTCAGTCTGTCTACAAACCCAGAGAGACGCTTCTTGCCGGAGGAAACAGGTGCTTGGCTGGGAGTCGATTCGTTGGTGGCTGTGCGCATTAGATTGAGACTGGATTTTGGCTTCGATTGGTTTTGGCCGTCACCGCCGGAGAAAAATGTCCGCCGACGGTCGGGTGATGGCATGTCCGATGGTTGCTGTTGTTGAGGAGGTTGCGATGGTCCAGTTATCTGATCCACTGCCGCCGTGCTGCGCCTGGCGAGGTTATTGAAGAAACCCTTCTTCTCTTTGTTGTCCGTGGTCTCCGCGCTCATGACTGACGCCGCGTCGTTTCCCACGACATGCACCGAAGACTTATCATCCGAGACAGATCCAGCACGAGCGCGGCTGAACTTGCTGAGAAGCCCGGAAGACAAATTACGTGTGTGACCACGCTCGTTTTCGGGGACCTCGTTCGTCGATGTTCGCGAGAGACTGTTCTTGTGAGGCTCGACTGGCTGTTGTTGGATTGGCTGGCCTTGGGGATCGAACTGTCCAGGTTGACCTGGAGGGCCTTGCTGCCCGGGCTGACCGGGCTGGCCAGACTCTTGGAATAAGGTCGGCCACCGCTGTGCCGAGATAGGCGGCATGCTGCTATTATTGCGACGCTGAGGTATGCCGGAACTTGAGGGCGGCGGCGGAAGTGGCTCGGTCTCCTTGTCATAAGCAAAGTGGCTAGGCTGAGGCAACTGGGGACTCCTGTTGCGATTCGGCTGATGTAGAGGTTCTGAAAGATGCGCCTCGACCAGCTTCCATTGGCCGCCTGGAGGAAACTTCTGGACGGGATTGCCCCCAGCCTGAGGTGGGAAGGATGGTCCTGGCATGCCCGGTGGTCCTTGCCCAAATTGAGGCCCCGGACCTCCTGGACCGCCACGGCCGAACCCGAACTGCTGAGGCGGCGATGGCCCTCCGGGACCACTGAAGCCACGCCCGGCCATGAAGCCATTAGGGCCAGAGCCAGGCCCCATTGGCGGTCCTCCAGGTTGCGCGCCGTTCATGTACTGCTGAGGCGGGCCTTGTTGCATAAAGTGTTGCTGTTGATGCTGGTAAAATTGCTGCGGTTGCTGGCCCTGCGGAGGGCCTGCGTTGTTCATGTTCTGCATGCTCTGGCCCTGGGGACCGAGGTTCTGTGGAACCACAGGTACAGGAGGGATGTCCTTATCCGAGGATGCGATCGAGGAGTCGTCGCCCTCGCCCTTGCCCAGCAGGCCACCAAACGTTGAGGTTCGGCGAATTGGGGGCAGGCCAATGAAGGAAGACTGGCGCTCGGGAGAGCCAGGCTGCTGGCCACCAAATGCGTTAGGCCGGGTTTGAGCACCTGCCATTGCGTAAGAATAGCTTGTGCCCGGCAAGGGAGCTTCGAATGAATCCTCAGCGTAGGCTCGTTGGTGCTGATGATGCTCGCGATCGAGTGCTGTATCTGTCGCCAGTGGAATGGACTCGATTCGGGGGGGCTAGAACATTATGCGACAAGATGCGACTGGCCAACTGCCTCGAGGCGATGGTTGCGACGAGTCGCTTTGCGCGGCGAGCTCTGACTAGTTGTCTGCTCTGCTTGAGCTCCTTGGAGCTGCAACAAGATGAGATGGTGATGCGCAAGAAAGTGAAGCAGGTCGAATGATTGAGCCTGGGCGCAAGCCGAAAGGAGCTTCTCGCCAGAAATAAAATTGACGAGGTGAGAGGCTGACAGGAGGGGACGTTGGTCCTGGTCAGAAAAGATGTCTCAAGGGGAAAGCGGGAGCTACTGGATAGCTCTAGCTGGGGGTCTGAGGCTGAGCACGCCTAAGGCAGGAGGGGACCCGCAAAGCTTGGCGGCAAGACGACCACGACCACGACGAGGTCTGGTGGACGGGGTGAGAGCTAAGCACGCAAGGTTTTTCTCTCGTAGGCAGTATAGTACAGGTCTCCTGGAGGGAAGGGAAAGAGGTGAAGGCCAATGCGAAAAGCGAGCGAGACGAGATGCAGAGTCAGCGAAGGCTGAGGCCCGTGAGATTGGACGTGCAGCTGAGGGGGCCGCCAGCGCGCACTCTTTAGCAGGCGAGCCGACTGACGATGCGGATGCTCTCCCTCCACTTTCGGGGAGCTGCCTTGCTCCACAGGAGCTGCAATACCTGCCACCTTGCTGACTTAGCGTGCACGACCAACCTGGCCGGGCTGGGACGACCCTGAGCGACGATAGACAGCGCTCGTGCACACAGCGACCAGGGACGGCGGAGGGGGGCTGAGCCTGCGGCTGGGTGCAGGCCAGGGCCGTTGTTGGCCCTGTGGGGACCAAACAACATCTGTCATCTCGGTCTCCTGTTCGTGGCCGCTTCCCGTCGAGCGACGATCAGAGACGATCGTCTGTTCACTTTTCAGAGGCGACAGGGTCCAGGAAGCATTCTTCTGCTGTCCCTTTAGTTCTCCTGTACCTTCGCATAGAACCTACAGCCATCTCTTTCGCACCGTTTCTCCGTGTCTGCATTGGCGTGCAAAGTCCAATTGTTCGGCTGTCAAAGGGCTCAAAGCAGCACGCACTGACATGAGCTCAGGTGCAATCCCATTGGCGCCCACGTCCGATGGGAGAAGAAACATGAGCACCGTGCATCCCTCGGAGGGACATTAAACCCCCCATCCTAACGACCGACCGTTCCCACGCCACTGGGCATTGGCTTCGTTGTCTGGGGGGCCGGGGGACCCGCCATGTCAGAAAAGAAATTAATAATAGCTGGCCCCCTGCCCTTTCCTTCTCAGAGGCATGCGCAGCATCTCGTCTCCCGCAATCCACTCCAGCCCAGTCAGGCCAGAGCAACTTCGCCTTTTCACCCAGTTGGTTGTTTGGTTTTGCAGGCATGAGTGACTGCCTGCAGGCGATGTGGATGCCTTGGCTCCTGCAAGTGGAAGGTGGAGGGGGCCACAACCGTCACGCAGTAGCCATCACGCAGTACATCCGTAGTTCGGTAGGAATTACGGTAGTGGGGGCAGGCTCAGTACAGCCTGGGATCCCCTGGTCGTCGTTTAGGGCTGCCCAGCCTGCCGCCCACTCGTGCAGCCAGCAACCCACGCTAACAGCAAAACAAGCGTCATTCGCGGCCAGAAATAGAAACACTGGGGGCGGGTTTCCCTGGGGGGTTTCTTCGCCATCAACGATCCGAATCCACTTCCATTGCGTCCCTGCCACGGCGGCCGCTGCTGCCCTGGTTGCTTCCATTCTTGGATCATGTCAATTTCGCCTCGCTTGTCTGTGCCGTCCTTGTCTGTTTCTTCCTGTGTGTGAATAAACAGTCGTTGAGGCACAGCCCTGCAATGCCGAGGCGGATCGGCTACATCATCCTGGTCTGCACGGTGGTTGGACGACATTGATGTGCAAAGCACACGGGCTGGCGGCGAATGCATGACTTAGGTACTGTACATATCTTGAAGGGTAGATCGTGTGAAGCTGCGGAATGTACACTGAGCACGATAATGGATAAATATGTTACCAAGCGAAGAAATTCAAGCCCCCGTCTGTCCAAGCACGACGTGAATGGAGCCCGAACCAAGCGACCTGTAAATACACGACCGTGCTTGCACTACGGTCCTGTAGCAAGCCTGCACCAAGTACCGAGGTTGCTACTCCATGTCCTAGTTGAACCCCCTCTCGCGTAGCTTCGTCTTGCTCTTGTTGAAGAACTTCATGCCTGTCTTCACACCCTTGTTGCCTAGAACACCCGCCGCTTGGAGCAGTTCCTTGCCCTTGGTGCCAACTTGTCCGCCAGTATTGAAGCCGCTGGAGCCGAATTGGGCTTGTTGCCCCTGAGACATATTAGGAGACTGGCCAGCGACGTTGCCTGTGTTTGTCCGTCCCGGAGGCGGCATGCTGAGGTTCGGGTTGCTTGCGTTCAAGTACTGCTGGTAGTATGGTTGTTGTGAAGCCGGAGCGGTCGTAGGCGAAGCCAGATCGTTGCCTCCACGTGGTCCATCTGTGTTGGTGCCATCGCCTTGAGCGTGCATGTGTCGCAGCCAGTCACCAAGACCAGTGTCCATGTTGAAGAACTGCACGCGCGTCTCGTCGAATTTTTGGATTCGGTGTTGCGGCAAGCCGATGCTGAGAATCTCGCGGAATGGCATGATCTTTCCTGATGTGTTGCCAGCTGGAGCAGGAGCATCAGCCGTCTCTGGAAGCACCTCCGCCTTGTCTGATGCCAATATCTGATCTGATACAACTTCTGGTGCTGTAGAGTCGTCGGCGGTCGAGTCTGGTAACACCAACACTTTGTCCTCTATCGGCCCAGGCGTAGCTCCTCTTGGCGTTTCGCTCTTGCCAGCTGACAAGGGCGAGGGCTGATCAATCATGTTCACATCCCCGTCGTTATTGGCACCAATGCTCATTTGTGAGACCTGGTGTGTGATCGTCTGACTTGGTGCATGCAGTTGCGTATTTGTCGACTCCGGGCCGCTCGTTGTCTCGCGTGGCGGTGGTCCGTTGGATGTCTCGGTCCGATCAGCCGCCTGATATTCTGGTCGTGAAGGCTGCCTATCACTCATAGACCCGAACGAGACAGCGGTGGACGTCGGAGCTTCAACAGGGCTCAACGTGACGTGTTCCGGGCCTGCGTCGAACGAGAACCGCCGTTCCCGGTGCTCTGTGCTAACTTGTGGATTGAGTCCCTGCTTATTTGGGCTCAGAGGACGAATCTCCGGCAGGTTTGCATTGGCCTGGGTAGCAGCAGATGGTGCTGGGCCTTGTTGGGGTTCTGCGTCTGACTTCAGGTACCGACTTGTCTCTTGCAAGGCCTTATCCTCCTGAAACCCGTAGTAGTCGTCGTAAATGCCTGACAATGATCTGCTTTCGTGCGGCATGTCAGGCGCATTCGGCGACGAGGGAGTCGGCGGGCCGAGACGCGCTTCGTGGGTTGGGGAGTCGACAGCTGGACTGAGCGACTTGATGATCTCCTCTCTGAGCACGTCGCTCTCCTTAAGTGGCGATGCTGTTGTGACGGAGCTTAGTGTAGACTTCCTTGGTGCGCCCAGTGGAGGAGCGAAGGTAGGAGGTAGATTTTCTTGCCGAGAGTATACCGGCGTCTCTGAGCTCGATTGTGGATGTGACATGACTTGAGGGGAGTCTTGGTAAACAGACGAGGACGGCGCAATATTGCTGGTGGCCGATTCTGCGCCTGGGCCTTCGCGGATACTGTCGGTCGTGCCTTTGAGCGGATCTTGGGTTTTGAGTGGTGGCAGAGAATGAGGTGTCGGGTGTTGCTCTAGCTTGGTGGGAGGGCCGTTGCTGGGTGGCTCCCATTTCTCCCCGGAATCACTGGCGGCGGCAGCATCGGCACCAGGAGCCGTTGCCATGACGTTGGCAGGAGCATCATTTCTCTCGGCCGCCGAGCTCGCGACACCTCTCGACGTCGCAGGCGCAGGCAGCCTCATATCGGTAACAGGCAGAGACTCTGCTGGTGTCTCCAATGGCGTTGGTGTCTCGGAAACCCACCCACCAGGTAGCGATGGCCGCGCAAGATGCCCATGGGCAGTCTTCTTTGCAGCCGCCGTACCCAGCCCAGCATCAGCCGCACTGTCTGCACCACTCGTTTGTGTCGTCTTCGCACCTGCGGCGATGGGTTCCCGTGGTTGCCGCTCGTCTGACTCTGCAATCGGCGCAATATTTGTCTGCTTCGGGGGCGAGAGATCCTTGATACTTGACGAGAAGAAGTCGTCTCCGAACATGGACATTCTTGACACTTCGGGCAATAACGGGCTGGTTGACTCGGGCCCTTTGGCCTGCAGCGATGGTCCTGTGTCGAAGGTAGACGTCTTGATGGGAGAAATGTCAGCTGATTGGTCTCTTTCCGCGACTGTGGGAAGCGCCGTTCTATCGCCGTGCAGAGTGTAGTCTGCAGGCTCGTCACGATCCAGGCTAGCCTTGCGTCGTTGCTCGCCGGAGGTGCGGCTCGCTTCGGGCGAAGTGGCGCCGTTTCCTCTTCCAGTGATGCCATCCAGACTCGGGCGGTTCGATTCCATGGACAAACGCTCCCGTTCTTTCTCTTGGCTCATGCGCTTGTAGATGTCGGAGGGTCTTACAAATCTTGGCTTGTTGGCTGCGGGTGGCGCAGGGCTCTCCTGCGTGGGCAGGCCCTCGTGTTGCCGAGTGCTGGTCCCGTATCCAGGCTGGAATCCATTTTGCGGGTCGTAAGGTCCTTGAGGTACACCTCCCGCGCCACTCATACTGCTCTTGCGAGGCGGGAATGTAGCATTCATCATCGACGGATCCTGTTGAGGCTCTGCGGCATAACTTGGTGCGGCCGGGGGAGAGAAGGGCTGCGCGCCTGGTGGTGTGCTCATGGTATATGTTGGCTGCTCGTGGGGTAGCGACGCGGGCAGCTGATGCTGCGAGCTAGGCGCAGCAAAGTTCGCGCCATTATGCGGGTTGCTTAGATTCGTGCCTGGTTCTCCAAAGCTACGGCGGCCGTACAAATCTGTCGCATCGGTAGATCGGGCTTGTAATGGCTGCGAGACCGCGCGAAGAGTTGATGGCAGACCACCAGTGGGAGCCTTCTGCAGTGGCGCAGGCATGGGCTCTTCTGGTTCATCCTCGTCGTCATAATCGTCACCCCCCCAGTCGTCTCCGTCGTAATTCTGCACGCGAGCCTCGACCCATTTTCTCGTCTTCGTCCGGTTTACATTTGCCTTGTATGCATTCGGGTTGCTCGTCGGGGACCTAAGAGAGGGGAAAGTCAAAGGTGTTGGCCAGAATCCGGTAGAAGTTGCGGGCGGAAAAGCAGGCAAAGGAGACACAAGAAGTGTGGGCTGCAACTTACGATGCAGAGAAGGGGCTGCTTGTCCTCACGACGTTGTTATACGAACCGCCGTCCATGGCGATTGCCGAGGTCTGTTTCGCGCAGGACACGAGCGCAGTGCTTGGAACTGTCGGGCAGTGATGTGGACGTCACCTTCGGGCTGTCCGGTTTACTCTAAGCGATATAACAAGCTTGAAAGAGCAGCGGCCAAGCGACAGGCTATCAAAATTAGTTCGAGCGACGCTTGAGGGCCCTCGGGCGGAGAGGGCAGTTGGTGATGGGCTCTCCTTGACAACGTGGTGGCAGTGGTGCAGGGTTTGGGCGGCGGCCAGGCTGCAGACAGGACTCTCTCTGGGCTGCGCTCCAAAGGGCCAGCATGGGAGGAGTCTGGGATGTGTTCGCGCGAAGGGCGGGTGGAGTGGCGGCGGGTATGACGACGTGCCACTGCAAGCCGGGGCCGCCAGCCCAGACATTCAATCAAAGAACCTGCATTCGTGCCCTCGCTAGCGCCAGCCAGGGTGTCCCTTTCTTTGCTTTGTCGTGCCCTCGGGACCCCTGGCCGCGAACCAGTGTCAAGGCCAGCCACGGCCTCTGGCAGAGAGCTCACGACACACGATGTCACGACAAAGACCCTTCACGGAGCAATGGCCCACCAGCACCCCGGCACTCCCAGTTTGAGATCTAGTCATGTCAACCATTCCAGATGTCCCGCGGTCGCCGTTGGTACCGCAGAGGCCGCTCACCTCGGACGAGAACCCCCTCTGGACGTACCAAGGTGGTTCAAATCCCCACAGGCCTATGGCAGTGCCCGTGCTGCGCATTCCCCAGACTAGACGCGTCATACAGCCAGGCTGAGGCGGGACAGCATCCGATGCAGTTTGTGTGCATTCCCCCAGCTTAACGCCTGTGCTTCACGCCCAATGTGCGTACACTATGTCTCAACCTCATCCTCACGGATCGTGCCAAATCAATCTGCTGGGGGCGCACTCCGTTGCGTAACGTTGCAGCGTGTACGGCATCAACTCCCAAATAATTACACCCCGTGCTTTATCTCCTGCGCCGCAAAATATTCGATTATGCAATCACCGCGCGTAGAGCACACTTGCTCTACCAAAGAGTCGCCCTACATACCGATACACTACAATACCCGCTCCGGTTCCCGCTCCTCTTTCTCAGCGCGGTTCACCTTGGAGCTGAGCACCGCCGAAGCCCTTCCGTGCCCGCGACTCTCCTTGTGCGGGTTCTTGCCGCCGTAGCTGTTCGAGCCGAATGTCTTGGCCGTCGTCGAGTCGGGCAGGACATCTCCAGTACCGGTAATGCCGTCTCCGAGGCCATTCGAAGCTACCGTGTAGTTGTCGGCCGCAGCCTCGAGACTGGCAGCTCCGAGGCCGCCTGTAGTGTCTTTGAGTTGGCTCGCGCTGGGCTTGGACGGGACAATGTTGGGCTTGGCGGCATCTTCGGGGACTATTGTTGTCAAGGAAGCATTAGGCATTGCTCCCGTCAAAGTGGCCTACTGCCTCTGGGATTGTTCTTCTCTTACCCTTGGTGCCGTCCTTGGCCATCGCAAACAAGTCGCCGCCTTGGTCAGACATGATGTGTACTGTAATTGCGGAACGTGGTTGATATGGCTGATGTTTGCAATAAAGCTAGGTGTGAGTCTTGTGAATGAAGCAGTTTACAGCAGAGCGCAACCTGTCAGCTCAGCATTCACGCATTATATACCTCAGGCATCGAGATGAGCAATCGCTACAGGCCATAACAGCAGAGTTGGGCTTGTCACTTGTGATGGCTCATGATGTCAACACGCAATTGTAGCTTCATCACTACGTCAATACTCCTGCGGGGCACCAGAGGTTGTGAGGAACGTGGAGGGCACCTTCAGCACCTACGAAGCAGCCATAAGCGCCCGGGCGGCATGGAAGCACATGCACCTTTAGTATTTGGTATGGGGCCAGATAAGTCAAGGTGATGAACTGGTTGCACATAAGGGAACCCGTTGTGCGCTGCTGGTATATCACTCGATTTTTGGTTGGCGGGGCTCATCCAAAATGCCATGCAGTCGATCAAAAAGTAAGAGGCGACATCCACAGGTTTCTACATCAACTCAACGACCCAACGTCGTCGTTGCATCCGTACATCGGAGCGTCTACCGAATACCTGCTCAGTACGCTGAGCCAACGTGGGGTGTCCGCAGAGTTTCCTGTACGCCGGATGGATCATGATGGCTTCGAGGTGGCTTCCAGAAGTAGGCTGTGGGTCTGGACCACGGCCATTGTGTCCGACCAACAGTCCCGTAGGCGGCTGGCCGTTTCTAACTTTGGCTTGCCGCCTCGAGGCTGCTGGGATCCTCTCATGCAGGAGAGTGGTGGCTGTCTGCGCGTGCCTGGCTGCGGCCCCAATGCCCCCACCGCGGTCTGGATCCTGACACGCAGCCCAATCCCAGGCGTACAGTACATGGCACAGTGTGTAATATCCTCGTGCATCGAGCCAGGTTTCACCTGCCAACGTCCAGAGCGTCGCCATCACGCTCCTTGACAGATCCCAACACTCCACAGCACCGTCATCGACGTCCTCACTTTCGCATCGCTTCTCGTCAAGAGCACGCCGGCTCCAGCGACACTGCCATAGACGCCACACAACAGAGGCGCGCACCCTCCAACACACGAACGGGAATTCCAGCTGTCCACGTCCAGACAGCACGACAAGCCCAATCGAGCTGCGCATCTTCGGTCGACAGTTAGATCACACACTCGGCGCCGCGCCTTGATCCCATCATACAGCACTGCCGCGAAACTCTTTGCGCCGTACGCGTACCTGCGCCGAGAGACGCCTGTCACGAGCAATAGTCCGGACAACCCCGCCGCGCGGGCCGAACTCACGCTCCGCCGCTTAGCCTTAACAATGGCGATGACGAACATGCAGGACCGCACGGCAGAGTTCCGCTCTGTCGTGAAACAAGCTCAGAAGCGCCAGGCTTCTGCCAAAGTCGGCTCGCGCCGAAACCTTCTGACCGACTCGCAGAAGGCTGCAGCAGATGGCGCGCAGGGTCCCCAGAGGAGGTCTGAGTTCGCGCGCAGGGCCGCTGAGATTGGTAGAGGTATCGCGGGAACTATGGGCAAGCTAGAGAAGCTGGCGCTGCTCTGCAGGAAGAAGACGTTGTTCGATGACAAGCCGATTGAGATTAATGAGTTGACTTTTATTATCAAGCAAGGTATGTTCCAGGCAGGAGAGGAGGACAGCCATTTGTGGCAGTTGTGGCAGTTGTGGCTGACAAGGTGTACTTCGAAGATCTCTCTTCGCTGAACCAGCAGATCTCTGGTCTGCAGCAACTTACGCGCCAGCAGCATCCCAAGGGAGAGGAAGGCGAGCACAACAAGGTAAGCTGATGCGAAACCTTCCAGGACCACATCTGCATGATGGTTCCGTGCAACTAATGCGCTTGCCATTCCAGAATGTAGTTCTTATGCTTCAAGGAAAGCTCAGCGATGTCGGTGCCAATTTCAAGGACGTTCTCGAGGTCCGGACGAAGAACATCCAAGCCTCGAGGTCGCGAACCGAGAACTTCATCTCTTCCGTTTCGCAGCACGTCCAGCCACCGATGCACCAGAACGCATCTCCGCTCTACGGCACACCCGCGAGAGGCACGCCTTCTCCTGGGCAGGACCTATTGTCTCTGAATCCGGTGGCCGACCAGCAGGTTCTTATGATGGAGGAGGCGCAACCGCAAAATGCATACATCCAGCAAAGAGGCGAGGCGATCGAAGCGATAGAACGCACGATTGGCGAGCTAGGATCTATCTTTGGTCAACTGGCTCAAATGGTTTCAGAGCAAAGCGAGATGATAGGTAAGATGCGCTGCTACCTGAAGAACGTTTACGTGGTCAAACAAGCTGACGCACTCCAGAACGTATCGACGCGAACACGGATGACGTTGTCGATAACGTCTCCGGGGCACAAAGGGAACTGCTCAAATACTGGTCCCGTGTCTCGAGCAACAGGTGGCTTCTTGCCAAAATGTTTGGAGTTCTGATGATCTTCTTCCTGTGAGTCACCCCCTCGATGCCGTCTGCTCTGAGTATTAAAAACGAGTACTAAACGTGCATTCTTAGTCTTTGGGTTCTCATCGCTGGTTAGATGGTGCTCACTTCTTGGGACACGGGCTCCCCATATCATAATACCCCACCTTGTATATTGCCTACTGCGTGGTCTTTTATTCTGTTCATTTTGCGAGTTCGCCGTCTCCGGTCGAGTGGCATTTGCATCTTAGAGATCTCCTTTGTAATGGTGTCCATCAACTATGGCAGACCTGGTTGTCGAGCACATAGCATTAATAGATGTTTACGAGTCACCGACAGCCCCGACAGACGAACCCCTGGTTCGTTTGAGCTTTCAAATGCTTTGCCGTGCCCATACTGCTGCCAACCACTCGAACTCACAGATGAAACGTCAGAAGGCAGCAGTCGGCGTTCAGCTTCGGGCAGGACTAACCCAGTTATTTTCGATTGCGCAAGAACCAACTTGTAGTCGTGTTGTGTAGTTGCAGACGACGCCTATTGCTCGGCACATTGCGGGCTGCCTCTGTGCTGCGAGCCTGGGTTTCGTTCAAATCGACACAACTCGAGGGACCGGAGTCTCCCCTGGTATCATGATAGCACAAGGGTGCGTAGGTGACGGATTGTGCAGACGCGGATGCCAGTGCATTTAGATGCATGATATCTTCAGGCCTGGTACAATTGTCCTGAAGAGTGCCTACAACAAGTACCTTTGGTCACAGATTAAGGCAAGGGCGCATAGGACGTGTTGGGCCTGTCCAGGGGAGGTGGCAGCGCGGGCGCTGATTCGTGGCAAATCAGGCCGGTGCCGAGGCGTTGGCTGGGGTCCTGCCAGTAGCGGCGTGCCGGACCCGACAGCCCTCCGCGCCGGAATCCCAGGCCCGCGAGCTGGCAGTTTTCCGCGATCGGCCACGCGGGGTAGCGACTTCCAAAAACACATGAGGACTGCAGTCTCATGACATGGCCGTCAAGATCACTGACGAATCAGTCTTCCCCAGAAGGGCGTGTATACTCTGATATGGCCCCCAGGCGCATGCTCTCGAGCCTGGTCACGGAACGGCGAAATGCTCCAACAGGAAAGCCTCAGGGGGGGGAGGACGTGGAACAACAGACCCGCCATCGCGGCAGGCGCCCACTTGTCGGACCAGGAAGGCCTTGACGCAATCGCACATTGTCGCCGATGCTGCCCCTCCCCCGCCCCGTCTAGCTCTGGTCCCCAAGCAACTATCGTGATCCGCTCGCCGCCCCCGCGGAGGCCCCAGGGCGTCCCAAGGGTGCCCTCGTAGGGCTCCCTCGTGCTCTATTCGCCCGTGCCGATCTGTGGTTGCAATTGCGTTTGCCCTTGTGGCCCATGTGTTCCTCACATGTCCTCACTTCCTCCCCTCTCTCGTCCCTTTCACTTTCTTTCACAACCTGCTCCTCTGTGACTTTCCCAGCCATTGAGAAGCCCCTTGCGTATACCCAGCTGTTTTCTAAATTCACAGACGCACACGACTTTCACCATGGCTCCTACCTCCTTCAAGCTCAACACTGGCGTTGACATGCCTGCTGTCGGTCTCGGTACGTGCTGCTCTTTCTTTTGCTGAACTATTGCTGCTTGCATAAGATTATCCCTGGCCGGAAGCTGCAAGATATTTGCTTCGTTGCAACGAAGCTGGGATTGGAGACGTTGTAGCATGGTCTCGACCCCCACAGACAGCCTCACAAACAGACCTGTAAACTGCTATCTTCACCAAGCTAACAATCCGCTTGTGCGCGCCATAGGCACCTGGCAGTCTGCCCCTGGCGAGGTCGCCAACGCCGTCGCAATCGCTCTCAAGGCGGGCTACCGGCTGATCGACACGGCCTACTGCTACGGAAACGAGGACGAGGTCGGCAAGGGCATCAAGGAGGCCATTGACGCGGGCGTCGTCAAGCGCGAGGACATCTTTGTCGTGACCAAGCTGTGGAACACGTACGCCACACGCGCCGAGGTCGGCCTCGACAAGTCCCTCCAGAACCTGGGCCTCGACTACGTCGACCTCTTCCTCGTCCACTGGCCCGTGGGCATGAACCCGGAGGGCAACGACGACCGGTTTCCCAAGCTGCCCAACGGCGAGCGCGACATTACCTGGGAGCACGACCACGTCGCGACCTGGAAGCAGATGGAGGGCCTCGTCAAGACGGGCAAGACCAAGGCCATCGGCGTGTCCAACTACAGCAAGGTCTACCTCGAGAAGCTCCTTGCCCAGGCCGAGATCGTGCCCGCCGTCAACCAGATCGAGAACCACCCGTCGCTGCCCCAGGACGAGGTCGTCGCCATCTGCAAGGAGAACGGCATCCACATCATGGCCTACAGCCCGCTCGGCAGCACTGGCTCGCCGCTCTTCCAGAACGAGAGCGTCAAGAAGGTCGCCGAGAAGAAGGGCGCCAGCCCGGGTACCGTGCTCCTGAGCTACCACGGTGAGTGTCTACCCTATCCTCCTTTCCCCATCTCTCGCATCGTGAATCGTTGCGGCGGTACACACGAGTGAGGGAAAAAGAAAAGAAAAGCGTACCAGTAACTAACTCATGGCCAATTCTTGCTCGGCCCCCTCGCAATCAGTCGCCAGAGGCAGCACCGTCCTGGCCAAGTCGGTCACCGAGTCGCGCATCAAGGCCAACCTCGAGATTGTCGACCTCGACGACGAGGACCTCAAGACCCTCGGCGAGGTCTCGGCCGGCGGCAAGTTCGAGCGCTTCGTGTACCCGCCCTTTGGCATCAACTTTGGCTTCCCCGACAAAACCACGGGCAAGACCATGCCCAATGGCCTCGAAGCTTGAGATTTTGTAGCGGTTTGAAGACGGGGAGGGAGGAAAGCGGTTCTGGCGGTAGATGGTTTTTTTTATACTGTGAAAAAGCATTTTCAGACATAGATCAAAAACTTGCGATTTATTGCGTTGAGGTGTGTGGTGTGCCTTTTCGCACGTGGATTCACTTTTTGTCTTCGTCTTCGTGATGAATATTGAGCGTGGAGATTGGGCTTCTTGCTCAGATCATAGACGGATTAAGCTCCAAAATGTCAGGCTGTCCATGTCAGCTTTCCCTGCGGGAAAATGCAACGCCTTCTTGTGGCTGTCCCATGCATTATTCGTGCCTCCAATACTGACTCAACGCATATCCATTTCAGACTATATATATACAATGCATCATTCGCTACGATAATACCAGCACCCCGAACTCCCCACCTCACGCCTTCCCCCAAAATGCTATACCATAGTCTCGTCTTTTCTTCAAACCGCTACACGCCTACCAGCCTTTTTTCTTTTTTTACTCGCTCATGTCAACAAATACCTTGATGACCAGGTTGCCCTGCTCGTCCTTGACCTTGCTCGCCATGTCGAACGCCTTGGGGATGTTCTCGAGGCCCTTGTACCGCTGCGTGATCAGCTTCGTGATGTCGGGGATCCGGCTCTTGCTGCTGCCTCCTTCTACCTCCGCCGACGAGGACGCTGGGGGGTTGGCCAGCAGCTCGATGATCTTGGGGTACGTGTTTGCGTAGCGGAAGACGCCGACGAGGTCGACCTCGCGCAGGGCGGCGGCCGAGAGGGGCAGCGTCTGGATGGGCGTGCCCATGCCAATCATCATTACTTTGCCGCCGGGCTGGGTGGACTATAGTTGGGGAAGGGAAGGCGCGGGTTGTTAGTTTGTGTTCACCTGTATAGAATCTCTTGGCCATGGAGAGACACGAGGACAAAAACAGGAGAAAGGGGAAAAAGCTTACGTAGATAGCAGCCTGCATGCAAGTCTCGACACCGGTGCACTCAAACGTCGCGGCGACCTCGCCGACGACCTCGCCGTCCGAGCCGGGGACCTTTGCCGTCTTGACGAGGTCGGCCACGCCGCGGGCATACTCGAGCTTGTCCTCGATGCTCTGGGGGCGGCCGAGGGGCACGGTGACGGCGACGTCGGCGAAGCCGTTCTGGACGGCGAAGTCGACGCGGTCGGTCTGGATGTCGGCAATGACGATGCGCTTGGGGTTCCACAGGACGCGGCTGGCGTAGGCGCAGCACAGGCCGACGGCCCCCGCGCCGAGGATCAGGATGGTCGCGTCCGCGGCGGTTTCCCTGGTGAGCCCCGCGCGGGAGTGGGCGTGGAAGGCGACGGAGAGGGGCTCGACGAGGGCGCCCTGCTCGAGGGAGACGGCGGGAGGCAGCTTGTGGCACCACTTTGCCGGGTGGTTGATGCGCTCCTGGAGGGTGCCCTGGGAGTGCGGGAAGGCCTTTGCCGAGGAGCGGAAGTTCATGCCGCGGCAGATGTTGTAGCGGCCGGACTGGCACAGGGCGCAGCTCTCGCAGGGCAGGCCGACCTCGAGGGCCACGCGGTCGCCGACCTGCAGGCCGCTGGCGCCGGAGCCGACGGCGGTGACGGTGCCGGCCGACTCGTGGCCGAGCGTCATGGGCTCGCGCACAAGGATGTCGCCGTTGCGGTAGTGGCCGTGGTAGTGCAGGTCCGAGCCGCACAGCCCCGTGGCCTGGACGGCGACCTGGACCTCGTCGGCGGACGGGGAGGCGAGGGAGCGGGATTCCTAGAGGTTTGGAGGATGTGAGGGTCAGCCGTGGACTCTTGGTGGCGGTGGCATGCTCTGGCAAGTTTGCCAGCCAAACGTTTGCGGATCGAGAGAACACGTACCACTCTGAGGTCCTTCGCTCCGTGGAGGACAGACGCCTTGACTTCGGCCATGGTTGATGATGATGTGTGTCTGGGTTCTGCTGGGAGACACTGGCAGTGAGTCAGTGAACAATGCTTCCGCCAACAAAGCAGAGCCGGCCCTGGGGTTTTCTCAGGGAAAAGTCTCCGTGCTGTGACGCAATCCCCAATGCCTGAGAGGAAGATCCAAGACGAGGGGACCGCAAGGGACGACTGCTGTTTACTTACATTGTGCAAGTTCCAATGGCCAACCTGGGAAACTGTGTCGACAGGTTTGTGTAGTCTTCGAATGCTCTGTGCCTTGTGTAGTAGCAATACACACAAAAACAGGAAAACAGACAGACTCGACCCTGGCAAAGAATACTCTGGCTCCGATCGGCAACCGCTGCCTCGTGACGATGGCGGCCGGGGGCAATACCAATACCATACCAATACCCGCCGCCTGTGCCCCTCCCCCACTCCCTCAGCAGAGTTGCTCCGATTTCCCCAACTTTTTCCTCTTGCGCCCCCAATTCTCGCCGGCGAAATTTGTATGGTGGGGGATCCTTTAGGTTCGGGGGGCCAGGCCGGGGTCACGACCGCCGAGACGCCCTGGCCCTGGAGGGTTCCCTGGTGTGGCTCTGCATGAGCCAATCACGGGTTGCAGTGGGCCGAAACGGGGAAGCAGGGCGGAATCGTCACGAAAAAGCAACTTCTACTAGTCCATGACTCTGTAATCCGGCTTGGGATTGTTAGGAAGCAACTGTCTGTAATCATCAGGGCCACAAGTATGACTGCCCCGGCTTCTCAAAGCCAGTGGGCTTGGTTGGGTAAGACCGACATGATTAGTCGGATGTGTGTGTCCACAAGGCCCTTAGACGAGACTGGCACAACGAGACTAGAACGGGAGTAGTGTTCTACAACTCCCAACCGCGCTTGAATCACATCTCTCACGATGGAATGCAACGTCAAGCACATGAATAAGGCTAGACCGATCCATGTAAATGACGGGGAACTTGTGTCCTTGTAGCGCTCCCAAAGATGAAGGAGTGTACTAACTCAGACGACTGAATGCGAGCATGTGCAATGCGGCACGCTTTGACTCCCATTGCTGATAGGATACACTCATAGAATCATGGCTTTACCAGTTGGTGGGCGCGATAATGGTCCTTTGATGGCTGGGTTGGTACAATGTGTCGCTGGTACACCCGAGAGAGCGGACGGAACTAGTGTCAAGCATCTCGAAAAGAAGGGCCGAAGCTCGTTGGGAATCACCTTTACCTGTCGATTGTTTGAGACTCTATGGATAGTCGTGGTCGGTATATATCGCAGGGGCGGGGACGACTATAGCTGCTTGTGGCCATTGAGCCGAGCCTTTGTGACTCCTCGCGTCGTCCAGCGAACAAGCACAGCACAGCTGTCAACACATGTGGCTGGGTCACGCATAAATCTCCTCAATGGGCTATTCGGAACTCCATACCCTGATCCACCCCCTTGTGAGCATAGTGGTTGCTGATGACAGACCGTGCTGGAAGACATCACGCTTAACATGCTGCCGTACATTGCATATGTTATTGCCAGTCTCAAAGCCGGCACCAGGCGGCTATCACGTACGATTATGTCTACGTCAGAGGGGCGCGGCTAGACTATGATGTTAGTCACACTTTAAGGCTCTGGGCAAGCTATGTACTGTCCTTTACTGGTCTGTCTTGGGCATCGTGGCAGCCGTCAATGGCGCTCACATATCTCCATTGGTCTACCGAGCTCGCTGGGTGTGCGATCTCACTTCAAGTCACTGTCACTCTCAAGGATACCCATCTGTGACCATACTCGAGCTGTGTGAGCACCTGAATTTCTGTGGCGGCCCCCATCCGCGCTCTCGACACGACCAGCTGCCCCAAGCTCCTCCTCGTCGAGGCCGTTGCCCGGGTTTCGCCCATTTCTTGTCAACCCTAGCCGAGACCAAGTCAGCGCACATGTGACGACCTGATGAAAACCCAACCTCGTCAAGGACAAACCTGTGCCCAGAATACCCCGCCAGGAGTTTTGATTGTCTCCCACATGCCCACAAACACGTTTGCATAAAGCGACACGCGCAAACCTCATCAAACCCCTTCCTCTCCACAACCTCGTCGCATGTCTTCTTTCACCTCTTCAGAATGAACCCCACGAACCAAGCAGTTCCAGACGGTCCTCCAGTCTCTTTCCTCCAAGCACTCTGTCTCTGTATCCTCGGTACCGCACGAGAGAACACGGTCGCTGCCAACAGCCCCGACAACATCGCCGCGATGGCAGCTTTCCGACGCAAACTCGGCATTGGAAAAGAGAGCGCGGGCACAAGCGCCAGCGCGCCGCCTGAGGACAACGTCGCTGCCGCTAGCTCTGACGATAACGTTGCGGACAGCACCAACGCTGACAGCCCTAGCCAAGCCAGTTCTGCACCGGCAAGACCCTTGTGTGACATTAGCGACTGGGAGTTCGTGTCCCGCGGCTCTAGCAGTGTCGCGTCTGCCGCTCGTCTCGACGAGCCCGTCCTATGTTCAAGCAGTGCAGACGTAAAGGACATTGACAACGAAGATCTCGTTGCGATCTCGTCGTCGGATGCGAAGAAGCCAAGCTTCGGCCGGCTTCAAAGCAGCATGCACATTACCGTGCAAAACGCGCGACTTCTCGTGCAGCATCCGGTGGTTCTCAATGCTTTTTTCTACTATAAAAACCACTTCCTCGTTACGAACCCCGATGCCAAGGTCCTCCCCGCCGGCACGATAATTCAAGCATATAACCGAGCACGAGTCTTGTAGGACCAGACCGTGTTCAGCAATGAGCACAAGCACGACGGAAACAACAAGAACCAGAACACGCAGTCCAGAGAGGTCATGCTTGCACGCTGGGCCGCCGACAATGTCCGCCAGGGCGTCTTTACGGGACAGGTCGCTCTGGCCTTGTTTTTTACAGCCACTGTCCAGGAGTGGTTGTACACCTCACAAGGCCAAGTGTACTTCCCCACAAAGGTTGGCATTACAGATGAGGGTCTTGTCACCGGCATCGTGGACGGACTGCTCGCATGGCTGCACAAGCGGGCGCAGTTGGAGGGCGTCTGGTCGCATCCCTCCCAGCGTGCTGGTCGATCTTCAGATGAAGTCGACTTTCATTTCAGCATTATGTACGACAGCAAGCTGTATCGCTGAAGGTATGAGAAGGCCACCTTTGAGTGAGGTGACGATCATCTCCGTGAGTTGCGAATTCTGGTAAGCGACAGGAGATGGTTGGCAACGAGCTATAGACTGACTCTAGCTCCAGCGGGCCGGCATTGGTCAAGATCTGACGCAGCAATGGCTATCTTGCATACTGGACCGCCTTGGATCATGCAGTATGCGCTTGCAGCATTGAGTAATCGTCTCGACACTTCTCAGGCAATGGTAGCAACATCGGCTTTCTGGGTTGCACGTCCCACCTCCAATCTTGAATGAGGGACGGTGACGAAATGTGAAATACAGGCGAGACTATGAGTTTTCGGGAGCATGAGGGAAGAATCAAGGAAACGCATACGGTATCACTCAATGAACCACATTTCAGACAACGTACTCCAATGCTTCTCTGAATGTTTGAATATCGCATGACACCAACCCCAACTCACTAGCACCGGCTTACTCCACAACAGCCCCGAAGCTGCGACCCTGTAGCGCCGGGAATATTCCTGACAGATGCCCCATCTAACGGGAACCTTCGCCGAAAATGACCACGGCTAGACAGCTTTTCCAGTGGTGGGTGGAGAGCAAGCCCCGGGCGGCACCCCACCTCCAGTCTTCCGCTGGTCTCTAGCCTTCAATAGCCGACAATCGTCACAGGGGCGGCAGTCGCAGGGTCCCAGACGCCGACGGGATGGGGGTGGCCCTGCTAATGTCGCGGGGCAGCCCTCCGATGGCGGCGGCCACGCGGCGGCGGCTATTGCCCTTCTGCTTCAGTGTCCTGCATTGGTTGTGGAGTTGTTGTGCTCCTCACAGGCAGGGGTTCATCTTGAATTGACGTCTTCGTAATTCCTTCTCCAGGCTTTTCTGATTTTTGACCTGATCCTGGAAATCTCACGATAGCTTCACTCGCAAGTCGAAACAGTTGCAAATATTTCGCCAGCGGTCCAGCGATTGCGGACCCGGGAACAGACCACCCAGAACACTTCAGCATACCCTACACAACCCTCCCCTTGACTTAGTCTTGTCCGAAAATGGCCACAGAGGCTCTCTTCTCGCTCAAGGGCGAGACTGCCCTCGTGACTGGCGGCACCAGAGGTATCGGCCAGGCTGTTGCCATTGCCCTCGCCGAGGCCGGGGCCGACATCATTCTCATCCAGGTTCGTCTACTGCTCGTTGCTCAAGCATCATTTACCTGGGCGGTTCGACAAATATCCGCCTGTCCCCAAAACAACCTGTCCCTTTCCCTATCCAGAAGCAAAAGAAAAGCCCAGCCTAAAAGACACATGATTAAAGAGGAGGTTAAAACGTTCCCGGCTGACACAAACTCTGCGTCCCCAGCGCAACACCTCCGCCACCGAGACGGCCGACTCGATCACCGCCCTGGGCCGCAAAGTGAGCACCTACACCGCGGACCTGTCCTCGGCGAGCGACGTGGCGGCCCTGACGCCCAAGATCCTCGCCGACGGCCACGAGGTCCGGATCCTGATCAACTGCGCGGGGATCCAGATCCGGCACCCCTGCGAGGCCTTCCCGGACGCCGACTTCGCCGCCGTCATGCAGGTCAACCTCAACACCGTCTTCACGCTGTGCCGCGACGTGGGCGCGCACATGCTCGGCCTGCCCGACAGCCCCGTGACAGGGCGAAAGGGGAGCATCATCAACTTTGCCTCCCTGCTCACCTTCCAGGGTGGGCTCAACGTCCCCGCCTACGCGGCCAGCAAGGGCGCCGTCGGCCAGCTGACAAAGTCCCTCGCCAACGGCTGGAGCGCAAAGGGCATCACCGTCAACGCCATCGCCCCGGGGTACATTGCGACCGAGATGAACACGGCCCTGCTCAACGACCCGGACCGGCTGCGGAGCATCAGCGAGCGCATCCCCGCCGGGCGGTGGGGCCTGCCCGAGGACTTCAAGGGCAGCGTCGTGTTCCTAGCGAGTAAGAGCTCCGCGTACGTTAGTGGGCATACGCTCGTCGTGGACGGTGGCTGGATGGGGAGGTAAAGATGCGGGGGAGTTATGGACCGGGGAAAAAATTAGTGTTTAAGCACCAGGAAGACTGCTGGGACTGATCTCGTTCCCATGCTTTTAAATAAAAATAGGGAAGATCGCTCAGACATGATTTGCTGATGGTGTATCTCGTATTGCGAGAAGGGGCCATACCAACCACGAAAGCGCCTCGAAATTCCAAATTGCTTCTTTTATGTTTGTGTATGTTTGTGGCTATACTATTCAGAAAGCCATGGCATATGCATTACTCACATCAAAAGTCAATGCCATGTACAGTGTTGAGACTAGTGAAACGCAGCTAAGCAAGACCGTGAGGCAGAAAGACGAGGGCACATCGATCCCCAAGATAACACCGTATCTGATCATCTCATGAGTACTCTTTTTAAATACGCACGTATGCAAGGCTCATGCCTTGTCCACCACCGACGCAACAACCTGTTCCATCCACGGATACACCGCCGAGTTGGCCAGCGGGTAGCCCATGTGCAGCGCCGCAGCAAAGAAGCGAGCCTCCTTTGGCGAGCCGTGCTCGAACAGCAGCATAGAGTCTTCGATGGGCATGAGGCCGTCTTGCATGCCCTGAAAGACATTAAAGAACAAGTTGTTAGCATGCCGTGGGGAACCATAACAAGATAAACACGAGCACAAAAGCCCTTCTCACGAAGAAAAACTGGTAAAAGAGCGACAGGGAAAAGTAGCGGTACTCACATTCACCAACAACAACCTCGCGCTCCCGCCCTGGGGGTCTAGCAGGCCGTTCGCCAGCAGCGAAAACCTGCCCTGCACCTTTTCCTTGTACTCCTCGACGCTGTCGAAGCCGTGCTTCCGCGCCATCGCGGGCGCCAGCTTGAAAGGGTACTCGTGGCCCTCGGCGTACTCGATCCACTCCCGGTCAAAGAAGTAGTGACTCCCAGCCCCCTGCGCGACGACACCGGCGAGCTGCGCGGCATGCGTGTGCGCGATGCGGATCGCGTGGTAGCCGCCTGCCGACAGGCCCCAGCACAGGACGCGTGCCATGTCAAACTTCTGCAGCACCGATGCTCCTCCGTTTCTTCGGTCCTCTGCGGCAGTGCCAGCGCCAGTGCCAGCAGCAGCAGTACGGTTATATGTGTAACTCCGCATCCAGGAGAACAGCGAGTCCCACAGCCTCTCCGAGGCCGCGGGGTCGGATGGATCAGCAGGACAGTCTGCGGTGCCCGGGATCTCGAGGACCACGCATGCCCAGCCGCGGGCAAGGAACTCGTTGCAGCGGACCGTGTTGTCGGGCCGGTAGCCATCTAGCCCGGTGAGCAGGATGACCACGGGGCATTCCTGGACGGGCTTGCCGTGCTGCTGGGCGGTCATGAATGGTGAGTTGGGCGGGCTCTTCTTGCGCTTTTGCTGCGTGGTCCGCAGGGCTCGTTGCTCTTCTTCCTCTTTGCCTTCGAGCGTCCAGAGAAGCGATGGAGAGCCAGGAGGCGATGGGGACGCCGAACTGGATCGCGCGGAGCGCGGAGTCCCAGGAGCAGCGCTGAGAGGAGCTGCCGGCGGCATGCGGACATACGCGGGGATCGACAGGCCGAGATCATTGTTTGCCGCGTAGACGTGAGGAATGTCGACCTCGACCACTGGCGACGGCTCCCACAGCTGACCCGCAGCCTTCATGTACACTTTCTTCTGCCATTCCCAGGCTCGCCACTTGTCCGGGTCCTCCTGCTGGGAGACATGCGCCGAGATGTACGGAAACCGTGCGATGCGGAGGACACACGCTGCCCGTAGGTACAGCTCGCTCGCCTTCTCTGCCTGACCCTGCTGCACGGCGGCGTCGCCCGCGGCCTCGAGCTCCTCCGTGACGGGGAAGAATGCCCGCGTGTACTCTGGCGATGTGCCGTCGTTGATGTCGTGCGCGATCAGGTGCTCAAAGACTGGGGCAAAGTCCTCGTACGCGCCGTCGTGGAAAGGGTACACGGACTTGGTGCAGGGGAACTTCCATTTCGTCTCCCAGAGAGCCTTGATGCCCTGATGGTGCGGCATGCTGGTTTTGAAGGCCTTCTCGCCCATCAGCCAGTTGCGCTGAGGTTTCTGCTCATTCTGCTGGGCGGTGGGGGGGATGGGCTCCGTCTTGATGAACGTCTTTCCATGGAAAGGAACAGGTTCCTTCGGAATAAGGGTATCGTCATAATCAGCAACTTGGTGTGGGGCCATGATGGTCTCAGAGCGAGGATTTTGGTAGAGATAAGAGGGAAATGAAAAGATAAATAGAATTTATAGAATCTGGTATTATTGGGTATCGTGTTCGTCAACTGCTCCCAGACACGGAAAGAACCACGCTCTGAAGGGGTGCGCCACACAAGCAGAGCACCGGCTATATCAGATCAAAATCGTGGCTCGATACGTCTGTCCAGTCGCTGCCACACACACTGACTGATGATGGGAAGTGAAACTGCCTGGTGTTGACGCTCCCGAGGCGGCTCAGTCCGACCTTGCCGGATCGTGTTCTTCGGACGACACGTTTGGTGCTGTACCAGTTGCTCTGCTCACGGATCCTGTCAAGCATGGATGGTCAGCAGTACACCTTTATATCAAGGTCCCATTCACCGCTCCATCCCCAGGGGATCCGGACAAAAAGGCCTCGCCCCGAACTCGCGCTTCGGACAATGCCATTGCGATGGCCAACCGCATGGCAGACAGACGGATATGCAGGGTACAAATGCAGGGCAGGGAGAAAAAGCCCCTTGGCTGGATTTTCCTCCTCGGGCCAGGAACATTGATTGTATGGCAAGGGTGCGCCACTTACTCGCGCTGTAAGAGAGCGATGTGCAGGCGGATGAACATGGCCCGCATCCTCTGGTCGTCCGTCTTCATCTTTGCGATTGCCATGTTCCACTGTCTACAAGGTCCGAAACGTGCGTCGGACCGAAGAGGGGGGGTTAGCTGTCCCACAGAATTTGAATGGCGGTTGTGGTGTCGTCCAGCCGCTATGCTCGGTCTTGGCCTTGGGTGCGTTGGGGAAGTCCGGCTGACCGGTGCCTGAGGATGCCGTATAAGTCGGAAGGGCGGGGCCGCCTCACAGCCGGCTTGTGCGGACCGATATTGAGCAGAGTTGAGCAGAGTGAATCCTGCGCCAGCAATTCAGCCCTCCTACTGGATACCTAGGTAGTCGTCCGTTGCTTGAACTAGTTGATGGTGCAGACCGAAGATGGAGGGGAGCGACTGATGCCGTGAAGGGTGGAGAGGCCACGCTCCGCGCGTGCCGGAGAGTGTGGTGGCCTTTATACACGAGCCCGTGTCAGCTTATCGTCCTGCCTGAGGTCTGTCTGTCACAAGCCTCGACGCGACCGTTGGCGGGGCGTGATCGGGGGGGTTGCATCATCCCAGCTCAGCAGTCCATGCTTGACGGTACACAGGGCCGGTAATTAGATGATGGCTCTGGACCTGAAGGAGTGTGGGGAGGGCTCTCGAGAGGTGTGCATGGTCACTAAACCCAAGAGATAAGCCAGCAGGGCGGTCCAGCCCGGAGCTTGAGCTAAACTGCCTGCGCTTCAGTCAGCCTCGACGGGCTGGCTTCGACTTGCTTTGACCAGAGCAGCGCAGCTGAACATGGGCCAGACTTTCGCTCTGGCCGAGTCGCGGAGAGCAGTAGCAAATCAGGCACAAGCAGTGCTGCTGCGGATGTCGACAAGATGACGGGACATTGTCGAGTGCTGGCGGAGGGTTTACGAGGAGGAGCTTGGGCGTGCAGTTGGCATGTGAAAGTGAAAGGTGCCGGAAATGGGCTGGCTTGGGGCCCGCTCCACTTGGTCATCATTCAATCCGAGATCGAGGCTCGACATCATCGACGAATAATCGCGCGTCCCTGATTCGTGTATCATGGTCACAACGAATGCCCCGAGCCGAGCGACAGGCAATCACCCGGTAATCGAGTTAATTACTCCGAGTGTCCATTATCAGGTCGCCATCTATTTGGCAGGTCGGGAATCAGCGCTTGACTCTCCTCCGATATATCTAAGTATGTTCAACGCCCCCTTGCGACATTGCAAAAAGGACAAGATTTCGCACGCCCGCGCACTTCCTCCATCCCCCTCCCCATCAGTCATCGCCAGCCTCGTGGCGCCTCAAAACATTAATTCTGTGCTTGTCGTCGAGCAACACAGACCCACAGCTTACTTTTTTTTTGCACGCCTTCCTCGTCATCCACAGCTCTTCCCAGCGCCCGACTCGGCTCATTTCGTCTTTGTCTGCGACTTGCTCTGCTCGCCTTCGTAGTAGTGTGCCATTTCGAGGCCGGCTCTGCGGAAGCCGCACTTGACGTAGAAGCCCTCGTTGTATTCACTGCAGTCCAAGATCGTCTTGTAGCAGCCCACCTTCTCGCCAATGTAGTCGAGAGCCTGGATGATGCGCAGCCCAAGCTTCTTGCCCTGTTGGTCACTGGCCACCGCGATGTCCTCGATGTGGCCGACGAGGCCAAGGCTGTGCACACTGTTGCAGAGACGCCCCGTGTCAGCATGTTGCCGTCGTCTCAAACCAAAATGCATGAAGATTGAAACGCAGCGCGTCATCTATCCCTGAAATGTCACGAATGGAGACTCACAACTTCCGCTCGACAAGCAGTGCACCAGTGCCGACGACGCGCGTGCCGTCGTCAATGACAAGAATGTAGTAGCCGTCCGACTTGGCCATCCACTCGTATCTCTCGGCAAACTGCTCTTTCGAGATGTCGCCGACTGTGGTCAGTACGCGGAGGCAGTCGAGGAAGCCGGCATCGTAGTCGGACAGGCGGAGAGAGCGGGCGGTGTAGCCTTCAGGGAGAGCCTGGGCCACAGTCTCGGAGATGAGGTCGGACGAGAAGAGGCCTTGTTCTTGGGCAGCCATGGTGTCTGGGGTCGTCAATTGAGTCGGTGCAGATGGAAGGATGGACTGGTGGACGGGGTCGAGTCGAGGGATAGCGGTCTGGTAAAATGTCGCGAGCTGATGGGAATGTTTTTGTGCCGATCGTGAAGCTCTGCGCCGGGCAGGCTGATGGAGGGGTCTGGAGGCGCCCCTGACTAGCGAGCTGAGCCTCGTATTTGCGGGACCTGGGCGCTAGAGATGCATGGATGGCATCCCAGCCATAGCGTACTTGAGAAGCCATGCTCCGCCTGCCTGCAACGCGTCGTGGCTCAGAATAGCAGCACGAATGCGGCGGGCGGGTCTGCATGCTGCCAGCCGACTAGGGGAGACTGCCGACACGATGCCTTCGACTGGAGCCATGCAGGGGCATCTGCAGGCACTCAAAGCAGGATGTTTGCTGGTGGATGGAGGTGCGGACGCGCGGGCATGGACATACTGACATCATACGTCTGCATCGTGCCTGGATGGCATCCCTGCCCCATCCCAATGCTAAAGCCAAGCTGCCTCGATATCTGGGCATCCTGCAAGGCCGCGCAGGCATATCTGGCTAGCAACCATGCTCAGGAACGACGAGGTTGTGTGCCTGCATACACTCTGCGAAGCGTGCCGGGCCATCCTGTAGCCAGGCACGCACAGTCCGACGTGGGGGCTTCCACCAGCCAGGGCGAGCGATACGTGTGTTGACGGAACCTGATATGTGGTAATTATGATGGTTTGACCAAGACAGGTGCATTGTGCAAGCAGAGAATCGGTCATGAGTGGCGACCGCGCAGGCATTGCCTGTTGCAAATGATGCTGTCCTCGATACTCAGCCGCGCGGGAGATTGGCATTCCTGGGCCGGCGCTATAATTATCGACGATGCTGCGAGAAGCACGCTACGAACCAGCCGCATCCAGATGTCCACGCCTGGCGGCGCCAACCCAAAAATGACATGCCGGCCATCGTGGGTGTGCCCATGAATCTTTGGGTGTTGAGCCGAGGGAAGCACGCGGGCTCACTAGTGGTGATTTTGAGATGCAGAGGTGCAAAGTTGGGGGCGCGTTGGAGCCAGGAGGCAGGCCATTTTCACATGCCAGGAGAGTGCCGCGCAGTGAGACCTATGCTGTCGATATGTGCTGCACGGCGACCAGGGTCAGCGTTGACTCACAGTTCTCGTTGAGAAAGGCCGCGAGGGACCGGAACCTATCACAAGGCCACAATAGAGATGCAGGTCTCGGGCGGCGATGTCGAATAGTCGACAAAGACGAGCTCCAGGCTGCCATGTGTGTGAATGCCTTTGCCACGGAGTATGGAGGGCCAGGACAGGGGCGGCTGGCCCGCAGCTTGGGGTGCAGCAGATCACCACTAGGAGCGGGCCACGCGACCCCCCATTCCGGCGCAGAGCCCACTCTCGCCTCCCTCCTTCGGCACGCCCCAACATTTGCCCCGTCGTCATCCTACCAGCATAGCGCGGTCACCCTGATCTTCGACACGGCCCATTGCTCAGTCTGTCCTTCGCGGACCAAGATCGCCCTGTTCCTGCCGCCAGATGCCAGCCCGGAGACTCTAATACCAGCCCACTGAACCCCAACAGGGAGCATCGCCCTTCTCGCCTGTTACTCAGAAACACTCCTCCTTGCCTAGGCCTCAGCAAGCAAGGTGCTGGGCCATGGACACGAGCAAATACATATCGTTCTTGACATAATAGCACCTGGATTCTTTAAGCACCAGCCTGGCGTATGTGGCACACCACCCACACTCAGCATGGAACACTTCCAAAGCCAACAAGACGCAGACCTCGTCCTGGCTCATCTGCTGGACGACTACGATGACGATGAAGATGATGACGATATCAACGCCCCTCCGTCGTCCCCATCCCCAGGCCGGACTTTGTTGCCATATCCCATTGCCAATGCAGTCAGTTTCGCTACTCGCTCCACGTCCATGGCTCTTCGCGTCGGCACATTCGTTGGTGGCATTGGCCTCGGCGCCGCCAAGATGACCACTTTGTCCAGTCTGGAGCTCGGCCGAGGGATCATTGAGGGCATCATCAGCAAGACTGGAAGAAACGTGGTCGCAAGGTCACGGTCTGACCTCGCCAAGGCCGATGCTGAAAACATTCTCGAGAGAAGTCTTGAAGCCCTCCACGCAACCATGTCCCAGGTTGTCTTCTGGACCACAGCAGGCTTCTATCTCACAAGAACAACCATGTCGAATGTCTCCACCACTTCACAAATCTTGCTGTCTGTCCTCGACCAGTTCTTCGGGTCTACAGACTCCTCGAGAGCAATTGCTAGCATCATCACGCTTGTTCGCCGGGAGTTCCAAAATCCTGCCACGGGCGTGCAGGGCGAGAAGGTTGGTGTCGCGGATCTGGTACTTGGCACTCTGGGGCTCGCATACTTGCAGATCTGGTGCCGTAAGCTCATCAAGGAAGAGTCTCGGCGGCTTGGACAGGAGGAGATCATCTGGGATGTGGTCGTACTGGATGGCGAAAGAGTTGATGTACATCATGACAGCTTATATGGTGTGCATCCCGGATCATATTTCTCGCCAAGCCAGCTGGAAACCCTCAATGACGACTCGGACCCCGCGCAAGATGCGACAGACGACGACGGCTTACCTGAACATTTTCTCAGGCAACAAATATTGCGATCGCTCCCCAAACATGCCAACGTTTCAATCTCCACAGCCACCACAATCAACAAGACTGTAACTGTGGAAGTCAAAGGACTGCAGAAACTGCCACCACAGATTAGCCTGCCGGGACTTGACATGATTGAGAATGAGGTCCGCGCTCCCAGCAGAGCAGGCTCGCCGAGTTCAGAGACCACGTACAAATTTGTTTATCGCGCTGTGCAGAACAGGGTGAGGACACATCAAGGGCCACAGCATGACGAACGGGATGATCGCTTGTGGGACCTACAAGCATCAGAAGATGACGAAGACGAAGACGTACTGCAAATTGTCTCTTCACATCTCGTCAATGATGGAAGCCGCGCTCGACCAACAAAGACCATCACAGAAGAGCACGGCGTTCCTCGGCCGAAGCCAGAGCCTCCGAGTGCACCGACAGCCAGCCCCAGATCGACCAACGAAAACACTGCCAACCAGAAAAAGACCAGGAAACCTCTCGAAGAAGACCGTCCAATGAGTCGCATCGGCACGCAGGCCCGAAATTCCCAAGGCACTGCGAAGCAAGCTGGAAGTGAGGTGACGGACGCTACGCCTACCACGAAAAGACCCAAGCTGAAGGGTGTACTAAAGACAGGATCGATGTCGTCATTCAGCGGTCTGCTCAACAAAGACCAGCCTGGAACAAGCAGTAAAACCAAGTCTTCCTTGAAACCGCCGTGGGGAAGCAGCAAAGCTTCGCAGTCTAAATCGAGCACCAGCGCACCTGCAAGGAACCCAGCTCCAAATCGAGCTTCGCTAGCTCCACCACGCGATTCACCTCGAGTTGCCCAAAGGGGGGCGCCAAACTATTTTTCTTCCAGAGATCTTGGGATTGTGGACGACCAACCTCATCTCCGCAGGAGCACGTCCATATCGAGCCTCGTCTCCGCATCTGGCAGGCGACGACGCAACTCTGTCGTTTCCCAGGCAGAGTCATTCTCGATTCAATCAAGCCGTCCCGGATCTCCGAGCATATACAGGGTGGAACAAAGGACTGGTCCCGGCGGTTATTTTGGGCATCGATGGGATGACGACCACGAACAAATCCCAAGCAGAGGCCACAACCGTAACAGATCGCATCTGTCGTACGCTCCAAGCATCCAGACTCTGAAGACGTCGGCCTCTCAAACCTCTCTGATTCTTTCGACTTACAACCACAAGAGTGCATACAGCGACTCGGAAAACGTTGATGCTCTACGTCGCACAGGAATCATAGATGGGATCTTTCCCAATTTCCATATACTACGGAACATTACACGATATAGTCGGTATGCTTCGGCGGCATATGGCTCCAATTTCCTCCGATACATGGGCATCTCAAAGGACATGCCGATCATGAAAACGGTTGACGACACACATACGGATGTTCGCTATTTCACCCATCATACTGGCCTTCCGGTGGATAGCATTCTCTTGTCCTCATTTGTCGATCCTCAGGGAGGCTCCGACTACACAGGCTCCACTGATACTGGAATACCCCTGGTGCATACCATCGCCCTTGATGAAGAATCGAAAGCCGTCGTTCTCGCATGCCGCGGAACTCTGGGATTCGACGATGTCCTCGTTGACATGATGTGTGAATACGACGATTTAACTTGGCGTGGTAGAAATTACAAGGTGCACAAGGGCATCCACGCATCAGCTCGACGTCTTCTGTACGGAGGTGATGGGCGAGTTCTTCTGACACTCAAAGAAGCTCTCGAAGAATTTCCCGATTATGGCCTCGTCCTCTGCGGGCACTCCCTGGGTGGAGCTGTCACAGCACTGTTGGGAGCAATGTTGGCTGAGCCTGCCACGTCAGGGACAGCTTTCGTGACGTCGGCTCATCAGCATACGCGACTCTTGACCGACAAACCAGGGACGACAGCTCCGCCACCAATCTGTCTTCCAACTGGCCGGCCCATCCACGTCTATGCGTATGGCCCGCCTGCAACCATGTCGCCATCGCTGCAAAGAGCAACGCGCGGCCTCATTACGAGCACGGTTCACGGAAATGATCTAGTGCCGCATCTTTCGCTCGGCGTGCTGCACGATCTGCAAGCTGTTGCACTTGCCTTTAAAACCGACAACAACGAAGCCAAGGCCGAAGTGCGCCGGCATATCGTACAAGGGCTGCAGACCGGCCTTGCAGATAAATGGTACAACAACGCACCCAAGGCAGCCAGCGGAGAGGAGGAGCAGTGGGCATTTGCCGCGCTAAAGACCCTGCGCGCCAGCATGATGAGCTCGAAGTTGCTGCCTCCTGGCGAAGTCTTTTCTGTGGAATGCTCGGCTGCTCTACGCAGGGATGCGTTCCTCAGAGCTCCAGAGGAACAAATCGGACGCCCTGCGACAAGGATTGTGCTCAAGTACATCAGGGATGTGGAGACGCGCTTCCGCGAGATTCGGTTCGGTGCGAGCATGCTCATGGACCACAGTCCTGGTCGATACGAGGATGCATTGAGGCGGCTTATGCTTGGGGTGATAGGGTAAACGCGTACCATTGTACCGCGCTTCTGCTTCTGAGCGTGGTAGCATTTGGAAGCACATTCAATTTGTCTTCGAGTGACCATGGAATACGAGAACCGTCACGAAATCAGGCACAGCCACGAGATCGCTGATCCAGCATAGCTGAAGCAGAGCCTTATATGCTTTCGCCTCGTGGGGAGGCACTTGCTGCAGGCATGTTAGTCACTTGTGGTTGACCTTACCGTATTTTCATACGTAGTCCTGCCTTTGGCCGGCCGAGCTGTAAATATGCCAATTTGTTGCGAGCTACACAACGCTCTGATACATATACCACGCACTCCAGCACAGCGTGAGAAATGCTGGTGTGTGCACAAGGGTGAATCACGACACTTCCCGGCTGGTGGCAACCTCTTTAGCATGAGCCTAATGTTTACTGTGCACCTTTTTTCCGTAGGATCAACCTTGCTTAACTACGTGGGATGTTCAAAGGGGTGGTTGGTATGTAGCTGCGTCCTTGGTGAGCACTTGGGACACAACTTCAATGCGAGGATGGGGGATTCCCGATGTTCAGGGCCAGGAGTCAAAGGAGACCGCCTGTGCATTGTGTAAAGCCTTGCTATACGAGAACTGGTACCAACAAGGACGCAGACAGAATTCGCATGGAGTCGAGACATGCCAACAGATTAGGAAGGTGCTTGAAAGTGCCTCTTTGAGCACATGGGCCGGGAAGACCGGATCTATAGGACATACGCTATGCAGTACTATGAGACCCGAGTCTTTGAGTCGATTTCAAACGCCCATTCCTCTTCGCGCGGTGACAGTCAGAGGTAGGAAGCGACTCCTCTAAGTGGGAGCGATGGAGGTGATTTGTTTATCAGGATTTTGCTCAAGAAACGCGGTAGGGTAATGTAGCTGGAGTTCATTCATCTTTGTTTTCTTCGTGGGTGCTTTGTTTGCATTAATTCAACTGTGCTGACGTGCAAGTAATCGTGAAAGCGACCTCGGTACCTAGGAATCGCCCTCCTCTCGTGAATGTCATGTACCACTGCAACAGAGAGCGACTTGAATGGTTGCAGATAGCTTTCTGTCACCTCCTGACTGCTGCCTGAATGCTTGGTGAGGCATATCTGGAGTATGTATGGGTCGTTGGAAGGAACGACTCTGAGTGCTTGCTGCCATTGCCTCGCCTCTGACTCTCGTGCGTCAACGATGACTGGCTTCTCACGTGCTCACCAGACCACTTGAACAGGGTTATTCCAACTCTGTGTTCTTTCAGTCCGCCCAATGCAAACGGCTCGATTTACATCTGACCGGCAAGGACCTCCCTCCCGAGCACGACATATTCACGAAATCAACCACGCTCCACCTTAAGGACTTCCCATCACACATCTAAGAAACAAACCATGAAGGACACCACAACACCCAAAGCGGCAGGCACGCCACGCGCCTCGAGCCCGACTGTCCAAAAGCCGAGCGATGCGGCTCAGCCGGCACCGGCCTGCGAGCCTGAATCCAGCACTCAGAAGAAGAAGCAGGAAACCGAGACGTACCAGCGGATCAAGATCACCAGCGATGGCGATGCCTACGTGCCACTGGGTGAGTTGATTGATGAGGCCTCTGTGATGCGTCCAGATTGCGAACAGTTCTGACAGAAAATACCTTCAAAATGAACAGGTTCTTGGGCGAGAAAGAGCAAAGCCACCGATGACAAGAGTAAATGCTCAAATGCAGCTATCGAGAAACCCAATGTCGTTAGCAGCAAGCCAGCGCCTTCGAGCTGCCACAACACTTCAGAGTCACCCATCGATGGAGAAGACGTTGTGATTGTGCGGGACGGTCAAAATTGAGGCAAATGATATGAACCCTACGAGACGATGCTTGCTTTGAGACGGGGTTTTGAGAAGCGGATTACGATTGGCACTGGTCGCTTGAAGCACACAAGGAAAGCGTGGCCGCCATGCCGGCTATGGGCACCGTCTCGGGGTTTCTCACTTGTTCAAGACTACGACAGGCGGATGGTGCTCGGCAAAGTTGTTGGGGAGTATTATGTCTAGACATGAAGCTTGCTGATCAGAGTTTCGACAGCAACAAAACCCGTCAAGCTTTAGCAGTCCTGCTCAAGGCCAAAGTAGTGTATGTGAGTGACTGAGACTACCTTGCACATCACTGTTCGTCCCAGCCATTATTGTTCGCACCCTTGATGTCCAATTCGGGGTTCTCCACAAAGGGAATATATGAAGCTATCTTGCTTTGCCTGAATGCGCCAGCATCGGCAGTGTTCAAACTACGGTTGTCGCCTCGCCCGCGGACTTGCCACCTTGCTGAGAGTCCATAGGTAGAGCGTCGGGTACCTGTGCCGAATCGTTGCGTCCCAGCCCAACCTATGACTGCATTAGGCACCCCTGTTGGAGCACATCACAGGTCATGCATGAGACAGAGTTGGTCTTCTTGCGTGCAGCATAGCCCCCAATCTGCTAGACAACCGAAGTCACTCAATACGGTATGGTGCGCGCGGCCCAGCAGCCGATTGCGGGCACGAGAACCAAGATGCCAGCCGGCCAACGCATCAGCCTGCATATGCAAGGCAGCGCCACGTCTTATTCGCCAGACACACTCATGGCTCGCTGCTGATATGGTTGTATTTTCTGCCAGACTGCCCAATCCCACTGGGCGGCAGAGCAACGGGACGGCCGGACAGCCACCCACACGACTTGGACAGTATCACCCCGAGCGGTCATGAGAACGAACCTGCTGGTGGCTGCTGCACACGGACGCCGCCAAAGCCAAGTCTGTCCGCCGAGCAGACTCCTCTTTCCTGTCTGCCTGGGCGGGAAGGGCCAATATGGTTGGAGTTATCTTTGGCGAGCAGGGCGAGGCCATTCGACCACCTTACCTAGTTATGCTCTGTCAACTATTGGGATACTCGGCCCGCTCTCACCACCTCACCAGATTTGACGACCCGTCCCTTGAGATACTGGAGAGCTGTGCCCACGAACCTAATTACGTGAACAACTTCAAGGGTGGATATGACGACAAGCGGCGCCCAACAAAGTAGCCCATTAGCATCCAACCACCAACGGACAACGCCACTGGGCAGCCGCCGCGCGCAAACGTAGGGGCATGAGCAGCCTTGAACGACGAGACACAGAACCGCATCGCACTGATCGAAGCCAACCCAATGATTTTACCGCGAGGGGAGATCAACCGATCCGCCATGCCGGCCGCACGCAATCCTCACGAAATGCCAACCGTGGCATTCGCGCCACTAGGGCGTCGCGATGTGCCTTCTGAACAAGTCGGCATTATTGTCGGCTGTTGTCTGGGCGCGATTGTGCTCGTGCTGCTGCTCGTCTGGTGTATATGGTCAGCAGGCCAGCGTCGTGCGTGGCGAGAGGCTGGCCCGCCCGAAGAAGATTTCATCTATATCGAGGAGAGCGACTTTTCCGGCAGTCGATCAAGTCGGAGGCGACAGCACGAGGCGTACAGGCTACATGTCGAACGCCTTCGCCAGATGCATCTCCTGCAGCAGATGCAAGCTCAACAGTCTTCAGGAGCAGGTTTTCCGCCATTCCCGAGGTCGATTCCTCCGCCAACGTTGAGGCCGGGAGAGAAGCCTGTCTATCGTGTCAAGCGCCAGGAGCCACGATACAACACGTGGGAGTATGCCACCCGTGGACGAAGATGAGATTTGTATCGTGGGTAGTGATCATGGTGGATATTGTTGCCGTGGATGAATTCAAGGACAAGCGGAAGGTACTGCTTCAACTCTGGCCACGAGAGATGCTACTGTCCGCCGCTCGGCTCTCGTACAACCGGTGCCTGAATTCGGATGGATAGAGAAGACTGTAGAGGGTGTCTCGATCAGCCTGATGTCGGGAGAAGAAGTGAACGAGTTTAGCCGCGTCGGTCGCTGGAGATCGAATCGAGGAGAAAGCTGGTCTCGCCTGGCTGGAGAAATGGAACGATGCGCATTTGCTGGGCACCAAAACAGCCTGGGAGCCAAGCAAGCACACACAATTACTGTCACGATACCCCAAATGTTACGTTTCTGCCACTTGAACACAGATCCGGCGTGAGACAACGCGCTCGCTCTCACATGCTTTTCTATGCACGTGCCTCAAACCCCAGGGGTTGGAGGCTCGAACCACGCAGGGACTAGACGTAGCCACTTCCGCACCTGTAGTGTCGCGGACCACCACCAGAGATCGTGCCCGTGCGACCAACGAATGCGACCAACCAAGCTTGGGGATCCATCCGATCCCGCGGGGTTTCTGGGGCAGCCCACTCACGTACCCACGAGCGCCGGCTAAATCGGGGTAAATGCGAAAAAGTGCCGTCGCCAGTGGTGCGATTTGGAGCTGCCGAGCCTCGTCATTGGGGTAGACGCGGCTTTCCAGGTGGTATAAGTGACCGAGCCCGTGTTCCCCGAGATCTGTTGTGAAGATCCTCAGATGAAAGAAGTACAAGCTTGGACAAAGCAGGCGAACCTAGGTGGCTCGGAAACTTGAGCAGTGTACAGTCCCCGACCCCCTCAACACCAACAGCCCCACATCACGATCGTGTAAGTCAGCTGCTCCTGCCATCTCTAACGGCTGAGAACAAGTCTCCTGCTGCGCTGCGAGATACGCTTCAATTCGTTCGCTCAGGTTACTCCAGCTGATCACCTCAATGATCCCAGATCCAAAAGTCCACCACGGTCAGTTCCATCGACCATGGCGCCTCTCATTACACACGTCTACACGGCGGACCCGTCGGCCCATGTCTTTGAGGGCAAGCTCTACGTCTACCCGAGCCACGACATCGAGTCGGGAATCGAGTCGAACGACAACGGCGACCAATACGACATGAGAGACTACCACGTCTTCTCCATCGACACACTGAAGGGCATTACCTCGTCCGACACAGCTCCTGAGCCGCCCAAGGTTACCGACCACGGCGCCGTCCTCCGCACCCAAGATATCCCCTGGGTCTCAAAGCAGCTCTGGGCGCCCGATTGCGCTTACAACGCCTCGACAAAGGAGTACATCCTCTACTTCCCGGCCCGCGACAAGTCCGCCGACGGCCGGTTCCGCATCGGCGTGGCCGTCGGTCCAACCCCCACCGGGCCCTTCACGCCCGACCCTGAGCCCATCCCGGGCTCCTTCAGCATCGACCCGGCGTGCTTCGTCGACGACGACGAGCAGGCCTACCTATACTTTGGCGGTCTCTGGGGCGGCCAGCTGCAGTGCTACCAGGGCGCCGAGGACGGCTCCGCGTTCGACGGCTCCAAGCTCGGCCCCCAGGAGCCCAGCTCGGACTCTGCCCCGGCCCTGCACCCAAAGGTCGGCGTCCTGGACAAGTCGATGCGCAAGTTCGCCTCGCCGCCGCGGGACCTCGTCCTGCTCGCCCCGGAGACGGGCGAGCCCATCATCTCGACCGACCACGCGCGCCGCTTCTTCGAGGCCGCCTGGATGCACAAGTACAACGGGACCTACTATTTCAGCTACTCGACCGGCGACACGCATTTCCTCGCCTACGCGACGTCGGACAGCCCGCTCGGCCCGTTCACGTACCGCGGCAGGATCCTCGAGCCCGTGCTCGGGTGGACGACGCACCACTCCGTCGTCGAGTTTGAGGGCCGCTGGTGGCTCTTCTACCACGACTGCGAGCTGAGCCATGGCAAGAACCACTTGAGGAATGTCAAGGTCCGCGAGATCTTCTATGATCAGGATGGCAACATTGTGTTGGAGAAGCCGTAGGTTGCTTGGGGGAAGTCGCGTGGATTAGTAAGGATTGGGAAGCAGGGAGTTAGAAATTGTTCGGGGAAAAGGATATGGCTCCCCGAGCAGAGATGGATCTGTGGTTCTATGCTTTTAGTCTGGAGATACAGGCAAAGTACAAAGGCTCAATGTACGTGCTCGGGATGTGTATATATCGTACACGTGGACAATTACAAAGACATGCTCGTCCATGAAAAGAAATCCAACGCTTGCAAGAATAAAACAGCAAATCCAAGTCTCATGCATTGCGGGGTCGTCCATTCATCCGTGGCATGTGATTCATGCGCACGCTCGTCGTCGTTGCATCCCTCTAATTTTTGTCTACCATCCCTTGTACTGGTAGATGTTCTCATACACCTTGCCAATCCACCCCTCTGCCCGCCCGGCAGTGGCAACGATACCCAAGCCTCCCGCAGCCCACAGGCCCGTGAGCGTCGCGGCGACGGCATGGATCCCCCACCACGCGCGGCTCCGCTTCCGCCTCAGCTTCTTGTCGATCGTGGTCCGTCGCCAGTTCACCGGCGGCGCGAGGTCCATCCACTTGGCCGCGCCCCAGACCATGTGGCCCACGCCGAACGCCAGCATGAGCGAGTATACGATCCAGGGCGGGATCGGGTCGCGCGCGAAGCCGTGCGAGACGTACGCGAGGCCGATGTTGGAGCTGTCGCCCTCGACGAGGAGCGGCAGGAGCCGGTTGATCACCACGTGCGGGACGAGCAGGATGGCGAACATGTAGCCGGACATGGAGATGTTTGATATCACAGGCCACGGGTTTGGTGTCGACGAGGTGGTGCTGCTGCCGCTTGTTTTCGTGGACGAGGAAGTATGCGCGTGCCGCAAGGGTAATATGCCGGGCGTCGCGCCACCGTAGCGTCGCAGGTTCTCGTTCCTGCGGACCAGGCGAAGGGCAATCCCCGAGGCTATGTGCGCCACTATGGGCAGGGCAACGAGCAGCGGTTCTGTGAGGGGAGTCTGGTATATCTCGCGCGCCATGAGTAGGAACGGCTCCGAGTATGGGACCGACTGGTAGATCAAGGGTATTATCGATGTGTTGGCGAGGTGCAGGCCGGCAAAGGCAGCGAATGTGTATGACGAGTAGCGCTGGATCCGTGTAACTGTCAAAAATCCATCTCGTTAGATTGGTTCTAGGGCTTCAACTTGATGCTCCCCTTGCTCCCGTTGATGGCTTCAAGTACTTACGGTAGTAGATCGGCCCTTTGCCCATGCCACTCAGGCCGAGGCTGGACGAAGTCCCATTGGATTTAAAGGTCGAGCTTGTGCCGTGTGACTTGAGGGTCGACGTGGAGGATTCCAGGGTATCCTCTGACAATGCCGTCAGATCTTCGGTGCTGGGATCCATGGGCGTGGGGTCGAGCTGGAGCAGCGAGACCATCGTGTCGACCGAGTCGCGCCGCCGCGCAGCTTGGGCCTCCATGATGAAGGTGCTGTCGTCTTCACCTGAAGCTTGGGATGGTGCCTGCCGACAGCAAGTAGGTTGTCGTGTGGTGTTTGGTGGTGCCGAGCTGGCGTTGACGTCTAGATGTTGGAAATCGCTACAAAGTCATTGGCGCGGCCGCAGCTACAATTTAGTGGCATTTGGGGACTTTCCCATCCGCGACAGGGGAGCCCGCCAGCCGAGCTTGCCCTTGGGAGAGCCACACCAAGGGTGGGCAGATCAATCCGAGACACCAGCCTGAGCACAGATCCAACGACATTGCTCCCTGTTGACGAGCGATTGGACAGGCAAGCTCTCCTCTCGCTCACTTCGAGTTGAGGCTGCAGAGATCGTGTGTCTCGTAGTATCGCGCAAATGACACCAGCTTGACGAGTCACCACAAGTACTTCAGTCACCATGCCACCAGTACGTCTAGTTCATGCCACGAGCTGTCTTCCGAACGTGTCTTCTTTATCTGACGTGATATCAAACACAGAGACACCAGACTCTGCCGTCTGCGCAGACCGCATCGGCGCGCGCGGCGATGCAGTCATTCTACTGCGAGCTATGCTCCAAGGGCTACTCCCGTATGAACGACTATGAGGCGCATCTAGGCAGCTACGACCACAGCCATCGGCAGCGCATGAAGGACATGAAGCAGATGGTCAAGGACCCGACTGCTGGCGCTCGCGCGCGCAAGGCAGAGGCCAAGGCCGACGGGCTCATCAGCATCAAGTTTGGAGGCGACGCAGCCGCCAGCACGAGTAGTCCTGCCAGCAGCGGAGCTGGCGGCGGTGGTGCTTCTGGGGGTTTCAAGAAGGGAGGGTTCAAGAAAAGCGGCTTCAAGAGCGCGTTTGCGCCGGCTGGTGGTGAGGATGAGGCTGAAGTCCGCGATAGCAAGGGCGATTCGACTTCTGCACCGCCGACGGTGGGCAAGCTCTCACTGCGCGATGAAACGATCGAGAGCGATACAGATGACGAAGGGTACGAAGTCTATGATCCGAGAAAACCAACTGATTGACTTTTTACGTGCGAGACCAATCTCTATGCGTGACACCATGCGTCTGGATCATGGGGCACTGGCACTGCTGAACGGTGGATTTGCAGACATCTCACAATGACCTCACGTACGAAACATCTGAACCTGCTCAGTCCGACTAGTCAAGCGAGATGCTCAACGTTGCTGCTTCTTGGAACACAGTCCAGCGAGTCGTCTCATTGGTGCTTCGCGATGCGAGCAGACGTCGCGTCTTGTGTACAGCAATGGGAGCCACGACGATTCTTCTTCGCGGCGCTCCGCCAGGGAACGCGAGCAATGAAGAAAACAAGTGAGGAGAATCTCTCGATGGGTGCCAAAAATTCCCTGCCCGGCCGTAGCCAAACAGGAGTAGTCATAGTATAGTTTTCAACTAGCAAAAACACAACCTCGGATTTCTCCTCACTGGTATGTGTAAAGCCCTAGCACTAGGATGGAGAGGAAAGGGAAGAGAAACAGCCAAGATTGGTGGCAGCCGCGCAGTGCATTTATAGGAATTTGGTGGTGCGCGCCCGTGCCTGGCTAGGCGGTGTGGCGCGGCTCAATTTCTGCCAGGCAGACAAGGCGAGTGGGGCGCACGCGCATGCGGGAGCTGCACGCAAGTTGAGCCAATCTCAGCGGTTGTGGGTCACGCCTGTCAGGCACCGTCGCTGCTAGGAGTCAGACACCGTGCAAGAGAACAGTCAGGGCAGTCAAGGGCTGCATTTGATCAGCCAAAGCTCGAGAGTCAACGCCGCCCAATTTGACGTCTATCCATCCTTATACAGCAGCTGCTGCCTAGTCGACTCTATATGACAACCAAGAGACAAATCATAGCAGAAGCCATGCTCCCTCGCCAGGGCTCTTGCACTACTATGTAGCATGTACCACCATGGCACGACAAACTGACCTTGGGATGTTGGTCTGTCCCTGTCAGACCCAGGCACGAGCAAGGACCTGCAGCCACACGAGCAGCTTCCCGATCACGCCAACATCGCAACTGCTTGGCTTACCGGATGTCCATCATCATTTGCATTATCAGCACCCAAGCAATGCATTACTGCTCCGCTGTGGAATTTCTGAATTATGACCAGAGTCCTGAACGCCCCATAAACTCTGGTTATTTGGCGAACGCACGAAGGACCACGAGATATACAAGTTCAGCAAAACACGGTGGAATGCAGATTGACAACCTACAACAAAGGGATGTTGTGGTCGGCTGTTTCCGACTTACAGCATTTCACCATACCCGCATGCTATGCCGCCTTGAGGCTCGTCTTAGCCGTTCATTCTTGATTTGCAGTCTGCAATGCACGGTCCTGGATTTCAAAATAGACTCGTGGGGTCCCTAAGAGCCAAGACAGCACGGCTACCCTATGATCGTTGACGATTGGGAGGCCACGGTTCATATTCATCGTTTGGCGTGAGCTTCACGTGGACGAGCTCGAATACACTCAGCAGACCAAACCGGGAAGGGAGATACTTTTGCATCATTGCCAAGCCTGGAAAATCATCACAGATCTGACCATGGACTCCCCAACGCGGCATGGGGCGCAGGTTCTTGGCCTGCGCTGGAGGATCTTTCAAGACAGCGTAGAGTCGCCGAGTTCCAGCCCTGCCACAGTCGTGATTGGCCCGGCCTGGAAAACCGGCACGGCGCCGAGGTGCCAAGCGGAGCGGACCCCGGTAAGGGTCCCGTGTAAGGGCCGATCATCACTCTCGGGAACGGGACACCACGCGACAAAGCTGCCTGCCCGTAACATCGGTGGCCCGCAATGAATCGCATCCACGACTAAAGAGCCGCAATGCGGCGGAGGCACCGCCGGTATGAGCCGTCGTTGGTTCGGAGCGAGCGATGATGTCGCCAAGCTTCCACACGCACGCCATCTTGCTGGTCGGAAACCACAAGGCTGGGAGAAAACACTACGCTCGCCGTATTAAAGCCACCGAGCCACTGTTCAAGAAGCTTGCCCGGTCCTTCTGGACTGTCTCATTACGACTCCTTTCGTACTTAAACCAAAATCTTGGCCGATCAACAATTGTGGCACTCGACCAGCACAGCAACGACTATGATCGCGCAATAGTGTTGAACTTCTGTTTCTTTCCTGCAATTCGCGCTCGGGTTCAGACGAGCACAGGTTCAAATTCTCGGCAGACTCTTCCTGAGTACACGGGCACGCTACGCTGCCTTGGTAGTCAAGCAGATTGATCACCTCTGCAATCATGGAGGCTGCCAGAAAGGTCGGGCGCTGGTTTGCGCCACCGCCAGACAAAGCTGCTGATGGCCGTGATCAATGGCCTTCCCGCACGGCGTTCGTCCTGGCGTCAATGGGCGGTTGTGCTGGTATGGGCAATCTGCTGCGTTACCCGTCCCAGGTGTACAACAACTATGGCCTGCAGTGGTTCATCCCGTACTTGTTGGCCATTTTCCTCATCGCAATCCCGGTCCTCACCCTTGAGATCGCCATCGGCAACGCGTACCGCGGCGGCTCTGTCGTCGCCTCGAACACGATGCATCATCGCCTCAAGGGCGCTGGCCTGGCCATCTTGTTTATCGGGTTTGTTGTCGGTCCCTACTTCGTCGTCAACCTCGCCTGGATCATGACCTACTTCCGGTACTCTTTTACGAGCCCTCTCCCATGGGCTGGACGAGGTACCGAGTTCTTTGAGGACGTCGTGGTCGCCAACCCGGATCCCGTGCCTGGCATGTTGAGTGATGACATGAGCCAGGTCATCGCATACACATCCTATCCGGGCATGGGCGTGATCCCGGAGACTGCTGCCTGGTGTTTGTTCACATGGTTCCTCGTTTGGCTCTGCATATTCCGTGGTGTAGGTCTTACAGGACGTGTCATCTACTGGACCATGGGATTGCCTATCGTCATCACTGTCATCCTCATCGGCCGCTCGTGCTCACTCCCGAACGCCTCCGCAGGCGTGGCGGCCTTCTGGGCGACGTGGCGAGGTGAAGAATTAGCCAAGGGTCAGCTGTGGCAGACCGCTTGCTCGCAAGTCTTCTTTTCTTGCGGGATCGGATTTGGGTATTTTTCTTCTTACGCCTCGTACAACCGACAGCACTCTAATGCTTTGGCGGATGCGCTCATGATCGCCACCAGCAATGCCGTGTTTGAGAACGTTGCGGCGTTTGCGGTGTATGGAGTCATTGGCTTCACAGGTCTCTGGCCATGGGAGAGCGAGTCACCGATTGGTGGTTTCACTGTTGGCTTCCTCACTTTGCCCCTTGCGATCGTCGAGATGCCCGCAGCCAATTTTTGGGCGGTCATGCTCTTCTTTACACTCATGGTGCTTGGTTTCAGCTCAGCGTTTGCGATGCTCGACGCCGTCGTCACATTGTGGATGGACAGTGGCACCAAGCTGTCTCGCCCGGTCGTTGTGACTACCTTGGTGGTCGTCTCGTTCCTATTATCGCTGCCCTACGCCACAGAATTTGGCTATTACCTCTTGGATGGAGTGGATCGCTGGATCAGCAACGTTGCTCTAGTCTTTGTTGTCTTCACTGAGTGCGTCACGTCGACCACTGTCTACCGCTGGCGCGATATTGAAGGTCAGGTTGGCCTGCCAGCCTTTGTGACTTACAACTTCGGATATTTCGGCGGCATGCTCATCGGTCTCATCACCGCACACTCCGTCAGTGCGCCAGCCGGCGCTGGGGCTGGGTTTGGTGTTTTTCTGGCTTCTTTACTCGTGGCGCTGTTCATCGCCAAGACGCCTGATGTCAAGGCACCCAGATTCTGGCAGAAGAATGTCTTTGTCCGCCGGTTCTGGTTGCTCGCTTTCTACTCTGTGAGCGTCCTCTGCGTGGCTTATTCAGTGGCGTCGTACCATGCTGATTATATCATAACAGGGAAATCAACTCACGGCCGATCTCAACGTGGTCGTCGGCTCCAACGGCAACTGGGCGCTGCCATTTTGGTGGGCACCTCTCCTGCGTTACATATCTGGCCCGATTTTGGCGATTGTGTACTCATTCTCGTACCCCGACTTCTACAGCAAGCGTCAGGATCCCACCTACATCTACGGATTTGCCCTCGCGCATTGCGCTCTGCTTATCGTTGCGCTTGGCTTTGTGGTGCCACGCTGGTTCGACAGCCTCATTCCCCCACCGAGGCGCAACGAGGGCCACATTCCCTACGCTCCCCTGGTTACACTTGACCCGGACGAGTTGCGCGAACGGCAACGTCTCGAGGCTGGTGCTGCAGACATCATTACTAAGGCCAGTGTCGACAGCGAAGCTCGGAGGCGTTGCTCAGCTGGAGATGGCAAAGCCGAGTCTCCTGACGGTCTTGAGGCTAAGCCTGCCACCACCACCAGGGCGGAAATCGGTTTGGGCCGAAGGTCCTCGTCGGAGCAAGATACAAACGGCGTGCTGACCAACGAGAAGCAAACCGAGGTCAAGTAGGCCGATTCTGCCAAGTTTGAACGGGGGAGAAACGTTGGTAGGAGCATATGCAACCGCAGAAGGCCCCCCAAGGTGCGCCAGCTGATGCATGACAGAACGCAGGATTTTGGTTCACCAAGGAGGCGCACACGCGACACGCGACACGCACCACTATACAAGACTACGTATATTAGCTGTTCCTTAATTGTAACTGCTTAACGAGAGAATGGGTAACGCGAAAACTGCGTCTTTGGCCCGTTTACCTCATCCCCTGGCCCTCGTTGCCTCCTACAAGCGTCCATGATGGATCTTTGCCTTCTCATATCTCTCTAAATGGAAACCATGCTTGTGCTTGATTTCAAGACGTAGGTTCGGTATTACTAGCCGCGTGGATGGTAGCACCCGTAACGGGCAGCGAAACTCTCCGGTCCCCTTATTATTCCGTCGCTGAATGAAATACTGTGGGGCACAAAAGCCCTTCTGTGCTATAATTCCAGAAGGCAACACGTGCATACCCCTTGCAGGACGCAAGTGATACGGTCGTGGCGCTGACGTAGCTTGACGTCCCGATGCACAAAGTGTCGTGTTGATTGGCTGGGTCAGTCGACTGTGCTCCGTTGTTGAAGTGTAAGCACTTGTCTTGTACTGCCACAATGTAAGTGGCGGTACGAAGCATGGTCACGAATGCGATCTCATCCTCAAGGCTGTCGATCGGCCACTTGGTGGAGGATGCAGGTATGCTGACGACCTCCATCGTGTAACAAGTGGGGTTTCTGCCCTGACTACTCACGTCTTGGTGTTGGCAGGTATCGGCTCACTTCCGATTTCAGAGCTGGTATTTGGCATGTCCGACGGTGTGACTCGCTGTCGGATTGGTGTGCTAAGCCGGCAAAGCGGCCGAAAACCGTCATTCGCCAGTTCTAGTGTGTGGCTGGGAATAAGCCTGATTGTAGGACTGTGCCACGTGAGATTTGTCCGCTGGCGAGTAAAATCTTCAACTGCTTCGCAAATGCCCCGTGTGTTTCTCTGCAAGTGCTGATGTCTATGTCGATCTTGTTGTCCGTCTGGGGGGCACGAGTCCTGATGGCAGCCTCGTATCTAAATATGGGACTGCAGCATCATATGCCACGTCAAAACAGAGAAATCAGAAACGGGAGACCTGCCGATCTTGAGATCGAATGTTTGTCCTATCTAATTGGTCGATCGACGTGCCGTGGAGTGGGAATCGCTCGCCGCATGCTGGTGTCTCGTGTAGATCCGCCATCGTGCGATCACGAAGTGACATTGCGGGTGGGCATAGTATGCAGGCAATCTCGCCCAGTCGTTACAAGCGGAGGTTCGCTCGTCACCGCCGAGTTGGATATATATATATATTGGGATAGCCTATCCACGAAGAAACTTCGAAACGGCACTCAACCCCATTTAGAACAGAATATACAATTCCTCGCCCTGCCCACAGGTCCGCATCGCACCATACTTCACATCAGAAAAGCGCCTCCTAGCCACCATGCATTACACAACCAAGACCACCCGCGCCTTCGCACTCGCCCTGGCCCCTCTGGCCATACAGGCCGCCGCCGTCGCCTCGCCCGCCGGTGCTGCCACTGCTAGACAAGACGACGACCCGACGCTCGTCATCTTCAAGACGTACACAGACGCCACGACCTGCCGCCCAGGCCAGGGCTCGGACCAGTACTCCAACATCGTGTTTGGCACGCGCTCGCAGGCCGTCAGCGGCGAGTGCCTCGCCTTCAGTCGGGCGGGCGGCTGGGACGGGCTCAAGGCCATCGCGCACTATGCTACAGACTTCAACGTCACTGGTAAGTTTTTCTAGCTCGGGCCTTACCCCCCAATTCTGCCCGGCCTGTTTTTATCGCCCCTGTCTGGATATTTTCGCAGCGGAGAAAATAGTCGCCAGCTGTCGTTGTCATTGTCGTTGTCGTGATTGCTGCTGTACTGACTCGCGCAACCAGCCTATGCCTACACGACGGATAACTGCGTCGACAAGGGCGACAAGGCGGCACTGTTTGACAGCGTGTGTCAGTACACGGCGGGCAACTATCTGTCTTGGAACTTTGTAAAGTGGTAGCTGTGCGGGTGTTCCCGCTCGAAACCTTTCCCTGTCAAAGTCGTCATCTGGGCGGAAGTGGGTGATAGGGCAGGCTTTCATGCACGCCAGATTTGGACGATGTCGATCGCACGCTTCGACATCGCAGGCATTTGATCCAGATTCAATGCGACTCATCGCAATGAGGAGTCAAGTGACACCTCAACCTCAAGGGGGAAAGCTAGCGGTGGCTCAGCCGAATGCCAGGACCGAAGATAACGTGCAATGACTCTAGCATTACCACTGCATGAGAATAAAGACGGCATAATTCAGAGTCACCGTAATTGCGGCATTTCCTTTGATCTGGGGGATTATTCCGACAACAAAGAAATGTTTCTTGTGACTAAATAGGAAATTATGGCTGAGTAGCAAGTGCTTTCATTCAGATGTCTCTGAACATCACGATCTTTTCGTGCCCTTTTCTTCTTCTTTCTTTCCCATGACCCTCATTATTTATGGTGGTATACAAGGCCGTGTGGAGACCATCTCTGATGTCTACAGATGTCCACAAGCAGACTCGTGGCTGCCGAACCATTCCGGCACGTGTCTAAACCATTCAGACTGTGGCCTCGTTGCCCTCGCTGGCTGGCTTGGGGATCGAGTGCTCGGCCTCCTTCTCACCATCTTTGCTGCTAAAAGCCTCCTTGGGCTGCTCCTCACTTCCGCGGTTTTGCTTGGTCTCAGAGTTGGCTCCCTCAACGTCGGGGTGGGGAGGGGCAACACCGGCCTCAGCAGCCTCGTCCTGGATGACCTCAATTTGGTTGCCAGCAGCGTCAAGAACGCGAGTCCTGGTCTCATACTTGGTGTGGAACTCGACCTTTCCTGCGAGGGCCTTGACTTGCTCCTCATTAAGCAGGTTGCCATCCTGGTCGCGGTACTCTACACTCTCTTCGCGCTTGACGATCTGCTGATCCTGGACCTCAAACTTGGGCGCGCCGGATACGATTTCCTGGGCCGGAGGCTGCTGGGCCTTCGGAGCCACAGGCTGAGCAGTGGGAACCGCCTGGGGCGTTGTAGTCAGGACGAGCTTGTCATAGTCTGAGTACTAAGGGGAAGAGGAGGGTTAGTTATCCTGGAGAAGCAGCGCAGTAATGTCATTGTCGCAAGCTGTCAATCGCGGTTTGGATCTAGTGGTTGCGCTGGTGTGGTATCGAATCCAAAACCCCTGGCAGACGCGAATTCCACTTTGCTTCAACCCCTCTGACGGTCAGGCAAGCCTTGTGGGGGAATACTCACGTTTTCAAGGAATGTATTGCAGTCCCAGTCCCAGGTGTCAAAGAGCTTCACACGCTTGCACTCGGCCTTAGTCCAGGTATTGCCATAAGCCAGTGGAGAGTACAAGGCGAACGCGGCGGCAGAGAGAGTGAGAATGGTGATGGCAGCAAACTTGTTCACGATCGGCCGGTTCTGCGGTCCAGAAATTCTCGTCGTGGCAAAGTCAAAGATCTGGCAGAAGGCCATAATGGCAAACACAAGGGCGGGGAAGTAGTGGTGTAGGAAGAGCTGTCTCTTCATCAGGTAGAATGGGAAGTAGTGGAGAGCCCAGCCCAGAACAGAGGCGCCAATCTCGTAGTCGAAGCGCTTGAACGTTGTGTTGGAGTAATCACCACAGCTTCGCTGCCACCGAAGAACGGCAACAGCCTTGAACAGAATGTAGATGACGACGGCCAGGGTGGACGTGTACCAAACGATGGGGTTGCCAATAAGGTAGATCTGGCGGTGGTTGCGTCCCCAAAAGTTGATTCCACGACGAAGGATGGGCCACGAGTCAGGGCGGGAGTCCCAGGCGTGAGAATCAACGAGGCCGGCGTTCGTGCGCCACATGACCTTTTGGATCTCCCAAAACTTGGCGAGGAAACCGGGCTTGCGGTAGTTGACCTTCTCGGCGTCTGCTCCAAGGGAAGGGTGGTCATTGGACTCAATGTACCAAATACTGTTGGGGAGTGTTCCTTGCTTAGCACAGGTAACTTCCTGCTGCTCCGAAGCCCATTCTGGCAGCTTGACCTTGTGGGAGAACAGTGCGCAACCAGTCATGACATGGACGAGCCTGAACTTAGTCTCAATTGTGCGAAGACGGGTCTTGGCGGCGACACCCGCTGACTGGCCCTTGACAATCTCGACGCGGAAAAGATCATTCGCATCACCCTCAAAACCCTCGTAACCGTAACACGAGACCTCGTTCTGCCAGTCTTGCTCGCTGATCGGAGGGCGAACATCGTGCGAGTGGAGACGGCGGAAAGTTGGGGTGTGGTAGAGACGAATAACACTGCCGTCAGTAATGTAGTTCTCGGTGATGTTGGTCAGCTTGTCCCAGGCCTCCGTGCCGTTAATGGACAGCCCATTGACGTCGATTGGCTGAGTCTGGTTCTCCAGGAGCCAGATGTTGTTGGAGTCCTTGTGCGGGTAAAGAGTGATCTGCTGCTGTTGGCTGCCTCCTGGGTACATGAGCGGGTGGGAGTGCAAGTAACCGCCCTGAGTGTTGACGTGGCGGATGGCGACGCGGCTACCGAAGGCAACGTCCGCGGGTGTATCTTGCATACCCTTGCTGTTCAGCGTGGCCTGGAACTCAGAGCTCATGAATCCATCTCCATCACCAGGGTTGACGAGGCACAGGAAGTGGATCGCAAACATGGCCATGTAGAAGCTGACGGGAATGACGATAAGGCAGAAAGCGCGGGCGAGGAAGTGCTTGGCGAAGATACGCATGGTGACGGTCTTGGTATCACCGAGAAGAACCCAAAGCTGGACCAGGGTCAAGGACCCAACCCAGGCAATGGTGAACAGACCAACCCACTTGATGCTGAGGGTGATGCCCATGCCCAGGCCGGACATGGCCAGCCAGAACCACCACGCAGGCTGGAAAGCCTTCGAGGGACCTTGCTCATGCTGGTTGGAGAAGGAGATCCACGACAAGGCCGTGAAAGCAGTAGCAGCGACGAGAGGCGCATCGAGGAGGATCAAGCGGGCCTGGGTGAGGAGACCGTTCTCAAAGATGATCAGAGAGGCACCAAGAGCAGCGCTAGGGGTGCGACAGCCAGCAGCCTTGAGCGCGAGGAACACCGTAGGGACGAGCAGGATACCGCAGATGGCGGGATACATGCGCATGGCTACGTAGGGTACGCCAGGCTCGATATAGTCCTTGCCGATTTCCTTGAAGTCGAAGTCGCCCTTGAAGCCCGCGAGCCAGCCGAAGAGCGTGATGAGGAGCTTGGCCAACGGAGGGTGGACGTCCATGAAGAATTTGCCCTTGATGTACTTCGTCGCGAAACCACCGAAGCTGTGAGTGAGAGGTTCTGGTCAGCACATAGCACTGGGGCACAAGCAGGAGCACCCGGAGCGGGAAATTACTCACTGGACTTCATCGAAAACCACGCTGGTCGGCTGCCAGATACGGAAGAGTCTGACGACGGCGCCGATGATTGTGACCAAGACGAGCACCTGGAAGTCGGAGCCGGGGAGGAGGAATACATCGTTGTCGGTGACACCGTCGGAACCAAAGTCCTGGCGCTTGGCGACCTTCTTAGACTTGGAGTTGGCAGAAACAACTGCGTTGCCCGAGCCGTTCCTGCTGGCAGGGGGCCGCGCCGAGTTGGATCGGCCCATGGTCGAGATTGAGACCTCAGCGGTCAGCGGTATGGGCGTGGAGATCGGGAGCGTCGGGTGGCTCGACGACTGATGTCGAGAGCAAGCAGCACTGGAAGCTGTGGGCCGGGGGCAGCAGGTCGGCGTGGGCAGCCCGGTCGCGATGAGAGGGGAGGGAGAAACGATTAAAGAGAGTCGAGAAGAGGAAGGGTGATTACAATGATGCTATGGGCCAGTCACCCATTGAAGAAGAAGCGGTCGAAGGCGAATGGAAGAGCGGGCAGGGCTGGTTGTACAGATGCCCCTTGCAGAGCAACATTCAAAGTTGACAGGTGTTTTACGGAAGGGCTGAGCTTGAGCTGAGGGAGGAGGAAAGGGTCCCGCTCTCCTAGTCCTGTCCGCCCAGAAGCACACGTAACTGGCACGGTTCGAGCCGCCGCAACAAGGAAGCCCCCCCATCGCGGCGGCCCCAGCCATAAGCTCCTGGCTCCCTCCCCCCTTTCCAAGGGTAACTTTTTGACATTGTCCAATCGTGTTGCGTTCTTGAGCTGCTAGTGCACAACTCGCCTGGCAGGCTTACGACGATACGAGCTGCTGCTCATTGCACTCACGGGCTCACAGGCGCAAGACAGTTAGTTGTCCAGGCGATATCACAGGCAACCCCTACCCCTGATGATATTCTCGACACAAGGCTGTTCTGTCGGCATCACGACTTTGATTTGTCTCCTGCCTCGGGGCAGCGGCAGTGCCTATTCAGGGAAATTGCGTCGTGGGACAAGAATGATATGCTTTTGTGGCTTTGCCTAGCCTAGTACGGCACACTGGGACTACAGAATTGTTTCATTGGGTGGCCATCAAGTCTCTGGAACGAGTTAAATTCCTTGCATGCCAGACTGTCAATAGTATTGCTGGTCCCTTCATATCGCAAAGTCGAGCTCCCTTCCTGGCATCCAGGGCGAGACCTTGCTCCGGCTGGTCAGGCCAATCCCTGTCAAGAATGCCAATCATTTTTGGCACGACATGGCCCGTCGACCTGCATCACAGACAATGCGATTGTCCACGCGCAGCATGCGACGACGGCAGCCCCATCCGATGGCGTCGTCTCAGACCAAAGTGGAGTTGTGGCTGCTGGGCCTAGGTAGATCTGTTCAGAAACAGCCAAAGGTGGCCTCAACTCCTTCATCCCGCTACGTGCCTAGTTGACGGGCTGCAGCCGCGTCGTAAGGCTCCACCACTCTTCGCTTGACAGTGCGGATACCTGGCCCGATAAGAAATGCCAAGCCTTCGATAAGAGGAAGTCGAGATGCATCATTATGTCAGCAAACTCTGTGAGCCGCCTGCCTGCTGAGGCTCCGCGCGTGTGTGATTGGTTTCTCAGAATCTTTAGTTTTCCAGATTGGTGATGTCGGCACATGCACAAGCTGAGCGCGAGACATTAGGCAGCACCGAGGCGCATTCATTCAAGTCGCGAAGGGCACATCAAGACACACGTGTACTATCGTGCACCGCGCGACTTCATTGCACTCGACAAGACTCTTCGCCAGACTCGCCAGCCACGAGCGCGTGATGGCTACAGCCACGAACGGCGATGGTGCCGCAGAGATCCTCGACAGCATCAAGCCGCCCCAGGGAGTCGTCCTCCCCCCCAAAGAGTTCAGAAGTGAGTTCCTCGCCCTGCGCCTGACACAACAAACCGCAATGACTAACTGCCCGTCTCAATAGCTGTTCTCGAAAAGACGGCAGGATATGTCGCCCGAAACGGTCTTGCATTCGAAGAACGCATCCGCGAGAAGGAAAAGAACAACCCGAAACTCAGCTTCCTGAATCCTGCGGACCCCTACAACCCATATTATCTCTGGCGACTAAGCGAGATCAAGGAGGGACGAGGAAATGCCATCGCCGCCGGGCGCGCCGGCGAGGCCACCGCAGCAGCGGAAGAGGAGAAGCCGAAGGGACCTCCGAAGCCGCCGGACTTCCAATTCTCAGCGCGCATGCCCAACATCAGCGCGCAAGACTTGGATGTGGTGAAGCTCACAGCTTTGTTCGTCGCCAAGAATGGGCGCCAGTTCATGACGACTTTATCCCAAAAAGAAGCTGGTAACTACCAGTTTGACTTTCTTCGGCCAAACCACAGTTTGCACAACTTCTTTCAACATCTCATCGATCAATACTCGCTGCTTCTACGGTCCGGAGGCGTTGACGGCGAAGGCGGCAAGGTCCAGCAACAGCTGGTGTCAGAACTTCAGCACAATGTTGAAGACAGATACCATATCCTGACTCGCGCGAAACAAAGAGCCGAGTGGCTGAAACACCAAGAGGGCGAGAAACAGAAGAAAGAGGAGGAGGAGGAAGCAGAGAAACTGTCCTATGCCCAGATCGACTGGCATGATTTTGTCGTCGTCGAGACGGTGGTCTTCACCGACGCTGACGACCAAGCGGCTCTACCACCCCCAACATCACTATCAGAGCTCCAGTATGCTTCGCTCGAACAAAAGGGCAAGGCCTCCGTCAGTGCGAACCTGCGCATCGAGGAGGCATTCCCTTCAGATGAAGACAGCCTCCACAACAACTATGCCGCTCAACCCAACCACAATCTTCCATACCATCCCGCCAGCGCGCCACAAGCACAATATCCCGTGCAAAACATACCACAAGCACAAGCACCCTACCAGATGGCACCTCCACCTCGACCACATGACGCCCAGGAGGACGAAGAGAACCAACGCATCCGAGAACGCGAAGAAGCCAGAATACGCATGCAGATGGCGCAAGCCGAAGCCAAGGGTGGCGCGGCCCCGATGAAGATCAAGGAGAACTACGTGCCGAAGGCCGCCCAGCGCGCCGCGAACCGGCAAGGCGCGGGCCAGATGGCGCTGTGCCCGAACTGCAAGCAGCAGATCCCGCTCAACGAGCTCGAGGAGCACATGCGCATCGAGCTGCTGGACCCGTCGTGGAAGGAGCAAAAGGCCAAGGCGGAGCAGCGGTATGCAACGACGAACCTGACGCACGCCGACATGGCCAACAACCTGAAGCGCCTCGCCAGCAACCGCGTCGACATCTTTGACGGCACCACCGGCCAGCCCATCACCGAGGAGGAGGCGGCGCGCAGGAAACGCATCGCGCTCAACAGCTACGACGGCAACCCGGAGGGCAGGAGCCAGGCGCACATGAGCCACATGCAGAATGTCAATGTGGACGAGCAGATTGCGCGGATCCACCAGCGGTTCGCGAGCAGAGACCAGGGACAATGAGTCTTTGTAGCGTCATTTCCTTGGTCCAAGGAGAGAAGGATGTTTGCGTCGACAACGACGAGAGAGCCTGGCGCGCGTAGTATCCGATTTCTTGCGTAACATGAGTGCACACAAGTGCATTTAGTTCATTCACCGAGCATTTGGCGCATCATTAGTAGCACAAGAGTCTGGTTCAGTTTAGGGTCGGGATGTACTACCAAGAAGGTCCTTGGACGTCTAGGGCTCATCATCAAAACCAAGAGGTATAAGAGATAGATACCCACCTCAAGCGTTTTGGAATATGTCCATATTTTGGTTTTTAGGGAACATTTTGTCACAAGTCAGCGCTTGCAATCTAACAACATGTTCATTAATATCGTGACATCATCGTCTCCTCAAATTGTAACACCTGCAACGGCGTTCCCGGGCTAGGCTTTCAGCATGCCTAATGGTTCTACGTGCTGCTATCGCCCTCGCTTTCTTCTTCCTCCTCGTCATTGGCAAATGATTCAACGATCAAATTGCCAGATCGCCCAATCTTGTCCCCAAGCGTGGCTGAGCCATCCTTGTCTGGCTCATAGACGACGCGAGGCATGAGCGAGGCAATCTTGAAGTTGTAAACGTGCTCATACCCACTGGGCTCCTGAATATTCGCTGACGTCTTCTCATCATCTTCGTCGGCCCCGAGATATTCAAAGCAGTCGACAAAGGCGTAGAGTTCTTCCACGGTCGTGGTCGCCGTGAACTTGCGCACTATCCTCCCCGCGCCGGACTCCTCGGGCATCTTCAGCGCAAGCCGCACGACGTCCTTGGCATTGACAGTGTTGTCGGGTTCGGGCGTTATGGTTGTTGCACGCCAGCGCCGCCACTCTTCTCTTTGCCGGGCGAGGCGCTCAGCAGCTTCAGCTTCTTCTTGAGCACGCTTCTCTGCTGCTGCTGCGGCAGCCTCAGCCTCCTTGCGCTGCCGCGCGCGTTCCCGGTCTGCCGCCAGTGATCGTTCGTATGCCGAATCTTGCTCGTTGCGCAGATTTCTCGTCACTTCCTGTGCTGTTCGCTCGGCTCGCACGCCGGCGAGATCTGGTGCATATTTGGTAATTGCAGTCTGCAGCTCGGCGACGTATGTCTGCGGTGGTACAGGACCTACTATTCGCTTCACGATGCTCATGCGTGTGCTTCCCTCTCGAGGGGTCAGGCACACGACGCAGGTGAAGGGGAACTTGGTCGCATTGTACTCCGTGGCTACCTGGAATGCCTCGCTGTCCAGAACGTTCCCGCCCCATAGAACGATGTTGTTCTGCGGGTCATTGATGAAGGCGGTGACCTCAGGCGAAAGAAGCGTTTCGCGGGTGAATGACTCAGTGTCGTCGTGTTCCGGAGAGACGAGGATCATGATGAGAAACTTGAGGTCCTTCTTCGCCTCGTCCAACGCTTGCGCAAAACCACCCTCATAGAATGGCAAGGTGCTGGACCCGTATTCTTCCTCGAATTCTCGCTTGAATCTGGCTGCAGTGTCGCGAGGCAGGAGCATGCGGCGGCCCGAGGTTCCCTTGAAACCTTGTGTTATCGAAGTGGTAATGGCTCGAGGTCGAATTGCTGCCGGTAGGAATGCGAGTACGTAGACAATGACTCGAAAGACTCCAGTGGTCGCGCGATGGACCAAGTTGAAGGGGGCTAGGAAGATTGCCAGCAGAAGTGGCGGCCGATGTGTACTTGGAGGCTGAGGCACTATTCGAGGAGCAGGAGCTGGTGCGTTTCTTCTTGGGGGCCGGACAGTACCGAATGGCGCATCTGCAAACGTCTCCTGCAGATTCTCGTAACGGGATGCCTGTGTCGGAATGTGATCCTGGGCGGCTATGGCTTCAGCCAGGGGATCAGGGCCCTCACCGTCAAAGAACTTGGCGATGGCTATCTGTACATTCCACTGCGACCGTTGAAGCAAGGGGATAGCCTCTGCATGGTCCTGGGCGGTGACTGCTGTGTACTGCTCGAGGGCAGCCTGCTGCTCCGCGGAGAGCTGGTCCAGGTCCACCTCTGGACCAGCGGCTGTAGCCATGGACGGAGGCACTGAGGCAGCTTCAATCTACGGTAGAGCTATGTGACGCTTGTTGCTAAGATGCCCGTATCCCGGAGGATGTGCCACCAAGAGGCGAGGCGAGGAGGGGGACGTACGAGTCGAGCCTCGGCTGTCGTCGGGTGGAGGCTGGAATACGCCTGGATGGTGTGTTTTGTGCAAAGCGTGGTAGCGGCCAGCGATTGGAAGGGCCACCAGTTGATTATGGAGGGTGGTGTGAATCGCGGCGTAGGGCTCGGCTTTGTCGGGACAAAGTACTAGCTCTAGACAGCTGCCAGTAGCCGCGGACTCGAGCAGGACGTGGTAAGCTTGGTCCCTGCGTGCAACGGTGGTGAGTGCTCGAGGTGGGATGACGTGCGATGTGGCCAGCATGTGCTTGTCGGACGCCGCCCTGGCTGCACCGTTTACTGTGCAGGCACGGGAGGGGAGTGGGGCACGGCCACTACGGCGACCTGGCCGTGGACTATCTATCACTGTGCGTGCAGGGCGGGAGCGCAGTCGTCAAGTCTGGAGCTTTGAAGCCGCTGGCCGTCCCGGTTCCCAATGTCAACGTCTGATCTGTTTGAGGTGTTGTTTGGATGTGAGCTCCTCTCCTTCTTGCCCTTTGACTGCCAGGAGCAGCAAGCGTGTCCAGTGTTCACAAGACGAGGCCTGCCCCTGGCGTTCCCCCGTCCCCACCTCGAGGTTGACGGCGGCCCACCCACTGCCGCGAGCAGATAGACAGACAGACAGACAGACAGGCCAGGCACGCCCAGCAGTGCTCTGCTCTGGCCTGGCCCTCCCGCCGACTCTCTGCGCTTGTTATCGTCCACCGCGACCGCTGTGCGGCCCCCGACCGTCATCAGCCCCTCCAGCTCCCGATCCCCAATCGCGGCGCCGGTCCGCCTTTCGCATCAACCACGCCTGCTGCTTCCTTTGCTTCCCTTCGCGCCGCCCGCCTCCGCCGCCGCCCACGCCTTGCTCGTACAGAAACATGCCGGTCTCGCTGTGACCATTGTCGACCATCCACGCTCCCCGCCAGCGCCTGCACGGCCTCGCGCTCCACGCCGCCCGTGATCTGTCTTGAACGCGACTTGACGTGCTCCTCCTCCTCCTCCTCCTCCTCGGCCGCGATCCGGACCACGGCCTCCCGCGCTGGCCACCTCGCCCTCAACACCACTTGCCCCGGGCAACTTACACACCGCCTGCGCTGGAACCCATGTCGCTTGCCGGGCGAGCATTTCTTGGAAAGCGAGTCAACTTCTAGGAGAAGTCTGGGTCTCGCCTCACACGAGTGTTGCGGCTGCTCCACCTCCTTCTCCTGCCGCCAGCGACGTCGGGCCTTTCTGTCGGAGACTACATCCTTTGGAGTCGCGCTTGCTTTCATGCCGGCACCGGTCCTCCCGTTTCGTCCTCCCCACATATGGCGAGTACCCGATTTGGATCTGCCACCGATAGGGCAGGCAGGACAATGGCTTCCCCACGACCCAAGGCACGAGGTACGTCTGCTCCTGCCAGCCCAAGCCGACCGCCCTCTCCAGAAGGCGTCCTCCCGCTTGAGACTACTCAGCTGGTGCAGCTTCTTGATGCCTAAAGCTCCTCTGCTCACCCACTGCTCCTGCTAGCTATAGATACAAAGGATACTCTGTGTCGCAATGTCCTAATCTATGGCCACTGCCGATACGAAGACCAAGGTTGCGCCTTCAATCACGATCAGAACAAGAACTCCTCGAGTTCAATGGATGTGTAGGTGCCATGAATTTCCCCCTCCTGCCTCCCACCCATCTCCAGCGTAATGATCTCCCCTCGGCACCCTGTGGCTCCCCTGTCATGTGAGTATATGGCAATACTGTACGCCAATTGTAACCATACCTCGAGACTCCTTGGGCTGCGCAAGTCCAACTTGTGACAGGAGGCCAGCCGTCTCTCTCTCTCTCTCTCTTGGCCGACAATCATGCCGCTCCTGCGATCAATGACAGGCCAGTCGGTCCATCTGGACACCCCCACGGATTCTGCTCGCCCGTCTCCAGCGACACCACTCTTCGACCTCTGTGAGGAGTTCCCGACCTTGAGCCAGGCAGCTACCGTACCTCTCAGGAGATATAGGGGCCGCTGTAGAAGGCCTTCAATCAGCGCCACTTTTGGACATGGCTCTTCAGAATCCGTGGCGACGGCTGAATCCCTAGACTCTCGCGTTCCAGCCTGTGAGGATGAAGTCGCTATCACCGGAAGCTTGCTCGCTGGTGATGGTCGAACATTGTTCTTGATCAATGACTCTGCACATAATGAGAGTCTTCAGGCCGACTCGCTGGACCTCGAGGCGCGGGCAGTCGAAGGCGAAAGCACATCCGAAGTTCTTCAGGCTGTCAGACCTCTTGTCAATGTCAAAACCTCCCCATCAATGCATCAACTAAACGACGAGCGGATCCATAATCAATATCAGGATGCAACTTCACCCGGAATGAGAGATGCTGGTTTTCTCTCAACCCGTAGCACACCCAAAATTATTGGCAGGCTCAACCAATCCACAACTTATACTGATTTGCTTCTGCATAGCTCAAAGAAATCTCTCAATGTGGAATCACCTTCCTTCACACCGGCTCAGCTTCCGGGTTCTAAAAAGACCGGATTCTCAACCACTGCCACGCCATTCACACCACGCGGTTCCGCAGGTATGATATAAAGGAGTGATCGCAGTATGGTCTAATTGATCTTCGCTAACAGCAATAGCAGCTGCGACATCATCACTCCCGCAAGATGTGCCGGCATTGTACAAGACTGGTCCCACGTTTGCCGAGTTCACACCACAAAACTATGACTTGAACACTGCAGTATGTCTGCGCCAACCTTGAACTTTGTTTACACGACGCTGACGGTCCAACAGTCGGGCACAAACGGGACTGGAGGAGATGGCGCCATGAGTTATGATCCATTCACCATGTCAAACGTCGCGCAGGCTTTGAACCCCGCATCGCAGTACAACCCTTATGCTGAAGATCCGAATGCGCTGTCTGGTGCCGGAGCCCAATATTATGGTGCACAAGGTGCCTATACGGCCCCCTTGCAGCCTGTATGTTGACCCCTGGAGTCTGCCAACTGCTATTTTCACTGACCTTGCGTAGCTCAACCATCATCTTTACAACCCCGTCAATCCATCAAGGGAAAATCTCCTCCCACATCAGAAGCAGATTCAGGAGCTCTTTGTACCCGAACATCTGCGAGAAGAACTGGCGAAGAAGTCAGAAGCCGCTCGTCAGGTCCTTCCTAGTAGGTTGCACCGCGCTGAGCTTGTCATCGTTTTGCACAAGCGCTGACATTATTGCAGCTTCTACTTTGCCATCACCTACTCATTATCACTCGCTCGTCCCATTGGATGTCAAGATGAGGACAAACTCCGGCGGTTTCTTTGGTTTCCCTTCCTCTGTATACAAAGCGTACTCGCGGAAACAAGGCAGCACCTTCTGCTTACGCCGCATTGAAGGTTGGTCACGCCCATTCCTTGGCACTGCTACATCAGTGCTAACATGCTCTCAGGCTACCGATTGACCGCAGAAGGGTCATTCGTGAAAACAATGACTGCGTGGAAGAAGATAATTCATCCAAACGTTGTGACTACCGTGGAAGCATTCACTACGAGGGAATTCAGCGACAGTTCGCTGATATTCGTGCAACACTATCACCCTCTCTCCAAGACCCTGGCTGAGGCTCATTCCGCGACCACCGCCGCTGGCCGATTTTCGCGACCCAGCCCAGTAGCCGAAAGAGTGCTTTGGAGCTACCTGTTGCAAATTACGAGCGCATTGCGCGCGATACATGCTGGGGGCCTGGCTGCTCGATGCATCGACGCGACCAAGGTTATTATTACGGACAAGAACCGTATCAGACTTGCAGGCTGTTCCATCATCGATGTCCTCCAAGGAGAGAACCAAACTCCCCTTGAAGACTTGCAGCAAGAGGACTTTTTGCACCTTGGCAGACTCATCCTGAGCCTCGCCACACATTCACAGCCGCGGAACTCCCACGAAGTTCCCCCTTTGCTTGATCAGATGAGCAGATCCTACAGTCAGGAGCTCGTGAGTCGGACAAGCTGGCTGCTATCACCACCTCAACCTGGTCAACCTAAGACCACGAAGGTCATACTTGCCGAGTCTGCGACGCATCTCGACGATATCATGATTGCGCAATTCAATTACCAAGATGAGACGACCTCCCACCTCAGCAAGGAATTGGAGAACGGCCGACTTTTCCGTCTCATGGCAAAGCTGGGAGCAATCAACGAGCGGCCAGAATTCGACAATGACCCAACCTGGTCAGAGACAAATGAGCGATATACCTTGAAGCTCTTCCGCGACTACGTCTTTCACCAAGTCGACTCTCAAGGCAATCCTGTTGTTGACCTTGGTCATATCGTACAGTGTCTCAACAAGCTCGACGCTGGCATTGACGAAAAGATATACTTGACAAGCCGCGATCATCAGAGCGCATTTGTGGTGACATATAAAGAGCTCAAGAAGCAGGTCACGACTGCATTCGGAGATCTCCTTAAGGGTGGCGCTGCGAAGAGCAAGAGTTACTAGGAATACCCCCTGAGAGATCAGCTGCAGCGCCTGGCACAGCATACAAGAAATCCCATCAGAAAGTCATATTGACTCGGCCTTTCCTATTCAGAAGCAGAAGCAGTGACGCTATGTGGCACTTCTGAACCAGAATGTATGCCGGAAACGCAATGTCAGCACGGGTTGTGGCAGAAGCACAAGCAAGCGCAAAGTCGGACGAGGTGTAAGAGGCGTTTCGCCCTGTACACTGCCGACACGCGAGTCAGTATGGTACAGGCTTCATCGTTTGGAGCTTCGGCGCCTGACAGCTACTAAGGACAATCCTCCATATTCCGCATAGCACTCAACTCGTGAGGTAACAACCGAAGCTGGGCTAGGATCAAAGGCAGAAGAAGGCAATGAAGAGGGAAGAGAAAGATCACGTTCAAGAAGAAACACTAAAAATGGGAAAACGCATTATCATAAAACCAGAGGATCTATTCGTTGTTTGACTGACCCGTGACCTGATTTGAGGGACACCTGAAGAGTATGGTTTTGGCTCTTGCTATCATCTGTGCCCGGCTTTGATGCCGAACTGCTTCATATATTTACCATGTCACCCACGCTGTTCCCAATAAGTCCGGTCCGGGCCCAAATCTCAATCCGCCGCATCGTCAATAAAGGCTACAGCCACAGACCTTTCTAGCGCTTAATCGCAGACAAGTCCAAGGTCCGCTGCCCCAGCTCGGCAGCTCTCTGCTGTGACGAGAAGCATGGTCTGGAGCAAACCAGCCAACCACCTGGGTAATCGGCGTTTCGTCTTCCCCATGGCGCGCGGTGCTTCTGCTCTGATAGGTGGTGACGCCATGAACCTTCTTTTCAATCATCGTCCTGCTGTTGCAGGAACGGGTTCTCAATCTGCTCACTTCCGTCGAGCGGGCTGATGACGACCAGCAGCGTGCCGCGAGCCACGACGAGGCCGAGCTGTCTCGTCTTTGTGTTTCCTTCGTCGTCTGCGGGGTCTTGTTAGAAGAGGTGTTCCCATTTGCAAGTTGGAGAAAGCTTTTGTACGCGTACCTTGTAACGACTCCTCCACATCGTCGAGGACGAGGTTCATGAGCGCGTCGTAGCCCTTGAGTGTGCCGGTCACTGTGATACGCCGTCTCTTCGTTAGCCATTGCGTACAACGACGCTCCGCATATATCTCTGGCAACAGTGCACCACGCAAGGGGGGAAACGGGGCCTGGCTGCCTTCGACAAACCTGCTGGCCTTGTTTCCCTCCTGGTCCTGTCAAAGACAGAAACGAGTCTCATGGGGAGAGGGCCGATTGCCTACCTTCCCGCCCGCCATTGAACTTGACTGTGATCTTCTTGTCCATGTACTTTCCAAGGTCCAGGATGTTCTCCTTCTTCGGCCGTTCGCGCTCCTGGTTGTCGCCGCCCGCGCCGCCGCCTCCTCTGCCACCACCGCCACGACCTCCCCGACCGCCGCCTCCTCGCGAGTGGCCCCTGTCACCGCCTCCTCGGCCGCCGCCGCCACGGTGATGACCTCCCCCTCTATCGGCCATTTCTTTTCGAGTATGCGGGTACGTTTGGTAGTTGGATATGGTGCGTTCGATGCTCGTGGATGATTTTGAAAACGACCTGGGGCGATGCCTGACGGGAGTTTGGATCCAATGGTCTTCTTCTTCTTCTTCGGCGACGCACTGTGAAAGGCGAACGGCACAATTGACGCGAGTGTGCTGCTGGACTTAGGTCTCAAAAAGGCAGAAATGCAGAATGTCTGTTGCACGCTTGGCCAATGCCTACCTGTGACGACCAGCTCCAGCACTGCACTCGACGTGGGGTGTCGCGGACCGCCCTCCACCACCACACGGCGAGAGCTATGCCCCCGTCATTGGGCCCTATCGATACCGGATGTCGCAAAATGGTTGGACCTTGCAGGTTCGGACAGGCAGCACAGGATTTGCTCCAGATGGCAGGTTGCAACGGAGGTGTCCCAATTGTTTGTCGGCACCTCACCAATAGACCACCGCATACATACCTACTTACACTACCTAGAGATGGGAAATGGCTTCATCGTCCATGGGGTTCTCGCCTTCTGATCATGGTTAAGATAGGTACTTGCCATGAACTGGACATCGTGCACTACACATGAGAATATGCTTCCGCCAGTTTCGACAAATTGCTCGTGCACACTGCGTGCTACCACTTTCCCGGATTTTCCACTTCGCGTCTCGCGCTACAGCCATGGCTCTGGGGGAGGACTATTGAACGCTCAGCGCAGCTAGCCAACAAAGTGTGCAGGAATCGCTTCGTCCCAAATCCCAGCTTGCCACTGCTTTTCATGCTCGCGCACACAAACGGCACGTGTAGGGACTGGACGGGGAACCGGCTGTCTGGACCCTTTCAAGTCAGTTCTGCGCGCCCCCTGCCGCTGACATGTGTCTCAGTGCTGCAAGCCATAGTGACCAGTCCGTCGGATCATTCGTTCCGCGAAATTGCTCCGATGCACGTATGAGCTGAGGATCATCTTGGGCCCAGGATGCTGGACGGTGGTGAATCCGTGATCAGTGACCGGGCCTTCCCTGGATGCTATGGGCGTGGTTACATTTGGCTCATAGCTTGGCAAGATACCACGCAACGAAAGATTACGACTTGAGTGGACGATGACAATGCAAGCGGGCTCCAGTGTACTATGTGCAATGGTGAAACCCTACCCAGCGGGAAGGAACCCGGCCAGTCTGTTGGGAGTCAAGGCCAAAGAATATGGCTCCGAGCAGGGATCAAAATTACCGAAAAACTCCTTTAACAGAGCCGAAGTTGTCAAATGCCTGCCCTCGCCTGCCATGGGGGCCCTCGTCCTGGTGTGGCAAAGTGAATGATCGTCGTTTTGACGGGGTAGCTTTCCCGGCAAGGCTGCCCTGTAGCAGCTAGGAGCTGGGGGGTTGGGTGTGGCAAGTTGAAGCGAGCGTCACGACATAACAAGGGGCAAGCTGTCTCGAGCTGCGAGGTAAATTGGTCCTCCGCCCGTCCTAGTAGAGAGCCATACTGCCGTTCTATGATATGCATGTTTCCGGCTGTTCAGGGTCCTCACGCGTGCCCGCGTCGGCCAGACATGGAGGGGGACTGTAGGCACAGAAGCAAGATGAGCCATAATTCGCATTCGGGCCAATGCCGTCTGGCAGATCTGCAGTGCGGCCAGTGCTCCACGACCAGCCCGCACTTCCAGACTGGGCATTGTGCCAGTCCTTGCAGGTCGGTCTGTGGTTGAGCTCATCACCGCCGTCGATGCTGCGGGCAGGGGTTCTTCACGCCCATTCGCGACCCTGCAAGGGAGGAGCCAGCGCCGAACCAGACCAGTGGTGACACCGCTTGACTGGCGCTCGACTGATTCTCGATGGTCGCTACGGAGGAAAGGCCTAGCCTGGACAAGGGGCCAGGGTAGCAGGCTCCAGCCCAAAAGGTCTTGCCATTGTCGAGAGCTAGCGCAGGGCGTGGTGCAGATCAGCGCAGCTGCAGTCTTGGATGGAGCAAGGCTGGCTGGGCATATGGGCTGTTTGAGCCTGCAAGATCCATGGATGCAACGTGAGAGATTGGTCTTTGTCGTTTGTCTGTGAGCCATCAGCAGATGGGCAAGGAGAGAGAGAGGACACAAGGATCGCGCACATCATCTTGATCCGGCCAGGTTGGTTGCGGAGCGGTGCATTGGCTCCGGTCGGCAGGGTCGCAACTGCCGTTTGTTGTCGGCTACAACGTCCAGTGACTCCCAGACCTGGGACGCGGATCCAGATCTCAAATCAACGCCGGTGGACACCTCGCATACACCATCATCGTGGGAACAGTCGAGCAGTCGAGAGGCGCGATCTGCGGACATGTCACCGGCACCGCTGGCCTGGACGCCTGCACCGTGCTGATCTCAACCACTTCCGTCAGCAGCCTCGCCATGCAAGATACCGCTCCGGGCTGCAGGACGCTTCTGCCGGCGTAAGGAGCATGAGGAGAGCTCAAGACACCAGAGAACACAAGGGACCCTGGTGGGACACGCAGGATCGTCGTACCGAGTCGGCTTACCCTTCCTTCAAAAAGTCTTGGGCCTATCCTGGTCGCATAGTCGTCTCAGGCCACCCTGATGTTCGGTGGCGGGGCCGCACAGCAAATGAAGACCTCTCATTCGACTGTTGCCGGCTTCCGATCTCTAACCGCGCCGTGACAACCTCTCCCGGATAACCTCGCGGCATATGTGCCATGCCTGGCTTGCCTGGCTCGTCCACGTCAAGGTACGACACGGGACTACCATCATCCGCCGCTCCTGTCCTCCCCGCTAAAGCGACCTGGTCCTGCCGACTGACTACGGCAAACATGATCGGCCAGCCTGTCATCGGCCTAGGGCCTAGGCCCCATCCCCAGGCGATCCGACAAGAGCATCCTGCGTTGACGGCTTTGAGCTTTCCGGAAATCACCTAGCTACGTGGGTTGCGTGCCAGCATCCAGTTTCGCCACGATCGGCACCAGTGCCTTTGAGATTCAATGGGCGCTGGTCTCAGGACCCCCCCCTTGTTGCTGTATACACGTACCGACAGGGCCCGCTGACCCCGGGTCCTCAGCGCTGGGACAGCCCAGAACTGCTGGGGTGCGGAATGCTTGTTGCGCATGTCTTCTCCGCCACCAGGGGCCCATTCCGCTCCCGCTCGTCGGCGCGGGAGCCGGTGCCTCGAATGGGAGAGCTCTAGAGCTCAAGTCGTCCCCGCGCATCTCAATTTCTCGCTCTAGCGTTGCGGCCTTGTCAACCTTGCATTTCTACCTTTTCATTTCTGCTTCGGACTTTCCTCGTCTGCTCGACGCGAGGAACGACTTGGCTTCGCTACCGTCCGCGGTCAACGATGGAGCCATCTCATGTGTGAACAACTGTCTTGTGCCTCGCCTGCCTCAGTGGCTCCTGGAAGCAGCTGTATCAACAACCTGGGAACCCCAGCCAGGGCCTTTCTTCACGATCACTAATCACCCGACTCGCCCACCGCTCCGACGCTCCATGCGGCACCGTCCACTGCTGCCCTCCACCAGCACGCCAACAACAACGTGATCTGGCACTGTCCTTGAGCACATCCGCGACAGCACCCACCAAAGTCCGCCATCCATTCTCGAAAATATCGCTGCACAACTGCGCTGCGCCGCCGGACCTGAGAGGTATTCCCGCAAGAATTGGCGCTAAAGAAGGCAGTTGCTGTTGTCCACCTCAGACTTTCACCCTGTGCATTGTGCCCAAGCCACTCTTCCTGTGTGCAAATTATTTTCTCTTCTCCATGGTACCCAGCGTTCGTCTCGCGTACAGGATGCGAAGTCATGGCACCCAGCTCAGAAAACGAACCGCACAAGCGCAAACGCGACATTTCAGATGAGAGTGGTACTCAGTCTGGCCTGGCTGCAGATCGCATACCTCAGCCATTACCTCCCCAATCAGGTATGCTCCATGAGACTTCACCGCACGGGCGCTGCTTTGGGCCCGCAACCGATTCGGATCAGGTCCACGTCCCGCGCCAGCATTCATGGATCGCGCGCTTCACAGCTGCTTATGGCGGACACTTTGCAAAAGGCTGCTAACCTTCTGTACAGCGAAGCAACCGCCCATCAACTATCTTTCCAGGGCCCAATCAGGCCGTCTGAGCCTTCTGCAGGGAGACAGCGATTCCTTCTCTGATGTACTGGCTCTTATTGGCGAGTATGAAGGTAGGTCACTACCTACACACGATCATGAGCTCGCACCTCAGATTGCTGATACGACATCGTGTAGGCGTGCTCAACCGTCATGAGAGTCTCGCCGTCAACCTTGGGGCTAAACTCACAGGCCCCCGTCTTCTCAAAGCCATGGAAGGACTCTTCGAGGGCCCTATCATCGCAAATCCACGACAGGCCATGTTTGGACCCGACCCGATCACCTGGCTCGATATTGTAGAATTCTCACGCTCACACCCTGGCGACTTCGTCATATCGAACAATGCTGGCGGCATACGCTGCTGCCAGTTTCAACTCAAAGGTGCCCAGGTTGAGATCTCCGAGGACGATTGGCGTCTCATAGTCGCTGGAGCAGTCGATCGCTTTCGCCTCCAGCAACCAGCAGAAGAGGATGAGATGACAGAAGCTGCGACACTAGATATATTAGAACAACGCCTGCAAGTGCTCATCAAGAAAGCGGACGAAGTCGCACGCAAAGCTCGCCAGCTCAACTACCACCTCGGTGGCCGCAAAGCAGCTATCAATGCACGGCGGTCGTCTCAATCATCATCGTCAAAAAGCCCGTTCCAGGCAGCAAATCAGCTGCGACCAGGGGCAGCAGGGCCGACTTATGACCTCCACGCGGATCTTCTTGCTCAATTTATGAACAACCCGCATCAGTCCCGTTTGTCATCTACCAGCTCGGTTCCTCCGACACCAGTCACAGCAAGCACCAGTGTCACAACGCCTCGGACTTCATTACAATACATTCAACAGCCACAACATCCACAGCAACAGCAACAGCACCAGCAATCGCAGCCGTCAACGGCGTACTCTGCTGCAAGCGGTCGACCGTCACCGGTGTTCTCCGCCGAATCGTCCGCCCGCGAGCCAGACGAGGAATACCGGCATCTCGTTACGTCAGTTGTAGAGAAGTTGGGCCGTGGAGAGACAATTTACCCACCATGTGACCGCTGTCGTCGGCTGCGCACGCAGTGTGTCAAGCATCTCACAGCCTGTCAGGGATGTACCAAAAAACATGCCAGATGTGTCTGGAAGGGGCTGACTGAGGAAGAAGTGGTTTGGCTTAGAGGACAAGTCGGAAGTCATCACGACGACGAAAGTGACAGCCGTGTCACAACACTACCGCGCGTACCGGATGACCCGAGAGAAACGGTCCATCTCGCCACCCCATCCCATGACCAACAGCAAATACAGTTCTCGGACAGCAGGGATCGAAGCAACGAGGCTGCGCCGTCGGGACAGCTAGTGTCTCGTCTTGCAATTGGGCGGCACGTAGACGACGTGTGGAGAAAAGGAAACGCATCGACGAGCAGTCCCTACAGACACGAGAATATGGACATAGACACCAGGGAGCCGGCTAAGGGAGATGGTGGCCGTCCGCATTCTCGACTAAGCCATTTGACACACCCGACCTCGGCACCGACACCGAGCACGGCTGCCTCACCGCGGCATAATGGTCAGGGCTATCAGTCTTGAGCTGCCGAGAAATTATTGTACAGATGCTGACGGCTTCTCTTGTAAGTTTCGAGTGGCCCGCCGTGGCCGCGACCGAGCCGGAGAGACAAGCTTCCGTTCATTGAGTCGTTGAGTCTGCAGTCACGACATAACTTTTCCTAATGACCTGCAGCCGACAAAGCGAACTCCCTTGCCCGCTTCATGCACATTGTGCAGCACCATACGAAAGAAATCTAGACATTAATGCAGTGAAGCAACCGAAGCGAGGCATCATAGAGTTGGGATGCGCCGGCACGTAGACCGATAATGTAATGACTATTCATGTGCACACTCTGCAAGCACTGACGAGGGATGTGAGGCAGTTACAAAGTCGGCAGGACTGGACAGTATTGGGCGTGCTCATGGTAACCATGCGGGCGCGCCTGTGAGTGTGGATCCCTTGTATGACTAAGACGGCTACTTGGGCAGGCAAGCAGGAGGACCCCGAGGCAGCTTAGACTAGGCCTTGGCAGTCGAGTCGTGAGATGATGAATCAGGCCCGCAAAAAAAGCTGCATCATCGAGAAAGCAATGCAGATTCGCCTGCTGGGTGCGCTTTTTCGCTTTACCCTTCCATGATCTTGCCGGGACCCGGCATTTCGCACCTTTCCACAGCTCCTCTCGCGCCCCTCGACCAGTCCGACTCTGCACAGGCCCTGTTAGTCCACGTTTTGGCTGCTTGCGCCGCTCTTTCACGAACCGGACCACCGGACCGTCGCACAGAATCCCTCCACCCTGCAGCACGAACCTCAAATCGGCACAGGCGCTGTGCCGAAACTTCGACGACTCCTCGATCCGCGAATGCCACTCCTCGTATGGGTTGCCGGTAGCAGCGCAACTTGAGAGCCTTCTTCCCAGCGACTTGACCAACGTCGGCGCCATTTGTACACATTCACGCCCAGGCCTAAGACGCCACACCCACCTTGAAGATCCTGAACTCGACTTGATCTAGTCATTGTCTTCAGCAAAGTCTACGTGCCAACATGTCAACCTCGACGCACCGGAGCGCGGGCTCCGGGATGCCACGCCAGTCACCTCTCCCCGAGTCCCGCGAGCTCGGCGTTGCCATGCCAGATACACAACCTATTGCCACGAAGAAATCGCCATTTGCCTCGTCATGGCCCCATCTCGTTGCTGGAGGGTAAGTGGGAAGACAGCCGCTGGCGGTCTCAGCCGGCTGCGTCGAATAGGAGCTGATATGCTCTCTCCATCATATGACGTAGCTCACATTTGTTACCAACTTCTTGGGCTAACATGTGACGGCACAACAGCATAGGAGGCATGACGGCTGCCGTGCTGACAGCACCGCTTGACGTCCTGAAAACACGACTGCAGTCCGATTTCTACCAAGCGCAGCTGCGCGCTGCCCGAGAAGCCGCCACCGGATCTGCGAATGCCAGGCTGGGCCTGGCCCGATCTATCACCTATCACATGTCCGAGACGATACAGATCCTGCGCGACGTCTATCGCCTGGAAGGCTTTCGCGCGATGTTCAAAGGGCTGGGCCCCAACCTGATCGGCGTTGTGCCTGCGCGCAGCATCAACTTCTATGTATACCCGACGAGCAAAAGATTCTACAGCCAGTGGCTGGGCATCGACGCAACCTCGCCAACAGTACACTTGGCTAGTGCAGTGACAGCAGGTATCGCCACCGGCACGGCGACGAACCCAATCTGGCTTGTCAAGACACGATTGCAGCTCGACAAGAATAACGCGGCGAAGAAGGGTGACGTGGCTGCCCGTCAGTATAGAAACAGTTGGGACTGCATCAAGCAGACATTCAGAAATGAAGGGTTCAGAGGCTTCTTCAAGGGCCTGAGTGCCAGCTATCTCGGCGTCACCGAGAGCACGCTGCAGTGGATGCTGTACGAGCAGATCAAGGCGTCACTCCGGCAACGCGAGGAGGCCATCATCACCAGCGGACGCGAGAAGACGTGGTGGGACCGCACAGTGGACTGGACAGGCAACTCGATGGGCGCAGGCGCTGCCAAAGGCATCGCGTCCGTCCTGACATATCCTCACGAGGTCGCCCGTACGAGGTTACGACAGGCGCCGATGCAAGACGGCCGACCCAAGTACACCGGCCTCGTCCAATGTTTCAAGCTTGTGTTTAAGGAGGAAGGCTTCATCGGATTATACGGTGGCCTGACGCCCCATCTTATGCGCACGATCCCGTCGGCCGCCATCATGTTTGGCATGTACGAAGGTATTCTGACCGTGCTGGGAGCGAAGCACTGAAGACGCAACCTGGTCCAAGCCGCACGGCTGAACTGGACATCCAAAGATGCTTCGCCAGCCTAGACTCGGTCCTATGGCCAAGAGCTGTAATGACACCGAGCGCTGTCAACACCTCGACCCCACGGCTCTGACGCAGAACTCATCATGCAGTTATAAACAGCATCACACTGGACGACATCATTCCACATCCAGACACACGGAGGATCGTACCACCCAACACCAACTGTACAACAATATTTATTATCAACATATAACGTCTGCATAGCGCGGCAACCCGCCGGGGAGCTTAAGAACTGTTCCGATGCACTCGCCACGCTGCATTCGCAACCAGAATCTCTATAATCACCTCTGCCCCCACACACGATCTTCCAAACTGTACAACATCCACACTCTTACCCGCTTCACTACGAGGATAGACTTTCGAGTTAGACCATTAGGGCGCAGCGGCGCAAACGACAGGGGCAACAATCTTGCATATACACATACACCTCAGGAAGACGCAGAAATGAACGACACGTACACACACACACACACACACCTGCATAGACTCACATCTTTCCTACTTCTCCGCTCACGGCGAACGGGAGTCTCGCGGGCGGGGAAAAAGGGTAGAACGATCTAGCTGTACCAATACACATCATGTAAGGATATGACCACGAGCACCGCCTCCAGCGTGGGCGTGTTCCATATATATTCACATGTAAACATATATCCCCATGTACCACCAAAGTTTTACGAGACAAAAACGTCACAGACAACTGCGATTGATGCCGATGGAAACTTGCGCTTTTGCCGTGACGGTATGTGTGTGTTATGGACTTTTACCAGAGGGGTAGGTTGTAACGGCACGGACTCGTCTGGCCTAGGTCGTGCGTGTTGCTGGCGGGTGGGTTGATATTGTACCACGCCTTCTTCTTCTTCTTCTTCTTCGTCTTCTTCTTCCGCCGCAGCTGGGTTCACAAAAAGACCGCAGTAGTAGCAACAGCAGCAGAAGAAGAAGAAGCGCCGGGAGGAGAGGCTCGTCTTCTTGAAACCCTCGATCGAACCCAAGTACATCATAAGTGGGCGGGGAAAGGGGCCTGATCAAAATCTGGAAAAGACTTCCTGGTCCTCCACAGTCCACGGTCCACGGTCCACGGTTTTTTCAAAGCTTCGCGCGCGCGCGCGCGTGCGTGTGTGCCTGGTCTCGTTGGTCTAGGTTAGTGAGCGATTGGGGCTCACTGCTACGTTCCTACTCATGGGTAGACTCACACACACACAACAGGGGTTTACACAGAATATGAAAGAAGACGGAGACAGAGCAGGTACTATTGATGTTCTGGAAGATTTTTCAGAATGAAGGCTATGATGGATAATGATTCGACCTGGGAACTGAACGGAAGAGAGGTAAAAGCAGGAAGCTAAAAAAAAAAAAAAAAAAAAAATGTCAAACGACGAGCTCAAAATCTCCAATGACAAGTCGGCAGCAGACACACCACGAGCGCCTACAACACCTACTTCTTTGTGGTCATAGTAGTAGGCGTACATACGCTATGGCGCACGCAATTGCTAGGAACCCACAAACATGTACTCCTCCCCCCTCCTTTCTCTCGCACAACAAAATCGCCCCATCAACAGTGACAACCTCACAGTGATGAGTGTGATGAGGTCATCCTTGATCATCTAGGCCCACGTCTCGCCCACCCCCGCTCCCCTCACAGCGTGTCCGCGCTTGCCCAGCTGCTCCTAGCCGAGACGCTCTTGGGTTGCGGTTGGTGCCAGGGGGTAGCCGTGGAGTTGCTGGACGGCAGAGCGTACTGCTGCTGGGCGGCGCCCACGTGCGGAGGCGGCTTCTTTTGGAGTTTGCGGGGTGTCCGTCGCGATGCCGCGGCGGCGTCCCACGAGTCTTTGAGGCGCCGAAGTCACCAGGCGTTGCGGTCCCAGTTAGGGTCTGTGGCGGGCGGCAGAAGCTTGTTAGCACAAAGAGGCACATCGTCAAGAGAAAAGGGACCCAGGTGAAATGCGCCGCGCGCCCACAATCAGTAGGTGACATATAGCAGGGCTTACTTACCCTGGACAAAGGCGGCAAGCACCTTGCTGCCGGTCTGGAGCAAGGGGTGGCCGACGACGATCTTGAGGAACTTTTCGAGGCCGGCCCTGCGGCCCTCGATGACGTCGTCGGAGAAGCGGTTGGTAAAGACCTTGCCGGGGAGCGGGGGGATGGTGACGCGGGCGGACTCGCGCTCGAGGATGTCGCGGAAGTACTCAAAGTCGGAGTAGCGGCGGCGGACGGTGGAGGCGCGGAGCTTGAAGGCGGGGATGTTTGTGCGGCAGACAATCTCGTAGTCGGTGTACATGGAGCGGCTGGTGCCGTGGGTGCGCGGGTTGCGGACCTCGATCTCGAGGAAGTTCTCGGGGGGCCCGTAGATCTCGTCGAAGCTCTGCTGCCGCGTGTCGGGCATGGCCTGCATCATGGGGCGGGCCATGCCGCGCAGGGGCGGCGAGGGCGACTTGTTGAGCGGCGACGTGGGCTGCTGGTCGGCTGACATGGCTGTTGTGTGCCGGTCTGTCGGTCTGTCTGTCTCGAGGGCAGTCGGGGCAGCTAGCCGGCGAAGGGGAGGCGGGAGGTGGAGACTGGGCGGCTCTGCACCGGCCGAGGAGGGAGGGCGGGAGTCGCGGAGAGGGGACAGGGCCGAGGAGGCGGCGGCGGCGATGGTGGGAAGGGCAGAGGATGCAGCCGGTCGGGAGTGCTGGGGACGTCGTGTCGTGAGGCGCAAAGGGCGGCAGCGGATGCGATGTCGTCGGAGCTGGCTGGCACAAGTGGGAAGTTGCGCACGAGGAAGGAAGCTGCGGCTGCGGCGGGCGGCCCCGCCAAGAAGGCGCCGGGGGCCCACACCTGCGGGCGGGGTCGCTCGCCCGGTACGGCACGGCAGCACCAAAGCAAACCTTGGAAGCATCCGGCTTACAGCCATGTATCTCCTTGCACACGTCGACAATCTATAACACGGGCACCTGTCTCTATTCCGAGGCATCGTGCCAATTCAGTTGTACAAGGTTGAGCTGTCCGTAACCAAAACATGGGTCGCCATATGCCTGGAACGAGTGAGGACAATGCGCAAGAATTGCCCTCGGGCTATCGCACATTGGAAACTTGCATCAAGAGTTGCTCGAAGCCAAGGAGATAGCTCGCGTGACCACTTTTCAGATGGGGAAGCAGCGCTCAAGATTTCCCTTGCTGAGAGACTCTACGTGCAATCACCGACAGCCAGAACCAGCCTCGACCCGGCCTCGTGTTTACCAAAGGCCGTCTGCTTACTTTTCTCGCATGCTGTGCGGAACGCGCTTGATACAGGACAGTCCAGAACAATGGGGTGGTAACAAAGGACGCCTTCGGTGTTTTCAATGTGAGCTGAGTGAGACGTCAGCAACAAGACGTAATAGTGCCGCGTTGATATGCTTCACAGCTGGTCCTCCGTAGAAGTAGAATCATATCACTTTTTGCCATCATGTCGAGTGCGTAATGGCAAAGCGCTGTTGACAAACGAGAGCTGTCGGCCAAAGACGACACGCGACGCGAAATCCTCGCGCATGAACCTGGCCAAGTACTCTCGACTTTAAAGGTACTCGCCCGTCGGTTTCGGGTGAGTCAGGCCCGAAAAGCTGAATGTCTTCTAGACGCCTACTGTCCCTGCCGCATCCAGCCGATGCAGCAGGTAGAGAGACGGCTTTGCCGTTCACTCTGATGAGTTTAGCCCCAATGCAACATTCCATGCATGCATTGTATATGTATGCATGGAACTATGCACTACCAGTTACTACATGAAGCCAGCGGGCTGCCCAACTGTCGCTCTCCTGCCCCAAAACCACCCCCGCACGGGGCTGAAGCCATCCGTCCCCCGGACCTTCTCCATGCGGGCGTGTGTCTGGGGGCCGCGGGGGAAATCGGCAAGACAAACGACAAAAGGGCCAGCCCACGTGGGGGTCCTGGCTGCGTGTCTTGTTCAGCTTCACCAAAGTCGTGCCGGCATCTCCACTTCTGTCAAGCCGACGAGGCAGGTCGGGCATCGGCTGGGCTCTGCGTGTCGGTCCCACGCTCATGCCCTCTCATGCTCTTGTGCAACATCCGTGTCTTTTTCCCTGTCATTGTCTTCGTTGCTTGCTGTACCTATGAGGTTGCGAGGCGTACATGCTAAGAGCCTCGGCAGAGCTGTTGGACCATCTGCTTCCTGCCGTCTTGACCTATTCCCACCAAAACTCATGCAGGCAGGTTGCCCCTGAGCTGTATTGGCACATTCCGGTGGCTTCACAAGTTAAAGCGACTTCCACCACTGATTTGACTCACTTGTCCTCTTGCCAACACGCATGTCCCCAGAAATAAGTCATCATGTCTTCACCAACGACGTACCAACCTCCCCCAAAAGGGCATGAGCACGAACCAACGCATCAAAATCAAAACCGAACCACGGGCCATCTGAGGGCACTCGACACAGCTGTTTCTCCTGAGATCTTGTGTAACCCACGGACCGAGCCTTCCAAGCGGATAACTCATACGCGTTCTTCCCGCGGGAAGCCAAGAACTGCGGCAAGAAAGCTTGTCTTCCGAGCCCATCTCTTGGCCCTCTTCTTCCTGTATCAGATTAGGCCCGTCTTCCATAACCCTCCCTGTATCCTCTCCTCCCGAGCCTTTTCACGGTGTTTTTGTGCTCGATGATCTGCACCCGCCCTTTCGCCCTTCCCCCGCTTCCCCCATGCATGGAGTTGCAGAAGGGGCCATAGGCCCGGATGTTGTGACACTCCAGGCAGGCTGTCCGAGCTGTGAGCATCCGGCGGCGGGCATGGGGAAGGCGTACCCCCACCGAGCTCGGTCCCGGCAGGCCGGTGAAGAAATATAGTCCAGCTGACGCCTCTCGAGTTCTCAAACCCCCGTGCGCAGTGTGCGGGTGCAATTGGGGGTTTGGGGACGGAAGCAGAGAGCGTCTTCAATAGCTGACAAGCTGACAAGCTGACTGTCTTCTCTGCGGTAGATCTGGTAGCGGTGGTGTGACTCCAGTTCCACGCATTGAGCGTTCTTGCAACCTCGTCGCCCTTCAAGCTAGGCAAGGTGTTGCAACCGGCATGTGCTTCAGGATGTGGTGTGCGTACGTGTTGTGAATGCCGCGGCCGCCTTGATTTTCAAAATGGATGGGAGTTTTCAGCCACATCCCCCCCCCCCCCCCCCCGAACTCCCGGGACATATTGAGAGAAGTGTGGTACAGTCAGTGCCATCGGAAGCCGACTGCCAGAAACAACACCCAGTGTATCGAGACGTTGTGCCACGATCGGGGGCAGGCCGCGCGGTTGGAGACCATGCGTGTGCGTTGCCTCGTCCACAGGCCAGAGGTTCTGCAGGTTCAGTCACACACAGCATATGCTCCTAGAAAGCTTGCGCGCGACTCGGTCCGGAAGCGCGAGAAACGTCACACCGGCCCAGCTGGCTTTCAAATGAACCGGCTGTTGCGGTGCTGTGCGGTGTGATGCGTTGAGGTCAATATAAACGGTAACCTGTTCGTTGATCATGCAGTGCAGTGAGATTGTCGTCCATGCCCAAGGAATGGCGAACCGCCTTCTGAAGGAGTTTGTCAGGACCCCCCTGGCGCGTGCTGGATCTGGTCGACTCTGTTCAAGAGGTTTGCCACTTCAAAAGGTCTTGTGAGTACTGAGCACGATACCGTGGCTATTGCCGGGCTTGACGCTCCAAGACCAGAGCACAGCAATTCATAGCAGCCGAGGACACCGTACAAGCCGTCGCGTGCTAATCCAGCCGATTCCCTCTGCCAGTTACACACTCCTTAGGGCAATCTTGGGAAGCTGGCCACCAGCGGACTTACACGGCATGTTCACGTTTCTGGGCACGCTTTATGTGCCTCGCCGCGTACAAAGGCGGGCTTCGAGCCTAAGCCGGCATCCGTCACCGTCCTTGCCATCACCATGCTGGACGTTCGGTGCAGACTGGCAGCAGTGGAGCTTAGAGTGTTTGATCAAATTTACTCGTCCCGTCCAAGACTGGCATTGTGCATGTGAGAACGGGCACATGGAAAGCGCTGTAGGTGAGTCGGGGAGCTCAGCTTCATCTCAAGTCAGACGTGACGTGACCTGAACGTACCGGTACCTCATCCGCGCCGGACATTGACTTACAGCATCAGTTCCGGCCGGTCCGCGTTGAGTCAGCTGGAATCACATCAAGCTCGTCCCTCGCTGGCGAATTTGATTCTGAGGTGCGCTGCTCTTTGTCGATGAGGTGAGTCGTGTCACTGTCCTGTCGCTGACGTGTGCGCAAATCGCCACTCGTCTCCTCAGCTCAGTGTGTCCGATGGTCTGTTTATTAATCAGACTCTTGAATGTAACACCAACCGAAACCAAGGGACCTGACAAATCACCGAACCGTGCTCTATGTAAACCAGCCAGATTCCGTTCCGTCTCGACTTGCGCGCGGAGTTCCCTCCCGGCCGTCCCGGGCCATCATCAAAACGGTTTCAGACAAAGGCAGGCAGGGGGGGCGCATATCAAGCACACACACACACACGCACACATCCATACACTTACATCCAGAGTTGACACAGTGGAGTGGCACAATCTCGTCCCAATCCGACGGGAAACCCCACAAGATCAACCAACGCCACCACACCCACTAAACCCTCTCTAATCAGAAAGAGGGGGAGGGGGCCGCTCTAGCCCTGTACGGACTACACACACACTCACACACACAAGAAAAGCTGGGAACTTTACCCAACCCACTCACACCACCCACTCACTCACTCACTTAGCACCACACCTCCCCGCCCTAATACAAGCGAGTGACGTCAAACCACCTACCACCTTTCCATCCTTCTTCCCAGTTCAGGTAATTATCAATGTAACATAATTTTTCGGTTTCTCTCTGTGTGTGTGTGTGTGTGTGTGTGTGTGTGTGTGTGTGAGAAACAAATAAGTGTCTTTGTCAGAAAGTCCCCTTTGCGTGCGCACACGCGCCGCCACCTCTGCCCCCCCCCCCCCCCCAAGATGGGCGAATTTCAAAGCCAGTCTAGATAAGAGGTGTTACTAAGGGGTCCCATATTAAACATCACGACAACGACCAAAACACCTTTTGCAACAGAGGAGAGAAACAAAGAGAAGGTATTGGGAACTTGACTACCTTACGCTCATCACAAAGCGCCGTTGGGCTGCTGCTGGCTCGGCAAAGACCAGGGGTTGAAGGTGGCCGAGATGCTTCCAGACATGTCTATACAAGTCATATAGAACGGGGGATCCTACATAATCAAAGTATCAGAGTGTGTAAACGTAGCCAGGCAGGCAGGCCAGGCACGCGCGCGGTATTACAACTGTTCCGGTCTTGAAAGCCCATCATATCATATTTCTTGCTTTTATCTATCCCCTCTTTTTTTTCTGGTTTTATCCCGCCCCCGCTTACATGATCCTTTCTGGAAATGTCCCCAAACATTATGGGTCCCGTCTTGTTTCTCGAAGAGACATCCCCATCTTTTGTGGCGGGCCGGCATAGCATTATCCGCCCAAGCACGTGGCTGGTGGATGACCAGAGGCCCGGGATGATGATGGGCGATGACGATGACTTTCTAGAAACAGGCGACCTTCGCGTATGTTTATGATATATGTACCTAGTTTATAGGCAGTTCCCAATGTCTTCCTCCACTCAGAGCAAGAGGGAAAGGGAGAAAAGACGGGCTACATTTGGACTGCCCGCCGCCATGAACGCCGTTCAACGCCAATGGACCACCTTGACTGGCATCGCCAGTCACAAACGCCGTTCCCAAATCCAAACACGACACTGGAGACACCGCCCCGGTCTGAATGCATCTGCATGAAACGCCTGATTGTCGAGCTTCTTCGAAAAATGTCGAAACCGACGATGCAACATAAGAGAGTTAAAAAAGAAAGGGAGTCGTTGGCCCACAGCGAGGGCCCATGATTAAAAAGATGATAAGGAGAATGCCGACGGGTGGCCTTGCCCGTCCACGAGGGTGTCTAGTATCCCGGCTTGCCAGGCATAGGGGGGAGGCCGTGGCTGGTAGCCTGCGGTGGCAGGTGGTTGTGGCAGAAGATTTTGCTGCCGGTGCCGTTCTTCATGCATCCCTTCTTGGACGCGTCAATAGTCTTGGTCGGGTCCTCGTAGCTCTCGAGCTGACAGCACTCAACACCCTTCATCCACCTTGACGAGACGACCTGCTCCATGGTCATGCGCTTTTCCGGGTTGGGGTGCAGCATGTTGAGGAGAAGACGCCTGAGCGCGACGGGCTTGACAAATAGCTCAAAGGCCGGCACTGAAGGATAGTGTGCCTCGAAGTCGGGGTTCTCGGCCTTTTTCGCGTCGAGCCCTCTCCAGCCACTGACAAGCTTCTCGTACGTCGCTGTGTTGGGGATCTCAGCCTTGTCCCAGAGACAGGCATTGAACGTCAGGTAGATCATGACGATCGCAGAACTCCACACGTCCAATGGACGGGGGTCATACTCGCCCTTCTTGGCCAGCACCTCGGGGGCAATGTATGGCAGACTGCCGCAGATTCCGGGGCTGCATAGGCGAACTTCGCCCATGTTGACGCCGCACTGGCCACCAGCCTCTCTCAGTCCAGGGTGGACGCCAGAAAAGACTTCTGAAACACCAAAATCCGTAATCTTCAGCTTGCTGTCCTTGGTAATGAGCAGGTTCTCCAGCTTGATGTCTCGGTGTGCGATGCCGTGGCTGTGCAGGTAGTTGACGCCTTGGCAGAGCTGCTTGAAGAGGCACAGGCGATCGGTTTCGCGGCCGTCCTCCTTGAGGTACTTCTTGGACACGAGGGTGAAGAGGTCGCCCTCGGAAGCATACTCCATGACGTGGTTCCAGCGGCCATGGTCTGTGCAGAGGCGGATCGTCTCGACAATATTGGGGTGGTGCAGGCTCTTGGCGATGCTATACTCGGACTTGATCTTGTTCTCGTAGTCCTCCGTGGTTTCCGAACTGCTCTTGGCGCGGAATTCCTTGACGGCGTAGAGCTCAGTTGGGCAACCCTTGCGGACCATGAGGGTAACCTTCGAGGTGGCACCCTTTCCGACATGCTTGCGGTGGCGGCCGAGGATCTTGTGTTGGTACTCAAACTCCTTGCCAAGCTCGGCGATATCGACAGTGAAGTCATCCGGCAGGCTGAGACTCAATCGTCTCGCCTTCATGCCAGTTCCTGCATCTGGCGCGATGGCCCATGGCTGGCGGATGAGGTCCTGCTTGACCTGGCCTGGCTGCCCTTCCTTCTGGACCTTGTGGCGCTCGACGCTGCGGGCGCGAGGCCGTGGAGACTCCTGTTTCGGGGTGCTGGCATGCGACGACGCAAAGTTGACCACTCGGCCACGAAGCGAGAAGCCAGTGTGCGCGCGGGACTTGCGCTGCGCATTGTTGAAAAAGTCGTCGGCCGCGGGCATGGACACACGTTTGGAAGACTGGGAGGTTCTGCCCACGGAGGGGGTCATTTCGAGAGGGGTGTCGTCCGGCGAAGGGGGGCTGTTTGACCGGGTGGTGCCTGCAGATCGGTGGAACGAGAAACGGCGGCTGTGCTTGGAGAGGCTGTTGTCCGACGCGCCGCCGCCATTAAGCTTGGGTGCATCCTTTGTTGACGTCAGGGGCCGGATGACGGGCCGCGAGCTCATCTCGCTCATATTTGAGTTTGAGCGCCGGAAGAACGACATGACTCTTCGGAGGCCGTGCGGCGGCTTCTGGGAGGTGCTGGCAGTGGTAGAAGTCGAAGACGGAGAGAAAAGGTCGTGCCGGTCGCTGAAGAGCGGCAGAGGCGGCTCAGCGGGGGAGTGCGAGACAGGCGACGGCGAACCCGCGGATGTCTTGGGCCGGCGACGCAGGAATGCGGCGGCGACGGAGGTGGTGCTGAGGGTGGGCGGCGCGGGAGTACATCCACCACCACTTGGAGCGATAGCGTGCCGTCCAAATGTTGTGAGGGATTTAGTGGACCGGGATGCACGTAGGGGCGCACTTGGGACCGACGCAGGCTGTGGGACTTGCAGAGTCTGGCGCGCAGGGGTAGGGCCAGTCGCAGGTGCAGCAGTATTACCACTGGTGGTGCTGGAGTGGGTGCTACTGGACAAGGCTCGTCGAGGCGGCTCGAGGGCCACGACAACAATGGGAGGAGCCGGTTGAAACTGATGGTGATGATCTTGGTGCTGCTGCTTCTGGTACAGATGCTCGTGCTTACAAATGGCAGCTAGGTGCGCATCGTCGTCGTGCCGCTCGGGAATACCTGGAACCGCGAAGTGGCCGGTGGCGGCGGGGTGGTGGGCGAGGTGCTGATAGAGGTGCAAGTCGTGCTCGTGCGACTGGCGGCCGCTGGCGGGTGTAAGTGGCTCGGTGGCAGTCTCGCTGGCCGTCTCCTCATCGCACGCGCAGCTCTCGGGGACTGAATAGTGCGCAGACGAGTCGGAGGACGAGGCAAGAGAAGACTGGCAGGCAGAGGGACATGAAGGAGAAGACGAGCTCGCCGGGGTGGTGCTGCTCTGGCTGGCTATGTTGTAATCCCGCACGAGACCGGCCAGACGGCCGCCTCGAGGAGGAGTGGGTGCCGATGACGCTGGAGCGCCGGAAGCCGCCAGGGTCTGGGTGGCTGCCATTGCTGCGGCTCCTGGGCTGCGGGCAGGGCAGGGCAGGGCAAGGCAAAGGAGAGGCAAGGCAGAGAGAGGGGCGCGCTGAATTATGGGTCGTCGCTGGAGCTTGCTCGCCTGGCTGAATGGCCCTAGTCCTGGTTGGCAACTCGGTGATGAGATAGGGCACAGTGCCAGGGGGCCGTGTCGTCGCTGCGGGCGGGCACGGCCAAGCTCGGTGGTGTCAGAGTTCGCTTGGCTACTCCAGAACCAAGGCGAGACCAAGGGCTCACACTTGTCGACTATTTACCATGGCCTACACCAAGCAATCCGCGCGCAGGTGTTTCTTGGGGACAACCAAGGGGGATAGGTAAGTGGGTGGGTGCAGCAGCGAGAGAGACTGCGAGGGCAGAAGAAGGGGCAGCTGACCAACGGCGTGACCAGGGTGGAAGGATGTCCAGTCCAGTTGTAAGTCGTGGACCTGTGGGCGGCTGCTGCTGGTTCCTGCACCGTCGCCGGTTTGTGCCCGTACTTCAGCTGCTGTTGCGGCACGTGAAGCAGGTAAGCCGCAGGCGGGTTGCAAAGCCTCAGCTCCGTGGACGGCCAGTGGTGGGGAGGACTGAAAAGTGGTTCATGCAGACGAGCATGTCATGCCAAACGAGGCCTGGAGGGGGTAGCAGGCGTGAGAGCGACGAGGACAAAGGCGACGATTTGAGGGGGGCCAAGGTCGCTGGCGTCGACACCACCGGGGCGGCGATGAGGCAGTAGTTAAATGGCCGCTTGCACCTTGCCAAGCGATTCTCAGCCCGGCCGCCGTCAAGGTGGGAATGCAAAGGGGCAAGGTGTTTCTTCGAATGTTCGGTGCAGCAGCAATGGTGTGCAGTCACTGCACGGCTTGCGTACTACACGGACGGGTCATAAGCTGCGATGACGGGCCCTCGAGACACGGGGGGTCTTGCCAAGTTGTGATCTGCCGTGTCGTGTAAACGCCAAGACTGCTTCGTCGACGGGGATCTTGTGTTGTGAGGGTCCAGCACCGCCTTGCTGACAGTCAAGCTGTGACACGACGCAGCCCGTGCGGCTGCCAATTGTCCAAGTGTCTACAATATCAACTCTCGTTGCCTGCTGCTCGAGAGGTACCCGTGGACATTGCCCATGTAGCTCCTCCGAATGCAGGATTGCCTCCAAAGGTCAGGGGGGAGCGCGCCGGCAGCGGCAATGTCAAGCTGCTGCTGCTGCGTCCGACGAACTCTTCACTATCAAGAGGCTAAAAGGCAAAGTGTGTGAGGCGTTCGGAAGCTAAACAGGACTTCGACAGGCCAGCGACACGCATTTTCACGCGACAGATACTCCAACAGATCGGCAATGGCGCAGTCGCACAATTGTTGAATTGGCGCCAGGTGTGTTTTGCAACGCACCGCTCTCAGCCAACTCCAAACACGTCTACACGGGGCCGCCCTCGTCAAGGATGCCAGGCATGCCATGGCCCCAGCTTTCGCTAGTTCACAATTCCTCACTCCGCACAGTCTTCAGCATCCCCAAGGAATAGAGGCGTTGGTGTTCTAATATGGGGAGCCACTCCGTAAAAAGCCGGAGATAGCTGTGGGGGAGATGACATCGACTGTTGGCCCGCTCATTCTGCCGAAACTGTGTGGACCCCATGTCGGTACGACCACGGCAGATCCAAGGGTCGTGTGGGCTTGTACTTGGCCGTGTACCTTATTACTCCCGAGTCAGGGCCCAAGCGTCGTCGATTGCCGCTGGAGGGAAATCCCCTGAAAATAGCATTGGCTGGTTCACTTATGCATCGGGACCATCGGCCTGGCCCTGACCGATTTGCTTCCTGCTTTGGAAACTTTGGTCGAATCTGCCCGTCGTGTCGTTGGGCCGGAACTGTATGCAGGATTGTCGATCAAGGAGTAAACGCTAGAGCAAGGCGGCGTCAGGCGGAAACTCCGAATGCTTCACGACGGGACACAATGTCACAGTTAATCTTGTTGGACGAGAACACTCGGGTTCACCCCAAGAGTACTCATTGTGTCCGCTGGTGCTGTGAGCCCGATCGCTGCCAAGCTTTGTTTCGCCCCGAGGCAAATTCGTGGCAGGTGTCGTCGTCGCGCAGCAATGACGCCAGCCTCTTGGCAGCCCTGGGGAGGGACAAGTAGAGCAGGAGTCGCGTGCTGTCCCTCCAATGGTGATGCTCAGATATCAGGCGGCCGGACTGCCGAGCTTTTTGGTCTCAAGCTTGGGCGTTCCCGTACCGTTGAGGGTTCGTCCTTGGGCTCCTCTTTTTGCGCAAGGCGTGACCGAAGCATTTTCATTGTCTAGCCAAGCCTTTTGTGTTTCGACCATTGCGCAACAAATTACGGAACCGCGAGCGTAGGCGCCAAGCCCGCATACACCAGAAGCTGTCGACCAACATGAGCAGTTCTTTACTGGCACAGTGAATCGAGATGGCGTACTGTACAAGCCGATAATACCAAAGCGCAGGGCGCCACCCATGGGCCTATGGATCCATCATGTACAACTGGCGCTACTGTTGATTGCAATCGCCGTGCCCAGCAGCCGCCATTGACGGAGGCGGCCAATACCAAGAGACCACCGCAGCCAGGGAGCTCTTCAGGGGAGCGGGCGACAGGACGGCGACGCATCGGAGTGACCAGTACCTGCCTGCAGTCACCGCAGCATGAATTAATTACCTGCTCGACAGCACAGCATCAGGGGCACCGTCGTTGAGCGGCTGGATTTGATGGTTGGTCAGCCCCAAATGACTGGCGTCTGGCCCGCTCCGCAGTAAGGCCGACATCAACCACGAAGATGAAGGGGCCGGGCGATTCGGCGATGTTCCTGGATCCAAGACGTGTGTATCAGTGGGTTCACAAGGCGCTCGCCTTCCACTGCTGCAAAGGCGCTGCTTGGTCGCGTTGACATCGTGAGTCGCTCGCTAGTCGCCCATCTATCCGTACTTGCATCTGTGGACGAGCAAGAGCGGGCAGCCTTGAGGCCCCCACACTAATGCCAACCCCCACCCCTCGCCCTTGCCCTTACGCCCGCATCCTCCAATGTGCGGTCTTGATGTGAATCCATGACAAGTGCCCCGTCGTCAAGAACAGCAAAACATTGCCCCGATGGGTGGGCGCCATGACGCGAGACGCAATCAGGGTGGCCAAAACCTGCGATACAAGCATACCATGGACTTCTAACTGCCGCAAGACATGTCGGTGACGGAACTGATGAGGACAAGTCCCGGCGACTGCGAGCCTGCGAGCATCCGCCGACTGGAAATAGAGGTCCCGTGACCGACAGACGTTCGGCGCACCCTCCGCTGAGATATTCGTCACTGATCTGCATCCACTTTGAAGCCGCTTGACAACCGCCACAGTCCCTCGAAACTCTAAATACCCCAGAGCTTCGTGGACCTCACCCTATCATGAGGCTGACCCCACGCTCGTGCGCGGGGAAAATCGGATTGTGGCTTTCAAACTTGAGCGGAACGCCAAGGTCCATCGTCGGATGCTCATCACTCCAAATCGCAGTGCTGCTATGACTGTCCTGCGCGACTGGTGGCTCGGTCTTTCAGCTTGAGAACCTCCACACCATGAACAGCAAACAATGCCCCACATCTCTGCTTGATCGAAAGGCCATGTGCCTACGGCAAGCCCTTCGCTTCGTCTGCAGTGGTGGGTGTGGGTTTCAAGATGGGTGACTACTTGTGTAGTTTCTGCCACTTACTGGACCGCTCCAATGGCACTTGACTGCAGTCATTTGATATTCACCTGGTAGCCAAAGCGATGGGCATTGATCCCGTCTCTCAAAACTCCAGAGGAACCCATCGGGTGACGTTGCTTGCCGCGTGAGCATTTGATCCCTGCGAAGGCCGGCCAGCGCATTCGCCTCCTGGCGGCTGGGTTCACCAACCAACCGACGATATCGGCAAGGGGACATTTTGGGGTCGCTTCGCAACGCGTGACCTCCGGTGCGTGCTGCTATGGGTCAGCGTGCCGCACTATGAACCGACCTGTCGAGACGCACATCACACACAACACTCACAGAGGGGCGGTGTGCGCGTGTGCGACGCACTGCAACGCCGTTGTGGTCTGTGGTTGTGCTCGCCCTGCGGCTCATGGTAGCCAGAAAATCACTCACTATTAACGACAAGGAAGGGAGATGAGATCTGGATCGAATGAGCGGAACGACCTATCGTGAGTCTCAGCGCGCCTCGTCTGGCCTTGGCGTCAGTATCTCTCCGAGTCTGCAGTCATGCCAGCGTCAGTCGACAGCACACTTGATGTACTGTGCACAGAGACAGAAGCATCCCAAGCTCTAATTACATATGTCTCGGAACTTGCGCACTGCACAGTACACGACTGGGTACTCCTGACAATCCACCAGGTCCCTGGAATCCCGGACAGTGAAGCAAGCCCGCATATCTACGCCTGAAACGTAGCAGTCGATTGAGCAGCAAATGGCCGGCCCGGGGGGGGGGGGGGGGGGGGTTCTGCAAGAACAGCAGAGCAGGCAGAGCACACGCGACGAGTCCCGGCGATGTGATGCAGTGCAGAGTTTTTTCCACGGCGGCGGCCAGTCTCCTGCGTGTGTGCATTTGCATTTGCATATGCATATGCACGTGTACTCTGGCGCGGAACTGATGCGGAGCATGCGGCCCCGCGACCACCGGGGCAAGGGAAGTTCCCAGGCTGGCTGGCATGAGCCAATCGAGCGCAACAGGGCGTCCTGTCGGCGCAAAGTCAATTAATTGTCTTCTTGCCTTGCCAAGATGTCGCGTGCGGCCCCCACGCTCCTCGATGCCATCGCCTCGTGCCGTGGAATCCAGTCCCCTTGGATCCTCCGCTACCGGCTTTGACAGTCGGGCATGCGGAGAGATGGCACCTCCAAGTCATTGTGTATGTGTCTCATGTCGATCCAAGTCGGTCAGTCAGCCCTGCCGGCGAGGATCATTTGCTTCGTTCGAACAGGTATCTGCGGAGGGGAGTGGAGCAGCGGTAGTGTCCGTCGGGCCTGGCATGCACAGAGGCATGCAGATGCACGCTGCAGTGCCAGCACCTTGGACTTGGCTACACAGGTCATCCGGGCCAAGCACGTCGATCAACGACAACACAACTGTTGGGATATGATTTGGTAGAAATCCCTGGAACATACAGGCATATGAGCTGGCAGTCTCCTTTGCCTGCCATTCATGCCAAGCTATGTGGGCTTTTCCAGGACACGCCATCGGGCATTGTCGCAAGGCTGGCCATGTGGTGAGAGGCTGTGCCTTGCATGGAACCAACCTTGTCATTTGTGCATTGTGAAATGTGCTACCTTGCGAGATCAAGCTGTGTGAATTATGGATATGCAAAGCGCTTCTGGGACACATTTAGCGGCCATGTGTCCCCGTCGGCAACACAATACTTACAGGGTCGCAAGACCTTTGCATAGTCATCTGCAAGGTATCCTCATATGATTAGATAATGCGTGGCCCAATTTGAGCCCGAGATGTGTAAGCCGTGCTGAGCAACCATCACATATCATCTCATCCAAAGCTCCAGTATGTCTGCATGGGAGCGACAAAGTCCTTGAGACCCTCAATCCATTTTCCCCTTCCTCCCATGATAGTGGGCGGCTAACACGGAGTATAGCAAAGCCAATAGTCAACCTGATCGAGACAAAAGAAACCCAAGGTACAACAAGGGCAAGGATACTCACCCTAATGTAAACTTTGATTTTTCTTTTGAACTCGACCCGACTATACTCCTCTATTTCTATCGCCCTGTCGCAAAAGGAACATAGCAAACAGGTCACGGCCAGCTGCCCGTCAAGCCATGCAGGCGGGCACACAGGTGCCAGCATGGGCAGGAGACTCTGCGCGTGGGCTTGTGCGACTTGTGGCATCTGGCCGTGTTTCTTGTCTCTTGTCACGACGGCAAGTCATGTCATTTGTGACGGCAGGTATTACCACCACGTCTTGATACCTCGAGTATACACAGTCAGCTATGTACAGCGCGTATGACTATGACCACTGAAAAATGTACCGGGCATATACTCGTTAATGAACCCATACCCTGTGGGAACGCGACAACGAGCAGACCTCTTATTCCCTCTGTCTCTTACGATCAGTAGGTTCCGTCTTCTAATCTACGCGAACTGGAGGCGCTGAAAATTTTCTGCATCTCCCTCACACTAACTACTGCTCTCCAGCAGGAGCGCAGAGCCGCCGAGGGTTTTTTGGGTTGGCTATACTTGGGGTTTAGACAAGACAAGGGCGGCCATTTCCTCGAAAATACACCCGGGGGCGAAGCAATCCGTCCCGACAAGACAGCTGCACAGAAGACAAAGGAACAACAAAAGCTCAAGATGGGCGGTTCCGTAAGGTCTTTGTATTACCTCCTTTCCCACACGGACCGGGACGTGCAACAACAACAGCGGCTACGGTCTTGGCGTGTGAAGAGCAGCACCAGCCCGTCTTGGCTTTTGTGTCTTTGCGTCCCCCCCCCTTTTTTCGTTTGTGCGCACGACTCCCCCGCGGATCCCGCACAAAGAGGACAGGTGGAAAGAATTTAGGGATAGAAGCAGTGCTGCAAGACAAAAGGGAAGGCAGGACGAGCATGCTGTCTGTTAGCCAATTAGCAATTCAAGGTCAGCCCGTGGCTCATCACTGGACCAGGGGCAGGGGAGTTCCGTGGTGAGCGCAAATACGTTTTGCGGATTTATGAGGAGCGTTGCCAATTTATGGTGCCGTAGTTCAGCTCGATCTTGCCGATAGGACGGCAAGCGTGGGCTGCCTCTTAAGACGAGGCTATCGTTGGTCGGTATCACAAAAACAGCTGCGCAAAGGTCACGCTCACTCAACGTAAACTCAACGCAAGCCAGAGATTACTTGTCTCCGTTAGTGCTATGTGAGGAGCTCGATATGGCTATGGGACTACCCGTCAACTCATGGGGTATCAAGCAGTGTTCGCCTTCCAGTATCTCCTCCCGTCCATTTCAACTTCCTGGAATTGCCAGAGAATCACCTAGTGTACCATGCCAATTCGTCAATATAGGACGCATCATGTCAAGAGTTCCCTCGCAGAACAGAGAACAAAAGGAGCTGCTGGCAGCAATTCTCCGCCGGCCATTCCTTTCTGTGCTCAGCCATTATTGAGCCAAAGCACAACTCATCTTGTGGTATATCTCCTTGTTGCAGTCCAAACCCCCCTCAAATAGAGCCACAGCGCAGCCAGACTGCAGCAGGCATCAGCAGAGTAGCGGTGGTGCATTCTCCCGATGCGGCTCGGGCCGGAGCGCCCTGCGCAAGATCCGGTCGATGGCAGCCCACTCGAGACGGGCAGCCTCGGCGAGGTTCAGCCTGTCAAAAGCCGAGATCCTGCCGCCGCCCTCGTAGCCGTAGTGGCTGTTGTCCGCGGCGGGCGGGAAGCCGACCTCGAGCCAGAAGTAGCCCCAGTAGTCGTTGGTGGTGGCGGCCCGGGCGGCGATCTGGCGCTGGTCGTCGAGCGGGAGGTCGCGGACGGCGCTGCATGTTTCTTCGCGGATGATGCCAATGTAGAACTGTTTTCATGTGTGGTGGTTGAGGGAGGCCACGCTGTCAGCTATAGGAACTCACGACGTGTGCCGCATAACAAGGTGAGTGTGGGAGGAAAAGCAACTTACCTCCAAGACATCCTGGGGGACTCCAGGTGCTGGGCAGATCGCGTACTGGTGGCGCCAGCAGTCCGCGAAGCGTGGCTGGTGGAAGGGGAGCCCGGCAAGGTCCGAGAAGTCCAGGTTGGCCGAGACCATGATGTTGTCCTTCTGCAGGACTGTGAAGCCCGGGCACAGCAGGCACGCGGCGACGAAGCGTTTCAGCAGCTGGGGAGTAAGGCGGTGGCACGTGGTGGATTCCCCGTGCCCGATTCTGTCCTGCAGGAAGTCGAGCAGCTTCTGGGCTGTGTCGTACATGACGTGCTGCATGTGGATGGTGATGTAGCATGTCTCATCCCACGGGAACTTTTTGAGCACGCTGATGTAGCTTTCATACGGACGCTCGGGACAGTTGGTCGAGAATGAGGCCTATACTCGCATCGCCCAGGAAAGGCAACGTGTCAGCAGAGTCAAGAAGTATATGGAGACCATGCCAGTCTATGGGACTCGATCATGTAGACATACCCTCTGCGGGAATTCGACGTGCTTGACAAGCATTGACAGTTCCTCTAGCGTCATGAAGCCCTTGAAGTGCTTCCACGGTTCCTCTTTGGACTGCAGGGGAAATTGGGGCTTGCTGCCGTTCCATCGGACGCCTCGAGCATTTGGGAACAGGGCTTCCATCAAGGCAGACTGGCTCGACAGAGTGACGACGACATGCCGGTCGCCGAGGCGGGTGTTTGCGTTGAGGCCGCTGCTTGTTGGTCTGGTCTCGAGCCGGTTGACGACATTCATGGCTGCCGTCATGTTCTCAAACTCAACAAAGGCGTCGTGGGTCTTGCCATCAACGCGGGTCATAATGATGTGGATGCCTTCGAGAGGGTCTGCAATCCTGCGCGAGTTGCGTCCAACGAGGTTGCCAATCTCGGCGCGAGAGATTCCGTAGGGGATCTATGTGGTTTGTGCAAGAGAAGTTAGCACATGCATACTTGGCGACATGATTATAGGGAAAAAGACGACCGGAGGTTCCAGGCACTGACATTGGCTATCTGGACCACCGCATAGTCGGCAGGCTCATGATGTCTGGCACTCTCCACGAAAGGCAAGTAGTTGGGGTCCAGAAGATCTCGCTCGTGCGGCACGCCTCGGGCTGTCAGCCAGTTGAGCAGATCGGAGCGAGTCTTTCGCGTTTCCTCAGACGGGTTGGCAAAGATGCGAAGACGGTGCTCGACAGTCTGAGACAAGTCGCTGTTGTGGATTACGAGAGCATGACTTGCGTTCTCATTCATCGGCTGATTCTGTCTTGATTGTGAGTAAGCATTGTCTTCAGCGCTATGTGCACCTCTATGAAATGCTGCTGCACCGAAAGTGTTGGACTTGTTCGTGCTGCTTTGGGGTGGAGCAGCAGTTGGTCGGTTTGCCAACAACTCCTTCAGCCCCGGAATTTCTGGGCGTTTGGTGAACGGAAAGGGTGGTGGCTCAGCCCGTTCGGTACTTGGGCCATTGCCGAAAGACTTCGAGGCCGGCCGGGCTGGAGTACGTCCACTAGGGCCATCGTGCTCGTCATCATGAGCAACCGTTTCCTGTATCTCGTCCGAGGACCTCGTTAGTTAGCAACATAGTACCCACGAGCCCAGCGCTGACTATTCTCCGCAGTGAGACAAATGTGATATTCACCTGATCGTTGACCGCGAGGGACTCAGAGTGCGACTTCTTGTGTCTGATGCTTGGAATGAATGGTGCAGTGAGCGCGTTGAGAGAGCTGCCAAGAGTATGGCGATGCCTGACCAGTGGGCGGGCTGGCTCAGCGCTGGACACGCCGCCCTGGGGCTCGTCCACATCGAGGGAAGCCATGTTCTGATGCCGCTCACGCTGGTCTGGAGGGCAACCAGAGCCCGGCTCGCCTCGATTGGACTGCAGTGAGTTATCGTTCAAGATTTCGTAGTCCGTGGTAGCCAGAGTGGTGGTGGTGTCGGAGAACTCTGCTGAGACTGGTGTCCAGAGTGGCGCGCCGCCGGACTCGTCAGAGTCCTCAGAAGCGATGATGGGATGGACCACTCGGTTGCGAAACGATCGCTGCCCACCATATTCTGCGTTTTCTCGCTGCATCCACAGCGATGGTTTGCCAAACTGGCGAGTGTTCTGTGAAGGCATGGTAAAGAGTATACGAAGCAAGTCCACTCGGTTCACTTCGTCACCAAGAGAGCTTGATGGCGCGTTTGTCAGCCAGGAATCGGTCGTGAGCCATGTATGAAGGTGCCATGTGGAAGTAACATACTGGAGCCTGAATGCGAATATTGCTGCTATGGTACAGCTGCCGTGGAAAGCTGCACCGTTCTCAGCAAGATGTTGTCCAAGAGAAGCAGCTGAGGAAGGGAATCCGCCGTCAGCACAGGATAAAACAGGACTGGCGCTTGAGGCAGGAACAAGAACCGTGTCTTTGTCGAATGTGATTCTTGGTTGTTGATCGGCTCGGAAAGGCAACAAAGTGAACTATACACAAGCAACTCGTCAGCTAAGGCCAAAGCCTGAATCCTCGCCACTCAGATCCAGGTTAAACAATAACTCAGCCGTATACTTCAAGGCTTGTTCTCAAGTCTTACGTACTGCCAAATGTTCCTCGTTCTAGTTCGTGGTGAGTGATGCTGTCAGGACAAGGAATGCGTGGACGTTTCAAGTCAAGTCCCTTCAAGAAGACGTCTGACGTCCAGTCGCAGTTGAGGGAGCGTTGGCATGCGAAAATTATCGCGAAATTGTAATCAGAGGGTTCAGAGGGTTCAAATGGTTTAGTGGGTGTCTTGGGTGGACAAAGGTCTGTCGAAATGGTTCCTCGTCATGAAAACTCATGCGTGTCTGGTGGACCAGGGGACAGACTTTCGGAGACGAAAGGGTGCCTTCATCAATGTTGTGGCATAGAGATCCATTCATTGTTACAATGGCCGTAATCAAGCCTCCCTGCTGGCTCATGGCTCACTGCATATGAGGGAGATGATTCATCAACGCCCAGTCTTCTGCTGGAGGACAATGGCGGGTCAAGGAACAATGTTCGACCATCGGCCCGAAGTGCTCCTGTCAGGCGTTTCGTCAAGCAACAGGACGCCGATATCGCAGTCTCCGTGTACGGTTCAAAGAAGCAGTACCAGCCCCGGTGCGTCAGCGTACAAAAGGAAAGAAACACTTATTAGAGAGTGAGAAGAACCTTGGCAAAAGGTCGAGAGTTGCTGACAACTGGAAAGTGACGGAATGCCTGATGGACTCAAGAACGAATGCGTGGCTCCGAATCGGCAAAGATGACACAGAGTATCAGAGCTTCAATCTAGACGAGCTTAAATTCTCGTAGAGGCGCTTTTGCTCGCCTTGGACAAATCCTCTCGGGAATTCAACAAAGTAAGCGATCATGCAACAAGCGACATAAAGGCAGGTCCCTGTGTGTATTGTTGGGATGACTGTTTTGCTTAAAACTCATATAGGTCTTCAATGCATGGCGGCAGGGCACAGTTCAATATCGATTCACAACCGTAACATCAGAGCGTCATTTGATCAATTGGAAACATACGATTGGTAGATGTAGGGCCTTCCCAATTCATATAGTCGAGGCTGTGAACAGTTGTCCTTATCCAGAGCAATTTGGTCAAGGTGTCAAGACACCAGAACCCATGCGGCACCTGACGATTTGCGAAAGGGGTCGGCTTCCTTGACCGCCGGCCAGGCACGACTACCCCCCGATCGCATCGTGGTTGATCCAGGCCGTTCCGAGAGACGCCGGTGAGGCTATAGGCTTAGGTAAGCAAACATGCGTGAGGACCTGACTGCAGGTAATTAGGGCTGCAGGAACCTTGGAACTCTGGCGGACGCACCAGTGGCCTGGTCAAACCTAGAACGGCCGCAGGACCCTGCACGGCTGTCTTACATCGCCGCCGCTACGACCTGCCCCAGCTTGGGCGCGCTCGCAGTAATACTGGTTGGCGGGGAGCTCCGCGTAGGGCCCATGGCCACCGTCCGTGATGCCCAGCGCAACACTGCCGGCCGCAACAGCCGACAACACCACTCATTGATGGACTTGGCTGGGCGAGGTTGCGCGGGGTGGCATACGTAATTCGGCTGAGGCTAGCAGGGCAGATGGCGAGCGCGCCTACGCGTTGGTGGGGGCTGTGTCTGCCAAGCAGCCGCGAGAGAGAAGCAGTCGTCACGATTGCCACCAGCTGACCTGCTCGCTCACCGCCCAAGGGGTTGCTGTATGTATGGAGTGTATGCAGTTTCTTTGTGAATGAAGCATGATAAAGCCGGGTGGTTCTGCTGGCCCACAGAAGGAAGGGGAGTTTCCGTACGTTCGCCTCAAGGTACTTTAGGCAGAGAGATCAAGCTTATGCTGCCGCTGTCTATCTGTCAGGCGGCCGATCAAAGCTGCAGGGCCCTATTGATAGCTCCCCCTCCCGCTCCACCCCCAAACGCCCATCTCTGGAGCCGCGGCAGCCAATCGAAGCACCCGAGGGGTGACCCTGATCCAGGCGCATCCTTCCTTCTCGACTCATTCGTTCCAGGCACCAACGCTTTGCTCACCCTGTTCACCGTCCCCTTCACGGCCATCGCTGCCCTCAGACCGCTTGTCGCCAGCTCCTAGACCAGATTGCTTGCTCCCTTTCAACTCTGTCCGCAGCAACCTCCTTCGTCGCCGCCCCGATTCGCGCATCCCCAGCTTCACAACCACGGACCTGCCGGAATCCAGGCCTTTCGCCAATCGCGCAATGAAGTCTTTGAAGAAGATCAAGGCGCTGAGCTCCTTTGGGCGCAAGACCAACGGCGGCAGCGGCAGCAACAGCCAGGATGGCACCAGCACCAGTAGGGCGCCCTCCTTTTCCCCTTCTACGAGGCGACTGAATATGGTCTTGATGCTGATCCCGCTTCTCCTTCCTGCCTAGACGAACCTGTTCGGATACGCGCCGACACGTCTGACGACCCTCAAGGCGACATTCCTGAAGCCATCGCCGCGCGCAATGTGGTCCGTCCCCAGAACGACGCCCTGGCTGCAAACACAACCCTCGAGAACCTATTCACTGACATTGATTGATCCCCTCCGATAGAGACTATTCTGCGAGTCCGGTGGCGGGCCCAACTCGGGCGACGATTACATATACCTCCCTGCCATTGTCGACGCCGCCGAGTCCTCCCCAGAAGCCGCAGCCGAGTGCGCGCGCATCATACGGCAGTATCTTAGAAAGGCCTACAAGCACTCGCCCGCGTTCCAGTACAACGCCATCATGCTCATGCGCATCTTGACCGACAACCCCGGCCCAACGTTCACGCGCAACATGGATTCCAAATTCATCGAGACGTGCAAGCATATCCTCATGTCTCCCGATCGCCGGGTGAATCAGATGATGATGGACACGCTAGACGCTTTCGAGCACCAGAAGGCATATGACGAGAACCTCGGCATGATCATTGCCATGTGGCAGCAGGAGAAGCAAAAGGCGCTGCAGAAGTCTGGGGGCAGCATGGTGAGTTATAACAGCTTCAGACCCGGGGAGAGCAACATCCGCTATCAGATGGGATTCTGAACACATGAAACCCAGCCGTACAATTGGCAGCCTCCGCCTCCGCAAATGCAGCAGCAGCACATGCCCGATCCTCACTCGCAAAACTACTTCGCCCGTCAGCATGCTCCCCGGCGCACTCTCCCGGACCCTGTCGAGCTCGCCGGTCGACTGGAAGAAGCCAAGACTTCTGCCAAGGTGCTTCACGATATTGTTGCCAATACCGCGCCACAAGATGTTCTGGGCAACGACCTCATCAAGGAATTCGCCGATCGGTGTTTGAGCGCAAGCCGCAGCATACAAGGCTACATGAACGCCACCGACCCGACGCCAGACCACGACACCATGGAGAGTCTGATCGACACGAACGAGCAGCTTCAGGCGTCCATGAGCCTGCACCAAAGAGCCATGCTGAATGCCCGGAAGCAGGCCGGCCCCAGGGAACCATTAGAAGAGCCGAGCCCGCTGACCGAGACCGATCCCAACGGCTCCATATCGCGGAGGTACTCACCCGTGAGCGAGGACGACGGCTCGCCGCGCACGGCGGGAAGAACGAATGGCAAGGGCAAGCAGAGACAGCTCGAGACCAACACTGCTGGACCTTCCAGGTCACACACGCCCCGCGTGGAGGAGGACCCTTTCCGAGATCCCGAGCCGGAGAGCACATCAGGCAAGGGTAAGGCGCGTTACAATGACATGGGCCACGACGAAGGACAGAGACATGCGGACGAACCCTATCATCCCGGCTTCCTCACGACAGCAAGCTATACGGGCAGGCAGGAGAGTGCGCTTGGCAAGGAAGCTATGCACGGGGCTATACCCGGGGGCTCATCCTCCTCGAGCCGGCCAGCGGCGCAGCGCGACTCTGACGCGGACTCGGTCGATTCTTCCCGAGGCGCTCGGCGCGAACCCACCTACCGGTACTGAGCGCGCGCTGTGGAAACCAGGAACGATAGACGCCAGGACCATTCCCGCACATGGATGATGGTCCTGCATTCTTGTTTGGGCCAATGTGGCAGTTTCCAGCCCCAAATGTATCAGTGCCGATAAAGCAGCGCCCGATTGGCTGGGGATTACGGAAATAAAGATCTGCGAACGAGCGCTGACGAACGGCCGGGAGCTAAGCGAGGTTTTTGTGAGAGTTGAGGCAGGCATGCACCTACACATTTCCTAAAGGAGAAGAAGCCCCTTTTCAAAAGAGCGAGCGAGCGAGAGAGAGAGACAGCGTGCTAATCGCTCGCTTTGACACATCAAGCATATATTGGCGAGCCAAATGCATGTACCTGCTACTATCGTCGTCCGACTACATATTCCTTTGCGAATGCGCGCGCGAAATACCAAAATTTATTATTCCTCTTATCTCTTTCCCTCTTTCGGAATGTGCCTTTCAGTTCATGTCTCATGCAAGCGGCGCGACATCATGATGTTTCACTTTGTGTTCCTGGTTCTTTTACACTAGTGTGACTTTTTTTCTTTTTTTTGGGCAGAACTGTGCGAGACATGGGCCGGTCCTGGCCCGAAAAGATCAGCCCTGGCCGCCCAGTGCCTGCAGGCACGGGAAGTAGGAGATGATGGCCTTGGGTCAACATGTAGCAAGGGATATCTGCCTGGGGTCACGGGCTGAAGAAAGCGACCAGCGTTCAATCGAGACACCTTCCGAATTAAGGGAAAAAAGGAGAGAGGGAGCATTCAAGTAATGGAGTTGGTTGCAGTCCACATGTGTGTGGAACATGTAGCATGAAAAGCGATGCGGCTCCCGCCTCTCGTCTAGTCCCCCAGACTCGGGCTTGATCTATTGAAGATCGGACGGACGGAGAGCTTGACGTGCCTAGACTACATGGGGGGGCCGCCTCGCTTCTCTGGCATTATTAGCCTCTTCTCAGAATGGGGCCAAGTTTTTTCTTGGTAACGACAGGTCCTCGCTACTCGACCTTCATTGCCTCCTAGTGGTGCATGTGAAGCGGCGGCTAGAATACGGAAGGGATCTAATGTATGTGCCGCATCATGCTAGACTCCTGCTCATCCGCTGCCCCTGGATAAAATTTCGGACGCCGGCTCTGTCGGATCCGAGGGAAGAGCCTACAAGCGAGTCCATCTCGTGCCTATTGCCCCATTCGGGAACAGACTTGAGACCGAGCCTGTGGGGGGGCCCGAAAGCCATGGCAGATGGCAAAATGTCCCGATCAAGCACTGGCCCGCTCGAGAGTGCGGATGATGTCGAGTTTGGTAACGAATGAAGTAACCGCATTCACCGTGAAGTGTGCCAAACTTCAGATGAAATCGACAGGATGCGATAGGCCCGCCAACTTCCAGAGGGGGGACCATAGGGCTTCCAGGGGGCAACAAAAAGAAAAGCATTGGACATGTGCTCCGACACTACTCCAGACTTAGGATGACGTGCCAGAAAATTGGACCTTCTCGGATATTGATATGGCCTGGAGATGATGGATGGCGTGGGATGATGGGGCGCCGCCCGCGCTAAATTAGCCAACCCGCAACTCTTTCTCCAACTTTCTTGCTCTTGCCGCTTCGAGTGCTTGGTTGCGACCCCAAAACCCACGTTTCACCTCGGAACCGTATTGGAACACAATTGCAAGCGTTGATGTTAGTGAGCGGTCCAGTTCGTTTGAGGGGCAACAAGTCTGATGGCCCCGATGACCAGGCTCGTGTCCGGAACCCGTGGTCGTTTGTAAGGATTATGCATGTCCCGAAGGCTGTGCGACCTTGAGCTGCTCAATTGCCCTTGCCAAAACAGTGTCTCGCTTAGGCACGCCGCCTCTTACGAAGATGACCCTGCGGACGGCTGATCTTCCGGGATGACCTCATCATGGTATGGCACATGCTGACAAGTACGAATGTCTGTAGTTGCTGCTTCAACACATATTCTGAGTCCATGCCCACAGGTCCACCAATCGCAGCACTTCTCTTTTGTGATACTTTTGAAATCAACCACGCCAGCAGTTCCCATCGCCGGGCAGTATAAATACGGAAGTGGCTTTCCCTGAGATGCCCCCCGCAGGGACCGAGTGCCTGAAGTGAATCAATCCCCAGCAGACTCATCTTGTCGATCAGGGCGGCTTCGCTGCCGCACGCCGGTTTGCGAGTACTCCGTATGCACGCCGATCCTTATGCCATCCAGAGAGCAGCTCTCACTGGTCAATTTGCGCCATGGCCCCAGGGAGTGAAGCGGCTGACAAGGCGGCCCCACAGCATTCGCGGGTAGCTTGATTGACATGCCGTTGAGGGACCAGATGCAATTCCAGTTAGATTATCCTCGGCTTGTGCAGAGGTGCTTTGGCAGCTGCCCTTCACATCAGAGGCTCGGGCTTCATGGAGGCTATCAGAAGACTGCTTGCGGTGCATACTTTAAGAAAGCTGACACTGGGGTTTCGCTGTCGTTTGTTGATCGCTAAACGTGTCCGAGGAAAGTACTTTGGCCAGGGTTGCTGAGGGGGCTTGTGGCCGTGAGCAGGGCCCAGGGCGCTGCGGGTCAGCTGGCAGCCATTGCCTGCCGCGGCACTGGACGGGTAGGAAAGATCGGAGGAGGCTGATGCATTCTCCAGAGGGGTTGAGCGCGAACATGCAAGCCACAAACGCTCGGTGTTGCGATTGGGCGCCGGGGTCAGATGAGTCCGACGTTGTCTCTCGCGATCATGTCTCAAACAGGTTACTGGCTGGCTCCCGGGGTCCTGGAACTCAGATTTGTGCAGGGGAGGGGGCGGTCGCGGTGGGTACAACCCCTGTTTGTGCTGGGAATCGAAATTCGATCCGACACGGAACACCTTGGCGGCTACTATGAGCCAGGCCGGCGGCGGTGACGGGAGCTGTGGCTAGGCGAATCTAGCCCAGCAACTACCTTTAGGTAGACACTTGTGGGACCTTTGGATTCGAAATGGCCAGCGAGTGCCGGTCCCGTCCTGTCGGCGAGGCGCTACAGTAGCCCGAACAGAACAAGGCGGCTGAGGAGGCTGTCAACGCGGGACCCGCCGCGCGGATGCAACGGTGGGCCCCGCGTTGCCGAACTTGAGGCGTCCGCTCGTAATTCTGCCGGTCCCGCGGGTGCAATACGGGTACGTAGCCATCTGGGACACAGACTTGACATTGACTGTCGTCGATGCTGAATGGGAACGAATGCAGCGACGGCCCGCCCTGGTGGCTGAGGAAAGGGACTGCGCGCATGTGAGGTTGACAAGCGGTTTGTCGCAGGAGGAAGACTGCAGGACTGCAGCGTGCGCATGTGGTCGAGAGGCCAGGACAGCATGTCAAGAACGCTACGGGACGTGAAGCCGCCCACCTATCGGGTCCTCTGGTGCTGTACCATAGTACATGGCGTACTGGGGCATGTGCGTGATTGCAGGACGTGGGAGGAGACGGGCAGGTGAGGCCGTGCTGGCGGTGCTGATGGTGGTGATGTGGAGGGCGCGCGGGCAGGGCAGCCACGAGGCAGGAAGGGATTAGCTCCCTGCAGGGCGGCCACCGGATGCCTGAGGCTCACGCTAGAATCGTCTTGGCTGCAGGCCGGGACCCTCTGCCTGCGCTCTTGGCCCAGGCTGCTTTGGGCGATTCTTGCGAACCACTCGAGCACTTGCTGCTTGCCCGCCCCAGGTCCCCCCTCGTGACAACTCCTCCCACAGCAGGGCACAGCAAGCTCGCTTGCACCGCTCGGCCAGCGTCAGTGCTTCAGCCGTGACCGACGGGCGAGTCAGTTGAAGAATTCCTGCGCACCAGGGGCGTGCTCTGACCCAGTCGTCGTGACGCCACGCCCGCTGGTGTTGGTGTTGACGCATACTACATGCATGCTTCGACTGCGTGCTTCCATCCAGGCGATTAGCGTCCATAAGGTACCTCTGGCAGACCCATAGCGGCCTGCTCTGGCACCGCAGGGTCCCGGCCTGCTTCGACCGCGCCCGGGGCTCGACCAGCCCAAACTCTCTCATGCCCAGGGGGGCCGTTCCTTCAGCACCAGCAGATGGCCGCCAGCCCGCCATGTCTATTAGTCCGCGGCTGTCCGCCTCCTCTTCTAATCAGCCAGTGCCATGCGCCGGCAGTTTGTCTTTGTGTTGGCTGGCTTCTCGAAATTTCTTGGTCTGCCTGCTCGCCCTGTCACGCAAGCTGTGCGGTACCCCTTCTTTGAACCAGCGATTGGCTCTCGACCCTCGCTGTGCTGGCCCTTGCCCAGACATATATGCTCCAGGCTTGCAGCCACCCGCCGGTCACCACATCCTTTGGCATCAAAAGTCGTCCTTCTCCGTTGGCAACACACTACATGCCGACGTCTACACTCAGCATCTATCCTCCGGCCCTCCTGCTAGGAAGTGTGTGTGTGTCGTGAGCCTCACCATATCGAGCTAGCCCGGCGTGCCCTCTGCCTGCCACGAAGAGCTGCATGCATGTTGTGACCAGGATCCTGCCTGGCCGGCCTCGCATCTGCCAAGCCCGCCGTGGTTGCGGCGATTCCCCCAGCTCGGCTAAAAGCCCAGGAGAGCCAGTCTCTTACATCTCGACCAAGCCCGGCTTAAGACACGCCGCCGCCTCTCTCCCGCTGTCCCCCACGGCCGGCCCTCGCCTATCAGCCCAGGTCGATCCAACACCGTGGAGATGGTCTCGTCGGAGCTGCTGTGTCGTACACAGACACGGCCTCTTTTGCATCACCCTTTTGCGGAGAAAGACCCCAGGAGCCGCAATGTGCGTCCGCATCTAGGTCCTACACCACGTCCCCGTGTGACAACATGGTCGATGGATGGCCTCAGCACAGAGCTCGTGGCTCTCATTCTTTTACAGGTAGGTTCCAGATTGCTCGCTCCGCGACGATTTCTATTGCTCGTGTGTTGCTTACACCAACATGGCCACGTGCAGCTGCGAGAAATCCACGCACCATCACTAGCAGCAGTACGGCTCGTCTCCAGACGGCTCTATGATATCACGACGCCAATACGATACGAGCGCTTGCGCCTCACTGAGCGCATTGTGTCGCCAGAGAGCGAGGTCCACATGGCCCATGGGCTAAGGCATGTACTTGCATTTACGAGACACGTGGAGGTTCTGGAAGATCTGGACCCCGAGAACGTCAGGCGTGTGCTGAATGGCATGAACAGCTTGAAATCCGTAAGGTACGCATGATGCACAAGCACTCTCTGGATTTTAGCCACATGAATATCAACTAACGGCCATGTAGATGGAAGTACCACGCCCCGCGGCTGTGTTCAGGGGGCTATTGGCTGCCATCTGATGTCCTCAAGCCGCCGGCTCAATCAATCTACCGGCAGAGGGTACGACTGGCCATTGAAGACCTTCCCCTAGAAGATTATACCGGCCAGAACCAGGATGCGTACCTTCAGGCCATACCAGCACCTCTACTCGTTTCTCTAAAAGCCGAGACCCGATTTCCACTTCGCACGCCTCAACTCGACTCGCTAAAAAGTCTCCTAATCAAATCGAGGGGACTCGAGACTTTCCACTACAACGACAATGGGCAGGGAACACGCTTCGCCTTTCGCTCTGGCGAAAGGCTGCCACCGATACAAGAGCTCGAGCTGCGATCATATGATTGGAACCATACGAGTGCGGAGGCTGGGGCACATTGGGACTTTAGTCGGCTCCGAACGCTTGTATTGGTTGATGTTCCTCTCAATCAGTTCCTGTCAACAGTGCCAGCCTCGGCTCTGTCGCAGATCACAAGCCTGGAGTGTGGCGACTTCAACCCTGGTTCACCCGCGGTGCGTCGCACGGCAACGGCGCTGCTGGCGTCCCTCATCAACCAGATCGAAGAGCTTCAGGAGCTCAAAATTACTTGTCAAACAAGTGAACTTCCTGTCAGCGTCCTGACTGCGCATGGCCAGACTCTACGGTCCTTGCGGTTCCGTGACCACGTCGGCTTTGCTGAGGACGACATCTGGTGTCCCACAATGGCGATAGATGATCTGATGAGCCTATCGCAAAGAATGCCGGTGCTGGAGAGTCTTGAGGTCGACCTGGAAGTCAGGCAATATCATGGTTATCCGAGCAAATTCCTCTCGGGGCTGTGTCGCTTTCCGCAGCTCAAGCGGTTGACGCTGCATGTGCAGACGTTGGTGAATCCGTTCGACGAAGACGTGGACATGGACAACGACAAGGATATGGAAGCCGCAGAAGACATGTGCAACTACCTCGTTGTCGAAAAAGCTCGGCAGCACCAACAGAACGGCCGTAGCGGTATCCCCGGATGGGATCAGATCACGATCAACGTGGGCGGTTGGGGTCCTGTACAGGTGCGCCGCCTGAGCGAAGCTTGGAGGGAGAGAAATGAGCAAGGGATCTTCGCGGAGAGATGCTTCGTCTTCGAGCGACAGCCCTTGAACTCTGACGCGGAGTACGAAATGTATGAGCGGGCCAACATTCGCGATTGAGACGACGGCCTCACGAACGAAACCAACACCGCAACGAATGCGACACGACAGAAGTAATATATCAGCAAATCGCGTCACCGGCGAGCAACGCTTAGCTCCTTCCAGCATAGCTGCCGGGCAACACAACGTTCCAACTGGAAGAAACACGCAGCGACGAAAGCCATAGGCTATATCAGCCTCGTCAGCAGAAGAAGGCATAAAGATGCCGCCGCACCATCCCTCATAGACGTGCGAACAGTGCCGAGGATGTCTGGTTCAGGCAGCTCAGCACATGAAAGATGACCAAGACCAGTGGCGTTGTAGCCACGTCCCTCACAAGGGTCAACATCTTAAGAGGAGCAGACGTTCAACAGAAAACCCTCTACATAGAGATTCCGATCAAGACGATCCGAACCGGGCCAAATTAAAAGTCAGTCATAGAGGATAAACACGCCTTCCAAAGAGAGGGGGGAAGAGAAAAAGTAATAAAATGTAATCAAACTGAGCCAATTGAACTCCCCGGGTGGGCATGATAATGATGATGTGTGTGACTGGCTCGTTGCTCTTGTAAATATGCCCAGGTTCGACTGTGCATGAGCGCAGCGTGCGGTTCACACGATGAAGCCTTCTTACGATACACCAAACAAAAGAAACGCCACCTTCAAAGCGTGTACGCAAGGCTGTAACTGGGTTCCGTCGGCGGATGGACGTGCCGCCGTCGTAGCTCTAGAGCGCTGGATCACGGGCTCAGCTTAACTCTCAAGTACATTCGGGGCAGTGGTTGAGTCCGGGTTGGGAAGGGCAGCCAAGACGAGCCATGCAGTTGCCAAAATCTACATATCTCCGTGTGATCTATACGAGACCTTTTTTTCTTCTCGCCAGCATTCATCTCGGTCGGTGAAACCCAACAGGCGTCACTGATAAGCCTCGATCTGATACCGGCTCTCTCTGTCTTCAGTGTTTTATACACTCAGAGCGAGGTCGACCCTGGAAAGCACCGCCACTACCACCTTCACCACCGTCACCAGCCGCCCTAGTCCCGCCCCTTGCGGCCCTTTGCGAGGAACATGCGTCGCTTCATCTCCCGCTGCCCGTCCCTCTTGAAGCTGTAGTGACCCATGTCGAGCACCGCGAACTCGTGGCCCGCGCCGGCGGCGGTGAACATGTCCCTGAGCTCGGGCTCGCTGAAGCCGTGCTTGGTGATTGTGTGCGTTCCGTCGCGTTCCTCGGACTTGTGGGCCGCGGTAGTGGTGGTGGTGGCCTCGTCATCCCCGGTGGTGTCGGGGTTGTGGGTGTGCTTGTGGTGGCCGTGGTCGTGACCATGTCCATGTCCATGGCCATGCCCGTGGTGGTCATGGCCATGGTTGTCGCCGTCGTCGTGGTCGTGAGCATGTGGGAAGAAGTCCCAGATGGCCAGCACGCCGCCCGGCCGGAGGCGCTCGACGATCCGTGTCGCCGCGAGGCCCGGATGCGCGAAGTGATGGAAGCCGCCGCCCACCGCAGCGATGGCAAAGCCGTAGAACTCTGGGCCGGTGAGGGCAGCCGGGCTGGGGTCTGACGGGTCGGCGAGGTCGCCTTGAACGGCGTAGCGTGCTGCCGAGGGGATGTTCTGGGGTTGTGTGAATGGTGGGACGAGTCAGCGTGTGCGAGAGGAAGAGAGAGAGAGAGTGTGTATATGTATATTGCGAAGTTCTTGCGGCATGCTTTCTTGGCTGCTCACCTCTTCCGCGGCGCGGGTATTGTAGATCTCGACCATCTGGGGGGAGAGGTCGATGCCGATGCACTGGTCGACGTAGTCACCGAGGGTCTGGATGTAGTTGAAAGGCTTGCATGTTAGTGCGGTCTGCTCTTACTAGATACTTGCACGATATAAGGCATTGCTAACTCTGCCCCTTGGCCATGCCAAAGTGGCAGTCAGGACATCACGGAGATATGGAGAGAGGCAGCCTCACCCTGGACAACATCCCCGTCCCGCATGCATAGTCGAGCAACTTGACCGGCTCGCCGTCTGGGGTGGCGTTTGAAGTCTTCCAGTCTGCCCCGATAAAGTCGACGTTGTCCCGGATCGTTGTCGTCAACCTCTGGATCAGGTCGGCATGCCGCGAGTCGTATGTGGCGGCCTCCTTGCTGCGGACCAGAATGGATGGGTTAGTCCAGCATGTCTCTTACTGGCTGCCTGCGAGACCAGGCTTCAGCCAGGGGAGGGAGCATAATCACTTGAAGTAGTCCTGGTTCTGGAGGGTGATGCTGTTCGCCATGGTTGCTTTGTCGGCAGGGCTGAGATGTCGGTTATGGGTGCTTTGAACAGGCCTGTACTTGTAGGCTTGGCTTTGGGCGTGGAGTGTGGTCTGCAATGCTGATGGGGTTTTGATCACTTGTTTGGTCACGTTTGCCACCAGACTAGTGTGATGCCGTAGATTGGAGAGCTGGAATATATACGCAGACACTTGCAGCTCGGTGGTGTCGTGCGGCGACTTTCTCGCGGACTAAAATCGTGGTGTCGGTGACTTCTCGTCAACTTTAAAAGTCGCCCTTCTGGGGGAAAGCGGGTCGGTCTGGCTGCAGAGCCCTGCCCTTGTGTGGTTGCAACAGGAGGTTGTGCACTTTGCGACCGCAGATGAACGTCAATGACTTGCCATCTCGGACGCTGCGGTGAGTGCCTGTAGGCTTGCTGCAGCAGGTGTACAGGATGAAATCATTCAATCACCCAGCACACTTAGTTGTTGGACGGAGACAACGACTGCCCAGAGTCATGCCCAGCCACAACTCTCTCCCTTGGGGGCAAACCCGCTCATGCTCAACCTATCCCGGTGGATCTGGACCACGTAACGTACGTAGTAGTGTAAGTAGTAATATTCCGAGTCTGCAGCCATGGTTCCTCAAATCCTGCTGATGAGGTTGACACGGGCATCTTCATGCCGCGACCTCGAGCCGTCCCTTCAGGGAGTCGCACGCGAGCATTAATCTCTGGACGTCGGACGTGTCATGTGATTAATGCCTGCGGGACACTGCGAAGATTAACCACTGGCCCATCGCCTGGTGAACCAGTGGCCATCGATCGAAGCCTAGCCTCCAGATCGACTGATCCACACGGGGCACGGCCGCCAGGGGCTGCGCTAGGGCCCGCATCCACGGTAATTAATGCTCAGGCGCAGCCTGGCTTAAGTGCTTGCAGAATCGTGGCCTGGGTAATCATTTGTCCATAGAGTGCACCGAGGCCCTCGAGACAGTTGTGTCAACCACGGTTGCTCAAGTTCGCAGTTCAGATTGTCGGGGAGCCTCATTGCACCTGACGGGGCACACACCCCCAGCGATCAACTTTATGAACTCCACCCATTTATCGTGACTTTACTCCCCAAAAGGGACAGCAGCAATATTGACATGCCGGTCCGTGGGATAAGGTGCTGAGCTGCGTTTCAGTAGAGCGGCCGACGGAGATTGCCTCTCACGTGGAAGGCGACAGTGTCATCCGAGCCAACCGTGTGTGACGGAGCTACCTTTCGAGTCCCGGTATCAGTCGACCTCCCTAGAAACCCAGGGCGGATCCGATGACTGATCAACTTCAAAGGACAGCTTCCAGTCTCACTTTCATGTGGGCACGCAGCGTGGTGTGAGACACTTGCTGCACAAGAAAGGGGCAAGTCTTGGGCAGAGAGCGGCTCACGAAAGCCGGACAACAGAAAAGTCTCATATAGCCCAACTATGACTTGGATGGTCCGGAAGTCCTAGCAACGGGAAGTTGCGAGCCTATCGGGTCGCCAGAGGACTGCCTGGCAAAGAGCAAGCATGTCAACATGTTGAACCAGGGAGCTGACTCCGAAGGCGCTTCCGGGAGCGGGCTGGGTGCTGTATCGCATCACGACAGCGCCAGCCAGTGGGTCTCTGTGGGGAGCTCGCAAAGGCTAATTCCACATGCTATGCACGTCTTCAGCCAGGCCCCAGTGGTCCTGAGCAAATGAGGAGCCTTGTTGCTCATCCAACGACGGACCAAGTGGGCAGCAGCAGGCCGCGGCCCCTGCTCAGCTGGGATTGAAGGTTACAGTGGATGCTTCAAGCCTGTAAGTGGCTTGCTGAACAGCTACGGAGGCCACTGCCTCTGGCCTTGTGGGAGGGTGACGTGTGCATGGTTTGCCAGGTTTGTGCGCTGAGTGTGCTTGTGCTGGATATGTCGATGCTCAAATGGGAGGACGGCAATCCGGAGGTCTGTCGAACAGACCGCAACCGGGACCTTGCGAGACATCCGAAGTGCGCTCCTCGAAATAGCAGATCTCGTGCCGGCACTTCTTGTGGAATGTGCCACTAGCCCTTGCCAAGGTCGCAAAAGATGCCGCCGCGCAGCTGTATTATCAGCATAAGCTGCTGGGTAGGAGTAGTGTGATCTGGGCTTGGCTGGCACATCAATATCGCGGGCTGTAGGCCAACTGTTTGGACAGATGCATAGAATTGATCCCAAGCCTTGACCTGGAGAAGCCACGGCAGGAGTGTAGTAGATGGGCAAGACTTTGCGCAAAAGCACTGACAGCGTGCAGATGGGGGGAGATGAAAAAAAAAAGAAACAGCGTGCAGTGGTGGTGCAAGCGGGCGCGCACAGATGGCAGGTGTTTCAGCAAACCACTTGAGCACCCACGTTAGCAGAAGCAGGTGCCGCTGCCCTGCCCTGGCCGGCCCTGCGCACTGCTGGGCTGGTGCCAGCAGGGAGCTCCAGCGCTGGAGGCCGGCGTTACTAGGCCAGCTGCAGCCCTTTTCGCTTACGGAGCCTCCCGCCAGGCAGGCGAGGCAAGGCCTCCTCTCCTCCCGGCCTCCTTCCCCAGCTCCAACCCCATCCACTCCTTCATCTCCTCTCTGACGGCACACAACCTCGCTCGCTTCACGACCACCTCAACCTCGACCTCCGGCCCCAAACCACCACCAGCAGAAACAAGTTCCACGACGCATACACTGCAAGCAATCCGCCAATCGCTTACCATGCTGTCTCCCGCCAAGCGGCAACAGCCCGAGGCGGTTGCAGACAAGGTCCTCAAGCGGGTCGAAGTCAGCAAGGTAAGATGAAGCTGCCATTTTTGCACACAGGCACCAGGACTGACCCGGCCTCTGTCCTGACTTCCAGATTGCCCGAAGGCTGCAAGGATGCCTCGCCCTCGCCCAGTTCAAGACCAAGCACGGTTGGGAAGACCTCACCCTCGATACCATTGAGCCCAAGGTGGAAGAGCAGATAAGGAGACGGCGCCAGTTTGAGGGCGACGTCCTGTCCGACTCGTCCTCTAGCACATCCGACCTCCCATACCCATCACGAGCTCTCATGAGCTCGCCGATGAAGGCGCCCTTCTTCTCCGACGCTGTCGGCTCCAGCAACGGCAGCACCGGCCACCGCAAGCGGACCTACATGGCCACATTTGACATGGCCATGTCCAGCCCGACCAAACGTTTCAGAATCTCGCCCACCGCCCACAAGTCCTTCCACACAGACGAGAACCCAACGAGAGCTCACAGGCAACTGATCCAGTCCTCTCCCATAAAACCTCGGCGCCAACAACACTTTACCACTTCCAACGGCCCTGATGTGTCATTTTTTCGGGGGACCCGCCGCCCCTCCGTGGATCTGACATCGCCCAATTTTGCGGCACCATCTGATGACGACGATGACATCCTTGGAATACACTCCTTCCGTGTCGATGCAAACCGGTCCTCGCCTCCACGGACACCTCCTATGCGTAACCGGAGCCTCAACCGCCGGTCTAATAAGGATCGCAACGGCGTCGCCACAGGGGCCAAGTCGGGTGAAGAAGGCGCAGACCTACTCCTGTACCTCGCTGCCTCGCCATCGCCGGCGATGCCTTCGGGCAGGACACGCATGGAGCCTCCCTCGACGCCTCCGTCCAAGAAGGACCTCGCCCTCCCGTCTTCGATGATGACCACTCCCGGTGGCGGCAACCTGTTCCCCACAACACCCGGCCAGCCGTTCGACCTGTCGGACTTTGTCAACATCACCCCAAGCCCAGCTCAAAAGCAGTGGAAGACTCCTGGAGGGTTTTCTGCTGCACGGACGCCCCGCAGCTTGACACGAGCACGGCTCACCTTTGATGAACCCTTGCAGCTCAACGGCCTCTAAGACTCTGATGCTCCATGGCCAAATCACTACCGAAGCACAGACCCGGTTCTAATGGCAACTACAATTTCGCTCCGTCGCATAATACCCTAGTCATGTCTTTCAAGCCTCGACATTGACGACACAAACAAGCTGTCCTCACGAGCACGCCATGTGCTAACGACGTATGATCGGCGACTTGTTTCTTTTTACAAGAAGCCGCATGAACGCCTCGATCCAGACCGTGTCTGGAGCCGGACTTCTCGGCTGAGTCTCATACAGGCATACTTGCACCAAAAGCACACGACACCATTTCTTCACGGTGACATAATTTTTTCTTTGTTCGAGTTTATTTCCCTGTACAGCGCTTTGACATCATCATGTTTCTTCATGCCACCACACGGCTGATTAAGAGGATCTCCTGGGAGGAGACCTGAGGACCCCGCCGCTTTGATTTCATTGTGTACGGAGTATGAGGGAATGTTGGAGCGACAGACGCACGCCAGATGCTGGCGCTGCTGCTACTGGAACAATGGCGTCTGGGAGTGCATGTTGCTTTGCGCCAGCCCGGTTCACACGAGGCTGGCTGGAATCTTGTTTGTGCAAAGATGGTTGGGCTGAGATGTGGGCCACTCTACGCGTCGGGCGCGTGGAGCTGAGCACGTGTGACGCGACTTTTCGTGTCAATTAGTTAGTGATCGCCAATCAGAATCCCTGGATCTTAGTGAGCTAGTCCTCTTTTGCCAAGTGCATGCATCGCAGCTGGGACGCCCCACGGGTCTCGAGACAGGCTAAGACGTGTGAATTCATGCATGTTCGCCCGGGCATGCTTCACTACATCACGATTTGTAGCGGGCAATTTAGTGAGCAGTCTTTCGTCCTGACGTGAACGATGCGCGTACGGGGGGTCCGGAGTAAGCCTGTGCATCGCCCGATCAAATGACTCACGACACTTTGGACCGTCAATCACATGATGATTGAACCGGACAAACCTTTGGGAGAGTGGGCTCTTTCGACCCTCGTCCTGGAGCCTTTTTTTTTTTCCACTGAAAGCGGACCTCCATACCGCGTACCGCACGCACGGAGGACATGACGTAGGCCATACTATGGTTACAACCACGGCAACCCTTTGGACCGTGGGAAGAAGAAGGAGGAGGAGGAGGAGGAGGAGGGGAAGGGGGGGGGGGGTGAGTAGAGGCGCGGGGGAAGGAGAGGGGGGATGGAGGGGGGATCTCAGACCAATGGTCGCGCCGGGCTCTCTCTCCCGACTCTCTGTCTGCTTGGCAATGTTTGCAAGTGATAATAACGTCCATCATCATGGTTGCTCCCCTTCTCAATCTGTCCTTTTGATCCTCCGATTGGTTAACTTCCCGTGGGTGTGAGTGTTTGGAATGTTTGCAGGTGAGTGTGTTTATAAACGGTTTGCAGTCGGCAAATAGCCAAGAGCCAGTACTGCGTGCAATCCTATGTGTGACGTAGGCTTGCGCCTTGCACACATGCGGGCAGGTGTTTGCGTAAGTAGCGTATGTATGCCATGCAAACAAGGGCCTATGTTAGCATCCACTTGGCCACAAGAGAACGGCTAGACGCGCAGATTATGCATTGCAGTACGGAAGGCCACTTTGTGTGTGCGTGCGAGTCACTTTTGCAGTGTGTCGAGAGAAGCCAGATGATATATGTACGTCAAGTATTGATGGCTTATATACGCAATATACAAGGAGCGGCTGATGCCAGTGGCCCCTCGATTGTAAGAGAACAGACAAATGAGGCCCCTCGAACCTCACAAGACGTAGTGCCGCCTTAGTCGACATAGGTAACTGCCACTTCCAACTTCGTTCGTTCTCCCTCTTCAGGGCCCTTCCCTTGGCCGTGCCTTTGGTGTCTTGACGACACACCATGGCTTTGTGTTGAAGCGCCTCCCACCATCCTGTTCCGGATATGATCCCTCCTCTTCCTTGGTTGTGGGTATCTTTGCTCTCCCCGCTATGCTTCGAAATGAGTGTGTGCAGATTACCTAGAATGTATAGCCAAAAATTCAAAAAGAACCCCAGGTCCTTACGCGCTCCTTTTTGTACGTGCATGCCTATATACGGTGAAATGAATGTGGGGGAAACAACGTGCATAATGAAAAGACGACTTGAAAGCGCACTCCCATAAAATCACAAGTTGGGGGGAACGGGATCACATGGCACGACCGACGCTTGTTTGACTGCCATTGCTCCGCTTGCGTGCAACGCCCGGACCGATGTCTGGGCCAGGCTCGCTCCAAGCAGCCTCAGACACAGTATGCGTCGAGTATTTGGACGAGGATGAGCTGTGAGTGCGCACATGCGCCTGGCGCGGCGGCGCAGGTTCCTTGGCCTTATTGGCGAGATCTGCAGCGTTGGGCGGCATGGCAGCACGAAGCTCCGGTCGGTCAAGGTCAAAGGGGTCGGAGCGGACTCTGTTGCGTCGTGTCTGGAAGGACTCTTCGCTGACGGCCGAATCCCGATACACGCTTTCTGCCTGCTGCCGCCTCATCACAGCATTGCGGCTTTCTCGTCGCGCATGCTGGACTCCTTGGACGTAGTTGGCGGGGCCTCTGGCTTGTGGGTTTGTCGGTATTGCGTTTGCATCCGAGAACGGATCTGTCCCAGTCGGGGCGGACAGAGGCATGACCATGGCAGAGACGTGTGACATTGAGTTGACGTCCGAGAAAGGATCCGCAGGGTCAAAGTTGAGGCCCAGATTGCTCAAGAAATGATCTGAAGGTGCCGCTTGCCGAGGTTGACCTGGCCTTCCAGACGCAGGTGCCTTCGTAGGCTGTAGAGTACCACCAGTCTTTGGAGCTGGGGCGCCGTCGTTGGCGATAGGCCCTTTCCGTGTTGGAATAGGTGGCGGCGGATCCTGATTCGAGACAGCATTGGCGCCCATCACGTTTGAGCTGGCACGGATACTGGATCGGTCGGTGGTCTGATCGGCAGGCTGCCTAGAAGGTTGGGCGCCGCCATCTTCCGGCTTGATTGTCCAGTTTTGAGCTTCATCTTCTGTTAGGCGGTCCCACCAATCCGGGAAATCGCGTTTTGGTACAAGTGTGGCGGGTGGTAAGCCAAAGCCCGAGTTATTGCGGCTATGTCCCCCTGCCATCAGGGGCCCATACTGCGACGGTCCTCTGTCGAGATCAACATCCGTCCGCTTGCGAAGCCCTATAGCTTCAGCCGCTCTGACGCCGAGTTCGACCATGTGAAGAGATGCCTGCTGGTATTTGTAAACCATGGACGCCTTGAACTTTTCGCTGACAGGAGTCGGGCCTATGGATGTCCGCGTGATGACGTAGGGTGCCTTCTCGCGTATACCGCGCTCAGTAGATGCGGGCGAGCCGGGACTTCGTGGTCCGTTTCTTCTTCTCCGGCGCCAGCAGAACAAGAATGCCAGAATACCAATCAGGACAACTGTGCCAGCCACGCCGCCGGCCACAGCCGCAGTGGCCTGAGGACCCATACCACCACCGCCGCCCTCCAGCGATGGCAAGGCGGTCTCTGGAGGTCTTGTATCTGAGATGCTCGGAGTGACAGGTGGTCGAGGCGCCGAAGAAGCCCCAGGCGAGTCAGGCGATGCAGGCTGGGTAGGAGCTACCACAATCTCGCCCAGTTCGTTAGTTGACGTGACAGGCTCGACAACTTCCGAGGCCTCACTCGGACCCGGTCCGGCCAGAACGGGTACGCCCAGCGGTGCTGTACTTGTACTTGTCGTCGTTGCTGTGGCTGTCGCCGTGGAGGGCAGGACTACACCATCGGCAGTCGTGGACGGTGTGGTCTGTCCGTCCGACCCTGGCTGCTGCTCGGTAGGTTGTGGTTGAGTGTCCGCCGGCACATCCGTGGAGGGTGCCGCGTTTGGTGTAGTTGTGCTATCATCCACTGGTACTGTGGTCTCAGAGGCCGCCACACTAGTGTTTGTCGTTGTCACTCCGGGCACGATAGCTGCTGTGGTCGTCGCAGTGGTTGGCGACGGGGCCAGGGCAGGATCCTGGACTGGCTGTTGAGTGGTCTCTGGCTGAGGCTGGGCCGGTGGCGGAGCCGGTGCTGAAGTTGCGACAGCCGTGGTAGGCGCAACGACATCTTGCGCAGGAGGTGGGTTTTGGGCGGGAGGCACGCTAGCTGAGATGACCTGTGTCTGTGTTGTTGCTTGTGCCGTTGTCTGAGCCTCGGTAGATGTGGTGGTGACTTGCGTCGCTACTGTTGTCGTGACTGCTGATGTCGTTGAAGGCTCGGCCTGAGATGGAACCGCGATTGGGACAGTGGCAGCTGGCGAAGTCTTAACAGACTCGGCCGAGGTTGATGACGAAAGATCTGGGGATGCAGTCACTTCCAAGTTTGCGGTCGTTGTCGTTGATGTGACCAATGTCGTGGTCAGCAAGGAAGACGTCGTCACGGTCACGTTCCTCGCGGCGAAAGGGACAGCCGTGCATTTCTTGCCCCCTATCGTCGTAAGAAAGGCCCCAGAGGGCAGATTGGCGTTAGTAGCCATGGAGGCCAACAGGCGCGGAGCCGAGCGAGGGAGGCGAGACCAGTCGCGACGAAGTGAAATCGGGCGAGTGCGTTTGCTGTGGTGTCGTCTTAATCATAAATGTCGTCGTTGCTCCAAAAAGTCATGACCCAGGTTACCAGCCCCGGGCAACGGATGCAAGCGGTGAAAGTCGAAGAGAAAGCAAAGAGTCCAAGGCCGCCTCGGCCGATCCAGCCTAATGGGACACCATACAATGGAAGCACCTGAGTTGATTCTCCGAGAGCGACGTCGACTGCTAGTGCCCGGTGCGCGGGCTCTTATTTGCAAGCGCCAGTCGTCCGTGCCTAGAGATCCTCCTACGGCTGAGTGTTTGCGAATCAGGGCGAACGTTGTTGTCGTCGAAAATCGAAGCCGCCACAAATACCAGGCGACAAGACTTGTGCGGAGAGGTGAACCAGCCCTGAACCAGAGGGACGCGATAGAGAAGCGAAGAGGATAGTATAGGAAGGAGGAGGAAGGTCACACAGATCCGGCTGGTCAAAGGTGACACCGGAATGGCACAGCCAGGAGCCAGGGCCGATGATGGACGTTGTAACGGGAGAGGGCAGGTGAGGCGGCCATCGTGGGCGAGGGATGGCATGGTGGTGCGAGGATGCCCGCAGGCGACCAGAGTCGTTGCGCCTGGTCTGGTCGGCCAGCAGGCCCTTGCTTGCATGGCCCATCCCGTACAAGCAGACAAACCAGCTGTAGGCTTGGCAGGAAGGAGGAAGGAGCCCGTGGCGTGCCATCTGGGCGTGGCAATGGAGGATGCGGCGCGGCAGCGTGTTGCAGGTTGATGCGACCCTGTGTCAATCCCAGGGGTGCTGCGGGCCCGCGCGGCGTCCCGATCTGGCTGGTGCCGTAGCACCACGGCGGCGCCACCCCGGTCCTGCGACACTTGTGAAGCAGCCAGGGCGGCCGGTGCTATACCTCCCCGTGGCCTATACGCGGTCTCGACGTCAATGCGCTGGACACAGTCAGCAGGAGGAGCACACGTTACCACGGACCAGCCGTGGCAGTACAAAACACCCGTCGTGGCCGTCCCTATTCCTCCTGGTTCTTGGCAGCCGTCGCGCGACCATCCGTTGGGGGCGGGCTGCCGTCATCAACAGACAGAGACCTGTCTGCGTGAGCAATGTCATCGTTGCACAAGGCAGGAACCAGGTCAGACTGCGGTGCAATGTTCCAGTCCAGCTGTCTTACCGTCCGCGCGATAGCCGGGCAAACACCAGCAGCCTCGTTGGCTGGCATATGTCGTCTAGAAGGGTGTACAGCGCCTTTGTTCGATACGTTCAGCCTTTGTGGCGCATACGACGGCGGTGTTTGCCATTGCATTCATCATGCTGGATGGACCATGATATCCTCTTGGCGCTCTTCAAGTTTCCAGGCAACACCATAGTATCTGAATCGACGCACGCCCGAGTCGGGTTGCCGCGATAGAAAACAAATCATGTTCAGAGCTGAGAAAGGTGCCTGTGGCCTGCAGCGAGCATGGCCTGAAACGGGAAACGGGGCTCGGCAGGCCAGGTTGCGCCGCAGAAGCACCCATGCATCAGACCACATGTCCATCCGGAGACAGTCGGGGAGACACTCACGGGCTGGGGCTGCTGGCCCACACCGCTCATGGCGTAGTCTTCGAGAGTTTCAATAATGCCAAAATTGGCATCGAAACCCCAAGGCTTGGTGGATCGGAGACATTCAAGGTTCTCCGTGACAAGCCGGGGATGCAAGAAACAGCCAGCGCGGGCGTACGGGGCGGCAGTCTGTTTGAAACGTCTCTCGAGCTATGAGAACTGGACCGTGGCATCGCACAGCCGGCCTCGATGGCTTCCCAGTCAAGTTGTCTGTTGCGTCCCAGCATCGAGTCTTTTTCTTCTTTGGCATGCTGGCCGGTGATGTTGGTAGACGGTGGTGGTGGTGCTCTCATGGCTTGTTCGCACACGCATTGACGAGCGGGCGGATGCGTGGCAGCTCTGCTCGTGCCTGCCCCATCAGGGTGCTGTACATGCATGGCCTGCGTCGGTGGTGTGTGCCGGGCCGGGCCTGTGCCGGGGCATCAGGAGCGGGGTGCCCCTCCGATCCTCAGTCCACCTGGCGACGTTGCCAACGCTCCACGCCGCTGGCACGCTCGCTCCTGATTGATGCTCTCCCTCGCTGGGTGGTGCTCCGTCTTCATTCCATGCTAGGACAGTCCGAGTCGCCCTCTGCCGCCGCCTCGCACTAGGACCTGCCTGCCGGCCACGATCCCCTCCACGCCACAGTCCCACCCAGCCTCGGATCTTCATGCAGCTCACCTTCCTAGAGCTTGCTTGCGTGTGACGTCGGTCCCAGAGCTCACGTCCATGCCCCTTGGCTCACGATCCCTTTGCGAGAGGTGTGTCCGGACTCGGCCCTTCCACGAGTGTATGGTACGGTCAACATGTTTGGCACTCTCACCAGCTTAGGTAGGTAGAGGCCAGTTCCGGTTTGTCGCAGCAATATCCAATTATAATGATGCCCCAGGCCTGTAATTGAGGTCGAGCAGAAGTCTCGTGCTTGGCAGTCTGAGATGTGTCACATCATACACGAGAGTTTAGCCCTGGCCCTCCGATCAGGTCGACCGGGACAGTCTGGTCGGGCTCCAGAATGCGTCCCAAAGGGGCAACGATGGTTGCGGCCAATGTGCTCCCAGAACGCAACATGCTGACTTGCATCGTGGCCTACAGTTCAGTCGGCCACAGTTGGGCCTCCGCCGAAGGATGTGCCGCCACCGACGCAGATCGTGCTTCCGGAGTACCACCCGAGGCTTGATGACAATGACACCAACGCAAGCCCTCCACACATAGCTGCAGATTCTCTAGTACCCTTCCTGCAGACGCTGTATCGTCCGCCCCAGCTTGATGAATCATACTTCAAGGCTCTTGGGGTTCACGTCCACGACAATGTTTCCACTGAGGATATCATCCCAGATCCGGCCTTGCTGCCTCAAGCCACCGGCTGGGAGGACATGACTCCCGAACATGCTCAGGACGTCAATAAGGATTTCCAGAGGCCTCTTTGCAACGGCAACAAGTCTCCGGACGCCAGGATCTATACAGACAGGAGGAAAGAGCTGTCTGCAGACAATCAAGCGGCCTTCCGAACCCTTCGCCGCATCAAGCCCGAGCCAGGCAAGCAGGCTGTCCGGCTGGGAGGAAGCTACGAGTTCTTCAAGCAGATGGACCTCATGGCCGGGTTCTGGGACGATACTTCTCTGCCGGCGCAGAAGTCGAGCGAGGACGATGTGTCCAAACAGTTGGCACGGGAGGATAACGACGACCACTCACCGCCGGGAGCTACGCCAATCCTACACCCTATAGATGGCAGTCTCGACCAGGCCGCGCACGCTCTCGTCGCCGCAACCACCGAGCCTGTACGCCCTCATCAGCAAGACGATGGCAAGGACGACAAGCACCGTGTTGAGGGCCCCGAACAGGTTGTCTTCCGCACGGGTGTAGGTTCGCAGATGCCTGCGTCCTACCGACATGACATGGTTAGCGCCTTCATCAAGCTTGTCGCGTACGATTTTGGCTGTAACATAGCGCCATCGCGAGTCGAGCCTCGGTTATACCTCCGGGCGCCAACTTCCGCTGAGGCGAACCAGCCCTCTACGGTTCCCATGACGGTGCCATTATCCAGTCCTGATGAGATCAAACCCAAAATCCATGGTAAATTGGTCAAGGAGCCGAAGTGCTCCCACCTCCCCTCCGGATGTACATTCCTCTTTCGCATGCCTACCACCCGCGAAGCCGCAAGGGCGGGGATAGTCGAGGGACCTGTGGCGGCTGTGTCGATTCGCAACGCGACCTCTTTTACACCAACCTCGTCTACTACCTCACCCCTAGATTCACGCGCAAGCTCACAGCCTGCAAAGGACGAGGGCAGCCTAGACGCCCGTCTCGACCTCGGCCGAGAAATCATCGCCGCTCTGGTCACAGCACAGCTGCGTGACCGGGAGGGCAGGACAGAGCAGCGCATCGGAGAGGGGAAATGGTGGGCGAGCGAGAAACGCTGGGGTGGCGGCCAAGGCGGGCCCATCGGGCGGGAAATCGACAACAACACCGAGATCAGTAGCACGCACCAGGTTGGTGACGAGCCAGACAAAATGTCCCCACCATCCTCATCGTCCCCCTCGACGAAATCTCCTCCCCAGGCCCGGACTCACCTCCAGCGAATCACTCCAAGCAACAAGCGGCCCCGCAAGACCCTGAGCATATACGACAACTACCGCATGGTTCGCAAGCCCGCGTCCAACTGGGACAGTAAGGCGCGGTACCAGGCAATAGGGAAGCAGCCAGGCGCCGACTACGACGATATTTTCTTGTTTAGCAGCTTGTTCCATCACTTCTCGGTGGTCAGAGTGCGCGTCCCCAAGGTGCTTTTGCGCATCTTCGAGGGCGACGTGACCTCGGCAGCGGTAGCAGCAGCAGCTGGGGAGACAGCGCTCCCGACGGCGACGGCGGCGGGAGGGGCAAGACCTTGGGGAAAGCTCGAGGTCTGGCGCACACAATGGTTCGACCTTTTCATTGTAAAAGACCGGCTCGAGGCCATGAGACTGCTCTGGGGCGTCATGATGTGGCTCATGCGCGAGACTGCCAACGAAGAGAGTGTCGGGTCTGGCACCGGTCGTGGTCAAGAACATACAGCCCCTGATGTGGTGACGAAGGATTCGTAGAAACCTTGAGGGAAAATGAGCAAAGTAGATGCGAGCGACGAACGACATAACGATTCGTCGAATCAAGTGCATGAAATATGTAAATGAGTTTGGCTGTGAACATTTGAGTGAATATGCGCCGACGTTTTGATAAAATGTACCTTTTATGCAAGCACACGTTCCGCCTTGCCGTCAGAGCAAGTCATAAACAAACCAAACAACTTTACAAACCATATCACATTTACCAACAAATAATAAAAGAAAGAAAGAAAAACACCAGCCTGCAATTTCCTGCTGGAGCAGCATTCGAACTCTCTCCGGACCATGAAGAATTTTTCCCAATGACTTGACTATCGCGTGCTGTTGTTGCTCCGCAGCAAAATCTAGAATGACTATGCGTTCCATCTGACAATAATGGATCATGATTGTTTTTGGTTCAGAATGAAAGGGTTAACAGAACCTCCGAGACAAGATGCGGCCGCATGAAAAGCCACCACCACCACCACCACCACCACCACCGCCGCCGCCGCCACCACCCAGGGCGCTGGTATCCAACCCGACTCTGGCATCCTGTCGAGATCGACAGGAACGATGCAAGTCGAGGCGATGGACCGGGGAGGGGGGCAAGGGGGTCTTAGACAGACGCACGACACACCAACACGAAGATTGAACAAACATTTTCCAATCACGAGCTCCGCAAGAGTCCAACTAGCAGCAAACATGCGGATCGACTCAGGCCTCCAGCCGCGAGACAAGGACACACACACATCCATGCACGTCCATGTCATGCCCGCTGCAAGTCGGCAGAAAGAAAACGCTGGCTTTATCCAAACGCACGCCCCCCGTCGTCATCCTCCTTCTCCAGCAAAGGTCAATGCCCTGAGACACGTCATGTGTGTGTCCATCCCAAGCCTTCGGGTAAGGCGAGACTCAGCCTTGTGGGGGGAGGTGGGTGACGGTGCATATAGACGACAGGCACAGATGCAGGAGCATCGAGGTGGGCTGAACCGGCCATGCTGCACACAGGAAAGTAGAGTAGGCGTCGTTGGAACCATTGTCATAGTACAGCGGAGTATTTTTCGAGATGACCTGACTAAGACTGCAAGTCGACTGGCTCAGCCTCACCCACCTCTCAGCCTGGAGAGCTGCAGGAGAGCTACGAGCAGACGATAGAGTCGCATCTGTGCTGCAGGGGATCAACCGTCAAGGCTTACTGCTGCAGCTCCTGGCAGCTCTGTAGTCGGCTTCGGCCGAAAAAGCTCAAAAGAGCCCCCAACCCGGGACCCTGCACAGCAGAGATGCAAGCCACGCGGGGATCCCGCCACATCGCGTGGAGCAAGACTGAGGAGAAGCCTGGTCGAGGACGGGTTCCAATAGGTTGGGGTGTTCAGCTTGGCCGTGCGTCTTACAGACGACCGACCCAAGGGTACGGTACGCAGTGCATGCATGCATGTACTGCGCCCGGGTCGTTGTGGCAGACGGGCTGCAGCAGGGCGACGATGACGATGCATAAGGTAGGTAACTAAAAGTTGAACCCATGGGCGCTGTTGTGCCTTTGGGGCGCAGCCTCCACACGTTGGTAGCGGCCGAGCATACTACTTCGATGCCAGCAGCCAAAGACTGCTCTCTATTGGTCGTCCACATCCCACGCATCGGGATTTATGCATCTTGGCTAGCAGCCCATGTAACGTATCGAGGCAAACGCAAGATGAACAGCCTGTGGCGTCTCCATCGCGCATGCGACGAGCATCGTGATGCAGGGCAGCAGCCAGGCTGGCTACGACAGTAACTGGTGTGACCGTTGCGTCTCGACGACGACTTGCTCGTGAACACGTACCAGGGCGGAGCTGCCTTTCAGTGCACAGAATCTGGGGTTCTAGCCGGCGCTTCACCAGCTAGGTCTGCTCTGCACTCAAAGATTGGCTTGTGTGCCAGTCGCCCGGGAAGCTGACCACAACTGCATGGGCAGATTGCTATGCATGCCACCGAGTCTCTAATCTCTAGCCGCCAAGGTGAGGTGCGCGGCTAGACACAATGTCTTCATGGTCAAGACGATGTGGGGAGACCAAGAGGGGAACTTGGCACAGGATATCAAGGACATGCGCGCTGATCTCAGACAGCTGTGCACAGCCCTGCCAAGGGCCAGTACACGCCAAGGCCTTGTACTTCTCTCTGCTCCCCCAATGCAGACACGGGGTCGATATGCCCCCTTGATGCAAAGCTTGACCGTTGTACACTATGCAGAGCAGGACACGACACGTATACTGCAAAGCCATTCAAGGCGCTCCGGCCGCCGTCTTGAAGGTTGAGGTATGCTGGCGTGGACGGGCAGACATGCTCTTGGCGATATTGGCATGTTCATCGTGCCTGATCAAATGCTTCGTGTCTTGGGCCAAGACATGTGGCACCAATGCGGAACCGCCCAAACGCCATTCAGAGACGAGCGTTGAGCCGGCGAGCTCCCGATTTGGGAACTCTCTCCATGGCTGTGTCTCCTCCGCGAGCCACCTGCCCGGAGAGACAACCCGATTGGGCGTTGTGGGAAGCCGTGTCTTAAACCACTCAACGCCTTGCCGCTGGCGACAGTCATCGCACGGCAACGGGTCCCAGCCCAAGTAAACATGTTTCGAGCATTGTTGCAAACTGATATTCTTCGCCAAAGATCATTGGCGTAATTGCTTTGGGTTGTTTCGACAATCACATTGGCTGGTTGTTCTGATGTTGAGAACGGGACCGAGCTGTTCGGAAAATTCGCCTCGCATTGTGCTGATCACGAAGCAGGCCGGTGGTAACACTCGACCAGTCGCAATACGCAGTATGGGCCACAGCTGTATCCCGGCAGGCCCGAGCTTTGCGCTACTTTAAACTGAGCCGTCCGTCCCGAAAAGGGTCTCCAATTGTGCTCCGGAGTACATGCTCCCTCCAACATAGGTTCGAGAGTTTTGAAGGCGACCCGCGTTCCAACATGAAATCAAAGTCTTGCCTAGGCGAGAGAGATCACTGCTGTTCATCCCACGGTGATAGCCAAGCCTGATGCGACAACGCAAAAGCCGCCCAACGACGGCGCCGAGCAGGAATCAGTCAGTGGTTGGTTGCATGCAGGTGGTTTTCAGGTCAGCCACAGGCTCGGGATCTCCGCGAACCATGCCTAATCTGGCCAACCCCTGCCCTGACGTGCAGAACTCATCCAATATCGCGTCGTGGCTCCCCGCGCGGCCCCGACCGCATGGCAAGTCCATGACCATGCCCGGGCACTCGAGACTAGGCTCTAAAGACCGCTAGTCTCGGGCAGCAAGTCCAACCACGTGATAGTCCTTGAACTTTGCTTGATTGTCATGATGCCGAATGCTTCATAATCAGTGGATTGGGGCATATCCAGAGTGCGAGGCTCATATGCTCGGCAACTGTGATTGCGGATTCCACGTGGATGCATCTTGTGCGAGTCGCTCCATCAACTGCGACACATGATCGGGTATTCATGGGCATTGCCAGCCATGGCGAAGGCGAGAAGACCCCGTTCCGGAGGCTCGTCACGAGCTCCTTTATGCTCTACGCGGCGTGTTGATTCATGACTGAACTGCATCAACTTGCAAACTCAATCAATGCTTGCGGCTCGGCTCTTCTTGCCCCAACCTGCATTGAGACTTAGGTATCTTGCAGGATCATGAGGCGATGGGTAACTCATAAGGCTGTCCGTGGTCTGTACCCTCGCACAACTAGAGTGACCATGCGGGGACAGCATTCGATATGCCGTTAGGCCAGGAGTTCAAAACAACGGGGACGTCCGCCGCCACCCGGCGCCGCCTGGGCTGTGTGCATGGTGGCTGCATTCTTTGAGACACTGGCGCATTCTGGTCTTCTGTGAGCAGCGGCGTGCCCACCGTGGGTCTTGTGGAAAAGCTTTGTAAAACTGGACGGGTGGCCGCAACATACAGATTCCCGTCCTGGAGAGTCTGGCATTTACGGCGGAATCGGCAGATGCAGGAGGCGCCATCGGAGAAATGACCGATCGTGTACTAGCTGCACGACCCGTCGGGCAGTCGGCTGTGCAAGCCTTGAACGGCAAGGGAGCCTCAAAGTCGTGGCCCGATATCACATATTCAGTTCATTGTGACGGTGGTGAGGAAACGGATGCGACCGCTGAATGGTGGTGACCTGTCGAAGGACATGGCAGTCGAATCGGACCTACTGAGCTTGTTCATGATGGTATTGGCCTCTTCATTGACTCCTGAGGCGGCTGCGTATCTCGACATAAGTAATGATTGGCCTCTCAGGTGGTCACAGCCGAGATTGTCATTGATGACCGCGAGGGGTGAATGCGATTGTTGAATGGGAAAGTCAACGGGTGGAGATGAAGCGCCACAGTGACAGCTGGGCAGCATCCCGATGGAGAAGCGAGGCCAACCAATCAGATCGAAGCCAACAAGAGTCTCTCGGGAATGCTCATCCCTGCTGCCGCAGCTCGGAGCGAAGTCGTTCCATGCGCAGTAGAGAGGACCATGTCGTCGCCGCCATGTGCTGACAACAGTCGTGCGTATCAGCTCACAGAGTGGCGACGAGGGCCCAGACCCAATATTGTGCTCGGCGGCAAAAGGGCGAGCTTGTCAGAATCGCTGCGTGGCAGGCAGGCATTGCGAGCTGATGAGCACAATGCAGGGGATGCCGGCCGGTGCTGAAGGCCAGGCTGGGCACCAGGCATCGGCAGACGAGCTGGAGAGGCCAGGCGGAGACCTTGAATGGATGCTAGCTAGCCAGCAGGGGGAGTGGGTGGAATTGGCCATGTCTCCGGGAGAGGACCCTGGAAGCGGCAGACCAGACGGTTTGTGGTGGCCTGCCCGGGGTCGTGCAGAGCTTGAGCAAGGGCGGTGACGATGATGATGGTGACGATGCCAGATGGGGGAAGGAGCAGGCGCCATTCAGAAGTCGTTGGCGAGCCGCCCAGCCCAGCCTTAGGTCGCCGCACGCCCCTCCTCGTCCTGGCCACGCCCGCGTCTCGCCCGCCGCACCAACCATCCATCCATCCATCCACACCTCCTCTAGCCTGGCCTCCATTGACCTGCGCTGCTCTGCCCATCAGCAAGCACCGCGTGTGCCGGCGGCTTGACGACGCACTTGGAACCTGAGCCCACCGCTTGCAGCCCGGCCGCAGCAACAAAGGCAGCACCAACTCCCGCAGCAGCAACAGCTCCGGCGCCAACCACGCGCGACCCCACCACGGCCTGCTCTCTCCAGGGCTCTTGCTCCAGTCCGGCCGACCCTTCCTCTCCTTCTTCCGCCATTGTCGCCGTTGCGCTTCTCCCGTCACGCCCATTCCAGCCACCACGCCGGGCCCTTCCAGAGCTCCGCCTCGATCCCAATCCGAGACTGCTACCCTCTCCTGCCTCTCTCTCCTGGTATGTTGTATAAAGCTCTGAGCTGTCGGCACTCTTCAGTCGACAGCATCTCCGCCCGGGCCCCTGTCGGCATCACCTCAAGCCCTAGTGTTCTGTCAAGCTCCAAACAAGCATTATCCTCGGCGGCCCTGCAACAGGCTGAAGATATCCATTTGTACCTACCCACCTGGACCTAACGTTTCACCAGCTAGGCACGCCAACGTCCCTGTCGGCCTACTTGTTGTTGTTTATTCTTTGTTGTTGAACCCGACGCTGTTTGTATCCTCTTGATCCAAAGTTTTGTCGCTCTTCGACACGGGGATGTCGTACGGCTATTCTGGCGGGTACGGTGGGCAGCCACAGCAACAATATCAGGGAGGCTATTACCAGCAGTCAGTCTTCCTTGCAAAGCCACATCGGCAGATGGCCTAGCATTAGCTCTTTCTGACGACGCAAATGTCTACAGGCCTCCACCACCGCAGAACTACACCAACAGCTATCCTTCCCAGAGCAGTGGCCACCCTCCATACGGCTACAACCAGCAAGCTCCTCCCCACCAGTATGGAGGGGGTTATAACCAGGTACTTCCGCTAGAGCATTCATCATGCTCCGTGTAAAAATGGCACGAGCAGTGTTTTTCTTGTAGGATCAATGAGCTAATCACTTTTTGCGCATCCAGGGCCCTCCCCCACCACAGCAGAACTCATACAACAATGCGCCACCACAAGGTCAATATGGCCGGCCACCTCGTACGTGATCCCGCAACACGTCATCTGGCGTTCCTAGATAAAAATATATCCAGAACTGACTTGTGGCCCTTACAGCAATGCCAACAGCCAACTCCAACTCCTGGGCTCACGGCAACACGAACGCGCCTAGGCCCCCACCCAGCGGTCCCCAATCGTTCGGTCACGGCGCCCCCCAGAACTACCAATTCAAGTACAGCACATGCACGGGTAGACGGAGAGCACTCCTGATTGGCATCAATTACTTCGGCCAGCGAGGCCAGCTCAGAGGCTGCATCAACGACGTTCGGAACATGTCGGCATATCTCGTAGAGCATTTCAACTACAAGCGAGAGGATATGGTCATCCTAACAGACGACCAGCAAAATCCCATGAGCCAACCAACAAAACAAAACATACTTCGTGCCATGCACTGGCTCGTCAAAGATGCGAGACCCAATGACTCTCTATTCTTCCACTACTCGGGTCATGGTGGACAGACGAAAGACCTCGATGGTGACGAGCCAGACGGGTACGATGAGGTGATATATCCGGTGGATTTCCGTCAGGTCGGCCATATCACCGACGATGAGATGCACCGAATCATGGTTCGGCCGCTCCAGGCAGGCGTTCGGCTTACGGCAATCTTCGACTCCTGCCATTCAGGCACTGCCTTAGATCTGCCGTACATCTACTCCACTCAAGGAGTGCTCAAGGAGCCCGACTTGGCGAAGGAGGCGGGTCGCGGCCTTCTGGGCGTGATCCAGTCTTACAGAGGTGGCGATCTTGGGGGCGTCATGAAGAACGCCTACGGATTCTTCAAGCAGGCCACCAATGGCGAAGACGCCTACAATCGATCAATGGCTACAAAGACGTCCGCCGCCGACGTGATCATGCTCTCTGGGAGCAAAGACGACCAGACATCGTGGGTGAACCCTCTCATTAATCTTGCATGCTACTGATACCCTTTCCGGCACATGCCTATATTTTCCTTCTCATTGCATTTGCACATTCTCGCACTAGCGGTTTCTTCTGAGCGTTCTCGCCAGCGAATTATCTTGTCTTCTTTTCTCGTAATGGTGAAGAAGAAGGAGCGGGCACAAGGATTACGATGGCACGACTTCATGTCTCGCTGGCTTGGATATTTACGTTCCGGGATGTGATCCATCTGAGGTGCATTCCATGTAGTATAGCGGCGCCTTCCTTTCTCAGTCCTTCTAGATTGCATTTTTCACGCTCTAGCGCAAGGTACAGCCTGAACATGGCTGTGATCTTGTGTCTAGGGCGACGAGTTACGTTGGGCAAAACGGACGTCGGAGTGCCTGGCTCAACTTTGAGCGCCGCAATCTGTTTGCGAGCTCATATGATTTTGTCGAAGGAATGCGCACTAACCTGCACCTGATGTTAGGGCCGACGCAACAATCGCGCAGCAATCCACTGGTGCGATGTCCTGGGCTTTTATCACCGCGCTGAAGAAGCGGCCACAGCAAAGCTACGTCCAACTTCTCAACAGCATCAGGGACGAGCTCGAGCCCCGATACTCCCAGAAGCCGCAGCTCTCGTGCAGTCATCCACTGAGTAGGTTGATCCTTTGCTCTTCAGCTAGTAGTTATCGCAAGACTCGTGCTGACATTACCACTGTAGACACGGACCTCCTCTTTATCGTGTAACGATATTCATGTACGAAATTGAGTAAAATGACTTGCATGTGCTCCGACCGCAACACTGTCTTGCAATACTTCTTTTTGGCGTGCTAGGAACAAATTTTGGGGTTGGTGATCTGGGATTTATATTGTGGGCAGTGCATGGACCTGATAATATCTGAGGCGAAAAACACCAGGTATAGCTTGTGCATACCCGCAGCAGCATATTCCGAAGATGGGATAAGACAATGGACACAGTCCGCTTTTTCGGACATCATCATGGTGATAATATCTTGTCGTGTAGACCAGAGGTGCCGCTGCATATAACCACCCTACCCCTGGAAGCGTCATTGGGCCACACTTCCGTTGTTCGACACTGACAGCCTCTCTGGGACAGGTTGCGCCTCGTGGCTGACGACAAAAGCTGTACTGCGGTTTCTCTCTCGGAAAATCTGCGGACAAATGTTGTTCAATTTCTCTCCACTCCTGTATACACAAAAAGCGAGACACCAAATCCTTTCCCCAAACAAACCGCCACCCTCTGAAACGCTACAGCGCTGCCATCATAACGCGCGGGCTGGATAATATACCAAAGCGTGAAAGAGAAAGGTAAAATGTCAGAACACCATTTACTCTTCCCAGAGCGTAACTAACCGTGACTGGGAAACCAAACGCCAAGCCTATGCTACTTCGTCCAGTGTGATGATAAATGATCATGAGTTTTTTTGGTTCCATCAGCAATAAAATCTCATGCCTGGGATCTCTTGACCAGCCTCAAGAGCCCCCGAGGGCACGGTAAACGTCGATAGTCATCATACTCAGGCAGATGACACCGTCTCCCTGACCTTTGCGGACGCGGCCGTCTTCTTCCTCCGCCTGTGCTCCTCGAGCGCCCCAACGAGCTTGAGCCGTGTCTGCTCCTGTTTGGCCCAGTCCCTCGCACTGATGCGCATGCGCGCGACCGCCCGCAAGAGGCAGGCAAAGACCTTGAGGTTGTTGGTGGGTTTCTTGACCAGACTGCCATCCTGTTGTCTCCTGTGTGACAGCAGTGCTTCGGGCGACTTGATGCCCAGCTGCTTGTGGATTTGGGTGAGGATGCGGAGGTCGGCCTTGTTACTGTTTCGGGGGGGAAAGCACCTTTGTGTTAGCCATACTCTTTATCGACAACAGGTCACAAGCAAAAAAGAGATCATGGTCCAAAACATACCAAGCATGAGCAATCTCCAGCTGCAAGGAGATGTACTTCTTTGCAAACGCGGCGTCGTTCCGCAGCTGCACCTCGCGTTCCCACCGAGCCTGCATCCACTGCATCTGAATCGCAACGCCACGGAGCTCCTGGGCGTGCTTCTTGGAGGCGGCATCGGCCGCGCGAATGACGGCTTCGTGATCTTGCTGATCCACGACATCCATGACCACATTGCCATAGCGGAACTGAGCAAGCGCGCCTCGTTTGATGGCCCCGTCCGCGGCCGGCGAAGGCTCGATGATCGCCTGCGGCTCGTCGTTGCGCGCTTGGATCCACGCGATAGCCTCCTTGGCGCCTTCCTTGAGGCGTTCGCAGTCTCGCTGCAGTTTCTCGGCCGCTGCGCGGTATTCGGAGCGCTCATACCTGGCACGATCTAGCTTGGCGCGGAGTTCTTTGCAGGCAGGCGTCAAGTAGGCGACGTCTGCGTTCGCTTGATCAAGTTGCTGCCGAAGCTCTTCGCATATTCTTGACGACTTCTCGACAGTCCGGTTGGCTCGCTCAAGCTGCTTCCTGAGATCATCAGATTCTCGCGTGGTTTGGGAGAACTTCTCATCCGCCTGCTTGGACTCCATCTGCTTGGCGCGCTCGAGCTGTCGGCGCAGCTGATCAATTTGCAGCATGGCAGCCTCAAGCTCTTCGCGTGCCTCTGCTAGCTCAAGCCGCAGATTCTCCGAGGCTCGGTTCGCATCTTCCATATGCTGCGCCCGACTGGACCCCTGGGTCTGCTCCCTTCGCAGCTGGTCGAGCTGTCGCTTAAGATCGAGGCACATCTGATCAGCCTCCCGCAACCTGCTGGCGGCATCTTCGGACTCTTCGTCGAGCGTCGCTTGCAGGACTTCTACCTCATCTTCCAGAGCTTCAATCTTTTCAGCTTGAGCTTGGTTGTTGAGCTGACTCTTGCGAAGGTCCGCACGTAGACCAGACAGCTCATTTCGCAACGAAGTCAACAGCGACTGCCGGGTTTCGAGCTCTGCGCGAAGTGAGTCGACCTGGTGATTCAAGGCATCAACCTCGATCTGATGACGCTCCGCTTCGCTTGTAAGGGCGCCTTGTAGTCTCATCTCATTGTTCGAAAGTGTGCCTTCCGAGTCCCGTAGCCTATCAATGGTGCGCTGCAAGCCGGAAGCCCTCTCCTCCACACGGTCGCGCTGCGCTTCCATGCTGCGTCGCTCGATTTCCCATTTCTCCATAGCGTTGTCGAACTCGTTATCCTTGGTTCGGATATCGGCTTGAAGAGTCGAGATCTCGCCATGCAATCGATCAATCTCTGACTTGAGCTGAGCTCGGACGTCTTGTTCTATCTTCCGTCCGTGGCTCTTCTCCTGGTCGAGGGTGAGCTCCAAATCTCTGATCTGGCCCTGGAGACGAGAAACTTCGCGCTGCAAGGCAGTAGTGTCGTCGCCTGACTTTGTGGGGCTTGCAGTGTGGTTTGTGCGTCCAGTGGCTCGTTCGAAGTCGAGGTCAGTCTCGAGTGTGGCGATTCGCTGTTGTAAATGCGAGACTTCGCGGCGGAGGGAAGCAGCTTCCTCATTGGCAGAAGACTCTCGTGTCCGTGCAGTGGAGCGCTCGGAGTCGAGTGTGGCATCCATCTCCTTTATCCGATTCTGGAGCCTTGTGATTTCCCGCTCCAAAGACGAAGTCTTGTCGCCAGAGGCATCCTTCCGAAGGTGCTGGATCTCGTCCTTGAGGTCCGCAATATCATCATTCAGACGATCGACCTCTGCCTTGTGTTTGCTCCGGGCATCACGGTCCATCTGCAGTGCGTGATCTCGCTCCTGCTCCAAGCTGTCCTCCAGCTCTTCGGTCCGCCTCTGCAGACGGGCCACGTCACGTTGTAGGGACGCGGACTCATCGCTCAGGGCATCTACACGGAGCTGTAGCAGGTTTTTCTCGTCTGTGCGCACTCTGAGATCATTCTGGGCGGCTTCCTTGGCCAGTGCAAGAGCCCGTTTCTCAGAGTCCCAAGACTCTTGTTGTTGTACGTAGCGTTCGGCGCGCGCCTGCAGTTGTGAGCTCGCCATTGCCGAGTCCGCAAGTTGCTTCTCCAACTGCGCGACCTTTTCTTCGGCTCTACTGAGCTCCGACTGCAAGCGTACTGTCTTTTCCTCGACTTGGCGTGAAAGTCCTTTCGTGACGACGGATTTGTTGGCCATCTCTTCGTGCAACTCCTCGAGGTCAGCCTCTGCGCGATTCTTGTCCGCATTTGCCTCTTGAAACCGTTCCTGAAGGTCGTCGTTTTCTCTTTCCAATTTGCGAATGGTTGCCTCGAGGTCCTCGATTGTATCCTTGGCCTCCGCAAGCTCTTCGCTTGCATGATTGTCGATTTCGCTCGCAGCAAGCTTTTCCTCGGCAGTTTTGTACCTCTGCTCGGCTTCGTCAAGCTTTCGTTCGAAATCGTTCAGTTCTTCGTCCCTCTCGTTGGCCTCGTTTTCTTTCTCGCGCAGATCGAGTTCCAAGTCGCGTATCCTCTCTTGCAGCTCTTCGATCTTGCCTTGGTCGGCATTGGGCTGGCTCTCCCGCTCTTCGAGCTCCGCGATTCGCTCCTGGGCCTCTTCAAGTTTGTTTTTGGCTTCCTCGATCTCGTCTTCACGGTCGTTGATTTCGCGATCTTTTGCTCGGAGATCTGCTTCGAGATCTGCGATGTCGTCCTGGTATTGCTCGATCTTGGCCCGGTCTTGGCTGTCGCGTTCCAACTGCCGGCGGAGGTCGTCGATGTCGGCCTCCTTGTCTTCGAGTGAGCGCTGCAGCTGTTCGATCTCTTCTCGCTGATTCTCGTTGGCATACTTCTTCTTCGCCTTCGCTTGGACGTCTAATATTTGTTGTTGATAGGTCTCAAGGTCCTTCTCCGCACTGGCCAGTTGCTTCTTGAATTTCTGCAGATCGCGCTGCATGGTGACCTTGTCGACCTTGAGTTCTGTGTTTTCTTTTAGCGCTGCCTCGCTGAAGCCCGGACCAGCTTTGCGAAGGGCTTCCTCCAGGAAGTGAATTTTGAGCTTGAGGCCAAAGTTCTCCTTCTCAATTCGATCTATCACGTTCTCCTGCTCGCGCAAGGACAACTGGTTGCCGTCATGTAGCGGGCCCTTATCGCCACCACGTCGTTGCGGCATGACCAGAGGTGTGGATGCCGAGGTATCTTCGTCGACCTGGGGGATTGGTGTTCTCTCCACGTATGACCTGGAAGCACCGTACAGGGAGGACTCGATGGGCACGTTTGTGACATCCATGTCCTCGCCGGCTCTGCCCAGAGCTGGTGTCGCGAGGGCGTGAGAGTTTTCCTTGCCACCGCGTCGACTGTTGCGTGTCGCGGATTTGAGCATCGGGGTGAACTCTGCGCCGCCAAGGCCTACTGGAAGGTTCTGCTTGTTGCCCAGAGGAGCACGGCTTCCGCGAGGAGTGCGCAGGCTGGGGCCGCGTCCAGCACGCAGCTGCTGGAGCAGGTTGTTGTCTTTCGAAGGCGACTGGAATGATGGCTCCTGGGTCATGTCGAAATCTGGTGGCGGGCGGCCTAGGAAGGTGGCATCGCCCAGGTTTGTCCTTGGGGTGTCCATGATGGGCGACGCGCCTCCTAGAGGGCGGTTTGTTGTGCGTGTCGTGTATAGCCAGCCAATGTGGTGATATCGAGAATGAATGTGGAGGGACCTGGTAGCTCTACGCGCACCTCCAGTCACGGGCAGTCGCGACGCATATGCTTGATGAGGGTCGTGAAGGATAGTGCCAAAGCAATACAGAGTTCCTGGCCAAGAAGAAATGGATGACAGGAAGAGGGCAAACACGCTATACAAAGACTGCAGAGAGTTGTGCTGGACAGGAAGCCAGACAGCAAGACATGGCGGGATGCAGACCGTGGTCGCGGACCCCAGGCGCGTCGTGCGGGAAAGACCCCAGTCGCAATGTTTACTTTGAAGGCGAGCGCGGGCCAATCACGGCGGGCGCCCCACCGGTCCGAACTGCCCCGCGGTTTGCCCAATGAGGCCTGGTCTGCCGGCCGAGAGTGGGGCCGTCGGTCGGCTTAGGCTGCGCTTGCGTGCCAGCGAGCACACCCGTCAGGTGCGGTGCGGTGCTGGGCAAGCTTTTGGTAGGCGGGCAATGACGACGTCAAACCACACCCGCCCGCGCGCCCCAAGCCATAAGCTCTCCATGCGAGGTGCTTGCCGTGATGATCCAGCAAGTCCAGGTCTGATTGCCACAAGAATCCGCCCTTCGGTCTTTGCCGCACCAGGAGACTCGAGCAGAAGCCTTTCCGCAGTCCGCTGGGCCGGCCACGTCCCTGTCCGCTCACAGCAGTGTACGGGTACGGGTCCTGAAATTGGGCATCTGCGGCTCCGCTCTCATGAGTATCACTACTAGCGCTCAAGACATGACACCAGCCTGCACGCATCACCAAGCTGGCATCCTCGGCCAGCCTTGATCCCCAGTCTCAGCCTTGCGGGTGTATTCCCAGTCGCCCTCCAGATCAAACCAGCATTGGCACCCCCCGACACATTCGCACGGTCAAACATCGCGCCGCCCTGTGCTCTGATCTGCATCGCCCAGCCGGGCTGCATCTGTGTGTAGCTCTGTCGTGGTGGTGGCTGGTTGCCAGGGTTGGACGCTAGCCACGAGCGGGCGGCACATGCTCACCACAAAGCGCACGCTTAGGCATCCGTGTGTGAGGGCGCATCATGGAGGGCGCGCTGGAGCGCCTGCCTGACGAGATCATCCAGCTCATCCTGCGCCATGTCCCTGCCCAGGACGTCCTCTCGGCTGTCGCCCTGACCTCGCGCCGCCTTCACACTGTCTCCCAAGAGCCCCTCCTGTGGAAGTACTTCTGCGTCCACAACTTCAAGTACTGGCAGGCCGAGCACTACATACAGCGCAAGCTCGTCGCCCAGGTCCACGACGTCGACTGGAAGCGCCTCTTCATCCAGCGGCTGCAGCGCAACATCCACATCGCCTACCTCATCGACGGCATCGTCGCCTCCCGTGTCCGCCGCCTCCAGAAGTCAGAGGCCATCTGCCTGTATGGCTACGACGCCAAGGACTACCTCCTCTCACAGTGTAAAGTCGCCGACTCTGCCGACGACGTCCTAGCTCGTCGCTTTTACTCGTGCACAGTGCTTGACAGCATACATAGGAGCCTGGCCATAGAGGAGTGGGCAAAATATCAGGATCACGCAGCGTCCACCATCCTCCACGATGTCCCGGACAGCGCGAGATGGACTGCCGGGATGCAGCTTGAGCGCGCCCTGGGTGCTTTCGACATGTTCATGCTACATGATGACGAGGGCGACATGGACGAGGTAAGCCCCTTCAGTGGTCAGAGTGGCAGTAGGCTGTGCCGTCGCTAATGCTAACCCTTGTAGATATCCGCCCTGATCGACTCTATAGCTCAGCAGATCCGGAATGACTTGCCCGGCATCAGTAAGCTGGCGACCAGAGCACGAGCAGTCGCGTTAGTCGGGTGGTTGTACCGAAACAATATGACTGGTCTTGACGACTCGGAAAGAACCTATCGGTATCTGCGAAATTGTCTCATTGGCAGGGCGCTACGCGACGACAGACATCCTTCTCTGCCTATCATCTCGGCCGCCATCTATGCTTGTATCGCCTCGCGCTTCGATGTGGAGGCATACGTTTGCTCCTTGCCGAGCGAGGTCCATGTGGTTGTGCTGGCACCGCCCGGTGTAAATCTGGACGGAATCACAATGCCTGGCAATACCACCACGCCACGTGACAAGATGTACCTCAACCCTTTCAAAAGCGACGACGAAGTCCCACTAGACCATATATTGGAGTTTCTCGCGCGGTTCGGGAGTAATGCTGCGCAAGAAAGCCTTCTTGGCCCCACAGCCACCGACCTCGTGGTCATGCGTGTGGCTCAGAGCATCCGAGCGTCCTTCACCAGCTTCCGCACAATCGAGCTCCCGCTACCACAGCTCATCCCGTATATAGAGCTCAACCGTGGAGACTGGGCACGGAACCTCCAGCCGGCATTGTACAGCATGATCTGGGCCAGCATCATGATGGTGCCTGTCCTTCCAGAAAATGAGGACGTGCGGTGGGATTGGCAACAAGACGTCAGAGACCTGCTCACATACTTTTACGAATACTTCCCCGAGGACTCATGGCTCATCGAGAAGTACGTGTGTCCAATGTACGACACTTTTGCCGCGCCCACACGCCGCCAGCAGCACTGGGAACTGCCGTCCAAGCGCGTGCGCGATCAGATCAGGGAGATCAAGGAGGTGGACGCTTCCATCAAGACACCGCGGCGGCGTCGCGACCTCGACCCATCATATCGCGTGCGCTTCCGCGTGGGGCAGGTCTTCAAGCACAGGCGATACGACTACCACGGACTGATCATTGGCTGGTCAGTAGAGGGTTCATACAGGCCGCAGCAGGCATGGCAGGGGAGTGGGCCAAGCGAGACGACCTTCCAGCCCTTCTACCGCTGCATGTAAGTGCCACCACCCACTACTTCTTCTATCTTGGGCAAAGGGGGGCCCAACTACCGAAATAGTCTCTCTTGGATTGCCATACAAAAAGCAAACAACTGCTAACCCAGCAATCGCGCTTGACAGGGTCGGCACCGACGGTTCAGACCACCACGTGATCGCGGAGGACAACATTGAGGCCGTCGACCTGCGCGGCTGCGGGCCCGAGCGACTGCCCTGCGAGATCCGCGACCTGATGCCGATGGCCGGCAAGTTCTTCAAGCGCTGGGACAGCGAGGCTGGCGTTTTCGTGTCGAACCTGCGGGAAGTGTTTCCCGAGGACTGAAAAAAATAAAAGGATCTTTGGAGTTTAGAAAAGCAGGCCAAAACTTTTATATATATCTTTCTTTCTCTCAATGGCAGAAGGTCGGGTTCGACTTGGTGGGAAACAAAAGCGTTTTCACGCAACGGAAGGTGAGATATGGAGATTGTAGCAAATTTCTTTTGGATGCAGCGTATATACATATATCCAGGCCTTTCTTTTGGGCAGCATGCTAGCTACAAACTGTTTATGGCGAGCATAGATCTTGGCATACCCATTTGTGGGTGACGTCTGTGAAGTTAAGCTAATTGCGGTGCTGACATGGCATCCTGAGGCCGCCTTCCACAGTTGCGCTGCGAGGATATTTTGGGGACGAGCCCACAACCAAGTCATTACAATCTCCTGGCTTTGTTCCACTATCCCCTGCCCAAATGAAGTGGAAGGGGTGGACTATTTCTCACATTGCTTTTACTTGGGTGCAGTGTGAAAAGTGTTGGCAAGAAATCGTTCATTCACTCGCGAAGTGGATGACAGCTTTTGTAGTAAAAGGAGTGAACGCTGTATTTGCTGGCTAGTTTCGCTAGATGTTACGCTATCATACCCAAAGAAAATCTTCGTCAAGGTGTACAGTAGATTTATAAGGGGGAAAAAACACGCAAATAATCCTCCTCTTTCTTGATTTGTTTTCCACGGAAGGGTTTCAGCCTTGCCATGTTGTTCTCATGTTTTGTGTGTTAGTCGAAGGAAAAGCACTTTGTGTGTGCAATGCAGTACAACCAACCCTTCATCCCACCCTTCCGTGAAAATCAATCCCCCTCAAAAGATTTTTGTTGTCGTTAGAAACAAAAAACAAAAAGGTAATTCCTTCCACCCATCACAATGGAAAGATATTTCTTTTCTCCGGAAAGCCGAGCGTGATACTGCCACAATTCTGAGTGACATGTGGGCGGTAGAAGCGTTTGTTTTTGAAATGCTTCTTAGTGAGCTGCGGGTGCGGTGGGCATCTTGTTGGGAACCATGTCGCCAGTTCTCTCAAGGACGTCCTCCTTGTCGCTGCCGATCTGGGCGCCGAGAGTGGTGGCGTCGTCGGTGAGCTGGCCATCAACGGCATCACCGTCAGTCTGGACGAGATCGGCCTGCTGGTTGGCGCCGACGGCGTGGAGGATAGCAGCAGCACCATTAGCGATCTTGTCGCCCTGGCGCTTGGCCATGCGGCGGTTGGGCTTGGGGGGAGGGCCGCCGCTGCCGCCGCCGGAGGCGGGCGAGCCACCAAGCATCTCGGCGATGTTGTTCTCGGCATTCTCAGTGCCGTAGCCGACGCCGTTGTCGGTGTCGGTGAAGAGGGAGTCGAAAAAGTTGCCCTCGCCGGCCAGCTGGCGCGAGTCGATGATGATGACGGGCGCCGCGTAGGCGGTGATGGAGAGGGCGATGGCGGAGCCGAGAAGAACCTTGGCGAGGGGAGCCATTTTTGATGGTTTGGGTGGTGATGGGGTGATGGGAATTGGGCTGCTCGGAGTGTGGGACGGGATTCAGCGAGGCTGAGAACAATGGGAGCGCAAGGCTGAAGGGCTGAAGGGCTGGTTGTCAGGGACAAGTATTGTAGATCTGATGATGTGATGCTGTCTGGAGATGGAAAGAAATCTGATCTGATCCGGGAGGATCCTCAACAACTTATACTCAAAGATCCCGATATTGAACTCCTCATTGTTGCGAAGAGACGATGTGAATTCACGTATAACCGCGTCGTGATTATCCCGCTGGCATCATCGTGCGTCCATGGTCGGTTGAGAACTCCCTAGGCGGGACTGTCCACAGCAGCGGCCAGCATGTGCAAAGAGCCACGTTCGTCATCGTCTCGGCCGGGACGGAGGACTGACACGCACGCCTCTTCGTTGGAGCTGAGAAATCCTCTCCTGACTCTCGGACCCTAGATTGGACCCCTAAGTTGCAAACTGCTTGTTGACGTCGGGGGCGTGCTGAGCCTCCGCTCGCAACGCTCCGAACAATATCGCGCAACAGCAACAATGCGGAGCGACCAGGAGCCTCTGAGGGCCCAGCGAGTAGTCGACAGGCTCGGTTAGAGTTTGAACCCGCCGCCAGACGACGCTTCTTTGCCCCAGCAGCTCGGGAGGGGCCGAGCGTTGTCGGTCAGGGTCGTTGCAACGTCATTGCCCGGGCTCATGGATGCGAGGATGGTGTCGCCGGTAGCGGTGACGAGAAGGGCGAGGGGACGGGGTCTCATCGTCGTCGGCTGTGGACAGTGGTCATCCGATCTGGCGTAAGCACTGCGGGAGAGCAACAGCTAGCGGCAGGAAGCGAGCTAAGGCGGCGGCGGGAGGAAGCGAGCCGAGAAAAGCTTTGCCCAAGCTTTTCCCAAGCTTTGTCCAAGCCTCCCCAACGAGCTTGGCGCTTGGAGAGGAGCAATAGATTGCTAAAGGACTTGCCGGGGCTCGCGCTAGGCTGCTGCTGGATGTTGCTTTTGTTGTTGTTGGTAGAGTCCTTGCATGAGCGAGGAGAGCTAGTCCTGGCATGGCCAGCTGAAGTCGCCGAGTGATGCGGCACAAGAGAGCAATGCCCCAACAGTCTTGCCGGCCGTCATCGTGACGATGCTCAGGGGTGAGATGCCTCTTCCTGGAAGCTCGCGAGAGTCTCTCTGGTTCCTGTCCTTGTCTTTGCGAATGCCTCTGGTGGCGAGCTGCAGCCCCAAGAGCCAGCATCCTGGCGATGTCGACACACGACGTGCACCATCACCTCCCGGCAAACGACACCCTGAGCCGTCACTGCAACGACTGGTGACTCCGTAACGCTGCTGGGTGCTGGGACGCCGTTGGGAGGAGAATCACATCCTCGGGACTCGGAAGAGGGGAGAGTTTGCGGCTGGGCGCTACTGTAAAGCAGGCTACCCTGAGGGACGGCGCCCCAGCCCGTCGTATGCGAGATCGTCATCTTGGAGGCGCAACGCCTTCCGCCCAAGCCACCAGAGCGCGGAAGAGTCCCCTGATCTGCACCCTGACGACATGGCCTGCGGATGCCCGAGGGCCGAGCCCGCCGCCGTGTACATACACACAGGATGACGAGCCTCGCCGACCACAGGGCGCTCAGGGTCCATCCTTCGTCATCAGCGCCGAGCATGCCACTAGTCGAGAGCTTGCCCTCACCTGGACGTGCTTTAATAGCGTCTCCTCCGCCATAGCGAAAGCTTATCCTCGACCCGACCCAGCGGCTCGCTCGCTCGCTCCCCTCCTCGGGCGATTTCAACCAATCTTTGGTGCACCCTCAGAGGGGCTAGGCCTGAAGAGGCTCATGCTCTTTCCAGTCCCTCCAGAGGTTTGGGCAACCAGCAGCGTCGTCAGAGTCAGGCCCATGCCTAAGCTTGGCTCCTCATGCCATTTGTAGATAGTGCCCTCCCCGCCCTCGACCGTTCCGTGTGCTTTCATTGGCAGAGCTGTCCATAGTTGCCAGCGCGACTTCGGCCCAACGTCTTCGCCAGGTGCGTGTGCTAGGCTCCGGCCTAAAAGAATGATCATGACTCTGGTCTTGACGCGTTCGTGCCCGTCAGTCCTCGCCGAGACTATGCATTAATGTTAACCGAGAAAGCAGCACCTTTAGCTCGGAAACGATTTCGTACTCGTCCCTCACGGTCATTGCGTCTATCCAGCGACGGAATGAAGCCAGACCCACCATACGTCGGTGGCTGCAGGCACGGAAGTCGATCTGCCGCACGTACAGCGGCTCAAGGGAGCAAGTTGTAGCCCGCCTAATTTCGGGAGTCCAGAAGTCTGCCATTCTCGTATATGCAACTCGTCCTAGACCAAGCTACCTAAGCTCTCGAGTAAGGAGGGTGTGTTGTCCGCCGTGTAGCAAGGTCTGCTGTGGGTGGGTTGTTGTTTTGCAAGTGGCCTGGCACCGTTGCAAGATACGTATTCTCGATTTGGGAATTTGAATACAAGACGACGACGTCATGTGGAAGGGTCTCCCCAAGCAGCGTTGTATGATTGTGCCTGAGAAGATGATGCCAGCGATATACGCACGGAAGTCTTTCCTTGGAGTCAAAACTTGGTGCCTGTTAGCTCGGCAGCGCCTTCCAGGTCTGTTCTCACTCTTCGAGCCATACTAGAGTTCGCGTTCAAGACCCTTGCGTTGCATGGCAATGATCGTCGTTCTTTAGGGTTGTTTGCGCCTCACCATTGCTCTGGTCACTTAGACGTCGATCCGGCCCAGGCCGCTCACAACATAGCACTTCATACCAGCCGCACGTCCCCTCTCCTGTCACGGATGCATGCAGGTGATCGTCATACTCGGAAGCTGCCTGCCTCCGCTCGGACCGTCTCCCAGTTCGCGAAGACGGCTCCCCGGTGGTGCCTAACGCCAGCACCACGCAACATTAGTCTTGACCAGACTACGTCAATGGGCAACGATCGTCATTCTCTAGACTGCTCAGCTCGCTTTGCGAGTTGCCTAGTGCATCCCATTATGTCGTTTCGGCTGCAGCCGTCCTGTTGGGCAACAAGAGTAGCTCGGAGACGTCCAGCCGCTGATCATCACGTCGCCCTCGGGCTTACCCGCAGAAAACTGCTTGCTGATCCGGCGCTGACCGACGTTATTCTTTGTCCTGAGCTACCCACAGCTCAGTTGTGAACCGTACCTCCCACTCAGACATGAGCTAGGTATCTAAGATTCTACGCCAGCGCGAAGGTTCTCCCAGCCTCTACCAACTGTGCTCGTTAACCCGGCCGAGCCAGCAGAAGTCTTGAGCCACTCAGATGGTGAGCCATTGAGACGGGCAACGATGGGCTCCCACGTTAAGGACGGAGATCACCCCCAATCGGACAGAAGGAGACGGCTCGCCTGATGCCTAGTGACGGCTCATCGCCTCTAGCTCGGGACCAGTCTACAACACGACGAGCAGTGATCCTCACCACGTGCGACTGGGTCCCGCATCCCGTTCGTCTCTGGCACGGGTCAATCAGCCCCATCCGTGTCTGTCTCTTCCACCATCCACGTTACCACCCGGGCAAATTCTTAAGCTCAGGCTGAACCTGCTCTTTCAGCATATGGCAAGACTAGCCTGCACTTGTCGGTCCCGCTTCGCATCATCCCGCAAATTTATGTTACGGAACGAGATGCCCGCTATACTTAGTATGACCATCGACGTCTATGCTACTTGCGGAAAGGCAATATGTCGGCGGCTCTCATCTGCCCCCCCCCCCCCCCCCCCCCTCCCCCGACATCCGTGAAATAGCGCCCCTCCGATGTTGCCGTCCCCGGATAACGTTGCCCTCTTCGGGGTGAGGACTTCGGTCTCGAGATTGAAGCATCTGACGAGGGGGGCAGCTTGTGAATGGCATCATGTCAGACTTGTGGTAAGCAAACACCAAGTCTGGCATCCAACACGACCATTGAGCTGCTGCCCATGCTCCTCCTGCACGATGACGCTTCACCTCTATTTTGAGTGGACATCCGACGCCGCCACCATACGCTCTTCATCCGGACAAGGAGGGCAAGCACTCGAGTGCTAGAGAAGGCTGCGAGGAACCGTTTTCAGGAGTCATATCGCTCAATGGCCAAGAGGAGGAGAAAATTTAACACGTATCGCGACGCGGGCATCACCTGCTTGCCTAGGGATGATTCATACCCCGTCACGGCGTTCACCTTCATAATGTTTGCATATTATTCTTGGTTTTTATTTTGATCGCTCTTTTAATTGCAGCCCTCTACGCAGCCTTGACCTCGATCCTGTCAATGACATCTCCTCCTATCCTCGCAATCTCGGCGGTGATGGCCTGCTTGTTGACCTCGTACATCTGCTTCTCGTCACCATCTCCGCCGCCGGCCACGGGCCGGAAAGAGCAGGGCATGTGTATGCTAAACGCGCGCTTGTGGAGCTGCGGGTTCCACAGTGCGGCAATGACATTGTCCTCGTCCGGGGCGCCGTGGAAGAAGAGCAAAGGGCCGGAGAAGGTGGCGTTGAGCTCGTCCAGCAGGCTGCGCGCGGGTGCCTTGAGCAGCGGCAGCGCGTCCGCCTTCGATGAGGTCGTCAGCGCGTCGAGGTTCTTGAACACCGACGCCCGGGCGCCTTCGGGCCGCTGCATAGCGCGTATGACTTTGGGCGACAGGTGCAGCACAATGTCGTAGTCCCGGAGCGAGGTCTGGAACAACGACCGCGCGTCCAGGTCCGCGCCGCGCTCCTTGACGAGCCTGCACGCCGACCGCGCGAGGCTGGTCATCCGCGCGGCGACGACCTTTGAGGGCCCGCTGGCCGTGTAGGCCGTGCCGCTGGCGTCCTGCGACGTCGCGACGAAGAGGGTCGTGCGGTTCATGTTGGGGTCGATCTTGCGCCAGGCCTCGAAGCGCGTGCTGATCTCTGCCCTCTGCGCGGCGGACAGCGACTCGGCCGAGTCGACGACCAGGGCCTCGTCCCGCCAGTCCCAGCGCGAGAGCAGGTGCAGCGTGCGGAGGAACCCCGTCATGGCGCTCGAGGGCATCTTCCACGGGTGCGGCCGCAGGAAGGCCTGCAGGGTGAAGAGCTCGATGAGCTCCTCGCTAAAGTGGCACGAGAGCTTGTGCGAGCTGAACCACTGCTTCACCAGGCGGATCGCGGGCGACAGCGCGGCGAGCCTCGTGCAGAACGTGGCGACCGTCTGGTTGTGCAGCGGCAGGACCGTGTACTTGAGCCGGGCGGCGGCCAGGAGCTCCGAGGCCTCGGTCCGCTCGTGCCGCTCGAGCGTCTTGTCCTTGGTCTTGCGCTCGAGCAGCGTGTCCTCGAGGTCGCTCTGCACGCGCAGGCGGAACGCGATGCCGCTCGCGGCGTACACAATGTCGAGGAACGCCAGGTTCTCCACGTCCGTCTGCGCGTCCTCCAGGCCCAGATGTGTCTTGATGACGCCCTCGTTGTGCTCCTCGAGCGAGCTGCCGATCTTGAGCAGGAACGCAATCTTGGCCCGCTGGATCGCGGCCAGGTTCTCGGGCCACTTGCCCGAGGCCTCAAAGGAGATGACCACGCCCATGGGCTGCGCGAGCTTCCGCGGGTCGCTCTCCGGCACGCGGAGCGACGTTGACCGCAGTTCCGGGGCAATCGCGGCGACCTGCTTCACGTGCAGCGGCAGGTCGTCGAGCCCTCGGATGTCGCGCTCTAGGTTCTCAAAGGCCTGCCTGGCCGCCGTGTAGGCGGCCTTGTCTGACGGCGCGAATGTGACGATGCTGTTGAACTCCTCGACGCAGAAGGACACGTTGCTGTCGTCCACGTGCAGGCGGAGCTTGAGGATGTACCGAATAATGGCTTCAGTGATTCCCGTGTACCCCAGGTGGCCATAGGCAGTCCAGTCCAAGCTCTCGACAATATTGCCGTCGGGGAACTGCCAGAGCTCCGCCTTGTCGCCCCAAAAGTCGCGGAACTTGGCGGCGTCCTTCTTCTCCTCGTGTGACGGCCCGAACTCGCGCACCTGCGAAGCCTTTGCCGAGTCGATCGAGATGCCCACGAGGAGGCTCCGGTTCTTGTGCTTTGGTGCTGACCCCGACGTCGACCAGGAGTTTGTGACCTTGCTGAGCTCGATGTGGATCTGTGTCGCTCGCTCGCCAAGGGCCTTTCTGAGGACCTGGTAGACCTTCTCACTGTAGTCCATCACCACACCCTTGCAGTCGCTCGTCCGGGGGATCAGCTCCTTTGAGCTCGGAACTGTGATGCGTAGAAGGATGTCAAACATTTGCAGAGGCTGGTTAACCTTTGTGATAAACAACGGATCGAACTGGTCGCGCGGGCTGCCATTGATTGCCTCCAAAGACCACTTGGCCTGTTCGACAAGCATGGCCGCAGACCATGGGGTCATTTTGTAGAGAATGTTCATGTTGCGAACCCCGTCGTAGAGGACGGGCCCAGTCTGTCGTATGGAGTCGAGGTCCGGGGCATCTCCACCAATAATGACCGGCTTCTTGAGGAAGTTGGCAGTAGCCAGGTATTGGAGCGTAGCCTTGAAAAGCTGTGTGCTGTGCAGGGATACAGAGAGAACTGCTTCGCCCTTGCGACCACCGCCTTGGAGCAACAGCGCAATCAGAGCAGCCCACTCGAAATGTCCAAACCCACCCTCGGCAAGAGAACCGCCGAACCCTCGTTGCTGCAGCCATGTCCTACCCAATAGGCATGCGTCTGCAAAGGCTGCCGACGATTTGGAGGATTTGTGGAGCACCCGCAAGTAAGGAGTGTACAAAGCTTCCGCCTTGAGCGTAGAGTTGTAGAAAGGTGATGCTGTCTTTGCATTGTTGCTCTCCTTTGTTTCTCCTTGTCGTAGAGATGAAGATGCTGCGCCCAACTTCTTGGCAGGAAACAGGCCCTCGGGAGCCGTCGGGATGATGCGAATCGAGTACACAGCCTTGCCCTTGATGGTTGCTCGCAAAACAGGCAGCAGAGGATTGCCATTCAAGAGCTCATATGTGAACTCGCCGGTGCCAGAGAGGCTCTGGCTAAGGCCTTCGGCAATGTATGCGATGTAGTAGGCCCGCTTGTAAAAGTAGCGCATGTTGAGGTAGTCCTTCTCCTGGAAGATCGAGGCTGGCATAACGACGATCATGTCGACAGCCGGGTTCTGCTGAGACTTGACCATCGTCTTGAGAGTATAGCTCCCGACCACATTGACCTGCGACGGTTTCTCGAAGGCCACCTTGTAAGGCGAGTCCTTCGCGGGCTTCGGATCGGGGAATGGGACGGCAGTCTTGCCAGACTTGTCCAGCTTCGCGGCGGCATCGTGGATAGGCGTCGGCTCGTGAGGTGTCAGGGACTCTATGGCCTCCTTGAAGCGCCGGAGTTCGTCGTCGGCTCCAGGCAAGGTGCTCGCATAGTCGATCTTGATCTCTTTCAGCAGCTCCTCCGTCTCCATGATGAATGCAGTTGCGCCGGCGGCCCCCATGCCAGAGGAAGTGGCATTGTCGAGGCTGAGGGGGGCGTTGCCGTGTTCCAGCTTGCGCCGCTTCGCGCTGCTCTGCTCCATCTCGAACTTGCAATAGCGCGTCGAATTTGCGCGTGTTTTCCGTTGTTCAGGTGTGAGGGCGGTTAGTTCGTCCTCACTTTCTACGCCAGGCGCACGATGCGAGAGCTGACTCCAAGCTCGAGGCCTGGAATTTTTTGGTTATCGATAGCAGGACCCTTGCAGGTCCGCCCCACGTCGCCCGAGCACCAGGCACACACACACACACACACATGGTATTGTGCATGACTGCGACGACGCACAGGTCTCACATATGCAGTTCCAGACAAATGGATCATCACATGCTCAAGTGCATGCACATGTGATCTAGGCACAGTCACGGCCAATAAAGATGCATAGGAGGGCAAAGTTATGGCACAGGCGACTCCAGGCACTTCCGCTGCAATTCGAAGTCCGCCCGGGTCGGGTCGGGAGACAGCGGCGCGGGGGCGCGGATTTCATAAGCCGAACTCAGCAAGCGTTTGCAGGCCCGCTGCCTTCGGCACTCAAACCCGGGAAGCCTGCGGGTGGCACGCATTCACACGAGCGCAATCGAGCTGTACAACTTGGGCTAGAAACCTGGACTGGGGTTTCTGGAGCAGTGAATCCGCCAGAGGGACATTTACAATAGTCTTATAGCTGTCATTTTGGATCTGCCAGATGTTGGGGATAAGAATTGTCCCCTGCGATGGGCATCACCCTACGCTGTCGGTAAGCCTTTTGCTTGCCGCAGCTTTCCGCCAGCGGTCGGAAGCGGCGCGCCGGGTCAATCCTTATCCCGCGCGGCTCTGGGCAGCACGCATCGCACCGCACTACTCAGCTCTGGCGCCTGGCCCGCACCGAGTTAGCTTCACCTTGAAACCTGGGGGTCCGACAGTCGGAATCTGTGGAGAGGGCGAGCTACCCCAGGCCAATTGATGTCCCTGCCCTCCGGCCGAGTGCACGCTACATATCTTGCGCCTCCTCCCTCCGACCGCCTCCTTGCGGCTCTTGATCGTTTACTTGGCTCGCTGTTTCTCTTGCCTCCTTCCTTTCTCTCACCCTGTCTTGTGATACCCCCTCTGCGCCGCTTCTAGCCGCAGCCTAATCTCCTCATCTTGCTGGAGCACCACCACCCCACGAGCCCTGTTGCCAGCACCCCCTTCAGCTCGAGCTTTAGTGAATAGCCAGGACACCACGCCGTCAAGATGCCTTCTGCTGCTGTCTGCATGCGGACCCTCCGGGCCTACTCCCGCTACGGCCCCAATGTAAGTCTACACGCTTGCACAGCCTGCGACTCCATGCGTGTGACATTGGCTGATCGGCCCCTCCTTGCTGCAGCATGCCAGAATCTTTGCCAGAGCGTTCTCGGCCACAGGTCGCCGGGCCGAGATCAACAAGGTGTTCCCTTCCGCTGCCGAGGCTCTCAAGGACATGAAGCCCAACACGACCCTGCTCTGCGGTGGCTTTGGCCTATGCGGTGTGCCCGACACCCTCATCAACGAGGTCATCAAGAAGCCCGAGATCCAGGGTCTCACTGCTGTCTCCAACAATGCCGGCACAGATACCTCGGGCCTTGGCCAGCTGCTCAAGACCAAGCAGATCAAGAAGATGGTTGCCAGCTACATTGGCGAGAACAAGACCTTTGAGAGCATGTATCTCACTGGCGAGGTCGAGCTGGAGCTCACTCCACAAGGCACCCTCGCTGAGCGCTGTGCGTCTGGTGGCAAGGGCATTCCGGCCTTCTACACGCCTGCTGCGTTTGGCACTGTCGTCCAGACCGGTGACCTTCCTCTCAAGAACAAGTCCGACGGAAGCCCCGACCAGTTCTCGTACCCCAAGGACGTCAAGGTCTTCAATGGCAAGCCTTACCTGCTCGAGGAGGCAATTGACGGCGACTATGCGTTCGTCAAGGCGTACAAGGCCGACAAGCTCGGCAACTGCCAGTTCCGCCTGGCTGCCAACAACTTCAACGGCGCCATGGGCCGCAACGCCAGGATGACCATAGTCGAGGCGGAGCACATTGTCGAGCCCGGTGAGATCCCTCCTGAGGCCGTGCACCTTCCCGGCATCTACGTCAAGCGCGTCATCCAGAGCACGACCGAGAAGGGCATCGAGAAGTACACCTGGGCCAAGGACGAGAACGACCCGGAGGCCAAGAAGGCCCTGGGCAGCGGCGAGACCGCGGCCAAGCGCGAGCGCATCGTGCGCAGAGCCGCCAAGGAGTTCAAGAACGGCATGTACGCCAACCTGGGTATCGGCATGCCCATGCTTGCTCCCAGCTTTGTTGGCCCCGAGGTCGAGGTGCAGCTCCAGTCCGAGAACGGCATTCTCGGTCTCGGCCCGTACCCGAAGAAGGGCGAGGAGGACGCTGACCTGATCAACGCCGGCAAGGAGACCGTGACTCTGAACCCCGGCGCGGCCGTCTTTGGCAGCGAGGAGAGTTTCGGCATGATCCGCAGTGGCCGCATCAACCTCACCATCCTCGGTGCCATGCAGGTCAGCGCCAGCGGCGATCTCGCCAACTGGATGTTGCCTGGTAAGGTCAAGGGCTTCGGAGGTGCTATGGATCTCGTTTCCAACCCCAGCGAGACCAAGGTCGTCGTCACCATGGAGCACACCGACAAGAAGGGCAACGCCAAGATTGTCAAGCAGTGCGCTTTCCCCCTCACTGGCCGCGCTTGCGTGTCCAGAATTATTACCGAGCTCGTAAGTCATCCCTGTAACGATCGAGACACAACGAGAAGAGATTGCTAATCATCGACAACACAGGGTGTATTTGACGTCGACTTTGCTCACGGCCTGACCCTCATCGAGATTGCGGACGGTGTCACAGTAGACGAGATTAAGAGCAAGACTGAGGCGCCATTCCACGTCGCCAAAGACCTCAAGCCCATGTTATAATGCGAAGCGGACCGAAGACAGTCAAGTAAAATTGTATATAGGCATTGGACATGATGAGAAATAGAATCACGATTTGCACGTTCATATGACCAATTATTGCCCGTTCGTGCACATGCCGCAGCATGAAGAAGTCAGAGACTTGTTCCACTACTCCCTGCAGTCAAACCATTGCTGCGGCTGGGACAGATCTACTGCTGTACCATGTCCAAGGTGCCCTCTGTAAGACAAATACCTTTACACTTGCGGTATAGCGATATTGGATGGATATTTCGCATGCATTACCGTGCTGCACCCTCCCATCATTAAGTGGAGCTGCTACACAGTTCCCACGTCCCGCACACCTCACACGTACGTTTCGACCTGCAACAAGGCTCACCAGGCTTCCCCGAGACGCGACCGAGGCAGCACCTTTTTTTGAAGCCTGTCCCGCGCTTGACCCGCGGTCCTCATGAATCGTCCCCATACACTCGTCTGGCCATGATTGCAGAATCCCAGCTGGTCGGTGCGGCATGGTACAATCTTTGACCAGCCTGGCCGTGAAGGTCGTTGCCGCCAATATCTCCGCACTCGACGCACAACATCTCTGGCATATTCCGGCACCGCTACTACTTCAAATCTGGCAACTTGTCACAAAAGAGCCTGTCTGGTAGGCGCCAGTCGATCGCATAAATGCCGTGCCTGCGCTGACACAACGTGTCTTCCAGGTCTATGCAAGACGTTCGGCATTGGAGCCTCTTTGTCAAAGTCCTGATCAACAAATGCGGGCACAAAACCAAAGAATGGCCTGATCTGGCCATGTGGTGTGTTCAGGCACGTTTTGCAACAGATGCAAGGCCGCTGTCTCAAATCCTCCAGCCAGCGGTATCCCCAACGTTCGAGTTTGTCACGCATCTGAGGCTCCATGACGGCTTTGAGTGTCCGGTGCGAGACATTGTGTCTCTTACCGCAATGGTCAACCTCGGAGTTCTCGAGATAATTCAGCCGCTCGGCCAGCCGAATCATGTAGAGTTCCCTCGCGTCACCGATGCTGTGGTTCGTGAATGGGCCAGCATGAAGAACCCTTTTCCTCTGCTGCGCATTCTTCGCATCTGGGGCGAGGACTTCACCAGCTATCGTTCGCTGCAGTACCTCTCGAGCTTTCCGTCACTCGCAGTCTACGATGTTGCTGGTCATCGAGATGACTGGCCGAAGGCAACAGAAGTGCCAATATCCTGGACTATGAAACGCCATGCCTCGTCCAGCCGGGCACTGGAGGAGCTCGTACATATTTACAAAGGTCTAGACAAAACAACGGCACACCTCGTCACCGAGGAGCAAATGCGCCTCAGAATTTGTGCGCAAGTTATGACACTTGGCACATCAAATACGCTGCCAATCGAGATGGATAAAAAGATCGAGCTTGGGAAGCGGAAGCTGTCAGTCGTATCATCACATCTTGGTGCCAGCATTACTCCTCAGGAACCAAGTGACGAGAGACTGGATAGATTTTGGGGTTTATTGACTTATTGCCATATTGGCGAAGTCTCAAAGGATGCAGATTTCATGCAGGCAGGCCTTAGTGCACCTTTCCCGCGCCCACACATCGGAGCGTTGAAGCTGCCTTCACGGCCTGTGGTCACCATCAGATCTGTCCATGGTGCCCGGAACTCCTACCAGTATCGCAGCCTGACAGATCCCAGCAAGTTTGCACGTCACTGTACGTTTACGCGAAGCCAACAAATGCCAAAAGCTCAGCCCACAGCTTCCCCATCTTCGACGAGTCGGCGTGACGGGGAGAACGTGTTGGAGCATTCCGTGCGGCCTAGAAGACCCGATCAAGAACTCAACGTTAGCAAAGGACGGAAACTGCGAAGAAAAGCAAACATATCTCTCCAAGACTTCATGTAATGTGCGAACAAATTTTGCATGCAGCTTGGTATGTGAGCATTTGGGCGAGAAGCTCATCAGTTTATGTTGGCCAACATTCTTTTTTAGGCGAACTGTGGGAAAAATATCTACACAAAAAAAGAGCACATGGAAAAACGAGGTTCAACCATGGCTAAGGCAGGCCCGCTGGGCCAAAGAAGACAACCGACATCATCCACTCAGCATGCGAAAGCGATGCCTTGAGCATTGCGCAAGCACCCTCTGGACTGCAGCCAAAGAAGAGCTCTTGAAGACATCTCATTGCTCGTCAACGTCATCAAAGCCATCTTCCGCGGCTTCATGGGCCTTGCACGGTGACAGTGGCCGAGCCACTGCTGAAGTAACCCTCAGTTGCGACGATCTGGTAGTTGTGCTCAGAGCCCAGTCTCATGCCAGCGTTGGCCCAGGCGTTGAAGTGGCAGCTCATGCTAACGGTACCGGAGCTACGCTTGCTCTCGCGGACGGACCAGAACTGGTCAAAGGTGCGGGTGCCGTCGATGGAAGGGGCGTTGTAGCGCGTGCTGCGGTACAGACCGTAGGTGCCGCCGTCGCAGGTGACCTGGCCGGTGCGGGTGGCACCGCTCGAAGGGTTGTAGGTGCCGAAGTTCTCGACGACGTAGTACTCGATCAGAGGGTTGCGAGTCCAGCCGTAGATGGCGAGGTAGCTGTTGCCGTTGGGACGGTAGTCGGCCGAGTAGTTGATGGTTCTGGAGGAGAAGCAAGTTAGCGATTGTATACATCTTGCTGCCGAAACAGAAATGCTCACCTAGCACTGCCAGGCATCCAGCCCTTTCCGCCGACCCAGTTGCCGTTGCCGGACCAGTTGACGCTGTACTGGCCGCCGTTGCCGTTGCGGTACTGGACGTTGCCTTGGCCGTCGGTCCAGAACGAGTAGTAGAAGCCGTTGTGGTAGCCGGTGTCGGCGACGACGCCGAGAACGGCCGTGGCGGCGGCCAGGATGGAGGTGAAAGAGACCATGTTGACTATCTGTGTCGATTGAAGCGTTGGCTTGGGATCAGGTGGGAGACGAAGCTAGAAGATGATGGCTGTGCTTTCTTTCAAGATCGACCATCGAGGGGGGCTAAGCCGGTCTTTATGTACTGCTCGACATGGCCTTGCCCTGACCTCGCAAAGTTGCTCGAAACACGACAAGATCGACATGTTGCTCGACGTCAGTCCCGGGCATGGTAGCCAAGCCAGATGTCTATTGGCTGGGTGTTTGTCACGGGTATATTCATGAGCAGCATCATCGGCGCCACACGCTTTGACATGGCGGAGCCGGATGGGCCCTGGTTCCTGGCCTTGTCGTTGATGATAACATGACATGAGAAATGGCCCAAACAAGGCCAGCCTGGGGCCCAACTGCGGAGACCACTGCCGGATCGAGCAATCTCGGATCGTTTGGATCCTTGCTCGACATACATGGCACCCTGGCCTGCCATGGCAAGATGCGCGAGTTTGCGAGATAGTCTGCTTGCTTAACAACGATTCTACATCGCCGACCCAGAACTAAACCCAGCGAACCGTCCTGATTTGCAAGAGACGAACACGCCCCATCATCACCCGGACACTTTGCCTTCTGGGAAGATGTCCAATTGTGCATCCAAACACACCTGCTGTTTCCGACCAGGGGCGAGGCTAAAAGTCTCCATAGCATGCATGTACTTGAAACTGCCGAGGAACCCACCCACACCAATTACCGTGGGCGGGAAGAGGCGAGAGCAGCCAGGGCCAGGGACTTTGCATTGTGGCAGCCTGTCTCTGCCGGCCGTCTAGCCTCAAAGGGGTGCGCCCCCCTGATTCAAGCACGGCGGATCTGGTCCCGAGTGACAGGGACGAGCCACCCACATGCTTCTCCATCCATGCAACAACATGCCACTAGAGCGGAAGGTAATGCCCCGAATGGTCGACTCGTGTCGTCGCACAGCCAATCGCATCCTGGTCACTGGTCTCTTTCTGTGAGCAGATGGTGGCTAGCGTGCAGTCATTCATGGTTCACCATGTGCATGCCTCAAAGGTCATGGCGATGAGAGGGATAAATTCACTAGAGTGCGTTCACAAAGACACAAGGGCAGGTCCATACCCGTGAATAGCAGGCTACACAATCATGAAGCATTGCAGATGCGTGATCCTCGTGCAAGTTGCTCGATTATCTTACACGGGCGACCGCCTTTGCTTGCCACGACCCACGCGGGCTGCGAGGGCGACATTTTTCGCTCCAACTAGCAGCTTCATAATCCAGCCAGACAAATGCATCGTACGTCTGCATAATGCACGTATGCTATCACGGAGGGGGCAGCGGCCAAGAACCATGGCGTGCAACGTGCCCGCCGTCATTGACGTAACTTGTGCGTTGCCACCTACCAGTAGCCCCGACCCAGCCCCGACCTTGGTCTGGGGTCTCGGTCTCCTCCTCTCCTCCTCTCCTCCTCTCGCCTGTCTCGCCTAAGCATGTTTGTATGTACTCCGGATTGCCCGTGCAGCGCGCAAGCGGCAAATTCTGTTGCTAGTCGTACATACAATAGGCTCGAATCGTGCGTTTATTTTTTGCCCGATGCAACACCCCGCAAAAGAGAACGCCGCGGCGGGTGCCTGCGCACACGCGAGAGCCTTCTTAACCGGTTGCAACACACCGTCTTGCGTTGCTGGGTCTGTCTGTCGCCATGGCTCCTCTTCCAAGAACCCCAGACAAGCTTGGGAAAGTTGCCAAGACGGCTAGCATTTTAGGCGCGATGCGAGATCACGTTCGTCAATATCTGGGACAATGCCGGGACGGGCGAAGGGAAGCATGAAGGCCGGGCGCGCCTGGAAGAAAGTCAAGCATGGTGGTGTGTGGATGGGTGAGTGGATGTAAGGTAGTATTTACTTTGGAAGCCCGCGCGCGCGCAAACCAATCCTAGTTCCCCCTTTGGAGATTGACATGCGGTGCATCGCGTATTTTTTACGCAGCCTTGTTTGGAAAAGTCTATGTCGGCGTTGTGGTGTCCATCCCCTCCTCCCGCGACCATCTGCCGCCTCCCGCACCTCGTTTCGCCATACCTGCAGGCGGCGCTGCTGACTAGATGACTTTGCGATATTCCCGGTGACTGCCTGCCTGCCTGCCTGCCTGCCTGCCTGCCTGGCTGCCTGGCAGGGCTGGGATCGACAAAGTGGTGGCTTAGGGGGGCGAAAGATATAACCCGATTGGCAGCTTCGCTTCCCGGGCGACATGTTCTCGTTGAGAAAGGCGGGCGGTGTGTGTAAAAAGAGAAGTTTATCCATATTGGTTGCTCCCTCCATCCCTTCCTCCCCCACAAAACAACATCCTTGCCTGAATCCCACCCCCTGTGTTTCTTTTCGTGATGCATCATTTCTGGGGTTTTGGTGCCAGTGTCCCCGGATCGGAACGCCGGGGTCTTTTCGATTCGGCACGCACATCAGGGTGGGGAGTTCATAAGCTATGCACAGCGGCTTTTGGATATTTGGGTCGAAAAGTGCGAGAGAGAGAGAAGGAATATTCCGAGACCTTTTAGTTCTGGGCATTAGGCTAAAATGCCGGACATCATCAAACCCTCTTCTGCTGTTTTGCAGCGGCTGTCGATGGAGGCAGGAGTCTCAGAGCTCTCGGCTATGTTCGAACTTGAGGCTCGGCAAAAAGAAAACATCGTGAGATGGGCACGGGCCGGTGGGACTCTCTATTTCTCGCGTGTCAAAACGTAAGAGCTCCAGTGTGAACAAGAACTTTTGATCTCGTGGTGAGGCAAACTACTATGGATGAGGAGTGACGACTGGTAAGGCAAAAAGCGGTTACTGAAAGCCGGCCCATGGTGTTCAGCATGCCGTCTTGTTTCCTGGTCTATGGAGATCCATCCGGCTCAGCAACAGCGAGTTTCGAGTTTTAGCCTGCTGGGGGAGGGGCGGATATTTCACTGGAGACCGTGAACGGATCTCTTCCTGCTCTGAGAGAGGTGACAGTAAGTCGTCCGTTGGTACCGGGGCCATGACTGTGTGATATGAGGCGGCCGGCCTCAGAGATTCATCGGACGCTATAAGTGAGTTTTTTATCTTTGACGTCGGCTTGTCTCTGGGCAGCGAGTGTTCTGTACATGCTGGACCTGGCGTGAATTCCACGTTCAAGAATTGAGTCTATAGCTAACTGGCTGTCTGTTCATTTTGCTTGACATCGCCCGACTTTTCAATCCTTCGGAAATGGATTGCAGATATCTTACAAGAGGCGAGCGGCAGGTGATTGAGTAGAAAGAAAGTTTCTCACCCCCCCCCCCCCTTTGCAGGCTATGTCGTGACACGCCTGACCACAGTGAAAATCTGCAACAACACGACAGCCCTGGCCTCAACCTTTCTGCAACGGCAACGGGGTCAGCCAAAAATGGTATCACTCCCTCACACTGTGCACCAAGGGACGCTGTTCCCAGATCAAAAAGCGGAGAGTCCACAAATTGTTGCTCTTTTGCAGCTCGGTCTATCATTAAAACTAATTCCACGCTGGTCGAACGTGGCCCTCATATCCTCATCATGTATCCGTTTTGTTAAGAAATGCGCTCCTCTGCCGTATTATGTCCATCTGCAACTAGAAGCCAAAGAAGGCAGCGACCAGAAGCCCGCCAGCCACAGCAGCGTAGCCAGCACGCTGCTGTACGCCAGCAGCAATTGGGCTCTGGCTTGGCGTGGTCGAGGGCGGTTGCGACTGGCTTGCACTTGTAAGTGTGGACTGGCTGGTGGTACCAACGGAGATCGCTGTGGTTGGCGTGACAGTGACCGGAGGCAGAAGAGTGACAGAGGGCGACTCGGTACCATAGGTCAACGTGGGTGTGTCGATGCTTGTCGAGTCGGTGCCGTAAGTCACGGTGGGGGTGTCGATGCTGGTCGTCTCGGACGAGCTGACACTGTCGGTGGGCACCTCGGTAGGGTAGACGGGAGGCTCGACGGACGGAGAGTACGAAGGGTCTGAGATGGTGGTCTCGACGGGAGGCTCTGCAGTCGGGTACCCTGTAGGAGCAGGCGGCTCGACAGTTGGTGCCGGGCTGGAAGGCGGAGTGCCGGCGCCGGCATCACGGCAGAACGAGTCGATGCCGGTCATGACCTGGCCTGGAGTTTTGTACAAGAGAGTAGGTCAGAAATATGGCACAAGAAGACGGCTATCAGGAAGGGAATAGGCGTACCATATTGAGCATCGTCGCAATTGTCCTGGAGACAGGCCTGGCTGTTGCGCTTGAGGGTGTACTTCATCTCGCAGAGGCAAGCATTGTCGTCGGCGGCACAGGTAGTTGAGGCACTGATGGTGTTGCTCAAGCAAGGCGCACCACAGGCAGGCACGTACTCATTGAGAGACTTGGCCGCCGCGAGAGCCGCGAGGATGGGAAGAAAGACGGAAGCAGGAGGAGCCATGGTTGCTAGGACGGGAGTGTTTGTGTTGTTTGCTGAAGCGAGAGTCTTGGAGATGTATTATGTGTTTGGGATGGCGCTGGAAGAGAAGCAGAGACAGAGACAGCAGGAAGCGAGCGTGCGGTCCAAACGACGGTGGGTTGGAGCAACAATGGTCCGGAGGTGGCAGGTCGTGCTGAGATGGAGGTGAGCGAGCCCGAGGCGTCCTTATATGTGTCTGGCCAACATGGAAACCACGACTTGTGGCATGCAGGACAGGAGTGGATGTTGGGGAGGATGGGCAGCCACATGCCGGCACTTGATCTGCGCCTCGAAGGATTGACACACAGCAGGGTGCATCCTGGCAAGGTGCCGCCGGCCACCCCTGTGCGTGGACTTTCTCTCCGAGCATCAAGTCTCGCTTCGAGATGAGCCTCGCTCATGAGTCGGGACGAAAAGACCCTTGCCCCATCCGCCAATACACAGCTCCATTAGCATCTTCACTGTGCCCTCGTGGGTCCAGGGTTGATGGCGAAGGTGGTTCCGAGTTGCCCATTCAATTCCAAGCGAGAACCTTTAAGGACCTCGCGTATGGGACACATGTGATCCTCGTACGGATTGCCATGCTTCGAATGGCGTTTGCTTATTGCAGCGTATCAGCTCGCAAGCCCCCGCATATGTGCAAACTCGGCACTGAGCGAGGGCCCGGCGAAAGGCCTGATGAGATCTGGCATGCCTACTGAGCAGTCTGGAGCCTCGCAAACTCCGTGAAAGGCATCCCTTTCCGACCCCACAGGGTGTTGGCGATGGCGACTGGGCGGACGGCCGATCGAACAAAGCCCCGTAATTGTTTCGATGAGACGAGGTTGTTTCATGCGCTGGGACGAGCCGGTCGTGGTGGAGCATTGAAACACGGCGATCGCAGCAGTAACGTGCCATCCCAGCCAGACCACAGCCAATCACCGGCCAGAACCAGGCCTCCGCACGCCACCACCTCCAGCACACAGCCGCCCTCCCACCACTCCTCTGCATCCTGACTGGCCCGCCCCTCTTCGCTTAGAGCACGAAGCCTGCCGCCAAGATCGTCCACCCTTGTGCCCATCCACGCTCCTGGCACTATATTCAATGCACGGAATACACCGACCAAGAATCGGACCGGAATATCCTCTACGCAAGTCCTCGCGTGGCGGTGCCAGCATGATCTGTCGTCTGCCACACGCACGAGACTGCCTCAAGGTGGGTAGCGGCGCCGGTGCCAGGTGCGCGAAAGCATGGACCATGGAAAGCTCATGGTCTGACAGTTCTCGGCCCAATGAACCCCTTCCTGAATCGTACACGTTCGGCTTTCACTACTCGTGTCTCGGCCAGACACCCAGATACCGTGAACCCGAAAGCTGGCAACGTGCCATTCACTTCGGACGCCGGGTTCGCCTTATACCGTCTGCTACGTCATTCAGCCGCAGGAGAGCCCTCACAATTCATGGCATACGAGCTGGTCTCGCATCCTGGTAGCATGGCTTTGCGTAACGGCAAACGAGGCTATGTTCTGCCTTGGCGTACCAACGATCAACGAATTTTTCAAAATTAGAAAATAGAACAAAAATTAGGTTAAACAAGGATTTGACATGACTGCTTTTGCTTGGCTTGGGATCGCCTCCCAGAGAAAGATCTACGACTCCTGGTATGAACGACTCCGCCTTGGGAAAGTCTACGACCTTGCTTCCTCGCGGCACGAAGACTTCTGGCGCCCACTTACACTTCCTGAAAGGTTCTGACGGGCTTTAAACTCTGGTGGAGTTCACCTTCTATACGACGACTCTGGCCTGCAGGGAATACACTCAGCCCTAACACCATTACCGTCCCTTTCTGAGCTCTACATCTCGCCTAAAGACCCACCGGCCATCCTCTGACCGCACCGGCTGATATCCTAGGGTTCCCTCAACTAAGGACAGAACCAGCATCGGGGTCGCCGTGTAGATGTTCCACCGTGCTTCGCTCTCAAGCGTTAATCTGTCGTAATTGAGGCCTAGGCCGAATGCAGATTGATAGAGCTTCACTTCTACACTGGGTGGCTGAGTTCCGTTCAAATCAGGTCAGCAACCAACAGTCATGGAAATCACGCGCGGGTGGACATGCTTGAGACATACCTTCCGACTGTCCTGGGTGTTGGTCTTGCACCACTTCTTGAGATATTCGGCCAGAAACTGAAGCGTTGGACTGTGACTGCACTGGACCTCGACGAACCTGCTGTTGGAGCTTGTCACGGTCAAATGGTACGGAGGTTTTAAAAGCAGCTCGTCTGGTCGAGGAAGTGTCGACATCTCTGGTATGACGTCCCATTGGGCCCTGGACGGCGGTTCAAGCGGCCCACGAGAAACAGGTGTTCTCTCGACCACTGCTGGCTTGCCAGTTTCGGTGTCAACTTCGACATCGGCCCACTCATCACCAGGCTGCGCAGCCGGCCTATGAGCCGGCGTAACCGGCAGCGTCTTCTTCTCGAAGCACTGCAGCAATTGTTTGGTGAGCATATCCTGGAGCGAAAAGGCGTTTGGGATAGGTGGCTTGCACAGCTCAATGACAAACGACGCGCGCTCTTCGGACCACTCTACCAAAGGTTCGCTCCTCTTGCCGACCTGTATTTCTTTACATCAGCTGGGCACGATTGGCTATGCATAGGTGGGGGGCGTACCTCAAGATACAATCTGATGCGACCCTTGGCTTTGTCGAGGAGCTTCTCCGCCCAATCGCTGTAGTCTTCCTTCTCGGCCAGGTAGACCAAGGCATTTGCCCACTCAAAGACGCAACTGACGACATCAGCAACAAATTGAGCCTTGTCATTATAAGCCGTGTCCAACTCGGCGAAGAGCAACTGCCATTCTGGATCGACAACAATCTCGACTCCAATCACTTCGCGCAGCTTCTTGAGTGTGTTTTGCAGCACGCAATCGTCCTTGTCCCATTGGTCCCGAATGGCAACCTGGACTTTGAGGGGTCTACGCACATGCGGTCAGTGTACCGAGTTTTCGCATCTCCTCGGTTCACGACTTACAGTTTTGTCATGATGGCAAATCAGTTATTGCAGGGTTGATTTTGCCGTGTTGATGATGGCCTACCGTGACGCTGTTGCAATCCAGGGGGGTTGATGAAGTATATTCGGCATGACGAGACTTGAGACCCTGATAGACAAGAGACAACCAGGAGGCGTCACTTCATCTCCCCTTTCCCCAAGGCGTCCTGCAAGGCATGACTTGAACCCCTGAGCCGCCAGGCAATAAGCGAGAAGCCTTGCCGAAAGAGGGTCCAGCTGAATTGCCATCTTGCACAAGTGATGCGGGACGGCTGCAAGCCCAGTCTCAGCTGAATGTGCCGGCTGCCCATTAGTGCGGAGTTTGCGGGGCTGTGTCGTGCCGCCAGAGCCCTGCCCATGTTTCCAGGCCAACTTGACAACAGCGAGGTTTGCTTGGTTGCACATTCAGTTTGCAATGCTGAATTTGACAGCTCAAGGCTATGGCTGGTGCCAGTCCCAGTGTCCGCCGAACGTAAAATGAAGACTGCAAGAGACATAGAAGTAATTGACGGAACTTATGAGCCTGTGAGTTGCAAGACGGCAGGACCACAGAGGCCACGGCCCTCGCACTTTCGATGTGCCGGGAGACGGCACGCATCATCGTGGCTTGGAACCCTTGCACGCCAGGGTCTCCGAGTCTCGACAACCTATCTCGGCTCACCGTGCGACTGCTGGCCCTAAGCTTGAGCTCCTGGCCGACAATTCACAACATTTACCGTCATGCCAAGGAGTCACTCAAGCATTTCCAGGGCTCTGCAGGGTTTCGGATCGTCTGTGCGAGCTTGCTTTCAGCTATCCCCACTAGGCGTTCTGCAAGGCACGCCGTCCCATCACCATCGACAGCGCGCGTTGCCAAGCCAAGGAAGCTCCCTCCAGGGCCCGCTAGGGCTGAACACGCCGCGCTTCCAAGGGTGACAAGTCGTCTGCCTTAGCACGGCGCCGGTGATGCCTCCGGCAAATGAGTAACATCTGAGATGAATGGATCTTGCGGCTGGGCGAACCCCTGACAGCTAGCGTGAGATCGACCCTGAATCGTTCAAGTTTGTTCAAGGTTCCTCCACGGGGTACCAGACCAGCCACAGTCCAGGGGCCATGGGGTCTGGACGGAGGATAGACAGACCGAAACCATGTAGTACGGGTCTCCTTGACAGTATATGAATCGTTCTGCCTCCCACATGTCTAGTGTTGAAATTCCGAGAATCATACTCACCATTGCCACCTGCACCACCCGAAGCATCTCTCAAACACCTGTCTCTTCTCAATACTTTTCTCCCCGTCAGCAAGAGAAACATACAATGTCCAAGCTACCACCTGTCGAGAAGCTTTCTCTGGCCGTTCGCAAGAACCGTGAGTATCTGGCCCCCGATATCGTGCTCAACCTCCGCTCTGACCATGGATACAGTCCGAGATGAGTGGGAACAGAAGAAGGAGGGTCTCGAGAAGCAGCTCTCAGATATCCTCACTGTACCGTGGACGGTAGATCTCGACCCCAAGCAAATCTATGCCTACGCCGATGATGGCTACGCCAAGGACTCACTGGGGGCTTGTATTACCGCGTAAGTTGACTTGAGTGACCCTTAACAACATCGATCGTGTACGAGGCTGACAAGCTCAAAACAACAACAGATACATCGAGGGCGCTATCTGGAAGCTCAAGTACTTTGTGGAGAGATTCGGCGACGAGGGTGTCAAGGAGCTGAATGCCATCTGCCACAAGCACAGCATGGGTCTCGACGTTGACGAGACCAGCCGCTTTTCCTACTGTGGAGTAGACGTGCTGGACGGCCAACTGCGGCTGCTCTTCGAGCCAAAGTGCCTTGGCACGAATATTGACTACTGCCTCGACGAGGCCGTCCTGGAGAAGGCCCTCAATGAAGCGCCTGCCGCCGAGGGCTCAGACAGCAAGCTGAGTTACTCCGCCAGGGCGGACATCCGCAGGGAGTACGAGCCCAAGATTGGCGACATCCAGAAGAAGGTTGCCGAGCTGCTGGCGAACCCGGACATCAAGCTCAACCCCAACTTTGACGCTCTCTACGCCAGCCTGCTTGCCGAGAGCAAGGTCAAGAAGACGGAGCTCCGCGAGGACTGGCAGAAGTCGATTGGCTACCTCGCCCGCGAGTACTTTGACGGCCTCGTCAGCCAGCTCAACTGGCAGAAGTTTGAGGACGATGAAATGCTCCAGGAGGGATTCAAGGAGGTCGTCGACAAGAACGAGATCGCCCTCCGCATCGTTGACAAGCTGAAGGACAGCTCGTACTGCGAGGCGGTCGTCGAGGATGGCATCCTCTGGCTGCAGGTAAGTCTTTCTGGGCGACAATGAATAGACACACGAAAAGGACAAGGCTAACGTGTAACGCAGTGCAAACCGACTACTTGGGGCACCAACATCAGCTATGCTGCCGAGAAACTTGTCGATAAATTGTAAAATGTCCACAATGGGTACATCGGTGCTGGCAAAAAACGACTCGCTAGATTCGAGAATGAAGTAACAACACGAATTGGGGGGAAAAGCCGTAGTCTAGTGCGATACAAACCAACGAGTCCAAGCAAGTAGGGATTGACCTATGCCTTCGTGTAGACCACCATAGTATCTGAGTGAATGACTGGTCTCCTGAGGCCAATACGCCGTCGGCCTATGCATCCCAGACGTGGTTCCTGGGTCGGTTCTGTGAGAAGCTATGCCTCGTCTTGGTGTCGTGGTTTGCCCATGCTCCACAGCGGAATTGGCGTCATCTGGATCGCCACGCGCCTTGTTGGCAGCTGAAGGATGCCCCTGTCCATGACCCCACCTTTTCTCCACAGCAGACCTGACGTCGCTGGCTGCAGGCACTTTCAAGGTTGACTTGTTGCACGCCGCCTCGGTTCACAAAGTCCTGCGTTTTCGCGACCTTCGCCCTCCTTTCCACCATAGCCATCTCCCCAGTACCAGTACCTTGTAGACAACATGGAATCCAGCGACCCGCCCAGTCGACCCGCGCGCCACCTCGGACGGCCATATGGCTATCTCTGGCGCGCGCTCATCGCCGCCTCGTACCCGCTCCGCGGCATCTACTACTTCCTACGTCATCCCGCCTATTACCCGCTCTGGTTCAGCCGGCTGCTGCCCCTCGGCCTGCTGTCGCTCCTCATATACACAATCCTCTTCACTTTCGCCTTCCTTCCCCAGTACGCGTTCCTCGCGATCTTCCATGGCTGGGGCGCTTGGGTGAATGCCCTCGTCCTTGTACTCGGCGAAGGGCTGGTCATCATCCAGGGCCTGTTTGAAGGCTTCTTTGTGGACGAGTGCCGCGTAGATGTCTTTGATGTAAGTCGCGCCGCAGGAACCCTGACAGTTTCGGCCGAGAATATTCAAAATAGCCAGCCGCTCTGGACACAACAGCTGATCTCATTCTTCACAGGCCACGCTCATCGACTTGGGGTACTCGGAACTGATCGCGCCGCATCGCCTTCTCTTCCCTGATGCCCCCAACTCGGTCAAGATGCTGGGCAAGCCGACGTCGCCTGCGGTATATCAGCCATGGAGCCTGATCCAGATCGTCGAGCTCATCTTCTGCCTCCCGCTCAACCTGATCCCGTACGTCGGCACCCCAGCCTTCATCATCATAACCGGAGCTCGGCTTGGCACCTTCTCGCAGTACCGGTGGTACCAACTGCGTGGCTTGTCAAGAAAGGAGCGCAAGCAGGAGATCAAGAGTAGGATGTGGGAATACACCTGGTTTGGCACGGTCGCGATGCTGCTCGAGCTGATACCCGTCTTCTCCTTCTTTTTCCTTCTTACGTCGACCACGGGAGCCGCTCTATGGACTGCAAAGATGGAGGACCAGATGCGTGGTGTTGATACCGGGGAGCACGCAGCACCGCAACAGGTAGCACGGGACGAGCACGAGCACGACCCCGACGAGCCGCCGCCTCCTTATGTGGACAACCCGGTCTGAATGGGTGCTTTCGTAGGACAACATAGACAGATAGTTCAATCATCCTCATCGTACGCAACCCACGCTTACCCATCCATGAAGGCATACACAGAACAATCATCACGAACTTGCCCATTCTGAGGGTTGGCACTTCCTATCTGCGTAGGTGGTAGGGCACTCTCTTCCAGAATGCGGACTGCAATGACACAAGCAAGGTCTACTACGGGCTGTTCCCGCCTCCCATCCTTTTGTTCTGGCCGAAGCCATCACCGCCTCCAGCGGTGTCCTCTCACAAAGTGTCCTCACGCCATTGACGACCCCAGGCAGGGTCTGGTTTGATCTGTCTCACCATGCCCTCACAAGAACGTGTTCGACCAGCTCGCCTGCACAACAACGATGACTTCGCTGGCCGCATCCTGTCACGACGACCTCGACACTCGCACCACTGAGCTACAATGCACAAAATCTATTTGCTTCGAGCCCTGATTCACCGAGTCTTCCATAGCGTCATTTGCCAAGCGTTGTTGTTCAAAGTGACCGTCCGATTCTCGATGCCTGACCAGGTATCAGCCCGCGCCTTCCCAGCGAGAGGCTGCAGCTCGAAGAGGTCGAGCAGTGCCGGCGAGACTGCCGACTTCCGTTTGCGCCCACGCGTATCTTCCAGTATGACGCGCCAGCCCTGTCGCAGGAGGAGCGCGTTCCTTCCTCGAGAGAGCCAGCAAGGAAGGCACAAAGCGAGCAGTTGCCCGCCACGCATACATGCAACAGACTCGAGTCCTTTTCCTTCCACGTCCTTCGCATCCCTTCCTCTCTTCCACCTTCGTCCACCTCCATCAATCTTCAACTTCCCTCCGTCTCTCATCTTCACTTCCTCTTTCGTCCCCACGCTCACTTCACCTGGCAGCAACACAGACCTGCCTTCAGCAACACACTCATTCACCTTCTTCTCTCCTGTCACTTGTCACGCAATCTCCTCAGCTCAACAACCACCACGCACAGGGTAGCCATGCGAGGCCACACCATCCTTGGTATCCTCGGGGCCACCAGCCTGGCGGGAACCGTTGCCGCTCAAGAGCAGTACGGCTCCGTGTAAGTCACCCCTCTTTCTCTTTGTTGCCTCTCCTGCCAGATTGTCCCCAAGCAGACGGGTCTCTGACTTGTTCGGTCGATCAAGCCCTGGATCTGGCCCTGCTTCTGACACCCCGGGAAATCCTGGCTCGGGACAATTTACACCTGGAGGCATCCCATCTGGTTTCCCTTCTTCTGCACCCACACCCGTCCCTGGCGATCCTGGTCAGACTGGTCCTGGTCCTCAAGGCCCATTCCCTGGCATCCCATCGTCCATCCCCGGCAACAATGCTCCTGGTTCTGTTCTACCTGCTCCTGGAAGCCCTTCCGCTGGCAACACTCTTCCTTCCCCAGTTCCTGGTCCAGATGGCACTGATCCATACGGTCCTCCCCAGGGCAGCCCCGGCTCTCCTGGAGGTCAAGGAGTCTCTGCCCCTTCTGCACAGTCAACCGTCTTCGTTACTGTTCCTCCATCGCCTGTAGGTGGTCCTGGCACTGGTGGTGTCAATCCTGTTCCCGGAGGAGCTTTCCCCACGAACTCGGGTGTGCCTTCCGGACCAATCCCACCTGGATTTCCTGAACCTTGGCCCGTCACCTCGGATGCTGTGGGAACTTGCCCACTGCCACTTCCCACTACCATCTTCGTATCGGTCACTCCGAGCATCTTGCCTACGGCCATCTCTACGGTTCTTTCGACTCTTCTATCAACAGTGTCGGTCCCTGTCACAGTCTCGGTCCCGGTCACCATTCCTGTCACAGTTTCTGTCCCACTTGGATCTGGTTTCCCTCCTGCTGCCGGCCCGAGTCCCAGTCCAGATCAGGGTCCCAGCAACCTTCCCAGCAACCTTCCCATCTCGTGGTCACCTCCCAGGACTGTCACATCTCCATGCAGTACTTTACCCGGCGATCCCCAATGGCCGACGAGCAATCCCATTTTCCCGCTTCCCACTTCCATCTCCGGATCAGTATTTCCAGGCTGGCCAAGTGGAATGCCTCCTGGCTCGCCTCTGACCGTTGTCCCGGGAAGCGCCACAGGTCCTATTGCCCCTGGCGTACCGAGTAAGCTTCCTGGTGGCCCCGGCGGTCCGGTGATCTCCCAAGGCCCGTCTCAACTGCCCTCTACTCCCATCGGCCAGTCCACAGGTCCCTTCGGGCTCCCGAGTCCAAGCAACACCCTCCCGGCGTGGACTCCTGGTGTCCCTGACACTCCTCAACCGACAACCTTGTTGGTCTCGCCGGGCCAGCCGCTGCCTCCAGACACAGCTTATGGTGGCATCCTATCACAGCCACTGTCAAGCATTGCACTCAATCCAACACTTGTACCGGGTTCCCTCCCCACGCAACTACCGAATCCCAATGGCCCGTTTGGACAAAGTGCGCCGTCTGGCCAGCCTGATACCGCAGCTGCCACAGCTCCAGGCAATGGTCTCGCCAGCTCTACTCCCTGCACCACACTCACTCTCACATCTCCTGATGGGTTTCCCTTTCCACTTCCTCAGGGTTCTTCGGCCACACTTCCCGTCACCGCTCCTGGCGGCAACAGCGTCTTGCCCATCACATCAGTTGTGCCAACCGTTCCCGCTGTTCCCTCTCCGGGTGCTGGTACCGAAGGCCCTGACGTGAGTGTTCCTGGAGGAGAAGGTGGTATCACTTTCACCCCACTGGTCTCTACCATTCCTATCATCCCCAGTCCGTCAGGTAATGGTGACGCTCCAGGTGAGGTTAGCATCTCTGGCACTACCACACTCACCGTGCCGCTGCCTGGTATTCTGACGCTCACTGTCCCTGCTGGGGGTTCGGGCTTCCCATTCCCACTGCCTACTGGCTCACTTCCTGGAACTCCTCCTTCACCCAACGACCCTGGATCTCCACAGAATCCGAATGCTCCAGGCAACGGCGCCTCACCTGGCCCCCTCCCTTCACCAAACCCTATTGATCCCAACATCCCTGGCGCCGGCAACCCAACATCAACTTGCACAACCGCTGGTATCCCATCAACGTCAGGCTTTGGCGGCAATGGTGAGAATCCCACCGGCTCAGGCTTTAGCCCCATCCCATCACCCCAAACTACCCAACCTGGAACAGGCCCTGTGGGTGGTCAACCTGGAGGCCAGGGCACCCAACCTGTAACACAACCACCTTCTGGTTCTCAGCCATCACTTCCGGGCGGTGGCAACTCTCCGAACCCCAATGGACCCGGAGCCGGAAATGGACTGCCTACAGAGCCTTGCACTTCAGGACTACCAGTCTCTTCGGCCATAACCATCGTTCCAGGCCAGCCAGGAGGTCAAGACATCCCACCTGGTTCTCCTTGGTCGGCTACTGCCGGCACGCTTCCTACAGGTCTACCTCCAGTGGCGACTTCGCCCAGCTTCCCGCTCCCCGGTGAGCCTGGTTCTCCTGGAGGAACAATCGCATCCGGATTCCTCCCTTCGGCATCATTCCCCAGCTTCCCCTTCCCCGGCCAGCCCGGGACACCTGGTGCTGGTGCCAGTCAGACAGGACTCCCCCTTCCTAGCGTCCCTCTTCCTGTGCCCACGGGCCCTGCAACACTTCTCCCCGGCATCCCGTCTGCACCAGCCGGAGGGCCTAATCAAACAGGAGGTCCTGCTCCTTCTAGCATTCCTCTGCCTCCTCCGACTCCCAACGACCCAATTCCAGGACACCCAGGCCAATCCAATGTGCCAGGAAGTGGTGCAAGCACTCTCCCGTGCCAGACTAGCAGCATTCGTGAGTAAACCTTGAGGAGCAACCATCTCTTGTACGAGTACTGACCAACGTGAAAGTCCCTCAGGTGTGCCCGCAATATCGGCCTCTTTTCCGGGTGGCCTACTTCCCACAGCCAGCGGCATCAACCCTGGAGCGCCTGTTCCTCTCCCATCTGGTCCAGAAAGCCAGCTGCCTGCTGGGGCTGGCACTTCCATCGGCCAACCTGTCCCCTCAGTTCCCGTTGGTGGCCTTCCAAGTGGCTTCACTACATTGCCCAGCCCTGGCTTCCCTACAGGACCTTCCGGACCCGGTCTCCCAGGTTCTGTCACCCCCGGCAGCTCTTTCTTCCAGCCCATTCCTTCGCAGCCCACGGATTTGACTACTTTCCCATCCCCATCAGGAGATGGCACACTTCCAATTTCAGGACCTTTGGGAGGCCCGTTCAGTTCTTCAGAAACTCCTGTCCCAGCTCCAGGCAGTCTTTCAGCCGACACTTCCGCAGGAATCACAGACTCTGTGTTGGTGCCATCGATCACTGGCTCCCTGACAGGCCCAGTACTCACGCCTTTGCCTCTTCCTGGAATCTACGGAGCCTCTCACTCTATCGTGCCACTTCCAAACCCCTCCATCAGCGATCCTTCGGCCTCTGATTTCCTTCCTGGTCAAGCTCCACAACCGACCGGCTCCAACTCACTGCCATTGACTGCGACCCAGCCCGGTAGCTGGGGACAGTCAGCAAGCCTTCCCGCACCTGGCATCCCCGGTGGTGATGGTAGCACTTTCCCAGCTCCGTCAAACCCACTCTCCGGCGCCTACGGAGCCGGCCAGCCAACTGTACTGCCTGGTGGCACTCTTCCAACTGATGTCCCTGCCGGCCAAGGTCCCTCCTCACTTGGGCCAGAACCAAGCGCAACGACATTGTGGCCACTTCCAAGCTCCATCAGCGCTTCTGTAGCAACACAAGTCTCACCGGTTGTGACCATCTCGGAACCTTCGCAGAGTCTCAATCCGTCTGGTAGGTTGCATCCTTCCTTTTGACTACAATGCCACTTTTCCCCGTATGTGAAAAGAAATGCACTGTTGCTAACGCAGTATCTTGATATAATAGGACCATTATCCTCTGGCCTAGCTGGAGGAAGTGTCGAAAACAACCCTTCCGCAAGCACTTCGACTTCGTGCACCGAGTCAGGCACAGTTGTGATCTCGGACACTCTCCCTGAGGCCACTGATGCTTCTGCTTCGGCATCTCAAGTCGCAACAGCTTCATCGTTTCCAACACTCTCTGCGGCTCCAGCTGGCGGCTGGAATACTACTTCTTCCACGTTGGCTCCACAGACGACTGCCGCTGTCGCAACTCCACTCACGGCTCCTCAGCCAAGTACGTTCATCACCCAGTCCGAAACCACATCAGAAAGACCTATTCCTACTCGCGCAAGCATCGACCCGAGGACATGCATTTCCATGGTTGTCACCACTGTCTCATCCCGAGCCTTCACCTGGTGTGCTCAGCCAACACCTTCGACCACTTTGGGCTTGACTGCGACCCAGATGCCTCGCGCGTTGATTCAAGGGCATGCTGACGGGTTGAATGCAGGATCTGGTGAAATCCACTTTCCTGAGAAGGACACAGCATGTGGCAGTAGCGATGATATTGGTGATTTCTCATTCAACGTAAGTCTTCAGGTGCTTCGTTTCTTTCAATATTGTCCCCGTGGCCTAACCGCAAAGGCAGTTCCGCGATGTCCCGTTCATGGACGCTACTGGTCTTAGCTCCGACCAGAGTGTGCCGATGCTGAGCCCATACCATCGACTTTGGTTCTCGCGCTCGTTCAGCGTCAAGAAGTCTGCACAATCTGCGGCACTCGGCCCTGTCCTTCATTTCCATCCTGATCTGACGCGTTCCACTGCTTCGGGCGTGGCCGAGATTAGCGTGGGACCCCAACGTGCAAATTCCTGCTTCTCATTTGATTTCCATGGTGCGACTTTCGGCTGTTCTTCCTTCTATGGCGGCTGTCAATTCCGAGTGACCGGCATGCGATACAACGACGCGAGTGGTATCGAAGAAGAGGTTGCCGCGGAGACATTCCACATTGATGGCTGCAAGGACATTGTGTCTTGCGATCTCCAGCCCGTGGCTCTGAGCACTCTGCAGGGTTTGACCTCTATCACCATCACTGCCGGAGCCGACGGCCGTCCTGCAACCTGGTGGTCCGACAAGCTCCTGTTGGGTTGGACTGACAACAGCTGCGAAAGCGCCCAATGCCGTTCTGATGTCCGAAACAGCATCAGAAGACGCGATTGGATTGCGACTCTTCGTTGAAAAGCTCCTTCAAGCCATCACTACATCTGACTGTTTATGACTCTCAGCAGCCGCGCACGGCTGTTCTCATCTTAATGACATTGCTTCCATCTGCACGTTTTTTGCTCGACATAGGGGGAAACACTTTCGGCGAGGTGCCAGGATGGCACGATAATGGTCAAGTGGAAAAGGAGAGAATGAGGATTTTGGTGGATTTGATCCGATGATATGTAATTAGAAGCTGCGGACGCAACAAAATGACATTTGCATGGCTCATCACTATTATTTGGTCGTGATTGCAATTGTTGTAGTTTCTGTGCGATGATGAGATGAGTTGCCAAGGCCTGCTTGATGACACCGGCTTCATTCACCCCGGTCATTGTCACGAAGCTTGGGCCTGGGCTGCGCGAAGAATATTTGTAATCTGGGTCGAAGGCGAAGAGCTTTGAAGACTGAACAAAGGGCAAATATTCACCCCCATGTCGGTTGAAGTACGTAAGAGGATCGATGCAGCCAACGCGCCCTCTGAGGACATTCTTAGACTGTTTTGACGCCGATTTTGGGGTTGCTTACTCACCTCCGGATTCGGGATTGCAACAATGACAAAGAGATGGATGGCCTCTGGACATCAATTGACATAATATTGGGTCTGGGCTGTCCGTGTATCAGTAGAGGTCCAGCTCCTCCGCTCCGATGAGGCTCCCGGAGTGGAGACACATCGTGGAGGTTTGGTCCATGGGCAAGGGCGACGTCGGAGGGCAACCCAGCTCATATCTCCAAGGGGGGGGCCGAGGGTCGGCGTGCTCCGCCGTCCGCAGTTTGCGCCGGCGGCACCCACGCCGCGTGCCGGGCGGTTCAGTTCCGAAGATTGCTCCTCCGCGCGAGCGCGCGCCAGGGGTTGGTCCCCGATGATGCATGGGAATGACGGCTGCTCTTTTATTGCCGGTCCTCTTTTTGTTTGGTCTTTTCGGGAATAGGAGCATGTCACCCTAACATGAGTGCCCCCCTTCAAGGAGGATCCCCCTCCCCATGCCATGTGCGCGCCCTTGTTACTCATCTCTGCAATGGGTTGCCATTCCCCACATGGAAAAATGACTGGTGATGCGGATCTCGGTTTTCCGTCTGCCGTGCCTTCTGCCCCTTCTTAAATGCCCATGTATTCCGCCAAGGGAAAGCTTTTTGAGGCTGTGACTTTTCACGAAGACAACACCTTCGAGGCTTGGAAATCGTCAGCTTCAACCTGGCATCAGCTGCAAACCTGACGACTAGCAACGGTCTCTTTACATGACGTCACATGAGCCACGATTGTTCGAGGCATTTCAACTGCAACAAGGACATTCATTGTGATCTTGGGTTCTCCACAAAGTGATTTGCCATTTACAGGCGTCACCACTGTCCGACCGCGCATTGCACAGCACGACACCGGTGAACGGGAGTAGCCATCACCACCACCAACACCAACAACAAGACACCACAGGCGGCACTCAGCCGAGCTGCCTTGAGAGCCACAGCCTTTAGGCTATACCCTGCCGAGTTAATAGCCCAAAAAAATGGCGGTCAGTAGCGATCCAGACTCCGAGGATCGCAGCCACCACAGCAGCACGCACAGCGATAAAGACGATATCCCAGTACGGCCGGAAGAAGACGATCTCGACCTGCATGACCATGACGATGACAACGACAACGACGACAACCTGGAGCGGACGCCGACGCAGCTGCTCGACCCGGAGGCGCCCGGTTTCGCGGGCACCCTGGGCCGTGCTCTGAGCAAGATATCGACGAATGCCGGACCGAACCCGGGGCCGGCGCCAGACGGAGGTCGGAAGGCGTGGCTTGCTTGTATGTTCTTGATTAAAGTTCCGAAGAGGTTTCTTTTGGGGTGGGCTTGAAGCACTTGCTGACCAGGTCCCGTGTGGAAATGCAGGTCTTTGTGGACATTTGATTGTCTCGAACACGTGGGGTTTCATCAACTCCTTTGGGATATTCCAGAGATATGTAAGTTTCAGTCTTGGTGCTTCGCGCTCCTTCATCGCTGCGTGTTTTGCGATCAATAGCAAACAAGTACTAGTAGGGTCACAGACTCTGACAGTGCCCCTTGCAGTACGTCGATATGCTCGGCCGGTCACCATCCGACGTGTCGTGGATTGGCTCGCTCGAGGTGTTCCTGCTCTTCTTCCTGGGCATGTTCACGGGCCGCCTGAGCGACGCGGACCTGTTCAAGCCCTTGATCGTGCTGGGCACGTTCCTCATGGTGCTCGGGTTCATGATGACGTCGATCGCGACGCAGTACTGGCACCTCGTGCTGTCGCAGGGCGTGTGCATGGGCCTGGGCGCCGGCTGCCTGTTCGCGCCCTGCCTGGCGACGGTCGCGACGTACTTTTCGAGCAAGCGCATGCTGGCCATTGGGATTGTAGCGTGCGGTTCCGTCACGGGCGGGCTGGTGTACCCGGCGATGGCGAGGCAGCTGCTGCCCATGATCGGGTTCGCCTGGACGATGCGGGCGATCGGGCTCATCTCGTTGGCGACGCTGCTGCCGGCCAACTTTCTGATGAGCTCGAGACTGCCGCCGCGGAGGACGGGGGCACTGGTGGACTGGGAGTCGTTCAAGGACCTAGGCTACACCTTTTATGCCGTGGGCATGTTCTTTGTGAGTTTTGCCTTGACTTTTTCTTTGAGTGAAACCCCGCTGCCCTTTGTCAGAGACATGGATTGGCTCAACAAAAGCTGACGCAGTTGTGTGCCGCGCAGAACTTCTGGGGCTTATACTTCACCTTTTACTACCTCGTCTCGTACAGCACGACATGGGTGACGCCGGCGTTCTCGTACATTGACGCGCTGAACCTGCTGCTGGTGCTCAACGGCATCGGGCTGGTGGGTAGGCTGCTGCCCAACTACCTGGCGGACCGAGTGGGCCCGCTGAACCTGCTGGCGCCGGCGTGCCTGATGTCGGGAGTGCTCATGTTTGTGTGGATCGTGATTGACACGCCGTGGAAGCTGTACGTGTGGACGACGTTCTACGGCATCTCTGGCGGGGCGATCCAGTCGCTGTTCCCGGCGGCGCTGAGCTCGCTGACGACGGACCCGCGCAAGCAGGGGACGCGGATGGGCATGGTGTTTACGATAGTGAGCTTCGCGGTGCTGACGGGCAACCCGATCGCGGGGGCCATCATCACGGGCACGCCGGGGGGGAGCTACGTCGGGGCGCAGTGCTTCGCCGGGTGCGACCTGCTGGTCGGGGCGGGGTTCATTACGGCCTCGCGGATGGTCAAGATGAGGAAGTCGGGCGCTGGGTGGCTGTTCAAGGCGTAGATGGAGGAAGGGAAACGAGAGAAGAGATGGTGGGGAGCAAGAGTGCAGAATTGCAATACATAGCGTAGGCATCTGAGTGAGAGCGAATGAATCTTGTTCAACTACGTGGCTGAGCCGAACAGTGCATGTCCAATGAATGGCATTTTAGGGGTCCTCAGGCACACACTCCCCCACTGCCTTGGGGACCCGTGCCACGTGCAGCCAGGGCAATGACGATCCCTTCTGTCACAACAACAATCGACTGTCCGAACCACACACACACACACACACACACACACACACACACATCACGGGGCCGGGATACCCTGTGCCGCACGACAGACGGAGTCAAACCATATATATCCACTTCTTCTCCAGCTCACAGCTTCCCCTTTGTCGTGGCTGTCCACCAGCCAGGCGTGCCGCCCTGCCTGTAAGCCGACGACCCGCTGGGAACACCGGACCCGGGCCCACGCTCGGACGGGGCAAGACCTGGGGGAGCCTGAAGATGGCCAAGTGTTGTCGATCTCAGGAGGTGTGCGGCCACTGGCGGCCCTCCATGGCCGTCCCGTGCTCGTCCGGAACGGCGGCGCCCTCTGTGCACAGGTCGTGACACATTTGCCCGCATCGTCGACTCTGCAATCTCTCTCTCTCTCTCGCTCTTCCTGCTCCTGCTCCTGCTCATTGCTGTTTTCCTCGACAGGCACGACTGAGATTGCAAAAACGAAAACGGCGGTCTCCATCGCATCGTGCGATGCTCTTAGAACCCCGCCCACCACAACTACCACTCCCACCTCACCACCACCACAGCGCAGCAATGGCTTCACCGGAACAGCTGCCCGCGCCGGCCCTCTCGCCGGCCCAGCTCGAGGCATACCTCACGCACATCGGCCTCCCTGCCAGCACCGAGGACCCCAAAAAGGCCGCGGCCACGAGCCGGAAGCCCAACCTGCCCTTCCTGACGCAGCTGCTCGAGCACCACATCTGCGCCGTCCCCTACGAGAACCTGGGCATGCACTACTCGCGCGACAAGACCATCTCGCTCGACATCCAGGCCCTCTACGCCAAGTGCATGAGCAACGGCCGCGGGGGTTACTGCCTCGAGAACACGCTCCTGTTCAACCACGTCCTGCGGGGGCTCGGGTTCCACGCCTGGATCGTCGGCGCGCGGGCCCGCCCCAGGGTCGAGGGCGTGCCCACGGGGGATTACACGGGATGGTATGGTTTTTTGGCCTGTTCTTTTCTCTCTCTCTCTCTTTTTTTCTCCTTCTTTCTTTCTAAATTCCGAATCTTGAATTTCTAAAGCCTCATGTTTCGGTTTTTCTGGTTTTGTTTTTTGTTTCTTTTTCTACATCAACAATCGTTGATGATCATGGCTTCTCTACGGCTACTGCCTTGGACGAGAGAAAAAAGGGAAAACCAGTAACTGACGAGAGGCCCCACTGCCGAGGCACAAAAGGCTGCACACGGTAAACATAGTAAAGTTCACCGACGGCTCAAAGTACATGGTCGACGTCGCCTTTGGCGGCGACCTGGCCACGAGGCCGCTCCTGCTCTCCCCCGGCCAGATCACGCACAACGGGCTGGGCACGCAGCAGGTCCGCCTCGAGCGGGGCACCATCCCCGGCAGCCTGAGCGGGGACAAGGTCTGGATCTACCAGTACCGGAACAACAGCAACCTCACCACAGGAACGAGCGCGACCGAAGGGGGCTGGAACGCGTGCTTCTCGTTCACCGAGACCGAGTTCCTCCCGCAGGACCTCGAGGTCATGAACCTCTACACGAGCAGGGACCCGCGGTGCTTCCTGGCCTCGAGCGTGCTGGTCGTGCGGTTCCTCAGGAAGGAAGGGGAGGACGACGATAAGGGACAAGGCGCGGGGGGAATATACGGCAAGCGCATGCTCGTCAACCACGAGGTCAAGGAGAACCTGGGGGGCAAGACGACCGTCATCCGCACGTGCACGTCCGAGGCCGAGCGCGTCGCCGCCCTGCGCGAGCTGCTCGGCATCGAGCTGACGGACGAAGAGGTCCAGGGGATCAAGGGGTCCAAGGTGGAGATCGCGGGTGGTGCTTAGTAGGTGGGTGTGTCTCGCGTGTGTGGTGGTGGGATTGCAGGACCCTCGGGGGCATATATGACTTTTTATAGATTTTTTTGGGCATTTATTTGCTTTATAGACAGTATATATAGGGTGCAACCTCTCCACAGATCCGCGCCCCCGGGCGGTGGCTGCGGGCGAGAAAGAGTGCTGCATGAATATCTATAGACATAGATATATAGATACATAGACACAAGCCATAGAAAGCATACATGTCTGGACCATGTCATGGCACGGCATTGCAGGATACTCGGGTGCGGCGCAGACCACCTGGTCCTGCTCACAGCTCACACTTCCCCATCTGTAGTGCAGATGGAGGACAGCATGATTCCATGTTGAATGTCTCCTTTGTGAGTTGCCATTGGATCAGATACCCCGTCGTGGACTTCCATGAGGGCTCTTCGCCACCGAGTCAAGGTTGTAAGTCGATCGCACCGGAACGAGTCCCCTGCAAATATTGACGCGAAGTTCTGCGCGCGGGCCGAGCATGTAATCTTGCCAAGCGAGCAACAACAGAAGACGAGATGGCAGAAATCACGCCACAAAAGACATTACATCGGGCTTTGTATGCCATATCTTGTAGCCAGCCGAACAATGGCACACCATATACTTGATTATATACAATATCAGCATCCTCCAACCAGACGTTTTGATCAGGGACTCCAATAAATTCCAATCGACAGGGGAAATTAAGCAAGCACCCTAGGCACTTCATGGTGGATCGGTAGCGACGACGTGGAGGTAGTGTTTCGAATCCACCAAGTTATGGTCACGAGCTTATACCGTCTACGTCGACAAAACGGCTTTATCTCATGCCTTCTCCACTTCTCCGCCGCTGGGTGGTATCGTCTTTACGCTGGGTTGTCTCCGTCGTGTTTTGGTTGTTGTTGTTGTTGTTGGCTTCCTGACTGGGTGTCGCCTGCGCTGTTTCGTGGCCAATACTGGCATCCTCACTCTTTTTGTCATTGCCGTTCTCGGCCTTCTTATCAGCTCCTTTATCCTCCTCTTTGATTTTGGGCGTAGTCGCGTGGCGCCAACTGCCTCTGAAGAGATGCTTGGCAAGAGCAGCCTCGGGAATCGTGCCGTCATTGGTGCTCTTGGAGTGCGGCTGCCCAACACCAAAGCCGTCAATGGGCAGAATCATGATGTCGCCAAAGACCCGCGGGCCCGTCATCCCGGACAGGTCGCGCAGTGTTTTGAGCTCCGGCTCGATCTGCCGCAATTCAGCAAAGACGACATCAGTCCATGCCGCCGGGCCCGTGCTTGTCAGCACGTCCAAACTCGACGGCTTGAGATCTTCCAAGGTCGAGTTGTTCTCCCTGACGACTTCTCCTAAGCGCCGGATCCCGTGGTCCAACATCTTTGCTAAAAGACGGTGGCCGGGGGCTGCAGCGATTGTCCACTGACAGAACTGAAGCTCGTGCGGGATATCCACCCACCCGGTCCCCTCGCCCTGGTCAAACTCGATGCCAATGAGCATACGAATGCGGTCGCGGTGGTCTTGGGGCACCCATTTGTCGATCGGCTTGAGCGCGATGGTGTCGATATCAGTGTATACGCCTCCCTCGTTGAAGAGAAGCATGTAGCGAAGGAGATCAGACTTGATGCCGGTGTTGCGGAGTTTGTGGAAGGTAGACGCGATCTCTGAGCGATCGCTGTAGTATCGGCTGAGCACTTCATCTGCCCCAGACAAGCCTACAAGCTTGTAGGAGTAGTCGGGGTTCAGGGCTAACCATGAAGGCGTTTCCTTGAGCTCTTCCGGGTTGATGATGTGCGAGAACATGTTTTGCCAGATCTTTCTTGGTATCAGAGGCCCCTCTTGAACAACCGGGTTGTCATGAAGGTCGTCGTGAGGGTCTTCATGAGGGTCTTCATGAGTTGTTGGGTGCTGATCTTTCCAGGCCTGCACTGCTCCTGATCCCGCTGAAGATCCGTAGCCTGGCGGATCGGCGGTATCCTCGGGGACCTGCCCATCTGCAACATGTCCATTTGAATCGAAGGGTAGGCGAGAATGATCGGGTGACTCGACCCGATGTCTTGTGTGGGCTAGATATATGAATGCTGTCGCGAAAACGGCCCAGATTATGACGACAGTGCCTCGAAGGGACGGCTTCCGCGGCCCCCCAAGCCTGATGGGGGACAGCATTTCCAACTCGTTGAAAACCGAGCAGGCGAGAGGTTATGTACAGACGAAGCGAACAGATGATGTGTCGAGTTGATAGTCCACTCGAGACAGGGCGAGTCTTGCCAGGTGTGCACTACCTGGGAGGAGTTACCGAGAGAGTTGGATTGTTGACGGAAAGGAAAGCACAGTCAAGCACGTTACGCGGTTGTCGATTTGAGAAGGCATGGACCGACAGGAAACCACGTAGGCGAGGAACGTCGGTTCTGGTAGCAGGCAGGAGATGCTCGGGAAAACCCATAGGGATCTGGCCGGAGCTTATTGGGAATGCAGACAGAGGTCTCGAGAGGAGCCTCCCTAGGCCAGACATGTGCGTGTGTGCGGACTGGGCGGGCCGCCCAAAGTATTGGGGAGTTATCCCTCTGGGCAGAGGAATCAGAGGCAGCAAGGGATCCAGCAAGGGATCCTGCACTAACACCAGATGCTACGTTGAAGCTGACTAGACAAGGGAACGGAAGCGGGCGTCACCTCCACATGATGTCCAGATCGGGTCGTGTTCCCTGGCCGTCTTGGCAGCTGCGAAGGCGGAACGGTGACATGCGCTTGCCCTGCGGCGGAAGCACATGGCCTGGCCTGGTCAGCCCAAGCATGATGGCGTACAGCCTAAACCTTGATTGACTGACTGACGAGGAATCCAGGCGGCTCTGTCTCGACGTCTATCGAGATTCGTCGAGATGATCCTTCCTTTCTCCAAGTCAAGAGGTGGGTGGGCTTGCTTGACACCTGGCCAAAGGTACGCGTATGCACTGAACCAGGCCGCGGCCATCTTGGACTGGTGTTTACGTGTTGGACGGTTGCAGCTACACGAGGCCAATCAGTCTACCCGAGCATGTCTTTGTATGGTGGAGGCCTGGGTGTGTGACCATGCTCGAGTCTGGAACTCGGCCGCGACGTCAACCAAGATGATCGACTTGCACAGTCGATCTTGTCCCACTGCCTGACTCGGGTGAAAGCTTAGGAGAATCCCTGGGCGTGGTCGAGTCCAGGGCGGTGGCGGGAAACTCTACTCACCAGGACGGCCCGTCGACCATGGCCAGTTCCTGCAAACGTCAGAAAGCTCGTTTACTGCCACGGTGTCTCGGCGGCCTGGCATCGAGCAGGAACCAGTTGTTTGCGACCACGAACCATCGGACTGCCCAACGCTTGCAGCGATTATTTGCTCGTAAGCCGCAAAGGATTCCGGATTCCAGCACGGAAGGAGGCAAGGAAAGAGGGTGCGGTTTCGGGAATGTAAGACATTTGACTGCAGGGAAGCAGCATTGCCAAGAAAGTGGCACCAACGACCAGAGTGCCAGCTTAGCTTCCACTAGCACAGCATGCCGGCCCTACATAAACATCCCAAGCAGTGGGCTCGTCTCCAGACCGTGCTGTGGCATCGACGGAATACGTACTTATGCTGCAGTTGCTTGGCGTCAGCTGTCGTGAGACGATGTTTTGTCCACACCTGCATGCACATGGCAAGGATCCCCCCTTGTCTCGGAAGGCTTACACAAGTGGCCGCACTTTGCAGGTGCCAAATACGTAGCGTAGTTAGAGCCCCGCTCGGTCCGCTAGCACTCTGACTGGTTGGATAATATTACGGGAGTACGAAAGGCCCAAACTTTACACGGACTCCAGCCCCCAATGCAGCAGTTGCGCCAAGGCGAAGGAGCCTGGCTGGGTGCAACATGAGCAAGTTGGCCACTTAGTACGAGGCATACAACAAGAAGCCAGCAGAACATGTACTGCTCACAAGCCTGTCCCAGGGGCTGGCGGCGACGACAATTCGGACATCGTTTTCAATACAATGTATTGTTCAATAGCTAAGCTAGCCAAGCCCAATGCCTCTAACGCCAATATGCCCGAAACAAGGTGGAACAAACAGAATAAGGTCTCAGATGCCTCGCAAGAGTCAGCCAGCCACCGTCGATCAGTGGCCCGCCTGTCCTGTTGCAAAGGTTGAAAGGGATTACAGTTCCCATCCTTACAGCTTCATCCCGGTCGCCTGTCCGACCTTGAGGCCTTGCCGCATGCTCAGGTCCAGCATGATCTCCTCAGAACCACCGGGGATGGCGTACGCGCGGACATCGCGGTACAGCCGCTCGACCTTGGCGCCCTGGCCGCCACGAGAGTAGCTGAGACCACCAAAGATCTGTGACGCCTCACGCGCGCAGAATTCAAACGTCAGCGTGCTCTGCGCCTTCAGGCCGGCAATGGCACCGCCCAGTCTGAGCATGGCCTCCTTCTCGCCCATCTTCTCACACTGGTAGATGAGGTTCTCGAGCCAGTTGTACGACGCCTCAATCTGGCGCGCCATGTGGGCCAGCTTCATCCGGATGACCGGGTGGTTGATAAGCTTTTGGCCAAAGGTCTGTCTCTTGTTGGCATACTTGACCGACTCCTCATAACAGACACGCGAGAAGCGCAGACTCTGGATGATGATGCCGATCCGCTCGTGGTTGAAGTTGGTCATGATGACTGGAATACACCGTGTTAGCTCTGTTGGTTCATATTGATTCTGAGCAGGGAAGTCCCAAGGGACGACATGAGCCGGACTCACCCTTGAATCCTTGGTTGACCTTGCCAATGACGTTCTCAACAGGCACCTTGACATCCTCAAAAGTGATGTAGGTGGTTCCGCTGGACCACACACCCTGGCAGTCCATGCGACGGGTGCTGACACCGCCGAAGCTGCGCTCAATCAGCAGCAGCGAAACACCGCCCATGCCTTCGCCGCCTGTCCGGACAGCTGTGGTGAAGTAGTCACACCAGATACCGTTGGTGATCCTGCGCCGTGTTAGTTGACCGAACTTGATTTAGAGAGCCACTTCTTTGTTTCGCCAACCAGAACTTACCACTTCTTCTCGCCATTCACAATGTAGTGCTTTCCGTCCTCGCTGAGCTTGGCCTCGCAGGTGAGGTTGGCGACATCACTGCCGGCATCAGGCTCGGTGATGGCCAGGCAGATGCGCTTCTCGCCAGACAGGAGACCGGGCATGATGCGGTCCTTGACGGACTTCTTGGCGAACTTGATGGCAGGCGGGCACCCGATGCCGAAGCCGCCAATCATGTTCCAGACGAAACCACCAGAGCCGACACGTGAGAGCTCGTCCGTGATGATCATCTCGTGGAACAAATCCCAGTTGTCGGGGTGCACGGACTTGACATTGTTGCCATTGGTGTACTGGACGGGGTATTTGACACCAAGCAGGCCAGCAAGGTAGCCACGGCGACCGGCCTCGAGGAAGATCTCCTTGGGCACCTCCTTCTTCTCATCCCACTCGGTGACGTTGGGCTCGATGGCGGTTTCGACCCACTCGCGGACCTCGGCACGCAGCGCAGCGTGAGTCTCGTTGAAATAAGGCGAGTGGTACTGGATGTGGAAGCAGTTAGCAATCGCCGTGTAGAATGTCAATTTTGCTCAAACTTGGAAAACACCTACGCTCTGGTACCAGCTGGGGTCGGCATAGGGAATGAGATCGCCAAATGGGTTCAAGGCCTCGGACTTGTCATGCGACACCTCAATCTTCTTGGCCGGCTCAGGCGCGGCATAGACGGGCGATGGTTTGGCCTCTGCAGCAGCAGCAGCAGCGGGTGCGGCATCCTTGGGCTTGGAGTCGAGGGAGCCGACCTGGAGCGAGGCCTTGTACTTGTTGAGGATGCCCTGGTTGTGGTACTTCCAGAACTGCTTTGAGGCGTCCTTGCCGGCGACGCGGGTGAGGATCTTCTTGCCACCAGGGTGCTCGTCCTGGAACTTTGTGAGGTCGTAGACATCGTCGTCGACGATGATGTAGAGGTCGTCGCCCTTGTTGTGCGACGCAACGTCGCTCTTTGTGAAGGTCTTGGCCATGGTGACAGCGGCTAGAGTGGCAAGGCACGAGCGGCAGGGAACGGAAACGCTGGCGATGAAGCTTGGGAAGTGGAGAGTCTGGGGAGTGGGCGGGCTGTGGGGACGGGAAGGAGTTGAGGGTTTATAAAGGGACGCGCCAGGTTTGATTGAGGATCACAAGGAAAGGAGGAGAAGGGGATCTCGGCACGGGCCCAGAAGAGAGGGCTTTGAATTGGGCGAGGCACGATAGGGCCGTTTCGACTCTGGGGAAGGCGCGGGTGCCGGGCAGGTGAGCCTGGCTTGCTTGCTCGGCAAAGTAGCGTAGCGAGGTGGAGCTGAGTGGGCGTGGATGCGCCAATCGTGGAGCGGCCTGGCGAGCCGGGCTCTGTCACATGTCCGCCGCAAGCAGCCTCGAGGAAGCGTGGGCTTGACTTCCCCATGGGGGGAGCGAGTGAGTGCGCCTCGACCCTCTGACGACCGACAATTCTGCATGCACTGGTTGGTTGGCTGATTCTGCCCATCTGTCCGCGTTGCAGGTAGCCTCAAACTGACTCGACCCGAAGGCGGTATGATGCAGACATGACATGTCACCACACTTTGAACACGACTGTAGCAACTGCTTCAATCTCATACCGGCTGTTGCGAGAGGCACTCTACGAGACAAAGTGAAGAGACCGTTGGAAGTCTTTTGGTCAGCAAGCGAGGCCTTGTTGCCAACAGCAGTACAGCTCCAAGGAGGTCAGGTGGCCAACCTAGATGTGCATGACTGCTCTCTCTGGTGTAGTTCGCTGTGAGCAAGCGCGAGCTGACATGTGAAAAGACACAGTGGGTCTAACCCCTGATGTCATGACTGCCAGTGCTAAGAGTGGGGCTCTTCTGTGAGGTTGTGCCGAGGCTAGTGGGGTCCATACGTTCACTCTGCTGGGCCTTTGTCCTCCAGCAACTACGTACACATTATGCATGCGCCAATCACATCCCCTTTGTTTCAACCTGGAGCCCTTCCCATGCTGCGGTTGGAGATCTCTAGCCAGCGACCTCGTGGCAGCTACTTATTATGTAACTACTGCCTGTGTGCTGCGTACGAAAGCTCATCAAGCGGACCGGTTCAAGCCTCCTGGTGTCGAGAGGTGAATGGAGCGCAACGATCAGTGTCTACAGCGTCTTGTCAACATCGCCCGAGGCACAGAGCACAACCAGGACGCAGGTACGAGCATCCTTGCAATGCCGATGCCGACCTGGCTCGCTCCCCCGTCCGATGCAGGCACCCGGGCGGGCCAATGTCGCTCAACAACAACGGCGGCTTCCGTATCAGGTAATACCCCAGACTTGCCTGCCAACCAACCCCAGATCCCGCCAGTCGCGGGACACACGCGGAGAGATATGCTAGCCCCATCCATCACTGCCCCATTGCTCTAGTCTACTGTCTACATGCCTTCGACCTTGGTTATGCTTGTCAGCCGCGTTGGTCACAGTCAGAAAAGAGAGATGATTCACGTATGATCTCCAGGCCAGAGCTCAGAGGTGTCATCGGTTCGCGGGCAGCGCACTAAGTGTGACATGGTGACATGTCTCGGCGCTTTGTCACGCACGATGGCACTTTGCCGTGCTCCCATAGTACGAGGCACTCTGCTGCCGTCCTGCCCGAAACAACGCCACCCGTTCGTAAGAGGCGACAGATCGATTTTATGACCCCTGGGCTCCATGGACTCCTGGCGGATATGAAGCTGGACATCCATAAGAGGGAGACAGCTAAGATGGAGAGTCGGCGGTTAGCATTGAGGGGAGATGGTTCTTTGAACACAATCCACCCAAGCGTCATTACTGAATGCTGTTGACGTCTGTACACAATGCGCCTCGGACTCGGATCATTGTTTGTGGGCGTTGGCCTTTGGAGACAATATGTATTTGCCAAAGACCAGGGCCCGTGGGCCGAGCAAGTGATAGACACGACCTTTGTGTCTGTCGTCCGCACCACCACGAAAATCATCAAGGCGGAGCCAGACCACGTCACGACGAGGCCAGACTTCACCATCGGGGACGGTGACGGGGTCCCTCTGCAGCACGGCTTCACCACGGTCCCGCTCTTCTCGACCGAGACTTACGAGGTCGAGGAGTGCCAGTTTGACAACGACGACCCGGGCTTCAGCAAGTGCCACACCGCCACGACCGTCGTCACCTATGTGCGCAGCATCTCGACATCCTGGTACGACGACGTGACAGACACCTGGAACTCGCCGCCGCCGTGGCAGCCGACTACCATCACCTGGGAGCCGACCTCTGTGATCCCCCTGCCGACGATCCTCCCGACCACCCCGACTGCGGGCTATCCGCACCCGCCGTCGTCCTACGGCGCTCCGCCATGGGAGACGTCGCTCGACCTCTGCGACGTCTTCTCGGCGACATGGTGCCAGACGACGTCGAGGACGGGCAGCATCAGCAACACCTTCAGCTATAGCCACAGCCACACCCACGACACCCTGCCAGACCCGTGCCTGACCTCTTCGCACTGGTGGTGTCCGACACCGACGTCGTGGTCGTCGAGTGTAGGCACATCCACCAAGACCCGGACAAGAGATCCCATAACCACCACGGACACCGCCGCCGCCACCACAAGTCCGAACGGCACAACACTATCCTTCGAGCCCACGTCCGTCTGCATCTCGCACAACTTGACCACAACGCACTTCCCCATCCCAACCCCATTTCTTACTACCACCAGCACCAGCAGTACCGGCCTGGGCACATGGAACTCGAGCACCACAACAGCGCGGCCGACGAACGGCACAGCGACAACAATCATCCCAGTCAGCACGACCACCACTACCACGTCGAAACCGCTGTACATCAACTCGACTTCTTTCTTTGGCGGTGGTAGCGGTGGAGCTGCTCCAACAACAACAACAACGACGCTCGTGTCCGATAGTGCGTCACTGCTCCTCCCCACCACCACCACCACCACCAACGGGACGAACATTGACAACACTTCCAGGACGGGCCAGTCCCCGCCTACGCCGGTACCTACCACAAGAATGACACCAAAGTCACCAGGGCAAGAGTCTTCTTCCTCCTCCTCCTCCTCCTCCCACAGTATCCAGCACGGTCAGCATCCAAAGCATACCCTGTCCAAGCACGTGTCCTCGGCGACGTGGCTGCCCAGCACGCAGGACCCTGCCCGGACGACGTCCACTATTGGTGGAGGTGGAGGAGGGGGAGGAGGAGGACACCACCCAAGCGGTGGTGGTGGTGGTGGTGGTAGCAGTGTTGGGCACAGTGGCGGAGATCTTGGTTAAGGAGTGCCAAGGCAGCGAGACCGGCAGTGATGAGTAAGAAATGTTGTGTTCCAAGAGGAAACACACACACAAGATGTCCTGGGAGACCCGGCCTCGAGATGTGGAATGAAAGTAAGGCCAGGCAGTAGTGGGAGTGGCTCCCTTGCTCTCTTACCCGGGGCACGAACCGTCAGTCCTACTACTGACCAGCCAGCCAGGTGAGATGTCTCTCTGGTGCAAAAGGCTTTGTACTGGCTGGCTTGTCACCTACGTACTCGTCGACGGCTCATGTCGTGATAAGCGGATAAGAGAACGGGTATTACGATTACCTGTCTGTCTATTGACCATGATTACCTATGTGAAAATGATTTGTAACCTCCGTAGGTCGTTCCTTCCCCTCTTTTTTATTACTCAGACATGAGATATCCTGTGCTTTGTCGTCAGAGCCCGCGAATTGGACCGACTGGTAGCCCAAAGTGTTCACGAGTTGGACACTCTCTTGTAATTGTGGTCGCTGGCCGCCATGAAGTGTCGTGTGATAGATGACTGGTCGCTCTTGATCCTGCGCCCGGTCCGCAAGCTATTCTGCATCGAGAGGCTTCTGTGCGTAGACAATCTTCTGGGGCAGATATATTCGCGCGTTCGGCGCGCGTATGGCTTTTCGAAACCTCGCAAGGTACACGTGCATCTCTTCGATGGGCTTCTTCAAAACACGGGTCCAGACATAGGATATATAGCCTGTGGATTTGTTAGAGAAGGGATCAGAACGAGGCTTCTGGACAGAGAACGACCACGGGTCCTCTCGTTGCCGCGTATGGGCACTGAACGGGGGTAGGGCTTACCTTCCAAGTCTTGGTCGAGCGCGAGATAAGCATAAAGACCTGACTTTTTCAGCCTCGGCTCTGACGACCAAGGTCCAATTGGGGACTACGCAAGTGGGCAGAAAGGACGTGTCAGTCTCGAGTGTGCCAAGACCTTTCACGCCAGGCCCCCTGATCCGGGCCGTCTGGGGAACTCACCTTCATCTGCACGACCTCGATGTTCTTAAAGCCAGCAGCTTCTATGCCGGTGACCTGGACATTCTCGCTCACAACTTGAAACGTCCGGCCCATCAGCTTGCCGGCCTCCCCGAAGTAACGCGGCCACATCCTCAGCGGAGAGTCCTCGGCGATCTCGCAGTCGTCGCTGGAAAACATGGCTTCGGTCTCGTAGCTCTCGATCCACCCGCCCGGCCGAAGAGCATCGTACGCCTGCCGGTACAGCTTGGGCCAATCTTGTATCGCGCCACCCATTGTGCGCATGTGGATAAAGTCGAACGAGCTGCGTGCAAACGTCCATTGCAGTTCCGCGTCTTCCATCTCGAAGCGGCAGTTTGGCGCCGTCCAGGCCGGTTGTATCGGAGAGATGTCTGTGCCTATGACCTCTGCGCCGGGAAAGTCGTCGGCAAAGTCGCTGTTGTCTGCGTCAGCATGATTGCTCTGGTCCAGAGACCTGGCTGAAGAAAAAAAGAGCCTCGACTCACTTGGCCCACATGCCTATGCAGGAGTACGATTAGCTTGGAATCCGTAGTTGCCTGGTTCTGTTGCTAAAGGTGCCCTCACCTGTACCTGTGCCGATGTCTAGCACTTTCTGCATGTGAAGAACAAACCGGCCGTCAGCGAGGTTTCGTTTTTCATATATAGAACGGCACGACATTTGTGTGCCAAAACCGACACTCCCAGACACTGTGGACACGAGCACTGACTCTGATCTTTTCTTTCTGCAGTGGCGCCAGGAAGAGTTTGTTCTCTAGCAGGCATAAAAACACCTGGTGGCTGTTTTCATGGCCGGGTCAGCTGCGAAATCCCGAAGAATGGGACTCGGGTTCGGGGTCTTGGTATATACCTGATGTCCTCGGCATCGCTGGATCGCTCGTCGTTGGGGCCCCAATACGACGAGCCGTGACTCGCACTGTGATACCTCCGGCCATTGATCAGGCGATACTGCAGAATGCTTTCCGAGAGGGAGACTGTCGACATGCTGCTACATGACGGGTCAGCCTGCCCTGACCGGATCCTTGACGCACGCCCACATTGGGAGGGCCACAGCAACAACATACTCATCATCACGAAAGTCATCTTCGCCCAGCGCCGAATCCACGTCAGAGCCGTCGTCGTCGTCATTATCATCGTCGGTCGAGTCCGCCTGCATTTGATCGGCCGGGTCCTGAGCACTACGGAGCGGCGAGCCGGATGCAACGGCGGCTCGGCCAGGAGGAGAAGCGTCTGCATCGGGGCCGACACCGGGCGCCGCGGGGGCGGGCTTTGCGTTGGGATCCGTGTGACGAGACAGCCGACTGCCGGCGCGGCTTGACACGTCGTGTTCCATGTGGGCGATCCGTCGGCAGCAGGCCCATCAGGGATGCGCGCGCTGTGGGTAAGGACTGCTAGCAGACGGCTTTCTTTTGGGCAAATAATTCTTTTTTTGGCCAGAAACCCCGCGACGAGCACGCCGAATAAGAGGAATCTCAAAGAGGTGGACTGGGCCGCAGCTAATACGTCGCCGACTTGCACATTCCAGAGGAGGAGTGCTGGCGCGGGTGACAGCGCTCGACTAGGCAAGGAGAAGCGGTCTCTCAGAGTGGCGGCGGCGGATGGTGGGTGCGTGAGCGGCGGCCACTAGCTCGACTCGAGGACAAACCTTGAGGTCATTGCTGGACGGAGGCAGGCAGGCAGGCGATGTCGGGCAAAGGACGACAAGATCGCGGGGCTTCCTAGCCCCAACGCTGTGCCGTGCCGTGCCTGGCTACCACCTAGATGCGTAGTGTACATATCCCCATGGTGGTGGTTGGTTGGTTGGATCGGCAGAAGTGGCCGGGAGTGGTACTCCAGTTAGGGCTGGTGCAGTCGCCCGGCTGGGGTGTCAAGCTGGGACGAGGGGGCAGAGCAAGGGTCCCTGCATTGCACATCCATGTCACGCGGCGCTGGTTGCTTGCTGGCCCGTCTGTCACAACTGGACAACCAACAGGCCTCGTCCAAGTACGTCCAGACTAAATGGCCTGTATGCTCGTGACCACCACCCGCGTGCGGCCACGGAGACGTCCTGTCGCCTCCCCTAGGCCAGGCATGGCTTAGTACGACGAGAGGGACAGTGGCATGGGGGAGGGGGCGCAAATGGAAACCCTCTGCGGGAGCGCCTTTCCTCCTGCTTGCCACTGGGTCTGGGGAGCCTGAGGGAGGGGCAAACACAATTGGCAGTTCTAGAAGCTGACAGCCCCCGCCCCACCAGGCGCTCTTGCCGGCCCTTCACAGCCTCACGATGGCGTCGCCCCTCGCCGAAACTCTACCTTTAAGGTTTCTAGCTGAGGCGGGCCAAGAGTGCCGTCATCATGGGCCCTTCGTCTCGTCCCCGTCCAATGCTATGCTATGCTACGCTAATATGTCCCCTGCCTCTCGTACCTTTTCGCCAATGGGCTGGCCACCGCCTAGTGCTCGCTGCCACAAATGGTATGTTGTGGTGCAAAGTGTGTTGCTTGACACCAGTTGCTGGGGTATTGTGTCCCTGGCCGACGCCTCTGAACAAATGGCTGTCCTCGTCTCGCAAATGTTCTACCGACACACTGCGACGCCAACGAGCCAGCCCCTGCGCATGGCGATCATCACTCGTCTCCCTGTGCGCTCGGCTCTTCTTGGCTCTCTGCCTCTTGAGCGTCATCCCTGTACGCCACAGGGCTGTCCCGTGTCTCAGTATGGGATGGAGCTTTCTGGTTATCCTTGTTCTCCCAGAACCTTTATCGTTTTCCCTTTTAAGGCCTCCTTCTGCTCTCCACCACAAGTTGGCTCGCTCACCTTGTCAAATGAGCACACTGTCGGACCGCAGAGACACAGGTCTCTTTGCAAAGAACGGATCCACCGTGCTTGCACGACCACAAATATGATGGTAGAGATTGACGACAAGGCTGATAGACATATCACTCATGCAATCCGCATTCACTAGTGTTTGCCCGTGATTACTTATCGAGCATGGCCCAAGACCTATGAGCTTGGAAGATCAACAGGCTGTCGACATTTCATTGTGATGCATGGCCCGCGTGACCGCTTTTCCCCGGCAGCAAGCAAGGCGTGCAAGGCACCAGCCCTTCAGGACATGCGATGACTAGCCACACCGCTGTATGTGTTTCAAAGGTAAAGATCCATTGCCAATAGTTCATTTCGGCCAGGCACAATAAATACACCGCTCTGCAAGTGACTACCGCCCGCAGCTTTGAAAGGACATGGAAACAGAACCTTCGACGCAATGGAAACCAAACAGGTTGCAGCTGTTGCAAGTGTGCTTCTGATTTTCGAGCATCAGGCCGCTTGGGAACCTCCGCGAGTTCTTACTTGCAGTCATGGAAGCAGTTTTGTCTCATATGCTGGAGACTCTGATCAACTTGCGCGTTTCTTGTTGGAACAGACCCGGGCTAAAGATCAGGTAGGTATCAATAAATGCAGTTTATTTAAAAGCACATAGATCGAGTGGATTGGTGAATACTGAACCAAGCGGGACGTATGCTGGAGAAAGGATCCCAGGCGCTTGAGGCAGGTATGCAGAGATAAGCAGCCATCCAATCTCAGAAGAAAATCGTTGTTGTGCTCACCCTCAACACGAATTGACAGGAAGCAAAAATATAAACAAAGCATTCGCGAAGAAGACCTCAGAGCCAATTGATACGAGTACATCGTTTCAGAAGGTGAAGAAGGTCTACAATGGTTCAGATGCCGATGTTGTCATTCACAGCTCCAAAGGAAGGCAAGAAACACCAATAGATTTGGAAATGATGTCTATGACGGGGTTGCTGCGTCCTTCAATGGTCTCGGATCCAATGCGGTGGCTGCCTCGGATGAGTGCGCGCTCAACCTATTCAAACTTCTGGTATCTGAGGGGTTGGCTCAAAGGCGACCCAAGTCGACATAGCAATCACGCTACGAGCAGCATCCTCGATCGCGATGAGTACAAGAATCAAGGAATTCTATCACTAACGCTCAAGCTTCAAGCAGCTCAGAAATGGCGGGCTCATTACGGCAGTGCGAGACTCAAGGCTTCGCGAATTGGGCACTTGGTGATTCTGCAACTTGTTTCGACAGCAGAACAGAGCATGATTGCAGCACCAGTAAATCCCACCCTGACGCCGTGAACAGCTATCCTACCTCTGGGCCGCAGCAGCATTGTAGCACGAGTCTGACTATGGACTCTCGCCCTGACCTAGCCAGGCCAGCGGTTCATACCTTGAGTGCTTCGGAGCCGTTGGGAGAATCCACAAGCGCAGAGACTGCAGCAGAACAATGCTCCGGACCACAGCAGAGAATAGGTGTGATGCCTTGCTGGTCAGGAGAGACGCCTCAGGACAGGAAAGAAACTGCCTCACATCCCGTGTATATGAAGTGAGTTCTTGAGCCCACTCTCGACTGGAGTCTCCCACCAGCACAGAGCAGCAGTCTTGCAACTATTCACACATACAAAGTTTTACAGACGATAATACCCGGCAGAACTGATTAAACATGTGCTTTCCATTCATTCCCAAGAGGAAGCGGAGAAACCGTAGTGGGGGCCGAGCGCTTCGAGGATTGGGCATTTCTTCTCCTAGACAGAGGTAAGTACTCCAGTTTCCCTGGTCTCACGCAATAGACGTCTTGATGTCCTCATTCGTACCGTATACACATTCGCCTTCTTCATCAAGGGAATGCTCCGTAAAATGATGTCTCTATGAAGCCTTGAGGAAACACTTGTCAGCTCACTGACCGTCTTGAGCAGCAACGAACGCTACGGTTTCAACAACAATGACAGCCTGGAGATGAACTCTGACAGCAGCAGCACCTTGATGCCGCCGCCTCGCCTCGCCGATCGCCGCATCCTGGACCAGGCACGATTCCGGACTTCTGTTGCCGTACCCTCTGGAATCCAACTTGGCTCTGTGAACCGCAATGATGCAGACCGGCACCATCAGACGGAGCGAGGAGCCGGTGGTGGTAGTCCCTCTCGGCAGCAAGGGCAGACTCAGTACCATCATCATCACGAGCATCATCACCATCATGATCACCATCATCACCAGGAGCAGGCACGTACAGGCACACACTCGCGTGGGCTGTCTCCAGGCGAGCACTATCAACCTCCTGAAAATGCTCAGCAGGAAGAAAACGGGGTCAATGATGTCGAACGCGTCCGGACAGGCAGCATCCGCAGCAACAGCAACGGCAACGACCTGCCGCGATTCCACTACCAGCAAGCCAACCACGGCTCGCAGGTTGCCCAGCTCGTCTTGTCTAACGATGGAGACGGCGAAGAAAATGACGCGGTCGACTCTCCGGGTCTAACAGGCAGAATTTCAGGTCAAGCTCGTCCGAGAAGCAGTAGCCCCGTGAAAAGCAGCGGTATCAAGGGATCGAGAGGTCCAGGCCACCATGACAACACCAGCCAAACGACCATCCGGCTGGTCCAGCCAACTTATCAGCACGAGCTATTGCCCACGACGCCCGGAGGACTCGCGGCAGCATCATCTTCCGCAGGCATGGACGGACGTGGCCGCTCAGAACACACGGCATCATGGGCCGGTTTCGCTCCTCCCCTGGAGGCAAGAGAAGAGCCCGTGAGCCCAGCTCACCCCACGACTCCAGCCAGTCACGACTCCGCGAATTGGATGATCTCTTCTCAGGATGATGACTCCCGCGACGACAGCTACCCACCAAGAACCAGGAGTCCGGCCACGGGCAGAGTCGCCCAGATTCAGAAATCTCACAGCGCCCCCGTCACGCCTTTTCCCTCCCTGGGCAGTCACACCACCACCACTACCACCACCGACTACGGCAGCACCGGCACTCCCACGAAGACATCTTCATACTACTACCCGCCAGACGCCGCCGCGGCACGGTACGAATCCTACCAGGCGCTCGACGTGATCGACCAGGAGTCCATCAAGTCTCGCCTGTCCGCCGAGCGGGACCGCGTGATGGAGCGTCTCGCCCCGCGGCGAGGACCGAGTCCGTTCCCATGTCTGTCTGGTGCTGAAGGCGCCACGAGCCCCCACGCTACCCCGAACCACCACAGTCATGCTGACGGTCGCGCTCGCACTCGCACTCCATCCGTGGGAGGCTCGTCCGTCTCGGCCTTCTCCTTCTCCAACACGCCGCCGGGCATGAGTACCGCTCCACACACGCCTACGGGCAGAGCCTCCGCCGCGGGCCGGTACGGCGCTGGAACTGCCTCGCCCTTGGGTGCTGGTTCTGTGCGGAGGGGCAACAGTGACAATGGCAGCGGCGGCGGCGGTGGTGGTAATGGTGGCAGTAGCGGCGGCGGCAACATCAGCGGCATACTGGATCGGGCATGTCCCAAGTACAGGCCCAAGGACAAGGACAAGTCGCAAGGGGGTCCGAGGGATGGTGGGAATTAGGTGTCGCCTGGTGGAAATGTGCCATTTTATGTCCCATGATGAGATCGGGCGGTACAATGCCGGGCAGAGTTTCAGCGGCGACAGGCCGTGTGGCTCACTGTTATGTGGTGCTGGCAAAGTGATCTTGTCTCTGGGATAATTAGCACCTGTTTTGGATGGTCGCAACCGGCGGACTTGTCGAGAGGACAGTGTCAGAGCGTACGGGGGGCTTGCTATTGGCGCTCGACCTCATGCACGGCGACCTGGAGTGGTTTTGAGGGACAGTGACAGCACTGGATGGATCTGTCCCCACGGACTTGACTGCACGTCCAATGATTGCTGAAAGCTTACAGCCAAAGCAGTCACTGCTCGGTGCTACAGAGACACTGGTCACTACTTTTCAGAAGTGGCTTCGGGCCCGGACGTGTCAAAGGATGGAATGATTTGTTTATTTCTCGTAGATTGGGAGGACTTGATATTAGACGACTGTTTGACATCAGCCGGAGTAGGCACTACATTCCTGAGATCTTCGTCTTGTGCGTGCCGAAGACTTGCTCCGCGAACAATATGATCATGTGAAAATTACATTCTTGACTTGGATGCAGATATCTGAGATTCCCAAGACATAGTCACGTGGGCAACTGACAGAAAGTCGACGTGGCCAAAGTCGTGATTCACCAGCGACGTTCGTTCGTCCGTCGCTTTGCACTGAAGTGACAATTTATTTTGCATGTCTACAAACAAGGCTGCCACTTTCCACTCCTGCCCCTCATGTGTAGTATGATTCACCCAGGTAGAGAAAGAAGCCACAACACCTTTGCGGGACAATCAGAAGCAGTAGAAGTGCCTCAAGCCTTGTCACCATGTTTGTCCAGTCCCTGAGCGTGCCGGAGCTTCTGCTGCTCATGCTGAGCGGCCTCTACGGCTGCGATGTCCACATCCTTGTTGCGACTGCCCTGGAAAACACTGTCTGGGAGGGCATTAAGCTGCTCTTCCTCCTTGTCAAGCGCGCGGAACGTGAACCAGAATCCAATACCTCCCTGCCGTGGGTCGTCAGTAAAGGGAAACAGTACCAAAGGGAGAAACAACAACATATATGGAGGGGAATCACTTACAACAAAGGCGATGGCGGCGATTGCAGTATAGAGCCACACCAATAGCGGATCCGTAGAGAGTCCAACGAACGCTTGCGAGAGTGCTGCGCTGAAGGCCTGGCTGAACCAGAAGATAGAAGTGACCATGCCCCGCATGTTCTTCGGCGCCTTTGTGAAGGCGTACTCGAGACCCGTGATGGACGCCGCAATCTCGGAGAACGCAACCAGCACGTAGACTGGGGTTTGCACCCAGACGCTCAGGTTCGGAGGATTGTCGCACCCGTCGACAAAGCCGTACCCGTCAGTCTCGCGGCAAGGGGACAACATGTAGATGTAGTGCTGGATGATGGCAGACACAAGCATCGAGAGACTGCCAAGGAAGAAGCCCGCTGTCATCTTCTTGATCGGTGTAAGCTTGAAACCCATCTTCCGAAGTGCTGGATACACAAACTTGTCGCAAATTGGAATAAAAATAAGCAGCGCCAGAGGGTTGAGATTTGTGATGATGTCGTTGGGGACACCGTCGAGACGCATCGTAGCTGCTTGTGAGATGAGGTTGTTGTAGACCTGGTTGTAGGCGAGCCACCAAACCGGAAGCCAGACAAAGACCAGGCAGGCCTTGAAGCCACGACGGACTTCCTCCACCCAAACGTCGTCGAAAGTCATCCACTCAGGTCGCTCAGCCTCCGGAATGTTGCTGGGCTTGACAGCGTCCCAGAATCCATGCCCACTCCGAATTCTACCACGACTCTTCTTGAGGGCAAGGAAGAAGAGGCCGGAGGCCTTTCCGAGGACAGAGCCGGTGGGGGGCGTTCGTACATATTTGGACTTGAACGCAATCAAAACCATCGGGCATATGATGAAGAGCGCCGTGGGAAGGGTGAATGAAAGCCAGAACCCGACATAGTTTTCGGCGTAGACCATGGATATCTGGCCAGTGAGAGCGCCAACGTTGATGAACCAGTAGTAGCGCATGTAGATGACGGAGATTGTGAGCACAGGATCGACAATGACTCGGCGTCCATCATTCAGAGTTTTGATGACCGCGCGCGGCTGTTGTGCCTCGTACTGCTCGGCAATCATGGGCGAGATGTTGGCTTTGAAGAAACCAACACCAATGCCGAAGAAGATCAGACCGACTGAGAAGCAACCAAGTGCACCACTAGGATTGGCGATGACTGGAGGCAGAGCCGAGACAATGAGGATGATATGACCAAACATTGCGACGACAATTGCAATATGGATAGTCTTGTATTTGCCCCAGTACGAATCCGCAAAGTAACCACCTGAGGGACGTCATCAGCTGGTGTATCGTGTCGTATATTGCGCAATCTTCTTACCAAACAGAGGCATAAGATAGGCCCAAAAAGAGTTGAACAGGGTCAGACCAGTCGAAGCCTGTTGGCCGAAACCGAGGGCGCCGGCTTGTTCGATAGTCATTCCAGCACCCGTGGTTGACCCGGGTGGCAAAGGCTGTGAGATGAAGTTCACAACTGCCCAGATGAGGAACATTAGCAACTGATTGGAGGAAGTCATGCCTGATATTTGTGGACAGTTGATGACTTGATATGCTACTTACACACAGCTGTAGTACCGTAGTATGCGAACCTCTCGCAGAGCTCGATAAAGGCGATTGTGTAGATGATCCAGGTGATGGGCCCGGGGACGCGCTCGAGTGTGAGAAGCTCTTCGGCGGTAGGATATTCCTCGCCGTTGGGCCCTCGAAGCACGGTGGTGTCATCGCCAGACAGGGACTTGCTGGACTTGCGGTCGTTGTCCAGCGATGGCTGCACGTCGCTCTTGGCCATGCCACTGGCACCGTGGGCGCCATTGTCGAGGTCTACAGCATTGGCTCTAGCGGCCTCGATGGTGTCGAGATTGGCCCCTGTCGACATGTTGAACGATGTTCACACTACGTCCGCAGTGCCCCTGGGAGTAAAGTCAAGGGAGCAAGGAAGGGGTCTTTCAGAGCGCCACCTGCTATTGCCGAAATTGGTAGACTCGAGAAGACATTGTTGCGGAGGGCTATCGGGAGGACAGCGCCGTTTATGAAGGCAGACCGGAGGCCATGGTGGAAGGCAGGCAGGGTCGCACCGGGCCACGCCAAGAGGCGTGCGACACGGGCGACATCGAGCATTTTTCGTGTGCTTGCGAGCCGCAAGACGGGCGTTGGAGATAGGAGAGGCTGATTCCACTTTGTCCCGGTCGATCTTGCCCGAGGAAGGCAGCCGCAACATCGCAACGTCACGTTTCCAGCGGGCTATCAGTGGGCCAAGATGCCAAGGCGAAGAGTTGGGTGAGGCCAAGATGCTGGGCCAGCATGCTGCCACTGCTTTGCTGACCTTGGCGCTCAGAGTGTTCAGTGGACCCAAGACGGCCGCTTACAGCCGGAACAACAGGACATTGGCAGAAGGGTGAAGCACCGCAACCATCTCTTCCCCAGTGCTCCGCAAAAGCCCTTCTCCACGCGCCCGCGGACCTCTTGTGCGCCTTGGCTTGCCACTTGCGCGGATGTCGGTGCTCTCGCAGTACGTACCTTAATTACTGTTGGTAAGCTCTCAAATCAGAAAACAACCTTGACCCTGCTCAAGTGACCAGCTGCTCATTGGATCTGCGACAGCTTGAGGCTGCCGGATCGCGCCTCGTTCCTGCGCCATGGCACCTGGATGATGAGCTGGGACCACTGTCGCCCATCGTGGCAACCACAGTCCTCAAGGTCCCTGCGAGATGCTCGGCCGGCAGTTCAGTGAAGTCGATCGAGCCGGTACAGGAAGTAGTCTGGAAGCACCTGCGCACAACCTGTGCATTCAGCTGCAATGGGGCGGATTTGAGGCGTCAGCCCCCACGGTCAGCCGCAGCACCCGGCCCCGCCTGAGGAACAACAGCCACATCAACCAGCAGCAGCTTCCAAACAGAGCTGATGGCATACTCAATCGTGTTACTTATACTGGTAGTGACCGTCCGTGGGAGGACATTCGTGCAAGCGACTCCCTTGCCGATCACCGCCTGCCACGCTGTCGGCGCCACGACAGCACGATACCCTCTGGTTGAGCCATGACTGTCGCCGTGTCTGCTGTGCTCAGGTTGCGTTTCCACCCAGGATTATCCGGCGACAGACATCCAAGGTCAATCGTGAGCCGATGCCATCAATCCTTTGCCAAGAGGGGATGACGCGTCGCAACCATGCGGCTTATCAACACCCACACGTTCCAGCTCAAAGAGTTTCTGGACGATGCAATCCCACCATATGCGATCCTCTCCCACACGTGGGAAGACACGGAACTTGTGTACAAAGACATGCTTGGTGGGCCAGAAGTCCATGACTCCCCGGCATTCGCCAAGATCAGAGGTTGCTGCAACATCGCCCGGGAGTTCAGGCTCGACTGGGCCTGGATAGATACCATATGCATCGACAAGTCGAGCAGTGCCGAGCTGTCCGAGGCAATAAACTCCATGTTTGCATGGTACCAAGCATCACAAGTCTGCCTCGCCTATCTCTCAGACGTGCAATGGAACAACTTCTGGCAGGGCCAGTACAAGAAGGACGCCCTCAGACTGCTGGGGCGCAGTCGGTGGTTCACCAGAGGTTGGACGCTCCAGGAGATTCTGGCACCCAGCGAGGTTGTGTTTCTTGACCGCACTTGGACCAGGTTTGGCACGAAGGAAGGGTTCGCGGATATCCTAGAAAGCATCACGTCAATTCGCCGTGTTTTTCTCGTCTTCCCACAGCGACTCAGTGACGCAAGCGTGGCCGAAAGGCTCTCCTGGGCTTCGAACCGTCAGACGTCGAGAAAGGAAGACATGGCTTATTGCCTGCTGGGCCTGCTTGGCATCAACATGCCCCTCTTGTACGGAGAAGGCCACCGGGCCTTTCATCGTCTACAGCAAGAGCTCATCCGAAACGTCTACGACCATACCATACTCGCCTGGGGCTTGTACGCAAGCCCGTTTGCGCAGCTCAAGTACATTGTTGGCAGCACCCGTGAAGCGCCACCTCTGCTTGCTCCCATTCCGAGTGCCTTCGACAACTGGAGCTCAGCCAATAGGACTCTTGGCGAAGGGAAGCATTACGTGTTGACAAACCTGGGCTTGTATATCGAGCTGCTCGTTGTCCCATTCCACACCCCAGACGAGCTGGACAGGTCAAAGCCGGACAAGAGGGCCGTTGCTCCAGCTCTAGGACTGGCACTTCTCGATTGCTATGAATGGTCTCCCCGCGGCAAATATCGCGTGGCACTGCCGCTACAGCTTCAAGACCGCAGCAACTCCCACGTAGCTCCTCTGGCGAGACGCGCCCGGGCAGCAAGACCGTTCCTCGTGCCGGAGCATGTCGAGCAGCTGGGCAGGCGCCTGTCAATGTACCTGCAGGACGGCATCCGGGCGAAAAACGTCCAGACCAATGCAATGTGGTTCATCAACTGCCAGGCATTGTTTGCCGAGGGCTACTACCTCGCCGACTACTTCCCACCAACCCAGGTGGATGTCATACAGCAGCAAGGCGCGAGAAGCACAACTCTGTGTCTTTACAGTGAGCCCGGCGTGGAGTACTCCTTGATACGGTTGCAGCACAAGGAGTACGCGACGGTACTTTTACTCATCGAGCACCCGAAAGCGGCTCCAGAAGCAAGGTCGGCGTCATCTACCACTCTACGGCTCAACGAGAAGTCGTCGGGCGCGACTCAAAAGAGTGGTCACGACAAGACGAACACGAAACCCGACAAGGGACCCGAACAAAGTGCCATGGGACAGCTCTGGATCACCAGCACGGACAACCTCAAGACGGCGTTTGAGATGGTCCTGCAGCCGTCCTACGCAGCAATCTCCTTTGACTACATCATCAAGGAGTTCCAGTGGACACCCCTAGGCAACATTGCCAGCAGCTTGACCAGAGGCACCTCTGGCGCGTCGTCCTTGTCATCCTCGGCGCAGGCATCAACCTGGACGAACCCGGCCACGGCCTCGTTCCGCCACAGCGCAAGCTCGTCCCTCTCCTCCACACCTTATCCCGCGCTCGCTGGGGTTGTGGGCGACTCGCACCAGACCAAAGTCATTGATTCCTGGGTTCTCGACAAGATTGGGGCTTTGCAGGTCGTCGATCCGGTCTTGTTTCCAGATGATGAGGACGTGGGCGAGGACGACGATGGGACGGAAAATTCTGGGCCGCCCCGGGGAACAGACAGGAGTGTCTATGCTGACGACAAGAAAGACAGGCAGAGGGCTGAGAGACGGGACCTGGTGATTGAGCTGGCAATGCGGGTGCAAGAGACTAGCTGGCATTACTCGGCTAGGCATCCTTCATAGTTTGTAGCCCCCATTCTTCGATAGGTTTCCGTGGCCTTGCAAGGAGGCTCTCAAGACGTCTGCCGTCGCCTTGACAATGGATTCTAGGCCAAAAAACATCTTCGGGAACCCTTGTAACCACAGGGACAAGATACGCCTCGTGCTCTTGAACACTTCGTCTTTTTAGCGTCTGATAAGAGTATCGCTCGATATCTAACTTGCATAAACTCTAAAAATCCAGCATGTTGCTGCCGCCACCAGGGCAAAACCAAGATATGCCTCCAACTCCACATCATAATGAATAGAGCTTCGCATCATCATGCTTTGAGATTTGTCTTCTGGGGCCAGAGCCGCTCAGTACCCAGAAGGCCTGTGGTAGGCAATTTGTGATTGCACCCTCGAAGCTCGCGTTCAGTGAGCCATGACCTCCTGCTTGCCGGCAGCAGCAGGCTTCTCATCAACCTCCATCGCATCATCACCATCCGCGGCCTCTCCTTCACCCTCACCCTCAACCTCCTCGACGAGCTCATCTTCGCTCTCGTCCTCGAGATCGACACTGCCGTCGTCGGAAGCTTCCTCTTCCTCGGCGGCAGCAGCCTCAGCGGTGCCAGCCATGTCAGCATCGCCGTCGGCTCCGGCAACAGCCTTGCTCGCGTCATCGGCAGCGGCTTCCTCCTCGGCCTCCTCCTCGTCAAGCTCCTCAGCGCCATATTCCTCTTCGTCAGCCTGGAGGTCAGCTTCAGGTTGCTCGGGAGGGAACTCGGCGGGGGCGGAAGCTTCAGAGTCCCTGTAACAGCATTTCATCAGTAAACTTGTGACTCTCTCAGTCTGGACATGCATGAGATGCGTCCTCGTTCTAATGTTGAAGTCCATGCTTACCACTTGATCGCAAATCGTGTCACTCTCGGCTTGTCGGCCAAGATGTTGCGGCGGATCTTGTCCATTATGGGCTGGGCAGGGGGCTCGGCATTGAGCTCGTCGGTCTCGTACTCGTTGTTCACATAGTAGCCGACACGGATGAACTCGCGGCCGTCATAGGCACATGTCAGGAGGACGACGGTGACGCCGAGGACTTCATTGCTGGGGATGTTTGTTGTGTTCGGGGGATCGGCCTCGAAGATGAACTTGTTGACACCGACGGGGATGGGGCCGACAAGTAGGGAGTCGAGCTCCTGGTCGTATTGGGTACTGGACCAAGTTAGCTTTTACAACGCGAATAGGCGAGGAAGCCGCGGGGATGGGGCAACTCACGAAGTGGCCGAACCGACATATGTGAGCTTCCACTCGAGGTCTGGGAGAATCGTGATTGTTAGCCAGGCTCGCTTCTCGCTAGGCAGCCGCCTGCGCGTGAACACCAGGACTGCTTCCGGAGGAGCAGAGGGGAAGGGCGCAGGACGTGTGTGGGGAGCACGCACCCTTTTCCAGCTGTTCAAGGCACTCGAATGTGATTTCAAGCTCGTACTTGTCGGTTAATTTTGCCGGGTTGTTGAGGATGTTGACACCGAGGAGGGATACGACCGACATCTTGACGGAGAGGAGCGTGAGCTTGCGGTTGACAGGTTATGTGGAAGGTGGGGTGTAGCGGTGTGAATGGGGTTGAGGATGTGCTGCGACCCGCACTTGGATCGGCTTGTTGCTGTTGGTGTTCGAGGAAGGATGAAAAGTCTGAGAGAGCAGACAGGACAGCAGAAGTGGTGCAGGATTGGCGGGCGACGGCGGGCGAGTGGGCGGCGCGAGATTGTTGATATTTGGGTCGCGGCGTCGTGATGCACAGGCGCAAAGGTGGGCTGGCCAGCAACGAGGCCCTTGCGAGCAGGGGCGGGCGGTTGCTGCTGCGCTTTGCCCATTGCTTTTGCCCATGCCTGGCGTGCCCTGGATGGATCCTGGTCATGACCTGCTGCTGCTGGGCTTAAGGCAGGCAAGCTAGGCACAGAGCCTGCCCGTGGTGGTGGGGAGGAGCCCTGGGTAATACAAGCCAGCCCATCAGCTCCATCAAGATCCAGAGCAACAAAAGTCGCTCCAGTAACAGTGCCACCACAGGCCCCTGTCGTCGGGACCTGCAGGTTGGCAACTGGGTCCCACAGTCAGTCTGAGCACGCAACGCGCGTGGCCGTCGCTAACGCGACCAGCGCCGCAAAAGCGCGTAAAGTGGGTTTCTAGCTCTAGCTCGCCCGCGCAAACAGAACAAGGGCATGGTTTGCAGTGCTGGATTGTGCCATGTCTCGTCAACAGCAGGACGACAGACGCCAACACCAGTTTGTCAGCTTGTATTCTGGCCAAACACTTACAGTCATGTGTGGTCTACACATCGGAAAGGGGCGCCATCCCTCGCTTGGCGAGTCGCGCTCGTGCAGACAAGACAAGCAGTTTCTAAGATGACGGATGCGGAGTCAAGATCAAGGCTTGCATGATTAGTTCCAGAGACCGAAGGCCTTGAAATGTTTTCTGCCTCGCTTTGTCCACATGCTCTCATTCTTGAGTGAGAGCATTTGGCCAAGACCGGAGCGTGGTTCACAAGGTCGTTTGTTGTTGGTGTTGGTCTTTGAGGTCAGTCAAACCTGGCACCATGTCGAGGGCCCACCTCTTGCCTTAGTCAGCCCAAAGCTTTGCCTTCCCAACCACTCAAGCTTGTCAGAACCAGTTTTATTGGACTCGCCTTCATCTTGACGACACACTGCCCGGCGCCCACAACCGTGACGTCGCAACAACTCATCGGCCAGTGCGCTTCTCCTCGGCGCGCCTCGAACTGCGACCTCGACGGCCAGCCGAACGTTCTTTGTTCTTTGCGACGACTGCGTAGTCATTGCCCCTCGTGCCGACCGACTTCGCAACCCGAGCCAATCGAGCTCGTGGACCTTTTCAAGCGTCACGCCCGCCCTTCCCAGTACATCAGAGCCTGTCGACCTCTGCGAATACCGCCGATCCGCCACTGCCAACTCACTTTCACGTTCTACCGTTCCAGTCGGGTCGCGACGCGTTGCGACGACCACCGCGTCCCGGAGCAGCTGTAGTTGTGCTTTTCGAGGGCTGCGATCATTGTCAATCGCTTGACAGCCTGTCGAACTGCTGACAGCAAAACCTCAACCGACGCGGCCTAAGACCATACCGTGCGCACTCTGCCCAAAGCAGCAGCGATGGCCAGTCCTGGCCCGGACGAGTCGGCTTCTGCTCAACAAGATTGGGCAACGGGAGAATGGGGTGGAGATGCTGAACATCAGAATATTGAGCATAGCGAACATGATGCTGCCACTGCTTATGATCCTGCTTCCAAGCCTGCCGAATCTTCCCCCAGTGATTCTGCCTCTAATGAAGAAGACGGCGGGGAATATGATCCCGAGTCTGTTTCTTACGATCCTGCCTCTGCTCCTACTAATGACACTATCCTCCCCGATGCTCCTGCTCCCGCCATGGCTTCTGCCTCAGCTTCTGATGCACGTCCAGCCAAGAAGCCCAAGACGGCTGGCGGCTTCATTGTTGGCTCGTCTGATGATGAGGACGAAGATGACGCCACCCCCGCCCCGGCACCGGTCACTGTGCCTACCACAGCGATTCCAAGGCAGTCATCGCCCTCAGTGGCACACCCGCAGAATCCAGCAATGCAACCGAGCGGTCAACCGAATACCGGGTCAGCGCCAGCAATGTCGGAGCGATTGCAAAACGACACGATTGGCCTGCTCGAAGATCGAGTCAAAGAAGATCCGAGAGGAGATATGGATGCATGGAAGACCCTGATCCAAGAACAGCAGCGCCGGAACAAGATTGAAGATGCGAGAGCTGTGTACGAGCGGTTCTTTGCGGTGTTTCCGCAAGCAGCCGAGATCTGGCTGGAATACCTCACCATGGAGCTTAGCCTGGACAACTTCCAGCAAGCGGAGGCCATCTTTGGCAGGACACTTTTGTCTGTTCCCCATGTCGATCTGTGGACTGCCTATCTCAACTATATCCGAAGGCGCCATGACCTGAACGACCCGACTGGCCAGGCCCGGCAGGTCGTGAGCACCTCATACGAGTTTGTTCTACAGCACATTGGGCAGGATCGCGATGCTGGCCAGATCTGGTCCGACTACATTCAGTTTTTGAAGAGTGGCCCGGGGCAGGTCGGAGGCTCGAGCTGGCAGGATCAACAGAAGATGGATATTCTGAGGAAAGCCTACCAACGAGCCATCTGCGTTCCGATGCCAAACCTGAATGCGCTGTGGAAGGAATACAACCAGTTCGAACTAGGGCTGAACAAGACGGCTGTAAGTACCTAACATCCAACATACGAAACGGACCCGTAATCTAATGAACAAGACAGGGTCAGAAATTCTTGCAGGAGCGGTCGCCGTCATACATGACGGCTAGGACAGCCAATACCCATCTGGAAAATCTGACGAGAGGTCTGGTTCGGACAACCCTGCCGCGCCTCCCTCCTGCGCCTGGTTTCGATGGAGACACAGAATATCAGGAGCAGATCACGCTCTGGAAAGCATGGATCGCGTGGGAGAAAGACGATCCTCTTGTTCTTCAGCAAGACGACCCAAAAACATACCAGCAACGCATTCTGCATGTCTACAAGCAGGCGTTGATGGCTCTGCGCTTCTGGCCCGAGCTCTGGGTCGAAGCGGCGGAGTGGTGCTTCGAGCAAAACATGATCAACGATAAGGGACAAGACACTGGGTCGCAGTTCCTGATTGATGGTGTTGCTGCCAACCCTGAAAGCCCGCTTCTTGCGCTTAAACATGCCGACCGCATCGAGTCTACGCACCAGGTCTCTGAAGGCGACGAAGGCAAGGCCGCCCTGGCCCAAGCTGTACGTGCACCTTACGACCAGGCGTTTGACACTCTGTACGACATGATCAAGAAGCTCAAAGATCGAGAGACGGCAGCCGTTATGAGGATTCGTGATGACCCAACTCTAGGTGGCGAGGAAGATGAGGGTGAGATCAATGAGAATGGGCCGAGCACATCTCTCAAGCAAGAGCGTATCAAGGCACTTCAGACTGGATTCGCCGCACAAGTTCACCTGATCTCTCAACAAATCTCGTACCTCTGGATTGCTCTTGCCCGAGCATTCCGACGCATCCAAGGCCAAGGAAAGACGGCCTCTGGAAAGCCTACAACCGGCATTCGCGCGATATTCACCGAGTCACGATCCAAGGGCCGTCTTACGAGCGATGTCTACGTTGCGATCGCGAACATGGAGTGGGACATTTACCAGGATCCGGTCGCAACCAAAATTTTCGAACGTGGTGCCAAACTTTTTCCCGATGAGGAGCATTTCATCGTTGAATATCTCAAGCACCTTCATGCAAGACACGACTTCACGAATGCGCGCGTGGTTTTCTCGCAGACGGTGAAGAGGTTCAAGGAGAAAGGCAAAGACAGTCCCGAGATGCTCACAAAGCTCAAGCCCCTGTACACGTATTTCCACAGCTACGAGGCCAAGTTCGGCGAGCTAGCTCAGATCAAGCAGCTCGAGCAAGAGATGACGGAGCTCTTTCCATTTGACCCGAGCCTTTCGCATTTCGCCGCCCGGTTCGCTACCAAAAGATTTAACCCCCTCAGCGCGCGTGTTATTGTCTCTCCTGGCGCACAAATGCGGCCAAAGCCCATCATGCAGTCCGTGGAACAGCCACTTCCTTCAATGCCCAACAGTCCAGCGCCTGTATTGCACAGTGAGCCAAGCCCTCGACCCCAGTTCCTGCAGGCCACAAACTCGCCGAAACGACCTTACCAAGTGGACGAGGAGGAGTTCAACCCACCTCGAAAGATTGCGCGTGGTGTGTCGCCGTTGAAGGGCGCAGCTGGCCGACGACTAGATCAACAAAGACGCGCCCAGGGCGGTGGCTCTTCCCAAGCGGCTGCTCCACTCCCGATCCCGCGAGATATCACATTCCTCTTGAGTTTAATTCCCGCCGCGTCAAGCTTCAACGCGCCGCGCTTCAGTCCGGACGGTATGGTTCGGCTGATTGCCAATACTGCGGTTCCCGATTACCGCGACTGGCAGGCGACGCAGGCGAGGAATGCTCGCACAGAGTCGACCTCTCGTGCGCACACGCGACAGGCCTCTAGTGAGTATCCAGCCTATGCTCAAAATCGGGACTCACCCGGTCCGCCATCGGCATCTGGGCGTCCTATCAGCCCCTTCGGCGGCGCTCGTGGTGTGCAGATTTCTGCGCCGTATAGGAACTCGCCTCTCCGGCCCGGATCCAGCGGTGACTTTGAGCCTCCGCAAGCAGGCGGCTATCAAGCACCAGGACCCAGTCCGTTCAACCCGGCCAGCCAAGCGCCGCAGCCGCCCCCGGCGAATACCGGATACTGGCAAGGCGGTGCTTATGGCCAGCCCCCAAACTCATATGGCCAACCTCCTCAGCAGTATGGCGGCTGGCAGTGATGTTGACGTCCCAGGGAAGCAATTCAGCTATGCCAAGCCAGCGGGGAGGTCGCTGTGCACAAATCTGGAGCAGTGATAGCTGACTTCGCGTCTCCAGATTGGCCAGATAGACAAACGCATTATCATAGTTCGGATCTAGATTTAATAATTGACTGTATCATCAAATGCATATCTTGTCTATGAATTAGATTTATAATTCAGTTCTCATTTTTCGAAATGCCATTTCTATCCTTTCAGGACTGGCATAAGTTAGTGAAAATAAACTGAGCATGGTGAACATTATGCTCGTCTCCGTCATGAACTGGGTCATGCTGTTCAACCGACGACTACTGTTACTCTGGGCGTGCGCCGTTTCTACGCGGCTCCTGTGATCTGAGAGTTTGTTTGTTTCATGATTGTCTAAGTTTGGCGCTCTTGAAATCCACTTAGGAAGCTTTTCCTCCATTTAAAACAGATATTTTGAGACCGTGATCGCGAGCCCAGAACTCAGGCGTACCGTGGCGTGTTGTCAACCGCCTGCCCTGAATAAAGGCATACTTGAACTTTCCCGTTTGCAACCTGTCTCGCATCGCTGCATTGTCAGTCTCGGGAACCTAATTGAAACTCCCTACGAGCATAGCACACGTCGCCTCGCCGTTTGCACACTAGACACATGCCCAAGGCAACAACGTCAAGGTACTCCTCTCTGACATCGAGTGTCGCAAACAGTCCAGCAAGTCATTACTTCAGAGTGAAAGTCTTGACCTAGCCACCTCAGGCCTCACCTTCTTTCCCTACACATCAAGCTTCGCCAGCCAGGGCTGCCAACAGTTGACCTCCTACACGACTCACAACCAGCGCAGCAGCGATATTGATCAGCCGCTGTACAAACCTCACAACTCTTCAGACTTCGCCCGCTTCAAGCATACAGGTTCGTCAAGGTGCATTGCTCTTAGCCATTCACATCCCGGGTGCCGCACACATCTTTCTCCCCAGCCAAGATCAATTGATTCTCTTTACCACCAACCCTTCCTGCCTCGCGCCTTCTCACCTCGACACATCATTCTGGGCCAGCACTTGATACCCGCGCATTCAGACCATCCTCTCCCGCACCGTGACCTCTCCAAGTCAAACATTTCTCCGCCCGGCAATATCTGCCTGCAAGCTTCTGTCCTCGCGCAGTTTCCATTCCTCCATTGCATGAATCATCACCCAGTCACACCTGAGGCATCTAGGTATTCTCAACTTCGGCCCTTGTCTCCAGAGGCAACAAGGCATTTCATTCCCATTGTCATTGCACCACGACAGTCGCCATCGTGCCTTCCACAGTTCCTGCCCTCTTACCACTATTTTAACAGCCTTTCCCCGCTCCAGGTCGTCGTCCTCACCTGTCACTCTCACCACCCACACCATCCACCACTGACCACCACCAAACCCGACATCAGCAATCACACTCAGCCTCTGGCTTGACAATCGAGCTCATCCACCAAGCACTCTACCTAGTGTGGCTGCTCATTTCACCTCACACATCAGAAAGACAACTTCGAGCAAACATTCTCTCCACTTCGTAAGTGCAACTTATGCTGAGTTATCCTCGCACCTCAGCTTCATTCTGAAGAAATCCTTCTCTCCAAACATCCCATTCGCCCAGCAAGATACCTTCAACAACGCTGCAATCAAGTCGCACCATACCCTCCGCATCCCAAAGTGCCTGTCACTTCCATCCCCTTTGCCACATTTTTCCTCACGCACTGCAAACGGATCCGCACGACTCTGCTTCCTCTCTTTACACCAACACCCATCCACATCCACCTACATCTGGTGCGTCCAGATTTCAAGATACAACGTCCATCTCTTCAGGCATCACCAGAAGCACTCAGACGACTTCGACTCGTGCGTCCAGCTTGCCGTGAGACTCTCAGCGTCACATCTGGTTGTGTGCTTGTCGCCAGCCCAGTCAATCCGCGCTTGACACTTCACACTTCACATCCATATTCATTCCAAGCTTCAAACTTCCTGCCTGCCCACCTTACAACACGCGCACGCTCATCAACCTCTCACGACAGCGTCACGAAAGCGGCCATCTCCCCTGTACTTTGCCCGCGTCTTCGCAATTGCCTTTGGGGTTTGAAAACTAACTTCCAGCTCTTCCAGAGACCTCTGCCAAGCAAGTTACGATACCTCGTCCCTACACAAGTCAGCGTCTTTTCGACAAGTACGTCGTCCACTCCCTCTTTGACCATTCCATTCCATCCAGTTCTCGGCCGAGCTCACCGCCGAACACATTCATCTTTGTCCGGAACCTCCAGGCATCGACCATTGCCACGTTTCCGTCGCTAAACTTTCATCTCTCGTCCAGACAATCATGTCCGCACCTGGCAGCCGTCGCCAGACCATGGAGGGCGCAGCACTTCTGACCGGCGCTCAGCCGGGTTCTCAGGCCGTCTCTCAAGCCGGCTCTCGTGCCGTTTCCCCCTCGCACGCCCAACCCCAGAAGGCCCGCAGCGGTCAGCGTGAGTTGACCGTGGCTGAGCGCATCGGCAAGCGCGTCGATCTGCCCATTGAGGCCTACACGATGGTGAGATCTGGTCTCGACCACTTCAAAGTTCAAACAGCTTACGAGACGCAGACAAGCAAGTCGGAGACGGTCTTCGCTCGCCGACCCGGCTACAATAACGACCCGTCCGCCAAGAACATCCAGGTTCAGCTGAACGTCTTTCCTGTTATGCACTGGCCGCGGAAGGACGTCAAGCAGTACGACTTTGACTTCAAGACAGTAGATCCCAATAACGTTGCGAACAACAGGCAGACCGTGTTGACCGCAACACTGCCAAGCTGCTCTGGAACTGTGAGGCAATCAAGGCCTTCCGAAAGCAGTGCGGAGGCCAGTGGCTCTTTGACGGCACCAAGCTGGCATGGTAAGCATCGGCCCATTTTCGAATGTCCCAATCAACTAGACTGTATTGACAAGCTTGGCTCACTAGGTCCTCTGAGGAGATCCCTCATAAGGAGGCACGGTTCGAGGTCGACCTTGACCAGGAGCAGAACCGCCAGCCTGGTCGCAAGCCTATGAAGTTCCGAGTCCGCATCTTGGAGACCAAGACCATTCGCATGGAGTATCTCAAGGCGTACGTCGACCAGAAGGTCGCCTTCGACAACACAGTCCTCGAATGCATGAGTAAGTTCTGCTGAGCGCGCATGCACTGGCTTTAATGTCTTGTTAACCTCATTGTCTAATACGTGTACAGACTTTCTCGACCATGCCTTGAGACAGACGCCTTCCGAGACGTTCCTGCTCATCAAACGCCAGTTTTACTCGACCACGGGTAACAAGTTCCGCCTTGGAAATTACCTCGAGGTCATGAAGGGAACCTACTCTGCTTTTCGTCTCTGCAATGTAAGTTCTTACGCCCTTGCTCCGAAGTCTCGATCTCGCGCAACCCATTGACCACGAACACAGTCTATCCCAGCTGGTGGCACTGGCTTGGGCCTAAACGTGGACATCACAAACACTGCTTTCATTGGCGAGTTGTCCTTGCTGGAGCTCATACAGCGGATGATCAATTCACACAAGCGCGACTGGAGCACCAGTAAGTTGACTGCCAATATCACAATGAAATGGTGTATGCTAATGACTTTCGGTCAGTGGATCTGAATACAATGGTCAGAGCGCTGAAGCCTACCCAGGAAAACAACGGCAGCTTGGGTCCTTCAGAGCCCTTTGCACTCATGCGTCGACTCCAAAGAGTCAAAGTCTCGGTGAGGCATCGGGGTAGCCAGGAGAACCCCCCACTCATGACAATCAAGCGTCTCGTCTTCAATGAGCGCAATGGGCCTGAAGGGTCTCACTCAAAGAATTGCACCTTCAAACTCAACAGTCCCGACGGTCAATCGCGGAATATCTCCGTGTACGACTACTTTCTTGAGAAGTACAAACTCCGCCTCCGCTGGCCATTCCTGCCCCTCATCGAGACCATGAAGGGCGAGATGGTTCCCATCGAGTGCTGCTGGGTGGCGCCCAATCAACGCTATGCCCCAAAGCTGGATCCTGATCAGGTACGTTCGACTCAATCGGAACACTACGAGAGTTTTATTGACTTTGCGTTTAAAGACTGCACAGATGATCAAGGTCGCCGTGACAAGGCCTGACCGCCGTAAGGCCGACATCATGGACGGTGTGCGCCAGCTGAACTGGCCGGCTGATCCCGTCCTGAAGGCTTTTGACGTTCGAGTGAACCCTGAAATGGCCATTACAAAGGCGAAGCTCATCCAGAACCCGAAGATTACATTTGGCAACGCTGCCATCGACCCCGGCATGAGTGGTCGTTGGGATCTGCGCGGAAAGAAGCTGCTGGAGCCGAACAAGGTGCCGCTCACTTCGTGGGGCATGTTTGCCATCGGCAATGCTTGCCAGAAGAACGAGCTGGAGGCTTTCGCGCAGCAGTTTTGCCAGGTCTATCGTGGCCACGGTGGCAACATCCAGAAGGCACCGTTTCTGGACGTCATTCCGTTCTCCCATGGCAACTACAGTCAAATCTGCGAGCATGCTTACATGTCCACGGGTAAACACAACAAGGCCACACCCCAGATGATCTTCTACATCTTGAGCGACAAGAACCAGCTTGTCTATAACCGCATCAAGAAGTCCATGGACTGCAGATACGCTGTCGTGTCTCAGTGTCTCCAGGGCCTACATGTCAAGAAGAATCAAGCCCAATACCACAGCAATGTGTGTATGAAAGTCAACGCCAAGCTTGGAGGCGTGACTTGCAAGATCGCTGGTCCTCAACCCACCACTCCGCCCTTTTTCCAGGTGCCAACCATGATCATTGGTGCCGACGTCTCGCACGCGAGCCCAGGCAGCAGCACAGCATCAATGGCAGCCATGACCATGTCGATGGACAAGCACGCGACACGTTACACAGCCGCCTGCGAGACCAATGGGATCAGGCGCGAGATCATTGACCCAGGTCTCATCCACGGCAATTTGGCCAAGCTCCTGCGCCTCTGGGTCAAGAACAACGGTTGCAGTCCCAAGCACCTCTATTATTTCCGTGATGGCGTTGCGGACGGTCAATTCCAGTTCGTCATTGACCGCGAGGTCAAAGAAATCAAGCGCATGTTCAGAAACGAGAAGCTTGCTGAGCCCATGGTCACGGTGGTCATTGCCACGAAGCGACATCACATCCGCTTCTTCCCAAAGCCCGGAGACAAGAGTTCTGCGGACCGCAACAGCAATCCTTTGCCCGGCACTGTAGTCGAGCACACCGCAACTCACCCACACCACTATGACTTCTATCTTTGCAGCCATGTGGCCATCCAGGGAACCGCTCGTCCTGTGCATTACATCGTCATCTACGACGAGGCGAAGGTCGAACCTGGCAAGCTTCAGAAGATGATCTACCAGCAATGCTACCAGTATTGTCGCAGTACGACTCCAGTGTCCATCCACCCGGCAGTCTACTACTCACACCTGGCGGCTGAGCGTGCCACGAGCCACGAGAATCTCGCTTCCAGCCAGCGCGAGATGATGTCTGGCAAGGCAGGCTTCCCGATTGGCAAGACAGATTCCGAGATCTATGGCAGTAACCCTCCGGAGCCTTCGCCTCTACTGCCGATGTCAAGCGGCGACGCCAAGCCCGAGTCAATTCAGCACATCAACACCACCATGTGGTACATCTGAGTACTGCGCTTCCTGTGGCTGAGATGGCTAAGCAAAGCTGTCCCCGTGGACCGGCGGGTGCACTGTCAGTTTGCACATGGGAACAAGGATCAGCTAGGGATGTTTGCGATTGCTCCTCTTAGTCGGTAGATAGGAATCAGGACATGCCGATTAACTGCTTCGGCGATGAGCAGTCTGCAATTAGCGAGGCTTAGGGGCATTCGCCGTGGACACCTTTGAGGGCAGGCCGGGCGATCATGGTGAACGGCAGAATAGCCTCAAGAAATGCGATGAATTATTCCACGAACTAAACGCTTCAGCTGATCATGTGAATGTCGTAAGCGATAATCCAAACCAGCTCAAAGGACCGTCAATTCGGGGTACCACGAACGTCCAACGTGCTCTCCTCTCCGTTCAACTTTAATCATTTGAGGAGGCCAGAGTAGTCACGATGTCACATTATGAAAAACAAGGTTGGTGCCTCAGGCCGGGTTGGCCATCAAGTGACGGTTTTCTGCTCGCTGTGTCTAAATGCAAATGGGTATCATAACGAGAGTCGCCTGCACGCGCGCAGCTGGAGTTACTTTGCGCACCGGGCACCGCCGCCGTCCTAGCTAGAAGGTTGCTGCTTGTAGCCCCATTCCCCTACGGAAGGGGTTCCTCCCCCCTCTGCTCTACTCAAAGCAATGACTGCCTTGTCACCACTCCATGAGAGCAACCGTCTAACTGGGTGTTTGTTCGTGGCCCTAGTTCATGGGCGAAACAGGCCTCGGGTACGGATCTAGCAGAGCCTCGCGGTCTTCACTCATCCTGCTCGGTTGGTAGCTGTAGCTTGTGGTGTATGAGGGATGCCTGCTGACGCCAGGCGCGCCGCCAATGTCCTCTTCTGGATGCTCGGGCACGCAGACCAGGCTGTGCGCTCGAGAAATCTGCGGAGTACTGCTTCCGCTGCCGCCACTGGTGCTGGCGCTGGGGATCTGACTGTTGCTCTCCACGGTGACCTCGAAACTCGTATGTCGCTGGATGACTAGAGGGTTGGAGTTGCCGCGTGGCCTGTTTGTGCTATGTGCTGCCGCGTTGACCGAGCCAACGCTCACCACCGTGTCGCGCTTGCGCTCCGCGTCGCTCCAGCCAAACTCGACGCCAAGGGCGTGGTCGACTGCCTCCTTGGTCAGGCTGGCTCCGCTTGTCCGCCGCGCGCGGTACTCGTCGAACTGGGTGTCTCGCCTGTGGTCGTAGCTTGCTCGTCGTGACGCGTCGTCTTGAACGGGTTGCAGCTGCACGGAGGACGCGGATTCCCTGCGTAAACCAATGGAGAGACGTCTCGAGCTGGCTGATAGCGCGGACAGGGAGCGAACTCGACCGCCACCGCCGCCACCACCAGGGTCAGTCGGATCGTATGGTTGTGTTGTGGGCGCCGCCGTCACGTGGGCCATGTACGATGTGTCGTCTCGGTTGTCGTAGCCGTAGTTGTGGACATTGTATGGAAGCTGGTAGTCGTCATACTTGCTGACGCGGCGGTACACAATGATCGAGTAGATTGACAGGATGAGGGTGGAAACGCTTAATCAACGCCATGCCAGTCAGCCGTGTTCCATGCCTTTACTTTTGATAGCGTTGAGGAGGGGAGGATGCACGCTTACCCAAGGACGATATCAAGGACAAGCCCGATCAGCGAGTAGCGGTGATCGGTACCCTGGACGTGGATGACAATATCGAGGGCGAGTATGGCTGCAGAGAACACGAGGCTGACCAGGTTGCCGAAGAGCATCGAGGCTGGTGTCAGAGCCTCGGCCACGAACCTCGCTACGGACAGGAGCGTGATGACGAGGCAGATGAGGGAGAAGCCAATGTTTGCAGACTCCCAGCTGTATTTCAACATGTCAGGCCAAGGTTGCTGCAGATCCCCCGCTGTTTTTTTCGACTAGGCACGGGTGTGGTTACTCACACAAGCTCAACGACTGGGATATGGTCCTGGTTCTTGCTCTCTTGGCGTGACGCTGTGAGGGTGTCGGAGACTCTGTAGGAGAACAGCCCCATCAGAGTCAGGAGGAGGGCGCATTGCAAGGCCCAACATGGCCAGAGGATGCTCTTCTTCCACTTGGAGCGACTGAAGTTTGAGTGGTGATGACGGGCTCCCAGCATGGCGACGGCGTTTGGGTGCTGCACACGAACTTGCTGGCGGATGGGCGTGCGTCTGGTGTAGCTGCTGGTGGCACAGGACTCGGCCGAGGAAAGGAGCAATTTGGAGGGACGTCTGCTAGCCGCAAAAGTGGTGGGAGACGGGCACAACAGGGCTGAGAAGTGGAGGTGGGCCAAGTGACAGGCGAGAAGTCGTGACCGCCGGCATCAAGAGCCCGTGCGTGAATGGGAACAGTTGGCCGATGACAACACGGCCCGGGAGGAGCCACGGAAGCGGCGGCATGGCGACCTTAAGAAGTTGTTGGCATCGCCCAGACGAGCGGCGCGGAGAACAGCCATCGCCAGGTTCAATTTGACACAGACCAGGGCCAGCCAGGGTACATAACGTTATTAGTGCAGCGGAGCGGCTCCGCCCTCTGGCGTGGCGGGAGCAGCAAGTGCAGGGAAGCGGGAGCAGAAGCGCGGCTGTCCAGTGGTGACCTGGGAAGAGGATGCTGCGAGAGTTGTTGTTGGGCTCTCTCTCTCTGTCTGGGCCGTCGGTCTCGTTTGGGCCCCCAAGGCTGAGGCGGCATCGTGCGAAGTCCCCGGGTGGAGCCCCGCAGCAGGTGCGGCTGAGGCCTGAGTGGCTGGCCTTGTTTGGGCGGGTGAGGCGCAATCTCGCGAGGGGCCACAAGCAGCAGGGGATCCCCAGCTGCCTAGCCCCAGCCCTGCCTTGCTCCTTGGATCCTTTATTCGTCTTGCTCAGAAATATTACTGCGTACGGAGTACTGCGTAGGCAAGCAGTCATGCTGGCCCTTTGACATTCTCACCTCGAGACAAAGTCGACACTAGTCAACAACAGAACGCAGTCGCGTGGGCATCTCCAAGCAAACAGCATGCCGCTCGAGGGCCCGTCCTCCGCAGTGAGGCACACGCTTCAACGACTAGACACCAGACACCCAACATGAGCCTGGCTGGCCTCCTCACCGCCAGCAGTCCGTCCCCTTCCGGCATGGGCACAGCAGGTTCTACGGCGCACAGATGACCCGATGTCCCAAGAATAAACCACAATTTGTGGTTCTAGTGAGGCGGTGCTCCCCCATCACCGAGATCACCACCAACAGTCACCCCACAACTCCAGCAGCAAAGTGGGTGCCGCGCCCGCGAGATCCACGCAACAACCCTGCAGCAACATCGTCGCGAGCCAATGGTGGGAGCCATTCGGGCCCGAAGCTCGGGGAGGACGCTAATAGCCCGACGTCTTTGGACGCTTGACGATCCAGATACAACCATAAAGAACCTTCTTTGTTCCGGTCACCACCACAGATCATGGGCACGTCACGGGCGGCCAGTTACTCACCAGATCCCAAGCAGGGGAACAATGTGGCTAATACTCGCTCTCTCACATCTCGGGTGGACGCCAATACAGACCTTTGCAAGTCTCAGCGGCGACAGCTTTCCGAAATCGTGCCTGTTGCTTTAGCATCGCCCGAGTCGAGCTGCAGGAGAGGTCCGAACTGGAATCGAGCACCACCAGCACAACATTGTTCCATGAATACAACAAGGTCTTCTTTGTGACTATTGGTCCGAGCACATGAAGGTGGAGCGCGTCTCCAGGTGCCTCCGGTCCGGTCGACCCTTGGTGCAAACGTCAATCACGCAGAGGAGCAAACGAAACGAGATCATGTGTTTTCTCTGTAAAATTTTGTCTTTTTTTGTTTGTATTGAATAAGCAGGCCCAGCCACGACCGCAGTGTCGATACGGATCCAAAAACTGAGCCTGGAAAAAGAACAAGGCTCCCTTCAGAAACCTATCCGCTTCAGAGACATGGTTTGACCACCGAGCCTCTTGTATTATCTCGCAGCCCGACCATCCGAGTAAACGTGTGGAAGATCTGGCTCGCGAGGTTTCATCGTATAAATTGTGTTGTCGGTTGTTTCGTCAAGGTGGTGGCTACCAACAAAAGACTGCCAGAGTACAGGCACCAGCCACGATCGACATCGCCCCTGCGCAGCAAAAGCGACATCGATCACAGCTCGGGCCCGTTGCCTATGATCCGACTTGGCCAAATACACGCAACGCCTGGCTGTTGCCAGGTTGTGTTGCACGCAACTTAGTTGCCGGAGTCCTTCATGGGGAACTTGACGCCGGCAGGGTTGTAGGCAACAACGTTGCCGTTCTCGTCAGTCATGGAGGCGACCTCGGCAGAGACCTGCTCCTGGCGGGAGAGGATGGCGCGAGAGTCCAACGTGGGGGAGACTGGATTCCAAACGGGTTGGTCAGCCTCTTGATTCACATTTTCCGATCACGATTCCTAAGAGCCGTCTGCGACTTACTGGGCTGAGCAACGGCAACAGCGGCCAGGAGTGTGAAAAGGGTGGCGACGGAGAACTGCATTTTGACGGTTTGGTCTGGTGTAGCAACGAAACAAGTTGTGGTTGTTGAGAAAGTCGGCCGGCGACGACGAGCGGTTAGGCTTTTGTTGGAAAGATTTACAGAGAAAAGGCTTTTCTAGAAAGTATGGGCGGGAACGACAGAGACGCAGTAACTGTGGCACGAGGAAGGAAAGAGGAGCAGAAGGAAAGCACGGTGAGGCTTGGTCTGAATGTTATATGCGATGCGGTAGAACCGGGGGCAACGGTCTGGCCAAGAGGACAAGCATCTAAGCTGGCCCCTGCAATGCTACGCTCTGGGGATGGAGAAGGGATGGCACGGAGGAGGGAGGGACCTGAGACCGGCCCAGTCCCCTTGATGACGACGACGACGGCAGTGCAGCCTCGTGCAGTTGGGCACGCCAAGCCCAGCGTGAGCGTGTGAGTCCACTCTCGATGGTGATCACCACTGGGGTTTTGTGGGTGCGCCGGTGCGTGCAACGCGGTACACGCGTCACGGCGAGGCAGCACGCTGTACGAGAAGTACCGGCCATCTTGACGGGGCGAGGCTCCTTGGTGACGGGGAAGAGCTTGGCGAGGGCCAGCCCAGGCCGCGGCCGCATGGCAGTTCGGGGCTGTGTGCCGGGGTCTGACACGCATCTTGAGACGGGACACGGAGGTGGCGCCCGGGATCGGTCCCCTGACTGCCGTCCGGCTAGGAGGTTTACCGTCGCTCGAGGCGCCGTGCACTGGTCATGAACCTTGCTGATCGGGTCCTGGAGTGGGCAGGCCCTCCAAAGAGGCTTTGTTTCGGCACCACCCTCGCCGTGTTTGGGCAATGTACATCAGTCCTCACCTTCAGATGCACAGAGCCAACAACGAGGATGGTTGGTGCAAGTGAGTGGATGCGGGATGGTCGTGTTGCGGTGCAAATAAGGTGTCCGGATTTCGTCCATCCCATCATGAAACAAGGCCCTTGGCAATGGTCTGATTTTCCTCTTTGGCGGGCCAGGTCTGGGCCATGCTTGTCTGATGTCTGCGCCTTCAGGATTGCCAACGTGAAAGGGCAACGCAACGGCCAGCAACTTCGATTGCACGCCGCAGAACGAGGAGGTCGCACAGACTCCGTAATAGTGTCCTGGCGAGGACGATGCCATTGCTGCGCACGGCGCTCAAGCACACCAGGCATCTGCAGTGCTGCCCTCTGCGATTCAGTTGCGAGCAACCAAGAAGTTTTGCGCAGTGCACGGGCCACACTTTCCGCCACAAGCAACATCAACCGCCAGTCCAGGCCTTCAAGATTCAAATTCCGCACAATCGGCAGTTTCAAACAGCCACAGGTGCCTCTCTCGCGCCAGTCTTGAGGTGTGATAGCCGCCGACGTCCGGCTCTCGCGTCAGCTGGCCTGCACAGGCAACAATCCCGTCTCACCGGCCGAAGAATGATGTCCACGATCGATCTGGGGTCCGCAGCTGCCCTGGACCATTCTCGCTACGCCGTGACCCTCTCCTCCGGCAAGCGCCTGGTCGTGTTTCGTCTGCCGCGAATTAGCCCTGGGCCCTCGGAGCCGGCCCTGCCAACTCTGTCGGACACGGCCGCCCAGGAGAATGCCTGGTCATATTATGCCATGGAGGCCGAGTGCCCGCATGCGGGCGGTCCGATGACGGACGCACACATTGACATTGAGGACTCGGCCTACGTTGCCTCGTGCCCATGGCATGCTTACGACTTCAATGTCGAGACGGGCGAGTCGAGCTATGGCGTCAAGGCGTGCACTTTCCCCGTCGAGATATCCAATGGCCGAGTCATGTTGCGGATTGCGAATGCTTCGAATCTCACGCTTTCCGCCATCGAGCCGGTCAGCGAAAAGGTCAAGTTCAAGCATGGCTCGAGGATAGATGCTTGGGCACCACCAAAATACCTTGATGACAAGGCCACCCTGAGCGACTGGTGTGTGCACATCCTCAACACCACCGACCCGGAGCTCAAGATTGAGCTTACCACACACCTTTTTTCCATCTTCGCCACCAGGGAGCAAACAGCAAATCCCATGGAGCTCGGTGCAGGCACGGTCCAGCCCCCGGACGAGCCTCCCAGGGAGGAGAGTATAAACCAGGTCGCGCCGTCCCGCATGCCTCGGGCCGGGCGCGGTGGCACCGTCAAGAGCCGGATCGCAATGCTGCATGCACTCGCCAACATTGAGCAGTGGGCAATCGACCTGGCAATTGACATCTGTGTGCGCTTCGCCACGTTTCAGACAGTCACCGCCCCTTCGCAGCCGCTCCCGCGCACATTCTACTACGACTGGCTGAAAGTCGCCAACGACGAGGCCAAGCATTTCTCCCTGCTGCGCGCACGGCTCGAGGAGCTGGGCAGCTCATTCGGCGCCCTCCCCGTGCACCACGGGCTCTGGGAGTCGGCGGTACGAACGGCGCACGATCTGCGCGCGCGGATCAGTGTCATCGCGCTCGTCCACGAGGCGCGGGGGCTCGACGTGAACCCGCTCACCATCGAGAAGTTCCGGAAGGCGCAGGACCCAGAGAGCGTCGAGGTGCTGGACATTATTCACAATGACGAGATCACCCACGTCACGACAGGTCATCGGTGGCTGAGCTGGATCTGTGAGCAGGAGGGCACGGATCCGGTCAAGGTATTCCGGGAGAATGTCCAGGAGCATTTCCGGGGCGCGGTCAAGGGCCCGTTTAATGTCGAGGCCAGGGCCATGGCAGGCATGGGAACGCAGTATTATGAGGATCTTAGTGGACAGCCGTGGTCTGGGGAGATCATTGCCGGAGGCTGAGATGAACCGCTCGCGAGCAACCGTCATTTGCCGGTCTATACTGTCTGACTACCACATGGCCATAGGTCGCGGACAACGCAACAACACAAGTGGATCTCTCGGTTGCTGGGACTCGCAGAATTCAGAGAGGTTGGGAGCACGCAAGCCCTCCGAAGTTATCGAAAGAGGACTCAAAGCACCGCTTGGGCTGTGAAACGCCTTGACGCTACGAAGCCTGCTAGCGCCTCCGACCTGAGAGCATCAGAGGTCATGTTGGTGATAGGAAGCCTCTCGCACAGAGTCGCGAAATCCCATCTGATGCTCAACGACGAGCAGCTGGTCGGCAGGACGAAAGTCTCTCTGAAAATGCTTCTGGCGGACGAGCAGCCAATACGACAACAAAGGCATTTCCACCTTGAGATGTTCTCAACCACTGCCTGAATACTGACACTGGCTCACGCCGAGCACCTGGTAACTTCAGCAACCACGAGTGAGCTTTCCCGCCATCGCTAAAGCACGAAAATCATCGCCGCTGTTTTGCATTGTCTCCGTCAGGCCTTCTTTCGGCTTGGTCTGCTGCGCCATGGACCTAGGCTGCTCCACGAAACCTTGGACGAGACAGTGGATGAGCATCGCAATTCTGGCTAATAGCTACAGGTCACTGATCTTATTTTCGGTAACAAAATCTAGCATGCCAGGCAAGCTCAAGGCCCATCGCTTTTTTGTTCCGTGTTATAAGCTCCCATCGTCTCACGTCGTTGGCCATGACCCCAAGTGACGTTGTGAAGCGATAGCGCACCAGCCCCACCATTCATGCGGGGTGATAAGGTCCCGCTGTGCATCCCTGTGACGCCCAGGAGGGGCAAGGGTGAGCTGCCCAGGTGCCGCCCGGCCGCCCCGGCCATCCCAGGAGAGGATGGCCCATTAAGGGAAGCCATTGACGCTCCCTCAACTCCGCCTCACCCTTTCTTCCAACATATACAGCCAGCTCAGTACAGTGCCATCTTTCGGTCTCTTTCCAACGCCTGGTGGAATCATTTTGCCGGTGCTCTCCTTCCGTAGCGACTGTCTCTCCCTCGCTGCCTTGCTTGTGCCTATCGTTTGTGCTGGGCTCTATCCTACTGGATCCAATCACTCTCTATTCCCATCTAGTCACATATCGCAACAGTCACGTCCTCAGTCAACATGGCCTCTGCTGAGCACTGCCTATACTGCTTCGAGACACTGGCTGCTCATCTTGAGAATCGCAAACCCATGACCCTCGATGAAATCGAAGAATCCTGGCAGGAATACAAGGCTAGCGCTGGCGGCGGCGATGGCTCACAGGCTGTAGCGGCCAAGACAACACCCGCCCTGCGCCGCGTGCTCGCAGAATCCTCCCCCGGCGCAAGTGGTAGCCTTTCCTCGTCAGCCTCCTCGGCGTCGGCGTCTTCCATGTCCCTCGGGCAGGCCGCCGACGAGAGCGACACGCCAGACACCTCCACCAGCTCTCTCTCCACCGGGGCCAACAAGGATGACACCACTTCCCCGCTCATTACAGAGTCGCCCTTGTTTGTCACGTGGAACACTGTCTCGCCACGGTCAGGCAACACCTCTCTGCGCGGCTGCATTGGGACCTTTGAGGCTCAGGAGCTCGACGAGGGGCTTTCGTCGTACGCCCTCATCTCGGCCGTGCAGGACACCAGGTTCGACCCTATCACAAAGCGCGAGCTGCCAAACTTGGAAGTCTGTGTCACGCTGCTCACAGACTTTGAGGACTGTGACGACGCAATGGACTGGGAGATAGGCACGCACGGGCTACGCATCAGCTTCACCGAGCGAGGGAGGCGGTACGGCTCGACGTATCTGCCGGATGTCGCCGCGGAACAAGGGTGGACCAAGGAGGAGACGCTCGTGAGTCTGATGCGGAAGGCTGGGTGGGCGGGCCGCAAGGATAGCTGGCGGGACGTCAAGCTCAAGGTGGTGCGGTACCAGGGCAAGAAGAAGGAGCTTAGATATCCCGAGTACAAAGGCTGGCGGGACTGGGTGCGGTCGCAGGAGAAGGAGGCGTGAGATCCGACCGTGCAGGTGGCTTGCTCTCCGCGTGCTGGCAAAGTTCTGGTTCCAGCCAATGGGGCCGGCGGCAAACGTGACATCACACTAGATAAATGATCCGATGATCTCCACGGCACCATGGCCGTCCGGCTCGAGCCTGTGTGATCACCCTGCGAGTCACTGCTGGAAGCACGATGCGGGATTCTACCTTATGCCCAAATGTTGCACAGAAGCATAGATAACCTTTGGTACGTTTTAGCAGAATGTAGCGTTCGTGCCTAACGATTATGTCCCCTCCCTTGTTGGCCACGAAGTATCTGTCAAGGGATGTCCCCGCCGTCAATCCCGGGGCAGATGAAGGAGGGTGCTTGGTCTAGTGTTTGCAATTAAGAGATCGCGTCTCCCTCGATTTGAGTTCCTCGGCAATAGTCGTCTTCTCAAGCATCATCAAGTGCGGAGCACCGACTAATACCATTGCAATGCTTGCTCCAGGTTTCGCACAAGTGGTGCATTGCGTACTGGACGGCAGCCTTCAGCAGCGACCCTGGGGTTAGCCCAACCGGAAAACTCGCCTCGTGCGCGTAATTTCAGAACCTTCCTCAAACACTACAACTTTTTGATGGCTTGTCTGTTGCTGGAAGGGAAGGGGTGTCTTCACGGAGAGCTTACTGCATCAATAAATGGCGCAGATATTCAGCTCCAGTGCAGTGCTTTGCCCTAAACATCACAGCAACCGGGCACCACCCCCTTCGCACAGCGTACAGGGAGCAGCACAAGCCCCCTTCTCTTTGGCCACATTCGGCCACCCTTATTCGCTCCCTACTTGCCCTCATGCAAATGCTCTTGCACCTTGCAACTCTCCAACGCCGAATCCCACGTGGTCAGCGCAGCAGAATGTCTCTCCTCTCCACAACTACAGGGTCTTCGCCAAGTCGGGAACAACTCCTTTTCCTGCAAATAGATCAACCGCATTCCTCATCTTTCCCTACTCAGGAGACCCTTTCCAGCTGGCTTCCCCTTTCCATCTCTCGCTCTCCTGTGGTGATCCCTTCACTTTGTATGAGCCAAGGGCAAAAAACCCTATCGACTTTCCGAACCAGGACCGCTTGGAGAGCAACAATGCTTGCCAGTAATGAGGAGGTTAGGGGTTTCACACGTGTCAGCCATGCCACGGACCTTGGAGTTGTATAGAATGAGGATCAGACATATAATCCTTCAGCCAGGCCCGGGTGTCGCATTCTTGATTCCTTCTGGCGATCCCCAATTACACACATTCCTTCTGTCGACTCTTGGACTCTGAGCCTTTGGTGATCCTTTGCCACGGAGACAATCGTGGCGTACACACTCATTTTCGGTAACCTGGCACATCCAAGAATACACTTCGCCATAGAGGATAAGCTACATTCCTTACTATAACCAACGAAAGAGGCTCCAACATCCGCGACACTCCTTTACACCTGATTGGTCCTGTCCCTCGGTTGGGCGGATCACTGGCTCTTTTATCTTGTACGGACATACAACTCGGCAAGAATGCTTCCAACACCCGCAGGCCTGCCCTCGCGGCGGCACAGCAGTTTAAGCAAGGCCATCACAACCCTCACAGCTGCGGCCCTTGCCCTGAGTGGGAGCAGCACTACATTCTTAGTCGCTGCCAGCCCGGCGCCCCTTGTCCCCACTGTTATCGGCACGGATTTGCTTAATGGCACAAATAGCAGCGACAACTCGACTTCCACCCTTCTCTTCAACTCTACATCATCCACATCAATCACTAGCACGGAGTTCATAACTAGTTCCACAAGCTTGCTGCCAATTTTCTCGTCGTCGACAACAACAGAAGATGCATCGGCGGGCGTTCCCACGTCGACGGCGGTGCCGAAAGGTGTTCTTGCGCTTCCTCTGAGACATGTCGAGCTCGGCAAGGGTCTTGTTAGCGGGAGTATCGCGAGGCGTTATTTCAGCACGGAGGTTCTGAGTGTGTTTAGTGCTGCTTATTTGGCGGAGAGTAAGTCACTTGTCCACTTACTGATGCCTGACAAATTCGAGCCATTAACACCGAATCAACAACAGTCCGGTTCCCGAGCGCAAGAGGGTAAGAGATGCAGGTCATCGACGTCCTCCTCGACACGGGGTCTTTTGAGCTCTTTGTCAACCCGGTCTGCGCCAACTCTGACGTGCCGGACCTGTGTAAATCCTTTGGCTCCTACAACAGCTCCGCCTCGCCACATGCCGCGCCCTTGAACAAGACATTCTCCATCCAGTATGGAGGTGGTGCTGCGAGTGGAGAGTATTACAAGGACAACATTAGCTTGATTCGTGAGTATCCTTTATCCTCGGCCAGCTGGTTTTCACGCTTTTCGCAATCCCTGTTTCGATTCACTGACTGTCTGTGTACGAATCAGCCGGCACGACCCTGAGCCAGCAGCAGTTTGGCGTGGCCAACGCCTCCCAGCATGTCTGGTTTGGCATCATGGGTCTTGGTCAAGGCCGGGCGAACAACTACCTCAAGTACCCGCTGATCGTGGATAGCCTCAAGACTCAAGGCTTCACGGAAAGCAGGCTGTTCAGTCTCGAGCTTGGGCCCCAGCCGCCTATGTCGAATCCTAGTGGGTTTTCCCCTTGTCCAACGTTGAGTTGGGGTTTTTCCCCTTGGGTGGAAAGCGGCATAGCTTACTGACATGGTTGTTCTTCTTTCAGTCCAATACTCTGGCGAGATTGTATTTGGCGGACTCGACAGAAATAAATTCGCCGGTCACCTGCAGAAGGTACCGACAAACCCGACTCAAGTGTAAGTCTTTACCGCAACGAGCAGTCTTCTATTTTAGTCTCAGGGCACCTATACTGACAGCCCTAACTAGGTACTACGCCATCAAACTCACCTCTCTCGTCAACAATCCGGCCAGCGGCGTCTCTCAGCCCGTCACCCGGCAGGCCAACGCCCAGTTCCCCATTGACGTGATTGTCGACTCTGGCACTACTCTGTCCATTCTGCCGCGGTCCCTTGTCGAGTCTCTTGCTGCCAAGTTCCCAGGCGCCGTCTACGATGGCAGCGGCGGGTACACGGTGCCCTGCAGTTACCGCAACCAGCGAGGCAGTGTGACTTTTGGCTTTGGCACATACGCGACAATCTCTGTGTCGTACAACGACTTCATCTGGCTCTCGGGCAACACGTGCTATCTCGGGGCCTCGTGGAGCGCTTCCTTGGGCCTCAACATCCTCGGCTCGAGCTTTCTCAGGGGCACATATGTCGTGTTCGACCAGGACAACAACGCTCTGTACATGGCGCCCTACCAGAGCTGCGGGGGCGGTGACTCGAACCTGGTCGCTGTGCCCGAGGGCGTCGATGCTGCTGCCGGCATCGTCGGCGCCTGCCAGCCGGCGATTGTTTCGTCGAGCACGACAACCACGACTTCCACGACGACTGCGCGGACCACCACTAGCACTCTGAACACCTTTGTCTCGACGACACGCACCCCGACGGCCACTGGCACAGCAGGCAACGGCGGCATCACCGCGGCCCCCGTCGTCACCACCACCATCACCACCACAATCACCAGGCCCGTGGCACACACCATCACCGCGTGTCCCGCCCAGCGCACTGCGCCGTGCGCCCTCGGCGCCGTCGCCACGACATTCACAATCTATGTGGCCACGATCTGTCTCGCGGACCAGGGCAACGGGGTCTTTGTCGAGATCCCCGCGCAGACTGCCGCCGCGATATCACCCGTCGTGGCTCCAATCACCCTCACCCTCCCCGCGGCCGGCAGACCGACGACTTGCACCGACGACGGACAGGACACGACCATCACTCTGCGTCCCATCACTGCTGCTGCCACTACCAGCACCACGACTTGTACAGACGACGACGACGAGCAGGACACAACAATCACCCTCAGACCCATCACCGCCGCCGCCACGACAAGCTGCAGCGAGGACGAGGACGATCAAGACTCCCTCCCAACCCTGACACGAATCACCGCCGCCGCCACAACCCTGACCGACTGCCCAGAGTCTACACCGACGACGGGCATGAGCCCCGTGACCAATGCCGTCCTGCCGTTCCACACCAAACAACACCAGCAGCAGCAGGCTTCGTGCACGACGTGCCAGACGGTCACGGCGTCGGTGCTTCCCCTCGTGGTCTCGTCCTCCGCGGCGGGCGACCGCTCCCGTCGCGGCGTGAGGCGCGAGGACGCGGGCTTTTTCAGCAAGATCGACGTCAAGCTTGCGGCCGGGGTCGTCGTCGCGGTGCTCGGCGCCTGGTTATAAAGTTATGACCACTAAGAAAGGGGGTACTGGCATCAATGATGGTCGTTTGATAGATGGGCGGTACAAGCATCGCTGGAGGAGCTGGTTTCCTCGAGCGCTGGTGGACAAAAAGAAAAGGGCAAAGCATGGTTTCAGCGATAAGACTGCAGAGGAGAAAGAAGTTGTTGGGTGGTAATAAAAAGGGCTGCTTGGGTTCGCCGTCACTGGGCCAGCAGCTGTCTGGAAGACTTTTTTTTGGTCATTTGTTCTCCAGGAAGGAGGTTGTTGCTTGATAAAGTTGTGGGGGTCTCGCTGATAGATGGTGGTGTATCCTAAATTCTTCCAAATCAGCATAGATGACATAGTTGTTACCAACGAGAAGAGAAAGAATAAACATAAACAGAGAAAACCTGCAAAACTCTCTCAACCACCTTATTTCCCCGGACTTTTCGTGCATGACTACGAGAGGGCTGAGTGACGCTTGTGATCGCGTAGGGACATGGAAGAACAATCGATGTTCCAAAGACCACAGGAACAAGCACAGGCTGCTCATCGACGCGGTCGATGTGCCCAGCGGCTATTTGTCTTACTGCCCCCCGAAGGGTGCAGGTGTTTGACACTCACCTTGAGAAAGACCCAGCGAACTAGCAGCGCACCCGCCGCTAGACACGGCGATTCGCAGACATGTTCTGCGGTAAATGTTACTCGTTAACGGCGAATATGAAAGGGGACAACAAGAACACGACCCCCATCATCCCACATCATCAGAGTTACACCGACCCACAACTCGCCGGTCCACGGTAGCATGGGTGCTGCTACTTTGGCCCCGGCGAGCTCTCCGGGCCGTGCTTCTTTGGAGGGAAAGGCAAATGTGGTTTCGCATGGACACAGGCACAAATACACATGACGTACACATAAACACACACACGCTTGGGCGACTTTGGCGACTGAGTAACGCAGAGCTGGAGCTAACAACGAATTCGCGGTAAAGCCCATGTTCGTTTCGATGGCAACACGACGCAACTTTTGTACAACTGCCCTATAAAGAAGGAAAAAAAAAGCACGGGGGTTTGTGATCGGGGCCCAACAAAAGGCCATACATCAAAGGGGCAGATACCACCGTCCGGTATCGTATACCGACACACCAAACAACAAAGAGGTGCCCAGTGTGCGCAGTGACACTCCGTGACATGACATTGTCTCGAGTGTATATGCGTGTGTGTACGTGTCGGTTCCCTCGAGCTCTTATATCAAATAACGAAGCTCGCCTCGTCGCGAGCCTGTCGATCTCGTAGCAAAAAATAGACACACACACGCAGACTCATACCTCATCCAACGGGCCCACGAAGTTTTTCGGCCTCGTCATCATCAAAAACAAGACTGCCCTGTTGAAAACCATTTAAGAGGTTCGGGCTCAAGGGCCGGGCGGCCCCCGTCAACACTGGTATCTGCCTGCATCAGGACGGATATTCCCACCGTGTTTGCATCCTGCTTCTCGCTCAGCCGACTCAGAGGTACAGGGGACATATAAATCCATCAGCCATGCCGCCGGCCAAGATCAAGAACTCCGAGGCGCCCCAGGGCATCGTGCCGAATACTCTGTACATAGCCCTGACGCTCTGAGCAAACAATACTGGTCATAACTACGTGAGTGCACCCCAAAACAACCCTTGTCTCTGAGAACGGTTTGCCCAGCAACGTTTTGCCCAAGAGAAGTAGGAAAGTAGCATGGACCTCCGCGGCAAAAGTGGGCTTTCTTTCAGGTATACACGACTGATATTGAGCGGTGAGCGATAAGTAGCACGGCTTTCTGCTCATCTCCCGGGCAGATGGCCGATGCTGTCGCATTTCTGCCGAAAACCCCCTTGAACAGGCTAGCTCAACTTCAACAGCACCAAATATTACAAAGCGCAAATGGGTCCTCCAAAACAACATCCTGCGAGGGGAGACAGAGCGGGAAATGTTCACGCCGTCCTCGAGCAAATACCTCCTGGCGATCTACGAGGTCGGGCAGATTCGGAGCAGCAGAGTCGAAACGATAAGAGAGTTGGCGAGGCAGGTCGCCAAGCAGGCGAACGAACGGGGCCGGAAACCGAGTACGATTGCCATGCTTGTAGGAAGGAGCTCCTGCGGCGGTGCTCTGAAGAGAAGGGCCTTGGGCTGAAAGCCGACCTAGCAGGTCTGACTTATCCTAAAGCAGGTAAGAAAGGAAAGGTTGACGGGTTGTTGTGGGCCTACGATTTCGGGAAAAATTCTAATCCTTGCTTGTTACGATGTCGAGCAAGACACTAACTCCCCGGACCAATCAAGTCAACACTTTCTACGCCGCAGCCCTGAAGGTTGCGGATTACAATTTGGAGCACCTCTGGAAAGAGTTCAAAAAGATCGACGAGGAGCCAGAGAAAGCCCTCGAACTCGTTATCGGTCAACAATTTTCCGAACCGGTCAGTGTCGACCGAGAAAGCCTCGGCAAAGCACTTAAATCGCTAGGGAACAAAGTGAGACTGTCTAGGCTTCCCGTATATCGGTACAGCAAGGATCATTCGCGAGAGAGCAGCATCGAGCTGTCAGGCGACGAATGACGACTTTCAGTGGACATAACGATCATTAGTGGAGCGGATTATGGCCCATTTCGGGACGGGATGCCAGACGAGAGACAAGATTCATGTCAGATAGCACAGATCGGTCCAGATTAACGGCGCCAGAGGCTTCAGAAGGGCATCTCGCGGAAATTAACTACTTAAGGCAGTAAAACACTCACTTTTTGTTTTGTGATTGCGTATCGCCCATTGCGTATCGCCCATCGCTCTTCGCGAAGCCATTCAGATTGCGCTTGGGTCGTTCTGCCACCGTTTGCATTACTTTAGCCATCGCAGTGAAGAAGTTCTGGACATAGGATGAGCAAGACCCATTACCAAGATAATGTGAAGACATCGAGCGACATTGACGCAGAGCCCAATGCGGCGAAGGAGCCTGATACAGCTTGGACAGCCAGGCAGTGTCGTGAAGAAATGTCCAGTGCAGCGAAGAACTAACGGCTACTGCTAGTTAGCCATCAGACCTGCTCGGCATAGCGTAGGCTTGCAAGCAAACCGTCAGGGCCTATTCTTGGAGGATGGATGGTTGCTGGGACGGACACGAGTGATCCACGTGGACCCTGGTACCACCAACAAAGGTCTTGCCGTGTCGTTTATCAGCTGGTCAGGGGGAACAGAGGGCGACGTGGGTGGACGAGGGCGACTGACGTGCTAGTATGCAGCCGTGTTGCAAGGTTCTCCAGGAGATGTAAGTGAGCAGCACCAGCGATCTGGGAACGAAGCACACAGTGTCTATCGTCACAATTGACCATGTGTGGCTGGCTCAGGTGATATCAAAGACGAGGAGGATTATAGGACTTGGTTATGTGCAAGGATCGGAAGGTGCCCCGGCCCCCCACTAGGGTGTGCATGCTGCAACCTTGACAGGCGGACTGCCGGAGATGGCGAGCTCCACAGGGCCAGCATCCAGGAAATGAGAGCGCGTGTGTCTCGGCGGGTGTTGAAGAAACCGGTGCAGAAGATGTCTGTCCCTGGACGTGGCTCCTGAATTGGAATACGAAGTGCGTGGTCTGCGCGCGCCGGGCGCGGCTCTGGCGGCTGGCTGGCCATGGCCATGAACAATGGGATTGTCGCCCAGAAGCCTGAAAACGGCACACAAGCCGTGGAGGCGAGGCGGAATGGCGCTGGCGCGACGCTACAAGCATTAGGTACAGGATGGCCCCCTGGCGAGGGTGCGGGACGTGAGCGTGGTTGGCTGGCTGGGTTGGACTTGGGCGGACCAGCTCGGGCCGGAACTTAGATCTGGACGGCTTGCTCGTAGTGGCCTAGCCTGGCAGCCATCGCTCCCGCGTGCATGCGCTGCTTTGTGAGAAGTCGTGTATCGAGTGCGTGCGGGTATGTGCGTGTGTGTGTGTGTGTGTGATGGGCTGATAGTATGCGAGTGGCGGCGCAGCGTAGTAAGGAGATACAGGCATGGCAGGAGCGGCGGCAGGGTGTTTCTGCGCAGAACCATGACCTGGGGTGGGGCAGGCCATGGTTCCCCTGTCGACACCCAGCTCTGGCGAATCCTGCCAGGTGCGACCAACATGCTTGCAGATTGCTCAGGGTTTCACGATGCTTAAGGTTTGCCGTGCTCCTCGTCGCGTGGCTCGAGAGTCTGTCTGTCTGTCTGTCTGTCTGACTGTGTGGCTGTCCAATGCCTGGGAGTGGCAGAGACAGGCGGAGGCAGAGGCACCCACGGGTTGGCTCATTCTGAGGACCTTCCCCCCGCCCAGCCACGCCTCCAGTTGAGCAATCACACGGCTCCATGGATGGCACAGAGCTTTTTTTGCTGGAAAAGCAATGCTGCGAGTCTTGCGCATGTCTTTGTCGCGCCGTGCCAACCTGGGACAAGTTGAGATCCCTCCATGGCAGCCAGTAAGCAAGCAGTCCACACCAACCCCTTGGTGATGATCTGATCTTCACACCGGTCGGCAGCATCCATTATCTACCTATCTTGGTATCTACATGGGACCCCGCCACCGACTGCTGCTGCTCCTGTGCTACACATGATTACTGCTCGTGCGACACACATACTGCTTGTGGGCTCCACTGCTCTCCCGACCGGCTGGGCCATCGCGAGGCTTGCAGCGGGACCGCGCCTGTTCCTGCGCCGACTTGCCCCGCTGGCCGGCGGCGAGCTGTGTCTGTGCGCAGGCCCGCGAGGCCCCCGCTGTGGTGCCGGCCTGGACCCTGGAGCCCGCTCCCGACTGGCCGCCTGCCCTCCCGCCCTGTCTTCCAAGGCCATCTGCGGCCACTGGGTGACGACGTTTTCTGGCCACCCACAGCCCGCCTGCCCACCACCCTCCCCCACCCACACCCCGGCACGCCTTTCCCACCTCATGCCATGGTGGTTTGGCCTGCCGGCGCTTGTCCCTAGCTTCTTAAGCCTCCTGCTCCCCAGACTTTCGCACCACCCAGAGATCGAGAGAGCCCCGTCACTGTTCCTGCCCAACGTCTTGTCCATCTGCGGCTCGCGATTCTGACCAACCCATTGAAACTTTGCAATTCTGACCAAGCTCGTTCAAAGCCTCACAGCTGACAAGTCCTCTCCTCTCTTCTCTTCAGAGTCGAATCCGCCCGCCCTTCCCTCGGTTCCCGTTCCGGCAAGTGGCGTTCCGCCCTTCCTCCACGCGATTCGCCTGCTACCTCCTCTACCCATTGGAGCGATCTTGCTGCATAAGACGAGAGATCGCGTCTCTCCTGAACCTCTCGCGCCGCCTCAGATTCTATAAGCTTCGGAAAGCAGCCTGCCCAGACAGAGGGTTACCAGACGCGACACCTGTCGAGAGACGCTAAGCTACGGACAACGCGTACAGCTGCCCCCCCAGCTCGTCCATTACAACCCAAGAGCCGCCCGCCATGCAGCAGATCGCGCAATCGCCGGTCCCTATCTCCATAACAATCTGCGGCGACGGCGGATGCGGTAAATCGTCAATCACGCTCCGCCTCGTCCGCTCGCAATGGACGTCCGAGTACGACCCCACAATCGAGGACAGCTATAGCATAACGCGCAAGATCGATGGCACGACCTACCACCTCGCGCTGACGGACACGGCCGGCCAGGAGGAGTACCGCGGCATGTGGGCGTCCTCGAATCTCGGCGCCGACGCGTTCCTGATGGTGTACGACATCACGGCCGCAGACAGCCTTGACCAGCTCAACTACTTCAACGACCTGATCGACATGGAGTCCGAGACCCGTCTTGACAACGCGTCTCGTGCTCAGAGGGCCGGCCTGGCCACCGGAGCCGCCAGTGGCGCGCGAACTGTCCCTCCCGTCAAGATTGTGGCAGGTAACAAATGCGACCTGCAAGAAGGGAGGCAGGTGCCGGCCGCGCAGGGCTTGGACTGGGCGCGCAAGCGCGGCTGCGGCTTCATGGAGACGAGCGCCCGCATGGAGGTCAACATTGAGGAGACGTTTGCCCTGATTGTGCGCAGGGTCGCCGAGGCGCGCAGGCTGGCCGAGATGGGCGTCGTGGACAGCGCCGACAACATGGGCCGGCGAGGCATGACCAAGCCGCTGACGCCAATCGGCAGCGAGCGCGAAGAGGACATGGAGAAGAGGGGCGTAGGCCAAAGAGGGCCGCGCGTGGGCGGAGACCAGCGCCTCGGAAGGGAAAAGTTCTGGAAGAGTTGGCGGTGCTGGTGATCCGATCTCGAACCATTGCCATCAGAAAACGGGGGGGTTTGTTTTCGCGTCTATACACAAAGAGCTTTTCTTTTATAGCGGTCAGCATCACTGCTTCTTCTCCTCGCTCGCTGCAGTATTTCCTACAGAGTCGAGATTGTATATACCACGGCGTTTGGACGGGTCTTGGATTCATCGGGTTGGGCTCAAAAGGACAAGGCCACACACACACGCACGAAAGGCTGATCTAGATCATAAGACAATATACATTGAAACCTTTCAGATTGTCGTAGAAGCCATGGAGTGTTCTGAACAAAAGTGTGGTATAGCACATCCTCCATTCCGCAATATGACTGCAAGCCATTTGTCTAAATCCCCATACTCCTAGCGCTGTTCTCATCGCCATTTCCGACTAAAGGGGAGGTTTCCCCCAAGGCTTAGGAATTAGAAGGAGCTGCACCGCCACTCTTTGAGACCGTATGTCCAACTCGGGCGCGGGCATCCACGCAGGATTGTGGCCCCAGTTACCTATTTCGTGACACTGATCCCGGTTTTTGAGTCTCGTGCTGACTGGGGCTGGACTACCACGTTGGTCCTCGCCGGGTTGAGGAAGAAGATTTATGCCAAGATAAGAAAACGGGCGCTTCGTGGGTTCCTGATCGTTGTGTAGATGTGACGATCGAGGCATGTTCGCAGCTTGCAGGTGTTCGTTCCAAGTTGGGCCTGGGAGAAAATTGTCATGGAAGACAACGAAGTCGGTCGCGTCAAGTTGACCAGTAGTGATTGCTCGGCGGTTGTTGATAGCAACGCACCACTTGGCATCTGCGAAACCTGTCTGTGGAACGCCACTGCAGGAATGTCACATATGTCGCGTGGGGGATGAACTGCTTCTGTTCTGCTGAAATGGACTGCCAGCCCTTCCGATAGAACCTCGTTCTTAAAGCGTGTCGTCGCAAGTGTATGCTAGCATGTGGTCGGCATTAGTGAAGGCGGTGCTGCACAAGTTGTGCCTATCACAAAGAGGCATATCCCGAGGACCGCGACTTGCTCAAAAGACATACTGCCTAAGGGTAGGTCGGGCAAGCCGCTGGTACCCCAGACGAACTATAGAATTGGAAAATATGATGGCAAAGAACTTCTGCCGTATATTGTGGTGCCTAGAGATGTCTTCCGTATGTTGAATGGTCATCATGGAGCGGCCAATGTGTGCATGACTTGTGATGAAACTTTGAAGTATGCATCACTCCAAAGATTGAAGTGTCTCACAAAGCCCTCCGGTTTGAGTACAAGAATATAAAGTACAGTTTGGTAACCTCCTAAGGTATGTGAGCCTCCGAGACCAAAATTCGAGCCGTAGCGAGACTGCCGTCTGTCAGACTACAGCTCCCGTCTTGAGGTGCTGCTCCCACTTGTAGTAGCCACACCAGTACTATCCGCTTTCGTAGCCTCTTCGTAAGAAGGCGGCTTCTCACGACGAATGGAGTCCAGGGCACCCAAAGAAGCGTTAACCAGCTCATGTTTGTTGCGCCAGACCTGCTGACTCTCGAGATACTGCCTCATCTCTGCGGACGGCGCGTTGGACGCGGGGGGAGGGTCAGTGATCTTGGTGATCAGGTACGCGGTCGAGGCTTCTGCGATGCCGTAGATCAGCACACCCAGGAGCGGGACCTGGAGCAATGTGTAGAAACCGACACCGAAGCCGAAAAGTAGCCCCTCACGATTGCGGAACCAGTTCTTCTTTTGTTCCTTGGTGAAGTGGACGCGCGCGAAGTACGGCTCAAGCAGCTCGCGCATGAGGCCACGGGAGGCGAAGTATGTCTGCAGGAATCTCACGAGAATATGTCGCGGAAGGAAGATGCCTGTGCCAAAGATCACCGAGGCAGGGCCGAGTCCGACGGCCTTGTTGAAGGTGTAGAAACTGCAAGCCGGGAGAACAAGGCGCCCAACGTAGGGGAGATAGGACAGCCCAAACACCGCAAGAGAGATGGCAGCACGCCGACCGTAGCGGTAGAGCAGCATGCTGATGGACTCGGCGGTGCTTGTCGAGTGCGTGCTGCCATCCTTTTGTTTGTACTGCCGCAGGTTGGGGTAGTACATGTCACGCAGGGTGTCCGGGTTCTCGTGCTTGTGCTTTTCAACGTATGTGTGGTCGACCCAGCGCAGAGACTCCATGAACATGTTGTCAAGTGTCGGGGTGACGTAGCGCATCAAGGTCATGAGGAAGAGTGGGACTTGCAGGATGTGGTTGGCAAGCATGTCCAGGCCGTTTACCAGAGTATTGTCCCATGTCGTCTTGTCCAGGTCGTAGAAGAGAGACGTGATGAGCAGGAGGAGCTTGACGCCATAGATCTGGAAGCTGTCAGTATCTGTTGAGTAATCACTCAAGAGGGACTGTGCCGTGGCGAGACCTACTGGCAGGGCGATGAGAAGGCGGATGGCGATGCCAGCTCCGACTGCTATGGCGGCTTGTTTATAGTGCGTGTTGGTGAAGATGCTGGGATTCTGTAGAGCTCTGTGGGCTGCACGCGGCGCGATATGAACGTCAGAAGATTGAAGCCAATGCAACTGTGCCCAAGAGATTGTGGTGTTCGCGTGGCCGAAGGTCAAAGATATCTGGTGATGCTCGCGTACCTCCAACCAGGGTGAGCTGTGCACCCCGCAATATGGCATTGAAGTCGAAATGGGAGACATCAAAGGCCTTCTTTAGCTTCTCCTTGTCAGCTGCGTCGAGCTTTGGAACTCGTGGTTCAGACATTGTGCTACTGGCGTTTTCCCGTGCCTGAAATGTCGTGAAATTCTTGGTGTTCCGATCACGAGCATTGAGCTTCAGACTCGGAGTGGGAAGATGGCTGGACAGCGGGGAATGACGACACAGCCCAGACAACAGCTCCACGTCAGCATCCCTGCTTCCGGCCGGCACACGCACGCAACGTAGCGCAAGCCTTATCGATAGTATTGGAGGGTGGTGCCCGCTGGTGCTGGTTTCGCGTCAGCGAGACTGCTGGAGATCTAGGGGCGTTCCTACGGCGCGCTACCGAGGTCGGCTGCGTATGCGCGTTTGCCAGTATCCCTGGCATGCTAATGCGTCCGGAACTCCTCGCAGCGTCCGATCGATAGCTTCTGAGAATATTGAGACTACATCCCTTGCGCGTGTGCATGGAATGGTACCGAGCCTTGCTTCGGGAGAGCTCCTGATCATCGACTGTGAGAGAGCCCATCAGTATTCGCGAGGACACGGCACACGCCAATGCAAACCCGCTTCCTGGCGATCTTCACAGTAAATAATGATAACTACAGCCCGGCATTGCTCGGACGATAATGAGGCTCAAGGGTCGGGACGATCCTCTAAGGGGTTGGCTAGCTGCCGATGAGAAAAGTGGGCGCGTGCCCAGCGCGTGTTCGCCAACTTGCGATTGCTCAATGAGCTGCCACTACCGAACCACACAGCCCAGCCCTCCTTATGAGAGTATGGCAGGCCAAGGTTCGAGGTGCGAGGCTGACACACAAGACCTGCGATCGTCGTCCACCATTACTTGGACGGCACGATACCTCTCGATTTGGAGTATTGTCGACCCCAGTCTCGCAAGTGCCCAAGCCTGTTCCCTGGCCAAGCGCAGACGGGGGCCTAGCGCGCCCCACCCTCATCCTGTCAAATGGTTCGCGACCATCGTCGTCCCACCCGGAGCTTGACCGTTCAAGCGCTTCATGGCCGAAAGTCAATAATTGAGTCCGCCAGCCACCTCGTGACATCCAGAGATCGTCACCCTTCCTCCACCAGTCGTCTCGGCCCGAGAACGATCTTACGCCCAAGAACACCCTCACGAACAGCCACGATACTGCCCTCCACGCATGACCCCGAGACACGACAGACCACGCCTTTGATCGCTATGCACATGTTGAGGCCATCGAGGCCGGACAGACGAGCTCTCAGCGTGTCACCAGGCCAGCAACACCACAGATGACGCAGTCAGAAGACCAGCTGGGCGAGGTTGCGTTCCGGCCGCCTCGTCGCAGCTCGACTGTCCCGGTCATGCCGCGACGCGCAAGCACGTCCTCCGTCCCGTCACAAGATCCGAAGCAGGAAGAGGTCGTCGAGACCCTCTACAGCCACCCTTCCGTCAAAATCATCGCGTTCACCACGAACGAGCGGATATCAGTGGGTCGCGATGCAGATACAAGACCAGGCTCCCTCCCGCCATCTTCGCGGCTAGAAAGAACGATCGCTATCGGACAATTTCGAATCTACAAGGCACCCGGTAGTGTGGCATTCTTGAGCTGCGGTTCGGCCTTGCAGCCCATTCTGCCAAAAAGCCAATGCTGGTGTCTTACGGAGGATAACAGCCGCTTTGTGCTGCAGATCAGGCGGCCACAGTACTGGCGGATCGAGCTGCCGGCGGAAGAGCAGGACGACATAGAACGCGCCATGCTGCTCAGAGAGGTACTTACCCAGACTCTGCAGTTTGAGCGGACCGAGTGTCCGTTCCAGCGGAGCTTTACGGTAGAGCTGCCGGACCGACCTTCCACACCTGTCAAGTTAAAGGCGTGGACCGCCGAAGGAAAGAACCTCATAGCCTCGCCCTTTGCAGATCGGCCTGCAGCAGCCATATCTCCGATTGCCATGGCCGGTCTTCGAGAAGCCACACCGAACCCAAGAGATGGGGAGCACCGTAGATTCCAACCTCTCGACCCAGAAAGCAACTCGTCACGACGCATGCGGAGACGTGGCTCCGAGGATTTCTCAGTAGGCGAAATCGAACAAGGCACTTCGCAGGCTTCGCTTGACCAGAGCTCTTATGTTGAACAAGTCGTGAGCAATTTGGAGGTCAATATAGCTGAAAACCCACCGCAGCGGGAGGCCAGAGTGCAGCGCGCCAACTCCTTGGCCCACGAATTTAGCCCGCCGGCTCAGAGAACTGGGTCGAACGCTTTGTCGAAATCACCTGAGCCTCGAACACCGGGAAAAAGCCGGCCAGGACTTGATGCATCGCCGGGTGGCTGGTTCACCTCTGAGCGTTCTGCCACAGTCGATGCCGGCCAGAGTACAGCGAACTTCCTGAACAGAGCCGTGCATGACCTCGTTGAGGGGTTCGACACCCTTTATAACAACAGCCGCAACTTGCTGGACCAGCAAATTAGGCCGAGATCTCAAGACTCCCCGTCCAAGTCAAGCTCGCTTGCCCAACAAGGGCAGAGCGACCTTGAGGACGGCGAGTCGCCCAGCGAGCTGAGCGATGCATTCTACACTCCCAATGAGAGAGGTCTCGACGAAGCCGAATTTGACGCCGTCGCAGGCGAGACTGCTTGGACGTCCGTTCAAGGTGCCATAGCTTCTCTGGCTGAAGGAGATCTCAAGACACCAACACAGCACAGCACACCTGCGGACCTCAAAGAAACCATGCCTGCAACGCCCCCGCGATCTGTTGAAAGGAAACAGGCGGGCAAAGGCAGTGATGAGCCTTCCTCCTTTGAGGGTTCTGGATATGTCGCTCCTGTCAATCTGAGCAAGAAACGAATGAGTAAGAAACTCGCTGGGCGATCTTACACGGCCCCTCCGCAACTGAAAGTTGCGACATCGTCCTCTTCAAAATTGAAAACCGCCGCTAGCAGCGGGACAAGAGCTAGCGCATCAACCACCGCGACGAAAGAATCACGGGAGACCTCCCCTAGAGGTTCCACAGACTCTTTCCACTCCGTCGCGTCTTGGCAATCGTCTGACGCACCTCTGCCGCCGTCACCACCAGTTTCGCATGGCGGATCACCAGACCGTCAACCCTTCCCCCACCCACATGAAGACATCGTCTTGGACAAGCTCGATATACCACCGAGGGATTCGTCTGTTTCGACAGTGACTCCAAGCGCGGCACGCTTCCCACCAAATCCTCTCAGAAAGGCTGCACGGTCCAGATCAGCTTCTCCGCGGGCTCGGTCCCCGGTAGAATCAGCCAGGGCCAAGTCCACAAGCATCGAGCCCGAAGGTCACTTCTCTGCGGCAGCCATCAATCGGAGATCCCAGTTCCGGCGCCGGCTGAGGCGCAATAATCTCTCCTTCAGCCGCAGAGCACTCTCGCCACTACCACCCGCGGCGAACTTGTTCACGCCAAATGCCAGAAGGGTGCTGGAGGATCCGCTGACGACGATGAAGCGGCTGCCAGGCGCCATTCTCTCCAAAACTTTCGAGATCTTGATGAGCCCGCCGAGCCACCTCATCCAGCTGATACTGAGAGTTGCCCGCAAGATTCTAGCTGGTGAGTGGCGCGGTCTAGTGTACGGCTTCAACGAGGGCGGCGAGGAGATTCCCGTGCACTGGGACTACTCTGACGAAGACTTCGCCAATCTCGAGGAGGAAGCCGAAGACGACAGCAATGGACTTGGGACAAGAGGCCGGTCCTCGAGCACGCACTGGGACGAGGACACGAGCAGCAGACATTGGGAGGTAGACTAGAAGTCGCCTGTTTGCACACTATGCTCTTGTAAGATATTTGGATGATGTACAACAAACGATGGTGTTTGGGAAGAGTGGGGATTTGCCTTCACATGCAGGCTTTGCTGGGGAGATGTTGATTCACGGGAACAGAACAGACAGCGTCATTGCCGAGACTTTTGCGTTTACACGTCGCTGGAGCATCTTCGGAGTCGCTCCTTCCGAGCACTGGCGTTCTGCAACGATATCCCCTTGAGTTTGCGTTGTCCAGCTTTGCTGACAGATGTCAACTCAGCCTTGATGACCACTTCTAATCAATATTAATGAAACGGGTTACCTTTCCGCTCTAATACAAGAATTTCTTTGTCTTTATCTGGATCTGCATTGTAGCCTTGGAGGGTGTGCATGTCTGTCAAAGAGGTTCGATGGCCAGAGGTCAAGAGGTTTGGAGGCCCAGAGCGTGCTGCCGTGGCCAAGACTGCTCTATCACGAGTTCTTAGTTTGCAATATCGGACGCGCTTCCTCGCAATGACCAAGAGGACCAGGCCAATCAAAGTAGTGGCTCATTCTTGTATTGCGGCCTCCCACGGACAGTGAACTAGCAAAAGGCAAAGAAGCATGGACGCCTCTGTGGGTGGTCCAGCTCGAGCATGCTTTCTGGCTGTCTATCATCCATGCCAAGTCGAGAAGGAGTTCAGCTTGAGCGGCTGGAGACTCCGATCTTTCAGAACTTCAGACATGCAGAGCGAAGACTGACGGGTAGCCGCGTGTACGAAACAGCCGGAACGAGGCGAAGGAACACAATGGTCGATGTTTGCGCGAGTGCCGGACAGACGAATGAATGAAAGCCGACATCTTCCGCAGGACTGGAGTACGTGGCTCAGTGTTGAGCATGATGCATCAAAAGTCTATTCACCTTGGCCTCACGACTAGTTCACATGAGCTCTGAGATTATCCAAAGTTTCAATTTGGTGTCGATGTCAACCGCGTCGTGGCTGAGACTCAAGAGCTGGCCAGCCGAGGACTGACTTTCGCCAGACGAAGGGCAGAGAAGTCCTGGTCGTACCTTCCTCCTACGCACATCTTGCAATATGACCTGGAGGGAGTGCGCGGGTGGTTTGCCGGGGCAACTTCCTCCTCGAGCGCGACGGCCACTCTTGGCTGCGACCTCGTCCTGTTGCACTGCTTTCCTCCCACCCTCTCTCATTCTCCCACCCTCTCCCACTCTCCTCTCCCAGTGTCCATCCCAGCTTCCCCCCTCTCGCTTGTCCCTCCCACATCCGTCGCCAAAGACGCTTTGGCGACACCGCTGAAACTGGCCGTATCGAAGGCTGGCTGCGGGATGTGAGTTTCTTCCTCCTCCGCCTGCACCAGACATCACTTTCGCATACATGGGTTCCGGCCCATCCATTCCGAAGGGAAGAGCTGCCACTTCCTCTCTGAGGCTCGCATACTCAGAACATGTTTACATGCTTACATGTTTACTAAGAGGTGATATACTGCCTCTTCAGTGTCCGGGACTCGCTGCCCGGACGCATGACCCCAGGGTGATCTATCGAGGTCGCCCGCGGGTGTCACGTCGCTTGGGTGCCCAGCTGGGTGCGCAAGAGTGAGCGCCAGTTTCTTGTGGAACAGACGGCTCTCGCGACGCCTTGTCAGCGGCTGTGTCCTGGCCGATGACTTTGTGCTGAAGGGCAGCTTGACCTTCAGCGCTGACAGAGTCACCAACGAGCCCATCGTTATCGGCGCTCGTGGCATGGTCGTCCCGGCCAAAAAGTCTTTGCAGCTCAAAGCTGCTACAGTCCTCGGTGGAAACCTGGACATTCCTCTCGGCGCCACTCTCACACTGGGTGGTGACCTTGCCGTCAAGAGCGACTTGACTCACCTGGCTGCGTGTCGGCTGGGCGAACCTGTGCTCGCAGATTTCTCTGTCGAGCTCCAGGAAGACCTACTGGTGGCACCACCGCCAAAGGTCGAGCAAGATGGGGACCATCAGGTGCCCGACGCTCCTCTACCTGCCGATGCTCCACAGAGCGCGCGGCCAACGGGGGAGCAAGAAGCTCTGGCTCCTTCGTGGGCTCTCCAGTCTCTCTTGGAGGGGACTGTGCTGAAGTCAGGCTTCAAGCTTGGCTCATGCAAAGTACCAGCTGGGACTGTGCTCCCTGCTGGAACTGTGCTGCCAGAAGGCATCACCATACCAGGTGGTACTGTCCTGGCGGCCAAGACAGAGGTGCCACAGGGCTCTCAGTTTTCTGAGGGCACTGTTCTCCCCAAGGGTTTGCGCCTGCCACACGACTCGAGCGTGATGGCTAACAGTGGCATGCTCACTACAAATGCGCCCGAGGTCTCGTGGGGCGGTGACCTCGCTCTCCGCCAACGTTAAGCTGGTGGTAAGGGTTGGCCTCGGTCCGGGAAGGCTTTTGTGTGTGGGCCTTCTTGCTTCTGGTTGGTGGTTTTTCGTTTGGTCCTGTTCTGTTCTGTTTTGTCTGGGGTTGTTTGGGAAGTCCTCTGTGCTCGAGAGGCACGTTTTGTTGTGCCCATAGAGGCGCAACTGGAAGGGAAGGGATGCTCTTTATGAGCTGCCGATGATGCTCCTCAGGGGCGGAGGTACCAGAACGATAGCTGGGCGCCTTCACGTGGCGTTCTGGGTGAGTAACCAGCCCTTGCGGTGTCGGTGAAACCAAGATCCAGCATAAATAGAATTCAGTTGAGCCAATCTAGCTTCATTCTGCCAGGTAACGGGGACATCGATGCGTTGTCGATCTGGACAAGTCTTTGCGGACGGCGGCGTCTTAGACCCTGGACCCAGACCCTCGCTTGCCCGGAGAGAGTGGAAACTCAACTTGACCAAGGCGTCCAATTCTCGCTGTCTATCTGTCTATGGTACTGATTATGAAGTTACACAACATGAAAGTGCTCGAATATTCAAAACATGAATCCGCACTCGATCGCGGAAGGAAATTGAAAGAGTTGTGCGAATCGGCAGCCCATGAAATATGATGAGGCGCCACCTATCCCTCCCGTTTCATCCCCAATCTAATGCACATTGGAACAATCTGTGTACTTGTCTCAGACGAGGGCCTCTGGCTTGGCCGCCATGGCTGGTTGACCAGAGCTGCCCGTTGCTATGGGAGGAATTTCGGAGTGGACGGCCGTCTGGTTGTTGTTGCTGTCGTGCTCATCGAGCTCCCAGAAGCGCGAGGTCTTGTCCTTGCCCGTGATTTTGCTGGTGATGTCGAATGGATCAATGATGGTGAGGATAAAGTTGCGGTCTTGTTTGTAACCCGGGCCCATAATCTCGGTGACGCCGTCGCGGGCGAGGTAGACTTTTGTGGCTGTTGGTGCAGAGCACAAGTTAGCATGCGTTCAGCCTACCAAGGAAGCGCGCGCTCCTCAGACGCCGGTTCGAGTTTGCCCATTCAAAGGTTCGTTGAGACAAAAGCGAATTATTTATTCATTTTTGCGCTTGAGCCAGGGATTTTGTGGGGGTGGGGGGGGAGTTATCGACTCACACTTTGGCAACCACCGCCTCGGGTGGCGGATGTTGAACATGATCATGTTGCACAACATGAGCGAGGCCTCGAAGATGTAGAAGAAGGCCTCGTACCGGATGATCGGGCTGACCGCGGTGGGGTCCTGTGCGAGCGCTTCCCAGTCGATGTGCTCGGTCTGGAAGAACTCGACGGTGCGGAAGATGCAGCGCGTCAGGATGAGCGCGTTGCTCGCGTACAGGTTGATCATCACCTGGTTGAGGTTGTGGTTGTTGCGGATGCCGTGGCGGCGGCAGGTCTGGTAGAAGTATGTCGCCAGGGACAGGAACAGGGCGATGACGCCCAGCTGGATGATGAGTGCGGCCCGGAGCAAGTCATACCCGATGGCCTGCTGCTCGGGGGTCAGGGATTGGTTGGCCATGTATGAAGCGCCCCAGCCGCTGATGCTCTCGACCACCGCGGAGAGGAAGGCGAATGTGGAGAGGACGCGGCCTGGGTGGATCGGCGAGTAGTAGGGGATGTAGTACAGGATGCGGCCGAGGAGGTAGAAGTTGGCGAGCTCGTTGAGGGGCCTGTGACACCGATTTTGCGTCAGTGGGAGGGTTTCCTGGCCTGGGCGGGTGGCAGCTGTGCGTGGCAGGATGTTGAAAGGACTCACGGTGCCGCAAAAGTCAGGCAAATGCTCACGATGTACTTGATGAGATCGTCATAGTCCCATGCCCCTAGGCACCGGAAGATGAAGCCCACTGTGTACAGCAAGCCGCAGAAGGCAAAAAGACCAGTCAGCCTCCACGACTTGTAGTGACTATCGTTCGTCACATTAGAGGATGATCTCCAGCCCGGAAGTAAAGCATCTTCGAGAGATGAAACGTACTAAGACTGATAGGCATGGCATATGCCAGTCGAGGCGAAGGCGATGGTGTAGAAGATGGCTGCCCCTTTATTCGGAGCATAGAACCAGATACTGCCTGGGGCCCAGTCGCCGTGTCCCATGATGGATGTTGAGATATTCGTTGGTTATTGAAACTTAGGTGTCTTTGCACGGATGCGAACATGTACGACGAATGGACATACTCTGTGCTTCCATTTGGGATCAGGGGAACAGTTGGGCACCTCCAGATTCTTATAAGCCATTTCATACCATATTGAGGCACAGCAGCAGCTGCTCATTGATGTAGGCATGGAACATCTAACAGATGCGAATGACGCACCACCCCTGTCTTGCAGCAGAAACTCTCATGTGCCTGTCAGACGGGCAATTAAGACCGCTCTGAGGCTGAGTCCCACAATTGACATGCCTTGGGATGATCCACAACACGGCCAAGACCTGCACATTTCGGGCAATGTGGCAGTGCACTCGACCAATCGCATAGCACGCAGGAATACGGGCCAACTCAGACGAGCTGAACGATTGGCTCCAAGGGTTTAGAGATTGGCTGTATGCCCCGCCCTGTTCGATGCTGAGCACTCATCCTCTTAGGGCCGTCCTGCTGTCGTTGCTGGAATGCTGTTGACGAGCACTGACAGACCAATGGCAAGCAAGCAACCTGTGGCGAGCTCTCGGCGACAGCGAGGCCATGATGTGCACATGTCTTCATTTCCCAGGCTGCACCTGGAGAACTGGCTGTCTGCTAGGTCTCCACTTTGGTGGGCTCAACACATGCGAGATACGCAGTTCCTTCAGCAGCCTACAGCCAAGCATCAGCCTTGCATGATCACCCACTTAGTGTCTCTGCTGAGCTACGCGAGTTCGGTAGCTCGCAGATGAGGCTGTGTCGAAGACTAGAGATCAGGAGCTACGTATAGCTCGTGCTTTCCGATCAAGTTCCCAGCTCCTCCAATAACGAACCGCATAGAACAAGTCCTGTCGAAAGCGTATGTGTCGTGTTTTAATCCTTGTCCTTGGCCATGCTTCTTGAAATCTGCCTAGATCCAGATCCAGGACTGCGGGCTGTGCTGTAGCTCGTGAGGGAGTAAAGTCTGAGATCGAACCAATCCAGAATTGGTTCCTTCATTCCGTGTGCGACCGGAGTTAGATGTATCCTTGACAACGAAGCTGCGGCAACGACTCTCAGTCACGCTGTGGGCGATCTTCCCATTCAGATTCGTGAGTCCCAGGTGAAGAGTGTTTTTTTAAAGCCAATCATGACTGCGAAATCGATCGTTGGTCCCAAAACTTTCCCTCCTCGGGCTCGTGAATGAAAGCATGAAGGGTCATTGACTGGGATTTGTATCGCTGCGAAGTTTCCGGTGCTATTGCCGCACATTATGTTCCGCATGATGTCTCCAGCGGCAAAGCCTCGCCTAGAGTCCCCAAGCGCTGCTGCAATACGCGTTTCTCAAGCTGACCATGCAGACAAGCACAAGCATCTACACTCACGCGATGGAACATCCCGTTCTTGTGTTTGGCGTTCCTTGTCATAAGCTGTGCGCAGAAGTTTCTGGTAAGGGCTTTTTTTGTCTGTTCTGTTTGTTGAAAGGGAAGAAGAAAAAGAAATCATCGCCTTGCCCATTTCCCTTGATCATTTTTTTCAGACAGCGACCGAGGTTTCAGCCTCACACAGACTGCCTTCCACGGCAGCAAATACGGCAGCAAATACAGCATGAAGAAAGTTGGTAGCCTATAATCCACAGCTCCCACACCTGGTGCGACCGGCAAGGACAATCTTCAGACCTATTCACAGTCAACGTTGGCCCCACGCTCCTCCACGAACCTCAGGGTGTACAAGCGCCAATCTTGACATACCAAGTCGGCCGCTGTCCAGCCAGCAACATTTCGAGCTTGCCCATCGGAATGGTCGGTAGACAGTAGCGTGTTGTGCACTCAGATCGTGCTGCCTCGCCGCGCGGCAAGGGTCACTGGTAACTGGCCAAGATTGTCCATTGTTCTGAGGTCCAGCTGGTTGTCGGCGACCAGAAATGAGTGAGTGTCACCCACTCCCCAATGAGCGGCATCAGTCAAGGACGCGTGGCCTGTCCAGCATAGTCGCAGGTCGATCTAGACTTCAGAATCCGCCAGCGACATCTTGACCATGCTAATGTGGCCTTGGGGGATCGCAAGTGGCGGTGCAGGCACTCCATTGCAAGGCCCGAAAAAGTGCGAGGCACGAGGCTCCGTGTCGAAGCAGCCATTTAATCGTACTTCTGTGCTAATCTCTAGTTATCAACTTTGCCGTTGGCCTGGGACCAGATTGGACCGCTTCTAGAGGCGCATCTCTCTCCACTAGCAGCTTGGTTAGACGAGACTTCTCCGACAGCTGCAAAGACGACAAGTCCAGCGACTTCCACCATCTTATTTGAGCAGTGCCGCTTCATACGAGTGGATGAGCACCGGCAAAGGCTGCAATGGAAGGATACAGTACAAAGTAGGTGGGGAAGAGCAGGATAACATGTAGGGCGGCGCACGCGCCCCCGCCCCGCCCCCCCCTATGAGTCTCACACTGCAACTGATTGCGAGACCATGAAGAGTCGGATCCACGGACATGACTTGGCATGGAGCGCCTGAACCTTCAGTCAGAGCGTGTTGAACTAGATTCACGTAGTAGGACTTCGTCACGTTTGTACCCGTAGCCCTGTGGCTCACTGCAATGCCACTCAAGGATGGTCACAGGCCCACCTGATCGCGGGCATCGCAGCATCGGACAATTTTGGATACGCCCAAGGCGGCAGCTGCACCTCATGAAGAAACATGGTTGGCCAGCTCATCCACACCAGGGTGGCGCCCAATGATCCTCGATTCGCGATGCTCCCGGGTGAACCAGTGCACCTCAGCATGCCTCTCGAGACCGCAGAAGCCCCAACCAAACGTATAGCAGGATAATCCCTTGCGGGCAGGGCCTCGTCCATTCATACATTGAAAACCACTTTCGGTCCCTTACCTCAAGGCTGATAGCCGCGTGAAAAGTCATCTGCTGATGCTCGACAGATGATCCTGCTTGATGGGACAAGGGCCGGCGTGCCCGCTGTGGATTTGGCTCGTGTCGCAAAAAAGGCGACACAGATATGTAGAGCTCGTGCTTGGCGGAGAAGCTGGCTGTCGGACTGTGCACAGGGCCGGGACCAGGCACAAGTGTGAGTCTACACATTTCTTGACATTGCGTAAGAGCCCGGGGCGAAATTTGTCGTCTTCACCAGTTCACTTTATTCTGAAGTCAGAAGCTGTCAGGGGTTGTTTCAGCCGCACCGTTGGGGGCGCAAACAAGCATTCAGCGGCCGAGCCATCCCCATACTTGGCATTGTGGCGATGCATGCGAGACAGTCAACCTCTTGTCCTCCAATGCAAGAGTGGAAAACATCAGACGACCTCAGGGACAGATCTGAGGCTCCATGCAGATCATCTTGGCTGCATAGGATCAGCGTAAAAGAATACACCCCACGTGGTGCTATTTCGACAAGAATGCCTGCTTCTAGGGGGTCCTTTCTTCGGCGCGGAGTCAACAAGAGTGGCCCAAAATGCTGTGGACTGGGGTGAGTGGGTGGGCTTGCCTCGCGTGCCCAGAGACGGCATCCTCACACTTTGAGATGGCAATGTCGCACCAGCAGCAGCCGTGCCTCGGCCAAGCAGTCCCGGAGATCTTGCCTTGTTCGCTCGTCACGTTGCACCAGCTAGTTCTCAATGGCGCACCTGATCATTAGAGTTGTGGAGTAGTGTCACCTCAGGCTCAGGCCAGCGCTGAATGCCACGCAAACACCAAGTTCCCTGCAGACGACATATCCGAAGGCTGCACCACCGCACCCAGTGATCCGTCAAACCAAAAAGAACATTAGATCGGCGACCTTGAGGTTGCAAGCTGAGCTGCAAGGAGCTAGCTGGGAAGCGTAAGTTCCCGGGCTTGGACGGCGATTGGTGGAGCTATCGCAAGCGCTGGCTGGACGACGCGCAATGCAGACGATTTCTCCGTGGTCCGCTACTGGGAATCAGTCGTCTCCTGACGTGTCCTTGGAACTCGACGGACTGCTTGCTGGGATAAGTCTGCGGCAGCGGTCGACGATGAAACCACGCGGCTGGCCCTCCACATTCCGGCTAATGCTGGCGGCTGTGGCGTTCGGGAGCCGGCGCGGATAGCCAAGCTAAGCTTCAAGTGTGTGAACACCTTGGCGTCTGGATTCGAGCGCGTAATCATGGTCGACTCACTCAGACCGGAGCTTAGCGGTCAGCCGAAGGAATCAAACTGTAAAGAGCAGCCGCACCGCACCGGTGACGAGGGCTCATCCTTCCAGAGGGCTCGACTCCTGCAAAGAGCATGCAGCAAGGGGACGAAGCAGGGCAACCCCCCCTTGCGAGCATTTGCTCTCCCTGCTGGCACATGGGACGTAATACACGGGGCCCGCCCAGCAGCGGAAGCGGCTGTGGGCGTAAAGGTAATTCAGGCTGGGCAGGCTGTTTCACAGGGGTTATTCACCCGCCCACTGCCACCCCGTTTTCTCCGCATGCGAGGCGCCAGAGTCAGACCGACTTGCGGCCGACCACGCGGGGAACCACCCAATCCGGTGCTCACGACCGGGCCCGGTGTCATGGGGCTCCGTGAAACCCCCTCCCCCATGGGGCTAACCAGCCCTGGATGCTGGAGAGCCTGGAGAGCCATGGAGAGACTGGAGAAGTGGAGAAGGCGCCCCCGTGCCCTGGCCGTGGCCAACCGCATTGCAGCACTCCCTCGTCCTCTGTCGTGCTAGGGCTGATGCTGACTCGTGGTTGGTGCGCTTGTCCTGGTGAGATTAGCCTTCCTCTCCCCAAGGTACTCCAGGCTCGTGATGCTGGGCCAGGGGGTTGCGCGCCTCGGACCATCATTGCGACGACAAGCTCGGTCCAGGTCGTACGGAGAGCCGCAAGGACACGAGTCGCAGATATAATAAATGAGGCAGCAGCTGGCCGCCTCGGGCGTTTGTGCTCTGCCCCCTTCTCACCACCTCGCGACTGTTGCTTTCCCCCGAGTACAGGTCACAAGACAGAGCCACTGTTCGAGCCAGGCCAGCAACAAGCACACCATGAGCGCAACGGGCGACAAGTCGGGCTCCGCCGCCCTCGAGGTGGAGGGGACGCACACGCACCACGACATCTACGACGCCGGCGACGAGAAGGCCAAGGTCGCCGACTACAAGAACGACGCCATTGACGCCGAGAATGTCGAGCTCAAGATGGGCGTGATTGAGGCCGTCAAGGCGTACCCCATGGCGGCTCTCTGGGCTTTCATCATGTCCTGCACAATTGTGAGTTTGCTGCTGATTGTGGCTTCCCGCTCCCGCCAACCTCCCTGCCACCGCGGCACCAGTCCCCCATGCCCGTGGTTCCCCACAGCCCCCACTCCCGAGAGACCCACAAGACCCATTTCTAACGCCCAATCAGATCATGGAATCGTACTGCGTCTTCCTCATCGGCAACTTCATCGCCGTGCCTCACTTTGCGCTTCAGTACGGCGTCATCGACCCCAAGACTGGCAACCATGAAATCGAGCCAGCATGGCAGTCCGCTCTCCAGTGTGCTGGACCGATCGGGGCTTTAATTGGAGTAGTCCTCGCCGGTCCCCTGACCAGCTGGATCGGCTACCGCTGGGCCACGATCTCGGGACTGATGGCATTGAACGGCTTCATCTTCATCTTCTACTTTGCTCACTCTCTCCCCATCATGTTCCTCGCCCAGATCATGGAGGGAATTCCCTGGGGAGTCTTCATTGCCAACGCCCCGGCCTACTGCTCGGAAATCGTGCCTATCGCCCTCCGTGCCGCTGCCACGCAGCAGCTCCAAATGTTCTGGGCTATAGGTGCCATTATAGTAGGTGCTGTGACGTACGTTTACAACGAAGTACCAGACGAGTCGAGTTACAGGTATGTTGTTATCGTGTCGTGATATTTTGTGGTGTCCCGGTGGCCTGGTGGTCGGGTGGGGCCTGGTGGGGCCCCGAACCTCTATCAGATGGCTGACATGACTTTCCATGCTAGAATTCCCACCGCGCTTCAGTGGATGTTCCCGACGCCCCTTGCCATCCTCATCTACATTGCTCCCGAGTCTCCCTGGTGGCTTGTCCGCAAGGGCCGTCTGGAGGAGGCCAAGAAGTCGGTCCGCCGCCTGGGACGCGCCAACGCGGTGCAGCAGCTCGATGAGTCGGTTGCCATGATGCGCCGCACGATCGACCTCGAGAAGAGCGAGAAGGAGCCCAGCTTGCTCGAGTTGTGGAAAGGCACTGACCGCTACCGGACCCTGATTGTGTGCGGTGTCTACGCTGCTCAGAACTTGACCGGCAACCTGATTGCCAACCAGGCCGTGTACTTTTTCAAGCAGGCTGGCATGCCCACCAACACGGCTTTCGCTCTTGGTCTCATCACTTCTGCCCTCCAGACCATCTTCGTCATGCTCTCATGGGTCTTGACATCGTACCTCGGTCGCCGTACCATCTACGTCTGGGGTTCGGCCATCAACTGTGTGTTCCTCATCGCCGTCGGCCTGGCTGGCTCCTTTGGTGTCTCGTATGCCGCCTCGCAAGCTGCTGCCGCTCTCGGTCTCATCGTCTCCGTCCTCTTCACCTTTGGCCCTGCTCCCGCTTCGTGGGTCATCATTGGCGAGACATCCTCTATCCGTCTCCGTCCTCTGACTACTGGTATTGGCCGTGGTTGCTACTACCTTGTCAACATTCCCTGCATCTTCCTCTCCAGCTACATGCTTAACCCCACGGTACGTTTTGCTCCACCACGCCCTCTTGCGGTGATGACTTGAGATACTGACATCAGTCTGCCTCCCAGGGTGCGAACCTCGGCGCCAAGTGCGGTTACGTCTGGGCCGGCACTGCCTTCGTCTGCTTCGCCATGGCGTGGCAGTGGGTTCCCGAGATGAAGGGCCGCTCGTACCGCGAGATCGACATCCTCTTCAACCGCAAGGTCCCTGCCCGCCAGTGGAAGAAGACCGTCGTCGACATCAACGACGACCACTGATCGACTCGCATCCCACTTTTGTCCACGCCACGCCGCCTCCGGAAGCGGTCCGCTCTGCGTTGCGGGCCGTCGGTCCTGCTGGGGTAACAACGTGCCTCCGCATGCGAGTTGGGGGGAGGCATGGGCTCTGCTGAAGGCAGTACTGCCGGGAGGTGCCGTCGTGCGATTCATGACAATCGTCCCCATTTTTGGGGACCGCGTCACAAATAGTCTGAATTAGTGTAGTGAATCCATCCAAGATGAATTATCAAAAGTATTTGCATCGCCTCATGTGCTGTGCAAATATGTGGACAATTATTGCTTCCAAGACAGATGCCATGTCAAATGGTGCAGCGTTGCCATCTCGGCCAGTGTACATCAAACTTGGATCACGGATAATCCACCCACGAAACAAACAATGTGTGCGCCTGCTGCGAAGGGATTTAGCAACCGAATACACTCATCTTGCCAGAGCAACTCCCACCCGTCGGAAGTCGGACGATCCAGCGCGGCGGAGACTGTGGGTCCCCGGACCCGCGCCAACGGATCCGGGGAACAAAGGGCGCCGCGGATGACCAGCTTCGGCTAACTGTGGACTGCTTGCTCGTGCTTACCTGCGGATGTTTGATTATCGCCTTCACCATTTCTGCTGGTAATGCTTCGTCCATGATCCTGACACAACATCGCAGACCTCACAACTCACCAAACGACACAGCCACTATCAAGCACAGCCCATCCCAAGCCACGCAGCACCATGGAGGTTGACCCGTTTCCAAACACGCACACACAAGAGGGCCGGCGGGACATGCGGACGCAGCTGCTTGCCAGCAACGACGTCTTTGTCACGCAGATCCCAAAGGTCGAACTCCACGTGCACATCGAAGGCACCCTCACTCCAGCCCTGCGCTGGAAGCTCGCCAAGCGCAACGGGATCCCAGTCCGCCTGGCCAGCCCAGACAGGCATCCCGCGGAGCTGCAGTCTGAACAAGAAGTCGAGAAGGCCTACGGCGACGTCATATCGAGTGCCCAACTGTCCCAATATGCGGCCAGAGCACGCGAAGACCCGTCGCTGGTGGTTCCCGCGACGTTTTTCGAGGCGTACTACTCTGGCTGTGATGTGCTCCGGACGCGGCAGGACTTTTTTGATCTCGCGTACGACCACTTCCAGCGGGCAGCGGGTATGAACGTCCGGTACTGCGAAGTGTTTTTCGATCCGCAAAGCCATACTTCTCGGGGAGTGCCGTGGGATGATTTCATGGGTGGCTTGAGAGAAGCCCAGCAGGAAGCTGCAACAGAGCTCAATGTAAACAGGCCCTATGTGCCACTTCATCCTAAAATCCTTCCGAGGACTGACTGACAGGTTTAGCACAGGTGCAATCCCAGTGGATCATGTGCTTCCTCCGCGACTCGCCGATCGGGTCTGCCAAGGAGCACTACCGCCAGGCTCTGGCCTACCGGGACATGATCATCGGGTTCGGCCTCGACTCGAACGAGACAAACCACCCCCCACATCTCTTTGACGAGGTCTTTGCCCAGGCCCGAGCGGACGGCTTCCACATCACCGCCCACTGCGATGTCGGGCAGAGGGACACGCACGCCAACATCCGGCACGTGGCAGGGGCCCTGGGCGGCACCGGCGCCGACCGCGTCGACCACGGCCTCAACGCCGCGGACCAGCAGGAGCTGACGAGCCTCGTCGCCGCGAGAGGCATCGGGCTGACAATCTGCCCCTGGGCGTACCTGCGGCGGTGGACCTACAGGGAGACGGCAGAGAGGCTGCGGGTGCTGCTCGACCAGGGCGTCAGGTTCAGCATATCGAGCGACAGCCCGGCCTACATGGACGACAGCTGGGTTCTGCACAACCTGCTGCTGGCGAAGCAGATGGGCGGGCTGTCGGACCGGGGGGTCCTGGAACTGATGAAAGTGTCTGTCGGGATGTCGTGGGCGAGCAATGAAGTGAAGGGCAGGCTTCTCCATGAGCTAGATGCCTTTGCACTGACGCAGACGTTGGGATAGCATGGAACGACGCCTAGTTCTTGGCATGCACAAGTGCTTGAAAAAGCCACGAAATGGATCTTAAAGTTTCAACGTGCGCCAAAGCGGCGCCCCATTCCAGGTTTTGTTCGATACTTATGGATTTCTCATGCCGAGATAGGTCTGTTGCCCGGGGTTGAAGAGATGCAACGGTTTTGTTTGTGAAGACAGTAAAAGTTTTGGATCCACTGCTGAGATTGTGAAACGATGCCTCTTCTTGTACCCTTCCGTGCTATCTTCCGACGACCCATGAAATTGTTGGCGTAGTCCAGCTCAAGATGGGCGGACGAAAAATCCATCTCGAGGCCGCTGCGTAGTCATCCTGGTCAAAGTCAAATTCTGGGTCCTTTTGACCTCATACCACGTCCATCACCCTGTGGTTGACCAGAAAGGGGAGCCGCATGGGGGCGTGTGGAGGCAACACCGTTATCAGATGACACATACGCAAAAGCCAACGAAAGATCAAGGCAATTCATCATATCACACGTTCTCCTTGAGACTTTATCCGCATGTGCCCGACTTTCTGTCGTCACCATACATCCTCGAGCCCGTTCAACAGTACCAACAGTTGCGGTCCACGTCCAGATGCGAGATCCAAATCAATATCAAGCTTGTAACGATCAAGAGGTGTCGGTGTGTTAGTTGCGTGCCCACTATAGCGAAACAGCCCAGGAGACATCGACACAGAGGAACAATCTCCATGTTCGGCTATAGCCTCTCGAGCGGCTGGGGACATGCAAGAATTGTTTGCCCCATTTGGCGTGATTTCCAATCTTGCGATGGTAGCAAGAACTGGCAGACGTGATTTGCTACAGAGAACTGCTACCTAGGGATCTATACTTCATGCCATACTTCTGGTTGTCACTATACGATCGGCTTCTTGGTCGTATGCTGAGGATCGCTGTACTCTTCAGGCGGGCGGGACAACCATGTGAGCTGGACAGAGCTGGATACACGAATCGACTGATCCATACCGTTTACTTGGAAGCATCGAGAAAGGAAGTGATGAACAGCTTATTAGCCCGCCCTGTCATGCAAGCTACCATATACACTAACAACCGCATTTCCAAGCACATACGACCATAGGATCGAGAAAATTGAGGGTCCCGTCCGCTCCCCTGTACACAAGCTCGATACCGCCGGATCAGTAGTTGGGTCGGTGACGACCAGCGAATCCCCGGTGTTGTATGTTTTTTGCATGAATTTTTGCATGGTGGAGTACGACGTGTGTGAGTGTGGATCTGCCGTTTGTCTGTCGGGTAGGTGGGTGGGTATTGGTGGTGGGTCGTGAGACGCCACCCTAGCTCGCCTGGGCAATGAGCATAGTCGGGTATTGTCAACGTCGAGGGTAGATACATTGTCCCCGTTTTGTGAAATGGCTCTGGGCCGAGGCTCTAGCCTAGCTTGATGGTTCCTTGTGTTATTCCTCGCAATGCAATTTTCTTTCGACTGCAGGCCAAAGTCACAGGCTGACTATGTGGGGACTATGTTCCCGAGTTCAGGCGCGGACTCATTAAGAGGCGAGTAGTTCTCAAACGTGTAAAAAAGGCTCGAGCTCTGGCCTGGAGCCTGGGCGCACCCTAAATCGTCATTTCTATGATGTGGAAACTACAACCTCCAAGCGGGGTTTTCATCGAGCATTTGAGGTCCATCACTTCTCCATAGCACCTTGAGTTTTCAAATGTTGTCCTCTCGAAGTTTATAGCACGGACCGGAACCTTACTAATAACAGATGGACTATACAATCACTTTTTCTCGCTTTACGATATATAGTACTTCATGTGTGAACTTGAATAGCAAATTTGTTTTTCAGGTCATTACATGTTGAGTATATCAGATAGTCAGAGAAGCCTTCACAACCTTGACTGTATCTATTATGTTCGTGGACGATATGATTAATTACGTGTACTTCAGAACCTAATAGTTGACCACCCTACTACGACGCAAGTAAGAGGCATTCTACCTCTTTGATACTCAACTTATTCACACCGGCGCCTCATTATACTCCTTCCCGACCTAATTATGCTTGCTGCAGTGTCACATCTTCCTCGAGCTGTACGTCATGCGGAACGCATTGGTGCGCGACTCCTATTCACGTGGTTCGTAGCCCATAAGTCGTAGCGCTCATCCTGGAAGTAGATATTTGTGCTAAACATAACTATAGCTATATCTAAGGACGCAATCTAATAAAGCTCTTGAGTCACGAGCAGAGTAGGGGAGTCGACCATAGCACCACTTCAACCCATCTCTGACTTGGCAGTTCTCGCAAACTCTCGCGTGCAGCTCTGCGACTAGACCCAATTCTGGAAGAAGCGCACGGCTTGGATGAAAGCCTCCTCCTTGGCAAACTTCTGCCTGGGATCAGTCACGTTGGCGCGGACGCCAAAGCCATGCTGGGTGCCGCCGTAAGTGGCGAAGGTGGCTTCTTGGCCAGTGGACATGAGCAGATCCTCGAGGGCGTGTCTCGCGGGCGCGGGAAGGAGATCATCGTTCTCTATAAAGCACCGGGTCAGCGCATCGCAGTCAGGTATGGAGATTAGCAGCGGGCTAGGGCAGAGCTTACGAGCGGCAGCTACCGAGATGGGCTTGGTGATGGCCTCGACCTCGGGATTCTCAAGCAGACTCGGGTGGGCTGCGAAGCCGACGTCACCGCCCTTGCCGTCCGCGATGAAGCGGAATGAGTAGCGGCCTCCGAAGCAGTAGCCGGTGATGGCGATCTTCTCGACCTTCAGTGTGTCGCGCATGTAGTTGATGGTGGACGCGATGATGGGGTCTGTGATCTCGGGGCGGTGGTCATAGAGGAACTGCTCGAGGTCGAAGTCGGGCGTGCCGTTGATGTCCCCGGGCGCGGGCTGGCCTTGGAACATGTCGGGTGCCACGGTCAGAAAGCCTGCACGGCCGAAGCTGTCGGCGAGCCTGCAGGGAGTGTACTTGAGTAAGTAGAAGTGGCTACATGTGGGTCATCATGGTGGCCTTACAGCTTGTTCTCGTTGAGCTGGATGCCAAACACATCAGTGAGGTACAACACAGCCGTCTTGGACTTCTTGGGGCCCGTGATGTACAAGTCGACTGTCCCCCGTGGCGAATTGTTAGCCCAATGCGGACACAGAGAATAGTGGCAATGACTTGTCACTTACCGCCCTCCACGTCCTTGACTTTGCCAACAGCCGCGCCGGTGTGAGCCACGATCGAAGTGTCGACGACAGGGCACTTGTGAGGAGGCAGCAGTGCGCTGGCCACGACTAGGGGAGCTGCGCTCACGAGAGCGAGGAGACGGGCAACTTGGACCATGGCGACGATCTGGACGCAACGTCTGCAACCGGGGGATAACTGTCAGTGGCAATTGAGGGGAACTGTGGTAGAGACAGGTCGGTGCCACGGTGCTTGGGGGTTACAAGTGAACACGACGATGTTGCGAGGCGTGACCAGAAAACACAACGGGACAGGACCAGAGAGGGCGTTGACGCTATTTATGAAGATCCCTCGGCTGGGGAGGGGAGAAGGACGCTCGATGCAACGGCGTGCGCGAAGCGCGCCAGCCTTGGCCATGACGGGGTCTTGGCTTCATCACATCGTGCAGATGCCAAGCAAGAAACGCCCGGAAGGGCAGGCCAAGAGGGCAACCATCGATGCTTGTTGATAATGTTCTGACCCCCGACTGCTGCCGTTGCACCCGGGCTGGGGCAAGCACCGGCTGTTGCGTGCTTTGTTAGTAACCGCCGCCTCAATTGGTCCAGCGGAGAGGCTGAACACGAAGCTGCACCATCAGCATCATGCAGGCCCCGGAGAGGTTCCTGGCCCAGGCGCCGGTATAGCAGGTTGCTATGTCGGATGAAGAATTGCGGATAGTGCTCCTGCAGCATCCTCGTCATTGCCAAGCCGGTAGGGTGAGGGGGCTGCGTCCGGGTCATTTGTGTGTCTCCTGCAGCCACCCGATCTGCATGTGCTCTTGCCGTTTTGCGCCTTCGGCCCTTGCAAGCCCGACCCTTCTTGCGATTTTAAGGGCGGACGTGCGGGGAAGCGATACCAACACTGCCGAACCAGCAAGCCGGTCTTGGAATTGGAGCTGCATCAATAAGGCTGGATATGCACATAATAGGTTGCCGGTAGCCTGTCTCGCGTCTTGGCCGCATCCACTTGTCTCGGCCCGGAAGTCGTGATGGAGACAGATGGTGATTGGTGATTGCAGATGCTGGCAATGCACTGGAGGCTGGGTACTCCATGCAGGCCCTGTGAGTAATACCCAAGGCGGCTTACTCATAACCTTACAGAATGTCCACAATGTCTGCGCTGGCCGTAGCATTGCGATTCAATTACTGACTCGGGTGTCCAACCCCTGGCAGTATTCCCAACCCCAGCGGAACCTCCCGGCACGGTACCCAGCCGTCCACCTAACATGTGGTCATCCAGGGCTTGATTGATACAAAATTTTGACTCGTGGCCCTGCGTTGATGGCTGTCACTGCTCAAGCAATTGGAGGTTGGTGATTTCGGCTGCATGGACTTGAAGACCAGCTACATCATCGACATTGAGACCGCCAAGATGAACAACACATAGTAGCGAAGTCGCATGGAAACGATCTATCTAGTCGTAGGATAGACTCCATCAATTCATGTTCGTGCCAAGTCCAGCTCATTTAAAACGCCTTCATCTAGATCCCCATAAAGACTTTGTTCCGTGCCGAAACTCCTACAAAGCTCCTCGATAACAGCCCAGAGAAAAACACACCACAACTACAAGTCAGAGTGCTTTGACGGCAGTGAAGAACGGATTTGCGACAAGCTTCTCGTCAGCCTTCACCAGCTCCCGCATCCGCTTCACCATCTCCTCCTTGCTCATCTGCCCTCCTTGCACTTCCTGCTTCCATTTGAGCAGCACCTCTTTGAGGCGGGCACTGCCCTCCTCGACATCCTCCTTGCTGTACCGCTGCAGCCCGAGCCCATCTTCATGCTTCGCAGTGAAGTCCTCGAGCTCGTCTGCCTTGCGCTTGGCCATGCGCACGACCTTGTCCGGAAAGCGTACTAGCTCAGCGACATGAATGCCAAAGGACTGGTCGCAGATACCCGGCTCGACCTTGTACAGCAATGTCACCTCGCGCTTCTCAGCGGTCGACGATGTGGAAGAAGAGCCGGTGGATATGTGGGCAGTGACGTGCAAGTTCTTAACCTGGGGATACTGATCTGCCAGTGCTGTCAGCTCGTGGAAATGTGTGGCAAACATGGCCGAACAGCCAATCTCCTTGACAATGTGCTCAGAGATCGCCCAAGCAAGCCCGAAACCATCATAGGTCGACGTTCCGCGGCCGAGTTCGTCGATGATGATGAGCGACTCGGCCGTTGCAGACTTGAGAATGTTCGCCGTCTCGAGCATCTCAGCCATAAAAGTGCTGACACCCTTGAGTTGGGAATCGCTGGCGCCCACACGAGCAAGTATGGAATCGAAGATGGTGATTTCCGCCTCTGAGCATGGCACAAAACAGCCAATCTGCGCCATAAGGGCAATGACGCCAATTTGTCGGATGTAAGTCGATTTTCCGCCCATGTTTGGTCCTGTGATGACAAGGAAAGATGATTCGCCTCGCTTGAGCTCGACATCATTGGTGATGAACTGAATATCATCCTGCATCTCAAGACAGGGATGTCTTGCTTCCTTGAGCACGGTCGAGCCCTGACCTCGCGGGTGAATCTTTGGTCGGACGTAGGAAGTTGGAGCATGCACCGAGCAGTGGGCCAGCGAGACGACGACGTCCAGGTGTGCCAGCACGCCAGCGAGCTGTTCCAGGAGTGGACAGTATGATGCAGCGACACCGACGACCTCGCTGACTAGACTACTCTGCGTTCTGTTATAAGTCTGAGACAGTTGGTCAAACTCGCGCCGGCAGGCAAGCAGCTGCTTTGTCGTGAAATATACTCCATTCTTTTGCGTGGAGCATTCCTGGTATTTCTTGCTGTTGCGGATGCAGCCAGCTTCAGTTCTCGTGAGTCGCATACACCAGCCATGAACCTTGTGGTTCTCGAGGAAGATTTTCTTGTTCTCTTCCTGATTAAGGTCGTCGGCCGCATTGCGAAACTCCGTGTCCATCTCATGTCGCAACTTGTCCAGCTTCCGGCGGATGATGCGGAGGCCATCGTCGAACTCGGGCTTGATGATAAACTCGTGGTTGTCAAGGGCGTCGAGATCAACAGTGGTCTCAACCATCTCAGCAAGCTTGCCGAGGCTGTTGGACATGTCGCGCAACCGCTTGGTGTATTGCTCTTCGAGTGGGTCCTTGTACACCTCATCCATGACGCCCTCGAGCGTGCCTAGAAAACCCGGGAGCCGAATGACTACCTGGTACGCTCTAACAACATCCTCGAGGTTTGCTTTCTTGCGCTGGAAGCGGTTGGCAAGACGGTAAAGGTCTGGCACCGATTTGAGGTGCTCTTCCTGCATGGTCTGTCGGAGTTCCGTGTCGTTAATAAAAGCCTCCACGAGCTGCTGACGCTTCTCAATCTCTGCTTTGTCCATGAGAGGCTGCTTCAACCACTGTGACAATAAACGGCTACCAACGGGCGTGCGACAGTGATTTAGCAGGCCGTACAGACTCATCGTCTTGGCACCATCTCGGGCGCCAGGCATAAGATTGAGAGCTTTCAGCGCCGCCGCGTCGAGCTTCATATAGTGCGATAGGTCGTGCTGGTAGAGCTGGAACTGGCCAAAGTTGGACGGGTCCTGCATGATGCCCAGATACTTGATCAGAGCAGCAGCAGAGCCCATGGCCAGCTTCAGCTCTGTCTGTGGCAGCAAAGTAGCCGATCGCTCATCTTTCAGCAGCCTTGCTAGGTCCTGCTCAATGTCCTTCGTGCCGAAGTCACCAGCTGGTCTCTCAGAGATGGCAACCCCGACATTGTCAATGATTTGACGAAGCTTTGCAAGCTCGGGATCTTTGTCGTTCTCGGATTTGTCGAACTGCAGTATGCACTCTTTCACTCCCAACTGAATGAGGAGTGACTCAAAATTGGAGTACAGGTCGTTGTCAAGGAACTCGCTTACACCGAGCTCGCGCACACTCGCATCGGCGAAGCAGACTCCAACACTTCGGGCTTCGGTCGTTTTTGCCAAAATCTTGACAGACAGGATCATGGGAGCTGTCTCTAGCTGGCCACCTAAGTCGTCCTCGACGTCTTGCAGGTTGCCGGGGGACGCCTGTTTGGCGATCTTCCAATTCATCCGGCCACTCGGGCTGGCGTATATCTCGATGCGTTTCCCAAGCTTGAAAAGGGCTTCGCGCAGGAATTGTCGAAAGACCGTGACGGTCATTGTGACTGATGGGAGGCCTGAGGCATCGTTGCGGCCGAGCTGCCTGACGACAGAGGTCGTCTTGTAGACTGTGCGTGCTATAAAGTTCGCATCTTCGCCATGCGCCGTGTACCAGTCGCCTCGGTCGAAGATCCGTATGGTCTCGGAGTCGACTGAGGGAAGGGATTTGAAATAGCGGATGAAGCCATGCTCGTCGTCGACCTGATTGTAGATTGTTAGCGGACGACGTTCTGAGAGATGACATGTTTGTTTCGAACGGAGTGCTGACCTTCAACTCTGGTCTTGAAGACATTGTTACGGTCTGGCTGTGTGATATTGGCTGTGGTGTAACGTCCCACCAAGGACAAAGCGGCACCGCGAGGGTAGCAAATGGGTCGTTTGACAATGAATGGAGGTCGTTGTCGCGCGGGTGTAGTGTATAATTGCGAGTTTCCCGTGATGCAGCATTCACCCACGAAGGTCGGTGGAAATCGCAAGTCGTGAATCCGTAGTTGACAGGGAGCGGGCGAGACTTTCAATAATGATGATCCTCGTCAGAGCCCTTGCTAAACCCTGGATTCACACTAAGACGCGCCTCGACGCGTCGAGTTTAATGGGTTTGGAGAGGCCCCACCCGGCGGCCTGCAGCACATCAGACCGCCTGCCATTTCGTCATCAGCCGGAGTTGGTGAGGGCCGGGCATGCTATCCGCTGGGCGGGGCCGCCCCCATCGTCAATTGGAAATTTGCAAAAGCTTCAATGCTTTCAGCCAGCCTGCTGAGGCAGTGGGTGAAGTCTCCCAACGTCGGCAGGTCAATTCGACACCGATCAGCTATATTGTCGTACGCGCGTCCATCCACCAGTCCTTACGAATGCCACGGTCCCCGATCTCGCTACCAATTCACCAGTCGAAATCTCAACATCAAAGCTCCTCGCTACAACAAGGCTCGGGCGAACATGACGTCGCCAGCTGCTACCAATGCTGCAATGGCGCAGCCCTCTGAAATAGTATCCGCGCAAGATGTTCCTCCGATCGAAACACATGCTGAATCCAAGGGCTCTAAGCGCCCGGCCGAAGACGAGATCGAGGGTGAGGGTTCAGCACCGACAGCGGGCGGGACACCCAACGATGCGCCGCTCTCCAAGAACCAGCTGCGTAAGCTGAAGCGCCAGAGGCTCTGGGAGGAAAAGAAGGCCGACAAGAAGGTGCTTCGCAAGGAGAAACGCCACGCGAAGCAGGAGCGCAAGCGGGAGGCGAAACAAGCTGTGATTGCTGCTGCGGTGGGCGAGGGGAAAGATCCTGTTCTCGTTGTCGGTCAGAATAAGCCGGCGCCAAAACAGCCGTCCACGCGCGTCCCTATAACAGTTGTCCTCGACTGCCAGTACGAGAAGTATATGCTTGACAAAGAACTCGTGTCTATGGCCAGCCAGGCGACACGATGCTACTCGGACAACAAAAAGGCACGATACCGGACGAATTTTGTGGTGAGCTCCTTTGGAGGCGAAATGCGGCACCGGTTCGAGCAGGTGCTCAACAATCAGTACAAGAATTGGAAAGGGGTGCGCTTTGTCGAAGATGATTTTGTCAAGGCGGCGCATGATGCCAATGCGTTCACAGCAGGACCGGATGGCGGGGAGATGATACCGAGCTTACAGAAGGCGGCTGAAGAAGGCGCGGAGCCCGACTCCGTCATCGTCGCGAAGCCACCCCCGCCAGACAGCAAGAAGAAGGCCAAGCTTACAGCACACGCCCCTGCGCCTGAACTGGAGGCTGAGGACGTAGACAAGTCCATTGTCTACCTGACTGCGGACTCACCGTACACACTCGAGCGGCTTGAGCCCAACACGACCTACGTGATTGGCGGCATCATTGACAGAAACCGGGAAAAAGGCTTGTGCTACAAGGTTGCCCGGGAGAGAAACGTCCGAACCGCCAAGCTGCCCATTGGTGAGTTCATGGTGCTGCAGAGCAGGCACGTGCTGGCGACGAACCATGTCATGGAGATTATGCTTAAGTGGCTGGAGCTTGGGGACTGGGGTGCTGCCTTCATGCAGGTCATCCCTACACGTAAAGGTGGGAAACTGAGGGACGGCGATGACGACGATCATGACGAGGTACCTCAGGCCCCAGGCGGTGCGGCGGCTACGGAGGATGAGGGAAACCTTGCGGATACCGAGCAAGGCACGACAGCGGAGCAGCTGGAGAAGCCTGCAGAGTCTTCGGCCGTGGAAAAGCCAGTGTCGTCTGAGCAGGAGCCTGTCGTCGAGCTAGAAGGGGACAACTCCGATGCCGGGCTTGAGAAGAATGCCCTGAACCAGCAAAGGTGGTCAGCTCCGCCGGTAGAGTTTGAGGAAGTCCCCGCCCTGGGAGATGGTCCCAAGAAGGACAATGTCTCAAAGGATATATAGCACACATCACGAATACTGCATCAATCATGTCATCACGTGTTTCAACCCCTTTCCTGTGCTAGCATTGAGAAGCGCTACAAGAGGGAGGACTGAACTGATAACTCTCGGTCAAAATGAAATTGTGGGGGAATTTCGACCTCAACGCTGACTGAACGACCCTGAAATGGCCAGGCCCACTCAACCATTGCGCTGGGCAACTATCGATCCTGAGTACTCATGAAAGCTTGAGGTGAATCCTAAGCGAGGATCATACCGCTTGACCACCAGATCAATGATGCTGATTTCGAGACTTGTGATTCTCACCATCTGCTAGGTGCACGATTTGCGGGACAGTCAGGCGACACCTGGTTTCCTGCACTTATTGCTCATGAGTCCACATTTTGTACCATGTTATACGTCAGGCAGATCGACCCGCTCTGTCAGGTCAAGAGTTGATGTGTCACAACGAGCTCAAGAAGCTTGGATGGCTTGCGATGATCGGTTTCGTTACACGTCTTTGGTGAGCAGGCGAGTCTATGAACAATTCCAAACCTTTGCATCTACATGTGTTGCTGCTCGCGGAGGCGAAGCTGTAGGCTCCTCGGAGGTGCGCTGAAGTGATGACTGCTATCCAGAATTGAGAATTTCTTTCAATCAGGACGATATCTTTGGACCGCTTCCGTGATGCGTGTGCGGGACTGCCGCGGACCATAGTTGGGTCGATATGTGTCTGCAACACTTCTCGAGGGATGGCTGCCTGCATCGCTTGCGCTATTCGGGCGTTTTCGAGGCCGGGGATATTGCACCTCCCGATCCCAGGCTTCGATCGAGGACGATGTTCTCAAGAAATTTCGCAGCTCGTGCAGGAGCAGTCTCGCATTGTCCCGCCCAAGGAAATCTCTCAGCATCTCCTCCGCCTGTCCCTGGCTTCCTTGCATATCAACAGTCTTGAGGATGGCGATGATATATTCGAGGAGGAATTCGGCATTGTTAGCACGACGTCTCGTCATACCGTCGGTGCTCGATTGCGCAGCGCTAGCCGCCGGCGTCCGCAAGAACTCGAAAACCTGCAGCTCTCTTCTCAACCAAGCACGGGCGCGCGAAACGAGTTCCGCGTCGGATTCGAATAGCTGCGGCGTAAGGTCGCGATATGTGCGGTAACGAGCTGTTCGCCGGTTTGATCCCAGGTGGAGAGAATACAGCTGATGCCTGTACACGTCTTGGCGGCGGGCTATCGCATCGTTTTGGGTCGGCCGAGGTTGAGGGGCCCAGCGGCGACGCCGTCGGTTGATGCGAGCTGCTGTAGATGTTGAGGACTGAGACTGGGCGGTCGCGGCTTCTTTTGGTGGCGGCACCACGTATATGTTCGCCTTTTTGGTATCGCCGTCCGCTCTTTGGTGGCCGTGAGCTACCTCCTTGACAGTGGTTTTGCATAGTGGGCACCTAGGCTGTTGCTCCAACCAGCTCAGAAGGCAAAGGTAGTCAAAGTTGTGGTGGCCGCATGGCCGGGCTTCACACCCTTCGCTGATGCTGTCGAGACAAATGACGCAGCAACAGTCGGCAGGCTGGTCTGTGTCGTCGTTTGTCGCAGCCTGGAGCGAATCGACTTGGGCAAGGGTCCTTTGCAGGACAGCTGACTGCAGATCATCAAGCCTGCTGTCGTCTGCTGCCATATGGCGACGGCTTCATCCAGCAACAGCTCCCCGGATACAGGTCTGCTCTGCCAGCGTGCACGAATTAATCCTGTCCGGTGGAAGTTGACGATGGTGACGATCTGGGTAAGGAGAGCCGTTGTGTTCACAGCACTGCTGGCCTATTGAATGACGTGGGAGAGTGGGGCACCCGCACCCGCACAAGGGACGCGTTTAGTGGGCCTAGCAAAGCACTTAAGCCCCGCGCCGAATCGCGTCTTCCGTCCTGCCCGGCCCTTCCCACGCGCCGTAGCTCCACATGCATAAGCCTTGTTCCTCACATGCTTTAAGTACACTGAAGTCTTGATCTACAACCATTACACCACCAGGCCACAGCTCTACCTCGCTGCATATTACAGCATCTCAATAAGCGACAGTATATTACAGCACACCTTTTCATATATCTACACCTGGGCAAATCTTGGCTGCAATGGACGAAGACGAGAGGAGAGGCTACGAAGCCACTGCCCAAAAGCTTCGTGCCGACTTGAAGCAATTCGAGAACGACTGGGCTGCAAGCCATGGAGGCTCAAAGCCAGGACGGGAGGACATCAAGGCGAACCCGGACATTGGTACAGGCTTGCCACCTTTCGATTGCATGACGGCGCGTCCGCTAACAAGCACTTGTCTGCAGCCAACGCGTACAAGAAATACAACAAAGTTCGCGATATCCTCTCCGGCAAGATTGTGCCACCAAAGAAGCCTGCCAACTCGCAGAAACGCAGGCCCGATCCGCCAACCCTACAGACCCCGTCGAAGCGCTCGCGGCACGCAGAGACCCCTTCCAAAGTCCGTACAGTGAATGTGGAACCAGACTTGGCAACCCCTTCAACTCGCAAATTATTCAGTCCTGTGGCACCAACCTCGATAGGACCGACACCTCAGAAGGATGGGCGCATCCTGGGTCTGTTCGATCTCATGTCCGGTGGCGAGCAGACGCCATCGAAACCTTCTTCAGAAGCTGCAAAGAAGCCAGTGACGATCCAAGCAACGCCCACAAAACGAAAAGCCAGCGACATGGAGGACGAGGAGGAAAACACAAGACTGGGCAGGACCCCCATGTCTTCCAGCAAGCGGGCCATGCTTGACACATTCCTCACACCTCTGAAGCGCAGGGACGCCAACGCTGGCACCAAGACCCCCCAAACCGTCAGGAAACTGGAATTCTCTACGCCAGCATTCTTGAGGCGAGCACCTCTTCCGCCAGTCGACGAAAACGGGGGCTATAGGTCACCCGAGCCGTTGCGGCTTCCCCGAAAACCATTTGGTCGGGGCCTGAGCAGCGTGGTTGCGAGTTTGCGCAAAATGGAGGAGGACCACCTTGATGAAGATCTCGAGGCTCTCCGCGAGCTTGAGGCTGGCGAGGCGCCGGCCCCTGTCAAATCTACAAGTGCACCAGCTACGAAGCCCGACGTGCTGGCACCCGACAGTCAGGGTCCACAGCTCTTGGGTGGATTCGACGACGAAGCTCAATTCGACAGCGATCCTGAGAAACAGGTGGGACGTGATGGGTTGCCTCTCAAGATTTACCAGAAGAAGGGGCAAAAGCGGACGACGAGACGGGTCAACATGAGACCAACACGAACAAAACGCCCCGCGGTACAGTCAGAAGCAATGCTCTCGGATGACGACGAAGTCGTGGAGGAGACTCAAGTCAATGTCACAGCGCCCGGGGACAGCGATCCTCTCGACTTGGGCTCCGATAGTGAGTTTGGTGATTCTGGCAATGAGTCTGCTTCGGAACGCGCGAAGAAGAGGTCGAAAGCCGCCAAGGGTGGTGATGGTGGCAAGAAGGAGAAGGAGGGCAAGGTGAAGCAGGTCGTGAAGAAGATAAGCGCGACGGCGCACGCAAACTTTCAGAGGCTGAAGTTGAAGAACTACGGCGCGAAGGGAGGACCTGGGTTCAACAGCCGCTTCCGCAGGAAGAGGTAGGCCATGGTTGACGAAGGCAATGAGTGCATGATACCACGAAATCCTGTTACAGTACCTCTTCAGCTGGCGTTTAATGCTCACGACTGCATCGGGCATGGCGTTTGGGAGCGATCGTCTTCGATAATTGAAACTCTACACATAGCACAATTCGCACAAACATGTCAATGAGCGGCCTCTGATTTCTGAAAGCTTTGGGCTTGACTTTAAAACGCTGTGCAGCAGAAAATCCAGTGCGCACGTGGCAAGCTATATCTAACTCGTCGACACAAATGAAAATGGTATACATCCGATCTAGCCAGCGCCATCTATATGGATATTGTCCTGGTATCTAACAAAAGCAAGAAACTGCAGCTCGTCAAACTCCTCTTCCCTTTCTGGTGTTTTGTCGAATCATCAGCCTCGCCAACAAAACCCCCAACACGGAATTCTGCACGCACACAATCCCTTTGGCTCCATCCTATTCCCAGGTTTCGGTTTCACGCGCACGAGCACATGCGCAGAACATCTCCCTGTCGGCGCCGTTGCTTTCCGACCGCTTTTTTTCTATCTAGAAAACAAAGACCTGGTCAGACATCTTGGCAGACGCGCCGGGCTTCTCAAAGCCGAGCTCGACTAGCGCGGCCTTGGCGGCATTGACCATGCCCGGAGGTCCGCAGAGCATGACCCTGCTCTTGTCTCCCTTGCCGTCCGCGGCGACAGCAGGGGCGAGCTTCTCGGCCATCATGTCCTTGTTGATGAAGCCGACGCCGTACTCCCACTTGGCGTTCTCGGGCGCCGTGTTGACGACGTAGTACACGCTCAGATTCTGCGGGTACCTGCGCGCGAAGCTGTCGAGCTCGTCGCGGAGGAGGATGTCGTCGACCGAGCGGTTGGCATAGATGAGCGACACGCGTGTCGTGTCCCGCGGGTCCTCACAGATGGCCCGGATCAGCTGGTACATGGGCGTGATGCCCGTGCCGCCGGCAATCATGCCGAGCTGCCTGGGCGATGCGATAGAGGGCGAGGCCGGGCCGGTGCGGAAGCGCATGGCGCCCTTAGGACCCCGGAAGCTGACCTCGTCGCCGACCTGTAGGTTCGCGAGGTACTGGCCGGTGAGCTTGCCGTCCGGGTAGATCTTGATGACGAGCTCGAGCACGCCGCGGTCAGAGTTGTTGGAGACGGGTGTGTACGAGCGGGTCACGACCTCGCCAGTGCCGGGCAGGGTCGCGGTGATGGCGACGTGCTGGCCCGTCGGCAGGCCCACGATGGTCTGCGGGGTGGGCAGCTCAAAGGTGAAGCGGTACACGTTTGGCGAGATGAGCGTCTTCTTGGTGAGCGGTAAGGTCATGGGCGTCGCCGGGTCGAGCCAGCCAGACTGGAGCAGCAGGTCCGCGTCGACGGCCTTCGGTACCTTCATGTGGGGTGGGTACCTCAGGAAGCCGCCCTCGTCGGGCTGCAGAAGCTTCATGGCCCGCTTCACGATGAGGGCGTCGACGGCAACAAAGATGCTTGCTGAAAGCATGATGCCGTGGATGAAACCCATACCGCTCTTGCCGCTTGTGCTGGTCTGGCCGGCGGCGCGCAACAGAGAGATGCTGTCGCTGCCAGGAAGGGAAGAGCGGTAGAAGTAGCCGAGGCACCCGGCAGTGACGGCACCAAGAGAAAGCAGAGCTGTGCCGGGGGAGATGAGCGAGGAAGTGGATTTTGACCCCGAGGAAGATGCGGGCTTGCTGCTAGGGCTAGAGTTGACTCTGACGGCCTTGGGCGCCGGTCTGCGCCCGTTGGCCTTGAGCTTGCCGATGCGATACTCGGCCATGATCTCAAAGGCATCTTCAGAGTGTCCAGCATTGTCGAACGCTTCTGTTGCGTCGGTACCCATGGACTCTAGGAGGACCTCGGCGCCTCCCGGGTGGTCGTTGATGTATTTTGTGACGTCGTAGACTGCAACAAAGCGAGAGCCGTCAACAGGTGATTTCTTTGTCCATACCAAGGTAGAACCACAAATTACTTACCCTCGCCATTGATGACCATCCAGCCATCGCCGGCGCTGCGGTGGGCAGCCACATCTTTCGCCGAGTACTCGACGTCTGACGTCGTAGCGGCCATGATTAGAATATTATGGTAGGACTAGGAGTCTGCAGGACTATGATGTTAAAGAATGAGGCGCGGAGAGGAACGCAGAGAGCAGCGTCCGGTAGCGATGATCACAATGGGATGTTGCCGTTTAACGATGTTCAGGGTCCAAGGCCTTCCGGGAAGTTCAAGGGCAGGGAAGCCTATGCTTAAGAGATGGCAGACGACGTTCATATTGCAGGGCACCAGCATAAAGCTGGACCACCACCATGACGGGCAGGGGGCGGGAGATGCAGGAACGGCACTATCGCGTTTCCGTGGGACGACGGCTCGCGGAAGGCCAGCCCAGCAGCTTCTAGCACCGCTTAGATCATCATGGGCAGAGATGCCGAGGTCCAGAGAGCTCACTGGAGCTCCTGAAGTACCCACAAGGAGGCTCTTTGTTTGTCTGGCATGGGCTGTAGGATCGGACACTTCGCGCTCGAAAGGGTTTAGGTAGGGCGCGAGGCCGATGGTGGGGGGCCCGAGCACGTCACTGCCGGTGCCAAAGAGGCCGGCGTGGCGGTGACGGAGGGAATAGCAGCTGCGCTGCGTGACAATAGGCGGGACGGGATTGGGCTGTGGGTTCCGGCGCGGCAGACTTTTTCAGAGTCGTGCTCGGTGTGGAAGATGCGGCTCAGATAAGGGAGCAGCGTCTGGAAGTCTAGAAGAATAATCAAGTCGAGGCAGGCATTGCAGTGGGGCCCGCGGACCCTCGCGAGATCCGAGCTGCAGCTGCATGGACGGCGGCGCCGGCGCCATGTGGACATGCGCCGCGCTGGCCAATCACGCCGCGGGCGAATCCCCTTGGGAGCGGCTTAGGCTCGGCGGTGGAGCCTGCAAACGGCCCGTTGACGTCGCCAGGCCACTCCTTTTCGCCCTGGGCGTGCCGGCAAGCTTTTTCGCCATGGGCTTCAGTTCCGCGCCGAGCTTGTGACAGCCACGCCCGGCAAGTGCGCCCCACCCAGCGCCGCCCCGTTCGTCATTTCCAATGTTCCGCGACTGCATGACACGGCACTGCATCCACAACGACGACAACGACAACAAACACAATGCGGCGTGGCGGCCACGGGTTTCGCATCGTTCCTGAAAAGTCGCCGACGTGGGGGCCCCTCCAAGGGACCGCAGCACGTCCCAGAGCCAGAGCTCATCTTGCTTGAGCCTCGGCTCAGCGTCCCTCCCATGCTGCATCCGTCTCATCGGTCGCGCGTTGACCCAGCAGGCGCGAGCTCCGGTTCCACCAGCCAGCAACCTGTTTCCACTGGGCCAAGGCCATGATGCACTCTGCTTGTGAATATTGGCTGCCGTAGGGGGCGTGGCCCGATGCAGCGGTTTCTGCCGAGACTGCTTATCATGCTTGGTCCCGTGGATCCGGTAGATTGTCTTGGGCTGTCTAAACGTTGCCATTTATTATCATCCTGCCCCTCCCGCGTCGTGTTGATCGTCTCAAGAAGGTCGGCAAACTAAACCAGCCATACTTCTATCCTCGACCCATCAAGACATCGCCAGGACCCATTCACCTCTTCAGATCGACACAACCGCTGGGAAGTAGACAGAGTCATCACCACCACCATGGCATCAATAGCCTTCTACCTGCTGGGCGAGGATGCCTCCAGCACCACAGAGATCGAGGTCTCCCGGACAAGCCACTTTGAGGATGTCCAGCACCTCATGGCCTCACATTTCTCCATCGTCGACCCCAAGGGTGAGTTGTCCATATTCGTCTACACAGAAGAGCCAACACTGATAAATAGAACCAGGAGTCGGCTTCACACAAGACGGCCACAGCCTGACGTCTGTCGCCGAAATTGTCGCTGCCACAAGTCCCGTTGCCATCGCCATTGACGGCAAGCCTGTCCGCGCGGTGCCGGGCCCCAAGGGACTGCCCTACGTCGGCAACTATTTCGAAATCTACCCAGACCACCTGGGCAACCACCAGCGGTTGTTTGACCAGTACGGCCCGCTCTTCAAGACCAACAACATGGGCAGCCAGATCTTCCACACCAACGACCCGACCCTCGCCAACATCTTCTTCTCCGAGACCGACTTCTTCACCAAGCTCATTGTGCCGGGCCACCCCCTGCACCCCATCAAGCTGCAGGCCGCGGGAGTCTTCCTCGGCGACACTGACACCGACGAGTGGCGTGCCGCACACAAGTTCCTCCCTCCGGCTCTGGGACCCAAGGCAGTCCGGCACTACGCGCCCACCATGCAGCAGACTGTCGAGTCCTCCTTCGCGGTATTTGACGAGCTCGACGCTCGTGGCGAAGCGTGGAACGTGTACGCTTACATGCTCAAGATGGGCTCGCAGGCAGTTGGCAAGCTGGTGCTGGGCATGGATTTCCAGCACTTCTCGGCGGTGGACGCTCCGCCCCACGAGATGGTCATCAAGATTGCCATGGGCCTGGAGCTCAACAAGCGCGTGTCCGCCTGGGGACCCTGGTACGCATCGCTGCCGTTCGGCGTGCCCAAGTTGCTCCGCACGACCTCGGCCCGCATCGAGGAGCTCCTGATGGAGTCCATCAAGGCCGCGTCCCAGGGCGGCATCGAGGACCTTGAGCTGCAGGAGGCCGCACTCAAGGCGGACAACCTGGTCGACTACTGCCTGCGCGCCACCGACTCCAAGGGCAACAAGCTGCCGCCCAAGCAGTTCGCCGAGGCGCTGGTCGTCGCCACGGGCGCCGGCTTCACCACAACCTCGTCCCTGCTGTCCTGGCTCATCTACGGCCTCGTGCAGTACCCGGGCATGCAGGACCGGCTGGTCCAGGAGCTCGTGGACAACGGCTTCGCCGACGACACGCAGGTCACACCCGAGCTCATCTCCAAGCTGTCCTTCATGGAGGCCTACGTCAAAGAGACCCAGCGCAAGCACAACCCGTCCTACCAGCCCGCCCGCACCGCAAAGACCGACATGGTCCTCCCCGGCGGCTACAAGCTGCCCGCCGGTTCCATCGTGATCCCCGCGCTGCACCACATCCACAACAACGCCGCGCTGTGGGACAACCCGGCCCGCTTCGACCCGGACCGGTGGCTCGCCAAGGACGCCGCCACGGGCGAGGCCAAGCAGCCCGCGCCGCAGGGCACCTACATGCCCTTTGCCACGGGGCCCCGGAGCTGCATCGGCTTCAACTTTGCCCTGCAGGAGGTCAAGATCTTCCTACCCAAGCTCGTCTGGCGGTACCGCTTCACTCTGGCGAGCCCCACGGACGGCAAGGTCGAGTATGACCCGTACTTCCAGCTCATCCGGCCAAACAACCTGTATGTGAGGGCCGAGAGGCGCGGCAAGTGGCCGCCAAAGAGCGAGTAGAGAGTGGTTCTGCTCCGTCCCCCCTCCGTGGTGGCAGATGAAATAATGGCTCCGGGCTTGTAAGATTTGGAAAAACCTCGTCTTTCTGGAGGTGGGAAAAAAGCAGATGGAGGGAGCGTAGTAAGAGTTGGTGATTGATGAGGATGAGGATAAATATATACCCCCTTAGACATAGACACGGACATGGATATTCTCGGCATCGTATGGCACGACATATAATTTCATTACCTTCAGAATTCAGCCCGAGATTGCTCTCAAACCAAATTGGATGACCACGCAACAGTGAAACAATTTATCGATTTTTATACTTTTGGACTTTTATATGCTGTTCTGGCAATGTCTGTGACCCCTTGACAGGTGTTCTTCATGACAGGTCCTCAGAGGCAATTGTTATGTTATAAACATTCTATACAGATTGTGCCCTACGAACAAGACGACCGATAACCCCCTCTGAGAAAACTGTATTCATCCCTTTGGCTAAGGTGTAACGGTGGCGGTCGTGGTCATCACGTTCGTTGCTGTAGTCGTGACGGTGAAATAGTGGTCTTGTGTAACTGTGACAGTCACAGGGGCCGGGGCAGGCGGGTGGTCTCCAGCACCGCCATCACCCTGGTTCTGCCCAGGACGAACAATGGGGGGCGGGGACAGAGTTGCGGGGGTTGCGTCAGCCGTCTCGATAGGAATCACCACCAGCTCCGTGGGTGTGATCTGCGGCGTCGAGCTGGTCTTCGTCGTCTCAGTGCTGAGATATACCGTGGTTGTTCGTGTACTGGGGCTGGCTGGGCGAGTCGATGTCAGAAAAGTCGATGGCGTGGTGGTCACGGTAAGTCCCAAGGTGGTTGTTAGGGTGATCAACGTCGCCGTCGGACTGGGTGTTGTGGGTTGCACTGTGACTGTCAAAGTGGTCGTCACTTCATCCTGATCGGTAGACGAGGTGCTCTTGGTGGGAGTGGCGATGTTCGTTTGTGGTTCTGATCTGGTTGTGCTAGCTGTGGGCAGGGGAAGCTGCTCAATGGATGACACGGGTTTCGATGTCGTCGTGCCCGTAACTGAGTTTGTTCCCGTGGGTTGCAGGGTTGGTGCCACCGGTGTCGAGGATGTACTCGTCGGGGGGAGATCCGGCACCACTATTCCCAGCACATGTTCCACGGTCTGCTTATTCGAACAGCCGACTTGCACACCGGCAGTGTTGTTCATAGGAAGTGCATAGCAGACCGTTCCTGTGGGACAGCGCGTAATGTCAAAAGTACCGGACGAAGAGCACCTGGCAAACGCGAGGTTCACACAGGCGACTTGTCCATTCTGGCACGCTGATTGTGCTGTCAGATCTTTGAATAGCGCGTTGTACTGCTTCGCTCTTTGAAGATTTTGTGTAAACACATCAGGTCCGACAGTAGCTGTCGCCGTTGGGATCGAGCTGATGACAGTAGGTAACTCATTGATGGATGCGCTGCTAGAACTGAATGTTGCCGAAGACGTGTTGTCTCGCGTTGCCGAGGACGAGCTGAAGGTGACAGATTTTGAGGTGGGCTGGGGTGCAGCAGAGGACAAACCAGACTCGCGACTTGTGGCCGTTATCGTAGAATGACTTGACGATGCCGCGCCAGGCTGCGACTTTGAGGTGGTGAGCGTGGCAGCTGGCAAGGACAAAGTGGCTTGCGATGAGCCAGCTGGAGGGAACGGCGTGACCACAGGTCGCCCGGTCGTTGTCGCTGTGCTGGGAACCGTCTCCGTCGATGCTGAAGTTGCAGTGCCTGGCTCACTGCCTGTGAAAAATGTAGAAGAGCCACTCGGGGATGGCGTCGAAAAGATGCCGGAAACAGTCGGAACGACACTGTCAGAGGTTGACAGACCATCGGTCGTTGCCGTAATGATTATCACAGTGGGTACTGACACTGTCGTGGGTTGAGGTTGCTGGTGAGAAAAGGTGAAATCGGGAATTGAAGCACTATCGCTTGATGTTGAGGACGTTGAGTCGGTAAAGACAGGATCAGTCGACGAGCTGTCAGTGATGGGAATCACTACTAGTGACGATGGCGCAGGTGTGAACTCGAAGGGTGCCGTTGTGGTATTAGCAAAGCGCCTCCCATGCGCAAGCTGGCCATCTCGCTCGATGCTGGTGTTAGATGTCGTCAGCATGGTGAAAGGTGAGGATCGTCTGTATCCGTGTCTTACCGCGATGGCCGCCTCAACGGACCAGCCGCTGAGATGTCTGCAATAAAGAGTCCTGAAAGCAGAAAAGAAAGGGAAATCATTGGGACGACCGCTGGTGAGATCGCCTGGTATATGTAGATTTTATAACGGCGAGAGGAAAAGTCCTGACAACAGGTAGTCTGAGTTGTGTTGGGCTGGGTTGCAGGGTGAACAATGAGAGTGATGAAGCGGGTGTCAAACCTCGCCTACTATGACTGGAAGCAACACCTGTGGGCTTACGATGAATAATGACGACGTGGATGGCGACACGAAAGAGAGACTACGGCACCCGCGCGAAGAATACGTGACATCAACAAGAAACAAGGAAAGATGGCAAGATGGTCTAGATTTCGAGATCGACGAAACGGCCGGGTAGCTAGCTGACTTGTATGCAAGTGCCCATGGTATCGGTGCAGCGACCCTGTTACCATGCAATCCTCCTGCTGCACGATACCATAGGCTCTGTGGCCCCTGGAATCGTGGCATATCCGTGTTTGACCAGGTCGAGCTGTATGGGCAACAAGGAAAGAAATGAGGGCCCGATTGGCCGACCCGGAGCGCAGGTCCATGAAACACTCGAAAGGCATGGGGCGGGGGATACGATTGGCCAGCAACCGCGTCAGTCGATGAAGGCTAGACGGTGGCTCCCATGCTGACATGGGGACTATGGCCAGACCGTAGCGAGAGAAGTGAGGCTCTTTTGGCGCTGAGCAGGAGGGAGCAATTTCGTGTTTCCAAAGGTTGCGGCAGGAGGCGCGCGGCAGCGTATTATTGGCAGGTGCGGGCCTGCGTTCAGGTGGCCGCCGTGCACTGCCAGCCAATCAGTCCCCGTCAGCCTTCCGGTCCTAGACCACCACAGGCGACCCCTACCAAGCACAGAAAAGAGTCAAGGACACAGCTTAGGACAGTAGATAACACAAGGCACGTTCCATGACACGAAACTACATGTCCTGTTGCTGGCAATCCGTGTCTGCCAGCGTTTTCGCGCGCAGTGGCTGGCTGATTTGCCCAAGCCAGTCTAGCCACGGCCTGGTCAACCTTGACGAGGCTACTACTGTTAAGGCATGGGCCACTCAGCATGGCAAGCGCTCGATTTAAAGTTGCGGTGTCCTTGCGAGGCTGAGCCGGCAGGCCGCAATCAAGTGCCTGGGCTCTTTGCCAACCTTGGAAGTGTCCGTCCGATGCGTGCAGACTGCATTGGCACAGCCTGTCTGTGCCTTTGGTTTGCCAGCCGCTTCCCCGCGATCGGGGTGAATGACTAAGGTTAATTGCAACTGTGGGTCCTGCACCCCGACGAAAAAAGACGGGTGGCGCTTTGCTGGCCGAAACACAAAGTCTCGGATGGATGCTAAGACAAGACCCAAGAAAAAATCAACGGGGAGTCAGTCGACATGTACTGCACTGGAGACGTTGCAGTCTCGTCAATGACTAATTCCATCGTGTCTCTGTCCAGAAGAGGATTCGGCTAGGGACGGCCACCAGCCAGGCCCGCACCCGACAGCGAACCCTGTGGCGCGCAGGCGCCGTCGCACGTGGGGACGCGCACACCGTCCGTGGGCGGCCAGCGCCGGTGCAGGGGCGAGGCTGTCGTGACCGCTTCGACGCCGCCTGGCCAGACGTCATCCATGGACGGGGTGCCGCACTGCACATCATGGGGCCCCGGCCCGGCTCAGCCAGGACCGGAGTCAAGCTTTTCTCTTCCCTCTCTACCTTGTTCGACCACACACCTTCGTGGCCATTGCTCAACTCAACTGGCCCGTCCTGCCACCCATCACGGTTGTGCGACCAGGCCAGCTGTGCAGCAACCGCAACCTCCTTCAAGCACGCCGAATCCTGTCCTGTCCGTGCCCGTTGCCCCAGGATCCCTCGCCTAGGGCCGGTCCTCCCGCCGGATGTCGACACGACCCTCCCCTCTCGCCTAGAGCACAGCAGACTTGCATCCGCACTTCCAACGAAACACTTCAAAACATCAACCCCACTATGGAGGCAAGGGCATCGTCACCGCTGCCCTCGGACATTGACCGGGAGCGCGAGGCTCAGGTCATTTCGGAGCACCTCCCCGCCGGTTACTCTGCCGAATTCGACGGCGGTGCCGATGACCAAGACTCGGGCGAGGCCTCAGGCAGCATCAGCGGCGATGCGGGCAGTCTCGAGAGCTCTCTCAAGCTGCAGGGCGGCGACATGCATCGCGACCTCTTTAGGGCGGCGGCTCGCACGCGCATGCACAAACGTGCTGCCACCTTCCACAGTCCCCGCCTCCAGCCGGCCGATGCCGAAGACGAGGGCCTCACCATTGCCGATCACATGGTTCCAGGAGGCTTCCGGCGCGCTTTCATCCAGCAGAACCGCACCGATCATCTTTGGGCGTCCAAGATCCCCGTCACCCGCAACTTTGTAGAGTTCCTCGACCTCTATGGCAGCTTCGCTGGTGAGGATCTGGCAGACTCGGACGACGAGGCTATCGAATCGGATGACGAAGCCCAGGACGAAGACGATGGCCGGCCCTCAGAGACACGCCCCTTGCTCGGTCGCCGCAAGAGCGCACGGGCGCCGAGGGCTTCTACCGCCAGCACGACAAAGACCTTCTTCACCCTCCTCAAGGCCTTTATCGGCACGGGCATCATGTTCCTCCCCAAGGCTTTCAACAATGGTGGCATCCTCTTCTCTTCGCTGACAATGCTCACCGTTGCCGTTGTTACCATGGTCGCCTTCCACCTCCTGCTCGAGTGCAAGGCCAAGTACGGCGGCGGTTATGGTGAGATTGGCCAGGCCATCGCGGGCTCGCGCATGCGCAGCCTGATTCTCGCCTCGGTGACCCTGTCCCAGCTTGGTTTTGTGTGCGCCGGCATAGTCTTTGTCGCGGAGAACATGACCTCCTTCCTCGAGGCCGTGTACCACACGTCCGAGTCACCACTGTCCGCCACGGCGCTCGTGCTGTGCCAGCTCGTCGTGCTCATCCCGCTCGCCTTTATCCGCAACATCGCCAAGCTCGGCCCAGCCGCCCTCCTCGCAGACGTGTGTATCCTGCTGGGTGTGAGCTACATCTACTACTTTGACATTGCACAGATAGCATCCCACGGAATCCACAAGACGGTCGTCCTGTTCAACCCGGACAGCTACTTCCTCACCATCGGCTCGGCCATCTTCACCTTTGAGGGCATCGGCCTGATCCTGCCCATCCAGTCCTCCATGGCCAAGCCCGAGCGCTTCGAGCCCCTGCTGGGCACAATCATGATCATCATCACGGTCCTGTATACCTCTGTCGGGGCGCTCTGCTACGCCACCTTTGGCACGCACACGAGCATCGAGATCATCGACAACTACCCGCAGACCAGCAAGTTCGTGAACGCCGTGCAGTTCCTCTACTCGCTCGCCGTGCTCGTCGGCACGCCCGTCCAGCTCTTCCCCGCGCTGCGCATCATCGAGGGCAAGATCTTCGCCGCGTCAAAGTCGGGCAAGAAGTCCACGCGCACAAAGTGGACCAAGAACGCGTTCCGCACCTTCCTCGTGTGCCTGTGCGGCGCCATCAGCATTGTCGGCGCCGGCAACCTCGACCGCTTCGTCGCGCTCATCGGCAGCTTTGCCTGCGTGCCCCTGGTGTACATCTATCCTGCCTACCTGCACTACAAGGGCGTCGCGCAGGGCCGCTGGGCCAGGATGGGCGACGTGGTGTTTATGGCTGTCGGGGCGGTCTGCATGGTCTTCACTACTGTTATTACTGTTGTAAATAGCTTCTTTTGAGTGTCCTGCGAAGAAACGGGGGGTAGATCCGAGGATCTGGAGATGAGCGGCTTGCGGATATGCTACCGTTGGTGTCGTCTTGCAAATATCACGGTACCTTCGGCGACCACAAACAATAGAGAGATGTTTGGATATACTCTCCTAGAAAGGGTTACATTTTGTACATGATTCGTGGAGAAAACGGGAAAACAAAAAGGCGAGGATCTGGCGCACATGAGCATATCATCACACATTTGCATCACCACGGCTCTGGAGTCCTTGCTTTCAATGGTTTAATCTTTTTTTTTTCCATGGCTTTTAAATACTTTTTCGTTAGTGATTTGGTGTCTGCGCTTCAGCAAGTGCGCCTTTGACTTCATTGCATTGTTGTTAATTGGTCCTCGCCGCCGATAGCAAGCGCTTACTGTTCGAGCAATGCGGCTCGCGATTCAGACACATGCGCAGACGCGCGTGAGAGCCAATGCGACACTGGCGTATAGGATCGAGCACATGCAGAGTCTTTTGACTGCGTGCGCGAAAAAGCGCCCGTCGCTTGCACTGCTGGGGTTGGCCTGTTAAACCACTGTGCCTCTGCTGCTTTCGATGCCTCCAGGATGTGGACCTGACTCAGTGCCTGAGAGTAGGGTATCGACTAGTGCGCGTCAGTTTGAGGACATTGCCCTACAAACGATGCCACTGACTACCTCCGGCTCATTGCCAGTTGACAAACATGAAATGGAGTTCGATGATCCATTTCAATTTGCCAAGTCCCGTGCTAAGCAACGAGTCTACACAAATACACCGCCATATGCCAGCTTCAGGCAAGTGGATGAGCTTGTGTAGTGCGCAGTCTCGCTCTCTTCTGAGCGTAAAGCCTTCAGCATGATGAACTTGTTGTTGTTCATTACCAGGCGAAGCTCGAGCCGAGACTGGTGCGCAGACATGGCTAGTGGCGGCGTGGTGGGCGCTTAAGAAACGTCGTCAGACTAAGCTGACAGTGCCTCATGTATACCGCAAATATGCCCACACCCCAAGAGCAATGCCGATCATTAGCATGGTAGCGAAGACGAGGCGTATCCTGATTGTGAACAGCCTCCTCTGATGTAGCTCACGCAGTAACTGTTTCAAAACGGCTGTTTCGTCCTCTTCGGGGAACGGGCAGTCGGGAACCGGTACCCCAAGGAAGGCACACAATGGCGCCCAGCCGCTTCCTGGCTGGTACTCTAATAGTCTTTCGGCTGGCACCTTCGATCGGATGGTGTTGTAGTGTGATTCGTATGCACCTCTCATATTCTTCAGCATGGTCTCCCTCGTGTCTGCCTGAAAGTATGCGCAGAGAAGTTGTCTTGTCGCCCAGTAGGAATGTCGGTTCGCTACCGGCTCCAAAAACCTGGCGAAGAAGTGACCCCACGTCGAGAAAAGGGGCTTAATCAAGAGTTCGTCCATGTCCTTAACCCATGCCTCGACGTCACGCTCGACTATGACGACCTTGGATCCCTTGTAGGCCTCGATGAGATGCGGCGCAAAGAATGCATCCAGATCCGCAATGACGTCCCAGCGGCCGAGCCAGTCCTCCCAGTCTCGAAACGACAAGCCGGGCGCTGGGGCATCAGCACTTCCGACCAGACACTGCCGAGTGGCATCCCGCATGTGCTTGGCCTGGTCCTTGTACGTGTTGATACGCTTGGTTTCTGTTTGCAGCCACCCGATGCTGTGGTGTGCCTTGGCGGAGACGATTTTGCGGTAGGCGAGGATGACGCTGTAGCTGCCGGCCAAAGGTAGCGCAAGATGCAAGACCGGGGCGCGCCGGCTAGCAAGAACGGGCTGCTTTTTTTCTGATTCTGGCGTAGCGACCAGCTCGGCAATCGAGTCCGGAATCCGGGAAGCGCCCATTATGGTGCTGTGTCGCGGGCGTTGTTGGAGCCGGCACCGAAGAGCGGGCGCTACAGGCGCCGGAGCGGGTGACGATGCGGCCTCCGACTGCAGCCCGTAGCCCACGGCGCAGTTGAGGGCATCCGAGTCAAGGCTATATAAGCGGCATTGGGCCGTGGGTGATGGTTTGACGCAAGACGGGCAAGGTAAGAAAAGTGAAGAAGGGAAAAGGGAGGCACGAAAGAAGAGGAGGACAGCGAGATGCAGCAGAGCAAGGGATCTTTGGTCGCCTGCAAGGTTCTCGCGGAGCGACCGTGGGTGTGGTGTAAGGTATTGCAAGGTGCCGATCACACGGCAAGGTGGTGTGGTGGATCCAGCGCCGGATGGTTTCGCGGCGGGGAGGCGTGTCTGGGTGCCGTGCAGTGCGCTACAGATCACTCCCAAACGGTGGTGGTGCAGTGCGGATCGTCAGAGCTGGAGCGGTCGCAGAGTGGCCGGGGCGGAGGGAGGCAAATGTTCGAGTTCAAGGCGCAACGTTCGATGACGCGATGGGAGCAGGAGGGAGACGGCGTGCGGCAGAAGAAGAAAAACGAGATGTCATCTGGGGATGGCCAACAAGACGGCAATTGTTGGTTCGAGGTTGGAACAACAGCACTATACAGTAGTTGCACACGGGGACTGTGAAATTCAAAGTGCCCGCCTTGGGTAGATTAATCGGGTCGCCCGAGAGGCCAGCGGGCCTGTCGGACAATTTCCAGCCTCAAGGTAGAGTTATTTACCTGCGGAGGCAGGAGCGAGCGCACCGGGCCACGCAAGGTCCTAAGTTAGGTCCTGTCCTGGCCAGCCTCCAGTCCAGGGCTGCCTGTCCTTTTTTTGCGTGCTCAAGCGCACCGGGGCGGGGCTGCCTCTGCACCGTATGAAAACTGTACACCACTGGGGGTCGGCCTGCGCGGCGCTCACGGTGCGAGCTGCACGCGGCACGCCCTCCAAGACCAAACTTCCTCTTTGAGCCTCGCCGTCGACTCCAGTCGGAGCCGCACCAGCACTGACTTGCAGGTGGTCATCCCTCCATCCCAGCAGCCAGGGGGCCGCTAGCCTAGAGCTAATCCGGCAGCTGCCAGAGCCACATCGACCTTCCGCCATCAGACACACAGATGAGGGCCGCTGGGGCTTCCGCCGTACGGGCCGCGCAAAAACACGCCTCTTTCCCCCCCCAATCCATCGCATCGTGCCTCTCAACTGATGCCTGGCCCGCGCCGTTTTTGCGCTTGTCATGCTGCGCATATGTAACAGATTCGCACTTCCAGCCAACAGCTGTCCCGATCCTTCCGGTCGCCCCATGGGCTCTGAAGCCACAACTCACTCGTTGACACATTTGCTGGAGCCCCCGCCGAGATATTCTGCGCGCCCTTGACGAGGTACCCTCTCTCTGCCAATCCAGTCCCGAGGAAATACGGCGTGGATCAACGGAACGTCCTAGCGACTTATACACGGGCCAAGTCAGCACACTCTAGCCAGTGATGGATTTTGCGCACTTCCATATCCAATCAAAGACTGGATTTCACCGGCTCAACCCTCGTGGAACTCGCGCCGGCCGTGTCTGACAAACTCCGACACAAGTGCAAAAACTCGCAGCGCAGAAGGTAACTTAGGGCTGGGTGTGTGGTAGGTACTCCGTAGACCACACTGGCTCCCGCCACTTGTCTGCTTGAATCAGACTCCAGCTAGCAAACCTCCACATGCTCTTTCCCCGCGACCAAAGTCCCCAGTGCCTAGTCCTCCGGCTTAAGAGTCATGCTATTAGTGGTTTCGAGCAATCACCAGATCTGCAGCCTATATCAGTTGGGAAGCAGGACATGACGAGCAAGGGCACCCAGCGTCGCATCAAATCTTTCCGCAGCATGGATCGCCCGACTCGTGTGGTCGCATCAACAACCATGGTGCCCTGCCGTGGCACGTCGGCTACTGCGGTACGCAAATACAGCACAGGCACATAGGCGCCGAATTGTTTGTTTTCGACGAGGACCGCGCCTGCCTTGTGAGTGGTGACGCCCGGCCCACACGTGCCAGATCATCAACGCGTCCAGAGCCTACTGTATGTGGATGGCGGGAAACGCTGGAGCAATATTGCCGTGCACATCCTCCTTTCCACTTGATCCCTGCACGAGGTGCGACAGAACATTCGAACGATCTTCAGTTTCGTTACGGAAGCGGTAAGGGCGCCACGCACGACGGCCGGCAGTTGTCCGCAACGTTGTCGGCATTCTATGTGACAAGGGTTCATGGACCCAAGTCTTCATGCGCCAATGCCGTCCCATCGTCATTTTCCACCCCTTGAAGGCCGAGGCCGAGGGTCAGGAAGCTTGGCATTGTCTCATGCACCAAGAACAATAATTAGCTCTGGCCTCTAATTACGGACGGGCGAAGACGCCATGGCAGCCAAGTCAGTCTTGTCTTGAGCTTGACTGGTAGTGTTGGCGCGTGCAAAGGGGCTCCCGTGCTGGTGGTAGCAGCCGGCCACCCGCGCGGGGCGTTGCATTTTGCTGCGCCGTCGCAGGGCACGATGACCAATTCGTGGTCAGGCGTTTCTTTAGCATCGGCCAATGCTACTCTGTGCTTGCTCCTATCCCCACAATGTGCTGGCTGGAGCGGAGACATCTGTGCCTATCCTATCGCTGCTCGCACAATCTCTGTCCCAAAGTCGCCGCCATGGACGGCAACACTCACAGCGTTGTACATAGCGGGTCTGGTAGGGTGCTTCTGTTGCTACAGTTGCCATCCGCAACTCGTACCACCTGCTTCCAAACAGCAAAACGCCATTGTGTGATTGCTGTGCACCCTAACTCAATGGCAGGTCATCCTCGGTGCGCGACAGCTTCTGTTGAGCAGTGCTCGTGAGTTCTCCGTCGCCTCGGACCAGACACAGCAAAGAGCGTGCGCATTGCCTGTGCGCATAATAGGTCAGTCGGCGCTTTGATCTGGCCTTTTAGTGGGTAATCAGAATGTGACAGACGGTGGATCCGCGGGCACAGACGGCTAACATCGCTCGAACACTGGCGTACAATGCATTTCTGACAATAGTGAGACCATCCAGGCCTTCGTGGAGCCCGCTCTGGAGGCAACTTCGGTCGTCGTCGACGTCTTCCCCGTGTGGCGTTCCGCACGAGTCGTTCTAGTTGTCGGCGGCGGCACAGCGATTGGCCGTGCCTCTTTGGCGTGTTTCGAAACTTAGCGCCGCCATGCACTTTGCACAAAAAGGAACCATGTTCAACGCAGACCCGCGACCGCTCCAGCCTATCGCATCCCACAGACTGTGGCATTGAATTCACGACGACGATGATGCGACAGCCATGATTTAGTGACATGGCGATGGCACGCTCAATGCAGATCTGGTGCCACCGTTCAGGCTTGTCATGGTTTTCTGTATGGCTGCGGGAAGTGTCAGGGGTATCACCACGCACTGGCGGACTCCACACCTCGCTCGAGCGTCTTGTGAAGCAGCCCATTGCTAACGAGGCAAGCCGTGACTTAACTTGTGCCAGGAGGCGGTAATCTTCGATGGTGGGCCACTAAGAGAACGCCCAACAGTTGTATCGAGAGGAGAAGAGACCTTGCACACTCGATTGTCACGCTCTGAGAACGGCTGTCAACGGTCGACATCACGAATGCGAATCACTTGTTTGAACATAGAATTGAACCCTGAGCCTGGAGGTGCTGGAGCCTCTGGTGCTAAATAATGTAAACTTCTTGCAGTAGTGGACACAATCAGGACGATAAAGGTAAGGAAAAGGCAACCACAGCCTGAGATTAACCGAAATTGACGCGTCAAACACTTCCGGTTTGCTGTGATACACTGGTTTATTGCTAGAGAGCTCTGGTCCGTCTGCGGTGATTGGTGTATATAATGCTCGCGTGTCTATGCTTCAAGCGTGTTTCTTTGGACATGAGGCCTCCCCATTCCATTCGTCATCTTCGGAAATATTCTTGTCCCCCGAGGGGGCACAAAACGGCTACGCCCTTGGCAAGACTCTAGATCAAACAAGTCAAGTAGCTTTAATCTTACACCCTCTCTGAAGTCGGTAGAGACCTGATATCGACTGCAATCATGCATCAGCAATCCGTCCCGGCGATCGTCGTCCTCCAAGCGCCTGATGACTCGACACTCTCCCCCGAAATGGTGTGAGAGTAGCACTGGTCGACGATGTTCTGGGCACTGTTGGCCACGACATCCCAACCTGAGAGGTTTATAACAAATTGCATCTGTGGTTGAAGTCGGGCTTGTCAGTTGACATCTAGCAGTTGAGCGAGTGCGCGTTTCAACCACTCATGTTGAAGTGCAGACTATGCGTTGAAGCTAGCGTGAAATGTAGCATATAGCAGTGTTATAGCAGTGCAAGAAGTAGAGAACTGGAGCTATCGTACTGCAAAGAGGCTTTGGTATGAACAAGTAACCAAACAAATAGGTACTTACATGGTTACACACCCAGATTCCTGTATTCCATGAACAACTAACGCGGTTGCACGACGTTGGTTCGAGCCTTATGGCACCTTGCAGCCCGCGCAGGTACCCGATGCCCTGGATCGCTGTGTACCGGTCGCCAGCTGGTTCGGTATCGCAGATGACAAGTTTGCGCTTATTGAGCGAGGAAACCGGGGCCGGCGTCGCCAAACGTGATGCGATTGGTGTTGATGGTGCGGCATCACGGGAAGTACAAAGGCCGTTGGACATGCGAGGATGTGTAAGCAGCGCTGTTGAGATGTTTCGATTTTCTGGTTCTGAAAGGCCCGTATGGTTTATGTGTTTGGGCGTAGATCTCACGTTCTCAATCTTGGCAACTTCTACGATGACTCGACTAATCGTTCGACCGGCGGTGGCGCTGCTGAGACTCTGTGGTGCATCAGTCTGTGCCAGAATCTATCAACCCAGTGTCAGATCTCACGACGTGCTTCGAAGGTCGGCTCATGAGGCATTTTGCGTTCTCACCTCTGAAGGATTGGCAGGAACCGAGACGAAGAATCTCGCAACCAGTGCAAGCAACGGGATCGATGCGTACATCTTTCGTGGGTTAATGGTGCTGAGGAGGATCATACATCCTCAGCCATCAGGGATGAACGGACAGACAGTTGATGGAGGAAGGAGTTCTTGTATATGAGGATAGGACGCTATTTTGTAGCATGCGACATCGCCTGTGCGGCCACCCCGTGCCATTTCGATGGCAGTTCCAAGGGAAAGTTGCCAATAGCTCAGCAAACACGGCACAGAAGCTTATTTCAAAGGCAATTTTTGCTCGATTCAGCCACGATAACAAAGAGCAGTCTTACTCTTAGTGTTGTCGTCTTGCGAACCTGGATTGAAACCTGCTTCACCTAACCCCGGATCGGGCAAGCTGCCCTTACCGGGATGTTTATGGTGCAATCACAGAGTTCTTCTACTCGGAATACTGAGCCACAAAGGAATTTATGCAATTGCAAAGGCCTTGATCAACCGTTTGGTTGTCTTTCAACGCGCCCGATGCGGACGACAGAATCCGCTTGGACCATGTCGAGTCTGCCCGCCGGCAATATAGCTGACCAAACTCCTGTTTGCTTGTCACGATTCAGTTGTAACTTATCTTCTAGAGGTTCTCCATCAACCGTAGCCTAACGCGCATAACGAATCGCATTGCCGATGTCACTTGAATAACAAACGGGACTTGATGCAAGCCTGAACCTTGGTTTGTTCAGCGTGTACCAAAACAAATCGGTATAAACGAGAGTACTCTTTGTTGCCAATCCATGATTGCTAGACCCTTTGCCCATGTCTCAATGGCGGAGCTACCGAAGCTTGGGACAGACATGGATGGCTTCACTGTCCTGGACTTGGTGCCGTGCATGGGCATCTGATCTGGTTCACCGTGTCGTGCGCCTCGCCAGCTCAGCTGCCGGATGTGTGGCTCCGAAACCCACATGTGGCCGGACACAAATGTCTGTTTTGGGCACTGTCGCCGATTCAAGCTGAGCACACTATTGTAGCTAGACAGCGCCACCCGCGCCGGTGGCGTGCTCGTCTCGGACGTGTGTGACTACCGAAGGCTCAAGCTGGGCATGGCTGCACTCTGGAGCAGGCCGGGGAAGCAGTGCATGGATGGCGGTTCGGGGGAACTGCGGCTTTGCCCCAGATGCCTCGGCCATCGCCAGCCGGAGCTTACATGGTCGTCCGACCCCGCAGCGCGGGACCCCGGGAACCCCAACCTTCTCCAAGCTGCCGGCGCCCCTGTCCGGGTGGACGAGGTCAGAATCTTGCAACCCCGGGGTTGTCAGTCGAGTGCAATCCTTCCTTTCCCTTCCGTCGCCTCTCATCTTCAGCAGCTTCCGCCTTACGGATCCCGATACGTCCATCAACTGTTCTGTACATATATTGCTCTTGCTCAGGAGTACTCTATCTTCCTCCAAAGTGTCGACCTCGAAGCTTGTACACACCACAATAGGCTCAAGCCCCCTCGGACGCCGGGCTCCGCACAAACAGCAGTCGCCTAGAAACACTACCAGAACCTCGCAACCATGGCGCATACCGACTCGTCCATCGACCTGACGGTCAAGAGCCTCTTCTCGTTTGCCTCGCAGACCGTCTTGATTACCGGTGGCGCCTCGGGCCTTGGGGAGATGGCAGCGCAGGCATTTGTCCAGAACGACGCGCGCGTCATCATTGCCAGCCGGAAGAAGAAGGACCTGGAGGCCACGGCGGACCGCCTCAATAAGCTCGGCCCGGGCAAGTGCGAGTACATAGTCGCCGACCTGAAGGACAAGGCTGGGTGCGAAGCCCTGGTGGCCGAGGTCAAGAAGAGAACGGACAAGCTGGATGTGCTTATGAACAACTCGGGCGCTACATGGTGAGTCCCGGCCCGGCAATCTCTAATTTTGCCATGTTAATTCCCGTGATGCGGGCATGATGTCTGGTTTACATCACATAAGACCATGGGTTTTTCATTCAACTGACACGAACTGGTGGGCATCATCAGGGGCGCACCGTACGACGACTTCCCAGAATCAGGCTGGGACAAGATCATGGCACTAAACGTAAAAGCCATTTTCTACGTGACCGCAGGCCTGCACCATCTCCTCACAAAAGACGCCACTGCCGACGCGCCCAGCCGCGTGATCAACATCGCCAGCGTGGCAGGGATATCCACCATGGACGTGACGGCGGGCGAGGATGGCGGCCTGTCCCCGCCGGGCACCGGCACATTCAGCTACGCCCCGAGCAAGGCCGCATGCATTCACCTGTCCAAGATCCAGGCCTCGAAGCTCATGAGCGAGCACGTCACGGTCAACTGCATCGCACCTGGTGTCTTCCCCAGCAAGATGTCGGCCTTCGGGCTCAAGGAGGCTGGCGATCTGCTCAGGGCCGTGCAGCCGAGCGGGCGCGTCGGCAAGCCTGAGGATTTCGCCGGGCTGGTGCTGTTCGTGGCGAGCAAGGGCGCGGCGCACATTACGGGCAACGTGTTCGAGATTGATGGCGGGGTGAACCTTACTGGTGCAAAAGGCAAGGGAATGGCCAAGAAGGCCAGGTTGTAACAGACATAAGGCGGCTGTTGTTGCGGTGCGAATCCGACCTAAGTGTGCTGGCAGGATTAGTTGCGACAGGCATGCTTGTATGTCGGGAGACGCAATCGACTTGTACCATCAAGTAGTACCCATATCACATGGCTCGGTGGTATGGGAGAGAAGAGTTGGATCCGATGCTCGTAGCAGTCACCCGCTGGGGGGTCTTGGGTTCGGTTGAAAACCTAATGTCAAAACTCGCGCAGTTTTGTTCGTAGCAACAATGTGCTGCGGGGTTCTTGCGTCAATATGCCGGCAAGAAGATTACATTCCATTCGAAAAGGGACTTTCTGGGAGTCCCTTGTGATATCAGTGTGCATACAAGTTGCTGCTCCATTGCGCCCGTCCTTATCAATAATTCGCTGCAGTTCCCAAAAGATATCTCAACTGCGCAATGCCGGGAGGATATTGGCACAACCAGTGTAGTGCGGCCTCTGCACCAGTCATTCCTTCTCATTGTCTTCCACATCTGTGCGGTCGCTCAGATATCCAGTCTCTGTCCTGTACGGATCCAGGCCGTGTGGATTCGCCACAAGCCACCCAGCGAGGGTGATTTCCATGAACTCTTTGCCCTCCCGCCAATCGATCTGCTCCCAATCTGCGATATAGTCCGGCTTGGGGTCGGTCAAACCGTCGACAATCTTACGTGCGGCATCAATGCTAGCATCGAAGATAATGGCGAGGTTGTCCGGCAGCTCATCACCAGGCTCCAGTTCGCCAATGGCGTTTGGGTGAAGGGTGTGTTTCCGTACCCCAGAGCGGGGCAGGTTGAACCATGCCTCCATAAGGGCTGGGATGAGCTCCTTGCCGTAGCCCTGGCCCCAATGCTCCTTGCGGAGCATGAACTCAAGCTCTGGCCAGCCCGTCCGCCACAGATCGTCGAAGTTGTAGACGCCGCCGTCACCAATCAGCTCTCCTGTCGAAGCCAGGAAAACACCGAAGCGCCAGCTGTTGCCGTCATTGGGGGGCTGCAGGCTCTGCAGGAGTGTCCGTGTCTCGTCCATGTCACGGTCGACGCGAGGTCGAAATGTCTTGGCCATGACTTCTGGTTGTGTGCGCAGGGAATGGAATGCCTCGAGATCAGACAGATCCAGCGGCCTGAGGACTAGCCTGGCCGTCTTGATGTGTGCCCTCTGTGAGCTGGGCGGTAAAGGCCGGTCCGGTAATGATGTGAAGAGGTTGTACCAGGGGATTGTGTTGAGTTTTGCAGCTACTTCCTGCGGGAGAACCTCGCCCCGCGCGCTGCGGATCTGTTTGGTGCCAGTCATATCTTCGATGAATGGCTCAGCACGATGGTCTGAGGCGGAGTGTATAGAGAGCATAAGGCCGGCGAGACAATGAAGTGTTGTCAAACCGAAGCTGATAGGTGGATAGAGTTAGGGTGCTAGGGAAGCACAGGAGAGGACGGGCGACGCTGGGCTCAGATACCTGAGGTGTTGTAGCTGTATATGGGAAGAAGAGGTGGAGAAGCAGGAGGAGAATGAGGAGCACCGAGTAATGGCGTGAATTGACAGTACGGCGGCTGGGAGGGCACGAGGTTGATATGAGCCAGCCTAGAGCGGGCACCTGGCCCATCACGAGCGAAGGCGGCAGCGCAGCAACAGGGGCATTATGCCAGGAGGATGAGAAGTGGATGGGATTCGCGGGCTGTGATGAGGGTGACGAGGGAGGAGCTTGCGAGGTCAAGTGCAAGGGCCGGGACCGTCCCGGATGGGGCCGCGCGGGGAGGGTGCTGGAGCTCCTGCAGCGCCTCATTGTCCCGATGGCCAGCACCACCACAAAGGTGCCTCAGGGGGGGGAGACAGCTGCACTGGTCCCTGCCGCTCGCTTCCCTCAGGTCGGGTCGCTGCCAAGCCTGGCATCTTCATCACCCCTGATGTCGTCCGCCTCCCGTCGGCCAGTCTTAGGCTTCGCGGCAGGCATCCTGCCCATGCTGGTCCGCTTCCGGTAATTACAAGAACACAACAACCATCACATCTGCGCCCAATCCCTCGGCGACAGGCCATCCGGCAGAAATTCCTCTGCCGCCAAGGCTGTCCGGTCTGTTTTGCCCAGAGTTCTGGTGTTCGTGACTATGCTAGCCTATGTTTGCCGCCAAGCCTGGCTGGCGGCCCTGGTCTTCAGCTCCAGCCGCCTGGGCTTATGCCGTTCCAATATCGCCACCTGGGAGTCTTTCTCTTTGCTGGGCTGTCCAGCTTGATGCGCCAAGAAACAGATCTGGCATTGCCCGAATGGACAGGACCTTAGACAGCAAAGGAAACCTCGAAAGTCAGTGGTTGATCAGCGCCATTCGACGGCGGAGATGTCTGGCATCGCGCTGGAAGTCTGCCCTCGAATACTCGGCAAGAGCCCAACAATATTGCGGTGACTGTCGATCTCTCCACATGTGATAACATGCTGCCTCGCTGTCGTTGTATTGCGCTGGGGTTTTCTAACGTTGCAAGTTAATGTCTGGAGCTTTCGCGCCAGCCCCCCACGACTGTTACGGTCGCCTTGCTCGTGGGTGCGACAATTCCCTTCTAAGCTCCGCCATTTTGATGCAAAGCAATCTCTCTATGCTGCCTGCCGTTTCAGCAAAGGTAATATGCATCCTGCCTTACCAGGTATCAGGAGACTGCAGGGCGACCCTGCCAACGGCAGTATATCCAGGGCCACCGTCATGAGTGATCGCCGTGAATGAAAAGACGAAGGACGACGCAACGGCAGACCATGGCAACGGTGATCGAGCAGACTTGCATGCGTCGTGCGACATTGTCCTCTCATTGGTCCCGAGCTTCGACATCCCTGTCGACCTGGTCTATGCCAATCTTCATTTCTGAGCGCTATTGCTGCACAGTCCCAGGATGATGATTCAGTCGTAAGGCGGGGCTCGTTTCCGACAGGCACGACAGAGTTTATAATCCTTGTTCGGCGAGCGCCTCACGATCGACACATCGCCTATTTCCTCAAAACCTCAGGTCAGGATAAAGCGCTGTACTCCGGACTGATTCGTGCTTGGTGGGCCACAGCAAAGTTCCTCCTGTTGCAGGCTCCGGTATCCTTGGCGCCATGTCGTTGACAACGGCGACTAAGCAAGACCTGGCCTCATCTAGCATAACGGCTCACTTCATAACCACTGCATTTCATTTCTACCCGCAACCATTTGAAACCAAGGACAACGTGGCTGTCATGGTGGCCAGAAAGGATCGCCCTTGGGGAGGTACTATGAAGAGCCTGGAGAGGAATGCGGGCCAGCTCTATCGTAGTCTGAGAAAGAAAAGAAAGGGAAAAAAAGAACCTGAAAAATGACGGGATGCAAGGATGGCGAAGAGGCTGGAGCAACGCGGCTTTGTCGTCGGAAGTCTGGGTCCGCAGCTTGCAGGATTGCTACAGCGGCCACAACTGAACAGTCGCAACTATTACCGCCTTCCCTCAGCAAACTCGTAAACTTGCGAACACGCCAGGCCACTTTGCGGGTACAGCGAATTCAATGTGCGAAGAGAGACAAGGAGCAAATCTGATAAAGAAAAAGCAGATACCCATTGGTCTCTGGGTGCCTGGCAAGTGGAGGGTGGCCGGTTCGCGAGTTTACGAGTTTGCTGAGAACCTTTGGAAGGCGGTAGTGAGACAAAGCGGCAGGCTTGTCAAGCAGCAGTCACAGTGGAAGGCGGACTGAGCTTGTGACAGCTGGACCGGGAGGGGTCCACGGATGCTTTGTTTGACAGGCTGGCTCGACAGGCGACAGGACAGGTACCCGTAAAGTCTGCCGCCCCGCACAACCCAGCTTTCCACCTTGATTGAGCCTGGGCTTATCGCAATCGCGAAAAACCTGAGCCACCAGACAGACACAGGGAGGAGCCGGACCAGACAACCCCCCCATTCCACTTCTCTGATCGCACGTGTTAGCCTTGAGCCTTGACTGCAACCGCCCTTGTGACGATTGTGTGGCATACGGCATGTTCTGCGAGGCCGAAAAGGAACGCTGGTCCCGGCTGTAGCTTTGTCCTGTGGCGGCGTCCGCTTTTGCCAGATTTGCCAGCATTCACAAAAGCAGCTTATGCCCCGTGCGAGTTGTCCCGAGACCTTTGTGGTATGTGCGCAGTGTTTGCGTGCGCGGATGCATTTTTTGGGGCTGGGCTGTCTTGGTGCTGGGCCCGAGTTTAACGTGCCTTGTTTTTGTATGGTGATTTTTTTCTCTGGCCTTCCACGCTCTCCGTCTCCTCCTCCAGCCCACTCGACGCTCCGGCACGTCTACACGCACGTCACGTCGTCAGCCCACCGCCCTCTGTCAATCGCTCTCCTGCTCTGGGTGACTAGTGTCTGCCAAATTCCCCTTCTTCTGCTTCTTTGCACGTCGACTTCGCGGCCGATCCACCCAATCATCCTCGCCCCCGTAGTCTTCGTCAGCCGCCCGTGCAGCAGCCACCATCCATCTGCCTGCGTGCCTGCTTGCCATCTTACCAGCTATTCCATCTTCGCGCCCTCCGACTTCAACGCTCGTCCATCTTGGTGGCTCGATTGACTTCGATCTCGCCTTGATACCGCAGCCGACTACCTGTTCACGTGTACGATCGGTCCAGAACCCATCCGAAGAACACGACCATCCCCCTCAGTCGACCCATCCAAGCTTTGAAGCCGCTACCGATAAAACTCAGGCCAGCCCTGATATTTCGCGAAGAAAAGGAATTCCTGGTCGACCGGGAAGAAGCCACTCGAGAGACTACATCACCCACAAACTGCACACCCGGCTAGACTTCTGTGGCTTTGACTAGTCATGGCAGCCCCGTTGCAGTTTGCTTACCGCACCCAGAAGGCGATCGGCATCACGGATGCTGCTCCCGCATACGCGGAGCTCGCTGGGTTTGCCAAGCCAGAGGGGAATTTGCGTTGCTGTGTTTATTCGCCTTGCGGACGATACCTTGTTTGGACGTCGAGCGAGCGTGTCTGCGTGGTTGACGCATCCAGCGGAGTTGTCCTTACATCCATCGCCCTCGCCAACGTCTTTGATGTTGCCTTCTCCCCACGCGGCAACTTCCTCAGCACGTGGGAGCGCCCCGCGAAGGACGAGGCTGGTGATGCTACCAAGAACTTCAAGATTTGGCGGACGATAGAAGAGCCCACCGAGGGGTCTGAGAGGACCCCGCTCGGCCAGTTCGTTCAGAAGTCCCAGACGGGTTGGAACCTGCAATATACCTACGATGAGAAATTCTGCGCTCGAATCGTTACCAACGAGGTCCAATTTTTCAAGAGCGACGACCTTCGCACTGTCTGGAACAAACTGCGCGTCGAGGGTGTGGCGGACTTCGCTATTGCTCCTGGTCAGAGCCACAACGTCGCCGTCTTTGTGCCTGAGCGCAAGGTAAGTACAAAAAGAGCTGGCAACCGCATCGCCGCTGGCCTTACGCTAACCCACATGTCTACAGGGTCAACCGGCTGCCGTTAAAGTCTACAACGTTCCCCAGTTCACGTCGCCGATTTCCCAGAAGACTTTCTTCAAAGGCGACAAGGTTCAGCTCAAGTGGAACAGCATTGGCACCAGCCTTATCGTTCTTGCGCAGACTGAGGTCGACAAGTCGAACCGAAGCTACTATGGCGAGACAACTCTCTACCTTTTGAGCTCCAACGGTGCCGTTGATGCTCGCATCACTCTCGACAAGGAAGGCCCGATCCACGACGTCACCTGGTCCGCGACCGGCAAGGAATTTGGTGTGATCTATGGTTACATGCCCGCCAAAACCACCATTTTCAACCAACGTGCTATTGCCTTGCATTCATTTGCTTTGGCTCCTCGCAACACAATCAAGTTCTCACCTAATGGACGCTTTGTGCTTGTCGCGGGCTTCGGTAACCTTGCCGGTCAGATTGACGTGTACGACCTCAGCAAGGACTACCGCAAGATCACGACGATAGAGAGCGGCAGTCCCAGCGTGTGCGAGTGGAGTCCCGACAGTCGTTACCTCATGACCGCAACGACGTCTCCTCGCCTGCGCGTCGACAATGGCGTCAAGATTTGGCACGTGGGTGGAACGATCATGTACAACGAAGATATGGTAGAGTTGTATAACATCTCCTGGCGCCCCGTTCCCTTGGATAGAGTCGCTCCTGGAGACCCGTTGAGTCCGGTTCCGGAAGCCCACTCATCCGCAACCACATACCTTGGCACTGTGAAGACGCCTTCCAAGCCTGTCGGTGCCTACAGGCCGCCGGGAGCGCGTGGCATGTCGACTCCTCTCCACTTCCGCCGAGAGGACGAGGGTGGCTCCGCTCATATTATGAGCAATGGCTCGCCAAACGTTGGCCCCAATGGGTTTGGCCGGCCACGTGGTGCTGTTCCCGGTGCTGAGTTCGCCGCTCGCTCTGTTCCTGGTGCTGCGCCAGCAACCATTCCTGGTGCCGAGCCTGCCGACGAGAACCTGTCCAAGGCAGCTCTGAAGAATAAGAAGAAACGCAATAACAAGAAGAAGGATGGCGAAGGCAAGCCAGTTGAGGGTGGCCTGGCACCGCCTTCGCACGATCGGGGAGCTGCGTCCGGTACCGAGGGCCGCAGTCCTGAGCGCCGTGGTGGCGCGCAGAATTCTGCGCGTAATGCTCGCAGCCGCTCGCGAAACCCTGGCCACGGTGGTAACAACAGTGGCCGGAACCGCAGCAACACGGGTCAACCGCCGCAGCCACGCCCCCAGAATGGCACTCCGCTGAACCCTCAGGCGCCGCCCATGATCCCCGGAGAACAGCCTGCTGCCGCCGCTGCCGCCGCTGGCGGTGGTGCCCAGAACCCTGCCCAGAAGAAGCTGCGCAGTCTGCAGAAGAAGATCCGCGCGATTGAGGACTTGGAGATGCGTCTTGCAGGCGGCGAGAAGCTGGAGGACACCCAAATGAAGAAAATTGCCACCAAATCCGCTGTTCTCAAGGAGCTGGAGAACATTGACAAGGAGTAGAGGCAGTCCATATGGACATCCATGTACCACGCAGGGGAGGGTTGGCAAATCATGACTGCAAACATAACAGAGGAGGAAAGGAGACCAAGGCAATTCAACTTTCTGGATAGTCTTGAAGCTCTCTTCAGATAAAAATAGACAGAACCTCAAAAACGGAATCCTTCCTACCCGCATAGTACCTGAATTGTGCGTGAAAGAGGCTTGCACTCAGGCGGCATGAGTCACACCTGCAAGCCCTGGTTCTCTTCGCGAGAGGTAAACAAAGATCATTGTGTAGCTGACAATACAATCTGTCCGTAACAACTCAAGTACCAATGCTTTCACAAGAAATGCAGAGACTGACTGGAAGTCCAACTTGCTCTCCCACGAATGAGACGGGGTCTTGAAGGTCTCCCTTGCAGGCATGCGTGGCTTGTGGGTCTCGGCGTGGCATTAGCGTGGAACCCTTCATGTGCTGAGAGCTGTCATTAAACCCCGTGCAAGGTCGTCTTGGTGCTTCTGAAACCTTGCGCTCTTTACCACACTCGAGACCATGTTCGAGAACTGGGTTGCGTGTGCATTGTTGATATAGCACTTGTCGACGCCGCTGAGTTACCTCTGTCGGCTATCGCTCAGTGCGCCTCCGTGATAAACTCTCCCCAGCGGCATACCACCAGCGGCCTTGTCTTTCGAGACTCGTCGCCCAACCACGGCACGAGAATACGACCAATTTTCAGCTGTCCGACAAGCACATCTCAGGATCCCAAATAAAGATTGTCTCCCAAGATGGCTCCATGGTCCTACCACTTCGTTGAGCTCGACGCGGCCCAGAAGCACGCTCGACGTGAGACCATCGACCACTACGCCGCCATTGCTCACGCATCCACCATCCTCCCCGTATTGGCGGGCTCAGTGTACCGCTTGTTCGTATGGGCGCTGGCATTGTATCGAGGCAGGTCCCTGGCAGCGGTAAGAGGGTCGGCACGTGGCGACTACGCCGCCGTGCCGGGCTCGCCGGCTCTCAAACATCAGACACTCAGCACTGCGGGTGGTGCAAGGGCCACGCTTAGGAAGTTGTCGTGGTGGCTTGGCGACGATGTTGTACTCCTGGGCAGGAGATGGGGGCAGAGGGACCAGCTCATATTTGGGGCGGCTTGGACGATCTGGTTGGTGTTTTTGGCCTTCGTCAATACTGGAGATGGTATGTGAGGCTTCTAGAGCCCTGTTCTAGCAGACAGATATGAGGCGTTGTTGAGCTGACATGGGCAACAGACTATCTGCACCTCACGAAAAGACTCGGCATCATTGCAGTGTCCCAATTCCCACTGCAATACGCTTTGTCTCTCAAGCAGCTCAATCCTGTAGCCTGGGCATTTAATTCCTCCCACGAGCGTGTCAACCGCATCCACCGCCCGCTTGGCCGCATCGTCTACCTGCTTCTCTGCGTCCACGCGGCCATGTACCTCAACTTCTATTACCAGACGGGCATCCTCCAGGCCAAGATGACCTCACTCGTCCCAGTATTGGGTATACTCTCTATTGCTGCCATGACCCTGCTGATGAGCACATCCCTCGAATATGTGCGTCACCTATCCTACCGCGCCTTCTTCATCACACACCTCCTTGTCGCCCTGGCTCTACCCGTGGCAATTTTCCTACACGCCCATACTGCACGGATCCTCGTTGCCGAGGCGCTTCTGATCTTTGCGGCGGACATCGGCGTGCGCAGGCTCAGCACGGTGGAAGTGGACACCAATATCATCCGTGTAGGCGACTCGGATTTGCTAAAGTTGGACATGGCCTTGCCCGACGAGAAACAATTCGCCCGCTTTGCTCACGACGGCCCGGGAGTACACGTCTATCTTAGCGTCCCTCAGGCCTCCCGACCTAGCCCGTGGAACATGCTTGCGCCGCGCAATCTACAGTTTGAGCTTATGTTTAACCCTTTCAGTATCGCGACCACGGATGATAAGACACGGACCGTCACGCTCGTTGCCAAGCAGTGCCGGGGACCGATGACTAGGAATCTTGCACGTCTCGCGGCTGGCGAGGGCGACTATCACGGAAATTCGCAGGCGACTGTCCCGCTCAGCATCCAGGGCCCATTCGGCTGCTCCCGCAAGTTTCCAGACCTGGCGGGTCCGGAGTTCAGCTCCATCCTGCTCGTGGCTGGCGGTGTCGGCGCAACTTTTATCTTGCCTATATATCGATCGCTTGCCTCTGAGAGGATAGGTCCTTCGGGAGATGGTGCTCAAGGTGACGTTCTCGTGTCAGGGAGGACCGCCGCCACAGGAGGACCGCGCGTCAAGATGATCTGGGCTCTGCGCAGCGCGGCGCAGGCAACTTGGGCCACCACTACCATCGAAGGCTTGGTGAACGACGAGAATTGTGACTTGTTCCTCACCGGGAATATTCTGGCATCGTCCCCGATGCCCCATTCCCAGAACGGGCACGCGGGCGAAGGCAGTGATATAGCCATGACTCGTCTCTCTGCACGAACACCGACAACTACGCACATCAGCAATGGCCACCAGCATATCAATGAGAAGAGACCGGATCTAGCCAACATTGTGGACGATGTTTTCAAGAAGGTGACCCCGTCGCAGGGCAGAGTAGCCGTGCTGGTTTGCGGTCCAGCCGCTATGGCGCGGGAACTTAGAGCATCAGTGGGCGTGTGGGTTGCCAAGGGAAGAGACGTGTGGTGGCATGATGAAGGCTTCTCCTGGTAATCAAATCAGGAAGTTCAAATTATGGTATGGAACTTATACTTACTCTAGATCGTCGGCGCGAGGGCACAAGTAATCTAGATGGTTAGGCAGTACGAACACAAATTTCCCTGCAGGATCTATCTCAAATCTATCTATGCTTCAGCAGCATGACTGGCAGATCGAAGCAAGACCATAATGAGGAGGACAATATCTCATGACACCAACTTCTCTCCCCATTAGGTAGGAATAAGGTTAGAACTTGCCTGGGGCCCTTGTCGATGGCATGGACGTGCACAGTAACAATAATCATTAAACTCGGGGTGATTCAGAAGAATGAGAGTACGCCGGCCAGCAGCAGACCTGCGCAGATCGATAACAAGGGTCAAGGAAAGGTCATGCTGCAAAAGTGGCGGCTCTCGGACCTTGGTATGTGAAATGGTGAGGGACAATGATATACAGCTGTCGAAGGTAAATGGATCTGGTGTGCTGCGGAGCGGCCTCGGGGTTGTTAGACACTGCATATGTCGGTTTTGAAGTAGTTAGGTGGAAACCAAGTTTTTATTTTATTTTATTATTTTTGGTTTTGGTTTTGGTTCGAGAGGAAGGTCTGACTTTCTCAGCGCTGAATCCAAGCCAGCATTTTGTGACATCCCCAACTGGAAATCTTCAAAGCAACTTGTTCACTTTCCTCACCACCCCCAGCACAGTATTGACCTATTCACGATCCCGCTGGGCAGCACCAGGCTATTTGCTTTCCCGGTCAGCTGTCTCTGGATCAACTGGCTGGCCGGCCGCCCAGATCATGACTAAGTCGCCCTGGCTCGCCAGCAAGCCACGCAGGCAACAGAGACCAGGGTTCTCGTCACTGCGCCACAGGCCAACAACTCTAAAACGTGTTTCTGAAGTCATCGTGAAGATCATTTTCAGTCGAGGGTTGATGCATGCACCGTATAACACGATCGATGTTGTTCCCTGCCTGAGATAACTCTATCATCGCCAATCCAGATATTCTGTGCGGAGTTGTGACTGGCAGCGATCACACAGGTTTTTATTTTTATTGTTGCCAACCAGTACTGGAAACACTCGTATGAATTGGGTGTCGGGAGCGTCCATGTCCATGGCGCTCGTCCTATATGACGTTATGCAGACACTTCGTGGTAAATCTAACATGGCCTCTCGGACTTACCTTTCTCGGCGTTCCGATATCCCCTTGCAAATGCGAGAAGACTTCACATGGAGGTTTCGATCACATGCGTATCTGCAATCGCCCTGCCTGACCGGGACAAGGGAAAGCCAAGAATGCACGCATAAATGCCGAATCTACTCTGCCGGCGCAGGGAGCTTCCCGCCCATGTTTCTCACCTGCATGCATGCGCACAACATGCATACAATGCTTGTCACTGTGCGGCTATTCTACCGGCCTGTCGCCTCGTGGTTGCGATATCGGCTAGACACCTTGTTGTCGGCTCTGCCCACAGACGACCTTGGAAGCTCCAGAGATCCCGTGGGTCGCCCTTTCTCCACTGATTGATAAAATGTCGGCCGAATCTCACCCACTTTTAATACCGGAGCAACCAGATGAAAGGGGAGATCCCCACCGTGTGTGGCCTGGGTGATGGTCTCAGCAAGATCTCCCGTCCGCCCTCTTGTGCGCTTGTCTGTGGTCCACTCGTAATGGTGATTGTCCTAACTCGGCAAGAACCAGGAACAATAAGCATGGTAGGAGTGCCAACCTAGACTGTGGGCCAGACAGGGCAGAGGCTCGGCAGGAGCCGCTTTTTTACCTTCTGACCTCATCCACTCATAACCCTCCTCGCCCACCAAGCTGCTCCCTTGATTTCACTGTCGGTGGGTAGAGACACAAGTATGGTATTATTCTCAAGCTCGTTGGAGGTTGCAAACTCACTCTATGTGTTCGGGTTCGGTGTCCAACGCATCATCGTCTGCAACAGCTTCCAGCCTGAACGGCAATACTAGCCCGCAGAGTCTGTCAATTTTGAGAAATGTTGTCAGACTCTCTCACAACGGCATGGGCAGATGAGATTGCAGTCCTCTCATGCGAGCATCAGTAACGATGATGATGATGATGATGATGATGAGGTCAATGTCTAGGATCCACAGAGAGCGACTTTCTGATTGACCTTGGTCACGAGATGCTCAACTGAATCGTGCATACACGTATGCATTTCACCAACCGAGTAGTTTTCGCCACTGCCATTGAGGGTCATTCCTCGGTTCATAGCGTAATGAGGCAGCCAGCGTACAAACATTGACACAACTAGACGGGTTTAAGCAACCCCGGCGGGACCATGGCTGCCATGATCTGCTCGCCTTTCCATCGTCGCACCAGGGCTTGGTGCCTCAATGCCAATTTATCCAACGCAGCCAGATGTTTCGCGCTTCCGCTTGTCAAGTATCCCCAAAATAATAGCGGTCGGCGATCGCCCATATTTTGCATGAGCGCTCCGGTGGGATGAGATGAGTGGAACGCTTAGAAATGCTGGGTAATCAGATCGGTATTCTCCACGCACAAGGGAGCCCACATGGCTGCCCTTGGCAAAACACCGCATTGAGGAGGTGAGAAGGTGAGGAGGCGAGGTGCAAATGGAGATGACGTTGTGTCTTTTTTCCCTTGCGGCTTCACCTTGGTTTCCCGAACTCCACTGGCACTGGATTCTTGGCACCGCGCCTGGTCACTTGCGTCGCGGATTCGAAGGGCCCGGGTTGGCATTGACAGGGGCCAGGGGGCGAGCAGGTTGAGCCGTTGGCCCTGGGAGCGGAGGCATCGCCGCCGTGATGCTTCACTCTGAGAAGCGCTGGCCACTCTTCGTCGCTTGAGATTACGTGCGCGGCAATGACCAAGTACCTTTGCGAGGGCGGTCCGCGCCGGCACCTCGAGCTGCTGCTAATTCGGTCAAGGTGAAGAATGCTGGGCATGAAGGGAGGGAGCGGGACTTATCGCCGGTCTGAGCCAATCGCGGGCGGTGTGGCAGGCCAAACGAGGAAGGTTGCCTCTAGAGTGGCATCCCGACAGTCCTGCACCGCTCATGTCACACATTGCACCTCGCCGACGCAATAACGTGCGCCGGTACGAAGCGTGGCTGCCATCCATTCAGTGCCTGACTCAGGCACCCGTCACTGGCATCCGTCAAGCACCACTGTGGTGTGGGGTCCTCCATTCCCACATGTGCCCAAACCTTGACTGCCTGCCCGCCCGCCTGCCCTGCTTCCATTCGCAGGCGGGCGGCACTCTCGCAATACACATCAAACCATCCGATCATCTAGTCGATGCTTCGCCAAGACTGCGTGGTGGAGGCCACCCAGCACGGCGTGGGACCCCGGCCCCATGGGTACCTGCACATGCCTCGACAGATTCTGCTCGATGCTGCCATGGCCGGGTTGTCTGGCGTGTGCCTTGCATGCTTGTCGCAGCTCGGCGCGACTTGCTCAGAGTATAGCTGCCAAGACGTCCTTGGAGAACCCAAGGACATGGGCCCTGGCACAATCCCGGGACCAGAAAATGCTGATGGTGGTGATGATTTCATGATCCTGCTCGCGGTGGTGGTGGTGGTGCTGGCCAAGTTCCGTCCCCGTGGTATAAGATGTCGTGCTTCCGCCCGTCCCGCTGATCACTGATCTCTGCCAAGCGAGGACTGCATCGCCATTGCAATCTGAGTCGTCATTCTTTGCCCAAGCATTCATCCCCTCATAATGCGTTCCACTCTCTTGGCTCTGCCCTTCATTGGCAGCGCCCTTGCTGCTCGTCCTTTCGTCAATGAGCCTGCCACTGGGTAAGTGCGCAGAGTTTCGAGCGATGTTATACATCTCGCGGGGGTTGGCGTGTGGTCTCAGACTAACACGGAGTCTATTCAATTCACAGCATCGAAGAGCTTTTTGACAGCCTCCCGGCTGGCAACCTGGTCCCTCTTAACCAAATTGTCGCTCTCCACGACTTTGACTATGCGGCCCGCAAATTTCTGATCCCTGCCAACTACACCTACTACCGCAACGGCGCTGGCGGCGAGTGGAGCTATCGCAACAACCTCGAGGTCTTCCAGCGTTACAGGCTGCGCCCTCGCGTCATGCTTGACGTCACTGGCGTTGAGGCGACTCTCCCGTAAGTCGTCCTCCTGCAGCGGCGTGTTGGCACTGAGTGCAAGGACTAACCAGCCACCAGTACCACGATCCTGGGCTACAACTTCTCCGCCCCCTTCTTCATCTGCCCGGCCTCGCGCGCCGCGAATGGCAACCCGACCGAAGTCGAGCGTGGCCTCGTCGAGGGCGCCGCTGCTGGTGGCATTCTCTACAACGTGAGTGGGAATCCGACCGAGCCGCGCAGCAGATTGGGTATATTCGCAGCAGCTAATCGTCACTGGGAAATAGCAAGCTGGTTATTCTGACCTGAGTGTCGAGGAGGTTGGCGAAATTGCGGCCAAGAACAACCAGACTTTCTTCCGTCAGATCTACCTCACGGGCAACGACACCACGGACAAGACCGCGTTCAACCGGGCCAAGGCCGCTGGTGCCAAGGCTATCATCTGGACTGTTGACTCGGCTGCCGATGGAGTCCGCCACCGGGCTGCTCGCTACAGCATGGGCTCGGCCAACGGTGGCTTCAGCCTACAGACCTGGGGCGAGTACAAGAAGTACAAGACCTGGACCGATCTGCCCATCGTCCTCAAGGGCATTCAGACAGTCGAGGACGCCCAGGAGGCTGTCGCTAACGGCGCCGATGCCATTTGGCTGTCCAACCACGGCGGCCGCCAGGTTGACGGGTCGCCTTCATCCCTCGAAGTCGCCCTCGAGATCCACCAGGAGGCCCCCGAAGTCTTTAAGCAGATTGAGGTCTACGCCGACGGTGGTGTCCGGTACGGCAGCGACGTGCTCAAGCTCCTTGCTCTTGGTGTCCGCGCCGTCGGCCTCGGCCGCCCATTCATGTACGCCAACGTCTATGGCACTGAGGGTGTCAAGCACCTGATCAAGTTGCTTAAGAATGAGATCATCAACGATGCCGGCAATGCCGGTATCGCTGACCTCCACAACATCAGCCCCAGGGCGGTAAGTCAATGTCGAGATGCATATGGTCGAAAAAAACAGTAAGCATGCTGACAGTCTTCGATATAGATCAACTGGAACGTCAACCACTGGTACTCTTAGAAGTTGAACTGCCAATGTGGATCGCCGTGCTGCGATGTGGAATACGCTCAGAGCTGGGACGCTTCTTTGTACATATTTGATGCCCCGGATTTAGTGGAGTGCATCCTGTTCGCCCGAGCAACGTAATTGGGCCTGTAGAAAGAAAATTCTAGGGGATTGTCCAAGTCTTTAGCTCTGGTCGTCCATGTTGTTCGTGCGTATAAGTCGTGGAGGTGATGACTAGTGCTTGGCTCCACACATGACCGAGTTGAAAGCTCCCACTGGAGGTCGGGGCGCCTAGATGACGTAGCCGGTGTCCAGGCGTGACTCGCAATGCCAGGAGTGTTTCACTGGCCGACCAGATACAGAGCCGAGTCCCGCTGCAAAACGTCTTGCGTGGCTCCAGGTTGCTTGAAGCTCGACCGTCCCACTTGCACTGAATAGACAAAGCTGGCGCTCTACCCATGGTCTCCAGCGACGTGGATGTCAGGAGGCCGCCAATGGCTCGATACATCGTCAATGGTGAGGTGGTTGTAAGGTGCTGACAGCGCGGGCAACCACGTCACCCCCAAGAAAGCTTACCTCGAGGCCAGACGGGCTGCACGACGAGATCTGCGCAAGGGGGCTGTGCTGTCCAGCTCCTAGGTAGAGCCGATGCACCGAGGCTGTGCTTGCCCCCACTGCCACCACCTTCGGATAGGGCAGTGCCAAGGGCTCACTCTGGTGGTCAAACGCGTTGACATGTCGAGGTGCATGCTTTCCGGCGAGAGCCAATGCGTCCTCGCGGGTGGCGCTGAGGCCAGGCAACCACTGCTGTCACAGCTGACAGCTCCGCCGTAGTGCGCCTTCCACACGAGCGAGGGTGGTGTGTCTTTGCGGAGGAAATCGACGCTAAGCAGCCGAGGGGCTGCAGGGCTGAGTGCTCGAGTCTCGGCATCCAGCAGAGGACCATCGCCGCCGAGCTGAGCATTCCTCTCGATGCGTGCGTCACAGGGTGCCTGCCACAGCTCGACGGAGGCAATCACTGTCCAGGCTGGGCATACAAATAGAGTCTGCCAACGCACATCCTCCGTTTGATCAGAACTCCTCATCTTCAGCATCTACAGCACATTCGCACCCAATCCGTCCGCAATCCGCGCAGTACCTCAACACCACCAACACCCTTTTGAACACCACCATGGCCCAAATGATGCAGCCGTACCCCATGCCGCTGGGCTTCTTCAAGCAATTCCATGTCCAACAGCCCGGCGTGACGCTTGAGATCAAGGAGAAGTCATTGTCGCTCTCTGGCGACAGCTTTGACATCTGCATCGTCCACCCAGACGGCCAGCGCGTGCCCGTCTTCAAGGTCAAGGGCGAGGCCCTGTCCCTCTCGGGCCGCAAGCACATCTCCGACATGCAGGGCAACCACCTTTTCGACCTCCGTAAGGAGCACTTGACCATTCACACAACCTATTACGCCGAGGATGCCTCGGGCAACAAGTTCCTCGAGGTTGTCAGCAAGTTTTCGAGTAAGTCAGGCTGAACCTTGCACTAGACTATTTCCCCAAGGTCCACCACGCCAGCCACCCAGTGAGCAAAGCGCCACGCTGACACGCCCACTTCTGCACCTTCAGTCGGCAGCTCAAAGGCGATAGGCAAGTTCACCAATGCCTCGGGCAAAGAGGAGCGGCTGCTCATGAAGGGCGACTTTTTCTCGCGATCCGCCACCATCACCGACGAGGCCACCGGCGTGCCCGTTGCCAACATTGCCCGCAGCTTCGGCGGCAACATCGGCCGTGAGCTCTTCGCCGGAAAGCAGACATATCTCGTCAACATCGCGCCCAACGTGGACATGGCGCTCGTCGTCGCCATGTGCATTTCCCTGGACGAAAAGAACGAGAAGGGCAAATAACTGACAAACTATCTGATGTCAATGGGTTTTATGAGAATTAAATTATTTGTGTGAATTAACTAGAAGATACCCAGGATTAGGAGTTGCGGGTGGGACGGAGCTTGGGCTGCGCGCTCATGACGATACATTCGTAGTTCCACAATTGTATCGTCGAGCATTGCACTTTAATTAGTGGTTTTGGTTTGAAGAGAGCCTCACGGGGCTCAGTAGGCGGCTTGTGACACTCAGTCCATGGGATTAACCTTCATTGTACCAAAGTCTGGCCGCCGGACTTGATCCAGCCGGTTGCCTTTGGTGAAAACCCAGTCCTGTTTGCAGCATAGTGGACGTTAGTCATGTCCTCCTAAACAGGTGTATCATCACACAGCATAGATTATCTCGCGGAGGTATGAAATGTAAGCAGACCAGGAATAGGAAAGAAAAATGTCAGACTCACCCAAAACCAATCCCACCGGACGGCTCTCACGACCCAGGCCAGTGAGACAAGGTTGCCCTCCCAGATCACCCTCCTCCGCCTCCACCCGCCATTCCACAACGACGATCCCCAGCCCCAACCGCCTTCCCTGTCTCCCCCACGCTCGAGCTCCTCGCATAACATCCCTGCAACACTCTTCGCATAGTCTGCGACTTCCATAAACGTCGTCCCCGCAAACATGCCTCTCTTGGCGAGGTACTCCCCCAGGTCCGCGCGGTAATAGCTCTGGCTCGGCACCTCTGAAGAGGGTGTGTGTGCAAACAGGTCTGTTTGTATGGCACCTGTCTTGAGCGTAACCACCCTGACCCCTAGGGGCGCAAGCTCGGGGCGGATCGTCGCGCCGAAGGTGTCGAGCGCGGCCTTTGACGCGTTGTACAAGGACAGAAACGGAGGACGGAGGTCAGAGTTCATGCTGCAGACGTTTGCGATGACCGATTCGCAGTGCTTGTCATGGCTGTCGCTCATTGAGGAGGGCCGGGCAGCACCAGCGACAAGCAGCGGGATGAACGCCCGCGTGACACACATCGCTCCGACGACGTTGACGTCGAACACCCCTTTGATATCCGAGGCCGTAGTGTCCGCAAAGGGCAAGATGTGCAGCGTGCCGGCGTTGTTGATGAGCATGTCAATGTATCCGTGTTCCGGGCCGAGTTGCTCTGGAGCAACGTCGTCCCGCTCAACCTGGCCACCAGCATGTTGTCTGGACGAGGAAGCTGCCGGCGAAGAGTCACGAGTCAGCTTGCGCACTTGGGCCACGCATACAGCAATGGACGATTCGGACGTCACATCCATGACCACTGTCTCGATGCCCAGGCCCGCCAATGTGTCGAGGAGCTCTGTGTTGAGGCCTGTCGCAATGACCCGGTGCCCACGGAGCTGGAACTCTTTGGCTAGGCTCGGGCCAATGCCGCTTGGGCCGCAGCCCGTGATGAGGATCGTCTTTGATGGCATCGGACTGCCGGTCCGCGGGTCTGTTATGGGGAGTACGGGGCGCTATTCGGGATTGAGGGGACGGCCTACGGAGCTGCAAAGGGCGACCTCTGCTTGAGGCGAGCACTAGTTCCGCGCGCTGGTGGAATCGCGACGTGGCCTGGTCAAGAGTATGCTTGCGGGTAATGGGGTCCTTTGCCTCCTCAGCATCGACTAAATAGCGTTCGGATGAGGAAGACGGGGAACGACTCCGTTATTTGAGTGCGCTAGCAGCTTTCCATCCCATATGTTGGTGGCGCATAATGGCCTGGATGTAGATTAGCGTTCGCGAAATAGGCTTTGTGCAGCCAGAGCCCGAATGGGGATAGACGGGGACCCGGCGGGTTGGCACATCGACTGCTATAATTATCCCTGCCGGGGATGATTGCTTGCTGGACAACTGCCCGAGATATGGACAGGGATGCTCAGTCTGGCTGTCCTTCCAGCGTGCAATTGATGGGTGGCTGGACACCAATAGATGTATCGCCTTTGGCTCGAATCTTCACCGAGTGGCTGGCGTTCTTACTCGACACTCCTGTGGGCTGCTCGGTCCTCCGTGCATGTCCTACCAACTTTGCGGGCCGGTGACTTAGCCACCACAGTCTATCATCTTTGGCCTCTTGTACGACGTGACGATATCTCCTAGCGTGCTGGACATTGGACACTTACGCAATGGATTCAAGTTTTTACCGGAGATGCACGATCACTCACGTGATTGGAAACTGCCGTTCGACCGTTATGGGTTACCACGCGCCAGCTTTCCCCGCAGAACCGATAAGAGCGGCCTCTTCGACGAAGACGGCATGGCCCACCTCAGCAAGCGAGCCGGGTTGCCGGGGACAAGGGGCCGACTCCACGTTCTTATCAGATGCCTGCTGGCTATCCTCACCTGCAATGTGCATTACACGTGTTGGTTGATATCATGACGTCGCCAGCAGCGCCGGTTCAACTCCATCTCGGCATGCGGGGTAGTCTGTCTTTGGTTGTGCATGTCTTATCAGTGGGCTCGGCTGCTGCCGTGGACTGCTGCGGGGAGCGTCAGAATTGGCTACAAAAGTCTAATAGCCACCGAGGCGTCCCAAGTGGTAAATGTTTCCTGTACCCAGCAGGCTTGTTGCGTGATTCCAGCCGTTGACCATAATTGCCAACCCGTTGCGGAAGCGTGCCCGAGCAGCTGAGAAAGCTATCCTTCGGCGACGATCATAACCCGCATTGTCAACACGACGACCCACCTGCCACATATACGACCATCTCAATACTCGAATATGGGTAAGACGGCAATCCGAACAGTGGGCAAAGTCAGCCTCGACAAGCCAGCTTCAGAGCAGGCAAATCTCCACGTGAGCATCGAGTTGCCTCCAGTTGATATTCGCCTGCTCGCAATCGTCAAAGCTGACCCAAAACAACCGTCCGTGGTCAGAATCGATGGCACCCTGATAGTACGTCTCCTTGTGATGACTCGATGGTTTCTGAGGAAGCATATTGGACCTTCGCTGTAGCTCTCCTGTAATATTCTAATAGTCTTTCCTAGTCCCCTTTGCTGGCACCATAAAAAACGGCGAAACAGCCAAAATCGAATGTGTTGACTGGTAAGCGTTATCCAAGTTGATTCTTCAACCCATCACCGTGTTTGTACCTGACCATTCCGTCCGAGAAACAGGACTGGCGGGCAAATCGGCAACAATGACAGCGCCGACGATATGCGCAATGTCGACCTGACGAAGATCCACTATCTCACAGGTCCATTCGAGGTTGAGACTGCTGAGCCTGGCGATGTCCTGCTCGTCGAGATTATGGATGTACAGCCTTTTGAGGATCACCCGTGGGGGTTCACGGGGGTCTTTGACAGGTCCAATGGAGGAGGTTTTCTGGATGAGATCTATCCATCTGCGTAAGCCCAAACCTCTTGTTGGGAGCTGCTTGTCAACTTCGCGTACTTCTGGGAAGCTCAAATATCCCGCTGACCCATAAACTGCACGCGGAATCAGAGCGAAAGCGATCTGGGATTTCGAAGGCATTTATTGCACGAGCCGACATATCCCACACGTCAAGTTTGCAGGACTTATCCATCCAGGAATCCTTGGTTGTGCCCCATCGCAAGAGGTACTGGAGACCTGGAACACGCGCGAGGCCGAGCTCATTGCCGCCAACAAGCTCGCAGACCGGCACGTTGCAATGCCGCCGGAGCCGCAGAATGTCCATGCCGGCAAGGCCAACGAGAGCGAGGAGTTCAGGAAGAAGGTTGGGCGGGAAGGAGCAAGGACTGTTCCGGGGAGACCGGAACATGGGGGTAATTGCGAGTATGTTTCACTCCGTCTCCTTAACTCTTCTTCTTCATGTTTGACATGATTTGTGTTCCACGGAACAGAAAGACTGCTGACTGCTGATATCTCCAATAGCATCAAAAACCTGAGTAGAGGCAGCAAAGGCTACCTTCCTGTCCACGTTCCTGGTGCCAAGTTCAGTGTTGGGGATTTGCACTTCTCACGTGGGTTCTCCTTTTCCTTGCTTCACCGTCTGCGATCTCTGGACTTCATGGTCGAAAGTGTGGCCAGCTCTTGAGGTTCTTCAGCCCCATATCTTAGGCCCCTGGCAAGACGATCAGTTGAAAGCCAGTCTTTTCTCGGAGTTTAAGACATTCCTGCTGACTCATTATCTCGAATAAAATAGAGGGCGACGGGGAGATTTCCTTTTGCGGCGCCATTGAGATGGCCGGTGTCATCACAATCAACTTCAAGGTCATCAAGAACGGCATGCGCGCCTTGAACATGAAATCGCCAATTTACGTTCCTGGTCCGGTCGAGCCACAGTTCGGCCCGGGCCGACACATCTACTTTGAAGGCTTCTCTGTCGACGAACATGGGAGGCAGCATTATATGGACGTCACCGTGGCTTACCGGCAAACCATTCTTCGTAAGCCTGCTTTCCTATCACTTCCCTCTCACTTCATATATCATACGCGGAAGCCAGCCAGACTCGCCATGTCTTCGCTTTGATCAACGTGGCAACTCCCAAGAGACGTTACAATGCCTTTGTGCCCAGTGTTCCTCTGTCCTACCTGTTTATCAACAACAAGACCTCTCTCTTGTTCGCGTCACGCAGCAACATCAGCCAGCCATTCTCGTCCGCGCCAAGCATGATTAGCTAACAAATAAACGCAGGTTGTATCGAATACCTTACTCAATTCGGCTACTCTCCTTACCAGATATACCTACTGCTCTCCTGCGCTCCTGTACAGGGTCATGTTGCAGGCATTGTCGACATTCCCAATGCCTGCACGACACTGGGGCTTCCAGTAGACATCTTTGACTTCGACATCACTCCAGAGGGCATCCTCGCTGGCAAAGGAGCGAAGATGGACATGGGCTCGTGCGCATTTGAAACCGGCATTACGATGGGAGAGGTCATCGAGCCTGGAAGCAGGGCTAGAGGCAGCAAAGCGGGCGATATCAGCTTTGGAGGTGGGCTGACATACAAGGAACTATCCAGCGGCGAGGGCGAGGTCAGGGGAGGGGGCTCGGGCGGTGATGGTGGAAGGAAAGAGGTTCAGGAGAAGCACAAGGGAACCGCAGTGGCGAACATCATGGGTGGTGCTTGACAGGGGAATGCATGTTCGACAACCCATTTGCTCCCGTTGGAGGTTGGGGGTAATGGTGCTTGGTGATACACGTGGTTTCTGGTCCAATGTATAGGGTATCTGCTCTCTATATACTGTTCACATCAATGCCGTCCCATGGCCACGAGCTTAATCCCTGCTCCATGAAATGCGCTTCTGTCATTGCCAATCAGCGCTGCGCTGCCGGTAGCGAAAAGAAAAACCCCATTCGAGTAATTCCCGCTGCTCACAAAAATTGAGCGCAAGGACCTTGGAGCTTCTCAGTAGCACATACTTTTCAATCAACTCATATCCCATGATCGGCGATCTCCGAGATATCTGTGTGCCCCGTGCGGCTTGAGTGCTGCACAAGCTGCTTCTCGCCCTGGCCTACCCAGCCGCACTCATTACAAGTGACCACAAACTCACTCGTGTCTGTAAAGTAATGGTGTTCTTCTCTCAATATCCGGCACAGCTCTTGCGCCTTAATCAGATATCCATCGCTACCCTCGATATCCCAACGTACCACCTCGAAGTCAACGTCCGCGGAGCCAGGCACTAGGCTCTCGGCTATCCTGTCATAGTGGATGTTGCTGTATACAAGAATGCATCGTTGCTGGTAGCCCATTCCCTCGCCGTACCGGTATATGTTGTTCGTTTTGACGTCGACGCTGCAGATCTCGAGCTCAAAGACCTCCGAGATTATGCCCAGCTCGATCGCGCCGCCCCAGGTGTCTGGCCTGAGCATGCGCGCGCAGTATGCCGACGGCTCCGCCTCGAGAACTACAGCCGTGTATTTGGATGGGTTGGACTGGATGTGCTCGACTACGATGCGGCGCAGGAGCTCCGGCGTGTATGTCTTGGGGGAGGAGGGTGGAAGTCCGCGCAAGGCACCACCGACAGCGGTAAAGAGACAGCTATTGTCATCGGGCATGACCCGGAGCACTGCCATTGTGGGTAAGGTGGTAATTCAGCATTTGCGTGCGAGCGGAAGTAGAGTAGAGGATTTTGGACGCTGCTGTACCACGTACCTAGTTCTGACCCATTCTCTGGTATCTTGACACTCACGCCTTGGTCCTCCACCCCCCCGCCTCCCTTCTTTGCTTCGCCTGGTGCTGAGGCTGATGGTGTACTTGTCCCTGCCGGATTTGGTGTTTGTACCGAAGCAGAAGGAACCGGCGCCGATGCGCCCTCGGCCGGGACGACGGTCAAACTCTCCCTCTGCAAACCTAGGCTCAGACAAGACTCGCCACTCTGCTCCGCGGTCAGCGCCTTGGGAGGCCAGCCGTACTTGACTGTGACGTCAACGTAACCTGTAGCAGCTCGAATGGCCGTGAGAAGGTCCCCCACCGTCGCGGCATCGTCGGAGATGTCCAGGGTCCCGCCGCCACTGGGAGCTTTATAGCGTAGTCTCATGTCTCGCGTGGATGTGTGTTGCTCTTTGGGAGGGAGAGAGTTGCTGCGGCAGCCGTGAGGCGTGGATGCCTGCACACGGCGGGGAAGCTATGACGGAGTGCTTGCGTGGGGTTCGGCGGGCGTAGCACGCTGTGGGGCGAAGCTGGGATCGTGTGTGTGCGGCAGCCCAGCTCAGTCGGAGATGTGGGAGCGGGATGGAGGGAAACCCTGTCGCATCGAGCCCAAGGGAACAGGCCAGAGAATCTCGCGCTGTAGAGACGAGACTGGGCCTTGCAGGGCTGTCGAACCAGATGGCAGGCCGAAGCTCACTTGGTATGAACTGGCGGGGAGGGGATAACAAATAACCACAGACAACTCGGCAAGTCTGTATGACCAAGTAAGATGTGCGAGCCAAACTTGAACAACAAGATGCGCGTACCGAACAGGTGGCGTCCTAGGGAACCTTCCAGAACAACCTCCGCAACCCCATCCAACTTAATCACCACCCACGGCCATTGATACCAATCCGATAGCTCGACATGTGGGATCTGGAGGCAAAGATTAATGAGAGTGATGTGCCAGAGTCTGAACACGGGTAAAGAGTATTTCATCTGGCGAGGCAAACAAGTTGGCGCAACTGAATTATACACATGCTCCAGATATATGAGGGATGCTTCATCTACTACCCAAAAGTGACCATTTATCCCCAAAGTGACGATCGAAATGCGCCTCGGAACAATCTGCCCATTACAAAAAACTACCCGCGTCGTGACTGCCAATTTCTATACGCCTCAGATTTCACCAGCATACCCACGTAGAACACGCTGGACTAGCCGAACTTCTTCTCAAATTTCTTAAGCATCCCCGTCACGCCCTTTTCAAGCCTCTCCGCATTCTGACCTAGACGACTAGGCTTCTCTCCGGTCGCCACGCCCTCCCCAGGGGCAGGCTGGGGCTTAAGTGTTCCGCTGTCGATTTTGTGGTTGACATATTCCTGCTCTGTTGGGCGGTACACTTGCTGGTGCACGCTCCAGTCGCCGCCTGTGGGACCATATCGATGTCCTGATTGTTGCTGTTGCTGCTGGAGAGCCTGCGGTTGTTGCTGTTGGACTTGGCCATAGTTGTACTGGGCGAAGCCGCCAGGTGGGCTCTGCAGGCCGGGACTCTGAAGTGGTTGGCCTGCTGGTGGAGGCGGGGTCGGCTGCTGCTGGGCGTGTAGTTGTTGGTGTTGCGGAAAGCCGTTGGCGTATGGGCTTTGCAGACCTGGAGACGCCAGGCCCGACCCTACGCCGGGAGCGGCGACAGGCATGGTTGCAGATCGCTGAAGCTGGCCGAACTGCGGTGGTGCAAAGCCAGGGCTGGCCATGCCGGGCCCGGGGTGTTGAGCCAAGGGGGCCGGCGGCGGGGCCGCTGGTGGTCCTGGCAGGCCAATCTGGCCTGGCGGCGCGGAGAAGGTCTGCGCGGCATAGCTTCCTGGCATGCCAGCATAGTGGGTAGGAGCATGGTCGCGTGCGACCGCAGCAGCTAAGGGATCATGGCCATCATCCTCCGGGGGAGGTGTCTTTTCGCGGTGGGTAATCTGTTCCGGCGCGGCTGGAGCCGCCGGGTTGTAAGCCATCGGCACAAACGCCGGAACAGCTTGCTGCTGCTGTGCTGATCCGGCCGTATCGGGCGTGGCACTGGCAACGGGACCGGCGCTGCCGCCAGCGTACTGAGGATCGGAGATGGCCATGTTCTCGAGTTTTTGGACAAGAGAGCCGCCTGCCCCAGCTGCTGGAGCCTGGATGTAGGGAGAATGGGCGGGTGGCCCGGGCTCGTCGGCAACCTCGACCTGGGCGGGCGGAAGCAGTCGCCGAACGCCATTGACAAACTGAAGGGCATCGCTATGGGTCCAAAAGTAGATGTCGAGCGAGTGTAGCCGGTAGTGGTATTTTGCCTGGTTGTTGGGGTCGAATGTCGGGAGGTGCCACTGGGTTTGGTCGATTGGCGCGCCCGGCACTCCGTCTACGGTGATTGAGACCACACATTGCTGTTTGTATGAATAGCGCACTCTGGTATGATCGAGAACTGAAGTCGCAAACCCAAGAACCCATCAGCAAGCCATACTCGAAGCGGCAAATTTGCGGGGGGCCGTCACAAGACTCACATCCCTCGAACGCGTCCTGGTCATCTGTGCCAGGACAGTTTGCTATTTCGACTCGAGATGTCCTGGTGTTTGCATTTTCAAACAAGTAGACGTATGAGCCCTTGTCGAAGCGATGATGGCGGGGCCGAGCTGTCTCTGGACTGTAGAAGTAGTGCACATCTCCAAAGCTATTGGGAAAGGACTTTCATCAGCGAACGATTCAGGGCAGCCAGCTCATTGCCCAGGTACAGGTAGGTCTTACAGGGTGGCGACGTTCTCTTCGCCTGGCCGAACAGCCATCATGAGTGGTGTTGTACCCAACTAGTCAGTTCCTCGGCACTCTCAATATACCCGCACGAAGTTGTCGCCGCGATGCGCTGGAATGAGCTCGAACAGATGTGTGAATTGGCACCGACAGAGTGGGACGAAGGGGGCAGAACAAAAGCAAGTCAGAAAGAACAGAGCATTCGGCGAAATGTGACAGCATTTAGCTGGCCAGCAGCCGCCTGCCTCCATCCCGGGCCCTGCATGGCCTTGCAGCTGAGCTCCTCACGCTGACCGTTGGGAGCTACGAATTTCCAGGAGGGGTCGAGGGGTTCGCCCCGGCAGCTTGGCACAGCTCCAATTGGTGATGTACGGGCGCTTAACGGACCACTCCTGTCGGCAGCCGGACCTGGTGGGGTTCCGTCTTTAGCCAGCACGGCCACCAATCAGCGGTCTCATCGCGGCCTCACCCAATAAGATCATATTTGGGGTTGCCCCAATGCACCTTCTGCGAATATGCATAATTCGCGGCTCACAAAAGTCGTGCGCCAAGCGGGGCATTATCGAGCTGCGCGCTTGGCGACCAACTCTCGTCCTGGACAACTTTTTGATGTGACCTCGAATCTGGACTACGATTAGACTAACGACAACTGACCACGACAATTACCGCGACCCCCACCCCACGGCCCGTTGGCTGCGATCCGTTGCAGAATACCTAATACAGTCCGGAACGAAGCTCAAATCCCAGTTTGAGCCCCTGCCGACATTCTCATTTAGCCGCTCGCACTCGGCGAGGCTCGGTGCTTGATCGCCCACTGGTCTTCGTCGACGCGGAGGACTTGGAGACAGTCACAACTACGCACCACACACACCTTTATACAGTTCGGGAACCGCGATCATGGGTGTCCTCAACGGAGTACATATGTACTCGCATTTGCAAAACGCCTGCCGGGCACGCCTCGGCTTGACCTCAGTCCCCTCCAACAAGTACAACCTCAAGATCGCCCTGTGCCTACACAAGCTCGGCTTCCTCTCCTTCGTCGCCCGGGGAGGAATCCATCCGCCTGATCCGGCCCGGCTATCCTCACACGTGCCTGAACCCCTGACGACAGCCAATGTTGCGCAGCAGCGCCTCTGGCTCGGGCTAAAGTACCTCAATAACGAGCCCGTCATGAAGACATTGAAACCCATCTCCACGCCCAAGCGCATTGTGTCGGCAGATCTTGCGACCCTTGAGCGCGTCAGTCGTGGCCAGGACACCCCGTATCAGCGCGGGTTGAACCTCGGCGAGTGTTTGATTGTCGGCACGGATCGAGGCATCATGGATAGTCGGGAGGCAGCCGAGCGCAAGATTGGCGGCACCCTGCTGTTTCGCGTTAGTCCTTAAGAGGGACTTGGCCGCAACTTGGCATTTGTCTAGTGTGGACGCTTTTGTCATTTGTGCTTATAACCTTATACCAATGTACCTTCCAGCGCAGGCTTGTCAGGTTGCGTGTGGGTGGGAGGACAGTAGCGGCCTGTAGACCAAACAAGGAACAAGGCTGCAAGCAACCAGCAAGTGGGTGAAGCACGGAGGAAGATTTGAAGGGAGGACGCCGACCCGAGCACATATCTACGCCCAATAGGATGCTTCGTTAGCCGACTTCTCAAGGCGCCGCAACCGTGGAAGCACAACGGCCAGGAAACTTTGATTTGAGCAAGGCTCTGTCAAACAAGGAGCCGCGATACTGGAGACATCTTTGATGCCCTGCTCTGGTCGTGGGACACGTCCACAAGATTCCGGGATTTAGGACTTGCCAACACGAGGCAGTACTCGGATGGCTCCCCTCATATGTACACCCTATGTATTCAATCTGTAAATATGTCAAGATATGGATTTAAAAAGTATTTAATAATAATGTGACCTGGATCCTTTTCCACTGCTGATCGAATGCAAAAACGCTCAAACTCTCCAAGACAACGCCGCGCCGACTTATGTGACCAACACGAGTCGCAGGAGCGACTCTATGCACTCAAGGTGAATCGAAAATGTACAGGTGTGTTGAAGATAACAGGTGCAATGCAAAATACAACGGCATGCTTTCGGATCACGGGCTCGGACCCGGATACCCCTTTGACGAGCGCGCGCCATAGTCCCAATCGCATTATACTGCCACCTCTGCTGGCGTCTCTTCCTTAGCTTCCTCGCTTGGCTCAGCGGTGACCTCAGTCTCGTCCGGGCTGATGATCGCAGCAGCCTCATCCTTTACCAAGTGCGTGTCAGTTGTCGTAGCCACACTCTCTTCAGCGACAACGTGAACCACGTCCTCGATGTCTTCGACTCTGAGTGGCTCCTCGGTGACCGCAGCAGTAGGTTCCATTGGAAGAACCTCTTCGGTCTTCTCGGAGTCAACAAACACCTCTGGGAGCTCCTCTGGGGCTTGCTCGACAACCCCATGCTCGACCGCAACTTCGCTGATGTTACTGCTTTCGTTATGTATAGTGAGGTCATCCATCTTGCTCCCCAGACCGGATGCTGCTGTTTCGGTCAAAGCAGCAGGCTCGATAGGGCCGACAGGGGCGGGCTTGCTCTCCAGAGGTTGAGTTGTCTCCTTCGTGGTACCGACCAATGCAGTTTTGGTCACAGGAGAAATATCCTTTGGTTTTGCCGAAGTTCCGTCTCGGGTCTTTGCGCTGCCTGAAGCTTGAATCTTCGCAGCAGCCTTCTTCGCACTTGCCGTTGCATCAACGCCAACGATGTGCTTGGTTGGTGCTTTCGAGGCGGCCGGTTTACGAGGCGGTGTCACTGGGGCCTTATCCGTGGTCTTGCTGGCACTGCTCTGGGTAGGGCGCATCATCCGGGCGAGGAAGCTTTCGTCCACATGGTAGTCCTTTTTGGGTGCAACCTGGTCCTTGGGGTTCGGCTTTGGTGGCGGACCGATACTGCCAATGCTTTGACGACCACCATTGATTGAAGAACTCTGGCGTCGCAGAGTCCGAGTGCCATCGCTAGCACCTGCCGTGCTGATACGGCTGGCTGGTCGTTGCGACGACGTTGATGGAGCCAGAGAGCGTGAGCGCTTGGCAGGCTGTTTCGCTGGGACTGCACCTGTCGTGTTGTTGGCTCTCGACGACGAAGAGGCAGTCTGCGAGGTCAGTCCAGCAGGCAATTTGACCGGACGAGTAGGCGATTTGACCTTTGGTTTGACAAAGCCATTGCCACTTTGAGGAAGCTCGAGCGTAGCAGGCTTCTTAGTACTGGCAGTGTTGGGAGCAGCTGTGGAGGAAGCTGCAGCCTTCCTGTGCGAATCTCTTAGGTTGACCGCCGAAGTCTTCTTTGCGGGCGCAGGCGCGGGGACCTTCAGACTCTCCTTCGCTGGGCTTTTGGGAGCCTTGGGAGGGAGCGGTGATTTGGGCGCTTTCGAGGGTAATGGTGACTTAGGAGCTTTGGTGGCTGACTTTGCTGTCAATATGGAAGCGGGTTTGGTCTTTGTCGACGCATTCGTGCTTGCACCAGCCACTTCTTTGGTTGACGTTGTTGTGGCGGCTGCGCGTGTCAAACTATCGCCAATGCCATTGGAAACCGTGCTGTTGACGGCCCTCGTGGCAATCGTCTCAGTCGGAAGACCCGGTTGCAGCTTGGTCTTGGTCTCCTCCTCGTCGGTGATCTTGTCCGGATTCGCGTTCGGCATCACCTCAGGTGTGCTGGTCCCAGAAGCTTTCAGTGGCGACATCCTGCCCAGCGACGTCAAGGGTTTCTGGGGCGACTCTGGTCTGGATTGGGGCACCGATATTGGGTTGGACGTGATCTTCCGGAAGGCCGGGGTGGACTCGGTAAAAGGATCTGAAGTGGGATCGGATCGTGGTTGCGGTGTAGCGGTCCCCGTCTCGTTACTGGTTCGTCTACTGGAGCTTGTCATGGAATCTGTGCTTATCCCGCGCGTAAGACCTATCCTGCCGTCCTTCTCAACTGCAACAAATTGAGTACGAATCTTGGAGAGGGGCCGTGGCGAGTCGGACAGAGGAGGGGTGCCTAGAGTGCAGAAAAAGATATGGTCAGCTCTGGAAAGGGAGGGCAAAAATGTTCACGGAAGTGTCGCCAGGACAGGAGAGGGCAGTTTGGGGTAGCTGTAGCTGGCTCCAAGCTATCTTTGGGAGGAAATGGCTAGTCCACAGTCGAACTAGAATTGGCCTGGGCTCAGGTGCGGCCGAGACTTCGACGCTGTGCATTCCAGTTGCTGGGAGCACGTTGAGACTTTCTTTTCCCCCTTCTCCCAGACAAGACCCATGCACCTGCGCGGATACGACTGGATGACGTGGTGAGCCACGGGCTGCAGACTCACCGGAAAGAGCATTTGGGGATCTGCCTCTGGTCAGATCGGGCGGGCTCGTGTCGCCTCGCTGCTCAAACATGGCAGCGAGACCTTTTACGCCTGGCATCTCGAGGATCGGATTACGGCCAGTGGGCCGTCACTCAGCTCCTCAGCTGGTCGTTGGAATCGGGAAGGAGCGCGACAGAGAGTGGCGCGTGGAGAGGCAGGCGCTCGTCGTAGCCCGGTGCCAGAGTCAGTCGGGACCGTCTGCTGTCTTGGAACGATGCCTCCTCGTCTAAACCTCGCGTGTCTGTCTCGGTGCTTGGCCTCAGCAGCCGAGGCCTGCAGGAGAGCTTGGTAGCCGTGTCGCAATGCCGCAGCTGTGGTGGCACTGGTCGTGCAGGGTGGTTGTTTGGAGGGGAGCAGTCAAATGGGTATAGCAGCAGCAGCAACGAAAATGGCGAGGCGGAGTGTATGCTGGAGGCAGCGCAGGAGAAGTGCTCGGGAGAGTGGCCGAGCCGTCCAAAGGAGCAGCAATCAAATTAATGAAGAAGCCGTCTTTGTGCCTGGCGGTAAATCTGGCAGCGCGATGGCGTGGCCTGACTGGCGCTGGTGCTCCAGTGAGCTCGACCAGATGGGGAGACCCCTTAATTATTCCCCATGTGGGCGGGCCCAGGGGCTCGAGCAGCAACGCCGCTCCATGACAGACAGCAATGAGCCAAGTGACCCCGTATCCGCTCTCCAGAGGATGAACTGACAAGCCACTCCTCGTCGCGGCTAGGCCCGCTCCTCCCGTCGACTTCGACGGCTGTTTACATTAAATTGTCGCCCGATCCCGTCTCGATCTCTGGACATTCGCGCTAGGCCGACCTCAGAGTCGTGTATATGATGCAAGGCAGGCACGGGACGTGCCCCTCTGTATGCATACAACAGGTCCACGACTTGCTGAAACCAAGCATGACGGCGCAGAGCCAGGATGCGCGAAGCAATAGAAGCATGCCAGACCAGGGGTGCCTGGCTCGAAACCGTCATGCACCAGTGAAACGCTTTGGGTCCAACGGCTTGCATTCGTCCAGCTTATGTCAGCCATCAGAGTTGTGCATGTGGAGTTGTGTCAGGAAACACGCCAATGACTACTGCATGGTTGGAACAATTAATTACCACTGTCTGGCAAGGTACATTTCCCGCCTTTTGTGGTCTGGTATCGAAGCGAGGCCGTGGCAAAAGTGATAGTCCAGGCCTCGTATTGAATGGGCCGCAAGTCAATGCGCTCGACGTGACGGCGAGGCCACAGATTGCTCGTGTGGTGCCATCATGGAAGTTGTGCTGTGCTCTCCTCGGGGGGCCCCACGCTGCTCTTGCTCGGCTATGGCTCCGATATCGCCGCTAGAAATTTAACACTGCTTCCCGACAAGGACTTGCCTCGATATAGCTGCTGGCAACACCGACCACCCGAATACCAACTGAGTCTGTTCCTGCGATCAATTGAATTTCCGCCATGGCTTCTCGGGTTCTGCGCATAGGCCTCATCCCCGGCGACGGCATCGGCAAGGAGGTCATTCCCGCAGGCCGCCGAATCCTTGAGGCCCTCCCCGCCTCCCTCGGCCTCAAGTTCGAGTTCACTGACCTCCATGCCGGCTTCGAAACTTTCGAGAAGACGGGAGCCGCCCTCCCCGACAAGACAGTCGAAATCCTCAAGACTGAGTGTGACGGCGCTCTCTTTGGTGCCGTCTCCTCGCCCAGCACCGCCGTCAAGGGATACAGCTCCCCCATTGTAGCTCTCCGCAAGAAGCTCGACCTTTACGCAAATGTCCGCCCCGTCAAGACCGTCATGACCGCCAAGAACCCTATTGATATGGTCATTGTTCGCGAGAACACTGAGGACCTCTACGTCAAAGAGGAAACCACCCGCGATGGCCCCGAAGGCAAGGTCGCGGAGGCAATCAAGCGTATCTCTGAGAAGGCCTCCTTCCGGATCGCCACCATGGCCGGCGAGATCGCTCTGCGCCGTCAGAAGATTCGCGATTCAGGCGCCGCCAGCATCCATAAGAGCCCACTTGTCACCATCACCCACAAGTCCAATGTCCTCTCTCAGACCGATGGTCTCTTTCGCTCAACCTCCCGCGCTGCGCTCGCCGCTTCGCAATTTGCTGGCAAGGTCGATGTGGAGGAGCAAATCGTCGACTCCATGGTCTACAAACTCTTCCGCCAGCCCGAGGCTTACGACGTCATTGTCGCCCCCAACTTGTATGGCGACATTCTCTCAGATGGCGCTGCCGCTCTTGTAGGCTCTCTTGGCCTTGTACCATCGGCCAACGTCGGCGAGGGCTTTGCGATTGGTGAGCCCTGCCACGGCTCCGCGCCTGACATCATGGGTCAAGGCATCGCCAACCCCATCGCCACCCTGCGCAGCACTGCGCTTATGCTCGAGTTTCTGAATGAGGAGGAGGCTGCTGCCAAGATCTATGCCGCCGTCGACGCCAACCTTGAAGAGGGCAAGCTACTGAGTCCCGACCTGGGCGGGTCGGCAAAGACCGAGGAGGTCGTTGCAGATATCCTACGCAGACTATAAGGGGATGATAAGGAACGTACTGGGATGCTAGACGTGCAATGCGATCTTGAGATCTGAAAATCACAGAATAGACAAACTCGTAGGCCATCTGTATTGTCATCCATGTCATGAACGACACATGCGCTTGCTTCGAAGTGCTGCGTGCTTACCATGGTGACTCCCGCAAGTTCAGACCACGCTCCCACGAGCCACACGCTCTTCTCACTCGGTATAAAGTGAACTTATTCACCTGTCGACTTGAACGGTGGGGAGTGTTGGGGAAGTCATGACATTTTGGTTGTCAGGGTCATCCATACCCTGGGCTTGGTATTGTCCCAGAATGGCACCATGCCAGCCACAACAGCGCTCAATCTTTGGCTGCACGATACTGTCAACATAGTGAGCTGCTTAGGAACATCGTCCGGGAACGTACCAAGGAGGCACAGGTGCCTTAAGCCGACCACGGCATTGGAGATTATACCATTGCAGAGGAACTTTTTGGCCCCGGTATAGCTGGGTCATGTAAACCTTGAGATTTCCACTGAAGTTCTGCGAAATTGTACAAGGCTCGGTCAAAGCAGCAGACTGATGTTGAACAACAAAGTATCATCGGCCAGCAGGTGCCCTTTCTGTCCAACAGGGATAGATAGTCCCATTCGCGGCGTATATTAGGTCACAAATGACAAATATCAGCATTGAGCGCTAACTTGCCATGGGCGATCGCACTAACTTGCACCAATGTGGGGGGCAAAGGACTCTGTCAAAACAGTGAGTAACTGGCCACTCACTGGACTATGATTGCAGTCTTCGTGCTGACAATCATCAGCATTGCCCTTGACACGGAGCAAGATGTGATGCGAGTGACGCGAGTGATGCTATCCAGTTTCTTTAATATGCAACTACAGCTTTGTCCGTATTGATCGCGCCTAATTCCAGTTCGCAGATGTCGAGGTACAAGGCGTGACTGAAATGATGGCGGGCTCAGAGAAATGCCAAACCTGAAGATGGCAACAGTTAAGATCCCGTGCATACCCCAGGTAGCTTTCGCGCGACGCAAGCAAGATGTGCAACGTGGGTGGTCTCTGGTTGCAACACGAACAGGATTCAGGCAAACCGCTCAGCGTATCAGAAGGGGCGCGGACAAGGTGCAACTGGCAAAAGGCACCGAAGGGCAACATCAGTCTCTCTCGCCTTCCGGCCGGGGAATGTCACTGCGCAGGCCCGACGCGGCGAGGATATTTGACGCCAGGGCGGTGCTGGCGATAGAAAAGATGGATGGTGGGGACAGCCAGCATCGACAGATCGTCATGCCCTTCATTCCATCAGGACGCCACGCGACCATTACCCGGCGCGTAGAGACAGCGCCGACGCTGGAATTGCCTGCGCACAGTTATCTCTCACGGGTTCAGACAAGGGGGAGCGCGCCACTATGCTGGATGGCTGGGGGGTTGCAATATTTTTAGAAACTCAAAGGGACGATGGACGGTGGTGGGTCCGAGAAGCAGATCGTGTTGGTTGCACGCGCCTCAAGGGCAAGCATCAGTTGTATGTCTCGCCGGAGGGCCAGTAGCGGACGTTGGACCAGCACGGTACACTTTGCACACTACCGCCACGAAAAGCATGTACTGTCGACTGTGGGACAACATGTATGCGGATTAGCTTAGCCAAGGGGGGACAAGCTGCTACGAGGGACACAGCGCCGAGACAGATTGTCGCCGAGCTGGTGGTGGCAGTGATGCTTGGCCCATCCGCAGACCTTTGGCCGGGGCGGACAAGTTGGGTCGTGTCTCTGGTGGCGCTGTATGTGCACTGTCTATGCTGCAGTTCTCTGGGAGGAGACTAAAAGACGTGAGGCTGGGTTGGCGAGCGGTGGAAGTCCAGTACAGGTAACTCGCAGGTGTGCATCAATATCGCAAGCCATTGAAGCCAGAAACGCGGCGCCTCAGGGAAGAGGCCCACTCCTCGGGGCTGTGGCGGCCAACCAGTAGGCTAAACACGCGGAGGATGGCAGTGGACGCTAATTAGCGTATGCGAAGTCGTCTTGGAGTGCGGTCGCCACTACCGAGATGGTGGGGTCGTGCCTGGTCCGGGACTACGGGTTGCTCGTTTCACGGATGGGGTCACGATGAGCTCGCCGGGCTCGACAGCCAGGCATTGACCGGGCCTACACTTCTATGAAAGCATATGGCATCAAGACCTAGCAGGCCTTGCTTGCAGGGCACATGTTCGAGGTCGGGAGGGAGGCATGTGCCTGGCCAATCCGTCACGAACTCGAAATGGAGGAAATGGAGGGAGCTAGCTGACCATTGATTGAGTGCGCAGGGCAGGGTCCAACTCCAGCCCCGGTCCCCGGTCAGCACGAATGGAGCAGCCCGCGCCAGCCTCTTCGTGCTTACTCCGTGCCCGCCCACTGTCCTTCATCTGTCGTCGCTTGTCTGCTCGCACGGCTCATCAGCCTGCGCCGCTTCTCAGCCTCGACACCGCCGACTCTAGATGTCGAGACCTCTTACACTCCCATCCGACCTCGCCATCGCCTGCTCTCTTGCCATTCCCGTTGCTTGGGCCTAGTCCTCGTCGTTTCTTGTCTTCTTCTGAGGCCAGGCGGCCTCGGCTTTTTGCGATTTCTGGGCCCCTCCAGTTCGGCGCCAGTCCAGCGCCAGATAATCGCAGGACGCCGAATACACCTGCTCAAGGAGCATTGGCCTCTATCCCCAGTCATTCGTTTCATCATATTCACTTTGGATCCCAACCATGCTGCTACCAGTGTCCGCGCCAGGCCGGCGGGCGCATGCCTGCGCCGGCACCTGCCTGGTTTTGAGACATCTTACAGCTCGTCAGTCCGGGTCCTCATCAGGTCAGCCGGGAACTGTAGTGATCGTAAGTACAATATCTTCCGCTGCAGCTCGGTCGCCGTGTGTTCATGCTAATTATCTGGTGCAGATAATCATTGTTGGTGTTGTCACCTTGGTTGTCGCCTTGATTGTGTTCTTTGTCGTTCGGAGAGACCGACGCTCGTCCAAGCAGGGATCCTACCACAGGACTGCGGGAGAAGAGGGCCATCTGGCTCCCGGGGGTTCTGCATCGAACACACGAGGACAGCAAGGCAGACCTGGCGACGCGACTACCCCGACGGTTGACCGCACGACCTCGATTAGATCTATCATGACCCTTCCCGCATACAGGACAAGACCTAGCGACGGCGAGCGCATTCTAGGCCGCGAAGGCGAACGAGATGGGGTCGACATCATTGTGGAACACAGTACGGCAGCGGAGGAGGAGGCATTGCGCGAGGAGGAGATGGAAACATTGTACCAGATCCGCTTGACTGGGAGACGTGAACGCGAAGAGCGCGCAGCACGAAGAGAAGAGCGAGCCAGAGCACGCGCTGCTGGCGACTCGGTCGCCTTGGCCGAGATTCGGTCGAGGCATGCAGCGGAGCGGGAGGCAAGCGCATTGCCCGAACTACGGCAGGTACATGGACAGATCAAGGAGCGCCGGCAGCGCGCAGTGTCAAGTGTCAGTTATCATGATCTGGGTGTCGCACGTGCGGATGGGTCTCGCCTCCGGGCCAACAGCTCTGAAAGCGAACGGATCGGCCTGCTTTCTGACGCTGCGAGTATCGGCGGGCGCTCCACAGCACCACAGCATGCGCGTCAGCGAAGCGCAAGCTCTGTCATCAGTTTCGACGCTGCAACAGATATGCCATCTCCCGGCATAGCCCCTTCGGGTGCCACAACACCCAGATTGAGATCTGGGTCCAGTGCAGACGTAGGCGAGATGGACCTCGGGAATACTGGTATGCTTGGATTGGCGCCACCCGGCTACGATGAAGTTCAACTGAGCGACGTCGAGTCTCGGTCTCCCACACCGACATATCCGGAGCCGCCCCCGGACTATCCAGGTAATGACCATGGCGGCAACCAATGGCGTGGTGCCGACAATAATGCTGCGACGGAAGGAGACTCTGCAGCATCTTCACGGCGGTCATCGCGCGGCGTTGGAGGAGTTCCACAACTTCCGAGCCTGAGGATAGGCCGGCTGCCCGAGATCGTCATTGAGCCATCGACTGCTGCTCCCACGAGTGCGCGTACATAGCCTGGCGGTATCTTGCTCGGCAAACACTTGAGCCCGCGAGCACCGGCTACCATTTATCTTTCCGCTGCGCCTGGTATCGCGCGGATGTCTTTGGATTCTGCTTTGATATATCGCAGGGGTTTCGGGAGATGCATGAATGTCTTATGGAAAGCATGGAGTTTGGCGTCGTTTGAGTCGTTCGAGTCTCATTTTTAATGAAATTTGGTGTTCGTCTTGGCAAAGCGGTATCTCAAGGCGTCTGGATGCTGGTTCCGATTGAGCACGACAAGCTTGGTGCAAAACGTAATGGGCCGCCTAATATGGTGGCTTTGTCTAATATCGCCATTTGTGTGGCTGCATCAAGCGCCAACACAGAACCTCGGGAATGCAAGTGGCAGGCCTGACCGTGGACGCCCCGAGCAATTGAACGAGTCACAGACGTCAGGGCCATCGCGTGCGCAGTCAGAACTCAATTCAACCCAACCACAGCCTAGTATCCTGTCCTGCACCCGCACAGACAGAACTTGTCAATTGGGTCATTATGCAGTGGCCACGAAGCCACAGTGATCAACACGAGCGGACGGTCTTCGACAGCGTTAGCTTGCCGCTCCAGGCAAGAGGCCCGCACCAACTCTCTCTTGCATGTCGTCACTGCCCGCCCGATGCAACAAGCCCCGCGTTGACGGCGCTGTTGATCCGGGCATGATAAAGGCCTGCATGGGCTTAGCCGTGGTCCACGGTAGAAAGACAGCCAGCAAACTGACTGGCACAGTAGGCCACACTATCATGAGCTCCCCTCCATTGCCCCTCCTCGAGGTAGGAGTTTCCCAAGAAGCTCAAGGGTAAAGGCCGCATGTGACATACCTATCTTAGGTATATATAAGTTTGGCCTCGTGCAAGCTCAATTCCTCTTCTCTCTCTGAGTTTTAAACTGCCCTCTGCCGTCAGTTTAAACTCTCCCGCAAGTCCCGCAACAAATATCACCGTCAACATGGCTCCCAAGATCGCCATTGTCTACGTATGCCTCAATTCTGCGAATAATCATTTGCTCATAGCCATTGTCGGACTGACAAGCCTGTCCCTCTAGTACTCCATGTACGGTCACATCCGTAAGCTCGCCGAGGCTGAGAAGGCCGGCATCGAGTCTGCGGGTGGCACCGCCGATGTCTACCAGTCAGTAGAGCTCGAATCAAAGCCACACTATTTCCTTTTGTGCTATCGGCTGACTCTTCCTATCCGTGCTTGCGACGCAACAGGATTCCCGAAACCTTGCCAAGCGAGGTTTTGACCAAGATGCATGCTCCCGGCCCAGCCTCGGACGTTCCCACGCTTGAAGACCCGGCCACGCTTGAGCAGTATGACGCTTTCTTGCTCGGTATCCCGACCCGTTACGGAAACTTCCCTGCCCAATGGAAGACGTTCTGGGACAAAACGGGTAAGCAGTGGGCTACCGGCGCCTACGCCGGCAAGCTGGCCGGCCTCTTCGTCTCGACTGCCTCTCTTGGTGGCGGTCAGGAGTCAACCTGCATTGCCGCCATGTCCACTCTCACCCACCACGGCATCATCTACGTGCCCTTTGGTTACTCAAAGGCCTATCAGGACCTCGTTGATCTTTCCGAAGTCCACGGCGGCTCCGCTTGGGGCGCCGGCACATTCGCCGGCCCTGATGGCTCCCGTCAGCCCTCGGAGCGCGAGCTCCGCATTGCTCAGGTCCACGGCAAGAACTTCTACGAGATTGCTGCCAAGCACTTTAGCTAGATCCCCATAGGGCTTCGCAGTACATGCCGATTTTCACGAATAGAAATATGAACAGAGGAGCTACTGAGCCAATTCACATAATTGGGAATTCGTGCAGAGGCGGCATTTGAGGAGTACCAACTTGTGACCAAGGGAGACTGGCATAGACGGCTCGCTGGTGGTTTCTGAACATGGTTCTGTGTCTACATTCGCATTGAGACCGTGGTCATCACTTGGACAGACTGATGGGAAGTTGCTCGAAGTGTCAGATCGCCCGAATTCACATACACTTTCACTTCATATGTGAATCCATGCCTAGCTTCTGCGGTTTAATTATGACAAACTCCAAAAGAGACCAGGGCAGTATGGCAGTACGTGCATGGGCAAGTGGGACAATAGAGACGCCAATCGTTCATGCCTTGGTGTTGTTCATCTGCCTTTGCGTACGAGCACGCCGCAACCACCACGCTCTTAGTTCCTGTAGCTGACGGTCAGCACTTGGATATGAACAGCCCCATAGGCACTGGTTTGTGCTCTTGGAGATAATACAGGCATGTATCAGGCCTGTGCTGCGAGTCGCTGTCACCAGCATTCGATGATACATGATCTTCACGGATCTGGTAGGTGACCCGCTCCCCTGCTGGGCACGGAAATGTGTTGACCACATAATTCTCGCCAGGCTCAATGTCCAGGTTGGCGATCTCCATGAATACATCTGGTCGAGAGTTGTAGGTTGTGTTCGATATGGCAGGACCTCTCATCTGTTCGAACGATAATTTGCCGGTTCCTGACCACATGTAACCCGTGCTTGTGAAGCTGGCGTAGGGGAAGTCGAAAAAGAGCGTACAGGTTTTGCCTGCATCAGAAGCAGGTATGTCGAAGTTGTAGAACGTGGAGGCATTCTGCGAGATCTGCCCGTAGTAGCTGGGGCCATACGACTGATCAGGGTGGCCACTATCTACCGGCACCATCAGATGCGGCGACTCGGAGAGTCCTTCAAGATTGAGTGCACAATGCGCAGTCGGTGCTGGGGGCCTGTCCGTTGGGCTCGTCCCAGTGTCTGATGCTGTAGAGGCGGAAGGGGATCGAGTGCTCGCAGTGGCCCCTGTCATGGAAGCTTGTGATGTGACCGAGAGAGAGTCTGCCAGCGGTACAGATGACGTCGAAGATGGCGACTGCACGTTTGTTGTGGAAGTCAGCGTGGAAAGACCTTGAGTGGAGCGAAGTGAGCTCGAAGGCGACTGATAGGTGGGAAACGGCGCGGGCGCCTGACCGCCTTCATTGCAATCAGAATGGCAGTCGTCGGCGAACAGCGTGATGAAATTGCATCGGACGCCGCTAGGGACAGTGTAGATGTTGACTTGATCACCTTCACCCGTCTCACACTCGTAGAATGTGGTCTGGCCGCGAAAGGAGAGTTGACCGTCACAGTTGATCTCGTGGTCATGGTCTGGCATCTGGCCTGAGTCGCACTGCAAGATAGACGTGGGTGCTGCGAGGTATGTAACTCAATCGTCAGTAGGGACATGACTCAAGAGATTTGTCGTCTAAGGACCCGCAGAGAGAACGCACGTGTCCACCAGCAGCCTCGTCCTTGCTGATCGACAAAGGCATCACCGAACCACGTAAAGAGAGTCGGCTTTATGTCGCTGCCAGCCCGTGCCTGGCCACTTGCCAGCTCGCCGACGGGGAACTGGACAGAGCCATTGGTCTGAAGGTGAAATCCACATCCAGCATTCTGGCGAACAACCATGGAGCAACATTGCTGCACGAGAATAACAAGCAGGACGAAGACAGCGTGTCGTCCACAAGCTGTTGTTGCAAGCATGCTAGGAGTATGTGTTCGTTGTTGGCGGGTATCAAAATCGTGCGATAAGCCGCGGGTGAACGGGCAAGAAGATGTCCTAAACACTCTGCACAGAACGAGGTGGTATAGCGGAGGAAGAATCCAGATCTACGAGAGGTCCCAAAATTGCTAATCATGGCAGCCTGTGTATATGCAGGAGGTGACCGTGTCGAGGAAGTCAAGGTGCAGCCATGGCTGACCGTGACAGGATTGCCAGCTGGGGAAGGCAAAATCAAACACGACGGGTAGGCGCGCCGATCAAAATGCAGTCACCACACAGCGAAGGCGCCTCAACAACGAATGTAAGTTCGCCAAGCCGCGGCAGGTGCCACCATACATCACTTGGAACGCATAGTTGACCGCCCGAAAGTTACTTGCAGGCCAAGCTGTGACTGGTAGGATCGAGGAGGCTGGGTTCTTATATTGAACTTGCTCGGCATGTGCCTATAGACATACACCTAGACTTTGCTTGCTGCTCCAAGACGTGGCGTGCGCGAAAGTCTGTCAACTTCACTCACACCAAGCGACTTGGCATCCCTTGCTATCAACATCGTTCCCGCATGATGCGTCGCTCAACCAGTGGAGTTGAGGACTCGTTGAGCATTCGCGCTACGTGGGGGATTCTAGGTCCGCTGCATCCCCAGTTACGGCTGGACCTTTGACGGTTTGCCGCCATCGTTGCTGCGCTCACCAGCCAACAATGTCACTGGAGCAAATGACGATGCTGACTTCTGCAAAACGGAGCACCGCCAGTCATCCTTTCTGAGTGTCCGCGGAAGCGCACAGCAGGTTGCCGGGGAAGCCAGCGAGCGACGAGCCTGGACTAAGGGCTCCTCGTGTGATGGAATGGCATGCTGCTTGGCAGCTAGAGAATCTTGAGGATTGGGTATAGTCCAAGGGGACACTCGCTTACCGAAAAGCGATTGCCTGCCGCCTCCCAGCTGTCACTGAGATCCAGATGTCATCGACGGCGGTGTCTCTGGATATGTGCTGCAATCGTCCACCACGGGTGATCTCTTCAGCCACGCTCCTCGTCACTCGACTCATCATCGTCGCTTAACTCATCAAGGGGTATCATATCGTCGTCGTCGCTGTCTGCAGCCTTCACTGCTCCAGGTAATGTGCCATCGGATTCGGAGGGCCCGTCTTCAAAGCCCTCAAATTCTTCGTCCTCATCCTCTTCGTTCTCATCACTTTCGTCGCTTCCTCGAGCCGGTACAAGGGTCTCAGGGATGATGTCGCCGTCTTCGCGCTTACGCTTTTTGCGCATCTCGCCTAGACGTCCTTCTCTGCCTTCGAGGGTTGTGGCATCTCCAGCCTCGTCAACAGGTGCCGGTGTGAACCAGGGGATCTTGCCTCGAGAGAAATCGTTGAGGACCATTTTGGCGATACCATCAACATCAGGCTCTCCCGCCTTGAGTAACCGACCACTCTTGCGAGCAAGAAGTTCAAGAAAGTGAATATGGTCGGTCCAGCCTTTCAGCTCGTACGTCCTCTCCATGTGGTGTGGCTTGACTTTGGCAAGCACAGCTGGGATGTATTGTTCTGGGTTCTCCACATTCTCCACGCGGACGACACCGCGAAGGAGAATATCGGTTGGCGTGTCGTGAATCGATGGCGGCACAATACCGGGACAATCGATGAGATAGATCCGCTTCATCAACGTTATGTACTGCCAGACCTTGGTCTCACCCGGGATTGGGGCGACAGTGCAGACCTTCTTTTTCCGAAGAGTGTTGATGATACTAGACTTGCCGGTATTCGGGTAACCAATGAACCCGACGCTAATCTGCTTGCGATCGGAATGCAGGGATGAAAACTGCCTGAGAAGTTGGATCAAGGAACCCTTCCCGAAAGGATTGGTGATGCTTGAATGGAACGCCAGAGTCGGGGCATCTTTGGATAAGTGCCGGACCCACGCAGCCTGAACCAATCTGTCAGTAAATGAACAATGAAAAGATCGTGATATGACAAGATGGCAGGACCATCACATGCGAGTGATGTGGTGTATGTTTATGTATGAATCATTACTAAGAGAACCATCACAAAGCTGCCCCAGTGGGCAGAGATGGAGCTCAACTCAAAAATGAAACACGGCCCTCGCTAATGACCGGTCCCAAGACGGGACCAAATCAGCCCTGTTGATCCAAAGACCAAGAAGACAGCAAGCTCGGATGTTTGATCTCCCAATATTGTAACAGACGTCTCCCATAAAAGGCACCAATGAATTGTGGCGAGAAAGTGTCCTGACAAAGAATATTGGGGTGTGGGCAGGGATGACCCAATGTTGGGCACGGGAAGAGAGAGACGGGAGTGACTTACAGCAACTGAGGTTGGGATGAGGTCAGTTTTGTTCAGTACAAATATCAAGTGCTTGTGCGGTGCCTCCTCGCGAAGATACTTCTCAACACTCCGGCATCTTGTGCCGAGGGGGTCCCTTGCGTCAAGCACATGTATGATGACATCTGAGGAATCGACGACTTTGTAAAGCTCGTTCCAGATACGCTTGCTCTGGCCCTTGTTGAAAATAGGCTCGATCGCTAGTGTGAGCGGTGCGTCTCCGTCAAGCTGCATGTCTGCGCTGATGTCAACGTAGTCCGCAGAGCCTGACTGGCCGCTGAGCAGGCGTTGCTGCTCCAGCCGCTCCTTGTAGGTGTCCATGCTCTTTTCCGTGTTCTCGGCAAGATCTGTAAGAGATCCGACATCGAGCTTGACCCTCTTGCGTTGGCTCTTGGGGCCAAAAGCTTGAGCAAATGGAGCTGTCTCGATGGTCATCTTGGCTTTGTGCTGTTTGATGCCGTTGGTATCGGAGCCGTCACGTATGAGGCTCATGGGCAGCTTGTTGCTTTTGAGGAGGACCTGGTAGGGATCCTTGGCCTTCTCCGCCATGGCCTCACGGAACGACTTGAGCGAGTCCTGAGAGATGACCCGAGTGTTGCCAAACCACCGGCGATTGGGCTCGATGCGGGCGGTAGGTACGTCTTTGGACTGGTAGCTGACGGCCTGGGTGATCTTGCCTTCGGCGTTGCGCTGAGGCTTGGCCTCTCGGCGCATGTTGACAATCTTGACCTTCTTGGCATCTCTGCGAGGGGGAAGAGAGAATTAGTATGCTTGTCAAGCTATATCGAGAGACCTGAAGGCAACGTACCTGTAGAAGTTCTCGCCCTTGACCTTGACATTCTGAAAGCCATCGCCAGTCTTGCCCTGACGGACAAGCCGGCTCTTTTCTTTCTTCCCGGTGCCCATGATCGCCGGCGACGAAGTCTCAGAGCGCAGGCGCAGTCAAGAAATCTGCTAGACGTGGTGGGTTTCGGGGTGCAGGACAAGAAAATGTTCTGCAGACACCACACAGAGGGAAGAGAGAGAGCATAGGGTGTTTGAGCCTGCGCGCGGCAAAAGAAAAAAGAAGGCAGTAGGCCGCGGCCCCACTCTGAACTTTTTGACCGCCCGACCGTTCTGCCATTCTATCAACCAAGGGTGTCCGCCAATCAAAGTCCTAGCCAATCACCAGGGGTGGAGGACCATAGATCCACCAGGAGCCAGAATTTCCGCCCTTGTGCAGTCCCGTGTGCGACAGCAGCAGGCCATCCCACGGATACCTTGCTTGTCAAGAATAGCAAACCGCACTGCGGTCGAGCAACGCCCAAGCTTGACAACATGGCCGCTCTTCGCCCGGCGAGAGTGTCTCGCAGCATTTCGGGCCTCTGTTCCCGCGCTCAGTCTTTCAGCACGTCTACGCCAGCACGTGCATCTCGGATACCACCCGAGTCACCTCGCTACATCAATGTCCCCAATCCGCCGCAAGACCAGTCCGTCGAGGCTCGACGGGAGTCCAAGAAGTCCCGCGGCCACCTTCCTGTCCCGAAAGACGTCTTCCGTTGGAAGAAGGACGACTACCAACCGACACAAGACGTCCTCGATAGCCTAGCCGCCGAGCCAACTTCAGAAAGTTCGAAGCAGCCTCCCCGTTCTGACAAGCAGGCCTGGAAGCGCTCTTTGGCTGCCATGCGTCGAGAAAATATGCGCTCTGGTATCCAAGACCTATGGCAGCGCAAAATCGTGTCGGATCGCACCATCGCCGAGTCACGAGCTCGGAAGATCGCCCTCCATCGCCGCGCCGCCCTGGCACCGGAAAGCGCAGCAGACCGTCTTACGCGCGCTAGTGTCGACCCAGAAACCCTCAAGACAGCAGTTGCTCCTGATCCTTTACGCTTCGAGCGTGCTGAGGCATCCAAGGCTCGTAGTGAGGCGCTGGAGCAGCGCCGTTCGGAGCGCCGCATAGATGCAGTGCAAGAGCTGTACATGAATGCTAGAAATTTCATTGTCACGGAAAAGGAACTTGAAGCCAGGGTCGAGAAGGAATTTGCGGCCGACCACTTCACGTCCATGGGCCTGTCCAGCTCCGGACGCCCTATGCACAACATTTGGGATTTCGAAGGCAAGCCGAAATCCATGACGGATATGATGCGGGAAGTCAGTCGGACGACGAACGATCTTGTTTCAAGCACGACCCAAGACGCTACGCGTACACTGAAGCGCCAAAAACTAGTTGCTGAGCAGCTTACGGGTGGTAAAATGGACTAAGGGATGATGCATTGGCATAAGGGTGAAGCAAATAGCATATTTTAGGCACGCGTCAAGCCCGCAACTCTGTACATTGTGTATTATTCCATAACAGGCTCGTTCAAAGAAGCACGGTTCCGTTTTCAGGTACATATCTTGACCACGTGTTGCAAATGTCGTGGATGGTTGATGGGGACCGCTGCATCAGAGCAGAACGACAATGAACGATTGAACACACCAGAGCTCCGCGTGGCTCTCTTGGTGTAATATTATGCACGTTGCGACCGGCTCACTTCTCTCCTTTACTGGCGTGCAGTTCGTCTCCTCGGGCGAGAGGACGAGGGCAGCGGGTTGGCATATCTGGAGGCACGCACATCTGATCTTCTCTTGGACTCTGGTCTTCGTGACGACGTCACGAGCAGGACTATGCTTATTGCACTTTCCTTGGCAGTTACAATTGACACCACTTGTCGCAGGCGATCATGTGACGATTCAGCGCCGCGGAGCTGCTTTGCACTTCCTCCCTATAGTTCTCACAGATCATGGGCGGGGAAAAGGCACTCGCGTGAATAAAGGAAACCATTGGGAAATATAATTCAAATTGCAATCCACCATAACGCCTCATGGATGTGGGAGTAGCTGAAACGAGTATGACAAAAGTTCTATGAAACGATGGAGCTCCTTGTGCGCAAACATGATTGGCTACTGTCCCGATGAGTTGTGTATTTAAGAGTCCGACCACACTTGAAAACGCTCATTATTGCCTTGAACGCAAACCCGAGTGCCGTACATGTATGTACAAAAGGTCGTCGTATGTTATTGGCCGGGGAAGGCAATAGCTTTGTCGGCCGAATTGTCGCTCCGGGAGATGCTCACTATCTGCGCTCGACGAGGACAAAATGCATGGCTGCATAAGCAAGGACCACAAAAACAGCGGCAAAAATGCCAAGGTTTAGGATGTCCATCCACTTGGCACCATTACGGAAACCGAAGCTGGACAAGATGGCAGCGCCAGGAACTGTGATGTCCAGGCCGTACTTCTTGTCAACCAGCGTGAGTTCCACGACTTCGTTAACAATCAGCGCCTCGAACCCATAGTGGAAAATGGACAAATTCTGTAGCCACTTCGCCCCTACGGGAATCGCATCATAGTTGAGTAGCAAGCCCGCAAACAGTAGGCTAAAGAGCATCACGAGAGATCCGATGAGGTTCGCGACGCTTCCGTCCTTACAAATGATACCGATGAAGAGACAGATTGCTGCGGCAGCCAGGTTGAAGAGGACAAGAATTAGCATGAAAGTGAAGAAGTGAGGACCATCCGCAATGAGACCAGTCATAGGATACACAATGGCGCCCATGATGATTGGAGGGATGATCCGGAGCGGGACGATGTCAAAGACCACCTTGGCTGTGAAGTACGTTATCGGCGAGTAGTATCCATTGGCACGCTCCCGTGTAAATAGCAGGCGCTCCGACGCAAAAACGTTGAGGCTCGTCAAAGTACTGAATCCGAATAGAGCAAGCAGGAAGAAGAACAGGCCAAGGCGATTTTGAAAACCCGGGATGTCGTCGGTGAGCCCGTAGAAGAGGTAGCCAGAGAGCACAGCCAGCAGGATCGCAATAGCGTAGTGCGTAAGCATGAGTAGCGGGTTACGGTACAAGTTTCTCCAGGTGCGCTGAGCAAGGATGACGAACTGCCGAAAATAGCCAATGCGCGCATAGCCTCGCCCAATGGCGCTACTGCCGAGTTGAGAGGTGTTCGAAAGGTGACCGTTCTGACCATTGGCGCCTTCAGCAGTCGAGACAGCATGGCGAATCTCCTCTGAGATGTTTCGTGATATCTCGGAGTCAGCATAGGCGTAGACAAGGGCGTCCAGGTTTGAGCCAGCAGACGGCGGCACGTTGTCGGCATCCTCTACGATGATATGAGGTGAACCCCTCTGCTTGTGCAGCTTGTAAGCACCGATCTCCTCCTCACCGTCGGAGGAGGCTGCGGTTTCCGCGTTGTTTTTGCGACGGGTGTATAGCTCCCGCTCCTGTCGGGCCCGAATCGAGTCTTTGCGCTTATTATTGGGACGAGTCTGGTTACTCGAAGAGGGCTCATTGGAGCTATCATCAGCAATACTGGCTCCCGAGATGCTTGCAATGGACTTGACAGCGGTGGTACTGCTCAGACCCACACTAGCTGCATCATTGACAGATATGGTGCCATCATCGAAGGGGCCGACCGCGATGGCATGCATTGTCAGGTCAACCAGGTAGTCTGCAATGTTGAAACCAGGGGGGCAGGCATATCCAATCTGGTCGAAATACTCCTGACATTGAGCGAAGGGTCCAGAGTAGACGGTCTTGCCCTGGGCGAGGAGGACGAGCCGATCAAAGAGCGCAACAATGTTAGATCGGGGCTGATGAATGGTGAAAATGACAGTGCGCTTGTAAGTCTTGGCCAGTGTGACGAGGCATTCGATGACGTTGAACGCATTGTACGCGTCAAGGCCACTGGTGGGTTCATCAAGGAACAGGATCGAAGGGCTTGTGACAAGCTCACAGGCGATACCGACACGTCTCTTTTCACCGCCAGAAATGCCGCGACCTTTGCCCTCCTCAGATCCAATCAAAGAGTCTCGGATGTGATAGATTCCAAGCTGCTTCTCAACATCCCAGACCCGTTGTTCCTTCGCGGCTCGGGTCATGGCCTTGGGTAAGCGAAGAAGAGCGCTGGTTAAAATAGTCTCGTGAACTGTCAGAGTCGGAAGCATAGTATCCTCCTGGTCAACAAAGCCGATGACACTTTTGAACTCTGCATTGCTGACTTTCTCGCCGTTCACGAAGAAGTCGCCCCCGGTGACTCCGCGCTTATTCTTTCGTGCAAGAATGTCGAGGAAGCTCGTCTTGCCGGCACCGGAGGCACCCATGATAGCCGTGATCTCGCCAGGGTGGGCCACACCCTGAATGTCTCGAAGAATCGTCTTGCCGTTGAGCCCGTACGCAACATTCTGCCAGTACAAGGCAGCAGGTTTGTGATCAATCATGAGCTTGGAAGTCTCGTCGTCAGAGTCATCCAGCGAAATTGGCCCGTACTTGAATTGACGTCTCGAAAGGTACCATGTGCCAAGAATGACAGCAACGACGAAAAGTGAGCAGCCAGCAATGACACCTGCAATGAGGGGGGTGTTGATCTGTTTGATGGGGCGCTGGAAACCTGGGACCTCTGTCTGGTACAGGCATTCGCCGGATCGGCATTCGAGCTTAATGTGGGGGTCGCCGAAGATAGCTTCCACGATGCCGTCAAGCGCCGGCTCGGAGAACGAACAAGCATTGATGCCACTGTCCACCTGGTTACACTCGAATATGGCCGGCCCCTCGATCTCCTCGCGTAGGAAATCGGTGAGATCCACCGAGCCATGAGCACCACATAGCATTCGGTCAGGTATGCAGGTGCACTCAACCTTGGGGCACTTGTAGTGGGTGCTGTTCTTGTTCTCGGTGAACTCTGCGCTCGATTCGCAGTCACCCAGGTGGCAGTAGAAAGACTCGAGCTTGTCGATCCAGACTAAGTGAGGCATGGCGGGATTGTCAGTCTGGTGTTTGACTCATGAGAGGGCGAGACCCCATCAGGTGAGACTGGATTGGCAACCTACACTGAAAATCGCACAGCCCAGTTTCCTTCTCGCACGTGAAGGTGGCCTGCGGGATCTGGCCAGCCAGCATGTCCAAGATTTTAGCATTTGTGACATCGCACATCTGGTAGTTCTGCTTGACCACTTCGCCGTTCTGGTAACAAACGCCACCTTCGGAGGTGGGCATGAGGGCGTTGCAGGCAAGGTTGTCGGTACAGACATTGCAATTCAGGCCGGTCCAGCCGTCGTCGCATTCGCATTCGTCGCCCTGTCGCACAGGCCTGTCCTTGCCACGAGCAAGGGATCCGCATGCTGTTTGTGTGATGAGTAGGTCAGCGAGAAGGGCAACCACCATAGTGTGATGAGGCTACGCGCGGAGCGAAAGGGGAAGGGCGGGCTGGCAACGTACTGGGCTCGAGGCAGGCATCTCCACCAAAACCGGCTGGGCACTCGCACTGGCCATTGTATTCGTTGCACTGGGCATACTGGCCACAAGTATATGCTGGCAGCAGGCAGTTGAAGCATGGAGGGCAGTCGTCGGCGGCGCGAACGTTGAGGAGAGCCATGTGGGCTCTGAGCATGTCGTCCTGCGTATAGTTCTTGGCTGCGGCGATGGGAACGATGGCGGAGAGAGCGAGGCCGCCCACGAGAGCACGGCGGGCGACCGCCGGCATCATGCTGGCGAGCATGATGGCTGGTGGCTAAGCCCGGGAAGGCGAGGGAGGTCGTGGCAGCAGGCGGACGCGAGGCTTATGAAGATGAGGTACCGGCGTATCGTAGCGACCAGGGCCTGGGTTGACAAGGGAGAGATAGGCAAGGTGGGAAGAGGATGAAGAAGAGGCGGCGATGGTGGACAGGATGGATGCACAGCACAGCCGCCGTTGCTGGCGTGAATGGCGATCGAGATAAGGCGGGCCAGAGCTCCAGAGCCCAGCCCCCACGCCCCAGATTCCGCTCACCTGCAGGGCACCGGAGTAGCTCCCCCAGTACTGCAGCTCAAGTGCTGACCTTCGCCGACGGCGGTGCACTTTGGGCCCACAGGCTGCGCTTGCGTGTGGTGCCTGCCTCAGTGGTGCCTTGGGGCCTCTCTAGACTGCGCGTTGATTGGTTGGCCAAGCCTCATGCGAACCCATTTCTGAATGCCCATGTCGCTATGCGCGGTCGGGTGGCATTACCCGGCAAAACACCTGCCCAGAGGAGCCCGTAGTTTGGCCAGTTGAGACACGGCGCTCCTCTCAACGACGTCATGGGTTTCGGTTGGTCCTGTTGACAACCTACCTGCACGACCTACAGGGCGTGGGCCAGCTCCGCAACGGAGCTCCACTTGCGCCCTTCGGTGCTTCTCTTCCCGGGCAGAGGCCGGCCGCTCCGTGTCTGGAGCCGACATATTCAACACGATCCCCGTGGTACCCAATATAAATACTACTTAGCGTTGGCAGTGCACCTCCTCGGGCACTTCAACTGTCTTCCGCATGATCCTCAGAGTCGCACTTCGCACGCACGAGACGCTTCCCATCAAGTGCCGAAACATGTCTCCCGTCAACCCCTCCTCCAAGGTGCCGGCCTTTGCTGTCGAGCAGTGGATGGACAAGTACGAGACAACGCCCAACGTGCTCAACCTGGCGGAAACCTGCGCTGCTAGCATCACGATCGAAGATCTCGTGCGCCTCAACTCCCAGAAACAGCTTGCTGCTCCACCCATAGACTATAGTGTCCCAATGACATATGGTGCCATCCGTGGCTCTTCTGGCTTGAGGGACCATATTGCCGACCTCTACAATTCTTCGCCGAGGTCTCTTCACGGCAAGTTCCAGACCCTCACACAAAAAGATGTGATCGTGACGACCGGTGCTATTTCCGCAAACTACCTTGTCTTCTATAGTCTTGTAGAGGCTGGAGACCACGTCATATCCGTCTACCCGACGTATCAGCAGTTGTACACAGTGCCAGCCAGCCTCGGGGCCGATGTCAGTCTCTGGAAGCTTGATGCCAAGCGCGGTTTCGTGCCTGATGTTAGCGAGCTTGAGAAGCTTATTCGGCCGAACACAAAGGTACATAGGTGATCGTGGGATAATATTGCCCCCCCCCCAGCCCTTTCCCCCCGCGTGACGTCTCCTCGTCGACGAGCTAACTGTCAGGCAGATGATTGTGATCAACAATCCCAACAACCCCACAGGCGCAACCATTGTAGAGGAAATCATCCTGAGCATCATTGCGATCGCCAAAGCCCACGGCATCATTCTCTTCTCCGACGAGGTCTACGCACCGCTCTTCCACGGGCTTGCAAGTCCCGCCGATTTTCCTCGCTCTGCTGTGACGCTCGCTTCATCTTCGGATGACCCTCAGGTTAACTACGATAACATTGTGACCACGGGCTCCATGTCAAAAGCTTGGGCACTTGCAGGCATACGTGTGGGTTGGGTCGCGACACGCAACCCGACGATTCGAGGAGCGATTGCTTCTGCCCGGGATTACACCACAATCAGTGTTTCTCAGATCGACGACCAACTCGCTCGATATGCGCTGAGCAAAGACGTCCGTCCCCAGCTGGCGCAGCGCAACATAGAGCTGGCCAAGACCAACCTCGACATACTAGCGGCATTTGTCGAAGGACCTGTAGGCAGAGAGGTATGCGACTGGGTGAAACCGAATGCGGGTACGACCGCATTCATTCGCTTCTTCGCTCGGTCCGGCGAGGTTCAAGATGATGGGAAGAGGATAGAACGACGACCAGTTGACGATGTCGCCTTCTGCAGGGACTTGCTGGACAAAACCAAAGTCATGTTCGTCCCTGGGTCTCTTTGTTTTGGAGAGGGCAAGGACTTTAGGGGCTATGTCCGCATCGGTTATGTCTGCCATACCGACGTCCTGCGGGGGGGAGTTGCTGCGCTTGAGGACTACGTGAGGCTACACTTGCGGTAAACCACCTTTTCGCATATGCCCAGGTATATTCATGTAGAATCCTACAGGGCAGTGGACTTTGATCAAAGACTATTTCCACGCTGGGGCGGCTGGGGCGGAAGCGTCAATGACATGAACTCAAGTCATAACAACTGTATACCATGAAATACGTGTGTAATGGACCTTCTAGGTTCGAAGAGCTCGTTTCCCTATCAAAGTCCACCGCATGACGCCCACGAATAAGAACCGAGTGTCCACCCATAAAAGACCGGTCATTAGATTATGAACAAGACGTAATACCACATGACAAAGGAAGTGTTTTGTTTGCTCTATCCTAGCCACGCCAGTGGCTCAGCTCAGCTCCGCAGGAATGTCTTGAAAACGGGACTGTGTGTGCAGTCCTCCCAGGGGTAGCCAATCTCGTTGAGCGATCTTGTCAGCTCCCCAAGGTCAGCATCGGGACAACGGATGCCTGTGAGGACCTTGCCAACATCACTACCCCCGTTGCGGTATTGGAAGAGGCTGATGTTAAACCGTAATCGAAGCATCCCTAGGAACTTCTCAAGTGCTCCAGGCCGCTCAGGGAAGTTGAACATATATAGGCGCTCATCTGCCACACTCGATCGACCTCCGACGAGATAGCGCACATGTGATTTGGCCAGCTCATCACCAGAAAGATCAGTGACTTGCATGCCAGCGCCCTCGATGCGCCCCATGAGCGACCGGAGCTCGTTGGACCTCTCCGCTACACTCGACGTCAGTGATATGCCCACCAGAACGTTGGCTACCTGGTCAGTGGCATAGCGATAGGAGAACTCGGTCACAGCATGCGGCATAATGTAGCTGATGAGCTCTGCGAAGCTCCCAGGTCGCTCTGGGATGCTAACGCATAATAGTGCCTCTTTGCCCTCACCAAGCGCTGCGCGTTCGGCCACAAACCGGAGGCGATCGAAGTTCATGTTGGCACCGCTAGCAATGGCAACAAGAGACCTGTTCACATCGCTGGATGGGTGTGCTGCGACGTATTTCTTGAGACCGGCCAATGCGAGAGCTCCGGCAGGCTCAACAATAGAACGTGTGTCCTCAAAGACGTCCTTGATGGCGGCACATGTCTCATCAGTGTTGACAAGGATCACTTCATCAACCACTTCCTGACAGATGCGGAAAGTCTCTTCTCCAACGGTCTTGACTGCAGCGCCATCAGCAAAGAGTCCCACGTCCTTGAGTACGACTCGTCTGCCTTCCCGTAGCGATTGAACCATGGCGTTGGCATCCTCGGTTTCCACGCCAATGATCTTGACGTGTGGAGCGATACGCTTAACATAGACACCAATGCCAGCAATGAGGCCACCACCGCCTACGCAGCAGAAGATGGCTTCCAGCTTCTGAATGTTTGTTTGCCTCAGCAGCTCCATTCCAATAGTGCCCTGGCCAGCAATGACGTAGGGATCGTCAAAAGGTGGAATGTTGATCAGCCCATGTGCTTTCTCCAACCGAGCACATTCCTCCTTAGCAGCATCAAAATCTGCTCCGTGCAAGACAACGCAACCGCCAAGTCGCGAGACATTCCGGTGCTTGATGCTTGGGGTGCCCTGAGGCATCACGATGGTAGCAGGGATTTTTAGCTGGCGAGCTGAGTAGGCCACACCCTGGGCATGATTGCCGGCGGAGCAGGCGACGACTCCCTTCCAGCTCTGATGACGATCAAGATGGGCCATCTTGTTATAGGCGCCCCGCAGCTTGAAGCTGAAGACTGGCTGCTCGTCCTCGCGCTTGAGCAGGACTCGACACTCGAGACGATTCGAGAGATTGGCGGCGTGTGTAAGAGCTGTCTCGTTGCAGGCCTCGTAAACTCTAGAACCAAGAATGAGCCGCAGGTAGTCTGGACGGCCATTGGGCAGGATGAAGTCGGCGGGGATGGTGGCTCTGATTTTGTCGTCGTGGTCTTCGGAGGGCGGCGAGGGATTCGCGCTGTACTCGGTCAGGGAAAGACCGGTGAGAGAGAGATTGCGAGCATGCAGGGCTTCATGGCCGCCATTGCCATTGATGCCGGCTGTCATTGGTCTCGATTCGGTTTCCTCTGTACCGTGGCTGCCGTTGATGCCGTGATCTCCGGCTGATAGGCCATTCTGGGCGCTGGAAGCGATAACGTCGTCGAGAGGGACGGAGGCTGGCATCGCGCCGAGTTGGTACAAACGATTATGCTTGGAATCGATCGAGCAGGGGTCCAAATGGTGCCTTGCGATGGCTGCGCAGCGCAGAATATAGCCAGAGCGAGAGGAAGCAGACTGCGAGGCCGTGAATCTCAATTGAAATATGAATTCAAGGTTGGTGACTCGCGATGAATGGCCAGACTGTATTCTTTCGCGTTCATCACCCTCAAAGGCCTCTGGTCTCTCTGTGTGCTGGCGGCATGTCATTTTCATGACGGGGCAGAATTATTATGGGGCGCACAACTCAGACAGCGCCGATCTCGGCGACTGGCCACCCGAGTGCCTCATGGGTTTGTTATTGTCAAGGGGATGCACCACAGGCAACACATTCTGCAGGGCGAACATAGTGCCGCTGCCATTGCGCAATGGAGGATAAAGTTCTGACGAATTCATGCGCTTAGACAGCCTTCTCATGACCTATGCTACGGAATCTCCTTATTATGAGCTGCCGCACTGGACAACGCTGCGCAATGGTAGGCAAGCACGAGGATTGCGCAGTGTACGTCGTCGGTACTTCGTCCTGGGGTAGCATGCACGCAACTCGCAGTGTCATCGTGCAAGGGCCCCGGGTGTGCTAAGCGCACCCCACTAGGTTCCAGCATAGATCTTGGACCCTAGAATCGATAACGATAACTCCCTCCCCAGGCCTGAGCTTACCCGGCACCAGGGCTTTGGTCACAACGGCCCATCACTGTGCGTTCAGCGTGCTGGGGTGCCATCGTCATTGACATTTTCTATCACCATCTTCGTCGTCGCACAACCTCCGAACTCAGATTGATGAACATTACCACGCGCAAAAGCATCAACTCAACCCGAGTATAGCTCTTGCTACCCAGGCCAGACCTAGACAAGCTTCTTCGCACGCCCCGCCATGGCCGACCGTCCCGTCCCTTCGTCCTTTGACGATGCAAAGTCAGGCCGCGTGATTCCCGGAGCAAAATCAGAGACAGCACGCTGATTAGTTGTTACTCAGAGAATACCAGGAGACAGGATGGCAAAAAATCTCCCGCAAGCTCAGGGAAGAGCCCCTGATACCACTAGGTATGTGGTGTACCTGCACATACAGCTCCTTTGTCTGCTGGCGACACACAGCGAGGCGATATCATTCGGTGCGAGAGGTAGAGAAAGCTGATTAGAGCCCTTCCCACGTCTACAGGATGTGGCCTTACGGTTCTCGCCCTTGTGAATGCATGGAGAGCTATGCGGCGTGGCGACCACCAGGGAGTGCAGCGCATGTTTCGTGCCAGAGTTGGCGCCCAGGCTTTCACAGTCATTGCCATGGTCGCCGGTGGAGCGTACTACGGCCAGGACCGCGAAAAGCGCAAGGAATTGATCAAACTAGAGGCTCAGCAGCGTGCAGAAGAACGACAAGCCAAGTGGCTGCGGGAACTCGAGATTCGAGACGAGGAGGACAAGGCACTCAAGGAGTCGATCAAACGTCGTAGGGAACGGGCCGAACAGAGAAAGGCAGAGTCCGCTGGCAGGAATCCGGGGAGCGATGCCACAATGGCGTCGTTGCCTGAACCGGACCAGCAGGGCGACCGAGGTACGCAGCCGAAACCAGAGGGAGCCGGTGTGCTTTCTTCCCTCTCCAGAGTTGGTGGTTGGTTTGGTTCGAGTAAACCCGAACAATCCAAGTCTAATATCTCTGACTCAGATAAAGTCACCCCTCCCCCGAAGTCCTCGGATTGAGTCGCGGTGGTGACTGCTGGTTCATGGGTGCTGAGCTCCGAAAGATGGACCGCGAATTGCAACCATCCTCTGCATCGAGATTTTCTGCGAGCTGCCACTGGATAGCCGTTGTTAGAAGCATCTGGATCGATACTGTACCAAAACAAAACACAATCATGTACAATATGCATTGCTTGTATATACGCCTGATGGTCGAGCTGGGGGGGGGGGGGGCGAGGACGCCTCAAGTCTTTTGTGAACAGAGCTGTGCTGGTAGTGGCACAGCTCGCAAGGACAATCAATGTATTACTGTCTGGCCACGCTACGATGGTGCATGCCAGACGCCAGTAGGTCGTGTTGCGACAAAAGTTCAAGTAGAGCCGCCACTCCGATTCTGACCAATGAGACCAGCCATCTCGAGTAATTGACGATCTGCATCAATATCGCCCGTCCCCAGGTTGATGCGTCTCCGTGCTTCGGCCTCTCTCCTTTCCCACTCCCACCGCTCTCGCTGGACTTTTGCATCCTCGTCGCCACTTCTGCACGTGAGCTTTCCAATATTTATCATTCGGAATGGTGCGGGAAACTCACCCACAGCCCCAAACCTCAATGTCGTCCACCTGGAAACGTGTCTGAAGATCGTATCTGCGAATGGTGCTGGATGCGAAGGCACCACCTCGCGTTGTGTAGTCATGGTTGAAAACGCCAAACTCAAAGCTTGAATCTAGGGCCAGGGACACAGAACCCAGGCTTCTGAGCGGGGCGGAGCGAGATGTAGAACCAAGACCCGGCGGTGCACAGCCAACACTGATGCCAGGATTAGGTGAGGGCGATCTGGTGAACGATACGTAGTTATGGTTCAGCGATGAAGGAGCGAAAACATCATGGACTGGGCTGAGCTGGAAGAAGACCGTGCCTTCACCGCCGAAACATGTCTTGCTGGATAACTGCCACGGCTCCTTGACCAACAGTCCAAAAACTACACGATCTCGGTGGCCTTGTTGGGGATCATCGGGATATCGCCTTGGAGGAATCGTGCTTTCGAAAGCCAGCTGCGAACCCGAGGGCTTATTCCCCGGGGTGATACGCGTGCCAGACACCAGTAGTAAGGTCGGCGCACGCCAATTGAACACCTTCGACTCGAAGCTCCCCATCGAGTAGCCATCACTGGCACCAGAATAGAGGAGGCGCAGTCGGTGGAATAGATCATTACCTGGGATGAAGAAGGAGAGCTGCGAGAGCACGTTGAGATTCATAATACGCCCGGTGTCTTTGAGCAGGGAGGCTTGAGGCAAGCTAATGTCATGGGGACCTGGTACGGAGCCTCGAGGTGGTCCAGCTGGATCTTTCCGCTTCGACAGGTCAAGCTCCTTAGAGAATAGAAAGTGCTCGAAGAGCGGCGAGAGGCCAGAAAACAGATGCGGGAAGTTGACTGGGAGAGCATCAACGAAGTGCGCGAATGTGACACCAGGCGATTTTTCCACGTTGATAAAACTGGCTAGGATGTCGTCTGCTGTCGACCCCAGGCTTTCAAGCTGTTCCCCGACGAGTCGATCCGCATAAGTCGAAAGGCTTTCCAAGGACGACATGGGCGCGACGAGTAAGAGCAGCATGATTAGTTTTCGTAAATTGTCAGCGGGGATCATCGCCCCGTGGGTGGATGCCGAATGCCCGTCACCTTTCTTGAATGCCTCATCAATGTCGAGAGAGTCGAGTGCTGCTATTACAAGCTCGTCATCTTCATCGGCATCGTCTGAGTCATCCCCGGCCTCGTCTATCACGAAACCTGGCGTATAGTTCTGTACCAGCTCTGCCCCCCTTGGGTCAGTACTCGAGACTTCCTTGGGCGCGCGTTCGATCTCAGAGAGCTTCCGATCGTAGACGGCGAGACTCTTAAAGAGTAGCCTGTGACGGTTTGCTGCAGCCCTTGAGAGAATCTTCTTGTATCTCTCAGTCATTATGGTGACAACCATGATCATCTGCTCAAACCCAAGGACGGCCGGCGCATCGTCAAGAAAAGGGAAGGCGCCAATGTACGAGATCATCTGGAAGATGATCGGCGAAACTCCAAGGCTGTCAGGCAGCTCGAGAAAACGTGCAAGAGTGTCCTCTTTAAGATAGCGAACCTGGCTCTGGTGGTCTGCGAGTGCACGGAAGTTGGTCTTGAAAGTATAGAGCTCAATAGGATCGAAGCACTTTCGGGCGAACCTCTCGGCCTGTGTAGCTGGTGAGTGTCAAGCACGTCGGTCCATTGAGCTAGGTGCTGCTCACCAGGTCTTGGGCGACATGCTGCCGTGACGGCGGAGGCCTGTGGTCGGACTGAGCCTGGCCCATTGTGCAGCACAATCAAGCTGCAGGGATGGAAATCCCGTTACTCAGTAGTCCACCGATGGGGTATGGCAATGGGGCTGACTGCCTTGACTGACAAGGAGGTGATGAAAAACGGCGAGGTTGAGTGACAGGCAGTGCCTATGTGAGTTGGTGGTGTGTTGTGGTACTCCCAGGCTGGAGGCTGACGTAGCTGAGGAGCTCTCTGGGCAGCAGCTGGTGTGAGCAGCGACGCCTGGTGGCCTGCACTCCGCAACCTGGAACCCTGCCGATTCGGCCACCACGCGTTTCGTCTCCGCCAATCACGCCAGATGTGTCGTTCGATTGCAACACTCACATGGCGCTGCTTCTTGCAAGCATGTCGGGCGCTTACCATCCAGATGCTCAAGCACCCGTCCATCATATACCTTACAAGATTCCCGCTGTTGATGCCATCATGGTGACTTATCATTAGCTGATTAAATCATCATTGGAGATCACATGAAGTAGTAGCTGCCACTATTGCTAGACTCAATCAAAATCATTAACTTCAAGGTAGTGAGTGGCAGGGGGGCCGAGCTTTGCCCCCGACGTGATAGTTGTGTATAGAAGAACCGCATGGTCGCACACGACTGCCGATGTGTACGAGCAGCTCGTGTTTGATTCGCAGACATCGTCACCGTATGCAGGGCGAATGTGTCTACCACAAGGGAAATTGGTAATCACGGCATGCAAATCGTGCAGTATGGACGATACCGCGACAGGCAAGAATTTCACCCAGTTCACCAAGGCGACTCCCGAAATCAAGGCTCAAAACATAGCCGATTGCATTGTCGAACTAGCGTACTTTACATCCATATAAGCACTGCGCCACCACCACCAAGAGCGAACCATGTCGCCGTTGTGATATATGAGACACGAAGCCAGTGGGGAGGCAGGCCACCGCAGCGTAATGATGCTCTGGTTGTCGCCTTTGGCCAACCTTTGCCCCGAAAATGTTAGCACCACGGTCAGCCTACCCTTGCGCATTGGGAGACGCCATCGCCGTCTCTTTCTTTTGCTTCCAACGAGCAATTGAGCAGCCCGAGCGAGTGCACCACTTTCTCACCGTGGATTGAAGTCCACTTCATTCTACCTAAAGCATTAGGCAGTTATAAAATTGTCAAGAAGTCCATGATACCTGAAAAGTCTAGCAAGTCTATTACAGCTTAAAAGTCACCTTTAAGCTCTTATCTGTAATTACACGAAGCAGCTTATTCTCAGCTTTTCAGAACACAGTTTATTCCCTTCCTCTTCCATTCACCTTCATCCGGGATGGCCAGCTCCTGTACGAACGACACAGACCATGCCATGCAGCTTTATGAGTTGTGAGACCAATGTGAACCCGAAACCATGATCGGCAGCCAAAAGAATAGCTCAGTCAGTGCCACTCATCTGGCCATATCCTGACGACGCTGCTCCAATCGGCAATTCGCAATTCTCGATAAGCCTGACGTCGCATGAAAAGAATTGCTTGTCGCTAATAAAACTTTCGGTCAGAACACACTGGGCATACTTCCTTGCAATTTATGTCGTAACAAAGCTAACATAGTCTATTACAACGATACTGGTAAGCATTGTAGACCCAAGGCTGAGACTGCGCTGCATAGTTTACGACAGTACAGTTATAGCCATACACAAAAACTATTCTTCACAATTTACATCTTATTGAATGACTCTCGAGAATATAGTATTTCATATCATGGGGACATCAGCATGAATGTGAGTTTAATGATATTTACCATAAAGCTCCTCATGTCCTGCCCTCGCAGCATGAGAACTGTCTGGATGTCGTTTCCCACAGTCTTCAATTGTTAGTTCAAAGATCTGAGGGAATGTCTTAGCATGCTCCTTGATCTTGTATCGTAATTTACACCAGCCGACCAGTTATCACGCAGAATGGATGTAACATATAGATACATCGAACAGCAAGGAAGCAGGAATATTCCAGTTGTGTGATATGATCACATTTGATTTTCAGTGTCCCTGTCTCTACTAATGGATTCCTTATGAAACTTGTAGTCCCCTAGAACAGGGGATTTCCGATTACCAATCGTTATTATTCCCTTCTTTCCTTTTGCGGTCACGAGAATGTGCAATTAATCGTTTGGTAAGGAGATAATTACTCGTACTCTATTTCGCTCTGGATGAAAAGCGCATGAGCCCATATTTTCTATCTAGACCTACCTGGACAAGCAATTTTCGTTCATTGATGGCAATTGTTCTACAATACTTATTACATCACTCCGCCTTCCGAAAAGAAATCAACGCTATTGTGATCGCTTTACGGCACGCCTTGTCGTTCATAGTTACTACTTCAACCTGGGCAAGGCGCTAAATGCAAAGCGAGCGTCTGCATTGTTGTCCCGATTGTATGAGAAGGAGGTCCTCGGCAGCGGCCCATCAAATTCTTTGTGCCCTTGGACACGCACGAGCTGGGGGCTGACGGACGACATCGCCCGTTCTTTGAGATACATTATTTATCTGCTCATACCCAAGTCGAACTCACAGTCCCCTTCGATGATATAAATTGACTACAATACTACCGCATGATTCCCAGGTATGATGATTATCATTGTTATTAGTACGCGCTACCTATCTAGGGTTCGCGAGCCTACAGATCTATCCTATAATAAACCATGCCGGAACCGGATGAAAAGTATACCCCACGTACTCGGTACGCTTAAGCGGCGCCTATGCTGCGTGATTTTGACGCATATCACGAATGGCTCTCACCAGCCAGACGTTCTTTGGGCGAGGTTGCCCGCCCGTCCCCAATCCTCCAAGCCGGTGTGCAGCTCATGGGTACATGTAATTCCTAGGGGCGCATACGCCTCGCCAGAGCTGCGCAGGCGCTTTCCCAGGTATTATTTAGGCAACGACTTTTGACAAGTGTTAGTCGCAAGCAGCATGCCGCTGCTCCTACCGCTAGCGGGAGAATTGTCTGCCTTTCCAATATCCTTAGTCTATAACGTAGAGACAGCTCTAACCGAAATGATAAACTAATCTATCGTCTTTCCAAAAAGTCGCAAGGCTGTACGTTCGTCAGTACGGAGTAATTGATACACAGAAGCTTGTGTCAGAGGTGATCGAAAATGAAGAAGAACGATGCTTCTTCATTTATGACCAAGTAATTGAAAAGACAGGTCAATCCGTGGGAATATACTCTGAGTCGATGTGAGAAAACCTATTCGATAATCTCCCTCTTCTAGAACCAAAAGTGAGATGCACTGCACAACTGCGTGCAGCACAAGTGTTGTCGCTATTTGAGGGATATTTCTTTTTGTACACTACTTCACAACAAATCTTATAAAGGAATGTAGACTACGGCAAATCCATGAAATACGGCAACGGAAACATCTTGACCCGCCGCGTCAAAGGTCTAAAGGACGTATACTGCGCGCGAATGAAACAGGCATTGACTCCTTCAGTAGTATGGCGGGCGACACGCACAAAGCTGTTTCCTAACCCTGAAGGTAAGTGACCAACTGTGGCGTATCCTCTAACAGAAAGTCCATACACGAAAAGAGCTAACTAAGCTGGATCCTGATTGAAAAGCAAACCTACTCTACGTTGAATATGAATATGATATTATCCTATGCCCGAGCTCACTGCAACATCACCTTTAGTGTACGTGCTAGGTTCTATTAGCTTTTTGATGACTTCTCGAAAGAAGTAAACACTGTAGATTAGCTCAAGCAACTGATGAGAATCAGCCAGGCCCTAAGAAGGGTGCCCAAGGTATAAACCCCAATGCTCTTTAGAAATGCGATATATCACCTAGCGGAAGTACAGCCGTTCTACATTCATCTCGCTATAAAATCCCAAGATAACATATCCCATAGTCACCTACTACAACGAGATAATTCTTCGAAGAAACAAAGCTATTTTACCGTACGAAAACACGCTGGCTTCGGAAACCAGAAGTATATAGAGTCAGATACTACAAAGGTTATACGTTGAAAATTTATCTCTATTTGGAGACGCAACTCGTATTGAATAGATTAATAAATCTGATAGATCTGTAGTAAACTTTGGTATCACAGAAAGCGAACTTGTTAGGTAGACAAACTATCATAGAACGAATAGACCCAAGGAGATGGAAGAGAAAGGTCGGCTGGCCGGGCATGCAATGACAGTATTCATTACCAGCCGGCATGTCCAGCTCATGGTGCGCAAGTTCTGTTCTAATGTGATACCACAACAGAATTTAACTACTTATGAAACGTATCCTGTCGCGAGAACGTGAAGAAAAGCTGCAGCCATAAGCTGGTTCGTTGCTAATGCCAGTTAGGTGCCAGGTACGTAATAATGGAAACCCTAGACCGAAAGTAGGACAGACGCGCCTTTACATCTAACCTGCAGGTCTCTCCTCACCTCATAAGGGTCTGAGAGAGTGAGAGCCGTCTCGGCGTCTCGTAGTCAGGCGAAGCTTGTCATAAAGGGTTTTCATACCTGTGGTAATGAATTACCCCCATCCCCAAAAGAAAGACAGTAATGCCAAAATCAAATTGATCTGATTTTGTTATCGACTTTGACCACAGATAAAGCATCTTCTAAGAGTAGCGGATTGGCGATGTTTTAGAGCCCGAAGCGCTCTCCGCCAAGCAACACTTCAATCGACGATAGATCCTCTCTCAACAAAGACTGAGGTTTGGTTTTGTGAAAAGCACTAACGACCACGGCTCTAAAGTCTGAAAGATAATTCAAGATGTATGTTCAGGACCGGGGTACTCCTGTTCTGGCAGCAGCGGTAATAGAGAGACAATAGAAATGTAATTAAATATGTAGAGTAGGCGTGTGGCTTATTGTGGTATACTTCTCTCATGATCGTGGTTCTAACTCTTGCCCAAATGTGTAGCCAATAGCTGCATCAGGAAAATTGTTATGATAGACATGGTTGAAGGAAGTAGCCGTACGTCGTTTGAACGTAACCGGATGTATACTTGACCCATATACAGACAGCAGCCGTTCGCTCTCATTCCTTCTTCAGCTGGGGAATCCTATTTAACAATATGCGGCTACGGCAAAAATAGCTTGGTCCAGAAAATCAAAATCCGAGTGCTAGATTTGAGGCCAGAAATAATACAGGCCTTCTATTTCGTAATATATTAGGTCGAACTAGCATTTGCTCCCTTGTGCCGTTTTCTGCACCAATGAACGTTCACTTCCTTCTAGTAGACTAACCCTGAGCAATGCCATCGGATAGCACAACTTTTTACCGCAAGCACGAGAGAGACGCAGGACTGAAGTTGTGGCTTATTCTATAACACGTCACTCGTGCAATAATACCACTCCTAGTGGGACAGAATAAAGCACTAAAATCAGTGATCGGGGCCAGACATAAATTAATCCGCAAAGTGTGACTCAGACTGTCCGTTGCAAAAATGCTAACCGTATGTTCTTCAAAATTCTGGCGCGTCGAGTATCGGCCGCGTTCGCAATTGATATATTGGACTCTCTCCGCATATCGTTTTATCCATGCTGCTGTGAATACTGGATACGATTATGTACGAAGACCGAGCTCCTGATTTCTTATTGAAAACTTTCCGTCATGCAAGGGCAAATCGACCTTGCTGATAATATAAGATTCCTTGCTCACAATAACAAAACTCAGGGCCAAGATTGGCTTTAATATACAAGTATACATACGCAGGGTTAGTAATACATACACATAAGCCGAATAAAACTATACTCAGGTCACGCCAGAGTTATTATTCGTCAAGTGTATAGATAATCAACAATATCCATGTTCGTACCTCCACAATCCGTCAGATCCTTGTTCCAAGACGATCACGCAAAATCAATTCAAGGTGGATGCAGAAGAGGTCACACGCTGATATCTGGGCTGCTCATCCAAAGCTGCAATTATCCTGCCGCGCGAAGATAATATTCTTCAATTATAATGTCTGTCCTAGACCGTGAAGATAAGCGTATGCATCCACACGATGCGGTGACCTCACGCCGTTGCTACACCAAGCAGTACGTATCTACGTAGAGCGAGCTTAGGATTCTTCATTAGTCTATGGTTTGAACATGGATTACCAGACAGTGCTACATAGTCCTCGTGGTCTGACCAGAAATAACCCCCTCTGATTTATTTTGGATGCACAAACCATTAAGTCACTTGAATGATTGATGTACACACCAAATATATTTGATCTTAGTTATACACCACAATATAAGGGCCTCTCGAGTATGTTGTACGTCCGAACTAACAAAAGCATAGTCATCGCTTCTATCTAAACACAATATTGAGACGATCACAAGCCTGGCTCTGGTCCTTACCTCGCGATGAGTGGAATATAGGTTCCAACACAGATGGATGGTTAGCCTTGCCCGTCTTCTAGATGTGTCTCATGAACAAATCAAATAAATAGTCGTATATGGCAAGATTTATCTAAGAACCTCCATAACCGGGGGAAGAAACCACTTTCTAGACGTCGAACACCGAAAACACTATGAACAATCTGTTAAAAAATCTTCTCCATACACATACGCATACCATTGCTTTTATTAGCGAATTGGCTCATGCCGTGAAAGGTACGTGCCAGCAAAACACTTCTACTCGAGGTCTTTATGTGAGACCGTTTAAGCCCGTGCACCCATCACCCAATCTCTCATCTTAGATAAGAAACAGGTCTTCAATCCGAATGGTACATTGGAAGAGGAGTGGGGTGAGTGAGCAAGAGTAATAAATAGTAGTCGAGCTATCAGAAAGTCTGTCGAGCCCTATCCATCCATCCTTTTTTTTCTTTGAGCTTCGACACGTATGACCAAGTACTCATTAGGGTTCAAAAACAAGCCTGCAAGCTAAACGATAGACATCATCATTGGAAAAGGTAATGAGCTCATTCTCTATCTCCATCTGGCACACGGTACACATTTTATTGTGCTTCTATCGAGCTCCTATAAGGCTACCATGCATATTCTAGCTATAAGTAAATTTTGAGGCCATGAAGTATGCTAGCAGACTTATGTTTTATACTAGTTCGTGGTACCTTCTCAAGGCGCTCAAATGCTTTCATGCTCCAAGCTGGGAATATTATTGCAGCGAATGTCCAACATTGCAGAGATTGCCAAGAAGGCAGCGGCAGGGCCTTCAAGGCTGTTGTGACGTTACGGTAGCAGTGTAGCTATTGCAGGGGCACCCGGCCTATATTTGCTATTTCGACGACGACAAGAGATATAAATATATATATATGTACGAGAGTTATAATACAGCTGGTATTTCTAGTATTGGGAATTAGTTGAAGATGACGAGTGATGCTCCTGAATGCTTGCATCAAGAAGGGGGGGGAGACTTTCTGCTTTACTTGTTGTCTCGTTAAGTGCCGTTAACATCCATCTCCCACATATTGTAGTTCAGACATACCACGGTGTCTGGAGTCAGATTATGCTTTCTACTATGAATTGGCGAGAGGACATATAAGATACAAAAGAAGGTACGATTGTCATTCTCATAGTATTATACGAACGTAATACTCATTATAGGTCTGACAGCCATACTGGTAGGCTTCTTAAAGGCCCGGTGGTTTCTGAATGAACTGCATATTGTCACCATCAATAAGCATTATGCCCAGCACAAAGAATATAAACTGACGGTTTGTGGAATTGTTATCTGTGTGCGGAATCATCAGAATATGAAGTCGAAACGAGTGTGCCCATGAGGGAGAGTTGCACATCGAAAGCTTCTCGTGGACGAAGTTAACCACTTCAGTCCCCATGTCTCGAAATCGTCGTATCTGTAGATATGAGAATGATGTGATCCCAAGCACTACACACGTTTGAGAGCTGGTAAGAATGAAGTCCCGTGCCTCGGACAGAGATTACCAAACGCAGTTATGTTTTGTGGTAACCACTATCTATGTCTTCCAATATTTGTAAGTTCGGGGCCTTGTAACCTGTCTCTCAGTGAAATTTTCCTTCCGACTCGCTCTAATGGGATCAAAGCGACAAGGCCCAGGATGCAATCATAATATTTCATAGTAACGAACTCAAGGCAGATACAAGGCGGATACTCTGACCATCTTCTCGATGCTTGCGGCAAGCACAATCGTTCATCCATTGATTGGGGTTCGGCGCTTCATGTTGTGTGTAATGTATTTTGCTTGCCCAGAGGAATCAGGGCTATTCCTTCAAATTTTAGCCCTCCAGAGTCTCGCTCTCAAGGCTGAGATAAGCTGCTGGCATAGCTGATCACCAACCACAGCCCATAAATAAAGCAGGTGCTCAAACGGGAGCTGTTCAGTGCGGGGGCACATTGATATAGTGTGACAAAAAGAAATTGGCGCGGGCGTAGGATAGAAGCGATATTTTACGGTTCGCTAATTCGGCCCGGGCGACCATCATATAAAGCTGATTGGTTCCATAAGTCTGATCAATAGGCTCTAGTCACCAAAGCCTGCACTGAGTCACGAGGTAAAGACCAGCATGATCCCGACAATTGTGTATGACTTCGAATCAGGCAATCTGGTCTCGTTCTCGACCCTAGAGGTTTGTGTGACCTCGTGATTTAATGGACTTTTGTGATCACTCCTACCGAGCAATTATGATCGATGAGGTTCAGCAGCACATCATCTGTACTTGCACCCCGCGATGGACGAGTTTTGTTGTGGTCAACCAAGGATACACGTCATGACGATCTTGCCAAGCGCACCAAGTCAGGTCACAGTATAAGCAGACTAGCGATACGAGGTCGGCTACACTGCAGAACGAGAGGGTTCAATATATGAGCGAGAGGTAAAGGACGATTGGACAGCAGCCAGAAAAATTAGTTCGTTAGCACAGCTCGAAATAAACAAATCTTGGGTACAAGTAGCAACACATGTCATCTGGCCTCCGTGCGGTTCCGGGGGTGCAACGTCAGTGCAGAATCGTACCGGTTAAATTGAACGCAACCCGAGACTCTGTTTGACTAGAGCCCTACATCTACAGATTAGATATGGATCGTTTTTATTGAGCCACGAGTACCGACGAGTCTCTGTGTATGGGAAGTCGACGAGAGCTGACACTCACGCAACAATTCCTTGATCAGCAATGGCTGGAGTTTGACTCTTCCTTTCAAGAACATCGTACCATGTTAGGCATGCTCAGCCACTTGGTTTCTCCTGCTCGCAAAAATAAATGCTCCAATTCACGACCCGGGCAGGCACTGACTGTCGTTAACGCCGGCGTGAGGAGAGTAACAACATTTGGAGAATATCAACACTTCAAAAAAGTCTGAAAAAAACGTACAACACCGGGGATTCGCTGGTCGTCACCGACCCAACTACTGATCCGGCGGTATCGAGCTTGTGTACAGGGGAGCGGACGGGACCCTCAATTCTCTCGATCCTATGGTCGTACGTGGAAGAGAAAACTATTAAGTCAGTATATAATTGAGCATTCTTTTTCAGATAAAAGGGGCAGGCCTGGGGTTTCCAGCAATTTCCCAACGCTTCCTTCAAGAGCTCGGCCGCTGCGCCGAGATCTCCTTCTGCTTGAATTGTCGCTCGACCTCGCCAGCAAAGTCTCCCAGCGTCTGGAAACGCCATTCGTATCCGACCTTATCCTTGCCACCAACCTTGTCCACGCACTTCTTCTCGTCTTCGCCCCTACTGATCCAAACACTCCTCCTACCAAGCTGCTTGCACGGTACATGATCAGCAACAACGCTGTGCGCAACGTGCAGGACCTGTCCCCTGTCGCAGTCTAGGTTGAATTCTTTACGCATGTGCCCAGCGAGATACTCGAAGTTGCGGACAGACGGCTTGTATGAACCAATGTCCTGGGCGGTATACAGACCTTCAAACTTGATAGGTGCCAGTCTTTGCTCGACGGTTGCCTTAATGCTGTTGTTGTCGATGTTGCTCAGGATGGCGAAGGTTGGATAGTACTTCTTGAGGCGGCTCAGAGCATCAATTGAGTCTGGAAAGGGTAGCCAAGTTCCGGCCGAGTTGCCAAAGGGCTCGGCAAGACCGTCAGTGATTGGCATATCATTTTCCTTGGCAAGTCGCATGATTGCGCCGACAAGGACCTCGTTATAGGCCAGTGCTGGCATTTTGTGCTCAATCTCAAAGATGAGAGCGTGGAGTCTGTCAAGGAGCGCTCTGGAGTCCTTCTTCTCACTGACCTCCTTCTGGGCGACAAGGAGATCTAGCGTCCTGAGCATGCCCGCGTCCTCGTCAATGATGGTGCCGAAACAATCAAAGCTGAACAAGAATCTTTAGCTGTTGCTCGACCAGACCCATCAGGAGGTAGCATTGGTGCCCAACACACCTCAGTGCTTCGAAGCTGGTGAGATCAGGATTTGGAGCCATGGCGGGTTGCTTGACATGGGCGTCGTTGTGGATTAAGATGTAGCATGCAGTCATTAAATGCTGGAGCAATGGAACTTTGGGCTCTGTCTTCATCGTGGGCACCCGCCCCCCGCTAAGTGAGACTGCATTTCGCCACTACATGTGACATGGCCTGTGACAAGTACCATATCACCCCGCACCGCGATCCAAGTACATACGCGTGGCATGATCTGCAAATGATGCCTCTACTGGGGGCTGAAAGGCCACGACATAATGGAACAGCGTGATGATGTCAGCCCACATACACAGGGCACATGACCAGGGCAAGCCATTGCTGAGCAGCGCAGCGACGTTTGGTGGACCGTTGCAGGCTACATAGTACCTTTCAAGTCGATACTCATTCATGTCAAAATTAATGATTATTTGTAAACGCCATAGCCTGGACCCATACGCAAGAATCGCAGGTTGCGATATGCACCCTTGCCTCGTAGTTGAGCTCACTACATTGGCATAAACTTTTGCTCGTGATGTTGCCAACCAAAGACCGGGGCGGCTCTTGAGTCGACGTGATACGGAGCAACAGAGGGTGACATGAAGCGCCCATTTGCGAACACATTAGGAATCAATGCTCGAGCATCGTTTCGAGCGGATTAGATGTACAGGTGCCGAGGGCAGCTTCCGATCAAACTCCCAGACGGCTCAGCCTTGACTCGAACAGAACGTGGATGTCATGCTACCGATCTACACTGCACAAAACCCACCAAGCCCTCAGATTGTACTGGTTGGGAGTCCTCATAAGCCAGGAGGGCTTATAAAGCTCGCTTCACGCGCATAGCGAGATCAACACCCGTCATTGATATTCTATGACGTCTCATCATCCTTCTCCCGCCTCGAACGACCTCTCTTCCTCTTGCGCTGCTCGTGGATCTCGCGACTGGATGCCGTGACCGTTTCCCTGCGCCAGCCAGGCCTGACCCGGACAGGTTTCATGTACCCGTCAACATGGACCGCACCGTACATCTCGTCTTCGCTGTCGACGTCGATATCGACCTTCATGCCGTGAACTTGCTTCATGTGCCTGACCATGTTTGATCTGCGCTGAAAGGGCTCTCTTGACCTGGGACACTCGTCAACTTTGCATGGGAACACGCGACCTGCATGTGCCGAGTCTGAGCGGCTTCGTGAGGAAACGGATGGTCCCCGTGAAGTTGCACGCCCACGAGATGATGCGCGATCGATCTCCGAGTCAGCATGCCCGCTGGCTGGCCCGACTGATGCCTGATGTAGTGCATCCTCCACGTCTATGTCCTCGCCTGGCAGACCTTCAAGTACAATCCGAGGCATTGGCATTCCGGCCAGGAAGGTTCGTGTCGATGTCCATGTATCATGGTCATGTCGAGTTTCCTCGAGCGTATGTGTTCTCGTTTGCTGCCTGAAGAGATCTGCGCAGCGCGTTGCAACACGGTTAATGACCTGTGGCGAGAAGCCAGCTAACGATGCGGCCGCCAGAACATCGGTCCAATCGCGAGGCTGGAGCTGCCTCCTCCGGCGTTCACTGAAGCTGTGCGCTCTGGTTTGTTGGGGCGCTTTGCTCTCTGCTTCTGAGGCTTTTGCTTCTCGTGCTGAATTCTCCTGGCTCGGAGGTGACGACCCCAGCCTCATGTGCATCGGTATCCTCAACTTGCGTGTCCGTGAGACACGAAGGACGTAATCTGAGTCGCTTTCTCCCGGTAGTCTAGGATACTTCTTCTTTGGTCTACCTCGTTTGGTCTGCTCATGTGAAGCAGCATCAAGCGTCGGCGCGTCTGGATCCCACTGACTTATGAAACTCTTGATAACTTCTGGTTTCAGTAACATCCTGCGTTGTCTGGGAATCGTGGGCTCGCGACTTGCAGATCTCTGCCGCGATCGCGTAGAGTGCCCAGAATCCGAATCGGAGGCATCGGAGAGGTAGCTCGTCGCCGCATCCTGGGCGTTATGCAGAGCAATCAAAGTATCATCAAGCTTGGACATGATATGCCGCGCGCAGGGCGCCAGTATCTGCTGCGAAGCATCATCATTTGCTGAAACAACAGGGATAAGGCCATCTATTTTCTGGCTTGCAAAGGACTTGATGCGCCTCTGCGTGTTGACGTTTGGCTCGTCAAGTTCCATGCCAACAGACTTGGGATTCGAGGGACTGTAGTCGCGCTCCGACACATCCGGGCTATCGCGGCTGTCCATGCTGGCGACCCAAGCCCGAGAAGAGAAGTGATCCTTGGCGGTACGCAAGACACTGGCGACGATAGCGTCTTGCATGGCTGAGCTGGGTGTCTCCTTTACATCCATGCGCAGGGAGAACCTCTCGACCGGGTCGGATCTTGACGCACGCCGCAGGAAGTCGGCTTGTGGGACTCGCGACGTGTCTAGGGGCCATGCCGTCCATGAACGTGGTGGCACCCAGGAGTCTGTCTGGACCATGCGGCCAGTCTCCGCGTCGTTGTCCTGGTCTCGCAAGTTAGTGTGCTTGGCAGCTCTGAGATACATAAGGACGCAAGGCTTGCCTGTTCAGGATCTGGCGCGGCCATTAACGTGTCATGTGTCCGATGACGATACTTGAGAGCGAAGGCGTTATAAAGGTGCAGCGACAAGTTGCGGTCGCGGATCTGTTCAAGCGCAGTGGCGTTGCTGATCTCCTGGGCATTGAACGCCCGCCATGTGGACGGTGGCCCTTGCCACTGCCGGGCATCGACGTCGCCAGACTCATCGGTCTCGTATGATGAAATAGAACTCGCAGCGGAGTCATCAGAGGCGTTGCCGCCTGCCGACGCCATTTTTGCTGGATGTGTCGAGTTGACCCGTGGTAGTTATGCAGAGGTAGGCAGAATGTGCTGTGATGCAACCTGACAGAAATTGCGGATCTGCCACCCACCCAGAGCGCCGTGCCCAGAAACACCCAGCGAGAACTCTACCCGAAATCAAGGACCATTGCGTGCCTTCGCACCCGAACACAATCACCTTTTAATGGCCTCGTGTGATCTACCTCATTGTTTTATCAACATGCTCCTACAGTATTCTGCGATCGGATTTGCATGCATTGTGCCCTCGAGCTCTTCACACGACCACACCGATTGGAATGCATGTCATGAAGTGCCTTTTAATGTATAAGTAACGATGCGCCGCTGAACGCCAAATTTGACAGCTGATATGTAGAGTGGCTCGGCAAGTGCAACCGAAAAAGATATCTATGCCCTATTCTTCTGCTTCTCAATCTTGCGCCTTTTCTCCCTCAGCACCTTGTCCTGGTCGCTCTTCTTCTTGTTGGTGTACTCCATCATGTCGTAAAGTCTCCGTTTCTTCTTGCTCAACATGCCCTTGGCACGCTCAAGATCCTCCGCTTCCTCACGGGCTTGTGCTGCAAGTTTCTTCCGCGCTTCAGCCTTGGCCTTGTTCTGAGGCGTACTGGTCGCTGCGCGCTTAACGGGTTTGCCTGCTAGCTCCGCCTCGAGCTCCTTTTGACGCTCAATCTCCGCGGTCTGCTCCTCGTCCTCGTCCTCTTCGTCCTCGCCGTCGTCTTCCTCAAACCCTCCGAAAGAGCCGTCTTCCGAGCCATCTTCATCTTGGTCATCGTCTTCAGCAACGTCCATGTCGTTCTCGGCACCCTCGCCATCCTCCTCAACGTCGCTCTCAGCCAGAGCTTCAGCTTCTGTCTGTTGCTCCTCAAGAGGAACGGTAGGATCATATGCGCCCTGGGTGCTCTTGACGAAGGGGCTCAGGTGAGGTGGAAGAGACGCGCCCGGTGCGTACAGATCCGGTCGCTTCAATTCTACGTCATTGACCGAGTCCCAAACCCATTGAGGCTGGATGTAAGTTCGGCCAGGCACTCTCTGATTCGCAGCAAGCTTCTGCGCAGTCTGATTGTCCTCAATCATGCCGTTGCCCTGAGCATTTTGCAGGACAGGACGATCAACGATATGATGAGTGATGGTGGGGTCAAGCTCGTTTGTAGTGTAAGCGCCTTCGCCAAGCACGGCGTCCCAGCCTATCCTCTTGCAGCCGAAAGCACGCAGGATGAACTCCAGCGGTTGCCGCGGAGTTTCCCTGGAGAGGTAGAAAGTGCAGTTGGCAAACAGTGATCCGGCGTCATTTCCGTCGTAGCTGGGCTGCAGCAGAACGTCACCACCAGGTGCAGCTGGCTCGAACTTATCCAGAGAATCAGTGATCTCGTCGTCGTTGACGCTCGCACCTTGCGATCGAGGCTCAGAACTATCGTCCTGCTGCCTCATCTGACTGAGCAGCTTGTTTACAGCAGCTTGCGTCTTAGGGTCAGGCCCGGCCGAAGTTGTGCTTCCGCCGCTAGTGATCTGCTTTGGCGCCTGCTCACCCTCGATGGCAGCGCGATTGCCCTCAAGCTTGAACGCCCCAAGCTCGCCAGCCAGGTCATCCTTGGCCTGGTCAAAGACAGGCGGGTACTTGAGACCAGCAGCAGTGTACAGACGAAAGTTGATAAACTTGAGCAGGGTCATGTAAAACTCGACAAAGGTGCCCATGATCCTGAAGTCGATGTCTCCAACAACACGTTGATTGAACTTGTATGGTACGAGCCACAGAACGTCCTCGCCCTGGATGTTGGCCTGATAGTAAATTCCCTTGATCGACAGGAAAGACTTTTGTAGGCTGTGCGAAGTGATGATGTAGTGCTGAAATTCGAGACACAGGCGCTCGCATTTCGCAACCATCTTTGCGGGGACAGCGGCAGTAGAAGGAAGATTGGCGAACAGGAAGAGCATCGACAGGCAGTCGTCTAGATCGCGGACAGCGTCCACAAAAGTCGGGTATCGCTCGCGGATGACATGGTCGAGAGTGTATCGCGGCTTGCCGGTCTTCTCGGGGCGGGCTGCGTTCCGTTCTAGACGGGCGGCATCCGTGATGTCGCCACGGCCGAGAGCTCTGGAGATCTTCTTCTCGAGAACTTTCTGGTCGCGAAACTTCTGGAGGAGGGGCTCGTGCAGTAGATACTGAATGTCCTTAGTGTAGTAGAACGTGGTTGATGCGGTCGAGCTCTTCGAGGCCTTGTGGCGATTGCGCGGCTCTCGCGGGAAGATGCTATAGTCTGCGTTAGCACATGAGTGATCAAGCCATGATCCCTTGATGTCGGATGCTGGGCCGATGGCCTTTGAGGCTAGGAATGAGACGTACCCTTTCCAGATACATAGCTTGCGGAAGTCAGGAAGACTAAGCTGGAGCTTCTTGACAGCCTGTGTCCGGGTGATGTAGTTCTTGGCATTACCAGAAGTACCCTTCTTCTTTCGTTCTCCGGCCATTGTAGCGATCCTGTTCACAGACAACGGATGTGTGAGGCCTGTGGTGGGAGAGTTGTGGCAGGATCTGGAACCGGGGACCAGAGTAAGTTGCACTGCACCAGCAAAGTCGGCCTGGAAGAACGAGTGGGCAGCGCGCATGCGCCGCGCGACCAGCCTTCTGGACTTTTTTTTCTTTATCGATAGGTGAACCGAGCAATCTTATCGGGCAGGTGAGGCACCCAGGAATCCAGGGTCCACCGCCCCACTGGTTAGCCTAAGTGGGGAGCTTGGAGCGCCAGGGGTTGCTGCGCTGACGGACAGGTTGTTGCAGGCCACAAAGCCAAACAAGTGCTACGTGTACGTAGCTTTTACATTGACGACTGCCGCATCACCTCCTCAGTCCTTTCCATTCGCCTTCGAAGTGCCAACCGAGATCCTGTCCTTGAAGCGTCGCCTCGACATATTAAACACTGGCAGATAGCACCTAGCCATCGGCCCCGCGCGTTGCCTCTGTTTGGACCGTGTCTCTTGGCCATGGAATCCCGCAATGACCAACGGTAAAGCGCACCTCCAGAGCCAGGTTGGCCTGTACGCCGTAGCCGCTGCGCTCCGCCTCAGCCTCTTCGTCTTCTTCCCTAGTCTCCCTGGTCTTCTGGCAGACCGCGTGGAGGTTTCGACTCCGGTCAACAGCTTCAAAAGATGTTCGTGCGGTCCCCTCCACCACACAGGAGCTCTGGCGGCCCTGACGATGACGATGCTAATGCCTGTTTACGAAGGAACAGTTCTCGAAGGCCTTTACCTGTACAACCATAATGTGTCAGCATACGATGGTGGTGTATACCACCAGGCGCCTTTATTACTACCACTTTTCTCCGTCCTGCCCGATCCGCAAGCCTGGCCTGTTTTCACCTACTTGCTCTATATTGGAATCGACCTCTTGAGCGCCCACGCCCTCAGCCGCATCTCCGATTCGGGCGAGGCTGCGTCCTCGCGCCTATACACATCAGGCAGGAAAGACAGGAGATGGAGTGGCCTAATTGTCGCTGCTCTGTAAGACCACCAATCTGAGATCTTACTCTCGCTGCGTCTGGCGAGTCTTTGCTAACCATGGCCACAAGATTTCTCTTCAACCCTTACACCATTGCCACATGTCTGGGACGTCCTACCTCTGTCTTCACGACCTGTGCAATCCTGCATGCCATTGCGGAGGCTGTAGATGCCAAGCCCATGACAGCCTTCATATTGTTGTCTTTTGCGGCATACTTGTCCATGTACCCCATCCTCCTTCTGCCGCCATTGTTGCTCCTAGCGTATGATCGCCAGTTGCCTTTCAATAGGGACTCAAAACTACCCGTCTTCGCAGCCACAGGCGTGGGCATTGTTGTTGGGTGCATCACGCTCCTGCTCATGATATCGTACCTTCTGACCGGGTCGTGGGAATTCCTATGGTCTACGTATGGAATACAGCTGACTCTGAATGACCTTGCCCCAAATGCGGGTCTCTGGTGGTACTTTTTCATCGAGATGTTTGACAGTTTCCGCTCATTCTTCCTGGCAGTGTTCTGGTTGCACCTGGCCTCCTACGTGGGGGGGTTGACGATACGTATCAGAACACAGCCCTTGACAGTTATCACCTTGCTGCTGGGCCTCTTCGGCATTTTCAAACCATACCCCAGTATCGCCGATACGAGTATATTCTTCGGCTTGATTCCCCTCTTTCGGCACTTATTTCCTCTCATGAGATACAACTTCGTCATCGCCGCGGCCATGTTGTATGGGTCGTTCCTTGGTCCCACGTTTTACCATCTCTGGATCTATGCTGGTAGCGGCAACGCCAACTTTTTCTATGCCATCACGTTGGTCTGGAGCTTGGGCCAGAGCCTTCTTGTCAGCGACCTGACCTTTGCCGCACTCCGAGATGAGTGGGAGGTGGAGCGACCAGAGATGGTGGGTAAGGAGATCAAACAGATATAGCCGGGCCCTTGAGAGCTTGAGAAATCTCATGTCGCAGCTCGTGCATGGTGGGGCGTACGTCTCTGACGACGAGGGTTTGGTAGAAAGAGATTCATAGTAGTTAAAAGACTGACGGCTGTCATATTGTCCCCGATCCGCTACAGAATGAAGGGGAATCTCATTCCATGAAACATTCTCTCTCGTCACACATGCAAGCTCGCCCTTCATGCGTCAAGTCGAGAATATTTCCCCTTCTCGCTCGGCTGGGATGAATGATCCAGCGAACGATCCGCTAACGCGGGGGTGCCCTTGGAAGCTGGGCAACATAAAGAGTAGGCTCTCTGGCCTTGGTCTTTTCATGACTGGTGGAAACTCCATTGCTAGACTAGCTTGCATTGCTCTATCTACCATGTGTGAGCCGCACTGCTCATGTCAAGATCATGGCTAATGGGACAAGTCGAGTTGATCGCGGTGCCTGTTCGTCATTGTCTTCGATCGAAGCCACGCAGTGCGCAGCCACAGACCGCCATTGATAAGCTTCACGCATCGAGGAATTATCGTACTTGAGCGACGATGACGGAGTTGACGACATCATTGTAGGGATGGACGACAGAACATATCTTAAGTCTTGGTGCCAGTGCTTCCGTCGCCAAGTCGACCTCCTGAGTAGCGATGAATTCGCATGTTAGCACTGCGATACAATCACTATGTCTGACAGATTCCTTGGCTTGAGACAGGGCATACCGGATACAAGCAGGTTCGGAGACCCCAGCTGGTTCGCACCACGAACATGGAGCCAGACGTCATTTTTGACACCACTCTCAGTATGAGTTGCTCCTTCTCGCGCTTAGTTTGTCCGACAAGAGCGGCGAGGAAGACCGTGTCAAAGTCGGCCAAGTCGCTAACGGCAGCTTCCTGGCAGAGGAACTTCAAGTCTCCACACGACGTGGTGTCGAGATCCTGATCATTCACATCAATGCCGCTATCGGTTTCTCTTCCGTTACGTAGCTTAGATACCATCAATGATGAACTTGTGATGGCTGCTCGGGAATGATCTATATTCAGGATTGTGGCTGTGTTGGTTGAGAATTCGTCGTGCCGTTTTGACCCGGATCGGAGATGCTGCCAACGATTCACCAGGTCGAGCATAAACATAGACGACAGAGGCAATGGCCCAGAACCGATAAAGGCTATTCTTCGTGGCAAGGAATCCGCGACGGATAACAAAGCAGATATCTCCAGTCGAGTGAGGTCGGTGTAGTTCTGGTGGTACGGGAACTGCTTCAGTCGCGATTCTGCCTCGAACCTGTCCTTTGCATTTCCAATGTACTCCGCCCAGTGAGCCTCGAGCTGATACTCTGCCTCGGCACACTTCTGTCTGAGAGAGGGCAGGATGGATCGGATATCGGCGTTCGAGAGGACCTGCAAAGGGTGTCCAGCATTAGTTTATCAGCCATCGCGCTGGACTTGAGTCCTCGAGAAGTGTAAGAAGAGAGGCGTACTTCAGTGACGGTGCATGTGGTGTGGACTTCACAGCAACTTGCTACTAAATCTCCAAGCATGGAATTGATAAGCTCTCCCGGGGTGAGATCTGGGAGAAGCAATAATTGCCGGTGAGTATCGATGATTGTTTTTGAAATCCGACGGGCTGCGCGTGTCCGAGTCTCGTGCTCAGCATCCTGTGTTTCAATCTCCGGTGACATAAATCGATTTCGGAGGCAAAGTAAACGATTTGCCCATGAAGGCGCTTTCTTGCTCATGGTCACCTCTATGCCCGCGGCTGTGGGAAATGATGAAGGTGTATCGTGCCACAGCACAAACGCGCAATGAGGAATATGGCTGACCCCGATGATCCAAGCACATCAGACATTAGACTTGTACAATGCCAGGATGACCAGAAAAACCTTGCATGCCCTTCATCCAGTCACCCAATTACGGAAGATGATTCTGCCACTTCACATACTGACGAGAAGAGACCGCATGAACCCATGAAAGTCCGAGGCTTGATGATGTGGCAACCCCGCTTGCCTGCGTGAAGATCAGGGCGCATTTTGCAAATTTTGGCAGTCCTGCTCAATCGCCGACTTGGGAACGCCAAGGCAAAGTCTCGGGCCGGGCCGTTGATACATGTCGATAGCTGAAGGCTATCGCATGGTGCCTTTCAGTACGAGTCGTCTCTTCACAACGTCAACAAAGCTTGCTTTACGCCATCATTGACTGGCCGTCTGTGGCCTCAAATCTCCCGCAGAGCCAACAAAGGTCGCCTGGCGTCGCTCCGCAGTGAAGGCCGGGCGGAGGATGAGCCGGAGCCAACTTGGCAAGCGGCCCTCAAGGTTCTCTTACTCCGCAGTGCTAGTGGCGTCTACTTGTCAGTCTGCAACGGATCTTTGCAGAAGAAAATTTTCAATGATTGTACTGGCGGCATGCATCTAACAGGGCCCATGCTGTTCGTTCACGCGGGCAGGATACCCTTTGTTCTGCTGAAGACGGGCGACAGTGGATGCTAGCTCTAGTCACAACAATCCCTGCTCCGGCGCCTCGAGACGGGTAGTTGCAGAACCTGGTAGGGTGTTGTCACACAAGTGGGATGACAGTCAACACAACCCTCCCTCGAGCCGTCATCTTTGTTGTCTTGGCGCGAGAGACTGTGTGAGGCCAGGGGCGATGAGCGTCGCCGGGTCGTGTGTTGGGATACATGCCTGAGCAACGGGGCAGGAAGGGACGAGGTTAAGGACGGCCAGAAGGCAGCTGGGAGTGCGGGCCCACAGCAGATTGAGGCTTGTGCCATCGGCAACAGTCCGCAACCAAGGAGCTGTGTCGAGCAACCCACGCCACCTTTGGAAGCAGTGGAAGGGCGACCGGCTCGACTCCTCATGGCCCTACCATTCAATATCCCGTCAAGGGCCGGTGCAACCTGGTTCCAGGTTGGCAGTACCTCGTCGTTCCCCAATATCGCTGACTCGGGGTCCAGCACACTTGCAGCCTGTGGCGATGCTGGCCATGGCCCGCCCTGCAAGGTCTTTGAGATTTCCGCCCCGGATGCGGACCGGCCGAACCAGATGACCGAGATCGAGGATCTCGACGACGCACCTCTTGCTAGCGCATTGCAAGACCAGGTCCTGGTGTTCCAGTACCGAGGCAGGTTCCATGCAGTCGATAACGTGAGCCAGTCCCGCGAATCCAAATTCCGACGTCGGCACTTGATTAACGCACTCTTGACCGGCCAGAAATGCCCTCATTCCTCCTATCCCCTGTCTAACGGTGCGCCCTTTGACATTGAAGACTTTGGCGTCGTCCTCAGCGCCGGCCTGACATGTCCTAAACACGGATGGTCCTTTGACCTCTTCTCCGGCCGCGCTGATCGCGGCAATTACCGCCTCAAGCTGTGGGAGGTGCAGCTACGTCCTGCCAGCGGAACAGGCCCTGTCGTAGATGGGAGACTGGCGAGTGCGGCGTCGACCGAGGAGCATCAAGTGTGGATCCGGCGAAAGCAGAGGATGGGCTGATGAGCTTGGCTGTAACTTTATCGTGCTTGAGTGCACCACGGAGAGCCGCCCGAACAGCCAGATTCTCAACCCGCGGCCTGTCAAGCAAGGTATACATGTGATAGCAAAATATAAGGAAGAAAGGCTTCTCGAGACAGGTCACAATGTTGCAGGCGTCGCGGCCACATAGTGTGAAGTGGAAATCCACCTTGATGCAATCGGCTGGTCTAAACCAAGTGATTTACCAGCTCACCTTTGCTCGGCTCCGCATTTCTCTCTTGCAACTGCGACCTCAACCACGGCAACCACTCCGCGCCATGCTGGCAAGATTACAGTCTCGCACCACGACCACAACCTTAAAGACAGGCGCATTCGCTTTCAAGGCTATACAAAACGCTTCCGCAACCGCTTTTCGCACCTCTGGCCAGCTGCGTCTTGATAGCTTTCTCGCCATGGCCCGTACCTACGATGGCGCGCTAGCACGACTTGCATCGTTGCAGTCCAACAAGGCTATCACGGCTTTGTTTGACCCTCCTGCGGCATCCACGACAGATAATTCCAAACCCGTGGACCTCAATGCGCTCGCCATCCCTGAAATGCTGGGATGGCTTGAACGTGCTGGCCTCAGTGCTTCGGATCTAGCCAGGCTAAGATGCATCCATGTCGCTGGGACCAAAGGGAAAGGTTCTGTATGTGCCTACCTCACATCCATCCTCACACAGCCCTCGGCTCGATCTGTGGCTGGCCTTGTGGGCACGTATACCTCTCCGCATCTTGTCACAGTCCGTGAGAGGATACAGCTCGATGGACGGCCTATCAGCCAGCAACTATTTGCTAGGTATTTTTTCGAGGTTTGGGACGCCTTCACGGCGTCAGCACGGTCAAAGGCCACGAGGGACAGCATCAGTGTCTCTGAGGAGGACCTCGAGGGCCCTGGCACGAAGCCCTTCTTCTTCCGCTTCTTGACCATCATGGCATTTCATGCCTTCCTGCGGGAGGGCGTGAAGAGTGCTGTCATAGAGTGCGGAATCGGTGGCGAATATGATTCCACCAATATTCTGCCCATGGAAGCAGTGACCACAGCTGTTGTCACACAGCTTGGTATCGATCACGTCGGGATGCTGGGCGGGACATTGCCAGAAATTGCGTGGCACAAGGCTGGCATCTGCAAAAAAGACCGCGCCTGTTTCACCAGACGGCTCGCTGGCGGAGACGAACAGGAGAGAACCATGCAGGTATTGCGCGAACGAGCAAAAGCAGCACAAGCGCGGCTGTTGGAAGTCCCGGACGAAGAAGTGCAACAATGGAGTGGCGTTAATCGAAGCGAAGCGGCCAGCAGTCTTGCCGGCTCATTTCAGAAGTACAACCAGGCCTTGGCAGTTGGTGCCGCTTTGGAGCACATGGCTCTCCTCTCTTCTTCCGACCAGCGGCCAGACGAGGTATCAAAATGGCTCCAAGACGTTCCCGGTTTCTTCAAGGATGGACTTTTGCAGGCTCATCTCCGCGGCCGCTGCGAAACTCGCGAAGATAATGCCATAACATGGTTCATCGACGGTGCTCATACTGCAGAAAGCCTACAGGGAACTGCCAGGTGGTTTTCCAGCAGCATTGGATCAGTCAGCGGCGCACAGAGGATACTTGTGTTCAACCAGCAGGACCGGGACGTGACGAAGCTGTTGCAGGATTTGCTTGACGGCATAGAGAACGATTCGAGGGACACGCACTTTGATTACGCGATTTTCACCACGAATGAGTTCGAGCGTGCCCAGACAGACCTCTCGCCAACTGATACCTCTGTGCAACATATTGCAATGACAAGCATGAAGGTGCTCTCACCAGCAACTGATTCCAGAGTTTCAAGAAGCGTTGAAGAAGCAATTCGGGACGTCCGAGGACTGGCAAACACAGCCGAGAAGAATGGCCAAAAGACTGTCGTGCTAGTGACGGGCAGCTTGCACCTTGTTAGTGCTTTTCTAAGGTGTATTGAACCTGGGGAGGATCCATAGCTTCAGAATCGAAATACCAACTGCTGCAAGACTTGCCCGGCTTCTTGGTAACGACTGCTGAGTAGGACGAGTCCTCGTCTCGCACGTTGCCAAATCTGTTTGATTTTGAAGATCTCATCCCGAGCACTCTGTCCTGAGTCGATGCACGTTTGTAATGTGCTGTGCTAGATACAGAACAAGTCTTCAAAGGTTGTGAGCTCATCGTACGAAAAAAGTGGACACCGCCGGTCTGTACAGACTGTCCGAATCTGGAGTCGCGTGTCTCCGAAATTCTTGTCTACACGCAGTCAAAGACCGCTCACAATCTGGACGCGGAACTACTTGGCGAGGTCATTCAGGTGCACTTGGCATCACTCATTGGCACGAGATGATCGGGTCATGCACAGCTCACATGGACATGCTGCGCTTGCGAACGTCATCTCGCATCATTGGGCAGCCATGGCTTCGCAGAGCTGTTCCTGCACCGCCCGTGGCTAGGCATTCCATGGCTGTGTTGCAGCGACTCACATCCACGACGACCGGACGGGCTGCGGCCACAAAACAATCACCAGCAACGGCATCTGCGGTCGTGGAAGGAGTCGGCGCAGCGAAATTACCACCACCAACCAAATTTGGTATGTAGCCTCTCAATGACCAGCGCTCACTCACAAGCCACGGCCAATATGTTATAACGTTCACTCCCTTGTCTCCGAAGGAAGTGTGCTGATAGGGACGCGAGCAGTGTTTCCTGAACGCCTGTGCGTCTACCACGCTGGCACTGGGCGGGTGACTTTCCTGGCATGTCTGAAGGTGTCGACGCTCTTCATCTTTACTTTCTTCGCCTTCGTGGTGACACCATTATATCTGGAGCGTGAGGGCTTTTCGGTGACTGTGCTGCGTAGTAAGTTCCACCGATTTCGTCCATGTTCTCTTGCTATCTGATTATTGCCCATCGAGTTACTCTTTCAGAGATGTCCTTGCACTGCGTGCTCGTATGAACGAGTGAGCAGAGCTGGAAAACCCTGTCGATGCACGTGCTTGCTAATGGGAAGAATATAGCTACCGCGTCAGCCGTCATACCATTGGCATTTGTAGCATGGGCTACATCTCCATTCGTTACATTCATCCACCTCCGCCTACCGCCATACGCGCGACAGTCTGAAGACATGCTGAGGCGATTTATTACTGCCCAGCTCGGCAGCGCAGCAGCCAAGTCCCCTACTCGTGGAATCAGTGGTCGATCTGCCGTAGCAGGAGGACTTACGGGCGAGACAGAGCTCGAGATTACGACGATGAGCTACATCGCCAAGCCTCGCCTTAGCGTTGTGCGACTGGAAGAGCTTAAGCCCGTTAGAAAGAGGCTAGGCATCGTCAATTATTCACGCGACACGACGGCTGAGAACGCGAGGAGAAAATGGTACATGTTTCCAGCTGTGGCAAGCTTCAGTATCCAGGAGACTTCAAACACGATGCCCAAGGTTCCCTGGGTGTGGAGCAAGATTGCAGAGAGGATCCAAAGTGTGTCAACGTGAGCCGAAGTTCGAGGTGATAGAATGTTGGCATGCACAGACTTGGAAGAAGAGGCATGATAGCAGTCTCAAACAATAAAGGACAGTGAACGAGTTCGATCTTGTACCAGTTATCCTCATTGCATCATATAGATTAAACTATTTGAGATCGAAAGTGATGCTTGGCAATGAAAGCTAGCATATGGTCATAGAGTCCAGAGCCCAGGTGCGGGTCAAGTTGAGACGATGCCGTACCTGACCAACCCCAACATGCCGCCCAGTAGTATCGCCACAGGCGGGCTCAGGCCATACCAGCAGCTACCGACGTAGCTTGTTGCTATAACAACTACCCACCACGGATCACTAGTCAGGCTCACACCTTGCTCACGGCCCTCGTCGATCCAGCCAATCTGCAGTAATCTGTAGACAGCAGTGTAGATCAGTCCTACCGCGGCAGCGTTGAATCCCCTCAACACCGACTTCACCAACCTTGCACCACGCAAGACGGTCCACAGGCCTACACAGCCATGGGCTATCACCATACCGGGAACGAAAATACCGATATACGCTATCAAGGCGCCTGAGAAAGCCGGGAACCCGCCGTTGATTGCAGTGAGAGAGCCTAGGAACACAGCGAAATTGAAGTTCGGCCCGGGAAAAGACTGTATGAGAGCTAGACCAATGAGAAAGTCACGTGGGCTGACCCAGCCTTCAGCCACAACGTACTCGCGGAGCAGCGGGATTACGACAGGACCACCGCCGAATATGATGGTCCCAGCAAGGTACATGTTTGAGAAGAGGCGGTAGAGCAAGGTAGCGTTGTGTGGGGAGGAAATGTCGTCGTGTGGCAGAACGCCGCGAAGGACCATCACGACCGTGAAGGAGAGGAAGAAGCAGATAATAACGGCAACAGCGGTCTTCCAGGACATGTTGAGCCTGCGATCGCGGGGTACGACGCGTGGCTCATCATGCTCCGATGGTTGGACGGGATGAACGTTGTCGCCGTGACTGTCCAGATCGGAAGTGGCAGCAGTAGATGGCCTTGACGCTGTCGGGGTTGCTGTGCGATTTGCCCGGTGGCTCCCGGGCGCCGTGGTCGACACTACCATTGGCGGAGAACCCGTGCTCTGAGAACCAGCCCGTGTCTGCAAATCGTTGCCGTCTTGCACTTCCAGATCTCGGGATTGCGTTTGTGTATTTGAGAATGGTCTCGTGACCACCCTCTTCACAGCTCGGAGAGGCCGATGGAACCACCGATAATCATACACCACTGTGCTCAGACCGGCCACTCCAATGAGGACAGGAAAGTACCATAGGGCATTGTAGAGCATGCCTGCAGCGGCGCCAAAGAACACAAGACTGCGCGTCATCTTGTCCGTAATGGCCTTGTCGGAGAGTTGCACCGCAGCAAGGGCGATCAAACCTACGGTGGCGGCATTGAGACCAGACAGAAGGGCATAAGCCGGGAGGGGGAGCTTTTCGCCAATGTTGGACACGCCAATGGACAGTGCAAACATGCCAATGGCACCAGGAAGACTATACGCAGGGTCAGCGCTTTCTCCTTAACATCAGGCTGTGTGACAAATATTATACCTCCAGAGGAAGAAGACCAATACGGCGGGCAGAGTCCCCTCGCAGTAGAGATTGATGCAGTAGAGAAGCTTGGTACTGGCCGGGCCGCTAAGGGCCTGTGCCAGGCTGAAAAGCTCCTGATACTACAAAATCGGATCAGCATGTCAGCGCTGGCCTTAACGTAGACTTGCTAGGTCTCACGGCTCGGGAGAGCTCACCACTTGCTCGTCGATCCATTCCAGCTTCTGCACAAACTTCTCATGAAACTGCAACGCATAACTAAGTCAATGCACAGATTCGGACAGGCAAGTTGGAGTAGGCGGTCTGCATACAATCTTGAAGTGGACGGGTGGCCCGCCAAAGGCCGTGACGCCCAGGTGCCAGTTGCGCTTGGTGACATTCCAAAGCCGAGCTGGGAGGTCTGCCGGGAGCAGGCCCGACCAACGCGACGAGATGCCCATGGCTGTTTTGCTGCTTTGGTTGTCGCTGACGTTGAAGATGACGAGGCAGGATCAATCGATCGGTGCAGTTCCTGATGGGGAATAATGCATCTTTCAAATCTTTCAAGCCGGAACGCGGTTGACAAAGCCCAGCCCCGGAGGGCGCCAAGCGTGATGGCGTGATGGCGTGATGGACCAGGGCTGTCTCCCAGCCAGGTTCACGAAAACCACAGCATCGAGCCTGGCCCTCCACGCGCGCATTGGTGCTGTTCGAGCAGAACGATGCGGGCAAAGACTGCAGTGCATCCACGTCAGGACATGGACTCTGTTGTGGTGCAGACCATGGACAAGGCGAGCATGTAATGGCCGAGACCCAAGGCCGCGACAAGCCGACCGAGATCGGCCCCAAACTTTTGGCACGGGTATCTGCACCTGCCTGCCTCGACGGAGCTTGTCGAGCTTCCTGGCTCCCCGCTACGACCCCTCAACACCACGCCGGATGCCCGCCACACCATGACTTGGCCCTTCGGCGATGCATCATGCCTGGCGCCGCTCCTTGTTCTCTCAGCTGCCCACTCGCTCGCCCCCTCGACCTGACCCTTTGAGAGTAGCCTTCGCATGGCCTTGCCGCCGCGCCATGACGTCTGCTTCCTTGTCGACCGTGTCCCGGTCCTACAATGTACTTCCTCAACTCCTTCGTCCTTTGCGTCCCTGCCCAGCAACCTGTTGAGCTGACATTATTCTTTGCAACAGGACGCAATTGATGCGCTCAACTCTCTCCAGACTCCCTTTGCCATTATCGAGGCCCGCCGCAAGGCGGGCATTCGGCCCGATGCTGCCTCCATTGCCGAGATGCAGGTCTACCTGCGTCGCATTGGATACACCGCCGCGGACCTTGATCCTCTAAACATCATCCATGTCGCCGGCACCAAGGGCAAGGGAAGCACTTGCGCTTTTACTGCCTCCATCCTCAGCCACCATCAGAAGCTCACCGGCTACCCGAAGCGTATCGGCCTCTTTACCAGTCCACATCTCGTGGCTGTGCGTGAGCGCATCCGCATCGACGGTAGGCCCATCAGCGAGGATCTCTTCGCACGCTACTTCTTTGACGTCTGGGACCGCCTGGGCGAAGCCGAGGCCCGCGATGGCCCCCACGTCGTCGATCAGCGCCTCGGAGGAGGCATTCCCATGCCTCCTCGGCCGATATATTCCCGCTATCTCACTCTGATGAGCTACCACGTCTTCCTTGCAGAAGGGGTGGATGTGGCTGTCTATGAAACAGGCATCGGTGGCGAGTTCGACGCCACAAATATTGTCGAACGGCCCGTTGCCTCTGGCATCAGTACACTGGGCATTGATCATGTTTTCGCATTGGGCGACACCGTTGATAAAATTGCTTGGCACAAGGCCGGCATCATGAAGCCCGGCTGTCCGGCCTTCACTATCGAACAGGTTCCTGCAGCGGAAGATGTGCTCAAACAGCGGGCGCGGGAGAAAGGCGTCGACCTGCGAGTCCTCCCGATAGACCCACGACTACAGGGGGTGGCGATTCGACCTGATGCCGCATTCCAGAAGAAGAATGCAACATTGGCGATATTCCTTGCCCAAGCCGCTCTGCAGAAACTGGACCTGGGCTTCAATTTTGACCCATGTGGTCCTGCTCTTCCACAAGACTTCATCGACGGCCTCGAGCAGGTTGTCTGGCGCGGCCGCTGCGAAATCAAACCCGAGGGCGCCGTCACATGGCATGTGGACGGCGCCCATACCGTAGATAGCCTGAAGATGGCGGCCCGGTGGTTTGCAGGCGAATGTGAAGGCAGGCAATTAACTTCCACATTCTCCAAGCCGCCTCCGCTCCATCAGGTCTTGATTTTCAACCAGCAGGGTCGCGAAGAAGCCATTCACTTTCTTGAGGGTATCGTCTCTACCTTGTCGTCCAAGAACCAGCGCTTCGAGCACGTTATATTCTGTTCGAATGTTACGTATGCTGCCACAGGGTATAAGCGGGACTTCGTTAATCACCAGTACGACCCTGAAGCCATCAAAGCCCTGACTGCGCAGCATGGTTTCGCAGAAAGGTGGCGCACGCTAGACCCCGAGGCCCAAATCACTGTTGTACCAACCATTGAGGATGCGATTGAGCTCGTGAGGAAACTCGGGGCTGAAGTCCCGGCCCAAGGAGATGGTCATGAAGTACAGGCTTTGATCACGGGGAGCCTGCATCTCGTTGGAGGTGCACTCGGCATCCTAGAAGGCGCTGATGCTTTGTAGCAAGGCGATGCTTCTGTCCTCTTGTGATTGGCAGACTTTCCATTGACACCAGCTGTTGCGTGAAAGCCGTGCTCAGTGCACTTCTCGTTGCCATACTGGATGTAGAACCTATCTCACACTCACGTTGTATGAATAATAATTGAACGCCCAGATACCTCCCATGCTCAAATCTCATTCGGAATGGCCTGTCGTGCGGCTGACCGAGATACTCACAAACCGAAATGATGAAATCGTGAACCCAGCTGTCCAATACATGACCTTATAGCTTAAGCTTCTCCTCCAGCCATTTCCTGGCGACCTCGACAGCATCCTCAATCTTTTCGGCATTGGTTCCCTGGCCCTGTCGCGTAGGCTCTTTACCTCCAGATTTTCCGCCAACGATGTCCGTGACAGCAGCGGCCCACTGCTCCGCGGTAACTCCCTTGGAAGCAAGATCCTGTTGATTGAAATATGAGTAAGTGGTCACAACGCTTCGTAAACTGTCTGGATTCTATTTGACTTACCGTGCCGACGTAGACACCGTGGACAACGGCACCCTCAGTCGCACTGCCACCAAAGATGTACACCGATTTGGTCTTGTCTTTGCTCTTGTAGTGGTTCATGACATCCGCGATAGCCTTGGCGTTCGCAGAGATTGGTAGCTGACCGACGAAATAAGTGGTGGACTTGTTCTCCTCCTGAGTGAAGTGGCTGGACACAGCATCCAGGGCAGTCTTGCTCTCGGCCTTTTGCCGCTTCTTCTGCTCATCTGTGACGTCCTTGACCACCTTGCCGAACTTCTTTTTCAGATCATCCTTGGTCAAGGTGGAAATGACAAGGTTGTTCAGCTCGACTGTCATAGATTTGATGAGAGCCTCCTTCTCGGCGCCGAACGGCAGAGCGTCGACGACCGCAATCTTCTGGCTGAACTCCGCGGCGTCTCGCTGTACCTGATGAGCAGCATCACCGGTGTAAGCGACAATGCGACGGATACCCTTAGCAATGCCACTCTCCTCAACAATGACCAGGTCCTTGATGCTGCCGGTTTGCTCAACGTGTGTGCCACCACAAAACTCGACGCTGACTTTGCGCCACTCGGGGTTCTCAGGCTCAGCAAGGAGCATATCTACCTCGATTCCGACGGAGACGACACGCACGGGGTTGGGATAGGTTTCGCCAAATACCGCCCTCACGCCGTTGATCTGTTTAGCCTTATCGAGCTCAACTTCTTTCGAGTAAATCTGCGAGTTCTGGCGAATGTAACCATTGGACAGAGACTCAATCTTCGCCAGCTCCTCAATTGTCACCCCAGTCTTGTGGGAGAAATCGAAACGTAGCTTGTCTTGGTCCACAAGAGAACCCTTTTGGTTGATGTCGTCACCAAGAACCTCCCGCAGTGAATGGTTAAGAATGTGTGTGCCAGTGTGGTTGTTTCGGATGGGCTGTCGCCGGAGCTCGTCGTACTCGGCAATGACTTTGTCGCCGGCTTTCAGCTGCCCGTATTCGAGATATCCATTGTGTACGATATAGCCACCGAACTGCTGCACATCAAGCACCTTGAACTCAGCTACATCGTCGATGACGATTCTGCCAGTGTCTGCAACCTGACCTCCCTGCTCGGCGTAGAAGTTGGTGCGGTCAAGGAGAAGCCCAAATGGTGTATTCGGCGCGAGGTCGGCCGTTGACTTGATAAACTCGGTGCCCGTGTAAATCAGTTGCACTGCGCCAGTGGTGTCACCCTTGAAGAACTTGGGCTCGTCGTCAGGAGTTGGGAGCTGCAACTTGTCCTTGAGCTCGGCAATTTGGTGCACATTGAGCTTGGCAAAAGTTTCCACAGCATCCTTGACAGCCTTGCTGGCCTCGCGGGCCTTCTCCTTCGCGACGAGGATTTCCTCCTCATCCCAGGCCAGACCTCTCTCCTCAGCCATGAGCTTGGTCAAATCCTCGGGGAAACCGTATGTCTCGTAGAGCTTCCAGACATCGGAGCCCGAGAGCTTCTGACGACCACTCTCGACAGCTTTAGCAGCGTACTTCTCGAACTGTTTCTCGCCGCGATCGAGCGTCCTTGCAAATGCGACCTCCTCCTCGTCAAGAAGCTCAGCAACATCGTTTTGCTTCTTGACAATTTCCGGGAACTGCTCGCCCATCTGCTCGACAAGAGCAGGCAAGATCTTCGAGAAGAACGAGCCAATTTCGACGTTGAAGTACTTCCTGGCATACCGTACACCCCTTCGCAGAACACGACGGACAACATAGCCCCGGCCATCGCTGTTTGGCACAGCACCATCCGAGATGGCAAATGTAAGCAGCCGAATATGATCCGCAACGACGCGATATGCGGTGTCAACTCCGTCAACATCGTCCTTGCCATACTTGTCAGAGTATGGACGTGCGCCAGTAACTTCCTGGATTTTATCAAACAATGGGGTGAAAATGTCTGTGGCGTAGTTGGAAGACTTATCCTGAAGGGCAGACACCAACCGCTCGAAACCCATGCCGGTATCGATGTGCTTCGCAGGAAGAGGCTTGAGAGAGCGATCTTTTTGACGGTCAAACTGCATGAAGACGTTGTTCCAGATCTCAACAACAAGCGGGTCGTCCTCATTGACAAGGTGGGCGGCGTTCCTGCCACCAACCTTGTCGTAATGGACTTCACTGCATGGACCACAGGGGCCCTGGTCACCCATTTCCCAGAAGTTGTCTTTCATGTTGCCCGGAAGAATGTGATCCTCTGGCACGCCGACAGAGAGCCACAGCTCCTTGGCCTCGAGATCGGCTTCGAGGCCCATTTCGGGATTGCCTTCGAAGTAGGTGACGTAGAGGCGGCTTGGGTCAAGCCCGTAAACCTTCGTAAGAAGCTCCCACGACCATTCGATAGCTTCCTTCTTGAAGTAGTCGCCAAAGGACCAGTTGCCCAACATCTCGAAAAACGTCTATTATGGTTTGTAATAATCAGCTATTGCTCAGGCTCGGGGCAGGAGAAAAAGATATAGACGCACGTGGTGGTAGCTGTCCTTGCCGACGTCGTCCAGATCCTATTTTAAAAAGTGTAAGTGTGATGTCGTCAACTTGTATGCTCGGGATTGCGATCGATCGTACGTTGTGTTTGCCTCCGGCACGAATGCACTATTGTACGCAGTCAGCCTCGATATCGTTGCAACATCCCCAGCACCGAGTAACAACCTTTTGTGAGTCGACGACGCGCTTGAGCTTGGCCATGTCATCGGAGCTGGCGATGGTACCAAGAAAGATCGGCTTGAACTGGTTCATTCCAGCATTGGTGAACAACAGGGTCGGGTCATTGTGGGGGACGACGGAGCCAGAGGGCACTTGGTGAACAATCAGTATCGAGCTTGGCGAAGCTGCAGGCCACAGGAGAAGACAATCATACCGATGGTATGGCCCTTCTTCTCGAAGAACTCAAAGAATGTCTTGCGGACGCCTGCGCCCGTCCACTTTTGCTGTTCGGCCATGGCGGACAACTGCGAGAGAGCTCGGAATGGAGGAATGCGATAACGAGCAGCGGCCGGGTACAGGCTACAGCCCAGGTGACGCAGAGGCAGGCGTCGGGTCGCCGTGAAGGAGGAAATCGTCGTGGAGGGCGCCTGGGCGGGTTTTGGGCTCGAGGACTGTAGTTGTGTCTGCGCAGTCCGCCGTGATGCAGTTTTGGGAGGCTGAATTGTCTGGCGCTGGACATTTGCTGGGAGGGGCAAATAAAAGACGTGGTGGGGTGACTCAACAGCGGCCGGCGCAGTCACGTCGCTCGGCGCGATAGCGGCTGCCGATAGGGTGGGTGCACAAGGTGCATGGGAGCTCGCTGGGACTTGGAGCGATGCCGGCGGCGGCCTTTGCAAGCGCTGCGTGTCGCATGTGCTCCAGATCTCATGGCTGGGGAAGCTACTGGTGGCTGCATCGAAGCTTCTACAAGGCTGGCCTCGCCGCCCTATAAGCCGCCGGCACCCGCCATCCCAAGCAACCTCGCATTCTCCAAAAGCACCCGTGTGCCGACATAGACCAGCGCTCAAAGAGGACGGCCTGATACCTCCTTGAAGTACACCAAGTAAGGTGTTCAGGTCACCAGCACACTTTCTCGAAACTGCCGCGCAGTTCTTGCAGCTCAGGAGCGCTCAATACTGCCACCAAGGCTCGGGACCGTTCAAACTACACCGTGACCACCTGCGCAAGCCTCGGGGGTCAACCAATACCCACTATCTTGCCGCAGGCGACGCGACCCTGCAGAGGCACTCCCTTTTGCTTGCGCGTCGCGGAGTGCAGGGGCAATTTGCTACTTGCGACAGGCGCACAGGTAGACGGAGACGGACTGATAACGCGCCTGGCACCCAGATCTGCAACCTGGCGTCTGGATTACCCTGCGCGCAGGCATGGAAGTGCATCCGCGTACCCCACTTATCAACCTGACCTCCCACTGTCGTCACGGCACTTACACGGATGACCCTTCTCAAAGCCACCCACGCCAGCCGACGCTGGTCGGCGGTGCGTCTTTGAGCCACGTGCCTGACCACAACGCCCTTGACCATTATGCCACGGACAACATGGCAACCAGCTTTACAGACCAACCACTTCGTGCCGCCATGGCTCCAACTCCGCAACATTCCTTTGTCGAGCCAGCCGCGGCTTCGGCGCCCATGACAAGGTCGCGCAAGCGGAAGGCTGAATCGCAGGAGAACGAGAGGCTATCGAAGCGCCTCAGCTTGCTCAAGCTTGGTAATACCCACCGCTACCACCCAGCGACTATCTCTGCTGCCAGTTCAACCAGTTCGCTAACCCTCCCGCCTCAACCAGAGAAGGACGGGCAGAAACTCTACGTGCCCGTTGAATCACCCTACCTTGGCCCGACGACATCGGAAGACAACCCTGGAGCGCTACCGCCAATCCCAGAAGATGACACCATGCGACTCGATGACAGTGCGCACAAAGTCTATATTTACAATCTCGACGATGAACTCTCCTCTTCAGACACAGAGTCTATCTGCAGCAATGACGACAGCAATCACCGCCTGGTCTTCCTGGCAGATATTGACAAACACCTGCGGCAGAATCGCATTCCGCCCTCAGTATTTGCCAACTCGGAAGGCAATATTGCAGGCACAAATATAAACGACATGCAGATGGTGCTCTACAGCGATCCATCTTCTCTCACTGTGCCCGAAGAGCATGACAGTGTTCGAAGGGCGGTAATCGAAGCCCGCAACCGTATGCGGCAGAGACAGAAGGAGGAACGTGACGGTATGGCTGACGGCGCATCAAGTGTGACCTCACCGGCTACCGTGCCTTCGTCACGAATAGCCGGAACACCAACCACGGCGGGGTCGTCAAGACTGGACACAAGTGCTGTTTACCGTTCCGCCGACGATGAAATGGAGTTGGACTGAGCCACACCATCCCTCCCATATACGACAAGATTAACGATACTCACGTACTTTGATAACTCTGCATTCATCTGCAGGTCATTTCGCTACAACAGAATCGCGAGTGGCCTCGATGACCAGCGGGCAGCGTCGAACACAGTTTTGCTTTGACAATAGCTTGGCAACAATCAATTCGGGGAGTTTTGTTTTTGTTTTTTGTTGCTGCTTCGGCAAGTCGCCGACGAACCAGGCAGTCCGAGGCCAGCATTCAGTGTGCGGTAGTGAACAGGCGGGACTTCATTGGTATAGATGATCTGCCAGAATGAGAGGTGACGACAGGATGCTATTATGGTCTTAGGTGCTATCTATAGACTTGGATGGTTAAGTAATTGTGCATACTATCCGCCTGCCCTCTCTACCCACATCACTCCCTCCAAAACTTGACAACAGGGGCCAGCCCGTTGTCGCTGTTCTTCTGTCTTGTGTATAAGAATTGAAAGCCTGTCTGCCCATGGTGGCAGGAGCATTGTAGTTTCGCCATATAAACAAAGAAGTGTAGCATGCTTGTTTGCTTGCTGTTTGGTATATCCTCCGCATATCTATACTTCAGCGGCTCCTCCTCACGCGGCCCTCGCTTCTGCCATTAACCTCTCTCTGTCTACCATTCCCAGGACCGCCGGGTGTGCATCCCGACCGGACTATGATCGCGCGGGTGGCGGGCCAGAAGGGGGCGCGAAGTCGTTCGCTCCTGGTGCGGCCGGACCAACGCCCGAGGTCTGGCCCTGGTTCGGGTCGATCTTGGCCGCACCAACATCGCCTGGTGTACCGGCAGCACCATTCGCATCGTAGACTGGGGGCCGATGTCCATCGTACACTGGCGGTGGGGGCGCATACATGTCGCCCATCGGATATTGCTGCTGTGGGCCGTAGTAACCTGCTTGCTGGTGGTTACGTTGCGCCGGATACTGGTAGTACGGGCCGTTCTGGCCTGGCCAGGCGGCGCCAGCATAGCGGGGGTCGACGAGGCCGCGCTCGCGGCGGGACAGGAGCCAGGCGGTGCCGAAGAAGGGCTTCTTATTGTTGCGGACTCGCCTGCGGGCAAGCGCGCGGCCAACAAAGAAATAGAACGTGACGAAGGTGATGAATGCGAAGAAGAGGACCCATTTGACAATGATGCCTTCCTAGTGGCAGGATTCGAGGGTCAGCACTTGTAAAGTTGGGCCGTGGCCAGATTGTTCATTGGAGCAGCAGATCGACATACCTTGGTGTACCACCAAGAGTTGCTGTAGGGATTGCCGTAGTGATCAATGTAGACGACGTCGTCATCACGCTCGTCAAGCGTGGGTGCCATTTGCGATGCCATGTGCGGATGTGTGTGGTTTGGTTTCCAGACGAGGAGAGCTTCCTGGCTCTCGTGTCTACCTTGTGTCTTGCTTGGTTGCTTGCTTGCTGGCGTGCGGATACTGATGTTTTACTTCCTCAGGGGGAGGAAGGGACCGACTGCAACACTTGCACGTCTGCTAGAGACGACTCGCTGGATCCGGCAGTTCGTCGACTGGTGATCGGCAGGGTAGGCGCGGAGTGGGAGTGAGGCAGAAGTCGAAGAAACAAAGGAACCAGGCGGGCCGGACTGTGAGGGGTCTTGCTTGCGTTATGACATTTGAGTCGGGGGAGCAGCGTTTCGTAAGGCGGCAGCAGATGGTATCAAGAAGCAACACCAGACTGGGCCGGGCCCAGCATGGAGAGGCTGGTCATGTTGTCCCGCGAACCTTGGATTGTTGCACCGTGCAGCCAGCCATTCGAGGTCGGCCAAGGAGGACGCCAATTGGCCGCGTACCTGCCAAGCCCCGACCACCAACCTGCCGAGCGGAGACTGGGCTTCCGTCCCACCCTTCACCATCGCCCGCATCTGGCAAATTATGGCTGATCTCGCCATGGCTCATTTCTTTCCGTCCAGCAACGACAATCAGACTCGTGACGCCTCACTTGCACGCTGCCCGAGGGTTTCCTACCACGCAGCAGATCATCTTGAAGACTTGGCTCGCTTGGATCGATACATGTCGATACCAGGAGCAGGCAATACTGACTGGCAATACTGAAGCGCAAGCTAAGAGTTAGGCCGTCAGGGCCCTGTCTGGGGATAGCGGGTCCGGTGCTCCCAAGACCCATCGCCTGCCAAACAGTACAAGACCCGCGACGCCATGGCAGTCGTCAAGGAGCTGGCCACCAGCGCGAAAGGCCGCTGCTCAGAGAATGAAGAGACAAAAGATCAAACACTGGACAGAACCCCTTCCTGCTCCCGCCCGCCTGGCTTGGCCGCCACTTGAAACGCAGGGAAGCGGGATCCTCGCCAGGGGCTGCTTGTGTATCAGAGTTCGTGTATCCATTAGGGGGGCCCAGGGCCGCGTGTCAGAAGTGGCGGTCTCTCGCTCCAAACCCGTCCCCTATGGATCTTCTCGGCTGTTTTCCCGTTGCCTCCTCGCAAGAAACCCCTCCGAGTAGTTAGACTGCTTAAGTAGTCTCTGATATTGACACATGAACGAAAGCTCATCCATCATGCTATGCACCGGGAGTCGCGAAAATATGGGTCTGGTCTGATCAGAAAATTTGGGGCAATCACTGTCTGGTCTACCACAGTTGCTCGCCTGTTTGCTAGATGTACAGCCCAACATCTCGAGAACGACTTGAAATAATTCAGGCGCAAGAAGTCAAGTGTAGAAGCCAGCCGTCACTCCTGTGCTCGTGCACTCCACAGTCCCTGTTCAAGATTTTATGTGTACGGAAATACGAATGACCCTCTCAGAGGTGTGAGGCCACACTATGCTCGCTAATGCCACGCAGAAATGTTTGCTCAGGATGGGTGCCCTATAAGCCACTCAAAGCCCAACTCCGCCAGCGGCCCATCCCGCAAATTCACCAGGTCCGCCGGCGCCCGGGGCGACGAATCCACCCGCCTGCCCAGCTTGAGCTGCAGCTTGTACCTGTCCTCCTTGCCGAGCTGCTTCTTCCTGTTGTCGCTGGTGTGCCTGCTGCCGTTGGGCACGATAGTACATGAGTGCTCCAATGGCGGCCACAAGACCGAGGATTATCACACTTTCCAGCACGCCCTCGTCCCCAAAATCATCTCTCATCGGCTCCCCGTCACTGCCAGTGATCGTGTCCTCATAATAATACTCGTCGTCATCTACATCATCATAATAATAATCGTCTTCCTGCAGAAAGTTGGCGATCCACTCCCCTAAAGACCACTCTTTTTGTACGACTGTGATTGTGACCCCGGTTAGCCTACCATAAAATCACATGGATACAGTAAGAAACGACCTACCAGGCTCGTCCTGGATAGAGTTGATGCGTCCGTTCGTCAAGGTATTCCAGGCACTCCGCGCGCGCAGCTTCAAGAGACTGAGTGTGACTGGTAGATAGGCTTCCTCGTTCGTCTCTAGGGCTTGATCGTAGTAGCGCTTGGCAAGATGGTAATCCTGTGTCAAGCCAACGCCGTTCTCATGCATCCAGCCAAGGTTGTAAAGGGCCTGCGCGCTCTGATAGTACTCTGAGGCTCCGGTATAGCACTGCGAGGCTTTGTCGAGAGCAACTTCGGTGCCAATGCCATTCAGATAGTAGTCACCCATCTTTACCAGGGAGTCAATGTTGTTCTGGATAGCGGATCTTGTCCAGTATATCAGAGCCAAGGCAGGGTTCTGCAAAATCGACGACTTTGGTGCCGGGCGATGCAGCCATGCAGGTAGTGGAAGGCGAGATTGCGTTTCATCAAGCATCCAAGCCACATTGTTTTGTGCTCGCTCGTACCCTTGCTCGGCCGCCATGACATAGTCAATCAGCGCGAGTTCGTAGTCGCCGTCCTCATAAGCTTGGTTTGCTTCGAGCCAGGACGAGACAAGCGGCTCGGCCTTCTCCGCGACATTCTTGTAATAAGACACTGCTACGTTGCAAGTCTTGTCGCGGCCGATGCCATGATGCATCATCTCTGCCAGGTAGTATTGCGCTTCCATATTGTTCCATCTATTCGCAGCCTCGAAGTATTGGTTCGCGATCTTCAAGTCTTCAGGCTGGCCAAGGTCAAGGTGGAGGGCGCCCATTGCGACTTGAGCCAGGCTGAAGTCCTGTTCGGCAGCCGCTTTGAAGTACTCGGCCGCACGGTGCACATTCTTGGTCACGTCGAGGCCGTGGAGGTAGATGTAGCCCATACCCCACTGAGACTGTGCGTCCCCGTGCTTGATGCCTCGTTCGAACCACTTCGCAGCAGTGCGGAAATCCTGCTTCGACCCTTCGCCACGGAGCCACATCCGACCAATGTAACCTGCAGCTTTGCTCGCATACTTGTCGAGTGATGGTTTTGGCTGATCAACCACGCGGCCATCTTTGGCTCGCCAGTATTTGGTGGTCACGGTCAGAAAGTAGCGCCGAGCAAGCTCGACATTTCTGTCGAGACCGCGCTGGCCCTCGTAGTAAAGCCGGCCAATGTTGTAAGATGATTTGAAATCACCCTTCTGCGACATGATGTCGAGATACTCAATGACGTCGTCGATAGCGGCGCGTGCATCCGAGTTTACGCTTGCCTTGAGCGCATGGATGCCGGAGCTGATGACGCTAGCACCCTCCCCGTACACCCCGCCAACATCGTCCGAAAGGCGATGCGCCTCGTGTACCGTAGACATGCCACCAGGCGGTCCGGACCGAAACCAAGCCATGGATTTGTCTGCAACTCGTTTGTAATACTTGGCGGCCATTTCACAGTTTTTGGGGACGCCAATCCCGTTGTGGTATCGAGCGGCCATCGTCATCTCCGACCTCGTGTGTTGATCTTCGGCCGCGAAGCGGTGGTACAGGAGAGCCTTTGCCTGGTCCCTCTCAACGACATCTCCTAGTCCCGTCGCATACATCAGACCGACCATGTATTGCGCTGAACTATTGCCGAACGATGCGAGGCGTGCGTAGTGCTCAAATGCTACTTCGAAATTCCGCGGATGCGAGTAGTTGCCGAAAAAGTTGAATTGGCCAAGAAGATAGATCGCATCAGTGTTGTTCAAACTTGCGGACCTTTGCAGAAGGTTGACAGCATGCACCAAAGGCCCACTCATCGGCGCTGCGAGATGTTCTTGGGGAGGTCCGCTCATGCGAAGTGTCGGAAGTGCCGAGCGCATGTACTGAAGTATCGTCGAGAACATACCGGAATGTCTCTTACTTCGTCGCGAGAGTGCCGGTTTGATCTTTCGAAGCTCAGCGTAGGCGGCGTCCACGTCCTCCCATCCTGGTCTTGTGCGTCAGCTCCAACACTTTCAATTACATTCGACCGTTTGTGTAGCATACCATTCTGCTGAGGTGTCCAGCGAAGGCGGTTGGTAATGGTGATATCTTCCACGGCAGGGTCCGGGGCTGTCTCCTCGTGGCCAGGCTGGTCAGTGGCAATGGCATGCTGGTGTTGTTGTTGGCCCTGCGGAAAATGCTGGGCAACAGCATTGGCGAAGGCGCTGCACTGGATGGCCACTAGATGAATAGACGGGCTGTGTTAGCATTTGACGTTGCGGTCGTGCTGGTAGCTATTGACGAGGGCGATTTCGGGAACCATCACGTACGCAAGACGGGGGCCAGCGTGGGCTTCATGACGGGCAGCTGGATGCTGGCAAGCGCGGCTTGGTGGAGGAATGTTATCGAAGCATGTTCAACACCGACGCAATGCCCGAGACTTGTCCTGTTACCGGGCAGGCTGTTGTGTTAATCAAGGGCGCAGGTTTGTGGTGTCGTGTGCCGGAAGTCCGCGATCTGTTTTAGCCTGTTGTCGTGCCATCAATGCCCCGAAGCTCCAGGGTGGAGGTATTAGTTGCGTCAAGCTGTCCTCAAGCCACGCTACGTCAGCCAGAACGAGCCGCAGGTGCCGGGTAGGTTTGCGGGGCCAGTTCCGCCCCTGCAGATCCCTGGCTTGCATCCCGAGCTGCAGCAAAAGCCAGAACAAGGGTCCTACGAAATCTGAGCAGACCACGACGTCCAAGCTCGCAGGTGAGAAGCCGTACTGCAACCTCGATGACACTGCAAATTCCTCGACATCTGCCTGCCTATGCCTTCTGGTCTCGCACGCTAATATTTCTACGCCTTGTACAAGAAGTACTTTCAGCTGGAATTCGACCAGAGTTGGAGGAAGTTCACTCACTCCTCTCCAGCCAGTCAGCCACAAAGTTGTCTAAGTGCGCTTCGAGGTACTCGCACGAGCAGTGCACTTCCTCCCGGTCATTGATTCCAGCACCATGTATCCTCTCAGCTGCGTAGACGGCCACAAACAGACCGGGCGCGATGGTGATATTTACATTACCAACCTGATCCCCCTCGATGCTGGCCTTGTCACCACCTCGTCCGATCAAATCTTGTCAATGTACAACCCTTCCACCATTGGTGCCGGACCCATACGAACATTCCGCACGCATCATGGCAACATAACTTGCGCGAGGGTCTTTGACGGGTCCATATCCACCCTCTGTACCGCAGGGGAGGACGGATCTGTCTCAATCTGGGATCTACGGCAGAACCAGCCCGAGGTTGCAACCTTGAAAGGTAGAAATCTCGGGAAACTCACAGTGATACCTGGACCTATCGTGGCTGATGAAACCAACCTTAGATAACTCAACTTCAATCCTATCTTTGGCCTGCTCAAGCACTGGGCATACAATCGCTGCGGGTACAGAGCTTGAAAATCACCAGGCATCGATCCTGCTCTGGTAAGTCCCGCCTCTCAAGCAAGGTTCTTAGCTACCTGGGCGTTTGCATCACGCTGACCCAGTTTAGGGATGTGCGTTCCACACCACGAGCGAAGCATTCGTACAAGGAAGTACACAGCGATGACGTCTGCGAGGTATGTTCTATATTGATACGTTTCTCATCATATCTTGAAGTGCCTCAATTCGCTGATAGAATCAAAAGCTCAATTTCCATCCGGTCAATGCCAACGTTCTGCTGTCCGGATCCACCGATGGCCTTGTCAATATCTGCGACACAAATGTCGTCGACGAGGATGAGGTGGTAGTCCAGACCTGCAACCTTGATGCATCAATCCACCATGCCGCGTTCCTGAATGATACTGAGTTGTATGCGCTTTCACACGACGAGCGATTCGCGCTTTTCAACGTCGCCGAAGGGCACGAGACTGGCAAAGCGACGACCGACTATGGCGACATGCGCAACGTTCTCGGCTGCCAGTACATTGCCAACGTGACCGTCAAGGCTAATGGTGCCGGTGCAGTAATTGGCGCCGGATCCCATGACGAGGAGATTTTCGAGCTGGTGCACCTCACGAAGGTCGGGGATGGGTGGTCAGTGGACAAGGACAACAGCGTTGGTCTACCTGGAGCGCACTCTTCTGAGATCGTTCGGGCCTTCTGTTTTGATGATGCTGCGCAGGTGGTCTATTCGGTCGGTGAGGACGGATATATAAAAGCGTGGAGACCGACTTAGTATAATGATACCCTGGCGCTTTTGGCATGCCCCCATCAGCCGTACTTGTCGTGCTTGCTCTTCTGCTTGAGATTGAGCAACTGCTCGTGATAGTCGCCCTCCCGTCTCGCCTTCTTCAGCAGCCGTACCTCGTCCTCCTCAAGTCGTCGGCCGGCCGCCTCCTCCAGCGCCTTTCGACTAATTTTCTCTTTAGCCTTCTCTTCCTTAGACGCTTTGAGCTTCGGTTTGAAGCGGGCTTGCATGCGGATTCTCAAGGTGGTTTCGAAGCCGATATCTGTTGCATCACCACGAACAGATGGTGCTGCGCCAGCTTTCGTCGGCTCTTTGGCCGTCAAAAATGTCTCTCTTTGCGTTTGTAGTTGAAATGTGCCTGCTGCATCTGCGGTCGGGACGACAGTCCATGTCTCGGGTGGTGACACAGCCTCTGACGTCGCAGAAAGGACGCCGTACTGATCACAGCTCAGGAATCTGTGGGACAAGTCAGACCGACAGAATGACAAACACTCCGGAAGCCCGCCTGGGAGCGACATTAACTTACTTTCCATACCGACCCTTAAAACGGAAGTGCTCTGTGCCGACGATCTTATTTACGACCCAGACCTGGCGTACGTCATGCGGCTCGGCTGAAGATGGGTTCCCATCAATGATGTTGACAACCTCGTCGGCAAAGACCTTGCCGTTCGGATCGCAGGCCAGACAAGTTACCGGCTCCGTGGGCAGCACAAGCATCACAGGACCCACGAGATCTGTCAATGCCTCTGCCGATACCCAGCTGTGGTCATCCTCGCCATCATCGTCTGGTCGAGCAGCCGGCGCCGTTCTCGCAAGGTCACTCGGTCCATCCGCGTTGCTAGCATCTGGGTCAACCACCCGCTTCCTCTTCTTGGGCTTCTTGTCACCCTTAAAGCTAAGCGGCTTCACCATGGCGCCTTGGTCGAAATGAACTCGTCACTAGAGCTGTCGAAGAACAGGTTCGAGGCGCAGGTATCGTGATCGGACGACGCTTCGTACATGTCAACGGGTTCCAATTGTTTATCGACAAGCGAAGAGCAATGGCCCTGTGGAGCAGCCACTCGGCCCTGGAGGTACAGTCCGCACACAGTGTGCATACTACCCCACTCTTGTGATTCGCACCATGGAAGGAGTGACATTTTACGCCAGGCTCTTGATTGTGAGGAGCAAGGTCCTGCGCCACAAATGAATGCGTGCAGTGACAGATTCTAATCAATGGACCGCGGGTGGCTTTCCTGCTTGATCCCCCCCCCCGGCCGGAGAGAAGAAGGACCCTGTGGAGGCACCTCCCCCGAAAGACGGCTTCCTACGGGCTGCTTCTCCACCAACACCGGAAACCGGCGGGCTTGAACTGCGCCCTACAGATCATTCCTGAACAGAGAGCCAAGCCGAACGTCCAATGAGGCAGAATGATATAAGACCGGTCTTGTCTCATCACGCAGTTTGGCAAGAACACTGGCAATCCCTTACTGAACTGATTCTGTTCTCAAATCTTGAAGTTCTCACCGACATTCGACAGTCTGGCAGAGTCGCACGCAGTTCAAGATGGCCGTCGCGCAGCCAGTCATCGTCTCTTTGAACGACCTCAAGACAGGTATGGTACTATCCCGCAAACGGTGGTCACACTCATCTGTTGTTAACCTAACAGGCAATAGGCAACATTTCCTTTGAGACATTGCAAGAGGCTTTTGGCCCCGAATCTCTTGGGATCCTTGTCGTAAAGGATGTTCCTCAGGAATTTGCCGAGCTAAGGCACAGACTCTTGTCGTATGCTTCATACATGGGCAACCTGTCAGAAGCGGATTTTGGTGTGTGCCTAGATACGTAGTGTTTCTCGCACTCTGTACAGTCTCTCTAACTGGATGGCAGAGAAATTCACAAATGAGGCAGCCAAGTATCTAGTTGGATGGTCTAAGGGTAAGGAGCAACTGAAAGACGGCAGCGTGGACGAGTACAAAGGCTCCTTCTACGCCAACTGCGCCTTCTATGTCGATCCAAAGCTCGAAGCTGCGCAGCCTACAGCCAAATTCCCACTGGCAGACTTTCCGGAATATTTGGCGCCAAACTCGTGGCCCCCAAAGGAGATGCTGCCTGGTTTCCGCCCAACAATGGAGCAGATGTGCAGCCTGATCATAGACACTGCGGTGCTTGTCGCTCGGGCGTGCGACCGCTTTGCTGAGAGTGAGATTCCGGACTACCCCAAGGCATACTTGGAGCACGTCGTGAAGACGTCGGCGACGACCAAAGCTCGCCTACTGCATTACTATCCGATGCCCGAGGACGTTCTCGCCAAGGGCAAGGCTGCAGCCGAGGAAGATGACTGGTGTGCTGTGCACAAGGACCATGGATGCCTGACGGGCTTGACTTCGGCCATGTTCGTTGACGAAGGCGTCACGGATGCCAGCGTGCCCAAGCACAGCTCCGTCGACCAGCTGCTGCCCTTACTCAGCGAGCTTCCGACTTCACCAGACCCACAAGCTGGCTTGTGGATCAAAGACCGCAAAGGTGTCTCAGTTCAGGTCAAGATACCGCGAGATTGCCTGGCCTTCCAGACAGGTGAGGCACTCGAAAGGATCACGGGAGGCAAGTTCAAGGCTGTCGAGCACTCTGTACGGGGTGCCTTTGCGAAGGGGGTGGCGCGGAACACTCTGGCTGTCTTTACACAACCCAACCTGGACGATGAGGTCGACCTCGACCAGCACATCAACTTTGGCGAGTTTGCGAGAGGTATCATTGCCAAGAACACTGTATGATGATAAGGGTCGCCTGTTGGGCACTTTTGAAATGAGATATCTAAGGCAACACTGTCATGTCCCGCTCACGTCTCGCTATGGTGACAGCAGCGTACTCTTATCTGCACAACCCTGCATGTCGACCAGTGCTGCCACCAAACACTAGCCATGCGCCTTCAGGATGCAGGCGCGCAGAACAAAGGGTGGCTTCTGGCCCCACCCAAGCTACCTGCAACTACCCCACCACTCCCCACCTGCATGCATGCGGACGTTCGTGCGGGCGGTGCGATGAAGTAAGCTCCATGGTTTATCACGTCACATCAAGCTGGAAAGCTTCTGAGGCCCAAGGTTATATTTGACTCTCGGTGCCGCCTGTTAGCTATTCCCCCGACGTTTCCGAAGCTTTTGTTACGAGGCAACTAATCAAATCTGTCTGCCGGTTTTGTCAGCCCATTGACTCTGACGCCTCACATCCTGTGACAAACCTCATAATAATTCCCGCTCCTCACATCTGAATCGTAGCCTGGCCGAGTTCCAAGCCCAGAAAATCCAGGACTCTACACCCACGACATCGACGAGACCAAAAGTCATGGCTGTCGCACCCAAATTCGCTGCCCAGAAGCTTCGTCTCGGCACGGCCGCTTCGTCGTCGGCGGCGGCCGTCTCGCCTGCGGTCCACACGCTCGAGTTCTACCTCGACTACGTCTGCCCGTTCTCCGCCAAGCAATTTCTCACCCTCTACAACACCATCGTGCCCCTGATCAAGTCCAACCCGACTTGGGCGTCGCAGGTCGAAATCATCTTCCGGCACCAGGTCCAGCCCTGGCATCCCTCCTCAACCCTGGTCCACGAAGCCGGCGTTGCCGTGCAGCGCGTGAGCCCCGAGAAGTTTTGGGCTTTCAGCGAGGCGCTCTTTAAGGATCAAAAGGCTTATTTCGACGTGAATGTGGTCAACGAAACAAGAAACCAGACGTATAAACGCCTCGCAAAGCTTGCAGGCAGTGTTGGCGTCGACGAGGGAAAGATATATGACTTGTTGGCGATCAGCGACAAGCCTGGCGAGGACGGTAGCTTGAACACGGGCAACAAGGTGACGAACGACTTGAAGCTCCTCATTAAGGCTGCTCGCCTTGTTGGGGTGCACGTTAGTCCAACTGTCTTATTTGATGGTCTCGTTGCCGGCGATATAAGCTCCGGCTGGACAAAGGAGCAATGGGAGGAGTGGCTCGGCAAAAACCTAGTTTGACTGATTAAACCGTCGACCGCGGAAGACGGTAAGAAGGCAAGAACCACTAAGCTTTGAGTCTGGACAGACAAAGACTTGTAGTCGGTGCTGCGTTGCAGTCGAGTGCTGATGAATAGCAAGGTCGGTCTCGGTTGCCCGAAGTAAGGAGATTCAATATTATCAATCTGGGCTTGGTATGCAACTCGCCCAAATTCATGAAGCTGGCTCATTGGACTCAGTATTGCTACGCCTGGCCACTTCCTTGCTGAGGATGACATAGTCTGGCTCAATGATCTTGCCGCCGCGCAATGTTCGAGGCCCAGGCGATATATCATCCTTCGTGAATCCCAGTTTGCCGTAAAACTTGAGCGCACTCTTATTGCTCAAGAAACATGTGAGCATGACTTTTTCAATCGGCGAGGTGTTCGCTGCCACTTTTTCGTGGTAACCAATGAGTTGTTGAGCAAGACCGGTCCTGTTGACCCTGTCAGTCATCCCTAGCGGCGCAGCGCAATGCTAATTGCAGACCTACCCTCGGAGTTCAGCCTTGAGATGGATCTCATAGCAATAAACTACAGGCTGACCTTCTTCCCATGTCGGCATAAGTGAGGTGAACCCGCACAGATTGGCTTCTCCATCCTTGACCAGGATGTACTTGAGCTCAGGAGACTTCATCTCGGCTTTCTTGCGGCTTGGTATCCAGCCAATAGAGGAGGGCTCGTAGTCTGCTCTGCTAGTTTCCTCCACGAGATCGAAACATGCCTGGAGCTCTGTTTTTGAGAGATTGCCTGCGCTTTTGAGGGAAAGCGAGTACGAGGAACTGGTTTTGGGATGCACCCAGGACGTCCAACTCGGTGAGCTTGAGGGGGTTGCCGGTTAGCTGTATTCCAATATCGAGCAGAAATACTCTGTGTTGACTTACCTTGGCCGCAAATGATGTGAGATGAAGGTTTGGTCGTCCTTGTTGTTCACGGTTTTGATTGGGTTCTCAGCAACGCGTCGCCTCTTGACGCGTGGCTGGTTCAAATCTGCCATCTAACCACTTGCGAGTCTGCTAAAGTACCACTTCCAACGTGGTTTGTATCGGACAACCATAAACAGAATTTGTACACAAGGTGAGGGAAGGATGATGGGCGAAATAACGTGAGAAGCCTCGACGTTGTGCATTGCAGGACTGTGCTGGAGCGCCCCAAAAGTGGGTCTTGAACGACTTCATCGACGTCTGCGGCATGCGCAAGTGACAAGCTACAAGAATCAACCGAGATCCTCTGCGAAGTACTTATGCTTGTCAGCAAGACAACCATTGAATTGTTGCCAAATACGTCAGTCAGAAACTCTCGTCTCGGACATTACCAACCATCCATTTGCACGTCAGCTTGCACGCCCACAGCCAGATTGCGCGTGGCCTGTATTTGGAAGACCCCTTCGAGAAGGTGTTTGCACCCTCAATCTCAACTAGGCTTGTCCGTGCACACCCGTCAGCAATTGATTCATTGAAACCACATGCGGTCACTACGCTGCTTGCGTGCCGCTTTTGGCCCTCGAGCCGTGGTGCGTCACCTTACCTCATCGTCAACGTTGGCAAGTCCTCCGACGAAACGGAAGCATCGGTTAGGGCAGACAATGTCCCTGGAACATGTGAGTCTCCTTCGCATCTACCTATCGTCGGACAGAACCTCCCGTCCTGGCCTGGTAATAAACCACGCCCATAAGCTATAGAGCAGAAGCACAGCCACTCATATTGACAAATAGTTTGTTCAACGGTCCCGGGCTTTGGCATTGTACAGAACAATATGTCGCGGTTGCAGCCGGATACAGGACCCTACGACAAGGCGCGAGACGCAAGGTTTTGCGCGTGCAGAGTTTGAGCGGCACCGCAGCGTGTCGGACCTAGGACACATTCGGTATCTCCTGTCAACAGGCAAGACTGAGTGGGATGGGATGCAACGATATATCGGGTCAATGTGAGATCCGAGATGCTGTGCACGAGAGGGATGAAGATATCAACCAGGCACACGCAATGGACATTTTTCTTCATCTCCCACAGTAGGAATTGATGGAGGCAGCGGTGCCGTGTTGTACATGTATATTTTGTATGGTACAAGTTCTATATCGCCAACGCCTCACGACAATGCATCGAATGTGGCCGCAGACCCGCATCGGGCTTGGACTAAGACCTCAGATTGTTTCGTCGTAGTCGGTATCGTCTCCCTCATCTTGACCTCGTAACCAACCCGTTGTGCTGGATCGGATGCTAGTTTTGGCTTCCCTACGCAACTCGGTTCCTTTCCACCCTAGGATTAACCCTGGCGCTGCTTGTGCCTCGGGTTCGAGCTGCAAACAATGTAGAGATATCCTCGGTGGCGCTTTCCGGCTTTCCGTCGCACGACCTGTTCCTCAAAGAAGAGAATTAGCGATCCTGCCCTGATCTATCAATTCAAGGCCCTGTCTTCTTCTCCCAGCAACATCGACCTTATCCTCGTCTTGCTATTTGTTCCTGGGCACCTCATCGGCCGGGCTCAAGAACATGCCGACGCAAGAGCGGACTCACCTTGCAGTGTTCGCACCGCTTCTTGACCGAGCTGTGGACCTTCATGCCTCTTGTTTGCTGCACCTGCGCTACTAGCCCGACGGCCACGGGTGTGGACGGTGCAGCGCTCACGGTCGGCCGCGCAGTCGCTGAGAATGCCGTTGCTGTCCTGTTCGCACTATAGGCCGCTTGTGATATCCTGCGGATTGACTGTGGCTGTGAAGCTCTGGCCGAGGCTGCTGCGAGAGACAGCGCCCGCAAGGAGCAGGCCAGTAATGATGTTGCGCCTGCCATCGTACGCTGATGGGACCGTGACCTAGGTGGAGGTGTCAAACCCAGGACACAAGTGTATGTTGGTCGCTGGTCGCAAGGCCGGTCGGGAATCGGGCAAGGTCTCGGAGTTGATCTGGCGCGAGGCTCGCAGTCGCATGCAACAGGGGCCCGGAAGTGATTGCCCTCGATGTCGGCTACCGCATCCACGGCGAATGCTCTTCAAAGCCGTGATGGATTCACTCTCGCGACGTCGGACCAGCCAGACCCATTGAATTCTCGAAGTGGGCCCGTGAGCAACCGAAGAATTTCGCAGGGCCAGAGCTGTTTGGCTACCCGGTAGACCCCACTCTGGAGTGCCTCCGAAGGGTTCGAACATCAGTCTTCGAAAGCCCGAATAATGCTCCATCGCCCTTTGGGCTACACAATTCGTCATGAATTACAATGTGGGCGACGAAAGGTGTCGGAAGCATGTATCTGGCAATCTCGCTGTCTACACTGCAAAGTTGACATGATGCCCCCAGGCTGGGCACAGAATTTGACCGCCAGGTTCCTGATGGATTGCATCTCCATTATCATGCGTTTCGGCAAGAGCTGGCAACACTCGAAACTCACCATTTCGCTATTGGTTCCTCCTGGCGGTCCAAGGGGATCGTCGAGCGCTGGAGTACAGTGTCAAGGCGGTCTTTGATGCTCCATGTTGCCAGTGCACTGTGACTCGACACCGTGGTCATTCTGGTGAACCCTGTAGAGGTTATCGCATGCCCTTGTACCGTTGTCTGTTGCCATCTGCCATGTAAAGCCTAGGATAGCAACCATATTTCGTAACACAATGTCCATCTCATTCAAGCCACGTCCAAACGGAGATTATTGCGGGCACGCTTGCCGTCTGAGGGCTTGAGTCTTCCAGTGCTGAGTTGGTGCATCAATCATCATGCTGATCATCTCCATGCCTGTGGAAACATGGAATCCCACGAGTCCAACAAATAGCTGGATGAGGGTCGACGAAAAATATCCTGGTGCCTTTGCAAACTCGCATCCGCCAGACCCATACATGTTTCTGGAAGGTATTCAGAAATTCCAAGTGACTATTTTGCCAGATCAGGTCTTTCTAGGTCACTTGAATACACTAAACCGGCGTGCACCGTCAACTGCAACGTTCGAGCTCTACGTGCGTGATCAAATCAAGTCAATGAAATTATCAATATACCTAGAAGTACGAGCTAATGGATGAGTTCTAAGGGCGATACGCAAGTCTTTGAGAAAGTCAGCGGGTCATTTGCCGCTTACGCCACCGATTTAGGTCCTCTCCGATGCATTTCCTGGCCATGCCAGCACATCTCTGCAATGAGAACATCCTGTCTCAAGGGTCAGGCATCATGGTCACATTTTTGCTAAAGTGTGCAATTACAAGATTCATCAGAGCACATGCACGCTTTCCCGGCAAAGACTGTCTACTGCGAATCTCTGGCCCTGTTAAAGCCAATCTGCTAGAAACAGAACTTCAACCTGTCTGACGTCTTCGCACTCTTAGAGTAGGAACATACCATATGTCCCCCGTGGAATCGGAATATGCACGTGGTGCCAGGTTGAGTTTGGTGGCTGAATGTCAGACTTACGCCATAGGACTTTCTCAAACACAAGCACCGTTTTCCTGAGCCACGAGCTTCAGCCAGAATAGCAGTCTGTCTATACTGTCCATTCAATCACGAGTCCTCCTCCGGCACTCTGCTAGATTGGCTTCCCACAATCGCCTGCCTCTCGTTGTCTTTGTCCAGGACGTGGAACATGTTGATATATCTCGATTCGTCAAACTCCTCCACGACCCCTCGGTTGCTGTCGACCCAAACCCTTTGCCCTTCGTCGAATAAGGCAAGAGTGCGGCAATTCTTGCTGGGACTTCTGCTCAAGTCTACGTCAACAAGGACTTTACCAGACAGAATGAACGGTCCCGGATGACCTTGTTCTGCTAGAATCTGGGCCCACACTGCGTGGTGGGCACCGACGTCTTCTGTTACAGATATTCCTGGTGGCGCATTATTTTCGACAAACTGTTGCACCCGTCTTAGATTGTGGTCATTGAACAGAACCTGTCGAACAGGTCTGCCACCTGGGCTCTTGAAAGGACTTGGTCTCAATGGAGAATAGCAGTGGTAGGAAAGCTCCAGACTAGGATCAATGGGATAGTCGGGGTTCTTTTGCTTCGGCATGAACACGGTCGTGGTGATGTCTCGAGTTGTGCTGGATGGCGAAGTAGATGGGGCCAAGCCAGACTCTCTTGCTTCATTTCTGTGTACTGGACTGCTAGACTCCATCCAGTCAAACATCCGACTGCCAGTCGTGAAGTGTTTATCATCATGGACAAGAGGCGAGAGCTCTAATCCGGGGAGTTCTGCACTGTATTTCTGGTATCCGGCGCCATTGTCTCCACCAAAGTGTGGAAATGGTTGGGGCAGGGTCAAGCCTGGGCCGATATCAGCCGTGAAAGGTGAGTTGATCTCGTGGCTCCATGCCTTTCCTGGAGACGAAGTAGAGACTGATGGAAGACTTATTTCCGACACTTTCATCAGACTATCCTTCGATGAGCTTTCTCTCGCAGCAGTGGTCCCTCTCGTGCTTCGAGTTCGCGGCTTTGCCCTGCTGACAGGCGTGGGGGATTCTGGGGGATTCTGTGGCCTAGCGAATGGTTCAAGCGCACGCCGAAGGCCCGAAAGACCTAATGCGGGGGTCAGGCCGGGAGTTTCTTTTGTCTGTGAGGATTCAAACGAGTCGTGCTGCTGATTCTGTGAAAGGTTGGTCGCCAGCGAGACGTTGGTGAGCAGCGCGCCACTGGATGGCGAGATATAGCCAAGCTCCATCGCCTTCTGAACAGCCTTTGTTCGAGGCTGAAGCACGTCTGGCATTGTGATCAGTCCCTGATCGCCGTTCTAGGGCTGACGAGGAAGACCATCGTGCTGGCTGATGTCAATTAGGCTCGCTGGTATAAGAAGTCTATCGTTGACAGTGGATATGGGTGGGAAGCCCTGCATGAGGTCGAGCTCCTGCATGTGGTTATGCGTCTCGTCACCATCAACGGTACATCCCTGGAGATTCTTGGCCACGACTCTGGTTCTTTTTCTGGTATCTGAATAATCGCCCTCTGAGTCATCATCTTGCGCTCTTGTGCGCTTGATGCGGTTCGCATCGGGCTTCGATGCGTTGGTCTCGACGTTGGCCTTTCGGAGCGGCTTCTCGTCGGGCGTGACTGGGGATTGGATCCTTTGAGGGCCCCTTAGCTTGGCTGTGCGTCGTACTTGTCGGATCGGCGTCGAAGGTGCTTCCATGGTCATTTCCTCTGCAACTGGGTTGTCCCTCTGAGGCGATCTTTAGCGTATTGGCAATGCGCGCAGTCAGAAGGGCATTTACCTTGCGTGTTGTGGCTCTGTTGTCTCTTTTGAGTTTGGAAGGCTGCGCTCTCTTGTCTGCAGCGTTTCTGGCTCTGCTTGTGTCGGTGACGGCTGCCTCTGTTTGGCGAACGCGACGGGACCTGGCTCTCGGCGCCATGATGTGACTGTGGCTGTCAATCTTGAGGCTTGCTCAAAGACGGCTGGAAGTAGAAATGAACTGTGGGCGCAGCCGGTTGAAGCCGATGAACAACGGTGAAGAGCATGTGAGGTGGTTGTGATTGTCGACGGCCAGGGAAGCATACCACAGTCGTCCGTCGGTAGTCGAGGTGATGCACATAAGGCGTGCCACGCGATCTGGCGAGCGACGATTGGACGAACAAGATCAAGATTGTATTGGATCTCGCGTACTCGTGAGGCAAACTCAAGACCATAGGTTCATTCACCAATTGTGGTTTCTTTGTAGGCAGTGAAGCTGAAAGCCAAATGGCGAAGGTTGAGCTGGTCGAGTGAAACCTGACAGCGACTGTTTGTGCCTGTAGTGCTCGTTCAGGCTGCCGAACACCATAAGGTACTGTTATTAAAATGTGGAGAGAGCAGACTGACATCGAGTTCCAGGCGTCAGGTGAGGCTAAACCCAGTGTTGCTACACAGACGATTCGGCCTCAGGCCCTTTTCCCTGCGAGGTGAGAGACCATTACATGGCCGGAACGCGGCCGCGTTTCTACAAGAAGGAACAAGTCTTTACCAAGCAATTCTAAATCATCCTTTGACCTTGTACCTACAAGAGTGCAACGAACCAAACCAGGTACGCTGTCACTCGATGCTGATCCAAGCATCTTATGTATGGGCCATTGCTTGTGACCAGCATTTGTCTACCGTCTTGCCTTCACCTCATTCTCCTGCCGAATCAAATAGTTAACCACCAACTCGGAGAGTGACTGATCGTGACGCAAGCTGTATTTCACCTCACGGTCCGACCCCGGATCCAATGATGCCTGGCCGATACATTCATGATACGTGATTTCCGGATCACTCTTGGCGTAGCCGCCATTGACCTTACATACGCCACAACCCAAGGCGCAAATAAGTGTTGGCAACTCTCGACAAATAAGCGGGAATGCCAATTTTTTGTAATGGATTGTTATCTTTCAGAAATGTCGATGCAAAAAAGTACGGGCTGTCTAATACGGCTTTTCTGTGGCGTTATGGTTTTCCCAATGACTGGCCCTCGACTTTGAATGTCGAATGAGGTGTGGCGTAGTGGATGTGTGGTCGTTGCCTCGACAACAGCCATTGTTCGTTGTTGACGTTTTGGTGGAGCCGCGCTACAAGGGCCCCCACCAGCCCGCCTTTCAGCACGCGCGGCGCCGTGCAGTCAGTATTGCATTCCCTCCACAGCAGCGGGCCGATCTTGACCGAGCGCACCTCATATTGTTTTCCCCTAGATGGAACCCTCCCACCTTGCTCCATGAGATAGCCTGTGGTTCCTTTCAACCCATTTCGTCTCTCTGCACACACGTTACCAAGCAACTGCGCGTCCAACACCCCCCAAGTAGTAGCACAACACGGACAATCATTGGGGACCATTCCAATCCACGACAAACGATGTACGGCCGCGCCCAGCGTGCCGAGAGGCCGTCCGCTGCCACCAGGACTACTGGTGGTGCTGCTGGGCGGTCTGCACTCCGTCCACCCACCGCGAGGACATCGTCATTACGCCAACCCATGAGCCACCAGGCTGTCGCGGCCGCTCGCATTGATCGCTCTGTTGCAGCCTCCCCAGCCGACTCGATGCTCTCCGTCGCGACTACCGGCACCAAGCGCAAGGACCGTGACTTCGAAATCGAAGCTGCCGGTGAGGAGACGAACATTAATGTCGTCGTACGATGCCGCGGCCGCAACGAGCGCGAGGTGAGGGAGAATAGTGCCGTCGTTGTCTCGACAGACGCAGTCAAGGGGAAGCAGGTCGAGCTCTCCATGGGTCCTAGCGCACTCAGCAACAAAACATATCAGTTCGACCGCGTCTTCTCGCCCGCCGCCGACCAAACTATGGTTTACGACGAAGTGGTCAAGCCGATTCTCGAAGAGGTAAATCCATCCGCCTCTATTGTGCCATTCCTTCGCAACTTTGGAACTAACCCCCACCTTGTATCAGATGCTTGGCGGTTTCAACTGCACAATTTTCGCCTACGGTCAAACAGGTACAGGAAAGACCTATACGATGTCTGGGGACATGGACAACACCCTGGGTCTGCTCTCGGACAATGCTGGCATCATACCTCGAGTCCTTCAGTCGCTGTTCAACAAGCTTGACATGGAAGAGACGGAAAGCTTTGTCAAGTGCTCCTTCATTGAGTTGTACAACGAGGAGCTCAAAGACCTTATCGCGGCCGATGACAATATCAAGCTCAAAATCTTCGACGATACATCTCGCAAGAGCCATGCCTCGACCGTGGTGCAGGGCATGGAAGAGTCACATATTAAGAATGCCGAGGAAGGCATCAAACTGCTCCAGAAGGGTAGTTTGAAGCGCCAGGTTGCCTCCACGAAGTGCAATGACCTCAGTAGTCGAAGTCATACGGTATTCACGATCACGGCTTGCATAAAACGGACCGGAGAGGACGGCGAGGACTATGTCAGCGCTGGCAAATTAAATCTTGTCGACCTTGCTGGCAGCGAGAACATCCAGAGGTCCGGCGCGGAAAACAAGCGCGCTGCCGAGGCGGGACTGATCAACAAGAGTTTGCTCACTCTGGGCCGCGTCATTAACGCTCTTGTAGACCGCGGCTCACATATTCCGTACAGAGAGTCCAAACTCACGCGCCTACTACAAGACTCTCTTGGTGGCCGCACGAAGACCTGCATCATTGCCACCGTGTCTCCAGCCAAGTCCAACCTCGAGGAGACGATCTCCACTCTTGACTACGCCTTCCGAGCCAAGAACATCCGGAACAAGCCCCAGCTCAACCAGCTCATCAGCAAAAAAACTCTTTTCCGAGAATTTACACACGAAATCGAGCGACTGAAGAGCGAACTGATTGCGACCCGGCAGCGAAATGGAGTATATCTCACAAACGAAAGCTACGAGGAAATGACCATGGAGAGCGAGTCCAGGAGAATTCAGAATGAGGAGCAAGCTGCCAAGCTCGAAACCATGGAGTCGAACCTGAAGAACAAGGTGCAGGAGCTCTTCACACTGACGTCAAATTTCATGGGCCTGCGATCCGAGCACGACTCGATCAAGGTGCAATTCGACCAAACGAAGGGCGTGCTCGATCAGACCGAGCTTGTGCTTGAAGCCACCAGGAAATCATTGGCTGAAGAGGTCTATGTTCGCAAGGCTCACCAGAGGACGGAAGAGCAGATGCACATCATTGGCGGAGAGCTCATCTCGACTGTTCAGCAGACTGTGAAGGATCTCGGTGGCTTACGAGCGAAGAACAAAAGAAAGTCTGACCTGCAAATGCTCAACAGAACTAACTGGGCCTCAGCCCAAGACCAAGTGGCTGATGTGACAGCTATGGTCGAAAGCCGGATCGAGGCGTTCCAAGCCTCGCAGGAGGAACACATTGCAACAATTTCGCAGCGCATGGAGGCATTTGTCACCTCAGAACTCCAGAAACTGTCATCGACGCAGACATTCCTCGACCAGAATCTCGAGCTCTTTGTGCAGTCCAAGAGGGAATTGATGGAGCAACAGGATCAATCGCGCGATGAGATGGATGACGTGTTGGAGGAGATCAAGGTCGTGCGTGAGCATATCAAAGAACGTGTCGGGGAAAGTCTTCAAGCCATTGCAGCGGCTGCCGAGCGCATTGCCGACGATGTCGTAAGCGAGCTTGTTTCGTTCCACAGCCAGCTGAACTCATCCTATACCGGCATCAAGGCCGACGTCGGGTCAACGTTTGACGACCTCCTCCAAATCATTGCGAGCCAGAAGCAGCAGTCCGACAAACTCAGCGAAGAAGTCAGAAAAGCTGGAGACAGCATTGTCGCGTCAAACACCGACGTCTCGGCTCGCCTTCAGGACGCTGTTACTCAAGAACGAGAACAGGCTGCCCTGGAGCGCCAGGCACTACTCGGCCAAATTACAGCTCTTATCAACGCCCAGGCTGAGACAGAGCAGTTACGCTGGGCGGGAACCGTCAACTCCATTGGCGAGAACATTGCGGAAAATAATGACAGTTTCGGCAATGCAGTTGAAGTCTACTCGGAGGGCATCACAGCTTGGGGCCAGAAGGAGGACGGGCTGTTGGAACGCGTCACGAAATCCAAGGACGCATTGAACGCCAAGCTTGCTAGTGACTGGACTGTAAGTGAGACCATGAATGCACCTGGAGCTCAAATGCTGACACGTTGCTCCTAGTCTGCCAATGCGAAGAGCACATCTATTCAGGAGACAACCAAGTCTGTCCAGGCTGAAACTGTTCGTGTTGTGGAAGAACAGATGGAGGATCTGCATGAGCAGATGACATCGCTTGACGACTTCGTCACTCGAGCTCGATCCCACAATGCTCAGCACAACGACCGGCACGGCGCATCTCTCCGTTCTGTATCAAGGACAGTCGAGAATTCATACAGCAGCATCGGTGACCACTTCAAAACCACCTTTGCTCGTGTTAACGACCTGAGTGCCGACATGCAAGCCGAGATCAACACGGCTCAGGAGACACTACAACCTTTATCTGAAGATCTTGTCCAGCCTCTGGCAGCGCTTCGCGAGGACATCTCGAGCACAATCCTCCAAGAATACCAGCCCACAGGTGAAACTCCTCGAAAGATAAATTACGAGTTTCCAACTGAGCTGCCACGCACAAATGCCCATGACAGGCTTGTCGCTAAGTTCAATGGGGCCCTGTCCCCAGTCAAGTCGCGGGTGTTTTCAGATGCGGACCCGAGTCTCGCAGAGAATAGGTCACCCATGCGTCGGTACCACTCGGAAGCCATTGTCTCTTCGCTGAGAGACAAGGATGCGAACCCGTTCTCCATGAGCCTGCGAGAAGTCAACCCAAATCTGAATGCGACGACTTTGGCGTACGATCCAAAGGCTACAGCCACCATACACGAGTTTGATGCCAGCCTAGGAGCTGCGGCGGTGGATAGCACGGCTGTTGATGGCGACAGTGACTTCACCATGCCGCTCTACAAGAAGAGTCGATTGACGAAGCTCAAGGGGACCCGTAAGACGATGGCGGCCCCTGACGACCGCGAGAACCTGCCGCTCCTTGCAGACCTGGTCCCAGGACTCGGCAAAGAGATATTCTCCCAAAGCATGTCGCGGAGGAAGAGCCCTCGCCTCAATTGAGCTTGAGCTGTGGTCAAGAGTGGTATTCGCTGAGAGTTATACATTGTTTGTGTTTAACCTGCACGTAAGGTGTTTGGGGCGTGCCTTCCACGGTTTCTGCTTTGTTCTGGTATTCTTGAAGAACAGTTTGGAATAGTCTAAGATACCCTAGATCAGTTGTTTGTAATGCCTAGCCTTTTTGTTACCTTGAGATGTCCCATGTATGTTGAGCATCGCCGAAAAGACTCACGCCGCGCGTAGAAAAGTCCTCGTGCCATTGTGTTACACAGCACCCCCTTGCCAATCTTGGAGAATATTATGGCCGTCGATCAGCCAAGCACCCAGGGCCCCTTGATGGCGACTGTGACAAGTCCAGGGTCTAACGGAAACCAGTTGATCCCGAGCCCCACCTGTGACGGTGACCTATCGCTCTGCCCTTGGGAGCATTCGCAAGCGGGACTTGGCCGCCCAAGCTTTCTGAGCCGCCAGCTCCCAAATCCGTGATCCGAGGCTCACGTTTTTGAGTCCCTTGGGAAAGAGGTGAACAACGACGCACCTGGTTGCACGTTACCCACCATTTACAGGCAACGAGGACGGAAGTAACGACTGAGCAGACGATCACGCCTGTGAACATTGGCAGTCATGTGAGTTCGCAATCTCCTTGCTTAGATGCTGCTGCTGCTGCTGCTGCTGCGACCAGCCGCCGCATTCGACAGTGGTGCATCTCAGTGAATCACAATCTGGCAAGCGAGCAAGCGTAGCTGGCAGGGAGATTCCTAGCAGCCTGAATACCTCCCGAAATCGCCATTATAAACCAATCCGACTGCGCCTTGACGAGCAGTGATATATCCTTCAGACTCTAATTCATTGCTTTGCTCAACAGGACATCCACCTCCAAGGAATATCCGCCTCTTGCGGAGATTCGCAAGTCGCCAGCCTTCCACACCGCGATATGGGATCTCGTGCCGCACCAAAGCGGGCTTCTGCCCGTCGCCAAGGACCGTGGCGGCGTGCTGAAGGTTGCATGGGAGGTTCACGGCGAGGGGCCCATCAAAGTATTGGTACGTCTTGAATAATGATGGTCCTCATTACCGCCCGACTGTTCCGTGCCAGACCAGAAGTCTTGAACACAAGCGAGAAAGACAACATTGTAGACGAAATTGGTCGCTGACTTGTACACTCTGAAGCTGCTGTGTGGCCTAGGCCTCACCAAGGCCTCGTACCAGCGGCAGACGCTGCACTTTGGCCACTCGCACGGCGGCAAGTACAGTGTCCTGCTCATAGAGAACCGCGGCGTCGGCGGATCCGACAAGCCCTGGAGGCGATGGTACTCGACGAGCGAGATGGCCCGTGACGCCGTCGAGGTGCTCAACCATCTGGGCTGGGGCACCAGTGGTGGCAGTGACTCTTCCAAGCGCGAGGTGCATGTCATGGGCATCAGCATGGGCGGCATGATTGCACAGGAGCTCGCGCTGCTCATACCGGATCGAATCGCCAGCCTCGGGCTCGTCAGCACATCTTCGGCCTTCGCCGTTGACAGCAGCACGACCACCATCGCAGCCACCGCCGCGGCCGAGGACCAGCAGGCCACGCTAGCCACTGCGAAGTCTCCGGACGACGACGCCAGCACGACCAACGCCAAGGACGAGAAACCCAAGGTATCTTTGTACGAAGCCCTGACGGAGCGCTTCGCCTTCATGATACCCAAGTCTACCGAGCAGAGCATCCAGTACTTCGCGACGCGCATCTACTCGCCCGAATGGGTCCACGCCCCCGACGACGCGGCCCTGCCGGACCACGCCACACCAAGATGCAATATGCCCCCTTCGCATGTCAACGGGGGCCAATACGGCCGTTTCCAGACCAACTACGAGCGATGCGCCGCACAGGACGTCCTGCGCCGCGAGATGCCGCCATACAGCGAGCAATTCAGCCGCTTCGGGTTCTGGGCGCAGATGTTTGGCGCGGGCACGCACCGCAAGACAAAAGAGCAGCTGCAGGAGTTGGCGGACAAGGTTGGGCGAGAGAGAATCTGGATTGTGCACGGGGACCGAGATGCCATGATCGACGTGAGCCACGGGAGGAGGCTTGTTGATGCGATCCAGCCAGCCTACTGGTCCATCGAGAAGGGGCTGGGCCATGGGCCGATCGTGGAGAGGACGGCGTGGTTTAATGGACTGTTGGCGGAGAGGTGTCAGGTTGGTGAGGCGTTGAGTGGTCGGTGATCCCCATCAGAAGGGCTGTGTACCACACCAGGAAGCCACCACCATGAGATGGGACTATGCGGCGTTGAAGGAGCGTGGCTTAAGCAGGAAACCACCGTATCTGCATTGTATAATCCAGATGTCCTAGTTTGAAACAAGTCCAAAATCGGTGCGACTTTCCGAGGATTCGGGGCTGCTTCGTCGTCACAAGGCTGCCCTGCAGCAATACGCCACGATGATGGCGGAGTGTTATTGAGAATGAGTTGGTGCAGTTTATCAAATAGCCTGCATTAATGTCTTGGCTACCACTATCCTAAAGTCATCCATGGGTGGCACAGGTCTTTAACGTGAGCCAGCTCAAACCAGCCTTTGGCACCAATCGGTTGTTTGGAAGCCAGCGGTGGACGCAGTATAACTATGGACCTCCTCCACCACGGCATTGTCTCCCACCTCCAGGCCCAGAATCGACTAAAATAGAATCAACACCAAAGCGCCATTCCTGGTATCATTCCAAATGTGTAAATCAAGTAAACCATATGCATGCTCAAGTGAAACCCTAGCTCACTGTAGAGATGAACTTTTGGTAATGGTCATCCTCGTCCATTGCCCTCGGCAGAGATCGAGCACGGACGGGAGAATCCACAGCAGCCGGAGGCTTCGATGTCCAGAGCACACCTGGCGCCTGAGCCTTGGGTAGTGCGTCTGCAATAGGCGAATCGGCTTCTGCCTCTGGTATGGATGTATCCTTCTCTGTCCTAGGCAGACGCATTGCTAAAAGGACGTACTCCGCTCGCGTCATGTTATCCATCACATCGTCCATATATCTCTGCACCTCGTCAACAGGTGCAACAACTCTGAAGAAATGGTCCAGATGCCTCGCGGTTGGTGAGTTGAGCCGTATGGTTACCGGCTGGTAGTAGTCCAGCGCAGGGTCACCCCCATACTCCGACTTGCTGCCCTTGCGCACGATCAGGAAAGACGCCACTACTTCGTGTGGTGAGGTCTGCTCAAGTATGCTGAACTTCGGGAATAGGTAGCGATCACTCGTGCCGCCTGCGAATTCGAGGACAACTGCTGAAATGTCCATCCTGGAGGCTGGTGGCGGACCCTTCGAACGCAAAGCTTGCTGTGATGGCGTGCCTCCTGGGCTCTGCGATGTCTGGGACGTCTTTCGAACCTTTCCGATCGGGGTTGCGACGGTGCCTGGTACAGGTAACGGGCCTTGACCATTCTGAATGTGCTCGGACCCGGCTCTGCTGTGCGTTTGCGTTTGCTGCCTCAGGGTGAGCATGAATTTCTCGAGATCATTTTTGATCTCGTTGGCGTCCGCCTGCTGTGTACGCCCATTCGCGACCCTGAAGATGGATTCCCTGAATGTGGCTACATCGAGTGCCTTTTTGACCAAATGTATGACCAGGGGATCACTGTTTACGGGGACTCTCAAGTCTGACGACCTTTGAGCTGGATTTGAGCTCAAAACAATATTCAGAATGTTCCGGACTTCGTCGGCGAAGTACTTGACCGTCTTGCCTGTTCCCGTTACCACGAGCGCCTCAGCCTTTGGATTTGGCGGGTTCTTCTTTTTGTAGTCGATCGTGATTTGGTCGATGATACCCTGGAAATGCTTCAGTTCAGCAGGTGATGCCTCGCCTACAGCGACCCGCTTCATCAAATCCCTGAGCTGTGGATCATGAGACGCCTTCTCGGCCAGGGTGACAATGATTGGATCAGCCCCAGGCTGTAGATTGGCACCTGGCTTGTTGTTCGGCGTGCCTGGCTTGACAGCTCCATTAGACGCCGAAGGGTTGGGACCTGCAGCAATTGGTGTGGTATGCTGTGGGTGTGGTGGAATGGGTCGAGGCTGGCCAGGTTCTACCTTCACCACAGGGGCCATCGCACCGGGGGCGCCATCTGGAATGCTTGCTGGCATTTGTGATACCGCCAACACAGGCCCAGGACCTTGTGGTGCGGCTGAAGATGGGTTCGAAGCTGGTGTACTCGGGGCGCGCGAAGTAGTAGGCTGTATATCGGAGTGAGCTACCGCTGGTGTACCAGGTGTTGTCCTTTGTGGAGAAGGAAGCGATTCGCTCGGGAGTTGAGCTCGCTGCGGCGTTGGTGTTTGCGAAGGTGAAGCTTGCGGTTGAACGGTTCCTTGAGCTGTTGGTGGCATGTTCTGGGCGGCAGACGTTAACCCAGGCTTGGGGCTCTGCTTTGTAGGAGTTGGGGAGGCGGTCGGTCTTGGTGGGGGGGGCATAGAGCCATTCGGAGGGCCGTACTGCATCACAGGGCGAGCTGCGGCGTTGGCAGCAGGCACAGGTGGTTTCGGATCCTTGACGGCGAACATTGTTGCTTCGATGACGTGCGGCTCGACCGTGATCGTGACAGTTCCGACTTTGACCATACTATCTTTGGGCGGGTTGTTCGGCTCTTCCTTGACGACACCCTTTCGTTTCGTGGGCTTCGTCCAGTACTTTTCGAATATGCCTTCGTGAATCCATTTTTGACGCGATCGTGAAAGAGACTCGCTCAGGACGCCACTGCGATCATAGAGGATTGTGTTAGTCTCGAAGTCATCCCGGAAGCATTCAAAAGCTAATGGCTCAAAGGGAGAAGAACACCAACCTCTCTTGTACAGACTGGTAGTCTCTGTTGGGGAGGTCAACAGACTGCTCCTTGTCGACGATGGGCAAGGGTGCACCGGCGGATATGGTGGTCGGTAGCCGCGCTGCTGGTTCAGGCACTGGCACTGGCTCTGGCTGAGGCGTGGCAGTCTTGGGCGTGAGCGAGCGGTCGGCAGGAGGGGTGGCGGTGCGCTTCTTGGACACTTGCTCGACGCGGGCAGCAGCTCGTGCTGGGAGCTTGCGCTTCCTCTCCATGGTGTCGCAGCAGACGAGCCAGCCTTGGAAAGGGCGGGAGACTCAAGCACGGAGAGCCATGTAAAGCTGGACGAAAGCAAGCGGGCAGGCGGGGGGCCGGAGCGTGTGATCGAGAGGCAGGCTGCTTTGACGAAGTTGACGTGCTGGGCGTCGAGCTCGGGACGAGCAGTGCTGCCGCACAGCAGAGAGAGAGAGAGAGATGCGCGGTGTGCCAGGCGGGCCGTGTCTGATATATGGGCGCGGCCAAGCCAGGACGAGCAGCACTGTGGAAGGAAGGATGTGCGCCTGTGCAATCACGAAATTATCGCAGCCACGAGCTCGGCCGCCGGATGCTGCAGGAGCGAGGAGCGATCCAAGCAACCAACGTTGGCAGTCAGTGAAGGATTGGACACTCGGGGTATGACACCACCGGAGAAATATGATCAAGCGAGATACCACAGTCGAGGCTCCAAGAGAGCAGAGGGCATTGGCAGTTCTGGCAGGCAAGAAAGGCATGCATCGATTGGCTGGGAGGGGGTCCCCTTGCAGACGGAGGTTGGGCCAGGTGTGGGACGTGCTTCGTGGTGCGCGCGGACAAGCTCCTCAGCACCACAGGACTTGGCCACAGGGTTCTTGTTCTGTAGACTGATCCCGCCAGGAGAAGCAGACGGCACAGTCTGCTGCCCTTGCAAGAAACATCTCTTCTCAGGTGCAAACCCTACCAGGCCGGCAGGATTGTATGTTTGAGGCTCTGCAGCCACCCAGACAGCACGGGTCGCGGGTTCTAGCCCGGCGCGACGCATCCATCTTGCTCACAACGCACATGTAGACATTACACTGTGGATGACTACCTAGGTACGCGTGGAATCGCTGCTCCAAGACACAAGAATGATGAACAGATGAGGATGTCCCATACGGATTCTCCAGTCAGAAACCACAAACTTGGGCACATGGATCCTTGATGCCAGGAGGGCTCCCGCCAGCAGCAGGTCGTGTGCCCTCAACCCCATGAGCTCCAGGCAGCTCCCCAAAACAGGCAGCGCCTGGTTGGAGTGCAACACCTCGTGCCAAATGCCAATCTCGAAAGCAGTCTCGCTTTTGAATCCCAGCCCTGTACTGTTCTAAAGGTGCCTGTAATGAAGGACTGATTCGTATATATTGGAAAGCCTTGTCGCGACATTACTCTGAGGCCCCACTCGACTTGAGGCCCCGACACGAGCGTCACCCCCAGCCTGGACTCCGTTGAAGCGCAGCTCTTCCACAACACCCAAACAGACACGACCTAATTACACCATCTTCATCGCGTTCGAGCAGCCTGCACACAGGCAAGCGACTAAGCCATGTCGCCTAGAGGTGCTACATGGCCCTCGGTCCTGATTGCCGGTCTTGCTGCGCCTTTTGTGCTGTACATCACCTTCATCGGGCTGGGATCCATCCCCTTCTTCCAGCGGCAGTAAGACCAGCTGCAACCCCAGCTTCCGAGATGTGACACAGATCGCCTGACATACTGTACCAGCTTTCTGTATGCCCACAAGATCAACACCCTTTTTTGGCACGATCTGGACTGTCCAGAGTACTGGGCCTTCGCAAGTAAGTTTGCCTATGGCCTGCTGCTGACCACCCCTGCTGAAATACTGCAACACAAAGGAAACCAAGTCACACCATTTACGCTGCAAACTGCCGACGGCGAGAAGTTGTACGCATGGCATGTGCTTCCCACCTCAGTCTACCTCAAGCACGAAGATGCGCTACTCAAGGCAGCACCGGGCCGCTCAAGTGCAGCCGAGTCGACAGCCGCTTTTAGGCTGCTCAAGAACGACCCGGACGCGCGCGTCATCGTATCCTGTAAGCCTGAATCCGCCGTCAAAGACGCAGTTCTGACTAAGTTGAAGTGCTAACACGCCGGATCAGTTCACGGGGTGAGTTCCTCCTTGGCGTGAGCCGATCTGAGATCCATGGCTCACTCCAAACTCGTCCAGAATGCTGGCCACGTCGCACAAGGTTTCAGGACGGACCACTACCACTCCTTGACCGACACCTCAAACTACCATCTTCTCACCATAGACTATCGCGGCTTCGGCAAGTCTACCGGGAAGCCTTCGGAAACCGGCCTGATTCTCGATGGCGTAACCCTGGCGAACTGGGTGATGGAGGTAGCGGGCGTACCAGCTGACAGAATCGTCGTCATGGGTCAGAGCCTAGGGACGGCCGTGACAAGCGGTGTCGTAGAGCACTTTGCCCTGCAAGGTGTCGACTTTGCGGGGATGATCCTGATTGCTGCCTTCTCCAACCTCCCTCAGCTGTTGACTTCGTACACTGCAGGCGGTATTGTACCGGTTCTTTCGCCGATCAAGAACATCCAACCAGTGGTTCGATCCATCCAGAAATTCATTGTGGACAAGTGGCCGTCGGATGATCGAATTGCACGCATTGTGGAAAACACGTCAAGACGGTTGCGCCTCACCTTGATCCATGCCAAGAATGACGCAGAGATCCCATATCTCCAGAGCAACATTCTTTTCCGATCTGCGGCCCAAGCCGTGCTGGGCAAAGTTTTGGAGGATGCAGAATTCGAAACCTGGAAGGCAGGCGTCACCACAGTCCACGACGACGGCACCTTTACAGCCATTGCTACGTCAAGTGGACAAGACCAGCCAGATATTATCGTACGAGAAGAAATTGTGAGATATGGAGGTAAGGATAAATCTTCCACCACCCCCGACAAGTCTCCCGAGCAAGACCACTCCTGACATCTCTCTAGGCCACAATCATGTTATGATGTCGTCTACTATTCCTCTGGCTGTCATGAGGTCGTTTGAAAACTGACCAAGCTCTGCAAGCTCTGGGGCTTGGCTGTCCTCGAATCTTCCAAGTTGTATCCAGCAGCCTTTGAACCCCTCGTTAGAAAACCACTATTAACAGCTGCAAATAATGATTGTGACACAATGTGTGCTACCACGAGAACGAAAGGATACTGTGCAGACTCCAAGGAACTGCCGGCGCGTGGCCCGTGAGACCCTGGCAGAAAATGATGTGACGGTGGTGGGCCTCTCCCCACCACAGGCTGCAGCTTTGATGCCCCGCGGCGCATGGAGCTAGGGCGAGCTTCCGCAGCTTGTGATTGACGCACCACAACCCTTACGCTGTCCTTTGGTCGATAACTAATTACAGCTGAATCTGCACATCCGAGCCAACAACGTGGCCAGATCAACAGGTTTCCTCGACTGAACGAGCGCCTGCGTACCCTCGCCTTGCCGTTCCGACACTGATCCTAGTTCAACCTCACTAAGACCACAAACGACGCCGAGTCGGGACCGAACATGGCGGAAGAATCCAAGCCCGTCAAGGGCAAAGGCAAGGACAACGGAAAGGACAAGGAGAAGGCGGCGAAGAAGATCCAAGAGGCCCTCGGCGGCCTCTCCAATGACCAGGTCAACCAGCTGCTCGACCTCAACCCGGCGCTCGCCAGCGAGCTGAGCTCGTCGAGCTCGAGCGACCCCAATGCCGCCGTCGAGGCGCTCAAGCGCCTGAACCTGCAGGACATCATGACCGGTCTCGCCTCGAGCGGCAAGAACGTAAAGGACATGGGCGCGTACAAGTTCTGGGCCACGCAGCCGGTGCAGAAGTTCGGCGAGGACGAGAACCCGGACAAGCCTTTTGAGGAGGGGCCCATCAAGATCCAGACCGTGGACGAGATCCCCAAGGAGCCCTCGCCTCTGATCGACGGGTTTGAGTGGGCCACGTTGGACCTGACAAAGGATGAGGAGCTCAAGGAGGTCTATGAGCTGCTAAACGGCCACTACGTGGAAGATGACGAGGCAATGTTCCGCTTCAACTACTCTCCAAGTATTCTGAAATGGTCAGCTCTCAAACCTGACGTCCACAACACGCGCCTATTGCTGACTGTCTTATCACAGGGCCATGATGCCACCGGGCTGGAAGAAGGAATGGCACAGAGGTGTCCGCGCAACACAATCACGGCGCCTCGTGGCATTCATCGCCGCGATCCCTGTAGAGCTGCGTGTTCGCGACAAGGTCATCCACGCCTCCGAGGTCAACTTCTTGTGCATCCACAAGAAGTTGCGCGCGAAGCGGCTCGCCCCTGTCCTCATCAAGGAGATCACCCGCCTCTGCAACCTCGAAGGCGTCTTCCAGGCCATCTACACGGGCGGCATCGTGCTACCCCGCCCCGTCAGCACGTGCAGATACTACCACCGCGCCATCAACTGGCCCAAGCTATACGACGTCGGGTTCAGCCACCTGCCGAAGGGCAGCCGGCCGCAGCACCAGATCAAGAAGTACGCCACGCCCGAGAGCACAAAGATCAAGGGCCTGCGCGAAATGCAGAAGAAGGACATACCCGCGGTGCAGAAGCTGCTCACGCGGTACCTGGCCAAGTACCAGCTGGCCGCCGAGTTTGACGACCACGAGGTCGAGCACTGGCTGTGGCACAACAGCGACGACACGCCGGACCGCGTCGTGTGGACGTACGTCGTCGAGGGCCCGCACAAGGAGATCACCGACTTCATCTCCTTCTACTGCCTCGAGTCGTCCGTCATCAACCACCCGATACACAACAACGTGCGCGCCGCGTATCTCTTCTACTACGCCACCGAGGTCGGCCTGAAGGACGAGGTCGACCGGGCCGAGCTCAAGAGCCGCCTGAACGAGCTCGTCACAGACTCGCTGTACTACTGCAAGAAGTACAAGTTCGACGTCTACAACGCCCTCTCCCTCATGGACAACGGCCTGTTCCTCGAGGAGCAAAAGTTCGGCCCCGGGGACGGCCAGCTCCACTACTACCTGTTCAACTACAAGGCCAACCCGATAGCTGGTGGCGTCGACAAGCGCAACAGGCTGGACCTCGAGGGCTTGAGCGGTATTGGGTGAGTAGTCTCTTTTTGCTTGTGTTTCTTTCTGAACTTTTTCCCGTCATTTTGCGATTTTCATGAAACACGCTGACCAATACCTCCTCCTTCTCAACAGTAAAACCCAAATCTAAATGGCTGAGAAGCATGCAAGGACCCTGTGAACAAATAAAAGTTCGCCACATACAGAGCAGCGAGCCTGTAGGCTCTATTTGTAGGACAATTTGAAAGGGTTCTCAGTGATTTGCCAAGTTGGAGTTCCGCCTCCAGCACGTCCAAAGCATGCATGATATGTTTCGCGTGTGATATGTTGGCCCATAAAGCCATTTATAGTCAGATTCGTGTGAATAGTCCAGATGGATGCATTTATTGAATTGTGCAACCGCTTCTATTCTAATTGTCGTCCGCTCTAGACACATACACTCGTGCCTCGATGACTGATTTAAGGCGCAGACCCCGCCATTGCTCCAATCATACGATTACCGTTCGCATAAAAATGAGCCTCCTTCCTGTTAACTGCCTGGAACCACCTCTTGCGTGCTTGCGCCGTCTGCTGATTGTATGACTGTTCTCTAGGCGCCAGAGCTTGGACTTATGTCTCCTCTGCTGGGGGTTGTTGAAGTTCCCTCGTCTACTGGCGACAACGCAACTTCGGGCAAAGCAGTGCTGCTGCTTCTGCTTTGGCGGAACACACTGACACTGTCTTTCCTGCCGTTGCCGGCTCTGCCATGATCCTCTAGCCACGCAGTGCCAAACAGACTGTCTGCCCGGCTCCGCACTGGTGAGACTGGTGGCACAACAGGGGACTCTCTATTCTGCGCGTCTACATCGTCATCATCGTACTCGTCATCGTACTCGTCATCGTCCTCGGAAGTCTGCACATCGCTAGTGTCGACGCCGGTCTCACCTCGCCGGCGCGGGTTCGTCTGCGGGGATGTCATTGAAGCAGTATCGTCAACAACTATGTCTGGGGTGCCGTTGCTTTTCGAATGCATGGCGGCATGCAGAGTTCGCGATGACTGTAGCGATTGAGCAAGCGAGTCGTGATAGAATGACTTTGGTGGTAATATCGCGGATTGTGGATGATCTGCGGCTACGTCCCGCGCAAAGCCCGCCTGTGGCGGTCGTGTTTGAACGGGAGAGAGCTTTAAAGTTGGGATTAAATAGTTCCGTGGCAGCCGGCGTGGCCGCGTCATCTTTCTACCGTGACTGTGCATCGCCATTTCGAGCCTTTCTTCTTCGTCTGTGTCTTCATCTGTGACCTTGTACGGATTGTCGTTGATGAGGTCTGAGCCATGGAACTTCAGTCCACCAGCCACGACAGCATTTCCGCTTTGCCTTTTCGCCCGTCTCACAGCCAGTTTCTCCTTTGGTGGCATTGTGTCAATTCGAGGGAGCGCCAGACGCGAAGGGCCGACCGGGTCATGGCTACCTCTCCGAACGCCATCATAGTTGCTCGTAAAAGCCCTCCGCAGATCGACCTGGCTCTTGCTAAACACTACGCGAGCGCGAAGAGCATGTACGGCGTTGTCTAGAGCTATTTCGATTGCGCACCGATCTCGAATACGAGACAGAAGAGGCCATGTACCGCGCTCTCCGAGCAAGCCCATGCGCTCCATGAATGATGGGGTTGGGTTCTTCAGGATTCGCGGCAGATCAAACACGCCGACTGCTGGGAAGATGTTGATGTCCCCAGAGTACTTCTGGCTCAGCATAGCCTGAAGCTTGCTGACGAAGTTTGTGAATATGCCCATTTCTCCCATGAGCTGCATGCGATGAAGTGCCTCGCCCTTGGCCAGTGCTGTCACCGAGTACAGCCAGTCTGAGTCTCCGGTCGAGTCAGGTTGCTGGGGCGACTTGCCGTCTCCATGGCCATGGGCATCTTCCCTTGCTAGGAACGGGGCCACATGAGGATTGACTTGGGAAACGATGAAATGGTTGACGTTGAACATCTCTGCTAGCCTGGTCATGGGAAGATCATTGTCGACTGACCCATCAATCCACATCTGAGGCGTAGAATCCCACAGGCTGTGCTCGCCAGTCACGGGGTCCTTGACGAGGAGATGAGCCGCGCTGAAAACAAGCGGAACAGAACAGGAGGCTGCTACAGCCGACCAGATCATGACGTTGGGCGCTGTGACATAGTTGAGGAGCCGTGGCAGCTCATATATAGAAGCTGAGGAGACTGTGATGTTGCATATCCGCCGAGTCCGGTTGTATGCCTCTTGGAAGGTCATGTCACCCAGCATGTCTTGCATGACACGTGTGAGGTGCTTGATGTCTGACCAATTGCCCTTGGTGAATAATCTGAAGACGTGGTCCAAGATGGTATCCTCATTGCCTTCCTCATCAAAGACGGCGAGGTCCCCATACGGGAAATCCTTCATGAGCTGTGGCATCTCGTCATCAGTCCGTGTGCATATCACAGCACAGACAATCGAGCCTGCCGAGGCTCCGGAGACGATGCGCGGCAGTAGCCTGGCCTCAAACATAGCCTTGATGACGCCAATATGCGACATCCCAAAGGTTCCGCCACCGCTAAGCAGAAGTGCGCTGCGCCCAAAACTCTGGCGTGCGAAGAGCATGGCATCGAGAAGGTCTTTGGGGCCCCATTCCTCATCAGCCTGCAAGCTTGTAGCACCCTGCTCCACCAGGGCTGCGATTGTACGCAGCGCCGAGCTTACGTAGTTCTCGATCAGTTTCTTGGTGCCACAATGACAGTGTCGGTACAGGTCGATATTGTCCATGCCGCCGAGGTCACGCGACAATGAAGTCCTGACGAGGTGCATCATGGCCCGGATATCAGCCTGGTCACGGGCATCATCTAGTTGTCGCAAGCGTTCCTCGAGGAGCTCTGGGTTATACTCGCCGCTACCAGCATCGTCCTTCCACAAGTCGTTCCCCTCCAGAGTATCGAGCTCACGAGCCGCGGTATACCAGGCCTTGTATGATTCTGCGTTGACCATTCTTGCATGCAAGATCTGTTTCCGCTCCTCGCGCAGTCTGATTGTCTCCCGTTGCTCGGGAGTTAGCCCGTCTCTGAGGTACAGGAAGCCATTTACTACCGTCGCCAAGGACGAGTCTGTTGATTTGAAGGGCAAGGGTGCGTTTGGCTTGGTCGCAGAACTGCTTGTGCATGTGGTCGGGTGCGTGGGTCGCGACCACGATAGGAAGTTTGAGGTGGTGTCCATGATCGAGGGTCAGGACGACAGCGCAAGACCAGAAGATCTGGTCTGGGGGATGTCGGCCTGTGATGACCTCTACCAGGAACCCATCCGGACACGAATGTCCCAGGGATGCGGTGGTGTCCGTGCAGCCAGGCCTCGAGCACAACGATCTGGGTTGTTGGTAAAAGCTTCAAAGGTTGTACGAATAGTCTTAGTAGCGCGCCTGTAGATTGACTCGGAAGGTATTGAGGCAGGGACGGTCGGGGATGCGTCGTCTGGGCAGGATGGGTAGAATGGTGTGCCAGCCGTGGCTGATTTGAGCCGGGCGAGGCGAGCACGGCGCTGAAGAATGCGGTGCAAGGGAAGGACAGTCTGTCGGCGTCGGAGAGAATATCAAATTAGGACGAGGACGGAGCGGGAGACAGGAGGCGGGCCGGCTGTGTTGAGTCGAGGAATCAAGAAGTCGGTGTCGGTGTCCCCAGAGGCGCCGGTGCCGCCGCTCCACTACCAGGGTGGGATGCGCCTGGCTGCAATGACGCCGTATTGATGGGGAACCTGGACAGCCGCCTGCCCTGGCTATGCTGGGGCTGGCGTGCAAGGGCGGATTGCGGGGTGCGGCAGTAGCGCCCCGGCCCAGGACAAGGGAGGAAAGGGCACTGGCCTGGGAGCGGACTTCGCGGCTGGCCCCCGTCGGTCCTGCTGACACCTCGTTCTAATAGTGGCAGCATGTACTCGCAATGGCACACTCCTTGCCGGCTATGTGCAAGATGACCGGAGGTGTGCTCAATCAGCTCAACATCACGCGCAGCACCCCCCTTTGGTCCTACCCCGGCACACCCAAAGAGAGAGAGGGAGAGAGAAAGACCCCCACAAACACAAAGCGGTGGTGGGATGCTGCCGTGTTGGGTGCCAACCGCTCTCGTTGGACTTTGGCACTAGCTCCGCGGCTCCCGACTCGTGACCATGCGAGGTGAGGCGCTGCCTGACTGGCCACCACGTCACGAGTCAACCTTAGCCTGCTTCTTGTCTCACTTTTCAGTGCACCATTTTTGGTAATCCATAGCTGCTGGTACAGTAGGTAGCCGAGCTCCATAATGTTGACACTTTCATTGTTGATCTGGTGCTGCAGATCCCACTTCGCGGGAGAAAAGTCTCCAAGGTCAAATGCTCGAAACCTGAAAACCTGGAAACCTGGAAACCCTGCAGCCAAGGCAGCCGCACAACACCACCAGGTATGTGGTTTTCAATATTGGCAATCGTGGGTGTGCAATTCGCGCGAGGCGCACAGACGTACGCTGCACATGTCAACAGCCACCCTTCAAAGGCACTTTTTGACATGTGCCTGCATTGACCCCACCACTTTCAAGGCCAACACGCAGCTGTATCTCGAGGTGGTGTACCAGTCCTGCTCCCAGATTTGAGCCAGGCCATACTGAGAACCTGTTGCCACGACTGGCGGGAGAATCACGCACCACTCCTTGCTCCTTGCCATCTTGCCTTGCCTGACACCAACCCAATCTCGCTTCCCAGGATGAGCTTGACCTGTCCACCAAATAGCCGTGGGAAGATGGTGTGTGTCCACATGCCGGCCTTGGTTCCATGCTGCAAATCCTTGCTGGCTTGCTCTGCTGAGACTTGTGTCAAAGGGTGTTCAGAAGAGCCGAAAGACAGCAGTGGGGTGTCAGCCCCGGAGCACTGGGTGAAGTTGGGCCATTTGAGCCACAAAGAACTTTTGTGGCGTCCTCTCCGTGGCCAGTGATATGCTGAACCACGACATCTATTACCATCTGATCCCGCCGCACTTACAGACTTCCATTAGGGCATGACAGATCTTGAAATTTCAATGCAACTCCGCAAGGAGGGGTGTGCAGTGTTTCGCTATGAACAGCAGAGGATTGACATCAGCTGAGTCCTATCGCAAACTCGCTGACAGCGTCTCGCAGACGATAGAAGCTGTCGCCTTCGACCCAGAAGTGGCCAGCTCCCGGGAACTCTAGGTAGTGGAATGTCGAGCCCGACGTGCTGTCCAGCTTTGAGGCCCAGTCTCTCATCTTCCTTAATGTCAGGAAGGCATCCGCATCACCAAAGATGGCAAGTGTCGGGTTGCGAATGAGTTTGAAATCGTCGACCTCGCCTATAGGTTCGGAGGCAGCGCTGGGCTCGTCTTTAGGATCTTTGAAGGTCGCATCGTCAAGGCCTTTGTGCGAGTGATGCCCCTTTCGCGCGGGCCAGCTTGCGAAAGGGTTCGGTATTGTCATTGTCGCCAGGTTCGTGACGATGCCGTACGGAGGAGAGATCACTAGGTAGGCGCTGTGAAATGTGGTCATTCCATCAATCACTTGCATCCTTTTCTCCACATTGTCTTCTGTCGGCTTCTTGTTCTCGTTCTCCGCGTGGTGTTTGCGATGATGGTGGTGGTGGTGATGAATGAGCTTCGTGCGCTCGAGAAGCTCAATAACGCCCTTCCGGATCTTCTCTTCTCGATCAAAAGAGTGCGACCGGCGAGGCTTGTCATGACTCTTGCGCGGCGAGTCTTCGTCAGCGCCGCCCACGCGCATGCCAAGTGACTTGCGAGGTGATGCCGGTGTGGACAGGATTTTGTTCTGCTGTTCTGCAAGATGCTGCGCCCGCAGCCGTATGTCTGCCGCAGCAGTGTGTATGCGAGGCGACGTGAATGCCTCCATAATCTTCTCAAGAGCTGGGATTTTTAGGGTGACCATGGCGCCGTACGAGTATCCAGCCAGCAGCATCCTGGGCTTGACGGTACCCGAAGGCTTGTCTTCATGAATGGACTGGAATGGCGGGTCGAGGTAGTGGACATAATGGGCGAGAAACCCCACGACCGACATGTAGTCGGCCTGCTCGGCTTTCGACGTCCAAGACGTCCGGCCACCAGACGGCGATGCCCCTCTGACGACACCAATGACATTGTCAGCCTCTTTATGCCCGCCCGCATCAAGCGACTCGAGGCCGGGTTTTGCGCGTGACATACCTGAAGTTAAATGTTGCCACCATGTATCCAGCATGCAGGAAGACGCCACCGATGAGATCTACTATGCGATCATCGTAGCAGCCTCCCATCATGGCATATGGATGTGCGACCACGGCAGCATTGCCACTCCAAGCCTTGACATCTCGCCCGTGGCCAGTTCCGTTGAGCGACGCTGGGTGGTAGATGCGGCAGGCAAGACGAGTGTCGTCGTGAAGACTGGGCAGCATGAAGCTCAAGGTAGGCGGAGGCAGCATGGCGAGCTCGTGTGTCTGGAGTTGTTTTCTGGTGGTGTAGTCCGATCGCGGCCGGTTGAGGCTGTCGTGTCTATATGGACGAGAGCGACGAGGGACAATCGTTCAGCACGCGAGAGAGGAAGGCCATGTTCGAGACATGGACAGAAACTGAAATGACTATGGTGCCGGCAGTATGCCTATTCCTATATCATGTCGGCTGCTCGTCCGAAAGCGTGCGAGGACTGCGAGGGGCACGGGCACGTGGACTGGTGCTGGGCTTATCGACAGTTTTTGTGGTGTTTGGGAGTCCCAGCGGCCTGCGCGGAAGCCCGGATTACGTCGTTGCGGGCCAAACGAGCATAGATTTGGGCAGCCGTGACCCCACTTGCACATGCCACCGGCCCCCGTATTTGCAGCTAGCTTCTATGCGCGCTCCAGACTCCAGGCACCAGAATAACGAGGCTGGGAGCCTGCACTAGCAGCAATTTGACCGCCATGCGTGGAGGACGAGGATTTGGGGGTACCATGAACCCGGAATGTACGAGGAGTGCGAGCATCGCAAAGCATTGCGTCTTGGTAGGGCAATTTACCCATCAGCATGAATGCAGGAACACCACCGTCGCCGCGACTCGGGGCAGCTCTAAATGCACTTGACCCGTGGTACTCAGAACCATAAGCTCTTGTGGTATTTGAAGTATGGCTTTTGTTCTTCAACGAGCATGATGTCGCATACTCTAGCCCTCTCGTACAGCACCATGATCTAAGCATCTAGCCCCCATGCCGCTCATCAGAGACCTTCTTCGCCATACATCGGATGCCCCCGACCCTTCCTCGCCATGATGGCCACGCCTTCGCCTCTTCGCGACTCAATCACACTCATGCCCAGGATGTCCTCGTAGAAGGGCACTGAACGGTCCCAGCTCGACGTAAAGAGCATAGACCGCCGTAGGAACGGCATCGAGTCCATAACCTCCCGCACGCACCCGACAAGCCACCGACCCAGGCCTTTGCCCTGATGTCCTGGCTGCACCCACACGTCTGTGAGGTACGAAAAAGTGACGAAGTCAGTCACACAGCGTGCTATGCCGACAAACTCGAGTTTCTCATGGTCCGTGGCTTCCGTGCCAGATGCCGGCGACGATTCCGGTCCCTTGCTCTGCTCGTTCAACTGGTACAGGCCGAATGACAGCGAATTCTCAAGCAGTTCCCGCATGGCCTCCGGAGTGGGCGCATTGGCCCAGTAAAAGCCTTCCGAGTTGAAGACTTCGCTCAGGGCTGAAATGGGGAAGAGTGAAGGGTCTGTAGAAATGACGAAGTCGTCTTTGCGCCATGTTCGCGACCGCGCCAGGCTCTTGAAACTTTGAGCCATGATTTTCGGTGGTAGTCACAGAATGATTGTCCTTGATGTCCTTTGAAGTGCCTGCGCAATGCGTGCTGCCGAACTTGATGCTTGAGATCTGAGGGAGACAACGACCTCCACATGACTCATCTGCCTCCCCCACAACCGCAGTGAATGCTAGGGTGAGAGCATCAGCTGCGAAATCGGCGACATGGTCAACTCGCAGTGTAGCCCAATAAAAACATCCGTGGGAGATAGGCCGGAGGATCGGATCTTTTCAACATAAAGAATCCAAAGAAAGTTACATGTGTGCAAGAAGATCCGTTGGAGAGGAGTTGGTGCCCATCACGGAGTTGCGAGCACGAGACGGACTGAAGCGACTTGACTCACGCAGTCACAATGGAGCCAGTTGTGCATATGCTTTATTTCCTGGTATTTTTCCTAGCTTCCCAATGTCACATGGAACATGGAAGATTACTTTTCACAAACGCTGGTCAATATCCATTCTTCCAGCTATCCTTGTACTTGCCATGGTTGCTAAAACATCAACAAACCCTCCAGGGTATCATCATAACCATGTTGCCATGCTGTAGTCTCCAAATGTTACCGGCTTCTACTCCTCATCCTCAGCGAACCACGCATAAGCAATGGCATCATCGTCATCTACCCCTGAGGCCCCAGCACCTTCCACCACTGCTCCTCGCGCAACATTGTCTCCCCTCTTCACGGCACCGCTATCCTCGTCGTCCGCAAACCAGGCATAAGCAATGGCATCGTCATCGTCCACTCCAGAAGCTCCAGAAGCTTCTACGGCGCGAGCTCGCTGTCCCGGAGCCGTTGAAGCGGGTGTGTCTTGATCATCCTCGGCGAACCAGGCGTAGGCGATTGCGTCGTCATCATCAGCTCCTGAGGCGCCGGCAGTTTCTACGGAGGGTGACCGCTTTGTATCGATGTCTTTGTGGATTTAAATTAGTATCAGAAGGACATCGTTGAAAATATGTCACAAGAGATGGGCTGCTCGGTGAAAACATACCTTGACGAGTGGGCAGCGCTGCGGCAAGGGTGAAAGCAGCAGCGAGCACAGAGGCGATTGATGTAGTGAGACGCATCGTGATCTTGGAGGGTAGTCGACACGAGCGAGTCGTTGGTCTTGTTTCTAAAAAGTAGTGAAGACAACAATGTTGAAATCGTGCTGACGGAATGTAGAAAGACTAGAGAAGTTGTCCAAGGGTTCTTGGCACGTCACAGTGCTTCAAGCGTCTGGTCCGGTGCAAACGACTGGAAACGAGAAACAGGGAGTTTCTGGACTAAGGCAAAGCTAGTTCAGACCGGCGAGTTGACACACATATATTCGGGAGCAACGGGAGCTCGATCGCTCCGTTGTCCATGCCTATCTCGCGCAGCGAGAGATCCCCATCTCCACATGCCCATTGCATCCTCGGTCTCGGAACCCTGTTATTTTGGATATCTAGGCTGGTGCTATCTTTTCCCGGCCGCACAAGGAACAGCGTGGCACCTCAGGCCCCGTAAAGGTCCGCCCAGGAATGCCGGTGGGCGTAGCCGAGAGGCCGCCCAGCCCAATAGAAAACAGCGGCGGATTCCTATCATTTTACGGTAGGTAGTATCAGTCATTCCGCGTCCTCGACATCATCCCTGCATGCACCAGCAGGACTGGAATCGATGCAAAAATCGGCAGTGATGACCATGAAGTGCCGACAGCCGCAAGGTGGGAAGGGTGTGGGGGTTGCTGCATGTCAACTCGAGCGTGATTAGCGAAGTCCTATTGTGGAAGCGGGCAACCCGATCGATAGTCGTCGACGAGCCAGATGATCTTTTGCAACGGACGGAGAGTACATACAGGGTTGAAGTGTGTAACAGATGCGGGGGACTTGGTGCAGATCATGGAGTCAGCCACCCGAGTTAGTCACAGCTTTGTTTCTTTTTGTGGTTACCGAGGAGGGTGTGATATGACCGTTGGGGGCCGAGGGCGGCACGGGTGGCACCCAACCGGCGAGACCGGGGCGCGGGAGGTTCACGACTGCGCAGGACTGCGTCTCCGGCTGGGTTGCCCAAAGCGGAAAGACCCTGTGTTGCATCTGCACACCACGCAGATGGGGCGGTGATGCGGATTACTGTACATACTTGATCATTGTTGGCGCATGGCTCCACATACGCCATCTCGAGAGGCCTGCGCTGCCGTGTGGCTCCCACTCAGTGGGACGGCGGGAGCAACATCCTCGCCCACTCACTGGAGTGGAATGCCGCGCCCTTTACTCTGAAGGTTCTCACTTGGGGAAAAGATTATGGTCAAATAACCACAGACCTCATTTTGTAAACACGTCCAAACACTCTCACAGCGTAGGCTAAGCACATCTCTCCATGATGCCTTCACAACGCGCTAGTGTCAAGTACGTGCCCGTCTCAGATGGGACCGACATAGACAGCTTCGAGGAGGACAGTCAGACTGTATTTGATGATACAGCATCGACCTCAGCACTCCCGTCCAAACACGAATCGCAGCCACGGATAGGCCACACTGAAGCCATTAGGCGGCCATGGATCATAGCCATATTTCTGGTCTCAATATTAGCGACGGCTTTCATTTCTGGCGTAGGGGGTTATTATTACGGTCGTGTAGCCGAGAAGGAACAGCACACTCTCGACTGGTTCTGTGAGTTTTCAACAAATGGACAACCACATTGCTCTGTCTTGGAAATCCGCATCAAAGCTGACTGAAACTACAGCACCACCAGGCACAGTTGATCACACCTTCCACTACCGCAAAGGCTTCGCACTGCCTCCAGGCGACGAATCGCAGAAGTACTGGAACCTGATCTTTCCCCGTAAGCCTCACCAGACGTCCATCTTCACCGAATCACTCCGATATTTCGAATGCCGTGATCCCAAAACACCGCTGACGGTGCGTTCATTGTGTACAGGAGGTCGGGGTTTCATTCAGCATCCAACCATCTCGCCCGAGCCTCACGGCCTTGCCGTGTACCACCAGCTTCACTGCCTCGACGCTATCCGCCGAGGTTACTATGCGGCAAAGGATGGGGTCGAGCCAGACCACAACAGTCACGCGGCACCCGGCCACGTGCGGCACTGCATCGACTACCTGCGCCAGTCACTCATGTGCAACGCAGACACCAATCTCGAGCCAATTGACATGCAGCTCGGCGGGGTCACTGGGTTCGGGAACGAGAGGAAGTGTAGAGACATTGTGCGGATCATGAAGTTTGCTGATAAGTGGCGGACGCATAACCAGACCATCATTACTTAAAATGTAGACGAGATGGATCACGCAATCTGTTCACCTTCACAGAGAGCTTTTCAACTTATTGTATCAGTATACTTTGATGAACAAGTATTTCATTCTGAAAAATACAAGATTGACAACTTTGTTCATATTCGAAAGACTGCTTTAGTTTTGGAGATGCGGATTGCCATTGAATGATAAGTAACTAACTGCAGCTATAGGAACAAATCGTCACTTTCTGGCACGAGCAGCTCAGGGTCGAACAAGTTCACTCTTCTATCCTGGGCCCATCCGGACAGCTTCTCCCAGTTGACGCATTGATGTAGTGCCCCTTCGCGGGTTGTCGGCTCCACCACCCGTCCTGCCGAGTCGTGCAGCCACTTGAACCCCGTCATTGTGGTATCGCCATGGCACATTGCTGACTGCCTGGCAAACTCGAGACAGTGATCTGTGGTACAGCCCTTGCGTCAGCGTGCCTCGGATCATACAATCATGCGCTGGTTTCCAAGAGTGATAGTGCTCAAGGACGGGTAATGCTCACCGGCATGTGTTTCGCGCTCGTGGTACTCTTCCTCAGTCATATTGGGATAGTAGTAGTCCTTGTAAATCCACTTCCTCAGACGTTTCTACTCAAAGACGGCAAGTCAGTCCTCATCAACTCTACCAATGACTCTGCTCTGAGGCGGGATAGAACTTACGATGCAGTGCAGCTCGTGGTACACTCCCAAAACACCAAGATAGCCCGACCCGCCGCGCAGCTCAAGACTTTCAAAGCCTTGCATGGCCTCAGCCTCGGATGGCAGCACACGCAAGTTGATTCCTTGGAGAAGCTTGCCCCATGCTGCGTCGGACTCTGCGGTTGGGTACCCGGCGAAAATGCTGCCTTGGGCGAGCCCGTCTACGGGGCGGGCTTCGTAGTGTACTGCCGCGTGTGCGGGTGCTGTTGGGGCCCGGCGTTGTCAGTAGACTGATGCACTGTCTTTGCTTGAACGGACATATTTACAATTGGTGATCCACTGCTTTTCTGGCGAATTTTTGGATTCATAACTTGCCGAGCCCATTTGGGATAGAGTAGCCAGCGAGAATATGGCAGTGTAGACCAAGATGAGGCCAATGTGTATCAGCGTCCAGCGCAAGCTGGCTGGTGCTCGTGGACCACGAGAAGCTGGCCAAGAGCTGGTCTTTCCCGCAACTGGCCCGCCTTCTTGCTTCTCTGTGTCATTGAGGAATGGCTGGTCCTCTGTATTGTCCTCGTGGTGGTGGTCCTCGGAGGGGCCTGCCAACGATAGTCCTGATGCTTGGTTCTTGATGTACATGATGTTTCGTGATTGCCGGTGCACACTTCTCTGGGACTGAAGCCGGCCTGTGAGTTGCATGATCGAATGGGCAAGTAACTATGGCCTCACCATGAACGGGGTTGGACTCAATCTCCTCGAGGCTTCGAACCCTCCGTCCTGCCGCCTGCTAGCCGCCAGGATGATCCTGAAGGGCTGCCTGTGCATGGGTCGGCCGGCAATTGCCGCCGTGGAGAAGGCATATCGGAGAAATAGGAACTGCACGGCGCCACGCTGCGGTCATCCGGAGGGAGATCTGCTTTGGTGGCGTCAGCCTGCACTCCATGTTGTAGCCTGCTTACTACGACTATCGCATCGCTCTCCACGCAACCAACACACCCGCGAGCCCATGACGGCAGACTTGTTGATCGACGGCCCCCAATTGCTGACTCACGAGATAGCCTTGCTCCCTTTGATTTGGTCGACGCGATATGCACCGCAACACTCACCAACTGACGGGCCTCGAGACCTGCCGTGTGACAATGCCATCCAACCTGCATGCCCCGCAGCCCAATGCTCCTTCTTCGCAAAAGATCCCATGAGCGGCATGCAGCCGCACAACATGTTCTCTGCCCAACTCTGACGGGTGCTTAGAGATGTCCACGCCGCTCCAGTCTCAATCAATCTGGCCGCAACGTGAAGCCTCCCGCCATCAGCCCATTCCGCCCCGTTCTGGCTAGACTGCAGCCAACTGCAGGGTCTCTTGACGCGGCAACGGCCGGGCCGCCGACAAGAATAGAACAGCCACGCGGTGATCTGCACCACATCTGTTACTAAGTGGCGAGACGTCATTGCTACTCTGCTGCTTTGAGCACCCGCAGGCAAAAGTACTGGCCCCGGATTACCGCATTCGACAGTGTCCTCAAACGTGAAGCTGCAAGTTATTAGGAAACAGCGCCACCCGGCATTCACATGGTGAGCAGGGGTATCATGAGTCTTTGTGACTTCTGCTTCTCCTGCCTTTCAGACTGGCAGCTTAACATTGTTTCTTTGTGAAGGTCGAGAGATTGCCAGTGTTCTGCTCTTACCTCCATCATCCACCACCAGTCTGCATCGAAAGACGCTCTCCATCATGGCTGTCTCCGGGAGCACACAGATTGTGGTCATCTCACTCGTCTTCTCTGTCCTGGCAATCCTGGCCGTGGGCATGAGGTTTCGGGCTCGCATCAAGCAGCGCGCTGGTATCCGAGCCGATGACTACCTCATCCTTCCTGGGCTGGTAAGTCAGAAGTTGCAGAACGTGTTGAGAGACTGTGGGGAAGCTGACAATCAATCATAGCTGTTCGCCCTGGGTCTGGGTATCGTCAACACCATGAGTACGTTTTGTCCGCACCCCGCCGGTCTATTCCGTGACGACTGACATATGTAATCAGGTGCGCTGTTGGCCGGACTGGGCGACCACATCCTGCTCGACGCCAACGGCAACCCAGAGATGGACGATTCGCTCACACTGTTCCTGCAGCTCGAGTTTGCAACTCAGCTCCTTTCAGTGCTATCGCTCGTCTTTACAAAGCTCTCCATCATTTGGTTCTACCGTCGCATCTTTCGGGGCGACATATTTGACCTTGTGACCAAGGCACTCATCGCCATCGTCATCTGCTGGGGCATCGCCTTCTTCTTCGCTTCTCTCTTTGAGTGCTACCCCATACAGCAGATCTGGCTGTCGTTGTACGGCACACCCGAGCATGACCTCTACTGTTATCAGTATCTGCCCATGTTCTACGCCACGTCGATCACGAACATGCTTATTGACGTGCTCATCTTGGTGACGCCGGTTCCCAAGATCTGGACCTTGCGGATGCCGATGCAGCAGAAGATTGCAGTCAGTGGCATCTTCATGCTGGGTGGATTGTAAGTGTCATTCCCGAATTCAAAGCGTGTTCCTTTTCTCCCCAATAAGGACTGGCCGGGTTACTGACAGACCTTGTAGCATCATTGGCATCAGCATCGCGCGGATCTACTTCTTCTATCAAGCAGGTGCGGGTTTCGACCATGCCTACGACATCACTTGTAAGCCCAAAACTCTCTTCCTTCGTCTTCGCCTCTCTTTTTACCCACATGACTGACCGACACGACACCCTAATACAGACAACATTGCCCCGACTCTCTACTGGACGCAGCTCGAGGCCGCCATCGCCGTGTTATGTGCCTGCCTGCCGACGATGCGGGTGCTCTTCACAGACTTCTCGGCCGGCAGCCTGATCCGTAGCTGGGCCTCGCGCTGGTCTCTCCTCGGCAGCAGCAAGAACTCGTCGCGCCTGCCATCCCACGAGCGCAAGAGCTCCGCGTACTCGGGCTCAGCATCCGAAACCGAGCTTGCCGGCGGCGCCAGCAGCAGCAGCAGGTCCCGACAGCCCACGCCATACGGGCAGTACTTCACCAGCGCCTACCCTCCTACCACGACCACGACGATCACGGCAGGCGGGCCCGTACCCGTGCACCATACAGAGATTCTGAGCGGCAGCGCCGGCGCCGGCGGCCACGTTGCTAGGGACGTCATTGTCGATACTGATATCCACAGCTACGACAACCACAGCCCGGAGCGTGATTCGGAGGGCGCCAGTGGCGCGGATAACTATGGCAGCGAGTATGCTTAGGCTACTGCCGGTATGCAAGTATATGAGCATCTGACGCCCATGCAGCCAGTCGCTGCAATGGTGCCGTGCCATGGAACGAATGAAGTCCCCACCGACCGTGTTTAGTTGTGACCACCGGGGGGGGGGGGGGGGGGGTCCTATCGAAATAGCTGTAAACGCTCAAGAATCATTTGCCGGTCTCGTGCCCGGAACATTGTAAAACATGTAGGCCTGCTGCCCAGGTTTCAAAATCTTAGATTTCCCAAAAATAACATGATCATGTCTAAAATCATGTGCAATTTCAGAATATGTGCGTTCGTGGCGTGCATATTGCTCATTACGAAGGCCAAACACAACAATACAGTCTCGTCCATTCCCCAATGGCTCTCTTGGCATTTCATTGACCCTCCACATATCTTCCATTGAGCAATTTGCCTCGAGGCACTCGCCTCTGTCCCGTCGCTTGGGATTGTTTCTTGTTTCTCAGTACTCTTGTCCCTTCATCAGGATCAGAGACCCACGGCCACTTGGCTGCAGCCTTACCTCGTCTAAGACGGAATGTTGCTTTGAAGGTTACCTTAATGAAAAGTTCATTCGCGGGGAGCTGAGTGTCCCATCAAGTCTTCAGGACTAACATGGACAATTATACGAGGGAAACTGCGTAATCTATTTATGCGACTTATGCTACAGGCCCATTGGTATAAATAAACGAAACAGGACAGCTTGAGCTGTGCAAGCGAGCAGTAGAAGCCAGAGTAGCTCGCGTGCACTTTATTCGAATCTAGTGATATACCAGAGGTTTGTGCTCCACGAAATTATCACGTGGAGAAGTGATATTCAACTATAGCGAGCTTTGTGTCTGCCCATAGATCACTTGGAAGACACGGCCTGAAGGAGCTTCAAAGCTGCAAACTCGGTGACTGCGCGAGGCGTGGCAGCGTGTCTGAGAGGTTCAAGCATCACGTAGTCATGAACCACCCCCTCGGCCTTGAGGATCGCAGTGTCAACCCCCAATTTCTGCAGACGGTGGCCAAAGGCTTCCGCTTCGCCAATGAGAGGGTCTGCCCCGGACAGAAATATGGTGGTGGGAGGAAACTTGGCGAGAACCTCGTCCGGGGCGAATGTCAGGGGCGAAGCGAGAGCTGTGGCCCTGTCTTCCTTCTTGGGCAGAAAGGCCTCGATCATCCAATCCATCGTCTTCTCAGTGAGGTATGGACCATCTCGAAACGTCTTGTATGTCTCGGACTTGGAGTGAGTGTCGGTGACAGGGTATAGAAGCACCAGTTGACCAATCTTTGCTGGAAGGTTTCGGGATTGAGCAAGTTGAGTCATGGCAATGGCCATGTTTCCTTCACCAAATTAGCTTCAAAATGATGCAGTGAGGATGACACGGAGAGGCTTACCGCCAACGCTGTCACCAGCAAGGCCGAACACCGCACAGTCCAGTTGGTGTTTGCTTCCGTTTTTCACAAAGTATTCCAAAACGCCATAGGACTGCTCAAACTGGGTAGGATATTGAGCCTCTGGCGCCGGGGTGTAGTAAGGGAAAACAACAGCGGCCCCAGTCTTGCGCACGAAATCCTCCATCAAGCTGCCATGTACAGTTGGGCTAAAGAATGAACATGAAAGATTAGTACTTACACAAATTTTGTGGTTTGCCCTGGTCGCTTACCTTCCAAGAATCCAGCCGCCGCCATGTGTGTAAAAGATCAGCTTCAACACACCCGTTGCGCCGGCGGGACGAAAGATGACAGTCTTGACTGCCTCTCCATTGACCTGGATGTCCAATTGTTCCTGTTCCACGTCTGACGAGGTCTTGAAACTCTGGATATCTTCCAGAATCTGCCTTGCATCCACGAAAGACTTCTCATAGAGTGGAGGGCCTTGGAGTGAATCCACGAAAGCCTGGCTTTGAGGATCAAGATAGACAGACATGTTTTCAAGAAGGACGGCAAGGAGGGAGTGGCTAGAGAGAGTTGAAATATGTGTCTGCCTCTGCTGGACTGCGTGGTATGGTGTCTTGGTCGAAAGAAAATCGACTCTTGGAAAGGTGCCGGCGACCGAGACAATATTTAGATATGCGCAAACCAGCGCCCCCCGCATTTGGGTTCTTACTAAGGTCCATGGTCGTCGACATGGGGTAAACCCAAAAGCGTATTCAATTCGCGCGACATCCCTGAGAACCGTCCTGTCGGACTGGATTCATCAGTAACTTATCGTCTCGTATTCAGCCGCAGTGTTTGAAGTTCAAGATAAGGCATGCCAGCTCGGCTGGCTCAATCCCGGCAGCTTAACAGTTGCTACGCACCGCGGCGACCTTGATATAACAGATTTGCGGAACTGGCGCTGCCTGTTGATTTTGTCCTGATTCGTTTTGTCGGCTCATAACATGCGTGATAAGTTGCGCAGTTTCCAGTCGCGGAACGAGGGCGAACGGCTTAGGAAGAGTGTGGCTACGGTGTCGATGAAAGTGCTGGCTGTGGTGGTGGTGGTCGAGGAGGCATTTGTGCCAAGGGGAGAGTGCCCAGAGGCAGTTGCCTCGGTTCCGTTGCTGCGTGGATAGGGTTTGTCTCTTGGTACTGTTGTCCCAAAGTTACCTTGAGGTAAGTTGTGCATCCTAGGACGAAATGCTCCTTTCGAAGGTTACACCTGCGGGTTACTTAATACCTGAGTCACCATCGATTTGATCAGCAACAAGCTTGAAGCCCAAGCTACTTCTGTCCCACCCGTGGACTCTGGCAAACGGGTGGTGGCTTACTACAAGGCCCCGCCGCCAGATACACGCAGGCTCCACAGCTTGCCGCTGAGGGGTAATTGCGGGCCCGGGCTGCTGCTAAAAACAAGCACCAACTCCACTGCGCACCCCTCGCTGGGCCTCCCGCGGTCGCTAAAGCACACGGCCCCCCACTGCCTGCGGCATGACAGCATCGCGTTATGTTGGTTGCGCGGGGACCCTGGACCTACAGATGTGATCGGCAGTCGAGGGGACTGCGGTGCCGGCCGGCAACGCTGCTTGGCGGGAGAACTTGTGTGTGTTGGTTGATTGTGATGGTCAAGTCGGATGCGGCAGGCAATCTGCACAAGGACCCCTCTTCCGCCGCGGCCGAGAGCTGTGACGGCGGCTGGTGTTGGTCGTCGAGCTGGTTACTGTTACAGGTCACGTACGCTGCCAGTCTTCATAAAACCACCACGCCCAGCCAACAAACACTTCCTGAGCGGCAAGGCGAGGCACATAACTTGGACAGTTCTTAATTCATCGTGATTAAAAGACGATAGCCTCAACGCCAACCACTTCCAGTAGTCCCTTCTGTACACTTTGTCCCCTCTCCTCCACCCGGCACCATGACACAGACCAAACCCGACGCGGGATCGTCGACACGGATCGTTGCTCTGTCGCAGCGCATCGCCAGCAACACAGCCAAGCTCAACGAGTTTCTCGAGGCCAACGGCCTGCCCACGCCCTCTTTCGATGTCGACGGCCCTCTGGACCACTCCATCCCCGAAGATGCGGCCGAGATCCACGCCGCCCGGGCTGCCATTGTCGACGATACGCAGGAGCTGCGCCGCCTCGTCCTCGGCCCAAAGGAGTATCTCATGAGCTACTGTGTCCGTATCATTCTCCTCTTGTCGATACGCCAAAACCGCGAATGCTCACACTCAAAAACTGCAAACAGCACGACGACCTCATTGCCCAGCAGGCAATCGCCCGTTACCGCCTCGTCCACAGCTTCCCCGTCGGCAAGGAGGCCACATTCGCCGACATCGCCAAGGCCTCGAGCATCCCCGAGAACAACATCAAGCAGTTCCTCCGCTTCGCCACAGTGCAGGGCATCTTTGCGGAGCCCAAGCCCGGCGTGATCACGCACAACGCCGTGTCCCGCCTGCTCGCCGAGGACGAAGTGATCCACGACTGGATCGACTGCAACACGGACGACATGTGGAAAAGCGCCTCGCGGACATGCGAAGCGCTCGACAAGTGGCGCGGGTCGCTGGAGCCGCACGAGTCGGTCAGTACTAACCCCCCGGCATTGAGCGATAACCTTGTTTGCGGCTGTATGGTCGTGGTACTGATTTTCGGGGACCTCCAAACACAGGGCTTCTCGCTAGCAAGCAATTCAGACAAGACCGTCTACGAGATTTTTGGTGAGCATCCGGAGCGCGGGCGGCGTTTTGCCAATGCCATGCGCTGCTTCACAGAAGGCACCGGCTTTGGGTTGCACCACATCACGGACAACTACCCCTGGGGTGACATCGCCGACGGCGGCACAGTGGTTGATGTAAGTATGGATCTTTTGTCGGCTTGTTTCTGCCTCCACTCCATCAGACAAATACCGTAACTTTGGAGTGCCATTCCCCTCTGACTGACTTGACGCCCGTTCTCTCCAGGTCGGCGGCTCTCAAGGCTTCGTTTGCCACGCGCTAGCCAAGAAGTACCCAAACATAAAATCCCTTGTGGTGCAAGACCTGCCCAACATCATTGCCGAGGCTGAGTCCCAGGCCGCTGCCTATCCCGAGCTCCAGGGTCGCGTGAGCTACATGCCGCACGACTTCTTCACCGAGCAGCCGGTCAAGAACGCAGACGTCTACTTCTTCCGCTGGATCCTGCACAATTGGTCCGACGCGCGCTGCGTCCGGATCCTGCGGAACCTGATCCCGGCGCTGAAGCAGGGCGCCAAGGTGATCATCAATGATAACATCCTGCCCCAGCCGGGTGTGCTGTCACGGTGGCAGGAGAACCGTCTTCGGTGAGTTTCTCCCTGGGTCTTACTTCTACCGCTCTTCTTGGCGGGTGGTTCCCCGAATTCCCGCCATCGCACATGTCCTTTTTTTGTCTTTCAAAGAGATGGCAAGGCTAACGCGGAACGGGGGGAAACAAAAGATCAATGGACTTGACTATGTTTGAGCTGCAGAACGCGCGCGAGCGCGAGCTGCAGGACTGGAAGGATCTCCTGGCCCTCGCAGACCCACGGTTTATCTTCGTTGACGCCGTCATGCCACCCGGGTCGAACCTGTCGATCATCACTGTTGAGTGGCAGGGCTGATTGCGACTTTGGTGCCACGCCACGGTGCGGAACCTAGGGAGCCAACTTTTTCGAGTCTTTGAGAGAGGGAGACAGAGAGATCGGGGAGTGCAAAGTCATCAGGCCCAGACTCCCAAGTGGGTTTCAACAAACAACAGAGGTAGTTGGTACCAAGAACAGCATAGCAATCTATTCAGTCAACATTCGTGTATGCCAGGATCGCTGAGAAGCGAATGTCGCATGTTGAATAATCTACTTACACAACTGTTGTGACACTTGCAAGGCGAGTGACGGTGCCACGCCTCTCATTGTATTGGGGAGCCACCATTCATGGCTTAGCCGAGGTATCCCGTGACATAGATATACTGGGAATACGCTTGTTAATCTGAGATTTGACCTCGACCTCTCTCACCAAGTGTTCATAAAAGTAAAAACAAGACAAAGAAGCTCTTGCCGCGCTCCGATTTGGGTTTCGCCCAGGTTGATCAGATCCACCACGAGAGAACACAGCCACTCTGCGCCATCAATCTGGTTGCAGTGACTTCGTCGTGCTAGGGAAATCTGAAACGCGACATTGCTTCATTCTTCTGCAACCTTGTCTCTGTGCACAGGGAGCGTACACCGACCATCAGGCTGTGAAGCTGGTGCTCACTCAGTATGATCGGGTAATGCCGGCTTGGAAAAACCATCGCAACCTTCCACCACCTTACCGCCGGGGTCAAACCCTTGGAGCTCTTTCAAAACTATCAGGTAATGGTAACTCAACCCATGTCAGTCTCCCTGGCTGCTTCCGACAACCAAGCTTCAGCCAAGAGTTGCCGAGCGCATGTCACAACATAGCAGCCACCAGGTCCTCTGCCGCGACTTCAACTCTTCAGCGCCCAATGAAGCAGGTCAATGGAAGATAGCGCCTCACAGCACAGAATATCACGGAATGCAACGCCAGACAGTACTAATCATAAGTTTGCATTCGTCAATAAATACTGCAAGAAGTGAAATAGACCCCAGCTATCTCAGCAGTGACCTCAAACCCATCAATGCCCCCAACGTAAAGGGCCAAGCAAAGAGCATGCTCACACTCGCTCAAATGGACGACGCAACACCAAGGATATGAAACGGCTCGTCTCGGATACAAGAGAGCATTCAACGTGGAAACCAGCCGGCTTCCGTGTTTGCACAGTACTCGTCATCAAGGCGCACCGATGCCGAGTCCAACCTTCTGCGAGTTGTTCCGCTCCGTCACACGACTACCCTCTCGCTCCCTATCGACGTTCGCACGCATCCGCCGGCCTTCCATTAGCCCACGTAGTCCGCGCTTCTGGAGACCAATAACACTGCTGAGCTCGCCAGTCCATATCTCGCGGCTGGCTCCGCGCTCGCTGTCACCCACAGAGCTGCTCCATTCGCTGCCGGAGACACTGCCAGTGGCGCTGAGCTCGTCATTCTCCGGCTGTGCACTCGGCACGTTGGTGTTGATGCGGAGCTCGCCCATGCCGCTTGACATGTCCGTGGCTGACGAGTCTTGGCGCATCCGTCCGTTCATCCAGCCATCTGCTGTTCCAGATAGTGATATGTCGTCAGCGGCCAACAGGAAATTGGGATTCATGGTACTGTCGATACCACGGCCACCCCCCGCTGCCATGGCGGTGGCGTTGAAGACTGCTGCAGCGTTGCGTGAATCCAGAAGAGCATGCAGTCGTTCCACGACCGCCTCGAGAAGTCCATCTACTTTGTACGGTCTCGCAATCTGCAGCAGAGAGCACAGGATCTGTGGTGTGCACAGTGGAGACGAAGGCGCGGCCAGTGATGACGTGTAGATGAAGTGTAAGAGAGCCTGCACTGTCAGATATGTGTGCGGCAAGTACAAGCATCGGGGGCGTGAATTAGGCGGGAGAGTGGCCGGCGTAGGGGCGGCGTTGACAGAGTTAGCCTCCACAGGGCCACTGCCTGAGAATGAGGTACCAGCCGTGCTTGGGGCCTTGGTTGACCCAAATGATCCGGTGTTGTTGAGAGTCGTGGCCAGCGAGAGGCTACTATCTCCTGCAGTGCGGTTTGCCTGCGTGATCGTCATTGTGGACATGCGGGTGCCGGCTGCGCTCGAGAAGCCGGTCCGTAGAGTAGCCGAATCACTCCCATCTTGTGTTGCTGCGCCTTCACGGAGAAGTTGCACAAAGTACGGGCCCCATCTCCTTGCCACGATCCGCGAGTTTACTGGTATTCTCTCGCCGCCGATGCAGAGAATATCCATATCCGCGAGTTCCCGCAGGGACAGCGCCTTCTCGCCAAGCTCTTCAGCGGCGCGAGAGTGCTCGCGGCCGCCCCCAGTCCAACCCGCTTTCCTGGCAAGACTCAGGCCTGGTGCCGCATAAGGACTGCTGGCAGACACAAAGCCCGACAGAGGCGACGTCTTGCGAGGATTGTCGTAGAAACCAAACGCCTCCAACTCAACCATGCATACATTGGAAAAGTTGATTCGTCGGTGGTTGTAGTCGTCGACAAGGCTGCGCTTCCGGTTCCCGAGAACCACAAAAGTGTTGCGCCGGTTCCAGAGCACTCCCCTGTTCCAACTTCCCTGGCTGAAAACGCTCCCACCGGCATCAATGCGTGACCAGGTTAACGTGCGCAGATCCAAAGCCCAGAGAGCATATTCTTGTTTCGAACTCGTCAAATATGTGCCGCTGACGACGAAATAGGTGTCGATAACGCCACCATTGGGAAATCGGAGGCCGGGGGGCGAATATGCGCCGGACATTGGTCTCTCGCCTAGGGAGCCGTCAGGCCCCCGTATCTGTAATTCCAACTTGACGTCCAGAAAGTTGTAGTTAGAGTATATGAGCATGGACGACCCTGGCTCTTTCGAATCCTGGCTGATCATGGCATCAGGTCGTGTGCCGTTGGCTGCAGTCTTATTCAACTTGGCCATGACGTGAGGAGCCAAAGGCGCCACAACACTTCGATACGCGCCGCAGGACTTGCCCAGGGATTGCGTCGAGGTCCACTTCAGACTGCGCAGGTTAAAGACACTAATTTGCTCAATGTAGTGATTGGCACCATCCTGGCCTCCGACCACAATCATTTCTGAACCACCGGCCCCGTCAATGTTTATTCCTATGCGGCCTTCATTGGGGTTCGCGCTCGAGGGGTTGTGTTGCAATGCTGACAAGGGCGCCTTGTTGGATGAGAATGTGGCCGACGACGGCAATATGCAGGCGCAGTGGGCGTAGCGGCCTTGTGGGGCGTCCTGGGTTGGTACACAAGTCCATTTCTTGCTCGGCACATCGTAGATGTATATATCAGACATCACCGTCACTTCAGGCTGTTGGTCTTGTGAGGTAGCTGCAGATTGGGTCCCAGTAGGCGACATCCCACCATAGCATACCATCTTTGTGTCTCCCAACGCGCACATTGAGTGGAAATATCGTGGCGGTGGAATGTCACCATGTGTTTCCAGCTTCGTCCAGTGTCGTCTTATCAAGTCGAGCTCATAGAGATCTGCAGTGAGGGGTGCTGGCCGACTTCGTGACAGAATGCGGCCGCCAAAGACATAGAGTTTGTCCCCCAAGATTGTGGTTGTGGCACCGACAAGGGGGTGCGGCTCTCGACCCGTTGTCCGATGTACATTGCACATCAGTCCAGATAGGTGTGCTGACGAGCCAGATGGTGCCGTCGTGCCCACAGGAGCTCCAGGGGCGGTATGTTTTGCAGTCTGCGCATTTGATGGGGACTGACTAGAGTTCTGTGGCTCGGGTTGAAAATGTTAGGCCCACGTACACAAGCTCCTTGGACAGGAAGAGGGCACTCACCTCCATAATGGTATTGTGCAGCTGTCCCTGCTGCGGAAGGGAGGTCGACGAATCCATTGTGCTGGTTCTCGAGTCTGTAGATGTTTGGTTGCCTGTCTCGTCTCTGAAATTCCGGGTATCGCTGATGGTGTTCAGGGTGCCTTGTGGTATATGGATCTGTTTGGCAGACGTGTTTGGGCTTAGAGGCGAAATCGGCCCAGGCGGTGGCACGGGCAGTGGTTTCTCGAGGCTATCTTGCAAGCTCAGGTTGCGTACATGCTGCACCGGCCTCTCGGAGGTGCTCGGTAGAGGCGCCGACTCTAGCGGCGCTGGTATGGGAAAAGATGGCGGCCCAGACTGCTTCAAACCTAGGCGGGACGGGCTCCTCGCGAATCGTAGAGAGTCCTCTCGGCCAGGAATTGCTTTTTTCAACCCGCGAAAGGCGTCGGTGAATATCTCAGATCTGAGGCGTGAGGGTGTGGGCGATCGAATGTCCTGAGCGATGTCGACGTTGTCGTTTGTCGCTCGAAAGTCCAATGAGGGTCGTCGCGTCCGGTCGTTCTCGGCTGGCGGACCGGATGTTAGCCCAAACCCCGACATGACTGTGATGGCGCTCTTCGGCACGAGCAGCAACCAAGTCCTCACAACATCCAGACGAGAGCCACAAAGGAAAGCGAGAAAATGAATTAACGATGCTGCCCTGAAGCGCGCGTGTGAAGGAAAGCTGCGACCCAAGCCCTGGTCTAGACCGCGCTTCTACCAACACCACGTCCCGCGTACGGGCTGGAGGAGGTATGACGAGGAGGAGCCAGATAAGATCTGGGATCGCGAGAGTTTAAGGCACCGACAGGATGCAAGCAATGACAAGTGCCACGAGGCGGCCCCGACTAGTCCGGCCCCGTTGAACCTGGCCTCTGCGTGCTGGCAGGGGCGAGGACTGGAGGACGACTGCTCTGCCCGAAGGTGAAACGGACAGAAGATCACCATGCGGCTCCGCTCGGACGCGCAAAGGAGAGGGGAAGGTATTGAGGGGCGTGCAGTTGTGGCGCCCCAAAGACTCACCCCTAGCGATGCCACGGAGCACCAGCCGGAGGAGGCAGTTGGGGCAGGCAATGACGAGGGAGATCGCAAGGGATCTCGCAGGGACTGACCTTAGAATGGCTTTGGATGCTAGCAGCGGCCGAGTCGCTCCGTGCTTGGGACACAAACGCAGCTCCAGAGGTGCCCCTTAGTGTTGTGCTTTCGTCTGCGGCTTGTGACTCGGACCTGGCAGAGCAAGGGAAAGGCCGGCCAGGACGGACGAGCGACCAGGGTCAGGGCAAGCGTGACCGCGCAGGCAGGGAGCTTGGTCTGTCGAGCAGGAGAGGCTGCCAAGCTGGGCGAAGGAGACAGAGGGCGATCCCAGGTTCGGGCGCGAGATGCTGAGGTTCCTGACAGTAGCGCGGCCAGGAAAAGGAGGTGGGCTGTGGCAGGTGGCAGCGCGCGCGGCGGCGGTGGAGAGGGTGCTGGCGGGGAACCGCTGTCAGGGACGGCCCTGGCGTGTGCAAGTCGGCTGGCAGGCCTTGATTCAGTAATGGAAACGGTTGCTGCCGTCAGAGCGGCGGGGGTAGGCAGCAAGCGAGCGCGCGATGAGATGGCAGGGGGCTGGACGGGCGGAAGTCGAGCGAGGACGCGGGCGAAGCTGGACGGACGGTTGAGGTGAGGTCGGGAAAGTCGACAACGTGGAACACAGGGGTCCAGCCACCTGGGGGGCAGCAGCAGTTCCCAAGCCTGGTGTGGTGTGTGTGCTGCACTTGGAGCCGCCGCCCCTGACCACCTGGGCAGGCATCCACGAATAGGCGCCCCCGCCACGGGTGGGACCCCGCCGCCCACCTGTGCGTCAACTCAGAGTCTGATGCCACCTCACGCTGCACGAACCGCCCGCTCCTGCGAAAGCTTGACGCGGCCATGGCGACGCCGATGCGACGTGCGGCACAGGAGTCGTTGGAGTCACGCTCCAGGTCGATCGATGCGGCCGACTAGGTCGAGGTTGGGATGGCATCAACGGTTCGACAGTGGATGCAGTGCAGTGCCTGGCGGCCAGCTTTCCAGGTGCTCGAAAGCAGGCAACTCCTGGTTACTCCACCATCGCCAAGCTTCATCCAATTCCAGTCAGCCGCCACCCAAATCGGCTTGTCAACGCCCCTGCTCGCCGAATCGCGCCCTGCTCGTCACCGCCTTACTCGCTCGTTCGATCCATCCCTTCCCACGCAGGCTGGCCACGCCCGCGATCCCTCGTTCTGCACACCTGCTGGGGATATCGAAGCACGCCGTGTTCAAGCAGAGGCCCTCCAGCTCAACCTGCAGATACGTCCGGGCGGTCCTGCACCGCTTGAGCCCGCATTGCCGACAGCTCCCCTTCGCGCCATGGCCAGCAGCGGCGTGGCACTGTGCAGGGGTAATGCCGCGGTTGGCTGTTTCGTCTGAAGATTGCGCATGGCGCCATATGTGGTCCATTTTGGGCAGTGGTTCCACCAGAGCTGCAGCTTGCCTTGACCATTGGTGTTTCCAAATTCTTTCTCTGCGCCCTCGAATCACAAGTGGTGCAACGACATCGCAGCGGGGTCTTGGAATAAAGCCACCCGAATTCCTCCTCCAGCTGACTGCGTACGACACGAGACCCGCAGCCGGGAAATGTTTTCAGGTCCTGTATCGCGGAATCATGCCTGGTGGCATGTGACGAAAACCAATGAGGCTGTCACGCACGAATTCCCTTCTGGGTGTGGGGTTTTAGCTGCTAATCAGTCCCGGACAGCTCTACCACGAATGCGGCTAGAACGTTGCAGAAGTTCGAGATGCGCCGGCCCGCCCAGAAGCCATGAAACGCACCATTTGCATACGACCTTACTCAACCTGGGCATAATTCCGGCACGAAGAATGCAGGCCACATGGCACGAGCACAAGCGAATCCGTCAAACAGACCTTGATCGGGCACATATTTATGTCATGGAAACAGCCCGCGCCCTGTTTCCGTGTGGCCGCTACGGGACAGTGCTTGCCACGTTGTCGACAAGGATCTTATGTGTTCGTCCCGAGTCAGGTCATGCCCGTCATGGCTGGAAAGGCTTCCTTCGTATGAGGTGCGGCCTTGTTCGATCGGGGACCATCAGCCCTTTGAGTCAATCACCCTGCTTGACGGAACGGTCCATACATGCAAAGAAGAGGTGATGTGTTGCGGGTACGATGTCCCGCTCCCGGTCAATGGACACTGCTTCAACAGTCATAATACCTTGGATATCACCAAGTCGGGGATTTATGCACGAGTGAAAGCGCTCCGAGCATGGGCATATATCTCTGACGGTCCATGTGGAGACTGGATAACGGTCGGGACGCAGGAGACCCAGTTCTGGGCGAAGACGCTGCGAGCAATGTCATCATGGCCGTTCGGCTCATCCTCAACGCCTTTATTAGCTTGGAAAGTTGGTTGAAAGCCGCTGACTCGCGTGGCTCCGGTCACGGGGCATCGACGCCCCGCATAGACGCTGTTTGGACCTGCCATATGGCTGTATTCCCTTGGACAGCAATCCTCTTGAACGACTCTGGTAATAACCGGTCAAGTCCAAATCATTTCAGTGGATTGCCGCTGCGACATAAAGTATGCTATATGCCAGTCTCTATAACTGCATGCCATGGGCGTCAGAACCATGCTGTGTGCCCACCGGGCAGAAATTGGGGCAATGTCGAATTTGTTTCTAGAACAACCCACGGACCCACGACAAGCACACTCACCGTGAAGAAGGTCATGAGCTCCATAAGAACGATTACAATAACACACGGCGTCCGTTATGTTCTGCCCTGCTCAGCACTTTGCTGTCCGTCCTCCACTTTTGTCCAGAGAGCTTTGCCAACGGTGGGGGAACCTTTCACTGTGGAGCTGCGACGATCGCTGCACCTGGCCGGTTATCTCGGAGCACATCTGCGCACACTCGGCCGTTGTCTTCGTCCAGTGCACGCCCGAGGGTTGCTGGGACGGTCACCGGTCTGTCCCGTCCTCATTACACTTCAGGTACCACCGCAACACTTGGTCCAAGGATTCGGGTCGGGCGCCTGCAAGACATGGGTGTTTTGCCTTTTTTTCGACGGAACAATGCGAACAGGCGGGGCCCTGCCCCAGGCGATATGTGAGCTTTACTAAGAAGTCTGACGGGGCCCTTGGCCTCAGTGAGCACCTTGCTTCATGACCGCCGTCGAAGCTGCGCAGAAACCCGTAAGATTGCGAGCACAGGGGGGCCAACTGGACCAGCCGTGCTGGCCCCCTGAGACCAAGTTGTCAGTCAGAGCCATGTAATAACTCAACGGACGCGTAGATCTGGGCCCCGGGGCACCCGGCGCCGCGGAATGGTCAATCTGGAAGCACATCACAGCTCGGCGGCAGGGAAGGGGAGCATCAACCTTGACGCCACTGAGGAGACAAGAGACACCGGTGTCGCGATATGAAGCCCCCGAAATCCGTTTGGGTTCGCAACGACGGACTTATGATTGAGGGCATCGCCGGCCCATCACGCAGCGCTTCGGTTTTAACCCTCCAGCGCCGCCGTCTGCTCTCGAGCCTTAACCTATCGGGATCCGTGCTATCCCCAAAGGAGCTATGCGTAGACACCTCTTGATGTGAATTTTCTGGAGAGCTCGAATGTCTCTCAGCTTTTTGAATTCTCGCTGGGTGTCTCGTTTGCTGGACAGATGTTCAAGGGTGATTTTGTAAGACGATTGTCGGTCAAGGGCAGAAGCCGAAAAGTCTTTTGGCAATTGGCGTGGTTCCAACCCATCTATGAGTGTTTTCATCCGACCGGACTGAGGACTATAAGAGAATGGACACACATGAGTATCTCTCCTTGCCGTATGTTTCATGCTCACTTATGTATGACGGGTAGTCGAGATACCGAACGACCACTCGAAACCCTTTCCTCGCATTTGTGCTCCCAAAGAAGGTCAAGACGTTGGTCGTCACGACCTGGAAAACAAGAGTTGGCACCACGGTTGCGCTGGCAACCCTGCTGTTGCCCTCAGCTCCAGAAACAACCTTGTCGGGTATACTGCGTAGTAATGAGCTCTGCTGCGACATCCATAAAGCGGGTGGCCGGTGCCGGGCGGAGAGTCACGGAGGGGCTTTGTACCAAGTCCAGATAGGCTCGGATAAGGTAACGTGTTGACTGGGGACCACGCCGAGCAGTGGTCGAGCTTCGTCTGCTGTAATGGGTTGTGGACCGAATCTTAGAGGAGCAGTTTCTGGACACAAGTGGCTCGCCAAAGCACTTTATTTGGTAAAGCCGTTGTGAGCCCTGTACGCCGACCTTTGTGTTGTCGCAAAAGACTACCAGTTTTGGGTGGCGAAGGCACACTGCCAATATAGAAAGCCTTACTCTCTATCAAACGATCAGCTGCGCATGTTCACTCATGGATTGTTTCAGAACCGGCTTTTTTGAATTTGTTTCATTCCATTCTTTTTTCTACATTTTCGCTAAACTACCCGGACCATCACAGCCCGTTTAGGCGACGGTGGCCTTCTCCTTGGGGAGGGGAGTGAAGCGAAGGTAGGGCTTGACGATGCGGAACTCGGGGAAGAGGTCCTTGGCCTGGTCGTTGGAGACGGAGGGGTGGACGATGACGTCGTCGCCGGGTACCCAGTTGATCGGGGTGGTGATCTTGTGCTTGTCACCGGTCTGGAGGGAGTCGACGACACGGAGGACCTCGGCGGTGTTGCGGCCAGTGGAGGCTGGGTAGGAGAGGATGAGGCGGATGGTCTTCTTGGGGTCGATGATGAAGACGGAGCGGATGGTGAAGGCAATGCCCTTGGAGTCGACGTTGGTGGCGTCCTGGTGGTCGATCATGTCGTAGGCGAGGGCGACCTGGCGCTCCTTGTCGCCAATGATGGGGAACGAGACTTTGGAGCCGGTCACCTCGTCAATGTCCTTGATCCAGCCATCGTGGCTGTCGACGGTGTTGGCCGACAGGCCGATGAGCTTGACGCCGCGCTTGGTGAACTCGGGCTCGAGCTTGGCGAAGGCGCCGAGCTCGGTGGTGCAGACGGGCGTGTAGTCCTCCGGGTGGGAGAAGAGGATGACCCAGTTGTCGCCAATGAACTCGTGGAAGTCAATGGGACCCTTGGTGGTCTCAGCCTTGAAGTTGGGGGCAATAGAGCCCAGGCGAAGACTGTTGCGGTGGAAAGAGGTCAGTAAGCAGATTCGGCCTCGCGCGAGTACGCTGTGAGGAGATGAGAGCGAAGGGTGCCCCGCGCCCTGATGTCTGAGCCAGATTTACTTACGGAGCGGAAGACATGGTGGTGGTAGGTGTGTATGTGAAGCAAAAAGTGCAACAAAGACGATTTGGGGTATCACAGGACGGAAAGATGGGAGGAGGGGAAAGGAGAAACGAGAGCAGCGCCGTCAGAGAGAAGTTATTTATGAGGCAACGTCGGGCTCAGGCCCAGGCTGGCGCCATCTGATGTCGCCATCGAGCTTGGCTGGACGTGGCAGGGCCGCGGCTTGGCCTTGCGGGCGCGGCGAAGGTTTACCCACTCATCATCAAGCCAGCTCAAGCTCTTTGCAGCTGCCAATTTTTCTCGTGATGGTCATCCGGAAGACGGCGTTCAGCCGCTCTGTCCTGGTCTAACGCCTAAACTCAACAGCCAGAGCCTTTCCGAGCTCCAAGACTACACTGTGCTGCATCTTGCGTACGTTCTTCGTTTACAGGCACCATTGAACATGGAAGACTCTCCATCGGGCCTCCAACAGGGTGTTCCGTCATCCCGTCATCTTGATAATTTGCCGCCCACGCGGTCCCGTTGTCGGGAGCCCTGGAGCGCGTCCTGGTAGCGAACCTACCCCGCGGGTCGATGGTGGGGTATGCGGGAAGACGGAGGGGTCCTCTCATGGACATTGGCAATTGCGTGCTCGTCCGGCACAGTGATTGGCCAGTCCCACGCAGGCCCCTGCCGATTTCTCATTCCGCCGTCCGTTTGCATCACCATTGCCCTGCGGCTGTCGGGGCCGCACTTAACATGAACTTTGTTTGGTCCCTGGGAGGCGTGAGACATTATCGTTTTCTCTCCAGGCTGGCACCCACATGCCGCCAAGTGCTACGGTAGAAGTGTGATATCCCACGGGATCGATCGTTCGTCAGCACGTAGAATCGACGACTGCTCTATTCCTGGCTTCGATGACTGGGCGGGCGATGAAAGTCGTCTTTGCAAGGGCTGTCGCTGCAATTCGATGGCATGTTTGTGTGCTCAGCTCGCCCGATGATGTGACCAGGCCCGGCTGACCCCCCACCCCGAGCTCGGCTGTTGGCAGGTCTTCCCCGCACGAGCACTGTAGCTTCTCCAAAAAGTTGCATTGCTGCTGTGCAGTGGCGCCCGTAGGGCGGATTACAAAGTTGAAGAAACACGCCATCTCAACCCCTCCACAGTGTCTGGTGTCTAGTCTGGATCAGTCGCCGCCAGGCAGTCGGCCGGCTCTCGGACGACTCGCAGCAAGCCGTGCCTCGTCGTATCGTTGCTTCCTCCTGACCAACCATGTACTGGGCATGGGCATGGTAGACGCAAACTGCCACTTTTTCCTCCCGATCCCAATTGCAAGTCCCTGGCCATCTCGACCGTGTCTTTACTCTGATTTCTGTTCGATCACAGACAATTGTGTACTTTGCAGCGGCTTCAAACTGGACAGGCAGTTCTGCAATGATACACAACATTGAATTGCGTGTGCTTGCTAAGCCAGTCGTCACGACACCAACAGCATAATCCTACCACCAAATTCGACCTTGGCCAACATGCTTTGCGCAAACCCTGCCCAGTTCTAGTGCTTGCCCTCCGTGGACGAGTGCCCTTCTACCTCGACCTGATGTTCTCCGTCCTTGTGGGTTGACTCGATGTCGATCGCGGCCTTCGATCCAAATACTAGGCGGCAAGAGCGGTCAGTCAAAAATCAAAAGGCATCCACCGAGAAATTGTCCGCGGGCATTTCGAGACACTTACGAGCTTCCATTTCCTCGAGGGACTTGCCCTTGGTCTCCTTGATGACGAACCACGCGTACACCACGAGCGCCCAGTTGAAGATGCAAAACATGAGGAACGTCTTCCAGCCCAGGTTGTTGACAGCGTGCGGGGTGATCTGAGAAAAGGCGAAATTGAACAGCCATTGCGTGGCGGTGCCAACTACACGAGCCACCTGTCAATCGCTGCTTGCGTGAGCGAACATTGAGCCCCCATCTCCGGACACGTACCTGCCACTCCGATCTCTCGGATGCGAGTTGGGAAGACCTCGCCCATATAGAGCCATGAAACTGGACCCCACGAGCAGTTGTACGACACTATTTGACATGTCAGCCAGTAGCCAGGGCCTTTATGGTTCAACAACGTCTACATACTGGCCTCGAGGTAGATCATGGCGACAGAAGCAGCTCCGGTTGGTGTGAATCCCTGGTTATTCGCGCTCGGCGGGTGTGTTGCCGTAAGCACGGCGATGATGAGCATGTACATGCCCATGAGAGAAGCTCCGCCCAGCAAAGCGCCTCGGCGACCGATTCGCTCAACCAGAAAAAGCAAAAAGAACCCGCAGGATATGATCTTAACGATCCCAAAGAACCCGGTGATCAGGAGAACATCGCCAGCTATACCCAAGAGTCAGTCATGATACCACCTGCACTCCAGTGTCACAAGAAACGAACCTCCGACGGCCTTGAAAACTTGGGGCGCAAAATAGGCCAGAGACGTGTTGCCAGTCAGTTGGACACCTTACACATTTGTCAGCCAACGATTGTGCGTGACGCATGGGAACGTCGACAGAAGACCGGGGCTTCACCAACCGATCTGTAGTGTGATGACGAGTGCAATTCGTTTTCGGTTCACTGGCAAAAGGGCCTCCTTCCACGTAAGACCTTCAGAGATGTTCTCCTCCGCGCGAATGCCAGCAAGGATCTCAGCAAATCTACTCAGGCGTCAGTCATCCCAATGCGCTCAAAGATAGTAGCCAGAGACGGGACTTACTCGGCCTGGACCTCGGGAGAGTCTCCTCCACGGACCCAGATGAGCGATTCGAGCGCCTTTTCATTCTGGCCTTTCTTTGCAAGCCATCGGGTGCTTTCCTTGGTGAGCAGCATCCCCAAGCCTAGAATCCCACCAGGCAACAGTTGCAAGCCGATTGGGATCTGCCATTGCTTTGTGACAGAAGGAATGTTGATGGACACGCCGTAGTCGACCCAATAGCTGACAGCAACACCGATGGTGAAGAAAAACTGGAACATGCTGCCCAGCTGGCCGCGAATCTCTTTGGGCGCCATCTCGGCACTGTACATGGGAATAATGACTGTAGTTCTTCGTCAGCATCACTGGTTCCGCGTCCAGGGTCCAACAACATGCTTACCAGTTGCCATCCCCACGCCAATACCACTGATGACTCTGGCGACGTAGAATGCCGGGAGGGAATGCGTGTTTATGGTTTGGACAATTGCGCCAATGTTGAAAATCGCGGAAGCGAGCACGAGCGACCATCGACGTCCATACTTGGCGGTGAAAGGCCAGATGAAGAAGCAGGCCACGAATGCTTTTGAATTGCCACGTCTTGGTTAGCACAACGCATCTCAGGTTCGGGGTCCTACACGGGTCGTACCTCCTGCTTGAAGCAGGCTTGCGGAAAGGCCAGAGACTGTTGAGCTGTTGGACGCATTGATCCCAAAGTCTCTTTTGAAGGAGTCAAAGGTCAAAACACCTCCTACCACACCGGTATCGTAGGCAAACTGAGGCGGCGAGATCGTCAGTGCATGATGGGGCAAATGCGACCACATTGGTTCGGCTCGTCGTTCATGCACAGGCGGCTCGTAGGGTCAAGTGTGCACTCACCAGAAACGAGCCGACGCAGCAAAGAGCCGCAAGGTAGACGGCCCTAAAGGTACCCAGCTGCTTGCCCATGTTGGCGCTTCAATCGACTTTTGCGGTTCGACGCGACCTTGGGAGAGAGCACGACACATGCAAGCAGGCGAACAAGTATATCGGAGTTGGTGGCCCAATGAGACAGCGGAAGGATGAGAAGAGTTCAACAGCTTGAACAGAGGCGTCACTGGCAGGAGGACGGAGGGGCCGTTGTTTTGTTCCCGAATTGTCGTTGAGGACTTGGCTATATCTACGCAAAAACTGCACCCCTTGGACAGGACAGGCCGCGGAGCTAACGGTGCATGGCTGCTAGCAGGGTTGGAGCTATGAAGCTTACCACAGCCAACCACGATCCACAGCGACGGTGGCGTGCTCGACCAGCTTATGGCCACTGGGAACCAGTCCAGGAAGAGTGACACCCTAGAGCTCGAGGATATTGAGCAAACACTTGGCTGTCGGGATGCTACGCTGTCGGTTGGTCGAGGCCGGGCCAATGCATCCAGGCTCAAGGGTTGCTGCACTGGTCCCCATCTGATGCCCTTCGCGAGACGCACGTTCCAGCGAGCCTTGGGGCCACCTGCCCTGCACGTGCCAAGGCTGACAGCATCAAAACCCGGGCGCGTGTTGCAGGCCGAGTTTTGCTTGTCTTTGATACACATGTTCTCTCGAGTCATAGCGCCATTGACCAGCAAGTTGTGTTGATGCAGTCACAGCAGTACTCGACGGTCTGGAGGAGGAGCCAAAGACGACAGATGGATGACTCCTAGTGAGGGCCATAACGCCTTCGTCTCCCGCCTCAGCTTGCACAGGTCAGCCCCAGCCGCAGAATTACCCCAGACCATCCCCCCGTTGACACTAACGACGACCCGGAGCAGCGCCCCCTCCCCTGCCCGCGTCCCTGCTGACCGGCGTCGTCCAGTGTGTGAGCACACCCGCGCTACTTGCGGTCCTCGGTTTTCCGCGCCCGTGATTTGCGGACAAGCAGCGCTGTTCTTGCAGGTCCCTCCCTGAAACATCCACTCCAGCATTGTGCAATCCAGCCTGCATAGCACGAAACCGCCAGACCAACATCTCTGTCTCTGAAGCACGTGGGAGCCGCCCACACGCCCGGATGCAACTGGCCCGCGGGCACTAAGGGATCGACAGCAGCGACAGAGCCCGGTGGCGCCACTCCAGTGGCCAGCGACCAGTCTCCAAAGCCAGCCGACCTCCTCAAAACCCCTGACGTAGTCGTCTCGTCGCCAGCCGTGTTGGTGTTCTCCACAGCTTGTCACAAGAGCAGCGGCAGCCGGAGGTCGTGTTCCAGGTGTCCGTCTCTCGTCCTCCGCGTTGTCAAAGGCCTGCCAATGACCGATCCCATCCGACCCCTGCGACCAGCCCAGTCTGCAAGTCCAGCATCGCCCAACAACCAGCCGCCCGGGCCAATCATCACGACGACCGGCACCGGGCTGCTGAGGAAGAGGCCGACCTGCTCGCAATGTCGCATTCGCAAGGTGAGCCTCCATCGTCCCAGGGTCTGATCATCTGCGAGGACTCGTCCAAGTACTTACATCCTGTCCTTCTCAAATCAATAGGTGCGGTGTGACGGGCAGCAGCACATCTGTGGCAACTGCCAGCGGCTGAGGTTTGAGTGTTCCTTCCAGCAAAACTCGAATCCATCACGCAGTGAATACGTGCTCAAGGTTCCAGAAGCACGGCGCCGCATGCAGGCTTGTATACCGTGAGTGTTTTCGTACCAATGCACTGCTCAATTGCCCCGGAGTGGCGGTTTGATGCGCTCCTTGTCCACCCTGGGATGTGTTTTCGCCTCGCGTTCCCCGACACTGACGCCCAGGAATACAGTTGCCATGACAAAAAGACAAGATGCCTCGGAGAGTTGCCCAGCTGCACAAACTGTATGCGGAAAGGAAGGAACTGCGTCTATCCGAGCACTAAAAAAGGACCGGCATCGGCCAGAAGTCGGGACGTGGCCGAGCAGCCCTCAGCCCTCGCAAAAGACAGCCGTTCACCATCAGCAAGGCTCGCACCGGATACTGCGCCGGCCTCGCTAAACCAGAATGATACGTCCCCAGGCCAGGATGTGATCACGCTGCTTGTCGAGAACTACTTTAGGGAGCTTTACCCTCTACCATCATTCTCGTTCCTGCATAAACCAACCGTCATACAGCGATGCGAGGATGGAACGATCAACGAACAGCTCAAGTTGGCCATATGCGCCATTACAGCCTTGCAGCTGCAACTCTCGGCCTACCCACATGATGTATGGGCCCAGAAGGCAGAGCACACAATTCTACAGCAAATCGGCCAGCCCTCTATTTTCCAGCTGCAGTCCTTGTTCCTGATTGTGCGTTACCGCATCGAGAGCGGCGGGTTTCCAAAGGCATTCATGCTGGCAGGCCTGGCTGCGAGGATCGCAGTTGCCCTGCGGCTGAACTATGAGAGGAGAGACCTCTCATATGTTGCACAGGAAGCTCGGCGGCGTTTGTACTGGTCTCTGTACCTTCTCGACGATTATTTCTGTGTTGGTCTGCGAGAGTTCGAGCTGTGCCCCGAAGAGACCATCCACCTGCAACTACCTTGTACGGAGGAAGTGTTCGAGGCGGGGGGTCACACGTTGACAGGCCCTTTACAACCAGATCCATCACGAGTTGGTGAACCAACTGGGTTGCACGCATCGTATCTCCGCGTAACTTCAGCGCGAAGAGCAAATATGAGGTGAGATTCGGACCATCCGCTTCGGCAGCAATTAGCTGCAAGACCAACTTTTTCTGACGCTTTCTCATAGGTTTATACGACGTCTCGGCCTCGGGGAGGAGTCACCTGCGACGCTGCGCACATCCATAGCGACCTTGGAGCAGAACCTGAGTCTCATACATGCAGGGATGGGCGAGCTAGGCACGTACTCGGTGTCGACGCTAACTGCCACCAAATGGCCTGCAGAATATTTGATGCTGCATGTCTCATGGCATCAATGCCATTGTGACCTGTATCGCAGCTTTATCGACAGTTATAGCGAGGCAGCGCCGGTAGCAGTGCTGGAAGGACTCCATCCACAGGACCGCGCCGCGGTCCAGCGCAAATGCGTTGAGCATGCCGAGGCCATCATAGACATTCTGTCGGATTTTGCACAACACGGACACAGCCAGTGCCAGCTCGAGCGCGACATTGCAGTCTGTGCATTCGAAGCCGCGCGGATTGTCATGTTTGATTGTCGCCGGACGGGCCAGGTTGGCAAGATGCACGAGGCACTTGTCAAGGCAAGTCTGTGCTTCCAGCTGATCACGAGACACTTCTCGTTTTCGGCATCAACACAACCCCTTGTACGTTGTCCATCCAGAAATTGTTGCGGCTGATTTCACAGCTGTCAAGAGATCAGACATACCCCCTTCCTGGCTGAAAGCTAATGCACCATTCTTCCCGAGACAGTGGAAAGAGTTGAAGCGGCTCATAGAAAATTACACGCTTCGAACGGATTTGCAGGCTCGAGCTGAGGCGCAAGATGTCGTCGGAACTGAAGGAGGTGGCAGTGCTCTCGAGTCTGGCCCGCCGTCGCCACGCTCATCTAGACTTTCTCAGATCGCCACTGCCCGACAGAAGCTTTCGGTACAGAGCCTGCTACTCCAGTCCGACTTTGTCGACGACAGTGATCAGATTGCGTATCCGGAGGAAGCTCGTGACGGTAGTAGCGTAGGCGACGTAGCCAACTTGGTTGCAGCTCATGGCACAGAATTCTCTCTTGATGTGTCAGCGAGCAGCGCCAAACAGCACGGCCTTGCAGCGTCCACTACCACAGGCATGGAACCGACGCTTCCAAGTGAGGCGGCAGGGCTCATGGGAGGCATAGTGTCATCAGATCATCCGCCGACCACTACAGCTACGCCGCGACCGGCCACTTGGGTCACCGAAGCCGGGGATGGTGGCGATATCGAGTCTAGCGCCCACGGACTCATGACGTCCAACCCGCCTGCCATTGTGACAGGAGCTGGCCCGCTTTCTGTGCCTGCCACGCTGCCGTTAGGGATGGATCTGTCGGGCCTGGCCCCTGCTGTTCCGGGATTTGACCCTGGCTTCGTTTTCAACCCGTGGATGGGGTTCTCTGGCAATGAGGACCTACGAGCATATTATGGGCAGGCCGTGGGCTTAAATGAGGAGTACTGAAGTTGTCGCCCCATTGCTTCATGCAGCCGTGGACACGGGATGAAGATCTGTCCGGCTCTGGCAGACTCATGCCCTGCTACATTTTCAGGTCACAGCTGCTAACACCGAAAGGATCCCCACTACCTTGTGCATGCAAGTCGCGTAAGGTGTGTGACCTTTTTGATTTTTATTTGCACATGTCACAAGAGATAGCCACTGCACCACAACTAGTTGCGACAGGCTCCCAGTTCAAGTGCCTTATGCGTCCAAGGAGCGAGTGAGAACAACCCCTTCAGGCAGAGACTCACATGCCACACTCCGGCTGCTGTGGACGCGCTTGACCTGCAGGAGAACATGCGGTGACAACGCAACCTAATCTTGCGATGCCACACAGCTTGCTTTCTCCTAGTGGGTCCGATTTGTTTCCTGGTCATGCAGAAAGCGGTCCACGGGCTGCCAGAAAGATGGTGGCCCGACACGGGACGTGGTGGTTCCGGGAGAGCCTGCATGGCAAAGCCCGCTGGTACATCGTAGGAGGGGACATACGAATCGGGTAGGCCTGATCGATCCGGCCTAGCTTTACGATAGCGTCAGGGGTCACATCGGGCTGCTGTCAGTGCCACCAGACGCACGATGCGCCCTCCCTCTCGGGAGGCCGGAAGCTCCACTTTGTGGAATGGCCCCATGGTCGCAAGACGGCAATTTCGACGGGTGGCACCATTCTGGACTGTGCCGGGCCGGCCTTTGGTGTGGAGCCAGGTCATTTCGAAGTGGCGATCGTTCGAGGATGAGAGGCAGTAGCAGTATATGTCTACGAAGGATGCCTGTTCTAGTTAATGGTCTATCTACTGTTTCGTGTCAAACATTTGTTTCCATTGGGCCTTCGCCAATCAACACGAACTGGCCGTAGCCGTACGTCGCCGCCGCGTTTTTTCATCGCCAAACAACACTAGTTATACATATCCCTTCTCTCCCTTGGACAGGACTCCCCAGCACAGAACGGCGAAGGTGCCTTCGGGAAAATAGCATGGCATTCGTGTAAGGCATAGATCAAAATGGTCTCTTTGCTTTCAACCAGATAGCATTGCTAATACAACCTGTACGGCAACAGTAACTCGACCGACTTCCACCTCGATGGAACCGCCGCTCCTTCATACTTTCACCTGCTCACCCAGCTCTCCGATCCTCAATTCCACCATTTCCACATTGTCGAGCGGTTATGGGCGGTATGTCTCTGCTACCTTACAGTCACTAGACTCGGCTCGGTGCTAATCAAGATTAATATCCTGCAGGCATGGTATCTGTGGATCGGAAATGATGTGCTGGCGACGGGCATCCTCACATTCATTCTCCACGAGTTCTTTTACTTTGCGCGCAGCATTCCATTTATGATCTGTGACCAGATCCCTTGGTTTCGCAAGTACAAGATCCAGGTGCGCAAGTCCTATCCAAAATTACACAACATCTCCGTGCCTCTCATCGCTGACCTCAATCCCCTCGCAGGCTGGCAAGATGCCTTCCCTCCAAGAACAATGGGACTGCGCCAAGATTGTCCTCCTGAGCCACTTCACCGTCGAGCTGCCGCAGATCTGGCTCTTCCACCCGCTCGCCACATACTTTGGCATGCAGTACGGCGTGCCCTTCCCGCCGGTGTGGAAGATGACGGCCCAGATTCTCCTCTTCTTCGTCATGGAGGACACCTGGCACTACTGGGCGCACCGCCTCTTCCACTACGGCCCGCTCTACAGGGCCGTGCACAAGATGCACCACAAGTACTCCGCGCCGTTTGGCATCGCCGCCGAGTACGCCTCCCCGATCGAGGTCATGGCCCTGGGCCTGGGCACCGTGGGCAGCCCGCTGCTCTGGGCCTTGCTGACGGGCGGCGACCTGCACCTCTTCACCATGCACGCGTGGATGGTCCTGCGCGTGTTCCAGGCCGTCGACTCGCACAGCGGCTACGACTTCCCCTGGTCGCTCAACAAGGTCCTCCCGTTCTGGGCCGGCGCGGCCCACCACGACGTCCATCACGAGAAGTTTGTCGGCAACTACGCCTCGAGCTTCTGCTGGTGGGACTACCTGATGGACACGGAGGCGCATGCCGAGGCGAGGCAGAGGCGCCGGGAGAAGGAGCTGGCAAAGAACAGGCTGGCCAGCGACAAGAAGAAGGCGTTGTAAGGTGGATGGGGAGGGGGGAAAGGGGAGACCTATTCAGATGTACTCATGGCCCAGCGTCCGATCACTTGAAGTACTGGTGATTATTTCCCCTAGGAAGAGCTGCAGTGCGGAGAGCGGAAATACGATTTCTCTTGGCCGGCTAACTGTTGCTGCGCCACGACAGGCGAAGATGGGCCGTGTCTCCGAGCATTCCCTCATGCATGTAGTAGACATCTATACTTAATGCTAATCATACTCGAAAACAAGACGTACACCAAAATGAGGCCGCGGGATATTGAGCCTGTCATGGCGGTGGCATGCTATTAAATTGGTGAAACAAGTTGGTCAGCTGCCAACTCACGGGTGATGGCCTGGTACTGTTCAATAACTTGAGTTATGGTGATCCGATCCATCTGCTTCTCAAAAGCAGTGTATGTTTGCATGGGAGGACATGCACGTAGCCTAGTGTCTGTCCTGGTTTGAAGACGTCCACGCACCCCGTTGCCAAAGTATCAGTACTGCTCAATTCATGTACGTCCGTTTGTCGGAAAAAGTTGTCTTGCGTTTGTCTGTCTCTCTGCCTGTCCTTTGAGCCGGAGCCGGACTGCTAGGAGCAGAGCAAGCACGACCCATGGCATGATCTTCTTCATTACTGTCAAGGCACCGTCTGTCTTGAAATCTGCACAACAGTCATGCATCCATCCCTAGGCCCCCTCCCCTTTCTACTCGAGGCGGCAGGGCACAAGCAGGGGCACCACCATGAGGGCTTTGCCACTGCTTCAAAACGCCCGAGCCCCCCTCCCTCCCTCCCTTGGACCCAATTAGATTTAGTACATGCCCATCCTCGTTCTGAAACCCAAAAACCTCCCCTCTCTCTCTCCCCAGAGGAAAACCGTCCCTTTTTCAAAACGTCAAACCCCGAGCCCATTGACCGTCGTGGCTGTCCTCGTCCTCGGACAGCAGCGGAAGCAGCGGAAGCGGCGGTGGCAGGGGCGGCTCCCTCATCCCCGCAATCTCATGCACCCTTTTCAGGTTGACCCGGCTGAGCCGCCGCTGCTCGGGCGTCGCGAGGGGGCACGTGGCGATGAGCCGCAGCGGGTCGCGCAGCTCGAAGCCCTTCTGCGCGGGCTGGCTTTCCAGGCTTGCGAGGTTGATCATCGGCGGCAACGGCGGTCGGGCCGGCGGTGGTGGTGGCGGAGATCTGGGTGAGGCATGCGACGATGATGATGGTGGTAGCGGCGACGGTAATGATGATGATGATGGTGAAGTGGAGGAGTAATAAGAGGAAGGAGTAGTCGGGTCGAGGACAAAGGGGATGCAGTGCACCATGTCGGCGATGGCTAGCCTGATTTCGTGCTCGAGCTTCGCGGCCGTCTGGATTGCGAGGCCGAGGAGTTCATTGTCTATACTCGGGCGGCGGCTGCCGTGGTAGATCATCGAGTCGTGCAGCAGTGGGTGTGGTGATGATGATGATAATGCCGAACATGATGGTGACGACAGGGCAGCTTCTGCTGTGTAGTCCGCATCATTGCCCGCGGCTGGGCGAGCTGGAGTCTGGCCGGGTGAGCTGAAAGCAACACTGCTGCTAGAATCGTGGTGAGTATAGTGGTTGTCCCCGTCGACAGAGCCCGCGACCATCGGGGTCACTGTTGGCGGAGCCGGAGTCGGACTCGGACTCGCTCGTCCCTTGTGTGTCAGCTCGAAGCCACCGTCATGCCCTCCAGCAACCGGCAGAGAGACCGAAACGGCGGGTGCGGTGAGCCACGACCCTCCCGCGGTGGCCACACCCGGCCACGTCGAGGCACTCGTAGCATCTTTTATAGTCTGCTGACAGACGGCGAGCAGCAAGAGCGAGAAGCGCACCCGGTAGCTGCGCATCAAGACGACCGTGCTGGCCGTCTCGGAGTGGTACATCCACGCGTGGGCTGCTGACTGCCCCAGCAGCGGCGGGCCGCCGCGGCCTCCGTAAAAGTGTGGCCAGGTTGCCGTCGCGTGCTTGTTCCATGCCTCGAATTCGTCGAGGGCGCTGCACGCAACTTGGATCTGGGTGAGCCGGTCATCGAGATGGTGTTTTTGTGGTGACGATGGGCATGAGAATAGTGTGCTTGCGCTCCCGGGCGTGCCGAGGCGTGTTGGTAAGGGGGTATCTGTTGCGTTTATAGTAGTAGTGGTGCTATTCGTCCTGGCGATGCTGGGCACACCGTTTGGTATGTAGCCATTGCTACGATCGCCGTCGAAACATGGGCTGTCTCCCTGCTGAGTGCTGGGAGAGCTGCCTCGCGAGAACATGGCAATAAAGTCCGAGGGCTCCAGCAAGGTGCGTAGTGGCTTGCTCTTCTGGCATAGCAGCTCTAGGATGGGGACAACCCGGGTCATGGGGTCCAGGATCTGGCTGCCCTGAGGAAGAATACCCATCGAGGCAAAGTCGCAGTACTTGAAGTCGTTGCGTACTGCCGCGTCGGCTTGCTGTTCGTGTGGTGCAGGGCGTGGTCAGAAGCCATAGTCGATGGCAGTACGAGGGTTGCAAAGCAAAAGGCCACTCACCAGGTAGACCATGGAGAGAAACATGAGCTCCCGCCCCCTGCTAGTAAAGCCCTGCTCCGGACCTCGGCGGGTCAGGAGGTAGTAGACGCCGGACGCATGAGAGCCGGCATGCCGTGACGCGGCATCGTTGACGAGCTATATGGTTGCCAGGGAGGCGAAGTCAGCAAGCGCAAGGACATGGCAAGTATGGACAGGTGAGCACAAACCCCAAATATGCTCAACAGGAGAACCGTCCCGAGGGTCCGGTCACTCAACGCCTCACGGGTCGCCTCTGTTGCACAAGGGGCTTCCTTGCTGCCATTCTGCTTCTGTTGTTTCGATATTCGGGCCTCGTCGGTCAGCAGCTTGCGAATCTTGGCGACGGCAAGGCCGTGGTCCCGGTACGACTTGTCCCTGAGAGACTTGTCACTGTGCCGGGTGCGGTTGTACGCAACCATGCGGGCGGCACTCAGCGTGGCCAGCTCGAGGGCATCTGACCTGCCTGGGTCGTACAACGAAAACAAGAAGTTGAGATAGCCGGGCAGGCCGGCACACTCGGCGCGGCTGGCAAAGCGGTTCATGAAATAATACAGAGACGTGATCTCCTCGGGCGGGTCCAGCGCCGGCGGCAGGACCGGCGCGGCGTGGTAGAAATGACCGGCAGGAGCGATGGCAGCACCCGTGGCTGAGACACCCAGGGTGGAAGAAGCCGCAGACCCGGAGGCAGCGTGCCGGGATGCCCAGATGGTCACATCGGGGCTCTGTCGCTGGTGCTGGTGCCGCTGCTGTTGCTGGTGCCGTTGCGGTTGTGGTTGGTCGGTGCCGGCCTGGTGGGCAAAATGGAATGTGTCCGAGTATCCCGGGCAGGGTTTTCCGTAGACGGCGCACCGGCGACAGCCGGGCCGGCCCTCGTCGCACTTGACGCGGCGCTTGCGGCACAGATGGCACGCCGTGTTGAAGCGGCCGCCGAAGACCATCCTGACGGGGGTGCCTGTGTGCCCGGGGCCGGGGACCCTCCAGCGGTCTGCAACTGATGGTTACGGCGTTGCAAAGACTGCCGAGGCCTGTGGCGGGCGAATGGGCATCGAAAGCAATGGCCGATCGAGCCAGGCCGGGCTGAGCTGAGACACAGTAGCTCTAGGGCGTGCTGCTGGGTGTCGGGGATTGCCAGACTCAGTGCGTGCCTTTGGGGAGAACAGGCAGCGGCAAGGGAGCTTGCGTGGTGATGAAGCGGCCCGACATCTGGACAAGATCGGCCTGGTGCTTCAAGCCCCGCTCGATAGAGTTTAGCTTGCGAGCTCTCGGCCGGGGTATACCTGCCCAGCTGCCAAGCCAACACCACAACGGAGCAAGCCGAGGCTCACTTTGATCAGAACCACTTTGGCTGCTGTCGAGATGTCATGTTTGACCGGTATATGCCACGTCAATAAGGGAACAAGATGTCCAATTCGTCAACATCGTGTTCTCAGCCTTGGGGAGAAGAGTGAGGCGACCGGCGGCAGGCATCATCATGGGTTGCTTAGCGACCCCACCAGAAGCGGTGGCGGTCGAGGCCACAGTTCCGGCGATGTTCCAGCAGTATTGTCCAGCGTATGCGGCACGGGGAAATAATCCCCAGCATCATTGTTCGCCTAGTGTTAGACCACGGCACAGCGGATCTGAGAAAGCCTTCCCAGTATCTACTTTGAGGATTCCTTGATGGGTCATTTAGGCATGAGCGAAACGACTGCTTACATCTCGTCATCAGGATCCAAATCAATCATCAGTGCTGGCGCGTCACAGTTAGACTACACTCATAATCTCCCCCGCAGCTGCATAATCTGGAGTTCACGTAGTGGGCTCCTGTAGTAGCTGAGTTTAGTCGATCCAAGGACTACGAAGAATACTATCAGGTAGGGATGTCTGTAGCCAACGCAATCTCGATGGACGTGAGCAGAGTCGCGGCTGCCTGCAAGCAGGGAGGAGGGAGAACTTTAGGACCTTAGCACCCCTCCTGCACTTAGATAAGTCTATGGACGCCACGGATACTGTTTTTAATTACCGCCTCTTATAGAGAAAGTAATATATAGCCCTACTGATCGCCCTTAGTTATTCACCGGAATGAGATCACCCCTACGCTGTACCTACTTTCTATCGGACTTAGTTACCTAGATATAGGCACTTCCATGGCCGAACTGAGAGTATCATCTGGATACTCGGACTTTCGGAATAGACTCCTACCTTTATCTAGCTACGCGTAATACCCTCTAGTAGGGTATGAGCAGCCGGCAGTAATCGCAGCTAAGGACGTCCTTATATAGCCTCCCTACGAGATAGTTAAGGGCAGAGAAAGACGCATGGGGACCGATGCCCGGTGGATGTGATATGTCGCTGTTGTGATTTTGGAAAGGTGAGCACCAAGAGGCCGAGTCCATGTTCCACCTGGGGGAGTTTAGGGACATGCATTGAAACCCCGCACCCGGATGTCTATCACGACGCGAATCATCCAGACGAGGCGGCCAGAGGTAGCTGTCGTTGAAGCGAGAGGGTTTTCTTTGTCTTTCCTTCTGCGCACGCATTCCCACAAATGGCCCTGCCGTGACCCATCTCACAACGGGAAGTTGGCGGCTACACTAAACGTCATTTCCTCACTTGATTCGTCATAGTCTTTGCACGGGCGCACGAGCGAAGTGTTTCTGGCCTGGCAGGAGATACGAAGGAGTGGAGTCACTACACATGAATCGTCATCGTCTCCAAAACGCCGCCTGCACTTGCATACAAGCCATGCGGAGAATGAGGAGGCGATGAGGGTGCGGAGACGCCCGTGACTTCTGCCGGACGGGGAACCGGATATTATTGGTATTTGCGCTCAAGAGCGTGCCTCGACATCCGCATTTATCCCTTGCCTCACCTCACCTGACATGCTCAGATACCTCTGGCTGTCTCACTCACGCTTTTAACCAGTTCACACCATCCCCAAACGCACCCGACTTTTTGTTTTCTTTTGTCCGCAAAGCAAGCCCCGCAACACTACTCTCCAGTTTCCCCGCGCCAGGATGGGACAAGAGACAATCTCGCCAGATTCGTCCCTGCTGCCGCATCTCCGTCATGGCCCAAACGGCATCCAGCTCATCGTCAAGGGCAAGCCCTTCCTCATGCTCGCCGGCGAGCTGCACAACTCGTCGCTGAGCTCGGCCCGCTTCATGGCCGACGTGTGGCCCACGATGAAGGCGCAGTCCATCAACACGCTGCTAGGTTCCGTCTACTGGGAAATGATTGAGCCCGTCGAAGGGCAGTTCGACTTCTCCGGGCTCGACGCTGTCGTCCGGGGCGCACGGGAGCACGGCCTCCACCTCGTCCTCTTGTGGTTCGGCACTTACAAGAACGGCATGTCGACCTACGTCCCGCACTGGGTGAAGCGCGACGTGAAGCGGTTCCCGCGCGTCCATGTGCTCGACGAGACCGCCAGCGGCCGGCGCAAGAGGACACTAGAGATGATCTCGCCGTTCTCGGACGAGTGTGTCACGGCGGACAGCCGCGCGTTCCGCAGGCTCACGGAGCACCTCGCCGAGATGGACTCGGAGCATAACACCGTCATCATGATCCAGGTCGAGAACGAGAGTGGGCTTCTGGGCGACGCGCGGGACCGGTCTCGGGTTGCCGAGGCCGAGTTCGAAAAGGGCGTGCCCTCGGCACTGGTTGATCATCTGGTGGCCGCGACCAAAGATCTGCACCCCAAGTTCATCCGACGGTTCGGCGAGAGACTCGAGACAGTCGCCAAGGCCAGATCAGAGGGCAAGGCGACGAGCTGGGAAGCGCTGTTCGGGCCGGGCGACGCCGCAAGCGAGGCGTTCACGGCCAATGCGATCTCGACGTACGTGGGCAAGGTCGCGGCGGCGGGCAAGCAGGGATACCCAATCCCCATGTACACCAACACGTGGCTCAACTTTGACGACCCGGCGGCCGCGGCCGCGGCGGCGCTCGATCTCGAGGGTCTCCCCTTCGTGGCCGGCGGCGGTGCTCAGCCGGGCATCTACCCGTCCGGCGGACCCTGCCCGCACGTCACTGACATCTGGCGTTTCAACGCCCCGGCCCTCGACTTCCTCGCGCCCGACTTGTACTTGCAAGACTACGAGGCCGTCTGCAGGGACTACACGGCCCACGCGGACAGCCCGCTGTTCATCCCGGAGCAGCGCCGGGACGAGCACGGCGCGAGGAGGGTCTGGCTCGCGTATGCGACGTACGGGGCGCTCGGGACTGGCCCGTTTGGTATCGACACGGCCCCGGAGGCGATTGGGAGGGAGTACAAGCTGCTCGCACAGACCAAGGAGTATCTCCTCAACACGCCGCCCTCGAAGCGGTTCGGCTTCTTCTTTGACGAGCTGCCACAGTCTGGTCCGCCCAAGGGCCAAGAGCACTGGACCAAGATGTTTGGCGGGCACCTCGAGGTCATCGTCGAGCGGGCGTTTGTGTTTGGCAAGGCTGGCCCGGGAGGCGGGATGGTGATCCAGCTCGGTGGCGAGGACTCGGCCAGGTTCCTGGCGGTTGGGAGGGGATTCAACGTCCACTTCAAGAGCCACAAGGACGACGCCACGTTCACGGGTATTCTCGACTCCAGGGAGAAGGAGTATGTCGAGGATACTGGGGAGCTCCGCACCCTCAGGACGCTCAATGGGGACGAGACGAGAAGCGGCAAGTTTCTCATCATGCCGAATGAGGACCCGGACTATGGGGGATTTCCCATTGCGGTGACGATCCCTGCCAGAACCTGCATTGCCGAGGTTGAAGCCTACTGGATCTGTGAGAGCAACGAAGACATGTAAACAGGTTTCCGCCTATGCATGAAACGTCTATGATAACTTGTACCTCGTTTCAAAGAACAATGGTTATGCTCCGTGTTTGAACGTAGTGAAAACTAAGGGGTTTGTTTCCCCTCGAACGCCAACGGGGTGGCCTCGCCAGGATAGGCAAGTAAAGTCAAAGCCTTAGAGCCTCGTGGTGATGGCTGTATTCAGGTTCAGATGGGTGGGGGTTTGCTGTCGGAGCTGAATGACTCACTGAACGCTGTTCGGTGAGCACGGAATGAGGCCCTCTCCACCCACGCAGCGAAGGGCTGGACAGTATTAGTGAAGACCAAGCATGTCAAAACAAAGGCGCGCGCCTTTTTTATTCAACGTGAGACGGCAACATGCCTCAACGCGGTCAAGGATGAAGTACAATGCACTTTTCCTCGTGTGGAACAGCTAGCGAGCCATCAACTCCATTAACCAGCACGGCCGACACGGAGACAAGCCGGAAAAACCATTGGTGTCATCATCACGGCGTATCTATAAACGAGCGACCTTCGAGCCAGCTCTGAATCAGGCGGTTGACCTCGTCAGGCTTCGTCTTCATCATCCAGTGTCCGCCTGCCTCCAACAATTCCAGCCTGTCGAGCTCGTCGTCCCACCCAGCCTCTCTAATGGCGTCTAGAAACTGACCGGCCGAACTCATCACTAGCCTGGGCACCTTGACGCGAGTCCGCCTGGCATACTCGACGCCGCTCGGCAGGAGGCACTCGACCTGCTGCTCCACTGACCGAATTGCGGCACCCTTGTCCATGCTCAACGCTCGCAACAGGTTCCACGTCTTGATGTACTCCGGGGTCTCGGACGGGTAAAGCGCTTCGAAGCAGGAGGCTAGAGCCGTTTCGTAATCGTCCTTCAGCTGCTCGACAAGGCCGAGAAACATGTGCAACGGCGCCTGATACGACGGGTCGAGCAGGACCAGGCCCTTTACCAGCGATGGGTGCCCGTGGGAAAGCTCGATCCCCACGGTAGTGCCTAGGCTGTGCGCTATGATTATGGCCTTGTTACTGTCGTCGACACCGCTCCGGCGGAGAATCTCTGCGGCATCCTCGGCCATGGCCGTCGGCGACATGTCTGTCTCGGTGTGGCCGTCTGCCTGGAGAGTCCGGCTCGCCCCGTGGCCGCGCAGGTCCATAGCGATGACGCGGAAGCACTTGTGTGTCTGCAGGAGAAATGGCAGCTGGAAGCTCCAGTCGGTCATGTCGCACGTCCAACCATGGATGAGAAGGACCGGCAGTCCAGAACTAGGGCCATGGATGGTGTAGAAGAGGTCGCAGTCGTCCCGCGAGAGGTGTGCGCCAGACATGATCGTGGCTTGACGCAGGTGTCGCTGGAGCCTTGTTTCATTCAATCTCTGTGGTCACTTGAGTTTGTTTGTGTTCAATTGCACTGACGGGCGACCGCGAGCGACGAACGTGCCTCAAACCAGTGACGTTGCTGCTGGCCCCAGTCTAGCGGTTATATGTAGCCTGTTTGTGACCTTCATCTGAGCTACCCCGCGATGGCAACCCAATTAAGCCATCGGTGGTCAACGTCGCCGATGGCCGGCTTATCAAGCACGCAGTGCCTTGACTGGGTCCCGCTGACAAACATATATCTTGTGCTTAGTAGACAATCGAGGCAAGGCAATTCTTTAGGTAGTGACCTCCGCTTAGTCCGCTGGAGCAGGAACACGACCTCTTTGCATTACGTTTCGGGAAATGGTTCCGAATCTGACATGAATTATAGGCCTCACGTTTTCAAGGATAGGTCTTTGTTATTCTGGCTAATATCTAGATAGAAAGAGAGGACATAGTACGCTACGGCAATCCTCCTTTATTGAGCTTACAACCATGCTTCCGTCCTGGTCCTCCGAGCGATCCGCCGCCCAATCGCAGCCAGCCCACGGGCACACCTATTCCCAAATGAGGGGCATCAGCAGCTGTCTATGGTCGCAACAGCAATTGCCCGCGTCCCGGCAGCTTTAATTCATCCGACCAATTTTGCTGACCATATCGCAGGCTGGTGTCATGATCCTGCCCCCGGGGCCAACCGTTAGACAGGGCGCTGGGGTTGCTGTTCTGTAAGATAGGTAAGGCCTATGCGATAATAACTAATACTCTACTATCGTTCTCTCTTTAGGGTTGTCGTATCTCTAGGAAGAGATATAGTACTATTAGTTCTTAACGTACGCTAGATAGCTCCTTAGTTACATATGTAGTTCGCTATATATACTATATAGCTCCGTTAGTTCTATATCCCGGGACCTGCTAATATAATCCGAGGGTGTTCCGCCCCACGTGTATGACCTGTCCTTATCCCTGGCCTGATCCTGCGACCTGCTGGTTGGGTCGTCACATAACCAATCGGCCTAAGTGATTTCCCGGAACTCGACAACCCCTGTAAAATACCCGCTTTCTAACGGATTAAGTCGAAAACGTATTAGCGCTTATGTCGCCAAGCAAATAAAACCCTCTATCTACTCGGATTTACGGAATAGACCGTTATCTCTATCCCATTATGCCATCTCCCCTCTGCTGTCTCACTGCATCCCATCGTGTCTCTCAACTGTACCACGTTCCGAAAGCCTAGCTGAGTATACAGACGTCTGGCCATAGCCGTGGACTGGGCTGCCCGCTATACGTGTCTCCTCTGGTAAGGTCCACCATGATGGACACGCCAAGCCTCCTGAGGGAACTTCGCCCGCATCCCTCCAATGTTACACGGCCCAGTGTGGGAAGGAGAAGGAACGGACGGTTGAGCTCATGTGAACCTTGTCGCAAGTCCAAGCTCTCTTGCAACCATGAGACCCCTTGCTCGCGGTGTCTGCGCCGGCGCATGGGGGACCAGTGTGTCTATCACCCGCATCCTCTCTCCAAGGTACGTCGCACCATGCCGAGACCTCCCGCCGAGGAGGATCCATCGGCCGTATCCAGGTCATGCTCAAGTCGCCTGGCACCGAACGGCACTGACGCTTTGCCGAACAGAACAAGTCGGCGCCACCTGATTCGGGACGCCTAGCCACTCCGGTCTCTTCCACCTCGGACACCCCTACGAGCGAACACACCCGCTCCATCCCCGTCTCAGAGGCCATCTCGCCGTCCATCTCCGACTCTGACGAGCAGGCCATCCACAACGAGCACAACCCGGGCTATGTCGGTGTGACCTCGTACTCGACGATATTCTCCGACGGGTTCGCCGACCTGACGGTGGAGCCGTCCAACGACCACAAGTGCAAGATCCAGGAGTCGGTGACGGAGAAGAACATGGAGCGGAGCTGCGAGGTGCTGTCGTTCCTGCAGAACCGGGCGCTGGTGGACGACTTTGCCGACATGTTCAACCAGCTCGAGGAGGACGGGGGCCTGCTGGGGCGGCCGATCCTGGAGACGTGGCAGAAGGGCATGTGGGAGACGCACGGGGAGACGCTGGCGCGGCAGGACCGGGGCGAGGTGCGCAAGCTTGCGCGGCTGCTGTGGGACAACTCGCACAGGCTGCCGCCGATGAGCAAGGACATGTCGGCGCGGCAGTGGGCCGAGGGGGACACGGGGATGGGCCTGCGGTGGGTGACGGTCGGGCTGATCGCGGCGATGGTCGGGCTCGCGGCGCAGCAGGTGCTCGAGACGCACGTGCTGTTTCGCAAGCACCGGGTCGAGCGCAAGGCGCTGCTGGGCCAGATGGGCGCCGTCATGAGCAGCTGCCTCGACTTCTACCGGCAGTGCGACATCATCGACCTGCGCCTCGCGTGGCTGGTGCTGGCCATGAGCCTCATGCCCTCGCCCAACAAGGGCACCTTCAGCTACGAGTCGTACCGCGAGTCGAGCGAGCTCAACGACATCATCATCACCATGGGCCTCCACCAGCCCCCGCGCACAGAGGTGCCCCTCTTCCACGCAGAGCTGCGCAAGCGCACCTTTCTCTGCGCCTACGCGCGCGAGATTGCCACCGCCACCTTCCTCGGAAGGCCCCCGCGCCTCTCGCACCGCTACAGCACCGTCGAGGCCCCCTACGACCTCAGCGACGACGAGCTCTTCCTCGACCCCCCAGAGCTCGCAAAGGTCATCGCAAACCTCGACCCCATGGGCTTCAACCGCGAGGGCAAGTTCCGCCGCTCCGCCTACGAGCGCGGCTGGATCTCGGTCACGACCACCCGCGAGGACATCCTCGACCTCGCCCTGGGCAAATACACGCCCGAGGAGACCATTGCCGCCGCCGCCCGCATCCAGCGCACCTTCCGCGACACCTGGGCCACCTACCCAGAGTACATCACGCGCGTCTGCACCGAGAAGCTGACGATGCTCCGCGAGCGCCAGGTCGCAGAGAACCTCACGCCCCTCCAGACCCTGCTCCAGTACAGCGCCCGCCATGTCAGGTTGTCGACCGAGCTGCTCCTCCAGCTCGTCCTCATCCGCAAGGTCAACTCGCACTCCTCCAAGGTCAACAACAGCACCGCCACCGCCGCCTCCAGCCAGATCCCAGAGATCAAGCCAGACACCATGATCCGCATCGCCTCGGACCTGCTGTCGGGCTGTCTCGACCTGTCGCAGAACAATGTCCTCATGTACAACTTCCCCCAGGACATCTCCGCCTTCCTGGGCAGCCAGGGCATGCGCGCTGCCGCCATCGTGGGCGTCGAGCTGCTCAAGCAGGAGCAGCGCCTGCAGCGGCTGCAGATGCAGGGCCTGCGCCTCGCCGAGCCGCCCCTCCTTCCGCGCAGCCGCACCATCCAGGACCTTGCCGTCTTCGCCTCCAGGCTCGAGGCCGTGGACCCTTCAGATGGCATGTCGGCCATCTGTACGCAGGGCCGGAAGGTCATCGGGAGGATACTGGACAAGTTGCTCACGCCCGAGTTCAGCAGTGCCGGAGTGCCGGTGTCTCTGAGCAACGGCGGCGGCGGCGGTGGTGATCGGAAGCCACCTTCCTCAGCAGCAGCCGAGCCATCAAATTCCCAGCACCAACACCAACAACAAAGAGGATCTCTGCCATCGCAGACGCAAGCCTCCCCCCAGCATCAGCCAAGCGCTGCTGCTCAGGCATACAACCACACCGACAGACAGAAGCAAGAACAATCAAGCCTGCCACGCTCGGCGGCGTCCTCGATTGCCGCCCCGAGCCAGTCTCTGCACATCCACCCCAGCGTTCTGGGCATCAACAACTCCGCTGCCGCTGACCACATTCACGACCCGGCGCCCTCCCCGCTGGCGACCCTAGCCAACGCCGCGGCCGTTGACGCCTCGTCGTGTAACCTCCCGCCCTCCGTGGCCCTGGACTTTTCGGGGCCCCACCCCCTTTCCCATCCTCAACTCGGCACCACGGATTACTACGACACCGCAATGCCCGATGCCAGCAGCGAGAGCGCCGCGGCGAGGCCTCAGGACACGGACCTGTGGAACTTTGTCTACGGCACAACCGAAGCCCCGTTCCTGGGCTACGACCACGACTTTATGGCGTGGTTGGAGAACATGGACTTTGACGGGGTCATTTGATCTTTGAGTATGAGGAGGAGCCTTGAAATCTTGGAGTTGTTTTGTTTGTTTTTAGCGACATTGTCATGGAACTTCAGCATAGCGTGGGTGTAGTGTTGTTGTTCTGGGGTCTGATTTTCACTCGCGAATTGATCCGTCAAGTTCAAAACGTCGGCTGGTGGGCGCGTGAAAGAATGGGTGTACTGCTGGAAGCAGGTTGTTGTTAACTCTATTATTATATTGTTTTGTTCTCTATTGGACGACTCGGCCATAATGGAAGCCAGATATGTGAGCTAAACACAAATAGGAAGGTAAAGGGATTGTCCCTTGGTGCACACCGGAAAATGATGGGCGTTCGACACTGCAACGCCTTGTCCAGCAGCCGTCCGTAGCTCAAAACGATAATTATCGCGCTTTGCGACCTATGGTCGCCCCGTTTTTTTCATGCTCGTCCCTGCTTCGCAAGTTGTCGGCGTCCTGATAATAAGTCTCAGCCGCTTCAGTCTAACTCTGCATCACCGTAGATCTCATCTCGCGTGAGCTGGCGAACCGTTTCAAGGTCAATTTGCTCGGGTAGGATGTGAGAGTAGAAGACCTCAGGCGCTGATGCCAGGATGTCGCCGGCCATCATCTCAAACCGTTCGGCAACGTGAGCATACAGCGGGACATCCCAATTGGATCCGTAGTAGTGGTCTTGATCATACTGAGTCTTCTCGGGATGGAGAGTCAAGGTGAGGTTCCAGTCGACGCCAAATTGCTTCTTGCGCCAGCATAGGTGCTCATCCATCTCGTTTTGACGTACCAGGTGCCAAGGCTTCCGTGTGTATAGTGCTTCGTTGAGATTGTTGTCGAGCTCACCGTCGAGATCCCCGTCGTCCGGCTCGGGGATCTCAACAGAGGAGCAGTCGTCGGCTTCACTGTCAGTGTCATCGCAATCAGCTTTGCAATCCCAGTACATGCATTCCTTGGGCTCTGCCTTGCCCGTGAAGTTGTAGGGAAGCCACTCGATGATGTGGAGTTCATCCAGGTTGAACATCTTGAGAAACATGCAGAAACGCTTAATCTCGTGGAGGCAGCCAACCGGCACAAGTGCTGCGCCAGACAGAGCCAAGCGCTTGATGCGTTGGAGATCCTCTGGCATGAACTGGCCAATCTCCTAGAAATGGCCGCCCATGAGCGAGTAGCGGTGAGGACCAGCGCCCTGGATCTGTCTCAAGTACACGGTGTCGATCTTGTGGTTGAACCACGTCATGGCCGAGCTCGAGCGTGTCCCGAAGGCGAGTTCGTAGCCGTGTGATTGCAGCGTGTTCCTGGACTCGCGGCACGTGTGGAGCAGTGCTGGTAGTGGTGCTCGGCTGAAGAGCTCACTACGTCGCATGAACTCGTAGGCGACTACTGGCTGCTCTATGAGCCAGTTGAGCGGAATCTCTGGGCACTCAGCGGTAGGCACCCAAGGCTTCCGCGTGGGCTTGCTGTTGGTGAAACCGTAGTCCTCAAGGGCAGTTTGATTGTCGACTTCGAGCGGCAATTCGTGCCGCCATCCCGGAGCGAAGTGCGCAATCGATGGGTCGAGCTGGAAACCCTGGGGGAAAATGGTTGTGCGAAATCGCTTGAAGAATCCCCCAGGACACTCGGCCTTCTCCTTGACTTCGACGATACGAGGCTGGATCGAGGCCACGTATATCATCTCACGTATCTCGAACGGCAAGCGTGAGAATGGGTGAAAGGCTGGATCGACCATGGTAGAGGGTGCTGCACTGGCACGAGTGCAGAGCGTGGAGGCTGTGGCAGTGGTCTATATGCTGTCAACCGTGGATTGCGTATGTGTCTGGTTTTATGCTGCTTAGGTCGGCGGCAGCATGAATGGAAAGATGACTAGCGACAGGGAGGGGTCAGCTGGCCGTTCCAAAGAATGGCGATGGGATGAGCAGGGAAGCTGTCTACACGAGATCGAGGTTGAGTGCGTGAGAGTGCCCCGGGGAAAGGTGAGGAAACGTAACACATGCACGCCGTTTGTCGACCTACTGCACTCCAGGGTTCCCTTAAGTGATGGTTGCATGCCTCAGGCCATAATCCAGACAGGGAAAGAAGACCTGCCCGAAACTTCCAAGGTTGGAAGTCACAGGACGTTGCCTGGCAGTCACGGCCCACTCACTGGCTGGTCATTGACTAATCATTCCTGGGCTCATATTAAGTAGATGCTACGACAGCACTGGACCAGTTAGTCCCCTAACTTGGGATTCTGATGGCTATGGTGTCAAAACCCTCAGGTGCAGAGCTTCAGAGGTCCAGAGGTTCAGGGTACAAAGGTACAGAGATGCAGAGGTACGGCGAACTTGCTTTGATTGTATGAGACTATGCCGTCTTAGTGCGGAGGAGTTAGTATCGCCTCTCAAGTGCCACATGTTACTTTGTGTGGAAATGCTCTAGCGTAAGTGCGGCGCAAGGCACACAGGTCGAGATAACCAAGTATAACACAAGTATATTGGCACATGTGATCAATGCAAATCGGCCACACGAGAAAAGCCATTCTATGCATCAAGCTGCCCAAAGAAGTCCTGCACGTCCTTGACATAGAGATCCGGGTACTGCTCAGCGGGGAAGTGACCACCAAAGTCGCGGCGAACGAGGAAAGTCAAGTTGCTCGTTCTCTCGATCCACCTGGGAGGCTATTATTCCGGTAATTTCCTGCAGTCAGCATTGAACTCAGAGGCGCTCCCGTGGGGGGGCCATGTTCATCAGCATCAACTCACCGCCAGTGGGAAGTTCACCAGCTCCTCGAACGGGCCGTTTATGCCGCCCCATTGGGAAACGCCGGTGGGCACGTCTGATTTCGGAAACTGGCTGCTCTCGGGCTATTCCGCCACGAAGGATGCATTGGTTAGCGAAGTACTCCGTCTTGGCGATATACATGGCTCTGCCAAAAAAGAAATGCAGGGATTGCGTGGAATATCTTCTACACCACGTACCCTGAGCCACTCCAAGTAGGCCCTCAGATTTCCATATGCACCGGGAATCCACAGCAGCAGGGTCCTCGTTACGACTTGCTTGAGGGTATAAGGATAGCCGTCACTCCCGAAGTGACAGAGATGCCAGATCCATCCTGCGTAGCCGACGGGGCTGTCGTTGAGAGCTTGGCCGAGCTTCAGAGGACCTTGGCCCTGGATCACCATGTACGCGTTGAATCCCCCCTGGAATGCCAGAACACTGGCAATGTATTCTGTCTCGAGCTGATCCGTCTGGTTGTTGTTGTAGCGCTCTATGTCGGCCGGCGTCGGCTGGGCAAAGTGAAAGTCGGTAAAGTGGCCGACTATGTGGTCCTTGTCATCGTCGACCATGAACAAGGCGACCCACCACCCAAAGTCTGTCGAGACGATCCCGTACTTGTCGTAGCCCAGCGTGCTCATCAAGTTGGCCCAAGCAGCACCGGCTTGACGGGGTCCAAATCCTGTATGAGTAGGCGCAGGGCTGAAACCGAAGCCAGGGCTGTCGGGCGCGACTACGTGAAAGGCCGGCGCATTCTCATCCTGCGGTGCAGTGAGCGGCTTCAAGATGTCGTTCCACTCGGTATACGTAGATGGCCAGCCGTGTAGCAGCAAGAGCGGGATGGCGTCGGGCCTCTCGGACCGCTCGTGGACAAAATGCACAGGCAAGCTTTGATTATATCCGTGTCCCGCGGAAAGCGTCACAGTGTAATGTCGACCGGCGGAGTTGAGTTCTTCCTGAACCTCAAGCCAGTCGTAATCGTTTGCCCAATAGCTAGCGAGAGCCGTCATGTTCTCGGTCGGCGGACCTTCTCTCCATGTCTCACTTGTACCATCCTCCAAGGGCAAAGAGGGCCTATAGAGCCGGGCTTTGATAGCAGCCTCTTTGATGAGCTTTGGATCGACAGATATCTGGTAGGGCGCGGGTTCGTTGTTGGCAGACGCTGTGGCAAGCATTGCCATCGCAAGGAATTTCGGGAAAAGCATTTTTGAATTCAAGAAGTGTTAGGATTGCTTGACCAGGTGAGAGAGCTCAGCGATGCTTTGTGGAATAAATAACTTTTATCCTTGGCAAGTGCTATCATTCTTATGTATCAACTGCCTCATTCGTTTTCAACTGCCGCCCTTAAAATCAAGCCGACTGGATTAACAACATGGTCACAACGGCCACCAGCTGACTGGCTGAATAATTGCCGTTGCGGAACCAAAAAACCCCCCGGCCGCGGAATCAGGCGGTCAGCAAGGACATTGAGTGTGATTTCCAAGCAAGCTGCTTTGGGTCCTGGTCAAGTGAAAGCAGCCTATCAGGTAGGCCAATTCTGCTCAAATCTGGATTTGTAAGCGATGCCGTGAGGTATGTACTGGCAAGTTTTCGCAACTACAGGGAGCAAGATGTATAAGGCGGGGGTGCGCCAAGCATGTAAGCTTATCCCGATGGCCCCGTGGAGGAGATTAGGAACAACGAATTACCAGAATCTCGCGAGGACTGTTTACCTTTTTCCTCATCGTTGTGCACTAGTTCGTATGCAACCAGGCGAACGGACACTGCTTTACTTTTGACCGTCTCATGAGGCGGGATTCTCGTGGCTATCATTGTTCTATTCTCTGCAAAGACATTCTTTGTAGAAGCTCTTTCAGTCTTTACCCGGCCTCGTCAAAACACTATACTATCACTCAACATAGACCCTCATTGCGTGCGGCTTGCGCAACTCTCCATGTATCACACTTCAGGCACTATGCACTACAGATCCAATGACGGAGTCCAGCAAGCCACCCTGCTGGATCGACCAATTCCAGGACAATAGTTGTTTGAAGCTTAGACTTGCTTGATGGAAACCTGTGAGCGTAGAAGGTCCTGCACTACAGATGGGATGTGCCCATCAAGGGACTTTGGGTATTGCTTTCAAGAGACCTCAAAACCTCCTCCTCTTTCGAGGCTCGTCTACATCGTCATAGCCTTCAGATTTATCCGCCGGTTCATCCAAATCGTCGTCAACTAAATCGCCATCCGAGAGTACTTCAGCCTCGACATCTATAAATGCTGCACTTCTGCTCGGGTGTCGTCTTCGTATAGGCTGGTCCACGCCACTATCATCCTCGTCATCTGTTTCCAAGGCCTCCGACTCCGTGGCCCAGTCTTCGTCAGCTACCTCTGCCAGGTCATCGATATCAGTCTCCCGCATCCTGTGACCGCCTTCATGACCTCTTGCATAAGCTTCACCTCCAATGACTGAAGCCTTGAGCCTCATACTGCGCCGCGTGCCTGCGTTTCTGTCGTCCGTTGTAGAGTCCGCACGGTCATGGCTGTGGATCGTTAAGCCATGCTGGAAGTCGAAGTCGTACCCCGGTGTTTGCTGTAGGAACTTAGATTCATCCCCTTCCACCAGGTTCTCCTCGTCAAGGTCGTTCGTGATGACTGGTACAGGTATCTTTGCCTCGTCATCAACGCTCAGGACCCAGTCGTTCCGAAACAAGTCCAGCGTAAAATGGTAATAGCCAGGGCCACTGCTTCCATTGTCGTAAGATTCGCTTGCCCTGGAATCTTCTGGCATAATCCTCTGGAACTGGAGTGGCGGAAGCAGTAGTCGGGGCGCCCTGACTTCTCCTCCGAGTCCGATGAACGCCACAGGCGATGGAAGACTTGTCCAGCATGCCGCAAAGTTAATCCTCCTCTCGTCCAGCCCATCTTGGTGACCATCTCCCTCCTTCTCTGCCCTCAAGATGTAAACCTTGTCCCCCTGCACGAGGATGTTGTCATGATTCACCACGAGTTCCTCCTCCTCGCCAAGGAACGTGATTGGCGAGCTGAGGATTCTGCGCCGCGTATATGCGCAGCAGGCCTCGTAGATGCTCGAGACCTCGATACTATCTCGTGCGTCAAAGTTCTCGTAGTCGTGAAAAGGACAGCACGATGGGCGATCTTCTTCCTCGTCATCCTCATCATCCTCGTCCTGTTTCCAGGACAGCCGGCGCTTGATAAATGGCTTTCCTGTGTCCTCCTGGAACAGTGTGTCGACGTTGGAGGAATTTAGTCGGCGAAGCATGCCCCCTCCCGCCGCATCTTGTTTATGCGTCTCTGCCGCTATTTCCTGGTTCGGTACAGGCGTCGTGGACAAGATCCGTATGACGTCCGCGTCGCAGACAACCTTACCACGCACCGTCTCCGTTTGCAACAACGATCTAAACGTCTTCCCACCGCCAACACGACAGTTCAAGTAGTCCAGCACCGCAACCGTTGCACAGTCCTTGATATGGCCCGTTTCGTCGGTGTCGTCCTTCGTTGTTTTTGAAGATGACCGACTGTTCGGTGGTGCGGTGGTGGAGAACCAGTAGTTGTACCCGTTTGTCAGGAACCGTGTTCCCGCGAACTCTTTGAGCAGGTACACCATGTTCTCACCAGACTGGTCCAAGCTGCCCGTGGAGGAAGATGTAGACAGTCCCCAGTGCATCGCGTTGGCCTTCTCATAGCAAGTGTGCGCGTGGGCCGCAAGCTCTGCGTCGAACACGCCATGACCGGTCATGTAGCACGCCTGGCTGAAGAGGCCAGCGACAGCCTCGTTATGATATCTCGAGCTCATGGGCTCCGAAGAATGAAGCCGCTTGTCCTCAAAGATGAGCTCCGTCCGGAGGAAGACCTTGTCCGTGTCGATGAACGGGTGACCTTCGTGCTCGAGTCGCTGGTCAAAGATGACGAACTGCATGGGCTGGATGTCGTAGAAGCAGATGTTATTGCCATGGTTCTTGTCTGCTGATCCAGCCTTGATGAGTAGAGCAGGCTTGTCGATTGCGTCTGCGGCATCGCTGTCTTGCTGGCTGCCCCGGCTTGTGCCGGATGCCAGGTAGACAAGCACCGTGTATTTCGATATCTGGCTTCGCGCAGCGTCGTAGTACGGAGTGTCTCTGTGCTGCGAGAACTTGTCTGTTTGTGGTTTGAATCTGTTGCAGCGGAACACATAGTTGACGAAGCGAAACGAACCGGCTGGACACGTAGGCCCTGCGGTGAGCCCTATTTTCTCCAACAGGTCACTCCGCTCAATCGCGCTGGTGAGGGCACGAGATAGTATGTTGGAATGGAAGATGAACCGCTCCCCGCCGCGGGTGGTACCGTTCAACGGAGACACATAGAGGTCCAGCTCGGCAAGTTGCTTGACGACGATCTCCGCCGAGTCGTCCATAGACACTCTGCCCGTCCACACTTGTATATCGCTCTGGCTTTGCCGCAGCTCGACCAGGCCCATAGGGAGCACCGTCTCTGCTGCCTTTTCCATCGCCGATGTCGTCCTCGACTCCAGCCACGCATCAAGCGGTATAATGTTTTCAAAATTGTGGTATGACAGATCTGCCGGGTCCACAAAGACCGCAAAGAGCCTTGGAGTGCCCAGGACCTGCGCGAAGTACGGCTTCAGGCCCACGTCGGTAATCTTGTAGTCGAGGTCCTCGACAAACTTGAGCATTTTGTAGCTGGCGGAGGGGTGAAATGAAAGCGGCATGATGCCTTTGAGGATCTGGGCGTCAATTGGCGCGTGCAGGAGCTGTGTTATGCCCTCGAGCAGCTTCGTCTCCTCGTCACTGAGCAGACCCCGCCAAGCCGCGAGATAGAGATCACGCACACCGAGAGCAACATGGCGCTTCGAAGTATTCGACAGCGCTTCGAGGGGGGTTGGATTGGCTTCAGGAGGTGCTGCTAGAAGAGATCGTAGATATGCCAGAGAGCGAAGAGTGGTCAAGGACGACTGCCCGACCTGGTCTGAGTCTGGTAGGCCATCGTCGAAGATCAACGGCCAGACGTTTGAGTTGATGGTTTCACCGCGTACCAGCTGGGCAAGCTGGGCGTTTGTTGCGCCTGCATCGCGGTCTTGGATGAGGCTGACTATCCTCTGAGAGTCGAGCTGGGGCTCGCCGTCTTCTGCGAGGCTGCACCATCGCGCCAAGGAGGGCTGTGGCGAGGCACGGGTCTGAGGAGCCGGCTGGTTGTGATGCTGGGACTGCATCCCCTGTGGTGGTGGTGGTGGTGGTGTCTGCTGCTTGGGTCTGTCTGGGAGAGGTTCCACCGCAGGCCGTTTGCGAGCGAGGCATCAATGCAACGGCTGCCTTGGGGATTGCCAGGGGTCTGAAGCCAATACGGTGGGGGCTGTTCCCCCGATCGGCGAATCATGTCTCTGGATGAGCTGGAGCTCCTCTAGCTCCTTCAGAGACAATAGAGGCAAACACCACAAGCATTGCTTTGTAGATGGCTGTCCTTATTCTTCCTCTTACTGAAAGGGTTGTCAGTATCGTCACAGTCTGCAAATAGTTGGATGACATTGCCCCTGCGGGAGTCGGCACTGCTGCAGTTGTCTCACTAGGACAGGCATGCAGGCACGGCCAGATCTCGCCGGTGTCCATGCAACCGGAAACCGGGCACCAAGGTGTCTCACCACCCAGGGCCAGGCATGTGCCGGTCTGGTTGGACCACTTTCCCACAAGGGACCATGTCCGTCTTCTCATTGTCCGGGGTCGCGGCAAATGAAGAAAGCTCCATTGCTGCATCAGGTCTAGAGACGAACTCAAGACACCCTTTCCCGGCAGTCCCAGACATGGCTTGACACCCTCAGGCACCCAACAACAGCTAGCCTTGGCTTTATCTAAACACATCTCTGCATCCTCCCTGTTGGGGTTTCTCTCTCCTCCGACACATCACCACAAGCACGAACCGCGCAAGGGAACGCTCTCATTAGCACTCTTTGTCAGTCTTCCACAAACCCTCCCTCGATCACCGACCGACTCGTCACAAAGAAATGAAGGCATCCACCACCCTCACTCTCGCGACCATTGGCGCCCTAACCCACGCCCAGACCTTGGACGTGCTCCCCAACCCGGCCGCCTCGCAGCTCAACGCCGCCGCCAGCGCATACCAGGCCGGCATCCAGAGCCTCAACTCCTGGATCCTCTCACAGCAGGCCGGCGTGACTGCCACCGGCTCCGCCATGAACGATGCCTATGTCAGCATCCAGTCCGAGGCCGCGGCCATCGGCTCGAGCATCCAGGGCGAGCTGGACGGCGTCGTCGCCAGTGTCACCCAAGCTGCCGGGACCACGGGTCTGCCTGTCACTTACATCACCGGCGGCGGCGGACAGGCGTCTGCTGTCACCGCCGTCATCAACGGTATCACCATCACAGGCTACGGAGACCTGCCGACCACCTCCCCGACGGCTTCCGTGACCAGTGAATCCAGCAACCCCTCAGCAGCCATGACAAACTCGACTTCCATCCCGGCCGCAACCAGCACGCCCTCGTCTCCAACTTCCAGCTCAGTCCGCGCCACCGGTGCCGCTATGGCTGTACAGACGGCCGCTCTGGGCGCTCGGTTCCTCGTTGCCGGAGCCGCCGTCCTGGCTGTTGCATTGTAAGATGTGTCTGAGAGAGAAACCAGACGGGCTTCAGCAAAAAAGAGGCATGAGCCTTGAGGCTATACTGTGGTCACGGTGTAGCTTGCCTAGCTGCATTCGCAGAGGATGTCGCAATTGTATCATTATATGTGAAAGATGAGGCAGCTTTGACGCAGTACTTAAACGATGTTTCACACAGCATTTGGCTAGAGCGTGTTTGCAATACCTGAAGAAACGATCCAATTTAACTGGTGATAGTCTGTATATCTTGCACCAGGTCGTGAAACTTCATCTGACTTCCGCACTTACAATATAGTGTGCATGAACTTAATTTGGCGTAAAGTCGGCGTTGTCATATGCCACCACCATCACCACCACCACCGTTCTCTATCCCGACTCTTCACTCCCGAAAAACACTTCTCAAATACTCCTCGATGCCCAGAAACTTGACGTCCGGCAGGATCTCGTTCCATTCCCTCGTCGCAGTGTACGCGCCGCGCGCGGCGCCCATGAGGAACCCGGCAGTCAGGAGCTTCTCGAACGCCTCCTTCTGCTCCGGGGTGACAGAAGAGTGCGTGATGGTGGGGGTCGTCTTGGCCAGGATGCGGCCCGCCACCAGGTCGGACTCTTTGAGACGCTCGACAGTGAGTTTCTTGCCTGTTTTCTCGTAATTTTGCAAGGTTTTGCTTTTTGTTAGTCTGCCTACGGCCTGCGCACGGTAAATGTTTTCAAAAAGGGGAAAAATGCTTGTCAATCTGGCGTAGACCGGAAAACAAAGTGTGCGTGGAGTAGCATTACCTCTGACCCTCTCCACAATGTCAATCAGCTCCTTCACAGTGACAGTCTGCCCCTCGATACCTCCCCAGACGGGCCACTTCCCCTGCTCGACGTCCAGCGCGCGCGCCACGACCTTGACCACATCCCCCGGCGAGGTAAAGGTCATCCTGTCGACCTCCTCCCTGCCCTCCACGGTCAGGGCGTGCAGGATCTCGGGCTGGAAGCTGATGGCGATGGTGTCGATATGTTTAAGGTTCGCGGGGGCGTGAGGGTGCCCGAGGTACTCGGTGAAGTGGCCGCTGTGGAAGAGCGTGTACTCGAGCACCTTGTGCGGCGTGTTTACCTGCTCGAGATAGGCCCGCGTCTTGAGCTTGCTGTCGTACCAGGGCAGGAATTGGATTGCGTCGGCGAGGTGTCGGCCGCTACAAGGATGGGTTTTGGTTAAATCTCGTCGTTAGAAAAAGGAACGGGGAATGGAGGACTATAACAACAGCGCAAAGGCAAAGGCAAATCCATATATCCCTTGCCACCTTAAAAAGAACAAAACACACACACACACACACACACACACACACACAAGTGTGATTTGGGGGAAGGAAGCACATGAGAGAACGGAAAAAAGACTTACACAGACCACTCGCTAGGCACAAACCTCTTCACGCCCGCGTCGATAGCCGCGTCGACGAGCCGCTTCGACACGGCGGCGTCCGGGTCGAGGTGCGCGATGATGAAGCTCATGACCACGTCGACGCTGCCGGCCTTGAAGATGCGCGAGAGCTCGGCAGTGTCCTGGTAGTCTGTCTGGACATATTTGAGTCGGGGCACCGTACGGAGCGTGGATGGATCCTAATAGAATGGTCTCAGCATGTTTCGCATTGCATCGGCACAGCATTGTCGTGTGGGGGCCAGTTCCCTGGGAAGCAACATTGGCCAAATCCGGTGGGCATGTCAGGGCGAGGGGAAGGGAGGTTTGCTCACCCTGCGGACGAGACCGAGCATCACATGCTCCGTGTGCTCGGAAAGGTAGTCGATGAGCGTGCTGGCCAGCTCTTTTCCGGCATAGATAGCACGATTAGCAAGCATGTTTCACATGGTCGTGTGCACTGCCCGGTGACCAGAGCCAAATTATGGGCAATCACGACGCCAAGGAGGAACACTCACGACCCGAAGCTCCAATGATGGCGACGTTGACCATGTTGACTGATCTGATGACGACTGTCAAGCTGTGTAAAGATTGATCTTGTCGAGTTGGTGCCGAGGTGCTTTGGGATGTTTTCGTATTTGACTTCTTGACTTTTTGTGTTGACCGTCGAAAAACAATGTGTCAGATGATCGGAGTGTTATAAGACCGGATATCGATTGCAGCGGCACTCCTCAGTTCATTGCAAGACCACCACCCGATTACTCGTTATATAAAGGTAACGATCTGTGCACACACACTCCAGCTCAGCTCGTTCGGAGTAAGCAATCACATAATGCTCCCCTGTCCACCTCGCTACGCCATTATAAAGCAGCACGACCCCATACATGCGCCTGGTGAATCAGCGGCGACTTCACACGAGGAATCGGACGAAAAAAACCCGAACTGCCTGCCTGGACAATATCCTATCTCCTTATCCAAGACCGCAGATCGCGCTTGGCCCTCAAAGTCTCGAGTATGCTTACACACAAACCCCCTTCGGAGTGTGTAAGCCGCGGTCACGTAACCGCATACCCCACCCGCCCACGCCTTTTGCCGAGCCAGCTCACTTGAGTCGCAGAATCCAAGCTTCCCTCGCCGCAAAAAGAGGTACGGAGCTGTTGCATAGCACACCGGAGATAGCGGGAAATTTTATGCCCGCAAGAGCCGTGTCTGGACATCAAGTGAAGAACCTGGTCTTGATGACCTCGCTCTGCACCAGGTCGTCCCATTCTCACCACCGGAGGATTCATCGCCCAAGAAGTATTCCAAGCCTTCACAAAATACGTTGACAGACAGACCTCCACGCCTACACGATGGCACAGCTCACGGATCACAGCATTAAATCGTTCTGTCTTGGATCTAGACTAATGTGGGTATAGAAAATATGTCTCGCATTGCCGTTGGAAACAAGGAAAAGAAGTAAGGGTATATAGAACTCGGAGCGCAAATGACTGAGGTGAAAGCCATTGGCAACGTATGCGGGTAATGCCGCGCCATCATTACAACACCTATATGTATACTGGAAATGTGTGATAAAAGAAGGACAGAAAGAAAAAGTAAAGACGCTGGGCGTCCAAGAGGTATGCCGCTTCAGGGGAGGATCATACTGCCTCCGCCGCTTGTGATGGTGTTACAGCCAGAGCAGCCACCGCACACCGCCCCAGACGCCCTTGCCGACAAGGAAGACGAAGCGGAAGATCACAAAGGCCGCCCACAGCCACCACATGCTAGCGACGAGTACCCACTCGACAACCAGCCACACCATGCGGCGGAACCATCGGAACCGGCGGCGGCGGTTGCGGCTCATCTTGTCCATCGCCTCGACCACGTGCTGGACCTTCAGCCGCTGGTTGTGAACCAGATCCTGGCTCACCTCGTCCGCGTCGTCCGTCGTCTCCTGCGTCGTCTTGATGAGATCTGTCGCGATGCGCAGATGTAGTGTATCTATGCGCTGCTGCAGTGCCGGTACGTCCTTCGTGGAAAGCTGGCCCGCCGTGTCGTGGAACGAGCGCATCGAATTGTCGATGCTGCCAGCCAGGACTCGGGCGGTGGTCGGATAAAGTTCGAGCTGGGATGCCGTCATTGTGGCTGCCTCGTCGGGTACGAACGCGGAGACATCACTCCATGAGACACCTGGCCCTTTGGAGTCGACTGCAAACAGCGGGTGAGCTTCGTTGGCACGTCGCGATATCTCCATGGCTTTGATACCGGAGCTGAGGATCAGTGCACGGACGCTGGCCAGCTCGCTTCTGGACAGCTGCGACTGTCGGGGAGTGATATCACGATCTGTAATTGACCAATGCCGACCAGAGTCTCGCTTCGACGCCAGCGAGTTGGAGTGGTGCCGCTTCTTGGTTTCTAGCGAGTGTGGCATGCCGACAAGCACACTTTGCAGGTCTCTGGACGACTTTCTTGAGCCCTCTTGGCTACTGACGAGATCGGTCTGTGACTTTGCATCGGTCGTCGTGTCGGACTCGTCGAGCTGTCCGTTGTCTACATCAGACACCTCCTCGCTGATACGAGGCTGAGGTGGAGAGTTCGGGACGTTGAGACGGGGAGGTTTCAGCGTGTCAAAGCGTGCAGATTTGCGCGCTTTGACAGTATCGGCCGAAGACATGAAGCCAGATGTCTGGCTCTCTGGCGCTGCTGACTGGCTGGGGGTGGCCCTTCCATCAGCACCCTCCGATGTCGATTTGAAATGGGGCATAACATCTAGGAAATGCTTCTCCCTGTTCCGCGAGTTGTCCCGAGACAAGACATTGAGTCTCGACCGCCGGCCTCGCTTCGGTTCGTCGTCAGATTCGTCACTGGATGATGAAGATGACGAGGAGTCGTCCGAGTCCTTCTTCCAGATCATGTCTGTCATCTTAGACACACCACCACGAACCATGCTGTCAAGCTTGACGCCACCCTTGATGATATTCTTGAACGGGAAGACCTCTTCACCTCTGAGCTTGATGCTGCCGAGGCTACGGTGCGACTTGTGACTCTCGCCTGTGGTCCTGCTCGGTAACTTGCCCAGGACGGGACTAGGAGACCGATCGCGCTCAGCGAGTCGCAAAAGCTCCGCATCCATAGGCGTGAAGGCAAGATTCTCATGGACCTGGTCAATGCTGTTGCGTCCTTTCGCTTCTCTATCTTCAGCACGTTCCCGACTTCGGTCGCGGAAGATGTTTCTGACCTTCGTCAACGGCCTCCTCGATGGTGATACAGGCCGGCTGTTGGAGGGCGACATCTCGGAGCCACTTGGCATGAATGCACTGCCGCGGCGCGAGTATGTTCCCTCCGGTGAGGTTGGCTGTGAGAAAGTGTGATCAACCGAGGACCGCTTGCTATGACTCGGCACGTCTAGGCTACTTCTTCCAGCATAGACGCCTGATTGCTGCAACGCCGGCCATCGCTCTGTCTGCGCGATGGCATTCGCTCCATGTCCAGCGTATGACTCTGCTCGCACGTGCCCCGGTCGAAATGCAGCACCATTCTGATTAAAAGGAGTGGCATCGCTCACGTTCTCCAATGGAGATGGTGTCTCTGGTACGGGCTGCAGGGCCAAAGCGCTCTGCTTCTCAGCAGCCTCTTGCGCCAGTATGTCCCGCATTTGTTTCTCCAAGAGATCTCTGCCCGAAGCTGTCAGGGTTCCTGAGCGGTCTCTCCTCTTGCGGTCCGTGTCGCTGTCCGAAGTGTCGGAGGTAGCATTCTTGCCCAGACGCAGGAAGTCGTGGTAGCTATGCTGGCTGTCTGAATGTTTGTGTGATCCTTTGATCTCGTGCAGTTTCTGCCGGGCACGACTCCTGGCACTGCTCCGGGAGCCGTCGGTACCAACTCTATTGATCCCGGCATCCAACTGAAGACTGTTGCGCGGCTCAACCCCTCCCACCTCTGATGGTGGCGACAATGGGCTGGCCTTGTGCTGCTCGGGGCCAAGTGGAGACCATGGTCTTTGAGACCTATCTACCTTTGATGGGAAGATCTTTGCATAATTGCGGTCTTCAATGAGAGAGCGATTATCATCTTGCTCAAACCAATAAGCATCTGCGAGCATGTCGGCGGGCTCAAAGCTCCAGTCAAGCCTCGGCCGCTTGGGCTTGCCTGTTGACGTCACTGGGCGGGGAATGTTGGAGAGGTTGTTGCCGTGGTCGTGGGCACCAGGGAAGTGAGGAAGTTTGGATGAGCCAGACAGGGGCGTCGAGACAGCTGCCTGGTCGATCCAGTCTGTCACTCGTGAGACATCGCCAAACCCCTGAGCTTCACCATCTATAGCCTTGCGCTCGCGCGCACGCACTTTGCGGTTTCGAATGTACTGGAGTGGGTTGTATGGCCGACCAAGCGGTGGTCGCTGACCAGGGAAGCTGCCGGGTGACTTTCCCACGCCAGGGGAAACTGGAGGGCTTGAAGGTGCGCCCTGATCGTATTGCTGTTGTTGTAGTTGTGCGCCAAGGGGTGGCACAATCTGAAGGAGCCGTCGATACTGCGCCATGAGCTCGAGATGTTCCTTGGCCTTCTGTGCCCGGTTTAGAGTTGACGAGGAGAACTGATATGTATATGAGCCTTCGTGATCGAAACCGTGCGGTAACGCGCTGCCTATCATGGGGCTGGACACGGAGGGATGACGTTGCGAAGGGACAGCGCCCTTGTCGGGCCTGGGCGATAGATTCTGCGAAGTTCGTCGTTGCTGGTGCAGGTGCTGCTTAAGGCTGCCAACGGCCGACGTGTCCGGCAGAGGTGCGAGTCGAGGGGGTACTGGTGCCGAAACGTTGCGCCTTGCGACCATCCTCCGGGATTCGCTCAGGTTCAGAGCCATGTTGACGATTTGTGTCGAATCTATGTCCAGCATGCCCGTCGATGGTCGCGGTGTAGGCGATGGTATTCTAGAGACATGCCGGTGGGCAGCAGCTGTCGCCGCACTTCCAGGGCTGCCCGATGCTGTTTGATGGGAGTTTGCATGGTCCGAATCCATATCCACATCAGTGACTTCTATCCCAAGACCCAGCTCGGTCGCAGGATCTGGTGTTTGCCTGCCAGCAGAAACGAGAGCCTTGCCTTTACGCACATCTCCATTCGCCCTCGAGCGGCGCTGTTCTGCGTCTTTATTAACAGCGCTTCTTCGATTGTCCCCTTCTATCCTCGCGTCTGGGAGCAGGAAACCGCCAGTAGTTCGTGGTCTTTGAGTACGGCGCTTCTTGTGTACGGCTTCATTGTCTCGGCCGACAGGCTCGCGCGACCGCGGGCTCCGAAGCCTTCGTTCTGGTTCCGAGGGACCTGCGCTGCTGCCGTCGTAGGTAGACCCTGTGGATAGGCGGGTGGAGCCGTCTCGCAACATGTCGGGTGTCGCAGGTGACACCGCCCGCGGAATGGACGAGCGCTTGTTAGACATGTTGGGAGCGCCTCACAGGGGCTGTGAAAGTTGTCGTCACGGCGAGCTGGATATGGATATGACGAGCATCGTAGGTCGCTGTAGGGCTTTCTGTAGCCTGTACTGTGCAGAGATCGATTGCATACCAGGGCTGAGCAGAGGACAGGCGTGTCGCCGAGGTTGCGACTCGGAAGCGGCCCAAGCTGAGGGCGTTACGAAAAGGGCGTTTTCTAAGTTGAACGCATGTTGCGGCGCAAAGAGAGTGCTTGTGGGCGCGGCAAACCGATATTTCCAGGTCAGCGACAGTCGTGTCTCGGGGCGGGCGTGTATGGGTCGGTGGTCGGCTGCGTTGCCTTGCTCCTGTTGGATGTGACACCTGGTGATGTGGTGGTTTCTGGGTGGTATCACAGATGAACAAGCTAGATCAACGACGGTGCACTGGCAGGGACGGGACGCCCACTGACGTGAGTCCCTGAGAGCTGCAGCAGGTGCGGGTCCATGCGGGCGACCCACGCCGGTGCTGCTCAGTGTGCTCGCGCTAATTCCCAACTGCCGCCGTTCATCACATTGCACTGAGACATTACCATCCAGCGATTTCCACGCCAAACTCAATCTCCGTCTGGTCGATATATCGCGATCCATAGAACAAACCTCAAGAGGCGACCTGCCAGAGCGGGACGACAGCCTTCACAGCGAGCTTTCAAATGACTGTGCCGTCAGACTTCTCGCCACCCGTGGACGGAGCAGGTTCCACATGCAAAATGGTCCAAGGTTTTTCGACATGGGCGCATCCCTGCCGCATTTGCAACATCCTGGCAAGCAAGACACGCATGCGTCTCGCGGCGGCATTCACACAGTCCCCTCTTTTATGCCGAGCTTCGTCGCCGGTTGTGGACGCCAATGCCATCACTGCGCGCATCGTGTCGTGTTTAGCCGGTGCAGATCGAGTCTGGTCAGGTGTCCGACGCCACTGCACCACACCACCCCATCGCTACCACTGGCATCTCCAACTTCTTAGCATGTGATCATGCAGCGGCAAGTGCTCAGACATGGCGCCTTGTCTCGCACGACGCAGCTCATCATTACTCAACGATCAGCCACACATTCACCGCAGTCCGCTCTCTGTCGACAATGCAGCAGTGGTGACCAGAACCGAAATCTATTAGTATCTCGCTCCAGAACCAGGGCTGGTCGTCCAGACGAAGCCACCAACTCCGCTCGCTCTGGGCCTTTACTTTTCCTCTCCGCAGAGCCGCCAGACCACAGCCACACAGTATACAACCCCCCTTCCTTTTCTTCTTCAGAGTACACGTTACAAAGTTTAAGTCTTCTCATCATGTTGTTCTTGATGGTACAAGGCGGACAAAGAAAAAGTGACTGCTGTCTTCATCGCTTGGTGGATATTGTTGACACGGAACGGATGCATGTCTATTCGACCTTCAAGCTCTGGAGCCTGGCCTCGGTGGCAATGACCTGTTTCTGTTGTCAGCATTGTGTTTTTTGCTTGGGAATTACGTATGATGAAACTCACATCGAGTGCCTGCTGCACCTCTAGCACCTTGCGGACCTCGCCGAGCCAGTCGCGGCTGAGCGTCTTGGCCCATCCTTGCAGGCTGTTCATTTCACGGGCAGCAGCATCCAGATCACCCTCCTCGAGGAAGGTTTGTGTGCGTGTCAGAATGCTTTCAACATCGTTGCCATCAGCAAGGCCTTGCTTCTTGAACATGAGCTTGCTCAACAGCAGGCTAGAGGCGTGGCTGGCAACACCAGCGTCCTCCGGAAGCAGTGACGCTTTGCGCACCTCGGCGGCAACACGTCTGAAGCGGTCGATCAGCTGAGCAGGCGGGGAGATGCCACGCTGGTACGCGCTTGGGTTGATGGACGCGATCGCAGCGTTGACGACGGGATCGTCTGTAGCAATCTCCTTCAGTGCCACAAGCTCACGAACAAAAGGGCGGGGGTGAGTCGCGTCCTCTAGGCTGGCCCGGACAGCCTCCACGGCAACGTGGAGCTGCTGAGTCTTGAGGTTCAGGTCCACAACATCGTTCCAGCCAGTAGTAAGCTGCTGAAGCTCAGACACGGCTGAAGAGAGCTGGTCGAGCTTGCCAAGTCTGCTACCACGCTCAGACTCGACATGGTCGCTGATCTCCTTCAAGAATTGCCGCTTGAGAGAGACGGCTTGTTCCACAAGCTTGTTCTTGAGCTTCTCCTCGTTGACCTGTTGTTCGCGCTCAATCTCCGTCTTGATTCTGGCGTCGTAGGCGGACTGGATGCGCTTCATTTCCTCCTCAAAGTCTGTCCTCCACTGGCTCTCCTGTGCGGCCATGATGCGCTCGACACTGTTGATGAGCTCAGACGACGCGTTCTGGAACTCAGTGACCTTGGAAGCAACCTCGGCGGCGGCGTCCTTCTCGACCTGCTCCTTGATCGCCCGAATGCCATCGCCGACCTTCTGCAGCTCACCCTTGGCCTTGGTAATGGTAGAAGAAAACCGGTCGTCGGCATTGTCAGCGTTGACGACTGTAATGATGTCGTTCAACATCTTGACCAGAGCCTGGACAACGGGCTCATTAGCATCCTTGACCTTGAGAGGGTCAATGGGTCCGGCAGGAGGGAACCGTGAGGGCTCATCAACCTCGGGGGCCTTGAAAGGCACGCTCGACGACTGTAGAAAGTATTAGCATGGCAGCGTACCTTCGCAAAGGAAATGTACCACATACCTTGGCAACCGCAGGTGCAGATGCTTCCTCTGCAGGCTTGGATGTCTCGACAGCCTTCTTTGCAGTCTTCCCGGCTTTCTCCGCGCCGGCCTTGACCGTCGTCTTGGCCTTGTCGACCTTTTGAGCTACATTCTCTGCGGACTTCTTTGCGGTATGAGCCACAGCACTGGACTGGCGTCCAGCTGGCTCGCCACTATCCGCCACCCGCCAGGAAGCACCGCTCTGAGGGGAAATCTTGACCTGCGGGGAGGTATCCTTGACACCAGTGCCAAGTACTGGGCGAGGGTGTCGTTTCCTGAAGTCAAGCTCTTCAAAGTATAGCACCGCCTGCTCGCCAAATGGGACGTACTCGGTGAAAAAGTCGTGGAAGTTGTCATTGATGCGTGAGTACCAGACACCACCGCCGAACGTGATGGCTCCGAGGATGGAGATGGTAAGAATGAGATTTCTCAGCCGGCGGAAGAAACCCTTCTTCTTCTTGACAGGGGCCGGAGGCGGCGGCGGGGGCAGCTTCGCCTCGACGGCTGGCGCGGGAGGTGTCAGAGGGACATCTTTGGGAGAGGTGGCAGGCTCGAGCTTGACGACGGGGGTTTGGCTGTCGGCAGCAGTGACCGTCTCAGATCCAGGCAGCTTGACAGGCGTCGGGTCGTTGACCGATGGCTTCTTGTTATCGGCGAAACATCTCTGTTCAAGTTAGCAAGGCTGGCAGTGCCATTGGAGTGGATCATCACGTACCCGCGCAGCAAGAGCAGAGGTTGGCCACTGAGCATTTCGGGCTGCAGGCGCGGCCAGAGACCGGCGGCCTACAGCCTGGGCAGAACGCAGCGAAGCGCGCAACATCTGGACATGGACTTGCCCGGCGCGGTGGAATGCTGCAGGACCCTGAAGGACGTGGAGGGGGAGGCGGCGATGCGCAATGGCGGTCGCAAGAGGGCGTGACGTTGGGATGCTCGAGGTGGACTTGAGGTGTAAAAACCTCGGGAGCTTTCGCGCCGGCTGATGATGGCAGAGTGCCGCAAGCTGGCCAGGCCCACACGACAGCGTCGAGAAAGCCTTACCTAATCCTAATCCCCTCTTGTTCCCGCATTGGCGAGACTGCCCGCCCTCCAACAACACCCGATCACACCCACTTATCCGGACCACGACTGGCTCTTCTGAAGCATTGACATTTGGCACAACAACACAGAGCCGCTGTGGTCTCGCAGCAGGCCACATTTCAAGGCCTTATTCAGATTCACCTTGCGATTGAGCATGCACGGGCGCATTGTGAGACTTCCAGATGCATTCGCACTACCTGCGAAGCGTGGCACCTCGTTCAGCCTAACCTGAGAGACACATCCAGCTCGACTCCTTTCGTGTTTGGGTTAGTGGTGTCGCCGTGATTGCTGGTTGAAGTAATGTGAATCCTGGCACCAGTGACGTACATGGCCAACACAGCTTTAGGGCCGGGATCTTTCAGGGCCTGCTCGGAGTGTTGATCAGGCTGGCAGCTGGCGGCCAGCTGAGCTCACAACAATACTGGTGCCTATCTCCCACCCCTGGCACGGCTGGAGCGGGCTGCGCTGCTTGGACAACCTGGGAAGATTGCGTCTGTGCCCCGCTACGGCTTCAGTCGAAGCTTGTCCCGTCCTGCTCTGTCTATCGACCTGTTGTGAGCTGCGTTTGATATGGCCCAACGACAATAGATTGGTTGATGGATGTTTATGATTAAAGCCCTCCAGAACACCTCTCTCCAGAATTACCCCCTTTGTGTGCCACATCTCCAGCAGTCAAGCTTGAAAGGTCTTGTGACAGCCTGGGGTTGCGCAGCTGCATCGGCACTCTACCTAACACCCTGGTTCCCTTAGCCTGGCCACCCAAAGCGGCCTCCTGCCCGTGCGATAGCGCCTTACCCACCTGACATCCTATCCTACACCACGCCAGACCATCGCACCTGCACTCTCCCCCAACGACATCGACAACCACAGCGTCATCTCCGCAGCCGCGCCGCTTCCATCCACTCCGACCGCAGCCGCAGCCCATCACAAACTTGTCGCAACACTTGGTCCTGGGCTACTTCACCAGACCACCACACATCATGTCGGCCGCTGCCCAACAACAAGGCACTGCCCGCGGCACCCGCCTGGTGACTGTCAAGGTCGTCTTCCTGGGCGACTCCGCGGTCGGAAAGAGCTCCATGGTCCTCAGATATGTCAAGGTAAGGCTTCTCCGAAGCGCCGGGCTCACTGGAAGCGTCTCTCATCTTTGCTTGAAAACATGCTGACCCGCCCTCGTCAGAACTCGTTCGATCCCTACAAGGACTCCACCATCGGCGCCGCCTTCCTGACACAAACCGAGACGATCAACCCGACGACCGCCGTCAAGTTCGAGATCTGGGATACTGCGGGTCAGGAGCGGTACAGATCGCTGGCCCCCATGTACTACAGGAATGCGCCTGGCGCCGTTGTTGTTTACGACATCACCCAGGCTGCGTCCTTCGATAAGGCCAAGCAGTGGGTCAAGGAGCTGAAGCGCAACGCCGACGAGAACATTGTCATCGGACTGGCCGGAAACAAGCTGGACCTCGTCACTGAGCAGCCCGACAAGCGCGCCATCCCAACAGCTGACGCTGAGGCTTATGCCAACGAGGCCGGGCTTATTTTCTTCGAGACATCTGCACGGACATCGGAGAACGTCCGCGAGCTATTTACCGCCATCGCCAACAAGGTGCCTCTAGACCAGCCTCGCAACAATCGCCAGGGCATCAACCTCGGCCAGTCTTCCCCAGCTACTCAGCAGCCCGAGCGATGCAGCTGCTAGACGGTTTTATGAATCACTGCTCCTCAGCCATGCCCTATTACTTGGTAAAGATGCTGCGGAACTGGACTGCCGACACTCTATGGTGGTGACACCTGTTGGGACTCTGCGTTAGGCATAGACGACCTCTTCGTGAGAGTTGGTCACGATGATGAAGCACGAAGGACACCATGAACAGCATCCATGGCAGGCTGGCTCGAGTGTGTTCCGGAGGGGCCTGTATATAAGAAGGAAGGAGTCTTTTTGGACCGATGGTTGCTGCAGCTTGTGTATTCACCTGTCCGGCGTTTGTTCTTTGTCTTGTTTTGTTTCTAGTCATGAGAGTGGGATACAGCTAGTTAAGAACGTAATATCATTCAATCATCTAATGCAGTACATGAAATTATGAGTCAAGCCTCGATAGTGTACAGTTTGCAATCGGGAAACTGTAGTGCTGATGTCTGCTGATTACCACGAGCTGCCTGTTGGGTCACCAAGGCGTCCTATGCTTGAAACAAATCTCTTGCAGTTTGTTCTGGATATATGTGTCCCGTCGCTCTGGCACCGCTCAATACCCATGTAAACTGCATGCTGGATGGCCTTTACTCGGGCATCTTGATTCCCACCGGAGCACAGATGGAGCTCATACTGCTGCAGGCAAACAGCATCCATGGCCACGGCGCCCCCAGTGCGCCTCCCTCTGGAGCCGTGGTGGGTTGCTGAGGGACGTCTGACGGCGGGGCATCTATGCACGTAGGGAGGGCAACTGCAGGCATGACGTGCCACCAGCGCTGTGAGTCTGGGAACCCCATTCCTGCGCTAACAATAACTGGGGCCAGGGGAGCTGCGAGCTGTCACGTACGCAAGATTACATGTGTTCCAAGCTTGCAGGTCCAACCTTGGAACTCTCAGCTTCACAGGCCACAGCACCACCGACCTCTTGAGTTTCCTTTCGGCGTAGGCTATTCTCTCCCTCACAGGGGGCCGGTGACCGCGACACACACGACCACTCGCACCAGAGCGCCCACCATGGCGCTTCCTTTCCGCGACATCAACGTCCACGTTGCCGCCGACTCGTACACCTTCACCTCGCCCTCGTCTCCCAACTCTCCCGCCCTCGTCGTCGACCGCCCAACTGGCGATGTCCGTCTCAGCGATGTCTCTCCGCTCAGCGGAAAGCGGGTGTCCCGTGTGTCCAGCATCGCTGGCATACTCGGCATGATCCGCCTGCGACTCGACAAGTACATCATCGTCATCACAAAGGCACAGCCCATCGGCCGCCTCAAGGGCCACATGGTCTACAAGGTCATCTCGACGGACTTCTTCCCGGTCCGCGAGCGCCAGATCCGTGATCCAGACGAGGACCAGTTCCTGTACCTGCTCAAGACCTTCATCATGAAGGGGCCCATGTACTTCTCGTATTCGGTCGATCTTACCAACAGCTTCCAGCGGCAGGCGTCCATGGACAGCTCGAGCCCGCTCTGGATGCGAGCTGATGACCGTTTCTTCTGGAACAGGTTTGTCCAGACAGACCTGATCGACTTCCGCAAGCACGGCAGCAGGTCGCAGCACGGTGCCCAGCCTGCCGTAGACCCCTTCATCTTACCCATGATCTGGGGCACCCTCGAAATTCGGCCGACCACTCTTAAAGGCACGCCTTTGACGCTCGTCCTCATCACACGCAAGGCGCGATTCCGTGCCGGAACAAGATACTTCACTCGTGGCCTTGACGAGCAGGGCAATGCGGCCAACTACAACGAGACGGAGCAGGTTGTCATTCTGAACGATACGGCAACTGGCATGGGCGGTTTTGCAGGCACCGGCGACATGAAGACTGGCAAGCTCGGTGGCTCGGAAGGACGGGAGATGCAGATCCTGTCGTATGTGCAGACTCGTGGCAGCGTGCCGGTCTTCTGGGCGGAGATCAACGCTCTCAAGTATACCCCAAAGCTGCAGGTTCGGGGTATCGAGACGGCCCTGCCTGCTGCGAAGAAGCACTTTGACGAGCAGATTCGCATCTATGGCGACAACTACCTCGTCAACTTGGTGAACCAAAAGGGTCGAGAGCAGCGCATCAAGGAAGCATACGAGCAGATGGTGGAGATGCTCGTCACATCGCCCAAGGAGAAGACCAAGGCCGATATGTTGACGGATGAGAAATTCCACGTCATCGAGCCAAGTGGATCGAGACAAGAGTACGACCGTCTGCACTATGTCTACTTTGACTTTCACCACGAGACCAAGGGCCTCCAGCTGCATCGGGCCATGCTTCTTGTTGAGCAGCTGCACGATGCGCTCATTGCTCAGCAGTATTTCCGTGGCCTCGACATGCCGGCGAACGGTGGCCTCGAGACGCGAAACTACCAGACCAGTGTCGTCAGGACCAATTGCATGGACTCGCTCGATCGCACCAATGTTGTCCAGAGCATGCTGGCACGGTGGACCCTAGACCGGATGTTCACCGATTTAGGCCTGCTTCAGAAGGGCGAGACGTTCGCTTTGGCAGACCCTGCATTTGAATTCCTCTTCCGTAACGTGTGGGCAGACAACGCCGATACCGTCTCCAAAGCGTATGCTGGCACAGGCGCCATGAAGACAGACATGACTCGCTTTGCGAAGCGGACGAAGAAGGGCATGCTGCAAGACGGAAACGTCGCTGTAACCAGATTCTATCTCAACAACTTCCGGGATGGTCCTCGGCAAGATGCCTACGATCTGTTCCTGGGCTTTTATCTCCCGAGCGAGGCCACACACACCTTCGCCGACCGGAGACCGGTTCTCATTCAGAGCATTCCTTATGTCTTTGCTTTTAGCTTCTTCCTTGTCCTTGTAGGACTCTTCACGCCACGGGCGGCCGATGCGTCCGCTCTGCCCGGTCGCTTATTCATTCTCTTCTGGCTAGGCGCCGCTGCCTGGTCCCTAAGCTTTATCCTTAACAACGGCATGCTCTATGTGAGTCTCCCTCATTGTTGCCACCAGTGTGTTGTTGCATTAGGCAACTGCTGACCACCATGATATCAACAGGTCAACTGGCCCAAGCTGAACCCCCGGCCGTGGGCCGTAGAGGGCTACCAAGATGCCATTACGAACGTGCGCAAAGACAAGCTGCTTGGCCCGTTTGTTGCGCGTCACGAAAGAGGCCTCAGCACGGCGAGATACCTCAATGCCGAGGAGGGCAAGAAGAGAATCGAGTAGAATGGTTTTGTGGCGGTAATGGGCATGGCGGCTTACTTCCGCGAAGCAGTCGAGTCTGCGGTTTCATTTTCATATTCGTCTCCTGTAGAGCGTTTAATTATGTGTAAGATTTTCTCTTGTTCGTTTCTATACCAGTCGAGAGTTGCGACAGAGCATGTAGTGATACACATTGCCGAGTCTGGCTCCATACTTGAGAGTACCCTTTACAGCCACAAGACGTGTGCTTTCAATTCGAGCCGACCGCGTCGCAATCTTGGCGACACCGCATTGGAGTTGAGCCTGTCCCTAGGAGTCGATACCACTCAGTTACTGTGCCTGTTTACCAATTGTTGCCCCGGCCGTTGCGGTCAAGAAGATGCCTGCTTTCGAATGCTGTGTGCACGCAGAAAACAACAGGGCACGATCTGATTTTGTGGTTAGCCCATGCAAGCTTTCTGATATTACTACCACACGCATCAAGAATTCTTTCTGGAGAGGAGAGCATCGCCCAGATCGTTCGAAACTACGTCACATCGGTTCTTTCGTGTTAATCACATGGTCCTCTCAATGATTTCTTCTTATAAGCCCATATTGTTTCGATAGCGACCATCTCAGAGACTCAAAGCCTGGTACCATGGTACCCCCGTTGATGGATCCGTGCGGTACCATTCCAGAGCGTTATGATGTGAGCTTCTAGCGGAGAGACTGAGCCACGGTTGGGACCTCAGAAGACATCGGAGAAAGCTGCCAACTCCACCTGAACCACGTTCTGAGAGGCAACGTCCAGAGCTTGATGGCGAAGCCACGAGACATCTCCGATAATCGTTTTGTGTACACCACTCACCAATAGGTACATAAGCAGCTCTACGTGCGTGCCTCCGAGAAGAAGTTCCTTTGTGTTGTGCAGCAGTTCTTTGAATGGGACTATCCAAGCTTCATGCAAGGACTTTGTTACCTTCTTACCGAGTTGAACAACCAAGTCTACGCATATTTCTGACTACACACGGCACGACATTTTGGATTCTGATTCTTCGAGGTTGCGGATCACCACCACAAGCAGACAACCATCCGCATTTGAAACATTCCTGGCGCATCATACAAGATGATGAGGTTCCTGCGGAACACGACCACCAGGCGTGGTCGTCGTTCACGGTTGCCGGTCCCCATCCAAGCCACAAGAGCACAGTCGGCAGCATCGACATCAGTCACTCTGGCCAGCAGAATCCCTCGTCCAGTCTCTAGTATTCACACTGCGGTCAAGACCACCGCAGCCAAATCGCAGCTCTACAACGAAAGCCACGACCTCGACTTCTGCACCAACCCCGAGCCAACCACAACAGCTGGGCGATCGCGCCCCAAGAAAACGCCAGAAGAAAACTCCCATGAGTTGGGCCCGTCATCACCGTCGGCGCCTTCGGCGTCCTGTAGTGGCCGTTCCCATTCCTCATCTTGGTCCACGGAATCGGTGGCATGCAACGACATGGACCAACACTATCATTCTCCTCAGGACGCCTCTCCCCCACCGCCATGCTACAGCCCATCTATCTACTCCCAGGACGACAATAAGGTAGACATGGCGGCGGTGACCGTCAATTCCATCTCCACGCCGCCTCGGCACAGCCTAAAGTCTAAGGCGTCGGCGTCCACACTTGTCGGCGAGGAGGGAAAGGACGCCAACACGTACAGCCCAGCAAGCCACATCAACGCCTTTTCCACCTCCGGACACAACAGTCCCCGGGGCCCAGACACCGCCGCTGTTGGAGATGACCACCTTCAGCAGCAGCAGCCGCGCCCTGCCTGCTGGCCATGGCCCTGGGTGATGCTCCGCGGCGGGCACATCGCCGAGGCGGGCAACAACCTCGACACGAACGCACCGGCTTCCTCTGATGGCACAAACGAAGACGTCGTCGAGAGTATTCTTGCGCCGTCCCAACCACCACCACCACCACCAGCTCGTCCGGCCGCAGGCTCGCCGCAAGCGTACATTGAGCTGCGCGAGATGCTTCGGCGGTTGCGGGACCACGGCAGCAACGCAGCGAGCAACAGCCCAGATAACCACACCAACGACAGCAGCGATGTGGACGGACCGAGCCACTTGGACAACAACAACAACAACAACAACAACGCCGTCACTGCCGCCCCTGCTGCCCCTGCGGCTGTTCATCACAATGGCAACGACCGCGGCTGGACCCGGATGAGCCAAGTGAGCACTGCACCCGACCACTACCACCACCCCCCACAGCAACAGAACCGGCCTCGCCCATATCAGCAGAATGCCGACTTCACCACCACCACCTCGGCCGGCCCTGCCGCAACGGACGACTCCGAGGAGGACCTCTACAGCCTGCGGCTGCGCCGGTTCAAGGCCGCGGGCCATGGCCTGCGACCAGCCGGCGCAAGCATTGCGACATACATGGCAGCCACGCACCGCAACGGCCGCCGCCCACGCACTCTAGCGTCAGGAGGTCCTGGCAATGACAATGACGACCACGACCACGACGACGCCGACAACACCTCGTCCCAAGAAGACAACTACAACAAGCGCATCACCGCGGCCAACCGGCAGCAAGCTCAAGCCAAGTCCCTCCTTCCGATGCTGGACCTGGAGCTCGCCATCAGCAACGCAGCATACTTGTGCCCCCCCTCCCTCCTCCACCACGACCGGGCCGCGGCGCATCAGCTCGTCCTCCGCGGCAGCTTCGGCGGCGCGAGGCTGACCGAGGGCAACCTGGCCCGGCTGCAGGGGGAGCTGGCGTGGCGGCGCGACGCGGAGCGCCAGCGCGGGGCCAACCCGAACGAGGACGTCTTCCGCATGGGCCTGGTGACCAAGGAGAACCTGGTCATGCTGAGGGACCTGTACGACACCATGGAGCGGGTCAAGCTCGACCAGGCAGAGTATCCAGGCGTCGCGCGGAGCAATGCCGACACCCTGGACGTGTACGAGCATATGCGTATCCGGCGGGAGCTGCATTTGAAGACGGAGCAGGAGGAGAAAGAGAAGGCCCAGAGGGAGGAGGGGGGGGAGGAGGAGGAGGAGAATGACGACAATGACGACGACGACGGCAATGCCGGGCAGCAAGAAGAGTTTCCCCGGAAGCATGAACACGACTCATCTCCCTTGCTCAACGCAGGCTCCCTCGAGGCGGCCTCTTCTGCACCCATCGCCAACAATGAGCACATCCGACCAGGACGCCGCGCCCGCATACGCGCCAAGTTGAGGCGCATGAGCCACCACGTCGGAAACAGACTGCACCGAAGCCGCGCAGCCATCAACTGCGGTAGCAGCAACACTGCCGCCTGCAGCAGCAGGAGCAGTAGCAGTCGGTACGCAAGTATCAGGGGGACGCGGGTTGTAAGCCCACTGCCTGAAGCTGGTATGAGCTGGACAAGGCTTCGTACAACGACAGACGAGCTTAGACGGCTGCGGATCGGGCACAAGGTGGAGGACCTGGACACAGAGGACGACTCGATGTGAAACCCCGGGATAAGCGATAAAGTGTAGTTTAATTATGTCGGATTGTGTCTTTCAAGTTTGTCATGTCGAGTTGGCTTCGTTATTAAGAGTGCATAGACATTGCTGGATATTCTTGAGTTTTCTTAAGTAATATTGTACTTGTTGTTACATCGTGGGCTCTTTCCTCTATCGCTGTTGTACAGATGTCCCTTCCGGGTCTATTATACATGTGTCCGTCGACTCACTGTGCGACCAGGTCCTCGCATCGACCGCAGAGTGCATCCTCGGCGGGGGCCTGATATCTCCAGCAGCGAGGACACTTCTCGGCCTTTGGCGGTAATACGTAGACTGTGGCGACGTCGCCGGCAAGCTTATGCTCGTATATGTATGTCCCATCTTTCTGAACGTCTGCGGCGTCCTTGACAATATCAAGCGAGGAGACGACAAACATCATCGCGAGCTCGTCCTCAGTATATCTGCCAAGCACAGATTGCACCTTTTCGTCTTGAACCTGCAGCACGACATGCGACTGCAACCCCGAACCAATGCGCTTGTCCGTGCGAGCGAGCTCGAGACAGCTCATGACGGCGCTGTGGAGCATCATGATGGTGGGGACATCTCCGCGCACAGAGGCGATATCAGTGCGCAGTCTGTCTGGCTCGACAAGAGGATCGTTGTAGAGCTGGTGTAGCGGATGTATCACAGTCGAGTCCTCCTTCATCCACTGGGGACGATGCTCCCAAGCTTCTTCGACGAGTAGTGGCGTCATGGGCGCCAGCATCCTCAGTAGTCCATTGAAAATTGGCTCGAGGACACCGCCGCCATCGCCGCAGTACAGTCGGTCCTTGAGAGCCTCGAGATAGAAGGCGGACAGATCTTTCGAGACGTACTTGTTCAGCGCAACACACGCGCGATGGAACTCGTGGTTGTCGAACGCATGCCCCACCTCCCGCATCGCGTCCTCAAGCTGGATGATGGCAATGTTGTCCGCCACTGACAGGGGCGCGGTCCGTGCTGACTTATGCATGGAGCCAAGCAACATTTTGATGATCACGCGGTACTTGACCAGCGTGTTCTGAACCTGTTGCAGGGCCGATATGCCAATAGCGACGTCTTTGGTGTAGTCCCCGCTGGCTGCCCACAGCCGCAACGCATCCGGTCCAAGAGCGTCGTACTTGGGCGGGCCTTGGGCCGCCTTGCCCTTCTGCTTTAAAGGCGGCAGCAGGGAACCTTCCATGACCTCGTGGGGCTCTATAATGTTGCCAAGTGACTTTGACATCTTCTTTCCTTCACCGTCTAGCGTGAAGCCATGTGTGATCAACTGCTTGAACGGGGCACCCTTCGCGACCTTGACTTCGCCCACCGCGCCAGCTGCGATTCGTGTCAGTAGACTGGATTGGAACCAGCCACGGTGTTGATCAGAGCCTTCGAGATAGACATCAGCTCGGTTGTCCATCATAGTCCAGCTGCTACCACTGTCAAACCAGACGTCCATCGTGTCGCCCGTGCCTCGCGTGTGTTTGCCAGTCAGTGAAGCTGGGATCCAGGCTGGATCATCTTCCGGGTCTGACCACCACGCATTCGACCCTCTCTCTTGGATCACTTTGATGATGTGCTCGATAATCCCGTCGTTTACCACTGCTGTACCACTCTCGTCGAACAGCACAGGGATGGGCACGCCCCAAGCACGCTGGCGAGATATGCACCATTCGCTGCGGCCAGTCACGAAGCTGCTGAGGCGAGTCTTGCCACCTTCGGGGAAGAATCTCACATCCTCGAGCGCGTCGAGTGTATCTTTCTTGATCGATCCGACATCTGCAAACCACTGCTCCGTGGCGCGGATGACGACTGGCTTTTTCGTGCGCCAGTCATACGGATATTTGTGTGTGTAGTCCTTGACCGACAAGACATCGCCGTGAGCTTGGAGAAGCTCGAGAACCTTCTTGCCGCCTCCTTCAATCACTGATGGAGCTTGGCAGAGCACATCAGGGTCATCGGGATATGCTTCGGCAGTGAATTTGCCAGTCTGGTCAATCGGCGCAGACACGGAGATGCCGTGCGCACTGCATACCAAGTAGTCATCCATGCCGTGTCCAGGAGCCAAGTGAACAAGGCCCGATCCAGAGTCCGCCGATACGAAATCGGCATGAATGATTGACTGCTCCTCGGCGTGTCTGCCTTGCAGCTGGTTGTGGTATGTGAGCCCAGTAAGGTCACTGCCTAGCAGGGTAGCCACAACTTCGGCGCTCGTGTCTGCAAGTATTGGAAGGAATGCATGGAGTCGACTCTCGGCAACGAGATATGTAGCAGAGCCAGCTTTCACCACGCAATAGTTGAGGTCGTCGTGTACGCCGATGGCCCTGTTCGCGGGCAAGGTCCACGGGGTAGTCGTCCATATGACAGCATACAGTTGACCAGAAACCTTGTCCTGAATCTTCTGGAGCTGTGGGTGGCCATTCCAAGCCTCAGAGATTGGGAACCGGATCCAGGCAGCGTTTGACACATGGTCATCTCTGTACTCGAGCTCGGCCTCCGCTAGCGCTGTCTGGGATGACGGCGACCAGTACACCGGCTTGAACTTGCGATAGATGAGCCCTTTGCGGACCATGGCCTGAAACAGACGGAGCTGCCTGATTTCGAAGGACGGGTCCATGGTTGTCCATTTTCTCTTCCAGTCGGCCATGACACCATACGACTGGAACCCCTTCATCTGCTTGACAATCGTGTTCGAGGCGAGATTGCGGGCAGCCTTGCGGATTTCGAGCCGGGAGAGCTTCTTCCCCTTGGCGGCCTCCAGCGCCTTGAGCTCTATGGGCAGCCCATGGCAGTCCCATCCTGGAATGTAGTTTACCCGTCGTCCTTGCTGAACCTTGACCCGATTGATCATGTCCTTGAGGATCTTGTTGAGGGCGTGGCCGACGTGGAGCGAGCCATTGGCATAAGGGGGCCCATCGTGGATGACAAATAGATCTTTACTCGGCCTGTTCGTGCGTTGCCAGTCGTAGAAGTCATCGGCACATCTCTGTATGTAGAGGTCTCGGGTCTTGGGAAGCGGTCGAGGACTGCAACAGTGGGATGGTTAGCGCTGTGCAGACCGTTGTGTTGCGAGGTGCAGAGTCTTACGGGAGGGTCGACTTTGGCAGCATCAAGGTGGAGGACCATGATTTTGACATTGTCACCTTGCTGCCATGACGTAGCCCGCGTCAAGCCCAGGACTCGAAATTGTATACACGAAGCACCAGCCCTTGATCGACCATCGTGAAGTTGACCCCGAAATTGTGTGGGGGGCGGAGCCCGCCCAGAGCTGGAGGAGCTCCGATAGCGATAACGGCGGTCGCTTAGCTAAGCGGTGCCTGCCTGGTGCCTGCCTGGTGCTGGGACCCGCTACAGCTCCAGCAGTGCCGTCATTGAGACGGGCCAGTGTGCATTCCGCTTGCGACGGTACTGTGATTCACGGTCTCAAGAGCATGCACTGCGCGATGTCGTGGGATTAATGAGCCGACATGGTAGCACATTCTCATCAACATGGCTCCCATTCGTCGGTATCTCCGCATCACAAGATACTCTGTTCTCGAGTGCAGGATCTATCTTGATAACCCAGCCTTGGCACAGTCATGGCTGCTCAACCCCAGACACCCGGTCCTCCCACGGGTCATTGAGGCCGTGCGACCTCTTGTTCTGCCAAAGCTCCGCGAAGAACGGGAGCGTGCCCGCACAAAGAAGGGCTCGAAGAAGAAGGGTATCAAGGACGTCGTGGCTGAAGGTCGGGTTCCTGAGGAGGCTGTCTCACCTGCAAGTGTATCGTCCATGTGGCTAACAATAAGATAGATGATTTCGAGGTGTCAATATTCTTGACAGAAACGACCACCAGGCACTCACTCCTCAGCAAGCACAAACACTTCCACGACACGAAGCAAACGAAACTTGTGTCGAGCTCGGGCGGGCGCCTCTTTGGGGCCACGAGCGAGGCTCCATTGGATGTGGACGCTGCTGCAGACAACTTTACCGTAGAGCTGCGCCAAGAAGAGAGTGACGATGATGTTGTATTGTCAGAGATTCCTGCGGCCGAAGCTGCTCAAGCCGAAGACAACACGCGCAGGGTGAAGAGGCCGCGCCGAGAAACTACCACTGAAAGTGAGGCCGTGGTTGAGGTTCTCTCGGACGATCAAGAAAGCAACGACCAAGACGAAGAGGAAGATCTTTTCGTCAACAGCCCTGGTTCTGAGGAGCGTGACAGCACAGGACCGCCGCCCGCGAAAAGGCACAAGGATGGCACCCTCGGCGTTGTGGCTCAGAATGGCGGAGACGACAAGAAGAAAAAGCTAGCGATGGATATCTCATATGAAGGCTTCTCGATCTATGGTCGGGTTCTCTGTCTCGTCGTGAAGCGACGGGAGACCAGTAGTGCCTTTGGCACCACCAAGTTGCTTGGCAATAAAGCGGCTGCAGGCACTGGTCAGAACATGATGGAAAACTTTATCGTCTCAACGCAGGTTCCTGCTGGACAAGAGGTTTGAGGGGTCTTTCCAGCGCCTACTCAGTTCGTTCTTTGGGGTGTGTGAGCGGCCACGTACAACGAGCCGCGGCCAGCGTCACAGGTATCTCTTGGCTGGCGAATCATCCGCATATCGTATTCGCCTCCCTCTGCCCTTCTGGAGACCTTGGCCGCAGGATGGGATGACCATGACTATGTAACGGGGTATGAATATGGCCATCTCTACCTACATGCGACCTCATGTGCATCATGCGTTGTCATGATCAAGGTCACTCAATTCGCGATATCAGCCGGGAAGCGAACCACACGATACCACAAGACTCACGATGTCCTTGCCCAAGACGCTTGCTTGCAACGCTTAGCCATGTCACACACCTGCAGCAGGTTTTAACCCGGCTCCGTCGCCACACGTCGGAGAACGGGAGAACTTTTGCACAGGAAGAACCACTCCTACGTCTGTCGTCGGTCCCGGCATCCGGCCACCGGCCACAGATCGGGCCGCCCATTCTCGAGGCCGCCAACAAGATCGCATCTGCGAAAATGCCCGTCCCCAGGGCTGAAGCGACAGGGATGTCGTGTTTTCGGTGAAATGCAGACAAATCATTGGTTTGAATCCAGGGTTGTACAATCAGGTCGCAGCTCCTGCGACCGGGAGGAGTTCGACATGCAAACCCGCCTCAGACCATGCTTCATTCGGGAGATGTGGTCGCCGACGTGGTCGATGCAACCTGTAATGATATGTTCGCATTTCAGAAGACGCTCTTTTGTTTAGAAGGGCGTCGATCTAACCACGAGATCCCTTCATGAAGTTAAGATATCTCTGCCATAATGCTGGCCAGCCTGTAGCATACGCCAGCTGTCCCGCTGCGATGCGACGGGACATTGCAGGAGGAATTATTGCAGAAAGTACAAGTATATCCCACCCCTGGAATGCATTACAGGAGCTGGGGCATTGTCTTTCCAACGAGATGGTGGTCCGCTGCCATGCTGTAGGATTACATGACGCATCCTGATTCAGACAACCTTGATCGTCGTATTCTCAGTGCAACAGCTACAATGTTATGACTTCTACATAAGTGCTAAATCATGAAGGTAACATTGAATTCAATTTCGTTAGCTACGTGGTATCAAACATGACATTAGGATGTTCAATTGATACCAGTTCAAATGTTGACTTGCATGTGGAATATTTTTATGGATTTTGATTTCGGTCGTTCCTAGCCAGAGATGTTTATTTCGTTGAAGCAAATGATGTTCTTGGTCGTGATCTATTTGAATATTGCATGACCACAGACACCGTACTGAGTCTTTACTTCTACACGTGAACAAAACAATGGTCATATTTGTTAACCTTCGAGCCGGACCGGCAGCACAATTTCACGAGACGAGGTGAATGAAACCAATCGAATTTCCTTATTTCAGGCATTTCACTTACCTTCAGGCGGACCCAGAAGACATATCTTCCTCACACCGTAGCTACTCGTGTGACAACTATCTGCGTCGCCTTACAGCGAGCGGAAAGGGCTCAACGGCGTGCGATCTCCAGTTTCTCCTTGCCTGATTTTGCCCCATTTCTACGTTTTCAACTGAGATTCACACAGGTGCAACTGCCGTCCGTGAACACGATTTACACACAAGATCCTCGTTGCAAAAGTGCCGTGCAAGCTGATAAGCTGTACGCAAGCCTTGCTCTCATAAAGAGGCAAAGGAACTTTGTAGCAGTTGGGGGAAATGGTGATCGCAATGTTGCATTGAATGTGACTGTGATCTCACAACACCGGGACTCCCCAGACTTTTCAATTGCTGGTCGAAAGTCCCTAATTTCTCAGACAAGTTTTGGATTCTAAGTTACAGATATTGTGCCCAACGCTGAAGGCATCCTCTGTTGTTTTGATGATCCAATTGCGCGTGTTTATGGCTGTGATGCCATGCCATGCTTGCTTGCGAAGTGCTAGAGATCACTCAATGCTCCACGGTACATGAACCAAGTCATCAGGGCAACGTCCATTTACGACACGGCCTTTTCCTTCCCTTCACATGATGCACAATCACCGAACAAAATAATCCTCATTCATTCAACCACACACATGGACTTTATTCGCACATGGCACAAGACTCTCTCGTCCAGCGACGTGCTGCCGGCGAGGGATGCTCACCTCGACGGAAGCAATCCCGTCCACGCCACCCAAAACAAGGCAGCCGTCGTTACACAACTTCCCCTAGCACCCTCTGCGTCCGCCTCCGCCTTTCTGCAGCATGCCGGGAGTACCTGGCCGAGGCCAAAAGGAAGTGGGCGTGTGCTGATGCAATGCAGGTCTCGGTGAAGTCTGTTACACCGCACATAATGGCGGAGCCTACAGTATCAGTCAACAAAGGGGCTCGCACATGCACGCGGTCAGCAACATGTTGTGTCTCCCTCCTCCCTCCTCCCTCCCCGTCGAGGGTGAGTGTTGCACAAGCTGGCGACGCGGGTGGCGGCCGAAAACACTCGCTTTCCCTCCTTCCCTCACGGCGCAAGGCAGCCAGCCAGCCCGGCCTGCCTGCCAGTCAGTAACAAAGCCACGGTGAGCAGCGCCTTGTTGTGCAACCGACATGCCCCTGTCTGCATGAGGATTACCTACAGTACCTTAATGTACTTTTGACGGTGCGTTCTGGGGAGGCAGTGTCTGGTTGCTAAGCACTGCCGTGCTTTTGTGCTTATGGGTAAGGTACCCTCGTGTTGCACAGCCCTGCGACGTAAGCAGCACGCCGCACTGCCAGCCGAGCCACCCCCAGGCATGCCTCATCCTTTCATCTTGGGAGATGCAGGCAGCGGCGGTCCTGTTTCCTGTTTCCGAGCGGCCCTGCGCGAACGAGGGCACCATCGAATGATGTGGTCTGACCATGATAGCTGGTGCTCAGCAGCTCCATGCCAGCCTGGTCCTGTTCAGGTGAGGAAGCACAAGGGACAGTGACTGCAGCTGCAGCAGCAGCATCGTCATAGTGGCTGCCCCGGAGCCGACAGGAGATATCGCTGTATTAGCCCTGATAGTGTGAGGGACGGGATCGGTGGTCTCAACCTTGGTTGCGAAATTGCCAAACTCGTGCATTGATAATCCTTGGCACGGCACCAAGAAAGCAGGGCCTGGGGCACCACCCGCCTGAAGCAGGTGATAATACACTAATACCACGACCACGACGAGGGGATGATCGACCCGAGCAAGTGAGTGTGTCTCTAGCGGGGAGGTGATGACAAGCCCATCGCGCGGTCGGCTCTCCTCTGAAGGACATTATTTACTGCAGTTACACCCTCTTGACTGTTTCGGGCTCGACGCACATGCTGATGCAGCCTTGCAAGGACGGCACGGATGGGTCAGGTCAGGTCCGAGACAGGTATCTTGCGACGATCTGCGTCCAGTTCGGCGACCGCGTCGGCCGTGCCAGGGGGCAGAGCAAGGCAGGCAGTCCGAACGACCCCAGGGGTTCATGTTGAGGGACCTTGTCATTATCATTCTTTGGATCCGTTCTTGGGGCGTTTTTTGGTATGTGGGCGCGCGCGAGCACCTGCAAAGGAAGAAGCCGACGCCCATTTCATGGGGGGAGATGTAACCCTTGCAGAGTCGGCCTCGTGACAGTCCAGATGGTCCAGGGGGGCCCTTGTTACAGCCGCAGATAGTTCGGTACAGGCAGCATTTTTCTTTCTGCCTGCCGCTTGGGCTTGTGTGTATTGTTATTACATATGCGCAACATGGAGCGGATTTGGGAAGAGGTCACCTTGGCACTCTGGGGTTGCGAGGCGATCGGGCCATCATGAGTCAACATGTCGTGACGGTGACGACTGCTCGTCTCCCTAATCCCAAGCCAGGGATGGGTAGCACGGCGCGCGGAATTAACCCAGCATGGTGGTCGGGCATGTCAGCCCGACGACCAAATATATCCCCAACACTCGAAGATAGTCACTAATGTCCTGCGGTGAGATTTGGTGCATTCCGGGCGTGGAGCTGTCAGCCCTCGCTCGCACCGATGACGCCCGCTCTGGTCGTATTTCCGAGACAACTTCTGGCAAGGCTGATGATGCCAGCGTTGCGCCCGCTTCGCACTCGCTCACATGAACCCCTGTCCTGTCTTGTTTGACTCAAGCCACTAGCACCACCATTTGTTCTCAGCCATCATTCTATCAAGTAGAGTCGTCTTTGAACGCGGTTTCTCCACCGACCGCAAGCCACCTCCGCGCGCAGCAGCAGGGACGGGCCCTGGCCTGGGCTTGGCGCTGTCTGACATCCTCCACTTTAGCTGCGCGGTCGATCATTGAGCTTGCTTTTTCTGTGCTGGGGACGCATGTAAAATGTTGCTTTTTTGACGTGCTCAACACACATATGCCCGCCCCCCGCTTCATTGGATATCTGCGGACGTCACTTTTAAGTCGGAGAATCTTGCACAAGACACTCCATTGCGTGCGGTTAGTCCACCACATACACACGTGTAAGTACTATTTGTTGCTCCGCGCCAAAAATTTATGTACCCATCCCACACACGATGATGCTGCCCTCCTCTCCTCGCTGGGCAATCACTCTGTCACCGCCGCCCATAGTACGACGAAGGGGGGTCATATGCTCCGCACAGTCCGAGGCTGGCTTGTAACTATGCTCGGAGCATTTTCCTGGAGCAGGCCTTCAAGGTTCCCTTTTCCCATAAGCGATGAGCACAGAGTTACATCTCAAGACTGTAGTCACATCCAAAAAAAAAGGTCCATACTTTCCCCTCACCGACGTAGGCATCCCACACCTCGCCCCAGCCACACTCTCCAAAAGTGACGGCGACGACGGGACTGCAACCCCAGCCTATTTCGGGGAGACAGACAGATATGTCAGCATCATCCCACGGGGCGGCGGTGCAGAACACGTGTCGGCCACGGGATGTAATAGGCCGGTAGTGCTTTCGGAAGGTGCCGTTCCTGGCTGGCCCCTTCCCAGACTTTCGGGATCCATGGGAAGAGGAAAGAGGGGGGTGCTTGTGTGCCTGTGCCTGTGCCTGTGCGTGAAGGTGGTGGTCAGACCGGTGATAGATGGTGCTTCATTGGACAGATGCCCGGGGCTTATGGTGGTGGTGGGAACTTGGCGGTCTGCAAAAACTTGGCTGACTGATCATGCATGCCGTCTAATATCAACGAGGAAGTGTGTGCATGCATGTTGGGTGGCTGCGGAGAATGGTGAGGGGAAAGAGTGGTACATGTCGAGAGAAGTACCTGCCTGGCCTTCGCCTTGCTGCAAGACACTCCGCAGCAGTTGTGCTTTTTCTTTCTGCTGGGCTTTTGGACCCCATGAGAGAAGAAACGACGTGCATCACTAGGGCAAGGAGGATCTGCTTATTCCTTTCACCGCTTAAAATGTTGGACAAGGAGATGAGTCTGTGGAGATGGTGTGGTGCTTGCATATTAATTAGAGCGCCGCGCTGTTGAGACCGGAAGGCCGCATGTTAGTAGAGGAGTCCACCAGCCAGCCAGGCCGGGCGTCAGGGCAGGCAGGCAGCTCCTTCCGTTGGCCGTCATCATCATCATCATCATCATCATCATCAAGCTAGTGCCAACTTTTGCGACGTGGCCAAGCAGAGAACGTGGTGTGGCACAAGGGCCATTGTGTGGTCGCCGGAGCAGTTGCTGAGCTCGTTGCACTTGTGGGGGTTGCGCACTAAGGCATGCTCTACTGCCTGCAGAACCCCCTCTCAATCTCCATCGCAGCAGCGAGATTACGTGCTTGTCGCATTACAGCGCAGTGGATTGGTCCAATGCTTAAGAGGGGTGGGTGCGCTCTAGGCAGGTATACGCAGCTGGCCACGCATCATGGTCTGGCGCAAAGGGTCGAGGCGACGGCTGTTTGTCCATAATGCCACCATACGGCTTCTACTCCGCTGAGGGACCGTCACCTGTTTGCTGGGCAGTCCTGTAACAGGCGAGACGGACCTCAGGCAGCTTGTGAAGCATCACAAGGCGTGTGGAGCGGGAGCAGCTGTCAGACGGCTCTTCGTCTCAACTCAATGTTTCAACAACTGTGGAGTGAGTGAGGCAATTAAGAGGCGCCGGCTATTTCTACATCCCATCATCATCATCAACGTTGTGCCCTTCAGGTGGATCGCTCCGTTGGCCCCGTGTGTCATTTGTCAATAATGGCACTCCTAGTCCGGCAGGAGAGGACGACAGCAACCCCCCTGCCGCAGATGAAGCATCGATCTCCAGTAACCCGATTTGTAAAATGCCACATGATCCATTGGCGCAAATGGTGTGTGTGGTCATTTCCAGCAGTGGCCCACCGCCGTAACTCCCGCTACTGGGCGCCCCGAGCCGGCCGCAAGCTACTGCACACTACCACGGCGCCTCATTCTAAAGTTTGATGAAGTCGTCCGCTTGCTGCGATTTGCATCTGTGGCCGACGACGTCAGCAATGTTGGCAACGGCCACGGAACAACCCAGCCAACGGTACATACGTACTGGCCCTCGCAGCGGCACGAGGGCACCCACGGCCACTCATTACTCCCATGCGCACCCCTGCCAAGATGTGCTGATGATCGCCATCTGCACGTGCCTGACCGCCCCAGAAGCGGAATCATGTCGCGATGCGGAACGGAGTTATCTGGGGAGCGGAGAGAGCGCAGAGCATGTTTCAAGCCTGGCCCTCCGGTCGGCCGAGGCCGAATTGACATCAGCTGAAGAACGTCGCCAGCACGGCCCAGTTGGAACTTTTTCGCCCATAGTTACATTCTCAAAGGGGCTTGCAGAGATCTCATCAAAGGCAGGAGTATGAAGCGAGATTCCAGGGGTGCGCGGCTGGGGCCCGTCGGAAGTCACGTCAAGCCCTTTGGGCCACCACTCAACCCAGCCACAGCCGTGTGGGAGTTGATTCCATATCGATCCAACAACACACGATGGGGCCCCTGACAGCTGAGACATGCCTCTGACCTTGGAAATTTCTGGTCAGCTGAGCTGGGTTGAAGCGTGCAGGGGGGGGCCCGTACCATCCCACCACGGCCAGCCAGCGCAATGTACCCCTGCCCTGCCTGCAGCCCATCCCGCTCAGGGGTCTCGTGTCTCGAGTGCGACCCTGCAAGCAAGTTCCGAAGGGTCAGAATTGGCGGAAAGTACCTCCGCATCCCACCGGGAATAACTTGTGGCATGGAGCAGGCACTCTTTGATACTGTACGTGCCAATCTGCCAGAGCCGCAAATCAATGGTGACACTGACTGCAACCTCGGCCATCGAGGAGACTACCCACTGCCACAATCACTTTGTTTCTCCCTGATAGGTTTGCTTGTCTCGCCGGAATAATTGACCAGACTATTCGGCCGCGGAAACCTCCCCATGCGGTCTGCCGAAGAAAGAGGCGACACGGTTATCTGCAGCAATGTCTCCTCCATGTTGATCCCACCTATAGGAGCAAGGAGTGTGCATATCGGCAATATCGATGATACTGCGGCGATGGACCTCGCCCCTCTCGCGATATCCCTAATGGGCAATCCGACGCAGATAGACCAGATACGACGACGGCGATGACTTTAGCCGCGCGTTGAGGATTCACCCTCCGTGATCAAAAGAGGAACCGGTTGCACCACGACCATGCGAGCGAGCTGGCTGACTGATGCCGAAGCAGGGATGGAGATTCCCATGTGTGCACGGCAGCCGAATACCCTTGCCAGAGCTGCCAGAATCCCATGTGCCAGCCACAATGTAACGGAAACCCGACCCCCTTCAGCCAACCACCATCATCACGACGACCACCAGAATTAATCACCCACCCACCATCACCACCAAGCAGCGACAGGGACAAACTCCAGGCCATGTGTCTCGCGATCGCCCAACCCCTGCTCATACAGCCCACGTGGACACACGGTCATCCTGGGCAGCTCGGCCCAGGTACGTATGGTACCTGCGGAGCAAAGTAGATGTTGGGCGCCCCCTCCGTAAGCTGCATGCCTCCGCCGCCGGGCTTGCCATGTTTTGTCTTCTTGTTCAGTTGTTTGCTGCCTCTATCCCACCCTTCCCGTTGGGCTTGAACGAGCGCATTGTTTCATACAATCAAACCCTCTTCATTGGGCGCGGAGTCGGAGGAATAGCCGAAGGATGGCCATTCTTTCTGCACCCTGCACCCTCGCCTCCCCCTGGAAGGTGAAATGGATGGTTCAGGGTCAGGACTTGGTGTCAATCAGAACATCATCATGACTGGGTTCAAGATAACGGAAACAAGGCTGGGCCAGCTAGCCCACACGGACGTTCTCGCCCGGGAAGAGAGTCCTTTGATTGTAACGTGGCTCAAGGCGTCGCGACGTGAGGAGGTCATGCAGGGCAAAGTGCAAGCACCTGTTGTCGAGCTGGATATTGCACTTCTTTCTCTGCACCTTAGTATTTGGCTCCTCAAGGTCTGGTGCGGTATCAAGAAGCAACACTTTCGGGTGCGCCAATCGAATCGCGAGTAGACACAGCTGCCGAAGGGAGCTGTTGCCATGCATTGCGTTTGCATGCATGCATGCGCCAGGAAGCCGTCTGACTACGTACATCCATCCATCCATCCATCCATCCACCACAGACAGCCTCGCGGAGATGTGCACGAATATAGCATGATGATTGCCACACTGAAACGTGATCTTACCTGCACTACTCGTCGCCGCAGGGCATTCCGGCCCGCAAAAGCGCATGGTGCGCAATATTGTTTTCTCTTCAAGGATAATGAATACTTGCTCACGCTGGCCCCCCAACAATGATTTTCCAGAATGCAGCCCTGGGTCAACGCAACTCGCGACTTACACCGCAGCATCGAGACCACTGCTCCCAAACACGAAGAGTTTGGAATTGACTTTGATTTTTTGGGGTTTTTTTTTCGTTCCTTCTAAGAATAGATAGCTCTCTTCAAATGCGTCGTGTTTCGAACGCCGCAGATCGCGGTTGTCATTTTGGGTTTTGCCAATGTTTGTGGGGTAGAAGATGGAGCGTTGCGGGTTGTTTCAAAGTTTCAACAGTGTCAACTTTGTTCTGAAGTGAAACCCTGTGAACCACAACCCGCCACCTCCTCATTACATCCACCCGTTTGGTCCGTCGGTCGGTCGATCGGCCGACCGGTTGAATGTTGACCCTCAAAGAACCTGGCCATAATCATTCGCGATACCCTGCCTGGAGGCCGCGCAAGCAGACCAGATAAGCGTCATGGTTGGACTAGGGGGACGCGCAATCGAGATAACATCGCATGTAAGAGGCGGTAGTGACGATGGACCCGACACATGCCCCCCATGTATGTAGCAAGGGCGCTGACAAGCACGGCGACACCTCTTCTGCTGTGTTAGTCACAGGACCCCTGTGTCTCCGGGCGCAGCACTCCCACACCTGATTCAATTGTTCTTCAGGCGAACCAGCCCTCGCCAGCTGTACAGCCAAGCGAGCAATAACCGTGGCATCAGCTCGGCCGGGTCATAGACCCTGCATATCGCCCAATCTAGCAGCACGATAATACCACCTCGAAAAGAGTCTGGACTCTCTGCTCTGGCCATCTGCATTATCTGGCATCGGCCTTGCTTCTGCGGCCGCCCGCGCAGTCTGCACGAACCAACCCGGGTCCTTGATAGCAGAATACAGAAATCATACACCGACCTACAGTAGTTGCAAGCCGAGGCTGGGAGACAGGCGAGTCTAATCAACGACTCTTTACTGAGTCGAGCCCTGCGCGCCGGAGCTGGCGAGTCAGGGTTTCCGGTTTCCCTCCCTCCGGCGGCGGCGTAGACTGACTAGCACTGCCGGAGCACACATCCTTTCTTGTAATAAACCATTCCCAGCATGCGACACACTGCCTCGAGTCTCGCCGCTCACAAGGCGTGCTTGTAAGCCGGTCCTCGGTCTCGTTCAGCTGGCCGAGACTCACCCCCCTCCCCTGTCTGTCTGTGTGTAGCGTATAATTAAGCTTGTCGGCAGGTGTGTTTGCGCTGGCATCGCAGAAACCAGACACAAGGGCCGAGACCTGCCTAGCCGAGCCGGCCATGTGTCGAGCGGCCGGTAAGACCGTCCAAAAGCCCACGGAGCCCAGGCCGCACTAATGAGTGCCAGCTCCGGTCCCTTGCATTGTCGTGTATTGGGAGGGGGCATATTGTTTGTTTGTTGCTCTAGCTTCGATATTAAGGTTTTCTCTACCTACCATGAACGGATACCGGCCACATCACACATACAGAAAAGACACTCGCCCAGGGCTGATAAACCTGCCTGCCGGAAAGCCATGTGCCTGCCAAGACCGCGCGCCTCCGTGGGCCACCACCACGTCCACCACTTTACGCAGTAATTGAGTTTTGCGCAACCCGGTCAGTTTGGGCAACGCCTCGTCCCAAGACCCCCCCAAAAACCACGCCGGTCGACGATCTTCCGCACGCCTCCAGGTCCCGCGTCAAGCCTCCTTCTCGGAGCGCCCGTGTGGCTAGCCAATCATATAGTGCTATTGTCCTCATGTGCGGTCGATTGTGGGCCATTGGGGCCGCCGTGGCTTTGTGCGCCATGCCCTCCCTCCGCGCGGCAGGTGGGCTAGCAAACACCGAGGAGGAGCGCCCATCAGCTAGTGTGAGCAAAGCCGTAAATGGACAATGTGTATGTGTTGCATGTTCCTTTTCTTTTCCACGAGGGCAAGACAAAACAACATCGCGATCGCTTTGCAGTAGTCATCGGGCCCCCGGTGTGCGAGAGGCCTCATCGCGTTCCCACGGGCTTCAGCCACCCCTCCGAATGGCTTTGTAGTCCGCCTGGGATCCGCTTGTGGCTGTTTTGTCGTGGACAGCCCCGGTGTACCTGGCCTGCAGCTCTCAGCTCAGCCCAGCTCAGCCCAGCTCAGCTGAACCGTTATCTAGGCCATTTAGCCGCGAATCATCATCATCATCATCATCAATCATCATACGAGGGGATCACGATTGCGCGGTGCTCATCACCGGTAGCTGCATGGTTTGCTGGGTCTCTCTCTCTCTCTCTCCCCGGCACCGAGGAAGAAGCAACATGCACGCAACTGTGCGTCCCGTGGCGCACCACACGGCTGGTGAAGAAGCATGGGGTACCTAGCCCTGCTCAGCTCAACCAAAGGGGGGGGGGGGAGGATCTGCGGCCGAGCCAACAAAAAACAAGCTGACCGTGTTCCTTGACTTTGATATCGTCTCTGTGATAGTACTGCTTTCCTGACTGGAGTAGCACCTGGCGGCGCTCAGCTCACGAGCCGCATACCGAATGCGAGAGGGTGGTTTACCTTGCCTGTCAAATGTTTTGAGTGATACGCAGGGGTGGTGGGGTCCCTTTGGAACTGAGTGCCCTATCCAAAATACCCTTATGAGGTGACGAAAGAGACGAGGCTGAAGAGACAAAAGCACACTTGCTGCTCTTGGCTCTCATATTCCAAGCCTACACATGCTATGCCAAGAGGGAAAAGGAACCAACACGTTCAAGTTACCACGCCCGCGGCGCTGGGAACGAGGCCTTACGTACTTGGGGGCTGTGGGCGAGTCAGGAAACAAGCAAGCCCGCAGTCTTGCTGACCGAGTACTGTAGCGCATGTCGCTAACAAAGGCCCAGCAGCAGCGCCGCCCGCCCACCACCACCACCAAACGCTTTTCAGCTCGGCAGGGGATTTTGTTTCGAGAGGACTTAGACGACTGCCCCCCCCCCCCCCAGCCAGCACACGCGCTACAAACAGTGGCTTTGGGAGAGCGACTAGGCCTCGCTCGCATTCATTCCGACACGGGTTTTCTCCGCGCCGGCTGTGGCTGTCGTGTACGGAGTATGTATGCGCATGCGTGCGCGTGGCTGTTATGGCTTCGGGCGCCATTGTAGGAGTGTGCATCGGCGCTGAAACAAAAAACGGGCATGGGCAGGCCGAGCAAAATGGTACAAAGGACTACATCGTGGGAGGGCGTGGAGGCTGGCCGGTAATGACTCGTCACATGCGAAGCCGGCAGAGTGAAAAACCTCACTTCCTTTTTCTTTTCTTGTTGTCATCACCCACTATTAACCCGGAACCCGACGCTCTGGTTCCTGTCTGACCCACGGCCCAATACCAAGCTGGTGGGATCCATGAAAAAGGATCTCTTGGTGGGGGGAGGAGGAGGGAGAGGGAGGCCTTGTTTTGTGGAACACCAAGCTTGCCGTGTGGTGGTGCATTGCTGACGCTGCTGTGTCTCGAGATGTTTCGAGAATGCAGAGTTGAGGGCGAGGAGAGAAGCTGACTGATACACTCCGGAAATGGGGATCTCCAGAGATCGGTGCCTTGCGAAACACCGCCCGCCGCAGCAGCCATGTGGCAAAAGCGACGGAGAGACCCTCCCCAAATTCTCCACGTGTACCTGAATCGTGGGCCAGGCCAGGTACCGGTTGCCTGAAGAAGACGAGCGGAGTACTCTACGTACCACCCACCCACCCCGTGTTCCTGCAGGAAAAGGTCGAGATCGTCGTCCGCCACTGGCCAATCCAGCCCGTCGGGACCAGCTAACGAATGCAGCTTGGAACCAATTCATTTCCATATGTGTGTGTGTGTGTGCGGAGTGAACAGCCATGTTCAGCAGATTTCATGACAACGGCGGCGAAGGGGGGATGGGGGCCACTAACGAGACCCGTGTCGAGCGAGAGCGAGCGAACAGCCGGGCAGAAAGAAGAAAAAATCCCCCCATTCCCGGAGCGCCCGAAGCTGGGCTCACTCGGGGAAGGAAGAAAAAAAAAGGTCCAATGCTACCCGCTTTTTCCTTCTGGAAGCAACGGGTTGGCACGTGCGTCGCTGCGAGGCGTTCGCTAGCTGGCCCCTCCTCATTTCCCAGCACGTGTGTGTTGTCCCATGTGGGCAGACACACACACACCCCCCGGAAGTAAAACTGCATCGTCGTCACACAGGCTCCGTGCGTCTGCGACAAGTCTCGGAGAACGTACCCACCGCAGGCCCAATTTGAGTAAAGTGATGCTTCGGACATGCCATCACTAGGAGCAGGGGATTCAGGGTCCAGGGGTTAGGGGGAGGCGTGGAATGATAATTACAGATCGAGCCCGGCCCAGCAAGAGAGAGAGAGAATTAGCACAGACACACGACGGCGACGACGACGAGGACGTGCACCGCGAGCGACAAAAAGAGGCAGCCGGCTGCCGAAGATCGATGAGATTTGCCTGTCCATATTCCGAAAACGGCAACACGGCCTTGGGCTGAAACAAAGGCCACAGCTGCGATGTGCCGCTACGACATGGGGTGCTTCTGCCGCTCTTTTTGTCGCCTCCCAATCTTATTTGTCGCCTCCTCCCACTTCGCACTAAAAGCAGGGGTCCAATGAGCTTGACAAGCTGGGAAAAAAGACTCGTGGCGTGTCCAATGCGGCGGCAGAGAAACGTGGAGTCAATGACGAACCGGCCGATCGTTCTTGTCCAGCAGCCAAAGTCGTCTCATGTGTGCAGCCGAGGTTGCATTCACAGGCCGGCTTTGTCGCGAAACACTCCAGAGCCCTGCCTGCTTTTGCAAAGGTACATTTCCAGACAGGAGCCATGTCCTCTGCCTGGGCGTTATGCAAAGCTACAGCATTATTGTGGATTAAATTATGAGACTCTTTCGCCCACGTCGTCCATCAGACACCGCCCCCCCCTGGCCCGCCCCCAACAACAAGACCACGCATCAGAAGCTTGAGCCTCAGCGTAGAACTTTTCTGGAAGGAAATCTAAAACGTGCGCAGGGGGTTTTGTAGGGGCTGGTGGGCGTTGCATGACCGTCATCATCAGTCGTGGTCTCAAAGAGCCGGGGTCCCCTCTTGCGTTGTTGTCCAATCGCACGCCGCATCGCCTTTGTCCATGCCGCTTGACCGCTCCGAACCGCTTGACCGCTCAGCGAGGGAAAAGATGGCGGCATTTGGGCCGAATGCCGACGGACCAAGCAGCAGCTCCAGGCAGATCCCCGGACACAAGAGAGACGAGTCGAGGGTGTCTGACTGATGCTCGAGGGTGCACAGACAATGGCACGCACGCATGCACGTACTCCCAGGGCAGGACCCCTGAAAATGATGAAAAGGGTCGGGCACAGCTTCGGATGGCAGCTGGGCCCCGCCCTCCGTGCGTTGCTTTAGAATGTTCCGTGGCGGCGCCGACCGACCGACCGAGTGAATGACACTGACCGCCGCTTCCTTCGGCAGCCAGGAACTGCCGAAATGTTGCCTTGACCAGACTGTGATCCTGCCGGATCGTGTGTCCCTCTTCCTCCTCCTCCTCTTGAGCGGATTCGCATGTATGTAACGTGTGTTGTCTTTCCAATCCTGCCTGTGCGTACCGCACGCCCCAAGACGCATTGATGTTTGCAACGCGTGTAATGCATCAACTCATGACGGGGTCTGGTTGTGCCAGCGTGTCCTCTTCATTCCAGTGAGTGTAATGCAATATCCGCAGACAGAGCACGCTCCATCACCATCATCTCAAAGCACGAACCACCCCAGCAAATGAGCATCTCACCAAAACCCATCCCCACAAAGCCCTGCCTCCCCCCCTGCCCAGCCAATCCGGTTTTACCGAGGGAAATTGAAAATCAAGCAAACAGTGAAATGCGGCTCTTGCTGCTGCTGCTGCGCCTCTGCCGAAGCTCCCATGCCATGTCATGCCATGCCATGCCATGCCCATGCGATTACCACAATCCGCACAAATATCGCGCCAGGGGGTCTGTCTTGTCTCTCTGCGTTGTCCCCACCTATTTCTCATCTAATAGACTAGTCGCGCGATTCCGTATGTATGTGGTTGACGACCGTTTGACCTAGCTCGGATCGGGCGTGTGGCAGCCCGAAGCTCCGGAAATGAACCCCTACGCAGTACACAGTAATTCATCACACCACAACCCGCAGAACTTCTAACCGCCGCGCGCCGCGCCAGTGGTGTCGCTAGCTAAAGCGTACGTTACTTCACCCTGGGTTCAGGGCTTGTCTGATGTCGGCATATGCATGGCATGGAGGCACTAATACTTTTCCTGCAGTGCATTGCAGAAAGGAGCCTAGCTTCCGGGAAGAGGCAGAGTCAGGAACCCTGACTGAACCTACGTGTAAGTTGCCGCAGTGCGTCAACAGCGGTGATTTACAGTTTTGTCTTGATGCGCGCAAGAGACGCGGAGACATGCGCGCGCGCCCGCCTGCAACTTCCGCCTTTGGTTGGCGTCCCAAAAGGGCACCGAACAAGGGGAAAAAACAGAGTTCCGCGTCTTTTTCTTCTCGGAAAGCCAAATCGACAAACCCCGTCTTCGTAGCGAGTTTCGACAATGAAATAGCTTCCCCCTTCTTTTGATCGTGTACCTTTTCCTCCCAGAAGCACCAAGTTAGCGCGAATCTTAAGTAATACGGCCGCGCAACCTGGAATACGAACCACCATATACACACACTTGGCGATGACGAGGCGGCACGGGAATGGGAACCCCTGATCTTAGAACCCCCCCCCCCCTTTCTCCAATCTCCAAGAATAGCTCCCAAAAGAAGGTTCTCGGAGAATGCACTTTTAGGGACCAGATTAGTAGAGAGCCCCCTTCGCTCAGATACTGAAACTCCTCTCGCTCGCTCACTATTATGGCACTATACTCAATTCAAGCTTGGCAATTTTAAACATCCGCCACCAGGCCTTCCAAAACACACCGGCGCGCGTGCGTGCGCGGCGGGCCGCGCATACCACACCCGAGGCACACCACCACCACCACCACCACACATTACGAGAGGCCATAAACGCGGTGTGTAAATGGCCATGAGACTAAGCCACCCGCCCGCCTCTCATTTCATCTCAACCCCCCCTCCCCTTTTAGTTCCCTTTCCCGAGATGGCGGCCCATTGTCTTTTTTTCCATCTGCCGCGAGGCGGCGGCGGCGGCGGTGGGAAAGGAAATAACAACAAAGGGGACTCAGGGTCCTTGCCGCACTTACTAGTGTTAGTGCCCATCACACTAACAGAGCACATGATATGACACGACACGACCAAAAATTAAAAAAACGATGCGTTGTCAAATTTGAATGGCGCTTCCTAAATCCATACCCCTCCATACCCACCCCCTCATGTGCCGCAGAATGCCCCTTGTAAACAGCATCCCGTCATACAATACTAGACGCTTCAAGTGATGCTAGAGGGGGAACTCTGTGGCGCCCCGCGGCGCCCCAGCGGGACAATGTGACACCGCCTTTTCCCATTTCCATAATTTTTTTCATTGGGCGCCTTTCCTGCCAAGGGCTTCTGCGTGTATGTGCCGCAGACGTGCGGCAGTGGATCTTTCCCAGCACTCTTAACACAACGTCCACATGGTCACATGCCAAGCTGTGTCAGTCATGCATGCCATATTCCAACAAGAACCCAACCGTGAACACCAAAGGTGGGGATGGGGGAGGGGAGAGGGGAAACTCCATCGCGAGGCCCCAATAATTAGCCGACAAAGAATATCGCATCGCTATGCACGCCTTCGGCCAACCTCGAAACCCAACGTGGGGCCCACGAGAACTGCAAGAGAGAGAGAGGCCAGCTCAAGCAGCGGGACTTCGGGATGCGGATGAGCGCGAAAATCCCCTCATCGCACGGCACGGCAGCGTCGTGCGCACTCGTGCTCCGCCGTCCGCAAACCGGTGATTAGCTTCGGCTTCGGTCACATCCCCAAACGAGAGCCTGTAACGGCATCGTGAGCAGTTTTCCCCCTCAAGGTTCAGGTGGGGGGAAAGCGCGCGCGCCGTTAGATGTCTCGTAATTTGCACGCGAACCTCCGAACCCGCCGGGTTTCGGGCCCTGTAATGCGAAATCCTGCGTCGAAGGCCTGTCCTTGTCTCCGGTTTGGGTCTTGGGGGTTTGAGGCTCGGCACATTACTGATCCACGTCGTGTGTGGACTTGTGACGATGCTCACCCGCGGGTGTCGTAAAGCACTCAACCCACGCCTGCACGCACGGCAGATGCGGCGCCAAGTTCACATGCAATCATACATGGAACCGAGCAGGATGCAAAAAAAGGAATTGTGTGGGAACAAAGCTGGCTGTGCCCCACTTGAGCAACGAGGTCGACAATCTCCACAGAAGAAGCAAGAGAAGGAAAAAGCGGATTATGTGCTCACCGTCCTGTACCCGTACCCACGAGAGCCCACAAGAATAGCCGCTGGGTCACCAACACATCATTGCTGCCCCAAGTTGTCCTGCACGATCGGGTGGGGGCGGTTGGTCGCACTCTGTCGTCATCTTTTGTCGTGGTTGGCTCTCAATGCTGAGCTGCCTCGACTCGTTGCCGCAGACTGTGGTTCCTTCTTGGATATCGAATGGACAATTCGGTCTTGTCGTCTCGGACAGCGTACCCCGAGTACCAGAACGGGCAGACTCGTGTGTAGGAACCAGTCATCGTCCCAGCTTTCCCAGCATGTCGGTTGGTGTTGCCATGCCCACAGCACGATCACCTGCGTCAAGGCCCAACTCGGGACGCTAATGTTCCCAGCCAGCAGGATGCATGCATGCACGGCATGCCCTGCCCTGTCCTGCCCGCTAGCAGAGAATGACTCACTGACTGACCTCTGCTCGCTGATGCTCCCACAGAACCTGGTCTGGTTGGATGTAGGGCTGTGCCTGCTCATCAACCCCTGGTCGCCATGGGGTGAACGAATCAAGTAAGCAGGAGCGTCATGACGTGAGCCCAAAGAGGATTTTCTTGTGCGCCCGTGAACACGATGAGCCCGCACAGGGATCATGGCCTGCTCGAGGATCCAACGTCTCTGGCGTCGAAATGAGCCACACGTTTGTCATCTGGCGGTCTGGTAGACCAGGTTGTGGGACCCAGCCATGGGATTCGTCCATGGTTGAAGACACAACGAAAAGCTCTGGCAGTCGACCAATCAGTGTCCAGTTCCTGCAGACTGTCAGAAAGGAAATACGGATGCCTGGCTGAGAGCAATACTCCGCCGTGCCTGGTCTCGAACACAATGTGCGCCCATGACACACTCTCCCGAGATTTGACAAGCCACCGCCACGTCGTTAGCACGGCAGTTGTCGTGCGACACCGCTTGGCTGCGCTACCCCTCGATTTTGAGATGGCGGGTTTCGGTCGCGGCAATCAACCTTAATCGGCCTTTGCAGTCGTCATGATCCGCATCCTCCGGACTGAAGGGCTCGTACCTGAGCCGAAACTCCGGGTTATGGTTCGAGTTCATGTCCGAGGCCATGCCTCATTGGGGCAACCACGAGTGAACAATACGGCTAGCAGAGCGCTGGCCGACCCGCGTGTCGGGAGAACAGACTTTGGGCCGACTTAAACTCTGTGGGTGTCACAGGTTGCTCCTGCATCGTAGCATCCAGACTTTCTGACTTTACCAACGTGGATTTAGCTTCCTTTGCCGTGCCGATCCAGGTCAACTGGTTACCGAGGCGCCGGATGCGCGGGCAGGCTTGTTCATAGGAACACGTCTGCCCATAGCGGTGTCGTCAGCTCCATTTGCGCTCCGATGCCACGGAAGCCTGATCTTCACGTCAATGGGTTTGATGTCGCGGAGGTATGCCATGTTTGACTGTGGCAAGTCAGGGCCCTTGTCTGCCAATGGGGCAGCTGAGCTTGAAACCCCGGACACCCTGCCGACTGAGGACCTGGACTGGCAAACTGGCAAGATCAGTCAGACACAATGCAACACCGCACAGCCTGGCTGAATAATTTATTGCACCTCGGCCTCCGGGCATAAGCATGGGCATCAGATTGTTGTAGTAATGTTGAGGGGACCAGACCGCGTGCATGGTTGAGAATTGTGCGGCCTAGGCCATTGTGGTCGTTGCCAAAAGAAGGGTTCCAGGTCCAGGTTGATATTGGTCACACTAGTGAGGCGTCCCGACTCTGTCGCTATGTGCATAGCGGTCGAAAGGCTAAATCCCAGCTGGAAGGGACAATATTGCTGACCGCAAGTGAGGAGAGAGCGTGAGTGAGTCCCACTATTCGCAGTATTACAATCTGGACGGTGCATTAGCGCTGGGATGCCATGAAGAGACGGGTGGCCCTGCTCATCTCTGCCGTGGAGACGCCTGAAGTTGCCTTGGAACGAGGCCCCTGCCACCCCTTTCTGCACGATATCCACTCGTTCTATGAAGATTCTACGGCCCATCCCTGCCGGGCATAGGTGGCTCATCTCCGCAGGTTCCCAAGCATGGCAGCGACGCTCGCTCAGCGCAGCGTCATAGCCGGCTCGAGCGCGCGCTGATCCTGATCGTGTCGAGGCAGTAGCTCGCCGGCGCCTGGTGCACCCTGACGATCCACGGACCGCTCGGCGTGTAAAGGCGTCGGGACACGAAAAAAAAAGTTTATGAGGATACGAGGGCTGTTTTGGTGGTAAGCGTGTTTACGGGACATCGGGTCGGACGAGGCGTCGTCGACGCCAGCCCGGGACGACATTGAGACATGTTCAGGATGAACTGGACAGACGGACGGACGGCAGGCAGGCCATGGCCAGGCTGGCTGGCTGGCTGGCTGATGCGACGGGCATGGGAGCAAGGCAGGACAGGCAGACAGGCTCAGTGGGTGCTGGGTGCCTGAGAGGAGGGTGTGTGGCTGGCCAGGCGGAAGGGCGTGGTCGTGGGCGATGACGGGGGGGTGGGAAGGCGCAGAGGGGCGTGTGCGCGGGAGTGGGGTGCGGCGTGTTTCACGGGCGGGGGGTGCGTCACTGCTGGTATTTTGGGCCCGCCGGCGCTGGCAGGCCAGGTACATGTCTCAGCAGGTACTCCCCTGGCTCCACCCCTGCCCTGGCGGTGTGCCTCTGCTAATTACCGGCCCACAGCCATGAGGTGTACCGCCATCATCGCTGCTCGGCCGCCGCCAGCGCAAAGTGCCTGCCTGCCGTGGGCCAGTATCGCAACCACCACCACCACCACAGCCGGCTCGCGCCTACATATATCGTCCCAGCCCGTCCGCCTCTTCCGACCCCTCTGCTCTCTCGATTCCCAACCACAGCAATCACCAAGCCTCAGCAACTCAGCAGTCTATTACTACTACCACCGCTACATCCAACCATCCAGCAATATATCAAGTCCACCTTCCAAGGCTTAGCCAACAACAACAACCACTCTCCACTACCAAGTCGTCATACCCACGTCGACTTACACCAACAAACAACCAAGCCAACTTCCAGTTCGCAACACACAAAACCGTCGCAATGGCCGCCACATCCTTCTTCGACCTGCCCGAGCAGCGCCCCTCGCAGCTCCCTCCCTGCCCTGGCCCTCCCCCGAACCGCCCTCTGCCTCCTCTTCCCAAGAGCGGTTAAGCAGTTGGCATTCCACCAGGGGCAATACCTCAAGAACACGACCACCAGAACACTATGCAACTCTCATGGCGGCATCGCTTGGGCTACTACCATTCGTCACACTACCATTGAGTGACGCCATGACAGCAAACCCGGCAATACAATGGCACCGGCTCTAATACACATTGTCCACAACGCCTGCCTGCCTGTCTGCCTGCCGCGGCTACCTCGCTGCCATCGGCACACCTCTACGGCGGCAGCTTGCGCCCGCCGCGTCTTCTCGACATGGCTGCGATGGGCCTCAGAATCCATCCGGCGCATCTCTGCTCGCTCGCCTCCGGCACCCAAATACTTCCCCCCACGAGAGCTGGTCCCTCTGGGACTCTGCTTCGACCTCCCCTGCCTGCCTTACCAGCACGCAGCACACCATCGTCTTACTACACACACACACACATTTAATAGGCGGCCTGCATACGACAACCAGCCGGAGCAGCCGCCGAGCATGAACACGGGTCTACTTGGGAGCACACATTGGAATTTTGGGGCCACTTTTGACACCCACACACACACATGTATCACTATTACAGAAAGCATGGCATTGGGTGGGGCGAACTATCACTACGGGACGGCGTCTTGTCTTTATATCACACATCATGTAAGGCGCCCCAGCACAGGCGTGACATTTGACATGTCGCGCCCTGCAGTCTGGCTTGCGACCTCGGGAAAGCAACGGGATACCCACAGGGAGGATAACATTTGGATTTTCTCATCACTTTTCATCGCGGGGAGCTGGCAATCGCCCTCCCAAGACTTAGGACATCAAATAATGAACGAGAGAGGCTTGCCTTTTGGCAGCCGCATTATTACCTGATCACACATTTTGTCTGCTCGGTTCTCCATGCTTTGTGTCTCACAGTGAACATGTCTAAGATAACAACAGCTCAACATGACAGGAGGATGGCCGAAAGAGTGGGCGGTTCTCGACATTCCTTCCGCGCGGATTCCCATTGATGTCTCAACCCGTGACAGACAAGGACAGCACACAGAAACATCTTGCACGCACCACCCCAGGAATGCGCAAAGGGTCCTCCTCCTGCCCCCTTACCCGTCCCCTAATTTCCCACCACATTCCAGTGTCTCTTAGAAGGCTTCGCTGCTCACAAACACACACACAAAAGACACCGCTACTTACACTTTCTTACAACAGAAAAAGTCCGACTTCTGACAGGCCGCAAATGATCTAGACTCCGCGCGTACGGCTCATTAAGCGCGTGCATGCCCGCCCGCCACTCCTGCATGCATGCATGCATGCATGGCACGGATGCACACGCACGCACACACGCACGCACACACGCACGCACACACCCGCGCGCACGTACTCAAAGCAAAGCAAAGCGAAGCGAGCATAGTCTACGCTCAAACAAAAGCTAAAACCCCCCGCAACGAAACAACCAAAAAGCTTATTGCTATGGAGGGGAAGGAGAGGGGGGGGAAAGGGGAGGAAGTGCGCTTGCGGGTCGGCGCATCCGCGAGTTTGACAGATTCAAGGACCCAATGGGCATCGACGGATACAAACGACGACACAGCGGACACAAACCCAAAACCCCTCCGCGATAGCGACATGCCGGCGTGCCGCACACCGACTCTTCGGTATACTTGACTTCCAATTGCTCTGGGAGGACAAGGCTCTTGGCATCTGGTGGTAAAATTGAACTTGCCGCCGAGTCGCTGCAGTAGTAGCAGGAGTGCTGCTGAATCTCAGGATACACTCTTCAGCTAGGAACTTTGACGGCCAGCCCGAATGTCTCAGACACCAATACCGGTCCACAGCGGTGGCGACCAATGTCGCTCTCCGTGCTGTCAATGTCTCAGCCCACCAGGAGGGCCACAGAGAGAGACACGCACGACGTAGAGTTTGGGTCCAGGGGGAAACAAACGCATCCAGGAACCAGGGACCACCAACTGACAGACCCGACTGCCCGAACGCAGAGTTGTGGCCCGTGGAGGGTGCAACATGTGTGACACCGGATCAAACAAGACAAGACAATTTGCATGTCTTGTTCTGGTTGCTCGTAAATTACCTGCACTCCGCACCACACCCTCCGCACCACACCCTCTGCTGCGGACACTTAAGCTGTGTTACCAGCGCTTCGGAACTGCCTTCCGATAAGCGAGTGGTCAGCATACTTGAGACTAGAGGACGTCGAGGCTCGAGCGCACTCGCAACACACACACATACATACATACACATAGCCCACGCCACGCTTATGGGTACCTCTTGACAACCCACAGCCTAGCTCATCGAGAGCCAGTCACGATTCCCGATCTCCCCGGGTGGTGGTCCGACCTTTAAGGGTGTGGTACTGTGCTGTGATGGGGAATTGTCATCAACGTGGCGTGGTGTGTGATGTGGATGCTCGGATGAACCCACAAGTGCTGACTTGGATGGGTCTCAGCCCTCTCTTTCTCCGACGACCAAACACCCTACACCGGCGAGATTAGTGACTTGGCCTGCCTTTGGTTTCTTCTGCTTCACCTCGGAGCGCCTGGGGTATTGGCTGTTCTCGGCACGCACCCGGTCGTAGCTAGCTCGGTTCTTGGGAGAGGGGCACCGGCATATTGTCGTTCAGGACGATTTGGCTTTCCTGCTTAGCCAGACGCCCTCAACAAGAAGATAGTCACCACCACCACCACCACCACCACTCCGCACGGACGAGCAATACACGAAGCGTCTGCTATGGTGCTACGCTGGGAGAGACAAGATGGTTAGAGCTGCCGAATCCCGCCTAGGCGTATAGCTGCGGCCCCTTTGTCTGTTCCGATTCGCCTAGCTTCCGGGGGCACGACCGCAGTCTTGCTTGCGTCGTCGTCATCGTGATCTTCTTGCTTCAGAGAGCATCTGGATCCCGGGTGTCAGTGTTAGAGGTGCCTGTTTAGGAGCTTCCCCTAGGCAGTCTTCTCCGACACTCGCGCCACTGGACTGGTATGCGAGCAAGTGCTGTCAGGCTTATGCGCAACCCTCTGCTGGCCGTTAGACGAGCAGAGTCCGTTCTGTTTCTTTGCCTTTAGCGTGGAAGATGGTCAGAGTCTACATTTCCTCGAGAGTCACGACCACGCTTGACGAGCCGAGCCACTCTGTCCTTGACTAGACCATGGCATGTAGCATATGGCTGCTGATGGACAAGGCTGGGCCCAGGCTCTAGACATCAGACTTGGAGACAGTCATTCAAGTGCACACCCGACCCTTTCTCAGCCCCGCATTGCCCAGCCAGCCGGATGGCTGGCTTTCGGCCCTGGCGATCAAAGTCTATTGTGCGTGTGCCAAGGCTGGTACCTAGCCTGTGCGCCGCTGGGTGGCGTAAGGAGCGCAACACAAAGGAGTCTTGTTGTTGCAATCTGTTGCGCCGAGAGGGTGTGCTCCGCATTGCCAGCTCCGAGCCCGGTGGTGATGGTTGCGTCCAGGGACTTCGGCGCAAGGCTGGGCAGGAAAGATTGTGGAGAAACGGCTGCAGGTCGTCCCAAGCACTGAATCCAGCCAAAACGCACGTCTTCTCCTCTGTGATCAAATAGGCGATGCCCAAACTGCAGCGTTGAATCTGCCAATCACCGACGATGTGCGTCGGAGAGCTGTCTCGCGTCCTTCACCAACGTGCGTTCGCTTGCTGGTAATTTCCCGATGGCCGTACTCAGCAAACAACACACTGAAGACAAGACGAGAGCGTTCAGTCCCTGGAACCACCGAAGTGACAACAGCAACTTCAGTGGGCAACGAATCGCCACATGAGGGCCTTGCCCAGACCACACTGCCGCCCCGGACACAGCCAGGCGGGCTGTCGTAGCCACACGAGCGCTGGCGCAAATGCTGTGCTTGGTTTTTGCTGGTGTCGTTGGCGCAGCACGGGGCAATCGCCTATGTAGACCAATCGTGTGGCTCGTTGTACGTGCCGTGTCTGCGACGCCATACACTCGGCGGCAGTGTACAAAAGCGAGTTGACAATGGCACAGAGGAGCCACAGCTCTTTTCATGTAACCCTGTGGCGTCCTCGCTTGTGCCTGAGCTCGAAAGACACCGAAAAAGGGTAGGGTGGTTCTGTCCAGCGCAGTGAGTGACGGCGTGCTTGTCAAGTTCGTGCCAGCCGCCAGGTCACGCGCCGGCACAAACTCAAAAAGGGCCTCTCCCTTGCCGCGGGCGACCCCTCAAAGTCAATCCACATCGCAATAATCTTGAAGCAGGAACACACTCGGACTTTGCCGGGCGTATGAGTGGGCTGGTTTGCGACGCCGGCGAGGCTGGTTCACCACACTCGCGAGAGTGATCACCATGCGGCTACACCGAATCAGGGAATCAGATCATCCAGACATGCATGCGTCGATCCGGGACTTAGCTGCCAGCTAAGAGGAAAATAGTCCTTGTCCCGCAGTCGGCTAGCTCTGATCTGAGACTGCATTGGTGCATGCCAAATGTGCAGGCAAAGATTACAGGACGGCTGCTGACAGCAGCGTGCTGCAGGCTGTGCTCCCTGCATATAGTTGCGTGACGGGACTGTCCATGTCACAGGACATTCCCGACCCCTTAAGGTTCGCATGGCAGGACATCACGCCACGGGTATCATGGCGATGCGAGAACAAAGAAGAGGTTTTTTAAGTCGCTGATCATCGGCTAGGCGCCTCTGGGGACGCATCGGCACTGCACGAGTCAAGCTGTCTTCTCCCATGAGACGTTACTTGCTACAGGCAAACGGTCGCCACCAGGAGCCCGCCAGTCGATGGCTGCGGGCGGAAACATCTCCGCAGAATTAAACATGGCTGAAACCGTGCGTTCGTGTCTGGCAAGGCCTCTATCCATACAAGCCTCCTAGGCGTCTTCCGGTGCGCGAGGCTGGAAGGACCTGGCAGCAAGGCTGCCATGTTCGCACTTCAGCGAATAGACTTTCAGCGCTCTGTCCGTTGGCGAACTCTCTTGGAGGTTAGCTCCGGTAGCTTATTGCATGGCTGGTCGCGCCGGCCTTGGAGGCGCGTGACGTTGGCGTTGGCTTGCGCGGATCAGGATATCGATAATGGTCTTAGTCGACAAAGCGGAGCCGTGGCATGCTGACAGCGGCTTTGGTTGAGTGAGTGGGCATCACACTTTACATACTCGAACATGCCGGATCGTGTCTTTAAGTCGCCGGCGTCTCGACAGTCTTCGCGGCCACACCTCTATCTTGGGGGCCGTCAGCTGCGCAGGGGTCTACGCCACGGTTGACAGCTTGACGCCCCCAGGAGGTGCTTGTTGATAATAGTCGTCAGTTTTTTGCATATCCCTTGAGTCGGTGCAACTCAAATCAATCGACAAGGGTCTTCGGTCGGCAGAACGACAGAGACAACTGCCGGATGCTGTCAGGATTGAAACTGACCAGGCAATGACATTGCTCTGGGCTCTTCCGAAACACCAGGTGAAGGGTCGCCAACGCCGTGATTCCCACCCCATCTAAATCGGGGCCGATGATGGTGGACCTTGCAGGTCTTGCCGAGCTCATAGCTTTCGAATTTTTCGCGCTTGCAACGATTCTTCGTCAAGCCTGACTCAAATCCCAGTAAGGGTTGAGACTTTAGGAACAAACGCCCCGGAAATGGCATAGTGGGTATTTGCAGAGCGCACCGACACGTGGGGTTGTCCCAGGTACCACTGGGTGTAGCCAATCCTGCGCACGGAAGCCCTGTATCAGTCACGGATGGGGAGTTGTTGGCTTTGACTCGCGCAAGCTACCGCTTTGGAACAGGTTTTCCACCGCAACGGGCCACCTGGCAGGGCAGACCGTCGATGCGCCCTTGTCCTTTAGTCATTGCGACCGCGACGTCAGATCTCGATTTCGTGTTGAAATCATACAACTGGGCGGTTGTGGGCCGCTTCGTGTTAGTGATGGGAGAGATTGTTCCTGTAGCATGCACCCTGGCACCTACCACGCACCACGGATATCGGCAGCATAGCCGAGAAAGCGTGCATGGCTGTCCAAGGACAATGCGCTGATGCTTACGACCGATAGTGGTGGCAGGTCTTGCTGGTGGGAGAAGTACAACGGCTCTTATTGGTAAGGCCACGACTTGGTGTGCAGTGCTCCCGCCCATCATGCCAGGTACCCCACGATCCAACATGTCTTGTGCTGCTCATGTCCGCTCTCTTTGAACCAGGAGAGGGCGTTGTCTTTTGAGTTGCCCAGATGATAGCAACACGGGAATGCGGGGTCCTGCTCAGGGCATTACTTGGTCTGACACTTGATGTGTTTCCGTTTTGTCACTCCGGCTGTCCTAGAATGCTTCAACCATGAGGACTGACCCTGATGTCGTTGGGCGTGTTGTCAGGGCTGGCGGCACGGTTGCCAAGGCCGAGGCGCGGTGGATCGCATGATTCCGCGACTGATGATGACGAAGCTGGAAACGTTGCTGTGCTCCACCATTCGTGCGATAGCCTGACAGAGCTAGTCACGTCAAGGACCCCGAGTCTTCACTTCAACGCATCGGGTCTGTCGGGACCGGGAAAGTTGGCAAGCGTGGTGCCGAAGATCCAGGATGTGGACGATGCATGGATGAGGTACTTCTTTGTCAAGTACCCTTTGGCGGTCGCGATGCGGCGGAGGGAGTACTGGTGGTGCTCGTGGTTGTCAGATTTGCGCACAATCACATGGCGCAGAACCTTGTTTTACCCTAGGCGGGAGGGCTAGCACATGATCCCCTCATATCCCAGTTTCGCCCACGCCCAACCGGTACTGCGACTGGGTTGGTGAGCGGATGGTAGGCCGAGCGTCGTATCATCGTGCTGTATGCGCTGGAAGAATCACAGGCAGGCGGAAACGAGCGGGCGGGGCTCTGCTCATGTCCGCTGGATAGCTGGCTCCATGTCCGCTGGTTCCGCTGTCGTGCATGTATCTGCCCACTGCTGCCGTCATTGGTCCACTGGATTGGATTTGGCTGTGATGGTTACAGCAGGCATGGTGCGCTTTCTTGCTTATTCGGCGGGACAACCTTGGTCCCTCGCCACCCCCTGGATCGCCCGAGCACGAGGGGTGTGCACGCAGGCTTGCCGACGGCTTTGCCTTCGTTGTCTATCGCTCCCCGCTTGCTGGGTTTTCACTGGCTGGCAGGGACCGATCGGGTAGTTGAATCGAGGTGTGTTTGCTCCGGGCCCATCGAGATGGTGGTCATTGTCTGTGCAACCGGCTAGAGAGCGGGCAGAGGCTTGTCGCTGACTGGAGCGATGGTGGTGATGGAGGCGGGGCTGGTGGTGACCACTACTGCGTCAGCCAGATGACTGGTTCGTTGGTGGGAGCAGTGGTTGGTCCAGTGGCAGGACGCGAGGCGCTAAGGGTTGATCACAAAGACGGCTTCCCCATGGCGACCGGAACGATTGCCATGCCGCGCGCCGATCGACGATGGGCAGTCACAGGAACACGAAGGCCATGCAACCGTTACGTCAGTGCTGGAGAGCCACATGGGGCAGCTGAAAGGCAGGTGGGGCAGCATGCGAGAAGTTGAAACGCACCAAGCCAGATGGGTTGGTCGCCCAGCAGCGGCCAGCTGGGGGTGCTTGTCTGCCAGCTGCCGGCAACGACGACCGCTAAATGTGCACAGAGCGTGGTCGATGGATGCAGAGCCGCAACTGCCAGCCAAGGCAGGTACTGGGCCGAATGGCATCAAGATATCTCGACATCCTCAATCTCGCAGTTCTTCGAGGCTCGAGTAAGCCCTCGAACGACAGATCGCCTCCTCGAGTCCCCTGATCGTCTTCGGAACCTGGCTTTCTCATCCCCAAGGGTCGTCTGCCGATCTCGTTGATCCCCTGCCCTTTCATCTTGCATCATCCATCAGTCACATTCCTCTGCCACCCCTGCTCACTGTATCATTCCAAGGTTCATCTTGAGCCGAGATCACCACCCAGCTGGTTGCCCAGATCGTCGACAACTGGCACGCACGATCTCAACTCGAAACAGCATCCTTGACAACGCCACCAAGGCTGGTATTGACTCACCGCCGTTCTTGCCCCGAGTCTCAACGTGCCTCGCCCATCTTCAGCCGTGTTTTGGATCAGCGAGTCCCTTTCTGTGGCTCAACACACCCAGCCATGGTCCTCGCTCTACACATATGGGGTCCAGCCTATGGCGAAGCCTCGATCGATCCAGACTGCTTGGCTGCAGCGGAATTGTTTCGCCATGTACTCCCACGTGATGCCTGGGTCCTCGTAGCCAGCAATGACGCCGCTCCTGAATCACATCGTACGTGCACATGTTGCCTTCAAGTTTTTTCCCCCCAGGATCTGCAGCATCCCATGTCTGCCTGCACCCATGAGATAAGTCGAGAGCCATTGTCTGACCCTTTCCGATTGCAGATACGCTGCCGGCTTTGGTGGATGACGAAGGCACATGGACTTCTGGGTACACAAACATAGTCCAATACCTCGCAAATCATGGCCTGTCCAGCATCGACAGTGACCTGACGCCACTTCAGACTGCAGACGCAGCAGCATGCACCGCGTACCTTTCCACACGAGGATCAGCCCTCCTCGCCCTGGCACTCTATGTGTCACATTCGGCTTGGGTTGGCATGACCCGCCCAGCGTACTCACAGCTCCTGCCCTTTCCCCTAACCTGGACGATACCGCCGTCCATACGCACCGCAGCCATTGAAAAGGTCGAACACTTAGGCTTGGGGCACCTGGCCGCCAGCGTGGACGACCTTGATGATCCGTCACTATCGAGTGGTAGCGGTGCCACCACCACGCCTACCGGCTTTCTTCAGCTTCCCGCTCGCTTCGGCCCCAGTAAGACGCTGCAGCCCGAGCAAACCGCCGCGATTAGGCTGCAGAGCTTAGCCGATGACTTCTTCGGCGTGGTTCAGGACTACGGAGCTGGCGGCGGCGGTCGCGCAGGCGGCAACAAGTTCCTCTTTGACCGTGATGAGCCTTCATCGACCGACTTTTTAATATTCGCATATCTCAAGCTCATGCGCGTGCAGACTCCTCAACCGTTTCTGCGGAACGCGCTGCAGAAGTCATTTCCCGGGCTGTGGTCATTCTCTGATCCGCCACACCTTGGCCAGTTTTCAAAACAACAACCAGTATCACCGCCCGAAGAGAGCGCTGCCACCGCCCAAGACTCTCCATCGTCTTTGCCGCCGTTTCCCTGGCAAGAACCCAGACCCCGCGGCCTAGCCGCCATCCTTGGCAGATTCGCAGACACCGCAATCGGGCATATCCCATCCGTCGGCCCGGGCTGGACACGCTTCCGCTACATGCAGCAATCTTCACAAGACCCGGCAAGCGCGCTGCAAGCCGCCTTCACAATCGGTGCGACAGGGACAGCCGCCGTCGCGGTCGGCGCTCTGGCTCTGTTCATCAGGAATCTCGCCCCGCTGGGCGCGGCAGTACATTCATTCGATGCGAGCACGTACCCTGTCCCTGCCTCCGAGCAACAGGATGCTGTTGATGGAGGAGAGGGTGCGAAGGGAGGCTTCCACAGATTCGGGAGCGACCTGGGCGCCATGCTGAACCATCTCCCTGACTTTGGCCCGACGGGCAAGGTCATCCCTTCCATGGCGGCGGGGACCACAGATAAGGTCTACGACAACGCGGTTGTCGAGGTTGATGTTGACGTGGAGCCTGTGCCTTTATTATCTGCGCGTGCAGGCTCAGTCGGTGTGGGGATGTAACAGAGTTTAATGTGAAGCATATCGTTCTGAGGCCCTTGCTGCATCGTGTGTGCCCGTAGTCTACATGTGGTTGTGCGTAGTACTTTGACATGCTGAAATGTCGATTCCCAGAGAAACAGCCCAGAGACAGAAGTACAAAAGGACAGTGTTTGCAAGCCGGGACATCAAGACCCCGAGAGAAGAGCGATTGCCAAACATGATGGAAGAAGATCTCAGACATGAAGCAGAGATCTTCCCAGAACCAGGCACACCAAAAGAAGCGCACAATCCAATCAAAGACGTACACATTCGCCCGTGAAGCAATCCCCCACTGCTCCCATGTACACGCTTCATGACACAACACAACACGTCGGCTTTATCCACAAGGCCGGTGCCGATCTCGCACGCGCCTCCGGTGCATTTATAAGGACGAGAAACTATGCAAATTGCATGCGGAAAACACTGAGGCAATGGCGCATCTCTTGAACGTTTCACATGCCGATCGGTGCTTCGTATCGCCTTGGCGCGTTGTGTGAAGAATTCCGAAGGGTCAGCAAGTCTGGCCTCATCACAGGAAATCTCTTGGACCTTTGCACCTGCTGTATCTCTAGATTCCGTTGTAGATCCGCTGAAGCTAAGATTGTCTGTGAATGAAGCCCCAAAGAAGTGTCCAGTCCCATCCTGTACGCCAACTCCAATGCCCAAGAAAATCAAAAACTAATGACGCCAGATATCCGTTGACTCTTGGCAAGGGGTCATCGCATAATACGGTACCAAGAAATAAGAATTCACAGCCTAAATCAAGCCCGTCAGAGAGGCAGGAGAACCTGACAGTGACAGCGACGAGAGTTGTCCCAACCAGAGCAACCACAGGTACCGCTTAGTACACGGTCACGGCACTGACGAAGCCATTCCTCAACACCTCGAACACGAGGCCAGGGAACCCGTACAGCGTCGTGGTCGAGTCCTCGTTGCCCCCGTCGAACTTGCGAGCTGCAACCCCGCCACTGCTGTCTTCCCAGCCACCGAGGAACTCGCAGCTGCTGCCGGGGCTGTCGCCCCATCCGCGGTTGAGCACCATGCCGCGCTGTCGCTGTCTTGCATCAGCTTCAGACGGATAGGTCGATTTCCACTCCTCCCGCAGTTGTCCCTCAATGTCGCTGAACTGGGTCTCCGAGTTGGCGATAGCACCCGCATCCAGCCCTGGGGACAATGTGAGGTAGGGAATTTCCCACCGGCAACGGCGATGGCGATTGAACGGGTAAGATCCTGGCACGTTTCCGTGCAGAATTACTTTTGTGGCTACAAGACGGTCTGTAGTGACTGGCTTGATCTCCTTTTCGGGAAACACCTGGAATCCGTTGGCCGCGGCCTGCTGTACTGACGGCGGTGTCCTCGAAGGGGTTGTGGGCAAAGAGATGAGAACGTCGAAGCCCAGGTAGAAGTAATTGTAGAAGCATTCGCCCGACACGTTGCCTGAAAAGTCGTCGTCGACAGCTTCGTCGCCGGAGTCGTCTGATCCGGTGACGCCGGAAGACTGGTCGGTATCGAGGAGGTCGTCCGGTCGCTTGTAGTCTCCACCGGACCGTGACCTGCTGTGGCTTGCAGTCCTCGTCTGGTGGATGTACATCCGCTGATCATTCTTGCGATATATGGCATCCGGCGGCCCGAGTTCCGCAACGAGGTCCTGTGGTGTCGTCTCTCCCAGAGTGATCCACATGGCCACACTTGTCCACTTTCTAAAGAGCTGCAGCTTTCCTCCACCGTGAATATGCACGCACGACACCTCATCGGGAACAACCTCCTTGCTTTTATTGAAGAGAAAGGTCGACTTTATGCTCGGCAGTACCTCGGTCCACAACGTGTCGCGCGCGTGCGCCCACGACTTGCCGCTGAAAATCGCGACGGAAGTGGCTGTCTGGCTTGCCGACGACGAGAGCAGGTTGACGACATCCTTGTCCGGGGAGTAGGCCGACTGCAAAAGAGGGAAGCTGAAGGCAACTCCGGGATATGAGAGTATGTATGTGCCGACGCCGCTCTGGTCGTCGGCCGCGGGCGGGATGTACTCGCCCGCATACGTGGGCCCAAAGAGCCGGTGATAGACGTTCTTGAATGCCGGGCCGGCGCCAGCAGAGCTGTCTCCACCGCCGGGCAGCGGAGAGGCGACGCCGCTCGAGGACGAGGTGGCAGGCTTGACAAGGTCTTTATCCTGGTACGAGATTCTGCTCTTTGTGAAGTCGAGCACCTCGACGAGGCGGAGGCGCTGCTCCGGGCCATCGAAGCGGAGGCGGATGCCGTTTGCGGGCAGGTTGAGGATGACAGGTTCGAGGACGGGCTGAGAGGGTTCGTATACGAGATCGAGCTTCGGGAAGCGTTGGGGCTCGGCCTTGAGGCGCGTGAGGATGTCGTGGAGAGAGGCGCCCAGGACTGTTGTCGCCGTGGTCAGCAAGCCGGGTCCTGTTTGGGCAGATAGCAGTGATGATACGCACTGAGAAAGCCCAAGCCCACGCCAGGGTGCAGCGTTGCGGTGAAGAGAGACATTTCCTGGCGGGTGTTGGGCAGGTGTTGAGACTACCGGTGTCGCTACCTCGAGTTAGGCAAAGCGGTTGTGAAGCTGTCGTGGCAGCCCAGGGGAGCTATCGCCATGTGCCGGGGTAGCTTTCGAGGTCGCACTAGCGCATCAGGTTGGGTGCCGTGAGAGCAGGCAAAATGTGAGCAAGTGTTTTGTGTTTCGCAGCTTACGGCGGACTTTGAAATGATCTGGATGCCCTGAAAAGACTCTCGTGGGCTGGCGTGTCAAGTTGCTGTGCAGAAGGGGCTGTGGGATGGAGGTGCCTGCGATGCGAGGTCATCTGCCCCTCAGTCGCGGGGCTGCGTGCGCATGGCGATCACGCGCCGGGCCGGACGTCATCTGCGGCAGGAGCGTCTGGGGGTGCGGACCCTGGGTGGGCTCCACTCCGTGGGTGGGCAGCCTCACTCGGTGCCTGGATTTCAAGGCTGACATCCAGCCGTGTACTTTCGCCAGCATGATTCCCTGGTCTCTCTTCTGTTACGAATTTAGATAAAAGCTAGAAAAGCCATCGCGAATCACGCATTTTCGAGCGCGACCACTGTTCTGGGCTTGGCAGGACAAATTGCCGTCATATTCTTTTCAGCTTGGTGGTGTTTCGCCTGCCTCGGTGAATGAGTCAACAGTCAGCCCCAGCAGTGCAGATCCACCAGCGACTCCATCGTGTCGTGCCTTTGTGTGTGTCGCCGGGAGAAGCCTTCTGTTTAGCGGCCCTGACCTTGCCATCCAGCTCGCCGAATACTTGAAGTTTGTCACAATCACCACTCTCATTATCCTCCTTCCATCACCATCTGACCACTTGCGCGCCAAGCTCCACCATGACGGCTTCAAGTCTGCTGTACGAACTACCCTGCTCCGCTGAGCAGCGGTGTCTCGACCGCTTTTCAATACTGCCTGACGCTGAAGAGCTCGAGGACGAAAACGGTGAGGTTCCTGTTTGGTACATATTACAGGAGATCCTCTCCACTATGCCAATCGCAGACAGTAAGCAGCTAGCAGAAATGCTCGAGACCATTGCAATCACGCTTCGAGGATCCACAGGCCCAGCTGGCGATTATGGGCTTCTGAGGGAGGTCATTGACGACAGGGCCACGGCCCACTACGGCGACTTCTTCCAGACCTGTTGGCCAAAGATAAAACATCTTGCTCTCGATATGCCAAGACTGTTTGAGGCTGGGACATTACAAGTACTTGGCTATAGCGCAACCGGCCAGCAATCTCCAAGTCAGTCCGTGCGGACCGGCGATGGCCAGGCGCTGGATTCTAGTCTCATGTTGTCTCGATGCAAAGTGGCTTGTATTCTGGCACATCAATTCCTTTGCACTCTGCGCGCCCCACTGCCACGAAGGGGCGACTACTTCGATTTTTCTATCTGGTTCTCGTCTCAGCAGAGACATCCTGAGGCGGCAAGGATATACCTGAACACACTATTCAAATATTTCTCAGATCTTCCCGACTGGCGCGATCAGGATTCAAAGCGCACGGAACCTAATAGTTCTGAGCATGAAACTGTCACTTATACCCTCAGAACTCTTGATCAGGCAGCACAGCACGACTACAACTCGCTACCATTATCCCCGATCAGAATTCAACAAGTCTCCGAGTATGACACAAGCCCAGAATTTCTCGGCATCACTCGGGGTGCAGCCGTCGTCTCTGCCAACAAGGTCATCGGCTTCGGCGAGTCGGCCACCCAGGAAGAAATCCACGTCGGCTGTTCGCCAGAGGCATGTCCCGCCGTACTGATTGTACCAGAGCTACAGCACAACCAGGTCTTGATTATTCGAGGTGTGGAAGCTGTGGCTAACATCGTCGGCCAGAGGCGGGGCATTCGTATGTCAGACTCCCAGGGCAAGCAGAGGAAGGTGGACTGGAGCCAGAGGACCATGCTCTTTATGGACGCCCTCGAGCTGGATATGCCAGAACAATACAACGACGAGAAGGACGAGAAAGGCGCGGGTGCACAATCTCATGCACAAGCCACACTGCCAGATCTTGTCCCGCAACATATGGAACGAGAGATCACAAAGGCACGCCTGGCCTTTTCGTCAGGTGTTTACAGTGAGATCATCAGTCCTCTCTGGGGCTGCGGTGCCTTCAATGGTGATCCCTTTGTCAAGGTCATCCAGCTCTGGGTGGCCGCTTCGACTAGTTCCACTGCGCCAGATTCTCCGAGAAAAGAGACGCTAGGTCTCCGAATAGTATGCGATGAAGGGCTTCGCGGTATCGCTACGGAGGTGACCAACGTTATCAACGTTATCAAAACGCATGTCAAATCTGTTGGTCAGTTGAGAAAGCTCTTGGACACAATCCCGAAACAAATAAAGCGAATGGAAACGGGTGTTTGGTTGATTGAGAATGTCGCAAGTCAGTCAGGGGGGCCTTCATAGCACCGTTATTAGTAGGAAAGACACGAGCCATTGATGGGATATCGACAGCAAGTAGCTCTTTGGAATAAATATTATGCCAGACAACGCAGCTGCGGATACTGCCGTGCTCGCAGACCACGCCAGTGAACGCGAATACGCAGCCTTGTTGATAGCCAATCAAGCCCCTGCCGAGCCCATCCGTAGTGTGTAACCATACTTGGTTCCATGCGTTCCACAGGCACACATGTGGGAACGGTCCCGAGGAGCCAGCTTGACATTAAGCCATAGCCATTCCGCGGCACATCCCGAGTCTTGGCCAAAGGGCTTATCTAGTCTGCCTGCTCTAAGCGAATAGTGCTTCCAGGCCCAGACTTGAACTCTGGTATCCATACAACTATCGCTAATGTTCCCCGAGCTCCGAAATTTCCTTAGCTCTCGGCTGTTCCAAACTCCGCGCCAACTCGATCAGTACCGAGACGGACTTTGACAACTAACGAACTTCAAGACCTGTCAAGAAACGTGGCTTGCGAGTCCGGCCAAACCCAAATCCATGGCCGGTCCGCGTCTGGGGTGATACAAAATTATGGAGCACTGCGGGTTAAGCTACACATGGATCACGTGGACCAAAATTTCCGGGAACCCCCCAGGCAAAATTGACATCGGCTAGAACTACCGATAGAGGGGGGGAAAAAGGCAGGCTCAAATATACTTTCGGAAAGTCTCACCCACTCTGAGGGACTATCCGAGCTATGTCTCGGAACGAGGTTTGCGCTATCGAAGACCCTTGTTCGCGCGCGCGATTACGGAGCGCGCGTGATGGCGTCATGATTGAGCTCCTTAGACGACCATATGGTCATGAGCCCGCGCAGGATACCGGTGAGGCATGGCGCTTCCGTGCGAGAAGGCAAGGGGCGCAAAACATGCCTCTTGAGGTGCTAGTCGCGCGGCCTGCGCAGCGGCCAGAGCTGAAAAGGCCTGCATATGATCATCTGCAAATTACGCGGCCGGGAGTGGTATGTTTGGACTTTCGTGTCGGCCTGACCACGAGTGCTTGCTATCCTGCCGCAAGAAGGCTTGGCGAGGTCGCTTCGTCCACCACTCAGGAACCCTTCCTGCGCCCCAACTGCATGAGATGCCCTGCATACGGGCCAGGTCCCGATGCCTTGGTTGGCTGCTACACCGTCCCGCCCCCTGCCAGCTTGGCATCGTCTGATGATGAACGACAATAGCTGCGCCCTTGGTCGCAGGCCGCCGCCCCCGCCAGACTTGTCAGAGTAAGCTCGTCATGTCAGACATGCTACCTTCTTCAAAGCAAGAAAGAAGGTAGCATGACTAGCCGACTCCAAGTGTCAGGCCGACCTCAGTATCAGACGTCAAAGCATATAGCACGTGGAGAAGCCCCCCTGTCAACAAGGGCGAAAGCTTGTCTGCCGGGCCAGAACGGCCCTTAATCTGCGAGCGCACTACTCACGCAGGGACAGCACGCAATCATCGCTCGGGATGCTCCGCCGTTCTGGGGGCAAATCGGCGCCTGTTTGCTTCGTTGCGGCCCTTGCTTTGATGAATAGGGGCGAGCAAACCTCTTTCTGTGAGTCAGCCAAGCCCGCCGGCTCGTGCGCTGTTGGATCCGGATTCTGTTACCGCCGGCCCCCAAGGACACAACCAACCGCATAACGCCCGGCGCTAACAATCTCACGATAAGTTGTGACCTTGCCTGAATTCTAATCATGGCCAGGGTTATCGCAGGGAGTTGGGGCTGAACTCACTTTCAGGCTTCTCGGAAAGCAGCTGCCAGGGTAGAAGAACTACTTTTTGCTACCGTGGAGGGCTTGGAGTCCCAGGCGTCCGCCCACGCTTGCCCAGGCAGGGCATGTGGTTCGCATGCAGATGCGGTTTGTTCGCACGGGATGCTTGGGCGTATATGATTGCTTCAGGTGGCGGCATTGTGTCGAGTCCCTGTCCCCCTGTATGCAGTCTTGACGGACATGCTTGACATCTGTGGTCGGACTTTCGCCCGTCTTGTGTTGTGGCTTTGCACACTGCATGCATTCACTTACTATACGCACGTTCCTTGCAAGATAACGAAATTGTTGCCAAGAGGACTTGCACATTCAACCAGGTTTGCACGCCACCAACAACTGCCTCCAACACAGTACCTCGCGGCGAGTTTTATTGCAGCAAGTTCTGTGATATAAGAGGGAGCAGGATTTCCCTTGAGATTTTGCACGGCAAAGTTCCCTAGGTCAACGGCCAAAACCAAACCAAGTGCCCACAACCTCTGACTATAGTATACTCGACCGATACAAAGACCGACACAGCTAAGGAGTAGTCTACACAATGGCGCCACGAATCGAATCAGAGGGCTTTCTGGTGATTCTCTTCGACTTCATCAAGCAACATCCGCTGGGCAGCATGTATGCCCTCGTGGGGCTGGTCATGGTTCTCATCATCTACTCGGTATACCGCTATGCATTACCTCGAGTTGACTCCAGAGAACCTCCACTGGTAAACCCCCGCATCCCTCTCATCGGTCACAATATCGCCCTCATCCGCGACGGCCCTGGGGCCTGGCTCAAGATTCAGTAAGATGCTATCCTCCCCGATGCGCATATATATGTATAGATGTACATTGCGTGAAACCCGAGAGTTTCATGGCAGGACTAACCGCCTTCACATTTCAGCAAGAAGCGCTCTCTCCCAATCGTCACTCTTCCAGTCCTCGGCGGCACCGGCAAGATATACATGACGACCAGCCCCAGCCTCATCACCGCGATGTTCGCCTCCCCGACGTTGCAGTTCACGCCGCTGCTGACGCCCATAGTCAAGCCGTTTGTCCAGCTCGGTCCGCAGCAGGCAAGGGACTTCGAGTCCGGCATGCTCCTGGGCTGGGTGCACTCGCTGCCGCGGATGTTGTCTTCCGGTGGAGCAGGGCGGGAGGTGACGGCCGCTGCTCTCGAAGATTTGCGTAAGCAGATTGGCGGCGCTGTTGGAGAGACACAGGTGGGACGAGGTGAGATTGAGGTTGCGGATATAGGGATGTGGATCAGAGACGTGGTTTCCCGCGCTCTGATCAAGGGCCTGATCGGTAACGTCCCGTGGGCCGAGGACAAGACTTTTATCCAAGCCTTCTGGTATGCCTTCCCGTCCTTTCCCCACGCATACATCCTGTTCCTCACGACTTATTGAAACTTACTCACCATGATATTGTTCCAACAACAGGGACCTTGAATGGGAACTCGACCACTTCTTGACCTCCCCCATCCCAGCGTGGACCGTACCAAGGGCGTTCAAGGCAAGAACCCACGTGCTCGACGTGCTTGAGGCATGGTTCACCTCCACCACCCCCACAACAACAACTCACAGTGAGGGATTTGGCCCGGGAGTTCTGTCCCCAGTGGCAGTGAAGCTCCTCTCCGCAGCCGACCCCCTGACACACTGGACGCCCCGGGACCGCGCGACGCTGCTGCTGTTCCTGATCCACGTCGCGCTGAGCAACGTCGTCCAGACCACCTGGTGGTTCTTTGCGCACGTATACTCAGACGCAAAGCTCGTCGCTGCTCTGCAGGATGAGGTCAAGGACGCGCTGGCTGCCACTAACACCACCGACACCACCGCCAACGCACTTGTAGATCTCACCCAGTCCACTTCCCAGTCCTGCCCGCTCCTCCGCGCCAGCCTGCTCGAGACCCAGCGCGTCGTCACCAGCACCCCGATCGTGCGGAGCGTGACCGCCGACACGATCATTTCCGACGGCAAGGGCGGGCGCGAGTACCTGCTGGAGAAGGGGGCGTTTGTGCTGGCGCCGCGGACGATTGTGCACAACGATGCGAAGCACTGGGGCGAGGACGCCGAGGAGTTTCAGCCTGAGCGGTTTCTCCCTCGTCAGCCTGCTGCTGCTGCTGCTACGACTACTACTTGTACTGTTGTGGGGAATGGTGCGAATGCTGAGAAAGGCCGCGATGGTGTCGTACGGGGCACGTTCATCCCGTTTGGCGGTGGCAGGGAGATCTGTCCGGTAAGTAGTAGAGGGGGTTTCATCAGAAAACGGCGCATTCCCCCCTTTCCCCCTTGGCCTACTATCAGCGCTTAAGATACTGACACTTAGACTGGTTAATTGCAGGGCCGCTACGTGGCAACTTCCACAGTCTTGGCCATGGTGGCCATGCTCCTCACCACTGTCGACATCAAAACGCGCAGAGATGCTCCGGTCAAGGTGCCCGGGCCGGGAAAGCTGCAGCTGACGACGGTGGTATGGCGGATCCCCCGGGAGACGAGCTGGCGAGGGAGCATCCAGTCGAGAAGGGGTTAAGCAGTCATTGAAATTTGGGGAAACTGGAAAAGCCGAAGGCCAAGTTGAAGCATCAAACGATAATAGCAGATGGGTTTGTGAGCAGTTTTGAGCTCGTAGACGGGCTTTAGCGATGTACGATGGCCGAATAGTTAGGAAGATGGATTCTCGCGTACGTAGGTTGTCAGTAAGTTGGATGATGGAGACTTCGAATATCTCTAGAGAGCAATTACTGTTCCCAAAGTAATGTTGAAAACTTCACGCCGTACGACGTGCTCCTCATCGACCCCAGCCACGATGGTCGTCCCTCCCGATGGCGGCCATGCCCAAAGAGGAAGGAGGCTTGGGCAGCCCCTGGGCTTCTCCACAGCGCCTAGCAGCAAGGTTATCTGCCTAGGCCCCGCAGATTCGCGCCATGATCTCATCGTCTGATCCTCCTCAGCTGGGCCCGGCGAAGCTGAGGTTCCTTGCATCTCGTGGCTTCAATTGGTCCCAAGAGGGTGGCCATGAATACAAATGCTTTGTGAGGGAAGGGCCTGATATCACCCAGGACTGTCAATCACCCTCCATGCCTCTCAATTGCTTCTTGTCCGGCTCTCGGACTGGTGTCCAACCTTGTCTTGTCCCATGAAAGCTGTGGAATGTGAAGAAGACGGTGGTCCGGACAACGGGGTGGCGTGTCCATTGTCAACATGCAAAGCACGCACCCTGAGTCGTAAAGCTTGTCACTCGACCAAGCAGTCCGAAGGAGGGTTTCCATGAGGTAATAAGCGGCACTCAACGCCCAGAAGATAACAACGGACAAATTATCCCGGGAAGACCTGCCCATCCTGGCCAACCATGGCCTGGTGCAGATCAACGGTCCGCATCCCCAACCACCGGGGAACCCCCCTCCACCTTGTCCCCGATATCGTCGGCGGCGCATCCTCTTCTCCGCACGCGCGATAACAGTTGCTAGCATCCCCGGGGATTTAAAGGGAATTTGTAAGCCCATCCCGGTGCAACTGGGGCTTTGTCACTCGCTCTTCTCCTCGCGAGACGGTTCACAGCTGGCTCCCTTCCTGCCATCACGAGGACACACGGAAGAAGCACCACCGCCATCATGTACTCGTCCCTACTCCAGCTGGTGGCCTTCACCACCACGGCCACCTTGCCGGCCTTGACCCTGGCCAAGTCGTGCGCCCGCCCGCCGCGCCTGGGCGCCGTCGCCTCCGAGACGACCATCTGCTCCAATGTGGGCATCGACATCCTGCACAAGCACCACGGCAACGCCGTCGACGCTGCCGTCGCCACCGTCCTCTGCAATGGCGTCGTCGCCATGTACCACTCCGGCCCCGGCGGCGGCTCCTTTGCACTGATCCGCAGCAAAACAGGCGAGTACGAGTTCATCGACTTCCGTGAAACGGCCCCCGCCGCGGCGTTCGAGGACATGTACAAGGAGGACGAGAACTTGAGTCTGTACGGCGGTCTGGCGAGGTGAGTAGCGTACCGTGACTGACTGACTGACTGACCTACGGCCGGCCTGCCTGCCTGCCCATGGCCTTTCTGGGATCAATGGGCTGACCACAGTCACAGCGGCGTCCCCGGCGAGCTGCGCGGCCTCGAGTACATGCACAACAAATACGGCTCCCTGCCGTGGGCCGACCTCGTGGCGCCCTCGATCAAGATCGCGCGCGAAGGGTGGACCGTTAACGAGGACCTGGTCAAGTACATGACGGGCGCCAGCTACCTCGTCACGGACCCGAACTGGGCCATCGACTTTGCGCCCAACGGCACGCTGCTGCAGCTCGGCGACACCATCACGCGCAAGCGCTACGCCGACTTCCTCGAGAGCATTGCCCAGGGCGGCGCGCAGGCCTTTTACACGGGCGAGAACGCCGAGTACATCATCGCCGAGCTCACCAAGCAGGGCGGCACCATGACCCTGGCGGACCTGGCCAACTACACGGTGGCGCCCCGGCCGACGCTCGACATCTCGTACAAGGGCTACAAGGTGACGAGCTGCAGCGCCCCGTCTTCCGGCAGTGTCGTGCTCTCGTCGCTCAAGATCACCGACGGGTACGCCGGGTTTGACGACCCGGCGCAGGTCAACATCTCGGCGCACCGGCTCGTCGAGAGCCTCAAGTGGGCGTACGGCCAGCGCGCCGAGCTCGGCGACCCGAGCTTCGTCCCCGGGCTGGACAAGTACCAGGCGTCGATGATCTCGGACGCGGCGGCGGCCGAGATCCGGTCGCGCATCTCGGACGTGCGCACGTTCAACACGTCCTACTACAACCCCAAGGGCCTCGAGAGCCTCGAGACGCCCGGCACGGCGCACTTTGCGACGGCCGACGCGAGCGGGATGGCGGTGAGCATGACCTCGACGGTGAACCTGATCTTTGGGTCGCGCGTCATGATCCCCGAGCTGGGGCTCGTCATGAACGACCAGATGAACGACTTTTCGATCCCGGGCAAGACCAACGCGTTCGGGTACCTGCCCAGCCCGGCCAACTTTGTGCGCCCGGGCAAGCGGCCGCTGAGCTCCATGTCGCCGTCGATTGTCGAGACGCCCGAGGGGAAGCTGTACTTTGTCATTGGCGCCGCGGGCGGGAGCCGCATCATCACGGCCAACATCCAGAACATCCACAACGTGCTGGACCTGGGCATGACGTCGGCGGCGGCGCTGCGGCGGCCGCGGCTGCACCACCAGCTGAGCCCGGAGGTGATCCAGTTCGAGTACACGTTTGACAACGGCACCGTGGCATTCCTCAAGGGCGTCGGGCACAATGTCACCTGGGTGGCGCCGGGGGCCAGCGCGGCCGAGGGCGTGAGGTTGCTGCCGAACGGGACCTTTGAGGCGGCTGGCGAGCCGCGGCTCAAGAACTCTGGCGGGTTTGCCATCTGAATGGGATGACGGCGGAGAGCCGCCAGCTTAATATTATATCCATCAAGTGGTTATACTTCGGCATGTAGATATTAATCGTAATTGCACAATCTAAACACGCGGATGTGGTGTAGACTGGAATGATCATCTTGGTGTCACTGTAGAAACGTTCCAGCAAGGGCAGTCACGACCCCCCGGCGCAGGACACGCGCCCCACTTGTGCCGCCAGCGCTGTCGGCGAGCAATCTCCAAATCTTTTTGCCAAACGGGACGGCGTCATGATTGAAACCTTGCAAACTGCCATCACCAACCACAATCACTGCACACGACCCCTTGTCGCCCAGTCCGATCGAGCCTTGCACCACGCAAGTGGACGCAGTTTAACATATTCGACACCCACAGCCGCTCCTGCCACGATGCAGCGAACCCTTCGAGCAGCGCAGCGCGCCGCCGCTTCCACCAAATCTGCCGCCACTGCCGCGAAAACGACCACCGCCGCCACCACCAGAGCAGCTCCTCTTCCATACGCGCCGCCACGACTACAACAAAATCACGTCGCCAGCTCTTATCCAGCACAGACACAACCGGCAGCACAGCCCACCCCTTCCCCTTCACCACAATCCGCGCCGACTCGACCGACGACGACGACGACGACGACACCGCCCCCCGTGGAAAAGGTACTGCCCGGCAGCCCCGCGTACAACCGCGCCGCGAGCAAGTACACGCGCGCCATGATTGCGATGCCGATCCTCCTGCTCACCTCGTACGTCCTGTACGGCCGGTTCCTGGGCGGCCAGGAGGAGAAGGTGTTGCCTGGTGCGGAGGGGCGGGCTGGCGGGCCAAAGCTGGTGGTTCTCGACAAGTGAATGTGCTGAAAGTAGCTTTCATATGGAGGACGCGGGCACGGCACTTCGAGATCCTCGTTGAAGCTACGTGGGCGGAGACAGTGGTTCCTTGCGGCAGCTGCGGACGTCTTCGCGATCTCAGGCAGGCGCTGCCGGCTTCCAGCACGGGGTGGCATGTCGCGTTGGCGATATGTCCCTGGCGGTCGTTGCAAAACTACGTCGTCGAACATTTGGGCCCGTCGTGCCGTGAGCATGCGGGGTATCGCAATGTGATGCAGCTTCAGAAGTCGTGCGATCGAACGGCCATTGCCTGGTTCTCGCCGCGCCGACACGCTGCACCCACTGACACTGTCCTGCCAGAAGCAATAGCAGGAGGCCGAGTGCGAGCACCAGTCAGTGGCTATCGACAAACACCCGCGCCGAGTTGGTGCCAATAAGCCATGGTGCTGGCAGCGGCATGTCCGGACACTACCAGTCTGCAAAGTGTAGCAGGACCGCGAGGATTATCGAAATCAGATTTGGCCAATGAGTCTGCCGAATGTTTGTAGAAGAGGCAGGAGCATCACTAGAAAACGAGGAATGACATTGCCAGTAGCAAAGCAACGGGCAGAATTATCCGCAGGGAACTGAGAGGAAAGTGGATCGCCTTCGAACCGGTAACCTGAATAGTGAACCACTGCGACTTGGGGACGCACGAAACCTTACTGTTGATAAATGTCATGAACCCTGTCTCAAGTGCCAAGGTGTGCCCGACCCCAAAGACGAGTGTGCTTTGTTACTGGATTTGCTGGCCGCCTCGGCTTAGCTGTGCGGAGAAGCTCTCGGCGCGCGCGCCGTTACAGCGCAGCCCCCCTACTTTTACGCCCTCCAGTAAGAGTGTAGGAGCGGGCCGCAAAGGTGTCCGGCGGATCCGGCATTGGAGACATGAATGGCGCAAGAGCTTCGATGACGTAAAAATGCTGATCAGAGAGAAACATGCCTGCGGGATTGAGTTTGCGGGGGAGCAGAAGCAAAAAGCAACAACAAATCATCTGTCCGCGGGGTACTTACTTTGTCCAGCACAGTTCTGTTCCCTTATAAACTTCACGCGCTACATCCATGGATGTGTTTTATTGAGCGCGACCGCTATCAGCACAACCATACAAGCTCAACCTCCACCACCTCCATCATATAAACAACACACCATCATCACCACAACAAAGCACAAGCACAACATGGCACCGCCGCACCACCACGTCCTCCTGATCGGCGGCTCCGGCAAGATCGCCAAGCTCCTCACCCCGCTGCTGCTCCAGCGCTCCTGGACCGTGACCAGCATGATCCGCAACCCGGACCAGGTCGGCGATCTGCAGAGGCTGGGTTCCGGTGGTGCGGGTGGCGGCAATGGAAAGCTCAACGTGCTGGTGCGCAGCGTCGAGGACGTTAAGAGCGTCGGCGATGCCAGGAGCATCCTCGACGAGGTCGGCGCCGACTACGTCGTGTGGAGCGCGGGCGCGGGCGGCAAGGGCCCGCCGGAGAGGGTGAGTATTTCCTGTCTCTTCTCGTTTCCCATTCTTCTTCCCACCTTTCAACAGCTTATCCCTGTCCGCTCTTGGATTTGAGCTTCTTGCATTTGATGAAACATGTCGCACGAACATATGTTTGCAGGGATTGGTGGTGCTAATACATGCTTCCTCTTCATAAAAGACATTCACAGTCGACCGCGACGCCGCATCGCATTTCATCCGCGCGGCCGCCGCCTCGCCGGCCGTGACGCGCTTCCTCATGGTGTCCTTCATCACCTCGCGCCTCGCCAAGCCCGCGTGGTGGTCAGCCGAGACCTTTGACCGCGCCATGGCTGATGTCAAGAAGGCCCTGCCGCGGTACTACGAGGCCAAGGTCGCCGCGGACGAGGTGCTCTACCGCGAGTCCGCTGCCAGCCGCGGGGATGGATTCGCGGGGATATGCCTGCGCCCTGGCACGCTGACGGATGAGCCCGCGGGCGAGGTCCGGCTGGGCAAGTTGCCGGTCGCGAGCGGGAATGTGAGCCGGGAGAGCGTCGCGCGGGTCGCGGCGGAGCTGCTGGCAAAGGACGGGGTCAAGAGCTGCTGGCTGGATCTGCTGGATGGCGAGGATGGCGCTGGGGAGGACATTAGTGCCGCGGTGGATAGGTGTGTCAGGGACGGGGTGGATTGTGCGGAGGGCGAGCCTTTTGCCGAGGTCTGATGTGGCTCGGTGCTGACCGAGAGCTGGGTGAAAAGTATATGCGCTTGGATAAGTTTTCTGGATGACAAAGTTCAAAGTGGAAATCTGCCGATGGTATTCATGTTAATGCTACCCGTATCTATTATGGACTGAATGTATCGTACTGGCGTGGCTGCACAAGATGTTGGCAGCTCTCGCCAACACTTTCATAATATGGAAACTGAAACAAAACAATCATTCAAGGTCAATTCTGTCATAAAGATTTGGCCGGATCGAGACCGCGAGATAATACGTATATTAGTTGCCCCTTTCGTCATTCTAGCCTAATCCACTGCCTCAATAGCATATGTGCAACCGATAATAACCCCTTCGTCCATCTGACGCTTTTGTCTGACCATCTTTTCCTTCATGCGGGCATATAGCGTCCATCACTCTACAGGTTGTGGCAATTGACGTTCTTGATGTGCTGCGGAGGCGAGACCTTGGCTTTCTGTATCGGGGTTGAAGAAGTGATGTCAGCATCGGAACCCATATCTTCTTTGGGTGATTCCACGGCTGGTGGCGCGCGCCAAGGCAAAGATTTGCCGACGCGCGTCAGTATGCGCAGTGGAAAGCCTAGGATCCGAACTCACTCCAGTACCCCTGACGGTGTACGTGCCCGACTTTGAGCCCGTGTATCGGCACTCGACGCCCTTGGGGCCTTTCTGTTTAATCTCGTGAATCGGCCATTCGGCAACTACCCAAAAGATTAGAGTCTGTCAGTAATAAAGCTCATTTCTTCCCGGGCAGACTGGAGGCTCGACCGACAGGACCCTTAACAAACAAAGAAACAAAACGCGGAATGATTTCAATCTGCTCTCCGAAGCGGACCCATTGCCCGAAAAAGGTGCACAGACTCGCGCAGTACTGCAGCCGATACCCTCCCCTGCCGATGAAGACTCTGCACACAGAGCGGACATGATAACAAGGGAAAATACTCACAGCCAGCAAAGTCCCACTTGCCCACCGTAAAGTCCGCCCTGCTGTCGCGGTTGTTGGCATCGGTGAACAGCGCAACGACGATACCATCACCAACGTCCTCCACGTCGGTAGCTGGGTCGGGGGATGCGACCGCGGTGGCGGCCACGCAGAGGAAGAAAGTGCTGAAGATCCGCATGATGGTGGTGGGATGTCGTCGAAGGAAGCAGGAGGCGATTGAACGAGTGTCGTGTGTGAGAGAGAGAAAGACAATGGAACATGTCCAGAACTGCTTGTACAAAAGGACCAAAGGATAAGGGAAGTGAAGGATGTCCTGGAATGGGTTTTCGACTCGGGCCCATGGCCTTGGTCTGACGTACTATATTGGCTCTTCACTAATCAAAAGCCTGAATCGAGCCAAGGAAACCCGGAGGCGGCCTCTTGTGGCATTTGACACCAGCTTGGAAGAATGTCCTTGACGTCTTTGCAATGGTATTGTCCGCATTCAAACACGACGAAACTAGTATAGCGTGCCCGCAGACCATGTCTCACTTACTTGTCTGCATACAAATAAGGTTGGCTGGCAATGTGTCCTTGGGTGGTGGGTCGTGCCATGAAAGGTCGCCGGAAACGGAATTGTCTCAGGTCACGTACTCCAAATCACTCGACGACTACCTTGGAATTGCTCTACCCTCATCATGATCGATTGACATACTGTGAGTCTCAATAGCCGCCGGCCTGCTCTGTCTTCAATCCCTAGCGGCGGGCCCTTCTCGCACCTCTGGCGTCCGTCTGTCCTCACGTAAAACACAATAAGGATCGGATGCCTATCATCAAGGTCTTTGCCCATTGTCGTGACATATGTGAACTGGGCACTCTGGGCAAAATTATTCCAAGTGTCCAGTAACCAGCCTGAAGCGGGGTGACTGGGGAGTACCACCACCACCGTGATGCGGCCCGTTCCCAAGCCTGGGTGGCCCACCGCCAAGCGGCTGGCGCGTGTGCACCTTCACCTCAAAGTCCATGTTCTCGGCCTCGCGCTTGCTCCAGCCGTGCAGCGGCATGTGCACGCGGACCTCGAGATGGTTCTGGCAGTTGGCGCAGCCCGAGACGTGCCAGCGGCTCAGGATGGCCTCGGTGCCGACGAGCACCTTGTCGCCACTGCCGTCGGCGGGCTTGGCCCACGCCGTCACCATGAACGAGCCGCCGATGTTTGCGCGGTTGATGTTGCTCACGGCCAGCACCGGCGCGGGCTCGTCCATCGGGTTCGGACCACCGGCGCCGGGGGCCGGGGTTGGCGCTCCGAGCTGTGGAGCTCCGCCGGGTTCGGGCATGGCGCCCAGGGCACCATGGTATTGGTACGAGTATCCCAGTTTAGTGATGTCCATGACGTCCCGCGAGGTCATTGGCGTGTTGCAACCGGGCTTCTTGAAGGGGTCTAAAGGACTGTCCAGGTTGAGCCAGGTGCCGCCAGCAACGCCAGGAGTAGGGCCCTGACTATCAACCGAGTTGGTTCCCGGGTACCCGTGGATGATGTCGAACGACTGCGCATGGCCAGTCCTGTGCTGCCACAGGGCAAAAGCAAGATCCACGAAGCAGTGGTGAAAATAAAAGATCGGATCGAACGCGGCCGTGTCGTTCTCACCCATGTCGCCGTTGGCCCCGGCGTACTGGTCAGAGTTTCCCTGCCCCTGGACCTCGAAGCCGCCCACCGCGAGGTGGATCGAGTTGTGAGGCGACTCGAGCGGGACCACGGTGGTATAGCCCGTCGTGTCGGAGTTATCGTCGTTCCACTGCTGGGCAGAGGTCGTGTTCGAAAAGGCAGTGTAGTTTGGGGCGTTAAGACATGCCGCCCACTTGTCCTTGACGCCGGCGTTGACGATTTTACCGTCGCTGTTGACAAAGTGAGAGGCATTGAGCCAGGTGACAATGTTGCCGTTCAACAATTGGTCAGTATAGACCTGGCCCTTGGCCTCGAGATCACTGTTGTGCTGGGCAGTAACCTTGGCATCATCCGCCGTGCCGACCAGGCCCGAGAATGGGTAGCGGACGGTTTGATAGCCGGATGGCTTGGTGTAATTGGCGTCCGGGATCGGGGACAGTCTGTCAATGATCTTGGCCTGGAACTTGTACGAGTACAAGGGATTGTCAATGACTGTGCCATCGGCATATTTCCATTGCTTTGTCAGGAAAACCCCAGGAATGCCTTCCTGGAGTGAAGCTGGTTCCGTCTCGTCCCAGTAGGGCAGCGCGACGCCTGGCACGATTGACTGCATTGCCTGCTCGAGGCGGAATAGGTAGGCTCTGTGCCAGGTTGGGAAGAGGACGTTGCCGTGGTTGCAATAGCCTCCCCACCACTGGGGGCTGCCATAGCCAGCACCACGGAAGGGCTCGCCGTGGTAGCCGGCAATCATGAAAAAGGAGTTGGGGTCATTGGGAGGAAGTGCTTGAATGCCGGCGAAAGCTTTGACCAGGTTGTCGAGCTCTGGCTTGGACAAGGTCCGAATATTTTTCCTGATGACAGCCATCTTGGCAGTGCATGCGCGAGGGATACTTCACTGGTACTGGTCGAGTTCGTTGCTTGCAACTATAGTCGGACGGGCTCTCTCTCGATGGCGCTACATAAGGCGCTCGATCTCGCTCTTTATATGGCTTTCAATGACTTCCAACTGATCCAGCTTTTGGAAGGGTCTTGCAGCCGGGGGCATCATCGTCAAGAATGCAACTTAGTAACTCTACTGACATTCGTCTCCATTGGTCCACATCTGCAGCAGCTGCTGACGACGTCCGGCTATATGCAGCATTCATGGCTGTTCAGCTTGCCAAGTGTCTGACTGGGACATGTTTCAGCCAGCCCTCGTGGAGGTAGTATGAAGCTAACCAGCGCCTTGCGTCCCGTCCCGTGTGGTCCCCGCACCAACTTTGAGCTTCCAGCCGCACGTTGTGCGCGAGCGGATCCCGTGTCCGTTGCAGGGTCTCGGGGAACTATCATGTTGAAAGGACGGTGTCTGTGTAACGTTCGTAGCGTGCACGCCAGCTTTGGTGCTTTACAATAGGGTTCATGGAATGATGATTCCACTGGTCTCTGAGAAGGTCTGGGTTTGGAGAGACTCATCATCCTTGGCCAGTCATATCTACGACCAGAACCGCCAAAAATCCTCTGGTTGCCTATTAACCAAAAGAAAACGCGGGGAAAACTAGTCTTCATCGACCTCCAAACTTAATCTCAAGGTTCTGAGGCTGAGATACAATGTCTCTGCATGATGAAATCTTATGACCAGCCTGCCGAAACAAAACCAAAATCATAGGGCCCGGTTTTCTCATTACTCCAACTCGCGAGACATACGAGCGCCGCCATCGGCTGACCTGCATTCCTTCCGTGGCTTGAATACTGGTATGACGGCGGCACAGTCGGCGACGAGAGTTCAAAAGACCAGCTGCGCTGCCGGCTTTGTCTATAGCCCCTTGCTGGATTGGCACTACCGCCAGCCATGTCCTGTTCATCGTGGCCAACTGCAAAGTTCAACACGAGCCGGACCTAACCGTTAGTTCAAACTATCGCTGGGTCAACAATGCGGTACGTTTTGTGTCCAGACGCAGCTGAATCTTTTCCGTACAGGGAATCATTGCTTACCGTGCATTTAACGCTCGTGCTGCATGCATGCGTGGCTTTCCATAGATCAGCTGAGATCGGGGTCTAGGAGCTGTTGTCTAAGCTAGCCACAATCCACAGCCCTACGCGCGTCCCTCATCCCTTGCTAGTCATTGAACCTCCATTGGCCATCCGTCCCTCGCCCATGCCCTTCAGAAGGCAATAGTCCTAGCTCCTGCAGATCGGGCGTGGCCGTTCGCTTTCGGGCATCAGCGTCCTGCATGACAAAAACGCGGAGTCCCTGGCTCATTGCTGCATCCGCAGCCACGTCTGACCTAGAACCTTACAGATCCTGCCTTGCTGAGGATGGGCTTTGGATGGATGGAGTGGCCGAGAAGATGCAGGACCAATGTTTGGATTTACTTCAATCGCACAGCTCAGCTGCTGGATATCAGCCAGCCACGGAATCAGAGGGCCTGGGCCAGGATAGTGCCCTCAGCGTTGTGTCTCTCACCGGCCTGACCCGCCTAGTAGGGAATGGCTCTTATTCACTATCCGCACCGTGGAGACCGCTCCATAAGAATAACAGCTGACCTGATGGCACATGTCAATGCTGAGTGCTTGGAGGACCACCTCCCCGGAAAGTGCTGCTCAGCAAATACATCGCCTGGGAATCAACTACCGTTGTCTAAGTCTCCTCCCTTCTCGTGCCAAAACTCAACGCCAAACCTGCCGAAATGCCGTCCACGTACAAAGTTCTCTCCATCATCTTCCCAGGATTCAACACTCTGGACCTCAACGGTCCACTTGATGTTTTCACCAAGTCTGGCACAACGAACTACTTCGAAGTGCAGATTGCTGCCGAGGACGAGATCACCACCTCTGTCGAGGGCCTACACGTAAAAGTCAGATCATTTCCTCATTGTTTCTTATGGTGGCGCATATTTTTGGATTAGTCTGTTGCTGACATTGTGCCCAGCGAGCACTGGTCCTCGATGATATGCTCATCGCAAGAGCAAGCAAGGACTTTGATGTCCTGCACATCGCTGGGGGAGGCTCAACTGATGTTCAGACACAGGCCAAGAAGCCCAGCAGTGCATTCATGAGGCTGATCAAGGCCTTTGCAGACGCGCCACCACCTCAAGGCGGACGGAGAATCCTGTTGTAGGTCTTTGTCCCAGTAAAAGCAAGCCATGCTTCCCTGGGCTGAGATTACTGTTCATGTCCTGGTGTGTGCTGATGAACTCAACTCGCTCAGGTCCATCTGCACAGCAGCATTCTTCCCCGGTACGCTCGGCGTCTTCGACGGGCGACCCTGCACTACTCACTGGGCCGCCTACGAAGGCCTTGTTGCAACACTAGATGCTGCTGCTACAGCCGGCAATGCGACTCCCGGACAGGTCTTGAAAGCCCGCTTCGTCGACTCGGGCAAGAACGCGGAGGGCGTGCAGATAATCAGCAGCGGTGGAATCAGCTGTGGTATTGATGCCGCATTGTATGTGGTGAAGCTGCTTGTAGGCGTCACCGAATCGGTCAGGGTCGCCCAGCTGCTCGACTATGCATGGCATCAGACCTCTGGCGTTGTGTTTGGCGACCTTGACGCGCCAAGTACGATTTGCATGGCTGGAATGGCAAGCAATGGAGAGAAGGCCAAGAATGGGCATGGAGATAAGCATCACGATGATGCTCAGGTTCAGACCTTTTGGAAGACTCTTTAAGAGGCCGGGCTTGTGCTGCCTTGCGTGTTTATCGACTATGAAGCCATTTCAACCAAGAAAAGTGTAGTCATCGATCGCATCATGCAAACACGACCCCATGAACCTAATGTCAGGTATGCATATCGATCCGTTATTGCCAATCCTATCATCAGCAGGCCCCTCCCTCCCTGACATATGCCAACACGAGTTGAGCTGCTGCTCCCAGAATGGGGAAGGCCAGAGCTGAAGGTAAGTCCGAATGGAGAGGTGACAGGAACAGTTTGATTCGAATGCCCAGTGACTGGAAATTATGAACGTCAAGGATGCTGTCCAAAGGGCTAGACTCGTACTGTAAAACAAGACTCCCAGAGAGCCTCACACGCCAGATACCTCTCGGGAGGTCTGTTTCAGGGCGAATGAGGCACTGAGGCACCCTGGCGTTGAATAAACCAACCAAAGTATCATCAAAAGCATGTGTGTTGGCCACATGCCATGATGTTAGATAATGCTTTCTCGAGAGCTCTTAGTCGCTGCTTTGCTGTGCCTCTCCTTTTTGCAACTCTGGAAGAGTCGCTCGCCCTATTGAGTGGTAACAAGCCAACTGCTCGGCCTTCGTTGTTGCGCGAATGCCTATGGAAACCCGCAATTCGAGACACGGGACCTCATGACCATCAGGGTGTAGCGTGACACAGCTTTGCTTGCCAGAACATGAGCATTCTGCCCAGAGTCCAGCTCGAATGATCCATACCGTTTTTTCTTTTCCCCTTTTGCGCTTCTTTCGCCTGCGTGATCCACACATTGTGCCGCTCATCACAGAACTCATTCTTGAAAGCGGTTGTAGGACTCTGACCTCGCCACCCGTCCAGGACGACGCCAGCGACGAGTCCAGCATGATAGATCAACCATGAACGATTGGGGTACATATTTCTCGGGAGTTGGTGCTTGACATGTATTCCGGTCTCTGGGATGTCATCGAATAGTTGGGTGGTGGGTTGCTATTCGTTGCAGGATATGATTTAGCTGCGCAACACCTCCACACTTTTGTGAAAGGGAGGAGATACAAAATCGGATGAAGCGGGTACGAAGGCAAACATGGCCAAGCTCGGCATTTGCAAGAGAAACGTGCCCAGGGAATTGCCGGTGGACCGTAGATGTGGTGGACCCGCCGGCTTGCTGGCTTCCTGGCTTCTGCGAAGCGGTAGATCGGACGATTCCTTCCCGCACGCGAGCAGCACGTTTTACTGATATGATGATAATGATATGGAGTCTGGTCACTCCGGGGCGGGCCCAAGCGTCGGACATGATGGGCACCGAGTCTGGTGTGCTCCGCAACATCACTTGGGGCACCAAGTGGCAGCTTGCTTCGTCGTACCTGGGATTCGAGTGCTCCTCGGCTCCAAGTCGTTGTTTAGTGCATTCGCGTGGACGCGCTGCTTTACCTGTTCCGTCGGGGACTGCCAGGGTCAATTTACGGTCGGCCAATGGCGATCAAGACCCCCAGAGCTAGCTGCTGACACTGTTTCAACGGAAACTTCCGCGCGTTCTCACGCTCCGCCAGTAGCGCCGTGCCGTGCATACCCTTGTGGTACTAACCAAAGTGGCGTATTCGCGAATAGACCGACCGAGGCAACGGACTTGTCTGCAGCGATACTTCGAGGGATAGACGGCTCACTAAGCCGAAACCCTCGTTCACTCTCTCGACAGAATGAACCGCTATGTTCATCGAGGCGCCCGGCCAAAAGCTCTTGGATGAACGAGATCACGCCATTTATTCTTGCTGCGAGCCCGTCTGTTATTGATGTTCGAACGGGTCTCACTACAAGAAGTGAGTGGACTGCCCCAAAGCGAGGTTCTTCGCCTCCCAAAGAGAATACCCAGCTTTCAATTGGACAGTCATGGGATCCGTTACGCTAGTCAGAAGGCGCTATCGATCTCAATCTTAGATCGATGCAGCTCATTACTCCCTCCAACTTATACTGGGTCTCATACACGCAGGGATATCAGTAGTCCCTGGTTCCCCCTCGAGCCCTTTGGCATACTGCCAAGCCACCACGTCTCCAGTCTGCTCGCTCTGGCTCAGTCGTGAGATGAGTGCAGCCAAGTCAGGAAGTGATGCTCCGGTGGCCGTGCAAGGAAATCAGCCATCCGCCAATTCCCGCAGTGGCCGCACTCGGAACTCCCGATTCGCACCATCTGGATCGTTCGAGACCCCTGCTGATGCGTGTATGGACCTGCACGGAAGCCAGCACCAAGGAGATCCAGACTGGGGTTATGGCAAACTATTGAATTAAACCTAGCGAGTCCAGCCCTGCATGCTCCACGCGTCAGCTGAAAAACACTTGCCTGGTTAGACCATACTGTCGTGAAGCAGCTGAGATGTCGTGCAGGCGAATGGCAGGCAAGCGAGCAGGATTCCTCAACAGAGTGTGGAAATACATAAACCGCCCGAGTCCTTAGCTCCTGTTGAATGATTGACTTACGAGGAACCTTGACCAATTGCGATTTCAGGGCTCGTCGTGATCGTAAACAATGGTGGCAATGTACTCGAAGCTTGTCCTGTTCCTTTCTCTGGCCGTCGTCCAGGCGCAGCCGCCTTCTTGTTGTCCAGGAGGCAAGTATGCCGCGGTAGCGAACGCATTGTCAGGCTACGCTCCGGCGACCTCCTTCTGCTCCTCCAAATTCCCCCTCCCGCCCAAGACTTCGACCATTATCTCCACTGTAACCACGACAAGGACTATTGGTACGAAAACCCAGACGGGGACTCTGGCAACTCTCACCTCACCAGTCACGGCCACCGCCACGACGACGACAATCACAATCACTGGGACAGCCACCACCATTGTCACTGCCGACAGCCTAACCACGACTACCACCACAACGATCCCGACGGTCCTAACGACGTCTACTCAGACCGACGCCGAAACCATCACCGTCACCGCTCCCACGATTACTGTCAGCTACAGCCCTCCAGCGCTCAAGAAGAATCCTGCATACCCGATCGAGAACCCAAAGGCAGCAGCATATTCGAGCCTTGTCAAGCAGGGCACCTCGTTCATCAAGACTGTGTGCGCCTGTTTACAGAAACCGACAACGGTCAAGACTACGAAGACCACGACCGCGACCACCTCCGTAACCGGGGCCGCCACCGCGACAGCAACGCTGACTATCTCGATGTATGTCTACACTGTTCCAACACAGACGTGTCCTACTACCGTGCTGCGCCAAAATTTGCTGACCTTCTCCCTCGTCACACTAGCACAATCACCCCGACGTCGACCGCAACTGCGACCACGACCAACACCGTCTCATCCACAACAACAATCTCCTCGACAGTGACCACCACCGTCACGGCGGAGCCCATCACTTCAACAATCACCGGGACGACGTCCACTGTGACCACGACAACAATCACGCCCACCCAGACGTGCCCGCCAACCGGCCCGAACTACTGCCCCGCCAACGGCGGCTGCAAAGCACCCGGACTCAGCGATTCCAGGACGAACTGCGGACCCTGCGGAGTTACTGTGAGTATTCCTTTATGGAACATCCCACTCGGATTCCTCACTTTGATTATCCCCCCCTCTCGCGGAGTATAAATCAACAAAGCTAACTACCATCTCAAAGTGCACTGGTGACGACTCCTGCCTCAACGGGGTGTGCAGGCAGCCCAATCCCTGCCGTGCGAACGACTTCTGCAGTTCCGACGAGGCAACCTGCTTCTGCTACGAGACACGGTCCGGCAACGGCGTGTGCTACGAGAACGGCGGCGCCTGCGGCGCGCGCAACTGCCAGACCAGCCAGGACTGCCCCAACGGCGAGACGTGCATCGGCGAGGGCACAAACTGCTGCACGACGTCCGGTGGCACCGCGCTGTGCCCGGCCCCCGGGTCCACGGCGAGGATGTTCCGCCACCGCTCGGCGGCGTCGGGGCGTCGAGGCCCCTCCTCCAGCCGGACTTATATGCGCCGCGGGGACGGGGAGTCGCCGGTCGTGAAGCATGTCCCGTTTCACACTCCTGCTGTCGTGGTCTGAGATATGAACTGTAAAAGGATGACCCAGGGGTGTCTCAAGTCTTGCGACCTTTGTTTCGCATCATCTGAGACTATACTAGCGGACGTACACGGAGAGTAGTAATGGAGCGAATTTCGACAGAGAAAAGTGTACTCCTTGATTGCATGCGGTAAATCTGAAGTGGCTAAGACTGAGAAAAGCACGACCGTCGAGATGCTTCGAAATCAGTCATGTCTCATCACAAGCAGGTAGAGAACTGTTTGCGGCACATAACCTTTTGCTCGTCTTCAGTGCTCGGGCTACGACCTACGCTATGGCTATACCGTCTTGTCCAACGAAAGACCTTCAAGGCTGAAGTCTTTGAGCATATCGTCACCGTCTTCGATAACCCATCCCTCGGCCGCAATGAACTGTGTCAGATCCTCTCTCAGTGCCTGGACATCTTCGCCGTAGTCACCTCTCCAGCATTTTCTTGCAATGTCACCAAGATAAGCCCGCTCCAGGGCCGGTCCGCGGCCCTCACGAACCCAGCGGCTAACCGGAAGCGTACGGCTCCTGAATAACGCATTGATCTCTTCTCGATCCTGTGAAGCAGCCGGCCGGGCCGGCCACTCGCCCGTCATAAATTTGTAAATCATACAACCCACGAGTGAGATATCTGTGGCGCGGCTTGGGCTACTGACCTCGCGGAGAGGGTGGAAGTATGCACTTGATGTACTAAAACCGTTGATCTGCACACCACTGTGGGAGTAGGAGCGATAGTGTGCATCGGGGAAGCCGGCGATCGAGAGTTGGAGCGGCGGTACGTGTTCTGGTGACGACAGCCAGCACGAGTCGGCACTCAAATCACCTAGGACGATCTCGTTCGTGTGGAGGAAGGACAGGGCTGAGACCATGTGGAGCGTCCACTGGTACACGAGGGGAAGGTAGGCGGCGTCGATTCTTGGCTGCGGCGATGGCTGTCCGTCGCGGCTTGGGGGGTACAGCGCCGCCAGGTGTCGGGTGAGAAACTCAGTCAGAGGAATCGTCCCGCTTGGCATCTCGAGCAGTGGAAATCGGGTCCAGGGATCCGAGCCGAGGTAGTTGAGGATCCTGGGGTGCGGCAGAGCCGGGGCACCCACTACTGTCTGAGCAGCAGTCCCGCTGCCCTTGGGTGAGGGTAGGAGCTGCTCGTAGACATCCGTTGTTTTCCAGCAGCGGAGCGTGTTCGCATCGTAACGCCAGGCGGGATCGGGATCCTCGGCCCAGTCTTCGTGCGTCTCGTCCCACTCCACGGAATACATGACGAGCCTGCCACTGCCTGGCGAGTCTTCTTCCAGCATCACGTCGTGAAAGTCTAACAGGAACACGCTGGGCCTCGTTTCTCCTCCGTCTTCTTGTTGGATATAGTCTGACTGCAGCAGCGGTCGTGGCCGGGCATCCCGTCGCAGGGGGTCCAGGAAGACTCCCCTGGTCATGCCTGAGATCTCAGAGTAGCGCCGGCAGTTGATACCTTGCGTTGAAGACGGTGTGCGGTGACAATGTATCTCGTCCGCTAGTGGTTTGTTGACTTTTACGGGTCCCAAGTGGTGGGGGCGCGTTTGGAGTACTTCAAGGGGGCAAACAAAAGCTGAGAAGGCGGCGGCCGATCCCACTTAAATATTGCGAACTGTAGTTGTGTGAATTCGAGCGGAACGGCATAAAATCGGTGAAATACAAGCAGGTGACCCCTCCCCCACCACTCATGTTGGTTCACCTTGGTCTCGTTAACTCATGAGCGGCACTAGAGCTGCAGTTGGACTCAAAGTCAATGAAATTTCATCGGGGCCACCACGACAGCAACGCTGACTGTCTCGAGCTATGTCTGGGTCAATATCTCTGATGTGGTAGAATCTTCTATAGCCCGATCTGTTAGAGTTTACTGGCTGATATAACCAATGCAAAACCCGCCATCTCTCTATTACATTCCATTAATACTATCTAGTCATAAATTCCAAAAGACGTTTTACAGCGTCCACCAGAATAAGTCGAAGTCGGGCCGCAGAAACCCGAAGACAGCGAGCAATCGACAAACTGTGATGCGTTCAAATCAAGCACTTCAATACTGAGACCGCTGAGCGTGTCATCGTCGTCGTCGTCGCCATATCTGATAACCCAGCCTACGTCAGTCAGGTACTGGAGCACATCACGTCGAAGTGCTCCAGTGTCTCCTCCATATCCTCCATCCAAACACTTTTTCACGATGTCTCCGAAGTATTCCTTCTCCAACCTCAGCCGGCCTGCCGCTTCAGGAACCTGCCGCCAGGCATCCCACTCACTGCATCCCGTCATTAACCTGTAGATAAGATTTCCTACGAGGAATATATCTGTCGTGCGGTTTGGGTCCTTGATGTTGCTTAGGGGTGTTGGGTACCATATACAAGGGGGTGTGGCCCCAAGGATTTTCTGGGCCGCCCCCTTGCGAGTGTAGATAGCGTCCGGAAACCCCACTAAAAAGAGCCTGGTCGGTAGTGGCTGCAAATGAGATAGGTGCGTAGTAGAAGAGGTCGTGCTGGCGGACGAAAGCAGGCAGGACTCTTGGCTGATGTGACCGAGGATGATGTCATTCGCATGGACAAAGGATAGAGCCGAAACCAGATTGAGGATCCATTGATACACGAATGGCTGATACTTCGAGAGAACCCTTGATTTTCCAGACGAGGAGGAGTAAACCTGTGTTCGGAACCTCCTGAGAAATTCCTCCAGAGATATTGCACCCGAGGGCTTCTCGAACAGAGGGAAGCGCGTCCAGGGGTCAGACCCGAGGTATTTGAGCAGACTTGGGTGAATTGTAACAGATGAACCCTCAGCACGTGTAGCAGATGACGGCGAGAGCTGCTCGTAGACATCGGTCGTCTTCCAGCAGTCTGCAACCCTTTCTATGTAGCGCCAGTCGCCATTCTGCTCCAACTCGGGGTCGAAGTGGATGTCTCTGGACCACCGCGAAGGAATCAGGACGAGCCGATCGTCCCCTGGGCATGGCTCTTCGAGGTAGAGGCCGTTGCACTCCATCTGAAAGATCGTGTGCTGGTCTTTCGACTGGTCCTCATGCTGGTCTTCGCGTTGGACAGTACAATATGGCTGCCCGAGCGGCCTCGGGCGGGCGTCCTGGCGTTGTGGCTGCAACTCAACACGAATCGCTAACCGCGCCATTCTCGAGGATTGTGAGTGCTGGAGCTTTGGGTGCTGAGGGGAAGACTCGGACCACCATGACAACCAACAAACGGCCCGTACAGTGTGCTTTTATTGCCTAAGGTTGATGCGGGCGGCTATATCTCGGCTCAATACATTCAAGCAGCTGTCAAAAGGAGGACGACACTGCCCCAGCCCGCACAGCATGCCGAGACTCCGTCCAGTCCCAATGGAACAACACGTCCCAGCCTAACAAGCTCAGTTACATCTCACCGGTGCAGTGCCTCACGCACGCTCCGGCGCGTGCACGGCACGCTGTCCGTGCAGATCCACAGTATCGATGCGTTCCTCTCCTGGCACCGGTACTTACTGCTTGGGCTACTAGCCGATAACTGCGGGTATGCGGGGCGAGGCCAATGCCACGGGGGACTTCATGGGATCGGTCTTGTTCATCGCTCGAGTACTTTGGCACGCTGAATTCGGTGGAGGGGCACCCGTGGCATGTATCTCGGATGGGGTAAGTTTGATGTCTTTTGTCCCGTATCTTGTCCCTTTTCCCCTTATATGTTTGCTTGTTTGGCTATCAACTTCCTGATCTGGGTTCCAAGGGCGAGGAAGCACAACTCACCGGAATAAAGAATTGAAGATGACCGTGGCGGTGATTATGAAATTGTAAGCCCTTCGTCAGCCTAGTCGATCGCCGCCATCCAAGTCGATGCTTGATGACCATAGCCTATACAATGGCTGGACCTCTTTCATGCCATACAAGGAGGAGACAGTCTGGCTGGGGTCTGAAGCTGAGGGCGAGGGTGCTGTGTCTTGCAACAGCTACATGGAGGCAAGAGCAGTAATGTAATATGCCATGACTGTCCTCCGTCCTTTTTGGTTTTTTCCTTTCTTTTTGCCTCATAATCCTCTAAAGTCATCAAACAGCTAGCACAATGATGGAACAGAGGAACACTACCATTCCATCTTAGTACATCCCAGGTTTTCCAAGCAATTAATCGAATAGCGCACTGAGCATTGTAGGGGGTGGTACTCTTCAGTCGACGAGATGCGTTCGGAGGGGCTTTCGTAGTGCTAAAGTGTCGCAGATGAGAGCGCAGACGTCGGACAGTGCGCTGACTGCATCGAGCAGTCCTAGCTATCTCATCGTCAGCATATTTTTCACTTGTGATCATATACTCAAGTTGTTCGTGAGTAGCTTGTGCAAGGTTCGGCGCCATGTTGACTTAAGGTTAAAGATCGGTCACGACGGAGCGAGGAATCCCGAGTTGGGCGCGCAGGGTTGATGTGCGCACAAACCTTAAGTATCTACCACGTCTCGCACAGGGGTGTGTCGAAGAGAGAAGGTATTATACATCCAGGCAGCCATCTTTCCGGCCATTCTGATACGAATGCAAGGAAACCGTACAGTACCCTAGCTGCCTTGCGAGACTGACACTTTATCCTCCGCAACACGGGTCGTATTTAGGCACCTAAAACGAGGATTACACTACCTGCGGAGTAAAGCATAGGATTGGAGCGTCAGTCCCGTTTCTGTTCCAGCCAGGTGGTGAGTGTTCCCCGTAGTCAACCCCGCATTTCCTTTCGTTGCCTCGCTGCTGTTAGTCGCCCGCAGTTTGTGCCCACCATAATCCTAATGCTCGACAAGACTTGGTCTTTCATCACGAAACACGCGTCACACCACCGGAAGCCAAGAATCGTCAATTGGTCGAAATCCCAGGCCCAGAACACACTTACAGGATGCGCCTGTTGGAAGTCAACGAGGATGACAGCCACAGCCTTCGGGAGCATCCCCCAGAGGACGTCCCGCCATATGCGATCCTCTCGCACACCTGGAGAGCCGATGACCAGGAGGTTACCTTTCGGGACGTTTAGTATCGTACAGGACACCACAAAGATGGATATAAAATGCTTATATTTTGTGAGCAATAGACTGCGTCGGATGGCCTGAAACATTTCTGGATAGCAGCCAGGAGCTTCAAGAAGCGATCAACTCTATGTCTCATAGGTATGTACTCAAGGCAAGGCATTGTACGTAAGCGTTAGTGACTAGTGCCCTCTCAGCCGGAAATGGCTTCTGGGCGTAATGAATTGTATTCTATTGTACTAAAGACACTGAATTCTATGATCAATGCGCCTTTCCTGGCCCTCAGTCTATCAGTCATCAAGCTAAAAATGGAGAGGAAGCTATTTAAGGTGAATCTTGCCTGGTTCTGTAATGTAATACCTACCACGTAAGCTTCCGCGAGCGGGAAACACGAGCTCGATGCCCACCCGAGACCTCCCGCATTCGACCCGAAGCATGGATCCGTGAACCAATGTTACCCGTGTTTCACAACCGGTGATCTACTGTTCCTGTTATCTCTCGAATAGACGCCCTGTCTGATTCTAGCTCTGTGATTGGAGAAATACTGTTTGTGGCTTGGCAGCTGAGGATTGATTGTCTATGAACGGAGCCAATGCCTGGGATTAGGTCTTGGCTCTCCAATCGAGGCCCTGGGGCTTGGCCCAACACCTGTCGCAGCTGAACTGACCTTTCCAATTACCGTTGCTTATGTCTAAGCGCCTCTATGTCTAAGCGCCTCCATGCAGTGCTCTGGCCAGGAGGTCGTTGCAACTAGGCCGTCTCCATGGCCTTGATCCACGGCTATGCATCATGACATGGAAGTTGTCATAGCAAAGACGGAATAGGTCGTGAAGACCTGGTGGGCTGTGCGTCATGTACTGACTCAAAACCGGGGCTCAACGGGTATTTAAACTGGGATGTGCCGGCAATCCATTTGATTGTCGTGATACGGATCATTTCAAAACCCCTTGGCACGTGCCGACTTCAAAGAAAGAGGCATCATGGAGGAAAAATGGAAGCGTTGTTGGCACTGGATTTGGAATTTCGGTGAGGAAGCTCCCTGAGCACGACAGTCTTCGTCATTTAAGCGATCACTATCTAACAAATGATCAATTAGTCAATGTGGTATTCCCAATCCTCATCCTGGCTGGATGTCGAGACTCAACCTCGAGCGCCTTCAGTCTGTTCAATCCTTATCGGAGGATGATTGAGATGTTTGTCGGGGATGATTGCGCTAGTCTTGCCACGGAGATTATCCCCGACGAATATCGCATTAGTTTGACAAGTAAGTCTGCATGTTCACATCGCCGCTACTGATCGATTTGCTTACATCTCATCTTGCAATCTTTTAGGCTCCTGTCGTGTCTTCGGCGATGAGGTCACCTGCCGCTCCCACTTCCCGCCAGCCCTGGACTGGGTTCGCCTATTGGAAGCCGACATCGCAGCATCAGCAGACAACGAGACCATCGCCATCTGCACAGCGCCTTTTGCGACCGTGGTTGGCCACTTTCCGGCGACCAATGCAATGGCCGCGACTATCTTTGCGCTCCTTATTTCATCCACCGTCATGAGCGTCGTGGTCGTCGTTACATCGCTCATATCCGGAAAGGCCTTCGGACGCCCTGTGATGCTGGTGACAGGATTTGACGTAGTGCTTCTGGTGGTGTGCATCGTGCTGTACGTGATCATCGCGCAATACTTAATAGGGCCGTACACCCACACCGATATCGCGGCTGTCACGAGCGAAAGAGTGGATGACCTGGCTATCCTAGGCATTGGGTTCTGGCTTCTCATTGCCGCACTCGTCGCGCGGGTAATTGGGAATCCTATGGTCATCTGGTCCCTCATAACACTCCCCTTCAATCAATGCAATGGAGGCGATGCAGGACCTACAGGCGGATTTGCAGAGGACTGGAGAAGCCTCGCGGCCAGGGTGGACTATACAAATCGTATGATGCAGGATGATAAAAAAGCTAGGGAGGCACAGAGAAGAGATGAACGGGCACAGAGAAGAAATAAAGAGGCGCAAAGGCTGGAGAATGAGGCAAATCTCTATTTTCGGAATTATTAGATCACTCCCATGAGGTAAACTAGCACTTGATGTCGTACGATTCGCAAAGATAATATAGGAAAGCCATAGCTAATGCCCTGTCGGCTTTCACGATGGCGGATTTCCACTGACCTAGCTCAGCGAACTTGTAATATCTGGAAAAGAGTGAGCATCATATCACATAGTGGCTTGTGAATGACGTTAAGGACTTACTTCTTCTATTTACGCAGTAAATGTCATCACACGAACCCAATCTGTGTACAAGTCCGAAACGCCGACGCAATGTGATTCCCCAGTCCCCGAGTGTCCCTGCCTGCCAGCATGACATGCCTCGGGCCCGTGAACCGAGATTCGCCTCCTAGTCAATCAGACCACAGCTGCCCATAACGATATCACAATGCAATGCTCCTCGCAACTGCTCCCACTCCACCCACAAGGGTTTACAAGAGATCATCATACGTGTAACACATGGTCTCGTTCTCGGTGTCGAGCACATCACGAACCGTCAAGTCGGGCACGAGCCCGAGCGACGTCAGAACGGTGTCGAGCGTGAGCGGCTCGCAGGCGCCCCCCTCGGCGACATGATTGACGCAACCCTCGACTGTGGACGGTGTGTTAGCACTGGACTTCCTGTGCGGCACCCTGATGACCACTGATGGCATGATGTAAAGAAAACCGCAAGGGGGAAGCATGTCCGCAGGATATTATGTGTGGTCAAGGGGTCAAGGGCGGGACTCACCTCCAGAGTACCGTCTCTGGTCAGCGTTCTGCCAGCTCTTCCACTGAAAGTCCACGTACGCATGATGAAGATAGAAAATCGCCTTTTTTGTCCACCGATTAATTCGTCAGTTACACATTTGCTCGCCACTTATTCACTTGCAAGTGGTTGGATATGACTTACATCATAGGTCGAACCCCCGACTCTCGCCATCGTCGGACCAACCGCGTTATGCAACCGCGAGTGGTTGGTCAGCTCGACGCACGCGCTGTGCTGGGGGAGCGTTCCGGCGTTCTCGCCGCCATGGCAGACCTCTTGCATCTCCACGGTGACGCCGGCGCTGATCGAGGTCCGCTCGCCGCGGGCGACACACACCTCGCCGTCCGGGTGGAGGCGATCGACTAGGCCAACGAAGGGCTTGTTGTTTCATAGTTTTATCCTCATGGTCAGCTGTGTCTCTTTGTTCGGGAACATTGCGCTTCCTTGCTCTTCAAGCACCAGCAATGAAAAACAAAAGCCAGAGAAGAGATACAAGGGAAGCGATACAAGGGAAGAGGGGAGGAGGGACGAGGAAAAGGAATTCAAACTCACCCCGTCCGAGATGCAATACCCCGGGTGCCCCTCCTCGACCGGATACAGCGTGCCAAAGTACTCGGGCGTGAACAAGCCCGAGCCCGCAAGATCCCCCGCGGCATCCGTCTCGCGCCACCACGGCATGGGTCCCGCGTACCCGCACTCATCGGCCAGCAGCGTCTCATACGCGTGCAGGAAGTACCGGTGCCAGGGGAGGAACGTGTCGACCCCGTGGATCTGCCCGGACAGCGTGCCGTGCACGAACGCCAGCTCGTCCCAGATGGTGACGGCGCCGGGCCAGATCCCTCCGCGCGGCGGGGCCTGCGTGAGGCACTGCACCGCTGAGATGTAGTCGAGCTTGTCTGGCTCCGACATGCTGTTCCATTCGGGCCGGATCGAGTCTCGGCATGCCGTGCGGGCTGGGGGGTTGGTTTCGTCCCCCTCCTCGAACGAAGCAGTGGTAGGTGTGGTGGTGCTGTTGATGTCCTCGTCATCCCCGTTCCGGCCGCCGTCGAGGGCGTCCACGATACCATCTGCGATGTCGTTGACAGCGGGCTGCATGAGCTGGATGGCCTCCTCGAGTGTGATGGTCGGCGCGCTCAGCTCCGCTGGCGGGAATTGGACTTGTATGAGGTCGGAGTGTGTGTCCTGCCGCCGGCTGTGGGGAGCCGCCGAAACTGCGGCAGCTGCCGAGAGGGCCTGGACAGTTGTGGAAAGCTTCATATTGGGAGTGTTGTATCCTTCGGAAGAGTTGGATTGGTTCGGTGTCGGTGTTCGTCCAATGAGATAGTTTATTGTTCTTTCAGAGATGTGATTGTGTGGGCACGAGAATGATACAAAAGTGCGAGGATGCTCAAACCCTTTTGTACAAGTCTACAACTCGTACTCTCGTCCGGTCATCTCCGCCCAGAAAATAAAAAGCTTCAGGAGTCCAAAAATGGACGTGGTGAAAAGCCTATGTGGTTGAGGCTTGGGCCCTTCGCAGTAGATGTTTGGGGCCGCAGTAGATGCCTGTGGCCGCAGTTGCAGGTGCTCCATTCTGGGCAGGGCTGTGCTGCAAGCCATGGGTAAGGATGCTGTTCCTGGCTGCATCTTTGTCTCGCGGCCCGGGTATCTATCACCAAGATTTACTGGTTTTGGTGCGGAAGAACGTTCCATTGGCAAAGGTCGACTATTTCCCTTTGGCATAAGTCGAGAGACGGAAATTTGGACGTTGAGCCTGCCTGGAGTGAACAAAATTCCTTTGAAGTCTGTTGCAAACGATCGCTTTGACCCAACCATCGAGGCCTTACCAGTCTCATAGCATGAAAGTGACTGAGGCATACTTGGCAGAATTGTTATCGACTGCGCATATAAATCTAGAACAAACTTGCCAACGTCCTTTCCTCTTTCTCCACGTGCTGCTGCAATTGTGCATCGTGGCGCATGCGAGAGGAAGAGAAGCCTTAGTCAACCTGAGGCAACAAGGCATGGGTGCTGGAGACAGCCGAGAGAGAACAGGGCGGCCCATAGACAAGGATGTCCGTAAGCTTGTGTGGCCGTCCCCAGGAGATACCCGGGTAATTCCTGATTGGTCGACAGTCGACTCGATCTGACAAGGCGAAGCTGCTCTGCACGTGCCTGGTTAGGCTATCGTGGCCCCGGTCTCGCCTAATTTTGGGTTCATCCATGTAGTCGGCGAACTAGGACAGACAGACTCTGTCATCTGTGGCTGTGTGCCCATGTTGCCGTTTATGCGCCATCCCATTGGGCAAAGTATTGGCTTTGGGAAAAGAAAACACCGTGAACTGTTGAAGTATTTATTAATAACTACCCCAATGGCTTTACTTGCCCTTCACGTATTAAAAGTCGCGCTAGATTACGGGTTTGTTTACCTAGGGTAGTCTCAAACCGTAAGCCTTACCCAATGTATTCAGTAGCTTTACGTACTAATTAAGGCGCAGTGATAGGTAAGGAGCTGACATATCGCTTTTACTAGGTATTCTTTAGAACGGCTCTAAGACTCCTAGTGTGTAAAGAATACTTGCCCCCAGTTGTCTCGGCAGCTGGGATAAAACTCGGTCTCCATATCCAGCTCGCTGACATCATCCTCGGTCGGATTTACATTGGCAATACATGAAAGACTTTTAACTTGATAAACCATCATCTCATCGAGTCTCAGACTGATCCAACTTGACAACATAAATTTCATTACGATATTCGCTAGTAAAGGACGGCTGACTTGAGCGAGAAGCAAAGACTCAGCTGTAGTCTTGGTACTTGACCCCCGCCTCCTCGGCAAACTTCTTGTACGCCCGATCGTACTGCTCATACTGTTTGATGAATCGCTTCGCCGTCTTCATCTCCTCCCGCCCGACCTGATGCCGGTGCGCAGCATCGGGCCCGTCCGCGACCCTGACGAAGCGCGAGTACGTCCATAGCTCCGGCAGCGGCGTGTGCTGCGTAAGCCCCTGCCCGCCCCAGATCTGCATGCACTCGTCGATGATCTTGCACACGACGTTGGGCACGATGATCTTGCTCTGGGCAATGACCCTGCGGCCGGCCTTGTTGCCGTAGAGGTCCATGGTGTCGGCAGCGTTGAGCACGACGAGGCGCAGCATGTCGATCTCGAGACGCATCTGGGCGACGCGCTCAATGTTGGAGTCGAACTCGCCGATGAGCTTGCCGCGGGGCTTCTTGCGCGGGTCGTTGCACCGGATCAGCGCGAGCTCGTACGCCCGCTCGCACTGGCCGATGAGTCGCATGCAGTGGTGGATTCTGCCCGGGCCCAAGCGGCCCTGCGCGATCTCGAACGCCCTGCCGGCGTCGAGGATGATGTTTTCCTTGGGCACGCGCACGTTTTCGTAGAGGTACTCGCCGTGGCCCTCGGGGGCCCAGTCGTAGCCCATGATGGTGAGGTTGCGAACCTGGGTGATGCCGGGTGTGTCGCAGGGAACGATGACGGTGGTGTGGCGGTTCCATTTCACCGGGTTGGCCGGGTCCGAGCAGCCCATGAGGATGTAGAAGCTTAGCTCCTTGTTCCAGAGGCAGTTGCCGTACAGCTTGCGGCCGTTGATGACGACCTCGTCGCCCTCGATCTTCATGTCGATGGCGATCTGGGTCGCGTCGGACGAGGCGCGGTCCGGCTCCGTCATGGAGTAGGCGGACGAAGCGGTCCCCTCCATGAGGGGCTTGAGCCACTTCTCCTTCTGCTCCGGGGTGCAGTACTTTGCGAGCAGCTCGATGTTGCCTGTCTCGGGGGCATGGCAGTTCATGGTCTGGGGTGCCCAGTAGACGCGGCCCATGATCTCCGCGCAGCAGGCGTACTCGAGGTTGGTGAGCCCGGGGCTCTCGGGGAAGTGGTTGGGGAGGAAGAGGTTGAAGAGGCCGCGCTGCTTTGCCTTTTCGCGCAGCTCGTGCATCAGCGGCGGTGTGGCCCAGCGCTTGTGCTCGAGCTGGTCCTTCATGATGCGCTCCCGCGGGATGCACTCGGTCTCGACAAAGTCGTACACGGCCTGGATCTTTTCAATGGCAATGGGCCGCAGCTTCTGCCGCACCCACGCCGGGATGCGCTCAAAGGCCGGGCCGTTGAGGGCCGGGTTTGTCAGGCCAGACGTCATGGCGATGTGGTTGTGACTGAGAGTGTGGCGATTTGAGCGTGTATTATGAACTGGGAAATTGGGCAACGCAGAAGCCGGGGCGAATGGGTGATGATATGTGAGCGAGCACAAAGAATGCTGGGCACCTTGCAAAGACGAAGCTGCCCGGGGTGACAGATGGTGAGTGTCAAGAAGGAACCTTGCTGTCAACTGGGCAGGAGCATGTAGAGCCCTGTTAGAATATTGTGCCTTTTCTTTGAAAGGCAGGAGAAAAAGAAACGTCGTTGGAGAGGCCCTTGGAAACAGCCGCAGAAAGCCCTGGCTCAAGGGACCAAACAGCCAGCATCCCATCACTTCACAGCCTCGGCGCAAATACAGTCCCGCTGGCTCGCACAGTCGACCTCCTGGCTGCACGCCCCCAAAACCCCAGCGACGACTAACACCACGTCCACTGAGCTAAGGCACAAGCCCCGGCTCTTGTCTCCCCCACACCTCCCCCACACTCTTCCCCCTCAATTCCCGCGGCTCTTTGCGGGGCTGCCATTGGGCGCCCTTTTCCGGGCATGCCACCGCTTCGTGCACAAGAAGTAGCATGAGGATTGGATTGTAGCTGAGTGAGAGCAATGGATCGGGCATCGTTTGGGGCAGAAATTCAAGTATCGCCTAGAGGCTTCTTAAGTTATTGGTACAATTACCAGCTGCGTACGCAGAAAGCTCGTCACAAAGCAGCAGAATGGACACATCCACGCTAGTGATTGGCAAGAGACAGGCCACAGCAGTGTTAGACCACTAGACACCAGAACCAGAAGACACAAAAGGAAGACATCATCCCTCGATATTTGTGCAAAATATGGAACACCAAGACTGATTTGCCAAAGCTTATCGTGAACTGCATCGCATGGAACAATCAACACCGAAGCTTCCCCACCTATCAAGGAATAATCTTGGCCGCCCGGAACCTGTCAAAAGCAGTCCACCACGCCCCCTTGGCATCCGTCTCCTCCTTCTCCTTGCCCATCAGCGCGTGGGCCTTGCTCATATCCAGGTGCCGGTCGAAATTGAACATGGTCATGATGAAGTACGGGAACCCGCCAAAGCTGCGGTCGTTGCCCGCCCGCCCCGTCTTGAGCCCGTGCTTCTTCTCCAGCTCCTGCCACTCTGCAAAATGGTCCGCACAGTACTGCGTCGGCTGCGGTCCCGATCCTCCCGGAGGAGGGCCCACGCCCTTGAGCCCAAAGTACTCGCAGATGATGGGCCACTTGACGCTCCAGCTGGAGGGCTGCGCATTGTCCGCGGCGTTGAAGCGCTGCCCGGAGCTGATCTCTGGTCGGAGTGAGGCGAGGATGGACGTCTTGGCGACAATGTCCTGGGAAGAGTCGTTGCAGAGGATCTTATAGGACTGCTCGGTGCCGGGGAACTGGACCTCCGCGCCCCTGCCGTTGACCGCGGCGTACAGGGAGAGGTAGGTTGCTAGTGCTTGCCTGTGCTCCGGGGTCAAAGAGAATAATCATCAGCTCCAGCTCAACCGATTCATGCAGATTCTCAACGTATCGCCGACGGAGTGGGCTGCCATTATTGAACAAAAGTAAGGGCCACGAAGGGGGAACTCACGCCAGGCAGTAAATATTGTTGTTCGGCACAAACCCGACAATCACGTCCGGAATCACATCGCACCATGTCCAGGCCTTCCCCTTGGACATCTCCGCGAGCATGTCCATCTGGCTGTAGTAGAACATCTCGGACGCGTAGGGCTCAGGGATGCGCGGCAGCGATTCCTTCAGCGGCAGGTCCTTGGAGAACGGGAACTGGTCGATCAAGTGCACGCCGTATGCTTTGGTGCCCGTGGGCAGGACGACCTGGGATCGGGGGTGGCAAGGGTCAGTTTTGAATCCGTGAGGAAAGCTTCGGTCCCTTGAGGAGGCGCTGAGGGAACTTTGTTTGTCATGCCGACGAGGCTACTCACGAATTTCAGATTTGATGAAATGTTCTCGACCGACGAGACCGCGCGCTTGATCAGCTCGACGTTGATCTCACACTCCTTCTTCCCGTCCGGGTCCATAATGTACGCTGCACATCATTCACTGTTCAGCCAATGTCCCGTATCCGGCTCAGTGCCAGCCAGCCGAGAAGCCTACCGAAAAAGTATACATGCGTGATCTGGCTCGCATGCTTGACGCGCTCCTTGAGCTCTGCCTCGAGCCCGTCCTGGCCCTTGGACGTCAGGATGTCGACGCCGCTGACAATCTGCAGCTTGGGCGAGTCGGGCCACATCGCGTCCTGCGCCGTCAGCGGCCGGTTCGTGAGCGCCGTCACGCTGTCAAACGTGTCCGCCGTCGGGTAGCCCTCCAGGATGAGCCTGGTGATGGCCCAGCCCGTGATGCCGCTGGCACCTTTTTTTGGGACGTAAGTGTTAGTAGACTGGAATCTTTGGAAGACGGCAGACGTTGTAAGGGAGGGTCTTACCAAAGACCAGTGCGTGGTTGCCAGGCATCTTGCTACTAGATGCGAACACTTGATGTGCGGATGTTTCGGATGTGAAATGATGACACTCGCTTGCTGTTTGTTACACGCGCAACAGCAGAAGCCTACGAGAATGCGATGAGAAGAGTACACAGAGACCTAGAAGCACGATGAGGTAGGCGCGCGGGGAAAGAGCTGTAAGCCGGGAGACCTTCAAACTTTCAAAGTCGTTGAAGACGTGACCTGAACCGCCCAAGGAGCTGCCGACTTCAGGCTTCACGTGCCGTGCGGGGAAACTTGACTGTCAGAGTGGGGGACGCATTTCTGCTTGATTGCTCCACCTCTGGCAGCCGGGTGATTGTTTGCGAGATGAGATTTACCAAGCCAGCTTGGAAGAGCAGCCACGCACACGGTCTCAATTTGCAGCAAGTTGTCTTCCTCTTGTTATTGTGTTCTCGGTAGTTGTGCGTCCTGTTTGCGAGGAGAAACGTCATTTTCAGGGGCTCCCTATGAGTTTCTTCCACGATGTTCATGATGGCTACAATGGGGATCTTCACGGCCGAAGCTCACCTCGCCATGACAAGATGAGTTGATGCATTGGCCCTGAAATTGATACCTAGGTAGCCTTTGATCCTGTGAAGGCCAGCACGAGACAAGCTCGAATCATGGTCTAATGACCGACTTCTTCAAACATGACTCAAAAGCACGGTAATTACCCCCAGACCTGGCGCGGTTCACTACCTTAAGCTGTGCTCACCATCAGATGGTGGGAGACGCAAGAACCTGACGACAGCGAGTCGGGTGACGACTGGGACAGCCACAAACACCAGTCAGGGGAACTTGGGGGAAGGCGGCACACCCCACATCCTTGTCCCCCAGATTTGAGAGACGCCCACTTCCCCGCGCCTCGGGGGCGGCTCGCTCAGATGATTCAGTGGGCTCACAGGGGGTCCAGACCAGGGAAAACCTTAGCCGCGCGCTGGTCTCGTGTCTGTAAAGCTAGCCTGAGCGGCATGGCGTTTCGGACCCCCCTCGGAAAAGATCCACAAGCGTCTCCGAATCTCCTAGCCTTTGTACGCTGCGTAAGGACTGCAGGATCCCCCAACTGGCAACACGGAAATGCAGTTCCTCGGGGCACAACTGCCAACAATGCTTGTCCACATGCTAGCTTTCCCACCACTCTGTTGGGCACGGTTGGAATTTTGTTCACAGTGGTGGTTGTATGCTCCACAGCCTCGCTGGCTGCTTGATATCCGGCCTCGACTCCTGTATACGTGGGTCGTTGTCGGATACCTTCACGCAGCTATCGACGCTTTGCTGCTATCGTAGCCTGTTGCATGCTGGCAAAAGTTCCCTTATCGTCCCGTTCACCCTGCCCGTAGCCGCGGTCTTGTCAATGCCTCGTCTCGTATCTCATGCCACTGTGAGGTATCTAGTCGTGCTCGACATCGGTGCTCGACATCCGAGAGTGTTCCTTGTTAAAACATAGTTTGCCACATATGTTCTCCCTCTCTGCCTTCTACTTCTTCAACTTCTCCGACTGTCTCGTCTCCCAATCAGTGTCATTGTGCTGCACATCTTAGCGACGTTGCTTTCCCCGAGCCTGACACAGCTCCTCTCTCATAGATCAAAACGACTGCCAATGGTTGAGCCTTCTTCCCCTTTCCCCCGAGTACTCGCCCCGAACGAGAACTCAACAAGAAGAGGACCTTCACAGAATACAGCACGACGACGATGTCACCATCAGCCGAGTCCGCCGCGGCCCTCGCCAAGGAAGGCGTCGCGCCAGCCATGGACGTCGCCGACACCGAAGGCCGCGCGAACGGCACCGTAAACGGCCACGGCACAAACGGGACCACCAACGGGACCACCAACGGCCACGCTGTCGCTGCTGCTCCCGACAATGGCGCAAACACATTCTACTACCCCAAGGAGGTGCCCGCCAACACCCCCTACGAGGTCCTGCAGCAGTACCATTCCAAGCCGACAAAGCTGCGGGTTGCATGTATCGGAGCGGGTGCGTCGGGCTTGTGTCTGGCGTACAAGATGGTGAGTCTCTTTCTGCGGACCGGGTCTGTTCCCTGGCTGGAGTGGCTTTTCTAATTTTTTGTATGCTGCTTTAGGAGAGGCAAATGGTGCCCGGAAGCTGGGAGCTCACGCTGTTCGACAAGAACCCGGTCTTTGGCGGCACCTGGGTCGAGAACACGTACCCGGGCGTGGCATGCGATGTAAGTCTGTCCGTCCTATGGGAGCTCAACAACGAATACCCCCATGATCTCTAACCCCGACAACTGGAGATTTAGATCCCTTCCCCTCTGTACACGTACACGTGGGACCCCAAACCGGACTGGTCGCACTACTTTGCGTACGGCGGCGAGATCCGCGAGTACTTCAACGAGTTTGCGCGCCGGCACGGCTCGGAAAAGTACATGAAGCTCAACACCAAGGTCGTCGAGGGCAGGTGGGACGAGCAAAAGGGCGTCTGGAACCTGACGCTCGAGGACCAGCGGACCCGGGAAAAGTGGCACGACTGGTGCCACTGCCTGGTCAACGGCGCGGGCATCCTCAACAACTGGAAGTGGCCCGACATCAAGGGGTTCGAGACGTTCGCGGGCCCCAAGATGCACTCTGCCAGCTGGGACCACGGCGTCGACTTCAAGGACAAGACGATTGCTGTCATCGGCACGGGCAGCTCGAGCGTGCAGATTGTGCCCGCGCTGCAGCCCGTCGTGAAGAACATGAAGGTGTTTATGCGCTCGTCGACCTGGATCTCTCCTCCCTTTGGCGGCGGCGTGCTCGAGGAGGACCTGCGCAAGCCGAAAGAGGGCGAGGACAGCGGGCCACAGCCGGGAAAGCGGCAGTACACGTTCACCGACAAGGACAAGGCCAAGTTCAAGAACGACCCAGAGTACTTCCTCCTGTTCCGCAAGCGCATCGAGGCCGAGATCAACTCCCTCTTCGGCATGTACCAGCAAGGGTCCGAGATGAACGACGCCTTCCGCGCCGCCATCACCGAGGAGATGCACCGCCGCATCGGCCCGGGCCACGAGAAGCTCAAGCAGTTCATCATCCCCAAGTGGTCACCAGGCTGTCGCCGCATCTCCCCAGGGGACGGGTACCTCGAGGCGCTGGTGCAGGACAATGTCGAGACGGTGTTTGGCGGGATCCGCGAGGTCACCCCCACGGGTCTCATCTCCGACGACGGCACCGAGCACAAGGTTGACATCCTCGTGTGCGCGACGGGCTTCGAGGTCGCCTTCAAGCCCGCGTTCAACCTCGTCAACGGCGATGGCGTGTCGCTCAACGAGGACTGGGGCGATGATGGGGTCAACTTGTACCTTGGCGTTTCGGCGCCGCGGTTCCCCAACTATTACACCATCGTTGTAAGTTTGTTGACTTGAGAGAGCATTCCATTTCCAAAGATGAAGTCTGCTACTTGATGAGTTATCATTGTTAATCTATTGTCTCTTTAAATTCACAGGGCCCCGGCGCGACATGGTCATCCGGCACACTGCTCCCCTCGATTGAGACGACCATCGAATACTCGATCAAGATGATGAAGAAGATCCAGCATGAGAACATCCGGTCCATCGCCGTGCGGCAGGATGCCGTCGACGATATCTATGCGCACTTTGACGCGTTCCACAAGACGACCGTCTTCCAGGAGGAGTGCCGCTCCTGGTTCAAGGCCGGCAAGGAGAAGAGGCGGATCTATCTGTGGCCGGGATGCGTATGTCGTCTCTTTCCTTTTGTTCTCTCTCTCCCTCTTTCAAATTGGTCAAGGCTGTCAATCACCATCATGTTTCGCCTCAACTGTCCTTAGTCATGCCTTCCACTTCATGGCTATCGTTGTTCTACCACCCACTCCTTGGGACCTCTTCAATCCTGAGGGTGACTCATCTTGTATCACAAATCAACTAACATGAAACGTTGCGCCGCACGCACAAACAGACCATCCACTTCCTCAAGACGATCAAGGAGCCCCGCTTCGAGGACTACGCGATCCGCTACCGATACCCGAACCGCTTCGCCTTCCTCGGAAACGGCGAGATCAAGGCCAACGTGACCAAGGACGTGCTCGGCCTCAGCACGTACGTGCGCTCCAGCGACCACGAGTGGTCCGTCGAGTAAACAACTCAGACTCTGTTTTTTGGCCCCTCGACATTCACACATGCCGCAACTGTATTATGCTTGCAACCACACACGCACATACAACACATGCATGCATCGGGTTACAACATGGTTGCATGCGGGAAATAGGTGGATTGGCGGGCATGGGGGGGTTTGAATTGTTGTGCATCTGCAAGACGGACTGGGAGGCGGGGATTGCACACCTGCCTTCGTAATGACAGGCCGACGCCCTCAAGGTATGCGAGATGCACGCATAGTTCAAGATTGGGGCCGTCACGATCTCATGGCTTGAGTGGGGTGGCATTGCAGGACGGGTAGGGGAGAGATGATCCTGCGGGTTGTGGGGGTGTGTCGCATGGGGGGATGATCAGTACTCTCAGTTTCCCCGCTGCGACCCCATGCGCGGACCATCCTCGTCGGTCGTCGGGCTACGCCTCCCTACACTAGCTTCACCGGCCTGGCTGCTTTAGACGGGGACCTGCCCTCCGAGCGGGGGTCTGAGGTAACTCGAGAGCGACCTTTTATTGGACTGAGCACCTAGCAGCTAGCAGGGGCGAGGTTGGACGAAACACGTACGAAGCTGGGTTTGGACTGTTTGCGCCCATACATGTGTTGGCGTCCCTTGGAGAAGAGGTTTGTCGGATGCTGGCTTCCTCTACCGCAGGCGTTTTGCCATTTCTCATTGTCGACATGTTTGTTTTCCATCCAGTAGGCGATCATAGTTGAAACGAAACTGCATCATGACCAGATTTGTTGAACAAAGTCAACCCACGACATCGGGAGAAAGTATTGGGCTAGCTCGCCCAAGCCGGCTGTATCTGCCTTCGCTTTTGTGACTTGCCCGCCCAGATGGCGATGGCTGGCTCGCTGGGACGAAAGGCTAACCACGCCAGCAGGGACGGCTTGCTTGTCACCGCTTGCACATGCTCTTGAAAGCCAGCATACCCAGGAAAAGAAGCAGAGGCCGTGAAGAGGTCTTGAAGGGTCTAGTCGGGCCCCAGGTGACGGATGACGATGGCCTTATCAGATAGCTTCATTCAACAACCCGGAGCTTCTGCCGATAGTGCACGGGCAGGCCACTAGGGCATGGTGATCAAGAGGGGCTGCTGCGAGAAGAAGATGGAGCGCTGTGGAATGTGTGACAGTGCCACAGGGTCGGCACATGCTCCTGAACAGAAATGCTGATCATGGATGACTACGTCTTATGCTGTGTGCCGAACCGGCCCTTGATGATGCAGACATACAAGCATGCTTGCCACTATGTTTACCTCTACCGGGCGGTCCGGCGATCTGGGCGACCTGATTGAGCTTGTTGAACAGTCCGTGGCCCCAACCATAACGACTTGGCTTGAGTTGTGCGAACCTTCCCAGGCGGCGAATAGCATCGTGATTGGCCAGGCCCACCCAGAAGCGGTAAGAGCGCAGGCCCCACCCCCCTTCCTGGACGTGGTCTGTGGTCGTGGACAAGGCAGGGAGCCTTGAGTCTGGGACCCCGGATGGGCTTTGCAGTCTCTCGCAGCGACGGTCGTTCTCCAGAGATGCCATGAGGCGCCGACCCTGTGACCACTTGGCTGAGACTGCACAAGAAGCAGCCAACCATTGTGCATCGCTCGAGATGTGGTGTGGTTTGAAGTCCCCGCAACGGCCGCATGCCTGCTCCAGCTTCGAGGTAAGGAGAGGTGTGGTTGAGAGCCGGCACAGAAGCGTTTGCTGTGTTTGGCGTGAGACTTGGCCGTTGTTGGCCAGCCAGATCCAAAAGCCGGGGCAGCACCTTGCCACAGGGAGCTTGGGCGTAGCGCGACGCCACCGTGCCTGGATCGTGACTCTTCCCTGCTGGAATGCTACTAGGAAGCACTGGAAAAGCCGTCGTCGACGTGCTGGAGCCCGCCTTGGAGATGCAGACGTCAGTGCCAGTTACACAAGACAGGGGGGTGGGAGCTGCCTGGCTTCTGCCACTCTGGGACCGCACCTTTGTCACGGCTCACCTGGATGTTGCAGGTTCGGAGCAATCGCCGTCCGTGGCATTCGTGGCATGGAGGGCGGTGGGAGGAAGCTGAGGCGAGTCAGGAGAAGCGCTGGGCAAGCAGGCGCGCGACTCAATGCGGGGAAGGAGCACCCCGGGCAAGGATGAGGGTGGGACTGGAAGGCACGGCTGCCAAGGTTGTGGGGTTGTGTGGAGGGTGCGGGGGGTGGCTGCAGCCTGAGGCAGGGGGCCCGCCCCGCTGCCTGGCCTGCCGGCCACTCTGAACTCTGCTGCACCGTCCCAGGTCGTCGTTGCCAAACTCTGCTGCTCAGAGCCTTTATGGTATAGCGCAGACTCGCGTGCTCCAAAGCAGCCGATCACCCTCTCCCTGACCCAGCCATTCCTCGGCGCATCGGTCGCCGTGCTCGCCCTACGATCTCCAGCAAACCACCCTTGCCTTCTCGGTCCCCTGCCTGTGCCTGTCAAGAACAGCGAGAGCAGGCAATCCCGGATGTTAGCAATGGCTTGAAGTGGTTGGGAGGACATCTTCATGCTTGACAGCCGTCATCATGGGCTTTCACGATGGGCGTCTTGTGCACACCAGCGGGCTACGGCTAGCTCTCAGCTGGGGCAACTCGACATCAGACCACGAGACACGATTGGATGCTGTTTCGGGAAAGGGCGCTCGACACCATTCGGATCGCAGCCTGCTGCCCCAGCCCAGCCCAGTCCAGCCTGTGCCGCAGTGCTCGTTCCTCATGCCCGCTCGACCCCGCTGCGCCAACCTTGGCTCGTCCTTGCTCTAGCCGCCTACTGCCGTGGCAAAAGCTGCCATTGTCGTGTCGTGTCGTCGTCGTGCCAGGTTCCCCAGCCTAGCCCTCCATGGTGGCGTAGCATCCCTGAGGCTACCGCACTGGGCTGCCTGGACCCCAATCCCTATTCTCTTCCAGTCCAGCGGCGCCCTTCTTATTAGACACCCCGGTCGTTATGGCTGTCGGAGCTCGGATAGACCAAATTCCCCAGACCCTCCCTTCCCCAGGTTGCGATGCCCGCATTCGTACGGAGGAATAGTCTCTGAGCTCACTGGCCACCAGCAAGGGTCTAGTGCTGTCCGAGAAGAGGCCCGCCTCGTGCTACCCCGTCCCTTGATGATCCGCTGCCCATGGGGAAAGCGGGTTTTGCGAACCCTTCCGGTCTCGTCTCCGACCACTACCACTTGCCCCAGTTCTAAGCTCTACCTCTCTTTGCACCTTGGAATATACGTGGATCTATGCAACTTTGCACCATTCATCCACACAATTCATCGCTGATACAGCTGCTCTCGTTTGTCGCCCTCAGTCTTCACCGTAGGGTTCTATCTATTCGCTCCAATATTTCTCACGTCTCGGGTCTCCTACCAACATTGTTTCCCATTGTGAATGTCACTTTTCGAGGGTCGCCAGCACCATGGCAACCACTTCCAACAAGAAAGCCGCCGAGGCCGAGGCCCCAAAGCCAGACGTGTCGAACCAGGAGAACGTGACTGCTCGGTCCAACTCGACAAAATCTGCCAACAAATCACAAGTCCGCCATCGTGCCTCAGTGGCGTGCGCTTCATGCCGTGACCGCCGCATCCGTTGCGTCGTTCCCAAGGGTGAAAATGAGTGTACGCAATGTAAGCGGACAGGCACAGAATGCATCATCAAGAACGATGATGAACGCAGGCGGTAAGCAGGCCCCCATCAATCTTGACATATCGCAATTTGCATTCTGACCAGCTCTTGTCGGCACAGACCAATTTCCAAGGCGTACATGTCATCACTTTCAGATCGCATCAACATGCTCGAAGGAATGCTCCTTGACAAAGGCGTAGTTCCACCTCCGCCCCGGCATCCGCCCAAGACCAGGCATGGTTCGCAAACAAAGACGGAGGATGTGCAAGACAACGTTGAAGGATCTCCAGAGCCCGAGCACAAACAAGCAAATGGACTGCGACAGTCTCCAATTGGCGAGGTGCCGTCACCTCCCGACTCAGCAAGTGACGACTACGTCATGCATGACAGCCCTGGATGGCCCGAAGGTGCCAATGTGGCCGTTACAGACTTCCAGCCTCTGCCCAAAGAGCAATCGCCATTCCGCAATCTGGACCCCAAGCAGGAAGATATCGTGCATCGCCTTTTGTCTACCAAGGGCAACTTATCATTCGATCAGTTGTCCGGGCGTCTGCGGTTCTTCGGTCCCACAGCCAACAGCCATGTGTACGCCGACTCGGCAGACAAGTACGATGCACGCGAACCTGCCGAACAGGTGCGGCGAGCTCAAAGAATCATTCGCTCGCTGTCTTCTGATACCTACAATTACCTGATGGACACCTTTTGGGAGTACTACAACAGCGTCCTGCACGTGATTGACCAAGAGGCATTTGAGGGCGATCGCGACTCGCAGAACCCTAAATTCTACTCGTCCTTCTTACACATCACGGTTCTCGCCATGGGCTACTTCTACTCGGACAAGACACGAGACGACATGAAGCGGATTACCCTCGGCAGCCGCGAGAGCACATTACACCGCGAAGCAAAGTACATGCTCGACACAGAGCTTGAGAAGCCCGGCGGCATTTCCAGCGTACAGGCCTTGCTTATCCTCGGTGATCTTGAGTGCGGTTTGGGACGTGACAACACCGGGTGGATGTATGCGGGTAAGTGTCCGACGCCAGCTACAGCACTGCTTTGCAGTTAGAGACTAACAGCTGAAAAGGGATGTCCAATCGACTGGCATTTGACGTCGGCCTTCACCTGGATTGCAGCAACAATGGACTCCCAGAGAGGGATGTCCGAATCAGACAAATGGTCATGCGATCGTGCATCCTGTATGACAAGTATTGGGCACTGTTTCTTGGAAGGCCCACGAGTATCAAGAGCCAAGACATCGGCATGGATCTGCTAGCACAGCGCTTCACCGAGCTCATGTCACCAAAGTCGGCCAAGTCATTGAAGCCAGCATCGTTGGCGGACCAGAGACTCGAGATATACGAGCAACTGTACGAACTCATGGAGCTTGCCGGTCGCATCGTCGAGATTCGCGACATCAAGAGCAAGCGCCGAGTTGGAGACCATGATGTCTTCTCAACAGGAGAGGTCGAAGACAACGCTTACCTTCACGTGGTTAACCTTGACCGACAACTCCAAAACTGGTACAGACGGCTGCCTGATCATCTGACATGGAAGCCGACAAACATCAAGACTGCAGAGTTTCCCTTCTTCCTCCTGCATCAACAATACCATGTCACCATGATCTTACTGCACCGCCCTTGGGCAAAATACACCACCATTGGGAGTGCTGGCACAGGGACCAGTTCGCAGCCTAGCCCTGGTAGCGTCATCTCGTCGCCAGTTCGAGGGCATCATGATCAACTCTCCACAGCCAACAATGGACAAGCTCTGGGCCTCGGTGACCCAAACAGTCTTGTGCACGACAGCCGCACCTCCTTGTCGAGGAGCATATGCACACAGCAAGCCATTCGGGTTGCCCGGATCTTCTGGCAGCACCGTCAGCGCTTCGAGGGCAAGCGCATGTTTGTGACCGGAATCCAGCATGCGGGAACCGCCTCCATCGCGTTGATTGCTGCGTTGGCGTACCAGCAGAGTGAAGCAGAACGGCGCAGCTACATGAGCTACCTCGAGATCCTGTCGCAGGCAATCAATGACATGAGTGAGACGTATCAGCCTGCCGAGCGGATGGACAGTCTGCTCGAGGCCGTACTGACCCAGGTCCGCGGCGACGCCCCTGAGAATTGGCATCTGCGCACAAACTCATTTGCAGGAAGCGTGGCCGCTCACTCTGGCAGCCCATGGCCCGACAACAGCGCCTACTCTATGCTGCCGGTGCGCAGGGAGCACCCAGATGCAGAATATGCAGGGGTCAATAAGAAGCGCCTGCGTCCTGGACCGAGCCGTCGCGCCTCAGAGATCCCACGGCCCCGGCCGACTTTCGGCACGGCATCGTCTGCGGCAAATCAGCTGCCCTCCTCGTCGCACTTGTTGTCCAACAGTGGCCAGCAGCACGCGTCCCAATCCTTGTCCGGCTTCTTCCCGACATTTGGAGAGTCCACGCCGTTCTTCGACACGATGAACGGGTCCGCGATTGACATAGATCACAACGACGATGTCCCGACCACCCGTAGTGTAGCTGCTGACGACTATGTCCTTGTACCGCCACCAGCCGACGACTGGTCCACGATGAACGGTCTAGCCGGCGATGATCCCGCTGGCCACGGGACAAGTTGTCATGACTTTGGCTTCCAGATGTCTGACTTTGTCTCCAGTGGTGCTCCAGGCATGTCCGCGTCAACTCCGTCCCTACATGATCCTCGTCTGACCGGCAGCGTGCTGAGTGGTCTCGGCGCGAGCAGCAGCCATCTTCACCACCTACATTCTGACAATCACGCTGGTGGAACGCTGAGCGGTGACGAGCACAAAGCAATAGGCGAATCGGCCATGGAATGGATCAACAACGAAGGCACGGGGCTGAACTCGGTAATGGGGATCGAGAATAATGATATCCAGGATGCGAGTGATGGGCGCAGTAGCCGGCTCGGGGCCAACTCAAGTGCAGGCACTCGCAACCACGAGCTAGACTTTTTCAGTTTCTGATTGTTGCTCAGCGAAGTCGGCTTGATGTTTGAAAGGCTGCAAAGATTTCGGATTATGGGAGATGATGATGTGATTCGAAGTCTCTCTGCTCGTATATTTGCTTGGTTAGCGTCTGGATTGGAGATTGGTTGTGCAAAGTGTTTGGGCGAAAAGTTACCCTTCGAGGTCATTATTTGATATCCCAGGAATGGTTGCGCTCAGGTCGAATTTTTGTAAGGACTCTTCATGGCCCGGAATGTAGAGCATGTGATTGAAGCAGGGTAATAGTTATGAAAAGCCAAGTTTCGACTGTCCGCGAGAAATACCAGATTGAATTTCAACGTCAATGACAACGTCCGCGGTCCAAGATGTGCAGGTTTATCTATACAAATGGGGGTGTAGTCCGCGTTGGGGATATGGTCCGACAATCACACGACCAAATCACACCGATACATCGGACCTGGCTGAACATGCGATGAACCCAATCCAACTCCGGGCGCGGACCCGGACTGTCGTCGGGTACATGGAACCACCAGGCACACCTTTTCCACACACAGCACGGTATACCCTTCCCATCCTGGTTGTACCCTTGCATTGCGTGTGCCGCCCGTTGGCTCTCTGTCCTCCAGTATTGCGGGCAACATTGACCAGGGATATATGGGGGGAGGGGGATGTATTTACCCAGCCACGAGTGAGAAGGACCGGGGGTTTGTGAGCGACCGACCACAATCTTGTGAAGATCGCGTGTGTCCCTGCTTACCCGGACCAAGAGACGTTTTCGTCTTCGGCGGCAAAATTTCAGGTAGCTGCTTTGAGCTGAAGAGAATTTTCGCTGGTCTACATGGAGAGGGAAATATTGGGGGTTGGTTAACTGGCTGGCTGAGCGGGAACGGTAAGAGGGAAAGCCTGGAGGGAAATGCAACCCTATCGGTCCCGTTACCAACGTTCTATCTACCCTGTCCATGTGGTGTACCGTACCGAGAACAAATATGGGGGTGGAAGTGAAGTAATCAGCTTGAAATTGGCGCTGGATGCCGAGAAGATGAACACACCGCGTTCAAGTTCGATTACGTACACTCCACCATATGTCACCAGATGAGCTGTTTCTCACGGGATCACAAACACATACTATGAGTACCTGCCACACACCACATCGCATGCTGTCCTCTTCTATCGCTAAGTTCCAAAGTCGGCTCCCAGCTTCCATACCCGTCACTGACAAGCACTGCGTTCCTTCTCTCCCCCCCCCCCCCAAAAAACCTACTGCGTCGTGAACCCGCCGTCGAAAACCACAGCAGCGCCCTGCATGAACCCGGCCAAGGGGGACGCCATGAGGGCGACGGCGTCGCCAATCTCCTCCATATCGGCCATGCGCTTGAGCGGGGTGTTGCGGATGTCGCGCGCCAGCGGCGAGTCCGAGTCCTGGTCCATCGCGGATAGGAGCAGCGGGGTCTTGACGTATCTATTGGTTTGTTTTGTACGAGATACTGTTAGCTTCATTCAGCTCGATTGAAGTGCTCTTCCTGCCCGGGGGATACATGCTCCCAGAGTGACCGCGGCGAGTCCTGACCGGCGAGTCTTTGCTTTACCAGGATCGGTGTTCAGGCCTGAAGCTCAAGTGAACGACTACCAAGACGCGTTCCGGGAGAGCAGAACGAAAAGGAAAAAAAAGAAAACAGACTTACCCAGGACATATCGCATTGATCCTTATCCCCTCGGGCCCGTACGCGTTCCCATCCGCCTTGGTCAGCCCGACCACGCCATGCTTGCTCGCCGCATACGCGGCATGGTACATGGGCGCCCCCGGCGCGACGAGGCCATACATGCTGGCGATATTTATAATCTTTCCCCGTCCCAGCCGGAGCCCGAGATCCTCCTGGCCCATCATGACGCCCAGCTCCGCCTTCTGGCACCGCCACACACCGTTCAGGTTGACGTCCAGCACCCTCAGCCACTCCTCCTGGTCGGTCAGGTGCGTCTGCTTGCCCGTGCCCCCAATCCCGGCGTTGTTGACGGCCACGTCGAGCCGGCCGAACTTCTGGGCCGTGTGGGTGATCCCCTCGCGGACCTGGGACTCGCTGCGCACGTCGAGGTTGAGCTCGAGGACTTCCTCGAGGGATGGGTACTGCTTCCGCAGGGCGGCCGCGGAGGTGGCAAGGAGAGAGGTGTTGATGTCGGCCAGGGCGAGGCGCTGGATGCCGTGCTTGGCAAAGGAGGCGGCCGTGTGCTGTCCGATGCCTGAGGCGGCGCCGGTGATGAAGGCCGTGCCCTTGAGGAGAGCTGCCGCCATTGCTGCTTTTTCTCTCGTGTATGTATATGTGTGTGTGCTTGTGTGTGTGACAGAGATGGTGTGTGTCTGGGCGGCTTTATCGTGGAGGGTCTTGTGCTCTGGTTCGCTTCTGTCGTCGTGGTTTTGACGGCGAAATGTGGTGGCTGAAGTGGCCCTTGATTGAGGTGGTCGTTCTGGTGTTGGCGCCTTCTCCAAACGGTGTTCCCGCGAAGGCTTTGGTTCAACGGGCTGTTGTGCTCATTCCCCTCAAGCCTGGTGTGATGGCATAAAGAGCGATCGGAACCAGTGCAGAGCCAATCTCACGAATGGCATGTATGACTGTTGACAACTACTTCAGAATTCAGGTGACGGCATACAGGGAGCTTATGCTATGGGCGCACGATCTCTTCTACTTGGTGTTCGCCGTGCTGCAGGTTGGCCAACCACAGAAAACGCCTTGTAGTGAAGCCCAAGCTACAAAGCATGGCTACGCGTAGCGCCTAACGCTTCCGGATCTGCTCAGCGGCAGCTAGCTCTCCCCGCATTGCCTGGAGCTCGATCTCGGGGTCAACACACCCGTGTAACCCGAGGGGCTGACTTTACACACGCAGAAACACCTTCTCGCACCTTTTAGTCTTCCCCGGGTTTACATGACTGAGCCGAGTGCTAGACTTCGTTGAATCAGTCCGTTGACGATGGTGGGGTGCACACGACAGGCGGCCGTGGAATTGGGGTCAAACAACGCTAACGCCCAGGAAAGTCAGGGGTCCGTCCCTGCCATCGACCACCCATCTTTAGCGCTTGAGATGAACCGCCAGGCTGTAGGCCCCCGCAGCCCGCGCCCTGGCTTGGCCACCTCCGGGTTTCCTTCTCCGGAAGACGTGGGCAGGTCTCGAGCTGCATTTCTGGGGGGATGGGCCTCTTATAGCAACCGGGACTGAGATTTGCTTAACCGGTGCTCATCCAGAGGCAACGCCGTGTTTGTAGATTCAGCAATGTTTTTAGAATCAGCAGTGTCTGGAATTAATTCGAGATTGCAGACATGTCAAAGCACGGGTATTCTGGATCTAGGGTGAGTCAACTGAGTGTGTCATTAGGGCCCTGCCCGCACCTACACTGGTCCCTTAAAGGTGACCTCCATTAAGGAAATTACCAGTCTTGATCGCGACCTCCGCACCCAGAATTGCCAGACGAGCACGCCCCCTCCTGGTTCAATTCCGCACGCCCCCCATCATCAAGCTGTGGCAGGATGGGATACAGCTGGGAAGTGGGAAGGAGTCATGTCTTCCCTCATGCCCTCAACTTCATGACTCGATGGTCCCCGTCCCAATGCGGCCGGCTAAGGGTGGCCGCGGCGGCGAGTGTCTCTCCACCCATTCCCCCAGGCCCCTCGATCGGCCCCGGGCCAGGGGTGCCACCATTAACCCACGATCCACACCTCCCGAATCAAAGTCGGGGGCGGACACCACCACTCCTACCCCGCGTTGCAATGCCTCATAATGCCAAGGCAGTTTTGGGGAAGGAGGGAAAACATCTCGCGGTGGGGAGGCCTAGCTGAGTGTAACGCAGACTGTACACAACAGGAGGAGGGCGTGCTTGTAGGCATGGAGTCACGCTGCTCGGGCGCGCGGAGCGTCTCGGCTGGAGAGTGTGCAACGGAGATTACGGGCTCAAGCTCATGCCATGAATGAAGTGGTCCCCACCAGCAGCAAAGAAACCAGAAGCTGGCCTACTACGTAAAGAGTAGCTTACCTTGAACCTCAGTCGTTTGCTCGCTCAACTGCTTGCACATTACTGCTGTAAAGCTGCAATTCCTTATCTTTTAAGCTAATTTCATATCGACCAGCCTCCCCGTGGACAGAGCAATACCACTCTAGACCTGCACTCTGTGGTAGCACACATACTGCATCTCACAGATCATCTCGTTCACATTCCCGTCCCAGCAGCCACAGCCCGTCAAGATGAGCCAGCTCGGTCCGTCTCTCAAAGAGTCCTCCGGCGGCTCCAAGTCGGAGCTGCCCTGGACAAAGGAGAACCTGCCCAAGCAGCTGTTCATCAACAACGAGGTCAGTCTCTTCTTCCGCTCCCGGTTGACAAACACTACCTCTCCCTGGTCCTTTCCGGAGAAAACCAACTAACACTGCCTTGCAAAACCAACACAGTACGTCGACTCCAAAAACGCAAAGAAGCTCGAGCTCTACAACCCCGCCGACGGCTCCCTCATCGCCAAGGACGTCGCCCTCGCGGGTGAGGCCGACGTCGAGTCCGCCGTCGCCGCCGCGGAGGCCGCATACCCAGCGTGGCGCAAGACGCCCGCGACCTTCCGGCGCGACTGCCTGGCCAAGCTGGCCGACCTGATCGAGCAGCACGGCAAGCAGCTCGCGTCGCTGACGCGCATCTCGCTCGGCGCGCCCTTTGGGTCGTTCGGCAGCTTCGAGGTCAACATGTGCGCCGAAGGGTTCCGGTACTTCGCGGGCTGGACGGACAAGTTCGCGGGCGAGTCGTACCCGCAGGACGACGGGTTCATGAAGATTGTGCGCAACGAGCCCCTGGGCGTGACCGCGGGGATCATCCCCTGGAACGGGCCCCTGGGGAACATCGGGATGAAGGCCGGCCCCGCGCTGGCCACGGGCAACGTGTTCATCCTCAAGCCCTCGGAGAAGACACCCTTTAGCGCGCTCGCGCTGGGCACCCTGATCAAGGAGGCCGGGTTCCCGCCGGGCGTGTTCCAGATCATCTCGGGCGACGGCAGCACGGGGGCCATCATCGCAAGCCACATGAAGATCCGCAAGGTCAGCTTCACGGGGTCGACCACGACGGGGCGCAAGATCCAGGAGGCCGCGGCCAAGAGCAACCTCAAGCGCGTCACGCTCGAGCTGGGCGGCAAGAGCCCTGCCGTCGTGTTTGACGACTGTAATCTTGACAACGCCGTGGCGTGGTGTGTCAACGCCATCACGGGGAATACAGGGCAGGTGTGCTTCGCGGCGTCCCGGGTGTACGTGCAGGAGGGCATCTATGACGAGTTTGTGAAGCGGTACAAGGCCGCAATGGAGGAGCGCGGCAAGGCCGTGGGACACCCGGAGGAGGAGGGGACCATCATGGGCCCGCTGGTCGACAAGGCGCAGTTTGAGCGGGTCAGCGGCTTTGTCGAGCGCGGGAGGAGCCAGGGCACGCTGCTCACGGGCGGCGGCAGGGTCGGAGACAGCGGCTTCTACATCCAGCCGACGGTTTTCACCAATGTTCCGCACGACGCCGAGATCTCGCGGGACGAGATCTTTGGCCCCGTGTCGGTGCTCAACAGCTTCAAGACCGAGGACGAGATCATCGCGAAGTCCAACGACACGACGTTCGGGCTCATGGCTGGTGTGTTCACCCAGGACATCAACAAGGCCATGAGGCTGGCAACCGCGTTTGACAGCGGCATGGTGGGCATCAACTGTGTGTCGCTGTGCTTCTTGACGGCCCCGTTCGGCGGCACCAAGGAGAGCGGCATCGGCAGGGAGAATGCCATCAATGCCCTGCGAATGTTTACCGAGACCAAGACGGTCATGATCAACTTGACTTACTAGTGTGCAGGCAGAGTCGGTGGTTGTGTATTTCTTGCACCGGTGTTTAGCTAGATGCGACACGAAGTTTTGAATCAATGTCTTCAATCATTATTTCTTTGATCATGACATGAAAGCTGGTGATGCCGGGAACCATTGCGGTCATGATTGCATGCATTATGTGACCGCAGCTGTGACAGCCTACGGAGATTGAGGCCGGCTACTTTCGACATTGGCAAAATATGATCAGATGCGTGCTAACTGTCACTACACATGAATGCAAGACACACAAAGTCTCGAGTCGAGACAGTTCATGATTTGTTTCCCGCCGTAAATAAAAGCCCTGCACTCTTGGCTCTGCCCTCTCACAGTCTCGACAACCTGCCTGCCGCCAAACGAGCTGCACCATCCACTGCAACATTGACTCCATTCCTGTAGAGAACATCAGCAGGCTACACAATCAAACTGAGCTCAGGTCACTTACACATATTTGCCCGCGGGTGAGCATAAAAAGACTGCGACGCCAGCAATATCATCGGGCTCGCCCAAGCGACCCAGAGGGTTGTCTGCACTGAGAGACTCCTCTCCGCCGAGATTGCTGATCAGCCCCTGTGCCAGCTTGCTAGGGAAGAATCCAGGAGCGATAATATTTGTGGTGATGTTCTTGCCGCCGAGCTCGACTGCCAAATTTCGTCCCAGGTGCTACGGTCACCGGTCAGTCATTTTCATATAGGTGGGTCTATCCCCGCACAAACAAAAGACTTACATCTGCCGCGGCTTTTGAGGCAGAGTACATGATTGTGCCGTGCTCGCCAATGTGCGGGACATTGGTGCCCGCCGTCGAGCTAATGATGAGTACACGCGACGGGTCCTGCCGCGTAGCGGTGCCGGCGAGCTGGGGAAGGAACTTCTGGGTGAGCTCAAAGATGCCACGGACGTTGAGGTCGAGGATCTTGATGGAGGAGCTTGGAGGCGCGTCTTCGAAGCGCGAGCCCCAGGCAGCGCCCGCATTGCAGACGAGGATGTTGAGCCCCTTGGAGCCGACAATCTTCTTGACCTCGCCGGTCAGGCGCACAATGTCCTTGGAGTCTGCGACATTGGCGGCGATGCCGACAGCCTTGCCCTTGATGTTGGGGAGGGCGTTGAGCTTGTCGACGGCCTGGTTGATGCCCTGCTCGCCCTCGAGCTTGCGGGCAGTGACGATGACGAGCGAGGCGCCGGCGAGGAGGAAGCCGGTTGCGATGTGGAGGCCGAGGCCGCGAGAGCCGCCGGTGACGAGAGCCGTCTTTCCCGCGAGGGAAAAGGCCTGGTCAAAGTTGCGGAGGTCCGACATGGCGGCTGATGGCGTAGAGTGTGAGGCGTCCAGAAGACCAGAAGATGTGGTGATGCAATGCAGCGTTGCGGAGAAAGAACGAGAGTTTGACGCAAGAGAGAGAAGACAGACGTAGCCCACTGTGTAGTGACTGCCCCTGCAGTGCGAGCTGTTGCTGCCGTCAGAGTGCCGACCTGCTGGCTGGGGTGAGGTTTCGTCTCGTGTCAGTGCCTGTTGGCCATCTCTAGGTAGCAGTTGAAGATGACCCCCAGCGTAGTTGACGAATGCGCTGTGCGCCGTCACCACGCCCAATGGCACTTTGCCGTGGCAAGCTCGGTACTTTATGGTCCAGCAGGCCCACGCACTGCCCTGTCTGGGGAAGCCCTGGAACTCCGCAGCGGCTGCCTTTACCCCGCGCCCAGCCCCAAGCCACGGCCTCCAACCCCCGGCAGGTTCAATGGCGTCTGTGGCTACTTCGCGATGATGACATTTATTCAATCTCGTCTCGAAAACAGCGGATCAGTCTTGTAGTTTTGTCTTCCTTGGCAGCCTTCGGTTCTCTTTTTCACTCCATCTTCTGGCTTTGATTGTGAGCCTGTCCTTTGACAATCCACCCGGGGACGACTTATAAGCCAAGTCCAAGCGATATTCTTTTGTCATTTCACAAATCCTCACCAGCAACCTCGGGCCCAGCATGGTCTACAAGTCGCCTTTCCCTGACCTCGACCTGCCCTCGTGCAACATCCTGTCGTACCTCTTCCCCAAGGACAAAGCGCCCTACGACGACCCTCTCTGGTACGATGCCAAGACGCCAGAGTCAAATCTCTCGCCAGCCCAGGCTCTCGTCTGGGTCAAGAGACTGGCTCTCGGCCTTGAGAGATTGGGCCTCAACAAGGGGGACGTTGTCATGATCCTCACTCCCAACCAGATATTCGTGCCTGTGGCGTATCTGGGCATCGTCGGTGCCGGCTGCTGCTTTAGTGGTGCCAACCCTGCTTATACAGTACCCGGTAAGTTTTTTGATTTGAACATGCGTCCGTAAAGTGGATGGCTCCTTACTTCTATCACAGAGCTCGTTCACCAAATCAACAACACCACTGCCAAGCTCATCCTCGTCCATCCGAACCATGTCAAGTCGGCTCTTGCCGCTGCCGAAAAGACAAGCTTCCCCCTCAACCGCATATTCCAGTTCTCAGACACCTGGGTGCCGGCGAAAGCCGGGATTACCGACTTCCGCTCCTTCATCGGCAGCGAGGCCGAAGCCGCAAGCTACCAATGGCCAGAATTGACGCCCGAGGAGGCCCGGACGACCGTCGCCACCATCAACTACAGCTCCGGCACCACCGGCCTGCCCAAGGGCGTCTGCGTGTCGCACGCCAACCTCGTCGCCAACGTCGAGCAGACCATCGTCATGCGCTACGCCCACAAGCCCTATCCTTTCGAGAAGCGGCCGAGCGAGCGATGGATCGGTTTTCTCCCGCTCTATCACGCGTACGGGCAGCTGTACACGATCCTGATGGCGACCAAGCTGCGCGTCCCCGTGTACATCATGACCGACTTCCGGTACGAGGAGTTCCTCTTCAACATTGGCCGGTACAAGATAACATCTTTGCAAATCGCGCCGCCCATCCTCGTCATGCTGAGCAAACGGCCCGAGACATCCCGGTACGACCTCCGCAGCCTGCGTGACTGTCTCTGTGGGGCTGCGCCGCTGAGCAAGGAGCTCCAGAACGACTGCCAGAGGCGGTTCGGGATGCAGATCAACCAGGGCTGGGGCATGACCGAGGTGACCTGCGGAGCCATCCATGTCCCGGGCGGGGTCAGTGACGACTCGGGCAGTGTGGGCCAGCTCGATCCCAACTGCGAGCTGAAGCTGCTCGACGATGATGGGAAGGAGGTCGCGCTCGGTGAGCCAGGGGAGATCTACGTCCGGGGACCGCAGATCTGTCTGGGATACTGGCGGAACGAGGAGGCAACAAAGGAGTCATTAGACGCGGACGGGTGGCTGAAGACGGGTGATATTGCGATTTGCAACAAAGAGGGCTATTTCTGGATCGTAGACCGGAAGAAGGTACCTATCTCTTTCATCGCTTCTTGTGTGAGCTGCAAAACTGACTCAGTGTGCAGGAACTAATCAAAGTCAACGCCTTGCAAGTTGCGCCAGCCGAGCTCGAGGGCGTGCTTTTGGAGAACGAGCACATTGCCGACGCAGCTGCCGTGGGTATCACAATGTTTGTCCTCCCTGCCCCAGTTCCCTTTCCCCATTCTACCTTTGCACCATCCTCTCAGACTCTCTCACGCACGATTGACTAACACATGCTCTTGTCACGTGGCACAGAAAAGACGTCGAGGCTCCGCGGGCGTACGTCGTGATTCACGAATCGTCCAAGGGCAGAGTCACACCGCAAGAGATCCAGGAGTGGATCAAGTCGCGCGTCGCGAAGCACAAGTACCTCAACGGCGGCGTCATCTTTATCGACGAGGTGCCCAAGCTCGCGAGCGGCAAGATCCAGCGAAAAGTGATGCGCGAGTGGGCGAAGCGGGACGCGGCGGAGATTGAGCGCCGGATGGCGACTGAGGGGAGGGCGAAGCTTTAGTTCAAGACGATTGCACTTTGCCGTCGGCCTTCAACTGCGGCCTAAATCATGTAGATCTATGCATTTCTTTTGGCAAGGAGATGAGGGTTTGAGAGAGACAGAGAGAGAGAGAGAGGAGAAAGCGAAGTTCAAGACTGGTCATGAGCAGAGAGTGCTTTTGCATTCTGCACGGCCTGTTAGCTTCTGCATAGAAGCCCGACAGAGGAGCATCTGAAATGCAGCGTTTCCCATTCTTCAATAGTAGGGTTCACAAGCATGGGGTACTTGTCAAAACACTTGGCAATCGACTGGCGATCGCAGTCGTCGGGATGTAGGGCTCCTGTCCTGGACAAGTAGACAAGTTCAGACAGCCTCTGCCTTGCCTAGCAAGTGGGATATCCTCCTCGAAATATGGCTTGTGCCCTCTCCTTCTCCATCACAGGTACGACGCATAATCCATGAAAATCACGATACTTGCAGGTAAGCAAGCCCGCGCGCGTGCAAGCCATCAAGCCTGTACAAGGCCAGTTCTCTCTTCGCACAACCGACAACAAAGCAGCTGGAGCCAAAGAGGAACACGCACACGATACAGAGTGCTACCCATAGCCCTGAAACAAACCAAACGCGCCCGGGCTTGGCTCTGCATAATCAGGGTAGGAGCTTCCCGAACAATCCAAAAGACACAAGGGGCTGCTGAGGACAAGTGTAACGGGGGGTCGCATGTCCAAGCTAGCATGCTAGCATGCTGTATTGATGCGCCTGACGACGTGGGCTAATCTGCACCGGAGGCAGAGCAAGCGACGATAGACAGGCTGACAGACAGGGAAGGGTACGGAGCGTGCGTCGTGTGGTGAAAAAGCCGGTGGATTGCGGGAGTCGTTAACCGCGGGTGCTGCAGACTGTGTGGGCATCTTGTGGGGGAAACAGGGGGGGCTTTTCCCCGCATGCAGCAGGCCCCGCTCCCCCGCCCCGGCTGGCCCCACACCCGAATCCCTTGAGGGAACCCGGGGCACAGGGGGGGAGGATGCTTGATGCTTGCTGGGGGTGCTCCACGACGCGGGACCTCGGGGGAGATCCTGGGTCACGTAGTAGTGTTACACGGTGTGTGGACGCACATGGTATCATGCCTGTGAATCCCCTATCGGTGCAGAAAGTCCATGGACGGTCAACGCCGGCGTGCTGATCGCCCTTGCACCGGCTGGCTTTGTGAAACATGCGAGATGCATCGCCACGCTTGCACGCACCAGCTTCGAAAAGAAAGAGAGACAGCCGAGCACTACATGCATGCTACGAAAAGACAGCCTTCCAAGCAGCGGTGAGGGGGAGCAAGCCAGCAAGCTGGCCTCTTGCCAGCCTCAGCTGCTGCTAGACCACAGTGCATTACAAGAGCTAGTGACATGAGCTGAGATCAATGCGGCTAGTGTAACGAGCTTTTACTGATGCTGTGCGTGTGACTTTGCCCGCGCCTATCGCCAGGAAGGGGAAGCCAGCAAAACACAAATACCGGTGCGACATGGGCAGATCTGAAACCCCCCAACAGCGCACCGTTGCCCATTTGTGCGTAGGCTCGTGCGTCTCAACGTTTAAAGCACACACATTCTAACCTGAGATGGTGTCACGCCGGGTCGCCGGCTGCTCTTAGCTGCGAGCACGACTGGACAGCCACGTTTCACCAAGCGCTGTGGCAGCCTCGAATGCAAACACCCGGCACTGCTGCTCCAGTTTGCTTTTTTGCCACGGCACTTGCCGATGTGGGCGGCTGCGCTGGCACAACGAAAGGCATGCGGTGTGTCACGAAAGGAATCTCTGCGCACGACTCAGAAAAGGATCTGCTTGGAGATGCGTATGAGTCAAGACCGAGCGCATCGGTTGCTCGTGGGAGCCCGCGGCACAAGCTCGCTAGCATTTCCTCACTCCAGCACGTCCCCATGGTAGTCATGTTAGAGTGCTTATTGGCGATAGCTCCCCCATGCATCTGAACCCTCCTCCTTTTTACCCCGGGATTCCGAAGGGGCCGCCCGCCCATTCCGGCATGACTCAGGTTTAGCTACATTTCCCCGCACAGCAGACTCGCTCATTTCAGAGATGGGGCCATCGGCCAGAACTGGGGAAGTGAGGGGTGTGGGAGATCACACGTGGGCGTGGGCATAGACCAGCTGTTCGAGGCCCGCCCCGAAAGTGAGACTTGAGAGGCGCACGAAAAAAGACTGTGTGGGCGCCATGGTAATGGTGATCCGGCAAATGCGGCCATTCCCCCTTGCTTTGCAGCATCTGAGATACAAATACACGCTTGGCCCAGACATTTCCCCTTCAGGCCACGGCCGATGTGTTGTACAAGACTCTTGTTATCTCGCAACTTTCTTTTTAACCCCGATCTCGCACCGATCCTGCCACTCTCGGGCCGCCAGGCCAAGTGCCAGATAAAGGCCAAGTTTCCAGAGCATTGTACGGGGCACTTTACAAGAATAAAGCGACGCTGCTGCCAACGCTAAAGCCCCAGATCTCTGGATCACTACAATTCCACCCTTAACCTCGTTCCTCGAGGCATCAATTGGCAGAGTGTAAGCCCTTTACAGGCGCAATGGCCGACTTTCCCGTCCCCCAGCACTCGACGAGTGCCGATCGGGACGCTGCCCAGCGGCTGCACAACCCCATCCACGCGGAGCGCCATGTTCGCGTCATCACAGTAGGCGCCGGTGCCTCTGGCCTGCTCATGGCCTACAAGCTGCAGAAGCACTTCAACAACTACAGCCTCGTCTGCTACGAGAAGAACCCAGCCGTGTCAGGCACGTGGTACGAGAACAAATACCCAGGGTGAGCCCCTCCCTTCAGTTCAAACCCAATACCAAATTGAGCACCGTTATTAACCACTCTTCACTGCTCCAGATGCGCCTGCGACGTCCCATCACACAACTACACATGGTCATTTGAGCCCAAAACCGACTGGAAGGCAACCTACCCGCCCGCCCAGCAGATCTTCGAGTACTTCAACGACTTTGCTACAAAGTACAACTTGTTCCGGTACATCAAGCTGCAGCACCAGGTCGTCGGCGCGTACTGGAACAACGACAAGGGCGGGTACGACGTGCAGGTGAAAGACCTGGCGTCGGGCAAGATTGTCAACGACCACTGCGACATCCTCGTCAATGCCGGCGGTATCCTCAACAATTGGAAGTGGCCCGCCATCCCGGGCCTCGACCAGTACAAGGGCACACTGCTGCACACGGCAAACTGGGATGACAACGTCGACCTGACTGGCAAGCACGTCGGTCTGATCGGCAACGGCTCCTCCGGCATCCAGGTCCTCCCGGCGATCCGAGAAAAGGTCAAGAAGGTGACCACCTTTATCCGCGAACCCACATGGGTCTCTCCTGTACCAGGACTCGAGCAGAAGATCTTCACCGACCAGGAAAAGTCCGAGTTTGCCAATGTTCCGGGCAAGCTGACCGATTACCGCAAAGGCATCGAGTCTGGCTTGAACGGGCAGTTTGGCCTCTTCCTGCAGAACAACAAGATCAACCTCGAGACGCGCGAGTACATGATCAACGCGATGAAGGAGAAGATCAACGACCCGTACCTCGAGTCCAAGATCATCCCCGAGTGGTCTCTAGGCTGCCGCCGCCTGACCCCGGGAGTGAACTACCTCGAGTCCCTGACCAAGGACAACGTGCAGGTCGTGTACGGCGAGATCAACAGCATCACCGAGCGCGGCCCGCTCTGCGACGACGGCAACGAGTACCCCGTCGACATCCTGATCTGCGCCACCGGCTTCGACACCACGTTCAAGCCGCGCTTCCCCGTCGTCTCGGACAAGGGCGAGAACCTGCAGGACGTCTGGTCCCGGTCCGACCCGACGTCCTACTTTGGCCTGGCCGCCGCCGACTTCCCCAACTACCTCATCTTCCTGGGACCCAACTGCCCGATCGGCAATGGGCCCGTGCTGTGTGCCATCGAGGCCCAGGCCGACTGGATGTGCAAGTGGATCGACAGGTACCAGACGACCAACATCAAGACTTTCGCGGCCAAGCCCGAGGCCGTGGCCGACTTTGTCGCCTTCAAGGACCAGTTCATGACCAAGACGGTGTGGGTCCAGAACTGCCGCTCATGGTACAAGGGCCGGCCCGACGGCCCTGTCCTGGCGCTCTGGCCGGGCTCCGCGCTGCACTACCTCGAGTGCATCCGGGACCTGCGGCTTGACGACTTCAACGTCACCTATGCCGGCAACCGGTTCGCCTGGCTCGGCAACGGGTACTCGCAGACCGAGCTCGACGAGACGGCCGACTGGGCCTACTACATCCGCGACCGGGACGACGACGAGCCCCTCAGCACCGCCGGCCGGAGGAAGAAGCTGACAAAGTCGGGCACCGTGTTTGACCGGGCTGCTGTCAACTTCTCGGGTGCCAAGGACGTGCAGAGGGGTGTTGTGGAAGAGCAGCCCGCTGCCCGTTTGTAGATGAGTGAGGTCTGAGGTGTGAAGAGAGTGCGCGCTATATTGCATGTAACTAGCGAAATGTGGTTATTGGTATTCCAAAGGATGTCTTTTGACACGTGGGACTTGATGTATATATATACTCCGTTGGATTGTGAGCATTCCCTTAGCAACGACCTGCTATCAAATTCCAAGACTATGAAGGTCTATGAGTTCCTCTTCAATTAGAGGTGTGACCAAGTCTTCTGCGGGCCGGGTTGTTCGGAGCTCGTCGCCGCCTTGCGCAGGTCCTAGGGGTGGTGGTGGATGACGCCGTCGGCGCTGAACGTGGCCATGTCGAGCTCGGCCTTGTTGACGAGCTTGCAAGTATCCTTCCACAATCTCTTGGCAGCCGGCGGGAGCGCGCACATACTTGCTTGGAGATATCCGGTCGGGCTCTGTTGGGCCGCAGGCAATGATATCCACACACAGCTCCGGGCACTCTCCATCCTCAACGGTAGAGAACGCGCCGTGTTGCTCGAGCAGCTCGACAAGGCTTCTGTAAGAGAAGTGGACGGCATGATCTAGCGGCGTTCTGCCGCAGATGTTCAATGGGTTCACCTGTGCTCCATGCTTCAGCAAGCACTGGGTGATACCGCGCCAGCCGAGCAGCGCGGCCCAGTGGAGGGGTGTGTTCCCATCCGAGGTGACGGCGGTATCGATGTGTTCTCGGTTGTGACTGAGAAACTCTTCAAGACCTCCGAGGTGGCCGTGAATCGCGGCGTGCGTGATTATCACGTATGGGGCGGGGCCAGTTGTGCCGCGCGTGACGAGGAGTGGCAGCAAACACCCTCTCTGATTCACGATGTGCTCAAATGGTGGGCTTCGCGCCAGCCGCTCGGCACCGAGACCGCAGCTAGAAGCGAGCTCTTTTGGGCCCGTGGTGTACCATTTTACGATGTCTAGCTTTGCGCCCTTCGACAGGAGGAGATCCACAATGTCCCCATGCCCGAAGACCGCGGCGTGAAAGACAAGAGAGCATCCACAACGAAGAGCCTGGTCGATTGGAACTTGATAACAATCAAGCAGCATCTCGAATATTCCGATGCTGCCACGCTCAGCCGCCGCAGCCATTTCATCCATGGCATTTACCCGCGATGACAAGGTTGTAGCAGCCTGCGTGCGCCGTTCCTCGAGTAAGAGCCAGCTGATCGTTCTTTCGCCGGCGTACAACACCGCGTGGGTGAGGGGCGTGCCGTGTTCTGGATGCCGGATTGCTAGGCTGGCTCCTTTCCGCACCAAGGCTTCAACGACTAGCACGTCTCCGTGGCGAATCGCCCACCACAGAGATGGTTGTCCAGGGTCGATTGCTGGCCTTGGGCCTCGCGGTCCGACCTGTTGCACGAGGTTTGAAGGTGGGCAAAGGAACCCCCACAGTTCTGCCGAATTGCTCTCATTGATGATCTTTGCCATCGCTCCAGGGGCTGCACCATGTGCGAAAATGTCAAGGTACGTCGATCCTTCATGATGGTGCTTCAGCAAATATGCCAGCATTGTGTCTGAGCACGGGTCCTGGTTGCAACGTCGACGATGCTTGAGTACTGCCATCATGACACTGCACGAGTTTGTGGAGTGTTGGACCGCGGCGAACAAAAGTGCGTCCCCAATATCTTCCCAGCTACCCGTCTGTAGAAAGGTTTGCAGCATCGCAGGACCGTTGTCGGGGTAATCATTGACAGCAGTAGCAATGACTTCTTTTGACATTCCCAGCTCGGTACCCCATCTTCTGAAGAGAGAGAACAACATCTCCCAAGGCCGGCTCGAGTGCAATAGACTTTGAAAGATCTCGGCCTCGCGACCGGACAGAGATTGCTGGTTTCGCCCAGCAAGCAGCCTTGTGATGGCGTAGCGTTGGGTCTCGTTCTGCAGGATACTGGCGGCTACCTGTTCGGAAAGCTCGAATTGTCCCTCCCTGGTCTTGATGAAGACATCCATGATTGCTGCACCTTGTTGTCGATTCTGCACGGCACCCAACACTACCCGTTCCGGCAATCCATCCTGAGGCCCTCGTTCTAATAATGACTGGATCATTGTTGCTCCATGGACTTCGTTTCGTGCGGCATCCTCCATCATTGTGGTGGTGAAATTAAAATGCTGATGACTTTCGCGAAGCATGAACATCACGCCGTTCATTGCATGTACGTCTGTCGATCTGAGAAGTAGACTGAATGTCCTCGAGTGCAATGTTGCCAAGTTGCCCAGAAACGACTGGATAGTCTGAGACGGATCTACAGGCAAGCATTCCACGTCACATCCGCAGATATATGCGCTTGTGTTTCGCACAACCTCTGATTCGTGTATTGTATAATCGGTTGTGAGCTGTTTGGTGTTGGAGGGCCCACAGAGGCCGAGCAGCGCATAGATCTTGTCTCGTTCGATACTCGCCATGGCAGTGTGAAAGTTCCTCAAGATGGGGTACAGTTGTTGGTTCTCCTTGTTGGCTAGCCATGTACCAGACCGCAGAGGTGAGGGCATTGCTTCCATAATTTGCCTGCGGTGTCCTCCGACGGGGACCTTGAGTAGCTCTGGTGCGGCGACGAATTCACAACAGGACACAGCCCACCGACCACAGTGGACAATCCCGTCTTTGGCGTTCCAGACCTCCTGGACGACCCAGACTCTTTGAAACCATTCTCGACTCAGCAGGTCGTGCAGTGCATTGTGCTGTCGTACCCAGAGATTATCGATTCTGCGGCTCATCCGGGCTCGCACTCGTGACCATCTCTCAGCAATTGATGGCGCAGTGGCTCCATGTAGGCGCCCGGTTTCTTGTGTCCTCTCACGACTGCTCAACTGTAGCCTCCACAGCCCTTCCATCAGCACGTTGGTGTCGGGAGTGGCTCGTCCGAGATGGAATATGACCCTTCGGGCTCTCGCGTAGACCTGTCGCATCTGCTGGACTTGGTGGTTCTTCTCAACGTCGTCGTCTTGGTTCATACAGACCGCGTCGATCCACAAGTACTCGTGTCTTGCCATGCGGAGTCGCCCAAGCAGCTCGAACACACTCGCTGTCACGGGCAGCCACGTCCCGTTGACCCAGATCGTCTCGCACAGGTCCGCATTGCCCCACAGGTACGACACCGCTTCGTAGGGCATGAAGCCGGCGGTCGTTTGCCGCGTTCCATCAGGGTCGTTGCCGTGGCATTCGTCTGCTTTGGTGCTGTCGGGATCATGGAGTCGTCGTACTAGCATGTCGCATTCGATGGGACCGCGCGTGGCGCGTCTGATTCGAAGAAGCCTGATCTCATGCTTATCCGGGTCAAGCGTAGTGTACTGAAAGCGCTCGTTCTGCTCTCGCTTGCTCGGCAGGCTGGGCGCCATCGAGGTTTATGATGATGCAGGAGAGGCTTTATTAAGTCAAAGATTTTTGAGAGACATGTCGTTGAACTGTGAGATGGCTTCCGTACTTGTCAGAGGGGAATTGGCCGCTTACCCCTCTGTGTCAGCAGATCTTATTGGCCGGACCAGGATACAACACCGCCGCATAGGCGCACTGCAAGGCGTAGAGGTGATCCGGTAAAGTACCCACCTCTGCCGTGTTGAGCTTGGTGCAGGGCAGCCTGTGACATCCCACCCCGGTCCAGTTCAACAGCAGTAGCAGCGGATACTGACAATTCAGGAACAGTAGCACGGGACAACGGCACCCAAGTCCGTGGAGAAGAGCTATGTTGTCCTGTTTCAACACGCCGAAAATGCACAGGAACGTCAGGCGCCCAGTTGATGGCAACATACCCACAGAGAATCATCCCAGGGATGTGTGGCCTTAGTCGGTCTAATCGTACGGACTTTGTTTTTATATACGACGAAATGCTGGCTTTGCTCATCTGTTCCTCATCCTCTTCTTCTTCTGCCCGTACACAAAGTCCTCCCCAACGCGCAGATCCTTCATAAACCGCGCCAGGAACCGGCGGATCGGGGCGCACTGCGGCGTCGCCAGGCAGCTCATGATGATCTCGCGCTCCGCGGCGAGCACGTCGAGCGGCAGCTTGGCCAGCACGAGCAGCGCGCAGCCCAGCGGCACCGCGGCAATCTGCATTCGGAAGATGCCCGCCTCCGGGTGGCAGAACACGGGGCAAGTGTGGACGATGCTGCTGCAGAACTCGGCGATGCGGTTCTGGCCCTGCAGCCGTCCTGTCATCTCGCTGCTGCCGCCGTGGCGTGGTTCTTGCGCAGATGGTGGTGGTGGTGGGTAGAGCACGTCGCCGACCATGGCGTAGACGTTGATGCAAGTCACCCAGTACAGCGTCATCAGGTGGGCCGACGCGAGGTCCTCGGCCGTGATGGAGTCCGGAATCTCGGTGAGCCGTCGGCACGGAAACTGTGGCCCGTACTCGTCCTCCCAGGCCCGCAGGCGGGCATCAGCGTCGCGGTACAGATTTTCTATCTGTTCACGGTGTTTTCTCTGAGCCATGGCGCTAGATATGGACTTCATGCTGTCGAGATCTTCAAGCATCGTCGGCAAGTCGATCAGGATATCGAGGATCCGGTCCCGGGGACTCTTCTTATAGTATAACCAGGGAACTGTCCTCCAGCGCGGCTCGGCAAGGAAGACCTTCTTCCGCAGCTTGATGGCAGCCATGGTCTGGGAAGTGGTTTCATTCAGCCACGTGAAATCGTAATGAGTATCGGCCGGACATTGGGGTACGTACCAAGTGCAGCCTCTGCTCGACAAAGAGAGCATGGGCGTGTCCGCTGGTGAACATGAGCGGATCCCTGGTGGCAAGGATATTGCTATCTCCGGCTTTGTGCTTGAGCCACGAGTACAGCTTGGGATCGTCGTCCCCATGAATGGCCTGCATTGGTCACTTGTCGTCAGTCCTCCTCACATCCACTACCACGGACGTGTGCTTGTCTGTGGTCCCTTGGGTGCGTGCCGGACACGCATCAACATACCTCGTGCAGGCTGAAGAGCCGGTAGGCCGCCAATATCCCCGTCGTGCTGCTCTGCCGCGTCGGGTCCGTCCTCTTCACCGTGAGGGCCATCTCCTCCATCGCATCGCGGTACGCTTGCATGCCCTCCTCTTTCATTGGCGTCCCGTCGTCCCTGCGCCCGAGCGTGGTCAGCGCGATGGCGACGAGAGCTTTGCGGAGGATGCCGTCGGTGGCGAAATCCCGCACGGCCGTCGAGAGCCCATCGGTGAGATGACCTGATAGTGTGGCCGGGATCGGCTGGCTATGGGGCAAGTAGGACGACCAGAACAGGTCGGCGCAGCGGAGGGCATAGGCGGAGGTTAAGAGGCTCTCTGGCAGCGTGATTCTTGTGCTGGTACTGACGAAAGTGGAGGGTGGTGCTGGTGAGGCTGGATTTGTTGCTCTTGCTACGGCTGCGGCTGCAGCAACAGTAATGTCGGGCCTCCGACCGATGCTAGCATTACCGGCAGTAGCGGACGTTTGCTTCAGTTTCTGGTGATAGAAGTTGCGGCAGGGTATACATGCGGTTGCTGGTGACGGACACCGATGCGTGGCTATTATATCGTCCTGTCTGTCGTTAGAGAAATGGGCCACGGGCGCAGTGGCGGGAATTGCTCCTTCACACACCTTAGGCAAGAAGCTGTCCTGGTTGTCGGGTTTCTGGTCCAGCCGCCCAGTGCACGAACCCGCTCGCAACCCGGGACCCTGAGACTGCTGCCGTGCAGAGCCAATCCATGAACCCCCTGCTGAGACCACTCCCAATTCACTCTTCGAAGGTCGAGCTCGCTCTTGCCCCTGGTAGATGGGGATCACGACGGAGAGGCATAGCATGTGGACGATTTTGAACTGGTTGGAAATCGAATAGGGTACTGTGAAGTTAGTTGCCTAGCCACGGAACAAAGCGGTGACGTGGGAGAGTACATATATTGTATACTGCGACTAATTTAGCATGGGCAATCGGTAGGGCTGCAGGACCTAGATCGCCATGGTTCGCGCCCCCAATGAGCAGATTCTCGATCTGGGCAGTGATTGGGCAGACTGTGATTTCTGGGTTGTTTTTTGATCGCCGGCAAGCCCCGTCATATGCCACGGACGGCTCGGACGAACAGGGGGCCAGGCAGCGAGTCGTACGGGCAGCTATGCTACCCACTGCAGACCTGTGCAGGACTAGACTCATGGCGGTGCTTCGGGGTGGAGTTCTGGTCTCACCACATCCTGGTTGAGTTGTGGGGATCGTGGTCCACTGCCAGCCTCAGGAAAATGCGATCCACGGAATCCTGAATGATGAGATCTGGCGGTTTGAGCATGCTTGAAGGCTGACTCGCTTCGACCTTACCAAGCTACCGTGTATACTTTGGGAGAATCACATAAAAGCAGTAACGCAAGTTTGGCTTTACTCAGATCCATATCTGGCAGGGACAAGAGGAGCCCGCGCTGATGGGGCCGGACCCAGTCTGAGCGCGGAATCGCACCCGATCGGGAAAGACCCTGGTCCCTGGTCCAGCATAAGCATAAGCATGTGCCTGCGCAGGAGCGGACCGTCCAGCCCACGATCCTGTCGCTACGTCGAGGCAGTCTGAGTCGATCTTGAGGCTCCGAGCAACGTATCTTTGCAGAGCCGGGGAGTCTCTGGTACGTAGTCTTTGGAGAATTTTCACGGATCCGAACGGGTGGTGTTGATCTAAGCTGGCAGTAGATTGAGCTCCACCACTTAACACACTGCAGTCAAAGTACTGGAGATTTTTCAACTGTACAAGCAATTGCTTTTCAAGAATGGTGTTAACGCAACTCCGCTTAGGTACCTCGATGAGCGCCGGAACAACGTGGGAATACTAAGTACTTGAGGGTTCTCCGCTCTGCGAAGATCTAAAATTGAACGTAGCCCATGGGAGGCTCACACCGCACATCGGTCACTTTGGCTATCAAAAGTCCGAAAGGGATTGGTTCTGATTTTTATGGTCTCATTCAAGTACGTGATATCTATGCGTAACAATGGTAGAAGAACAATAGCTCATAGACAGTGTTCCTCGTGCCTAGTCGTAAGTCCCGCAATCCAATCATGCCGCTTCTGAGATGCTGGAGAATGGTAATGACAAATGCAAACTTCCATTCGAAATGTATGCCAGCGTATCAGGGCCGAACTCGTGGGGCAGCAGCGAATGCGAGACCGCGGTTCAGTTCGAGTAACGCGAACGCTTTAGACGCGGTACTTTGGCACCTCTTCAAATGAAGTAGCGATGGCTGCGGCCTTGCGAATTTTTATGGTGATGATAAGCTGGGACAGCACTGCACCGAAGACGACAGCCGAGAGGGGGAGATCCAGGACGAGACCAAATACTCCGCCCCTCAGCGAAGCCGCGGTGATGACGACGAAGAGGAGGTAGATGCCCCAGACTGTGGTTTTGATGGATGCAAAGACGAGGAGCAGGACGGGGTCCAGCTTCTGCGCAGCGAAGAAGAAGATTTCGGTGACGGCCAAGGCGATGGTAAGTAGTCCAAACAGAAGGACCAGAACGGTGGCGGCAGGCCTGCGGGAGAGTCGAAGAGATGCGTGTTAGCCCACACGACCCTCCACAATGCAATAACTGGCTTTCGATTCACTCACAAGTATGCGTAGTCCCGCATTATGGACGCTGAGATTATGGTGTAGAGGGACAGCGCCGCAAATGCCGTAGCACCCAATATCTGGATAATCCAGGCAGCCAGATTGTGGCGCTTACGCCAGATGTTGGGGTGAGTGGCAGTGGCCATGTTGGATGTCGTTGTTTTGTGAAGTTGTGTGGATGATTGAGTCGTTGCCTGTCGAGGTTGTACCTTCTGTCCTCTGGGTGAGATGGAGTTTAGAGTACAAGATACCAGGACATGAGTTGAGAAGGAGCCGCACTAAGGATGAACGCGATCTCTTAAGTATTGCTCGAATGGAACCCGTCCGTTCCAAGGCTGTCTTGCCTGATGGGGCGAAGTGCACAAGTGCGGCACTTTCTTTCCAGCCTTAGGCAGCAGCGCAGTGCACTGCTTGATTGGTCCGATTGACGCAGCACCCCAACCACGCAGGTGGGCAGTGCCATTCCAGCCTTGACACCGAGAACGCCTCAAATCTGCCCATTGTGGAAGCCCCATCGTGCCCCATCATCCCAAACAAGGGCAAATTACCGCTTTGGTCCAGCACGGTGAAATTATGGTGCCTAACCTTCGGGCCAAGACATACATCTCCCGCTTAGTCACGAGAGCGCACCAGGTTGGCACTCGCGATGCGCTCCTCATGTGGCATCAACAGGCGTGGAACATGGAAAATAGTTTCACGGACGGTCCCGCCAGTAACCAGACTTATGGCATGGGGGCTTGAAAGTTTCAATTGAAAAGTATTTAAGAATTGATGCAAGTTCGTAAAAAGTCATAAAACAAATACAGTCTAAGTTATATGTGGGGTATCCATTGATTTGGGAAGCCTAACAAACAAGGGGAGACAGCTTGGCACCGACCGTGCGCCTCCCAAGCTGAACGAAAAAGAAAAAGCGATCTTGCCCAATAGGGAGGCAGGAATCTTTCAGACAGATAAACAAGGCCGCGCCGGCTTAGACGTCGTGCTTGGGCACAGCATCGTCAGAACCAGCAAGCGACGCAGTTCTGCGGCGGCGGTGGACAAATATGGCAGAAATGACGAGCTGGGAGACAGCTGTTGCCAACAAGACAAAGCTGAGAGGGCCATCGATGATCAGACCGATCGGTGCGCGCAGCACGGCAGCCGAGATGATAACCATGATGAAGTAGACGCCCCAGGTGACGGTCTTGACCGTAGAAAAGACGAGCATGAGGACGGGACTCAGCCTTGTGCCGCGATAGAAGATTATCTCAATGATGTCGAAGATTATGGTAACGACCGAGAAGACCATGACTATAATCATGCTGACGGAACTGGTGCACGCAAGAAGAAATATGTTAGCCTAGCCCGAGAATAAGAAACCAGTCTGCTTTGGGTATCACCTACATTCTGTACGAGCTGTTATAGCTATGCCTGATGCTGCTGCGGCTCAGCATGACGGAAGACCAGATGGCCAAGATCAGGTACACCAAGGAAGCCAGAATCTGAAGAATCCAAGCGGTCAGGTTGTGGCGCTTTCGCCAGATGTTGGGGTATGTGTTGGTGGCCATGGTGACGGGTGATGGATGGTAGCTCCTGAAGCTGTGCTGTGCTTTGGCAGTCGTGTAAGTTTGGGTCGTTGTAAGAGATGCACGAATAATGGCTTGTGAATATACCTAGAACTGTTGGATGATTAGACAACGTTGGAGACAGCACTCTTAAGTACCATTTCGCCTGAGCTGGTCAGAGCCGAAGAGACTCTCAATCTCCCAATGGTGAACAAAGTGCACTTTTCCGATGAGATTGCAACCTTTGGGCTGCTCTACAGGGAGCACTGCCCCAATTGAGCGCCGATCTATGCGCAGCGCCCTGCTGCAGGGGGTTCCCCTCTTGGCATTCGGTTGGTTGTGTCTTGGCCCTCCCCATGACATATCCCATACCATTGGTCTCGCCCGCCACGCTCTCACCTGCCGATCGTGCATCTCGCTGCTCGCTGGCCAGACCATCAAGCTGGCGGCGGACAGCAAACATAGAACCTCACCGAGAAGACCACGCCATGCGTCCGTCAACTTTTTCATACCCCCGTTGGAGGTGTCCCGCGTAAGCGTACATCTGCACAGAGGGGATTGGACCTTCGACTCTGTCGAGTCCAGCGTTTTCTTGCCCCTTTTGATCCGGCCGTGAGATCAATCAGTAATACCGATGATGTTCCTATTTAGCCGTAGCAATCCATATCAGAAGAAAAAGCCACCCTGTGACATCAGGGAGCCCACCTTTAGCTAAGCCTTGCTCAGTTCCTGGAGTCCCCACTCGGCAAAGCTGCGCACGAGGCTATGGTGCCGATCAGGAATCACCCGTACGAGGAGGTTTAGCCCGCCGCCAGGGTCCAATCAGCCGCAAGGGGGACCAGACTCGGCAGTGTAAGCCCGACTGGGCAGATGTCAACCTCTGCCAGAGCACTGAAACTTGTGTCTGATTGGCCAGGTGTCTGCGCTACCAGCAATGTTCCAAGGCCTAAGGTTTGATTGGTCCTCAGGTCGTGGAGAACTTGAAGGTCTCCCACACCCAGGACGCTCGCGACCAGGACCTCCTTCAATGTACCCGGCCGAAAGTTTGCTCACACATCGTCATCTTCATCTAGTCCTAGTTTTATCGGGTCAGTCCTCTCGTGGCGACCGCGTGATGCTGCGCCCTGCTGCAAGGCACTTCTGGGACTGTTTCCTCTCAAAGCGCACTGCGACGCGGGGATGTGTGCAGCCAAGACATGGAAGCACTGGCCACTTGCTGGGCTAGAAGGCCGGCAAGGTCAAGCTTATGATTCTCACCTCAATCTCCATCTTGAAGGTCCTTGCAAAGTGTCAAAATGGTCACCTGAGCGCCTGCAAGCTTCGGCATATGACCCCAGTCCGGCTGATGCGTGGAGATGCCAAGAGGCAATGTTCTCTGCTGCGCCACAACTGCGACTAGGGCCGATATGGGCACCAACTTCGCAAAACTTACTGTGCGATAGACATCATGTAGTTGACACAATATACTGTGCTGTGATCGTTGGGTTGGGTACGTCCATAAGATAACCAAGCAAAGTCAGGCCAGTTTGAGCTGACCTGCTGAATTCTATACTCTTTCGAAGAAGTTGCAGCCACGAAATGCAGAGTCCGTCCCAAATGTGTCGAGTGGATGCCACAATCGGTGCGCTTCAAGCTGGATGAATTAGTTGGAGGCCTCATGATGGGCAATATGCACAGTCCAGCCTGCCTAATGCATCGTATGATTGGAGGATCCATACGAGGAGAATCGATGCTATCCCTACTAGCCCCGCTATCGCATCTTCATAGCCTTCACGATTGTCACTTTTGACAAAGAATTAAGAGTGTACATTGCAGGTTCGCTATCGGCCGGGAGCATATGGGCAGAGACAATGCATAGGCCTGATCGTGGTAAAAGAACGCTACGGATCTTGACAACAGACTGGCTCAAGCCCGGGGCACGATAACCACATGACAAGTTGACCAAACTGCACTGCTGCTTTAAAGGGTTTCGCCATCAAGCTCAACCACATATGTAAGCAACAACGTTACCCCGCGACTTTGGTAAGCATCTGGCACCGAAAGGAAGGTGGCTTGGGATTGCCCATACGCGATCATGGAATGCGCTGAATCGAAACAAGTCTATTTTGCTATGTGTCCCCAAAGTCTATACCATATCATGAATCATGTGAAGGCCATCTCTAGTATGCCGCGGCCCTGGCAGAACCTCCCCCGATATAAGCACGCTTGGTGGTCTCCGAGAGCTTCTTGCAGACAGCCTCGGTCCTTGAGCTGTCGATGTTGGTCATCCGCCCGCGGGCAGGACCCCTCCAGTGGCGGCCCTCCACACCGTCGCCGGCGTCGACGATGAGGTTGAGCGTGCCGGTCCACTCGAGATCCAGCTTGCCCTCGCTGATCTTGGCTGTGCACCTGTACAAATAAAACACATTAGCAAGCTGCAAAAGAATGACTAGGGTGACGAATTCCCCAGTGGAGGGGGGGCATGAATGGGCAGCAGAAACTCACAAAGAAGAATCCTCTGGGCTGTCCAGGGGCACTGTGACCGACCAGCCAATGTTGCGCTGGAACCTCTCCGTCTCGGTGTGTTCCGACGCCGCGGTCATGGACCACTGTGTCGAGAGCTCGACCTGCGCGACCTCGGGCACGCCCGTCACGTACTTTGCGCCGAAGCCCAGCGTGCTGCTAAAGGTCTTTGAGAAGCTGCGCGTGCTGTCGAACACGCGCTCGCTCTTGAACGTGTGCGTGACGTTGACACCGTCGAACTTGGCGACCTGCTCGTCGAGCGACTTGACCTCGAGGCCCGCGCGGGCGTCAAAGTCCTTGTACACGACGTCGTCGTAGAAGACCTTGACCATGGGCCGGAGGAAGACGGCCGCCATGTTGTCAATCTCCTTTGCTGCCCTGCCCTCCAGGCCGATCAGGATGCCCGAGCCGACCTCGATGGGGAACTCGGACTGCCCGTCCGTGTTCTGGCCAAAGTCAAAGACGCCTCCCGTGTTCGTCTCGAACCGGATCCGCCCCGTGCGCGTGCCCACGCCGTTGCCCCAGAGCGACATGGCCGTGATGTGCTCGCTGAGCGCCGCGTCAAACTTGTACTCCTTGGACTCGCGGTCGTTGTTGCCGATCGTCTCGATGCGCCCGTCGCTGAACTCGACGCGCAGGCCGACGAGGCTGTTCTTCCGGAACACGCGGATCTTGTCGACCGTGACGCCGTCGTCGGCGACAAAGGAGAACGGGTCGCCGCCGTCGCCGCCGACGAAGTGGAGGGGCTGGACCATGTCCTCGGGCCAGACCTCGGCGAGGGCACGGGATGCTAGCCCGGCAAGGGCGAGGATGAAGGATGACTTCATTATGTGGGTATCGGTTTGTATTATGATAGCGGTTTGTAGTGAGTGAAAGAATCGGGGAAAGCGAAGCCTCAAAGAAAAGAGGGTGATGAAGATGCAACCCGTGAAAGACAGATGTACTCAGAGAAAGAAGATTGCTGATGAAGCATGATCTTCCAAGCACAACTCCAACTCAGGACGTGGTTCTACACGAACTCTATATAGCAACGCACCAACATCGGACCACAGCCCAAGCATCCCATAATTGCCCCCATTATTGAAACGACTATTTCTCGAAGCTCGAGATCTCGGCATCTGCCAGCCACGATGCGAGTCGTGCATTTGGCGCGTGCATAACGTCGTTGTCAGTCACGCATGAAGGCCAAGAACGGGATCAGTCGGCAGTGCACGCGGGTCACTGACTCGGGTCACTCGGTGTTCCTTTCCGTGGGGTATAGCAGACACACTTATAACCCTGTCGTCCCTGCCTCGAACCCTTGCCGACAGGTCTTATTTAGCTCTGAAACACCGGGGAGGTCCACTATTTAGCATTTCATCGTGCCTCTCGGTCTTCCCGTGACACACCACTATGATCTGCTTCGCCCTGGTAAATGTTGCATCTGCTCTGGTCCCTTAATTGTGTCCTGCATCCTGCTGAGACGCCCATCCCGACTCACTGACGTGGGGGATTTCTTGCGCGCGGGCCGAACTCCAGTACGGGCCCGACAGGCGCTGCGGCCAGCGGTTTCAAGTTCAGCATTCCCGCCTGTCTGCGAGATACTTCGGACACAGGTCTGATCCAGAATGAGGGGCTCTCATTCACTGACTCGCAGGTTCAGATATAAACCAATCACCCCGCTTTGGACTTCCGAACTCCTCTGCATAGGGCTGTGAACCATAGTGAAGCAGGTAGCCTGTGACGGCTCTCAACCCACGGAGGCAACGATACACCCAACGCAGTTCAACAAGTGCCACGGTTTCCTGTACTTTGCGCAAAGCTGCCAGAGTGCTCGTCTGAGTGAATGTACGGAATGCCTGCCTTGTTCTGCATCAAGGAAAAATCCAAAGATTAGACTTGAAAGTAGTCACGAGATTGAAACCCGGACCGCAGGTCATGCCGTCCCTTCCATCCCCGCAAAACGTTGTATGAGCTCGAGGATCACGTCCTCCTTGGATGCCTTGGCATATGCCATGGCGCCGTCGAACCCCGTCTTCCCTGGGAACGAGCTCTTAGCCCCCACGTTCAACAGAAGCTGCACCATGTCCAGGTGCCCTCCACAAACCGCCAGGTCGAGCGGATAGCTAACTTCGGGGTCATAGCTCAAGGCATCGGCGATGTTAAATCTATCCGCATGATCGAGTAGAATCATGGCAAGCTCGAGGTCGCCATTCCTCGCAGCCTGGGAGAGCGCACTGACACCCCAATATTCATCCTGGTCATTGATATCTTCGTCATTGAGATCCTCGACGCTCTGCAATATCTGTCGAACAAGGAAGTTCCGCCGCTGCGTCTCAGCAGGTGTGGTAGGCCTGTTATTGCAGACCAGACGCAGAAGTGAATCGCTCGACTCGTTTTCCGCTGTGCCGAACTTGTTGTTGGCCTGAGCTTGGGCGTGTTTGATGACATCCAGATTCCAGACGCGATATGCCGTCTTGATGGCTGCCTGATTAACAGGTCTTCCAGTCTGTAAGAGGCGATGCATAAGCGTATCTGGTGCGCCCCCTTCCAGGGCTGCCTCCAATGTTCTGGGTCGGCATGTTGCACCACGACTGAGTACATAATCAGACAGTGCCCAGCTGTGTTTTCTGAGACAGATCTCGAGAATTCGACCTGCCTCAAGAGAAGCGCCCGACTGTCGCAGGCTGATGCATGCCACTAGTAGCTGCCAGTCTTCGAGACTGTGGTTGTTAGAACGGTCGAGGAGTGTCATAAGGAACATCGTTGGATCGCTAATCTTCGCTCCCAGACTCAAAAGCCGCCGGCTTGCTTCGGGAACTGCCAAGTGAGGAATACAGGAGTGTGCCGCTGTGTACGCGTGGAACAGCAGAGTTCGTTCGAGGTCCTTCTCTGGCTCGTAGTTGGTCTCTTGAATTGCAGTCGAGTTGCGAGTAGATGCTGCAGCATCGATGCTAACGCCTTGAGAAAGCAACCACGATACGGTCTCGTGTCCAATGTTGCTTGCTGCCAATGCCAGCGCCCGGTGTCCGTGGCGGGCTATATCTGCACCAAGCTGCTTGATCTGAATCAGTGTATCGAGTCGGTCTGTCCTCGATACCGCTGCTGCAATGGCCTTCAGGCCGAATCCTACCCCGGCTTGGTTGAGCCAGGTTATGGCTGATATTGAGCCGGGCTGAGGGCCAAAATGTTTGAGGTACCAGACGGCGTGAATCAGAAGATCAGTAGCTGTTGGAAACTGATATGTGTCCACCCACCCAGGAGCCGTCGGAGTCAGGGCTGCGAGCGATCCGATGAAGGTGGCTGTCCATGAAGCGGCTCCTTGCCCTTGTGCAACGCAGTCGAGCAAATCAAGCACCGTCCGCTCATACTCTTGTTGCTCGGGGAAGTGGAGAGTCCTATGGACGCGGAGTCTAGTGATCTTTTTGTTGGTTGCGATTGTGAGGATGACAGGATCGTATCGTCTCCCGATTTGACACCCGGCAGCTACGTCGTCGATATAGCTCTGTCCAGCTTCCGCGATAAGACGGTGTATTATGCTTCTAGCATTTTCCGGGGCGGTGCGGTGATCTGGAGATACTGTGCCATGGGAGCGATCGTAAACTAGAGTCCCTACCAGTGCTTCGAGGGTCTTTGACCTATCAGACGAAGCCTCACCAGGTAGTTGAGCGTCTTTAAAGCACTTCTTTGCGGTAAGAATGGCTTCTCTGCCTCTTAGATTTGTACGGATCCATGCGAGCAGTGTGGACAACATGCGACCGGAGCGACCTCTAAGCTTCCCTGCACAAGCCTGAACTGCACCCTCGACCACAACCTTGACCATGCTGGAATCTGGCTGCTGGACAGATAGAAAGTACTCGAGGCAGTTGCAAGCATCACCGCTCAGAAGCTTAGGGACGATCGCGGGTGCGTCCATCAAGAGCGGACGCGCGTTGTGGAGAATCAATGTGCGGAGCGCACCTGCGTCGTCCACCGCGATCACCAGGTTTATCAGCCGTAATGTGGCCATTCTGATAGAGGGAAGTTCAGAGGCTAGAAATGCCAAGAGCATTGAAGAAGGTACCGCGGGAAAACATGAACGCGTGTAGAAGCCGGTCGTCATGGGTCAAGTTCTTCCAATTGATGTGGTTGTTGGACAGCTTGTAGACAGCTCCGATGAAACATCGCATATCTTCGGGGATCCAATTGTCCTTATGAACAGAATGCTTCGCTTTCTCAAGGGTTCCGGACATTTCCGGGAAGAGAGTTTCCAAGATTGCCTCGTCGGTCTGCGGGAACCCACGCGATGCGGATTGGAGGGTTATGTTGTCACTTGAAGCCATCCAAGGCTCGTGAGATAGATCGCATGTTGTTGATATGTCGCCCAATAAGCGCACCATCTGCATGCATGGCAGATTATCGACACGGTAGTATCTTGTGCATGGGTCATGGTCGTCCTGGAGAAAGTCGGCTGGAGCACTGGACGATCTTGTGCTCGGTTCGTGCTGGAATGACACCAAAGGGGGCTGAAAAGGGCGTTCGCTTGTCTGAACGGTTGTTTGGTTGGTGGGAAGGGAGGCCAGTGGAGGCAACAACTGGTCGTTACGCAAAACCGTGCTACCTACTTCGGCGCTTGTGTCGACGGCCAATCTCGACTCCACAGGATTTACCAGAGGCTCTGATGCCAGCGAAATTGGTGCATTGTTGGACAGAGTTACTTCTTGCGCCCTGGACATGGTTGTTGATGCTGCCTGGACAACCACGTCCTTTGGGAGTGGTCGAAGGGCGATGTCTGGGATTCCATACGATGACAGTCGTGGAGTCAGCTTGGCCCAGCGCGGTTCAAAGATGGGCTACTGACGCACTCCTAGCTCACCTTTCGGGGCGTTGTGTGCCCGGTTCCTTCGAATCTCCTTCCAGGCCCTCTCCCACGGCACGCGGTCGCCGTTCCAGAATATCTCTGGAGTTCCCCCAGCGTCTTTGATAGGGCGGCAATGCAGCCATATTGGAAGCCAGTCTGTTTTCTTTAGCTTTTTGCGGAGGCCGATCAGGTCCCGAATCCTTGTCTCGTATATGGACAATCTGCCTCGCGAGCAGCGAGTTAGACCCAACCCAGGCTCGAAACCGGGACATCTGATCACTTACGGGACAAGTGGGAACTGATGTGCGGAGATCAGCGTCTGGCGGACGTCGCGCAGGTTGCGGTGCTGTCCATCGCGACCAAAGTATATTTGCTTGATAAGCGCCTTGTGGTCTTGCCAAGTAGCAGTAGAATCGGGCAGCCTTTCGCCTGACATGGTGTCGCTTGTGTGTGTGCAGCCCGAGACAAGGGCCTGGAGGTCGGACAGATGAGCCTGGTAACGAGAACGAGATGATCTTGGGAGCACTCGGGCTGTATTGATATAGGCTCTGAAGACAATGGCTACGCGACCAGCCTGGCCAATTTCTGGCGATCCGGCCCAGGTGCAAGGCTGCCTGCCGTCCAACTTCTGACGAGATGGGTGGCCCCTTCTGCCACCTGCAGCCTGGAATTGGTCGGTGTCCAATTTCGGGCCAGTAGGAACTCGCCACGCCCCGCGCCATGCACGAGACCTGCAGACAGAGCACGCATGGGCGCAGGTGTCAATTGGGTTTCGAGTATTGCAGTCGATGCTATCCGGAAGAACCACGGTGACTTTGGAGGCGTCGCTGTCTGGGAGTACTACAATGCCACTCTGCAGGACCCGCCCCCGACCCAGGTGACTGAGCCGTGGTTGTGGGCGGACGGCATGAAGGCCATCCTGTTTGGACCCCGTCCGACTGTCTGAGCTTACTCTATGGCTTGGGGCATGCGCCGGCGGTGTGCAGCTTCTCTGACACCCCATGGCAGACAGGAGCACAGCCAAGGGCAGTCTCGACAAGATATCGTAATGGCCGAAGTATACTTGTGTTCATGTGGAACAACCTGTTGCAAGCCACACCAAACGTCGTCTGCCCGCCAACGTGCCACACATCGGCTTGTCCTACTGCAACAATTACCTAGCACTGACTGAGCATCCGGGACGCCAGCTGGTTCCGGATCAAAGTTGCTCCTAGCTGCTACGACACGAGGTGACGCCAGCACAATGGAAAGATGTCTGCGGCGGATAACTCGCAGTGTGATGCATACCGCTTCCGAGCCAAGCAAGAAGAAGCTTGCTGACGATCCGTGTGAGCAGTCCACATGAAGGAGAGCGCGCTCCTGGTCACGTGCCGGGTCACATTCAATGACAGCGACGTCGACATCCCAGGAGACGCACTTGTCCCTTTTTCATTACGCCAAGATCTATGGATGACACGTGCGGACGCGGGCACATTCCGTAACTGGATTGACGGAAAGCTTAGCTTTGGCAAGGGGGGTGCTGCCTGGTGCTGCAATTTGTGGCCCTTGAGGGCGATTCGATCTCGGGATCGAGGGCATGATCACATGTTGAGGTCGCGGTGCAATGGGAATGGCGATCTGAGGTTGAGGAATGGTGGTTAGCTGCCGAATAGAAGGCCCCCGGTCTCGCCCCAGGATTCGGAGCCGGGGGGGAGAGCAGATGCAAGACATGCAAGGCACCGCGCCCGGCGGGGGCCGGCGGAGGGGGCTGTGTGAGCCACGAGGCTTGGAATAGCTGCACGCATGCACTGCACCGCACTAGGCCGGCCAGCTATTGAGATGTTGAAGATTGCCTTGTGGCCATTTGGGCATTGTCGGACAGACGCCGACAACTGCAGCCGACGGGATCACGGTACTGGTGGTTACCGTCGGACATGGCCAGGACTTATCCGAGTCTTTTGAAAGTAGATGATTACGCTAGTTGCTGTTTCCTGGACTGCCTTGTGCCAGGGCTTTTGATAATGGTGATTGTGTCTTGGCTGGCTGTCATCCCAAGTTGTCCATCGTGGGGAGCTGAAGCTGGCCTGGTCGTTGCTGATTGGCTCGTCTCACAAATTGCACCAGCCGCAAAGAGAGATGCTCTCGCGCTACCAGACAGGCCTCGTCCCAGAGGCCAAAGCTCCAAGACATCCATCATTGCACAGCCTCTGAGTGGCCTACTCGAGCACGTGTTCAGGCAAGCCGCCTACCTGCCTGTCTGCCTGGGGATGCCACAGCCATCAAAAATCGGCACCAGCAGGCCGCTGGGCCTTGCTTGTCTCTGCTGGTTGACGTCCTGTTAACCTCTTGCCTAATCCAGTCAAGGACGGCCGCGCTAGGACTGCGCGCGGAGAAATGGGGCGTCGAGCGATCCCTTGTGCTGGGGACTTGGCCGTCTGTCATGGTTGATGCCAGAAGCGATTGCTGTCCAAGACTGCTGACGACGACGACGACGACGACGACGACGACGACGACGACGACGAGGACGAGGAGCAGGAAAGCAGGAGTAATGGATGCTGCTGACAGCAAGGCGTATTGACCTGTAATTGAGGTCACAATGGCCGTAAGCTGGTGGTGTTGCTGCGCTGCAACCTCGCGGCAGTGCCCTGCAGAGGGCGGCCCCTGAGGCTCTGGGGCTGCACAGCGGGTGCAACCCCGCCGGGAACCGGCCATGGCGCCCTGGGGAGATGCCGCCAAGCACAGCGACCCTCTGGCCGTCAGCCAATCACCGCGCCACCCTCTATCACGCCCGTCTGGCTGAGGCTCCTCTGCGCATGAAAGGCTCATTTGGCACTCGCCAACTGCCATCCTCATCCATCCCATCCATCCCTCAGTCCAGCCAGCGCAACAAACCTCCCCCGGCCCTCCGCCCGCCGATCACCCGCTCGCCAGCCAGTCCAGTCCAAGTCCCGCGCAGCCGGGCCTCGTCCCGATCAGGCATGTCCTCGGCCGCCCTTGGCCGCGATCCTTCAGCGACTACTTAAGCACGATGCCATCCCGCCCCCCGTCTCCCACTCTCACGATGCTCGCCCTCACGCGTCGTCGCTGCTGCTCCTCTCGTGCCTGCCTCCTCGACTCGCCGCCGCTGCCGCCATGAAGTCCTTCTGCGCTGCCACGGCCGCCGTGCTGCTCTCGGCCGGCTCTGCCCTCGCCCAGTCCATTGCCGAGATCAACGGCGACCGCTTCCTGGGCACCTACACTGGCCAGGTCGTCAACATCACCGGCCTCATCACCGCCACCTCCTCCGCCGGCTTCTACCTCCGCTCCCAGCAGCCTGACAAGGACGCCCGCACCTCCGAGTCCATCTACGTCTTTGGCTCCAACCTCGCTGGCGGTCCTTTTGCTGCTGGCGATGTCGTCTCCCTGAGCGGCACCGTCGCCGAGTACAAGTCGAGCAAGGACTACCTCGCCCTGGCCGAGATCACCAAGCCCCGCGACATCAAGATTGCCTCGCGCGGCAACCCTGTCCAGGCCCTCCAGATCGGCAAGGACGTGCCCCCGCCGCCCACGCAGGCCTTCAATGCCCTCGACCAGGGCGGCATCCTCGGCGTCCCCAACAATGTCTCGCTCGTCTCGACCTCGAACCTCGAGCTCCAGCCCACAAAGTTCGGCATGGACTACTGGGAGTCCCTCCTTGGCGAGCTCGTCACCATCAAGAACCCCCGCACCATCGCCAAGCCCAACCAGTACGGCGACACCTGGGTCGTTGGCGAATGGCCCGTCACGGGGCTCAACAAGCGCACCGGCCTCACCATGACCGATGGCGACTCCAACCCGGAGGCCGTCCTCATCGGCAGCCCGCTCGACGGCACCAAGAACAGCCCCGACGGCAAGCTTGGAAACAAGCTCGACGACATTACCGGCGTCGTCTCCCAGGCTTTTGGCTTCTACCGCATCCTGCCCACCACGGCCCTCAAGGTCGTCGAGGAGCCGTCTCCCGTGCTGCCCGCGCCCGAGAAGTTCCTGCTCAAGGGCAGCTGCTTCGGCATGACCATTGGCAGCTACAACATTGAGAACTTCTGGCCCGGCTCCGACAACATCCAGGGCCGTGCCGAGCACATTGCTCGCTACCTGGACGCTCCCGACTTGGTCTTCCTCCAGGAGGTCCAGGACGGCTCAGGCCCGACCAGCGACGGCACCGTCAGCGGCCAGGCCAGTCTCGACGCCCTCATCGCCGCCATTGCCGAGATCACCGGCTGGAGCTACAAGTCGGTCGAGATCGCCCCCGAGGACGGCAAGGACGGCGGCCAGCCCGGTGGCAACATCCGTGTCGCCTACCTGTACAACCCCAAGGTGATCGAGCTCAAGAACTACGCCGGCCCCGGCAGCGCCACCGACGCCGGCAAGGTCATCCGCAGCGGCCTGCTGGGCCTGCCCAAGCTCAACTTCAACCCAGTGCGCATCGACCCGGCCAACGCGGCGTGGAACGCCTCGCGCAAGCCCCTCGTCGCCCACTGGCGCTTCGTCTCGCCGCTCTGCGCGCTCGGCGAGATCTTCACCGTCAACGTGCACTGGGCGTCCAAGGGCGGCTCGTCGAGCATCCACGGCGACGCCCGCCCTCCGGTCAATGGCGGCGTGGACCAGCGCGCCGCCCAGGCCGAGGTCACGGGCTCCTTTATCGCGCAGATCCTCAAGGCCAACCCGCTCGCCAGCATCGTCGCGGCCGGCGACTTCAACGAGTTCGCGTTCGCCGAGCCCCTCCAGAAGTTCACCCAGATCTCCGGGCTCAAGGACCTCGACGAGGCCGCCAAGATCCCCGCCACCGAGCGCTACACGTACCTCTTTGACAACAACTGCCAGCAGCTCGACCACATGTACGTCAGCCCCAAGCTCGCGCTCGCCGCGCCCGCCTTTAAGCACGTCCACGTCAACTCGTGGCTGAGCTACGACGACGCCGTGAGCGACCATGACCCTAGCGTCGCGCGGCTGAGCCTGTTGTAAAAGACAAATGGATGTGTGTGGAATGCAAGGAGGAAGGGGTTTTAGTCTGGTGATATTGATAGACACTAGACATGATGATGTCATATGATTCAGCAAAATATTCATGATTTCACGATTAATTCCATTTCCCGTCCTGAGTGTGCTATCTTTGAAATATTCGAGTGTTAAGGCAACAATTGACGGAACGACCAGACAACGCGATAGGGCTGGGTCTGCCTGCCAAGTAGTATCTGGGTTCTTGTCAGCCCTGCCTTGGCTTTTATCTTGATCTGGCGCAGCATTGCCGAGGCCTGTGGTGCGGTGCGCTGGATAACGAAACAGGCACTGTACGCGGCACTCCCACTCCCACTACTACTTGCAAATCCACCACCCAGGGCACTCATACCCTACCTACCGCCTAAAGCGTGTCCTCTTTCGTGTCGACTGGAAGCGTGTCGTCCAAATGACCGAGCTCCCTCGCAGATGAGCCGTTTGTGGACGCTCGCGCAGGAGAAGAACGAATGCCTCCACCAGAGTGTGTGTGTGTGTGTGTTGCGAGTTCCGCATATTGACTAACCGAGAGGGGAAGGGTTTGACTGGAGAGTGATCGACTGGAGAAGGGGTTTGACTAGGAGTCTACGAGTTGCGGGAAAAGAGGATAACAGTACAACGCTGTTTGGGGCTTGCACTAAGAGATGCACGAAAGGAGTGGGTTACGCCGACAAACCCAAACCAAGCACAGAGAGAGGTGTTTACCAACTAGATTAAAAAAAAAGGTAGCGTAATTTTCCCTGGGCGCTTACCCATTCTTAGCCCTTTAGTGCAGAGTGGAATAAGGGGACTTATTCTCACGATTGTAGTACATTTCTCGCCTCGGCGCTGATATTGCGATGTGCTCGCACGCACACAAGAGACAGATCACATGTTACTGAATGTAGTATCATCTGGTGGGGGTTACATCGTTTGGTCAAGAACATATATACACGAACATTAGGAGATCTAAGCATTACAAGCTCGATGTGTGTGAGTGTGTGTAGAGTATCAAAGACCATGTGTGCCTTGGTATGATTTCATATAGCCTTCGCCCCTGCCTCGCAACATAGAGAGAGAGAGAGAGAGAGACGTCTGCTGGTTCCAGCGTGACATAGAAACCGGGACAAACAAACTTTCCCCCCTTTAACACAGCAAGGGAAAGAGGAGATGGACTACCGTAAATCTTTCCTTCGTTTTACTCGGACAGCTCGTCAAAGTACCACTGTCCGCAGCGGCCGTTGCTGATGGTGTAGAACGCGTCCGTCTCCTGGACGTTGAAGTAGGCAATCTCCTGGCTGGCGTCGCACCGGTCGAGCTCGCCCTGGGTGCTGCCGAAGCACGAGGCGTTGGTGTCGTCAAAGTAGCTGATGCCGCAGGTGGGCTCCTTCATGCAGGCCGTGCAGCAGTCCTCGGCGCTCTCCACACCGGGGAAGGTCTGGACGCTGGCAGGGGTCTGGACCGTGCCGATGGGCGAGTTCTGGTACTCGCTCAGGTAGTTGTCGGCGGCGCAGGCGGCGTAGACGGTAGGGGTCGGGGCGTAGACGGTCGAGGTGATGGTCGAGGTGACGGTCGAGGTGAAGCGGGTGACGGTGGCGGTGGTCATGGCCGGGGCGCTGGTGGTCTCGACAGGGGTCGAGGTGGTCTCAACGGGGGTCATGGTGGTCTCAACGGGGGTCAAGGTGGTCTCAACGGGGGTCAAGGTGGTCTCAACGGGGGTCAAGGTCGTGGCCGTGGCCTCCTCGGAGAAGACGGGGCCGGTGGGATCCTCAGAGACGGTCGTGGTCGTGGCGGCCTCCTCGGAGAAGACCGGGGCTGTGGGCTCCTCGGAAGCGGTCGTGGCCGTGGACTCCTCAGGGAGGACCGTGGTGGTGGCGCCCGTGGGAAGAGGGGGCAGAGAGAAGGTGCCGTTGTTGAGCGGGAAGGGGCTCGTCTCGTTCTGGCGGGCATAGAGCCAGCTGGCACGGAAGGATCTCCGCGGGATGGGTGCCTGCGTGGGGTTGATGGGCTCGAAGCCCGCAGGAGTGGGCTCCGTGTAGGCCGGGGGTGTTATAGTCACGGTGACGGTGGTGTAGGCAGTGAAGACCTCGTCATCGGTGACGGTCGCCGTCTGGGTATGGGTGCCCGTCTCGGTCGTGGTCAGCTCTGTGCCCGTGGTCGTTGCGGACTGCTCCGAGTAGACAGAAGACTCGGTCGGGTAGGCGGAGGACTCGGTTGGGTAGACCGAAGACTCAGCTGAGTAGATAGAGGACTCGGCAGAGTAGACGGAGGACTCAGTCGGGTAGACAGAGGCCGTAGAAGAGACAGGGTGGCTGCCGCACCGGTGCCGCCTGGCCGGGCTGGCGACGGCCGAGGAGGCCATCGCCACGGAGAGGAAGATCTGAGAGGCCTTCATGTTGATTATCAAGGAGTGTGATATTATTAACGAAAGTGGGGGGATTCTTAAAGAGTGACTGAAGGTCGACAACGAAACCGTAAGGAACAGAGGCAGCCTGAATCACCATCCGCGAGCCTAGACGGCCAACTTATATATTCCGACATGGCGGTGCGGTGATTGTAGCAGTTCATGTGCCCCTGGAAGGGCTCGACAGCTCCAGCTCTCTGCCAAGGATGCCATCACGCCAGCAGACGAGGCCGGACCCTCCCGTAAGCGATGTAATCGCATGAGCTGGATGCGAATGTTGGCTTTAGCACGCGGTTCCTGCATTAGCTGAGCCGCTCAAGGGTTCTTGTCCGAGCCTAGACTGAGTTGAGCCCCTGCCGCGCTATTGGTGGCGCGTGCTAGCGCCGTCCTGTCAAGCTGAAGTTTCCAGGCCGGACCCAGTTTGGTTGCTTTTCCCACAGTATTCACGTTGTTGAATTCTTCGTCTCGTCGCCATGTCTCAATGCCATGTGGTTCGGCTTGATGGCTCCTGCACGCCATCACACCACTCGTGACAATTCGCCGAAGCCAGCAACGACAGCAATGCCGCATCGTTGACAAGATCGATGGTGCCCACAATTACAAAGCCGCAGAGCCTCGATCACAACAGCGGCCCGGCAACCCCCTGTTGGGATTAGCGCTCAGCCGCGGGCGGCGCCGGGTCCAAGAGGCTTGACAGCACACCCTATCATCGGGCCGCTATACTCGCCGCCTGCTCGTGCGCAAGACTCTTGTGGAGATTTGATCGCGGAGCACACGTGGGGGCCTCGACCAGCGTGAAAAGCGCGGGAGATCGGCAGTCCAATGGAGGCGCGACTTGTTCTAGGCCCCGACCCTGCCGACGGCTCCTGAGCTCGCGCATCCGGACAGTGTTGTCGATAGGGCCCTATACGGCCACGATTCCCGCTCGCACTAAATGCCAAGCGCGTACTGTGTCTTCGGACCGTGTCGGACGGGGCAGAGGACCGGCTAGCGACGCAGCCACACACCGGAGTCGCCGCCTGTGCGAGATGAAAAACGGGACAATGCGTGAAAACAACAACAATACGCGAAGTCCCCCTTGGCGCCGTGGCGTCTGGCACTGCCACGTCACGCGGAAAAGGAGACATTGAACAGCAGCACCGGGCGGAATCTTGAGAAACCCGAGGAACAAAACTACATTCGCGAGATGTGGCGCCGCCCAACGGCGATTGAGGCCGACTCATGCGCGCGCAAAGCAGCGGAAGTTCTCGAGGTCATATAGACTCAACCACAGGGCCATCGCTTGCGAGGCCAGTATTGAAAAGGGGGCGCTGTTGCACTGCATGGCTGAGTGGCTGGGCAGCCACAAGATCACCAGGACGCGGGACGGCAAACCCATAAAGCGAACACGGCCCATGGCTCAGCTAGTCACAATGCCCGACGGCACCTGGGGAGCTGTCACATTGTAGTCTGTCTCCACGATCTGCGAGACTCAGTTTTTAGCTTACCACAATCTTGTTCCAAGAAGGCCTCGAAAAGGCTACGTAAATTTGCGTTTAGTGACGGTCAATTAGAGTCGCCCTGGTGTTGCGCCTTGGTGGCAACGGAGAAGCCAAACCACCGAGATGTGGAGAGAGTAGAGGACTGCCACGAGCCACACTTTCCCAAGATAGGGGTCAGGATCGCCGAGTACTGGGACTTGCCAGAGAGCATCAAAAACAATGGCTTGTGCTGGCGCTTCAAGAAGTGTAGCATGGCCACGTAGTTACCATGGCGAACAAGATGCATGCAGCCAGCCACGACAATGCACTGTAGCCCTGGTGCAAGACCTGACATTCTGTCGTTTTCTCCCTAGAACCATGAAACCTTAATCTCGATTGACTGCCGGCGGGGTGCCGCAATGCTGTCTCCGTCGACTGTTTGATATCGCAGTGCGGGGCAGTAGTATCGGAGAAAGCCATCAAGACACGATCTCCGTTACTTGATGTAGTCGTATCGGAGACAACCCAGCCTATGCAGGAAATAATATAGCCGGTGCTGATTCCCCAACAACTGATCAGGCTCTCTCGCCTGAAGACCAAACACCCAACACTCAACAACACATCAAAGACCACTAACGTCCACTTGATCACAACACCAAAACTCACACCGGTAGTCAAGACACATATCACGGCACCGCCTACATACAGAGCACAAGACCTCTCAAGCCAGGCACACCTACTACACAACATAATTCGGCAACAAATTCTGCACGAGACAAATCACTTGGACTTGGTGCCGGACACTCACGACACCCAACCTGTCATCAAATCAACTTGGCCTTAGCGGACCAACACAGTCACCAGCATCACACAGCAGCGCCACCAATCACCTCGAACCTATTCCGAGTCATCACATCAAAATCAGCAAACATGTCGGACCAGTACGAAGGCGAGGGTGAGGTCGAGTACTTCGACCCCCGCCCCAGCAAAATCACCTGGATCGCCCGCGTCCTCGTGCTCGTCAGCACCGCTGCACTCCTCGCGCTCCTCGCCCACGGCCACATCGAGCAGTGGTGGACATCAGGCTGGATCGAGGGCCAGGCGTGGTTCGTGCTCGCCGCCATGGCCGGCTTCTTCACCCTCCCGACATACCTCCCCTGGCCCAAGAACCGGATTCCGGACTGCGCGGCCCTTGTCTTCTCCCTCATCCCCAGCCTGAGCATGACCATCTGGGTCGCCGTTGTCATCTTTGCGCACAAGGGCCCCCAGACCCCAGTCATGTCCGGCATGATCGCCTCGCTGCCCCAGCAGGACCCCCAGTGGTGGCAGCGCATCATCGCCGCCGGCGCCTGCCAGATCGTCCAGTCCGTCGGGATGTTTGTCATTGCTGGGACTGGGTTCGCGAATGTCATGGACGTCGTGCGCGGCCGCGGTGGTGGTGGCGGTGGTGGTGGCCGCCGTGGCGCGCCAGTGGACGACGAGGAGCAGTGCCATGAGGGCTGGCATGGAGATGATGAAGGATATTATTAAACTGGACTCAACGTGCAGGATGTTCAACGGGGACAACAAATCTGCGATCATTCTATCCTCGCCACGAGCTACTCACGTTGATATATTTTGTTGGAGCAGGCAAGATGAGTACCAGGAGGCACATATTGTTTCGATAAAGTGGTACATGGAAGTTTGGATACAAGTTTGGATGAGGAGTTGCGGGAAATGAACCAAAAGTATGTTGTTCAACAAGATAGCTGCGATGGGAAGGTTTTGAGGGGAATTCTGGTTTGGTTCTGTTTTCAGTTCAACAAATGCAACATTTCTTCCACAAAAGGGGCATCCCACATCCACATTATGCGAACAACAGTGACTGCACTTTGAGCACAAGCGTCGGCATTGCACGACTTGAAATCAAACCCCTCAGGCTCAGCGGCTTTTCGGAAGCGACCTGTAATTGATCGAGTTCCAATATGGCTGCCAATTCCGTAAATATTCAAAGAATGGAAGTGGGTACTCTCTTATTGACACCATGGGAAATAAGAGATTTTCCTAGTGAAATTCTCTATTATCCGTCCAGCTAACCTCCGTCGCCTCCGAACCTAGCCACTGTTGCCCTTCACCTTTCCAGGTGAGACGCTTCGCGGAGTTTCTGTCTCCCGACGGCGACCGTGAAGAGTCCCTGCTCTTGACATGCCTGAAAGGCACAGGCATTAAAAACGCACCCGCCGCTGATTGCGATCCCTCCGCAACCCCTTCCTGCTCTCTCTGTAGCGCTTCGGTCCATTCGCCCTCTTGCCAAGCCGTCAGACTAACGCGGAAGGCGTCCTGATCCTGGCATTTGATGATGCTTGTCTTGGCCTCCACCTCGAACCTTCCAGGCGAGGCAGTCGGACCACTACTGGAACCGTGACGCGTGGGTTTAGGATTGTTGATCACGCGCCAGAGCATGGTGAGATCCATGGGCCCTTTTTCATACGTATCCGACTGCGCCCCAGTCCTGATGTCCGCAACTTCCGACGCCTTGTCCTGGTCAGCATAGGTATAGCACCACGGTATACGCTTGTTGATGTGCTGTGGCTTGATCGTCACAACGTTCTGACCAGTGCCTTGCGAAGGCTGTTGTTGACCTTGGGAATCCCAGTCCGCGGACTCGTTCGGAGTGGCCACCAGATCTGTGTGATGCGGTCTTCTCGTACCACAGACTAACAATGTCCTTTTGCTGGTATTGGCAACGCGCATCAATCTGCTATCGACAAAGCGCATTGATATGGCGCCAATGAAGGTGTCGGCGCCGAGCGTCCAGAAGAGGCTCCGTACGGGATCCCAGAGCTCTTCGGGCTGCACGGATACGATTCTGGCGTTTGGGGGCAGGCGAACCTCTACACAAAGAGCATACTGGCGCAGGAGTCCCCGGACATCGCGCCTGTACAGATCCCTGGCCACGAAATACCGGGACAGGGACAGGTAGGGTAGATATCGCTGGTCCTCAAGAAACCGATCAAAGTAGCGGAGCTCCTGCGGGGCGGTGCGCACGTAGCCATATTTCCCAGTCTTTTCCAAGCTGACGCCGATCCAGGCCATTCTGCCCGAACCGACATAGTCGCAGCATTCCAGGTCGAGGAGGAAGTCGACGCTGCCATCTTTGCCCTTGTACAGCGGCAGTCGACCCTCGAAGCGGAAGCCACGGTTTGTCATGACAAAGTCGCTGTTGGATCGGTATGCTACCTGCAACCTGCCGTATTTGCCACAGTGGGAGAATTCGCTGGGGTCATGCGCCATTAGTCCGCGGTACTGGTAGTCTCTGTCAGCCTTCCAGGCAAATATCGACCGGTCGTGGTTGTCTTTGATCAGCTCTTCCTGCAAGCGCATAAATGCCTTGGAGCCCTCGCCGTAGATCATGGGCATGTATACGCCAAATATACCCAGGAGACAGTAGGCTTTGTCTTCGAGGCGTGTCGTCTGCCGCTTCGCGGCCCAGGACATGCGTTTGGCGATACACTCGCCAAAGACTTCCTCGACGTCACTGAGAACGGTTGTAGAGATCCCCGTGATGTTGCTCAGTGCCGTCCTCAGCCTTCGCTTGGTGCCTCGGAACCTCCATTCCTTGTCGAAGAATGCCATGACGCGAGGCGCAATCAGCTCCTGGAGCGTCCAACCGCGGGAAAACCATCGGCATGCAGCGAGGTCCTCCTCATTCACCGACTTTCCAGGCTTTAGATCGGCGAGAAAGGCGTAGCAGACGGTGGAATGTTTATACCACCTGAACATGGAGTTGATGGCCTCGGTGAGCTCTGCGCTGGATGACTTGTCAATGCCTATGTTGTTCAAGAGTCAGACTCGAGATTCATGTTTTTGGAGGCTGTTTGAACACACAGAATAGAAGGGAGATTTCCATGTGGGAACCAGGCAGTATTGCTGGCGGAGAACGGCATCATCACGGATATATCCTATGGCACTCACAGCATGTGTCCACCCAACAGTACTCCAGCGGTGGCTCTTCTCTAAGGGCCAGCTCGCAGGTCTTCTTGATCTTGGCGAACCCAGACGGCCTCGTAGCTTCTGCGCGTTCCAGGTCCTGGAATTCCTGGAAGTTGACCTCCTCGCCGTCGACCCATGTGTGTGAGAGGATGGCGTAGGGGCGGCCCTCCTGGCGGGCGTCGGTCACAAACTTGAGCTTGAGCGTGCGTGTCTCTATGAGCCACATCTTTTTCTGGGCTGAGCACAGTCTAGGCTGTGCAACGTGATGCAAGGGCCGTGGTAAGTGGAGATGGAGTGAGGTTGGTGACTGGAGAGGGCAAGGTCAGACGAGTAAGCCGCATCGTGGGGTGGAGCGGGGTATCTATCGCTGACGATTCTACGCTAGATCGGGAAGTAGCGGGTACTTCAACCGGCAGGTAGACTGCGGGTTGTGGCTATTGGGTCTGTCATGCTCACAAGAGTCCCAGACGAGGTAATCCAATTGTGCAAAATGAGAAGGCATGCAATCAGGAGGATCTACTCATTGTGATCGTAGACGATGAGTCAAGAAACAAATGTCTGCATCGTCTTGCATGTGGGCCAGTCCAATCACATGCCTTGACTTATGTCTCTCCCTTCCCTATTTGCCTCTTCGAAAAGCTCATGGACTTCGTTGGAGATCCCCTATGCGCAGATCCAGACCTAGGAGTAGAGCTCACTGCAAGATAGCATCCATGACCCCGCCAGTCTCTTAGATCACAATAATATCGCGTGGATCCATCCACTCCCACCATCTCTTCTCAGGCCGGATGACCACCTGGCAACCATGATAGCCTCCACTCTTGCTCACTGTTGTGGTATATCTGCATGTCTTTCCCTGGGATCGCCGTCGTCTGTGCTCCCGAATCGTGCCATCAGCAGCAGGCTGCAGGTATATCTCCCGGTCCTTCTGGAGTTTCCACGGCTGACTGAATATTTCAATGCCCTGCTGGCCCAAAGAGTCAACATTGTAGACGAGGAAGAGCATATATGCGGACCTTGGATCGTTGCTATGGCGGCGCATCTACAAGCGATTAGAACCTCGGCCATTGAACCCACAGCGCCAACTTTATTCGTGGCAGAACGATTCTCCCATGGGGAACTACACAAGGCCTGAATCAGAGCTCACCAGTGCCAGCTGATTGTCGCTGATTCGAAAAGGTGCTTTGTGATTTTTATTGGTCGTCTTGACTTCAATATGATATGTCGTGTAGACTGACCACGATGGATCGATGGGAACAGCGAGTTTGTTGAGCCACCTGCGCATAGACAATGCGGTGTCTCGGTAAGTGAAGTCGGCGTGGTCGGCTTCTTCACGACGAAAGGCAGGAAATCCAGCGCGTGATCGAAGACGGCTGGTCCAGTTCTCATATGACCAATTGCGGAGTTTCTTTGCCAAATGATCGAAAACCTGTATTGTAGAGGCGAGTTAGTGAGCCAAAGTGGATTGGTCGGGCGGGATAGCCGAGCTTGTGGGACTGTTGCGGTAGTACTCACAATCTTCTCACCCTTGAAACCTACGGCTTTCATATGAGACATATTCAGACTATGCGTACGTTGCTAGCCCGGTGTAAAGCAAGTATACATTCGAAGGCTATATTTGTTCTCAGCAATGGATGATACTTGATTATATTGCGTATCCGTGACCGATGGTGTTGTAGTAATAAGAGCTGTGTATGGAATCATCGAGCGATAGGCAGCTTGGATCTGCGACGTGAGAAATAGTGCGAGACGGGCAAAGTCGAGGTACGAGTATGGTGCTGGCTTTGTTGTAGAGTGGTAGTTTGTCTATGTGGTAGGTCTTGTCTGTGGTTCGGATTAACACAAAGAAGGAATGCAGCGACGGCTGAGTCGCTCCTCAGGTAATGTCTTGGACATTCGCTATGTCTGGTTAAAGGCGCCTACACATCGAGTCACCTAGTAACACTAGGAGATATATGGCGAAGCGCGTGGCAATGCGCTTCCAGTTGGACTATATCACACGCGGTGTAAATGATTCAAGATGCCCCTGAAAAGTGGCAAGTACGGCGAAACCCAACGATCAATGGATGGTGACATCTTCGTGAACTCAAACAATCCAGTAGTTCTGCCCAATGCAACTCGAAACCACAGAGATAGTCCATTTGTACCTGTAATCCGGGCCCTATTTCTTGTCGGAAACCGTTGCGCAAATAAAGCGCAGTCGAGTAAGAGAGAGCTCTTTTAGGGAGGGGCCCGAAACGAAGGTATTGGGATTACAGCGACCAGAGGTGGCGACGATACGAGTCGGATTTTATTGTAAAGTAGAAGGTCATTGAAATTTGGTGAAGTTTCTCAATTCTGGTCTGAAAAGAGAGTGCTCCTATTGAAAACTGACTTCTGGGCCGCTGAAAACAAGGATGATAGTCTACATGCCTTGGGAAAACTGGTGATGTCCTGTTGAAGGTTGTCTGTCCCGACGAACTTGTCGTGCTGGTTGAAAGCACCAAGTCGTAATTGTGCCAGAATTGTGCAACTCGAAATACATAACTTTTGTGCCTAAGACCAACCGCATAACCCCTTTTATTACTTGTGCAATAACCTCTGACCGTCAAACCCCTCAAATTCCTTGCCTCTGCCGTCCTGTGAAGGTTCGCACCCCGCACTGCCCGATCGCAGTACACAACGCAGCATACCTTACACACGCAGCAGGGAAGTAGGGGAGGTTTGTGGGTTCCCCGTAACAATGCAACGGTGTCAATAATGAAGGTGGATGACCACATCATGGTGGAAGTCCGTAAATCCCGTGATTCCCGTATATCCCGTGAACCCCCGCAAACCCCGCAAATCCCGCTAAAATCCTGCAGATGCCCGCCGCCCGTAATATCTATCCGCGTCGATTTCAAACACTAGCACACATTCTGACGATGATGACACCTATCACGACATCAAATCGACTGGCGCGCACGTCCTGCTTCTCCTGCCGCGGTAGCAAGCGCCGCTGCGACAAGACCCTGCCAGGATGCCAACTTTGCAGCCGAAGGGGCTTAAGGTGTAGCTATCCGCAGCGCCGCGGTCAACCTCTTCCATCGCCCGAGTCAGCCGAAAGTGCCACCAACGCACCGTATGGGCAAACGCTTCACGTGTCTCAGTCGTTTGCTTTGGCATCTGCTACTAGGTTCATCGCCCCCGACCTGTTTCGCGCGGCTGGGCTAGAAATTCCTCGCCTGGACCACGGCGTGCCCGACGAGGTTGTTTTTCATCTGGGCGACAGCCAGCAGATACGGGACACGACAGCCAAGTTCTTCGGGCTGACAAAGTCATGGATGCCAATTATCAACAGAAAACGGCATTTAGCGGCTATGCTGAATCCGCTTTCTCCATCCCGACGTCCGGCCGCCTTACTCTCCATATGCATGAAGCTGTGCTTACCGGTACTCGATGGTGAGGTTGCTGACAGAACTTCGTTATACCGACTGGCAAAGCGATTCTACTCCGAAGTCGAGATTACGGAAAAATTAAGTGTCCAAGTATTGCAGGCTGCAGTATGCATCGCTATTTTCGAGATTGGCGACGCCATCTACCCCGCTGCGTATTTGACCGTCGGGGCATGTGCCCGCTATGGTATCATTATGGGACTCGATAAGGTCAACAAGGACAGGATGGGTTACTATCCCCACGCGGTCCCATGGATAGAAATCGAGGAGGCGCGCAGAGTTTGGTGGGGTGTCTTGGTATTGGACCGGTACGTCACGTTACTTGAAGAAGGCGGTCGGGATTGACATGTCGGATGCAGGTTCCTAAACTTCGCGAGCCCCTCTCGGAATTTAGCAACAGAGGATCCTGGGTTTGATGATATTCTTCCTGTCGACGACGATCGGTTCTATTACACGGTAAATACACCCTTGCATTCATTATCATAAGCAGGCATAAGAGGATCTCCTGACATGAAGTGTGTTTAGACAACACAACCAAGCGACGCGGTCCCCATATCCCAGGCATTCTCATTAAAGGCTGGCCAGTTCTCAAGACTTTGCCAAGCTACATACCTGGTCAGCAAGGTCCTGAAGGTGATCAGATCTTCGGCTATTCCCTTTCATGACGCCGATCACACAACTGTGCCGCCAGACATTGCACAGCTATGTCGCACTCTTGAAGCATTGGTTCGGGCTAATGCGGAGGAAATCACAATTCGCAAGTTGGGCTTTTGCTCTCAAAGCGTTGTGTCCTATAGGTAAGTACACCATCCGATGTTTTGCAGATTGCAAACGGTAACGATACTACAGTGGCGTTTTTCTCCTGCAACATCATTATTGGGCACGGCGGAAAATGGATACTACACAAGAGGCGGAGCTCTACACATTTGTCGAGACTCGCAGTGCTTTCGACACCCTTTGCCATATGTCGTCGTACCTTCAGCAGGCCGGTGATGGCCAACAGCTACTAGGAGGCGAATGCACTTTCTTTCTCGCCGACGTTATATATCAAGCAATCTCGACTCTTATGAACATTGGCCGAGGGAGTCCTTCGGCCGAAATTCAAGACAAAATAGCCACTCTGAAATGGCTTCTGCAACACTTAAAAAGCCGCTGGCTACTTGCTGGTAAGCCCTTCTACTGAATATCTATATCAAAATGCATCTAACATCAAGCAAAGGTGTCTATTTAAGTATTCTAGAGACAAAAGAGGCTCTCCTGACCTCAGAAGCTATGTGACTTAAACTAACAAGATCAAACACGATGTCCATAATGTGGTTGGAACCACACTGCCGACATTCTCAAGGGTGTCGTGAGTCTCACGCTGGATTGCGGCTGCGGCTATTCTTAGCTAAATGAGCGTCCAAGAGCCAGAGTTCATTATGTTTTACCAGCTCAGTCTCTGTATTTACGGAACTTCATGTTTATGTGTATCAAGGGCCAACTTTAGCATCTATCCTGATCTAAACCTCTCCCATGTCGGTTGGCTATGTAAATAGCCTCTCTTTGAGAAAGGTTCTACAATTGGTCCCAATTCACCAATTTCCAGGAATCCTCAGCGCTGACCAACCTCCCCTTGACGCCCTCTAAATCACGGGCATCAATCATGACATCGCCCTCGCCGACTGTTCCCCACATTCTTGGAGCTCCAGCAATTTCCCAGAACTTAACCATGAGGCCCAGTTCGGTCCCCCATATGCCAAAGAGCCCCTCAAATTGCTCGAGTGGGACTGATAGTATTTGAAGCTTTCCTTTCCCGGCAATCTGGGCCCACTTCGAGAAATACTCTTGGATCTTGTACTTTCCAGTTGTGACATGGACGTATCTGCCTCCCTGGGGCCCGCTTGCTGTTGCAGGATACTGGTACTGGAGAAGGCCGCTAACTGTGACGCCGATATTGGTGACGGGGCCAAGCGAGGGAACCCAGGTTTCTGAACTGGCCGGAACAGCGAGAATGTACTGTCCGGCTGGCTTCTACAAGTAAACGATCAATAATCCAGTTCATGGATGGGGACATTTACCGTAATTACATACCGAGTAAATAGGGGTGAAGGGAGGGTAATCAAAATTGGAAGCATAGAATCCGGTTAAAAGAAAAATGGTCTTGGGGTTCAAGATCGGGTTATTCTTCAAGTATGCGTCCACGTCCCCTTTAGCATCAAAGTGTGGTACTTTGACTTCGCCCTTCGTTAGTTGGCCTGCAGCAGGCAATGTGCTCCAAAAGTAAGTCTCCAGAGTAGCAGTCTTGGCGGCGGCACGAGCCATATTCACGCCCCGGGTGTACTCGATTTGCATGGCCTTTTCTGGACCGATTCCAGTGGCAAAGGGCTCATAGAAGTCTGTGACGCCGAAGATTGCGCTCGCGCCAACAAAGGCAGCAGTCAGACTGTCTTCGTCGTCCAAATCAGCTGCCACCATTTCGACGCCACGCTTGGCCAGAGCTTGAGCCTTTGCGCTGCTCAAGTTCCGAGTCACACCTCGGATCTTCCAGTCAGCATTAGCAGACAAGGCATCAATGACGCCTGAGCCTTGCATGCCTGTCGCACCAGTAACAACAATGAGCTTAGCCATGGTGAAGGCTTCTGAGGGTGAGCTTGATAGATGAGAGCTTGGAGGTGAATTTGATGTTTCTTGTTAGGGTGGTATGGGATTAATGAAGACTGTATCTATATAGCTTTCTCCTAATTCCATGCATGGTGTACGTTCATAAGCATAGATCGAGCGCTTTGATGGTCGGTGTAGATACCCACAATTGCCGAAAGGACCGCAATGCCCGCAATGCCCGCAATGCCCGCATTGACCGCGAAGTCCGCACCTGCCGAAAAGACCGCAATGACCGCATCAGCTGCGGAGCCGACTCAACAGCCGCAATATCCGCAATGCCGACATTACTCAAATGTACGTGATTGAAATACTATGCTAGATAATCGCAAGAAGGTAAGGATAGGACAATGGCCACCGCAAAATGGCTGATTACAAATGGGCTCGTAGTATGTAGACGTGAGGCAGCTCCAATGCCTGTCGCCATAAAATAGTGACAAGAACATCCAGGTATTGAGACATGTAACATTACCAAGCACACCTCTACACTTCGAAACGCAGGTAAGCAAAGCGCATGACAGGCTTACCTGATATTATAAATCGTACAAGCAATTGATTAATAACACTGGTGTTATGTAGAACAGTGAGAATATATAAAGTAGAACAGCCCCTACGAACAGTTTGTGAACGGCACACATCATCAAAGTAGATTCGCCAGCTGTCCAACACGTCATGTCTGATCAAAAGTTGATTCTCGTCATTGGTGGAACAGGTGCTCAAGGCACTCCTGTTGTCAAGGGTGTGTATCGCAGAACCCGACCTTAACAGAACCCCATTCTAACCATGGCGTACAGCACTTTCTGAAAGTGGCCGCTACAGTGTTCGGGTGCTTACTCGTAACGTTGCGTCGGAAAAGGCCACGGCACTAGCCGAATTACCCAATGTGACACTTATACAAGGGTCCCAGGATAGCCAGAAGGACCTTCATGCTGCATTCACTGGAGTATACGGTGCGTGGGTGAATCTAGACGGATTCACGATCGGAGAGAAGAACGAGCTTTTCTACGGAATCCGGGCATACGAGATTGCGAGATACCATGGCGTCGAGCACTATGTATTCGCAAATATCGATTATGGTCTTCGCAAGGCCGATTGGGACGAGCGGTATCATTGCGGACACTGCGATGCCAAAGGGCGCGTTGGCGATTTGATCTTGAGTCATGGCCAATCTGGCATGAAGACTTCACTTTTGACCACAGGGCCATATATGGATATGCTATTTGATGGAATGTTTGTTCCCAAAGCTCAAGACGATGGATCGTTTGTCTGGGAGAACCCAGCAGGTAAGTGTTCCTATGATCGCCCCTAGCATCAGTTATTGTAGGCAGCAAACTAACCACAGGCTTGGTAGCGGACGGCAAGATTCCCCTTATTGCCCTCGATGACGTTGGAGTCTACAGCCTGTGGTTATTTGACCATCCCTCTCAGTCAGCCGGCCTCAATCTTGAAGTGGCAACGGACCAAGTGAGCTTTGCCGAGATTGCGGCTACATTCACCAAGGTCACTGGCAAAAAGGGAGTGCATAAGCGTGTGGCTCTCGAGGATTATCTGTCCAAGGCAGAGCCGTACCCAGACGCGTACGCAAATTGGGCGGTAAAGCCAACTGAACCGCGCGATGAGTCTTTCATGACCTGGCGCGAGAACTTCACGGCTTGGTGGCGCTATTGGGGTGAGGGGAAGGGGGCTACGCGTGATATGGCTTTCCTTGACTCCATTCACAGCACTCGCATTCCAAACCTCGAGGCATGGATGAGGGCAAAGAGCTATGATGGCCGACCCCGCTCGGTGTTGAAGGATCTCTCTGATTTTAAGAAATAAGGGGATGGCTATGTTGCGTTGGGCTATTGGATGATTAGGGGGTCTTGTCGTAAGAGATGCTTCGCCTGAGATTATGAAAAATGCACTATAGTTTCACGAGCCGAAAATTGAAGAGGCTGCTCTCCCCTTACTTCCGCGCACTCCTGCTGTCTCATTCCAGGGCGGTTGTAGATGAAATCTAACTTCACCAATTCGACTTGATTTCCACCTCGTTCTTGCGTTTTAGAGCCTGCTTTTACTAGCAGCGCGTTACTAATACTATAATCAGAAGCTTCCTCACAGGTACTACGTTATTAGAGCACTATTGAATTAGCTAGCTTCCCACGAGAATCTGGTTTAGTCCCTATCTAGGAATGCCCTCACTCTAGCCCCAGGTCAGAGTACACCTCGCCGGCAATACCGCCGAAACTAGCAAGCGGTAAACTCCCTTCGGTCGTAGTAGTCATTTTGTCCACAATTAGACAGGCGAAGGCGAGGTACGAACCTAGCGCTAGCTTTGTTAAATAGTAGTGCTTGGTTCATATAGCAGATCCTATCTGTGATTCGGAAGGATACGGGGAAAAGGCCCAGCGACGCCCAGTTCGCTAGTTAGGTAATGTCTTAGACAGCGGCCAAGTCTGGCTCTAGGTATCTGACAAAATAAGGAAATATGTGAAGTGCGTGGCAATGGGCTTCCAACTAGGCCATATCACTCGCGACGTATACCATAAGGATAGGTACCGAAAGTTCGCGTTCTATAGCTAACAGGCTATACTGGATAGCCTGAACCATTTATGGATCGACACTTACTGTATAGACAAGTCCAACAGCTAGGAGCTTCAAGAAGCGATTAACTCCATGTTTCGTTAGTACCGAGATGCCGAGCATTGCTACGTCTTCCTCACAGATGTGTACAAAAACGCTAGCGACGACGACAACAGACCGTCACAAGTACAATGGGAGAAAGCCTTCAGAAGCAGCCGGTGGTTCACCCGCTGTTGGACACTACATGTGCAGGAAGTACAGCGTCGCTTGAACCAAAGAGTGAAGTGGAGCTTCAAAGACTAGGCCGGGCAGGACTGTCTCTCGGAAGGCGACTTACGAGGAATCAGTTCGGTTGTGAAATCTAGGAGATTGAAGCAGAACTTGCGGGATTCTGGTCTGCTGGTTCAGATTGCGATATCTGCATGTCTGATTATTTTTGCCCAATTCACGAAGTTGTTGAAGTTTTGATTAGTTAAAGGCAACCAGGCAGGAATAACTTGGCGGACCATTTTAGGAGATATCAGTCTTGGGTTTAACAGTCGAGCTAGTACTCTATATCAATGATTTCTTCGAGTTTAGCCCAGCAGGTGTCGTTGAACCGGATCCGGACCTTCTTCATGCCTCGTCTCGGCCGAGCCGCCTAGCCCGGCCCGGCGGTTAGCGTTTACGCTAGCTAAGTGTACGCTAGGTGCCTGGCCTAGAGTCTAGCCCATCTCGCGGACCCACATCGACTCCAAGTCGGCTCCCTACCGGCAAAGCCACTTCTCATCTATCAGAAGTAGAACTATCCCCAAGACCACAACCAGAGGAGCCAGGGTGAGGATTGGCGACGGATGTGATCAAGAATTGGTGCAAGTACAAGTATCTGCAGATATAATTGTACAGCGAATAAATTACAGTTAATCAGAAGCCTACTTCCGTGTAAGTGATGTATGTCACGAACGGTGTCTAGCAACTAGCTACCTTGAGCTAGGTAGTGATGGCCTGGTTCCATTCATTGTACAGGCAACCTCTCTACGCCGCGCGGGAATCGACTAATATTTCCGTCGTCCTTACAATACGACTCTCGTCATACTCCTTCTTCGGAAAGTCGGTGGAGGGATCCCCCGAGGCGTGCGCATGGATGTCCCACCGCGTGCTCCCGGCGGCACCCGGTCTCATCTCCTCGAGCGCCAGCTCCTCGGTGCTGATGCTCTTCATCTTGTTGCTCTTGTTCCCCGTCGACTTGCTGGCGCCCGCCCGTATGGCCGCCGAGGCCGAGCCGTAGCGGAGGTAGGTGGTGCGATCGTTGTGGGCCGAGGAGAGGCCGATGCCCGGCAGGAGGCGTGCGACCAGGGGCCGGAGGGTCGGCAGGGTAGATGCGATGATGGAGATGTTGAGCTCGATGCAGGACCAGATCGCCGCGCCGATGTTGTCCCAGGACGGGTCCTGGCTGATGACGCCGGCCCTAAGGGTGAGCATTCGGTAGATGGAGATGATGCAGACGCTGCGAGCGGGTGTTAGCAAACACGTTTCGTTCCTGCAGAAGGGGAGGTGGTCGTATTACAAGAAGCCGAGGCAGAAAATGCCGAGCACCATGATTCTCTGCCTCAGAGGGAGTTGGAGCTTCAACACCGAAGGGATCGGGATGCAGCAGATGAGGATATCGGTCGCCATGCTCATGCCCGAGGAGAAGTACCAGATGGGCAGCGTGTCGAGGCAGGAATTGGCCATGCTGGGGACGATGATGGAGACGGGGAGGCATGCGAGCCCCAGAAGGACAGCCTGCACACATGCCCAGAGGCAGACGTAGACAATGAACCAGTAGCATATCCTCTGCATCACTGCGCCGTGGAAGATGCGTCGGTATTGGAACAGGAAGCCCAGCTTCACAACGTTCAATCCCATGTTGTAGTTGAGGATAGCAACCATGAGGAACTGGTGCGTGGAGCTTGGTTAGCCTTCCATGAGCTCCTTTGGGCCTCCCGCACGTAGGAACTCTTGTTCCAGGGGCGACCGGCCGTCATGCTATGCGGCGAATGGAGGACGTACCTTGAGCTGTTCCAAGGTCTCCTGCTCCCCGACAGTTTCGACATGCCTGCCCATGCCGTACTTTGCCTCGAAGCACATGGCCACGGAGTAGATGACCGAAAACCCCTACCGCGCTCGTTAGTACTCGCCAAGAGCAAAAAAGACGAAAGAACGGACCGTCGCAATCAGCATGTACCAGTCATCCTTGCCAATGGACCTGAGAAGCACCCCTCGAGTGTAGAAGCGTCCTGCGATGAAGACGGCCGTAGCGCACACGAAACCAATGGCGATACCGGTGACGAGCGGCCCGTTGGTTTCGGTACTGCGCGTTGTCGGCTGGTCCGCCATGGCGTATGGTTTTCGGCAGCTCGACTTTGGGAGACTCAACCAAAGAGAAGGGGGGGGGCCCGTAATATATTGTAGGATGCCTGTATCAGCGCGACTAGACAGGACAGGGACGGAGATGAGCGAACTGGCGCACACAGAAAGGGAAGGCTTCAAGGAAAGTGGAAATAGGCAACCGCAAGCCTTTCAAGGGCCTGCATGATTTAAAAGGGGGGCTACCAGTTGCACTGGACAAAGAGCAGGCTCGGGGGGTCTAAGTACTCGTGCCCGCCCCGCACTACTTGGATTCCGCGAATGCCGCACCCTGTTGAAAAGGGGGTGTGGCATGAGTAGCAGTTTGCAGTTGTCGGCTATGCGCCAACCAACAACTGCTCCTTTGAGTTAATGAGCAGAAGTTCTCCGCGAGTGGTTGCTGCCGAGGTGGAGCAAGCACGCTTTTCTGTATCGTGGTGGCTGAACTCTGCCTGCCATGTGCTGCCCAATGCGGGCTAGCGCTCGTTGAGGGAACTGTGGAGGCGGGGCCGGGGCTGGGGCCGGGATCCGCTTCCCGAGCAATACAAGTGCCCCTGCTCTGTTCAGGCGTTGCAAATTTGACAAATTGAGTTCATTCTCTTCAGCCCTGAGCCGCTAGTCAGGGGCGCCCCGGCAATGCGGGACATCCTTGTCGTGATTCTTGATGAACAGAGGCGGCCTAGCTATGCGCCGTCCAACTTAAAATACCATGCCGTGCCCTCGAAGAATCTAGGGGCCTCTTGCCACCCACCTACTCAGCCAGTTGTTTCCGTCGCCCCCCCTCGGCTAATCAATCGCTCCATTGTTCGTCATGAGGTTCTCACTATCGTTTGCGGCGGCCCTCGCCCTCTCCGCTGGTGTGTCTGCCGAGGATGCTTCATTTGACTATGTGAGTGAGCACTGTACACTGCGCGCGCGCGCTCGCGGTGCAAAACGCCATGTCTGACTTGCAATGCCCTAGATTGTTGTTGGTGGTGGCACTGCTGGTACCGCCCTGGCCACTCGCCTCAGCCTGGGCCTTCCCAAGTCCACCATCCTACTCATCGAGGCCGGACCTGCTGCTCTCGATGACCCGAGGATCAATGTCCCTGGCCTTCGGGGGTCTATTCTCGGGTCCAGCCTCGATTGGAACTTCACTACAGTCAAGCAGTCGTCTCTTGATGGCCGCTCTATCAGTGTCAACCGTGGCAAGGTGCTCGGTGGCTCCTCTGCCATGAACTACCTTTGCTACGACCGTGCGTCGGCCCCCGAGTACGAGGCTTGGGCTGAGCTCGGGAACCCGGGCTGGGGCTGGAACACGATGATCAAAGCCATGACCAAGTCGGAGAACTTCACAGGCACCGATAAGGACAGGCACGGGCGCAACGGGCCGATTCAAAACTACTACAATCGAGTCGTCTACCCTGTCCTGCGCTTCTGGCAGCCAGCCGTGAGCAAGCTCGGCATCAATGTCAACGACCATGACAGCATGGGCGGCGACCCCATCGGCGTCGGGTTCCAGCCCACCAACATCGACACGAAGAAGAACACACGCTCCTACTCCGCCAGCAGCTATCTGCCCCTGGCTGGCAAGAACCTGGTCGTCAGGACCAACACCCAGGTTGCCAAGGTCAACCTGGTCAAGCTCAAGGACTCGGAGTACAAGGCGACCGGCGTGACCCTGCCGGGCGGCGAGGTCATCCGAGCACAGAAGGAAGTCATCATATCCGCCGGCTCCGTCCAGAGCCCCGGCCTGCTCGAGCTCTCGGGCATTGGCCAGCCCGCCGTGCTCAAGGCTGCTGGTATCACCCCGCTTATCAACCTCCCCGGTGTCGGCGAGAACTACCAGGACCACATCCGCCTGTCCAATACGTACAGACTCAAAGACGGCATCGACTCGTTCGACAACCTCATCTTCGACAGCGCCGGCGCCAATGCAACGGGCGAGCTGCAGAAGTGGATGGAGGGCGAGCCGTCGCTGTACGAGTATACCACCTCGGCTTACGGCTTCATGAACTGGCGCCAGCTTGGCCTGGATGCGAAGATGAAGAAGATCGCCCGCGACGTCTTCGGTCGCAGCACCAACGTCATCGACGCCAAGAAGCTGCAGTATCTAAACAACGCCCGCGTGCCGTCAATCGAGATGATCTACGAGGCCAACTTTGTCGGCTCCTTTGCATACACAGGTGGCAAGTTCATCACCCTCATCGCGACTGTCATGCAGCCCTTCTCGCGCGGCAGCGTCCACATCGACCCGAGCAACCCACGCGGCAAGCCCATCATCGACCCCAAGTTCATGAGCAACAAGTACGACCACGAGGGGCTCGTCGAGGCCGCCAAGTTCTCGCGCCGCATCGCCCACTCCGAGCCCATCAAGTCGACCTGGGTGGCGGAGACCGAGCCCGGCGAGGCTGTCCAAACAGACGAGGACTGGCGCGCGTATGCTAAGACGGCGATGGGCAGCTTCTACCACCCTGTCGGGACCTGCGCCATGCTTCCCCGCAAGGACGGCGGCGTGGTCAGTCCTGAGCTCCTCGTGTACGGCACAACCAACCTGCGCGTCGTCGACAACAGCATCATCCCTATTATCCCGGCTGCTCACATCCAGACTGCGGCGTACGGCATTGCCGAGGTCGCCGCGGCCAAGATCATCGCCCGTGCGTGAGAGTGATGGGGAGGGAGGGGTGGGTGCTTCAGGCTCGGCCCCTCCTCGTTGAAATGAGTCGTCGGGCTCCCTTTTCAGACCTCGCTTAGCCTTTTAAAGTTTTGCATCATGTTAGTTTCCTGTAAAACGAGATGTGATCTTGTGCTGTGCCGGACAACTGCGCGCCGGGCAAGTCAATATATACTTAGGGTACATAAGGAATAACACGATTCAGTTCATGGTTTCAACCGGGGATAGTGGCGGCTCGCAAAGCAGATATCGAGGCGAGTACCTTGTTCGTATGCAAAGCCTACGATGTTTTCGAAGTTCTCGCCCATTTCCTGACATTCGTCTTCATCACACTCGTCGAACGCATCGTCTGTACCACACAGGCGCTTGCTGCCCGTAGGACCCCCGCTGTGAAATTGGTGTGCCATCTCGTGAGCTCGGAGCCAGCTAGCCGTGTCCTACAGGAACGAGGAGAGAGTTGAGTGCGGTCGGGTGTATTGTGGTCAAACATGCGGTGAGGCTGAGGGGGCGATAGCAGTCTGCCTACGCGTATATGTTGTCCTTCCAGATTGTAATAATGATTGGTTATATAGAACCATGCTGATGTACACCCGCAATGTCACCTGCACTATGCAGGTATGCATTGTGTCTCACCCTCAAGCAGTTCGAACTCGTCAGGTGAGCCCGACACAACCGCAGCACTGATGCCTGAAGCAGCTGCAGTCAGACGGGGCGGCTTATCTGAACTTCGTCTTGATCTCATCCGGTACATAACCAGGCTCTGCAACAGACCCCGATATCGCACACTGCCGATAGTTCACTCGCGGATGGGCGCTGGAGGAGATGATCGCCCCAAGGTCGGTTAAATTCTTCTTAGCAGAAGGTGAAGCACTAGGCAATAAAACGACGTTGGAGGCACTACTACACTGTCAGGCCCGAGGACACTGCCAATAAGGTACAGGGCCGACCTGGTACCGATTTAGTGTCGATGAGGTGGAGATATATAATGTGTACAACTATGCTACTAGTACCGAGGTACGGGAAGTGTAGATAGTGGGATACTGGGGGCTATACTAGCTTTATCAGTGTAATACTATATTGTAGCTGAAACGTGTACGCTTCGTGACCGAGAACTTAGCTCCCTAAGAATTAGACTTATAGTAATACGACCCCCTACTAGATATCCGACTACTACCTAACTTACCTTATAATGCACTGTTCTTACATCGTCTTTAGTCCTTCTAAAAGTTTAGTTTAGTAGCGCTTCTGTAGCGAGAGCCCGGACTAGGTTTAGTATATACCGGAAGTATCGGAGCAGTGAAGCGTATATAAGGCAACACTCGAGGGCTATACTCGCGGGGTTAACTCGGCTGCCTTCTCCCCCAACGGTAGCCGTGTTATCTCGGTATCGGATAATTATACAGTTAAGCTATAGGATGCGGGCATAGGCGCTTACCAGGCGACATACAGACGTAGCGCTAACGACTCTTTATTATAGAATACAACTAACGCGTATATCTATATCGGTGTCCGAGTTCCTCACAAGTACCGCGTTATCCATCAAAGAGAGTCTAGAGTATCGTAGAGTGTTTTTATGACTCTCGAACTGCAGGCTGCGGGGCAAGCCTGACAGTAATGTCCACTTACTCATCCCGACCTCGCCCACCTCATTTGACGCCAAGAGCAGCAAACTCTCCTAAATTGTCGCCTAGCTGGTTCTCTCAAGTACGGACGGAAGCCACTTCACTGCGAACAGCATCACCGTGAACAAGTTGATCCTCACGCACAGCACCCGCGGGTACGTCCCTGTTGCGGTGCCGGATACTGAAACGGAAGTCGAAGCCAAACGGACCAAGCGTGAAGCTGAGGCTTGTGAGGGTCTCACTGGCTGCGCCGCCCTCGTATGTGATGAAGCGGGTGGTGTGATGCGTGCGGACGAGGTACAGAACGCGCAACAAGAAGAGGGCGGAGTGGATCAATCTAGAGACACAGACAGGTATCAGTGTTTGTGGGCATGGATATGAGTCTCATATGTGATATGCGGAATGGAGTATGCAAGGGATTGACTTACGCAAAAAGCAGAGCAAGGGCAGCCCATGTCGACGCAATACCATCAAAGACGCTCTCAAAGGGCTGGCACCTAGCCCCGTCATAGTGGCCGTCGTGCCAGGAGCCGCACCAGCTCTGGTTGGGGATGAAGCTCACAGACTCCCCCGCTGCGTTCAAGACAAAACCCCCAGTCAACCCGTCGGCCAGAAGAGTGAAAAGCACAGCCCAGGGCTCCCAAGCCCCGCCAACACGGCGGCGGAGGGTCCAAATGTCCATGATGCAGAGAACGACAGCCTGGAAGCGAGCTTCGAGTTAGTGGTGATAATCATTGTGTCGGAGAGAAGGCCCGAGTGTCTTACGTATATGGTCACCGTGTGCAGGTTCTCAATGAGCTGCCACCGTGGCATGAAAGGCTCGGGCGCATTGCTGACGAGAACGAGGATCACAATTGCCAGACCAATCAGTAGCACAGTGAAGAGTAGTGAAGCCCAGGTCAAGCCTCTCACGATGCGAAGAAGTCGCTCTGTGCTCAATCGCGCTGTGCTGTCTGTCGTGTCGTCGAGACCAGCCGCGTGAGCTACGACGTGCTCTTCGCCCTCCGAAGCTGCAGCAGCATCTGCTGAGGGAGCGAGCAGTGCTGTGGTCTCTGTCGAGTCAGCGGCTCTTTGGGGACGTGAACTTGCTTCGCTTTCCATATTGGCGCTCGAGGTATTCCAATTCGTGTCGTTTCTTCGTACGATGTCGGGTGTTGAGAGTTTGCAAGAGAGACAAAGACGCCTTGCATTGGTTGCTGTTTCGATTCACATTTGAGCTGGGGTGAGGTGGATCTAGTCGAGTATAAATAGCCCTACAACCCTGCAGGGGCAAGGCTGAAGGAGCATGCTAGTGGCTCTCCAGGTCCCCGCAACGAGGCGCAGGCATCCACTAGCAAATAGCGCTGATGACACATGTCATGCCTTGAGCGTTCCTAGGCAGCAACTAGGCGTTTCGGATACATTTCACTACGGAGAGTTCAAGATGTACGTGTCCTTGCGCCAACCAGCTGATGGGATTCCAAAGTGGTCTTGGTATACGTAGGCGATAGAGGCGACCGATGCATTGAGAAAGGACAGAATACCCATCATTTCACATGCTGAACTTTGCCTGGAGTGCGCTGGGAACGCTGATGGGAGCCTGGCTTGAATGACCACAAGTCTAGCCCGACAAGCCTAAATGCTTGTGAAAGGCATCGAAGGACGGCTCACGTCCGAGGAAATCAATCAAAGTCTTCAGCTCGTCCTGACTCGCACCTTTCTCGAGCACCATCCGCCGGTATCGCCTTCCTACTTCACCATCAAGTGGATCCTTAGCAAACGCAGTCTCAAACATGTCCTGCGCAATCGCCTTCGACCATAGATAGCAGTACATTGTCCCGTCGCTGCCAGAGAAAAGATGCTGATACGTCGTGTAGCCGTGCCTGAAGAATTATTAGTGTTGCACGTTCAAATACACATCCCAAAAAGCAACGGGAAACTCATACTCATCTCCTTCACAGTGCAGTCCACCCAGTTGGCTGTACTTGGCATATAGACCTGGCACATCGATCGTACCACCTCCGGCGGCTGGTGACCCATGCACCGCGTTGTCAAACAAGGTCAAAGTGAGCTGTTCCATCAACTTGGCAGCCGGCAACACCGTCCTCGAAGCCACGAGCGCCTCAATAGCCTCATCGGGCAGCGGTTCGCCAGTTTCGTGATGCCCTGAGAGCTTTTTCAGTGCTCTGGCATCCCAGCACCAGTTCTCCAGCATCTGTGAGGGCGCCTCGTTGAAATCTCCAGCCGTCTCGGCGCCGTGCAAGCGTGAGTAATTGCAGATTCCAGCGAGGTCGTGAATGCCATGGCCCAGCTCGTGGAATAGAAGGGTCATGTCGGCGTGCCGGAGAAATGAGTCCGGCTGGAAATTGGTTCGAAGCACAGTGGACGGATGGTGCCGTTTGGAAGTCCGCTGGTCGAAGAAGCCCAAATGCAAAGGTCGGCACTCTGCGCCGAGGGTCTTGCTGTCGCGCGGATATAGATCGAGGTACAAATATCCGACGAAACTGCCCCCTTCCTGTTCGTCGTTCCAGACGCTGTACACCATGACATCTTTGTGCCAGACTAGACTCTCGGGCTGGCCGTGCTTGGTGTCTGTGATCTTGTGGAAGACAAAGCCGAATAATTTGCCAAAGAGGTCCAGCATTTTAGACACTGTGGGTACTAATGGAAAGTATTGCGCTACCAGAGCTTGGTCGACCCCGTGGTTCTGCTCCTCATACAGGCGGCTGTAATATGACAAGTTGGCCCACGTGATAATTTCCGACTCTGCGTCTCCTTGAGCATGTGAGCCTGCTGTTTTGAGCACGCGAAGCTTCTCGAGGTCGTGTGGGAGTCGAGCGAGTGCTTGCTGCTGAACGGTGTTCAGCAGCTTTTCTACCGCCAAGGTTGTTTTGGCCATCATGTTCTCGACTTTGTAAGCGGTATGGCTGTCGTAGCCCCGTAGACGAGCTGCCTCGTAGCGAAGCTTGACGGCCTCTTGTAATAGGGAGTCATTCTCCCTCGCCTGTGTATCAATCAGCACAACTCTTTGCCGAGTACCACCCTGGTTACTTACCATGTTTCTCGTGCCCAAGTATGCCTGCTTTCGAATCGTGGGCGAGGTGAGCTGGCTCACCACGGCTCTGACCTGATGGTCTTTGAGCCTCAGCTTGAACTTTCCGGCCAAATCCCCGATGCCCGCATCCAAAGCATCAATTGTGGCCGCAGGCACACCGTCAAGCTCAGCACGAGTGAGCCATAAACAATCCTGTGCCATGCGCAGGTTGTCCAGGAAAGCCGCCTCAATCTCGGCAAGTCTTGTTTTGACTTCCGCGATGCGCGTCTGACTGGCCGAATCGACACCCTCAATGGAGAACCTGCGCTGCTCCTGGCATAGCGCCTTCCAGCTTTCATCGTCCATTACATCCGGCGAGCCACTCTGCTGTCGTCGTTGGAGCTCCCGCCGGTACACCACATCCACTAGGGGTTTCAGCCTCTCGTCGCCCTTCCAGTCGTTCATGGAGCCCATCAGCCGGTTCGCCGCAGCCCGTGTAGCTTTCTCGAGGTCGCTCGGCGTGCCGTCGGCCTCCCCACTGCCGCCATTGCCCAGTATTGCGCCAATAATTGCGGCGTTGGAAGTCAGCTGAAACTTATTTTCGAGCTGGAGGAGCACCGCAATGACATTTTCAAACGTGGCGGTCTCGGGCGTGACCTTGGCGAGAATTTCCTCGTTGATGACCTGTTCGGCGTGGCGGCATGCTGCGTCCGCCGAGGCGGCGATGGATGTCGCATCAGTGGTGAATGTCACCGGAGGCTGCGGTGGGTTGGCGTATCTGTGGGCCATGTTTGCAACACGCGCTAGAGAATGTCTGAGGCTAGCCGCTCAACGTGAAGATGTGATGATCGGAGAGAGAGCTTTCAATAGAAAACTTTGAATTCGGTTGAAACAGAGCGGTGCGGGGTTCAAATGGACACCGAGATGTTGTATTTGTTGGTTGTGCCGCAGGTGGTGGCTATCTCGGTCCTGACCGGGCTCCACAACAGGCACCGGCGCAGCGGTTCAGGGGTTCGGATCAACACAGTGCATCCAGTGAAGGGATTTGGACGCTCATGAGCTTTCCCACGAGCTCGTCTGAATGTGTAGAAGCAAAGAAAGGCATCTGTTGGTTTCTTTGTATGATGCCGCGCGGAGCGCGAAGCATTTACATGAGCAGGCAAGGGCCAGGATCCCCTCTTGACAGACCACGAAGTATTTACATTCCCCCATCGATCACTCACACGCGCTCGTGTTGCTCACTCTTGGCAGCGAGCTCGCTCTGCTTGGTAGCTTCAACCTCGATGCGGACATCAGCCGCGTCGCCGTCAAAAATGACGGCAATCTCCTCGAGCGCCTTGCCCTTGGTCTCGAGGAACCAGCCATACGCGATGAAGCTTTCAACCGCCAGGATCGCCACGTATACGATGTAGAATCGCCACCCAATGTTATTCAGCCCAATCGGGTTGACATACTGGTTGACAAAGACGGCGCACTTGGTGGCAAAGACGTACGTCGCCATGCCCTTTGCGCGGATCGAGTAAGGCAGCACCTCAACCGAGTACGCGACGGGTAATGGCGAGAAGGCAATGCAGTATCCGACCTGGTAGATGAAGATGAGCGCGATGACCGCAATGCCCGCGGCGCTGACGCCCGTGTCGGCGAACCGCGCCGAGGCAATGGTCCAGCACGTGAAGACGACGAGCATCCAGAGGGTCGACGTGCGGAAGAGCACGCGCCGGCCAAGACGCTCGACGAAGAAGGCCGAGGTCAGCGCGATGGCCCAGTTCCAGATGTTGATGAGCCCGTTGACAAGGGCTTGGGTGTTCTTGTCGGTAATGCCGACCGAGTCCATGACGCGGCTGAGGTCTGATCCCCGCAGTGAGATTAGTCACATGCCGCGTTTTCATGCGTTTGAGTACAGCTAAAGTAGAAAGACTCACAGTATGCGACAAGGCCATTGCCAGACCACTGGCTCATGAAGCCCATGCCTGTGATAATCTGTTAGACACCACCGTAGCCTGTTGTTCATCACACGGTTCGTCCACTCACAGCAAACGATGAAAACACGGTACCGGGTTGCCAGGCGTGCTGACCATGGATGCCCATGTGGTTGACTTTGAGCCTATATCGGTGACAGTCGGTTAGCAGAACTCAAATAGTTGTCCCCGCTCGACCGATGTATGGCCTGTGGAAGATGACTCACTCTTCTCGTTGTCAATGGCAGCGCGGATCTCCTCATACTCAAGTCGCACGAGCTCTGTCTCCTCGCCTTCGCCGTGGTAGTATTTGAGCGCAGCAAGTGCTTCGTCGTCGCGGTCGTTGCTGATAAGCCATCGAGGGGATTCCGGAAGTAGCCAGATGGTGCTAAGCTGGACCAGACTGGGCAGCATCTGAAGAAGAGAAGGGATGCGCCACGACCAGGTACTCGGGATGGTACGGGTACCGTAGGTGACCCAGGCTGCGATGATGCTTCCGACGAACCAGCTATTCGGACAGGTCCTGTCAGTTATGTTCTACCCTACGGTCAAAGCGGAATCCAATCCATGAGAGGGGACATACCAGGTGTTGCAGATGGCCGTGACTGTCACACGATCCTTGGGGTGTGACAGCTCGCTGACCAGACTGGGCGACGCCGTGGTGGCAAAGGACAAGCCAAAACCCAGGATGAAACGGCTGACGACAAACATGGCGAAGTTGACGCTCTCGCACTGCAGGATGGCACCGGCGATCATGATGATGCTGCCGACCGTGATGCCCCATCTGCGCCCGTACTTGTCGGCGACCCATGGTGCGAAAGGTGTTGAGCAGATGCTGCCGAGGGACATGATGGCGCTCATGAGACCCAAGCTGGCGCCGCGAGGGTTACCGAAGAAATCGTCCCAGTAAGACACTAGATGGAGGACACGGACAGAAGTGAGCCGTGTGATCTTCTGTTTTCCCTTTGGCCTCGGCTGGTGATATAGGGAGGTCGCCTACCTGTCTGCAGACTGTTCATCATCGACCCATCGTAGCCAGAGGTGGCATACGAGACAACCGCAGCAGGGAACAACAACCCATAGAGCTTGCGTCGAGCAGCAGACTTGTACCAAGAGGGTGCCTGGTTGGCTAGCTGGGTCATACGGGAAGGCTCATACGTCTGGCTGGTGACCGCCGGGCCGCCTTGCTTGCGAGCCTCCCTGGCGAGTTTGTCCTGCCTGGGAGCAGGCAGTCTTTGCCGGATGTGATCCATGGCTGAGTATGGCCGCTGACACAGGCGATACCGAGATCGAGGTGATGGAAAGTCTAGAGGAAAGTAGATAGATGTAAGGGGCCGGCTGACTATCTGACTGGAGAGAGCCCGGATCGACGTTGCAGACACGTCTATATATACACAATACGTACGGGTGGTTCCAAAGTCCGGGGTCGCGTACCGGCGAGACGGTTCCAAGGCAGAGCAGCCACCGCTGCTTTCGACTTAGCCTTGCTCGCAGGTGACACGGGTTCTTCCAAGCAAACGATGAGCTGGACCAAGGTGCATGAGTAAAGAATGGTTTCGGCGCCGTGTTGTTCGCGTGAAATCGGACACGGCGCGCGCAATCGAGGGGAATAGGCTCCACAACTAGTTCCGGATGGGCGGAAACAAGCCTAGCGACATGACATGACACGAGACCAAGTTGTCCTCAGTGGCATAAGCGCGCCGAATTACATTCGTGGGGAACCCATGGGGTCTCCAGGATGCAGGTCGGATGACTTGACCCTCGATAAATTTCGAGTCCGGGGCTGTGGTCGCGGCCAAGGACGTGCGGAACAGTCCTTCAAGATCCTGGGAGGACTCGTTCCGGTGATCGAGCCAATCAAGTTGGTCAATTCAACGCTGGTGGCTCCCATATTAGCCACAATGGAGACGTCGGGGGAGCTAAATCGTTCCCCCTAGACCACACCCCAGGGGCCGACGGCTCGGGGGAAGCCAGAACTATCCCCGATGGCTTTGGAAAGTGGAGATCGCAGACAAGCTGCTCCGGGCATCGGCACATGGACACTGGGCACGAGCGGGTACTTGCTGAGCTGGATTTATCGATTAGCGATATATAGACAATGCCATGGGTTGCCGGTATACACCGTTTGTCTTCGAGCTCAGTATCTGGAGGCGTTGTTTTTTTTTTTATTAACGCAAGCCAGTTATTTCTTGCAAGAGGGCACTCGTGGCCAAACGCATACGCAATGGCGACAGGCATGCTCAGAACATCAGGCGCAAATATTGTTCACGCCGAGGGCAATGAGGTCCTACTCCGAGGAGTTCGTCACCCGAAGGAACTGATCACGCTGAGAAACATGACTGACCAAGGTCGCAGACGGCCCTCGGTGGCTGGATGTTAATGGAGAACTTCAGTAAGTCGCCCACGAGCGCACTTTCTCAAACAACCACAGCGGTCAAAACTGACATCCCTCGCTTCGTACCTCCAGTGAACGGCTTCCCCGGCCGCGAGCACCAGATCCGCGCAGCCCTGCTCAAGGTACTGGGCAAGGAGAAATGCGACTTCTTCTTCGACAAGTTCCTCGAGTATTTCTTCATGGAGAAGGACGCCGAGTTTCTCGCCTCCCTGGGCTTCAACTGCCTGCGCCTGTCTTTCAACTATCGGCACTTTGAGGACGACATGAACCCCTTTGTGATCAAAGAGGAAGGATTCAAGCACCTGGACCGAGTCATTGAGCTTGTAAGCCGTTCTCACATGGGCCGCTCAAGAGTCCCAGGAGCACAACGCTGACGCGGGCTCGAACAGTGCGCAAAACACAAAATCTACACAATCCTCGACCTCCACGCCTGCCCCGGCGGCCAGAATCAAGATTGGTAAGTTTCGCCCCTCCCTCCCCCCGATGCCTAGTATCCCGCATTCTCTCTGGTGCCCTACTTCAGAAACCGGAAAAATCTAATCACGGCAGCGCTGCTTTGCTTCGAATAAAAAACAGGCACTCCGACAACCCCACCGGCCACGCAGCCTTCTGGGACCACAAGCACTTCCAGGACCGCGTTGTGAACCTGTGGCAGGTAATCGCGCGGCGGTACAAGGGGAACCCGTGGATCGCCGGGTTCAACCCGATGAACGAGCCCGCGGACGTCGAGTGGACGCGGCTCCTGAGCTTCTACGACCGCATCGTGCCCGCCATCCGGGAGATTGACCCGGAGCACATCCTCTTCCTCGAGGGGAACACGTGAGTCTTCTTCTGCCTTTCATTTCTCACACGCAATTGTTCCTCTTTTGCTACATGCTGGGCTTTCAAAGGTGCTGAACCTTTACTAACTCTTTTGGGTTGATTCCTTTGATAATCAAAACAGATTCAGCATGGACTTCTCTGGCTTCACCTCCGTCTTCCCCAATGCCGTCTACGCTGTGCACGACTACTGCGGCTTTGGCTTCCCGAACCGCATCGGCCGCTATCAGGGCGAGCCCGAGCAGGACGCCTACATCCGGCGCATGTACGACCGCAAGGTCGAGTTTATGAAGCGGCACAACGTGCCCATCTGGAACGGTGTGTAGCCCCCCGTCAGGGCCGTGCGAGCAGGCCGAGAGAGAGAGAGAGAGAGAGAGAGAGCGGGAGAGACGCTGCAAGCATCGCGGGAAGATGGCTTGACGATATCAGCGCTGATCCATTATGTTCGTGCTTAGGCGAGTTCGGACCGATCTACGAAAAGGCAGAGCACAACCCCGACTGGGAGGTCCACAACGACGAGCGGTACAGAATGCTCGAAAAGCAGATGGCCATATACTCGTCTGAGAGTATTGGTCAGTACTTTCCTCTTTCCTTCCTCCTTTCCCACCCCTCAACCATGTCATGGACAAGAGACTGACTTATCTCTCCTTTGGCTGCAACAGCCTGGTCCATCTGGTCCTACAAAGACATCAACATCATGGGCATGACCTACCTCCCCGACACGACCGCGTGGATGCAGCTGCTCGGCCCGATCATCCGCAAGAAGCGCGACCTCGCCGTCGACAGCTGGGCCTACGACGACGCACACCTCCAGGACGGGCTCTTTGGGCCCCTGCACAAGTGGTTCGAGGACAACGTCCCCGAGCAGTACAGCAAAAAGTACCCCTGGCAGTGGCGCATGCATATGCACGTCTTCCGGGGCATCCGCGGCATCACCATGAGCGAGTACATGATCCCCGAGTGGGCGGACTATTTCAAGGGCAAGAGCTTCGAAGAGCTGGATGAAATTGCGGCGAGCTGGAAGTTTGAGAACTGTGTGCGCAGAGAGCGGCTGAATGACGTGCTGAGGGCGTATGCACCGATGAAGGCGGACGATGAGAGGTTGAAGGGCAAGGTTATTGAGTCGGAGAATAAGGTTCTCGTCAGAGGTGACAAGCAGGAGTCGGTGTCCGGCGTGGGTGTATTTGAGCTGTCCCCCGAGGAGAAGGCCAAGAGGGAGAAGGTGACTGTGACGCCGGTGCCCGTTGCGGCATAGTTGAGCTGTAATAAGATGTGTCAACGAGTACTTGCCGGTCATGGCCCACAAAGATGCCGTGAAAGGCCCTTGTCCACTGAACTGTGATGCCTCTCCTGCACCCGCTCCCCATATGTCGTGCAGTGGAAAGTGCACGTGCATGGTCTCGGTTTGACTAGTCATGACATGGCCTTGTCAAGCTCAGCCTCCATTGCTGTATGCCGATTTGTTCTGTTCTAGCCGCTCTAGCACGCTCAGGTGCCACTCGAAGTGTTTGACACTCGTAGCAAAACGCCGCAGGTTCTGGCGGCCGAGGAATATCGCCTCCTCAACGTCAGCTGGAAGATGCCGTCGAAATGCTGGAATGATGGCCGCTACCCTGAGGATGATGACCATGGTGAAGTGACTAAGTAAGGACAAGCCATCAGCAGTGACCAAGGCCAAATTGATGATGCAAGCCATGTGCCAGCGCAGAGAAAGAACTTACACCATTCCCGAGGCGAACAAACATGTGACGCTGTTTGCCGGGTCCACGTCAAACACCCAAATGAACCCCGCACAGCCATCAAAGCAGAGCCGGCACTTCTCAAGCATGGCCTCGCGTGATGGATGGGAATTTACTGTTTCCAGATTGCGCAGCACAAACTCCATGAAAGGGCGATGAATGATGTACTGCCCGGCATAGTACCGGCCTTTGAGGCGGATGACATTCCAGGGATTGTTGCCCATCTCTGTCGATCGTATAAAGCCCGGCGTGGACGGGGATGCGCCGTTCGCGGGGGAAACCCCCAGGGGCAGCTTGTTCACAGTGTCGGAACTGGTTAGCAGGAAGGCAGGAAGGTTGCGGTACACAGCTGAATGGTGCGACCACAGGTCATTGGTGACGCGCAGCAGCCAATCCGCGTAGTCAGGTCGGGCCATACGATACTGCTCTTTGCTGTCGTAGACGACACTGTTGACGCGGTTGAGGAAGCGCCGAATGCTTGCGTTGGTACTGATCTGAAATGCAATGATGGACGGCTCATGGCTGTAACCGTCGTGGAGGACTGCTTGACGAGGGCTCAGGCCGGCAGAGGCATCGGCGTCTGGCGTGCTGAAGATGGGATACGGCACATTGTCTTCGAACTTGGCGATGCCTGAAGGCAGCGTGATGGAGATCTCGGAGCTGAAGTCGCCCTCGTAAATGAAGGCTACCCAGTACAGCCTGCGAAATGCGTCGCAGAAATGGTCATTTGACTTGTTGTCTAGCAGGTACCTGTCGACTGGTAAGCACACAGGCCATGACTAAGTAATGTGCCGCATGTTATTCACCTCTTTGCAAGGGCTTCGCACTTGACAGCCGTGGCCTGAGAATAATGATATGATTCCGCAATGTCGCCCCTGGCGCCGCAGTAGAGGCTGGCCCAATGCGTCGTTAGCAACGTGGAGTCAAATCTGACTCGAAGGCAACACACCTTGCAATCATGCTACACTGGGCAGCCTCGAGCGTCAAACGCGGCGAGATCCACCCCAGCAGGAGCCTGGCCTTGTTCCAGAGCTCACCAGCAAGATCCTCGAATCCCGACTTGTGGCCGTCACCCACCACTGTGTCGCGTAGGGTGACCAAATGCTTGCTAGTCGTGACAAACGCCGCAAAACAGAGCACAAGGAGCAGGCGGGCATACACGTCGCCTGGCACAGCTCCCACATGGGTCCTGAGCTGACCGCCGCCGCCTGTCTCTTCCATTGCAACTTGGTCTAGGCTGTTGAGCACCTCCTCAGGCGACAAGACTGGGAAGAACAAGTTGACCTCGGAGAAGTACGTCCGGACGAGCTCTCTGTATTCATTGATCTGCGCTGCATGATGTGGTGCCAGCTCTGGTGAGAACAGGCGCCAGGACATGGGCGGAGTTTCGTAGTTGGTAGAATGAGTAAGCCCTGGCTGCGTGAAGAAGACGTCGGTCGCATCTGCACGATCAGCCACGGTGCCAAGCAACTGTTTGACAACAGGCCACTCGTAGACGTGATTCGAGTTGGCTGTATGCGAGAGCGAGACTTGGATGTCGTCATACTGTGGCGGCGGCTGCTGCTCCTGCGACCCGTCTGCTCTTCCTTCAAGTGATGGACTTGTCCTCACCTCAAAATCTCGCCGCGGAAGCTGGTCAGTCCCATGCTGCCTATCCACGGCACCGGAGCTTCCACCATTGCCGACAACAGCACTGCCACTCCCCAGAATCCGATCCTCCAGCAACTGGATCCGCTCCAGTAGGACCTGAGTGTTGTACTCGATCCGCGGCGTCTGCGACTCGCGGTACACGCACTGGACCCTCGCCCCTGCTCCTCCTCCTGCTGCTCCTCCTGCTCTGCCGGTGGCCCCAGAAGCACTTGCAGCATCAGCAGCTTTGTTCAACCTTGCACACGTGCCGCACTCGGGCCGCGCCCCGTCGCAGCGCGACTTGCGCGCCGAGCACGACAGACAGGCCTGCTGGACGCGCCGGCGCGGGGGGAAGTACTTGGATGGCGAGAATGCGGTGGCCGATTCCATGTTCTCTCTCACTCTCTTCGACTCCGGCTCCAGGTAGGTCTATGCCTGATTGCTAGAGCCGAGGGAAATGGGAACGACGTCCCGTGGCGGAAGGCCCAGGTTCCTCGAAAGGCGGCGGCAGAGATCGCTGTGTGCACTTGCCAGTGTTGGCGATGGCAACGAACTGCACGGCTGGATAGCGGGACGTGTTGATCGTGTCATGTCATTTCATTGGCGTGGCCCTGTGCTTTGTGTGGCGCGGAAGTTGTTCCGGGCCTGGGGAAGGAGTTTGCGCGTGTAAGTGTGTGACTGCTCAGAAAAAAACACCCCGGACTGACGACAGCAACAACGATCGGGGACTCGCCTTCCGCTTTCGGGGGGAGCCGTGTTTGCGCCCGAGGCACTTCGGTCGCGCATCCACTGCCGATCGTGAGACCCGCACCCACCAAGCAAAGGCTTACGGTACTTTGCACGACTTCAACAAACTAGGGTTGATGTCTGGAATTGTCAACAGTTGTACCATGCATCCTAGATTTAACACTAAGCACCGTAGACTATTATATACAGACTTTCCTCCATCATCGAGACGCCTGGTCAAAGGACTCTGCTGATACAGCGCTACCGTGACAACATTAAGGGCGTTAAGTCGTTAGAAAACCCCCTGCATTTGTAAAACATGACCATTCCACCTTGACTACTGCTGGCTTGGGTGGTTCTCAATTCTCTGCCGCATGGGCCTCGATTGAACACATAACCAGCCAGCGAGTGCTCGACCTTCGTAACAGTTCTGCCTTGATGCCCAAGTCTTGTCATTCCACACACTCCTGCCTTTTCCAGAAGCTCACACACACACGCACACACATCGGCAAAACAAGCTTCGTATCCACGCGCACGTGTGCCTTTAGACGTACGCCCTGCGGTGCGAGTGGTGCGAGCTGCGCCGGCTGCCGCCGTGGCTGCGGCTGCGGCTGCGGTGGCCGTGGCGGTGGACGTGCGTCTCGCGGGTGTAGTACGTGTTCTTGCTGCTGCGGCGGCCCGAGTCGCGCCGCGAGCTTAGGCGGTCGCCGTGCCACCACGCCAGGACACTGGTGAAGAAGAACATGATGCAGTTCATGATGCCGAACGCGAAGCACGCCTTGAGCATGGCGCACGTCTTGTCGGTGCTGATGTCCACGCTGGCGCCGTTGACCGTCAGGCTGCCCGCGGACCCCGCGATGGTCCAGCTGTCCTGCCCGATGACGACGCGCGTGCAGTCGGCGTTGGCGACCGAGCGCATGTACCACACCGCCGCGATGAAGGCGCCCACGAAGCCCAGGTCCACGACCGCCACGGCCAGCGCGTTGGCCGAGGACCGGTGGTAGCTGAAGAGCGTGTAGATGGCCCACGCGAGGGCAATCGTGCTGACGATGAACATGACGAGGTACAGGTCCGGCGTGAGCTGGTTGCGCTCGACAAAGGCGTGCACAAAGTAGGCGAGCATGCCCATCGTGGGGATCTGGACGAGCAGAGGGGAAATCGAGTTAGTCCGGCATACAAGAGGCTCGGTGCGACGGAGCACAATGTGCGGATGTGTGTGTGTGTGTGTGTGTGTGCGTGTGTGCGTGGTGCGCAACAGCGACAGCAGGTTGCGCGACAATGCCATCCAAGCTGTTGGGACGTTTGCCCGGATGCGAGATGCACCTGTCGTCCATCACAGCCTAAAGGCCGTGATCGCTTTGTGCGCACACGGGCGGGGGAAACGCAAGGGCCGTCAACGTACCAGCGTGAGGATCTGCATGAAGCGCCAAAAGGCGAAGAAGACGGCGAACAACATCGTGGCGGCTTGGTGGATGGCGACACGAGAGCGGCAGCTGTGTTGATGGTTGTGTCGTTCAGAGAGGCTTGCGACAAACTCGAGCACAACACGTTGCGACGACCTGTTGGGGTTTTACTGCACCAGAGCTGGCGAGGGCGTGAATAAGTGCGTGCAGGTGCAAGCAAGTAAGTGGGAGAGGGATGGAGGGAGGGAACACAGGATGACGACAGTGTGCGGGTGAAATGAAATCCAGGGCCTTCAACGGGGGGAGCGGGCGACCAGGATCCGGGCCCAACTCACTCGAGGACACACACACACACACACACAAGCAAGCAGGGCAATACAACCTCAGCCGGGGGACTGGGACGAGCTGGATTGGAGCAACGGACCCAGAAAGGATGGTGGGCGGGCGCATGCAGTTGACAGGCAAGCTCGAGGAGGTTGGGACAAGGAAAGCTGCCCGGTGCAAGCTCCGACCGACACTAACTTCACGCTTCTTCCTTTCATGGCGCGTTCATGCGACCCTCTGCTAATTAAGCACTGGCTTGGTCTGATGAATAGACTTGCCTCTGATTTTCCTCTCAAGATTGACGCATCTGCCATGGTCAATGCGATGAGGCCCGTGATGCCCACACAGGTAAACATCGCAACAGGGCGGTTCCCTGGAAAGCTGCGACGGGGGGAGAGGTGGGATGACGACAGAGGGCCGCCATGGAAAAACAAGCCCATTGTTCTGAACACAGGCTGGCTGGCAGCCCGGGGTTCTTGTCCTACCCCTGCCAGAGTTCGTAAGCTCTGGGAAACGGTGGGAAGGTTGGTTGGCCAGGTGAGACACGCCGCCTCTCCAACCCGATTCAAAGCTAGATCCGACCAATCACTGATGAGGCGCACTGGAGGTTTGTTCCTCCGCATTCGATGCATTGTGCTTGCTATTTGCAACCTCTACATACGCCTGCTTATATTGTGGACTTTGGCCGAACCGCTCATTTCGAGGTCAGGCTGTGCTGCGGGCTCTCTCTGTGCCCAAAGACCTCAAAAGCAAGGCGGACTGCGTAACGGCCGTGACGGGCTTGCACAGAGACCGGGGTGAACCCTGGTCCACCTTTGACGCTTTTACGCTTTTAGTGCTTGCAGCTGGGGTCATCCCAGCCACCGCCCCGAGCTCCCCTCTTCTCGCCTTGGCCCTATGGAAATTCGGCAGCAGGTTGCTTGGTGGTTTCCACGGCCGAGTTTGGGCGAGTGTTGGCTGTGGACGCAGAAAATGCCATTCCCAATTGTGCTTCCAGTGATCCATTACAGCAGGTCTATCGCGACAGGAAGAGTCGAACACGATCCTAATGCAAGTAGCGACTCACGCATTCATAGTGAAGCGATGCTAGCGCAGGAACATGCCTTGCTGGGATTGTGAGGGTATCTTCGGATGCTAAATAAGTGTCTTCCTATTGAAGCTCGTCACGTCCTCGAGTGGTCCTCGCCAACTGTATATCCTCTCGCGATACCACTCCGCCCTTCTTCAACCACTGTGCTCTCCTCGACAACCCCATCTTCGCCACCGTCAAAGTCGGTGCCCAGCCCTTGCCATGTTCTCTGAGTGCGAAGATACTCGGCGCCGGGACTCGCGATGCCGTTGATGCTTGCAATCTCGCCCGTCGCCCGCTTCGCAAGTGCCGATGAAGATGTCGCCAAGTTTGCATCAGCGTCTGCCGGTGCAGTAGTTGACTTGCTGGCACTGCTCCGAATGGCCAGACCACGCATCGGCCTGCTATTGCTGATGAGCTTGCCTGTCCGCAGATCAAACTCTGGCGGCGCGGACTCCTCGTCTGAAATGTCGCCGGGGTCCAGGTCATCTCGGCCCTGCTCGTCATCTTGCCGCTCTCCCTCTTGACCATCGCCGCTCTCCTGCAAGTCAGTGTCAGCCACACCCTCGATGCCGGCCCACCACTCTCCCGTCCACACCCGCTTGTCGTCGCCCTGCAGGGCGAGGCCCATCTCGAACGGTGTGATGATGGGCTTCCACATCCCGTCCTGCTCGACCAGCCCGCTCTCCCAGCACCCGACGACGACCCACCCGTCAATCTCGGCAAAGTTGGCCAGCTTGGCCGGGTTCAGCTTGCCCACGACAATGGTGTAGCTCTTTTTGCCGGCGGCCGCGATCTGCGCCTTGAGCCGGGATATCGTGTCCATGTAGTTCTTGACCGAAAGCGTGTTGACGAGGATGCCAATCACCGAGGCGGTCGCCAGGCGGATCACCAGCGCGTACCGGCGCTGGAGCAGCCGCGGGGTCATGCTGGGATCTGGGATGTCCGAGTTGATGGGTGAGTATGGCGACGACGGCGTGGGGTATATCCTCAACGAGGACAGGCGGCTCGACAACGTCATGAGAAGCGCCGTGGGCGGCGCGGAAATGTGGAACAGGTGGTGGTCGCGGAGCTCATCTTGCGTCGTCGCCGTTGTCGACTCGGGGGCAGCACTTTTGTCTTCGGAAGCATCAGCAGGAGCGCTGTCGAGTATCCGGCGGTTTGGCACCGTGGCGGCTGGGTCGTGGACAATCTCCGTCGCCGAGATGTGCTTGTAGCCCCTCTCCCGCAACCGTTCGCACACAGGCAGCACATGCTCCTGGAACATGACGTCTGCCATGACCACAATCTTGCTCGCCTCCTTGTCCTTAAACTCGCTTTCGAACGCCAGCACTACATCCTCGTAGTCGAGCGCCTGCCTCGTGAACACGTGCAACACGGGTATCCTCGAGGTGGGACTCAGGCACGCGCGCCCGTAGTGCACGACGGCGTCGGCGTCGGCGTGCTCGGCGGCAATCTCGTCGACACAGCAGGCGCTGTACGACGTGTCGGCCAGGATGTACAGCCTCTGCTCTCCGTCCTTGTATGTGTCCGCCGCCGCCGCCGCCTTCTTCTGCGCGGCGTTCCTGTTGACTTCTGTCTCGAGGGGGTGGGCCGTCGCCTTTTGAATCGCTTCGTCTCCCACATTTCGCGGTTCCCCCTCGGATACTGCCGGTGCTTGTTGTGCCGCTTTGGTGGTCTCCGGCTGCGGCTCCCCCTCCTCCTCCCTCGCCAGCCTTGCCAGCTCTGCACCGAGGGTCTTGACAACCCACGGCCCGTCGGGGAGCATCGCGTCAGGGAACTGCAGCGCGATCCGCCGCCATCTCTGCTGCCGGATGTGCCTCGCGGTGCGGGCAATCTCGTAGACGTGGAGCTTTTCCTCGTCGGACGTGGCGGCGCGGTTCTGCGCGGCCTCGATGATCGACGTCGGTGTCGGGTCTTCGACAAATGTGTGCTCGGCGGGCGTCGAAAGGACCGGGGCAGACGTGAGCTCGGCCATATTTCGTTTTCTGGGTTTTTTCCCGCGACTCGTGGGCTTCAGTCCCCCCTCTTTCGCTTGTCCGGGCTGTCTTTCGCAGGCTTATGTCGTGGGAGTTTTGTGTACAACGGGCAAGCTGGATCGTGCGGGACACTGCTTTGCGAGGGTCGCAATCGCCTGGATGGTCAAAGAGAAAAAAAAAACGAATCTGTAGAACCCCCAGGTTTTATTCAGCAGGGAGGATTGTAGAGACTTTGCGGGTGCTGATCTATGCAGGCCACAAAGCTCGAGCCGGGATCAACATGGAAATTTTAAGCCCACCTCGATCGGGCGTTTCCAAAGTTTCTTTGCACATGTCAGTGGGGGCGGGGCGCTGATGTCAGGGTCTTCTCGCGGCGGCGGGCAGCAGCGGGCAGCTTTAATTGTGGGGGCACCACTTTTGGTGTAAGTCGAGCTCGGTTCGTTCTTCCAGATGCTGGCGATGCAAATAAAGGACAATGATTGATTCAAAACGCTCGTTTATGACATTTGAAAGCAAGGCCTGCGCCGATACTTGTACAGGACATCTGAAGCAGGATTGTGCTGGTAGAACGCAACAGCTGTCTACAGCTTCACCTGCCCCCCCGTGAGGCCGTCCCAGTCCCGCTTGCCAAACTTGACATAGGTGTCGCCCTTGAGCCAGTACACCTCATCCTTGCCCACCTTGGCCGGGTCGACGCCCTGCATCCGCAAATCATGCTTCTGCTGCTTGTTCGTGCCCGTGATCATGCCGCCGAGCTTGCTGACGCGCAGGAAGAGGGGCACCGCGTACTTGGGCAGGTTCTCGCGCGCGTGCGACGCCAGCGACTGCAGCAGCGCCGGGCCGGGCTTCTCTTCGCCGAGCACAATCGACACACAGCCCGCGCGCCCGTCGTGGTTGGGCAGCTCGACGCCGTACACGTTGGCCTCCTGGACCGCCGGGTGCAGGCCCATCGCCTCGCTGACTTCCGTGGTCGCCACATTCTCGCTCTTCCACCGGAACGTGTCGCCGATGCGGTCCTGGAAGTACATGAGCCCGCTCGACGTCCAGCTCACGAGGTCTCCCGTGCGGAAGTACGCGTCGCCCTTCTTCAGCACGTCCCGCACAATCTTGCTGTTCGTGGCCTCGGGGTTGTTGTAGTACCCCTGGAAGTCCTTCTCGAGGTCCTCGGGGAGCACGGACATGAGCTCGCCGACTTTACCCCAGCCTACCTGCCGGCAGAGCCCCGTCTTGGGGTCGCGCAGCGGCATGTTGGCCTCGTCGTCCATCTCGATGATGGCTATGCGCTTCCACATCATCAGTCCAAACAACAGTCCGTTGCGGCTGATGGCGCCTTTCGAGTACGCGTTGTTTGCCACGTTCCAGGTGGCAATGAATCCCTCCGTGGCGCCGTAGAACTCGGCGATGCTCTCGATGCCGAACCGGTCCTGGAACTTGGTCCACACGTCCGGGCGCAGGCCGTTGCCTAGTGCGCGCTTGACCTTGTGCTTCTTGTCCATGTTCTCGCCGGTCACCGGGTCGATCTCTGGCGGGGCGGTAAGCAGGTAGCGACACGTCTCGCCGACGTACTGGACAATCGTGGCGTCGGTCTCCCGCGCCTCCTTGAAGAATGTCCTCGCCGAGAACTTGCGACCGATGGACAGGGTACCTTCGGCGGCCATGATATGCGCGAGTCCCATGACGGTGGCAGAGCTGTGGTAAAGGGGCATTGCCTGGTACAGCGACGGTCAGCACAACATCTACTACCCGGTGGGCCTCATCATCGAAGAAGCCCGCTGCAACTCACCGTGTAAAAGACGTCGCTGCTCTTGGTGCCTAAGAACTTTGCCACAAACACGCCTGCCATGAACATCTTGCCCCACCCCACAATCGCAGCCTTGGGCAGGCCAGTCGTGCCAGATGTGTAGATGAGGACCGCAAGGTCTCGACCTTTATCGCCGCTGCGCAGCGAGTGTTCAGGCCTCGTGTCGGGAGCAGCCGCCACCTCATCCAGGAGTTCCTGGTCGAGGACATCTATCCGGAGTCCTGGCAATTTCTCGCGCACGCCGTCGTCGACGTTGTGCACCACGTCCGGGTCCACCAACATGAGGACCGAATTGGCGATGCTGACGCAGTGGACCAGCGCTGGGCCGGCGAGGTTGTAGTTGATGTATGCGGGGCGGGCCCCGATAGACCACAGGCCGAAGGTGAGGAGCACGTAGTGATCCGAGTTCATCATGTTCATGGCGACGATGTCCTTGGGCTTGATGTCGTACCTGGCCTTGAGCCAGTTGCCATACCGTTTCGCCTGCTCGTATGCCTGGGCATATGTCCATGTCCGGCCTTGGAAGACGAGAAACGCGGCATTGGCCGACGAGGGCTTCGTGGCGAGCTCTTCGAGCCGATAGAAGCCGCTGTAGCGGTCACTGCTCTCCCACACCTTGTCTGCTCGGACGGCGGCGAACATGCCGCGGAGGAGCTGTCGGTCGTACCAGAAGCCGGTCTTGGCGTTGAGGTACGCGAGGGCACCTGCCGCCATGGGCAGCGCCAAAGCGGACAAAGGCCCTGCTGTAACGTGGTCAGCGCATCGCGTGGCATGGAATGAATTGGAGGTGGTAGGTTTGTGCCTGTCAGTTGGGGAAGGAGAGAAGAAGATGTGGCTTGTGTTGTCAGAGGCGCGCAGGTTGGCAGTCCAGGGGCGCGCCAACATGGCCCCGTTGCGCCACCCAAGGTTGTTGCACTTAAGGTTGGCTTTGCGAAGGAGTGTGCACAAGGCATATCCGTAACTTACCTGCCATCTCGAATTGATGGGGCCACAGCCTTACGAGTACACAATGACCAGAGACAATACTTGAGAATCCGCGACCAAGAAATCAAATCTCCACAACACAGCAGTCGTGAGGAAGAAGAAGACGGGGACGACGTGGTTCGAAAGAGCTTGCTTGGGCGAGTGTGGGTGCGGCCAATTGTCATATACGGCAGGCCCGGCCGATTGGGCCAGCGCGAGTACCGAGGCTGGAGCCAGAAACGGACTTCCAAGGTTCCAGTGTACTCGCGGAGCCAGGGGATCCTCTGGCCAGTTACAGCCTGAGGCAAACAGGGCCCGCCGTCATGGGCGTGCAATCCCACCACGGATAGCCGATGGTGGTGTCGTCCAGGCTAATTACAGTGCATGGGCAGATGTCTCGTTCCCAGACTCCTGTCCATGTATGTGTGCAAGCCCGAGGTGGCGGGCTTCTGCCACGAGCCTACGACGTACTCAGCAGCAGCCGCAGGCAATGGTGACGATGGGCCAAGCGCTCGGGCTTTATTACGCTGTGGATCTGCAATAACTGGCAGGGCCGGCCAAGGGTGTATGCATAAGCCAACGGTGCTGTGCTCGACAAAGGAGCCAGGGCTGCCAGAGAACTTTGGAACCCGACGGGCGGGTCGGCTAGAAGGATTGATGTTGGCGATCACCATTACTATGCCCAGCGCCACTCGGAGGCTACAGGCATCGCTATGGAGTAAGCCTCGGCACCAGCCGAGTCCTGCAAGGTATCGTCTGCAAGACGCCGCGACGTGGGGGATCCATTCGATCGTGGAGGACCGCGTCCAATTGCTCCAGGGAGCGCAGCAGCATTCTCTAAGCCTCTGAGCGGGCGGCCGACCAGATCTCAGCTCTTCAAACCGAGGCACAGCGTGGAGATGGTACACAGACAATACAGAACGTGGTGGCAGGCCGCGGCGGGAATGGAATTGACGGGCACAGGCAAGGGGATGGCCGCTGGGCCAGAAGTTTCCACTCAGCCTCTCGCAATCTTTGCTTCTTAAGGACGGAGGCACGGCGTAGCCAAAACCTGCAGGGTAACCCACCCTGCTTTGTCCGCTTTAGCCAGCCGAATTCGCGTGCTGCTGTCGCACCGCTATCCTAAATCAAATATGTCTCGACGGACAACTCTTCACGGCACAGAATTCTAGAAGGACTTGGGGAAGCTTTTGTTCGCGCTTATGTCATTCAGCCACAGCTGGAGTGCTAGCTGCATGCGAGGCTGCTCCACTTCTTGCCTTGTAGGACCCTGTGCTTATCGCCCTTATCCGGCCCTGCCACCTTGCGGCTCCAGCTCGAGCTGCCAACGCGCGCTGTGATGCGCTGCGCCTAAGGCACCACGCTGGCACGAAGCCAGACAGTGAACCCAGACGACCCTCGACAACATCCGGCGCCGCCGCCAGGACTCCCAATGACTCACTGACAAACAAGAGCCCGCCGTGAATCAGCCATGTCAACGCCAACCACGGCCGACCCGGACGGCTCTTTGGGCCAATCAACTGCAATTGAGCATCTGTCAGACAGAGCCATTCCTGCTAGTCAGACAGCAGAGGAATCAACGCGGAGCACGGCTGTGACAACGCCCCCGGCAACTGCCCAAAAGGCACCTCCGCCAGAGAAGCCGGCCGATATCCTGCGCCGTACTTCCGTCATCCTCTCCTTCTGGGCCATAGTGCTCTGCTTGGGTCTCCCAATATGGTGGCATACAACAACCATTCACAAAGCCACGCTGCCCCTGGCACAGATGTCAGATTGGGCCAATGGTTTGGTACGAAGCCTCCTCCGTGGTGTCCAGATGCGGAGTGCAAGATGTTTCTCGGGACATTTTATGCTGACTGTTGCTTTGCAGGCGTGCCCACCTCAGTACCCAATCTACGTTCAACTGGCAGCGCCGAATTTCGCCCCTGAGGACTATGCCAACCTCCTGCGCGATACTCAAGCCTCGCTCGACACCCTCAACGACGGCCCAGCCGGCGTGAAACTACGCCTCCAAGGCCCGGACGACTCATCTTCAACTTCCGCGATCGAGTCCAAAGTCGCCTACCAGGTCGATCTCGAGCTGGGAAACGAACTACACGCCTTCCCCCACAAAGACAAACCTCGTCTCTCCATACAGTTCCCGCAAAGCGCAGCCCGATCACTGCCTTCTTACATTGCCGGCCAGCTTCAGAATGTCTTCCGCGAAGAGCGAGATCTAGTCAGGTACTATCTTGCCCACTCGTCCATCCCTGCCGAGCGACTAGGCGATGCTGCAAAGGGGGCAGTCATGACGGACAGCCACCTTGCCAAACGCATGACGCGAACACTCCGATATGATCCGACCTTTCACCTGACCATCTCCCTCTTCACCAGCGGCTCCAAGCCCAGCGCATGGGACATTGACGCAGCCGTAGCGGAGCACATGCAGCCAGTCTTGGACATGCTTCGGCCGATACACAACTTTACCATCGATACCCAGATCCAGCTCTTTGCGAGCCCCAGTGTTGACGCGCAAGTCCTGACCAAGGAGCATCTCTCACAGTTCGTCAACGCAGCCGAATGGCCCCTGTCGCCGTCCATTGGAGGAGCACATACAATCAACTTTGTGATCTTTGCCGGCGACCAGATCATCAGTACCGACGGCTCAGCCGGAGAATCATGGAGGTCATGGCTCGTCCCGCAGTGGGGAAGCGTCTACCTGCTCGCACCTTCTTCTGAAGATTATGTTACCGCCGACGAACTCAAACTACCCCTCCAGAAGTTCACCTCGCATTTATTGTCCCTGCTGGGCGTGCCGCAGAGCTCCAGCCCCGCGCTACGCTTATCCACGCTGACCCGCGTGCGGGCTATTGATCTAATGCTCAGGGCGTCGTCCTCGCTCGGATCGCTGGCGCGCTTGACGCATGCACTCCCGAGCATTTCGATCCCTGAGTCGGTGGCCGACAGTGTGGCCAGGTCGATTCAGCATCTCGAGAACGCCTGCGCGAATCTCGGTACCGAATCCAGCCTACAACATGCTCAGATCGCGGAGGCGGAGGCTGAGCGTGCATTCTTTGAGAAGAGCATGGTTGGCCAGCTCTACTTTCCGGACGAGCACAAGATTGCCGTCTACCTGCCCCTGCTGGGGCCCATCGGAGTTCCTCTCGTGATGGGGCTGTTGAACGAGTTCAAGGCTTGGAAGAAGAGACGAAGCGAGAAGTTGAAGGCAACATGAAACGCAGTGCCCTATGGTGAACAGTGAGCGAGCATCACTAGGAGCGATCAAGACGAATGATGAAAACAATATACGAATGAGACTTCACGAATGTTCCTCAAGCCCACTTGTGCACGCTTCTTCCACGGACCCTCGTCGATGGAGAATATCTCGAAGGAATAACACCTCCACGAAACACCGTTGATGAGCTTACAAGAGACAGTTTTTTTCCGCTTCGAGTTGCTGCCACGGCGTGCTGCTTTTGAGACCCCTGCCAATCTCTTGCTGCCCCACGGACTACTTAGCCAAGACTTCGTCCCGAGGTGTACTGGAGATGCAGCCCCGCACGAGATCCCCTTACTTTTTCCCACTGGCGTTTGTGCCACCACACCGGTCGAGTCAGCGCTCTTCGACTCGATCCTGCGTCTCTGTTACCTCTCGCCGTGACAGCATTGCCGAGTGTGCCAATCCGTGTTTCGACCTTTGAAAGACGCGCAGGACGAGACTTGTGTCAATTACTCGCAAGTTAAGAACCGCCTCAAACTGCAGGCCCCCTAGGATGGCCTAATTTGTACAGGGTAAGGTCATACTGCTCCCGTACCCGGGTAAGGTGTACAAGGACACGACTTGGCGAAGCACGCCAGGCGTCCGACTGTCTCAGGCCGGAGCAATGCTGCATGGCCGTCCATTCACCAGTGTCACACACAGCATCTGCCGAGCGACTCGAGTCCACTGCATCTCAGAATCCCAAAGTAGTAGCTGGCGAAGTGGGTTCCTGTTCTGGAAGCTAGCTTGACGTACGTGCTGGCCGTCAAGAGAGCCCGCCACTAGCTCCGGCTCCAGCGGAGCTGCCAGTGCATCCCAATCAGAGGAGCCTGTCCTGCGGAGAGGGTTTAGGGGCTTGTTCCCGGTCTTGCTGTGCGCAGTTCAAGTGATCTGATGGTCCCGGACCCCGTACCTGTGCAGTTCACCTCGGCTGCCCCCATTCGCTGCATTAGGTAAAAGTACGTATGCAGCAGTAGTGCTACCCCAACTCAATATCGTGGTCGACTCGAAGCTTTCGACTCGAGCTCCGCGGCGAGGGCCAGCAGGCTACCCCTGGACCAGCGTGGACAGAGTGGCCCACCACCCCTCCTTCCTCCCCAGTAGCCCGCGACGATCCAACATCTGATCATATTTCTCTGAGCTCCAAGACAGATTTGTTATACCCAGTTAAAGCATGTGCTAAACAGCCAGGGTCTTTTGCCTGGTCCGTCTTGCATCCCGACGGCTCCGTCTCCAATACATATCTGCCACGCAGTACCCCTCCTCCGCGGTATCTGTCCATTCTCCATCTCGTTCGGCCGCCTCGCCGCCGTTACTCTGTGGATCTTCTCAACCAATACATACGATTCCGATTGCCCCTGCGCAAGATATTGTCCCATTGTTGCGCGCCTCCCGTAACGTCACCCAGGCACTGCAGACATCACGGACAGGCGACAAGACAAGCAGACCGGCTGCCGTGTCTCAGTCATTTCCAGGATATCGCTTGCAAAGCGCGGAACAGGGCGCGCTTCGGCTGGTCCCGCAGGCCAATTGCACTTTTAGAGCCTTGTCCTAACCGCATCACGTCCACTTGCTGCCTGCCCGTCCGCCAACACCACATTGTGTCTTTTCATCCCGGCCATCCAGGATGAACATCACCAGCCAGACCATTGGCGACGCAGCCACCGCTACGGCCCGGCCACTGGTCGACCTAGTCGGCAAGCTCGCCGCGACACTACCGGCGCCCCTCCAGGAGCTACTCGCCAGCACGTCATGGAAGCAGGTCGTTGTCCCTTCAGTGCTCGCGTACATGGGCCTCGTGCGGGCGCTGCGATACCGCAGGGAGCACGCCCTGCGGCGCGAGCTGGGCTACTTTGACCGTGCGTCGCTGAGCGCCATGACGGCCGACGAGGCGCAGAAAATAATCTTCACCATGGGGTTCTGGGAGTTCCCGTTCCTCCACTACACGAGTCTGCAGTTTGGTCTTTTCAAGGTGCGTTGGAGGGCTGGGATGGCGTGGAGACGCTTGCATTGGGAGATTCGAAGATCGCTAACGCAAATCATAGACGTATGGCATTGAGACCATTGCGAAGCTTTTGCTCGGCACGCGAAACCTTACAGATCCGATCAAGAGCCGGAAGAGGTATGTCTTGACGGTCCCCTGCTAGATGATCTTGGTCACCTCCGCGGCAGACTCGGAGAACTGACAAGCCCCGTGCTCTCCCCCATCATTTACAGATATGAGGACACGGCCCTGCTCATCAGCGAGTTCCTCACGAACCCTCCCTCGTCGGAGCGGGCCATGTCGGGCATCGCGCGCATGAACTTCCTGCACTCGCGGTACGTCAAGGACGGGCAGATCTCCAACACGGACCTGCTGTACACGCTGTCCGTGTTCGTGCTCGAGCCGCCCCGGTTCGCGCGCCTCTACGACTGGCGCGCCATGAACGAGATGGAGGTCTGCGCGTACGGCGTCCTGTGGAAGGCCATCGGCGACGACATGGGCATCGAGTACAAGGGCCACCTGCCGCGCGCCGAGCAAGGGTGGAAGGACGGGCTCGAGTTCGTCGAGGACATCGAGGCCTGGGCCCACGCCTACGAGATCGACAAGATGAAGCCCAGCAAGGTGGCCGCCGCCCCCGCGCGGGCGCTGATCCCCATGCTGCTGTACTGGCTCCCCTGGTTCATGCACCCCTTCGCCACCGAGTGTGTGTGTGTCCTCATGAACACCCGCGTGCGTGAGGCGTTCCTGTAAGTCTAACTCTTTTGCCCACTCGTGTTATTGCTGGGCGCGCGCGCGCGCCAACTGTCCGAGAGAGAGAGTCTGGTCACTGACATGTGTGCTCTGCCATCCATCGACTCACAGCCTTCCCGAGCCCGGCATCACGGCCGGCATGGTTGTCTACACCTCGCTGTGGCTGCGACGCTTCTTCCTGCGCTACTTTTCCCTGCCGCGCACGTCCGCATTCCTGCGCCTCGAGGACCCGGATCCCAAGACCGGCCGCATGTTCCTCACGGACGCCCACGGCAACTACCCGTTCTACATCAAGCCCACGTTCTGGAACCGCTGGGGCCCCAAGGCCCTGCTCGTCAAGGCGTATGGCGGCTTTGTCCCCGGCGACGACCCCAAGCAGTACTTCTCGCAAGGCTACAAGTTTGAGGAGATCGGCCCTCTCGGCCAGATTGGCAAGGGCGTCGAGGAGATGAATGCGGATGTCAAGAGGATGGCTGCTACGGGAAGATCGGGCTGCCCATTCATTTGAGGGAGCTTGTCTGGGTGAAGTGATGCAAGGCAATTTGGTCACGCGCCCCCCCTTCCCCCTCTTGGTTTGCCTTGTTGGTCATGTCGGAGAGAGAGAGAGCGCGAGAGAGACTCTGTAGAGTCGATCAATTCATCACCACTATTGACATCACCATTGTCCTATCTACTGCGCAAATTGCCACCAGTTGATGTTGAACAAGAACCCAGTGCCGGACCCCATAAACACGAGGAACAAGTCCTGCACGCCGCTGACGGTCGTGCTCAGCCGGCACGTCACCGTCTGCCAGGTCTGCCAGCCCCCCGTCGCGGGGACGGTGCAAGTCCCCACGAGGCTGCCCGACTTGCTGCCGGTCCGCAGCTCGATCCTGCCGCCGCTCGTGGCCGAGGAGACGCGCGCCGTGAACGAGCTGGCGCCGCCCTTGAAGTCGACGCCCTTGACCTTGATGTAGTCCCCGTTGTTGATGTTGGCGACGTTGATTCCTCCCTCGCTGCACGCCTCGACCTCGACGCCCTCGGTCCACGCGATCGTCTCGGCCTCCTGCCTCACAAACGGGTCCAGGCTCTTGATCTGCGCGGGCCCGCCCGTGCTCATCCGCAGCTGCGGGATCGTGCCGTCAGAGTTGTACCGGAACCCTTCGACGGACACGCTGCGCTGGTACCCGCCTCCCCCCGGCAGCGCGCCGTTGTGGTAGAAAAAGTACGAGTTCCCCCCGTAGTCGATGATGCCCGGGTGGTTCGTGAAGCTCTTGCCCTCGGTGGCCATGACGACTCCGCGGTACGTCCAGGGCCCTGTGACGCTGGGAGCCGTGGAGTACCGGATGTCCTCGGAGCAGCAGTTGGCCGCGTAGACCATGTAGTACAGGCCGTTGCGCTTGTACAGCCAGGGCCCTTCCTCGTACGCGGCGGGCCGCTGGGTCGTCGGACTGGGCCGCGGGCCGAAGCTGCCCGTGTTCAGCGTGACGTAGTTGACGCCGCCGCTGTACGACTTCATGTCGGCGTTGAGCCGCACGTACGCGAGCCGCGGGTTGCCCCAGAACAGGTACGCCTGCCCGTCGTCGTCGACGAACACGGTCGGGTCGATCTCGGCGTTCTCGACGAGGGGTCCCCCGATGGCGTCCTTCCAGGGCCCCTCGATCGAGTCGGCGACGCCCACGCCGATGGCCATCTGTCCCCCGCGGCGCCGGATGGGCACGTAGATGTAGAATTTCCCGTTGCGCGCGATGGCCTGGGGCGCCCAGGCGTTCGCGTCGGCCCACGAGAAGGTTGCAAGGCTCAAGGGCGAGCCGTGGTGTCGCCAGTTGGCCATGTCGTCGGTCGAGTAGAGGCGCCACTTCTTCATGTTGTATGTCGTCGAGCCGTCCTCGTCCTGGCCCGTAAAGACGTACAGGCGGTTGTTGTAGACCATGGGTGCCGGGTCCGTGGTAAAGTCGGTCTGGACGATGGGGTTGTCGGCGCGGGAGAGCCCGGCCTGGCCAAGCAGCGTGCCGAGGCAGGCCAGCGCCTGTAGGGCCGTCCAGGTCTTGACTCTGGTCATGATGATGACGATGTTTTGCGCCTCGCAGCGGGAGAATGGGGGAGAGCGGAAGCTTGGTGCAGCTTGACAGAGAGCAGGCTTTCGTCCACGATAATAGCGTACACTATAGGAGGGCGGGCTTGCTGAATTTATACACGGGGAAGTGGTGAAATACAAAAGGAGCTTGCAGATGTTCCGTCTGAAGCAGGAGACGTCAGCCCAGTCTCACTTTTTTGGACAGGCGAGCACCCCAGGGCACCAAACTCGAACATGCAGGTCGCGTCGTCCACCCAATCGGACTTCACCGCAGGACGGCACATACATCTTGGCGGAACCACGCCCGCCGAAATCCAAGATGGCCGCTCTCTCCACAGTGTCACCGCTCCTTGTGACTTGGTGCCTCTTCCGTGCCCCGTTTCGCTTCGATGCAACAGGACGATCATGCCGTTTTCATGTACACTTAGGTATGTGCAGGAACGCCACGACAAGCGGCCCAATCGGCAATTACCTGTTGATCCCAACTTAATTAAGGCCCTTGCTCTTCCCCGCACTTTGGGGCGCAGTTTAATTTAGGCAGTGTGACCTAGTCCCGTCCAGAACACGAGGAAGGAACATCCCGGAGGTTGTTCATTGGCACGCATAGAGTGACTAATTGGGCTGGTTTTCCAAGCAAGGTGCCCTGGCAAGCGGTAATGGAAGATGATGTAGCACCCCATGCCTCGCATAGATCAACGTGGCACTGAGGATACAGATATGGCCCACGAATCACAATTTTCCTGCAGAAAACGCGGAGCGGTGCCGGCAGGATCTGGGGAAGGTCTTCAACTTGGCGGAGAGAATTCAAGGCTCTCAATGCTGCTTTTGAAACTGGTTCATGGACAGAGGTCAAGACGTCCTTGGCAAACTTGTTGCAAGCGCCCTCAAGGGTGTGTAGCAAGTCAAAGGGAACATTGTGTTCGGATCTTCACCATCGTTAGCATTGTAAGAGATGCCCAGTGCTGCAAATCGCCATTGACCTGCACATCTGGAGTATAAAAATCTCATCCGCGCTTTGATAGCTGATCGAACCTATCCCCTATAACGAGCAAAGAGTCGCCCACTCCTTATACCCGCGCTCTATTTCCCGCGGGAAGTTGGATCACGCGGTTCTTCAGCATAGAAGGAGGTCAGCTTGCGCAGCTGCTCATGCTGATAATGGTGTGTGCATGCATCGTGGACGAAGTCTCAGTCTTCCCAGTACCTGTGTTATACACGTCTTGCTTTTCTTTTCTTTTCAAGGTGTGGACATAAACGCCGGACCAAGACACCATTCATGAGACTCGATGCGCAGGTACTACTACATATTGCCGGCCATCGAATCCTGTTGGCCCCGCTTGTGCCCAGGAGAGGGTGGCGATATCTGTCTTCCCTCATATAAGCTTTGTCACTCCCTCAACCGCTGGTGGATTGCGGTCTGTCCTCGCGGCGGGTACCTGTGGGAGCTTTATGGACGCCATGGTTCGTATAGGTTTCGTTAACAAACACATTGGCCAACACGGCACGGACGTGTGATTGGTGAAGACTTTCAGTCCTCTTGTAGACGTGACTGTACTTGGCCGACGTACTATCATGTGTGCCAGTGACGAGAACTGCACGTGATGGTAAGCAAAATGTTCTCTATAACGTCGCTGGGAATGAAGAGCAAGCCCACCTGCTAATGCAACTGTTCAACCTGTGCCGGCAACACGAGACTGGCTAACCATGTTCGCCACCGTTGCAAATATCTCTTCGGTCGGTCTTTAATACCAGATGGAGATTAGGAGTGGGCTATGCAACTAGCGACCTCAATATATATGCCCTGACCTGCTGGGGCATCCTCCCGACTACTCGTTCCTCCGTCCAATAACCGGCACGTCCGCATTCGTGTCAGAGCGAGCCTATCATCCGCATTCAAATTTATCATGACTCTTATCTCTGCTCGTGTATTTCTCATCTGCAAGATTGTCGATGTTGTCGCCTGACGGGGAAGCTCGAGAAAGGTGGCGCAGTTTCGACAGACCAGGGTCCGGCCCCATGAGCAAATCCCATTGTCAGCGGATATCCGGAAGGACAGGCTGCTTCATCAGAGAGAGAGAAAACTGGTGATCAGATGTATGGCTGACCTCGGATCTTCTTAATGCGAGGAAGGCCCTCAACTACTGAGTGTTGCCATGGTCAGCTGTGATATCTACAAACTTTACAATTCTGCAAGCCAAAGCAACATGACCTGGACGGTATCCCATGTTTAAAAAATGTAAGTACTTTCAATTTTCACTCTGTAAGCCCTTTCAAAAAGGGCCTTGTTCCCATCGACAAGATCGTACTCCAAGCAAATCACTGCTGCTGACTTGGTGTTCACCGCCCGCCCGGTCCTGGGTCGTCGTGACTAAAACGGCTGGTCCACAATCCACCTTGGAGGCCTCCTCTGCGATGCTCCACCTAACGGGTCACCATGCACATCGTGGACTTGTCAGCAGCTCAGGGTGCAGTCCATTGTGCACCGCTCGCTCCACGACTGGCTTAACTGCCCTGCTTTGGGAATTTTCCTTGATATGATGACTCCTTTGCTTTAGGATTTTCTCCCTGATATGGCTGCTCGTGTTCCCGCCCAATCATGCTCAGCCTAGCCAGCGAGGGTTGGGGAAAGTACCCGTATACGCCATCCTCCACGACCACGAATCTCTTTAGGAGCTTCTGGTCATCACTTTCATCGCAACGCTTTGGATGATTCACCTGATCTAAGCCGTTTTAAAGAATCATGGCCGGTTTCTGCCAAAAGGGAAGACGGGAATATGATTCTTTGGAGCTTTTGGACTGCCAGAGCTAGAGAACCCGACGGCTGAGACGAATTGCTCCTGTGTGGACAAACGTGATGCTAGGGAATCTCGTGATCCAGGTTTCGTGATGGTAGGTGAGGAGTTGAGATAGTGATCAGATCCTTGCCCAGCTGAAGCACTGCCCCAAAGATTGAAACATGGGGCTCGAATCGTAATGTAGGCCAATGCCCACGATGGACCCTGGCTTCAAAGTGCAGAAACGCGGCAGCAGCATGCCATTTCGACACTTTGCCAGCCACATCCGGGAAATTGGCATTTCCCGACACCCTTGGCCCTGTCTCCAAACTGAGCGAAGCCTGCCGCGGCGAAAGCTTCTCTTCACCTCCCTGCTCCACCGCCTTGCTCCTCTACCGTGGCGCAGTTATTGAGATCGTGAAAAGAGAGTCTTGCCTTTTCTTCGATGCGTTGAACATAAATACCATGCATGCCAGCCAGCTTGACAACACACTGGACAAACCCGCAACGCTATCACAATTCAAGTCAAAGTCAATCACGAATTAACAATGAACGCACCTACACCCACTCAAACACCGCTCTCCACCACCACTTCGGTCCCAGCCGCGGCCGTGACCTTCAACGCGATATGGAACTATCCCGTGGGCCCGTCCTCCCTGATGGCGAGCATCATTACCAGCTATGACCTGGTCGACCAACAGACGACCGCCGTGGTGCACTACGCCGTGGACTGCCCGCCCGCCGACAAGCCCGACAATAACATGTGTCGCAGCCTCGGGATGTACCCGATGGAGGTGTACTACACGCAGGGCTCAGTCCGCGCGGGTCTGATGACAGATCAGTTCAGGGACCGCACGACTGCCTGGACATGCCACCTGGGGACATGCCCGTCGTCCGCGACTGCCTGCCACGGGCCCGTCAGTGCGAGCTGCAACCTCACCATCACGGGCTCGGCCGGCCCGGCCACCACCCGGTACGCGTTTCCGGAACCCTGCGGACAGAATTCCGTCCCTATTGAGATCACTGCCGGCTTGGACAAAGTCAGCATGCCGGCGTACTGGCTGCCCACGGGCACCTGGACGGATGTGGCGGAATATGCAGCGGCCATGACGAGCGCTTGGAACAGCGAGTTGGTCGAGAGCGGGTGCTCCACGCGTCTTGCGCTCGACGTGCTGGTGAGCTCGGCGGCACAAGACGGAGAGAGCAGTACGGCTGGGCCACCAGCTACCACGACGACGGATGGGGGTTCTGCCAGCACGACGCCGCCTGCTCCGGTGCCGCCTGTGCAGACTGCTGGTGCGGCCAGGACAGGTGCTGGCTCTCATGGGCTGAAGGTGATTGGAGTCGTCGGCGCTATCTGCGGACTTACACAGATGGTGCTTTCCCTGTAGACTTGCCCTGGCCAGTGTCTTGTGGCCATAGGCAGATCTTGGTGAGGGGCCAGGTCTGTTTACAAACCTGAATTGAATGTAGAATGGAGACCTGCTAGTCTATACATATATAACAAATGCAGCTTGAACTTACAGGAACGCCGCTACATCCTTGTTGCCTTTGCCGTCCATCAGCCCGTGAACGCAGCATTCCCCGATGAATTGGACGCTGAGTGTCAAAACGACTGCGGGCCAGAGGCCCGGAAGAAAGCCGTCTCCATCTCCACAGAGCCATCGCTCAGGAACGAAACAACAGGTAAAAAACTAAGAAACGCTCGATACAGAACGGAAAGCCAGAGAGCGTCGACCCATAAGTGATGTTGAAAACAGGGAAACGATAGCAGGCATCAACCACACCAACACCCAAAGCAAAAGACCTGCTATGGCTATTCCTCAACATTCTGCAGCAGACGCGTCCCTGTTGGGCTCATTGAGACGATTGGGAAGATCACATGATCCTGTCGGATTGCAGAACACATCCCAGGCTGAATGAAGTCAAAGAGCGTGCGGGGCGGATTGGGCGAGGCACGCACGGCATACATTCTCACCGCCGCCCAATGGCCAACTTGTTGGTTGGAACACGGCAAAGCCATGCCCCTCTTTGCAACAACGGACACGCGTTAACCATCGAGGATCCCTCACACACCTTTGTCCGATCTGGGATCCATGGTTTCGAGCGTGCTATCGCTACATACTGCCTCCTTCTTGAGTCATTTATCTCTGAAGTTCCCAGTGAGGGTCATACTAGCCACTCTCCTTCACCATTCACACACCATCTTCCCAAGCTTGCCATTTGAAACATCGTTCCTTCAAATACCCACTCGACGGAGGCGCGACCCGGCTTTGACATCATGCCACCCAAGGAGAGGGCTTTCTTCGCAAAACCAGACTACGAATTGTGGGAGGCGAACGAGGCAAAGAAAGAGGCGTGGCTGAATTCTATGGCGAACAACGACGTCCATCAAGCCGTCGGCAGGCTGATTCTCAAGTATCACCCTGGCGACCCTGAGGAGCTGGTCACCCCACGAGGGGGCAGTTATAATCTCGTGTATCGGCTCAGGTACAAGGACGGCACGACCGCCGCGCTACGCGTCCCACTACAACACTACTCCCACTACCCCGAAGAAAAGCTGCTATACGAGGTCGCCCTAATGAAGTATATCCGCGCGAATACGACCATACCCATTCCCGAGGTCTATGGGTTCGGCACAGCCAAAGAGAACCCCGCAGGCAATGGACCGTTCATCATCATGGAGTGGGTTCATCACCACATGGACTTGGGCGACGCGCTCAACGACCCCTGTGGTGAACCGGAAGCAAAGCAGACTCTTGATCCCAACATAAGCGAAGAGAAACTCGAGTCGTTGTATGAACAGATGGCGGGGATCCTCCTACAGCTGTACAGCCTCGACTTCCCTCGAATTGGCTCTCTTGTTCTTGACGATTTGATCACCGAGAGAAACTCTCCCGGGGGAGGCTCGGCGTCGGTCACAGGCCGGCCATTGATACAAAACATTAATCGTATCACGGAATGGACCTCTGCTCCGCAGGGCCTTCTGCCATCCAACACGTACGCACGCGCAGAAGAGTGGTACTCCGACATGGCCGACATGCACATGCTCCAGCTCGTCTTCCAGCGTAACTACCTCGTCAAGGACGAAGATGACGCCCGGGACAAGTACATCGCGCGGCAACTGTTCCGCCGGCTCGCCGCCTCCGGCAAACTCTCCGCTCCATCCAACCATAACGACGCCTCACCAGGACGTGGTCCGCAAGGTCGCGGTGCTATTGCCCAGCGCGGTGGTGACGAAGACGGCCCCCCGTTCAAGCTCTTCTCCGAAGACTTGCGCCCAAACAACGTGCTCCTCGACGAGCACTTCAAAATAGTCGCCGTGATAGACTGGGAGTTCGCGTACGCTGCGCCCGCTCAGTTCGCACGCGATCCGCCGTGGTGGCTGCTTATACGACAGCCTCATCACTGGGAGGGTGGCATAGAGGCTTTCATCGCGGCATATGAGCCCCGGCTGCAGACATTCCTGCGAACCCTGCGGCGGTGCGAGGCCCGCCACGAGGAGGAGCGCGAATCAAAAGATGCAATAGACACAGACGTCACCGCCGCCATGAGTGCAATGAGCATGAGCCATGCTACGCCGGCTGAGGGGCTGCAATCTCAACCGCAAGTTGAGGCTCGCCGCAGTCAGGAGAAACCCTTATCGCAGTACATGCAGGAGAGCTGGGAGAAGAAGCTCTGGATTCACGGCTTGTGTATGCGTAATTCGTGGCTGTTCGACCATTTGTTCTGGAAGTTCATCGATCCGCTCTTCTTTGGGCCCAATGAGGATTGTGATCATAAAAAGAGGCTAGAGCTTCTTACGGACAAGGAGAGGGTCGCCATGGAGAGACTTGTTAAGACGAAGATGGAGGAGGACGAGGAACTGAAGGTGGTGGATTGGGAGCTGGATCCAGCTCGGGAACATTTGGCCACGTTCATGGTGTAGTCGTCTTATTGGCTGACCATGAAGCAATAACCAAACAAAGATGTACTCTAATCCTGCAACTCACACAACAACCTCTCGTGGTGCCACAGCTGTAAATCACTGCATCAATGCAAGGATCCTCAACTGCCCTATATATCATGCGGAAATAGACTGGACTTCTTCCTCCATTATAAGTGCCTCTATCCTCTTGGTCGGATATCTTCCAAACATTGCGAGTGAAACAAATCATCAGCTTACTTGTGCCCCAAATCATTAGGCCGGTGGTAAACTTAAATCTACCCTTCTCTCAGGTCGCTTTCTACATGGCCTCATCCTCTATGACACTAGATCCATGGAAGGATGCAGACGTTAACACATCAACGTCCTACCTACGATACATCGGATACGTAATAGCCTGGGCAATAAGACGCTCCTGCCTTCCCGGCCGCCCACCCAGCGCAAGATCAAAATGCGTACCCGCGACGTCACCGACGTCAAACATAAACACGGCGTCCACGCCCCTCGCGATCCTCATCACCTCGTCGCTCATGTCGTCCCTGCCACTGTGCCAGTCGTGATCATCCGCGCTCTGAAAGTGCAGGAACATGAAGAGTATGTGCTCGGGCACGCACGACAGTGAGCAGCCCTTGGCACGGGGCTGCGGCTGCTGCGGGTGGTGGACAGGGCCGTCTGGGTCCTCCTCCTGCCCTGCCATGGTCACCATGTCCGGCCGTAGCCGCAGCATGGCTGCGAAGTATAAGTCCTCCATGCGCATGCCCCAGGGGTAGTCCTGGAACTCGAGGAACCTGGCGCTCATGGCCCGAGGGCGGTTGACTGGGCCGTGGCGCAAGAGGTCGAACAGGGCGATGCGCATCACTGGCGGCTGCGCGACGTGCATCGCCTGCCAGGACGCGTCAGGGTCGTTGATGCGGTTAGCAAAATGGATCTCGAGGGCCGGGTCCAGAGCGCGGAGCCTCGGGCTCGCGGCCATGGCCTCCTTGGTGCCCGGCAGCTCGTGTATAATAAGCTCGGGAAAGTAGTCGAGGAGCAGTCTGCTGTGAACCCGGTCTTGCGCCTCGTTCCTGGACCGGGTGTGATCGGGCACGAGGAACAAGTAGCGTCTGATGGATGGGCTGGTCGAGATTTGGCTGAGCCATGCCAGGCAGACACGCTGCGCGGTGACGAGGATGTCACGCTGCGAGAGGGCGAGGAGGATTTGCTCGAGCAGCTCGGGCGTGCGGAGCACGCGATGGCAGGCATCGAATTCCTCGGGTCGACGCTGGTTCTTCTCGATGGACTCGGCTGTGGACGTGCCAATTCTGCTCGTTGAGGTGACGTTGCCCATTTTGCAACGGACCAGAACAAGAGCTCAACGAGCCCAGGGAGATTTGGAGTCGCCGGCCTCAGCTTGATGTCGTCGGGCAGCCGGTACAGGTCAGACAGCCTCCATCCCGCCCAGGCTACGATTCTCACATTGGCCAAGTCTTTGGGCAGGAGCCTAGTCTCACCAAGATCAGCTATTGTGCACAGCAGCAAGAGGGGTTTGCCCAGCTCAGCTCCCTGTCAAGCTTATCAATGTCGAGCACTGCTATTAATAGAACCACGGCGGTGGTCAAAGTCTAGACCGTTCTAATCACACAAATATTCAGTGACCTTTATGGAGGTCGCAGGTGCCGGACATTGACAAGAATGTGTTCTCTGGCATGCTCCAAAGCCACAGCCACCCGCTTGCCTACATACCAGCGTTTGTAGGACGAGACGGGCGCTGACACTCATGCCCGCCCATTCCACCATGTTAGGGCACCAGAAAATTGCAAGTTGTCAAACTTGGCATGCACAGCTCATCGACCAACGTCCCAAGTCTCGGGAAATCGTTTTCAGGGTAATTTGAGCTTCTCCAAACGCGCCCCGCAACATAATTTATTATCATATGTGACGTGAAACGTGAAAACCTTCTCTTGACTCCATCATTTTCCTCCGGCTCGGTGACGATAACTACGAACAGTGAACCTTGGACAACAATCGACGCTCACTTCGCTGGAGCAGCAGGCGCACGACAGTACCACGGCGCGGTTAATGCTATAGAGCCATCTCAAGCACCTCTCTGGCCGCCCTTGTCCCAGCCGGGCTAAACTGCCTTCGTCTTACCCCATGGGCCCCCGCTGTCCCCGCAGTCTCCCCCTGGCCAGGGTCTGGTCTCCAATGCAAATGCCGTTGTCGAGGCTTGCTTCATCAGGCTAGTTCCATCGGCTGAAGTCAACGCCAGCCAGGAACACGATCTTTCTAATTAGCCGTCGTCACTGACTCGATGTTACCCTGCATCGCGACCCAAGGCCGGATCGTCCTCCGAGCTTCCCATTTGGGCCGATCCGCTGCTCCGTATTGGTGCGAAAACCACAGAACATATTGAACAATGCGCGGCAGTGTGGGGAAACATTCGGCTAAATCCAGCTTCGAGGGAAATGGACAAGCGGCTGATCGGACAGCCGGACATCTGACGACGGATAATCGTGGGGGATACTAAATACGACACTGAGAACTCCAATGCGCTCCCGCCGCTCAGGTAACTTTGCCTGATAACTGAAGCATATGTGACAACTTCTTGCGAAGAAACTACCGCGGAGATGAGACTTTTCAGTCTCTACGCCACGGCTCTGGCGTTGGGACGCACGGTTCGCGGCCAGCTGCTCTTCGAGGCAGGCGACAGCAACTACAAACTAGCAGACTCCTCCCAAGCACCGGCTATATGGATCGCGCAGAATGAAGTCGTCGGCGTCGAACGCACCGCCCGCGACCTTGCAGTCGACTTTGGCCGCGTCCTCGGCGCGAACGGCACCGTCACTATAGTCGAGAGGGGTTCCAACTCCACCACGAGCCGCAGTGAAAACGGCGCCGTCATCATTGCAGGGACCATTGGCCATTCCGCGCTCATCGATGGCCTGGTGTCGAGTGGCGCCCTGGACGTCTCCGCCGTCAAAGGCAAATGGGAGTCGTACACCACTCAGGTCATTCGGAATGCGTCCGCCGGGCTGGAGTGGGCACTCGTCATTGCCGGCAGCGACCGGCGGGGCACCATCTACGGCCTCTACGATCTCTCTGAACAGATGGGCGTGTCTCCTTGGCACTTCTGGGCCGATGTCACGGTCAAGACCAAGACGGGAGTCTGGGTAGCGCCCGACACCTCCAAGACCCAGGGCCCGCCATCGGTCAAGTACCGCGGTTTCTTCATCAACGACGAATCGCCCGCGCTCTCGGGCTGGGTCGCCGCCAACTACGGCCCCAAGTTTAACAGCGAGTTCTACAAGCTCGTCCTCGAGCTGTGCCTGCGGCTCAAGGGCAATTACCTGTGGCCGGCAATGTGGGGCAAGTCGTTCTACGTGGACGACGCCAAAAACGGGCAGCTCGCACACGACTATGGCGTGATCATGGGCACAAGCCACCACGAGCCCATGGCCAGATCCGAGACAGAGCAGAAGAACTTTGTATCGGGCGGATGGGATTGGGGCTCAAACAGGAACAACATCATCAAGTTCTTCCAGGATGGCATCACTCGCGCAAAGAACTGGGACACCATGTGGACTGTGGGGATGAGAGGGTCGGGCGACGTTGCGTCGCCCACGCTGACGGCGCCGCAGCTCGAGGACCTCATTTCTGTGCAGCAGGGTCTGTTGACGACTGGCCTCGAGAAGACGGCCTCGGAAATCCCACAAACTTGGGTCCTGTACAAGGTACGTGATCAAACCTACTGGTTGTAATGGTTGCATGTGATACAGATTACTAACATGTTACTACACGATACAGGAAGTCAGCGAGTACTATGCCAGCGGGATGAAGGTCCCCGATACCGTGACTCTTCTCTGGACAGACGACAACTCGGGCAACCTTATCCGCGTCCCGATCGCGAACGAGACAGATCGCCCTGCCGGCGCTGGCGTCTACTACCACTTTGATTATGTCGGTGCTCCGCGCAGCTACAAGTGGATCAACACCGTCCAGCTCGTCAAGACGTGGGAGCAGATGCATCTGGCGTATAGCAAGAACGCCCATCAGATCTGGATCGCGAATGTTGGAGACATCAAGAATCTGGTAAGGCCGTCTCGCTGTGTTCATGCTGGCACAGACATGCAGTGCATGCTGAAATCGGCACTAACTGGGAAAATGTACATTGACAGGAAGTCCCTCTGGCGCACTTTATGGACATGGCCTACGACATGACGCGCCACACCACCCCCGAGGCTACGACAGCGTGGCTCAAGCGCTGGACGGCTCAGCAATTCAACAGCGAGGTCGCCGAGACGACGACCGAGATCCTCAACGAGTACAGCATGCTCGTGGGCGGGCGACGGAAGTACGAGCTCCTCAGCGACCTCCCCTTTGCGTTCAGCACCACAAACTACGACGAGGCCGAGCAGAATCTGGCTCGGTGGGAGGATCTCCTGTTGAAGACCAGCGCCATCTACGACGCCCTGGACGTGGAGTCGCAGACTCCGTACTTTGAGCTTGTATACCACCCAGTCCTGGCGGGCAAGACCGTCGTGGAGCTGTACACCAAGGCCGCCCAGAACGCACTGTATTACCAACAGGGTCGTCTGAGCACCAATGCGCTGGCCCAAGATGTCAAGAACCTCTTCGCCCAGGACGCAGCCATCACAGCCAGGTTCCACGCCCTCAAGGGCGGGAAGTGGGACAAGATTGTCAACCAGGTGCACCTGGGCTACACGACGTGGAGCGACCCCGTCAACAACGCAAACGTCATGCCGCCAGTCCAGACAGTACCCGAACCAACCGACAATTTTACATTGGGGCTCGCGATACAAGGCAGCACCGCCAGCTACCCCAGGAGCGCGACTCTGACTCTTCTGCCCATGGATCCGTACATGCCGGCCTCCCAGTCGCGATACGTAGACATCTTCGCCCGGCGGCAAGGCACAGTCGACTACACCATCTCCGCCAACGAGACCTACATCACCGTCTCCAACAGCAACGGCACCCTGTCCAGCTCCGCAGACATACGCAGCGTCATCAGCGTTAACTGGGAGTCCGCCCCGGCCGGCTCGTCGACAGCCTCGCTCCTCGTCTCAGGTACCGACGGATCATCAGCAACACTGCTCCTCCCGCTCGTCAAGCCAGCTGCGCAGCAGGCACCCCCGCCCGCATTCTCGGGGTTCCTCGAGTCCCAGGGCGTCGTCTCCTTCGAGGCGGGCCACTTCTCCGCCGCCGAGAGCAAGAGCGGGATATCCTACGTCGAGATCCCGCACTACGGCCGCACCCTGTCCGGCGTGAAGCCCTGGCCCGCGACCATGGCCAGCAGCAGCGCCACGAGCGACGGCCCCGCCCTCATGTACTCGTTCTACACCTTCTCGAGCCCGGCCAACAACAGCGCCGCCCGGCTGATCGTCAGCCTAGGGCCCTCGCACAACCACGACCCGACCAGGCCCATCGCGTTTGCGTACTCACTCGACGGCGCGGCGCCGGTAACCGTCAAGCCCGTGTCGACTATCCCGCCGTACAAGGAGTCTGCGCCGTGGTCGAAAGCGGTGGTGGAGAACGGCTGGACCTCGATTAATCAGCTTGGTGGTGGTGGTGGTGGTGGCGGCGGCGTGGCGGTTGGGGAACACGAGCTGCGCGTGTGGCTGCTCGAACCGGGCGTCGTGCTGCAGAAGATCGTGCTGGATCTGGGAGGCTACAAGACTTCTGCACTGGGGCCGCCGGAGAGTTTGAGGATTGGGAGCTGATGAACAGGGAATGCGGTGTTTGTGAGTGGCACTCGATGGGAGGGGATAATCTCCAGCCTCTTGACCTCGCAGTTGGTACCCAAGAGAATATATATTGAGAGTACTCCTGAGTCAAAATACCTTGGCGTCATCTCGCAAGACTGGCTCGGTTCTCGAGGGGGCCTCAATGTATTCATACCGCACCCCTTGTCGTGTCCAGGGCCCCGGATTCTAACGGAATGAAGAATCATGCTTCACCAAATGACGACATCCTCTCTTGGATGTCCGGCCAGCCAATTATCCCACCCTTTTTTATCAGTGACCTGGAACCCTATCCACCCTACTCGCTCATATTCGACCGTAGATGCCACAGATGGGGACTTCAGAGTCCTATCCTCTACGCGATTGTACTTGAGGGCCCCCCGCGGTGCCAGGAGCAGGCACCAACATTCAAACTCTTGGCGCTTGTCGTCGCCCTTGCAGACTGGCAAACACTGAACATCCAGTGACCCTGCTTGTGCTCTTTTACTCAGAGCCTCTAGCTCTACCGCACCGTTGACAGCCATCGCGAAGGCCGAGATGCCCCCATGACGACCCTGGGCTGATATCCTTGCTGGAGACCCCAGGGACGGGGAACCTGGCCCAGCCAGGCCAATTGACACTGGCAGGCAATGGCCTCGTAGGATCACCCAGCCGTCATCAACCACACCGTAAACATCACCTCCAGGGTGCTGCAAATTGACGTCCTGCAATGATACCAGTGGGTAGACATCAGCTCGGGCGGTGGCGACTATGGACCATCCGACTCGCCCTCCGTGGCTTGCCCAGGACCACGACGGGGCAGTGTACACGTCGAGGGGCCCTCTTGGTTCGTTGAAGGAGGTTCCCCAACAGAGGTCGGCTATAAATGTCGACCTCCAAAGTCCAGCGTAGTATGCCTCTGCTGGGACGTCCTGTCGCACGGCGTCTTTGGTCTCCTTTGCCAGTCCCGACAAGGCTGGCAGCCGATCTTTGGGGAAGGTCAGCTTGCGGCTGCTGTACGGTGTGACAAGACTGCACCAGTTGTAGTGCATGTCCCAATGGACGTTGGGATCCAGCATGTCCACCGTTGGGCGTTCGAGCCCGTATGTCTGCCTGTTCGAATTTGACTCGCTCTGCTCGAGCGTGTGGCACTCCCAGTGTATCTCCTCGCTGCTGAAGTGTGCTATGCGTTTCGCAAGGACACGCTCCTGGTAAGCCCACCCGCGAGAGGCAAGATGACCAAGCTTGCCGTTCAGGGGGTCGTCTTCATTTGCATGGTGGCTGTCGATGCTGTATCCATCCTGTTCTCTTCGTTGTTTCTGAGGTCTAAACTCGCCCATCATTTCGGCAGAGTGCCCTTTCTTAGTGGGCCATATATCCAGCGCGAGGGGTATCGAGCACAGCCATAAAGGCTGGACACCACCCCCAGCTGGCCCTCGATTTCGAAAGAGTGGAGCGTCCTCGTCCACGGCGCAGCTAGCCGCGAGGACAAGCACTGCATGCTTGTAGACCTGTGCCATCCGCGTGGCTTCGCGGTTCCAGTCTTCGCTTGAGTCCTGAAATATACACAAACGGTCGACCCACAAGTATTGATAGCCAAGGCCGAGGACGGCGGCGCAGGCATCCTGTATTGTGCGAGGTAGGTCAGCCATACTGACTCCAGCTCTAAGGGATCGCTCAGTGTTTGCGGTCAGAAGCAATCGTGAAGAAGAGGAGACAATGCCCCATCGATAACTCAGGGCTACGTAGGGCAACGCCTGCGAGGCTCGCCCATATGCTTTGACTTCGGCGCTGTCTTCTGCCATGTCGGGTTTCTCCACGGTGGTGCCCGTGACCACACCACTTATCGAAAGCCCAGCGCACAACATAGTGTCGATGAGTCGCACTTGATTTGTCGCTCTATCAACTTGAATCAGCCGCGTAGGCTGATCCTCGAAAGGATGGCTCTCGTCTTGGCACAGATGATGGTTCTCGTGGCACGTATCTATCCAGTCTCGAATCTGCTTGAATACTTGCGCCGAGCCCGTATAGCTAGACAACAAGCTTTCGCTACGTGGCCGATGGGCTTCCTCTCAAGGTCAGTCTATCATTCCAGAGGACACATTATAACCAGAGTTTGGGTATCAGGCCGTGACTTCCTTGTTATGGACGCGACTTACTCGGCCTCACGAGCAATGAGAACCACCTTTCCCCGTATCGAGACGGAGGTGGAAGCGGTATGTTGAAGTTCAGGTCGCATCCGTTGCGGGTAAAGACTCGTGCTGTCCTGAGTCCAACATGGCAATTGAGGTACGAAGGCGATCCGAGCCAGTCATGCAATGGGTCGCGCGACGGATTGCAGCGAGATCTCCCTTCTGTAGTTTCAGCCCTTCGGCCTGCGAGCTGGCGGCGTATACCTCGCCAGATGACCTGGCATAGTTGGCAGTAGCGTCGAGGTATGGATGGTTCCCAGCCAAAGCAACAGTCGACAAGCTGAAAGAGGTTTGCATGATGAAGACGCCAGTAGCTCTCTGGTGGCGTAGCACCTACCGCACTTAATACATCATTCTGGTGAATAGGCGGAGGCGGACTCTGCACGAGTGCCTTGCACGGGTCGCACAGCCATAGTGGCGGATCAAGGCCAACTTCTGCTCCAACAAGACTAAACACCCTCGAGTATGTCACGCTGGCAAGAGCTACACCCACTGAATCTACGATCCTTGAATCGGCCATGAGCGTGTCGGCGGTGATTTCTGCTGCAGAGCCCGTGCGCCGCTGGTCGTGACTAGGCCATTGAGGTGTCTGGCGGGGCCCTCCCGACACGGATCTGGACCGTGGGCGGCAGGGTGTGGCCGGAAAAGATGAAGCAAGGGTCTGCACGCATGCATTGTGCTCATATGGGTGTTTTAGATGAGGCATGGCGCTGGGAGGGGATTGTTGGCTTTCTTGGGCAAGTCATGAGCCGGGAAAGAAATCTTGGGTACGTAGTCACGCAACTCACAGCTGGGGCTGCGGGGGCTTTTAGGCAGCACAGCGTGGAACTCTTGGCAATTTGCAGGGGTGTCAACCCGGTCGTGCGTGCGTATCTTAAATTGTGTCAAAACGGAGATCTGGTTGAGTGTCATTCTGTAATCCTACTCAGGAGCAATTCTCACTTGGTGAAGAGGCATCTCTGGCACCAATGTCTGGTCACCATTATATTTACTACCAAAGGAGTGCAATGCTATGCTGGGCATGCTATGTAGAAGAAGAAGTCTATGCGCGCAGTTGAAACATGCTATTGTGGAAGTGCGTCCAGAAAGTGCCTATTGTCCATTATGCTCCGAACTTTGTTGAAGGGCACCGATTGCAGTAGGCCGAAGTTTAGGCGTGGTCGAGTACGTCCAGCCCGGATAACCTGCGCTTAGACGCAGTACGGCAGGTTGTTGATGGGCTTGCAGGTGGTCTTCAGGGGGCACACGCCGCCGTTCTGGATATCCGGCAATCTCCGTCAGCATTCCTGTACTGTTGTTCGTGCGATTCAAGAACGGTGCATATGGTGTTGCTTACCAGCCAAGTCCCGTCAACGTTGCAGACGAGCCAGCCCGAGGCATCAGGCTTGCAGGCGTACTGGGGAGGCGTGCATTGAGGGTGGCGAGCGTTCAAGGTGACATCGCTGGGAGCGGCGATGGCGGCAGTGGCCAAGGCGAGGACGGCGAAGAACTTCATTTTGATGGTGGAGAGATGGGTCTGGTGTGATGAGTGAGAAGTGGTGTTGAGGAGAGGCGGTTGGGGTATTGGTGCTGATGCTGATGCTGATGCTGGTGCTGATGCTGGGACTGAATTGTGTTCATTGACCAAGGGGATGAAGTGTGCTTCTTATACTCGAGACAGATGCTTGATAGCATTGATGGATTGGCCGTGTCTGTCTACAGAGGCTGCAGTCCTTGGAGCATATTCAGCTGCGGTTTCTCGGAGATGCAAGCACATACGAGCCTCGTGTGTTTGTTTCAGCCCTATACTGCCTTGGCCTTCGACCTACATGGCTGAGCCCTCATGGCTGAGCACAAGAGCAATATTCGAGCAGACTTAGCTCAGCAAGGCTTAGTAGAGCGGCTTTCACCGGTCGCAGTCGTCAGAGGCGGCCGCTAGTGCCGGTATGAGCGAAGTGGCCGGCTAGGACGGACTGGCAACGTTCCATCAGCTACGGCTGTCAACGGCCTAGGCTAACACGACATGTCCTGCAGTAGCCTCGGCGGGCGTAAGGGATGCGGCGGTTCTCCGGCCATCTGCGTCACCCTTCAGCCCTTCCTACATCAACAGTCCTTGGAGATGCCCCGACTTTGTCCGTGCGGCAATCATTATGTGTCCGAAGTGGCAATTCCATGCACATTATGCTCAGCCGCGAAAGGTGAGATCTCGTGCAACTTGGGCTTTGTCGTCGGATGGAACGCGACGTGCGCCTGCCTGCATTGTCAGCAAGGCCGATCTGCAGAACCTGAGAGCCTTTCCGCGCCCTTGGCAAGCTCCGCCTGTTCGATTTTCTCCGTGAACTGTGCACGTCGTACAGCACAGCCCAAGGCCAATTGCCCTTAAGCCTAAGTGCAGCGCCGCCAGCTTCCACCAGCCTGTGGCTGTCCGGCTGTCGGCCTAGGCTGACCCCGGATCGGCGCCCCAGCCCATCCCTGCAACCCCGGATTCTTTGCTATTTTTGGATTCCCCCAAAACGAGGTCCAGCCACCACAAAGGCCCTAGCTAGGTGCCATGCTACACGGACCACACTCCTGGGCCACGGGAGACCCAGTGCTGTGTATTTTCCGAGTATCGAACCACATGGCCAAGCCAGACCTCCCATCCATCTCGTGTTCTCCAGCCTAGAGAGAAACAAAACTCAAGTTGGACGAATCGGCAGCCTCACAACCAGTGTGCACACCGAGACTAGCTGCGGCATATCTCAGTAAGCCATTCGAGACCCTCCTCATCCCCCCTCATTCCCTACCATGCGGCCGGACCTTGTGTTCCTGTCTGCCACACTTGAACGAGACATGTGTGCCTCCGAGAGTGGTGTGATCAGTCCCCACCAAATGCAATGCCATTTCTGATGACGTATTACTGCCGCCCCCTCACGTGATTATCGGGTGCTTAATTCCTGTTTCTTTTTAACTTCCGAGGCAGACTTTCACACGAGCCTGTATGGCGAGCCCAAGCAAGCCACCATGCTGTTGCCGCTCGCCTGCACAGACTTCTCGACTAATGATTTTCTGCCACGTCTTTTCAAAGTCCACTGACTTGCGCGGAACAACAGCGATATCGGCGACTTCTCGATGGTTTCATCAACTCCGAAGGTTTGTCATCAACACCATGGTCCGTTCAAAAGAACCGCTTGCAAGTAGGACCGAATCACGTCCCTCTTTTGGCAACAATACCGTCATTACCTCCATCCGGAGGTTCACAAGAGCATCTCCAGCCCGTACGCCTTAGGCCCCAGACCATGTGAACATGCGGAATCACAAGAATCAGTACGACCGCGTCCTGTGCGAGAAGCATGACGGAGCACCGTGGCAAGATGGGATAGCATGGTGCCGCTCAAGAATGTGATTCCAGGCTTGCTCCTTCAGCACCCTCCTCGGCAGGCACACAAGTTTTCAGCCAGGATCGCGAGAACACAGCCCATCGTCATCATGATCCTGTGAACGCGGGGGATCCGTCGCACCTCCACCATTCCCCGCGTCCGAGGCTCAAACAAGCAGAGGGCAAAAAGGGGAGAGAGAATCATGAAATGCCTTTCAGGCTTGATGAACTCACGAGAAGCGGTGTTTTCGTAGTGGCGAGGGAATGTTGCCTCGCGGCGCGCGACTGTCAAGTGCCATTGCCAAGTGTCGGAAGACGTTGGCTGGTTGCTTATCGACGTTTCATGGCCGACGCGGCCTGCGACTTTTGTCTGCATTGACAGCAGGGATTCGATTGCTGGGTCCCGTTCCGACACTTGGAACAACAAGTGAACTAGGACTTTGACGTAGCTCACATGCCGCGATCTTGTGCCAGTGCTCAATCGAAGCACCCGGCATGCAGAATATCATGGCTTGCACAGACTTTTTGCTAAGCTCTCGACGTCTTTCACCTATCGCACGTGTGTCAGACCATAGAAGTCACACTAGCCCAGATACAAAGCAACAATCACTGTTCCTGATAATGTTTAATAATCTTTCTTATTTGTGCCGAGCCCGAGAGGACCCCATCCTGATCTTTTGGTATCTAGAAACAACCTTGGAACTGGTGAAGTAGCTTGCTCATACGCTGGACCAAGTCATCGTGTAGTCATACGAAAGCAGCAAAAGTGACAATTCCGCGGCATGCGGCACCACTGGCAAGGCTAGCATAGCCTAGTGCCGTAGCTCAAGGTTTCCTGCCGATGACAACCCTCATGGGATAGTAAGCGTTGAATTTGCCGGACTTGAGCTCTTTTCGCAGGTGCGCAGCGTACACTGCAATCTCTTCCTTGGACCAACCCATCACAGAGCTCCACATGAAGGTGACGAAGCCTGCCAACTTGTCAGTACTGCACCTGGCATATGTTGGGAGCGGAACCATATCCTACCTTCAACATCTCTCTGGAGAGCCAGCTGTGCATACTTGCCGACAGTCTTCATCTTCTTGTCAAGAGGCCAAGCACCAATCGGCACCTGTAAAAAATCAGTTGCAGCCCATACGTCAAGGGCGCCATCGCGACACTCTTACCTTGAATTCGGTAACCTGGACATCTACGAATCCCGCAGCCTCCATCGCCTTCACTTGAATGCCCTCCTCGTGCACGGCGAACGTGCGGTTGAATTTCGTGCCAGCTTGCAAAAACACCTTACCCCATTGCGCAAGCGCAGTATCCGGGCCTACGGTTGCGTCGTCGCTCTGAATCACGCAGGATGACTCTTTGTGCTCAAATATGCCGCCTGACTTGAGGGCCTTGAAGATCTCCTTGTAGAGAGCGGTCCAGTCGCCTATCGAGCCCACCAGCCAGCGCAGGTGGATGTAGTCGAATGTGTTCTCGGGATAGGTCCACGGCTGCGTGATGTCGTCTACCTCGAATTTCAGATTGACAGGAATCCAGTGTGGCTGTTGTGGCGAGATGTCCAGGCCGATAACTTCGGCCTCAGGATGTTGGTCTGCAAAATCACTACAAGACGTCATCTCAAGCTCGCAGAGCATCATGTAATGGGGTTCGTTGCTCACATTGCCCATATGCCTGTGTGGACCAGTCAGCTGCTGTGTGCGCCAATATCGGGGGCTTGCGAGGGACACATACCTGTTCCGCAACCGACATCGAGTACTTTCTGTAACAACGAATCAATAGGCGCGTTGGCAATGCCAGGTGTTAGGCGGATGGACGAACCCCAATATTGTCCCCCAGGTCAGCCAGGTATAGCTTTCCGTCTTGCATCAGTGTTGACATGTGGTGGCTGCCGTACAAGCCTTGGTCAGCAGGGGAGTCTCACCACGGACCGTACCCTTGCCCGGACACCAATCACGGTGATGACCTACAGGATGTCCATTGCCTCGTCGTGCTGAGCATCATTTGGGTTCCTTGAGCCGAGTCAGTCTTGCTGTTGTGTGACGAAGGGTGTAACAAACGAACCATGACTGGCCCTCGCCGAGCTCGCTGTGGTATGTACGGCCATGCAAAGTGCGGTACTCGAGAATGCTGGCGGAAAGCGAGGCTGTTGAGCTGACAATAGACTCGGCGTAGGCAGAGTCGTTTTCAAATTCTTCCTCTTCGTCCTACAGCCTCGGGTGGGAAATGTGTTAGTCGATCAGGCTGGGTCCCGTGATTCAGCACCAATCCGCGAGGAGACGTGAGCACGTACGGCGCGCTGCTGCCAATGAGACGCAGGCAAGATGCCTGCCGAGGCGGGGGGAGGCGTGGGCGGCGGAGGTTGGCTCGCACCAGGCTGGCCCTCTGTCGTCGGTGCGTCCGTGGGCGGCGAGGAAGCCTGTGGAGGAGGAGCAGGGACCGCAGGGTCTTCGGGGACGATGGCAGCTGCGGTTGAGGAGGCCATGTTCACAGAGGCTTTCCGGCAGATGTGACTGGGATGGCAGCCGGCGGCGGCGGCAAGGTGGCCGAGAGGGCGCAGGTCCAGGGACGGCGAGGGCGCGGTCGGTTCGTTGGACTGAAGAACGAAGGTGACGTTTCGAGGATCACACGAGCTGGCAGACGCGGGACGGGCAGTCTATTTTAGTGAGCTAGTGGTGCCGGCGGGGGCCACTTGCACGGGGAAGCACCGCTAGCCGGGCGGGTGCGCAAGGCGGTTCTTAAATTTCAACCACAGGGAAGCCACGCCGCCTGCCAGCATCATCCTCGCTCCACGACCACGCCTGCCTGCCAGCCTGCCTGCCCATTTGCATCCTCCATCAACTCGTCGTCGTCGTCGCACAGCTGCCGCCGTCTTCCCCCATCGCTTCCTTTGTCTTGCATCCCTTGCGACTCTGCCCGGCCGAATCCCTCTGGTACGCTCCATGGCGCAGAGGCCATGGCAGGTCCAGTGCCTCTCACGTCAACCGACCCCGCGTCCCGCGCAGGAAGCCCCGTCCCGTGTGCATCGAGTTTCGCGATCCTGACGATGCAGGCGGGGTGGGTCCCTTGTGTGAGCCTGCCTGCGCACATGGCAGTCCATCGGCCACTATATCAGAGGCAGGCATTCTGCACGATACCCTGAGATGCGCAGGGTTCTCCTCCCTGGATACGCAGCCATCCATGCATCTCCCGAACAACGTGGCGGACCCACCCGCAGCCAACCGTGGCGTCCTCCTCTCCTCGAATCCTCGTGCTTCCTGTTGACAAGGAAGCCAGCAGACCGCCAGCCGACCAAGTCTACATACACACTCTGTACAGCAGCTGAGACGCCGAAATTGACACTGACAGTGCTCCCATGCCGCCACCATCCAGCCGCGGCTCTTGGCAACCTTCAAGTCACCGCTTGCGAGCTGTGCTCGAGTCGAGCCGCCTGCCATACTCGACCTAGCGCTCGGAACGACAGCGCCATGCGCCCTGAGCAACGGCCCACCACGGCCGGGTATCCTTGGCCGAGGTGCGGCTTCTAGTCCACTTCGGCGGGCATTCTGGCCCCTTCGCGGCACAAAACGCTCTGCACGTCAGTGGAGGCCGTCAAGCCTATCGGGCTCATCACTGGAGGTGGTCCACTACGCTACGCGGATGCCGCTCCGTCCCCGGTCGGCCTAGTACAGTAGGTAGTGCGAGACGAAATACCCACTGCCCTGGCCGTTATTACACCCACCACCAGATCGATCCCAGCCACGTTCTATTCTCCTCCGTCAATTGCAATCAGTCTGGCACATGCCGGCAGGTGTTCAGCCATGAGACGCTCGAGCTCACGGTTCAGTCGCAAAGCCACGGAGCGGCCCCGCAAGCTACACATCCAGGGCGTCTCGAGTCACGGGTTGCAAGCCGATTCGGTATGCGATGCACTCTGTTGACCTCGTTGTGCAGCGCAACATGACTGCAGCAGCAGACCAATGCGCATTCCCTTGATCCCCTCAGATGCAGGCAGGCCCCCGGAGATATCAGTCACATTCAGCCATATGCACGATGTGACAGCCAATCCGGTGGTCGAAGTCGCCGGGCCGTTGGCCGGGCTCGGGAACTGCCGCGGTATCATCCGATGGGCCCGTTCAGAAAATCACTGAGCAAAACCTCATCACACCATAAGCGACCAAAGAGGCCCTCCTACTGTAGCACTGCTTCAGATGACGCCTGGAACAGCACGATCGCACTTGGTTGTACACCCCGAGGCACAGGAAGCTGGTGGGCACGGCATCCTATAAATTCCGCCCTCGCAGGCTTGGTTCTCATCCGAACTGTCCTGGACTCACGGCGGCCTGGGAGATGTTGTTTCTCTTATGCAAACGCTGGGTGAGGAAGAACAAAACAGACATGCACCTCCGGCAGTGGCCGACGACGATCGGCACGACAGGCCCTTTCCCGATGCTTGACAATAATATCTCAGCCGGCCAAACGTCTCCGACCCGCCCACTTGTGTTGTACCACAGCATTTTCTCGTTTGGGCATGAATCGGCTCCTTGTCATTGCTCGACCCCATGACGCTTTGCGGGCACGCAACACGACGTGCAGGAATGACCGCAAACATGAACCCTTGCCGCTAACAGTCCCCTGTTGCGGCCCATGCGAGCAGAGCCTGCCGCGACCAGCATCCGGCAGGCAAGAGGTTGTCGAGTACTTGCCACGATGCGGCAAACAGCTCTCGCCCTGGTGGTCTGGCAGGGGCATGCCACGCCACGCCACGCCATCCTGCCAACCCCTCTTTGATTCGTCGAAGATATTCACTACCAATGGCTGCACAAACTTGAGGAAGCGAAGAAGCAGCCGCCTCGTCGAACGTCTTGTTTGAGGACGAGCACAAGGGCTTGTCAGGCGGGGAAGCATGCAGGTCAGCCTTGCGCCTATTCGTCGTCGCCGTTGGGTGCCGCACAGCTCCCAGGGATTCGACAGGGAGCTTGTCTCGAGCAGTGGCCACAGCTGCGAGACTGGTCAATTGTGAAGGCAGGAGAGCCACGTTTGTTGAGCCTTGCGCAGCGTGCCAGGCAGGACAGAGTGAGACATGGCTTCGAACTCGTCACGCATATCATCCACGATGGAGACAAAGTGGCCCGAAAATCAACCAGCCCCGGTCTTATCGTTCTTCCCTCCACGAACACGCATGCATACCGACGACGCATATTATCGCATGTAGGTGGTACTTCGCAACATGCCTGGCTGGGTTCTGGTGGCATAGCCATGATCAATTGCTGCGTAAGCAGCACATAACAGATGCAACAGCCCGCAATGCGCAGCGCTCGTCCGGTCCGGAGTCGGCACGGTCGCGCATGGGTTGCGCGCCCAGGACATGTTCGACATCTCACGTGGACCGAGCACGTTTCTCCACGCGCAAGTATGGCATTGCACGTTGTTGGCAGCTGCGCATCCAGTCCCAAATGGGTATTTTGACAGTTCGCACGGCTATTGGCTGTAATGTGGTACGGTCACCTGGCCCGGAACACCCAGATGGACATAGACCGTCAAGAGATGTTGTTAGTCATCATCGCCAATTTTTTTGGTTCTTCTTGTCGGGCGAAATCGTCTGTTTTCCTTACTGGGCAAGAGTTGCGGGTTCTCCAAAAACGTCAGGCCAGCCTCCACACCAAAGGTTGCCGAACTTGGCCCCCAAGCAAGACACGAACGACGAGCAGTTCATGTGCGGCAACAACCACAGCATCTCTCACACAAGGGCCTTTGACCAGCTCGACATCAGAGAGTCAATCGGCACAAGTGACATGCAAAACGCATAACAACTGACCAGCAGGAAAGCAGGGTATCAAAGGGAGGAGGGAACAGAGCAACCAGCATTGCCAAAGAGAAAAACGCCCGGGAAGCCCCGCGGCGCGGCCCAACGTCCTCCGAAGTTCCGCCTACGCACGCTAGCGTACAAACTGCACTCCACTCAATTCCCGCTGCGGTTCCTTTCCGGCAGCGCGAAGAGAAGGAAGGGTTTCAAAAAAGTACGAAACATGGTATTTGGACGATGGGGCACCGAGTTTCCCGACTCGATGAAATCGCGAATAATGAAAAGTATGTGTATTGTCGGTTTGGTCAAGTATGCGAGCGAGCGTCTTGTCCGCTGCTTGTTGGTGTGGTGCAGTGTGGGTTGAACGCTTTTCCTCCGCCGCCTTGGCATTCCCTTCCCTCCCCTTCCCACTCCACACAACTCACTCACTCACTCACTCCCCGTCCGACCGGCCCGTCCCTCCCTGAATACAAACACACACACACACATATATTGTAAAGCGAGCAACCCGACCGACTTTCCCCGTTCGGCCTCAGCGGCGCCCGCTTACGGCCAGACGCAGCAAACTCTCTGGCCTCTGGCCCTTTGCGCGCACGCACATACACACACACACACACACACTACACAGACGAACACGCATTCCATGCAGGAAGAACCTAATTGAAGGACCCACGCCAGCAGCACCTCTGCCGCCTTCCGCCGCCATACCTGCAGCAGCAGCAGCGACAGCAGCACCGGTAAGTAGTAGTTCATGTGCGTAGGGTCTTTCCGTCTTACAGGGCGCCGACAATTCGCACGTACTCGGGCGAGCAAAACTAGGGTACTTGACAAGCCCTCTTTTCCACCGGCCTTTGTCCCCAGAAGACTCGAGACGGATTCCTGCTTCCAATTACAGGTCACAGATGGATACGTAGTTCCCGGCGTTGTCACCAATGCCAGTTTTCGCCGTTTGAATATTGTGTGAAAGACAGTTTTCGTGGCGATGAACTTCCACTCCCACCGTTGTTATCCTCCCTCATTAACTCTGATGTACATGCAGAATGTGAAAGCAATGTGCCGCCCGTCTGGGTATCTTGTCACAGTCCTCCGCGCGGACTCCCCCTGCAATATTCTTTCCTCTTTTAGTGCCAGGACAGTTCTCCTCAAGCATGAAAATGGTCAAACAACATCCCGCTCCGCTGTGACAAAAATGATAAGGAGAAAAGAAGTGATATGCCAAATATGTGATCTGAAATGGAAAATATGCCACCGCCCGCATGGTAAAAGTATTTACTTGGCTCACTGAGAAATCTGTCCAGAGCGCCAATTGGATATTATGTACTCAACCGAGCACCTTCTCGAGGTAGTCTCGGACGTGCCAGAGGAGTCCACGGTTATGCTCGAAGACCTGGTCCTTGGGGTCGGCGCCGCGGTATCCGCTAACGGGTCTCTGTGCCGCGATTTCTTCCTCGGAAAACCACGCGCCGTGCAGACCGTAGGGGACACGTTGCGGCAGCTGTATCTTGGCAACGACATCATTCATACTGATGGCATCGATGATCCAGAGCTCGCTGACCGCGTTCTCACCACACTCACCGCTGGCAAGCAGCTGTGACTCGTCAAAGACGTATGTGAGCAGCCAGCCATCGTCCTCGGAAACGCCGCCGACACGTGGGACGAATCGAGCCTCTTGCGCGTACCAGCCGTCGGGCAAAGAAAAGAGCTTGATCGGGTCTTCTGGGTCCGTGCTCTGGAGAACCTCCTCCACGGGTCTGCAGTCGACACAACCCCTGACGTCTTCAGGAGGGTTCTCCTCGCCACGCTTGATCAATGTCCCAACATCGACCTTGGCAAGGCAGGTGATCTTGACCACCTTTCCGAGGCCCGGGGTGAAGCTCGATGATCGTGTTGAGCTGCAGCAGTAGATGTAGCGTGCCTCTCGCATTTCACGCTCTGGTGATAGGACGGGAAATTCAAAAGGAATTGCTGAGAGTCCCCATTGACTCCGAATCTCGGGCTTGGAGCTCGAACCAGGGAGCTCCATGCCAAAGCGGTAGTAGTAAAGTCTCGTTTGCTCGTCCTCGTACAAGTCGTCGGGAATTGGACCGGTCTCCTTGATCTCCAGAGCTGCCGTCTCGTACACAATAGACGCCGACGTGTGCCGACAAGCGACGAGGCACACGGATGGGCCCTCCTTGGGATCCGTTGACTCGACATCCCAGGCATTAGCAGTGTGGAAGATGACGCACGGATTCGTCTCGAACCACTGGACCTGTTCTGGGCTGTGTCGTGGAAATACACCAAAGCGCGAGTTCTCGGTCTTGTCGTAAGCAACAATGGGCAGGCCCGCTAACATCTTGAGCGGGTTCAGGGACAAGGGCAGATCCATTATGATGGTGTGTTGACGAGAAACACCAAAATCGTGCATCATTTTGGGCGACTTGATTCCGGGTACAGGCAGGTTGAACTTCGGCTGTGGAGGGATATCTGCTGCAGAGGGATTCTCAGGCGGAATAACAGAGTATTCCACGAACGGCGCAATGGTAGTGGCGTGGAAGCTGATGAACTCCCTGGTGAGTGGGTCGACTTTTGGGTGACCTGTGGTCCACTCCTTGAAAAACGACAGCACTCCGTCGCCACCGAAACCGTTCTCTTTTGTGGTGGTTGGTTCGTTCTCGGCTTTGCGACCATTGAACCATCCTACGGTCTCGAGACTGGGTAACTGAAAGCGCATGGGTGGGCCGCTCTCGCACGTCGCCAAAGCACGGCCGTCGTGGTAGAGGACAGCTGTATTGGCGACGCTCATTTTCTTGATGACAAATGGCGAGCCTGGCAGTCTGGAGATGAAGGCGAGAAGGAATCCGCGGACTATGGACCAGCAGATGGCCAGGAAGGAGCCGCCAATCAAGGTCGCTATGCTGGGAACGACGCGTCTTTTGAGGTTGGCATTACCGGTGGCGTTGAGATACACATCGGTCTGGACGAACTGGTTAACGAATTCCGGGACGATTTCCTTGCCCGTCTTGCCGGTCCTCCGAAATAGCACTCCAGAGAGCATGCCGTCGCCGTCGAACCAATGCACATCTCGGCCAAGGTCCTTGTTCTCAATCGGGTTTCCGCCATTGCGTACATACTGACCACCAGCGAGGTCTGCTGGGATTGTGCCGGTATACGAACATGGTGTCAAAGCCCTAGTTTGTGTGACGGGGGCGAAATTGCCGGCGAGATACCTGTGGTGACTTATGCTCAGAAATGTGCTCCCGCTACCGGCATTTAGGGGTAACAACTTACGGGTTATCGGGCCGCCTCGTGATCTGTGCCATGGCGAAAGGGGTTCTGGGGACCCAGAAGCGCGCGAGTGCGCACTCGGCTGGTGAGGGGGGGCAGACAAGAAAGTGGAATCTGTCGAGAATGCGCCCGATTTTAGAGAAGGGACTTCTGATCAGGTTATCTAGGTGGAAAGGTCGGCTGTTGGTTGCGATGTGGCGCCCCGAATTGGAGCTAGAGATCGACCGGGCGCCTGCCTATTTAAGACGTCGGCCACCTTGGGGATCAGATATGGAGAAGCGGCGAGTCGACGGCTGGCCGGTTCATTGCGCTTGCTGGGAGCGGGGTTTGAGCCAAGACGACAGCGGCGCCATGTGCCTGCCGGAGCGTGTTGGCCGCAGGGGCAGAACGCCAAACTACTGGCTGTGCGGTCCGAAGGGCAAACCACGAGGAGGCTGGTTTGGGTTGTGGCAACTCGCCAGAGCCAGGGTTTGTGGGGTCGGGTCTTTCGAGGCGGCCGCGACACCAGGGTGCTTGCGAATGCGCCGCCGGTCGGCCACGTTCGTCGGTGGCGGCAGGCCCAAATTGCAGGGCAGCAGTCTCTTCGTCGTCGTTGAGTTGTGGGGGGGCGCTTTTGTGGCTCTCCTGTTTGCCAACTTGTTTAGACGGTTCTGCGAGACAAGGCGGGCGCTGGTGTTTTGGGCTGGATGGAAACAATTGCGTTGGCGCACCGGGGCGAGGCCGCTGTCGCAGACTGTGGCTTGGTGAAGAACGGACAAGGAGCCAGCGGGCGAGAGCAGTGGAAGCACGAGTCGCGGAGGGCGTTGCTGGCGGTTTGCGCAGAGGGCAATAGGGGAAGAAGGTTGTAAAAGTGAGGAGAGCAAGCTCTGGGCGGCGCAGACAAAGGTTGAAGAGTGAGACAAGAGAAGAGCCAAGGCGCCAGGCTCGTCTAGAATAGTGCGCAACAAGCTGCCGTGGTTCTTGGAAGACGCCAGGCAAGGAAGGGTGGAAGGAACAGAAGGAGCACGAGTTGTGAGCGCGAAGGCCGCGGAGGGTGCAGGGGACTTTGCTTGGCCGACAGGACGACGACTGGGGTGCGGACATGACGGAGCAGAGGCAGGCAGACAGGGGTGTGTAAGTCCGGCCGGGAATCTGGGGTGCTACATCGCGCAACGAAGCCGCCAACGACGAAATGCAAAGAAGTGTCTTGGCCAAGCTACGCCTGGGGCCGACTTGGTTTGTTCCTGAGACTGCGCAGGCGAGACGTGGGCGCCTGCGTCCCGCCCTGCAGGCAAACGAACCTCTGGGCCCTCAATCCAGTTCTCCAGCTGATGTCACTGCCACGTCGTCGCACGGGGGGAGGAGCGACCCAGCATGCGCGCGCACGCACGCATCCGCTCCTGCCGAATCAAACACACATCCATCGACAACCTGAGGCCACAGCATCATCGTGGTCAACCTGACTGGTGTGCACCACCACCCGACTGCTGGAGCACCCACCCGCACGACGGCCGCGTTCCTGCCGGTCGTCGCGCTTCGCTTCGCGACGGCGGCCATCATGTCTCGGCGCCGGGGCCGAGTCATCCATGACGCGCTGACGTCAGGCCTGCCCCAAGCATCCCCCTCCGGCCCATCCAGCCCTGCCGACATCATCGCCCACTGCTCAAGTGCCGCCCTCTTAGCTCCAAGGCCCTGCAGATCGGACAAATGCTTGGCGCCATCGACGCCGCCTGCAATCCTCAATCTCGACGTCAAAGCCCGTGCTCACCGCGCATCGCAGCCCTGCCGCTCGGAGACCTGCTCCGCTCCCGCGGCGCCTCCTGATGATTCACGACTTTCCTCGCCGGCCAGTGGGGCCGCTCCGGCGACCAGGGGCGCGAGCAATCCCTGTGGTGCGGACTCGACGAGTATCGACAAAGCTGGGCCCAATACTCCGTCCGGGTCCCCAGCTGGTGAATGAAGTTTGGGTGGTAATGACGGTGGGGGGCTTGCAGTCGAGAACGGGTCGACTGTATGGGCCATGAAGGGAATTCCTCCATGACCTCGCTGGGCATGCGGGCTCGGAATCTCGATGTCATCGCGCGCTGGAAACTCTTCGGCGCCAATGGGATGCACCGGCACCCATCACCAATAGCCTCGGGCTTCTGCTCGCGACGTGCAGCAAGGTGTGCGTCAACATAGCGACTTTTCAGGTCATACGACTGGTCCTGGGCTTAGCTCGAAGCTTGTCAAAGCTTGTCGTGGCACGACTAGCCAGGGATGTCGTCCGATGCGACTTCAACGGCTTTGCGATGGACGGCTCGCTCGGCAGTTTGCAATGCTCGTGCGGCTGGGCTGGCATACCACATGCGGCGATCGCCAGTGACAAGGCGAGGAGGTGCATCACGCGACTAGCTCCTAGTGCCGATTGTTCTCCGGACCTTACACGTCAATTGGTCATCAAGATATTCTCGACGCCATCCGACGAAGCCGGTGCTGGCCTTTCACGAAGCATGATGAAGTCATTCTTGCACACATGGCGTGAGGGGACTGGGCGTCCCCGTCTGGCATCCAATATCATTCAAATACCACAACCTCCAAACGTTATCCCTTTCCTGCCTCCTCCACCACATCCGCAACCAGACCTGATACCCAACGCTGTCAACACAGAGCTAAAGCCCCCCAAGAAACACTACAATTTCCTTCGCGAGGTTGCCAAAATGTCTGGAAATCAGGCCATCGCCGTTAACTCGGGCGTTTTTCGGCACGCCGACCTTGAGATCACCGACCATGGCTCTGACTGGCTCTTCACTGTCTGTGCCATCATGGGTGCCTCGACTGTTGCATTCATGGGCATGGCCTTCTCCAAGCGCCAGACTGACCGCCTCTTCCACTACATCACCGCCGCCATCACCTGTACCGCCTGCATAGCCTACTTTGCGATGGGCTCCAACCTGGGCCAGGTTCCCATCCAGGCCGAGTTTGTCCGGCCTAACAGCTCCCAAGTGTTCGCTGCCGGCACTCGCGAAATCTTCTACGTCCGCTACATTGACTGGGTCGTCACCACTCCCCTTCTGCTGCTGGACCTGATGCTCACAGCCGGCATGCCAACATCGACTATTTTGGCCACCATTTTCGCTGACGAGGTCATGGTTGTCACTGGCCTCGTTGGTGCCCTTACCCAAACCACTTACAAGTGGGGCTTCTGGACCTTTGGCGTTGCTGCCTTCTTCTTCGTCGTCTATGAGATCTTGATCGATGGCCGCCGCCATGCCAACGCCCTTGGCGGTGCCCCCAAGAAGGCCTACAACCTTGGTGGTGTCTGGCTCATTGGCATCTGGTTCCTCTACCCCATTGCCTGGGGCTTGTGCGAGGGTGGCAACGTCATCCACCCCGACTCCGAGGCCATCTTCTACGGCATTCTGGATGTACTGGCCAAGCCTGGCTTCGGGTTCCTGCTGCTGTTCCTTCACCGCAACATCGATGTTGCCGACCTCGGCCTCAACATCCGCGAGCCCGGCCAGCGCAACATTTCCCACGAGAAGAACGGCCGTGGCCACCACGCCACGGAGGGCCCCGGTCCTAACGTCGGCACCAACACTGCCACCGGCGCCAACACTGCCGTTTAAGCGTTGTTACACAACAGAAAACAGCGAATACAAACTCCTTTCGCCCGAGTGCGCAATGGCTCGTGTAGTCGCGCTGGCAAAGCGAAAAAATTTCAGCCGTCCATCCCGACTGGCTTCGCGGATCCAATCCTGATTTCCTTGTCTAGATCATATACCCACACGATCACTTTTTGCAAATGTTTCACCACGTCTACCACGCTTTGTGTGCGGCAGGATCGGTCGTCGACCGGCTGGCAAGTCGTCTCTTGTAATTTCATTCGTAATGGAGCTGTGGCGGCCAGGGCCGGGGCTGCGCAGTAAGGGGAAGCTGGCTTGCGATGAAGAGATGCCGTCCGCCTGTGGCGTGTTTCCGTAATAATACTTCTGAAAAAATCAAAAACACAAAACACAACACCCTCGCAGTTGGAGAGTGATAGGTTTCGCTTCCCGAGTGAAAGCCACCGTCCGGCGACAAACTTACTACCAAATTGCCGTGGTTGTTTCACAATTCGCCTCACTAACTCTGCAACATACAACAAAAATGAAACTAGCCCCAAAATCCCATGCTTTTACTTCCGCCCAAGCATCTCATCAGTAGCCCATCAGCAGCAGCGCGTCGGATGGGCCGGAGGAACGTCAAAAGGTTGGGGTAGGCTTGGCGCGCGCGGAGAAATAAGCTTTCCGGTCAATCCCCTAAGCCGCCAGTCCACACATGTCTGGCACTTGCTTACGATATACCAGACCCCTAGCGCAGGTTATCCTCTTTTTTTTTCAATGTCCTCTCACAGATTTGGTAATGGAGGAGGGAGAGTGAGAGTGAGAGTGAGAGTGAGAGGAGAGGGGCGTATCAGATTCCAAAAAGTCGAGCACTGTTCGTCCTACGGAAGGCGGGGAAGGCGTGGAGAGAGATAAGGCTTGGCATGGTGAAAGGAGGGTGTGGTGGAGAGAGGACGGGGTGGGAGGGTTCTCGCAGCAGCGAATTGCATGTGTGGCCGCGGATGGGCTTTCGGAGGAGGAGGGGAGGGGAGGGGAGGGGAATGAGGAGAAGGAGAGCCGCCCAGGATAGATTAGGGTTGCTATGTGATTTTGAGTTGAGAGGGATGAGTCACAGCGTCCTGCATGCTTCTAGTTGAATTGCACCTGTTTGCCGATATTGAGAAGTTCCGTCCCTCTCGTCGCTAATGGGTCCGAGTGTGTGGAGGGTGGGTGTTGCATAGGGTACTTCAAAGCATCGTGAAGAAGTGGATTTTGTATGGGCGTCTGGTTGCTGACAATGTTGACTGACGTTCCGTGGCATTTGACGGCTTAGTTTTTGTAATAAAAAAATCTGCCTGCCTTTGGCTTTCCAATCGTCCTATTCCCAACTAGTTTTGAGTTTCCCATGTTGGAGATTTATTTTGGGGGGTTTTTATTTGTTGCTCTGGTGATATTTCTGAAAATAAAGATTTCGTTCGAATCGCGTGCATGTAAGGATTACATTTGCCCACACACTGGAATCGTTATTCTTTTTTGACAAGTTGATTTTTTCGGAGAGAAAAAGAAAAACATGTCACATCTACCCGCCTGCCCGTACTCCTCCCGGCGCACTGCAATTGTGACTCCGGTCGTTGGTGTAAGTGAGGTGTGGTGATGTCATCCATCTTTTGATGCCCCCATCCTCCGATGGCGCTAATGCACCACCAAGCATCACCAAGCATCACCACGTCCCATCAGGCTTTGACTGTCAATCACATCGAGACCAGCCCCCCAATCCTGAACTAAGAAATGTCCCATTCTGCTTGGCCCTTGGAAAGAAAAAAAAATATCTGAAGAAAATCGAGATTGCACATTGTGGTTTCAGATTCCTGGACCCCTGCGCCAAGGCATGATCGGCAAGCTTCTGGGCACGCGAGCGCTGGACTTCTCAACGTCGGCGAAGCAGTCTACCTGCTCCATACCTGAGCTCTTTGGCTTTTCGTCCTGCCCATGGTGATGGCCCTGGTCTTGGCGTTCTGGTCGCGCCGTGAGAACTCCAACTACATGTGGACGCAGCTGTGTGAGGGAAATCTTTTTGTCTTGCATTCACATCCGTTTCCAGTTCGGGAGTGTTGCAGAAGCATGGGCTCACTGGATGAGCGGGCGATCCTGGGCAGTCAAGGATTGGCCATCAAGCTCTCGTCATCTGTGTGTGCACTCAAGTGCAGCCCTGCCAGTTGGGATATGACGTACCTCGGCCTGCCTGCCTGCCTGCCCATCAACGGCTAGGGCAAAGATAAGCCATGGTCCAGAATAGTCGTATAACGGGACATGGCCTCTGCGTGATATAGCGTGACACTTCGCGATCGCTGCGTAATGGTTGCAGAGGATGATGTCAAAGGTGCTGGATACAGATCTCATCGGGATGCTGAGGTGGCATCGAGAGTATCTAGGTCCCAATTCCGTGGCAGCTCCGGAGATCGTCTTTGGACATGTGTGAAGGAGCGGCTACGCAACATAAACCATTGGGACTGCAGCCAGCGCGAGTCATCATCATTCATGTAGTACGGGAGGGGAAAAGCACACATCGAGTTGTGGCCCACAAGCGGAGTTCCTGCCGATCACATCTTGCTTAGCAGGAAGTGTCACTCGAACGTTTGATGCCTTCAAGGCACGAGTCTTGTGTTCACGATACGTCAATGTGCATGGCCCAGACCGCTCTATCAGCTTTGGGAAGGAGATACCACGCCAGCACGGGATCATCTCCTTAGGGTGAGAGTGTGGAAGGGTAGCGCGCAAAGTAAAAAAAAGGTTAGGGGGAGGGGGCACTACGAAACAAGCACGATGATCTCGAGTCCGGTGCAGCATCGCAAAGCTTGTGTGGAATCGATAATACGTAATTGTGCCTAATGGTCGTTGCTAGTGCCCGCCGGAGCCTGCGTGATAGCTTGGATTCGGGCAGCAGTGACAGCTGCTGTAGGGACTTTGTGTGAACATTTGGCCAACATGTGATCAACAGGCAAGCCTCGGTGCCTGATCTCGATTGGCATCAGTTGTGTCATAACCAGAAGTAGGCTTGTCTACATCAGCGGCTGGCAGCCTTGGTGTAGGATCAGAGCATGATTGGGATGAGGGAGATCAAGAAACTTGCTTCGGACCTCAGCTTGTAGCCAGCCTTGTTCGCGCAAGATAGCCGTCACACGTCTCGTACGGGCTGGATCCTGGCTTGAGTGACGAAAGCATAAACCGTCAGAGAGATTAGGTGAAGCAAGACCATGCCAGATGGGCATGCTGAGCGTTGCATTTACTGGACATCTCACCGCACGAATCATGGTACTGTAGTCCTTTTAGGATGCAAGTTGATTTTAGCTCTTGTTCTATTACCTGGCCCCTGCCAGGAGAGGCCCCCTTTGAAGGGTATTATGGAGGCTTGTCTGGGGGTTGACATTCAGCACATCCACTTTCTGCCGCCCCTTGGCAGCCTTGCGGATATTATTATCGTTCATCAGTATAGACGCCATTGATGGCTGCAAAGCGGTAAGTAGGTTGGCCAGGAAGCCTTGCGCCTGCCAAGGTCTCGCGGCTGGGTTAATGGGAGGTTGGGTTCTACAATCTCATGGTCGCGGAAACAGTACCGTGGCACGGCAGGTCCTCTTGACCGCCTCCATCTATGTAGAACTTTTTGACGAGTACAGGGGAGCTGTCTCGTATTCCAGAAAGACCCTTCCACGGCTGCGGAGTCCTTGCAGGTGGTACCGAGAACGTGTAGCGGGTCTAGAGTGGCTGCGCAAGGACACTGCGCAGGCCCAGCTCACTCTCCGTATCTGGATCATGGAGCTTTGCATAGCCCCTAGAGTTCCGAGGCAAGAAGACCCTGACAATGCGGCATGGCCTTAATCTGTGTTGCTTGGACACGAAGTAATTGTGACCTGCAGTGCCATGACGTCTGTGATGGTGGTTTCAAACGTGCCTGTACGCACGGATGGCCGGCCTGCCCGACTGCGAAGCGGCCGAGAATGTTGGAAGGAGCCTTGGGACGTCTCTGAGACAAAGGCGAGCCCACCAGAACCCGCAATTCTGCAGAGGCTTCAACGGGCGGGCGGCGTTGATGGAACTGCCGGGACGAGCTCGTGGGCGGAGTGCCGCCAGCACCACAAGCTCCAGGGCTGAAGTGGAGGGCGCATGTTGTGGCAATCGAGGCGCCCTGCTTGTGCTGCCACAGACCCGGGATACCCATGCTTGGCATACGAGACTTCTCGCGAGGTTCTCACTGGAGGTACCATTGAGAAAGGCGGTCGCTTGAGGCCCCCAAAGTTCCGATGGTGACCTCTGAGGCTGGACAAGGATCGCTGGTCACCACCCCACCACAAGCGAGGCTCAGCAGGGCAAACTGGCCGACTTGCGGAATCCATGACATGGCTTCGTTTCCAGCTGCTTCCGTCCTATGGAATGCTTGGAGGACAGGACGACAGGCAGGTCTGGGTGCGCTCGACGCGGACGCAGAGCACAAAGCGGCACACTCAATCGGCAACGGCGGGAGAAGAATGCTCGCTGTCGAGGCCTCGGTTGGGATGCTGGCGCGAGACAGGGGGACCCATGGCAGCCATGGCCAGTCACAGAACGTGAAACGGCGAAACAGCCACAGTGACAAGGTCCCGCGCAGCAATGGCAAGAGGGGGCGGCGATGGCGGACAATAGAGACTGCAGGCCGATGCAGGTACAGGTTGGGGGGTAGCCTGTTTGGGGACGGCGCCTCCTTTGTCCCTCTGCAGCGGAGCCCAAAAGGGGCCCCCCTTTTCGTCTACACCAATCAGACAGACTGGTGGCCAGCCCGCCCCACCGGCTTGGGCCCCTCTGGAAATGACAGGTTCGCAGGCCTACGCAAGCGCCGCTGTTGGCGCTGGGCAATCTCTCCCACCACCAGCCGCTCGTTCAGCAGTCCTCGATGGCAATGGATGGCAATGGCTGGGTCTGGCTGCCCGCCAGCGCAGAATCCTGATGTGTCAAGGCCGCGCTGCTTGCTGGCAAGCACGCGCTCGCCTCACTATTCCCGCCCAACAAGCACACATCCGTCATGCCATGCCAGCAAACACTGCCGCCTTCCTCCGCCAGCATCACAACTCCCAGACAGCAGATGGCCGCCTCCTCGGCCACATCTCACGAGGCTGGTCATGCCCCTTTTGCTCGGCGAGTCCTCGCCTTCAGCCTGATGGTTCCATGAAGCTTCCATGTCCGTGCTGCCAGAGGACAAGCCGTCCTTGACACTATCCACCTCAACTGCCACCTTTCAACGGCCTAATATGCCACCGGCAAGGGCAAGACGACTGCGTCGAGACAAGGTGATGAGCGCCAAGCCCAGCGGGACGGGTGCAATCCTGGGGCAAATCAGCCATTATCCACAGATCTCTCCTGAGGCCATCGCGAAATCCTGTCCTATCCACCTGCGAAGCCCCGACCGCCATGTCGTCCATGCAACGCGCATCTTCTCGTCCCCGACGTGAGCGTGCATGAGACTAGTATTTGCCTACCTGTCGGAGCAGGACAAGCTTTCCCTGCCGCCAATAGACATTCATTCGATAGGCGACGCGGGTCAGGACCGCCAGCAATGAGTAATACGAGCATCGAAATGAGCCCACAGCATGCACTCTCGTGTCGCTTTGCCGACAGCACAGCACGGTCGCCCCGCATTCGACGACGGCGTGGGTGGTGGAAATTACACCCCGTCCGCTTTGGGGGAATCACCATCCGCGGCGCCACAGCGATCGGCAGTAGTGCCAGCACGGCCAATCATGTCGGCCTGGTCCTGCATTAGGCCCAGGCACAATCCCAGCGCACGGGTCCGCCATGTCAGCCTCGACTACAGTCGGACTTGAGCAGAACAACGGGTCTCGTCCTTTGTGCGCCCATGGTGAGCCCTACCGAGCCTACTAGTCGAGCCAGCGATGCTCCAGCAAACATGGAACTCCAGCTAGCCCCGGGATGAACCCTGGCAAGGCCCAACAGCCAGTGGGCCGTGCACCTCGCAATCTGAAGACTCGCCCCCCAGAGTGCGGCCCCTGACTGCCACGGACTTGGCTTTTACGCCATGGCCCAGGCCCCGGCCCCGTCCCATATGCGCGAGCAGGGGCATAGATGGGCTTGGGAAGGTGGTGCCTCGTTTTTAGTAATGGGGACAGCATGGGTGCGTGACCCCCAGCAAAGGTGCCGCTGGAAGAACGCTCCTTGGCGGCAAGCAGGAGGAATAGGAGGAGGCAGCGCCGCTCCATAAGAGGCACGCCGACCCTCCTCGGCAGTCCTCTCGATTCCTTTCTTGCCCACCCTCGCGTCCAACACTCAGAGCCTCTCCTTAGCTCACTTCCATCGTTCTTTAACGATAGCCACTCGTTCTTACAACACTTACACTCTTTAAACCTAATCAAAATGCGCGGATCTCTCGTCGCTGCCGCCCTTCTGGGTGTCGCCTCTGCCAAGGTCTACGGCACCACTGCCGTCACCACCGACGCCACCACCACCTGCACTGAGGAGGAGTCGACCACTGCCACTTACCCGGCCACCACCGTCTCGACCTCCGCCCCCGTTTCGGAGACCACCAAGACCTACCCCGTCATCGAGACCTCCAAGACTTACCCGGCCTCGTCCGAGAGCACCACCTGCACCGAGGAGGAGTCTTCCACCAAGACCTACCCGGCCAGCACTGTCTCCACCTCCGCCCCCGTCTCGGAGACCAAGACCTACCCCGTCGAGACCATCTCGACCTCTGCTCCCGTCTCCGAGACCACCAAGACCTACCCCGTGATCGAGACCTCCAGCACTTACCCTGCCTCCGAGAGCACCACCTGCACTGAGGAGGAGTCGACCACTGCTACCTACCCGGCCAGCACCGTCTCCACCACTGCGGCTGTGTCCTCCTCGACCACCCCTACTTACCCTTACGAGACCATCTCGACCTCGGCCCCCGTCTCCGAGTCGAGCTCGACCTACCCTGCTTCGTCTGAGTCCACCACCTGCACGGAGGAGGAGTCGACCACCGCTACTTACCCGGCCACTGAGAGCACTGCTACCTACCCGGTTACCTACCCGGTCTCCGAGAGCACCACTGCTCCAGTCTACACCACCAAGACCATCTACACCACCTCCGGCGCCACCACCTATGCCGTCTCTACCACCGTCTGCACCTACGAGGAGACCACTCCCGTTGAGACCTACCCTGCCACGGAGCCCACCACCACTCTGACCAGCACCACCACCTACACTCTCACCCACACGGTCCCTGCTGAGACTTACCCCGTTGAGCAGCCCTCGACCTACCCCGTCGAGACTCCCGCGACCTACCCGGTTGAGACTCCCTCGACTTACCCCGTTGTTGAGAAGCCCTCTACCTACCCTGTCGTTGAGAAGCCCTCGACCTACCCCGTCGAGTACCCTACTTACCCCGTTGAGACTCCTGCCACCTACCCCGTCTACCCGACCGGTGGCTACCCTACCACCAAGATCCACACTGCTCCTTCCGGCGGTGTCTACCCGACTGCTCCTGCCTACCCCACCATCCCTACTGCCGGTGCCGGCCGCATGGGTGCTGGCCTCGGCGCTGTTGTCGCTGGTTTCCTCATTGCCGCTCTCTTCTAAGCATCTAGCGCGCTGATGGAAAGGATTTGAGGAGAGGGACGTGGCCTGGCTCGGGCTTTTCCGTAGCTGACATTCAATCGAGACACAACTTCTTCTTGAGTAAACTGCATTGGTTCTTGGCTTCTGGCTTGGTGTTGTGGATATCTTTGGTTACGATGGCATATATATTCTTCCATGGTATATTTATATGCGGCTCCTTACATAGCCGTCGACATTTCTAATCTGACAAGCGTCCTCTAACCATCTTTCCACCCCATTACCCGTGAATGGTGAATCATGTAGACCGGGTGCCCCATATCCTCCATGGTGTGTGACTAGTATCAGTGACCAAGGAGCCTGTGGTATAATCGACGCGAATGCTTGGGTGGCCGGTTTGTCTGATGACACAACCTAACCCCCAGGATTGTCGGTTGGTGTGCCGAATACTCAATTCACTTGTGGGCTTCCCGGTCTATGTCAGGTAAATGAACAGACGTCTGATTGTACAGAGGGAAAGAACCGGGGAGGCTTCTCAAGGCAGCTCTGCTCGTTGGTGATTTCGAGATCTCCTACGCACCGCAGCTCAGCCAGCCCTGTTGTTGTTGACAGCGGCTCTATACCATGATGCAGAACCATGGTAACCAAGTCACTCACTGGGCGCGAGTTCACCTTTCTGACGTTGGATTTGAGTGTGAGACCAATGTCGCGGATAAAGCTGGGTCGCGTGGCCAATGGGGGCTGCTGTGATCCATTTTTGGCAGCTTCAATGGCATGCGCCAAGCCTGGTGGATTCGAGTGGAGTGGGTGCGCCGTGACCCCGCCCCGCCTCGGATGACGCCTGGCGCTTCTAATCTTGACGAACAGGGTGGAACAAGCCGACAGCCTCGAGCCACACGAACATTCGAGAAAACTTCACACGCTGGCCAACTCAACAGGCCAGCCAGGCTGAGACAACCCCAGCCCGCCAACCATCGAGCCCTCCAACGGCAACCTGCGGCAGGCGTCCACGAGCTTGGGTGGCGGTGGATAATGGCACCTTACTTTGTTCCTGTCGTCCACGGGTAGCCAGCTCGACGACACTCCGCGCGCGACCCCTTCGCACGATTCAGCGCAGCTCCATCAGCTGGTCATGGAGCTGATTCCCTACGAGTCCCGAGAAGGCCGACAGATTGTCCTTCGCCACCGCAACGCACTTGTCGTTCGCGACCAAGGCTCCCATCGGCTCCAAGTCAGAGGGCTCGCCGTGCCCGAATGTCCAACATGCCGCCGCCCACTACGCTCGCCGTCCCCAGAACGGCATTTCGATGGCGGCCGGGCGGCGTCCCATCAACATGACTCCTTTGTCGACCCGGACTACTTCCGCATGCTGCAGGCCGGCTATGCTGTAGACGTGGACGACCGACCACAGGCGGCACCGTCAAGTCCCGTCAGGCGCCTGACACAGCCAACACTGCCAAGCAATCTAGCCTCGACTCTGGGCAATAGCCGCAGTAGCATCGACAACGCCGAGTTTGTCTCGAGCAGCCCAGCGCCTCAGGAGGGTGCCCGGATCCGTAGAGACGCCTTTAGCCCAAACTACTTCCAGCGCTTTTTCGTCGAGGAGCAAGAGCTCGGCCGCGGCGGCAAGGGCGTCGTGCTTCTGGTGCGGCACGAGATTGATGGCTGCCAGCTTGGTCATTTTGCCTGCAAGCGTGTCCCTGTCGGCGACGATCATGCGTGGCTGGAAAAGGTCCTCGTCGAAGTCGAGCTTCTCGCAAAGCTATCGCACCCGAATCTCGTCTCGTATCGCCACGTCTGGCTCGAGGATGTCAAGCTCAACCGCTTCGGGCCAAGCGTTGCCTGTGCCTTCATACTCCAGCAGTACTGCAATGCCGGCGATCTGCTCAAGTACATAGTCGGCGAGCAGCCGAAACTATCGACCAAAGAGCAGCTCAAGGCACAGCTCCGGCGGCGGTCCAAGGGCTCCGCAGAGCTCCCGGATCCTCTGCTACCCTCATTGCGACGCCTGCCCTTTGACGAGATTTTCTCCTTGTTCAGGGACATCGTCTCCGGCCTCGCATACCTACACGGCGCCAACTATGTGCATCGGGATTTGAAGCCGAGCAACTGTCTGCTGCATTTGGAGAACGGAAAGATGACCTGCTTGATCAGCGACTTTGGAGAGGTGCAGCAGAGTGGAGCGATACGAAATTCTACCGGCACGACCGGGACCATCTCGTATTGCGCGCCGGAGGTTCTCCAGCCAGGTGCAGATGGACGATTAGGCAACTTCACCGCCAAGTCTGATGTCTTCTCTCTGGGCATGATCCTCTACTTCCTGTGCTTTGGACACCTGCCGTATTCAAACGCTAACACTGTCAACGAGGAGCTTGAGGATGTCGATCTCCTGCGAGCCGAGATCCAGAGTTGGCGAGGATTCCAGGATGGCGTCCGGCAACGAGGCGACCTTCCTGCCAAGCTGTACCACCTGCTCAGGCAGATGCTGTCGGTAGACCCTGCAGCCAGGCCGACGGCGGCTGATGTGCTGGGCGCCATGAATCACGAGAGCAATGGCTTTAGTGGCTTCGGACGGAGCGCTGATCCTGTGCCTGATCTCCAGCATCGCCGAGTGCAGAACCTCGACAGCCCCATGCCGCCAGGGACACCCGTGCCAGATCCCAGCAAGGCGCGCAAGCGTAACAGCGTGGAGGGCGGGGCAAAGGTCAAGACCGATCCTTTCACAGACGCGTCTTCGTCTCTGTCCATGGCCATATCGAGGAGCCAGGACAGCCGGTTCGGACGAGGCTCAACTGCTCCTGTCGGCAGCTCCACTGCCGTCAACAGCCACGAAGCTGCAAATGACGGCAAAGCCGGTAGCATCATCTCACGCTCTCCTCCTCCTTATCTAGCTTCGTCGTCCCAGCCACCACTGCCAAGGTCCCCACCACCACTACTCCCGCCGCCCCCGCCGTCAACGAACTGGGGCATACTCAAGCAGCGCATGCACTATGCGTATGAGACGAACGCAGAATTTCTGTTCCTTTTCACGCGCTTGGCATTGTTCGTGTTGAAAATAGCCACTCTCTCGAGGGCCTGCTTTCCCTACGCCTTGTCATCAGAAGTGAATCTTCCCCTATTGGGTCTTGCGGCACTTGATCTGGCGTTGCCCTCATATCTGGAGTCACAGCATTACGTGTTGTCATCTGCATCAATCGCCGGCCCTCATGGCGTTGTACAGCGACATAATGGCGCGTTCGGCCGGCTGCTACCGAGCACCTGGACCTGGCGGAGCTCCTTGTCGCTGGTAGCCCTGCACTTTGGTACCTTGTGGGCTGTAGCGAGACACGGAGGGCTCTGCGCGGCGACGGATACTGATGACTATTGGGATTTGGGCTGAAGAGAAACAAGCATTCCTTTGTGCATCTAGGACGCGTGTAAGATACCCGAGGTTGATTTGCAGAGGAAACTGCACTTCCTCAGCACAGAATGTCTATCAGTCCTACTAGCAAAGTCTGGCGAAATCTGGACCTTTCGCTCACAGAAGGCATAGTTCTATAACGAGGACAAGTTCGAAAGCGTCTTGAAGCTGCAGCACGAGTTGTCAGAATCCCATCACTTGCCGTGCATGCCATCGGCGTAATCCGGGGAATTCGGGGCTTCATGGGCTACTTACAGCCCGGTACTGATCGAGTTGACATTAAGGCGGTGCCGTGCCAAAAAAAAAAAAGATTTTTCTCGTCAAGACAAAGCTCCATTCAGCAGACGAACAAAACATCGCTCGTATATCCAAGCTGTAGTATAAGCATCCGCCGTGCTGGCTTTTTCGAAGCCAAAGATCGAGGGTTGCATCGTGACCGTAGTCGCCGTTGCTCCAGTCCTACTGGATCGTGGAGGTCCACTCCAGGGTCCAATCCGGTCTCCACTTCCCACGCGTGTGCGCGCACGGGAAGCGCTGCCCGCTGCAACTCAGGTGTACGCACGGGTCGAAACGCCCCACAAAATGCCCAAAGCTCGCGTCACTGCCGGGTCGAGTTTTAATGGGTTTCACGCCACGACGCGTCCCCCGTCCTCCTTCCTCGCGACTTTGTCCCCACGTAATTGATTGAAGTGCACCCAACGCTTTCTTGCCTGGTCGAGTAAGTGACAACATCGGAAAGCACTCAGTCCAGCAGCTCCTTTTCACCGTCGGCTTGTATCACCTGGTTATTTTCGTCGAGGGCATCCTACATACCTTCTAATCTCGGCACTTCGCCGCCGTGCAGCCGGCAAGCATCCAACAATGGCAGCCAAGACGCCCGCCAAACCGCCGACTCTGACTAAGAGCACGAGCTCGGCCTCGTCGACGGGCAAGCAACAGAAGAGCATCCTAGGCTTCTTCGCAAAAGCCTCTCCAGCCTCCGGTGCAGCTGCCGCGACCTCCTCAGCAGCAGCCACCGAGCCGGCCTCCTCGCCGTGCCTGAAGGAGACCTCGCGGGCCAAGACCAACTCTCTCCAGCTCAGCAACCGACCCGCCCGGACCAAGGGCCTCACAACACCAATCCCTAGTAGCGATGCGATCGAGCCGTCCAGCTCACAGGAAAACCAACATGAGGGTACACCTCGGGAGGATGCCACGCCAAGGGCAAAGGTATGGTTCAAGGGGAATAGGGATGCGAAAGGTCTTTGCCAGTTCGTGCTGCTAACTATCATCTGCCACAGATCCCGGCGATAACAAAAACGCTTGTCGTAGGAAGCAGCCCCTCTCGTAAGGTTCGTGCAACCAGGACCGTCCCCTGCGTGTCTGGGGGGGTCAAAGACTAACGCGTGCTCTACCACAGGCGAAGAAGGCGGTCAACTATGCCGAATCATCCGACGACGACGATCAAGACGTGTTCGAAGCTCTCAAGGTTAGACGCAGCCGGCATAGATCGCGGGTAGCGGAGCCAGACGACGACGACTTCGATGAGGGCAAAGCTGTGGAGGCTGAGGAGTACGATGGTATGTAGACCCGGCACATGGGCTGCTTCGGAGGACAACCCGAGCTGACTGGAAACAGAAGACATGGACGTGGACGACTTCATTGTCTCTGACGACTCAGATGACAAGCCAAAGAAGCGAAAACGCGCGACCAAGACTCCCACTGCTCGCAAGCGATCACAGGTCTCGTCGCCAAACCCGAGTGCGACGCGCGCAGGCGAAGACGACGCCGAGGATGACTTTGGTGGTGCTGATATGGACAACATAATGGCGGACATGCCTGAGACCTCGACCGCTCAGCAGTGGCGATATGACCCCAAGAGCGTGGAACCGGTCAAAATCAGAGCCGCTCAGGCTGCTAAGGCGAAAGCCGCTGGTGCCAAGCAGAAGGCGCACACCCGTGAGCCTGAAGAGCGGTACTCGTGGCTCGCGAACATCCATGATATCGACCGGAACCCCCCTGGTCATCCAGAATATAATCCGTCTACGGTGTACGTCCCTCCCATGGCATGGAACAAGTTCTCGCCGTTTGAGAAGCAGTACTGGGAGGTCAAGCAGAAGCTGTGGGACACTATTGTATTCTTCAAGAAGGGCAAATTCTACGAGCTCTACGAGAACGATGCAACTATCGGCCACCAGCTCTTCGACCTCAAGCTCACTGACCGCGTCAACATGCGCATGGTCGGTGTTCCTGAGAGCTCGCTCGAGATCTGGGTCAACCAGTTCATTGCCAAGGGCTACAAGGTCGCTCGGGTCGAGCAGATGGAGTCTGCTCTCGCCAAGGAGATGAGAGAGCGTGACACCAAGAAGCAAGACAAGATTGTCCGCCGCGAACTCGCGTGCATTCTGACCGGTGGTACTCTGGTCGACGCTGGCATGCTGCAGGATGACAACGCGACTTATTGCGTTGCCATCAAGGAGTCGGTCGTGGACGACCACCCAATTTTCGGTGTGTCATTTGTCGACGCCGCGACTGGCCAATTCTTCATTTCTGAATTCGAGGACGACGTGGACTTGACCAAGTTTGAGACATTCGTCGCCCAGATCAACCCCCGGGAGCTTGTGATTGAGAAGATGAAGCTGTCGACCAAGGCTCTGCGCATCCTCAAGAACAACACGTCCCCGACAACCATCTGGAACTACTTCAAGACGGGCAGCGAGTTCTGGGAGGCAGACATGACCCGACGAGAGCTTGACTGCAGTGGATACTTTGCCAACAAAGAAGACCCAGATGCCGAGGAAGTTTGGCCGACGGTTCTGGCGGAGGCCAGGGACAAGGACGTGCTGATGTCATCGCTTGGGGCACTGGTGCAGTATCTGCGCGTGTTGAAGATTGAACAGAGCCTTCTGTCGCAGGGCAACTTCAACGTGTATAGCCCGATCCACCGGAACGGCACACTGATCCTAGACGGCCAGACCCTCATCAACCTGGAGATCTTCTCCAACACTGTCAACGGTGGCGCCGAGGGCACATTGTTCAACCTGCTCAATCGATGTGTCACTCCGTTTGGCAAGCGGCTTTTCAAGTCATGGGTCTGCCACCCGCTGTGCGACATCGGCAAGATCAACGAAAGACTTGACGCGGTCGACATGCTCAACGCGGATAGGACCTTGCGAGAGCAGTTCTCGGCTCAACTGACTAAGATGCCAGATCTTGAGCGGCTAATCTCCCGGGTTCATGCTGGCGCCTGCCGCCCTGCGGACTTTGTCAAGGTCCTGGAAGGTTTCGAGCAGATTGAGTATACTATGACTCTGCTCGGGGCCTTCACTGGCGGCAAGGGCATCATTGATCGGCTTGTGTCGTCCATGCCTGACTTGTCGGAACCGCTGGCTTTCTGGAAGACTGCGTTTGACCGCAAACGTGCTCGCGAAGACAAGATCTTGATTCCTGCCAAGGGCATCGAGGAAGAATTTGATGAGAGTCACGATCGGATCGAGGAGATCAAGGACGAGCTAAACCAGCTGCTTGAGAAGAAGAAGGCTGAGCTCAAGGCTCGGACCCTCAAGTTCACCGATGTCGGCAAGGAGATTTATCAAATTGAGGCGCCCAAGGCAGTCAAGGTGCCCAAGGACTGGCAGCAGATGTCTGCCACGAGCAGCGTCAAGCGATACTATTTCAAGGAGCTTACGACCCTGGTCCGCCAGCTCCAAGAAGCGGAGGAAACCCACTCGCAGCTGATCCGTGACGTTGCGCTGCGCCTCTTTAAGCGCTTCGACGTAGACCACGACTCCTGGATCCAGGCTATTCGCATTGTTGCGCAGCTCGACTGCCTCGTCAGCTTGGCGCGCTCGTCATCTTCGCTGGGTGAACCCAGCTGCAGACCGGTTTTCGTGGACGAGGAACGTACTGTCGTGGAGTTTGAGGAGCTGCGGCACCCGTGCATGATTAGCTCAGTAGACGATTTCATCCCTAACGATGTTGTGCTTGGAGGCAACTCTGCCAAGATCAGCCTCTTGACTGGTGCCAACGCGGCCGGCAAGTCGACAATTCTGCGCATGGTAAGACCCACTGCTCGTAGTCTCGGCTTCATGTCAAGCATGCTAACATTGTGCAACAGTCCTGTATCGCGGTCATCATGGCACAGATTGGCTGCTATGTGCCAGCAACCTCGGCGCGCCTCACGCCCTGCGACCGCATCATGTCGAGACTTGGCGCCAACGACAACATTTTTGCCGCTCAGTCGACCTTCTTCGTCGAGCTTTCAGAGACAAAGAAGATTCTGTCAGAGGCTACGCCACGCTCACTGGTCATTCTGGACGAGCTGGGCCGTGGCACCTCTAGTTACGACGGCGTTGCTGTGGCACAAGCCGTCCTTCATCACGTTGCAACTCACATTGGCTGCGTCGGCTTCTTCGCGACACACTACCACTCTCTGGCAACGGAGTTTGAGAATCATCCTGAGATCCGTGCGAAGCGCATGCAGATCGACGTGGACGATGCCGAGCGGCGGGTCACATTCCTGTACAAGCTCGAAGATGGCGTGGCTGAGGGCAGTTTCGGTATGCACTGCGCTGCCATGTGTGGAATCGCTGATCGTATCATTGAGCGCGCCGAGGTCGCCGCGCGGGACTGGGAACACACGAGCAGACTCAAGGAGAGCCTGGACAAGGCCAAGCAGGGCTGCTACATCCCACTGGGCGTGCTGAGCGACGTGGCTGCCCTGCTTGACGATGCCAAGGGCGACGACATGACCCTGAAGGGCATGGACGTGCTGATGCGTGCGATCGAGGCTCTGTAGAGGGGTCATCTCGTGGGAAGTTCAAAGTGTTATAATGATTGGGAGTTTAAGCGTGTATGTTTGTCTGGGACTTTTTGGGGCCATGGAACGCATGTTTGCTTGTCGGAAGATATGGCGTCACGGATTTACCTTGCAGAAACAGACAGCACGAAAAGGAGGAAATGGACATGATACTACCACTACTACTAGAGCTTTTGGAGCACGACAGAGAGCTATTCGCGTTGCAGGCACAGACAGGGCAGCTGGGTGATGGTGATGGTTCGTGACATGTTCTGCGCGCAGATATGAGGGCTATTGTCCCACGGTCAGTAACACCGAGATCGGTGCTCGCGTCTCGTCTCTTCCAGGGCTCGGAATGGGGTCTCTGGTGACTTGGCGAGTGCGGAGTTTCCCGATTCATCCTAGGCCCCGACTCCTGGGTTCCCCACAAAGGCCATACATGCTCGAAGCTCGAAGCTTAATTAGTGCCCGCGCCTGCTTTTGATTCGGGCCTAGACCCAGTAGGGAGAGGGGGCCCTTCGGGGGGAGAAGAGGGGAGGGAGGGACCCTGAAATTCGGCAGCCGTCCCTGTTCTAGTTCAAGAGCTGGGACTTTTCCCTCCTGAACGACGTCTCTTCTTTGTATGTTCGGGGCGAGCAAAGGCCACTGAGGATTTCTCGCGCAAATACCGGATGTAAGTGGTGTGTTTCTGGTACCTTGCCTTGCTTGCCTTACTTGCCTTGCCAGCTCTCGCTGCGGCTCCGTCCGCGGCAATGCTTCCGGTGCGGAGAAGAAGCGGGTGTGGACAATGAGAGAGCCGCCGCTCCTGGAAGGACCCGAGCAAATGGCCGTGGGTCTATTTATCGGCGGGCGCGGTGATATGAACCAGGAACAGAAGAGCGCTCGGCGCCCGCGCCACACGGGTAATTCTTTTTTCTCTGGGCAGCCTGCGTACCCACGGCCACCCCTCACGCCGCGCGCCTTGTCTGGGCAGTTCCCCCAACAGGCTTTGGGAGGCGACCCTTTTGTCGGGCTCACTTGGTGTCACTCCCCCGCTTACCTCACCTTACCTTTTTTTGTCTTTTCCTGTCGCCAATCTCTTTGGAAGGTTCATAATAGAAGGTGGTCGACCCCAGGCATTGATAGATTCTTCTCTTTGCTGCGGATCGTCATTCCGGAAAACTACTGCTTCCGTATATCGTTGGCCTGGGCACTGACTCTTTTCCTAAAAGAACTCACAGGAAACGGAAACCAGTTCTATTCGCAGATCTGAAGTTCAGCACGGTAGCACAGCTTGAGATTTCCTGTACAAGAAGGGAGAGCTTTCTCGGACGAAACCCCTTGACCCTATTCAAAACCGGCCAGATACCCAGAAAGGGAAATCCAAGAATGGCCGGAGACCGCCCCCAAACACTGCTCGACAAGCTGCGCTCCCTGGGCCAGGTTGACTGCGACACTTTCGACGTCGAAGGTGTGTTGTAGCACATCCCCCGGACTCCCGACGCCAGTTCCTTTTTAGTCGTTCTTCGGTTCGCCATAATTGGGGGAGAAAGAGAAAGAGAGAGAGAGAGAGAGAGACAAAAAGAAACTATTGCTGACCATGATCGTTTGCAAACCTCTTCTAGTCGCCAAGAAGCTAGGGCCTTTTGTGGATTGTACTTCCAACCAGGTACGTAGACAATTCTCTCTCTGACTGTTCCACGAAGAGCACCGGAGATTTGGTTCGGCTCCCAAGTGCCGATTTGCAAGAGAGGGAGAATGGAGAACAGTTTTTGACATCTCCCATGGACTTGCCCCCATTTTTGTCGTTCTCACACTGGATATCTGAAGCCCGCTCCCAAACCGACAAGCTAACCACGGGGGAAAATTTATCACCCATGCGCACACAGGCCATCGCCTACCACGAGCTGATCCGCATCACCGCGGACTCGCTCCCCGTGAACGGCAACAGCACAAACAAGGAGGAGAAGGAGGAGGTGCGAGTCCACGAACAGCTCATCCGGGACTCTGTGGCCTGTGCCGCGACCCTGCCTGACAAGGGGGGGAAGCTATTTGGTGCTGACGTCGTCGGCGCCGCCGAGCTCGCGGTCGAGGTCATGATGGTCAAGCTGGCGCTGCGCATCGTGCCGTATCTGTCGGGCTACTCGCACGTGCAGACGAATCCCAAGTATGCGTACGATCAGGGCAAGACTGTCGAGAATGCGAGACGTGAGTAGTTGACCTTACTCGCTTGCACTTGGGTTGCCACACTCGAGCAACTGAGCACATGCTGACGTACAAAAATCCCCTCTGCAAAAGGCATAATCGAGATCTTCAAGCTCCTGGACCCGTCCTACGACGCGCAGAACCGCGTGTGCATAAAGATCCCCGCGACGTGGGAGGGCATGCAGGCGTGTCGTGAGCTCGAGTCGCCCTCTAGCAGCAGTGGCGAGGTGAGAATTGCCACGCTCGCGACGACCATGTTCTGCAAGGAACAGGCCCTGCTGGCCGCGCATGTCGGGTGTACTTATATCGCGCCGTACATCAATGAGCTGAGGGTGCACTTTGATCCTGGGTGAGTCTCTTCTTTCCTCCCATATGGGAGGTGTAGGCGCCTAGGGCTGGTGTGCTGGGTCCTGAGCTCTGGCATAAGTTGCCTGTCTGGCTGGGGACTTTTCGTCCCTTTCGTACGCTGGTTGTCTCAGAGGTCCTCCTTCACTGTCCATGGCTCTCGTTGTCTATCTCGATTTTATAGTCTGGCTATTTCGCTGACAAGAAAACTAACCTGGGACAACAGCTTCGTCGACGAAGCCAAGGCATTCGCCTTCTCTGCCACGGCGCAGGCGTACTACGATGCCCACGCGGACACCATCAAGACCCGCTTGCTGCCCGCGAGCCTGACCTCGATCCAGGAGGTCATGATGCTCGCCGGGTCGCACCACATCACCGTCTCCCCGCCACTGCTGGCCAAGCTCGCCGAGACGCCCGCGGACCCGTGGGCGGACGCGGAGCTCACGGGCTCGGTGATGGGCACGAGCGAAGTGAAGCAGGCGGCTCAAGGATGGGGCACCAGCGAGGAGGACAAGGCCATTCTGAAGGATGAAGGGAAGTGGAAGGAGGCGTTTGCGAAGAGCATGGGCGGCAAGGCCCAGGCCAAGATTGTCCAGGCTGTGGAGATCTTTGGTGAGAAGCAGGAGGGGTTGGAGGAGATTGCGCGTTCGGTGGCGGGAGGTTGAGTCCGAATGTGAGGTCTAGCTTCTGTACACTTCGCCCTTCGATTCCACTCCCTGCGGATTATTGCAAGCTCGAACTTTGCAATTTTATGGCCGGACAGGTCGAAATGGACACGCCCTCTCAGCGCTCGCAGCCCACCGTGTCATCCACTCAACTGACTTTGCAGAGGACCCGCCACCGAACACTCTCGCGCAGCTCATTAACTTCATTAAGGAACCAGGCATAGGAGTGCCCGTGGAAACTGCTCGACGAGGACGTGGACCAATAGTCATCATGGATGGCGGTGGATGAATGTGTAGAAAGTGTCAATGCCGTAAAGTAGAGCAAAGGCGAGTAGCTCGGCCAGTGCAGCCTCGTCCTGTATGAAGTGCACTTCACAGAACCATATATGTGTGGCGGCGCGGGCAATGTTGTTGTAGATGAGATGCTGCAGGCCAAGTACTTAGGCATACATTTGTGCCGCGCGGGCCCGGAGCCGGCGACTCGGCCGGCGGGCCGGGGAAGGAGCGATGGGCCGCCGGCTTGGCCTGGCCTGGCTTCCGGGCACAAGTCATCCTCGTATGTAGCATCCATGATGCTCCTCGCCAGCCTCGACGCCAGAAGCCGGGGCTCTCTCTGACTGCCATTGGCTGTCATGCATCTGGGAGAAATACGTGGACCTGGACATGTGATGAACCACAACCACCCCTGCAACACCACGCTAGTACATCCTTGCCCGCCATCCTCACCTCGCCGGCTCTACCGATGTTCCCCTCATCACCTCTTCTTCCACAATGGGCAGCAACACGCTCTCGCTAGCTGAAGCCGCCGGCAACAGCGACGCAGACGACGAAGACTACTGCTGGACCCCTCTCCAGCTGGCTGCCAAGGAAGGCGACCTCGCCGCTGTCACCGCCATCCTTGCTCAACATGCCCAAGACTCGGTCGCCGACATAGTCAATGCCCCGCCTGTGGGCTACTACGGCCGCACCGCTCTCCAGGCAGCCTGCGAGTCTGGCCACGAGGCCATCGTAGCCGCCCTTCTCGCCGCCGGCGCCGCTGTCGATGCTCCCGGCGGGCACAACTCGGGCCGCACAGCCCTGCAGCTCGCCTGCCTGACGACGTCCACGGCCGCCATTCCGAACCTGCAGCAGCACTATGCCACCGAGCAGGAGCTGCGCGACCACCAGTCGGCCCGCCACCGGATCGTCGACATGCTCCTCGGTGCTGGTGCCGATATCAATACTCCCGCGAGCAAGTACTCTGGTCGGACCGCGCTGCAGGCTGCCTCGGAAGCCGGCGACCTACGGCTCGTCGAGAAGCTGCTTGGGCTAGGGGCTCATGTCAATGCTGGCCCGTCGACCACGCTGGGACTCACGGCTCTCCAGGCGGCAGCCGGCAGGGGGCATCTGGACGTCGTTAGGGCACTACTGACCGCGGGTGCAAATGTGAATGCTCCGGCTAGCAGATATCGGGGCTTCACTGCTCTACAAGGGGCATGTCTACACGGCGACAGCATGGAGCTCGTCGGGATGCTGCTGGAGGCGGGAGCAGATCCAGACCTGGGAGGAAGCAAGTTCCAGGGCGGCTCTGCTCTGCATGCGGCCGTCGAGGGCGGGAATATCGACATTGTGAAGGGGCTGCTCGCGGCTGGGGCAAGCGTCGATGTCACGGCTGGTGGTCTGCCAGGACAGACTCCACTGCAGAGTGCCATGCTCCTGCCCGACGGTGTGAGAGAGCCCATCGAGAGGGCACTGATCACTGCGGGAGCTGTTCCGGTATCAGGATTCAAGAGGCCGACACTGCTCTTCAGTGCTTCTCACAAAGATCTGAAGTCGCGTTGAGAGTAGTCTTGTTATGTGGAAATAAACACAGTGTCATTCATCAAATCCTCTCACGGTCGATTGGTGTAGTTGGTTATCACGTCAGTCTAACATCCCACGATGCGAACACTGAAGGTCGGCGGATCGAGCCCGCCATCGATCATATCTTTTGTTTCTGCCCCGGTCAAATGCTGGCATCTAAAATTGGGACGAATTCTGTTCTTTCCTTTCCTTGTCTTTTTTTTTGTCTTGCTCCCAAAAGTAGCTCGTTGGACGACAATGACATTGTGGGACTGTTTCGCGGCAAGTTGATCTCAGGGTTCATTAATGTTGCATTGAACATTTTGCTTTCATGAGAAATCTACAGCCCACCCGGCCGCTGCTCGCAAAACATTGCACGGCTGTCAGTCTATGTTATGACGTGCAAGTATGAATACCACGAGACAGAAGCCATTGCTTGAAGAAATATGGACATTGCCTGTGGCGAAGACTCCGAGCTCCGAGTACGACTGGTGTTAGAACCGCCATAGTCACACATCAGGCTGCGGAAGCATTGCTCTTCGATCTTTAAATATGCTTGCCAACATAGCAAGATCACTGTGAGGTCATTCCAGCGGCCTCGGCGACGGTGTCAACGTGACGAAGCGCCGTCACGGACATGCATTTATGCAGCACAGATGCAAAAGCGGGGCATTGGCCCGAAAACCGCCCACCTCGAACTTTCAAGAGCAAACCCGCCGCACGATGCTTCGCAGCTTTGCAACCTCGTCGAAAGCAACCCCCCGACAGCACTGCACGATATCCAGGAGCGCTGCCCTGGCGACATGAGCTCCAGTCGCCAGTATGAGCTTACGGCCGCCCGGACTCCTGCGACTGCGTCCCCATGTCTTAGGTAGCCTGAGCTGCGTGTGCAGCGGCGGCAGCAGCGGCAGCACCAGCATCGCTGCACAGAGCCTCTTTTCGACGCCGGCAGCCGTGCCAGGCGCGTATCTGAGAGCAGCGACGCCCCTTACGCCACGCAGGCCATTCTCACAATGCCTGGTCCTCCGTAGCGATGTTGCAGATCCTTCGGGCCAGGACCACCCGGCCGCCTCCCGGCTCAAGAGCGGCTACTTCCTCTCCAACAGTTTCCAGCCGACAGGCCTTAAGAAGGAAGCGTCCTCGACACCGACGACGACGACGCCAGCAGGAGCCTCGCATTCGACAGCAGACCTACTCCCGCACAGACGACGAGCAGCCGCGAGACGCAAGGCCGCCGCCGAATCCTCCCCTTCGGGGGCTGCATCATCACCAACACCTCCAACACCACCACCACCACCCGGAGGCTCATCGCCACCACCGGATGCCAACGATGTCCTCCCCACACAAGACGCCTCGTCGTCCCTCACGACCGCCGCCGCGAAGCAGAGCAGCAACTCGATCCGGCGGCAGCTCTCGCTGTTCATGGCCCTCTCGAAGCCGCGCCTGACGGTGCTCGTCGTGCTCACCTCGTCGGCGACGTACGCGCTCTACCCGGTGCCGGCCTTCCTCTCGCCCGCGATCGGCCTCGCCGACACGCCCTCGCTGTCCCCGCTGACGCTCCTCTTCCTGACCACGGGCACGGCGCTGTGCTCGGCCAGCGCCAACGCGCTCAACATGCTCTACGAGCCCGACACGGACTCGAAAATGTCGCGCACCCGCAACCGGCCCTTGGTCCGGGGCCTGCTCTCGACCCGCCGCGCCTGGCTCTTCGCGGCCGCCGCGGGCGTCGCGGGCGTCGGCGCGCTCTGGTTCGGCGTCAACCCGACCGTCGCGTTCCTCGGCTTCGCCAACATTGCCATCTACGCGGGGATGTACACGCCCATGAAACGCCTGTCCTGGCTAAACACCTGGGTGGGCGCCGTGGTCGGCGGGATCCCACCCCTGATGGGCTGGGCCGCGGCCGCAGGCGAGTCCGCCACGGGCGACGGTTCCTTCCGGGAGCTGCTCTTCACGGCCGACGCCGCGGGCGGGTGGCTCATGGCGGCCCTGCTGTTCGCCTGGCAGTTCCCGCACTTCATGGCGCTCTCGTGGCCCATCCGCGACGAGTACAAGGCCGCGGGCCACCAGATGCTCGCGTGGATCGACCCGGCGCGCAACGCCCGCGTCGCCCTGCGCTACAGCATCGCCTTCCTACCCATCTGCATCGGCCTGTGCGCGGTGGGGGTCACAGAGTGGTCCTTTGCGGTCACGAGCCTGCCCGTGAACGCGTGGCTCATCCGCGAGGCAGTCCAGTTCTGGAAGTACGAGGGCCATAAAGGTAGCGCGAGGGGTCTGTTCTGGGCTAGCGTCTGGCATTTGCCTGTGCTCATGGTGCTCGCGCTCGCGCAGAAGAAGGGCATGTGGGGCCGCGTGTGGAGGAGTGTGGTGGGCGAGCCGGAGCTTGATGAGGATGATGAGTGGGAATACGAGGACGATGATGACGACGAGGGCGGCGATGGGGTGGCCGTCGGTGTGGACGGCCAGCCGGTGCAGCTGCACCACCACCATCATCACAGTCACCACCATCGAGACACTGCAGAGCAGGCCCGCACAAAAGTCGAGCAGGCTGCCAGAGCCATGGTCCCCGTCACGACAAAGACCGACACGAAGCAATAGTCACGGGGGGGACATCAAGGAAGGCAGACGGTGGGGAGTAAAGCCCAGCGTGCCAACACGAGGACAAAGCAGATAAACGCGATGTCTGGATGAAACCTCCGCCCGAAGGAAAGCCAGCTTTGCAACATGAACTCGCATAACAAGTATTGTACAAAATAATGTATCACAATCAAATAAGAGGGGGAAAGGTGCTTGGTTGTAGAAGCATGGGAACCAGCCGGGGGAGGTGAGCTGGGATCGATGGCGAGAATTGCCACCAAGGTACACTGTAAACAAAACCTCATTATCATCAGCAACCACAACGTCGACAATTTCTCTTTTACTTGTTCGTGTTCTCGTTCGAGGTCGACATTGTACATAGTCGAGTAACGTTGGTCGGGACTATCAAAAGAACCAGGTGTGTTTGTTGCTGTTGCTGTTGCTGTTGCTGTTGCTGTTGCTGTTGCTGTTGCCTTCGTACACTGTCATAATATCAGTGCACCCTTTACAGCGAGGTAATCTGCATATGCATTCAACGACGCCTCTTCGCAACGCTTCAGGCCCAAAAGGAGGTCAAAATCGAAACAAGGAAATCCATGTAGTCATTCATTATATAAAACCCCAAACGCCCGTGTAAATGCCACAAAGAACAAAAGCTAGCTAACAGCCACGAGTGGAAGAAAGAACAGCGGTTGGCTCCCAACCACAATCGAGAAAAATAAAAATAAAGCCGTGGGAAATGAAAAAGAATGTGAGGCTCTTGCCACCTTCATAACAAAAGAGAAAGAGTTGAATCACATGCCGCTACCCCCGTGATGCATACGATGATGCCCTGGCCTGTTGATGATGGACTCGATGCCCATGTCGGCACTGGAAAGGCGCTGCTGCCTGCTGCTGCCGCCGCCGCCGGTCGCCATGTAAGTTGCGCCATTGTCATGTGTGGAATACGTGATGGCCGGGTTGGACGAGTGCGTCGAGCTGTAGCTGGACGACATGGCGGCGCCGCCGCCTGCGCTTCCCGTGTAGGCGTGATGCGGGTAGGCGTGCATGGGCATGTGCGACTGGTGCAGGGAAATGCCGTACGAGTTTGCGTGTTGGGGGTGCTGGTGGTGGTGGTGGCCGCCGAGGCTCGAGGCGCTGCTGCTGGTGGTGCTTCCGCCGTGGTGGCTGCCGCTCGAGTGGGAGCTCGCGGCGGGACTGCTGTAGGACAGGTCCAGGTCATCTATGGGAGTCAGACCAATGCCCGAAATGCCGCTGTCGTCGTCGTCATACCCATGGATGCCGGACTGGCCTGATTCTAGCCGCTCGCGGCGGGACGCCGAGCGCGAGGCTGACTGGAGGTTCTTGAGTCCGTTGGTCATGCACTGCAAGGCGGGAGGGAAGAGGTTCATGTTAGCAAGGTTTTCTGTTTTGACATGAAAGATGACTGGGAGACTCACCATTTGCTCGACAACATTCCATCGCTCTCCAGTCTTGGCTGCAAGACCCTGCCAGATCTCCTTGCGCATGCTCATGTACTCTTTGGCAAGCTGCTCCAGCCGTCGCTGATCCCAGTCGTCGGCGCCTTTGCGCTCCATCAGACGCTCGTGGCGCTTGCGGCAGGCATTGGGCGACTTGTTGGGGAAGTAGTTGATGTGGATCTGGGACCAGTTGAGGCCCTGCTGCCGAGCACCAAGAAGGTTCTGGTCGTCGAGCGGTGTCCAGGCACCCGAGGAGGCCCGGTGGGGCATGGGAGGCTGAGAGACGGGCAGAGCGGCCGAGTATGAGTCGTAGTCTTCGGTCGTCAAAGACGGCTGCGTGGCCGTCGTTGAGGACATGGTGGGATAGTAGGCGGCCGTACTCATGGGCATCGTCACACGGGAGTTGTTGTAGATGGGCAGCGGCGCTGTGGGGGCCAGGGAGACAGGCATCGAGTTTGTATATCTGCTATGGGCCTGGCTGGAGGAGCGAGTGTGCTTTGGCATGTTCATGGAGAACTGTTTGTCGGATGCAAAGTCTGGCGTGGTATTGGAGGCAGACAATTACGATTAGGAGCCGTCGTAAAGCGGTTGGCTTGAGCTTGTCGAGTTGACAGAGGGCGGTTCAAGCAAGTCGGTATGTTTTTTCCTGAAGCCTCGCCTGGAGGGACGGTGGTACCAGCAGGATATTGGATTGCGTGTCTCGAGGCCGGAAAGGGTACGGGGCTTGGCTTGACTGCCTCGTGTCAAACGAACGGCAAAGGAACAGTGGCCGGGGCCTGTAACAAAGGCGAGAGGAAGAGATGGAGAGGGGTATGGAGACGAAAGTAGAACCCGTAAAACAGAGGAGAACTTGAGACGACCTAAGGAAAAGACGATAGGAAATCGACACAAGGAAAGGAAAGGAAAAGAGGAAGGAAAAAATGAAATGGTAGGTTGTCAGGGAAGCATGAGGATCTGAGGGGCAAAAGGGACTGTCTGAGATGAAGCCAGAACGACGGCCAGGCCGCTCTTATATACGACCTGGGCTGCCGGCGATCGAGTGGCTCTCGGGCGACGAGAGGATGTAGCAGTGGCCGCCCAAGACGGATGGCATCGCGCATGCACATCTGAAACGGAGCCACGCGAAGCGCTTCGCAGGCTGGGCATGGGCAAGCAAATGCCAGAATGGGCATGTCGAGGAGCCCTTTTGGGAAGGGCAGGGGCAGCAGCATCGGCGGCGGATGATGAAACGAGCACGGCGTGTCTGGAGTGCCAGCAGGGACGCGGAAATGAGGCCGTGCTACTGGCTGGCGGGCATCTCGACGGCGTCTGTATCAGGACTGGGCGCCTACACTGTCCGTCGAGACGGGCAGCACGTCGGCAACGCTGGCGATACTGGCGGCTAACCAGGTGTCAGTCATGCCTGGAAGCGGCAAGGCGTGGGTAAGGGGGGCCGGTCGTAAATCCGGCAGGGCGGATCCCAGGAATAGCTGGGCGCGTTGATGGGGAGTCGGTGTCAGTAGGCGCCAGATGGAGATGCAGGGGCAGGAATAAACAACGAGGGCAGGTGGAGCAGGTAACGAGATACAGTTGGGCGTCGCTTGAAATGGCATCGCAGGTTGCATTTGCGCGGTAGGGCCATACCTGCCTCAGGCAACCTGTCGACCAGATTCAGAATCCCAACTCATGCGTAGATGACGTCGAGCAGTGGACGAGGAAGTCGCTCCCGAGGGACACGAGAAAGCAGTTCCCATGAATTTGTTCCTGCCAAACAAGCCCGCCTTCTTCCCCCTTCCGCTCGCAGTCACTCTCCACTACCAGAATCGCACCTGAGATCAAAGAAATTACAACCAAGCAAGATCAGGGAAGGGTACGATACAACAGCCAGCCAGACCTCTCCCACGAAAGCGAAGTCGTACCAGCGCCCCCCACCCACTGTGCAATGTGATTGGCCAGTGCGAAATAGATGAGAGGACCTTTCCACAGCCGAGGCGCGCGTCTACACCAGTGCGCTACACCACAACAGGCCTAGTTCACTCTTTTTCCTTGTCGTACACAAGGGGACAAGCAAGTAGAGACCCCACTTACAGGGCAGCCCCCTGGCCCTTGATCGTCATGTACATATATCCGTCGGCGGCAAATCACCAATTGTATGGCTGGCCGGCGCGCACAACATTCGATCCTGACCCGAGTATTGAGTACATAGCTTGAAAGCAGGAGGCACACTGACGCCGGACATTAGAGCTGCGTAACCTGAAACAGCAATGAATGCATACCTACATGCATACCTACATGCATGCACGCATGCATGTCCCACAAAGCCGACATGTGGGCATGACCAAATGAAGAAGAAAAAAAGGCTGCCATAAAGTATCAGATTGAAGCAGTACATACATACACAGTACGACTGTGTTCGAGGGAAATGAGAAACCAATATTCATCTGAAACGCCTGTGCTTGCTGCTAGTAAAGCCCCCCTCAAACTCCTGCACATCCCCTCTCCCGCAACTCGCCAATTGTGCACAAGCTGTGTGCCTTTGGGAGATAGAGAGACGGCAGAAAGAAAAAACCAAAGAGTGAACGCCGAAAAGTAGAAGAGCAAAGACGAACCACGGGAAAATCTGCTGCTCAAACTCAGTGGGAGCTGGGTTTGCTCCAGCGAGTGTTCCCGAGTTCTCACTTCTTCCCCGTCGCCGCCGAGTCAGGCGCAGACGCTGTGGACGTTGGTGGAGGAGGACACGGCTTCTCTGCGGTGCCGCAATCAAAGTCGACTCTGTGCCACGCCGTCGCAAGGTTGCCGCGGAGGTTATATATGCTCTGGTGGGTCTCGGGCTGCGTGTTGTACACTTCGTCCGTGGCCTTGACGACAAAAGTCGTCTTCTTCTCCTTGCCGTTCCCCGCTTCCTCCTCTGGAACCTCGGGTAAAGCGCCTTCGTACTGCCAGCGCTTCCAGCACCACGCCTTGCTCCCCTGCTCGAGCTTCTTGTCGTTGATGAGGCGGGCCTGATCCCACGTCTTGCCGCCGTCCAGGCTCACATCAACGCGCTGAATCTCGCGTCCACCTCCAGAGTACGCGTACCCTTCGAGCTGCACGATCTGACCCGCCATGGACTCGACGCTGGGCGCTGCCGTGATGCTGCTGCCCTTGCCGGCAGGAAAAGGCACGCTGGGGTTCGGGACGACGGTGCGAATCAGCCGCGTCCGCGTGATCGCGCTCGTGATGGGCATCTCCTGGATCGACTTGTACTTGTCCCAGTCCTGCGTCGTCTCATTCGGGCCGAAGCACTTGTAGTCCCTGCGCTGCCACTGCGTTTGCGACTCTTCGTCGCTCACGACAATCTTGTTGACCCATTTGACCGCGCGCGCAGCCACGTGGCCCGGCACGATGACACGCACGGGGAAGCCGTGATCGCGCGGCAGAGGCATGTCGTTCATGCGGAAGGCGAGGAGGACATCGCCGCGCGGGTCGATGGCCGAGGAGACCGGGATGCTGGCGCCGTAGGCCTCGAGGCCAGTAAATTGGACATGCTGGGCATCCTCGCCGGGGTCTGCGAGGGACAGCCCCGCGTCTGCGAGCACGTCGCGGAGACGCACGCCCTCCCACTTCGCACAGCTTATGGCACCGACCGTCCACTGGAGACCATTCGTCTTCTTGGCATGATCGGTCATGTCCTTGCGCCGGTTGCCCGAGCACTGCAGGACGGCGGAGATGGTGTACTGCTTGAAGCGCTTCTTGAGCTCGCCGACGGTGTAGGTCCGGGTCTCGCCGTCGGGCAGCTCGATCGAGATGGTGTGGTTGTCCGCAGTGGCGTCCTCGACAACGGGCACCCACATGTGGTTGCGCACGTAGAAGACCTCGTTGGGCGTGAGGAACGACTCTGCCAGCTCGGAGCCAGGCGTCTCGGCATTGCAGGGCTTGTCGGTGATGAAGCGCATCCGCTCGTCTCTGTCTGGGTCGGTGCGGAACGGATCCTCGATCTGGTCCTGCGCCGGCCGCCCATCGACCAAGTCGTCCGGATGTATCCTGCCGACCACATACTGCTCGAGGATCTCGCGGACGTAGGGAGTCTTGTGTATCGAAAAGATGTCCCAGTAGGGCTCGATGGCGCCGCCGGCGGCTCGCAGGATGACCTCACCACCCGGGTGCGCACCAACCCATTCGGTGATGTCGTATACCTTGTCTTCGTACGTCACCCAGGGCCGTTCAGACTGGGGGCCGTGTTCTTTCACCTCCGAGAGGCGGTACCGTGGCAAGCCGTCCGTGTTGTCGTTGGGCGCTTCAGCATCGGGGAGAGGCAAGTCGTCGTCGGGCACGTCCAGGACGGACGGTTGCTGGGCTGCCGGCTGGGAGAAGGCAAGCGCGAGGCCTAGGCCAAAGACACCACCGCCGGCCGCGAGCACCGGCAATGGCTGAAAGCGGCGTGCATGTTCAGCTGGGCCGCTCGAGCCGGGCTGTGGCCGCGTGGGCCGGAGTCTTGCGTCGCGGAAGGCGGCGCGGACGCTGAAGGGTCGTGAGGAGTGGCAGCATGTCTGTGTCGGTGGTCGGGTTGCTGGCAGGAGCGAGGGAGGCGATGGTTTGAGGTGCCGGGCGCTGCGCTGGAGGAGCTGGCAGGCGAGGCGGCGGGAGACTGGCGCCGACATGGCGGGCCCGGGCGTTGTTTCGTTTCACGAGGCGAGGCTGCTCTGGTTGGGGTCGTAGGGCTGCGTGGGGGGATCAGAGTTGGAGACGGTCTGCAGCTCAGGGCCATGGCCTGTCGGGGCTGCAATACGTCAGAGTCGGCGGCCCAGGCGTGAAGGGCGGAAATGTTCGTGGTGGTGGCGGTGATGAAGATTGCCGCCGTGGTTCCTGTCGATGAGGAGATGAGTGATTGACCGGTCTAGCTCTTAAGTTTTGCAGCCCGGCGTGCGGCGTGTTTCTCTTTGTCAACAAGGGCGGCTTCGGACGGCTTTGGGGCGGCGTGGCACACAGGGGGGAGTCACTGCCCAGTGGCTCGTGACTGGCTCTCCAACAGGGCTCTCTCTCTCTTGCAGGGCGCTCTCTCCCCAAGGGAAACTCGCTGCGGCCAAGCCAGCCAATTACGAGATGACAATCCCCGATAACGCAGGCCGGGAAATTCAGCCAATTGTCTCTGGGGGACTTTGCTCGTCACCGCAACTTTCTGGCAGCAGCAGCAGCACCGGTGAGCCTGGTGATCGATGGGCAGACTGGTTCTTCTTCTGACGAGTTCCCTGGGTCAACGAACGGGGCCGGATCCAGGGTCGTCGTTGGCTCCACTAGTCGACGTTCTCTGGCAGCTGTGTCCCACAAGGGCACCAAGGTTCTCGTATTGCTGACAAGCACAGAGTGCCGTAGGCCGGACGCAGGACACTGGACACTTGGAAACAAAAGGTGGCCACGAAAAAGACAGCGGCAGTTCCAGTCAGTCATGAAAGACGCTGCCGGTCAGAGATTGTTGTCGTCGCTGCGTATAAGTGTGTTGGTTGGCCGGAGAAATTATCGGATCCGGGACTTCACTTTGGGACTGGGCTTCCCCAGAGTCATCGGGCGTCGGGACCAGAAACAGAAGATAAGGACGCTCTGGCTCAGTTCAACGGGAGAAGGGGGACCGACCGCCATAAAAGCATCGAGGTTATCACCAGAAACCCCGACGCAAGGGGGGCGGGCGAGGACGTGCCTTAAGTACCTACCTAGGTAAGTATGTGCCTTGCCTCTTTGTGTCACGGTATCGGGGCTTGGGTCCACGACTGAACATCTGCTTACTTTGACCAATGTGCCTGCCCAAGCCTGGGCCGTGTCTGTATCATCAGGCTACTTACCCAATCCAGCCGATTCAGCCAAGGCCCATGCCAATCAGTCACCATGGCCAGTTACTGTCCCGGCCTGCCCATACGTAATCCGGTGCGCGGAGTACAGGGCGGTGGACCCCGGTGCCTCGTCCTCGCTCGAATTAGCCCCTGCAGACCCCTGGCTGTCACTGGGCCATGTGAGGACAAGACCGCGAGGCACGCACCGCTAGCCATCTCGTTTGGTTCAAAGTTTGCCAACCTTTCGGGTCCAGCTGACCTCGATTGTTTCGGGGACTGCTTCCGCTAGTTTTCTGTGCGTGTTTTCCCCGTCCATTGTCATATCTCTTGATCCCCATCTTTGGGTACCTCTGTACGTTAGCACGCGGATACCAAAAAGTCGGGGTCGGCTCCGACTCCGGCCCAAGACTGAACACTTTGTATCGTTGTCCACGCCTCCTCCCAGACACAATCGCAAACACAGCAAACCTGATTTCCCGATCTCCTCCCAACACCCCCAGAGCTCAATATTAATGGGGAGCGCGGGCTCGTCGGGCTCAAATGCGACGACTAGACCACCACTTCGTGCGCGCATTGGAGAGCATTCATTCAGTCGGGTGGAGCTCCGCCATCTCACCCACTCACTAGGTAGCAGGTTCAACCCTGAACTTGCACTAATTACCAAAATACACAGCGAGGCCAGGGAAGGGGGGGGGCCCCAACGGGGTCCTAATGTCGTAGTAAAACAACATCAAAACGCAATTATCAGCCTGGCACGCGTGCTCGTAATTACCGTCTCGTCATTTTTTTTTCCGCCCGCAGAAAGCTTCACACTTGGGAAGGGAGTCCATCTGCTTTTGCTGGCTGGTGGAATGCTTGGAAGAAAGGGGGGGCTTGGGAGGAGCCCCACACTTCTGAGCCCTCCGTCGTGGTCGTCGTAGTAAGACAGTCACATCTCGCCATACAACTGCATGATGACGAGAGAACTAGAAAATTACAAGCACTTCGTACCGGTGGTAATCAGCCACGTTACGATACTGGAATCACGCGGGCGCTGCACAAATGTGCCAAGCAGCTTGCTCTCCACACAAAGGCATGGCCGAGTGATCATCTATTGTGGTACAGTGAATCGAACATCTCTATCTGCAGTGCAGAGATATGTATGTCTTCTTCATGGCAATACACCTTGTAGCATTTCTAGTTGTCGTCATCGTCGTCCTCATCCTCGCCATCCGTGTAGTATTCAAAGTCGCGGGGAGCGGGCGCCTCTTCGTCGTCCTCCTCGTCCTCGTCCACAGCCGTGAGGACCCCAGCGGCTGCCGCAGCCCCAGTGAGTCCTTGCAGCTGGCGCATCAGGGACTCTGCTGTCGGATCCATGTTGCCACCGCGCCGGGTATTAGCTGGAGTGGAAACAGGTGCTCTCTCGATCGTGACCTTTTTCAGCTTCTCCTCAATCAGAGCCTTCTGCTTGCCAGGTTCGCTGTCGCGAAGCAGCAGGTGACCGCCTGTGGGTAGAGGCCCAGGTCGGACAAGCTTGACTGGCCAGTACCGACCCTTGGGGACACTGATGTACTTGAGCTGGCTGGGAAGCACGCGTGTCATGTTGTCAACCTCGTAGCCAGCCTTCTCCTTCTCCGCCTTCTTCTTGCCGTCGGCTGGAGGAGCTGAAGCTTCCCTCTCATCCGCGTCACCCTCCTTCTTCTCCTTGTCGTCTGAAGTCTTCGGCTTGTCCTCTTCAATGTCCATCTTGTCACCAGCGGAGGGCTTCGTCGTGGTCGGGGTTGTGGTTGAGTCAATGTCCATGCTCTCGCGGCGCTGTGCACGCTCCTTCTTCTGGGCGCGACGCTTAGCTTGCGCAGTTGTCGACAGTATGGCCGTGGCAATAGCAGCAGGGCCCTCTTCAGTCTTGACCTCTTGCTCAGGGGGGTAGTCAAAGAGGCTCGGCTTGCTGGCGCAATGGAATTTCATGTCGATGATGTCCAGGTCGTGGTCGAGAGCGATGATCGAGGTTGGGCTGAAAGCCAGCGACAGGAAGTGGGTGAACGGGAACCAGTACCAGTACTGCGTAAACACTGCCATGCCGACGATACCAGCCATGTTCAAATTGCCAGTCTGGGTTTGCAAGCCGATGGTGCAGTTCCGCCCACCAGCGTCTATGATGCCCAGGGCAAGAGCGGCACCGAACTTGGTCATGGCATCCTCATGACGATCACCGACAACCTTCTTCAGGGTCTTACGGATCGAGGCGACCTTTGGATTCATAACCTCGTTCTGCTGAATCATGATCATGGCCAAGGAGATCAAGGCACCTTGGCGGACGAAATCTGTGGGATCCTTCATCATTGGTTCCAAGAGGTCAATGGCCTCATCAAGACCAGTGCCCGCGCAGGAGATACCAAGAGCCATGGCAGAGCCGTATCGGACGTGAGGGTTGTATGACTCGGAAAGCAGCTCAACCATGCGAGGCACGCTACCAGGCTTGCGGAAGAGGATGAAACCCAAGCTCATGACCGCGATACGGCGTACATCGTCGTTGACATCGCTAACGGCGGTGTGTAGCAGCTTGCGAATTGCCTTGTTGCTGCCTGTGCCGCAGTAGGCCATGGCAACCGTCATGATTCCGCCGTAGCGGAGCGTCGGATCCGGATCGTTAAGAAGCCCCTCAATCATGACGTCGGCATCCTCCTGTCGGCCATACATGATCAACGCCATTCCGAGGGCGAGACCACGGACACTCTTCTCGTGCGTGGTCTCGTGGGCATATGTGACCATGTCTTCGAGCGCTTTGACATTGCCTGTGCCCAGCATGATCAGACCCATGGCAAGACCGACGGCCTCGCCGTTCAGGGCGGAGTCTGCAAAGAGCACAGTCTTGAGATTCTCAAAGATCTCCTCGTTGCCACTGGCCATGCCAGCCAGACCGAGACCAAGTGCGCCACCGTGCTGGATGACTTCCTCTTCGGCAGCGGTGAACTGTGTCTTGAGATAGTCCAGCGCACCAGCACCGTGATTGGCGTGGATGAGACCGTAGGCGTACAGAGCACCACCCTGGGAGTACGGCGAGCCGCTGCTGATGCCACCAGTGCCTCTTGGGAGGTACGGCTCAAGCAGTTTGCGCGACTGCGACAAGTTGCCACGGTGGATGACGCCGAGTGCGGCAGTGGCAGTAAACTTGGACCAGTTGATGGCCTTGCCCAGCCACTCCAGGTTGTCGCGGAAGAACTTGTCGTTAGTAGTGCCTTGGTTCATGAACGCGTTGCAGAACGTGACGGCGGTGTGGAAGATCGAGTTCCGGCCTTCGAGGCTCTCCCTGACCTTGTTCAGAATGCTCAGGTCTGTGCGGTTGTTGCGGTACAGGAACTCGAGATTCAGCTTGATAGTCTTGGTGCCGTCAAGAATAGACTGGATGTTCTTGTACACTTCGGCGGTCTTCTCGTCAAGCTCCTCTTCGTCATCAGACGCATCCTCGAGTAGGGGCTCGGACTCGCCTTCGCCAGATGGCTTGGCGGCGGACGATGCTGGTGGCTTGGGCAGGTCTGCAATCACTTTGCCGAGGAACTCTTGGGTTCCGTTGTCGTAAAGGTCGAATGCAAACTGGTATGCGATGGCGGTAGAGTTGACAGACTCTGTCTCAACAAGATGCTTGAGGACCTTGCCCGCCTCTTCGTCCTTGTTGAGGTACACGATGCATTTCGCGATTGAGAAGTAATCCGGCTCCTTGGCCCGGCCGCTGGTCAGGATACTCAGAATCAACTGGAGGATCTCGTCGCGGAAAGCACGCTCCTGGACAATGTCAAGACATATGCTCAGGCAGTAATCCATCAACTCCTCGGCGGGACCAAGGCTCTCCTCCTGAGCACCGGCGGTCTTGGACTTCTGGTGGCTGTCATCAGCGCGCTGGATGACCTTGCTCACGACATCGAGCCGCTTGGCCTCCACAGCAATACCGACGACCTGCTTGTATTTGCCTTCACGGAGGCAAGTTTCATACAGGCGCTCGATGATGTTGTCGATGGCACGGCGCGTGTCAAGCTCGTTGTGCGTCAGTGCGATTGACGAGGATCGGTGCTGCTTCCGCGGTGCTTCAAATGAGGGGTCTAGGATAGTGTTGTCGGTAGACTGGCGGGACAGAAGCGACTTGGACGGCAGGGTCGATTGAGAAAAGGGTGTGGTGGGCGACATGAGAGCATTGGCATTGCCATCGTTTGAACCGCTGGCGAATGCGGTAGCAAGCGCGGGTAGCGAGTCCTTGGCGTCCTTGCCATCGCCGGCGTTCTTGTTGAGGACAGAGTGGTTCTCATTCTTTGCGGCAATGTAGTGGTCGACACACTTCGAAATGATCGTCTCTTCGAATTCGCCTGGAGTGTCGATCTTGAAGAGCTTGCCGGCAGCAAGGGCGAAGAACATGCTCTCATCATAGGCCTGCAGGTGGTAGTAGACCTTGGAGAGGACAAGCGCGGCGAGCTGTCGCTCGGGGAAGGACTCGTCTTCGTAGAGAGCCTCGCTAGTTTGTGTCGTTAGTCATGACGATTGCAGAGAGCAAAGGGGAAGCCGCAACAACGATGCGGGCGAGGAGAACGCACATCTGTCCGAGGGCGCCAGCAACCTCAGTCCAGACGGTATCAATGTCGTCGTTGAGGGTTTGCAATGCAAAGACCTTCAGCTCGGGCTCATCGTCGGCCAGGAAGGCCAGCACACCCGTTGCCGTGACGAGACCAGGCATGGTTGCGAGCCGGGGGAAGGGTTGTTCCGGGGTTGCTGGCTCGGTGTCGAGGTGCCCGACGTCTCGAGGGTCTTTTCGGGGATGTGGTGTGTGCAAGAGAGATGGTGCTGGACCCGTGTATGCACCGAGGTGTTTGTGATGGGGGACGGGAAGGTGCTGTGGATGTTTGATGATGGCAATGGAAGCTTGCGTGCACCTCTGGAGCTGAGCTTGGAGGGGCGGCCGGCAGTCCCAGCGATGACCACGTCAGGCACGCTCTGCCTGGGACCGGCGACGACTCGTGGCGGGGTGGCTCGTGCGCGCCAGCTCGATGCGGCTCAACTCGAGTGCTCATGCTCATGCTCAACCACCGGCACCAAGGCTGGCCTCGGGCGCCACCGAGTCTCAGGTGCAACCTTTCCTCAAGCAGTTTGAAAGGACAGGACAGACTAGACTCCTTGCTCTGCTGATCTGCACGTGTGGACTTGAGCCGTTTGAGCATGCAGGCCCATGAAGTGAAGAAGCTGACTGTCCACAACACGCTCTGCCTGGAGATACTAGCAACAGAATGAACAGCAACAACGGCTACGTGAGCCGCAGGCTGAATTAACAGCCATGGAGCGAGTGGTTCCGCGAGGAGCAGTCATGTTAAGCTCAACTTGCATGCTACTCTAGGGGTCAGAGAAGGGCTTGGCTACTCGTGGCTGCAGCTGAAGCCTGACAAACAGGCGGCCTAGTTTCCCTCAATTTATGACTCGAAGCGCTTTAAAAAGACTTGCGGGCTGATGGGCGGTTATCCCCACGATTTCCTGTGACCAAAACCTAGCTGTTGGCTGCGGTGAGTCTCTGCGCTGTTGGAGAGACACCTGAGTTGTAGCCTTGCCGCCATTTGCGGACGAGGCTGTGCAGCGTCACCCTCCAGAGATCACCACCTCCTGGGTTGAACTAGCCCCTGCACGGTTTTTCGCGGTGTCCTCACGTCGTGGCCACCAACGCCTGCTCCATCCAAAGACGCGACATTCACTGACCGGCCGTCCGCCTGTCGCATAGATACCACCTTGCTCGAATCGACGTTCGTCGCAGCACCCTTCCTCGACACCACCGCCAGCCGTTACTGCCATCGCTCATCTGCCCTTGTCGTCAGGCTACCGAGACGCGCGCAAAGCTTCGAATCATCGATCACCGATTGTCGCGACCGAGAAATCCTGCTCGACGTCCCCGCAGCGCTCGCGCAACCGCTTCATTCTACTCCGTGAACGCTTGAGTCCCATAGTCTGGCCGCCTGATCGTAAGCGCGCGCCTTCCCAACCGCGAGATAGTGAAAGGACCAAAGTCCACCACTCCCGGGCGACATCTCTTGAGAGCTCCATCACAGGAAAGCCCACAACCTCCCGCGCGATCCCGAGAGGATGCAGCAATGGGCATCACAGCGTAATCGACTCTGATCAACTACTCACACCTGGACCGACCCGCCCGACATCTGGAGATTCGGCGAAGCAACTTCTACCCGCATCTCTTATCGTCCCGCCATTCATTGCCTCCATCGTCTTCTAGGTTTTGTCGCACGGGCAGTTCAATGTTGCGCCTCGAAGCAATTTGACTTCAAAATTGTCAAGCCCTGCACGGTCGATACCATCGGCGAAGCCAGAGCGCGTGCCAGCGAGCTCCGGGTCTGCGATAGACGCGCATTCGAAACATCCTCGGTGTCCTCCACCTTGACTTCAATATGGATTTGAGGGCGATGCTGAACACCGATGGTGGTGCTCAGCGCCAGTCTGCGGCATCACGACAACCGTCGCGCGCCTCGCAGCCTCCGCCACTTGCACCACACCAGTCTATTCAAGCTTCAGCGCCATCAGCGGCTCCAGCGACGCCGATCCAGAACGGACCACACCCCCATGCTTTCAGAGACTACAGCCATTCGACACACGCTTCGCCTGTGGCTCATCACGAATACCCCCCACAGACCACGCCAGGAGGGTCCAACTACGGCTCTCATGCTGGACCTCATGGCTCTCCGGGCGCCTACGCACCGACGCATGGGAGTTACCCGGGCAGACCACCTGTTCCGCCCCTACAAGCCCAGGGACCGCATGATGTGCGGTCGCCAGCAAATGGTCCCATGGCAGCGCCTTCACCGTATCGTGGCCCAAGCGGCGGCGCCCCGGGCTACCCATTCCCAGCGCAGCCGGCTCAACCTCCGCCAGCGAGTCCCGGGCAACGCAGCCAGTATGGTTCTCAGAGTAGCCACCCTCGCGATGGTTATCCAAGCGGCGGCCAGTATAGCCATGGTCCACACCAGCAGCCACCACAGTCGCCCACGATAGGCACCCCTGGCGTCGGAGGGCACGGCTATCTACCACAACAACATCAGAGATCTGTCTCGATCCAGTCGACACCGACACCGAGCTCAGCGCATGGTCAACAGCCGCCATACGGGGCTCCGTTCAATCAGGGCAGTCCGGCCGGCTCGAATCACCATCCTTCTCCACATCTTGAGCAACACCACCTACAGCACGTCCATCATCACCGTCAAACTTCGCAGCCCCCTACGCCGCTTGGGCCACCGCCGAGACAATCGCCAGCAATGACACATCAACAACCTCCGAGTCCTTTCCAACAACGCCAACCTTCGTTCCCACCACAACCGATCGCTCACGCCTCTCCTCAACCTCGCACAAATTCGACGCCACGGCTTGCCAACAACGCAATTGGGTACGACGCTGTGGCCGAGTCTCATCGCAGATCACAATCCCAGCAGTCCCGGGGCGAGCGGGAACATAGTATGAGCGTATCGCCGCGGACTCGCGTCTCTAGTATCCCCAGCAGCGCTGGCGGGCGGCACCCTTCGACCGGCAACGAGGCAGCCTCACTAGCACCTCACGCGCCTGGTCACGGTGCACTGTCCACCGGGACAAACGAAAAGCAGCCTACACGAGAGTCGACCCCTGCAAAGCGCAAGCTTGACGACCGAGACTTGCATCCAGAAGAGCTCCAAAATAATCGCCGGCCCCCACCGCCCGGCCAGGTGAATGGCCAGCACCACCCTCCACCCGGCCCAAAACACGACCCGTCCCCTTCGATACATCAACAACAACGGCCTACCACCACCCCAAGGGCTTCGGTGTCACCAGTCATGAGTCGACAGAAGAGGGTGCGCCACAGTACACCTCCACTGTGGGCATTGAGCTTTAAAGGAAGACCATTGAATGCCAGCCGCAATTTCTACCTCCGCAAACATGGCAAGCAGGCTGGACCTTCGAAGGCGGTGAACGGCGATGGGCACCAAGCTCCAAGTGCGCAACCACGGCACGCATCACGGCATCCTTCTCCTGAAGCAGCACGCGCTCCTGCCGTAAAGGCTGAGGACCCGGTTGCTGCAAGCGGTGGCAAGGATGCATCACGCATGTTTGAGGGCCAACCTTTCCCCTGGGAATACAGCATCGAGGGCACGAAACCCATCGAGACAGTTGCCAAAACCGTGGCAGACTTCATCTTTGTGCAGGTTATGAACAACCCCAACATTGAAGAGATCCGGAGTCGCGGTATTCCCTTCGAGATTGAGGCAAAGCTAGGCACCATCATCGATCGACAGACGAATGACCGGCTATACTTCCCCACGCCAGTTCTGGCGGGTGAGTGCATTCTTCAGGAAGGCTCTCGAGTCGCATTCCGCAGCTCCATGACAGATGTAAGTGTCTGGGCACTCTTTGGCTCACACCACCTGCCATTCCCCTTTTCCTCGTTGCTCATTCGCTAACCTTTGCATCTCATCTGTGTAGCAACAACATCAAGAGCTCAACCAATACCTCAATCAGCAAACGCAAGCCTCTCAAATGCACAAAGCTGCGAAAGCCGGCGGACGACTCCCGATCGATTACAAACACCGGAGAGAAAAAGACCGATTCTACGAGCTGCCCAACCAGATGTTTGCACGCCTCCCGCTGTGTGTGTCTGGCCTGCTCAACAACCGCGGCCCGCTTAAGGCCCGCGTCACGTATGACCAGACCACCGGCGAGGTCCTGGCCAAGATCATCAAGGCGCGGGTGGCGGACCTGCACATCTACATGCCGCACCTACCGCTCGACTGCCGCATCAGCATCAATCTTGAGTGGGAATGGGATGGGCCGGTGGAGGAGATCACGCAGAACCAGATTCCCAACAAGGAACGCCTGCCGGACCGCAACAAGGACCGCCTCAGCTACACGCACGGCTTCTACCAGGTCGATCTCACGCAGGTCACGCAGCAAGAGCTCCCCTCGTCGTCCAACTCACTGGCTGTGACCAAGCCGATTGCACCTAGCAAGGAGCACGAGCTCGAGATTGAGCTCGATGCTCGTGCGGTGCTGGAGCACTGCGGCCGCGCGAGGCAAGGCCTGCCGCACAAGTACCCCGAGCTGATTGACGGATTACTCGACAACATCCGGGTCCTGGCGCGGCGGTGTCCCGCAGACCCGCGGATGTAAATTTGGGCCCGCTCTCACGCGTTTCAAACCCTTCTTTTGTTTTCATTCCAGCTTGCTTGCCTGCTTGCTTTTGGCTGCTGCTACCACTGCCTTGGTTCTTTACACCATATATCCCGAGACGCTGTACCAAAAAGGTTGTCGCGAGCAGGACCACGAGATCGTTTTGAGAAAGGAAAACACTGGCTAGACCAATCCATGCACCACACGGCTACGGGAGAAGGGGAGAGTTTGGCTCTGGCACACATTCAGAAGAAAGATAACGACGGAGGCATCCCCTCCTTGTTCTCCGCTCAGATTTTAGTTGATGATATTCTTTTGGGGGCGTTGGGCGGCTCGGCTGGAAGGGTATTGGGGTAAGGGGGCTTGGGAGAGGAGTTTTTGTTTTGTTTTTCTTATCTTGCAAGCTGATGATGATATCCTTTGTCTGCATGCATGGTGTATATACCTCTTCTTCTTCTTCTTCGTTTTAAGAATAATTTGTATATTCTTCTCCTTGTCGAAATTTTGAGGTGTCTCTTTATGCATTTTAATTTGTCGCACTTTTGATGGGGAGGCTCCCCGAGGCGGTGCTTTTATGATGTGACAACTATGGCATTTCCGGTCATGCCGCTGGAATTTACTGGGGTGGTTATCTCAGGTAGGGTTTTTTTTTTCTCCCCCTTGCGAAACTTTTGCTGACAGAGTTCCGGGTGCCGGCAAGGAATTAAGATGGGACGAATCCATCAGGCGAAAAGGGGGTGGCAGCGGAACGCATGTTCCTGTTTCATCATCCCCTGAGGGTTCGCGCGCAGTGGACAAGTTTGGTTGTGTCAGAAATGCGCCGATGAAGCGTCGCGGGCTTGGTGTGGGTCTTTCTGCGTCGGCTGGCGGCGACAACCCGTGGCGGCGGCTGCTGTTACTCGGCAAGCTCGGAGTGCACAGGCATTGGGCACGGTGGTGGTGCTGACTGACTGACTGTGTCAGTCACCTTCGAGGATGTGGTCGCAATTCATTTCAGGAACTTTTTTCTTGAGTGTGTCATAACATGGCATGATTATTATTGTGCATCATTATATACTTTGTGTAGCGTCAAGCTGGATGCGCTTGTTTGGTGAAAGCTATTCAAACAGAAATCAAAAACCGGGTATTTTCCAGGACAGCGTGTGAAATCAGGACCTTGAACGCCTCCCCTGCCGTGACCCTGTTTCGTGTGTGTGTGTGTGTGTGTGTGTGTGTGTGTGATCATGGGAACCCCGTTTTAATGTGTGCATGCTCATGTCGTCGAGGTCGAGCGATTCCTAGGTAATGGGTATCATGTGCGGATTTCGTACCAGCCTCTCGGGATATGTAGTTCCAGCCCTGCATAGTCCAAACCCTGCGGACGGCACACAACGTGGAGGATGCGCCGCATCACTCTCGAGTTGCAGCCAACTGGGATCATCTCTGTGTACCGCATTGCTAGCTAAGCCGCTCAGACGCGCGAGCCGCCCTTGACACCGCGGTTGCGGAACGAGCCGAGGCCATCGATGACGGCGAGCGCGGTGAAGATGGCCCAGAGGAAGAAGCCAAAGGCAATGGCGGCTTTCGTGCTGCCGCAGACGTTGTTGCCGTTGCAGGATACGCTGGGGCCGTAGCGGACGGCGAGGGCGATGCTACCGGCGAACCAGAAGAGCGCGGTGAGGGCGTTGAGGCCGAACGAGACGAGCTTGTGGAAGATGCGGCTGGCCACGAGCGGGATGACGCCGACATAGATGAGCACGAGGATGGACCAGACTGAGTTGAAGACCATAAAGTTTACTGTCGGAGCGGCCCAGCCGAAGAAGAACCATTGCGCGGCTGTGTTGTTCACGAATGTAAGTACATGTGTGCCTGGGAGGGAGAGAGAGTGGGTGTTCGTGGTGATGGGCCTTTGGGTGTTCAGAGATGTCATACCATAGGCTGTAAGGCCAAGCTCAATAATGGCAAAGACAAAAGCGACCGCGTGGACGATGGTGAGGAGTTCGAACGCCATTGTGAATTTTGGTTTGAGTGAGGAAGTCGACCTGGGGTTTGGTTCTATGGCGAGAGGTCTGGGAGGTGTTAGAGACGGGCGAAGGGCGACAGGCTGTTATTAATAACTGGGCTGATCTGCTGTGTGCGTGAGGAATGTGTCGGATGCAAGCAGGGTTCAGGCAGGGTGCGGGAGCGGCAGCGAGGGGAGGGGGGTTTATATTGTGAGGATCCGGGGCCGCATAAGGCAAGGTTTGGTCACGGGCGTGTCCATGACGATGCCGTCAGGTGGACTTTTTCCGCGGGCCGGCTTGGCCCATCGCATCCAAGACAACCTTGGAAGACAGCTTGGATGGCGCCTGGATTGCGAGACGGGCGCAGTCGGCACTAGCGTGTGGCAGCCGTCATCGCAATGCTGGGCCATGACGTTTGGGCAGGGGTCGACCCTGGCACCCTGCTGCAAAGAGCGGCACTTGGACGCCGCCAGGGCGCCCTACCTAGCTGCCCCCCCTCTGCCTGGCTCTCGCAGTCGTCACCCCCAATCATGAGCACTCATCACAGCACACTTGCGGCACCACCTGCGTGCGCACTGCATTAGCTTTCCAGAGTCATAGCTGATGGCTCCAGCCTGGGCTCAAACAAGATTGGGATCTCCCGCGCTACCCTCAACCATCTCCAGCACGCCAGGCACCGTCCCAGTCAATCAATCTTGGATTCTTTTGTCGCCAGCGCACCCGCAAGAGGCCTCCTCGGTCCTATGGGCTACGGGCGACCTGTCTCTGCTTCTGTGCAGGCGTCTCATGAAACTCGATGGTGCCCTCAGCCACAGGCGGCGTCGTCATGTCCAAAGGGTCTGCGCAGGCACGCGCCTAGACGGTCCCGGCCCCATACGACATTGAAACCCTTTGTGCAAACCCTGCAGCTAAGAGACTTCTCTTCTGAATGACTGAGGCCCAAGCTGTGCAATGACGACATTGCCGCTCCTTCCCCGCGCGCGCACACGACCGGCCCAAGGGCAAGCTAAGCGTACGCTAAGTCATCATGTGGGGCAGTCTTCGATCTGTGTGGGCGTCTCTTCCCACGACCCACAACCACGCCATGCCGGTACCGCAACGTGAAAGCGCAAAGGGTTCGATGCCACACCACCGACAACCCCGCACGATCGTTTGATGCTGCCGGATCGGCCCGGACGTTGCTGCTGACGAGGTGTCGATTCCATCATTGTCATCCTCTCTGGTCTGGCCATGACTTGACTTGATACCCACCCACTGACGGATTCATCCAAATCACATCCAGAAGCCATGACGTCTCTTGAGCCGCTGCCTCTACCCAATGGCCTTCGCGAAGAGACCGTCGACTGCTCCCAGTCTTGTGGGCTTGTCTGGCATACTATCGTCGCTGGCCAGCGAGGCAAACCCCTCATTCTCTTCTGTCATGGCTTTCCCGAGCTCGCCTTCTCGTGGCGCAAGGTCCTGCCGCAGGTGGCCGACGCTGGCTTCTTCTGCGTTGCCATGGACCAGCGCGGCTATGGCCGAACCACGGGCTGGCCCAAACGCGAATTCCACGACGTTGCCTTGGCCGACTACACATATACTAATCTCGTCCGAGATCTTGTTTGTCTTGTCTATGGCCTCGGCTATACTGAAGCCTTCGGCATCGTCGGCCACGACTTTGGCGGCGTCAGCTCGGCCATGGCCGCCGTCATCCGGCCAGATGTGTTCAGGTCCACAGTGCAGCTCAGCCATCCTCACCACCCACCTCCCAGACCACAGATAGCCGGTGAGCCGGCGAAGGAGAAGGTTGACATACAGGCTGAACTAGCAAAGCTCGACCCGCCACAGAAGCACTACAAGTATTACAACTCAACCGCCGAGGCAGCATCGCATTGGGACAACCCTTCGCAGGGGCTTGAACGATTCCTCCGCGGCTACTTCCACCTGAAGTCGGCAGACTGGCCAGTGAATGCGCCGCAGCCTTTGGAGAGGTGGGCGGCTGAGGATCTGGCCCCGATGCCCGAGTATTACATCATGCAGAAGCAGCACTCCATGCCAGAGGCAATCCTTCACAATATGGAAGGCGAAGACTACGCAAAGACGGAGCGTTGGCTGTCTCCAGGCGACCTCCAGGTCTACTGTCGCGAGTGGCGTCGGACCGGCTTCCAGGGCGCCTTGAACTGGTACCGCTCGCAGACGGGGTCTGCGATGGAGTTGGCCAAGGACATGCTGTTGTTCGCAGGTCGTCGAATCGAGGTGCCCTGCATATTCATCAGCGGCAAGCAGGACTGGGGTAACTATCAGCAGCCCGGCGCCCTTGAGAGCTACGAGGACCCACAGACTGTCAAGCCGGGATGCTTCCGGGGGGTCCGACTAATTGATCATGCCGGGCATTGGGTGCAGCAGGAGCAGCCAGAAGCCGTTGTAAAAGAGCTGCTCTCATTCTTTGGCACATTGAAGGCAACGCCTGTCTGAGTGTCGTTGGTTCTGGTACCAGACTTTTGAAGGGGGTTGCTCCGGAGCTAGCCGGGCGCTCCCCGGCACCGGGTGTGGAGGAGCTGACCAATCACAATGCCGCTTGGGAGCACGCTGATGCTCAATATGTCGATATCTGCATGCGCTCGTCCTCGATATCTCACAGACTTGCTGAACTCATGAACAACCCCCTCAGCCGGCATTGTCCGACTCTCGAACAGTGAATAGAAGGATGAACTCTCATAACGGTCTGCATGGGCGAGAGTGGTCCACATGTGCATGGCGAGCTCTGCACCGTGGTGGAAGACAGAGGAGGCCCTATTCTGATCTGATCTACACATGCCGACAAGGCCATGATGGACAGCTGCTGCAATCGCCGTACCTACGGCCAGGCAGGGCGGAGATTGCACGATGCAGCTGTGCAGGGAAGTGACAAGGGCATTGACCGGGGCACGACTGCCGCGTTGTGACAGGGCGAAACGTGCGGTGGGCCAGCCACGTGCGCATGGCGATAGTAGAGACTGGCCCTCGCGACTTACTCCCATGGGCTGGTCTCGCAGCAAGCACTGCAGCCAGATTGTTGTTTTCCCCGCGAACAAGCACCCGCCGTTGGTTCCGCGCCACCTAGTAGCGCCGGCCTGCCTGATCGGGGCTGGCGAGGGCTCAGGAACACCCCGCCGCATGCCGCCATGGGTTCTCGCTCGTAGCCAGGCACCTATCCGCATCTCCTCCCGCGGGCCTGGTTCCCCGATAGGGTGTTGCATCGAGGATGCCCTGCAGCACTGCTTGGCAACCCAGCATGCCTGCAACCTCATGGCTTCTTATCCAGCTGGCATGCTCTGCCATCCGCTCCTCCCATTGGCCAATGCCAACACAGATATGCCTCGGCCGGCGACTTGACTCGAACATCGGACACAACAAGCTGGTTGCCAAGCCTGGTCCACCATCTTGGCATGCGTCCAGCTTCACTGAGCTCACCAACGGCCGGCTCATGGGCGTTTCTCATCATGAATAAGTATCGCCCGGGTTCCGCGTCGACCATGGCCGCCGATAAGGTTTCCCTCGCTCCCCAGCCTCTGCTCTGTGTCGACTCGTCCATCGGTTTCGGACCTTCTTGACTGGTCTTCCTCGATCTCGGTCGGCCTTCCTCCATCAAGCGTCAGTCATCATGCTGTTTAAGCCTGCCACCGTGGCCGCCGGCCTTCTCGCCTTGGCCCAGGTTGCCAGTGCCGCTCCTGCCCCGGCATCGCGCACCTGCAAGCCCAAGCGCAACGTCGAGCTCGGCCCGCGCCCCGAGTACCTCGTCAACGACATGGACGACTCCGACCTCAAGGACAAGCTGCTCTCGTGCCTGGAGAAGGAGGCAAAGCCCACCCGCTTCTCTGTCGGCCACCGCGGCGGCTCCGTCCTGCAGTTCCCCGAGGAGACAAAGGAGGCTTACGTTGCTGGCACCCGCATGGGCGCCGGCATCCAGGAGTGCGACTCGGCCTTCACCAAGGACAAGCAACTCGTCTGCCGTCACGCTCAGTGTAAGTCCAAGTCGAACGTCGCAGCAATTCGAGTCGAGTTGTGAAGGGAGGAGTCAGGAACGGGATGATCAGATCAAGACGAGGCTAACAGACACTCGATAGGCGACCTGCACACTACCACCAACATCCTGGTGACCGACTTGGCGTCCAAGTGCACGACTCCCTTTGAGCCGGCTGCCAACGGCAAACCCGCCAAGGCCAAGTGCTGCACCAGCGACATTACACTGGCCGAGTTCAAATCGCTCTGTGGCAAGATGGACGGCTTCAACGCCACGGCTACCACCCCCAGGCGTATCAGAACGGCGTCCCCACCTGGCGCACCGACCTGTACAACGCCCAGTGCGCCGAGGTGCTCTCCCACAAGGAGTTCATTGCCCTCGTCGACAGCCAGGGTCTTGACTTCACCACCGAGCTCAAGGCGCCTGAGGTCCCCATGCCCTTCGACGGCGACTACACCTACGACATGTACCGCCAGCAGCTCATCGACGACTACCGCGAGGCCGGCATCCCCCCAAGCCGGGTGTGGCCACAGTCGTTCGTATTCGCCGACATTGTCTACTGGCTTGCCAATGAGCCCGAGTTCGGCAAGCAGGCCGTCCTCCTCGACGACAGAGGCGAGACTGCCGAGCTCCTCCCCGGTGCCACCGCCAACCTGACCTTCTACAAGGAGTCTGGCGTCAAGTGGCTCGCCCCTCCCCTGCCTTACCTCATCAGCACCGACGAGAACGACAACTACATCCCCTCCGACTACGCGCTCAAGGCCATGGAGCTCGGCTTCGATATCATCACCTGGTCCCTCGAGCGCTCAGGGCCGCTCAAGCTCGCCGCCGCCCGCAAGGACTACTACTACCAGTACATGCTCGATGGCACCAAGAAGGACGGCGACATGTACGAGATGATTGACGTCATGGCCCGCCAGATTGGCATCAAGGGCATCTTCTCGGACTGGTCGGCCACTGTGACTTTTTACGCCAACTGCTTCAGCTTGTAGGCAGATTGGATGGTTCTATGCTGCAGTGTCGGGGGAAGGGAGATGATGCGGCACCGCTCAACCACGAGTTGTGAAGCAAGACCCTTGCATAGCTTCTGCTCGTGTAAGCAGGCAAGGTAGATGTTTTGTATAAAATATTTCTCGATATACACTACACTTAGCATCAATAATGTTATTACCTCTCTAAGAGGCGTTGGGAAATCAAGGAAACCACCATATATGGATTACTGCGCGTACAAACACATCGTCAGGCGCTTCACTATGCTCATGAGTTACTGCTGGGACTTGCTTAGGACACTTGTTTTCGCCAAGTGAGCGGATGAGAGAGACCCACGTAGATCTTCCTGGGCGAGGAGACACGAAATTGAATTCGTAGCTGCCTAGCTCGCATCCAGAAGCCACATGGCTGCCACCAATTACGTCCCAGTCTCTCCAGTCCCTCTAGTCTGATGGATAGGCTCGGTCACATGTATCGTGCCGTCCGAATCGCTATCATGTTTCAGGCGCTCTGTGGCTCCGCTGGCAGTCTTTCCGAGGGGCGCCAGCCGAACTGATTTCGGTGCTCACTAAGATATCGAGTTCGCTTCTCAGTTTGGAAATCTAATTGGGACTGTTGGATAACCGCCACAGATCATCTTGACGGATGACTAGGGCCTTCCCGAAAAGCCTCATGTCGAATGCCACGTTGCAACACCGTAGACCTGGCCCCAAGTAGCCGTGCAAATTATTAGACTTTCAACGAAACCTACCCTACTGGGCCGTTCTAGATCCGTTCCGCAGAGACCAGTGTGATATAAACCCCATTGCACAGTCCCCGTCCTGAAGCCTAGCCTACTTTTAATTGACTTGGCCACTTATGGCGTGCTATTCTTGGCGAGGACGGGCTAGTTCTACAGCATGTGTCTCAGGTCGGTGAGGCTCAAGGCTGCAGCCGCAGCTGATGCCACGGAAGCCTGGATACTCACTGCAAACCTTCTTTCACCTTTCGGTCGGCGGCGCAGAAATCTAGGCCGTTTCGTCAAGGGGCAAAAAATGTAGGTCCTTTTTTTTTTTTTTTTTCAAGACCTTAGCCATTATCAAAAGTAAGAAACCATCGGGCTTTGGTGGATGATCTATAAAAATGCAATGTTCGTACGCGAAACAGCAGTGTAGTTATGTGGTCATGACCTACTGAACTCTTTTCCTCCACCTCTGTACACGCATCCTGCAACGACCTACAGGCCACTGAAAAGATACAAAAAAAATAATACACCAGGATGTTGCCTTCCTTTCTCTTCGGCATTGCTGCGCTGAGCATGGCCGGGGCAGCAATGGCCAAGCCGGTGCTCTTGTCTGCTCGGATCGAGAGCCGCGCGGCAGAAGACGAGGCATCAGCGTAGAGCGACCTGCTTGCTCGCTACGACCCCGAGCTTCCAGCAAACGACACATTCAAACGGGACCTCCTCGGGTACCAACTGCCCCTCATCAGGGGGATGCGCGAGGAGGCCTACCAGTTCCTGGACAAAGTCAAGTCGCTGAACGGCACGACACCAGACTGGCCGACCTGGGGGACAAGATCGCGTGGGACCGGTGGAAGCACAACGCCAACCAGGACGCCAAGATTGCCCGGTTCTGGAGCTTCATCGACGACCGGCTCGAGGCGTACCGCTACCCCTTCAGCCGCCCGTATTATCAGTATGTCAGCGGCGTCGCGGCGAGGATCCCGAGGTTTCTCTCCAGCCGGCTCGCGGGGCGCTTCGATCGCATAGGGCCTGTCATCCCTGAGCTGCTTGCTGGTGACTGGACTTGGGTGGCGGAATCGTACGACGTGGTCATGGAGCTGTGCGCGGCTGCGGAGAGGGATAGTGTTGACTTCTATGCCGTTGGGAATCTTTAGCACTCGTGTTCGCCAAGTTCTAAGTGTCGCAGTACAATAATCTTTTTCCACCATAGGCAGAAAGATTGTCAGACATCTTCCGGAGTAGGGTTGAAAAAGGGTTACTGTTTATTTATTGTGCAATCGGATTCTTTTCGTGTCAATAAATTGAAAACAACTTTGAAGCTGAAAACAGGCAGCATGATCAATTCAGTGACAAAGCACTTCCCAGTCGTGTGCTCAGCAACACTGTAATTCACTCGATAAGCAACAAAATGAAAAGTCGCCTTGCAAAAGGCACGAAAATACGATTCTTCACTCAAGGTCCACCATTACAACCTGCCAATAATAATAAAGTACTAACTACCAGCGCCTAAGAATGCCATTCACATAAGGTGGCTCCTGAGAAGTAGTCACTGACTTAGCAAATTGCAACTACTTACTTGCCTGAGCCAATCCCGAGCGGGAGTCTCGTGTCATGCCAGCGTCAGAGTACATGGTAAGTGCCATGATCTCAACCGATGCAAAAGATGATCAGCTCGGGCCGGGAACACAACCTCGCTCACGCACAGGGTCCCCACGACCGATGACAGGCCTCCGCTTCCGGAACGCAGGGGTCGTGCGATCCGATTCGCTGCGGGACATTGCTCCAGGTTCCATACCCTTGCACGCTGCGGCAAGATCCTCCTCCTTACAGGCGGCAAGCCTGGACCTTAAGCATACACCACCCAACATTCTACCACGGTCGCTTCAAGCGGCACCAATCAAACCTTGTCATTCAAGCGGTAGTTGCAGTACAGTGATGAGATGCGGCCACTGATGGTCCCTGCCAAGTCTCGAGTACATGGGCTCGAACCTCTCTAGTGTCCAGCTCGTCTGGTCGCATGGGCGGCTCTGCAGGTTTTGACATGGTACTAATCAGCAATCTCGCATTTCTGAACCCCTTCGACCTCTGGCGGGTCTAGGTCTTTGCCCCTCCTGGTCTCGAGAGGGTCGTTGTCCACTGGCTTGCATTCCAAAATTTCCCTACTCTTTTCTGGATAACTTCCAACGACTCGAACAAGCACAATATTATCACCGTTTCTGACCTTTCTTAAGTTCTCAGTTATACCCCGAGGATTTCATCATGGAAACCGGAATGGAGGCCATGGAGAAAAGCATACCTCTCGCGGCGATTGGCGACAAACCCATTCCTGGGTCTCAGGATGGAGATGCCACCAGCGGATCGCCCATCAAAGAGCAGGATCAGCCGCGGAGGCTATTTTCGATATCACAGCTCTTCGCGTTCTCTCTGACTTATATGTCCTTATGGTAAGGTACACTTGTGTAAGGCTTTCCTCTTACCCGCTGGGTGATGAACTGCAGGACTCAAGCACAGCACAACGCGTGGGCCATTCATGCTCAAAAAGTGCTGACCAGGACACGTTCAACACAGGAATTCGTACTTTGCATTGTACAATGGGGGCCCAGCCAGCCTTTTCTTCAATTTCATCATTGTGATGATCGGAGCCATGGCTCAAGCCGCCTCGATTGGAGAGATGGCGTCGATGCAGCCCATTGCCGGGGCACAATATCATGTAAGCCCTTCTCCTTCAACCTCGGGTGATCCTCTGACTAACCCATGTTGCACACCACAGTGGACATGGTATCTCGCTCCGCCCAAATTCAGGCGATTTACGACCTGGGTCCAAGGGTGGTCAACATGGTTTGGCTACATCTCACTTCTCGCGGGCATTGCGAACAGCAGCATTGTCATCCTGGAGTCCATCATCAGTTTGAACTACGAAGACTACAAGAAGGGAGGCTGGCATACTTCCGTGCTGGTGATTGGCCTCGTCTTCGTGCAAGCCGTGGTCAACATTTACTCCTTCAAGCTTGTCATCTGGTTTGAGTTGCTGGACGGCATCTTGCACTGCGTGCTGTTTGTGGTCTTCATTGTCGTACTTCCAGCGATTGGGACACGCAACGGCCCGGAATTCTTCGTCTCGACAAATATTTCTTCCGGCTACAGCGAAAGCCCCTTCATTGCATGGAATGTCGGCATGCTCTCCTGCGTGTGGATCTTTACAGGTACGCAACCATCAACCGTGACAAATAATATTATTGAGGCTAACATGGCAGTCGTCATGAACAGGTTTCGACAGTGTCATCCACATGAGCGAGGAGACACGTGCGGCAAAGCAAGCAGTCCCCCGCGCCATGTTCTGGTCCATTGTCATGAATGGCACCATGGGCTTCGTGATCGCCGTCGTCTTCCTGGTAGCCATGGGCACCGTCGAGGACGCGCTGAACGCGCCAAGCATTGTCGTCGGCGTGCTCATGCAAGTTACTGGCTCCAAGTCCGCCACCACTGCCATGATGACGGGAATCTTCATCGGCGCCTTTGGGTCAAACCTCGCGTCCATTGCCTCGGTCTCGCGCCTCACATGGGCGTGGGCGCGTGACGGCGGCCTGCCCAAGTACTTCGGCCACGTCGATCACAAGACGCGCATTCCGCTTCGTGCTGTCGTGCTGACCGTCTTCCTCCTCTGCTCCCTTTGTCTGCTCATTATTGGGAGTGAGACATATGTAGTGTTTGGCGCCATCATGTCGCTCTCCTCGCTGGCGCTATACCTCAGTTACGCCATCGCCATCTCGAGCATGCTGTGGTCGCGCTTCTTCAAGCCCGACCTCGAGTTTGGACAGTGGAACCTAGGGAGGAAGGGTCTCTTTATCAACATCTATGCTCTTGTCTACACCCTGTGGGCCATGGTCTTTTTGCCGTTCCCCACAACCATTCCAGTCGACGCCACGACAATGAACCATTGCGGTCCAATGATGGGACTTGTGCTGGTCGTTGCCATCGGTCTGTGGTTCCTCAATGCTCGCAAGCACTGGGCAGGCCCGAACGTCACCATCATCGACTTTGTCATGCGCAACTCATGATTCTCCCCGATGATGTGGCAGGACAGTCTTCATCAATGACAAAGTGATCATATACCTCAATGACGTCGAAGTCTTCTCTTTCAGTTCTTCCTTTTTGGCAGGATAAACGGTTCCCATTCTTTGCAATTGATACATTGAAACTTGTTGCACACACTATAGAACAAGGGAGACTGGACTGATAGCCATTGCGGAGGAGGTAGTTCACAAATGCATAGACAGCTGCATCAGTATGAGCGTTCCCATCATTAGCCTCACGAATATATACATACAAAGTACGAGCACAAGATTTATGCTCCAGTGCTGGCCGTTGTGGTGCTGATCATGCAATTTATGTTCTGTTTAATTTTGCAACTACATTTCTGCCTTCCGACCATGGGCTCCGCTAAATGCCTGATTTGGTCGAGAAATTGTGAAAGCAGCCAATGCCAGTGCAAGACGCTAAGCATCGACTGGAGCACAAGGGTCTCCAGACGGCCATCGGCAGAAGTATCCCCCATGGAAAGAAGGAAGAGGCCATTTTCGTGATGAATCATTACACAGGCCTGTGCAGACCATGAGATTGCAGCTTCAGGGTGAACTAAGCGGTAGGCTTTGGAAAAAGAGAACACTCAAACGGCGACGATTCTGCTCAATTAGACGTCTCGTCACGTCCAGACAAGACCCACCGCCTCCGCGTTGTTGGTGGATCCTGAAGCCGCGGAAGCGAGAACCCCACTTGCCCATCCCCTCATTCTGCACAACATGGAAAGTCTCCCTACTTTCTTCAGGATCGTGCCGGTGAGTTCACTCTCGCCTGTTTGTCATTGACCTGTGTCGCCACCAGTTCTCGCGTAGCGGTATCCTGCAGCTCGGCGTTGTGGTCGTGTCAACAGCAGATCCGGCCGCTTCTGTCACGGACCAGTAAGTACAAACGCGGTTCGGGCCAAGAGAAACGGTGAGCATGCCACAGCATCCTGGTTCTGCACTCAACCACTCGACTCACATCCTCATCAGTATATATCCCATTTCCGGGACACCCGTCTCACTGGCCATCATAGCTCCAAGTTTGACCTCCAGCAGGTCTACCGCTTGTCTTCTCCCCAGCCATCGGGCCCGCCGTCATTGCCATTCGATTTTCAACAAGGCCACCATACAAACAGTTGCTCCGCAAGAGCAACGGCCAACAACATGTTCTGGAAAATCAAGACCTGCCTCGCAGGGGCGTTGCTCTTGCCTGCCATTGGAGCTACCGAGCTGCGCAACATCATGTACCTTACAAAGTCAGTTACTTGCGCTTCATTCTCCCCTCCAACAGGACATCCTTCGCAAGCAGTGCTTATCGTTGTCTGCCCACTGAACTGACGTCCTCGCAGCCAGCACGAAATCTTTCCCGGCGACACACAGACCGCACCTGTCACCCATGTCGCCATGAGCTTTATGCGGCCGCACGTGTTCAACCGCCCCGAAGGCTCGCATGACTGGCCGGCCATGTGGCAGACGGTCGAAGCCACCCGGGCCCAGTTCCGCGACGGCGTCAAGGTGCTCATTGCCATTGGCGGCTGGGGCGACACGGAGGGATTCAGTGATGCTGCTCGGACAGCGGAGGGCCAAAAGCGCTGGGCGGCGAATGTCGCTGCCATGGTGAAGGATACTGGTGCTGACGGTACGTCTTACCTCACCGGAAGAAGCTGGAGCATGTTCTTACCTTGAGATTCAGGTGTTGATATCGACTGGGAGTACCCTGGGTAAGATCATCGACAGATCCGAGTGAACACAAGAAGCTCGCCCGCTAATACGTGACACTCCACAGTGGCAACGGGGAAGATTACAAGACTGTTCCCAACGAGGAGAAGGCCTGGGAAATAGAGGCATACCCCAAGTTCCTCGGCGAGATCCGCACCGCGCTGGGAGCCAACAAGATCATCTCGGCGGCAGTGCCAGGAAAAGTCGGCGACATGCTCGCTTTCACGGCCGACACGCTGCCCACCATCATGCAGCACGTCGACTTTCTCAACGTCATGACATACGACATGATGAACCGCCGCGACAACGTGACCAAGCATCACACAGGTGTCAAGCTCAGCATCGAGGCTTTAGATGCATACATTGACCGCGGAGCGAGAGCCAAGGACCTGAATCTGGGTTTCGCGTTCTACGTAAAGTGGTTCAAGACCCAGCACGAGCCATGTCTGGCCAACCCGATTGGCTGCCCGACAGTCCTCATGGAAGACCCCGAGACCGGCGCAGACCTGGGCCAGGCGGGCGCGTTCGCGTGGGCTGATCAGACGCCGGACTGGCTGAGTGCGTCGTGGCAGGCGGCCCTTACCTGGGGGAAGTACGATCCCGACGATGGGAGCTATTACCACTGGGACGAGAATCTGGATGTCTGGTGGACGTTTGACACTGCACGGGCAGTGAGGAACAAGTTTCAAAGCATTGTTCGATCGAAAGGGGTGGGTGGTGTCTTTGCGTGGGAGCTTGGTAGCGATGGGCCTCAGTTCAGCCGGTGGCAAGCTCTCAACAAGGGCGTTGACTTTGCGAATCGTCACCACTCTCAAAAACATGAGCTCTAGACATGAATCGGAGGCATTGTAGGGGCCTCGGCGGCAGTGAAAACTGGTGGGGAGCGCAGCTTGTGGTCAAAGTTGGTTACATTACAAGACAGTCTGTTCAAAAAGTATCTGAAAGACACAATGTTCGCACTGCTGCGTGCATGTCGACCAAGAGGCAAGCCGACATGATCACGACTGGAAGGAGCAGCCTTGTGGCGCGCAAGGAGAATCAGATGTGGGTCTTTGCTGCAGCTCCCCTTGCACATGTGGGTCCGGAGCCTTGCCTGGTGCGACGACCCGCCGAGGGATCAACAGGCAAAGAAAAAAAGACGGCCAGCTTGAGGTCATCGCCGTCTCATCTAAATCCGCCTCCCTCACCACAACATCACCCTGTGCGACTTTGCAATCCTGCCATGGAAGCACCTCGGTGACGCGACTCGAAATTGTTGTAAATCACTTACAATCCCCGCCTCAATTGAACACAGGCCCAGTCCAGCTGCCCGCCATGTTCGAGAACCTCTGCACCCTCCCGCTCACCTCGGAGCTCTTCACCCAGGCGGCGCACCCGACAGAGCCATTGCTCGCCGTGGGTCTCGCCAGCGGCCATGTCCAGTGCTTCCGCCTGCCTTCTGCGGGCGACGGCAGCTCCGGCGACGACGCCGATGCCGATGGCGACACCAGCGTCCTGTCCGACGGCAGGGGCATGATCGACACCGCCTGGCGCACACGGCGGCACAAGGGCAGCTGTCGCAGTGTCGTGTTCAGCAACGACGGATCAGGTAAGTCTTCTTCGGTATTGGGCATGGCGCAGTCTCAATTTCAAACAGCTAACCGAGGGTGCTCGAAATCTCCAGAACTCTACTCTGCTGGCACCGACTCGCTCCTCAAGCACTTCTCCGCCTCGACCGGCCAGGTGCTCTCCAAGATCGCCATCCCCAAGACGAAATCCGTCGACGACTCGCCGTGCCTCCTCCACGCCCTGTCCCCCCAGACTCTGCTCCTCGCCTGCGACTCGGGCGTGCTGCACCTCCTCGACCTGCGCGACCGCGCGCTGACCTCGTCCAAGCCGGCCCAGACCCACTTCCCCCACGACGACTTCATCTCGAGCATCACGCCACTGCCCGTCTCGGCCGAGAGCACGAGCGGCTTCTCGAAACAGTGGATTTCCACGGGCGGCACGACCCTCGCCGTGACCGACCTGCGCAGGGGCGTCCTCGTCCGCAGCGACGACCAGGAGGACGAGCTGCTCTGCACCACCTTCATCCCGGGCATCGGCCCCAAGACGAACCGCGAGAACGGCGTCGTGGCGGTGGGGACGGGCACGGGCGTGCTCACGATCTGGGACAAGGGCGCGTGGGACGATCAGGTGGACCGCGTCGTGGTGGACGGCTCGTCGCGCGCGGGCGGCGAGAGCCTCGACTGCATCGTCAAAGTGCCGGACGAGGTCTATGGCGCGCGCGGCGGGAAAAAGGTCGTCGTCGGCGCGGGTGACGGCACCTTGCGTGTCGTCGACATCCACAAGCGCCAGGTCGAGACGGTGCTGCGGCACGACGACATCGAGGCCGTCCTCGGCGTCGACTTTGACTGCCACGGCCGCCTGATAAGTGGTGGCGGCCAGACGATCAAGGTCTGGCAGGAGGCTGGGATCAGCGCGGGCGCGCTGCGCGGAGGATCCGACTCGGATGATGATGACGACGAGGACGACAGTGACGATTCCGATGACGACGATGGCGATGACTCAGATGCCCCAGCCGCTGCGGTGGCCGTGAAGCAGACAAACGGCAAGCGCGGCAAGGCCAAGGGCTCGGACTCGGACTCCGACGACAACAGCGACAAGGACTCCGACGACAACAGCGACAAGGACTCCGACGACAGTGACGCGCCCAAGCGCGGCAAGAAGAAGCGGAGAAAGGGCGGCGCGGCCAAGGTCGACCTCGGCCCGCACGGGGCGCACGGGATCCTGAAGTTCAAGGGAATCTGAGCGCCTTCGTCACGCACTCCTGTGTGTGAGTGGTAACAGGGAAAAGCAGGTGCAGTGCAGGTGCCCGGCTCTCCCGGGGTACTCGATAATGTACATATGGAATGAGATACACAAACAAAAGAAATATAAAAAGATACCCCCCACGTTCGATAAGAAGAGGTTCGAATCTGTTTTGCGTAAACTTGTCCTATATGGAACTGATGATGGACTTACTCTGAATGAGGTAATTGCCAACGAAGGATGAACCTGGCCCAACCAGTGCAAGCCCGCGGTCTGGACACAGCTGGAATTTGAAAACCCCATATTTGTCAGAGGCCCATCCGATTTAGTCTTGTCAACTTGCACTCGCCAAGTTCATAGCCTGACGCGTTGGATTAGCCATTGAGGCAGCAGGTAAGAGGCATCTTAACTGATGAATACGTGGGGGGGTATCTTGTCACAAATGAAACTCGCGAAACCACGACTCCCAGGCCCCAGTTTCAACAAGGACCAATTTCCGTCCGATGCACAAAACAAAGACGACATAGTCAAAGCCCCAAAAACCCCCGGCCCCGTCCAAGAAAACTGAAAGCCTTCATACAGTACAGGGGCAAGGATTGTACAAAAGCAAAGCTTAATTCAGGCATTCTTGACGACCTTCGAAACAACTCCTCCGTCCCGAATCTGATATCGCACAACAGGAGCTGGCCCACCGACCTCTGCCCGACCACCACCAGTCAGAATCTGCCTTACACTGCCCGCAAGACTCATCACCGCCGCGCGCCCCCGCCGCCGCCAGAAGCGGAGTCGTGATGTTGGTGGTGCCAGGCCGCCGGCTTCTGGTCCTCCTCCTCCCTTGTGTAACGCGATCCACTGCGCAACCTCGTCGTCGGTCTTGCCGGTGCTAGCCGCGATCAGGACCTGCTGCGCGTCCGGGTGCGTGGCGACCTGGCCGACGGACGACCAGGCCTGCTCGAGGATGCTGGACTGCGACTGGGCGCGGAACAGCCAGAGGACGAGGAAGAAGATGGCCAGGTGCGCGGCGATGATGGCCATGACGGCGATGTAGCCCGTCTTGCCGGCCGGCGCGAGCACCTCGGCTTCCTCGTCGATCTCGATCTGGGCCAGATTTTGGTCGTATCCCACGAGTGAGTCCTGGTAGATGATGCGGTACTGTGTCATGCGAAAGGCCTGGATTGCCCGGGCGGGGCTTTTCGTGTCGTTCAGGGTATCTAAGAAGATAGCAGCCAGGAGCATGTCGGTCGTCTGGGCGTTGTCTTCCTGGGCCTCGTTTGGGAGGCTTCCCACGTTCAATGGGCCCAACAGAATCGAATTCTCGCCGTATCGCAGCGCAATTTGGTCATTCAGGAAGCTGTCGCCCAATGCGGGGTGGCTAGAGGCAAGGGGGCGCAATCGAATGTCCGCCATGCTGGCTTCTAGTGCCTCTCTGGACATGCCGAGTATGTGTCGGGGCTTTGAGCCCACTCCTGCCGCGCCAAGTTGTTCTCTGATGGGTCTGGTATCAAATCGGTTGCTCTGAACATCCAGGCTGAACGTAGGTTCCTGCATGTGGTCTTCGACCGAGGCCGTGATGTTGAGGTATCCAACATCCTCATCGCTGCACAGATAGCTGAGCAAGTACATTCATCTGCATGGCGGATTGGAAAGGTGAACTTACGGCGCAACGTGAGCACACCATGTTGCGTTGAACTGCAGCTCTGGCGAGGGCAAGCTGTCATTGAAGGGGGTCCAGCGCCATCGCTGAATGGTCCATGGGCCTTCTCCCCAGCTAGGGTACTCGACCAAGGCGCCGTCTTGCGTGAGATTCGTGATTTGGGGATCTGAATTGAGAGACCTTAGCTGCCAGTAGATGGCTCCTATATCAAGAACCAGATATGTCATGGCAAGAGCAGTAAGCTTTGAATCCTCCACAACCCTGGACACGCCGCCACTTAGGAACGAGTAGAAATATGATCCCGTCGTTCGACACAGCGACCATCCATAAATATTGTTGTCTGCCTTACACCGGAAGTCCATATCCTCGAGTTCAGGGCCCGGGCCGGGGCCAGCCAGCTGCGTCCAGAGCTTGTGGGGGATGTCCATCCCCCGAAGCGTCCCGCAAAGCTCATATCCGGCCGTCTTCACGAGCGGGACTCCGCATATGCGAAGCCCCGCTATCCCTGGACGGACGCACGTGACGCGTGCGTCTATCATCTTCGCGGTGCCGCGAAACAGCCTTATCCGCTCCCGGTCCGTCTTCTCCTTGATCGGAAGCAGAGCTCGAATCGTGAGGCCCGTGTCGTCGATATCGTCGGCGACCGATTGCGGTGGCTCGCTGTACTCGGCGAAAATGCTGAAGGAATCCGGACGGCGTATGTAGTAGTCTGTATATCCTGCCAGAGAAATGCTTGAAGGGGTAAAGCTACGGTCTGGACGGAATGAGACCATCGCTGACCGAGTGAAGTTCATGACCGCGGTGGGTCCGAGCTCGTATGTGAGTAGGGTTGAAGAGTACTGTGCTGCAAGGGTAAGGAGAAAAAGGAATGAGACTAAGCAAGTATAAAAGCCTCCCAGCGTCGACGGAGAGAGGGCGAATCTGATCAAGGAGAGTGGCCCGCTGTTAGTGTAGCGGATGATTGCGATGGGCAGTAGTACATCCAGAGCGACCCCGCGCCTCTCCAATGCTATGGCAGCGACCATGGACGTGGTGATCGGTGTGAAGATGCCTAGGGATGTCCTGATCAAAACTCCCGAGATGGTGATCAGCTGCACGGAATAAGTACTCAGGATCAATCTCCGCCACGGGACTGCTTTGTGGTCTTGGAACCATAACCAAGTGAGGAAAATGATTGTGCCCAAGAGCATGAACAATGAAAGGAATACGAGGAACAGCAGCCAGACACTTAGAGCTCTGGCGCGCTTCGTGCCCCGCCCGAGCTCTTTCCCGTCGGCTTGTTCTGGTTGAATCGCGAGCACCGTGACTTTCTTATGTTCTTCGCTGCCTTCAAGATCCGTGTGCTGGGCTTCATGATTGGCCGGGTGCAGAGCGGTCTCATCAAGTTCTGCTTCCAGCGATGGATCTCGCGGGGAGACTGGTCGATCTTCAGGCTGTGGTATCGGTTCGTATTGCTGGGATGCCATACAAATTGCAATCGAGCTGCGGTGCTCGATTGCTGTGGTGGAACAGACGAGCCGCCGGGGGGATGTGGAACAATATGAAGCGTCGAGATCCGATCTCAAGTTGAGAAAGATCGAAAATTTGAGGGAAGAGCAATGCTTGAAGATGATGGATGAGGGGAGCGCAAATACAAGGTTCACAGCTTGAGGCTTTGCGAGCGCTCTTCGGAAACGCCAGGTCAGGACCACCAGGCAGACTGGAGAGGCTTGGCGCAAGCAGGCTCTGGCCTTGGCAATCAGATCCATGCTCACCACCATGTTCATGATGGGCAGTAAGCTCCTGATCATGGCACGCGCCCTGTCTAATCTCATGCGGGTCTGATGCTCCACCGGGGCCTGGCCATTGTCTACTACAGGACTTTCCCAAGCGTCAAGAGGCGAGCAGGGCCTCCCCCAGATTCTGAACGCTTCGCCACCCTGGCATTCATTACCAGGCCGTTGACCTATTGTTCCTAGGGAAAGGGCAGGGTGCCACCAAGATTCTGCATTATGGGTGGCCACAATCTACCATGGTGAATCCGGCTACATCCCATCTCAAAGCAGTGCCACTACGAGATGAGTTCGATCACGTAGGTCAGCAATCTTATCTACATAAAGCCATACACTACATTAAGTTGCAAGTGTATTATTTACTAAAATTCGCTATTCTCAACGGTACCCGTAGCTAGGTAGCCATCCAGGCCCGTGGGATTCGGCACGGACGCCGGATTAACACAGACAACGGCATCGCGGTAAACCCAACACACATAGGACACCATAAGCGTCCTAGTCGTGCGGGTTCGTCTGGACCCATGCTGTACTGCCGGGAGCTGGACCTCGACTCTGTGCATAATGCTGGGAACATCCTGCAGACTCTGCGGTGATGCCCGGTTGAGGGAGTAGAAGTAACGCCGTATTCGCCAGGTACACCTGCCCATAGAAAAGAAAAAAGGAAAAGGGTGCTGCTTTGTACTGCAAACTACGCACCAGAACACTGGAGGCGCATCCTGAACCCGTCTATAGGAACGCCGCGTGACCATCTTCCTGCTCCTGATCCTCAGAAGCGGCGGTCGTGGGGGTCTGTCCAGCCGGAGCATGCAAGTCGGTCTTGCCGTCATCTGTCTCCTGCGCAGGCGACTTCTGCATGGAGCGGCGCGGGCTGGGTGACCCACGGAGCTGGAATTCGGTGCACAGCTTCGCCCACGAGTACGCGGCGCGGCTGGCGAGCTCCTGAGGGACGTCGGGGTCCGTGTCCCAGGCGCGGCGGTTGAAGACCTCGTGGCTGATCCAGCCGCGGAAGCCGAGGTCCTCGAAAATGGCGCGCGCGACGTCGCGGACAGGGAGATATTCTTCGGTAGCCGCGGCAACGAGAGTGGTGTCGTTTTCATCGTCATCAGTGTCATTGCCGTCGGAGGGCTTGCCGTTCCGGGCGTTGTTGAGGGCGAATGAACAGGTCTGGTCCTGGTCAGTTGTGTTGGCGTTGCCGACCCCCGCAAATATGCCCTCCTCACCGTAGAAGAGGCGGCAACTGCGCGACCAGCTCATTCTGGCTGGCTGGTCTGCTACATAGAGCTCGTGGCCCTCGACAAGTGGTTCTGCTAGCTTCTCAGCGCTTGCGATTTGTACGTAGAACACCTTTTCGACATCCACCTCTTTGATTAGTCTGTCCAGGCTCTCCCGAAGATTCTTGTGTGCCTCCGGAATGAGACCTAGGGGCGTAGATGATGCCGGATCTGCGAAGACGCGACTGCCGGCGAGGTTGAATGTATCAAGCAGCAATCCGAAATTCGGGCGGTCGACGACCTGGACCGTATGCCATGCCTGTTCCCAGGTGTCGCAGCGGGTGCCCCAGGCTAAGGCCTCGTATGCAAAGCGGATGACCCTGCGGCCCCTGACGTCCTTCACGCCCGCGGTCATGGTTCGCTGAAGCGGTTCGCCCTTGGAGTCGACGCCGCCATAAGCCAAACCGGCATCTGCCATCCTGCGCAGATCGTTGACTGCGAGTGCCAAGTCGGTAGAGAGCTTTCCCGAGTGGAGGAAGTTGGAGGGCACCTGGATCAAGTCTGTGTCCAGAGCCTCTGCGAGCTCCAGCCACAGGGGCAGCTTGACGGTCAGTTGATGATAGTGGTCCGCTCTGTCCAGCAAGCCCTCGTACTGCCAGAACGGTTGCAGGCAGATGATGCTGATGCCACGCTCGGTGCACATGATTCGGATGGCGTGGGCAGCAGCAAGCTCTTGGGCCGGTGTTGAAATGAACGGCTTCGTGTTGCCGAGGCCCTGAGGTGGCCTCACGTACGGACCGGAAGTATAAAAGGTCTCTTCCGCTACTGAAACAAGGTCTTCGTGGAATAACTCGATTCCCTTGAAGCCGTGGAACTGGGCCATGTCGAGCCTGTGGCGTAGCGAGTGGCCTGCGGCAGCACGGCCAAGCGAGATGCTGCAAATTCCTGGGCGCGAGCTCATCTTGATCTTGGCGGACTGTGAGGATCGTGGGCGATGAGAGCTCCGTAACAGTTGGCAGCAAGTTGTCGAGTTGCCGTGTCTTCCATTCGTGTGGAGTTGTGTATGCCTGGATCCTCGGCACTGTCAAGGTTGTTGGATCGACTTCACATTTTCTGAGTCCAAACTGTCTAGTAGATGCATATATATCTGCGAGACCATAACAATTCTCCTCAGGCATGACTCTGGGCGGTCTCGTGCTGATTGTTTTGTGGCTGGGGAGTGTAGTCGATTGTCAGTGCCTGACAACTGTGAGCAGATGATGCCTGTGGCGTCGAAAAGGCGACTGATGTCAAAGTCACGAGGAAAGAATTGCCTGCGACTCGTGGCTAGCGGTGGTCTACCTTGAAAGAAACATCCGCAATGGTTCTCACGGGCAGCGGAAACTCTTGCGAATCCAGATGTGCTTTGTTGCACGTGGCGTTGCCCAGCACCGCGGCGCCAGAAATGCATCGCCGACCGCCATCATGTCCGAGGATGATCAGTAGACTCTCACACAATCATCATGTCATGATCACGAGGAGAGTTGCCATTCGGCTGACTTTTGTTGTAGCAGGCCGGCCACCTGCACGGTACGCGCCTCGTCAGGAACACCTTGCGATGCTTGTATCATGCTGAGAAAGCGCAAATGAGCAACTGGTGAAGACGCGCCGCCAGGCTCCACTCCTCGAGGTAAAATGGTCCCCGAGGAACCGCGGTTCGAGTCAGTCAATACATGTTCCCAGCTTGCACCTGAGCAATGACCGTGCACGTGGTACAGCAGATGTTGCGGGCGAAAGAAACTGCGGCCGGAGAATGGGATTTCCTTGTCGTCGTCGTCAACGGCACCGGCCGACAAACATTGTGGGTGGGGACAATCAAGGGGACCACGCGAGCAGAAGACAAAAGAGGTTAAGCCATTGTTCACCCCAGCATTGTGATTGGCAGCGGACCAAGGGGGGTCCCGATCTTGCCACCGACTGACGAGCTGAGAGCGACGAGGCGTCGACGAGGTGCGATGCGATGGTGTGTGCTGCAGAGATGGACGAGGTCGAGATGGCGCCGGGTTGCGGCTCGGCAGAGATAACGGCAAGCACGCGCTGTGGCTGTCGGGTGTTAGCGTCGGTGGGTGGCTCCTGCCGCTGGTGCGTCAAGTGGGCACCGGCCCCGGTCCAGCCCCAGGCCGGGACAACGACTCCAGCTGCCCAGAGATAAAGCTCCTACGCCGGCCAATCACAGCCCAGCACTCCAGCCCCCAAGTGCCCAAATGCAAACCACGATTTTGGGGTTTCCCAGTGCCGGCTCCACTCCCCATCACTCAGTGTTTGCAGCGCAATGCACCGCTCCGTCACCATCTCCAGACAGGTTCCTCCCATCAAGGCCCTGGAGATGCCCATCTTGCCGGAAAAGAAACTCTGGTCCTCAAGACAACGGCCGGGGACCCCGTTCGATGCGTCAATTACCGACAGCCTGGACAAACCCTGCAGAGCACATGTGCATTGAGCTGGGAAAAGCAGGACTGGCTGTCGTCCATGGGCGGGTGTCTCCGAGTTCCACTCCCTGTCCAGCCTCGCGCTCAGCCAAGGAGCCAGGCCGCCTCCGTGCTGGCGGCGGGATCCGGCGACGTGCTATCGTGCAGAGCTGTAACTTCAGCTGAGCTTGACGGGCACGCCTTGGAGCTAGTAGCGTTTTCTTCACATGCTGCTGCTGCTGCTCTGGAGCTTCTTCTCAGCAGCCGCCGTTAGCACCGCTGACAGCATCAAGTCGCGTTGACAAAGACGCTTGACACATCCATTATATCTATTCAGCCCGTCGCCCCAGACCTGGTGGGTTTCCGCATCCTGATCCACTCCACACCAGCTATCGCCGCCTCCACACCCTGCCGCCGCTACTCGGCCCTCGCCCCCACATTGACATCTCGCGAAACGACAATCCTCGTCTGATCCGGGACTCTTGGCGTGTCGTGCAATTCAATCTCGGAATCAAATTCCTTTTAAAGATCGCAGCTGCTGCCACCTCGCTCCTCGTCATTGACCACGCCATCGTGTAACTCGTCGTCGTCGAGGTCATCCCGCTTCCTTCCTTTACAGTAGCAGGACGAGGCACAACCCAGGGTCTAATTCGTCCCCTCGACGTAACTTCCTAAAGGTTACTTCCTGCCTGCCCACCATGGACGAGGACCAGGTCCCCTCTCAGATTACGCCGCACAACGCGGCCCCGGGCAAGAAGAGCGTCGGCGACCACCTGCGGAGCGTCAAGAAGACATTCACCACCCGCCACGGCCTGCTCGGCGACTACGACTATGCCTTCCTCTTCACGCCCAACCTGCCCTTCATGAAGCGCCCGTCCCACTCGTCGCCCTTCTTCGGGCTCAACGACCGCATGCCCGTCGTCCTCGCCCTGCTCCTCGGCTTCCAGCACTCCCTGGCCATGCTCGCCGGTGTCATCACTCCGCCCCTGCTGCTCGGCGGCGCCGCCGGTGTCAACCTCGACGTCGTCGGCCAGCAGTATCTCGTCTCCACGGCGCTCATTGTATCCGGTATTCTCACGGCTGTTCAGATCACGCGGTTCCACATCTACAAGACTCCGTAAGTGCTATTTGTAGTTGAGTCAATGGTACGGGAGAGCTCGCAGGGACAGCTGGACACAGTAGTGCCCGCGTTGAGTTACGGGTTACATTTGCAGTTGTAATGGAGCACGGTTGGCTAACTTTTCCGGCAGATACTATATCGGCACTGGCCTCATCTCCGTTGTCGGCATCTCGTTCACCATCATCCCCATTGCCCAAGGCGCGTTCGCCCAGATGTACGCGAATGGGTTCTGCCCAACGTCTCCCACAGGTGTCAAGCTGCCGTGCCCGGACGCCTATGGCGCTGTTCTGGGGACGTGCGCCGTGTGCGCCTTGGTCGAGATTCTCATCGCCTTCATCCCGCCCAAGATCATGCTTAAGATCTTCCCGCCGATCGTCACAGGACCTACCGTCATGGTGCGTAACCTTAAGAGAGAGAGAGAGCACAATGCGTCCTTGTCGCACCGCAGCGTCAAAATGCTGACCCTTGCTTCCGTATAGCTTATCGGCGTCTACTTGATCAAGAGCGGCTTCAGGAACTGGGCTGGCGGTTCTGGCCCTTGCTCCGACGCCAGCCCAGCCGCGTTCTTCGCCAAGTGTCCCAACATTGCCGCGCCGCACGCGCTGCCATGGGGCTCGCCAGAGTACCTTGGTCTCGGCTTCTCCGTCTTCGTCACCATCATCCTCTGCGAGCGCTTCGGGTCGCCCATCATGAAGTCTACGAGTGTCATCCTGGGCCTCCTGGTCGGCTGCATCATCGCCGCTGCCACGGGCTACTTTGACCGCTCCGGCATCGATGCCGCGCCCGCCGCGTCCTTCCTGTGGGTGCGCACGTTCAAGCTCACCGTGTACGGGCCTCTGGTGCTGCCCATCATCGCCCTGTTCATCATCGTCGCTTGCGAAGCTGTACGTATTTCATGCTTTTCCTTTCTTGCGAACCTACTGCAAAGTGTTTCAGTGACTGACAGTCACGCAGATTGGTGACATCACTGCCACTTGCGATGTGTCTCGCCTCGAGGTCCAGGGCAAGCTCTACGAGTCTCGCATCCAGGGTGGTGTCCTGGCCGACGGCCTCGCCGGTGTTTTCGCCGCGCTCATGACCATGACGCCCATGTCATGCTTCGCCCAGAACAACGGTGTCATTGCGCTGACGCGGTGCGCGAACCGCACTGCGGGCTACTGCTGCTGGTAAGTGGAACCCTCCTTCCTTTCAAGATGAATGTTGCCTTCCAAGCTCTCTTCTCATCTGCATTTCGGACCTCGACTCTGACTGGTTCTTGATGGCAGCTTCTTCCTGATCATCATGGGCATCTTTGCCAAGTTCGCGGCCGCGCTCGTTGCGATCCCCTCCGCCGTTCTTGGCGGCATGACAAGCTTTCTGTTCTGGTAAGTCAGTCATCAGATCTTCCAGCTGTCCAGCTGTCCATACTCTAGACCACTTCAAAGAAAGAGCGCAATGGCAGTACGCTAACACGACATCTTCCCCAAAATTGTAGCGCTGTGGCCGTGTCCGGCATCTCCATCATCACCAAGGGCGTCCCTTTCACTCGCCGCAACCGCTTCATCCTCACCGCGGCCCTGACGCTGGGCTACGGCGCCACGCTGGTGCCGACCTACTTTTCCAACGTCTTCACCAACGTCAACACGAACGGCAACGTCGGCCTACAGGGCCTGCTCGACGCCATCGAGCTCATCATGGGCTCGGGCTTCGCGCTGACGGCGTTCATCAGCATGATCCTGAACCTGACGCTGCCCGAGGAGGTCGAGGACACCGCGGCTGCCGAGGGTGTCGTGACCAACGGGGAGACTACGGGCATTCTTGCTACTTCGCAGCAGCAGCACCACCAAGAGAAGGGGCTCGAGCATGCGGCGGGCCCTGTCGGTCAAGAAGGCTCTGCCGTGGGCGGGAACGACAGCATGGACGGTGATGAGAAGTATAAGCGCGTTTAGAGTTGTTGTTTGCGTAGCTATCTAGGTGGTATCGTTCGGAAAAGGCGCGCACAAGCTGAAGGATCAAGGAACAATGTCAGCGTGGCCAAAAACAATAAAAAGGGGTGCTCAGTAGCGACTTCAGACATGTATGGTTCGAGCTCGAACAATCTGGTTACATATTTCTGGATCTCATGACGGATGATGATGCTTTTCTTGCTTGTAGCACCTGCATGCTGTCGTTCTAGACTTCGTGAAAAGATTCAATGATTACACGGTCTATTCCGGAATTTGACGCATCTTATGCGAGAAGGTACGGTCGTGCTAGATATATGTCACCGGCAAGACCACCTTCAAGTGGGGCTGACATCTTTGTCAAATAGTTGAGTCGAAAGTCACGGCAACCTTGTAAAGGCAGGTTGAGCAGTTGCCTCGTGACTGCAGACGCCATTCTGCCTGTGTAGGAGAATGCAACTGTGTTGTTCGAGGTGATGCTTGAATTGAAGCCGAACAGCGTAAGCGTCGGAAACTGGCGTCCGCCGTGTTGGAAAACCATCTAGGCAGGAATGCACCGCTCCTGGAAATACCGTCATGTTCTTTGGACAACTACGTGGTATTCTGATCCTTGGCCAATGACTGGTCACCCAAGGTTGTGCTCGTTCCCTGCTAGGAAAATCGAACACTTGCAATAATCAACAAGTTATCCAGGAAGCCTATCTGCTACCGTAACGTCCACACCAAGTGTTGCTGCCAAGTGTTTCGAGATGGCTTTGCTATGAGATCTGTGGGGGGTTGGTGTCTGAGGTTCTGCTAATTATTGTGCCGGGTCGCCTGAAGTGCTGGGGGAAGTGGGTTGCACAGATGGCAGGGTATGGGAACAGAGCCTCAGATATGCTTATTTTAGAGTGCGTGGCGCTGTGTTTCCTGCGATTGGGGTAAGCCTGGATGCTGGGAGGTAGGTCGGAAACACGTGCATCCTGAACACTGCTGGGCGGCAAGGTTGGGGGCATGGAACAAGGTTGGGGGTGTCGGGGAAGCTGTTTACAAAGAGACCCTGAAAATGCGACTTCCGCACGTCCGGTAATGCAACGCTGGGGTTGTCTGGCGGTGTGCGACTGGCAGACAGAGATCTGGTATCTTGGGGGTATCTTGGGGGAGAGAGCTCTATCTCGCGCATGCCGGCCCCACAATCCGGGGAAGGAGCTGGGAGAAGAAAAACTGTGTCGAGAGACCAGGGCATTGAGGGCTGCTGAAACCGTCTCGGTCCGGTCAATGTCGCAGTCGGGGCACCGGGGGGCCTCAACATGGTTTAGCAAGGCCAAGTGTTTCTCGCCAACAAAACATCATCCAGAGTATCGACTGGTCGCCACTAGGTCGGTATGACTCCCCACGTTCTCATGGCATATCTGAGCAGCAGCCTTGTGGACTGCATTTCGAGTGGACCAGCAGAAAGACCAGGATGTGCCGCGTCTCGGGCGTAGTTGCCGCTTTGAGGACTTGCGAGAGTGCCCACATGGAAAGGCAGCTAGACTTGGTGACGCGCTTTGAGCTTGCACGTGGCGCCTGATAACGACTTGCATATGTCCTGACCACAGCCCCGAGGGTGCATGAGATGGGGGACGGTGGAGTTGACGGTCCGTGGGGTTGTAGGTGGCCTGGTAGCCTTTGCTGCTTAGGCCCTGCCCTCTCCGTGGCCTTCCCGCCTGCTCGCCTGCTTGACTGCCGGCCTTGGAGGTGTGAAGGAGTGTTGGTTCGTGCAGACCATCCCTACGATGCCATTTGATGCTTCTGCTCGGATGCTGACGGGCTTACTGATGGCCGGGAGAAGCCGGCATGCGGGCTCGTGTGCAGGTGTAGCGCGGGCCACGCAGATTGATGATGCAGGCCACCGGAGGAGAAGCAGGCCCAGAAGGCGAGAGGGTGTTCTAGTCGTGCCGCCCAAGGGGAAATGGCACATGGTGGCGGGTGCGCCTTGTGGGCGCTCCTTCCTGCACCAGCCTAGACTAAGCGGACGCAAGCTGGCCCGTCCTGTCCCCACCAGCAAGTGGCATCACGCACGCTCACGCACATCGTTTGCAGAAAACAGCGCTTCCAGTTCACCACCTGCACCTCGGGCAACCCCCGTGGTCCTCCAGGGCCGGTGTGTGCGGACCCGCGCCTGCCAAGCGCGAGCCCTGTCTGGCGTCCACTTCCATCGTACGGCCAGCGCGCGCGGCTCCATTGTGCCTACGACAGTCCTGTCTGCATCCACAAACTGGGACGGCCGATCCGTTGCATCGCATCACGGCTCGAACTCGACAAACTCCATTTGCAGACCTGCTTTGCGCAGTCCAGATCACGGTTGCCCAGCTCACGTGGACGCCCTCCAGAGCAGGACTTGGAGCGCTGTTCGCCAAGGCTGTGTGTCGCAAGAGGCGCACACAAGCGTTCCGGGCCAAGAGCCAAGGCCGCCACGGCATAGCTTGAGTTGGCCACTAGCCACGAGCCCAAGAGCCAAGGTGAACCACACGCCGCACAACAAGCAACCTCTCGATTGCCTGCCATTTTAGTCCGCCATTTCCATCATCTACAGCCGTCTTTCCCCGTCCACGGTTTTCGGGAAAACGTGGCTCCCTCTCTGCGTCTATTCTGGAACTCCGTAGTCAGATTTCCCCACTGTCGGCCGCACATCGGATACTCACCCTGACCACCAGGGCAGTCCTCCACACACACGTCTGCGGGGTCGACCAGTCTCGGCCAGCACAGACAGTGGTGCTCTGCTCCACAGTCTCCAGTACGGGGGATGTCGATGTTGGGGGACAATGGGGGCCTTCTCCAGAGCGTGCGGAGAGGTCCCAACACAGGGCCCCCGACTCGCAAGGACCATCCAGTTCCCCAGCCTCAGCACAGTCACCCAACTCCACCAACAGCCAGCCCGCCAGCCATTCAATCACAAAATTTGTATGTGTCAGGTGAGGGGCTGCTCACCTCGAGCGACCCTGCCTTGCACACAGGGACATGACTCTCTCCTCCGACCCCCTTTCCCAGGCGCTCTTGTCCATCTCATGAAACTGCCTCAATTCCGCCTCAGTCCAACAAGTCTCTTTGCCGTATCGCCACGAGTCCAGACCCCTCTCGAAACACGTATCGCCAGCCATCGCTTTATTAATAGACTTGTTTCGTTCTCTCAACCCTGGCGCCTGGCAGCCGTTGTGCGGCAGTTGGTGCTCCAGCTCGTTCCAAAGGCTGGTATGGTGCAAGTGCCAAGAGGCGAGGGGGAAACCCTCGCAGGGCTTGTTTCGGGCAATTTGCCCTCGACTATTCTGCAAAGAGCTGTACCGTCCTGCGCTCACGACGCTGCCAAGACACGACTAGGGCCAGGGTCGCTCGAGCTTTGAGACTTGGTCATGGTCACCATCTCCGCCATGGCCAATGAAGCACCAAGCCACCGTCTTGGCAAACGCCATGCACCCCGCCGACCGTGGTCGTCGCCTAACTGTCCCAGGGCAAAGACGCTGCTCATCATCCCCGTCACGCGAACAGCTCGATGCCGGATGCCGCGACCTCGATGTCCTGCCGTGCTACGCTGCACCCTGCAGCCGTGCAGTCGAAGACATGGTGTCTCACGCCGCCCGGGTTCCCCCCATCTCGCCGGATGAGGTGTGATGCTCTATGGCTATAAGTATGCCGATCTCCCTCCGCATGTTTCTTCCCTCGAAGGTGGTTCCCTAAGCACATCTCTCCTCGTCCCTTCTCATACTTACCATTTCTGGGCAGCATACAAGACACCGAGAGAGTCTCTTTCCATTCCCCGCTTCACCTTTGTCGACCAACACAGACCGATCACCATGTCTTCGGGTGCAGTCGACGGCGGCCCCATCGTCAAGGGGACGCGGGCCACCGCCAAGCAGGCCTGGAGCGACCTCTTCAAGTGGAAGCACAGAGTAATCATCGAGAATGAGTTTGGCGAGGAGCGTCAGGAGCTCCGCAACCCTGAGAAGCTGCGCAACCCATTCTCGCTGCTTGCCCTGCTCAGTGCCAAGGACTACCTGTACTTCTTCGTCGGCTTCTTCGCCTGGACCGCTGATGCCTTTGACTTCCACGCTCTTTCGATCCAGACTTACAAGCTGTCTCCTTACTACAATGTCAGCAAGACTGAGATCTCTACAGCCATCACCCTGACCCTGCTCCTCCGTTCCGTCGGTGCCGCCGTCTTTGGTCTCCTCGGTGACCGCTTTGGTCGCAAGTGGCCCATGGTTGCCAACATGATCATTCTTGGTACGTGTTTCTGACTCCACTTCATTATTGTCCGCGATGAATACTGACTGGGTTGGCATTACAGGACTCCTCCAGATCGCCACCATCTACAGCACCACCTTCCAACAATTCCTTGCGGTTCGCTCTCTGTTCGGACTCTTCATGGGCGGTGTTTACGGCAACGCCGTCGCCATGGCTCTAGAGAACTGCCAGTAAGTGTTGGAAGACAATTCCTATCCCTGTTGATGACATGTACTAATCGCCTTCACACAGCACCGACGCACGTGGTCTCATGAGCGGTATCATGCAACAGGGCTATTCCTTCGGCTATGTTCTTGCTGCGTGCGCCAATCTTGGTGTCGGTAAGGAAGTCGAAAGCTGGAAGACTGTCTTCTGGATTGCCGCTGGGCTGTCCATTGCGGCTGGTCTGCTCCGCTGCTGCTTCCCCGAATCTCGCCAGTTCCTGGAGGCCAAGAAGTCGGGCGACAAGATCACTGCCAGCGACTTCTGGGCTGAGACCAAGCTCATGCTTGGCAAGGAGTGGCGCATGGTCATCTACTGCATCATTCTTATGACCTGGTTCAACTTCTACTCGCATACCTCGCAGGACAGCTACACCACCTTCATGGTCACCCAGAAGGAGCTCTCCAGCGATGCCGGTACTCGTGCCAGTATCTGGATGAAGACTGGAGCCTGCATTGGTGGCACCATCATTGGCTATCTTTCCCAGTGGGTTGGCCGTCGCCGTGCCATCTGCGGCGCTGCCCTCATGAGCGCGCTCCTTATCCCCGCCTGGATCCTTCCCGAGGGTGAGGCCGCCTTGTCTGCCACTGGCTTCCTGATCCAGTTCTTTGTCCAGGGTGCCTGGGGTGTGATCCCCATCCACCTTAACGAGCTCTCCCCTCCTGCTTACCGGTCTACCTTCCCCGGTCTCACCTACCAGCTTGGCAACATGATCTCGTCCCCGTCGGCGCAGATTGTCAACGCCATTGCTGAGACTCACTTTGTCTCTTCGAAGAGCGGCAAGCTCAAGGAGGCCTACGGCCCGGTCATGGGCATTGCCACCGCCATCATTGCTATCGGCATCATCATCACTGCCGCTCTTGGCCCTGAGAAGCGCGGTCGCTCTTTCGAGCACGGCCCTGCCGGCGCTGCTGTCCACCACCACCACGATGCCGAGAAGGCTGTTGACGCTGGGTCGCTGCACGATGAGAAGGAAAGGCCCATTGAGGTCGAGCAGGTTAACAACGCCACGGAGGCTAAGCCTACCGCTTAGGTGCGAGGCGTGCATGCGGTAGTGTGAAGCGCGCATGGAGCACACGCAAGGGTCACAAGGGTCTAGAACCTGGTGAAAAAAATCCCAGATTCTCCTTGATCCACCTGCAGTGCCAGGGTACCCAAGGACATCAAGTGGTCTGTAGTAGCCTTTTACGAAGAACGAGGAAATGAACAACAACCTTGATTCAAAACGTGTTGAGATGACTTGTGTCCGCCGTAGTGTGTGCAATGAGCGTGGCGTGAAGAGGATCGGCCGAGCTTACAACTAGGCCAAGAATTGGCCTTTGCAATGTCTCGGCATAGCGTGCGAAGCATTGGGGCTGCTCCAAGGCCATGTGCCAAGTACAAGCCAAGACGCAGCCAAGTGCGACAAGAAATGCGGCTCTGCTCAGGCTTCACGCACAAAGGAGAACAGGCGGCGCGGCGCGCGCGCAACACTTTTTGCATTGGGTTTCACGGTACATGAGCTGGGATAGGGATGAACTTTCATATTGAGGGTAGTGCTGGATGCAATAATTAAGCGCGGAGAAAAAGGGAGAGACAGCGAGCAAGCAGGCAAGCAGGCAAGCAAGCAACCCGGATGCGAACAAGTGGATGGCTGGCTGCTGGCCTCAGCAGGCTGCCTCGTGCATGTGGGTTGTGTGGAGATGTCTCTCGTTTTTTTGTCTCTCTGTCCCTCCAGCCATGAGAATGGGCTGGTCCGGACTACGGGTGAGCACGGGGAAGGGTGAGAGAGGAGGGGGCGGCTTCAATTGGGATGAAGCTGCAAGACATCTTTCCGTTTGACACTGCGCTCTTTCTCCCTCCCACGTGCTGCTGCCTTCTTCGTTCTGGTGACTTTCTTGGCGAGTCATGCTGGACTGGGTTTCGTGCCGTTTTTTTTTCTTGGCCATGGCCCATGGAAGATCAGCTAGCTCTGTTTCACTGTCCCAGATGGTTTGATCCATCACGGACTGAACTGTAGTATCCCGGGTATTTCACTTTTTACTTTGACACTCTCTCCAGGCGATACTTACGCAGTGAGCAGCTATTTGCGCAGAGATTAATTTCCTCGCCAGTATCAGTTCGCAGTCTACACTCCCCCAATGTAGGTGGATGTGGCAATAAGCTTAAATGCGCACAGGGGTGTGTCGCAACACTCAGTCGAGTCCAGTCAAAAGCAAACACATCCGCTAACCCTCCGTCGATCCCCTCCTCTGCGACCAATTGACATCTGCCTATTAGGTTTCACGCTGTTTGGTACTTGCCAGCCGGAATGGGATGTAGTAGCGGGATTCTCGAAAAAGGAAAAGCAAGAATGCACATCATCTCCCCTGGGCCCATACATTTGTCCCCCCCGCCGGCCGCATGAGTGAGACCTCGCACATGATTTAGCGCGCGTATTCTAGCGTTGTTTTCTAATCGTAACAGTAGTAGTGCTCCTCGTCTTCCTCGTCTTCTTCTTCTCTCGGTGGAGCTGTGGAGTAAACCGGAACCGAGACCGAGACCCTGTATGTATGTACGTGCTGCTATTGACGCACGGATGGGACTGTCGATCCGGGGGAACTGGTATAAAACGCAGATCAAAGGGTTCCGGTTCGTGCCGATGGGAGGGGATGGCACGACGCACGGGCGCTGCTGTGGGGAGAGATCATCCCCCCGGTTCCATGCGCGCGGGTTGTTCCCCAGCTTGTTTCGTGTTTTATTTTCTGGGGAACTTTGACTCGTGTTGTTAGATGTATCCCATTGGATAGTAGTACGTCCGAAAAGGTACGTAGTTGCGTCTGGCACGAGTAGTAGCTCGGGTGCGGTGGGCCCAATCAACATGGCACTGACAGAGCCCCGTCTAGGTAGGTAGCGCTCCGTCATGATGAAGATGCGCGCTCGTTCAGCATTGGGGAAAACCCTCCCCCCTACGATTCCGCTGTTCCTTGCCTAGTCTGGCCAGCTGAACGACCTAGACGACTGACTCTCTCTCGACGCAAAACGTCTGAGCCCACTACGCGCATCCCCCACAATCCCACCCCCGGATCATGCCCCCCCGACATTTCTACCTGCCCTATTTGACCCGGACCATTTTCGCCTTGTGAGTTGGACATGAGCTATATTGAGACTCTCAAAGGCTCGTCCGGGGATTTCCGCTAGTGCCAGCCAATGTAGCCCGCTACTCCTTGATAATCGGATGATGTTCTGTGTTTCGTTGCCAGTCAACCCGCTTTAGCTGGTTTGAGCGCAGGGGTTTTGTACGGCCCCCCTTTCAGGAAAACATCATCGACAAAGACCAAAAAAGTACGATGGTACTCCGGGATGCTCCGGGATGCCGCGTGTCGCGGGTTGATATGGATCGCTCACCTTTCCTTCCCTTTTGCTTCCCCAAGCCCCGGAGTGAATCCTGGTACGATGTTCCCCGCACTCTCAATGTTGCTTCCTCTCCGGTCCTCCCCGCGGACTCCGCAGACAACAAGGGGGACCAGGGTGGGGGGTGGTTTCGAAGGGGTGGATTTAGGGACGCAGAGAAGAAGGAAGAATAATAGAAGGTGTGTGTAAGAACGAGAACTACGAGCGGAAACAAGGGGAGTGGCTTGGGGAGTTTGCAAACCCGTGTCTTCGCGCTGTTCACGATTACATCTCGCGCGCGCGCGCGTGCGGCGTCTCCGCAGAAGGAAAAGAGCAGCAAACCCCCAGTTTACTCAAAGCAAATCTCGTGAAAGAATCCGACCTTGTTGTTTTAACCCCTTTCTTGCAATGGCCAGGGTCGTGTTGATAACGCACATTGCGACATTCAGCAGCATGTCGATGACAGCTTGCCCTTTCCGCTGAGTCAGAGAAGAGGCTGGCGCCACGAGCTCTTATTACCAGTCTGATCAGATGCCACGGTTCCTGTCAGTCAGTCAGTCAGTCAGTCAGTCAGTCTGTCTGTCTGTCTGTCTGTCTGTCTGTCTGTCTGTCTCCTGGTCTGCCAGCGAGGAGAGTGGCTGGTTGAAGTAGCACATAGAACAGGGGTGCTCCAGGAAAGAAATATGATGTAGAAGCGCGGTGCCGTTGGCTGTCTATTGAGGGTGGGCCCTTTTCCAGCCTCGGGCTGTGAGCCATCACTTGAGCTGGCATGTCAAGGCAGATGCTGTTTAGTGGCTGATCGGATGAGTGCCCAGTTGGAATAGCTCTGGACATGAGATGAGACACTTTGTGAGGGACAAAATATGGTGTGGTAGTGAAGTTCACGATGAAGGGCGAGATTCCGTAATTCTCGGCCAACAAGTGGGTTTGGCGTTCTGTTTTCCATTGTCAGAATCCTACTGCAACAATTGCACATGATGAAGAGCATCCCTGGAGTGTTAATCAGTATACAAGTCCTGGTTGAGCAGGAGCTACTCTCACGCATCCGTCATATGTCACTTCCCTGTCTTGACCGTAGAACTATCATGAATCATTAGAAAGTTATTCATTATCTAGATGCCTCTCGGAATTCCCAGCAACGACCCTATGGGAAGTGTAAATCCAGCGCGTCAAAGTCCCTGATGACCAGACCGGTTCCCTCCGCATCGCTGCTGCCCTCACTGCGTAGCGGTGCTCTGTTGCGCCGGTCCTGGGTCCCCACATTCTGCGTGTCGCCGCTTCGTTGCCTCGCGTCTTGGGCTGCGAGTGCTGAGCGAGGGGAAAGACCGCCCTCCCTCCGCTCATCCCAGTCTTGATTTATGGCGGGCGACCTAGAATTTCCCCGGAAGCTTTGATCCCGAATGGGCCATGAAGTCTCCTCCTGCTCTGCGAGTCTCCATATTGACGCTTCGTTGGGTGGGGCCTTCCGCGCTCTAGAGTTTTCTCTTGGCCGTTGGCCCTGTCGGGAATGACTTCGGGATGATGGAGCCGCAGACTGAAGGCTGTACATCGAGCTGACCGCTGGAACTCCAGTATGCAGGCCGAGGTAGGCTCCACCACTGTCTGAGGATCGCACACTCCGAGTACCTGGAGTTTGAAAGCCGGCTTGACTTGACCGGCTGCCAACAGAAGGAGGCGGATGGGGGAATGCCTTGGTCGGCAAGCCTTGGGGAAAATCATCCGAGTCATACTCATCTCCACTGTCTTTCCATCCTAAGGGGACCGTCCAACAATATGACCTTTCGTGGGTGGCCTCAGCTGTTGACATTGTGGCACCCTTCCACGGAGGGATCTTGGTGCCCTTCAGGCGCGGGGACAAAAGGTATGACACACCCTCTTTATATCTCACGTTTGGAGAATCCACAGAGACACTGGCCAGGGTTTGCAGGATGGCGTATAGAAGCACCCAACGGCCACGACGAGCCGTCGACGGATCTACTATGCCAACGAGGTCGGACTTTTCGAAGCGGACAAAGGAGTCCACGAGGTCAGACTGGATGTAGTCCGAACCCAACATGTCGATGTTTGTAGCCTCTGTGTATGCGAGTTGCACGCGGCGCTCGAGGCCCCGATCTTCAGCACTTTTAGCCTGTGCCTTATCCCATTTGAACCGAGACTGCGCGCCTGATCCCTGCACTGGCGAAATCGAGTCGGGGATGAGAGGGAATGGATGCGGAATGTGGGGATACCGCATGCGATTGTCGTACTCAATTAGCAGATCCGTCATCGCCAGTTCAGGCGTGTCGGGCTCAAAGACCTTGGTGTTGTCTTTTGAGACCATCATCCATTTGCGCGTGCTGCGGGTCTCCGACTCATCCCACAGGATCTGCCGATCAACCAAGTAGTCGTACAGAGCCCCGAAGTCCTTTTGCAGCTTTTGCACGAGATTGCGGTCGAGCCACACATCCTCACCCTCACGAGCGCGACTTGGCTTGCTCGGCGGTGGCCACGTGCCGTAAGCCTGAGTGTAATGCTCTAGAAAGAAGAGTCGGAGACGATCAGCGGATGCTTGAGCTGAATTATCGGAAGAGGGCGTGGAAGATGGCCAGTTGATGTCGAACGCAAAGTCAGCCAGCCGATCCTCTGCAGTCTGGACGCGTAGCTGCATCTCCAGGTACGCCCTGTCCAGTAGGGCACGCGATAGGGGGGACACAGCCTTGAAGTCGGCACAGCGATCGGCGAAGGGATACATCCCCACGCCGTGAACGAATGCCTCACGCCAGCCTTCCTCCCAGCGAACGTTGGCATTCTCGGACCACGCGAGTAAAGAAATGGAGATTTCGGGGTCATTACGAGCGTCATCCAGCTCGCGCGCAGAGATGTAGTTTAGCATCGTGCCGACATTATCTGCGTCCGACGGCATGTAGGCATCTAAGCGTGCGAGCAGATCTGTCAAGGCTTGGCATAATGACGTGCCAACTAGAGACGCGTGGTAAAGCAATGCGAAGACGTTGCGTGTCGTGAGCGCGTGCCTGTGTGCATCCGTCTTTGAAAGTCCTTGTGGCGTCGGGAAGAACATGTGATAGGAAATCTGAGCATCCGCGTCCACCGAGCTTAAGTCTTCGGACGCAGGCGGTGTGATCCGTCGGGACCGTCCCGGCTGTTGACTATGCAGCATCGGCGGCGCACCGACTGGCGATGGCGGGAAGTACATGGTAGCGTCGTCGTCCTCTTGCAATCCTTCACGGAGGAGAGTGATCAGCACGCGTGATTCCGTCGCCTCGATGATGTGGGACGAAAGCCTGAAAGACGCGTTCGGCCGTGGCATCTGGCCTTTCGATCCAAAGTAGACGAGAACGTCCCCGTTAGGATCCCACAGCTCTGGGTCTTTCCTAAGCTTGTTCCACTTCTGAACCGGTCTTCCGCCACCAAGCCAGCGTTTCACGGGTGGCGCGTTGGCTACCGGAGGCAGAGGAGGCAGTTTCGCGGACGGTGGGGGTGATACCATTTGCTGGAGCGAGGGATTCCACTGCAGATCCACGCCCGGAGTTTCGGGAAGCGGTGGTGTCTCGTTGGCTTCATAAGGGCTGGTTTCCCCAAAGGTACGATGTGTTGCTGCGGATGGCGCGCGGATTTCAAGCTCCTCGGCTGCTTTCTTCTTTCTGCCACCAAAAGAGAATGCCTTTGTGAGGTTCTTGCGGACTTCCTCACTCTTCTTGTCCACCGTGCTCCGGAACCCAGACTTTTCGATACCAGACACATCTTCTGTCCTCTGCACGGGCTTTCTCGGCCGGGAAAATGCGTATTCGTCCACGTGGTCGTAGTGCCTTCCGTCTCTGCCGTTGTCGCCAGCGTCGTATTCATGGCTGCTGTGGCTGAGGCTGCTCAGATTGGCTGCGTCCAGTCGGAGCGAGGGCTCAGATGCGCGAGCAGCGTCGGAGAATTTGAGCAGCCTCCCATTTGTGGGCGGATATGCCGGAGCTTGAGGTCTGTTCTCTCTGGTGTAGCTATCATCGTCCTGAGTCGAACTTGGCCGACTGCGTACTGACCCGGCCCGGCCCCGCGATGCTCCCGTAGATTTCTTGGGCTCGGTGATCTTCTTGCGCACAATGGCGCTGCGACCCGACATGATGGCGTCTTGACCGTCTTGTGTGGTTGCCGTCTCAGCAAATAGGTAGGCTGGTGGCACTCGGGTACAAAGCCGATTGCGAAGCTGGAGGCGACCGTGATCAGGGCTTGCTGACGAGGCTCGACAATGATGGAAGCTCTGGTATAGTGTGCGCTTTGGGGGGGTACACGAAGACTATGAAGTCAATGATTACGCCAGAGGCAGCTTGTTCGAGCACACCAGAGAGGCCGTGGCTGGCTTATCCGCATTGGGGAGATGAGCAAATCAGATATGGTCTGGGAGGGTCAAGGCGGTCTCTTGGTGATATCTGTCCCTCGCGTCGTTGCTGCCGTAGGTCGTGGGAAAAAAATTACAATCGGGTATTAAGAGGGGACGAGGTCCTGGTCAAGTTGGGAAGGTCGGCCGAGACGGGACACGGACTGCAATGGCGCAGCAGCGACGGTGAGACAGACAGGCGAGGTCGTGCCCCGCATCACCCGCCAAGATCTCACGGCATTCGAAGCTGGCGAGGTTTACGGTTGGAGACGGTTCTGCAGGGCGCACGGGTACGAAGCGTGATGTCGACACCAGGATGGGAGAACCAACCTTATGCAGGAGTAGCGCCTTGTGCCGGGGTCCGGAGCGAGCCGGGGCAGGTGGCATGGCAGAGACAGGCAGGCAGGCATGCGGGCAGGCAGGCAGATTCCATCCATGGCGGCTCGGGTACAACAGCAACAGACTGAGTTTCGATGGTCGAAGGCACAGCCAACCGCAGTGGTTGTGGAGGGTGGTTGTGCAGCACAGGTGGAGGAGGTGCGCGCTCAGGGCGCGGTCGTCATGGGTCGACCCTGGGCGGGCAGTCTGGGCTGGGCTGGAAAGGGCTTATCAGTCAGCCAGCCAGCCAATCAGGGCGGCCTGTGGAGGTCGCAGCGCCGGGGAAGGCACGACCGTTGACAACGGCGGCAGAGGCGGGACGCTTTGACTGCCTCAGGACAGTAGCATCGGATGCCACCGAACGGTCTCGACGAGGAACTTGCCGGCCTTCCAAGGTTCTTTCCTCACAGCGACCTTCCAACAACAACAACGACAACAACAGCAATCCTCGAGCCCCGTTCACCAGCTGGCTGCCCGGAGCAGTGGGGTCGGCCGCCCTGGCAGAGGATCCTTGTCCGAGGCCCAGGTTCCTGAATGCCGAGATGCCTCTGATTGGAAGATAAGGCGACTCTCCGGCATCAGCCAGAAACGTAAGTCGAATGCTTCTTCTGCAGTCAGAAAGGCCGATGGCCCGACCTTGCCAGATTGCTTTTGCGGCCTGGCCTTGGCTCTGCCGCCGTGAGTGCAGGGTGCCTCATCTCGTTTGATCAGTCATTTCGGCCTGCTCAGTCCTCCGTCCATACTGCATGCATGCACACACCAGCAGCCACCCGCGGGCGACAGACGCGCCCACAAGGAGGCCGTTGCGACTAATGTTCGGCTAACGTACAAGTTATTTGACACGCATATTGTCTCCCACATGAAATATTACGAAACTATAGCCCTCATGCAGAACATCGCTTCCAAGCAAGGTACCAGCAAACGCGAGCCGCAGCAACAATCCTTCTGCGGCCCCTGTGCCACGTGAAACCCCTTGTTGGACATCTGGGGGATGCTCACACCGGTCCTGCCACCCTGTCCGCCAGATTCTCCTCAGGGATTTGCCCCGAATGGAGCCAGGGGTCTCAGGTACGTGGGTTTTTCGATGCAGGGCGATGTTGACCCCATGCAGGGCTGATTCGATGCGAGTCGTGATAAGGGGTTCTCCAGCTTCGACGTCTTCTTCTCCCCACAACAATCTCGCCGATCATGTTCGCAAGGAGGGCTTTTTATAGCCCCAGCTTGCGCGACCTGATGAATGATTATTATTTCGCACGCTCGTCAGCTACATGCCCCCTGGATGGAGAACCCTCCAGCGCAATGCACATGCGGAGGGTTGTTGTTCCATCTGTAGTGTCGCATTATAGGCGTCTCCCCACGGACGTTTCCGTTCATCCAGGTTTATCCAGTTTCCTGCCCTCTCGACACAGACTCATCACAGCTCAATATCACACCCTTGCTCGGCTATTAACCACTAGTCCCTGACAAAGCCACTCCTTACAGCTCCGCCCTGCTCCGGATGCCGGAACTCGCCTCTTGCCTAAGTGGACCCGACTTAGCTTCGGATCACGGCGCCGGTTCCGTGGATTGCCATGCTCAACCTTGGAACCCATGTCACACTACCACAAGCTGGAGCAGGCTGAATGGTGGAGCCACCACACCAGCATGAACCACAATTTGGACGATTTCCTCCCATCGCCTGCTATCCTCATAGGGGACTTACCGGAGAACATCAAACCCAACCAAATCAGGCGCATAGGATTGATTGGCGTTGCCAGGATACCCAAACTCCACCGTGTTACCAGCACCTTCGACGAACCCGTCGACCTCAACCATCAGCTTGCCCGTGTCGAACCAGTTGTTGCCTGACAAGGGAAATGCCCAGGACTTCGCATCGCCGCCATTGACGCGAATTGTGAGGTCGCGCACGTTGGTGCCCCACGTCCATGACTCAGAAAAGTGATACTCGTAGTTGATGTAGTCGACCGACAGTAGGACCTTGCCGGTGCGGGGGCTCGTGACTGAGCTCCAGGTCGCCGTTGAGCTGATGTCAATGTACCCAATCTTCTCGCTGCCAGGGAGGCACTGGTCATTACCGCATTTGGTGCTTACAGCCGTGCCCGTCAGCACTGCCTGCGCCGCACTGTAGTGCCCGACTGATGTCGGCACCGGGGTCTCGATAATATTCGACAGCACAAACAGTTGCATGCCGTGCACGGGCAAGGTCGCGGCAAGCAAGCCCGACGAGGAGCCAGACGCGTCGCTCCACACCTCGTGCCAGTCTGCACTCGCGACGCCCACGAGCGTCAGATCAATCGAAACGGTCTGAGCTTCGGCACCCCAGTTCGGCACGGCCACGACCTTCTGACCTCCCGACAAGGGACCCGCCCAGATGTCCCAGCTCAACGGGCTCGCGTGGCGGATGACCAGGTCGGCAGCCACACCTAAGGGGTCCTGATTGATGGCGATGGCCTGCTTGTCGGACATGATTGCCAGCGAGTCGGCGGGGATGTCGTCCTTGTCCATGATGCCGCCAATGATGAGCGGGGACTTGAGCGCCGCCCACATGCCAAAGTGCAGGCGCTCCTCGTCAGGATTGAGAGCGTTGAGACCAACACTGCGTGCGTAAGGATCACGTCAGCACCACTAATTTTGAGAGCCACCCTTGCCCGGCTTGCGAGAGACAGCTGGTGTAATTATCCGGCAATTGAATGGCAATTAGACGGCAACTGATATCGGCACAAAGAAGCACGTACATGAGCATGTCCAGATCGGCAAAGGCGCCCGGCTGGCTGGAAGGGCTGTGCGCCACGGCCTGGTTAACGATGCGCGGGATGCTCTTCCACGCATTGTAGATGTCGTTGCTCATGCGCCAGCTGTTGGCAATAGGAACAGACCTAGTTCTCGACAGAAAGCATGTCAGTCAACCATCCTTGGACTTGGTGTGTCTATTACACCCAAAGCTTCCATGAAAACACGTCCACGCGCGAACTTCCCGGGGACAACGAAAAAGGATGCTGGCGACCACATCAGCGAGACAAGAACCGAGCTTACCACTCTGGAACATTCTGCCCTATCCCCCACTGGCACAGGAAGTACTGTATATCCCGATCTGTCTTGGCCAGCTCGTCGGCCATGACCTGAAACCGACGTGGAGACTGAGACTCAGCGGATGACGAGTCGACCATGACCGTCCGCGAGGTCGAGTAGCAGTTGTCGTATCTGTGCGCGACGTTAGCGACGTAATCAATCCCCGCCAGCTTCAAGTGCCGAAATCGGTTCACCGGAAGTTGTGATGCTGTTGCTGAACGACTTCCTCATTTGGGTCGTATGCAGATGGGAAGAGAGCCCAGATGGGCAGAGTTTCACTTACTTGAGCGTGTCGCCGCCCCAATCGGCGAAAGACTGAGCATCGACGGCTTCGTATCCTGCGATTCATGAAATATTCAGCGTGAGTTTTTCATGCAGACTCAAACAGAGCTTCAGTGAAGGCCGACGTCTTTGTCCGTACACGCGTAGCCACCGAACCTGGCCCTCATCAGACCTCCACGATGCCCGAGCCAAATGACTGCGATATCGCACAAAGGTCCAGCCACATGACCAGGAGAGCACGTGAAGCTTACCAAGAGAAGCAGGAATAGCCTCCGACCCGCACTGCAAGTACCCAGCTCCCGAGTACAAGCCAAACTTCATACCCAGGCCATGCACAAACTCGCCCAGCGCCTCGGGTCCGCTGGGAAACAGCGTCTCGTTCCACACCAGCTTTCCCGTCTGCGGATCCCGGGCGTCCGCGGGCCAGCCGCAGTCCACGGTGACGATGTCGTAACCCAGGTCGTAGAAGCCCAGGTCCTTGAGGCCCTGGGCGTTGAGCTTGATGATGGCTTCCGTGGGGGTGCAGGAGTAGGCATTGTACGAGTTCCAGCCCATCGGTGGCGTGGGGGCTTTGTGGAGGCGTGCGGTGACGAGGACGCGCGAGGCTGAGGAGAGAAGGAGCGCTGTGGCTATGCTTAGGGCCTTGAAAGGACTGAGGGTATTGCTGTTGGTGGTGTAGAGCGCCATGGTGGTTGCTGACGTTACACGTTCTCCTGATCTCTCCACTGGTGGTCGACTAGATTTTCTCCAAAATCGCCTGAGCTAAGAAGACCTGCAACGAAGGCTGTAAGTTGTCCACCAAATTGGTCCTTCTCAAACGACGAGCTGGGAGCAGCAAAACGGCACAAGAAAATAGATCAAAGCAATATCCACTCAACTATCAGAAAATACGGATGCCAACCGTCGAGAGCTCTTATATGCCAAAGAGGCACAGAAATCTCAATGACTGGAGCAGGTCCTGGTGTCTAGCCACCCACAAACGTCACAAGTCAGTCGAATCGCACGTGCTGATCCACAAGCTTAAACTCCCCCATCCAACCACCCCCTTGACGGAAGAGGAAGTACAGAGAAACGCTCGAATGACGATGGAAACAAGAAATCCGGGATCGACATTCTCGGCCCATTGGGGCCAGCGAGCGAGGAATGTAACAGCGCGGGTAACGCGCGCGCGCACACACAGGGTGCGGGCGGATGTAACCCACCAAACAGACTAGGCTTCGGCAGTTCTGTGCTCAAGCTCTCCCTCCAATTGGGCTTGAGGTCGTCTTCCCTTTTCCCCTGGAAAAGGATGGTTATTTGTCGACGACACACACGCAAGTCCTTGTCAGCCCTTCCTGTGCTTTACTCACCGCTGGCAGATCCGAAATCTAGCTTCTTGGATGCAACGAAAATAGTGCTAATAAAAGGGGTGGAAGAGCCCAGAGCAGAGTTTCGCAACGGTCGCGGTTTTTTTTCGGACAGCATAGAAGGAGTAAAATAACGACCATGGAAAAAGATCGGGCGATCCGCTCGAGAATTGCATCTTTGTTGTCCGACAACGAGCCCTCCCCGGGTTCAAGTCAGGCCCACCTCCGCCTCCGCCCTCCCCTCCGACTCCGGCAATACCCCATCCTCCTCCCTTCCCCGCAGAACGCACTCTTGCCCGACTCTTTGTATCCCCTCGCCGCGATTGGCCCGCATAATGCGACCAAACACCGCCAATGGACGGACTCACATAAATATACCCGGGAAAACCCCACTCCTTTATGCCTAAATTCCAAGTGCACTGCAGTGTGACACCGCGAGCGGCACAGCAAATCGGCTAGCACCCATGGTGACGGGGAAGCCTGCTGGTTCGAAGTGAAAAACGTGCTTGGGGTTTTTACCCCGGAGTAACGTACGTAGATCGGCGACCGGGGGGTTTCTCAACGACGCTGTCTCAAAGTGATCTTCATGTGGCCCGTGTCGTATCCCCCGCGCGCCAAGCCGAGGAGGGTCAGTGGCACGAGGAAAAAGCGAAGCACCAGGGCTGGTACTAGATACTTACGTACGTATCAAGCCACAGGTGTCGACCTCGTGATGCTGTGATAAGTTGCTATCGTCATGGGTCGAATTGAAAAACGAGCTAGTCACAATCGACGTACCGACCATCGACATCGTCCAGTCGCTGAAGATAGTCCGGCCGTTTCACCATTCTGTCCAAGCCTACAGGGGTCATTACTTGATCTACAATATCTTCCCAAAGTGGGCTTTCCGTTCGGGTGAAGAGTATGCCGAGTTTGTTGCAACTCTGCATTCGTTGATTAGAGGTTAAGCATGACTGCCTGAGAAAATAAAAACGCCTCCTTAAATTACATTGTTCAATACCGTCTGATTGTAAACTCCCGAAACTCCTTTTGGAATGAATGAATGCCTGTAATCGCCTCGACCTGCCGGCGAATAATATGTGCTGATAAGCGCTAAAATGTGTGCTGTGAATGATTTCGCTGATGCTTTGAAAGATGTTTCGCTTCTCTACAGTGACCACAGTGCGCTCCGGCGCTTGCCCAGGGGGTACACAACAAGGTTGGCCAACGAAAGGCCAACGGACAGGCCAATTGAGATCTGAATCATGTTCGCAGCAAGACTGAAGACCTGGAAATGGAATGTTAGATGAAGCTGGCGCACGTATGGGAGGAGCAATCATCACTTACAATGGTATTCAGCTGTGAGTCGTTTGACTGGGAACGGTATTGTCAGTATCAGCCTGGAAATGCAGACAATGGCGCCAATGTACTTACATTGTTCGGATCGCTGTCGTTCAATGCAGTCGCAGTCTGCAGCCCGGCCGTGATCGCGCCACTGGTCGCCAGTCCGCCGGGGACTTGCACGAATACCGCTGGTAACAGTACTGTGGCTGCAACGCCATGCGCGAAACGGCTGTAAGCGTTCGCCAAGAGTCCCACAGTAAACGCACCCAGCGCATACGCGATCGGCAGACTCTCCGCAAATTTCTTGCTTGTATAGAAGTTCACCACATAACCGACTGTTCCCACAAGCACCATTAGAGGCATCTGTTTGAGCTTGGCGTTGTTAATGAAGGTGGCAAACAGGATGAAAAGCGGCACAAAGAGAAAGCCCCAGTATTGGTTCGCTGGATTGCGGCACGTAGAATCCAAATTCGCGTGCGGGTCCACGTAGCCGTAGAGGGTGGCGCCAACCGTTATGCCATAGCCTAGAAACAACGAATAGATGATGGCGTAGACTATGCGGATTGAGCCGGGCACGATCGCCTTCGATTGCAGCTCGAGAGCCGAGTTAAGGACAAGCACACCGGGCAGAATCAAGGCAATCGAACTCTGCGTCATTGCCGAGAAGCAGAATAGCCCACCATCTGCAATGCTCCCGAGTCCTCGTGCTGCAAAAGCGAAGACTGTGGTTGCAAGCACCTCAAAGACGACGGCAAAAGTCCTTGACTTGGGCACGACCCACACTTGACCGAAGCCAAGGAGAGTTCCGAGTACAAAAATGACCGGTATGTCGATGAATCTCGAACTGAAGGACACAGAGATGCAAGCACTGGCCAGCCCATACATGATGATGCGGAGCCAGGCAGGCCATTCCACGGGTGCCGAGACCAGATGCTCGAGCCGCTCGAGAGCCTCGTCCAGCGCAATGACATCGTGGAGAACTTCCTTGTAGATCTCGTGGGTGGCCTTGAGTTTGGCCAGGTTGACGCCCTGTACCTCTCGCACAATCTTCATCCTGGTCGTGTGGGTGAGGTTGTCGTCGAACGAAATGATCATGCAGTCCGGCACGTACAGGTACTGACTGTCAACCTCGAGCCACCTCGCTGTCGTCCTCAAATGCTCTTCGAGTCGGTGCCCAGGTGCTCCAAAAAGTAACAGGGCCCGACACATCTTCGTGATATAGCGCTGCCGCTGAAGAATATCGGCGATCTGCATCTGGATCTTGTGTTCGTCTCCCTCACGAATCTCAGCGCTCGACATGATACGTCCGCTTGTTGTCCTCTTGTGTCCTGGTCGCCTGCGCAGCGCCTTCGGCTCAGGTAACGAGTTTTTCGTCTCGTGCGGGTTGGCCAACTTCCTCGAAGCCCCTACAAGCATTGACAGTGTCTCCTGGGATCCCTTGTCCGGGTCGTTGTACCATTTCCGCCGTGTCGGCGTCGTGGCGCCTGACGAGTCTGCGGTACCAATCTTTGTCGAAGAACTATCATTGATGTTGGAGCTGTCGCTAGGGTTGCGGTACGACTTGAGGAGCTGGTAAAAGACACCACCCCGAGGGTTCCGGGGGCTGTCTCTCTCGGAGCTACTCACAGAGTCGGTCTGTGAAAGAGGACGCGATCGGGTGTTCTCGTACTCTGCCGCTGTTCGTCGCTGATGAGCTCCCCACAACCGCGCAGCCATTTTCGACTCCGACTTGTGCCGTGACTCGTCATCCTGTCTGGTCCTGGCCTTCTCCTGATCGCTGTCCTCCGGGGTGTTCTCCCAGTGATCCTTCTCGTCCAGCTCGTGGTCGTCAGAAGAATGCCGTGCCGCGGTGGCGGCTTCTTGTGCCCTGCGGGCGGCATCTTCGGCGGACTTTGCCTTTGCGGGGGACATTGGCATGTCCGGGCCCGGATCGAGAACTGAGTTGTATGAGCTTGGGTTCCTCGACAGGGCGGGCCGAGGCGTCCTTGGTGGCAACAGCTCGGCAGCGCGGTCCTTTGCCTTGGCCTTGGGGACAGACATTACTGGACTTTGAGCTGCGGAGCTGTTGAAGCGCACACGAGGCTTTGACGGCCGGTCGCTACTGCTCGAACCCGGCCGCTCCGCTGGCTGTGGAGGCGCGAGGCCATGAGGCTGAGCTGTCGGGCAGTCGCTGGTGGCAGGGCCGGCCTGGCCAGCTTCGTTCGATATGTCCTCAAGTGGAAGTTCATGTTGAGGGCTCTCTGGCGCCGACATGTCAAGCTGGTTTTATGGTGGCAGTTGACGGTCATGCAAGGTGGATCAGGGTCTGTAAGTCGACGTCCCCGTTGGGGGAGGATCCTGTGGGTGACAGCAAAACAGGATCTCTGTCTGGTGAGGCTGTGGGATGCGTCTACAGGAGAGAAAAGACTGGAGCAAGTAGTGTGTTTGTAGTCGACCTGATATGTATGGGTGGATAATTAGATGTGCGATGGCGACCAATAAGTGGTGGGCTGGCGTGACAAGAGGCCCAAGGGGTATCTGGAGATTGAGATCAGAGCTGTGCAATCTCTAAGCAGTGCTCGCGAGATCGCCGTCTCGTTTGGTCTGGTCTGGTGTTGTCAATGTGCGGTTGCTTGGGAAAGGAGCTTGAGCGAGGAGTCTGTCGGCAGGTTGCACCTTCCTCGAGCCCGCCTGATGAGGTCAGGCCGGGGCACGCAGGGTCTTTGAGGGCCGTCGGTAGTTTCGACATCGTGACTCCATTCCAGCTATTTTGAGGCGCCAAGTGGAGCCCACGATCCGGGTGCTGCGAGCTGGCACGGAGAAGGTTCCAGGGGCAGCATTGCGTGGAAGAGCGAGCCATGCCGTCCACTTGTGGTCACGATATTTACGTAAAAGCGGTGCCAGCCCGCCGGACACGAAGAGAGCATGCCACGGCACAGGCGCCCAGGGGCTCTGTGCCAGGTGCAGGTGACGAATCGATACGCGGCTCCGTGCCTGGGCAGTCTCGGCTCACACAGCACGACACGCAGGGAGCCGAGCCCGGTGGCCGCGTTGGCGATGGGCATGAGAATTTTCCTGACTGAGGCGACTGCAGTGGGGATGCCCGCTGAACATGTTTTCCGCCCGCCAGCGCTGCCCAAGTGCTCTGCCCAGGTGGTCGCCGCAGCGGAGTCCCGGGCCACGGACCCACCCGGCGCGTGCCCGCCCGGCACAGTGCTCTCCCCTTCCTCCCAGTGCTTCCATCTCACGCTCAGCCCACCCAACTGCCGGCTCGCCCAGGCGCTCTGCCCTCCCCGCCGCGACGGAGCCCGTGGAGAAGACACGGGCGCGAATGGCATGTCTGGAATAGGGGCCTGCGGTCTAGACATGCGACGATCAAACTTGTGTTCGAGTCTCGACGGCTCCGCCACGTCAGTCTCCGTTTGGCCATCATCATGTGCGCACCATGCCGTGGCACGATGGCGATGGCCCAGAGAGGGACACCGTCCGTATGACTGAGATACCGCTGTGATTTCTGCGTGGCATGGCAGAGGTCAAAAACCGACTGTGGCTGACGTCATTGGCGTAACGTTCCGCGAGGCACTTAAGCCGCTGCCAAAGTCAGGGGTCTGCCGCTTCCCGTGCCTGATTTAGGGCCAGTGCTGGGCGAGGTGGCGCCCAAGATGAAAAAAAAAAAGTCCCATCTTGTCAGGCAGGGCCCTGGCTGACGACTGATTACATACTACTACTTTTTTTTGGGCACCGTCTGGCCAGGTAGTGTCCAACTGCGGCTGAGTAAGGTGGGCTTTGAGCAAACCATCGTTCACGACAACCCCAGACTCCATACAGCTGGCTTCATTCGACCTTGCCCACGCGAAACATTCTTCTACTAGCCCTCTCCACGGTTTCATGAGAGTACCACTACTATACACTACTTTGTCACGCCAAACATGCATATTTCCAGCCTTGTGCATACTCTGTGAAGCCATGGCTTCGCCTCGGTTGTTTCCCCGATGGTACGACTCAGTCTCGGGCTGGGCTTCGGCGTATCATGAACGAGGTCTGGCCATCCTTGACCCAACGTAGCCTTGGTGTAGTAAAAGCTCCCGCGGAGCACAAGCATCTTGGCTGTCTGAAGGGCGCAATGCCCTATGCCGTGTAAGGCGGTGCTTCAGGCACAAAGCAGTTGTGATCACGACGAACAAGTGCCCCACCTGTGCTGGCCCCTGGGAGCTCGAGTCCACCTAAGGTACGCTAACTTCATGTACGTAAGCATAGCGTACGCTTACTTGAGCGCTGCTCAAGAAGTGGGCTTCCTTACGTACGCTAAAATACTGTGACGAATCACCGCATTGTCATTCTCGACCTTGACAGTGACACAGGCAATCAGATGGCGAGACCTGACCGCAAACAAGCCCGGGCATCATACCACCTCGACTTGTACTGCCATGTTCCAGGTTGCAGCAATCAGGTCTTGCGGCGACAGGCACCGCATTCCAAGCTGCCTCCACTTCCAGAATATCAAAGGCTGCCAATGCACCCAGCAGCCACCAAAGCATGCAGCCAAGATCCGGAGTCCGCGGCACCACGCTCGGTGCTCAAAGCGTGGCAACTAGGCGCACTCGCTCTCGGCTGTGAACCCGTCGGCCGCCCCAGCCAAGCCAAGCCGCACCCAAATGTGTTAATATTTCCTGAAAAGCACTGGCTCAATGACTGCGCCGTCTTACGACTGTGACTCAAGCCAATCCTTTACGATGCAGCTGCTGCCGCTTGGCATACCTCTATTATTGCCGGCGCCTATACGAGAACCCTGTTGCAGTTGGCCCGTGTCGTTCGGGTATACGGCTTATTCCAGCACAATGATCCTAAAATCATCCGTTTGTCATGCAAGGATCGTCCGAAACTTTGCTATCGTATATATAGCACTGGCCCCTGGAGATGGATAGGCTATTGTTGTTCATCCGTTCTTAAGGAGTACACCGGCCCTCCCTCCCCACACCCATCACAAAGTCTCAACTGGAACTACACAAACAATGTCCGCAATGGCAACGATGACAATGGCACCTCCGCCGAGCACCAGTCTTCCGCACAAGCATGAGGACCTTGATGTGGTCACAAGCGGTGGGAAAGGTGCGCGCGCATCGAGTCTAGGTGATGCCCACAGCCGGAGCGCTCTGCTGACCCCATGCCAGAACGCGTCGAAAGGGCCGTCGAGGTCCTGACGCCAGAGTTTTACGACGATGCGGTCTTCAAGTACCTGCTGTGCCACCTCACCAATGAGAAGGAGCGGAACAAGCTCCTGCATGGGCTTATGCGGGTGCTGGTCAAGGTCGCGGTGCTCGAGCATGGCGCCGTGCTCGAGGTCAGCAACTGGGGCGCTGCCGCGGTTCTTTGTCCTCCAGGGACAAAGTTGGACAGCCCTGTGTCGCTCGTGCGGGCAAAGGCAGTTCCTTTCATGCTTAAGATCGGCGCGAAGAATATTCCCGTAAGTGGGCATTGAGAAGACTGCGAATACCACGCCATCCTTCACCGCCATCGGCAGCTAGTTGCTTACGGCATCTTTCACAGAGATTATTCACCCAACCTGAAGCGGCGGAAAAATTCAAGCAGACTGTCCTCACACGGGAGGAGAAGAAGCGAGTGTGGTACTGCTTCATCATTGCGACCGCGAGCGATCGGCGGAGGCAAGGCCTGGCAAGTAAGCTCCTGCAGGAGATGCAGCGTCTTGCCGTGGCCGACGGCAACCGATGCCTGTGGCTCGAGGCCTCGAGTGCGGCGGCCAGAAAGACGTACGAAAAACAAGGATTCGTAGCGGTAGGGGAGATGAAGTTTGGACAAGGGCTGGTCGACGGGAAGGGCGACTTGGACAAGCACGGCGAGGGTGTTGTCTCCTGGCCGATGGTGTGGAGACCACCGAAAGTGGCACTGTCGGCTTGAGATGGTGTAGTAGTGAGGACAACACTTACACATTTGGCAATCGAGACGCCATGTTTAGTCTTTCTGTACCGTACAAGTCTGGGTTATTTGCATTTCTTGTTGCAACAGGGTCGAGTCTGATCTGGTCCTTTCTCTCGGGCTGGATGGGTTCTTGTTCAAGTGATGCAAGGCTCCAGGGGAACGTCGCCATCAGGCTGGCACTCCACCATTCAGCACCCTGCATATCTTTTATTTATATATCCTTGATAAACCAGTCGTCTCCCCAACAACCACCCACCGACCAGATGTCCACATCTGGATCCACAGCTCGGTTAGCTCAGTTGGTTAGAGCGTCGTACTAATATCTCGCCTGGGGCGACATATAAAGTAATGCGAAGGTCATGAGTTCAACCCTCATACTGAGCATGTTCTTTTTGCTATTGCTGCCTCTTCGTCTGTTCGTGATGCTATCATGGTGTTGCGTGGTGACCTTTTTGGTGTTTTCGCGGTGATGCTGTGTGTGGTTGCATGGTGGGGGGCACGTCTGGTGATGTTGCCATTATGCTGTTTGGGCGTATCGGTGGTTGCAAGTGGCCGGGTTGTGCCTGCCATCGGCCAAAAGTCTCTGCAGGCGCGTCCAATATTTGTCGTTAGGCGATACTGGCGCTGGTTTTGTGTTGCTTTACTTTGTTCTGCTCGAGATTAGTATTTCAGCGTGATCTGGTCAGTCAATCTCACGTTTTAATGTCAGGGAAACCGTTTCGTGCGATCCTCGTACTTGGCATCAAATCCTGAAGCCTCCGCGTGACGCACCCTTCCTGAACAGGGAGGTGCACCGCACCAGATTTGAGAAGGAGGCAGATAACCACCACTACGAGCAATAATCAGGCTGTCGAATCAACACACGGCATGGCTGGGTCACGTACCCGATGCATGCTTCGCCTCTTTGGCGCGGACTGACAGGCTTGGCTTCCCCGCTCGAGATAGCTCACGCACAGCAAGCGTCGTTCACGCAACAATAGTCGCGACGGAGTCGTGAACCGAAGACACTAACATACATAACCCTTCCCCAACGCCATCATTTCAAGGCGCTTGGGACGATGGAGCTGTCTGTAGCAGAACCAATCGACGCAAACGGCGGGCCCTCTTCAGTTCAGACCCAGCCTGATGGTTCTCTTGCCAAGATAGTGATCGAGCCAACCCCGAGGAATCAAAGCTTGTACAACGAAGTGCGAACACAGCATGAATTCAAGCGTCGTCCAGTGCACGTGGCACCACCACTTTGTGCGTCGTCCCATTTATGATCGGTGTGCACAAAGCGTCGACCAGATTTCAAAGCTACGGGAATGGACGTTTCTTACTGACGAAAGAGAGAATCGCAGCGAAGTACGGTACCCTCCGCCTCGCGCCAGCTAGTAGCACTAATGACTCGGCCCCATTCGTTTCCCAGGAGGGAGGACACCAGCGCAAGGGCCGGAGAAGACGCTCTTTGCAATGGGAGAAGCGCTTAACTGCCGCTGTCTTGAGAAGGTTTGACATAGCCTGTCAATTACACAGGAAGAAGAAAATCATGGTAATTGTGACATCTCTCACTCCAGTCATGATGGTCCGCAGTTTGCTGACTCTTGGCGAAGTGTTCATGTTACGACTTATCCTTGCTCGAGGAGGCGTGGCTCCAGAAACAAGTCGCCGCCCCTTCCTCCATGACCAATGATCATACTCCACGCCAGGACCATTATGACGGGGGTGACTCACATCCTGCTGGCCTGGTTTCGCTGATGCCGTTCGGGCATGAGGACGAGCATGATCGTTCAACACATGTTGACCGCATCAATACTCAACCTGATTTTGGTTACGGAAGCGATCTAGCATGGCCCTATGGAGAGCCGCGCCATCAGAAGCACCAAAGCCATGATTCGCGAAATAATAACCTTTCGCCACTGGCAGAGGATATCATTTCTGGACCTTATAGCGAAATGGACACTGATTCACAGGACAGCAGTGAGCTCTACTCGGTCAATACTGATGTCCTCACCCAGTATTCCGATGCGGGGAGCTTGCTCGCACGTGAGGACTCCTACTCCGCAGCTTTCGCATGCAAATTACGGGACGACATAAAAAGCCATCTGCAGGATCCGAACGACTTGCTGAGGGCGTCCAGTAAAATCTCCAGTCTGCTTCAGAGCTTTTCCTTGGAGTTATCTCGGTGTGACAGTCGACAGCTCCTCCGTGACTTGACTTTCCAAATCCACAAGAACAGAAGGTACGCCAACTCCGGTCGAAAGTGAGGTGAGAGCTGAAACATAACATCGTACAGCATCATTGTTGAGCAGGTCTGTGATCTCAACAGTGGCACCAAGAATATGCCTTCAAACATTTTTGAAAACAATGATGATGAACACAATGAGAGCGACGACAGTAGTCCGCACCGGCTAAAAGCTCCAACCCGACGGAGCAGACAAGCCATTCTCGATTGGGTTCATCAACAAGACGACTCGGTAGGCGACCCCCTTGAGCTGCCAGAGACGGAAGATGCGATGGATCATTCGGAATTTGCTCGTTATGGCGATATTGTGGATGGAAGCCCCGCCTATCAATGGTTACTCTCAACCATCCGTCTCGTCTCTTCTTTATGGGCCCCAGAAACCGATATTTTCACAGAAATCCGCACTGCCGTTGCGGAAGTGTTAGTACCTGCCAGAATCAGCAGATACAGACAGGTACAAGCATTTTCAGCCGCTATTGACATTCATTGGGACCCCACGAAATTCTTCCATGGCCAGGAATACGACCAGCTTCCGTTCGAAGTATTCAAGAAAGTCATCGTATTCACGGGGGGCCAAGTGAACGCGCAAGCAACGACGTGCGAAGAATACCTGTGTTCAGTCTGGCCGTGCACGGCACCAATCATGCTAAGATGTCTCGAGGCACTCCTGAGAGACGACCATTGTTATATACAGCTCGGCCATGGTATGCCATTAACTGAGCTTTGAGATACTGCCTTCGGTCCATAACTGACCGCTGCAGATGTCCTGTTCTCTGGCTCAGATGTCCATATGTTCGGGGGCACTGATTGTGTGTCCGCCGTGATCCGTGGTTCCGCCATTCTTATCGGAGAACTTTGTGAGCAGTTGGCCTGGCTTGGGGCCACGTTCCGAGAATGCCATCCTCACGGCAACCTGTCTTTCTGCACTCCTTTCATAGATTCACTTCGCAAAATGGCAAATGGGTACCTCTTCTGCACGATACGCTTCCGCAGGCAGAGCATTACGCAGACTGATCAGTCCTTGAGAGGTACTTGTTGGCATATTCTCTGCGGCAGCCGATGTATCGTTCGAGGGTTTCCGATACCAGCCCGAGCACCAGATCAATGCGGACTCGAGATCTCCGTAGGACTCATGGCTGCTCTCAGTCAAGCGCGGTACCTCAATAATTTCCGCTCGACTCTCACGATCAAAGGCTTCTCAACCCTCATATATCCTTCGTATCTCCAAGGAAATGTTATTGGATGGCACTTGGAACACAACAAGGATGGTAGCCACATGTCATTCAGCCGTGGTGTCAAGGTCGATCGTATTGACATAAGCACCCATGAAGCTGGAACCTGTCGCCATATACTGGGTTGGTGCTCAGATTCGATTATTCTTGCAGGTCAGTATTCCGTTCTACGCTGCCATCATTCGTACCGTTACTCACAGTGACCACGGTAATAGGAACTTCCGTGGCCTCGTACAACATTGAGCACTCAGGACTACCCTTAGTGGTTGATGGATGTTCTCTAAAAGGCGCAGAGATGCGGAGGGGTATCCTTGTGGCCTCAGTCAGGGCTTTCATGCTTGGCAACCAAGACATCTCGAAACGCCTCACAAGGGACAGCTTCACCACCAACATGAAGTGGCTGGAGACGCAAAAGGTTGTTTTATGGGACGAGGGCGATAAGAGGGGCTGGATGGTCAATGGACCGAGCGCGTTACTCCATATTCTCCGTGCATACATTCGTCACATGGAAACCGGGGCCTATCAGTCAATCTTATTGCTGCGCAACGAGGATATTATCGAGTGCGGCGAAAACTACTCAGCTCGGATGGCGATCCAGACACTTTTGGAACCGCAAAATCGGCGTAAGAAGCTATTCGTCGATGACGAGGAGACATTGCAAGACAAGATCGAATATTTCTACAATGTTCTCGACCAGCTCATTGGCTATCAAGAGCACAGAGCTGGCACAGACTCGAAGTTGCGCCCACAACAACGGAGAGACTTGCTTGAAGGATGGGATCTCGAAAGCTTCGCAGCTTCCGCGGACCCAATCAAACCTCGCATCGCCACAATACCTGTGATTGGGCGGAGCTGGGTCGACTTTGTCAATGCAATGCGAGCGCCGATATTGTTTGGAAGAGGCTTTGGTGATATCATTCAGCAGTCTCCAGCCTGTGATGCTGCAACTACATGGAGCCGTGTTCCTATTGATAGCTACTATCTCACCGCGCTATACAGCGATCTCCCTAGGTGCGAGATGGTTTTAAACAGGACTTACCAATGGATGCTACAATTTGGCGAGAATGCCATTTGGCATGGGCCTGGGCTGGGGCCAATTGTGGAAGGTCACGGGGCCTCACGAAGACTGGACGCATCTGCCCTGGTGCAAGTCCTGCTGCCCAAAGGCGCCTCTGACGAACATCGTGTGACCGAGGTCCCGAAAATAGCGACGCACCGTCAGCTAGCTCTAATTTTCGGGCACAACCCATCTTTCAGCTGGTCCTGGGGAGAATCGGGGCCTCCAGTCAGGGGCGAGGTGTCCAGGCCGCCTAAATCAGCCGCCCAACGAGTCGTCTCTCCAGACAGCGGCTTCTGGTCAGGGTCTTCTGCCTCAACCAGTCAATCGGTGCCGCCACCGCCGCAGCAATGGATCCCTGAGATTGCCATACTGTGCGCGCTTCCTCTGGAGCTTAAAGCTGTGAGGGCTCTGTTCGAGAACAGCCATCACTACGACGGACCAACCATCGAAGGCGACAGTAATTCGTATGTTTCTGGACGTTTTGGAGGATACAACGTGGTAGCCAGTAGCATCGGGTATGGCAGGTCTCAAGCGTCCAGCGGCTTCGCGAACGTCATGCGAAGCTTTAGACATCTTCAATTTTGTCTCCTCGTTGGTATCGGTGGCGGTATTCCCTCCGCAACCAATGACGTCCGTCTCGGCGATGTCGTGGTCGGAACTCCCTCTGGCTACAAACCTGGGGTTGTGCAGTATGATGCAGGTAAGGCCTTTGAAGGCTACGTCGAGGCGTCCCAGCTCTATCCCGTACAACCGCCGCGAGAGCTTCTGTCAGCCATTAGTCGGCTCCGATCAGCGCCCTCTCCGCCAAAGGAGCCTCTAGAAGTTGACATACAACATATTGTGCGTGCCAACCCCTCGAGCTGCCATCCGGGACTAGCACGAGACATCCTCTATGAGGCAGAGCCGTCACAAACACCGGGCCGTACAAGTGCCTGCGCCGAGAAGTCATGCCACTGTCGCGCTCTGCCTCGCGCCGCACGACCGTCGACCACTCCCGTCGTGCACTACGGCGTGATCGCGTCGGGCGGCTACGTCGTCAAGAGCGCGGCCCTGCGCGACGACTTTGCCAGGAGGTTCGGCGCGCTGTGCGTCGAGATGGAGGCCGCAGCTCTCGTTGACGTGCAGAAGCCCTGCCTGGTGATCCGGGGCATCTGCGACTACGCCGACGCGCACAAGAATGACGCGTGGCAGGAGTATGCGGCGGCATCGGCGGCGGCCTACGCAAAGTACCTGTTGGAACAGTCGAGGATGGGGGCGGGGAGTAGTGCGCGGGTAGCCACGAGGACGACGAGGAGGGATTCGGCAGATGCGGTAGCGACGGCTCGTGCTGGGAAGAGGCCCTGTTTGGATTGGGAGTCATGATATGATTGGGCTTTTGGCAGTTTACTTACCTACCTAGATCTTTCGGAAAGTAGAGACTTAGTATACAACCCATCGAATCGTCTGCGCAAAATGCAAATTTCTTCGTTGTGTCCACTCACGAGCGCCTGGGCGGAATCTCCTGTACCCAGCATCTCCTCAGCCTCCGCGCCTTTGAGCCTTTGCGGCCGTCAGTGCCACCTCACGCGGGGGGTTGGAGTCTAAGAACTAAGACGGTGCAGGTTCTCTCTTTTGAAGGTCTTCAAATGTCGCTTTTGTATTAATTCCGTTTGTCGTAATGCATATATTTGTCCTACAAATCCTCTACTTGCTGGGAAAGGACTCCGTGCTTTTCCCATAAGCGATAAAGTACGACGCCTTTGAAAGAAAGGGCCAGACCTTCCACTTCTGCATGGGGCTTACTGTGGAAACTATCACCCTCCCAGGATTTCCCAAAACGCAAGCGCTGGCCTGGATACAAATCGTTACGGGAAGAGGTCCGGGAGAGAATGGGTGGGCGGGGCCACAACCAGACCACCAGAAACCATGGCACGAGCAAAAGAGATCATAGACAAGTGAAAAGTGCAAAGTCACCTAGTTTGTGTTTGAACCTGCGTGGAGGCCGGCCGACTGACCGGCCGACACCTGCCTTGTTCTTCATCATCATCCCGGGGCGCCAATGACCTTCGAGGACCATTGCGGACACTGGGTGCCCTGCAGGCCAGCAAAGTTCCTTTTCCAAGTTCATCCATGCAGCAGGCGTCGCATGCTCAAAAGTCAGACAGCTCGACATCCTGGAGCAAGCCAAACCCCCCTCTGGTCCCCCGAAGCCGGAGTGACAAGAACCCCCATGATCTGAGCTCATTCACAACGGCGACCCGGGCTCTCCCTTCGTTTGCCAGACTGGGAAAGTCCCAACTCCATCTGGGCATCCTGTGGTGATCGCCGGGGTTGCCGGCTGGGGGGTGGGACGGTGGTATCATACCGCGCTCAGCTCGTGAAAGTGGAAACAAGGGACTGGGCAATACAGGGTCGGTACGAGTTCCGTAGGTGTAGTAGCCGCTTGTGTACACGGTTTGTTGTCCGGCCCTTGGCTAGGGCATTGCCGGGATTGGTGGGTTACAGCAGCATGGGCCAGCGCGCCGACTAGGCTATTACTTGCCAGTTCGGATTCATCCTACCCGATTGGACATGGTCTAGATGGAGTGCATAGCAAGCGATCGTGTGGCTTGAACGGTGGCACTAGACCGACCCGATGGGCTCGCATTGGCAAGGTTGTATCAAGCCGTGGACCTGGTCGCAAAGAGAAGCGGGCAGGGCTCGTTGGACCATGCCTCGTCTGAGCCGTCTTTGGCACTTCCGTTGGGATAACCAGAACAGTCTCCTTTCCCCAGAGATGTAGCCATGCCGATGTCACAAAGAGTCCCGATGAGGTACGAGGCTCGTGCTATTGAGAAGCAGCGAGAATATGCTTCTTGAGAAGCCGTGGGGGAGCAAGAGGGAGGGGACAGAGAAGCAAAACTTGACAATAGAGACTAAAGTTACACTTACCAGGATGAACCCTGACTAACTTTCAGCGGCTTGCAGGCGTCACCTCATTGTAGTGGTGTGGTGTGCAGGGTTCGGATCAGATAACGAAATGGGTGGAGTCAGGGGTCCGAGAGAAGTGCCAGCGCCAAACTAGTCAACTACATCGCGTCGCCCAAGACGGAGCCGACTTGTTCGAGCTGAGAAGCAAGGGAGGAAAATGCGCAGGCTTCTCGTGGGTTCTCTCTCCAGCCTCGGCTGGCCTTGCTTCTCGCATAGCAGAGAGCCCTGGAATAATGCGAAGGGGCGACGTCCTCCAGGCGTATATAAGCAACAGTCTGTGCTCCTCGAGCCTTGTGGGAACTGCAGAACTTCAAGTTCCGCATCCATTCCTGAAACCCCAGAACGTGCACGCTCAGAACACCTAGTCACACTATCCACGATGGGTATCCCCGTTGTTCTCCCCGCGCTGATCCCCGACATCAAGAAGGTGTACGATGTGTACTTTGCGTCGTTCCAGAACGAGGGCATGGCGCGGCTGATGCTGGATGTCATGTTCCCCAACGGTACGGTGGACTTACCAGGCTTCCGCGAGGAGCACGCCAAGGGCACGCTGGCATGGTGGCACCAGGCGGATATGCAGTACACGTTCAAGTGTGTCGACAACGAGACGGGCGAGACGATTGGCATGGCCCTAGCCGATATCCTCATGCGTGAGCGGACTGAGGAGGAGCGCAAGTTTGGCGGCATCCCGTGGCTGGAGGGCAAGGACCGGGAGCGGGCAGAGGCTGTGGTTGGCCCGCTGGCGGCTATGCGGGAGAAGCTGTTTGGTGGACACAAGCACGTCTGTAAGTTGTTGACTCGAGAGCTGCCAGGGGAGGAGGGGGGCCATTCCGACCTCCATTAGGACAAGCTGACTAATTGTACAGACTGCCACGTAATGGGGGTGGTGCCCGAGTACCAGGGACGTCACGCAGGCCGGGCACTGCTCGAGTTTGCAATCTTCACGGCCAACCAGCTGTGCCTGCCGCTGTATTTTGAGTCGTCGCCGACTACGGTTGGGCTGTATAAGAAGCTGGGCTTTGAGGAGCTGCCGGAGCGGATTGTGCACAAGGCCGAAGTGCTGGGGATCGAGCAGGACATCGAGGTGCCGCTGATGGTGCGGATGCCTGCGAGCGCGGGCGAGCTGACCTTTGCGGACTGGATTGCGAGCGGGTATCCGAGCTTGGCGGCGCCGCGGCCAACAGCAGCGGCCGCGACCAAGGCAGAGGAGGCGGTACCGGTGGCCGAGAAGCGAGATATTTGCGCCGTGTCGGTGGACGCTGTGTAATCAGATCGGGAGACCAGGGTCAGGTGGCAGGTGGGCCCCAAAGGGACGTGAGAAGCTTGTACATGGAATGCGAACGAGATTTTCCAGCAATGCCGCGGGGCGTGACCAGGGTGTGGGTGTGGGTTTGTTGCCAAGTGCCGATGTCACCCATGCTTCGAGTTTAAACCCTCGACGCAACGCAAGAGCGTTTCTTGTGGCCGACTTGCTTGTGTCAAGACTGTCTGGTGTCGAGATGACTCAGGATTCTGCGGCGGATAACATAATTTCTGTGTCTCTGAGACTGCTGGGATAGCGGCGCAGTGAGAAGAATCTGCTCACAGGGAGACGCTGGTGGGTTGTTGTTGGCGTAGTTAGCTTTACGAGCTGAAGAAGGGATGTTGGCCAGCTGCCAGGGGGGGAGCCCCACGGCCGTGCATTATCTGATCAGAAACCGCCTGACTAATGCGGTGGGGTGTCCTACCTAGGCAGGGGTGGTGGGGCACTGCGACGCGCTAGGTTTGACGGGGACTGGCACCTTCCCCCGCCGGGCCTAGCTGCTGCCAAGCCGCTTTATCTGATCTAAATCATCTCCGTCCCGCCCCTTTGTTATGTCCGCCCCGGTCTTGCACTCGGCCGTACGAGCCCCGACTCGGGCTCGTGCCTGCTCATAAATGGTTTCTTCTGGCGTTCCGACATCGCCTGCCGGCCCCGTGGCTCTGGTTCATGTTCCAGCCCAGAGTTCGGGTCCATCCAGCACGTGCGAGGGTACAGGTCCAGGGTCCAAGCGCACACCACCACCAGCGTGGCTTAACCCCGACCGAAAGTCGGATCGCCGGGCTTCCCTCTTTCCACGGCCACGCGTGGTGAGCCACCCTCTTGTGCCTTTTACTCGAAGCAAGGGCCAGTCTCCGCGGTCCTTCCGCGGCCCAAGCAGCCAGGCAACCATCTTCCACAAAGCATTGACGGCCTCGACGACATTTGCGCGTCCTCGGCATCAGACAACACCTTGACGTCTAGACGCCCAGTTCACACGATACCACCGAGTCCGCTTCCTATCTACAGCCCGCCTTGTCTCGGCGACAGTCCAGCCTCACCCCAAACAAGCAACCAGCATGGCCTCTCGCGCGGTCGGCAAGACGCTCTTGGTCGCCAAGTTCACTGCCTTCGTCTTCGCCTTCATTGGCAAGATCACCGGCCAGGCACTGCTCGCACTCCTCTCCGCTCCTTTCTCCAAAAACGCAGCCCGTGCTCTGTCAGACATCCCAGAGTCGGAAATACGCAACATCGTCGTCGTCGGCGCCTCGTTTGCGGGGTATCAAGCGGCCAAGTTGATTGCAACTAGCCTGCCCTCGGGCAGCCCTTTCCGGGTCATCGTCATAGAGCCTCACTCGCACTTCCATTTCACGTGGGTGCTGCCCCGCTGTTGCGTGGTCAGTCACGAGGACAAAGCCTTCATTCCGTACGGCGGACTGCTCAAGGGCATTCCCAGCCAAAGACTGCGATGGGTACAGGACAGAGTCGCCAGCCTTAGCGGGGACACAGTCCTCCTAAAAGATGCTGGCATCGAGATCCCCTATGAGTTCCTGGTCATCGCGACGGGCTCGGGAGCTACGGACGGCCTACCTTCTCGCGTGGGCAGTAACGACAGGGCGACTGGTGTCGAGCTGCTCAAGAAGTTCCAAGCGAGGATCGCACAGTCTGAAAAGATTGTCGTGGTCGGCGGCGGTGCGGCAGGCGTGGAGCTAGCCACTGATGCCAAGGAGAAGTACCCAGCCAAGTCGGTCACGCTTGTCCACTCGCGAGATGCAGTAATGCACCGCTTCGGGCCAGAGCTGCAGCAAGAAGCGAAGAAAGGCCTGGAGGCTCTGGGCGTCGAGCTCCTACTTGGAGAGCGGGCGACCAAGTCTGAGTCGGATGAGCATTCACTCATCCTAAGCTCGGGTAGGAAGATCGAGTACGACCTCTTGGTAAGTCCAGCCACAACCCCGAAGCTGCAACCATCGAGTCTCCTACAATGATATCATTTTAACACCGCTTTGTTAGATCAACTGCGCCGGACAGAAGCCGTCCTCCGACATCCTTTTGAACCTCGCACCGGCCTCCATTGCCACCTCAGGTAAAGTGTCCGTAAAGCCGACGTTGCAGATCGACGACGACTCGCTCCCAAATGTGTACGTCTGCGGCGACGTGAGCGACACGGGCATCAAGAACCCCAATGCGCGATTCGCGTACACCCAGGCCGCAGTCGCTGCGAGCAACGTCGTCCTCGCGGCGAAGGGCAAGGCGCCGACAAACAAGTACAAGCCGTTCTGGGGCGATGGTGTTATCAAGTTGACGCTCGGAATTGTAAGTTTCTCTCACCACTCCTTCGCAAGGGCATGGCAAGAACAAATCGTCCCGGTACTCTTGTTCTGTTATTCCCTACACCAAAGGACCACGTCATGTATCCCTGCGCCTTCAAAGTAAACCCTTACCCCAAGCCCAATTTTCGTCCTGTTTTGAGTTGAATGCACTTGCGTATGACAGTGGCGGCAACTTACTCACACTTTCCCCTCACCAAAAAATAGACAAAGTCGGTCAGCTACCTCAGTGACGGCAACGCGGAACTGCTTTTCCGCGGCAAGGAGAAGCACGAGGAGCTCATGTCCGCCCAGGCTTGGGCGCAGATGGGCGTGAAACCCTACAATGACCCAAACCCGGACGGCCCGGCGGTCAAGTGCACACCCGAGCAGGTCGCTGCCCTCGCCGTTGGTTCTTCTTCCGGTGCAAGCGGTAGTAGCCCTGCCGGTGCTAGTGCCGCCAAGCAGGCGTCGTCTTCGGAGGAGTCGACGCGGGGAATCGTGGCGACGGAGAAGTAGATCGCAAAGTCGTGGATCTGCTCCGTCATCATCACAGCAGCTCACCCGGCTGCGGAGAGATAACTATGACGGGAAAGATAACCTCGCTTGCCTGGTAACACGGATGCGCGCAGGGACTGGGGCTGTAGGGATAGTCCGATGGCATACAACAGCGAGAAGACATTGGAATTTAACGGGACGTAATCATGGACACCCAGCGTGGACAGCCGGCATAAATCATCCCAGTCGAGTTAGAAAGGTTTGTACAAATAGCTAAATCGTAACATGACACGTACCTGAAGACCATGTGACTCTGATCGTGAAGGAGAGTCCAGCATCATGAACCGCCATGCCGTCCGACTGCCACAGCCGCCGCTGGCGTCCTCTGAAGTGACAAATACAGTCTCGAAAGCAAGTGTTCATTAATTGGAAATGCTCTCTATGTGGATGAGTTCTACAGGATGGTGCTTTTGGATTTCCAACCACTTGCACCGACCAGCACATGCACAAGCCGACTGCCGTAAGATGTCGCGTTCTCCCCTGTCTAATCCACATCATCATCGTTCTCCGCTGCCGGCGCCGCGGCATCGTCATGGCTCTTGCTCACGCCCAGCTTCTCAAAGTGTTTCCTCGCCTCCTCGTAGTCCTCCTCGTGCTTGCTGTTGTTGCCCTTTTCCTCCTCCTGACCAGAAGCGCCGGATGAGGAGGAGATCTTTCCCGACTCCCTGGCCATCTCCTTGTCCTCCTTGGTGGCCTTGAGCGCCGCGTCCTTGAGGCTGCCGTCCTCGTTGACGTCCTCCTTGAGGTACAGCGTGAACAGGACGACCAGGTACGTGTCGGCCGTGGAGCGGTTGCGCAACACATATCTGAGTGTGTGTGAGCGTTTCGGCTTGTGGGTTGGCTTGCCGTCACTGCTGCTATACGTGGGGGGCCGAACGGAGGTGGGAGAAAGACGAGTAAGAAAATCGTGTACCACTCTCGAACCAAAATAAATATGTTTTTGTGTTTTGCTTTTGTTCCATCCACCCCTTCCCACCCCTCTTTCCGCATGAGGAAAGATCCGATTAGGGATTTCAGGGGGAAAAGGGAGGGAGGAAGGACGAAGGGAAAGGGAAATAGGGGGTAAAGAAAAAGAAGAGATATGGAAACTCACCTCAAAGGCTGACCGTCCCAGTACTTCATGATGGGCAGGGTGAAGCCCGGCAGCCGCAGCGCAAAGTCGTTGAAGTCGAGGTACGGGTTGAAAAAGTCGAAGCAGTACGTCCTGCCGTGCTCGTACACCCACCTGCTCTTGGCGTCCTGCTTGAGCGCCCACTTCATGCGCTCCTTGGCCGTGTCGGGCGCGCCCACCGCGCGGCGGGCCTCGAGCCCGGCCTCGTCGCCGCCTTCCTCGACCACGAGCCCGCCCTTGGCAGGGTCGTGCTCGCCCTGGCCCACGTGCAGCGCGTTGAAGGAGGACAGGCCCGGCCCGTACAGGTACGGCTCGTCAGCGTACGCGTCGCCGTCGAGGCCCGGGTCGATCCACCACTTGACTATGTTCATGGCGTAGCTGAACCCGGGGGGTAGCTTGTCGCGGATGGGGTGGTCAAAGTCGTTGCCGAACTGCAGGTCGCCGCCAGAGATGCCGCCACCGTCGCCGCCGTCCGGGTTCTTGGGCGTGAAGCGGATGGCGATGCTGTACCGGTCATTGCTGGTCTTGTGCGGCTCCAGGGAGAAGTAGGGCGACGTCGAGGGCGAGTTGCGCGGCAGGCCCGCGTAGTCCTGGATGCGCACGTTGAGCTCCACGTCGCCGTGCGCCGTGCTGACCTTAACCGTCTCGGGCGCGTTCACGGGCACGACCGTGTGGTTGTCAATGTCGTAGTCCGGCCCCGCCGTGACCCGGATGACGTACTTGTCCGCCATGGCTGTTGGTGGTTTGTATTTCTGTAGTGGTGGTGATTTTGTCCACGAGAGATTACACTACGGGTTCCCCAGATGGTGAGACACGAGAAAAACGCCGGCTGTGATGTCTAAGAGTGCAAAGCTGGCTGAAGTGGAGTGAATCAATGATGTTGAGCGACCTTGAAATGTGCCTGATGGCAAGTACTGCTAGTGCAGAGTAGTTTGTGTGTAGATCGTCCTGAGGAAAAGAGACAAGTGCCGCCGTGACATGGAATGGCAGGAAAGAATCTCTGTACCCTTGGTGAACTGGCTGCACGTGTCAGTCGAAAGCTCTTCCTCCATGGACATCGATGCCGGATCTGCAACGTTTGTCTCATGTCACACTATCAACTACGTGACGTACCTCCCCCACGGGTGGGCAGAACGCGGTCGCAAGACAACTGAAAAGAAGCCCGCTAGCTACGGTCGGATCCCGCTGTTTGCCACCTGCACAGGCCTTGGTCTGGGAATACGCGCGACAGGAAATGATGCTGACTGATGGCTTGTGATGGCGGTTCGCATTGCAACCCTTGTGGCTGGTGGTGATGATTTTGCATGACGTCGTCGACGCTAGCAGGGGTTGGTGGCGCATGGGCCAGTGCTAATCGCTCAAAGGTCCCGATAAACCCCGCGCTTGTCGCTTGTGGGAAGGCCTGGGCACTTGCAACGCAAGCAAGAGCACAGGAAGGACGCAAGATATTAACATTAGGAGACGATGCTCCGGGGTATCTCATACTATATACGTGTACATGACCGCCAACCCAATGCTATATGTGCCCATACACACTCACTCATAATGTCCAGTGACAACGATCCTTGCCATTTACCGTGGCACCAGGAACTGGTCAATGTCCACGCGTTCGAAGAAGCTGATGTGACCAAATCCCACCCAGTACTGTGCTAGCCGATTGTGCGAGACCATGATAAGCTGCGACTCCATGTACTTATCTGTAGTTCATGTAAGCAGCGGCTCAGGGACTTGTCAGATATCCTTCTGCTCAGACTTACCATGGTAGAAACCTTCCGCAGCGATGTGGCCTCGGCTCTTTACGATCCGCGCGCCCTGGAACGGCTCCTCCTGCGCTACTCCCACAAATCCACGGGGTCCGAGGTCATCGGCAACGAAAGTGTACTCGCCGCGGGGGACATTCGGGTCGCCCGTCAGCTTGATCGCCTCGAGCCGACCGCGGTGCACACGCTCGCGCAGGAATCGGGCCTGGAATTCCTCCTCCGTCTCACCAGGCTCCCTTTCGAGGGGCGCCTCGTCGCTTTCACCGGGCACTTCCGGCTGGTTGATGAGCAGGAACTCGCAGCCGTGCCCACTGTAATCGCCGACCCAGATGCCCCGCCAGGGCTTCTCCGCAGTCGGCGTGTACAAGCCGGGGTCCAGGGTGGAGTAGGTAGAGATTTCTTCGCCCAAGGCCACCGCCAAGGACGGTGTGCCGAGATCCAAGTAGTGCCGTATCCTGAAAGTCGTTTCTGACATGTCGTCTCGGCTTTCCACCCGCCAAAACGGCTCTTCGGCTTCACTGTCAGGCGAGGGAAGCCGATGCAGGCCTGCCGGTTTACCAATGACCCGGTCCGTCGCGGGAATATTGGGCGGGGGCCACACATTGCCATAGGGGAACGCGTTCTCCAATATGTGATCGTAGTCGTGCTCCTCGAGACGCTTCGCGAGCAGGATGTTGCTGTGCCGTGGGTCTGACCTGGTGTTCAGTTGCATAGGATACTCTGCACGCCGCCAGCCTTGTCTCCCTCTTTGCGTGGCTTCGGACTCGTCCTGTTTCTTCGCAGCATTGTATCGACGAGCATTCAGCTGAAGTACCGGCTTGTCCATATGAAGGTTGACGATCGGCTTGAAGAAATGGATGTGGACGTCGCTGTCTGCCACCCATGTCTGGACACCGGCTGCCTCCCTACTCACGACCATGCGATACCCTTCAATGCAGCCTCGTCGAGCGTCATACCGGACAACAATCATGTGTCCGGTGAGCTCTCTATCGCAGAACCATATCCTGTACCTCGTCAGGAACCAGTGCGGGTCGTGGGAAGCATACAGTTCGCGCCAGCTTTCGCATGGGTACGGCGTAGTGATGCGGTTCCCTGGCAGATTGGCGAGGACTCGCTGTTGCCAGTGCAGGTCCGTGGAGGCATGCTCGTTCAGCTTCCTACACGTGAGCGACAAGGCAGCAAGATCGAGGGGTGACAGAAAAGTGAAGATGGCGTCGATGAGTTCTGAGGGCAGCTTCAGCAGACCACAAAAGGGTTCTGCCGGGCCCATGATTGTGCTCATTTGCTTCTCGCCTGTGAAAGAGGGTGTGGGTGAGCATACGTCCTTGGGGTAGTCTGTGTCCCCGAGGGGTGAATACACACCTTTGGTGGACCGAAAGGGACTTGGTGAGAGGCGACGCTTGGCAGCCTGGGAGTTTGATTTGTCGCCGAGCCGTGTGCCAGGCACACGGAGGCCGCGGTCCGAGACGTCTGGTATGAAGTGTATGTTTTCCTCGATCTCTGGGTCGATGCCGCCGTATGAAACTGTAGGGTTGTGCACATTGACCGTGTAAGTCGGCGGCTCGCTTGCCGCGTCAGAGTCCTGTGTTGCGGAAGAAGACGACGAGTTTTGGTTCCGCTTCTGGACGTAGGGCAGCTGCCGCTCTCGACCTTGGCGTGGAGCGTGGGAGTCCATGAGGACATGAGCCTGGACGCCACAGCAGGCAGGTTGAGCCTCGAGCAACAGTGAGATGGGATTCGACCTGCCCAGAAGAGAGAAACAGCCAACCAGCACTGAGCAGGTCGAGTACGAGGGTTAGAATGAAAGGCCGCTGGCTGTGTTATGCAGGTGTGATTTACGGTGCACAGAGAGGCGGGCGTTGCTGCGGCTCCACCCCTGGTAAATGATGACGACAAGCACTGCCGTGCAGGCGGCTTGGGGTCCTCAAAGTCTGAATTTGGGGACAGAAGGCGGATGCGGACACGGCCCTGTCGAGGAGCCCGTTGAGTCCCGGCAGCCGGTCAGCATTGGCTTGCAGGTGAGCAGCAGTCGCAGGTCGAGGGATGCGGTGTCGCAGAAGAGAGGGCCGGGACCAGGATGTGAGGAGAGAAAAGAGAGAGACTGTGCGGGCTGGAAGCGGTTTCAAATATTGTGAGGGTGCTTGTGCACATCAGAGGAGGATGCCCGTGCTGAGCGGCTCAGCCGCGCGGTGCATCCCACTGCACCATGCGCTGCACATAGTACGTACAGCGCCCAAGTCCCGTCCAGAGAGAGAGCCCAGGTGCGTGCGGTGCCAGGGCTGGGCATTGCGCATTGGCAGCCAAGCCAAACCTCATCAAGCAGGCACCATGTGGGCGGGTGTTGTGGACCTCCCCTTGTGCCCAGACAGGCAGCCGTATGTCCCCTTCACCTCAAAAGACCCGCCGTCGACTATCTACAAAGGAGCCGACAACATGCTAAGGTCGGGCCTACGCTGCCGTCTCCTCCTGGTGTCCAAGCCGGCCTGCCGACTCGAGTTGGTCGACCTTGGGCGTTGTGCCCATGCTCGCAGGCTTCAGGGGTTATGCCCAAAGGTTGCAGAGCCGCGCCGCTGGGTCCGGCATTATTCAAGCCCTGCAGGCATGTACACACCTCTTTCTCAGCACGTCTCCCATGCGGGTTTGTTGCGCCGCGAGGATCTTTGCTGCTTGCGGCTGGGCTCTCGGCTCTTCAAGATTGAGTTGTGCCATGAGGAACCAAGCCGAGCATTGCAACATGTTAATTCTGACGGCAACGCAAGAATGTCCACCTCATGGCGTGATCATGATTGGCCCCGGGTCACGCCGCATGGCAGCTGGCGCTCAGCCAGCATCAAATGGCTGCAACTATGCCAAGCATTTCGGCTTGCATTTGCTGCGTGATTCCTGCCCGCTGCCGCTGGCCGGGCCGGGGGAGCTCTGTAACGCCAGCAACGCCTGTTGTGCTCGAGACCGGCTCGGCCATGCCATGGGACAGGGCTGATCATGCAAATGCCCCCTCCCCGTCTGCAATGTCAAGGACAGAACAGGCAAGTGCCTCCTTCAACAGACACACCGCTAATCCCTCAGATATTCCCGTTCTCTGCTGTTGGTCGTCATGCTGGACACGTCTGCCCATGGGCACGTTGCTGTGATTTGTAGATCAACATACGCCGGGTCCTCATGGGTGAAGATTGCAGATGTGGCCACAGGCGGATCCAGTCCCGTCGGGTTGGGAACCCTTGTCCCTGTCGAGCTTCCTCTTTCGGGGCCCGCAGTTGGCAGGAAGCGCTTGCTAGACGCGCTCAATTCCGACCCTTTGACAACGCCACCAGGCGGTCCAGCGTCGGCAGCCTGGGATGGCGTTCCGTACGACGCCCTTGGCATGCGGTAGGACAGGAACTAGACAACAAGTGACAACCCTGGAGCTCCGTTACCGGCGGCCACGCTTGCGATATGCCAACCTTGCCAGACCTGGACAACCGCCGGCCTGCACAAGGCGAGGCTTGCTGCCAAGGATCATGTGGACAGAGCTGGGCAATAGGTCGACAGCGCTAGTCGAGCACGCCTAGGCAACACAGTTGGTTTGCCAGAAGAGGGAGGTGGCCTTGATGGTACAGGCAGATGGGCTAGCAGTCTGGAGAATGGAGCCGCGAAGCCATGGTCGCTGCCATGGAGGCCTGCCGAAATTGCGGTAGATTGGACATCAAGGTTCGGGTCATGCTGGGCTGGCTGGCACATGTGGGAATGTGAAAAGCTGGGGAAACAAGGCGCGCGGGCTGTTGTGGTGCTGCAAGCCCTCCGGCCCCCGTGCAGCCACAGATCAGACGGACGGTGCGGAGTCGGCAGCCAGCGGCAGCGACGTTGCAGTGCCCAGAGCACAGGCCAGGTCGCGCAACCAACCCCCATCCAGTCAATTGCACCTGCCAACTTTGGCATCACAGCGAGCTCAGTAACTGGCTCCCGCTGGCCCTACACTTGTCGTCCACCTTTACTTTTTGCACATCCTCATTCGCCTGCAACCGTGGTCACCCGACCAGTTTCGCGAGCAGCAGCCAGCGCAAAAGACTCCCTCGCTGCTCAGCAAGGTCCTCAGAGCACAAAGGGCAAATCGGAATCAGATCCCTGGCGCTGCTTCCGTCAGTGGGCCCTCTTGGCAAAGCGCGAGTTCACGAAACTGCCCTCCGTCCTGCCTGCCTCACCCTGTCGAGCAGTTCCACTCCGGCTTTCTGGACGAGGTTGACCTCTGTGAAGAGCTCCAGTCACAATTCGCCAACAATTAAGCCAGGCACGCGACAGATCTTCAGACTCGGCCCTGCCCTAGATAGGAGCTTGTTGTCTCCTGTCGTCTCGTACCACCATGGCAGGACTTTTTGCCCTACTGCCAGACATCATACCCATGATTGTCCCCGCGACAATTCAGGTCACCAAGGCACACGATCTTGAGGCGCAGCGCGCAGGCAATGAGTCTCCGATGATCCGACAGGGGGCCGTTGTCGGCAAGAGCGATAAGATGTGCGCTACTGGTAAGGCTGGTCTTTTGACATGCTTTTGCTCTTCCGAGATGCGGGGGAAAGGGTATGGTTCAAGGAGGTGATTCACCACACGTGGTATCCCGAGGTGTCCAAATCCTCCTCGCTAGGCTGCCCACCCCGCAACCGCTTCGCGCCTCAGCAGTGCGACATGGCTGCATGCTGAATATCCAGCTGACTTCTATTGGACGATTCCCAGTCCTTATCGCCAAGGCGAACTGTGCATCCGCAGTACACCACCACGGAGAACAGGGTAAGTCAATAGACTTCAACCTTCCAAGTCGGGATTCAGCCGCCGAGCAGGGGTCCTAGCTCGCCTGGGTAAGGGTCGTTATTTGCCCGGTCTGCTCACCATGCTGCCCACAGATACAATCATATATGCAGTTTCCGGCACTGGCATCCTCGTGACCAACCGAGGTGACGAGACCGGGCCCCGGCGGCAGGAGCTGTCTGCCGGCGATTTTGCCGTGGTTCCGTCCTGGACCGAACACCAAGAAGTGAATGACACAGACGAGGAATTCGTCTGGATTTTGATACGGAGCGGGCCCGAGCCGGTAGTGGTCTACCTGACAGACTTCTTCGGCGAGGAAGTGCCTGCTGATTAAGTCTCGCACCCTTTGCGGGTTGCCTGTATGAGTATTGGAACGCTCTGTGAGTGTCCTTATCTAAAGTCTCGGGCTATTTATATACATGCAGTTCCCTGGGGTAATACTTACAACCGAAGTTGTACCGCCCGGATCAGCGGCGGCTGTCTTCTGTTCCGACATCTGTGGAACAATAGCGCTGCACAATGTTGCATATTTGCTGCGTCGAAGCCGCCGAGTCGAAGACTTGGGCATGATCTAGCTCCGGGAACCACGCGACCTCGATGCCATCGCGAGAGATGAACTCGGCTTCCTTGTGATGCGCCACAGCCGCTGGACCCAACGTCGTACTGGACGGCCGCCAGTCATCACCCCCGGCCAGATATCGCGCCACTGCTAGAGTGTCCACAATGAGGTCTCGCTCAGCAAGGCATACTGCAACCCTCCGAGCCCATCCTCTGGCCCCCAAATCTGCGCTGTCGGGGGCGGAGTCCGACGGCAAACCCAGCAAGTCCTCCCTCCATGCGATACTCTCCTTCCAATGGAAGTGACGTCCCAGACAGTGAGCCACGCCGGGGTCCGTGCTCGCAAAGTACCACAGCAGCCACTCATTGGCTCTCTGCGGGCTGCGCCTGGTAAAGTTGTACGCAACGTCGGGCAGTTGCAGCATGATGCTGACAGGGTCTATCATGACGGCCGCCTCGACTCGCGGGCCCAGTGCTGGTGACTTGAAATAATGAGTAGCCACGGCGCTTCCGAAAGAGTGTGTGACAAGGGTAAAGCGTGACCATCCCCGAGCATCGAGAATGGCCGTCACATTCTGCAGGTATTCGAGCTTCTGTAGAGGATCATTGGTCAGGCGGAAAGAGATAGGGAGCATTTCAATGGCAATGACTCCAATCTGTGCGTCTCTGGGCTGGCATCGGGCGAGCCGTGAGAAGAATGGCACATATGGCCACAAGCCAATGCCAATTCCATGCAAGAAGACGATGGGTATCTTGTCCGATGCCGTGTGAGGTCGGTGCCAGTATGCCATGTCCTTGCCCTCTGATCGTGCGCCCGGGAGCAGACTCTGCAGCCGGAGAGGAACGACTGAAGTGAGCGCCGACCTGGCCTGCGCGTAGTAGCGGAAACCTTGCCATGCGAGTAGCACGTGCGTCATCGTGTCCACCGCGCCCACGATGAAGTACCACGCCATAGTTCGATACGTGGTCTCGACAGCATCAATGGTGAGGCGGAGACACTTTGCCGCGCCCCGGCCGGGTGCGAACGTGCGGTGCATTTCCTCCTCCACCAATCGCACGTACTCGTCCACCTCGTCGACATCATCCTCCGTCTCCCGCTCCGGGCCCTTGTCTAGAAACGCCCACAGCAGGAACTCGCGCACATTCTCCCGCCTGATCTCGTCGTCGGGCGCGCCAAGGAACCACATCCGCAGGTAGTGCTCCGGATCAGGCATGTTGTCGAGGCACTTCTTGAGCAGCCGCCGGCGCTCGGCGCGCGGCATGGGCGGTGGGTACCGCGCATCCCTCCTCAGGCGGCGCTTATAGGGCAGCCAGACGGCGAGGTAGTACAGCGCGTCGAGCCCCGCGTAGGCGAGGAGGCTGCGGTTGTACCATGTCGTAACGAGCAGGGACGCCGGCTGGACGAGCACGTGCAGGGCCAGGAAGGCAAAGATGAGCGGCGTGGTGTACCGCAGGAAGGTGATGCTGATGCGGATGAAGATGAGCTCTGGGAGCGAGGTTCCTATCATCCTTGGGGAAATGAGCGCGCGGTCTTGGCGCGGGGGGTGGTTGTTTTTTCTGTAATCTTTGTCGGTAGAGCTCGTCTTGTGTTCTTGCCCTCCGTGGTGAAATGGGCGCCTTGTGCAGCAGGAGAGGGAGTGCCGTCTGCAGTGCCCAACCTGGTGAGTGCCTAAGCGTAAGTGTGCTGGAGATGCGTGTAAATGTCTTGGCGGCGGTGGTGTTGTGTGTGACCTGCAGGTGAGAGTGCCACCTGCCTGTTGTTCGGAAAAGACAAGACGACTGCGACGAAAAACCAAAGCAAACTCCTCATAAAGCTACCTCAGGGTATCTTTGGTTTAGGCAGCAAGATGCTCGAAAATGAATAAATTGCGTGTGTGTGTGTGAAAGACTGGACTCCTTTCACAGTCGAGAGTCCAGGCACAAGGACTTTTGGGCTGGGAGATTTGAAACCGGGGCGGGCAGGTGACGTGCAACCCCCCAGTCTGGGGTTCGTTTACTGTGCAAAACGCCGATCTCGAATGGGATGTTACAGGGGTCGGGCACTGCGACAACAGGCCAGGTATGGTGTGAGCAGCCAGTTGTTGAGAGGCGATTAGGTAATCACATCTACTCGCCGACAGCCATTCTCTTGAAACGGTTGAGCTCGGTTGCTTGTGTTTAGTAAATTTCTTTGGTTTCCGTCAAATGATAAATGAATAATAGTTGGCCGGTATTGAGGTGTTTCCTGTTCGGGTCTGTCATGCAAGCCTGCGGTCATCAGGCGGGATGTCAACTAGTAGAAATCGATACGCTTCTCCTTGTGGGAAATCACGTATTCGGGAATTGCCTGTGTTTTCATGATTGGTCAACTACTGGTGTGGAAACAGGTCCTTACGAACTTCCGACATGAAAAGAAACCTTCTTCGTGAGCTCGAGAACATCGTCGGGCGGGAGGTTCCAAGTTTACGTCGAAAATATCTACCCCCTGGCCACGTCAAAATAAGAGCTGCGTGCTGGCTCGCATCTCACACTATCTTGAGCATGTGAAAAGGCTCGAATAGTGTACCATGCCGACGACATGCATGGGGTTTTACCAAGCAAGCTTCCGACGGCACGCTCCCGGGTGTGGCCAAGTTCTGGCTCCGCCGCACCAGTGGTCGCAAAGTCATGGTTTGGACCAAGCACCGGCTCGGCTGCTCTGGGACATCCACCACCTCGGGATTTCACTGTTCGTGCGTCGTAGCTGCTTACAATATGACTCCCCAGCATAAGCGGCAACTTGTATATCTAAATATCGTCCCAAAATCTACAAGGGCTTCGCAATCGGAAAGACACTTCTAGCAAGAATGAACATGTCTGACGTCAGAACTATCAAAAGACTACGTACGCTCGGTCGGCGATGAACAGTCCCAGGCTCATCTCATGAGTGGCTATCCTCCCTGAGATGTCTGCCCAGCTTGTCCTCGACACACAAGCTGGCACCAAAGAAGAAAGACGAACGGTTTTGCTCGACCATCGAAGGGCACTGTAAGCGAGAAGCATAGATGGATGTCCATAGGGTCCCAACCCACGTCAAGACCAGAAGTCGACTTCCAGTGGAACGCACCCAGCTTCATGGCGAGTCTGGCTACAACCAAAGTCGGATGCCCGCAAAACCGGCTGATTTTCCTCAACATGCTTTTGCTAGAAACCGCTGCTGCCGGTCTGCAGGATCGCCTGGATGGCTATGCCAACGACTCTCCGATGAACTACATCCCTGGACGCACCGACATAAATACTCTTACAGAGACCGTAACAACGACCCTGGTTGTTCAAGCACAGGATATCTCACTCTTCCAAGCAGGTTTCGGCAGCACAGGCCAATGGACAAAGATGCCCGCCATCCACCCCCTCATGTCATCGCTTTCGAACAACCTTGCCGGCGCTGCACATTCCGCCCCGCCTGGCATCCCGGCAACAAACGCTACACACGACACCCTCACGGCCGCGAGCCCCGCCATGGAAGCCCTCGCGCGCTCCGCGGCAGCAGCATCGGGCGGCGACATTCTGAACGACGCTGCCCCGAATAACAACGACATAGCGACCGGTGCCGCCGCCGCCGCCACGGCCACTGCGACACCGACTTGCATTCCCTCTGATCCCGGTGACGTCTCTTGCGCCACTGATGGCGTGACCAAGGGCACATGGGTCGGCGGGGGCGCCCTGGCCATATGCCTGCTCGCCATGCTCGGGGTTGCGCTGTATGACTTGTCCTACAGGGCGAGGCGCTGGAGCTTCCCGCCAGAGTGGTACAAGAACATGCGAGCTGAACGGCGCGCGGCCAAAGAGCGCCGACTGAAGAAGTTGCGGGAGGCGAATGGGGAAGCTGGACAGGAGGTGCAAGAGGACATGGTTGTGGTAGTAGTGGTTGATGAGAAGGTGGTGGAGGAGCAGGACAGCCAGCACCAGCACCAGCAGCTGGAGCTGCGGCAGACGACTTCCAGTTCTGCCTATTCGTCATCGACGGCAACAGAGGACTTGGCGGCTTTCTCCCGCGGGGAGTATCCATATCCGAGCGTCTACGAAGATTACGAGACGGAGGACGATGACGCTGCCAGCTCTTCGGGGAGCGAGGTGCATCGACGGACTGGTGAGGCAGGGCATCGCTGGGGATTGTACTGCGCGCAATGCGGTGGCGGCGAGGACTGTTCGTGCTGAGGCAAAGGTCGATTTTCGCATTCTAGATCTGGGTGGAATCAATAGTAGCGGTGGATTCTCTTGAGGTGGCCTCGCGTGTACTGCGAGATACTATGTATCGGCTCATTGCAATACTCTCAGTTGTCCTGTGCAAACGCGCCAGATGAATGCCATGTTCCATGGCCAATGACGCATCTGCAGAGCTTTTGTTTCATATCACTCTGTCATTCAGAATGGCTGCTGAAGGCCATCACAGTCTCAATTCCGAGTTTTTATCCCCCACCAGCGCGGCCACTTTACCACATCGCAGCGTAGAGCCCAATCGCCGCAGTGACCAGCCCCGCAGCTGGCCTGTACAGGTTTGACAGAGCCCACTGGTCGACCACAGCATGCGAGGACATCTCGCCGCGACGCGTGGCCCCCAGCTCTGCAGCCTCCAGCGCCCTCTTGCCCTCCTTGTCGGATCCCTTGGCAGTGGCCGCGGTGGCGGCAGTCTCCTTGACGTACTTTTCCCTTGCGGCCATCATTCGGTTCAACGGCTTCATGAAGACAAAAGTCCAGGGAGTCATGGTCAGTGTGACGAGCGCCGCGAGGGCGTGCAGCTTCCACGAACGCCCGGTTGTAGCGGAGAGCGGGGTGTGGGTGTTGTTGCTGTGCCGGATGAGGACCGCGATGACGGCGTGGAGGATGCCCGGGAGGAGCAGCATCGGCGGCGTGACCTTGTGCGAGATAGCGATGGTTCGGTTGAACTGCTGGATGAGCTGGTGGGTGGGCAGCTCCAGGAGGCGTGGCATGACAAAGAAGGAGAGGCTGGCACCGACGCCCGCGGCAGTGGAGCCGAGGAGGATGCTTGTCGCCTGCAGAGCACGAATGGTGGACGCGAGGGTCGACGAGGTTGTTGATGGAGGATACGCCATTGTGCGGTGTGTGGTCCAGCGGTAGAGACGCGATCGAGTAGGATTGCGCTGGTGGGTTTGTTGGTTTGGTAGGTGTTGCGTGAATGCTGCTATGGCTTTGGGGAGATTGAAGAAGGGAGGGGAGGTTGGCGGGCGCAGTTGACGTCGATGTGGAGTTGGATCTGGGGGACCCTCTAGCTTGTGGAGCTTCCCCACGGCAGTCCGGTCTCAACGCTTCTCGAGGGTGCGCTTCTCGAGTTCGCGACGCACCGCCTGTGCTAATCTTACCAGTTTTCGCATGACGACCGTATCATCTCTAGCTTTCACTCTACTCACATATAGTCTCGGCCACAGTACCTCTACGCTGTACCTCTCCCCCTACATTCATCTATGACCGGTACGCTCTCTGTAGCTCCAATTCTGTAGTTTTACGGTGTGGGTGTGTAAGATGTGCCTGAGGAAACTCTACGCTCCTAAACTACGATAATGATTCGCACTCTAGAAGTAGAAGGTTCCCACTACGTAGCTAGATCCCCCGGTGAGCTTACAGGGGCGTCGGCGGACGTAATGAAGTATCGCATAGTAGCGGGCACCGAGATAGCTTATATAATTCGGGGAAATAGAAGCTTTGCGGAAGCTTACGCGTCCGCTAAGAGAGGAGGGATTAGACGTAGCCCAGTTTCGGAGTGTAGTATAATAATCTCTTCGACTTTTGTCTAGCAAGGATGGTGCATATCTGCCACCAGGCGTGCCTCATCATCATCATCATCATCACCACCGTTCGGGACTGCTGCCAACTCGTACCTGCGAACACGCTATCCAATGCTGATCTACCGTCCTTGCGCGCTTCAAATCACGAGGCTCGCTGATCTCCGGAGACTTGCATGAGCCAATATGCCCAAAATGGCCAGAGAGCCCGAGGCTGATCCCAGACAGAAGTTCACCATGTGCCTCCGAAATCGGCGGGCGGGATCCCGGCGCCGACCTCTTCGGCCCGCCCGTCAATCGGACCTGGCCCCGCTCGGGGCACATCCGCGCGCCGTTTGTCGGACAGCGACAGTTGCGGATGGTATAAGTCGAGAATCATTGCCCTTCACTCCTGATTGAAGAGACAGTTGGCCTTGCCAGATCGGTTCAAGTATTGCTGTGTTCGCTACTTCTTGGCAAATTGTTGCTACAATCATGCGATCACGACTAAGTACACAGGCATAAGCCGTTATTTGAACACTAAGATATCACGAGGTACAACAAACGACACGACAGCCATGTCAACTTCAACCACCACAGAAGACAAGAAAGACCACTGGTCCTCAGAGGTACGCAGCCAGCCTGTCCAAATCCTTCGTAACATCTGTACATTTTGCACGCTCGGCTGCAATTTCATGTCTCTGTCCAAACACGATAACTGAGAGCACATGTCCCTGGTTCAGGCGTACCAAAGCGCAGCAGCCTTCGTGCCCAAGCTCGCGACCAAAGTCATCGGCTGGCTCGATGCGCAACCAGACGATGTTATTCTGGATCTTGGCTGCGGCGGTACGTATTCTTGATTCAAAAACGTTTATAATCACCATCTACACATCCCGTCTTATTCCCTTCCGGCCAGTTCTGAGCACTTTCGCGAACACGGACTATGCTTCTAAGACACTGACGAATTATTGCGGAGTATCAGATGGCGTGATCAACGTCGACCTCGCCTCTGAAGTCCTCTCGCGCGGCACGGGCCGAATTCACGGCACAGATGCCTCAGCGAGCATGATTGCCGCGGCTAAAAAGGCCGCCGAGAGCAAGGGCTTAGGTGAGAAGTGTACATTTGAAGGTAAGCGAGGCCCATGTAATATCCCGAGCAGCACGTGCTGCTGGGCACGGTTGTACGATTGAGCATAAGGACCACCATGCCTACCTTGCGGTGCCATCAATACACCGACCACTTTCACAGAGTCCGCGCTGACCAAGACCCCTGCCGTCGCCTTTTTGTCACGCAACGCAGTGGTCGACGCTACAGCCCTGCACACCCAGCCGCATCTCCAGTCCGCCTCCTTCACGAAGGCCTTCTCCAACGCCGCGATGCACTGGATCCTCCGCCCCGAGGCCACCCGGGCGACTTTCTTCCGCGGCGTCCGCGAGGCCCTGCAGCCGGGCGGGACGTTCACCTTTGAGCTCGGGGGGCTGGGCAACGTCGTGGAGATGCGGACCGCGCTGCTCATGGCGGTGGCCCGGCGCGCCCCGGGAGGGCTCAAGACGGCGATGGAGTACGACCCCTGGTTCTTCCCGGACGAGGCGTGGGTACGCAAGACCATGGAGGACGAGGTCGGCGGGTGGAAGGTCGAGAAGGTGGAGCGCGAGTATCGCCCTACGCCCGCGGATCCGGGCGCCAGCGGGGTCGAAGGGTGGGTGAGGCTGATGGGGGCGAATTTCTTCGAGGCTATTCCTGATGCTGCGGAGAAAGAGGAGGCTGTTAGGGAGGTCGTCGAGGTGCTGAATGAGGTTTGCAGGGTGCCTGGTGGTGGGTGGCAGTATGGCTACGTGAGATTGCGGGCAACCGCGCGGAAGCTCTGAAAGGAGTGTGGTCTGACTGTGGAATTGCCCTGTGAAGTGTCCAAAGGGATGATGATGAAATCCGAGGGATTTGGTATCGCCTAAACCAGCGACCATGTCATTTGGCTAGCCCTGTCTGTTGATACAATGTTTTTCGAAAATGCACTAAAAACAGATGTTGTACTAGTGTTTCTACGTTGCAGATTGGCCAATTATCATCTCGTTGGTGAGCATAACTCAGTCTATCTCTAGCAGCTTGAACTTGTCATCTCCCAAAGCATCCTCCACCCGCTTCATAATCGCCAAGACCTTCTCCTCTTCTAATCGGCGACCCACGATTTGCACGCCCACGGGAAGACCATGCATGTCCTCGGCATCGTAGAGCTTGTATGCACCCTGGGCAACGCCGTTGAGCTTCTTGATGTCGAAAGACGGAGGGAGCTTGTCGAGGTCTTTGTCGACGTGCGTTACAGGGATGATGCCGGCCGTGTAGTCGAGCTATGGTTTCGAAGACGTCAGTAATGTTACAGCAGGAACAAGAAAATGTCAAACTTATAGAATACAAGAGAGAGCCACGCACCAGATTGAACAGGAAAGTATAACCGCAGCTGCTCACGGCGTCATGCATGCCCTCGTGCGGCACAGCGGGTGTCGCATTTGGTGGCGTAAGCAAGAAATCAAAGCCTTGGGCATTCCACCATTCGAACCACTCTGTTCTGTAAGCCTCTCGCCGTGCAACGAGCTGCCAGTTCTCGTAGGCCGACTTGGCCCGCCAGTTCTTGATGAGGCCGGCCCAGACGTCATCGCGTCGCACGTATTTGACCCAGAGGTAGTACAGATATTTGAACGGGTTGGGGAATCTCATGAGCCAGTCCATTTGGTGCGCACCAGGGTCATTCTTCTCTCCGTAGCGGAAGAATGACTTGAACATCTGGCAGCCATCGGCGTTGAGGAGATGAGCACCAAGATACAAGGCCTCGTAGGGAGACGGCGGGTTGGTGACCTCGACAATCTCGTGGCCCGCCTTGCGCAGAGCTGTCTCGGTCATCTCGAGCGCGCGACGGCACGCTGGTGACGGGTCGACGACGCCATCCGTCCTCATGACACCGACCCGGAGCTTTTTTGACTTGGCGAATTTCTTCTCGACGTCAGGCCTCCATGGCATTGGGTGCACCCAGTAGTCGTATTTCCAAGGCTCCATGCTCATCACGGCGCGAGTGAAATAGGTGAGGTCATTGAGCGTCCTTGTCATTGGTCCGTAGACGCTGGGCACACCCTCCTGGCCGGGCATACTGGTGCGAAAGCCGAGTTTGGGCCAACGCCCAGTCGAGGGTCGCAAGCTGTAGATGCCCGAGAAGTGTGCAGGCACTCTTACACTGCCGGCGACATCACTGCCAACCCCAATCCGACCGCCTAGAGCGAGGAGCGCCGCTTCGCCACCTGTTGAGCCACCCGGTGTGTACTTGCTGTTGTAGGGATTTGTAGTTCGACCCCAGACATCGTTGGCCGACTCGAAGCTCAGCATTGTGATAGGCAGATTGGTCTTGACGTAGGGCACCGCACCGGCGTCTTTGAGCAGCCTGACCACCGCGCCGTCCTTGGATTCCTTGTTGCCAACAAAGCTGCTGAAGCCGACAGTGGTATCGAAGCCGCCGACGCAGATGGTGTCCTTGAGACTGACGGGGATACCAGCTAGGGGCCCCTTGAGGTTGATTGATCCGTCCTGCAGCCAGCTCTCAGCCGCTGGAATCATGATCTCGGTGACGCAGTTTGTCTTGTCGTGGGCCTTGAGGGCGACCTTGCCGTAGGTGTGCAGCAGGTCTACCGGATCGAGGACCTTGTCGTGTACATCCTGGACGAGGTCTTCTATGGGTCTGTCTAAGATGGCTCTGTCGGCCTTTGTGAAGGGCCCGCGGAGGTGGGAGAGCCCCAGGACGCGGTGGGCACGCTCGTCCTGCTTTGCCTGGCTGTCTCGGGAGTGAGGATCGCGGGTCGTGTGACAATGGCTGAATCACGAACTGGTGGGGTCGGGACTTACCAGTCTCGCCGATGCTCGAGCCGCTGGATGAGGAATGACATGGTGATGGGCGTGGTCTGGCACGATGGCCTCGGGATGGTGTACGGGTGTAGATGCGGCTGCCGACGAGGTCTCGGACGATGAGGACGAGAAGGAGGAGTACAAGGCAATAGATCCTGGCAAGATTTCAGGTCGAGCAGGTCGAGCAGCAGCAAGAGGGCTTATCAGGCGGGCGGAAGGTGTCTCATGTCTCACGAGGCCCGCTGCTATGCGCACCACCAGCGAGGACCCACCCAGGGACTCCCCCGCATTGCTACTGAAGGGGCCAGTTGGGGTAGGTACGACCGTCTCTCTTAGCGCCTGTATCGGAGTGTCGCAGCTGTCCCTGCGCACGCGTCTGCAGTTTACTCCGACCCGTCTCTCCGATGGGCGTGCCGGTCTCTCCGCCCTTCCCTCTCCCCTTGTTGACACAACCAGCCCGAATGGTGATGGAACCATATAAACTACTTTCCGGAAGTTCTCAGATCTGGAGCATGCACGGCACAGAAGCAATCTACAGCGCAGACTGCACCTCCAGGCCAATCCTATTTGCCGGTGCGATGACCTCATCTGCGTGGAGTGGGGTTGACCCGACCATGTCGGCGATAAAGGCCGACTACGGAGCGAACGATCCTGTACACTCTCTGGTTCTTATGTCCCAAGGCACAGTAGGCCAGACTCTGAGAAGATCTTGATAAGCGCAAATCGCGAGTCCGACAAGAGCCGCACGTGGGCCTTCAGCTCAGCTCGGCTCGATCCTAGACAACAGCCCTTTTGGTGGCCCCGCTCGGCTCTCCAACGACTTCGGCTTCGGCTCCAGCTGCGCTCATCGCATGAGGCTGACACTTCCACGATCTGGCATCTTCCATACTCATTGTCTGAAGGGTAGACTGGCGGCTTTTCTTTGACATTACGCTCGGCTCAGGGGAAACTATAAAGGCAGCTCAAATCACGCGTGGGCAGCTCCAGGTGACAAGCACCGCGACACCAAGATAGCATCATCTCCTCCTCCACGACTTTCACTACTTTGCAAATCGGACCACCATGGCCTCATCCCAGCAGGAGCCCGCGTACGACCCTCAGCGGACAGGCTCATGGCTTGTCTGCACAGCTTGTGGCACCCAGTTTCCTACAGCAGACCCCAAGGCCGTCACAACATGCCGTATCTGCGACGACCCCCGCCAGTTCACCCCGCGCACCGGGCAGGCCTTCACAACGCTTGACACTCTGCGCCAAAAGCACAAGAATACATTCACCCCATTTCCTTCTGATGATCGCTTCACCTCCATCAGCAGCGAGCCCAAGTTCGCCATCGGCCAGCGCGCGATTCTCGTCAAAACGCCCCACGGCAACGTCCTCTGGGACTGCATCACGGTCCTTGATGATGAGACCATCAAACGGATCAAGGATCTCGGTGGGCTCAAGGCCATCGTCATCAGCCATCCACACTACTACTCCACCCATGTAGAGTGGGCGTGTGCGTTCCAGTGTCCCGTGTACTTGGCTGCCGAGGACAAGGAGTGGACAGTCCAGACCTCGACATGGCAGAACTTCATCACGGAGACTGAGTTCAACGTCCCACTCAAAGGTACTGGGAGTTCCGATGGCGATGAAGTCAAAGTTCTCAAGCTGGGTGGCCACTTTCCGGGGTCCTTTGTCACACTGTATGACAAGCGTCTCCTCATTGCCGACACGCTGGTCACCACGCCAGCAGGCCTGGGAAACTGGGACACCGACGCGCTTGGTGAGCCGCGACCCCTCACGGACAGGGCAGCGCGGGACCCGCCGAACCGCCGTCCACTGGGGATGAACTCATTCAGCTTCATGTGGAGCATTCCCAACATGATTCCGCTCAGCGCCGACGAGATTGCCAAGATGTGGGCAGTCCTGGGGAAGCACGAGTTCCGCAGCACGCACGGCGCCTTTGTGGGGGTCGATGTCGAGGCCGAGGTCACGGAGATGAGGAGGCGGGTACTTGAGAGCATGCAGATACAGATCCGCTACATGGGCTACGTCGAGCACGCAATGCTCACAGAGAACTAAGCGCCTGTTTTTGTTCTTTCAAAAATATAAATGGCCATGGAAGTGTTATGCGATGCGTAGTTGATATCCTCTCAAATGCCGGAGGGCCAGAGTGAAAGCAAGTCTGCTTCATCTCACTTTGTGCAAAATGCTCAGAGCTTGCTCTTGCCAGCGGACTCGGGCACATCCACCACGACCTTACCCCAGCTCTCCCTCCCGCCCAGCGCAACCAGCGCATCCGGCACGCTCTCGAGGCCGACAAACTCCTTGTCCGAGAACACGGTGCCCTTGAACTTGCCCTGCTCAATCAGCTCCATGATCCCCTTCCACACGACGGGGACGCTCTCCTTCTCAAACTTGGCATACTGGCCCCAGTGGATCCCCACGAGGCTGATGTTCTTGAGCAGGACCTTGTTCATCGCGACCTTTTCGATGGTGCCAGCCGCGAACCCCACGACGAGGATCCGCCCGTTCCACGCGATGCACTTTGTGCTCCGGTCCACCAGGCCGACGGGGTCGTACACGATGTCCACGCCGCGCTTCTTGGGCGTCAGCGCGCGCACTTTATCCGGCCAGTCCGCCTCGCGGTAGTCGACGACGTGGTCGGCCCCAAACTCGCGCGCGACGTCCAGCTTGCGCTGGGTGCCCGCCGTCGCGATGACGGTCGCGCCAAACGCCTTGGCGATCTGCACGGCCGCCAGGCCCACGCCGCCCGCCGCGGCGTGGACCAGGACGTAGTCGCCGGCTTTCACGCCCGCGCGGAGAACCAGCGCGCCGTACGAGGTCGGCGCCGTGACGAACAGGCCCGCGGCGTCGCGGAAGGACCAGCCCTCCGGGACGGGCAGGAGGGTCGTCTCCTGCGCGAGGATCTTGGTCGCGTAGGAGCCCTGCGAGGCGCCAAAGACCTTGCTGCCCACGGGGTACAGCGGTTTCGGGTTGCCCGGTGGCGTGGCGAGGACGATGCCGCTGAACTCGGCGCCGCCTATCCAGGGAAAGGCTGGTGGCGGGGCGGGCAAAAAGGGAGCGCTTGGTCAGCTTTTTCTCGGGAGGAAGGAGAGGGGGGAGGGAGCAGGAAGCGGGGAATGGGGCAGAGGATGGGTGGGGGACATACGAGGCTGATTCTGGTATTTGCCCTGGATCTGCAGGATGTCGAAGAAATTCGTCGCCGCGGCGTGGACCTCGATCAGGTAGTCGTTGGGACCTTGCTTGGGCTCGGGGACCTCGGTCACCTTGAGCTCCTTGGGGCCCTGTGTGCAGCGGCATGGTTAGTGTTGATGTGTGCTTGCGTGGAGTTGGCAAAGATTGACGGGCTGCTATGAACTGCCAGGCTACGCTGCACGGGCTGCCTCGGGAAGCTTGTGGTGGACAGCTGATGGAAGAGCGTACCTTGACGTATTCTGATATCTGGATGCCCCGCATGGTTGGAGAAGCTGGCTTGCGAATTGGCTGGGAAAGAGAATTCGAAATGGATATGCTACTGCTCAAAAGTCAGAATTGCCAATGCTCATGGTCTAGTCAGAGGGGCAGACTCACGGTCAAATTCGATTGCAGTTGCTGTTTGTTGTCGTCAAGGCCGGCAATCTCAAGCTCGGTGGATTTGAGTGATAGAAAGTGAGGTTGGGGGAGAGGAAAACCGCGCTAGCGACATGAGCCTCGGGTTCTCCATCAATGCCACGGTGGAAAGGGTGGAGCCGTTCACAGTGCTGGAACGATTCCGCGTCGGTTTCTCTCAACCCCCGCACGTGATGGCGCTGGAATGACCCCTGGCCCCCGAAAAGGTCCCTGCGCTTCCGGGGATGCTTGGGCACTCCCCATGCGGGGCCGGACGGATACTGCCATTTCAGGCTTGGCTGGCGCTGGACAAGCCGGAAACCTGAAGGCCTTTACTCATCTTCGTAGACACAGCTGCGGCCCGGCGGTCTCGTCGACTACTTCGTTGACTTGGACATTGTCAATTGCGGTGAAGATGAAGCACGGGTAGTTTTACGGCACCACTGAATCTGGACCGTACTTAGTGTTTTCACGTCTCTATCTTGGCCATCATCCGTCAGCTCGGCCCCGACCTTGGCTATGACTGACTATGGTAGTGTTGGCAACTTTGAGGCTTGAGAGCCGACGTGGGCGAGCCTGATCCGCCCAGGTCATACTTTGGTGCAAGAGAGCGACAGTGGTAGAGTCCAGCGCCATCTGGTTGAGAACATTCTTTGTACTGCGAACTGAGTTGGTGCGTCGCCTGTGGGAAAGGGCATGATAGTTGAGCTGATGTATTTTGGCATTGATAATCCAGTGTCCAATAAGGGTCAATGAATATACCTGCAAGGTAAGCAGGTCACACACTCGCCCAGGCGCGCGTGCATCGCTGCTCCTCCTGGCGGCCTGTCTGGTCTGGGGCCGTGCGGGGCCGCCTTGCGGGTGCCAATGCACCCCAGATGCGGGGGTGGAGCTCGAGGCCATCGTCCATGTCATCATGGTCATGATCAGCTGTCATGCAACAGAAATCGTACCCGATATTACATCCATCTCAGCGCTTTGATCACGCACTCGGAGCCCTCAGCATGGCAGATCTCCAAGACGAGTTCGAGGCCAAGATGAACATGGGAACCTCGCCAGTTCCGACACCATCGCCAACATCCTCGTCCTCAACGCCAGCCATGGATGCCTTCTTGTCCACGCCCGAGCTTCTCGAGGCTCTGTTCTTGGAGTGCGACATGCGGGATGTCCTCACCTCTGTCCAGCGGGTCTGCAGACAGTGGCACGAGATCATCACCACGACCCCCTCCGTGCAAGTCCACCTTTTCTTCCGCCCGGCAAGGAGAGTCGTCCCTTCCGAGAGTGCCGGGCACCACGCAATTCTGCCACCATCTTCCTCAGAACAAGCAGAGCGAGAACGTTCGCTGTCGTCGGCGTCGGAGGGCTCAAACTTTTCCACCTTCTCCGCAAGCACCGTCTTCTCGGCCAGCACTTCCCTCTCCCACTCATCCACATCATCCACATCCTCTCGCACATCACAGCCACAGCACAAGCACCGCCTCCCGCATTCTCCGAGACTGCCGACAGTGAATCCCCTCCTGGCAGCCCTCTTCCCGCCCTTCTTCCAGCCGCTCGCCAGCTCCGTCACGCAGAGAACGTACAACGGCCGCAGGGACATCGAGTCCCTCCCGCTGGCACAGTATCCGGATGCGTTCCTCTACGTGGACGCCTCGTGGCGGCGCATGCTCGTCCAGCAGCCGCCCTGCGAGGCCATGGGCGTGTCAATGCCCGAGACGGGTTACTCTGTGCTGTACTCGCGGCGGCACCAGCAGCGGCGGGCGCGAGAGCGGCGCGAGCAGAGCCTGCGTGGTAGTGGTGGCGGTGGTGCCGGAAAACCACAGCAGCAGCAGCAGCAGGGGGAGGAGGACCGTACGTCGGCTAACGCCGCCGCCGCCGCCGCCGCCGGGGTGATGCCGGGAGCAGGGGGATCAACGTCGAGCACAAGAGCCGAAGGCAAATGCAACAGCTTCGGGAGTTTTGTTCATGGGCGGCTGGGGCGGCATGCTTCGTCGTCCGCGGGGTCTTCGTCGCCTCCTTCAGAAGTGAGCGCTAATGAGGAAGGAGCTGGAGCGGGTGCCATCGCGGCTCCATCAACACCATTGACACCATCACCGCCAACGCCGCCCCCGGAGCACGACGGCCTGATACGCATGTGGGACCTGTACGACGCGGTTGTGCGCGGGCTCGCGGACCCGGGGCTCCGGTGGATGGTGCTGTGGCGGCCTAGCACCGTCCCTGCCTCGCAGCCATTATCGGACTGGACTGTTCCCGACGGCGGCCGTCCTGCGATGGAGAATAGCGGTGGGGCATCTTACAATCCGACGGGTGCAGAACAAGCTGGATACCAGAACGAGGGCAGAGACGTCGAAGCAGACGAGCACAAGCGCAACCTCGCGGCATGGCAACTCCCCCCGCCGCCACCGCTATCACCGCTATCACGCTCCTCGGCGGCGGGCCTCTTCGCCACGATGGCGACGCCAGCGGCAGAGACAAACATCTGGGACCCCAACACCATCCACAATCTCGTCGACGACCAGCAGCTTCTCAGCGGAGCCGCCGTCTCTAGGGAGGACCTGCTCGGCGGGTGCACGGCCGAGCTGATGAAGCGTGGCGCGGAGCTCATTGTCGTCCGGCGGCGGGACATCAACGAGAACGCGTTCCTGGGGTGGTCCCAGTTTCGGCACTTCCAGGGGCGGTATGTGAATCCTCATTGGCTAGCTGTTGGTGGTGCTGGTGCTGGTGGAGGTGGTAGTTCGGCTGGTGGTCTAGGAGCTGGGGATGCGAACGGAACCGGCGTGGTTGGTAGTGGTAGGACGATGATGATGAGTAGTAGTCTCGAGCGGATTGGTGGTGATGGGAGGGTTGTTATTACGGGGCAGCCCACGAGGAGTCATCGCCGGGAGCTGTAATTGTTTGCTTTCTTGTTGGCCCTGGTCGATGCAGCAGCCAGAAGTCTGTAAGGGCTGTAGGATGTGGTATACAGCCTACGTATGGGACGTATGAGAGGGAAAGCGAGTAGCCGGGGTCAATATGAGCATTCTGGGAATTTGTCAGTTTCTTATCTTTTGTTTTTTCCAAACATCAAGGTCATGGCTCTCGCAGCCAACTATAATAGTCAGTTCTAGGGAGCACAGCATAATAAAGCACTAATCACTTGCAACATTGAGGACATCGGTGTTCACTTTATCATCCTTTTCATTTAATACTACCAAAAAACTATCAATCCCCAAAGAAAAAGCTTGTGAATCATTGCAGCCTGGAGATGCCCCGGCGCTGAGATTCTTTTTTTCTGGCTCGAGAGACGACTAAAGACAGTTAAGTCAAGCCGTCCCCGTCACGAGACCATGTTCACCACGAACAACGACGACGCGCGCCGCTTAGGTGTGGCCGACGAGGCCAGCCTTGGGGGCGTTGTCGGGGTTGGTGTTGGTGCCGGCGAAGCCCAGAGCGTCGTTCCAGGCATCGGCAGTGGTGACGTCGCGGGCACCGCCCTTGAGCGCGGCCTGGGTGTCGCGGCAGAGAGTGACACCGGCGTCGGAGGCGTTGCAGACGTTGCCGAGCTGGTCGCAGATGCGGTTGAAGATGATGTCAAAGTTGAGCGCCTCCTGCTGGCCCTTGTTGACGACGGGGTCGATGGCCTGGAAGGTGAACTCGCCAGCCTTGCGGCCGTTGAGGGACTCCTCGAACTTGACGGTCGGGGTGCAGGTGCCGAAGTCGACGCCGAGCGAAGACTCCTGGAAGCCACCGAAGGTACCAGTGACCGCGTCGTCGACAGCGCCAGCACCAGTGGCAGCACCAGCACCACCGCCGGCGTTGTTGTTACCGTTGCCAGCGTTGTTGTTGTTGTTACCAGCGTTGTTGTTGTTGCCACCGGCGTTGTTGTTGTTACCAGCGTTGTTGTTGTTTCCGTTGCCAGCATTGGCATTTCCGTTACCAGCGTTGGCGTTGCCACCGTTGCAGTTGTTGTTGTTGCCAGCATTGTTGTTGTTGTTATTGTTGTTACCATTGCCAGCGTTGTTGTTGTTGCCGTTTCCAGCATTGTTGTTGTTGCCTCCGGCGTTGTTGTTGTTTCCACCGTTGTTGGCGTTGCCGCCACCAGCAGCACCACCAGCGGCGGCGCCGTTGACATTGAAGGTAGAGAAGCCCTGAGCCTGCATGATGTCGGCGACACTGAGACCATCCGAGGGGAAGGGGGTGTTCAGGGACTGCGCAGAGTTGGCATTCTCAGTGGCCGCGCCGTCGACCGCAGGGTCGACCAGAGGGACGATACCACGGAGCTCGGCAGTGGCGGGCAGAGAGGCATCACCGCAGATGTTGGGCCTGTCGGTGTTGAAGGGGTTGAAGTTCTGCTCGGCGGCAACGAGGCCGGCGGCGGCCTCGATGACGGCCGGGTCGTTGCCGAGAGCAGCAACAATCTGGTCGGCAAGGGACAGCTTCGCGCAAGGGTTGGCAGCAGCAAGCAGAGAGCTGGGGATGGAACCAGCGAGAGTGGCGGCCTGGCCAGGGTTGCCAAAGTTGCCGAGGGCCTGGACCTTGGCGACGGGACGCTGCTCCTCGCCGAAACGGGCCTCGGCGACTGCCACGAGGGCAAGAAGGGCGCTAGCACGAGTGAACATTTTGAGGGAATGAGTGGTAAATGGTTGTACCGAAAAAAGGTTTCGAAAGCGAATGGATCAAAAGAAACAAAGACCGGCTGGCGGTGTGTGGTTGAATGAGGGAATGGCGAAGGGAATGAGTTACCAGAACTACTAGGAGAAAGAAGGACGAAACGATTTGTGGATGAGAAAGATGGGATGGAATAAACTTGGGGGCGAGGAACACGCCAACCTTATATACAGATCTCTACGAGGTAGCAGAGAGGGTGGACAGCCCTGGCCCAAGCTTGTCGGTGGCGGTTGTTCGTCCCAGGGGCTTCCAAGCGCTCAAGAAACGTCATTGAGTCGTTTCACAGGCAGCCAAGGGAGCTGTTGCGGGCTCCGGAACAGTCGCAGACGCACAAAAGGGGCCCTGGGCATGGGTTCGTGGGTGATGGCCTGGTATCGTCCCATGTCGGATGACCTTGTCGGCCATGCAAACAGACTCCTACTCCCAGCGTCTCGCCCTAGCTTATGCATATGCGTGAGAGCCGCGCCCCGGGGGGTCCTGTTTCCGTGGTGGCTGAACCCATGCCGGGTCTAGATGTGGCGGTCATCGCCCGACATCTTCCCAGCTGAATGCTGGCATCACTATTGTCAAGGACACATTGGATATGGGTGGGGTTGACAACGACACGGACAGGAGACTCTGGGGCGGTGGTATGTGCCCCTCTCTGACCTGCGGATGTTTCCAGATCAGCGGAAGCCCACAAGGCCTGGCCGGTAAGGAGTGAGCCTCAGTACGGGCAATCCTGTGACGAGGACCTCGATTTTGGTATGCTCATGGTGCAGGTTGAGAGATCTGGCGAAGTCTCTTGGCACTCCTGACTGGACTCCTTGAGGCGACCCCGGAACTCAAGCTGTCTGGGGTTGCCTGCGTGTAGTCGGCCAGGGACCTTGGCTCGTCTCAGGAGCGCGGATTAGGTCAGCAGGCCACCCCTGTTGGCTTTCCAGGAACTGGGGCGCGGGCGTGGGGTCCACTGGGCAGGTGGTGACATTGTACTTTTGTTCTGCAGTACCAACGTATGCAGACAGCCATGCCTTGACGTTGTTCGGACTCAATGTCAGGCGGTCGACGTGAGATGTCGACTGACAACTTTGGCGTTGCCGTCAGAAGCCGGGAATCTGGGATCTGCGAGATGAGGTGAAGAGCCGCCAGGCCAGGCCAGGGGCCGTTGTTGGACCCCTGCCAACCGCCGCCTGAGCAGGGGTCTCCTGAGACAGCTTCGAGACCGGAGGCGCTGCGGTGCCGGCCCACGCCGCGACACAGGCTCCTCTCGGTGGCTCCCGGCCGCCCCGTTTATTGCTGCTTTCGAGACTGGCCGCCGAAATTCAGTCCGCAGCTCAGCACTTCACGCCGTGATCCCACCTGACAACCACGATGCCTGCGCCCTTGTGTCTGGGCCCCCGTTTGGAAACCCACCTTGCCGCCCTGCGACCTGTCGAGTACCTACCTACTCCTGCAGCTCCAGAATTTTTTAAGGTTTTGTCATTGTCAGGAGCAGCGTGCAAGCGGTTCGGATGGTACCGAGTCGTGCTGCTAGGTAGCCCTTGAGGCTCAGCCCCCATCGGCCCGGGTTGCCGAGCCACAGCCAACAGCAGGCCCCTCCTGTTTGCGAGTCAAGGCCTGGAGGGAGTCTCGTGAAACTCGTGATCTGTTTACCGTATTTGACCCTTGGGTGTTTCTGGCGCGTGCGCAGGAGACAGGACTCTCACATGAATTGTTGCACCCAAGGTGGAGCTGCAAATCTGAGCATCTTGTTTCCCAATGGGGGCAGACCGGAGGACGTCAGGCAGCCCCCAGCACCGCAAGTTATTGTCCTTTGTCAGCGACATCCACATGTGATAAGAGAGAGACGATTAAGTCACCAAGAAACATGGCGGACACGGCAGATCGCTAGGTGTCAATGAAGTTGGGGACTGAATGGGCTTGCTGGAAGAGCTCTCCCACTCCTTGTTCTCAGATCATGGAGATTGAGCCCTAGCGTTTAGGTTGTCGAAAAAGGCGTGTCTGTCTTTCGTTGACTGAGTGCGTGCAATGACACCGCGCCAGCACGTTTTCGCGGACTTCCTGGCAGCCAAATGGCGCCCTCGGGGACCAATGAAACACGGCGTTCTCTTTCCAAGGGAGTCCAGCTCGGCCGTCATGGTACATTCCTCGCGCATAGCTTTAGCAGCGCACTGTACCAGGTCCAACAACCGTGCCGCAAACTGACCCGCCCATTCGCCCAAACTCAAAAGTTGCTGAACCGGATCACGTCCGGCAACCAGCAATCCCAAGACACCTTACGAAACATCCACCGATCCGTCGATCCATCTCGAAGTATCATGAGACCACATAGCACCATCAGACCTAGCTCGCTCCCCCAATCTTATCCTGTGATCTCGAGTTTCAAGACTGTGGCAGAGGGCAAAAATACAAGCCAGCCACGATGGCCTGCGTAATTGACATCGGTGGGTCTCGAACCCACAATCTCCTGATCCCGAAATCCAGGCGAACCGCCCAGGACCGTCGTAGTCAGACGCCTTACCATTGGGCCACGACGCCGAGCGCTGATTGGTTGAAAGCGACGGGCACTTATTGGAGATTCTTTCAACGTCTCAGAGCCAGAGACACAGGTGGGAAGAATGACCATCCCGGATTCGATTAATTCATGTTAGGGATTTAGAACGAGATACGAGATTCATGAATTATGGTCAGGAAGATGTCAGGGATGTGTGAAAGCAGTAGTCTTCTTGTTGCACCCAAATTGGAGTTGGCGCCAACAATGTCTAGAGGCTGCTAACAATGAGCCACAGGTTTGAGCGGCATCAAAAGAACATCAAAGTATGAATACATCGAGAGGTTAATCTCCTTCTTGATTTGCGGAAATGAGCCCTCCGGATCGAAGTAGCTCACGAAAAACACTGTGAGGGTACATTTACGGAATTTTCCCGAGTAAGTATCTTAGCAGCTTTTGAGGACTCGTGGTCGTTTTAAAGGCGGCCGCGACTTCATTGCTATTTTCCCTGGACTTTGAGATGACCTTGTGGTCTCAGAGTTATTTTACATGGATATTTGTTCCTTATTTCTCGTTGTGAAATTTTGGTCCAATGCATCCTGCGAAAAACAAAAATAAGTAAAACAAGTGCGTCGTGCCTACCATTTCGGACAGGCTCCACTAGGACACGAGACCTTGAGGTCGACGGTTCTATAATGGGAGAAACCCATCAAACAGTCCAAAGTCCTGACGAATACCAAAGGAGAGCATTGCACTCATAGAGGAAGCGAGCTTACTTGTAAAGAGTCACATCGAGTGTCTGGCTCGCTTCGCCGTATTGTTACATAGGAAAGTGCTAGGGATATGGGACGGTTCATTCGGTAGTTGACAGATTGGGGCCATCTATCTCTTTCAGCACTTGACGCGGTTTACTCCAAAAGTCGAAGTCGTAGAAAGTGTGTGGTATTTGGACCATAGTGGTTAGGTAATATGATAACCACTTATCCTTATGAAGGGCAGCTGCATTTCATGTCGTTCCGGAGAAAGAAATCAATAAAAAAGGACTAAAGACAAGAATAAAAGAAAAAGAAAATTCGTTTTCGAACCTAAAGCTTGGAGGGGGAAAAATGCTACCGGGTCTCCATGTGAAACAGGTTTGCAATATGAGAGTCTGATACCTATTGTCACAGCTTCTCCCGGTGCTCATCGATGAGAGTCTTTTTGTGGCATCATAGTGGTATCATGGTCTTTCGCCAAATATAAATGGGAACTTGAAGAAGGCAAGTAGATGTTTGAATGCTATTGATCTTGTTAACAAAGTCAGACTGAGCAGGGGGAACCAAAATCCGCGTCCCGTCTGACCATCAATTGCATTTATACAATTCTTTTCTCCCATCCACAATCAATGGTCGTGGGATAAGTCTGGGAAGGCTATTGACAAATGAAATAAAATAAGGCAACAAGGGAACACGAGAAGAGAGAATGAAAGAGAACGGCACACAAGTTTCATGCCACTTCCACCTGGGTGACTCGCATTGAGAGTCCATCAAGTCAGCTCGAGTGTTGGTGATCGCCCAGTCTTGGCTCAACCAGAAGTCTGGGGATTAGCCAGGGTAATCTGGGGAAGACTCATCCGTGTGGAGATTGTTTTCCCATCAACCCCGCGTGCCAATGCGCACTTCTGTCACGTCCAAGCTCAGATCATTACTCGATTCACCACTGCTCTAGTTGAGCGAGGGGCATCAGAAACATCCCCGAATATGCCAAAACTGCTTGCCCCGAGACCCCTCGGATTCCGAATCGCCGAGGTGGCAGACATGCAGATTGCCAAGTCGGGGAGAATTACCAGCACGCGCTCCCTCCAGTATAAGATAACCTGATCGCGCCTTGGCCCAAGGCTCTCTCCTGCTTGTTCCAAGCAAGTCAGTATTGGCGACAGTGCTTGGCAGGCAAGCCCCTGGTGCAACAGGACCAGTTCAGATTCCAGCCAATCTCAATGCAGCAGATATGAATATCATCCTCGGACGAGATCCATTGCCAAACCCCCGCAACCCCGCATCGCAACCTTTTTTTCCGCCGAGAGCGTGCGGGGACAAGGCCAACCGGCGGTTTGTTGTCGAGACGGGGACAACGCCTAGGCTTGCCAAGTCCGCCACGGAGGGGTCGACCGGGCAAGCTGAGCGGCGAGCGGAGGCTGGGTAGCACGAAACCGCCGGCCTAGGCGACCTGCTTGCACAGGCAGCCCGGGGGTTTGGGCATACGGAACCTCGCCGAGTCCGCCGTTGCTGACCCGGGAAAGGGCGTGATTTGACGCAGACGGCCACCCAACAGGGAATGTATAGGCCGGGATATCATGACCAAGCCAAGAGACCAGAGGACACACAACTTAGTCGTGGTGGCTGCGTGGGTGCAAGCTCTGCGGAGTTGATACACGGACGTTTCAGAGGCGTCCAGCAACCAGGTGTAGATTATGAGCGAGTGGATTGAACCCGGAGCCGGCGACATGTCAAGTATAAGGGGCTGTCCTGTCCTCTGTGCAGACTGAGTCTTGCTGTGATGACCTCACCGGAGCCAGCAGACCGGAGGAAACAATGTGCGTAGGGCAACACGGGGCGGCGGCAAGGAGGCAGGGGCAGCGGCAAGAGAGCTTTGTGGCGCCCGCTACCAGACGCCCACACACGGAAGTCAGCACAGAACAAACCCAGCCCTAGAGCCCCATCTGTTGGAGGCTCAAGACGCCCCGCGTTCACTTCAACCTTGTCCGCCACGCTGTGCCAGACCTCAGAAACGAAACCTGCCAGAGACAATACATATCGCCTTGCAATGACTCAACTTGGACAGCCACCTTCCCAAAGTAATCCAATTCGAGTCTAAACCGTCACGAGATCTCATTGTGCAAACACCACCATCTCGGCCATCTTCCGCGGGCGCCCAGCCTTGAGCACAACCAGCCAAGCCTGCTGGGCGCCTCCGCCAAGGCTCCCGGGCCGCTCCTTGACAAGGCCGGCATGCACAGCGTCGTAAAAGCCGCAGGCGAAGACATCCGGCCAAGCCTGCACAAGACTCCCGAGAGCTTGGCAGGCCAGTCCGATCCCCTCCAGCATGCCAATCTCCTGCTGAGCAGTGCCTCGCAACGGGGACTTTGGTGCGGAGGTGACGACGAGAATGGCTGATCCGCCGTGCTCTTGGCAACCGGCTCGGGGCTTTTGACACGACTTTCCAGGGTTAGTTGTGCTCGCGGTGAGTCTCATTGCTGGCGGCTCTCCACATTCCCCAGGCCACGGCCAACACTAAATCATCCTGCCCATGGGGGAGGGCCGGCCTGGATCCACAAGGCAGCACAAGTCAGACAGGCCAGATGGGGTCCCGCCATCCAGGCAGTATTGGCAACCCAGGCCAAAGACGAAGAGAGTAATTATTTCATTTCGGCAAAGACGAGCCGTCAGATCGTGGACATAAGTCAGGGAAAACCATCCACTGTGGTCGGCAGGCATGACGTACCTCCGGCTGAAAGGGACGGGGTCCTCGTCTGCAAATCCTGCTAGAGATGGTTGCACAGCGTTTTCCCGCCTGATGCCCTGTCGAGCCACACGCAAGTAAGAGCCAACTGGCCGACATAGTTCGCCGCTGGCTTGGCAGTCGGACAACCCTCCCGACCATCTCCGTGGAATTTTCCCCATCCCCCGCAACCATCACGAGTCGAGCTAGCCATGCGAGCCATGGCGAGCATCTCCACTTCCTCCTCCACGCCCACACGCATCCCTGACTATCACCAGGACTAAGCGACCTTGCCAGTGGCTCTATTATCCGGGGTCGACCTCCAGCTGACCACTCAACAGTACCCGCGCAGACTGCCAAGTCTCACCTCGAGGCAACATGTCCACCTGCCTGCATCCTCTGGAGGGATCGTCTCGACCGTATCGTCTGGGGAAGAATGCGGAGAGGTTGTTGGCCGGGTCGTGTATAAGAGTGCGACCCCAGATTCCCCGTTCCCGCAAGGACCCTTCCTCCAGAGTCATCTCCATCCGTGGAACGATCTCGCTGTGCTCTTAACCTGCGTCTTGCTCCACTTGATATCGATATCACCTCTTCTTGCCTAAGCAAGCCTTCAACGTGCTCGCCTCCTGAACAACATCTCAAATCAGATGGGAAAAAGCAACTGGCTTAGTACTCACGCTCAGGGTACCAGCGATCCTCCCGAGGTTCGCAATGGCCACATCCACCTAGTCGCCCTCGTGGCGTCCATGTCTGCCCTAGCCAGTATGTTCAACTCCCTGCCGTCCTCACCGTGTCCGCGCATGCTGACGAGTTCCGACTCCGCAACCAGTGGGTTATGACACCTCAGTTATTGGCGGCACGATGGCGCTCGACTCCTTCATCCGCGACTTCAAGACGGGTGAGCTGGAGCCGTACGTCCGTGACACCGTCCAGGCAAATATCGTCTCTACCTTCCAGGCAGGATGTGCCGCTGGTGCGCTCTTCACGTTTCCCCTCGCGGAACGTATCGGCCGCCGCTGGACCATTGTCTTTGGCGCCCTGGTCTTCCTGCTCGGTGGCACGCTGATGACGGCTGCCATGGGTAACATGAACATGATCTATGCCGGACGTGCTATCGCCGGTCTCGGCATTGGCTGCACCTCTCTCACCGTCCCTGTCTACATCTCGGAGACTGCACCTCCGTCCATTCGTGGTCGTCTCGTGGGCATCTTTGAGATTGCCTCCCAAGGAGGAGGCATGCTCGGGTTCTGGATCAACTAGTAAGTGTTTGCCTCTGCTACAAGCGTCCGTCGCGTTGTGTACACAAAAACTGACATTGTGGCCAAAAACAGCGCAACCAACCGCACCATTGATGTAGAGAGGCAAGCCCAATGGATTATTCCTCTGGGTGTGCAGCTCATCCCTGGCGTCCTTCTCGTGATTGGTATGATCTTCTTCTGCCCTGAGTCGCCCCGCTACCGGGCTCGCAAGGACGACTTTGAGGGGTGTGAGAGAATTCTGTGCAAGCTGCGCAACCTCCCGGCCGACCACCCGTACATGATCAACGAGATTGCCGAGATCCGCGAGCAGATCCAGATGCGTTCCACCTTGCAGATGAGTAAGAAGGACCAGTTCATGAAGCTATTTCAGAAGGGTACTCGCAACCGGATGGGTATTGCCATGGGCCTCATGTTCCTTCAGGTATGTCTCAACCACGCAAGAATGTATTGCCTACATCGTGCAAATACTAACACCGAGCCTTTCGCAGTCTTTCACTGGCACCAATGTCATTACCTACTACGCTCCTCGTATCTTCCAGAGCATCGGCATCACAGGCACCTCCAACAAGCTCTTCAGCACCGGTTTCTACGGCATTGCCAAGACAGCTGGCATGATTGCCTTCACTGTGATTGTTGTTGAGCGCGTCGGCCGCCGCAAGGGTCTGGTCTGGGGCTCTGCGCTCGGCATGATCCCCATGTTCTTCCTGGGCGGCTACGTTCTTGTTGCCGTAAGTCCTTCCTAGCACAAAGAGCACTCCATTCGAAACACGGCGAGCCAACAGGCACTGACATGCTACTTACTCGCAGGATCCCACTGCCAAGGTCAGCACGGGCGCTGTCCAGCAAGACTCGTGGGGCTACGTTGCCATGGCTGCCATCTATCTGAATGCCTTCATCATTTGTGCTACCTGGCAGGGCATCACATGGACGTACGCGTCCGAGATTTTCCCGCTCGACATCAGGATGCTCTGCGTTGCCATCACGACCTGCACGACCTGGATCGGCTCCTTCACCATCGCCCGCATCACGCCGCACATGATTACGAGCCTGGGATACGGCACGTACTTCTTCTTTGGCGCCGTGCTGGTCGCGATGGGCGTCTGGGCGCTCTTCTTCGTCCCCGAGACCAAGGGTGTTTCATTGGAAGACATGGACGGCCTGTTCTCGGTGCCGACGAGCAAGACGTGCTGGGCACAGATCCGGGGCAGACCGCTGCCGCTGCCGGCGGGCGGGCTCAACGGCGGCGATGCGGACTCGATCATTGCGGAGAAGGGCGAGGTCAAGCACGTCGACTAGTCCGACGTGCGAGACTTGGGGGTTCATTGCTTTTCAATGTACTTTGGGCCAAAGACATGCTGGGGCGGGCTTTGCTTCGTGGTGGTGGTCTTGAGCTACAGATGGTACGCGGTGACGATGCGCGGTTTGTTATGGAGGAAACTCCGACATGCACCCCATTGCCACTGCCCGAGCTGGAAACAGCGACAATACAAGAAATGAACCCCCACAAATGTTTCCATGCTGCAACTACGTGATTGATAGATGTGGCTTCGTTGTAATGGTGGACTGATATGTGCGTGTGTGTGCTCTCATGACCTTACCATAGTAGTTGCAGGCAGTAGTATTTAGACTGCCCATCGTGTAAAAACAGTGAGACAGTGCTCGAGCTCACGTGAGCCACGGGCCCATCGCTGAAACTGTCGCTGTTGTTGTGCCGTGTGTGCGGGCACGGCGCTAACGTCAGAGTGGAGGCCGGGGTGGTGAGTGATGTGCGCGCGTCACAATGCCACCCTGGGGCAGCTTCCCCGCATGCCCCCAGCCCTGAGCCGCGGAGAGCTTCCTCCACGCAGCCAACCAGCTCGGCTCTCTACCCTCCTCGTCCGGCCTCCCTGCCGGCCCTGACAGATGAGACGTCCCATGCGTGGCCAGACGACCTGGGCCGGGTTTCGATGACGGACACACTGTTGGCATCCTGCTCGCTGCGCTAAGTAGACAGTGTCTCGTCACGACACCTTCAAGACCGCATCGACAGACGATCCTTCCGTGTCACGCCGACGTCATTGAGCCCCCCCAGCACCTGCCTCGTCGACCTAAAGCTCTTAAGCCGCCCTGAACATGGCACTGTCCGACGTCGTGACTCCCTTCCTCGAGGGAGCGCAGAACCAGCAGGCCCTCGGCCAGCTCGCACTATTCCTCATGCTGGCCTACATCCTCCTCCGGCAGATTGGGAGCAAGCAGCTCAGCCTGCCGTACCGCCTCTGCAGCCTCTTCGCGCTGTGCCTCACCTTCTGGTGCATTCTCCTCCTCATCAGCTCCCTCCAGAGCCTCACAGGCATCTCGACGTCTGATCTGCTGGTACGCCTGCGCAGAGCCAAGACGGTCCCCACGGCCAAGGACCCAAAGGCGGTCGACCCGCAAGACGTCTGCCCGGGCTACACGGCCACACGCGTCACAGAGACGTCACGCGGCTTCACGGCCCAGCTCAGGCTGGCGGGAGAGCCCTGCAACGTGTACGGGCACGACATTGAGGACCTCACGCTCGTCGTGGAGGCGCAGGACGTCGACAGGCTGCACATCGAGATCCTGCCGACATATATCGGCGCCGAGAACTATACCTGGTTCGTCCTGCCCGAGGAGCTGGTCCCGAAGCCGAGGAGCGTGTCGGGCAAGGCGTTCAACGCAAAGCACGCCGACCTGGTCTTCTCGTTTGGAAATGATCCGACCTTTGCGTTCGAGGTCGCCAGGCGGAGCTCGGGGGAGGTGCTGTTCAGCACGGCCGGCACCAAGATTGTGTACGAGGACCAGTTTATCGAGTTTCGCTCGTCCCTGCCAAAGGACTACAACCTCTACGGGCTGGGGGAGACGATGCATTCTCTCAGACTTGGCAACAATTTGACTCGTAAGTTCTTTGTTGAGAGCGAGGGCGGTATGTAAAGTGGTGACTGACCCTTATGATATAGGCACGCTCTTTGCCGCCGACGTGGGCGATGTCATCGATGCCAATCTCTACGGCAGTCACCCGTTCTACCTCGAGACACGCTACTACAAGGTCGACAAGCAGACCGGAACCAGGACCTATGTCAGCAACATCACGACCGCAGAGGACAAGAAGGCCGACTACGAGTCCGAGTCGCACGGCGTCTTCCAGCGCAACGCCCACGCGCAGGAAGTCCTCCTGCACCCAGAAAGAGTCACCTGGCGCGCCATCGGTGGCGGCATTGACTTGTATTTCTACGCCGGGCCGAGCCAGGAGGCCGTCACCAAGACGTATCAGACGAGCACGGTCGGCCTGCCGGCGATGCAGCAGTACTGGACTTTTGGGTACCACCAGTGTCGTTGGGGTTACAGAGACTGGACGGAGCTGGAGAGAGTGGTTGACAGATTCGAGAAGGCGCGGATCCCGCTCGAGACGATTTGGAGTGCGTCACCTGCCCTTTGTGCTGGATTGCACGTTTTGCTCTTGTCGGCCCAGATGGCGCTGGAACGCAATTACAGATGAAGCTGACAAAAACCTGCAGGTGACATTGACTATATGAGGGGGTACCGCAACTTTGAGAACGATCCGGAGAACTACCCTTACGAGGAAGGGAAACGTTTCATATCGCGCCTCCATGCATCCAATAGGCACTATGTTCCCATCTTCGACTCGGCCATATATGCCCCTGCTCAAAACGACACGAAGGACAGGTACCCGGCGTTCGAGCGTGGGCTCGAGGAGAAGGCATTCGTCATGAATCCCAATGGAACTGCATACGTTGGTGAGGTGTGGCCAGGATTTACCGGTGTGTTTGTCCTTTCTTTCTCTCCACAGGGTTATTCTCTTCTACCAGACCCTCCCAGAATCCTTCTGTCCCGAATATCTATTGACAACCCCAAAATAGTCTTCCCCGACTGGGTCGGCGCAGTGCTCAACGGCACAGGCACTATCCGCTGGTGGATCTCGGAGCTTGCGCGGTACCACGAGAAGATCAAGTTTGACGGTGCATGGGTAGACATGTCCGAGGTTTCGTCGTTCTGTAAAGGCAGCTGCGGGAGCGAGAACCGGTCTTACATACTCGGCCCTGACTACGAATCGTTGCTTCCTAGAGCGGCCATTGAGTCAGAAGGCTCGCATGAAGCAGAAGACGCAGGTGGGCCTGGAGAACCGGTTGAGCTGGGAGATGCAACAAAGCCAGAAGAAGCAGGGGACACAACCGCCGAGAACCCGGTCGTACAGGTATCAAAGCCGCATCGGGGACGGAGAAATGTCGAACACCCCCCCTACATAATCAATAACTGGAATGGGGAGTTAGGGGGCAAGACTTTGAGCCCGGGTGCGGTGCATCACGGCGGATACCTCGAGTACGACTTCCACAACCTCTTTGGCCATCTGATTCTCAACGCGACCTATCATGCACTGCTCAAAATCTTTCCAGATAAGCGCCCGTTCATCATCGGGCGGTCGCAGTTTGCTGGATCTGGCAAATGGGCAGGACACTGGGGGTAAGTCACCTCAAAGTCCCGGATTTCCCCCTCTCTTCATTAGTGGTAGCACTTGCTAATGATCACCTCACGACCGCTAGCGGCGACAACTACTCTCTCTGGGCGTACCTCTACCTGTCCATCCCGCAAGCCCTCTCCTACTCGCTCTTCGGCTTCCCCATGTTCGGTGTCGACGCGTGCGGCTTCAACGACGACAGCCACATGGAGCTCTGCAGCCGCTGGATGCAGCTGTCGGCCTTCTTCCCGTTCTACCGGAACCACAACGCGGAGAAGCTCAAGTCCCAGGAGCCGTACGTCTGGCCCGAGGTCGCGGAGGCCACGCGCACCGCGATGGCCGTCCGCTACGCCCTCCTGCCGTACATGTACACGACCTTCCACCTGAGCCACACGACGGGGTCGACCACGCTGCGCGCGCTGGCGTGGGAGTTTCCCCGGGAGCCCTGGTTGCGCGACGCGGACCGGCAGTTCCTGCTCGGCGGCGCGGTCATGGTCACGCCGTGCCTCGAGAAGGGCGCGACGACGGTCGACGGCGTGTTCCCCGGCTCGGGGGCCGGGTCGGTGTGGTACGACTGGTACAACCACACCGCGGTCCGCGAGACCGGGCCGGGCCAGAACGTCACGATCGACGCGCCCCTCGGGCACATCCCCGTGTACGTGCGGGGCGGGCACGTGCTCCCGCTGCAGGAGCCGGCGATGACGACGACCGAGGCGAGGCGAACGCCGTGGAGCGTGCTCGTCGCGCTGGACAGGGAGGGCGGCGCGAGCGGGGCGCTGTATCTGGATGACGGGGAGTCTCTGAAGCCCGAGGCCACGACGTGGGTCAATGTAAGTCACTTCTTCTTCTTCTCTCTGCGGGCTGAAGTTTTTCCACTTTTGCATATGCTATGCATCGGTCACAACGCTGACTGTCGAGGTTCGGTACAGTTTGCGGTCTCGGACTCCACGCTCAAAGTGACCAGGAAGGGCAACTTTGTGGACACGAACGCGCTGGGCAACGTCACAATCATGGGGATTCCCGACGGCGACGACAACGGCGTCGGCGAAGTCAAGATCAATGGTAAGGCTGTGAAGGCGGGCACGTGGATTTTCGACAAGAAGAGGAACTTGCTCGAGATCAGGGGTCTGGACGAGCTGACCAAGAAAGGGGCATGGGATCAGGACTGGACATTGTCGTGGGCGTCAAAGTAAAGCCGGCCCAGGCTCGAATGATTATAGGCATGGCTTTGTATGATAACGTGCTGGCAGACACCGGCGTCTCTCCGAAACTAATGAGATTCATGTAAATGTGCCCTTGATGCATGTCTGTGTGTATGCGTCTACTCTCTGCCTCTTGAGGCACCAGCAAAAGGTCCGTCAGGGGATGCAAAAAAGTCTACCTCGTCCTCCTCGCCAGTCTGACCTGTACGGGCATGTCGTCCTTGACCTGCGCTGCTCCCTGGCCGGTTGCGTACAGCCGCTGGCCACGAACGGTGCTCTTGGGCTTGTCGTCGAGATGGTCCCTGAATCATATCTCGTTAGTTATTAGCCCCCAAAAAAAGAAACACACCCAAACTCCCCCAAACCCCATGCCACGCAACGAAGAAAACATTCCATTGTCCGCTCTCAACCGGGACAAACGAGGGACGAATTTGAGGAGGAGGAGGAGGAGGAGGAGAGAAACCAAAGAAACACTTCTTTACCTCGACTTGTCCCATTCCTCCCAGGCCTCGCGCAGATCAAACTTCCTGACCACGAGCGCCGCGACGAGCTTCATCTCCGTATACGCGAGCTCCCTGCCGATGCACTGCCTCGGCCCGAGCGCGAAGGGTCGGTACAAGTCGCTCGCGGGGCCCGAGTACGTGGGATGCAGCGGGTGACCCACGTCGTCGACACTCACGAGCCAGCGCTCCGGGAGGAACTCGCCCGCCCGGGGCCCCCAGTACTCGGGCGCCCTCTGGATCCAGGCAGAGCCGTCGAACATGGCGTATCCGCAGGTCGGATACGCCTGGCCTGACGCGGGGTCGACGACGAGCTGGAAGTGTGCCGTGGGCGAGGCGGCGTGGTTCTGGCGCGCGACGGGGATGGGCATGTGCAGGCGGAGCGTCTCCTTGATCACCGCGGCGGTGTAGGGGAGGTTGTTGAGGAGGTGTGGTGACTTGCGGAGGACCTTGGCGGTGGCGGCGGTCGAGCAGTCCGGCGGCTGGTTGGTGTCGTTGTCGGCATGCCCGTCCTCCTCCTTCTCCTGCGCCCCGAACAGGCGGTCGTGCTCGGCTCGGAGTTTTGCGAGACTGTCTGGGTGGTCTTGAAGCTCCTTGAACATCCAGCATATTGCGGTTGCTGTGCTGTCAAAGCCGGCAAACATCATGACTTTGAGCGTGCCTTGGATGAACTTGAACGCATTGTCGTCCACAGGAATCGTGCCGGAGCACAAGAGTTGTATGATGGTTGTTTTGCCACTGCCGCCGCCGCCACCGCTTGTATTGTTATTCTCATCGTCGGGAGCAGTCCCAGGCAGACGAGTGCTCAGGCCCAGGGCGCTGTTGATGGCCGGGTCCAAGAAGTCGTCCATGTCCTTGTGGTGCTTGGCCAGAAGCGAGGCGTTCTTGCGTCCCGCACTTACAAGGTTCGACAGCCATCCGGACCAGGTCATCTGTTCCTTGCCGATGCGCATCGTGTCCAGCATAGCGGCCTTGACGGCGGCGCCACCTGCTCTATTGGTCGTCTGGTCGTGCAGACGTCGATCTCTGTGCTCGAAAGTCAACGCAGAGAATAATACGGTTAGCTTGCTGGTGGGACTTACACCAGAGCTCTGGCAATGACGTCGGCCGTCAGGCTGCTTGTACGATGCCACAACTGAAAGACAGGGCCCCAGCCATCATCGACATCCGAAGACCTTCCTTTTGAGTCAGCCATTTGCTCGAGGCCCTCGGCGAACACCAAGATCTCGTCAATCATCTCGGGAACAAGAGCCGTGAGGTTGCGGCTGCTGAAGCCCGGGTTGATTCTTGTCCGCCACATTTTCCACTCCTCCCCTTCTGCGGACGCCAGGTCGCTCCCTCCCGTCAGCGGCTTGAGCACGACTTTCATCACTGGTCCTCTGTCGACTCCGCCCGCGACGCCGGGCAGTGGGGCGAGGAACTGTGTTGCAAGCCTGGCATCGCAGATGAACGCGAGAGGATCTGCTGCCACAGGCCACAGGTCAAGGTACAGGACCGGCGGCAGATCTTTAGGGTCTGTGGCCTCGGGGAAGAATCTCTTGCGATTGCCGATGAGCCATGCCTCGAGCTCTATGCTGTTGACGTCGCTCGGATGGTCCTTGTAGAACTCGAACAAGATGGGCAGGTGTCCAGTGAGCCAAGAGTGCGGCAGAATGGGCTGTTGATCTTGTCGTCAGCTTGGGGAACATCGGGGAGCCGCCCGACTCTGGTAACAGCTCACAATGCCTTGCTTTTGGAGCTTGCGAACAGCTCTGCGCTTGGTGTACAGCTTGTGTAGTATTGCAGCCAGACCAAACGTGGTAACTCCAAGCACCGCGTAGCCACGCGGGACGGCTGCCACCCTGGCGACCACATCTTCAAATGTCCTATACATGGCCTTGCTCTGTAGCTCTGGGCGGGAGGACCTCTAGGATGCCACCAGGGCGGAGGCGAGCACGAGCTGACTAGGTTTCCTGGGCCGTCCTATATAGAGTCCCACGTCCAGTCTTCCCCTCCTTCTGCAACATGTCAGCAGCACGTCGCTCTCGTGACGACCAACATGGCAGAGCCAAGATCCATGCAGCAGGGGTCATCGGATCAGCCCGCGAACGACTGCCAGATCAGGTCTCGCGACATGCAGGTGAGAGATCGGGGCCTATCAGAAACGGCTGTTTCCGGTTGACAGGAAGTGTCTGGAGAACGCATTGCAACCTGGAGCAGGCATCCTCAAAGCCTCGCTCGCTTCACCAGTCCAGGGCAGCTGCAGATTGGTCGTCATGCTTGGCCAAGTACATCGTTGGCATACCTAGTCCAATGTCCAATAGGTTGGCAACTCTTGGAGGAAACAATGCTCCAAGAAGCAATCAAAAATCGGACAGCCGGGCCGAGCCGCGCTAGGCATGAGGCTGAACGCCACCCTGCACGAGTGAGTCGCTTACATAACGGCGGCGCTTGAAGGCCCAGCTCCACCTCAGCTCTTCCAGAGCTAACCTTTAGAAGGCTTCCAAGGTTGGCATTCTTTCCAACACCACCCGTCACCCACCCTCGACAAACAACTTCGCAAAGAACAAAAGCCCAGAACGACCCTTGCGCCAGGGAGCAGGGTCAGGCATATTCCGCAGACAACTACCATAGCCACAACACCGGCACAGCCTCTTGAGCGACTCTCTTGCCCACCATGGCGGCCGCGACGGCGCCCTCGTCGCACGCGACGCCCTCGGACCTGGCGCAGCAGATCCTCACCCACTCGACGCCGAGCTACACCTTCAACTTCTCGCCCTTCCTGCGCAGGACGTACGGCCACGCCCTCGAGCCGCACCGGACAGACAAGCCAGACTCATCCTCCTCCGCCCAGGCCGGCGCCACCAGCGGCTTCAACTCGCTCGTGTGCAAGCACTGGCTGCGCGCGCTCTGCAAAAAGGGCGAGCACTGCGAGTTCCTGCACGAGTACAACCTGCGCAAGATGCCCGAGTGCAACTTCTTTGTGCGCAACGGCTACTGCAGCAACGGCGACGAGTGCCTGTACCTGCACATCGACCCCCAGAGCAAGCTGCCCCCCTGTCCCTGGTACGAGCGCGGCTTCTGCCCCCTCGGCCCGGAGTGCTCCAAGAAGCACGTCCGCAGGAAGCTGTGCCCTTACTATCTCGCCGGGTTCTGCCCGGACGGGCCGGACTGCAAGGAGGGCGCGCACGCGAGGTGGGAGAAGGACGACAAGCTCCCCCCACCCATACGCAAGAGCGACGTTGTCAAGGAGGAGCCGAAGAGGGAAGAGCCTGTCGGTGGCGGTGGCGGCGGCGGCGGTTATGGCGGGTACGGAGGGGGTGGTGGTGGCGAGGAGGAGTCTAGGGACTTTGGCGGTGATCGTGGAGGACGGTTTGATGGACGGGGAGGCGGTAGGGGAGGTTTTGGCGGCCGCGGTGGGAGATGGCGTGGTCGGGGAGATCGCAAGTTCAGAGGAGGGCGGGGACACCACTGATGAGAGAACTATGGACGATGACGATGCTTCTGGCGCGCCATACTATACAGTTTCAGGGCACTTCTTGGGCCCACACCAAGACTCATTACGGCACTTCCCAGCACCTGCCACGATGCTGGCGAGACAGTACGGCATATCCTTCCAGGTGCCGCACTGCATAAGCCTGAGCAAGGCCTGAGCCGCAACATGCCTCTGATCATGGATCACGCTGTCCCCATGGGAGGAGCGTCACATGCATCAGGCACGGGATATGGCACAGCAGCGCCTTGGCGTCACTCACATTCCACGAATGGTGAAGATTTTGAGAGGGAGGTATCAGCCTGGGGCTCCATCACGAATTGGAGAGCAGATTCTGGATTGGTCTGATAGATCGGCAATCACCCATCACGAAGGCAGACCCATGGCACGTTTCTCAAGGGCAGGGAGCAAAAGCTGGGGTCACATTCTACAGGACAGAACCTTTACGAAAAGAAAAGGCCGTGACGGGACGCAGACACAACGGAGATAGATACCCCACAGCGAATTGAAGCTTTGAACAAGTCATGCAAATGTTGTAGTATTTCGTTATGTGATGAGTCGTGATGTCGTTGCAAATATGTAAATGTCGTTAAAAGCGGAAGATGCCGGGCTGCTCTGAGCGCATCCAATATATAGCCCACGGCTAGGGTGCCCGGAGCTGATTGTCCATGGGCCACGAGTTCGAGCCGCGGACTCAAGCCATGCCGATTTACGCCTTCGGGCTCTTGGGATCCTCGCCCCACACGTTGGGGCTGGCCTCACGCCACTTCTCCTCCCGAGCCACGTTGATGAAGCGGCTGCCGGCAATCCCACCAAGCATGTCGTCGTTCTCGCTGGCGCTCTCGGCACCATCCTCGAGCTCGCCCTCGCTAGCAAGCGCCGGCGGGGTGTAGTTGGCGTGGAACTCGTCGTTCCACGCACTCAGTTCGTCGATGCGCCGGATGCCCATCATCCAGCTGACGAGGCCGCGGGGCACCCAACGGCCGACAAAGCCGTACAGGCCAGCACCAAGGCCGATACGCACGACGTCGGCATGCTCGGAGCCGTCGACCACGTCAAAGACGGTGTTGTGGAGCTCCCGGAGCGAGCTGCCCCGCATACCACGTACGCGGCCTGCCGAGATGGCGCTCGCCGACTGTGAGACGTAGTTACGGCCGTATGTGTGCCGGGCGGCCTCTGGCCACTGCAGAGTCTCTGCGGGAGGCAGCTGCCCTTGAATCTGAGGCGTGGAGCGGGACGGCGTGAAACCCGAGAAGTCAAAGGTACCCAGTTGGAACTGGGTGACGGGGATGCTGAGCGGCCGGAGCTCGGCAGTGAGCACTTCAGTGAAGGCACTGAGTGCGGAGCAGACTGTAGCTTCGGGGGCGTGGAATGGCGGGTTGATGCTGGATATTATGCTCGGGGTGAAGACGAGGACTTTGGGTGTGCTTGGCTGTCCACCCTTGCGCTTCTCCGGAGGTGTCAGTCGTGATGTGAGGAGAGGCAGGAATGACTGGATGGTCAGGATGGGGTGGAGGAGGTGAGTGTTGAAGAGGTCGGCGAAGCTCGAAGGAGGGATCGTGGCGATCGGGCTCGTCTGATAGGTCAGCGACGGGATGAGGAGGACTGCCTTGAGGGTGAGGTAGTTTGGCTTGGCGCCCGGAACAGCTGCGTGAGGTGTCTGCAGATACTGGGCAAAGCGTTCTATGCTCTGACCGGCATTTGGCGGCTACAACATGCACAAACCAGTCAGTCATTTGTTCTCAAACATCAAAAGGGAAGCAGGAGACATACGTCAGTGATATCAATGCCGAAGGGCTTGATGTCTGGGCGGCCCAAGTTCTGCACCAGGACCTCGTCCTCGATGCTTGTGCACACGACATAGACGATGAACCCCTTTCTCTCCATTTGCAGACTCAGACTCTTGGTGAGGGGTAAGGTGGGCGAGCCAGCAATGACGACGACCTCAAGCCTGCCGCCGTTGGGTGCCCGCTTGGCTCTTCTCGTCTTGCGGGACGATCTTGTGTGCTTGACAGCCTTGTAGGTAGCATATGAAGCAGCAACCACAACGACACTGGTCAAGAGCTTGTGGCGAGCGAACCAGTCCTGCACCCGGTCGTAGGTAGAGTTGTAGATGACGACGGGCGGCGGCGGGGGTGCCGAAGAGGGCAGTCTGGATCGGACAGAGTCTGGCAGCCATGTCGTCGAGTTGAGGGCATCGCGAACCTGGACGGCGGCAAGGTCGACATACTTGTCGACGTGCTCGGCTACCACGACCGAGTGTTGTCTAATCTGGCCTGGGATGTTCGCCAGCTGTGCGTGAGTGTAGATGTCAGCAGAGAGACCAAGACCAGGGCCGTGGACCTTGGGCACATACCATATCCAGGAACTGCTGGTCGTCGGCAGACATGGTGACGGTCTGGTGCTTCGTCTGTTATGGTGATGTGTCGACGGGCCTTCAGGCAGAATCGTGGAACCGCGGCGTATCCGTCCGCTTTCTGTCCCTGATGTCTCAAGGCGTGCCCAAGCGAGAAAAATATTTGCAGGCACGACGTCGAGGCTTGTGGGAGGGTTTGGGGAGAAATGGAGGAGCCCAAGCCAAGTGACGGGGATGGCGACTCCGGGAAGCGGGAAGCGGGTCGGATGGCTGGGGACGAAAATGGTCGGGCAAGCTTGTCGTCGCGATAGGCAAGTTGACCGCCAGAAGACCCATGATGCGAGCACATGCATCCACCGCGCGCCGCTTACCCCCTCGCGGCCTGGCGTGGGGTCGCCAGCTGGAGCCCCCAATGTGCCCGGCGAGTGTGCACTGTAATCCGGCACTGTATGTACATCTGTCAGGCATGATGGCGGGGCGCTTGATCTGCTGTCAATAGTGGTGGAGCACCGCATTGCCAGCGAGGCGAGCTGATTTTCATGCAAGTCCACGACTGTGGCCAATGCACCCACACACTTTCGCATTCCATGCTCTTGTCTTTCTACTCCGTCTGGGAGCAAGAGAAGTACATTTCATGAGGTGTAGCCCCGTGAACTTGGGCCCAGGCGATATCCTTACCGTTCCATGCTTTACTGACGCGAAGCAAAGCAAAGCGGCAGGCCAAGGAGCATAAGTGTCCCCTTGAGTTGGGAAATTTCATTGCCATTTCACGACCGTATAAATGGCATGCCAGGGGGATAGTTGCACCAAAGCCAAAATCAAGCTTCAGATGCACTTGAAAAGGCATTCCGACCGCGGGATTCTGCTGCTACTACTGAGAGGGACAATGTAATATTATTTGGTTTCCACTTCGTCCCACGGTGACCCTTGACCAGTTTTCCCACGTAATATTTTAGAACATTATGAGATGCTTCTTGGGACCTCGAGTAAAAGGCCAGATACGAAAGCGGAATGGCCCGGTCTGGATCATGTGCCTGCACTGCTGGTAACTGACAGTGATCTTCGAAGCATCGTTATCACATCACGACCAGATTCTTTCCAAGTCCAGCGGGACCGGCTCGCGTGCTTATCAACATTGCTGCAAGCATCGCACCCTGCTCCTGTTCTCTGCAGTGTAGATGTTTGCTTTGGGTTTCTCTAGTTTCGGCGGATCAAAAAAAGCAGAACGGTTCAATAGTGTCATTATCGACGAAACTCCAGAGTCCTGGTTGCTAGAAACCCAGCCGTTAGAACTAAGTCGAATGTCTATTCCGCCGAATGGCTTTGTTGGTTCTGCCTCGTTTTACACCTTTCATCCGTCACAGACAGCAGCGATAGGATTTTGTTTCTATGATAATCCTGCGGATGCCCAGGGCATCACCACTTCTCAACAACAACAATATGAACAAGTAGACCAGAATCCTCGCGTTCTGGTCGGTGTGGTTGCCAGAGCTAGGCTGTCCTCGCGGTAGCATATTCTGGTTGGCGCAGGGCTCGGCCTTGATGGAGCACTACTCAGAATGCACAAAGAAGCTGACAGGGTAGCGATCGAATCATTGGGTTTTGAGGAGGTTAGCATTATTCTTAGAGCTGGAAGGCAGCCTGATACTCGGGAGACATGTCAGCCCAGAAACTCGAGGGGTACAGCACATCTATCACTTTCATGACGAGAGCAAATGATGCAATGCTAGTCAGGTTGGTACCTTGGTAGTAGTCACGGATATGATCCTCCTGCGGGCGTTATGATAACCTCGATAAGGGGGCGAGCAAGTTTCGTTTCTCCTTGGGCGGCTCGTACTACATCTTCTATCGATGGTGGCGGTCGGCTGACAGACTCCGCGTTGCTAGGGTTTCCAGACTGTGTACACTTCTTCACAACCATTTCACGACACTTTCATGCTTGGAGCAAAACATGCGGGCTATTATGCTCCATGAGGTCTGTCTGGTTGATTCGAGCATTCTCGCTGCTCAGTCTTCCAACTGGACCCCCTCCCCGAGGAGTCCACATTCTTCAAGCTCTGGTTCAGACACAAGTCGAAGAAACTTGGTAACCCGGCGCTCGTGATCTCCGCGATGCCATCTCCGTTGCACCCTCACACTCAACACCTTTCTCCGTTACCAGTCTGTACTTCCTCTTCGCCTATAAACGATTGAGGTTGCATGCTGGCGTTTCTTCACCATCACTCATCGTCTGCAAAACACAAAGTCAAACAAAGTCGCAACCATCAAACAGAAGAAAGCTACCCCTAAGAGACAAGCTATTTCCGAGGCGCGTCTCTTGCACACAAATTTGCGACAAACCTCCCACCAAGCAAGTCATAACAAATCACTACCACAATGGCGGTCATCAATCCAATCCATATTGGAACCCGCGCTTTCGGCAACCTTCACGACCTCGTGGTCGATCGGCTGCCAACAACTGGCCCAGCAGCAAAGACCCAAACCCATGCAGCTAGAGAGTTCCATCCAAGCTCAAGCCTACCTGCAGAAGCAAAACTCTCGCTCGGAATCAACGACGCTCAAATCCTCAGCCAACGCCGCCGAGACGCGCACAACAACGTCAGCCATGACAGGGCGAACAAACCCAACCACAACAGCGCCAAGCACACTACGTCCAAGCAGAACCACCCCAGCAACTGTCACAAGAACAACGACCCCGTTGCAACCAGGTGGAATCACGCCGACACAAACACTGGCGACACCACATTCAACTACACACCACAGCCCGGCCCAGGAGTGCCCGGCTTCTCGCACGGCCGTTACTGCCACTGCAGTGCCTGCAACAACTCCAGACTTCGACACAGCAAAGACACAAAGCCAATCGCCTGCCCAAATAATGGCCGCCCTAAAGACGCCGCCCGCAAACGCGATCTGGAAGAAAAGCAACGGCTCAAGGAACGCCTCCAACGCCGCAATGGCGACGACGTGGACGACGATTGCGACGACGACGCTACCACCCTGCCCGAGCCGGTCCATGCTACCACGCGCGAGGCCGCGCAGCTCACTACTACAAACCAAAACCAAGAAGACGTCGACTTCAACGCAGCCCACGCACACCTGCGCCACACCCAACAACCACACCGTCAACAGAAACAACCACAAACCATCGCGGAACGGCTGCGCGGAGAGGCGTTCAAGTACCATTCCATCGACTACCCCTACGACCAAGAGGCGCTCGAACGAGCCGCCAAGGTCGTCCCAGACGCATGGCGCTTCGACAAGGACGGCATGCCGCGCGAGGAGCTCCTCCGGTACATGAGCCCAAACCATCCGTGCATCAGACAGTCTCGTAGCGCCGGGATCCTGCCATACACTGATGGGGACAGCACCTACTACACCACGCGCTGGGAGCAGATCCAGCAGCAACAACTTCAACAACGAGCCCACAAGGAGCGGGCTTTGCAAGGACACAACGACGAGTCTGGTGTCTCCTGCTCCGACAACAGGGACAAGAAAGAAGACAGCAATGACGACGACGAGGAATGCATCGAGGAGCCGCGGTCGGCACAGAGAGAGCTGTGGTGCTGGGAGACCAAGGCGGATGCGGTATACGTGCCGTACTTCAGCGTCCACAAGCCAAAGGACGAGGTTAAGGACTGGTTCGAGTTTGTAGAGGAGAATTGGGAGTCCACCTTTTGATCGGGGGCCCCGGGAGGACATTGGACGATGAATACGGTGATAGACTTTGATGGAACGACGTAGAGACATACTGCGGCTAATGATAATGGGACATTATGCAAATACTTTCTTATCACATCTCGAACGATTCTTCACTAGTGTCTGTCCATGTGCAGCTCCTGTCCTGCATTCCTTTGCTTAATAAGCTGACCTGCCCCAGCCAGAAGTTGGGGGGAGCCGTTTTGCAAGACTCTTGACTTCAAGAAACTGTGTATCTGCGTCATTTTCCGGCTGGACTCACAGCTTCTCCAATCGTTCTTTTATTAGCTGTGTGCCAGTCAGGGTGTGCCAAAGGAATGCCAGTGTTGTCACGAGCTCAAATTTTCTCCAAATCCCAAGGCCTGCCTGCGAGTTCAGGATTTAGCCGACGGCAACCGAATTTCTGATCCAGGGGACCACCTCCCTGCACTGCCTTGCGGAGAACGGTGAAGAATGTCTGAGCTTCTCGATCACCCGCTGGACTCGGGAACACTATGCACACGCTAATGCTGCGGAAAACCGTGAGGGGTTGCGCTTCATCACGGACCGGGAGGGCTGGCCAAAATATGATTCGCAGAAGCTTAGAGCGTCTTCTGGTGTAGTAGGCGATATCACGCGCAGGAGCAAGAAGAAGCTGTGCGCGACTCTGCACGTCTTGCCCTCTGTTCCTGGGTGAAGCCACCCGCACTCTGTAGAACTCTACACATGGCCAGCCACGCCTGTTTCGTCAGGTGATGTTTGTTGCCCTTGTACCCGCGGTATTGGGCTCAGGGAATATCAGGCGCAATGATACCAGTTTGTGCCTGGTTCTGGAGCCGAGACCGTTCTGCATGGCCGTTGGTGCAGGGGTCCCCCCTTCGCAAATAAAAGTGCGCTAGCCATGCATGTGGCGCGGAGGGCTTTCAGGGGCAGGGCAGAGTGGGCTGCTAATCTGCTGCAGGTACGGGGCAGCACGAGCCGGGGTGGAGGGGGGATCGCAGGGGTCGTGGGGAACGCACCTGAGCAGCTGCCCAGATCACCTCATTTCAGAGCTCCTCCTGGGCCGAGTCTCGTCACTCTCGCTGGCGTCGCGTTCACTTTGTCCGTCGTCTTTATGTGCTTGCTCTTGGTTTGCTCTTTGTCAACTTGGCTGGCAGCTTCACCCACACACCACACCGGCCACAATCGACCACTCACAGCACATCCTGTGGAATGTACTGCTAGTTGGCAGGTCTCACCTGTGCCTTCTCCCTGAGACACGCATCCCCGGCGGCATATACCGAATCGCGTCTGGAGATCGCAGATCATCCCACTCAAGCTCTGCTGGCTCCCAGAAACTCGTCTCTCCCAAGACCACCTCGACATCAACCCAGAAGGCGATCACTCTCCACCATGATACCCACCAGACGGGCTGTGGCCGTGGCCGCAATGCTCATCGCCCACGCCAATGCCTGGCCACATCTTTTCCCTCGACAGACCGACGGCCCGGCCCCTTGGGTCACTGTCGACGCCTCTGGAGTTGCAAGCACCGTCACACCCGCCGTCAGCACCGTGTCTGGCACAACTGCCATCGTGGACGGCGCGCCCGCCGATGTCACAGGGACCGTCAGGACAGTCCCGTACTGGGACACAACATCCACCATCACCGACACGCCCTCACCGCCAAAGCCGACGGGCGAAGTCGCTGGTGCTTTCGCCGTCTGCAAGAACCGTGCCGGCAAGGATGCGCCATTCTGCAGCCCGCAAGCAGGCTCGAAACTCTTTCCCGGGTCGCGGTACTACTGTAAGTCTAGAACCGAGCGAGAACCATGCCAGCTGAACGAAGCTTGGGAAGCCATGCTAACAAGATCCTTGTGCTTCACACAGTCACGTGGGACCCGGAATACTTCACCCCTAATGCCTCCGTCATCGTGGCGGCGCGCTACTATAACGAGTCCACCGGCGAGATCGGCGACGAGGCCTTCCGCTCGCCCAAGAACCTCGGGACCCGCGGCTTCTGGGCCTATCCCATCGACTCGAGCCTCCTGCGCAGCCCACTCATCTCCTCGCAGACCATCATAGTCCAGATCATCACCGACAAGGCCGGTCTCGCCACCCGACAGGATAGCCCTGACAGCGCCAACAACCTCACAATCGCTGGGCCCATCGTCTCGATCACCAAGGAGTCCGGTCCTGTCGCGGAGCAGCATTTCAACATGCCCACAGGTCCTGCGCTGTACATCGGCCTGCCCGCGATCGGCGGGTTCATCCTGATCTGCGTGATAGGCGTGTGCCTGTGGAACAGGAAGCACCGCAAGATCAACCTCGGCAACATCATGTCGCGCTCGCGCCACGGCTACGGCGCGGGCAAGTCCGCGCGGTCGAGGCTGCGGATGGGCACGAGCCGCAAGTTCAAGGAGCACATCCAGCTCCGCGAGCGGGAGATTATGCAGCAGCAGTCGGCCAGCCGATCCCCAGCTGGTCCCCCGAGCCCGTACTACAGAGATGTGTCCCCGCCCTTGCCGTCTCCTGGGCGGCCACGGAGGGATTACAACGACGATGAGGATCTGGGTAGTCTAGTGGGTACGCCAGTCGAGGAGCGCAAGATGAACTTTGACGGAGGCAAGGCGCAGACCGGCGGAAGTTCGGGGAATGTGTTCCGTGACGAGATGAGGAGGCAAAACACCGAGAGGTTCTGATCTACGCGTGCGTCCCGAAAAGAAGCAATTAATGTCTAGTTGGTTGGATCTACAGCAGGCTGTTAATATGTGTCTACGGGAAGCCAGATTCTGTGTAGCCGCGTAGCGAGCGACTATGTTTTCAAGAAATGGTTGATCTGACATTGAAATCAATCTGGTATCATGATAGACTATATGTTATGTGACCGAAAAGCCCTGGAGCTAAAACCTGCAGGCGGCCAAAGTCTTCGACTCTGGGCGAAGCCTGCTTTCCGCACCACACAGCCAGTGCGCAACCGTGAGACACGCGCGCTTCATGAAGCACAACGAAAGTACGACCCAAACACTTTCCGCGCGACCTTGTCCAGGACCGAGCGACCGCCCTGACTTGCAGAGGAAAGTTCTCGCCTTGGGGTATTACATGTCTTCCCGCCCGGCGACTGTCCGTGTTGCTGTTCTTGGCCGGCATCCTGCGTGTTTCGCTTTCGCTCGCAGTAAGTGGTGCCCACCGTGCTCGTCTTGACCGTCGTTGGCCGCATCGTCTCGTGCGAGCGCGAGCGCACCGGCGGCAGTGCCGGTGGGACCACAGCAGCGGCGATCAGCGGGCTCTCGAGGATGCGCTCGTACGACTTGCTGCGGCGCGACCGGCGCAGCGAAAGCGGCGGTGGCGGCGGCGACGAGGAGGAGGAGGAGGAGGAGAAGGAGCCGACCTGCGGGAGCGGGGCCAGCGACACGTGAGCGTAAGAGCGCTTCCTCCCTCTGCTGCCCCTCGCCGCCGGCCGGGTCGTCGGCGGATGATGGGGGCTCTTCTTCTTCTTCTTGGGCGCGCCCGAGGGCGGGAACATGGATAGCAGCTCGGCGTGGTAGTAGCGCGAGCGGAGCACGATGCTTTCCCGTTGGCGCTGGGTCAGAAGCAGACACGGCCGTACTGGTGGTGAGGACGACCTTGTGCTGCTGCTGCTGCTGCGACTTCTGCGGATCGGCGCCTCTGCACAATCGTCGTCGGACTGGGCGCGTGGAAACAGGGAGATGTGGCTGGCGCTGCGGCTCGGGCGGTGCTCGCGGACGCGCGGCACGGCGCCTGGTGGGTTGGGAGGCAAAGGCTTGTCGAGGGAGACGAGGCTTGGGTTTGCACGGGGTGTCGGTGGCGTCGCCGTCGTCTGGAGGGACTGGGATCGTTGGTGAGCTCGCCCTGACGACGATGAGGATCTGGTTGTGGTAGGCCTCGTATGCGGTCGCTCCAGCTGCTGCTGCTGCTGGTACGTGGATGGTGAGAGCTGATACATCTCGTCTTGTGCGCGAGGGACTGGGCACTCCGGAGTCTGAGGGTATTGCTGAGAATTCATGACGCTTGTTCGTGTTGTGAAATCGCAAGAGAAGTTGGTGTTGGAAGAGAGGCTGGAGTGCCGTGCCTCGGAGGTCGCAAAAGAACTTCGGCTTCGCCGTGACACGGAAGCAATGTGTTTAAAGGACAAGGGGCCTAGCTCAAAGATATAGCTAGAAAACAGCCCTCCTTCTCAAGGCCTTTCAAGATGCCAATCGAGTCTGTCTGTTGCGGAGTCGTCGCGTAGCTCGAGATTGAATGACCGCGTTTGCAAAAACTCAAAGGCCCCGGCCATTATTTACTGCAGAACAGCGCCGTTGACCTGAGCAGGTGGTCCATTCCCGTGATGGTAAGCGACGATTTTGCACTTTGCCACGCATCGTGTTGCCCTCCCACGTGCAGAAGCAATCAGTTGACTGTGCAGTGACCTTCTGCTGGTCTTTCTGTACACACACTAGTCTAGGCGCGTCGGCGCCGAGCGAAAACTGCAGTGTTTGCCCTGCCCTTGCTTGGCTGCACTCGTTTCGTTTCACCTGGGGCAGCTGCCGCGCCGGAATACTGGCTTTGATGTCGCCGATAGTCATGAAAATCAAATTGTTTCCCCATCCTTGGACACTGCATTGCACACCCGCTTTGCCGCCTCGGTCACGGGGGGGCACGGCACCGACGCAGCCAACCAAGCTTTAGCCGGCTGCGGTGTGTGGATAATCCCGGCATAAAGAGATGCAAGCGACTCGACGGAGGAACAATCGCGGCCAAGACACTTGCCGCCGCTCAAAGGAAGTTTATTCCTCATTGGAATGAGCCATGTTCTTTGTCAGACACCAACTCGACTGTGTTGGAATTGCGTGCACAGCCAATCACAACCAACAAAGGCGGGGCCCGCTTTCCTGATTTGGTCTTCTTCCAAAGGACGTGCATCACCCTCTCTCATGATGAACATTTCCTCTCATTGTTCTCTTTGTGCTTGACTGACACGCCGTACAGGTCAGACTGAAATTCGCCAACAAAGACCAAAACTCGCTTAGCTATGTACGTCATGGCTTCATCCACAATCACCAGTCGAGCACGCTTTGTTCCACACTGCACAAGAGCTCGTGCATCCTTGGCATCTGCGGGCTCAAATCTCAACATTGAGCAGACCATCAGCACCATTGGCCCTCATCTTGGCTCGACCCGAGACCACCCATCACCTACCTGCATCTGCAATAATCCGCGCAGGGTGAAAATCCCATCGCGAGCACAATGAGCGCGCCCTCCGGGATGGAAGACCACACCATAGACAACATGTTTGGTTCTTCGACATCGCTGCCCCAGACTCCGGTATGCCAACCTTGATTCTTGACACAGCCCGATTCCCATGAAGCAAGATGAAGGCTTACAAACGCTTCCTCAGGCCGGCCTATCATTATCGTTCGATACGTTGATGAGCACGGAATCATCACGCGCCCGAAAACCGATTCACGAGTAAGTTCTCAATGCGGCCTGTTCAAAAGCCCCGTTTACATCTCTAAACCCAATTACACACAAATCACAGGATAGTCGTAGTCCATGGGTTCGGGCTCCTCGGCGACAGCTTCCGAGCTCACCCCCAGCACTACCCTACCTTCGGCAGGACCATCGGCAGTGACGAACACCCGCATTACTACCAAGCGCGGCACGTTCTCGAAGAATGGATCCAAGACGCGGCCGAGACACTCTCCGAGCCAGTCAACGTGCGGCGGATGTCATTCAGCACAGCACAAGTCATGCAGCTGGGCAAACCGGTTCTCTGCGCCGCCGCACACAGGCTGTGCAACTCGCTCATGGAACTCACACTGGACGAGAGCTCTCCTCTTTTCCTCGGCGACCAGGGAGACGGCGACGGAGAAGGTAGCCATTTCTACTCCGAGTCGGCCGGCGGCCTTCTCCCGGTCTTCCGCTCGCGCAGGGTCACGTTCGTGGCTCACGGCCTCGGGATCTGGGTCGTGAAGCAGGCCCTCCTGTGGTTTGACTTCCACGGCACCCCACTCCATCCTGCCGCGACTTTCTTCTTTGACGGTGCGAGGATAACGAGCACGGACATGGTGCCGGGCTATCTCCACGATGCAGCCTCCCTGTTCGCGCTGCAGCAGGGGAACCTCCGCGGCGCGATGCTGGAAGATCTCGTGTGCCACCTCTTTGTCATCGAGCAGCACTTTGACACGCTCATGTCCGAGCACTACGGCGAGTGCGCGGAGATCAAGGACGCGGACACGGACGAGGCGAGACATCGCTACGAGATGGTCCAGTGCAATCACCAGTTGTGGCATCACCCTTCGCCGCCACTGCAAGCTTGGGGTGAGACTCACGCGCATCATCATGCACGGTTGTTCGCGCGTGGAGACGACCATGTGCTCGAACAGGTCGGCAGGTTGGCATTCCTAGAGCTCGCCAGGCACCTCGGCGAGGCCGTATCAGGCAATCACCTCAAGTCCTTGCAGGCGCTACCGCCCGTTGCCGAAGCCGCGCAGCGCAGAGCCCGAACGGATGTGGACTCTACGACGCTGCACAACGACGACTATGACAACGCGTCTGTCGTGTCTTCGAGCTCGAGATATAGCGAGGGCGATGGCCCGGTTGCGAAGACGCTGCCGGACGGACTGGAGAGCCAGCAAACAGAATTTCCTTGGGAACCACCAAACGAGACGTTACCTCAAGCTTCTCCGACTGGTTCAGAATGGCCGGATTTGCTCGTTTCGGAAAGCGGCGTTCGCGGAACTTCTGGCATGTCGATATCCTCAGCGCGAGAGCAGGCTGTGAACGTGCCTGACGATTGGCTCCGTCTCAGTGACCACCAGAGTACTGCGGCACAAGGCACTGCATCGTCTCAGATACCGCGCAACGAAAGCCACAATCACATGAGGTCTCATAACAACAGCTATGGCCTGTATTCACATAATTCCCCTGCCAACTTGGCTGGAAACCGAGACACGTTCGACTCTCTGGCCATTGAGAAATACATCGGCCGGAGCGGAGGCCCCCCTAAATCAAACCCAGATATCAGTGGTGTCACGGGATATTCGTATCTCGGTGGTAATTCAATGCTTGCGAACCTGCCATCTAGCGAGCCTCTCACGATCGGAGCTTCCGAGGATGCCCCGCAATCCGAAATGCTGATTGACTTCGAGCACGAAGAATCTGCCGCTACTGTGAGCAAGAGCGCCTCCGGCGCGGCTTCGAACCGTTCCCATCGACCTCGTGGACCTTTGAGCTGGGCAACCATGTCTTCAAGAAGCCCGGCCATCCGGGGTGAGGACGAGCAGGGCGAGCAACATTCACCAAAGACTTCTCCCGGACGACCTCAAGGACTGTTGGGCATGATCGACATGTCCTCGCATAGTCCGGCTCCTGTGGACACGGAGGCTCGTAATCAAGCCTGTGCCCAGTACCAGTCACCACGAGAACCACTGGACGTAGCGACAATGTCATCGAGCATGCAAGCCGAGAACCGTATTTCTCAGAGTAGCTCGGCGGGCGGTGATAGCACAACGACCGAAAGTGTTCTGCGATTATATGGGGAAAATGCATTGCGAGACTTCACCGACTTACAGAGGCCGATCTCTGTTAGCGTCCGACATACAGTTGCCGAGTCCATGACGGCGCGTGGAAGCACTGCCCCAGGCAATCTGATCGCCCCATGTGCTCCGGTGCATGCTACTGCCCCGACAGATGAGCTACGCAAAGAACCAAGCGGAAACATGCTCGAACAGGCACTACGGGAACTCGATTCAGTAGATGCAGGCAATTTAGAGCTGGAAGCTCTGGACGCTTTCATAGCCCAGCTCGCGGTGAGTGTCGAGGCCCAGCTGCCGGGACTAGACAGGAAGTGGCCCAATATCCGAAGGACTCTGAGGTGGCTGCTCCGGGACATCGAGCTTGCAAGGTATCAAGCTCACTCGATGAGGGAGCAGCAGCAGCCAAATTCAACACCTGAGAATGAAAGAGTGACCCTCGGGCGGGGTGGTCCTGGTGAAGAAAGCGTTGCGCGGGAGAACCACCGTATATGTGACTCGCGCGAAGCAAAGGAGGGCGTCTACTCTTCCAACCAGCATGGATCAATTCGCGCCCCGGAGCAGGCCCCATCGGCCACCGAGATTGGTAGGAAGGGGTTTAATTATCATCAGGGCTACAGCAAAACGCGAGAGCCAGAGGAGATACTGGGGGACGAGTATGCTGACGACGAAGACTATTCGTAGCCTAAGTTGCCAATACAGTAATGTTAGCGTGCCTCTATGTGCGAGAGAAAGCGGCCTGTCAGTCTTGGTTGAATAGACGCCAAGGTAGGAGAGAACGCGAGGTAGGAACAGGCCAGGTTGCTGCCAGAAAGGGCACAGTGTCTGGCTTGGCCCTGCCACGTTGATATCGAAGCAGTGCCAGACAAGGCATGTGAAGTTGTGTCCGCAACGTCGAGTACTGTCTAAACGTGGTTGGCGGAGGTCTCACATGCTCAGTGCAGATGACCAAGGCCGTCGCGTGAGCTCGTGGGGCAGGCACCACCCTGAAGACAGGGGGGTTTGGCTGCTGGAGCTTGGGGAAGCTGACCACCCACCGACCCGCAACCATCGTCATGGTCCCGTCTCACATGCAACATTCCACACCTGCCACGCATGTTCGAATATCCGCTCCAGTCCAAAGCAAAGGCTACCATCGCTCCGATTATGCATCAAACGGTCTCCCAGAGCTCATCGCCATCACCATAGTCCAAGACTTCCTCCAGGCCACCGCCAGCGAAGGCTTAGTTCCTAGGGGCGACGCGCAACCATGGCGTTCGCAAGGACCATCAGCACCGACTTTCCACGTTCGCAGAGCAGCGCATACGACCTAGACGAACTTTCACCACGGCCTGACGACTCCCTTCTGTCCCCCGCCCAAGGTCCCGAAGCTCGCATCCCAAGCACATCGCCAAGGCCATGGACCAGCCTGACGGACCGATCAGACACGAGCCGCAGAGACTCTGACGTCTCGTACCGTAGCGATGGCAGCAGCACGACCTCAGATAACAAGGGCAAGCTGAAAGCGATCGCCAATGCATATCCGAGCTCGAGGCGTGGCGATCCGAGAAGTCGAATGTCGCAGCTCAGAGGTCCCGACCTCTGGAAACCGCCGTTCGCATCCCCCAGCTCGCAGTCTCCGTCACAATACCAGAGCCCAGGCGAGCGGTCTTGGATCGGCGGCATCTTGCGGACTCGTCCTTTCTCCGAAGACGACGTATCCTATGCGCCAGCGGCGCCGCAAAGGATCCCGCCGCAGACACAGAGGCAGCCATCACGGGCGCCCTCTTCCGATGTTGACACCTCTTTCACGGTACTGCGCCGGCGGGAGCACGATATTACACGCCAGATCCAGTACTATCTGAATCAACAAGAGAAGGCACACGAGAGCAGCCCAATGGGACAAATCACCTCTGGGAACCCAGCTCGAGACTTGGACACTCAGGCAGAATCGCAGTACGAGTCTCAACAGTCATCCTATGGGCACGTGGTACCTGTGCGTCAACCCAAGAAAGGTCCAATCAGCTTGCGGCGGGCACGCAACGGCATCACAAACAGCATTGCGATGATGGCGGACTTGAAGTCGGAAGAGGACGCGCAAATCGCAGAGGCGGTTGCGCTTAGGAAGAAGGCGCTCGCAAAGCTGCAGGGAATGCAGTCTCGGATGTCATCAATCGACCATGATCTCAGTGTTATGCAAGACACGACGACAAACCCAGCACGGAAAAAGCTGCGCGAGAAGAGAGAACGATATACGAGCCTCTGCAATGACATCAAGGACCTTGAAGAGCAGCTGCGCCAAGCACGGCTTGAGAAGGGCATCATGGAGAGGCAGATGGAGGAGCTTCAGAGCAAGCTGGACTCGGACCTCAGTGGATACCAAGGCGCGAAGAAGGAATGCGAGCAGAGCCTCAGGGACCTCATGGGTCATCCTGGGGTACCTGCCTTGGACGTGGCAGATTTAGGATTCAAGGAGTGGCATGAGCTCGGGTTCAAATTCCTGGAGCAGCCGCGCAGCAAGCGCCGGCCAGACATGGCCAAGGAGTGGTGGGAAGGTGACCTGCGGTATCTAGAGGAATATCGCGACAAGCTCGAAAGAGAAAGGGCAGGGCTCGAAGAAGGTGGCCAGCTCTGGATCGACGCAGTAGCCAAGATTATTGACTACGAGCAGCGCCTGAGTAGCGCTTTAGGCATGGGCACCGAGGGAAGCAAATCTTCACAATGGAGCAGCGAACAATCTGATCCGAAGACGCTCCTGCTAGGCTTCTACACGCAGATGCAGGAGACAATTCGAGACCTCGAGGCGACACTCAAGTACGCCGAGTCGGAAGGCATGACTCTTTTGGTGGCAGCCATTGGCGCGGAAGTCGTCGCCATGCAGAATGGTCAAGATGTGTTTGCAAACTTGATCAAGAGTCAGGGGTGGGAGTTGCCGGCCGAGTCGAGATCGTCGACGCCGACGGGCAAGGATGAAGAGAGCCTCCTCGACATGCCGGCTGATTCCAGATCGAGGACAGAGCAAGAGCCAAGCCAGAGATCAACACAGTACCACGATGCGAACGAGGAGCTGAGCGGGAGCGTCATTCGGCGATGGGAAGAACCTTCGACAGCATCACCACAACCTCAGTCACTACGAGGCTCCAGAGTACAGCTTTCAGAAACCCATGACAAGATGGACGGGAGAACGAGGACAGACGCGTCAGATCCACCAAGCTCTCCGCCGGCCTTTAGCGCAGCTGTCCTCGACAAAACAAGGGAGGACACTGGCGCTGTTGATCAAATCCACGACGACCGCGACGCAACAAGCGACCAGGAGGAAGACGACAATGAGGTCCCAGCGGGACTTTTGAGCGAGCTGCATCTTAGACCTGGACAAGACAGCGATGATGAGCGCAATAACGATGACCACGACGACAATGCAGTGCCGAAAGAGTTCCTGAGCATGCACGATGATTAGCACGAGCTGCCAAAGGAATTCTGACAACAAAAGACCGAATTATGCAGATACTATAGTAATGAGATGATACAAAAATTGCAGCAGCAAGAAGCACAAGGACAAGATAACACCCAAGGCGAGGGCAAACTGCCCCATGAGGGAAGCAGAGTGGTGGTGCAAGTGAATTAACAACCTGCCCCACTCGGGTACACGACAGTTCTGTTCCAAGGTCACGAAGTCACAAGCTAAATTCCCCCACAACCAGACTATGAGGGGAAACCTGGACCCCGGGTCGCCTCCCAAGGGTCCCAGGGGAGGAAGGAGGAAGACAAAATAGAAAATAAGCTTAATTATCTTCCCGGGGCCGCCCGTGCATGATCGTCGCCCGTTTAGAATTTCTAAATACAACCCCCCCGTTCGAAGCGCCACGAGAATCCTCGGGTGGACGGGCAGTGGTAATGTGGGTTCTTGGGTGGTGCGTTGTGGGGACAGCATCGGGAGAGTTAGGACGACGAGCGGGCCTGGGCCGTTGGGGGCATACGGAACACCTCGGTTATGCATTTGGGACTAGGTTTGACATCTTTCTTTGTCTGTGCCAGAACGAAGAAAATAATAAAAAATGAAACTAAGAAAGCCCAGTGGTAGCTTCTCTTTGAATGCTGCTTGGAGAATGTACAGGTCAATCTGCGGACGGCATGTCTTGGCAGTCCTCGAGCGGCTTCTTGTAACTCGAAGAGCGACAGGCGGGTTTCTTCCAATAGCAAATAGCTGCAGGAGGATATTGCGCACGCCAAAAATTCGCAAAGCAAGGCATTTGCACTCTGGAACAGCAGCGGGAACACATATGATAAGCAACGATGCATTTGGAAATACCCTAAAAACGCCCAGAGATCGTGCGTGTCGTGAATACATAAACGGCAAAAACATCCGGAGCCTGTCCGCTTTGTTCTTCTTTGTCTCATTTTCATTTGCCTTTTCCCCCTTCTGCCATGTCCGTAAGGCACGGCAACAGCAGTGGCTGAGCTGGGTCGTGTGGGAGTGAGTGGTGATGAATGCTCCATTCTTTTGCAGAGAAATATGTCCGGCTCGAGGCTGTTCCTTTCCAGGTTCTCCGTGGCGACGCAATGTCGCCTGCCTCGTTTTGCCCTTAAGACATCATCGTCCTGTCAACGGAGTTTACCGGGTGCGCTTGAACCAGCCGCTGGATCCCGCGATGGCAGTAGACTGGTCCATGACCCACTCGCCGACGCCGAGATATCTCTCGACCCAGGTGTTGAGCTCCTTGTTCTCGCTGGATATCCGTTCGGTGTGGAAACTAGGCCTTCAAGCGTCCCCAGGCGCGGGGTCAGGTGTTAGCTGCTTCTCGTTCGCGCCGCCTCATCTGGGTTGGGAAAGATTGGGCGTGTTCATCTTTGGGGCGGTTTTGATTGTCGGGGGAAACTCACGTCAGGCCGGTCGAGCGGCGCATACCGGCAAGGATCGTAGAGACTGATGGAGGATATATGTTAGTCGCGGGAGCCTGAAAGCGAGGCATACTTTGGGGAACAAGGAAGCCACAGGACATACTCAGGACCGCATCAAAGGCGTAGTGGGTGAGACGGCCAAGCTTTGACCAGAGTCCAAACGTCAGCAAGTTGAGGAACTGACAGCACGAGCAGGTTCAGCATCCTGTCGAGTGAGCAGCAAGTCCCAAGGAGCTTGCTACGGCAACAGCGGAGCGGGTGAATGTGCATACCACCATGTTTGCGGTTGTGAGTGTTTGAAGTGTGTCGAACGAGCTCCGTTGGGGGGCGGGCGGGGGTTTCGGAGCCGAAGCGGAGGTAGTCCTTGGTTTGCTGCTGAGCAAGTCGTGTGTGCTTCTTCTACAAAGAAAAAGCAGTTCGAGGTGACGGATAGAAGCACGCGTGCCAAAGGGTTGATGTCGAAGTCGAGGTGTTGCGTGAGTATGAGGCCAGCAGGCAAGCATGAAGCTCAGTCATGCGACACCGCTCGCCAGGCAGAGACAAGGGGTCCTATCGCATGTGGGTTCCCCAACCTCCAACTCCACCTGCGTTGCGTGGCAGCTGAATGCCCTCAGGCAAGCTGTCTCGCGGTCCCGGGTAGGCTGTCGTTGATAGTCGACCGTGCTTATGTCAGGGCTGACTTAGCTCCGTCATCTTATCCCCGACTTTGCTGTCCACAGGTCCTTATCAATCTGGTGGTGGGGCCATGGGCGGCCCCGACCGTCAGGGAGGTTCCCCAGCGGAGTTGCCTACCTGCGACGGCTCTCATGGGGACAAGATGTTTTTCATTGCAAGCGAGCCTAAGTGGTGTCCAATGGCTTTGGCCCGTGGGGGGCATCAAGGGGCTCTTCTCGAATCCCAGAGCCTGCCTGGCTCGCCTGGCTCTGCGTCTGGTGGCTGCTTGCCCCCACCCCTTTGCGCTGTCGGACCGGTTGTTGCTGGCCGGCATCTCGACCCCCAAGATCTGCCACATCAGCAGTGCCGCCGCCGGAAATGTTGAGGATCCCAGCCAAGGGACCTGAGGACCAAAAAGGTCACCTCCGCCGTGGAGCTGGTGCAAAACTGGCGGGCTCGGACGGGCCCAAGCCAAGCTAAGGCGAGCTAGCTTGGCGCCGCAGAGATATCCGGTCCGAAACAAAACACGCAGCATCATAAACCCGCCCACGATTGGCCGTCCTCCAGCCTGCGAAACAGCATTGAGACGGCCGCGGCCCTTGCAGCGCAGCAACAGCACGGCCATGTTCTAAAAATTGACGGGTGGGCCTGATAGATCTGATTGAGTGAGAAAACCACAGTGTTGCGCGAGGTTGATGGGTCAGACACGGCTCATGCGCGGCTGGGTCTTGGCTGAGTCCTGGGAACAGTAAGGCAAGCCGCTCACTCGCCAGAGCCGCCGACATCACCAATTGACACAGAGAAAAGAAGGCCTTTGTGTCATTGTGGTTGATCAGAGGCGGCAGGGGCTTTTGGCCGGGCAGGGGTGCACCTGCGCGGGCTTGGCTCGCCCCGCCCTCGGGCGTGCTAAAAGTTGCAACGCATGCTGGGCGGGGACAGAAAAATAAAACCAACGACAGCTTCGATGCCAGCTGCACTTGTGCTGCGCTGCCTCTCACTCTTCCTCTTCTCGTCCCCGACTCAGGTTCGTCGACATTCTGCAGAAGGCCACGATCCAATTGACGAGTCCCTGCACAGAATATCATTTCGACATTCGTGGTGAGTAGCGTAAGAATGACAGCCCCCTCGCCCCCCCCCCCCCCAAGCATACCCTACCAGAAGCTCCTTCCCTCGTCCAACCCCACCACTTATCGCCCGCCAAAGGGCCCGATTCCCCAACCCACCCCGCCACGCCGTGCTCGCTGCCAACCCGGCAACGAGAGCTCGCCCTTTTTCTTGTCAGAGCACTGCGACGCGGGATAACCTTGACTCTTTGCCTACGCATCCATCTGTCCTTCTGCTGTGTCCTTTCATCTTCCTCAAGGCAGCACCTCTTTTCTCCAAACCTTGACATCGTCGGCCGTCCCATCCGTCGTCGTCGCTGCCGCCTGCCTCCAGCTAGCTGACCTGCCAACTCTACAAGACCTCATCTCAGCTGTAAAACCAGTCATCATGTCCCACAAGCGTACCCAGTCCACCACTGTCGTGGCGGCCAACGCTCTTGACCACCTCTCGTCGGGTGGCAAGATCGAGTGGCTCGCCTCGCTCGATACCGCCTTCTCCCCCGTCCGCAACTACCGCCGGTCGTCCATCATTTGCACCATTGGCCCCAAGACCAACTCTGTCGAGGCTATCAACAAGCTCCGCAAGGCCGGCCTCAACGTTGTTCGCATGAACTTCTCCCACGGCTCGTACGAGTACCACCAGTCGGTCATCGACAATGCCCGTGAGGCCGAGAGAGTCCAGCCTGGTCGTCAGATCGCCATTGCTCTTGACACCAAGGGCCCCGAGATCCGTACCGGTAACACCAAGGGCGACGAGGATCTCCCTCTCGCTGCCGGCACCATCCTCAACATCACCACCGATGACCAATACGCCACCGCTTGCGACACTCAGAACATGTGCGTATTTCCGTGCTTGCACCCTTGATTGGACATCCCGACTGACAATTCCCACAGGTACGTCGACTACAAGAACATCACCAAGGTCATTGAGGTCGGCCGCATCATCTACGTCGATGACGGTATCCTTGCCTTCGAGGTCCTTGAGATTGTCAACGAGAAGACTCTCAAGGTCAAGGCTCTCAACAACGGCTTCATCAGCTCCAAGAAGGGTGTCAACTTGCCCAACACCGATGTTGATCTTCCCGCTCTTTCCGAGAAGGATAAGTCCGATCTCAGGTTTGGTGTCAAGAACAATGTCGACATGGTGTTTGCCTCGTTCATCCGCCGCGGCCAGGACATCAAGGACATCCGCACCGTCCTTGGCGAGGAGGGCAAGCACATCCAGATCATCGCCAAGATTGAGAACAGACAAGGTCTCAACAACTTCCGCGAGATTCTCGAGGAGACCGACGGTGTCATGGTTGCCCGTGGTGATCTTGGTATCGAGATCCCCGCCGCCGAGGTGTTTGCTGCCCAGAAGAAGCTCATTGCCATGTGCAACATCGCCGGCAAGCCCGTCATCTGCGCTACCCAGATGCTCGAGTCCATGATCAAGAACCCCCGCCCCACCCGTGCCGAGATCTCCGATGTTGGCAACGCCATCACTGACGGCGCTGACTGTGTCATGTTGTCCGGTGAGACCGCCAAGGGCTCCTACCCCAACGAGGCTGTCCACGAGATGCACGAGGCCTGCCTCAAGGCCGAGAACACCATCCCCTACATCAGCCACTTCGAGGAGATGTGCTCGCTTTCGCGGCGGCCCGTGTCTATTGTCGAGTCCTGCGCCATGGCTGCCGTCCGCGCCTCTCTCGACCTTAACGCCGGTGGTATCCTCGTCCTGTCGACCTCCGGTGACTCTGCCAGACTTCTCAGCAAGTACCGCCCTGTCTGCCCCATCTTCTGCGTTACCCGCAACGCTTCCACCAGCAGGTACGGTCACTTGTACCGTGGTGTCTACCCCTTCATGTTCCCCGAGGCCAAGCCCGACTTTGCTCAGGTCAACTGGCAGGAGGATGTCGACCGCCGCATCAAGTGGGGTGTCTCGAACGCCATCAGCCTCGGCGTCTTGGCTCCTGGCGACACTGTCGTCGTTGTCCAGGGCTGGAAGGGCGGTATGGGCAACACCAACACCCTGCGCATCGTCAAGGCCGACACCGAGTCGCTCGGCATTGGCCAGCTCGAGTAAGAGCTATGCACTGGGCTGATTGGGAAATGAAGATGGGAAGGGAGATAATTCGGCGCACAAAGGAAATGGCGCAGCTCAAAAAGCGATATACACAGGCTGCAAGCACGCACGTGCGCGTTGACGCGATGACAACGAGAACTGTTGAGCATTGTTAATACCTTGATTTCAAACATGCGGTTATGATAGAATGGGCATCAATATGATTAAGTCTGCATATCATGCTGTGAGAGCTGTGGAAATATTTGCTCAATTGTTGTGCTGCTCGTGTTTGAGACCCTGCTTTCTCGTCGAGCCAGTCTGGTATTCAAGAAGCAACTACCACCCGATGCCGCCGAACTTGCTTGTCCTAAACGGACACGTGCAATCGACAAAACCACTGCTTGCATATTTAGTGTGAAATTGCAGGAGACCGATCTGTCGTTTGATATCCGACGAATCCGCTGTCTAAGCCGACACTGAGCCGGCAGTCAGTTAACTCGGATGAAAAATCCAGCGCGGGGTTGGTCAAAAGGGGCCCCGTACCACTCCAAGCTAAAAGGCTGATCAGTTAGGCGACAGGTTGGCAGTATCAGGGTGTTTTGAGGCTTGCAGGTTCACAGGCATAGAGATTTAGAGAGACAGGTGCTCAGAGGAATCGATGCATTGAAATGTCATAGTTTTCAGAGTTGCGCGAACTCCGAGGGTGACGGGTAGTGAAGGCAAGGCTGACTAGATTGTGCTGCAAATTACAACTACCACTCTTCCACGAGGATCAGAACACCTGTTGCGTTATCGTTCTTTTCCACGGCTGCTTCTGCTGCCCCTTGTGAAGTCTGGGTGCTGGTCTCCCGCCGGATTTGGCGTGGCTTGTTCTTTCCCTTTCCCCTTGCCTTCGCCTTCGCGTTCCCCTTCACCTTTGGCTCGTGTGAAGGCAGACTGCTGTCCTTTATGGGTGACGATGAACTCGCCTCCTGCTGGAGGTCCTTGTCCGCCTTTGGCTGCGTCTGTTCGCGGGACGCCTTTCTCAGCAAAGCGACCAATTCAAACAGCTTCTGCTTGCGCGCACACTGGAATGCTGTCTTGCCCTTGTTGTCTTTGAGTGTCAGGTCAGCACCACCGTTGCGCACCAACACCTCCGCAACTTGCCTCCGCGACTCGATCTGTGTGTGGTTGGAACACAGGATGTGAAGTGCTGTTTGACCACTCGCATTTTGGTAGTTGACACTAGCACCATGCTCTAGAAGCAGCTCCACCGCGACCGGGTTGCAAGGGAGAAAACAGCAGAACGCCAACAGAAGATTCTCTGGTAGTGGCAGTAGATCGTCTTTGTGATGCCTCAAGAACAGTCTGAGTAGGTCGAGATGATGGTGAGGGTTGAGCCGGGCAATCAGGTGCATAAAATCGCCTGCTGGGACTCTCGAGCCGACGTGTTCAAGCAGTATGTGAATCAGTCCAAGCACGTGGTTGTGGATGATTGAGCGCTGATTTGCCTCCTCTGCTTTGGAGGCAAGCGTGCGGGCAAAACCAAACTGAGGCGCCCAGTCTTTCAGGTTAAGCAGTGTTGCTTGCAGGAGGGTTTCGCAAGGTAACTGGCACGTCTGGGCAGCTTTGATCAGGCGACCGATCAGCAGCCTCTTGTCATGGAGGACACGAGCCAGGGACATGTTGTACTCATCCGCCAAACTCTGGGAAGGCCAGTCCCTGACATCAATACGTTCCAATTGCAGGCTGACTGCTTCCATAAGTGCTCGCCAGGTGGGAGCAGCACGTGCCTCGAGAAGCTCCCGTGCTATCAAGTGGTCTGCGTTCTTGATCGCAATCTCCAGAGGGGTCAGGCTTTCTGAGGAGTCACCCCAGATTTGTCGTAGGCGAGTATAGTGGTTCGTCTTGAATGGCGCGTTGATTAATATGGCTGTTGAGGGCTCATGGTGTCGCAACACGCGGCGTAGCAAGGCGAGGTCTCCCCTCACACAGGCATGCCAGAGCGCGTGCTTGTCGTCTAACCGGGCATCGTGGTCGAAGAGTTCACCATTGAAGATTTCTCGAAGACGTTTGCAGACTCGAGCGAGGCGAGCGCGATCACACTGATCGTCGAGCAGGGCCGATATCTGCAGCAGAAGCTCGTCGGGGATTGTAGTGAGGGAGGCCATGACTGCGAGCGACAGTCGAGAGTAGGGTGAAGCTTGTTGCCATGTATCGATTCTGTGATTCGATGCCTGACCGATACCGGGCGGTGCTGGGAGGTTGGTCTGCGAGTGGTGCCGAGACGTGTGAGGTCACGGCTGCTTCAGGCAGTGCTCACGAGATGGGGACGACAAGTGTGCGTGCGAGGCTGTACTTTCCCCAGGTGGACCTTGCTGTTTTGTCAGAATTCTTGCTCCTTCCCCCGGCCTTCCGCCATGTGCAGGCTTCTGTCGGTCCAGCTCCTCTATTTGGTCGTTGCAGACGGGCAGCCGCGGGTGAACTCTTGCAAGGTAGTTGCGTCTTGTAATTCTAAACAACTGGACCTTCCCCAGTGTTGTCATCATTATGGGGATGCCTGGCGCGCCGAGTGCTCAACATGGAATTAATGATCCCTGGTCCCCGGCAATTTCTTGGTCAATGTCATGGGATGCAACCCTCTAACGGGCAGGCAGCGACCTTGTCATCATTGCGCCAGATTACTGCAGCAGAACCATCCACCCTTGCTAGAGCCCTGACTTCCCCCTATCGCAGAGACTGCAACCCATCCATGATCCGTGATCCCCTTCAACCGGTTGTCCTCTGGTACCAGACCAGGGGCTTGTCCTCACCCTCAAGCCGCAAATCGATTCCGAGCTGTGCCACCTCCCCATCCGATCCGATATGGAACTCGGCGCGCACGCAGGTCAGCGGGTTCTGCGGATCCTGCCACTCGCCATACCGCAGCCAGCCAAGCCAGTACTCTCCAGACTGGTGCTCCAGGTCCACCAGAACGTGGGGATACGCGTCGTCTCGGCGGCTCAGGAGTAACTTGCAAGTACTCTTGTGTTCATCCGTCGTGGATGATGATGGTGACGAGAATCGTGAGTGCCATAGCGCCGAAGCGGCGTCTTCGCAGTCGAGTGTAAGTTTGACCTGCCCATATCCTGGATTCTCGTAGGTTCCATCATAGCTTGAGAATGGTAGAGCTGGGGGAAGAGCAGTCTTCGGGAGGGAAGAATAGGCTCGTTTCGGACAAGATCTGACGACCTCTTTCTTTGCCTTTTTGTTCTCCTTCATTCTGAATATCGATAATGCAGTCAGTATTTCCGTTTGCGGGTGAACGGAGTATGAAGGCAATCGCCAAACTTACTTCGTGTCAAAATCAACCCGCTCCTCCCGGGGAACATCAAACAGTTCATAGAGTGCGCGGTAGGCAACAGCCTCAAATGCGGGTTCGCCCTGGTTGACCAACACCACAACGCTAATCTGCCTCGCCGGAACCATGATCATGATTGACAAGAAATCCGATGTCTGACCAGTGTGCCACCATACCTGCTCACCACGGAAGAAGCTGGCGAACCAGCCTAGGCTGTAAAACACCGGCCCCGTGAACGGCGGCTGCGCAAGTTTGGCCAAGATCCTGGGCTGCTTGATCTCGTGATGCCCAGACGCCGAAATGGGCCCGCCCTCGGCGATCATGGTCTGCAGATAGGTCGTGTAGTCGAGCACATTCGACACGACGTCCCCCGCCGCCGCGTCAGCCGGGTCGAGCTCGTACGGCACTTTCACGTGCCGGCCCAAGGTCTCTGACCAGTGGTAGCACTTGGCCAGGGGCACTCCGCTTGCGAGGGCGTCCGGGTATCCAAAGAATGTCTCGTGCATGCCCATGGGCTGCCAGAGGTACTTGTGAAACACCTCTCCGACCTTGAGTTCCGTCAACTTGGCAATTAGATAGCCCAGGACACCGTACATCTTGTTGCTATACTGAAATACGGTCCGGGGTTCCGCGGAGAACGGCAGGTAGCGCAAGCCGCGGACCAGGTCACGTGTCGTCCGCACCCAGGCCATGTCATGGCTTGGCAGGCCAGTGCGGTGAGTCAGGGCGTCCTCGACGGTGATGTGCCGTGTGGCCCAGTCGTCGCTGAGGATAAAGTCTTCCGGCAGGAGGGACGAGATTGGCGTCGTCCATGTGATGCCGCTGTAGTCTGTCGAGTTGTCCACGAGAAGTGACAATGCGGCTGCTGTGAAGGACTTTGTAGTGCTCCCAGTGAACGTCATGGTATGTGGTGTCATGGGTTCCATGGTATCGCGGTCGGCGAAGCCAAAGCCCTGTAAATTTCGTGTTAGTGGCTGACATTCCCTACGTTTCCAGGAGAGAAGTAGTAGAGATCTTTGTGCAATGCAACAGGTTGGCGCGACAAACGAGTGAACTTACCTCAGCCCAGCTCTCATTCCTTTGACCGTCCTTGATGGCAATCGACAAGCCAGTAATGTGCCATTCCTCCATGAAGGACGTGATGTAGCCTGCCAAGTCGGACCACTCATGCCTGCTGGTGGTGGTGCTCGAGCTTGTCTCTGTTGAGCCTGCCAATTGCGACGATTGGGTTGGAGCTGCATGACCGAGAACTGCCTGGCCAGCTCCTTGGCCGTTCGGCAGGAGAGCTGCTTCACACGCCACAGCACCGAGAACGCTCGCGATGAGCCCGAGTCGTACAGTGGCCACCATGTCGTCGTATGGGCACTGTCTCTGTGCCCTCAGTATTTCCAAGCACAACGAACAGCTCAGCCACAGACTCAAGTAGAGTTTTTTTGAATTTTGAAGTTGCAGAAGACAAAAATGATGCATATGCATGTGCAACTGCGACAATTCTATATTGCTGACTTGCGACCAGGGGTCGTCGGCTTCGGAGTGCCAGGCACCAGGCGAATCACCAGCCACCTACCCCGTTCGGCTTGGATTCCTGATTGGGCAGGTCGAGCTCCGAAGCCGACCCTTGCTCATTCAGTCCTCGCACACTCGCTCACGACGTCTTCTGACCCAGTGGCCAGTGGTTTCGGCAGAGACCAAACATTGTCGGAAAGAAGAAACCCAACGATAGGAAGAGATTCAGAATTTGGGCATTGTCTCACAATTTGTGGGTTGTGTCTTTCACCGTGATCAGGTTAACAGGGTCACTCTTTCCCAGCGACATGACCTGCAAAGTGGAACCCTCGTGGATCAACTGTGTCTGTTCGGACTAGTGCCAACGGAACATCCTCGAATCGCCAGTCAGGAATGTGCACCTCATGTTGGCTGCGGCATGATCGATCAAGAACAGAGGGCGAGAAGGAGAAAAAAAAGTGAAGCACCTCCACAAACCCCAGGCAGAGCTCCTCTTGCGGGGGACCAGGTTCCCCGCACGAGAGCGCAAACCTCCCAAGGAGGACCAGACTTGGCTCGTGGCTACGAGTGCCGGCAAGGATATGCGAGAGTGTCCAGGGGTCTCTACTGCATAACGTCACTGGCAATCTCGGGACATGCTTCCGAGTGGTGCGGCAGAGGACTTCTCGGTGGGGTTTCGGCTAGCGATATTTCTCAAAAGCACAGCAGCGACTGGCGGTCGGAAGGCTAAGGGCGGGTAAATTGATCTGCCCACATCAGATCCTGGTGATGGTCGCATTGGGGACCAGTAGCGAGTGAGAAAAATAAATAACCTCGCCAGTAGATATGCCGTGCAACTTTTCCAGAGCAGTGGTGTTTAAAGAAATGGTGCGCCATGATGAACGCACCTTGGTCCGTTCCGAGGAACTTCATGACTGTCACGAACCTCGTCTGAACCGCATTCGCGCGACTGGTTGAAAGAAATCATGGTTGCCTTTGCGAAGTGGCTGGCTCTGTTGGGCCTCGCCGCATCGGCTGCGGCTCAAGACGATCCGTCCATCGACTGGCCTGTCCATGACAACAATATCACGGAATTGGTGCAATGGTGAGATGGGTGCATTGTCCAGGCATGACTGAGCAATGTTAAAATGAGTATTTAGGGACCACCACAGCTTCTTCGTCAACGGGCAGCGATTGTTTGTTTTCTCGGGAGAGGTAGGTCGATTGGGAGCAGATTGAGCCAGCGCGAGAAGACTAACCACATACTTTGCAGTTTCATTATTTTCGCATTCCCGTGTGAGTGAAGAGCTTGGAGCACATCACACAGCATCAAAACTAACGAACGTCAGTCCTGAGCTATGGAGAGACCTTCTCGAAAAGGTCAAAGCCGCTGGGTGAGCATTTCGCCGAACGCGCGCGAAAACTTCCTCCTTGCCACGAATTGCACCAGCTAACTCCCAATCAGCTTCAATGCCTTCTCCATCTACAACTCCTGGGGCTATCACAACCCCGTCGAGGGCGTGCTCGACTTCGAAAACGGCGCCCACAACTTCACCTCGATCATGGAGCTCGCGAAGGAACTCGGAATGTACATGATCATCCGCCCGGGCCCTTACATCAACGCGGAAGCCAACGGCGGCGGGTTCCCCCTGTGGGTCACAACCGGCGAGTACGGCGCGCTGCGCAACGACGACCCGCGGTACACGGAGGCGTGGAAGCCGTACATGACGGCAATCTCCAAGGTCATTCGCCCGCACCTGATCACCAATGGCGGGAACGTCATCTTGTATCAGATCGAGAATGAGCTGAACGGGCAGTGGAAGGACATTGAGAAGAGGGTCGACAACCCGCCGATCCAGAATTACATGCAGAGTCTGTATGATAACGCGCGGGAGAACGGGATTGACGTGCCGCTGACGCACAATGCCCCAAATATGGTAAGCTCGGTGGGAAGAAAGGACGAGAGGCATAGACCATAGTCTGTTAGGCTCTCGGGGTCTTTTGACGGATATCCATTGTGTTGCTAACGAGGGTGTAATACAGTTCGGTTATTCATGGTCGCGAGACTTCTCGTCTGCAAAGGGGAACATGGATGTCGTCGGTCTGGACAGTTATCCTTCGTGCTGGAGTTGCAATCTGGACGAATGCACCGGCACCAACGGCGAATATGTGGCATATGTAAGTGGCCTGGGAAGTGTTCCTTGGGTGTTGTGGCTTTGGTCATTTTCTCCGTTTAGTTCTTCTGACATTCAGGGTTATCACAGCAAGTACAAAACTACTATGAGTATGTCTTGATACTTCTGAATCCTTCATGGGTTTTCTTCAGCTAGCAATGAAATAGCTACTTTGTGAAGCAGTCGCCGTAAGTCACACCTCTACCAGCACTGAACCGCCAATAAAGTGCCACATTGGGAAGTGAAAACAATACTTATTATGCCGCAGAACCCAGCCAAACTTTATGCCAGAACTCCAAGGTGGAAGCTACAACCCGTGGGGGGGCCCAGAAGGTCCGTCTGCGCTTTTACTCGTCCAGCCGGTGCGCAAATAACTTGAACTGACCCAAAAGAATTTAGGTGGCTGCCCTGGAGATATCGGTACCGACTTTGCCAACATGTTCTACCGCAACCTCATATACCAGCGTATCACGGCTGTGAGCCTGTACATGCTCTACGGAGGGACAAACTGGGGCAACCATGGGGCGCCAATCGTGGGTAAGTCGAGACCGGAATGCTGCCGTGGAGAGGCAAGCACTTAGGACCACGGCTGACACCTGCATCGTCCAGCAACGAGCTACGATTACTCTGCCCCAATCTCCGAGAACAGAATCCTTTGGGACAAGTACTACGAGACGAAGCTCTTGACGCAATTTACAAGGAGTAAGATCACTACTAGCTTACGGTTGGAAGACATTCTGCTCACAAGTTGGTCGCATAGTCGCGCACGACTTGCCATACACCAACCGGCTGGGCAATGTACGTACTGATTTCCTCAGATCGGACTACAGGCCGAAGGACTGACACGATCTCCACATTTAGAGCACTCGATACTCAACAAACCCTGCCATCGCTGCCTCGGAGCTTAGGAACCCAGACACAGGGGCGGCGTTCTATGTTGTTATGCACGCGTACTCCCCATCGGCAACGCTCGAGAAGTTCCAGCTCAAGGTCAACACTTCTGCTGGCGAGTGTGAGTTAAGATTCCCCTTTGGCCTTGAAATGGAAGCTGATTGACTTTCGCCATAGTGACGATCCCCCAGCACGGCAGCCAGATCGCAGTCAACGGCCACCAAGCCAAGATCTTGGTCACGGACTTTCGCTTCGGCAACAAAACTCTGCTCTACTCGACGGCAGAAGTGCTCACCTATGCAGTCCTCGATGGCAAGGAAATCCTGGCACTATGGGTGCCGACTGGCGAGAGCGGCGAGTTTGTTGTCAAGGGCGCCGCCTATGCTAATGTGCTCTCCTGTCGGGGCTGCTCGAATGTGCAAATCTATCCAACCGGAGACAGCGTTGCTGTGGCATTCACGCAGAATACCGGGATGAGTCTCATCGGGCTCCCTGATGGCTCAAAGATTGTGTTACTGGACCGGTCTCATGCTTACCGGTTCTGGTCGCCAGCCCTGAATAATGACCCGCAGTCTCTGCCAGATACAAATGGTACGATCATCTATCCCGGCGCAACATTTGCCTCATGTGAAAGTTGCAGCTGACCCTGATGTGCACAGTCCTCGTTCAAGGTCCCTACCTCGTCCGGTCTGCAAGACTCACCGAAAATGGAGAATGTCTCGCGCTCAAGGGCGATCTCGCCAACGCCACATCCGTCAGCGTCTTTGCTTCGGAAGCTATCAAGACCTTGACATGGAACGACAAGCAAGTCGTCATCAAGTCTCGCGAGAATGGAATCATCGTCGGCGAGCTCGCTGGTGCCCCTTCGACGTTTAAGCTGCCTGCTTTGACGGGGTGGAAGGTCGCTGACGGTCTTCCGGAGATTGGGAAGGACTACGATGCTTCCGGCCGCGCCTGGATTAGTGAGTATCATGACTTGAAACTCCAGCTTGCCGCAATCAACCATCTCCCCGCCAAAGCTGACTCTTTGCCTTTGCAGTTGCCAACAAGACCGAAACTGCCAACCCGACTAAGCCAGCACCGAACAACCCGGTCCTCTACGCGGACGACTACGGCGTCCATGCGGGCACCCAGCTCTTCCGCGCGACCTTCCCGACGACCTCGACACCACCGACGGCCGTCTTCCTCTCCCTCTCGGGCGGCACGGCGTTTGGCTACTCGGCCTGGCTCAACGGTGCGTACATTGGATCGTGGCACGGCTCGGCCTCGACCGCGACGCAGAACGTGACCTTGTCGTTTGCCAACGCGACGCTCGCCAGCACCACCACCACCACCACCACTACTACTACAGCCGCCACGAGCGATACTGCCAGCACGCAGGACGAGAACATCCTCTTCATCGTGATGGACAACATGGGCCACGACCAGCGCTCCGAGGCCCTGAACCCGCGCGGCATCCTCAACGCCACTCTTCTGCTGCCCCTCCCCACACCGTCCTCTTCATCCAATGGGGCCGGCTCGGAGAACGAGCAGCAGCAGCAACAGCACGGGTTCACGTCCTGGAAGATCGCCGGCACCGCGGGAAGCGACACCCGGTCCGTGCTGGACCCGGTCCGGGGCTTCCTCGCCGAGGGCGGGCTCTACGGCGAGCGCGTGGGGGCGCACCTCCCCGGGTTCCCAGACTCGGAGTGGGAGTCTGTCGTTGCTGCTGTCGCCAGCACCGCCGCCACCACCAAGACGACGCTCGGGGTTCCGGGCGCCGGGATGCGCATCTTCCGCACCACGCTGCCCGGCCTGGCCGTGCCGCGGGGCCTAGACGTGTCCGTGTCGTTCAGGCTCACGGCCCCGCGGCCGGGGCGGGACCGGCTGCGCGCGCTGCTGTTTGTCAACGGGTACCAGTATGGTCGGTTCGTGCCGCACGTGGGGAACCAGGTTGTGTTTCCTGTGCCGCCGGGGGTGCTTGACTATTCTGGTGGTGGTGGTGATGCTGCTGGTGCTGCTGCTGGCAGTCAGAGTAACAAGGCGACGACGGGCAACACGATTGTCGTCATGGTGTGGAGCCAGGACGCTGCCGGGGCCGAGGTGGATGTCGAGTGGGGGGTCGACTTTGTGCACGAGACGTCGTTTGACATGGCGTTTGATGCGGGCGGGCTGAGGCCCGGGTGGGATGAGTCGCGGATGGCGTATGTTTGAGCTGGGGGAGATGCGCGAGGGCCTATGCAAAGAGGGTGTGTACGTGTGTGTGTGTGTGTGTGGCGTTGCCATGTGCCTTAAGTCTAGGTGTTGTGAGGGCCGAATCGTGCCTGGCATATGCTTTGTCAAACTCATTCGCAACACCTCACTCTCTGCATCGCATAGCCAGCGTCGCACAGTTGCCATGCTCAAGGTATTTATAGGACCAACGAGATCCCATGTACACGCGTACAAGCACGTGGCCGCCGCAGCCTGCAGCCATAGGTCCGGCACTCTGTAGAGCCCTCATGTAGTACGTGTATCGTGTATGCTCATTACAACATGGGGCTTCGTGCAGCAGAGCTCGAAATGGACCATCTGACTTGTCCCCACTTGCTTTTGCAGTCTCTCAACGGACGGTCGACGAGCGTCCTAAGGCCATTGTCCCCGATCCCTGACGTCGTGGTGGCAGTCATGCCCTAATTACCCTGATTCATCGAAAGCAAGAGTGGTTCCACAGTCGACCCATGATCGTCGCTGGCGAGGTATACGGTTTCCTTGTTACTTTGGCGCGAGTGTTTCATATGCCCCGTCTCTGAATTGCTGCAACAGTGATTCGAGACAAGAAACGGATCGACAGGTACGGTGCCATAAAGGGACCGGATGCGCACAGTCTCGGTGTCTTTCTCACCAGAGGCATATGTCGCTGCCGGCCGTGGGAGGGACTGATTACCATGTGATGAGGGCATTGGACACCCACCAGTCTCACATACATGGTTCAGGAATGGTTGATCAGCATTGATACGTAGTAGCGTGGGAATCAAGCTTGAAAGCTTGAAAGGAGGGCACCAGTCCTGAAGAGAGGGATGGGTTACATAATCCCCCCCAGGCTGTCTCTTCGGTCCCGGGCACGGAGCTTGGTAGTGGGCGCGAGGCCTGCAAACAGGCGTGTCGCGCTTAGGGTCGGGGTCTGTGAGCTCCGATGCGCCGATGCCTAGCTGCTTTGGGGGATGAGATGTAGTGGTAGTCATCAAGTGCGAGACTAGTGAGTCATGGTCTTGTCCAGCGCTCGCCAGCGAGCACTGCGGATTGGCTCCAAGGCTGGCAGCTGAATAACTAAGGGACAGAGCAGGTCGGGGCAGCAACCAGCCAAGCACCGACTAGGAGCGAGGCCATGTGGTGCGGAGATAAGGCGAGCCCCAAGCGGCAACTGGGCACCCCGTTGGGGCCCTGTCCCTGCACCCTCGGGCCCTATGCAAGTCCCTCCAGGCTTGGGCCTCGCTCCATGGCGGGTGTTGCTAACCTCCGGGGCCACTGGATGCGCAAAGACTGCCGTCTCGAGGTGCGTCTCGATTTGTCACGGGCTTGCAGCGTGGCCGAGTATAACATCCTTCGTGGCTGCCTGCCGTCCGTCCATTGTCTAGATAGTCCCAATGGCCATTCCTCAGTCAACCAACTTACACCACAGGCAAATGCCGTCTTGACTTCATCTCGGCACCACCACCCATCCACTTACACGTCTACACAACCAACAACATACAGATACACACACCACCCGACAGTGCACCGTGACAACCAACGACGACAAAAAGACACCTTGGGCCTCCCTCTGTCACACGTCATCTCACATCTGCACAGATCTCGGCACAGGCAACTGCTCAACCTTCTGCACAGCTCGGCCGCGGAAGCTGCAAGCCACTGCACCAGACACGCACGCCGCCCGCTCTCCATCTCGCGGCCACAAAGCTTAGCAAAGCCACCCACATCACACAATCTTAAACCCACCACTCTTGCCGCTCTAGTTGTGGCAGAAACTTCAAGAATAACACCAACAACAACCAAGAACAACAACGACAATAGCGACAACCAAAGCAAATTATCCTCAACGCAAAGACACAAACCTCACCAGCCATGGCCGACTCGCAAGCAGCGGCCCCCGTCGAGGGTCCTCCATATCCCGTCCCCATCGCAGTTCTCGGCGGCGTGCCCGTCCCTTCGGTCGACGACCCCATCTCGGCCGTCTTCCTCGCCCTCTTCCTCTGCCTCGCCGCCGTCCACATGACCATCTACCAGCTCAACCGCAGAAAGTCACACTTGTTCGTCTTCTCGGGCCTCCTCTTTGCCCTCTCCATGGCCCGCTCGTCCGCCATGGTCATGCGTATCGTCTGGGCCGCGAACCCAACCAACGTCCGCATCGCCCTCGCCGCAAACATCCTCTCCCAGGCCGGCGTTGTCATTCTCTTCATTGCCAACCTCTTCTTCGCCCAGCGCATGGTCCGCGCCTACCTCCCCCCCGTCGGCTGGCACGCCGCCACCCGCTGGACCCTGCGCGGCCTCGTCAGTTCCGTCATTGCCTGCCTCGTCATGGTCATCGTCACCGTCATCCACTCCTCTTACACCACCGACCGCGACGGCCTGGACAAGGACCGCAAGGTCCAGCTGGTCGCAGGGACCTTCTTCGTCGTGCTCGCCTTTTTGCCCATCCCTGTCGTGCTCGGTGCGCTCCTCATCTCCCGCCATCAGCGCAGTAGTAGCAGCAGCAAGAAGAACACCAGCACCACCGCCATTAGCGGGGACGAGTCGTCGCTTTCCAGCCCCATCGACGAGCAAAAGAAGACCACCACCAGCACCGTCGGCCGCCCGGAAAAGTTCGGCACTGGCCGCCTCCGCACCAAGGTCCGCCTGCTCCTCTTCACCTCCTTCCTACTCACCCTCGGCGCGGCCTTCCGCGTCGCCACCATGTACGCCGCCCGGCCGGCCAACAACCCGGCCTGGTACCACTCGCGTGCGTGCTACTACTGTTTCAATTTTGTCATCGAGGTCATCGTGTCCGGCCTGTACGCGGCCGTCCGGTTCGATCGCCGGTTCCATGTGCCAAACGGCTCAAAGGGCCCCGGGGACTACAGTCGCAAGGCAGGTGACGCTACGGCCACGGGGTCCGGGGATATCGAAGCGGGCAGTGCGGCGGCACCCGCGCCAGTGGACGCAGGGGAGGAGAGCGAGGGGGTGCACGGTGTCGGGCCGAGGTTTTCCAGACACGTGAACACCGAGGAGGAGGTGTTTGGTGCTGGCTCGGAGGGGGATGAGGCTTCCGATGAGGCGCAGAAGGACAAGCAGGAGAAGGAGGAGGTCTAAATAGCTCCATGGACAGCAGACAATCTGTGATCTGAAACCAGGGGAGCCAGCAGCGATGGAGCGGAATTTGTATTATTTTAATTGATACCATCACGAGAAAGTGGGCGAGCATAAGCGAGACGCTGTTCTTTCTTCTTTGCATAGAACTCAGACATAGATACCAGAAGCAAACCGTCTTTTTGGTTGTACTAACGAACGTAATGATATTATTCGAGTTCTCACAAGCCGCCCGCCCATTAGTCGTGGTGAATTGTCGAGCGTGGTCATTATTCTTGTCGACAATGATTCTGCCAGGAATAGATGTTGTGTGTCTGTGGCCGCACGTCACCTGAGAGCCTGGAAGAGCGATGACAAACTTCGGAATTTCTAACCAGGATCGACGCCATTCTGTGCATATTTACTATCCGCGGGAAGACTGTTGCAATGGTTATGCTGGGCAGCAAAAGGTTTGACGAGAAAGACTTACTTACAACCCGCCTCTTGTATCATGGACTTCACGTGCCCCAGGCGGTTGTGGCAGCACAGATACTAGTATCTTGTAAAACGCCCATTCTCTCTCTCTCTCCCTCTCCACCAGTTTGTCGATCTACAAGCCGAAAAGGGACATAAGACAAGCCCTGAAGAACAGAATGCAGACAAGACGAGTAGCCTTGGAGCGGGCACGGTAGCGCACCTTTTGGATAGTCACGTCTTGTGTTCTAGGGGGGGGGGGGGGGGGAATAAGGACCAAGTACACCGTCGAGCTCGGGTCGCTACGTCTCAGGAAAATCACGGCTCAGTACGCGTACTGTTGTATTGTTCTAGGTCGAGGGTACTGGGCACCCGTCTCTTTGGATGCCTGTCTCCAGATGGGTACTACGGTATGGTGCAGTAGACAACTGTGCACAGCCGTTACAACACGGTTGCGCCGGTTGTTGTCTACTTATCTTAGATTAGCTAGTTGCCTGTCTCGTCCTTCTCGGAAAGCCGCTGCTGCGGCGCGGTACTCGTGACTCCATGCACGACCCTCTTCTCCGCCGCCTCATCAACATCTAGCGGCGCGGTCTCGTTCCCCGGCATCACAGCACCATCCCGATCCCGCCGGCCAACCTCAACCTCGACCGCACCATTATCACCGCCACCGCCACCGCTCTCCCCCAACTCCCACGAGTCGCCCGACACGCCGTTCTTCTCGTGCTTCCTCAGCGTGTGCCCGTCCAGCCAGCTCACCACCCACACCAGCACGAGCATCACCACGACCACGACCACCATGGCGATCCCCCCCTTGCGCCAGTACGGCGCGTCCGAGGCCGGGTACAGCGCGATGCCCCAGAACGTGTACAGGCAGGTGCTCGCGGCGTTCATCGCGTACAGGATGACCGCGCGGGCCGCGTCGTCGCCGCCGCGCTGGCAGATGATGCTCGCCCAGCCGTACAGGACCGGGTTGACAATGTACGACGTGCCGGAAAGGTAGAAGGCGACAAAGGCGCCCGCGAACGTGAGCTTCTCTGGCGGGACGAGCAGCATGGCCGCGCAGACGAGCTGGAGCAGCGCGGCGAGCACGCCCATCGGCACGCGCCGGCCCGTGGCGTCGATGTGCACCGCCGCGAGGAAGTTGGAGACGATGCCCACGGCCTGGATGCCCAGCGGGTACGTGTTGATCTGGGCCTGGGTGAAGAAGGCGTCGTGGTGCTTCAGGTACAGCAGGAAGATGCCCTGCACGCAGTACGCCTCGAGGGCGCCCGTGACCACGGCGAACAGGCACAGCACGTACAGCGCCGGGGTCGCGAAGACGCGCCGCGCCAGCGACCAGGGCTCGATGTTGTGCCCGTCCGGGTTCTTGGGCGGCAGCCGGCCGAGGGCGAGCTCCCGCTCTTGCTTGCTGAGCCAGCGCGCCGACGTGATCTCGGGCACGTCGGGGAAGTAGAAGAAGCCCATGAGCGCGATCGGGCAGGTGATGATGCCGTTGATGATGAAGACCCACTGCCACCCCGCGAGGCCCGCGTAGTTGTTCATCCCCTGGTGGATGGCGGTCATCATGATGCCCGCAAACATGGTGCCTGCTTGGCCCGAGGCAGTGAAGATGGCGGTGCGTTTGGCAATCTCGCGGGGTCGGTACCACGAGCCGATCACGTAGATTGTGCTGGTCAGAGGCCTGTTGTCAACAACATCCGCTGAGCACAAGAGGCGGGAATAGTAACGACAACTTACCCGCAGTACGTGCTGGCCTCGGCGAGGCCCTGAAGAAAGCGCACCGCACAGAGCTGTGCATATGTCGTGCAGCCAGCACATGCCATAGTCAGTGCCGCCCAGACGAGCACCATGGAGGGCAGCCATATCCGCGGTGCAATCTTCTGGATGATAATGCCGTGTGGGATCTGCCCAACGACAGACCCGGCCGTGAACATGGCGAGGATGACATTGTACTGGTCGCCGACCAGCCCGAGGTCCTCCCTCAGTCCTGCGACATAGGCGTTGGCGAACGCGGACCTGTCGAGGTAGTTGAAGAAGGAGCTCAAGCAGCAGTAAGTCAGGATGAAGAAATCTGTTTGATAATGTGTAAGTCGTCATGTGTGTGACTCCCAGCGCTTTTTGAGTGGTGGGATGCCAACCTAGCTTTTGCACGAGCCGTCGCTCATCTCTGCTCTTTGGCTCGTCGCCCAGAAAGACATTTCTTGCTTGTTGCAGCAGTGACGGTTTCGCTTTGCCAGCTTCCATTATGAACTGTTTCAGGCCGTTTGGCACACAGTAGAGTAACAGCGTCAGCGCCACAAAGGGAAGTGGCCAATCCTGAAACATTCACTTGAGAGCTAAACAAGCTGTACCACAGCTAGTGCATGGTAAATTGTGGAAAGAGGGGACTCGAGAAACCTCTGCTATTACCACATAATTCCAGCCAGGCTGAAGGCAGCTGCCCCTCCCTGTGGCCTGTCCATCAAGGTTCTTGGCCAGACATCTTACAAAGAGATGAAAGCCAAGACTTGAAAAAGTCAGTCTGGGTTATCAGGAAGGGACAATCGCTCCGCCTGGACACTTGGTTTATTCGCGATTCTCGTTAATTCATCGATTCTGATAGGCCAGGAGGAGCTCGCCGGCTTATCGATTCAGGGTCCTTTGCAGCAGGCCAAGCATTGGCGGGCGAGGGCGGCGGCTCTGGGACGGCGTTGTGGACCCCTGGGAATCGGATGACAGGCCGGCACAGTTTGAGGGACAGGCAAGCTTCTTGCACGGCAGAGGCCGAGAATCTGGGGATTTTAGTACCACTTCGGAATGATAATCGGAGGCAGACGCAAGAGGCTTTCGGAGGTAAGCGCAGCCTCGGGGCTCGTGGGCCAGGGACGACGGGGTACTTCCGAGGAGCTCGGAGAGGCGTTCGCTTAGAATGACCCGAAAGTCTAATTTATTGCCGGCCGGCTTGAGCGATTGGCCTGCTCGCTGCTGCACGTTGCGGAGCTTCCCTTTAGGTCTGGGGTTCAAATGTTGCCGTGGTTGTCGCCAAATAATCCCTCCAGCGGCAGCTAGGGGTAGTCTCGCGATGTTCTCCTTCATTCATTTGTAGCTGGACCCCCGAGTCACAATTGAGGTTGGCCTCCATGATGGCAACATGAGCTAAATGTCCCCTGTCTGAAAAAATGCTCTTCATGCGCTGTCCCTTGGAACATGTCAACAAAGTTGTCGATTGGCTTCTTGTCCTGCAGGACCCCGTCGTCTCTTTGGGAATTTAGGATGCTTACCAAATTGAGACCTCATTCTGCCACGAGAAGCAATCTCAAGTAGAGAGGTGTTGCACCGCGGAGATCTTGGTTGCGGTGAATCGAAGACCCAGCCACTAAGCGAGGATTTTCTAAAGCCGGAGGGGCCCGCCCGGGAATAACTGGAAATTCGCTGGAGACCCCCGGCATGGGGTGCAGGGCCGCTGCGGGTGCGGGAGACTGCAGTCCGGCTTCGCCAATGCCACTGATTTGGATGGGCCTGCTCTTTTGTTATTTCCTGTCGTATGCCCGGACAATGCTTTGTTCGTACCTCTTCACTCGTTAACACCCACAGAATCTCGGCCCCAGCTGCTTCATCATGATATGACAATCCGCGTCAGCCGGTTCGACTGTTGCTTCGCTGATCTGTCCAGGGGGTCCCTGGCGCCGTGGGCTGCCTGGTACCAACTCGCACGGTGCTGATCCGAACCGACTTGATCAGCTCTTGGATGTCTCGCTGAACAGGTTTTGAAAATTGTTGCCTTCTGGTATTTCCACTGGAACTCTTTGTCCCCGACTTGGAGCTCAAGGACTTTTCGTCATGGAGTCATACGATATTGGCGCAGAGACTGTGCCGAGTCACGGACTGGACGACACTTTGTCTCAGACAGCATCGACGAAAGAAGAGACCAATGCAGCCCGGCCAGCAGCCGAGCCAGTCATCGATGTCAACTCCATCACCGAGGAACGCCATGAAGGAAAGGGCCATTTCTGCAACAGGAGGGAGTCGGATGGGTCTGTCCTCAACTCCGAGACGCCGATCACTCATCACTACCTGACATTCCTTACGCCTCTCCCCAAGCTCAACCAGGCTCGGACGCTGCCGCCTGGTCCATCTACCAACGACCAGCCTGGGCGTCTAGAATATCCAGACTTGTCGAAATTCAGTAATCCATTGTTTTGGCCCGGCAGTCGCAAAACCGTCATGGTTGCCATTTCATGCGTTGCAACAATGGTCACGGCTTACACGGCTGGCGCATATGCTCCCATGGCAGACCTTTTGGCTGCCGACTACGGTGTCTCCAGGGTTGCTGCATTGACGGGGATCACCACGTTCTGCATGGGCTTTGCCTTGGCTCCCATGATCCTCGCGCCATATTCCGAAGTCGCTGGCCGATATCCCGTGTTCGTCGTGGCGGGGGTCTTCTTTATCGTCTTCCAGGCCGTTTGCGGTCTCGCGCCAAACTTGGCCGCCCAGCTGATCGCACAGTTCCTCAAAGGCTCTGGCGCAAGCGTCTTTAGCACAATGGTTGGCGGCGTCATTGCGGATCTATACGAGAAGGAGCAGCGCAATACTCCCATGGCTTTCTTCAGCGGCTCGGTGCTGATTGGCACTGGTCTAGGTCCGCTCGTTGCATCTCTCATGGTCCAGTACCTCGGCTCGAACTGGAAGTGGGTGGTCTGGCACCAAGTCATCCTCGACTTTGTCGTTATAGTTACCGTCGTGACATTTTTTCGCGAGAGCCGAGGCTCGGTCCTGCTATCAAAGAAAGCCAGGGCGCTCAACAAGTTCTACGACGAGCTCGAGGGAAAGGGCCACTTTGGCGTCTGGGTCGGGTCGCAAGACGACAATACTGACACCCGGACTGACCGACCGGACGCTGGAGCCAACGATCACGACCTGACCGACGTCGAGAAGGGCAGCGGTAATGTCGAAAACACCAACCCGGCAAAGCTCCAGCGTATTCGGTGGCTCGTCAAGGAGGACGAGCAACGCGCGTCCATTGTACAGATGATGAAGACATCCCTGACCCGGCCCTTCCATTTTCTGTTCACTGAGCCCATTGTGTTCTTCTTCTCCCTATGGGTCTCCTTCGCGTGGGCGGTATTGTACCTGACGTTTGCGTCCATCCCGCTCGTGTACCGCCGCGTGTACAACTTTAGCATCGCACAGGCCGGTCTCGTCTTCTTCGCAATGATAATCGGAGGCATCGTGGCCACCTGTGGCGGGCTGTACTCAGAACAGCTACTCAAGCATCCTTCATGGCAGACCAAGGGCTCTGGCGAGGGCGGCAGCGCTTTCTGGGCCTTCATGCGTCGCAAGTTCCCCGTGGAGTCGCCGGAATCGCGGCTGTACTTTACCTGCTTGACGTCCATCTTCTTGCCGATCGGACTGTTCATGTTTGGATTCTGCGCGCGGCCGGACATCCACTGGATCGTCCCGGCCATTGCCATCGTCTTTGCAAGCATGGGCATCTACTTTGTGTACCTGGCGACCTTTAACTACCTGGCCGACACGTACCAGACGTACGCCTCGTCATCGCTGGCAGCTCAGTCGTTCTGCCGAAACGTACTTGGCGGTGTTTTCCCCTTGGTCACTGGCGCTCTGTTCACGAACCTTGGCGAAGGTGCCGCTGGGGGCATCTTGGGCGGTGTCGCGACGGTTCTGACCGTCGTGCCGTGGGTTCTCGTCTTCTTTGGCGAGCCCATCCGGCAACGAAGCAAGTTCGCGGTGGTAAGTGATTTTCTTTTCCCATGTTCGACTATTTATCTGTCTCGAGAGAGCCTGTGCTGACCGTGATGTAGGCTCTGGGGCGGAAATAATGGCGGTGCGACGCGGCTACAAATGCAATGTACTAGACATTAATAGAAAATAGAACCGGCATTGTCTACCAACTCATTTGATGATGAAAAAGGCATGATTGTGGCATGGTGTTTTGTGAGATGCAGCAACGGTTGTTCTGCGTTTGGTGTAAATTGCCCTGCCAGCCATTCAAGTTGAGGCTGAGACTTAATGGATGCACTGTGTTGGGCTTCATTATGCAAGCTTGCCGTGGTCAGTTGTGCAAGCCCGAGCATGCACAAAACTCTGCGCCGCGGCCCCTCCATGACGCAGCGGCTGCAGGGTGCTGCGAGCTGCAACTTTTGGCGGGGTTTCGATAGCTTTTTTGGTTTCGCGATTCGAAGATTGTCCATACCATACTCCCAACGACACACTACGCTGCAACGACTCTCAGCACGCGACTTCGTACAGGGAGGGACTAATATCGGTATCAAAAGCAGACCCGGCATACCACACGCAAAGGACACTGCAAACATGGATGAGCTAGGTCAACTCTCCGGCCCCATCCCGGCCAACTTTGACGCCGAGAATGCGCCAAACAACGAAGACGTGAGCAGAACAGTTCCGGGTTGATTGTTATGTTTTTGGGGGCTCGCAGCCAGCTGACTCGATACCATGCAACCAGATTGAGAAGCAGTTCTCGGTGAAGGGTTAGTCGAACCGGCGTCTCCGCCATCCCCCACCCCCAGGACGACGACGACAAAAACACTAACCTCCCCATGCGCCGCGCCGCGCACACACAGCTGTTCAACACCTAGAGACATACTGGGCCATTCTCGAGAAGGTGCCCGGCTCGAAGCTGCGCCTGACCAAGATCGACGACGAGATCATGGAGCACCTCAAGAGGGACTTCCCCGAGTTCGACCCGGCCGAGACGATCAACGAGGACGAGCTCAAGAGCAAGGCCGGCAAGGAGAGGTGGCGCAAGTTCATGATGGCCTACGAGAAGCGCGTGGACGACTACAACTTTGGCACGATTGTGCGGACGTCGCCCAAGGTCGAGTACGAGGAGCACACAACCATCTTCGGTATGTACTCCTTCTTTTTCAGTACCGCCAGCCACTTTTTGGATGGGTGGTCCTTTTCCCCGTGAATGTGTGTGACGGGGATGCTGACACTTCAGGGTATAGTTCCGAGGATGCAGTTCTACGCCATCGAGATTGCGCGGAACAGGGCTGGCCTGAACGACTGGATCCACGAGAAGGCATCGGGAGCTAAGAAGTAAAATCTAGAGCAGTTCGCCCGGGCGGGCGAGGCAAGAATTTGAGAAAGCCGGATATGCCGGCTCCTCTGGTTTGACCTTCACAAAGAGAATGAAGAAAATAATCATTGACATTGGGAGACGTTATGCCCATTCGTAAATGGTGATGCTGACAACCACGTGGATTCGCGTTCAGGACGTTGAACGCTCTCTTCAGTGAACTTCACTGTGGCCAATATCATTCTGAGAATTTCCTACCCTCTAGGCCTGTGATGATTGCCACGTCCGGACCAATCGCGGAGCATCTGCCATTCTCACCACGATCTCGGCTGGCCACTTGCCAGTATGGCCAAGCAACACGCCCGCTCAACAGATGAACCCGTTCCACGAATACGCCCAGTGCTTCAGCGTCTCGTGTCAGTATATGGCTCACAAGCCATCCAGACGGCTCAGCCTTGCGTGACTACAATACTCTGTCATAATTTCCTTCCCATGTGATCATAACCTCGGGAAAATGAAAGAACTGGGAAGATTCTCCTTTGACGTCATTCCCAATTCCCAGCCGCGTGCCGGGTTCTGTCTGTCGTTACTCATAACCTCACAACAACGTCAACATGACTCGAAACCTTCTGAAAGTGCCTTGCACAAATCAACGCCGCGCTGATGACACCCACTTCCTCCAAGCCCACCAACCCACCCCGCCGACAGCCGCGGTCCTGTACACCAGGAACACGGCAATGGACACGCTGATGCGCTCATAGTACCCCGTCAGCAGGCGGTACTGCATCGAGTCTTTGCTCCCCCGCGCCGCGGCGCCGGCGGCGGAGGGGGGGCTGACGCCGATGCCCAGGCCTGAGACGCCGACGTCGTTCTTGCGGCACCGCTTGGGCTTCTTCTTTCCCTGCTTGTCTGAGGCGTCGTTGTGGCTCGTCGTGGCGGCTGGTGAGTTGGGCTCGTTAGCAGCAGCAAGGACGTTGTCCTCCTTGCTCGCGGGAGCAGCAGCCTCGGCAGATACAACCGCAGCTGCTGGCACAGCAACAACGGTATCGTCAACGGCCGTGGGATTGCCTTGACCACTCCCAACCCCAACCCCGTCCCCAGCAGCATTCGAACCTGCCGCCGTCGGCGTTGGGGGGTTAGGCTGCAGCTCCCTCGCCCAAGTACCCGCGCTCAAGTCGCCCGCATTCCCTTTCCTCAGGCTCCTCGTCAGCACCCACACGATGAACCGCAGATCCGGCACCGTGAAGGTAGGGTAAAGCCACAGCTTGACGGCATTATAGGGCGGCAACATGTCCAAGAAGTCCGCCATGACGCCCAGCGTCAGGCCCCAGAGCAGCAAGGGCGCCTGGTACGCCAGCCCGGCCTTCTTTGAAGGTGGCACGACCCCGAACGCACCCTCGAGGAAGCTCTGCACCGCAGTCTCGGCCTCGGTCTGTGGCGGCAGGAACCCGGGGATCTCCGAGGCGTGCACGCTCTCCGAGGGCGCCAGGCGGATCGCGCTGAAGCACATCTGCCCGATGCTCAGCCGGAGCAAGGACCGGGCGAGCCAGCCGTACCGTCCCGCCATCCGGCCCGAGGTGTCGACGTACTCGCGCGTGCGCAGGGCCGGGGAGAGCAGCGCGCGCAGGGGCACCCAGTGCGCCGAGGCGACCTCTGTCGGCTGGGGGCGGACGCGGGGCACGTCCGGTGAGGTGAGCAGGAAGATGTACGGGCAGAGCACCATCAGCGGGCTGGAGCCCCATGTCTGCGCGACTACGCGCTCCGGGAGCGAGCCCGCGAGGAGGCAGGTCCCCGCTGTTGTCGTGGTGGTGTCGGCGCCGCTGCTCCCGTCAGCCTGAGCAGAAGAAGAGGGAGAGGATGAGGATATCGGGGTGATGTCGAGGCCGACTTCCTCCCTGGCCTCGCGGATCGCGGCCGCCAGGTCGCTCTCGTCTTCCGGGTCGCGCTTCCCGCCGGGCAGTGCGACGTGGCCGGACCAGCGGTCGCCGACGTGCGAGGCGCGCTTGATGAAGAGGACTTCTGGGTCCCCCGCGTGGACCCATTCCTGGGCGAAGAAGTCGGCGAGGGTGGTGGGTTGTGCCAGTTGTTGCTGTTGTGATTGTGCATCTCCTCCCTGTTGAGGTGGAGAGTCATGTAGTAGAGTGGCATCTGACGATGGCGTTGCGGTGCCCGAGGCATCCTGGCCGTCGCCGTCCGAGAGCGGTGGTGGTGGCGATGATGAGGATGAGGATGACGCCTGAGAAGAAGAAGTAGCGGGATCCGGGACTGGAGAGAATGCTGGGCGAATCCGGATGACGATGGCGACGCTGGCTCGCTTCTTGCAGCCTTCGGGCGACGGGACGTGTGGTGCTGGATTTGATACCAGGAAGTCCAGGGCGCGGTGAAGGGCCCGGATGATCTGCCCCGACTCATTGGCGACCATGACTGACTGCTGGCGGTGAGCAGGGCTGAGGGAGACTGGACACGCAGAAAATGGACTGTATGACCTGATGATGAATCAGAAAAGATGTGCGCGCTGGTCAAGAAGCAAATCGTGAAAGTGTACACCAAAAAATGCCGGATCGTTCGCTCAATTTACGACTTGGGTGTAAGTTGCAGCATATAAGTCGAGAGCCGACGTTGGGAATCCACCAACTTTGGGCTGGCGGAGTGCGAATCCGAGCGCGGCTACATGTCCCGGCCGAGGCTCAACAACAAGGGCTGCTCTAGGCTACCCGGCAGGGTCCTGCGCCCGTGCCTGTGCCTTGCAGGTCATCCTCACCAACGTGTAAGCCACCTCGATTAGGAGATCCATGGGTTTACAACCGGGATGGTGTTATGACAATCTGGTTCCTCGCAATTAGCATATTCGCAGCGCCCTCAGAAGATAGATCTGGGGTCAGCAACCTGAAGCATGGCCTGGGAGTTGACTCTAATTGAGACTAGAGATCTCAACGCACAACCCACATTGCCAATTCTAAACTCACGAAATTAAACATGATCAGAAAGTCCCCATGAAACAATGGCTGTATATATGGATGCCGATTATGTTCTGAATCTAACGATGGTTCCCAAAAATAATGAACTTTGATCTCCAAGTCTCCACGAGGGTATTTACAAAACAGGTCCAACCGTGTTCAATGCCGTATGCCCACAACAACGAGAAAAGAAAGAGACACGCTCGGACCCAACCGTGCAGGTTGGTCGCCAACCACTGCACATGCCAAGCCCACGCTCATGCAATTTCTAATGCAAACATTCCAACTGCCCCAGCAGCTCCACACAACCCTCTACCACATGACCTCGCGCACATTGCGGAACAGGTTGTGCATCCGGTTCTCCTGGCCCTCGGTGAACTCCTCGTAGCATGGGTCTGAGGAGTAGTCCATGTAGTTGTGGATGGAGTCCTTGCCGGGCTTGCTCGGGCACGAGTCCTGGCTGACGGGGCAGCCGGAGGTGACCTTGGACTGGGCCGGGGTGTCGGCGACCATGTCGCCGGGGGACGTGCAGTCCTGGTCCTGGAAGACGTGGAAGAGGCCGAACCAGTGGCCGACCTCGTGGACGGCGGTGCCGCCGAGGTTGAACTGGTTGAGGTCGCCGCCGGGCATCGAGTTGCCGTCGACGTGGCAGCCGTCGAGCCACTTCTCGGACTCGGGGCGGGTGGAGTCGGGGAAGGAGCAGATGCCGAGGAGCTCAGGGGCCGAGTGGTAGAACCAGACGTGGAGGGTCTTGTAGTCGCCGACGCGGGTCTGCTTCCAGTAGGCCTCGAGGGCCTTGTTGGGAGAGCCCTCGACACCGGCGGCGCCCGAGTAGTCAAAGTCGGCGATGCGGTCGTCGGCGATGCGGGACGCGTTCTTGAGGACGAACTGGATGTCGTGGGGCGCATAGGCCGTGTTCATGACCTGGAGCTGCTTCTGCATCTGGGCGACCGACATGTAGTCGTCGGTGGCGTTGCTGGGGACGGCGGCGTGGAAGTACGTGTCGACGGTGATGGGCCGCGAGCACGAGCTGAGGCCGGCGCGGGAAAAGGTGGTGTCCTTGTTGGCAATGCGGGCAACGGCATCGTAGACGTGCTGGGGGTGCTGAGCGGCGCAGCCACGCTCCTTGGGGGCATCGCGACGCTCGATGGGCGCGGGGACGGGGAACTCGTAGTGAGCAGCGGCCAGGGGCGCCAGCGCGATGGCGGCCGCGGCGAGGTTGACGATCTGCATGGCGGAGGCGGGTGTGTGTTTGCGTGTGGAGAGTTTGAGGATGCCGCGATTGTGAGATACAAAACGGAGACCGGGCTGGAAAAGGAAGAATGGATATAGACGGCCAAGAGAGTGATGCTGGAGGAGGAGAAGAGAGGCGGCAGGCAGGCAGAGAGAAGGCTGCCGGGAGCTGAAAGCGAGCAGGCAGGCAGGACGAGATTAATGCAGCACCTGCAGACACGACGCTGGGGCGCAAGGGGCGGCCCCGCTTATCTGGGGCGGCAGGCCAGTCAGAGGGTGCGGCTGGGGCTGGGAGGTGCCGCTGGGCTGAGCATGGGCCTGTCTCGTTAAGGGGCGGCGGCATTATACTTGCACCGCTGCTGCACAGCCGCACCTTGTCGGGCCCCAGCACAGCCTGTCGCCGCTGGCGGGTGTCAGCGCTAGCGCTCATCTCGCTACGGCGTAATTACTGCTGCAGTATTACCGTCCAGTCCAGGTTGCACAGATGGGTTCACGAGCGTGTTTCGTTTCGGCCAGCACGCTCGTCGTCTGGCGCGGGGAACTGCCCAGTGACCGCAGGATGTGGTTTGTCTGGTCGTAATCGGCGTCCCTCCCATCGATGCGCATACAGAACTGTCTACACTACCTTTACTTACCTTGAGGTATTACTATGTAAAATGCCCACGGCTTCGCGGCAAGCCTGCGCCCCCCTGCAGTCTCAGGACTTTGGCCACGAGCTGAGATCTCTGGGGCCACCCGCCAGATCTATTGGCTGCCACTGGCTCGCGCCCTCCGCAAGGCCCATCTGGCATGGCCGCGCTAGGCCAGATCGGGGGTGGCCAAGGAGGCCCCGGCGCACTTTGTCCATCTACTGTACGTCCTGGGCACGCGTTGGAGCCCTTCGAGAGTTTTCCTGTCAAGCCCGCCTGGCCGTAGTCCACCCTTAAGCTGGTTAAACATCACTGCTAGAGACACGCGCCGCCTTGTGGTGCCATGTTAGAGCTGGGCACCACATGTAATGTTGCACCCGCAGTCTCAGCTCGACGCCTTCTGCTCGTCCAGGGCTCCCTCCATCCAGCGAGCGTGAACTGGGGCACTGTCGAGGTTATTATTAGCTGGTGGCTCAACCCTGCCAACCAAACGCCTGTCCCACTCCGCTCTGCTGCCTGTCCAGGGCTAGCGCCAGCCCTGCCGCCACTGAGATCCGCATCCAGTCCATCGTACCTTCCATCGAATGAGCTGTCGCACGGTAGACCCTCAACGACTAGACAAGACATATAGCCAGACTGTTCCTATCCATGAATATATGCCCAGGTCCCCTGGAGCCAGCAGATCGAGAGTGGCCCAATGTGGCCCGTTCAGAGCTGCCAATTGCCTGTTCAGAGCAACAAATTGTCTCGGTTCGGATGGGTGACTTGTCGTAATGATTCACCCACGCACAAAGCTGCGTATCAATTACCAGTAGTGCAGTATGCGGGAGCCGGCCTGGTCCTCAGCGCCCGTGATCAACAGAGCACAAGTCGCCGGTGCTGCTGGTGTTTTGCCTGGGCGGACGACTGGCTGACTGACGAATGACTTCTTCTGCCAAAAAAAAAAATAGTGAAAGCGGGGTCAGATCCAAAGAGACCCATCTTGGAGCAATGCCGCTCAGCAACGTGAGTGAGTGCAGCAATTGCAAGAAGAGGTTGTTTCTTCAACGGCCACGCTCAAGAGTCGGGCAAAGCTACTATTACAGATCCAGGCGACCACTCTTGCTAGGCACGGCGTTACACATGTGAGGAACGAGCAGAAAACCTTCGGATGCACAGTCGTACACATCCAGTTCGAGAGCTCAATAGTGGGTAGACCGCTTCTGTGGGCTGCTGGGTCGTACGGGGCGATCTCCTCTGTGATGGGTGTCGCTTGTTGTTTTGAGCCCGAGACCCTAGAGCTAGGTGGCGACTGACTGTGTCTGCACCAGCGTTTGTTGCAGATCACGGCCGTACTCAACTACGTATCTCGGACTGCTTTCTCGCCTCATGCTAGCCTTTGAGACTGCTATGGCGGCCCTCGAAGGCACTCGAAGGCACTCATGTTATCCGGACATCAACGCACTGTCGAGGGCTTGTCGGTGCTTTGGATCCCCCCTCAGCCTCTGTCCTCCGTGATGTAGATTTCCTTGCAGTGAACAGCAGAGCGCTAATTAGGATGCTACAGGGGATCTCTCGTCTGGCAGAGCTAGGCACCGGACCAAGTCGGGTGGTTTCTCACCGATGCCGGATCAAAAGGTGGCCAAGGGACTCGGTCGGCAAGCACCCGACTCCGCACGCCACTCCCGCGGGTCCGTCCTTCCCCAGTTCCCCACACAGCAACTTCCCCGCAACTCCATGCTTGACCCCCCGTCGCCCGACTGTCGGCCAACCAGGCCTTGGCACCGTCGTCGGGCTCGGGACAAATGCCCACGCAGTCGTCCGAGAGCGTTTCCCGTCTGTTGCTGGAGTGGCTGGCTGGGATATATAAGCTTGCGTGCATTGGATAAGCTTAAGCGGGCGGCGTGCAGGTGGCATCCTTTGTTAGTCCACCCACTTCGGAAACGGGCGTCAAGCCATCTTCTTGACAAACCCTTTCGTTCCGCTCGCCCACGCAGAGAACATTTGTTTCAGACCTGTATCGTCTCTTCAGCTATCGTCAGTGCCTGCAAGCCATGGCTGACACGAAAACCTCCGTCTCGCTCTGCGACGACGCCGAGGCAGACAAGCAGCACTCCTACCCGAACAAGGACCACAGCCGTCTGCCACCAGCAGTCGACGCAGCCCTGGAGAAGCGCGTTGTCCGCAAGGTCGACTTGCGCCTGCTACCCATGCTCGGCGCGTTGTACACCATCGCCATGATTGACCGCAGCAACATCTCCGTCGCCCGGATATCGGGGCTCGACGACGACGTCGGGCTCGCGCAGGGGAACCGGGCATCGATCGCCCTTCTCGTTTTCTTCATCGGCTACATGTTGTTTGAACTGCCGTCGAACATGATCATTCATCGTGTTGGCGCTGCGAACTGGATATCTTTCATCGTCTTTAGCTGGGGGCTAGTGACGATAGGAATTGGGTTCTTGAACGATTGGATCAGCTTGGCTGTGCTGCGGGCCATCCTGGGTGCTTTCGAGGCTGGCTTCTATCCCGGGTAAGTGGAGACCAAGCCAGGAAAGTCTAGAATCGTTGAATTGACCTTTCGTTAGATGTATCTATCTGATCGGGTCGTGGTACCGAAAATTCGAGGTGAGTATCCCGAAACAAGCTAGCCAGAACGGATGAAACCATCTCGGAAACCCCGACAGGAGATATTCTTGCAAGAAAATACTCAACAAGCTAATCACCTCCGTAGGTCCAGAAGCGCATGGCCATCTTCTTCATGACCGGCTCCGCCCTCTCCGCCTTTGCCAACATCCTCGCGCTGGGCCTGGTCCAGATCTCCCGCGTCCACCACTACAAAGGCTGGCGGTGGATCTACATCATCGAGGGCGCCCTGACGTGCCTCCTCGCGGTCGTCGCGTGGTTCGTCGTCGTCGACTTCCCGGACTCGCACCGCAACAAGTTCCTCTCGGCCGAGGAGAAGCAGCTCGTGCTCGCGCGCCTGGCCATCGACCGCGGCGGCGTCGAGGAGACGCGGGAAAAGGTCACGGCAAAAATCGTCGGGCAGACGCTCGCGGACTGGAAGGTCTGGGCGTTTTCGTTGATGTACATGGCTGGTGCTGTTGGCGGTAAGGTTTCTCCTGCTTCCCATTTAGAGCAGCATTACCTTGACTCCTCCCTCTGTACAAGTCGTACTGACACCCCGGAAAAAAACCAAAAGTCTACGCCTTCCTCTTCTTCCTCCCGATCATCCTCCAGAACGGGATGGGCTTCTCCCGCGAACTCGCCTTCATCCTCTCCGCCCCGCCCGCGCTCTTCTCCGTCATCGAGGCCCTCGCCGTGTCCTGGCTCGCAGACAAGTACCGCCTGCGGGGGCCTTTTGTCATCTTCCAAGGGCTCGTCGGCATCGTGGGCCTGTGCATGACGGGGTTCCTCCACAGCCCGGCCCCACGCTACGTCGGCACGTTCCTGGGCCAGGCCGGGGTCAACGGCCTCGTCGTCACCACGCTGGCCTGGCAGTCGAACAACCTCCGCGGGGACGCCCAGCGCGCGACGGCCACGGCCGTCATGGTCACCCTGAGCGGGATCGGCGGGATTTACTCGTCGCTGGTGTTTCGGCAGCAGGTTAGTTAGTCCCACTAGAGCCCCCCCCCCTTTTCGCAAATACGAGTTGAATTCATCCCTGGGTGAAGTTTGACGGGTTTGAGAGTCGATTGATCTTCAGAGAACTGACATCGCCGCCGTATGTGCAACGGGGATAAAAAACAGGACGCCCCGAATTACTTCCCCGGCATCATGGCCGTCATGGCCATCTGCATCGCCGCCGTGGTCGCGGCGTCCGTGTCGATCCTGGTGCTCCGCCGGCAGAACAAGCAGGCGGACGAGGGGAAACGGGTCATTGACGGAATGGAGGGGTATCGCTGGACGATTTGAGAGACGTTTTTGAGACTTTGTGAGGGAAACGCTTCAAAGCAGTGGATAAAGTCACAATAAGGAGACTGGTTGGAGGATAAGAGGAAGAACAAAGAGACGTCCTTTCTCCCTTGGATGTAAAAGCCGTCAAAGGAAGTAAATTCTTGTTCTTGGTCTCCGTCAAATCTATCCTAAAAATCATATCGCCTCTACAGACCAGAAGGCTCGCGAAGGAGCCTCGCACAAACTCATACCCAGGATCAAATATATGCCTCTCCCCTGCGATTCATCTCATCACGGCATGGAGAAAGCTCTTGGCTTGTTATTGCCCAACGAAGACACTGAGAGTGTTCGGTACCTCAACTTTGGTGTCGGCCGTGACCGGGTCCCGGATACAGCTATATGGGCGTCGTCATTCCGATACATGATGCAGGAACCTAAGCCTAAGAATAAATAAGCACAGCAGTGCATCTATACGGCTAAGAATGAGAGAAATTGCATGACTCAAGTTTTGATAGAGCCTGCTTATCCTCTCTCTTACTCTACTGGGTTTTCCTGGCTTCTCTTTTTTTTTCCTTTTTTTTTTCTTCCCCTGTGGTCTTGGTCTAGCCACTTCCTCATGCTTTCAAATCCACACAAGTATCTCGTTACGCAATCCATGATCCTTTTCTCAACGGAATAGTTCATTACCAAACGATTCAACAGCGGTAGACGACAGCTGACATATCATTGAAAAAACAATATATATCAGGTACTGTAAATACAAGCCGTAACCAAAGTACGAGTGTCCAAGAACCGGTTTGCGACGGGCATTCTCCCGATCGCCCATTCTCCTCGTTTCAGGAAAGACCCTACCTCGCGCACTACTCCGTTTAAACTTACAAGAACAATCGGCAACAAACTCTTCGCGAAAAACATGAATCACTCATCACGGCGAGAAACCAAGTGAACCTCACATGACGAGTTCCAGAATAAAAATATGCTTCAAGTATAACGCCTCGCGCGATTATGATTGTTCAGTTGTAAATGTCTGTCTGTCTCTCTGTGTGTGTGCGTTGTCTCCCTCGCCCTTTTGGTAAAAGTACACTTGAGTGAAATTAGAAACCTCGGCACAAAAAATAAGCGCCCGGTCTCAAGAAAAAACGCGATGGAAAAACTCCTGTCTGTTCTTTGCGGATATGCTATTTTGAGGAATTTCAGGAGACACTTGCTCTCGACGTCTCCTGCCTGAGATACCTCCCCAAGCACCATTTCACCACATTCCAAACTCCCAATGACTCAAGTGGTGCCTGACAATCAGTCATCGTCGTCGTACCGCGGAGCGGCCGGGGTCTCGGCCGAGTAGGCGCCTGGCGTAGGCGCGCCGTAGTATCCGCTTGCTGCTGGCGTAGGCGCAGCATCCGCGGCTGGCGTCGGTGCAGAGTCAGCGCCCCAGCCGCCACCCCAACCACCGCCCGGCGTGGGCGCGTTCAAAGCAGCACCAGGAGTTGGTGCACCGTAGCCACCAGGTGTGGGGGCGTCCATGGGTCCAGGTGTCGGTCCTCCCAGCAGAGCGCCTGGCGTCGGGGCATCGTAGCCGCTGTCCCGAGGAGTGTAGCCCCAAGTGTCATTACCACTTGCGCCAGGCGTCGCTGCGGAAGCTCCGTACGGCGTCTTTGAACCTCCCCACGCATCACCACTGGCGCCATTGTATGCGGGCGTCCTTGAGCCGACTCCGAAGTGGTCGCCTGGCGCAGGCGTCTTTGCACCAGACTGCCAAGCCGGCGTCCGGCTACCTGATCCGTACGACGTCCTGCTTCCATCATATGGGTTGACAGTTCGCGAGCCATCGGCCCAGGCTGGTGTTCGGCCTCCATCGCCGCCCTTGCTCCATGCAGGCGTGCGACCGCCGCCTCCAGATGGTGTCTTCCACGCCGGCGTTCTGGCAGAGGAAGCTCCCATGGGTGTACGGCCTCCACCATTTTGCCAATCGGGAGCGCGGTTGACCTGGCCAGGCGGGCCCATGCCACCAGGACGACGACTATCATAGTTCTTGACTTCCCGTCCAGTAAATGTGTCGCGAACTGTGATGTCGGTCTTGGGCACGTTGATGATCTTGCTCTTGGTGTGCAGCTCGACGCGGGCGTGGGTGTCCGTGGTGTCTTTGACACGGCCGAGCAGACCCTTCCAGCCACCTTTTCTTATTGTCACGGTCTGTCCGATCAGCCTGTCACGGCCGAGCTGAACCTTTGGTGGGGGCATATTGCCCTTGTTGCCATGGAGCTTCATGGCAGGATTCATGGCCGACAAGTCTGGGCCACCGGCCGTTGCATTGACACGACCACCCTTGGCGGAAATGGTCGCTACGTTGCTTGTCCGCGAGACAAAAATACCAGCGTTCTCGTTCGTAGCATGAGTATGACAGAACACAAACGTGCGGTGAATGTGCAGGATCTTTCCTTGCCTGCCCATGCCGCCAGACTCCTTGACCACATCGTCGGGACGAATTTCGGAGCCGTTGCGATCGGCTGCAACAGCAAGTTTCCGTCGTGGCAGCTTGTTAGCGATCTGGGAGGGCATGACCTGGCGAGTGTCACCGTTCTGATCCAGCACGACGAGTGACTCGCGGTCGACCTTGACGATACAGCCAACCGTAGTCGGGTCAAGCTGCACCAGATCGAGAAGGGCATATTGACCCAGCGAACCTTGGCCACCAATATCACTGGCCTCGCGCAAGTCCTTGCTAAAGACCGTGATTTCCGTAGTTGTCTGGTCGGTCAAGAGGGTCACGCGGTCTTCTGAGATCTTGACGACCATACCGACCTCGTCACGGTACTTGCTGCCACCAATGACCTTGACGTGGTCTCCGATCCGGAAGCGCTTTCGCAAGCCCTTGGTTGGGACCTCAATGACCTGACCTCTCAGGTCGCCCTCGCTGACCTCCATAGTCACAATGTCGGCCTGGACGTTGGTTGCTTTACCGACGACGCCCTTTTGCTCTCCTTCGTACACCTCCACGACATCACCAGGCAGGTAGGTCACATTCGATGTGCTTTCCTTCAAGCTTGCCGCGATAGACTTGAGGTCGATGATCTCGGCACCATCCTGGCCTTCCGAGGCGAACTTCTGGATCTCCTCCAATGTCGGATTTACGTCCTTGATCGTCAGGAGCTGGATCTTGATGTCCTTGACCTGGTAGCCGTTCTCAAAGTCGTCTCCCATGTATGAGAAGTTGCCAGTGACGGCATTGCCAGTCAGGAAACGAGGATTCCGCTTGCGCGCCTCTGCCTCGCTGAAGAGTCTCTGAGGCGGGCGTGGACCAGCCACGGCTCGCTTCCGCTTCTTGTCGTCAAGCATGTTCGCTGGGGTCTCGTCGCGCACACCGTAGTCGAGTCTGGGAATGAACCGTACACGAGCCTCGAGGCCGTTCTCGGTGACGTCCATGACCTGGGCGAGATCGCCGGCGTTCTTCGGGGGCCGCTTCAGGCGTACCCACGTGCCGGGCTCGAGGGACGGAGTCTTCTGCACCCTTAGCAGATCAGGCATCTCCTTGATGTCGACCAGCAAGAGCTTTGTTCGGGGATACACGTTGAGCATACCCTCCAGAGCCTTCAGAATGTCCGTCTGGCGCTGCGCTTCGACATAGATCAGGCCCTTCATGACAGAGTTCGGTCCACCGCGCTCAAAGGCCGCCGTAATGCCAAGCTCGTCCTTGGTGCCCATCTTCTCCTCCATCTTCTTGATGATGTTGAAGACGACCTCGCGTTCCTTGCCTTCTTTACAACGGACACCCCAGATGCTGGGGTCGTCGACGCTGGGGAGCAACAGCCGCTGGGGGACAATGTTGGCCTCCGCCATGCCACCCTCGCGGCGGCGGTTACCATATTTACGCTGGAACTCGTTGGCCTCGGCCTCGATCTCCTCGGCAGTAATGGCGCTTCGCTGCATATCGAGTTGTCGGTGGCGTCGATCGTCGTCGAACCGTCCCTGCTCCGCGAGCTCGGGCTCATCGTGCTCGATGAAGCCCTCGACCTCCTCGGCAGCCTCGTCATCGTCTTCGCCCTCGTCCTCATCGTCGACTTCGGCTTCGATATCGAAGAAGGCATTGCGCTTGTCCTTGCGGCGCTTGCGTCGGTGGCCCTAAACATAGTGGCGCATCGGTGTCAGTTTCAACTTGCGATTGTACAGAGCCGTGGCGCCGAGCCCAATGCTGATTGAAAGCATCTTGCCGTGGCGCAAAGGATGCCATGGCGGCAGACATACCTGTACCTCCTCATCTTCGTCATCTTCGTCATCCTCGTCATCATCATCGCCACCACCGCCGCCCTCATCGTCGTCCTCGTCCTCGTCTATTTGGTCATCGTCATCGTCGTCGTTGGCAGCAGGCTTCCGAGCTGGCGAGGGCGATTTCCTCGAGCGCTTCGGCGAGTCATCCTGGACTTCATCTCCCTCGTCGTCGCTGTAGTTGGCAGGCGCCGGGTTGAAGTCTTCCTCGTCCTCCGAGTCGGAGTGGTCGCGCCGGTCGCTCATTGTCGCGGCGAGAACGAGGGCTCCCTCGCCGTGCACAGGCCTTTGGGTCTGGGGGGAGGGAAGCTGGCCTGTTCTTGGCGGAGGAATTGGGAACAAGCCAAGTCTGTCGTGGATGAGGCTTGACGGCAGCGCCTGAGGAGCTGGTGATTGCTGATGTGGGAGGAGCTGGGATGAAGGTGGAAAGGGAAAGGGCGCAGAAGGTCAGAGGTCTCGGCCAGCAAGCTTTCTTGATGGCTTGACTGTCGCGCCGTGCAACGTGCTCAGACAATAAATGGGTCGAAAGGGCGACGCCGATGCAGGATTACCTCAGCCGCGACTGGGGTCCCCTGGTCACTGCGAGTGCTGAGTCGTGCTGAACAGTGGCAGCCACATAGTGGCGCGGGTCTGCTGCTGAGCAGCGGGCCACCTTGTAATTTGTGGCTGGTGCTGCTGGACGATATTAGGGACGGGGTCTCCGCACTGTCTGGCGCCGCCCGGCCCCAACTTACACCAAAGTGGATACAACCTCGGCCGATGGTGCCCTCCACTGCCTCCGGGAGACATATTCCAGGTTGATATTCCTCTTCGAAGGGACACGGAAACAATCGACTATCCACAAACAGTCTGAGAAATTCAGATCTGCCGATCTTTATGACTTGAAATCATTGTGTTGCCCAAATCAGTATGAAAGCCGTCGTCATCAACAACTTTGTTGATGTAAGTGCCAGTTTCAACTCCGAGCAGTTCCCAGTGTCACACCTTGAAGCAATATTGACGCTGACTACAACCGGACAAGAGCTACGATGACGTAAAAGTCAGTGAGGTGCCCAGACCGGTGCCCAACGACGATGAAGTTCTTATCCAAGTCCACGCTGCTGGTGTCAACTTCGTAGACACGCTCTATGTAAGTCGAAACCCGACATATCTCTTCATCAAAAACAAACCACTTGGTCTTCATAAACACCAGATATGCCTCATATATGCAAACAACACCCCGAGTTCTTTCTGCTAATATCAACGGATTGTAAAGGCAAGAGGCAAGCACCAAAATAACCTCCGCCACATGAAACCACCATTCACGTTGGGCCTCGAGTTCTCCGGCACAATGATCTCCGTGCCAAAATCCCTCACCACCACATTCTCCCCAGGCGACCGGGTCCTGGGTGACTTCTCGGGCGCCTACGCCGAGTACATCCTCTACCCAGCCTCCTCTCTAGCTTCATCCTCCCTGCACCGGGTCCCGGACTCCTGGTCCTTTGCAGACGCCGCCGGTCTCGCGGCCACACTGCCCGTGAGCTACGGCGCGCTCGACTCTGCGGGAGGCCTGAAGCCCGGACAGACGGTCCTTGTCCATGCCGCGGCGGGCGGATTGGGGTTGGCAGCCGTGCAGATTGCCTCCGCGCTGGGATGCACGGTCATTGGCACCGCCGGGTCGGCGGAGAAGTGCCGCGTCGCCGAGTCATTCGGGGCGAGGAAGTGTGTCGACTACACGGCGAATCCAAAGTGGTGGGAGGAAGTGCTCGCGCTTACCCGCGGCGCCGGCGTGGATGTCGTCTTCGACAGCGTCGGACTCGTGGACCAGAGCCTCAAGTGTGTCGCGCACCGCGGGAAGGTTCTCGTCGTCGGATTCGCGGGGCGCGAGGGGAACATGGAGGGCGTCAAGATGAACAAGGTGCTGCTGAAGCAAGTCTCGATCATAGGATATGTGAGCTTTTCCTTCCATCCCTGGGTGTAGTTCCCTTCCACCCGTGCTTCTGCCATGTCAAACACAGGACCAAGGTTTTAAGTCAATGGGTGTGCAAATGCTGACACCTCTTCAGCGATACGGAGAGTCCCTCCGTCGATACCCAGAAGAGAAAGCAAAGATCTGGTCCCAACTATGGCCTCTGATCAATAGCGGCAAGATTAGACCGGCAGTCTACACTGATCGCGAGTACCGCGGTCTTGCAAGTGTCCCACAGGCATTGAAAGATATTGCCAGCCGCAGAGTCTGGGGTAAAGCAGTAATTCAGGTACATCCCAACAGCGACGCAGCTTTTGTAGCGGCCAGCAATGGGGACCGTCGCGGTCGGAGTGATAGTGGCCACGATCCAGAGCGGGAAAAGGGGCAAAAAGCGAAATTATGACGAGCGAGGGCTAGTCGCCAAGCTGCTGGCGACATGCCATCCCAACAAGATCAACACAAGCATACCCCAACTTCTCCCTTGACGTGTTTCATTTCGCCTGCTATAATCTAATTTTCATGCCGTGCTTTTGTGGCCCTTTCGAAAATTGCCTCTCCAGAACTCACCGCGGTCTCTCGTGCTATACCATAACGCCGTGCTATGAAAATGCATGTATCAGGAGTGACAGGCTTACGCGTCGTCGATCAATCCGCAACTTCACGAGCTGGTCTTGCCGCTTGACTATACTCTCAGGCCTCCTATATCTTGACTCCCCACACTCCCCGACCGCCACTCACACCAAGCCAGTCCCCGGCATCGCCATTGGCAAGATGAGGCGCCCAGCCAACGTTGCCCACCTCGTAGTCGCACTGCCAGCTGGCCACTGGGGACAGATGCTTGTCCGTAGACCCAGGGGTGCCATTCGTACCACCACCGGTCATAGGTGTGCTGTTCATGAGGTCCCATAGCAGGACTTGGCTGTCATCGCCACCAGATGCAAGCAGGCCACGTCTGTTTGGTGACCATTCCACCGAGTTGACGTTACCACCATGCCCACGCAGCTCGAGCAGAGCCTGACCGGGCTGCCGCACGTCGAGAATCCGGATGATGTTTGTCTCGGCCGCGAATGTAGCGAGAAGATGAGTATCGTGCGGCGAGGTGGCCAGACGAAGCAGAGGCGGCGCGTTGGACATGGTCTGTTGCGCCAGGGTAGGACTGATCCTTCCACCATTGGCATCTCAAGTGCATATCATGTTAGATTATAGGAAAGACACAATCGAAAGGGAGTGTCTGACTTACCTCTGTCGTCCTTGGCCGTTGGTTCGTAGATGATGGTGCTGTGCTCCAAACTGCGGAGGTCGAACATACGTACACTGCCGTCTTGCCCACAGCTGACAAAGACATCCACGCTATGCGCACAGAACCGAACATCATAGACTTCTTTGTCGTGGGCAATCAGCTGCGTCTTGGCTGTGAGGGAGGGAATGTCCCAGATGGTGCAGGTCGTATCAATGCTTGATGTGATAATCAAGCTCGGAGAGACGGTGTTCCAGTCCAGAGACGTCAGGGGAGCAGTGTGATCAGGTGTTTTCGAGTTCGACAGCAAAGCCAAAGGCGTCAGCTTTGTCGTTGCTGCGTTTGTCGCAGCCTTGTTGTTGATCGAGTTCGAGTACGAGGCCTGGCCGTCTGAAGGGAGGGACCACAGCCTCAGGTGGTCGCCAGAGGTCGCTAGCAGGTCTGTCGTCTGCTTTGTTGACGAAGGAGGTTCCCATAACAGGCGAGTCACTGGGTAGGAGTGGGTGGCTTCCGCAACCTTTGTGAACTCGAGGCTGTACTTGGACGAGCCGGGCGTGTAGAGTTCAGGTGGAGTGCTGACGACTTGGGTATCGAGGATTTGAATCTGTTGTTACAGTCAGCTTTGGTAAATAAAACTGGCGACTCCAGTCAGCGAAAGCCCTGAACCTACAAAGTTGTGTCCATCTTCGAGGTAGCTTCCGATGGCAACTTTCCCGGCGCCTTTGCCCTGCGGCGCCCACTTGCACCAGTCGAAGGCGTACAGGGCCCAAGGCGCCACATAGTTGCTCGCTGATGGTTGGACATTGGCAAGCTCGTATCCGGAAGTGCCCTGAGGCCCATCTGACAAGCTCGAGTCTGCGCGGGGTCGAATGTCGGCGAGTCCCAAGGGCGCATTGGTGATGTTCCGCTGAGAACCTGGAGTGCCGTGTTTGGGATCGGGGGGCGACATGTACTGCGACGGTCCAGCCATCGAGGAGCCGCCAGGGGTCGTGGGCGCGTAGGGCGAGTAGCCACCAGAAGCAGGGCCGTCGTAACCAGCGGCCGGGCTGGAGCGCGAGTAGCTATGGGACATGTTGAGTTGCGGCGGCTTGGAGGGCGAGGTGTACTCGTTCGGAGACATGGACTGGTGCTGGATGGAGCCCGACATGGTGGGCAGGGAGGGAGCAGTGTTGGCGGATGCGGCCGACGGTCGGGCGCCGGCACTTAGGCCTCCAGCGGGTTGTAAGACATTGGGGACGTTGGAGCCGCCTTGCTGATGATGGTAAGGCGAGCCGCCAGCCTGGGCAGAAGCCGGGTCGAGCTTGCCGTAGTCCCTGGCACCCTGAGCCCCGGGCGACATGTGCAGCTCGTCGTGCTGGCCCGAGTATGTGTTGGTCCTCCGCGGGATGCCGTACTGGCCACTCTGCCCTGGGGGATTCATGGCCGCGGTGCTGGGTTGGCGAAGGAGGTGTGGCGGTCGTTATCGTGAGGGCGGCGAGAGGGGCGCGTGGGCAGGCTGGGCGCGAGAGACACACGGAGAAGCGGGCGGAACAGCGCAGCTGGTTGTGCCTGAACCAATGCTGGCAGCGTGGCTGACGAGACCGACGGGCAGCAAGCGACTGGGAGCGAGCACTGAGACGGTACGAGATTGGTGTGGACAAGGGCGACTCAAAGTCTGCTGTCCTGCATGCGAAGGCAGGATGCTGGCTTGGAGGCTGGGACAGGCGAAGAGGGGGAAGCGCGGCGGGCTGAGCCGCAAGTGGGCACCAGCGGCGATTGGGCGTTGATGCTCGAGTGCTTGCGGCGCCCAAAGAGCTCGCCAGCCCGCCACCCAGCCAGTCCAGGGTCGCATTGGAGACAAACTAGACGCCGCCGTTGACTTGGTCAGGGCGCATCTGTGTGGAAGCAGATAATTCTAGGCGGCGCTTTGACGGGCACACGCACGTCGCCTGCCATAGAATACAAATGGATAGCACCTTGATTCCTCACTTCTTGTGACTAGGTTTCCCATCGACGCAGCTTTGACCTCACCAGCCTTGGCAGTATGAGTTGCAGAGAAGCCAAAACTGTCTGATATCACGTATCGATCAGCAAGGCAACCATTTGCCCTAATGGATGCAGCAATGACTGGTGCTGATGTGCGGTGGTCTGCTGCATGGTGTGTGGTGCTGCAGCGAGGCATATCATTGCCCCGCGAACTGCCTCGCAGCAATGCAATGGGAGGGCGGGCTCCAAAACCCCACTGCCTGGCGCCCGGCTTCCCGCGGAAGGAACGAGTCAATCAATGAAGTGTCTGTCCGCTGTTGCCCGCCCGCCTTCTGCCATCAATTCTTTGAGACGTCGACAGATACCTCAGAGATAGACAGATCCAGCTATCTACATGATAAAGCCGATCCAGTTGGCCCTGCTCTGAGTTGCCGCCGCCGCTGCTTGGACAAGATCCTGTCGCAATCCGCGTCAGAGGTAAGACGTCATCCGATGCTGCCACGGCTGGCGCCACCCCTTGCCTTGCGTGACCTGCCTGCCCAGAGCCGAGGAAGTTGCACGCCGTTGCGGAGCGGCGACGCCCAGAGCATGACTCCGCAGCTTCCTGATATATTACCCTCAGTCCCCTAGTGACATCCAGTGCTGAACAGCTTACGCCTAATCCCCAATCTCCATCCAAAGCTCATTCGTAAGATAATTCGCAACCCAGGAGCCGAGTTCCTGCTCGCCAGGGCCAACGCTACCAGCCATGGCCTCTCCCAAGGGCCGCCCGTCCCTCCTGCTGCTCCCTGCGCCGCCTAATCCGGCCGACCGGCTAGCTCTCAATGCGGCGTACCGGCCGCCCCTCACATCCGCGATCACCAAACTCCAGAACAAACAGGCTGGTGCAACGCTTGTCATCGTCGTCGCAGCACCTTTTCTGTTACCAGGTGCTTCTTCGGGCGAGAGCACAGTGTCGTGGGCTGACGCGCAGCACCTCGTGGCCGGCCTCTACAGCATTATCTCTGTCATCTGTGCAAAACACGATATCGCGACCGAGGTCAATGCCGGCCCAGGATCTGTGGATGCCCGTGTGATTCTCGTGGACCATGAAGTGGGCAGCCAGCATGGCCAGGCCAAACCCTTCATCAGGCACAATGGAACCATAGTCACGGACCTTGAGACGTTTGCCGCAACGCACCATTCCTGGGATCGCATCTTCCATGTGGACAACGAGCAGGGCTACGAGCTGCTCAGCTCCTTCCAACGCTTAGCTGAGGGTCGCAAAACCTTGCGACAGGACCAGCTAGTCGTAATCGAAGGAGGTGTCACGTTGAATCTACAGGCTGCCCAGGCTGAAAGGACGGCCCCGCAGACCAAGACGGTGCCAATTGTCTGTCTCGGGGGCACCTTCGACCACCTGCATCCAGGCCACAAGTTACTGCTAACGGCGGCTGTCTTCCTGCTTAAGGTCCCTCGACAGCAATCGTCGAAGCCGTGTCGCTTCATCGTGGGCATCACGGGAGACGAGCTTCTCAAGCAGAAGAAGTACGCCGAGTTTGTGCAGTCTTGGGACCTTCGGGCGACCCATGTTCTCAAGTTTCTCAACTCGCTCCTGCAAGTATCAGACGACGGCGACCCAGAAACGGAAGAGCCCAAAACGATCGCCGAGGATGGCCGCATGACTGGCATCTTCCGCAATGGCACGATCGAGGTTGAATGTGTCATGATTCAGGACGCTTTTGGGCCCACCACACGCCAGCAGGAAATGGACGTGCTCGTTGTTTCTGGGGAGACGAGGGCAGGAGGTAATGCGGTCAACACGGAGCGCCAAAAGCTTGGCTGGCATCCTCTAGAAATCTTCGAGGTTGATGTGCTCGACGCGGAAGAAATCAGTGACACACCCACAAAGACTGAAGATTATTCCACCAAGATCAGCAGCACGGCTATCCGGAGGAAAAAGGCCGAGTCTCGGATTTGAAGAAATGGCGATAGCGCAATGATACATATTGCCTGGAAGTTGCGAGCGCTCCGCAAACACAATTGTCCGTCCCCTGCCATGTAACTGCTAGGCCGGCTTGCGATCGTAACAAGAGGATTGGGCATGTGTTGAGGTTGTCGCGAGCGGTCCCAGGAGTTCCGCCATGCCTGTTACTTCCGCTCCCTGTCGAGGACAAGAGTTATGAGCCATATCGCATTCGTCTTGGCGACTAATGCTCTGGGCGGGTGACGGATCTGATGAAATATGACAACGAGCCTGCGGAAATAGCCTTCGTTGCCGGCTTCCAACAAGCTAGGAGGTGTTGGAGAAGATCTAGCTAACAAAGCCGTCGTGCAATGGGGCGATAGCTGTCCATGATACCCAAATTCTGCAGCATGACACAGCTGCTTCGGCGAACCACCACATCGAAGAACCATGTGTGCGTCTGCAATCTTCTCCTGAGCGACGGTTCATTGTTCGCCAAGTCTCTCTCGCGATGCGGTCCCTAGTTTTCAAACACGAGCATTTTTATTCTTATTTTGTCAAGGATGCTCACACCTTAATACTATATGATGGGTATTCATACATATATCCCAATCAGCTCAACGCACTGATTTCAGCACGATGATCAGGTAGTCAAATGACACGATGGGTGCATCGTTGTTTAGCCAACCCGAGTGGTATCACCATGCAGACCCCAAATCCATTTCCATACCTTCCATTCAACGATAAAACACCGCCAAGTCCCCCGTCGGCGCCTGCAGCCTCTTAAGCCTCTCCATAATCTCGGCGTCTGTCAGGTTCTGCTCCGTGATGATCTGGTCGAAGCTGTGACACCCGTCCGTGTACTTTTGCAGCGGGTCGCCCATGCGGAAGTTTGCCGACTGCTGCTGGGACTGCTTCTGCCGCTCCTGCTGCTTCTGGAGCTGCGAGGACCGGCGCCTCGTCAACGGCGCACCGCTCTCCCCTTCTGCTCCTCCTCCTCCTTCCCCCCTCGCGGAGATGGACCCGTGGCGGAACTGCCCCTGCGGGTCCATGGCGGCAGTGTCCTCGTCATTCATGTCGACATCATCCGGGTCCACGGCGGTGACATTGTCCGCATACACGTCCTCCTGCATGTTCCCGTGCCCGGAGAGGTCGGTGGCGGCGGCGGCGGGGCGGGCCTGGCCCGAGGCGAGCATGGCGAGGTACTGCTTGGAGACGACGTACTTGTGCACGCGGTACAGCAGGCCCTTGATGACGCCGAACTGGACGAGGCGGCGGACGTCGATGTGCGCGAGCACGTCGAACCCGGCGTCGTGGTGCAGCTTGATCCACTCCATCACGCTGCGGCCGACGCAGAAGGTTGTGAGCAGGCGGATGAGCTGGTAGTTGGACACCTTGCCTGAGAAGGGGCCGGTGGTGGTGGTGGGCGGTCGGTTTGCTGAGGAGGAGGCGGAGGAGGAGGATGTGTTTCTGATTTGGTGAGGGGAGGTGGTCGATGCCTCTCCTCTTGTGGATGATGTTTGTGCTTGGCCATGTTGTTGCGATTTCCCGCCGGTTGAGCGAGTCGGGGTCTCTGGGGACGACTCCGGGATGGCGGAGCTGCTACCACCGCCGCCGCTTCTGCTGCCGGACCCGGTCGTGCCGGGGCGCTCGAGGGAGGACAGGCACACGTAGTTTGCGCACTCCTCGACAATATCGTCGCGGTTCGCAATGAAGTCGTGGATCCCCGGCCTCGGGGCGTAGCAGCTGCCAAAGAAGAACATGTCGAGCAGCAGGATTGTGTCGTAGTAGAGCAGGTGCTGCAGCGCTGTCTGAGTCAGCGGCAGGGACACATCGGCCAGCCAGGCAATCCGGCGGACGTCATTCACCCCGTCGACAAAGGGGATGATCTTCTGTAGGGTAAGATCCCACGTTGGGTCTACAAGGTCGGCCAGCTTCATCTTGGGCACAGGGACGTGCCAGCCCTTGACTGGAGCGGGTTTGGGGTGGTGGGGGAAGAGCTTCATGTTGAGCGTGTTGACGTCGTCTTGGTATACTGTTAGCACGCACTAGTTTTGGGACAACGAGTCTCTGAGTCTACGCACCAACAGGAATCATGCACTCTCCGTAGTTGTTCAGGTCCTCCTTGACAATCTCCAGCAGGCTCTCGATGGGTCGCCGCCCGCTGTCCGTCACGACAGCACCCTCGCCGTCGGCCGTGTTGACGGCAGAGCTGAGATAGCCCGTCTGCCTTTCCATCTCGGCAAAGGTGACGGCCAGCCGGCGGACGAGGCGCTCGTAGGGAATCTGGTCCGCATCGGCGTCGACGACGATGCCAAAGTTGAAGATGAACTCGTTGCGGTGGTAGCGCTCATGCGGGATGGACACGGGGAAGCCGAGGACCGAGTACTTGCCGTCGGGCGAGTTGACCGTCATGAAGCGGTTGAAGAAGGCCTTGCGCGGGATAATGTACTCCTGGATAATGTCAAAGTCGAGGAGCGGCGGCTTGGCGTTGGGCGACGACTCGGACGCCACCATGCACCCCGGCGGCGACTGGGCCACGATGCTCGTGCCCTCCTGCGGCAGGAACCGGGCGTAGAAAATGCACTGGATCATCCTGATGGCAGGCCGCAAGTGCACAGGCTTCTGGTGATGGCGTGGTCTAAGACCATTCGCGGCAGGCTACGTTATCTAAGAAGTGGTAGAGATCCGCTCAGAGGAGCGGCGCCTCGGAAACAAGCGTCAGGCATTACCGATCACCGTCTACACCGGGGATGCCATTTTGTGACGGCTAATTGCCGGACGCGGGAGATCTAGAATGCTGCCGTAGACATATGTTTTCGTTGTTAGAAGCTGTTCATGGCAGGATCGCAAGTTGCCTTGAGGGTGGTTGCGACCAGCGGCACCCCGGTAGCGGCATTTGAGATGCATTTATCCAGTATATGGCATCCCTGCCACCCACACGTTGTCTTGACGATACGCTTCGACCCCAAACACAAACACCCGTCCATTTCATCATCTCTTCGCATCGGCACAGCTTGGGAGCATTTATCAGAGCCACAAATAGCAAAATTTGGCAGCATGGCGGACCCCGTAGTGAAAGACGTGCCTGTTGCTGAATCTGCCACCGCTTCGACCGTTGAGGGCACGGCCACAGCACCGGACACCACCCTCACGGCCGCCACGGAACCGCCGGTTCCAGCAGCGAGCGCTTCGGAGAAGACGGAAACTGCGGAGCCTGTCCCTCAGTCAGAAGCCGCTGCGGAAACAGCCCCAACAGAGACCACCACGCCCGCTGCTGCCGCTGCCGAAGCCGCCAAGCTTGACGAGCCCAGCACGCCGCTCCAGGAGCTGTGGCTCGTCGCCAGCAAGCACGCCCACAAGGAAATCTGGGGCGTCACTCTGGCAGACCCGGCCACGCACATCCCGTCGCAGATCATCCTGCAGAAGTACCTCAATGCCAATGACGGGGACATCGTCAAGGCCCGGGACCAACTTACCAAGACCCTCGACTGGCGTGCCAAGACGAAGCCGCTCGAACTTCTTGAGAAGAGCTTCTCCAAGACCAAGTTCTCCGGTCTGGGCTATGTGACTGTGCATTCAGCCACATCGGCGGGTAGTCAGGAGCCAGAGCAGACCGAGGTGTTCACCTGGAACATCTACGGTGCTGTCAAAGACATGAACGAAACCTTTGGGTCTCTCGAGGAGTAAGTCACCTGTGGCAGTGGTTAGAAATCCGACTGCCAATCCTTCACATAAAATATGCGTGCAACGGACTACTAACAGAAGCCCCAAAAAGATTCATTGAATGGCGCGTCACTCTGATGGAGCAGGCCGTCCACGCGCTCAACCTCCCGTCCGCCACCAAGGCCATCACGAGCAGCTACGATCCCTACAAGATCTTCCAGGTGCACGACTACAAGACGATCAGCTTCTTCCGCCCGCCGCCCAAGGTCAAGAACGCGAGCACCGAGACCATCAAGGTCCTGGCCCTCGCGTACCCGGAGCTCCTCAAGGAGAAGTTCTTTGTCAACGTCCCCGCCCTCATGGGCTTCATGTACGGCCTCATGAAGCTCTTTGTCGCGGCCAAGACCATCAAGAAGTTCCACCCCATGTCGAATGGCGGTGCGCTGGCGCTCGAGTTCCCCGACAGCAAGGTGGCCGGCCTTGGGGACATGCTGCCCAAGGAGTATGGTGGCAAGGGCGAAGATCTCGCTGTCCAGGGCAAGGAGACTAAACTTGCGTGAGGCCGATGAGGTGAAATCGACGTCTTTATTTCTTTCCATTTTTAGAGTTCGAGCAGTAATACAGGGGAGAGCAGATGTGCCCGTGGAGTTGGTAATAGAGATGGAAGTCTTGGAAGTATTGGTCCTCTAGCTGTTACACGGTGCTGAGCGAGCAAATGAGCGTTTTTAACGTTCTCGACATAACTAGCAAATATACCCTCACTACTCTTGGTTTCGCACCTGATGAAGCTAACCCCCAAAAGCGGCCCAATTCTTGCATCTCAATGACGGTGTCACTTATGATGCTCACACCATTGATGGTCTGACGTGCTGGGCAGAGCCGTACGTTTTTGTCACGTCACCACTCCAAGGGGAAAGAAAGATCAGGCTCGGAGGACGTGAGTCTATGACCACGACTTGCTTAAAGTTACAATGGATCCTCAGGTCTTCTACCTGGAGGCTTCTATAGCTTTCCAGTTGCAGCACCCTGGCGTCCGTCAGCCTCGTGGTCGGCGAGATACTTTTCCGCGTCCATGGCGGCCATGCAGCCAGAGCCTATACGAATGAGTCAGCAAAGCCGGAATTCCTTCTCGTTGTCTAATCTCATAGGAAGAGTTGCCGCATGTGGGCGAGCGCTCAGGTCAAACGGTACCAAAGGAAAAAGGGAAGCAAAGAGAGGGAGGCTGACGCGGTGGGGGAAGGAAAGGAAAGGAACGGAAAAAAAAAAAAAAAAAAAAAAAAGCTCACCGGCGCTCGTGATGGCCTGCCTGTACCGCTTATCCTGCACATCGCCCGCGGCGAACACACCCTCGACGCTCGTGAGCGGCGTGCCGGGCTTGGTGACAATGTACCCCTCTGCGTCGGTCTCGAGCTGGCCCTTGACCAGCGCTGTGGCCGGGTCGTGCCCAATGGCGTAGAACAGCCCGCTGGCCTCGATCGTCTCCTGCTTCCCCGTGACCGTGTCCTCGACGACAATGTGGCTCAGCAGGCCATCGCTCCCGCCCTTGACCTCGACGGGCTTGGTGGTGAACCGCACCGTGACCTTGGGGTGCTCGAGCAGCCGCTTGGCCATGATGCTGCTGGCGCGCAGCTGGTCCCTGCGCACGAGCACCGTGACGTGGCTCGCGTACTTTGTCAGGAACGTGGCCTCCTCGGCGGCCGAGTCGCCCCCGCCCACGGTCACGAGGTGCTTGTCCCGGAAGATGGGCACCGCGCCGTCGCACACGGCGCACGCCGAGATGCCGTTCTGCCAGTACTTGTCCTCGCCGGGGAGGTTCAGGCGCCGCGCCGACGCGCCCGTCGCCAGGATGACCGTGTCGGCCGTGTGGGTCACGTCGGGCGTCCACTCGAGCGAGTACCTGAACGGCCGGCTCGAGAAGTCGAGCTTGGAGACGGTCTCGGAGATTATTTTGGTGCCGAAGCGCTCCGACTGCGCGCGCATGTTGTCCTATTTTTTTTATTAGCCTGCTGGGTTTGTGTGCCGGCGGCGGCTTGTCTCCTTTTTGGGCGTCCGTCGGGGTCCATAGCACTTACCATGAGCTCCTGCCCCATGATGCCCTTGGGGAAGCCGGGGAAGTTCTCGACATCGGTGGTGGTGGTGAGCTGGCCGCCGGCGGCGATACCGTTGGCGAGGAAGCCCTCGTAGAGGACGGGATGGAGCTCGGCGCGGGCGAGGTAGACGGCGGCGGTGTGGGCCGCGGGGCCGGAGCCGATGACGACGACTTTGCTGTGCATCTTGCGGGCGGCGTGGGCGGCCAGGGCGGGCGTGTTCCTGTGGGAGAGGGCGGCGGCGCCAAAGGCGGCGAGGGAGAGCCCAGATGCGGCGCCTGCGCGGAGGGAGCTACGGAAGGTGGAGGAGAACAGCTTGGCGGTGTTGTTGGCAGGAGCTGCCGCGCGAGGTAGGAAAGGAAGAAGGATGGGGGTACGGAGATGTAGTAGCAATCTTGGGATGTCGATGAAGCAGCCGGGCAGAAAAAGGCATCTCGGCACTGGACGGCCCATTGCGGGGTCGCGGCGGCGGCGTTGTCCCAGGGGTACTCCGCTGGCCGCCGGCTTCTTGCTGCGGCCCGCACCCGGTGCAACCCCCACGCGCCGCCTCAGCAGCACGGCATCACTGCCCGTGTCTATGCCAGTGCTGCGATGGTTCCTGCATGCAGGCTCATTCCTGTATACTGCCTTTGACCTCCACGTTGCATGCTATTTCAACCTTCGGGAACAATATACCGTAGGCACCAGGTAGCCATTGTTTGAACCATCAAAGCTACATTCCAGTCAGTTCCTCCTGATACTAGAGGCAGTGCCGTTTAAACAACGATGGACTTTCATTCTGCAATAAAAGACAAACGTACGTTGTGTCTGAATACCGACTTTCTCTACACGAGTCGGCTCTGCCTTACTGGCCTTGGTCAGGCCCCGCTTTGCTCCCAAACCGCCACCGTTTGACACGCATGACACTTTATGGCTGCAAGCCACCGCCCCAGACAAATGTTGCCCGTCCTCAACTGCCACCCGCACGGCGAATACCGCCACAGCCATCAGATTTTATGCTCTACGTCCCACTGAACAGTCTACTACTATGTGGCGACATGGCTAGTTGTAGATCTGCGCGCCTGCACACCACGAGGTCTCGGACCTCGCTGCGCAGCATTGAAAACCAGCCACGGCACCACGAACAAGACCAAACACTTCTCCCGACTGGGGATATTCCCAGGAACCCGGGCGGTGGTGCCTCGTTAGCGCTCCTCCTTGCCCCTATGCCAAGGGGGCCGGTCTCCTAAGGCAAGGCCCGGAACGGCGGCGCCGCTGATGGTGTTCATTATACAAAAGATCCCCACCGGATCAGTGATGATCCGGTCAGTCGAGCGGGTCATCCCGCCGTTCACGAGCAGGCAGGCGTGGTGATGTCGTGTGTGGGGAAGGGTGGATGGCTAAATCGATATATGTAGGGGACCAACGCGGAAGCGCTTGATGCGGGCGCCGCCGCCGCCGCTAATTAGTGCCGGCGATCATTTCTTGGGGGAGCCCTTGCTTGCGGGCGGCTTCTTCCACGGCGACGACGACAAACGGTGACAAGTTTGTCAATTATTGCCCAAACAGTCCAATGGCTGCTGCTGCTACCTGGCCTAGACCCCTCAAGAGACTCGACTAGTTATCGCTGATCAGCGTCTATCTCTGGGGGAACGAGCTCCGGACAATGTACTGTAGCACGGGGCAATCTTCAACGACACCGTTTGTCGTCGTCGTCGTCGTCGTCAGGTGGTGTCGCCTTCTGATGCAATGAACCTCGATCTCGCACGCAGATGCGCCTTTGTGGTGTTAACGTTATCTCTCTGGTCTTATGGCATTCTGTATTGCATAACCTCCTGATCTTGTTTCGATTTCTCAACGAATTTTCTCTAGACTGTTCTTCTCCAGACAACTTTTCAGAATGGATGGGGATTGCTCGGAGTGACCAGTACATCCAAGCCCTGTCTGCTTGACAGCAGGGCATCTAGTCCAATCTAAGCTACTTGACGTGCTAACACCCGCTAATCGTCACGCATTAGACACCTGCCCAATACACCACGCCTCCCCAGCATATACATCACTCTCAGCTCGCCTTTGGCGCCGGGCAGATCTTATCCGTGGTCTTGACATTGACCGAGGCATGGACCACAAGCGCCGCCCTGCTCCCACTGGGACACCTTGGATACACGAGCGTCGTGACCGCCCAGTACCGCGTGTCCCTGGAGGTGAGGGGACCCGAGGTGCACGTGTACGAGCCCGGCGCGCACTTGCTCAGGGGCAGGCAGTCGAAATGGACATTGGCCTCTGCGAGGTTGTAACCCTCGACGAGGGCCCAGCCGACGGCGACTTTGCCCTCCGAGTTGGCCTTTGCCAGCCAGGCTCCCACGGCGACGGCCTTGGCAATGTCATTGCCCCCCGCGCCGACGTACAAGGGTCCCCCGATGCCGCTGCCCTGCAGGTCCGCCAGTGTGGGCGTCTCGTACCAGCCCCAGCGGTTGCAGCCTTGGCCGGGCTGGGTGTCCAGCGTTAGAGATTTCTTGATGCTCCCGGACGGCTTCTCGTAGCCAAAGGCCGTACCGAAGCTGCAGATCTTGGTGTGGGTTGTGGTCGGCGATGACGATGAGGAAGTCGACGTTGACGTCGATTTCGTGGTCGTGGTTGTGGTTGTCTTGCATGGCGCCGCTGCGCATTTGGTGCAGCGGTACATCATCTCCAAGTAGTCCGGAGTGGTAGCGTACGATGTGCACTGACCGCTGGCGTCCCGGGCCGTGCAAGGAGGCAGGCTCTTGAAAGTAGTAGTGGTTACAGCTCCAGTGCTCGGGTCGACTGATTCGACCTGGCCGAAGAAGGCCAGGTAGAAGTCGAGGCCCTCCCGGTCGCCATTGGGGCACATTCCTGCCATGACATCCTTGATCGGGGTAGTACTAGATACTCCCAGAATGGTAGTAAAGGGCAGCTTGCAGACAAACCCGGAGCCATCCCGTCCGCAGGCGATGTCCGTTGTTGGTGGAGGGTTGCTCCAGGTCCCCGGGTCGAGCGGGTTGCCCTTGAGCTTCCACGCGACAGTCGCAGACTTGGTGGTGTACCCGGGGAAAGACGAAAAGTTGAAGTAGAGGTTAGGACCTATGAAGTCGAGACAGACTCGCGAGGTAACGTTGCCGCCGCCGGGCGTCTTGATGGCGACGGGCGGGCATTGCTGCGAGTAGTTGTTCTCGAGGGGCAGCTGCAAGTTGTCCTTGTCTGGCAATGGAACGCCCGCTAGACTGCAGTCCTGAGTGCAGATGTCGTAGTACGATCTCTTGGACAGCAACTCGACCGCCACCCTGGCAGGAGATGGCCCCGGCGCCGCGCTTGCTAGGCCAAGGCCGCCGAGCAGGGCAACAAGGGTGGGGAGATGCATGTTGGATGGTTCCGAGGGCTTCCCAAGGTGAAGACGACGACGAACAGGGACTTTGGTGGATCTGAAGTCGCTTTTCCCAACCTACGCTCCTCATCTATGTACTTACAAGTAGGTAGATGTGCCTTTGTATATAGGTGCATCGCGGGCTTCAGCCAGCCCAAGTCCGCAAGCAATGATAGCTACGGAGAGGCCGGTCCTCCCCCGAGGGAGACTGTGAAGCGTAGCATTGCAAAGACCTGAACTTTGTGCTGCAACTACTGCAGCGCCTAGGGGTCCAGAATTCATTCATCGGCTGATTCTCCTGCTGGTTGTCCGGTCTCGATAATGCAGAGCGCCATCCAGCGTTTGACGGCGGCAGACTAAAATGGTGATGCACCAGGCAGGCCACGGCCTGGGTAAGCGCGGGTTGCAAGACTGAAGGTGGTTCAGGGAAGGCGGAGGCCCAGACTGGACAAAGCCCGTCCAGGGAAGGAATGGTGCTGAGCCACCGCCAGCCACTGAGCAGGTACGGTGCGGACGACCGGCGGGGTGCTGTAGAGGTATGGAGCCAATGGAGAACCAATAGTCGCATATATCATGTCTTTTTGAGCTGCTCCCTCGTCAAAGCAGAAGGCAGATGCTGCTCTGGTAAAACCTTGTAGGATGTGCATCCGGCTCGCAGATGGTCCTGGCACGGGCGCAAGCACAACTCTGCCCACCATCCACTGCATGCCGCAAGGCTCGGGTCCAAAGCTTGCAGAGGCGCACGCTCGGACGCTTGTCTGTGGATGTGCACTGCCCAGCATTGTCGCGGACAGCCGCCACAGGCAGTGCGCTCAGCTCCCATAGACTGCTCAGGGGCATGACGTTGCAGATGAGGAGCGGAATGTGCCCGTCGTGGCTTGCAGCGTGCATTCAATCGAGAGGTTGCATTGCATTGCGCCCTGCAGGCACACGGGCCGCCCTGGCAACTGCCAAGATCGATCAAGGACCGGGGCACTCCCCGGGCGATGTTGTATCCTCGCATCGGCCGCCTTCCCAGGGTTCCCCACGCGTCAAATGGCATCCACGTCACCAATTCGATTGTTTCCTCTTTTCCCAGGCAGCTCGCCCATCATCATCATACTGTAGTCGACGATGCGACACAGGCAGACCATCCCTGGCGCCCATCAAGGGTCGGTGCGCTTCCACACCTGGCCGCGCATCTCCTTGGCCCATGCCCTCGGGCCTCGCCGGCAAGAGCTTCTGATTACGTAGTATCGCTACAGGGGTCCTTTCCATCTTCGCCAGGACATCCCAAGCTCTCGGTTCAAGTCACTGCGTCTCGCCGATCTGGCCACAGGTGTCGCTGCCCAGCCAGGGCACGGCCACGCTCAAGCTCAGAGTGTGGTGGCAGCCCGTGTTGGTCGAGTCAAGCACCGACGAACGTCTCCAAGACCAGAACCTGCACCCCAGCTTGACTGCCGAGCGGCAACGACGGGGCTCGCAGGAGGTCCGGCGCTGATCCGTGATCAACAGTGGCCACGTCTGTCAGCACAGCCAGCGCACGCGCGCACGGCCGGCTCCCTGAGGATTGATCAAGCCTTGTCAGCATGACAGTGCTGGTGGTGACGCGATCGCCCTGACGGTGCCCACCCGTGCCGAGCCATCCACCGGTTCATCCTAACGACGCGCCAGGCCTGGAAAACACCTCGACGCCAGTGGATCGCGGGCCCACTGCCTCTTCTGGCCTGGCTCGGGTCTTTGTCGCTGCCTTCTGGCGATCCTGGTGTCCGAGACTGGCAGGGCTCTCCCCGCTTCGCCAAATGTCCATCCCAGCTCATCCACGTCGACCACGCCCTGGGCGCCGCCCCTCATTACACAGCATGCACCGGTTCTTCAGCCTAAAGCTCCTAGCTCCCAGCTCCTGGCCCTCGAGCTCGCATCGGGCTATTTCACAGAGTCATGGTGCCCACCCAGATCTAACGCCTTTTCAGGGCAGCCGTCTTGTTTGGGCCCCGTCTTCCTCCTTCTGGCACAGCCCGCCACGGCACTTCTCTCCCTCGTGCCGGCAGTCCGTGGAACCTTCTCTTGCTGCTGCTTCTTTTTCCATACACCTCACGTCCCCTCGACAAAGCAAACAACAGATCATGCGTCTCCATGCGGCAGCCTCACACCATGGAGCCCACTAATGGATTGCGACGCACGCAGTCAAACATGTCACCAAGCTCGACGGCCTTGTCAGAGACCGAGGAGGTTCTCTTTGCCCGGCTGTTCATGCAGGCACAAGACACTGCCTCTCCAGCTCCGATCCTCGGAGACTCGTACGCGCAACAATACATCAACCAAGCAAACTGCAACTTCCATCGCAACTTCTTCATCACGGATCCACGCCATGTCAAGGCCTTCATCTGCAGAAACAAGCTGCACGACCAATGGCTGCAGCACTTTCTAGATATCCATGCCGTGGCCAAGACCCCCGTCACCGTGCTTCAGCTCGGGTGTGCCCTCGATAGCCGCAATATGAGGGTCAACCGCGGGTCATCGGTCCGCTGGGTTGACGTGGACACCCCCGAAGTCGTCAGCTTTCGCCGTCAACTGATACCAGCAGCCCCCGGCGATTATACCCTCATGAGTGCAGACATGACCGAAACCTCATGGCTCGACGCGATACCTGTAGGGCACTCTCTGGAAGATCTGCAATTTTCGATGTTGTAGCATTCTTGCTGACTTTATTGGGCAGGCCGATCGACCGACGTACATCATCGCTGAAGAGTTCTGGATGTGGCAGAAGCCTCACAACGGCAAGAAACTCATACGAGCCATGGTCAACCATTTCCCAAGGGGACAATTCGCCACAGACATGGTAGGATCTGTCATCAAGGAGCTGCACTGGCTCATGCCCATCCTCAAGGGCTCGAAGCTCAAGTTCGAGTGGGCAATCAACGACGGCCGCGAGTTCGAATCGCTCGACCGCCGTCTGAAGCTGGTCCAGGAGGTTCGGTGGTACGAAGTGATTGGCACCGCCCTGCGTGGCGGCGAGACGCCAGAGATCTTTGGCCGGTGGACAACGCTGGCCTCCCGCATCCCCGGTTTCAAGAACTGCGCGCAGGTCGTGTTGCTTGACTACGGCGTCCTGCCAACCTCGCGTCGGACCATGGATAGCTCCACCACCGAAAGCAGTGGGCTGTCTGAGACGAGCGTGACGGGCGTGAGCTTCAAAGGGTCGGGGTCGAGCGTAGGCGGATTCACCGGGGCGGCATTCAGTTCGGACGGCAGGTACAGCCCGATGCCGACACGCTCGTCGAAGCGATGATTCATGCTCAACAGGTCCTTTTTCTCTTTTCCATTTCTTCTTATACCCCCACTTGGCAACATTTTCATATGCTTCAACATATTCGATACCCCGTCACGATACATGTATATCCCCTTTTCTCGTTTTCCCTTTGTACCGAGGATCAATTACCTAGAGTTAAAGCTCTCAGGCGGTTTTGCTGGAGTTTGATTTGGTTCTACGTGTCGGTAGGCTGGTTCCCAAGCATTTGGGAATATATACCCATGGGATCCCGACGTCTGGTATTCTTACTGGCACATCGCGGCTCGTCGTTGTAAACATACAGACAGTACTAATAACATCACTTCGCGTGTGGTCTGGCACTGTGCGACTATTAAAAGACATCGACTCGTCATGTGACAAGCTCTCTTCCCAGCAAGTATAACGTGCATCAATAGCGGAGGTCAAGGTCATCCTGCAATCTTTTCTGCAAGCACCGCTTCCAGGGAACATGTATCCTCCCCCTGCACACCTTCCGTTTGTTGGTGTCTACTTGGGGCCAGGCATCTTCTATGGCAGTTGCAAGTGCAAGTCTGAACTGTGTAGCAGCCCATCTCGACGGATTGTGGTAAATGAAGCCGATAAGCTGCGTTCGTTTAGTGTAAGGCATGAAGAGTTGCGCATGTTGCAGTTCGGCTGCCCGGTAACTCGTTTGGGAAAACCAGGGATCGGGCACCTGCTTGGCTGACATGCCGGGCTACGTGGTCTAAGGACAAAGGAAGCTTCAATGCCTAGTGTAAAAGTTTCGAGAAGCTCTAAAGACACGACAGAGTTTAGGGTTATGCACATGGCAAAGTGACTTCTCAGCTCCAAGTGGTCAGTCCAAAAGCTTGGCGAAGTGCCTATATTTTGGAGGAAATATTTACACTATTCTAAAATAAGGCCCCTTATTCTCTTTTATCAGTTAATCATCAGATGTGGTTAGTCAGGATCGGGGTATTATTGGGGATAGTCCTTGTCGTGCGTGGTTTGGTGCGCTTGCTGTTGTTTTTCCGAAGTCAAGATGAGCACTGCAGGTACTGGAGTACAAATGTCGAGTGCATAACCCTAAACTCTGTCGTGCCTTTGGAGCTTCTGGTTTTGAGTTTCAGCCTGCAACCAAAGGGAGCCGGTCGCTCTTACGCTGTGCCAGTGGCCTGACCTGACTGCCTCGTTTGCAGTGTGGTCGTTGCTGCCTCGTCGGCGGTCCCTGCCCGACGCCCCCGGTCTCCTCCTCCCCAGCACCCTCGTGATATCAATTTCCCCCTTTCTCCCCCACACAGCGCCTCGACTTTCTCCTTTCCTCCCCAACTCTCTTTCTCAGATCCAGATCCTTACGCAAATCTATCCCAAGCTTCGCACGCAGTCGAGCGTATTACAACGTCAAGGAGACTTACACACACCATCAGTCATCTCCCACGAGAACGCGCAAGATGTCTGGCAACAACAGCGGCAAGGGTAGCGGTAGCGGATCTGGTGGTGGTGGCTTTGAATACAAAAGCCACGGCGTGAACAATGATGTAAGTCTACCCTCTCACTCGCTCTCTGGCTCGGGTCGTATCGCATATAAGTGAGGTGTGAGGAACGCCAACAATATCAAGCTGTCGTCATGACTGGTCAGGGGCTCAACCACTAATACAACCTGCCAGGGCAACCACTACTGTGCTCGAGACTACGGTGCCGCTGCCCCGAACCAGAACTCGTACCACTACTCCAACCGGTAAGTTCAATCTGCTCCCTGCTGAAATGTTACGTGAGTGTGCATGGAGAGGGGACTGACATGGTCCCGAGGGATGGCTCGTACTACTATTCCAACCCCAACGGCAGCACCTACTACAACGATGGCCAGGGCTCGGCCCGGTACACCGCCCCTTCAGGTGCCCGGTACTACTATGGGGACTCCTCCAACGGCCAGAAGTAAATGGATGCGGCCTACAGAAGCAGTACCTCCCCGAGTTCGCATCTTTATGAGGTCCCTCACGGTACGCTGCAACTGCCAAGTTTTCATTTCAGCACAATGAGCACAACGCCTGGATGCCGCTCTGGAGATCTAGAGTCTCAAGAGCGCAGCACTCACGATCGTGGCAAAGGGCGAGTGGCGAGATTGGCTTTTTCCTAATATTTGGGTCGACAGTGGCAGAAACATTCCTTGACCCAATTCCAGCATCCAACAACTGCTTTCGTTTTTGGTAACAGAACACGTGAACAATGCAATGGTATGTTCGTGTGCAAAAATCGGGATCATGCTCGTGACCGTGATGTCAAACCACAACTTTTATTCTGTTATTTATTTTGTTTCGTTATTATCATTCATGCTTTGCCTTTCACTTTTTTTCGTCACAAAAAAAGTCAAAACACAAAGAGAAAGGGAAGAGACCCCTCGTAAAGGAGCGCCGCTTTAGGCTTTCGCAGGTTGCCCAATGAATCATCAACTTCGTCCTCCTTTGCATCTGATCATCGCGAAGAAAGTCTTTTACTCCGTCTGGGCCTAATGTGAACATGATCCTGACTGCCCGTCAGCATATTCATTTTGCAAAATCTGGAAGCTTGTTCATTCGCTTGGTATATGATATGTACATCTATATAGTTACATCTGTACTGTACAACTATCCGTGGTTGACTCCACGGAGATAATCAGCTCGCGGCTATGGCTTTTGCAAGACGGGCTCCTGTGCCAGCACCAGTTTGTACGAACCAAGCCATGGTGCCCATGAGGGTCTCGAGGGGTGATAATACAGTGGCCACGTGATCAACTGAGGCCCGGATAAAGTCAGGGAGCGCTGGGCGTCATGTCCCACCAGGTCGGGGGGTGATTGCCTCGGACCGAGACAGGTCGACGAGTTCGTGCCTCCTCAAGCGTGTCCACTCTCAAGACTTGGACGATTGCTCCTTGCGCTCTTCCCGGAGCAGTTCCTCCACGATCTGCTCCTTCTTCTGCTGCCGCCTCAGGGACTCGAGGGTATCATGCTCGTCAACCTCACTTCGTCTGCTCCTCCACTCCCGCTGACTTGTCGTCGACAAGGTCTTGTTCTTGTTCTTGTTCTTCTCCGCTGCATCAGAATCCTGCTTCAAGTTTTTCCGGCTGTGATGGCGCGGGGGTCGCGCGGGGAAGATGAGCTGGGGCTGCTTACCTGCAGCCTCGGCGAGCCTGTTGTCCTGCTCGACCTGGCCGAGCTTGCTAGCGGCCTCGGCGACCTCGTCGTTGCTGAACTTGACCTTGCCGTCCTTGCCCATCTCCGCGAGGGTCCGGCGGACCCGCTTGACGATGCCGCTGCCCGGCTCACCGGGGTACCGCCTGCCCGACTGGGCCCACTCCTCGTCGCTGATCATCTCGACCACGCGGACAAAGTGCTTGCCGCGGCGGAGGATGAGGATCTTGTCGTCGATGAGGTACCGCGCCGTGTCGGCCGACGACCAGACCTTGACCGGGGTGAAGGTGAGGTGCTCGTGCTGCATGGAGCTCTTGTCCGACGGCAGCTGACCCGGCTGCCCGGCGACGTAGGCGCCCTGCGCCGTGCATAGGCGGTGGCCCTCGGAGATGCTGTCGCAGAGCCCCGCCGCGAAGAGGATCCGGGCGATCGAGGTGCCCATGATCAGAGACCGCGGGAGCTGGATGTCCGTGCGGAAACGACGCGCTGCGTCCTGGTGGGCGGGGCCGCCTGTTGGGAACGACGTCTGCTCTGGGACGGTGAAGACGCCCTTGGGCTGGGCAAACACTGCCCGGTGCTGCTGCTGCACCCGATCCGCCTCGGCCTGGCCATGTACGAGACAGAGGACCTCGCGCGCAAGAGCATGGTGAGCATGTCGTTTGGAAGGATCCTGGTTCTGAACAGTCATGATCTCATCGATTGTGCTCAGAGGCAGGAACGTCAGGACCTTGAGAAGGTTCTCCACGTCGGCGTCCGGCCTCCGCATAAAGTAGCCGTACAGGTCGAAGGGGCTGGTCATGAACGGATCCAGCCACACGGCGTTTCCAGAACTCTTGCCAAACTTTGCACCCGAAGAGTCCGTGAGCAGCGGGACGGTGAAGCCGAGTGGTGTGTTGAGCAGGGTGTCTGGAAGGTCCGTCTTATGTGGCTCGATGGTGCGAATGTGGGAGATGGCCTCGATGCCGGAAATGATGTTTCCATACTGGTCCGAGCCGCCGATCTGCATCTGGACCTGCTTGGGATTCGAGTACATGTGCCACCAGTCCCAGGCCTGCATCATGGGGTAGACGAACTCGCTCAGAGATACCCCGTCACCCGCCTCCAACCTGCGCTTGATGGTGTCGCGAGACAGCATGGGGCCTAACCGCACGCCGCTGAAGAGCTTGTGTACCACCTCGCTGAACGAGACGCTAGAGTGCCATTGCGAGTTGTTCCAGAGCGCGCGGCTCCAGCCCCATTTCTTCTCGTAGCCCATCGAACTGACGTGTGAATCGAGGTTCGTCCAGAGCGACTTGAGCTGGTAGTGGACTTTTGTGATGTTGGTCGACATGTCGGCCCTGCTCATGGCTTCCCGGCCGCTGAGCCGGCCCGTGGGGTCGCCCACCTTGGCTGTGGCACCGCCCACCAGTGTCGTGGCTGCGTAGCCGTGGATGTACAACCAGTACAGTGCCATGAGCGGGAGGAGGTGGCCGACGTGCAGAGACGGTGCTGTTGGATCGACGCCGACGTATGCGCCGATGCGCTTCTGCAGCATGATCTCGCGGAACTTGTTGTCATCGCCGGTTTGGTCCTTGACCAGCCCCCGCTGCTTGAGGATGTCCCAGATGTGCTGTTTCGAACCGGCGCGGATGAGCTTGGCCTCGGCCTGGAACTCCTGCTCGGCCACAGCGACCTTGGCGAGATACGACCTGGAGATGTGGCGTGCTTGTGGTCGTTGGACGGCCGTGAGAGCTTCTGCGAGGGCACGAGCTCTGGGATGTGGCCGCATGCGGGCAATGGCGACGAGAGAGTCGGCGGCCGCCATGTTGGGCGCCTCGGTCGACGAGAACCTGAGGTGGCAGGTTACCAGAACGTCGATGTGGTCACCTGGTTAAGGACATGGGCATGGCTGTGCTGAAAGTGCCCGATGCTTTACATTTAGAGCTTCCCGCCCATGGCAGCGTTGACAGGCACAGGGTCCAGAAATTTGGTGCTTATCGTTATCGGGGATCTGCGCTTGCGGGGTACCAAGGTACTTCGTGGAGCAGGAATATGGCCTTACATAAGCACTCCTCCACCCCGGGCCTGGCGAGCTGTCCCGAGCCTGGTCTGAGGTGGGTGATGGAGCCAGCCAATCAGCGGGGCCTTATTGCAGCTCACCCTCTCGGGACCATCCTCGGCAATCGACAGCCAATCGTCACGCAAGCCAGCCGTGCGCCCGTCGACCTCCACTGCCTCCGGATCTCGACTCGAGCCTCGAAGCGAAGCCGTCGACAACGCCGCCTTGCGACAGCGACACTGCCAGCCTCTCCACCCCACGACGACTCTCGTGACACACACACACAGCAGACTCGCCATGGCCTCCCTCTTCCGCCCGACCCTGCTGCGCCAGGCTGGCCTTGCCCGCCACGCCCTCGCCCGGCCGGCGGCGCCCTCGACCATCGCTCGCGTGGCCGCCTTCCACGCCTCCAGCCGGAGGAGCCTGCTTCCTCCTGGTCCTCGTAAGTGATGCGATGCAATGAACTCGTTGGCATTAGGCACGAACTCCCCTGGTATGCGCAGCTGCTAATAATATCCGTTGAACAGAGATCATCAAGGGTTCCGGTACGCCTCTCCCCCATTCCGTCATCGATTCCAACCCAGCGACTATCCCATGATGTTGCGTCGCTACTCCCCAGAGACGACATGACCGATAAAGTCTCCATTGGACATGGTCATTGGACATTGCACTGCAGCTCGCTACTCTGTCCAGATGCGCTCAGAGCACTTGAAGAACCAACAGACTTGCTCGATGAACCCTCCCCCACTGACATTTGAACAACCTTGTTTGTACAAAAAATATAGTCAACGACGCCGCCCCCGTCCCGTCGCCCTCGCCCTCGCACGGCTCGTACCACTGGACCTTTGAGCGCCTGATCGCCGCGGGCCTCGTGCCGCTCTCGGTCGCGCCCTTTGCCGGCGGCTCCGTGAGCCCCGTCCTCGACGCCGCCCTGTGCTCGCTCCTGCTCCTCCACACCCACCTCGGCTTCCAGGCCATCCTGATCGACTACGTCCCCAACAGCCGCTACCCGGGCATGCGCAAGGCCCTGACCTGGCTCCTCAACGGCGCCACCCTGCTCGTCGGCGTCGGGCTTTACGAGTACGAGACAAACGACATTGGTCTCACCGAGACCGTCAAGCGCGTCTGGACTGCGTAGAAGGGCCGTCGCTAGTAAGATGGAAGATTGGGAGGAGGGAGGAAAGAGGATATCGACATGATGATCGGGGAATCAGACAGTTTCTGTCTGATGTATATGTACACAAAGGCAGAAGCCATGCCGCCGAGCAAAGGAAACTGTACAACGAGAAAGATAACACAGAGGGAGCGGCTAGGATACTTCGTTGCGATGAGATGGACTCCTCTCCGGAGGGATAGAGGAATTACTTCACCATCACAGGTCTAGTCGAGCCCCCTCAGCGACGAGGAAGAAAATACAATACTTTCCATTTGTTCAAAGCGGCGGCGTAGGATTGACAGCGAGTCTGATTGGGACGACTTTTTACGCAGCCAGCCTCAGTTGCCACGCGCAGGGATGTCTGTCATTTGCAAATGTCTATGACTACTTCAGCCACGGATCCTCCAAGAGTTTGAGCCTACTTCGTCTTATAGTGTGCCCGCATGAGAAGCACATGAGGAGCATCAGTCAAGGTCTTGAATCATTGAAGTCAGATACTGGCACGAGATAGAGCGGTCCCAAGGCGATTTCTCTCTTTCTTTTCTCTTGATCTTGGTGACTCCCGCAGTAAAATCTGGTCCTGGGACAGACACACTCGCGTTGTGTCCACACCCTTTATTAATCACCATCCTTCTTCCCAAACCGCGCCCCGAGCCCGAAATTATCCCGCCTGAAGAAGTCGCCCATCTTGCGCAGATTCTCGTTGATAGCGGCATTGCTCCCTCCCGGCACGATACTTCCTCCCGCACCGCCTACACCACCACCACCACCTATCCCCCCAGCCGCGGAGCTGCCGCCGCCGTCGCCGCCCATCGGCGTGCCGATGCGGTCCACGCCCTCCCTCGCCGCGTTGAGCAGCTTCTCCCCGAAAGCCGTGGGGTCGAACCGCGCGGCCGACGAGCCGAGCGACGCGCCGCCCTGCTGGGCCGCGGCCGACGCGCTCATGAGCAAGCCGCCCGCCGCGCCACCGACCACGCCGAGCCCGCTCACTCCCACGCCGCCCATACCGCCGCTGCTACTACCGCCGATGCCGCCACCGCCAACGCCGGGCCCGTTCATCAGGGGTGTGAGCAGCGCGTTCGCGGGCACGAGCTTGTCCTTGACGCTGGGCCCGTCGCGCAGGTGGCTGAACGTGTCGAGCAGGTACATCTGGTCCTGCTTGCGCACGCCCTTGAGGTCGAGGATCTTTTTGAAGTTGGTGTCGGACCGGTCGCCGATGAAGTCGAGGTACGCTGTCACGAACCCCTCGTGAGGGGCCGCGCGCACGAGCAGGGTCTGCAGGAGCGGGTCCATGCGGCCCATGGTCGCGCTCGTGCGCTTCGCGAAGCTCGCGGGCGGCTGGTATGGCGCGCTGGCCGTGGTCGCGGACGAGGACGAGGAGGACGCGTTGTGGTAGGACAGCAGGTTCGTCAGGCTCTTGGTGAGGACGTACTTGTCCAGCAGCATCTGCTCGGCGCCGACCTCGGAGATGGGCCTGCACTGCACAATGTTGGCGAGGTACGCGGTTGCGAGGTGCTCGACGAGGTTGTCCGCAAACGCGCGCGCGTACTGCTGCTTCGCGACCATGCCGAGGATCTCTTCGGCCTTGCCATTGACGTGCTTGACGAGCTCCCCAATGTACGAGCTCTGGTCGCCCGCGGCGTCCATCTTGGACCAGTTGGTGTTGCGCATCTCGCGCCAGGCGCCGTCGCAGTCGGCGCCGACCTTGCCGACCAGCGCGATCACGGCGGCACTGGCCACGCCCATGAATGCGTCGGCCTGTGACGACAGGTCTACCTTGCTGACCAGCTCGTGGTCGATGCGCTTCTTGATGTTCTCCTCTAGCTGGCCCGCGTTGGTGTGCCAGAAGTCCGCCGTGTTGAGCACGAGGATGATGTCCTGGAGCGACGGCCCGCCTTGCGTGTGTTTCTGCAATGTGCCTAGCAGCACCTGCTGTGCGTAGTCGTCGAGATACTTTGCAAGCGTCTTGGCCAGGTCCAGCAGGCGCTCGCTCGTGGAGAGCTTGGCGCACTGGGACAGCGTCAGCTTGTAGAAGTGGAACAGCTCGATCGCAGAGCTGATGACCGACTGCGGCGAGAACTCCTCGTCGGCCGGCAGCAGCGGCTGTGCCTTGTACTTGGGGATCATGGCAGCCAGCGCCTTGTCCTGCGACTCGACCCACAGGCTGAGGTACGGCTCAAACGCGACCGAGATGGACCCGTTGAAGCGCTGCCGGTTCTCGTCCGCCGAGCTGACGGTGTCGATGCTGGCGCGGGGCTCGCTGGAGAACCGCCGCTCGATCGTCTGCTCAAAGTCGAGCGTCTCCTGCAGGCAGCGGAGGAGCAGGTTGACGTCGATCCGGGCGCCGTCGACCCGCCGCATGCTCCTCTCCAGGATTCCCTTGTAGTCGTCGCGGGTGCCGTCGCAGAACGCCATGGCCAGCGTCTCGCCCACCCGCCAGTGCTGCGGGAATATGGCGGCGTGCTCCTCGTCGTGGCCCTTCATCATGCGCTTGAACCAGGCATACCGCCGGCCAATATTGTCCAGGCTGCCCGCCTCGTCGTTGCCCCGGAATACCTGCCGGTACTCGCGCAGCTCCGTGTTGATGTACCAGGTGACGATGCGGGACTTGGCGTTGTCCCCGAGGGCGTCCATGACGTTGCACGCCTCGACGAGCGTCTGCCGGCGCTGGCCGACCTCGCCCTTGGCAAACGCCATCTCAAAGTCCTCGCAGACCTGCTCGAGCAGCTCGCGCTGGAGCTCGGACACGCCGCGGCTGAGGGTGGCGATCTGGTCGATGCTGCGGTAGCTGTTGAAGTGGCGCATGAGCTGGAGGACGGCCTGGAGGAGGCTGGCACACTCGCGGTACTGGCGGGAGCGGGCGAGGCCGCGGAGCTGGTCGTAGGCTGTGGTGAGCATCTGGAGGCGCTTGAGGGCGGTCATAGAGAGGGTAAGGTTGCGCTTGGTAGCATCGAGGCGCTTGATGTCAGCCGTCATCGACGTGATGTTGTGCTCCGTCTCGATTGCCCGGGCGCGGACGCTCTCGATGTTGCGGAAGAGGCCCGCGAGCTCGGCCTGGGCGGACTGCATGCGCTCGAGGGACGAGTCGGAGCCGTACGCCTGGTCGGCCTCGGCGCGGGCGATGTCAGCCGAGAGGCCATTGTGCTGGGCGTGCAGGGTCGAGGAGACGCGGCCGACCGAGGAAACGGTCGAAGGGTGGGCAAATAGGCGATTGAGGTGTTGGATGGGGTCGTAGTCGACCGAGTCGAGAGACGCGAGGGACGTCTCGGCGGCGATGCCGTTCATCTTATCATGGTGGGCGAGTGCAGAGTGGTGTGGTGTGTTGGGCGTGGTCCGAGCAGGCAGAGGCGAGGCTGGGACTGGCGACAAGTACACTGAGTACCTCGGTAGGTAGGCACGCCGGTGTTGCTAGGTATGTCGTGTTGAGGTGTCGAGGCTGATGTTTGTCGGCGCCGGGATTTCGGTTCAGCTGACGGGAAAGCTGCGAGCTCGGGGACAGCTGTCGTTGGAGTCAGGGGTGGCCTCAGGAACCATCAGCCTTGGTTCCCCGCGCCCCCTGGCGGGCCCGCTTCCCCAATTCTGGTCCATCGCCCAGCCCTACGACCCTCCCTCCGCTCCCTCCGGTCCTTTGTCTGCTGCTCCTCTCATCCCATACACATCACACAGCTTGTCGGCGGCGGCGGAAGACGAGGAGCGCAGTCGCATGAGCCCATGGGGCTACAGGCCTAGGTCTGGGGAAAAGCTCGACAGATTCTACCAAGCAAACGACCGCAACCAACAAGAGCCTGTGTGCATGTCCCCCGTCAGAGCGAGATCCTGCCACCAGGTAGGAAATATACACAATCAAGTCAGGATTCATCGCCACGCAGCATACACCTCAATCACCGTCAACACCATTCGCAGCGGAGCGTCCTCACGTGATGATCAGATTAGGCGCCGAACTCCACGGAGTCACAAGTGGTACGGGTTACTGCAGGGACTTCATGCATGATCGAGCCACCTTCGGAGCCACACCCAAAAATCCCCCGGGTCACAATCGTATTCGCATCACCCAGCATGGAACGTGGTCTCAAATTACGGCAGCCTCGGCGGAGTGGTCTTGCTCGCATCAGAAGGGCCGTCTGGGTTCCGAAGCTGCTCGGCTGCCAGCTTGCCCAACTCGGCAGCACAGCTCAAAGCGGCATCGGAATTGTCGGCGCGACTTTGTTCGGTAGGGTCGCAGTTTAAATGACCCCTGCCGATAACACGAGCCGGCTGGGGCTGGATGGAAGCCACAGCGGAGGAAAGTAAGTGCTAAATGGTGTCTATATTTTGACTTGAATGCAAGCATTGTGCCGTGGTGACGAGATCTATAAGCAAAACCCGAAAATGTATGCCCGTTCCTTTCACTGTTACCCCCGGCCCGAGGTGTATTTTGCGCCAGCCCACCAAGTGACGGCATGTGTCGCTCATCAGGAAATTCAAATGCCCAAGAAATCGCTTGGTGGAGAACAACTCAGAGGCGAGCCGGCCCATGATTTCCGAGAGGAAAACAAAAAGAAAACGCCAAGCTTGCTGTCCCTGAATTTTCCCCCTCTATGATGGTCAACCGAAATGACGTCGTAATCCGTAAAGTTGTTTTCTTACTGCTGCCACCACTCCCATTTCAGGCACGACGGTGCCGTGTTGGGTCGTCGCCCAAACTACACTGGGCGAGTCACGCCCCATGAGTGGAGTCCGGTAATATGCGCTAGGGGCAGACCAGTCGCGCCCCATGACATGGCGCTCACGGTCCTTGCATTACGCGCTGAGCTGGCTGGGAGATATCGTCCGCCTGGAGCTCGTGCAGCCCGGGTAGGTGATCTCCGTACTGAGCTCTGTTCATCAGGAACTGTGTAGTGCCTTGAAGCCCGTGGCAATTAGGCTTCGATGCCTGTCTGTGGAATCGGCTGGTCCTGTCCAGTAAAAGAGCCCCTGGCAGGTTTCATGTTAGTTTATGCGCCAACTCCGCAGTAGAAACCTTCCAGAAGGACGCTTGCTGCAGCCCAACGGCACTAGACGGATGTGCCAATCTTAGGGAGCACTTACACCGAGCTTCTTCTGTTTACAGTACGCCCCCTTCATTTTGACCGTCTCCGGGTTGTCGTAGGTGACGAAGCCACCGTCTCCCCCAGCACAGCTGGCGGCACAGACGCGCTTGTCCACTGTCTCTTTGGTGTTGCGCCGTGGTAGCATGTTGTACTCGAAAGTCCCGTCCTCGCCACCGCAGCCCTTGTGTCGGTGGCCCGGTCCGCTCACACCGAGAAAGCTGCGGCCGTACAACGGAATCCCGAGAAGGATCTTTTGTGATGGACAGCCATGTCCAATGAGATAGGAAACACCCGTGTCACCGGAAGTGCTAGCCTTGTCCATGGTGTAGAGCTGAGCATGGTGCCCACTCCGCGGATCCCATGGCCCGGAGAAGTCGTAAGCCATTAGGTTGACGTAGTCGACGAGCATTGTCGCCATCGCGATGTCGATGTTCTGCAATATGGGTACGCCGCATGGCAAAGCTGCTGTCAAGAGAAACTGGTCTTCCGGCATGTGAAGCCGGACCGTGGTGAGCAAATCTACAAAGTCGGCACCTTCTTGCAGGTCGCCAGGGAACTCCCACATGACTGTGGCGATATCAGCACATGCCAGCATTCCAAGGGTTCAGGAAGAGGTATGACTTACTGTCTATCCCATCGAATCCGGACGCTTCTACCAAGCCTCGTGCCGACCTCGCAAAGTTGTCTCTAAGTGCAGCACTGGCGGCCACAATTGGAAACTTCGCGCTTGTGTTGCCACCACCAACCGATATTACCACCGATAGATGAGGATTGGCTTGCTTCAAGTGCATCAGAGAGCCGATGCCGCCGTTGACACCATCGCATGGGGATTGAGTATCAGCCCACTCGTCACCAAGCTGGCAATCATCGTTGTCAGTACCTGCTAATACGCGAGATGCTGCGAAAAAATCCGGGCGACGGGAGTGGCATCTTACAAAAACCGTGCCGTCTGGTCCTAGGCTCGCAAAAGCATAATACACGTGGTTGATACATTTGTAGTTCATCATCCCCGGGGTAGCGCCCTGATAGATCTTTGAACTCGGAAAGTAGACTGCATTCGTGTAGCCGATGCCGGCGACGCTTGCTTTCCTTCGCCGGGAAGAAGATGAACTCATGGTGGCGTCTGAGTGTGGTGATAGTGACTGTGAAGCGAATCACTATCCACGGCTCTGTCGACAAGAGACAGGTCGGTGACTGGCGGTCTTGTACTATGTTGAACAGGCCGGGTGTTTCCAATGAGGTCAGGCTATTTCCCGAGACCAAACGACCAGGGATGGCGTCTGAATATAAGCCTCTGTGCCCAAATACGCACGCAGCCAGACTAGAATCCTCATGGAACAACATGGTGGATCGAGCGGTGCGCTAAGTAGGACCCCAGGAGGAACGCTACGGCTCCCACTTCCAGACAGCCCCGCCAACGTCTCGAAGAGAATGCCCCAAGCGGCGACGCAATTCGGCATGGAACGCTAGGTGGGAGCGGCCGCTGTGTAAAGCTGACTCCTTCGGGATGGCCCTGGGCTATGACATATGAAACTGATGGAAGGCATTGAGGCTAATTTTTGCGAGGCCGAGCTAGAAGGGCCGGGGACACTGGCGGCAGAGCCGGGGTGTAGACAAGGTCTCGAAAGCTAAATCAGTGTCATGATATTCCTGTGTGTCCCCGACGGCACGTTCGGTAGAGTGGTGGATGGCACGACCGGCCAGGGCAAGCATATGCCAGCCATATTGGGCACGGATGGATCAATATGTGACGGGTCTTGTAGTAAGTTTCGCCGGAGCCGACACTTTGCGGCACGTGCTGGTGCCTGAGGATGGCCCGCAAGGCGGTCCGATGGCCGAGCTTTGTGGCACAGAGCCTTTGAGGCTCAGTCTGTGCCTAGGCTGTGCCGAGGCGCTCGTCAGGAACGAGCGCTGGTCTCGTAGCCATGCGACCGCCATGGACTGTATTACCGGCCAGCGCCGGGCCGGGGTCGATCTGAGGCTGCAGCAGCAGACTCGCGTCGGCCGGGTGGTGATGTCGTTGGAGGCAGCCGTTAGTGGACCATGAAACGCCCCAAAATTGGCTGTGACGACTACGGGGACGCCCTAGGCGCTAGTGTGCAACACGTGCAAGCACTGGCGCCCCGGCGGTCCTGCCCACCAGCCTGGACACTTCATGCCCGCTTCGCGGCGACTCAGTCAGGACGAGGCAAGGCCGCAATCATGCCGACGGCCTTCCACGTCTGGGCAGAGATGCTCGTTTGGCTGTCGTGGCCCATGCCCATGGCTCCGGTCAAGACGTCCACTGTACCAGGCCGGACGCGACGGTTCGTACCGAGGCGCCTGAAGGGGAAGGTCTGCAGCGTGTGCTCCGGCGACCCATCGAGTATAGGCCGCTCATCTGATGTTTGCCGGCAGCATGGGCGGCATGCGAGGATGGTTGCACCACCGACGTGAGCAGCAGGATGCATGCAGCGCCGCGGTGGGGCCAGAGACGGCGTGCCGTGCCGCTGTGCTGGGAACAGGCGTTGCGCGATGATGCGATAGGATGTTCCTTCAGGGCTGCCGAGGCTCGTCGTGGTGGAGCGAGGTCAAGATCATCAATAGCACGGCATGCTATGGCGATGGCGGGCAGGCCCCGGTGATGAGATGCCTGTGTCCGGCCACGGGGACGCTGCAAACAGAACACGTTGCTGCCGTGCCAGGCACAAACGCAGCTCCTTCCCAACTGATGAGTGCTCCGGCCATGCCCTCCAGTCCGCGTCGTCAATCACTTGCGCACCGCTGCGGAGCAGGTTCATTTCTCTCCACAGCCATCGCATCACGCACGCCGACCGGAATCTCTCACGCAGATCATTGTGCAGCAAGGGGACTATTATCCCGAGGGGCCACCCACTGCAGCCGCCATCTGCCAACGCACAGGCACTTGGACCCTGCCTTGCACAGACACAGATCTGCCCATGGGAACGGCTGCAGCTGCCTTTTTGACCAGCTGCCTTGCGTAATCACTGAGCCTCTCGGCGGCAGCCGAGTCGCACCGTCGACGAAGGTCAGTGTTGTTTTGTTATACCTTCTGCATCAGGCAGCCTATCCAGACATCAACCCGCCGACAAGGATGTGCTGGGCCCACAGCAGACCCGAATGGAACCCTCTTCAAGTCTGTGCTTGACATGAGAATGACAGTCCTGGCGGATGCAACTCTGATGTTGAGGACAAAGACAACGGGTGCCAGCACGACGAATGCTGTCGGCCTGTACAGTGCAGGCATCGGCAATGCACCCTCACGTGTCGTCCTGGGTGCAACAAGCGACGCTTGAATTTCGTATGTCAAGTGTCCCCCGAGCCTATAAGCGCAAGCATGAACCCATGCCAGACTTCAGATTGCTCCATGGCCCCGCGCAATAATTCCCATGGAGTGACCAGCACATTGACATGGAGGCTGCCTCTGGACTTGCACGAATCCGGGATGTGCCATTAACAACATGGCAGCCTGCATCGTGGATCTCTTATGCAGCACGACCTTCAGCACGCTTATCAGGTGCCTTGCGTGCGACTTACCTGAAGGGGCAACACAGCGTGGAGGTCATGTTGCTCTCGTCGCTGGGTTTCTTGCGTGCTGGATCACGTCTCCATACTCTTGACGAGCTAATACATAGTAACGACGATGTAGCCACAAGCGTTGAACCCGACCCAAATGAGCATGCCGGTTTCCTGATTGACTCTGTCAATCTTCCGCAACGATAGCAAGCTCGTCTGTCCTCAAGTTGCTAAGATTGATATCAGCAGCTTCACGGTTGCTTCTGGTAGTTGTTGAAGTGGTGGCAAGGGTACGAGACCAGGGGTTTTGCGGACACCTTGAAGGAGCTGGCCAGCAATCGAAACCCCTTGTGGGCATGGTCATCTCGCGCAATTCGTTTTCAATAAGATTCGACATGATGTGCGTCAGATGATGAGAGCATAGTGGGAAGCACCGCATCTTAGTCTTTTGACATGGCCGAGACGACATCCCTCATTCTCCCGGGTATGGAATGCTGGCAACTGCACGTTCTTGCTAATAGTGATTGTGTCCGGCATGTCGTCGTCCACTTGTGGCAACAATGACGGCTGGCTTGTCTAAGCCGTGCTTGCTGGGGTTCGCGACGAGCATTGTGACGAGCATTGCGACACTTGACGGCATAGAACGCTCGCGTGGTGGTCGATGCCGAACAAGCTTTGACAAACACACTTGCGCCAAGAATCTAGAATGGCTTCCAGGGCTGGCCTGACTGTTTCTGGATTAATAATCACAAGCCTCCAACTCAAATCAAGATGGTGGGTGGATGAAGTGATGGCAACCCTCAGTCCAGTCGCGGACTCTGGGCTCTGGACCGCGGCTCCCCTTGGGCGGAAGCAGCTGAGCCAACGCCCGCAGCCCTAGACAATGGGCTAGACCTGCGGGTGGCTGTTCAACCTTGACTCTACGATTACCTGCATCCCCATTTCCTACATCTGCGCGCACGCCATCCTTTCTCGGCCGGTTACACACATCTTCGCAGCAGCTCAACCGTCTCCCCGCGTGCGACCCAAGGACGGTAGTGACGGCGTCGATCGTGCGAGCAAGTAAATGGACATCGCTCGCCTTGGGAGCCCACAATAACCTCGTCGGCCAAGACCACGCCAGTTTCCCCCAACAGCACACCATGTCCTGCGGAAGTGCCCCCTCATGCGACCCAGGCTTGCCCGACAACGCCCTCTTTCACAGACCTGGCGACGAGCCGGCCATTGCTGCGCACAGCGATGGGGCATCCGACTCCTTCGACGACGAGTTCGAGCCCAGTGAGTGGGATGAGGACAACCTCAGTGACACGACCTCCATAAACAGCAGCATATACGCCCACACATATGAGCACGGTCGGCGCTTCCACAAATACAGACATGGGGTTCGCGCGCCATTCCCCCAGCAATGCCAGCACCTGTCGCTGACCTCCTCTGACAGCGCTATCCGATACCAAATGATGATCAGGAGCAAAGCCGCGAGGACATGAAGCATGCAATGTACATGGAATTGACTGTACGTGCGCACCCAGCACACCCCACACTCGCTCTGATCTGAGCGGTCGCAAGTGCTCGCATCCTCTGACTCTGTCATTTTTGGGCCATATTAGAATGGCGAGCTCTTTTACTCCCCCATTGGAGACAATCCGCAAAAGATTTTAGATATTGGGACAGGCACAGGTAGGACTGCGTGATCCGTATTCGCTTCTTGCACTAAGATGTATTGATGCTGATCACATGTCAACTACCAGGTCTGTGGGCAATTGAAGGTCAGACATGCGCATTCCCGCGACGTTGGTGATGCACGTCAGCGGCTTGTTCCGTTGAGCGGAGCCAAGCACGTACCACAGACTAACACGTGAACCCGCAGTTGGCGACAAGTTTCCCTCTGCCATAGTCACCGGCCTTGATCTCAGCCCCATTCAGCCAGTGTGGATACCGCCAAACGTGAACTTCATCATCGATGATGCCGAAGACGAATGGATGAATGGTTCCGCCTGGGATCTTGTGCACTGCCGCGGCATGTCTACGACGATCAAGGATCCGCACAAGCTCTGCCAGCAGACATTCGACAACCTCAAGCCAGGCGGCTGGATGGAGTGGCAGGAGCAGCACGCCAACTTCCTCTGCGACGACGGCACAATGAACCCAGACGACGATTTAATCAAGCTCTACCGCCTGGCCACGCAGGCGTTTGAGCGTATCGGATACGACGTCCATCTCGCCTCCAAGTTGCGGGAGCCTCTGGAGAAGGCCGGCTTTGTCAACGTGCGGTGCGTCGTAAAGAAGATACCCATCGGGACGTGGCCGGCGGACAAGACGCTTAGACTTGTGGGGATGTACATGAAGACGGCGATCCAGAGCTTTCTGCCCGTAATCATCGCGAAGCCGCTGGCACTTTTGGGGATACCAGAAGACGAGCGGGAAGTGTGGCGAGCTCTTGCGCTCAGGTCGCTGAGTAAAAGTGACCAGCACAGGTATTAGAACATGTATTTCTGGTATGGGCAGAAGCCTTCGTAACAAACTTTTGTAACGACCTGCTTCTGAAGATAAAAGCATGTATTGTGATATTTTGCGAGTGCATGGGTTCTTGTTCCTTTGCCTGTGGTTTCTCAGACCGGCCGCGACTGGACAGCTTTTGTACACAGCCTGACGCCGCAAGGCGTCACAGCGGAACACCGCCTTCTTTTCCACTCACGAGCAGAGTTGAACCTCCATAGAGACTACCGACCCAGAGGATCTCCCAGCCGGGTAGCCCGGGCTCATACAGGTCCCTGCCCATCAAGACCCTCTATATCATTTTACATGCCCTCGAGAACCCTTTCCCCCCTCCCTTCTTTATATCATCTCCCACTCTTTCCCACGCAAGCGGAGAAATCAAAGCCCCCACGCCCAAGCGACGCTCAAGCCCTCTGCAAAACTGGCGACCTTGCCATCAATAGCACAGCCGCCGCCGCTGCCGCCTTTGGTCAACATTACCGCGCCAGTTGTAGTAGTAGTAGTAGCCGCCTCCGTAGCAGCAGCAGACGAGGCCGGGGCCGGAGCCTCGAGTTTGCGCAGCTCGGCGGGGAGGTCGCGCAGGGGCACCCAGAAGCACTCAATGAACTCGTCTGGCTCGAGCTTCGGGGTCGGGTTCTGGTTCTCGGGCAGGGAAGGGTCGATGGTCATGTGGATCATGTAGGTGCATGAGCTTTTGTTTGTTTGTGTGGTTAGTGTGTGGGTGTGGAAATGGGGCAATGAAGGAGTGGTGCAGATGACGGGAGAGCTGGAAGGGGGTATAGGATGTACAGCAGTGGGAAGGGAGCGCGTTTAGAATAGAGGAGGATAGAGAAAGAAAAAACAACAAAAAATCGAAACATGAATGGCGTACCTTGATGAAGCAGGTGCTGTTCGTTATGACAAACGATAGAAATGTTAGCACAATCATCTACACACAGATATAGGGGAAAGTGATTAGGGAAGAACGGCGACAGCTGGTGTGATGAACACACAAAAACAGCCTCCCAGACACAACAACAACAGCAACCACTTACACCCGTGAACAATCATCCTCCTCGCCCCCGCCGCAGGGTCTGGCACGACAGTCCCAACATAGCCCGTCTCCTCCCGGAGCTCCCGCACCGCGGCCTCGTCGGCAGTCTCGCCCTCGTCCACCAGCCCGGCAGGGAACTCGACCGTGACCTTGCCGGCGGGCGGCCGGAACTGCTTCTCGAGCAGGATATGCGGAACTGCCTGCCCGGTGTCGAGAGGGTCGGGCTTGTTGAGGACGGCGATGATGTGGATCGAGTCCACCGCGCTGGTGCTGGGCTTTGTCGTGCGGCGGGTTGCCTCCCAGGTTCGAGCATTGTTGTTTGGATCCGTGTAGTTTACTCTGAGGTGGATGTTAGTCATGGTGTGTGTCTAGTTTTATCTTGTTTGGCACAAAGTGTGAGTTCGGGGTATTCCATCCTCCCTCGCTCCGGAATCGCACAACCACAAAGTGCGTCGAATATCAAGCCGAGGACCCAATCATGGGTACTCGAGGAACTGGCAGTACCCCCAAGATTCTTCGCGGGATTCAAAAGTACGATATTCTTCCGTAGGCGACCAACCAGTGGAAGGCGGCAGAGCTGACGCTTGGCAACTTTGGAATTTGAACAACGGGTTCAAGCTATTTCTACAGACTCACTTGACGAGCTGCAGCCACCTGGCATCTTTGGAGTCCTGGAGCAATGATTTCTGTTAGCTGTTTTCTCTTTCTTCCCAATCCAATTGCACGGTAGATCTCAGTTGAAGACGGCGTCTCATGCGTCTGCGGAGGAGTTGCGGGATGCAGAGGGGTATTCCTACCAGTGGCTCTATCGAGACGATCTTTGCGTTGCTTGCTGACATTGCGGCTTGCGAGCTAATTATCTTGAATGTGTGGTGACATTTATGCAGAGGCTGTACTAAACAGTATCTCCCACCTGCAACGCCCTGACCCAATGCCGTCGGGTCTGTCTTGTGCCAGTAGCGAACTCGGCAGAGGTGGGGTTCTTAGTGCACCGTCCGCCGAAGGCAGCCGTCCCGAGCCATGAGCTGACTCACCCTCTACGACGCTCATCTTCTCCCCCTCCTTTCCGCAGACCGCGCTATTTCCTCCCTTTAACACCACTCGAATCGTCCAACACTGTCCGCTTTCATCGCCAAAGCGGACCACCAGCCCTCGCTGTAAGTGACATCCCCTCAGCTGCACAAGCATTCCCCCCAGTCATCGGAAAGAATGGGTTCATTTATACCCCAGGTTCGAGAAGATGGCGCTGCCATTGCCCATGTGCCCTCCACCATGATGGCCGGGCTGCCAGCGGCACCACTGCCGCCCACCGACGTCCTGCGCAGCCTGCGTATTGGCAAGGTCAAGCCCTTCCCGGGCCAGAACAAAGTCCGCTCCGCCATCAACAAGCTGCCCCAGCAAGGCCGCATCTATGTCTCCCCGCTCGGCCTCACTGGTGACGAGCAGCAGTTTGAGCTGCACGGCGGGCCTGACAAGGCGCTGCACCAGTACTGCTCGGCCCACTACCCGCTCTGGAACGAGCTCGCCCCGGGCCGCGAGTCCCTCTTCAAGGTCGGCGGGTTTGGTGAGAACCTGTCCGCGGAGCTGCTCCACGAGGGCAATATCTGCATCGGCGACAAGTTCCGCCTCGGGCCCGAAGTCGTCATCCAGGTCAGCGAGCCCCGGCAGCCGTGCTACAAGCTCAACATGCGCTTCGAGTACAAGAAGGCGTCCAGCACGGCCCAGTCCACGGGCCGCACGGGCTGGTACTACCGCGTGCTCGTCCCGGGCCATGTCCAGCAGGGCGACCGCTTCGAGCTGCTCGAGCGGCTGCACCCAATATGGTCCGTCTCGCAGGTGCAGAACTTTCTATATCATGACACGGCAAATGTAGAAGCCTCCACCGTGCTGAGCCAGCTGCCCGAGCTGAGCAAGTACATCCGCGACATCTTCACCGCGAGACTCGTCAACGGCGTGGAGAACATGGCTGGCCGCCTCGAAGGAGATCGCCTGCCCGTGGTCTGGCGGCCGTATCACCTCGTCGAAAAGACCGATGTGACCCGCCGCGTGAAGAGGCTGGTGTTCGAGGTTAACGAGAGCCATGCGGATATCGAGCCAGGCCAGCTGGAATTTGGCCAGTTTCCGCACGTCCGTCTGCAATTCGGGCCCGAACTGGCCTTCTCGCGCGCATACTCCGTCGTCGCAGGTGACATGCGGCGTTTCGAGCTCGGCGTCGCCCGTGATGACAACTCGCGTGGGGGGTCCGTGTACATGCACGACGAGTTCCTGGTCGGCGACAAGACCAAGGTCGCCAAGGGGTCTGAAGCGCCTGCACCTTCGACCTTGAACGGTCATGGAAAAGACTGCCTCGCCGATACCCGCAAGCACATATTCATCATTGGCGGTATCGGCATTACCGCTTTTCTGCGCGACCTCATCTCGCCAGCCTCACCACTCAACCCGGCCAACAACAACAACAACACCGAGATCCACTACGCAGTCCGCTCCCACGAGGAAGCAGCATATCTGTCCCTTCTCCCAGCCGCACAGACCACAATCTACGCCAAACACCAGCACGAATCTGCTGCTGCCGCCCCCGCTGGCACGGCCCAGCGCCTCGAGCCCAAGGCCGTCATCCCGGCCAGCCCGGCCAACGTGGCAATCTACTGCTGCGGGCCAACCTCCCTGATGGAAGAGTGCCAGAAGCTCACAACGCAGTACGCCTACCCGCGCGCCCAGGTGCACTTTGAGTCCTTTGGCTCCGCCGAGTCCGGCACGGGCCAACCGTTCGAGGTGGAGATCAAGCGGTCCGGAAAAGTGCTGCAGGTCCCCCGGGACAAGTCCCTGCTCGAGGTGCTGACCGAAGTCGGGTTCGACGTGGACAGCTCATGTCTGGTCGGGAACTGCGGGAGCTGTGTGGTGGATTACTCGTGCGGCGGGAGGAAGGAGAGGAGGGGAGGGGCGACGGCAACAACGAAGAATAACAAGGGTCGAAGGGACGAGGGAGAGGCGGCTGCGGCTGATGGGGACAGCGAGGAGGGGGGCAGGTCGAGCATCGGGGCTTGGCGCTCGAGGAAGCACAGAAGGAGGATAGCCTGCTCAGCTGTGTCAGTCGTGCGAGAGGTCGGATCATTGTTGATGTCTGAGACGACTTATTAAAACTTTTCGAGGTTCTGAAGCAGGACAAATGGAGACTCATTTTGGCTGAGAATGGAGGAGACAGACAGATATCGAGTGATTACTAGATCTTTGAAGATTCGCGCACTGGGAAAAGGTGATCCTGCATCATGTCCATATCACGGACGCGTGAATCGTTTTGAAATACGAAGAGCATCGCCTCACCAAGTGATATTCATTAACTTGAGACTCTGTGACAATTTCGCGTCTGTCACCCAAAGTCCAAACAGCCCTCGACACAGTACGGGAACAGCAACGTCAGGGCCTCGACTTAAGTACTCCCCAAGGCCTGCCCAACAAAGAACAAGTTCTCAATAGCGTTAACCCCATAAAGCGCCATGTCGTTGGTGCTCAACCAGCTCGCCTCGTCGACGGGCGTGAGCACTTTGCTCCCCTCGACCCGCACGGTCGTCCAGTTGGTCGCCCCGGAACCATCGCGCTTCAGCCCGTCGGAGCCAAAGAACTCCTTCCACGCACGGCTGGCGAGCGTCGCATTGCCTGTCTTCCATGCCGCGTACGCAGTGAGCTTCGAGTGGCCCTGGATCAGAGACACGCTGCCAAAGTCCTTGCCGTAGCGGGCCGCCTGCTCGGGCTTGCCGGCAGAGTAATAGTAGCAGTAGTCGAGCCATGCCTCCAAGAAGCCCGCCGGCAGCTTGGGGTTCTCAGAGGGTGTGCCCTGTCCGACGTGGTCGAACACCTGCGTGAGAACCTCTTGCAAGCCGAACACAGCGTCAAGGTGGGAGACGACGACGATGCCCTTGTTATCTGGGTCTGTGGGAGGGGCCGAGATTGCGCCCGAGGATGAGTTGTACAGCGCCTCACCAGTGACGAAGCCGTTCTTCAGAGCCGCGATGCCTTCGAACCCCTTAAGGAGTTTGCGCTGCGCGGCCTCCGCGTTGGGGCCCCGGCGCTCCCACTCGATGAGCCACGCGCCAGCGAGGGAAACCCAGTCCAGCCCGAGGCTGATGTACAGCGCCTCCGGGTCTGGGACGTACACGACGCTCGGGTCGCGGATCTTGCGCCTCGCGTCGACCGCAACGAACGCTTGCTCGGCCTTTTGAACTTCCGCGACTAGATCACCCGTGCGCTCGTCGCCACCTGAGATGTAGTAGAACACGCGGCGGTATATTGTCGTCGATATGCGGATCTGCTTGGCTGAATCGCTCCAGTGGTCCACGCCGTGCCGTGTGCCTAGGCCGGTGAAGTTGCCCAGGTGGTACACATCGACGTCGCCGCCATGGCGGACTTGGGCTTCTGCGAGTCTATAGACGTCTGCCCGGCCAGTACGCAGGAAGTAGTTCCAGAAGAAGATGTCGGGAGAGAGCTCGCTGTTGTCCCAGGCGTAACCGCCAATGTCGTAGCGCCACTGATGCCGGTCGACGTCGTAGGTGTGCATGATGTCGCCTGCAGTGGAGTGAGTGAGTATGGATGTAATTGTGCTGGGGGATAAGTTGGGAATGACTCACCATGATCCCAGAAGCCGTACCATCGGCGCTGCTCGACCTGTCCGATATAGTAGCGGACCAGGAAATCCATATGTTTCTCAATGTCCTGCGCCGCTCCGGTAGTGCTGTTGCTAGGAAGGCCCCAGTATGTGCCAAGGGCACCCGATTCCTTAATGCGACTCGGCTCGACAAACAGAACAGGCGGCTCGTTCACGTAGGCATTGAGGCCGCCAAGCGCCTCTTGCGAAGGTGTACTATCGAATCCAAAGATATACAGCTCGTTCGTCCTGGCGATACCGGTAGGGGTATTGTACCCGCCCTCGTAGTCCTCATAGGTAATTTCCAAGGCATCGAGCTGCTTCGCGTATGTATCTTGGCCAAGGCCGTCGTGAAAGGGACGAAGATCCATGGGGCCAGCCGCCGGGCTGTGCAGCCACAACGTAATCTGTCCGACATCACTTGCAGCGTTGCGGATGTCAATGCCGGTCGGGTATCTCTTCCAGAAGTCACGATGGCCGACACCAAGGCCGCCACCCGCGGCACCACCGAGGTAGACCAGACCTCCTGCTTTCGTCCCGCCAGGGATCTTGACCCAGGACTGGCCAGCCTTTGTGCGCTTCTTGAGTGTGAACCCGTCTGGCGACAGCTGTGTCAACGAATAGTCATTCCAGTTAGGAATCCACTGGAGGCGAGTGGTGACTCGAGTATCCCAGGTCGAAGTGTCGGGAGTCGCTTTGCCTTCGTATTGTGCTGTACGGACAGCCTGGCCAGGATCTCGGCGAAGGCCGGTGATGCCCTTGACTGCTTCATTCAGCAGGCCGCCATCTGCGCTCGAAAGCCGAATGTGGCGATTATACAACTCGTCAGAAAGTGGCACGTCGAATCGTATCCCAATGCCCACAATGAAGTTCTGGCTGGCAGTACCGTCGTACGTGAGAGTGTGGAGCACCTTGATGGCCTCGGAGTTCTTGTAGAGGTAGAAGCGGACAGTAAAGGGCAGCCAACCTGGTCCATCTCCGCTTATGGGTTCGTGTTTGCCCTTGATGGTGACAAGCGTGCGCACAGAGTTGTCCTTGCTGACGGCGACATCCTCGATCACACTATTAAGCTGGGACTTTGCGGGCTGCTCCCCGGCGGCGTCCTCCTCGGCGATGGCGGACTGTGCAAGGAGGACTAAAACACCGTCCGTGCCAACCGTTTTGCCGCTTGCCGTCTTGATCGAGCTGATGATTGTGTTGCCGGACTTCTTGAAGACTGCTGATATCTTGCCTGTGTTGACCACAATCTCACTGCCGGTCTCGGCAACCATAGAGCTGGCGTCCTGGCGCCTCCGAAACCGCTGCGAGTAGCCTACGACTGGGCTCACAGTGTAGCCAGTGCCGACGGCATTGGAGGCTCCCACCGCATGACCGGTCCACTTGACCGAGCCGTCAGGCCAATAGGCCGTGATCCATGACTGGACGTCGACTTGCCCGCCATTGGAGTCTGTCGCGGTGAAGCTTGTCGAGTTGGCTGGGTATTTGCCACGAGGCCACGGGAGGCCAAAGGTCGCGCCCAGGTTGAGGTCTGGGGCATCGCCGACCCAGGAGACTGCGGCAGAGTCGGGAGACTGGGCCGCCGCGAGGCCGGCACAGCCAAGAGCAGCCACGAGATGGCACAGGGCTGGGTGCATGGCGGCTCGGGTCTGGGTTGCAGAGCTTGCCGTCGCGTCGAGAGCGCTGCCTCACGAAAGCGGCCATGGATGCTCATCAGTGCCGGGCATGGGCATATTTGTATGCAGGCCAGGGACTGGCATCTCGACTCGGTTGACGATGGCCCGAGGAGCAGTCGAGGGCCCTGGCATCGTCAGGGCAGCGGGCGGCAGTGTGGAAGCGGGCTGCAATGTTACCCCATGGATCGATCGCCATGGGCAGGCGAGCTTGCGTGCTGCAGTGAGGTCTGGTCGCGACCCCGGTTTGTGCATGGCGTCTTTTGAGGAGCACTCGGTGCAAAGGGTGCGATGTGCCAATGTCCACGAATAGAAGGCCTGTGTAAGCGTAGTTGTAGTTTACCCGGCTGGCAGGGGAGGAGCAAGGCAAGATGCAGATCGTGGCGGGGGTTCCCCAGAATGCCGCTCACAGCTTCCCAGACGAGCATGGCCACTCTGGCCTGGCGTGCTTGGCTGCCCTCATCGCGTCAGCAGCCCTGGGCTTTGTCGGCTGTTGTCGTTGCTCGGGACAATGCCACTGCCGAGTGTGCCTGTTCCCATGTCTGTGGGGGTTGTCTTGTTCCTGACGCTCCAGCCCGTTGGTCCTCAGCCATTACTGCCAATGTCGGGAAACATGGGCTCTGAGTTCAAGGTGTCTATCCCAATAACACATGATGCACCATGTGTCTGAGTGTGGCCTGTCATCCTCAAAACTCATCAGCAAGTAATCATCAGGACGTTGTAGTCTCTCGCACAAGTACCTATATTGGTAGGTATTCAGATGTCCAAACTTTGATCTCCCACGCGTTGCATTGACATACGGACAGGTGACAGAACAACCAAGGGCACCATTTGCACGATTTAGCGTAACCTTAGAACCTTGTCTTAGGGAGTAGGGAGTAGAGAACCGCGGCCATTTCTTCTGGAGAGCCGCCGCCCCGCCATGCAAGCCAGGCACACGGGCCTTGGGCAACCTTGGAAAGCCCCAGCCGCAGCGTCATGCCATGTGCTCAACACACTGTACTGGCACAGTCCGTCGTGGTGCCTGGCCTCAGCCAAGGACTGAAAAAAACCACAACACCGAGATTAAGATCGTCAGCCCTATCAGCGCATCTCCAAGGTCAGACGGAATCAGCCAAGCAGACAAGATGATTCGGCAAGCACGACTCTTCTCAAGACCCTCGTCATGGGCACAATCGGCTTCCTGGCGGTGCCACAGCTCATCCCAGCTGACGAGGGCCTCATTCTCATCTCGCGCTTCCTCAGCTGCACCACAACACATCCAGATCTCATCAACAACATCACAGCAACGTGCAGTGAGGCACAGGGCCTCCACGCTCCTACGTCAGAGCCCCTCAGCCCGCCGCGCCTTTCATTACAACCCTCAGCCATACCAGCCACATCCTCAGCCCGGCAAGTCATGGCTCAAGGTCCTCCGCGACATGGCCCTGGGCTCGCTGCTCACCATCGTTCTCTCCACGGCATATGACTACTACGAGGAGCGGCAGTACATGCAAAAGTACAAGGCCGAGGAGGAGTGGGCCGAGGACCTGCGCGTGCAGCTCGCGCGTGAGTTTGATGAGGCCCGGAGCACGCCCGTCGACGACTCCGACGCGGGTGCGGCCAACCGCGACTTTGAGCGCCAACGCAAGCTACGGGAGCTGACGTTTGCCCTGCCGCCCCGCGTCGCAGGCGAGCGAGCCGCCGAGGAGGCTGGCTGGCTTCCCGGATTCCCGTACGGGGACGAACTGCACGGCAAGGAACGCGTGCCTGCCGAGGAGACCAAGATGTACATCACCAAGGACGACTACGGCGGCATTTCGTCGGTGCTGATTGCCGTCAACGTCGACGTCGACCAGCAACAGGACGCGCCAAGCGCGGACCACGCCTACTACACACCCCCAACCTTTGCTCCGGCTGTAGACAGTGGGCTGGACGAGCGAAGAGTGCGGCCGTCGGAGTGGGAGGACGCTGGAGGCACCGTCCTGGGCGAGCTCGTGGCGCGCGTGCGCATGCAGAAGGACCTCTGGAAACGGCAAGGGCGACTGTCACAGGTTGAGGAGGACTATCTGCTCGTTGTGCTGTACCTGAGGAATCGCACATGGATGTTCCTGCTTGACAGGGGCGAGGTGCAGCCGTTGAGCGGGATCGTGAACATCCTCAAGTGAGCGGCAGGTTTCAACAACCAGTGCGGCTCGTAGGGGAAAGGGACAGCGGTCGGGCGATGATCATCTTGAGGCGGAGTTGTGGCATGGATCGTGATCGAGATACCTCTGTATAGACTGCGTGTACTTTGTATATTCTGTATTCTGATAGACCAGCGAGATGCAGCTCCAGGTGCAAAGGCGGGCAGGACTCAAAATCAAGAACAATGAGCAAGATACCACCAAGCATTCAACGTTTGACACAAGCGGGAGCACAGCGTCTCTTCGACAAAATGCCAGGATGCTCACGTGACAGCGATCATTCTCTGAGCTGAGGCAGGGACAATCAACTGATCAAGTCAGTGAATGAATGAATGGACCTCGTTCAGGAGTCAAGTGCGACCCCGGCCTGGATGCAGCCTAGCGCCACCCAGCCAGGCACTGGCGATTCCAGAGCATTCTCACAATCAGCGCTGCCCCACATGCTCGCGGCCAACAAACGTTGCGGGCACGGGGAATGCGGATTACGTTGTGCCTGCCTGCCCAGCACCTGCAAGTGCTCTGCCCGCACGCAGTTGCCGCTCAGGCCCGGACCCCTCCTCCCGCCAGCCAGCTTGCTCCTGCGCCTACTCATCGTCACATCACCCTATCACCTGCCTCGCCTCCCAACCTGTGCTTGCGACGCTTGCTTTCTTGCTCGTCCTCCGCTCCCCCCTTACCTCGCCTCGTGCCTTTCGCTCCTCACGAGGCCTCTCCCTCTGGCCTCCCACTTGGCTGCGACGACAGACACTGCAGCCTTCAAGGCGACAGCGCCACGCTTTCGACAACACCAGCCCCTATCACATCGCATCCCTATCGCTGCAGCAAGCCCCCACATCGTTGTCGTCATCGTCGCCAGCATCATCGCCATGGCCGACAACAACCCCGACGCCGCGGGTGACGACCAGGTGACCTTCAAGGTCAAGACCTCGGGCGACAAGACGCACTCCATCACCATGGCCCAGGCCGCCACCGTTGCCCAGCTCAAGGAGAAGCTCGCCGGCTCCGACTTTGAGGACATCCCCATCGAGCGCCAGCGCCTCATCTACTCGGGCCGTGTCATGAAGAACGAGGAGCCCCTCAGCACCTACAAGATCAAGACGGGCAACACCGTCCACCTCGTCAAGAGCGCCGCGAGCAACCCAACCCCGCAGCCTCCTGCCTCCAGCACTTCCACTCCTGCCGCCCCGCAGGTTCCTCAGAACATGTCCGCCGGTACCTCGGCAGGCAATCTCCTCGCAGGCCTTACTGGCGCGCGGTATGCGGGCTTGACCGGCCTTCCTTCGGCGTCCGCATTTGGGCCTGATGGTGGCGTAAGTATACTCTGTCACGTTCCTGACTGTGCGCATGTGACTCCAAGCTAACCAACGTGTGGCCCGTTCCAGATGACCGGCATGGGAGGCATGAGTGAGGACGACCTCGCCAGAATGATGGAGGACCCCGCCACCATGCAGCACATGAACGAGATGATGAACAGCGACGCGTTTCTTCAGATGATTGAGCAGCACCCCAACTTCCGCGACAATCCGGCGGCCTTGGCCATGATCCGCGACCCCAACATGCGACGGATGATGTTCAACCCGCAGACGATCCGGATGGCCTCCCAATTACAACGACAGCAGCGACAGGCCGCTGGCGCCGCCTCTGCGTTTCCTATGCCCGGTACGACTGACAACACCCCATCCGATGCCACAACGGGCAATGCCAATAGCAACAACCCTGCTGGCAACCCCCCGCCATACAACCCCTTCAGCTCGCCCCTGTTCTCCGGTATGGGTGCCGGTGCCGGTGCTGGAGGTGCGGACCCTAACGCCAACCCATTTGGTGCGTTCTTCAATCCATTCGCGGGTATGCAACCGCCGCAGGCGAGCGGTTCGCCAGCGCCTGGGCAAGGCACTACAAACACCAACCCCAGCGGCACAGCCGGGTCGAACCCGACAGGCTCACCACCTCCCCAAGCCAACCCCTTCGCCAGCCTCTTTGGTGCTGGTGCTGGCGCTGGTGCCGGTGCTGGCCTGGGAGCGAACCCCTTTGGAGGCATGCCACCACCGAACCCCGAGTGGATGGCGCAGTTCCTGCGAGCGATGGAGGGAGGCGGCGGCGGCCTAGGCTCACCACCTGCGCCACAGGACGACCGGCCGCCAGAGGAGCGGTACGCTGATCAGCTGCGGCAGCTGAACGACATGGGTTTCTATGACTTTGACAGGAATGTCGCGGCATTAAGACGGAGTGGCGGCAGCGTGCAGGGCGCTATTGAGCACCTGCTGGGCTAGCCAGCCATAGTCGTTGGTTTTGACGAACTATGCAGACCTTCGTCTGCGAGAGGGAGATCACTGGGATTGGTCAGTCATATATCTATTGTTCCCGTGTTGGTCCAGAGCCAAGGAATGGTTGGCATGGATTCTGCTTTGCATAGCATTGCGTTTTTGCGAAGAGAGCAAGGTGGCTGCACTGAAATAATTCGAGTTGTCTGCGCAAAGAAGCTATGGCAGCCTCTTGCCCGTGACAAAAAAATTGGGATTATCGAGTTCTATTACCGAATTACTAGATTCCGTACCGTGGCCTAGTTGTATCTTTGTGCCTATTTTCTGAGGTGTGCCTGTTGGCGCGCTCGCGAGAATACTCATTACTTGAAAGTTGCGACAAGGTGAGGCCAAGTCCCCGACCACGAACCCCGCAGCAAGCAGGCAGATTGCCGATCCCGAACCGGCATAGGATATATGGGGTTGTGTTGATTTTGATAAACCCGACGACGGCCCAGCTGCAAGACACCCGTGGACGTCCTGCACACCCGGCACTAGACGGAACAAAAAAGCAATCATGACGTCAGTTGTCAGCACTCTCAATAACGGCGCGCACACACAGATCTGCCATGGCAAGGCAGGGAAGGATCCGAGGGTGCTCCGCAGATCTGGAGCAGCGGGCTATCGCTATCACAATGGCGAGATTTGTTTAGTGTTTTTGTCTATGTTGACTAATGTGTAGTTGATTTAATATGTACATGATGCAGCATGGAATTCTATGGCCCCCAGCGGTAAAAGCGTAACCTCGCTAAATGAGATGAGACAAAGCGACAAGCTTTCTTCACCTCCGCAGACCGACCGTCGCGAGACCATGGTTTATCCCACTCAGCACCGCCTCAAAGACACCGCCGCCATGCCTGCGCGGTCCGGCAACGGCACCAGACCACCTCGCGACGAACCACGCCAGCCCCGCCACGGCGGGGACCAGCACGCCGGCAAACATGCGCGTGAGCATGCGGCCCTGGTACTCGGAGCGCGCGATGACGGCCGAGTACGGGTCGTTGCTGAAGCTGACACGCGAGTACTTTGTGTGCCAGCCCAGGCGGGGCACGTGGACGGAGAGGAACTCCTCGAGGAACTTGCGCAGCTGGTAGGTCCGGGAGAGCACCGAGGCGCGCATCTCGACGTAGTTGGCGAGGGCGAGGTCGTTGATCGCGTGGGCGTCGGGCGTGCGGAGGGCCGTGTACTCGGCGAGGGCGGCCGCGCGCTGGGCGGCGGCCGTGGCGGCGGTGGTGGCGGCGGCGTTGTGCTTGTCCAGCGTCTCAAAGAGGATCCGGACGTCCTCGAGGCCGGCGTTCATGCCTTGTCCGTAGAAGGGCACCATGGCGTGCGCGGCGTCGCCGATGATGACGCCGGAGCTGCCGTAGTGGTAGGGCGTGCACTTGATGTTGATGAGCGGGAGGTGCGGGTTTGCCTTGAACGAGGCGACCAGCTCCGATGGCGGGATGAGGTCCGTCACGCCGGGGAAGTGCTGGTCGAAAAAGGCCGGGACCTGTGTCGGGTCGGCCTCGAGCTTGGCATAGCCTGCATTGTGCATGAAGAGCGTGCATGTAAAGGTGCCGTCCTCGCTGGGGATGGCAATGAACATGAACTGCTTGCCGGGCCAGATGTGCAGATGGTTGGGTGAGATCTTGAACATCGAGTCTGGCCCGTTGATGGCCGTCTTGCCTGGCTTGGGCATGATCTGGAACTCGCACCACAGCGTATCTATATACTCTTGCTTGTAGCTCATCTGTGTGTACTTCATCAGGTGGTACCGGGCGGCTGAGTGGGCACCGTCGGCGCCAATCATGAAGTCAAAGGAGATTTCAATCTCGTTCGGGCTCTTGGCATCGCTACGATCCTCGAACCACGCCTTTTGCCGCTTGAAGTCGGCGCCCGTGAGCTTGTGGTGGAAGAACAACTTGACGTTGGGCATCTCCGCTAGACAGTCCAGGAGCTGCTTGTTGAGACCGGCACGGTCCGCGGCGTTAATGGCCTGTTACGTGTGGGTTAGCAATGTGGCGTGCCAACTAGAACCTAGCACGACAGATGGAGGCATACCCGGCCGTGGGCATCATAGTCCTGTGACGCCTCATAGAGCTCGCCCGTGGGCTTGCGGCCGTGAATCATGCGGCCTCTCATGGGCAGCGTAGAGGCCAGCACACGCTGGAGCAGTGCGGGCTCGTTGGCATTGCGCAGAGCGTTGATGCCTCGTTCTGAGAGGGCCAGGTTGATGGACTTTGTGAAGTTGAGGGGCGTGGTGGACGGGTCTCTGAGGTCTGCTGCAGTGTCAGAATGCGGCCCCTCATCTTGTGACTTGAGATCAACGGAGATGGCGAACCTGCTCTGAGCTCATATACCTCGACGTTGAAGCCTCGCTTGGCGGCGTACAGGGCTGCAAGAGACCCCACTGGGCCCGCGCCAACGACGACGTATTTTTGTGAGCTGCTCTGGGACGACATTGCTATCTGTGATCGGAGTGGTGGCGGTGAAAAGAAGTCCAGCTGTTGTTGCTGCGTTCGAGGGGTTTGGTGAGGCTCATATGGCCTGATAAAGTGAGAGGTGAGTCGTAAGAGCAAGTGCGCGGAACACGGAATGGGCAGGCGCGGAAGCTCGGATGCAGTTGCCTCATGACGCTGACTGGCGCGGGCGGCGCTCCCGTGGCTCCACTCCCGCCCGTGGCCTGCCCTCCTTCCGGCCGGGATGCGGCGCCGGCTTCGCCTTCGAGAAAACCTGGCTCCGCCACGGCAACACCCGCCTGGGCGCGGAGGTGAGAGCATGACGGTCGAGTTCATGATGGATGCCGTTTTATCGATGCGGCGATGCATTGACGATGACGTCAGTAGGACTTGCTTGCCCTCAAGACAAAGAGCCATAGCCTTGCTCGCCTTGCCCCAATGACAAGTTTGTTGCATTACCCTGCTGTCGTTGCACGCGCGCGTCAATGGCTTGTGTTTCGACCACGCCCATCATGCAACCAAGATCGTGCCCAGTTCGTCATCTGTCACCAAGTCAAGTTAGCCAGGCGCCAGTGCCTGCACAGCATGCAGGGTCCTGCTGGCACCCCGATCCTCCCCCACCAACAATAGCTGGACACTTGCAGATCACACCCCTCAGGGTTCTCGGAGCAGCCCAGACCATATCATATAAGGACTGCCCAGGGCCAACCGAGATGATTCAACATGTATGCTTCCATAAAGAGAGTCGCGTTTGTATTCCAGGATCTAGCACAACCTCAAAACTGGCTGGCCAATGCGAAACCCGCCAGCCGCGTGCGCGGCTTCTGTCGATGGGCCATGCCATGTGGGCGGCATCCTTTCTATAACAACCTCAAAGCCTCGAAGAGATCGGGCCACGTCATCCACGGATGTTGTCAGCAAGATGGCCTTTTCTTGGTGAGAACGTTTGCTGGCCTTAGGCACTCGCACTCCCCAGCCTGAGCGGACCTCGGGAGGCTTGGAGCAGGTGGGCCCCACCTCCATCCCACGCGTGGGGCAGTTGCCGCCACAGCAAGCAAAACATTCTCAAGATCCAACCGCACGGCGACAACACGTCCTCTCCAGCCGACGACACCTCCAGCAGCTCCAGTTCCCCTGCAGCAGCGATCGTCGACACCACTGCAACCATATTCGGAGTCTTCAAGCCATCTCCCAGCCCACCGCAAGCAGCATGACAGAACCACCGGCCAAAAAGGCTTGCCTCGGCGCCGACTGCGAAAATCCAGCCGGAGACCTGCAATGCCCTACCTGCCTCAAGCTTGGCATCAAGGACAGCTTTTTCTGCTCCCAAGACTGCTTCAAAAGGAACTGGGTCAGTACAAGTTCCAGCAGCTCTCCGGCCCGCCTGGGCGCACAGCTAACGAGGACTTGCCCTCCAGAATGAGCACAAGGCCACCCACAAGACCGCCCAGGGCAAGCTCGCAAACGGTATTCTCTCCAGCCTCATGACTCCAAAGGTCGTTTCTGAACCAGATCCAGCGACCGGCCACTTTAACCCTTTCCCCAACTTCAACTACACTGGGCCCCTCCGTCCCGTCTATCCGCTCTCGCCCATGCGCAAGGTTCCCAAGTCGATAAAGCGCCCCGACTACGCTGAGACCGGAATCCCCAAGAGCGAGCGTTTCCTCAACCGCAACAAGTTCGATATTCTGGACCAGGCTGGCCAGGATGCTATGCGTAAAGTCTGCCGCTTGGGTCGCGAGGTGCTCGACATCATTGCCGCAGAGGTCCGACCTGGTGTCACAACGGACTACCTCGACGAGGTGTGCCACAAAGCCACTATCGAGAGAAATGTACGCGCAGAATATCAAAATATCGCTAGGAGTCCACGAGAACAGGTACTAACAGTGCGCAGTCCTACCCGTCGCCGCTCAACTACAACCACTTTCCCAAGTCCTTCTGCTCGTCAGTCAACGAAGTCATCTGCCACGGCATTCCCGACCAGCGTGTCTTGCTCGACGGCGACATCATCAACCTCGACGTCTCGATATATCACGAGGGCTACCATGCCGATCTGAACGAGACATACTACGTCGGCGACAAGGCGAAGGCGGATCCAGACTCCGTCCGTGTGGTCGAGGCCGCACGCGAGTGCTTGGACGAGGCGGCCAAGCTGATTAAGCCTGGAACCCTGATCCGCGAGTTCGGCAATGTCATTGAGAAGCACGCCAAGACAAAAGACTGCAGCGTCATCCGGACGTATTGTGGCCACGGCGTCAACAGCCTTTTCCACTGCCCTCCAAATGTCCCCCACTACGCCAAGAACAAAGCTGTGGGCGAGTGCAAGCCTGGCATGACTTTCACCATCGAGCCGATGATTGCGCTCGGCAAATACCGGGATGTGACCTGGCCAGACAACTGGACGAGCACGACCATTGACGGCAAGAGGACAGCTCAGTTTGGTAAGTTTGGTGCTTATGAGTGCAGTCTTGAAACCCATGATGCTGATTTAGCTCGTCTATAGAACACACGTACCTTGTCACGGAGACGGGCGTCGAAGTCCTGACGGCGAGGTTGCCAACATCACCCGGAGGACCTGTACCTATGCCTGGGATGGAGAATGGAACGGCAGCGGCTTGAGCGATGTGAGCACAATACAAAACACTGACAGGTCGACTGCCTGCGTTTCTACATGTTGGCCGTGCAGCATTTGTTTGGACGACAATAGTGCAAGATCGTCTTGCCACATCAGACTGACTGATTCACGTCCTTGTTCGTTTGCCAGGAACAACCGTTGCAATCATGGCATGCGTGGATCCCATCATCGGAGCCCGTTTAGTGTCGGCTCCATCTGCACGTCCACGACCCCGCGCTAGAAGGACCCGACACTACGTGACTGCCCTAGGACAAGCCTTTCTGATGGATGATCTTTGGACTTGACTGTGCCCACCAACGTGGCCCAAACCGTGGCGCGAGCTTGAAGAGCTTTTCTGCTCCTTTAAAGCATCCGAGAAATATCTGCTCCTATTCCACGTGCCGCCAAGCTCGCATGCTGGGCAAAGGGTTTCTGGATCCACAAGGGCGGTCCAGCCTCAGAGATGCAACGATGCAAGGTCAGCACGAGCCTCAATAACTGGAGCCGGACCGGGCTGGGCCCAAGCTCCTATGGCCAGCCAGAGTGTGACCCCGCCGCCCGAGCTGTGCTCACGGCCGAGCAGTATGCTTCTCTGAGATGGTGCTGCTTGCGTGATTGTGACTCGCCCTGCCTAGGTCGGTACGTATCTAGCTTGGAAAGGCCAGGTGTGAACAAGACACACTCCGTCGCCCCTTTGACTCGGCGCAGCAGATGCGCGTGACTGCCTAAACCATGTAGTGAGAACATGACACTAAAACCGAGAGAGGTCGCGTGCAGCGCAGGCATGTGCCAAAGCTCCTCGGTCTACAAAGCCACTGCGCCGGCTCTTATCTGAGGCCTGCATTGGGCTTGCAGGCTGTTGGGTTTGGTGGGCGAGGGGAGGCCGGAACCCCGGACGGCGGGCGCCTGTGGTGTGCGGGCTGGGCCAGGCTGACTTCGGCCAACGCACACACAGTCCGCTCCCAGCATGCGCCGGCCACACAAACGTCACCGCGCACCAGTCTCAACACCACCAGACCCGTCCTGCTTTCCACTTTTCCCACCTGCTCCTCCTCCCCTCCACTGCCGCCCCCAACCACCGCCACCACCACCGCCGCAGCATCCCAAGCGACAATACCCTCACGTCGCGCGCTCCCAGCAAGAGAGACCCTCGAGCTTCATCTCGCGTGCATACCTGCAATCTCCTCGCCTCCCCGCGCCGACCCGTTGCCTGACCACGCCGGTCCTTGAACCTCTACCGAACCGCCCAACATGTCGGGAGAAGCGTGGCTCTACCTCCTCGCCGTGCTCATAAATGCCGTCAACCTCTTCCTCCAAGTCTTCTTCACCATCATGTACAGCGATCTCGAGTGGTATGTGCTTGCGTCCTCTCCCCCGAAGACCTTGTGGCTCCTGCGCCCGTGGGAGCTTATATGCCGCTCTGGCACCTCCCGCTGGAGGAAAGCTAGGTGTGGAGCTCATGGGATAGGCATGGCCACAAGAGCGTCAAAAAAGATGCTTCTACTGGATGCCCCGAGCTGCAAAAAGCGCAGGACGTTTTCATAATCACATTTGGGCTACACGCTGACACTTCCCTCTTTCCCAGCGACTACATCAACCCTATCGACCTCTGCAACCGCCTCAACACCTACATCATCCCCGAGGCCGCCGTGCACGGATTCCTGACATTCCTGTTCCTGATCAACGGCTACTGGCTCGCGCTGGTGCTCAACCTACCCCTGCTCGTTTGGAACGTCAAGAAGTATGTCGACCCGAGTTGCGAAAGCTGTCCCAGGAAGCCTCATCCGCTAACTTGACTCTAGGATTGTTGAGAACACTCATCTTCTCGATGCCACCGAGATCTTCAGGAAGCTGAATGTGCACAAGAAGGTATATTTTTGCACGTCGAGCAAGCCATGCCCGGGACGTTAATGGACTGACAACGCTCGCCCGCAGGAATCATTCATCAAGCTTGGCTTCCACCTCATCATGTTCTTCTTCTACCTCTACAGCATGATCGTCGCCCTCATCCGTGACGAGACCAAATAAACTACGCCGGCGCTGCGGTGAGAGACAGCCTTATGGCCGCATCGTGTACAAACACCCGTATGCGAGACGGACGGCTCTTTCTTGGCTGCGCCAGCCCTGCCCAGGCAGTATTGGACACTGAGCTCGCTGGTGCTGGGCAACCGTTTCGAGGTGTGGAGAATGGGCAAAACCATGGACAGTCCCCCGTGGCCTGACATCACGGCGACCAGATGTGATAGCCCAGGGGGGCATACGAAATAATGACACGACGACACTCCTTGCCATGGCGACAAGTTGACCCTTGCCTAGCTAGACGACATGGAGGTTGATGTTGGGAACAAGTGGGTGTTGAACAAGATGTATAGAAGAAGGTGGCGGATAGTACGAGGTCATGCAGGAGCACTGTTGCGCCTCTCCAGTCTGGTATCGAGGCCAGGAGTAGGCGTGTGGTCTTTGGGGCATGGGAAGATTATGACTGCTTATGGAAAGAATACCCACATTGTAAATGAATCGAAGAAAGTGCCTCTTACGGCAGCACGATTGGCCTCGAAGATGATTGCCTCAAAATTGTCATTTGAGAGCTCACTCCTTCAGGGACCCTTTTGTTCAGACTGAAGTCGCAAGGCCACGTTTTCCCCGCGCCAAATGGCTGCGTTGATGCCACGGGTGATGCAAGGCTGACGATGGCAGCGTGCGGCTCTGCGCAGGCAGAAAAATTGTGGCACCACACCCTGGCAAGGCTGGCGGAAGCTTAACCTGCGGCGCGACTGCACTTTGGGCTGCCGCGTGCAACCAAGCACTTTTTGTGTACCTCAATCTGCGATCACCTACCACTTCCCAATCACCCATCCCTGCGAACAGTACGCCCCGGCTCGACACATCAGAACCACCTCTGTCGACCAGTCCATCCATCGCCGTCGCACGATAGACACGTCCGCCACTGCCACTCCGCCTCGCGCCCTCGGCGCAACCACCCAAGCAGACCACCTACGCGGCGCCCCCCCCCTGGTTGCACACGATGGCCGACTTTGGGCAATATCCCGCCAACATGGCGCCGCAGGACGCCCTCATCGTGCGCGAGAACACAGAGGCGGACCACGCCGTGGTGCCGTACACGGGGGAGGACCTGGCGCGACCAAAGATGGGACCCGCGAACCCGTTCCGGGACGAGAGCAACACGGCGCACAGCAACGCCCTGGGCCTGAAGCGGAAAAACGTGCTCACGGGCACCGCGGAGGAGACCTTTGTCAGCGAGCACACGTTCCGCAGCAAGCACCGCGCGATAGAACGCCGGGGCGGGCCGGAGCGGGTACACCAGTCGGGCTCGGAGATCAAGAACGAGGCGGCGAGCCTGCGCAAGACGAGGGAGGGCAAGGGCAACGCGCTCGTCGCGGACGGCGATGGCGCGTATGTGGGGCCCTGGGCAAAGTACAAGCGCGAGGAGTACGAGGAGGTGGACGAGGAGGACATTGGGAGCGACGAGGAGGTCGAGTACGTCTACGAGGACGAGGACGAGCGCGCGGATGTCGTGGCCAGCGGCACCGTCGTTTCGGCGCCCGCGGGCGCGATCGAACACCGCCGCGAGGTCGAGGCGCTGGGCGACGAGACGACGACTTTCCACGGCGACGAGATGTACGACTACCAGGGCCGGACGTACATGCACATCCCGCAGGACCTGGACATTGATCTGCGCAAGGAGCCGGGCGAGGTCACCAACTTCATCCCGAAGAAGCTTGTGCATACGTGGAAGAACCATGGGGGCAAGGCGGTCACGGCGCTGCGGTTCTTCCCCAAGGCGGGACACCTGCTGTTGTCGTCTGGCGCGGACTGCACGGTCAAGATCTGGGATGTATATCACAGCCGGCAGCTTCTGCGGACGTTCTCGGGTCACAGCAAGGCTGTGTCCGACATCTCGTTCAATCTCGACGGCACCAAGTTCGTGTCGTCGTCATTCGATCGGCAGATGAAGCTCTGGGATACCGAAACGGGCGTGTGCGTGAGCAAGTTCAGCACCGGCAAGACACCGCACTGTCTCCAGTTCTACCCGGGCGAGGAGCACTCGCACGAGTTCCTGGCGGGCATGTCGGACAAGAAGATTGTGCAGTTCGACACGCGCACGCGCGAGCAGGTCCAGGAGTATGACCAGCACCTCAACGCCATCAACACCATCACGTTTGTGGACCAGAACCGCCGCTTCATGACCACCTCGGACGACAAGTCCCTGCGCGCGTGGGACTACGGCATCCCCGTGCCCATCAAGTACATTGCCGAGCCGTACATGTACCCGATGACGCGCGCCGCGCCGCACCCGAGCGGCAAGTACGTCGCGTTCCAGTCGTCCGACAACCAGATTGTCGTGTACGGCGCGACCGACAAGTTCCGGCAGAACCGCAAGAAGGCGTACCGCGGCCACAACAACGCGGGCACCGCCATCGACATCTCCATTTCCCCCGACGGCCAGTTCCTCGCCTCCGGCGACACCGCGGGCTTTGTGTGCTTCTGGGACTGGAAGACGTGCAAGATGTACCACAAGCTGCCCGCGGGGGATAGCGCGATCAGCTGCGTCCAGTGGCATCCGCAGGAGACGTCCAAGGTTGCTGCGGCGGGCGCGGATGGTGTGATTCGGTACTGGGACTAGAGATTGGGGCCAGGGATCGAGGGGGAAGAGGACCAGCAAAAGGCATGGATTGGGTTGGGGAGGCATGAGCGTAAAAGAAAGTATGAGTGTATCTGTGTTTGATGGCATATCCCGGCGTTACTGGCGCGTTATTGGTTAGGATAATTCACCTCATGGACCGCATTTTTGTGTGATTTGAATCTTGGCTTCTGATTGAATTGCAACAAGGTTGTTGTGAGGTTTACGTCTCGTGTTCTCATCATCCGTGCTCTTCGTCAGCTGCCCATTCGTCCCGTTCCCACCACGTGAATCGTCTCTATCCACCTTTCAGAGCCCGCCGCATCAGCCGATCGCTTTACATGGGACGACGAGCAACAATGCCATTTTCGAGACCCAGAGGATGAGAAGCTAACGCAGTCAGAGAGGCTGCCATTGCCTCGTGTCCGGGATCTCGAAGTGACCGATGCCTGCCATGATGCTCTAGCTTCTGCGGCTGCTGTTTCGATGGGCCCAAGTGCGTCCTGTCAGACGCTGACTCGACTGCTCTCCCGACGATTGTTGGCTACCCCGTTGCCTAGGACGGTGACCGACATCCAGCATCGTGCTCCGTCTCGTCTTCTCCGCGCCGCTGTCGCTTTGGTGCTCAATCTTCAATCTCTCCACAAGTTCTCGGGGAGCTGGTATTTGCTCCCGGAAAACCGACTGCCGATCCTGGCCCGTCTTCGTCGGCTGAAAGCACTTTTCGCGACACTCTTGGACACGCTTCTTGAGACGATCTGCCTCTGAGCAGTAACCTCAAGCCACCTCGTAACTGAGGCCAAGCCAGATAATCCCTCGGCTGAAATTTTCGAAGGCGGCTTCCAAAGAAAATGTTTTCGCCCTACTGTCCTCGGCCAGAGGCTCTTTGACTGACCAAACGTGGCGCCCCTTCTTTATCATCTCCTCCAGGTCGACCCTTCGTGAATCGGGAAGGCCTTCATTCGTGCCGGCCGCCCGGTATGCCGCGCTGAGGGAAGAGATGACCAAATCGGCGTCGTAGTCGATCCCGTTGCAGTGGCAGCAGGCCCATTTCTCTTGCTGCTGCTGCTGCCGCCCGTATGAGGCACGAGGGTGGCGCTTCTCCACGACAGTCTTGTCGGCAGGCAGACACCGAGGGCAGCTCTGCACGAGATCGTGTGGAGAAGAGTATGTGTCGACCTCCCATGTTAGCGACGGGCAAGGTCCTCGACGAAAAAGGCCGCGAGGACAGGGCTGCCGGGGATCGCCGACAGTGGTTTTGAGATTGGGAAAGTCATCGCCGGGTATCCACCAGCGGCCGCATGCAAAGCGTATCGGCGCTGTTCTGCACATTTTGGGATGTTTGAAAGTGAGGGGTTGCTCATAAAGGTTTTTTGCTCCTAGGAAAACGTGCCGTCAATCCCATATGAGAGCCTTTGAGACTTATATACTGGAGAAGAGCGGTGCCAAGAGTGTCTCTAAATCATGGTCAAAGACCAGTGCACATGCCCTGGGGATGAACCCTAGACTGCACAACCTAGGACAGTCTGACACAAAGGAAGACAGCAAAGAAAGGCAAAGAGTGGATGTTGCGGGGTTGAGACATCAAAGAGCATTCTTGTTGGTATCACGAACCGGGTCAACGCGATGGAAGCAAGGTTTTGTCTTGCCTCTGTTTGGAAGCGAACAGTCAGCCAGACTCTCACAGCGGTGGGGTTCAGGCTACGACCACGCGCTGCTTCTCCATGCAGTCGATCAACGGCGACGCTCTCTGGGCACCCTCAAAGAATCTTTGGGCAATTCCGATCCGCCGGTACGTGCCATCTGAAAGTGGTGCAAGAAGCAGGCCTTCACCACGAGCTAAGCTGTCGCCCCCATGGAAGGTGAGCCAGATGAATAGAGCCTCTGTCGTAAAGTCGTCGCGGGTGTCGAAAATCACCTCGGCGAACTTGTCCCAGTAGTCCACACCATCAAACGCAACATATCCATCCCGCCCTTGCACGCCCTTCCACCTCACGGTCGTCTGCCGCCTTCCCTGGCCGCGCCTCGGCAAGTCATTGGCGATGTCGATCAAAGCACAGGGCCCACTAAGTGTAATTGCACCGCAGAGAACCTGTCCTGTCTCATCCTCGGTGCGATATACCATGTCCACAGCCTCGCAAGATGTGAGGCAGATGTCTTCTGCGCCACTGTAAGTCCTATCGCCATTGACTTGCGCATCGAGGCACGCCCACGACCAAGAGGGTGCCCGATAATGAGGAGCCCTGGCTGCCGCCCAGTCGACTTCCCAGCTGAGCGTCTGCACGAGTTTCTCTTCCCAGAGTCCCGCGAGGTAGCGGTGGGGCAGCCCGGGCTTGAGCTTGTTCAGCATCCCCATCATATCCTGAGCCATCCCAGATATAGCCACCAGCTTGTCAGCTGGCATGGTCAGACTTCGTGCCGAGTAAAAGGTGACGAGGCAATGCCAATCTTCAAATAGCTGCTCGTAGTCATCGGAAGCCAGGAACCGCCGAGGAAAGTCCAGAAGTTCTTTCCCGCCACAGACAGCCCGAGGTAGCGGATTCTTGCCTGAAGCCGGTGGGGTGGAATCGAAAACTCCCACGCCCTGAGGGTTAGTTTCGGCGCATTTGGCCTCGTAACATTCCCAGAAGACCTGCCGGGATCCAAAATACACCGTACGTGGAGCGAGGAGCCGTTCCTGGACAACCCATGCCCTCTTTAACAAGGGCTCTTTGTAGAATGAATGCTTCCATGACCATCGGTCTTCGTACTCGTATCTGAACCGCGTGGGTTCTTCATTCTCACCAAGCTGGAGACAAACAATGGTTGGAGCAACTTTCGCAGGATTCCGTTCGAAGAAGCAGCCTGCGTCACTGTCCTCTGCTCCCAAGGCTGCAATACTGAATTTGCAATTCTGGTAGACTTCTTTCATCGACGCTGCCTCCTGCTGCCAGTCCTCGGTAGAGTCCTGGAAGATACAAAGTCTGTCGATCCAGAGATAGATGACCCCGAGCCGTTGTGCTGCTTTCGCAGCCTCGCTGAAAGTCCTTGGCAAACTCTCCAAAGGTCCCCCATGGCTGAGATATCCGAAGGTTGTCCGAAGAAGTCTGAGGAGAGCGGTGGCAGGTTTGGTGCCCCAGCAATAGCTCAAGGCAGCATATTCAAGGTCAGGTGGGCATTGCGATCGGTTGATTAGCCGGTATGTCCCTTCAGGGCTCAGTTCGAGAAGGCGTGTCGGACGGAATGCAGTGTTTCTGATTGCCTGCTGACAGAGGGCGTGGTGGTTGAGACAGTCTTTCATCCAGCTCTCAATGATGAGGCAAGTTGCAATGTCGTCAGTGGATGGACCTATGTCGAAGTTGACCCCGTGGTCATACTCTGGAACTGTCCACCGTACAAGTCAGCATGTTCATCAGTGAAGCTGAGCGTTCCCAGCTCGAAATGCACTTACCCCCAACAGGAGCGAAGCCAAAATGATACCTAGAGGTATTGAAGTTACAGCACATAATCGGCTCTGGCCTAAAGACTTCCCCCTCCCGATAGAACCAGAATACTGAAAAGTAATCGATGCCCTTCGAGCTATGGTCACCGAACTCTGCCGTTCGATCACGGAATGGTTGGGCGAAGGTGCTGCACATAGCACACCCTTCGCTTATGGAATGCCTAAAAGACGCTTCGTCCTTGTGATGGCCAAACACAAACCCTGGGCCCTCCCACGTGTCTAGGGGGATACCTTTGTGAGCTAGGGGGGTTCAAGTGGAAGCCTGACACAAATGGCCGTGTCTATTAAGTGTACCGACCTTTCCCCACCCCAAACTCCTTGAGTGAACAGAGCCGCTCAGTCCGAGCAGGATCCCACATCCCCTCTAGACCATTCTTGCAGACATCGCATAGCATCTCGATTTGGTGCCTGCAGGGGGCGCGCGCGTCCCCGTAAAGAGCTGGTTCTGATTGAGCAGCGCACAGTGCAAGAGAAAAGTGGCAACAGATAAGCACCGTCGGGGGGGAAGAATTATGGCTTTCTGACATGGCGATGTCTGCCCGCGAAGGCTTTGATGAGGGGTAACATGTAGCAGGGGCATGTAAACCGACCCCCGCAATCTGTCATTAGACTACTTGGCCTTATCGTAATCTTGCCCCTGAGGCTATAACATTCAACAGGTTGCCTCTGGCGGTCATGATTAATATGGGTGTCATTGGAGCGCCCTTTGCGGCCGAGGGTCTGCAGTTTAGTGGTCTGCCTTTGGTGCAGACAAGCATCCAGACGAGCCTCTCTGTGCTTGGCTCCGAATATCAAAAGGTGTGGGTCGAAGTGGACAGCACAGCACTGTTGCCGCTGCTTCACTCGGCGTGGGCGAGACATAGGAGACTCTCTCGCATGACGACATGCATGCCCTGTGTTTGAACGTGCTGAAAATTGAAGGGTCTGGGTTTCCCAGAAGCGCAACTAAGTTGGTCTTCCTGCGACGGGTAAATAAAGTAAAGCTTAACGTCACCGGGCTCCTTTCCCGCGTCTCTCCCTATTTCTCTACCTGGCAATCATGAGATAAATGAGATAACGACTGACGTAGTCCGTACACAAAGCGTGCGCATTGTACTACCACTCTACAGGCCAAAATGACGTTTGCAAGGGTCGTTGGTCCGTGGACGAAAAATGTTGTTGGTAGTCCTGAAGGCCATTATTTGATTGCTCACGGTGTGCAGGGTGGTCACCATGGCCATGACAACGGCCACATGCACTCGTCTACTACTACAGCCGATCTCCCCGCTGCGTCTGCTCACCCACTCGAACGGAAAATCGGGGGTTTCTGGAACAGAGCCTGCGGCTGCGACCGCCATCCGGACGAGGACGCCACCGCGAGGGTGGTGAACGCGCTGATCGGCGACGTGCAGAGGTATGATGACCCGGGCCGGAAGCTCTTACCCCACGAGTCCATCATCAAACGAGACAGCGGCGTCATAGTCTTTGTCGTCAACAATGACGAGAGATATGGTGACCGGTCCCATACAATCGACGCGGATGAGCTCCGTCCTGCGTCTGATCACATCTCGGATCACTGTCAACGATTTGTAACGGGGACAACGGGAGCAGAGAATGCGTTTGCTATTGGATATATGCTTGAGAGCAACGAAGGGGGCTTATTAAACCAGCATGTAGGCATCCACTGCGGAAAGCTTCTGAAGGATACAGAAATACTTTTGGGGCTAATGAATCAGTTTCCTATGCTTGGTGTAATGGGATACTGGGTTACCTAGAAGACGATAATGAACACTATAGAGGATGCATAGTATTCTCATGCATTCCTTGACTGGTCTTCTCTGTCATGATTTTCTAGATTCTTCTGCCCGAGTATCGACTGATTGATTTACCGTCCATGGCGATGCCTGATTTGAGCCATGGATCGAGGACGATGGCACCCACCGTTCTCTTGTCATGATTCTTCGTCGTGACGACTTGTTCTCTAAGTCATGCTATGACAGCTGCAGACCAGACACGTGCAAACTCTCATGCTTGGAAGAGTTTCCAGATCTCTGGTCCCAATAGTAAACTCTCCTGCTTCCTCACTTCCCCAGGAGTTTCTGGCTCCCTACTCGTAATAGTCACATGCAGTGCGCAACGGCCCTCGTCCCAAGACGCCGCAGTCCAGTAATACCGGTGCGACATGGGTATTCTCCCCGTCCCGCGCTCCCGGGCTTTCTCCTCCGCCTGTATGCACGCCCACATGCCCAGGACAAACGACTTGACATGGCGAGTCGAGGGCCGCAAGACGAGCTGCAATGCGAGGCCGAACGCGCGCCATCGCACGCGGGATTCCCGACACTCCCGGGCGAGCTGGAGCAGGCCGATGAGCAGGCCGTCGCTCATTATTGACTCGTGTGCGTCACTGCTGGGACCAGTGAGGTCGGCGACGATGTCTTGTGCCACGTCCAGAGCCGCGTTGCACTCGTCCAGGCAGGACTGCGTCGACCAGGCGTCCTCGGACGAGTCGAGGGCGAAACAGCCAGACAGATGGCAGATCTGGACGTCGAAGATCATCATGGTGAGGATCCGCTTGTCTGCCTGGATCTGAGCGTCACGAGCACAGTTGCCCTTGGTCGTACCGGAGCAGACGATTTCGTCAAGTCTTGCTTTCGTTTCAGACCTCCAGAGGGTGCTGCGGGCTACGAGTAGTCGTTGTTCCTCTTCGATCTGGGCAAGTGTGACCGCTGCTATTGGGTCCTCGAGATCCACGTTACTCTCGCCGTAGTTGTTGTTGTTGTTGTTGTTGTAGTTGCCATCATCGGTATGCGTGTCCACTTTCTGGCGTTGCTCCATCTGGTCCAAGATCGTCCGCGCCCGCAAATGCCACAATACCGCCCTCGTGATGAACTGCCACCACGTCTGCCAGAAGCCCTTGACTGAGACGCTCTTCCTGTCTGGGGGCGGCGGGCCGAGCAGTAGCTCGCACTTGGCCGAGGAGGACTGCGCGGCCATCGACGCAAGGACTTGTCTGCTCTGAGGGTACATCGGGGAGAAGATGGCGCTCCATGTGGCTGTCCGGGTCAGGAAGCACTCTGCGTCGTAGACGTCGCTGTCATCGGGGGCCCGTGGTGACACGAGACGATCCCGATGAGGAGAGGCATGATTGCCAAGCAGCCGCCCGTGAAACAGGCGGAGGCCGTTGGCGACGAGGTGATCAAAGGCGCTGGTGTTGCCGTGGAGAGTCTCGAAGATGGAGAAGAGGATGGTGTAGACGAGCAGAGTCCTAGCAGGAACGACTTCATGTGAGGCTGTGGTGTTGATGCGCTGTCGAAAGGAAGCAATGGCTTTCGAGTAGTGCTGGACGGCGGGGGTATAGTGCGCAGACGCCAGCACTTCTGGGACTCCGTTTTGACCTTGAAGAGAAGGACGATAGAGTGCTTCGTGCCGTGCCCTAGATAGGGCGCCGATGCCGATGACTGCGTTCAGGACAGACAGATCGTGTGTACATTCGCGAAGCAGGGTCGTGGACCAGAAACCTGTCGGGCCGTCGGGCTGTGTGCATAACTGGGAAACCACAACGCATTTGAAGTAGTCAAAGTAGAGTGTGCTCAGAGGGTCCAGACTTGCAGCAATGTGAGCGCATGGGGACAGTTCATGGCGGATCGCGGGTGCCAGAGGGCGGACGCCCCTACTGAGGGCGACGCCCGAGGCCTTGCCGTCCGATTTGGGCTGCGGGTAGCCACAGGCCAGCTGCAGCCTGGCACATCGCTGACATACTGGCTTGGACTCGTCACATCGTCTGTGGGCTCGGCGGCACGTGTTGCAGCCTGGGGCCAGTTTGGTCTTCATTAGCCAGTTGTGGTCATATCGGGTGGTCATGCCTCATCCAGCCGTCTTACCTGTGCGGGCTCGCGTTGCAAACGCCTTCTGGCGCTCTGGCTTCTTGTCTGCCGGCATGTCGTCCACGGACCATCGTTGCTTACATGCAGTGGGTGGCTTCGTTTGCTGACTGAGATCCGGGGCAGCGTGCGGCGAAATGGAGAAGAACAGCTGGTCGAGACAAACAGGGGCCAGCAGACAGCAAGGCTAGTTGTTCATGCACCAAGTCTGCCTGCACCAATCAGCGCGTGCCAGCAGACGGTCTTGGCAATCATGAATAAGCAGCAGGGTCCTGTGAACACCAGCAGAAAGGTTCGCTGGAAATGTCACAAGCACGTACCTGGTGGTAAGTCCCGCGGCCGGTATCCCCGTGGCAGGCAATCAAATGCCGATTTCCAGGGTGCTGTGCTGGGGCGATACGGGACCCTCTCCAGAAATTGTATAAGAGCTTGATGGTCCTGGGACCAGATGCCTGAAGTCTGCCAGCTGCATCTCATCCTCAACAAGTAGTAAGCAGCACGATTGAGAGCCCAATCGCAAAGACTATGGCGCATTTCGACATCCCGCCACAGTACCAGGACCTGCTCGAGGAAGTAGCAGAATTGTCCAGCCATGCACTAAAGTCCGACGAAGAGGTTTTGCAACAGCTGCTCCAACATGCCCCTGTGACCTCGGAAAAGTGCGTCTGGGCATTCTGGGATTCCGGCATCGCGACCATGCCGGCCTGGTGCAAACGCAATGTCATAGACTGGGTGCGCATCTGCGGCGACTCCTGGACAGTCCGGGTACTGGATAACGTGCCCGAGTCACCCAACTACGCCCTGAAATTCCTCGAGCGTCGCGACCTCGCAGATGCGTTTGTGAATCGAACCATGGACGGCCCGTATGTTGGCCAGCATGCTGCTGATCTGGTCCGTGGGCCAGTACTCACGCGGTATGGTGGTGTCTGGATGGACGTCGGCTCCATCCTGGTCAGACATCTCGATCGGGTATGCTGGGATGTCATCCAGGATCCGGCGACTCCGATCGAGGCTGCTGTCGCGGTCGAGCCGAGCCACGGCATCTTGAACTATTTTGTGGCCTGCAAAAAGGGCGATCCCTTCATTCGACGCTGGTAAGAGCCCCTTTTCCATTGCGGCTTCTACATCCACACTCACTCAACTTGAGCATTTGTCAGGCACGAAGTCTTTCTCGCGTTATGGGAAGGCCGCACCAATCTCCTCGGCATTGCAGACCATCCTTTGGTCTCGTTTGTCAAACAAATTCCTCCCGACAAGCTCGAGAAGGCCGAAAACGGCATAGCCGCCGATTTCAAAGTACCCATGACCCAAGTGTTTGAGTACGCAATCCAAATCGTCGTCTGGGGACGTCTCACCATGCTCGATGCCGACCCGGCCGACGGGTTCTCGTGCTCAGACTACTGGCTCAATAAAATTCTCTGGATGGACGCGATACAGGAAGCCTGGAGGGCGGAGATGCTTCTAGGCTTCAATGTAGGTGGGCAGAGTCTGCTTGATATCCTAACCACGCGCCTCGACATCGACAAGGACAGCAAAGAGTACAGGCTGGCAGACAAGGTTGTTTGGCAGATCTTGACGCAAGGGAGCATGCAGAAGATCTTTCGCGGCGGGAACATTTTGGCGTCGGTGCAGCTGGGCACGATGCTGGACATGCCTGAGAATGCGGGCAAAGATCGAGGACAGGGCACATTTGCGGAGCTGCTTCGGTACGGGACATTGCACTGGCGGCAGAAAAGGCCTGCATTGGTGAGCATTACGCCAGTGGCCAAGCAGCCGCTTATCAAGAAAGGACATCTCGAGCCATTTTAGTAGCCGGAAGTGATGACGCACGACACGGAGGGCATGAAATCTCTTTTTCGCGCACGAGTTTGGGGGGCATGAGCTTCCGAAAAGACTGACGGTCTTACATTGACTACTACTCTGTTCTATGGGCCATTGGCATCAAGGCTTCTGTCGATGCTGAGCCTTAGCTGGTTGAGCTTCGGGTTATCCCTCGTCATGAACGGAACAATGGTAGTGAAAGAATTCGACTGAATTATAGAACTGCTAGGAACAGGCTTACATGTAGACGTGACTTCGGTGGCTGTGTTTTTGGGGGCCTTGCACAAAGCTCAAATGTGATCGTCGATGCGCTCAAATTGTGATTGGTGTCGCGGGATGAGAGCTCCCCAGCCTAGTTACCATTCGAATTGAGGCGGCGTCATGTTCACGAGGTCTGGGGAAGCAAGTCTATTCTCACCCTCTCGTGAAAAAAACGGACGAGTGAGAGCTCCATGGTGTGGGAACAGACCTTCTCGCGTACGGCGAAGTACACTACGGCCACCCTGAGCCCATAGCGACCGCTGGGGTTTGGACAATGAAACGGCAAAACCCGTGACTAGCATGATCCACACAGGTCGAATCTCGCGATTATTTATCAGCGCGTTGAATAACCTAATTGTTGACACGGGCACAGAAACCGCCGACATAGAGAAACGCCACGTGACGCCAGAGCGTAATACATTCAGCGAGGTCAAGCAGGGACGAGCTACATTGCACGTGCAGCACCGGTCTGAAAAGTCTTTACCGTACTTCTCGACCACAGCCAAAGCATTCCAGGTTTCCCGAGGAGGTATAGCGTTGTCCGCCATGATGGAACACCGTGCAGCGGGTATGGTTGACCTGGTTCCGATTAACTCTGTAGCTGGTCGCGTCGCGTCTCGCTTACGAGAGCAGGACGCAGGCACAACTAGCCCTACGCATGATTGCTCGCCTTATTAGACTATAGGCCGCACGCTGCCATTGGTTCTCCATACGCCTCCGCTGAAAATGCCACCCTCCTTTGCAGAACCCTTGAATTGTGAGGACGAAAAACACTGTGGGGTTGACAAAGGATCACTACTTGGCAACGTTGCATGTGCTGGGGCACGGTATCCACACGGCTTATGTCTTGTCTGCCCGGCTGGTTAAGGGCTTCATTTCAAGGACAATATCAATCACCAATACAAGCTTACTCCCCCGGTCTGCCAAGGCTAAGCCACTACCAGGGGGTCCGTCAGTCTGCACGCAGCTCCAGGGACTTCGCTACAGGGAGGAGTACACGAACAGCATATTCAAACTGGTCCTTTCCTACGGGTTCTTGCCGCCTGTCATTCTCTGTTCGTAAAATACGGCGTCGGGTATAGGATCGTTTCGAAGTCAAAGATAATCCGACATTGTCTCACGCCAATCTGGTCCTTATTGGGGGCAAACACCAGCAACCAGTGCAGTGGCACTAGGCTGCAAATCACACCAGCCTTGCATCCAAGAGAGCTGACATCAAGTCATCAGGGTGGGGGAACTCCACAACCGGATGATCCTATACGGGTGATCCATGTCAGAGTAACCTGGAGCAGGTTCTACTATACGGGTCCCCTTTCTTACGACCAATCACAGCCCCAGCATCGCTCGATGAGGGTGAGCACGCCTCGACCTCCAAATCCATGCGGACCATTTTTTCGGTTGCTCCCGTGGAGAAGCTGAGAATCCCGCAGAAACTTGCATTTGGAATTTTGCCAGCTTCCCCTGACGGAATGAAGGAGCAGGCGACCCTTTCAGTGGGCGTCACAGGGACGGCAAGTCCCGCAGCGGTGTCACTTAACTTGTGGTGACTTCGGCTGCTCGGCTGAATCGGCGACGCAACGTTGACTGATCCAAATTCAGTCTAGCAAGTCGCATCCTCCGCGGCGGTGCTCATACTAGACTTTTAAGCCGTGTTGTTGCGACTATATAATGCAGTCTGCAACTCAACTCGAGCAGACGATGCTTGCCCTAGCAGATAGTCGGATTCCGGTCAAGCAACCTCGTCTATTGTCACGATGAGGTTGAGCAGTCGTTTCGCCGCATTGCTGGCATGTGCCTGGGAGTTGGGTGCTCCCGTCCAGGCACAATCTGCAGAGCCCAGCAATACCACTCATCTAGCATTCTTTCCTGGTCTACTCCAACCTGAGACGACATCGGCGAGAGCGTACTGTCCGTCATCATGCGCTGCCTCCGGGCCGACCAGTTTCTCTTGGTCCAGAATTCTCTCGATAGAGGAGCTGGGTCGATGTGACCAGACTATCATCTTCGAAGCCATGCTGCGATTCCCTCTGGACGCGCCAGGCAGGCAACTGGTCCTCAAGGCATGCACCTCGAGTGCCACGGATGCCGAACCGGCCTCGAGCAAGTACGGGCCAGTCGCACTCGCCAACGCCGACGTGGTCAACGCAACAGCCCACTTCCAGACCGGCTGGAGTGGTCCGCCAGCGTCTCAACTAGCTGTCACCCAGATTGCCGAATCTGCACTGAAGCTCCAGCACCAGATCGCACTTGACCCCAACAACCGCTTGACAGCCATCTTTGCCAAGTCTGGCAAGACTGTTGTCGGGCTTTATGCTGGTGGTCAGGTCCACAAATCCTCGGTCTCGTCCCTCATGGACGCGTTCATACATCGTGTCAACGACGCCAAACAGGATGTGCCTTCGCGCCTGGCAATGCAAGTCTGCGGCCCGACCGGCGAGCGCTCGGCGGCCCACGTCTTCGGAATGGTGGCTGATGCCGATGGAGATCTGCGGAGTGTCCACAAGGCCATCAGCGGCTGGGCAGACGGCGAGTGCATGGAGGGCTTCGACGGCAGCAGCACGGTTCAGAACCAGACGATGGTGCTCATCCCTGCCGTCCCGCTCACACAAGACTCGACCACAAACTTGCCCTCGAACCAGACACAGACCAACAACACATCATCATTGCTGGGTCGCCATCTGAGGCACACCAACCTCATACATCCTCGCCAGTCTCTGCATCAGAAGAGCCGGCGTGCGGGTTCCTGCCGCATCGCCAAGGTCAATTTTGGTGATAGTTGCTGGTCCATCGCCCAAGAGAAATGTGGCATCTCCCTGGACAAGCTCTACGCTTTCAATGGCATCGACGACTCATATTGCAGCAGCATGTCTACCGGCGACGAATTGTGCTGCTCTGATGGGGGCACCCAGCTTTCAGGTGAGTTGGCCAGCGAGGCTTGTCATTTTCTCCATCTCTCCCTAGTCTCGCTCCCAAGTTTTCTAGTGTGATTCCCGACTAAGCTGAACCCTCAATAGTCATGGCCGGAAACGAGTGCAAGTATACCATGGTCGAGTCGGGTGATACTTGCCCCGGTATTGCGAGCCGCTGCAGCATCTCCCTGGCGAAGCTCGTGGAGTACAATGGTGGCGACCAGACGGCGTTCTGCAACAACTTGATGCCCAAGACCGCCGTGTGCTGCTCTACAGGTGACAAGCCAGATCTCAAACCGAAACCACAAGAAAACGGAGACTGCGCCGTGCATGAAGTGCAGAAAGACGACGGGTGCTGGGCGATTGCCGACAAATATCATCTAACCCAGGAAGAGATCCACAAGCTCAATGTCGGCAAGACTTGGGGCTGGGCTGGGTGTGGCCAGCTGCTGGCTGACCAGAAGATCTGTATCAGTGACGGGAGACCCCCGATGCCAAACCAGGTTCAGAATGTCACCTGTGGCCCACAGGTGATAGGAACCGAGAGGCCTGATGATGGGACAGACATCAAGGATCTCAACCCGTGCCCCCTGAAAGTCTGCTGCTCAGGATGGGGCTATTGTGGTCTGGTAAGTTTTCCGCTGGGCGGTGCAAGTTAGACCTGTAGTAAAAAGCTGACGGAGGAACCCTGACCAGACCGATGAGTTCTGTACCGATACGAGTATCGACGACACTCCAGGTACGCATGAACCGAACACAAATGGCTGTATCTCCAACTGTGGCAAAATCGAGATCACCAACAACGACACTCCTCCTGAGAACTTTATACGGGTTGGCTATTTCGAGGCCTGGAATGGCGACCGTCCTTGCCTGAATATGGACGTCACCGAGGTTAAGGATCCAATCACACATATCCACTTTGCTTTCGGCCACATAAGCAATGATTTTGTTCCCAGTACCGATGCTACTGTTACAGAACAGTGGGTGAAGTTTCTGGCGATGACAGGCCCGAAGAAAATCATATCGTTTGGAGGGTGGGCGTTCTCCAACGAGCCGGTATGTCTCTGACCATAATGCCTCGGCTTCTTGCACACAACTGACAAGAAACACGCAAAAGGGAACATCACATATCATGCGTCAGGGTGTCATGCCCGCGAACAGGCAGAAGTTCGCTGACAACATTATCAAGTTTGTGAACGACAATAAACTTGACGGTGTCGACTTCGACTGGGAGTACCCCGGAGCCGATGATATTGAAGGATCTGACCCTGGAACGAAGGAGGATGGTGCGAACTATCTGAAGTTCCTTACACTCGTTCGTAATGGCCTGCCAAAGGAGAAGTCGGTAGCTATTGCGGCTCCCGCATCTTACTGGTACCTGCGCCACTTCCCCATCGCCGCCATGTCCAAAATTTTGACCTACATCGTCTACATGACGTATGATTTGCATGGTAAGTCCTCCATCAAGTCGCATTGCTGTCACTTGAAGCTCACTTTCACAAGGTCAATGGGACGCCGGCAGTAAATGGGCTAGGTAAGTTGCTTTCTTCTCAGATTTTGTTCTGTTTACTTTTCGTGAATCACGATCATTGATGCGATCCACGTTGTGTACAGTACCGGTTGTGCCAATGGAGATTGTTTACGTTCACATGTCAACATCACGGAAACGATCAACTCTCTGGCCATGATCACCAGAGCCGGAGTCCCCTCTAACAAGGTCATAGTCGGCATTACGAGCTACGGTCGTAGTTTCAAGATGGCTGACCCCAATTGCTGGGGCCCATCTTGTCTGTACCTCGGAGCACGCAACGACTCGCCCGCTCAACCCGGAAAGTGCACGAATACAGGGGGTTACATCGCAAATGGCGAGATTGAGGAAATCATCAAGAGCAAGGCCGCGCCGTTCAAGCAGATCTTTGACGAAGCGTCCGACTCAGATATCCTCATTTACAACAATGTCGAATACGTAGGCTATATGAGTCAGGAGACCAAGGACCGGCGTGTCGCACGATACAAGGGGCTTAATTTTGGCGGCGCCACGGACTGGGCTGTCGACCTCATGGGCGATACCTCGCCGGGATCGGGCAAGGACGTGGTATACATTGGCACCCCAGTCTACACATTCCCATCTATGGGTTGCACAGCACCGTGTACGATTGTCTTTGCTCCAAGTCCTTTGCCATCGGCCACCACCATCTCCATTTCTCCTTATACAACATCGCTACAAGTTGGCACGACGACAACAACAATTACGATCAAGGTCCCGCCCCAGACCATCGAGCAGGTTCCCTTCTACAACGTTCCGATCCCGTCCAATGTTGGGACACAGACGGTCATCCAGCCATACCCCTCCATCACGCTTCCTCCTACTAGCGTGCCAGTGACGTGGGTTAGTGAGGGCAAGACTTTGACCACCACCAGAACCATCTTCCTTCCACCATGGCCTCAGGTGACACAGGGGCCCCCTGGAAGCTGGCATAACACCGTATCGCCTTCCAATATTCCTACAACTTCGGACGTGCCGATTCCTGACCCCCCCGGGCCCACGGTCCCGTTCCCAACGTGGACAAATTGGTACAAGCTTCCACACGAGCTCAAGCCAGTGACGGAACCGCCTCAAGATGATGATGACGACGACGATGATGACGACGACGTTGTGGTGGTACCCTGTGCATTGTGGTTCTTCTCGGTACGTCTACTTCCTACCTATTTTGCCACAGGCACGGCCGTTGGAGTATCGCTCCGAAGAATTGAAACGCTAATTCATCTCCAACTTTTGGTAGTCATGCATTAAATTGGGTGGTGTTGAGATCAAGGGATGGAAATGGAGACTCCCCGAGGGTATCATTGGACCGTAAGTCGTGCAGACCTGACAAAAGATCAGACGGCAAAGAGCATGGCTAACCAGCCCATCAATGTATAGTGGACCGCCACCCCCTGGCCTGATTCCGTGGCCGTCTGGCTGGAACTGGAAAGGGCCACGCTTGCCGCCTTGGCCAAAGATCACGTAAGCTCTCCCCTCGCTCTTGATGTTTCCGATCCGGACGACAGCTAGCTGACTTCCTGACGCCAATGATGCAGAATCGGGCCAGGATCGAAGCCCACAGGCATTCCAGAGAAGCCCGGGCCGTGCGAGACCAAATCAGCGTCTGTCTGCATGACGACGACTTCTTATGGGCTGGAGGACAAGGGCTCGACCACCGTCACCGTCACCTCCCGTGAGATTGAGACGTGTGCGACGATATATGGATGCGCGGTCAAGGACTACGACGAGGCGACCGCAACCGATGATATCTCTTGCGCCCTCCCGAAAAGGACCGTACCCGCAGCACTGGCCGCTGATGTGACCCCCACGGTCGAGCTTGACTTACCGGAGCCCACTGTAGCCGACAGCATCGAGCCTCGTCCTAAATCCTCGGACACGGGTTCATCGGCCCTGGTCCACCTGGGCCGACGAGCTAGCGAGGACGATGAGCTCTCCTGGGCTGATGATATCAGGCTTGCAACTCAGTGGTTCTGCGCCAGAAACAATGTCATCATCTTCCTCAAAGATGTGTGGGACACATCCGCGGAGAATATTGCATTCGCCCGGCGCTTGACCAGGATACAAACTGGTCAGACGACGGTGCAAGTGAAACGCATCCAGTCTCAAACGTCGGGATTCACGGCGTTTTGGTATGTGTCGAGCTTGCCAGAAGCCTTGCACGCCAAACTCTTGAAAATGAAAGCGGTATGTGACAGCCCGGCCCCTCCTTACCCTGCGTTAAAGACACCACTAATCCTGGACAAATCAGGTCGAGGTCATATACGATCCCACGGACTTCCGCCACAGGGCCTGGTATCCCGATACTGGCATGGACCCAGTACAAGCACGAAAAATGAATGTTGATTCCGAGGATGACGTTGACGACCACGAGACAGGCGAGGTTGATGACGAGCCGAACGCCAACAACAACACCATTGCGAAGAGACAGGTTACTCAATACACGGACTGGGCTAACTCGCAAATCTCAGCACCGCCGTATGCCGACGACTGGGCTACCAACTCAGATTTCACCAGCAACCCAGGCGCGGACAAGGAAGCCTCGATGCACAAGTACTACTTCCACGAGTCGGCGGGCGCACAGCAGTACATCTATGTCGTCGAATCTTGCGTCGACACGAGGCATCCCGAGTTCATTGGCGTCAGAGTTGCCACTGCTCTTCGCACACAGGACTGGGGTAACGGGTACAGCAACGATTGTATGCACGGAACTGCCGTCTCGGCCATGGCGGTCGGCACCAATCTCGGTGTCGCACGAAGGGCAATCTTGGTCCCAGTCCACACAGGTGCTGTGTTGGGCAACCCGAATGATCCGGCGGAGCGCTACCTCGAGGCGCTGGTACTGGTCCTCGACGACGTCTTGAAGGATAACGCAAAAGAAGGCAAGGTCGTCGTCAGCATGTCTTGGGTGATCGGATCCGGCACGGTGCCTGCGGCCTTTGGACGAGTCTTGCAACTGATCTTCGACGAGCTCTCAGACACTGGCGCCGTGCTTGTTGCAGCCTCTGGCAACAGTCGCCACAAAGGAAGCGCCGCAGGCGCAGGCTATCCCCAAAACCTCATGGAGAAGGGCACGTTGGCGCAGTCCTCAATTGTCGTCGGAGCCACAGATGGAGCCGGCCGCTGGGCGCCTTTCAGCCAGCTATTCAGAGACGGCCGTCGCGATCGTGTTGTGCACGCCCCTGGCGATCAAGTCAAGACAGCGATTGCGGGTGGCACCCACCAACGCCAAAAGGGCACATCGCTCGCGGCGCCCAAGGTTGCTGGACTCGTGGCTTACTACCGAGGTCTTCCCTCAAAATGGAAAGATCAGCTTATAATCCCCAGCAACGTCAAACGTCTTGTCCAGTTGCTCGAAAGGGACTTGAACATCGACGACGGTCCATGGAAGGACCAAAACCCGTTTGCTCGGCATATCAAATTCATCTGGAACGGTCAGGTGCTCGAACAGTCATGTCTCATCAACGGGCAGGATCTCCGGTACAAGGGAAAGCTGGTGTGCCCGACCATCCCAGACGACCTCGGTACTTGTCCAATAGTGAACCGCCGCGCGGGAGAAGAGGCCAGTCAATTCGACCGTAGATCCTGCGAGCCTCCGCCAGATGGCCCGGGAGATGGTGACGATGGAGACGGTGGTAGCGGCGGCGGCGGCGAGGTTGGCGACATTCCAGTGCCAAGGCCCGTCACATGGCGGCCAGGCCCGCCGCAGCCAACATGTCAGCGCAACTGCGGCGTGAGATGCGAGGGCTACTACTGCAACCCAACACCAACTGGCTCACCTCCAGACTTTTCCGAGCCGAGCCCTCCTCCGCAGCAGCCTGGTGGCGGCAATGGCGGTGGAGGCGGTGGAGGCGGCGGCGGCGGCGGCGGAGGAGGAGGTGGTGATGATGATGACTTCCCAACAGGTCCAGCAACTTTCTATCTCGCCGATGTGACCTGGGTCAGCGAGCTCGAGTCGGGTTGGTACGGCCAAGGTGTCAAATTATCCGACTGGGGCAGCTGTGACGCCATGGACAAAGTTGAGCCCAGACTGGATGGCGCCGAGGGTGATATTCCTTACTATCCTTGGCCGGAGAAGGAGTTCACCGGCGATCTTTGCGGCAAAAAGCTGAGCTACAAGCGCATCGACCCCGGTGACTATCAAGTCTTCGAACAGGGCTCCAGCAAGCAGATCGGCATCTGCACAAAAGCTCCCGAGGCGGAAAAGGTGTGTGGTATATGGATTCAAACTACGTACAACCGGGTGTACCAATGCACTGGTGCTTGTTAAGTAGTGGCAAGGAGGCCAGGGATCTTCATTGGGAAGCAGAATCGGCAGAGCTTATCATTCTATTTGTACTCTTTAAGATAGTTTATCCTCAGACAATTCAATGCCTAGCCGAATTTGAAGCTGTAGCAGAAGTCCCTTTTGACACAAGTGAAGCGGATAAGATTGCCAGGGATGTTGGTGGTCTTGTTGGATGCTTTGACTGTAAGGAGTAGCAGGAGTCTATTGAGGCCTAGCATATCTCAGAACATACATGCGCTACGATTTGTGACCTTTGATCCTTACTCTAAAGCTCTAGCAGCCCTGTCAGCATCTGGATTCCACCATCATAGTCTTCTAGAATGCGCCTTGTCTTTTTTTGTGCTGGGCACGAAAAATTCCACGAGCCAAGGCCGACCCCAGCCGATTGCATTTCCCCGAGATCCACAACGCATGCCCGGGCCGTGTCTCCGCTCTGTACTGGGATGTGTCGCCACGTCAGGATTGCACAAGATATTATGTAATAAATACCATATCAAGCTTGCCATGGTTTACACGGGCTCACCGTTCTGGATGGGCCTCATACAGTCGTACTTCTCTTCTTAGGAGACCCTGTGCCCTGTACCCAGACGGTCTCGGGACCTGTTTGGATGTGCCTCGGCTGGGAACAGCTCCAGCAGGAAGGACGATGCCGCAGTCCCGAAGAACGACCCCTCCCAGAGCCTTGCTGACGCTGGCGGCTTTTCTCCGGGGAAAACATCACGTCCATTTCGAGCTTTCTATCAATGATGAGGAACATGTGAGTGTGGAGAAGCAGGAGGAAAAATCCACAATGAGCTGGTCATCAGGGCGGCGGGCCGGCATTTCACCCCTGTTGATTCCCCGCACAACCCCAGATATTAAGCTGACAAGGTAGTCTGGGGGTATATAATACGACCCTACTTCGGCGCAATACCGGCAGCCAAGAGCTCGACGTCACGGGCGGCAGGAAGCGAGGTGGATGCGTGCTGGAAAACTTGGTGATCGGCAGTTGATCGCGGAGATGCCTCCCCCGAGGTATAGCCATATGGCTGGCCCGTTGGTAGTCTGCTGCATGGCATTTTGGCCCCGAGTACATAAACTCCGGTGGATGGGCAGGCCCATTCTGCTCTGGCTACGAATAGGTCTTTGACGCAGACACTCGCCCCAAGTCGAAGCACTTTTTCTCCCCCACCCGTTCCCCTCGACGACAAGAACGATGCATCTCGAGGCCGTCTGCGTGGCAGTGCTCATGGCACTCGCCCCGACCGGAGCCTCTGCCCAGACAAACTCATGGGACGCAGCCTACACCAAAGCCCGCACGGCTCTCTCCAAGCTCTCGCTGTCTGACAAAGTTGGCATTGTGACAGGCGTGGGTTGGAACCAGGGCCCTTGCGTAGGTAACGTGCACGCCGCGTCGGCCATCGGCTTCCCCTCGTTGTGTCTTCAAGACGGGCCGCTCGGCGTGCGGTATGCAAGCTCCATTACGGCGTTCACGCCCGGTGTACAAGCCGCGTCCACGTGGGATGTCGAGCTCATGCGGCAGCGCGGACAGTTCCTGGGCGTGGAGGCAAAACAACTGGGAGTACATAATATGTTGGGGCCCGTTGCCGGTGCTCTGGGGAAGTTTGCCGAGGGCGGGAGAAACTGGGAAGGCTTCAGCCCGGACCCGTACCTGAGCGGCGAGGGCATGAGAGCGACGGTTGAGGGCATGCAGTCTGCCGGGGTGCAGGCGACGGCAAAGCACTGGATCCTCAACGAGCAGGAGCTCAACCGCAACACCATGTCGAGCAGCGCGGACGACCGGACGGTCCATGAATTGTACGTGTGGCCGTTCATGGATGCAGTCAAGGCCAACGTTGCGTCATTCATGTGCTCGTACAACCGTGTTTCCGGCACGTACTCCTGCGAGAACAACTATGTGATGAAGGAGCTACTCAAGGACCAACTTGGCTTCAAGGTAAGTGCATGTGTTATGGGCGCCTGGCGAAGACGGCGTTCCAGCTGCCCATGACGAGCAGGACGAGCCAGCCGCCCTGCGGTTCCACTTTGAGTCCCACTTTTCCTCGCCTGCCCAGACGGGAAACTGTGGCTCCCTGCCAACCTCGGACTGTTTAAACCTCCTCAAAATCACATTCCCACGATCACAATCATGACGAGAGACTGCAGCGCTAACAAGATCTGCAAGGGGTACATCATGACCGACTGGGGTGCACAACATAGCACTGTTGCCGCTGCGAACACTGGGCTCGACATGTCGATGCCTGGGAGCAACTTCAACGGCGGCGACGTCTACTGGGGCCAGGCACTTACAAGCGCCATCAACAGCGGCAGCGTCAACCAGACGCGCGTAGACGACATGGTGCTCCGTATCCTGGCGCCGTGGTATCTTCTTGGACAGGACCAGGGCTACCCGAGTGTCGACCTTACCCGCAACGTGCAAGGCACCCACAAGACCAACGTGCGGGCCGTGGCTCGCGACGGCATCGTCCTCCTCAAGAACGACAACGCAGTGCTGCCCTTGAAGAAGCCGGCGCGTATCGCCGTGATCGGCACCGGCGCTTACAAGGGCAACCACGCCAATAATGGGCCCAACTGCGAGGACAAGGCCTGCAACAACGGTGCGCTCGGTATGGGCTGGGGCTCAGGATCTGTCAAGTACCCATACTTTGTCGCCCCGTACGATGCCATCTCTCAGCGTGCCTCATCTTCTGGTACCACAGTCGTACAGAGTAACTCGGATGATACCTCACAGGGAGCAAATGCAGCCCGGAATGCAGATGTCGCCCTCGTCTTCATCACCGCGGACGCGGGTGAGGGGTACCTGAGCGTCGAGGGCAACGCGGGCGACCGCAACAACCTGGATCCATGGCACAACGGCAACGCCCTTGTCAAGTCTGTCGCCGACGTCAACAGCAACGTCGTCGTTGTTGCGCACAGTGTGGGACCCATCATCCTCGAGTCTATTCTGTCCAACCCATCCGTCAAGGCCATCGTGTGGGCCGGTCTGCCATCTCAGGAGAGTGGCAATGCCCTCGTCGACGTTCTCTGGGGAGATGTCAGCCCTTCGGGCAAGCTCGTGTACACCATTGCCAAGGCCGCTTCCGATTACGGCACTCGTGTCGTGTCAGGCGCTGACAATTACCCAGAAGGTTTGTTCATCGACTACCGGCACTTCGACCAGGCAGGCATCTCGCCGCGCTACGAGTTTGGCTTCGGTCTCTCATACACAAACTTCACCTACGCCGGCCTTGCAGTGTCTTCCGCTTCAGCGACCTCTGGGCCGGCGACCGGCCCCATTTTTCCTGGCGGACCGCAAGACCTTTGGGATACCGTGGCCACGGTGACCGCAACCATCACCAACTCGGGGGGTGTGCAGGGCGCCGAGGTTGCGCAGCTATACGTCACACTGCCCTCGTCCGCGCCCTCGACACCGCCCAGACAACTGCGTGGCTTCGACAAGCTCGCGCTCGCGCCGGGACAGTCAGGTACCGCGACTTTCAGCCTGACCAGGCGTGACCTGAGCTACTGGGACGTCGCGAACAAGAAGTGGGTTCTCCCGAAGGGAAGTTTCGGGATAAGTGTTGGTGCGAGCAGCCGTGATTTGCGTCTTCGGGGCACTCTTCAGGTTTCGTAAGATGCACAGCATTCTCAAGGGGTCTGATGCGGTCGGCAGGGTGCTAGGACGTGGGCGTGCCTTGAAAAGCCTTGGAAAGATCATAGTGGGCGAGAAGCCGATTGAAAAAGATTGGCGCACGTGTACAAAAGCAACTACAGTCTATCGCACCGATTTTTGTTGTGAAAACATCCTCAAACAACGCAGGATTCACGTGTATGATCCACGACTGCCTCTAAGATGATATGTCTGCTGTCTCATGATGCTCTTTTACCATGCGTTGACGCTGATAGGGGCTGGGATAGTGACTCTGCGTTGAAATTTACGAGCCACTCTAATTTTCACGCTCGAACTTCATCTGGAGAGCACGACAATGTTGCAATGATGCAGGCAACGAGAATTGGTTTCACTGCCAGTCGTGACTTCTTGAGTGGGCCTGATAATGGACATGGGATCACGACATAAGGAATTGCGGCCCGTAGTACAGATGCATTAATTGAGATGCTATTGAGATCGCTTCCAGTAGACATGCGACCAAACGCAATTCGGAAAAAGTGGATATGTTCTTGATGTGTCGTAAGCCGTCAGTTACACTCTCATCGCCGCCCTCATGTTGGCATTCGCTTTGTGGGCATGCTGACTTGTCGGAACAGGGAGCAACAGAAATGTAATCCATGTGTACGTCATGACTTATAATTGACAAAAGTGCGTATGCAAACTGGGCGCCACGGTCGTGCCTACTTTGAGCTTGTCGCTGATAAGCTGCCTGGTATTATGCACCGTGGTTGCATCGTTGTCTAATCCCGGACCCCCGTTCCGGCACGGAGCCAGCCCTTCCATGACAGCGTTCTGGATCAGCCAGATCATGACCCGTGATTGGACGAGCGCTTATTAAACCGCAATGTCGGGACGTCTTTAATGCGACTTAAGATCTGCTGCATCAGGACCTGTGATGGCTTTGTATGGAAAAGAGCCGAAAACGGGCACCGGCGATTTGTTTTAGAGCTGCAGATCGCGAACATACCGACGATCTCACCGAGGATTTATGAGGTTTCGGAGACCATGGCCGCGATGGCAACGCACTGGCAGGGGTGTCGCAGTGATAAATAGCTGGTTCTCGTCACGAACTTGGTGCTGAGACAGAAGGTGTCTGCACATCGCGAAGTGTTTTCACCCCAAACCTACATCACTTTTTGTCCAACGCAATCACAATGCAGCTCACTTCCGTCCTTACTACCATTGGCCTCCTCGCTGCAGAGGTCGCCGCCCACGGCGCTGTCACTAGCTACGTCATCGCCGGCAAGACGTACCAAGGGTGAGCAACACCAACACACTACGAGGCACTGCCGTGAGATATCTGACAAAGCGGGAACACAGTTACAACGGCTTCGCTCCGAGCTCGACCCCCGTGATTCAGCGCCAGTGGCCCGACTACAACCCCACCCTGTCGGCCAGCGACTCCAAGATCCGCTGCAACGGCGGCACCTCGGCCGCTCTGTCCGCTCAGGTCAAGCCCGGCGACTCGATCCAGGCAATCTGGCAGCAGTGGACGCACTCTCAGGGCCCTGTTATGGTCTGGATGTACCGCTGCAGCGGAGACTTCTCTAGCTGCGACGGCAGCGGCACCAACTGGTTCAAGATCGATCAGTCGGGCTTCTCGGGCGACGGCGTCAACGTTTTCCTCGACTCCGAGACACCGTCGGGCTGGGGCATCGCCAAGCTCGTCGGCGGCAACAAGGGCTTCACCAGCACCATCCCCAACCTCGCCCCGGGCAACTATCTGATCCGCCACGAGCTCATTGCGCTGCACCAGGCCAACGCGCCTCAGTGGTATGCTGAGTGTGCCCAGCTCCAGGTGACTGGCTCGGGCACAGCCTTGCCGAGCGGCTCGTACCTGACCTCGATCCCGGGCTACGCCAAGCAGAGCGACTCGAACATCAGCGTGAGTCTGTCTTTTTATTCCTTTTTTTCTTTTTTTCCTTTTCCTTTTCTCTTGGACAAACCAAGGGCTCTCACCCTTTCGTGTTGTAGTTGTTTCACGCTGACCTTGGATGTTTCTCTCACAGTTCAACATCAACAACCACTCTCTTCCTCAGAAGTACACCATGCCCGGCCCGCCCGTTTTCCGTGGTTAAGCAACAACTCTCTGGGTCTCGGAGTAAGAAACAACCATGGTTGCTGCAGTCGAGTCGCAAGGCTCTTGTGGTACACGATGTTTGGAGATGGGGGGGTGGAGGCAGAGGCAGAGGCATGTGGAAAGCCACGCGATTTCAAGTCTTGACAGGACTATTTTTAGCATATCCCCTTTGTAGCCGAAACGGAAACATTCCACAAGATTGGAGTACTAATTCGTTGTCAGTACACGTGACTTCGGAACATTAATGTCATTGAAGGCTTTGAGACCGCACTGTCTCTTCATGTAGCTGCAGCCTTATACGTAGCGTGCTCTGTGCTGGTGGCTACATGGCGCCGAAAATGTGCCGGCTACTGCTCAAGGCCTACTCCTCGGAGCTGATAACATCAAACACCAGGCCCTTCATGCCCAAAATGCGCCCTGGAAGTCTAAGTGACGCACCACACAATAAACGGTTGCGGCTGACGATATCACCCGTGCCGAGATCCAACAGTGTGGTGGCCTGTCTATATTACAGTCGAGGACATCGCTATGTCTGGCAAACATTCAGACGTGGAGGTTGCCACCAGCCAGGGCTAGCCCGCGTGCTGCCCCCGCCTGATACCACAAACGCTAGCGCGGGGGGCCAAGCTCGCAAGGTCAGGCAGCTTTAGCATTTGAAGCTTGAAGCATCTCAGGCCGACTGCTGGCCCCGCTTTGCCAGCTGAGGGGAGTGTGGAGCATTGTGGAGCATTGGGACGCCTCTTTGCGGGGAAGACCAGGGTCCCTTCCTCCCGAGGGGCAGCATCGCTCCCTCCCGTCCATCCTCGAGACTGCGTTTGCCAACTCCTTGGCACTGTCGCTCTGCAGCTGCGGATCGGATGCTCTATACCACGCACTCAATATGTCTAAGTACCTAAGCATCATGTCCTAGACATATCCTTTGTCGCGTTGCAGTCCCACGTCAGACCACTGCGTCCTGCCGCAAAGGCTAAGGTATGCTGGTTCTCAGACGGCACCTATCTATTTCGGCAGAGGCTTACGGGCCCGATCACAAGCATGCATGCGCTACTGATGTGACTCGGGCCATGATACGCGGGCGGGCGCCCCGCACGCCAGCCGCACGTGCAACAACCATGGCGGAGTTGGGCAGTGGTGGTTCGATGGGCCGAGGCTGCCCCAAGCAGAGGCGAACCTTGTTTGCTTGATGGCTTGCCATCCGCCTCACAAGCACTGCCCGTCTCACACATTCCTGACCTCGGCTCTCTTCAAACTTCGATCCTTCTGCCCTCCTAGCAAAAGGCCAAGAGCTCGCCCTTCTGGCCTTCCTACACGTACAGCAAACTTCGTGACAGCGCTTCAAACAAACAGCCTCTAATCACCAACACTACAGTCACTGCGACTATCACCACCATGGCGCCCGTCTCAGAGGCCGTCGGCCTGCCTCATCACGCCCTCAAGCTCCCACCCGATGTCACCGACGACTGCTTCTTCACGCCCTCCCAATGGACCGTCTGGTATGCCCTCATGGATGCCGTAATCCCCTCCATCGTGCCAGGCGACCCGGCCGACTCGTCCCCAGCCAACAACGAGTATCGAGTGCCCAAGGCAGAGTTCGACTCGTACTACAAGACCGTCTGCGATAAGGTCACGAGCCCGCCCAGCCGCGAGGAATTCGAACAGGTCCTCCGCGAGCGGCCCTCGGACAACCAGCGCTTCAAGCAGAACATGGTCCGCACCCTCGGCAGCCTGCCCAAGGAGATGACTGCCCAGATTGCCTCCGTCCTCAACCTGCTTGCGTGAGTGGACAACTTTTCTACTTCGAGTATGAGACCTTGCCAGGTAAAGCCCTTACTGACATCCTCGCAGTACTCGCTGGCTGTGCTATCCCCTGACTGGCTACTTCCAGCCCGTTCATGAGCTCCCCATCGCCTCCCGCGAGGCGCTCCTCAAGTCCTGGCATAATGCCCGCCTGGCCACCTTCCGCGGCCTCGCAAAGTCCGTCAGCATGCTCGCCCAGCGCGCCTGGATCATGACCAGCCCCTTACTCACCCACCTCGTCGGCTGGTCCGAGGTGCCCAAGGACTACAAGTCTGCCGAAAAGCCCGCCCAGTACCAGTTCAGGCAGTTCTCCGCGGGCACCGAACCCGAGACCATCGAAACGGACGTCGTCATCGTTGGCTCGGGCTGTGGCGGGGGCGTTTGTGCGCGCAACCTCGCCGAGGCCGGGTACAAGGTGCTCGTTGTGGAGAAAGGGTACCACTACGCGCCGCACATGCTGCCCATGAGCCCCGAGGTTGGCGAGTGGAACCTGTTCGAGGACCACGGCCTCCTGGGCACCAGCGATGGCGGCATGACCATCCTCGCGGGCGCGACCTGGGGCGGCGGCGGCACCGTCAACTGGGGCGTCTCGCTCAAGACGCCCGACTACGTCCGGGAGGAGTGGGCCAAGAAGAAGGGCATGCCCTTGTTCACCAGCCCCGAGTTCCAGCAGTCGCTCGACCGCGTATGCGACTTCATGGGCGTCAATGATGCCCACGTCCGCCAGAACCACCGCAGCGAGCGTCTGCTCGAAGGTTGTAAGAAGCTCGGCTACAAGGCCAAGGTGACGCCGCACAACTCGGGCAATAAGAAGCACTTCTGCGGCCACTGCCACTTGGGCTGTGGCTCGTCCGGCAAGCAGGGCCCGGCGGTGAGCTGGCTGCCTGCTGCGGCTAAGGCGGGCGCCCAGTTCATCGAGGGTCTGACGGTGGAGAGGGTCACATTTGACGACTTTGCATCGGGAAAGAAGGCGACCGGTATCGTGGGCAAGTGGGTGTCGCGTGACAAGGAGGGTGGCCTCAACGGCCCGCTAAGCGAGCGCACGACTCGCGATGTAGTCATCAAGGCCAAGAAGGTCATAATTTCGGCCGGCACGATCTGGAGCCCCGTCATTCTGCGCAAGAGCGGGCTGTCGAATCCACAGATCGGCCGGAATCTGTATCTTCATCCAGTCAACGTGATAACCGGGTTCTGGCAAGAGGAGACCAACCCATGGGAGGGTGAGTGTGCTTAGGCAAGTGACTTCCCTGATGTTCAAACGCACTAACTCCTCCGCCCAGGCTGTGCCATCAGCAGTGTCTGCACGGAATTCGAGAACCTCGACGGTGAGGGCCACGGCACGAAGCTCGAGCCCCTGTGCATGATTGTAAGTCCTGATGAGATACCATTCACACTGCCATGACGTGCACACCAAAATTCTGACAGCGGATGATTATTCAGCCCTTCCTCGCCCTTGCCAACTACGCGTGGCGCTCCGGTATCGACTTTAAGCTCTCGGCCCTGCGCTACCGCCACATGGGCACCTTCTTCTCGATGCCGCGCGACCGCGACACCGGCTATGTCTACCCAGATCCCAAGACCGGCAAACCCAAGGTTGATTACACACCCAGCGCGTTCGACCGCGCCCACGGCCTCGAGGGGCTCATCGCCCTCGCGAGGATCCTGTTTGTCACTGGCGCATACGAGATCCGCCCTTCCCTGGTACCCGTAGAGCCGTTTCTCCGGTCTCCCCCGGAGAGCGGGATCGACGATTCCGAGAGGTTCGAGAAGTGGCTGGCGCATCTGCGCAAGGAAGGGAACCCCGCGACCTCCCCCTGGGGCTGCGCGCACCAGATGGGCTCCTGCCGGATGAGCAAGTCTGCCGACGAGGGTGTTGTGGACACCAAGGGCAAGGTGTGGGGGTTTGAGGGTCTGTACGTCGCTGATGCGAGCGTGTTCCCGAGCGCCAGCGGTGTGAATCCCATGGTCACGGCCATGGCGATTTCGGATCATACTTCGAGGGGGATTATTGCCGACATGAAGGCGTTGGGGATTTGATTATGTGTTTCTGTAGTATTGCAAGCTTCTCTTTGCGCCGAAGCTGTTTGATTGTGTTTGAGGCTGTACAATAGTACTGGACACACTTTACACTCAAGTCCGTAGCAACGCCTTCGGAAACCAAAATGACCGTCCCCTTTCTTTCTAAGCCTCAGGCCAATGTTGAAACACAGTTATCACTAATCTCCAGTCACTTGATAGTCAAGCATGGAAGTTTTTATTTACATGGGACTATACTCCCTCGAGTATACTTATCGAGCCTACGAGTTCCGATGAACCAGCCAGATGGAGGTTAGCGTCGATGAGTACTCACAATAAGCACAGCACCCTGGCCGCCAAGTTGAGATCAACAGGGTCGAGCAAATGGACCAAGGCTGCGCGTATTGGTGCCACGTCTGAGATTCTCAGACACCACTAGTTAGTTCGACACCCCCGTCTGACTGGTCTTCATCGTCAGTTTCGGCTGATGGTGCCGTGTGTGGCAGTTCATGGTTATATTGTTCATCAGCAGACTGGTCGCCGCGGAACAGTGCGTGTGAAGACGGTTCTCCTTCAGACTGCTCGCCGTGTGGCCGCTCAGCTTCTTCAATCATGGAATCGATCTCTGCAAGCATTTCCCCAAGGCGTTCGACGTTGTCCAGGTCACCGAGTGCTTCGTAGACATCGCGTAACAGGCGCATTTCAAAAGAGCTGCCTTCTAGATCGGAGAGTGTTGTTCTTGGGTAATACTGGATAATTCTTTCGAGGGCGCTGACAGCCTGATGGACCTTTGCCATGGCCAGCAAGGCCTCGGCGAGCCAGTGCTGTGTTGTCAGAGAATCGGCATGCTGTGGAGGTAGCGTCTTGGTATTCATCTCTGCAACGTGGTGGATAATGTCGAGGGCTTGTGTGGGATCACCAACACCAAGATATGCCTGAGCGAGTGCCTGCTGTGTGAATAGCAAGGCCTGGTGGTGAGGTGGGTACTGCGCCTCCTCGGCAGCAAGCACATTTTTGAGCAACATGACTGCTGTAGGTGCCTTGCCGGTGCTGAGGCAGGCGAGCGCGAGGCCGTACTTTGAGTCTATTCGGAGCGCATCGTCCGCAGGCAGGGTGTGCTGCGTAGCCGCGAGGACCTGCTCGAAGATGCGCACTGCTCTGTCGTGTTGTCCGGTGTGGTTACAAGCCAATGCGAGGTCGTTGTGAGCATGTCCCCACTCGGGGTGGTCCGTGGGCAGAGGCGAGACGAGCTTCTCGAGCACCTTGACGGCCTGGCGAGCGTGCCCGAGCTTGCGCAGTGTGCGCCCATGCAGCATCTGTGCATGGACGAGCCACTTGTCATCAGCGGGGCGCGTCTCGTGCCACCTGGCGATGCAATACTCGAGGAGGGACAGCGCCGTCGTGGGCCGGTCCGCGTCGAGATAGGCATCTGCCAGGCGGCACTGTGCCTTCACATACTCGTCGCTGTCGCAGCCATAGATGGCAGCAATGGCCTCGGCATAGACCACTGTCCACTCGAGTGCTTCGTCCCATCGCCCATCGGCGGCCAGGCAATATCCAACCCAGTGTGCCAGCCAGGCGCGGTTGTACGACTGCGCTTTGTGGGTGCTCTCTGTCAGCACCCGCAGCGCATGCGGCAGGCACTCGCTCCACACAACACGCGATGCCTTGCTGTAATACTCTTCAAGGTACATCTTGTCCTCGAGACATTCCAGCGCCCATGTCCTCGCCTCGTCCGTCAGCCCCTCACGCGCCACCCAGCTGCGGATCGCCAGCTGCACCAGGCTGTGCATGTCGTACACTTGGCCATCCCGCTTCGTCAGCATCGCATACCCCAGCAGTGTCCCGATCGTGTTGGCCAGCACCGCGGCAGAGCCCCCAACTTCAGGCAGCATCCGCTTGGGGATCGCCTTGGGCTCAACTCGCGACAGAAACATCAACAGCTTCACCATGGGTCCCCGGGTCGTGCCTGTGCCGCTTTCGCTCATCTTCATCTGGTCCAGCGAGACCAGCCACGTCGTCATGACGGCATTGTACTGCGGCCGCTGCTGCTTCTCTGCTGGCCATTGCTCCGCAGAGCTCCCCGCAAAGCTCAGCAGCCGTCTCGCTTCCTCTTCTCGGCCTTGTAGCAGGTTCAGATACTCTTGGATCGACAGTCGGTTCCGGTTCAGATACGCCGCAGCCTGCGTGATCGCCAGCGGCAGCATGTCCAGTGCTACCACCAGTCGCTTGCCCGACTCCTCGCTGTAGTTGGGCACTCGGCCCGCAAGGAGTGACCTCTTCAGGAGCTCCTGAGCTTCATCGGTTGACATGACGTCGAGGTTGACAAGGGCTGGGCTCGTCGAGATCTCCCACGCCACGTCCTCAGTGCGCGTCGTCACTAGTGTGATGCCACTCTCACTGTGCGGTATATAAGGCCGCATCTCCTTTACGAGACTCACGTCGTCGGCATTGTCCACCACGAGCAGCCACTTGCCAGCTTCAGGGCTTCTCGACAAATAGTCTTTCAGTCGCTTCTTGGCGTCGAGGTCCTTGCGTTCTTCTCCCGAGATCATCCCAAGCTGGTCGAGGATTTCCCAGCACGACTGGTTGAATGTGTCCATGCTGAGTGCAGAGATCCAGTAAATCGAGTACTCAGGCATGTTGTCCCGCACCCAGTACGAGAACTCGAGCGCAACCTGCGTCTTGCCGATGCCCCCCAGGCCCCCAATACTGAACAGCGCCACCGTGTCCTGGTTTTCGCCACTAGCACCTCCGGGGAAACAGGTCTCACACAGCTGTGTCAAGATCGAGGTGCGGCCTGTGAAGTTCTTGTTTCGTCGCATCGGGATGAGGGTTGTGACTTTTGGCCTTGGTTTATCATCAGGTCTGAATGAATACCGTCAGCTTTCGACCCAACTTGCGTCTGTCGCGCGCGCGGCGCTTGCGGGTCATGCAGCACCTACTCGGCTTCGTGCACAGGGTGGGGGGCAGCAGCGCTGACAGCACGTGTCACAATCTCCTGCAACTTGGACCTTACGAGATCATACACGTCGTCGTGTGGAGCGTACTTGACAAGCTCGGAATGCGAACGGTTAATGGCGCAGGTGTGATTGCGCGGGTCTGCTTGGGGTATACAGTAGGTCGCGGATGGCACTGACACCAGCATCGTTTTAGGACCGTCCATTGCCCACTTTCCATCTTTCCACTGCCAGAAAAGAAAAATCAAGTCAGCGCTAGAACGTCCTTTACGCAGGGATGATGTCCGCCAATATAAGTTTCTTCATACCACTGGGGTAGGTGACTCGGCGGTCTCATAGAAGCAGAATACCTCTGCTGGTCTCTGTGGGCTACCCAACTTCTCCAGTGCAGCTGGAAATTTGCGTGTCTGCCGACTGAGAAACTGCGAGTTATCCTGCCCGATAGACAACAGGAGGGCCCTGTTGGGCCCTTTTCTACCAGCCATCGGCTCCAGTGAGGCGATGTCCATGCCGAGATGCGGCACGCCGAAGAAAACGAGACCGCCAATGGCGCTGCGGAGGCTCACCACGTTGCTGTCCTGAGAAGAAGCCAGGGAGATGATGGTCTGGTGGTTGCATTCAGTGACAAGGTTAGCGTAGGGGCATTCGACAAGGGACCTTGAAGGAGAGAGAGGAGGGTATTGCTATATACCTCTTTCAGAATCAACCCCCCAAGACTATGTGAGAGAATGACAATGGGTCGTTGCGGCCTGTGGTCCCCGTTGGGCCGAGCAGCAACGAGTGCCAGTAGCTGCTGGCGCAGTTGTCCAGCTAGGTCATCCACGTTCTGCACACTGCTGCTGCCCGCGACGGGTGATGAATACCCATAGATCATGACTCGGGCTATAGGGCGACTGCCGGTGGTATTCTCGGCCTGGCTGCCAGGCTGCTGCTGCGGTGCTACAATATGGCTTGGCAGCGCATCACGTAGCCACATGTGCTCGCCGCCACGTTGCTTGAACGAGCCGAACGCGTGACTTCCGAGTCCAGAGATGGCAAGGATGCTTAGGGAAACAAAGAAACAAAAAATTCTCAGTGTCTGCTCGTTTCGGTCGAGTTCACTCACGGCCCTGCTGTCCCTGCCTGCCTGCTGGTATAAAAGGGAGTACTCACTCGACCATATGATCATCAGGCGGCAGAGCATAAAGCGTCGTCAGTCCCAGAAAATGCTCATCGATCTCTGAGACCCACTGCTCCTCTTGCCCATCTCGTAGGCCGGGGTGGCTGGTACAACATGGCAGAGAGCGCGGTGGTGTCCCGAGGGCCTCGTCGGCCAGGCTGACGGTGGCTGTCTGGGACAGGCCATGCGGCTCGAGAGCGAGGGAGTGTACTCGGATCATCCGCGTACCAGGGCCTGCCTGATCATCACTGAAGGTTGCTGCTGCTGCCATCTCGCGCAGGCAGGCGCGGCTACATCGGGGGTTGATGCCACGGACCCGCCATGTCTTGGGTGTGCTGGCGGACGACATGGCTCAGGTTCCGACCCTGGGGAGCGGGGTGGTACGTCGTCGCATATGGTCGGTGGAGGGTTCAGCAGCGTTATTGGTGGGTGTTGGGGGGAAGCCTTGAGCAAGCGTCCTCCGTCCCAGAAGTCAAGTGGATGGGCAGAAGTGCTCAAGTGGGTGTGAGAGGTGCCCAAAGGTGATGTTGGAGAAGTGATGTTGGTTGGGCCAGGCCAGGGCTAGCTCGGCTTGCGAGAAGTCGCCCGAATGCACCTACCAGACCCTGGGCCTGGGGCAGGGAAGAGCCTCAAGAAGCACACGACGCGCCCGCACGCCGTCAGCCACCAGGCTTGGACAGTCGACCGTCTCTTCCAGGATATCACATTCAACCCCTCATCTTCGCGAGGGGCGGAGTCCAGGGCTCAGAGCCTTACGGGTCTTGGCGGCCTCTGGTCATGTGCTGGACCCCTGCAGACCGGGCTGTAATAATAGGGCCGCCTGCACCCATCCTACCGTGCAAGGCGGGTCAGGCCGACAAGGACGCCTCACGAGTACGCCTCGCAAGGCTACCCTAAACGATTTCGAGCCGCCTCGATACTAAAGACTGGCCAGATGGCGACCGCGCTCCCAGCAGAGACTACCTCCACGACCCTTCAGTTCTCGTAGCTGGCTACCAAGGTTATATACATAGCTTATCCGGACGAAAGCCGATCTCCACGTCACAGTACGAGATAGGACTACTACCGGTAGAGGTTAATTAGTACTTATGGTTACGCATTACCCTAGACGTAATTCAGGGCGTGCCACTCTTCTTAAAATAACACTATAACAACCCACCACCAAGGTAGACATAACACGGCGGACAGACCTCCATAGCAACATAGCTACGGAGAGCTCCGCCTCCCTCGCCTTGGGACGCCTCTACCGTCTCGGCTTTACGAGATGGTCGGCTCAGAATGTTATTAGTAGCTTCTCGGCAGGCTCGTAGCGGTACAAGACCCTCTTTAAGCGCAACTTTGGGTGGCTACTTTGCCGTGTTTTTGTACCTCTCGGTGGTTTCGTCAGCACCTCAGGTCGCGTCAGCTAGCTCTAAGCTTATTTGGCGAGGATGAGAAGTTCCGGGCGCTGGGCTATGGTTATGCGCTGTCGTCGTTCGGCATGGGGTAATGCTTGCTACTATACTAGCTTGGGGTGATTTGGGTCAGGGTATTTTCTGCAACCCCTAAAGACTCTATCTGGCGAAACGGGCTTTGCAAGTTGGACAATCTGTGACAGACTTCGAGGACAGCTGGTCGTGTCACTGGCGCATTCAATCGCAACTACATTGACAGAGGAAGCTTGGTGGTTCGCGTACATGAAGAAGTCAAATAAAGTGCCATTAAGCCATTGACAATCTGCTAGATTCCAAAACTCCTTTCAACAAATCGCTTCCCCCCCCCCCCTTTATCATGCAGCCTTGCATCCAGTTGACAGGGCCAGCGGCTTTGGCCTTTCCGCGCCGAGTGAATGCCCAGCACATTAACACCCGGCGCTCCCGTCCGCACACACGCACGCCACCGTGGCGAAAGAGCCGCCGATGCTGCTCGGCCCTTGGGGCTGGTACCAGGGCGGGCAGAAGTCGGGCATCTCCTTACCCGCGGTCCGGACCCTGCCGTATTTCCCGCCCTCGGGCGTCGCGTACTCGGACCGGCCAAACCCGTCGAACCGGATCTTCCACGTCATCGGGAAGGGGACGAACTCGTCCCACTCGGGCGTCAAGTACGTGTCCACACCGGGGCGCAGCATCCGGTCGTCGTTGAAGATCCTGTCCGCGAGGTGCTTGTCGTCCAGCTGCGCGACCTGCTCCGCGATCCACGCCACGCGCTGCGGGGCCATGTAGTTTGCGTACCCTTCAACCGTCGGGTCGATGTGGATCTTCTTGAGCCGCCCTTGGGAAGCGTGGCCCCGGCGCGTGGTCTTGGTCTGGGCGATGAACTTGATCATCGAGGTCAGGGACAACGGGGTGAAGCGGCGCGGGGAGAAGACGGCGTATTTGTCGGCAATGGAGAGCTGGAGCGTGAGGAACGCGATCGCCGTGGTGTCATTGGTGTGCTCGGCTTGGGCTATGGCTTTGGACTGTGTTGAAGAGGAAGGGAGGTTCATGTGTTAGCGGAAAGCCTTGAGGTCGCATGTCTCTTCTTGCAGAAATGGACACTCGTGGGGAAGATCAATGCCGACTTACGAGATTCAGCACAACCGTCTGCCCCTTCTTCACCAAGACGGGGCGTCCATCTTGGGTCCCCTCAAACTGGTACATATCGTCCACCAGTGCCTTGCGCACAATCGGCAGGCGAACCTTCCTTTGAGCCATGGACTGGACCATCTTCTCGAGGGCCGCGTCGTCATCACACAGAGCTGCGTGCTGGACAGAAATCCACTCGGGCTCGACAGCCGGCGCGATGCCCTCGCGGGCGTTTGCGGCTTTGTAGAGATCCGCCATGTAGCCATCGAGCGTGGCAGTGAACTGTATTCAGACGTATTAGCAAGGCACCTTTGGAAACAAGACAGAGGACTACGCGAGGGTGGTCTAGACTCACCGACACCACGGCGTTGTACGCGAAATCGAGACAAATCAGCAGCAGGATCGCCGCGGCCTTGCTCTGGTCCCGCTCGTAGCGCAAGACCTGCCGCGCCACGAACACGCCCATCTCGTGCATCGGGTTCGTCTCCTCCTTGCCAAAGAGCATGCGCGACAGGCCCCAGAGCTGGTCGGCCTCCCAGATCGTGCCCTGGCGGGTGAGGTCGATGAGGAACTTCATCGACTCTTGGAAGGCCTGCCGGCGCGCCATCCACTTTGTCTCGTCCGTGTTGTACGACAGGAATACCTGGCAGTTGGTAATGTGCTGGTAGATCTGGTTTTCCGTGTACGTGTCCTTGACGGGAGTTTCTGTGGCCACCTCGCGCAGCTTGTTGCTGAATCCGAGGAACGCGGCAATGTAGCGAGTGACAACGGGGATGGCGAAGCTGCATACGTGGGAAAGGATTAGTCAAGCTCTCTGCTAGCCAGAAATGGGAAGAAAACCACGAGACAAGACTTACTCCCTCGTAGCATCAATCTGGAAGGTAGAGTTGGTCACAGACACCGACTCCCTCTTGATGATGTACTTCATCAGCTCGTCGAGATACTTCTTGAGCTCCGGCTCGGCCTTCTTCACGTAGTCCTCGAGAATTGCGTGGTCGAATGAGGGAGGCTGCTTCTCTGCGTCAAGCACGCTGCGCACCACGCGTGGGAGATTCGCCTTGTAGCTGTACACGGGGTTGGTGAAGTTGGCGCTCTTCTCGCCTTGCAGCACCATGTGGATGTCCTTGAAGTTCTCCAGGTAGCACGGCTTCTTGGGCTTCTCGGGCGGGTACGCGACGACGTCTGCGGCGGTCTTCTTGGGTTTCTGGAACCAGCTGGCACCCGCATCGTGGAGCTCGGCCGTCTCCTTGAAATCCTGGCCGTATCCCTGCGCCTCGGCGTAAATAGCATTCTGCTTGGCCGTGTAGAACGGATGGAAGAAGCGGATGCTGTCGTTGGGGAACCAGCCGGGGAACGCGCGCTGGAGCAGGCGGTGGAACACGGAACTCTTGCAGATCTCATTGTTGGGCGTGACCTCTTTCATGCCCCAGGACGTCAGGGAGTTTGTGTTCCAGTCTGTAGTGTAGAAACGGTCAGATCTCACGAGCGTGATTGCGTCGGAGAAGATGGCAGTCCACAGCGCCGAGCTGGACTCTGTGGGACCGGGGTCCAGCCCCATCCGCGCGTCCGACTCGCAGAAGATGCCTGGGTACAGCTCGATCTTGTCAGGGCTTTCGTACAGGTCGCGCAGCGCGTTCTGGATCTCCACATTGGCGGTCACGCTCTCGAAGGAGGCGTGCCTGGGCAGCTCGAAAATCTGTCTGAAATCGTTGAGGGTTCCGATTTCCCATTTGCGCGCCTGGAGGATGCCCATGATCTCGACCGGCTTCATGCACCTCGGCACATTGCGCGGACCGAAGTTGGAGATGGGCTCGTCCATGGCGGCACTCAGCTCGCCCAGCATCTGCTTGTCGTCGAAGAGGCCCGTGATGGGGTTGCGGACGAAGTGCGTGGACACGGATGGCGTAGCGGGGGCGTTGATGGGCTTTTGGGTCTTTGTAAAGTCTTGCGACACGGGAACATCCATGGAGATGCCGCTATCTGAGCCATTCCTGCTTCTCTCGGTGCTGCTCACGCCGTCGGAGCCCGGAGATGAGTTGGTTGTGGCCTGGTCCGGGATGCCGAAGGTGATTTCCCACGGCTCCGGAGGCAGAATACCCTTGGCCTGGTCCTCTTGAGCTTTCTGCTTTGAATATGCCATGGTCTTGAGAAACTCTGGGAGAGTCGTATTATTTGGATCTTTGAGGTGTAGCACATTCTTCATGAACTCTTCGATGTACTTTTCGTCCCTGAGCGAGATGGCACAGTGGAAACGATACAGTAGGTTGAACTCGACGGTAACCTGATTGCCAATACCGCGACTGGTCTTCTTCTGGTCAAAGTCTGCACGCGGATCGAGGGTCAGGTTCGTATCATAGGCGTGGAACCCCATCAGTGCACGAAGGTAGTCGTGAATCGAGATCTGAATGTACATGCCGCAGGTGATCAGCCTGGCAGTGTTGAACAGGTCGTTGTCCTGCTTGTCCCGCGCGGCCTGCCATGCAGCCTCGAAGTCGTTGCACTTGTTGACAAAGGCCTCGAACTGCGCGGGGGACTTGTGCTTGAGCTTGCCCTTCTTCTCCTCGAGCTTTAGCTCGAGAGCGTCCCGTAGATCATTGAGCCTTGTATTTAGTGGAAGTGCCTCGAACTTGGCAATCTTGTCCAGCGCTTCTTGCCTTTTTTCCTCTGCCGCAATACGTGCTGCCTTCTGCTGGGGGGTCTCGTTGGGCTGTTTCGCAGGAGCTGAGGGGGGGTCTCGTGGCCGTGCCGCCTGGACTTTCCTCCAAGCCTTCTCGTATTCAGTGCACAGCTGCTGCACTTCGTAGCTCAGTTCGGTCTTGCTGCCGTCCTTGTTGCGGTCAGGCAGGTGTTCCTTGATCAGAGACACGAGCTTGGTCTTGTTGTACATCTCCGGCAGCGAGAACCGCCCGTTTTCATTGATGCGCAAGAGCTGCCTTGCCGCGTAGTTGTGATACCTCGAATACGCGACCAGCAAAATACACACTCCCGGTGGCTGTCTGAGCAGGCGGTCTTCGGCGAAGGTGTCTGGCTTGAGGAGGCCGAGGCCGTACTTTTCGTCGCGCACCTTGCGCTGTATCTCCTCCGTGTATCCATACAACGGCGACAGGTCAAGATAAGACGAGGAGTCTGAGATGTTCTTGTCGTTGTCATTGGTGCGGAAAATGTCGTGGATGATTATGGTTGCGTGGTACAGCAGCATGGATGACAGTCCCGACTGGCTCTGGCGGCCGCCGTCCTCACGTGCCATAAGTTTGTCGAATAGGTCGACTGGATCAGGCAGAGCACCAAGAGGAGCAGTTGTCGACGGCACCGTCTTGGCATAAGGGGCCCCAGCCTGCCCAAGGTGTGGGTTGATGGCAGAGTTGAATTTGCCATCGGGTGTTCTGTATTGGAAAGCGTCGCCCAGGTACGTCAACGGTGCTAGTTGCCAGATAATTAGCGCATGGCCTTGTCTGAATGAGGACTGACAATGAAAATGACGTACGGTGCAGCATCTTGTCGTACTTGGTCTTTACCTGATCGTTGATAAACTTTTGCCTGTTGGTACTGTAATCGGAGAGACTCCCGGCAATCTGAGCAGCGCCTTCAGGCTGTGTAGGCTGTTAGCGCATCTATTGATCATCCAAGTCTGTATCCAAGACTTACATCAAGTCCCTTGCCCATCAGGAGGCTATCAACGACGTCTCCCAGCGCGGGCCAGTTCTTGGGTCGCAAAATGGCCTTGATATCACCCAGGGTCCCGACTGTGGGAATAATGCGGTTCTGTGACATTTGTTAGTAGGAACTCACTCACACGAGAGGTATGAAACTTACCGATATTAGGCTGTCGCCATGGAACTGTGCGTATCTGTTGTCATTCTCCTTGTTTCTGAGCTGGAGGGTGAGCTCCATCAGATCCTCCTCCTTGGCCGCAGACTCCTTTGCTACACGACCAGTCATGATGAGCACAATCCTCGAGGGTGCTGATTACGGGCAAGTATGTGGAAGGTTCTGTCGCGACTTGGCTGCACGCTCAAGTCAACGATTACTTGTGCTGGTTGAATGTGCTTAAGTCAGTTGACACCAGGACCCTTTCCTCGGTCCAGACATGGTGCGACACGACCTTAATATCGTAACAAGTCTCTCTTATCAAGAGGACTAAACCACCACGAACGGTCAGAAGCCCCAGCGTCGTATGGTGAGCACAGCCAAGTGCCGCCCAGTGCACAACTGCCATTTCACGAGAGGACCAACAAGGGCGGCACTTCTTCCCAACCTGACACATTCGCCGCACAGAGTTTGAGCTTGTCGTGCTCGCAAAAACCATGGTGCCGCATCCGTCGTTGGTTGTTGGTATCCATGAGCCCTGGTCTTCTGGTTTATCGTGCTGCAAGAGCCTCTCTTGGTGTGATTCTGCCGTCTTAGAAAGTCCAAAGAACTCAGCAGGACGGAATTGAAGGCTGATTGGGAGTCTTTCGACTGAGACACTTTGGGTTATCAGAGTTCGCAGCTGAAAGCACTTGCAATGTAGCGTGTTTGGCAGGTCGGCCGACATTCCTCAGCTTGCTACTGGCATATGCACCCCTTGTCCCCTAAGTAGGTATGGAAGCACGCTACAGGTGCAGATCGAAAGGGCTGAAGTTGTCTTAGACAGGCGGCCATCTGGGGTCATGTGAGGGGATGTCTTGAACCCTGATCGGCAGGCCGCTACTGTTGTCTTTCCTCGACTTTATCCACACAGAAAGCGGGCTTGCTTTGGACTAATCAACAATGCAGATAGTTCAGCTGGACACGGCATTTCGGCCAGTTGCCGTATGCATCGATACATTCTACATGGAAAATTCCTCAACGCCACGAACTCTTTTGTGCATGCCAATGGTCTCAGGGGTAAGTTGGCCCTCAGCCTGAGAGCAGTCCAAGCCCCCGGAAGTCGGTAATGGTGCAACAGTAGTCGAGCAAGAGTGCACTGGGCCAGAAACCATTCTGGTATGCTCAGTCGAGCATCTTATGGTCGACATGATCGCTACTTTTACCGCTCAGTCCCCACCTGTGAAGTGTCTGCTTGATATCATTGCCAGGCCACGAGAGCTCCGTCCCATTATCACTTCACCACTTTCATCTCATCAACGCCCCCAACTCCTGCCATCATGCCTCACTCGCTCCCAGTTGGCGAGTACGCCCGCGGTCCAGCAGGCGCAAGCCGGAGCCCGTGCCCCGTAGTAAACGCGCTCGCCAACCACGGCTACATCAACCGCGACGGGCGCAAGATATCCATGTCGGAGCTCAACGCGTCCATGCGGTATGTCGGCATGAGCCCGCTGCTGGGCTCGATCTTTGCCATACCTACCTATTATGAATTCCACAACCCGGAAAAGGCATACCTGCAGCCGCCTGTCAGCGCGTGGAGCAAGTTCTGGGGCCTCCTCAAGGACCCGTACTCGTACTTTTCGTACTTTGGATGCTGGAACCCGGGACAGATCAACCCGGACACCGGCAGGAAGTATCTCGACCTGGAGAACCTCGCCGCGCACGGTGCTATTGAGCACGACATCTCGCTGTCGCGGCGGGACATCGCGCAGAAGGAAGGAAACAATGCGCCGCAGCCAGACCTAATCAGGGAGCTGCTCGAGTCCTCGTTCGACGGGGAGACGATGACGATTGAGGACCTGGGGCAGTTCATCAAGGTGCGCATCAAGCAGCAGCTGCATGATAACCCGGAGCTCGTGTACGGTCCGTCGGAGCACCAGGTCAACTGCGGGCAGATTGCGCTCATGATGGGTTGTTTTGGAGACGGCAAGACGATCCCCGTCAAGTATGTCAGGGCCATTTTTGAGGATGAGCGGCTGCCTATCGAGGAGGGCTGGAGCAAGAGGTTCTGGTGGACAATGGGGATGGTCGAATTCTTCCGTGCGGTGCAGCACCTGGTCGCGACAGTGGGCGTGACGTTTTAGTGTGGGCTTGTTAATTTTCTATGAGGTTCTGATCTCACGATGGTGCTGTCGACTATGGTAGATTATTTTCTTGTAGGATCAGCAATGCACATCTAAACAAAATGACACGGCATTTCGCTATCTTTCTTGCACTGTTGCAAGCTCCTTACGACGGCGCGGCTTCTTGCATAACGTGCTCGGGTTTCCCACAAGGTCGATTCGACTCTCTCTCTCTCTCTTCTACTCTTTGCTGCTGTTGCTTGACCAAGATCACAGTCCCTAAGCATGGCCGTCAAAGTTTCGAGGCTGACTCTTCCCTTCTCACTAGGGACTCAAACCTACGACCTCTGCAGCCAGCCTCGAGAACCTCGATCCGGCTATAGAGAGAAGACGGCTGAACGACAAGCTGAGCGACAAGCGCAAAGCCAAATGCATGTCCTGCTTGGCATATCAAAATAGCTGAAGACCGGAATTGCTGGTGCGGGATCGCCTATCATATTGCCCCATTCATCTGCACTCGTGGTACGCTATGAAAATCATATGGCCTAACATAAGCTCTATGGCTTCCTCGAGGCATTAAAGTTCAGTCGTGTTCGAGAAGCATGCCACGGCACGGAGCGGCCCGTGAAAGATTCCCTGATAAGCCCAACGCTGGTTTCCGGGGCGGGGTCCAACTCCCGAAGCGGCGCAGATCTAAGCCAGCAACTGTGAACGGGGCTTTCAATCTCTACCCTAATAATTTCCCGCTAAACTGGCTAGCTCGCTTTGCAAAGACGGCGACCAGAGTTCGAACCGTGTCTTGGAGTAGCACGCCTACGTCTTACGCAGAAGCGGGGTCTGAGACAATATGTTGGAGCTGAATGGACTTCTCTATTGAGTTCGTATCTGGTTCACACGCGTGTGTGTGTTTCTCGTGTGTGTCAGTTTCACGTGTCAGAGCAGCCAGGATTGCATTGCATGCTGCAATTCACTTTCGGGTCTTCCAGGGCAGTTCTTGAAATGTTTATCTGCAGTGCTGTGCCCAGCTGGTATGTGCTGTTGTTCGGGGTGTGCATCAGGCCACATCAGTTTCTGACTGTCGGGCTCCAACACACTTACATCTCTCATTCTCTCAAAACCCCATAACCTTTCCCGTCCATCGAGTACACTGACATCAATACAAAGAAGAAAGTTATTACTATGTCCTTCATCACCCCATTTCTCCCCGCCCTAAAAGGCTACGCCATAGCTGGCAGCCTGATCAACGGCGGCACCATGACGTCTGGGTACCGCCTACTCCCCGCGGTCTACCCAGAGATCCCCAAGTCACCGGAGGACGCGGCCAAGCAGTGGTCGTATTTTTACTGGTCGATGAGTGCCACGGTCCCTGCAATCGATCTCACCACCTTCTTGGCCATCGGGGCGATCGCGTATGCCGAGTATCGCGAGTCCGGCACCTTCACCGCAGCCTCCAGCCTGAGCGGTGAGAGACCCTGGAAGATCTGGGCCACCGCGGCGGCGCTGATGCCCGTCGGCTGGGCCTGGGTGCGCCGCGTCATGAACGCTCCCTCGATGAGCTCCTGTCTATCGCGGGATCCGGGCCCAACGGAGAGCCCATCGCCGCAGCCAAGACAACCCCCGAGGACACCCTGGCGGTGATGAAGAAGTTCAATGCGCAGATGAGTTTCCGGATGAGCATTCCGTGGGTTGTCGGCGCGCTGGCATTGTGGGCTTCGCTCGCGTATTGAGGAAATGCCGGCAAGTCTTGTTGAGCGGGGAGAGGATGCGTATTCCCCGCTCCCGCATCCATCGTGTCGAGCAATTCCCCTATCCGCCTTGAGCCATCACACTCTGTGTTTGAATGTCGGAAAGTTCTCGCAGAGGTCTAGAGGTCCAGAGGCTCAGAGGTTCAGAAGTTCATCAGCCAAACACTTAGTCAGTTAGGATACTTCAGTTTAGCGCCTAGAGGTCTCTAAATTTAGCCGCTGAGATTACCCAAGTGAAAGTACGACTGCGCAAAGTCCTGATATGATCCTCAGTTCATAAATCCTGATCAAGTATTGCCCGCTCTACTGAATGAATGTGCTATTACCGAGACCCCTTGGAGTTCCGGACATGCGGCTGCGCTAGTCCTGAATTGGACAGAAACATGGCCAAGACCACCCTGACCCACTTTCAAGATCGCGCAACGACCTCGCCCAAAATGGCAAAAAGATGCAGCTCTGTAATCCAGCAACAGCGAGTTCGTGAATATAAATACGACAAGAGTGACGTTCAAGTGAGATGGACTTCATCATGTTCAGTCAAGCGTTCTTGTAAAGATCTGACCGTTGACTTCGTGTTGTTCCTTTGGCATTCTTGGCCCAACTTACGCTAGCATCCCACCTGCACTTTGAGGAGTATTCCCGTCAGCATCAGCTCCACTGACTTTATTCTTCCTCTATGCACTCAACAACCTCAACCTTTTCCACCTCCTCCTCATTTCTTTCATTCCCCGCCCACACGCTGTCCCATGAGGACGAAATGCGTGCCGCCGCCGCCGCCGCCGCCGCCTCGACCTCAGCTACCAGCACCCTGGCCCGGAGCCTCCAAGCCCGCGCATCCTCCACCCACGACGCGACGTTCCGCCTCCCCGATGGCCGGGCGCTAGGGTACGCCGAATATGGAAGTCCTCGCGGCCTGCCCTTGTTCGTCCTGCACGGCTTCCCCTCATCGCGGCTCGAGGCCGGCCCGCTGGACAGCATCGGCCAGCGCAAGGGGATCCGGATCATCTCGCTCGACCGGCCCGGGTTTGGCCTCTCGACGCCGCAGCCCGGCCGGACCATGACCGACTTTGCATGGGACATGGCCGCGTTCGCCAGGGCCATGAACATCCGGCGGTTCGCGGTGGCCGGGTTCTCTGGCGGCGGTCCTTATGCGCTCGCGTGTGCGCACGTGCTCCCCCGGCAGACGGTCGGGGCGGTGGGCATGTTTGCGTCCGGGCCGCCCTGGGCGGCTGGGGCCGAGATGATGTCTCGCCCGCGGAGGGTGATGCGGTGGATGGCGGTGCACTGGCCGTGGGGGTTGCGGGTGCTGTTGGATGCCGTCATGGGCACACTGCGCTGGGTGAGCCAGACGCAGTTTGTGAAGCGCAAGACCGAGGAGTGGCTGGTTGCGCAGGACGAGAAGAAGGACAGCGGGGAGCTTGCGAAGCTGGATCAAGGGGAGCACGTCGAGGACGAATCAGGGGAGGGGGAGAAAGAGAACAAGGAGAGCAAGACGGTGAGCGAGAGGCGGGAGATTCTGTTCCGGATCGTGGACGAGCCGTTTGCCCAAGGGGCGGCGGCGACGGTCGAGGAGGCGGCACTGCTGTCGGCGCCCGAGTGGGGGTTCCGGCTCGAGGACGTCGAGTACGCGCCAGCAGTGCGCATCTGGCACGGCACCGATGACACGAATGCGCCCATCGCGGCGATCCGGTACCTTGCGGACAAGGTGCCGCATGCGGTGCTCACCGAGCTCGCGGGCAAGACGCACTACACGGTGTATCCCTACATTGAAAAGGCGCTGGACGAGCTTGCCGAGGACTTTAAGCGAGGAGGCTGAGGTCGCTGCGGTTGGTAGTCGACACTTCAGTCCAGTCCTGGTTGTGTACAAACAAAATACCCATCTCCCCATTCCAGTGATGCACATACTCAGGGTATATAGCGAGCGAGTTCTCTACTCATTGATTGGACTTGGCCTCTAACTAATAGTCATGTCGTTGATCGGGTTCGTGGAGTGAGTGGGTGCATCTGCCCCTGTCTTGGCGACGTCATGCGGCATGGGCAGTCGGTCGTGCCTGCTCCTGCATCCAAGGGCCGCATCAGGGCAGGCGCGGTCTCCACAGGCGAGACTGGACAGGCACCCCAGCCGAGCTTAAGGTTGTTGGCCTGCACACCTCAGCTCCAGCTTCTTTCTCTGCCCATCACATCCATCAGCGCCAGGCATTGCTTTCCTTCTCCCTCCTCCTCCTCAAGTATCCAATTATCCCCGCGTCATCGCGCCGCCAGCCCTCACCTGGACAACACAACAACACTAGGCACTCCCAGATGCGCATCTCCTCTGCCGCTGCCGCCTGGGCGCTGGCCGCCCCCGCCATGGCTGCCGTTCCTTCCTCGCCCAATCAACACCCCATTGCCCTCCAAGGCAGCGACGATGCACCACAGCGACCCACCCGCGTCGCCTCCTCCGCCAGCCCCATCGAGACCGGCGTCGGCCACTTCAGCGAGTGGTCTCGCGAGACGAAGCGCCAGTTCCTCATCGACTGGCAAGCAGGTCGCTCGTCAGAATGGATCATTGTGCAGGGGAATGAAGGAGGGGACCTCGATTCTATGACGGCTGCCCTCACCTGGGCCTACCACCTCCAGCACGCCACCCAGAACTCGTCCGAGCCCCTCAAGGCCATCGCCCTCCTCCAGACCCCGACAGACGCCCTCGACCTCCGTCCCGAGAATAAGGTCGCGCTCGACAACTCCCAGATGAGCTCCGGCCATTCCGATCTCCTCACCATTGACGAGCTCCCCGAGGACCCAGAGACCCTCGCAACCCACATCAAGGGCATCGTCATCGTTGACCACCCAAAGCCCCTCCGCAAGTGGCAGGCTGCTCCCATCCTCAGCATCTTCGACCACCACAAGGACAGCGGCGCCGGGCCCGATGCAAAGCCCCGCATCTTCGAGACGGTCGCCAGCTGCACCACCATTGTCGCCCGCCAGATGCTCGACGAGCTCGAAGCCCTGCCGGAAGAGTACCATCTGCCCCACGAGCTGCTCGAGCTGATCCTGGGCGCCATTGCCATCGACTCGGGCGGCCTAGCCGACGCCACCGACGAGGACCGCAAGACCGCCCAGCGTGTTCTCGCTCGCAGCAACTGGCGCAAGAAGGACCTTGATGACCAGATGGAGAAGCTCGACGACGAGCTCAGCGACGCCAAGAAGGATCTCGGCAACCTCATGCTGCGCGACCTCCTCCGCCGCGACTGGAAGGGCGACCTTGTCGACACTCCTTCGCCGCGGACGCCAACCGTCAATCTCGGCTTCGCCTCCATCCCCTACTCGCTCGATTACCAGATTACCAAGACAGGCTACGGCGAGCTGTTTGACTGGTTTGCGACGCAGGCCGCTTGGACTGCGCAGGTGGGCGCCGACATCAGCATCGTGCTCAACAAGTACAAGATCAAGACCAAGGAGGCCAACGGCAGCAAGAAGAAGCGCAAGATTCGCGAGATCGTGTTGGTCGTGCGCAACGACGTGCGCATCGACGAGCACCAGGCGGACGAACTGTTCAAGGTGGTCAAGACGGCGATTGAGAACGACAAGACGCTGAACGTCAAGCCGTGGCACCGGGCAAACGAGCTGGGGCGGTGGCAGATGGCGTGGACACACGAGAGATCCGATGCGGGCAGGAAGGTGATTCGGCCGATTGTCGAGGCTGCGGTCGAGAGCTGGGATTGAGTGCACGACATTGATGAGTGGGGATCACGAACAAGGAACACAGGAAAAAGTATTCGTATGAGCAACTTTAGAGCTATCACGCCGGAAAATTGAACCACTATGATTTATGCAAAGTGTGCACAATGTTCACACGGGATGTCAGATGTAGTCGTCGGCGGTCGGTGGTGTGTACTTTGGCGGCAGGCCGTCCTGAGAACCAGACGGGTCTGGTAGGGAAGGCGCCAGCTATACAAGGAGAAACGATCTGAAAACGATTCACATGAAAGTTGTGTCAAGCAGACCACTGGCAGCCATGCCTGATGCCCGTTGAGATCGCATGATACGTGACCTGGCCACGGGGTTCATTCTTCGGTGTGCACACCGAAAAGATCGCATCTGCAAGTATTAGAGTTGCTCTCCACAACAGCAACAATTCACGACGAGCACAGCACAAGAACTAGCAGCCGGAAACTCCTGAAGCATGTTGAATAGCGATCTTGACGCCGAGATGGTCGGGCGCTGGTATCCAGGCCCGGGCTCGTTGCTGCTTTCTGCTTGCAACGAGTTCACCAGGATCCCGGTATCCTTGTTCGCGCCTTGGTTGTTGCGAAGGTCGGGGAAGAGGGTGTTTTGTGTCCATCCAGCCGCTTGTGGTGAGCTTTGAGAAGCGGGGGTGATGGCGCGGAATCGTTGCTTGTTTGACCTGCTGCCGGCGACGCTTTGGATGACGAAGGCGCTGAGGGCCAGCCGGTAAATGGGAATAAAGTCCGCCTTTGACATTGAAATATAGAGGAGACCGGCGAGGAGAGCTGCTCGACTGGCTACGTCGTCACTGACGACTTGCACTTCCGCATAAGCCTAGAGTCGAGTGATCAAGCCGTGTGGACTCGGTGCTACTTAATGTATTGCATACGAATAATGGGAGTAACCTAAGTTGCAAGCAAAGGGTGGCAGGCTTTATGGTCCTCTGGTATAGCGGTATCGGGCCCCGGTTTCTCTTTTTCTTCTTTTTGTTTTCATCATCAATTGTCCATATTTCTTCCTGAATCTCTGGCTGGCTTCTCACAAAACAAAAACAAATTTCGCGAAGTATCCCGGATGCCCAACCAAAGAGTACTGACCACTACCGCCAAAGCGGTGAGACTGATCAAAGATCAAGAGTAGCAGCATGCTCTGAGTGGTGCCTCTCCACAAGAACTCAACCCCATGGACGGGATGTCCGTGTTAAAAACTCCTGTTTTTCCATTTTCATTTTTATTGTTTTTTCCCCAGGATTGACGTGTGCCGGGACTATTATTCTCATCACCAGATGCCCATTCGCCACTCTTACAGGAGCGGCCTTCCACGCCCAGGCAGGTGCCAAACTGGTCATCTATTAGTTTCAATGATACACGCGCGGACATTTTCTCGATGTATCAAATTAGGGTTTGAACAAAACATGCCCAGCCTGCAACTCCTTCCAGTGGCTGCGGCCCAAGCAAGTCTCGGAGGCATTTTAAATTTCTATTCAGGTATTCATTGCCAGTCGCGTACTTGAAAAAAGAAAGCTGTAGCCGTTGCTAGGTGTTTGTGGACGGCCATGCCATGCCATGGCGTTCTCACCCTTGGTTGAAAAGACGGAACGCGTGTCGTGAGATCAAGCCTTTCAGCCAAGACGGCAAGGCGGGAAGACACAGGATCGGAAACCGAATCTTGGGGTGGGGGAGAACAAGCTCATGCGGGCAAGATCTCCAGGGGCCGACAGACCGGCTTGCGTAGATCAGATCAGAACATGCATTCGAGGGGCGTATAGCGCGGCCAAGACGCTCGGACGACGGGATACACATGCGAGAATGGATCGAGACAAGGAACGACGGGACAGAGACATCAGGGGAGATGGGAGGGTAGGGTGGAAGCAGTAAAGGCTTGACCGAGCTCCGCCCCTCGAGAGTCTTCAGCACGGGAATGATGACATCGGAGGGTGTGAGATGACTGACGAGGTGTATGATCCAGAGTGTGCAGTTTGGTTGCTGGGTATAGACCTGGATCTGAGGCTTGGGAGCCCGCACCCAAGACTCGGCCGTGTGCCGTGTTCCGGCATGGCAGTGTGTCCGCGGAGTGTCTGTGCTTACTCTCTTGCACAGGCTGCGTTCCCTGTGAGGTTATGCGCAAAACTACCGCCGAGCCTTGAATTCCTAGGGATGTAAAGCTTCTTTCGATAACCGGCTGTGCTGAGACCTCCGGCCTGATGGTTGTCGTGGTGCCGCATTGCCGGCACGGCGCAGGCGGACGAGGTCTTGGAAGGTGGGCTGCCGGGGCTTGGCTCACCGGGCCTCCATGGAGCTGCGTGGCTGCCGCCCGCCAGTGTCTGGGCGAGGACCAGCGCCGGCGACTCGTCAATGAAGAGAGATGCTGTCTGGGCCTAGGACATAAAATGAGCATATAAGAGTTGACTGCCGTCCTCTCATGTTTCGGGTTGCTCTGGGGAATGCTGATTTGGGCGAAGACCATGACGACCAACATGATGGACCATTTGTCCGCCCGATGCAGCAGGCCATTCTCGGCACACAGTCATTTGATACGGCCAGACGATCAAAGGACCTGGATCACCGTCAAACTTGAAACATTCTCAACATAATTTTGGAAGGGCAGTCGTCCTGCCGAGTCGAGTGGACTATACTTGAGGACAAAGGGCAGTGTAGGGTGTATCCGTCCCAGACAGTCGCACTCTTCTGGTCCTCGACAACCAAAGCTGCTTACCAAAGCAGCAACTCGGCACCGACAAAGTCGCCTGCCTGCCTTGCTCTTCACGAGCTCCCTGAGGACGACACAGTGGCAACAACATCCACCGGAAACCACCGGTCAGGCGAACTCACACCGGCGCGTCAAAGCTCTCTGCCCCGACAATGCCCGGCCGAGGGATAGTTTCCGGTTGCGAACGCTTTCCTCTTGCGGCCTGTCCTTCGGAAGCATGGGAACCCTGGACACGGAGCATCAATTCCAATCCCCTAAAAGCTCCTACTACGTAGGTATGGCACCGACGACCCGCTTAGTCTCCCGTGGTCTTCTTTCTCTCCACCCAGGCCCCTCCGTCCAGTCCGCGCACTGGCTCACCTTCGACGCAATAGTGGCGAAACCAAAGCGATCGGGCCGTTCATTGAATTCTCGAGTGGGTAGCCAGCTCTGCCAGCTATTTAAATATGCCAAGGGCTCGTTCTTGGCGCAGCTTAAGCGGGCCCCAGCGAGAGAGAGAGGGTGGGTGAGCGAGTGCAAGTTAAAAGCGCAGCCTGGCGCACGTGTTTTCTTTGTCTCTTGACTCCACCCACCACCACCCAACCATTAATCACATTGTGCCGTTAATTGTAGTCCCCGTTTTTCTTCTCGCCCCCAGAAATTATGCACTCGCAGGATTAATGGAGAGTGAGCTAGGGGGGGGGGAATGTGATTTCACGACTTTCGCCGGAATCCGCGAGCGCTTTGCAGCTGAGTGCCGTTTCGCACTAGTGGTTCTTGCCGCGATCGATGGGGGTCATCGTGTCCCGTATGCACGTCGATGTCGAGTTGGCCACTCGCAAAGTAATGGGCGACTGATCTCCGCGGGGCACTTGGTGAAAGAGCAGCTGGACTAGACTGGACTGGGCCAGGCTGGGCTGGGGACGTGTCCCTTTCAGAGCATCGAAGATAGAAACCACTACTGCACCGTCGATCTGGCTATCACAGGGTCTCGAACTCGTCACCTTCCAGATACATACACTGCTGAACTAGGATGGCTATCGAGACCCGTGGATCGACCAAGTCTGCAAAAAAGTCTAATGCTTCTCTCCCAATTGCCAGCAAGGTAGGTCGCCCGGCATCTTTCTTCACGGGGATCATCCCGGACGAGCTTGGCCTGAATGAGTCCAGCACTGGTCTGCAGCCAGCTGAAGAGTCTCTCGATGTCCCACATCCTCAGCTTCCCCGGTCTGGAATTCGGACTGGCCGCACCACGCGTGACGGACTACTAATAAACCGTGGTGATGCGTGGTCTCATCCGAGACCATTAAACACCAGCCCAGTGGGGGGCCGCCTCCCCTCCCCGTCATGCACGCACGGGAAGCCCACTTTGTGTCTATGCCTCTGTCACGAGCGCATGTGTCCGGACCGTGTCCCACGGCTCGGTGAGCAGAGATGGGAAGCGCACTTCGGACGACCTCAGGGCCCCCCACCCCTTACCCAGACCAATCAACCTCATGGCCGTAAACCTGACATGATTATTTACACACCCGCCACCTGGCTGGACCGACATATCGGGTTGCAGCAAGGCAAGCACGTTAGCGGGGCCTGGGTCGTTTTGGGACGTGCATATCCCGAGGCGCCGCGGGACCCAAAGGGCTGATCGACAGTGCAGGCTAACTTTTTGGGTTTCGGGATTGGTGTCGTGCGATCAAAGCCAGGAAGGGGAGGGCAGTCTCAAGAAGTCTGGGTTTCATGAGCGCAGTGTACGGCGAGGCTAAGATCGACAAGGGCCTGCTCCGAGTCGAGTGAGGAAAGTAGATTTTCATGCAATGAATGTCCCATGGCTCAAAGCATGTGTGGTCCGTCTCCCAGGCCGGGGGTTGGCGCATTTTTCCTCTTGGTCAAGGTTTGGACGCCCGACGGCAACGAATGATTTGGTCTGGGGTAGAGATCCACGGTCCAGTAGGAAGGGGACGGCGAATCTCTTCATCACGTGGGTGGATGTCAATGCCAATGCAAAAGAGTAAGTATATCCTAGTCAGGCGCAACTCGGCCGCTGGCGGCTGAGCCCTTGTGCAATCCGCGGCCCCGACCGCTGGGCAAGAAGCCTGATCGGTCCATTTTCCTGGGCGCCGGTGGGTGCGCGATTGGCAGGCAGGGGCGTGGCAATGGTGTCACGGAGCTTTCTGTTTCCTTGCTAAATCGCTGGAGTTGTGGTCGCCAGCGGGCTCTTGAGCCGGCGGGGGCGAATATCGGCAAACCCGCGCGAAGCTAGTCCGAGGAGCATGAATGGTCCATGTTCAGGATCCCGTCCTCTCCACGACGAGCCAACCAGAGGCGGTTTCCATGGATGGCAAGAATGCTTGGGTGATGATGATGATCACGGACGTCAGGTGTCGTTGCCAAACGTCAAGTGGATGGTCCGAGAGTGGCTCTATTTCCGGTGGTCGCCACAGCGGATGGGGCCTCTATGGATCATCATGATGCCGGTCTTCGAGCACGCTGCTGCCGGGGGATAGCCGAGCTGAGGCGGCTGAGCTGAGAGGAACCGTCATGTCAGGTTGCAGTGTTATATTGGTAGACACACGCCCTCGACATGAGACTGCACGAGACGGCAGTGACAAGTTGGGCAGAGGGTACTGGATCTGCATGGAGGGCTGGATGGGATGGGATGGCGATGGCGATGGCGACTTGTGGTGTCGCGAGAGAGGGATGGCCGCTATTGGTCAGGTCGAGGGATGAGGTTGAACCGGCCAATGAGAGAGCCAGGCCTGAGCACATGGGCAGGACGGGTGGATGGCGCGGGGCGGGAGCTAGTGGAGACTGGGGGGCGTGCGGAGTACAGGACATGGGGGGGCCGGCCAGGGTCTCGACCAGGGGATCCTTCTCGCGGTGACTGACTGACTGGCTGAGTGGATTGAGTGAATGACTGGCGCCATTGTTCGACAGGCGTAGGGGCTGTTGCTGATTGATGAGGACAATAGGACATCGCCCATGTTGGAACGACGGCCGAGAGGCACGTGATGATGATGATGATGATAGATGGATGGGTGCAATGTCGAAGGGATATGAAGGAAAGAGCATCAAACAGACCATCGACCATCGGCAGTCAGACCCAGCCGCAAGGGCTTGGCATGAAAACCTTGAAGTGTACGCGAGGGCAAGAGCCGGTTCTTGGCTGAACGCATCGTTCTCCTCTGGTTGCTGCTTCCCCCCGCGGGCACGAGGAGGGTTCACAAAGGCACAGAGGGACAAAAGGTACAAAGGTACCAGCGTGCTGCTTCCAGTCTGTCAGGATGCCAAGCCCACGCCAAGACGCGCTAGCCACGCCCAGCAGGCCCCAAGCAGCCGCCAAGAGCCGCGATGGGCAGGGGCCAGAGGCACGCCCAGGATTCCCCGCGCTCCAATCACGACGGCCGAGAGCACCACGTGGGTGGGACCATTCGACGACAACGACGACGACAGCCTACCCACGGCAGCCTCAGGCCATCAGCACCGTCCATGGGCATCTCTATCTGTACAGCACGCACCTGCTGCATTTCTGCGTACCCTTCTTGCCTGGTTGCGCCACACACACACACGCCCCCTCCCTCGTCCCTCGTCCAGCTGCAAGTACTGTCTGGCCAATGAGCCGATGCGCCTCGGTCCTGCTCACGCGAGCTCCTCTTTCTCTTGTTTCACTCACCCGAGCCGGGCACTTGCTGGGCTACAGAGCCGAGAGTAGCACTCACTAATGTCGCATCGGTAGAGGCTTCTGTCCATTACTGTTTCTCCGTGTTGCCGACTCTGTGGTTGCAGGCAACAGAGAATCCAGAAGGGCCTGGTCGCAGGTGATTACTGGGCCGACAAGAGTCCAGTCCATGGGCAGGAGGCTGCATGAACCAAACCGACCAGCCCATCCCCCGATAAGAATTAAGCAGCAGAATAAGCTATGCGTCCCAAGCTACCTTAGCGACGCTCCGGAGCTTGCGAGGTGGAGCCCTAGCCCAAACAGGGACCCTCGCCCGCAGCTCCGTCCGCCCCTGGGGCTGCTCGTTGCAGTAATTAGCGGCTGGGCACACGAGCACCCGCGGCCCTGGGCCTCTTTGGGCATGTGCCTGGGACAAGCATTTCTCGCCTCGCCTGTTGCCTCTGAATGAGCAGGCCTGCCCTGTCCTGCGGACAACTGCGGGCCTGGCAGATCCAAAGAGCGCCCCCGTGTGCCATTTCTCCCATCCCACGCGCTCCCACGCGGCCCTCTGACTGGCCACCGGCGCTGCTCCCCACGGCCAGATTCTCTGACCGAACCTGCGCCTGCGCCTGCAGCCGACTAGAGAAGTGGTTCCACTGCTCAGTTCCAGAACAGAAACCAACCTTGTCCAGCTGCCTGTCTCGCACGTCGTGTTGCATTGCGTTTTGGTTCCCTCAGCCCCGGCCGCGTGGCATCTGCCCGCATATATCAGCCCTCGTCCCCCGTCCCTTCCCATTTGAGCCTCCTCTGGTTCGTGCTTTTCCTCTGTGTCCTGCATCCGAGCATCAGCCCGCGCCTGCCTCTTCAAGGTCGCACCGAACCAACAAGCAGCAGCACAGTCTCGACGACAACACCAATCGCCCACCATGGTTCTCGAGGCGTACACCTACGTCTTTGCCATTGGCACCTGCTTCGCCCTCCTCGAAGCTTACAACAACGGCGCCAGTATGTCCACTCTTTCCTCTGCCCGGTCTTTGCCATGACCCGCGACCACGGCCAGTCACTAACCTCGTTTTCCTTTCCTCCACAGACGATGTCGCCAACGCCTGGGCCACGTCCGTGTCCTCGCGGTCCGTCACCTACCGCCAGGCCATGATTCTCTGCATCATCTTTGAGTTGACGGGTGCTTTGGCTGTCGGTGCCAGAACCGCCTCGACCATCAAGAACGGCATCATCCCCTCCAACGCATTTCAAGGCAATGCCGGTGTTCAGCTCCTCGCCTTCGCCTCTGCCTCTGCTGGTGCCTCCATCTGGGTCATGTGGTGTACCGCACACTCGGCTCACGTCTCTTCCACCTACTCGCTCGTCTCGTCCATTGCTGGTGTCGGTGTCGCCGCCGTCGGTGCCCGCAACGTCCAGTGGGGCTGGTACGATGGCTCGGGTCTCGGTGCCATCTTTGCCGGCCTTGCCATGGCTCCCTTCATCTCGGCCTGCTTTGGCGCCATCATCTTCTTGCTCATCAAGTACCTGGTCCACGTTCGCAAGAACCCCGTCCCCTGGGCTGTCTACTCCTCGCCGCTGTTCTTCCTGATTGCCGGCACTGTCTGCACGCTCTCCATCGTCTACAAGGGCTCCCCCAACTTGGGCCTCGACAAGAAGCCCCCGGGATGGATTGCCGGTGTCACCGTCGGAACCGGTGCCGCCCTCTGCCTGCTGTCTGCCATCTTCTTCGTCCCTTATGTCCACGCCAAGGTCGTCAAGAAGGACTACACGCTCAAGCCATGGATGGCCATCCAGGGTCCTCTGCTCTTCAGGCGCCCCGCCCCTGCTGACGCCGAGCAGTCGACTGTCCCCAACTACGCCGTTATCCAGGAGGAGAATGTCGCCGCTGACTCGGACTCGGACATTGCCGCCCGCAAGGAGAAGGCTGCCATCATCAACGGCGACAAGACCGTTGCCGGCTCCGAGAACTCTGTCAATGCCACTGTGGACCAGGAGGCCGCCACTCCCAACTATACCCAAGAGGAGTACCGCCAGCTCATGAACCAGGCCATGGAGCGCCACCACGCCAACCTCCGCAAGTCTCGCGGTCCTCTCGGCTGGGCCATGCGCTCCCTCCACCGCAACCAGCTCCGCGGCGGTTCGATCCACGAGACCCACAACCTGATTGCCCTTTTCAAGCGCATCCCCGCCATGATTGTCGCCGCCCTCCTCTACGGCATGCACTACGACATCCACACTGCTCAGGTCGGTATCCACGGCTCTCCCGAGGGCCGCCGCATGGAGCGCGTCTACGGCTACGCCACCAAGTACTCCAACGAGGTCGAGCACCTGTACTCTTTCGTCCAGATCATCACTGCCTGCACTGCCTCGTTCGCCCACGGTGCCAATGATGTTGGTAACGCCGTTGGTGTCTGGGCCGGCATGTACTCTGCCTGGTCCACGGGCAACCCTGCCGCTGCCAAGGCCGATGTCCCCATGTGGCAGCTTGGCACGACCGCTGCCGTCATCTGCATTGGTTTCATCACCTACGGTTACAACATCATGAAGGGTAAGTCTCGTCTTCCGCGCTCTAAAAATCAGTTTTTCATGCTAACTCTTTGCCACAGTCATGGGTAACAAGCTCACCTACCACTCTCCTTCTCGTGGTTCGTCCATGGAGATGGGCGCCGCCATCACCATTCTCATCTTCTCCCAGTACAAGCTGCCCGTCTCCACCTCCATGTGCATCACGGGTGCTACGGTCGGTGTCGGTCTCTGCAACGGTCACATCAAGGCCGTCAACTGGAAGCGTGTTGGCCTTCTCGTCTTCTCCTGGATCATGACCATCCCCATTGCTGGTCTGATCGGTGGTGGCATCATGGCTCTTGCCGTCAACACCCCCAAGTGGTAAAGCGTGGAACGTCTTCGCTCTTCATCACCCCAAACACCCATCGCAACCATTTGGAGATACCCTCGTTTTGTACAGACTTCCGCCGGCCTTTTGCGGGATTCAATCTTTTAAAACACACGCAAAAAACTTGACATTATTACCGCACTTGAGGATATGGCGCATGATTTGGCCAAGTACTTAATATAGAGCATTACACAGATTGTACCATAGCCAGCAATCAACCATATTCCTTCGTCTATAGCACGTCCAAAAAAGTTATGCGCTGCATTACTCTTGAGTACAATTCTGCTACTGATGACTTGTGACCCAGCGTATCTTGATGCAACCAACCCGCTACCCCTTCTCCAGCCTGCTTGCAAGCTGAGGAAAGGCGTGATGTAAACCCTACGGAAGCTCCAGGACGCTTAGTCATCTGCTAGCAGATTTGGGGAACTGTGGCTCCGCCAAAGCACTGGGCGATCGGCCACACTAGCGACTATGCTACAGTCGAGGCACACGTGCACACCTAGAGTCTAGTTGATACCCTGACCTCCCCACAACTGAGCAACTGAATCTCGAGGCCGACGGAGCCATTCTCAGGCCCGGAGCACCTTGTATCCTCCCAACGACAGCGCCCGAGACGGTGGCATCGGACACGCAGCTGTGCAATCGACCATGGGCTCGCGCGGAGGCCACGCTGCTGCGCAGTACATGCGCAAGCGCACCGTCCGAGCCTGCTTCACCTGCCGCACAAGGAAGACGCGCTGCGACGGGGCACGACCTCGCTGCTCGTTCTGCGCCGAAAGCGGCTCCGCATGCCACTACCAAGAATCAGAAACTTACAAGTGAGCATGTCCCTGCCAGCCGACACGGGGCTTTGGACTAGTCTATCCCCGTCTCACAACGCAACAGGCTCGATGTAGGCTCGACGCAAATCCTCGAGCGCCTTGGGTCCGTAGAGGACAACCTGCTGCAGGCCATACAGCAGCTCAGCTCTCACGCCATCATCTCTCCGTCTCCAAAACAAGGTCAACAGAGAGACGAAACATCAAGCGACCCACTGTGGCTGAACGGCGACGTGATCTTGACGTGGCCGGTTCTGCTTCGGCTCCTGCGCAGCAACGACTACCTATTGCCCATGAGAACCTTCGCACAGGAGCTCAGAGCAGTCCTACGGCATCACAGCTCCTATCCGCCCATCTTTCCAACCAGCCCAGTCCTCTTCGGGACCTTGTTTGCCGCAAATGATGGTGGGGACGAGGTTGGGCAGGGCGATGCTCAGCAGGCTTCAGCCGCAGCTTCTCGAGGCGCCACGCTCCCCTTCCCTTCCACGGTCCTCATGAAGGCCATCGACGCCCTGGAAACAGACTTCCTCGCCAGGAACCTCCGCAACTACGTGATCCACTCTTATAGCAAGTCTCCGATCATTGACCTCGAGGTCTTGCAAGAGCTGCAGGGCCTAGCGCTGCGTCGGCAAATCGACTTTCTGCGGCCGAATGCGTTTGACCTGCCCATGGGCATGACGGGGGCGGATGTCGCGATTCTTTTGCTGGCCGTTTCCTTGGGAGACGTCGTCCGCGCCGAGATCGCCAGCGAGCCGATTCCTGCCAGTCCCTACGTGGCACTGGCCCGGCCATGGCTAGCGTTGGGCACTTATCTTACCCCGAGTCAAGGCATCAAGGCTCTTCAGGGCAATCTCCTGCTGATCGGCTACATGATGTGGACCATGCGTCACTGGGATGCATGGTGCTTGATAGACTCGATCGCATCCTTGGCTGAGAAGTTGATGACGAGGTGAGACATTTCCCCCAATACTTTTTGCTGTCCTAGTGTTTCGTCAGGGTGAGCCCAATACTGACATGGCTTGAGCGAATGTACAGGTATCCACACATCATTGACGATGGCCTGAACCACAGGGTCCTCTGGGCCGTGGCCAAGATGCAGCTCGAGCTGTCAGAAGAGTGCCAGATCCAAGGCCCCTGTCTGAGGCAGGGCCACCTAACGAGACTTATCCAGAGCACATCCCTACCGCAGCCGCCGCTCAAGACTTTCCAATGGCCCGGAGTGAGGCTGTCGCTGCACCATGACACGTGGTATTACTATCTCGCCGAAACATCGAGCAGGCGGCTGGTAGAAAGGATCAAGACGGAGCTGTATCCGAGTAAGTCCAGATGCTTCTTCTGCTTCTTCTTCCATAGCAGGCCTCCTCTGTTGACCTTGCCGGTTTTTTTGATGGTGCAGATTCCGTCGGCGCCAGCTCCGCGTCGTGGCTATCGGCAGCCTTGCCGCTTGCGTGCGAACTCGAGCGCCAAGTCGAGGAATGGTACAGTTCCATCCCAAATTCACCATTTGCTTCAGAAGAGGACCTTGCCTGTCTTGTTGTTCAACCCCCCGTGGTCCTATGGAAATTTCATTTACCAAGCACAATTGTGACTTATTGGCCATAGCAGAAACCAACTGACTGACTTGTACATAAAAAACAGGATGAACTCTCTGCCAGATGACTTCCAACATGATCCAGACCCTGAGGAGGACGAGCTCGCCACGCCGAGCGTGGTGGGCGGCGCGTCGTCCTCGCACATATTTCCTGCAAGGTCGGCCGCATCCCCGGCAACCACCGTGGCGGCACAGCTGGGCATGCGCAAGATCTTGCGCAACCGCATGTGGCAGCTGCAGACGCTTATTTACAAGCCGTTCCTTGCCGCCGCCGCCGCGTCCACAGAATCATCATCATCATCCTCGTGGTCAGGAGAGACACGAGCAGCAGCAGCAACCGTCACGCGATCCGGCCAACCCACGACATCACTCCACACGGAAGGGCCTTTGTCGTCCCTGCCAGCTCTACAGCAAGGCGCCGTGAAGTGCCTGATTTATGCGACGTCCTTTCTTCTCGAGCAGCCGCCCCTGGTGGAGCGGCACTACGGGGGCTGGCTGCTCGCCAGGAATGCCTGGGCCGTGGCTCTAGGGTGCCTGGCGGCGCTCCAGGAGCCGACGCTGCAGGCGCTCGTCCTGGGTGCGAGAAGCAACACCGGCGGCGGCATTGGTGCTGTTGGCCTCGGGGACGAGAGAAGCCCGCGCGGCGACACCACAAATGTTGGACCTTCATCATCAGCCGCGCTCTCGATGTCGCTGCAGTCCGGCGCCAACGCCAATAATAAGAGCAGCAGCATCATCACTCCTTCATTCTCCTCGTCATCAGCAGCTTCGTCACGCCTCTCCGTTCCATCCCACGACCAGGTTCTCGAGGCGGTGGGCCAGGCCGGCTCGATCCTTTGGCAATGGCGGCACGAGAACCAGAGCCTGGCCGCGGCGGGGCGCATCCTCACGCACATGGTGCAAAGGACAAAGGAGCAGGCCGCGGCGCAGGGGCTCGAGGTCGCTGCGGCGGGGACGACGACGACGGCGTGCGGCTGGATGGAGCAGGATATTTAAAGGCCCGCCCGCTGGACGGGGAATTGATTGGTTAGGAAGTGAAACTAGTTGCAACCTCTGTGGACTTTTCGTGAGTTGTGACTGTAGAGCCTTGCTCAATTGTATTATTAAGGAGTATTTTGCAGGCCGAGGTATTAAACTTGGGCCTTGTAGGATCAAAGATTGGCGCGGCACGGGCCATCATCTGGTGGAACAAGCGAACACTTATCCATCATCCCTCCATTGCAAAGTAGCACGTTCCCATTGTAGTACGAAAACCGAGGCAGCGAGCAAAGAGTGACCTTCCCCCCCCCCCCCCCCCCCCAACTTCCTCTTCTCATTTCTCATAAACAACATGATTCGATATCTTGCCAATGCCCTGGATCTCTACATCCAGCACGTCCCCCTCCTTGACCTCGACCCTCGGGTTCCTGCCTAGCCCCACGCCCGCTGGCGTGCCCGTAAAGATGAGCGTTCCCGGGAGCAGCGTCATGGCCTGGCTGAGGAACGAGACGAGCTTGGCGGGGCTGAAGATCATCTGGCTCGTGCTGCTGTCCTGCATGACCTCGCCGTTCAGGGTCGCGCGGATGGTCAGTCCGCTGTCCGTGGAAACATCTGGGAGGAGGTCTCCTGAGACAATCGCCGGGCCGATGGGCGCTGTGCTGTCAAAGCTCTTGGAGAGGCACCATTGGCCGCCCGAAAGGGTCGGGTCGAGCTGCCACGTCCGGTTCGAGAAGTCGTTGCCGGCCTGCGCAGTATGATGGGCGTTTACGCGTTAGTGCGAGGGAAAGGCCGCGTGATTTAAGGGAAAAATAAGATTGAAGCAGCTAATCCGAGCTGAAAGGATATGGAGATGGGAAAACACACCGTATAGCCGTAGATGTAGCCCGCCGCCTCCGACTCGGAGACTCGCGAAGCCTCCCTGCCAATCACAATCACCTATTCAGAGATGGCAAAGGGGAGGGGCCATGTGTTAGCGCATTTGCAGTCAGCGAGGACCTTTTGGTCCTAGTCTGGGAGAGGGCAGACTTGCCAACTCTGCTTCGTAGTCGAGCGCGCCTTTCTCCCACGACGCGCGGGGGATTTTCAAGTCGTCATACGGGCCCGACAGGGCTGTGATAGGCTTGTGGCTAGAAAGTAGGCCCAGAAAAAGAGGTTAGCATCGCTAGCTGGAGGAAAAGGAAGCACGAAAAGGGACCACGAGTTCCTCGACCCAGTGCTCATACGCGAAAGAGAGGGATGCCCGGGTGGACGTCTCCAAGGCGGCCGAGATCAACACATCAGTAGACGGACGGGCAGCTTACAAGACAACCGGGATTGTGGGTATAGCCATCTTGGCTTCTTCAGCGTGATCTCTGTAATTGAGACCAATGCAGATGATGCCACGGCAGTCATCCCGCGCAAGGGGGCCGAGAAGGCGTCCCACGGGGTGAGAACTGCTATTGGTTGTGGGAGCCGAGAAGAAGGGGTTTCCTGGTTCGAGGACTTTGGCCTCGCTCAGCGAGTTGTTGGTGGCATGCCCATAGTAGACCTGATTGTCTGTCTTGGATACGAAGCGTATGAGGCGAGTTGGTGCCATGACGGGCTTGCATTTGTTGGGTACGGCGGTGGTGGTGTAATAGAAGTTCCGGGCAGGAGAATAAAAAAGCCCAGCGAGTCGGGGAGAGAAGACAAGTGATCTAGACAACATAACGCGCGCTGGGGATGTGAAGCTCTGATATGGGCCGCCAACGGGACAACTTACAGAACCCGTCGCTCTGCGAAGACGTCTCACTCCGGAGACCAGGCACTAGGCACTCCAGGTCGGTGCCGATGCCGGCGGCAACGCTGCGGTGGTCTACGAGTCAGTGGGGCTGGCCGGGCCACGGATTTAGAGCCGAGATGCCCCGAACCCACTGACTGGAATGGATCGCACAAGCCAATGCACGAGTGTCAGCCGGGGATGCTGCCCATGGGGTTTGATGGCATATAACAGCTTTTGGCCTGGAAGTTGGAGGGGGCCTTGCAGAAAAGTCAATTGCTCACCCGCGTGCAGAGGCACTTTTTCTCACCCAAAGGACACTTGACCCTCTACAACGCTGTTCCGATCAGCAACGGACCATTAAGTCATCCTCACGACATTGCCTGGACCATGGCAAGCGGCTTGCACCTCCGTCTTGAGACCCTCAGGTGGCCTGTAGTGGCCACCTCGGTTGGCACAAGTCTCCTCGCTGCCTTTGCCGCGTGGTGCTACCACGACTACCAGGAGTACCTAGCGCTCGGACCCGGCGGGCCCCCTTACAGCCTTCGCGGATGGGCTTGGATTACCTTTGGTATTCGCCCTTTTGCCCTCAGCAAGTCTGGTGCCACCCTCGTGGCCGACTATCCCAATAGCGGCGCACACGACGACATCTGCCAGCTGCCAAAGCGTCAAGGTGATCGAGCGCTACTGGGAGGCATCGCCCCGCACCGCCAACTGTCGCAGAGGGCACCTCGAAACATGGAAGTTGTGAGTAGGGTTGCTTGTCTGATGCCTCTTCTCCACGAGTCCTGGTTTGTGTAAGCTGACGTGGGAAACCCCAAAACTATCCCAGTACTTAACCAACCTACTCAACAATGCTGCAAAGCAATACCCCGACTCTCTCAAGATTAAGAAATCGCTCTACGAGCGTCACCACGACGCCCTCTTCGTGGCGCCGAGCCTCCTACAACAACAGGCCTGGCCGCCCAGCAGCACTGATGAGGCCTGTTGCGCACCTCCCGAATGTGCACACATTGCCCGTGGCGAGATCGGTCACGTTCACCCGGACCTGTCGGTACACCTATATCTTTCCCCAGCCGACGCGCGCCAAGTCATCGAGAAGACCTGGGCCGAACGTCACCGGCTCGCGGTGCCCACGACATCTTGGGTCAAGAACAAGTATGCGATTGCGGACACGTACCTCATGATCTACGGCCCGCGCGACGAGAGCGAGATGGAAGTGCTCAGCATTATACTGGCCAACAGCATTCGCTACATGACAGGCAAGGAGAACGTCGGCCATATAGAGTGGAGGAGTGCGTTGTGATGGGACCGTGTCAACCCGCAAAGTCCAAACTAGACCTTCCAGTAGCAGAGCATATAAGAAGTCTTTCATAGCACTCCGGGCAGCGCCCGTTGTCTGCACTTCCTTGAAGTGCTTAACATAACCACGTCTTAGTAACGCCATTTGTGAAGATTGTGTACGAGAAGGTGGAAATGAAAGTCAGTCGGCCAAATCACACGATTTGTATTGGTTGCCCGCTCCCAAAAGGCCTAAGCGTCTAAAAATGTGAACCCTTTCGCAACCGTTACGGAAATCTTCTCTCGCCCGGTGGGACGCCAGTCTCCGACACCATGTGGTCCAGCAAAAGCAAGATTGTACGTCCCAGCATCGACTCTCCACGCACCAGCCTCCACGTCCCAATAAGAAAACGACCGCCGCGACAATTCCAAGGTGACACGCTCGCACTGTCCAACCTCAAGATACGCTGTCTTGGCAAAAGCCTTGAGCTGCACCTCGGGCCGTTGTTCGAGGGCGTTCTCCACGCGCGTCACAAAGAAAAGCACCGTCTCTCGGCCGGGCCGGGTGCCAGTGTTCTCTACATCGAGTTGTACGGTGACCATTGGCTCATCCGTGAGCAGCTGCACGCCACTGATCTGACAAGACGGCAGAGCCGGGATAGAGTAGCGAAAGAAGCTGTACGACAGGCCGTAGCCAAAAGCGAACCTCGGCGTCGCCACCGATGAGGAAGGGCAGCCCGGATGAACTTGGCCGTAAGCTCGGTAGCCGACATGAACACCCTCACGGTACACGATGTCGTTGCAGCCCTTCTGCATCAGCGACTCGACATGGCCAGCCGGATAGTCCTCCACACTGTCCCAAAATGTAGTGGGCAGCCGGGCAGAAGGGCAGGCGTCGCCGCTGAGCATATTGGTCAAGGCCTGCGCGAATCCAGCGCCGGGGAACCAGGCATACAAGACGGCGTCTACATGCTCGACCCAGTCTCCAATGGATACGGGTGAGCCGGCATTGACCACCACCACGGTGCGCCCGGGGCACGCGCCAGCCACGGTGGTCACGAGCTCGGCCTGCCTGCGCGGCAGAGCCATGCTGACTCGGTCGAAGCCCTCCGATTCCCATTCGGGACCTGTGCCGACGACTACGACGGCCACGTCGGTCGACGCAGCCACCTGGCGGCTCTGCGCGAGGGCCGCCTCATCGTCACGCACGAGCTCGAGCCCGAGTCTACACCCCTGGATGAAGAACTCTCGATTGACGTGCTCGGCCCTGTGCTTGGAGCTCCAGCTTGTTACGCGGAACTCGTAAGTCGTGTCATTCCGAAGGGTCAAGGGTTGCGGTCTGCGTGCCTCGAGTTTGGACCGGTCGAACAAGAAGTCCTCAGTGGAGACTTCTAGGTTCCTCGAAACCTCGAACACCAGCTCGCCATTGACATGGCAAGTGCTATTCCCTGGTCCACAGACACTAATGTCATATTGCCCAGACTCTGAAGGACGGATGCTAAACGTCATGGTGGTGCAGAAGTCCGAGATGTCGATGAGCCCGTCGGGAACGTCCTCGACAAGCATGTAGACGGTGTCCTTGACCTCTTGGCAGAGAAAATGCTGCTCCGCTGTCGGGACACTTCCATTGTACCAGTCGAGCCGCACGAGGCCGTCGATGGGGAGGTCCCCCGAGGAGTTCGGAGTCTTCACAAGGCGGCTCGTGGCGACGCCTGGACTCAATACAGCCCCGGGGAAACGCTTGCTCAACGACTCCCATGGCGTCGGCGTCGTGGCCGGCACTTTCAAGCTCGCAGACCCGCCACCAAAAAAGGAAGGCTGGCTGGCCAGCTCACCAAACACGCTGAGCCGCAGCCCTGAGACTGTGGAAATGGGAAGGGTGGAACCCTCATTCTTGAGAAGTACCATCGAAGCTTCAGCGGCTTCAACCAGCAGTCTCTCGTCGGCATTGTTGAGCGGCGGAGTCTCTCTGGTCCGAGGCCGCGGAGGCGGAACTCCAGGCGCGCCTATGCGTCCTGTCTTGGTGAGGAGTCCGATGATGCGGTTCGCGGACTGCTCGATCTGTTCTCGCGTCACTTCTCCATGTGTAATGGCCTCGTGGAGCTTCTCAGTGGTGCGAAATTTGCTGGGTCCAGGCATCTCGAGGTCAAGGCCTGCGGTCAGCGCCGGGGCAGTGGTATATGTACCAAACCAATCCGAGACCACGGCTCCTTTGTAGCACCAGTCATTTCGCAAGACGGACAGCAAGGTAGCTGAGTCGGAGCAAAACGACCCGTTCACGGAGTTGTATCTATACGTTTTGAAACGGTTGGGGAAACGGTCAGCATGGAGTTGCGCAAAAGCGTGTATATAATCGCGTGAAGGAGGTAAAACTGACGCCGTCATGACTGCCCATGGCTCTGCATCTTGGACTACCATGCGGAAAGGTTCGAGGTAGATCTCGCGCAACGCCGACTGTTCAATGGCACTGTTGGTCCATCTTCGGCCGTTCTCTGCTTCGTTGGCAAGGAAATGCTTGGGGGTCGCTGCGATCCCGTGTCGTTGCAAGCCCTTGACGTACTCGGTTGCGAGGGCACCCGTTAGATAGGGGTCTTCACTAAACGACTCGAAATTGCGGCCACCTAGGAGGAGGCTGTGTCAATTGGGACTGATATGCCGACAAGGCGAGTGGGCACACACGAAAAAGACTTACACAGGACATAGCGGTGAATGTTCATTGTGGGCGCCAGGAGCGCATGGACGCCTTTGTGCCGACATTCGTTGGCAAGCAGTTCTGCAACACGGCGGACGAGATCCCGGTCAAAGGAGGCGCCGAGGGCAGTCGCACATGGGATGGCAGCTGAGGGTGCGCCATTGACCCAGTCCTCGCCCCGGACGCCATTGGGACCGTCTGAGAAGCGAATAGAGCCCAGGCCCAGCTCAGGTTGCTCAAACGTGTGCCAAAAGTCGTGGCCGCCGACAAGGCCGGCTAGCACAGAGAGTGGCTGTGCTCGAGCGTCCAAGCCGGCAGAAGAGTGCGGGACAGAACCCATCTCAGCTTGTTCACGTGATGCCGGTATTGCTATTCGCGTTTGTTCCTTAATGAGGGAAGGGGGAAGCGTGTGGGCACGGCACCAAAGCTGTGCTTTATTAAGTGAAATGCCTCACAACTTGCGCTTCGCCAGTATGCTTGCGCCGGAGGTCGAGACGTACGCCTTGCACAAACTCTCCATGGACGGCCCCTCTCGCACCGAGGCGCGCCCCTCTTATGCACGAAGCATGCTCTTGCTGGCTTTCTAGCCAGCTACCCCAGAATGCGGCAACCCGGAGATACAATTGTGTTGGTAGCACGAAGCTATTGGCAGTGGCGCTGAAGAATATGGCTTCGGGGCATTCGGTCGACTCTCCGCCAGCGGGTCCAAGACTAGCGGTCGGGGCATGTCGGGTCTACCTCCGTGCGGCGATTGTGTTCTAGAAGTGGATGCCCCAGATTTTCCCCAGGCCTTTCTCCTCGCCCTTCGCCTCTCCGACTGGGGTCGATCCAAATTCTGGGGTTAATCATGACTTGGGCTCATGGCCGCGAAAAGCACAAATAGATCCATGTCCCGTCTGGATTTCTGTTTCCTCCATGCATCCCATCACCGATCTAGGGACATTGAGCCAGCGACACCCCCAAGGGAAAACGGATGTTCCATTCGTGAAGCACGACCAGCCCAGCAGCCATGACAGCCCATTCTGACAATAGCGGCCTCCGGGCCAACACCAACTTGGTCAAGCTCTACCTGCTTCTCATCCCGGGATCTCTCATTATCAGCGCGGCTATGGGTTACGACTCGTCCCTGATGAACGGCATCCAGGGTGTGGATCGCTGGATCAAATGTGCGTGCTCGGCAATTGTAGTGTTTCTCACTTGTTGCCGTCGTCATCGCTGACATTCCCTTCCCAGACTTTGGGAACCCGCAGGGCGCCCTACTCGGCATCATGAACGCCATTCTCCCTCTGGGCGCAGTCTTTGGCACCGTCCCTGCCGCCTGGATCGCTGATCACTATGGGCGCCGATGGACCATGCTCGCCGGTGACATTTTCATGGTCGTCTTCTCCGTCATTCAGACCTTCAGCATCAATGGTACCACGACACACCCTCATTACTTTGCGTCAAGGTCTGACCACTAACAACTGCTCTCCCAATCTAGTCCCCATGTACATGGTGTCACGATTCTTTATTGGGTTTGGAGTCACCATCGCTTCCAGCTCAGCTCCTATGCTCGCCGCCGAACTTGCCCATCCGTCCTCGCGCACGACTCTTACATCAATGTATAACACCCTCTGGTACCTCGGCGTATGTTGCTCTCTCTTGGCCCCAACATCCCGGATTGGTATTGTTCACCATTCCATGCTGACAGACATCGGTGCTCGGATCAGTCCATCATAGCGGCGTGGACGACTTACGGAAGTATCCGCATCCAGTCAGACTGGGCTTGGCGGCTGCCGACGCTGCTGCAAATTGTTCCAGCTCTGGTCAACATGACGTCGCTCTACTTTCTTCCTGAAAGTCCCCGTTGGCTCGTGGGCCAGGATCGCCAAGAGGAGGCCCGCGAGATCCTCATCACATACCATGCCAATGGCGACCGTGAGTCCCAGTTTGCTGCCGCCGAATTCGAAGAGATCTGCGAGGCCATCCGCCTTGAGAAGACCGTTGTCAGTAACGCATCGTGGAAGGCCCTCATCACCGGTCGCCCAAATCAGCACCGGACGTTCCTCGTCTTCTGCTGCGCGACATTTTCTCAGTGGTCAGGCGCTGGCCTCGTGTCCTACTACCTTGCACCCGTGCTCCGGCTCATTGGGATTGAGTCGGAGGAGCGCATCACTCTCATCAACGGCATTCTGCAGATCTGGAACATGCTCGTTGCCATGACGGGCGCCAACCTCGTCAACCGCGTCGGGCGCCGGCCCATCTTCCTCACAGCAACGGCGTCCATGCTTTGCGGCATGATCGCCTGGACCGCCTCGGGCAGTGTCTTTGCCGCAACCCGCTCTGAAGCTTCTGGCGCAGGCGCGCTCACCTGCATAATCTTCTTCATCTCGGCGTACAACATCTGCTGGAACCCGCTCGCTGTTGCATACCCTGTCGAGATCATGCCATTCAGTATCCGCGCCAAGGGCGTTGCCCTGCTCATGGGCTCCATCAAGGGCGCCAGCTTCTTCAACCAGTTTGTCAACCCCATCGGTCTCAAGAGCCTGACCTGGAAGTACTACATTGTATATTGTGTTTGGCTCTCAGTCGCCCTCACGGTTGTCTACTTCATGTTCCCTGAGACCAAGGTAAGATGACTCTTCCGCTTACTCTTGAATGCCGTCAAACACCGAGACTACATACATTAGCACACGCATGACTAACGGGTGCACCACTATAGAACCACTCTCTCGAGGAGATTGCCGACGTCTTCGAGAAGAGACATGCTACCTCTGATGAGTCCAAAGTGGCCACCCTGGGCCAGGCGGAGCACGTGGAAGTGGGTGAGATGAAGGAAGCCACAAGTAATGACGTAGCTCAGAAGTAAAGCAGAGCTCATAGAGTCACGCTCTTAGGCGTGGCGCCTGGCAGTCTGGCAGTCTTGGGATTCTGGATTTGGGCCTCGCGGACTTGGTCAGCTGATTGTCTCTCCCTGGTGTTGGAAATCACAGAAGAACAGGCAAATTTAATTACCGCGCTCAAAACTTCAAGATAAAATGAGACCAACGGGTGGAGCGGTCACACACTGTACAACTAATATTTGGGAAGAATATCTACGATGCTCTCCATTTTGGTAAAGAGAACAACGCACATACCATACTTGGTCATCTAATTCGCCAGAACTGGCGCCCTGCCATCCCACTCTGCCGTCTCAGCTGCTGACACCAGCCACTTTGCCACGCTCGCTCTGGAGATTGACGGCATGGCCCCAATACCCTTGCCGGAATCGCTGTACGCTTTCACCTCTGCGGCCTCGCCCGCCGTCAGCCGCGCCGGCCGGGCCACGACGAACTTGAGACCGCTGGCCATGACGAGATTGTCCGCCTCCTCGTGCGCGGCCTGGCTCAGCCGCATGCGCGGCCACACGGAGAAGAGCAGGTGGAAGGCCAGGAGGAGAGATGGCGCCGATGCGCCGACGCCGTGGGACGAGTTGACCACCAATTTTGTCTTGTTGTCGGCGAGGTCGAGCTCGCGGAGGGCGGTGAGGAGGGTCTGTGTCGCTCTCGCGAGGAAGTTTGCGGGGGAATTTGCTGTCATGCCGAGTGTAATGATGACTGCGCTTGGTGGGGAGGGAGTCGTCAGAGCAGACTTTGTGTCGCTGAGAGATTCGGGCGTGCCTGTGAGACAAGAAAGGTTAGCATGAGGGGCTGGTTTCGTTTGAGCTTTAACGGACGGGCTTTTATTGTGCGTGGTGCTTACCTTTGACGACTGTGAGCTGGGGATGGGGGTCGATCTTGAGTGTGGCCGGGTTGCGCACCATCGCGGTGACAGAGTGGCCGCGAGCTAGGGCCTCCTGGATGACGAGTGTGCCATTCTGGCCGCTGCCGCCGAGGACGAGGAAATGCATCTCTGAGGCCAAGGTTTCAATGGATGGGTACTATTAGTCGGGCCGATATGGTGGGAAAATTCAGAGTGAGGTTCGATGTTCCCAATAGCTGCTGCTTTGGGAGGAAGGATGCTTGCTTGGTGTGAATATCGATGCATGAAACTTCGACATCGTTCACATCTTGCGCCCAAGACATACTTATACTGATTGATCAGCGATTCGGCTCGGAGATGTGCTCGGAGCCCACCTGTTCACAGCGAACAGCCCTGGGAGTCCGTTCATGGTGAAGCACTGGTCGGCTCCGAGGTTCCTGCAGCACAGATGGGCCTGCTGACATCATGAAAAGGTGAATTGGGCAGCCCGCGCAACGCCAACCGCTTTCGGCTGGCTTTGAAACCCGCTTCGGGGACCAGCTTGGGGAAACCGCAGTTCCCTAGGGCTGACGCTGCTGCAGGATTTTGGGGACCCCAGGTCATACTCTGAAAGGACGCAGACAGAGTCTGATTGGCGGGGGCTGTTCTTCAACTCTCCTCTATTCAGGCTAGCGTTGCGCAACTGACAGCCTCGACCCGCCCTGGCGCAAGGGTCCTTTGTGCCCTCCCCGGGCTGGCTGCCTGCTCTGCGGCTCGGCCCTGCGCCGCCTCGATATGCTTCCCCCCATGCTGCTCGGCGGTGCTCGAAATCCGAGCTGAGAAGTTTGATCTATCCGCTATTGAGTGGTATCCCGAAGACGCTGGAAGGGTCTTACATGCGAGGATTCGTGGCTCGCGCCCGCTCCCCTTGAATCAGACACAATCAGCCTGTCAGCAGGATCGCTGCTGACACACCGGCTTTATTTGGCAGCATTTGGCGATAGCCAATGGGTTCTTGTGTGTCTGTTCCTATGGATCGAGCATGTTATATAAACCTAAAGACCTCTTCGGAGTAAGGTTTGGGATTCCCTCGATAGCATTGTCGCCTTTCCTCACACCTTTCTAGAGTCACTTTACACCCTCGCACCGCATTTTGATTTTATTCAAGACAAACCACGCATCCACCCAAACAAGACTAAAATGGGCTCACCCGCCACGCCACTCAAGGACACCACCATCATTGGTGCGGGCCTTGCCGGCCTCACCTTGGCTCTCGCACTACACCATGAGGGCATCCCTGTCACAGTCTACGAGTCCCGGCCTGCGCCTCTCAACATTGGTGGCGCCGTGATGCTGTCACCCAACGCCCTCAAGATCTTTGACGCCTACGGTCTCTACGACGTAATCAAGACCAAAGGCTACAACTTTGAGCACCTCGAGTACCGCACAGTCGAGGGCAAGCTCGTCGACACGTACGACTTTGGCAGCCAGGCCAAGTACGGCTACCCCGGGCTCCGCATCTACCGGTACATTCTGATCGACACGCTCGTCGAGGCCCTGGCCGCGCGCAACATCCCCGTCGTGTACGGCAAGAAGTTCTCGCACGTGGTGAGCGACACCCCCGAGGACGAGGGCGTGACGTTCGCCCTGACCGACGGTACCGAGCACAAGACGTCGCTCCTCATCGGGGCGGACGGCATCCACTCGACCGTGCGCAAGCACCTGTACCCGGACCTCAAGACGACCTTCATCGGCATGGCCGGCATCACGGCCGCGGTGCCCACCTCGGCCCTCGAGCTGCCCGCCGACTACCACCTCCCCGCGACCATCATGTCCCCCAAGGGCGCCTTCGTCATCGCCCCGCAGGAAGTCGACGGCTCCGAGGTGCTCATCGGGAAGCAGATGCGCGTGACGCCGCACGAGACCAGCGGCGCCGCATGGGAGCGCGAGTTCGTTGCGGACAAGCAGTCGGGCGTGGCGTTCCTGCAGTCGGGCAACGAGCACTTTCCGCCCTTTGTGCAGAGGGCCGTCGACCAGATCACCAGCACGGACAAGGTTAACAAGTGGCCGTTCTTTGTCGTGCCGCCGCTCGAGCGCTGGACCTCGCAGACACGCCGGGTGCTGATTCTGGGCGACGCCGCGCACGCGATACCGCCCTCGGCGGGGCAGGGCATCAACCAGGCGTTTGAGGACGTGTACATGCTGGCGCTGCTGCTGGGGCAGAAGAAGAGGATTGGCGAGGACAAGCTGGCGGATGCGCTTGCGTTCTGGCAGGAGTATCGGCAGCAGCGGATCAACCGGATCATGGTGCTCAATAAGGAGATTGACCAGCGGAGGATGCCTTCGAATGATGCTGTAGGCGAGGCGGTGGAAGAGCGAGGGCAAGGATATAATCTGGAGTGGTTGTACAAGCCAGATTTCAAGCAGGTTGTCGAAGAGTGGCTGCAAAAGCACGCCTAGGATAGATTGTGTTCTCATTGCAGAGCGGATTGACATGCGTCAACATACTTTCCGCGCGTGACAGAGTGCCTGCCATGATGCTCAATACAGATATGGTGGGCCATACTGATTTCTTCTCATTAAATGCTGTGCTCCTGCTAGAAGCTGCCCACTCAACAACACCATAAGTCAACCTATATCTACTTTACCCCAGGTACAATCACCAAGGAGCTTACCATCTCGACAACATCCCGCGACTACTGCTTGGCCTTGGCACTGAGGGCTGACACGACCGCCGTGAGCGCCACGGGGTCCGCACCACGGATCTTCTCGACATGCCCAGCCGCATCGGCGACCACGGACTGGCCGCCCTGCTTGACCTGGGGCGCGTCGACGGCCTGGGGCTTGCCGTTGGCGAAGAAGACGAAAGTGGGCATGGCGGAGACGCCATACTTTCCCGCGACGGCGTTGACGTGGTCGACATTGACCTTTGCGAAGGCGAGCTTGCCCTTGGCCGAGTGCTCGTCGGCGAGCTTGGAGAAGACGGGGGCGATGGCGCGGCAGGGCGGGCACCAGTCGGCGTAGAAGTCGACGACGACGTGGCTGTTTGAGCTCAGGACGGTGTCGAGCTCCGCGGCGGTGGTGATCTTGTAGACGTCGCCCGACGTCTCTGGGATGGGAGAACGGTCGGCAAGGAGGGCCTGGAGAAGCGACGGGTCAGTGTCTGTTCGTGGTCTGGAATCTGGACATGACGAGTCCAGGATAGGCGAGAGGGAGTTCCTACGGGGCCAAAGAGGACGATGGCAATGACTGCCAGGATGATCCAGTACATCATTGTGATTGGCGGGTGTGAGTGCTTGTGGTGCGTGAGTGTGTGCGTGTTCTACGGGCTGCAGTGCGGGGTGCTCTCGATGCAGGCCGCGTGTGGTCACCCAGCTGGCTCAGCAGGACAGTCGAGGATATATGTCGAGCTTTCGACTCGTTAGATTACAGAGCTTGGATTTCCAAGTCCAGCTGTGTTGTCGACGAGCTCTTCAACGTGTGTGGCGGTTGGTCAGCAGACGCAGTGAGCAGTGGATGAGCACACAAGGACGTTGCATGTGTTGCAGGTGGTGGAGAAGGTTGCTGGCGCACAGACCACTCTCCACCTGTACCGCTGCCCTGGTACTGGTACCTAGGTATGTTCTGCGCAAGTAATTACCATACGGTACGTATCTCTGCAACAAGGGCAGGGCAGGGGCCAGAGCCAATGTTTTCGACTTCCTCTTCTCAGCCAATGCAACCTTATAGAAGAGAGATGGCAGCTTTTGACCTGGTACACCGTCCTGGCCTGCGTCGGTGATCTGATCTTACAATGGCGGCGATGCAGAAATCTGGCCGCAGCTGGCAACAGGTATCAGGTAGGTCACAGCTGAACAAGCCGAGAGCTGGGGCTGAGCAGCATCCAAATGCGAGATACGAAGCACCAATCACCACCCAAGGTGCTCAGCCGACCACGCTTCGTTCGTGACTTCGCCCGCTGGTGTATCATCTCAAGGAGGATGCCCCCTGCGCATCGTCTTGTTCTCATTCACCTTCTTGCTCGTGGGCCAAGGATGAGCCACAGACAAGGCAGACAAGTGCATCCAACACCAGACAGTCCAAACGAATGGCAATCCGCACGGAGAGAGGCAATAGAGCTGCGTCAACAATGGCTGCCGACCTCACGATCAACCCAGCAGACGGTCCAAAAGGCCAGACAAGCACACAGTTTGCAGTCCTGGCACTAAGTCGGTCCTCCCGAGTCCGCCTCATCGACTTCCCCGAAGACATCTTCAAATCCATCGAGCCCGTGCTCCGCAGCTCATGGCCGCCCGGCATCAAGTCGGAGCAGTGGAACAAGGGAGCATACGAGTACATCCTCAAAGAGAAGCCCTGGGGCCTCTTTGGCGCCACGGCCGGCATCTGCGCACACTACCTGCTCCGAGACATCCTGCGCTTCCTATACGAGCACGGCTGGCACCTCGCGACGCCCATCTCGGCAAATTCAGCCCCGCAGCCCTGCGATAGCTTGTTATTCAGACATACGCCTTCTCCGAGTGGTACTCCTGCCGCGCAGTTCATGGCCGTGCAGATCAGCGGCGCGGCCCAACTAACCTTGCACGGCGCCGACGACGAGATGGTCGATGCATTCCAGCAGGTGCTTGTGCGGATGGGCGTGCTGGAGGGCGCTGCTATGCCAGTGCAGGAGTCGCACACGTTCAAGCTGCGGCAGGCGGCGTGGTACAACATCGAGGAGAAGACGATGCGCATGCGCAGGTTGATAATCGCGACTGCGCAACTCATGGAGGCACGGGGTTGGGCCACCTACGGGACGATTCGGCAGCGGGCGGGTTCCAAGGATGTCAGGGTACCGGACTCGTGGTACTTCATCAAAGTGCCGTCGTAGAGACGGCATTAGACATACGAGATATTTCACACGCTGAATTTCCTGGTGAGATTTTTGGACGCAACTGCACATAAACCCAAGGCGCATGGGATGCTGATCGCTCCAGGCGCGGGGAGGAAAAATGAGTTTTCCAGCAGCATGAACATCGCTTGCTTCAATACATGGTCTCTTCTTCACATCGCGCGACCAGCGCACGACAGCAACGAAAAGAACAACAGCCTATCAGACGTCCCACAAAGCCCACCCCCGACCGGGCGCCACGAGGGCGAAACCACGGGATCGAGGGTTGAGATCATCACCGCTCTCTATACAGCCGCCTTGTGCGCGAGACACAAAAGCGGCCGCCGTCTTCACAGACAGGTCGAGAGCACGGAGAACCAGAGCACGGAAAAGTGACTGGACTCCGGACAAGAGGATAAAACTTCACTCTGAGGCAGCGGGGATTTGCGCTCATCAACTAGGGTGGGATCTGTGGCTCCTGTAGGGAACACAGAGATGGGATTTTTCCTTTAGAAGTGATTCTCTGAAGTAAAATCGCATGAGAAGAAAGGGAAAAGAGAAATCAGACAGAACAGGAGGCGGCCTTGACTTTATAGTGGTTCAGAGGTGGGTCGGCGCTGCTCGGACCACGCTGTGCACGACTGGGTTTTTCTTTGATCCACGGGCACGTTCCACTTGGTGTAGAGGAAGGCCGCGAGCGCTGCGCCATGTTGGTGCCGTTCGGAGCTCCAGCTCCGTGCTCTCGTGACGATCGGTATGAGCGTCAAGGCTCTTCGTGCTTCTGTCACGTCTTGAGAGCACCTATCGCCCGCATGATGTACTATTAGAACGTGTCGAAGCATAATAATGCTGTAGTTTTCAAGTCGCCGTCTCCGCCCGCTCATGCCATCTGAAGTGTTTTGTGGAGTCCAGGACGTGCCCTGGTCGCGAGACACTTGCTCATGCGCGCGCAGCATGTCCACACCATATGCGGTGGAAGGAGTGCGACACCGTTTGCATAAGTCTATGTGTTTAGTAGATTTGAGCAGGACAAAGGACAAGGTTATCAGCTAGCTGAGGCAACGATTCTGAAACACACAGCTGGGCGAGGCGAGAATCCTGCTTCGCAAGGCGGAAACGCCTGTGTGGGAACAGGGAGCTGATCGTTCGTGAAACGCCAGCAGACACGCCAACTGTTACGTCACTATGAACGCAGAGACCGCCCTGCTTGCCACGACCCTACCTATCAGTCTCACGTATTAGCCACGTATTTGGCAGGTTGCGAAAAGATCATGGACTTTCGTCCACTGAGCAGCCGCAATCCAGGAACCACGATCCATGCACCGGGTCGAAAGACAAGTTTATGGCCATGCGCGAATGCTGATCCACGTGTGATGCCGGTTGCCACTACCGCCCACTCCGACACACCTGGAGAGCGCCGGGCGCTTCCGGCAATCCCTGCGCCATGCAGACAAAGCACGGACGCCCCCAAGAGCTTTTATCCACTTTGAGTAAGTTGTCATTTCTTGGTCCTCGACTCATTCGGACCAGAATCTCCTGAAGCTGAAGGTCAGCTGGATGTGCGAAGCCTTGCTTGATCCAAGGGTCGCATTACATCATGCGTACGCAAGCTTATTCTGCCCCTACCTACGCACGAGTATATATGAGAATGCGCGCGCGTGCCTAATGAATGCTCGCAAAGGGGGATCGTGAACGAATGCATCCATGAATCGCCGGCCTAATACCCAGTGCAATCATAGCGCAGAGAAACACAAAGTCGCCCAACACGTGCATCATGGTCTGCCGCTCATTACGGGGGGCATCGCTCGCGAGTGCTGGCTGCTACACACGCAGCTTTAGACGCGCTACTGCGATACCCCATGCCACCCATCTGTGGAAGGCTGCCACGAATCGGCTCCCGACGATAGGCAGTCGGGGCTTGGCAACGGCCCAGGAGGACAGGCTCAAGTCATCGGTGAGCACACAAAAAGAGCAGGCCACGAATGGAAACGCAACAGAGACTGACATGGCTCTTCACACGTCCGCAGCTTTCGCAGTTCAATGTCGATGGAAAGGTGTTCATCGTAACCGGAGCCGCGCAGGGCCTCGGGCTGGTTCTGGCGGAAGGGCTGGCAGAGGCGGGTGGAAAAGGTAACTAACTACACCTCCTAGTCCTCATACCACCACCGTCCCACCACCCATCAAATGATTCGTGTCCTGGGCTGACGTGGCTGCAAAGTATACTGCTTCGACACCTGCAAGCACCCAGATGCTCACTGGCTAGAGTGCCAGGAGCGCATCCGCTCAAAACACAACAGCACCATCGAATATGTCCAGCAAGACGTCACCGACACCGCCCACCTGCAAAAGTCGATCCAGATAGTCGCCGGCGCAAACAGCGGGCTGGACGGCGTCATTGCGGCGGCAGCGATACAGCAGGTCACGCCCGCGCTCGAGTACACGGCCGCGGACGTGGACAAGATGATGCGCATCAACTTCACGGGGGCGTTCATGACGGCGACGTGTGCGGCGCGCGAGATGATGCGGTACAAGCGCCAGGGCAGCATCTGCTTCATCGCCTCCATGTCCGGGCTCATTGCCAACAAAGACATGCACACCCCCGTGTACAACGCGGGCAAGGCCGCGCTGATCCAGCTCGCGCGAAGCCTGGCGATGGAGTGGAGCTCCATCAATGAGGACGGCACGGGCGGGATCCGCGTCAACTGCATCAGCCCGGGCAACATAAAGACCGCGATGCTGGAGGACGTGTTCAGCAAGGACAAGATACGCATGTGGAGCGAGTCGAACATGCTGGGCCGGCTGGCGGAGCCGGAGGAGTTCAAGAGTGCGGCGCTATATCTCATGTCCGAGGCTTCGAGCTTTACCACGGGCTCAAATCTTGTTATTGATGGCGGATATACAGCGTGGTGAGAAAGGGGAATTGTTGCCGGTACCATACCGCTATGCGAAGGGGAGATTTGCTGCGGAATTCACAGTCCTACATAGCGTGCATGAATGCTTATAGACGCTCCGTTCGTACGAGCATCAAACAAATATTACCTGTTCAGAAAGGACATTATTGTGATTTGAGTATTAGGGTGATAAGGAACGTTCAGCGCTAGTCCTTGTATGTTGCAAGTTGTATTCTGTCAGGCACAGACAGCTGGGACGCGCGAGTGCGTGGGTCAACGCATCATTGTGACGATAGAGTAAGCTTTGGATCTAGCCTGGACTAAGCATTGGGTAACACCGCCTCAAAGAATATAGAGTGAAAGTGGTGATTTCATGTTCACCATGATGCCCAAGCCGTATTCTATGTGGCATCTGCGTTATCCAATGATCTCACTCTACAACAACCACTCCGAACCTGCACCAAACAACCATGCCACGATTCATTCGCTCCAAAGCCCCCAAGGAGGTGTCTCGCGATGCGATTGAAGACGTGTGGGGGCCTCGAACTCCTTTCAAGGGAGACTGACCAGTGAGAGTAGATCAGGCTGGCGACGAAACTCCAGAAAAATGGGTACAGAGCGCTTGTGTGTTGTGCAGGTAGGAAGAAAAGAGCAGCAGTACCTAATTGACAGATGCGCTAACAGGCTGGTAGCAACGGTTGCGGTCTTGACATCGGGGTTAAGGATGGCAAAGTGGTTGGTGTGCGAGGCCGCGAGGTGGACCGGGTGAACAAGGGGAGACTCGGCCCAAAGGGTCTGTATGGGTAAGTGACTGCCCATCCCTGGAACATTGCAAAAGCTGGAAAAAGATGGTGGAGTTGACGAGATTGAGGCGGATTGCAGATGGAAGTCAATCAACAGCCCGGACCGCTTGACTCATCCACTCGTGCGGAAAAACGGCAAGCTGGAGCGAAGCACGTGGGACGAGGCGATGGATCTCATTGTTCGAAACTCCAAACGCCTCATGGAAACCATGACGAAGCATAGCATCGCATTCTATACCTCCGGGCAGCTGTTCCTCGAGGAGTACTACGCACTAGCTTTGGTCGGGAAAGGCGGGCTCAACACATTGCACATGTAGGTCGTGTGTGCAGCCTCGACGTTCTCCAGATCTCCACTCAGCTCACGTATTTTCACAGGGATGGCAACACCAGGTTGTGCACAGCAACCGCTGCTGCCTCGATGCGCGAGTCCTTCGGCTCTGATGGACAGCCCGGTTCGTACGCGGACCTCGACGTGACGGACTGTCTCTTCCTCGTAGGACACAATATGGCAGCGACACAGACAGTCCTGTGGTCTCGGGTACTCGATCGTCTCGAAGGACCAGAGCCACCTCAGATTGTCGTTGTCGATCCAAGGCTGTCAGACACAGCCAAGAAGGCAACAATCCATCTCGCGCCCAAGATCGGGACCAATCTCGCACTGTTGAATGGGCTCCAGAGGCTTCTGTTCGAGAATGACTGGATCAACCATCATTTTGTGCGTGACCACGTTTGTGGACTCGAGTCGCTGAAGGACACGGTGAAAGACTACACACCCGATAAGGTTGAACAGATCACCGGCGTGCCCGCCGACCTACTGTACAAAGCCGCGCGCATCATAGGCACATCACGGACGCTCATGTCTACAGCTCTGCAGGGCGTGTATCAGTCCTGGCAAGTCACCGCGGCCGCCACCCAGATCAATAACATCAACCTCTTGTTGGGTCAAATCGGCCGCCCAGGATCGGGCATCTTGCAGATGAACGGACAGCCGACCGCGCAGAACAATCGGGAGACGGGATGTGACGGCGAATTCCCTGGCTTTAGGAACCACCAGAACCCAGCGCATATGGAGGAACTCGCGCGTATCTGGAACCTGGACGCCATCAAGGTACCGCACTGGAACGAGCCCACCCACATTGAGAGCTTGCTTTCATTCATGGACGCCGGCAGTATCGGGATGCTCTGGGTGAACGGGACCAATCCCTTGGTCAGCCTGCCAAACCTAGAGCGAGTTCGCAAAACCCTCACGAGGCCCAACTTGTTCCTCGTCGTGCAGGATATTTTCATGACCGAGACCGCCGACATTGCAGACGTGGTCCTGCCCGCTGCGCAATGGGCCGAGAAGACTGGATGCTTCACCAACGTGGACCGCACCGTGCACTTGAGCCACAAGGCTGTGGACCCTCCCGGGGAGGCCAAGAGCGACCTGGACATCTTCCTCGACTACAGCAAGAGGATGGATTTCCGAGACAAGGATGGCCAGCCCTTGCTTCCTTGGACTACGTCAGAGGAGGTCTTCAAGGCGTGGCAGAAGCTCTCCGCCGGACGTCCCTGCGACTACACCGGGATGAGTTACGAGAAGCTCACCGGCGGCTCGGGGATTCAGTGGCCATGTAACAAGCAGAAGCCTAATGGCACGGAGAGACTCTTCACAGATGGCAAGTTCTTCACAGATGTCGACTACTGCGAGTCCTTCGGCCACGATCTAGAGACTGGCGCGCCTTACTCGATAGACGACTATCGCGCGCTCAACCCTGCTGGGAGAGCCATCCTGAAGTCGTGTCATTATCTCCCTTCCCTCGAAGAGCCAGACGAAGACTATCCTCTGCGTCTCTCCACGGGTCGCAAGACGCACCACTTCCACACACGTACCAAGACGGGTAGGTCCGAGGCACTGCAGAAGGCGTGTCCCGACCCCGAGATTGTTATTTCCGAACAAGACGCGACACAAACCGGGGTGGGAGATGGGGACTTTGCTGTGGTCAAGTCGAGGCGAGGACAAGTAGAGCTCAAAGTCAAGATTGGAGATATCACCCAGGGGCAAGTCTTTATACCCTTTCACTTTTGGTATTGGGATCTTACGGATGGCCGAGCGCGGGCTGCGAACGAGCTGACTGTGGGTAAGTGCTTGGACGCATCAACTTCACCTCGATCGATTAGCTCCAAGTCGATACACTGACACAGGCTTGCACAGAGCGATGGGACCCAGTTTCGAAACAGCCTTGCTTCAAGTCTGGCTCGGTGCGTATCGAAAAGATACCCCAGTCTTCTGCAAATGGCGAAGTCGTAATACACACTCATGAATTGCACTCGAGGTCCGTACACCGTGCCGAAAGCAAGCACCTTGCAGAGGCGGCAGAAAGCCGACCAGACGACCCGGGGGAAAGAAAGCAGCTGCGACAATTGGAGTTATGGCTCGGAGAAACGTATCATTCTGTTATAAAGCTTATTGACATCTACGATCACTTGCTTCCAGATCTCCTACACGACCTCGAGATCGAGGGAGGTGTGCAGGTCTTGAGCCGAATAGCCACCAGAATGAAGGATGCTCTGGAACCTTGCATTGGCAAGTACAACGAGGACGAGGAGTTTGGCAAGAGAGGAGCAGGAGAGCTTGCCGAATTCCTCTTCTTCAAACGACCAGCGCGTATCCGCAAAAGCGGGCGTCCCGACTACGACACACTCGAAGTGCTTCAGTCTCTGCATGTCTTTGTGGCACACGTGCAGGGGGGTATGTTGGCCTTGCTTCCCGCGAGCCAGGCTCTCTGGGATAAGGACTTTGCGGCCGCTGTCGGTCTGTGTATAGGTGAGATCAAGCGGACGCAGGCTTGGATCATGCAGCAGCTCAAGGTGCGCAGCCCACAGACGTTGCTTGTCCCCACGCCGCCGATGGCATGAGAGTTGTACGTAGTCCCAGCTCTCGAGAAGTCGAAATACGCCTTTTCATATCGCGGCGGGGTGGTGATGGGAGTGTTCTTGCAAGGTATCACAGTAGTAGGCACAATGTGGACGCCTCTGTTGCTGTAGTTTAGATATCCCAAACAATAATACACATTTGCCAAAGCCAAAATGCAGGAGACTGGATGGCCATCACGTAGGGGTGACGTCATGACGTCAGAAGTGTGCCAGCCGGAGTCTTGGATGCAAGATATGGCACTGTTGTGACAGTCAACCTACGTGGTCCTTTTTCAACAGCCGCCACCTGGATACAAGTAACGCTGCGCGACCTCTTTAAAGCTTCACATGCACAATAGCCTCACAAGTGCCGGGCCAACGGCCGCTGTGGTCTTGGCAGGAGGCAGGTCGACCCGCATGGGCCTCCCCAAGCACCTCCTCAAGCTACCAGATGGGTGTCCCTTGTACAAGTTCCATTTCGAGCTGATTCAAGAGGCCTGTCCAACGATATCCCGAATTTACATCTCCCTTGCGTCAGACTCTCACATGGACGAAGAGCTCCGTAACACGGTCTGCAATCCTCACATAACCTCGGCGGCAGGTCTGGAATTTGGAGTCTTATGGGACGAAGAATCGCCTTTAGACGATCAAAAGGAAGTCAAGGAATCTGGCGGTCCTGCGAAAGGCCTTTTGGCGGCTTGGAGACTTCGACCGCGAGAGACGTGGCTTGTAGTTGCGTGCGATTATCCTCGACTGACAGCCGACGCCATCCAGTATCTATTTACCGTGTACGTGCCACCAGTCACCTACTTCCGCAATTCCGCCTATTTCTCTGAACCTCTCATCAGCATCTGGAGCCCGCAAGCTCTCGAGCGGCTCGCAAGGAATGTGGAGGCGGGCATGGGCGGACCCAGTCGGACGATCAAAGAACTTGGAGGCACAATGCTCGATGTGCCAACAGGGGAGGACTGGCTTTACAACGTGAACCGAAAGGAGGACTGGGATAAGGTTTTCGTAAATCACAAGGTATAAAGTCCTTGGTCATGTAGATATGCGAAGCAGTGTTTATGCTTGAGCAGTAAGGAAGCGGAAACGTTGCACTGGCGGCGCCGTGTGTTATGAAATACTCAATTTATGCTTCTCTAATGATATTGCAACTTGTTGTCGGGTAGCAATCCACAAGAGTTCCTTCTTCGCTGTCTTGCTCAGGTTTGAAATGAATCCAGCAATTGACGAACGAGAAGGCATTGAGCTTCGCTGGACTCTGGTCGCTTGTTGGCTTGACTGTCATTGTTCCCACTGCTGATCGACTGAGAATACCATGATGAAATCGGTCTAGTGTGCTGGAAGAGCATTTCGCATGCTTTTGAGAGTGCCTTCCATTAGGTAGTCTTGTCGTTCCTGGCTCCAAGCACACAGAAAGCGGTGTTTCGATATCCCGACCCATAAACCGCCTTATGTACGGCACAACGAGGAATCTGAAGCACGCAGCTGCTGCGCCTGGGTTGCCTGGAAGTCCGAAGAAAGCTGTCAACCCTTGACCAGTCTGCCTTTGGAAGGTAGCAAAGAGAACAGGATGCCCAGGGCGGATGTCCAATCCATGGAAAATAATCGTCGCTCCCAGAGTTTCTAGTACCTCCCGCACAAAGTCGTACTTTCCTCCTGACACTCCACCGCTTGTTAGCAAGACATCCCATGGCCCTCGGAGCAGAGTAATCTCAATTTCCTGTCTCAAGACGCTTCTTTCGTCTAGTAAGATACCCAGAAACCCCGTGTCCGCTCCTAACTCCCGCGTTGCTAAGGATAGATAAGGTCCGTTCACATCTGGAATTGGACTTTGAGTCGTGAGGAGTTCTTTGCCGGTTGACCAGATACCGCAACGCGGTCTCCTGACCACACGCACAGTAGTGATACCCACAGATGCCAGACACATGACGTGGGTAGATCGAATGACTGTCCCAGCCCTGAGGACGACATCCCCTTGCTTGATATCTTGCCCTGAGTGCCTCTTGTTCATGCCCGCGGGAACAGGCTTTGTGATTAAGATTATGTCATTTCGAGCGCCCGGCTGCTGTGCTGTATCTTCCCACTTGACACAAGCGTCGAACGATTTCCCATCTTCCATGTCGTCCAGTACTGGGAAGGGAGCGCCAGTCATGACCCGCACGCATGGCGGCATATCGTCGGTACGGTCAAGTGTAAGTAGACATGGCTCGTGGTCGCCAGCCTGAATGGTCTTCTTGATTACAAACGCCAGTGGATTCTCCAAGGTTGCACATTTCGTTGCATCGGAAACGACAGCATAACCGTCCATTGCCGAAGAATCGAATCGCGGAGTCGAGAAGGGGCTTCGATGGTCCTTGGCAGCAACACGTCCCAAGCAGTCCGTGATGTGGACATCTTCAGCCTCCACGGCTTCACGCGCACCTTGGGCGGCGTGGTAGAGTCTCTCCAAGGCGACCGGGTATGGGAGAGGTGTGCGCATGCTTCGAGAAAGCGGCAATCGAGGACAGAAATGTGCTCGGCGAGCTCGGAATATAGGGATATTTGGACAAAAGTAGACCAATGCAAGATGCAGGGACAGGGATGAGCATCGTATTGGGTCTTCCCCAACATGCGATTGGCAGAAATGGCTTATTCTCGGATCGGTATCCATTGCTGGTGCGAGTCATGATGACGAGATGTGCCCCACCGGCATCGCGCAGTGACCCATACCAAACTTGGACATCACCAATCCCGTGGAAAATATCCGGAAAGGCTTTCCAGGTCTTGATGAGCCTGAATGGGTCGACGATAGGAATCTTACATCAAAGCTGCCGTAAGACAAACACGCGCACCATGAGGCACAATGTAAATAGCTTCATTTATAACGAAAATCTTGATATGGACTTTGGGCTGACCATTCTTCTTGCTCCGTGTTGCTGACCCGGCTGATTGAACCTTCTCCAGAGGAAGAAAAAAAGGGCATATGGGACTTTATGGGGATAAATGTGCAGCAGGATTCACGACTGTTGGGACTCGGGTCAGTTGAAGTAGTGACTTGGACATCTCACACTTTTCAGAAGCACTAGAGAGCCCCGATCCGCCGCGAGGCCACGCGAAGAATTTGAGATTTGAATCTCACCATGACAGGCTATTCATATGAAGTTATGTACGACACGTTGAAGCCCTCATCGGGGGCGCCACTAAAGTGCACCCAGTAGTATTCGTGTTAGTGGTCTAGGAGAACTGGTTCGCTGACTGGGGAGCCTTCAACAAGGAGAAGCTCCATCATCTCCACTTATTCGTAAAGGCTTGCACATTCTGCGCGACCATTCAAAGCTGCTGCAGGTGGGCAGCTCTTGCGTAGATACGGAATCCTCGGCTACATATCATCAGATCGGACTAGGCTTCCTGGCCGCTCGACTCTGCGCGTCTGGTTGTGTCAGATGTGCTCGCCGGAAAAGGCGGATGCCATGCTGCACAGGTAGAGTTCGGACGGCATTGACGGAGTTAAGAGCACGGAGAGCGCCCCGCGGTTCATGGCAGCCATATCTGCACCACCTTTCAGCATTTCGCTGTCACAGATGGTCATAATTGCCGATTGGGACGTCTACTGTCGCTGCTCTATCATGAGCGCGAGCAGCGGATTTGTCGAACCAACCACACACGATGAGGCTTGATTGAGCCTGTGGTTGTTGACGACGAGCTGTGCCATAGACTTGATACAGTGATTTGACGGCGGATTATCCTTGTGTGCCCAAGGAAAAAGCTGAAGATGGCAAGGCTGCGGAAGATCTATGTGCGCTTCGTGGATCGGTCATTTCCAGGTTCAGATGTATGTAACGTGGCTCGATGAAAGGACGTGAAAGCTGGTTCCCATAGAGCCCGGGAGGGATGTATAAGTCTAATAACCAAGATTCATTCCGTTCAGTCGTGCTCTGGGACTAGTGAGGGGATCACCAGAGCGAAGCCTCATCACAGGGCATGCGGTAGTGTTCAGATACGTCTCGCCGGATCCGCTGGTAACGTCCGCCTGGGTTTGAAGAGGTGTGTGATTCTCGAATGCTCTCCGCCCGGGTCACGTTACTCGATCTGCTGTCATTTATTGGATGCCTTCCCCGAAAATGGTCCGGGGCTGCGCCCGGTTCCATGATAACCTTGGATGGCTCGAATCAAAATGCAGCCAACTTGGGCACGGACAACAGCGACAACATGACCGTCGTTACCAGAGCACCTTGTTCTGCCCCAGGACTAAGCCTGCCTGAGTCATCCGCCGACTGGACCATGGGATTAAAACATATAAGCGCGGAGATCGACCTGTGCTATGGGGAACCGGGGTGCACATGCCTGCAGCTGGTGTTGCCACGCCGTTTGCGCTGGACGAAGATGTGTGCTACAGACAAGTACAAGCCCAGAAAGCCTGAGGACGGCTAGGGTGTCTAGCTGGGGCCAACAAGCAAGCCGCTGCTCTGCCAGAATGTTTCTCACTCCGATGGTCGGAAAGCTTACACGCACACCATCTGGGCCAAGGACGTCAGAATCACTGGTCGCATACGAGGACTATTTCTGCGTGGTGTGGCCTTGAGCATGAGCGAGAATTCAGCTGTGTCATCATCTGTCAGCTACAGCTGTCGGTTCACACAGCGTGGCGACCTGACCACTGGCGGTGTCGTCTCAATTTGAGTGCGGCCGGTGCTTCCGCAGGGGCCACCCGCCGGCCGCTTAATTCTTCCCAGGCTGCCGGATCCATAATGATCTGCATAGAATACGGACACTTGAGCGCTAGAGCCGATCTGGACGAGCTCATCTGGACTATTGTTGGCAGTGGTATCTCGCTCAGTAGTCCTCCCTGGCATGTGTGTCTTGAGGGTGCCTCGGCGTCTGAGAGAACCGATTGAGAAAAGGGTCGAATCTGGAGTGGACCAAAGCGCCATGGGGTTAAGCCAGCTGCGTCGGAGCTTAAAGCCAGGCTGTCACGGACTTTGGTGCGACACCAGACCACTTGGCGCAGCCTCCCCCTAGCATCATCTTTAGGGAATACGGACATAACAACCACCAGCATTCTCTATTTGCGCCGGGGCTCCAGGCAGCCAGAATCTCTTGGCGTCATCCTGGACAAATGATTGTGTCGCATCTACGCCACAAAAGATTAGCAGCATTCTTGTGTGCCTCATCTCGGTCGAGCATCCCTGTGCAGCCCGGCCACCACAACGGACATGAAAAAAAAGCAACTTGTCTCCGGCGTGGCAGCCCGCTCTCGTCAGAGCCACGCACGTTTTCTGGGCGTCCGTGGCATTTGACCGCGCCCGCGGACCTTATCGCCTTTTGACAAGAGTGAGCTGGTCTGCCAAGCCGTTGTGCTTACCTGTATCGATCCCTTTGCTTTCGAAAGACGAGAGGCTACTCAGCAGGACTGGCCGCATTGGCAGCGATTGACTCCTGGAGGATTGGGTGCCTAAATCGTCGTGGCACGCAATACATCTTCACAGGCGCGTCTCACCGGTTCTGGCCAAGCGTGCGTTATCTAAAGTGTGACAACTAGCTGGAATCCCTGCTGCCAAACGCCCGCGTCCGTGTTTGGTGGTGGTGCTGACAGCAGACTTTGCAAGGCGCGGACGATTCGGCCGAACAGGCCCGCGGACGAAGGCTCCGGCAGAGGCTGAGCCAGCCGGTGACTCCCCCAGGGAACAAGCTTTGCAGCAGATTGCTGGCATAATGAGTAGCCCCACCCGTTTAGGCGCAGAAACTGACCGAACCTGAGTGAGGGTTGCTCATTATGGCTCAACAGAATGTCCCCGAGAGCTGACTGACTTCCACTTGGCCAGTAGCGTATTGCTTTTCGGCCTATGGCAGCCCGCGCCCACGGCACCTGGCATGCGTGAATGCATCATAATCACCAATTTGGCACGAATGGGTACGGATGGCGCGTTATGCTCACATAAGCCCTTGCACCTGGGACCGGCACCCGAACTACCTGCAGGGAGGCTCCGCCGAGACGTGAGGCTCGAGTCTTGGACACCGCCCGGGACGTGTAGCGATTGGCTGCGCTAACACGTTGATTACCAAAGTCACCGAGACAGTCATGGACTTGCCCGCGGGCGTGCCGTGGGCCATCACCATAACGCCTGGCTGCTCGGCCGCCACGTCCGCTAAACCCCGGGACCGCTCGGGGAGCCACGCTTGGCGCTGAACATGCGCAGTGGTCTCAGATGTGCCCCGTCTTCTATATAACAATGGCACGTCGGCATGATGCTGTGTCTTGTTTCATTCCGCATCACATTCGAACAACCAAGCTTGAAAGCCCTGGTAGCTTGCATCCTCACTAGCTTCATACGCGAAACACGCTCGCACAGGCCCAAGTCACACTGTGTAGTGACACGATCAGCAACTGACACCACTCCTACGATCCACCTCGATTGAGCAATCACAATGGCAGCATCTTCAGATCGCGCGTCACTAGACGCCAGGCCAGCCACTCTCCCACCGACAGACGATAACTACCACACCAGCACCGAGAGCACGACAGACGAGGAGAAGGCAACCATCGACAATGTTCCTGCCGCCAACGACGATGACGAGTACCCTTCCGGCATGCCTCTGGTCTTCATTGTTGTTGCCCTAGGCATGGCCATGTTCCTAGTAGCGCTTGATATGGTAAGCTCAGCCGCCCCTCCTGTGCACCATACAGCCTAAGAGCAACGACTTGCTGTCGCACCAACTGGATATGAGCTAACATACTTACAAAGACCATTGTAGCCACAGCCATCCCGAAGATCACAGACGAGTTCCGCGGTCTCTCCGAAGTCGCCTGGTACGGCTCAGCCTTCTTCATGACTGTGGGCGGTTTTCAGTCGGCATGGGGCAAGGCATATAAGTACTTCCCTCTCAAAATCACATTCCTCGCAGCCATGTTTATCTTCGAGGTTGGCAGTCTCATCTGCGGTGTCGCACCCAACTCGACCGCCCTGATCGTGGGCCGTGCCATTGCTGGAGTCGGCGCTGCTGGCCTCGGCTCTGGCTGCTACACACTGATCGCGTTTTCCGCTTCCCCCGTGAGGCGTCCTATGTTTACTGGCATCATTGGTGCTTCTTACGGGATTGCCTCTGTCGTCGGTCCTCTGATCGGCGGTGCTTTCACCGACCACGTCTCGTGGCGTTGGTGTTTCTACATCAACCTCCCCATTGGTGGTTTCTCCGCTGCCGTCATCACCTTCTTCTTCACGACCCCAAGCAAGTCCAAGCCTGTTGATGCGCCCCTGCGGGAGAAGCTCATCCAGATGGACCCACTCGGCACAGTCCTCATTATGGGTGCCATTATCGCCTACATCCTGGCTATGCAGTACGGCGGTCAGAGTGATTCATGGAACTCGGCTACCGTCATTGGTCTCCTCGTCGGCTTTGGCGCCATTCTCATCGTCTTCGCTTTGTGGGAGGTCTACAATGGCGAGCGGTCCATGATTATCCCGCGTCTGGTTATGAAGAGGACCGTCTGGGTCAACGCCCTCTACGCCTTCCTCTTTGCTTCGTCCTACTTCATCATCATCTACTACCTGCCCGTCTACTTCCAGAGCATCGACGACGTGTCCCCCACCATGTCTGGGGTCCGCAACATCCCCATCATTGTGGCCGTCACCTTTGGCACAATCTTCTCAGGTGCCTTCATCTCGAAGACGGGCATTGCTACGCCTCTCATGGTTGGCAATGCTGCCGTCGCCACGATCAGCGCTGGCCTCATGTACACACTCGACATTGGCACTGATGCGGGCAGGTGGATCGGCTTCCAGATCCTCGCTGGCGCTGCCTTCGGCATTGCCTTCCAGATCCCCATGATTCACGCCCAGGGCAACGCGGCCGTCGAGGACTTGGCCGTCACTACTGCCTTGCTCATGTGTAAGTTTTCCCTGTCCTAGATCCCTCCATATTACACCTCTCCTGCATAACAGTCACTGACGTCTTGATGCACAGTCTTCCAAACCGTCGGTGGAGCCTTTCTCCTCTCTGGTGCCCAATCCGCGTTCGTTAACGAGCTCCTCGCCAATCTGCCGCGGTACGCACCTGAGGTCAACCCCCACCAGCTCATCGCTACCGGCGCCACGCAGATCCGTGCAACATTCCCAGCCGACCAGGTGCCCGGCATCCTCCAGGCATACATGGCCGGCATCCGAGTGACCTTTGCCATTGCCACTGCGTCTGTCGGCCTTGCCTTTGTGGTCAGCCTGTTCAGCAAGTGGCAGCGGCTCAACCCGGAGGCTGTCAAGAAGGCATCTGGCGGTGCTTAAAGGGATTGAAACGACTATCATAATAGCGACAGGATGTATGTAGTGCATAATAAGAGTGAGGGTTTAGGAGTCTCGGAGGCATCATGCATGGCAACGGATATTTTGGGGATTACACTCAACTCATGGCGGTCTGGAGTTCGGCAGATGTGGCTTGGCATTTCATATAGACTTTCTGTACGGCAGAGATAACAAGAGTGAACACTGAGTGGTATATTAATTTCCTACAAAGGCAAATAGCAAACATGTCCACTATCCCATAATACCATGAAACATTCAAGGCCTGACTCGCAACCCACAGCTTGGCAGCATGTTTCCAAAAGTGTTGAAGGCGCATGCCCACAGGGAGCCTCCAAGCAAAGGTCAGGGCCTGGGCCCGTTTCTGGACACGGAGTGTCTGCCGCCGCCACCGCTGCCCACTGCATGTCAATCTATGGCCGGTCTAGCCACATTGGGCGGATCGGAACTTGGATCCTGCTCATTGACACCAAAGCGTAGCTGAAGAGAGATGATCGCCAACTTACAAGTACACTGATCCACACGCTCTGCGCGCACCTACCAAGTTTCGCATTCGTGGCACTTGCAGAACTACTAAGCGGGCTTGTTCCATTGGCCCCTGGCTCATCTCAATTTGACGAACTGCAGCGTGACGGCCTGTTCGGAATCGTGGGCCGGCTAGCAGAATACTTTTGTGGCGTGTGCTTGTATAAAAGCCATGGACTCATCGCCTCTTGGCAATCCCCGACCTCGTTTGCTTTCCGTAAGTGGCACATCACCCTTTAACAGATCACAAGATGCGTCTCTCAATTTCCATCACGGTCCTCGCCTCAGTGTTGGGCGCCGCTCTCGCCAAGCCGGAAAAGATCCGCGGTGTCAGCGATCCAGTGTACCACCTCTACCTTCAGGAGTACCCCAAGGACAAGAGCACCGCAGTCCTGGGTCCAGAGTCATCGGCAGAATACTTCAACATCGGAGGCACTATCCAAAGCGCAAATACGACGTTATACCTGAATGTCGGCAATGACAGCACTTCATACAAGACGCTAACTTTCGGGACGACTGCGTCGACAAAGGCGTGGGGGCTCGAGGGTGATACGATAATCACAACGCAAGGAAGTACTTGGGGTCGTCGTAAGTTGTTGCGCCACCTCGTACTGCTTAGAAAATGGAGATAACAACCCCATGCGTACATGCCAGAATTGAACTTTCTGGTTTGCAAACTGGACGGCAACTACTGGCAGCTGTACCTGCAGACAGGCAGTGCCACGCCCAGTGGGAAGACTTGCAGCAACTACCAGACGATCCACCTTCCATGTCTGTGCTGAAGGGTGGGAGGATGGAGACGCAAGTGCACCGCGAGCCGGCACTTGGCTAGGTGTCAACAATATGGCTTGATATTTCTAGGGACTGCCAGCTGTTGGAGAGCTCCCTTATTGTGCAGTTTACGCACCGCCGGATCGGTGCGTCCTCAGTCCGAACAGTGGGAAGAAAAGTTAAACCAGGCTGCAGCTATGCCGTGTTCTCTCACGCCCTGACGTTGCCCTCCAACTAAATGTGGTCTGTCGAAGGTCTTGTGGGTGTCTCTCCACGCCGCAGCTGTGCAAAGCTCCCTGCAAAGGCGCGACATATTCCGGCCCAGGCTATCTGCGACAGCAAGCTCTTCTCGATGTCCCGCAGGAACCGGACACAAGCGTCCGGACCGCTCAGCAGGCCAACTCCTGTGAGGTGGAGCAAGCTGTCCGCTCCGTTGTTGATCCAGTTGTCAACCGCGACTCTACTCTCCAGCTGGTCGAGTCGCACGAGCGGAACCCGTTGATGGCCAGAAGTCTTTTCTGTGTGAGGCGTCTCTGTGCATAGTTCAATGTAGCAGTATATGAAACCCATTGCAATCATGACACTAAAAACGTCGTAGCACGCGCCGAGACGGGAGCCGCGGGTGACACGGAAGATTCTTGCCGCGTGGAGCAGGCACCGTCGGGCCTGGATGCCGTCGTTCTGGAAAAAGTCGCGGAATCTGCTCTTGGCGCGAAACATCTGCTCTTTCGTTGCCTGCCAGCCTGTTGCTGAGTGGAGAGTCTCCAGTGATACGTGGTGAAGAATGGCGAGTACCTCGAGAATGGTGTCAGACTGTCTGGGGGGTTCGTACAGCATGTCTGTAAACATGCTGAACGCTGGGTGCTCAGGAAGTGTCTCCAGCAGCGGATGACTGGCTCCTCGACTTTCAGCACTGGGTCGAACTTGGCTGATCGAGGTTTGCGTCGGCGTTGGTGTAGGGAATCCAAGGGACGTGGCGAATGATACTTTCATCGCCTGGGATGCTTTGATGTGGCGGGCAAGGCTTTTCTGGTCTGTGAAAAGCTCTAGATGCAGGATCTTCAGACCGAAGTCGCCCGTTTGCAAGATAGGTTGGCTCCTTGAGTCGCCGGCTGTTGTATGACGAAACTCTAGTAGATATTCACTGTGGCATTAGTCGGGGCTGTTCAAAAAGTCATGTGCAGACTGACTGACTTACTGCCGAGTTCCTGTCTCGTGCTCTGCCATTCAGCGGTGTTCCGACACCGCCAGAGACTTTCTGAGGACGGAAGTCGTCGAGGCAAAGTCCGGAGGGAGGAGATTAGAGGTGTGTCTAGGAAGACAGAATCCAGACTCTCCAGTGCTGTGACACGGATTAGTGATGTTTCCCCGGCATATTTACCCGTTGGGTATTCTCACCTCGGACGGAGGTGACAAGACGTATTGTCTCCTCCTCGGCAAGCCATGCCTCCCATATCTGCTCAAGACCGAGACTAGTTGCGTCCGAATCCTGCGGGGGGTCGACTTGACCAAGCAGATCCCAGCACATGGCTGCCAGGCTGCCCCGCTTGTGCTGTACTAACACCTTGTCTCGACCCGAGCCAGAAAACATCCAGATGACATGAAGGAGGAAGGTGCTCTGCATGAGAGATATATCCGCTTTCAAGCTGCGCAGAAACTGTGATCGATCGATTAGCGTGCAGCGCAAATCTACGACAGCGATATTCAACACTTACGGCAGACTCAACAGCCCGGGCGAGCAAATCGCAGAGAATCGTATTGTAGGCAGCCGCCGCAGTCATCTCAGAGTAATGGCTCCCAACTGCAGTTGTGGCCAAAAGAAGAATCCAAGACAAGCTTGGGTCCTCTACGCGACTCGGATGTATGCACGGGAACTGCCTATCGAAATGCTCAAAGTAGAGCTCCAGGAAGGCGCGCAGTACACATTTAGGGATTGGCGTCATCGATCGACCCGTCTGCTGGGTCAAGTAGAACTTGTGTAAGCCCTTGACAGCTGCAGCAGGGACAAGAGAGATATGGCCGAACATCTCTGCCTCGGCGACCTGGAGGTCATCCGGTTCGACGTCCGGGAAGATACCGCATGGCTTGGTATAGCCGCCACAGATGTTCTCGGCTTCCAAGTATCGTCGAGGAGAAGCCCTGTGAGGCTCGGTAGCACCGTGATCTTGGCACGCAGCTTGCGAGTGGGGATCGACACGGTCGATACTCCGCGTTACGTTCGAGACCCGGATTGGGGAATGTGAGGTACTTGACAGGTCAAACACAGGCGGGCTGTTGAAAGGTAGTTCCAGGTTGTCTAGGGACCAAGAGAACGGGAAGCCAGCCGTGGTTGGTTGCCACGCCATAAAGGGATCGTCCGTGCCATTGACCATGGCACAATCTCCACAGAAACAAGAATTGTTTGCCGAAGGCTGCAGAATCTTGAGGCAGAATGAGACACTTGTCTGAGAGGGTTCTCCTGTAGACATCGCACCCAATGAGGGTTGCATGGCCATCTGCGCGTGCCCAGCATGTTGGCTGTCAGATTGCTGAATTCCATCGGCTTGCAGCCTCAATTCGAAATCACTGTCAGCAAACGAGTGAGCAGGCCTAGTGGATACACCGGCGACGCGCGCAATCTCATCGTTGGCTAATTCGTGGTTCGTGGAAGCTTCTTCGGCCTCCGTTGGCGGCGGCTCAGTCGAGCTGTAGGTGCACTGCTTGTTGCGGAGCACACATCGCGAGCACGGCAGCGAGCCATCACAGCGTTGTTTCAAACGGGCACAGAATAGGCATGCCGGGTTGCGGGGGCCTTTACGGCTGTCGGGGTGTACTTGCGGAGTGGCGTGAAGAGCGCGGTGCCGGAGCAGTGTATCGCTAGATGGGCAGCGGACCAGTCAGGCAATCTGCGTGGGACCTAGGCTACCAAACAGGATCACGACTTACTTGCGCGAAAAAGTCTTGTTGCAAACATGGCAGCTGAAAGGCTTCGCCCCCGTGTGCCGCAGCTCGTGGCGGACACGGTGCTCGCGGCGCTGGAACGTCTCCCCGCAATGCGCACAGGTCAGCGAGGGCTCCGGCCGAACTTGCATCCCGCCGCAGTTCAGGATGCCGGCCGCTGAGGGCGAGATCGTAGCCGTGGCCGCCGGCGGGAGCTATGCGAAGGAGTTTGGGGGTGTGGACGAGATCCCCGCCGGAGGCGGCTGGAGGCGGAGGGCCACCTGGAGACCACATCCTCAGAAGGCTGGAGGACCCGGCCCGGCCCCCGGAGAGGACAACGGCTCCACCCCCGCCGGCCCCATAGTGCCCCCGCATGGGGACGACCGAGGGCGAGGGTCTTCCCCATCTTCTCCGCACCATCCACTCATCGAGGCCGAGGAAGCCGATGATGAGCATGCCCGCGTGTAAAAGTCCTATTACCTTCGTCTGTGCTAAAGTTTCAAGCTCCTACCTGGATGAAGCCTCCAGCACTGTTGCCATCCAGAGCCGGTTCGTTAGCCCTAAATCGACCATGACAACTTCCCAAGAGACAACCCTTGAGTGGTTCGGTTCGTCCCCAAAGAATGTTGTCAGAGTTTGGGTCTCGTTGTGCTGATTGTTACCAGGTGCGACAACCTTTCGGCTCCGAGTTCGTGGTGTCACGGTGTTTCTCGACACCTGGCTAGACAAGCCGGACATTCTGCCTACTTTGCTGGCTGCCGACGATGTCACCGAAGCTGACTACATTTTCATCTCCCACGCCCATTTCGATCAGTGAGTTTCTCGGATACGAAGCAGGCCAAAAAGCGAAGACCTGACCCTCGCATAGCCTGCCCGGTGCCGACCGGATCGCGATCAAAACTGGCGCCATTGTCGTAGCCAACAACGAAGCCATCAACCTGATGAGAAATGCCGGCGTGCCTGAGCACCAGCTTTTTCCAGTGCAAGGAGGAGAGCGCATCCCACTGTTCACTCGCAAGACCCGCGACGATGCTGCAGCGGATCTCTCTTTGCTCGCTCCTGGCTTGCCCGGTGCGCCTCGAAGGCCTCTCGACAAGCTAGCCGCCCTTCGAGTTGACATCTGGCCATCTCTACACTGCTTCATGCCGGAGGACCATCCGCAAGTCATTGACACCGCGACTGTCTATAAGGGCTCTGCCAGTCCGTACAGCTGTACGCTTGACATCACGTTTGGCATGAAGCATGGCCTGCTGAAGATCGGCGAACTCATGCCGCCAGACAAGCTGACGCCTGGGCACAAGTCGTTTATCAAATATGTCAGCGACCGAGAACGCAACGTCTTTTCCCATTGCGACGGTGGGCAACTCATGTTCAACTTCGTTGCTGGGGACAAGGCGCTGTTATGGACTGCACATCTCGGCGGATACGAGGGCGTGCTGCGCGACATGCAGCCGAAGCCGGATATAGCCATCATGGCGATTGCAGGAAGAGCGAACTTCAATGGCAGGCCCTTTGATGGCTCTGCTGCTGAATTTGCTGCCAAAAAGGTAGACTGGCTTGGAAGGCCATCTCAGGTGATATGGTGCTTGCACGACGAAGCGTAAGTCTGAGCCTACCACATTGAACTCCAGGTAATTGTTGGGCAGAAGTGCTGACAATTGTGTGCGCAGCTGCATTCCACCCTGGAGGATTGACACAGAAGCTGCCACAAAGGCAGTGGAAGCAAATGGGAAGACAAAGATTCTCGATTTGGAACACGCGAAGGCTGTTGTGCTTGACATATAGGGTTTCCAGGAGATGCAGCCTCTGTGATCAGGGTCACTTGTTGATAGTTTCTTGGATCGTAAAATCGCAAGCCAATGGGAATAATGGTCTCCATTAGGCACTCGAGGTTGCATATGTGACTTGTACGCGGACAAGACTCGCTGGTTCGCCTGCTTCCTAGAATACCACATTCGTTGGTGTAGGTGTTCGGACTAGCTTTCTGGCACAAACACACACTAGTAGCTCTCCGCGTCCGCTGTATCGAGGCAAAGGATCAAGTCAGACTCGGACAACTGAGCTACGGTCATGGAAGCAGCCCGGCCATGCGATACGCCGAGGATCCACACACAGACCTGTGTCCCATCTCATCAGGGCATCAGGCGGAGTTCGAGTCTGCGTGCGCTACCTCCGCTTCCCGTGGCCCGCACGGCCCCGCCGGCCCCAAGTTCCCGGTTGGCCTCGCATTGCCGTTCGTCAGAGCCGCAGCGCCAGGGGCCTGGCTCCCAAAGGCCAGCGCGGAATATTTGCGCAGATTCGGTCCATGTCGTGATTGAGCTGCGGCACCATTCACGCTCAACAGTTCAAAGTTCCAACGCGATCATATACTCCACTGCTCACCCTGTTTCGCCCGCACACCGAAGACTTGCATCATCATCCTCTTTTTCAATCAAGACTCAGGAGCAGCCAGCCCCCTTGAGCCATTGTTGTCCAAAATCAGGCATCTCACATACGTGCTAGATTCCAACAACACACGGCTCGAAATTTACAGGCTACGAGCCTTTGCACTCGCACCTACCCCATCATGGCAGCAGACCACGGGGGCACAACGAACACATCTGCAATCTCAACACTCTCTCCAGCTGTGCCCGATATGAATCCAGCACTCCTAGAGAAATCTCCCGAGGCCGACGGGCACGCCGCTGAAATCCAGTCTGACAAGAGCATTGACGAAGACGTCTTTCCAGAAGGCGGGCCGAGGGCTTGGCTCGTGGTCCTCGGTGGATGGCTTGGTCTCTTCTGCACATTCGGCTTGGTCACGTGTGTCGGCGTGTTTCTGCAGTACTACCAACGAGATTTGCTGTCTACCTACACTGCAAGCCAGATTAGCTGGATCACGAGTGTACAGGTTTTCTTCCAAGTTGGTGGAGGTGCAGTGGTAAGTGCTGCTTCATCTTTATGTGCTTAGAGTTCATCCACATCAAAATGCTAATGACACATGCCAGTGGGGTCGGATCTACGACTCCTATGGTCCACGATGGCTGCTATTCATCGGCACTCCCGTCTATTGTCTAGGCCTGATGATGCTCTCGCTTTCGACGCAGTATTACCAGATTCTCCTGTCACAATCAGTCGTCAGCTCAATTGGCTCGGGCGCCGTCTTCACAGCGTGCCTCACGTCTACTACGACTTGGTTCTTGAAAAAGCGCGGCACAGTCTTCGGCATCGTTAACTCAGGGTCGGCTGTCGGCGGCGTCGTTCTTCCCATCATGCTGTCACGGCTCATCCAGTCCATCGGATTTCCCTGGACCATGCGGGCAGTCGGCTTCCTCTTCCTCACGCTCTGCGTTGGTTCATGTCTCTTGGTCAAAACTCGCACTCCGCCAAAGCCTCGCCCTTTTGCTATTACTGATTATACAAACGGCCTGCGCGACACCACGATGCTGCTCGCCACTGTTGGAGGCTTCCTCTTCTTCTGGGGCATGTTCCTCCCTCTTAGCTACATCATCGTCCAAGCTCAGGATAGTGGCATCTCCCCAGATCTCCTCCCGTACCTCCTCCCCATCATCAACGCCGTCAGCCTTGTAGGCCGCCTGGTGCTGGGCTACCTCGCTGACCGCATCGGACGCTTTAACTGCATGCTCTTAGTGACAACCTTCACCGGCACTCTCACTCTCGCCCTCTGGATCCTGGGAAGCAGCAGCACCGCTGCGATTGTGCTATATGCAGTGGCTTTTGGCCTCGGGTCTGGCGGGTACATCTCGACATTCCCCGCGTGTGTCTCACAGATCAGCCCGCCCGCCGAGATCGGCACGAGGATCGGTGTTGCATCGCTGATCAATGCGGTCGGGGCGCTCACGGGGAGCCCTTTGGGCGGGTCTCTTATCGCGAAGAAGGCCGATGGCAGCACCAGCTTCCTGGGGCTGCAACTGTTTTGCGGCGCAACTATGCTGTGCTCAGTGTTTGTGTACGGCGCCGCAAGATACAAGCAGGCAGGTTTGAGATGGGAGAAGATTTAGATGTGGTGCCGTTCATCAGTAGTCATGATCAACATGGGGTTGATCAATTGGTTCGTCAAGAGCTTTCGTAACGTGGCTTGCACCATGCTTATGGCTGGGCAGACCCTCAATGTAGCGCTAGGTTTTGAGTGTATTAGCATCTTTAACAGAGCCGATGGCCTGCTTGGTTACACCTTTTCTTGATTGGCATGAATAGACTCCGCCTGCAGCTGCCACGACAACTGCAACCGCCAGGTCATGTCCGACTACAAGTCCTGCACGCTGCACTCAAACCAATGTTCCCATTCGTACTCTCGCATTCGATACAAAAACGCGAACATCTCCGACGTAATGATGCCTGTCGTCATCGAGGGGCATCGTTATTTTCGTAACTTGATTGTCCTCTAACGTCAGTCTAGGGTCCTCCTTGCGAATATGCCGAGGTCCTACTCTGCCACAAAACTTCTCGGATTGGAGGCTTCTCACAGGTCATCACGGAACGAGATAGTGGTCAGATATTCTGCATGCAGATGGCCGTGTAACGTCACTGCATTTGTTTTTCGCAGCCCAAAGTGCTCGAGCTTCCGCTACACCAACCAACACCCCGATTGTGATTCAGACAAAAAGCGTACCGGGCAATCCCAATCGGCTCCCGCATTCTGTACCTCTGTTTCAAAGTGCCAGTGTGGCGAAGTGATTGTGGAAAGGTTACATGCAAACGCAAGTTTCCGGTGCAGCTGATGTGTGCAATATCCTGGAGGATTGGACAAGGCACGACTCTAAATAGCGGCCGGTGCACGCGAGCGACAATCGTTCGGAAGCGACGCCGCTATACAAGAGGTCCGCAGCTGACATGTGTCCGGTACGGGGCATGTAAGCAGGAGATCCTGTTGCTTGTCTTATCTGGCGAGAGATCTGCTGCTCGAGCACAATACGTCATATGGGGCCGCCCATTGCCATCCTGTACAGTATGATCCTCGCCATGCGGCGCTTATTTGGGACTACCAGATGAGTCATTGTGAATATGATGGAAGCCAAGGCGACAGATCAATTCCAGGACGAAGTTTCTGCTGCCACCAGCGACGCTCTTCGCCTTATGGTGTGGCAAAGCTCACTACTTTTCGAAGCCGCTGCCGTGAGTGGTAAGCGCCCAGCCCGGGAGGCAGTCAAGCCATGGTAAGCGCCGACCGAGACCCTGGTCGCCCAGAGTCGTCAAGCTCCGCATTGCTCCTCCATCGCTGATTACGCCATCTGCATTCTTCAGCCTTTCCGCCTGTATGTCCGCCCTGGGAACGCTGCAAGGGAGCCGGTAAGCGAGCAAGTGTGCTGAGCTGCAGCGCAGATATGTGGTGCCGAGAGTATAGGTAAGCATCAGTGCTGTTACGGACCCAGACGTATAGCCACGGAGCTAGACATGACCTCACAGTGATCAGCAGTGACATGTGGTCCAAAAGCGATTATACCCAGGTGACGTGAGATCTTTTCTTCTTCCTTCCTACAGCGATGCGGGAATGAATGATGTCGGCTGCAGGTTTGGTATCGAAGAGCAGTCGACATTTGCGTCGTATAACGACAACTATGTCGATTATGAGATGTTGAGGAGTGGCTCTAGGACATTGCCACACGGCATATTAATGGGATGTATTCCACCTTTATTAATAGCATCGGTTTATTTTTAGGAACCATAGTGAGACCTGAGTTGTACTATCTGTTTATGATGTTATCGATCCTCTCAATCTCACAATGCTGACCATCCAACTTGATCTTCACGCTGAGCATTGCGTTTCATCCTGTCTTTCTTCTCCGACGCTGGGAATGCTCCGATATTCAGTGGCAAGCTTCATTACGTAGATTTAGGACATTGGAAATGGATCACGATATAAGTATTGGACGCGTGGCTCCTTATGCAAGAGCCGAAATGTTTGAATCTTGCACATCACCTCTTGACATCAACAGTTTCATTACCAGAACCACGATTAAAAGACTATTATCAATTCATTATATACCCAACTTACGAAAATGAAGCTCACCATTGTCATGGCTGTTACTACGCTTGCATGGGCTTCTACCGCAGCACCGACCACTAGTGATCAGGTATGGTTAATCAAGCACTCCTAGCTTATGGATGCGTGGCTAATCAACGCATAGACTTTCACTCCCTCCGTGGAAGACTTGTTCCGGTCCCTCCAGCGCGGTCCAGAATCTCTGGCAGAGCTCCGCCCTAATGGAACTGTAGTGTCCTACGACCAGCACGGCAACATTCTTGACCATCGTGTAGCCTCCGAGGCTGCTGTACGCGAGTACAATGATAAAATCGCGATCATCCAAGACGTTTTCCGACAAGGCTTCGAAGATCCAGAGGTCCAGGCTGGTCGCGTGGACGATAGTCCTGCCTCGAATGTATACGAGCGCGTCGACGGAGAGCTCTTCACCCATCGCTTGGACTGCAACTCCTACCCCTGTGACGACAATGACGATTGCTGGCAAGTTGGCTGCAGTAATTGCAACCCCCTGCCGATCCACCCCCGGAGATGCAGGTTCCGTGGATAGTTTGGGGTTTCGATCGCTCAGGATCTGGTGGCCCCTTGAAACGCATCACCGAATGACGATTTCGAGGCTGGGTAGGACATGACATCGTTGTACCAAATGTACTAGAACACGGTCTTTGTAGACCAACACGTTCATTTTTCTCCCAAATCATTGTTGTGTATTCATCGCTCTGAATTACATAACAGTAGATATTTTTTGGAATGCGTACACCAGAATTCCCATTGACGATGGGCCGGTGGACAAAATGCTAGGAAATATTCCCAATTATTTACATGGTCGTTACATGCCGGGTTATTGCCAACCAGAAGTTACGCGAGTGGGCTATTAGCTTTAGCGAAGGGGTCATGATTATCAGCAAAATTTGGAGTCAGATGTTGTTTGGCGTGAAAGATTCATTCATAATTAGGGGCGTGAGGCCCTGCAGTGCCGGACTGTCTGCATATGTACCGTTAAACTGGCCAGTCGGGTAAGTCAAGAGCTGCCTACATCCCTCGAGATGAATTTGTGCCAAACCTGTTGAGGCCGACAGTGCAGGCCTTTACTCATTGTCTCTATGAACAGCCTTTTGCAGGGCATTGTCTTCTCACTTTCCATGTTGTTCTAATGTCATATTCCTAGGTGCGAGAAGGGGGAAGCCTAGCCGAAGACCTCGCGCCATAACGACAACTGCGAAGGCATGAGGGCGCTGCCACGTACACAATCAGAGAAACACTCGAGAGGGGCAAGTCTCGAATCGGCCCAACTCTTCCGGCTGCTCTCTTTAGGACCGGCCTCCCTGAGCCATTCCGACGGACTGCTGCGGGGCGCTACGGGGAAATGTGGGGGACATGCCTCCCGGTTCTGGGGTCCTCCCCGACGGGGGTGGGGGGAGTGGCACGCGCTTCACCAAATCGCACTCCCCACGATCGCAAAAGGTTCACGCCGCCAGGGGCACATAGCGACCAAGCTGCGGAAGGGACAAATGTGCAGTATTTGATATCCGTTGAAATATTCCAGAGAACCACATTGAAATTTCCTGCTCAAAGCGTGGGCTTGTTCGTACTTTCTTTTTCTTCCCTGGCAGTGTTGATACCCCAATACGTACACCTGCACAAATGGCACCCCTCAAGATCATTATCATTGGCGGCGGTCTGGCCGGGGCCTGCCTAGGCAATGGCCTCGTCAATCATTCATCTGGTCTCATCAACGTCACAGTCTACGAGCGCGATGCTGAGGGCGACGAGCGCGGTGGCTACCAGATTCGCCTCGGCGCATATGCCCTGGCAGGCCTCAGGGCATGTCTCACAACACAGCAGTTCAAAGATTTGCTGCCATATTTTGGTCGATCTGGGGGCGTCGTATCATCCGCGCCTTGCATCTTCAACCCGTCCGACCTGAAGGTCATGGTAGACCTCAGCAAAGCCCCGACCTATGAGAAAAGCGCGCCAATCGCGCGGATGCGACTTCGCGAGTATCTGCAGGAGCCCCTGCGCAAACACGACGCGATCCGGTATGGCAAGAAGTTTCTTCGCTACGAAAGCCTCGAAGGGGACGACACGGGCCACAGCAAGGTCAGAGTGCACTTTGCCGACGGCACACAAGAAGACTGCGATATTTTGATCTCGGCCGAGGGCAGCGGAAGTCGGATCAACAAACAGATTGGTCTGAACAACATCATTGACACCGTCACCAAAGATTTTGGCTCTTTGCTCGGAAAATGCCATCTTTCTTGGCCGGTCCTTCAGACCTTGCCGAAGCAGCTTCTCGAGAAGGGCACCATCTATACAGCCAACTCAAAGGCCATTGTCTTTGCCGCTGCATACCTGCCGCCAAGCTTGTCATCCTTCTCCCACCAAGGAAGCAATGCCGACCCCACCAAGCCCGAAAACTACGATGAGGAACAGGCGTCGCTCTTTCTCGGTGTGGGGTGGACGACAGGCCCTCCAAATGCGGATCTGCCACACATCAAAGACAAGAAGGGCCTCATGCGGCAGAAGCTCACCGACGCTGGCTTCCACCCGAGCTTCTTGAACCTAGTCGATGCGGTCGACGATGACAACCTGATCACAACCCCGACGCGGTCGGCCAAGACCGATACACCTGTAAACTGGAGACAGAAGATATTGGCAGACGCAGCCAAAGTAGTGGACAGGGATCTGGCAAACCCGAGAGTGTGGCTGATGGGAGACTCCATTCACGCGATGCTGCCATCGCGCGGCATGGGTGCCAACAATGCAATTCGAGATACTGCGGATGTACTAGGCCCATTGCTAGAGCTGGGCAAGCAGCACAAGTCCAGGAGCAACGTCACTGACGAGCAGGTTAGCACCCAGCTGGCTATTTTCGAGAACACGATGCTTCCCAGAGCGATGGCCTGGGTTAAGAAGAGCAAAGATCAAGAGGTACGTGCTAGTAATCCACGGTGGTAGAGACATCAAGTGCAGAGATGAAGTGCATGAAGCTGACGCTGTAGGTAGCTACCTGACTTGGAAAGCACCAAAGGCAAGATCATCATTGCTGTGCTCCGTGTTGGCATCTTTTTCCTGAGCGGCGCCGTAAAGATCCTGAAACTGTTTGGGTGGACTCCTAAAGATGATGCGCCGGAGCTAGCTTGAATAATCTGGGCAAACAAATCCCAGCCCAAAGTCAGGCGTCTCGCCAAATGCCGTTGTCGACCATTAATATGAAAAGTGCCGGAGATGTCCCTTACAGATAGTTCTCCTTTTCGCCGTGCTTAACACGTAGTAGAAACAAATGGGCTTCATCTCCCTATTCCAAACACCTATTTCATCGGATTGATGAAGAAGTGGCTGTCAGTCGTCTGCATGACGTCCAACTTCTGCCCAACCGTGACGACTAACTCCGCCCTTGGTACACAGAGCATGCCAAAGCTCGGCTTGAACTTCAGGCCCTCGTCGATTCGCCGATATTTGACCAGTTCGTCCCACGGCTGGCGGGGATTCTTGTCGGCAGTATCCGGGTCGACGTTTGGGACCTGGCATCTTAAGCAGCGTGACACCACGTCCAACTCGACAGCCTTCTTCTCCCTCTGATCATCGCCATCACCACCGTTCTCGGCCTCTCGGATGCGGAGAGTTTTCCAATTGTCCTCAGCCCAGGGCTCGTGACCGCTGATAATGATGTTTGGCCGGAACCTTTCAATGTCAACGGCGTGCTCACCACCACTCCGTAGCCGCCCGTTGAGCTCAGTTAGACTGGCCAGCGACGCGACCAGGACCGGCATCATGTCGGCGAACTTTGTCGCCTCTGTGCGGCCGAGCCGATCCGGCGCGCCACAGCCGCGAAGGACCCTCGGCGAGGGTCCCTTGTACAACAGTCGGGTTTCGACGCTGAGGAATTCCGAGATGGCTTGGGTCATGGTCGCAGGGTACTCCCAGCCGTCCGTCTTTTGCCCCCAGATAACGCCGGTGCGCAGCGTGGTGTTGGCCTCGAGCCACTCCGTGGTCGGGTGTGCGGGAATCGAGAGCTCCCACCCCTTGTTGCCCTCGATAGTAATGACGAGCGTATCACTGGCGAAGTCGACACGCGTCCGGATGAGCGTCATGCGGGGCTCGTCCCTGATTGTGAGGAAGTCGCGCTTCCCGGCAGAGACAAACATCCAGTTGCGGTCGAGGTCGAGCCCTGTCTTGAGCAGCGCAGCCGACTGGACCTGGACGCCACGGCATGACTTGATGGGGTATATCCGCAAATCGACAATGTCGTGGCTGGCCAGTGGCAGTTCCGCATCGGCCTTCTTCAAGTAGTACAGGACAGAGCTGGTGACGATGGCGATAATCGCTGCGAGGGCTACGCCCGGGGTTGTGGAAAGGTCCAGATGATCCATGACCACTGGTGACTGGATCTCACGATGGAGACAAGACGTATGCGGTTGGTGCTGGAATTGTGTTGTTGATGGTAAGGGCTGTATTTAGGTTTGCTGTCATGTCGTGGCCATGTGTGCGGGGTCATGTGTGTCATGTGTGTCATCACCAATCGCACTGGGCCAAGCCCAAACTCAAAATCTCTGCAGAAGCAGGTGACTTTGCAGCCACTATTACATTAAGCTTGACAAAATGATAGGGACCAGCAAAGAAGCCAGCCGTAAGACCTCCGCGAACATTGCATCTTTAGTCGCGGCTTTGTGAGTATCGAGTGTGCGAAAGCACCCCCAACCCGGTGGGCGTGTTTCGCATATCGACTACGGAGCCGATCAGCCGAGAGAAATGCGGGTTCGGAGAACACACACCAGCCGTTGGTGTACTGAGGGTACTACATCAATGAAAGTAGATTTCTCAGCCCTGCGGACTTGCAGCTGCGAAACTCTAATGCAGTATGTGACCCGAAGTGCCCGTGGGCTACAGGTTAAAGCGAGAAAGTGCTGTCTGTGCCGCCATTTCACGCGGCTCAAACATAGCAAACATGTGGATGCTAGCACGATCGCACTCCGTACTGAAAACGTAAGGAACAGTCAATGTACAGTATTGATTGAGTCCGTTTCTGCTGGTGGTCAAATTGGTGCAAAAAGGGGCCAGCTTGGTGCTGGACTTGTTTGGCTTGGACCTTCCGATAAGTGCTAACGCCTCACCGACCCTTGAAGACTTCGTGTAGTGCCCCGTGCTTGAACGAAGAGAAAGCTGAGGGGTTAGTCGTCGCGCATTCAACCTTCCCAATTAGGCAACTTTCACGGCCACAGTCTGCCCGACTGCGCCACCTAGGGGTCGAGAAATAGAGTTTGAACAGAGTTACCTTATCCAGTTGAGGTGTGGCGGTACTCGAGTTCGTTCAAGCACGAACTCCAGCCCGGGCGGCCGAGGAGGGTAGTCCTCCGAGGACGGGCTTGCCAGGTAGTGCGGGGGCTGGAGTTCGTGCTCCGTTTTCTATATAATTCCTTCTCGAGGTTTTATTTCGTTCAAGCACGAACCCTAGCCAAGGCGGCCGAGGAGGATAACCCTCCGAGGACGGGCTTGCCGGGCAGTGGCGGAGGCCAGGGTTCGTGCTCAAAGATAATTCAATACTCCTTCGTCCCTTGCTTGGCTGTCTGCTGTTCAAGCACGGGGCTCTCCAGCCCTCGCCGGACAGCAGCGGGGCCTCTAGTTACTAGTTCGGGAAGCCCGGTCCTCTGTCTGGTGCCACGAGATTAGTGGATCTGTACAGTTTCCACTTATACTATGCGTGGCTTCAAGCCAGAACTGGCGATTAGAACATTGCGCACATGATTCCTCGATTCTGCATCTTTCAGCTTGTCACAGGACATGCAGCTTGCCAGGGCGACGCCTTCGTCCGGGTCGAACGGGGCTATCATCCATGTCCGTACGGCCTGGTGATGGCGTCGAACGCGCCTGACACGGGGCCAGCCGAAGAATACCCCTGACTAGCGGCACCAAAGCACAAGCGTTATGCCAATTGAGGCGAGTAGCCGGCGCCAATGCAGGAGCCGGCTGTGTTCTAGACCCGGCAGCGGAGCTGATCAATAGATCGTCAACTAGGACGGTGCCAGCGGCCCCATCACAGCATGCCCCTGATGATGGTCTGATCTGAGGCCGAGTTCTGAAGCTGAAGAATATGCGCCCAAGCTGCGACCTCGTGACCAATCTCATCACGGAGGATGGCCTGTTGACCATATTCAGCTGAACATCGAAAGACGTCTTTGTTCCTGCCGCTGAAAACTACCCTCGTATATAATGTTCCAAGTCTCACCACCTATCGGGCAACTAATCAACACAACAACACATCAACTTCACCATCTTCCCTCTTGAGCTCCTTCATTCAAACCAACTTCATCATGCTTCAGATCACTCTCCTGATGGGCGGCCTCGCAGCCTTCGCCCAAGCCGCTGCTCTCCAGTCTATCCCAGCCGCTGCCCTGTTTTCCCGCGCACAAAGCCCGATCAACTGCGGTCCTTTTCCCGGTAAAGGTCCTAGCGAGGGTACTACCTACGTGTCGGCATCCGGCAAGAGCTACAAGATCCTCTGCAACGCCGAGAGGGGCGCTTACAGCGGCTGGTACTATGCCCAGGGCTCATTCCCCACCGCCGAGTCATGCATCGATGCCTGTGCAGCCGGCGCGGTCCAAGGATGTGTCTATGCCTCCTGGAACAATCAGGGTGCTTATTGCGCCCTGGCAACCAATGTCGACCTGACTGGGAATGGTTATGAATACAACACAATAGGCGGCACGTATATCAAGACTCTCAACTGCAAGGACGGATCCAGTGACAACACTGTCTGGACTACACCCGCCGGAAAATACCAGATCCTGTGCAACTACCAGTACGGCGGCACCACCTTGGGTGCCTCAAAGCGCGCCGAGACGTTTGAGCAGTGTGTCGGTTTCTGCGACAGCACCAACGGCTGTGTGGACGTCGTGTACAGCGAGGCCAAGTACTGCTGGCTCAAGAGTTCAAAGACAAACGGTTACAAGAGCCCGGGCTGGTACACCGCCATCAAAGTGCCCGACAACTTCCAACCTGCCAAGCCTGACGATGTTACACCTGTGAGCAGCAGCCAAATTGGCGCCATCAACTGCTTCGACAACTCAGCCGATGGTACTACCTTCAAGGCTGCCTCCGGCAACTCCTACGACATTGCCTGCAACTACCAGTACGATGGTGATACTATTGACAGCATTTACACTCGCACTTTCGAGGACTGCGCCAACCTTTGCGACACTACTGATGGCTGCATCGACGCTGTGTGGAGCAAGGCCAACTACTGCTGGATGAAGTCTTCCAAGACTGGCACCGGATACAAGTCGCCTAATTGGTTCAGCGCTATCAGGAAGTAATCACTTCTTGAAGTCGTCGACACACTTTTCGAAACAGGTTTACCCTCTTGACAATGCTCCCGATCCCTTGCATGTAGTCATGAGCAGCTTATGAGCGACTAGTCATAGAATACTATAGCGAGGTTAGCCGTGGTCAACCGCTATGATCCTGAATGAATTTATTCGTCTCTGATACCTTTCGATTATACCCGTGCACTTTACGTGGTCTGTAGCAAAAACAGGTGGTAATGAAAATCTTACTTACGTTTTGCGGTGATGTCAATTGCTGCACTTGTCGACTGCGCGCTTGTCTTTTCAACGCCGTAAGGTCTAAGGCCATTGGAATCCCAGGTATCCATTATTGCATTTCACTGGCGATTCCTAAATACCGTTGAACGGAGGCCGGGAACTCGCTGATCGAGTCTGTCATAACATAGCGGAGGATAGGTAGAAATAGGCGCTCCGTGCCCGTATGCATAGCGGCTAGCCGCAGTGGTTTTTCCTGAAGATAGAGTACAGAGCTCTTGATTGTCTGATGTGATATACATTGCGAGAACAGATAAGAAGACGGAAGTGATAGTAAGAAAGTATTACACCTGTGATCCTAGGTCTTCAACGAGACCTATATATAAATGCTGGATCATTGGAGTCCCTAATATGCGGCTCGACCAGAAGCCTGTGGAAGGCCTTCTGCAGCCCTCCTGCACCAGGCCCCCAGCGAGAACTGGACCTCCTGTCGATTTCAGCCCAGCATATTGTCTCAATTCCCCAAAATGGAAACGGGCAAGCTCTTTCGTCCCATGCAGATGATCCACCGCTGGCGCAATCGTGGCATGGGAAGCGCCTGATCAACCGCGACATGAGTCATATCTGGCCACATGAGGAAGTATATCGGAGCGGTGACCCAGAAGTTTGATGACGAGCTGACGGCCGCTGATGATGAGTCCGTACAATTGAGAACGTGATAGGCTGTAGATACAAATTTGGTTTTTGCGCGGCGGGGAGCTCATTCGAATTAGGGGGTAGCGGAGCATAGTACGTAGAAGAGCTGAGATGAGAATGGCCTGATCTTGCATGAGGATGAAGTCAAAGAGGAGGGAGACGAAGTCCAATGTACAAGAAGCTGGCGTGGATGGGAGCTGCCTCATATATACTCGGCGGGACGAAGTTAGGCGTAGGTACTAAAGCGGCACCCACGCTAAGCCTGTTTAAGATGCCGCTAAACCCTGCGGGTACAACAGCACGTTCTCGCTTACACAAAGAAAACTGACCATTGTCTCAAAGAGATCTGTCACGTTAATGAGTTCATTCACGTTGGAGTGGCGCAGCACCAAGCACTGATTCGATCTTCCGCAACGCGCCTTCAGCGGCTTCAAGAGACCATTATAAAAGTAACATGACGTTGGCAGCTAGGCATTCCACCTTACGGTAGGTCACAGCATGATCATGCCTAGTGGGCCAGCACAATAGGTAAATTCCGGTGTGTATCGCAAATCGTACTGAAATAATAAGCCATATCCTGAATGGCAGGCTCGATCCACGCTGTTTCGCCTGAGATTCAAATCTCAATTCCCGGGTTTGGACACGGAGTGATGTCAGCAGAGCACAGAGCGAGTTGTGATAGGTCTGTCGAAGGACGTGGCTTACAGGGATCGTGGCAACAAGCGGCGTATCTGAGATCGATTTGCCTCGAGCTGACACGTTTACATGCTCGTTCTCGTATACGAAGTTGAGATTCCACGAGCGTCACTAGCCAAATGTAGCAGGAGCCTATCAGTAAACCAAAAAGGTCGTCGATGGAGAGTGCGGCCGCGGCCGAGGCAGGAACATGGGAACATAGGACTGGATTAACGGGTGGAAGACCCTGGTACGTTGCAGTATCTGACTCCCAGTACAGCAAATGGGCATGGTGCGCCGGTTAAGCGGCTCATATAGTGGGTGACGCTGGCTGGGGCTGTCAGCAGTGAGCGCGCCCGCAACTGTCCTGTGCTCACGCCAGAGGTGACGGGCAAGCAGCACACACGTTACATCGTTCAGCCTCAGCCTCATACCAGCTTTGCGGCTTTCCCCAGGGCCAGTCACAGCTCCCCTAGGACTCGTTGCGCCTTGGCAGGCACCAAGCTCGGCTGATCGCTCGCTGACATCGGACGGGGTTCATTGCATATCCGCATGAGGCTTGCAAGCCTTGCATACGAGCAACTGCCGACGGCTGGTTTCGGTTGCATTAATATCGATCCCACGTTCCATGATATTTGAGAGGTTGTGAGAGCGCTTAACGGTGATTGGCAAGTGGCATGACTAGACTGAAGCCGAGCTGCAACACGACGATCAGAGCTTGGATAGTAAGAGGCCGCAGTGACATCGACAGGCATTGTCTTGTTCACTTGGCCTCAATGGTGGCTCACACACACACACACACACACACACACATTTGTCGGGCTGCGCACAATAGCTGCGCAGCGAACACTGAGGCAACATGCGTCTATAGCACGACGAGGCATTGGGAAATATTGCTATAAGAACAACGAGAATTCCGTAAACTGGAGTCCTTGTCCTCTACCCATCATCAACTCAGAGCTTCAATTCATTCTCTCCCGCCTCTACTCTCACATCAACTCCCACGAATTTTCGATAACTACTCCATTTTGACCATGGTTGCTACCAAGCTTGCCCTCGGCGCTGTCATGGCTGCCTTGACTACCACAGGCTCTGCTGGCAGTCTCAAGATCAAGAACCACTGCAGCGGAACCGTCAACATCGTCATCTCGCACAACGGTGGCTGTGACTATGGGCAGAGCAAGAAGTGCATCCGCGACGGTGGCAAGCCTTACCAGATCAAGAGCAATGGCAGCACCAGCTTCGCCTGGATCGGCGACGGCAAGGGCGCCAGCCTCAAGATCTCGAAGAGCGACCCCAAGAAGATCTTGCAGTACGAGTACGCCCTTGTCAAGTCTGGCGACTACAAGGGGCTTTACTGGGACCTCAGCGACCTAGACGGCTCCGGCAACGGCCTTGTCGGCACCCCGTTCCGCGGCGACAACGTCCACGTCAAGCCGTCTGGCAATGGCGCTGGCAAGGGCACCTGCGTTCCGATCAAGTGCGCCGCCAACAAGGTCTGCCTCGACAGCTACCAGCACCCCGACGACCCCAACACCAAGTGGTGCCCTGTCGACACCGGCGACATCTGGATTGCCCTATGCCAGCCCAACAGCCAGTTCAACTCGCGCGACCTGAACGACGAGGACATTGAGATTGTCGACACTACTCCTCCTCAAGAGGGCGAGGCGCCGGTTGACGACTCCGCCGCCCCCGTCATGCCCAAGATTGTTCTGGACTACTTCCTCCACCACACCGAGGAGCCCAGCTCGCCTGCCGCCGCGAAGGTCAGCCGCGCCTACTACGCTTAGGAGCGTGCCATAGCATGAACACCAGAGAGCTCAATATTTGCAACCAGCACCCTTCTAGTCGTTGCCACATATCGTCTCGATCATTTCTTAGATACACGCTCGTTGGGTCTTACTCCTTTCGCTCCTGTATATATGTTTTCTTCTCAAAGTGGAGGGAGAATTTTTATCAACCATAGAGGTAGAAACTTTTGCATCATTTTGAGGCCTTTCAATCAAGCCAGACGTTGTTAGAAAATCCCGCCTATAGATTATCCAGAGATTTACGCAAACCACGAGTAACCCGCGCACATTAGTGACCTGCCTACTTTACCGTTATTTCCGTATAGTCTATGTTTCTTCCATGTTCTCTTTTAGACATTATGATGCTCGACGTGAGAACCATGGCCATTTCGGCCGGCTTGACCTCCAACGGGTACAAGGGCACACCAAGACAAACCGCATGGGTCAAGCACTACCAGCCAGGCTGGTCCTGCCGGCACTGAGAACCATGATCTCCGACATGGACATCAACGTCGTCGTGTCACATCGGGCCTGCACGCATCTGGGCCCAAAGACGGACTAATCGTCTACTCCACGCCCAAGACGCACAGCGAGGACCCCCCGATGACATTTGAGCGCTGCAGCCAATCCGAGTTCGCCGCTATTTTCTTGGCGCGCCAGCTCTTCAAACTCGACTCTAACTTTACCGTTGTGTCGATGCACTCTGGCTCCGCGAGGACATATTTCGCACCTCGAGCGACGTTGCGGCCACGTTCCTAAATTGGCGTGTTGATATTATTTTCCGACGACTCGAAACACCTTCCGGGTCTTTGTCTCGAGTCAAACTCCTTGACGGCTAACCATTGGGTGAAGAGAGAGACATGACGAAAAAGTCCCCTTGGAAAAACTTGTCTAGTGCAAGAGAACAAACTTTGCAGCTCGGACACGGGTCGAAAGTCAAATGAAGTTAGCCCAAGCAGCGTAGCACACCCTAAATTAGCAAGTGAGGTCATATCAGCTTCAGTAGCCGGATCGCCCTTCCATCATGGTGCTCCCGCGTCGTGCGGCATTTCTGTAGTAAGCTAGGATACCTAGCGTCGCGGTCCACTTATAGCCGCCGCTACGCTTTGAGAGCTTTACGTCACTATAAAAATCTAGTGAGGAAGAGTCTCCACCTTGATAAAAACACAAGGACAAACATTAACCCGGAAGTGGCGGCGCTATAGACTGCCGCGGTAGTTTTACTTGTCTAAGCGTGGATCAAGTCGTCATCATTGATCACGACCAGGCTTGGAGTAGTTGCAATATATAAATGGGACCGGCTTCGCTGAAGTCGAGAGCCGCTATCATAGTAACTTTGTCCAAAAACAGAACAATCAAACGCAACCACCATGCCCGTCCTTCCCAGTCCGGATGCTGTCCCTTTTGAGCAGGATATCAAGAATCGACATTTAATCTATGACTACGACGTGCCTGGAGCACAGACGGACAGCGGCAAGGACGAGAAATGGCGGTACGAGATGTGGTTCCACAGCGAAGACCGCATCGTTTACGCCATCCACGGTGGGCCGATGGCCGGCCGCTACAACTACCAGACGGCCTCCTACCAGTGTGTGCGTCCGGGCGAGATCTGGCAGTGCAACTGGCTCGAGGAGACGGGCACCATCTGCTCTCTCGTCTATGATATCCCCAACAGGAAAGTGACGACACTCTTGGGGTTCTCCAAAGGCCACTGGACGCAGGCTGAAGCTGCGCATGGTGATAAGCGGAATAAGGAGGACTTTGAACGGTGGCGGCAGCTGGCCAAGGTCGGCATTCAGACAGACAGACACATGTTGGCAGAGCAGGCTAGCATCGTCGAGGACTTTCGTGGCGCTGGCGAGTTGAAGGACATTGACGTATCATGGCCGACCATTTAGGCAGGCGGGGACGACAGGAGGGGCCCGAGGTCCAAATAATATCAATCGCGGCTCACATTAATACTAATCGGATTCTCTTGGACAACACATATAGAGGGCGAAAAGACTTCCGCGGCCGGCGGTCTCACAATAGAACCACTGAGATTTGATAGAATGTCTGGTTTGAAATAGACGATTCTGATGCGAGCATACTACTAGCATACTGCATGCTTGATGATACCTGCTCGATCTCACCAACCATCTAGATACGTTCGTGTCAGACCCCAGGGCCTTGAGACTTCTTTCAACGAGCCTACCTAGACATGTCGTCGCTTAGCCCATAGACTCAGGTATTCTCTCCCCTGCAGCCGATACGTATCATCCTCGACATAAAACCCGCCCTGGCTCTATGTCTGCAATACTAAGTTCTTCCCGTGGGACCCGTCCGCATACGGCGGCCACAAGGGCATGCCGTCCCCATTCGGATCGCCGCAATTCACAAAGTTGATCCACATGCCGCTCATGTCATCGCTTAGCGCCCGATATTCCGGCCACGGCCCCACGCCATTGGGGTTGTTGAACACGAACGCGAGCTCGGTCGCGTGCGCCACGCCCTCGTAGCCAAAGTTGAGCCCCGCAGGCGTCACAGTGCCATTGGCGGACGTTGAGGCAGGGCGATATCCGCGGGTGTTAAAGCGGTACACGAAGGTGCCGTTGGGGTTGTGCTGCGCGTAGCTCCGCGCCTCGGCTAGTCGTGGCCCGTGGTAGAAGATGTCGCCCACGATGGCCGCCACGCGCTTGAACTGCTTACCGCGGCCCATATCTTCAAACGTCTCGAGCCCTGTGTTGAACGGGATTCCCTGGGCCGGATCGTTTGGGTATAGCTGCATAATGCGGTCGACTACAGACGCCGGGTAGCCAAAGCCCACCCCCGTTTCGAGGTACGTGCGCAGCTCGGCGTCAGTGTTGATCCCACTGATCGCATTGTCGGTACCTTCATCCGAGTTGGTGCCGTAGATGTGTGGCAGGTGAGCGAACTTGCCTTGGGCGTAGAGTGTTGTGGGAAATTGGGGCATGATATCGCCGTCCACGGTCGGGTACCAACCCGGCCCTAGGTACAGCTCGGGATTAATCAGCGGATATAGTTCATCGTAGGGGACAGTACGCAGGCAGGCCAGACTGTCGATAGCCTCGGTGCAATTAACAGCTGCCACGATCTTGTTGTAGGTAGGCTGGTACCAGTCGGATCCGTTGTACTAGGCCGTAGAGGCGCCGCCGCTTTCCTGGATCGAGCCGTGGAACAGCCCATCGGTGCGGCCGCCGTAGCTGAGCAGCAGCTGGCCGACAGCGAATGACCCTGACGACTCGCCCCAGATAGTCACGCGGTTCAGGTCGCCCCCAAAGGACGCAATGTTCTCCTAGATCCACGCCAGCGCCTGCCGCATATCGCGCAACGCAAGGTTGGTCTGCCCACTACCCTGCACCTCAATGCTGTACATGTTACCCCATCCGCCCTTGCGGTAGTTGATGCTAGTAGCCAGGATGGGCTTGCCCATTACCACGGACCGCTGCACGATATAAGACAGGTTGTAGTTAGGCAGCCCGGTAGTTCCGTAGTAGTAGCTGCCGCCGTGGATCCAGACTGCCACCGGCAGCAACGCCCTGTCCGAAGCTTGCTTGGTCGGCCTCACAACATTAATGCTAAGGCAGTTCTCGCTCATCCCATACACAGCGTCGGAGGGACTGGGATCGGGACAAGCATTGCTGTAGTTCTTAGCGGTGCGGACGCCACTCCAGCTCGTGTTGAGTGCTCGCGGCACGCGGAAGCGGTTCTCACCGCCGGTATCCTGGGCGTAGGGCATGCCCAGGAAGGCGTCCTGGTGGAAGCCCGACAGGCTGACACCGGCATAGGTCCCATTGCGCACCGTCACCGTGGGATCGCAGGGTGCTGAGCTGGCGAGGACCGCCAGTCCTATAGCTGCATTGAAGGGGGAACGCATTCTGTCGATTGATGAGGAAAGCAGCTGCAGCCGCTTCGCATGTCATCAAATGAGGGGTTGCTGGACACCTTATGACCACTTCCGAAATGCCCCTGCTATCTGCGGTTTTTCTCCGACCATGGTTACTCCTCCGATAGCGCAGGTGGAGACGAAATGACGAGGTCACATCGGGGTTCCCCCATTGGGTACAATCGACACCTCTGTCCACGCCGATCCTCGGCTATAGACGTCGACCTTGGGGACGTTGAGAATGAAAAGATTATTTTCGACAGCATTGTGCTGCCATGTCAACCAAGGCAGCCATAAATTTGCCTGGGATCAATTGCAAATGGTGCCTGTTGCCCAGAGCCACGTGCAAGTCATGCCGGTGATTGGTACGTGTGCCGCACTGATGTAATGCTTTGCTCAGAAACGCAAGCTTATTGGACGGTATGCTTAGGCGGGTCGTTGCATTGCAGGCGGAGCAAAGTGGAGTCACATATCGAGAGCATCCCTTATCAATCCCGGTCCCAATGCTGATGCCTAGAAGGATCACCATCAACGCAAATGCATGCATACATACATACATAAACAGACCCGCCCCAAGCAATGAGCAAGAAGACGTGGAAAGAACTGTACCCACGCCTTCACCATCAATAGCGGAAATCACGCAGCTTCAGTGTCCGAGTACAGTACCAAGAACTACGACAATGACCACCGTCCCTGCTAGCAGCCCGCCCTATACGGGTCCCTCCGTCGGCACCATGCTACAAAATCATACGCTTGCCAGGGAGATCATCGCGCGTAACAACGATCCGTGCCCTATACTCGACAATGACGAGTTGAAATTACTCGGTGCATTCGTCGCTAATCCCGCCATTGCGCAAACCACTGCCAAAGACATCAGAAGCATTAATATCCGCGACAAGGAGCAGGTAGATGCATCTGGCAGTCTGGTTCTTTACCTGATGTATCTACACGTGTCTGCGGGAGAGGGCTTGACCCCCCAAGAGACTGGGGTACTCAAGGATTGGTTTTCTCAACAAGAGCTTGCCTAGAAGCAAGGGAGTTTTGTGATATACCTAGGTAGTCTCTGGGTGAGGCGGTACTGCGAGACCAACAAGCAATCCCGACGTCAAGTTAGCATGTCGCACAGAAGCGACATCAGCTTAGCCACGCTGGCAGACTGGCCCAGGGTCAAGTTGGCGTACAATTTGCCACGTCCTGTCTGTGCTCACTGACATAGCCATCACCTACTGCCCGTTTTCCTTCTTCAACTGCTGCCCATGTGAATGAGCATCCGATACTATGTACCTCTTTGGAATTATCAAGTGCGGCAATCGTCAGCGAATGAAAAATTTCCAGCCCCACAAAGACCACGATCTCCCCAATTTGACGCCTTTATCAGCATGAAACAACGCGTTCGAACCATCTTCCCGCTTCTCCAACGTGGTCTAGCCTAAGCCGGAATCGCATACAGCGACTGCAAGTTGCCCAGCCGGTCGCATGCTGCATACTTCCACCAGTCACTGTGTCGCCAGTACCCAACGCTTCGCAGCCCCCAAAGGATGACCGGGGGTGCCGGTGGGAATGCCCGGTGGAGGCCACCCTCGTACGCCACGTCGTGGTTGGTGAGCACACAGAGGCCGCCGCTCAGCATCCCGACCTTCGCCATTGTCTCCTTGCCGACATGCGCAAACCGCGCCATCAGGTTCTGCAGCCTCTCCTCGCCGAATCGCCGCAGGCCCATGAGCGTCGTGATCTCATCCCGCAGGTGATCGAAAAGGTCCTTCCCGAAGCCGTCGACGAGCTTCTGGACCTTGGCCCCATCGTAAGCTTCCTGGTCGATTAGGCAGGCCTTGATGTAAGTGTGCAGCGCCTCGACACCCTTTTCGAAGATTTGGTGCTGCTCAATGTTGGCGTCCATGATGCCCTTCTCGCCAGCCATGGTTTCGAGGATAGGGAAGATGTGCGACTCCTCCGAGCTGTGGTGAGCGTGCACCAGGTTGTACCATTGCTCGACGTAATTCAGGAACGTCTTCTCATCCTTGGGCTTGATGTGAGGTGCCTGCAGGTAGATAGAGTTCAAGCCCCGGATCTGGTTGTTGCCCCAAAGTCAGCAATCGATCGTAGCTAGTCGGAACCATGGTAGTTCATACGATGCAGTTATGCACATTCACCATCTCGGTGCTGAGCTGCGTGACTTCGTCATCCTGTCAACAGTTTTGTCAGCTGGGCTTCCCAAGGGGAAAGGATCGGCAGGAACGGGTCTAGCGCACAATCTCGCCCTCGGGGATCCGCGCCTTAGGGCTGGGAATCAAGTTGTAGGGATGGTCTGCGTAAACAGGCGCCATCCGTTCGATGGAGTCGTGGGATTGTGTATTGATTCAGACTTGCGCGGCGACGCCGTGTTTGCAGGCAACAGACTGATCAATGGAACGATGGTCGAATTCGGCTGGTGGCAGAATCACTCGATGATGGGCAGCTTCAGGAGCATTATACGCTTTGCTAAAATAGTTCATGGCGAGGTGAAGTAGTGCCAAGAGCCAGATCCCGATCTGGGCAAAGGATGGCCAAGAGAACGTCCTTGGGTGTTCAAATAGCGTAGGGCTTATCTAGACAACTTCCTTGGCACGATGCGTGACCTCACACACCCTGAGATCGCCCCGTCATTGGTGGGCACGGCGCAGACATGTAAGCTGAAGATGCACGCCTGTGTCATTACTAACAGGCTCTCTATGTGGTTGGTAGGTAGTATTGGGCATGGTATCTAGCTACGCTATCGGATAATAGATCTGACGTCACATCCTTTCCAAGTTCCTGAAAAGCTGAGCGCTATCGCATAGGGTCAAATGATGGCATAGCCAGCAATGCATCGAGAAGGCTAGAGCAGCCGTGGCGGAAGCAGAGATTCCCCTTCTTTCCTTTTTCATCTCCAAGTTTGTAGTAAATCAAACCTGGAGCTAGTATATATGATTTGGATCAGTCGTCTGATTTGGCTTCGGCAGCTCTGCTGGAATGTTACGAAACGTCTATTTGAATTAGTGAAGAGCTCGAAAGTGAGCATAACGTACAGCGTGAATATGTGAATAAACATCGCATTGATATTAGCTATATTAACAGCAGTTTCAAGGGCAGTTTTGAAGAAACCCAAGCGACCAAAATTGACACGAGCATTGATCAGAGGGAAGAGGTAGATCTCACCAGCGTTGGTTGAAGCACTCAGTACTTGTATGCGAACTGAGTGAGTCCAAAGACTGAGGCCTTTGTCATTTTGATAAGAAGAAGGATAAGTAGAAGTGTCGAGATCTCCGACAGTACGGCTCCTATAGCTACTGCAAGCAGGAACAGGGTAGAGGAGGTGGTTCGATGCAGGCCTGCTGTTGAGGGTATGTTGAGAATAAAGGAAGAGTGAACTTCTGCTAGATCCTTTGCGGCACAGCATCTAATGAATCCACGTGTAGACCGCCTACAGATAAACAGTGGAAATGTCGCCAGTATCCATATCGCACGGATTAACAATACCTCTATAGAGTGCCAGTGGCTACATAGAGTGCGTCGAGTGTCGGACTTCCCCGAATGACCCAGACACAGCTGAACAGCTGCAAGCCTCACCAAGCATAAGCAGCCATGCAAGGTTGAACTGCATAATAGCCAATTAGACAGTTCGTGAACCCCTGCTTGATGTAAGCATTATCGTGTGATTGGTGCTACTCACGCAGAGCTTCAGCTCAGTATTTGCCGCCACGAATTCCCAAAGCAGCTACACGTTACAACGGTTTTGCGGGGTCACCCAAGCATGGATAGTAACACAACGCGCTGGCACTTCTATATATCTGGGAAGCTCTCCATGGGTATCGCAGGGAAACGGCATCTCTCAAACATCAACACCAGCAATCCATATATTTCCAGTCTATCACGATAATACGCAGTACAATGCTCTTCCTGGTGTGGCTATGGTCGTTGGCACTGCCGATCTGCGTTGGTGCTTCTCCCGACACGAAGACCCGGACTATCTGCTTCACCAAGCGGGTAAGTCCATCGCCGACCACGCCCATTAGCACCAACAACATTGTCAAAACAACGACGTACAAGCGCGTCGTCACAATCACCACGACACCCGCCGTCACTATCACGCCCAAACCAATCACAAGGACGACCAAGGTTATCTCGAAAACCACCGTCTTTTCAGGGAAACCGCAGTCCACCGTGTCTTTCACTACCACCGTGGTCGTCCCCTCCACCGCCGTGACCACTCTGCCGCTCGAAACTCTAACGGTCGAGACCACCACCACCATAACCAGCACGAGAACGGTGCAGTCCGAGACGACCGTGGGTCTGCCCTCGGGCTTCCAGCCCGTGCGCAGCACACTCCCGAGCGCCGCTGCCAAGAAGAAGAGGTGTCTCCCAGCCAAGCCCGGGCCCAAGCCAGGGCCTGCGCTCTGTCCTCTCCAGAACAAACCTCCGCCCCCAAGCTGGCCAGGCGCCGTTACCTGTGTCGGTGTGATACAGCAGTACACCACCAGCACCGTGACACGCACAGCGCAACGGACAACAACACACAGGGCCCCAACGCCGACGATCACAACCACATCGACCATTGTGCTGACTTCGACATCTATCCTGACGACCCCAGACGCAGCCACGACCGTCACTGCCACCTCAGTCATCATCTTCACCAGCACGAGCGCGCCAGTGACTACCACAACCACGACCACCACGGAGACAGTAACTGCCACAGTCTACGCCGCGACAGCCTACGCGCAATGCACCTCGGGCTCTACCAACTTCGCAGCCACCCTCAGCGGCCACGCCATCGACGCCAGTACCGATGCCTACGGGGAAGGTCTGAGGCCCTTCACCACGTCTGACAACTCGCGCGAGGACTGCTGCGAGTCCTGCGCCGCTAACCCAGTATGCGTGGGCTCAGCCTTCTACGGCGGCTTCAACGCAGGGCAACGCTGCTACAACTTCGTGGCCCCAGGCGGAGCGACTTGTGGCACTGGATCCGGACAACAGTACACCTTGGGTGTCTACCGGGATAGCGCGGGACCGGGACAGGGTTACTCTATTTCTAATGGGCCTTGTGGTGCTTATAGGGTAAATGAGGGTCCGTTTGGAGCGGCCGCCGCCGTCGTCTAGAGGACCATGTTGCATCCAATCTACACACTGGCTTGCGAGATGCGGCTGCTGGCGCCACAGACAGATCATGGGGTGCGGCACCGGCAGGAGGGAGTCGCTCAGAGCAAGCGAGAGTGCGACACATGTTCCGGCCCCTTCATGACATGACTGCGGACGGTCCTGTGTGCCTTGGTCTTCAGGACGACTCCATCGTCAGGACCCCAGCAAACGATAAACTCGCAGGGTTGCCGATGTTTTAGGGCTTGTACTACGTGACGTCGCACTCTCGCCGGCGTAGATGGAGAGGCTGATACAGGAGGTTGGACTGCATTTTGGTGGTCGAAGTCTTTGTACTTTAAGGAGTATACTGGCGGGTGAACGGGTCGAGGGCGAAGCTTTTCAATCTGACAACCGCAACCAGGTCAACATATCAGGAGCATAATGGGTTCACTTCTGCTCTGGCGAGCCTGGCAACAATGACGTCAAATAACTTGAATTGCATCAAAAGTCTTAAGTGCATACTAACATGGGATCACAGGGCCATGGGAAATAACTCTGCAACGTGTCCCGCCTTAGTCGTCACTGAGGACCCGAGGTCGCTAATGACCTCCCAAGGCGACTAGCATCCCTCCCAGGTCAAGACCTAAATCTACCCCAAGTAAGCGAGCCGGTGGTTTCAAATGACGATACGAGTCGGTCCATGCACTTCAAACGCCTCTCGCCGACTCGTTATCGCCGGGCAGATGTTACATTTTCTGGCAGTTGGTGCCCATTGAGCAGTCGCCAGGCTATTGAAAGAGACATAATTATTAGCTTTGCTCGTTCAGCAATGGCCGCAATGCACGCTGCAGGACTGCTTGGACTTACCCAAAGACCGGCACAGCATCCCTCCACTCTCTGGTAGTCGGGGCAAGGGGCATTCGGGTCCTCTGTCAATCGCCAGTGGTCAGCTTTGTCATTTCGCACGAACTCTTCTACAAGTAGTTACAAAAATGGAGGCGAGGTGGCAGAAACACTTACTGGGAGTGCAGACATTGCCGACAAACTCGAGGGGGTCTGGGGGAAAGTAACCGCAGAGGGTACCAAAGTTGTACGGGCTCGACGTCCACCTATCAACACCGCGGCAGCACAGGTTGTTCTGCTTGCCGGCTGGGCACGAGCTCGTTGGGGATGGTGGTGCGATCGAGGTCGGCGACGGCACGACACCAGTATACACGGTGAGCCGGTTTGGGGCGCCGCAGGCCTGCGAGGCTAGGCCGCGGCAGGGCGTGGTGCATCCGGCCTGGTCGGCGACGGCGCTCGCGGGGAGCGAGGGGGCACAGAAGCACTCGCCGCCGTTCTCGAGGCCAGCGACGGGGAACCCCTGGCCGGTACAGAAAGCGATGCAGACCTCGGCGCGCGAGAACACGTACGAAGGCTGATAGGCGCCGGTCAACAGGCGGGAGTTGACGTCGTCGACGTAGCAGCCCGTGTAGGACCAGCCTGCGGGCAGGGCGCTCGGGTTGGCGGGAGCTTGCCGTAAAATATGAGGCGAGCCGGCCTGGGTAAGCGGGCTTCCTGCCAACAGGGCAATAGCCAGTGCTTGGTTTGAGATGAACATTGTGACTAGAATGATACTCTGCCACGGGATTTTTCGAGGAGGAGACTGGGGCACACTGGAAGATCTGCAGTTTATGCTAAGAGAATCGTAGGATTCGACGTTGAGATCGTGTTGGTCTTATAGGCCGATCCTGCCAGGGGTAAATGGCTGTATCTCAAATAGAGGCTGGGCAAACAATATTAGATAGGTTGTGGAGCCTATAAGGAGCGCAGCCCTGGCCCTTGTGCGGCTCGTATGGATTTGTGGAGCCCGTCCGAGGATCTAGATGTGTGGCAGACGCTGTGTCGAACCACTCGCCGGGTCGGATAGGCCTCGTATGGAGGAGCCCACTGCGTGCCTGCCTTCCTGCCTGCCGGAAACGGCTAAGACAATGGTATCCCGGCCACGGAACTCGTGTGAAAATGACGGTTTGTGGGGCCATTGCTGGCGGTGTATCCCAGAAGAAACGGGCAAACATTTGATAACCATTCGCGGATAGGGTTGAGCCAGGGGGAGGTTGATTGCCCCGTTTTTGGAAGAAGTGAGAAACAATTATTTATTCCGCTGAAGGATTCTCGGGCGCTCTGTCTGCGATAGGAAATTGCCCCATATTTGCACGGAGAACCCAGTGTTTATTTATCGCTGAAGGATTCTCGGGTGGTCCATCTACGATAGGAAAGTGCTCCGTATTTGAACGAATTGAGCACCTAGCGGCAGAAAACCGCATTAGCACAGGGCCAGAAATCAAGGTAGAGTTAGCAGCATCTTCATTGGTGATCTTCCGAGTGACAAGAGAGCAAGTGGTCCTTTACCTGCAGAGCCTCGGGTATCTGCTAAGCTCACACTTGTATTGGAGGTAAGTTGCGGTTGTGTCAAAGAAGGCGAACTGAACATAGGTCTAATAGCATTGTGAATGCATAGCTTCAGAGCAGAAAGATTCTTTGGCCGCAAGGATGGAGAAGTCCGCCTCATTGAGCGAACCGATGTGGTAACGCACTCCGGATATCTGGACGGCGATGTTGGCCTGATTTAAGCACAAGGATACACCACTGATTATGCAGTGCCGAGATGATCATCTAAGCGACGACGAAGAATATGAGATCGTCCTGCATACATGTTTCCACTTTACAGATCAGGACTGCCGGTTCTGTGGCAAACCTATTAGCTGGGCCAGTGTCCTCAACCGCGCCGCTCTCAGTACCTGCCTCGTCACTCCCGCCAAGGTGTTTCTCAATCAGACCGGCGCGTGCGAGGGCTACTGCGTTCGCTGGTGTGGCACGGTGTGCCTGTAGCCCCAGTGCGAGGTCAAGCAGGTACTGCTGGAGGAAGAGTCGGGGAAGGGTCAAAAAGTAACGCAGGAGTGTCATGCAATAGGGCGTACCAGCGACTGGCTCTAGAATGGAAACGTGTTAGCTTGTGCTTAACAGTTAAGAAAGAGGGAAGTATTCAATTGGATGCTATCCCTCACAGAATTGTGGCTTCACAGGACTGGGTGCACATAGTAATTTTTTTAAACGATGTGATCAACTTACGGAAGAACACGGCCCGGTCCCGAATCCTTCACTGTCCTGCACCCGCACCCTCACTACTCGCATCGTCACTGCAAATGGCCCGCTCTTGCTTCGGCACAGCCTCGCGGACCCAGATATCCTGATGTATGGAGTACACGGTCGACACTGAATTCGCATCCCCGCCCCCGAGCGGCACGGCAGAGAAGACTCCGTTCGGGCTCATAGAGTGGTTCAACACGGTATACGTTGCGCTGATGGCGCCTCCTTCCCCCATTTTTCGCGACATGGGAGGATCGCTGAGGCGCCTGTGTGGTGCTGGGTGTGCGTGAACAGGCTCAGCGCCAACGGAATCTGGTCTTTGACCTCCTCGACGCCGTGCATGAGGCCGAGGGACGAGCAGTTGGCGGACACGTCCGGTGTGAGGCTCGCTGCGGGGACGTCAAAGGCGCGGCTGTTCACTGCAAGGGCGTAGCGGGCTACGGCTTGGCGGAGCTGTTCAATGTGCTCAGAGGCCCCGGCGGAGTGTGCGGCCACGTCAAGCTGGCGTCAACGCAATGCGGTACACCCCGTTGACCATCGATACTTTCACCTGCGCGTAGCTGGTTCGCTGCCTCCACATCTTTGTATTGCAGCTATATGACGAATAGCATAAGCACAGCATCGTTGAATCAAGCTTTCCTCTCACTAGTACGTGGCTCACCGGTAGTGTTCTGGCGCAAACCCTCAATTCCAAATCCAGTTTGTGAGATGATCTTCGCCAGCATGGCAGGGTCCGGGCTCTTTACATTCCAACAGACCCCAGCTTGCCCCTCTTTACATTCCAACAGACCCCAGCTTGCCCCTCATAGTAATAGTCACTACCGGCCTGGATGATGGGCAGGGTTAGATATTATCTCAAAAACATTCAGAGCGCTGGACTGGTTGTCACAAGTATTAACCCTGTTCCGTCTCTTCGAACTCTTTATTACAAGTCGTCGGCCCCAAAGCTGATGTCCTTGAAATGCATTATCAACTCGTGAAGCTTAGCCATATTTGTCTCATCGACATTACGCGGCCGTTCAAGTCTGAAGTTGAACTCTCTCCCCACACTTTTTTGAACGGCTAGTAACCGAGCTGGTTCAGTGCACTGAAACACGAAGATGGCAGCTAGCCGCCAGTACTCAGGTACGTATCGCATGAAACCGATCCTTCTCCATGCCGTTTGAGGATCCGTCGTAAAGATGTCATAGATTCCCAGAACGGGCATACGAGACAGCCATGCATACCTCCAGTTACTGAGCGCTTTCATAATAGGCAATGGCTGCATTTCCGAGGTGCCGCCATGGCGGTGATGGAAGATGAATATATGCAATGCTTGCCACGCGTGTTAGAACTACTCATCCGCCTGGCTGAGTATTTTGCAGAATAGTCAAGTGCTTACCACTTATGACCACGAAGAAGTTGAGCGCGCTCATCTGTCTGGTCATCGCCTGTTGCTCCTGCGAAAGATCATCCTCCATCATGATCTTCATGATGCCAGCAAACGAAGGCCGAAATTTCCCTATTGTACTCCGAGCCCAGGTGGCCATGTGTTGCGACCAACTGCTAACATCAGCAGCTTGGAAGCACACTTCTGGACACGTCAGGTTGATTTGAAGCTCTGAAACCAGCATCCGTGGTGTGCAGTTGTAGAATATCACAAACGCACTGTCGAGCAGGAACACATAAGCAATCGTTCGGAGGAGCTCCTCCCGGAAACCGAAAGCCCTCCAGGCGGTATCTTCCGCGGCTGCTTCTTGATACGCGCTCAAGTTATCATACGAGGCTCCGTATGGTTGAACACTACGCGCCGCAGCGACTACCTGACTAAAATCATGCCTTCGTGCTTGATTCTTCTGGGCAGTAGATCCCTCCCACGTCATCCAGAGCAGCATGGCATAGGCCGCACGTATAGCATCCAACCTAGCGGAGAGTTGGAGATGGTGCACGGCCCCGTCACACGTGGCTATGGGCTCATCGCTCAGCTGGGGATTCGAGAACACGAACGAATGCACAGCGTCGGCCCACCGCATCGCCTGATCGCCGTCGCTCTTCTCGGACGTGAGAGCGGCCCCGATGACTGCCATTGCAGCCAGGAGCGGAGCCGGCTTATTTGTTGTGGAGAAAGTCGGCTTGTGGAAGACTGGCCAATTCGGGTACCACAATGACCAGAAGGCCAGAATGAACCGTTCCAAGTTTTCCGGTGAAAAGAAGCGGGTACATAGAACCTCGGTTGTCGGAGACCAGTCTAAGGCGGCCCGATGTTGTCGGGCAGTGGCATGTATCGCCTCGCGAATGCCCAAGACAATGTCTCGGCTCTTGGCTTCAAGAGGATGCTGCACAGGGCCAAAACCCGTTCCTCCCGAAGCTACGACATTTTGGCGGGTTCCGGGAGCCGTCAAAAGCGCAGGACCGTCTATGGTTTCGCTGGTTCTTGATAGCTCGTGCTCTGTGACGAGAGACGACATGATATGCCTGCGTTCAACAGAGCTGCCGCAGTCGAATGATTTTGCCAGACCATCGGTGCAGGTGAACCGTGCCAGAAATGTCAACGCCGTCTGAGCACATGATGGACGTGGCACGAGAGATGGGGCGAGGGAGATGGGTCCAGCGGCGGCCCAATTGGTTTCGAAGAGAGCGTCATGCAAGATGTTTTCTCCGCAACCGAATTGAACATCCATCACGGCCCATGCATCCTCGGATAGCAGGTCGATACACTGCTCAGGGACAAGCGGAGCCAGGCCAAATACTTCCGACGAGGGATTGATGCAATCCAGGTCTTTGCACGTACTGAACTTCGCGATCGCCGCGGCTGGAACTTCTTCGACGCCGATTTGAAGTAGTGCGCTGGGTTGGCTTGCCTGTGCCACCCGGTGGCGGGACGATGATAATCCCTTCGCGTGGAAAGTGCAGGGTATGTTCAACCGCAAGCAAGAATGACAAGGCATAGCTTGCGTGCATTTTCGTTTTCTCTCGGTGCATTGGTCGCATGACACCTGCTTCCTGCCACGTTTTGATACTGCCAAGCTCGGTATGGCGGATCCTCGATCCAGGCGCTCTTTGCAAGTTCGTAAGTGGCGAATGAGCGCATCCCTGGGACATAGGCAGTCAATATGTGTCCAACGTGTGAACATGACATGGAGCTCACCTTCGGCTGAACGACAAGGTACAAAAGTCGCAAGAATATGCTCGTGTATTGCCATCTGCGCCCAGGTCAGTGGTTGTGGTCTTGTCAAGGCAGAGAAAACGCTCGCAACGCAAGGGCTACTCACGAGAAAGGAGGTGCCTCTGAAGATGCTCTGGAACTAATAGTATTAGCCAGTTGCGCGAGAGTTGTCAAGTGGACAAAACGCATCACCACCAACCTTGTTTTGCGAAGCTGCGAGAACAGCCCGAACAACAGTAAAGACCTGACGCAGTTGCTCTGGACATGTCTATCGCACCCCTGCGGCAGGGGTTCAGTGCTGTGAAATGATGTCCTTGTGAAGAATAGGCCTCACAACACCTGCGGCTCACAGATTGACTCCGATTCAGGGGTTGGCAGTAGTGCCAGGCGGCATCAGATGCACGCATACACGGAGATATTATCAGTAGTAAGACGGAGGCTCCCAGTGTGTGCGAGGGTGTGAAAGCGCAGTCGTGGGTCCCCTACGTTGATGATTCAGCGGTAGAGAAGGAGGATGGATGAGCCAGGGAGGCTGCATGCCGCTCTCATGGAAGCGGAACCCCCGCACCCGCCACCCCCGCAAGACCCGCCAATTTAGAGCCGCGCCAATGTGGGGGAAACACTGCACCCCCGTATCTCCGGGCTCCTATCAATGATACAGGACGGTAACCCTGCGAGGTACCATTCGGAGCACCTCCAGTGCCAGCCGCCAGCTCTCGTTTCCAGCACGGAAAACCCGTGCGCAGCTCTAGGAGGAGCCACGGCTGAGGCCCCAGGAGAGTATTACCGACTATCAGCCCCCGATGGCGACGCATGTATCACCAACTGGCTCCGATATTGCCACCGACTGCGTGTTCTGGGCATCTCTACTTGGGCCGGCGTCTGGACCGCTTGCGTGGCACGCGGGAAAATAGCCACCTCCACGTCTGTGGCTTGTGGTGGCGGTGGGGAATTATCCCCCCCTCTCCCGCTGTCGTTCTCGTAGATCCCGCGGCGTTAGTCTTGCGCCGTCGCGGAGTGAAACTCCACCCTGGCTAGCAGATGTTACTAATTGCGTTGTCAGTAGAGCATGGATGGGCAAACTCAGTCGGATATTTCCCCACAAACAAGAACGCTCTTTCGCTACATTCGGAGATCGAAGCTCGCGTTGAGCTCAGGGAATATAAGTTGCGAGAAACTCCTGGCCAAAGGTGCATATTAAAATCGACGAAAGGCCATGAACCATATCTGCCTCGATAACGCAGCGCATCATCTCATCAGCTTATTCCCATAATCACACCAGACCGATCTGCCTCCAAATGACTCAAACAAAAGAACCTGTGCGGCCGATGCGGCTACCGCCCAACACGCCGCTGGAGAAGTTCGCCGAGTTTATACACCTCGTCCAAGAGATTTGCGGCCGCGAAAATGTCGAGATTGTCGCCAAACCCGAGCAACTATCTAAAGATCATTATCTTGATCAGAGCAAGGTACACGATATGTTCTACCTGCTGGGAAAGGATTGCTTTGTATCGTCTGCCGTTGTTGCCCCACGCGATGTATCGGAGGTTCAACAGATTGTCCGACTGTGCAATGATTTCGACATTCCCCTATGGCCATTCTCGATCGGTCGAAATGTTGGTTACGGCGGTGCTGCGCCAAGGGTCCCAGGGTCGGTCGGACTCGATCTTGGTAAAAACATGAACAAGATTCTCAAAGTCGACGTGGAGGGCGCCTACGCGCTGGTGGAACCTGGAGTGACTTATGCAGACCTCCACAACTACCTTGTCGAACACAATCTGCGCGACAAACTCTGGATCGACGTGCCTGACCTAGGCGGAGGCTCCGTTCTTGGCAATACCACTGAGAGAGGTGTCGGCTACACCCCATACGGTAAGCCAAGTTTCTCATCGTCCAACCTCTTTCCAGCTGTGGACCTAACAGCAGCACAGGCGACCATTTCATGATGCACTGTGGCATGGAAGGTGAGCAACCATAATCCTTAATGAGAGTGACGTGCCAAATCTAATGGGTTGACTCGCAGTGGTTCTGCCCGACGGTAGCCTTGTCCGTACGGTATGCTTTGATTTGCCCCCCCCATCTTCGGCGGATGGATACTCTAGCAATGGTTGATGATACTGACATTCATGCTACCTAGGGCATGGGTGCGCTGCCAAATCCGAATAGCGACCCCAGCAAGCCTGCTCACGAACAAGATGCGAATGAGTCGTGGCAATTGTTCAACTATGGATTCGGCCCATACAACGATGGGATCTTCACTCAGTCCTCCCTAGGAATCGTGGTGAAGATGGGCATCTGGCTTATGGTGAATCCTGGTGGGTATCAAAGCTACATGATTACCATTCCCAAGGATGAAGATCTTCATAAGGCAGTGGAGATAATCAGACCGTTGCGCGTATCGATGGTTCTTCAGAATGTCCCGACCATCAGGCACATCCTTCTGGATGCAGCTGTTATGGTTAGTATTTCCACAGTCGTCGTCGGCACATATATGCGGGGTTCCTTTTCTCTAACAGCTAACAACAACAATAGGGAAACCGAGCTTCGTACACCAATTCAGACAAGCCACTCACGGACGCGGAGTTGGACCAGATAGCTGCGAAGCTGAATCTCGGACGTTGGAACTTCTACGGTGCACTCTACGGCCCTGAACCTATTCGACAGGCAATGTGGCAAGTCGTCAAGCAGGCATTCTCCGCTATCCCAGGCGCAAAATTCTATTTCCCTGAAGATCAGCCCGACAATCTCGTTCTTCAAACAAGAAACCTGACGCTACAGGGCATACCAACCACGACCGAGTTGAAATGGGTCGACTGGCTGCCCAACGGCGCTCATCTCTTCTTCTCACCCATCGCCAAAGTAACTGGGGACGACGCAATGGCCCAGTATCAGCTCACGAGGAGTCGCTGCGAGGAAGTTGGACTGGACTTTATTGGGACGTTCATAATTGGAATGCGCGAGATGCACCACATTGTGTGCCTCGTCTTTGATCGGAAGGACCCCGAGTCCTGCAAGAAGGCTCATTGGGTCATCTCAACTCTCATCGATGACGCAGCCGAACGAGGCTGGGGAGAGTACAGGACACACCTTGCGCTCATGGACAAGGTTGCCCAGACATACAGTTTCAACGACAACGCGCAGATGAAGCTCAATAGAGCTATCAAGCAAGCTCTGGACCCCAGGGGAATTCTTGCGCCGGGAAAGAATGGGATATGGCCCAGTAACTACAACGCCGAACAGTGGGAGATTGTCCCGAAGGGTGTGTAGACCTGGCTTTCAGTAGTATACCATACCAGAATCTTAAAGCGCGTTGCCAATGCTGCAAAAAGTAGTCAAGTAGTTGATTCAGGTATGATAAACAACATTTGAAAGGATCTTTTCTGTCTCACTACTAGCCGTCAACCTTTTATGTCTCGTCTCCCCGCCTTTGATCCTATATAGGTTATCTGCAACATTAAGGTTAGCTGTAAGAACTGCTGCACTTACTTAACCAAAATTGGTAGAGACGCCACAGAAGAGCATCTAGTAGGGTACATAGGCACCAGTGGACTTAGCAGGATGGGCAGGTGTGTACGAGTTAAAGTAAGATTGGAAGCTCGAACTTGGTACGCTGAGAGGGTACCAGGTTTTCTGGGTTTAAGTAAAACTACCTCACGATACTTGACGCATCGGTATAATATGCTGATCGCTGGCTACCGACTCCGCTCCAGTAATCTTCTCCGGTGGCCTGACCATTGCCATCTCGACGGCCCTCGCTAACTTGACGCACCCGACATCGACACTCCGCCAAAAGATATCTGCTACAAAGATCGTAATGACAAGACACATGAACCAGCCTAGGAGAAGGCCTAGACACCAGCCGCTCTGCCCGCCGGCCCACTGGACCGGCGCGTCTCTACCAGCAGTTGCGCCCTCCTCAGGTTCGATAATATACACGCCCACCACATTTTTAAAGATCAGCGGCTGCACCGCAAATCCAAGCGAGTGCATGACGGGGCCATGGCACAGGTATAGCGCGTAGGATATACGGCCGAGGTATTGTGCGACGGGGTTCTCGAAGACCCAGGCCGCGAGCCTTGGGAGCAGCGGGACGGAGAAGATGAAGAGAATGCTGCCGACGGCGTGCCAGAAGAGGTACTTGCCGTCGCCAAAGGCGCGCGGAGTGAGGTACTGGGAAAGTACGGTGAAGCCGGGTGTCGAGCTGCCCCGGGCGTCCGGGTATGAGAGGAAGAATAGAGAGGAGAGGAGGATGAGAACCAGACAGGTGGTGAAGAAGATGGATAGAGGCATGAGGGTACGTGGCTTGGTAGTTGGCTCAGGGCTTCCTTGCTCCAGGTCTACTACGCGTGGAGCGGTCGAGGCGGAAGAGGACGAGACCCGAAGGCGGAGTCGGCCTCTGCCAATACCCTGCTTTACCCGTCCTACTACAGTCCGCCACGACCACGGCGAGGAACGTGAGGCAATGTACAGGTGCAACTCAGCCATGACAGCACCGCCTAGGAACACGCCGACATCCCACCGGCCATACCAGAGACAGTAGACGCAGCCGATCCAGAGTAGCGAACCCCTCCACGAGCCACGGAGTGATGCCGTACCCAGCAGTGCAAGAAACAGCACCATGGAACTGCGGAACTCGATCGGGATCGTCCACAGGTGCGGGTCGTACTCGATATACATCGGGTTCCAGTTCCACGGGTTGCTCCAGTCCCACCAGCTGTAGTACAGGTCGCGCAGGGTGGTGCCCAGATCCGGGCGGCGGTCAGGGTTGGGCTCCCACTCTCCGCCTTGCCACGGGCTGCCCTTGAGTTTCCACCCTGGCTCGTATGCACCCAGCCAAGCAGCAAGGGCGATGATGATGATACTGAAGGTCGGAGGCAGGAAGAGCCGCATACCGCGGCGGAAGGTCAGCGAGGCCAGAGACGAGTGCGCTTTCGATAGGTTGCGCTGGCGCACGAGCTGGATGAAACGGTGGCTGAGAACGTAGCCCGAAACGGCGAAGAAGACGCATACTGCGGCGCGGCCACGGGCTACGAGACATAGGAAGGGGTATTGGTGGGCATAGACATGCTCGCCGTTGCTGTCGGGGTTGAAGCCGTGGATGACGGTCAATGTGTAGGGGTAAAGGAAATGGAAGTTGAAGACGATGAGGCAGGCGATGCCGCGTATGCCGTCGAGGGATGCCAGCTTCTTGGCCGGGCTGGTTGTTACAGTCGGCGTCGGGCTCGCAGGTTTCTGAAATCGAAGGAAGCTTGGAACAAGCTGGAGAGCGGCAGCCAGTGTCCAGCTGCCGACAACCTTGGCAGCTTGTTCGAGCTTCACCCATCTCGGGCTTGGTGTAGACTTCGACATGTCTTGTAAGAGGCCCCAGCCTTCGTCGTAGTCGTCGTCTTCTTGGAAGTCTTCGAGGTACTCTGGGGGGTTTGGGTTCGTCGTAGAGTCCTGGCTGCCGTTGAGAGACACCAGCGGCTGGAGAGGCACAGAGGTGGGCAACTGCAACATTTTGACTTGCTGCAAGGGAGATACGCCCAAGCACGACAGCAGCAGCACTTGTATATGCGTCTAGACCATCTGCCCGGTAAGATTGCCACCCTATTGGTATTCAATTACCACTATTACGAGACCCGCACGACCTACTTGCCCATACGAGGCCACGATGTCGGGAGGCTTAGACAGGGGCTCTCTGGGGAGGCCGGCGCAGGTGGATATCACAATTGTCGCCGCCTGGAATGGCGTTTGTGGGAAGACCAACTTGAGCAATCCTCTCCGTGCTTCCCCTCGGATAATCCAGTCTAAACACCATGGATCTGGCTCCCCTGTTTCTGTAAGATAATCGATGCAGCCCTGAGTCCTGATCTGATCTAGGTGGTGCCGATGAAGATCTGTAATTCCCTCTCAACCCAAAATACAAGAGCCCCTTTTCAAAACTCGCGATCATACAGCGACAGTCATTGGGCACGAATGATTGTGACTGTAGATACCTCTGACCAATGTGTCCATCTAGGCAAGGTCAAGTCCCTGTCCATACGCAGCATGCGACAAGGGAGATGACCTTACGAGCCGACTGTGGATCCGACCAGATGCAGAAATACAGCCCAAGAGAGCATAAGCCGCACCGGTCTTGGCAGGCTTTCTCCGGAGCCTCAAGCAACGAGATTAAAAAGAGAGCACAGGGGCCAGCAACCACTGACAGGGCTATGGCAAGACGCGAAAAAGCATCTGGACGGTGCGAGCCAGAGGGAAAAGATAGACCCAGCAGGATCGTGGCCGCGGAATCCTCCGTGGCCCATAAGCTGTTGTGGAGTCTATCGCGCTCCAGGCTAAATCTATTGGCGCCCTGGGCTAGGCTGCCACTTTTTGCCCCCCCCAGTCACTTTTTCCATCTGGCAGGTTATCCACTTTCTGCATGAAACCGTTCCTTTTGTTCTTTGACAGGAGATGACCCCACTACTCGAAGTCATGCTTGTACCTGTCTCGTGTGTGGCTATGTAACGCAAAAATGGTCTGAAAGTGCAGTTTCGACGACTGCTGACTGGCCCAACACCTGTTATTCAAGGAAGGAAGTTCTTCGGGCTCGACCATGTCAGATAAACCTGCACTTATGCCTGCGATGTGGTTGAACCGATATTTCTCCATTGTTTGTGCTGAAGTTCAAGGTCATGCTGGCTTAGTCATCCAAGACATCCTGTACAAATAGATGTCGTGACAGCAGGCAGCATCAGAGAGTTTCTCTCCTTCAATGAATCAAGTGCTCAAGTCCTCTTTTAACAGTTTGCTGAACATGGAAGCATGGCAAATTTCGGTGGTCGATGGAAATTTCCATGGTCCAGGCGTTTGGCTCCGTTGTCCCATCGTGGAACTCAAGTGAAATTTGCTCGTGTATGGTAAGTCAGAAATAAGTAGGAGCTCTTCGCCCTTGGTAGTATTTCTCCCCACGCCTGCCACACCGGTCTGTCGTCTCGTGTAGCCTGTTCCTCGACAACAGCTACTCTGCCAACTTGATTCATGGTGCTTTAATCCTATCCTCGCAATGTGCCTGGACACAAGCCATAGGCTCACTTTCAGAGCCTGGACCAGCGGCAGCTGTAAAGCGTCTTCTTCAGTGGCTCCCTCTGACGAAGTAATATGTAGCACAACCTTCGTGAACCTGCATATGAGATCCACAAATCACTGACACATATGTGATCGACTGTCGCTGCAGCTGATAAGAGTTATCGTGTGATCCTCTGCTCTCGCCCCTTCTGCGTCCTGGTATCGGATAAGGAAACGACATAATCCAACACAAACTCGAGCCACACTAGTGGGGTCTCTCACGTGTAGGACACATTCCGTTCCACTATGTCCGATTCGAGCGATTACCATTACTGGCGCATTGAACTCAACACTCCTGGCACTCCCACGCCAGGGTCACCATCGAACTACTGCGCACGCCATAGCAAGCCCTGCACTAGCATTTGAATGTGCTGAGACTTCCGCGACCAGCACATTGGCTGGCGCATTTTCACGCAGGACCTCTTTGCGCAGACTCTTTGGTCATCAAGGTCCCTGCGGCATGGAGGAGCCTAAGCGCCACGGGCTCGGCCTCGGATCCAGGCTTAGCTAGTGCTGCAAGCTCCTTCACGTTGTCGAGCCTTATGCTGCCAGGCACAACCACCTTCTCAGGCTCAACAAAGACAGAGTCGACCTCGTCCGAGTCTCTTGCTACAGCTTGAACGAGCGCTTCGCTCACACTCTCGACATCGCCAGCCTCGTCGTTGTCTATGCCTCCCGCCTCGTCCACCGCGTCCACGTCCGCGTCCAAGTCGACAGTCTCATCCACATCAGAAGCATTGAAGTCTTCGACCACGACATCGTCGGGAAACCCTCCCGAGCCGACGTCCTTCGACACTGCAGACTACACTTACTACGAAGTCACGCTGCGTATCACTTTCGAGAGCACCCCCTCGGAAGTTCCAGCCACGAACACGTTCAGCCTCACCGTCAATGGACCCGCAACGCCATAGTGCGTGGTGGACGTGTCAAGCCTCGCCCCGACAGCATACGCATCGCAGACAATGCCGGCAACCGCTTCGTCCCCAAGACCGACGGCTTAATTGGGGTGTAACAAGATGGCGACTTCCCCTCGTATGGAGCCACTGACGATCCTGACGGCTCGCTGGCGGATACCAATCGATAATTCTACGATAACATCGTGCTCCAGCTGGGGAAGGCCACCAATGGTGCTTTTGAACTCAATACCAAAGCCAACGGTGTGACAAAATTTGTCGAGTCATCAAGCGCAGTAGGCGCGTGGTCCTCACCGACCGCAGCAGCGCCAGGATCAGCACCAGCGCAGAGGTTGTTACCTCGACTTCAGCTTCAGCTGCGACGGTCGGCTTCCGCTCCGGGACGACATTTACGAGCACCCGATAATATCTGGGCTTGAAGTATATTGTAGGACATAAACTCGCAACGTGCAGCTCTTGGTTGACACCAGCAATTGGATGGTAACTCTTTAGTACCAGCTTTCAGTGATTCAACCCAATATATGAACACCAACTAGCAAAAGCGTTATAGCGCTTAAAGACGATATCACAACGGCCTTCTTCACTCCTGGAGCAATGAAAGCCATAGCTAGCGTTTTGAAGTCTTCCTGATTGTTTGCCCTTGGGTACGGCGTCTTGGGTATGTCTTGCCCCAACAGTGGGCAGATTTGTTCCCACCCCAAACCTTCGTCCATGATGATCACATATAACCTACTGGATGAGACTTGGTCTTTGACCCAGCGGTTACTTGGAAAGGAGTAGAGAGTTAATACATAATGACTTTCAACCCACTGCTAAGCAGAGCTCGTATAAAGAACCAAGGGCATAACTCACTACTCTATATAGTTTTGGCGCAGTGTTGCCTCGACACCGACATCTGTGGGCATCTTGCCATCTGAAAACCGCCAGTAGAACAGCTCTGTCAGGGTAAACCACCCGTGGTTCAATGCATCGAAGTACCGTAAGAAGCAAAGAGGCGGCTTTCTGATGGATTGATAGAGGGCACCAATCGTGCTCTGGATCGACCTCACCCAGGCGTCCGGGTCTCGTTCGACATAGATGAAGACCACTTCGGGATCGTCCCCGTAGGCCCGGAAAACGGCGTCGCCGATATAAGACGGTATCCCGAGTATGATACTATCCTGAGTCAGTCACCATTTGAATCAAGTAGCTGCGGAAAAGGCCTGTGCTAAGAAGCCAGCGCTATCAAGACTCACTCGTAGCCAGCAAACCATTTGTCAAGCTCTGCACGACCGTATGCTTCTGTAGGTGAGGCGCCGTGGCGGGGGTCGGTAGTCTTAATGGCTTCAATGAACAGCTTCACATTTCGAACTGCGGTTTCTTTTCTATCAAGTCCTTTGAAGGGCTTCTAGCCCAGCATCTGGAAGGCTCTCATCAGACCCAGCGTACCTGTGCTGCGTATATCAGTGTGATTAGTAAGGTTTACTACCTACCTCGCGTGACGTACAATTTCTGCAGCGGCCCCCGAGGATTGGTTACATACCGACTGGCACCAAAAACGAACACTTTCGGATGGGTGTTTCCCACCGCCTTTTCCGGCAATTTATCGATAAATCGAGACATTGAGGCGTGTGGAAGAACAGACACTTGATCTGCTAGCACTCTATAAACGATATGGCGAAGCGACTGGCGAATTGCAAAATCAATGCAATCGCGTTACAGACATGGGAGGACGCAGTAACCGCGGCGGGTCCATCAAGAGCTATAGTCTCAAAATCGGGTATTGGCCTAATAACAGCCGAAAAAAGACCGGCAAAAACATCCGAACTTGAACGATTATAATTCCCGACAACGCGACCCGATATACCATAATCGAGGCTTTGAAGGGGATACATTACAGTTCGAGAGGGAACCAGCCTCTTGGCGTCGTACTTCCGTCCACCCTTCAGGGCTAATTGAACGACTGGGCGTGGGGGGTTTGTGTTCCGCAAGGTAGATAAAGCTAAAACATCGTGAGCGGTCAGAATAATAGTTTGATAGATTGCTCAAGTATACAGTAATGGCTATCTGCCCCAGAAGTCCTGACTATCATTCAGCCTGGTAGTGACGGTTACTACCAGGGGTAAGTTGGGGTAAGCCCATAGTTAAGGGCCGTGCGTGAGACCCCTGTAGCTAACCTATGATAGTTACTACTATGACGGTTATTACTACAGGGGTGTAGTGTGACGACCCGACTAACAGGTCGCAAGATCGGGCCAGGGACAAGGGCAGGTTATGCACGCGGGCGGACACACCCCTGGTTACGTAAGCATCTCATTATGTCAGTAGGAGGATATGTTGGATCGCAACATATCCACACATAGCCCGGATATAATGGATCACAACATATCTAAGTATATCCAGGAACATAGGGATATATCTCTATGGGAATCCGATGAAGGGCAAAGGATATATAGGGATAGGAGGATCTCCTTGTAGATAGTTATTACCTTTGTACTTTAGCGATCAATCTAAGTATTATTCTCATCCTTTATTTGACCTAGTTACTTAATTGACCCGAGTGTAATATCTCGTAAGAGATACGAACGATAACCCCTCGAGAACACGATAAGTACGGAGTTAGTATTATATAAGGCTGCTACCTACCTTATTTAGAATATAAACCCCCTAGCGCCCGGTCAGACGGTTAACCCCGGAGATCGGATCGTGATATTTTAATCGCTCTTGTTCGGGTAAGTATATCCCGGGCAATACTAATAAACAGGTACTACAGTTACAGGTCATGAACAATAACCCAGCACACACCCACCAACGTACCGCCGACCCATCGTAGGACATAGCACCTATACGTAGAAAACTTGGTACTGTGTCAGGTGTCACGATCCTGCCTCCGGGGTCAGCCGTCTGGCAGGGCGCTGGGGTTGCTGTTCTGCAAGATAGGTAAAGCCTGTACAATAACAACTAACACTCTGCTGTCGTTCTCTCTCTGGGTTGTCGTTCGTGTCTCTGGGAAGAGATACCAGTCTCGGCAATTGAGTGACTAGTTCAAGTGTGGGTGAAACTGATACTTAGATTGATCGCTGAAGTACAAAGGTAGTGACTGTGTATCTAGGAGATCCTCCGCATCTATATATCCTTTGTCCTTCATCGTGGTCACGACTCTGACCCCGATGGTCGTGGTCAGGTCCTGAGCCGAGTCCTGATGGTCATGCAGATGCTGGTGACCATCCTTCTTGGCACGGCGTCGGTCATGCATATCTGCATGACCGGTACGTACCTTCCTTATCGTCCCTTATCGTGCTTACATAAGAAACCTGTGACGGTACTGCCACATGATCCGCCCTTGTCCTTGGCCTGATCCTGTGGCCTAGTTGTTTGGGCTCTTCTGCGCCCGTAACAAACATCCCCTGTTGGTTGGCCGTCACATTATCCCCCTTCTCCCCTTAAGCGCTGTCCTCAGGCTTAATTCGGTAGGTCCTTCTTTCTTCCTCATGGCCCACCATGTCGTCTGACCTTGCAACGCCAGCGCCGCCCTTTGATTCTTCAAAATCTGCGCGATCGCGGGCTTCACTGGTTCGCCTCATTCGAGAGACCGGTTCTTCCTCTCCGCTCGACGTTATGCCGTGTACGGAGTGTATTCGTCGGAATCGCACATGTCGTATGGCTCCGAAGCGGCCTCGCTGCTTGGAGTGCGTGCGCCATGGTGTGAAGTGCGACGGCCTATTCGTGGGGTACCAGATTGATCGAAACCTTGATCAGCAGCGTGAACTGCGCGACCAGGAAGAGTCCGCGGAGGACGAGCTGATTCGTCTTCAGTCGGAGATGGCGAAGATGCAAGCGAAGATGTCGGAGTCGCTTTCTCGCCTGAATCGTTTGCGAAAGCAGCGTCGGTTCCTTGAGCGCCGCACCGAGCAGCTTGCCGACGAGGATTCCGCGAACTTGGAGATCCTCGATGGGGTTGTTACCGACGAGCCTTCCCTGGTCCTGGATGCTCAGTCCGTCGGGGCGCAGGTGGTGGACTTCTCTTTCCTGGACCCCTCGTTAGGTCCCGGGGGTACTCATACCCGAGCGCCTTCAGTTCCCGATCCGCTCGCGCCCGATATGGGGGGTCCCATTCAGTCTTCAGCCAGAAGTGGATGAGTTGTTCCTTGCAGAGGGTGAGTCTGTTTTCCGGTTCCCAGCTATTTTCCTTGTGTGTTTCCGGTTCCCATTCCACGTGGTATTCCGTGTGTCCTATATCCCGATAGTCGAGTATCTTCTTGACTTCGGACGCCGGGTGCTGGTTGTTTGGTTTGTTTTGAAGGGTGGGCACTCCCATCGCTTCGTCCCATTGTCGCAGGTCGTCCGCTAGCCAAGTCCAGTACTGGGTGACTTGTGCTTGGGCGAGTTCTTCCTGCTTCTTCCAGCCGTTGTTTTCGACGAGGTACCATCTTTGGCCCCCTTCGTCTGCATGGTCTAATATCCTTGATTTGTCCTTTTGGATGGTCGAGGATTTGACCGCCATTTGTCCTTGATGTTTCTGTCGTGTCCAGTTCCAGGGTTGCTCTTGGAAACTTCGTGGTCGATCTTCCCATTCCTGGAGGAGTTCCTTGCAGTTTGTAAGGTTCTTCCGAGGTTCCCAAGTGTTTTCCGCGTCGTCGTACCCTTTCCATTTGATGAGGTACCATCGGGTTCCGTCGCTAACTTTGTCGTCTAGGATTTTCTCGACCTCGTATTCTTGGTCCGGTTCGACTTCCACGTTCTTCTGGAGTGGTGTGTCGGCGTGTGCTGGTTCGAGGAGAGAGGTGTGGAAAATTGGGTGGATTTTCATTCCCTTAGGTAGTGAGAGCTCACAATTAAGTGGTCCCAGAACCTTCTTGACGCGGAATGGTCCGAGTTTCTTGAAATCCAGTTTACTGCTTGGTCGTTTTGTTTTGATGTTTTTGCGCAGCAGATAAACTTTGTCCCCCTCCTTATAGGTCGGTCCCTTCGACCTTTTCTTGTCGTAGATTTGCTTGTGCTTCCGTTGTCGCTGAATGACCATGTCTTTTAGTTCTTTTTGAAGGTGTACAAGCTTCTGGGCCTCGATGAAGGCCTCCGGAACCATCGTGTCTCGCAGCGCGGTTGGTTCCTTGGGATCAAAGCCTTTATTCGCGAAGAATGGGCTGACTCCCAAATCTTCATTCGTCGAGGTGTTGTACGCGTATTGCGCCGTGGGGAGGTGCTCGATCCAGTCGGTTTGATCTTCTTTGATATAGCACCTGAGGTATTGTTCCACGTTTTGGTTCATACGCTCGGTTTGTCCGTCTGTCTGCGGGTGAAATGCCGTAGACATGCTGTGTTGGATGCCGATCTGGCTCATTAAGTCCTTCCAGAAGTGGGAGGTGAAGAGCTTATCTCTGTCCGTGATGAGTTTCTCGGGTATCCCGAAGTTACTGATAACTTCCTTCTTGAAGATCCACGCCGTTTGCTTGGCCGTGTATGTTTCAAGGAACGGGATGAACAGCGCATACTTGGTGAGTCGGTCAGTGACTACTAGGATGCTATCGTATGCGATCATCGTTGCTAGGTCCTGGGAAGGTGGGAGCTTCGTGATGAAGTCCATCGAGATGACCTTCCAGGCTCTATCAGGTGGTGCGATGCTCTGGAGTTCGCCGTAGGGCTTCCGTCGCGAGGCCTTGCTCCGTGCGCAGAGGTCGCATTTGAGGATTCCCCCTGAGACTACTGTTTTGAGTTTTTCGAAGTCGAATTGTTTCTTGACTTGTTGCTGGGTCTTGAAGATTCCCTGGTACCCGTGGAGCGGGTGCTCGTGAATTTCTTTGACCAGTTCTTGTTGCAGCGTCTCGGGTATCCACCTGAGTCCTCGGTATTTAACGATACCTCTGTCGATCCTGTCGAGGTTGTAGCGGGAGTCGTTGCCATGTTCCTTTGCGATCTCCGAGGAGTATCTGAGGGTTTCGTTAACGATCTTCTGTTGCAACTCGATGTTCCATGTGTCGATAGTGATGGCAGCGATCCGGAGAGTGCCGTCTTCTGCTTGTCGTAGGAGCGGAAAGTTCTCCGTTTTCTGCTCGTGTTCCGGGTATCGACTGAGAGCGTCTGCTCTATTGTTTTCTGTTCCTTTGCGGTATTTGATTACCAGGTCGTATTGTAGGAGTTCAGCGTACTATCTCAGTAGCCTTCCGTTGAGGTTGGTTCCTTTGAGGAAGTATGTTAGGTTCTTGTGGTCTGAGTGGACGATGACTTGGTGGGGCGATCCTCGAATGTAATCGCTCCATTCCTTGCAAGCCAGGACTATCGCCATGAGTTCTTTTTCGAACGTGGTGTAGTTCTTTTCTGGTCCTGTGAATGTTTTGGACATGAACGCGACGGGATGGATTCGTCCGTCTTCGTCTCGTTGTCCTAGCTGAGCGCCCATTGCATAGTCGGATGCGTCCGTTTCTAGCTCGAATGGTGCTTCTGGGTCTGGGATGCGGAGAATTGGATGGCTTAGGATGATGTCGATGAGTCCTTGGAACGCTCCTTGCTGTTTTTCGCCCCATACGAAGGGTTCGTTTTTCTTCGTAAGGTCGTTCAAGGGCTTCGCGACTTCTCCGTATCCTTTGACGAATACTCGATAGTAGTTCGTGAACCCTAGGAAACTT